GGTGTCAGTCAGTGGCACTCTTGCCTGCGACCAGGCGCGCATTGTCCAACACCCGTAGAAGTTCTTTTTCCTATCCCCTTCGCCCTTTTTTACAAAAGCTCACGCTTCCCTCCCCTACCCTCCTTAGACTTTCCTTACAGTTTTAAAACTTATCCCCTCACTAATCTTCAGCGTGACTTCCTTCTTCTCTCTATTCTTTGTCGCTGCCTTCGTTTGCGCTCTTCTACTTTGCGACCTTTTGCGCCCTACAACATAACCCCTTTTAATACAACTCGTCTCCAGTCACTGCTGCTAAGATTACGCCAACCAACTCGGCCAATACGCAAGTTCACAAAATCACTTGACTAATACTTGCGATTTGTACGGATACGTCCAACAAATCAGATTTCAAAATCATTTACAGAGGCAACTACATCGCTTTCTCGCGACCGCCAAACACGCAACCCGCTACTTGACAGTACTCGCTGCGCAACAGTATACTACTCAGCTTCAGAGAGACGGACAATCTACAGTCACGATCATCTGAACGCGCCGGTGTCGATATCAGCCCTCTGCCTACATAGCTCTGCTTTTACAGCTCTGCTTCAACCAGCTTCCTGCCAACGTCCGTCAACATAGCTTGCCACAGTGTCACAACTAGCCGAACTTCGGCATCGCGCTTGGCTCCCTGTACAACTAGCCTAATAATTTCTCGATATATTCGACGACCACTCTTTTGAAAACAAACCGATTCCAAACCGCACAAAGCGATTAGGTGAGTATCTGAAGCCAACAATAGTACAATCTGAAGGTTGACTAATACGCTCCAGCATAACCAAAACCTCCAAAAAACAGACCCTCAAGACCAACCAACAAAATGTACGCTTCCGACTCGCAACCACAAGATATGGGCCGTGGCTCTTATGATACCACTGGTATCAAGAAGCCCGCTCCTCCCCCTCAACCGCGTTAAGTGTGCATAGTTTGCTTGATGAGTCTACTCGGCTCTCAGCATTCACACTTGTACTACTATGCGGCTTGAGCTGTCGCCTTCACTTCTCTCAGTATTTGCGATGCGGCCATCGACTGTCACCGCTTCTGCATTATCACTTTTTCAACCTACTTTTTTAATCGGCACATTATTTACGGACTTGGATATATCGACGGCTCAGGGCCACACCTCGCAATTCGCTCGCGAGGCATCAAATGCAATCTTTGCAAGATTGCTTTTGAGTGTTACACTTTATTGTACTCTTTTTTGGATTATTTCGGCGTTTCAAAATCCTTTCTACGGCGTTTGAACATAGACGGAACGGCAAAATCTCACGGCGCACCTTTTCGCGCGATTTGCTTTTTTCCCAGGCACTTACATGGGCCTCCTGTTTTTTCTTTTTCCCCGTCAGCCACAAGCACACCACCCGTGGCTCGCAGCAGCTTTTCTTTTCTTTCCCCCTCGTCTGGGATGGCACCTCTTCTCTCATCATATTTCATTTTCTCTTGGCCTCTCCACCGTTCGCGCGCTCCTATAGGACGTGCTTCGGAGGCACCCCGGAATGCAGATCCAACTACTCTGCGACATGTCTTGGTCGCCCAAGCATACTGCAGCAACTGAAGAGAGAAGAGAAGCTGGAAATCCTGACGAGATATTTCTACTCGTTTCATTAATGTTCTGGGAGTGGGATCACAAAAGTTTTCTGTATGATTTTATTTGCGAAAAGTTGCACGCTTTTGTTTCAGGCCGATGCCTTGTTTTCCAGCTTATAGACTTTGTTTTTATCCTGTCACATTTCCTACAAAATTTCCTATCTTGTCTACTTGCGCTTGGCAACAAGCTGCCCTTGCCCCGAATGAGCCTTTGGACTTGTTTTCACACTTGTTTTCACTTTGCACCAGAGTCGGTGGTCGACGGCTTTCTACTTTCTGCAAGTCGTTGCCCCCTTACTTCTGGAAGATACCCCCACGCACGTTGATTCTGTTTTTGTCATATCGAGATGTGGAAGCACAACAAGAGACAACTGTGCGAGTTGTTCTTAATATCCCCTGACTTTTAGTTGATTTTTTACTACTCCCTGACGCGGCACACAGAACAGAGAAGGGCACAGATGCGTTTTTTATCACTTCATTATGCTTTCAATTGTTTAGGTAGAACATAGATTAAGACAGACTTTCCTTGTGTTTTTATCAATTTCTTCGTTCTCATCAAACCACCTATATTATACTTGTGAACTTTGATAGGACTACCATGTCACCAGTATGATAGTCTATATTGTCCTGGGTTCGCCCGTTTGTGGAGCGAAGAGTCTCCGCAATCAATCATCGGTTCTCCGCGTTGTATGAAACATGTTGATACTCTTGTCCAGATTTGAGATGACCCGGTCGATGGGATAGCCCGGGGCTGAGCTGCTGGTGACGAGGGTGGGTGGGAAAAGAGCCGACGCTGAGGGTGAACCCGAGTCCCGAGGATCTGGAACCAACTTCTCTTTTGGGGAGAGAACGATGCGCAAGGGAGAAGAAAAGGTAGGAGGGTGTGGTGATAGCCGAAGCCGATGCGACATGTCTGCTCTAATGGAACGCGCGTTGCCCGATGCGCGACTCAAACGCGATGAGTTTTGTTGAGTCAATCCGGGCTCAATAGTTCTCCAGATGCCCAAAAAGAACAACTCAGAATCAATGATGATCCTTTTCGGCCTTTGCTACTACGGACCCTGACAATTTTCGTGCATTTTTCTTCTTTAGTCTCTGGCCATCGTGCAGGTGTAAGACGTGGCGGCGGTGGGTTTTGGGAGGCCCAGACGGCCCCGTCGTTGCATACAGGAGCAGACTTTTTGCCTGTATTTTCTTTTTAGTCCGCAATTCATCCGCGACTTGCCTATTTGATCGGTGATTTCTTTTTACTGGCTTGTTTCAAGTTTTGAGCAGCCAGAAAGAGCCACTTGTAGAAAAAGCAAAAGCCGTTTCTGCGGGGTCTGGCTATCGCTATAATTGCCCGTTTCGGGCGGGGCGACGCCGACGCAGGCACTATAAGTCGTATGCAGCTAGTGATGCAAATGCAATGCACGATCTGGGCCACCAGGGGCCGTGCGGATAAGAAGCACAAAACTAGGGCAAGCAAGGCGGAAACTTGGGGGCCAGTTTGCTCATGACAGAAGGAGGTCACGCATGCGATTTTGGAGACGGCTGTATGAGATGTGACAGTGGTGAGATGCAAGCCACTGTCTGTGGCAAAGTGCTGTTGAGATTGGGGGGTTGATTTGTTGCAGGCAAATGTGTGTATTTTTGCTTTGTAGTTGTATACTAGCGGCCAGGAGTAGTTGCGGATTAGCAAGGTACGATCGGGATCCATGAGGACCCTGATATTTGGGATATCAGATTGCGATTAGTCTATCACTTTTTTCAACTGTCATTTTCCTTTTGCTTCAGTATGGCTGATGTATTACCGTGTGGCATAGGGGATGGCAGTGCTGCCTGGCTAAACTTTGGATCAATATTCTTGCGCCGAGAGCCAGAACATTTGCAAATTTGAGTGTTTTTTTATAGAGAATTTTGCTTTGTTGATAGAGTGGTGCATACTGGTTATCAGCTCAGATCTAGACGTTCGTCTTTTTTGGTGGGTGATGTGATCTGCTGCACACAGCGCCAGCGTCTAGACCAGTTTAACGAAGGCTAACTAGTATCTACCTGGAATTGAACAACGAAAAGGATGCAGGAATCCGGTTTTTTTTGTTTCCGTCACTCAAGATGTATCGTGCACCAACGATAGGTTGCCTATAACCTATCGACTTGATCTAGTGGCACTCTCTCGGCTCATGATGGTGACCTGGGCTCCCCACTACAGTAACGGCGGCGATACGCTGGAGAATATGCTATGGATCTACAACAATGGATAAATGTCTTTATAAAGTGCCTAAACAGATGACTGGAGAACCCGTTTCTGGACCATGGGAATATGTGCCTGTACTGGGGACTCTGCCCAACGCTTCTTCAAGGCGAAAGCGTACATATGGTGGAAGCCTCACTCAGAAGCATTACGCAACCAGGCGCAATAGTGATGCATGCGAGTTACGCATGAAAAATGGGAATGTTTGCTAAAGGACTGTAACCGTTTCGGTGAGAAGCAGGGGCCTTTGTCCAAACTGTCTCACGCTGAAGAAGGACTCTGAGCATCGACAACTTGGAAACCAGGGCGTCGATCAGGGGCTAACAGTGTAATGAAATGGAAGCGACGTCATGGAGTGGAAACGGTTATGTGGTTAGCGGCTGGGCGCTGAGTATAGTACGCGCAAATACTAAGCATCCACCAGTTAGTTACCTGAACGAGGACCATTTGTGAGCCATAGCGATCCTTTCGCCGAGGCGAGACGTAGGATTTGGGTGATCCACGGCGAATCAAAGGGGGACAAATGAGGCTTCTGGCAAAGTGAGCCGGCTGTGCAGGCGGCAAAAGAGGGCTTGCATGTCGTCGTGTCGAAGAAAAGGGGCAAACGTTTCAAGCGCCAAGCGGGAGCCGTGATTGGCTGAGATGCAGCTTTTTGGGGTTGTCAGAGGCGCTAAAACACGAGGGCATTTCGCCTCTGGTACGAAAGTACAGCAGGAGGCCTGCGCTGTGGGGGCGAAGTTTTGGGTCTATGTTACAGCGAGTACGCAATACCCAAGGACCCCTAAAAAAAGAAGTTATAGGCGTCGGCGCTGTACTGCACTGTACTGTACTGTACCTGCAGCTTGCAGCCCCCGTAAGATGAAGGGCAAAGCTGGGAAGCAGTGCTGTGAAATTAAATAAAAAACGATGAAAGGAAAGAGACAACAGTACATGAGATTACTGAGATACTTGCAATTGTAACAAAAAAGAAAAGAGTATACAATCGGCCTTGCAGTCACGCGCAACCCGAGCATGTGCAGTGTGCTGTAATACTGCACACAGCGCAGGGCGGATTTTGCGTGGCCTGGCGCTGCGCCCAGCGTTCCAGCTGCGCCCCCCTGAGATTTCTTCCGACCACCTTTCAGTGGTGCAGAGCTGCTGCGGCTTTTCACCGACAAGTACTTTTCCAGTACTGCTCTTCATTTTGGCCTCTTTTCTGCCCTTTCTTCATCAACAGCAACTGCTTCTGCTGCAACTTGACGTTTCTCGTATTGCTTTTCCACCTCTCTTAGCGCCCATCGCTTTTCGCCCCTCCAACTACCAAACTTAGATATTTTTTTTTGGGAAGCAAAAAAGGTACAAGCCCATACGCGCTAGCTACGTCACTGGCCCCTCAATTGCACAGCGCTGGCCCCCCAAATTCGAGACAAAGGTAACATTGTCGGGACAACAAAACACCAAAGCCAAAGTACCAGCCAAGCCACACTCACCCAGCTTTCTCTCCAAAACTGCAACAGCATCGCAGAAACAAAAAAAAACCGAGAGCGACATCGACGATAGAATTATCGCCCGAGCCACAGCATCGCGCGTAAAGCGTCAGAAACCACCACCGCAGCGAATCTCACACTGTTTACCGGCCAAATCGCGTGTCAGAGCTACGGCCCTCGTCACCCCCCTTCTTCACCTTGCCTCTGCAACTGCCGGTAGCTTCAGACGTAACCCAATCGACGGAGCCGGCTCCCGCGAACCTCACCACCCATCATGTCGTATAATCGCATAGGTAAGTTTCTGCGCACTAGCTTTTTCATCCCAGCAAGGAGCCCGTGATGTATTTGTTACAGATCGGCCCTTGTTTCCCGCAAAACCCAAAACCTCAAACCCAAAACACCCCTGCAATCCAATCTCTACTGTCCGCGCGCGCCCACCATCCCCCAGCTTAATTGCTCGGCGGTCCAACAAACTCTCTCTCCATCTTCTTCTCTTTTCCTTTTGGTCATCTCATCGTCATCCTGCTTAGTTTGACTTTGCGCGGCCCCTCTTCGCTCTGCGCTCCTGCCTGTCTCTCGTCTTTCGACTTTCTGACCCTCTCTTCTACTACTTCTAGGTGATCCATATTACCGAAACGGCCAGAGTCCTGGACCGCCAACCCCGATGGATAATCACGGAGGGAGATACAGATCGCCATCGCCTAGCCATCCTCTCCAGCAGGGCTACCAGATGGACGATCACTCATACGGTCACAATCAGGGCCATGGCCACCAGAATCTCGATATGCATTCCGGCCCCAGCCCCAACCATCCTCAGCGCTTCGGCACGCCAAGCGACCAGCTCAACATTCACGCCGCAGTAAGTTTTGGGAATAGTTCCTGGAGTTGATCCTGGAGCGCCTGCGTGCTGCGCTACGAAGCAAGAACAGCTACGCTAACCACCTTGACAGCAATCCGTCGAGAATCTCTCTTACAACCCACAGACAGACTATGCAGTGAACCCCGAAGCCCATCACGATGCCTACTATAATCAGCCCTATGAGCCTAACCCACATGACGGCGCCGGCTACAACGCCCCTGGATACGAGCAGCAAGGTTACGAACAGCGCCGCTACGATCTTGAGGACACCAACCAGCCTATGTTGGACCAGCACCAGCATGAGGAGAGTCCTTTCAAGGACCCTAAGCAGCAGGTGCAGCAACAATCACAGCCCATTCGACGATTCAAGACCGTCAAGCAAGTTTTATTGTACCGCGGTAACCTCGTTCTCGATTGCCCTGTGCCTCCCATTCTGCTTCAGCAAAACCCCCATGGAGAGCGTGATGAGTTCACCCACATGCGATACACTGCCGCCACTTGCGACCCGTCCGACTTCTACAACGAGAACTTTACTCTGCGCCAGAAGCTTTTCAGCAAGCCCCGTCACACCGAATTGTTCATCGTTGTCACCATGTACAACGAAGATGAAGTGCTTTTTGCGCGTACCATGATGGGTGTTTTCAAGAACATCGAGTACATGTGCAACCGACCCAACAGTAAGACATGGGGTAAGGATGCCTGGAAGAAGATTGTCGTCTGCGTTGTCAGCGACGGTCGTGCAAAGATCAATCCTCGCACCAAGGCTGTCCTCTCCGGTATGGGTGTGTACCAAGAGGGTATCGCCAAGCAGCAGGTCAACAACAAGGATGTCACTGCGCATATTTACGAATACACGACCCAGACACACGTTACCCTCAAGAATGACGTTGTAGGACTTGTACACCGCCGCCAGCCGGTTCAGATGCTCTTCTGCCTCAAGGAGAAGAACCAGAAGAAGATCAACTCTCACCGTTGGTTCTTCCAAGCCTTTGGCCGTGTCCTAGACCCCAACATTTGCGTCCTTATCGATGCCGGTACTCGCCCTGGTGGCAACTCCATCTACCATCTGTGGAAAGCCTTTGACCTGGAGCCCATGTGCGGTGGTGCTTGTGGTGAAATCAAGGCCATGTTGGGCACGGGAGGCAAGAACCTCCTCAACCCGCTTGTTGCGACGCAAAACTTCGAGTACAAGATGAGCAACATCCTCGACAAGCCTCTCGAGTCTGCCTTTGGCTTCATTTCCGTGCTTCCTGGTGCCTTCTCCGCCTACCGATACGTCGCCCTACAAAACGACAAGAATGGAAGAGGCCCGCTGGAAAAGTACTTCTTGGGTGAAACTCTGCACGGTGGTAGTGACGCCGGTCTGTTTGAATCCAACATGTACCTCGCTGAAGATCGTATTCTGTGCTTTGAGCTGGTCACAAAGCGCAACTGCCACTGGATCTTGCAGTACGTCAAGTCGGCAACGGGTGAGACTGATGTTCCCGACACCGTCACCGAACTTGTTCTGCAGCGTCGTCGATGGCTCAACGGTTCCTTCTTTGCCGCCATCTACGCCATTGCCCACTTCCACGATTTCTTCCGCTCCGACCACTCGTTCCTCCGAAAGTTTGCCTTCTTTATCGAATTCGTCTTCCAAACTGTCAACATGATCTTCGCCTGGTTTGCTATTGGTAACTTCTTCCTGGTCTTCAAGATTCTCACCACGTCTCTCGGTTCCGATAATCTGCTCGGTAACGTCGGTAATATTCTCGGTGTCGTCTTTACTTGGCTGTATGGTGTGTGTCTCGTTACCTGTTTTGTTCTCTCCATGGGTAATCGTCCTGCCGGTTCTGGAAGACTTTACACGGCAATGGTGTGGTTCTGGGCCATTATCATGGTCTACCTTATGTTTGCCGCCATCTTCATCGCCACCAAAGCTATTATTGCAGACTTGTCGGTGCACACAAAGTTCAACGTTAGCGACCTTTTCAGCAACAAGGTCTTTTACACGCTCATTGTCTCCGTCATGTCGACCTTTGGTATCTGGCTGATTGCGTCCCTGCTCATGTTTGACCCCTGGCACATGTTCACCTCGCTTGTTCAGTACATGCTCCTCACACCAACATACACCAACGTCCTCAACGTCTACGCCTTTTGCAACACCCACGATGTGTCCTGGGGTACCAAGGGTGATGATAAGGTGGAGAAGCTGCCCTCGGTCAACACCAAGGATGGTGCTGGTAAGACGGATTTGCCCGACGAGGGTGACTTGAACGCCCAGTATCAGCGTGAGCTCTCTGTCTTTGCCACAAAGTACAAGGCTGTCAAGCTCCCTCCTACGCCTTCCCAGCTTCAGGAGAAGCAGATGGACTACTACCGTGGTGTCCGTACCGGTGTCGTCTTGGCTTGGATGCTTACCAACTTTGCCCTGGCGGCAGTCGTGCTGAGCGCGGCTGGCCTAGAGCGAATCAGCACCAAACCAGCCGATGGATCTACGGACCAAGCTGCTACAAGTTCTGCTGGGCGCACCGACATCTACATGGCTGTTGTGCTGTGGAGTGTTGCTGGTCTTAGCGCCTTCAAGTTTATTGGAGCCATGTGGTTCTTGATTGTGAGAATGTTCCGTGGTGTATAGAGTTTCATGACCTGCTTTTTGTCTTGCTCTGTCTTATTTTATATTCCGTTTTTTTTCTGTAGACGGATGTGGTGGCTTTTTTGTCTTTATCCTTCTTTGCCTCGACGGTAACCCGTTTTCTTTTTTTTCTGTCACTTTGCCCTATCTGATTTTCTCTGTTGGTTCGCCTTGATCTTCTATTCTGTATACCCTGCTAGCTCTGTTAAAGGACAGAGCCAAGATTAGGATTGGCCTTGGTTTATTTTTGTATCTTATAGTTTATACTCTTCTTTTTGCTATCAAGATATTTAATGACACTACTGAAATCAACAATTTTCTACACGTGCACAAATCACAACAGCCGCTCTGAACAGAGGTCGGCTTCATCTTGAGTGTATCTTTCATATTTGTGAGCAGAGCGGATCATGAGTTTATAATTTAATTATATGTACATTAATGATGCTTCAAGTCTATATGGTCTTAGGCGGAGCTTTGTCTGTCTACTATTCGCCGACTGGGTCTTCATCCTCAACGCATCTCCATTCAGTTGGCGGCGGTGCGGCGAGGACGAGGACGACAGTTGCTGCCCTTGGGAGGCTTCTGGGCCTTCTGATCGTAAAACTCCTTTACCCACTTCTTCATGTTGTCAACAACGCCATCGATGGCTTTGCGGGCACCTTCATTGGCAAACTTGTTCTTGGTACGGTAGTCGTTGCAGTGTGCAGCGCCAGGGATGAGAAAGACAGGAGCCTGCTCTGTGCTCTGCAGAGGACCGCCAGGACGGCTCTCGGAAGAGACAGAAACGGGTCTCCAAGGGTCGAACTCCCCATTGACCCAAACCAGATGAGTCGTGTTGACGTGGTTCCAGCCGCCAGTGAGGGCGTTGATCTGCTCTACGTTGCGACCGTTCTTCAGACCGTACTTGTAGGGACCAACATCGGGGTACATTTCCTCACAGCGACGTCTAATCATGTCGCTTCGAGTGAGGTGCTTGGAAACAAGCCCGATAGGATGCTTAGGCTCCCAAACCTGCCAGGCCTCAAAGCTGCCCTGTGAGTTAGCAAAAGATCATATTGGCACGTAAACGTCAAAAACAAGCTAACTTACGGTTCATTGCACAGATACCAGTTCCAGCCGTCCGTGGCTGTATCATCGGGATCGGCGACATCGTTGCCCTTGGCGAATTCCTTTGCCCAGAACCTAGCCAGACCCTTGGTGGCAAGCTCCAAGCCGACACCCTCAGGTCCTGGCTTGGAAACACCACTACCCGGCCATTGGTTCTCTACCGACTCACAGAGAGGAGTGATGGAAGAATTCTTGTAGAACTGGTTGCCCTGCCAGGCTGTGACGGCAAAGCTGAGGGCGGACACAACCTCAGTGTCTGACCAGTTTGTGGGCAGGCTCAGAGACTTTTTCAAGCTGATCTTGTCAGACTCGGTTCCATTGGCAATGATTCCATCCGCATGGGCGATGACTCGCGACATATCGGCACTGCAATTGCGAGGAATTGCTTTCTCGATAATCTCATAGTACTCCCAGAGACTAGCCTTGATTTGGACAGGAGCACTGCTAGAGTGATATGCCCAGAAGGTGTCAGGCGAGAGTGCGTTAGTCCATGCGGAGAGAGCACCTGGATAGGAGCAGCCGGTAAGCAACCAAGGAGCAACGTCATACTTGGACTTGCCCTCAGGGTCAAAGTCGAGCTTGACGTTGCGGGCAAAGTAGACTATGTCCTCGATGGACTGGTTCAAGTTGAGATACTGTAGAGTCTCGGCGGTAAAGTTGCCGGGGATAGGGATGGCTTCGCCCCAGTATCTGTGCTGGAGGGTGATACTGGCGCCGCGGACGTTTTGCGCAATCAGTCCAGTCATGGTATTGTTGGATAGGTCAATATCATCCGGGCCAATAGTTGACTCGCCGGGAGCTTCAAAGACAATAGGGGCACCAGGGCCGTCATAGTACATAGTGCTGTACCAGTATTCCTGCTTAAAGGTGCCTAGGCTTGGGTTGCTATGATCAATGAGTTGATCAAAGTACGCAATGGTGCCTTCTCCAGGGCTGCCAGGGTCTCTGGGCTGGACATCGCGTCGCTGGCGGGGAGGCGATATCGCAGAGACGGCGGCGATGAGGCCGTACACTGAGAACAAGGCTGTGCTCTTCATTTTCAAAGAGTGACTATGTTATCTGCAATAATAGAGCATTGTGAGCGGAGAGAGAGGAGTGGGCACCCTCTGTTATAAAATATACTGGCAGTGGCAGGCGTGAGAAACGGCGTGCCCATGGGGAATCAGTGGGCTAAGACACTGGATTGGGTAAGTGGCATGTTTTACGCCGAAGTGGGCTGTGTAGGTCTGGGCAGACATTGGATACGACTCGCGCTGTGTGTGTATCATTGCCCAAAGGTGAAGGTTGTCGTGGGGTTGCAGAAAGTTGGCCGACAGGGCTGTGGCTCAATCAGGCAGGTCGCTCCTGCCTTGGGGCAGTTGGAGATGGGGATTTTTGGGGAGAGGCGGTCCGCTAATCTATGGTTTTACAGGCGGGTTTTTAGTGCAGTGCTGCCGAGTCCCGTCGCTGTGGTGCTATTGTTCTTTTGCCCACAGAGAGGGCTGTGTTCAATTTGCACTTAGCAGTGTGCTGTAGGAAGGTTTGTAGCGGGTGTCTAGGCCGAGGTGGCGCTTACTGGTGGCCCTACCCAGCAGCCACAGCGGCCTCGTTTCTCGGTACAGTACCCGCAGTCCAGGATATAGAGATTATTGTTATTGAGGTGTTTTTTTCTTTTTATTTTTCGAAGAGAAAGAGAAAAAAGATTAACAGACACAGCCATAACCATCATAGCTTAGCTTCCCAACCCATGCACTACCTAGTATTCCTAAGTGTTATCATTGCACCTGACTGCGCCCTGTTTGTTGCATCATCGTTCGCCTGCACTGGCCCACTGACTTGCACGCAAAACTGCTCTTTACAGGCTCCGAAGCAAGGCACGGGCGTGGAGTTGCAGCACAGGGCACAGCACCTTGGAACAGGCGCAGGGCGCTACTGTAGAGCACAGCACATGCTGTAACTGTCGCCCCGGAAGGACGATGCGCCGAGTCGGCCCAACCACCTCCGGTACTCAACCACCTTAATACGACAGCTCCCAGTTTCTGCTACGGTCTTTTGCTCTCTCGCACAACGATAGGCAAAGACCCTGGCGTTCTACGCGCCAGTTACAGCCTTCCTACTCTACAAAAGACGCCTACGAATCAATACCATAGTCTAGGCCAAATCTACAAATACTAGCATCAAACACCCCCCGACGAACCGCCAAGCCCATCACCAGCTTCACCGACCCCGCTACAAAATGGCAACCGCTGTTGTCGAACCCGTTGCTGCTAGCGAGCCAGTGGCCGATGCGCCAGCTCCGGCAGCTGCTGTCGTTGAGAAAGATGCTACTACAAGTGTTGCCGTGGACATGACCAAGCCCGAAGACTTCGAAGGAAACATCGACACAACCAATCAGATTCCCTCGGCCGAGACAATCGAAAAGATCAACAGCTTTGTAGTGCTCGACAGTGATGGAAAGTCTCATACGTTTGAGAGCCTCTATAATGGCCCCAACTCTCCGCGCAGAGTTCTCCTAATCTTCGTCCGCCACTTCTTCTGCGGAGTAAGCCCTCCCTCGCTACTCGCTATTTTTAACTCTTATGCACTGACACGTAGTTCTCTTTTTTCTAGAACTGTCAAAACTATCTCGAGATGCTTTCCGAATCCATCACCCCGGAGGCGCTCCTGGCGCTCCCTATCAGCACCTTCATTGCGGTAATCGGTTGCGGTGACCCTGCCTTGATCAGCATGTACCGCGATGCCACCAAGTGCCCGTATCCCATCTACACCGATCCGCAGCATGCCCTGTTTAATGCCCTCGGCATGATCAAGACTCTCAGCTTGGGCGAGCGACCGGCATACATGAAAAACAGCCTTCTGCAAACCACCATCTTAGGTGTGAAGCAGGCTTTGAAATCCATCCCCAAGGGCCTGACATTCAAGTCTGGAGACCAACGTCAGGTTGGTGGCGAGTTCCTCTTTGAACCTGTCGATATTACCACGCCAGTCAGTACTCCAATGGAGGATAAGACTGTGTCCCTGGGTAACACGTTGGACGGATCGGTAGCAACCGCCAACGAGGCTACGCACTTCCGGGAGACGAAGAGGGTTACCTGGGCGCACCGCATGAAGAACACCAGAGACCACGCCGAGATCCCGGAACTCATGGAAGTCCTTGGTCTTGATGGCCAGGGCAAGCCCATTGAAGATTCCAAGAGATGGGCGGCTGCTCTCGCAGCAAGGAAGGGGACTGGCCTCAGCATGGCCCCCCAAATTAAGAACGCAGTTGCGGCTGCTGCTAACGAGACAAAATGAAAGCATTTTATGAGTGATAAATATTAACCACTGCGATACCAATTGCTGCATAGCACGTATTTCAATTCGATAGTTTTAAGCGTATTCTTTCTTGTTCTATGATATCTCTAAGTCGCTGCCCAACTTTCGTCTGCTGTGCTCTTGACTACCTCGTTAATATTTAGTAGATGATCAACGATTTCTCTGCCATTGACGAGATCATTTTCCATGGCCCTTTTATCTCCCTCTTCTATGGTTTGAGCAATGCCAGCTCTAACATGTCTCTCGCGTAACCGTTGGCGAGCTACCTCAAAGTCGACTTCGAAGAACCAGCGTTCGTCAAGAAGGACAGCTGCTTCTCGCCAGGTTTCCTTGTCTAGGGCTACATAATTGCCCTCGATTATAACAATGCGGTGTGTCGGCAGGATGACAATATCGTTGTCCTTCGGGTCTTTCACGGCGTGATCAAAAGATGGAGCATAAATAGGTTCACCAAGGGGCAAACGAAGTGATTGCACTATTGATAGAAACTTGGATGCATCAAAAGTGAAATGGGCTCCTCGACGGGCGTGCGCATGGTCTGGATCTCGCATTGCGCTTAGCTGAGCTCTTGTAAGGTGAAAGCCATCCATGGGCAGGAAGGTTGCCGGAGCTGGAGAGTCTGGAGAAGCCTGCTTGGCAATGCCATTGAGCCTGTTGACGATAATCTTGCTAAAGGTTGTTTTGCCAGATCCCGGAATGCCCGACACGCCAATAACTGTATACATGGTATTAGACGAAACACGTCTATGCGATGCGGAGAGTGTAGCTTACGCAGGCGTTGATCAGGCGGCGTAGCCTGGAACTTGGCCCAGGTCTTGTCGACCAGTCTTTGAACCTGTTCTTCCATCCTTAATTTACAGAGTTTTGCTGTAAAAGAGAGCCTTTTTCTGCTGCGAGGTTTGGTTGAGTTATGTTGAGAACCGGACCAAACCCCGCGACGTCGGCCCCACGCCCCGCTTGGCAGCTTGGGCGTCGGTGGTGCTTTTTAGGCAACAGCATTGTGGTATCTAGATAATTATTGTACTTGATATTGATAAGACGTTAAGCCTCAATGGAATTCAAAATTCGCCCATAATAGCATTAAACGCAGGACCAATGTATCCAGAGAGCTCTATTTGTTCTCACGTGCCACTGTAATTTGTATGCACAACGGCTTAGCCAATCTGGGGCGGCCACTGGCGGACGGCGGGGTATGGGCTACTTTAAAAATTTCATGGCCTGCGCCGCAGCGGCTCCAACCTCTGACATCACACCATTATTGAATCCAACATGGCTGCCCAGGTCCCCGATAAGGCTCTGGAGGAGCTCAAGGGTATGTTGTATCAAGTAATTTCCCTTGTCTACAACCTGCTAATTCATCCCACAGTATCCGAAGGCACTGCTACCAACGGCGCCGCCTCCAAGACAGCCGCTCCCGAGGATGGCGATGCGGGCGACGATTCCGACGATGACGTCGACGACAATGCTGCTGCCAACGGTGGCGACGAAGCCGGTACCGGTGCTGCAAAGAAGAAGAAGAAGAGAAAGCCCAAGAAGAAGAAGAAGAACCCCACCAGCCAGACCGAGCCTCCTACCGTCCAGATGAAGAAGCTTTTCCCCAAGAGCGACTTTCCCAAGGGCGAGGAGGTCGAATACAAGGACGAGAACCGCTTCCGAACTACGAATGAAGAGAAGCGCCACCTCGACAACCTCAACAGCGACTTCCTCACCGACTACCGCGAGGCCGCCGAGATCCACCGTCAGGTTCGACAGTATGCCCAGAAGACGATCCGTCCCGGCCAGAACCTTACCGACGTCGCCGAGCTTATTGAGAACAGCGTGCGCGCCTTGACAGGCCACGACGGCCTTACTGAGGGCGATGCCATCGTTGCCGGCATGGGTTTCCCTACCGGCCTGAGTCTCAACCACTGCGCTGCTCACTTCACCCCCAACATGGGCAACAAGGTTGTCCTGGGCCAGGAAGATGTCATGAAGGTGGATATCGGTGTTCACGTCAACGGCCGCATCGTCGACTCGGCCTTTACCATGGCGTTTGAGCCCAAGTACGACAACCTGCTGGCTGCCGTCAAGGCCGCCACCAACGCTGGTATTGCTGAGGCCGGTATCGATGCCCGCCTTGGCGAGATTGGTGCCGTCATCCAGGAGACTATGGAAAGCTACGAGGTGGAAATTAACGGCGAGACATTCCCCGTCAAGTCGATCCGCAACCTGTGCGGCCACAACATCTTACCCTACAGCATCCACGGCACCAAGTCGGTGCCCATCATCAAGAGCGACGACCAGACCAAGATGGAGGAAGGTGATGTATTTGCCATTGAAACCTTTGGCAGCACTGGTATTGGCCGAGTTGTTGATGAGGGAGAATGCTCCCACTATGCTAAGAACTCTGATGCGCCAAAGGTCGATCTGCGACTGAGCTCGGCCAAGTCCCTGCTCAACGTAATCACCAAGAACTTCAACACACTGCCTTTCTGCAGACGCTACCTAGACCGTATCGGCCAGGAGAAGTATCTTTTGGGAGTAAGTTATGCCTCTTGGGGGGTGGGGGGCAGTCTCCCCCACCTTGATGAACGGGAACCCTGCTGACCTAGACGCAACAGCTCAACAGTCTTGTCAACGCTGGCATTGTCGAGGCTTACCCGCCGTTGGTGGATAAGAAGGGCTCTTACACTGCCCAGTACGAGCACGTAAGTTTATGAATGAAATGCAGACGAGATGCGGCAGCTGGGATGCTAATTTGAATACGCAGACAATTCTGATCCGACCTACCGTGAAGGAAGTCATTAGCCGTGGTGAAGACTACTGAGGAACGAGTAACTGGATGGAACTTGATGATAATAAATATGAACCAACTAAAAAAAGCAAATAAAACTCAATCAATCTCGTTTTTTAATCCTTTTCGATAACTTTGCCGTATGTCCCATATTCCGGTTGGTCGGTCTGCTAATTGGCCAACGTCGGCACGTGTGTAGGGCCCAAATTATAGGCCTATTATTCTACATAAATAGCCTAAAAGTGCATACGGACATACACACCTGGATGTATCATTTACACCTCGAATCTCATCTACATAAACCAAGTTTCAAGCTCCGAGGCTATCGAACGGCGTCTGGCCGGAACTCCCGACCGAGCTACGGCAATCTACGGAAGCGCAGAAAGCACCTGGGGAATGCGCCACTCACAAAACGGCTCATGAAGTGCAGGGCTCGCAGTGGAGTCAATGGGTATTATTTCACAGTGACTAAATGCACCACTGCAACTACAAGATGTTCATAGCTTTTAACTGTATTTTATCAATTTGTATCATTTTTTCGGCTTTCTTTGTGGCAATTCCAAGCCTGTCGTCCGTACAGGCGACTTGGCTTTCTGTGTGCAGAATTGCCAGACGTCCGAACCAATCAGCTGGCGCCGCCTGCTCCGACTCCGGGGGATTCTTGAAGCCAGGTCACGCGCTAAACCCGATTTGGCGTGTTTTTTCCTAGCACACCTTGTGATGTGTTATTTTTTTCTTTAGTGGTCGTTTTGGCCACTAACCCCGGCCAAACACCGCTGTAATCCCCCTACGTCCACTGTAAAGTCCGGCTTACAGTGGTGGACACGGGTCGAACCGGCAGCCAGCCCTTTATTTTTTCTCGCGTCAGTGCCACTTTACACGAGGCTACCACTAAAAAAAAAAAAACCCTGTCGGCTTTATTTCGCCCTTCACATGGTGCGTGCCTGAGGGAAAGCTCCGCCTCCTGAAAAACCCGCACTCGCCTCTTTTTTTCCTTCTCCTCTCTTCGGCTTCTTTCTCATCCATAGCATCACGGCTCTTTACTAACCACCAGCTCCTTTGCTGCGTTTTGTTGTTTCTTTTCTTTTCTTGTTTTTTATCGACGGAAAAGGAAAAGTAATAATTAGAAAGCGAATCGCCCGACACAGTTTCTGTTTTTGCCATTGACAGATTCGAACGAACGCGCTGCGAAGCATCGTTTTTTTTTCGGGGCTTCTTTTGCATATAAACAACACACACACATATATATATATCTTCACAATGAAGGTCTTCGACAACACAGTCACCTACGATTACTCGTGGGACGAGGTTTCCACGGCCAACTGGCGCAAGTATGGCCCGTGGAACAACAAGTCCGAGCACGTCATTGCCGTCGACACCCTCTCCCGCTCTGTCGACCCTGATACCGGCATCCTTCGCACCGAGCGTCTTATTACCTGCAGACAGTCTGCCCCCCAATGGCTGCAGTCCATCATGGGCTCCATGGAGGAGAGCTTCGTCTACGAGGCTAGCTACGTTGACCCTGCCAACCGCACCGTCACCATGGTCAGCCAGAACTTGACCTGGAGCAACCTCGTCAACGTTCAGGAGGAGGTCATCTACAAGCCCTTCGGTGACAACGGCCAGCAGACGCAGTTTGTTCAGAGCGCTCGCATTACCGCCCTCTGCGGCGGCTGGCAGCGCATCAAGAACAAGATTGAGGATACTCTGGTTACTCGCTTCAAGGAGAACGCTCTCAAGGGCAAGGAGGGCTTCGAGCGTGTTCTTGAGATGAGCCGCATCGTCTTTGCCGAAGAACGCGCCCGCCAGAACGCCCTCGCTTAAGCGACACGACACACACTTGATATATCTCGCTCCTGAGCAGCTTGATATGTCAGCATCGAATCATACGACTCCGCGACAGCTTCCGAGCAGTCGCCATATTTCTCATGCCTCTCTGGCATGCATTTTGTGTTTCTTTTTCTCAGCGTACATTTTTTTTCTGTTTGGCGCAACGGTTTTTTGGGGCAAAAAAGTACTGAGTCCTTTTCATCACGGCATACATCGGCGTTAAAAACGGGCTTCGGCACAGTTGATTTATTATTTTGTTTTTACATTTCTTGGAATAGACTTGGGAAAAGAGAAGGCGTCACATCTCTATACATGAGATCTGACGCATGCAGGCAATTGGGCATATTTTAATGATTTGGGCTTTCATTTGTTCCTAGATGGATTTGAAACAGGGCCTTGATACCACAGAAAATCACCAGCGACTTGTTATTTTTGATACTCATAGAACGCGCTGGAAGGATTAAAAACCTATCTTTCTTCCTTAATTCTACTCACTCTACACTTCCAAACACTTTTCTGTTTGTCGCTCACGTTCTGTGCTGATAAGCATTACTCAGTTTCGTGTCAGATTGCTAGGTTGATTATCCACCGACTCCTGCAACCCACCACATATCTTTGATAAGGACGGCGCCTGTACCTCTATGGGTTGGTTGGCCTGTGCTCTATACGTTAGCTTGGCATACATGGCAACGGCACTGCATAGACTTCTGCACGATAGTTTATTTGGACCACATTTTAGGAGTAGAGTTAAAACGCTGAGGGTATACATCGTGGATATCATTCGGTAACTAAAATACGTAAAGGGCGGCCGATGTACGTGCCCATCCTTCGTAGAGAGAAAATAACTAAAAGCTGGCAAAAATAACAGGATACCTGGACCATGCGAAAAAGAGTGTTGGGCCAAGCGCACGCTTAGAACAACCAAGAAATGTAGCGGTGATAGAACTTGCGCGCACCAGTGCTCTGGATGCGGTCGAGCTTGAGCTGCTCGAGGTATTCGTTCTCTTCCGCATCGATGATGCTCTTGCCGGTGTAGAAGTCGGCCTCGTGAGGCTTGACGCCGCGGCTCTTGGTGAAGAACATGTGGCCAAAGATCCAAATCAAGTACACGGGAATACCAATGTAACCAGTGATGAAGTCTGTGTATGCAAACTTTCTTTCAGGTGTGTGAATAAACACATCAAAGTTCTTAGTTAAGGCAATCAGGCAGCAGAAGAACAAAGCAATGGCAGTGCCAATGATGCCCTGAGGAGCAGTGTAAGGCATAGCACTGTCGGGGATATTCTGGGCGCGGCGGGCACGGAGGAAGAAGATGTAGGTAACGAGGATGGAAATCCAGGTCAGCAGGCCGAAAATGGTGGTCAAGTTGACAAAGTAGCCAAAGACGACCTTGGAGTTGCTCGAAACGTTCATGAAAGAGAGGCAGGCAAAGAGAGAAGCCACGGCAAGGGCGTAAATGGGGACGCCGCGGCTGTCGGTGCGTCGGAAGATGCGGGGCGCAGACTCGTCAGAAGCGAGACCGTAGAGGGTACGGCTGGCAATGTAGAGATCGGAGTTGGAGGCTGAGAAGACAAAGATGAGAATGCACACGTTGATGATACTGGGCAGGGTGTTGATGCCAGCAACGGTTGCAGCGGCGACAAAGGGACTGGCGGCGGCGGAAGCACCCTTGCTACCGGCCTTGACAGCGTCAAGCAGAGCCTTGGAGTTGTAAGGAACAATCATGCCAACAAACAACACACTGAGGATGTAGAAGACCAGAATACGGTAGAAGGTGAGTCGGATAGCCTTGGGGATACTCTTGCGGGGGTTCTGAGCTTCACCAGCAGTGACACCAACCAACTCGGTACCGAGGAAAGCAAAGGTAGCGTTGACCATGACTGACCAGAAGCCGAGGAACTTGCCGAGAGAGCCACTGCTGTAAGATGGTGACGCAAAGGCGCCGGGGTTGCTCCAGTATCTGAATCCGCGGGCATCATGGTCGGGGCCACCACCACAGGCAATAACGAGAGCGAAGAGGATGATGCCAACCATGATGATGACCTTGAACGAAGAGAGCCAGAACTCGAATTCGCCAAAGAAGCCAATGCCTCCAAAGTAGTTGATTGAGATGATAAGAACAAGGAAGATGGCGATCCAGACACCGGGGTTGATCTTTTGTTGGGGATCCCAGAACTGGATCACTAGTGCAGCGGCAGTAAGCTGGTTAGGGACGAGGACGAGGTACTTGCAGAGGTAGCTGTTGTACAAGTTAGCTAAAGACATTTTCTTGGTGTTCTCTAAACGAAGAGACTAAAAGAAACGACTTACGACCAGCCGAGGGCAAATCCAAGCGAGGGGTGGCAGTAGCGGGTGGCGTAGCCGGTGAAACCAGAGCTGAGAGGGATCCAAGCAGCCATTTCACCGAGCGCGGCCATGACCATAAAGACGAGGCAGCCGATGAAGGAGTAGGAGATGAAGAGTGAGCCAGGGCCAGCACTAGCAAGAGCCTTGCCAGTGCCCACAATCAGACCGGTACCAAGAGCACCACCGATGGCAATCATGGTAATGTGACGAGCCTTGAGACCACGGTGCAGCCTGGTCTCGTCTGAAGTCTCTAGGCCACGGATATGGCCACCTGGGTAGTCGTCGGCCGTCTCAATGCGAACGGCCTTTTCATTGTGCCCGGGCTCGGCATCGAATATAGTTTTGTCATTCATCTTGGGCGGCAGATTGAGGGTTGCCCAAGGAAAAAGAGGTGGTGGTGTGGTAGTTGTTTGCGGCCAACAGGCAGGAAAGCTGGCTTGTAAGTGCAAGTGCAGGACAAGCTTGCGTAGTCTCGGGAACAAAAGGAGGAGTTTTTGCTGCGAGATCTAAGCAGTTCCAAGAGAAGAATAGGGACACGCGACTATCTTAAGGAATTGGGGGAGGCAAAGGACATTGGGGGTGCTGACTCGTTTATGTAGGCTCGGGCTGGGAGCAGGATACAGCCTCACTGTACAACATGGTGTGAACGGATGGGGAAAGCGTGGCGGCAAGGGCCCAGACCACCAACAACTCAGCGGAGTCATGGGCATTGTGCGCTTCTACAGTACGCAGGGCCTGCCAACGCCTTTCTCCACTTGCGCGAACCCTCTTTTGGGGGGAAGCGAAGCTGGAGAAGGACGACGCTATGCCTCTTTTCGGTGCTGGCTTCTTCCCCAAGTCTCGTCGCCCCGCACGCTGGCCGGCGAATCCGCGAGGGTACCGCGCCATGGGGTCATTCGGACGGACCTCCTAGGTGGATATCTATTGCAGCCGTAATCTTGGAGAAGGGAAGGTTCCGAGAGCCTGCCTGGAGTTTGCGTCGTGCTGGGGGCGGTGCTCCAACAGGAAGACTCGCCGAGAACGATATTTCAAGGTGTGGCTAATCTGTTGTTGGGGAAAAGGCCGCAATAACGGCTTTTAGGCGCGAAATGTCTACTATTTCCTTGGCGCATTCGAAGCAGTATTCTGATGCGAGATGAATGCAAAATTTTTTGCTTGTGTGGTTTGGCAAGCCCCCAACGACGGAAGGACGACCCCCAGGCAGACCCCGCCGCCGGCTTATGTGACGCGCCGAGAGATAGCAAGCGGGCGAAAAAAAGAGCCCCTCTCTTTTAGATAGATAGATATCCATTGCCTGTCAACAACAAAACTGCGACGTACCTGTTCAATTTGACAGCCGTCTATCCGGAGCGTTGCGGCGAGTGTGACGCGCTGGGTTAGGGCCACATGGGCAGAAGCGCTAGTGCGTTGGATGCAGAACAAGGTTGAAAAGTAGCTTGTTTTTCGGGTGGTTTTCCTCCTTCTTGTGCAGATCTGTGGCGTATTTTTGGCTGGCTGGGTACTGTTTTTTCAGGTAAGCAGTCTCGGGTTTAGTGTCGTCTGGCTGGCTGGAAGGAAAAGGGTTTTTTTTGGCGCCACCACCATCTCGGACAGCCGTGAACGAGATGGCAGGACATACAAGAGCGAGCCAGCGAATACGTACAGTAGCGGTGTTTGCGACGAGAAAGCTGGGCAATGGCTTACACTGCGGTCCACTGGAAATATACGAGGTCGATTCCAAAGAGGGAGAGCCGTTGGGCTTAGTTTCTTGTGTCAACCCGTAGTGAAGCGGAGAACCTGTCAGTTGAGTGAAGCAAGCAGACAAGGTCACTAGGGCCAACGCTACTGATGCTGCCTGGGAGCCACCTGGCCCAGCCAGCGCTAGCCCCAGTTCTGTCAACGCCACAGCGGGCAAGAGATAGGCCGTGGGGGGAAGGGGGATGACAAGTGGACCGTTCGATTTTTTTTCTATTTAATTTTCTCATCACTTTGGTATAACCTTTTGTTATTTGTAGCGACGGGAAATGTAACAGAATGTGTAACTTCAATACTATCTGATGTGCATGCACGCCAATTTGCAGCAGAGTCGGTGATTGTCCGACCAAAAAACACGAAACAAGACTGCAAAAAAGCAAACGACAGGCCGCACCGCAACCAGAAGACGCCACCCAGCGCAACAGGGTTGCTGAACCAGGCTCTCTCACAGCGCTGCCACCAAACCAGCGCTGAGGCTGACCCTCCACAGATTTGCCCAGCAGGCACGCCAAGAGCGCCCCATTCTAGAACCTGACAGGGCTCTGGGCGACGCGGGGAAAGCGCCTGGGGCGCAGCCAGTGGACGAGATTAGCAACCCGCCCCTTCTCACGGGCTCGATCTGCACCATTCAGGCTATTCCTAGCAGCCTTCGCTTCCATCTTTTCCCGAGATTTGCGGCATTTTTGTAAGTTAAAATTTTGCTGTGCTGTAATTATCAGGGGGCCACTGCTTCTTTCTGGTCTTCGCTCCTTGTTCTTTTCGTCTTCGCCGCAGCCACGATGCGATGACCTGCATAGCGCCGCCCAGTTACTGTATACAGTAAGGATCCAGACGGCACGCTTCGCTTGACAGTTACTGTATACAGTAACGCCCCGAGAGACTCACTTAAGCCCGTTACTGTATACAGTAAGTGCAACGATTCGGGCGCGATCTGGTAAAAACGTTTAAATTCAACGACATGCCATCGCCCATGTTGTAATAGTAGCCTTGGTAAGCGGCAAGCAATGCCCGTCGTTTTCGTCCGGTAATTCAGGCCAAGCACATCGTTGCCCCAAACAGTAAAGGCACGAAAATGACATGGAGACGAATCTGGCCACCACCAATCCACCGCCAATTTCCCACAAAATTTTTCCTCTTCGTCGGCTTTTGCCTTTGTCGGCGTCTGGTGGGCTCTGTTGGTCGGTGGCTTGCAGTGCGTCCGAGCTTGGGCCGCTCCACCACACACTGTTAGTGGGCTCCGCCCGCACTGACAGCACACCCGACGGGCATTCAATAATTTGCTGCAGATATTGTCACATGGAGCACAGAAAAAAAAAACCGATGTCCCACGATTTCTTTCTATGGAGTAGCATCTAGTGTCTAAGTAGCCAAGAATGTACCCCAAAGCCAAAGGAAATAATGCGGAATGAAAAAGGGGATCAGGCACAATAGAGATCGTACGAGGACGGGGCCTGTCGCAACGATCGTGTAGCGATAGCCCGTGGTCAGGTACACGCTCGTCTCCTTCTTTCGCACGCAATGCGGTGACCAAGTATTTTTTTTGTATGTGATAAGATCTATTGCATCTATTGTAAGTGAAATGGGTTCGCTTGGACGAAACGTATTAAACCAAGGCTTCTAGTGCCTCCAAGTCCGATTTGCTCAGTTTGGCTACTTTACCTTGCCAGGCGCGTCCTTTGCCAAATCCCTTGAGTTCAGCAATCTTCTTCTGAGCTTCGGCAATATACCCCTGAACCTTCTCCTCATTTCCAAAGCAAGACAGCGAACAAGGCTCGTTGATCCCTCCCACTAGGGCTACAAGTAGACCAGGGAAGTTGCTGGCGGTTTTCATTTCTGCCTTGATGCCGTTCAACAAATCGGGTCCGGCGTCGGGTTGATAGAGCCAGACGCCATTGCCCTCGTTCAAACGGGACAGGGCTTGAAGAACCTCAAGCTTGGCAATATGTAAAACGAGCTTCTTCTCCCTCTTTTTGGCCTCGCTTGCTGACTGGCGCAACTTGTCCGTGGCAGCAAGGATGTCGTCCCCAACAGCCGCACAGGACAATTGCTTCCCCAGAGATGCAAGGGCTTGCATTGCGGCATTTGCATGGACCATTGCCCTGTTGCCTGCTGCAAAGTATAGTCTATGTCTACTAGCGTTTACAGCCTGACACGACTGGATGAGAATGGTCGAAATATGTGCCGTCTGTGATAAGTGCGTTCCGCAGCAACTGTGTTGATGTTAGCGTCCTTCCTTTCCAGGACTTATGCAAGTAACTCACGGATTAGTATCCATTTCGCCAATGCTGACGACTCTGATTATGCCCTTGGTGTTGTCCGCATCTTCGTTAAGAGGGACCTCTGGGTAGTTTGTGATGACTGTAATGTTTTGCTGGCAGATTTCATTGCAAGCATCCTGGATGCCCTTAATTTCTTCGGCAGACACTTTTCTAGGAACATCGATATAGTTGAGAGCTCCATCAGGCCCCATACCCCAGCCGACTGTATCGATTTTGTACAAGTTGCGGGCAACAGCAGAGAGGAGATGTTGGCCAGTGTGCTGCTGCATGTGATCCCAGCGCCGCTCCGAGTCAACCTTTTGTTGCACAGTATCACCTACTTCAAGTGGTTGTGGAGAGTAGATTATGCATCGTAGCCCATGCCTCTCGATTCGTTTTACAGGAATATCGGGTGATGTGCCGTTGGCTGAGTTGACCACCAAGGTTCCGTAATCTGATGGTTGACCGCCTCCTAGAATCGTTAATATAGTGCCCCATGTATCTTAAAACCCTTGAAGAGACACAAAAGATCAATCTTACCTTCTGGGAAAAGCACAGAATCGTTGAACTCAACTTGCCAGAGCCGTTCACTGTCACCTGAAGCTTGATCCGAAACTTCATCGCATGCCACTACGCGGGCGCTCAATTCCCTTAGGTACGAATCTCGCTGGCAGGCAAGTCCTCCGACAATACAGCCTCCCCTTTCCGTCATAGCAGTCATTGTTTTACAGGTCCTTCACAAAGCCAATGGATTTGTAATTGATATGAGAGTAATGTTGAGATGACCTGACGCAAAGCTCCGTCATCGCCCCACGGCTAGTTTTCGGCTATTTGGCACTATGGAACCAATGCACACAAGACTATGCATAAGTGGCCAGATTGAGTTGTATATACAATTGTCAGAATAATATACACTTTATAGTATCTATAACAGCCATGGGCCATATTTAGAGCCTCCTCGGTCTTTGTGTAGAACGTCGCTCTGCTGTTCATGGAGCCCATGGCTCCGTACTGCTGCTGCCAACCATCGCCCTGTTGTGCATTTTTGTCATGGCCGTATTGGTATAGACGTAAGTGAGTCTGAATGGCTTTCGGGTGTGGTAGGCGCCGGCCACGATATACGCAGGTGCTTTGCGTGTGTGTTGAGCGGCCGTAGTGCTGTTGCCACGCCGCTAACCTGTCAGGTGGTATATATCTGGAATGGCCGAGTTGAAGGATTATCCTGGGCTTTAATTAATCATGTCTTTCATGAGGACTCCATTGGCTCATGCCACTGCCGGCTGCGGGTTGTTCCCGACCGTCTTGTAGAGGTCTCTCAGCTCGAATTCGTCATGACCACCCTCTGGGATTTCTCCCACAACTCTGCCAGGTTGTCCAGCGACGATAGAAAAGCTTGGTATAACCGAGAAAGGGGGTATTACAGTGCCGTCGAGCACCTTCACGTAGTCCTTGAGAATAGCGAACTCGCCAATGGAACAATTGTCTCCTATGTGGACGTGGTTTCCAATGCTAGCGGCCTGTATTACACTGCTTTGTCCAATGAAGACATGGTCTCCCAGCCGCAATGGCATATATGTAAACGATCCTTTGTATTGTCGGCCGGGGGGTCGAAGGAGGACACCGCGCGAAAGGAAGCAGTATCGCCCAATCGCGACAGCTGTATTTGCAGCTGGGGCTGCTGATGAGCTGGAGGACGAGGGGGCCGTTCGAACTAGATCGCCGCGGATCATGACATCGGGTTGAATAACTGTTTTGCCGCCAAGCACAATGTTCTGCGTGCCGACTAAAATGGCCTTGCGAGCGACCTTGTTGCCGGTATCCTGCACCACCACGTCAGTACTGCTGCACCAAATCGCGTGCCATTCCTTTCTTCCAATAGATTCATGTTCTTACGGTCTCAATATAGTCTCCCTTTGCTGGACGACGCGACATCTTGGGCGTAGTCTGTTTGGGAGTTGGTTGAAGGAGTTGCGTCGTTCGACGCGGTGGGGCGAGCAACATGACCGCCTTTCTAAGCTTGAGCCGTGATGTCAAGCTTTAGCACCTGTCTCTTTGTGTTTCAACACGCACATGAAAGGCGAATAATTTCTAGAAAATAAAATAAAATTATAAATCTTGTATTATAGACTTGAAATTCATAAATTCGTCCCAATATGTACAGTATAACCCATCCTCGTACGTATTAATCCTCATCACGGCAAACCCAGCGTTGGAGCAAGCTTATAATCAGCCATGATCTCTTCCCAAAACCGACCATCGACAAACATTCCCATCTGGTCGGTATCTTCCGTCACAGAAATCTCCCCTGAATTGTTGCGAGCATGCGGAACACCATTCTCCTGCCACCACTCGCGCACCCACTTGAACTTGGAGATGACATTCTCCAAAATCGCATCGTTTTTGTCGCCCAACCAAACTCTCTGAGCAACAGAATTTGCTTGCTCTAGTTTAAGAATGACTTTATCCAATAAATCGGGTAGTCTGACATCTTTATGGACAAACTGGGAGCCCCAACCTTCAAAATCCAACAGGCACAGGCGCGATGCGACTAGCAGGGCATGTGATAATTGGCCCCAAAGTGAGTAGGGAAGTACAAGAAAGGCTTCGTCTGGGAAAAGGAAAAACGTATCAAAAAATGAAGCCACGTGGTGGGAGCATGTAATCAAGGCGTCGAGTCTGTCACGAGATGAAGTTCCTTGCCAAGGCGAATCGTAGAGACTGACTTCGTAGAGAAATATACGTGCAGTATGTAGGTGCATCAGCAGAAAATCTAGAGGAGAAATGAAGTTAGCTTAATATATCCACGGAGAACAAGGATCTATAACAAGACATACCGTGCTTCTCCAACGATGGCGGCAGCGCTCTTTGGAAGTTGGTCAAACTAGAATCGAGTGTCCTTAAATGCATCATGAAAGCCTCGCCGCGACATCGCGGGTGATCTGGCTCATCATATGGAACAATTTGGGCTACCTCATTGACAATCTTTTGAGAGCGAACCAAGTAGGCCAGTAAGGTATCTGTCGGATACTCGTTGGCCTCAACCAACCAGTCGAGAGCATCTTGCATATGCGAGGTGAATTTCAAGGCGTCAACGCGGAGATAGACCGTTGATCCACTAAAGAAATTAGCCAATGGTCAAAGGTGAGTTAATATCCAGTATAACTTACGTTGAAGAAAAGTAGTAACATGCTAGCAACGCCCGTCTCTCTTCATTAGTCAACGTTTTGGTTTCTGCAGAAAACCCATACCCAGATCTAGAGCTGTCGAAAATAAGTTTTCGTCGATCATTGGCATGATATGGTTTGTTAAGCTCTAGATCTGCCAACAGGGCAATGGCTAATTGGGTAAGATTGGTCATTTGCGTGTTACGCTTCAAGTGACATTGGTACCTACAGTCTGTTAGCGATACGCCATGCAGGGAAAGGAAAAGGAAATAACCGACCAAGATATATGAACTAGAAGGCTTTGTAGCATGTCCAGAGTCTTTTCGCCTCTGAGGAGAATAGCAGTACTGAGTGAGTTGGTAAAGTCTGTCGCGCGAAGCTTCTGCATCTCCCTCGATCTGTACGATGCAGCCATCACCATAGCCTTAAACAGATAGGGCCTATTACGACGAAATTCAGCGACAGGTTCTTTTGAGGGAACGACGAATGGGAAGACACATCCAAGAACATCGCTATAGACACTCAAGAGATATTCAGCTTCGTCATCTGAGGGCCAGAGGGGATCATCAGATCCAGGCGTAGCATGCTCTTCTGGTGATGGAAGTTGGGTAGGCCGGCTAGCCAACTCCTTCATGTAAAGATTTCTAGATGCTGAGGCGAACTTCTCAGCAGTTTGAGCAAACTTTGGTGGTTGTGACTTGAGGATGTTTGCAAAGCCTGTTTCCAAGATCTCATGGCTAGGTTGGACTTGATGAGCCAGTGACTCAATCAAGGCATCAACTTTCTTTTCAAGTTGTCCAAATCTCCTACTGTAGCATTAGCATCAAGATAAAACCAGGAGACTGTTGAAACCTACGTGCGTGGGACTGGCGTAGTTCGAGGCTCAGTCTGCTGCGGACAACATACTTTCTTTAACCTCCGACATCTGTGCGATATTAGCATAGTGACCACAGTAAGCCGATGAGCAGCATTTACCGATCGCAAGTGCTCCAGCCCTGTGGGCTGTTTCGCTCTGGTCGGACCAGAGACGATGTACGCGTGCATCGCACCTTGGCTTTGGCACAAGGGCCGCACGCTGTGGCGCCGCGCGACTGGGTATCACTCATGTTGGTGTTGCATACGAGTATATAATAAGAGTTTATAGACGATGCTGCGTTATAGAATTAAAGATGGACAGCGACAAAATTTGCGGCCATTGGCAAGATTGCGCTCGCCAACATTCACAGTTGAAGGGAGCGGAGCATCGGACACGGAGCGGACTACGCAAGTGGAGTCTACTACTCTCAGCTCGTGCGGCTGAACACCAGCATCAGAAAGATTTTACACTGCTTGCCACCTAGATAATTGCTCTAAGGACAAGACTCGGAAATAAAATCAGGCGGTATAAAGCGCAAGCTATCTCATTTCTGTCATTAGTATTATGTGCCAATCACCTAAAAGCTAATCGATCGAGGCCGCTTGTGACGTGATGTCCCCATTAAACAAAGACCAGCCTCTCGCTGTGCTAGTAAAGACAGTGATACCCAGTGTTGCAACACGCCGTTGCTCCCTACAATAGTAGCATTGCCTTGGGCTTTCCCTGTACAGTAGCGATACACCCTACTCTTTTAGTGTATTTTTAGAACAAAATTATAATCTTAAAGCTGTTCTTAAAATACTATGCGGGGTCTAGATCATCTATTTTGGCATCGTCTCTGGGCACTTTGTCCAAGCCCTTGATAGAGGGAGATGGCTTGGGGCTCGGACCGGAAGGGCTTAGAGTGGCAACGCTCGAGCGCCGTTGGTGTTCGTGCTAAATTGTACTAGTGATGGAGTAGTCGGATAGCGGCAAGACTAATACCCGTTGTCCTGGGCTGCATTAGGGCTTCAACTAGGTCCGTGTACAGAGTCGGTGCACGGTCTGCGCAGCCAACGGCATCTGTGCGCCTGACGACAAGGGACTATTATCAGATACAACCTTCTCAAGGCGCCATACGTACCAGATTGAGTGGAAATAGATGGCTGCGAGCCATCTGTGCATGCCCATATGAATGCACGCTGCTGGCGTTATCTCGAAACATCATCGGTTTCAGGCCTAGGTCAGGCTAGGTCGGTTATCGGGATCCGCAAGAATCAATGCGTTTCAATTTTATGCAAAAACGAAAGACCTAGTGAGGTAGAAACGAAAGAGCAATTCATTACTCATATTTTGTTGTACGTCGACAACGCCTGCTAAAGGCCAAAGAGCGCAGATACCGTGACACTCTACAGAACGATGTTGCCGGCGCATCCAGCCAATCGCACCCGGCCTCTCAGCAGACAAAGTATGCGCATGCTGATATTGTATAAGCGTGTAGAAGAAAAATGCTGGGCTCCAATAAGGCAACCCGCACTAGTGTAGCTTCAATGGTACTATAGCCATCAACGAGTTTTTTTTTTGGAAACGCTTGTAAAGCACTCTGTTTCTCACAATGCCCCCTCGGAGCTACACCTAGAGTGACATTGCACCGCGGGCTATGCTATCCTGCTCTGATGGAGATATGCGGGCACAGTACCAAAATAGACCACCTTCTTGGACAATGGAAGCAAACAATCACCTCTGCCGTCCTTCTCAAACAATAGTTTGACACGACTGACCCTCGTTGGCGCCCGTCTGGGTCTCCACGCGCATGTGGCACCGGCCCACGCGGCAGCGGTGGTGGTGTCATGTTCCCCCGCCTCAGGGCGCTAACTGGGCTATTTTTGTAAAATTTCACTGGATGAGAGCTACCGGTTCGTGGCTACACATTGGCATGGCGTAAACTCTAAAGTATGACCCGAGTCTTGTTCCTCTCTTCCTCGGCGGGTAGCTGCTCGGGATGGTGTTCGCTTAACAGTTGATTACACCGTTTTCTGGATATTTGACAAATCTGTCATGACAAAGAAATAAGCTGACAGCAGTGGGATGATGGCGTAAACCAGGGCGCAGCAGCGGTCCACTGAACAAACATGCGGTCGTGCTTTGGCGACTTTATGCAGGACATGCACAGTTGTAATGAGGGCACGGGCATATGCTTGAATCTGTAATCGGGGTTGGCCCCTGCTTTTCGCTATACCAAGGGTAGGTACGAGTATAGTTTCCGGAGAGTATGACTGGTACTCGGTTCTCGGAGTGTCATGTGTGAGTTTGCCAGGTCTGTTTTGGATGCAAGAGAAGTGTTACCTCGGAATCTCTATCGGCATCCCAATGGCCTTGCCTTCGCGAAGTGTGGACTGCTGAGAAGGCCAAGCAACGCCTTTCAGGTGAGCGGGCGCATAAAAAAAGAGGACCATCTGCTATCTTTCTTGCGCCTGCGAAGTGACTTTCGCCTACTGTAGATGTCTGCCTTCTTCGCCTCTTTTCATCATGGTCTGAGAGTCGAAAGGATGCAAGCCACAAGTGCGCCCGGCCTTGGCCTACAATTTCACTCATGCGTAATGAGCAGCGCACGGGTACATCGGCGGTTTCCCTGTATGCGAAACGCACGGGGCTGTCTAATAAACCCATATGCATCAAACAAAATGCACCCGACATTTGCAGCGGCGCTAAGGTTCTTATGTGGCTGAACTAAGTGCGTAATAGGCAGGCTGAAGGTGGAAGCATGCTGGAAGTTGGCTCGGGCCTACCCAACAGCACTCGCACCTGCGCCAGCTGCCAGGCTCCTCGAGGTCTATAAACCTCTCATCTTCTCTCTCCCTCGCCATCCTTCTTTTCCATCTACAGTATCATCACCATTATCATCTTCTCCAGTCACCATATTTTGCCCCCACCAGCCACGGGCGCTACTGCGGATTACTAGCCACCTGCATATCAAGCAGTTCTCGCCACCAGCAAAGCAACATTTTAAGCGCTCTGGCGGGTACAACGTCGCCAGCTCCCAGCCATCTAGCCAATCAACGCTGCTCAATTCCCTGCCATTGCCATTTTACTCTGGCCGTCGCTGCTTCTAAAATTATCATCTGGTGGGTACTGATTCTCGAACCGTTCATCTCTCTAGCCCCCTCCGCATCGGATCACCCGCCGCTCCATTTTCGGCTTTTCTATAAAGATCATCGCCGTCCGTGCCACTAACATACACATTTTTCCAGAACATCCTTCGTCCTTCCATATCGAATCTTAGGCCCGGCAATTGTCTTAAACATCCCCGCAATGTTGGCCAAGTCTTTCCTTACTCTCGCAGCCGCTGCCTGTGCCGTCGCGTCGCCCATCGCAGTCAGCGTGTCCGCCGGTGCCGGCGCCAGCGCAAGTGCTGGCCCTTCATGCCCTCACGTCCCTGCCACGCCAACGCTGCCCAAGGCTGGTGGTGGTAAGTGATACAAACTCTGCGCTTTAGCGGTGCAATATATCTAACTGGAATACAGCCTCGGAACTACCGAACCCCCCAGAAGGCACCAAGCTCCTACACATTGCCCTCGGCTTCGGAATACAAAACTACACGTGCCCTACCCAAGGAGCCAATGCTACAGCAACCGGAGCGCTTGCTATGCTTTACGATGCAACTCACCTGTACCCCGGCCAGAGCCAGCGCTCTTTGAGCGAAGAGCAGTGGGCTGCATTGCCTGGAGAGGTTCTCAACTCGCGTCCAGTGCCTTTACAGTTCAGCACCTCTACTGACGGTCGTGCTGATCCTAAGCACCCTGGAGCCACAAACGATCCTTGGACTGCCGAAACACCTCTTATTGTAGAGGGAGCACGATCGTTGCCCTTTATTGGCCATCATTTCTTCAATGCCGCTGGCGTCCCTACGTTCGTCTTGGACGACGGCAAGATCATGCTTCTCGCCAAGAAGATCGATTCTCATGCAGCACCGGCTTCGGCGGACCCAGGACCTGACAAGACTGGTGCCGTTCCCTGGCTCTATCTCGGAAACAACCCGGGGTCCATTGGTGCCAAGTATGTCTACCGCGTCCTTACTGCTGGCGGCAACAGCCACGGCTGCGCGGTTGGTGCCGGAGGTGACAGCACCAGCTACACAGCCACATACTGGTTCTACGGCTGATAGGTATCTGAACGGTTCAGAAGGGCATATTCTGATATAAAACTATTGCGACGTTATGGCTGCGTGCAAATGGGATTCATCTTCTGCAGGGTTTGGACAGGCTATTTTCACGTTTGGCGAGGCGTCGAGCATTTTTTGTACATATTAATGCCACTGTATATAATGAAATGATTTGAAATGCTATTATATATGCCTAGCACCAAGCAAAGCGATGCTGTTTTTCCAATTGTGCGATATATAGCGAGCTAGCGTAACACTAGTTCCGTGGATCGCAACGCGTTCGTGATGATGTTGCAACAGAAGTGACGAGGGGTGTCATTATCGATTATTTGAGGTAGGAGTGGATATTGAAGTATCCAGATTGTCTAAAATAACAACGGGTTGTCAAGTAAAACTATTTCCAGACTTGAAGACACGCATCGACCCCAGTGTCTGATAGTCAACCCACGAAGGTGTTGCAGTTGCTTGGCCATACTGCGAGTACGCAACATGATATTAATAGACCAAGCATCGGGTTTAAACACAAGAGAGTATTTGTTTAGCTAGACATAATCTCATGGGATTTTCTTATGAGCATAAATTTTATGACAACAGTCCGACATACGTCGATCTGACTGGTTGGGCTCCCTTACCCTGCAGTACTGCTCTAACTATGACCAATGCAGACATATGTTGCTGACTTATCATGAAGGCTATGGAATTGATCTTTCTGTTACATCGGTTCTAGCTGGAACCAAAATCCCCCGATTTGGTCTCGCTAGTTCGAGGCGCCTGCGCATTGGTTTGTTCCGCGGCGTCGTCGTCTCGGGAGCGGAAAGTTCCGTCGTGAAGAAGACAAAGAGAGAGATATCGGCATAGCTTCAATAAAACATTTTTGAGGTTACTAGACCTCTTTGGGACTAAATCTACTGCCCTGGCCCAGCGCTACGACGATTGGGTGTGAAGGATTCGCACGCCCCATTCAAGTACACTCCTTTGAAGTTTGCTGGGCAAGACAGGCAGGCCCGACCACAGAGTAGGGCATTGGACGCCGTGGAAAAGCCTGTACAAGGTTTATCGTCGGCGATATGGAGTGAAAGGCCTAAATTTGGTCCGAGATGCACTCCTGCCGCAGAGGTACACGATACAACCAAGGTACATCCACAGCTTACAGATGTGACAGTCAGAATGCGACCCTCTTCATCGAATCAGGATAGACCCATCCCTACATCATGACTTCTTTTATTGAGAAGACGGAAATGACAATGCAACTATCATAGCAAGCTACGCTTTAAGGCAATCCTCAGGAGCTTTGGCTCCACGTGTTTTTGCGCCCCGTAGTGATTATTGAGGGTACTCCTTCCTACAGTACAGTGCAAACTAAAGCAGCCTATGGTTTAGTCAGTGTAAGATTGAGATATACGAGAGGCAAGCTAAATTGGCCCTAGTGCACGGCTCGGAAGTCCCCCGGTACGTTGCTTCCTACCCCGAGTCCCAAGCTTGCTGCCTAGCTTTGTGCTTGCCCACGGCGCCACGACTGTGGATCTGCGGTATGGCGATGGATCCAGATCATGGCGGCTTATTGTTTGATTTGGGCGGACTCGCCGAGTGCCTGCAGGCAAACTCAATACTAGGACGGGTCCCCGCGGGTAGAATTGAAGGGTCTAGGACGCCGTTAAGCTTACCGCTGAGACATGCATACGTTGGCGTGGCTAGCTCAAAGTCCGGCGTATGTAGTCCAAACAAAAGTTCGAAAACACAAAAGCTTGTGCTGCTAGTTCGAAGCTAAGATTGGTGGACACCACCTCGTGGTAAGTCCCGGATAAACCTATTTTAGCGGCTTAGCAGCGGGACGAGACCACTTTAGTTGCAGACGGCTCAACACGAGGCCATTCCCTATAGGAGTAGGCTAATTAGCTCCATTTCTCTTTGGGGAATAGTTGAGTTAGCTTGAAACGGGTCAATGTCGGCTGAGAAGGTAGCTGGATCTGGCTAGACTAACAAGAGTCTAACCCAGGTTGAATACAGCTAGCCAGGTAGAAGTAGCGCAGAGCAAACAACTCGTTGTCAGGCAAGCCGTGATTATTGGCGCAGTGCACTCGGTTACAGCCCCCAGCGTCTGAATACCCTGAGGGATTATGCATGCCTTTTGCTTGGCCGACTTGCATCTATTGCTTTAACGAACCACTGCAATGTCTGCATAGGTCACCGCTACTTGGTATTCCCGGGTGCCTTGCTGCATGTGTCGCGAGCAGGTTCTTTGACAGTCGCCATGGTTCTGGTTCGGCTCGCTAGGACTTTGCATGGCTACTGCCTTTTTCATCGACTCATCGGAGGGGGGGGGGGGCATCGCCTTGCGCATATTGGTGTATTTTGCGCCACGCCCCCCCGATCGAGTTAAGGACGGGGCACTATCCTGCCGGTCCTCGTCGGGTGTGACACACTATAGAGGTGTTTGGGTGGTCCTGTCAACCATCCTCGCCACCCTCCCTTATGCAGCATCCCGACCTACCAGAGCAGGAGCGTGAACTCGTGGCGCCTGGGCTCCGCTAACAACGAGGGTAGACCGACAGTATGGTCCAGCCGGACTGGATCGACAAGCCCTGCTCTGCGCAATGTACCCCTGTGGGACACTAGACAGGCTCGCGTAGGCTGCTCTCGGCAATAAGCCCACTTTGAACTATGTACACTGCCGATAGAGTCAAGGCGGAAGAAATTGAGCGGGAGGGAAAAAAAACTTGAAACGTCTAGTCGACGCCCACACGGCTGGTAATTAGCACCTGGTTGGACCAAGGCCAAGCGCTGGTGTAATGTAAAATCAGGGCTACCCAAGCTAGTTCATTGCGAAGGAGTCAAGCCCCCAGTTTCTCTGGAATCCCACAGCGTTGAATCCGACATCGACCGGCTTCCAAGTAGCATCCTGCAACGACTTTAACGACTTCCACCGTCTCTGCTATTTTCTCCGAACTGACGCCGTCTTCCGGTGTGCCCCAGGCGCTTCGACCACGGCCCGGCCTGCAGACAAGAGAGCACGCAGATGGCGGAAAGACGTGCCGACGGAGAAATTACCGGCCTTTGCAGCGGCAGGCATCTTCCTATCGGAAGAGCGCCCGTGGCTGAGATGGCCCGTGTGCGGGTGCAGGCTGCGGAGGTCAGCTGCTGGCTGGTGCTTTCGCTGCGGGATGCTTGTTACGGCCTGGCCTGCAGATGCTTGCTTGGTCAGCTAATTACACGACCGACAAACAGACACTAAGCCTTTTGGGCTTGCCTAAAAAGTGCTCACAGAGGACACAACGCGACTAATGGGTAGATTGATTGCGACCTAAAAAGTGCGCTCGTGGGCCGTGGTAGCCCACACACCCCCTTTTTGGCCCATTATGCAATTCCTTCACTAGGCCGTTATTGCGACGATTAGCGGGATCCACCAGCCGACCCAATCGTGCTAGTGGCTGCTGTGCTTGACAATGTCGAACAAGATCAGACTAACACGCCACAGTGGGTGGAGCTGATGTGGTAGTATTGCAACCATCTCCAAATGCACCCGAGGAAGGGAGGGGCAGTGACGACCACCGCCACTGTCCCAAGAGAAAAAGGAAAACATTTTGAGAAAAGAGACAAATAGAATTGCGCTGATGCCTATACCGCCGAGAAATCTTAGAACTAATGAAGTCGCTGGCTATTGCGACAGGTACAAAGGAAGGGAAGCGAGTGGTGCGTGTAAGTCGTAGGAATTTTTCTTCGTCGTGGCCCGGCTCCCTCAGGCGTGGCCCTCGATGGGTCGTGCAAGGTAAAGCTCCTCGAGATATTTCTCTTCTTCGTCAGACAGACGCTTGCCCCTCACTGCCAGTGCCTCGTCCATGCGCTCTACAGAACTGAAACCAATGACTGGCGAAGTGCTGCGGTTGTTCAACCATGCGAGGGCAACGTGACTCATGGGCCAGCCTTTCTTCTTTGCCAGCTCCGATACTCGAGAAATAATTAGTTCCGAGCCACGGTCATCGCCTCCGTACAGCGACCCATTGTTGGTCAATGACGCTCGAAGTGTGCTCGCCGGGGTGTTGGGGTGGCGGGCTAGTCTGCCGTGCGCAAGCGGTGCCCACTGCGTAAAACAACGCCTGTTAGAATGAATGGTAGCTAGCTGTATTGCATTTGTTGTAGACTCACCGGTATTATGCCGACGCCTGTGCTGTTGCAGAACTTGTTCATTTCGCGCTCCTCTTCGCGATACAACAAGTTGTAGTGATTTTGCATGGAAATGAAGGGCGTGTAGCCGTTTTGCTCTGCAATATGCTGCAGCATAGCAAACTGGTATGTCCACATGGAGCTTGCCCCAAGGTAGCGCACCATGCCCGCGCGGACCAAGTCATGAAGAGCGCACATAACTTCCTTTGGCGAGACGGTATTGTCGAACCTGTGAATTTGTAAAACATCAATGTAATGCGTATTTAGCCGTCGCAGAGATGCCTCAACTGCGCTGAAAATGGCTGATCGCGAAAGACCTGTGTACAATGACATTGTTAGTTCATGGCGCATTGCGAATGACTCGATCTCGCCTTGCTCACCCCATTGATTAACGTAGTCTTTACTGTGGTCTGCTAGATCGTGGTGCATTGTCACTCCTGAAGAAGGGTCGTGGTTTTCCGAATCACACACTACTCGAAAGCATTTGGTCATGATGACGACCTTGTGTCGCGGAATGTTGAAGGTCTGCAGAGCGCGGCCAATGATCTTCTCTGATTCGCCATTTGAATACACATTGGCTGTATCCCACTGCAGTAACTGTTAGGACTTCTGCACAAAGCTAGAACTTGTACGCAACTTACTGTATTGATGCCACTGTCGTACGCAGCCTTAAGCAGCATCAGAGCCTGCAGCCTGGTTAGCATGTCACCGTTTTGCTTGTTGCGGGATTCATACCTTCGATTCGTCCAGAACCCAAGGAAGCCATTGCGAGCTTCCCAAGTGCATACCACCGAGGATAGGATTGGACACACGAAGGCCACTGTTTCCAAGCTGTCGATACGTAGCCCTCGTGAGATTGATGGAGGCTCGCAGAGCTTCCGGAACCTGCACCAACTTCTGAAGGGCCGTCTTCACCATTTTGTTCGTTGTTTCCCCAGTTTTGAAATGAAAGGTTGAATGTGTCGGTTTGAGAAGTTTACTCAAGAGCAGAGTACGAATTTCAGAGTTGAACTTTGCAAACGTTATGGTGGGCGATGAGCACGACTGGAGATTTCCCCAAAAGTGTCGCCCCGTTTCCCCTCATAAGCCTTGGGCAAATTTTTTTTTGGCAAGAGAAATAGTAATAAACTAGGAAAATTAAACAAACAAATTCATGTCTTTTTTTTTTTTGGACCTACGGGCAAACTGTCTGCATGTCAAGCCAAGGGGGGGCATCCAATGGACGGGGGGTGTCTCTAGGAACGTGCACTGGCCTAGGGTGTGTCCGCTGTAACCAGACTAAGATCGTAGAGGTACAAGACAAATACTTTGGGCTAAAATGATTCCTCAAGGCGTAGTAGACCCTGTAGACAGCTGCGGACGAGATTTAAATCCTTTGTGGAGGGGGCGTGTGCTTCATGAATAGGCTGGCTTCCCACTCTCGAAAATTGGGCCACTATCATCTGCAAAGTTGTTTGATAGCTTGTCGGAAGCCGTTGTTTCCTCGTTTGCGGTTTATTTTCCCTTTTGAACGCCGTCAGCGCATTGTGTCGGCCCATAAGATTGGCCTCGTCGTTTCTTCGTTGTCTGTGTATTAATCCTAACCAGCGCGGGCCTTTCTTTTCAACCATACATACTTCGAACTCGTACATATCGAACCAATTTCAAAAACAAGCGCGACACAATGGACCAGTATTCGAGAATGTGGGAGAGGAATCGAAAAGTTCCTGAAGCCGTTGAAAAATGTCTTCACGATGTCATCTCGTCAAATGCTATACACCACAAGGATAGACCGGCTGTCCACGCCTGGGATGGCGACTTGACGTATGGTGAACTGGATGAGCTTTCTTCGCGACTTTCCTCACAGCTTATGAAGCATGGAGTTGGTCCTGAAGTGACGGTGCCGCTATTTTTCGAGAAATCTATGTGGACGGTGGTGGCTGTTGTTGGCGTGCTCAAGGCCGGGGGGTCCTTTGCACTTGTCGACATGAGCCTTCCCAAAGCTAGGCTTCAGGCGATTATTGATCGCTGCCAGGCCAAAGTCGTCTGCTCCTCAGAATATCATATGGAACTGTCCACTAGCATGACCAGTCAAGTTGAAGTTGTCGGGCCCCGATCTCAACTGCGATGGCTACAAGCCTCGGAAGCGAAACGCGCTTCAAACCCTTCCTGGCCCATGTATGTCTGTTTCACTTCCGGCAGCACTGGAGTTCCAAAGGGAATTGTCATTACACATGCCAGTTTTTACACTGCCTTCCACCATCAAGCACATCTTCTCGGGTTCAGTCCCGAATGCAGGACATTCGACTTTGCCTCTTACAGCTTCGATGTTGCAGTACATAATGTCATGACCACCTTGGCGATTGGTGGTTGTCTCTGCATACCGTCCGATGCAGATCGGAAAACGAATTTAAATGAGGCCATCAATCAAATGCAAGCAACTATTATCAACCTAACGGCGACAGTCTCGAGGCTGTTACGACCGAAACAATTGACAACCTTGAAAACAATCCTGTTTCTGGGAGAAGCCGTTAATTTGTCGGATATCAAACGATTCTGGGATCATTTCACAGTTATTAATACATATGGTCCTGCCGAATGCACTCCAATAAGCACCATAAACCTTCACTCTAATACACCTGTTGCGGCAACTGGAATCGGTGCTGGTTACGGTGTCCTGACTTGGATTACCAACCCCGATGATCACCATCAACTGGTCAAGGATGGTGAAATTGGTGAATTGCTCCTAGAAGGTCATGTCTTAGCTCGGGGCTATCTGAGAGATGAAGAAAAGACCGCCGCCGCTTTTATCGAAAACCCACAGTGGCTTGGTCGAGGGTCTAGCCTTTGTGCTGGTCGTGAAGGGCGACTCTATAAGACGGGAGATTTGGTACGGCTATGCGAGGATGGAAGCTTGCAATTCATCGGTCGAAAGGACACGCAGGTCAAAATTCGCGGTCAGCGACTCGAACTAGGAGAAGTTGAGAGTCATGTCAGCAATATCATGCCTTTTGCGCCGCAAGTTGTCGCCGAAGTCATTATGCCAGGCGGCGTGAAGGAGAAAGCTATGCTCGCCGTCTTCTTTACTTCAAATGATCATGAAGCAGACGCGGAGGGGGACACTCTGGATAGTAGTGTTTCTGTGGTAGCTGCTGGTATCGATCTCGTTCAGTTCTCCCCTAATGCCGCACAACAACTGCGAGATTCTCTGCCAATCTACATGGTGCCTGGTGCTCTCTTCCGCATGAAGTCGATTCCGCAGACGCCATCCGGAAAGACAGATCGCAAGGCACTCCGAGAAATTGGCAACAACATCTCTGCTCAAAAGCTGGCACAGATGCGAACCTCTACTGAGGGTGAAAAACGACAACCCCGATCGGCCGTCGAGATCCAGCTCCAGCGTGTCTGGTGTACGGTGCTGGAGCTATCGAGCAGCGATATTGGCTTGGACGACAGCTTCTTCTTACTCGGCGGTGACTCGCTGGCTGCGATGAGACTAGTTGCTGAATTGCGCAAAGTCATGCTTGACGTTAGTGTGGCCGAGATCTTCGAGCATCCACTATTGAGCCATTTGGCCAGGGTTATTCGCGCCGTCGATGCCGATGCTGCAGAAGAGTGGGTTGTGGCGTCGTTCTCGCTGATCACAGACGCTACAGGCGCTGTGGCTTGTGGGGAGGCTGAAGCAACGACGCGTCTTCGTGGCCAGCTGGCAGACCTTTGCGTGGGCAATGTTTCTACAACTGAAATTGAAGACGCATTTCCAAGCACGCCAGTGCAACAGGGATTGCTCTCCCTTACGGAGAAAAGTGTTGGAGGCAATGATTATACTCTACAGGCTGTTCTTGAACTGGCATCGGGCGTCGATGTCGCCCGATTCAAAGCGGCATGGGAAGCAACAGCAGCTGCACTTTCGATATTGCGAACCCGACTTGTTTACCATGAGACATACGGATCTTTGCAAGTAATTGTTATGGAACAGATCTCATGGCAGGACGGCAATGTTCTTGAGGACTATCTACAAAACGATAAGAGCAAGCCCATGCATACTGGGGATAAGCTGGCTCGATTCGCGATTGTCGAGAACAAATACTTTGTTTGGACGGTACACCATTCTCTGTACGACGGATGGTCACTAGCCATCATCTTGAAAACGTTAAGTGAGGCGTACAGATCCTCTTCGCCCAATGGTTTGAGCTCTCAGGCGCCTTTCAACTTGTTTGCAAAATATGTCTCCGATAATCACAAGAATCTTACCTCAGCAGAGACATTTTGGAAGGCCTACTTTCAAGATGGCGAATTCACACCATTTCCGGCCTTACCCCGACATGTATCGCAGCCGAAACCCAACACCTTTGTAGAAACCGACCTTGTTATTGCTCCTAGGTCCGACATTACTATGTCTACAGTCCTCCGCGCAGCCATTGCTATAACTTTGGGACAGTACACTGGGTCTGAGGATGTCGTGTTTGGTGCTGTTTTATCCGGACGTAGCGCTCCTGTGCCTGGTATCGATTCAATGGCTGGGCCGACTATTGCCACTGTACCACTGCGCGCCCAACCGCTTCGCACCTCTCTTGTACAAGACTTTCTCAACCAATTACAGCGCGATGCTACAGACATGATGAAGTTCGAACAGACAAGCTTGAAAAACATCTCAAAGTTCAATTCAGACTGCAAAATGGCTTGTGACTTTCAAACTCTATTGGTGGTTCAGCCAGAGGAGAATGACTTCAAAGACGACGAAGTTATTGGGCACTGGCAAATATCATCACTCAAGGAATTCACCACATACGCCATCACGATCGAATGTTTTCTCAAGGCAAATGGAATGTCTGTTCGGGCTGGCTACGATAATAGCATCATCAGTCCAGCCCAGATGAGCATTATTTTGGAACACTTCACAACTATGGCCCAGCGTTTGATCAACGCAACTCCAACCCAAACTATTATGGACCTCGGTGAACTGACAAAATCAGACAATGAGCGGATTTGGAGATGGAACTCCCAAATCCCCGCACGAATTGATAAATGCATTCACCAACTGATCCACGACCAGGCACTTAGCGAGCCTGAAGCCCCAGCTGTGACTGGCTGGGATGGAAACTTCACATATTCACAACTTGAAGCATCTGCGAGCTCTTTGGCCCGCAAGCTGGTCAAACTCGGTGTTGGGCCAGAGACGATAGTGCCACTTTGCTTTGAGAAGTCAACATGGGCAATTGTTGCCATGCTGGGAGTGCTACAAGCTGGCGGAGCCTTTCTTCCTCTAAATCCTTCAGAAGCGGAAGATCGTCGAGCCGACATTCTCAAGCAATCAAATGCATCCATAGTATTGACTTCAAAAAAGTACAAAAACATTAAGCTCCTTCGAGGATGTCTTACGCAAGTCGTCGATGAGATGAGTCTGAAGGACTCCGACTCACCTGGAAGAGAATCACCTCTGCCTTGTTTAGAAACGCCTGAATCTCCAGTATATGTCATTTTCACATCCGGAAGTACTGGTCAACCGAAAGGTGTCGTCTTGGAACATTCCGCGGTTGCAACTAGCTGCACTTATCATGGAGAAAGATTCGGCTTCAGTCAAAAGACGCGGATGTTGCAGTTTGCTTCGTATACGTTTGATGCATCCATCATTGAAATTATTACGACGTTGGTCTTTGGAGGTTGTGTTTGTGTACCTTCTGAACAAGATCGCCTGGGAGATATTAGTGCATCCATGACTTCTATGGCTGTAAACTCCGCTCTGTTAACACCTACCGTCGCCCGGACCTTGCAGCAGAGCAGTCTTCCCTCACTAACAACACTTATTTTCGGTGGCGAAGCAGTTCGGGACTCCGACTATGCCCAATGGAATTCAATTCCACTCTTGATTAATGCTTATGGACCCACAGAGTGCGCTGTTACAACAGTCATCGGCCGATACGACGCGACGAATACAAAGCCAAGCAGCATTGGAACCGCAGTTGGATGTGCGGCATGGGTCGTGGACAAACATGACCATAACAAGTTGATTGCTATTGGTGGTGTTGGTGAACTCCTCTTGGAAGGCCACGTCCTTGCTCGTGGCTACCTGAATAACGCTGAGAAAACTGCAGCAGTGTTCATTGACTCGCCTTCATGGTTAAGCAAAGGGTGTATCAGCCAATCGATCAATGGGCGTAATGCTAGACTTTACAAAACTGGTGATTTGGTCCGTTTCAATGATGATGGAAGCATAAGCTATGTTGGACGCAAAGACGCACAGGTCAAAATTCGAGGCCAGCGTCTTGAGTTGGGCGAAGTTGAATATCAGCTGAAAGCCTGTTTGGCCAACGCTGGAGACGTCGTTGCTGATATGGCTGTTCCTTCACGCAGCAAAGGCGAGCCTGTGCTATCCGCCTTCTTTACCATGAATGTTAGCTCTTCAGCCAAAGCACCATTCGAGGTTTTGCACACGATTACACCTGAAGTTGGAGTGGTCCAACTGACCTCTGATGCCGAAACAACCATCGCACAGAAGCTTCCCTCATACATGATACCCAAAATATTCCTTCATATCTCCAAGATGCCGCTTATGCCGTCTGGCAAAGCTAATCGAAAAGAGTTACGAAGAATACTCATGTCTGTACCTCGCGAGAACTGGTCGAAGATACAATCAAGCGCTGCAAACGGTGCCATTGCAGAACCAAAAACCGATGTTCAGCGGTCCATGCGCGCTATTTGGGCGCGGATTCTCAACTTGAAGCCTGAGAATATTGGAATAGACTCTAGTTTTTTCCAAGTTGGAGGTGATTCGATCGCAGCCATGCAGCTGTCTGCTGCCATTAGACTGTCCTTGGGAAATGTGTCTACTCCTGATATCATGCAAAAGAAAACTATTCGAAAACTTTCAGCGATGCTTCAAACCAGTACCCCGATCGAAGCAGCACTTACATCGAAGGATACAAGTTCACCGAGTACCCCATCACATCAGTTGTTTGAACTGAGTCCGATCCAGAATTTGTACACGAAGTTGGAGCCAGATCCCCGCCGCTGCTTTGATCAGCACTTCTTTCTTCAAACCAGCTCGAGGGTTTCACCCTCAGCGTTTAAATCGTCTTTGAGAGCTGTTGTGGCTAGACATCCTATGCTCAGATCACGCTTCAGCCAGGACAAAAACGGAAGATGGATGCAAAGAGTGACAGACGATGTTGTCCACTCGGTCCAGGTTTGCCATGCTGGTCGACAGGACAAACCTTTATCTCCGGAACAAATGGCGCTACTGATTGCCCACGATAGAGATATGATCGATATTGAAAATGGACCGCTTACAGTGGCTTTGCTAATTGAAGGTCACGGAGTTCAGAATATCTTTATTGCGGTTCATCATTTAGTCACTGATCTTGTATCTTGGCGAATTATTCTGCAAGAAGTTGAGCAATTCCTCCAGGATGGCAAAATTCTCTCTCCTCCATCTCAATTGACCTACCAGACATGGCTGAAGATGCAGCAACAACACTCTGGCCAGTATCTTACCAATGGAGATCTTGCCAACCATAAGTCCCACGACTCAGTGTCACAGCTTATGGGCTCATACTGGCAGATGGATATGTCAAAGAATATCGAGGGTGCGACGAAGACAATCTCTTTCGATTTGGATCATGTTACGAGCAGACGTCTCCTTGGCGAATGCAACAAATCTTTTGCAACGCGGCCCGCGGAGCTCTTCATTGCCGGACTTGTTTCAGCTTTTACAACTATCTTTACAGATCGAGCAGCGCCGGCGGTATTCATGGAAAGCCACGGAAGAGAGCCATGGGACCCCGCAATCGACCTTTCTAGTATTGTAGGATGGTTTACCGCGATGTATCCTGTTGAGACCGATATCAACTCCAACACGACACTGACTGATGCAGTCAAGCGCGTGAAGGATTCAGCGAGATCTGATCGGAGCAACGGATGGGAATATTTTACATCCAGATTCGCGACTGATTCTGACGCGCAAAGACATGTGAAGAACTTCCCTGTTGAAATTATGTTTAACTATGAAGGCTCTTACCAACAATTAGAACGGTCGGATGCTCTCCTTCGACTTGCAAATGCCCCGTTGGACTGTGCAGCAAGCTCTTGGCAAGAATTGACTAGATTCTGTTTGTTTGAAATTGCATGCCAGACAGATCATGAACAGCTGAAGTTCTCAATCACCTATCCTTTTTCCTTTGCTCAAGACGAAAAAGTTCAGTCTTGGGCTCAAGTTTATGGAGATAGGCTGCGAGATCTTGCAGACCAGTTATCGGTTGACACAGTTCACTGGACACTATCTGATTTCCCTATGGCGTTCAAGACTTATGAAGATCTACAATCCTTCGAGCAAATGTCCTTGACTGAATTTGGCATCTCGGATTTATCCAATGTCGAAGATATATTCCCATGCTCCGCAATGCAACAAGGAATTCTAGTCTCCCAGGGCCTGAACTCGAATAACTATCGAACTGTCCTTGGAATATCGATCAACTGCAAGCGCCAAATTGATGTCAGTGAGGTACAAAGCGCTTGGCGACGCGTTGTTCTCCGTCATTCTCTACTTCGGTCAACTATTGTTCAGAACATCCCTGGGTCGCTTGAAACGATGCAGATCATTCTTCACAACCCAGAGCCTGCGATCTCTATCTTAGACGAAGCGGAATGGGATGTTCGACAAAAGAATGCGACAGTCAACTATACCTCTGATAGTCTTCAACATCATTTATCTATTTACAAGAAGAGCGACCAGCAGGTATGGTTGGACTTGGAGATCAACCACGCTATTGCAGATGGGTACTCCGTCTACAACGTCCTACTCAGAGACTTGCGCTCTGCCTTGATGAATGAGCTTGACACGGATGGACCGCTCTATTCAAAGTTCATTGAATATGTGTCAAAGCAGTCGCGTGAAGAGGATTTGAAGTTCTGGGCTAAGCATCTAGAACGCGCAGAACCATGCTTTATTTCGGGTACTGTCAATAGTAGCAGCGTTGAAAATGAGGCAGAAGCCTTCATAGTTAACCTGGAATCTTTGGACTCCGCTGCAATAAGAGACTTTGCTCGACGCTCGGATATCACCACTGCCACTGTTATCCAGGTGGCATGGGCTATGGTTCTCCAAATGTACACTGGGCAAGCTACACCGTCTTTCGGAATGCTTGTTTCTGGTCGTGATACACCTATTCCTAATGTTCACGACATCTTTGGCCCACTGATCAATATCATTCCCTGCACCGTGGCCTTCGATGAGACGAACACCTTGGGCGAAACTCTCCAAATCACTCAATCCGACTATATTGAGAGTTTCCAACATCAGACGATACCACTGATTGAGGTTCACAGAGCCCTTGGTGTTGGAACTTCTGGACTCTTCAATAGTGCCATCTCATTCCAGAAGGGTGCTGCCCAGAAAGCCAATTCAGACTCTGACTGGGATCTCGAATATATGTATGTGAAGGATCAAGTGGAGTTCGATGTATCTGTGGCTGTTGATGATCAATACAATGATGATGGAAGTGGCATCATGTCGATAGAGCTTCTGTTTAAGGCCGGATACATCTCTCGATCACAAGCAAATCTCATTGCTAAATCCTTTACAACATCGATACGATCAATTATCAGTGCGCAAGGAGATTACCAGCTATCAAAGCTCAACTTGCTTCAATCTGATGATGAGCAACAACTGCGACAATGGAGTTGTGCCGCAGAAATTCCCCTTGTTGAAAGTTGTATCCATGACCTTATCAAAGAGCAAGCCGTTGCAAATCCTTTGTCTGAAGCAGTCTGTTCTTGGGATGGGGACTTCACTTACCAAGACCTCGATTTGGCTTCATCGCAGCTCGCATCGCATTTGACTGCTGCTGGAGTCCTTCCTGAGACGGTTGTTCCTCTCTGCTTTGAAAAGTCTAAATGGACTATTGTAGCCTGGCTTTCTGTATTGAAGGCTGGAGCCGCATTTATCTTGCTTGATCCTAGCCTGCCGCAGGCCAGAATAGACAAGATTTGTGCTGTCGTTGAAGCAAAGGTTGCTATTACTTCATCAGCCAATACATCAAAGCTCTCAACCTCAGTTCGCAGCGTTGTCACGTTGAACGAAGCATTCATCCGCTCAATATCGACATCAAGCAATGCCTCTACAACTGCAGCGGTCAAGCCAAGTAGCATCGCGTATATCATTTTCACATCTGGAAGTACCGGTGAGCCTAAAGGCGCAATTATCGAACATCAGTCCTACGCAACAGCAGCCCTTCATCATGGCCATGTAATGCGTATGAGCAATCAGACTCGATCCGTTCAGTTTGGTTCATACAATTTTGCAGGTGCTATTATGGAGATGCTTATGATCTTGATACATGGTGGTTGTGTTTGTATTCTATCAGACGAAGAGCGCAGCCCACGAAACCTTGCTATGGCCATCACAACCCGCAAGGCAAACTGGGCATTCCTCACTTCAACCGTACTGGCATACCTAAAGCCAGAAGATGTACCTACAATGGAAACCATTTGTGTTGGAGGTGAACACATTCGAAGCTCCCAAATTAAGCAATGGTCTACCCATGTACATTTGCGACAAACGTACGGCAGCGCAGAAACCTCTGCTGTCGTTTCATCGGCATGGCTCAATGGAACAGCCGCGAATACTGAAGTTGGTAAACCTACGACCGGCCGCTATTGGATAACCCACCCCAAGGACAGTAAACAGCTTGTTCCCATTGGAGTGCCAGGAGAAATCTTGATAGAAGGCGCAACGATTGCACGAGAATATATGGGCAATCGGGAGAAGACTCTTTCAACATTTATTACGGCACCTCCATGGCGCGCGGCGTTTGGCCCCGTATCAACAGCATCCCGATTCTACCGAACTGGTGACTTGGGCGTCTTCCGTGATGACGGATCGATTGAGCTTCTAGGCCGACGAGACACTCAAATCAAGCTAAGAGGCCAGCGCATTGAGGTTGGTGAGATTGAGTATCAAGCCCGCTTGGCTACACCACAAATCAAAGAAGCAGCAGTTGAACTGGCCGCTCTTGGAGCTAGCTCCAAGGGTGGCCCAGAACTTATTGGCTTCTTGGTCATGGAAAACCATGACGACCCTATCGCCTCTGGTCCGCTGATCCGAACAGTACAGGCCAAGCTTGAGCACTCTCTCCCTTACTTCATGGTTCCAGCTCTGTTGATTCCTATTGCAAAATTGCCTCTGACGGCATCAGGAAAGACTGACCGTCGTCGGCTGCGCATGATGGTGGCCGCTCTGTCTACAGATGAGGTGGAGGCTTTGTCACGCTTGACGCAAGGAGATATACGTAAACCGACAACGGAGGCTGAATTGAGAATGCAGATGCTTTGGTCCGAAGTTTTGGGCGTCGCCAAGGAGAGCATCGGTTTAGATGACAGCTTCTTCAGACTTGGAGGAGATTCTGTCGCTGCGATGAGGCTTGTTGGTGCGGCAAGGAAGATGAACGTTGCGATGACAGTTGCCGACATCTTCAGACAACCTACCCTTGCCGTTCAGGCCCAAACTTTAGGTGAAAGCATGCAGCCTCTGGAGACTCTAACAATTAAGCCATTCGATCTTCTGGGACTCGTGGGTGGCCAAATCACAGAATTCTGTGAGACTGTCAGTCTCCTGTTCAAAGACAACACTGAAGCCTCAATTGTCGAAGACGCTTACCCGTGTACACCCCTTCAAACTGCACTTCTTTCAGCAACAATGAAAGGCGAAGGTGGTGACTACATGCTTCAATTGAAGCTAGAATTATCAGATGATATTCATCTCGGCCTATTCAAGGATGCTTGGGACACTGTTGTGGAAAAGACACCAACACTTCGCACACGAGTCGTTCAACATACACAGTTCGGTCTCGTACAAGTTGTTTTTGGTCAGCCTATTCCCTGGAAAGAATTCAACATTTCCCTTTCTCAGTACATTGAGAACGACAAACAAACTGCGATGGATTTGGGAGACAACCTTTTGAGGCTGGCCATTATCAATGACGGCCATAAACGATGGGCTCTTTGTACCATTCATCACGCCATCTACGACGGTGTTTCACTGCCCAGAATTCTGGAGCTGGTTGGTTCATCCTACAATGGCGAAATTATTGAGCCCAGTATTCCGTTCAATTCTTTCATCAGCCACAACGTCAAATTTGACGACGAGGCCTGCAAAGGATTCTGGACAAAATACCTAGGTGGAAGTGGTTCAGCCACCTTCCCTATTTTACCTCCATCTATTAATGAACCAAAGCCTGATAAGATCGTCGAATTGGCTATTGGTCTTCGAGGCTCTGGCAAGAAATTCACATTGTCAACCTTAGTACGTGGTGCCCTTGGTCTGACTCTCGCACAAGCAACAGGCTCTGACGATATCGTCTTTGGTGCCCTTGTTTCCGGAAGAGATGCCCCCATTCCCGGCATCGAAGATATGCTTGCTCCAACTATTGCCACAGTTCCAATCAGACTGCAGGTTGCTAAAGACACTAAAGTACTACAGTATCTTGAGGGCATTCAACAAGATGCTATTACCATGTTCGACTTTGAGCATATAGGAATTCGCCAATTGTCGAAATACGGAGCAAATGCCAAGAATGCCAGCGAATTCCAAACACTGCTGGAAATCCAGCCGAATGGAGACGATAGTGAAGCGGCAGATACATCCGTCGGATCATGGCTTCCAGTGTCTGATCTCAAGGGTTTCACAAACTACGCCCTGACCCTTGACTGTATCGTCCACAAAGATAAAATAGTCATGCGAGCAAGTGTCGACACTAGAGTCATCTCCTCTGAAGCGGTCACAAGTCTACTTGCGCGATTCGAAGTAGCCTTTTGTGGTCTTTACAATGCTCCAGACGACCAGATCCTAGGTGATATCAACGTCTTGACCAAATTGGAGCAAAAGATGATTTGGGAATGGAATTCTGTACGTCCCGAAGCCTCTAAAGACTGTCTTCATAGAAGGATCAAAGACTGGGCTGTCCGCTCTCCAAATGCACCAGCAGTTTCTGCTTGGGATGGCGAGTTGACATACCTAGAGCTTGACAAGCTCTCATCCAGACTTGCTATGCACTTGGTGAATCTGGGAGTAGGCCCCAAAACAATTGTTCCATTGTTCTTTGAAAAGTCTGTCTGGACTGTTGTTTCGGTCCTCGCTGTTTTGAAAGCTGGTGGTGCATTTGCCTTGTTGGACATGGGCTTGCCAGAGAACAGACTACACTCTGTCATTAAGCAGTGTCGTGCTACTGTTGTTTGTTCATCTACCAAGAATCAACGCCTTTGCAGCTTACCAACAACGGAAGTGCAGATCATTGACGCACAATCAGCCAAAACATGGCCAAGTTTACAGACCATTGAGGATGGAATACTTCCACCTTATAGGTCTGATTTGCCTCTCTATATTTGCTTCACATCAGGAAGTACGGGTAATCCGAAGGGTATTGTCATCACACATGAGGGATTCGCAACTACGCTGGATGCCCAGTACGAGGTGCTCGGATTCAACAACAAGTCTCGCGTGTTCGACTTCGCTTCATACAGCTTTGATGTTGCCGCTCACAACGTTATGACAACGCTAGCCACGGGAGGCTGCCTGTGCATTCCATCAGATGACGAACGAAAGGACAACATTAATGCCGCTATCCAGAAGTCACGAGCCACCTTAGTCAACCTGACAGCAACCGTTGCTCGACTTTTAAAACCTGATCTTCTTCCAGATCTAGAAACTCTTCTCCTTTTGGGCGAAGCCGTTGCTGTTGCTGACCTAGACGACCTCTGGGGTAAGGGCAATTTAACGATCATCAATACATATGGCCCTGCCGAATGCACTCCTATTAGTACCATCAATCTTACCGCAACCACCCCTACGGAAGCCACTGGCATTGGCAAGGGCTTTGGAATTGCCACATGGGTGGTCGATCCTGATGACCATGAGAAGCTAGTTCCAGTTGGTGTTGTTGGAGAGCTTCTGTTGGAAGGCCCGGCGCTAGCACTCGGATATTTGGGAGATGCTGAGAAGACTTCGAAAGCATTCATTCAAAATCCCCAATGGTTACTTGAAGGAGCCCATGGTTACGCTGGCAGACAGGGCAGGTTGTACAAGACAGGTGATCTCGTTAAATACAACCTTGACGGCAGCCTCTCATTTGTTGGCCGAAAGGATACCCAGGTGAAGATTCGCGGTCAACGTCTCGAATTAGGCGAAATCGAGCACCATGTCCGGGAGTGCATGGCCAGCACTGGTCACTTTCCCGTCGTTGCCGATGTCATCACGCCTGGTGGCACAAAGGATAGAGCTATGCTTGCCGTATTCATCGTCATGGATGAAGACAGCGATTCCAGCAGTACCAGCGGCAGCACCACAGGCAGTAGCAGTGGCCATAGCAGTAACGCCAGTACTTTGTTTGAGTCCCTTTCAAGCGTTTCTGATGTTCTGGAGCTAGTGGCGCTCAACTCTTCAGTGGTCCAAGACTTGTCTGAGCGCCTGCCTTCATACATGATACCATCGGTTTACTTCAGAGTACCATCTTTCCCGCTGACGCCTTCGGGTAAGACTGATCGCAAGCGCCTCCGCGAATTGGGCTCTGCCATGTCAACGGAACAGCTCGCCAAGATGAGATCGACAAAACCTGACAACACGGAGAAAAGACAGCCGACCACCGCCAATGAAATCCTCTTCAGGGATATTTGGTCAGCGGTGCTTTCTATTGACGCGGACAGCATCGGCTTAGATGACAACTTCTTTAGTCTTGGTGGTGATTCCGTTATTGCTATCCAACTTGTCGCTGAAGCCAGAAAGCATGACATCTCGTTGACCGTTGGCGACATATTCCGGAACCCAGTACTTCATGAACTGTTCAAAACGGCTCAGTATGCCTCCGATAACGACGACTACACAGATGTAGCTCCCTTTGAGCTTCTGGCTACAGCTAGTCAACCAAGTGACCTGAAGACTGACTTTGCGAAGCTCTGCAGCGTTGACCCATCAACCATGGAGGATGGATATCCCTGTACTACGCTGCAGGAAGGTCTTATGTCTCTGACTGAAAGAACTACAGATGGCTATATCATGCACGCTCGACTTAACGTCTCCCCCACCACGAACATCAAAGCACTTATGGCGGCTTGGGAAGATGTATTTACTTCTATTCCTATTCTGAGAACAAGAATTGTACAGCATAGCGACTTTGGACTCGTACAAGTCGTTCTACGCTGTAGCATTCAATGGATAGTGGTAGACGATATCCACAAGTACACTGCGGAAATGGATCGTATGCCCATGGGATTGGGTTCGTCTCTATGCAGATTTGGCTTGATCCAAAACGGCAAGGGTGTTGTAACTCAACTGTTACTCACTATTCATCATGCTCTTTATGACGGAAATTCGATTGCTTTGCTATTAAATCATGTGTCATCAGCATATCAAAGCCGAGCGAAGGACAACAGCGCATACCAATTCACAACACCAATGTTTAACGTATTTATCAAACATACAGTCACCCGCAAAATTGGGAGCCAGGAATTCTGGGCGTCGTATCTTTCAGATGTCGAAGCTATTCCATTCCCCTTGGTTCATTCACAACCAGCGATTGTCCCTTCATATCTCTCTCAAGAACATGGACTACGACTACCCGCGAAGCCAAAGCAACAATTCACGATGTCAACGATTATTCGTGGCGCACTGGGACTTCTTATTTCCCGACACACAGCGGTCAACGATGCAGTATTTGGAGCCGTCTTATCCGGACGAAATGCATCACTTAATGACGTTGATACGCTAGTCGCGCCGACGATTGCCACCGTACCACTAAGAGTTCGATTCGATAAACAAGCGACTATTGAAGAGTACTTGTACATGATTCAAAATGATGCCACGTCTATGATTGACTACGAGCAAACTGGTTTGCAAAGCATTGCCAAAATTAATGACGAAACGCGCACTGCCAGTGATTTCCGCACACTCCTGGTTGTCCAACCAGATGATGATTTGGAAGACGCAGATGAAGATCTTGGTTCCTGGGATCTCATGGCCAATACAACCGCGTTTGCTTCATACCCTCTAATGCTTGAGTGCTTCTTGCATAAGACAGGAGAGACGGTCCGGTGCAAAGCAACTTTTGATACGAATGTAATCTCTCCAGAGTTTATGGGCATTCTTCTGAAACAATTCTCGTCGCTCGTTGAGCAGCTGATTGGAGGACAGCCTGATCAACAGCTTGCGACCCTGAACTGCACAACCGTCGACGAGCTAGATGTTATTTGGGACTGGAATAAGTCTATTGCCGAGCTTCAGTTTGACTGCACGCATCATATCATTAGTCGACAGGCCAAGTTATATCCTGAAGCCTCCGCTATATGTGGTTTTGATGGAGATTATTCTTATCAAGAACTTGATGATATGTCTTCCCGTCTTGCCTTGCTTCTGGTTAAAAACGGATTAGAAGCTGGAAGTATTGTTCCGATTTGCTTTGAAAAATCATCCGCAACCATCATTGCAATGCTGGCGATTAATAAAGCAAACTGCTCATTCGTGCCGTTGAACCCGGCCGATGGTTCGCATCGTCATGAATACTTGATTCGCGAGACGAAAGCTACTATCGTTTTGTATTCACCAACAACGGAATTCCAGTTATCGACCATAACAGCATCTTTGGGCTGCTCTTCGATGTGTATCACACGGGATTTTATCTCTCACTTGCCACTTACTCATAATACCCTCCCTGTTTCTACAGGAGAGAGTGGCATATACATACTGTTCACATCTGGAAGTACGGGAACCCCTAAAGGTGTTGTTTTGAAACACAAGTCAGTCGTCACCAGCTGTTATAATCACGGTGAGCGTTTCGGATTCAACGAATATTCGCGAGTGTTGCAATTCTCATCTTACACGTTCGATGCCGCAATTTCGGAAATCTTTGCAACTCTCATGCACGGCGGCTGCGTGTGTATCCCCTCCGAGCAAGATCGTCTATCGAATCTCGCATATGCGATATCCAGCATGGATGTTAACACTACGATGATCACACCTACGGTAGCACGAATGCTTGATCCGAACTCGGTTCCCTCATTGCACACCCTCATTCTGTGTGGCGAAGCAGTTTCAACTGCTGATTACCAAAAGTGGTTGGCTCTTCCTAGACTCATCAACGGTTACGGACCAACAGAGTGTAGTATCTACGCCGTTACAGCTACTTATGAGGAGGTTTCCGCCCACCATGGATGTATTGGCCTAGGGGTGGCCTGCGCTACATGGGTTGTGAACCCAGATAACCATCAGCAGCTTGCACCTCTCGGAGCCATCGGTGAGCTTCTAATTGAAGGCCACACTGTATCCGAAGGTTATTTGAACAGTCCGGAAAAGACAAACTCCGTTTTCATTAACAGTCCTGAATGGCTTCGTACTGGCCACGGGCAGCACGCTGGCCGCCAGTCAACCCTCTACAAAACGGGAGATCTTGTCCGCTTCAATTTGGACGGCACACTTTCTTTCATCTCTCGCAAAGATACCCAAGTCAAGATCCGCGGCCAACGCCTCGAGCTTAGCGAAGTTGAACATCAGACTTTGGCAGTAATCCGGAACGCCGAGCAAGCTCTCGCTGAAGTTATATACCCCGGCAACGAAAAGTCTCGTGCCATGCTAGCCGTGTTTTTAACATTTAATGAGCTAGGGCAGACTTTCGATGATAGCTTCATCTCTGGAACTAGTCTTGCGGACGGTATTCGTCATGTGTGTCCCAAAAATAATGTCACGAATCAACTCTCAGAACGCCTGCCCGGTTACATGGTTCCATCGATTTACTTCATGGTGGATTCTATGCCGCTATCCTCTTCAGGCAAAGTCAATCGCAAATGCTTGCGCTCTGTAGGAGCGCAAATATCTGCTCAAGAGCTTGCCAACATGCAACGAGAGACTTCTACAGATTCTATTGAGCCGCCCAAGACACCCGAAGAGGAACGCCTTCAGCTTCTATGGGCTAGCGTTCTTAATGTCGACAGAGAATTGATTAGCAGGCAAGACAACTTCTTCCGTTTGGGAGGTGATTCAATTGCAGCCATGAAACTTGTCAGCTTAGCGCGTGCTCAGAACGATGCGCTGACAGTTGGTCAAGTGTTCCAGGCTCCAACGCTATCAGCTCAAGCAGCGATATTAAGAGGAGTTTCGGAGGACGAACAACCTGAAGAAATCCTACCCTTCTCTATTGTTGATGTTGGTACACCAGATGATCTTGCTTGTTTCTGCTCTTTATCACCAGCCGAGATTTTGGACGCATATCCTTGTACCGCGATGCAAGAAGGATTGTTATCCCTGTCCAGCAAAACGAGCGGCGATTACACCCTCCAAGCAGTTCTCGAGCTATGCGATACGGTCGACGTATCACAGTTCAGGGCCGCATGGCAGCGAACTGTAGAATCTCATGCAATCTTGAGAACCAAGATTATCCAGCATGACCAGCTGGGTTTGCTACAGATTGTTCATAACAAGCCAATTCGATGGGGTGAAGGTCGCAGCCTGTCTGAATATCTCACTAAGGATAATGGTCTACCAATGTCTATCGATGATGACCTTTGCCGATTCGCATTGATTCGATCTGAAACATATACGAATTCAACATACTTTGTCCTCACCATCCATCACGCACTATATGATGGATGGTCACTCTCTACAATGCTTCAAGATGTTGAAAGATTCTACACTGGTAACTTGCACGCCAGTACTCGCCCTCAATACAATGCTTTTATTAAGCATGTCTGGCAAAACCACCATGAATCAAACGCATACTGGCGTGAATATCTATATGGTGGCGACTTCACCATCTTTCCGTCAACACCATCAGTTGTCACTGAGCGTTCCATGCGATCATTTACGCAGGATTTTCCATTTTCTCAAGACAAAGGTTCAGAAACGACTGTTGCAACTCTTATTCGCGGAGCTCTAGCTCTTCTTATAAGTCAATACTCCAATAAGGCAGACGATATCGTCTTTGGAGCGACAGTTTCTGGTCGTAATGCACCCGTGGCTAACATCACCGATATTGTTGGACCGACGATTGCAACTGTTCCCATCCGTATCCGCCCTATACAGCATCAAAATGTTGCCGAGTATCTCTCTCTTATTCAGCAGCAAGCGGTGGAAATGGAGAGCGAAGCTCATGAACAAGCTGGTCTACACAACATTGCCAATATTAATACTGCATGCCGCAATGCTTGTGGTTTCCAAACTCTTCTTGTCATTCAGCCTCGGGAAAATGATTTTGAAGACGACAACAGTCTAGGAAAATGGATTTCAGACAAGAACCAGAACAAGGAATTTGCATTTTCCACTTACAACCTTACATTGGAATGCTTTATGAAGGCTAGCACCATTTCAATCCGCGCAACCTTCGATGAACGCACTATTGAATCATGGCAACTAAAACTCGCCATTGATCGCTTTGGTGAAATACTACAGAAGCTGAGCGATGCGCCCTCGACAACTGTTTTGGCTGATCTAGGCTGTCTGTCCGCCAGTGAGGCTGCGAAGCTTTGGGACTGGAATCGCACCGTACCATTGCCAGCGTCTCAGACCATTGTTGACATCATCGGTCAGCAAGCAGCTCAACAACCTCAGGCCTGTGCTGTGTCTGCTTGGGATGGCACCATGACCTATAATGAGCTAGATGAGCTGTCATCGTTGCTTGCACAGCATCTTGAGATACTGGGGGTAGGCCCAGAGACCATTGTGCCTATCTGCTTCGAGAAGTCTATGTGGGTAATTGTAGCAATGTTAGCTGTTATCAAAGCCGGCGGTGCTTTCGTTGCTCTAGGAGTCAACGATGCTCCCGATCGCAGATTGCATCTACTACATGAGACCAATGCTCGAGTAGTGTTGACTTCAAGGGCCTGCAAAAGCATCCAACTATCAGAGAGATGTATGTCTGTGGTTGTTGATCGCACACTCATCTCTCAGCTTAGAAACGCCTACATGGGCGCTCATTACGCTAGCCTGGCACAGGCTAGCTCACCTATGTACCTGATCTTCACTTCTGGCAGTACCGGAAAACCCAAGGGCGTTGTTCTTGAGCATTCAGCTGTTGCCCTAAGTTGTCTCTCACATGGCTCAGTTTATGAGTTCAGTAACGAGACGAAGATTCTTCAGTTTTCTTCTTACAGCTTCGATGCCAGCATCGTCGAAATCTTTACGGTACTTGCATTTGGTGGACGCGTTTGTATACCATCTGAGGATGATCGAATGAGCGATCTGATCGGCGCGATTCAGCGATTTGATATCAACACATTGCAGATAACACCTACAGTGGCTCGAACAATACAGCCAGTGGCGGTGCCAACTGTCAATACCATCATTCTTTGTGGCGAGGCAGTTACACACGACGACTATTTGCAATGGAAAGACTTGCTCCACGTTATGAATGGCTACGGTCCTACTGAGGCAGCCATTTGTTCGACAATTCAGGTCCTTTCGGGCGGTCGAGGTTCTCTTGACAGCATAGGTCATGCTGTCGGATGTACAACTTGGGTCGTCGAGGAGGACAATTCCGATTGCCTCGCAGCCCTTGGTACTATTGGCGAGCTCTTGATTGAAGGAAATACCCTGGCTCGTGGGTATCTGAATGATATTGAGAAGACTAGGGCGGCTTTCATTGAAGCCCCCAGCTGGCTTCTAGATGGATATGGTGGTCATAAAGGACGCGAGAGTCGCTTGTACAAAACGGGTGACCTCGTCAGATACAATGAGGATGGAAGTTTGAGTTATATTGGGCGAAAGGACAACCAGGCCAAGATAAGAGGACAGAGACTTGAGCTGGGAGAGATTGAGCATTACGTTCGTGATGCTGCAGATGGACTACGAGAGGTTGCGGCGGAAGTGATAGTACCTGGGGATGAGAAGGATCGGGCTGTGGTTGCTGTTTTCTTCACCACAGAGCAAGAGATGGAATTGAAATGGAATTTCACAGCAGTGGATAACGGGGTTGAGCTTGTCAGTCCCCCTCACGATTTGACGGTTGAGCTGTCTCAGCACCTACCGTCTTACATGATCCCTACAGTTTACTTCCACCTGTCTGAGCTGCCACTCATGGTTTCGGGCAAGACGGACAGAAAGAAGCTGAGGTCGATAGGCTCTGGCATGACGCATGCTCAGATTGCTGAATTAGCCCTCAAGAGTGAAGTAAATGTGGAGAAACGCCCGGCCCAGTCGCACAATGAAGTTATTTTGCGAGGGCTCTGGGCCAAGGTCTTGGGAACCGAAGAGACGAGAGTCGGCTTAGACGACAGCTTTTTCCGAGTTGGTGGTGATTCCATCACTGCCATGCGTCTCGCTGGCCTAGCCCGCAATGCTGGGTTCTCACTTTCAGTCAAAGAGATATTCGGCGAACCTGTGCTTGAGCTGCAAGCCAAAATCATGACTGTCGTATCTGATGTGGCTCCCATGTCAGCACCATTGTTGCCTTTTGAACTTATCAAGAGCTCGCAGCGAGATCAGATTGTCGACATGATAACAGCTCAAGCAAAACCATATAAGATTCAGGATATTTATCCTGCGACAGCCTTCCAGAAGGACACAATTCAGCATAATCTTGACACCAACAGTCAAGGATACAACTACTTTTTCTTCGATCTCGGAACCGGCATTGACAAAGATCGTCTTTTCTCAAGCTTCCAGGCGACCGTTGATCGCTTTGCCATGCTGCGAATGTTGTTCATATCGGTAAAGGATAACCTATGGCAAGTGATTGTGGAGGAGATGACCATTGCACCCATCTTCCTCCGCGCCGACACTGATATGGATGCTGCTTTCAAGTTGATGTGTGAAAACGATATTGCCCAAGGCTTCCACATGGGCGAGCCTTTGACAGCGTTTATGCTCATCCGAGACAAGAGCGGCAATTACAGGATGGTAATGAGACTATCCCACACCCAATACGATGGTGTCAGCTTCCCCATCATGGTCCAAACTTTGATGGACTCTTACAACAACAGCAAACCACCATCTATGAAGGAGTTCTCGCTTTACCTTCAACACGCGGCGAACAACATGGAATCCGGTCTCTCTCATTGGAAGAACCTCTTATACGACGCTCAACCTACTGTTCTTCCCATGCTTCTCTCGATACCAGATACCCATGCGCCACCCTCAAAGATCTTCTTGGAGCAGTCAATTTGCATCAACACCCCACTGCCCGAGAACATCACAATGGCCACCGTTACCAACGCAGCATGGTCGGTGGTCCTATCCAGCCTTGTCGGCCGACAAGACGTCATCTACGGCAGCCTCTCTACGGGTCGTAACTCGAACCTGCGCGGCATCGAGGAAGTTGTCGGCCCATGCAACAATGTACTCCCCATACGAGCTACCCTTGGTGATCAAATGACCCCCATGCAGCTCTTTTTCATGTTGCAAACACAAGTGCTCGCCTCCAGCGAGGCTGATTTCGTTGGTCTCGAGGATATTGTCAAAGAATGCACCTCTTGGCCAGTGGCGACTCGTTTGGACACAATTATTAAACACCAGGGCATTGACGAAAACTACCAGTTTGGATTTGGCGGCAACGCTATTGGAGCAGGCTACTTCGATAACCCCCACGATGTACCTGCTTCGTATCTTGGCATATTCACCTATCCCACCGCAGATGGTGTCAAGATTCAAGTCATTTCCAACACCCATGTCGTCAGCTCTACCAATGCCGCTATGCTCTTGCGCTGCATGAGCCTGGCGGTTCCTACTCTCCTTGCAGGCAAGGATGAGTCTCTTTCGCTTTGCCTTCACCAGATTGCTTCACTCATGGCAAAGCAGTAATTTCCATTCTTTTCCCAAAAATCACAGATTGGTCCTTGTTGTTTACTTGATACTTACAGGATTATTTCTCATGTTTCCTATGTCTTTGCTATTGTCTTGTTGGGTTATTATTGCTTTTAGTTGATAGTTTAATAGTTATTTGATAGTTCAGTTTAATTTTGAGTTTCACACACCCTGGTTTCCCTTCTTATGCCTTAAAATTGATTATTTCACAGACTCTTATTTGATGCTATTTCGTAAATATATTTTTTATTGTTAACTAAAAACTGCTTCCAAGGCCGCTTATGGACCGTCAATGTCCAAGAAAAAGAATGAATGAGAAAAGAAGGAGAAAACAGAAAGCAAAAGCTACCGTGAGCGCCGCCATCTTTTGGAAACAACTGTCGGTCAAATGTAATAAACTTATAAAGGTGAGCATCATGTGGTTGGCCAATGTGCATCATTTCATCTGGCTAGAGTTTGCCATGCATCATCATTCGTCGTTCGATTTATCGTCTAGTAGCATCCAAGCCGGCCGCCAAGTCCTGCTCCAGGCCGTTGCCTTGGCCTCCATTGTATTCCTGGGGCCTAGGGTCCTCTGCCTTCCACTGGCCAGCCTGGGGCATAGGGATCTGGTTGGGTGGCACCTGTTGGCCAGGCATGTTCTGTCCAGCACCGCCTGCAGAAGGCACTGTTCTAACAAGCTGGCGGAAGCGCTGGACCTCGTCAAGAATGACTAGGCGCATCTCACCGACATCGTCAAGCACCTCAAAATCGAAGTTGAAGGTCGTGGGGCAGTCGGGCTCGTCGCTAGCATCGTGCCAGATAGCCAGGTAAGGGTGTTCAAGAGCCTGCTCCACGCTGATACGAGAAGAGGGGTCGAATGCAAGGAGCTTGTCAAGAAGGTCGAGCGCGTCGGGGTTGGCGTTAGGGAAGAGGCTAGGGAAGGACTTTTTCTGCATGAAGGGCAGGTTTCGAACGTATTCCTGGGCGCGGGGAGAGCCAATTCTAGAGAGGGTCTCCTCGTTGGGCGTTCCGAGAATGTGAAGAATCTGGTTGAGCTGGTCGACGTAATCACGGCCCTTGAAGAAAGGTCGGCCGCCAAGAAGCTCGGCAAGAATACATCCAACAGACCAAACATCAACTAGGTACGCGTTAGAGACGGTGTCTTTGCGGGGTTCGCCTGTGGCTTGCGATGCAACTTACTGGCCTTGGTGTAGCTTTGGAAGCTGAGCATAATTTCTGGGGCGCGGTACCATCTCGTGGCAACATATTCCGTCATGTAACCAGCGTTCTCTTCGGGGTCGACAGAGAAGCCGCGAGCAAGACCAAAGTCGCAAATCTTGAGCTCACAGTCGGCATTCACGAGGAGGTTACCGGGCTTGAGATCTCTGTGGAGGACATTGGCGGAGTGGATGTACTTGAGGCCGCAGAGGATTTGGTAAATGAAGGATTGGAAGTGGGCGTCGGTAAGAGGCTGGCCAGAACGGATAATGGCGGCCAAATCGCATTCCATCAGCTCTAAATGTCAAAGTTAGCATCAGTGCGCAGGATGGCGGGGGAAGTAGGTGTGGCGAACCTTCGTAGAGATATGTCTCGTTGAAGTTGTCTGGGCGGGGAATATCCATGTCATAGAGGCAGGTAATCTGTATTAAAAGGATGTGTCAGTATCGGCTCGAAGTTTGTTAGCATCGGGGGGAGGTGTTTTCGTACGTTGCGATGGCCACGGAAGTGCTGGAGCAGCTTGATCTCGCGCAGGGCGCGCTTGGCGAGAATCTTCTTGCTAAAGACATTGGTGACCTTTTTGATGGCAACACCTTCGTTGCTTTGGTTGTTGACGGCAGCACTGCATAGCGTGACAAGGTTAGCTTAGGCTGTTGGTTGGTTGAGGCAGACTTGTGGTAGCCTTGTTGGACGGTAGCCGTAGCGCGGCGCAGGGCTCGCCGGACTGAGGGCAGGAACAGCTAAAACTTACCAGACAATACCATAGGCACCTTGGCCAAGCTCCTTTGTAACCGTGTATCGCTCATCGACAATAAAGTCCTGGTTGAAGACCTTGAAGACCTTGCGGCCCTGGAGATCGGACATGGTGGGCGGCTAGCGACTAACGGGACGAAAGAGGGGTGTTTGGTTGTGCTGGTGCTGTTTGCTAGCTGCAGGGGCGGGCAAGCAGAGACAGCGGCGGGAGAGTGAAAGATGGAGAGAGAAGTTATGGGCGAGCGTAAAGAAAAGAGAAAAACAGAAAAAGCAGGACGGGTGGGTGAAGTGAGGTGTTTAAGGCAAGAAATTGGCAGAAACCCGAAGACGAGGCCGTGGAAAGAAGGCTGTGAAGGCGGTTGGTTGGTGGTGGGTGGGCGCAAAGTGTCAAAAACGAAAAAAGGCACCACGTTGTTGGTTGGCGGCAGTGCAGCACGTACTGGCGCTGGGAAAGAGGGGCGGGTAGGGGGGATGGAGGGGAACCCAGTCAGGTAGCTGTAGCTGCAGCAAGCTGTAGGTACAGTACAGGTATGGTACAGCGGGGTGCTTCAGCGGGTGGTGACAGGGTTTAGTGGTGGTTGGTTGTACTGTTATAGTACAGTAGTTGCTGCAGTGGTAGGCAAACTAAAGAGATAGGATAGGGTGGAGGGGAGGAGGGGGAGGGGGGCGCATTGCTGGTTGGCCGGTTGAATTGCACGAAACACGAAGGACAGGGCGAAGCAGAAAGCAGAGGCATAGATTAATAATAAAAAAAGATTTTTACATTTCCATATTTCTTATTATATAACGTTATACTCTTATTATCTAGATATATTATCATTTTGCTTCCTTCCATTTTATACTGAATCATCATCTACAAGCAAAACCATACAACCACCGACACACTGCGCAATACGCCCGCCCCCCGCGCCCGCGCAAAGTGCCCAAAAAAAGCCCATCCACAGCGGCAGCAAACACCTTGCCATTGGTGTGAATCCCCGTGTCGCTTCCTCTCACTCACAACGCTGTGTCGCTAAAAATAAGAGACATTTTCTACAAGGATCATCTCCCCAATCCATGTTCATATACTTTGTACTTCTTCTTCTCATAATGCTGGTTGGCTGTGCTGACCATACACCCTGGTAAAAGCCCACCAACAAATAGCAGCGCAAAGCATCACATCACATCACATCACACATCGTAGGCGCACGCACCATCTCGCATCCTCAAATCACAGTGGGGGCAGAGCAGCCTGCTCACAAGTAGGTAGCAGCCTTTGGTTAGGGTACAATGCCAAATAAAAAAAGAACCAAACATAGGAAACAGAGCCTGCGCCCGCTGCCTGTCCGTGCACGTCCTGTCTCTCTCTCTTGTCTTGTGCGCCACGGCCCTCTCTTCCCCAGTGGCCCCGTGCGCCGCCCCCGATTGGGCTGACTCTGTTTCTACGCCTATGATTTGCTGTGCACCCACTAGCTACATCCTCAGGCTCAAAGTAATTACAGCAAAAAGGTGCCTGCACAGCCCAGCGCCGCCAACCCGCAGGCTAGTAAGAAACTCCCACTAGCTTCGTCCGGTGGGCTCCTCTCAGGCGGCTATCGCGGGGCTCTGGTGGGGTCGCCAGGGATAGCTTCTGGCCAATCTCGCGCTCCCAAGGGCCTTTTTCTTACCCTTCTGCTCATAAGCGGTACACGAGATATTCAATTCTTCCAACCGATACCGTTTGTAGGAGACCCAAGCCACTGCTCCGACACACCAGCAGCAACATGTCCGCAACACAGCAGCCCGTCTCAGTCCTCTTCGTATGCCTCGGCAACATCTGCCGTTCCACCATGGCGGAGGGCATCTTTCAGCATCTAGCCAAAGACCCAAAATACATCGGCAAGATTGGCAAGATTGACTCGTGCGGTACCGGTTAGTTGCTCAGTGCTCTCTTCTTCATCCTCATGGCGCCCCCCGTCAGCCTTGCTAACCCAGTCGGCCCGTCTAGCCGCCTACCACGCCGGCGAGCCTCCCGATGACCGCACCATGTCGACGCTGGAGGGTAAGGGAATCGATGACTACGAGCACCGTGCCCGTCGAGTAAGTCAGCTCCATTCCTTTCTTCCTCTTCTCGGACAGCTAATCTTCGAATGTGTGCTTATAGCTTCAATCCTCCGACTTTGACAAGTTCGACTACATCTTTGCCATGGACAAGAACAACCTCTCTGACCTTACTCGTATGCAAAAGGGAAACCCTGACGCCAAGGCCCAAGTCATGCTTTATGGCGAGTACTCGGGCAGCGGAAAGGCAGAAGTTGTAGAAGACCCGTACTATGGCGGGCAATCCGGCTTCGACAAGGCGTATGAGCAGTGCTCCCGATTCGCCAACCACTTCCTCAAAGAGGTGGTGGAAAAACAATGACTATACCCACATATACCAAATAGCAGAGTGGAAAAGGAGAGATTGTAACGCATCTATAGTAATACTAATGAGTAATCGTCAAATTTCTGAGACTGCCTCGCATGCATCGTGAACCGCTGCGCAACGTGATGCGTTCTTATGTCAGTCTCATATCATCGTGTAATTCAGCTGATGGTTTTGTTTCAAATCGCCTAAAGTTGCAAAGATATACCAATAGAACCGCTCTGAGCTGTTTTTTGGAGCCACAAAAAGCACGATTACCGTGGTCCAGATGCATACGCACTGACTGAGGCGTATCTTGGAACAGCTCCGCTCACAACAGCATGTCTAGTGCGCTTACATCAGTATCACCATTAAACCTCTATGCTGGTTTGCAGATACTTTGGAGAGTCTCCTTTTTAGCTTAAAATACTCGCAGCCTTCTTTTAGCCGCGACTCAATATTGCCCACCTCTATTCCAGCTTGCGTCCCGTCATGGAAAACAGCAATCTGAAACAGCCCTGTAACCCCACTAGAGCTTTAGCGAGTCCAGGCTCTCTGAATCGGCGCCTAGTGCACTAAACAGCGCGCCACTCCCATGCGCCACGCCCAAGCTTAATTTGGCTCCCGGCGTTGCATCCGCCCATTTCGCCTTGTAACAAGAACCCATTTTCGACTTTTGCCGCTGTCACAGAACAATGCCGACAACGATTTCTTCAAACGTGCGCTGCTTCCCACTCGAAAACATGGGTTCTAGGCGAATATTCATACCCTCCTCTCGCATTGTTTGTTCATCGATACGGCAAGTGTTGCTGTCCACCCAAAACAAGCTACCAAGATGAAGATCACTTGGGGGCTGCTGATAGCCGCTGCTCTCGCTGATGCTAAATTGCCAGCCTACAAGGTTTTGCCACTGGATGGTTCCGTTCAAGAAAGTGGTCCTTCGCTATATTTTAAAGACGGTTCCGTTATTCACAATGCAAAGTTACCTGGTGAGAATAGTCCACTACCTTTGCTGCAGTTGAAGCTGGTGTACTAATATGGCCTTCCAGATTTGATCGAACCTCTCCGCGGTGCTCGGTCAACGGCCGCCGGACCAGATAGCAGCTGCGAACCATTCAAATATCCAGTCATGGATGCTTCAGACAGCTGCCGTTTATACTCCCGCCGGGCCAAAGACGTAGTCAACGCTGTCAACAACACAACATTTCTAAAGTACTTCAAACGAGCCGACAAGAAGATGCGTGACCATATCGCCGGAATGTATGGAAGACTGGAAAAAGAATGTTCGAAGCCTGCTGGAGAGGTCAAACTGAGCTGTCAGCATCCACTCTGTGATCGCGGTGCCCTTTATGCCCTAGACGGTAACCAGACAACGGGCGAGACTACAGCTATCTACTGCCCAAACTTCTGGCCATTCTATGACGAACAGTACAGAGATAAGCACCTTTGTGAAGGAAAGGGTAAAAGAGACACAATGACGCACGGAGCCATGCTGCTATCCCACGTCAGCTGGACCAAGCCAGTCGGAGCTCAGTTCAAATTTGAAGGCGACTATATCGCAGAAGATCTTGGAGCGCTGGGTGACTTTGCCTACAATGAAGCCCACTACTGCCTTGACGTTCCCTCAAGGCGATCAGTTCGATAACTGGGAGAAGGCGAAATACAACCAAGATTGATGATTTACGGTAGCGTCTCTAGCAAGCAAGAGATTTCTCTTCCACTTTAATTCCCCTATATCCCATGTTCGCAACGGCGATGTATTACTGCTAATTCAATGTTCGGGCCGCTATTTCAAGGACCAGGCTTAAAGATCGAAATGTAGACTGTCATTAGCGGGGATAATTACACGTTTGAATTTCTTTCCTTTCACTTCAGTTATGTTCATCGTGACACTCTTTCGGTTGACTACGGCTTCAAACGGCTTCAAATAGACACGACAAAGGCGAAGGTAGTGATGTTACAGTGTGGACAAAGTAGAGCCAGCGTGGTTTTAATTTCGTTTTGTATTGAATTCGTGATTTGTTTCGCTTTTAATTGTATACAAGAGAGGGGATGCCATGCCGCGGCATAGCCAGCCAATACACTCCTGGACGCCGATGAACGTCCAAACTCAATCTCCGTCATCTGTTGCCCCAGCTTCGCTCCAACTCCAAAAGAAATGTTAGGAAAATGAAACCGACTCCCGCGCAAAGCCATAGCGTCCTCCAACGCTCAAGGCATAAACACAAACTCCCAGCTAGGTGCGAACGAGTAGTGACAGTTGCAAAAAGAGATAGGAAATAAAACAAAGTATATGGCAAACGCCGTGGCTGAAGGTGAAAATAAAGTAGGGTTAATATACAGTAGGGATACATGATCCATAATCGTTAAGGGCGGTAGGCGGGATGGACAGTCGATATCAAGCATCCGAGTCCCGCGCCAGCCGGGTAAATAATACAATATGTCGTTACACGGAGAGTTGCTGACGTTGTCTCTCTCTTCGAAGAGTCTCGAGAACGCCGATAAGGCCGTTGTTACGGATGCGCTCGAGAACAAGCTTCATGCCGTCACGGCTCTTGCCAAGCTGCGCAACGGTCTTGGTGGAAGCAAGGCTTTCAATGCTGCGTTGAATGCCCTTTGTGCCCCAACCTCCCATGAAGCCATTGAACCATCCGTCTTCCTGGGCTTGGCCAATGCGACCACGGATCTTTTCACCCAAGCGTGACTTGAAAATGACAGAGGTTGTGACTTCGGTGGACGTCTTTGAGCTTTCAGGGTCTGTGGGGATCTGAAAGTCCTGCTTCTCAACTACCGAGAGAACACCCGTGAAGTTGAGATTGCGGCTTTCCGTCTTCATCCATCCCTCACGGATATCAACAACAGTAGTCTCCAGAATATAAGAGGCCTTCTCGCCTGATCCTCCGCCCGTGACGCTCGTAGGAAGCAGCTTGAAAATAGCCTTGGGCATACGGCTCTTCTTCAGATGAAGGCGCGTCGTGTGCAGGCGCTGAGTTGAAGGGTCAACATGGCTGGAAATGGTGTCGGTGCTCATGACATGGGCGGCGAACGGGTTGAGCTGTGGTGAGGAGTATCGGAGGAAGTAGGCGAGTGTGACGGTCGGGAAGGGGTGGGAATAGGTGTGGTTGGTGCTGTGAGTGAGAACCATTTTGGCAATGGAGCTGCTCAGAAGCCCAATTGATATATGTGGTGGTGTGGTTTAATTGACTTGGGCTACGTCCGGCTCGGTCGGAGAAGCTCGTAGAAGCACGAGAGCCGACAAGATGCGCGATAGCTGGCGCAGAGAAAAAAAAAAGCGGAATGATCGAGAAAGAAAGAAGAATCAATTCTGTAGAATAGATACAGAAGCGGGGGAATATAGCACAAACAAAAGCAGCAGGCGATGTCGACGGAGCAGCCTCCGGTGCCTCTGAAGAGAGAAGGGAAAAGAGGGAAAACGGCAGGAGATCACGGTTTAGAGGGCGAATTTTCTCCTGACCTGCGGCAGGCTGGGTGGTGGAGCTTCTGATTGGCTAGAGGTGCGGGGAATGCCTAAAGTCCGGGGGCGAGAACAGGATCGACACGTGATGTGCGATGCAACCATCAGGCCATTAACACGCGAGCACATTCAACCGTGTAAGAGCATAGAAAAAAGGTAAAATATGCGTGTAAGGATTAGGTTATTAGGATTACATAGGTGCTCAAGTGGAATAGCCAACGTTTAGTATTCCTAAATGGGCCGGCATAGGAGAACCAACACATCCCAAGGATGCCGAATTATTATGTACTTGAATGCTTCAACACAACACCAAAAGAACAAAGTCTAACCGGTTTGAATCTATCCGGTAGGACATGTATACCGCCTTAAATCAAAAACTCCTTCTTTGCAAAGTGACCCATTACAATATATCCCTCGTCATACCTTGGCTTATCAATGCGAGCAATGATGGCGCCGTGGCTGTGCCGGACTTGGTGAATCCAAACTGGATATTTGCGCCATCCCACAGTGTCCAGTCCTCTAATCATTTCGAATTGACATGGCGCCAACGCCAGCGTTGGTTGTGTAGGTATGGAGAGTCTTCTTTCTCGGCTTAAAAGGCGGCGGTCCTCGGCGGTCATGCCACCCTCGTCGTCTTCGTCATCGGTACCGAGAAATTCTTGCGGTTGTGAGCTGTTGAGGGCCTCGTATGCATTTTCGACCTCATTTCGGATACCCTTTATGAGCAGTGGTACACGATACTCTTCGATGCTGATGCCCATCTGGCCTTGTTCATAGGCCTTAATGCGGCTGTAGGATCGGAGGTTTTGTACTACCGAGTTGGCGAGGTAGGCAACCACGCCGATAGGCACAAATACAGCTACTGTCAACATAAATGGGATATTCTTGACAAATTCCATGCAGGCTTTCGAGATTGATGAGTATGTCGGGCGTGACTTGATCTTGGGTCTTGGGGTGAAGGGCATGTCGGGATCAAGAATAACCTTTTCAGTACCCTCGATAGTGTTGATATTAATGCTTTCGAGCTTTGCGTATGGGTCGGTTTTCTGAATGCAAGTGGTATAGTACACAGCGCTTCGATCGTTGATAATGTTGGAGTATAGCGTATGTCTCTTGAACTTGCGCAATCCGGCCATGAAGATGGAGGAGGGATCAGCCATGACGGATAAGAGGGGTCGACTCGTATTTCGGAAGTCGTCAATAATGAAGAGTTGTCGGCCAGACATTGAAAGCGTCCTTGCTCCAACAACGTTCCAGATTGTGTTGTGCCAGCCCTTCAGGGGGGTTCGAACGCCGAGATGGGGGGAGGCAAACGTCGCAAAGTTCTACATGAGATTTGTTAGGTTATCATGTCAAACGAGCTTTGAGTCACGCTTAGGTTTATCTTACCATGCACTCAACTTCATCCAGAATGCCTTTTGCATGCAGCAATCCAACGGCATAGCGGGAAACCAGGCCACCGAGGGAGTAACCCACGATGCTCAACTTCGAGACCTTGCCACCCTTGTCACGGATTGCTTTGATTTCTTCTTCGATTTCTGCGCAGACACGCTCACCACCTCGTTCGATGCCGTCGTACGTGAAGCTTCCGCTGTTGCGTTTGGCCAAAAGTAGGTATAGTTCGTCATTAGAGTATTGATCGCGTAGACACTTGGCAATGTTCTTCATGTGTAGTGGATTCCCCCAAAGCTATTCGCCATGTTAGTGGTTTCATAACCAAATTTGATGCATTGTGCATAGCAAAATCACATACCCCGTGGACCAGGACACAAAGGTGCCCTGCCCGAATACTACCACCAGCGGCTTCCATGATGCGAAGAACGCGGTTTGGGGCGGGGAGGCGCAGGAGTGACGACAGTTTGAAGGTATTGTAGGGGAAACCTTTTGGGCAGAAGAAGGAGGGGTAGGCTATATAGGATAAAAGTTGCCGAGGATGAAGGCCGCGATAAGAATAGACAAGGTGGCGCGGGTTTACGCGAGCAGAATGCTGGAAAGGCCGCGAGAGGAAGGCTTTCGGGGGGAGTCGGCAGCGCCAGAAAAGTTGTCCTTCGGCGGAATATGACGTTGTCCGCAGTGCCGTTCCATCGCCCTTGGGCTGCAGGCGGGTGCCGACTGGGTGGGTGGCTGCCGTTACCCCTGGAACAACGCGCTGTCTGGTCCTTCGGGGGGGCCCTAAGGAGCAGGCTCCAGCGCTCACTGAACACGTTGGCGTTGGCCGAGGCTCGCTGGAATTTAGTGGTCGGGTTTAGCATAGTCCGCTCCGAACGTTGGGGACAATCACTCTGTAGGGTACATTGTTGAACGACGAATGGTTGGGCACCACAAGAAAGAATTTTACACTATTATATTTTGATTAACTTAGTATTTTATTTTTAATACACGCCCAGGTTCAAAGTCTGTTTTCCATCGGCTGTCAATGATTTTATGTTTACTTTGTAGTGTCTTATCACCACTACAGCATTAGCGTTTAGCTGCAGGAGCTCTGGCCTGGGCACGAGATGTCATCGCTGAGCAAGCTCCACTGTGAAAGCACTTCGCTTTTCCCTATTCTGTGTTTGTTCACTGCTTCGCAAGACAAATCATCTGCGTCGAGTTACATAGCCAAATTCTCTGGTTTTCTTTCTTTTAATCACTCGTCCTTTTATCACTAGCCCATTATTGCATCGCGATTACGCACAGCAACAAAACAAGCAACAACGATCTTCTCGAACAAGTGGCATCAAGCTCGAACATCGGTTTCAACCATGATAACCTGATCTGACACTACCACCGTAGTCACTAGTATGAGTTTAGATCTCAAACACATACCATGCCCGGCAGGGGATGTATGTACCGCTTTCAAGTGCATATTTGGACACAAAAAAGATATCATCACAGCGTCAGATTTGCATTCATCACCCAAGAGCTCAGAGCGTAGCCCCCAGACCAGCAGTATCGAGAAGCAACCGAAAGACACTCCAGTATTGAAGCGCCATGCTGTCGATAAACAGACTGTCAACAGCAAACCAGCCTCGGCTAACAGAACAATATCTCCACTACCAACAAAACGGTCTTCTACGGGAACCCCAACATCACGCCCGTCAAATGACAGGGACATATCCAAGACCGATGCCTGCCAGAAAGCACAGCAACCGAAAAAGGCGGAGAAAGCTATAAAAGTTGAGAGCCTAAACCCACGACTGCTGAAGCACTCTCCCGCCAGTCATGAGCTTCGTCTTAAGCTACTGAAGCTGCTCCATGCGGAGCTCAAACGTTTAAACGAAGAGTTGAAAAAAGATATGGGTGTCACAGACTCAAACCTTATTCTTTCTGATCAGGCTATTATTACAAGAGCACTAGACGAAGAAGAGACGGTAGCCACAGAAAAAGCTTCTGTATATGCGAATGTCATGAAGAACAAAGTTATGACGTTTAAGCGCAAAAAGGTTGCAGAGTGGAAGGAGGACCGTGTCAAAGAAGTATCTCAGACTTCTAAGAAGAGATCTTACAACGACATCGATGGTCCACCAGTTGAAATCAAAACGGGACTCACCTCCAAGCAAGAAGTTCAGTTGCTACATCACCTGTACACGCCCATCAGTGACCTTGCCAACCACGGTTACGTTCCTACTGTGCCGTCTGATGAAGCCGTCCAAGCAGCAAAGGAAGGGCTAGAAGCCGCCAAGGGGTGGGAAGTCTGTGATCGCTGTCAGCAGCGGTTCCAAGTGTTCCCCGGTAGGCGGGAGTCTGATGGTGCTCTCAGGTCCGGTGGCCCATGCAAGTTTCACTGGGGTAGAATGTACTTTCCAGATCGGAATCCTGGCGAAACCCTTCGCTTACCAAAGCGATACAAGTGTTGCAATCAAGAGATTGGTGAATCTGGCGGCTGCATCACGCACCCAGACCATGTGTTCAAAGCTAGTGACCCAAAGCGGTTGGCCATTATCATGAACTTTGCTCATACACCTGAAAATAAGAGTGTTGCAAATGATCGTGCTGTCTGTTTCGATTGTGAAATGGGCTATACAACATACGGGATGGAGCTTATTCGCCTCACAGCTACTCACTGGCCTAGCGGTGACCTGTTAATTGATATACTTGTCAAACCATTTGGCGAGGTCTTAGACCTGAACTCTAGATTTTCAGGTGTTTTACCCGAGGACTTGATGAATGGCCCTATTTGGCGGCCGGGCGATGCCTTAATACCAGAACGAAGAGATGAAAAAGAGCCGGCAAAGGATGGAGAGGTTCCAACTGGCACCAAGCTGAAAGTGGTGAGCTCACCCAAAGTTGCAAGAGATCTGCTCTTTTCCCAAATTTCCCCGTCAACACCACTTATCGGCCATGGCTTGGAAAATGATCTCAACGCTATGCGAATCGTTCATCCAACAATCATTGACACCATTCTGCTTTTTCCTCATAAAGCCGGGTTGCCATATCGACACGGCTTGCGAATGCTAATGGATAGGCATTTAAATAAGAAGATTCAACAGGAAACTGGTCCAAAGATGCTGGGCCATGATTCTGCGGAGGACGCAAGAGCAGCCGGTGAGCTCGTTCACTTTAAGCTGCTCGAACGGTGGAATGAGATGAAACGAGCGGGCTGGAAGCTTGTAGAGGGGGATTTTGTATCACCGGATAATCAAGGGAAGCTTACTGAAGAATTTTTGGAGAGGAAGCACTAAGAAGGCAAATACCCCATGTATATTATAACTGCTTCATGCGTTCAACATAACTTTGTTCTGATAAGAACGACTTCACTTCATATTTCGCATGTAACAAAGGAGAATTATGATTCATTGAATTTTGGCTTCTATAAGTACAAGATTTAGCTGCTCATCGAGCAAAAGTTAACATAAAGGGGGGATTTCCCATCTTCCTAAGAGAGTAATACATTGGTGCTTCCTCTAAGCTCTGCCAACAGAGAGGAGATACTGGCCACCACCGTTCTTGCCGCTTGGGAGGTAAGCGACATTGGGGTTGCTAGACAATGCTTGGGCAATTTCTCTGCTTGCCTCAATCTTACGGATCTGAACCAAGCCATCGCCAGACTTGGCCATGGCCTTGCTGATGGTGTCGGCACTCTCGGCTTCACCTTCAGCACGGATAACGTTGGCTTGACGCTCCTGCTCGGCACGCTCGACAATGAAGCGGGCACGTTCAGCGTCCTGTTGAGCGATCTGCTTCTGTTCAACAGCCTTTGTGAACTCGCGACCAAAGGTCATGTGGGTGATGGAGACGTCTTCGAGAGCAATGTTGAATTCGGCGGCGCGGCGCGTCAGTTCGTCGCGGATGCGTTGAGAGACAGCCTCACGCTGGGTGATGAGCTCGGCAGCATCGAACTGGGCAACGATGGCCTTCAGGACTTCGTTACCGATAGAAGGGAGGACACGCTCGTCGTAGTCGACACCGAGGTTCTAGAGCCAGTATTAGCATACAGTCATGCAACGGAATATCGAAGAGTATTATCTTACTTGGTAGATCTTAGGGAGAGACTTGACGACTGGACGGTGCAAGACACGCAGCGTCAAGCTAACCATCTGCAAATCCTTGGAGCCAGTCGTTGTGGCGATGTTTCTAGGCTTTGTGCGGACATCAAACAGAACAGCGCGCTGCAACCACGGAACCAGCAGGTGAGTACCCTCGCTAATAACCTCATCCTTGACACCGGACAATCTATCAAAGATGACGGCTCTCGTTCCGCCCTTGACATCGAAGATGGACTGAGAAACGGCGTAGGTTGCGATGGCGCCGGGAACCGCCATGCGGTAGATGAAGTTGAGGCCTCTTGCCGCGGCCGCCATTGTGAACTGATTAAACGTTGATGGCACAAAGACTGGCAAATAAATTGACGATGATGCTGAACGGTAAATACAGCGCAGTGAACAAACAGCAAGAAATCCGTTGCGGAAGCACTGGAGCTTGCGCGGGAGGAGTACTATTTTCGAGGTAGTGCGCTAGTCCATTTTGGGAAAGGTGGAATTTTGTCGGCTGCTCTGCGGGTGAAGACTTCGCTCGCCCGACCGTCAGCCAGCTAACCTCTTCCCATCTATCCGACAACACGCTTCCTCATCCACCACACAGTCAATTCTGCACAGAATTTCCTTTCAAAATGAGACCGACTCAGATGCTTAACGCCGGACCCAACTGGAAGGTTGGAAAGTAAGTGTCCCTCTGCCAGAGCGTGGCCAAAAGGAGCAGCAACGACGTGCGCCTTTTCTCGAGACAGCGACCAGCGAATCGAAAAGCGACGAATTGCTTCTCTGGAACGACCTCAATCAGATTAATACATTCGAATAAATCACTGACAATTCATTTTAACAGCTACCTCGGCCACGATTTCGGTGCCCTCGGTAAGTAGACTCGACGCGGTTGAAACGGCTCTTTCCAACAAAAGGGAGGCGATGGTACAACGATGGCCAATTACGAACCAAACAAACTCGGAATCTTTCTACAGATATGTTTAGGGACTCGGGTTGCTATTGTTCCATCGTAGCCCTTTTTGACGAAGAACCCGGACTGCAATTGCTCCTTCGATATAGACCGGAACAACCCGCTAACACAGTTACGCATAGGTGGTGCCAGCAAGCAGAAGGGCATTGTCACATACGGCCTTGCTGCTAACCGTCAGAACCCCTTCGCCGGGGCCGCTCACGACGCCATCTTCAACACCTTCCGCCGCACCAAGTCCCAGATCTTCTACTGGTTGCCTCCTTTGATTGCCGGCTACTACCTGATGAACTGGGCTACCGAGAGGTAAGCACGACACGAATCTCGGATCAAACGACAGATTGATACTAACCCCCGTCAATAGAAACCACTACCTCAACTCCAAGGCTGGCCGCGCTGAGTTTGGCGACTCTGAGTAAAGCGAATTACCTGATTGGTCGGAGGAGCAAAACTTGTATTTGGCAGTCTACGGACGCAAACTGTACATCACTGGCTAGAGGGGATGCAAGAGAAGCGTAATCATTAGAACTATTACCAAAACCTACGCGGATAAAATCCGTGTGCAAATTTACTTTGTCAATCAACAAGAACTACTGCATCGTGACTACTGCGACGTCGCGGCGAATGCCGCCTTTGCGTACTGTTCAATGACTCTGAGAATAGGCTAATCTTAGCCTACTAGCCTGTACGCCCTTTGGCATCTACTTAATCTGCCTATCGTTTTAAATATCATAGTGTAGGTAGTCATGGCATTGCGAGGCGATGATATACTGTCAATGTCACGTGACATGCCTCCCGGAACGGGTGCACTGAGCCACCGAAAATTTTGGAAGGCAAGCTCCAGTGCAGTCGGTGGGCAGAAAAAGTTGCAGCCAAAAAATTTCGAGCCAGAAAAAGTTAGACGCAACGCTTCAAGCCTTTTCCACCCCAAACCACCACCACCGCGGCCTTAGAATATCGACAGCAATTGCATCAATTGCTGCGACATTAAAGCCGAAAGTTTGAAACCAGATTGATTTTCTTGGTTTCTCCTCTTTACAGCATACAACCCGAGTTCTAAGAGTGTTCAATCGACGCCGGAAGAGCAACATCCGCAGCAATGGCCGCCGAACGCCCCGACAAGAAGGAGAAGAAGGAGAAGAAGAGAAGCGAAGAGTCTGGCATCCACAAGACCAAGAAGGAGAAGAAGGATAAGAAGGACAAGAAGGAGAAGCTCGCCGCCGCCCTCGAGGAGAAGCTTCAGCAGGATGCTGAGCCCAAGACGGTCGACTCCGACTCCGACATGGAGGACGAGGAGACTGCTGCCGACCTGCCCGTTGAGCGCACCGTCGTTCCCTTTGCCGTACCCCTGGCCGACGAGAAGGGCATGAAGAAGGTGTACAAGACTATCCGCAAGTGTACGTATAGCCAATGTCGAACCGAGCTGCAAATGTCCCTGTTCCTCTGGGGACTGGGCGTTATGTAGCTCGGGAAGCGGCACCGCAACTGCAAACTGGGCATCAAGAAGAAAATAAGCTTTACTAACATTGTCTCCCCTGCTATAGCTGCCAAGGCTGGCACCCTCAAGCGTGGTGTCAAGGAGGTTGTCAAGACCCTCCGCAAGTCTGCCGCCGCCGGCCCTGGAAACACCTCCTTTCCCGGCCTTGTCATCATTGCCGGCGACATCTCCCCTCAGGACGTCATCTCTCACATTCCCGTTCTCTGCGAGGACCACAACGTTCCCTTCATCTTCGTTACGTCGCGCGCTGAGCTCGGCGCTGCTGCCAAGACCAAGCGCCCTACCAGTGTCGTTATGATCATGGAGAAGGCTGACGGCAAGAAGGCCGCTTCCTCCAAGAAGGAGAGCAAGGACGATGATGAGGAGGGCGACTTCGGCGAGGCCTACTCCTCGCTGGCTAAGTACATCCAGAAGGAGTACACCAAGCAGAGCTTCTGGGCCAAGGGCGAGTCTAAGGCATAAATTGCCAAACAGCCCTCGATAGCTGCGACCAGCATATTCCGGGAGGGATTATAAGGTGTCTATTTTATGGGTAGTCGAAGGGGGAGCACAACCTCTGCAGCCACGATGGCTGCATGCGTGTGGATGAGTGCTTTTGCCTAACAAAAACAACTGTGTTGTGGGTTTCGATCTGGATGTACAAAACACAAAACCAGAAAGGGATGTATGTGCACGGCGGCGTTCAGGATTCTTGTCTGTTTACTTATTGTTTTTGGTTTTATCATTTTATATCTCTGCAAACCCTTTTTGTAACGTCATGTTAGTTTTGTTTGCATCAAACAGTTTACAATACAAACTTGGTTTGCCTCTTTTGACTTGCATCTACCGTGTTTAACTAGGAATAACTTGGTTACATCAGCAAGACTTTGTTTGTTATACGTTCGTCTTCGTCTGATAGAACATCTCACTTGAAACATTGGCTTGGACGTAGGATGAATTTTACAAGATTATATTTAGTTTCATGTGGGACTAGAGATACAATAAGGAACCATTCAAGCGAATGTGGCAGAGTCCCCCAAGGAAGGGACCCTGTTCCCTGAACCACCAGGGACGGCCCATCTCAAGTTCAACCCGAGATCAACCCACGATCCTCATAGCGTGGTATACACCCCTCGAACCGCTTATTCGAAGGGGTTGGAGCGCGTTCCCCACCAAGTGAGGAAGATGGACAAGCCCACCGTCTCGAGGGCCTTGGCAACAACGCTGGCGGCAACGGTGTCAATGGGGCGCTTCTCAGTGAAGATCTGGGCAAGGAACTGGACAAGAGGGGTTAGCAAGTAGTCAAATGTTTGGCAGAAAGTCAAGTCAACTTACACCGGGGGCAGCGGTAGCAGCGAAAATGAGACCACCGAGGTAGGCAGCGCCCTTGTAGCTCAAGGTGCCGGTGGCGTTGATGAGAGCAGCAACACCGTAGGACTGGAGACCAGCTCCGACGAAGGAAGTACCCCAGGCAACGGCAGCACCAGCAGCCTCCTTGGACTTAAGGAACTCCTCCTTGGTGTTGGCAGCCTTGGCGCGCTGGTAGGTCTGGCCGAAGAGGGGAGCCATGACGGCGAGCTCAACACCATGGCTGAAGACGGTACCGAGGGCAATGGCCGAGGGCTTGACGGGGGGAAGGTCTGTATGGAGAGGAAAGAATCCGATGGTTAGCTCACCTTCATGATGAATCAAAGTCGGCAGTGGCCTTTCTTTGGTGGCCGTGCTCTCTCTCGCTGTTTTTTGGCCCTCCAGCTTTTTTAATCAAACCAGGGAAGCTTTAGCGGTCGGCCGTTGGGCAATTCCACTATGAGCCACCGGTGACGTAAAGCAGAGTTTACCCCAGCGCGGGCATCGCCCCAAATGCAAAAATTACAGTTTGGCGGCGCTGCTGTTTCCAGCGGTGCGGTTTGCTGCGGGGCTCCTGCTGTTGGCGCTGCTGGGATGCTGTAGCTCACTGGCCCATGACACCAATCGCCCCCCCAGCTTCCCCAGACTGGGATCCCCCTCAGGCGATTCAACAGGCGCTGTGTTGTAGGCGGCCAGTGCCAAAGCGGTGCCAGCAGCCAGCCTTTGAAGAGACGCGGCGAGGGAGGACGACGAACAAAGAGAGAAGCAATTGCGACCAAAAAGTCCAAGGTACGCTTTATTACTTACAGTGAAGAGACATTGTGAAGGTGTGTTTGTTTGGTTTGGGTTGGAAGAAGTGTAGATGAATGGAAGTAAGGTGGTAGATGATGGGAAGAACAAGAGGAAAAGGGAAGAAGCTCCAACCGGGCGACGTCACGGTTTTATTCCTCGTCTACCCTCTGCCCATCCGCTTTTAGCTCCTCCTTGTCTCTCAACAAACCGAATCATATCATTCGGCTTAGTCTCTGCCGCCAGTACGTACTGTGCAGCACCCGCATTGGGTGCCGCTTCCTTGATTTACTCGCACTGGACGTGCGCCACAGTTGCGGTGGTATACCTGCCCATGACGTTTGTCGCTACCAAGCACTAAAAGCTTGTTTTTGGCCTGCTGGGGCTAGCGTTCTAGACCTGGGTCTACGACCCATGCGTTATTTCCTGTGGCTCAACAGCACGGCCGTGTGGCTCGTGCCAGTCGTTTTCACCAGCTAATCCCGCTAGAAATGCCATCACCAGAGTGATGACATCACCACTTTTGTAGCGCCCGCCGCGCCCCTCATACCGTCGCACGCACTGTGCAGGCCCCTGTGGCGTCAGCACCTCCTCAAGTCAGCTATGATGGATACCACGATCGTGGCTTAATTAAGCTGCATACGCTGATTACCGTGCCTTCCTAATACCCTTGGGTGCAAAAGAGCTTGTCTGTTTTGAGCCGAGACACGCAGACCGGGCCGCGCAATCACCGTTGTCAAAGCCAGTGGCAACGTTGCGCGCTATTCGGGTACGGTTTGCATCGTGTGGTGGGACGCCTCTAGTAGCGTGGTTAAAGCCGACAGAGACCCCTGCCACTTCATATTGCTCGCTCAACTCAAGTACACTTCCTCAGACCGCCCATCCTCCGTCGCGATCAATAGCTGTCGTTGGGTCGATAGGTGACGAAGGCGGCGCATGTGAAGTACCAGCCCGGCAGGACTTACTGTATCAATATTCTCTATTACTTTGCTGGTCTAAAAAATATCCGTTAATCAACAACCAACGCACGACAAGAACACCTCCAAGACGTCCAAAAGAAGATACTGTATATTTATCGTCGACCTGTCGTAGCTCTGACACGTCGGTCTATCTATGCGAATTCATCGTCGGCTTCCTCGATCGTGTCCTTGATACGGACGAGCAGTGTTGTCTTCCACTTATCGAGCTTGTTGATCTGGTCAAACTGGAATAGCTTGTCTGTGAACTGCTCTTGGCTCTTGGCGTCAATCGCCTCGCTAAGATCCACCAGCAACATGTGCTCTCGCTGGGTGGCAAACTGAGGATCCATATCTCTGTACTTTTCGAGCGCGCGGCTTGTAGCAACGGAATCGCCTGTGGCAAGGTGGCAGATTCCTGCCTTGAGGAAGTAGTCCTTGACGCTGTATCTCATCAAGTTGTTGTTGATAGATTGTGCCGCCACCTTCTCGTAGTTCTCAATGGCCTTGTAGTAGTCGCCCTCCAGCGCAGCAACGTCGGCAACCTTGAGCCAGAGCTTGTTTGCTAAACTGTATTTCAAAACATTGTTAGCCGCCCATCATTTTCCAGCGGATTATTTAGACCTACGCATTGGCTCCGTCGCCCTCATACCAAGTGGCAGCGTCTTGGAAAGCGTCTAGCGCACTCTTAGCGTCACCATTTTGCTCGAACATCTCTCCAAGCTGCTCCTTTTGCGAAGCCGCTCTGCGGAAGTTGCCCCTGGTGCAGTATCTTTCAATAGCAATGTTAGCTCCGCGCGCCGCAGCTGCGAAATCGCCACCGCTTCTGTAAGCCTTGAAGGCGTCGATAAGGCTGTTGGCAGCATCGTCGGGCTCGTTGAGGTTTCTGGTTTGGATATCGGCCGCCTTCTCGAATGCTTTTCCGGCATCGGTATCTTGTACATCATTTAGTAAGACGATATAGCCAAATAGGCAAGCTAGGGATCGGCAAAAACGTACGGAGTTGCTGCATTTTGAAGGCGTTGGCAGCCTGGATGTACAGGTCTACCGCACCCTGGTACTTTTCCTCACGCCCACCAAAGAAGGAGAAGCCGCTGCCGGCGCCTGACAATGCCTTGTCGGCCTATCCCCATGTTGGGATTGTTAGCATCGTCTGCTTCTACTCGTTGTGCGGGTTTGGTGGGGGAGGGGTCGTCCGGTAGAGCGGTCTACACACCTTTTGCAAAAGAGAATGAGGATCCTGCGCCATTATGTCTCTTCGTTTTGTATAGGCCGAATATTATTATCTCGTTTTTAGAACTTGACGCCCGCCTTTCTTCACGATGGTTGTTGTAGGGGACTCGTGGATGTAGACGCAAGAAAGTGAAATGCTGGCCTCTGACGACGCCTCCGAAGCCGTGCTGTAGAATCCTGTGACAGCTCCCAGACCCGACCCACTCCTGCGTCTTTGCAACCCCCATCATTGCAGTAGCTGGCGCGCGCAAATACATCCGATTCGAAACACGGCGACTCTATTTTAGAGAAAGATTGCTCTAATTATTGTTCACATAATATCTACATCATGTCCATCTGCGCCAGCTGCCGTGCTGTATGGCGACAATCTCTTCGTCGCAATGCCTGCCGTACGCAGTCCGCAGCTTTCTCAACCAAATACCCCTCGACAGCATCACAAATTCTCGCCAAGCCAACATGGTCTGTTAGATCTCTAACTTCGCCACTAAATGATGCGTCTCCAGTCGAGGCCATCTCATCATCACAGCTCCACCACTTGCTCCGGCTATCGGCGCTCCCCCTACCAACGTCGAAGGAGGAGGAGGCTTCCATGATCAAGACGCTACAAAGCCAACTTCAATTTGTACGCGCAGTACAACGTGTCGACACTAAAGGGGTTGAGCCTTTACGAGCCATACGAGACGAAACACTACAAGGAGTAAAAGAAAGAACGGTGTCACTGGACAGCCTCCGAGAGGTTCTCGATCAGGAGACCACGGTTGGGCATTACAAACGCCCACGGAGAGTCAAATCCAACGTGCAATCAGATGCGGAAGACTGGGATCCCTTATCGGCAGCGTCGGAAAAGGCAGGCAAATACTTTGTAGTAGATGCAAAGAAAGCCGGACAGGATTAAAGGCATGAGTTTAGAGCTGAGGTTCCAGCAAATTTCTTGTATTATCAACAATCAGACGTCGCTATCATATGTGTTATATACCAAATGTCAATTCTATCTCGTATATCCGCCTGCTTTTAAGAAGTTCCCTTGTTTGGCATCGCCTCGCCTTTGGGTTTAGGTTTGGGCACTCGCTCGTATGCATTTGGGCTCGGAGGGCGTTTCTCCTTGTCCTCGCGGCGCTTCCTTCTGCGATCACGCTCTTCGTCGTGATGTCTGTGATCGCAGTCATGGCCATCCTTTCCATGATCATGATTTGGTCTTCTCTTTGGCCGTCGGTCCTCGTCCGGCTCGGAGTCGGAATCTGTATCAGAATCGGAAGAAGACGAGGACTCGTCGCTGGATTCGTCTGCAGCCTTGGGGCGGTGGTAAATACAGCATACTAGATAATTTGTTAGTTTCCAACTCTCCAGTAAGAGCATGCATAAATCCACATACCTTTCGAACTCTTTCTACCAAGTCCTTCGTTGTCTACGACATCTTCAGCCCATTGCACTGATCGGCCGTTGGAAGCATGCCGGCCGCGTAGTCTTAGGATCCTCGGCGCCGCTTCTGTCTGTCTTTGTTCGGGCTCTCGCGTTTGTGTAGTTGTTTGTGATGGTCTCGGAACCGTCGCAGCCGCCTGGGCCGCCTGCTGCTGCTCTGCCATGCGATAACAGAGACCTGGTTTGTAATGTGGCGGGGTCCTGGTGAAGAAAAATTATAGCAAACAGCCGAGGCTTGAGTGTTGCTCAGCGGTGCGGAATAATACTGATAAGTTATGGGATTTTGTCTAGAATATAGTATCAGAAAACCCCGCTCTGTATATATTGGTTGTGTCTGCGCAAGGACTCTGCTTCTGGCTTGTTGGTTGTTGTTGATAGTGTGATGTTCGACGTCATGTTGGCGGGTGAGCCAGCGGTGCTGCGCTCTAGAGGCTTGCGCGGTCACTAGGGGCCGCCACTACACAACCAGCATAGACCAGCAGCAGCATCTGGCATAGGACCACCAAAATACTGAGTTTAAATCTGTAATAAATTTATTCGGAATATAGAAATGTGACGAAGTGGGATATACATATATTACAACTTTTGAGGTTCCGCTCTTCCGCACCTATCGTGCGTACTAAATTTATGATACGTTTATAGTTACAAATTGTTAATACACGGCCATAGTCTAAGCCGAAGCTCTTGCTCTGGCCCTTGCTAGCTTTTTCTGTCCCTTCATAGCTTTCCTTGGCCGTCCTTTGCTAGCAACAACACGTGGTTTATTATTGAGCCATCCATTTATGGGCTGGCGTTGGTCGACAAATCTTCCTTCTGGCGTAAATACGTCAATAGAAGGCCATAGAGGCGCACTAGGAGGCTTAGAGGATGTGTGTTTCTTTTCAGGAGCCTTGGTACGTTTTTCGTTGCCAGATTCAACTCTTTTCTCCATCATTGCCGCAAATGGGTCGGACTCAGGTTCAGTGTCATCCATGTCATCAGTATCACGGAATGCACCACCACGCGGCTGACCGTTGAGATCCAAGTCTCTAGCACGCACCTGGGCAACAATCTCGACATATCCCACGCCTTCAATTAGGATATCCGTAGAAAGCACTCGGAATGGCAACGTTTCAATCTGCAATCCAACCGCGTTTTTTCTAGTCAGAGGCCCAGCTCGTTGTTTGGTCACATCATGGCGCAATTCAAATCTCCCTGCGTGTTTAATGGTTCCAGCTGTTTCCGGCAGACAGATGTTTTCGAGACCGTCAAATTCCCTGGTCTGCTCTTGGAACGCAATAGCCTTCTCGTTGCTCGTTAAGTGCTGCTTCAAAGGCGTAAAGTTATACATCAGGAAGACTAAGTTTTGAGTAGTTGGAGTGATACGGATAAGACCACCGCCGAGAACGAGAGACTTGCCGCACTGAATGGAGACTTGCTCTGGGACTAGACGTTTCTTCATAATAATCGACTGGCGGTGTTCAGGTTGAACAAAAAGCTCGAGGTCGCTGCGAGCAAGACCCGGTAAATCAATCAATTCGCCTTTGCTATCACCAAAGGGAATCCGGATGGGTGATGCAGTGGTGCCAGGCAATGAGGACACCAAGGGCATCTCAGGAAAGTTAGCTGCTCGTCTTGCTGGAGGAAGGAGATCTCCAAGGTCTGCCATATGCTCGTAGTAATCATCCTCTTTGACGGTATCAGTTGAAGAGGTATTGCCCTGCGTCGCAGGGTGACCTTCTGCATCCTGTGGAAGAGTTTTGGAGGTCATTCGACCTTTTGGGTAGACAGCTTCGAACAACTGGCTTTTGCCCACATTGACCTTCCCAACCATCCAGCCTCCGCCACCTCGATTCCAAATATCATCTTTTAATTGTGCCGTCCACCATCCTCGTTTTGCGCTAACGCAGCGCACATTTCCCAAGCGCACTCTGCTTCCCATGCGTCCAAGAGCATCTCTAAGAACCTCACGTAGATACGGCATCAGGCCATCAACCTTTTCTTTGGTAGGTCCTAAGAGGTCTGCTCTTGTGATGATGAAACTCATTTCAGTCCTGCCATCTCGGTAGAACTTTGTTTGAGAACGGCGGTTTCGCGTTCGAAGTTTAATATCGCCGATCAGTTCATTCAGTCGAGGTATCAACGACATTGGAAAGTCGGCAGCGTCTATAATATGATATATATGGTTGTATTTGTGTGGAGATTCTTCCATTGTTTCTCGGAGTGTCTCAATTGTAGGATGATGCATCGGTTGCATTGCCGAAGCACTCGCTACGCTATGGTGGACAAGATTGTGGCATCGGTCGCAGACGGGTGGTCGTGCACGTTCAATAGCTGCATTACAATTAGTTAAAGGAAGGCACCAGTTCAGCTCAGACTAACATACATGTTGCTTGTGCCTCATCGTTGTTCGAGATCAGGGTATCCTCGCTGAAGCCAAGTTCTTTGAGCTTCGCCGGGTCCATAGACTTGAGTAAGTCTTGCACCACACCATTCTCGGCCTCTTCCGCGTTCTGTAACTCAGTTGATCTCGGATTCAGCCAATTTCTAACTCGTTTCGCTTCGGTGTCGTAATAACCAAAGGCTTGTGCGTCCACTGTCTGCGTCAACGATCCACAGCCGCTGCAGGCTAGCGGTAGTCTCCTGGTTGGAGTAGGTGGTGTTGATTGGTGTTCATCTTCTTGAATCGTCGGTTGCGCCTCGCTGTGCGTGTTTCGCGTCTGAATCGCAAGCCTTCTGCCTTCATCTCGAACCGGACCGCTCCTCACTGACTTTGCGACAACGGATGGGCATAAGAAAAGTGGTAGGCCGGCTCTAGGCAAGGAGTCGCCGATGCGCAGGCTCCGGTGAATCCAACGCGCGCTCAGTGCTCTATGCATTTTGGGTGACAGAAGTCATGTTAAAAATCAAGTGCAAAATCAAAATACCATGGAAACCATGGTTCGTGCATTGGAATAGAAAAGTTGTCGCGTGCTTGCATGGAAAGGAGCGTTATCGTTATCCGGATGATTAGCCGGTCCGCACCCAAAGGGGTCCCGCTAACATTTTTCCCTACGCGGAACCTCAATGCACCAGAGGTCGCATACCAGGCCATTTGACATTTCCTCGAAATTATTGTACACAATATCATCTACGCCCTCGCCATCGGCACAACAATGAGATCGTTAGGCGAGAGATTAGTCAACCTCCGCACGGTATGTTCGAATTCGTTTACTCCCCGTTATCCAACTCAATTGCGCATGTTTGCTAACGTTCCTGACAGAAGGTAAATGCGACCCCGTGCCATCTCCTAGCTACCGTACAACTAACACGAGATCCTTCCTAGGTTATGAACCTTCGATGCGGCCCGGGCGCTGCTATCTTCCCCGAAGAAGTCACAAGAATACACATGGACTTTTCCAATAAGACACAGGGTGGTAACATGGGAGCCAAGTACGCCTGTCACGCGCACGCGTCCAGCGGCGCTCTCTAATTTGCAATTCGCTACAGCTCGCTAATACATGGTCTCATTGCAGGAAATTCTGGCGCGAATGCCTTCCTCGACTTAAGTTTCACAACCCAGCAACCCCGATGATTGTGAACCGACACCCACAAGAAACCGTCTCCCCCCTCCTGTCGATATACCTGCGCAACTCTACGCCTGCGACTACACTTGGGCCCCTCGTTCAGCCAGCCTCGTCCCGCGACGGAATTTCAAAAGCAGCTCAGCCTTCTCCGCATGAGCGTGTTGTCACTATTGACATGAAGGACAAGCATTCATCTCAGATCCTCGAACAGTTACTAGCAGAAACCCGTGCGGTAGCCGTTGAACCCACAGCAGAGGACAGTGCTGAACTACAAGCGCTTGAGCGTGGAAAGAAACGGTCTGAGAAGGATCGCGCACGCGTGCAGACTCTGAAGGATGCCAAGCAGAGAGAAGAGGAAATGCTGAAGAGAGCCAGAGCTGCCGGCGGAATCGTAGAAGATGCGGCTTAAGATGTACATCTATCGATGTACTTGTACAACAGAAATTCATTCATATCCAAGGTTTAAAAGGTTGTGTAAATATATTAACGCTGTAGCATAATTGAACAACATACAAATACAAGTTAGATCGTGCCATCAGAGTGCATTTCGAAACACAAACGGGTATCATTCATTACTATTATTCGGCAAACATAGGCCTCATTCCGTAGCATCGTGCTATACGGGCTAAGTTGATCTTTGACTGAAGTTAAAAGGGAAAGGAAGTTGCGTTACTTCAATCCAAAGCCCTCGCTTTCGTGCACAGCTCGCCAGACCATGTATTCAAGCTTTTCCTTTGAGTCGTAGCGCCAGAGGGAAAGTTGGTTAAAACAGGTTCTTGCAATCGGAAATCGGTCTTGATTGTCTCCGAGGCATGATATCTTGATGGACAATGCAGATGCACCGGTAGCTGGTAGACGATCGCTGCCTGTTACAAAGAGGAGCAAACGTCGCTGATCGTTGGGTCCAGCTTGTTGTAAAGACTCCCAAAACCAGTCAATGACAGGCTCAGAGCCATCCGGCTGCTTCGTACCCCAATTATCATAGACTGCGACTGCCCTTAGAGCGGCTACATCAAGGGGTTCATCAGAGCCTCGGACTAGTAGCTCAATCTCCTCAGGCCGAAAAAGAGAGAACGCATTTCCACCACAGACGGTATAAAAGCCACGTTTGAAAGCCTCATATTGCCGATGAACGGATGTTTCCAACACATACCGGACGTAGAGGTCAACATACTCTCGTCGGTTAGAGTTGGTAACAGGCTTTTTATCGCCGCCAGCGCAAAGTGGAATGGGGATCTTGTAGCCATATTTATCCGTCTCTATAACGAAGTCAAGCGAAAATACGCTCTCAACGTCTCCGTTATAGTCCAGCAACTGCTGTAGCCCTCTTGCAACTCTGGGTTGATATTCAGCCAAGTGTTCCAGTGTATACTTCATATTCCGCGCGGCTTGGCTCAATTGAACGCCACTGTAAAGTGGTGCCGATGTAAGCAGCTTGCGAAACGTAAATGGAGGTAATGGGACATCCAAAATCGTACTGTTATAAATAGCCAGGCCAACCACAACGCCAACAAGGAAGAACTGGTCTGACGTTTCAAAGGTGTTGGGGTTGAAGTAGCAGTACTTGGAATCTTCATCATACAAAAACAGGCCTAAATAGAGTAAGTAAGCGGCCATGAATGTCCATCGTGCATATATATGGCTTACCGTGGTCTGGATGGAATACTTCTCTCACTAAGAGCAGAAACCACTCTTTTCGCAGGCCTCCTCCATCAATACCATCTTCACCAACGAACGTAATACGTAGGCCTTTTTTGAGATCATCACTACCACTTCCAAGCACTTGGCTAACGGCGCCAAGGCTATCTTCAACCAGACAATCCCGACGAACATCCAATAACAGATACTGATTTACATTTTTGTTGCTCAAAATGTTATCAAGAAGTGCGTCTCGAGCTTTCAACTGCATCTGTCGTCGAGTTTCGTGCCCCAAAATTTGAATTTTTGCCCAAATGCTCATTAAGAATGGATACTGGCAAAAGGAAAACGAGCTTTTCTTCGTTTCCCAGGCCTCAAAATCTGCATGGAGGTCAACATAATCTACCATTGAAACATAGAAATCGCTGGCTGGAAGGCCCCGTCGTTTTCTCGAAGAAGCTCGATGGTGTGTGTTCTCATTGGCTGCAAATATGATAGCCAGAACTTTTGCTGCTGCATTAACTTGCCAATCTTCAGCGTAAGTAATCAGCTTTGTCTGTGTTTGGGTTTTCTTTGTCGGGCGTAGCACACTAAGTTCGTCGTGAATATAATTCCCATTACGTCCAATCTGCATTTCTGGGACAAGGTCGCCCGTGAAGTCAACCTTGCCTGGCTTAAGGTTCTGTTTCTTTTCCTGGTGTCGCAGCAGCCTATACGTTAGAAAGCTAGACGTAAAGTCTTTGATTCTAACAAAACGGTGCCATTCACACCTGCTTAGCCAGGACGTAAGGCGTTGGTGGCATTCTGGTGGTGAGTTGGATATGAGACCAATTATACGCTTGATTATTCCGGAGTGCTGGCCGGAAAGGGGTCCGGACGATGCAGTTTCTCTATTGCTGCTTTCCTTCCCAGGCAGAGGTCTTTTGTCTCCTGAGGCATTACGAAACTTATGATTCGAGTGCAGCAGAGGGTTCTCAAGAAGAATGATCAAGAAATGCATATCCTCCGGATGTCTGAGGGGTTTTCCTGGACGCTTCAGGAGGTTCTCAGTCCACTTCAAAAGACAACCTTGTACATGTTCTTGAGCAACTAAAATATCCCTCTCCAGAACCGCGACCTGATGGTCCGACGGCGGCGAGAAGCCGGGGAGGTTTGAGACTTCCTCAAAGGCAGAAACCCATGTTGCCCCAGCTTTGGTCACCATGGAATACCATTCAGCCAAGTTTTCCCAATGGACTTCATGAAACCGAGAGGTCTTCTTTAACGGTGGTGAACTCCTCTCATCCGTGGCAGTATCGCGGTTCTGCTCCTGCCAAGCTCTCTCACCGTCATTTATCCACCACATGCTATTTTCTGCAACGTCACCTAACATTAGCAGCCTGGGATCAAGATCAGAGAAATGTACGTCTTGAGATTGCGGCTGGCCAGTGCCTTTGTTGTCAGTTGTCCTTTGAGTGCTACTAGTCGTTACGGGTTTCCGTGGTATAGCAAACTGGCCGTTGGTCGAAACAGAGGCTGGCCCCGGAGTTCCTTGTCTGCGAAAGGAGGCATTGAGAGTATCTATAGTTCGAGAACTAGCAATGATATAGTCCTCGAGCTCTTTAAAAATACGCTTTGGCTCAATTTTAAGAGCACAATCTCCAACGCCGAGTCTTTGATGGTAAAGTTGCGGGCGTTGGTCGTGGGATGATGAATATGAGCGGCTTGACAACGTATTTGGTCTTGGTTCATCCAACTGCAAACTCGAGAGATCCTGGAACTGAAAGTTGAATTGCGCTAGATGATTCGGTGGTAGCTGTGCGGAGCCCGCGTCTCGTTGCGGCCCTACATTAAATTTTTGGACCATGTAGGAATGAAGGCAGTTTTTGATGATACGCTTCGTTTGCTGCAAAGATATCGCCACTGGGGCATAACTCTGATTCTCACTTCCTTGGCGTTGGTTATTTTGTCTCGGGGAAAGATCGTTAACTGTCAAGCAAATCGTGCATTTGAAGATATCTAGGTTTCTGGGCCATCGGACTAAAGAGTTGCATGTCATACAATGTCCAGAAACAAAGTCTTTGTTATTATTGCTTGACGTCTGCCCAGCAGTTGTCCTTTTTATTTCCATTGGCCGCTTAGATTGGTTCGAAGGTCCAGCTTCTACGCCAATACCGGCAGCAGAGTTTTGCCTGGGTTTTGACCTATCAAACTGAGTCGGTATTGGGTTGCTGATTGACCTTCGATGAAGTGTGCGAGAATCGACACCAGTCAAGGCAGGTAATCGGTTGCTTCCGCGGGTCCCATCTGTACTCGTTCGCCCGTAGCCATCGTCTCGGGCGACGACCAACGCATCGTCAGCCCCGGGCCTCATCAGTCCTTTGCCACCTCTGGGCGATAACCAGGATGGCATGGTTAGGGATTAATGGCGGGATTGCTGTATTCCAAGCCTTTCCCCCTGACCCTGCTAGCAAGGTCAGGAAACGCCCACGACAGGAAGATATCAAGCGAGTATGGAGGGCCAGGATGCCCTTATTGTGGCGCAAGGGTTACGAAGCGCGCATCGGCTGTAGAATAACCAATAACGGCAAACAACGATAGGCTGTAAAGTATTCGAGTGACGTAATGGACTGTGTGAGACCAGTAGATTATATGATATGATGCAGCCGCTTTGTAGGCGCAGCGGTAATGTTTGGACGGCAGAAGTGGCAAGGCCGTCGTCACCACGGTGTTTCGCGTCCTGGTTATGCAAAGCCCCAGTGCAATGCTGCGGAGGGTCATGCGCGAAGCCAAATCTTGAAACGAACTAAAAATAACCTGTCAAAAAATACGATATCACATTACTTTTTTCTTAGAAATCTTCCCAATAAATCACTAATACTTTATTAATACAAATTTCGGTAAGTAGCTCCTCTGAGCCTCTTTCTCTGTCTTTGGTCTCTCGCATTCCCTTGGCAATTTACCCACTGTAATAACTCTATGTAGCCCATCAGGGCTGCGGGCATGTGCTTGAGTTGTATGGCAAATATTATGTATCACGGATTTAGAACACTTTCAACCTTTGTGTTACTACCATTCTGTTTAGAACAAATATTACGACTTGCTAATCACGCGTCTTCTTAATACACTGAGGATTGCTAGCATTCATATCAGTAGACTACCCTGGAGCCGGTCACGCTGTCCTCTCAGGCAGGCTTTTACATATCAAATGTGGTCAAATGGCTTATTTTCCTTTTATATCACTCGCTAGGTCAAGTTAAAGGGACCGTAATGTGACATGACGGTTATCCTCTTTCTGGATCTGAGATATAGTCCGTTGGTCGATGATCGCCGTTGTCAGAGAATTAAGTCAATCCGACTTCATTAGACGGCTAGCAATATAACACTCACGTTAGATGTATAGAACAACAATGCTTATCCCGAGCTCATATATCAAACATCTCCTTGCTTTCTAAGAACCGTCCCAATGCCAATCAGCGGCGGATGGACATAGGAAGCCTAGATTACTTGTCTACGAGTCGTCACTAAGCCGAAGCTATGTCGCTGGAAATAAGGCTGCGTCGTCGATTCGCTTAACCGGGTTGATTTTATCACCATGGGCTGCCCAAAGAAAGGTATAGTAGTTCAAAAGTATTCATCATTCGAATGGCAGTAAATTTTTTAGTCCCTGATGCAAATGATTCCGAGGATTTTTTTCCTCCAAAACTCCCCACCGTGTCATCCCACCAGCTGGCCCTTCCGAGTTTCCTCAAAAAGAAAGGACTAGCTCATCCGTCTTTGGAACACATGTCGGCTTTAGCTTCGTCATGCATCTCCAAATGTTTGATAACCCGTAAACAAATGGAGTCTCGCTTAAGAGGAAGGAGCGGCGCCACGGCCACGGCCAAAGCCACCACGGCTGTAGAAAAAAGTTAGCATTCCAGCAATTCACATGGGTACCTCAATACTCCAGTATCGCAGGTTGATGGGAAAAATCTCACAATTGAGGAGTAAACTCGCCAGGAGCACCACCCTCCTTGCCCTCACCAGCGTCTCTTCTGCGGTAACCGCCCTCGCGGTCACCACGCTCACCACGGCCACGGCCACCGAATCGTCTCTCGCCACGCTCGCTCTCGCCGAGCATACCGCGGGGAGGAGCGTGAGAGCGCTGCTGCTTGATGTGAGTGGCAGGGACGATCTCAGCGGGGAGGTGAAGCCATTCGCGGAGGTAGTCGAGACCCTCGGGGGTCAGGGTGTAGTAGTAGTATTGCCAGGAGAACTGGGTCTTGACGTAGCCGCGGGAGGTCAGGGACTGGCAAGCCTTGATGACGAAAAGGTTCTTGGTGTCGATATCGGGGTGCTTGGGGAGGTTGAAGTCCTTAGCGGCGACGAGGACGCCCTCACGGAAGAGGTACTATAGCGAGAAAAGATTCCTGGTCAGCATACATATTCTATGTCGTTCCGCATCGTCGGGTAGAGTTTTGATTGATCGGCTGCGGTCGTCGTAAACGTTCAGGATTAATTACCTCGTGGATCTTCTTGCGGTCGGCCTTGGGAATCAACATCGTGGCGGCTTAATTTGCTGTTCGGTCGATGTTGGAAATGGGCAGTTTGGCTGTAGGACTTGAACTGGGCTCAAAATGGTCAAACTTTTGTGGGCGCAAACCCTACAACAATATTCGTCCTAGCGAAGGTGGGGTGGCTGTCCGTGTGCGCTGTGGCTGAAATTCACGTGATGATAAGATAAAACTTTGTGATGCGCCAGCTGTGGCTTAGCCTCTTCTCGGTCTAGCCGCTTTTGTCTTTTGCTGAAGTCACGCCACCTGCTACAATTCCGTCGTGACATTCTGCCTGTCGCAACATCGCAAACTACCACCTATCAACTGCTTCAGTTGCCAAATTTTTGAATATGGCGCCGCGTACTATTAATATTTTACTGTCTACCTTTGAGGGACTGGGTCTTCCACCTACCGTTATCCTCCAGGCTCCCGAAGATACGACTATCACTTCCATACGAGAGCAAATCGGTCACAAACTGCCTCCTACCAACGAAAGACTTATTGTGACCACAATTTCGAATAGACAACTACCAAATGCATCCGAAGCCCCTATATCCACATATCTGTCATCTAGCTCTGATGAAATACTCTCGCTACGCCTTTCCGTTCCACTCTGCGGTGGAAAGGGTGGCTTCGGTTCACAACTTCGAGCTGCTGGCGGCCGCATGTCCTCAAGGAAGAAGCGAGATGATGATAACGGATCAAGCAGAAATCTAGATGGCCGAAGGTTAAGAACTGTAAATGAAGCCAAAGCGCTTGCTGAGTACCTCGCTATCAAACCTGAAATGGATCGAGCCGAGAAAGAGAAGAGACGAGAAAGATGGGAACAAATCACACGACAGGCCGAGGAGAAGGAAAACGAAATTAAGAACGGCGGAGGAAAGGGGAAAATCGATGGCCAGTGGCTTGAGGATAAGGAAGAGAGCAGTGAAAGAACAAGGGATGCTGTGCTCGCTGCAATGAAACAGGGCAATTATACCGACAACCTTCTGGGCACTTCACACGGCTCAAATACGTCAGCCAAGACAACTAACTCTACTGACGATGAGGATAAAGTCTCAGTTGAATCAGAGGAATCTCCACCAGCTACCGGACCCGTGGATAAAGGCAAGGGAAAGGCATTTTTTGGATTCGACGAGGATGACGAATTCATGAGCTCAGACGAAGAGGCAGAACAATGAAGCACCAGTCTGAGAGCGTTGCGCGACTAGTTTATAGCAATAGTCGGAAGTAACCTGTACTGCCACTGATTTCATGTATGAACGATTTTACATTAGCAGAATTGTATAATTACCCTTTTCTTATGCCGAACGGCACGCTTAGCTGTATATGAAGATGACTGTCACTGGAAGTGGTCATGTGGTTGATGGATATCGTAGTAAGATTACACACAACAAAAATAAATCTCTGTGTATCGTCTAAAGTGTACGTGATTGGTACAAGGTTGCAACATGGTGCAATATCATGGTTCTATCAATATCCCGCCCCCAACATTGTTATAAATCGCTTAATCGAGCTTCGCGGGGAAGTTGCCGGCCTCTATATTTCATTGTTAGCAGAAGATCCAAAAGCGTCTCGGATGTATGGTTTCTTACCGCGCTGCTCATCCCATCGCTGGTACCAGCCAGAAGGGCAGAGCGATCGGTAACCCTGCCAGAACTGCGAACGTCATTAGTATCTGTGATATAGCGAGATTAGATTGCGCAATGCAAAGGCCGGCATACCTGCTTGCAGGGAGCAAAGTCCTCGCCCTTGGCGTTGATGCACTTGTGGTAGTCGACGTAGTTTTGCCAGCAGTGCTTGGTCTGGTTCTGGTTGGGGAATCGAGCGTCGGTGCCTGCACAAAACACAGCGGGTTAGTATCAATTGCGCATGAGCTGTCCAATTGAAGTATTTCTGGCTTCGTCATTGGAGTCGTGAGAGATATGTCATACCGGCTGCAAAGATCAGGTTAGCCTCGGGTTCAGTCACGACGAAATTTCGCCCGCGGGATTATCGTGCTTACCAGTCTCGAACTTGAAGGGCTTGGTGACAAGCTGTTGGTCGTCTCCGTCAGACATTTTGTATAGAAATTATTATAACCGAAATAAGGGTTTTTTTAATTGGCGTAGTCGTGGATTGGGGAAGAGCTTTCGGCAGCGTAACGGGAGGTCGATGGCTTTCGGAAATCAGGTGGTTCCCATTGGCACCATCAGCTGCATGCCTCAGGCCGCCACCAGCCAATTGGATAAGGCAGCCATACCATCAAGCAAGGTGGGTCCAGCAATTGGCTACGTCCAGCCAAACATCACCTCAGACCTTCAGGGCGATATTTTGCTACCGATTCGCTTCCCATTGCCCTTCCAATTGTACCTCATACAATACAGCAACAAAAGTCAAAATGCACGCTACCATTGCCAGAAGAATGTTCCGCCCTACGGCTCGCATGATGCGTCCCGTTCCCGTAAGTTGCTGTCTTAAAAAACGCTTCTGACACGCACCGTTTTGCTAATACCTCGGTCAATGTAGAAGGAGGACCAGGCCGGTATGTGAGGCTCTTCCCGTGGCGACAGTCGATACATCTCACGGGAAAGCGAATAGAGCATTGAAACTAATAATTTATTTGCAGGCCACACCGTTTCCCAGCGCCTCCGCAAGCTCAAGGATATCCCTGCTGAGTTGATTCCTCTTGGTATGTCTCCTGTCGAAATCCTTTGCAGCCATACAGGCTAATAGTCGCGTTCCATAGGTGTCGTTGTTGGCTTTGCCATTTTCGCTGCCGGTTACTCGAGCATCCGCAAATTCGTCGTCGACAAGACTCTCAGACTCTCCCGCCAAGGTCCTGCTGGCCGCGCCGAACACCATTAAATCAACCACAATAGAGGCACAACGCCATCAGTTTCTTTGTTTCAGGGAAGCGGAGAGAGGGACACATTGTACATGTTTAAAGAGTAGGTATAGTCGTGGAAAGAAGCAAGAATACAATAAAACCAGGCTCTATTGCCCCCATTCACAAATCTGTTTGGCCCAAACGCCATCGCTATGCTATGTAACCGAACCAATGAACGCCTTAACTTTTATAAGATTGGCTGCTAAGCCTGTTTTGGGCCAGCAACATCAAGCCCTTCTAGACCTTGCATAGGATCAGCCGAAGGTGCGTCTGCATTGGCAGCGCCGTCATCGTCTCCAGCATTCTCAGCCAACCAGCCTTCCTGTTTGAGTGTCAGCCACGTGCTACTTCATTGAAATGCAATTAAATATCAAACTTACCTGTTCCCATACAGCAGTCTTGCTTCCCAGCCCTTCTTGTGCGCTCTTTGGGGCTTTGGCTTGTGAGACTTTGATAGTTCTTCCGAAGAATTCAGCTTGGTCCATGTTATTGATGGCCTCGCCTGCGTCGTCACTGTCTTCAAATTCGACATACGCAAACCCTTTATGTGGTTCGGAGGGATTGCGATCATCATTTTTTGGCAACTTGACTTCAACGATTTCGCCAAAAGGAATAAATGCATCGAGGACGTTACTCGTAGTTACATGTGGTGCAAGCCCTCCCACATGTACCGTTGCTTTCCAGCGACTGCCGTCGGACATTTTGGCTACCAAGTGGAGTAAAAACGTGTATTTATATGAAGTGTGGTGAGATTGTTAGGTTATAAAGAACAAAGACGAAGTTTTATAAGATGCTGCTACATCTCATTGGACTGCTCACTAGTATCGAACCTGGCACAGTTTGAATCTTGGATTCACGTGACGCCAGCGTCGCCCCGCTGCCGCGTAGCGCCCCTGAGGCCCCAGCGACCGCAACTAGGGGAGCTCAGACAGCGGATGGCAGTGGGTGCCTCGCTTGCAATCTGGCTTCATACCTGCTCTGCTGGCTGTATTTGCATCTCCAGGCCCCCAACATCTCCAACTTGACGTTCACGTTGCCTGCAGAAGCGGAAGCAAGCCAATCGTTGCTGCTAATGCTACCTATTGGTTTTCAACCATAATTTAGTTACCTCCCTCTTACTCGAAGTTTGATTCATCCCACCAACTGGTCCCGCTCCCGCCTTTACCTCCCCCGCCATTATGGTGCGCCTTCGAGATATACCCAGGACGGCCACCTTTGCGTGGTCGCCTGGTTCAGGGAAGCCTTTACTAGTCACCGGTACCCGAGCTGGCGCCGTTGACGCCGACTTTTCAGATGAGAGCAAATTAGAGCTCTGGGACCTTGCTCTGGATGACCAGGGCCAGGGCCTTGAGCTGCAACCCCTCGTCTCGGTAAACACCGATGCTCGGTTCGTCCATACCACCTTCATCAGAATATCAAGCGTACTTACAAAGCTGTAGATTTTATGACATTGCATGGGGCCCACCAGATGCAGACCATCCTAAGGGTATTATCGCTGGTGCCCTCGAGAATGGTTCTCTAAACCTCTGGGATGCCGCGAAGCTGGAAGCTGGATCCGGTGACGCTCTTCTCTCCCAGACGACAAAGCATACCGGCGCGATTAAAACGTTACAGTTCAACCCGTTGAAACCCCAGATTCTTGCCACCGCTGGTGCCAAGGGCGAACTCTTTGTCTACGACATTAACGATATCGCCAACCCATTTCGATTGGGCAATGCGGCCGCGAGATCTGATGATATTGAGTGCCTTGCTTGGAACCGAAAGGTTTCCCACATTCTTGCCACAGGTGGTGCCGGAGGATTCGTCACTGTCTGGGACCTCAAGACTAAGAAGGCCTCGCTCACTTTGAACAACAACCGCAAGGCGGTCAGCGCTCTTGCATGGGACCCCAATAATTCGACAAGACTTCTTACTGCGACCCCCGATGATAACACTCCAGTCTTGATGCTTTGGAACCTGCGCAACTCCAACGCGCCTGAGCGAACTCTGGAAGGCCATGAGGCAGGCATTTTGTCTGTATCTTGGTGCCCTCAGGATAGCACACTCTTACTGTCATCAGGCAAGGATAATAAGACTATGGTTTGGAACCCAGAGACTGGAGAAAAGTATGGCGAATTACCCGAGGTCACAAACTGGACCTTCCAAACCAGCTTCAACCCTCATAACCCGAATTTGTCCGCAACTGCCAGCTTTGATGGCAAGATCACTATTCAGACTCTGCAGAACACCAACCCCGACACATCTCAGGCCGCGGCAAACAAGAACCTTAACGACGAAGATTTCTTTACGGCTGCCCAAACCCAACCTCAGGGAGCGTCATGGTCTCTTGCCAAACCCCCATCGTGGTACCGCCGCCCTGTTGGCGTCTCCTTCGGCTTTGGAGGCAAAGTCGTGTACTTCAGACCCACGGCTGGCAAGGAAAACTCGTCAGAGGTGGTAATTAGTCAATTTTCTGCCGACTCTGACGTTTCATCCGCTACTGAAAAGTTCCAGGCTGCTATCGCCGCTGGAGACGTACAGGCAATCTGCACAGAACGTATGGAACAGGCTAAGACTGAGGAAGAAAAGGCTGACTGGAAGGTCATGCAAACTCTTGTCGATGAAAACCCTCGTGCCAAGATTATTGAACATCTCGGATTTAAGGAGGAGGATATCACTAACGGTGCTACTACCGAGGCTGAAACGACCAAAGATTCTGGTGATGCGGCAGAGAATCCCAAGCGACTGTCGAAGCTTTTTGATGGCGAAGAGGGAGCTGACGATGACGACTTCCTTGCCGATGTTCCTGCGACAAAGGGAGCCAGAATCGACAAGCCGTTTGACCTATTTGGCGATGCGGATACTGGAGTTGACCACGACATCACCAAAGCTGTTATGCTAGGCAACTTTGCTAAAGCTACTGAGATCTGCCTTAAAGAGAACCGCATCGCTGATGCGTTTTTGATCGCCAACTGTGGTGGCCAGGAACTTGTTGACAAGGTACAGACCGCTTATCTTGCTCAGAAGAATGGGGCACCAAGCTACATGAGGCTCCTCGGCTCGGTCATTGAAAAGAACCTGTGGGATGTTGTTTACAACGCTGATTTGAAGAATTGGAAAGAAACCATGGCAGTGGTATGCACATTTTCCGACCCTGCAGAGTTCCCCGATCTTTGTGAGACCCTTGGTGATCGCATTCTTGAGCAGGGAGAAAGGAAAGATGCCTCATTCTGCTACCTCGTTGGATCCAAGCTTGAAAAAGTTATTTCAATTTGGACTAGCGAATTGGAAGAGGCTGAGAGAGAAGGTATGAACCAACAGACTGACGATTCAACCTTCTCTGTCCGTGCACGCACCCTACAAAGCTTCATTGAAAAAGTCACAATCTTCCGACATGTCACCAAGTTCGAAGACAGTGAACGAAACCAGACATCTGGCTGGAAGCTCTCTGCTCTGTATGACAAGTACACCGAATATGCTGATATTCTTGCTGGTCACGGTCAGCTTGAGGTTGCACAGAAGTACCTGGATTTACTTCCAAATGAATACCCTGCTGCTGAGCTTGCGCGCAGCCGCGTTAAGCTTGCCACCCAGAAATCCGGCGTACAGAGCGTCAACAAGAAGAAGGCACCTGTTGCACAGACATCCCAAGCACCGGCCTTTGGCGGATACCAGCCTCAGCAGAACTTCGGTGCTGTACCATCAACAAACCTCTACGGAGCCCCTGCTCCCGCACCTCAGGTAGCACCACCAGTACAGGCCCAGCAACCGAGCTATATGCCTCCTGGTCAAAATGCCTACCAGCCTGTTAATGCTTACCAGCCACAGCCATCATGGGGTAACCAAGGCGGATATCAGCCTCCTGCACAGGGCTACACTACTCCAGCGCCGCCTCCTATTGGCGGACCCCCTCGGTCCTCTACACCTTCTGCCCCCCCTAAGAAGAAGGCTGACGAGACTGAGAACTGGAACGATGTGCCAATGGTTACAAAGGCGGTGCCTCGCCGCAGTACCCCCAAGGTACAGCCCATTGGATCTCCATTTGGTCAACAACCTGGCATAGCATCTCCTCCTGGTCCTCCCAATGCCTACGGACAAGTTGCCAGCCCTCCACCACCTCCTCCAAAGGGCTCAGCCCCTCCCCGTGGCCAATCGCCACTTACTACGTTCGGCGCTCCTCCAACTGGTCAACCCAGCGTAGCAGCTTCTGGCCCTCCCACCGGCCCCCCTACTGGACCTCCTCGTCCATCGTCGACTGCGAACCAGTACGCGCCGCCTCCATCTTCCGGACCAGCACCTGGGATGCCAAGCGTCGTGCCAATGCGAACAGCGTCACCCTACGCTCCTCCAACTGCAGCCCCCCAGTCAAACCGTTACACTCCAACACCAGCTGCATCAGGCGCCAACATGGCTGCTGGAATGATTGCCCCCCCGCCAGGCCCGGGAGCTGTGCCTCCTCCTGCTGCGAACCCGTATAGCCAGCTTGCTCAGCAGATACCTCCACCTCAACAGTATGGAGTACCTGCGTCAAACTACGGAGCTCCTCCCATGGGCCAAGCCCCCCCTCAAGGACCTCCTCAAGGACCCCCTCAAGGACCACCCCAGGGACCTCCTCGCGCTGGACCTCCCGGTAACGCCCCGGCTGCCACACCCCCTCCTCCTAGAGCGGCTGCTGCGCCAGAACAGAAGACAAGACATCCAGCAGGTGACAGATCCCACATACCGGCATATGCGCAGTCTCTTGTTTCAATCTTGGACCAGGATATGCAGAGGGTTGCTGCAAAGGCACCAGCGAACTTTTCCCAGCAAGTAAAGGACACACAGAAGCGCCTCAACTTGCTCTTTGACCACCTCAACAATGAAGAGCTTGTGCAGAGAGATACTATTGAACAGCTATCCAATCTCGCGAACGCAATTCAAGCCAAGGACTATGCGACAGCCTCCACTCTCCAAGTGACGATTCAAAGAGAGAAGGTGGAGGAATGTGGCCAGTGGATTGTAAGTGAACGAAAATCTGATGGCATCTGACAGTGATTTGCTAACAAGCTTCGCAGGTTGGTGTGAAACGACTCATCAGCATGAGCAAGGCCACTCCTTAAGTAAAAGTAACGCAGTGGTCTATTCACATTAGCTGTAGAGGCGATGATTGAACCATAGATCTAGTAGCGGATGTATGATTTGATTTCTGCTTGAGCGGTTGCTTTGATAGATAAAAGCTGCTGGTGCATGTGGAATGGTGCCTTCTATACCGCGTGTGTGGCCTATTACGGGACATTATCTGAGAGAGAGGAGATGAACGAGACAAAAAGACTATATATGCAGTTTAAAAATAATTCCAAGTTTATTTATTCAATTTTTTTCGTTCATTTGTTTGCACAATCGAGTTGGACGTCATTCCAGCGGGCACATGATTGGAGGGCTTTGGGCAAGTCAACGTACCCGCTTTCAACCACCGCTGGCGGCGAGCTAGCGTGCCACCTCGCAGGCAGGCACAAGCATCATCCTCTGCCACGTACATCAACTTGCAACCAGTAACCATGGCCGACCAAGATCCAGTAACAACTTCCAGTGATGCTGCTGCTCAAAGCGCTGCAGAACAAGCCAAGCTTCGCAAACAGCGGCGCGAGGCCAAGCTCAAGGCGGGCGGTGCGTCCCGGCTAGACAAAATCACTGGCGTCGGCGGACGAGTGGTAGGAGGTCAGTGCCATGGCATGAAAGACATACTTGCCAGTAGATTATGGGCTAACTTTGAAACTCTAGACCATGCAACACCCTCAGCAGTCGAGCCAGAGCTCGCTGTTCCCACCAGAGCGCAGAAGGTGGTTAGCGACGGCGACCCCGACGAAGTAGACATCTCCGAACATTTTTACGAACCAGTTACGACAAACAGAATACCCAATGCCGCAGATATCCCAGACCAAGCCATCTCTGAAGCCCAGCTGCGGCAAATGATGCTCGGCCTCGACCGCACCAACGGCGCCGGCAGGGGCCCGGCTGGTGGCCCGGCTGGCATGCTGCCCGACGACGACGACCCTCTGATGAAGATGATGTCGCAGATGATGGGTGGTGCTGGATTCCCGCCAGGTGCTGAAGGAGCAGGTCCGGGTGCAAACCCGTTTGCAGGCATGATACCTCCCCAACAGCCCGCGAAGCCCGACACTTATGCTACATTCTGGCGTCTACTGCATGCTCTTGTCGCCATTGGGTTGGGCTTTTACTTGACTCTAATGACGCCGTTTGCAGGAACAAAGGCCCAGCGCAATACGGCTGCTCTTATGGCTAGTGGTACGAGCGAAATTGAAATCGAGGGACAGGAGGAAATTGAGAGACACCGACTTAACTTTTTCTGGGCATTTGCTACAGCAGAAGCAGTTCTACTTACGACACGATTCTTCTTGGACAAGAACAGAGCGCCACCTCCTGGTATTGCGTGGACTGTAGTGGGATATCTGCCAGAGCCGTGGAAGGGTCATGTTTCGTCTATTATGAAGTACGGGCAGTTATTCACGACAGTACGAACCGATATACTGTGTTGCGTGTTTGTCCTCGGCATTTGCACGTTGATTAGAGATACATGAGTATGTTAGATACAGTGGAAGCGGGGATATGGGCGGATGAAGAAAACACAATACAAAGACTTCGTTTTATCAAATATGAATGTTATTATTGCCAGGTGAATGTGGCTCATGCTATGCTATGTTGTTACAAAATGTACAGTTCATCGCCGTGGACGATAATTTCTAAGCTGCCAGTTCTCGGTTCACATCGTTAACGTTATTGTTGCATCACAAAGCTCAATACAGCTCCGAGGACACCACGAACTCGTCTAGGGTTTTCAAGCACACATGTGAAGACGACGGCCGTGCTGGCAGCAAAAGCGAGCGTCTCACGCCACTCCTTCTCCAGAGGGTACTGGCGGGTGACAACCGTGCTCAGGGCCCGGGGAGCAACGAAAAGAGCCATGTCCTTGCGACGGGAGACAGTCTCGACCATGATGCTCCATCCGCACAGCGCACAGCCTGTTCCGACACAGACACCACTATCCATCTGTTGGCGGGCATCTCTGTGAGTTCCTAGCATACGAGGGCCAACTCGGGTGCGTCCAAGGCATACACCGTAGTAGAAAAGCGTAATGTAAGTCGCCAAGAATGCTGAGGAGCGAGAGGCAGAGAAGAAAGCCTTTACAATACCCTTCTTTGTCGGGTTGCGAAGCTGCATGGTCAGGGCCAGCGGCAGATATGTAAACATAGACCATTTCCATGATCTGGCAAACCGGCTAATTGCGTGATATTCGCACGATGAGCCGCAGCCCATATGCACAAGCTCACATGGGAACGGAGCGTTCTTGGCAGGGTCTCCCCAAACCTCTGGGAGATTGTAGTCTTTGCACATGGAACCCAAAAGCTCTGCCTGGCCTGTTTCCTTGCCATATATAAGCTCTCCACTTCTGCAGCGCCTAAGAGCTTCTATCAAACGTTGGTCGACCGAAGCTGCAGAAGTGATCCAGCGATCGTAGCCTCCGGGCAGCTTTTCGGGGGCATAAAACCAGGCCCACATGATGAGGGCACACGAAGTCACAAAGACAACGGGGTCGGTCATATGAGTGATGAATTGTTCAGTCTATGAGATTGCAAGCGTCAGTATGTATAATATGCGTTAGGCAAAACCTCAATTGGCGAGACTTACCCAAGTCCACTTGTTCGCCGCCTGACGTCGTGAACGACGCTGTGACCATAATTCACCAACCAGTACATCAACGGCACGTGTGGCCGCAAAAAGGGTCAGATCAATGGTTCTTCCAGCCATCTTGCGTGTCTTGGCCTCGCTGTTGGCTTTGTCCTCGGCCGAAGTCTTTCTCGGCACAGACTCCTTGGTCTGGAGCAGACGCAGGCCAATCCAAGACGCAACAAAGGAAGCAATCCATCTTGAGAGTCTAACGCGCGTAGTCTTGTCAAGATTCTTGAGAAAACGCTGTATGAGTCTGTATACCGGCACCTGCAGTAAGCTGGAGCCTCCGGCGAGAACGGCGCAAAATGTCGGGAAGCGCTGCGGATCGAAGCCAGTCTTGAGAATATGAAGCGCCGAGGGGCCCAACGGCTTTTCCTGTTTCAATTCGTCTTCGGGAGCGAGCTTGCGCGCCTTTCTTCGCCGTCTGTAGATGTGTTGAAGCAGGAGGTTCATCAGCCGCGGGGCGACAGCCGAGCCGTAGCCGAGGAGGTATGCTCTGACGAGGGGCCGCAGCGAGGGAGGCACGCCATCGAGAGAGAGAACAGCCATATTGGCGGTTTAGCACGAGCAGATGCCAGAGCAGCCAAAAGAAATGCTGTAGATGTCTGCAGTGTTGTGTGCGGTGTTGCCCGGCGGCCGTGTTGCTGCAGAGGAGGGAAGCTCCCGGGGAAGCGTGGCGTGGCAGTTGGTGGCTGCACCTGGCGTCTGTCATGTGAAAGTCGCTGGTGCCAGAGACGCGCCTGGAGATTTCTTGGGGAGGACGTGGCGGCGTACGAGGGGTAAAAGAACGTGGCTTTGGCGAAGCAGCTGATAATGAACGGAAGAGTAAGAGAGAAAAAACAATTCTTAACAATTCTTCGATATCTGCGATATATCATTTACGTTTAAGCATTTGACTGCATTTTTTAAGGGAGAGAATCGCCTAGCTGCGATCGAACCGCTCGCTACAGGCGATGCTGACCAACCAAAAGTGGGAGCTGGTACCTGAAAGACTGCCTATTTAGGCAAGTAGTGCACACGACTGTCAGCACTCTACTCCGAGTAGCAGCGAATATTGTGGTAAATGCCAATCTTGGTAAATACCAAGCAAAATATAGTATAAAAAGTACACAAATTTAGGTATGATGTTGATTCTCAGTATACATAGTCGAGCGCTCCCTCACTGCCAAGATCTGTAGTCTGCCACAGCTATATCGTGGCTGTGCGTTAATGCCACTGGCGCACGCCAAAAGCCCATCGAATGGTCCAGAGGGACAGACCAAACCATTGGCCAAGAAAATGCTGTTAGGCGCATTATGGAGTGAAATTGACAATATTAAGCAGTCACAGAATATCACTACCCAGCCACCTAGGGGAAGCCTCCCGCTCACAACGACTCAGTCGCTTTGTCCTACCAAACCCAGTCTATGTTACGTCGCAAGAAGATTGTAACGACCAACGAAACAAATCAGAGACATACTATGATTCCAATATCGAATCGGGCCAATTGCCTACGAAAGGGCGTGTGTCTTTGGAAACGATGCATCGGTGAACGGGCCACCACGGTGATGCCGAGTTTAGCTGACCGACAGCAAAAGACAAGCGAGGCAGGGGACCGACAATCCAGGTGTCTATGCTCGCTCCCCGGTATGCCTGTTTTGATTTTGGGTAGCAAGGTCCATCTTTCTCCCCAAAAGTATACACCTGGTGCAAAATTAAGACATGTTTGCCACAATTTTTTGTGCGCCAAGTCACCAACTTGGGTGAGATGAGATGTTCGGTCAGATTCTAGTTCGGCACGGCGGCTCTTCGGGCCTAAAAGATGAGATGCTTGGGCCACCACAACACGGAGTTTTTCTTTCCATGGACGGGATGAAAAGCTCCTGTCCACAAAGTGGATAGATAGAAACCTTCAATGCAGCGACTAAGCAGGGAACAGGCGGGCCAAGCAACAGCTTGGGCATGTAACCACGATGGGATCGTTACTTTTCACCATGCTATCAGCAACGGAAGAATTTCACATCGCGAGCGACACTCCACGGGAGGGCCCATGATCCACGACTAGGCGGCAGCTCAAGTGGAGAGGCATTAGACGGATGACCCTACATGATCAAAGGGTCCTCATGGACGCGATAATTTAGGGCATAATGCGCACACCGGGGGCCATAGTGGGTGTTGTCGGAGAAATTGGGCGTCTGCAGACATGAGATGAAGCAGACCTTGGCCCGCATAGACAGTGCAAGATGAGGATTGGCTGCCGCATTGCGTCCAATGACGACACAGAGCAGTGTGCATAGCGAGGCTTGTATTAAACAGAAGTCCCCAAAGATGGCCGGCAAAAGAATGGCGAGGTGCAGCAAAAAGCCTGCTGGCCGCTCCAAGCAAAATGCCGAGCCGTGCCCGAGTACCACCGTGGGGGTTCATCTGTAGTGCCTTCGTTCCCATTAGCGCCAGACCACGTTACTGTAGAGAGAGAGCTACAGTGCAGTAGGGGCGATCTAGCGCACCTCCAAATCGAACCAAAGTGTTTGGAGACCAAAGGCGTCGTCGGAGGTCGGTTTCAAGATAATCTGATACTGGTTTCAAATTTCGCAGAGCTTAGTGTCCAGTGCTAGGTCATCACCCTCAGAGGCTATTCAGCTCATCAAACAGGTCAAACATAACAGTCGACAAAAACAAACCTCTTGAAGGTCATTCTAGCCAGCTACAGTAACATAGTACGCCTCGTTGATCCTGTTTCCAGGGGCCATCTGCTAGTTTCGTTTTGCGGTGGAGTGGCCAAAACGGGCCCGGTTACCTGTAAAGGATTAGTGTTTGGTTAGTTGCCACGCTACGACAGCACAGTAAAGAGCACTAACTTACAGCACCCGCAAGGCCAAAAGTCCTGTGGTGTATGAATATGGTTGTCGTAGGCAAGCCTGACCAACGTTAATTTTCGTCCAAAAATGCGAACGAGACGCATTAGCGATGGTTTCAGACCAATTAAAATCGGTATTAAACAACGGCCAAGAAAATGTGCGTATTACATACCCTCAGAAACGATTACCAACGCACAAAGTATGTATAAGCCACTCAGCATCAAGTGGCTTTGCCCAGCGAACCTAGCTGAGCCTAGCCCCCGACTCTTTAGCACTGTAGGCAACCGTGGCTATATTGTTAGCTCTTGTCAGGCTGTCGTGTTCACTTAGGAGAAGTTCTAGAAAACGCCTCTGTAGTGAGCCCAACGGCGGTGTGAACAGCGCTAAGGCATAGCCTAACAACATAATATAACACTGCGCCTAGTATAGCAAATGGCAGCACAACACCGAGACGGCCCGAGAATGACTCTCAAGTTCTAGGCACAAATTCCCCTTGCCCATTGGTATGCTATATTTTGCAGAATACCATTTACTGCATAACATAGTCGTGTTCAAGCCCCATACTCAGTTGATGATGAGGGACCCCAGAGTAAGCGAATCTGGGGCCGCTTGTGGGCGTCTGGGGACGCTGCTTGTCATGCTGTGTCATTCCCAGAGACGCCACCAGTTCCAACGAGCAGACACAGAGAACAGGTAGCAAGGTGGTGATAAAAATAGTAGGCAGCCAAGCCAAATAAGCTCACCATGGCATAAAGCATGCAATGTCTACAAGGCAAGATGGGCGGCGGGAGGAGATTAGCATGACTGGTTATGGATGCAGGTACCAAGCAAGCCAGGCTGGCTCAAGACTGCGTCAAGTTTCATAGCGTCTTGCATGCAGGAGGACCATTCGGCAGCAGCATGCACCGCCATCAAGCCGTACAGCGAGATGCATAGCAAAGTGTCCTGCTGCCCTACGCCGAGTACTCCAAAAGGGAAATCGTCGCCCGAGCGAGGCTGCAGCGCCTTGAGAGGTGGCGAAGTCTGGCCATCCAAAACACGGCACCATATATTAGAATACTATGCGTGCGCTTGGAGGTTATATTGGCAAAAGTATGCCTGGTGGGCAGCTGAGCAGGATAGGATCAAGCGAGGCGTTGATCACGACCAAGTCCACTGCGGGCCAAGTCGGAAGCTAGTGTGCTGTCGTCTGTCGTTTTTTTTTGAGACGAAATGGATATTCTCCTTATTTTTCGGGATGACCTGGCTGAGAATGAACAGATGGCCAAGTCAATATTCAAAAGCAATTAATGCACATATAGTGGGCAGCGATTCAAGAAGTCGTACGAGCAAAGAGGGTGCGGGGTGGCAGGGAACGAACATTTTGGCCCAGCGTTACAGCCGTTGCAGACGATCCGCAGTGCGCCGGCATTCCGAAATCTGGCTCAAGAACCGAGCAAGGGCCATTCATGACGTTGATACCTTCGAGAAACCCAAGTATCCAAGGCTGGACAATCATCGCGTACCCGTTGTGACACATATCCAATATGCCCAAGAAGGTATAGAGCGCCGATGGAGATCCAGGTACAGAACACAGACACAAAAAAAAGCATGTGACGGAGGCCCTTTTTTGCAGCTAACTAGAATTTATTGGCAAAGCGGGGGGATGGTTTTGGTGGCAAGCAGAGCCGCAGATGCGTTTAGCCGAGTGTGCCTATTTCGCTGTCCCGAGGTCCCTCTGCGCAGACCCGCAAACGCCCGCATTTCAAGGGCACGCGATGGCTTGCGTCGTGGGATTGGGAATAAAAGTTGGTTCGCCGTAGCGAAACGGCTGATGCAAATGAAAGTGCCGATTGTTTAGAAAGCGTAGTGCACAGAGAAAGGGGAAAAAAAGAAGCGACGAGAGTCCATAGACGGCTCTAAACAAGGCAGATATAAGCAAATGCTGTGCATACAAGCCCACTTACACCCCGCTGTGCTGGGCAGGGCAGCACGTATTGGCAGGCGAAGACCACATATACATCTCCCTGGAGCATAGAACGAGGGGAAGGCAAGCCAAATCTACGATTCGATACCATCTGCCCGCCCGCATCCTTCTTTTTAGGTGCGGTACCAACCCCAAGACAGTGCGCCAAGTACAACAGTAGTGGGCGTCAAGTGCATGACTCTGGGAACTGCTGCCACAACTGAGCCCATTTCCGATGGGCTGCAGCAGCGCAGATGGGCATTGCAAAAAGATGCAGCGTGACGTGTGCGCTGGCGGTGTGTACTTTGCGCTGGCGTTGAATTTGTATTTTCTGATGGGAATTAGTGCATCTACGTTGTTATCCTGTCTTTTTTGTTGCCGTCTCTGACTTTTCCTTTTTTTTAAGTTCGCTCCGTTGGCCCAAACCTCGTAGTCAAACACAGGGCTTTCTTTGCCTCTCTTACAACGTAGCACCAGGGTTCAGTGGACTTTTTGGCAGGTGTTGGCCAGTGCACGTCCACTAAACGACGCCGCTGTCAGGCGGCCCACCCGGCGCCGGGGGACCACCCCTCTGGGGGAAAGCTGGCTGGCCGGTGCGGTGCTCCACGCACCCCTTTCTCTTTTTCGCCCCATGCAGCCGCGCTGTGCTGCTCTGCAGGAGGGTCCGCCGGTGGTTCGTGTGAGTTTCTGGTGCAACTGTAGACGGAGCTGCATCGAGGTCGCGGGGGTGGTGGCAGAAGGGGGCGTGTCAATGCTGGACTTTTGATTAAAGGGAACAAGAGTTGAGGATGGCTTGACGATGGGCGTTGGAGATGAAGGAGAGGCAGCAGTAGTAGGAGTGGTAGCAAGATGAGAAGAAATACTTAAGGAGACGGCCCCAGCTCTGCAGATTGAAAATGGAAGAAGAAGGGAAATTCTCAGCCATTATTTACACTAATCGTCACCTTCTTTTGTTCTTTCGTTTTGTTCTATACGCCGTCTACTGTAGCACTAGCTGCCCTGTACTAGCCGCTACAACTGCACACGTTCGCTAACGCCTTAATCACTAATATACACGCCTACCACCTCATCACATACGACAACGTCGGCTCTTTTCAACGTTTTATTTACACAAACCAACTTTTTAATAAACCAGCCCCTGACTTAATCATACCCAAGAAAACAATCTTGCCACCGTCGAATACGCTCAACGCGGACCCAAATAGCGGCCCACTCCCAAGAACGAACCCCATCGCCAATAGCGCTGACCATCATCTTCCCCTTCAGAGGCCCACGCCCTCTATACTTCCCCCCCGCAGCAGCCATCGCCCGGGCTTGTCCCAAAGTTTACCTGCTCCGCCTTTTTCCCTTGCTTTTTCCTTCTTATTCTCGCTTTACCCCGGATTCTTGCCGGCCAACGCTCACGGTTCCCATTTTCCACACGTTTTGTGTCTCTCTTCGCCATTCATTTTCAGCGAGTCGCCCGTGTATTGCGTTGCCTTTGCTGCTCTCGAATTCTCCGAATTAACTACCTGCTTCCTACTTCTCGGACGCCCTTAATTACACACCGCTGCTCGCCGTTCTTCGTCTTTCGAATTTTAGCGGCCAATCCCAAGTCTACACTAGAGAAGAACCCCGCTGGCCCGGCCCTGTCACTACCAAAAAAAAAATACCACACGACAAGCAAACAGGCCTTGCCCCGACGCCTGCACAGCCAAGCCCTTCCACTCTCGCCCCCCCTCCCCGCCCAGTCAGCGCCATCCACCCACTAAATCCGCCTGGACGCCACCCACTGCGCAGCGCTCTGCAGCACCACACCCGCCTTCCTAACGCGCTGCTCTAAACCACTGTACTGTACAGGCAGCCCGCCCCCAGCTGCTCCTCCCGCCTTTTCTTCCCGCTCGCCTATTCTTCCCACCTTCATCACCGCACACATGCTGGCCGTTCAGCACGCTCCCAGGATGGGTTCCACGCAGCAAGATGCAGATGCATTTATGCCATTCGGTTGTATGTTTACACTCTTTTTGCGATGCCTCGCAACCTCAATGTCCGCTTTTGCTAACAAGTCCTCTCTCTCTTCCCGATGCAGATGCCGTTGATCCCACACAAGAAGCACACTTTGATGCGCCAGACCCCGCCGGTGCGCCGCTGCTCTCCGAAAATGATACAAAATTTCTCTCGTCCTTTTTCGATGACATGACCTCGGATCAATACAACATGCCCTCGTTTGGCGAGGGTCTCAACTTCAGCGATGCATGGCTCGACTTGCCTCCCCAGTTCATGGGCCACTCCACTTCATTCGGCCAACAAGCTGCACAGCAACAGGTCCAACCGTTGACTGCGAATCCCCAGGCCTTTCTCAATGATCCTATGGACTTTGCGAATACCATGCCCGGATCTCACCTCATGCCGCCCCCTCCCGCTCCTCCTGCCCTTCTCCAGCCTATGCCGCCGCAACAACCGACCTACCAAGGCCACCCTGACGATGTTATCAACGCCGCCGCCACCCTGCTTCAAAACGGCTCCAACCCTCGATCTGCTTCAAGATCAAAGGATATGAGCAGCCCTCGCCGGCCTATCGGTCCCCCCATTGGCCACCTGCGTCACCAAGGCCTGGAAGAGTTCAAGGAAGAAAGCCGAAAAGACTCGGCTGATGGTGAATACGATCACACGTTTACCGGATGGATGTTTGCCAAAGACAAGCAGTCTCCTAGTACTCGCTCGCCACATCCTCAAGTCCCGGATTTGCAATGGGGCTCAGACGCCGCCTTTGCTGGCGCACAGCCTTCATATGTCCCGGCACCGAACAAGGAGAGCGTCGAATCTCAGCATAAGCAACAGATGCAGGTACTCGACTGTTTCGAGCTAAGCCAGAGCGCCAACAACACTCGACCTAGCAGTCCAGTACGAGCCATTGCTAAAGTTGACGATGCCGATGCCCCGCCTAGAAAGCGTCGCAAGAGTAAGAATCAGCGAGATGGCAATGTCGAGGATGACGATGATGACGAGGACTCCGATGACAAGCTTGGACGCAAGAAGAAGGGCAAGGGTGTTACTGGCATGCCTTCGCCCCCGGATTCCAACGGCAAGCGACGCAAGTCTGGTGTCCAGGCCAAGGCCCCACGCGAAAACCTCAGCGAGGAGCAGAAACGCGAGAACCACATCAAAAGTGAGCAGAAGCGCAGAACCGTCATCAAAGAGGGTTTTGATGACCTCTGCGAACTTGTGCCTGGTCTCAAGGGTGGCGGCTTTTCGAAATCCACCATGCTCACCCTCGCTGCTGAATGGCTTGAGGAGTTGCTCAAGGGCAACGAAACTCTTGCCGCTCAGCTTGGACGCAAGTAAGATCCCAGTTGGTCGACCTCGCCTATTTCCTGTCTTTCTTAGCGTTTACAAACGGCTGCATCAACTGCGAAACAAGGTTCAAGTCCCATTTTTGACCGTTTGGCAAACCTTGTATGTCGTTCTTACCTGTTATTTACCCGCCTTGCATTGGGCAGCCTGTGTTTTTTTGGGTTGTTTTAAGTTTGTGTTTTTTTTATTACTGGAGTCTGGGAAAGCCGGTGCAAACCACGGGAGCAAAACGGTGTCAGATGCAAACCTAGCTCAGAGCGGCGTTTCGTTGTTGTTTTATTGTCACTTAATTGGAGGGAGCTGAAGGATGCATTTTTAACGTTCCTTTATATCCATTGCAGAAAAGGGCACAAGTTTGGATTAGCCAAGTTTTTTGGCCTCTTACTAGAGTTTGATGACGTGACGGACTTGATACCATACAAGTATTGAATTGAACAAGAGATTATTACTATAATTTGGACACATTCTATGACCACTAGTTGTGATTCTTAACACTTGCTACACATGCTTACGCAGTTTGAAAACATAAAAGGCAAAGGATATGTATCTTTTGTTTATTCTCTACCATAAACATCTTCCTAGTAAAACGCCAGCCTAGTTCAAAAAATCGACAATAACCCCATCCTCTTTTGTACCGTTATCACTCCATCCAGTTCGGGATTTAGCTAAGGTCCATGCCTTCGGCGGCTGCGGGAGCAGCAGCAGCAACAGCAGGAGCGCCGTTGGTAACAGCCAAGTCGACGACACCATCGTCGCCAATGAGTCTCTTCTCCGACTTGGTAACAAACTCGATGCTGCGAGCGGGATCGTAGAACAACTGGAAGCTGCGCTGGACGTCCTCCACAGCAACCTGTTTGCTTCCGGGGCGGCGCTTGGCAGACACCAGCTGCGAGGTGCTGATCAAGTTGCTGGCGTAGCGGAGACCAGCCTCCTTGCCAATCTTTGTGAGCAGAGCCAGGGCGTCAGCAGACACTTCAATCTCCTCCTCCTGAGCGCGGATGGCGAGGATCTGGCGAATCTCCTCGTCAGCATAGGGGTGGGTGTTGATAATGACGACTCGGTCGAGGAAGTCGAGGGGCAGTCCGTGAGGAGAGCGGTAGTCGGTGCCGCGGATGCGCGAGTTACCGCGGTTGGAGGCCATGATGACGACGGGGGCCAGGTCGTCTTCGAGAGCGCGGTTGATGTAAGAGAAGCACTCAATATCCAGCATGTGCACCTCGTCTATGAACAAGACACCGGGGACAATCTCGGCCTTGCCTTCTTCCTTCCACTCGCCGACCTTGGTGTTGATTTGGTCGCGGATCTCGCTGCGGATCTCACCCGTGTCGCCGGAGAAGAGGGCGAGGAAGCCCTGTGTGCGCGAGTTGATGACATCAATCTCGTGGAGAGTGACAGTGTGCACGACCTCCTTGCGCTTCTGCAGCTCGCCTTCGGGGCACTGCAGGAACTTAGTGTCGACGCCCATCGCATCGTAGTCGCGCGAGCGAGCGTACGAGCGGCCAAGCTTGGTGATCTTGCCTGACGACTTGTCAATGCTAACAATGTCGCCAGCCATGACGCGCTCCTTAGTCATGGCATCGATCATCTTGGTGCCCATGTCATATACAGCTTCCATGTCAGTCGTCTTGATGGTCAGCTTGCCTTGCTTGGCGCTGCCGGTGACGCTGCGGTCAATCTGGATCTCGACGACTTCACCCTCCATAATTTCACTCTCCTCCTTTATTCTGACTCCGATCGACTTTCGGAACGCCTGTGTGAGGGCTTCTGTCTTGGACATTTCGAGCGAGAAGATCTCGGAGGATGCGAGCGAAGTAAAGGGAACGTCGGGGCCGAGGGACTGTGCCATGCCCATGGCAATAGCTGTCTTTCCGGTGCTATAAACAGATAGTTAGTCGCCAGGCGAAATTTCCTTGATGCGCATCTGTCGTCTCGTACCTAGGGGGGCCGGCAATCAGAACAGCGCGGCCAGCAATCTTGCCATCCTTGATCATCTGCAGGATGACAGCGGCAGCCTTGCGCGCCTTCTCCTGTCCAATAAGACCTTGCGACGCAGCGCGAGGCTCAAGAGTAGTGGCATCTACGCCGAGTCCACGGATATGGGAGTGGGCAGCGATGAGGTTGAGGCCTCGAAGGTCCTTGCTTTCGGACACGGTCACGAGCGGCTGGATTGGGGAAAGTCATCAATTAGCATCGCATTGGCATTGGGGAGGACCGTCGTTCTGGTCCTCTGACTGATGAAATACTCACTGCGGCCATCTTGACAGGTCTTGCGCACTCAATCGGTGAGACTGTGGTGGGAATTCGGTGATGGAAAGGGTAAGGGAAATGGTTTTGCAGGCGACGCTCAGCGTATGTTGGCGTCTGGTCGCCCTTTGCAAAGCAAGCACCGTGCTCTGCAAGTGGGGCTGGGGGGAAGGTTGTGGCTGGAGACAAGCGGCAAGTTGTGGCTTGAACGTAGGCCAAAACGGACTTCAGTGTAACCGGTGACAACCCAAGACCATCAACCACAATAATGGCGGCTGATCCGGGGCGGATTAATCAGAAACAGGCTCAAAAGCTTCGTATAAAGAGATTCGCCCCAAAGACAAGATCGGGGTGTGTCATCTGCCGGTAAGTCTTGTCATCGAAATTTCATCGCCCGATGTACAGCCTTCTCTAACAGCTCCATGTAGCGAGCGGCGAGTCAAATGTGATGAGTCGAAGCCATCATGTAACCGATGTAATGCTGCATCTCGAACTTGCAAATATGAGGATACAAAGCGAAAATTCCGGCGAACGAATGTTTTGCTGATAGCCCCGTCGCCAGTCGTCTTCGCAACGCCAACAGCCATCCCACAGTTCAGTGCTTCCATGGAGATAAGGGATCTGATCCATTTAATACCCCGCGTTGTGTCAAAGGACAATCGACCAATGGGCCGGGGCGAGTGTTATGATAAGATGCTAAGCTTCTGTCAACGGCTAGAAGCTTTCATCTTTGAATTACCAATGCGTTCGGGGCACGTTGCCGTGTTGGATTCAGCTGTCGCGTGCGTCGCCGCCGGTCTAAGATGGCGTGTAGCTACACGAGCACAAGAGACAGCTCTGGAACGAATAGCACTGGGCCTCTATGGTGATACATTAAAACAGCTGCAACCTGCGTTGGTAGATGCGAAAGAGTCATTGTCATCGGATACGTTGTGCGCAACGCAGCTGTTGTTCCTCTTCGAGGCAAGTACATCAGTTTCACGGGTCGTATTCCATCACTAACCATTGCCATCAGACATTGTCTCGTGACAATCGCACCGCTCTAGTATATCATGCTGCAGGCGCTAGTCGCTTGATTGAACACCGCGGGCCGAGTCGCTTCAATTCACAGTTTGATAGGTCTTTACTGATTGCACATGCCCCCATATCCGTAAGTGGCTTGATCTTGGTTAATCCGGGCATCAACTAACCGGTAGCACAGATTATGGAATCCTTTTTCAATGAAAAACATTCAACCTTGGAAAGTGAATCTTGGCAGAGCGTTTTCCGAGCGTTCTCACCCAAGGATTTTGGCTTCTCGCCAATCGACGAGCCTTTGGTGTCCAGTCTAGCCATGCGCAGCGCATGTCCGGGTCTTATTTGCGACTGGAAACACCTATTCAATAAACACATGGATGATGACTTGAAACGCAAGTCGTTACTTACGCGGACCGGCAAATACATCAAAAAAACGAACCAATGGCTTACGCGATGGAGAGACTATCTCTTTAATCCTCAGGCAGACGATGGCACAAAACTGACAGAAATAAGACCAGGTGAGGACCGCCACCCGGGTAGGTGTATTGATGGTGTCCTTTTACAGGAATTTAATCTTCTGATGGCTATTCGCATGTATGTTAGCCTTGGTGGCCCAGAGAGCACTGCGTTGGAGTTGAAGGGTCAACAAATAGCCCGTGAGACATTAGTAGGCCACAAGCTCGAAAATCGAACATGCTACGGAGTGGTTGGAAACTTGGCTCAACATTCAGCCATGGAAATATGCGCAAATGCAGCAGGCTGCTTTCAAGGAGATGCCGATGCGTGGCTTGAGACGGCGCGATCCAACGATCTACGTGCGAAGGAGGGTCTGCCAACCGAGCTGGCACCGGCTAATATTGTCTTGGAATATATATCGAATATCTAGATTATAGTATTTGCCTGTAATATATGGCCCACTAATATCGTACTTTGTATATTTTGGTCTCCGTGTATGGTAACAATGCCAGCGCGACGGTATTAGAGGCGGGCCAGACAGCCGAGAGATTTAGTTCGATCTGATGCAACGTCTGCGGTGCAAGCTGCACCAGACCAGACAAGATACTACGGAAATGTGTTCAGTTTCTGAAAAAAGCCGAAATATTTTCATTGGAGATTAAAAAATAGTAACAAATATATGCTTTTCCAATACCGGCGCCTCACTAAAACAATACGGAAAAGGGCCTCAAAACGCAGAATACTCTCCAGGGTATCCAAGGCTGGTAACGGCACTCACACACCGGTTTGCCTGTGCCCCAGAGTACAAAGACGCGGATCAAAGTACCTCTTGTACCCACTAAAAGCCGCATTCCCCAAATCTTACGGTCCTTATTCAGCGCTACCCAGCGGCCACTAGCACCTGAAACCCCGCTGTAGCGCTGACGACGCGCCCCCAGCTGTGCTTTGTACCCCTAAGTACTCTTTGTGCTGCTGTGCACCTGCGCGCGCCAGCATCTCCGCCAGAAATCCACGTCGCTCTCTGCCCACGACGCCTTCTCGCATCATCACCACCTACCGCCGCCTGTGCGCTGACTACGCTTTCTCGGGACGCGCCATATTTCATACCTGCTCGATCCCGTGTACGAATTGCCAGTGAGGAGATTACCATTCTCTTCTTTGGCTGCGTCCGTCTTCGTATCTAGCGCCTCGTCTCCTGTCCGAAGCGCCCAGCGACTCCCGCTCATAAGCCTGTCCTACCAACAACGCCTACGAGCTTCGCCGCCCGCTCCTCTCCTCCATCTAGCGTTTCTTGCATCGCATTATTCACTTGCTGCAACGTCTATTCCCCGCATCCAGCTAGCAGAACCTCGTTCGCGCCGCTCGCTTTACGACCGACCCCCGCCTGACTCGGCTCTCACCCCATCATCACCATATACCCGCGCGACAAGACGCTCCATTCATCCTAGCCTCAGCGTGCAGAGAATCAAGGCACATATACCAGAGTCGGTACATGGTTCGCCGCCGCCCTTTGTCGCCAGCGGCATGATTTGGGCCCTCGCGCAATGGAAGCTGCGGCGAAGACGGTTGAGCTCTTGACCCAGCGCCATTTGCCAGAGAAACCACACCAGCTCTCATACTCCCAAGATTGGCGATACCGCCCTCCTACCACCGAAGAACCACGCCGCATCGAGGAATGGTATAGCTCTCGACTCCAGTACATGACATTTCTCTCCGACGCAGACCGCGGCGTCCTCCTAACCCGATCCTACTACGATATGCGCGAAGAATCACAAAAGGGCACGCCCCACGAGGCCACTGCCTCCAGCAAATCTGCCGGCGAGAAAAAGAAGCTCTCGCTGAGCGACTACAAAAATAAAAAGACGACAAATGCCTCGGCATCACCTCCAGAACCAGCCATTGCCAAGAGCAAAGAAGCTGACAGACCATCTGGCACCCGTCACGTGTCTGAGTCTAAAAACCTCAATGATGCGAGAGCAAAGTATCGCGAATCGGAGCCAGAAAACAGACGGCATACAACACATGTCGTAGATATGAGGTTTGTTACATTTTTCTTAGCTAATTCGACTTGCCATCGCAGCGCTAACTCGAGGCCCTAGTCTCCCTCCCAAGCCACCGACAAAGCACGGATTACCCCCGCGGCCGCCATCGCCTAATGGCAAACGACGATATAATGAACATGACGATGATAATCGTCCTCAAAAGCGAAATCGGCCTGAAGCAACGCGGCATCCGGATGATCGCCGCCCCCAGGCTCACGATGACAGGCGCCGCGAACAAGGGCGGCGAGATACCAACTCGTATGATTCAACGTTGCCCAATGGCAGAACATCGAACAGAGGGCCGTCTGGGCTCTCACAGTCGCGATCCCCATCATCCCATTCTAGAGGCGAGCCTACAAACGGGACGCGGCAAGCCCAATCCGGCAACAGTCGTGGTACACCCACCAAGATAAACACTCAACCAAAGTCGTCTGTTCCTCCATTGCTATCGCCTCTGCGATTAAGCTTTGAAGAGCAATCGTCGACTAGAAATGAAAAGATACGGCCGGAACCGAGGAAGCCCAAAACTAAGCTTCCGCCACTGCTCTCTCCAACACTTCCGCCAATAGTTGAAGCGGCGTTAGGAAGAAAGAAATCAGACTCCTCAGAATCAGAAGACCGATACCGAGATGAAAAGCGATCGCCACCTCGATACCAAAAGCCTAGCGGCGATCAGAGCGACGACGACATACCGCTCAAGAAGAGACGCCTCATAGTCAAGCTTCGAATCCCCAAGAGTTTGCGCCAAGCAGCCAAGCGCCTTCTTGCTCTGCCCCCAGGGCGCGAGCGCTCTGATGATGAGGAAATGGTTGCACATCCTCGAAAACGACCAACCGGCGACGACGGCCGATCCGACTCTGTGGGCATGAAGAAGACTGCGTCATCGCGCTCTCTTGCACCGACCACGCCCCCACGCAAGGGAACGACATCCATGTCCCGCGTCAATTCGAACGCCTCAATTGCCCACACACCAGGTGACTCTTTCCAAGCGACGCCCACCAGCGGCAGTGTGTCAATGGACCGTCGCGCCAACGGCAGCACCAGCCAAGACCCGTCCAAGGCTGCGAAATCGATGCTAGACAAGGAAGGCCGACTAGGCCAGCTCGGCAGGCGCCTGAAGCACGAAGCAGACGTTGCACTGGGCTCCAAAGCACGCAGCCCAAGCTCGGCTTCATCCGCAGGCGGACCGTCATCCATCAAGCTTGGCTACGTCGTTGCTCTGGAGAGTCTACTCGCATTTATGCTAAGCTTCCAAGCCAAGAACTTGTATCGCGGCATGTGCAATAAGAAACATGACCCAGGAAGCTGGCTGAGTATGCTACCCCTTCTGTCCTTCTTCCAGGACAACATCATGCGCCGCCCAGCAGCAGACTCGCTCTCTCGACAAGGTATTGCGCCTCTCCAAGCCCTCATCTTGCTGCTGCACGCTCTCTCTGTCGAAGAGATTGTCAAATGCTTTGCCAACGTCGGCCCAGACGCTGTCTCCTTGCAAGAGCTTCTCAAGCATGAGCGGTCGCGGTCCCGTCTTTGGACACAGCTCCGCGAAGCCAATGCCACCATCGAGTCCGATCGCCTGCGAGCTGACATCCATCCATGGACGACACTTGACGAAGTCGCTGATAATGTTATCAAGATCCTTCGCCGATGGTGCGCGGATGAGGAAGTCAATTGGGTTCCCGAGATTGGACCTCGTGACTATGGCCGCGGATGATCCTAGTTCCATTTACTTCTCACAGTTGTGTGCTCATTTTCTAACAAAAATGCCATGGATGTGGGCTTTTGGTTGCCTGGCCAGATGTTTAATCTGTCTCAATTTCTCTTGTTTAAATGGCGTTATTTGAGATCTATCCTACCGCGTGGTTGGCCACAGATCTCCATTGATTGTTGTCCTTATTATACCTTGCTTCGCACCGTTCCATATCTACATGGATGCACATTGAATTCGCTTCGACGGCCTAGTCCAACATCATGGACGGCCCCTTCTTTTTTAAAGTCTTCTTCTGTTTATGGAATGTATTATGAGAACCAAATAAATACCAGATTCTGTTCCCCAGTATCCTTCAGTACAAAAGAGATCCCATGTACTTGTGTCATGATAAACCACTTACCAACTTGATGACTGCACAGCAGGTTGCAATGCAATGGCAAATCATCCAAGGATCACATCCGCGAGCAAGCTATTTTCAAATTTTTTTCTCAATTAAACTATATCGGTATCTTTTTTATTTTCTTCACTCTCCGATTTTAACAGCCGAGTACCATCACGTTACGATGATCGGGGCGATCGACCTTGAGGCTAGGTATTGAAGCTCCATGCTTATTTGGAAGCATCAACCTTGGCGACGTAGGCAAGGAGGTCGAGAACACGGCGGGAGTAACCCCACTCGTTGTCGTACCAAGAGACGACCTTGACGAAGTTGTCGTTGAGGGAGATACCGGCCTTGGCGTCGAAGATGGAGGAGTTGGTGTTGCCGATCATGTCGCTGGAGACAACATCGTCCTCAGTGTAAGCGAGAATGCCTGTCAGACGTGTTAGTACGGTAAGATTCAAATGAAATCAGTCAAGGACAAATACATACCCTTAAGGGGACCTTCAGCAGCCTCCTTGATGGCGGCCTTGATCTGGTCGTAGGAAGCAGCCTTCTCAATGCGAGCAGTAAGATCGACAACGGAGACGTTGGCGGTGGGGACACGCATAGACATGCCGGTAAGCTTGCCGTTAAGGTCAGGGATGACCTTGCCGACAGCCTTGGCGGCACCGGTGCTGCTGGGAATGATGTTCTGGGCAGCACCACGGCCACCACGCCAGTCCTTGCCAGAGGGACCATCGACGGTCTTCTGGGTAGCGGTGTAGGAGTGGACAGTGGTCATGAGACCCTCAACAATGGTGAACTTGTCGTGGATGACCTTGGCGAGAGGGGCCAAGCAGTTGGTGGTGCAAGAAGCGTTGGAGATGACGTCGGCGCTGCCGTCGTAGGTGGCCTCGTTGACACCCATAACGTACATGGGGGCATCGGCAGAGGGGGCAGAGATGACGACCTTCTTGGCACCACCCTTCAAGTGAGCAGCGGCCTTCTCGGTGGTGGTGAAGACACCAGTGGACTCGACAATGTAGTCAGCACCGGTCTCAGCCCAGGGGATGGCAGCGGGGTCACGCTCAGAGTAGAAGCGGACCTTCTTGCCGTTGACGACAAGGTCCTTGCCATCGACAGCAACCTCGCCCTTGAAGTTGCCGTGGGTAGAGTCATAGCGGAGCATGTAAGACTATTTAGGCAATGGTTTGTTAGCCGCCGTGTGTAACAAAGCGCAGCGAATGCCCCCAGTCAATCAATCTCACACAATCTCCTCGGGCCGGCGGCGAAGAATCGAAATAACTTCACCCCTTTCAGTAGCCAAGTGAGGGATCATAGAGAGCACCAATTGTTGGGCTGCGGTCGCTATGACAAGCGCGAAGAAGGGTGAACAAAGAGGGGTTACTCACAGCGTACTCAGTCTCAATGAAAGGGTCGTTGACAGCAACGATCTCAATCTCGGGGTGCTCGACAGCGTTGCGGAAGACGATACGGCCGATACGACCGAAACCGTTGATGCCGACCTTGATGGGAGCCATTGTGAAGATTTGGGTTGGTAAGTTTTGTTGGGAGAAACTAGCTATGCGGCAACGGCGACGTCAGCGAGGGTTTAAAAAAATGGAGGGGAGGGGTTTGGCGGGGTAAAGAGATGATGATTGGGAGGGCAGTGATGATTAAACCACAAAGGATTGATGACTGTACTTACAAGTTGATGGATGGGATTGGATTGAAGAAGAGAAGAAGAAGAAAAGAGGAAGAGGAGAGGAGGAGAAGGCGGAAGGCAATAGAAGTAGCAGAAAGCTCGAGGAGGGGCAAGCGCCAGAAGAGGGGCGGGGGACGTCGCGCAGCTGTCTCTGTGCCACACACCCCTCCTGGAGCGGTCACCACAGTGAGCGAGGGGCGTGCCCCTCAAGGTTTCTGTTTTCTGTGCTATTGCATTGGGCCAAATATAGACATGTAATGGGTCTTACAATATGATTTTTTAAGCAATTGTCTCTATTGAAAGTCCAATACGCTGCTGTATAAAAATACCGTCTACCTCTGTTCTTTTCCTCTTCTACTCGGGCTTCGCCGCGTTTGCCACTGAGCCTTGCCCTCGACATCCGATGGCGGCCAGTTGTTGCTGGCGTAATCAACGATTCGGGTTTGCTTCCAAATGATACAGACAAAATAAACCATAGTGTTAAATTAAATGAGCAAAAATGACAAATCCATGACTAACATTATGCAGCGAACTAATACGCTTCGCATCTCTACCTATTCATACAAACGCCGGTTGCGCTCATAGACTCTTCCCCCAAGAACGCGTGTAAGTGCATCATCCAGCGCCATACGTCCGGCCACGATGCTCTCCCCATAGGCCCGAATGGCCTAAGACGGCACTAACTATTCCCCAACCATAGCTGGACCTTGTTGGGCTTTGCCTGCTAATTGCGCGCTTTTTCTTACGCAGCGGCAGAGGGGGCGTGCAGCTTTGCGTCCATCCCATTTTTTTAAGGTGGGAAACTGGGACTAGCGCGACATGCAAGCTACCCGATTTCTCCCGCAACAATGTACCTGGTCGTATGTACTTTCCAAGTCACTCCTTATCCACGCGCTGAGTGTCCCAGGCGCCGATAAGTGGCCGACATTGTAGTAAACCAGGGCCAGAGATAAAGACAGCGTGTAAGAGGAGAGATAAAGACAGGAAAATCACTCAAATGGATAAGGAAATGTTATGTAAGAATTCTTGGGGCTACAGGTAGAGCTATGCACTTGGGCAGGACAGCGACCGCTGTGGGACTGACAAGTAAGTTACTCCGCCTTCTCAGTTTGGCGATGGCTTCATGTGCGTAACCTAGTCGCTACGCATAGCGGCACTCCAGCAACTCAGTGTGCCTGGTTCTAGGCGGGTTGCGGCGCTGTAACACGCCATGCGCCGGGGGTCTAGCGCTGTACTTCGGCGCAGTTTGGCGGGAATCCACGGCAAGGTTCGGGTCCAAAGCACGATAATCGTAGGGCTGGGCCTCCGTAGAGTGTCCACCTAGCCGGAGCAAAACGGCTTCTCACGCTGCGACTGTCCATTCACAGCTCGACGTTGCCTGATGTTTCTGCTTAAAACGGAGACCCATGATCTTCTTCCTTTGCCGTGCAGAGCCGCACCCTGTCTAGCCTGGGGTAAATCGTTGTTCTTTGAATCCGCGTGACGGACTGCTGTTTTGGCTCCGTGCCATGACTGGCTGGTCCGAGTTGCCGTGCTTTGACCCGAGCTGCGATGCTGCACAGGGATTATATGGCGAACTCTGTCGACTCTCACCGTTATAGCTGTATCCCAAAAGCACTAATTTGTCGCCTATTGCAGCAAAAATTTGGCAATGTCATTCAAATGTTACTGACTTCAGCCATTCACCATCGTCGTTGACTCTTCGAATTTCCACGCCTTGTTTGAAGTAGCCGGCATCTTGCCATGCCTTCATTGTCGGTCCGTCAAACGGGCCCTGCACGGCACCGTCTCCTGCGACCCATCTGAAATTCCAATCACCAGTAGTTTGCACAGTTATCGTGCCCGTATCCTCCTCGGGCTGCTTGGGCTCGACCCATTCTTCCCCAGACTCGCGACGATACTCTCGCACAAGCAGCTCTCGCTCTTGATCATATATATCTTCATGGCCGCGACTCAACAGCTTGTCTGCGGCATCAGTGATGGCATCGATAGCTGTTTTTATTCGAGCTGCTGCTGCATCAACTTCCGATGTTGCCGATGAATCTATATCCATGTCGCTTTTGGCTTTGTTTAGCTTTTTGAGCTTCCATGCCGGAATCTTCTTTGACTTCGGCTGAGTTTTACCCAATCTTGCCAGAGCTTCCAGAGGGGTTTCCGCCTTTTCCAACTGCAATATGAGTTTCTTCAGAAGATCTGGTACTGATAGGCTATCATCCTCGATTCTCTGCTTTCGGGCTTCCTCTTGGCGCTTCTCGTGCGCTGTTGCAGCTTTCTTCAAGTCCTTTTTGCTTAGACCTTCAAGCCAGGTATCATGTACTGCATCAGGATCACCAGCTTTTCGAACATAGTTGCCCGAATCATCGAACCGACCGTCTTCCATCTCATCTCGTAGATTGAATGCTTCAACCTTGGGCGCATTGCGCTTTAGGCCCCCAGCACCCACCTCCTCGTCGACGCCCTCCTCCTCCATGGCAAGCTCTTTGTCAGATTCATCGTCGCTACTTCCATCTTGATCTATTCTTATGGTACCTCCGCTTCGACTGTTCAACTCCTGTCCCGTGATTTCTTTAGAATCCAAGAACTGTACTTTTTTCTTCTCCTGTTTGGCGTCCTCATTTGTATTAACATCGTCGTCTCCGCCACTTGCAGCGAACATGTCGTCGTCATCATCATCGTTGTATTTGCTTTTATTCGCCTCAGTATTATCCTCCTTAGCGTCGTAATTGTCCAATTGATCGATGATGTTGACCTCGCGTTTCTTGCGACTGCCAGCACGGGCGTTGAAGTTGTCGTTGTCAGAGTCGCTATCATAGCCATCCAAATTCACTGCACCTCGCTTTGTTGCATGACTACCACCAATGACATCGGCATCAAGTATTGCGTCATCCTCTCGCGCATCAGGAGCAAGCGCAGATGGGTTTCGTACGTCGAATTTGAGATCACCGGCTTCGTTGTCGTCATGGTGATGTGTCCTCGCGAAATTCTCGCCGTTTCTACTCGGGCGAGCAGCTGAATGCCGTGACGCCATTTCGAGTGATAAAAGTACTTTATTGCACTCTAAGATGCGCGATCTATGGAAGCTTGGCGAGCTGTCCGATGCTTGAGTGGTGCAAATTGGCGGGCACCCACTGTAGTCAAGGTTCAAGCATGCCGACTCGAGGCGTCACGTGGAGTTGGCGGCTTCAGAGGAAAGCTCGAGAATCCAAGTGCAACAGATTATAAAATTGGTCAACATTTCCTTCACCTGTTAATTATCTATAATCTGATTTTAATTTCTGACTAACTACTCCTTCTACTCTAAACTCACTGCGTTGGTGTGGAAAGTTGAAGCTGACTAACAATCGAGATCCGCCAAAGCTATCGGCCCTCACTGCGTCATTGCGTAGCTGCCTCTGGTCGCCTCCCACGTAACCTTTGCCTTCTCAACCTCAACTGCGACTCTGTGCGAAGCTTTCTAGCGAAACAAAAACCCGATAGAACCTGCAAAGTAACTTTAACAATCAAATTCAAGCTGATTTAAACAGAAAAGACCTCCTAGGGTCCACTTTCCGTCGGTTCGCCACCATGGTACGTGTAGTCTGTCAACTTGTGCAAACGCAGCCGTTAACCGCCGACATAGTCAAACTTCGGCAGAGGTTTCGACCCCTCCAATCCCGATCATCTCATGAACATGGCACGCCATGGTAGACGACCGGTCATGCAGCGATTCGACGAATACTACAGATGCTATCCAGTGATTATGGCACCTGGCTCGGCACGCCCAGAACTCAACTATGGTTCTAAGATCATCCTGCCGCCTTCTGCGCTGGATAAAGTCTCGAAGTTGCATGTTCAGTGGCCCCTGCTTATGGAGCTAATAAACGGCGAAAAGGGCCGACATTCACACGCTGGTGTACTGGAGTTCATCGCGGAAGAAGGTCGTGCTTATATTCCACAATGGGTATGTACATGCTGCTATCAGCGTCTAATGGATTGCTTTACTGATATATAATAGATGATGGTTACTTTGGGAATGGATGTGGGAGATATGATTCAAATCCGAACGACATCACTGGAGTTAGCAAAGCTCGTTAAGCTTCAGCCACAGTCCCCAGCATTCCTTGAGATTAGTGATCCTAAGGCAGTTTTGGAAAGGGCATTCCGCAACTTTGCAACGCTTACAAAAGGAGACATCTTCAACTTTGAGTACAACGACGAAATTTACGAGGTAGCAGTACTGGATGTGAAGCCAGAGACGGAAAAGATGGGCGTGTGCATGATCGAGACGGATGTTTCTGTGGATTTCGCCCCTCCGGTTGGCTATGTCGAGCCATCGAAACAAAGTGGTACTAGTACACCACAAAGCACAAGACCAGGACTACCCGCTGGTGGAGTCCTACATAGCCAGGGTACCATGGCACAAGCAATCAACTACAGCTCCATTGCTCCGTCAGTCACAAGAGTTGCCACGAACTTTTTGGGCGATGGAAAGAAGCTTGCCAAAAAGGGAAGCAAAGCATCAACACCGAAGCCAGCAACACCAGTTCCCGTCGAAAGTGTTCCCGCAAAAAGGACAGGTGCTCCGGCTGCGCTCCGGCTAGCTCCTAACAAGCTATTCTTTGGCTATGAAATCACCCCAGTGAAGACTGATGCAGATAGAGAGCAAGACAAGGAGAATGAGAAGCGACCACACTTCGCTGGACAAGGCCAAAGTCTGCGTGGAAAGGTCAAGCGAAAGGGTGAGGATGATACCCATATGAAAGGCACGGAGAAGAAGAGCTCATCAGAAGGGCACAGGCTCGATGGCCGCCAGCCACGTTAGTGGATGCATTTAATGCACTCGATCAGATACGAAATTAGACAGGATAGGAAAAATAATGCAGCGATTCTCCAGTTACTTGTTATACCATCTCTAAATTTATCGGCGAAACTAACTCCTGGCTGTATTTGTTCTCTGTTAAGCTATACTGGCAATGTGACATATGCATTCCATTTGCTATGAGGATAACCTTAACACCAGAGTTAAACCTCTCTTCAGTATTCCTGTTCGATACCAAATTTGTGATCTAGATAGGGCTCGCGGACTCATCAGAAGCTGGAGTTGTGTCCTCTGCGGCATCGTCTTCTTCATCACCTTCCGGCGCAGGCCCCAGGACCAAAGCTTCATTGATACTAGGCTCAACGTTAAGTTTTGCACGCTTGGCCGGGTGGGAAGCAGAATCAAAATAGTCCTCGTCGATAGAACCGCCTTTGGCATCAACTTCGTCAGCCTCCTCATTTTCGAAGGCGACGACAGCCTTTGAAGTCTTCTTCGCACGCTTCCTTGGGGCTTTGAGCGCCGTGACAACCGAGTCTGGAGGCAGTCGCGCAGTGAATTCTTTGGACATTTTAGTCCAGCGACCACTATAGGCAGGTGTTAGTTTTAGAGATCTGTAACATATTGAAATTCACAACTTGATAGTATCATACCAGAGTGATGCCCTCGAAAATGGGTACCCGAGCTCGCTAAGCAGCTCGTGGGCTTTGACCCAATTGTTACGAACGCCTTGACCCTGGCTTAAAGTGAGAGCGATGAGGATGTCGCGCTCAGTCGCTGCGGACCATTTGCTGGTATCAATTGCGTCGGTCATGCTGAGCTTTTAGATTGATTTGAAGATATATTTTAGATTTTGAAGTAGATGACTGTATCTTGTATGCTAGGCGATGTATACTTTGAAGTGTTTGATGAGTTGGTTGAAGATGTTGATTGATTGATTGATTGATGTAGTTGATGTAAAAGAAAGAATAAAAAAGCAGCGGAAACAGATCGTTTATATACAAAATCGACTATATGGAAATTTTCTATTCAGACTCGGTATGCCTGTTGCGAAAAATGACCAAGAGAACCTCGTGCATATCGCTGGTGCTCGACGGAGATGCTCAGGCAGTCCTAGAGCGAAGCGAGACAAATGGCGCCAACTGCTAGGCGACTTCTCCAAGGGTAGATAGCGTATTCACTTTCACTCAAACGAGGGTTCAAACTGCACTACACTGCTCTTTTGTTTGCATTTGGGTGGCCTGCATACCTAGGCATCCTGACCCAGCTTCTCACGTTTGCGTACAGCTCTACTCTACCACAGTACACTAAATCTTGAGTATCTATTCTATCCCATATTTGGAAGACAATCTCCCTCTTTGAACTCTCGCTTTTGCAAGCCAATATCTTTTTGCCATGAAGTGGGACAATGCCGCTCACGAAGCGCTTTTGGTGGCTATTTGCAATACCATGAGAGTTGGGAGCGTGGAAATGAAAGAAATTGTCGCCGCCATGAATGAAAAACACTTTCCTGTAACCGTCCGAGGTGTCTCGTAAGTCCTTCTCTTTTCCTTTGCCCGTTCCACATCTCTACATCCGCCACCATCTCACTTCACCTCCTCTTCACTCACCATCCGCGGCCTGTCTTCCAGGTTCTTATCGTTACAAAATCAGCAATCTTTTTTATTGAGAAGGAAATCTAAAAAAAGTATATCAATCTACATCCAAACTACAACGTCGAAATGGTTGGTCGATGGGATAGCGTTGCGCACGAGGCTCTTCTCCTCTGTTTTATTGATGAGGTGAAGGCCAACAAGGCTGTTCTTACCAATGTCACAGCTCGGATGAAAGATAGAGGATTTAAATTCTCATATGATGCTATTAAGCAAGTACCCTATGCCAAACACTAGTGTTCATTGCGTCTGTCTAAAACAGCAAACCGATTGTACCGTACTAACAACTAGCGTAATTAGCCAGCACATTCTGAAATTGAAGAAGAATCGCGACGCAGAATTCAGTACAACGGCAACTGATACAAAGGTCGCGAAGTCAAAACCAAAAGACAAGGCCAGCGGCCAGAAGCGCGCCGCGTCTAAGAAGAGGGGAAACAGTTACGACGATGCGGATCTGGACGATGAAGAAATTCAATTCAAGAAAGAATTGCAATCAAACACCGATCCTGCCGAATACGACGAAAAGAAGTCGAACAAACGAGCTAAATTGGAATCGTGAGTCTCATGAACACCATTGCGAAGGAAACCTTGACTAATGATAATATCGCAACAGGGATGTTGACACTGAGGTTTGAGCGGAACGACAGCGCCACATATCGGAAGAAAGGCGAATATTGCTATTATGAATCGAGAGGAAGTATCAAATTTAACGACATCAGACAAGGGAGACATTCTCAGTTTCGCTACTCGGCTCATTCGCATTATGAGTATCGAGCGTAGCCGTAGTTGGGTAAAAATATATGTCATCCCATGAAGCCTATTGTGCCGCAGAGCATAGAGGCTCGGTTAGCTCTCAAAGGCAAGGATACCTTTGCGAAGAGCCTCGGAGATGTGATATGTGAGCTTTAAGCCTGTTTCAGTGCATTCCTCAGGAAGACGGTTAAGGACATTTCCAGCAAAATGACCGTGCCCTGTTCTCAATTTCTTTAGACCCTCAAGAATAATACTCTCTTGACCGATCTTGGCATAGTCAGACTTTCTGCTTATGACGGTATCGACAGTAATGGGGTTTCCGACGTATAGCGTGACATTGACCAAGTCCAGAATTCTCTTCGCCTCTGCGGTTGTTAGGAGGGCAGGAAGCTCGTCTGTATGCTTAACACCAGAATCTAAAGCCTGCTGTGTAAGAGAAAGGGATACAAGCTGGGGAGCCGCAGTTAGGAGCTGGCCATCCCAATTCTTGACCTCGTCATTTAGATCCCCAGCGTTGTTGTAAATGCCGTTGATGTCGCGAAGGACGTCGTCCACGGTAGCCGCAGACGCAGTAACAACAATAAAGAGAGTAATATATTTAAAAGAAGTCATTATTTAAAGAATTATAGCCTTTTAGGGGAGGAAAGATGAAAAACAATTAATAATGAGTGACAAAATGCATATTATATTGATTTTCAAGATGCCTCGGCAACCTGATGCGGGGGAGATTAGCGTCACTAACGCTTTCCGGACAAACTGGAGGAACTACTGAACAGGTATCGTATGACAAAAGAATCAATGGAGAGGACACTAACCTCTGAGAGGATTATTGGCTACAGTAACTGCCGTCTCGCGCATCACCATGGACAGTTGGCTTCATACCTGGTGCCGGTGGAAGCGCTGGGCAAGGCCAGGCATAATATCGATTGTGCAAGTCATCTTGTGGTACTTTGTGAAGCCAAGTGGAAATACGAATACAAAACCAGTACACAAGCCAAGGAGAATAGATTTTATTTCTAAAAGTGGCTATTTCTATAACATGGCTCCTTACCAGGGCAGTTGGTGGTGATACGTGTGCTGCTATATCTGCTCGCCTGCGAAACAGACAGCCCATCATTGCGCCTCAAGACAAATCCGAAAAAAAAACTCCTGGGGCTATAACAAAAGTGATTATAAATAAAGACCCAAAATTCATAGTCAAGGTTCCCATTCAAAAGTCCGTCCGCGGGGCCGTTTCTAAACCTCATCCGGAGAGAATACATCGGCGCTGTTATGAGCCGCGAGAGCCAGAACAGCCTCATCGTCAAGGACATCGGCAACATCTGCGTCATCCAAATCAACCTCGTTATCAATCACGCGTTGCCTTTTGGAAGGACGTAGATCCTCCGTGGGGAAGTCATCAGCCTCACCATCCGCATCCGCATCTAATTCTGCTAGCTGAGCAGCCATATTCGAGCTATGTGTCGATGGTCGGGATGTTAAGGATGTTGTTCTAGTGCTGCCCATAGGTAAAGATGCGTGAGCGTTATTGCGTAAGCTGGCTTCTTCCGCGCCAGAGTGCACCTCGTTAGACACACTGCCAGCTGCTTGATGCTGACCAGCCTGTATTTCTTGCTGTACATCGCCACCAGCGAGGGCCTGTGCTACAGAGATGTTATCTCCCGAGCTTGAAGCAACACTGCCGCTTTTGCGAGGTCGTCCTCGTCCAGGACCAGGTCTTCTAGTTATCGGGTTGAACGAAGGATCAGAGCGTTGGCTTGCGGTAGGTGCTGGTGTAAGTTCGCCTTTCTCCTGACCACGCCTTAAACCCTGGAAATGCTGTCTATTACATGAGTTAGTATGGGTTACGGAAATATTCACGGAGCTGGTCGCAATCCGATTTATGGCTGTAAGATAACGGCGCCGTGAATCACAGGCAACCGAGCAAACACCATTGCCAGACAATATTCTAGCTTTATCATGACAAAGCGAGGCAAGGCAACCACGATGTAGTAGACGTATAAGGAATACTGCAGCGCAGCTTTTGAACATAGCCACATACCTGCATCCTTCATTTGTAAAGCCATATCCCAGCGTGCGCATGTGGTTACCAATGGTGCTCCATTCGACACCACTGATAACGCCAATGTTCTTGACGGACAAAATGGTGAAGAAGAGGTCTTTATTGGCCCGGTCGTTCCAATTTCTATTGCTGGGAAACATGACGGTGGTAGACTTATACTGACGACTAATACCTGTTTGGACCAGTGGTGGGTCGGAGGTAGTCGACTGGCCTTCACGATGCAAGCTGTTAAGGGTCGCGTTGTCGACGAGTCGTAAAATGATAGCGAGGGACTTGGACAACAGGTTTGGCCAGGGCAGCTTTGGCAGCGGGGTCACCTGGGTGTCCACCAAATGGCGACCGCTGTGCCATGGTGAGAGACGTACCTCACTATCAAACACACTTTACAAAAGTATTAAATTGGCTGAAAATTCTCTAGTATGCTGTAATACATTTAATCACTCTTATTCAATCGCATTTTCTCATTTCAAATAAATGTTCCTACAGCAGCAGGGCGGCTGTTGCTCACGCTTATCCGATGATGTGACGGCTATTAGCCGAGATACACCCAGACCTGTCCAGCTAAATCATGTGACTTGGCGACAAAATCGCGAAGAAGAAGAGTCGATGAGGACGCGAAAATGGGCCTGGGAAGCGGGCATGCGCTCCTCCCTGAGAAATCGACGCGCAGAACATGGCGCAACTCCCTCCAGGCAGAAAAGTGGGGCGTTGTCTCGTTTCAATTACCAACCAGCCCTCACGTGCTTTCGTGGTAACTTGGCGGTCACTGTCCGCACAGTGTGGCAAGAATCTTGCGCGCCCGTCGCGTCCCTCGGGTTTTCTGCGCCCCCCCCGCCTCAACGAGAGCCGACTTTTGATGACTTTTTTTTTGCCACCACGCCTCTCGATTAGATTCTATAAAGTGCTGGGTTGCCCAGGCAAATCAATATCGCGAAGAATTGCGCTCTCGATTAAATGTAATATTGACCATACTTTCTAGCAGCAACTATCGAACTACGACATCTTGAACTTCGTTGGGCTGGAGACGCCTCCTGCTTGCATTCGTTCTGAGGAAGCAAAAAGAAACTTTGGGAGCCGATCAGGATCCGCTCTACCGTGGTGACAAGAGTTCCCTTTGGATGAAAATAAAATCGGTGCAATCGAGAGCCGAGTGGGTGTCTCGATAATTGGACTGCATTGTGATTGTCCCAACAGACCCTTCCCGTCTCGCTCGTCCTGTGCAACCTGTTCGCTTCCCATTGCATAATTCTATCAACTTGAGATGGCCAAGCTCAGGCTGGCTACAGCCTTGTAGAACTTGCGCAAGCCTCAAAGTCGTAAGCAGCCAAAGAGATTGCTCCAATGCTACGGAATGGGTGAGCCTCCACCACCATGCAGTCCCCCGCTGGCAAGGATTACGCTTTTAGAGCCTGTCTATGAACGATGACTCACACTTCCCCTGGCGACACTCCACATTCAAGATTCAAATTCTTTTTTTTTCTGGTTAGTAAGTCGCTCTGGGCCGGGATTTATAGTTCATAGACTTTTTTGATTGGCTAATCGGGGCTTACAATTGTTCGTCGACTTTGATACTCTGCGACGCAAACCTACCATTGCGTAAGCTACCAGTGGCCGATTTTATACGGTGAAAATCGCAGACAATCAATTCATTTGGCCAAACTGAGAAATGTACTTGTTTAAAGATACCAAGAAGCTACTCAGCCAGTATTCTATCCCTTCGTTTTCCCATCACCATCTTCCGATTTCCCATGCTGCCGTTGTAGTCCTTGTCTCATGTTCTCGCCATTGGCCAGCAACCACTTAAGGGCCCCCGCTCAGCCTATCCCACCACTTTACGCGGTGGAGCGCAATAAAAGTGGAACCGCCTCCCTCCAAAACGTCAGTAGCGCCAGGCAACAACCGCCTAGTGCGATTTTGGAACCTCCAGCTGGCTCCTCACCACCAAGTCTAGGTCACAGTGGCTGCACACTGTGCTCCAATCCTCCATCATGACATGCCGGCCGCGCCATGACGCCGCCCCTGCGTCTCCGCTTCCGGTTGTTTGTTTCCCACCATAGGAATCTCGGCTTGCAAGGACAAATCTTTTCCTTTTCTGTACTGTGCTGCTTGTATATATTTCTCAGCTTCCCCCGCCTCTGCCTTGGTGCCTCGTTGTCGTTCGCATCAACTCGTTATACATCGTTGCCCACCCTTGAGTAACTTGTCTTTCCTTCGTCACCATTCACCCAAAAACTATCCAACACCTGACCGCAGCCTTCGGCATCTCCTGCGACCAAACATAGCTTTGTTGTCGACACCTTGTCTAGACAAAGCATATACCTGAGCTGTCCTTCTAGTCTTCTTTAACCAGAGCTGCGATTCCATTTCATCAAGTTTTGGACTTGCTATCGCATCGTCTCCTTCACACTACACCCTTATTCGTCAACTTATATTCCTGAAAAAGCTCCAACATGTCTCCGAACGCAGACAACGCTATGGCCCGCTTTCTTTTTGCTATCCTCAAGCAAAAGAACCTCAAGGATGTGAGTTGATGAAATAGAGTGAAGTAAGCTGTACGAACAGACTCTAACCTGCCCGTGTTAGATTGATTGGAACCAAGTCGCTCAAGATCCTGTACTCATGCAGCCCATTACCAACGGGCATGCAGCACGCATGCGTTACTCTCGTTTCCGATCCACGATTCTCGGCCACGAACCGAACAAGAGACGCAGCTCCTCAGATGACAAATCGAAGGTGTCAAAGTCGAGAAAGAGTTCGCCTTCCCTTAAGAAGGAAAGTATCGTCAAGTCTGAATCGCATGTCAGCTTGTCGTCGTACCCTCATCTCTCTTCAGCTTCAGTATCACCATACATGGACAGCCTTGGAGATGATTTTGACAACCGCTTCATGACACCTGGTAGCGACGACCTGACTCAGTCGCTTGCCATCCATCCTTCCGCCCTCGACTATAACAACATCGAACCCGCTTTCCTCAAACAAGAGCCCGGATTGGATGATGTGTCGGATTTCTCCGCCTTCGAGGCCGCCTTCAACTACCACACCTACAGTCAGAACATCACTGACAGCTCCCTCATGGATTCCAGCAATGACTGGAGCCAAGACCCTCATTTTTGATACCCATGATCATGCTTGATCTCATTGAGGATCACCTCTACACGATGTAATTTTATAAACTTGGCAAGGACAGAAATTGGCTTGCGATGACGCCTTTGATTCTATGGATTTCGGACTTGCACAAAAAAACCGGCGTTTTGTTTGTAATGACCTTTGGATGTCATGCACTGTTGAAAGATTAACGTTTAATTGCTTCGCTTACGATTTAATGACAAAATACAATTCCAACTACTTGCCGTTTGCGTGCTATATGGCTTGTGATGAGCGAGGTTTGACAGAGTTACTTGGTACTGGTGAAGCAATGTGCCTGCAGGACTCCCGTTGGCCGTGTTGGCACACATTTTTCAACTCTTCCTTTGTCCGAAACACTTGCCAGCTGGCAGACTGGCCACGCAACCGGAACAATAAAGCCTGTTGATTGTCCCAAAGATCCCGGTTTTGCTTGACCTGATTCCTATTTCACCCAGCTTTCACTCTACACTTCTCTGATCAAGTAACGACGATCACCAGCCACATTAAACAAGCATCAAACGCCATTTCCGTCTCATACATACCATCGCTAAACTTGTTGCCAAGCCAATTAGATTATCCTGCGACTGAAGATGGCTACTGACGAGAACAAAAAAGACTTCACGCCGGCAGAGGCCACCCTTTTCTTCTCAGTCTTCAAGCACAACAAGGCCAAGGCGGAGATCGAGTGGGACAAGGTCGCCGAGGAGTGCAACTTCAAGAATGCCAGCACTGCCAAGGTAGTTTGCCCCTTTATTTTCACCGAGATGAGTTGACGATTAACTATGGGATGATAGGTTAGATTTGGCCAGATTAAACGAAAGCACTGGGGTGGTGAACCATCCTCCACGTGTGCATCCATTCCTTCTTCTCCAGCCAAAGTCAAGAAGGCTACTCCTCGCCGAGGTGCTAAAGGCAAAGACAAAACTGTCAAACCCGAACCTGATTCACATGGAGATAAGTTGAAGAACAAAGACGAAGATGACAGCGATCTTGGGCTCGATTGCAAGGATGAGGCTCTTGATGAAGCTCCCTATTCTAGTTCTTAGACGTGTTTCAGTAGATATGATGCCTTCCATCACATGGTTGAAGTTGACCTGTGTAAGGAGAGACTTTTCGTTTGGAGATGATATTCTGGTTTATTCTGATTTTGGGGTCCGACGTCGTTGGTTGATTAAGAACTCGCTATAGCGCAAACCAAGCCGTAGTTAAGGCATTTAAAATGATGACTATTCTTTTTGATGAGCGAATTGTTTCCGATTCGGAGCATCATCTCCTGTGGTTGAGCCCAAAGTGACATTTTGCCCGCCTCTCACCTCCACGTCAAACGTGCACCTAACATCTTACACGCTACCAAACTAGATTTCGAAAAGTATTTTATTATCCACTAAGTAAATACGAACTAACGAGAAGCTTTCGTGCAAAAAGCAAGACTAATAAGGATCATAGAGAAGAACAGATATGGCCGACCAGCTTTATACCGACATTGATGCTACATTCTCACCCGCCGAGCTCCGTTTAATCAGAGGAGTTCTGGCCAGCATCGATAACGACAAAATCGACTGGGATATAGTGGTCGACGAATCCGAAATGAAGAATGTCACTTACGCGAAGAAGCGCCTGCGCGCTCTTCGGGTGAAACACCACTTGCTGAAGGGGACTGGAGAGGATGGCGTCCAACAGCCAAGCCCATCCAAAGTGACGAAGAAAACGTCCATCAAGCCTGAGAAAATGAAGCTCAGTGTGAAGGCCGAAGAGTCTATCAAGAGCGAATACTTCGTTTGAGGCACCAAAAAGGAAGCCTATCAGCAGCATTGGATGGAAGTCAGCCATGGTGGCATAAGCTAGTAGCAAGGTTCTGAGCGTTCAATGGCGCCAACTAGTATGAAATATTCATGTTTGTTTTTGATGTATGTTTCCACTTGTAATGACTTATTTGATGTGAAACGGTGGGAAAACAGCAAACTCTAATTTTCTCTTCTAAAGGGTACCTGTATGCTTCAGGCTGACGTCTGCGCAGAGTCCGACTAAGCTCAAGTCTCACGAATTATTAAACACAGTAGGTCATAGTACGCAATATGAAATACTGAGACTACTCTGACGCACGTAGCAACGAACAGGACTGATCAGAAGAGTAATTGTGATAGGTTAAAACGACGTTCAGCGTCCGTTTGAACCCAATCGACAAGCCATAGCTAGCACACATGAGCAGTGAACTTAAAATAAGGAATTATTCACCTCGGATTAATTAATGGAAAGTGTCCTCGTGACGTAGAATGCTAGAGTTGAGCTGAATTGAAAGCGCCCAATGACTGGAGCCGAGTGGGCGGCGAGCATTTTATTGTTCGTTGTTCACCTGGCATTCAGATGCTGCAGGAGAACAATAGGCAGCCGTTTGAAAGGTGGATTTCATGTTCTTCTACTCGTATACAAATACAACATCGTTCTCACCAGTTTTATTTCCATTCTCTCAGAATTCTTGCACCATCTCACCTCATTGATCAGCATTCTGTTCGCCATCGTTTAGCTTGCCTCCAACCTCACCTTCAGTCCTTCAAGGTATTAATTCAATTCAATTCAAACCATTGGCTGCATTATTACTTACTCACTTGCCAAGGAAACTGCGCATCAACATGTCCAAAGCCGACGCTGCCGATCACATTCGCTTTCTGGTGGCATGCATCAAGTCCACCGGAGCGGGAAGGGTAGGCCCTATATGAAACCGGTCAAAATTAGTCAAAATATTACAATGACTAACGAACCTAGCCTGATTTCGATCAGGTTGCGGAGCAGCTTGGAATTGTAACCAGAGGCGCTGCGTGAGTAAATTACACAGCCATTGTCAAAGTCACCCTACTAACGCTACTACAGTCAGAAGAGATATGAACGATTGATCAAAGCCCACGGGCTTGGTCCTGCAAGCGCGAAGCCAGAGAAGTCCGAAGCCACCGAGGAAGATGAAGCAAATCAGACGCCCAAGAAGCGAAAGGCTCCCGCAAAGGCTCGCGCCCCCGCTGCGAAGAAGGCCAAATCAGATCCTGTGGCCGACAGCGACGTCAAAGTTGAGGGTGATTCTGATGAAAAGGTTGACCCCAAGCTTGAGAATGGTTCGGTGATCGCTTAAAAGTTGACGACTTCATCTGCTGACTTGACCATAGATGAAGCCGGGCCTGAAGGCGATCAGTCCTGTGCACCCGTCAAAGAGGAGTAGATATTGGTCCAGAAACAAGCGTGGCTGTCGAATGGAAGGGTAATCACGGCTTTTTTGGGATTATGCTCTGGATTGATTGACTACTATTTGCTTGGGCGATACCGGACGTGGATACAAACGGAACAAAGGAATGGTTATGAATTTACACTGCATTAGGCCGGGGAAGAATCAACGACGCAATTTTTACGCACTTCGACGTAAAGCTTAGCTATTCAAAGATTGCACAATGGGAAATTAACTTGTATTTATAAACTCTGCTTGTTGAGGCTAGATCTTGATTGAAGGTGTGGTGCACGCTGAAGGTGAAGTGCCATAAACGCTGCCACCAGCCATCGTGTGGTTAAGTGAGACATGACATTTCGTTTGCCATTGCATTGATATCAAGAATAATCACCCTCGGAAGAGAAATTGGGCAATCAGCACCTAACCTATTGTCGATTTCAATGTAGTTCGCAAAGCGTCAGACCCGCCTCAAGTGGCAAGGGGGTGTTATTGTTCCCGACGACAATCACCCATCACTCGAGACCGGGGCTGCATAACAATAGGATATTGAGACTAGCATAATAATGATTGTACTTTTTCAAGAGTCAATCTACGTCGATGATCTGAGGTATAATTAGCTACGACATCCCCGAGTCTCTCAGAGCTTTGCTTCCCATTAATTCTCGTTCGTGAATCTTCATCTTTCAATTCTTTTTTTCAAATAGAAGACTCTTTCAAAGGATTTACTAGAAAATTCGTCAGACATTATGGATCTGTACGATCTTAGCCAGTACCAGAAGTGCTACGTCCCACCTTCCAAGCAGGCATCGCCTCGCAGCTTCATCCCAACACCACCAGATTCTCCGAAGAGCAGGAAATCATGCTCTTCCAGCAGAACAAGCAGGTCTGGTCGAAGCAAATCTTCCAAGCCCATTTCGCCTCCAATGCCATTTGATGATATGCATGAGGCTATCCTGGTCATCATTGAAGAGGTTGTTGAGAAGCAGATGGCGAAGGCGATGCTCTCACTGAAGGTGCAGAGTGAAGACTTCGATGGACAAAACGAAACGCTTAACCAACAATTGGGTCTTCATCACCAATCCATTCAGAGGCAAAACGACATCTTTGATTCCCAAACAAAGGTGCTTAATAGCCTTCTCGCTACGACGTCGGGCATGATTCAGTCTCTTGCTGAAACTCCGATGAATTTACAACAGGCAATTTCTCAGGCAGCCCAGGAAGAAACTCAAAGAACAATTAATCAGTTGCTCAGACATCAGCACCAGAACTTCCAGGACAATCTTCCCAATCAGTCGTGGCCGCCTTGCCTGCTTCCCGGCGGAAGTGTACCAGTTCATAATTCGTCCTGCCATTCTATCTACTCATCACCATCAACAGATTGTGGACAAGTACCTACAAGCTTCCACAGCGGCCAGAAATCCTCATGTCAAATGGCAAAGGCAACCACTTTCAGGAGGAGGGCGTGGATGAAGTTGAAGCATATCTGGTAGTTCCTGGCCTTTTTTCAACCGTGTACAAGTTTTATTTTTATTTCAAACTATTCCTTTTAATTGAATCTTTTTCTTTAATCTCCCTCACGTTCTCTCTCCACCACACCCCGTTCACACGACCAGACCCAAAACAACCACAGACCTGGCATCTGGGTATTTTTACATCCTCACGCTCTTTTCACATTCTGATTCTCGCATTTTCTCTCACAGTCTTCCAATTGTCGCGTCGGAACTCGCCTCGCCCACTGTCCAATGAGACTTGTCCTCGGTTGTCTGGTCGCTCCGCCTGCCAGGTGGCAGAGTCCATTTGCCAGGTGCCAAACTGCATACATGGCACGACAAGTGAACTTTGCCCCCTGCTTGTTTTTCATTCAAAAGACCCTGTAGACCCGTCAGAATTGGACTTTTGACGTCCCCAGCCTCCCCACTACCTGTCCGTCTTCTTCCACCCGCTCTTACTGCCTCCTCCTCCTCATATTCGGACATCGTCATCTTCTCATTTGGATACAATTGAATTTGCATAACCCCTGAATTACTACATCTCAGTCAAAAGTTGCTCGCATTTTGTGGACACTTGTTTTACAAGCTGTTTCTCTTCGTCGTTACGTTGCTTCGCTACGAGCGTCACTGTCATCTGCATCGGTTGCTGATCTCCACAGTCTTGGTGAGTACTACACACAACACATTAATGTCACCAGTGGTATTAAACAAGTCATAGAATAAATAATCGAAACACTTATTGTCGAAATGGGATCTTCCCGGAAACCGACGTCTAAGCCAACGACCCCTCCACCCCGGCCACGTCGAGGCACAGGCGGCCGCGTCAAGAAGTCTAGTCGAGGTTCGATCGAGACTCCAAAGACGACTGTATACTCTCATCACTTGCCATCTAGAGAGCAGAAGAAAGGAAATGGCAGAATGGTGGGACGTAATCTGATCATCTGGAGCCGTACGTACCCTGTGCTGTGACTGAACAGAAGACTAACACACCTCACAGGTCCCAGAATGGCAGATAAGCTGTTGCAGCACATCATGTACGAGTGTGCCAGACACAAGATCAATATCCCCTGGGATGCTATTGCCCATCGCTTCCATCCTGGCTCCTCGGGAACTGCTATTGTGCAGCATCTGAACCGTACCCGCAGGGAGTTGATTGCAGAGGGTCATCTAGTTCCTCCCATGACGCATGGTGCTGAAGCAACCCAAGACCTCAACATTCGAGGGTTCATTCGAAGAGACACCAGCGGTAGTGATAGTGAGACCACACGTCCCGTTGAGTTTGGAGAAAAGGTCGAGGATCTGCGTGTCAGTTTGCCCACCGGTTTCGGCAGTGATGAAGATGCAGAAGCATCAACGCAGCCGACTACTCCTGAGAAAACAGAACGGTTTGAAGGTGAACCTTGCCGAAATATGTGGTCTTATTCCTCCATGGGTATGAACTACTGCGCTACTCCAGAAGAACAGCGTATGGCACTACATCAATCATTCAACTCAGCCGATATGGAATCACCGGTATGTTCAATATTACGCAGGCTAGAACAATCACAGGCTAACCACTAGTCAAAGTCCATGGATTCATATCTTACTAGTCCATCGATGATGAGACAACTCCAACTACACGGTCAACGACATGTTGCACCTCGGTCAGTCCCTGGCTACATCGGTTTTCAAGATGCTGCCGCCTCATTTTCCCCCTCCCACGCCTTCCTACAGGATCAGTTTGCGGGCAGCAACGATCCTTTTTTCAGCTTTCAAGTGGAAGAGTGCAGTCCCACTGACACGAGTGACGGCGTGGAAAACTCGGTTGCCAACCACGGCGAGCTACTAACAGTGCATGCTGTGGCTACTGACAGCAGCAGTGGCTCGCCTCCCAACATCAAGGGAGAGTCATCTCCCGAGATGGGCAAGGTGGCAATCGACGAAACCACGCCAGCAATGGCCGATTTCTTGGTAAGTTTCATAGAGATAATTGCATTTTTACAGACAGAAGCTAATATTTTAAGAACGAATCCTCCTTGTTGTTCTTTTGAGGTGGACAAGTGCTCAGTGGTTTCTGTTTGTATAAAAAAGCTTATTTGCTAGTTAAATTTGCTTCGCTTTTGGTCAGTGGAATGGAGTTATAGGAAGAGTAAGCCCGAGGGTTAGTTTTTTTTAAGTTGTACAAATAAATTTGCTTTCTGTATTTCTCCATGTCTCATCATCAAAGTGAGCGCTAAACCGTGGTCCGGCCTGCGAAATGCAGTGTTCTGTTAGTTTCAGCAGGGTGGAAGGCAGCTTTGTCAGTAGTCATTGGTCATAGCAGCATCGAGTTAGTTTTGAAATTATTTACCCTCTCAGATCAGTCATCCCCGTGTACCGAGATGACTGCGAATCCTCCTTGTGAGGTAACACCAAGCCAGTTGTCGACTCGCACAGCCCAACTTTGTTGTGGTTCGCACCGACGCTGAAGAGTAGAACACGACCAATAAGCCAATATAAATATCTCAGAAAATACCGCGAATCGAAAGAACATCCTAGAGCCTAGATCCTTTTTTTAATATCAGCACAGTCAAGAATGTGGCTCGGAGAACATTGATTTCTTAAGCCTTAGTCAGCAGCTGTAAACGCCTGGTGGTGGTGTAGCGGGACAAACGACGATGGCGGGGAGAGCTCCAGCTCATATCTGACATACGCAACAACGGCCACTTGCAGAAAAAGCTGTCACCAGTCACAAGACCTACACAGAACCACACCCAAAGTCTTGACGTACGCACATAATTGTCACAGAGAGCCTATATAGCGTCTATATCGCGCACCTCTGCCCGCCTCCTCATCCTCTACCCCGCCAACGAGCTCGCCGCCGCACCGAGAGTGCATCATCGTCCATCATGGCTGAAGCAGCTTTCGCCAAGACGTTCCTCACAACGATCGACTCACGACCCATCAAATTACCTGCCGATCATATCGAAGATGCCAAAAAGTTCCCTGCCCGACCACCTGTACGTTGCGCCCTAGCGGTCAAAGACATGCTGACTGCTAACGTTGTCAACTACTGATAGTATATCCTCCCCCGCATGCCTAACCCCATGAGCAAGGCTAGCAGTGCTGCTGCGCTACCCGGATCCGAGCCGAGCATCAAGGTCATCCTCCGCAGCTTGCGCAACCCGCCGATTGACATCTCCTTGTCGTCGCAGCCCCTCACAACATCACTCCACGATGTGAAACAAGCTGTTTCGTCACAAGCTCGAATCCCTGCCGACAAAATCAAGCTATTGGTTAACAAACGACCGGTACAAGACACCAAAATCCTGCGCGATGTTCTCGGCATTGAGGACGGCGCCGCTGTTCCGAAGTCCATTGAGTTTGCGGTCATGGTCCTTGGTGGAGCCGCATCTGTGTTGCCAGCCGAGGATGAGAAGAAGGCACCAGTCGCAGGAGGGCCAATGCCAGTCGACGATAGTTTCTGGGCAGACTTGAAGGCCTTTTTGATGCAGCGTTTGAAGGATGAGAGTTTGGGTACAGACATGGCGGAAACATTCAAGTCGAGGTGGGCATCTAGGACATCTGCTCCGTGAAAAATAGCTTTTAAAATAGGAGGGCGTCAGAGGAAGAACTAATACTACTCAATTTCACGTTGAGCAAAATCACACATATTGAGAGAATTTTGATTGATCGTTTTTTTTTAATGCCGGTAAATCATCTGCGGCATTATTTTTGTGTGACAATGCACCCGCGCCATGCCACTTTCGTCTATAAAAGCACACATGAGAGGTTCATTTTACACGTCTAATCCTCCGCTAACGATGCTTCCTCCAGATCATAATCGTAATCCACTTGTTCTTTTAGTCGATCAAACATCGATTCAGGACTTTAGAGGCCGTCTAGCAGCGAAGTTTGGAGTGAATCGTGAGAACATTTAGGCGAGGCCCTTGGAGACGGTCTTAATGATGCCGTCGTATTCAATGTCGTCGGAATCGTTGGCCTGAAGCTCAGTAGCAAGACCAGTCAAAGAACGCTTCAGCGCCTCCTTGGACGAAGCGTAAATCATCTTGGCCTATTATAATGTTAGCTCACCATCCTAATCTGAAGCGAAAGAGTGGACCGACCTGAACACCGGCATCATCGGGAGACCAGGCAATGAAGGCGATCTTGTTGCTAAAAAGCGAAGGATATCTGTTAGCAAGTGTTTAGAGATATTACGTCAAGTTTGGTCGTACCGGATACCGTCGCCGGAAGCGAGGCTATATTCGAAGTCGTAGACAGCGTAGCGGGGGCCCTTGCCAACAGCACCCTAGCTGATATTAGCAAAGAAACATCACTAGATTTGGATTTGATCCAAAAGACTAACAGAGCGGCTCTTGGAGGTAGCATTGACGAGCTTCTCACGGAAGTTCTCCCAGTCCTTGTCAGCGGAGGCCTCCTCAACGACAATCTCCTTGTAATCGTCGCTAAGCTTGTAGATGATGTACTTGTGCTTCTTGGAGAGCTTCAAGTCGTTGTAGGCAGTAATACACTCCTGAGAAACGGTAGCTCTGTGTGGTTAGATATCAAATTAGCTTTTGTTCTTTGCTCTCGGAGATTTTCTGTTTGTAGAGATCCATTGCAAGCGTCGTCATTCTACATGGCGGGGCATAATTGAGAAATGGCGGAGAGTGGCGGTTAGGAAAGGGGGAAACGAACCCGGATTGAGACTAAAATGGATAGTTTGTTAATAAAAGAATAATTAATACTCGTGACCGGCTTTTGAAACATACCATTGTGGGCTATTTGGTCTGATTGGTAATGACGTGGGAGGGGATGACGACTACAAAACAACAGCTTTAGTGCGAGCTCCAGAAGCGCCGAATTGATCGCACAAGGAAATACCAACCAGAGGGTGGAAATATGATGGACTTGCGACAAGGCCAAGTGGAGTTTCGATTGCTTATTGGAGATGCAGGATGCGCTGAAAAGCAAAAAAGGTCGTGGTAGCGGGTGAAGTGGTGTTGGCGCAAGACAGGTCAAGTTGTAGAGGGGTTGAGGAGGGGGAGAGGCAAGATAAGGCGGTCGGGGAAGCTGGCGGTTTGGTGGGGGAGTTGGACGCAGCCCGCCTGTTGGCTGTGAGACAGGAGACCGGCCACGTGACTTGCATCACAGCCAAACAGAAATGGAGGTGCCTAACGGCGCCCTATAGGCAGGCGTTTAGCGGTTGGCTGGTGGTTTCCAAGCGCTAGATGACCACCACGGCGAACTTAATGGGTTCCAAGTCAATTATGCGAAACCTTAAAACAGTTGTCCGGGCCAGGCACCCGAATTCTAAAATTGTCTTAAATTAGCACTGAGTTTAAGGCAACCATATAGCACTAGCACTAGTGAATATTTCTCTTGTTTTTTTTTAAACGACAACCTTCACTTTAGAAGGCTGCTATAAAGTATGCCCTTGACGACAGCCACCCACGGCTCAGAGTAGAGCTCCCTCTAGCTAGCTATTTATGTACATCACATTGGTTGTGCAGAACGTGTCCAACTATGTTCATCTCAAGAAATATGGATGCAGAGCTCTCTAATCAATGGCTGCATCTGTCCCCTGTGTATAGATAATGTCGTGGGAAGAACGCGCAACATCAAGTTCGCGGCAGGGACACCCATCGGTGAGCAAATATGTACAGTGCAAAAGAAGAGAAAAACGTCCATCGGAAATTGATATGCCGAGTTAACGGATCAGAGGAGCTAGGTCGTAGGCAATGACCCTGGCTCCTGTTTGATTCGGGTCGTTGGGGGTTGGGGAATGTGCTCCAGCAGTAACAGCGTACAAGACGCGCTTGTCTGAAGCAGACTTGCCGAACTTACAGGCACTGACAGTATTGAGCAGGGTATCATTGGCGCCCCCAGCAACAATATCTTGTGTACCATCTGCCGTAATTCGTAAGATGGAATCTCCGTAATTGGTAGCAACAAAGGCAGTGTCAGTGTTGTTATAGAAGTCGAAATCGTCCAGCACAGTCTCCGATTTCTTGCCAATGAGGATGGGCGTTGCGCCGGGGGCAGTGGTTCCATCGCATGAGACCTCAAGCTTATAGTAAGAGTGTTTGTCCCAGTTCGTCCAGTACAAGTAGTTGCCGTGGAGGCGAACCCCGTTGATGCCCAGTGACAATGGCTCGACCGAATCATGGTTCATTACATCGTATTTTTGCGGCACATCATAGGTGCCGGATGTTGCGTTCAATCGAAAGACTTGGCCCAGCTTCGAGTCTCCAACAAGAACCAAGTCATCATAGTATGGTACTTTGGAAGCGCCATTAAGGAAAACGGCCTCGGGCATGGCGGTGATCTTCTTATACCTGGGCTGGGGCGGATTCATGTCGAGCGTGTAGGCGCTCCAAGAGCCAGCCTGGGCGCCTTCAAAGCTGAAGTTGCCACCAAAGAAGACATATCTGTTATAGCTGATGGAGGCAATACCGGTGACACCAGAAATGCCAGGAATAGTGAAGAGCGTTCTCAATGTCGGCTTGGGTTCCCAAGGCTTTACGACTTCGTAGACGGTAGCGTTGGGGGAGAGCTGGGTTAGGATGAGATTGCCATTGGGTTGAACCACGACATTCTCAATCCATGCGTTTACGTCAAACTGAACCCTGCGGCTGCCCTGTATCGAAATTGCGGCATCTTGCAAAGCGGGAAGGTCTGAGGTTGTGGCCGGCGTGGCGAGGACGGTGTAAGCCGCCAGAAGGGCAGCAGCCAATGGCAACTGCATGTTTGCGACAAAGAGATTATGCGGACGGACCAAAAGGCGCGTGCTTTGTGAGACAGTCTGGCGTCCAAAAAAGCAACCGAAGACGATCGGCTGTGGAAGTAAGACAAGAAAGAAAGAAAGGTGAAGGGCGAGCCAGGGGTTTGAACCTAGCGGAAATGCCAAACGAAGAGCCGTCCGATGTCTTGTTTAGCCAATTTATGCAGGATGGACCGCCTCTGACGAAGCCCGGGATGCTGGTCAGCTAAATACATTTTCGGCCATCGCTCACTTTTACGTCGCTCCTCGGTGGTGTTCCGTTCCCACGGCTCAACTAGCTCCCTGGGGGGGGCCACCCTGATGCAACCATGATGAAGGCACGCCATCCGAATTCAATCGGGCAGACAGGCTAGCGACGTACAATGAAGCTGCATTGGCGTGTATGCATTGCATTTATTTGCTTGTCAGCTGAGCCAAATAGGCAGGTCCCTCGCCTAAACAAGCAACTGGCCTATCGCGGATTGCGTGTAGCTGGCAATATTTGGGCGTCGCAAGTCCCAGACGGTGTCGAAGTGGTGGTGATGACAAGGTGACAAGGACAGATACGGCCGATTGTTAGCGGCCCTCCTCCCCTGGCGGGCGCTAACTGATAGGTGTGTGCTTGTGTGGTATTCGGACCCGAAGAACTACGCGTATACGTACAGCCTAGTTCCCCTATTCTCTTCTTTTCCAAACCAAAATCAATGCGCTGTTGCAACAACTTTTCATTCTCTTCTCATTTCCTTTGTCTTTTTCCTTTTTCCTTGTTTTTTGGACCCTAGCTTTGCTTTTCGCCTAGCGTTACACTGCGTATCGAACGGTGGGGAGGTTTGTGACGGCCTCTTGAATCAGTAGTGGCGTAGTGATTCCACTGTGTCCCGCCACGAAACAAAAGCAACGTCTGCCCAATACAGAGCAAGGGAGGGAGTTTAGCAGGTCAAAGCACCGTCGTTTCCGATTTGCCCAGGCCGCATCAAGCAACCGCTACACCGAGCCCATGGTACGGCTGGCTTTGACCTGTCCGCACGGCAGAAGGCTGCAAAATCAGCCAATCCGATCACCCTCTTGGTGCTGTTAGCATGCCGCTGGCCGGTCTTGTGAAGTAAAAGTCATCAAAAACTTCTCCAAATGACCACATACACCGGGGTTTAGTGAACTGGAAGCCTCGTCTCGAAGCCTGGCATATGAGCCTTACGCAATCTGTTATACAAGTCCAACGGGCCTCGTAGTTCGCGAACGCGTCGACCGGTGTACTATGCCAGTAGCTCTCTACTTTGGGCGAACCAGTACGCTGGATAACCTGTTCAAGGTGTGACCTATAATTCTCCCAAGGGCGTTCTTAATTATTGCGCCCATTTCTAACAAAGCCTAAATGGGATACTGTCGTGCTAATACGGCACAGCTGATGGTCTGGCAAAATAGAAAGTTGCAATTTCGTAGTCCACCTACAAAACGGTCATTAGTACCGTTTTCGAGAAAACGATCAGACGGCGTTCGGCAATGAAAGCAGCCGAGGAGCCTAGTCTTTGCTTTTTTTTGGCCTTCCCATTTTCGGGTTAAACCGAGTCCAGTTATTGGGTAACGGTGAGACCATAGGTTTGCTTTTGCGCATGCTGCATATATGTCTAGCCACCACGAGGTGATAATGAACAGGTTCAATATCCAGGCAAAGTAAAACGTCCTTTCGTGTCTTTTTGGCGACAAGTCGTGGTCGTACGCACTAATCAGGTCGCGGGACGTTAAGCTAAAACGCCCATCCTATATCTTTCAGCTGATGGGTAGACGAGATGAACCGGGCAAGGACGCAGGGCGATCAGAACTTCTTTTGGAATCCCTGTCGTCGTCAACGTTGCATTCTAGGACGCCGTCCTAGGCTGATTTATGTGGATAGAGATGTGCTTTGAAAACAAAGCCTTACATTGGTTTATACACTTATATGTAAACGATGAGAATAACCGTTGGTATAATGCAAGCTAATTGTGCAGGGGGCGGGTGACCTGGAAGCAATGCAATGCAATGCGTTCCCAATCTGTTCCTACATGGCCTGCAACCAACCGCTGCGCCCGCAAGGCATGGACGTGTGGCTTTTGTACAACTACTGGAGATGGTGGGTTTGAAATGGCACATTTGTAAGTAAGCAGCGATTTATAGAAGATATCGACATAAATAGCCGATCGAATATAGATGACACATCCCAATTGGGAAACTCGGTGTGCTGTGCTATGGCTGTCTTCAATGGGTTGTGTGGAATGGTGGCGCTGCATGGGCTGCATTGTTTGTAAGCGGCCATCCAGAGGTTGGGGCTTTGCGGGAATGCGACGGGATTTTACTGTTTATTTGGGTGAGAATACCAATAAAAATGGTGACTGACCATAAATGTATACCTCAAAGATTTCGCATCGGCATCAGGGATATCGCGTATTTTGCGATGGTGAGGCGAGTCTCAATTGCAGGCAGCATAGCATTAGTCTAAAGCAGTTCCGCGAGAAAAACAGCCAAAGTGTGAGGCTTATGCAGTATACCAATAACTTAGTTGCATTCGCCGCTAGTGGCGCGCAAATAATGCCACAACGGCTGCACAAAACGGGCGGCAAATATTTTCCGCACAATGTCGTTCGGTGGCCTGATAACCTTGGCGACTGACTCGTCCCTGTTTCTTTTCCTTGTCCAGTCTTTGTCGCAATGAAGAGTTAAGGTTTGGCCGAAGATCGCTGCATCACAGTTATCAGATGAGGCGATCGGCGCGCATCACTGAGGTGCAGGGAGTTTTACTGTGTAAAGAATAGGCAATAGACATGCAAAGGTCAGCAACACAAGCTATCATAGCCTATGACATAAAGGATGCTCAAGCAAAATGATAGTTAATCTTTCACTCCATCTTCACCGTCGCTTCTATGTCATTTACTCTTGGCAAAAAGCCTCTCGCCACGAGGTGGAATACGAGCAGCGGAAAAAAACAGCCCCTGGTTACAGTTAGCGACGCCCCGGTCCCCGCTGTAGACGCCCCGCCAAATCGCCCTGTCGCACGCAGCGCACCCACTGAACATGCGCTGGGCTCCAGCGTCTCCTGCAGCGCTGTGTTGCATTACGTGAGCATCTGCAGGGCGGTCCCGCAACCCGCACCCGGGTCCCCGTATTCCTTTGCGATCTTCATCTTCACCAAAACTTCCTTTGTCAACGCCCATCGCACGCCGAGCCCAATCATCCTCCGCTTTTGCCGGCGCGATACCATAAACCAAGAGAGAGCCCTGGTACTCGGCGCCGATGAAGCACGCCGTCGCCCGATAACCCCGAAACCACCCCTTTCCTCTCGTCCATCGCGACAAACACCAGCCGACTCCTTCGCGACCAGGAAATTACATCAAGGATGCAAGACATCATCTCCTGCCCCTAGCCTGTAGCCTGTCACTATTGCTTGCCATTGAGGCGTCGAGCACATCATGAGAATCGCCATCCGCGAGCAGCTCGCGGCGCTCGTGATCCTCACCGTCCTCCTTGGCATCGCCGTCGTGTCCATTCCGACTTGGATATATGTCCACAACTTTGTCGTCAATGTCGAATCCGATGGCCTCACCCTCACAGCTTCTCTCAAAGCCTCTAGAGTATCTTCAGAGATCGACCTACTCCTCACCATTTGCCAAAATATCGCCACTCGCATCTTGCTACAAGATGCGTTTGAGGACTTTTACCAAAATCCGAACCAATCCATAAACACGGCATTCGATAGAGCAAGACTAGACCTTATTAGTGCTATGAGCAGAGGCAGCTCCACTGTTCTTCTCCAAGCCCAACTCTACTCTCGCAATACCACCGGTCCTGCCACGGGCTTACTCGGTGTCACCGGCAACAGCACAAACACCACCCACACCAACGACACTTATAAGACCCCAGAGGGCGCGACAGTCGACCTCGGCCAGTACCAGCCGCCTCCTTTATACCCCAATATCACTTACATCGACCTTGGCCATCCAAACAGGTTCGAAAACACCACGCAGGCCTACAACGCGACTGTCTTCCCAAACGTCACGCTTCAGGACAACGGCGGACTAGTCCTGGGCCCCCTATTCGTTAATGAATCGTTTGCCCTCATTTCTTTAACCATCCCCATAAAATGGAATAAGAACAAGAACTTCACCTTGGGCTATATGACTCTTGTTGCTGATGCGCAATCTCTTATCGACGTGCAGTCTTCTCGGGAGGGCCTTGGCAACACCGGTATGACTCTGATCATTGGCCCCAATAGTCCGACAAATCGCTTCAATACGACCTCGAATCAAACCACCATTAGCCCAAATAATAAGACATCGGCACCAGTCTCGCCAGCGTCGTCCGCGGCCGGTGAAGGTCGCACGACTCCAAAAGCAACGGCCAGACTGGCGTCCTTGGTCCATTTTGTACTCGCTCCAATCACACCTGATAATATTGCAGACCGTCATCAGGATCGATCTTTTGCTACTCTAGACTACTCAAATACGTTTACCGTCTCCATGTATCCAGCCCTCGAACGCGCTTATATCAACCCGTCAGACGAGCCGAACCAGGCTACCTCAATATTATCTACAACAAACGAACAGGGTGTACGTGTTGCTGTCGGAGTGGCCAAGACGCAATCTGTGTTAGTTGACTGGGCTATCATTGTCGAGAAGGCAGAGGACGAAGCCTACGAGCCGATCTATATGCTGCGCAATATCTTGTTGGCGTGTGCGTTTGGCTCCTCTGGTGTCATTATGCTACTTGTTGTGCCTTGTGCTCATCTCGGCGTGAAACCCATTCGTCGCCTCAAAGCAGCGACTGCAAAGTCCATTTCACCCCCTGGGCAAGAGGATGGGTCCGAAGAATACGAGGAAGACTTGAATCAAGAACAAGGCAGCACGATACAGGGCCTCTCAGAGAAAGCTGGATTCTTCTCAACACTTATGGGCAAGATACGACATCGCAAGAAAAATAAGTCCGAGTCTGAGGCAGATTCGTATCGACGCGGCTTCAAAATTCCGGGTCGCGTCGAGGTATCAAGACGATATATTACAGATGAGCTTACTGAGCTTACTGATACATTCAACGAAATGGGTGATGAGTTGCTCAAGTCATATACTTCCTTGGATGAAAAGGTTGCCGATCGTACCCGTCAGCTAGAAATCAGCAAACGGGCCGCTGAAGCTGCTAACGAAAGCAAAACATTATTTATCGCCAACATTTCGCACGAACTCAAGACTCCGCTCAATGGCATCATGGGCATGTGTGCCATTCTAATGGAAGAAGATGATGTCATGCGCATCAAACATTCCCTCAAGACTGTCTACAGATCGGGCGACTTGCTCTTACATCTTTTGGAAGATCTTCTCAACTTCTCCAAGAATCAAATTGGCCAGCAAGTCAACCTAGAAGAAAAGGAGTTTCGACTTGGGGACTTCAAGTCACAAATGTTGTCCATTTTCGACAAGCAAGTCCGTGAGAACAAGGTCAACTTTTCCGTATCTTTCATGGGTCCCGAATCCGAGCTTTCGGGGGAGATGAAGGAAATTATTAACCAGTGGAAATTGCCAGCCCTTGGCCCCAGCGGAACTGGTCGCATCAAGGACATGTATCTCTGGGGCGACCAGCACCGAATCCTGCAAGTTCTAATCAACTTGGTGAGCAATAGTCTTAAATTCACACCTGTGGGTGGGAAGATTATGCTTAGGATCCGATGCGTTGGTGAAGTGGATCAATCAAACGATGGAAGTAGGACTTCCTCGCTGTCTCGAACCGGTTCAATCAGAATGGGGCGTACAAGGCATCGAAACTCCTCAACCATTCAGTCGACAAATTCCATCGGCACTAATACCTCGGATACAAAGGTCAACAGCGGTACTGCTCTCGCGATCAACCCAATGGATCCCAAGGCCACTCCCTACGTCCGCATTCGAGAACGCTCACCAACGCCTCCTCCTCCCAATGCAAAGCCCTACATGTTTGAATTTGAAGTCGAAGATACCGGCCCCGGTATCCCAGCCCATATGCAAGAGAAGATTTTTGAGCCTTTTGTACAAGGCGATCTCGGTCTTAGTAAGAAACACGCCGGTACAGGTTTGGGTCTCAGTATTTGCGCCCAGCTCGCAAGTCTCATGGGCGGAAGCATTGCGATCGAAAGCGAAGAAGGCAAGGGATCCATGTTTACAATGCAAATCCCTCTCAAATACGTGAAAGATCGAGCGCCAAGCACGGCCTCGGAGGGCGCCAATTCCCGCCGATCGAGCCTCGGATCTCTTGCCAATCTCAGCAAGGCTATCAGCGCGCCATCCTCTTCAGAGCCCCATCCATCTCCATCATCGGAATCGCTACACGACAAAGTACCTCGTCTCATTGGTCTCAGTGCGCCATTTTTCGCCGCCAATCGAAAAGAACCTTTGGCGCGCTCATCCAGCCATTGCAGCCTGCGTGTTCTGGTCGCGGATGACAATTCAACCAACATTGAGGTTGTCAGCCGCATGCTGAAGCTGGAAGACATTAGCGACGTCACTGTAGCCCGCGACGGAAAGGAAGCTTACGATCTTGTCAAAGAAAACATGGAGCAGAACCAACCGTTTGACGTCATCTTTATGGACGTCCAGATGCCCAACTTGGATGGTCTGGAGTCGACCCGCCTTATCCGCGATATCGGCTACAGTGCTCCGATCGTCGCGCTTACTGCTTTTTCGGATGAGAGCAATATCAAGGAATGCCTGGAGTCCGGCATGAACGAGTTTCTCAGCAAACCCATCCGCCGGCCGGCTCTGAAGCAGGTCCTTGAAAAGTTTGGTACGATTCCTGAGGAAGAAGCCGAGAATGGCGTCACAATGAAGGAAACGACGACAAATGGGCATACTGTCACAGAAAAGACCACAAAACCCGCTGCAGATGGCCTTCTGCAAAGCGAATCCTCAGCCACCCTAACCGAGAAAACGGCCAAGGCCAAGGCGTAGATCTCCAAGGCGAGACCGCCACTCTTCACATCACATGTTGCAACACATTTGGTTGCTATCCCCGACGGTAAATGACGTCTCTATTTTGTATATTTCTCGAACCACCATCTCTTATATTATTGAAACAAGCTGGTTGTCCATCCGTTTGTTTGTTTATGTTTCTTTGGACAGTACAAAGCATTAGTTTTGGTCTTACTTTTTATCAACGGTCACAGGTCACAGGAAAATAGGCATTGGTTGCCTAGGCGTTCTGTTTGATTTTCACAGGTTTTCTTGGTGTTTTTTGTTCACGAGCCGCCACAAATAGCTTTTAATTTCACATTTGGTGTTTTGCATTCATAGGATTTATAATAACATGTGTTTTTTTATTTTTAAATAGTTGTACAATTGACTAGAAATAAGAGTCGCTAGTTTTACAATGCCTCGCGATCCCGCTCCTCCGGCATATAACAGAAATAGAAGGGAATAATAACACAACAGCTGTTTTTGTCAGTGCTTGCCAATGACATAATATGACGAGCTGAACAGAGGGGAGATTGATGAGATGATAAAATAGTTTCATAGATTCACAGCAAGTAGCGTTGCCGTCGTTGTTTTACACGTTTCTTCCTTTTTCTTTTTTCTCTAGCCGTTGAAATAAAGAACACCAGAGGCCGCTTTTTTGTGGCGTTAGTGATTTTTGGTTTTTATACAGGGAGCAAGTCAACATTTGCTCTCCTTCAGTACGTGAAGGCTCTTGTTTGTGCATTGCGCGGGCATTTTACATCATGCCGCCCATGCCGCCCATACCACCCATGCCACCCATAGGAGGCATGGCAGGGCCCTTCTCCTCAGGGGCATCGACAATGGCGACCTCAGTAGTACCAAGAAGAGAGGCCACACCAGAGGCGTCAATGAGACCAGTGCGGACAACCTTGAAGGGGTCAAGGATACCGGCAGCAATCATGTCGACGTACTCGCCCTTGGAAGAGTCGAAACCCTTGTTGAAGTCGTTGGCGTGCTCGTCAGTGAGCTTGCCAACAACGACAGAGCCCTCAAGACCAGCGTTCTCGATGATGGTGCGGGCAGGGCGGGTGATGGCGTTCTTGATAATGGCCACACCGAGCTGCTGGTCAAAGTTGGCAGGCTTGATGTCGTTCAGGGCCAGGGAAGAGGCCTTGATCAGGGCAGTACCACCACCGGGGAGAATACCCTCCTCAACAGCAGCGCGGGTGGCGTTGAGAGCATCGACGAAGCGATCCTTCTTCTCACCAACCTCAACCTCGGAAGAGCCACCAACCTTGATGACGGCAACACCGCCAGAAAGCTTGGCAAGACGCTCCTGGAGCTTCTCCTTCTCGTACTCAGAGGTGGTGGGGTCGGCAATGACACCACGGATCTGCTCGCAGCGCTGGGCAAGAGAGTCCTTGCTGCCCTCACCGTTGAGCATGATGGTGTCCTCCTTGGTGATGGTGATGGAGCCAGTGGAGCCGAGCATGTCGACGGTGGCCTTCTCAAGCTTAATGTCGAGCTCCTCAGAGAAAACGGTGCCCTTGGTCAGGACAGCGATATCGCCGAGAATAGACTTGCGGTTGTCACCGAAGCCAGGAGCCTTAACGGCAGCGACCTGGAGCTGGCCACGGAGCTTGTTGAGAATGCAGACAGCGAGAGCCTCACCGTCAATGTCCTCAGCAATGATGACAAGAGGGCGGCGCTGCTGGGTGGAGATCTCAAGAGCAGGGATGATGTCCTGGACAGCGGAGATCTTCTTCTCAGAAAGGAGAATGAGGGGGTTCTCGAACTCGACCTTCTGGGCCTTGGCGTCGGTAATGAAGTAAGGGGAGATGAAACCGCGGTCGAAGCGCATACCCTCGGTGACCTCGAGCTCATCGTGAAGAGTCTTGCCCTCCTTGACGGTGATAACACCCTCCTTGCCAACCTTCTCCATGGCGTTGGCAATCATCTTGCCGACATGGTGGTCGCTGTTGGCGGAAATGGTGGCGACCTGAGCAATCTCCTCAGAGGTGGTGATGTCGCGCTTGTTCTTTTGGAGGAACTCGACGACAGCCTCAACGGCAGCCTGGATACCACGGCGCAAGTCCATGGGGTTGCAGCCGGCGGCAACGTTCTTGACGGTCTCGGAGAAGATAGCGCGGGCCAGAACGGTGGCAGTGGTGGTACCGTCGCCAGCGGCCTCGTTGGTCTTGGAAGCAACATCTTGTAGGAGTCTGGCACCGAGGTTTTCGAACTTGTCCTTGAGGGTGATGGACTTGGCGACGGTTACACCATCTGCAGTACATGTTAGCCAACTCATATGTCACATTTTGGGCCAATTGGAGTTTCTCACCCTTGGTAATCTTGGGGGAACCGAAGCTGGACTCGATCAGGACGTTGCGACCCTTGGGGCCGAGGGTAGAGGCAACGGCCTTGGCGAGAGTGTCCACACCAGCGAGGAGAGCGGCACGGCCCTCGACACCGAACTTGAGCTCCTGAGCATCTAGTTAGCCACAATTGCATCACAGTCAGCGTCCAACAACGACAGCAAACAAACCTTGTGGGCGAAGCGAAGCTGCTGGCCAAGACCGGCACCGGCGCGGTACTTGGAGGCGGCAGCCGACAGAGCCGTAGCTCTAGCACGGGAGCTTAAAGCGCGCTGCATTATTAAAGAATATGGGGAGGGTATAATTGAAGAAGAAATAAAATGATGATACAGAGGAGGAAGGAAAGGCGCAGAAGATGTCGTCAGGGATGAAATAGACAAAGTTCGGCCGAGAAAGGAGACGGGGTTGAAGAAGGAGAAATTCAGAGAGGTGCTGGAAAAGGGCAAAGGAGAAAAAAAAGGAACACAAAGGAACTTGCGCTGGTGGTCTGCGTCGGCAAAACATCGCTGCTCGGCCCCCAGAGTGGCGCTAGTCCTCTTTGGGATTGGCGGAGTGTCCCCCAGTATTTCGACTGTCTTCCAGCTCCATCCAGCAGCAAGCAGCCACCTTTTTGCCACACGATGAGTATATACAATGGACATACTGTATGTACAATGTATATGTTTATACAAATACAAATACCTTAAAAATCTTTGAGAACACCTTTTGAAAAAAGAAAAATTACACGTACATAAATTGCGTGTAAATGTGCTGGTCCTGTGTTGATAGCAAGCACTAGGACGGACTACAGTCCTTTTGCAACAATTTCGACACAATTCGGAACAAATTAATGCAAAATAAGATAAGAAAAATAAAAATGCAGTTTCTTTGGTCATAAAACGTTAACATCATAGCAATCGTCAAAAGTAAAAGTAGCAGCTCTGAAGCTAGAGGCAAACGCCAGCATACCAGCGTGCCTAGTCTCCCAACCATGTGTCTAATATCCATCCAGCTCCATGCAAAAGAAAACAAAATGAAAATGAAAAATGGTCGTCTCCAATACAGGTCAAGATAGCGAGAGCCATGGCCCATCCATCCATCCTTCCAGCAACAAAAAAGGAAACCCAACTTTGTACAAACAGGGAGTGTGTGTGTATACAGCATGATTCGGGGCCATTGCCTCCCCTCAAAGAAACAGGAAAACGAAACAAAACAGAAAAAGACATAAACTCGTAAAATAGTGCTCCCCTGGGCACAAGCAACTCAACTGTTGTTGCCTTTTCGTAAATTCATAACGGGGCCATATCGCCTTACGCATTCCCAAGACGATTAAACCGGAAGTTCATCAAACTGGGAAACCAGTTCACGGATCGTCCACCGCCAGGTATCTCGGTCACGAGCACCTCGGCCAATCCACTTCTCGCACTTCTTTCGCCAGCGGTCCTCTTCTTCTCGCTGTCTGCGAACAAATTCGGGTCCGACATCGAATTCTTCTCCAACCATCCAGTCATCCTTGACATCGCTGACACGACCATCACGCTTGTCATCGCCAGTCGCCTCTTCGAGATCAGGGATGTCCTTAAAGACGTCGTCCTCGTCCTCCATCATGTTGGAGTCGTTCAGAGTGTCACCAGCCTCCGACTGAGCGTTGTTGAGCTGTCCAATCTTCAACCAGCACATATTCTGCGGATCAAAGACCATACCGCCAACTACTTGAACGCCCTGCGTAGCGCTAATATTGGTAATGAGAGCGGGGCGCGGCGTTGCAAGCTCCTTCTCGCGCGACACTTGAGAGGACGAAAGGCGTCGTGTCTTGATCGAAGTCGGCGAGTCGAAAGCATTGAGAGCATTTTCGTTGCCTTCCCAACGGAACGTGTCGGCATTGTAGAACATGCCGTTGACAACCTTTGATTCTTTGCCGGCGTTGAGGTTGGAAATGAGGTGAGGCTTCTGCTGTTTAGATCGTTTGGATTTATTGGATCGAACGGAGTCTTGGTAAGCGGGAACTTGTGGAACTTGCGAGTTGAAGTTGACACGGTTAGCAAGCTGTGTGCCACGTTGAGAGGCAATGTTCGAGAGCGGTCCGTTCATGGGAACTCGGTTTGCAAGTGAAGTCTCGCGTGCGATTCGACTGGCTGCTGTATCACGGGCAAAGCGAGGTGTTGCTGTGAGCTTTGCAGGAGATTGGGGGCCAGTAGTCGGCGATGGCGTAAAAGTTCTTTCGGGGAATGCGCTCTGATGAAGCTTATTGCGCAAGCCAACCTTAATTCCATTCGTGGTCGGCTGCTTCAAAAACTTAGTTTCAGACTCCTTTGACGTAGGCAAATCATCAAATCCATCCAACTCGTGTCCGTCACCAAACTTTTTCTTGTTCTTAGGTCTGCTTAATCTTTCCCATGTGTCCGCAGCAACTCTGTAGCGCTGAGGGCTTGGGGAGCGCAGGCCTGCCCGCGATAAAGAGCGAGAACCGGGTCGAGTCTCGATTGCGTTTTCCGAATCATATCGCCTAAACTGTCGGATTGTTTTGGCCGGCATATTCTGAGATTTGGTTTGCGTCGCGCCAGATGGTCCAAATGGTAACAGACCCCGTCGATATTGAGCGACAGGGCTCTCAACAGCCCGCAAGCGCTCAACTGGCGTCTTTGGGCGCATTCCTGGCTGTGGTCGGGATGCCTCGGACCGTGAGGGAGGGCGCTCAGAGCGGTTTACAGGTACCTTTGCTGGTGATGCATTAGATCTGACAGCGGGTAGGGATCGCTTTTGTCTCAAGAGCTGGGTGTTCGTGCTCTGTGCATCAGTTCGTAATGATGAGAACGATGAGCGAGTTCCAAGCTCTCGTCGGCGAGGTGTCGCAGGCGGAACAGCAGGGGCAGTAGCAGTGATAGGCGTTGGTACACTGGAGACAGAGGATTGGGCAGAGTGGCTAAGTCTCGAATGAGAGCGACGCGCACGCTGTTGAATTGGCCCGCCGCTTTCAGAGACAGGCTCAAGCGAGGTAGAGTGGCTGCGGTCATGGCTAAGTCGAGGAAGGCGGGTTTGGGGGCCTTTGTTTGTAAACGTTAAAGAAATTGCTGCTTTGGGGCGATGAGGACTGGCGACACGCGTTTCCTTAATTTGAATGTTGCGGTGGAGGGTTAGTTTGCCAGCATCAAACACATCACCGTCTCCAATGTCGAGGCCATCAAGCATGTCATTCTTTTCTTGTTCGGGCTGAGCAAGGTGAGGGGCTGAGTCTTGCGATCCAGAAGTAGCCATCCGAGTATCGATTGATAATCGCGAAGGCGATGGGCTTTGTTTTCGGCGTTGCAGCCGCTCCTTGAAGTCAAGTGGTCCAACAGGGAGGAGTAGGCCGTCAAAGGTCTCATCTTCACTCTCTGCTGTCATTGAACTAGAAAGGCTTGGACTAAGGGCTGCAGAGGAGCTGCGAGTGAATCGTCCATCGCGATGTGTGCCTCCATATCGTGTTCCCAGGCTGCCCTCGCCCCAGTCCAGGTCTTCTGATTGAGTGGAAGGTGTCTTAGGAATGTCTCGATGAGCAGAGAGTTGGAGTTTGCCATCGGAAGGTAGTTCAAGGTCTTGTTCAAAGTTATCTTCCACAAGATCTTTAGTCTTCTGGGGCGTGGGGGGAGTGATAAACGAGACTGGTTTGGGAGGCTGGCGAGTCTTGGAGACCTTGATTGTTGCAGAACCATCGCCAAAGAAGTCATCATCATCGTTGCTATCTTTGAACTTGTCCAGATTGATAGCCTGTGTCAAAGCGCTGGGCACGTTGGTTTTCGACGAAGACGGACGTGAAAGAGCGAGGTGGCCGACATCAGCCTGTAAAACCCGGGTAGGGCTGCCTTGTACCGAGCCGATGCTCACTTGGCGTAAGGTTTCAGGGAAATTGGTGTCGTCTGCTGGTTTAATTTCTAGGCTGCTGGAGGCCTCGGGGATTTCTAGGTCGTTTTCCCAGTCATCCTGGATAATCTTTTGGATGCGGCGGCCGCCGAGCCGCTTGATTGTACCGCCTGTGAGGGCTGAGGAGGGGACATTTTGTGGGAGTGGGATGCCAGCGTGTTGAGCTGCTGCAATGGCATCTAGCGTTGATCGTTCGTCGTCGTCAGCAATGTTAACATGACGTTCTTCTCCGAGCAACGAATCGAGGTCAGAGCGGAAAGAGAGGTGCGAGGAGGTGGAATCGCGTCGGCGTGGAGCAGCACCAGTCGCTGTTGTCGAGGTTCGAAAGCTGAGGTCGTCCCCTTCAACAACGAAATCATCGTCGTCATCCCAGCATTCGATAATGTCTTCTGCAGGCTTCTGCTGCTTGAGCCGGAGGGGCTCCATATTGGATACGTATCAATAGAGGCGAAAGTCGATTACATTCAGTAGCACATAGTCTGTGGCATATCGCAGCTCTATGGCGTGGTTCTGGCGCTAGCTTGGTTCAGGAAACGCTTTAAACAACTGCAGCTCAAGAGGCTGAAGATGCCGATGCTATCAGTTGATGGAGTTCGCGTCGTTGTCGCGTGGGGTATTGGCGTGGCAGTTTAATTAGCTGCTTTGATTGCGGTGCAGCTAGTTGCGTCCGGAGCAAATGCGACAAAACACAAAGTAAACAAACACGGGCGGAGTCAAGGAAAAGACGATGCGACGGATTGGCGGATGATACCGGCCGCGCTGCTGGAGGTTAGATGCGCGAAAAGGCGAAACGTGGGCAATAGGAAAGAAGGTGATGATGGTGTCGTGAAGATTAAAAGCCAGCACGTTGAATGTGTGCGCGCGAGCGGAGAGGGGCTGCAGGCAAGGCGATGGAATGCAAGGGGGCTGGGCTGGGCTGGGCGAGGGTCCCTAAACGGATGTCTTGGGGTGGCTGGTCCAGAAGGCTTTTCAGCGCTGGTGCACTGGAGGGCCGCTGTTCTAGCGCCTAGCTTGAAGGTGCTTAGCGGCGTATAGTGGGGAACAACTGCTAAATTTATCACTGGCTAAGACAAGAGCTGTCTTACCTGACTACTTGTATGGCACGTGATGCGCGTCTTCTAGCATCGCTATGGCATCAGTTTCTGAATCGAAGCAAGACTGAGAACCACTGCTGAATTTCAGCTAATTGAGTTGAACAGTTGATTGCTACTTTGTAATAGAGCTCAATTGATGGCTTTGTTGGGTTGAGGATCCGGAGGTTCGTACTGGTGTGAAGTTAATGGCTACTGAGCAATTCTTGTGAATTGATATGAGCCGGCTGAATAATACGAATATTAATTAATGAAACTAACCTATTATAATTTATGGCATTAAATATCTGTCATCAATGGCGTGTGTTAGAAATTACGGCTGCAGGTAGTATATTAAAAGTTCATGCTCGTGGGCGGATGTAGAATAGTGCTACCCTATGCTCACTAGAGACAACTATCCTTCGTCCATAGGATTTATTTGTATTGCCTTCGGTATTATATTAAGCTCGTTTTAAACTTAGAAATAGTATGTGCAAAAATCAATATTTATTTGGGGCTATAGTCTCAGTGTAGCAATTGTGGTAATGGTCGGATTATAAACAACCCGTGACAACAAGAACCTCACCATGGATCAACCTTATCAGACGGCGCTTTAACCGCGTACTAATATTACAACATGTGCTCGACTCTTTAGTCCGGAATACCAAAACTTAAGGGTTTTCCGGCTCTGAGAGAGCGTGCAAAGCTATACATCAATCCAGTCTGCTGTCAAGATGTCAAGATGACCGGCTTGCAGGACACTACACAGCTCGAGAACAGGCTGATCTCAAAAAGGCAATGTCTGTAAACCTGGGTCTAGATATCCTGATAGCCACTTTCTGCTGTCGCCCAAATTTTTCTTGCGTTGCTCTGTGTCCTCCATGCCACGTTGGACTCCGAAAAAGTCAGAGCCAGGCAGGGAGGAGTATCGTATCTGAACGCGTTCAAGGTGAATATCCAAATGTAATGTTCAATGCACGTGAGCGGGGGAGAAGGGTTCTTAAAAAATCAAAACGATGCTTTGTAAAGCGGTGATGATGGGTTGTCTATCTAAACATGATGTTGGTTAAGTAGCATGATACAGGGTGTAATACACAGCAGCAACAAGTGTGCAGCGAAGGGGTTTTAAAGGTGAAGGTTGTTTCCAGCGCCTCTTTATGCAGAAGACTCTCCCTGCACATTAAGTTCCTTGACAGACCAGGAGTCGTCGACCCAAGCCTTCTTTTCACCGAGGAAAGAGATGCGCTCCTCCTGGAGGTCGACAGGTTCAACCAAGAACTTCTGGGCAACCTCCTGAACTTGCTGCTTTGTGACATCCAGAAGTTGTACGCGCTTGGTTTGTTTCATCTCCTCCGTAATGCCGTTCACAAACTCAGCCATACCTTCCTGGTTGACAGCCTTTGGCGCATCCCAAGATTGGAAGACGGAAATTTTGGCCTCCTCCAGATCTCGGTCAGACCACTGCTTCTCTGTGGCCCAGCGACCAGCGTTGCGCATAATGGACAATGTATTTTGAGGGTTCGGATCGCGGTAGGAGTACATGCCGAAGAATCCATCTAGAGGTTTGGAATACGCACCACCACCGTATGCACCGCCCTTTTCTCGGATCTCGTGATGGAGATGTTTGTGAGTTAAGAGCTGGGCTAAGATTTGTAGTGGCGCTCCATACTTTGACGTGTATGACGTTGTGCTGACGGCGAACCCGCCATAGTAGACCTGGTAGGGCAAAGGATAGAATGTCTTCTTTGTCATATCGAGCTTGTCAGAAGAACCTCCTAGGATGCCAGTGGGGGCTGTAGGCAAATTCTGCAAAAAGCCCTGCAGAGACTTTGCGTTTGCGTCAACACTCTCTGCACCACAGGTGATAGAGGCTCGCATGGCCCCAGAAACCAGTGCAATCTGTTGAATTTGCTTGAGCTTATTCAGAATATCTTCCAGGTTGTCTGCCTCTGGGCGACTAGCAAGAGAAGCAATAAGCTTTATTTGTGACATTCCAGAGACTTGCTCTCGAAGCCATGCGCTCTTTGTCAAGTTAGATTCAGCATTAGACATTGCGAATCGGTGACCAGACGAGGCGATATCGTTAACTACACCATCGGCAGAAGCCTGGAGAAGCTGGCGGACTCGCAGGGCAGCTTCAGGGCTATCGAAGTTGGTATCAACCACTAGCTTGCGAAGCAAATCAAACATGACAGGTACATTTCTGTCAAGAGCCATACCAGTCAGGGCGAACCCTTCACTAGCGGCACGGAAGTCGGTGGGGGATGTGGTAGAGTGGTAACCAACAGAGATACCTCCGGTCTTCAATTTGATGAGATCCTCAATTTCTTCCATGCTCATGTCCTTGGTTCCAAGTCGCATGATGCTGTCTGTAAAGAGAGGGATCAATTCTCGCAAGTCATCAGGCAGTGAATCCAGTGTTTGAATTGCACGGAAATATGTCAATCCATTGGTAGGGGCTTCGCGCCATTGTGTGGAGACACCATTGACTGCGTCTCTACGGAGTGCGACCGGCTCCTTTGATCTTGGGATATCCTTGACGTATACAGTCGGTAGGCAGGCAAGATCCTCTGTGTTGGTTTTGCCTTGTTCGATAAGAAGCTCTTGTTCTTGTTGCTCAAAGGCAGAGCGAGCTTCCGCTTCACCACCAGCCTTTGCGGCGGCGTCGGCAATCTTCGATGATAGCCGTTGTTCTTCTTCCTTGACGAGGTCCTCAGCAAACGAGGCAGATGGCTTCATTGTAAACTGCAAAACATTGTCATTTAACATGTACTTGTCAATCAAGCCCTCAAGGTAATTTCCTTGAGCAAGCTTTTGCTGAAAGCCATTGATAATGTCATTCCAAGCCAATGAGTCGAAAGGATCAGAACCATTGAACCACTTTGGCTTTAAGCGATTTAGCATTGAGTAGCCGAAGTTCGCAGTTTTGTGTTTTAAGGATAGCTCAAGCTGGTGAAGTGTGCCATCAATCTTGGTTTGATCAAATCCGTTCTTCTTGGCATCACGGAGGATGTCCATAACACGCCCTTTCAGCTTTGGCACGTCACCTCCTTGCACACCAGTCAAGCCGATGGAGAAGATGCCACGCTTCGAAGAAGATTCGTAGCCAGTGTTAGGGCTCCAGCCAGCTCCCATACCAGTTTCGATTAATCCGCGGTAGAGGGGTGAGCCGTAGCCATCCATAAGGAGGGTACTAAGCAATGCAATTGCAAACGATTCCAAGACGTCGGTAGTATCACCCATGATCCAGGATACGGATGTCTTGTACTGGCGATCGGCGGCAACGAGGGGGTCGAAAGGGCCGTCGAGTGTTATGTTGCGAGGACCAGTCAGCGTGATTGGTTCGTGAATCTGCTTATCAGCCTGGATTTTGTCGAAAGCCTGTAAGCGGGCGTCAATCTCTTTAAGATGATCGGAAAGAGGCATATCACCATAGGTGAACACCTTTGCATTGCTGGGATGATAGTGATCGGCGTGGAACTTCTTGAGTTGCTCATACGTCAAATCGGTAATCTTTTGAGGATCACCACCGGAGTTGTTTATATCAGGGAAGATGTGATCCTGAAAGCGGATGTAGTACAAATAGCCTGCGTCAGACATTTGGCCCTTCATCTCGTTGTAGACAACACCTTTAAAGACCAGCTTCTTCTCTTCCTCGGTCTCCGCTAAGGGATTCTCGGGGCCAATTCGCCAGCCTTCTTGTGTGAAATCGGACTCTTTAAGTAACGGGTGCAGTGTTGAATCAAGGTACACCGACATGAGGTTTTTGAAATCTTGCTCGTTTGTAGTCGCAAATGGGTAGAACGTATGGTCCGAAGCTGTCATGGCGTTCATGAAGTTGGAGAGTGTTCGTGGCAGCATTTTGAAGAAGGGATCGCGGATAGGATACCTAGCAAAATCGTTAGCTGTATGTTGCGTTTTCGAATTGTTATGGTATCTGAAAGCTCACTTTTGACTGCCACAAAGGGTCGTGTGCTCAAGGATATGCGGTACGCCGGTGTCGTCAGGAGGGTTGGTCTTGAAGCCAATGGAGAACACATTGTTGCTATCCTCGCGCGCAATGTGAAGATAGTCAGCACCGGTCTTCTCATGCTGTAAATGAAGCGCTGTTAGCTCCAGCTCCGGGACATGTTTGGATCGTAGGAGCGTGAAGCCGTGGATCTTGCTGCCCGGACGAGGGTACTGCGAGAGCTCTGTGACAGCTCTGCGCGTCGCGTTTCGTATCGTCGCCATGCTGAGATGAATAAATCGAAATACTCTAGTAATACAAACAAAAGCAGAATGACGAAAACAAAGACACTGCAAAGCCGACAGATGGAGACGGTATATGCGGCATTCATATTAGGAGACGTCCTAAAAAGATTAGTCATGCAAAAAAACCCGCTTGGCCGCAGTGCGCAGAGGTTTGCTTGGGAAAGTGGCCCACCAGGTTGGGTCCCAGACGCCGTAACGCTGGAATTTTGTCGCCCTTTTGGCTATGGACTAGCGCTGGAAAGTCAAAACCGCCTGGTCCCACGTTTCCCGGAACTTTGGACCTCAATTTGCGAAGGCCAAAGGAGACGGCAAGAGGAACCCAGACGACAACCGTTGGCTGCTGTTCACTTCAACGACCCGAAGAGCAAAGCGTGGAACCTCCGACTCAATTGCTTTGCCTCATCTCGACATTTCTGCGATTTTCTATCTGCTAGGCGACAATTGGGTCTCTTTCCAGGCCTTGCGAGCCTACCGACCGATTTTCGTACAGTCGCATGACGCAGCTGGATCATCACGATATCAACTTGCGACCGTAGGCTGTGGCTCTCTCGCTATACCAAGTTACCTCAGCTGTCTGCTAAGCGGTGCTGAATGCGACAACTGCACGCCGTGTAGCCTTTCCGATACGATCCCGTCATCATGCCGACCAATCACAGTGACACGGCGCTGTTGAACGGCTATGATTTACATGGCCACCCTCTTCCCGCGCCTGGTAAAAAGGTCAAAGGGAAGAAGGCAATGGACTCCAATGAGGCGTCGCGCTTGCTTCAGGCACGCATTTCCCAGCTTGAACAAGATGCTGCAGGGGAAAAGGACCAGGAACTGGAGATTGGTAAGTTGAGTCAGATCGTTTGTGTGGTCAACCCATGGCTAACAGTGTATATTACACAGAACGCGAAGTAAAAAAAGCGAACCGCGATCTCATGCAGCAAGTTTCGAAGATGGACGACATGCAGAAGATTGACCACCTCACCAAGCGCTCCAGCGAGCTCCTTGCTGATATGCGCCGTCTTGACAAGGAAAACCAAAGGAACAGAAAGCGTGGTGACATCTTGCAAAAGGAGCGCGATATCAATCGAAGCGAGCTGAGCAAAACTGTCGGGCTGAGGGAGAAGCTTGAGAAACTCTGCCGAGAGTTACAGAAAGATAACAACAAGATGAAGGTGGGCCAAATTTCAAGCAATCTTACCGACCTAAATCACTATATGCTAACTGCTAGATAGAACGAAAACAAAGAACTGCAGACTTTCCACAAGCGAACAAGTATCGCTTGGGATGAAAAGTACGCAACTTTGCTCTCCAAACTTGAATGGTATCAAGAGGAAAAGGACACTCCTAGAAAACAGGTGGTTGACATGGAGGTGGATGAATTGTATGTAACATGTCTTCAAACCTGATCTGTTGATGTGCTGACGTAACCTAGGTTCCGAGTCCGGTTCAAATCTTTCATTGAGCAGTACGAGCTGCGAGAGCTGCATTTCCATTCGTTGATGCGAACCAAGGAATTGGAAGTACAGTATCATCTCGCCAGATTCGAACGTGAGAGAAAGAATGCCGAGGCCGAATCTACCAAATCGCGACATTTGCAAGCTCAGGTGCAGGCTTTTACGAAGACGGAAACCGAGCTACGGAATCAACTAAATGTTTATGTGGACAAGTTTAAACAGGTAATGCGCGACCTGTGTACCAGATACATCGGAGGTAGTGCTAACGCTTTTGCAGGTCGAGGACACTCTGAATAACAGCAACGACCTTTTTCTATCGTTCCGAAAGGAAATGGAAGACATGTCGAAGAAGGGCAAGCGGTTAGAGAAGGAGAACGAAGCCTTGAAAAGGCAGAAGGAAGCCACCGCTGCTAACATCATTCGAATGGCTGAAGAGCGCCAGGACTGGAAGTCCAAGATCGACGTCGCTGAGAAGAAGACAGAGAAGTTGATGAGTATCATCCAACAGATGCAGCAACAGGGCCGAAAGATTCCACCTGGCGTTAGCGCAGCCGCGGAGAATGCTTACTCGGCTAGCCATCAACCTGTGCATGCTCATGACGACCACGACGAGTGTTCGGATGATGAACGTGGCGACGAGAGCGAGTTTGACGATGATACCGAAGAAGAGTCTCAACCTACGGATGATGTACCGCGCGTTCCGTATGGCCCCGAGCGCCCACCGGCTGTACAGCAAGCGACTACGAATGGGCATTAGGAACCCCTGATGTTGGCACAGGCCCTGCGATTTGGTGCTTCAGCGATGCCTTCCCATGTGCGGCCTGCGGCGCTGCTCTTGCGGCGACTTGCGAATTCGGGGATGCCGGAGGACGTACAGGATGCCGGGAAGAAGCAGACTACGCAGGATAGCCAGCAGTGATAGTGCATAGAGGGTATCAACGCCATGTTTAGACTGGGGGTGTTTGTACTGTAGTTTTATTCGTTTGGTGCTCAGAGACGCCCACTGTCGTAGCTCTTTGTTTGGACAACCTCCATAGCGTTCTTGTTTTTGGAGATAGGATTCCACTCTATTGCTAAATCATTACTCTATCTGTCATTTTTACAATTTTTTAAACCTTTATTTTTGCTCTATAAATAGCGTCACCTTCTAGACGTAGTTGGCTGCGCTTGCAGTGCGCAGGCGGCAGCTCAGCTATACGTCATGCCCACCCACTGCGCAAACGGGCGGCCCGAGCTCCCTCTATTCAGGACACCTTGTCCCGCCAGGCACGCGACGCAGCGCTAAACGAGGGCGGGTTCCTGACAGGCCGCGACGCTGCCTGCCTCCTTGCAACCTCCATCTCCAACTTTGTGTATTTCTCAAGTTGCGCGTTTTCATCACTGTTCATCGAGATGGATTTCCTTCAGGTATGTAGAAATCGCACCAGTCCAATTGATCCTCCCCCCCTGGCCCTCTTCATCCAGCTTACCCCTTGGCTTTCCACAGCGTCTCGCGAGTTACCTCGACCGCCCGCTCTTCCCGTGGAAGAAGCTCATTATCGGCTTCTCCGTCGGACAATTCGTTCTCGAGACATTCCTTACATTTCGTCAATATCGCGTCTTGCAGGCCCCCAAGCCCCCCGCCGTTCTAGCCAAGGAAATCAACCAGGAGACTTTCGATAAATCCCAAGCCTACGGCCGCGCAAAGGCCAAGTTCAGCGTTGTCACCAGCCTCATCGGTCAGATCCAAAACCTTGCCTTTATCCACTACGATGTCCTCCCTAAGATCTGGTCTTGGACCGGCGATCTGCTTCTCAAATACGCCCCCACTGGCTTCCGCGGCGAAATCAGCCACTCAGTCGTCTTTATGGTTGCTTTCCTCTTGATCCAACAGGTTATGGGCATGCCCGTCCAGATTTACAGCACCTTTGTCCTCGAAGAAAAGTACGGATTTAACAAGCAGACTCCTCAGCTGTTTGCTACCGACCAAGTCAAGAATGCCGTCATCACCAGTGTCCTCGTCTCCCCTGTTCTCGCCGGCTGCTTGAAGATTATCCAGAAGACTGGCAACCAGTTTGTCTTCTATGTCTGGTCTTTCTCTGCTGCTTCTCAGTTGTTCCTCTTCACCATCTACCCCATCTATATCTTGCCTATTTTTAACACTCTTACTCCCATTGAAGATGGAGAGCTGAAATCCAAGGTCGACGCCCTCGCTAGCAAACTGAAATTCCCCCTCAAGGAGCTTTACGTTATGGATGGTAGCAAGCGCAGCGCTCATTCCAACGCCTTCTTCGCCGGTCTCCCTTGGTCCAAGCGTATTGTCCTCTTTGATACTCTCATCGAGAGCCAAGACACCGATGAGATCATGGCTGTCCTCGCGCACGAGCTTGGCCACTGGCAGCTCAAGCATACTACCCAGCAGCTAGCAATCGTTCAGGCCAACCTGTTTAAGATCTTTGCCCTCTTCTCCGTCTTCATCAACAATCGCTCTTTGTACGCCTCATTTGGATTCCACGCTCAGCATCCCATCATCATTGGATTTTTGCTCTTCAGTGATGCGCTCTCCCCAATGGACACTCTGGTTCACCTCGGCATGAACATGCTGTCCCGCAAGGCTGAGTTTGAAGCTGATAACTTTGCCAAGGAGCTTGGATATGAGACCCAGCTTGCAACTGGTCTTATCAAGCTTCACAAGCAAAACCTCAGCAGCATGGATGCCGATTGGATGTATGCCACATACCACTTCTCTCATCCTCATCTGTCCGAGCGCCTCAAGGCACTCGGTTGGAAGAGCGACCATGCCGTTGTTGTCGATGAGAAGAAGGCCGATAAAGAAGGCATTGCCACCACGACTGGTCGTGATGAGCTGTAACAGTAGGATTGTAACGTGAAAAGGGTTGGTTGGGAAAACAGCACATGCAGTTGGTGCTGCTCAACCAACGTCATTTGGAGATTTAGGAAAAAGTAGTTTGATGCAATTACAGCTAGGCAGGATCATGTAATGCGAATCAAGATTTCATATATGTGACACAATCAGTCCGACTCATCATCATCAGAGTAGTCTTCTTCGTCCTCCTCGTCATCATCGTCTTCGTCGTCATCATCTTCGTCATCCTCATCGTCTTCTTCATCACCCTCAGGCGCCTCTAGTCCGTAGTCATCGTGGAAGTAGCTTAGTTCGTGTGATTGAACTTCATATCCAATTCCCTTGAATGCTGTCTCCATATTCTGCCAAAATGTTAGTTTGTGTTCTAACTGAGAAGATTGTATATTTACGTACCTCTTGCATGTTTTTCGCACATGTTACGACAACATTGCTCTTTCCGGGTTCGAAGCAGGGGAGAATGAAGGTGTTAAGAGCACTTCGGATATCCTCTTCTGAAACCTCACGAACACGACGAAGAATATCCTTATTCCAGTCCTTGTCTAACCCACGAACAACGCTGCGGACGTAGTTTTGTTGCGCTGCGCTAGGCATTGTGGCTTGCTCGTCGGCAAAACCAACAACAATCTGACTGACTGTTCCTTCCAGGAGATGTTTGTCGATGGCAACCTCGCCAGATGCAATCTTGCGGATGGCATCTCGGGAGGCAATAATCGCCTTGGAAGCGTCGGGAGATCTGAAAACGCGATAACATAGCACACCGCACTCTAGGCTGCGAGAGAAGTGACTTCCATATGCGTAGCCAGCACCTCGAACAGCAACCCAAAGGGGGCCCTCGACTGTTTCCAAATACCCAATGGCAACCATGATGGCCGGGAGGTTTGGATCAGACAAAGATGTGATGCTAGATGTAGTGCTAACTGAATAGGAACCATCCAATGCTGCCATTGGAACGATCGTAGCACCTACGGAACCGGGCTTGCGACCCTCTTGGTTCAAAATGCTGTCCAGTTTGGGAATAGGAATCATGTCTCCGGACGTCTTCAACGACTTCTCAAGAGAACTCCATGACGTAAGCGGGTTCGGCAGTGTCGAGAGGCGTGCAGTGACGAGAAGTCTCAGGTTTTCGAATGTGAAGAGTGACTCCCGAATCTTGTTGAACCAGCCCACCACTTTTTCGGGGTCCGCCTTGAGAATCTTCTTGAGGCGCCTCAGATATACGGCGCGCACCAACGTGCGCTTGGCAACAGTGGCACTGTTACGATCGAGATGAATGGCAGCATCGATTTCCATAGACATGCTGCGACCATCTCGCTTAGCCTCTGGGATATCTGCCAATGCTTTCGTGATTGCTGCGTTGAGGCGTTGAGGATCGAATACAGAGTCGAACATCATGGTTCGAATCCATTCGACTGCTGTGCCGTATTTCGCTGGCTCAACCTGAAACTGAATCATCAATCCCTCTGGGTCTGCAACACCTCTGGCGGAGCCAAGTCCGTAGCCGACGCTATCTCGCTCAAGTTCCATAACAACTTGTTCAAAGCTGACAAGTTTGCCGTCCTTCATAATATGAGTGTTGAAAAAGTTATCTGAGAAGATGGGGATCAACGGTTTCAGCTCGACGGGAACGTTGCTGGTTCCGACGTGAACAGAGATGTGAGCAAAGTTGGTTGGAACATCCTCGAACTGGATAAAGAGTGGTGAATTGCCTTTGGGCGCCTCATTAATGATCTTTTGAGCCGGTCCATCGCCGGCGCCGATGTCAAGCGCTTTACCCGATCTCGCAGTGTCGGATTCAATAAAATGAATGGATTCCGTACCAGGAACAGTCCAGCGATCCAAAACCTCAACGGGAATTGGTGTGTCGTTTTTGGCTTTGGCATCAGCCAAGGTCTTGGCCAGCTTTTCCAAACCGGCGGTGCCAAGTTCTTCTTTGCGCTTCGCAAGACGATCCTTCTCATCCTGTTTGATCTTTTCGGCCAGTTTCAACGACGGCTTTCCTAGAATGGAGATGTGCTTGGCATCCAACAACCACTTCTTTATGAAACCCCTCCAGTCTTCATCTGTCCATTTCTCAAGTTCTTCATACTCCTTCAAGTTCTGCAAATCACGAAGCGTAGATCCATCCCGTTTGCCGAAAAGATAGTCATTGATAATGTTGTTGGCATAAAAAGATTCGGATGTTTCTGCATGATATTTGACCTGGCGTTGTTCACGGTGGATGCACTCTGTCATGTATGCCATATCCAGTGGATTAGAGGTAACTTCATTGAGTAGCTCAAATAGGCGCTTCTCAACGAATTCCAGCTTCTCTGTAGCAACACCCGTGGGCTGTAGCCAAATAACCGAATTTGGTCGCGAATCCCACCAGTATGCCACGGAGCTCGCAAGTTCCTCCTTTTCAACCAGCGCGTTTTCGAGTATGGCGACAGAAGAGCCACATAGGTAAGTCAAGAGGATGTTCAACGCCGAAGTTGCAATGATATCGACGCAGTTGGGACCAAAAAATCCGACCAAGATCTCTCCAACGGATTCATCTTCTTCAGGGAACTCGGCTGTCGTGACTACGGTTTCTGGCAAAGGCGGCGGCTGGGCAGAATCAATCCAAGGTCTGTAACAATTAGCGTTGATAGTACACGATAGGGAAAAAGTACTGACCTCTTGAAGTCGCTATCCAAGGACGGAATATCATCCTTGATGCTCTCCTCGAAGTTGTCCATGATTTGGAGAAGTTCTGTGTGGTCTGCTTCTCCCACAATGATGACACATAGGTTTCGGGGCTGATACATTTCGCGATGAAATTCACGGATCCTTTGAGGAGTCAGGCTTCGGAGCTGCTCTGTCATGCCTCCAGTCTCGTATCGGAAGCCAATATTCTCTTTGTACAACATGCGGCGGGCTTTCAGGTCCATAATCTCGGCACTGTTGTTTTCGACACCTTGCATCTCAGAGTACACAACTCCAGCATCGTTTCCCTCGCCGTCAATATGCCAGACCTCAGTAGTGACACTTTCGTCTGTAATAGTAGGAACAATAAGATGTTCAAGATAAACGGGCAAGACTTGCGCAAAGCCGTCCCAGCCGGCACTTTCGAGGGTGTACGCTGTGTGATCGACGGCAGTCCAGGCATTGGTACCCGCATATGCTCGAGAGGAAAGCTTGTCAAGAAGTCCTTTATATTGATAGCTCTTAGAGCCCATGAAGATCAAGTGCTCTAGAGTATGCGGCGAACCAGAATCATCCAAAATTTCTGTCGCCAGGGTGAAGTAGCCGTTCAACTTGGGGCCTTTTCGATCTGCCACGACGACCTGCATGCCACTGCGTTCGGAGATGTACTGGGTAATAGTACACGGAGCATAATCGGTTTCGAAGCTCTGAACCTTACGGAAGCCAGATGGGGCGTCGGCGGAGGGCATCTTGGGCAAGCTTCGAGAGGATTTGCGAGGGGTTGATCGATGGCGGGGTAGAGTCCAAAAGTGAAGCTGCAGCAGCGGTTGATCGCAGCTTGGTGAGAGTGAGAAATTCTCGTCGCTTGATCCGTGCGAGCAAGTCCTTCGTGTTTCTACAGGTTTAGTGAGAATTGTGCGTGAAAATGATAGACGCCCGCAATGCAGATGGCCAAAGTTAAGCTGGACAAGAGGTCGCCTGTTTTTCCCATGGTGGGGTCAGGCTATTCAGCGCACCGGCCGCCGACACCTGGAAGGACGCCGTACTTTTTAGTGGCGCCCGCTTGACTGCAGCACCGACTGCCACTTTCAGCCTTAGAGCGCGGCAGAAATCAACTGAACAGCTTGCAGCCAACTGGCAAGCTAAACTATCAGCGACAAGTTTCGTAACAGTCAATCACCCGACAATCCAACGGCTGCCCTGCGATTGAAGAATTCCTGTTATTGCTTACAGACCGCGCGATAATTTATACACTGCGCCATTTACCACCTCCTGCTACAACCCGCGAGCGGCGTCGGCCCCTGGAGACGCGGTGACGCACTGCGTCCATTGACAACATGGCCGCCTCGCCAGAAGCAAAGCAGCTCAGCGATGCTGTCCTTTCATTTGCGCTACAGGGGAAATTCCCTGAGGATATCCAAATTCTACCCAGCGTTACGGGCTGTGACCTCCAGCCCTCGATAGACTCTCTGGAGGACGCAAAGACTAAGCTAGAGGTAACCCTTGGTCCTATCCTTTTCACAACCACTGAGTCGGATATTAACCATTAATAGTCGGAGATACACGTCATAAACGAAGAAACAAAAGAAGATGTCAGCACCTGGGTACGAACGGCGAAAGCGCTACAAGAAGATATTATCCGATCCAAGGCTATGGCCAACGAAATCGTCCGACAATCCGAAGCCCCCGATACGTCTGGAGAAGCCATTGAAACGGCCGAAACGAAAGTACAGTTCCTTAATCGGGAAGTACAATATAGTCAACAGCTACACGAGGTTCTCCATCGACTACAGCGGGCTACCAATCTGTTGAACCAAGTTGAACAAGCTCGTGATGAGCACAGAATTCTTGATTCGCTAAGGCTTTTAGAAGGTAGTATTACTTGATCGAAGTTATCGACTACTAGAAAATAACTAACAATACGGGTATAGAATCTTGGAACGCTCTCGATAATATCGGTGTTGGAAAGTCTTGCCGGGCCGTTAGATTGTTAGATGTGCGCGCTTTCGAACTCAAGTCTTCAGTCCATGACACATTTGAACAAGTGTGGAAGTCTCTTGTTGATGTCGATGTTGAAAAGCACATTGTTACCCTGAATGATACTAGCCTAAGTAATTGGTTATACTTGCGCCAAGGTTGAAACAGTACTAACTGTATAAACAGGTGGAAATATGAAACTTGCAGATGCGGAAATTGGATTAAAATCATACAAAGAGATGGATGAACGCATGGAACAACTATGGAGAAACATTGACGCTGCCATTGTTGCACCGCGAATGGCTCCCAAAGAAAAGTCTTTGGCGAAAATCGAAGTCAATGCCAACAGCTTAACGCTAGTCGGATCATCAGAGCACACTACGGATGCACTGCTAACAGATTTGGCAAAGGTTATGAAGTTTTTGGCGCAGAAACTGCCACACGATCTTCTCAAAGCCCTCAACAGTCATATGATGACCGATGTTATCCCACGGTTATTGCGAGACTGGCTGGATGCCGAAGTTCCCACATCTCTGACAAATATGGATCATTTCCAAACTCTCATAACGAATGCCAGGTCGTTCCGCGATACATTGGTTGAGTTGGAGTTTTCTGGCTTTGACGAGTTGACTGAATGGGTTGATAAAGCACCTATGATCTGGTTGGGGAAGTGTCGCGATACTACACTCAATACTGTCAGAGACAAGTTGAACCAAGGAATTGGCAGCGCGCACCAGGTCGAAAAGATTGAGAAGCAAATGGTCTCTATTGCTGAAGGCCGAGAGCTGGCCAACACTGGCGCAGGTGCTGCAGCAGAGTCTGGAGATTGGAATGAAGACTGGGGCGGAGATGCGTGGAACGAAGACGAAACCACGGAGGCTGCGACGGCAGAAGTCGAAGTCCCAGAGGCAGATGATGGTGCCGATGCTTGGGGCTGGGGAGATGATGAACCGGCTACGGAATCGCAAGAAGCTGACCCGAGCAAACTAAACAATGATGACGATGGCGCCGACGCTTGGGGGTGGGATGAGGAAGAGTCGAGTACTGGACCTGCTACAGTGTCGAGTGAAAAGCCAGCGAAGAAAGCAGCGTCTAAATCAACAGCGCCGAAGCAAGCAGCCCAATCGAAGCCTTCGGCACAAACACGGGAGTTGATTCTTCGAGAGACTTACAGTATATCCTCTATGCCAGGGCGTGTTTTGGAACTGCTCATTGCCGTTCTCAATGACGGCGCTAAACTGACTACTGGGAATGAGGAATATGCCTTGGTTGCTGGAACTGCCGCTGGCCTCTTCAGCATGCCGACACTTGCTCTAGCCCTCTTTAGAGGCATTTCACCACACTATTATTCTCTCACAGACGGTGGTAATATGTATGTTGATCCTGCAAAGCTTTAAGACTGACTAAACTAACGGTTGAAATGACCATAGGCTTTTGTATAATGACGCCATGTATCTGGCGGAGCAACTTGAAGAGTTCGCAACGAAGTGGAGGGAACGAGATGACCTTCCGGCCCGCGCAAAGACGATGGTTCGACTCGATATTGACATCAAGACTCTACAAAACTTTGCCAACCGCAGCTACGGTGCAGAAATGGCTACACAGAAGACTGTCCTGCAAGATCTCCTTGGTAGCTCTCAGAGCATCATGCAGCAAGATGATCTGGAAGGGGCCATTGAAGCTGGAACGTTGCGAATTGAGACTGTGGCCGCTACTTGGGAACCAATTCTGGCTCGATCGGTATGGTCACAAGCTATTGGTTCACTAACAGACAGTCTGGCAAGACGCATTATTGACGATGTGTTGGAACTGCCAGCAATTGGCCAAGATGAAGCATACAATATCGCTAGTGCTATCTCCTCAGCAACTAAGCTCGACTCTTTGTTTCTGCCGAGTAAACTAGCTGGGACTGAACCGGTAGAGGATGAAGTTGCCGTGACGGCGCATTATTCGCCCAACTGGTTGCGACTTCAGTACCTCAGCGAGGTTTTACAAAGCAACCTGAACGATGTCCGTTTCTTATGGTGTGACAGAGAACTGAGTCTGTATTTCACAACAGAGGAGATGGTGGATTTGGTTAATGCCAGCTTCGAAGACAACCCGAAGACGAGGGAAACAATACGTGAAATTCGCGCCAAACAGCCCTTGTCAGCGCCTCTATAAAAGCGCGTTGGCGAATATCATGTAGAAAGTTAGCTTAGATATGTGCAATGAGTCTTGAATTATAAACCCTAGACCAATAGATGCGAGGTGTCTCTTCTATACATTGTGACGGTAATGAAACCTTGTGAGACTGGCGTGGCATGATTAATTATGCATCAGGATCGGGCCAAGGCTAGATTGATGTGGTAATACAGCATGCACACACGACTAAAAATAAGAGATGGAAATGCTCTTTGTTCCATCTCATCTTTTGCTCGCTATGGGACAACAAACTCGTTTCACAGCATCGGCGTTGAGAAACAGTCTACATTACGGTACCATGAATTGGGTAGGCCAACAAAATGGTGATAGCCACCTCTATGTGTTCAATGAATGCAAATGATCAGTTACAATTCCAGTAATGTTCTATCTACCACAGACTAGTGGTAAATAGACTCACATGTCCTAGAGCTACGAAACTGGCGCTTCAGCTCGGCGCTCAAGCCTGGTGCGTGCTGTCTGCTCTCGAGGAGTTTGGAGCACGAGATAGACAGATGCATGGATTGACTTGTGCCACGTAGAAGATGGGCAATATCGACACCTGCTCTGGTGATCAATATTCCTGTAACCAGCCCTGGCACTCAGCCTATAGTGGCGGCACATTTCCGGCAGCCACTCAAGCCAGTTGCTGCGCTGTGCTGTGCCCCAGATTAGGCAGCGCCGTAGCGGCATGACGAGGCTTATGCAGAACAGAGGCAGAGCCTATATGTCGCTGCTGCACCTGCTGGGTTACCATTGATGATTACTGGGCTAAGCACAACATGTTTGGGTGTGTAGTACGCCGAACATGAGAGTGGCCGCTCGAGACGCGAGGTCGGGCTACATCCCGGCGCAGGCTGTATTTTACTTGAATATACAGTTTCTAATGTTACCTACCGTTGTAATTCGCTGTTGCAAACATATGAGGACGACATTGGCCGATCATCGAATTACTTTGTTGACAAGCAAGGAGACACTACCCCTTATACAGACCCCGATCAGCACTCGTAAACCCGGCTATATGAGCGAGAGAACCAACCAACAGATATGCAAGTGATCCGTGGAGAAAGGAATCTGCAGCCAGTGTTGCGATATAGTGCATTCTCGGTATGCCGCGCGAGCCTGCATGGCAAGTCGCCCGTCTAAGCAGGTTCACACGACCACACCACTTACACAGGCTTTGCATTTGCCTCTTGCGTAGCCAGTAACAAGTCGCCGCGCCGACGCGAATACAACACTGTTGCTAATGCTTATTTGCACCCACTCACACAGCACGCAATAACACACACACACAAGCATACGCGACGTGGACGCACACAAGTTGGCAACATCCCACACACCATCTCCAGTCATGGAACCCCGCATTCTTGCCAGAGTACAAGTCGCTCTACTGTAATACGGCACCACTCGTTCTGTTTTTCATGAAGAGCTCTGCAGCACTAATGGAGCAATCAGAGGCATCTATCTTGTGTGCGGCGTTGGCCGGCTCGTAAAGTGGTTGTACCTAGCTTTGCCGTGTGCGGTGCTGCAAGGTGGATTGTCGCCGAGTCTTGGGAGTGGGATTTGCCCAGCTGCCGGTATCAAAAAAAAAGAAGGGGCTTGTGCTGCTTTAACGGAGACCTCGGAAGGCTTGGAGAGTAGCAGGACGTCGTCACAGCCACATGGCCATTAATCCCTTCCTAACAAAGCTGTTGGCAGTTGACAGCGGGCGGACGATTTCCCTATGTGTGCCACCGCAGACCAGCCCGCAGTCCTATTTGGGAAGTCTATTTTTATTTTTATTTGTTTTAATTGCGCTTTCGTTTTAGGGTTTGTTCGTAATGCTAGATACGAAGGCTGAGGCATCAAGCAGCGGCCTGTAAGCTTCCAGAAGGCAAGCCACGTTCGAAAATGAGCTGTTCTGGGAGTGGCCCCGTGTAAGACGTGAGGGGGGCGCTGGTTTTCTGGTCCATCGTTCCTCCAGTGTTTCCCATCCTTGCAGATGGCGGAGACTCTTGGCACGCAGCAGCTCCATTGGAGCTCGCATGGGCGGCGATGTTTAGAAGCTGAGTGTGTTGCTGCGACTAGCGAGCCCATGACCCGACCATCTCCCTCGAGAGATTTGGCGCATCGTACAGACCGAGTTTATGACATAGGAGGAAACCTGATGTCCGGTTGTGTTTGCGGGGGGACTGTGTTCACAACCAGGCTTCCTGGAAGGCCCAGGGTGCTTTAATTAAACGCCAGCAAAGCATTTTGCCATTCGTAGCAGTCATCTGTTTTCCATTGAAGACGTGGGACTTGCTTTCTCCGCAATAGGAGCACCTTAGTTGGATACCCTTGATGCGACCTGCAGGGTTCCATCCGCCTGTAGTCTCCCGACTCACCAAAGAGTGGCAAAGGGGTATGTTCTCGCTACCGCCAGCCTGGGGAAAGAGAAAAGGGGGTTCTGCTGATGCCAAACCTACGCAACATCTCTCTCATCTTGCTCACCGCATCTGCAAACACGACGCTGTCATTGCCTTACGAGATGGTGGTGCCCACTAGGCCGGGGGGAAACCACACGCCCATCTACGTCGACATCGCGCTAAGAGAAGCCCTTGGCCTTCTACTGTACAGCACACCCGACCGCCTTGTTATGGCCCATGGCGGGTATATTAGTATGCATAAAGATCGCCTCACTCTGGCTGGCTAGCGAGCTGACTGGACAAGTCGGGCTGCCTTAGGGGGGGTATTCGGGACGATATCTATGCAGCTGGTATTTGATGCATGTAGATGCGATCCCGTGACGGCAAATAGAGTTCGTATTGTCCAAGCCTAGCGCGATTGTCGGTGTAGAAGCCGTGCTAGAATACCATTGAACAGCGGTATCGTGGGCGAGGTGCCTTGCATTTGCATCACCGCCGCTTTTACGGCGGCTGGAGAGTGGGAACATCTACCTTTGCGTACCATCTGTCGACTGTGCTTCTTTCTCAACGGCATAAGATGGTTTATTGGAGGGTGTCTGGGCAGACGCACTCATGCAGGAAGCCGCGTAAGAGCGAGGCTGGCGAGGCTAAAGGAGCGTCTGCGTTTGGATGAAGAAACGAAAGCAGGCCCGAGGCTGGGGGCTCCGGCTGTTTCTCAAAGAAGGTCGTCGCAGTCTGAGCGCTGAGGCTGTGATGAGATGGATTCTGCACCGCCGCAAATAGATTGCAGGTTGTTGGTTGGCTCCGTGTGGCAAACGTGCATAGGCGACCGGATGGCGCGGCCACAGCCTAAAGAGAAAAAAAATAAAGGCCGATAATAGCACACTGCCAGAGCAGACCGCCACCAAGTACTACTGTACGGCCTTGTAAATGTCCGCAAGCCCGTAGCCACAGTGTCAGTGCCGTTTACCTGCGTAGGCGGCTTAGAGGGGGGCTATTACGCGGCATGGCCCAACTACAGCGGGTTAACAGAGCCCCAATTTAGAGCCACAGCAAGCTAAGCCCACACGCGATTGGCCTATATGCAGCCGGATCACTCGACAGCAACAGCGCTCTTTTGCTGTTTGCTGCGCGTTGAAGCACGCCCGACTTTGCGCAGCGGAGAATAACAAAACAGTCAGATACAAAGGTTCCCAATGCAGCATTAGCCGTGCGAGCAAAAATATGCCAAGGAAAAAGCACAGTTTGACCCAAATCACCCTAGCCAAGGAATACAGTAATTAGCACGGCACTCTGTCAATACGGCAGCCAGCTGTTGTATACGGAGCCGCGCTGTCCGTATTAAAAGTTGGGCTACCACCACCAAGCCAACCCGGCTCAGCTTGAGAGCCCATAGCGCTGGAAGGGAGGCTCGTACAGCGCTGAAGAGTGCTGTAGCCCGACCACCAATGCCCCGTGGCCAACGCCCGACGCTGGAAACACTGGCTCCACTACGCCTTTTAGGGTTGGCTGATCCCTGTGCCATGCCCTGCCCTGCTATTTTGGTAGATTGAAAGTGGGGATGGGGAACATGGCGGCGCTGCGGAATTCGGTGACGACAGCATGTACCCCACGTCTGTTACGGAGCTGCGTCTGCCAAGGCGGACGGAGCAAGCCATTATGACCTCATCGATCCGGTTTGGTCGCGAGATGCGGTACACGATGGCCAAACGGAGCGGCAGGTTCGAATGGGTTTCTCCAAGGGGGCGTGCTGTGGAATTGCGTGCTATTGATTTCGTATTCCGCCTCGTTGTGTCCAGTGTGCATCGTTTAAGACGGTCGGTAGTAGGCCTCACAAACAGTTGACGGGTGGCTAGTTTAGTCAAGTGTGCCGTATTGTATTCTGCTAGGAGCAGCAGCAACAGAAGCAGCACGCGACAGGCGACCAAAAAACAAGGGAAACCGTCGAAAATGGAACCGGCTAGAAACTCTAGGCTATCCTCCACTTGCCGGAAACTATAGCCTAGTAGATGAAAGCGTCCAAGCTTTAATTTTACTTGGTTCTGGCTGTGTTTTTTTTTCTTGCCCTTGTCCAGCGGGACGTCACGAACTAAGAGACTTTTAGTCTTTTTTTTGGGCGCTATTCCACAAACCGGAACGTTGGAACCGAGACGGCGGCATCAAATCGCACACCCCCCCTACTTGCTCCGCTTTAGTTTGAGGTACATGCACCAAGTACCGCCGCGACGAACAAACACGGCACTCATTGGGCCAGGCGGCAGGTAACGGCGCATTCTGGCATTTTTTCTGGGCTTGCGCCGCTGCTATTCGTCTCTTAGACAGCGATCTACAGAATTTGCCCCTTCCAGCATTTGGATATTAACGACGAAATTGTGATTTTATGTTTACTGGAATTCGATCCTCTGTAACAGGGTCTTTAGATTGACAGTGTTCGCATGGGGGTACGTCATGACGCCTCTTTGGAGTTGTTTTCGGCACAGACGGCTGCGAGTGTAGGCAGAGACGCAAGTTTGGACAAACAACCAATCATCCATGCCATTGGAGTCCATTAGCAGCACTACGTGAAGTTGGGATCACTCTGTATTTGCGAGCATGCATGTCTCTAGCTGTCAAAGAACGCAACTCGCCCGATGCGCCCTTGGGACGATATGCGAGTGGGTGTGTCTCACATCCTTAGACCAAGTTCGAGATCAATCACCTTTTCTGGTCAGACTTTGGGCCTTTGCGCTGCCAAAGGGTCTCCTTGTTTCTCCTTTAGCGCCTTCATTTTCGGTACTCGCAACAGACAAATTCCGCCGCAGATTTTTCCTTCGGTGGCGGGCTTGTTTCGTTCCCCAGACTTTAGGCTCTTGTCTGGGGCGAAGCTCTTGCCCCTTGAACTGAAGAGCGCAAAGGTGTTTGATTGGATCACCATCCTTGGGGCGCGCCTCTTTGTTTCATAGAGACCAGTCCAGCACAACGCTGTAGTTTGCGCCTCATAGTAGCTTTCTGTTGCAATGATTTGCCATCGCTGCGACCACTTGGCAGGGGAACCAGAGAAACCCATTGCCGCCTTGCCGTGCATCTGTACCCCATCGTTGTCACTACGACGCTGTGCTCCAGAGAGACGGTCGTCAAGTTGCAGAGACTTGCATCCAGTGTGTGACTCCATCTCAAACAGGCACTTTTGCACGCAGCTCCCAGAGGTGCTACATTTGCAACAACCAATAACAACAAGCTAACAAAAACTTGAAGTTTTAGGGCAAAAACAAAGTCTAGGCCGTCTCACCAGCGAGTAGGCATAGCCAGCGACGTTTTAGGCGCTTGTATGTAAGCCCCAAGTCGGAGCCTTTCCATGGCTCTGGCTTACCCCATGTTCTTACTTGGTTGGCCGCCACGCAATGCAGCCTGGGTTGCCTTACGTTTATGCAGAATCCGGGGTAATTCTTCTACTCAGCGTGGCCAGGATTTTGATGAGCAGAAACATTCGAATAGATGAGAAGCAATAATCCAAATTAGGAAGAAGTTCAACTTGTGGGCCGGGCCTTGCTTGATGTACAGTGCCATGTCAGAAATAGGGGAGCTAACAAGCTTGGTACTATTGATCGCTGTGGTTGAATTTTTTTTTCCTTCTGGGAACTTGGGCGACCCAGCCAAGCGGTGCTCGCCTGGCGGAAAACCTGCGTGGTGCCTGAACATCAGATCGGCAGGCGGCGAGCATTGGTATTAGCGAGCGAGCTCCGACAGCAAAATGGAAAAAGGTCTGTTGCGCAAGCACGCACACGCCACAAGAGCAACGCGAGTTAGCGCAGCGTCGTATCTTTTCAAGCGAGGTGCGTGTTGCTTTTTCAGTACTGATCTGTCTGCCTGGCAGCCACTGTGCGCGCTGCGACAGTGAGCGTTAGCCCAAGCTCTAACCAGCTAGCTCGCCAGCTAAGCTCCTCTCCGAAGCCAGCTATCCGGTGGTTCCGCTGTGCTGGTACGGCACAGCTCTGGCTAGTCTAAGCCCTTCGTGGAATGGCGTGTGGCCCTGAAATCTCACTTACTGGTCCCCTATTCTATCCTCGTTCCCCTCTAGGGAGGATGAGAGCACAGCGGCCGTACGTACAGTACGTTCCGCACAGACAGGTCGTCGGTCAACAAGAACGCCACTGCGCAAGCACTTTGGCACCCCTAACCACAGGCACAATGCCAGCCGAATCCTCTCGCATATCTTGCAAGATCGGCAATCTCAAGACATGGAAAAGAAAAGGGCAAAAGAAACAAGGGAGCATTTGTCTGCACGTCATTCTGTCTTGGATTGAAAATACGTAGCAAGGTCTTCCTTAATGAGAACAGACTGTCATTCAAGCTGAACGCCTGCTGCGTTGGTGCCCGTCGCTAATGCTACGCGCCGCTCCATTCCAGGCTGGCACTGAAACCCCGCGCTTTCCATCAGCAGGAGGAGCCCCCCAAAAAAGACAAGTTAGGCACCGCACCACAAGCACCCCAGAAATGCTTTAGCCCTATGCTGGCCCCCTGCCCAACTACCTGGGTCTTCTGTTCTTGGGCGGCCAGGTTCGAGGCCATCTAACTCCCCTGCACGTTTGAGAGGTTGGCTGTGCTCGGGTCCTTGTTTTGCGCAGGTTTATGCAAATATATCTTCGGTTGGTTGTTGGTTTAGCGCTTCAACCACTTTGGCCAACCAGCCAACCAACCACCCTTTAGCTTTGGCTGGTAGGTGATTGAGTGGTGGGTGTGTTTGGGCTGCGGATGCTCGGTTGCTGAACAGGCCTTGGCTATTCCACGCAAAGCGCACTGAAAGAGCCAACCACCACTACGGACATGTTGGCGGGCTGCGCTGTCCGAGCCCGCCCCCAGGTACGGGCAACGATGGCAAGCCGCTTTCTTAGACGAGCAAAGCGGCTTAGGTCACCTGGGCGCGACGAGGTGAACGTTAATTCGTCGCACGGGCACTCTGCAAAGATTTGACAGGCTATTCTTGTGCACGGGTTGGCGCCGGGGGTGGTTGATGTAAGACGCAATCCGCTGCCTATTGGTCTAGCAAAAAGGGTTTTCATGGTTTCTTGCCGTCTTGCACCCCGACTGCTCTCCCTGCTCGTGTAGGATGTTGCTGGTGCGCTTACTGGTTGCATTCCTCATGCTTTACATTTCTGAATTGAGGTGTTGCTCGATGGTGTGCCTGCTTGCTTTTTCGCCTCTTGGTTGTTTGATTTGGCTTCCCCGGATTTTACAGGAGGCATTGGCGCATACCACTCTGCCCCCCCTTCTCTAGCTAATCCTCCTTGGAGTATTATTTGCTTCTTTGCGGAGAGCGGTGCCTGCATGCTGCAAATTTTACTCTTAAAAAGCAACGGAACGCCTGCTAACCAGTGCCATGGGTAGCACCTACAGTAACGGTGCTGTGGTCTGCAGACACATACCCTGCCAACGGACGGCCAAGGGGCCGAATGCTGTCTGCATCTCTACCGTAGCAAGCATATGTTCAATAATATGGTTATTATTATTATTATTTTCTGTGCAGCTGTTCTTAGACCTGTCTTCCCCACTAGTGACGGAAAGGTACCGTTGCTTCACCCTGTCTTTGGGGTTTTTTTATTTTTTTATTTTTTTCTGGTTTGTAGTTAGCGCTCTGCGCACACGCCCCTCCCTTGGCGGTGTAGTACGTGCGCGCCCAAGTGCGGCCGTGTTCTTGTTTCCTTTTGGGGGGAGGAGGGCAGCGCTGTTGTGCTCCTGTATTACAGCACACCACCCTTCTGAAAGGACTTGCAGTAGCACCAGCTGCCAGCGTGTTTGGCCGTGGAGAAGTTGTGCCCACAGTGACGACAGCAAGAAGAAAAACCCAAACCAGACCAGGCACTGGGTGGCAGCCCCCCCACACGCCCCCCTAAAACTGTGGCGTGCGATTTGGTTTTTTTTTTCTTTCCCTTTGGTGCCATTCTGCCACTGCTAGGCCATCTGTCTGGCACTGCGACCACACACGTCAGGTCCGACCGGGGGCTGCCCTTTGACTCAACCTTTTTCTGCGCTGCCCTCCGATGTTGTGCGGGTGGCCCATATACAGTCTACTCGAGCCTCCTCTCTTTCCTTCTTTCCCACCCAGACTTGTCACTCGACACTTTGCTGTTTATTCAACACACGCTGTTGGTTTATTTCCCAACCTTTTAAACTCGCCTTCGCCTCCCTCCGCCATTCACTCCTCGCCTCCTTTCCGTTCGTGGCGACACTCTCCAGCAACAGTCCAACGCTGCCCCCCATATCGAAAGTGCCCTCGTCACTACTGCAGCACCAGCAGCTCTCGCATGCATAGATCACGAATTCGCACCCTACAGCAACCACCCAAGGCACACGCTCTATCAACCTCTGCCAGCACCAGGTATTTTACCCGCCGCCTGACAGAAGCTTAAGCGATACCCCAATTACGTTTCTCCAAACGCCAACGCGAACCACCACCACCACCACCCACATTCGAGGCGCATCCAGTCATCCGCCGCCTGCTTCAGTCCGCCAGCTTGCCAACATTGCTGCCCAAAGCAGCCACTTGCATATATCCTTTTGCTGGCCACATCAGCGGGCCGTTACGACGTGGAAGCCAAAGCTTCCCGCATCAGATCTACCCGCCGCCCCTGCCTTGCAGCCCGCCGCCATTCGTAGTCGCCGAATGACATCGCTCTGCAGTGCCTAACCCATCCTGCCAGCTCACGAGACCTGCACCCAGTTCTACGCCCTGCCCTGCAACTGCCGCAGCTACAACCCTCTAGTGCCTTTTCTAGGACAACTACTGGTACCTCTCAGCTCCCGATCGACCCTACTGCGGTGCCGTTCCCCCCGCAAAGCCAAACCCTGCCACCAGCTCTTCTCGAAGCAAATCAACATGCAGATCGCCGCTCGCTCGCAACCCTTATAACACTTGCTACCCTGCCGAAGCGCCCCCTCAGTACCTTTCCTAAGGTGCCTGTGTGTGCCTTCTTAAAGAGAGAGCATGCCTCCAGCAGCCACAAATAAGAGAATGGGTCCTCAATCAACACTGACATCCAGCATGTCGTCTTTGACGGCACAGCTGCGACGCCCAAGCCCAGGCCGCGTACAGACGAATGTACAATCACAACCCCCCAGCTCTGTTCCGATCTCAGCCTCCTCTGTAGCGTCAAATTCGCAACAGGGTTCTCCAATCCTCTCACCAGAAACCGCCGTCCTCACTACCAACTCTTCTCTACAGGCATCTCCTGATGCCTTGCGTCCCAAGGACGATGAACAATCCCCTTCCCTCTTTCAACTCCCCGAATCAATTCTTTCTCCAAGCGCGAGCGTTACTTCGCTCGGTAATAGTTGGGCTGGCACCAACAGTCCGCTTGCTGAAGCCATTAGCTCCAATGCCACTACCATTACCGCACCTATTCCAACTCCTTCCAAAGGAAACCTCATCCGCCGATTATCTAGCCGTGCCTCAAGACGCATAACCAGCCGACGACGACAGTCTTCAGCTGCTCCTGCTAGCAGAGATGGTAGCGTCGGCCCATGCTTCCTCCGCCGTCGTAGCGAGAGCAATGGACCTGCCAATGGTGACTTGGGCAATGGCACAACTGCCACCGACTCGGAATCGGACATTGAAGACAGAGATGAATTCGGCTCACTGCGTTCCATGTTCTTCTTAGATGGTGTCCCTCGAGAGTCTCCGGCAGACAGCGTCGCTGGTTCTGTCGCGGCTGGCTCCAGCACAATGGCCAGCCCTGTTATCCCACTACAGCTTCAGCAGGGCACCTGGCTACGCAAGATCTCCAAGAAGAGCCGGTCAAAGCGTATTTGCCTCATCTATGACAGAGAAACCAATAAGCTCATGTGGGATCGCATGCGTCCAAACAAATTCCTTCATGTTGACGATATCCGTGAGATCCGCTCTGGATCCGATATCCAGCAGTACGGTCGCGACTTCAAGATTCCCGAGTCGGAGCGTCCCAAATGGTTCTCTATCCTCTATTCTATCCCGGACAAATCCAAGTCCAAGTTTATGCATCTTATTGCAGATGATGCTCAAACCAGCCACACCTGGATCACATTCCTCGATGCAATGATGAAGCATCGCCAAGACGTCATGACATCGTTGATGGCTTTTGACTCAAAGGCCATTGCTCAATATTGGCAGTCCGAGATGGCTAAGCAGCTCGGCGAGCAACCTCGTGGCAACATGCCTGAGGAGCTCGATGTGAGCGGCGTGATGCGCGTCTGCCAAAACCTGCACATTTATAGTTCACAGGCCACGCTGCAAGCCAACTTTCGCCTTGCTGATGCTCGCAGACATGAGCGACTCAACTTCTCCGAATTTTTGGACTTTGTCCGATTCATGAAGCGCCGCCAGGATGTCCAGCAAATCATTCGACTTGTTAGCGAGAAACCCAATGTTGGACTCACCCTACCTGAATTTCTCACCTTCCTAAGAGATATTCAGGGTGAGGATGTTGACTCCAACCTTGCTGCCTGGGAGAAGATATTCACCAAGTTCATCCGAAAGCATAAAGCTGACGACAGCGTTGAGCCTTTGGAGGGCATCATGAGCGAATCTGCGTTTGTTAGCTTTTTGGCTTCGCGTCATAACGCACCAATCGCAGAGGAGCCTCAGCAATACACGTTGGATCGCCCCATGAATGAATACTTCATCTCTAGCTCACACAATACCTACCTACTCGGTCGCCAAGTCGCTGGCCGTTCGAGCATCGAGGGCTACATCAATGCTCTGGTTCGTGGATGCCGATGTGTGGAAGTTGATTGTTGGGATGGTCCCGACGGCCAACCTCAAGTGGTGCATGGGCGCACCCTGACGACCTCCATCAGCTTTAAAGAGGTCATGACAACCATCAACAAGTACGCCTTTGTCAAGTCTAGCTTTCCGCTCTGGATCTCTTTGGAAGTACACTGCAACGCCTCACAGCAAGCCATCATGGCTGAAACCATCAAGCAGGCATTCGGTGCCCGTCTCGTCACGGAGCCACTCGATCCATCGTCAGACAAGCTGCCATCGCCTTCGGAGCTCATGGAGAGAATCCTGATCAAGGTTAAGGAGCCCCGCATGCGGGATGATGCTGTCAACCCAGAGCCAGTCGCACCTGTCATCCGCCGTGGTCGTCGTGGACGCGGAAACAGCGTTGGCTCTTCTACCACCTCTCTCATTGACGCTCTTCCGGTTGTATCCCAGTCCCTCCCCCAGAGCCCAATGCTCAGTTCCTCCTCTTATCCCCGCCGCATCATTGGCAAGCGCGTTGACACAATCTCTGAATCCCACACTCCTGAACTTGTCAGCAGCAGCCCTAGCGATACCGAGAGCGGAAGTGACACCGGTGCTACCCGATCTGCCAATAAGACTATTCCTGTTTTGGGCAAACTGGGTGTTTACTGCGCTGGTGTCAAATTTCCAGGCTTTGATGCTCCTGCCGCTAAGAAGTTCAACCACATCTTCTCATTCATGGAATCGAGCTTCGCTAAAAACTCTCGCACCAAGGAAGAAAAGATGTCCCTTGACATTCACAATATGAGATACCTCATGCGAGTATATCCTGATGGCACGCGCTTGGCATCTAGCAACTTTGACCCTCTCATCTACTGGCGCCGTGGTGTTCAAATGGCTGCTCTCAACTGGCAAACATTTGACCTCGGTATGCAATTGAACCGTGCGATGTACGAAGGTGGACGTGACACCTCTGGCTATGTTTTGAAGCCTTCTGAGCTTCGTGACATCCAAGTGCGCCCGTTCAACTCTGCCCTCGCTGAGGGCAAAAAAGAACGATCTGTTGTGACCTTTAGCATTGACGTACTTTCTGCACAGCAGCTAATGCGTCCCGCCAGCCTCGCCGCCAACAAGTCGATGGACTTTTATGTCGAGGTTGAGGTCTTCCACGCCAACGATAAGAGAGACAAGAACGATGCTACTGTACCAGTCAACCATGGCCCAGACTCTGCCCTCAAGTTCCAAACCGACGTCGTCCGCGAGAACGGATTCAATCCTCTCTTTTCGAATGGCAAGTTTGATTTCAAAGTCACGACAAAGCACCCTGAGCTCGTGTTTGTCCGCTGGACAGTTAAGCTCTCTAGCGACGGAGAGAACTATACTACCAAAGAACGAGCAACAATGGCTAGCTACACGGCCAAGCTCTGCAACTTGAAGCAGGGACACCGCACCCTGCCCCTGCTCAACCACGTTGGCGAGCAATACCTTTTCTCCACGCTCTTTTGCAAGATCACCAAGTCTGAGGTCCAAAAGGTTCTCATTGACGTGGCAGCGCCCGTCCAAGATGCCGGCAAGCTGAACAGACTTGGCGGAAAGGTTTTTGGTCGATCCAACACCAGCCCACGCAGCACTGTCGAAAAGGGCAGCATGGAGAAGACCGTCATTGACATGCGCTCTTAATACGGCGTTGCATACTCATCGTCACCGAAACATTGCCTATTCTACTCCAAAAGATCAACAGGTCTTTTTTGTATTCTATATCCAGCTCCGCATGACGATCCTGCTAAGCATTACTTTCAAAACATCTCACGACATACATCCAGTCCTGGCGCTTGTAGCGGTGAGGTGGTTGTCGGCCCTTGGTTGGCCGCAGTTCACTCATTGTTTTGATATTACATCTTTCAATTCTCTTCCGTATGCAGCCTCTCGCAAAGAGACTGACATCGCACTTGTATTTTTGTAACACTCTTCATTTCTCTTTTGTCTCACGAAGTTCAGCGACATCAAATTCAAAAACACATGGAGCGATACCCCCCATTTCTGCACTGCTTGGAACAGAAGAAATTGTTATACACATTTTGAAGCGAGTTTTCTTTTTCCCTTTTGTTTTATTTATTGCATTGAGAAGGAGCCTGTCACGGGATTGTTTGAAATACGCCGACTTGAAATCTAGTCGCACATTTGCAGATTCTGTTTTTGAACACACATTTTGTTTAAAATGTATCTGAGAACCATATCTAGGATAGATTTTGAACATTTATGACTGTTTTCTTTCTACTTTCCACATATTGTACTTCTTGATCTGTCTTGCTTATTTTTTCTTTTCATCTCGACCTCTGAGTCGTGGTTTAATTTGCATGACAAAACAAGTATCGCAAGACTATATACAACCAATAACAGTACATACTCATGATAAACTGGTACGATTGAATAACGATTGTACAATAAATCTGAAATAGACAGAAGTAGATTTGAGCAATTTACAGGGAAAAAAAAGGGCTGCTGCGCTCTCAAGCTATGCTTTGAACCAAACTATCAATAGCCAACGTACAAGAATAAACCCAAAAAATACATGTATATATAAAACAATCCAGTAAAATGGAACAAGTCTAATCCGCACCAATTTTGCCTAATCTACACCTTCATCCGCTTCTTCCGCATATGTATGCTTAGCAACACTCCGTTGACTGTCGGTCCGAAGCATCCGGCTCGCACCACCTTGGCTCCAGTCGCGATGATTATTATTCGTGACTACGTTCCGGGCGTGGAGTTCGGCGTCCTCGTAGCCGTCTTCATCGTCAAAGTCGTCAAGCTCCTGCTCAATGGTTCGACCGCGGCTGCTCAGCTGACGCAGGGGGACATTGTTTCTCGGCGCATCTCCATACACGGCTGGGTCGCGGCCCAGGATGCGGTCTGCCTTGGATTGATATACGCTTCGCTCAATAGGAGGGGCTGGCTCAGATGGTTCGACGCCCCAGCCGGCATTCACCTCACGCGCTCTCTGTTCCTCACGGTCGCGCGCAAGTCGGTCCCTAGTCTCTACCCATTTCGGGTTGGCTTCCCAGCTCCATCCGTCGCCGGTTGTGTTGCAGATTGGCAGAAACCAGAGCCAGGGATTCGGGCCCAAAAGGTGCTTCATGTTGCGTTTCCATCCAAGGTCAAATGCATTGGGCAGCTTCTGCGAATCTTGGTCGTCAAGGTACTCTTCATATCTGAGACGAGACTGGTGTCGCTCGCGTTCCGCATAGGTCATTTGGACAGGGACAGTTGTTCCATTGGCTGGCCTTACGAACGGATAATCTCTGCTGCTTCTGCGCTCCTCGCCCTCTTCTGGCCGGGTGATGCCTGGCAGTGCATTTGCATGAAAGTCGATGATTTGCTGTGTTGTCGATCCGATGCCAGCATTGGGGTCATGTGCGTGCTGGTAGGGTTTGCGTAGTGGCGAGACGTAGCGAGTCTTTTCAAGGCATTCTATAGTTGTCTGTCCGCGCAGGGACAGCGAGATATGCCAGCCTGTAAAGAGGCCAAGAACTATAGCAATGATGCCACTGAAGACACACAGCATAATGTAGTTGACGGGCATAAAGGTAGAGACATATGTTGAGTCGACCAAGATCTCCTCATACATCCAGGTGGCGCTTACAGCAAAAGCATACAGGCATAACAGCGTTGTATAAGACAAGAAGAGCAAAAACGCTTTGTAGTTATGTAAGCCGACACAGGTGGCAAGCCAGGGGCAGTGATGGTCCATCTTAAGCACACAGCGGCGGCAAGTAGAGCAGTGGTGTGCCCGGTCGGGCTTTCGTGCTTGGCATTTCTTGCAAAACCGCAGCTCTCCATTACTCTTGACTGTGAATGATGTAGCTGCCGGTTGTCTGTCCTGCGTCATGGGCAGGAGACCATAGCCGTTGTCGTTTGTCGTGGAGCCTGGCCTCGTGAAGACTGCCGCTGTGTATGACCAGTTCGCCAGAACGTATATTATAATGCCGATGATCGAAGATGTTGTTCCTATTCCAGAGACTCTCTGTTAGTCGTAATTATACCACAAGATGGGATCTGCCGCCGTGCTCGGCTAGACAGGGCGCTTACCAAGCCATGGGCTCTTGACGCTGTCGCGAGAGATGCCAACTATGCCGAAGACACCCCAGGTCGTTACGCTGTATATAAATACAAGAGGAAAATATGTTGCCACAGCGCAGCAGGTGCGTTCTATCCTACGCGCGCATCGTCGCACCATGTTTCCTCCTCCGCCGTGAGGGCCGTCGCGGGCCTCGTCGTCTAGTGATTCGTCCACGTTTGTAGCCTTGGCGCGATTGTGACGGAGAAAGTGATATGCAATTCTGTCAATCCATCAAGTGTAGTGCTGTTTTCGTTCGGAAATTCGACTTTTTGTTGTATGGGTAGAGTAAACTCTCGACGACGTGGCCGGTGTTGAAGCCATCGCCGCACGGCTACACTGCCTTGTCGCTTTAGGCTGTGCTGCAGGGGCTGTGCTGATGACTAACTAGGCTTCAGGGGCACTGACGTTCGACTTACAGCAGCCCGAACTATATGATGAAATAAAAGCGTTGAAAAGAAATATCGCTTAAAGCGAGATAGATCAAGTTCTCTGTGGAATTTGTTTCTTTCAGTCTCAAATCACTTTGTGAGCCGCGTGCTTCATTGTCATTCGGATAGACGCGTAACCTCGCTTCATACCCTAGAAGCTTACCATCATCTGCACCATGAGCCAGACTGCACCGGTTTGTGATTATAGAACGAGAAAAAACGGTATCGAATAGATTTATAAGATAAATAGAGTAATTGGATTATTCAGTGAGACTTTTATGCGGTTTTGTGGTTGGTAATGGTGATAAGCAAAACAAACTACCACTGAATCAAGTCTTCGCTTGGGTCAATTGCGGGCTCAGTCTGATGCTGGATGCGGAACAATTCCTGAACATCCTTGGAAACGGCGTATTTTAACGTCTCATCTGGGAAACTTTCTTTACAAACTTCCAAAAGGCCACCCGTGAGAAAATCAAGATATGCACCAAAGTCATCTGTGCTTCGAATTGGACAAGTTGGGCCAGAGAGTTCAACATGGCTGACAATCTCTGTAAGTGACTTGAAGGTTCGCAAGCATCGGGGGCAATTGAAAGAAACTCCGCTGTGGGCCGGAGATTGAAGATGTTTGAGAAGCTGTTTGGCTGTTTTGAATACCCTTCTTATTTCATGTTAGATAAGTTGTGAACTGACAGAGCAACACTTACTGGCAAGAGGCCCTTGGGCAGACATATCGACCGCTTAGCTCACAGTAACAGCCCTCAACGTCAATTTGAACGTCTTGAAATGGCTTTGGCATGGATTTTCGAGGTGGCTCGGCTTTGGGTGGCAAAGTTGGCGAAGGGACTGGGGCAGTGTGCCAACTACCAAAAGTTCCGACCAGCGACACGGCTTCAGGTTTGGACGAACCCGGCACGACTGAGGGCCCTTGTGGTTCGTATGGTTGTTGATATTGTGTCTCTGGTATGGTATTCCTTGAAGATGGACCATTTGATTTGGCAATGAGGGCTTCTAAAACGGATGGCTCCGCAGTGTCCCAATTCTTCAACAGAAGACGGCGAGAGAAGGCGAGTTTCTTCTCTCGCAGTTCTTCGAGGTCTTTTACGTTAAACTTGTAACATTGACCCGATTCGATATGTGATATGAGCTTCCACATGCGATTGAATGGTCCTTGCGAGCAGGCAGGGCAGTGAAGCGTTTGTTTGTGTGGGTGATACTGATCACATTGGATGTTAGTGGCTACTCTTTGAGTCAAGCATTTTGAGCTTTCAACTTAACGATTTTCGCGTGCGATAATAAGGCGATCTGAGATTCAAAATGTTGCCCGCACTCCGAACAAACTAGGTGACGTTGGTCACCAGATAAGGCCTTTTTCTGCCTATGCTCTGCCAAGCGATCCCAGGTCTCAAAATCCTCGTTGCAAATATCACACCGGTATCTCTCGTTTTCGTACATGTCTATTTACATTTGCGGTGAGTTCTTAGCGTTCCAAGGGGAGTTGAGAAATATAAAACAACACAAGCAGTGTTTGTGTGTGTGAGAGCCTGGCAGTTGCCAGCTGGCGGCCGTCGTTGGTGTCACAACAAACCTGCGGAGGGTTCTGCATTGTCAATTGCGAAAATGTAAACAGACGGTTCCATTAATTATATCTGACTATTGGTCTCCATAATCATCTGTATACATGGCAGTATCGTCATCCATCATATCGGCATGATCATCATTATCTTGCTCATCGCCTTCCATCTCGGAGTCGTTCTCTTCTATATTTGTGGCATCTATTAATTGGGCAGTGTTTGCGGAGGCAAGTGACGATGAGTCTACTGCCATTGATGTCTCCAGTTTGGTTCGAAGACGGATGTTGTATCCTTGGCTCCTTTTCTTGGGTGGCTCTCGTCCATGGAGGATTGTGAGTTCTTCTTTGGTGAGGTGTAGATCTGGCAGGGGAATGTTGAAATTTGTGGAATTCGACCTTGCAGGAGTCATGTCTCCAAATCGTAGTGTTGCAGCAAAATCAGCCCTTGTCAAAATGCGACCAAATTGAAGTGCAACTAGTTTTGTCTTCATAATCGCCTTGACCTTGGCCCAACGGCCGCCATGGTACCAGCCACTGCTCACATCGCAAGTCTCGCGCACAGCGGCGTCTTGTAAGAGCTCTCTAAGCAGAGGATCAGTGATATCACAAACTTGCCACACTTTGCCATCCGTATGATAGGCATCGCCGTCAAACACGTGGGTATTTGCACCAGCTTCGCTCGCTTTGGCGTCTTGATCTCGGCGTAATGACTGCCAAGTCTGTCCTGCATGTGTTGTTCTCTGTGTGTGCAGTTTGAACATGAGAGTTTGATAGATGCGATACTTCGGGTCTGTTCTAGGGTCAATACCATATGGTACGACGCCGTCTCTCCACGGCCCGCCTTTGAACTGGTATGCTGCATAGTTGAGGTACTTTTTCAGCTCATTCCAATTTTCCAGCCTTCCCCTCATGTGGTTTAGCAGTGAACGCCTGGTCCACACTGGACGTTCTTCAAATGCTTCCTCCAATTGGGCTATGACCTCGACTGTTCTTGGATCAGTCATGTCGGGCGGATGCTGTGGACCGGTGGGCGCTTCTTCGTCGGCTCGAATGAAGTATCCAACTTGCTTTACGGCTGTTAGATTAACTGTACCACCGCCTTCAGTAGCGCGTACGTATGGGTTTTGTGAATATTGATAATTAAAAGGGAGATTCATATGTGTGAATATCGGAGGCGGGATGATATCGGCGTTGGGCCCATGATCAATCCCTGGTTGGAAGTGGAAGTCTCGAAGTTTGGCAGCTTTGGTAGTATTAGCAACAGCAAGTCTACGAGGACCACAAGCGACCTACCATCTCCCGAAAGGGCTTTGTTTTTGAACTCTTGTGTAAATTTTGAACCGGACATATTCCAAATGAAGTCGGCTAAGCCGCGAAATCGATGCGTATTGTCAATGATCCCAACAGCCTCTACCGTATGCTTTCCTATCGTATCACCGAGTTTTTGTTTGAGCAATGCCGGCGAATCCAGTTGAGCAATTGAACAGACTTGTGAAGATGAATCGGATTCGGGCATGTTACTCGTGTAGGTTTGCCACAGTCCAGCTGAACCTCGCTTCCGCCGGCGACCAGTGCGCTTGGGAACCGTAACCTTTAGCACAACGTTATGTGAAGGAGCGTTGTGAGATAGAATGGGGCTACAGAATGGGTCATCCGGGTTTAAGTACAGAGGTATTGAATAGCGTGATGGATCTAGAACCTGAAAACGGTGCATTAGTTGGAAGTATATAGAGAGAGCCAACGGCGACATATACATGACTTAGATTGGAAGCTCTACCTAGAGCCTGGATGGCACGGTCGGCGTTTTGAACATTGGCTGGAACTTCTATTGCTGATATCATCCTCTGCGAAATTTCATAGCGTGGCGCCATATTTCGCTCATTATAAACGTCCGGTGCCTCCTGCGAAGTGGCGTGAGCTGAGCCATTGGGTGAGCTAGGCGTGACATCCATTATGTGGTATCGCGTCGTAGCGCTCAGTAGACGAGAATAAGCATGGCAGTAATTTCTGTATCGCTTAAACACAATTGAGGCTGTCCATACGCGCTTAGCTGATAGGCAACCTGCTACCAACAACCTGAATTCGGGTGGGCTGGACAGCTAGTAGTCTCGTCTACCTCGTGGTGGCCGATGTATGGTGGTGGTGGTCGTGGTGGTAGTTATGCATATTGGAAGCATGAGAGCGAAAACAGACAGGTGAGGTGGCCCGTGCGTCAAGCTACAGCTCTGGCCAATGAAACAGCCAGTAGCCGATCTTGATCACCAGACCCGAAATGTCTTGCGTCGCGTATTTTGCATGGTATTTTCTACAAGGCGCAAATTGCAAAAACGGAAGGAGAGAAAAAAATATGTACAATATTTAGACATTAAAATAATACAAAAAATATTTTTCTTTCTATAATATTATATTATCCCAAATCTTATTGGACCTGCTTTGCTCAGACAAATACGGTACAGTAAAATTACAGCCCTTTGTGCCACAACACAGACTCGGCACCCCTTGTGCCTGTGACGCAACAATCCTGTCGCCCCTGTAGCCCCTCTACGGCATCCGCTGTAGCCAACCTCACCGCCCGCCTGTAGCGCCGCCCTCCTCGCCGTTCAGCGCAGCTCTTGGTTCGCTGCGCAGCGACCAGGTGCTTTCGCTCACTCACGCTTTGGTTTGGCTAGGCGCCCCCTTTGCTTTTCATACTGTGGCAGACACGGCCTAAAGACAAGAGATTTTACCGGTTCTCTGCATCAAATGAGCTTGGAATAATTTTCTGCTGCTCTCCATCAGATCGAGAAAAATTACGCATTCAGCCCGTCAAAATTTTCCCAGAGTTGCACACGGTGGCCACTGTCGCTGTGTTTTCGTCAAGACCACCGCCAATTCGCCCAACCCGCGCGTTCCAAACCGTCTCCGCACGCCCTGACCCGACCCTGCGTCTTGCAACTACACGCCCGCGCCAGTCCATCAACCATCGCCCTCGTCGACGCCATCCCCCTACGTGCTTTGGAAGGGCTGTAATCCCATACATTACGCCTCGCATTTCGCGACTCGACGTCGCCGTCGACATCTTCCCTCCGCTCCTGTCAACAAACTGGTTGCTGCGCGCCGACACTGATACCCCACCACAGCTTGATCCGTGGCACACGCCAAACTAGCTAGCACAACAAGATGAAGCGCTTCGGCCAGAAGATGGTATGTTATGCTGATGCTATAATATTTAGACAGTGCTTGTGTGACGAGTGTATGCTAACCAGCGTGGCATCAGCTCTCCCGCGGCAAGGATGCCAAGGGATCTAAGAAGAGTAAAGACGGCAAGGACGGCGCTGCTTCGCCCTCTGGACGAGACTCTTCCAATCAGTCACCCGTGTTGACTCCCACTTCATCATCGACAACTCTCGTTGACATCCGAAACAAGCCCTTGCCACCCAATTCGTTAGACCACAACAATGCCCCCGCGGCTCAGGCTGGCGTAGACCGATTCGGCTCCGCCAGTCCCAACGGCTCCAGCGCGAGAGGGCCTCCTGCAGTTGTCATCACCCCAACACCAGGCGTAAGTAATTTAACAAGGCGATGAAATCCTGTGAAACTGTGCTGACACAGGCTCCTAGCATATCCCCCCACCTGGCGCTGCCGAGACTATGCCCCAAGATCTTCAGCCCCCGACGAAATCTGGTCAGAAGCCACACCTCTTGCATCGCGGTATCGACAACCGCGATGCTATTCCCGAAGGCCTTCGAACACCAAAGCGCCAGCATTCCTCTCGATTCGATATCTCCGCTAACCGCGACCTGGAGAAGCTGCCTGGTTTCCATGAGGTCCCGCCGAACCGACGCCAAGATCTCTTCATGCAAAAGATTGAGCAATGTAATGTCATTTTCGACTTCAATGACGCCAGCGGCGACATGAAATCGAAAGAAATCAAGAGACTTGCCTTGCACGAGTTGCTCGATTATGTGGCGAATAACAGACAGGTCATTACCGAACCCATGTACCCCAAGGTAGTGGAGATGTTCAGCAAGAATCTCTTTCGTCCAATTCCCCCGCCAATTAACCCACAGGGAGAAGCTTTTGATCCTGAGGAGGATGAACCCGTTTTGGAGGTCGCCTGGCCACATATCCAGGTCGTTTATGAATTCTTCCTACGCTTCATCGAGAGCCAGGATTTCAACACCAACATCGCCAAGGCGTATATTGACCACAGCTTCGTCTTGCAACTCCTAGACCTCTTTGATTCTGAGGACCCCAGAGAAAGAGACTTCTTGAAGACAACCCTTCATCGAATCTACGGCAAGTTCCTCAACTTGCGTTCATTCATCCGACGATCTATCAACAACGTCTTCTTCCAATTCACTTATGAAACGGAGAGATTCAACGGTATCGCTGAGCTTCTTGAGATTCTCGGCTCCATTATCAATGGCTTTGCTCTCCCCTTGAAGGAAGAACACAAAATCTTCCTCACCCGTGTTCTGCTACCATTGCACAAGCCCAAGAGTCTGAGCATGTACCACCCACAACTTGCGTACTGTATTGTCCAGTTTCTTGAAAAGGACGCGTCCCTAACCGAAGATGTTTGTTTTTACCTCCAATTCCATGATTATGTCTTGCCAACTAACCACGATTTAGGTTGTTCTGGGTCTGCTCAGATATTGGCCCAAGGTTAATAGCACCAAGGAAGTTATGTTCCTCAACGAAGTAGAGGACATTTTCGAGGTTATGGACCCTGCGGAATTCGCCAAGGTGCAGGAGCCTCTCTTCCACCAGCTTGCCAAGTCGGTAGCTAGCCCTCACTTCCAGGTTGCTGAACGAGCGCTGTACTTTTGGAACAACGAATACTTTTGCAACCTCGTCAGCGATAACGTGGAAATCATCCTCCCAATCATGTTTGCCCCTCTGTACGAGAACTCCAAGGGCCACTGGAACAGGTATGTTTTATCCCACTCTTGCTACTATATTTTTCGTGCTAACAAGCTACACAGGACCATCCATGGCATGGTTTATAACGCTATGAAACTGTTCATGGAGATTAACCCCCAGCTTTTCGACGACTGTTCCCACGAATACACTGAGCAGCAGAACACTGCTGCTGAGCGTGAAGCAATTCGCGAGCAAAAATGGGCAGTACTTGGCGAGCAGGCCAAGGAGCGTCGTGCGTCGATGACAGAGGCTGATAACGCCGCTCGCCCTCAAGTCAACCCCCTCCCACGTCTCGAAGAAATCGACCCTTCCGCAGATGACAACCAGAAGCGTTTGGATTCTCTTCGCTTACAAGATGCTGCCGGCCGCAAGTCCGGGGGCCATGAAAGGCAGGCTTCAACATCCTCTGTCAAAAGCCGTTGATTTTGAAATATCATGAGCGCAGTCTTCGATGGACTGAATATACTCTTCGTCGTATTTCTACCGGATAGCGCATCGCATCGCACTAGAAGCACTTATTGTTTACTCGTTTACGTTTGTTTTCTTCTCTTCATGCATATAACAGATCCAATCTTACCAATTGTCTGCGATGACGGTCGGCAGCCGCCATAACGGGATTTGCCGCTTGTGAAAAAGCCGCTGGAGCACCATGACGATGCCTGACACGCATCACTAAGGGCCTAGAGGCATCAGAGCTACAAGAGGTTCGTCAACCACGAAACTTCATTCTTCGGAACGGGTGGCCGTCGGCGACGGGTATGAGCCGCAAAATAGGTTGGGATACTGGCAGGGGACCACGCTATGGGGAAAAGTACATGTCAGAAGCATGTGGCAGCTATGAATTGTGATTTCTTTTTAAACTTGCAGATGCTTTTGAAACGTAATCTTGTGCTTTAGTGGTATGTTTTATTCATCGTTCCATCGTAAATATGTGGCTGTAACTTCATTGTCTATACCCTCCTTGACGCCTGACTTGGCCGCGCCCACGATTATTCTCACCCATCTGATGATTGCTACGATCGGTTCTATCCGTATGCTGCATTTGCATTGGCACTGGAGGGGGGGGAGGAGGAAGGGGTGCCCCAGCAGTTCCCCAGGCCGCCATCATCTGCGCCATCATGCCTGGGTCAGGAACCCAGTTTGGCGGTGGTGGTGGTGGAGGCCAGGAATTTTGGAAAGGTTGGGTATTGGTAGGTAGACCGGGATAGAGCGCTGGGACGGTTTGCCCGGTTGGGTTGGAGAATCGGACCGGCGAGACTGATCTTGATGCCGAGCGACTATACGATCTCTGGCGTTTGCGCGTGTGGTCAGGCGAGGCATTGCGCCGCCGAGGGCTATTGGGGCTACTGCGCCGTGCAGAAGTTGATCTTCTTCGTTTTCTCTGCGGAGAGTAGCTCCGGGATCGTGAACGCGAAGACATGGAGGACATGGAACGGGAGCGTGGCCGGCCTGCATCTGGGATGGACTTCCCCCGTGCCTTGTTCTGTCGAGCCTTCATGCGCTCACAAAACGGTCGCGACCAGCCATAGTATGTCTCGCCTGCAATGACTTGACCACTGACAGCATCTAGTATAATTCTTTCTCCGAGCTCATTGACGTCTGTCACTTCGTCGGAACTGTCCTTGTCATCTTGGCCGTTGTACAACCTGTTGGCCTTGCGAAGCAGCTGCTGTACAGCGTCGACGACTGCCTTGTCGGCTGGACCAGCTGTCATTTGGATTGGCTGGATCAAATGCGGGAACATCGGCCGTGTAGAATTAGGTGTTAAATGAGGCAGCCAGGTCGAGGCTGGCAGATCGTACCATGGAGTTGTCGAGCTACCGTGGACAGAGGGGAGAACAAATGGCATGTCTTTGGCGATCTTGAGAGAGCTGGTGGGTGCTGCCTCTGTCAGTTCAATGGACGTTATATGTCCTTTAGCAATAGCCTGTAGCTTTTGCATCGTCGCAGAATCGAAGTAGTCTGCCGCCTCCCATAGCGAGAGCAGCATGTCGATTTTTGCAGCATGCTTTGGGCTGTTCTCGAAGCCAACCGTTTGGACCAGGATACTTGGCAGAGCATCCTTCCAGCTGCTGGCAAAATGCGCATTTCGCTGTCTTGCAATTGAGTGATGGAATACATCACTCAGGATATAGAGGATATGTAGTCGTCGTCGCTTTAAGCTGGGCTTCGTGTCGGAGTCGGACTGGGTTCTAGCTAAGGCGACGGCGTACTTGGCGAGCGCGTTGGATCTCGAAGCGGATGGCGCAATGTGGCGACAGATCAATTGCTTGCACTTCTATAAGAGGACACACAGGAGCAATGTTTAGTGGGGTTGTGAACCAAGGAGCGCATGTTGTGACTGCGGGTTTATGGGTTGTTCAAACCTGGACGTTGGGACGCGAGCAAACGGCGAGCGTCGCATCAATGCTGGCGAAAATGCTGTCGACGTCTTCGCGCGAGACTGACTCGGGATCTGCGCGGAAGAGAGCTGCAGAAAGAGCCGCCTTGGCAATTACAAGCTCGGGCGTAGCCATTTGTTGTGGCGGCGATGACGGCACGACGGATGTGCACTGGTTGTTAACGTGGATGCAGCGGCTACGTTCTACGAACCATGTGTTTGGCTGTGGTGGGCTTGGTGGGCATGGGCGTGGTTCCCGAACCATAGCGTCCGTCAGCAAAGCAAAAATCTTCGTATAAAATTGAGCAAGCTGATTTGTTTTGAAATACTTTTCATTTTTAAACTTGATCAGATTATAGTTTTATTTGCCAAAAATGCATATTCATTAACAGTTGCATTTCGCCAAAGACTCTGGCTTCCTTTTCAGTTCATCTATAGTGTACAGGTACGGTTGCTTCCTATTCGCAACCAATACGTCTCCATCACAGTATCTTTTCATTCTCTGTATGTTGGGGCTACGAAAACCGATCACCTTTTTGTGACCTGTATGTTTCGGCACCCTCGTATTTGCTTGGAGTGCGGCGCGGTGCCTGTGGTTGCGCATTTTCCTCGCCTTCAGGAGAGCCATATTCTAACTCGCGGTTGGCCTGTCGCTTGAGCCGGAGAGCCTCTAACTTGTTCTTTCGGTCGGCATTGATCTCTTGCTTGGCAAAGTAGTATGCGCCAGCACCGGCTAGAGAGGAAGTTAGTAAATAGTCACCGATGTAGCAGATGTTGGGAAGTAGCCCTACCGACGCAGACAGACCCCCAGCCGATCCTATACAGTATCATCGCTGTTAGTATTTATGACAATCTGAAATATCTAGGCTTCCGTTAAGGATTAACTAACCAGAAGGAGCGAACCTAGATAGTCATATAGATGTTAGTTTCTACATCGCGGGAAATAAAAATAACGACAGAGGCATAGGGACGAACGGTGTTCATTTTGAGAGGTATTCGCAGGCGAGAATTGGACACGAAAATATAGATATGTCGACTTCCAAGAAGTGAAAGATGCTGATTATCTGACCAGACCTTTCTGTGTTGTGGTGGCGGGCTGATTGGGCTTTGCGACGTTCTACTGCTAGAGTCGAAGTCGTCACCGCGATGGGAAATTCAGTCGGCAGCGAGTTCCGTTGTAGCGGGTCGCCGCGGCTGTGGGCCGTGGATGGCCTGATAGTGTTGGTTTATGCGGGTTGGCGGTGTTACGTGTGGATCTCGTTGCACACTTACGTGGTTAAGAGGAAGTATAAATGAAACGGAACAAATATTTGACGATATGGCTGTTTTCTTGTTTGAGAGCTGCCAAATGAGATGTATCAACGTGAACAGAAAAGGGCTCATATTTGGTCAAATAGCATGTGCAGATTTGAGAGTTTCCCCGCTGTATGTACGCTAATTACGTATTGTCACTTTACATCATCCGCCAACAAATCACAACTGAGCGCTACGTTGCTCTGCCTTGGTGCTCGATATATCTGCGCTTAGTGAAAAGCCATCAAAACCATCAACTCTACAAAGAACACTACCGCAGCATGCCTCCTGTCTGCCAGAACCCAGAACGCTGGTACTCTACACAACAACCTCAGCGTACCTCCCACACAGCGCGCCAAACAAGCATAACAGAAACCATGCCCAAACAGATTCCAAATGAAGTCGTTTATGCTCGAGAGTTTTTTGTTTAAGAGACTTCAGCCCATCAAACGGTCGTCGCAGCACTACTTCGACAAGAATGACTTGCACCGATTTGGCGTGTCTGTGCAAGAGCTCAACTTCGACACAGGACGGCTAACCAACAACACATACCCACCTCTACTCGAGTTGCCACATAACGAAAGAGTTAAAGCAGCTATATATTCTATCAAGCCGTGGAAGTACGATGGCTGGGATGAGCCTAACGACCTGCCACGTCGGTATCGCCACGGCGAGGCCCGCCCAACTAACCACTGTACAGAAACGTACTATGATGATCCTATTGAATTCTATCGCGAATCTGGGATGCTGTCCGACTTTATCGACGGCTACCTATCGTGCCCACGAAGCAAGACAGACCCAGACTGCGTTCAGAGAATCTCGACATGGGACCAATGCCTGTATGTGTATTTTGCTAAGACATGTCGCGCCCGGTGCCACTTGCTTACGTTTGGTTAAAATAATAGTACGGATTACGGCCTACGCAACTCCCTCAGAGGTTACGAGCAAGGCGGCTACATGTGGTGTCTGCAAAAGCTCTATCACCCTTTCGTTCCTAATACAGCGTGCGTGGTAGATCCTTATCAGCCACATGCTGGGTGCCACTTGGTTGACAACACGCCCAAGAAAGAAGGCACGCTCAGAGCCAGTGAGCTGAAAACTATATGTATGGTGGCTGTCGTAAGTCACCATATGCCCGAGTTCAACCACCTGCCTACATATTCAGTAAGTCGCATCATATCCATGCTGCAAGAGAATATCGGCTGACCTGCCTCTAGGTTACCGTTATATCGATATTCGATCGTCAGCTGCGCATCATTCAAGCCACTGTAGACTTCAAAGAGTTGACCTTTGCCGCGCTGTACACCATGGATGCACTTTGAACGGTGCCTCGCTCCTGGGCAGGAGAGATTTGATGACTTTGTAACACTTTTGGGATACCACATGGCTGTTGTTCGTTGAACATCTTTGGTATGATGCTATGTGGTTTCGCGAGCTGTTCTGTTGCATTTCTGGCGTTTGGCATTGGGCGCTATTATTCAAGGAAATTATTGCTCTAATCTATATTCTCGAGTGATCTGATACCGACCACTTCGCCATTCTGTCCCTTTCTGTAACACTGGGCGTTGTAGGTTAGTGCGGCTTGGGGCTACTGGCAACAGTGGATCCTGCCGTGCTGCAGGGCATATGCAGGACGCGCAAGCAATGCATACGGAGACAAGAATGTAAGTTAAAATTAGGTTGAAATTCTGCCAGTGCATGCAACTTGCAAAACTTTGTCTCATACACTGGAAAAACATGCAAACTTTAATTTCTTCCTACAAATTGGCAGTAGACTGCCCCTGTTCTTTTCTCGTATCAAGCCTTGGTGTCCTCGTTTGTCCACAGACTAGCCTCATTACTTGTCTTCAGGGTCCCCGCCGCCCAGACGTCAACGCTAAAACGGTGCCCGCCTCTGCCGCGCGCTCCACCATCCACGACAACCCCTCTACCTGCTCCAACAACTCTCTGCTTGCAACTACTGCCCGGCGTCCTACCACCAACACAACGCCGAACCGCATATTGTGCGCTGGTATTACGGTTCCTATATATCAAATTAAATCAGCAAACTACATGAGCCGTGGACATGACCCCTGCTATCCTTCGTCTATGAGCTAAGCGTTGTTGTCTCTGGACTATCGTTCCCTACCATGGAATCGACCAAATCTGACGGGCCGGATGGCTCTTCCATTGTGCGCTAGATAACTCATAGAAGTAATATGGCGGACACATGCTAATAGTTAAACAGCGGCCGGTATCCTCCCTCCTCGCAAGATTCGAGACGCTCAACATCGCACAACCCTCAACACCATCATCCCCGCGGCAGATCTCGCCTGCTCATACGTCACAGAAACCGACCATTTCAGACAAACATGCAACGTTGGACTCGCAGACAAACAACAGCATCTCGGCTGCTAAGCCGCCGCCACCCAAACCTCCAGCCTTGAAACCGAAACCTGTGGTTAAGCCGAAACCACTCTCAATGCAACAGGACCCTCCTCCAATACCCCAATCTACCAAACCGAATGTTTCCAAGATTACCACAACTAGCAACTCGACTACTCCTGCAGTTAACATCTTGCCCCCACAATCGCCACCAAAGAAGGCACCGTTAGCGATTGCTGGAGATCGGTCGCCCTTCCTCGATGCATCCGCAATCCCTGACAACTTTCCTGCGCCTCGATCTCCTTCGCCGCTTAGTGTAGGTAGCCGACCACTTTCGCCATCGCCCATGGCGAATGGTTTGTACTCAACCAGGTCATCTCGAGCACATTCGCCCAAACCGCCTTCTCCTCCTCCACCTCGACGGTCCCTTGACACTAGACGAGACCGAGACTCCAAACCACCAGTCCTCCCACTATCGTCAACCAAGCCCAACTTGGCCCCAAATACTTCCTCAGCATCGCAAGCTACTGGCCATCACCGAATAGGGGTGCCTGCAGAAGTGTCTCCATTTACGAGTCCACCTAGCAGTCCCGAATCCGAAGCCGAAACCCCACCACAACTACCTACTCGACCACGACCACCGTCCCAGAGCGATGCTGCTGTTACCGGTCGACCGAGAAACGATATATATGGACCTCCACCTACACATCATGCTGTACTAGCTAGAAGGAGAGATGATGATGCAAGAGGTCGAGCTGCACAAGATGAGCCACCAAGACCACTCCTCCCAGCCCGGCGACAAACTCATGATGTTGTTCCAGTGCGCACAAAGCAGGCACTTGAGCAAAGCTCACCTGCACGGCTGCCACGCGCAACACCTCAACACGCCAGCACAGCTTCGGTTCAAATTCGGCGAAATAATCAGCTTGCAACGTCGCTGAATTCTACTCAGAACTTTCTTCCACCACCGACCCGCACTCATACAAGGTCAAAGACACTGGAAACCGGTGTCAGTGAGACCTCTATATCTGCCATAAATAGCCAGGAACCGAAATCAAACGGGTCTTCACAAGGATCTGCTCTGGCCGACATCTCCAACATGAACCGCAAACCCCCATTTATAAAGCGTGGCTGTTATGAGATACAGACCAAATATGAGCCCAAGCGAATCGATATCTGCGGAGATATTGTTTCGAGCTGTGGCCATTTCACGAGAGCCTGGAATGTAGCAGAAAGTGAACAACTCACCAGCCTTGCTCACACTGAGGGTGTCAAGGCAACCGCTATCTGTTTTAAACCATGTTCCAATCCGGACAATGAAGGCAAAAAGCTTTGGATTGGTACAAACAGCGGTGATATTATGGAAATTGACGTTATGCTTGGCCGCATCACTGCCATACAAGAGAGCATTCACGGAAAATCCGAAGTCGTGCGCATTCATCGATATTATAATGAGCTATGGACGCTAGATGAAGCCGGCAATCTCCTTATATGGGGTCCAGACTCAGATGGTATGCCGAATCTTAACAAAGGCCCGACACAGACATACAAGGTACCAAAGGGGCATTCATTTTCCATTGTCGTCGAAGGCGAGTTATGGTATGCTGCTGGTCGTGTGATCCGCGTGTTCGAGCCTTCTCTGGATGGGTCTGGCAACTTCCAAGTTCTCATAAAGCCTTTAACGGTTGATGGAGCTGGAGATATCAATGCTGGAGCCGTGTTTCCAGCACAGCAGAATCGGCTTTATTTTGGACACAACGACGGCCGAATCAGTATATTTTCGACAACAGACTATGCCTGTGAGAAGATCATACATATTAGTGGTTGGAGGATCAACTCCATGGCTGCCGTGGAACATGATCTGTGGATTGGCCATAATACGGGAAAGATTTGCATCTATGACACGCAAAAGCCGACGTGGATGTTGAAAAAAGAATGGCAGGCACATGACAGCACAGTCCACCAAGTCAAATATGATCCTTCAAGTGCATATCTGCAAAATTCTTCCCAAGTAGCCTCCGTCGGTGGTGATGGGAAAATCAAGATCTGGGATGCGCTTTTACAAGACGACTATTTAGAGAAAGAATTGCGACTCAAGGAAGCGTCACATTGTTCCTTTGATGAAATCAGTGCTCTAGTTATGACTTGGAACGCCGGTGCATCAACGCCTCATAGTCTCCGCTACTCTGAGAGTGATTCCTCATTCTTCCGCGATCTGCTGCAATCGAGTGGCTCTCCAGATATCCTTGTCTTTGGCTTTCAAGAGCTCGTGGACCTTGAGGATAAAACAGCTACCGCAAAGCGGTTCCTCAAGTCTAAAAAGCGAGATGGTGCTGATGGCGACCACATGAGCCATCAGTATCGTGATTGGCGTGACTTCCTTCTCAAGTCGCTCGACGATTATATGCCGGCAACAGATCTATATCATCTCTTATACAATGCTCCACTTGTTGGTCTTTTTACCTGTATATTCGTCAAATCGTCGTTACAAGGACGCATCAGGAACCTCCATGGAGCTGAAGTAAAGCGAGGTATGGGCGGATTACACGGTAATAAGGGCGCGATTGCGGTACGATTTCAAATCGATAATACCTCGCTTTGCTTTGTCAACTGCCATTTGGCTGCGGGACAGTCACAAACCAACTCGCGCCATGGCGATATTGCCGCAATTCTGGAAGCCAATTTATTTCCTGTCGAACGCGATCCTCAACGGCGACTTGATACCTTTATCTGCGGAGGAGATGGAGGCATGATTGTTGATCATGAATCGTGCATTATTAATGGCGACTTGAATTATCGCATTGACACAATGTCTAGAGACACTGTTGTGAAAGCCATTCAATCGTCAAATCTTCCAAAGCTGCTCGAACGTGATCAACTGCTAGCCGCACGCCGCAAGAATCCCGCCTTTCGACTGCGAGCTTTCAATGAGCTACCAATTAACTTTAATCCTACATATAAGTACGATGTCGGCACCGATACCTATGATACAAGCGAGAAGAGGCGAAGTCCGGCCTGGTGTGACCGTCTGCTTTATCGCGGACATGGCACGATCACGCAAGTTGACTATAAGAGACATGAGGTACGAGTTAGTGACCATCGGCCCGTTACTGGATCATTTCGTATCCGAACCAAGAGGGTGGATGCAAACGCAAGGTCGGTGACATGGGCTGAATGCCAGCAACGGTTCGAGAAATATCGGCGACAACAGCTGGCGGCAGCACGGTAGGCCGAATACTATTTAATGTCAAGTCAATTACTCTACTAACGGGCTACAGGACACATTATCTTGAAAATGTATGCGGATTTGACGAAAAAGCTAGTCAGCGACTTATCAAAGCTCGCCTTTCGAACAAGTAATACACAAGGAAGAGGAATAGACTTGGCGCACATTCGGTTTTCTTTTGCGGATTTTGTGATATATAGAAGAGGCAAGGGAGCATATACACTGAGGCTCTAGAGATGGACTATTAAAATATGATGACTTTATGAACTAATGTGATACATATTCACTGGAAGTGATTTATTGAATACTTGATCTCGGTAGGCGCCATCGGTGATTTGCCTGGATCGTGGTAGATAAAATCCTCGGAAGTGACCAGTGAATAAAATAACTAACAACTTGTTTGGATGAGGTATAAAAGTCAGTCGACGATTACATTAACGTTATATTTCTAATTTAAAAATAAACAAATCTACAGATAAAAATGACAAAGTTTGATTTCATTATACTGGTTCAATGTTTGCTATTGTCTCATCTCGGCAGTCCGAAAGTGGCTATTCGGCTTTGGCTAATCGATAGCTTTTGCTGGGCCGTCATCTTCAAACAAGGATGCTCTTCATCACGTTGTCTATTACCTTCTGACACAACCGACCATCCCCTCCTTATACCAATTAGATTTGTTGTTTTCAATAATAAAATCTACCAACCTTCACTATGGGCTCCAAAGACGAGAAGCCGTCAACAGGCACCCCGAGAAAAACACCACTCGAAAACCCGACCCCTGACAGCAAGCCACTGCCCAAGCCAGAGCTCACCAGTGAACAGACGACCAAATTCGACAAGCTTCTAGAGACAGTTAAGACATGGACCGATGTTACTTGTGAAAAGGAAAAAGACAAGTCTGGCCCATTGCAAGATCGCGAAAAGGCATGGCTTACAAAAGAATGCCTGTTGCGCTACCTGCGTGCTACAAAGTGGAACGTTGACGATGCAGCCAAGCGCCTCCAGTCGACACTCTCATGGCGCCGCGAGTACGGCCTCGACGACTTCACGCCCGAATATATCTCCCCCGAACAAGAAACAGGCAAGCAAATCATTGTTGGCTTCGACAAGCAGGGCCGTCCGTGCCAGTACCTCAACCCTGGCCGCCAGAACACCGACGCCAGTCCGCGCCAGATTCAGCACCTGTTCTACATGGTAGAGCGTGTTACTGATATGATGCCCGCCGGTGTCGAGATGCTCAGTCTCATGATCAACTTCAAGCCCAGCAAGCACCGCCAAAACACCAGCGTGCCCATCTCCATGGCCCGCGAGGTCCTACACATCCTGCAGAACCACTACCCAGAGCGCCTGGGCAAAGCTCTCATTATCAATGGTAAGTCACGCATCATGCAAATATCATTTTGGTAATACAGTCGCTAATCCATATCCCACCACGATAGTTCCTTGGATCGTATGGGGCTTCTTCAAAATCATCACGCCCTTCATCGACCCCGTCACCCGCGAGAAGCTCAAGTTCAACGAAGACATGCGCCAGTATGTACCGGCCGAGCAGCTCTGGAGTCTTGACTGGAACGGCGACATGGACTTTGATTACGACCACGAGACTTACTGGCCTGCTCTGAACGACATGTGCAAGAAGCGCAGGGAGGACAAGCTTGCGCGCTGGCTAGCGGCCGGCAGTGTCCTAGGCGAGTCGGAGGAGTATCTTGCCGGAGGCACAAGCACAAGCATTTCCGGATTCACGTATGCGCCTGGACAGACGACTAAGGATGCTGATGTTGAGCAATTGCGCGAGAAGCTGGAAACCACCGAACTTGCGGCATCTGACGAGGCGCCAGCAGTTGCAGCAGAGACGCCTGTCGCTGCATAGAGCTACGATGGCTTCGCTTTGTTGATAGAAATATCACCATCTACCCTGGCTTCTGTATGATACATTACTTGAATTTACATGGATCAGACACCAAAAGTTACACCAGCACGCATAATACTAATAAACCTTGTTTTCTTGATTTTGAACGGAATATAATAGCTAAAACAAACCTGAAAAAAAGTGAAACCAAAGATGGACTAAACGTCATCCTAATAAACAAGATGCAACCAGCCCTATTTAAGCAACCCGACCGTGGAGCTGACTGTTTTCTTCACGCAAGTTCTTCAATTGGCGTTCAAATTCCTTGGAAACCCACTCCCAGTACCCTTGCCACACACCAACGGTTGCAGTATTGCTCGTAGCAGCACCGGCATTTCCAGTTGTTGCCTTCATCTTGTCACCGAGCAGCATGGTCACCCGGAGAATACTATTGCGGGCTTCTTCCTGCTTTTCAATATCTTGCTTGACCGCATTGTCTTTAAGCTTGATGGACAACACGCCGCGATAGGCCTCGGCGATCGAGTCGAGGCGTCGAGCTGTCTCGTCTGCATCCAAAGTGATCAGTTTGGTCACCATGAGGTTACAGAGCTGTCGAATGTCGTTTTCGTCCTTGAGACCAGCCACCACGCGGTCATAAAAGTCAATATTGTTGATTCGCGTAAAGGCAGTCTCCATCAAGGCATACAACGTCTCATATGCACTCTTGCGGACTTCTAGGCCATCATCCACAGTGTGCTTAAAGGGACCAAGCATGACCTCGCGCACAAGTTCTTGCTTGATGACCGACTCTTGGAGCACAAAGGGCATAAGGCTGTTCAAGGATGGAAGGATAAAGTCGGGCTTGTTGTGTGCTGCCGAGTTCAGTGTCGTCATTGCCAGACGGCGAATCTCCATATCTGAATCTTGCAGCATGGTCAAAAGCATATCGACAAGAACATTCTTCAGCATGCTGTCAAAGTTTTCGTCATGCTCAGGAAGCGTGTAGCGCACAGCCTGCACGGCCATACCACGGATGCTCTGGGACTCATCCTGCAGGAGAGTTTGCAATTTTGGAATGAAGACGGTAGGGTCTAATGTAGCAAGGCGGCCAATGCATTCTGCAGATACAACCTTGTTATCAGCGTTACTGGAGGCTTGAAGCAGCTGGTCCCATATCAGAGTCGCATATTCCCGCATGTCCGTAGATTGACTTGATACAGACTGCAGGATCTCTTTGATGGACTGAATCAACAAGTATTGCACACTACCACCTCTCTTCATGGAGTCAAGAATGACGGGCAAGAACTTCGGCACGTTTCCGGAGCCGGAACGTCCCAATGCGGTAGCAGCTGCCAATGATATTTTATCTGGTTCGGCGTGGAATTGCTTGAGGAATAGTTCCGGCTCAAGAGGAGACTGTGCGCCTAATCGCATACCGGCTTCGCCAAGAATAGCAAGAGCAAGACAGACGCGACTTTCATCACCGCTTTGCGTGCTGCTGTTAAGCTCGGTCACAAAGCTGTCAAGAGATATGTTTGAGCTACCACCGCCAGTAACAAGAAGAGTGCCAATGACTTTGCCAACCACAGATGGATCACCCGCAACGCTCACATTCTTGAGCATACCATCCATCAATGGGCCACCTGAGCCACTTTGCCCAACATTGTTGACAAATTCAAGTAGCTGGTCGAGAACGATGCTGGCGAGATGAGACTTCAACAGCTCGCATACAGCCTGTACCATCTCGTCTGTTACAACGAGCTGCGCGTGGGTTCTCACAAAGTTGGCCAAGATGATGAGAGATGGGCCGAGCAGATAGGTATCGCTGTTCGTAATAGCAGGCATCAATGATGGGACAATCTGCTCAACAGTGGCTGCATCAAACAAGTCCTTGGCAGCACCACACAGAATCAGATGTTTTAGTGCCACAACACTGGAACCCCTAAGCGATCTGTTGGCCTTACGGAGCTGCGCGGCCAATTCGATGGCAACATCCTGGACCCAGTCCTTGCTAAGCTGGCCAACAGTAGTGGCAAAAATTGCGATATTATCCACAGCGCGAACTGCAGCAAGCCTAGTAGTCTCATTCTTGAGCCTTTCTCGTAGTAGGGCTAGTGCCTTTTCGCGCATATCAGAAGCCAAGAGAGCAGTTCCGTCTGCAGACGACGTTCGTGCTATCAGAATTCCCAAGCCATGAATGGCTCGCTGGCGGACTTCTGCATCAGCATCGGTCGCTGCAGCACGCTCAAGGATAGTGTCATATAGCTTTTCCAACTCTTCTTTATGTTTTGTGCCAGCTCCACGAGAGCGAGGGGGTGTAATAGCCTTAACAAGCTCCTCTGAAGTACGGAGTGCTTCGCTGGATATCTTGTAGAATCGGTCACGCACAGCAGCGGTGACACCACCGACAACCTTCGGAAGATAAGGCTGCAGGGTTGCCGATGGATGTGTTCGCGATATGTCACTCAGTAGACGAAGTGCCGCTTGTCTAAGAGAGCTAGGGGTAGCAGAGGCGGTACCTCCGCTAGTAGTAAGAGAAGTCGATACTGATCCAGAGCCAGCTGGTTTCACAGCGTCCATAATCAATGCAATCAAATCAGGGAGATATTCGGCCAGACCGCCACGCTGGACGGAGACCATGTCATCCAAAAGACCTAGAATAGCCTGCTTGGTGGGCACAGTTTTGCCCTTCAGCTGTTTGGTAGCCGCCTTCACAATTGTTGGCGTAAGTCTAGTGAGATCTGCTCGTGGTCCATGTGTTGGTGCCTTCTCTAGTACGGGAGAAGACAATCCAGTTCCAGACATGAAGGCAGAGACACTAGACGAGCCACCGCTGCTCTGTCTTCTTCTCTTGCGACTGATGGGCAATTGACTGGTAACATCGGATTCGAATTCGTCGAAAGGCAGCTCAGTTGAATGTAATCCCTCGCCAGTCTTTCGAACCAGGAGAGAGAGTGCAGATATAATTTCTAATCTGACATTCTCCTCCCTTTCATCGATTCGCTTCACTAATGACGGGGCAGCCTGGTTGTAAAGAACTCCAGCTTCAAGCAAGTCACCACTGCCTCTGGTCGAAATAAGGGTATAGAGCGCCTTTGCGGCACATCGTCGCACTTTCCAGCTTGCATCGTCGTCATCATCTTCGAAACCATCATCCGCATCAAATTCGTCATCGTCATCGTCCTCATCTTCGTCGTCGTCTTCCTCCATCTCCTCATCTTCATCGACGGCATAATTGGGATCGTATTTCAGATATCGTAGCGTGCAGTCAAGAACTTCGTCGGTAAAATCACGCATTTCTTGGGGGCATGATGCTAAGAATGCTTCAAGAGCGACGAGCGAAGCTTCTCGGGCTTCATTGAATTCTAGACCGAGATCGTCACCCTCGCTCAATTTCTCCATATGCTGATCCAATTCATCCTCTGAGAGAGCTTGGAGCACTAATGGAACGACTTGCTTCAAGTGGTGACCAAAGCGTCTTGGAATTGACCTTGCCATACTTCCCACAATGGAAATGTATAGTCGGCGAGTGACTTGGTTCCCATTGGGTCTAGAGAGGGCAGTAGCCAGGCGTGTAACAACTGCAGCCAAATGTTCATCTGTAAGGTACACTGCCAGCATCGAGATTGCAACAACAGACCGCTTTTTGACCACAGATGTCGCCTTGTCGCCTTCAAGCAGTTGAAGGACGACTTCCTGCATCGCCTCCACCTCGAGCTGCTCTAGCAACGGTCCATAGCATCGGACTACTTCAATCAGAACATCAACTGACTCGGCACTGATGTCGGGGCCCTCAAGCATGCCAGTTGGCGCAGACTTTGTAGCTGGTTGTAATTTGGATCCTTGGCCGATTAATCGTGGGATCAAAACTCGGCTGACAGCGCTGTATGCGGTGATGGTATCGGGGGAATTGGCTGCTCCTGGGATTGGTCGGGGAAGCGCTATCAATACATTGCGAAGTGCCAACGATGGAACCGCATTGTCGACGGAATTCTTGAGCTTGAGAGACGATAGTTTTTCGATCATCGGGCCAACAATGGCGGAAGGCACTTTTGCAACGAGAGGTCCGAGGCTAGATTGACGAAGGGATGTTAGAAAGATCTGCTATCATTTCATGTGCAAAGCCCAAAGTATTCTCACCATTTGATAGCCAAATTTTGGACTTCGCCGTTCTGGTCATCCAGTGTCTTAATAATGTTGTCGACTGTCCGAGCAGCCGTATTGAAGTCATGTTGGAGAAAGTCTGGCTTTGCAACGGTAAGAAGCTGTAACAAGTCATTCAGAGACATGAAGCGAAAGTCCGGGTCAGGATCTCCCAGCTTCGCCACCAGTGCTTGCACTGCCTGGGGCGTGGCACTGGTAGCTGTTGGAGGAGCAGCCATGGTAGTCGGTCGGCGGGGTGTAGTTCGGATCAGGCTGGACAAGGTAAGATGTTGTAGATAATCAGAGCATAACTATTTAGTGTAGTGTAGTTGATTGAGGATGCCCAGAGAAGATAGCAACTCTTGTAGTGGCAACAATGAGAGGTGAGGAAACAAGAGCTTCGTGAGGTGAAGCTGCCTGCAGGCGGGGCGAGATAGCGGGGGCGGTGTTTGTATAAATTCAGGCAGCTACCGCCCCGCAACCGTGAGGCCAGTCCTGACGTACGCGGGGCGAACGACAAACCAGATGCACTGTTGACAGAGGCTACGGAAGCTGTAAAAAAGCGATAATAAAAGGCTTAAAATAATCATTGATGTGCACTAGAATTTCCGGAATTCACAATATGGTACGTATATATGTCTGGCACGAGGTGTGACTCGTTGGACAGCTATTAACTTTACTACAGAATAAAGACAGCTGCTATACCTACGTACACATGCACCGCTCAGGCGACGTGGATCTGTTTGAAGATTTCTGTAAAGACAAGCTTCCAGACGATGAAATCTATGTACCTCATCAACACCAGCCTATTAACCCTGAAGATGAAGACGACGTCGTGCCAGATCAACATGCCGCGTTTGGCATTCAACGCGCGACACAACGCGTCAAGGAGCCGGCTTGGAAAGATCTTGGTCTTTCCGGATTAATGAGCCAAGGGCCTCCGAAAAATGGGAAGAAAAAGGGAGCTTCGTCTTCTAAAGCCCTTCCAAGATAAGGCTACGGCTGTATAGAAACATAGAAGCTTCTTCATACAGGCCAGAGCATGTCGGCCCGTACAGGCGGAGTATTTTCAAATCATATTAGCGAGGCGTTTGGGATGCGAATTTATATCGATGAAATGAGAGGCATTTATAGTCGCCATGTTTTTTTTAAATACCGGTTGCTTAGACTTTTACATCTCGGCTACCAAATACAGGCCCATAAACTCCTAAAACTCCAAACTAGCCACGGGGAATGTGCATATTTATCCGTATGTATCATGACTTTGCGAGATAAGCTTCTCTTTCGACCACCTCCTTGGCAAACTTGACCAGAAAGACAGTCTTGCCTGGCCACATCTCGCCCTCTCCAACAGTGTGTGCTGTGACTTTGGCCGGAAAGTCTGCACCGTCGCAGACTCCCTCCACGACGCCGGCCACGAAAGCGGCGCAGTTTAGTTGGCTCATTTCTTTCGGCACGCTGATGTATTGGTTCACCAGTGGTTCGTTGTCGATAATCATGTATTCTTCGGGCTTGTCGGCGTCGTTGGACTTTTCCAGTCTATCCGCTTGGCGGCCAAAGAGGTGGAGCCAAATGTTCTGTTTGATAAAGTGTAGTAGCTGGATGATACCGAGCGGTCGCAGTTGGGTTCGAGCTGGTTCTCTGTACATAAGCAGATCGAGCAGCTTCATGCCTATCGAATGGCCTTGGAGGTTCAACCTGGACAGAGGACGCATCTTGTTAGCGGGAGGAGCTTTAGGCCTCTCCATTGCAGATTTCGTACCTTTGCTCTAGCTCCTGGATACCCTTAACACGCTTCTGCGCATATGTCACCATTTCGCCAAAGAGATATGCAAAGCTGGCCTGGCTGAGCTCTCCTGTCTTCGTTCGGTTCAGCGGCCGATGGTAGATAGATTTCCCATTGCTGGGTAGCCGGAGCCCGGATTCTTTCACGACGCCTGGAACTTGTTGCGAATTGGACATGTTGGCAACGTAGAATACGGCGTTGGATGTGTCGTCGCATTACTATGGGTGCTGCTCAGCCAGCTCTGGGAGGTTTGGTGACGCCCCGCATCGTCATACTGGCCAATCACGACCGAGCCGAGGAAAGCTCACGACTTCGATCTTGCCGTGCGAGATATTGCAATTAAAAATACAGACAAATTCCTAACCTGTTAAGTTTATGTAGCGGAATTAATACCGTTGACATCCTATGAGGCGTGAGTCGTAGGAACATTAGCTAAGTAATGCGGTACTGATTGTCCAGCTGCACACAAACATACAGGCTAGCACAGTGGTGGCGTTTTAGTTCTGTACGGGCCTAACAACAGATCCCATCACAGTTTGGCGCGGGTGTTTCATGAGAGGGCGGCGCCTCCCGACCCCAGGTCGTCTGTTTCTTTCGAAAGCTTGTCTTCTCATTCTGTTCACTATTCTACACACCATTTTTGCATTGTATCCATCTTACAACCCACTAGACATTGTCCACTTACAGTGTTTTCCCTCCATCTTTTCGAGCTGTTAGCTGTCATCATGGATGTACTCTATACTACCAGCAGACTGGTTGGACGCTTCCTCACCAATGACAATACCTTTGGTCCTGTGAGCGAATCACTTGTGGATTTCACACTTGTTTTTGAAAACTGCATTCTTACTATCATTCCAACGTCCATAATCATCGCTGCCTGTCCGGTGTATGTGGCACACTACCAGAACGCAGCCCCGGTTGCTTCGCGCAATGATCAATTCCGGATCAAGACAGTTTGTTTTTATTTACCCTCGCGTAGTTTCTATTATGCTAATATAGGGTTCAGTTGTTTGCTGTTGCTCTTCTATCACTGGAAATAGCCAGATCCTGTCTCTACTTCCAAGTGCAGAGCGCTGATGGTTCACTCTTGGCTAACACGGCGATTGCTGCCATGACTGTTTCCTCCTTGGGTGCCCTAGCACTCCCGGTCCTTCTCTACTACAACCATGTTTATGCATTCCAGCCATCAGCTCTCATCAGTATTTACCTCTCGTTATCCGCATTATTGGATGGTGCGAAAGTTCGCAGCGATTTCTTGCGGCCATCTATGGGCGCCATAGGTGGCTTGACACTAACAGTGCTCGTAGTCAAAGTTATCCTTACGGTTATCCAAGAAATTCCAAAACCAGTGGATAAGACATTAAGAGGCACCGATAAACTAAATGGCGACGTCACGCTGGGCTTCTGGATCAAACTACTAATGTTTTGGATAAACTCTACGCTTTTCTACGGCTTCCGACATAGACTGACCATGGCTGAGCTGGGTGGACTTGGCCCGAGATTTGCATACCAAACTTTATCGGCAAAATTTGAGAAATACTGGGATAAAGGTAAGACAGTTGAATCACTAGTATTCGTGCGTATGCCTACTTACAAACTGCATAGCTAACAAGGACGACCCCCATGTTCTGGCAAAAACGTGCACTAGAGCATTGATCTGGCATCTTGTCGCAGCTGCAATACCAAGAATTGCAATTGCTGTCCTGTCCTACTTGCATGTTTTCCTATTACAGGCAGCCTTAGATTACCTTGGTAATCCCACAGCTTCCAGGGACGATGCTAACCTGCTGGTTGGAGCTACAGTACTTCTCTATTCTGGCTTAGCTGTAAGTTTCCTGCGGATTCACTTTTCAATTCTAGCTGTTTATATCAAACCCGGTATAATACTTACCACATTTATAGTTATCTACTGTGTTCTTCAGTTATCTTTCAAACAAGCTCGCTGTTCGTCTCCGTGGGATCTTGGCTTACCAGATTACGAAGAAGAACTTAAATCTGCCACAGTCAGCCGCACGAACAGCTGCTGCATTAACTCTCATAACAGCAGATATCAACGGCATACTAGACACAATTCGACAACTGTATGACATGTGGATTGGCTTGTTCGAATTGACCCTTGGATTCTATCTTTTATACACCATCGTCGGAGCTGCCTTCTTCCTCCCACTCGTACCTATTTTTGGTAAGATCAGTTATCCATGCATACAGTTTACCGAATTCGCTGACCTTGTAATATTAGTATCAACTCTCTTGGGATGGCATTTTGGCAAACAAGTCGGGCCAGCGTTGAGCAATTGGAATCTTAGTATTCAGAAACGCGTTTCCAAAACAGCTGGAGTTCTCTCTCAAATCAAGGCTATCAAGATGATCGGTTTAGAAAAGGTCATCACCGGCCTAGTTCAAAATCTACGCGAATCAGAAATCACCACCTCACAAGCGGTTCGAAAGATCAGAATCATCCTGGTCGCCTTCCGTAAGGATCCCAGATCACGCATAAGATAGACGGACTAACACTTTATAGTTCCACTGAACTACTGGTTTACACCTGCTGCCATTTTACTTGGTGGTATCTACTGGACCATCTGGCGCGACGGTCTGGAACCTACCTCTGTGTTTACAGTCCTTAACTTTGTTTGGCTTTTACGAAGCCCGATACACTATTTATTCCATGTATCAACCATCATAAGCGGACTTCTAGCCTGCTTGAATAGGATACAAACTTTTTTGAACCTCCCAGAGCGGCACGATCCAAGGGAGCTCCGAATACTCCGAGGGGCTGCGTCTTCCACCACGCTGGAAGGCAAAGAAAAGGGATTACAGGACGAGGATGCAAAGATGTCTACAATTGAAAAAGAAATGAGAGCCAGGTGTATCTCACTCACCAATGTATCTGTCGCCGCGCAGAACAATGACGGAGATGTGCTGAATGGACTAACACTCTCAATCCCAACTGCAAAGCTCACCATGGTCGTCGGTCCAGTTGGGTCTGGCAAAAGCGTCTTCCTAAAAACTGTTATCGGCGAAACAAAACTTCGAACGGGCAAAGTTCAAATAACGACTGCCGACATTGGATACTGCGATCAGAATGTCTGGCTCCCAAACCTCTCTCTCCAAGACAGTCACATCCAAATATCCAATGGATGAAGCGCGATACGTCCAGGTTATCAATGCTTGTGCCCTAGATCATGATATTACCCAGCTTGAACAAGGGAGTAAGACACTCATCGGGCCAAATGGCTCGAAATTGAGTGGTGGTCAGCGGCAGCGATTAGCACTTGCCAGAGCGCTCTATCCATTCACGCCAATTATTGTGTGTGATGATATTCTGAGTGCTTTAGATCGAACGACCACAGCCCGGCTGTTCATAAACGTATTCGGGCCAGAGGGTATCCTTAAAGCCCATGGTCGAACTGCTATTTTGGCTTCACATGCTGTTGAATGGGTGACCTTTGCCGATCAGGTCGTCGACGTAAGTCCACAGGGTACCGCACAGGTGTACAATGGCAGCGATGCTATTTCTCTTTATGCGCAGAGCGCAATTCCATCACATCACAATGCGCAAATACCTGGTAGGGCAGAAGCAGCGCCAGTGCCTGAAAATAAGGATCTCGAATATGCTTTGCAGGATACAAAAAATCCTGCGAGCAAAATGAACCGCTTACAGTACAGATATCTCTTCCAGGCTGTGCCACGTCGGCTAGTCGTTTTGTTCTGTGGTCTGATTGCGATGGTGGCATTTTTAGAAAAGTTTCCTGGTAAGACAGGAGCCGCTTCGGACTTTTGCGACGGCTTCGCTAACCTAAGAAAACAGAGCTTTATGTACGAATCTGGGTCGAGTTGGATGCTACTAATAGGAATCTGATATACGGCATGATTGGACTGGGATTCTTTGCGATTCTCATTAATGGTGCTGCTGCCTGGTGAGTAACGCGTGAGGTCGCTCGAAGACAATTAGACTTACAAGCCTAATAGGCTGTGGCAACTGGTTATTATGCCGAAAATTGCATCTAGCTTACATGCGGTATATCTATCAAAAGTGATGAGGTACGTATCCCAAGAAACTAGGAGCCATGATGTTAACACTCGTAGTTCTACTCTTCCATTCCTTACATGTACAAGCAGCGGTGTCCTATTAAACCGGTAGCGCCCCCGCCCAATATGTCGCTGGCGCCGTTTCCTCACTCTCTATTTAGATTCACTCAGGACATGAGCCTTCTAGCTCAAGAAATGCCAATGGCTCTCTACGGCACACTTTACTGTCAGTAAATCTCCTGGGGGCTAATAACAGAAAGCTCATTGTTCTTTTAGTATCGGGGATCATGTTGACAAATGTCGGTCTTATTGTCAGCGGAGCAGATTATGCGAGCTTGGTTATTCCCGCCATCTTCGTCATACTATATCTTCTCCAGGCGTTTTATCTCCGTACATCACGACAAATGCGATTACTTGACCTCGAAGCAAAGACGCCCCTATATGCCATCTTAACGGACACAATTGCAGGTCTTGAACATATCAGATTCTTTGGCTGGGATGCCCAAATTCTCGATGAAAGCTCACAGCTGCTTGACCACTCCCAGAAGTCCTTCTACTATATGATATCCATTCAAAGATGGCTATTGTTAGTTTTAGATCTTCTTGGTGTTGTAATAGCTACAGTGCTCATAACCACTTCCCTCATATATACGAATACTACGTCGCAGTCTGGGTTGGGACTCTCTCTGCTCAGTCTAGCACAGTTTAGCGCACTCAGCAAAGCGCTCATTGAGAAGTGGACCACTTTAGAGACTTCTCTTGGAGCAGTCATGCGTTTACAAGAATTCGCCATGAATACACCAAGTGAGAAAGATGACGATGATGTACAGCCAATGCCGGATGAATGGCCGTCTAAGGGTCAAGTTGAATTTAAATCCGTCACTAGCAAATACAGGTACGATGAATACGTTTCCTCCACTAACAACTGATTATGGAGCATAACTAACTTTTTCTTACGATCAATAGTCCACAACCTAACACGCCTCTAGCATTGGAAGGTATCTCCACTGTAATTGATGCCGGCCAAAATGTCGTCATTGTTGGGCGAACCGGAAGGTATTTACATATAGCAAACACACAGTCTGTATGTATATGCTAACGTTTGGCGTGATTAGTGGTAAGAGTAGTGTCATACTTACTTTACTCAACTTTCTAGAGATGAGTGGACAGATTCTAGTTGATGATGTTGACATTGCGAAGCTGCCAAAAGACGAACTCCGACGTGCTATTACTACTATACCTCAAGAACCAGTGGAGCTTCCCGGTTCTGTACTTAACAGCGTTTTATCATTCGATTTACTGAAACCGGAAGGCGAAGGTACACTTCATGATGTCGCAATTGAGGAAGTTCTCAGTGAACTTGGTCTCTTAGACCACGTCAACCAACATGGTGGAATTGAGGCCCCTTACGAGGATATGAACTTCTCTGCTGGCCAAAAGCAATTATTGAGTATTGCAAGGGCGATGTTACATCGACTCGAATATGCTACAAAGCTCATCTTGATGGATGAAGTAACCAGCAATATGGATTACGAATCGGAACGACGAGCCCACCATGCTATGAATGTTGCGTTTGATGGTTGCACGCGGGTCATGATATCACACAGACTGTCTGGATTCACCAACTGCGACATCGCTTTGACACTAAGCAATGGTTGGCTTGTCAATACGGAGCGCATCGCAAGAGCCCCCGTCGCTCAGCCTGGTTCCCCTGGCCCGTCAACAGCAATTGAAGAACAAAACGCAAAGTCTTCTGGTCCACTAAATGAGTTTCCACCTGGATGGATAGCCTCTGGGGATGTTGGCGCCAGGATCAAAAATTTCAATACCGATACGTCGTCAAGTGGTTCTTCGGACGAGGCAGATGGTGGTCAGCCCTCAATAACAATGAGGCGTGCAATGAAGGCGTCGGTCAGAAAATTGAGACAGGAAAGAAATTGAGTCTTAGTCTGAGTAGCAGCCGGCCTTCTATGGAATCACGAGGTAGAGAGAGGACTTCCAGCGACAGCAAACGATCCCGCCAGTAGCGTAGAAATCGCTGGGAGTATCAGGGAAATCGTCCATTTATAATTTGAATTAATTCACCTGGTTTAACAACCCTAACCCCTTTCACGGTCGTTAAGCGCCCGGTTAGCTCAATCGGTAGAGCGTGAGACTCTTAAGTTTCCGACATCTCAAGGTTGCGGGTTCGACCCCCGCATTGGGCTTTTCCTATCCAAATCATCACGATTGAATTCCGTAAGGGGTTGGCTTCTTTTTTTGCATAACTTTTTAATGACAATAATAATATTTAACGTAAAAATATGAACTTTGCATAGCTTTAGTCATACTAAGTGTCGGGTTGTGACCTCATTGAACAAGAGTCACTTTGGACTTGGCTTCCTTTTGCTTCAACGTTCCCTTGATCCAAGCATCCAGCTCTTCCAATGCCGTCAAAGGACTCTTCTTCCTCTTCAACAGGAAGCCTTGCAACTCAGCAGGTGAGAACACGGAGGCTGGGACCTTTTTGCCAAATTCCTTAGCAAGTCGTTTCATTTCTGTCTCATCAACATCCAGGCCATATGCCTGTCGAGCCTGCTTTGCGAGAACGCCATTGGCATCCTGTTTAGAGCTTCCTGTGCCTGAAACTTGATCCTTTGCTTTCTGGGACCGGGAGACTACCTCATACATTCGTAAGAATAACTCTTCTGCTTGGTAACAGCTAGCATTTCCAAACCCAACTTGGACGTCAACTCTACCGGGGCGAACTAGAGCCTCATCCAAAGATTCTGGTTTGTTGGTTGTCATGATCAATATACGCCCTTCATGAGAAGCCACACCATCGATTGCATTGAGAAGGCCAGAAAGCGAGATTGCTTTCTTGCTTTGCCTCGATTTCCGGGCACCGTCCCGTTTCCCCTTTGACTTTGACGTCACTTCTTCTACGCTCTCGTCGCTATCACTATCGCTTGAGCTTAAGCTTGAGCTCGAGCTCGAGTCATCAGAATCAGAATCAGAATCTGCATCAACTGTTGACTTGGACGACTTTTTGCTGTCACCGTTCACAGCTGCTTTCTTGGATTTCTTGGACTTGTTCTTGGCTCGCTTTTTTGCTTTCTTCTTTGCAGCCGCCTTTTCTTTCTCTTTCTGAGCTTCGGCCTGTTTCTTGGCGCTCTCATCTTCTCCCTTTTCTGCGTCGGCGCTTGTATCTGGGTCGCGTCTAAGACCGGCAGTGTCAATATCTTCAAGGAGAACAACGCATCGGCGAGGCAGCTTAGTGAACAAGACCGCAAGGTCTTCTTCGGTCACACTGGCATCTTGGAGACTGATGACATATATGTCTATGCCAAAGACACCAGCCAATGCGAAGGAGAAACTAGTTTTGCCAGTTCCTGGTGGACCATGGAAGAGATAACCACGTCGGAGTGGGATACCTCTTGAAGCATACCAACGCGGTGTGGACGGATGTAGGTATTCGTTGACATCGGATAGCACAGCATGCTTTTCTTTAGCGTCTAGTACTACCGTGCGCATCGGTCGAACTGGTCGTCTGGCAACCTGTTGCCACATGTTATAATCGCGGCGCATCTCCTTGGCTCTTGGTCGGTAAATTGTAGTCCTTTGGGAGGTGTCTGCATAAAATAGCATCTTTGAATCAAGCAGGAGCTGCTTTATGGGTTCAATAGATCGCCCATAGCATGACACTGTCAGTTGCTCAACATCCCTCATCAGACCCCATCCCCTACTACCTGCAAACGATTCTCTCGCACGAAACACTTTAAAGTACGTTCCCCGATGCCAGAACCCGCTGGAACCCATCGCCGGAACAAATCGTGGTGTAGATCGGGCAGCTTGGTTTGAAAAGTTCAAATACTTGTGCTCAGTGCCATCTTCATCTCCTCCGTCTGTCCAAAACAGCGCCTTAGCTTCTTCCTCTTCATTGTCGTCCTCGTCCCATGCACTCTTCCAGACTGTCTGAGCAGTTAAATCTTTGTTTCGTACAATGCTAGGATGCTGCGCCATCCACTTCATCAAATGCTCATAGATTCTATCATCCTCTGAAACATTCATTGAGCACATGAAGTAGGTGTTGACAAAAGCGATGAAGTAGTTGTAAAGCTGGGTGAATAGTTTGGAGATGCCCCAAACGAAGCCAAGCGTCGTAAGGATGATTGACGGATCGATTCCCAGATGGGCACCAAGAAGGCGATAAACAAAGAGCAACATCTGGGATAGTGGAGAAGCATGGCTTGCTGTCGATAAGATCGAGTCCATTATTCCCGGAGGAAATGGCACGGTATTAGAGCCCTGAGTGATGTTTGCCGAGCTATTCCCCATCTTCTGTTGAAATAATGACGGAATCGGGATCCCTGCATTTGACATGGAATCAATGACCGAATTCATCTTGGTTATATAGGAACTTGGATTCCTTTCGACTATCGGTTCGGTCGGCCAATACTCAGTGCGGCTCTGGCTACGTTACTGGTACAAGGTTGTCCAGTTAGAGACTTCTGTAACGACAGGTCGAAATGAAGAAAATGCAAAGGCGGTGACGGTGAAAATGATCTACAAATCGATGTATCTCAGTACAAAAGCAAACAACAACAGAAATGACGAGCCGATCATGCAAGACACTGCGAAGAATCGCAACGCTGGTACAGACGAACAAATTTAAGCCTGGGGGGCCGAGAATTATATATTTGAAATTGTAAAAAGGCAACAGGCGGCCTCCGTAAGGCGATCGCTGTTCGCACTGCAAGTGGCAAATCGCGCAGCATTCACGGTCACCAGCCCGGCCACCCTGCCGGGCAAACGTCACTAGCTGGCGTGGCGCTTGTGTGGGTGACCTGCACTGCAGCCTAGAGTGTGCATAGAGTGACAAGTGAAGAGGTTTGACTCAGAGATTCACATTACAAGGCACTTGGGCCATGATAACAGTTCCAATGCACGTGCTGTTTCATGGCTAACAAGCAGGGCGAATCACGGTTTCTCGCGTAAAGCGATACATCGACCACCGGCATTCTAGAACCTTTTGCGAACGGGTTATTTCCAGATCATGGGATCTTTTTCTGCTTGCTTATCTTCTTATCTCCCGTCGAACCTGATTCATGCACTTGTGCTGACTCTTTGATTGCCTCCGGCTGTGGTACACGAGTGTGAAGGTGCTGCAACGGCTTGGATTGGTGGAAGTACGACTGGTTTGCTGCAGCCATTCTGGAAAGTGATACTATTTGTATCAATGAAATATAGATTCAACAGTGAAGGCATAGTGCTTCGAATTGCGTCCTGCGTCCTTCTTCAAGATGGCAACAGATGCAATAACCCATGACATTCGTGATTGACAACAGTACCGTCGTATCGGTGCCTAGGCTTCATCGCATCGGGCTGAACGATCTGATGGGGTGGCTCAGGCGGCTGGACCCGTTGCAATAACTCTAAGCTCAGCCAAACCCGGTGACCGAGTATTTGATTTAAAATGTATTTTCCAACACTGGATAAAGGCGATAAAATGTGTAATTTTTGCGAAAATTTCCAAGTACCGGATAGCAGTGCCACAACGAGACCAAAGCAGTTACAGCTGCCAGTTGCCAGTTGCCAGCTGGTAGAGTGGCAGGTTTATTTGATACCCGGCAACAGGCTTCACACTAACATCTAACTTTGCCATATCATCAATCAAAAAAGGGACAACGCCAATGGCGAATACAGAGGCTTGGCTCGTATTTGAGAAATTTTGGCTAAAATAACCTCGCGTTATCTCCGCAACGTTCTACGCAATATTTCTCGATTTGGCATCGGTTCAGCGCCAGTACGCCCAACTTGTGCCAAGGCCTGCGGCTGAAAGGCGTACGTCTCGAACAAAATGTTCTGGCTACATATTGGAAAGGACACCTCATCGTTTATTTGACTAAACATGTATTTTAAACCAGAAAAAACGAATAAAAATTGAGAGTTATTTCCAAATAAGGCTTCCACCAGATAACGAGCCACGAAAACGTCTTGCAGTACAACACGCAGATAGAGCGCCGTGTCGGGCAGGCATTCAGCTGAAGCGACGCCTTTGGTCAAAGCACAGCCCACGTGGCGCCTTACATTCCTATATAATGACATAAGGTTTTTCACCACGGCTCTTGCAAAGGAAATCCCGTAAACTCAATTTACTATTACATACACAACGCCAAACATGACAGACGGAGCTTCGGAGCCAGCGCCAGAGACGTGCCGGGCATGGACCTTTTCTGAGCGCGGCGAACCCAAAGATGTCTTAAACTTTGTCGATGTGCCAAAGCCGACACTTCCACCAGCTGTTTTGCCTAGTGATGCGCCCAAGCCTGAAGAATGGGTGCTAATTAAAACGGCATTTGTTGGCCTCAATGTTGGCGCCATCTTTCAGATGACGCTCATCCCAAAGATGATTCGCCGCAATACGTGTGTCCCGGAAATGGATCTTTCGGGTGAGGTAGAGGATGTCTGGCATCCTGCAGAAGCAAACGATCCTCAGAAGCCATTTAGGTTTCAAAAGGGTGACCGGGTCATTGCTATGCTACCTGCTAGTCACTCACTTGGCACAGGCACTGGCGCCTTGTCAGAATACGTGTGTATTCCTGCAAAGTATGTCGCACATAAGCCAAGCGGTGTCACATTTGCCGACGCAGCGGGGTGTCTTCTGGCAGGAATGACAGCTGCCAAACAGGTGGAGGAATCGGGAGCAAAGCTTGGGGATCGAGTTCTGGTCAATGCTGCCAGCGGTGGTATCGGAACGCTAGTTGTACAGATGGTACGCAACATTGTCGGCAAGGATGGCCATGTCGTCGGAATTTGCAGTGGAAGAAACAGCGAGCTTGTAAAAGATTTGGGAGCAGATGAGGTAAGTCTATACTCAATAGTCGAGCAAGGGAAAGATATATCTAACACTTTCAAGGTGATTGATTATACGCAGCAGAGTAACCTACCGCAGTATCTGGTGACAACTTACGGAACTAAGCCTTTCAACACTATTATTGATACTCTGGGTCATCAGAACATCTATACCAACTCCCCAAAATACCTTGAACAGGGAGGCGTATATTCTTCTGCTGGTATCAAGCCTCCAAACTTTAGTGTGCCCAACTTTCTGCGCGCTGTGTGGCAAATGAAGCTGAATGAATGGTGGCCTGTGAGCACCTGGCTCGGCGGCGTTGGCCGTCTATGGAGGGGCGTTTCAATGATGGAACCGTCATTGCAAGAACGAGAGAACATTGTCGGTATGTTAGGGGACAAAAAGGTCAAGATTGTCCGGGACAGTATCTGGAAATTCGAAGAAGCTAAGGAGGCCTATATCAAACTGGGAGGACTGCATGCGCGAGGCAAAGTTTTGGTAAAGGTCAATGCTGCGCTAGCTGATGACGCGGCGTAATCGGATAGTATATTTCGGTCTTGCTCCGAAACCCCTCCACTCTTTATACAAGTTGTAATATAACACGCAGGTAGAATGTGTCTAGCTGAGGCTGGTATCTGATCATCTGATAAGCCGTGCTTGCCGGGAGTAGTGTGAGCCATGTACGTTATAGATTCCGGTAGATGTAGTTAAAGCACACAAGTACAATCAGCCACATAGTAAGAATGCTCTTTTGGAAAGTATATGCGCGCTATAGTAACTGTTTTCAGCTCCGTGCCGGGTGTCCGGTTATAGCTGTAGAAGGCGCGGAAATTGCTAGCGGGGTCCTGCAACCGCTACAGTGATATGGCGCGGGGCTCGGCCGAGCTCGGCGTGGCCATACATAAAAGGACAGTCATTTCCTGTTGCTTAATTAAGTGAAGCGAGTATCAGAAACTGCCGAAAGCTTATAGCTCAACTCTATTGCCGTATATAATTGTCAGAATATTATTACCATGACTGACAGCGAACGCAAGCGCCGCCCCGCGGGCAACCCCATGGACGGCACTCCACAGCCCATTCTCGATTTCCTCGACAAGCTCCACGAGCTATCTCTCGAGCAGGAGCGAAAGTGGACTCGGGATGACTTTGATGGCAAGACCGAGGCTGAGAAGACGGCCTTTGTAGCCGACAAGTTTGTGGCTCTGGAGAAGGATAAGGCTCACTTCGTCTACTCAATGGCTCGGGCCATTGATGCACGAACTATTGTTGAGGCCGGCACATCTTATGGTGTCAGCACCATTTACCTTGCACTTGCAACCGCTGCAAATGCTGCGTCCGGACAGGGTAAAGGCGCTACTGTGATTGCTACAGAGCATGAGCCGGCCAAGGCAGCCAAGGCCCGCGAGTACTGGGCTGAGTGCGGCGACGAGGTGAGCTCTGTTATTGATTTACGAGAGGGCGACTTGCGCGAGACATTGAAGGAGAACATGGAAGACGTCGATATGCTTCTTCTTGATAGTAAGTTTGCTTGGTCAATATGTGGATTTCTAGCTAACGTTTTGCACAATAGTATGGACACCTATGGTGATGCCCACGCTTCGCCTGGTGCAGCCCAAGTTGCGCCGCGGTGCCGTCATCATTGCAGATAATACAACTGTGGCCGAGGGCTATGATGACTTCATTGCGTACATGCGCGATCCCCAGAACGGATTTGTCAACATTACCGTTCCTTACTCGAATGGATTGGAGATGAGCATCTATCAGCCCAAGAATTGAGTCTACGCCTGAAACAAGGTAGAAGTCAGAAATATATACACTCCTTTTTATTTAAAAGTTTTATAAAACAGGGAAAGAAATATGCTTTAGCATGTGGTATCTCGAACATTGAAAAGAAAATTATGTGCCAATGCAAGTCATTACTCGCGGCACCCAAGATATACACCATATTAATCCGATCTCATCAGAGGCATTACAGTCGTTCCATCCGGCAGCTTCATCTTGCCATCATAAATCCAATCTTCCTCAATGGCTCCGCGTCGGAAGTGGGCTGTGAGGTGCTGAGCACGCTCATCCCACGTTGTCATTTTCACCTGGCAAAAGCCGCATTGGCTGTGAATCACTTCATGTCGGTGTTGTAGAATGCTTAGATCTGGCTGCCAGCCTGGCCATTTCTTGCAGTGGTGGAACTTCATCAGGTGTTGCCAAACGTGGTCTTTTCTAGCAAACGTGCGCTCGCCATCTGATCGTTCCGCGCAAGAGTTCCATTCGTGTGATTGAATATGTTCGTGGGTTGGATTAGCGTCGCCGCAAAATATACATTCCGGCGAAGTCTGTCCAGGTCGCCAGAGCAAAAATGATTGGTTTGGGCTCAAAGGAATCCCACAGACATATGTATCAAGTCCTGGCACATGCACAGAACGCTCGTGGCGAACCCAGTCGTAGCGTTTGCGGAAGCGCTGCCAACAAAAGGTACACCGAAATACAACTGGACCTGTAAAGTCGGATTTTGTACGTGCATTGGCCATTTCTGGAGCGCCTTCATCAAAGGATCCAGGGTTGGAAAGGTTAAAATGCATTTCGGAGGACTGCTGGGAATGTGCGGATGAGCCGGATATGGACGTCCTCTCGTTTTGACTTTGCCCTGGATAGCCTGGGTACATGAAGCCATCATCACTAAGAGACGATACGGAGCCATCTCTTGGTGCAAATTTGCCTCCTATTTCCTCCGTATTTACATGCGGTGAGGTGCTAGCCCGGGCCGCAGACTGGATCGCTGTGGCGCTGGTCGGTTCGTCGCTGGGTGGTGAGTTGCGCCAGCGGTCAATGGGGGACATATTTTGAGGGAATAGAGCTGTGGGCATTGGCGATCCTTGGCGGAACACCTGAGCGCTGTTGAAAAGTGACTGCGCGGACATGCGGTGTCGTCGCCGTGCGTTTGCAAACCAGTTGACTACCTGCGTCTTGGTAAGTCCACATGCCTCGGCAAGCTCGCTCTTCTCATCTTCTGACGGATAGGGGTGATCTAGGTGACTGGCAAACCAATTTGACAGCGGTCGTGTCTTTTTGGCAGATCGTGTGCTGGATCGTTTGGAAACGACATTAATTGGCGCGCTTGGCGCAGCAGCGGACTGGCCCAGCGTCGGCTCTTCGACAAAGGTCCCCAGATTCGACTCCTCGTTTACGCCATGAAGATGCCCAATGACCGGTTTTGTAGTTTCAAAACTTGAGGCCTGACGCTTTGCTTTCTCCGCCAAGCTGCAGTCCCTGTATAAAGCAACGCAGCTTGAGCATGAGGTAACTGGATTCGGATTGGCTGATGTCGTCTGAAGAATTAAACATTGCAATCTCTGCCTTTTGCATTGCACACAGGGAAAAGGCGGTCTATATGCGCCATTCTTGATGAAGAATTCGTCGATAATAGCGCCCTTGGATTCTAGTTGATTAGGTTGGGTTGGTAGGTTCAAGGCTGTGCTTGGTGTGTGCGGCATGCCACTGCTACCAGGCTGCGGAATTGCGCCCAACTGGAAACCGTTTGCATTGTTTGCTCCTTGGTCAAGATCAAATAAAGGGTCAAAGAAGGGGGTGTCCAAAGGAGGCATGGCGAAGGTGCCATCCAAAAGGTTGGGAGCAGTAAAAACGTGGTCTATGAACGAAGTAGCGGCAGCAGCGTCGTGGCTCGGGGAGGTGGTGGAAGCGAGAGACTGGTCCTGGGACTCATCTTGGTCCATATCTAGCGACGATAGAAACGGTTCATAGACAGCTGCATCAACCTCTGGTAAGAAGAGATTGTTTAGCGTGGGATCCATGTTTGTCAGAAGGCGCACAGCACCTTATGCCGTATCATGGAGCTAGGAAGGTTAGAGGCAGCCCCAGGGAGTGCAGCCTGTGGGCAGACCAGGAGGGGGGGAAGGGGGAATCTATCGTCCAGGGGTGGCTAAAAGTCGAATGTACGAGGAACGCGAGGCAGCTGAGCCAGGCCAACGTACGGTCGAGGAATAGTGGTGATGCGGCGTGTAGGTGGGGGAGGGTGTGTCTGAGAGAGGGGACAAGTCAGCCCTGGGGAAGCCGGCTGTCCCTGGGTTTGGTGACCGCTTAGGCGATTGACAGTGGAAGTGCGTCGGATTGCAGTTGTTGTCTGGATGGCCGAAACGCCATGCGAGGAGATTGCAGATGGGCGATGACGCAGAGAGCAGCCCAGCGAAACGAGAGACTGCCTGCGTGTTGTTGGAGTAGCAACGAAGTTCTGCCGGGCTGGCAGAGAGCTCCAACTTTTTTTCTGCAACTCTTTTGACGCTTCTGGCCGTTGGCGGACCGGCGGGGGCGGCTTCAGTGTCCGAGGTGTTCACTTCCGGCGTGGTAGCTAGCGGCGGGGTGTTCAGTTGGCTTCCCCGCTACTGGAGAGGTGATTTGAGTGGGTAGGTTTGCTCGGTGCTCGGCGCCGGTTGACGGATAGCCGCTTGTGATTTTAGTAGAGAAAAAAAAAATACGGTAGCGGAGGACTGCAGTCTACCGTAGCTACGCAGTACATTACGGACAATACCGCACACTATTGCTGTGTGAGATTAAAGTCACTTTACTCGCTTACTGGTGCTGCTGTTGCCATGCAGAACTGCTGCTCTACAGCCGGACAAAACCCACATCGGATGAAGAGGGGCTTTGATTCATAACCTTGGGGTATTCAAAGTAATGGCCAATGGAGATAATTATTCATTGCACCCGTTGTATCCATTATGACGAGAAAACTACTCAACACTCATCAGTTCTCTCTCTCCATAGAAACTCTCTTTCCTCATGATCGACCAGGTAAAGCGGGCAGCTGGTTGGTCCGGCGCGCGCCACTAGAGCCGCATCGCTCGTACGCTCAGTACCCCTTCACCATCTGTACATCGCCACAACAGCAGCATCCCTGCAAATCCAAAGTATCTCTCGTGCGAAGCCCCCCGGCTTCGGACACAAAGTCGGTCTCGGACCGAGTTATGAACATGGTACTTGACCATGCACATCTTTTTTTTATGCATCCATCACCATCTTCACTATTTAAGCTTAACCACCGCTCTCTGCTCTTTTCCTTCTTTTTCAATTCCTTTGTTTCCCAAACACACTTCTCTCATACGGCTCACGCCCCCCCCCCCCCCCCCCCCCCCCCCCCCCCCCCCCCCCCCCAACTAACGTACCCTGCTTCAGATCCAGATTTATACTGCTGCTGGAGGGCGCAGTCTATGTACCTGGAAGGCGCCCAACATAATGGAACCGTGTATTGTACCAGGAGGGCGCTTGTTCGCTCATAATAAATATAGAGAAATTTCCCAGCAGTCAAATGGCCACCGGGTTTGCATCCAGCATCTGTTTGGCTTGCTCATGATATAATTTTGGGCAATCTGGCGTGCTTATTGAAAACGATCTGCGCTAGCGTGACCACCTTGCATTGAGGACTTTACCTGACCCCACGACCTGTACTTCCTATATCTCCATCATCACTCACCAACGACGATGTCTTCCGCTAGAAGGCCTATTATATTCAATGAAAATGCAAAGGATTGGCGAACGCCGCCGTCAGAGTCAGCCGATGCTGCATTTGCTTTCCATCAACGCCATTTCAACTATCAGCCCACAAAACTGATCGCTCTGCCGGACATCGCCGCCGATATTGGCGTCAAACAAATATATGTCAAAAGTGAAGTCAGCCGTTTCGATTTATCTTCCTTCAAAATTCTTGGAGCCTCCTGGGGTGTCTTTCGTTGCCTGGCAGCCCGGCTTAACCTACCATTGACAGCTACGCTGCAAGATATCAAGACGGCCCTCGACGGCTCACATTATACGCTCTATGCTGCTACCGACGGTAACCATGGCCGAGCAGTAGCACGGATGGCTTCTATTCTAGGCATGTCTGCCGAGATTCATGTCCCGTATGGACTGAGCTCAGCTGCTATTGCATCCATAGAGAGCGAAGGCGCCCAGGTTGTGGTTTCTCAAGGCAACTATGACGTTTCAATATCAGATGCGGATAAAGCATCGCAACATTCATACGGCTTGCTGATACAGGACTATGCATTTGGTGACTACTTGGATGTTCCACAGGTGAGTATCGCAATACTCGCGATCTAGAATTCAGCTAACAGCTACTCGAGTGGATCGTAGATGGCTATCAGACAATGATGCGAGAAATCGATGATCAACTTGGTGGCGATTCAGCCTCTCTTGTCATAGCTCCTGCTGGAGTCGGTTCTTTTGCTCAAGCAGTTACCTCGTACTTTAAGCAACAGGGGAAAGATACTGCAGTGGTCTGTGTTGAACCAGACACGGCTGCTTGTATCTGGAAAAGCTTTCAACATGGCGAACTCATATCCAAAGTCAACACACCGACAATCATGGCTGGCCTTGACTGTGGCACTCCTTCGAAAATTGCCTGGCCTGTCCTCCGACACGGCGTGGACGCTAGCATCACAATCTCTGATTTTGAAGCCCATCTTGCCTGCAAGCGCCTCGCTGACATTGGTGTACCAGTCGGTCCCTGCGGAGCGGCGGCCTTGGCGGCTCTGCTACGTATGGGGGCTGATGATAAAGTTCATTTGGGATTGGATTGCGATTCAATAGTCGTTCTCATGTGCACAGAAGGAGCAAGAGACTATGCCATTCCCCATGACGTTGGGTCTGATTCTGCGACAGAATTGGCAAATACGCTCGTGCAATTAGAGAATATTGTTGACCAACCAGAAGACACTGGAGAGAATGAGTCGCATGTTACCCGCTTTATAAGCCATTGGCTTGAGCATCGTGATATCGACACACACTATATCGATATTGTAAATCGTCGACCTCCATTGGTCGACGTACCCCCAGGTGCCCGGCGTACTTCGGCGACATTATGCCCGCTAGTACGACGTGGGCTCGATGGCTCTAATCAGTATGAAAAAGAATATAGCAATGATGAAGGCATCCCTCCAAGAATGAAGAGCGGTCTGGCGGCGGCCATGATTGCCACAGCTGTCGCGAAGCAAGCGACACGGGGAAATGTGAAGCTTTGTGCTAGGTTACAGGAAGAATACAATTGATATGACGTTTGATATTACTGTAACTTATATGTCATGGATAATATCTACCAAATTACAATCATTTGAGTCATGACATAAACAAACCAATCTGGTCATGATCGCGTCATAGTACATTCCGGAGGCGGGTCTTTCTGCTGGTATACCATGGGTGCAAAAAAGGACCTAACGACTGTAAAGAATGCAGAGTGGCATTTCCAACACTGACGATTGGGAGCTTAAACCTCAAGCTTTTCATTGGGAATCTCCGCAGTTAGCCCCAATGACGCCGCAATTGCAAAAAGTCTCTGCTTCTCCTCATGTGCTGCTGTGTCTCCAAAGATCTCGTCCATATCTTCTAGGCTCTTTCCCTTGGTCTCCGGGATAAAGAAATACGTGAAAACGAAAGCGATTAGAGCAAATGCAGCAAAGAAGATGTATGTTCCCCATTTGATTGTTTCTAGCATGTCTGGTGTCACAAGACCAATGATGAAGTTGCACATCCAGGTGGTGCTAGTGGTGATGGCAATTGCCTTTGACCGGTTACCGAGATTGAAAATTTCCGAAGGCAGAACCCATCCAATAGGGGCAAAAGAGTAGGAGAAGTTGATGTCGTAAATGTAAATAAACGCGATTCCTGTCCAACCTGCGGCCGGGTGTACGCTAATGTTGTCGCCATACGTGCCCAGAATGGCTCCGACAATGACAAGAGATATAAAAGTTCCCGTAGCGCCAGAGAGAAGAAGGGGCCGGCGGCCAAGCTTGTCGATGAGGAAAAGTGCAGGCAGAGTAGAAAGAGTGTTGACGATACCATATACTCCAGTGGCCAGCAAGGATGTGGTGTTTCCAGACAGGCCAAGTTGGGCAAAGATTGTTGGCGCATAGTAAATCATAGCATTGCAGCCAATGAATTGTTGCGAGAACATAGTGACGCAACCAATTGCAAGTCTCCAAAAGGCAGGGCGGGTGGAAACCAATGACTTGTATTGTGCCAGGTAGAGTGATGCACCCGATTTTCCAGGAAACTTGTCTTTTGCTACTGATTCATCGAACAGCACTTCTGCCTTAATGGAAAGATATTCTTCTCGAAGCGAGTCGTCATCAGGGTGTACCCGTCTGAGCTGCGCCAGTGCCTTGAGAGCCTTATCCTCCTTGTGTCGCATGAGGTAGTAGCGGGGTGATTCTGGGAAGAAGAGCATGCCGATACCCAGAATGAGCGCTGGTGCAAGTTGAAGAGCAAATGGAACACGCCATGAAGCCTCGGTCTGACCTGTGCAGCCTCCGGCTGCGACATCCTTGTAAGGGTCAAATCGTGATTTGGCTGGCGTACCACCAGAGTACGGAATCTCTGGCGCGCATCTTGCACCGCCAATATACTGCGTGCCATACTCGAGCCAATAGCTGACCAAGATGCCAAGCGTAATGCTCACTAAAAAGATGTTAGAGTATATTATTGCGAAGATATTTGTAGTAAAACTCACGCTGCTGTAAAACGACGAGGGAACCGCGGATGCCAGCGGTGGACACTTCAGACATGTACATGGGTACAATCATGGTTAGCATGCCTACTGCAAGGCCAGCAACAGCTCTGCCTAATAAATAGTTAGCTCCAGCTTCATCATTCAGCTCCCAAAAACATTCATACCGCCAAACAGTTCGGGTATAGTCTTCGCGGCTGCTTGTAGCGCTGATCCTAACAAGAAGACGACAACAGCCCCCAGCATGGATCCTTTACGACCAAAGCGATCGGCGATGGGGCCATTGATGAGAGATCCAAACCACGCAGTCAGGAGCAGCGTAGATACGAACCATCCTTTGAAGCTGCTGTCCGTGTATATGCGGGGAAATTGGGCTGCGAAGGACTCCATCTCCAAGACGCCAGAAACCACGCCTTGGTCATATCCGAAGAGGAAGCCGCCGAGTGAGGCGAACTATAATTTCCAGTCAGTTTTCTGTCAGTTGCACGAGTTGGGTAGCTCAGTTCAAGCTGAGGTAGCTACCGATGGACATACCGTTGCAAGACCAAAAATGTAGGGGCTTTGACGAAGTTGGCGCCAGACGCCAACGGTAGGCGTTGACGACGACATCATGGGCTGTTTGAACAAGATTACTGGCCAATTGATTGCACTCGATGTCGAACCATTAGCGGTGTTGAGGATGATGTCGCTGAAAAAAGGAAAGGCCAAGGCCAAGAGGAGTAAAGACGTCACGCGACGAGCCGGCTTTCGCTAATAAGACCTACAATGCTTGGCCGCTATCGGGAATGGTGGGGGTCAATTGCCGGGGGGCTTCATTTAGCGGCGGCGGCGAGGGCTTCGGTAGGTATAAGCCGAGATCCCCGATGGCTTGATGGAGGGCGCTGAAAATTATGGAGAAGACGGCGGTGGCTGAATCAATACAAAATAATGAAGGGATCAATAAACATGGGATATATTGTATGCTAATAAACGTAAATAAAGTCCTCGTTCTTCATGTCCGTAGTGTCCTCGAACGCATTCGCACCGGTAGAGTCCCCAGCCTGGTTAATTGCATCTGCCTCATGGTTTGACTTGCTGTGCTTTCTCATACTCAAATCAACAATCTGCTCTGATTTGCCCATGGTCTTTCTCTTGGCTGCCTGGCGGCGGTTCAGAAGAGTGATGAGGCCCATGCCAATCAGAATCAGAGCTGCCAGGACGACAAACAGAGCGAGATTGACACGGAGTCCACGCTCATATCTGGGTGCTTCTGCTTCTGTAAACAGCTGAGGACCGATAATGTTTCCGACGCTGGCGCCAATGAACAGCATAGCCGTAGTTACTTTTCGCTTGGTATCACCACCTGTGTTTTGACTTGACCAGGAATAAATCAGGGGCGAAATTCCTGGATACACGGAGATGATATAGTAGCCAGCGAGCAGCGCGCCTTGGTTTCCTGGTACACGTGGAACGAGGTGCAGAACAACGAGGCCGGCAATGGGCGGTAAGCAGAGAAGAATCAGAACCACGGATTTCATGCCGATACGGTCTGCGAGCCACGCACCACCAATGGTGGCGATGATCTGCACTGCGCCGAATGGCATGTTGAAAAGGATTGTGTTGAACTTGTCGTTGACAAAGGACTTGATGATGAGTGGTCCAAAAGTGGAAATTCCACCACTAGGAATACTAAAGAATGTCTGTTAGCTGGTTTCATATGGGAGGACTTGTTGAGCAGCGGTAGCGTACGAGATGATAAGCATGAGGAAAAACCATAGCCAAGTCTTTGGGTCAAGCAAGGCTTCCCAGACATGGCCCCATTTCCATACACCTGAACCAATACCCATCTGGTTCATACGGAGACGCTCAACAGCAAGGAATTTGTCATCGCGGTTAAGAAACTTGGCTTCCATGGGCGAATCTGGCATGAACCAAAACATGATTACTGAGAAGACGACCGTAAGAAGGCCGCAGAAGAGGAAGATGATTTGATATGAATGGAGATGTGGCGAGTTGATATGGCCCAGGCCATATGTCAATAGACTTCCAAGCTATTTTCTGGTCAACATTCTGATCAACAGTAACATTGCTTATTCGCACATACAATATTGACGATGCCAAGAGTGGCGTACCAGGCGGCGTTGCGTTTAGTTTGCTCTCCTCGTCGGTACCACATCTGAATGATAGCAATGAACGTCGGCGCTGTGCTGTCGTAAGTAAAAAGTGATATTTGTAGCGTATTTTCAGGCACTCTTTTTCTTACCAACACAGGATTCAAATGCGCCAAGGAGCAAGCGCGCTGCCATCAAGCCGCCAAAGTTGGTGGCTGCTGTCATACCACAGAGCACGGCACCCCAGCAGAACACCATGACTGTCAAGAATTTACCAATGGGAAAGCGAACCAGTGTATATGCGACAACAGGTTGGAAGACAAGCTGGGCGACGTACACAACTGATCCAAGCCACGAGAACTGGGTCTTCTCCAAGTGTGCATCCTGCGAGAGATTGAAGACGGACGCATAAGAGAGTGTAGTCTTGTCCAGAGATTGCAGACAGTAAACGAAAAGAAGAATCGGAAGCAGATGCATATCGACTTTTCGGGCGATCCTTCTGTCATTCTCTGGCGTAACTACGATTGGATGCCCAGCTTGGCTCAAGAACTCGGCCGCCTTGTCGCGACCTTTGGCGTTGGCGTTGGGTGCGTGGCCCTTTTCGTGTACTTCGTTGCTGACCACAGGATAGACGCCTGCCGTCTCCAAATGAGCGCTATCAACCGGCTCCTTACTTGTAGCCATCTTGTATCAGCTTCGATTTGTCAAAAAGGCGTCGTTTTGTTTTGGCTGTGTGGACAACGGAAAGGGTGGTGGGCGAGGCTGGCTAGGCTAGTTGGCTATATACTGTCAGTGCGGGCTAGCTTTCAACAAAGCTCATGTGGTCCCATACCATATGCTAGTCTCTAAAGGCGTAGCCGGGTCTCTCTTCAGTGATCCTTGCTTAGTCTATCGTCTGAAGGGTCACTTTTTGCCACGGTCCAGCGGCTATTGACAAACAATGGGCGATTTTAGGCGACAGGAGGGCGCTGTCATTTACCCCGTGGGGGTGGAGCCCTTCTGTACCGTCCTTGCGTCAGTGGAGGGCAGCCACTGTCAGTCGGTGGCGGGGGATGGCTCCTTCCCCGACTGGCCAATCACCACCTGAATCGGCGCCCGTGCTTCTGGTACTCCGCATCGTCACCTTCTGGTCACCAACACAGCCAACCAACCAGCCGAATTGACGGTCAGCAGAACGCCGGTGCGGGGTCTTGTAAAAGTTGAATTGCCCTCCGATGCGGAGCTTTGTGGATAAACAGTAAGAGTATTGGTCGAGGAGAGATAAATTCTCTAATCCCCCACGCTCTGTCAAGTTGGTAGGCATCTCGGTCAACAGCAATTAAGATTGAAAATCACCACTAGAAATGGCACAGAGAGAACGAATCCCTTCCGCATGGGCTGCTGCTCCCTCTACCACCTCTGAGGAATCATCAATTGCTCTCGAAAGTAGCAAAGACTTGCCGTTCAAGTTCACCTTTGAGCCTCTTCGACGCAACGTCTTCCGAACCACCTTCACCTGCGAGTCTCATCGTCTCCCGCCGTTCCCCAGCGCTGCGGTGCCTGAGAAGCGACTAGACGGGACCAAGATTAGCGTATCCTCGCCGTCTGCCACTGTCAAGAAGATTGAAGTGGACGATATCGTTGCAACTGTAGACTGGACAGAATCATCCCCTTTGCTTCACATCTCGTTTGCGGATAGTCCCGAAACCCTGCTGCTGGAAGATCTTCCCCACAGAGCATATGCTGTCGAAGGAACTGGTGTTGCTCACTACTCGCGATATAATAGAGGAACCCTTCACGTTGGCCTTGGAGAAAAGAGTGCACCCATGGACCTGTCGGGACGACGATTCGAAATCTCTGCCACCGATTCCTTTGGATACGATGTCTACAAAACCGATCCTTTATACAAAAACATTCCCCTTCTCATCAATGCTACCCCCAAAGGCTGCATAGCGTTATTCTCTACCAGCCACACACGAGGCTCGTACAATATCGGATCAGAGATGGACGGCATGTGGGGAAGATACAAGGTCTACCGTCAAGACTACGGAGGTCTTGAGGAATATATTATCCTTGGCAAGACTATCAAGGAGATTGTCACCACATATGCCGACATTGTAGGCTACCCTTTGCTCGTTCCCAGATGGGCTTTTGGATACCTGTCTGGAGGTATGAAATACTCGATGCTGGATGATCCTCCCGCGTCTGAGGCACTCTTAGAGCTCGCCCGCAAAATGAAGGAGCATGATATTCCCTGCTCTGCATATCAGATGTCTTCGGGATATACGGTTGCTGAGCAGCCTCCCAAAACAAGAAACGTTTTCACTTGGAACAGGCATCGCTTCCCGGATCCTGAAGGTTGGATCAAGGAGTACCACAAGATGGGAATGAGATGTATCGCCAACGTCAAGCCTTATGTGCTAGCTAACCACCCTGAATACGAGAAGCTCAAGGCGGCTGGTGCATTCTTCACAGACCCAAAGACAAAGTCCACTGCCATTGCCCGTCTTTGGAGTGCTGGTGGTGGCGAGAGCGGCGAGGGTGGTCATATCGATTTTACATCTGAGGCCGGTTTCAACTGGTGGTATGAAGGTGTCAGAAAGCTTCGTCAAGAAGGCATTGACTGTATCTGGAACGACAATAATGAGTATGTGATTGGCAATGATGCTTGGGAATGTGCTCTCAACCTTCCTAACCTCACTATCCCCGAGGGAATGGAGAAACACCCTCAAGTGGGAGTATGGGGCCGCAACTTGCACACTCACCTGCATGGCAAGGCTTCCCACGATGCCCTACTCGATGTTATGCCAGAAGAGAGACCGTTTGTTTTGACTCGCAGCGCTACTGCTGGCACCATGCGTTACTGCTGTAGCTCCTGGAGTGGTGATAACACCACCAGCTGGGAAAGTCTAAAGGGCGCCAACGCTATTTCCCTGAACGCTGGAATGTCTCTACTGCACTGCTACGGCCATGATATCGGAGGTTTCGAAGGCCCACAGCCTACGCCTGAGCTTCTTCTCAGATGGGTACAGCAGGGCATTTACTCTCCTCGATTTGCCATCAACTGTTTCAAGACTACAGATGACAACAATGTAGGTGATGTTATTGAGCCCTGGATGCATCCTACAATCACACACTTGGTTCGAAAAACAATTAAGCGCCGCTATGCGTTGATCCCTTACATCTACTCGTCCATGCTTGAAAGTCACCAATCGGCAACACCTCCTCAACGATGGATAGGTTGGGGATACGAAGCGGATGCTGAAGTCTGGAAGAAGCCCCTAAGTGATGGCGAAACACAGTATTGGCTCGGAGAGGCGCTACTCGTGGGTGGTGTATTTGAGTCGGGCGTACGTGTCGCCAAAATGTACCTGCCTACTGGTTCCGGCTGTGATGATGGCTTCGTCAACATCAACGCCCCATATGAGTACTACGAGGCTGGACAATGGGTTGATATCGATGCTGAGTGGCATGGCGCAGGTATCCCCGTCCTTGCCAAGGTTGGTTCTGCTATTCCAGTCGGTCGCGATGTTCAGGTTCTTTCTCCTGGCGAAAAGGAGAATGTTGCAGATCTTCCCCTGGATGACTATCGAGCCGTCGAGATTTTCCCTCCCCAAGGTGATGCCAAGGGCAAGAGCTATACGGTTACATGGTACGAAGATGACGGCGTGTCGGTCGTTACGAAGCACAAGGTCTCGTCGTACACCATTACTTATACCTCCAGTTCGAGCGAAGTTAGTGTGGCCTTTAGTAGAGACGAATCGTCCGGATTCACCGCACCCTGGAAAACCCTGGTAGTCTTGCTTCCTGCGGGAGACGTACGCAAGGTTGTAATCAATGGTGGTGAAGAAGGTCAAGAAGTCAAGGATCTAGGCCGAGACGACCTTGGTAGGGGCCGCTTCGAGCTTCTATAAGCTTGAAAACGGACTACGGCATTCGCTTCCACCAGATCTATATCCAGCACTATTAATTGACTGTCAACACCACGTGCCAAATAAAAAGCATCTTTAAAGAATTGTGCGCGCCTTTTCGATATGGAACCCAGAACCCACATCATTCACTGCACTTGCGTACGCCAGGGTTGCTCGGTGCTTGGTAAGCCGCCAGAAGCGCTGTATATGGTGATCTTTGCGAGTTATTGATTGCTAATGAAAAATCAGTTGTTGGGGGCATAAGCCGGGCCCCAGTTTTGCGGGCATCCCTTCGCCAAAGATCTCGGGACGATCAGTAGATGATGGAAGCAAAGAACGTAGAGTGCCAGGCGAAAACCAACGATATTAAACCATAGAGAAAAGACCTTTATCAGATTTCGGCTCGTTAATTACCATCCGGAAACAAGCAATCAATGGACCGTCACTAAGACATCCGGGCTGTTACGGGTGGATAAGCCCCATGCTCGGCTTTGGACTGGCGATGCGACGCTAGTCTGCACCTTCGGTGCCGCACTAACACATAAGCTTTGCAGCTCTGATGCGCTTTTGCTCTTTTTTTTTCTAGAGATGTGCCGCCACACGTGCTGCATGTTCGCAAACAATAAAACGTCGGACGCGGCCGTTTCACTCCTCGTTCCCGAAGCACGGTCTAGAGCATTCTTAGCGCGTCCAGACGACGATGGCGATACCAGAAAATACACCAGACGATGCTAGCAACGGCAATGATGCCATGCCACACGATAGCACCAGCAAAGGCGTTGCCCCAGGCGTTCATACGACTTCTAATGACGATGTCACCTACACAGAAGCCCAGGTCAAGACTATACGGTGGAAGATTGACATTTACGTGATGCCTCTCATGACTCTCATCTATTGTGAGTTACCATGCGCCCGTGCTGCCCGTCGCGGTACGTTGCTAACAACACAAAAGTGTTTGCATTCATTGACCGCTCCAACATTGGTTTGCACCCCTCACACCTAGGCCACCTCCGACAATGTATTTCTAACCAACGCCACAGGAAACGCTCGATTGGCCGGCCTCGAAAAAGATCTTCACTTGAAGGGCAACGACTTTAACGCCGCGCTGTCCATCTTTTACGTCTCGTACATTGTATTCCAGATCCCGTGTGTTACTATCTGCAAATGGGTCGGCCCCGGATGGTTCATACCCACCATCACGCTGGCCTTTGGCGTATGCAGCATCGGCACTGCGTTCGCCAATGATTACTCTACGCTCTGTGGTGTGCGCTTCTTGCTCGGCATTTTTGAATCTGCCATGCAACCGGCACTCGCATATTACCTTTCTCGCTGGTACACACGTAGCGAGCTCACCTTCCGAGTATCCCTATATATCGTTTCAGCATCACTCGCCGGTGCATTCGGCGGTCTTCTCGCGTCAGCCATCCTGACGCTGGATCACTTTGGCTCTTTGCAAAAATGGAGAATGATTTTTGCCATTGAAGGTGCGAAATTGTGTATCGAGAGGCATCCGCTTTGTCACTTTTACTAATCAGAATATAGGCATCGCTACCGCAGCGCTTGGCTTTGTGTGCTTTTTTATCCTCACGGACCGACCCCAGACAGCCTTGTGGCTGACCGACGAAGAAAAGAAGATTGCTATTTTGCGTGTGCGAAGGGAGCGTGTGGGAACAACCGAAGTCCTCGACAAGTTTAACTGGAAGAAGGCGAAACTAGGCATCTGCAACCCGGTCGTGATTACAACATCCATCATTTTCTTCTTCAACAGCATTACGGTCCATGGAGCGTCCTTTTTCCTGCCGACTATTGTCAAGACCATCTTTCCGCATAAGACCGTCCAGGAGCAGCAGCTTCTAAGCGTTCCTCCCTACATCCTGGGTAGTATTAGCTGTCTCGCAACATGTTACGCCAGCTGGAAGTTGGACAGACGAGGCATCTTTATGATTCTGGGCGCGCCGATAGTGGTAGTAGGATATGCCATCTTTGTGGCGACAGAGAATAGCACAGTCCGCTACGTGGCTATCTTCTTGCCATTTTTTGGCATCTTTGCATACGGCGCCATCACGCCGTCACACTGTTCAGCAAACGTGGTGTCGGATACGGCCCGATCGTCAGCTATCGGGTATAACGCCATGATGGGCAGCATGGGCGGTCTCCTCTCGACCTGGCTATTCTTGGATTTTGATGCGCCTCGATATTTGATCGCCAACTCCCTCAATCTCGCCGTTCAGGCGGCAATGATTCTGCTGGCCACTGGGCTCTACTTTTGGATTGAACGCAGCAACAAGAGGCGGGACCAAATGGACGAGACAGAATCACTAGACGGGCTGACTCCAGAGGAGGTACAAGAGCTTGATTGGAAGAACCCTAGCTTTCGCTGGGTAAACTAAAAGCTGTTGTAGGTTCGGGGTGTCCGAGACTACCCTATATAGCAGTGACAATGAGACAGTATGGGAGTGGTGGTGGAGAAGAATGATGGAACTTTATGAAGACGAAATACTTATGAAAATCTGGTTCTGTAAATGAATAACCGAAATTATTTAATTAACATAGAAGAATGCCAAACACAGCGGGACGTGATAGTACGTAAGATCCAGTGGTCGGAAACCTATGCCGTTACGCTAGTGTAAGTTGGCTGATGTTCCCCCGCCGGTGCGCAAAATACAACGTCATTGTATGTTACGTTGTTTTCTTATTGCCCTTTTGCGCCTTGCGACTTCTCTTCAGCCCGATTCTCTATGCTTACCGACCTATAGTAGGACGGGTTGTATAGTGTTCCTTAAAAGTCTCTTGGCGAGCCAGCGCCACGGGTTGTGCGCCTGCCGGTGGCGCCTCCACAGAAGCCGAAGACCCGCTAGTGGTGGAAAATCTCAGGCGTGGGGGATCCCGCGGCGGAGGCTGTTGGGGGAGCAGGCGCAGCGCTGTAAAGAGGGAACGGGGCAATAGGTGCAACAGCACTATAATATGGGGGGCATTCAGTGGAGGTATAGCACCCCCATGTAAATAAGAAAATAGATGGGATTAAATGGTTGTTCTATTAACTTACTGGCAGGTGCTTTATTCTGGTAAACTGGTAACAGTGTGCTGGACGAAAACGGGAAAATAACTAAGAGTGCCAGTATTTCTAGTCCCTCTAATGCACTGGCCAGTGCCTGTAGACCATGGCACCAAAAACCAGCCAACCCGCCTAAGCCATCCACTGGTGTCTTCCCACCTGCCAACTAAATTTAGCGGGCACCACACAACTTTCTCCGCAGCATCTCGCAAAACCCCCCCGAAAATGCATGCTAATATAGCGTACCTGGGGCCTGACGGGCTCAGCGTAACGTTGTATTATCACCTCCTACTAGCGCCTGTCAGCTTCTAATCGCCATTCCAGAACTGGGGATGTCTTAATTAATAGCCAAGCATCTGCCCGCTTTGGCGACACTTGCTATTCCTTCCCCTCCATCCAACATCACCACCACAAAGTCGCCCATCATGAGATCACCCATGGTTTCGTCCTTGCTTGTGGGGACAGGCTTGCTCGCTGCGACGGCTGCTGCGAACCAGCCGCTTGTTTCTGGCGCTGGCCAGAAGAATGTAATCCCCAATTGGGCCATCCAGTCCACGTCCAGCGTCAACAAGGACGTTGCGAAGCTCTCCAAGACCAGTATCGACACTTCCTCTTGGTACCATGTCGACTCTTCCCGATGCACCCTCATGGGCTGCCTGCTCGACGCCGGTGTCTACAAGGACGATGAGCTCTGGTTCTCCGACAACCTCAACCACTTCAATTGGGGCCAATTCCTCGTGCCCTGGGTGTATAGAAACGAATTCGCCCTGCCCACGGATCGCAAGGGCCAGCACTTCCTCCTCGAGACAAACGGTATCTCTTCCAAGGCCGACATCTACCTCAATGGCAAGCAGATTGCCGACAAGGAGTTCCAAGCTGGTGCCTACGCTGGCCACACCTACGACATCACCGACCTCGCTGCCGATAACAACGCGCTCCTTGTTCGCGTCTACCCCACGACCTATCTCTACGACTTTGCTGTCGGTTTTGTTGACTGGAACCCGTACTCTCCTGACAACGGTACCGGTATCTGGAGAGACATCAACATTCGCCAGACTGGTCCCGTGTCCATGAGCCCACTGAGCATCATGACCGACTTGCAGCTTCCTGTCGAGAAGAGCGATGCGGACATCACTGTTCGCGCAAAGGCGCAGAATCTTGAAAAGCACGAGGTCAAGATGGTGGCCACCGCCAGCATTACCGACCCGTCGGGCAAACAGACTTCTCTCAAGGACCAGTCCATCACTCTTGCGCCTGGAGAAACCAAAATGGTTACTTTCAAGGAGACAATCAAAGCTCCTCGCATCTGGTGGCCCAAGTTTTGGGGTGGACAGCCCCTTTACAAGACCAAGGTTTCCTTCTCTGTTGATTCAACCGTCTCGGACGTCTCAGAGTCTAGCTTTGGTATCCGCAAGGTCACTTCTGCCGTAAACTCGCACAACGATACCATGTTCACTGTCAACGGATATCCCTTCCAGGTCGTTGGTGGTGGCTATGGCGCCGACATGTTCTTGCGCTGGGATGGCAAACGCTTCACGACAATTGCCCAGTACATGCTCGACATGGGCCAAAACACCATTCGCCTTGAAGGTAAAATGGAGCAGCCCGAGCTGTACGAGATTGCGGATAAGATTGGTCTTATGGTCCTTGCTGGCTGGGAATGCTGTGACAAATGGGAGGCTTGGGATTACAACCATGACTTGGCCATCGACCCTCCCCCAATCTGGGACGACCACGACTACGGAATTGCAAACGCTAGCATCATCCATGAAGCCGCCGTGTTGCAGACTCACCCTAGCATGCTGGGTTATATGGCGGGCAGTGACTACTGGCCCAATGACCGCGCTACCAAGATTTATGTCGATGCTCTCAAGGCTGCCGGCTGGCAGATTCCCATCATCGCCTCCGCAGCCAAACGTGGTTATCCTGCTCTTCTCGGCCCTTCGGGTATGAAGATGGACGGTCCATATGACTGGGTACCTCCCAACTACTGGTTCGACACGGATGGTGGAAGCAACGAGCGTCTCGGCGCTGCTTTTGGATTTGGTTCTGAGCTTGGTGCTGGTGTTGGTACCCCCGAGATTGGCAGTCTGAAGAAGTTCCTTTCTCAAGCTGACATGGACGATTTGTGGAAGAGCCCTGACAAGGGCCTGTTCCACATGTCCAACAACGTCTCGTCCTTCTACAACCGCAAAATCTACAACCAGGGTCTGTACAAGCGATACGGCGCCCCCAAGTCCCTCAAGGACTACATCCTCAAGGCTCAGCTGATGGATTACGAAGCCACTCGCTCCCAGTACGAAGGATACGCTTCTCTCTGGAACGCTAAACGCCCTGCTACCGGCAACATCTACTGGATGCTCAACAATGCTTGGCCCAGCTTACACTGGAACCAGTTTGATTACTACCTCCGCCCAGCTGGCTCCTACTTTGGCACAAAGACTGGCTCTCGTATCGAGCATGCTGCCTTTGACTACAACACCCATGATCTTTGGCTCATTAACCACTCCCTTGACCGCAAGGGTGATCGCAGTGTTGAAGTTGAAGTTCTGGGTCTTGATGGTAAGACCATCTCTCATCAAACTGTCAATGCTTCTACGGAGCCCAACAAGTCCAAGAAGCTTGGAAACGTCAGTGGTCTGGATAAGACCACTGGTACCGTCTTCTTGCGTCTCAACCTAATCAACAACGGCAAGACCATCAGCCGTAACGTGTACTGGTTGAATAAGAAGATGGACACTCTGAACTGGGCCGATTCAACATGGTATACTACGGCAGTAACCAAGTTTGCAGACTTCTCCGACGTTTCCAAGATGAAGACTGCAACAGTTAGAGCTACCGTTACCAAGTCGTCTTGCCAGAACAAGATTACCGGTGTCCAGCAACGTAAGGTCACCCTGGAGAACCAATCTGATGTACCTGCGTTCTTCATCAGCCTGAACCTAGTCGATGCCAACGGCAACGATGTTCTGCCAATCACTTGGTCTGATAACTACGTCACTCTGTGGCCACACGAGAAGCTCACTGTCCTTGTCGGAGAATGGGCTGACAAGGGTGCCAAGGTCCAATTCCACGGCGTGAACGTCGACGAGACAGAGGCAAACGTTCAGTAATTTGTCAAGTAAATAAATATAAATAGCATAGGTGTTTCTTATTGGGTATATACAAATTTCAAATCTTCATTATCATCAGCAAGCTCCGCCACTCGACTTAGATGAGATATCTGAATCCCTTGCGAACGCGGAGAGCCTCGTCCTTGCTTTCGTGGAATTCCACATTCTGCAAATCATCAGCAGTGCTGGCATTTGGTGACTCCTTTTCTTCCAAAGTCTTGTTGAGTCTGACAAGCATCATCCTGAGGACCCAGCAACCAAAGATTGTGACTCCAAACATGGACAACACAATGCCGTAGCTCTTGCGGAAACCATTCTCAGGCAGGCCCCAGACGTACGATCCAGCAACGTTACCAAGCTGGGAAAAGGCGTTGATCATGGCGATGGCGACGGCACGCTTGGCTGGGGGTCGGGGGAACGTGGAACTGATCCAGGAATAGAAGACGATGAACCCAGCATAAGAGCTTGCCTGGAGGAAGAGAGCGACGTATCGTGCCGCAGTATTGAGCGTGGACATGCTGATGACGAATCCAAGTATGCCCACAAGGACAGGTCCGACGATATGCCAGAACTTCTCCTGAGTTCGATCAGAGTGCCATGAATTGAGGAGAGATACCATGCACGAAAAAGCCCATGGAGGGGCGCTCATGAGAAGAGTCGCGACAGTGCTAAAGTGCAGCGTTCCGGTGAGCGTGGGGAAGTAGGCGTTGAAAGAAAGACCAACGACGTAGGCGGTAAAGGTCAGCATCATGATGTAGATCTTGATGTCCTTGCAGGCCATCTTCAATCCTTCAAAGGGACCCTGATCCGCAGAATCCACATCAGCCTCGCCGACATCCTCCAGCATTCTCAATTGCGCAACTTGGCGCTCTTCCTCAGTGAAGCCGCGCGCATTGTGAGGCAAGTCGGGCAGGATAAAAGCAGCCGCGATGGCAACAAGCATCGTAACGCCACCTTCGATCCAAAACAGCCACCGCCACGCCGAATGGCCAAGGGTGCCCTGCATATTGGACAGGACTCCCGCGCCGACCAGCGACGAGAAGGCATTAGAGATGAGGTTACCGCAGAAAAGAATGGCATTTCTGGTGGTTAATTCGCGGCGTGTGTACCACTTGGACAAGATGAGCAAGGCACCAGGCAAAAAGGCCGCCTCAATAAAGCCAAGGAAGAATCGGATGACAACCATGTGGGTGAAGTTGTCTGCGATACCGGACAGCGTCGAGATGAGACCCCAGATGAGCATAGCCGCCGCAATGTACAGCGACGGTCGGCCAATGCGATTGATGAACATGTTGGAAGGCACCTGCATCAGAATGTAGCCAACGTACAGAATGCTCAGACATGTCTGGATCTGCGTCTCGTCAATCTTGAGATCGGCCTGCAGACCCTTGAGCTTGGCCGCACCAATGTTGTTGCGATCGAGGTAGTTCATGATATAGATGACGAAGAACAAGCTGCAGCGGGCATCGAGTTTGCGCTTCATGCTCTTCTCGACAATCGCACGGCGCGCAGGATCCATTGGCGGGAAACCAAGCGCCGCCTGTGTCGAGACATGGTCGGCAACATGCTCAAGACGCTCAATGTCGGACTTTTCGTCGGCGCCGTGAGCAGACGCGGGGGCGATAGTATCGTCGGGCATGTTTTTTTCTTTTCGTTTCGTTTACGCCACGATCGTGTGAGAGACGAGACAGACACACAGATTGTCCACCGATCAAGACACGAACGGCGATGGGCAACAGAGTGAAGGGGGGAAAGAAACCACGCGATTGAAATGGGAAGACGGGATCGTCTGGTTCTTATCCTCTCGGCTCGTCTTTCTTCTTCTTTTGCGCTTCCCCCCCTTCGGAGCAGCTAGCCGCAATGCCGCCGTAAATACGCTAGTCAGAAGTAGCTTCGCGGCGCCACTGGCTTGGCCTCACTTTAATTCGCAATTTTTGCCCCAACCTTTTCTTCCCCCATATTGCCAACTGCGGGGACGGTCCCTGTCAGTAGCCTATCACTGAATAGCGGCTGGAGCCTAAAGCTGGGGGTAATTCGGCGCTTTTTTCCCTGAACCCGCCTTGGTGGCTTGCTTCAGTGGGGGGCAGCGAGCCAGGGATTACTGGATTGGTTTCCCTCAGATTCAACATGTATATTAACACTTGGTTAGCTGAGTTTGGATCAATCTGCTGCGTACGGCCGTCGATGTAAAGCTAATAGGGCCATTGTTTTGCATCTGCCAAGGTTGACCACTGATTTGCAGTTAGTAACCGGCTGCATGACAAGAAGATGAAAATCTCAGCACGGTTGCTGTGAGGCTTTATTTGAAAGGCGCTAATCGTGGTGAGTGGAGGATAACTTGGTGTCATGGTTTTATTCTTGATAATACAATTTCGACAAGTTGCATCCTTGTTGATCAATCAGAGCCTAGATATTTGGCAATAAGGGCCTCCTCATTCTCTTCAAAGGGGATGTGGTCACCATGATTGCGCAGAAATTCTCGTATCCTTATCTCGTGTTCTTCATATTTTTCCCATTCAGGGTCGTCTTTCGTTATTGGTGAGTCAAATACTGGTATCCTCTGAATATGCCAGCGTTCTTGTATACAGGCTGTAGCGGGAGGCATTGCCCGTGCTATCATCTGTTGCCATGCTTTCTGTGCCGCTTCATTTCTGACAGACGCTGCTTCTTCTTCGCGGGGTTCCTCGAAGCTGTAAGACCAGGAGTAGGCATGGCAAAAGATGACACGACTCGGTCCTGCTGGCTGAAGCGGCATCGTCCCAAATTTACGCGCTACACATTTGTCCTCTTCAAGTACCATCGTCCAGAACGTGGAAAATGACGTAGCATGGCCATATCGACGATACGTAGACACTAGGGAGCCGCCGGGGTAAAAGCCGCTGAAGGCCTGTTGCAGAGGTTCTGGAAGTTTTTCAGAGGCTAGATGTTCTTTAACTGTACCAGGTACTGAAAATACAGTCAACGTAATGATACCTTCCAGTTGGGCCGTGGGTCTGTTATTAGTATGCTTGCAGAGACAAAATCGCGACTTTACAGCTAATGATGATTCCGGGTTGTCGCTCAAAGTCATCTCATTCAGCTGGGAGACAGTAGCCGAGCCTGGATCTTCTGTATGCGCTGCATGTTCTGGAAGGTTATTCAAAAACTCGACACATGCTGGAGATGACAAAAATGCTTCAAAGCTCTCTCGATCTTCCCATTCTACCAGCGTCCAACTAGGTTAGAAAATGGATAATCCAGGGAGATAGATCATCTCACCGATGAGATAGGCGGCCTGCTCTGGGTCGTCAATTAATCTTCGAAGCTTTAGCCCTCGAACAACCACTACATTACGAAGCGGACCAATATGGATATTGTCGTGGTCGCCGTCCCAGCCCGGCCATACATGGTCCCGTGGCAGATAAAATCGTGTCCAGGTTACAAGTGGCTTCACACTCGGCTTGCGGTTGGTTTGCTTGATGCGGGCCATACTGTGATCAGGGTCTTCAAAATATCAACAAGCAATACCTTATGTCTGAGACAAGATGGCATTTAGATACCTCCTGATGGTATATGTCGAACGTGGCGCGGGGTAGAGCCTGATCCCGTTGGTCGAGAGTCTTCCCTAGCGCTTCTCTTAACCGCTAGCCAATCAACGGTAAAAGCGCTAGTGGTGGCTCATGTGACCAGTTTGACCAGTTGAAGTGGGCTATCCGATCTCTTCGTGGTTGTTTGCAACTGTTCCATTGTACTTGTTCACAGTGTCGTGTATCACTAAAGCTAAAGATAGATGAAATGGAGCAGAGAAGTAAACATAGTATTATACTCTGTCGGAGAAGGTGAATGGTTCAAAATGAAGAATTTTAAATAAAAAAAGGTGATGAAAACGAATATACAAAATAGTAGAACGTATGAGATATTGATACAAGCTGTTACAGACTGAATCTCATCATTATCTATAAAGTAGTCTTGGCTCCTCTGTGTGGTTTCGGTGTTAGGTAGACTCTGATTATTAACATTAACTAATCAGATAGAGCCCATTGTAGTTGTTTATAATAAAAGAGGTATAGTGACTGCAAGTCCTTCTACATAGGGGTAAAAGCCAACCTTTAGACCACTGCAATCGGTACCCGCCTTGGTGGTCTTGGCTGGCGCTGGGGAATTGGGCAGGGCTTGCTTCAGTGGGGGACAGGCCAGGAGGTGGCGGTCTGACAGGGTAAGGCTAAAGTCATTTGTCGTTTGAGGTGTTGCAAATGGCGATGGGCATTTTCAATTGCCGCTCGCGGGTTTTATTGTATTTGGATATTTTTGCGCTGGAAATGATGATTGACAGTTCTTCTTCGGAAACATGGCACTGGCGACTGTCGCCTGCCAGCTGGCAGCCAGCTGGCAACCATGTCAAGACCACTGAATTGCGTGGGCCTGCAAATTTCAACTCTTCACATCACCTGTCACAATTGGGTTTTCTCATAAACTTCTAGATTGCGCCCCTCGCCTTGTACTAGTCATTTCTATAACGCCACCTAATATCTGCTAAATTTACCGGACCAGAATCTGTGCCTTCCGGGGTGGAAACCGTGCGTTGGTGGGGTTCCCCAGGCGGAACAATGTCCGCAGCCCCAAGCTGACAGGACAAGTTAAACGCTACAGGAGGTTTCAAGATTTGTAGATGCGAACATAACATAACACAAGCGACTAATACGAGTGGCGAGTTCCGTCTAGAAGTCTCGCGTTTCGTCGGCACCGACGGCTGAGACGATCATTGGACTGGTCCCAGCCTCACTGGCAGCGTCGTAACCCAGCTTAACAAGTGTAAGCTCGTGTCTAACCACCTGATATAGAGTGTTCGAAGCTTATACTGGCTTCAACGTTTCTTTCAGGTCTATATTAAGCTTCATGGAGCAGAGGCAAATCGGATCCGCACTTTCACGTTCCTATGCTACAGAATGCCGCGAAGCAGGTCATTTTCTTCTCAGAAGGCGTCCGATACTTTGTCAATTATTCGCGTACAGGTTGCGTAGTTTGTAAAGCTGCGTGATGCTTCAGCCGCAAGTCTACACTTCTTTTGCCTTACGCATGGCTAGCTTCATTCTAGGCCGTTGCCATCTAGACGCCCCTTCTTCCTAGCTCATGGCTCGCGCGCCGGGACTCGGACTTGAGATCAAGGCCGAATCTCACTAGCCGCTGCTCGGTCGATCCCAGATGTACGTAGAATCAGTTTCGGTACGATGTATGAGAGGGCGCAATCGCTGACATTGTGCAGTGGCATCCGGCGCCCTACAAGCTAAAGTCTCCAATTTTTTTCCCGTCTTGCAGCCAAAAATGTATCACGCTAACCAGGCTCCTGGGTCGAGCTGACGGCGCTAGCGATCAACGGTCGGTGATACGCGGGACATGTTGTTCGGCCGAGGCGCCCTCCCATCCTCCATGCTTTCGCGACCACGAAAGTTTTGACCGATGTCTGCTCTTCGCGCCCCCTTTACTCGTCGGATTCCCGTTTAAAACCGGCCCTATAAGCCTCAGATTCCTATACCATTACACACAGTATCAAAAGCCATCTAGTAATCGGCCGTGCTCTAACGAAACGTTGCTGTGGCGCCTGCTTGGCATCTGCATCTCAATCTCGGTTATCGATCCCCGTCGAGGGCTGGTAGCAGAATTATGCCGCCCTATCGGCAAGTCAAGACTTGCGGTCGGTGTCGCGAGCTCAAAGTACGATGCGATAAACAAAAGCCATCTTGCCAACGATGCAGTCAGGCTGGAGCGCCGTGCTCTTTTCAAAATGTCCTTTCACCACCTTCGACGTCTTCCTCGCCGGAGAATGTGCAGGAGTCTCATAGCGATGTGCCTACTCCGGTACTAGCCCCTGTTGCAGCCGATCAGCAATCGTCGCATGGAATCGCAGATCAGGACTACCACGGAGCGCTCTCTACCGGCTCCTCTAAATCGAAAAAGAGACAACGGGCTTGCTTGTCCTGTGTCAGGTGTCACCGACTCAAAGTCAAGTGCGACAAGAAGCAGCCTTGCACACGTTGTCGCCAGTCCGGATTTGGACCTCAATGTGCATACACCCATCGCATAGATATAGCTCCAGTACAGCGAGAAGCTGGATTTGACAGCCTCACCGTCGATGATAAGAATCCCCACGATGTGGCGACCTCTTGGCATTGCCGAGCTAGAGGCGCCAGTCACTGGAAAGAGCTCCTGAATAAGGTGAGACTTATTTGCCTACGAGTTGAGAGGGAGCATATGTTGAAGCTAACTTTGCATAGGTAAAACTGTTATCTCGTCTGGTATCTCCGTTGCTGTCAGAAGAACGACACCTCGAGAGTGTGGCAGAGGGGCCAACAACGAACTTAATCCTACCAATCAATTATCCATTCAACAGTCCTGGAGCTTCCAAATACGCAAGCACCTCTGCCATTTGGAGCATTATTCAACAGCATCATAGACGATGTTCCCGCTACATTGATAGATACATGTCCATCTTTCACGAGATCCATCCAATTGTCAACAAAGCCGAGGTCAAAGAACGTGTAGAGGAGTTTTGGAAGAACGGTGCTTCGGATGACGTAAGCTGGCTGGCGCAGTTTTGTCTTATCCTCGCCTTGGGCATATTTGCTGAGACTCGAGACTCTAACGCTGCACGCGAATTGTGCCTCGCTGGTGAAGCCTGTCTAAGTCAGACAGCGTTCATGGTGCGACCGTCCTTGTCATGTCTTCAGACTATGTGCTTGATGGTAATGGCAAAGCAAATGGGAAACGGCACATGCTGGACGATCGACTCATGCTGGACATTGTTGGGATTTGTAATTCGTCAAGCTGCTTGTCTCGGTTTACATCGGCAACCTGCACCCTTTACCAATCTCAAGCCTCATGCGCTAGACGAATGGCGAAGTGGACAAACCGTTTGGGTCACGATTCTATATTTCAGTATTCAAGTATCGATTTCGTCGGGTATGCCGTCATTTATGAGAGCCGATGAGTTGCTATACAGTAACGAGATATTCCCTTGGATCACAGGGATTCAAGGAGCCTCAGAGCAAGCTTGGCAAACTGTCGTCCGCACTACGGCACCCATGATCCTGGAAATTGTTGCTAGGGTGAATTCAGACAACGATCATCCATCCTATCGAGAAACAATGGACTACAATACGCAGATTAGACAGTCTATGGGCATTATCGACTCATACGACTTGCCTGAATCTCTGCGGATTGCGTTTGACATACATTTCCGACGCGTTCTACTCATCCTGCACAGGCGCTATGCCCTGGAGCTGGATGGACCATACGCATACTCGGTCTCATACTGGGCCTCTCTTGAATGCAGCTTAGCCATCCTTGTCCACCAGCGTGAAATGTCAGACGACAAGACAGCCAAAAGCGACATGTACATGGCGTCTCGCTTCTTCATGCTTGACTTTTTCGGTGCTGCTTTGACGGCCTCTATCCATTTACTGCGAGAGGATGCACTCTTGGCCGACGGCGTCGGCATTCCCCCTAGGCAGACGATTCTAAGCACTCTGCAGGACTGTGTCGATATTTGGGCTGTTGAGCGAACTCAATCTGTTTGTTTCCGATCTGGCTACAGGCTTTTGAAGGAGGTGCTAAAATTGTTATATGACCGAGACAAGGGTCGTGATTGGCGAGAGCGTGCTATTATGTAACATATTTAGTCTTCTAGAGTAATATCAAACTCGTGTAATATATCCTGAGTATGCTGCCCGACAGTTGGCACCTGATCCATACGAGCGTGTTTACTATCTTTGGTTCCAGGAGGCAACAGGGCTGGAATAGGCCCGGCTTCAGTGTCTACTTGAACCCATCTATCTCTTGCCTGGAGTTGGTCGTGATTCCATAAACCGTCCATATCATTTACTTTTGCGTTGGCGATTCTAGCCTTGTCTAGTTTTTCTATAACTTGAGCAGCAGAGAATTGTTTAAATTTGTCGCAGATAATGGACGAAAGCTCCACGCGGTTCTTGCTGCGAAGCGAGGTAGTGCTGAATCTGTCATCAGTAGCGAGCGTCTCATTCTCAAGTACATCACGACAAAGAATAAGCCACTCTCTCTCGTTTTGAATACCAAGCATGACGGATTCGTTTCCACCGGCTTCAAAGGGGCCGTATGGATATATCGTGGCATGGGCAGCTCCAGCTCTTGCTGGTCCGCTCTGACCACCATACGCGTAGTACATTGGAAACCCAACCCATTCCGCTATGCTTTCCAACATTGAGATATCAATGTGTTTTCCTTTGCCTGTTTTGGGTCTCTCAAAGAGTGCCGTCAGGATATTCGTGTATGCATACATGCCAGCAGCGATATCGGCTATGGAGACGCCAACCTTGGCAGGCTCCTCCTCGGTTCCATTAACAGAAAGTAGCCCGACTTCACTTTGGACGAGCAAATCGTACGCCTTTTTCTTCTGATATGGTCCACTGGATCCATAACCGGATATATCGCACGAGATGATACTAGGATTCAACTTGATGAGGTCGTCGTGGCCGAGACCAAGCCGAGATGTAGCACCAGGAGCCAAGTTTTGAATCATGACGTCTGCTGTCGATAGTATCTTCTTGAGAGCTTTGAGATGTGATGGATTTTTAAGATCCAGAGCGAGGCTTTCCTTTGATCGATTGACCCAAACAAAGTGTGATGCCATGCCATTGACGCGAGTATCGTAAGCGCGAGCAAAATCTCCCACACCAGGTCGTTCGATCTTAATCACGCGAGCTCCCATATCCGCCAGCTGTCGCGAACAGAATGGAGCAGCAATCGCCTGTTCAAGACTGACGACTGTGATCCCGCTTAAGGGAAGGCCGCCTCCTGTACCAGAGCCATTTGATAATGGACGTTGTTGTGACAAGAACGCTGACCGTCCGATGATCGCCTGAACCGAATTAGTCGAGAAGAGGCCTCGGCCAAACAATAAGCGTGCCATATCGGGAGGTTGAAGAAAATTGATGTTATACAACAGACGGTTATCTGCATATCTCGGTTATTAACAGAACGTGGCGGCGGCAAATTCCCTGCTTCCCCCACCTAATGCAAAGAGGCGACGGCATATTGATCCGACCCCGCTACCCCAGACGTTGGGGGTCGGACAGCTTGCCGCCCTCTTCGTGAAAACACCAAAAATCTCTATTCCTTGATTGTTAATAAAAAAAGACACGCTACGAAATCATGGGGAAAATAGCATCGCTTGAGTATTTCCGTGTGCCTCCCAGATGGCTCTTTGTCAAAATCACAGATGACGCAGGCAATGTCGGCTGGGGCGAAGCATCTCTTGAAGGACATACGCAATCAGTCGAGGGCTGCTTAGACGCCTGGCGAGACCAGTACGTAGGATTAGAAGCAAAGTACGTTGCTTTTCACAGAAATAGCAAACCCCAAAATAGCTGTTGAACATAAAAAGGAAACGAAAAGCTCGCTAACACTGTTAATCCAGCGACATCGAACACATCTGGCAACTCTCATGGCGTAAGACCTTCTACAGAGGCGGGCCCGTCTTCATGAGCGCCTTATCCGGCATCGACATTGCACTGTGGGATCTAAAAGGTACGTCTCATTCTCCATTGCGGACCAAAGCATAGTGGTACTTACAAACCTACCCCAGCGCGGAGACTAGGCGTTCCCATCTACGAACTATTGGGGGGCAAAGTTCGATCGAAACTCAAAGTATACGCTTGGATTGGGGGCGACCGCCCATCGGACGTCGAGTCTGCCGCGTAAGTCTGCCGCAAGTCAAAGTGTATGACCAACTATTTATAAACAACCATTAGGCTTTCGCGCAAGGCACAAGGCTTCACTGCCGTTAAAATGAACGGTACCGAAGACCTTGGGTGGCTCGACTCTCCCAATGCCCTCGACAGCTGCGTAGAGAGAGTAAAGACAGTTCGCGGCCTTGGGCTCGATGTCGGCGTTGATTTTCACGGCCGTGCTCATCGGCCCATGGCTAAGCAGCTCGCTGCTGCTCTGGCGCCTCACCGTCCCATGTTCATCGAGGAGCCTCTCCTATCGGAGCATCTGGAGGCGATAAAGTCTCTTTCTCAGCTGACCACGATCCCTATTGCCTTGGGAGAGCGTCTGCATTCAAGATGGGATGTGAAACCTTTTCTGGAGGCGTCTTGCATCGACATCCTACAGCCTGATACGTGCCATGTAGGAGGTATATCAGAGCTAAGAAGGGTTGCGGCCATGGCCGAGGCATACGATGTCCCGATCGCTCCGCACTGCCCGCTGGGACCTATTGCGCTGGCGGCTTGTTTCCAGGTGGATGCTGCAACGCCCAACTTTACCATTCAGGAAATGAGTTTGGGGATTCATTATAATGTCGGTGGCTATGATCTGCTAAGCTACATCAAGAATCCAGAAATATGGGACATCAAAGACGGCTATGTGGAGTTGATGACGGGGCCGGGACTGGGCATTGAAATCGACGAGGAACGTGTCAGAGAGGCTAGTCGCAACGCTCAGGCATGGGTGTCCCCTGGGTTTACAGGTCCTGGTGGTGAATTGAGAGAATGGTAGTTGGTTGGTCTTGGTGTTTGCCATGTTGTGGCAACATGCATAGATCACGTAGTACATACATCACAGACAAGAAACATCGCGTCTAACAGAAATCAAGTTGGTATATTCGCGCGCAAGCTAGATCGTTTATACTAGGACGCTGTATTTTCAAAAAGACAAGGAATCAAATCATATATCCAAAACGCCGTGCATTGTTCTTCAAAACTCGTATCTTAGGGGGCGCAGCTGAATACGTGGCGGACGTCGTTGCCGCGGAATTGGATAATCTGAACATGGTGTTAGTTGAATTTGTAGGGAAGACAAGTGTACTAGGAAAACTTACAATATCATCGATACTGGCATATGTGCCGGCACCAAGAACAACAATTCCAACAATGAAAGTTACAAGGTTCATGATGGCAGGGAACCAATTTTTGCGCTCAAAAACGGAGCCTTCACGGAGCAGAGTGTACCACATGATGGAAGGGAAGTAGAAGCTGAAACCGGAAATGAAGAGCGATGAGGAAATGGAGAGAAGATCCTCAAAGATGGGAATAGCCTCGGCAATGACGAAAGCGATGACGGTAATAGCGGTGATGAGAATCAACCAGGTGGTCCAACCCTTTGGGGTGTTGATGAAGCGCGTAATCGAGTCCTTGTAGTAGCGGCCGTGGATGTAGCGGCCAACAACGACGGTGTTGATGGAACCAGAGATGAAGATGACAGGCAGCGCGACACCAAAGGCAATCTTGTTGACAGGGCTGGCAGCGGAAAGGAGAGCAGGAGCGCTAACCTTGGAGCCGACGAACGCGTAAACGACGGCACCAGTGACAGTATAGATGAAGATCTCGATCAAACCGAGAGCCCAGATAGACTTCTTGTAGTCGGCGGGGGTGTGCATTTCGTCCATGAAGGAGAACTGGCACATGGAGAAGCTGTAGGCGAAAACAATGTTGCTAATGGCAATGAAGGCGTCGGTGAAGCTAAGGTCAGGCTTGGGCCAAGCAGACCAGTCGACAGCAGATAGGCCACCCTCCTTTTGCGAGGACTGGATTCCAGTAGCAATGATGGTGATACCGATAGCGCAAATGATGGAAGCAAAGTCGATGTAACCGAGAATGGCCACCTCGGAGAAGGATGGGGGGATGGCGACGATGAGGAGGATGATGGCGGACACAACACCGAAAACAACCGAACAGGTGCCGTTATTAGTGAGGGTGTTAAAGGCAATGGTACCAGTCAAGCAGTGAGAGCCGACCAGGAAGATGAGCTGCAGGACAAACATGGCACCGACGATTTCGTAACCAAAGCGGCCTGCGACAAGGCCACCGGCATCAGCGTAGTGAGCAACCTCGGGGAACTTGAGCTTGACCTGGCCGACAATGTCACTAGTGTAGATGGCGAGGAGGCCAAGGCCAACACAGAGGATGGTGGCAGCAACCATGCCGAGGGTAGCAAAGACCTTGGGGAGCGACAAGCTACCCAATGCAATGGCCTCGACAATGAGGACAATGGTCAATCGCTTCCATCCGAGACGGTGGAAGTGAGCCTCGCCCTCGGCCGTCTTTTGCTTCTCGAGATCGTCGCGCAAATCGACGTCAGAGACTTCGCCGGAGATTTCACCAGCCATGACGCCGCTGTCTTGGGCGTAGTCTGTAGCCTTGGGAGTTATATCCTTTTTGTCGTCATAGTCGACAACGACGTTGTTGGGGGTGTCGACTCGTTTGCTGTCCATGTTGTTGAATGTGTGTGTATGTGTGTGTATGTGTGTGTGTATAGACGCGAGACAAACAACAAGAGCAAGAAGAGAAGAGATGAGAAGGGGAGGGAAGAAGAGGAGGAGAGATGTATGTATGAATGGAGAGAGAGAGAGACAGACAAACAATGGGGACGCAGAAGATGGGCAACCGACGACAAAGGGTGGTGGGAATGGACCACAATATGAATCAATTCGAGCCAAGATTCGCCCGAGACGGACAAAACGAAAGCCTTGGGAAAGAGGGTCCTTGGTTCGAGGCCCGCGCAAAGCTAAGGCAATAGGCTCGCTGTGCAAGGGGGGGCGTGACCAAGGGTTGGAGTGGATATGGGTAATGCAGGCTACTTTGTTTGGTTGGGATAAGCGTAATCTTTGCGAAGCTAAAGTATGGGGAAGTTGGCCAAATGAGCTTGGGGCTAATTGGCCTTTAGGCGTAAGCCTGTGCAGAGAAACGGGGTTTATGTTTGTGGGGAGAGATAGAGTTGGGCTCCGTTTTGCAGAGGATCTGGCTGTTGCGGTTTGCTGGGTACTTGTGCCAAGGGAGGGGGGAAGAAAGATAAAGGAAATTTTTTTTCTTTGTGTTAATCTCGTTCGGGGTGTCGCGTGGATGGTTTTCGTGACAGTGTTTCGATAGGATGATGGTGATGATGTTGATAAGAAGAAGAAGAAGAAGAACAGCGAGGCACAATGCAAGGCCGAAAAGATACCATACAGGCACACACAGTTGACTCTCTTGCAGCCTTCGTACGCATGCAGTCTGTCTTTTCTTGTTCGACTTTTTGGTGTCGGCCCTTGTTTCTCGCTTTGCGTTCCATTGTTTTGGATGCGTTTTCGTCCAGTGGCCTAGCATGTCTCGCCCGTCGCTGCCGCTGGTACCGGTAGCCCAGGTACCCAGTACAGCGAGACATGCACACACTCTCTTCTTCTAGCGAGGCACTGGCTGCCCTGCATGGCGCGCAGAGATTTTATTTTTTTTCATTCACTGGCCTACTGTCTACAATTTTTAATATAATATGGAATTATTACATAGCGTTCATACTATTGATCCAATCTCTTTTTATTTGTACGGATTTATTCGCTACTTCCATACGCAGCGCGCAACCATCAAAAAGCGCATACAGGGCAAAGCCACGCGTGAGACACACGACTCCCTTAGCGCCTGTCAGTGGGCGCTGAAACGTAAGACACGGCTGCCCAAAGCGGCCGAGAGCCAGAACAAAGGCGCTGCAAACGACGAGCCATCATTTACTTTCCATTCTTTGGCCAATTTCAGTCACTGCGCCCATTATTCCTTTTTCTTCTTGTGTCAGTCACAGTTGCTTTCTTTTCTCGTCAAGTAAAGAGGCATCCCCTAACCCAGGCAAAACACAATGGCATTTACCACCACTTTACCGCGCAAGGTGGGTTCCTGGTGCACGTAGAAGGTACTTCATACCCTCGTATTCTTGTATCGACTGCCACCACCCACTTTTGCCCACTGTAACCCCCCATCTCTCCAGCGCGGACCCAGACTTCCGCCGCCCTGTGCTTCTTCCATTTTTTGCCCCTTTGCTTCTAGATGTTCTCGTTTTTCGCGGGTGAGTCCTTTTCTCCAAAAAAGAGCGGGGATTGGTGAGGGGATTATTACAGTACAGCGCACCGCGACGCCCCGGGTGGCTGCTTGTACCGCAGCTGAGTTCTCTTGCAGCACCAGCGGCAATGCTGGCCCGCCCTGGGCTGATTGATGATGATGATGGTTAACGGGCCCTGTGGGCTCTCCTGGCAATTGAAAGTGTTCCCCGCAATCCACCGCAAAAATTATACTCTCATTGGGCTCCCAGGGGGCGGGATCTTAGTGGTGATGCATCTATCTTCCAGCTGTCACGACCTCTTCTCCACGATGGGTGATGCCCTCCCTCTGCGCGCACCACCACCACGCCTCCAAACCATGATATGAGGTTGAAAAAATTCTCCGGAAACACTGGCTTGGCTGGGTTTATCGGCTCAAGCCTGCCGAACGGAACGCCTCTTTCTGCGGCCTTGGCCATGGCTTGGGCCGCGCTACTTGCTGCTTTAGGGAACTGGTGGCTTGCTGGCTGCCGGCTAGTTGTGTGGGATGCCTGTATTGCCCGATAATAATAGCGCACGGCAGTCTGGTACAGTGCAGCACAGCGCCGTGTTACAGGGCCTGTCCAAGCGGTGTTTGCCCCGTCACGGCCGCCCCAACACCGCCTGTAACGCACCTAAATCAGCGAGATGGGCTGCGACTGTGGCGCTCACTAGGCCCATCGACCACCACCTCTGCCGGACGTACGACCTGTCCATCGCCAGAGCCTCTCCCATTTCATGCAAGCCACCAACACACTAAGCCCAGCCAGGAAAGCCACCCAGCGCACCAGTTTCCGTAATTCCTTGGTTTCCGCTCGCAAATAATTTCCAGCGACGCGGTCTACCTGTAAATCTGACCTCCAGGCGCCAGCCAACCGGCGAGCCGGGGTACCGATGGGAAAGGGCACTACGGCCACCACCGCGCCATCATCAGCATCGTCAGAATTGTGGCTTGCTTCGTTTGCCGCCCCATCATCATCATTACCCGTGGAGAGGAAATAACGGAAGCCGGCATTCTATCTGACACTCGCACGCACCACCACCCAAGGAAGATTACGGGATGTGTGTGTCGCCGTGTCTCTGCCTCGCAACCATCTTCCATCGCCGCCCCTGCTTAGCTGCTATGAATTACTCCGCCCGTTTGCTGAGTCGCGACTCGCTCCCCTTTTTGGAGATCCCGTCCCTCTCCTCCCCTGTCTTCCCCTCTCTCTCCTCAGGGTCGGCGAGCCCCCGATGCTGACGCTAATACAAAACAACACGGCGCTACTACAGTCCCTGTAACACACCAACCCCCACCGGGCATCCCGATCCCCAATCAGGCTCAGTGTCCGACTATCCCACCGTCAATCGCTTCCTTGTTTGCGGCTCAACATTCAGGCTGCAGCCAAAAGGAACGGGATGGATGCGGCGCCGCTGATGTCTAACAGAGCTGTCAGATTCACGAGACGTTGTACAAGAAAGACGTTACAACCCTCAGCCGCTCGCCAAAGGGGCTTCGTGCGCCTGAGGATCCGTGAGATGCTCAACGTTCTCCAACCGCGCGAAGCGTTATTCACCGCTCTCCACACGTCCATCCAATCTTCAGCAGAGCGCCCGCGTCACGCTTGGCTCACCTTCCAGCCTATTCGCTGTGCCAATGCCGACAAAACGGGCCTGTCTCCACGTTCATCCGGCGATATTATTGCCTCGTCGCCCATATATTCCCCAGCAAACCGACTCAGGCTTCGCAAATCCCCCCCCCCCCCAGCAAACACTGTCTCGTGGCCCGCTCCCCCACACCCAAGTTTTCTATACCAGGTTGTTACAGGCCAACCAGGGAAGAGATGTTGTCTGTGGATTTGCTGGAGCCTGCTTTGGCCGCTACTACTGCATCTCCTCCTGTAGCATCAGAAGCCATGTTCCCCTGCTATATCCTGGAATGCGGTCTTTGTACTACACTAAACCGTCCATTTGTGCATGAACTGGCCTCTTGCAGCCGCGTTTTCGTTTAGCGGCCAGCAAAAAATGACTGCGATCTGCATTGGAGAAAACGCCACTACATCGCCAATGTCGTCAATGGCGGCGACTTTCTGCTCTTCCGCTTCCACGGCGTCTCCGTCGTTGTTTGTTATTCCAGACGAATAATAGCGTGGCAGCTGTACCGTTGCTACTTTGGGTAGCCTTTCTTGTTTCCATGTGCCATCTCGCCTGTGAACCCGAGCTAGGCGACCCTAGCGCCCGGTCTGGTTGTAGAGTCGCAATATTCATGTAGCATTCCGCCAATGGTAGGTAGTTGGGCTGACGAGACGGCAACGGTGGAAGTCCCTGCTCGCAAGGCCTGCCGTATAAAATTCACGTAGATAATGTCCACTTTGAACGTTCATGTAAGCTGAGTTAATGTGACGGACGGATGTACTAATCCTTGGTTTTAAATAGTGGTAGTATATACAGAAATTTACAGGTCAGCGTCACAAAGGCAAACCGACTCCTAGCTCTGCAGCAGCCATTTCACGCAGTAGTTGCCATCGATATTTAGTCCTCATCCTCGCCGTCGGGGTTAGCATTAAACGCCAGCAGATTGACCGTGTCAGCGCGGTTGTTGGTAATGGCGTTTTGAGTAGCTGCTTCGCGGAGGCGGTCGCACATTTCCGGTCCAGCAACAATATCATCCTTGCTCGCCAAGTATGCTGCAAGACCAGCGATGTGAGGTGTAGCCATGGAGGTGCCGGTCAACGCCTTAGTGGTTCCATTAAGGTAAGTGGACAAAACCTTTACAGCAGGTGCAAGGATATCGACCAGAGGACCCCAGTTGGAGTTCTTGTAACGAGTATCATCTTCAGCCGTGCCACCGACGGTGCAAGCTTCAGGAGTGTTGCCCGGAGAGTGTGTAGACGCATTCGCGTTATCATTACCAGCGGCAACAGCGACAAAGACACCCTCAGCGACCAAGGCAGCGGTAGCATCATTCTTGGCCTGCATAGGATCTCCTCCAAGAGACATGTTGACAACAACACCGTTGGGGCAGTTTCGCGATTTGGCATCATCAACGACGCTGTTAATGGCTGCGATGATGTTGGCACTGCTACCGCTGCAGTGTCCTGATGTTTCGTTCTTCTTCAGCACCTTCATTCCCAGAAGTTGCACCTTCTTTGCGACTCCGTAAGTCTTGCTGCCAATGGTACCAGCAACGTGAGTACCATGGCCACAGGTGTCGAGATGATTGTCTCCAGTCCAGTAGTTGATCATTTCCGCACGCCCTTCGAATTCCTAGCGCATGGTTAGAGCAGGTGTTCCCAGACCCTCTTGTTGGTAGTAGGGGTTTCTTGGAGAAGATACTTACGGGATGGTCCAATTCGATGCCACTGTCGATCACATACGCGCAAACTCCAGCGCCATGGCCTGATGCATCGTACGTGTACTCATCGATACCCTGCTTTCTGTGGGAAATGCGGCCAAGACCCCAGGTCGAGCCTTCTTGGGTAACGTAGCCCTCGGCCACAACGGTGTTGTCCTGTTCAATATAGTCTACCTCGGGATGCAGACGCAGCATGTTGACAGCCTTGGTGTCGAGCTGGGAGGCGAAGCCTCTGAAGATACCGCGGTATTCATGCTGGGGCTTCACACCTAGCTGAGCGACAATGTTGTCGAGAACGTCGAGGGAGCTTCCCTTGCGAAGTTTGACAATATAGTTGTTCTCGATGCGGTTTTCGCTGCGCGAGACGAGAAACGGCGCGGGTTCCTCTCTCTTGGTGACGGCAGGGCTAGATAATGCCAATGGCAGTAGAGAAATGAACACTGAGAGTTGCATCTTTTCTCCTAGATTTAAATGAGCCGACGGTGAACGAGTGTGTGTCGATGTGCTTGCGCATGTCATCCGCAGGGTCGGCTGCCGACGACCCTTTATACGAGGGGCATGGCCTTCCACATTTGTTAAATTGGAGTCAATAGCGTCGCTACTCTAGATAGTTGCAACTGCAGCGCAATGGGCCCATACGATGCAATTTGGGTGGCCAAGGCTAGTCATGTCAGCCGCCGAAATGCAGCGGCCTAGTCCGTATAAGCTAAGTTACAGGGGACCGACCGTCCTATGGACGCCAAAAGCCCACGCCGCTAGGCGACGCGCTTAGCGGGAAGCTAATCGGGTACAACAATAACGAGAGGTAGAAAAAAGGAGCGATGAAAGGTCGAGATGGGGGTTTTACGACGGACACGGACAATCTTGCGACACTATAGACTTGCGACTTGAAAAGGACTAGAAGAAACCATTACAGCTAGCTTAGCTCTATGAAATTACTGACAGAATGGAGTTGTCCACTTACCAAAACATGCCAAGTCCCTAATTTCTTCCCTGGGGCCTGTAGACTTCTAGAATGCCACTGTAAATCTCATAGCCACCCGAGCAGCCAACCACAAAGGAACTGGGAACACGCTGCAGTGTACAATGCGACTCTGCTCTGGTCCGTTCGCCGTCTGTGTTAAATTCTCCACAAGAATTGCATCGTCGAAATTCAATGTTTATTTTTCTCTTCTTCTCGTTGTTTTTCGCACATGCCAAATAGCAAAATGCCGACATGGGTGGTTCCGTCAGCCCAATCGGTTCTGGACCCGATCGTGGAAAGGGACCCTGAGCCATCACGTGTAGCAGCTGCACCAAACATTTTTGGTTGTCGATAACCAACTGCCTTATCTTATCAGAAATTTTTTGATGACCCCACGTCACGGCAGACATTGCAAATTGCTTGAGTTCGGTGCATATTTCGCCCCAGCGTATTAAGCCCATTCAGGTGACTGATTACGTACCTTTTCCATTTTACTCGATTACAGGAGAATATATCAGCATAATACCGAATACTAAAATATCGCCTCACAACATTATAACCATGGCCACCCCATCCGAGGCCGTCGAGTCCGCAGCGACCACCCCGCGCGAAACAACTACCAAACCCATCCACAGTCTAGTTCTTGATACTGGACCTTTGATCAAGAACGATCCCTCCGCAAGCGCCTTGATTGCGCAGGCAGAGAAGCTGTATATCCTTCCCTCAGTCATCCCCGAAATCAAAGACAAAGCCACACGAACTCGAGTCGAAACTACAATCCTGCCTTTCGTCACTGTGCGCTCGCCGAACCCAACAAGTTTGAAGTTTGTGCGGGAGTTTGCTCGTAAAACAGGTGATTTATCTGTGCTGAGCAAGCCCGATCTGGAGGTTCTGGCTCTAGGATATGAACTCGAATGCGAAAGAAATGGAGGCGACTGGCGCTTGAGAAATACACCCGCACAAAAAGGTCTGAATGGTAGTCCTCCTCACAAGGAGGGAGAGGCCACAGCAAATGGAGAAGAGGTGACCCTGTCGGAAACTACAGAAGCAGTTGATTCTGCCGAAACAACTGCAGAACCAGCTGTAGAAAACGCAGCCGAGGCGGAAGTAGGAGAGAAGATTGAGAACTTGGACATCCAAGAAACAAATGGTGCCGATATCGAGGAACCTGTGGCCGACCAGACTGAACAGGCTGAGCAGCCCGAAGAGGTCGAGGAGGCTGCCGAGGACGAAGATGGCGATGCATCAGATGACGATGGCGACTGGATTACGCCGTCCAACTTGACAAAGCACAAAGCCAAGGACAGCACCGCCTCCACCCCATCCCAAGTCCCCCAGAAGACTCTCCAGGCTGCCGTCCTGACCTCTGATTTCGCCATGCAAAACGTCGCGCTCCGCATGAACATGAACCTCGTCACCCCCGCATTCACCCGTATCACACACCTCAAGACCTGGGTCCTCCGCTGCCACGGCTGCTTCAAGACCACTAAGGATATGGACAAGCGCTTCTGCCCCAACTGCGGCCAGCCCAACCTCACCCGCACCAGCTGCTCCACCGACCAGCACGGTAACTTCAAGATCCACCTGAAGAAGAACTTCCAGTGGAACAACCGCGGCAACATCTACAGCGTGCCTAAACCCACCCACGGTAGCGCCAACGGTAGACTGGCCAAGAACTCTGCTGGTCAAGGCAACTGGGGCAGCGACCTCATCCTCGCCGAGGACCAGAAAGAGTATGTCCGTGCTAGCGATGCCCAGCGCCGAGCCAAGAAGAAGGATCTCATGGATGACGACTATCTCCCCAACATTCTCAGTGGTGACCGATCTGGCGGAGGCAAGATCCGCGTTGGCGCTGGAAGAAACGTCAACTCTAGGCGCAGAAACTAAATAGACCGTGCCTACGGGGTTATAATGAGTTTGGACAAATTTTGCATTGGGCTGGTATTTTTTTCGGGTATATCTGGGAGCATCCAACAGTCGTTGTCTTGTTTTCTACCTTCATGAACACATCATCTTTCCGTCGTACATTTCACATAGACCATTTTATAGTTGAATAATGCACGAAGTTTTATTGAAATTTCCATGCAAATATATGCCCCAAAGAATTCCACAGCGCCAAAGAAAAAGAAAAAAGGTTTTGTTCCCAAACGCCATTACATAAAGAAAAAGGAAAAGGCTAGGTAGAGATCATATCTCTCCATGCGTATGGTTTGCGTTTCCCCAAAGTTCAAATATACAGCTCTCCATCGATTGATCGATTACTCCTCCTCTGCGAGCGGCTAGTTAGCATTGGTGTCCCGGGGGTTGGTGTGTGTTTGCAGACGCTCCGTCTAGAAAGCTGGGGGCTTCACGACGGCGCAGCTCGGGGAGGCCATTTCACGTACTCTGCTGGGTCAACAGAAGGTTAAAGCGGCGCTTAAGAGTGACACGCTGGCGAGACCACTTGTCGTCGGGAGAGAAACGAGCAGGGTGAGCAGACTTGGTGACCTGGCCGTGGGCGACCTTCTTGAGGGTGTAGAGGCGGTTGCCCTCCTTGTCAAGAGTGTACATCAAATGCATTTTGAAAGAATTCGGTCGAAATTCGAAAGTTTTAAGAGGTTATTGACGTTGTTTGGTTTGGTTGTGGTCGGCAATTGGGGCTATTGGGTAGATTGCTTGCGAATACTCGTTCTACGCAAAAAAGTTTCGGATCGTGATGGAGGTCCACGGCAAAAAATTTCCTAGCAATGGCGGTCACGTGCACAGAGCTTTATCGATAAAATTTTCCCAAACAGGCAAACGGGCATGCATTACACTCGACTTCACCTATCATTTCATAGGAGCTGTATAGTAGACAATTTGGTGGCATTGATTTCATAAAATAAGTCATAGATTGCAGAATTTCCAAAGAATACAAAGCTAAATTCCAAATGCGGGCATGCAATGGCTGGAGATTCCAGCAAAAATAAACAGCAAAATGGGGGTGTGAAGAATGGAAAGTCTGCAGCAGCCCTCACAACATGGTCTTGGGCATATTTGCATGTTGGCAGATGTCACTTGTAGCGCATTGCCAAAAGTAAATTCAGCACATTAGTCTTCCTCTCCAACACGAGCTCCATTGCCTCCAGCCCATCCATCCTTCTCGTAGAATCGGAAGATGAGGTTATAGTCGTCAAAGTCGTGTACAATGCGATCAACGCGGCGGTATCCGCGAACTGGATCCGCGAGCTTCTTGCCAGTAATGCCGTGAATGGCATCGCTGCCAATGCCGTAGGGGTTGACGCGGCGGCCTTTCGCCTCGAACAAAGTCACGCTAAAGCGCCCAGGCTTGAAAATGCCAACAACATGCTCAATGATTTCAGCAGTGGTGCGACCGTTCTGGCCACCAGGAACATTGGTTTCAAAGGATGCAAATGAAAATCCAGACTCGGGCGTAACATGAACAGTGAAGTAGTGGGCAGCCTTGTTCTGGCCCTCGGTAGAGGGGGGAGGAGGGACAATGCCGTTGGCAGAAAATCCGCAGGGGCTGAACAGATAACCGTCAATGCGAGCATCAGGGTACACCAAAGTGGGATACACATCAGCAAGTCCGCAGTTCTCACTAATAAAGGTGCCCAAAGCATGCCCCTCAGTGGTGAGTGCGTCATCGGCAAGCGGCTTATCGCCGGTATCAGCAACGTTCTCGTGCAAGTCAGAGTCGCTACCGTTGCAAAAGACGTCGACTTCATCCATGGTCTCATCGGCAGCGATTCCTTGAGCTTTACGAGCTGCCTTGGTCTCCGCTGCTTGTTTGGCACAGGCACTGGCGCTAGCATGCGAGAGGAAGAATTGCTTCGCGTTCTCGGGATCGAGGTCGGTCATCAGAATCTCAAGCGTTTCGTCCACGTATTCGTCGCCTGTGGTTTCAGTGGCAACCAAATCAGGGTGACCGTTAAGATGGTCGGCAACAGCACTGTCAAGCTCCGACTGAGGCGTGATGGGCGGGGTAAGTTCTTGGTTAGGGGAAGTGATGTACAGGTACCAATGGTCACCATTCATTTTACCAACCATGTAAGCGCTGCCATGGCCAAGACTCTCGTCGAGATACTTAACCTCCTGCTTCCAGCTTCGGTGAGGTCCCTGTTGCTTGTCGGGGAACAGGAAGTTCTTGCGACTGTAAAAGACGCGGTATGGGGTGGCGGCCGCCTTGATCTCACTGACTGACTTGGCGTTCTTGAAAGGGAATCCAGCCTCAGATGCAGCAATGTGAAGCATACGCTGCAGACCCAGCAAAAGGGTTGTAGTACCGCACGTCTTAAGAATCAGCTTGTGTGGGAATACAAACATGCTAGACTCGGACAAAAGATAGGCATCAACGCTCTCAGATTCAAGCACCGAGAGGATCTTGCAGTGAACCATATCGAGCATGGTTACCCATGTGTCCTTAGCAACAGCCTTTAGGCCAAGAGGAGATGCACCTGCAGGAAGAGCATCGGCGCTAGGAGCAAACCAAACCTCCAGGAGCTTCTCAGGGCCCTCGAAGGCGTTGCTTGAGTCTAGATCAGCAACAACATCATGATTGATGGTCAATTGAGGCGTGGCCGAGGAAGGTGAGAACGTATAGTTGCTCGGAACAGAAAAGCTGACCATCCTCACGAATGTCAGGGCGCTCGCTCGGTCGGTCGTTTGATTGGTGCCGGTAAGTCGCTGTGTTCAATGCCCGTATGGCAGAGTCCGCGGAGCACTAGCTGCCACTCAAACAGACGGTTTGGGGTCTGCTTGAGAGAGTAGGCCCACAGGAGTGTGGTGCTTCTTTATGTGCTGGCGGAAGCCAGCAGCAGTTCAGATACTTGAGGGTATTCGGGAAAAGGGCTAACGTCTCTTGGGAAGACGTTAAGGAGGGCGGAGGATAGTGGTGAGAAAGATTTGCTTGCTCGACGGAATTGTGGTCGACGGTCTGTAGTCCGATACCTGTGGCTGAGTATCGGATCTAGCAGACAAGGATATCTGCTTTGTGTATGTAGGATATGGTGGTGTTGGTGGTTTGATACCGAGGCGAGAGTCGTGCTATCGTGGCCTGGGAGGAATATTGTCAGCAACTCTATAATAAACCAATACATTGCTCAAGCCAATCATACTCACTTGGAAGGGCGGGAGAAGAGGAATCGAAGTGAGTTCTGCGAACGCATAGAAAACCAGTCAGGTACCGCTGCGAGTGGAAATCAGGAAGAACCGTCCAACAGTGGGCAGTCTACCGAGTGGTGCAAGGGTGCTCGATAGTTTAAATTTGAGGAATCGACATTGATTTTGCAGAGTACAAAATCAACTTTCTGGTGCAGTTTGTTTGTCAGTGACAAGATGAGAGGGAACTGAAGAGGGGACAAAGACGAGACGAGCAGGTCATGGAAGAAAAAAAAGACTTTGTTCCCCACGTCAGTCGTGTGTGCGCTAAAATTGGGCCGTTTCTGGTTGGGTGGTGGGAAAAAAATTGGCTGGCTTGCTGGGCGGTTCCCACTTTGGGCAGGTAGGAGGGAAGGATTGGTTACGGGCTTGGCCGGGGCGCGGAGGGAGCGAGATGGAATAAAGTACTTGTTTAAAAGAATTAGTGGAAGCCCGGATTTTAATATAAATCCTCTGTATTTTACATACGCTGCCAATCTATCTACAACCAAATGCTCAGCTTGAAGCTACGTCAAAGTTTTTTCTTTGGCCAAGTTTTCACCAGCGACCTCCAGTTTGCCAACCAAGTGGGCTGTAGGCGCCGTCACCGTAGAACATTTACAGCGATGACGGTGGTAGTGGGCCTCTATACCCCGCCTGCGTAGGCGCAAAGCTTGCCCCTCGTTCCTCAAGGCTGGCTGGGATGGCCGCCCAAACAGTGACGCGGGGCAGGCCGGGAGAGTCGTCAACAGTTGATTTCTAGCAACTCTTTGCCGATTTCCGTAAATACTACCGTTTGACTGCCTATCAATATCAATTGTTTGCAATGCGCCATTTTTCCACATGCAGGAAAAACACGTCGCACTCTTTGTCCCCTCTCGTAATCAATATTCCCTCGGATATGCAGAGCCGCACTCATGCACGTGAGCCTCGTCCTTCGAAGCCCTCGCATCGGGGAGCATCGCCGCTTGCACAGATGCGACTCCAAACAAAAGATCTTCATCATCATCTCATCATCATTAAAATCTATATGGGCTCATGTGCTAGTGGTTTTTGTAATATCTCCCACCACTCTATCCGTCACCCCTCGCACCACTCTGTAAAGAGAGCAATCTTTGTACTTGTCCATCAGCGTACCCTCATTGTCTCTCTCAGTCTCTGTCCTCCCGACGTCCTCGCCATTGATTATCGTGCCCACCGGATATATAGGTCGACGGCCTTCTTCCACCAATGTGATAAATTGGGAGTCCATGGGTATTGAGCCAAGGAATGGGACATTGAACTCGGTAGCCATCACCTTTCCTCCACCAGACCCAAAGATATCTGTGCATTCTGAGCAATGAGGGCAGACAAAGCCGCTCATATTTTCAAGAACGCCTAATACCTTGATACCTGTTTTCGCGCAAAAGTTGAGCTCCTTGCGCACGTCGGCTGTGGCGACTGCTTGTGGCGTGGTGACAACAACGGCACCAGCAACTTGTCCTGGTAGCGCATCTCGTTGCAATGTCTCGGCCAGAGAAATATGCTCGTCGCTAGTTCCTGGGGGAGTGTCGATCAATAGGTAATCCGTCTCGTCCCATAGAACGTCCTTGAAAAACTGGCGAATCATGGCTGTCTTCTTCGGTCCTCTCCACACAACAGCGTCTCCGCGTCGCGGTAGAAGAAACCCAAGGCTCATTGCGTGCAAACTGCCAGTACCTTTCGAAGCGTCAGCTTCTTGCACGCACACAGGCGACCATCCTCCGGGAACTTGTGTAACTTTCGAGGATTCGATCGAGAGCATTCGAGGGATCGATGGGCCCGTCAGGTCAATGTCGAGAATGCCGACCTTGTGCCCAGCCAGAGCTAGAGCGAGGGCTAGCTGCGTTGTGACAGATGATTTTCCAACTCCTCCTTTACCCGAAAGCACCTTTAAATGGTTAGCTTCTGAAGAAGACGCTACAGGTGCTGTGCGATGCGTACCAAGACTACATGTTGTACTTTTTCAAGTCCCATGGTGGCGACTCCCTACCCTATGCCTAGCTGTGTTTTGAAGCCGTAATCCGTCAGCTGTTGGTAGAGTTCTTTCCACAATATTTATTTGAGTTTAATCAATGTTTGGGATTTTTGACCGAAATAATATGTGATATTTGAGGAGCGTCGAGGAAACTATTGCAGCAACATAAAATATTTTGTTGATTAGCAAGCAAACTACGCCTGTCATCCAGCGGCATCAGCGGATTGGAAATCGCTGCCCCACTTCCAAGCTGGAAACGTACACATGCCATCTCAGACACTGCACAATCATTTCCTTGAGACGCTATGAATTTGATCTCTAATGCTTTGTGATGAGACATAAATATTATAAACAATACAATACAATCACAGCATTCCCTATGCTGGTGATGAGCTAGCCGACTCTAAAGGGCCGCATCCTGGTGAGGGAGGAGGCTCTTGAGAACTTCCCTTACCGCATACGAAATGAATAGAGCCTTTGCGGAAAGCAACAATTGGTTTTTCATCTTCATAATATCCAATAAACTCAGCAGAATCGGTTATATAAGTTGGAGAATTGGTGAGGAATCGGACAATCGGGTCCCCATTGGTTGTGAATCCGACGAATTCTGCGAGCGGCGTGTCGTTTACGTTACGTTCCGAGAGATTCCTTACTGTGGTACTAAACTACAGGTTAGTATCATGATGATATTCTTTTTCTTGGTATGCACGTACGCGTCGCTCAAGGACCTGGGGCTGGTGTTGGTATTCAAGGTCAAGACCGGCCTTGTTTGCGCACCAGCGGCTTCTGGGTCTGATGACAACGTAGATGACGATGACGGGAGCGTGCCAATATGCGAATTATGTCGCATCTTGCTGACTTTTCTTGATGTGCAATCATGAAAGAGGTGAAGGAATCCTGCAATAACCAAGACAGGGGTGCCTAACGCCAATGCCCATGGCCTGAATTTATGATGTCAGCACAACCTCTCTTAAGCATCGAGCGTAACTTACGGATGTCTTCGGTCTTGAAGGGTATGGAACATTGCGAGAATTATACCCACAATGGCGATAAGGGATCCAATTTGCATCATAGTCCAAGTCGACCAATATAGCGACATGAGGTCCTCGCCATCGCAAAACTGTAGTGCAAGCAGCGCGTATGCCTCCATGGTCACAATAACCGTTGATACGAGGACACAGATCGAGCACAACAGAATGTACTTCTTGAGAGCCGCTGACTTCTTGTGAGAATTCCCTTGGTATGTCTCACACGCCTGCTGGCCTCTGCCCCTTTGTTAGCTGCGACAAAACGGAACAGCGCCGAAGCTGGGGACTTACTTTGTATAAATCCAGGACGCCAAAAACAAGACGATGAGATTTGTTATAAACATAAACCAGTATATGATCTTGAACTGCCATCGCACCATGTGTGATGCAAACTGGGCATATTTTTTGCATAGCTCGGGGTTGGGTTCCATGGTTCGATAGGGCTGGCGGATGAGGCTGACTACTCGCTGGCGGGTGATGGTCACAAAGCGAAGAGCCTTGATCTAAATACCATTCTAGATTCTCTTTCCATGAGCATGATCGACTATATACCCCTTGACAGAATGAAACCAGGCGGTATTCGGGTGCAATAGGAGCAAGCCAAGACGAGGTTTGGGCCTCAAGATGGCGGCATGCTACGCAAGCGGAAACACAAGAGGTCTGTTGCCAAGAACGATCATCTATGCTACATACAGCTTTCACTTCGTACGGATAATTAAGCTCTAACAAATCACAAGGGCAGAAACGACCTCGTTACTAGATAACGGATGTCGACTGGTCAGCTCTGCAGTCAGCGTCATCATGCACAGAAGGTTTGTTGAACTCTGTTTAGTCTGGATACCTAGAAGGCAAAATCTTCTAGCTAACTGCTAAAAATTGGGAAGAGAAAGAGATAGGAGTACGATGAGATCTACCGCCCTTTCACAGACTGGATACAGCCTAATGCTGTGCAATGCATGCCAAGAGGACCGGAGGTGACTGCCGCCGGACGAATGCGCTAGAAACGCTGAGAGCCAAGACATTAGCGCCAGTCTTACAGTAGGTTATTTACTGGGGCTGGAAGCAATATGGCACTGATTTTCGGCCGCAAAGCTACTGACAGCGCTCCAGTTGAAGGGAGCCGGTGTTTGCAATGGCGCTGACCCCCATCTCTGGAATTCCCTGTGGTCTTGGCTGTTGATCTAGATGACTTGCCAAGATGTTGGGTGCAGTAAACTAAAAGCTACATTCTGTTTCAGGACCGTTGAAATCTACAGCCAAGCAAGGCGTCGTCAGGGCAGAAGCCTCCTATATCCAGGACGGCTGAGACAGCGACCTCGCAAACAATTTGATTATCATTTCCTCCAGCAACAACGAAACCATGGACGTTGCCCTAAGCACCAACGCACATATTTCGTGCATTGCATAATTCTAGGCAGTGTAACGCAAATAGGGTTTTGTGGGTGACGCTCCTCGAGGAAGTTTGTGCTCCGCCGCGATGTGTGACGCTGAGGTATGCTGGCGCCTGCGCAGAGTGCCCATTGCGGTATCACTGGGCAGGTTACGCAGAGCGAGGCTAAGTGAGACAGCTTGGCTTGGCAGTCAAATCTTAAATCAACGCACGCTGTATCTTCATAGGGCGGTGCGCCGTGTGGGCAGAAGTGGTATGAGCCTAAATGGGGGCTTACACTGTTTGCGACGCACACTGAGACCTTGGCGCCTGCACAGCCACGGCGGTTGACAACAACTAAGCAGACAAGTAAGAAAGCGAGATAAGGGAGAGGTTACCAGTCCTCTTGGCCTGTTACCGACATTACAGAGCTCGTTTCGAAAGGGATGCAGAGGCTGAGCACGTATCACCCAAAAGAGTAATCTCTGTTCGGAAGGGCGGGCGGCTTACCGGCAGCACCAGCTTAGAGAGTGGCCGATGCGATCGGATAGATGAGCCCAGATGGCTTCACCCAAATGGGCTATTTTGTTAAGTTGGCCCTGAAACAGCCCTAAAGGGACTAAATGAGGTCCAGGGTACGCTAAAATGAATTACTCTTTACAGACAGAATACGAAAGCGGGAACTGGCTACCGGCCTTTAAACGGCGTCGCTCCCGTCGGATATTTTTAAGCCCTCCACTCGACCTGCAAAGACGTCATTCCACCCCTCCTTCGCCTACAGCCACTATGAAGTCCGTAGAAGGACCCGGCCTGAGTGACAGATAGCTACCAAACTCGGCTGTCGTGCTATTTGGACGCGGGGACAGGTCAGGTGCTAGTTTAAAATGCTGCCGTGTTTCCATCCCGGAGTTGGCAAAGGACTTTCTGAGATGAATATACCAACAGCGTGCCCCCCTTCTACAACAAACAGAGCCCCGTCCATTGTGGAACAATTGGATCTTCATCGATACTACCTCGGACTCCTTCGCGTATAAAGGTTGAATAAATAGACGGTGTTTCTTTCTTTAAATGCACATGCCCTCCTCCGCTTGATCCGACAATACTAAACGATTTGGCATCTCCATACTATTGGAGGTTATCAGCTTCACGTACAACACATTACTACCAACATGGCTGTTACAACATCAGAAGCCATAGATACACAAAAGCCTCTGGCTGGTAAAGTCTTTGCTGTTACCGGTGGCGCGAGTGGCATTGGGTTTGCGACAGCCAAGATCCTCTCTGCAAAGGGAGGCGTGGTCTGCGTCGCCGATGTGGATGCAAAGGCTATGAAAGATGCCGCTGACTATTTTACCAGCATCAACGCCGAATTCATGATTGAGAAAGTCGACGTGTCGAAACGGAAAGAGGTGGACGGCTGGATCCAGTCAATTGTTGATAAACACGGGAGATTGGACGGCGCCGCCAACGTTGCTGGTATTATCGGCAAAGACCATGGCGTTGCCGCCGTGTCAGAGCTAGACGATGACGAATGGGACAGGATTATCGCTGTAAACCTCACGGGCGCCATGTATTGTTTGCGAGCGGAGCTACGAAATATTGTCAATGGCGGATCTATTGTTAACGTGTCGTCAATCCATGGAATCAAGGGTGAGTTGCAGTCCATAGGCAAACTCAGTAAATCGTGACGAGGCGGCTAATGTTTTTCATTTTTATATATAGGCTTTGCTAGACATGGCGCGTACGATGCTAGCAAACACGGCATGATCGGCCTCACAAAAGCTGCAGCTCTAGAGAATGGAAATCGAGAAGTGCGCGTCAATAGTGTGGCACCCGGGGCCATCTACACGCCGCTGATGCAGAAGAACTGGGATGCCAACAACCGACCGAGCGATGCGCCGTTTGACGAGCCCACAGCGTTTCAGCGACAAGGGACGGCTGAAGAGACAGCCAATGTCATTGTATTTCTACTGAGCCCGGAGAGCAGTTTCGTTAGTGGAAGCGTGTACCAGGTCGATGGCGCGTGGATATAGAGAGGTGTGTAGGTGGGTGACAGGAGGTTATCTGTTTTTTTTAATTCCTATAGAAAGAAGGATGTATTATTTGCAAGGACAGAGAATCGAGAATGGATAAACCCTCGTCATGCGTTTTCTGTAGTTTTTTGGCATCTCTACGGTTGCAGCTCTCCAGCTACTTGGGCATAAATTTACAGTGCCTGCTACAGTGCCTTTTTATGGGTTGGGCTGTGCCGAGCAGTGCTGTACTGTACCGAAGGGCGACAAGGTTGCATCTACAGCGGTCAACAGCGGTGGCCCTCCCCGCATTTTGCCTAGCGCCTTCTGTGCCGCTGGTAAATTACTGGCCTGGCTGCCGCTGTTGCGTGCTTGTGCCTGCGCTTTCGTTTCGCCTCCCCCGCCGCCACCTGGCCGGGAGCGGTCCCACACCTGCCTGCACCTGCACCTGCTAAATTGTATCCCGTCGGCTTCGTCCAGATCGCCCTCCCCTCGGATCCAAGGTCTACATTACTCCGAACCACCGCCATCAATTACCCGCCGGCAGCATCTGCTATCTGGCCCTTAAACTAGCCTTGGATTGTGCAGGGCCCTTGTCTACCCGCGCTTTGTCTCGCGCATCTGCTTTTCCCCAATGTCTCGCCTGGTCGACGACGATCGGGAGATGGACCGGGTGGAGGATGCAACTGCCGTTGACGATGGAGAGCACGCTCGCCCGCGCAAGAGAACCAGACGAGCATGCGACAAGTGCAGCTCGTCGAGAACAAGATGCGACGGTGAATTGTAAGTTTTGCGCGTGTGATAGCTACCAAGTACCAGCGGAATTGCTAACCCTTTCTTTGCTCTAGTCCTTGTCGAAGATGCGCCGGTAAGGTGTCCTGCTCCAGCTTGCAGCGCGCAAATGCGATACATTGTCAGCGCTGCCTCATGGTCACGCATATTGCTAACTGTTGATTTCGCTTACAGAATACGGCTATGCTTGCCACTACAATCGCGAAGTTAAGAAGCGCGGTCGCCTTCGTGCCAACGACGCAGCCAAACGGGAGCAAACGTCGCCAAAGGCAGACACTGCTCAACCGACGACCAAGGACTCGCCCGCAGCGCCATCACCTTCGTACTCGTCGCCAACCCCTCGAATGTCGATTCCACCTATTTCTGAGGAGAGAGTTGGTGGTTTTCGACCCATCAACAACCATCAATCCCCGTCATCGAATGATTCGCCCCTGCTAAAAGATGCCAGCTATGCTCCCAATCCGCCACAGAACCGGACGTCGGCGCACCTAAACATCACATCCTTGGTCAATGCCAGCTATCAGTCACATCAACCATCTAACCAAATGTCTCCTCCGGGCGCTCTCCCAGATGGACGAGATCGGGACATTGGTCAGTCGGAGGGCTACCCATCTCCTGCCCAAGCTTTTCAGCCCAGTGAACACGGCGGCCGGCGCGAGCACAGGCCGTCGTTCCATTCAAACGCTAGTAACGAGCGAATCAGGGAGTCTTTAAGCAGCTCTGCCGGTCGACGCGATACCTATTCACAGGAAGGCTACTCAAGAAACAAGACCGACGACTGCCAATACAAATTTCTGCAGCCCGTGCTCCCGTACATCCGACATATCATCTCTCCTGCAGTTGCCTGTGAGCTACTCGACATTTTCCTCACGGATCCAGGCAGCTCGCTCTTCCGCGGCGCATCGCCTTACATTCTTACTAGGATCTTCCGAAAAAAGTCTATCCTGCATCCGACAAACCCGCGAAATACCACTCCAGCACTATTAGCAACAATACTGTGGTGTGTCGCTCAAACAGCAGACGTCATGGTCCTACATGTCCCGGGAACACGCGCTCGTATAGTCAATGAGCTTTACAATGTCGCAACTGCTTTGGTTTCAGAGCGTGACCCTGACAGATGGAGGAGAATTCACGGCGGCCTTTCTGCGGAAAACGATGCTCCTCACCCTGGACAAATTGGTTCCGCCATTCTGCCAACGACAAGCGTCGCCAATGAGCCAGTGGGGTTGGTGGACGATGTCCTTACCTTTATTCTGCTGTCCATTGCGGTTTCTGGTGGCGACTTCAAATCCGACTGTTATAAGTGGTGGTCCAAGGCTGTACGGTTGGCGTTTTCTCTTCGACTGCATCGCGAAGATGAGCGCTGTACTGGACCTGTATCACCTTGTGCAAACCCGCTTTGCACTTGCCATCGTGATGAGGAGCCTCGTACCATTCAGCAGGTCGAGAGACAAGAGGAGAGGCGGCGAGTGTTTTGGCTTCTATATAGCCTGGATCGACACTTGTCTTTGTCCTTCAACACCATCGTCACCATTCCAGATTCCTATCTAGAGATTTACAGTAAGTCACTGCTTGGGATAGTAGGCCAATATATAGGACATCCACTAACTATCAACAGCTCCTCTGCCCAACGCCGTGTGGGAAAATCTCGACTCCATACCGTCCATGGACTTTCCAGTCCGCGCATACGGCCCACCCACTCTCGCTACAGGAACCGAATTCTTCGAATATTTCTTGCCGTTGATGGCTATTCTAGGCGACATTATTGAAATCCACCACCGCCGACGACATCCACGCTTCGGTGGTCTTGATGACGCACACTCTGTGGCTGTGGTAGCCAAGATGCTGGCTGATTTTGAGTACAGTCTTGAAGGCCTCTCTACCGAGAGTGCCATTCGTGGCTATTCATCAGCGCCTGTAATTTCGCTAAACGGAAATGGTGGCCCCATTCCGAATTCGTCGTCCTTCTCGACGGACCAAGCCAAAGCACGTCTTGTTAAGGCTTATTCGACGCACATACTTCACGTCCTCCATGTATTGCTCCACGGAAAATGGGATGCACTTTCCATGTTGGACGATGGAGATGATTGGATTACATCGGATCACTTTACAAAATGCGCATCCCACGCGGTCATGGCGTCACAATCCGTTTCCACGATCCTTACCATTGATCCAGAGTTGACCTTTATGTCTTATCTATTTGGCATATATCTTCTACAAGGTAGTTTTATTTTGCTTCTCTTCGCTGACCGCATGCCTCAGCTTGGACCTAATGAGTCCGTTGAGCAGGCGTGTGAGACCATTATCCGTGCTCACGAAGTCTGCGTGGTTACGCTCAGCACAGAATTCCAGGTAAGTCTGGCTACTAGCGACTTTCTTTTTGCTTTATACACAGAGCTAACTCTCCTTAATAGAAAAATTTCCGCAAAGTGGTTCGGTCAACATTATACAGCGTTCGTGGTGCTGGTACGACCAACTGGGAGGAGCACAGAGCAAGACGCAGAGCGCTCTCACTCTACCGATGGACCAAAGGTGCAAAAGGGCTTGCTCTTTAATCCTCAATGGTCTTCAGAGCCACCTTGTTCTAATTTTTTCTTGTATATATCTTCTTCTTTTTTTTTACTTTTTGGTGTTAGGTATTGTTGCAAGCATAGCGGTAGATAGTGTATGGGTATGTGTGATGTAAATATTATTTTCTTATCCAAATCTCATTGAAAGCTTGATATATTTACACCCACAAGTTCTAAGACTTTAAAAATATATCTAGAAATTTTATTCCGTAAAATATCTTCGCAGGTCGTAGGTTCAATGTCTATTCACAGTCGTAGTATTAGTGCCAGCACGGCGTCGGAGAAATTTTGTTGCTAAAGACTTGTGCCCCGCCTCCACACGTTTGTTCAACACTTGAACGTTGGTGGGATGTTGCCACAGAAGTGCACCCGCTGCCTCAACCTTCCAACGACAACTTCAGGCGGCTACACATCGCCTCTGCATTTAATTCCGGCATGGTTCTTCAAGATCTCGGCCGTCGCATCAATGCGGCGGTCACTAATTTGACCCGAGACCAGAATCTCGATGAAAAGGTGGGCTACTTGGGCGCGCACGAGATCGGCCCAAAAGGGTCGCCTGTCGCTGGACTGCGCTAACGTCTTGGATTTATCATACAGGCTTTCGATTCTATGCTGAAAGAAATTTGTGCTGCTCTTCTGGAAGCCGATGTCAACGTGCGCCTCGTCGGACAGCTGCGCAAATCGATCAAGTCAACTGTCAACTTCAAGGAGCTGCCTCCCGCCGTCAACAAGAAACGATTAATTCAGAAGGCTGTCTTTGATGAGCTCGTTAAGCTTGTCGATCCCCATGCTGAGCCGTTCAAGCCGAAGAAAGGCAAGCCCAACGTTATTATGTTTGTTGGTCTGCAGGGTGCTGGTAAAACAACGACATGTACAAAGCTTGCGAGACATTATCAGACAAGAGGCTTCAAGGCCTGCTTGGTTTGCGCGGATACTTTCAGAGCCGGTGCTTTTGATCAGCTGAAGCAAAACGCGACAAAGGCCAAGATCCCCTACTACGGTTCTCTGACGGAGACGGATCCCGCTGCAGTTGCCAGGGCCGGTGTCGAGCAGTTCAAGAAGGAAAAGTTTGATATTATTATCGTTGATACATCAGGAAGACATCGCCAAGAGTCGGCACTCTTCCAAGAAATGATTGATATTCAAGAAGCCGTCAAGCCAGATGAGACCATTATGGTTCTGGATGCCTCGATCGGTCAGCAGGCTGAGTCTCAGGCTAAGGCCTTCAAAGAGGCTGCTGACTTTGGAGCCATCATCATCACAAAGACCGACGGCCACGCACACGGTGGTGGTGCCATCTCTGCTGTCGCTGCCACTCACACACCCATTGTGTTTATCGGTACTGGTGAGCACATGCTTGATCTCGAACGATTCGCGCCCCAGCAGTTTGTCCAAAAGTTGTTGGGCATGGGAGATATGCAAGGTCTTGTGGAACATGTTCAGAGCCTTAACCTCAACCAAAAGGATACTATGAAACACATCCAAGAAGGTATCTTTACGGTTCGTGATCTGCGTGATCAACTCTCCAATATTATGAAGATGGGTCCCCTCTCCAAGATGGCAGGCATGATTCCTGGTATGGGCAACCTTATGCAAGGCATGGATGATGAGGAGGGCGGTGCTAAGCTTAAGCGTATGATTTACATTTGCGACTCCATGACCGAGAAGGAACTCGACTCGGACGGCAAGATTCTCATCGACCAGCCTACACGCATGACCCGTATTGCTCGCGGATCCGGAACATCAGTCCGCGAGGTGGAGGACTTGCTCACACAGCAGCGCATGATGGCCGGCATGGCCAAGAAGATGGGAGGCAACATGAAGAACATGCAGCGGGCTCAGCAGGCCATGGGCGGCGGTAACAAGGCTCAGCAGATGGCCGCTATGCAGAAGCGTCTACAGAGTATGGGTGGCGGCGCCGGTGGTGCAGGTGGTATGCCCGATTTGTCGTCCATGATGAAGATGCTCGGTGGTGGTGGCGGTTTGCCAGGCATGGGCGGTGGTGGTGGTATGCCCGACATGGCAGCTATGCAGAACATGATGAAGCAAATGGGCATGGGCGGTGGCATGCCTGGAATGCCCGGCATGGGTGGCGGCCGTGGTGGCAGAAGATAAGGGGCTCATCGTTTTGTAAAGGGCGGTATTGCTCGCCCAGTCTCTGTCTTTTTCTCTATTTTGGGTTACTGCACTGGACGGGTTGAAGATACAGGATGGGATGACCCTGCATGGTTTTGGCGTTTTAATCAGTACATTTTACAGCTTCGGGGAAAAATGAAAATAAATATATATCACAACTTGATCTTTATTCTTTCGTCTCTAAACTGCAACTCTTTACAATGATCTTTCGTTTCGTATTTTGGCTTTTGCCTTGCTTAAGCAGCTTGCTTCTTCCGGACTGCCAGGATGAAATTGGCTGGAGGCTCGGCACCAAGAGCAAGAACCATATCAGGATCAGACTTCTTCATAGCCTTCTGGTAACCATCACGCTTGCCGATGCGTTCAAGATACTTGACAATGTTGGGATAGTCGGCCAGGCTGTACGTCGCAAAGTAGCGCATGGTAGACAGCGAGAAGACGAGCATGATGTCGGCAAGGGTGAATTCTTTGCCAGCAAGCCACTCGTTAGCAGCTACTCTCTCATCCAGAGCCTTGAGATTGCTCGCGAATCGGTGGTTGGTGTGCTTGACCATCAAGTCCTCCGAGTTCGCTCCGCCCAGCTGATTGCCCATGATGCGGCCAACCAAGGGCTGGAAGCTGCCATTGGCCCAGTGCCACCAGTAGAGGTAATCAGCATACACAGGATCCTTGGGATCCAGTGTGAACTTGCCGCCGCCATAGCGATGGGCAATGTATTCAAGACAAGCGCCGCTCTCACCGATGGTGGCATCACCATCCTGGATGATGGGAGCCGTTCCCGTGTAGTGCAGCGCCTTGTAGTCTGCAGGGGCAAAGAGAGGTGCACGCTGGTAGTTTTTCAGCGTGTATTCAATCCCAAGCTCCTCGCAGAGCCAGGGGACTCGCTCGGACTGCGAGACTTGGAGGTGGTGGATAGTGAGGGGCATGACGTCAAAGTTGTTGGTCGTAGGGTTAACAGTCGGTATGATTATGAAATGCTCTGAGCTGAAGGGTGCTGGTGGGAATTGAGTTATTTTAACTACAACCAGGCTGTATATGCAAAGGAAGAGGAGAACCCTGTGGCTGTTGCCTATTCTGTGTTTGTTCGCACTCCTCTTCGGCTCGCACTCCGAAGCCGAAGAGGTGGTCTCTAAACTGCGCTAAACCCGTCGATGATGCGGTGCGGGCCCCGCGATGCAACCAACGAATGACAAATTCATGGTTTGCAGCGCAAGGGCCACAATGTCCGGATGCCAATCAATGTAGGTTCATGAGGTGTTTGAACGACTGTTTTGGTACTGTAGTCTGTAGATAGTCGTGTAGTTGTGGCGTTTTGTCTCACAGCCACGCTGAATGTAAATTAAAACAGTAACTGCGTATCGGAACAATATGGCAAAGAGCAAACAAAATAAAAGGATGAATTGGCGCCTAATTGCTAATTGCTAATTAATTTATCCCTTAAATGAAAAATGCGAAGACCTTCGGTATCTCTAGAGCTTGTCTGCCCAGCCAAGCATGACGCTAGGTTCGAGACGCTTGCTCCAGTCAGGGTCGGTATAAACGTTTCTCACAGTACCCGACTTATCAACAAGCAGGTTAGTAGGCACAGGAATCTCTCTAGAGTCGTCACCATTGCGCTGGACCTGGTCGACCCCCATTGCTTTGGAGACTTCGGCCAGAGAATCGAACTGACGCCAGACGATTCCGAGCTCGCGTGCTACCTTGTTTCCAGCATCGGAGAGAACCTCGAATTTGAGAGCATGCTTCTCAGCAGTGGTGATGGATGTGTTGGGGAGCTCTGGGGAGATTGCCACGACTGTCACGCCACGGGCCTGGAAGTCCACAAGATGCTTCTGAAGGAACGCAAGAGAAACGTTGCAGTAGGGGCACCATTCGCCACGATAAAAGGTAATCAAGATGCCCTTTTTTGAAGCAGCAAGGAGGTCTGAGTAGGAGATTTCTTTGTTGACGGCATTGCTGAGAGTGAAGTCGGGAAACTTTTCGCCCGTCTTGATGACTTTGCAAGGGTCAAATGCAACCTTGTGGTCATCAATTGCTTGGAAGATGATCTTCTTGATATTCTCGGGGACATTATTGCGAACGTGGTTTTCGATTTGCTCGAGCTGCTCGGTTTGGGAGGCCATTTTGGAAATGTATAAGTGTCCGATGAATGTTTGTGTTGGAGGAGGAGTGTTGATAGGAGTATAGATGGAAATGGATAATTGGGTTGATGGGCAGAAAGAGTGTATTAGCCAGACAGAACTGACATGGACTTATATAATATTTCATCGTAGTTTATTGATACATTGCATTTGTAATTTCTCACGTAGGAAACGTCATTGCAAATTCGTCCGAGTTCGTCCGCTGGAGGCCGAGCGCGAGACATCTACAGTGAATGGATACGGTGCGGTGGGGACCCCGCAATAAAGTTTCGCAGACAAAGCGCCTGGCCGCTTCGTCCGAGTTCGTCCGAATTCGTCCGTCACGCACCTGTCAACCTGGCTGCCTGTAACTTATCAAGCATTTCTAATTCATTTACCTAACATTTAAATTTGCTTTGTCATAACATCTGCCGGAATGCACGGAAATCGACTCCGCTGTGACAATCAGTAATTCTATCTAAACACCAACACGGCGTCGAGAACGATGAACAGTCCTGGAGGAAATACGAAGCGGATGCGCTTGGGAACAAAGAGCTGTTCCGAGTGCCGTCGAAGAAAAGTACGATGCATATATCCTCCTAATAGTTCTGAGTGTGAAGCTTGTTCCCTTCATAAAGTGTCTTGCCACGCACAGCAGCCTTCGCCAAAGCCAACAACCGACAATGTCGAGAGTATCGATGCAATGCGCCAACGGCTGGTGGAGTTGGAGAGCATGGTTAAGAGAATGAACAGTACTCTACATGTATCTGGTATACAGAACAATACACACGACAAAAGCCAACCTCTCGCTTTACAAATGGCTAGCCCTCCTACAACAATCCCTTCAACATGTTCACCCTCAAATCATGCCGCCTCGGTAAACGAGATGGATCAAACGCCCAGTTCCAGATCGCATGATCAGAGAAATTATGTGAAGCCTTCTCCATTGGTCTATCTATTCAAAGAATCAAAATTGATTACAACCCAGCTCGAAACACCCAACAGCAACGAGCGGTCCACAGCATTTTTAGCAAAGAATCGAATTGAAACGATACAAGACGCTGTCGCATCTCTGTTACCAACACCAGCAGATTTGGATATTATTTTGCAGTGGACAGAAAAGTACTGGCCTATCTGGCCCCCTTGCCACTATGGCCCGAATCTCGAGGATATGCTTCAGCCAGGGAAACTGACAGAGGCTAAACAGTTCCTTGTACGAGAGCTGAAATCTCGAAGTGCTGGGACTACCTCCAAGGCACTTCTTTGGCTTACGCTCTGTGTCCAGCAGCTTCCAAGAGCAGTCTTGGGCAATGTCCAACTTCCCATGCCCCAACCAGACCTTGTCAACGTATACGTCAGCTTAGCAAAGTCTCTCCTGGAAATCGACGATGATTCTGGTGGTAGCTTGGATGGCGTCTCATGCATGAACATGAAATTCAAAGTATACATTAATATGGGAAAACCGCAACGTGCGTGGCACTGGACTCGGCAGGCGGTATCCGCATCTGTCAACCTTGGCCTGCACCGCGCATCATGGGAAACAAATCCTTGTCAAGCACTTAACTGGATGCTAGCTTGGACTCCAGAACGGTTCATGGCGTTAATATTAGGACTTCCATCTTCAGTTTCATCGTCACATCCTGGAGTCTCGCTGGAGGCCAACGGTGCTACACCGCTGGATAGAATCCGCTGGGTTGTTGCCACCGTCGGAGGGAAAGTAATTGATCGCGATCAGAATTCAGAGAAGGAGCAGTATGCCACAACTGTTCAGATAAGCCAAGAACTGGAAGAAGGTCGAGACGAGATGCCCGAAGAATGGTGGCAAGCTCGTCCTGCAGATCTTCCTCTCGCTGAGTACTTTCTACGACAAAGCTCCAAGACCCTATACTTCATAACATTAAAGCTACTCCATTTACCATATATGCTTCGGTCCATCAAGGAGAAGAAGTACAGACATAGCTGGGATACCGCAATGGAGGCCGCACGCGGCATTGCCACTTCGTACATCGAATTCCGCGCAGCGCCATATGCAGACTCAGATTTATGCCAGCTCATGGATTTCCAAGCATTTAGTGGGGCCATCGTTCTTGTTATCGGCCATTTGCTGTGCCCGGAAAGGACAGATGAAGGCACCCGGTCCAGCGATTGGGTATTGATTGAGGACGTTGGCCTGGCTCTTCGACGGACCGCGATTACCATGGATTGTCCAGTTGCCACACAAGCAGCACAAACGCTAGAAGTTTTGAACTCGGCACGAAAGGGGGGCTACGTGAGTCCAGAGGATTACAATGTGGTCATACCGTACTTTGGCCAAGTTCGAATAAACCAAAAGATGGCAACTGGCTACCAAGACAATGGCACTGGTCAAAATACAGCGGTTCCAAACTGTATAGAGTTTAGCATGAACGAGTTTATTAGCAATTATCCCCTGCAGCCTGACTTTGACTTGGAGCTGGAAGCAGACTGGGCGGATCCGGCACTATTTGATCTCAATGTCAACTGGGCCGAGATATACACCAACACGTGCTAATAGACTAGAATTATACATCATGTCCTAAATATATTCAAAGAAAAGGTTTAAGCAGCCCAAATATCACAGTCGCTCAACGCTATCTATGCATAGAATAATAAAGTCATCCAATCATTCATATAAATACAACAAGTGCCTAACCAAGACGGCGACCAACTCCATCAAGTCTGAAGTGGCCTTGGAGCGTTTTATTGCTCTTCCTTTCAATCTTGGTTTTGGCGAGAGTTTCGTCTCTTTGTCCTTCATTCGCAGCCCTCTTGGTTTTGTTGAGTAGTGTACGCTGCTGACCACTTGTCAAGTGAGCAATTGCCGCTTGGTCGCCAGCTCGAAGCTGAGAAAGGTGGTTTGAGAAGGCTCGAATCTTTCGCTCGCTCTTTGTAAGAGCCTTGCCTGTATCATCGGCCACCGGCTCTTCATCTTCTTCAGGCAGTTCTCTAGAGGCCCGTATTAATGCTCGTCGTTGTTGTCTGTGCTTCTTGGCGGTGGGACCGGTTTCTCTCTGAGCAACAACTTTGCCCGAGGACAAAGCCATGGTACTCGATTCGGCATCGACATTGCGAGACTCAACCTCATCGAGGTCGTAGAATTCGGTTATCTCTCCTTCAACGTTGAACCTGCAATGGCCAGCCCCAGTCATATGTTGTTGAACAGCTTGCACATTACTGCGACCCCTACCACAGAGGATGCATTCATGATAAGCGTTGATAACTAGGTGAAAGTACCAAACAAGAGTCTGAAGGTCCACTGTAAGGGCATTTTGAAAGGGGATAATAAAGCTGTGTGTGCTGGCCATATGGATCAAATTATCGTCAAATGTGTCTTGGTCTTCGCCGCAAAATATGCACTCTTCCGGTACGAACTCGGGGCGCTCGTCGGAGCTATCGAAGTCATCGTCGGCTGGTTGAGTATTTGAAGGAGATTCTGGGCGCGAGTTATCGAGAGAGTCGTCGGGAGAGGATGATCTATAGCGGGCATATGTGCCGGCATTGACAGCTCTAGAACGGATTTGCTCGATGCTTCGGTCATGTTAGTAAGAGTTGTCACGGTCAATGGCAGAGATGGAGACGACGAACTGTTCTGGGCTTTTGGCATGAGCTCGGAATGCTTCGGGAGATGAGAACGGCAGGCTACAAGAGCCGCACGATAAAAGTTTTTCGGTCATGCTTGGGGAAGTCGTAGTGTTGATGGTAGTAATAGTAGTAGTGTTTGTTGTTGGTAGCATGAGGATCGAATTAGTGCGTTTGCTGAAGAAGCAGAAGCCTTGGTAACAGCGGCGTCGATGGAAGTTTTATATTCAAAAGGAAGCATGTACAAGATCCCCGCTTTTCTCTCTTTGTTCAAGCTTGCCGTTCATCTGCAAATAGATTTCGTTCCTTTTCCGACCCTTGAAATTTTGCTGTCTTGCTATTTGTCGGGTTTGCCGCGTCCCGCCTCTGCAGCCAGTGAGTCACCAAAGTCACGACAGGGGCTTTTTTTCAGCGGATCAGCGATCGTAGTTAGCGGGGCAAGCATGGGGGCTTCTAGTGGGCTTCTTCTCCTGTGCCGCCTCGCCACAGGGCCTGCCATTCGCTGGAAGTCTTTTTGGGAGTGACAGCGCATTGGTGGGCTGGCGTTGAGTCACGTCATGTGTCACTCGCTAGAAATGGCAGCAACTAAGATGATACTGTCCTCTGATTCGTCCATGAGCGACACGCCAGTCTAAAACAAGAAATATGTCCCGCCGCAAGTGTTGGTGACGCTCGGGTCTCTCGCCATTTTTCTTCTTTGATTTTAAATTTCGCGTATTAATTTCCAGTTGCTCATAGTTGCTCATAGTATTTGACTCAATTTCATATTATGTACCTCGGTATTTACGTACACATACTCGAAGGGGCGGAGCCAGCGGAGCCAGCTGTACCAGCTGCGCCAACTGTGACATTTTGCCAGGTGGCTGCGTGGCTGCACCACTGGCGCCTCCCGTTTCACATCTTCAAAGCTTAACAAAACATAATCCGTAATGTCCTCATAATAAAGAGAGATGACGATAATCCTTTTTCCCTTACTGGTTTCCGTATTCAATTTTGAATGTCCAGACGTACTTATCACCCGCAATCATCTTGTCATCAAGATGCAGCTTCAGCGTACCAATTGAGGTCCACGACGCGGGAACCTCAACACCATCCTGGCTACCTCCGAGAGCTGTAATCTTATCGCCTGGCAGGTATGGAATGGGATCGGTGATCGCAAGCTCTTTGGAGGGAGCACCAATGTAGTGGATGAAGAATGCTGCTTGGTTGGTGGTGTAGCGGAACTTGCCCTTTCCAGCCGTGGCGGTCCAGTATGTCGTGTTAAAGATACTCTCGGGGCGATCGTTGATCCATTGACCGGCATCACGCAGGTTCTTCTGCATGATTTCGGGAATCGAGCCGTCTCCGCGGGGGCCAATATCGAGCAAGAAGTTTCCATTGTTGGCAACAATGTCCACAAGCGTGGTAACAATGCCTTCTCCAGTAAGGTACGCAGCATCTGGGGTTGCACTGTTGTATCCGTAAGAATGAGGATCCATGCCACGGCTGGACTCCCACTTCTTCTCAAGTGGCGCATCCGGGTTGGGGGCGTATTCGGGAGTTTTGAAGTCGCCGGGAAGCTGTGTGCCCTCGCCGCAGCGCGAGTTGAAAACGACCTGTCGGCCGCGTGCCTTGGCCCAGTTGATCCATTCGGAAAGGACATAGGAAGAGTTGTTGGGGCCACCAATGTCACACCACATCATCTCCGTCTCATAGTTGTAGGCAAGCTCTCTCATTTGAGGAGCTTGTAGGTCGCGGATGAAGTCGGAATGGTTCAAGTCGCCAGTGTATTCGATCTGCTTTCCAGTGTAGGGGTTCTTTGGCGCACCATTTTTAAAGTAAGCGCCAGGGAGCTTAGCGAAGTTGGCGTTGAAGAATTCGGGAAGACTAAAGTATGTGCCTAGAATCCATATTAGCGTGTTTTATTTCGGAGCAATAGTATGCTACGGCAAATTACCTCTGCGAAGGTGAGGTTGGTACTTCTTCGAGGCATCAAACAGCTCCTTCAAAAAGTCGCGCTTGGGGCCGTACTGGACAACGGATCGACGGCTGACAGAGGTGGAGGTGTTGAACAGAGCCCAGCCCTCGTGATGTTCTGTCCGGTAGTTAGCATGAATTTCTTTATGCGCTTTATCCTTTCATTCATTTGAACAAAACAAGTACTTACTAGTAGTCGGGACAAAGTATTGGGCTCCAGCGTCGGCAAAGAGATCAACCCAGGACTTTGCATCGAAGCCCTTTCCAGTAAAGTTGGCAATAAACTGGTCATAGTTGAAATTGGTTCCGTAGTTGTTAAGATGGTATTGGTAGGTTTGGGTTTTGTCCTGCTTGTTCTGCATCCACATCCAGTACCTAGACGTTAAGATAATGGTTAGTTACAAGCTCATGGGTAGCAATTCATCATAATCTACCATTCGGCATAGTTTTCCTTATCTCCGATATTGCCCCAACCAGGCACTGAGTAAATACCCCAATGAATGAAGATGCCGTACTTGAGATTGTCGAACCAGTCAGATGTAACGTGGGTGCCTAAGCTCGGTGTGGTGGGGAGATAGTCGGGAATACCACAGCTACCGCTAACATCACCAGTAGCAGTCTTTGCATTATCACCGTTTCCATAGTGTGCAACGACCTTGCTCTTACAAGTTGAGCCTGGCGCAACGCCGTCCTTGTTCTTAACGCCAATCTGGACTTTAATGTGCTGGCCAGGGGCAAGACGAATGACCTCACCCGGTTCGGTAGTGATGAGGGAGTCGCATTCAACGCCGACGGAGAACTGGTGTGAAGCAGTAAGGAAGTTCTTGGAATCGGTGTTTTTAACCCAGAGCTCAAGAACTTGGTGGAGGTCAGTGTTGTCGATCCACTTGGTGGTCAAATTGGCGCCAGACAGCGCGATCGAAGGAGTTGGGACTTTAGCAAAGTGGCGTTAGTTGAAACGAGCGCTGGAAGCAAAGTCAAATTTGTAAACGTTTTTCTTCAAACGTACTGTTTAAAGGTTTAGAGACGGCAGCGAGACCGCCGGAAGCCAAAAGGCTCATGCTAATTGCGTTCTTCATTTTGCTCAACCGAACGCTAGTGCAGCAGACAAACGTTCTGTAGATGTCTGCGAAAAGGTGCCACTTGCATCTAGTGAGCTGATTGGGGTTATATAGTAGTTCTCCATCTGCCCCCTAGCGAGCATGGTATGTGGCAATAGCCCGTAATGTGGTTACATCAGGACGGGCACTACAGGCACTGGCGCCCGAAAATCCAGGGTCGTCAAAGATTAGCACACTACCACCCCCGCAAAGGGCCTAGAAATGGGCCAGCAGAGGATCGTGCCGACGGCTGTGAGGCGGTGGATCGGCTCGCTACGGGAAGGTAATGAGGAGAAACACTGGGGGGACATTACCCGACGGATACACTTAGAATGCCTCGCACAAATAGCCTAATTCAGTATGCTGATGCCCAAGAAAAAAACGCGCTCGAATTGCACTTAAGAGTCTTAAAATACAGGAGGAAAGCGAATGTAAGGTGATATATACAAGATGCAGTATACCGGTTTCAAAGCAGAAGAGCGGCAGTCGCTCTACCATCGTACAGGGGACATTGCCGATTAGTAACGGCGGCCATCCCCATCATCTACTGCAGAAGGGTCCTTCAAGCTGCCTCCTGCGTCCGCAAGGCCAGCTACCGGTCTGTTGTAGCTGAATCCCGCAAACTGGTTTTGCATTGTTTGAGAAATCGCAGGGTCGTCGACATAGGAATCTTGTGGAGCCTCTTCGGTAAATTCGTCGGCAAAATTCGTCGTGTCCAGAGCACTTGCCTAATTAGTATCTCGAGTTAGCAATAGCGTCTGTTAGTGGCTGCATAAATAACAACTTACCACATTGGGCTTGAAGACTGGCTCGTATTTGCGTTGCAAGAGCTTGCGCCAGTCAATGGCTTCAAAGAACGGGTGTGCTTTAATTTCTTCAGCACCATTCACACCCAGACGCTTCTCAGGATCGCGGTTCAGAAGCTTTGATAGCAGATCTCGCGCCACCGGTGGAACAACATTGCCATCGGGGAAATGCAAAGGCTGCGATAGAATCTTGCGGTACATTTCGTTTGTATTCTGGTCATAGAATGGCGGTAGTCCAGTCAACATTTCGTACAGCAATACGCCGAGTGTCCACCAGTCTACTGTTTTGTTATAGCCGTCACCGTGTAAGAGTTCAGGGGCGAGATATTCCGGAGTGCCGCAAAACGTGTTCGTGCTGTCCTCATCCTTCATCTCAAGCTTGCAAAGCCCAAAGTCGCAGAGCGCAATGTGCCCTTGGTAATCAAGCAAGATATTTTCCGGCTTCAAATCTCTGTAAATAACGTTGAAGCCGTGCAGGCATTCCAGGGCGCAGAGAAGCTCCGCGGTGTAAAATCGTGATCTGTTAATATCAAATTTGCCGTACTTTGACAGGTAGTAAAAAAGCTCGCCGCCATTTACAAATGCCAGAACAAAGTAGAGCTTTTCTGGTGACTGAAAAGTAAACTTGAGTGGAACAATAAAAGGATTGTTAATCTGGGCGAGGACTGATCGTTCGGCCAGCGTATGGGTGACTTCCGATCGAGCAATGATCTTGGCTTTCCGGATGGTCTTCATGGCGTAAACTCGCTTCGTATCTTTCTTGCGAACTTGCATGACCTTGCCGAAGCTGCCTTTGCCAACAACTTTCAGCAGCTCAAAGTCGTCAATGCTCATCTTCTCAGTTTGGCTTTCGATATATTCGACTCCAATCTGCAGCTTCCCTGAGCCTTCTTGCACATCAACCCAATGGATGCCAGTGTAGCCTCCGGGCCATTCGTTGGCTTGGTTACTCCAATTGACATCAGTCGACATGCGGCCAGAGCTCGTTTTGAATTGAGGCTTAATACGTGCATAGCCTAGGAATATGTCCTGTGTACGGCCAGTGCCCATCGGTGCATTTGGATTGCGCACGTAGATATCAACCGTCAATTCAGCAACACGAGAAACATCAAACTTGTACTGGGTGTTTGATCCGGGCCATAGAGGATGTTCGAAATCGCCGTCAACCGAATTTACAAAGATTTGCATCTTATCAAAGTCCACCAAAGCATATGGCAAGTACTTTCCGGATACACGACCATGGATAATGGAAATCTCACTTGAAGGACGGCCAGACGAGGGTTGGGGTAATTCCAAACGACCAGATGATTCGACAGGCGTTCTCGGAGAAGATGAGAAAGCGTTCTGATATTCTTCGGGAAGCGACAGGCCACGCGCTTCGTATAATGTTACCACCAAGATACCGGGCTTGGATGTTTTAACGACGGGATTCTGGGTAAGAATTTCTGTCAACACAGTTAGCCGCCGCAACACGCAACATCCATATTTGTAAGCTCCTACCATCAGACTTGGCACGCCGACTTGCGACACTACTCGCACGGGTTGGAACTTGGTCTTCTTCTTCCTTTATAGACGGCGGGGCGCTTGGTTTTGTAAAGGCGGAGAATGGGCTCAGGCGAACCTCGCGTAGCTCTATAACAAAAAGTCAGCAACTATACACATATAATACAAATACCACCCGTAAATATTTGTACGGGTCAGGTTAAGACGCACTTTTTGCAATATTCCACGACATGTTGCCTAGATTGCTCAAGGGACGGAAAGTGTTGGTTGGATTGTTGGGCGGCGCCGGGGGTGACACCACAACGTTTTCGGAACAAAACAGTCAAATGAGGCTATTCAAGCAATCAGCATATCGGTTGTGTATAGCAATAAATCGTTTCCACCCAGAAAAACAACATACAGAGTTAGTCGCGGATGACGTATTTACACAGCCCCTGACCAAGCATCAACCACGCCACAACGAACTAGTAGCCACTGGGGTATGCAAAGCGAAGCTCGAGGGAAATAACGGTCCGAGTAGGTGCGCCGCGCTGGAGGTTGCAAACAAGCAGAATAAAATAAAAAGGAGCGACTGTAAAGCAGAGTGTATTTTCGAACGGTGATAGCAGACCACAATGGTCAAAGGATGTCGAAGATCAGTGTGTCCGCGGGGGCTTTGTCGGTCGGAATCGCTGGTTGCCGTGCAGTCTAGATTGGAACCGCCTCAGTTGTTGCTCTTAAATGTATTCCGTAGAAATAAGCAAAGTGCCCGTACGGTGACTTTGCCGTTTCGGATGTTTAATTCCGAAACAAATGTCAACAAAGCAGGCGAAAAGTCAAAGTGCTAAATAGTCTGGGGTTTCCGAGGCGACTTTTCTGGGTTTGCCAACGGTCTGCGAACGTCACAGGCTGGAATTGGGGGGGCATTTAGGTGGGCGCCACAGCACACTTTAGTGGCTGCTTACCTAACTTTTACCGCCCCGCGCAGAACGCCAGAGCTCCCTTCTGGAAGAGGGTCCAGTCTGCTGGCGCCACAGCGCGTCACGAGCCGCCCTGCAGCTTCTCCAGGGCATTGCAGAGCTTGGGCTTGTCGCATCAAAAGCCAAGTGGCAACACAGCAATCTATTCTACAGAACATCGGGCTTGAATCACTATTACATCCAAATTGAACCCCCATAGCTCCCAATTCACCAATAAACAAACAGTATGGCTTCCGACGCCGACGTCCCCAAGCGGGAGTCAACACCGACGGCTTCACTCTCGTCGATTCCCCAGAAGCGAGCGCTAGACGAGGTTCATATCCCAGCAGTTTCTTCTCCTTTGAATCCCGACTCCCATACTCCCGATGATGCCTCTCAATCGAACCGCTCAAAGCCAGCCCGTGTCAAGAAAGAGTCCTTCAAGAAAAGAGACGCACGAGGAGGTGACAGCGTGCCTCCTACACCAGACTCAAAGGCAGCTCGAGAACGCAAAGTGGCGGCGAACCTCGGACCTCTACGCTATAAACTTGCGCCCCCAAAATCCTCGGATTTCGAAGCTCCCCGTGGGCCTGTCTTGACAGTACACAGTGAAATCGTAGGATCGGATGGCAAAACGGTCGAATTCTACGAGACCTCGGATCAGTGCGCAACTTGATTCCTAAAGCTCTATTACATGTCTGCTAACCAGCCAATAACAGTGTTGCCAACAAGAAAAACTTCCGCTATACCCACTGCATCGCCGATCCTCTTTTCCCAACAACCATCTATTACCGCCAGACCGAGCCAGAGCCATACGGCCCCAGAATGAGCCACGAAGATGCAGCCGCGCATGTTTACTTTGATAGTACAGCTCTGCAAGTTACAACAGACAAAGGCTTCCGATTAACACGAGCAAATGTTGCTGTTCGCGAGGGCCGGTGGTTCTGGGAGTGCAAGATTACACAAGGCATTAAACCAGCCGCTGATGGCCAGGATAAGCTGCAACTAGGAAAGCATGTACGAGTCGGATGGGCAAGACGCGAGTCATCGCTGGATGCGCCCGTTGGCTTTGATTGCTACAGCTATGGCGTCCGTGATGTAGCCGGCGAGAAGGTCTACATGTCCCGGCCGAAAGAGTTCTTCCCGGCCGGCGAGGGCATACGTGAAGGCGATGTCATAGGTCTCGAAATCCAACTGCCCTCTGAACGCTTGCATCGCAAAATCATGGAGGGTAACTTCCACCCGCTCGCCGACGCAGCGGATGACGATACCACACCGACTGCCGCGGCAGCTAACATTGTCCGAGACCGAGTGCCGATCCGCTTCAAAGCGCACACTTACTTTGAAAGGATTGAGTACCACACAACACGAGAACTGGAAGACTTGATGAATCCATCCATGTCGGCTTCATCGACAGCATCGAGCGACCCGCCTCATCCTAACCACGCCAGTCCTGCTCTACGGACATTACCAAACTCTTATATCAAGATCTACAAGAACGGCAAGCTCATGGGCACCGCGTTTGAAGACCTCCTCGGCTTTTTGCCGCCGGCTTCAAAGCCAATGCCTCAGGTCGGCGCACGTGAGGGCATGGATGATGGCATGCTGGGTTATTACCCTGCCATTAGCATCTTCCGTGGCGGCGCTGCTGAAGCCAACTTTGGTCCCAACTTTGCGTATCCACCTCCTGATTATGATCCGTCATCTACTACCCAACCATCCTGTAAACGCCTTCGAGGTATCTACGAGCGCTATCAAGAGCAGATTGCGGAAGACATTGTATATGATATCATTGACGAGGTGGACTTCTGGATGCAGGATGCAGGCGATGAGAAGGGCAGTTCACAAAAGAACACACCACAATCACTTGCTCCAGCCAGGGAAGAAATTAAGGAACTCATGGAGGATGATTGAAACGCTATAATGGTATTATGAAAAGCTCAAAAATTTTATTTAACATTTATAATTTAAGGGATACCCTCATTGTATATCGCAGCTGCTCTGTAAAGCTTCATCAAGGTCGTGTCTGTCATTTTTTAGATTTATTAATTCAAAGGGCGTTTCGCGGTCATACAATCATGCTGTTTTAGTTGTGCGAAGTCGAGGCAGTTGTTGCAACGGTTGCAGAAGGCTCATCAGTAGGAGGTGTAATAACAGTCTCGGGAGCAGGCAGAGCAGGATCATCTGGGAGCTCTTCAACGCGGTCTGCGCCATCAATGGGAGCTTCGGCATCGGTCTTCTCTCGTTCCAGTCGAACCTCACGGCCGCGCTTGTGGCAGTACCACAGGACAAACAGGAGCACTATATGATATGTTAGTACAGAATGTCATCCAAATAGGACCAGAGGTAGTTAACTTACAACTGAGTGCAACACTCCACAGTACATTCATACCGATAAATGCTGGCCAGCGTGTCTTTAGTGCTTCAACGATGGCGCGCAGCATGCCCACAAGGGCACCTGGCTTTGTTACAAGCTCAGCGAGGTTATGCGGCATAATAATATTCTTGGCAGCACCCTTGAGTCCCTTGTCCTTGTCCGTCTTGATGCCCTGTGAAGCGGCGGCTGCTGCAAGAATCTCGGGGCCCAGGGACTGGGTAATCTTGTCTGGGAGCTGCATCACAAGCTTCTTCAGCGATGATGGCAACTTGTCAAAGCCCTTGGAGATAGCACCATCCTTGTCTTCAATAAGAGATGTAAGGTCGTCGTATGCGGTCGGGACGCCGTTCACAAGATCTTTAAACACCTGTGTGAATCTCTGCAAAATGGCCGAGGAGTCTGCCGAAGCGGCCACAACCTTGTTGTTCTTCGCCGAGAGATTGAGTCGGTCGAGAACGCGGCTGAGGTCGTGCTTTTCTCTCTCTGCTTCCTTGGGTGTGACATTATCGTCTGGCTTCAAGCCCTCGCCAGGCTTCTTGGTCCTTGTAAATAGCATAGAGAGGCGGTTGGTCTTCTTAGGGGCTTTTTCAGTCTTGGATGCCTCATCCAGCTTGGTCGAACTTGCTTCATCGCCGCTAATCTCATTATCGGTATGCCAGTCGATGTCGGCTACATTGACGCGGGGCGGCAAGGCTGGTGCTTGGTCGTCGTCGGCGTTGGAAAGAAGCTCTTCGATGAACCGCTCATCCTCGTCATGGAGAACTGGGTGCTCGGATCCCGGTAGATCGAGCTTGCTTGACTCTCCATGTTTGACAGCATCGCCAGCGGCTTCGTTCTTGGCCTCCTGTTCGGCTGCCTTTTTGGCTTCCTTTTCAGCTCTGTGCTTCTTTACTTTCTTGTAGGTAAAGTACTCGAGCATCTTGGGCGATGGTAAGCCGATGTGATTTTGTTTTTGTGAAGCAGTAAATGCGATTCAGTCGTAGTTGATTTACTGCAAGGGGGATAAGTCAAAGCGTTGTCCAATGTGAAGAAGAGAATGCGCCGCACCTAGCCAGAGCTTATGCGGCCTCCAAGTTTCCAAGCAGCTGATCAAGCTTGCTTTAGTTCACCGCCACCCACAGGGGTGATGTCATTGCGGCCTGCGCAGTATACAGCTATCATCCAACGAAATGTAGTAGAATTTACGAGGGTATTAATTTAATATATTTAAATATATATTTCACAAACAAACAATTTTATTATTTAATCAATACCTAAATATGATTTCTTTCAATTTTTGATAAGTTATATATTTTGATGTAGTGTCTTTCATTTACAAGTTCCGTTTAACATCCAAATATTTTATTTTTAGTTTATTCTGGTCTTTGAAGAGCTTATATTATAAACATCAATTATTTGAAATATTCTTCATTTATTGGTATTCAGTTGTTATTGTTTACACTATTGAATATGCGTAACTTAGCTGTATTTGAGTGCCTACTTTTCAGATGACCGGATTTGTGGGTGGTTGCATAAACCTGCATCTAACACCGTGATTTACACAACATCGATAGATGCACGTCCCTTCTATAACATAATGATTGCTTTCCATGCCATTTTGACCGAAACATGAGCGCAGATTGTCAGAAGGCACCGGCGGCCAACTCGATAAACAGAGCCATGAACCAACACCCAGTGCTGACCACCCCAATCGTTTACGGTGTTGGCGTAAATGAGGTCACGCAGTGCGCCCACTGGAATTCGGAACTCGATATCATTGCCATCAAAATTAAATGCTGCAATAAATTCTATGCTTGCATATCATGCCACAATGCGCTGGAAACCCATGAGCCAAAAGCCTGGGGCCGAGACGAGCGACAGCAAGAAGCAATCTTATGCGGAGCTTGTGGAAAGCTCTTAACAATTGATGCATACTTATCTTCAGGATCAAAATGCGCTATAGTGAAAGACGGTCACAGACATGGGTGTGGTAGAGCCTTCAATCCTGGCTGCAAGAACCACTGGTCACTATATTTTGAGCTTTAATGAGCCTTTTTCAACATGTCGGCTACATAGCCGACCACCATTCGCGTCTAATAGACGTATCTAAACTCTGAGATTTCCCGGTCTGTTTTGTCTTCAAGATTCAAAATAGTTTGACCATCCACAAACTCAGCTTCCGTTCCCAGAGCAGCCTTGTCGCGGTCGCGATTCGCTTTGATCAGATACAAACGAAGGGCGAGACAAGTCAACAGGCCAATGGTGAAGCATGTGAGCATGATCAGGAAACCAGTCTTATAGCCAGGTGCTTCCTTGGGAAGGAATGTCTGGGGGCCAATAATATTTCCTACGCAGTACGAAACGAAGTACTACAAGACAAGTCAGCAAATAGGTTTGCGTTGAAACGGCCAGCGGGCGAGCAACATACCAGAGCGTTCATGGTCACTTTCTTTGTGAAACCGCCGAAATTTCCCGATATTATCGACAGGATTAGCGGCATATTGGCTGTGAAGGAAATAAGAATCACGAAACCAGAGTACCGACCCCATTTGTTCTCCGGTGGTAGCTGTCGGACAAGAACTACGCCAACAATGGCGACCGCGTACGCAAATGCCATCCAGTAGGTTCGGACGTTGCGCATCTTGGAACTCAGCGTTGTCAAAGTCAATACAAAGGCTGCCTGAAAAACATATTTGGCAGATTGTAAGAGCAATGTATTCAAGTGATTGAATCCAAGACCGCTGATGACAATTGAGGTAAACCCTTGCTCAGCGCCGTTGGGAATGACACTTGCAAAGTTGATGACCAAGAGGAAATACGTTTTCGGATCGAGGAGGCATTCACGCACTTGGTACCATTTGAACTCATCATCCTTTACTCCCATCATGTTCTCGTTCACACGATCGACTGCTTTCTTGCGGTCTACTTCGTTTAGAAACCAAGCTGTCGTGGGTGTGTCAGGCAGAAGGAAATAGAGGGCAACAGACCATGTAATCGTCAAGGCGCCGAAAATGATAAAGACGGCCTATAATAAAATCACGTGTCAGTAACGGAATTGCTTCTTTCGGCCATCGATAGAATAAAACAATACCTTCCAAGGTGCAATGGTATCGATGTGCCCAATGCCATAGGCCATCAGACTTCCCGCCATACCGGCAAACGAATTGCCCATGAACCAGCCAGCATGTCTTAGAGGTTGTTCGGAGCGTTTGTACCACATTGATACGATTAGACTCAGACCAGGGGCAATCGGGGCCTCCAGGAAACCAAGAAAGAACCGCTGGACCAATAAACCAGATGCATTGTGGCAGACAAAAGCCAGCAACAACGTGATGCCCCATAGAAGCCTAAACGTTTCATTAGTACTTTTGCATGTTTCGCGTTTCTATAATCATGGGAAACATACACTGCGCCACTGATCATCTTTCCAACCTTCCATCGAACCATAACCATTGCAAACGGACCCGTGGCAACGAGATATCCAAAGTAGCTAGATTGAAGATTGTAAGTTAGCTATTTGATTCTCTACAGATTTGGGATATTGCTAAAGAGTTGAAGCAACAGGTTCTTACTAGATACTGTTGGCCCAAGAGTAGTCTTGGCCGCTGAGGTTGAGGTCATCGCGCAGGCCCAAAACAGCCGTCGAACCCAATGCCGTTTTATCGACAAACTGGAAGAAATAGCTCAAAGCCATCACCGGTAGCAAGCTACGCAAAGAGGAAAAAACACAATTAGCACATAACTTTTGGAGCCTCTCTTTAGAGTTGATTTGCTAGGGCCAGCAATCTTACCAGATATCGATTCGGCGCAAGATTCTCTTGTCATCTTGCGGATCTATGCCCTGCGCCGCGGCAGGAAAGTCGACTTTTTCATAGTCAGGCTTTTCCATGTCAATGTCTTGATTACTCATGATGAAGAATTCGTTGCCTTTGAAAATGACCAGCACGAACAAACAGCTTTACACAAGGATAACATTATTCATAAACCTGGGGTAAAGTGGACCACCAGTCATCTTTATACTACGGTACATGCAGCTAGGTATCAATGCCCTCGGTAATGCTAAAGAACGCAGATCCATACACATTATTGTTCCTTGCTTTGCAGTTTTCGAATTGCTCAATGTGTGACTATCACCACTTTGTTCAGTACGAACGCCACCGTGGCTTGGGCGACCACTCTCGGCATCAAGTTTTGATCCCGGGTTGGTTGGGTTCTCTAGCATATGGGCGTAACGATCCTCGGCAACAAGTTCTAATGCCGGATTATTCCACTATGTAGCGCACATTGTGTGGATAAGAATTAAAACAACGTTAAATTAGTGGAGGCCTGTAAGTTGTAAGTTAGCATTGACAGCGAACGATGTTCAATTGGCTTTGGGGCCGCCTGGGGCTACAGTGGGTAAGCAAAAGTTACAAGTAAAGTCGTTTATCGTTAATCTTTCAATTATTCTTTAATATATATTATAAGATTAGCTTTTCTATCAATATTTATAGATTATCACGTACAGTATAAATACTTTATATATATCGAGTTTTTAGATGGCTATTACATATAAAGTTTGTGTAAATATATATTTGGAATGCGTTTGTTGAAATATGGACTACTTGTAACTTTTGCTGTATTACAAGCCATCAAAACGCCACGCACCCCGCGCAACACATCCGGCAAAAGAACTGTAGCCGAGCGCCCTCTTGTCCATTGTCAATCGTCTGAAATAAGAGAAATAACGCCAGAGAAATATTTCCGATCGTTTCCGTCCGTTGGTCCGGTATTCAATTCTCGGCGCCGAGCCGGAAGACATCACCGGCATCTACGGTCTGGAGCTTGGCACATTCGCCTTGGCATATATGAAGGCGATGGACACAGCTGACGGCTACTTCCAGCAGTTGAAATCAAGTTTCCAAGTCAAACCCATTGCCACATTGAAGTAACACTTGCTCGGAAGCCTATTTCAGTCCTTACTGCCCACCACAGAGACTGTTATATTCTGCAAAGAAATACTTCCACCATACAATAGGCAAAATGGGCAATACATTCTCATATCAAGAAAAGCAATGCGATCTAAAGCTCAACGCCGGAGCTGGTTCTCTACGTGGAATTGAATACGACCAGAAAGCCCGTCGCTTCGCCAACATTCCCTACGCCAAAGCGCCGCTCGGTGCTCTAAGATGGCGCAAACCACAACCTCTGGGACCCAACTTTACATACAACTCGCCCGATGGTTCTCCCTTCGACGGCACGGAGCTTGGTCATGTCTGTCCTCAGCCCAACTATGCAGAGGGTGTTAACAAAGAGGAAGCAGGCTTCGACTTTGGCGAAGACTGTTTGCGGTTGAACATCTGGACACCTTCGCAGCCACCTGCTGATGGGAAGAAATATCCCGTCATCATTTGGCTTCATGGTGGTTGGTTCCAAATCGGCGACCCTAGCCATGAGATGAGCATGAACCCAGTGGAGTTTGTAAACCAGGTCAAAGCTGTCTTTGTCTCCGTGGGCTATCGTCTTAACGTCTTTGGCTTTCTTACTGGCAAGGCGCTTCTGGAAGAGAATGGTGGTTCCGGCGGAGCCAATTTTGGACTTTGGGATCAACGCCTTGCCATGGAATGGGTCTATGAGAACATCTCGGCTTTTGGTGGCGATCCAGAAAACATTATGCTGGCCGGCCGCAGTGCTGGTGCATATGCGGTACAGACCCAAGTGCTCTATGACTTCCGCGGCCAAATGGAAGAGTCCAAGCGAGGACACTTCCAGCGCATCATCATGTACTCCAACGCAATTCCGGCGCAGCCCAAAATGGTAGCAGACTGCGAGGAGCAGTTTGACGAGCTCTGTGACTTCTTTTCTATCCCACGGGACACATCGAATGCGAGAACGTTGTCCTTACTACGCGATATACCAAGCAAGGACTTGGTAAATGCGATTATGAAGCTAAGGAATCATACTTTCCGACCTGTTACCGATGATGAATTTATTCACGACGGTATGATAGCTTATTTCAAATCCGGCGGATTTGCCGCCGAGTTTAAACGCCGAGGGCTACGCCTATTCATGAGCGAGATGTTGAACGAGGAGTCTCTATACGGCGCTACTAATTCACCAGAGCCTAATCTGGAATCTCTAAAGCTTCAGATCTCGAATTACTATGCGCCGGATGTCACTGCAAGACTGTTGAATTACTATGACGTGCCAAAATCAAAAGATAAAGCGGAGTGGCGATCAACATTTGGCAAGATTATTGCCGATGGCCAAGTACGAGCACCTTCCAGATTCATTGTCGAGAGCCTGGTGGCACATGGCGTCAGTATCAATGATATTTGGCGATACTTGATTGCATACCGCATGAGCTTCATAACGGAGCGAATCGCCCCAATGTCCTTTGGTGTGACTCATGCTATGGATAAGCCGCTGTGGAAGTAAGTTCTCGTCCCTTCGTTGTGTAGTTCACATACGCCGTTGTATAAGTCCTTTTTGCTAACTCTTTTTAGTTACTCCGTATTTCTGAACCCAACAGCCGACGAGAAGGTGTTGATGCTTGAGTTAATCAATGAGCTCTCGGCATTTATTCATAATGACCAAGGCCATCGTTTTGGCACCCAGAGCAAAGACGAGGTCAAGAAAGTCACGTCGGAGGGAACAATTGAGATTACAAAGGACACTAGATGGACTGAACTGTTGCACTTGGCTGACGTATTCTCTGGAATGTAATGATAGAACGATTTCATAGCGTAAGACAGCGCTATTGTTTAAATGTTGAAAGGCTTTTTTTAGATTTAGGTATCAAAACATTCGCTTTTATTGTTCCTCATCTGGGAGGATATATATACAGTATTTCATCATCAATATCGGCTGGTCTTCTATTCGTCTTCCTCGTCAGATCCCTCTCCCTGTGTTTCTTGGCGGACAACATCCTCGGCGAGATCCGTTCGCCTTGTCCCAGATTGCCTTCTACCTCGTTGATATGCTTCGGTCATGGTAACTGCCCGTTCACCCACGTATCGATTACCCGCCCAATCCGTAGAGCATTTGGGGCAGTTCTTTGACCGTCGCATTCTCCAAAAGGCATCCTGGCACATGTCGTGCAAGCGTAGACAACACTCTGGCTCAGAGCACCGCATGCCAACCGTTAAAATCTCTTTGCATGCCTCGCAAAACTTGATGCGCTGCCACTCATCTGTTGCCGCGTCGGAATCGTTAAACATGGCGACCAACCACGGCCGCAGTTCCAACAAGGCTCGTACACTCAGTGAATAGAACCCCTCTGCGCTTTTTTCAACCCAACCTCCTTTTACGAGGCTGGCCATTGTACTCTCGACTTCGCTATGCTTCAGACCCTTGTCTGCCGCAGCCTGCGTCTGGGTCTCTGGGTCGACTTGTGTTTGTGTTAGGCTTTGTCGGCGATCCGGCCGTGCAAGCTTGATAGCCTGCATATCCGTGATAGCCATGACTTCCATTCTGGGTGTGTTGTATTTGTCAAACATGGCTTCTAGAACACGCTTGATGAAGGATAGTTCGTCGGCGCCGTACGTGGTTGCCAGTTGAGTCTGGGGATCGGACGCTGTATTCACAAATGCATATATTCGTTTTTTGGTGACCTGGTCGACGCTATTGCGAATTTCATAGTCGAATATCGAAGCTGCCTGGCCGGCTATATGTATATATTCTTGGAATATGTCGTCTGTGATCTGATCTGGGCGAATCTGCTCCTCGTCGTTGTCGACATTCAAAATCGCAGCGAGCAACGGTTGCGCGTCTTCGAACGTCATAGCGCCACGGGCCATAAAGGCCTGCAGGAATGCCCGGTTTCTATGATTATATTGTTTCGCTATTGATTCCTCCATTGGTGATTTTGTAGTATGATAGATATAGGCGAAGTGATGCTCGGAGGAAGTTGAATGGAGGGGCAGGCTTTCACGGCGGGCGCGCTGGAAGACGCGCCGGGCGTGACAGCACCTGCGTCAGACTACAGCGACCGCCCAAGGCCCGGATAAGCTACGAACAGCCGCCCAAGGCAACCATGTTCGACACTGGTCACAGAAATATTAGGTAAAATACATTTATGACATTCCTTTCTTTAAAATACACATATATATATCTAGTTTAAATGAATATACGATATATACACAGCGTATTGGCGTCTCCTGTCGACTGAGTTATATGGTATGTTGAGCTAGTACTAGAAAATTAGCTGTCAACTTCGGTATCAGTCCACTGCTTCTATACCACCTAACTATTTAGAAAATAGTTATGAATTCATGTAACAATGATTCAACAGGTAATTTATTCTTAGCTAAAGATTCAAATATCATTTCCAATCATCTCCATTGCCGGTGTCATCCGCCAAAGTATATGTAGGGTAGGTGCTGAGTCATCACACGCGACATGGCTGTTCAGGCAAACAGAGCTCCGATAGCTGCCACTGTGACAACTACATCAGCAGGTCTGCAATAGCAGAGAAAAGGCTGCACCATTAGCTTTGGGATAAATCCCTGTTCTAGTGCTTCGAATTTTGCGCTTTCATCATTTAATCCCCGAGAAGCGCCCAGTTCTGGACCATAATCGCAGAAAGCCAGCTTTCTCGTAGCTTCATAGGATCGTTTGGCGTGGCTCAGTCGTGCGCCGCGGCGCCTATCAGAATTGGCAGCCATCCATCATGTCGGAAGTCAAGACGCTTGAGACAGTCATCATCGCGCGCAGCGATGGTGTCGATACTGGCCCAGGATACTGGCCAATTGCAACCACACCGGCCGCCAAGAAGCCAACCACCACGACGAAGGAGGTGCCCGAAAAGGCACCACGTGCAAAACCGCAAATGATCCGTCTCAACGATGACGATCCGCGGTTTATTGAATGGAAGGTGAAGCTTGGAATGCTACTAAAGCAAGAACTCGCACCAGAGCCAGATGGTAGGCTGCATATTAACACTCACAAGCTAAGCAAACATGGCTAACAAAGTCTCTAGAAGGAAATGCCTGGTTTGTCCAATTCCCAAGAGGTTATTGGCTATATGAAAAGTCCAAACATCTTTGGGTATCGGGATACCCTGTCAAATCAAAGTTGTTCAAGAGCCCACAGGAGTTTGCTCTCCATTTGCTCTGGCTGCTGTCTTCGTCGAAAGACTACAAGGACTGCTCGTGCGTTCACTGCAACGCACACAACGTGACTAAGATTACCCTTGATGATACCCCGACCATGGCCATTGCTGAATTGGCTCCAAAGTCACAACAAGTCAAAGAAACTCCTGTGCCTCTGCCTGCGATGCCTGGCCAACCAGTACAAAAACCGCAACCTCCTCCACAGCCTCAACCGAGGGCTGTCACACCGGCGACGGCGCAAAGTACACCGCCAGCTGCGGCATGGAATTTACGCTCATCACTTCTTTTTCGACCCGGCGAGCTGGTGTGGTATCAAACCGGCCATACCTGGCGTATTGGCATCATCGCATCTTGTACACAGTCGGGCAACGAGATTATGCCTCTGGGCTTCGCAATGGTTCCTCAGCCCAATGTTGTCAAGCAAATGGGAGAAATCCGCCCATTTCTTACTTTCATGGTACCGGATCTTTCGTTCCAAGAGCTCAAGGGCAAAAAGTTTGATGATGTTCGGTGGGACAGTCTGCTGCAAGCTTGCAGCGTAGATCCAGCTCGCCGGGAAGCAGCTGTGCTTGACGCCTCTAAACTGGCGGCGTCTCGCATTGCCAGCACATATTCATTATGGTCTCTATTGTCTGGGGACCCAACCTCAAAAAGCACCACCTACTACGGTTGTTTCTTGGGCGCTGAGCGCGTGGAAGTAGGAGATTGCCTGCGCGTTAAACAGCTACCACCAGAATATAACATTGCGGGTGATGGTCTGGCTCTCGGTGTCCGATACATTTTCACCATGCAAGACTATCCGGGCGCTGTCTTCTTCCGAGGCCCTCTCTATCGCCCCGCGGATCCCACGATAGCTTCCACGTCGCTTGTCCCGGATGAGGCATTGCCCATCGCTCTGCGTGATGAGTCAAACTGGCGCAATCACGTCAACTCATCGCCGCGACGAGGTTGGGTTCTAGTCCAAGAGAACATGGTCCTAAAAGAAATCTTACTTGCTGGTCGGTTTTATCCCGCCCACAGGATCCTGCCCATTCTGGATCCTGCGTCCTTGCAGCGGGCTATGCAATTGGGCAACGTTGACGGTGTGCATGTTTTCTTGAACAGCCGACTAGAGCAGCCACAGGAGTACGTTGGGCGCCAGCGCAACCGAAAGCAGTCTATGGGACTGGCTGTGGTTCAGGGCAAATCATTGTCATTGGAACCCCATATCCGAGAGGAGCCGGATAATTGATAGAGTATTTTGCAAGCGTTGTACAATTAATAAAAATGTATTAAGTAGGGGGTCATGCTCAAGTTCATCATCAGCATCATGTGTTTTATATATATACAGGTAGCGTTTTTAAGAACGCTGCATCAAGCACCGACGGCGTTGATCTTGCCCCGGATAGCTTCGAGAAGGCTAGGGTCAGCCCTGGGAAGAACTGCGCGTGGCCTGGCACGCTGAGATATTGCCGACATTAAGCAACCACAGAATTCACAGGGAGTGCCATGTTGCGCCCCTATGGGGTACAGTTCTCGGCATTGGATGCACTCGTAGACAGGAAAGCTGCTAGGACCAAACTCATCGCCTGGATAGCCAAATGGGTACTTTTCCCTTCTCGAACTGGTACGAGTTAGAATAACACTGTAGAAGTCGTGATGTAGCACGGTGAACAAGGACTTACGGATCTCGGGGACAATCACTACATCGTACATGCCCGCAGCTTTCACATGTCTTGTTTCCTGGCATAAAGGTGTAATCGCACAGATGGCACATTCGCCGTACTCTTTGCCTTGGAGGCTTATGCACCAGCTCTTGTCCACCCGGTAGGCCGGGGCGGTTAAGCAGCACACCCATATCATTCCAGTCGATTTCGGCCATTATAGGAGCCTGAGAATTACCCATGTCATCACGGCTTTCCAAGTCAGCTCTTGGCTCCTTGTCATGCCGAACTGGAGGGTTTCTGGGGCACATGGGGCACCGAGAGTGCTGGCATTCTGTGCACCGCTTATCCCGGTCCATGGGTATTTTGCACCGATGGCAGTCCCAGCGAACGCGCATGCGTACGGGCTTGTCTGTGCGGAGGACCTTTTCTTCGCGGCTGACGACGTGCCAGTCCCATGTTCCCGACTCTATGCCATGTCTAGCGTCGAGAGTCTGTAGTCTCTCTTCCAGAAGCTGGTCCACTGACACTTGATAGGACGGCTCCACTGATTGGAGAACTTGATCTTCATGAATGAAATCCGATGTATTCGAAGTATATGTATCATCAGAAGACGGTAATAGACAGGGCACTTGTTCTGACAGTTGTTCAGTCTGATCATCTGGGTGCGGTGACCCAGTCCTTGACGAGGCACACATGTGTGGAGAGTCGACTGTTGACGAATAATTGGCGTGAAGCCTAGTCAAACGATTGTAATACTTGCTCAATATTCGGCCATAAATTATATCTTAACGAAAAGCGTGTGCTGCAAGGTTGGCGTGCCACCGTGAACTCTCCTAGAAAGAGGTTTTGAAGAATGTTGACGGGGTATTTGAATGACCGTCTTGGTGGCGTGTCGTTGTAGACTTGGTCCCGTTCGAGAAAGAAAGAAGAGCAACTCGGTTCAAATAGAGAAACTGTGCGTGTGATGAAATCAAATCTAGAAAAATGGGAGAGAAAGTGAGCTGAGGTTCGGCGGGGGTGCAAGTCTGGCCAGGTGCCATAGTAGGAGCTATAAGAGAAAACCCACCACAGCGGCTAACCCTATCTGAAGGCTGCTGGTAGGGGTGAAGATTAGGGGGGTGCGATTCCACTGCCAGCGGATGGCTGTCACAGTGGGTGTTGCCCAACTTCGCTGTAGCACAGCATAATTAGTGGTTTGCTGACAGCAGGTACAGCATGCGCGAGAAGAAAAGAAATTATAACCGAAAAAAGACGCCGCGAGCTGGGGTGGGCGATCTGTCAGCAAGTTCTGAGACGGATAAATACTGTTTTATTTTAAAGAAGAATACACATCACGTACGGAATGTAGAAATACAAAGCTGGACGAACAGGGCGGGAAACCCCCCCAGCTGACATGCTAGTTGCAAGCAAAACACACTACAACGGCAGAGAAGACGCCAGGGTTCAGCCCGCCCCCTACTCTTAATACTGTACTTGGTACCGGAGATGGAGTAGAACTGTGTCCGGCATGATACGATAAATTACGGGGTTGTTGGGTACCAGTACAGTCAGTATAGAACAGTACTGAGATGCTAGCGCGACCCGAGGGGACGGGTGGCAGGGCAGGGGTCCTGGCTGCCGAAAACTCCACTGGAGACGCTACCGGGCCGTTGGGCGTTGGCTTCAGCGGGACAACCCAACTTTACAGCAACCACCGATAGGCCCCAGGCAGCGCACCGCAGCGCCAACTCAGCATGCACGCAGCCGGCGCAGACCGCTAAAATCCAAGACTCGTGGCAGCCATGGTAGGCGGCTGGCCACTCGCCGAGGGCAAAAGAAGAAATTACAGGTGCGTAAAGGGGGGGTTGCCACCGCTGGAGTAATATATTGATGCGCCTCTTACTCCTGGGCTGTTGCTCTGCGGTTGACCTGCCTTGTTTTCTCCCAACCTTTTCTCCATGTCAGGGTCCCTTTCTTTTCCTTTTGCCCCCTTCCTGCGGCATTGACCCTGCTCGCCACCCATAGTGCAGTGAGTGCAGCACTGCATATATCGCACCACCCCCATAACTGTGCTATGTGGCGACCCCACCGCCATCGTCGGCTGCTGCAGCCGCCCATGCTCTAGCGGGCCCAGCAGCTTGGTTCACCCAAAAAACCACCCCCTCCTCGTTTTTCTTTTTTTGCTTTTTCCTTCTGCCATCCACCTTGACGAGCTCCTCCTGATGACAGAAATGTGCTGGCCAGTGGACCCCTGCCCAGTTTGTTTGTGTTCCATGCATCGGTGCTAACTTGTGCATATGTTAATTAACTCACTGCTCACCCAGTGTGATGGAATCTTTTCTTTGCCGCCCCCAATGCTTGGAGCTTTTGCTCGGCTCGGGCCGGCCTCTAGTGCGTTTCAATGCGGATGCAGTTTGTTCTGCCAAGCCAAACGGCGAAACTCGCAACGTCTTCCACGCAGCAGTAGACGTCTTCAATTGTTGTTAGGCTACATGGAAAACCAAGCACAAGCCCGGCAAACACTGACCCAGTCCAATGACTGGCACTGGCCGGCGGCTTGCAGAACGCCCCAAACAACACATATCCCGACCGCCATCGCCTCCCTGGTGCAGCCATGCATGAGGCGTTCCGTTCCTTCATCCTTGTGGTTGGCCTTGCTGCAGCTTCCAAGTCCCCCGGTTCCTAACGCTGTGCCGGTCCGCTGTCCTGGTATTTGAGCCCACCATCTTTCAAGCCATGCATGATTGCCTTGCAGATGGTGTTGCCGTCTCCACGGACAACTCCCTCCGAAACAACCAGCTTGGTTTTATAGCTGACAGCATCCATAATTGGGGCCATGTATATTACGAGTCCAGAATATGGGTCTTGACTGCCCGCTAGTGCATCTCTAAATCACCGAATTAGCTGCGAATTTGACACGGCACAGACATTCATTCACAGTTCATCTCATCTTGGCTAAAAGGAACAAACGAAAGCGAACGGGATTGCCGGTGAAAACACAGCCAGGGTGTTTCAGCCAGCAGAATCGATGCTCGGGAGATCATGCTCCCTGTGTTCGGCGGATCTTTTACGCCACCTGGCTCGTAACGACTGAATGGTGACAGGTCGACTTACGCATTTACGAAGCCACCACAAGGGGCCGTTGCAACAGACCGTTTGGACTCGTGGTGGTGAAGATGATTCCATGGCGGGGTTTGTCCGCCGGCTGAATGCCCAGCCTGGAACAAATGTTGAGGATCCATGCAAGGGTGACAGACCACCCCGAAAACGCCTTTTGGTGTGGGACATTCACAACAGTTTCTCAGCACAAAATCGAGCTTGCCGTTGCCAAATACATACTCGGGCGGGCCGCTGTGGCCTGGATCACCAACTCCCACCGTCGGAATCTATCATGTCTGTCATCTGTCAACGCCATGTCCCGACCATTGAGCATTTGACTTCACCCAGACTGCTTACCCAAGCTGGGTGTCGCGTGTTGCGCACCTGGTTCGGCGGCCGCACGCCCTGGTCCTGCGTCCGAGCTGTAACCAGAGGTGGTGTGCAGCATTGACTTAGTGGTGTATCGATACTTTCTTTACACGGAGCCTCGCTTCCGATTACTGTACTAGTCGAGCCACAATAATACTAGACTGTAATCTGGTGGAACTCCTTCGAGGGCCAGCCGTTGGAACAAGACCCGGCAGTTTGGGCACGCAAAGAGCCGGAGCCTGCGAGATCGAGACGGAAGCTAGTGGGACGAGCCGCCGTCCTGCAGCTGCAGCTCAATATGGCCTGTTCATTGCGGCCGAGTGGTATGAGTTCTGCAGACAGGACGCAAGCCAGTGCAGGATGAGTCTTGTTTGGTTAACCGCAATGTATATCGCAATGTATATCGCAATCTTAAATTGCACCAGTTGCCTCGAAACGCATGCAGCAACCAGTTGGAGAAAAGAAGAGGCCTTTTGTGTTTTCTAGGTAGCATATGTTTTTTTGTTTCGCGCACGCTCTTCTAGGCATTCACGGGAATAATGCAGGTTTTATGGAACTCCTAATCAACTTTCCTTGGATGGATGTCACGATTTGGAGCTCGCGATAGTGTTGTTGACATCGTATAGCGGGCGTAGTGTTTCTGCCCACTAACACTTAGTTAACGTACACTAACTAACCACGCTAACTGTACGTAGAGGGCCCGGCTCATTCTCGGTACAAACTGCCTCTAAAAAAGGTGGAGCGTGACGAGATGACTCCAACACGCTATAGACGCGGCCGTTTTGCTATCCATCACAACAGTCATTTATCAACATCAACGAATATCGCTACCGAATTCTGCTCGTAAAATCAACGCTCGCTCGCTTCCAACTGAAACCCATTCGACTGTGCATAGGTCTTTAAGCACAGTCTATTCTTTCGTTTTCAACATAACTTTGCCTCAGCCTTATGCAATCAGAGCCCCTGGAGAGTGACCAACAGCCCGCGCATCTACCAAACACTTCTATTCCCTCTTCTCCCTTCGAACATGGCTACCAGCACCATGACTCTGAAGACTCTCCAAGAGCTCCCTCAGAATGCTCCGATGATGTCCGCGGCGATGCTATCGCCAACGATGCCGCTGACCTCGCCCGGCTTCTACATGGCCTGAGTCTGCGTGCCGCCAACGGCGACCACCCTTTTGTCCACGGCCAGAGAATCTCGGAATATGAAAATTCAAGCCTCAGCAACACGCCCAAGAAGGCACTAGGCTTCCGCCTAGTCAAGAGTGCAACTTCCGATGGAAATGGGCCGCATGTCCTCGACTTTCCCAACGGTTTGTAACCCCTCACTTGGTTTCCACTTTGCGCTTCTGCTAACAGCCGGCCGTAGAGGTGCTCACGCATATCTTCTCGTACCTGCATGCCGACTCACAGCGGAACGTCGGCCTAGTCTCGAAGCGATTCTATAGCATAACTACGTCCCAGCATCTCTGGCGCATGGCGTTCTTTCGCTACTTTCCCGGACACCAGGCACTACAGGACCACTTCACCCGTAATACAAAGGATACTTCTCTTGCACCATCTACAGAGCTTGTCCTTTCTGAAGCGCGCTACTTCAGCAGACTGACAGCCCTCGCAACTTGGCGAAGCGAGTACCTGTTCCGTACAACACTGCTGAGCAGCCTTGCTCGTGGCAAGCCCAGCAAGTCAAAGTCGGGTGGTATTGACTCTCCCATTCGAGCGGGGTCAGCAGACAAGAAGTCGACTGCAGTACTTACATACAACTCCCGACTTCCATGGACTGTCACTTGCATCGATGCCATCTTTGACAATGGTAACAAGGGGCCCCGCGCCATTCACGGCGCTAGCATGTTTGGTGTGGCTACCATGAGCGACCCAACCAATGGCAAAGTCAGTAAATGGGGCTTCGAAGAGACCAACCTTGATCTAGATGCACGGGCAACAGAAGCTACCCATAATTACCACGGCCTTGGACTCGGGCCGGCTGCGACTGACAATGTCATGGATGTCAGCCAAGCATACGGCATGCTTGCTGGCCAGGCCATCCCTGGTGGTAAAGCATTTTATCGTGCCCCTCTGGACAGTGCCCGCATTACCCTTGAGTCCAATGATGGTATCCCTGTTGGACAAGCAGACGTTCCCTATGTACCATCGCTCCTGGAAGGTATCTCTAGCGTCTGGATCGCCAAATCGCCTGCCTTGCCCACCATTTCCAATTCTATGGTTGGGATGTTCACTGGGTCAACCTTGGGAATTGTTACTGCCTACGCAATCAACACGGATCCCAAGTTTCGTCAAGCTTACATGACTGTGCGCTGGGCTGTAAGCCCTGGTGTCCCGATCATCTCCATCAAGGTCGATGACAACTACAGCATAAAGCGAAAAGCCTCTAATCGAGTATGGGCCGTAGCGCTGAACGCTCTTGGCGAGGTTTATTACTTGACCCAGCTTCCTGTCGCCCTACCTACACAAGCCGCCACCGGCAATGCTTCCATTGATGCATGGAAGGTGGGCTACGAGGCACCTTGGAAGTTGCTTCAAGAAACTCGCCGTACCGCAATAGTCGATGAGATCGGCCAGCCGTCGTCTCTTTCCACTACAGAGGTACAAAAAGCCCTGGGTCTTACCAATGATGGCGTTGACAATTCCGGCGACAGCGTGCCCGACGTCAACATCGTCAATGAATTGTTACGATGCCAACCCAGCTATTTCAGGCAGACATGCCAGCACTGGGACATGCGCCGCCGTCTAGAGGTAGATTTCGCCGCTGATGACGGTCAAGAGGCTGGTGAGTACATTTTCGTTTTCGACTGTGGCCATGGGAAACCTACTGGAATCACTCGATTCACGAGAAGTGTCAAGGTCGTTGAGGCTGAACAACCTGAACCAATTCTTCGGTCGTCCATTTTCGGTGGAACTGCCACTGTCCAACACGCCGCTATTTCTAACTTGCCCAACATCATTGATCAGCATCACTGGGTCTCTCAGCCACTAGGTTTTAATAATCTTGCCAAAATTATTCTTTCATCATCAGCGCTTGATAACTCTACACCTTCACTCTATACCATGGCAGAAGACCCTCTCTGCACCCCCCCGGAAGGAGAAAAGGTAGATGCTAATGATGAATTCATGCAAAAGCGAATCCCAGGAAGGCGGGCTCGCTACCTTGTCGTTGGAACCGAGTGTGGTGCAGTGCTGGCTTGGAATAGCAGAGCACGCCAGAACGATGAACCTATCAGCCCAATCCGGGTTATTCAGACGTCATCCCCCGCAATTCAATGCGTAGCTGCTTCGTCTCTCTACATTGTTCATGGCGGCAGCGATGGACTGGTCCAAGCATGGGATCCTCTCGCTTCCATGTCTGACGCAGTGCGGACTCTGAATAGCAAATCGACGGGCCCAATCCATCGACGCCTACGCCATCTCCCTGCCCTTGAAGCTGGGTTCGACTGCGGTACGCAAGCAGGCGCCATTTTCATGGACCCAGATGCCACAAACCTCCGCGGTATCGTCGCATTTGGATGGCTCCTCAAGTGTTGGTCATACAGCGCTCAGAATCCTAACAAGGGTCGCAAGCGGCGCACAAGACACGGTGATGCCCATGCCCGCTTGGCAAGCAGGCGACAAGCCAATCATGTCTCGGACTTCATTGCCGAGGAAGAAAAGGAGATGATTCGATCCAACGAGGAGCGTAGACGTGAAATGTCGCGCATGCAGGCACGCTTTGGTGCATTTGGGGACTTGACCGAGCAGGAAGCGCTCGAGTATGCCCAAATTCTGTCGAGCGAGTCATATGCTGCTGACGAGCAGAGACGAGCCAGCGACTCGGGCGCAGATACAGGAGCAGACCTAGACACGGCTTCTTCCTTCAGCGATGTCACGCCTGAACCAAGCATCATTGAGCAAAAATCCCCCGTCTCCATGTTAACTACCGACGGCGAGGACGAGTATGATGAGCATCTACAGCAGGCGTTGCGGCTCTCGCTTATGGAAACCGTAGAAGCGTCGCCTTCGGCCCGCAGCCAAGGTACCGATGACTTTGACTTTGTCGTCAAGTACAAGCCCAAGGGCGGACGCAAGACCAAAACACCCCGCTCCGGTCCCCAATCGCCCAGCGGTCGCATCATGGGCAATGCCTCGCTGCGCCCCGGTGTGTCCACGTACCAATTGACAGCTGACGATGACCTTGCATTTGCCATTAGCCTGAGTCTGCAGGACCAAGAGGGCCTTGCGCCGTTGTCGAGCTCACTCAAGTCGGAAGACGAGTTCCCGGCCCTGAACCACGACCTCTCTGGTAAGGGGAAGGCCCCAATGAGGTAATACGATCGTACGTAATGCCGTTGGATCGTGGTGTGAGTGGCGGGTGAGACGGTGCCACTGGCTATTTATTTTCTTTCATTCGCGCTTGGCAGATGTAGCGAACATTTTGTCTTGTTTCTAGCATCGTGTCCTTTTTTTTAGACATGGTGCAGAGTTTTCAAGCCTGCGGTGCAACCGCTGTTTTAATATGAATTTTTGTTGATTGACAGTCAGTGTCACAATCACGGCGTCTATGAATGTTAGCCCGTAGAAAGCCGCAGCGAAGTGAAATAATCATGTGTAGTATAATCAAAAAATTCTTTTGAATTAAGGTATTGTGGAAATGGCTGTCAGAAAATAAAAATAAACAACAAAATGCACCCCAAAGAGCCAAAAACTATCTAACAAAAATATGGCGTCGTTCGCGGATCATATACAGGAAGAGCCCTCTCTCAATCCAAAAAAGGGTCGTCGTCGGCGGCGTCTAGTTAATAGCTGAGAAAATAGACATAAAAGTAATCCCGTGATAAAAAGGATTTTGAGAAGAATGAAGAAAAAACAATGAACAAAGACGCGTTCCTTCTCCCAAAAGGTAAAAACGAGAGACCAGATCCTGCTGAACCCCAAAACTCCAGATTAGAGAGGCCAAAAGAGAAGCAGGCCTCGTCATTACATGAGAACCAAAACGCCAATCGCTATGCAAATACAAATCGTATGAGAGCGCAGGTTGGGCTGTGTAGAGCCCGCTCCGTTCTCTTCATTAGTGAGCGTAGACAAAGGCTTGCCTGTCGATGATATAGTCGTCACGACAGGGTCGTCAAAGGGGACGCTCAGAGTCATACTGGCCATGACAACGCCGGCTGGGCCAAGCGTAATCATTTCGTTGCCAGCGCTAATAGTGCTTTCGCCAGTGCCGGGGCCAACGGCATATGTTGCGCCGTTGATAACCACCATGGATGGCGGGATTTTTCCAATGGTGGCGCCGCCGACAATTTCGTAGCGAGTGTCGGTGGCCTTGGCGGATGGGCCACCCAGAGTGTGGCCGTGGACGACAATGCCCGTGGGTTCCACGGAAACGGTGTCGCCATTAATAACTGTAATCTGCTCAGGAGAACCTGGGCCGTATGTAATGGTGGTTGAGTGAAGCACGAGGATGTTGCTGCCAATGGCTGTCAGCATCTCGCCGCCAGTGACCACCATTGCGGTGGGCTTTGCAAAGTCTAGACTTTGGTCGCCAACCAGCACGCCGCTGGGGTTGATGACGACGGCCTTGCCATCGACGATGGTTGAGCTGGGGCCAGGAGGCTTGGTTAATGTGTGGCCGTCGATAATAACGTTGCCTCCGGACTCGGTAACAGGCAGTCCGCCCAGAGTTGTGCGGACGGGCACAGGCACCGGACGGCGTACGGTCTCTCCGGCACCAATGACGGAGCTAGGGTTGATGGTAAAGGTTCCGTGCTCAACGATAACAGTGGTGGTTTCGCCCGGCCCAGCAGTAAATGTATCGTGGTTGATAGTGACGGCAGTGGCTCCAGCGGTAATGGTGTAGTATGACGGTTGCACAACGCCATCGGGCTCGTTGGGCTTGTTTCCGCTACCGTTGGGCTTTCCAGTTGGTCGAGTACCGCCAAGAGGAGAGCTCACCTTGTCCCACGGCTGCGAATAGTCTGCTGGAGGATCTGTGGTATACACCACAGCCGGGTTCTTTTCCGACGTGATCAGAGTTTGAGAGGTGAGAAAAGCAGGCGATGGGACGGCATTTGGTGTCTTGGCGGGAAGTGTAGTAGTCTTAGTCTGGCCATTTGTGCTGTAAACAACTACCAAGGAGTTATCACTGTGGTATGTGGTGGCGTCAGCGCCAAATGCAGAATATGTCGCGCCGCCCGATTCGACATTGTTAGCGGCACAGTAAGTTGGAATATGAATAGGCTCATATGGAGGTGTATAATCAGATCTGTTACCCGTGAAAGTAACTGTTGACGGATATATAATCGAGTATTCAATCACAGTACCGGACACCGGTTGAATGCAAGGCGGTGCTGTGGTGTTGTGAGGAGGGTGGCCATGAGGACGTGTCTTTGTTGGAGGCGTGTCCGATACAGGCATGTCTGGGGGGAAAGATGGAGGAGTAGCGCAAGCAGTACCGTTGTACATGCATAGAGGAGACTCCTTTGGAGCGGTGCTAGGCCCTGTAGGCTTGAGGATGTTAAACGACGGTCGGCCATGTGTGCCGTTGCTGTTGCTGTTGCTATTGCCGGTATGGTTGGCCGCCAAAGTTGGAACAGACAGACGAGGCGGGCCTCCTTTGTTTGTTGGCGAACTTGATACCAGTGTGTCGAAAGTAGTGGGCTTTGAGAGCGGAGTTGAGATGGATAGATTTGCCGGTTGCACTGTTGAGAAGGGCTCTATTGAGTAAGAAGGTGCCGAGGAGGACTTTGCGATGACAATCTCTAGAGGCGTAGATGAAGGTCTTGTTTCGTTGGATTTACTGTAGAGCGGTATTATACCGGTGTAATTATTATCTGTAGCAGAACGAGTCAGCATTTCGGAACCTGTAAAACCGCGGTCGGCAGTAGACAGCCAAAGCTGTACTGCTGATGTATGAACTTACTCTTTCTAGGTGTGGCCTCGGACGGTGCCGAGTACAGGGCCACCAGGAGCAGCGCTTGCGTGTTTATTCTCATGGTGAGAGATTAATGTGAGTCTTAATAAGAGGAGTATGTAGCAGTGAGAGCGGCGATGGGCGAAGCGCACAAGCAGGCGTCTCGTGCGGGAGTAAATATGAGTTGAAGAGCGAGATGCAGGTCGTTTCGTCAGCCGTGTAGCAAACCAGTAATAAGCTGGGGGGCGGAAAACATGACGATGATGGGATACTGGGAAAGAAGTTGTCGAGGGTGCTGAATCAAGCGGGCCTGGGGGACGTGGCGAGAACAATGGGCTGGATGCGAGACAATGTGGCTCAAAAAGTGCTGAAGATGCGGAAACCCAGGGCGGAGCGGACGAGCAGCGGCGAGCGGGAGGCGGACCCAAAAAGAAATACAATCAAAATGCACGCGGCGTAGTGAAGGCGATTTCGGATGGATTCGAGCAACACTTGCGTATTGAACCGGGTATCACGGACGTGTTGCGGACGCGGCGAGTTTGTTGTTTGGTGGTGGTGGTGGTGTAGATGTTCTGCGGTGAATATGGGGGAGGAAGAGGAAAAGGGTTTGTGGCAGGGAAAAGGCGGACGGAGGCGCTAATACGAAAGGGGGGCAGATGAAAGGACAGGGCCCAGCCAGCGGGGGAGACAGCCGTAAGAAGCAGGCCAACTAAGTCATCCTTGGCGCTATTAGGTTTTTTTTCGGGGCTGGGCTGGACTGCTAGCGCACTGGACGGCCCACGGCACCTAGGTACATTGTAAGTAATAGCGGAGAAAGGGCTGCTGCTAGTGCAGCGCAGCGAGAGAAGCGTTGGTGGGTAGCAGCGGCCGGTACACAACCGAGGGGGCCAATGGAACAGACAGCCAGCAGGAAGTGTGCCAGAGGGTTGGTCTACTGAGGAAAAGAAGTGAAAAAATTACAGTAACGAGCAGAATGACACCGCAAAGGACGAGGGCAAGGCGACGGCTGGTTGCCGCTGCTGGTGCCAGTGCTGGGTGCGTGTTGCTACTACGGCTGTTGTTACTGGTACTCTTCTCTCTGTCTCGGACAACCACTCCAGCGGGCCCCCCGCGGCGCCACTGCCTGGACGACCACTAACTGACTGTCCGAGGGCCTGCTGCGCTGGTCAGCACGAGTTCCAGCCCAGGTCTTTCGCCGCCTGGTGGGTGCACTGCAAATTCTGCAGTGGGGATTGCTACTGTCATGTACTCCTGCGAAATGCTACCATTCCCACAGCACTACCCCCGGCCCCGTCTCGCCTTGCTACAGTGCATGCGATGCTGTCATGGATATCGCCGTGACACTCTGTCGAGACCATCGGCCCTTTGTCTGTAGAAGAAGGTGATGAGGAAGGAGAATTCTCGCTTTTTCCATGATACGTCCCCGATTGCCGTTCTTGGCTCGCTTGTTGTTATTATTATATTACTTCTGGGCTTTACTCTTTGGCGCCCTGCCAATTTTAATGCTGGTTGTTTCTCCAACCGAGTTTCTACAGCATGCCGCTAACGAAGCGTTGAAGAAGACTGGGGGGGATGACAAAAAGCCGTGGCAGTTCTTCCACATGTGCTAAAAGCCGCGCTAACTAGTCATTCATCAGCTGTGCGGGGGCCCTCGCCCATCTGCTGCAGCCATCACCTCCTAGCTTCGCTTGCTAAGAGCACCAAAAGTATGCTATTGACCACCCCGGCTCACCGTTTGCCCTAGGCCTTGTTAGGGAGGTGGCCCAGCTTGAGTAGTGCGTATTTTGCCGCATTGGGGCCACGACAGCGTTGCTGGTCTCGCCGCCGCCGTCTCACCGAGGTGCCACCTCCAACAACCCGCGGTACCGCCGGCCAGGCCATCACTGAGATAGGTAGGTGTCTTTGCTACAGCGACGCATCAGCGCAGCCATGTGTTGCATTCGCCTTTGCCCAGGGTACCATCTCGCCAACGTACAGCGTGTCGATAGCCCATCACAGTAGAACTAATAGCCGCGCCGGAGACGTTTAGCGCAGGTTGAATTAGAGCTTTCGTCAGCTTCCGTCGTGGCTCGACCCCTACCGCCACAGCGCACCTGCTGGCTGTGAATCCAGCCTTAAGCCGCAAATCTTTTAGATTGGTCATAAAATTAAGCTGAGGGTCAAACGGTGGTCTTGCAGTATGAACGCCGCCTTTGCGCAGCAAGTTTCATGCTTGAACAATGCCTTGGCCGTCTGCTCTGTAGCATTAAACACTAGTTGAGACAGTTTGGGATATAAAAAGAAGCGTGTCTGAGGCGCACTTTGTTTGCGCCGAGGCTAGGCCAAAGGGATGCCTTGGCGCTCTCTTGTCTTCCCTTTCACATTGGTAGGCACTGGAATGTGTAGAGTCAGACAGTCCGTGCTACTGAGACAGACGCACCTTGACGCAACGGTTCATTCCTTTTGTCCAAGGCTCGCCATCCGATACAATAGATTGTCGCCAAAGAAACACAGTATCGCCAAACGCTTGACAGCCTTTCTAGTTACGACACTAGATAAAGATTATCAAGAGTTCGAACTTGGAAGCGCCGATTTCTACTGTCATCCACCGCATAGGAGCGAAATCTACACAGTTGCGTAGTTAGACAGTCGAAGTTCTGTACTTACCCTGCAGATGCACCTTGATATCTCCATGTTAGTTACATCTTATAATAACTTTGAATTTGGTAGTAGTAAACTTTATGTGTATAGTGGATCGCCGTGGCCGACTCGGTTGATATTTCCTCGCCCGGTATTAAGGTTTCCGCCTCAAAAGGGTGGCAACGTCAATCCGCTCGGGAGCAAGATTAAACTTTCGCGCCTCAGCGAATAACCCGCAGGCTTTCAAGGATGGTCGTTGCAACGGGCCGATCCAAAAGTGTTTTATGATGATTTACAGCGCATTGAGGCTCAACTTTGCCTTTGGCGTAACCCACAAAACTAATCATGCCGGGGCTTGTTGAATCGACATGGATGCACATATAGGACAATGGGAACGAATAAACAGCGATGTAATTTTGTTTGCTCGGTCCAAAGCTACATACCCCGTCTAGTAAAAATGTGCCTGATACTATTGTACTTGTATAGACAGGATGATATGATGCCAGCCGACCTGTAAGGAACAGACTTGAATGTCTGTGCGTGCTTGGCGGCAGTTGGGATTGTTGCAAGGATCGTCGATTTATGAGGCACCTGCTGGCGAGCCATCCTATAGCTACAGTCGTGGAAAATCGATCTCCGCAGTCAACCTACCAGGAGACAATCATGAAACTGGAATATGCTATAGCTGTTCGGGACTCTTTAACGCGAACCATGTTTTGCATTGATGGTCAATTGTACGTAAGGCGAGACGTGACGCATTGTAACACTGCAAAGGTCTCTACAAGGGCTATGTTATAGTCAACGGTCTTCGCCAGACGATGCGGGCCCTAGATTACAAAAACAGGGCAGATGTCGAGACGCTCGCCAGAGAATCTGTATAAGTGCGAATTGAGTGTGGTCGATTTTCGCTGGCTGACCACTATCGTGGTTCCAGGAACCACTTCGCTCAACAAGCGAGGGATGCTGCACGTGAGCAATAGACGAGAGGTAATAAATTTCCGACGGGGCTCAATGGCTGGGGGTGTCGACTAGGATAATGGAATGTCTGGATAAATGGGCGTTTCAAAATGCTGAGTAGAGAGCGTGTAGGGAATACTGAGAAGCGGCAGGTGTTTGTGTTTATGCATTGACTCGGGCCTAAGGCTGTAGAATAGTCCGAAGGAAAATGAATCCCTCCCTCGCGACCCAGAATGATTTCGTTTTGTCACTACGCACCTCGGACGCACATTACATGGTAGCGTGCTCTCTCCACAAAGGGTAGGTCGGCGCAAGTTAAGATGGCAGGTGGAGGCGATTGGCTGGCACAGATCCACTTGGGGCGCTCTATCTCACCTGCCGAGAGCAGCTCCTTCCTGTTCGAGAAGTTCACCCTCCCGATGGCATCCTTGCTGCACCGACAGCGCACTGTCAGGTGGGCACGCTGGGTACAGGTAGTGAGTGCACGGCACAAGTTGTAGGCGTGGTGTACTGTGGGGTAGGGAGCATCTACATACAGTACAGTACGGCACTGTTATGCATCACAGGCATCGTTAACAGACCAATGTATGCATCGGAGAGCTGGCTGAAAAAGGATTAAACCCTCTTCAGCGACAGGTACGCTAGGTAATGTCAGGTAAGGTAAGGCAAGGCAAGACGAATGCATGAAATATCCAGTCCATTGTTGGTTGCCCTTGCCAATAGTTGTCGATAGTCAGTCGCTTGCCACGCTAGCTGAGCTCCAGGCGAGACAGTGTGCACGGCGTCTTCCGTCATAGACACCCTCCCAAGCGACATTTGACGCGTGGGGAGAAGCATGCGGATAAAGGCATCGCCGGCTAGAGCATGCGCGTTTGAGGCCGCGGGCAAAGGAGAGATTGCCGCGGTATGGTCAAGCGAATAAAAGACAAGGCAAAGAAAAGACTGGACAAAAAGGTAAAAGCAGCGAGTACAGCGCGAAAGTGGTGTCTCGCAAAATTGCTTTTTCTCATTACTCGTACTGACACACGATGGACCAGATCACCCTCACCAGGAATTCCAGCGCGCCCCGCGCAACGGAAAGTCTCGTCTCCCGCACCGGCTGGCTTCTGGGTGAGGCTGGCCTGCCATGCTCCGTGGCCGCTGAGCGGACAGAGAGCGCATTTTATTCCCTCTTGGACGCTGCTGAATGACTGCCTGCTACGTTAAAAATAATTTATCTTCTATCCCATCATGGCACGCAGCACGGCTGCAACTGTGCAATTGCATGGCCAGCCAGCCCCCCTCCCTCCTCTTGGCTGGCAAAATGGCCGCTGATGGGGTCGTGCTTCTGAGACTAAGAGAAACATGCTTTTGGGTCAGCGCCGACCAAAAAAAGGACGGCCGCTGTGTTTGACTGGCTCAGCTACACTGGCGGTGGCACTGCCCCAGCAAAGTTCCAGCGTAAGGGCAACAGGTATGCACCGAAGCTACTAGCCGGCCGCATACGGTTTAACGCGGATGCCGCTTTTACTGCCAACTAGACCGCGTCGAACCCAATGTCACGATAGCTAGATGACTTGCAGATGGGATGGTTTGTATGCCGTAATTGATGCTAAACCTGGCGCAGAATGTACCAGTTGATCTCTGTCCTTTTTCGCCCTTTGCAACGACATCGCAATCCCAAGATTGGCGTAGACCAGACTGAGCAAGAGAGCCGAGACACGTTTAACAAGGTAAAGGGGCATTCGTAGTCGCAGGCCAAAAAAAGGAAGCTCTCACGTCGGACATAATTCTATCGGCCAAGGGTCTACAATGATGTACTCAGTACGTCTGGGAGCGTTTCCCCCTTTCCTTTCTTTTTGTTGTATTTCGACCTTTCCTTTCTTTTTCTCTTGTCGCCCAGGTACAAACAAACAAACAGGCATGCTCTGGCCGCTATAGAGAAGTGAGACGGTGGAAATTGAAACCGAGGTCGAGCCCCCATTTTTTGACTCAGGTAAACGTTTCCCTCTGTAATCGACGTCCTGTAGCATTTAGCGTTGGCGCTAGAGCAGCACCCCCCGCCAAGTTTGCTAAAACGGCGACGAGCTGGCCGACCAGCTGCCTCACTCCTGCTGCCAGCCCAGGCAAAGCAGGAAAATCCTCCAGCCCCAGTGCAGAGGTACCATTTGGTGGGTTTCCCAGCGTTTTCCAGCCATACTGTACAGCCTCCCCGCTGAAACCTTCCCAGGGCACTGGCAGATCGTGGCGACGAATTACTGACAGTCCACCACTACCCACACACACCTGGCCACTGCACCGTTGCGCTGCACACCCACACGCCCACTCTTTCGCCCTCGCTCCTCGCTGCTTTCCCTGTCCCCTGCCAAATCTCAGTGGACTCTCCCTCGACAACTCTTGGGACTTCGATCTTGCATCTTTGCATCCTCGACATCTTTCGCTCTCTCGCATCACGCAACATCGTGCAACGGCCGACGTCGATTCTCTCACCTGCTTCTGTCGACGACCCGAGTTCCGATTGCTTCACCTCACTCCCACGATCTTTGCCGACGAAGGATGGAAACGCTCGTTTGAAATCAACCAGATTGAACCTCCCGTTGAACCGTATGGATATTCGACGCAGCGGCCTCTGACCCTGCCTTTATATCGAACTGGATGCGTGCCGACCACGCTTAAGCACCATTTTATAAACGATCTTCTCGCACATTGGCACTAGATACTGGCTTCCCTGGGTCGACTCGCTCACATCATGCGGCCGAGATTTGCCGCCGCCGCCATTGTCATGGCTGGCCATGCTCTCGCGCGCGAACCTGGACCGATGGACTTGCAAGCTGGCTCATGGTATGGATTTTGTTAATATGGATGGGCTTGCAGGATTGGATATTCGCCATTCTTGGGGGCCCGCGGCGTGGTTAAGGCTGCACCTGCTAACGTGTTGATTTCTTACAGGCTTGGTAATGATGGCAACTGGTCCACTGTTCAGGTCCTCTTGGGCTCAAGTTCAGACTTGGTCCAAGTATTGCCCAGTACTTCACTCTCAGAATTTTGGGCTGTAGGCGCTGGAGGATGTGCACCAAGTAAGTAACATGTCTGTAACTTCTCTTGATTCAACATGCATGCTAACCGGTCGTCAGCCCAACCGCAATGTATAACCGCAAGAGGCTCAGTATACAAGCCTTGGTCTTCGCGTACCTGGTCTTCATGGGGCGTTTATGAACTGGGCACTGACTACCTAGGATCTACTGGTGTTGGACTCTACGGATCTGACGGCCTGAAACTCTACTCACCCATTATTAACTTTGGCTTCAACATGAGCGATGCCGTCGTCTCGACCATCAACACGACGGAATTTTTTCTCGGATACTTGGGCCTCAACATCGGCGTCGGACAGTTTGGACAAAACGAGGGCCATTCTATCCTCGAAAAAGCCGTCAATCCCTATGGCTGGCTCCCCAGCTACACATACGGCTATACAGCCGGTGCACATTATCGAAATATGCCAGTTTCGCTCACTTTGGGCGGCTACGACAGCGCTCGTTTCGTCCCGCACGAAATTGATTTCGTCTTGACAGCGTCCGACAAGTCGCCGCGCCCAACTGTTAGAGGCATTCAAGTAAATGCCAAGACTAAGCAAGCTGGCTGGAACGGCTCCAGCAAAATTCTCTCAACCTACAACGAGTCGTTTTTGGCACTCATTGACAGCACAACGCCGTTCTTGTGGCTTCCAGAAGTTGTGTGCGATGCATTTGCCACAGCCTTTAATCTTACTTATAACGAAACATTCCAAGTATACACGCTCACTGATGACCAGTATGGGCGCTTCCGGGACTCTGAGGACTACTCATTTACTTTTAGTCTCTCCAGCCCCGAAAACCGCGATAACTTTGGTCAACCCTTGGATGTTCCGGGTGTTGTCAACATTACCGTACCTATGCGATCATTTATTGGCACATTACAAGGTCCCTACAAAAACAAGATTGCCTATGGCGACCCGTCAGTTGCCTACTTTATGCTTCGCAAACAGAGCAATGATAAAACGCCTATTATCGGAAGAGGATTTCTCCAAGAGTCATACTTGATCACAAAGTACGACCAAGGATCTTTCCGTATTCATCAAGCTGCCTTCCCTAAGGATCCAAAGGCCGATGCCAGACTACTGCCAGTCAACCGAACTGCAAACAGCTTATACCCCGGCCCCCCAACCAACCAGCCTGGTACTCATACTGGGCTATCCGTTTCGCAGATGGTTGGGCTGATTGCCGGACTATTGGTTTTGTGTACCGTTGGCATTTTCATTACCTGCTGCATCTGGAGGAGAAATGTTCGCAAGAATAAACGTCGTGAGCAGGCAGGATTGGATGATGAGTTTGCCAAGGACACCGGCTCTACCATCGACCCAGGCTCACCGAGAACGCCGGTTTCTCGTATTTTATCCAAGATTGCTCGTAAGAAGCGATCCAAGCGAACCATTAGAGAACCCGATATGGCAGAGGCTCATACATTTGAGGCACCGAACGCAGAGATCTATGAAATTGAAGCACCGTTGCCACCAGTAGAGCTCGATGGAGGGTGCCATGAGGCTGATGTCATCGGCGATGAAGCACTCGGAACAGATCAGCATCTCACCGAATATGAGATTGCCAAGCGTAAAATGGCCAGGCAACTGAAGGGACCTGTTCCCGCGTACGCTCCGCCCGCCAACGGCGTCTTCCCGTCAGATGAGAAGCGCCCTATCCGCCCCTTGAACACTCTCCTCATCCCATCCAATGACGACGTATCACCTACCAGATCAGCCGAAGGCCAGACAAATGCCTCGCTGCCAGGAATGATGCCCTCACCGGTGTCTCCCCGAACTGGCTGGGGAACGCACTCGACGAACGAGTTGCCTTCTCCTGTGACCGCATCCAACCCAGCACACTCCACATCCTCTCGATCACAAACTCGAAGTCGTAGAGGAACAGCAACGTCTGCACGATCCGGTGTATCTCAAGACCACACCGCAAGCCGCTCCAACTCGGACAGATCTACGAACGACAACACGTCTTCGGCACAACGCGGTGGTATTCCCCAAGCTGCAATCCAGCGAGCACCTATCGACCCAACAAAGATTGTTTGCTTGGGACCTCTGCCAGACAATATCCAGCTCTTCAGGCAACAGGTTGCCTCTAAGGATGGAGGCTCTTCTGCTGAAAATCCTGCAACACGGAGCTTATTCAAAGCAGAGCCTCACTTCTCCGAAGGCAGTTTAGGAAGCAACTACACTGATGTGGAGAATCAATATGTGGAAGAAATGACACGCCAGGAGAGTCTCTCGTCACGATCCCACGGCACACGTCCCACCCAAGGCACGAATCAAACAATACCGCCTTGGAACCCGTCGTTGCAGGCTGGCACTTCAAATGCGAAAACCGAGACCACCATCTCGCGACAGCGATCGAATGATTCTACCAGCAGCGGTGAGCACAAGGAAGGCCGTATAGATGGCCCTGATCTTATCCATGTGCCACAGATGGCAGAGAAGCGATACAGTTGGGAAGAGGAACGCTGAGAGTGGTATTGAACACAACACCATCTTGCTGTATAAAATGAGCACGCCCGAGGCTTGCCCGTTGCACTATATAGGGGTTATACCCGCAGATGACGATCCTTATCAACAAGCACAAGTACGATTTTATGTTTGAAAGAGTTCATAGAGACTCCGGCGTTTTGGGAAAGCATTGGGTTATTTTTATTATATTACGAACTTGGATTCTGCATCTTGGTCTGCTTGGATATGGCGAGCATCGCAGGAGACGGCGATGCTTGCATGCACTCTTTTTTATCGAAGCATACCTTTTTCTTTCTTTTTTTGGATGATGACCGCATAATTTGCCGTCTCGAATAGTTAGAGCGTAATTGGATTGAAACCGGAGATCACTTGATTTGGTTTTTCGAATCTATTTGGATTTATATGCGCAGCTTCTTGCGCAAAGCTGCAGAGATTGTTAGGAGTAGCTGCCTTGTTATTGAGCAGTCTTACTAATAGTTGTTCCGCGACGGAACGAGGATATATAGCCATTCTCACATCAGGAATATACACTACTTATTTTTTTTTTTTTCACATTCAAGTTTACTCATTGAGCATATGTGTATGTTATTCTACCAAATTTCTTGCCACCATGTCACGCTATCAAGAAGAGCCTTTCTTGTTGCCTCAACATCATCGCCCTGGGCGCGTCCACTCTCTAAGAAAGGGTCAAAGACGGCTCTTTTACAGGCGTCAGCCATCTTTGACGATCCACCGCAAACTGTAAAGATTGGATTTTGAGCCAACAGGGTCGCCAACTGCTCCGATTGTTGGCGAATGAGATCTTGAACATATATCTTTTCGCGTTGATCTCTAGAGAAAGCCGTGTGAACTGTTAAAGGGCATGCCGCTGTTTGGAGATCCTTCCACTCGTCCTCGAAAAAGTAATCCGACGATTTGTTTCGGTTACCGAAGAAGAGAATCATGGGGCCAGTATCGGGGTGCGTGAGGCGTTCATGGATTAAAAATCTGACGGGAGCGAGACCAGTTCCCGTGGCCATCGCAATAAGAGGACGCTTTGCATTGTCGGGGCCATGGATGGGAGAGAGTACAGCTTTTCGCGACACTGTGAGCTGCGAGCCTCGCTGTAAACTGTCAAGGTAGCGGGAGCAAAGGCCCTCGCGTGGTTTACGCAGTATCGTCTTGTATCGGACCATGGCAACGAGAAGGTCGATGCGCGTGGCGGTTGTTGCTTTATCGGGAGTTGGAGATTGGGAAGCCCTGTTGGCTATGCTAAAGTCGCGGCCGCGGATGAGGGGGAATATGTCTAGGATGCGAGAACTTGGGATTTGGACCGATGTGAATTCATCAAGTACTTCGATGATTGTTCGGCGTGATCGCGTGGCGTAATCGAAGTACTCGTCGATATAGTCGGGCATGCTGAACTCTAGTAGACGTTCTTTGTGGTATGGGTCTGTTGAAAAGTATGACATGTTTTTGAGAAAGGAGCGGCGGGGGATGGCGGTGATGTCGATGTTGTTGAGAAGTAGCTGGCGCAGGGTGCAGTTTGGAGACGAGAAGAGGTTTTTGGGAAGCGAAGGGCACAGAGATAGATCCAGTGGCTGGTCGGCGATAGGACCCCAGTTCATGAGTTCGATTAGTCGCTGAGCATCCTTGGGGAAGTTCTTGGGGTAAATGGTAAGACAGTCTCCAGGATGGCATTGGAGAGAGTCGGGAGATTCTATGTCAAAGGAGAAGAGTCGTACATCCTGCCAGTGAGTGTCGGGGGTCATTCGTTTACTCGTAGCTAATTTGGCGGTATATCCGTCTGGTATGGGGAGAAGAGTGGCTGGAGGGGCTGTGTCATCTATTGTCTCTGGTGGGGAGACAGGTTTGTCGTTGAGTACTTGTAATGCGGGCTCAAGGGACCAGCGTGCAGGGAGTATAACGTCGTCGGGTATAGGGTCTTGGCCATCCGGCGGTGGGTAATGTTGTAGGACATGTTTGTAGAGCTCATCTGACCATCGTACAAAAGAGCCGTCGAGGCTACAAAGCGTTGTTAGAATACGGGAGAGACAGTAGTTCAAGAGATAATGGACATACCCATCGGGGAACTGTTCGTCGGCTTCAAAGCCGTCAAAGAACGTCGAAGCGCCAAGCTGTTGTAAGCGACGCACTAGCTTGCGAGCAGCCCAGTTAAATCTGCTCCTGTTAGTGTCATACCTTGACCAATGACTTTTTATAGTGCTCACTTGATGTATGTGCTATCACCGAGCCCAAACCAGGTGTACTGCAGTTGGGACAGGCAGCCAGGAGGCAATTTTTTGCGTAGGAGTCGTTTCCAAAAGACAAGAGAGTTGTGAGGCATGTCACCCTGGCCTGTGGTGGACATTACAAAGACGACGAATGTATTATGGAGGAGTGCGTTCTGTGGGTTGGTTGTCAGCGCCAGCATTCTCTCCGGATGTATATGACGGGCACATACCAGATTTATAGCGTTCAACTCTTCCACCTCGACGCTGAAATGCAATCTTTGGAACAGCTTGCCAACTTCTTCGGCCATATCCTGGGCATTGCCGGTCTCGGATCCGTATAGCACGAGGGCGGTCCTCGTGGCGGGGTGATCTTGCGCCATGGGCGGCAACTGCTGGTGGGAATGGACAGCGTATATCAGCTAGTTGGTATCATGGGAGGGTTATGAATGAGCGTTTGAGTAGAGCCTTTGGTCAAGATTCAAATAGGCGGCTTGGTGGCCCAGATCTTTTATGCGACGAGGGGCAGAGTTTCCGGAGCCGGGGCTCGTTTGACGTTGACGAAAAAAAATTGGATCCGGCGACAAACCGGAGGGCCGATTTGGCGTCGGCGACTCGGCTTCGGGGGATTCGGGCCGTGTTAGAATAGAAAAGAATGTAGTTTGGTAGATCTGATTTTTGTCTTGGTGATTTGCATGGTACACTGAAATGAAGAGTATAACGTTTATTTCGCTTTAAGGCTGAGCAATGACTACATCCTCTGATTTTGGTCATGTTGTGCAGCAAAGATGGCAATGGGGGTGGTCAACATATATGTTGTAGAGATTGACTGATTTCTGGAATATTGTAACTGGATTGTATTTTGTAGCTGAGAACACTTGTGCATTTTATTTTGCTCTTGTCCTTTCGAGCATTGCACCGAACAGCGGGCCAAAACAGCGATAGTCGTGAGCTCGTGTGATCCGCTTCAACTAAGCTTGGGTCGCTGCGGATCTACCCCCTCGACAGCGCCGTTAGTGTAGTGGATCAGGAAAACAAGGACGCGCCACTCTGACGCGGGCTCTATGTGGATGTTTGTTTATTCAGTTGCAGTCATGGGCTTACCTTGAGCAAACGCCGGAAGGCCGGAAGGCGGGCTGACGTCTGAGAGTGGCAGCGAGGATGCCACCAGAAACCCTTCTAGAAGATGCTGCGGAAGGGTACAATGGATATAAAGGTGCGCTGTACTAATAGACAGCAGTCCACAAGCAGAAACAAGACGGTAGGAATTACATCTTGTTGGCTGCTAGTAACACCAAGCTGGAAGCTGTAGCTATTCCTAGCCTGTTGTCCCACAGCTCAGTCTCTCTATAGCAGAGATTTCTTGATTGAAATCTGACGTAGGGGCACTGCATTCGCCACATCTACTCATTTTCAGCTTTGCTCTTCTACGGTTTTCTGCCTTGGGATGCGGCTGGCCGATTCGTCACGCCGCGCCTCATGCAAAAGTTGTTCAGCGATCACGAAACCCGTACGCTGGTGAAAAGATACCAGTGTAGTCCCGCAAAATTATAGGTGCAAGTTGGGTATCTCCTAGACACTGCACAGGTAGCTGTAGAGGGCGGTGAAGGCCAGCACACACCACCACCCAGCTCCTGGTCAGGTCAACAGTCGAGCATGAATGAAATTAGCCTTTTTCGTCTATTGTAATTAGCCACCTTGGCTACTCAATTTCTATGCGGTTACATTTCTACTGTACTCTACACAGAATCATGCAATTTAACTAGAAAAAAAAGTTACTCCTTTTCTTTTTCTGCCCGTTTTACCATGCATGAGTTGCGCTGCAGGACGTCGACTGTAGCACGCAACATGCCCTTGCAGCTGAGGTCCAAGGTAACCAAACACAAAGAAAACGACACTGTAAAACAGAGTTATAGTGGGCTCCCTACCCCCCTGTAGCAACCAAATCGAGTCGTCACTGGGCGCTAAAGCCCGCTGTGGTTGGGGTGGGAGGGTCCCGCGTCGCCACCCGTCTGCAGTAGTCGCACCTTCTCGTTCCACCCATGAGATCCGCTAAAATCTGCAAGGCAAGCACCAGCCAGTAGTTTGGCCCCTAAAAAGTTAGCGAGGTTACAGGGGAAGGCGCCGCTACGACAGGCCTTTCCAGGCGCTACAAGGTCAGCGTCGCCAGTGGACTTGCGCTGTAGAGGTACGCCCGCACTGCCGCAGCAACTGCGTGGGCGGCGCCCGCAGCCAAATTTAAATATATTCCCACCCGCCACCCCCCTTCCCCTTTCTCTCCTCTTCTCTTCTTCCATCACAATCAATCAACTCTTTGTGTCTCCGCGCAACGCACCGTCGTCTGTCTAATCACAAAACCTGTTTCTAGGGCACGAAGCTACCCTGACCAACTACCTCCCTCATTGCATCAGAGTCAAACTCGCAAACCTTTTCAGCCTCTCGGATAGCTTTCTCCAGGTTCACCACGCCATCACCCAGAACCCCACACGTTTCCTCCATCCATCACGCAATCCATCAAAATGTCTGCTACCAACGTGGAGAAGCCTACCGAGGCCGCCGTCAATGACGTTGCCAACACTCTGAGCAACACCTCAATCAGCAAGTCCGCTGAGGACAAGGCTGCCGCTAATGAGGCTGCCTCCCTGAGCGCTGCTGAGGGTCGCCGCCTCTACATCGGCAACTTGGCCTACCCGACAACTGAGGGAGAGTTGAAGGACTTCTTCAAGAACTATCTTGTGTAAGCATAATGCCTTGCCTTGCCTTTGCTTCTGTCTATCCCCTGGCGGAGGTTATAGCTGCCACCTGGCGTCTATGGGCACACTGGTTCACTAGGCTTGCTCTCGAGTAAACCAAAGAGCATCAGAGCTGCTGCTGCCTACTATCCTCCACCAAGAATAGCTTGCTAACTTCTTTTCTCATCACTACAGCGAGTCTGTCTCCATCCCCAAGAACCCCCGCACCGACCGCCCCGTTGGCTACGCCTTTGTCGACCTCTCTACCCCCACCGAGGCTGAGCGTGCTATCGAAGAGCTCTCCGGCAAGGAAATCCTCGAGCGCAAGGTCTCTGTCCAGCTCGCCCGCAAGCCCGAGCCTGCTGGTGAGAAGGCTGCTCCCGAAGCTGCCAACGGTGAGGGCGAGGGTGCTGATGGCTCCCGCCGCCGTGCTGCTGGTCGTGGACGTGGACGTGGCCGCGGTGGCCGCGGTGGTCGTGGCGGCCGTGGAGGCCGTGCTGGCGTAAGTACCAAAAGCAGCTAAGCAAAGCTGCTATCTACTCTTGCATACATGTGACTAACGCGAATTTTCATCATTAGGATGCTGGCGACGACAAGAAGGAGGACGAAACTGAGCCTGCCGAAGCTGACACCGGCGCCGAGGCCACTACCGAGGAGGCCAACCCTGAGGTTCAACCACTGAGCGATATTACAAACAAGATCCGGACTGACCAGACTGAAAAGGCCAAGAACCAGGCTCGCACCCCCCGCGAGCGCCGTGAGCGTGGACCCCCCGCTGATGGCATCCCTTCCAAGACCAAGGTTATGGTCGCCAACCTTCCCTACGACTTGACTGAAGAGAAGGTTTGTTATCCGCGTACCCACTGTGAGCAGTGACAGGATCATACTAACCAAGACTGCAGCTTATTGAGCTTTTCAAGGCCTACGAGCCTTCTTCCGCCAAGATTGCTCTCCGCCCCATTCCCCGATTCATGATCAAGAAGCTCCAGGCCCGTGGTGAGGCTCGCAAGGGCCGTGGCTTCGGTTTCGTTACTCTTGCCAGCGAGGAGCTGCAGCAAAAGGCCGTTACCGAGATGAACGGCAAGGAGATCGAAGGCCGCGAGATCGCCGTCAAGGTTGCTATTGACAGCCCTGACAAGACTGACGAGGAGGCCAATGCCCCCGAGGGTGAGATCGTCGACGATGCTGCCGATGCCGCTGCCGCCGCCACCACCACTGCCTAAGTCGCTTTATATGAATGACAGCAATCCGTTTTAATAATAGTACGCTGTCACCTACGGCTTTATGAGCGCAAAGTTACGATATGCTATACAAATGCAACGATTTGTTATATTCTATCTCTTTTAATTCACAATCCTGGACCTGTGACGCCCCTGATTCAAGTGGATGGCCTTTGGTTCTATTTCCTAATGGCTAATGGAGAAAGGGTATGCACCTGTAGAGTTTGGGGATTGAATGTGTATGATGATTACGACTGTGTTGAATGTTTAAGCTGTTTCGCTGTATCTGTTCTCTTGTTGTAGTTTGATATGAAAGCTGGAGACCGCCATCGAGATTGTCTGCGTACATGTATAGCTACTGGAAGAATGACGGTAGAGGCACGGGACTAATTAGTTATGTTATTGTTTAAGTTCTGGCTGTATGTATCTGTTGAGTTTCGATGCCTCTGAATTATGTCCTCTGTAAATGCTTGAGTTTGGTGACATTCCATTGCAAACAGCGGCTCGTGGTGGCGGCGGGCTGTCTACACAGGCACAGAGCGCATTGTGGGGGTTCCGTGTGTTGCTGTGCGCCCCGCCCACGTATCATTGTCGATAAATATGGGACTAAACAGATGGCTCTCCCTAGCGAAACAAGCTGCAACGACTTGCTTGGGCCTGTGATTTCTGAGTTGCCGAGCCTCTAAAACCGCCCGTCATGACGTCCAAGGCAATGTGGGAGGTAGATCCCGAGACGCGATCCAAGGTACGTCTGCCGCAAAATACAGTAATATCTGGTCGAGCCCCTGGCAGCATGGCAAGCCCGCCACCCCGCGCGCACACGCCCGCCAACCAGTCTCCCAGCGGGCCTCGTGATTGTGCATTGCTAACAAACAACGCTGCAGTTGGCCGCTCTACAAAAAGAACCGAAGAATAGTGTTTGCTGCGACTGCAATGCGCCGTCACCGCAGTGGGCGTCGCCCAAGTTTGGCGTCTTCATCTGTCTCTCGTGCGCTGGCGTGCATAGGGGTCTAGGTGTCCACATCTCCTTTGTGCGCAGCATATCCATGGATGCCTTCAAGGCAAGTGAGATCGAACGAATGCGACTGGGCGGAAACGAAAACTGGAAAAAGTTCTTTGAGGAGCATGAAGACACCCAGATGACTGGGCTCTCGTGGGACGACGCCACCATCGCAGAGAGATATAGCGGTGAGGTTGGCGAGGAATACAAGGAGAGATTGAGTTGCAAGGTCGAGGGCAAAGACTATATTCCTGGTGAGAAGAAGCCTGTTGCTCCTGCTGCGGCATCTGCTCCTGCGAAGCAAGGGCCGCTGAGCGGAACAACAAGAAGCAGCAGCGGAAGCCGGACACAGAGCCGGACGCAGAGCCCTGGCCAAGGGCAGCAAGGCGGCAAGGTCAAGGTTGACGACAAGTACTTTGCTCGTCTTGGTGCAGACAATGCCTCTCGATCGGAAGATTTGCCCCCTAGTCAAGGTGGCAAGTACGCTGGTTTCGGAAACACACCTATGCCGGCCCAATCGTCGTCGGGGCTGCCAAACTTTGACGACGTTCAGAAGGATCCTCTAGCTGCCATCACAAAAGGCTTTGGGTGGTTTACTTCAGCTGTGTCCAAGACGGCCAAGAACGTTAATGATGGCTATATCCAGCCTACTGCCAAGCAGGTAAGCTCCTCGGCTTTTTTACTTTTCAGTTCTTTGGCAGCCCCATACTAATGCATCATCACACCGTAGTTCGCAGAAGGCGATTTTGCCAAGCAGGCTCAACTGACGGCAGCGCAGTTTGCCAGACAGGCCCAGCAAGCAGGCAAGAATGCCCAGGAGGGATTCAACCGCTTTGTTGAGGGCACAGAGACCACGCGCCGCGATGTGCCTATCGATGAGAGCAAGAAGGACTTTTGGGACAGCTTCTCCAGCCTGGCTGACCAGCACGAGCCCCAGAGCAACAGTTCTATTGGAACTAGTGCCATGGGCAAGGGCAAGACGAATGGTCCAGCAGCATCTGCTAAGTCACAGGGCAAGTCGGACGAGTGGGATGACTGGTAACCGAGGCGAAGTGGCCGGCGTTTGCAATTTTTCTGGGGATGGAGGCATGAGCGCTGTATTCTGGGGCATTGCTGAGGTATAAGGAGTAGAGGTATCCGACAGCATGCACGCATATTATCTTATAATTTAGCCTTGAAATTCTTATCTTTTTTTTCTAATGCTTCGTTCTTTGTTTTGGACAACCTTGGCAAACTGGCCGTGTTAGTGCGAACCAGGATGGCCGCTGTCATACTAGGGCGTTGGGGTTTTGAGAACGTGGCCACCATCTGTGTCAACATGATTAGACAAATATTACACATGTATGATTTTTCGAAAATTTGGAATCAATAAATCAATCAATGGTAATACTTGACTGCTAAAAACATCATGGATTCGATGATCAATTGTTGTCCATGGCCGGCAGAGCTATGGTCATCACGTGACGTCGGCTGTCCGAGGGTCAAGCCTCCGGGCTTAGCCGGAATGTCGTCGGCTCTTCAACGGCTTCCGGACCTCTTTGCTTTCTACATCATTCACCTCGGACGCTGCCATTGACGATACCCATTGAGCAACATGTCCGCCCTCAGGATTCTAGTTCCCGTTAAGCGGGTCATTGACTACGCTGTAAGTCTCTACTGCGCACAATGGTGCTCATTTTCGAAGCTTCCCCAATGCCCGCCCTCGGCTACGGTTAACTGACCAGTTGCGCGCGCGATATTGCAGGTCAAGCCCCGAGTCAACAAAGCCCAGACGGCCGTCGAGACGGCTGGTGTCAAGCACTCCATGAACCCCTTTGACGAGCTCTCCATCGAAGAGGCCGTCCGCATTCGCGAGAAGAAGCGCGCCCCCGGCGGCGTCGACGACATTGTCGCTTTCTCGGCCGGTCCTCCCAAGGCCCAGGACATTCTGCGAACTGCCATGGCCATGGGTGCCGACCGCGGCATCCACGTCGAGATCAAGGACGGCGAGGAGCTCGAGCCCCTCACCGTCGCCAAGATTCTACAGAAGACGGTCGAGAAGGAGAAGAGCAACCTGGTCGTGCTTGGCAAGCAGAGCATTGACGACGATGCCGGCCAGACTGGCCAGATGCTCGCTGGACTCCTGGGCTGGCCCCAGGCCACGCAGGCCAGCAAGGTCGAGTTTGGCGAGGGCGACACCGTCATTGTGACCAAGGAGGTTGACGGTGGCGTCGAAACGGTCAAGGCTAAGCTGCCTATGATTATTACTACCGATCTGCGTCTCAACGAGCCCCGATACGCTAGCTTGCCTAACATTATGAAGGCTAAGAAGAAGAAGCTGGAGAAGATGACTGTGGGAGACTTGGGTCTGACTAGCGAGAAGCGCCTCAAGGTCCTCAAGGTCACTGGTAAGTTTTTGTGGTCTAGAAGAAGTGTGCAAAGAGGGACAATGCTAACATGTGCAATGCAGAGCCGGAAGCTAGACAGGGCGGTGGCAAGGTCGAGGATGTCGATGGCCTTATTGGCAAGTTGAAGGAGCTGGGCGCTTTGTAAACAAATAAAACGAGGCGGATACTGGTCGGGGTTTTATGTGCATATATGAGTACCGCGAGGTACACGACTGGGCAAGACTAAAAAATTAATAAACATTGCATACGAAGAATATGATGAAGCTGCTTTGCAATTGTCCTTCTTGGGTTGTAAAACTATAAATGACCTTGTGCTCTGTGGCTAGATGGAGATTCCTGGAGGCGTACATCCTCCACATCAGCAACGCCATCAGCAGGTGGTTGAAGACGGATTGGATGCTTTACGTTGCCTATAATGGATAATCATCTGCCAAATATGGCTATTAGAGGGCGTTATATGGCAATAATGCAGCAGCAGTAGCAGCTTAATGTCGTGTCTTCTGGTGTTCACCGACAGAAATGGAGCTGCAGTGTAGGTGAGCTTGCATACATATTCTACATTACGTAGCAACAATGCAGTATTAATAGCCTGGTTACAACTCCATGTACTATTTAATTTACTGCACATCGTAAGCATTTACAGGCCGCTTCACTGCAACTTCAAGGTACAACAGCTCGCGTATTTAGCCGTTCCATACGTCTGACTCGGTTGATATCCACCGGCCAGACAATGACACGGCTGCGGTATATTTTGCTTATGGATACACTAGATGAAAATGGAAAGACTGACACGGTGTAGAGCAGAAGCAGAAAAAAAAAGCCGCCGAACCAACATTCTTCTAGAACATTGAGCCGTCTAGTCATGCCAGACGGAGTGTACACGAATCAATTGGCATCAGGTTGTAGCCGCAGTTATTAATTGCAGCTTGATGAATAGAATGACAAACAATCGTCGCGCTTTATTAGATTCCCTTCATCTGGTGTATTGTTCGCTATAAAATTTTCTATACCGCCGCTATTGCCACCGACCCTGCTTTCTGCTGCTATTTGACGCATCGCGAGTGCCGGTACAGGAACCAAAAGGCGGGGACTTCTGCTGGAGCCCTGCTAGCTAATCTTGGTCCAATCAACGGCAGTGGAATGGCCCCAGCGGACGCACAGCGCTGGAAGACACCACTGCCAGGGGACCAAGTCCGCTGTAATTGAGTGCCGACAATGCCCCCAGAAAGCAAGCTGACAGCACTAAACCGGGGAGAGGAGGGCATGCCGGCATAGGCGATAGGGATGGCGAGTGGGGCCGGGCAACATCTGGCATTACTGTGACTGTGTGCTTTGTCGTGTGCCCACCGCCGATTCACTTCCGAAGACAGCGCTAGCGATGACTCCTCTTGGCCCAGCGACACCTGCCACAGCGGCATGCGACAGGGTTCCCCCCGTCCCCTCCCACAGTGCACATGTAGCACTTTTAGTGGGTGCTTCAGGCGCTTGACAGATGCCGCAGCACCCTAAAACTGCCCGAACCGGGGGGAATCCCCCCCAACTTTTTTTTTTCCTTTCCGGCACTGTCTCTTACGTTTCCCTTATCTCGCGCAGATTCACCTCTGTTCCTTTTTTTTCTCTCCCTCTTCTTCTCTTCTTCTCTTCTTCTTCATCCACCAAATATCTTGTCTCGCCTCGCGACAGTTTCCCCCCCTCTTGGCCATTGTGCCGTCCAACAAATCCAGATCCAGTCCAATCCGTCGAGCTCGTTTACTTCGACTCGATCAGGGTAGCCTTCCGTAGCTACTCGTCCCCGGCTTTCTTCTCCCCCAGAAATGTACGTATGCATCCGCTGTCGGCGCCTTGGTGATGGTTGCTTCACCGCAACCACGACGCGCATCAGAGTTGGTGTTTGTGCTGCAATGGCTTCAATTGAAATCTTCTGGCTGTGTTTAAGCTAGACGAGATGGCAATTGATCGCTCAATGCTCATGAATTACCCCTCTCCTGATTGCTCGTCCCTTGTGCTGCGTCTTATTTGTAAACACCACCATCTTGCTAACCACCCTTGACTATCTAGGATCAAGTCTCCTGTTCGTACTTTTCCTAAAGAAACTCCAAGGGATCTTTATCCCCTCCCCGCAAGCATGCTAACCAATCTCTTTTTCTTTCTACAGACCAACTCTATCGGTCCTTTCAACACTCCTAAAACCAACTTCACTCACGGATCTCTTCTCTCGTGATCAAGTTAGTGTATGAAAATGTTTGCCCGATTCGCCATCCCTATCACCAGGCCCGCGGCTTTTGCCGCAGCCGCTCGCCCTCGAACCTTGAACCAGGTCCGACTCTTGGCTACTGAGGCTATTTCTACCGGAAGTCACGGTAGAGCTATGCCCGCCCGTGCCAACACCGCCACTGCGCCCGTCGCCTCCATGCCCGCTACTTTTACCATTCGCGTAAGTTTCTATCTGCTGTTCTTTCATCGCACCGCGGACGGACGCTAATTCAGTTGCTTTACAGGACGGCCCTGTCTTCCAAGGCAAGGCTTTTGGTGCCAACGCCAACATTTCTGGTGAAGCCGTCTTCACCACCTCGTTGGTTGGCTATCCCGAGTCCATGACCGACCCATCGTACCGTGGGCAGATCCTCGTCTTCACCCAGCCTCTCATCGGAAACTACGGTGTTCCCTCCAGCGAGCGCGACAACTACAACCTCCTCAAGTACTTTGAATCTCCCCATATTCAGGTTGCTGGCGTGGTTGTCTCCGATGTCGCCCTCCAATACAGCCACTGGACGGCTGTCGAGAGCTTGGGCGAATGGTGTGCCCGCGAAGGTATCCCCGCCATCTCTGGCGTCGACACCCGCGAAATCGTCACCTACCTCCGTGAGCAAGGTTCTTCCCTTGCCAGAATCACGATTGGTGACGAGTACGACGCCGACGAGGACGAGAGCTTCATCGATCCCGGCCAGATCAACCTGGTTAAGCGCGTCAGCACCAAGGCTCCCTTTGTGGTTGAGTCTCCTGGCGCCGAATTCCACGTTGCTCTGCTCGACTGCGGTGTCAAGGAGAACATTCTCCGCAGCCTGGTGAGCCGCGGCGCGTCGGTCACCGTTTTCCCGTACAACTATCCTATTCACAAAGTGGCACAGCACTACGACGGCGTCTTCATCTCCAACGGCCCAGGTGACCCTACCCATTGCCAGGAGACTGTCTACAACCTTGCTCGCCTCATGGAGACTTCTGAGATCCCCATCATGGGCATTTGCCTCGGCCACCAGCTTCTTGCTCTCGCCGTCGGCGCCCGCACCATCAAGCTCAAGTACGGCAACCGTGCCCACAACATCCCTGCCCTTGACTTGACCACCGGCCAGTGCCACATCACCAGCCAGAACCACGGCTACGCCATCGACGCCAGCACCTTGCCCAGCGACTTCAAGGAGTACTTTGTCAACCTCAACGACGGCAGCAACGAGGGTATGCTCCACAAGACTAGACCCATCTTCTCGACCCAGTTCCATCCCGAGGCCAAGGGTGGTCCCATGGACAGTGCTTTCCTCTTTGAAAAGTACCTCGACAATGTCCGTGCCGCCAAGGCCAGCCAGCGTGTCTACAAGGACAACCGCCCAACTCAGCTGATGCTCGACATTCTCAGCAGAGAGCGTGTTGGCGTTGAGCCCGAGAACCGCAGCACTCCTGTTTAAACGGACCCTGCATGATCGTGTGCGCTTCCAAATTGGACAGAAAGTTTTTGAATTTGGTCCACGGCTTCGTTTTGGTACTTGAGAGGCATAGGCTCATGCTGAAACATGCACAAGCCTGTGTCGTTCTTGGTCTATCAACCCGATAGCCTCTTTGCCGTTTTGGTTTCAAGTCGTTTTGACGTGGTTTAAAAAAACAGAATGTAACACGTATTCCTCTGAGCGTCTTGGAAAAGACTACACTCACTGGATCTACTTGACAAGTAAATAGTTTTACATAGCAAGAAAAAAAGAGTTTGTTCGCATTAACTACTCAGTGGATATACTGCTGTCTCTGGCCCATTTGTAAACCTGTAACTCCCATAAACAAGAACAAAAGCAAATCTCTTGTTTAGCATAGTATCATAATCGCATGTGGTTGGCTCTTCTTAGACAACTCATACGTCTGTTAGTATCGCATGTCACGATTGTCGCGTCGTTGGTCTCGGCCCCCAAAACCACCATGCCTCGGGCCGTAGCCTCTGTCATCACGTCCTCCGAATGAAGACGTGTATCTATCATTACCAGAGCGGAACGGCGGGGGACCGCCGCGTCTAAAGCCACGTCTTCCACGGTCACCACCACCACCACCTCGGCCGCGACCATAGCCTCCCCTCTGGCGATGAGGCGGCCGAATGCCTTCAAAGATTTCCTTGCCTCGATCGACAAAGGAGTCTCCATCCTCGAACGAGTAGCGGTTGATCTCGCGTCCGTAGTATCGATCTACGTCCTTGGTGTAGAAGGAGCGCATATTCGCAAGGCGGCGGCCTGCAAGCTCCTCGGAAACTGGCTCAAAAGTGATTCGAGGGGAAGCCCGTGTCCTCTTGCCGTCGCCGATAGGTGATGGCGATCGATTTCTATCAAAGTCTTGGTCAGAGCGAAAATCGGACTGCGCTTGTCTGTGGAAGCCCATTTCGCGACCTCCTCGGGAGCGTTCCTCGGCCGCGGGGCCTCGAGGTGGTCCTGACCTAGCATTTCGAGCTTCCCCAGTCGCAAGGACGGCCTCGACTGTGCCATCGGGTCTGTCCTCATAAAAGATTTGCCATCGTGTTGTTGAGCGACCGCCACCGGCACGTTTCTCCTGTGTATCTATCCACTCAGGCACTTTACTCGTAGGGACAAAATCGACCCATAACGCTTTTCGGTTGCTTTCTTCTGGCCACACACAGTCGTGAAGAAGGGAACGTACGCGAGAAGCGGCAGCAGCTGTATCAAACGTGACCAGTGCATGGGTACGGATCTGGTCCATGAAAAAGTCTTTGATAATGCTTTCATCTGGCTCTTGGCCATTCACTGCCGCCAAAGTTGCTAAATGATGCTTCATATCGTCAGGCCGTAGTGGTCGCATGAGATTGCTGATATAGAGGGATTCTGTTGCGTGGTGTCGAGACGGCACTACGGAGCGGTCCACATCCATTTCGTCTGAAGGCTCGACTGTTGGCGATTGTGTAGACTGGTTCTGGCTTGGTCCAGCCGTGGCGCTCACATCGTTGGATGGGAGCTCTGCGCGCGTCTTCTTTAGAGCAATCAGCTCTTCTGAGATGGGCGGGCTCTTTGAGCGTCGCTTGCGACCCTGGGCCTCAGCAGCTTCTTGTGCTGTAAGCGCTGGTTCAGCGGCTGGGGTCGGTGTAGGTAACCTGGCTTGTGCATCCTCTGTCTTTCCATTCGCATCTTGAGGTTCGTCTGGGTGGGTTGCTTGGGGGGCATCTGGTAAAGCATTAGTGCCGTCGGCTTCAACCACTTGAACTGGAGGCTGCCCCGGCTCAGAGTTGGCTATTGTAGGAATGGCTTCGTCGATGGGTATGGGCTCTGGCTCGACTTCAGGTTGTGTTTCAGTGGCTACTTCGGCTGCTTCATTGTTTTCTTCCGGGGCTTCCTCTGGTTTGGCTTCGTTTGCGGCCGTCGCAGCGTCCGATTCGTTCAGACGAGCAACCAGTTCTGATTTGAGGCCATGCTGGGGCAGATCGCGCTTCTTAAGCTCAGCCTTGAGGTCGACAACTCTAAGAGTTGCCCAGTCTGACATGTTCTCAAATATTCGCTGATGAAATAGGGTGGCGAGAAAGGAATCGGAGCAAGCGTAACACTTGATGATATCGGAGATTTGATGATTGTAAAAGAATCCGGAGTGAAGCGGTGATGGTGTATAATAGACGGTATCTTTATGCCATGTTTACACCGTCTAGTATATCAGAGGCGATGTAATAGTGGACTTGGAATACCAGCCGATGATATCGTATTTGATGGTTGTGCAAGGGACGAAAAAAGGAAGCAAAAAGGCAGCTTCGCGACGCGCTAGAGCACAAAGCTCTGGAATTCCAAACGCCACTTACCGCTTTGGGGGTTCGCTAGCTTTTTAGCCAGGGCGGTGGCTGGAGCGTCTCTCCCCGCAACTGTGGTTCCAGGTGTCTTGGAGGGTACATCTGGCGCTACAGCGTACTCTCATCCACTGGTAGCAGTACTGTACACATTCGACGTTTACTATTCGGTAGCCTTTCGAAGAGCAAGACAAAATGTCATCCAGTCGAAACTTAACAAGCTATACGCCATAGCGGTGCTAAAATAGCACCATGACTATAGTGCGCAGCGATGCAATTGGGAGTGTCACCGGCTCTAATGCTGCCTAAACTTGGTTGGGTACCCCCCGCTTGTGCACGGCTACATTTTTCATATTGCGGTTACAAATGGACATAAAACGAAATTCAAAGTCGGGCTGTAATAGTTATGAGGCTTCATTATTTCTTACCTTTAACTGACGTTTGCCTGTAAGACTCCAGAATCGAGCAGTCACAGAACGATGGGTATCCCATCACACCTTCAAATGATCAACTCTGCTGGCAGGCGGATGCGGCGTGGCACCTTTAGCCGATTTCAAGAGTTGCCAGTCGAGATTAGGTTGATGATATGGAAACTGCTCGTCGATCCGAACCGTCTAATCAGCGTGCAAATCAAGGTTTTATCAGATGATCCAAGTGAACCGACCAGAACGCCTAGCGAAAACTACACCTTGGACATGGAACTGGGCCCAACACAGAGCGTTTTATTGAGAGTCAATAGAGAATCGCGATCTGTAGCTCTCAAATTCTATCGCGTTCACCTGCCTTTCAATCGCGAAGCAAAATTTGAGCCCTCAGGCTCCGTGAAGGTGCCAATGATGAAGCAGATACTCTACTTCAATCCAGAACATGACACTCTCTGTTTCAGCTGCTATGATTGTAGCAACTGTTTTGCGTTTCCCAAGCTTTTGCAAGATCTATTCCACCACGATCCTAACCATGTCGGGCTTATGAATTGGGGCATAGATGGTCACTTTTTGTCTGGGCTTGACAATGTCATAGAAAAGTCAAAGGGTAGTGTACGGGATACCTTGCTCCGTCACATTTCGGGCATTCAAAACATATACTTCATGAGCAATTGCAACCGCAAAGTCATTGGCGCCCTTCAGTGTTATCACGAGCGTCATGTCGGCCTCAGGTTCAACCACTCGATACCGATCCGCCCACGAACGACCATTTTTTACTTCGGCAAGCCAGATCCGAGGGATATCAACCAGGACCTAAAGGCCATACTTACAACCTTGATCAACCCTCAACAGGCACGCATAACATGGCACGAGCTGCAGAAGAGATGGCCGCTTGCGTTTGATAAGCCCGCGGCCAACCAGCACTTGATAGTAGCGAATGACGTACGGGACCACGATGTGGCTGTAAATGATTTACCCGCGGCGCGAATGTTCCTGAAAAATGAGGATCAAGGCTGGATAGACTTTCAATATAAATGGCCGGCGCTATTGCGCCTTACCTTAAAGAGGGGGCCGCCAGTGGAAGACGCTGACGAGCTTGCGAGAGCCGTGAAGCCTGCTTTTGGGTTCTGGTTATTTCCTGCGCATATTCTCGGCGACGTAGAAGGCGATTATCGTCGCACTAGAATATTAGACTTATCTAGCCATCGCCCCGATTTAGTATTAGCTGATCTTTCTTAATATATTACCGCACAAAGTTTAAGGGACCTCCTCCGGCAATTCTCGTTCGTACTTCTGTTCGTGGTCACAGTGTCGCGTGCTCCACATGTCGCCGTGCGTCACTGTGGAACCCTCCCCCGCCAATTCACGATGCAACGTCAATCGAACGGGGGCGGTTTTCCTAGCATTGGCCTCTCGTCCAAGCTCTCGTCTGTCCAACCCTGAGGACTCTAATGATGTAATACTTGTCAAAGCTTTGGAATTGGCTTCATTTCACTTCATTTATTGGATTGGTACATAGCTTCTGCCTAGCAATAGATAGCGACGGATTGGCAAAATTCAGAATAGTAAAAACACAACAGCACATAGAAAGTCGAGGCTGGGATGAGCAGCATCTCAGACCTCGCAAGCCGTACACGTGGCACTCAATTGCAGCCACAGAGCTTAAACGTCGAGTCCGTCAACGACGATGCCCTTGTTCCAGGTCCACTGCATCTGCCTGGCCACCTCCACCGCACAGTCGTCATCGACCAGAGCGCTGACGAGATACAAAGTCGCATCTACGCCAGCGCTGTTTCCCCCAGCCGTAATGACCCGAAGTCCTCCTAAACGCATTGCAGCGCGACGGGCAATGGATTCACGGCGTCCAGAGCCCTTGAAAGACATGCTGCCCTTGCTATATTCATTGTATTAGTAAACTCTCGTGAGATAGTTTGTATAAACGTGTGGGAATTACGTACCGAGCGTTGGAGGGACGTCGTCCAGTATCCACCTTGCTTCGAATGTATGGGTTCTCGTCCTCATCGCCCAGGTCAAAGCGAAGGTTGTTGACGACGTAGCGCTCGTCTTCGACAACGTCGGTGCGCTCTTGAAGGTTGAGAGTAGCGGCCTCACTGCAGAGGTTCTCAAAGGTGGTAAGGTAGTCGGGATGGGTGGTGGCAGAGAGGCCAGAGAGGATGCCCTCTTTGGCGAGGAAGAGGGATCCAGTGCAGACAGAAAAGATGGTGCGCTCACGAGCGGGATCCTTCTTTTGGAGCTCTGCATAGGCGCGGATGAGAGGGAGAGGCTCATCGCCGCTCTTGATGATTTCGGCGGAGTTGCCACCGAGAATGACAACAATGTCGAAGTCGTCTAGGCGCTCATGTGCTTCCTTGAAGGAGATTTGCGAGCCAATGATGGCACCCTGGGAAGAGAGAACCTTGGGCTCGGCTCCAGCAATGGTGACTTCAAAAGCCTTTGTGTTGTCTAGAAGAGACGAGGGAGGCGGGGTCAGCAAGAAGACGCACACTGTAGGGATGGCAAAATGGCCAGTAGTAGTAGCTTACCTGCATCCTTAAAATCGTGGGAGGCTGTGGTGAAGGCCTCAAGGGGACCGGCAAAGTCGAGGAGATCAAACTTGGGGTGAAGGCAGAAGAGGACGTCAACGGGCTCGTCAGAGATGGCGGAGTTCTTGGTAGCCATGTTGGGTGGTTGTGATTGTGATGAATTGGTTAGGATGGGAGGAGTGTAAGGAGCAGAGTGCAAGGAATTGAAGCTGTACAAGCCAATTGGAGATGGATTGGATAAATGGGTATGAAGGAAGAATGAGGAGAGAAGAAGAGAGGGGAAGGCAAGGAGGGCGGCAGGGTCTCAGTTAATAAAGAGATCGAGGCACCGGGAGCGGAGGGTGACGAATTGGGGAGAGAAGAGGGGAAGGGGGGCGGCTGGGTGAGTACACAGTATGACGACGGAAGTTGACGAAGGAGGGGTGGGATTGGCATGCGTGCCTGAGGTGTACAGCACAGCAGCACAGAACAGGTAGAGCGACCAGGTGTTTGCTGGCCGGATCTACGAATTCAATGGAGCTACGCTAATCTACTGGACCATAATCCAATTTTCCCCCGCTCGCAGGTGTCCAATTGGCCATATTGAAGCCTGGGCCTGACGTTCTAGGTTGTGGGCAACTGGTGAGAGTTTCCCGCCTCTGCCGCATTCGTCGTTGGTCACAGGGGCAGCCGCCTTCCCCTCAGCGCTGCGGGCGTGCCTCAGTTCGCTGCTTTTCTCTCTCCACAGGGCAGCATGCACACTGTACAGGTAATTTAGCTTCGGGCCGCTGGCGCACCAAACGAAGCAAAAAAATAACACTTGCGGCGCCTCTGCCGTCGCGTGTTCCCTCCCACCTTTGTTTAAACTACCTCATCACACGCGCACACGCGCACACGCGCACATACACCCAACCCATGTCGCCCATATCGGCGCCCACTTTCATCGCTGCTGCTAAAACCTGGGGCAAACTCGCAACAGCCGACCCTGTCGTGGGGTCATGCGGGCTGCATTGCGGGGGGAAGCGGGCCCTGTACTGAGCTAGTTTGGGTGATTTGCAGCGTATCGGGGTACCTGCTACCACCACAACAGCACAGCCCGCCGTACTACGGCTGCGTATTCTATACTCCTCGACCTTGGCCTGCAGTCCGATCGTCGGCCATTTCCTAAACCTGGGGAAAGAGCTTCTCTTGTTTTTACTCATTTTTTTATGGAAAGCTATTAGCCAATGCGACGGCGCTGCGTTGGCTGCTTGCTAATGGCCACTAACTTGGTTACCAGCAGCCTGCAGTACAGCAGCTAGCCTACCTTAATGGAGAGATACTGGTTTTCTGGACGTTCCAAGATAAAACAACGTTGTTTCTATACACGAAAACATTGTTATATTTTAGAATGTTTGAGATAATCACACGTACTCTACAAGATTCTACGTTTTTTTGTAGCACAGAACGCGTCTTAATAAATAAATACGTTTTTACGAGTGTATTTTGGCTGTATTTGCAGCGTCTGGAAAGCCATTTCTCCAGCGGCTGGCTTGGATCCACCAGAGCTCAGCGCCGGAGCCTCCGCTGCGTATGCTCTGGCCAATCAGAGCACGCTACTCCAGCCAACGTCTTTCTCCAGCTGCTCCCCAAAAAATATACGACTCAACGACTTCGTCGTCTGGCGCACCAGCAATCCACGACAGCCCTGCACTTTCTATCGACCATCGTAGCGCAGTCATCGATCCTATTATTCCATGGGCTGCGTTTTAAAAGGCTTTATCCCAGCTGCGCTGCCGTCCACGGTCGCCGGCCACTGAGCAGAAATTTTCGAACTGCTCGCGCCATTGTTGGCCGAGCCGCCGCAAAGCAGCTGGTGACGAGACTTGATCCGCCGCGATGGCATCAACGTAGGTAGCAGCTGCAGATATCCTTGCGCTTAAAAATTGTGTTGCTAACGATTATCCTCTCGCAGAGCTCTCAAAGACCTCTCCAAGGCAATCAACGCCTTCATTGTCGATCCCGTCCTTCCCCTTCCCGACAGCCTCATCACCATCATCGAGATCTACATTGACAAGCACGAAAAATACGACGACGCTGTGGCTGATAAGCTTCAAGAAGAACTTATATCCATCTTCGAGAAACATGTCGTCAGCAATCCAGCCGCCACCGGCCCTTGGATGGGCATCCTACGCCGCTTGCAGTGGGGAGTGCAAAGCCCCGAAAAGGTTCTGTACTGGTTTGATGCGTGCCAAAGGATCCTCGACAACACACCGCTAGAAAAGGAGGTTGTTGGCGAGACTATCAAAGCCATGATGAACACGATCGCTGTTGCAGAGAAATACCAGGCGTCTCATGAAAATGACCCCGGTGCTAACCCGATCATCGACCGTTTACTTGCCATCTGGACTGATAAATTCTACCCGGCTATGATTGAAGGCAACAAAGCTGTTGAAAACAACGAGCGAATGTTAAGAGAGGCCCTAGAACTCTTTGGCAAAAAGCGTACCAAGGTTAGTCACTACGAGGAACGTCCACCATCTACACCGCGAAGCTAACCCCAACTCTCTTTTTTAGGAGTTTTTCGCGTCTCTCGATAAGCGATTTGTCCAGAAGAAATACCGAAAAGCTGTGTTACGATTTATGTGCGGCTTTGTACAGGGTCAACCCCCGCATCTGTACCAGATTTCAGAGACAAGCTTGTTCAGCAACCTCTTGATTTGCCTACAGCGAGACACATCAACCACCGTCGTCTCGGCAGCCCTCACCAATCTCATCATGCTGATGCCCCATATGCCCAGTTCCCTCGTTCCTCGTCTTCCAACCCTGTTCAATATTTATGCGCGTCTTCTATTCTGGGAGAGCGAGCGAACAGGCAGCATCGAGCTAGCCAGCCCAGACAGCCGACAAGAGCATGAATGGCAAATATGCACATTTGATCCGGCAACCGAAGATGTTGAAATTGGCCATCTAGAGCCATATTATACAATCCTCTATGGTCTTTATCCTATAAATTTCATGGAATATATTCGAAAGCCTCAGCGCTACCTGAGGCACGCCAACACCGACGATAACGACGTCGAGGTGCAACCTACAGAGATCCGTCTGCAATCCGAACGTTTCCGCCGCAACCATATTTTGCATCCCAACTTTTACACACTTACAATCGAATCAGAAAAGACCGACTTTTCAAGATGGATTAAATGTGAGGCAGCTGAGGTTGTTGCTGACTGCATTGCTCTATGCACCTCCCAGTCTGGCGGTGGTCAGGCGGTCGAACCAATGATTGGATCCCCCCATGATGTCAACCCATCAGAGGCATATCTAGAGCAGGTAGTGCCTGATGCCAGCTTGCTGAATAGCTCCGTGACGAAAGTACACAACTGGCGTCATGCCCAGTTCTCAACCGCCGATTCCGTAACCAGCGATAGGCCAGGCTCAGGAGCTCTGGTTCGCCGGGCTTCACATTCAAGCCAGCCTTCTACAAAGGATCACGGCGACAATAGACCTAAAACTGGGACTGATAGCCCAGCTGTTTCAGCACAGCTTGCTCAGTCATCTTCTCATCAACAGTTGCAAGATCTCATCAAGTCGAACAAGGCTTTGAAGTCTGGGCTGCACCAGTCACTTGCCAACGAGAGTGTTGCCTCGCTGGCCCTCAGCAATCAGGAGTCTCTTGCCGACAAACCATCGACGTCGACAAGCATGCTACCCCCGCCTGTGCCTCAAACAGCCGGATCAGTTCCTCCTGTTGGTGATCTTCAGACACAACTGGCCTACTTGCAACGGCGAGTCTTGTTGCTGGAGAATGACCTGGGCTTCGAGAGATATCTCAAACAGCAACACATTGTCCATATTGGTGACATGAGAAGCAGGCACGTTGCCGAGGCTGCTATGGAGGCGGAAACTCAAAACCTGATCATGATGAACAGAGGGTTGAAGAGCCGCTACGAAGAGGCCAAAAAGGCCGAGATGCAAGTCAAGAAGGAAGCTGACAAAAGCCGCACCATGGCTAAGAAGTGGGAGGCCGATTTATCCAATAAGTTGAAGAACTTGCGTGAGGAATCGAAGAAGACGACAGTAGATCTCGAAAATATCCGCCGGGAGCTGGACATGTATAAATTAGAATGTGATAAGCTGCGCAAGCTGCTAGGAGAGGCGGAAGTAAAAGAGTTGACGTGGAAACAGGACGCTCAGTCAATTGAGATACAAAGCGAGGAAGTTGAGCGGCTTCGAGCCGAGATCAAGCGCTTGACAGAAGCAGACCGAGACTATCAGGCGCAGGAACGCGGCCGACAAGCCACAGCCTCTGCAGCTAAGAACACAGAGAGCGAGCTAGTGGAGCTCAGTATGAAGCTGGAGTCACAGGAGAACGAAGTGCAGCGGACTAAAAAGCTGCTGCAGTTGCAGATCCGAGCTTTACAAGAGCATCTGTCGGAACTCCAAGAAGAGAGAGTGCTGCCGGGTACGCAAGACAACATTGACGTGGAGAATGCGCTTGCGGCGAGTAGGGCAAAGCAGGCCGAGTTGCAGAAGCAATACGATTTGCTCCTCCGCAAGTACAAAGTCATCCAATCGTCATTACTTGACATGCAGTCCATGCCTACTGAACCACCCAAGCCGAGGGCATACGATGTGGAACGCATTGCTTCACAAACAAGTCCTCTCGGGGCCCGTGGCCGGCTGCAGCGAATGAACTCGTTGGATGCGCCACAAGGGACAACTACGCCGCCACTGGACGCACAGTCGTTCTCAACTATATCCCGAAACACTACAAATTCTCAGAGCGGGGATACCGTCGAGGCTGGATCTTCGACTCGAGCACCAGACCAGCGAATATTTAGCGGTAAGATCGAAGACGTTGTGTATGCTCGTACGACGGAATCTCGTACTAAACATTCGCGTATAGGGTTAGCCAACCGCATCCGCAAGGATAGTAGTGCCGACAAGACCAAAGATGACGCCGGCAGCAATGCTTCGAAGCCCAAAAAGGACAAGAAGTCGTCGGCACTACGAGGTATCCGAGGCTTTGTATCATCATAGCGGCTCGGCGTCTGTCGCATTGATGGGCCCGGACTCTAGGGGACGGCGGAAGACTTGTTCCCAGATTGTAATTACAGTGAAGCAAAAAAGCAAAACGATGGTATGGTAGTTACATGTACTGTTTTAGACCCTATGTATGGAACGCGTAAATATATAACCAGAGCAGAAAGGGTTTACCAACCAATCGCAGCATTTCACGTGTGAGAACTAAGATGGAGGCGCGTCACTAGAGTGTGTTGTGAACCGACGCGCACTTCATATAACATCTAGGCGGCAGGCGGGGTAATTAAACAAAGGCTCACTGCCTTGTTTCTACATTAAATTTTACGGTCGCAGTCCAATTAACACAGATGGTGTACAGATGGGCTTCTCGAACCAGATCTAATGTTCGGAAAGGGCTGCATCGGGTGTCTCTCGATAGGTGGCAGCATTCCACCGGCGGGCGCCACGATGTAGGAGATGGCGCAGGGGCGGCCTAAACCACTACACCACGCTTTTACTGCTTAATAACGAGCCATTTAGAGCACTACGATAAAGGTGCTATTACATCAATATTCGGATATCATTTTCTATTCCGCTATATGCTACATGTGATGCTGACTATGACGCATGATTTATGCTCGTCTGATAAGCTGCCGGGTAACCATATAGGCGTCCAGGGCCATGGATGACCGTACAGTGCGGATTGTGGAGCGGTACATCCGCTGGCCTCCCGATCAGACCACTACACCGGGGCCCCGAGCGCCAGCCACGGCCACTGAACCAGTGCGTATCGTGCTTTTTGGGACGGGCTGTGAGACAGGAGGCCGAACGAGACGAGGTTGTTTATTTTTGCTTGTTTTGCTTTTTTAGTCACTTGCTTTTTTGCATCTCCATATTTTGTGAGGCCTAGCCTTGCGAATAGACTTTACTTTGCCGTTGCTTTTGAAACGTCCCATGCCAGGCATCAACGCCTATACTGGCCGGGTGCGGCCTATACCGTCTCATCCACGATGCAGTAGTCGTTTTGAGGGGGAAGGCCATTGCAGTCAACACAGTTCGTATTTTCCATTTTATTGTGCAGCGCGTGATGACAAGCACTACCGTTTGTTCGTAAACACGAGAAAAAGTTAGCCGCCACCACAAAACGGCCGTCTGTTTGTGTGCATGCACGTCGTCATCCTAGGTACCCGAGAGGGAAGAAACCGTACAGTGCGTCATAGGCCTCGTATTTTTTTTTCCCTTTCTCTCCTGACCGGTGGGCCCTACAGCGGGCTATTCTTGGGTACACAGCCTCCGAGATCGTGCGCTATGATTGGCTGGCTGGCCAGCATTTTTGCCGATGGAGGGAGGGGCGGAGGGGCCGGTCCCGGATTCCAGCGCCTCAAGACAGTGGGCGACCAGTGGGCCGGAACGCATGCTGGCTGCCTGTGCGCATGGAGGCGACGCACGTTTTAGCGCTTTTGCACGCTGCGTTTCAGCGGGCTTCAGCGCTGTCTGAGCTCTCCCAACCGCCTCCAGCATACCGCACAGTGTGCACGTCCGCTAGTGACTTGCGCCCCCAGCTATGTGGATTTTTTCTTCTTCCTTGTCTTGCCAGGCACCGAAGCTAAAAGTCTCGCGCTCCCGACTTCTGCTTTCTTCTTTTGTTTCCATTCTTCTCCATCTCCATCTTCTCCTGTGTCTTTTCCTTTTGTATTACCGAAAAAAAATACACACACCAATAATTCACAATGCCTTCTCCTTCTAGCTTGTTGACGCTGGCCGTCGCCATCACCTCTGCCAGTGCCTCTTTCTCCGGCTTCAACTATGGCAGCACCTTCACCACTGGTGCCCCCAAGCAACAGGGCGATTTCGAGGCCGAGTTCAAGGCTGCTGCCAACCTGAAGGGTACCGATGGTATCTTCCGCAGTGCCCGTCTCTACACCATGGTCGTAAGTGTTGTTCTATAGGCTTGATTTGCGTTTGTATAGTCACTAACAGTTGCCCCAAACAGCAAGCCGGCACTGCCGACCAGCCTATCTCCGCCATCCAGGCCGCCATCAACACCAAGACCACCCTTCTCCTTGGTCTCTGGGCCTCTGGCAACGGCTTCCAGAACGAAATCAACGCCCTGAAGAAGACCATTGATCAGTACTGCAGCAAGCTCGACGGCCTCGTTGCTGGTATCTCCATTGGTAGCGAGGATCTCTACCGCGACTCTGACCTCGGCAAGAAGAACTCCAACGGCCTTCCCGGTGCCAATGCCCAGACCCTCGTCAACTACATCAAGCAGGTCCGTGACACCGTTAAGGGCTCTTGCTTGAAGGATGCCCCCATTGGCCACGTCGACACCTGGTCCGCCTACGTCGACGGCGCCAACAAGCCCGTCATTGATGCCCTTGACTGGCTCGGCATGGACACTTACCCCTACTTCGAGGATGACAAGGACAACCAGATTGCCAACGGCCGCGACCTCTACCTCGCTGCTCTTCAGAAGATCCAGAACGCCGGCCCCGGTAAGCCCATCTGGGTCACTGAGACCGGCTGGCCCGTCTCTGGTAAGAAGTCTGGTGGTGCTGTCCCCAGCAAGGAGAACGCCCAGGACTACTGGCAAAAGGTTGGCTGCCCCATGTTCGGCAAGACCAACGTCTGGTGGTACACCATGCAGGACGCCGAGCCCCAGACCCCCAACCCCAGCTTCGGTGTCATTGGCAGCGATCTGAACTCTGAGCCTCTCTTTGACCTCTCTTGCAAGGGCCACGAGAACCCCCCTGCCCCTGCCAGCAGCAGCGCTCCCGCCTCTGCCTCCAAGTCCTCTGCTCCCGCTTCTCAGTCTTCCAGCGCTCCCGCCAGCAACCAGTCTAGCTCCAAGCCTACCACCACTGAGGCCAGCAAGGGCCCTGCCACCTCCCAGCCTACCACCATGGCCACCACCAACGGTAACGGCAACGGCTCCAACACCCAGGGCCAGTCTAAGCCTACCCAGTCCGCCAACAACGGTGGTAGCTCCGACAACAACAACAAGCCTTCTCAGACCACCAGCGCCGCTGGCTCCAAGCCTTCTGTTGGTGCTGCTGGCAACCTCAACGCCTTCGGTGCCGCTGGTGCTGCCGTTGTCTTGGCCGCCCTTGCTCTGTAAAGTCAAAGCTTGACGCTTCGTCTTGACTAGAAGTCGCCAACGGCCTCGCAACGGCCTGGTGACTGCAACTCCCAATGTACATTGACTTTACTCTGCCTCGTACTGGCAGCTGAGCAACGAATGCTCGCTAGAATTATTACCTTGACATGCATCGTCGGGAGATCGGGCATCTCCCACGCAGATTATACGCGATAATGAGTTGGGTTCAAACAAACCCAATGGAATTTCTTTAGACACATAGACCAGATAGATTTTGTTTTCATCTATGATTTTTTGGAATAAAATCAACTGCTTTTTGTTAAACCCCTCTTTCCCATAAACCGTAGTTTTATCATTATCGGACTTATAAACATCTCAATTAATCATAGATCTGCGCTGTTTATTAAAAGAGGCACCCTAGCCGGCTTTAGCTCTGTTGGCAGGCGCCGAAGCGGAGCCGCCTGTCGCGTGGCACCCACCCATTTTTGACGTGGCACGTATTCTTTGCCCCTGGAGCTCAGGTACAGCCCGCCTCGTCTCCTCACCACGCAACTAGCTTTTCAACCGCAGACGTATCATTTCATCTGCAGTGAACCGCATCATCATGATTTACACGAGACAATTCCTGGTGTTGGCAGCATGCCTGTGCCTTCTCATCGCCTGCGTTGCAGCCGCGCCACAGACCGTTAGCACGCCTGACTTGCTTGAGCGCATGAGCTTGGAGGAGATTGAGGAGCAGCTCCAGGTACGCAGCCCAACAGACGAGCATGCCCTGATATTATAGAATTAGCTCTATCTAACTGTGAATCTTGTTCTAGACTTGCCCAATCGTCCAGCAGCTCAGCGCTGCCAAAGCTGCCGAGCACGCCGCCGCCCCCTCATCGCTGACGACGCGACTTTTCGAGATTCTGTTCCCCGGTTCCCCCGCCGTCAACGCCCTCCTCGCGACTCTCTACATCTCTGGTCCTCCCAATTTCCTGCTCGCCCTGTGCCCTACCGACATTGACCCGTCATCGCTGTCCATCATGGTAGCCTTTGCCGTCGGTGGACTTCTCGGCGACACACTCTTCCACCTTCTTCCCGAGATCTTCTTGGGCGAGGACGAGGCTACTGGCGCGCGTTTCGTGCTTGTAGAGCCTAACAGGAACTTGGTGCTTGGTCTGGCTATCCTCGTTGGCTTCATGGTCTTTGTCGCCATGGACAAGGGTCTGAGAATTGCTACTGGTGCTTCCGGCCACGACCACGGACACTCACACTCCCACTCGCATGGCGATGCCCAGGTGGCTGTTGCTTCTGGAGCTGATGTCAAGGGCGGAGAGGCGCGATCACGCAAGAAGAAGGATGATACGGTTGCTGCTGCTGTCGAAAAGAAGGAGATTAACCCCAGCGTTAAGCTCGGAGGCTATCTCAACCTCATGTAAGTAGACATACACGAGGCGTGTCTTGGAGAGAAGGAATTGTGTTGACTAACTGGTCCTCTTAGCGCCGATTTTACACATAACATTACCGACGGTCTGGCCATGTCTGCCAGTTTCTACGCGTCGCCCACTATTGGCGCCACTACTACTGTTGCTGTGTTCTTCCACGAGATTCCCCACGAGGTCGGTGACTTTGCGCTGCTTGTCCAGTCTGGCTTCTCGAAGCGCGCTGCTATGGGCTCGCAGTTCATCACTGCTATTGGTGCTCTCCTGGGCACGTTGATTGGTATTGCCGTTCAAGAGTTTGGTGGCAACAGTGGTGATGATGGCGTGTCCATGGCACGCAATGCCGGTATTTGGGGAACTTCCCTGGTACGTTTTTTATTTTCTTGGTGTTCGATTTCCACGCAGAAGATGCTAACTCGGAATATCTAGACTGCAGGCGATCTACTTCTGCCTTTCACAGCCGGTACGTTCCTCTATGTGGGTACCGTTGCTGTTATTCCTGAGCTGTTAGAGACTTCGTCTGGAAACAAGATGGTCGAGCTCCGCAAGACCGTCGTGCAGTTTGCTGCTGTTGCGCTTGGCGCGGGTATTATGTTGTACATTTCATGGCATTAAATGTTGCATTGGGTTTGTAGATCAAAATAGGCGTTTGATGAAAAGGGTTCAGATCCGCGCGTTTTGTATGGGTGGTTGTACATGGATTCGAGTAGAACAGTTGCAAATGCTACGCCAACCAACTCTTATTCTTTGCTCACCGCCAAGATTCCATATGCCGATCCTAGTATTAAGCCAGGACTACTGTAGCTACACATCTGTCCCGTGGTTGTCATTGCTAGTGTTGATTTGTCACAAGGGCATTGATCTACAATGCGCAGTCGATCAATAACGACGCTAAGGTGTGCATCCTTGACAGCAATTCTTTAACATGTGAAGTATGTTGTATAGCATAATTGCTTGATGCCATGTGCACTGTATTACTAGAAGAACACAGAGTGAAGGATAAAAAGGCCTGTGAGTGACTTGGAGTTCGGGGACATAAAACGAGATCACGTCAGATACTCAGGTCAGCTCAGCTTCAGTGGTCTCGCGCTGGAAAAAAAAAAATCAGGGTCCGCCTGTTTCGGCGGGGCATCGCGGACTCTCGGCGTAGTGGCGAGCGACAGACAGGGCCTAGCGAAGTACTAAGCCAAGCGTCACTAAGGAAAGCTTGTCTTGTCAAATTGCGGGCAAATGTTGTAGCATACTATCGCCAGTGGATACTAGCGGTCAATATTTGGACACTCCACGCGACTTTCCGCTGCTTCCAGAAGAGATGGCCGCCGCGCTGAGAGAACTTTTGGGTGCGCGCGAGGCTGCGTTCTACCGTGGTCGAGATGTGGTGAGTTCCAGGCGGTGTCTTGGTAGTGCTAGGCCTGAATCGGAAAGGCCCCGTCACATCTTGCATAAGTGGACCGGAAATAGCGTTCATTTTCTTCGGGCAAGGGGTGAAAGAAATATTTGGGGGGCTTGTCGGGCGTGGCGCGCCAGGCGAGCAGAAAACTTTATATTAAAAAATGGCAGGAAAGGGGATCAAATGACTCTTTGGACAGGGTTTTGGAGTATGGAGAGTTTGAGCCGCCTACACGGTGAGAGTGAACGTTTGTGCGGATGGAACAGTTTCCTGAGGCGATATCGGTGCCTGCTATACGCGCGGGCTTTGTCCCGTTCAGCTGTGTTTACTGCCTACAATACAGAACAACCAACAGGCGCAAACCAGCGAAATAATCAGTTGGTGGCTAAAACGCAAAGCTGGGTGAAAAGCAGGCGGATTAGTTTTGCGGCCTTGTTCTTTGGGATTAGTGTCGTATCCAGGGGGGTCGTTAAGTGCCGGAAACCCGCATGGGTGCCCAAGATGCATGTAAGTCATCGTTCTGCCTGCATCTGATGCCGCCTAGCCGTGAGGAGCAGCAGTGCCATGCTACGCGGACAGGCGCATAAATCTCTCGTCGCTTTTTGCGTATGGGTGTGCTGTCACGGTTACAATGGTATTCTTCAAACAAGGGGAGCCAAAAACGTATTAGAGCGCTGCTTTTGTTGCTGTGCGCAAACGAACTCTGCAGCCAGGGGGGAGGCTACATCGTACGGTGCACCACGCGTGCTCTCGTAATAACCGCCACGGATACTACTTTCTGGGGGATACAACTTACGAGGCGGCTGAATCTTTGCCAACGGACTACAACAAACGCATTGGACAAAATGTGTATAGCAACCGTGAGAGGTTGGCGGTGGTGTGATTCCTCCTAGTCCATGGCGTTTGCAGCGGCACCTGCAGCTTCCCGCAGCGGGAGCTAATTGCAGCGCACGCATGGTGCCGTCCCTCCCTTTCAGTGCACAGGGCAAAGTAGGGGTTATCCAATCGGCATGCTCGCTTGGCTGCCTTGCAAGGCACCGTTTCGGGAATACATGGTGGTGGTGGTGAGAATGCGGATGCGGATGGCGACCGGTTGGCGGCTTAGTGAGGGTGGTGGTCGGCGGCCAACCTCCGGTGCGTGGCCGATCTTGCAACGCTGCGGCTCCAGGTCAGCCTGCAGCAGCAGCAGAATTAGCGGCGGTTCGTTGCCCGTTCGGCCACCACGCCACAGCACCACGCGCACCGCTAAATTTGGGGCTCCAGCAAAAAAAGGCTCCTCCCACCATCACAGGGACCCATCAAATACTGGTCTGGACCGAACCAGAACTCTGTTCCAGATGGCATGTTTCCCCAATTTTTGCTCGTTTCTTGCGTTTTCCCCAGCCCGCCATGCACTTGACGTAGCCGTTTGGGGGTCACTTGGGGGAGAGAAGACTGCATCTTCTGCACCTAATTACGTTGGCGTTGGCGGCCGGCACATTTAGCGGCCGGCGGTGACTGCTGAGGCGCGCTGACTGACACACTGGTTTTATTGCCAACAGTATTACCGGTGGTGGTGGTGGTGTGAGACAGAAAGCGATGGCGCGGTGAGTAAACATCTACAGCAGATTTCTTCCATAACCGCTGCAGCTGCATCTGATGCCGGTGAAAAGTCGATTACAACTGCAACTGTTGATCTTTGCCACCCAAACTCCCTCCCCGCGCTGGCCACTTTTACTGCCAAGGAGTTATGCTCGCGTCAGAATGCAGAATTATCCACGCGGTTCGTAGAGCATAGTAAAAAGATGGAAAACTGGAGATGCGGTTGTAAGCCCACCTGCTGCACGATGTGCTACCCCTTGGCTGCGGTGGCTTGTCCATGCCCCAAAAACGGTAATATGATGTATTCTTCCATCTTGGGGCGCACCGCCAGTAGCTCAAAAAACATCGCTAAGTATGGTATTCTTTGCTTTTTGTCACGTCTCGTGAACCAACGGGTGGCTTTGTTCGGATAGACCGTCCGACGAACGGAGGCGTGACAAGTGTGGTTGGTTTGGTTTGATTGAGAGGGCCTCATTGTTTGCGATGGTTTGTAAAGTGAGGTAATGCGAATAAACAAGAAATATGAAAACCAGCAAACATATAACAAACAACTCTCTGCTTTTCTGCAAACTGGAAGCAAAAAAATGTTCCTTGCTGGCGGGCTATAGCCGATATCGTCGGTCTCCAGATTTCGCGGTGGCACCTTTATGGCGAGTTTTTTTTTCCATCCTTCGTCCGTAGTCTGCCACCACGCCCTATCACTTTCCCCTTCCACACCCCCGACTCGTACCCTGCCCGTTCATCGTCTTAGCGCCAACTCAGTGCTGAACAGAGAACAAAAGGGTCCAGTTAGTGGCCTTCCATGAGATTTCGGGGGGTCGTGCCCCGCCCTAGAGGTGACAATAGCCGCCTGTAGAAGGATTCGGCTACAAGTCCTTTTTTTTCTTACACCCGCCCCGTGTCGTGCACGCAGCAGCGCCAGATGACTGACTCCAAAAAAAAAAGGTGCCGTTTTCGCCGCCTTCCCCTGCGCTCGCGCTCGCGCTGGCGGCGTTTGCCCAGTTGTATTTAAAAGCATTTCCCCCCTCCACACCACTGCGTCCGCCGCGTTGTCGTCATAGTTTTGAGGATCTTCTTGTTGGTTACCAAGCAAGGTTGCTGCTTGTCATTGTTTTTACTATCGCGCCCTTTCGTCATTCACGCTGTCCTCCAGCCGCCGTTAATACTTAATTCACGTCCCACTCCGCACTCTGCTCCCCCTTCGCACCAACAGCAGTTGCTCCAGACACTACCAACAAGTGCCAGATCAAACAATTTTGCACTTGCACATACATCTATCAAGTCTCAATCAGCTGAAAATAGCTCGACAGCTCAGTTGAATTGCCTTTGGAGACGGCGCCCGCAACAGTCTCACCAAACAACCTCTCTCACTCTACCGTCCCCCCACTGAGAGGCGAGGCTCTACAGGCGCAAGCGCGGATCAAACACCGTCGCACCCGTTCGCCCGCTATACACATATACCAATACCAACACAACACAACCTATATACAACACCTTCACAATGCCCGCTGGCGAGTCTCTCCGCGCACCGGCGGTCTCTCGCCCCAAGGCTGGAGCCGCCAACAAGTACAGCATTGATATCATTATCGACAGCCACTTCAGCTCCAAGGTGTACACCACAGGCTCCTCCATCTGTGGCAAGGCCGTTATCAAGCCCAACAAGGATGTTGCCTTCAACCACTTCGACATTGTCTTTACTGGCATTGCTGCTACCCGACTCGACTTTGTCCAGCAGTACCCGAGCCACTCCTTCCGCCCATTCCTCAAGTTAAGAATGCCTATTGGCAGAGACGACATCCCCGAGGACCGCGTCTTCAAGGCCGGCGAGGTCTACAGCGTTCCCTTCAACTTTGTCGTACCTCACCAGCTTACCTATGGCGCCTGCACACACAACTGCGAGTCAGACTGTGTCCGTGACCACCACCTGCGCCTCCCACCTTCGGTAGGATTCTGGGGTGCCGACGACCAGGCCCCAGAGATGGCGCAGGTTGAATACGCTGTCAAGGCCCGCGCTGTTGTCACGCAGCCAGGAGCCCCTGCTACCAAGGTGCTTGAGGGTCACCATATGCTCAAGGTCCTCCCTGCGTTCCCCGAGGATGCTCCCCTGGACATCACCTTCCGAGACGAGCGATACACTGCCAGCAAGACAAAGACTATCCGAAAGAGCTTGTTCTCTTCCAAGACTGGCAAAATTACCGCGACTGCTACCCAGCCTGGCGCCTTGATGCTCTCTCCTGATGGTCACCGTGCCACGACTTCCAACGCCCGCATCACTGTCGAGTACGTTCCCGATTCTGCTGATACAGCCCCTCCCAAGGTTACCTCGGTATCCAGCAAGATCTTGGCCACTACGTATTTTGGTGCTGCTCCTCTGGACCATTTGCCCAACTTGGGCGCTCGCACTGCTTACCACAGCAGCCCGTGCCTCAACTACACCACCACCACCAACCTTTCCACTCTTCCCACCGACAAGCTTTCTTGGAAGCAGGAAAAGATCTCCTCCTCGCGTCGTGACTCTGGCTACTCCAGCTCTCACCTAGAAGTTGATCTTTCCGCTAAGAAGAAGCCCAGCTCTCCTGTGAAGCACACCACCACCATCGAGGTGCCCTTTACTATTGTCAACACCATCAAGAAGTTTTTCTTGCCCACTTTCCACTCGTGCCTCATTTCTCGCACCTACGCTCTACAGCTGGTTCTCTCCGTTGGAGCTTCTAACACCACCATGACTCTTACTGTCCCGGTGCAGATTGGTGTCGACGGTGACCTGGTACCCCAAGACGGCGAGCTGCCCAGCTTTGAGACAGCCATGGCACAGTCTGAAGAGGAGGAAGCCAACCAGTATCTGCGTCCTCGCATCTTCCGCAACCGCTCTGACCAGCCTCAAACCAACACTCTTTTGCCAAGCTACGACGAGCTCCGACACCGACGCCGAGCCTCTGCCTCTGCTGCAGCCTAATAACCAGCAATCATCATCATCATCGATAATACTCTCCTCACTCTGATTGCTACCTCGCCGAGTTGATCTTGGGAGGAGCTTGACGGCTTTCAATACTCAAAAGCATCTTTTTTACAAACTATATACACATACAACATAATTTTCTTGAAGTTGGCATACAGGAATGACTTTCGTTTTTGCAAGCATGGCGTTTATATTTATGGGTATCCGGATATAGCTTGCAATGCAGTTGCGCAATGATTCTTTTCATTATTTCTTTTCCCCCAGCGTTGATTTTACGATGTTCATGAAGTGATGGCTGTGACGGTTTACACAGCAGCAAATATTGTACTATATTATTTAATAATACTTAATACCTCTCTACAGCAGACTGACTGTCTCTCACGCTCTAGCCATTAAAGCCATGAAGATAGGGCAGTAGCTCTCCCGCTTCCTTCTTCTCTCTCTGTCGCCATCGCCTCGGATTTATAAGCTTTGCTCTGTGCTGCAGCCACCACTTGTCCGTGCGGGCACCAGTTGATCTCATTCGCTGGCTCTCCAGGGCAGCGCATCGGCATCGCCCCACACACAGAGCACTGTCTCACCCCTGCACGGATGGCTCCCTCCCCTGTAGCAGCGTGTTTAACCCCCCGCTGTAATTCCCTCTGCCGGCACCCGTTGCGCCGCGTGCCCCTCCTGAAAGCTTGGGCAATCGCTTGTCCAGTGGGGCGACTGACATGAGAAACAGCATGCTTTAGCGGCTTCCCCACAGGTACGGCACAGTGGCATGAAGCCACGACTGCTGTATGTTGTGTCTCCCTTCTTTTTTCTGGTTTCTTCCATCACCAGTAGGATTTGAGGCGTGAAATTTCCTTCCAATCATCCGCAAATCCCCCAGCTTGAACGATTGGCTGTCTCGTGGTTAGTATAGTCGGCCTCATCTGGTTCGGGATCTAGAGCTGCTTCCACGTACTTTGAGGTCCCTCGAGCCCAGCATTGATGTGTAAACGACTGCCACGTTATCGTCACCACAAACAGAATTGGATTCATAAGCCTTGGCATGATGAACTCCTAGTCTTTACATAATCCACTCTGCTAAACCGAACGTTGCACGCGAAAAGAACCGAATTCGAAATTGTCTCCAATTCACCACTGCGAAACGCACAGGAAGAGATGGTCGCGCAGCTAAAGGCAGGCCGGCAGGGCTTGCTGGCTTTGATGCTCATCAGTCTTGTTGACGCCTTCTATATTCCTGGTAGGTATTAGAATAGTACATTGCAGGGAAACTGGTTTCTCTAACCAACTCAAAGGCTGGTCTATTCGAAGCTACAAAGAAGCGGAACACGTGCCTCTCTTGGTCAACAAAGTCTACTCTGACAACACCGAGCTACAATATGCCTACTACGACCTGCCGTTTGTCTGTCCTCCAACGGGGCAATTTGCGGCCGCGGGCGGAATGCTGAGTGGAAAGCATATCCCTCTCAACCTGGGCGAAGTGCTCCGCGGTGATCGTATCCAAGCTTCGGATATAGAGCTCGCCATGGCAAAAGATAAGCCGTGCACTTTGTTGTGTACTCGAAACCTATCATCAGCCGATCTCAAACGGGCAAGACAGTTGGTTCGCGACGATTACGTTGTCGAATGGATCGTGGATAACCTGCCTGGAGCGACGAATTTTATATCCTCAGACAAGAGCCAAAAGTACTATGCAGCTGGATTCAAACTGGGATACTCTGAGCCATCTCCTCGAGGTCGACTGCAGCAGTACATATATAACCACCATACCATCGTCATCAGACACCGACGAGCAACAGGAGGCGCTGGCGAGAGAGGCGAGCACATTGTCGTTGGGTTCGAAGTATACCCAAGCAGCGTAGCACCTGATGCAGCAAGACAACCAGATGGCTGCCCAGCGGATTTAAACGCTCTTGGAGACGGGTTCCCGTTGCACAAGTACGCAAATGTGTCAGAGCAGTTACCCAGCAGCGCACGCCACAATCTGGTTGAAATGATTGAGTTTGAGGGGACCTTACAAATACCGTACACGTATGCGGTGTACTTTCGAGAGGACAATAATATCGAATGGGCACGGCGCTGGGACCTCTACTTTGTGAACCAAGACGAAGGTGTCGGCATCCACTGGCTTGCTATAATCAACTCTGTGATTATATGCGCCATGCTGACTGGAATGGTGTTTATAATCTTTGCCAAGACGATATACTCGGATATAAAGACTTACAATGACGCAATGAATGAGAGTGGGAAACTTCGAACCAAAGCAAAATCTTATTCAGGAACATCTACACCAAGGGACAAACTAGGCTTGTTAGGTCCATCTACCGAGGCAGATGTTAATGACTTTGGCGACAGCGACGTGGTCGATGAGGGTCTGGAGGATGCATCCGGTTGGAAACGACTTCATGGCGACGTTTTTCGTACCCCTAAATTTGGCTTCCTACTTGCACCACTCGTCGGATCTGGCACACAGTTTTTATTTATGGCGGTTGGCCTTGTATCGCTAAGCGCACTTGGACTTCTCAACCCGACCTTCCGCGGTGGCTTCATCAGTGTTGGCATTGGTCTCTTCATCTTCGCAGGCCTCTTTGCGGGCTACTTCTCGTCGCGCGTATTCCGGAGCTTTGATGGAAAGGATTTTAGAAAGAACGCCATGGTGACAGCACTACTGTTCCCAGGACTTTGTTTCGGACTGGTATTTGTTCTAAACCTGTTTGTTTGGGCGCAGGCATCTAGTACTGCCATACCCTTTGGCACCCTTCTGGCCATAGTCTTCCTCTGGCTTTGCATCCAGGTTCCTCTCGTATATACTGGTGCTTACTACGGGTTCGAGAAGGCGCGAGCATGGGAACATCCGATAAAGGTGACGGCGATCCCTCGACAAGTCCCTGCCCAGCTATGGTACATGAAGCCGCTACAGTCTGTACTTTTAGCTGGGCTCATCCCCTTTGCTGTCGTTTTTATAGAGCTGACATTTGTGTTTCAGTCGGTGTGGCAGGATAAAACAGCATTCTACTACACATTTGGGTTTACTGCAGTTGTATTTGCGCTTTTGATTGTCACCGTGGCCGAGGTCACTGTAGTTACCATCTATGTCCATCTCTGCACAGAAAACTACAACTGGTGGTGGCGGTCGTTCTTCATTGGTGGCGGAAGTGCGCTGTGGGTGTTTGCCTATTCCATGTGGTACTTTACCTTTAAGTTGCACATTACAGGAATAGTGAGCAGCATGCTTTTCATAATGTACAGCTTCATGGCTTGCTGTGTCTACGGCTTGCTGACGGGCACTGTGGGCTTCTTGACGGCGTACGCATTTGTGCGCCGAATCTACAGGTACGTGGCGGTGAACAACAAAAATACGGTGAGGGTTGATGGCTAATGATTGATATTTAGTGCTATTAAAATTGATTAAAAAGGCGTAACTGTGCATATGAATTAAATCAGGATAGCGACTGGCGTTTGGATTGCCAGTAGGTAGTTACGATCTTGAAGGTTATCGGCGTTTGGTGGCTTGCGTCCGAGTTGCTTATGTAGGATGTACTTTAACAATTGGATTTCAAATCTCTCCGCTTTTTTCTACCCCAGTCTGCATATCATCTCCATTCATGTATCGCGTCATATGAAGCTGTTTTGTTCTGGCTACTCGTACAAGTCGTAGGTCGGAATAGTGATTCCGGGGCCGGAAGCTTGACGGCGACTTTTCCGCCCGGTAGCGGGCACACCCCCACCAAGGTTGTGACGGGGGGCTATTTCTTATTCCTCGCACCCGCCGACTTTTTTACATTTTGTGTTTCTGGAGCTTGTAACTGATTACATATAGACCGCAATGGATTCAAAAGAATATAGAGAGACTGCCAAGTCAGTCATTGACGAACGTGAGCTTGTCTCCCACGCCGGTTACTGTGTTTCTACAGGTCTCTAACTCGTGCTCGCAGTTGCCGATTACCACGACAACATATCCGACCTCCGAGTTGTTTCCAATGTCGAGCCCGGCTACCTGCGCGAATTACTCCCCGACGCTGCTCCCGTCGAAGGCGAGCCGTTCGACAATATCCGAGCCGATATCAAAGACAAGATCATGCCTGGTCTAACCCACTGGCGCAACCCGCGCTTCCTGGCCTTCTTCACCTGCAGCAACAGCTTCCCCGCCAACATTGCCGAGATGTACTCGAATGCCTTCAACGGCGCCCACTTCAACTGGATCTGCAGCCCCGCCGTCACCGAGCTCGAGACCATTGTCATGGACTGGCTGGCCAAGGCTATTGCCCTACCCAAATGCTATCTCAGCTACGGCCCAACACGAGGCGGCGGTGTCCTACACGGCAGCGCCAGCGAAGCCATCCTCACCTGCATGGTTGCTGCCCGCGACAAGTTCACCAATGAGATGCTCGCAGACATGCCCGAGGGCGAGGAAAAAGAAGAGGAGCTCTGGCGCATTCGCAGCAAGATGGTTGCCCTCGGCAGCGCCGGAACACACTCGAGCACGCAGAAGGCTGCGCAAGTTATTGGCGTCCGCTTTGACACCATCCCCATTGACGTGGAAGCTGGCTACGGCCTGACAGGCGAGGCTCTCATTGCCAAGGTCGACGCACTCAAGGCTCGTGGTCTATACCCCTTCTATGTGACTGCCACGCTGGGCACCACCGACGTCTGCGCTATTGACGACTTTGAAGGCATTGCCAACACGCTGCGAGAGCGTGCCAACGGCGGCAAGACTGGCGAGATCTGGGTGCATGTGGACGCTGCGTACGCCGGCTCTGCGCTGCTGCTCGAGGAGAACCAGCACTACACAAAGGCTTTTGAGCACTTCCACTCGTTCAACTTCAACCCGCACAAGTGGATGCTGACCACGTTTGACTGCTCGGCGGTCTGGATCAAGAACCGCAAGTGGTTCGTCGATGCCCTCGGCATCAACCTCCACGTTCTCAAGAACAACTACAGTGATGATGGCAAGGTCATTGACTACCGTGACTGGCAGATTCCTCTCGGCCGCCGCTTCCGCTCCCTCAAGCTGTGGTTTGTCATGCGCAGCTACGGTATCAGCGGCCTGCAGGCACATATCCGCAGCGGCGTAGCGCTCGCTGAGAGCCTGGAAACTAAGCTTCGATCACGACCTGATCTCTTCACCATCTTCACAAAGGCCATCTTTGGCCTCGTCACCTTCAGATTGCAAGGTGAGACGGAGGAGCAGATCAATGCTGCTACAGAGGCCCTCTACCTTAAGGTTAACAAGGATGGAGAGTTCTACTGGACAAGCACAAAGGTTAACGGCAAATTTGCCATCCGAGTCACAACATCAACACCAAGCACACAAGAACAGCACATGCAGCAGTTGTTCGATTTGCTGGTTCGTGATGCCACTCCACTAGTCACAGCAAAGACAAATGGCACCAAGTAAATGACAAGTTCGTAAAATGTATATATCTTCAATTAATGGATAATATTCAATCAATTTAAATACTGGCTCGACGAGGCGCTGTAGTTCGCCTCATGGCCTTCTTCGCTTCCGTCTCCTCGACAAATGGCAACTTGCCATCCGCTTGAAGCTTCTGCATGAATTCCTTTCCAAACTCGTATCCCATCTGGCAGACGTCGTCAAACTTGGCAAAGTCCAGAGTTCCAATAGCATCAACTGGTGGCCGCATGTAAATACACCCATCCATAGCCTTGGCTTGCTCCAGAGCGTCGACACTAGATACATACGCCAGTCTACCTTGGATTTCGGCCAAGGTGGGCGGATTGGGATGAGAGGATAGGGGGTTCCATCGGTTGAAGAATGCCCACATGCCAGAGAGCGAGTCTCCATATGTCTGCGGTGTGTCGTCATCGAGGGCACCAACATCCACGGCGAAAATTGTGTCCACGCCCAAGCTTCGCATGTGTGACACTGTCAAATTGTCGACGTATCCGCCATCCAGCAGCATGCTCCCCTCATCACAAAGGGGCGGCAGCAAGCCAGCTAGTGACATCGAGGCACGAATATAGCGCCATGCATAGCCACTAGTGTGGAACTCGGCGCGGGCCTTGCTAATGTTTGTCGTGTTGCAATAATACTCAAGCCAGAAATCCTCGATTTGCGTATTTCCAAAGATTTTGAAGATACCACGGTTAAATTCGTGGCCGGTTGTGTATGATGCAGACGGATATGTCAAGTCCAACGCAAATCGCCAGAGACTTGCCATTCGGCCGGCAAACTTCTTCATGAAGCCAAACATTGGCACAACGTCTGCGTGCCTAGCGTAGAGCGCGCCAACGAATGCTCCAATAGACGTTCCACCTACAATATCAATAGGGATTCCAGCCTCTTCAATGGCTCTAATGATTCCAATTTGCGCCATGCCTCTGGCGCCACCTCCTCCGAGTACCAACCCAACAGATTTACCACACAATCGCCTAGCGAGACGATGGAAATCGCTTTTCATCGGCGTCTCAGGAGAATAGACAGGCTTGTGATGTACCTTACGCGAGGTATAGCGCTGTATTTCTGCTTGCAAGACTTGAACGCTTGCTTTCAGTGCTTGCCCCAAGTTCTTTGTTTGATGATGAGTAGGCATCGGGTTCGTAGAGAAAGCCATCTGAATATGGAAATGCCCACCATTGATCCACATTCGATTCCGGAGCCAAGCTCTTGTTAGTCCTGGCCTGGAGAATCGCTCTCTATGAAGCAGAACTAGCGTCTTGTGAGCCGTGGATTTCATTCCAAGTAGGAATCGTTCATATTCGCCAATTTCTGGTGAACTGTCTGCAAGCCCAACGAGCAAAATGCTATCGGCTTGTGTAATACACGTCTGTGTCCAGGGCGAATTAACGTTGGTATCTATATTCATCACTTCTGTTAGTACTGTAAAGCAGCATCTATGCAAGAGAGGTAGAAGTGAGGGATTGAGAGCATTGTCAGGAAAAAATTAGAGTTTACAAAACCATCAACGGCAATGCCTTTGGTTGTGGGATTTCTCATCATATTGCTCAAGGTGTTCTGTGACAGGGATTCATAATCAAGGGACGTACCAGCAACGTAAATAACCAGACCGTATTTCTCTTCCAGATCAGCAAGATACTGCGACAGGCGCAACTTGCCAATCTTGTTGAAGGCGTGTTTGCCCAAGTGGTTCAAAATTCCAGCTTGATTGAGGGAAGTCGCACCATTTGTAGGCCCGACTTGCGCAAGAGCATTCATAAGGCGGTTTCCAAACTCAACAACTGGAACGCCTGCGGTGACTGGGAGGATGGCGACAGTCCGCAGGTTGAACGTCGATTTGCCCTGGCTACTCAAGCCGTCGGGGCCTAGCTCACGTCCAACATAGTTCATTGGGTTGTCGACAACAGCTCGCATTTGAGATGCGATGATTTTTGACACCTTGATTGTAATCTTCGGGTGTTCTTGCGCCAGGCTGTTGAAAAGGGTGCGAGGGAATTTGACAAGCTCCGTATCACGGATAGCATGCAATGTGCCGTTATAGGCAGTTTCTGTGAGAACCTCTAGCTCGCCAACGCTTTCACCTTGACCAAACTCGGCGCGAGCCACCACTCCACCATCCTTTTTGTCTGCGATAAGTCGAAGACGGCCATTCAGTACGATATAGATAGCATCGCTGTCATCTTTATCATGGAAGATGACCTGGCCGGCATTGACCTGAACCCACTCTAACGCAAAGTCGATGTGCATTAGGAGACGAGGCAATATGTTTGTCAGCCTCTTTGCCATAGTGAGAAGCACGATTGGATATCGGTCGACAATTCTCTCTAGGGAGGGCCGTGGTAAGAATCCAACGTAGACATCGGTTTTAGCAACGACATCTATAAATGACCGGTAAGATGAAACGCTACCCACGTAGCCGGCTAAACCGCCTGGCTTCACAAGTGCGAGGGTCTTGCGTCCAAGACACTCCCGTCGCTGCGCATCGTCACGGTCATGACTGGCTTGTGAAATATTATTTGCAAAGAGCTCTGGGCCGAACGACTTGCGAGATGGCAAGCCATCTGGCTTGTTGCGTTGCCAAAGATCTTGAGAGACCTCGTCATTGGCGGTACCGATTTCAAGAAAGCCGTCGACAACATAATAAAGACCGGGGCTTCGCTCGCCTTGTTCTACAAGGACGGAGCCCTTTGGGAAGAAAACAATCTCCACGTCGTTTTTCATTTCTTGAGCAAGGGCCTGCGCATTCATGGGAACATGCGCAAAGCCGCTTGAGGTAACAGACTCAGTCTCCCCATCAAATGGGCTGTCAATCGGGCCCATAAGCCCAAAAGCATTATTTGAGAATACAGCCTTTGATCGGCGCTGGTCCATGGAAATAAGACGAGGTGAGGCTTCGATCGACTCACGTGACGATGTTCCGCCAGAGTCCAAACCAAGAACCTTGAACATGCATTCCAGGATAGATTCACGGAAGAGGTTTCCTTCGTCACCAGTGTCCCGATTATCGATTGAAGCTCGAGTCCGTCTATTCGAATCAAATGGGTTAAACGATCTTTGTTCTAGAGGACTTAACAGCGGGCCATTGCGAGCCTGTAGAGGCGATAGACCCGGTGATCGACGACTGTTGTTCCGGGCATGTTGAACACTGGCCAATACATCAGCCGAAACCCCGCCTTTAACAATGTGGTCATTATCAAAAGCCATTGAAGATGGGCGTTGTTTAGACAGGGCTTGGAATGCCGCTTCCTTGCGGAGTCCTGTGCTTGATCGTCGACGTCTAGTTGGGGCGGCGTTATGCAGTGCAATCCCCTTGGTTTGATCCTCATCGTGTCGATCGCGTTCTAGCTTGAATTTTTCCTTTAATCGCGCCAAAGCGTCACCACGCAGCATATTCGGTAGCTGGCATGAAGTAAATTTAAGAATATTCTTCTCGGCTTGTAGAACCTCCGTCGTCAACCCCAAGTAATTGAAAGCATGTGAGAGCGTAACCCGTTGGAATCTTGACAGAATGACGTGAACAATATGCGCAGTAGCTTTCGGGTATATCTTGATCAATCGTCGAAAGGCACTAGCTGGAATAATTGCAATTGTGGTGTCCACCGTAGCACGAGCGATAATGTCAGGATGGGCTGAAGCTGACATACGCCGCGATAGGAGAGGTCGTTGAGGTGTGGGAACAGCAGAACCATCCAGAGACATTGGGGGTATTCTTGCTGCGGCTGCTAGGCCGTTGAATGATGGAAGTCGGGCTCGCTCTTGACTGTTCATAAGTGGGTGCTGAATGTTACCATCAAGCTGTGGCGAATTGGGCATAGACGATGGAACATGGGGAGGAGTTCTTGGTGTCATCATGTCCTGTCCGTGGCGATCGTCCTTGGACGGTCGGCTGTGTTTGTCTTCTTCAACGAGCTTCACATCTTCCGTGAAGAGTGACATGATGGAAAACATGGATGACATCGGCGCACCGTTACGAACTTCGGTTAGAAGATGATATTTCTGGTGGCCACGAGCGAGCTCTTCTTCGTCATCCGAGGTTTCCAAAGCGGAATCATCGGCATTATGTCCTCTAGTATTTCTACCAGATTTAACAAAGATCTGTACGAGTCCATCAACAACGATACAGAAGCCTTTCTCTTCTTCCAGGTTGATCGTTTCTCCGGCGATGAGCTTTCTCGTTTGCATGCTCCGAGTCAACTCATGAAAAACCGGTCGCTCCAAGTAGCCAAAAATCTTGATGGCACTGAGAAATTCATCCAAGTAGTTGGTGAAGCGAGCCTTCATTCCCTCATCATGGGTATCGGGGAAGAGATCGATCTCAGGTTCTTTCCGCTGCGGTTCAGGCGGCAGCCGGGAGTACATATTGAGAATTCGGTAACGAACAACCCAGCTGGCTGCAGACGCAATCATCACGAGAATAAAAGCTCTGGAAAACGCGTTAGAAGGTGAGTTTCAGCATCATGCTGCCCAAGGAAAACGTACAAGGTGGTGGCGTTCATAGTCACCGTCCAGCTCGCAGACAAAAGAGCAAAGAGGACGCTTGGGATCGTAATGGTGACAAAGCGAATAGCCCAATAGAGTAAAAAGGATACTAAGTTGATAATACCAAACACTAGCTTTCCCACAAGCCCGAGCCAACTGGAGCTCTCCTGGGGAGGCATGATAACCAGAGTTGTGGTGGAGCTCATGGCTGCTGATGCCGTTGACAACAAATCCTGTGCCATCAGGATGGCTGTTGAGACTTCTGATGCCATGGCTGCTGATGATTCCGTAGGAAACGGAAGGGCATCATGCAGAACGGCGGCTGCCGGGTCATGAGCATGTGGCTTTAGCTACACCCAAATTGCGGTGTTTTGGCTTGTGAGAGGAAGAAGAAAAAAAAAAGGGCGGAGCTCGGTCCAAGTTGGAAAGCTTTGTTTTTGCTGGTAGACAGCTTACCCACTCACTGTAGTGCCATGGTTTTACCGCCCTGGCGGCATACAACGGGCGCTGCGTTCGAGAAGCAACCCCGCTATAATTTATTAGTAGAGCGCCAGTCTTTGGGTTCTTGGCGGGGCGATTCCGGACTCGGGAAAGCTTTTAGGTCGCCACTTGAACACCTGAACAATCACGTTTTCTTCATCATCACGACATCCCTGGACATAGAGAAATGCCTTTTGCTCAGCTTGTTGTAGGGAGCCCAGGCTCCGGCAAGAGCACCTATTGCGATGGCAGTAAGTCGTGCAGCGCAAACAAGATCTCGCGATATTGGAAAGTTAACATTGCCAAACTTGTAGTGCATCAATTTATGGGTGCTATTGGGCGAGCATGCTCTGTGGTAAACCTTGACCCAGCGAACGACCATACGAACTACCCCGTTGCATTAGACATCAGAAGTTTGATCAAGCTAGAAGACATTATGCGAGACGACAAGCTCGGGCCAAACGGAGCAATCTTGTATGCTCTGGAGGAACTAGAACACAACTTCGAATGGCTAGAAGAAGGGCTCAAAGAATTCGACCAGGATTACCTTCTTTTCGACTGCCCTGGTCAGGTCGAGCTCTATACACATCACAACTCACTGCGCAACATCTTCTACAAGCTGCAGAAACTTGGCTTCCGAGTAGGTGCTAATATCGATTTCCTTGGGCTTAGTGCTAACGGAAAGTATATAGTTTGTTGCAGTCCACCTATCCGACTCAATATGCCTCACCCAACCTTCATTATACATTTCAAACGTCTTATTATCCCTTCGCGCCATGATACAGATGGACATGCCACATGTAAATGTCCTGTCCAAAATCGACAAGGTGTCATCTTACGATGAGCTACCCTTTAATCTTGAATATTATACAGACGTTGACGACCTGACGTACTTAACACCGTATCTGGAAGAAGAATCCCCAGCTATGCGCAGTGAAAAGTTTGGAAGGCTAAACGAAGCAGTCGCCAGCATGGTTGATAGCTATGGGCTGGTGCGATATGAAGTTCTTGCTGTTGAGAATAAGAAGAGCATGACACATTTGCTGCGCATTATAGACCGCGCAGGTGGCTATATTTTCGGAAGCGCTGAAGGAGCAAATGATACTGTATGGGCCGTAGCTATGAGAAATGAATCGTCAATGCTTGATGTGCCAGATCTCCAGGAGCGCTGGGTGGACCAAAAGGAGGAGCATGACCGCTTAGAGATGGAGGCCGAAGAGCAAGCTAGGAGGGAGAATGAAAATGCCATGGGAATGGATCTGGACCCAGCTCCAGCCATGCCAACCGAAGGGGAGATGGACCCAGATTTCGGAGACATGAGCGTCCCAGCTGATAGTGGTGTTAAGGTGAGGCGAAAATAGTGATACCCAATAGAATAAAGCGTTCAGCCATCGTCTTCATCCGTATCCATTTCATCAATAGGGTCGACGGCATTTTCGAGCATGCTATTGTCTTCTTGGCCGGACATTGCAGTGAAGAATCCCGCAGTTGATCTGTTTGACTTGGCAGCTAGGATGAGGGTTCGTGCCTGGCGGATGGCCTCTTCCTCTGCCTTGCGAATGGTTCCACTGACACGGACAACTTTGAAGGTACATGGACGACCATCTTTAACTGGAACATGGTCCATCATTGTCAGTGCTGCCCATAACATCTGGTAATTTGCTCTTCCGCATCTAAGGATGAAGGTTGACGTTGCGAGCGACATGTATTTTACTATGAATAGTTAGCGCCTATTTTCATTACTTCAAGAGCCAACACATACCTGAGAGATTCCCTTCCAATGATCCTACACCGAAATCGCCAAACAACGAGCTAACTTCGGCTTTGATAGCCTTTGTTAATAACTGTGGCGTAAGCTTTTCAACTGTCGGCTGATGCTGAACAATCGGTAACGGCAGCAAGGCATTTTTGTCTTTGTTTTCCACCGGCGGGTAGAGAATATGGACCAAAAGATATCTCTCTTTGATTCTGACCATTTTTATTGCACCAATGAAGGGCTAAATCCAGAATCCTGCTCAACTCGTAATGGCGGAAGGCAATGTGCGAAGTTGGTAAAGTTGACGCAGGCTTTTAGCGCGTCGCTACATGCTGCGGCATAAGTGGGGCCGCTAGCTGCTGAAGCTACGTCGGCCGGAGCCGTCTTGGAAAGAGCATGACCACTTCTCTTTGATGGGATTTCTTTTGAACTCACTCTAGTGTCTTGAAAATTACCTTTGTATTTAAAAATCAAACCAGAAATGGATTCCAAACTCACGGTCGCGATCTTAGTTGTTTCCACTACAGCTGCACAAGATCCTACTACAGACCTCTCCACAAAGGTGCTATCCGACGTCTTGGCCGATGACGGCAACGACCAATGGAAGGTGACGGATACCAAGATCGTTACCGATGATGCGGTTGATATCCAAAGACAAGTCATTACGTGGACAGACAGTCTAGGTGCTCCCAATCTTATCGTCACAACTGGTGGCACCGGTTTCGCTGTAGCAGACCATACCCCAGAAGTATGAAACATGAGTATATTACAAGCTCATATTCTAACATTTTATAATAGGCGATTTCTCTTATTCTTCATAAGCAGGCCCCAGGACTCGTTCATGCCATGTTATCAACCTCTCTCGCCGTTACACCCTGTATGTATTGTTACTGGCGGTTCCTCGCCTTGTCTTCTCAACTAACCGGCTATAGTCGCTATGATGTCAAGACCTGCTGCAGGCATACGGAGAAACACAGTCATAATTACTTTGCCTGGCTCCCCCAAGGGAGCAAAAGAAAATCTGCAAGCCGTAATCAAGACGCTGCCGCATGCATGTCTTCAGGCTTCTGGTGCCAACTCGCGCAAACTTCACGCTGGTGGGGTGCAAAAATTGGAAAAGGACGCTGGTATAGCCTCTTCAGGCTGTTCTCATGGCCACAGCCACAATCATGGTCACAACCATGGTAGTGGTCATGGCCACGCGCCTCTCGTTCGCCATACCAAGCCAAACACCAACCCTTTGTCTAACGACCCCCTTCTTGGACCTAGCCGCAGATATCGTGAATCCCCTTACCCGATGGTATCAGTTGATGATGCTCTGCAAATGATTGCAGACTTTTCTCCAGAGCCTCATGTTGTTCGTGTCAAGGTCGACGAAAATATCGTTGGCTCTGTTTTAGCGGACGACGTTAAAGCGAGAGAAAATGTGCCCGCATTCCGAGCTAGTATTGTGGACGGATATGCTGTGGTGGTACCAAAGGATGGAAATCTGAAGGGCGTTTTCCCAGTTACTGCTGTATCTCATGCAGCGCCTGGACAAACACCAGCTTTGAAGGAGGGCGAAATCGCCAGAATTACCACCGGTGCTCCGTTACCACCAGGTGCTACGTCTGTTATAATGGTCGAGGATACGATCCTCAAATCCTTGACTGACGACGGTAAAGAAGAAAAGGAGGTTGAAATCAACGCTGAAGGCGTGAAGGAAAACGAAAACGTCCGGGAAGTGGGTAGCGATATCCAAGCTGAATCCATCATACTGAAGCGAGGTGAACAAATATCCGGTGTTGGCGGAGAAATCGGCCTTCTTGCAGCTGTTGGAGTCGCCGAAACAGATGTGTTCCGCAAACCCGTGATTGGCGTCTTGTCTACTGGAGACGAGATCATTCCCTATGACCGTCCTGGAGATCTTAGGTTGGGTGAAGTGCGGGATACCAACCGAATTACTCTAATTTCCGCGGCCAAGGAATGGGGCTTTGAGGTTGTAGATTTGGGCATTGCGCAAGACAAATCAAACACGCTAGAGGAAACATTGAGGAATGGTCTTCGCCGAGTTGATGTTCTCATAACTACAGGAGGTGTGTCGATGGGAGAACTTGATTTGCTGAAGCCCACGATTGAGCGTTCTTTGGGCGGTACAATTCACTTTGGCCGCGTTGCAATGAAGCCCGGAAAACCTACAACCTTTGCTACAATTCCTGTAAAGGACAATGCTGGTACACGCGTTTCCAAGACTGTCTTTTCCTTACCTGGAAACCCTGCTTCTGCGCTCGTCACGTTCCATCTTTTTGTACTTCCTTCGCTGCACAAGCAATCAGGCGTCTCACCAGTTGGCCTTCCCAAGGTCTCAGTGTCCCTCGCGCATCAATTCAACATGGATTCTCGCCCAGAATACCATCGTGCTGTTGTAAGCGCGAATAAGGATGGTGTGTTGGTTGCAAACAGCACCGGTGGACAGAGAAGCTCTAAAGTTGGCAGCCTTAGAGCCGCCAACGCATTGGTATGTATGCCCGGCGGCAAAGGTGTACTGGAGAAAGGTGCCAAGGTTGATGCTCTTGTGATGAATGCTGTACGGACACATGCAGTTTAACAAGAATAGTTTGGATCCAATGAAATGATAAAGGTAGTTGAATGAGTCTATTCCACCATGAGCAGGTTTGGGCCGCTGTAATACATAGAGGCCCTGGCCTGGGATTGATATACATGTCGGCCTTTTCGGACTATATTAATACATCCATTAAAACATAATCTCTAGCCGATCTCCCGAACGCCGGCCAAAAGTCTTTTCGCGTGCTGCTACTATACAGCCTATGCATGCTTGACCTTTGCATTGTTTTTATCGATTGCGAAGTTGAAGAGGGTGCCACCAAGTATTGATACTGTGGCTTATGATTTGTCGAAGGCTTCGGCTTTTTGCGCGACAAGAAGACCAACGATGAGGCCAAAGAGACCGAGAACGGAGCTGAAGATTTCGACGACAAGAATCTTGACGAACCTATAGGACATTAGTCTCTGCAGCGAAGGAAAGAGGCTATTAGACTTACAGAGATGGATCAGCAGCATCTGCGAGAGCAGCACCACTGCCGTTGATGCCTACAGAGATGCCACAGATGAGGTTGCAGAGACCGACGGTGATGCCACCCCAGAAGATCGCAAATCCGGTGAAATATGAATTGGCTGAGAAAGTCTGCTCAGCGTTGGCGGAACCGACCTTGGACGAGAAGACGATTGCCATAATGATACCATAGATGGCAACAACCTCGCAGAAAATAATAGAAATCAGGTTCTTCGTTCGAATACGCGGAGCCTTGACACCGCCACCGAGAATGGACGAGCCGGTTATAAAGATGCCCCTAAAGTCGCAGTTAGTAAACCAGTGACGTCTTTGCCAACTATTGAGCAAGTTCTCGTACCAAGCAGCGCCAACGACCGAAAATCCCACGCAAAGAGCGATACCTAGATCGGCCCAAGCAAAGGGGGAGATAGATTCGATGTAAGCACCGACATTGAAAGCTTCACCACTTCCAGTAAAGAGCATATCTGTAAGGACTGTTAGCTTCCACTCTGGCCAGATCGGTTTGCAACGCGGAGGAGCGTACAGAGTGCTACGACGGAGAGAATCGACGCAGCGCCGCCCAGGCCGTATGTGAGAACCATGATCGCCGTAGTCTAAGTGTCGGTCGACGGCACGGAAGTTTCGCTGAGTTTTGGGTTTGAAGCCTAGGAGCTATACGTAGCTGTCTGTATCAAGCGCGCCCACTAGAGGGAGTGTTGCGTCGACGTCACATGATGCGCTGTCCCATACAAATTCTTAGGTAAGCAGTTCTGGAGGGTTATCCAGCATCGCCTAGTCTGCCTAAACTTGGCCACTCCAACCCAGTGGCGACGAGTCGATTGAAGCCAACGGGAGAATAAAAACGGGATCAAAGGGTGTAAATTCGTTCAAAATGGCAAACGCGAATCAGTCCTTCTACGAGCTGTACAGAAATAGCAGGTAATGCGCTGGCGCGGCCCCGTTCCATGTACCTTGGACTGACAAATGCAGCATCGGCTTGGCTCTGACAGACACTCTCGATGACCTCATCAGCGATTCTCGCATCAACCCGCAGCTGGCGATGAAGATTTTGAGTAATTTTGATCAGGCCATCACTGAGGCGCTGCAGAAGAACGTGCGAAGCCGACTGCAGTTCAAGGTAACTAGATGCCGGTACCCCAGGTTTGGCATGTGGCCCGCTCGCTAACCGCTCTGATTCTGGCAAACAGGGAAGTCTCGACACCTACCGCCTCTGCGACGAAGTCTGGACATTCTTAATTAAAAACGTCACATTTAAGCTCGACGGCGGTCAAACTGTACAGGCTGATAAGGTCAAGATTGTCAGTTGCAATGCCAAGCGACCGGGCGAAGCCCCTTGAACGAAGACTAGAGAATTCGACATGACCGACATGGGTTGTCTACACAGACATCCTGCGGTCCCTACACGGGCAACACTAAAGATTTGCTCTTTATGCATTGGATGGCGTTATTGGAATTTTGTTTTTATAAATCTGGCTAGGAAATACCCAGAATGAGAGCCAGAAGGTTGTCCCCAGGCTTGGGGCACCAACGGAGGAGAGACGGCACACACACAGTCGTGGGACTTATAACGAAATGAAGATAAAATAATGCATGATATTAAAAAAGATATTTTGTAAATCTCTTTTGGAAGTGAATTATGTAGATTTTTGTACACTGCGGTTGCTCATCTCCCAAACAATATGCCAATGGCTCGTAGGCGCTGTAGGCCTGCCGCAAATGGTAATGTTGCGCTACCAGTGTACCACGCCAAGCTGCCCACCTCATCAACACTCTGAGCCCTCCTATTTAACTTTAAAGCTTTGAACATCATTGCCATGGCGCCACGCCGACGAAAAGTAGCACAAGATACGCCAGCAGATATTAAGGATTCCAGCTCAGCCGAATCCAAAGTCAGCATGGCAGCCTCGGACCACCAAGACGCGCCTAACTCAGGAGGTTGGAGCACGCAGGCACAGTGGCTCTTCTTTGCAATTGCAAGCGGAATATGCGCTGCCTGCAATGGCGCTTTTGCTAAACTGTATGTAATAGCTTCCATTGATAACGATGGGGTACAGGATGCATAATCCAAGCTGTGCAGTCCTGTTCTGTACCCGGCACAAGGGCAACGCGTCAAAGCATTAGACTAACAGACCACCTCAACAGCACTACGACACAGCTTACAAGCACACTATCCAAATCAATAGCGTCTTTTCTCAATTTATCTGAGTATGAGCTCTATGTCGAATATCTAGTTCGAGCAGTAAGTAGTATTCTTAAACCTGTGAGTTACACTACTAACCCTGGCCTGTCGCATAGGGCTTCTTTACTCTAAACCTCGTCTTCAACGGTGTGGTAAGTATTATACTTTTGCGATGCTATGCGCTTACTAACGTTTGTTTGAAAAGATGTGGACACTCTTTACAACCGCTCTCGCACGAGGTACCTCCGCCACCCAGGTTTCCATCATCAATACATCAACCAACTTTATCATTACCGCCATGCTGGGAATGCTCATCTTTTCGGAAAAGTTACCTTCTCTGTGGTGGGCTGGTGCGTCGTTACTTATTGTTGGCAACGTAATTGCCGGCCGAAAGAATGATGGTGAAGAAGCCCCCGCGAATGAAGCTTCATATGGCACTATTCCTACAGATGATGTTGACGCCGATGCCGATGGTGGTGATGCCGAAGAGGAAGATGAGGACTTGGTTGATCTTAGCAATGAGGCTGAGCTTTAATGTAGTCATCATAATTAAACTGCCAACAAGACCTGCCTAATATACAAAAATTTGATTAGCACAAGCATACATGAATATTAACACATCTATTCGCGGCGGGTGTCCAACTCCAGTCCTTCATCACCAACATCCTCATCTCCGTCCATAATATTTGCGTTCCTCGCACGGAAACTATCATTTTCAAACTGACTACTAAGACGAATTCGGCCTCCCGATGCAGTCATGACTTGGTCTGACACCCAGAAGCCTGCTCTCCGGAAGATAGACCATAATTGCTCCTGGCTGTCGACAACACGTTGATTCTCTCTTGGAGTGTCGGTCTTTTCTACTTTGAACTGATAACGTAGGCAGTCTTTGACTGTTACGAGACCAGTCAGTTTACCGTGGTATTCAATGAGAATAACGCGAGGGCCAATCTTTCTGAAGAGTTCCATGACTGTCTCCAACGGTAGGCGGGGATGGGCAGTCACTGGAGTTGCGTCAATATATCGGCTAAAGTCGAGAAGGGTGGAGGACGATGAATCAACACTGATTGTTACAGTTGGTGTGATAGGCGTGACGGAGTTGGCTGTAGGTGGTGGTGCGAAGACGCATTTCGCTGCCGGACTGATGGCACGCTCTCTGCGCACACGCTCAATGGCATATTTCAGCTCCGTTCGCCCAATATATCCAACGAGTGTCTTTGTCTGAACATCGGTAACAATGGGAAATCCCTGGTAATTGTCTTCGTCAAGCAGTTCCTCGACTTCTTGTAGCGTCAACCCATTAATTGGCAGAGAGACGATGGAAGTTCTCATAACCTGCGATACGGGCACGCCAAAATTATGCTCCTCTTTGTTGTCAAGAAATGGAAAGCCGTTAAACCAAATCATACGGTCGGCAATACCGCCTTTGCCAAATAGCTCGCCGACAGCCTTGGTGACTCCAACGACAATCATGGTAGGAAGAATATAGGTCAAAGCACCAGTAAGTTCAAACATAATCACCACAACCGAGACGGTAATATGCATGATACCACTAAGAGCTGCCGCGGCACCCAAAAAAGCATATGTACCTGGCGTGATGCATGGCTCATCAGGTTTGCAGGCCGCAAAGAAGAAGCTAGTCGGGTTTGCTTCGTGAATAGCCTGGACGATGATGCCAACCGAGCGACCCAATGATGCGCCGATGGCCATGGAAGGAACAAAGATACCTGCAGGAACCTTGCAGCCGTACGAAATGATGACGAGAAACATTCTCAGGACAGTGGCAATGAGCAGCGAAACGATGTTGCTGAAGCGTTTATCCGCTTCACAGAGTCCCTGATAGTCTTCTGCTCCTTCGCATTCCAAGAAAAGAATCTCCATGCTTTCTGTCATGTCAATTCTCAAAAACACGTTTGGGTAGCATAGTACAGCAGTGCCCGCAGCCAAAAGCGTCGCCTCGAGGATTGCATATTGGCTGAGATACTTCTTTCGGAACGCCTGGGCGCGAAGATTCCACTTCATCATAAAGGCGCCGTATAATCCTCCGAATATTCCGATGATGATATAGAAGAAGATTTCAAAAAAGTGCCAGTCTCGGTCATATCTGACCTGGAACATGACAAGTTGTTCCGTACGGAAAGGGTTCATAGCAGCGAGCACAGCTGTGGCGACGAGCGCACAGAAGTAGCTTCGCCACATGGTTTTGAGAGGGAAGTGACTCGAAATTTCTTCTAGCGAGAACAAAACGCCTCCAATAGGGCTACCAAAGGCGACGGCAACGCCAGCAGCGGCACAAGCGCTCAGAATCTCACGCGTCTTGGATGCATTGTTTCTGTACTTGGCAAAGAGTCGTGAAATGACATTGCCAGTGCAAACAGCGTAATGAACACTAGGTCCTTCTTTTCCGACAGACAGTCCAGAAGCAATGGCCAGGGGCAAGCAGACGGACTTGATGACGAGGGTCCAGAATCCAAGAAAACCTTTCATGACAAATCCAGCAACAATGCACTTGATTTCAGAGATACCTGAACCAGCAGCGTATGGTGCATATGCTCGTACAAGAATGGCAGCGGTGAATGCAAACATAGTCTATCAGGGTTAGCTCCTCTCCAGCTCAACGCGGGCGAGGTTAGATTAGACCTACCGCAAAAATGATGTACAATACGTAATTCATAAGGCTAAAGCCAGTCCAATGCTCCCAGTCGGGGCAACCTATAAAATTAGTAGCTGATCAAAGACAGACATAACCGCAGAGCAAGCTTACCATTGTCCTCTCCCCAGCAACAGAACTTTTCGTTCAAATAGAATGCTGTTTTGCAGTGGCCCGTCTTGATGTCCGAAAGCCATTCGGTAACGATATTGAGGAACGCCGCATTTATTCCAATGGCAACACCAATGATGGTAACAACAATCCAGCCTTGAGCAGCATCATAGGATTCACGCACTCGGTGTTGCCAAGTAGTCTGTCCGCGGGAGTAGAGCCCAGCCGTTCGCTTTCGTCGTGCCTTTCGTCGTGCTTGTTCGCGCGCAGAATCTTGTACCCAATCTGCGGGAGAAGATCAGTTAGCATATTTAGCTCAGGAAGCTTGTCTGTATGTCAGCCGTACCTATTGTAGTGAAATCCTGGTTGTCGAATTAGCGAATGTCCACCTCCACGGGGTTTAACGACAGTCACTCACCTCATATCTCTTAATTTCTGCGATTTCGTCTCGAATTAGGACATCTGCAACAGGCGCATCAAATATCTCACCGTCCTGCGAGGCATGCGACGCCGCAAAGGACAGCCTGGAGGTTATCGACGAGCGCCGCGTTGGGCCCTGGTTTCGAGGGAAAGCGGCCGGTTGTGTAGTCATTATAAATCGCGTATCATCTTTGTCCTCAGCTGGCAAACTAGAAGGGTCGAAGCTGAGTGCGGCCAATAGATGCGGCGCAGCGATCGGTGCAGATGTGTTGTCGTCGTTTATTGGGAGGCGGCGGGTTGACGTGAGCTTCAGGAGCATTGACGTCGCTGCTGGAGTGGACCACAGCCAGCGTTACGTTGGCGCTCGCCGTCGCACAGCAGAAAAGGTGGACCGCGAACAGTGGGCGCGTGTAGCTAAAGTGGTTTCCCTCAGGCGGGCGACGTCTTTCGCGTACCACGCAACCAACCGCGACTTTAGAATATCAACGACAGTTTGGCACGCGAAAGGATTGGAAAAAAAAATATTACACATTACACAGAACTACTGCTAGATTATATGCGCCTTTTATGTGTCCAGGGTTGCCCTCCAATCCCAACCCCAACTGAACTACAACGAGCCCGCGTCCGAAGCGATCCTCAGCCGTCTCGAGAACTACAACAGCACAATGCCCTATAACACAGCCGCAATCCCTCCCAGAAGGGAGCCCACTGGGCAAACTCAATTGCCTTGTATGTTCTCGCCCATAGCTTGGTATGCGTCCTTTGCTAACCCGCATCTGTCAGTGTCGAGGGTGAAGAAAATCATTAGCCATGATCAGGATATCAACATGTGCTCCAACAATGCCGCGTTTGTAATCACATTAGCCGCAGTAGGATCCACTCAGTCGAGAAAAACAGATGGAACTTTGCTAACAATGTCAAAGGAAATGTTTATCCAGCATCTCGCTACAGAAGCGCACACTCAGGCGAAACTGGACAAGAAGCCGAGACGCAATGTTCAGTACAAAGATGTTGGTAGGTGAAGGACAGTGCCCAAGTTTACATAAAGCGCGTTTGCTAACTTTCATATAGCCAGCGCTGTATCCCATCAAGATAACCTCGAGTTCCTCGAAGACATTGTTCCCAAGACCGTACCCTTCAAGAAGATCAAGGCCAGCGCCTTTGCAACACAAGCCAAGCTTCGCGGTGACAAGATGACTTCTGAAGACGGCCTGCAAGCAACGCTGGACGCATCTACTACAAATGGCACAGCCGCACCGGCAGCTACCAACGGTGAAGGAAGCACATTTAGCGTACCGCTCCGCAACGACGACCGCCCGGACGACCCGAATGAACAGCTCGAACTGGAGATGCGGCAGGCAGCTCATACGCAGGATGACGACGTGGAAATGAGAGGCTAGAGTCTACATCTCCTGGTCCATGGTTTGTGACGGCACGAACGAATGTATCAGCAATAGCATAAATAATAAAGTATTTGTCAAGTTCATCATAATATAAAATTCGACCAACTCCGTAAATCTCGAGCCCGAACGAGATGATTTTTTCCCCAGCCAATCGTGATATACTGAAGCGCGTAAAAATAACGGCAACGAGGACCAAGCACAAAAGTTATTCCTCCATGGCATCGCCCTGGATGCCGGACGGGATACGTCCCTCATTCAGCTCCTTCTCCAGAGCTATAATCTCCTGCAGACTAGTAGCCTTCTTTATTCTTTCTTGTAGGCGCTTCTTCTCTTCGTCTGTCAACTTGATTCTCGAAAGGCGTGACCTCGACTCGGCGCCACCGTTTGTAGTAGGTTCGAAGTTGGTGGTTCGACTTTGCATAATCTCTGTCGCAAGTGCTGTGGGTTCCTCTGCGGTGCCGAAAAGCTCACGGCCTCTCTCCCTCTCCGCTTCCTTGACTTTCTGATAGTCAAGGAAGCGCACAGACGGGCATTTCCATACAACCCAGTAGCGGTAGTGCTGATTCACAGGTTAGCCGCTGGCAGCTTCAGCTACATACTTTATTAGCCACCGAGGAATGACGTACCTCTTTCTTTGTTACAGGGTTTTCGGCCAACACCAGGTGTGTCAGGCGGGGAAATCGGGCCAACACATCGAGGTCTGCTAGTTCGGCAATGTTGTTTGCCGTCAGGACGAGGTTGGTCAGGTTTGGGATCGACTTGGCAAGCGATGCTTGAATGCTTGCCACGCGGTTGCGCGCTAGCAACACGGTTGTAATTCGAGGGGAGAGGGGGAAATTGCCGAGTACCTGGATATCATTATCGGTAAAGTCGATGGCATCGTGTGGCTGCAGCAGGACAGGCGCGTTAGCAGGGACGGGAGAGGGACGGGAGCTGAAGAATCAAGCCGCTAGTCGATAGTCCGCTCAAGGGACGGCCCTTTCCAAGGAGACTGCATTGATGCAGACGATCGAGGAGCGCGCAAGGGAGGGAGGCAGATGAGTAGGGCGGAGGAGGTGAGACTTACGCCGGCGGCACCCAAGTTTTCGATGGCGGGAATTCGGTGTCCTGTGGATAGGCAAGGCAATTGGATCAACTCTGTGCTTTGCGATCAAGGTTATAGTAGCATCTGCTCTTTTCAAACATACCTCGGAGGTCAAGCTCGCGCTCCTTGAGCGGGTTGAGGTAGGAGAGGGAATCCCGAATGAGGTCGGCGGTGAGCCTCATGTTGGTGGGTGTCTTACAAAATAAATAGTATGTAGGCGATCTGCGAGTATAGTGGTATAATAATACGAGATCATCCACCGTCTAAGGTATCTGTTGAATGCGTGGGCGCGGTTGTGCCTTGGCAGCGTTGATGTCGTGTGAAGAAGTCTCTACGCTGTAACTACTGTGAAGCTCGAACCCAGTTTTTTTTGGACACCAGCGCTTTTGGAGGGGGACGCTTCGGGTAGCCAAATGCCCTGATCTGCAGGACAACAACAGAACACTGCCACTATTAACTTGGTAATTTAAAAATATGGAATAAATTCAGCATTTAGTCTGTTTCTCTCCAAAACGCCCCTATTTCATTATATTGGCCAGGGTGGACAGTGCATCCGCGCAAGGGAACAGTGTTCGCCATCACGTGATATCTAGATGTCGCAGAGCGCCTCCATTGAACAAACCAAACTTACATGTTTGCTTTTTCCCGCCGCCCTTGCACTAGGCGACAACGGGTTCTCCCCTGAGATACCGCACGTTTTCTTTTGACACCCTGATTCATCTTGCTTCTTTGTCATGCGAACTGGACCTGGACGGTCCGGCCTGTCGCCGAACCACAATAGCCTGAGACCTTGCCGCTTCTTTGGGAGTTAGTTCATTCGAATCAACCCTTTGCGCGCTCCACAGACAGTACTATGTCATATTCATCCCTCGACTATCACATTAATGACGGCCCTTGATGCTCTTAGCGCCGCGTGAGATCCTCTGAAGTCTGTTACTGGACCCAAATCCTGGGGCTCTAGTGGTAATTGGATCTGCCCATGTTACAGTTCGCGACAAATTGCAATGTCTCGATATCCCTTGTGGTAACCACCAGCTACCAGCTTCAACAAGCGAGAATATGGATCGTGCATAGTCTGTAAAAGTTGTATAAGTACGGCTGTAGTTTCTGCCTTCGATGCTCAGTTCTTTTCCTCATCAACCAACAGCTCAACAGTTCAATCCTCACTTCTCTTCCACACTCTCCTTAACAAACTTCTTTAATCGTTTTTAACTTTTAAACACCACCTTTCCAACCTTCAAAATGCAGTTCATCTCTGTCGTCGCTCTCTTCGCCGCTGCCGCCATGGCTTCTCCCACCCCTCGCACTACCCAAGCCGGTACTTGCAACGTTGCTGGTGTCCTCTATGGTCAGGCTCAGTGCTGTGCCACCAACGTTCTCAACGTTGCTGCTCTTGACTGCAAGAACCGTAAGTGTTTTGTCATCTTTTCCATTCTATTAGCAGTGTCTTCTAACACGATATTCACAGCCACCGAGGGCGACAGCCACTATTTCACTTGCGGCAGCGAGAAGCCCTCTTGCTGCAGCATCCCCGTTGTAAGTCATGGCTCTAATCTTGGCTCTGAATTCCTTGACACTAACACATTATCCTACTACAGGCCGGCCAGGGTCTTCTCTGCAAGGATGCCATCCTCCTCTAAGAAGCTCGCCCGTAGACGGTTGCTGCTCGCAGCACCGAACAGCAGTAGGATGCCAACTTTGGCATCTTAACACTTCGGAGGATTATATTGGACTTTCAACTTCAACTGTGTACAATTCACACAATCTAGTTCATAGATTACTTCAATACCTAATAAACTAATGTTGTATACAACTAGCTGGGTTTTTTCATCCTACTTATTACTCAAGACTTGTGCGCTCTTTTTCTTCCACATTATAGGTTGCCCTATCTTATAGGGTCTAATACAAGCTTCAGCCACGTCTTCTCATACAATTAGCGACCCCATTCTTCCGTTCAAAACACAATTTAAATCATATAAACTGCCCCCACGCGGATATCAGCTTCCGATGGGCCGGCCAGAAGCATAATACCGCTCGCCGTGCCATGACGTCTTCATGGTGGGGGACAACATCACGTCTTCTTCGAACCATCCCACGCCCTACAAGGTGCCCACCACACCAGGAAGTCTTCCGCGGAGCCTACTTTTGGGTCTCCAGCAAGGCGCCCATCTCCGCACCGGGGACACTCGCCCCAAGTTGGCTCGCCCGGGGATCACGGAAGCCAACCCGATTAGCGGCCTGTCGGCGGTGAAGTGCGCCCAGGGCCGCAATTACGCCAAAAACAAGTTGGGGGTAAAATCCGCTGACTCTGCAGAAATCGCAACAGCGCTCTTCATATTGCCGGGCATTATTTAGCTCGTCGCTTAAATCCTGCAGCCCAAGATCAAATTCAACTAGTCCAGCTACCAATCCCGGCTATTCGGTCCGACGTTGCGGGTACTCAACCCAACTCACTGTGACCCCCCCGTAAACCAACCTTAAATCTGCCGTCTTGGCCGCTCCCCCTTCTCATCTTCAGTGGCGACCATTGCGCATTCAATCCTTCAGATTCTACTTCTGTACGCACCTTTGGGTTATTTTGATACTATGAAATCTTTACTATGGAGCGCAGGCTTGTGTAGCCTCGCGACGGCAGTGCTGGCTGCCAATGAGGCGACATCACCTCCAGTATACCCTACGCGTAAGTTGGCCATGGGAACCAATCTGAGCAAAAATACTGACTTTATATTCCTGTATAGCTGAAGGCAAGGGTCAAGGACCTTGGGCAGAAGCGTATCAAAACGCAAAGGCCCTCGTCTCACAGATGACGCTGGATGAAAAGGTCAACATCACCAGAGGCTTCAAGGGTGACAACATTTGCGCGGGCAACACCGGCTCTGTTCCTCGCCTTGGCTGGCCCGGCATGTGTGTCCATGATGCTGGAAATGGTGTCAGAGCTGCTGAGCTCGTCAACTCATACCCATCTGCCAACCATGTCGGAGCTAGTTGGGATAAGAACCTCACTCACCAGCGCGGGTACTACATGGGCAAGGAATTCAAAGCAAAGGGCAGTGAGTAGCTCTATTATTTCTTGCATTAAATGGCCAGGTTTTACTGACATTTATTACCTAGTTAACGTTATGCTGGGCCCAAATGCTGGGCCGCTGGGTCGTTCACCTCTTGCAGGACGAAACTGGGAAGGCTTCTCCGTTGACCCGTATCTATCTGGCCAACTCAATGCCGAAACAATTATTGGCTGCCAGGAAGGCGGTACTATTGCAAACCTCAAGGTTAGTGATAGATGCATTTCTTTTTATATCGTCTTACTTTATGGGACTCACTCGCATATAGCACTTCATCGCCAACGAGCAAGAATTGTACCGCCGCCCCTACTTTGGCGTTGAAGCTGCATCATCCAACGTGGACGACAAAACCCTGCATGAGTATTATCTCTGGCCTTTCATGGATGGTATCAAGGCAGGTGTTGGATCTGTCATGTGCTCCTACAACCGCATCAACAACACCTACGGCTGTGAAAACAGTAAGCTCATGAATGGTATTCTTAAGGGCGAACTTGGCTTCGACGGCTTCGTCATGCTTGATTGGAACGCGCAACACAACCTCAACAGCGCCAATGCCGGCCTCGACATGCTTATGCCCATGGGAGGAGCTTGGGGTCAAAACTTGACCGACAGTGTGAAAAACGGCACGGTAAAAGAGTCCAGAGTCACTGACATGGCAACAAGGTATGCTACCATTCATAAACTCATCGACGTAGCTGTTGTGCTGACTTGACATTTAGAATCATTGCGTCTTGGTACCTCGCAGGTCAAGATGGGGACAAGTTTCCCACTCCTGGATTTGGCATGAGAAACTTCTCGGTTCCTCACGAGGCCATTGACGCGCGTGTTCCTGAATCCAAGCCTATCATCATGGAGGGTGCCATTGCTGGTCATGTCCTTGTCAAAAACACCAACAACACCCTTCCTTTCAAGGGCAAGCAAAAGATTTTGTCCGTTTACGGATATGATGCCTCTATCCCACAAACCAAAAACATTGACACACTGTTCCAATTGGGCTATGAATCATACCCTGAGCTTGCTCTCGCTGCTCTTGGCACTGAACAACACTGGGACCAAGCCGCCCGCGGAGGCACCATCTTTACTGGCGGTCGTGCAGCAGCAAACTCTCCCGGTTATATCATCGACGTAAGTTACGAATGGTATACGACGCTCAAGTATACACTAGCTAACATGTCTTCTAAAGCCTCTGAGCGCCATTCAGCACAGAGCTGCTATTGACGACACATGGATCAACTGGGATCTCAAGTCTTCGAACCCCGACGTAAACGGCGCCACCAACGCATGTCTCGTCTTCATCAATGCCATGGCTACAGAAGGATGGGATAGAGAGGGTCTTCACGATGATGAAAGCGATGCTTTGGTGCTCAATGTCGCCCGCAAATGCCCAAACACTATCATCGTCATTCACGCAGCTGGTATCCGCCTTGTGGATCAGTGGATCGAGAACCCCAACATCACCGCAGTTGTCATTGCTCACTTGCCTGGTCAAGACAGTGGTACTGCCCTGGTGAAGCTTCTGTACGGCGAGGCCGCATTCTCTGGCAAGCTTCCATACACCATTGCCAAGAACGAATCCGACTACAGCGTGTACAAGCCCTGCGGATTGGCGCACCTTGGCGACACTAACCCCCAGTGCGACTACAAGGAGGGCGTGTATCTGGACTACCGTGCCTTTGATGCCAAGAACATCACCCCCCGCTACGAATTTGGATACGGTCTGAGTTATACTACCTTTACATATGACTCTATTAGTGTCTCCACACACGGACCAATGCAGCCATGTTCACACATTGGAGATGAGGTGTGGGAGAAGATTGCCACTGTGGAGGTTGAGGTTACAAACAATGGCAAGGTTTCTGGTGCTGAAGTTGCTCAGCTCTATCTTGGTATTCCTAACAGCCCTCCCAAGCAACTGCGAGGATTCGAGAAGCTGCGATTGGAGCCCGGCCAGACCGGCAAAGCTACGTTTGAGCTAACCAAGCGTGATCTTAGCATTTGGGACGTCGTCTCTCAGAAGTGGACGATTCAGTCTGGTGCGCACAAGATCTACGTTGGCGCCAGCAGCCGTGACATTCGACTGCATGGCAACCTTCAGTTTAGTTGACTCGGTTACGGGATGAATGCGGACGACGAATCCGTGGATGAGCTGTAGAGAATTCCCTGATTTCCATGGAAATATGACTTCAACTACTACGTAAATACATAAATAGACACAAAATAATACCACATAGTGTGCGATGCATTGTCACTATTTCTCAGGATCCACAGCCATACCTTGGCGCAAAATCTCAATCTGCTTCTGAATCTCAACCCAAAGGACATTGTCGTCGAGACTATCGTTGTCTTCCGATTTTCCAATGACCCCAATCCAGTCGTCTTTCAGCTCGACTGTCAAAACGCCCATCTTCTGGGTCATCTCATCAGTGCCAGTCGAGGCTCGTGCAATAGCAAGCAGAGCAGCTACAAAAGCTTCTTGCATGTACGCAAAGCTGAAGCGGTCCGTAATATTGGCGATTGCTTCACAGAGGTTGTCGGGGAAGTCAATGTCTTTGTTGCCCGCCAGCTTCTTCTGCCAGAACTCGCAATAGGCTACTCGTTCTTTGTAGTTGGGGTCTGGGAAAAAGTACTTTCGGTCAAACCTAGAGGGACGTTGCTTCTGTTTGTTAGTTATACGCCACATTGGAAGATCAACTATTGTAGCGAGCGTGCCACGGAAAATAGGTCGTGAGACTTACACTGATACCGGGGTCGAGGCGATCAAGGTGGTTAGTGCTGCCAATCATAAAGATGCCGTCATTCGACTTGAGTCCGTCAACTTCGTTCAAGAAGTAGCTGCGAACTTCGTCGGATACGATAGTATCAAGATCTTCAAACACAAGATAACAAGGCGCAAATCTTCTTGCCTGCTGGAAAATCTGCTTGACAGAGTCTTCTGGCCCGTAGAACTATAGGTGTGGTGTTAGTGGTAGCCAGCCCCATAGCAAGCCATGCGAACTAACATACCGATCTCAAGCTTCTCACATATAGTGTTGGGATTTCTGTACTCTCTTCATAAAGCATATGCATCATGGCCTTTATAGATATAGTCTTGCCATTACCAGGAGGCCCGTGGTAGATGATGCCTCGCTTCCAAGGGACCTTTAGCCGCTTGTAGGTTGCTTCAGATCGGAAAAACGAAAGATGATCTTCTATCAGCGCCTTCTTCATTTCCTTGTCTAAAATCACAGCGTCCCAACTAGCTTTCATGACGCTCTGGAAGAGCTCTTTGCTCGTCATCCATCGGCCGCCTTCGAAAATGAGGATTTCGCCGTGTAGTTGCGAGTTCCACTGTCCCACGGCTCGGATGAGAGCATTCGCATCTGATTCCCGAGCCGACAGAATAAAGAACTTGGCCGTTACATTATACGGCTCTTGGAATACGTCGGCAACGTACACTATGAAATCGTACTTCTCCCAAGTGTACCGAAACTTTGCAAACTGGTAGCTGACGGCTAGGATGCCAGATCCTCCGTCCAGTCTGCGCGGTGAAGGAAGGTACATCTTTTCTTGGAGGGATTTTGGCAAATCAGGGGCTTCATCCTGAATTTGAATCATTGATGCCTTTCCAGCGGCAGCGAAGCCAGTCAGGTTGGCAGTGTAGGTATTGACGACAGATAACGATAGCTGCGGATACTGGTTCTGCAAGACTTTTGTCAACGCCGTTGTAGTATCAGTTCTATGGCCATCATTTCTGTTGAAGAATTCGGTGGTAGCATTGTGAGCAGACTGTTGCGAGAACTGGTCTCCCCCATAGGTAGGTGAGGTCGAAGACATGTTGAACACGGCAACTTAGATGGTCAGGAAAGAGTTTCTGCACAGTGTAGGGGAATGATATTTCAGCTGATCGGTATTTTTGTTCCGAGAAATGCTGCTATTATACTCTTGTAATGAATAAAACTAAAACAGCTTGACAGTTCAAAGTAAGGCTCTGTAGATGACGAGGCCTCGAGCCAAGTGACGCGGGGAAGCACCAGGCTGTGTCGTCACTGTTGTTAACTGTTAGTGGCTCCCGCTTAAATGGCGCCTGCTGTTAACAAGAGCTATCACTTTCGCCGATCGCCATCTCCCGTCAAGGTAGAATCGTGATAGCTCCTTATTTCAATGGATAGCTAAACTAATTTTATGAAATCACCCTAAAGACAGTAAAAATCGGTTGTGGCCAATCCGTGGCCGGGACTTTGACTTTTGTTGCTGTCTTAGACGCGTCCGTGTTACCCTATACCTGCTTTCTCAAATATTTTAGGCCAATTCAGGCTTGTTGAAACATGTAATAATCTTATAGTGTTTTATGATGTTACTAAACTTTATTGTAATGATTTTATAAGACTATATCAACACTTTGTAAGCTTTGATGGGCATATGGGACAGTGAGGCTGCAGTTATTGCGGTTGGTCTAAACCAAGACACATATCTTCGACAGCGCAAGAGACGGTCAGACACGGCGCACAGGCTTGTTTTGAACCCTTAAGAGACCTTTACTAAAAAGGAAACGGGGTTAGAAAAGCAACTGTAAACATTTGTTACTATACCCTGATTGTAGTTGCCACGTAGAGAACGACCATCTGAGTCACCAGACTACCACTAGCCCGACCAACAAACCTCAGAGGATCGAAGTTTACAGTGCAGATCTTAGCTACCAGATCCTTTGGGAGTCGGCAAATATGCATTGAAAACAAAGAAGAGGGGCGATTTGACGAAATAAGGGACCTGTTTGTGAGCAAGGGTCGAACTTCGGCTAATGGATATGGTGGAGGAATTCTGAGACTTGTAATCAGCCAGCATTCTTTAGCTTCTTCTCTACTTCACATACAATGTAGTTCGCTTCCCTTGGAGCTTAATATCGTTCTTCTTGTTCGGAACAATTGCAGAATCCGGTAGTGGTTCTTATTTTTAGCGCCAAGCTTCGATTGACCAGCAGACCTGATAACTGAGCATCCTCTGGTTGCGCTGTGGTTGCTATGCGCCCGCCTATGATGCCATCCTTCCATTCTTGGACATGAGCTAGCCGGTGTAAGTGCTGTGTCTCAGTCAGTGCAGCAACTTCAGATGGAGACTAAATCAGAGACGTCTGAGATGGCTTCAGGGTGAGGATGGAGGCGAACTGGACAGACGAAGACCTAGATGTCAATGACATATAGTAAAGGACGTTGAGGAAAGATATTGTCAAGGCTAAAGCCATCTGTTGCACCATTTACGTTTATAGTTAAAGTGTACGGCATGTACTTTTATTATCGCAACATTTGTAGGTAGCAAGATGACAAAACCTGGATTCAGCTGCCATATGCAGCGGTAGTTCCATCGTGACTTGTGGAAGGAACTGAGACACTCGCTAAGCAACGTGCAACGAACTATTGCCAGATATTTGGATAGATAAAAGAGCTGAATCTTAGTTGCTGTGACAAAGCGTCATCACTGATAAATAGACCGACTATCTCCAGACTGACCGCAAAGGCATGTTTTGCTATTCTTTACACCCGACACTTTAATAGGTACTTTCTCAAGAGTTTGCTTCTATCACAGCTCTCTGATAATCCTACTCGTGCGATCTGCAACCAAGGACTGAACAATGAAGGCCAGTCTCGTGTCCGTTGCTGCCGTATTGGCCTGCACCGCCACTGCCGCCCCCATTAACGAACAAGTAAGTATCCAAGTTTAGGATAATTGAAAGTGGCTAACAATTACTCTCTGTTTTATAGAAAGATCAATCCGCTTCCCAGAATGATGGCGTTGGAGGTGGTGTGGATGGCTTGACCAGCATTCTTAGTGGACTTACTGGTGCAACTGGCGGCGTTACAAACACTCTTGGTGGGTTGACTGGTGCACCAGGGCAAGGAGATCCCATCGTCAGCGCTGCTGGCGGCCTTGGAAACCTTGTAGGCACTGCTAGAAGTCTCACAAAGCCCTTTAGTGGTGTTACAGACAGCCTTGGAAGTGCCACTGGTGCGCTGACTGAACTTACCGGAAACCTTGGAACCTCGGAGACCTGACTGGCTCTCTTACTGGTCAACAAGGTCTCATCCCCGCCATCTTGAACCTTCTAGGACTTGGACTCAATGGACCTGTTGAAAGCCTGTTGCGTGGTGGTGCTGCCGTTGGACAGGTAGCCAATAATGTTGGCTCTAACATCCAGAGCGGTGTCCCAAACCCCGGTGGAATCATCCCTCCAATTGGTGACTCTCGCGACGGCGTTCTGGGCTACCCTCCGCCCAGTGGCCGCTACCTTCCTGGCCTGACGTTCCCATGGTTCAACGATTTCCCTGACCTTGTCTTGATGAAGGGACAAGGCTATGACAAGATTGACTTCCAGGGTCTTCTCGAAAACTTAGCTGATGTCCTCAAGAAGGTTCAGACCAATGATGCGATAATCAGTAAGCTCTTCACACAAAATGCTCATAAAATTAAGATTGCTAACATATATACAAACTCTACTCTGACTCAGATGATCAATGGCAAGCTCAACGAAGACGCTGGTATGTCGCAGCTCACTGGTCCATACCAAGACACAATCGTCATGCTTACTGAGCTCGGCAAGAAGATTTTTGCCGCCTCTGGTGTTGATGTTGATCCCGTTGATGTTGACAAGTTCCGCAGCATCATGTCTATTCTTGTTGGTGAGATCATGTTCACCGTCAAGCTCACATCAACCACACTCGGAGTCCGACCTGAACTCAAACAGATCCTCCACTCCGTTGTTGCTTTCCTCAACAACAACTTGATCGGACTCGTCGCTCTTAACGGCGCACTGGGTCCTCCTATCTATGGTGCGATTTCCCCCATTCTGATGAACCTTGGTCAATCTATCGGTAAGCCTCTGCTCGGCGCTTTGGCAGATGCGCTCAAGGGGCTGCCTCACTAAACGGCTGACGACGGACGCGAGCTGTGGATATGGATGGTATAGGTGAATGGATCAAGGATCTTCGTATAAACTTTTATTAGACTTTTCTTTTGTTTCTCGGTAGCTTACTAGACAATTTAGCTCCAAATTATGTAATAATGCTTCTAATCTTAGACAAAATGCTTTTGTAACCACATAAATTCTATCGCCGCGTGCTTGTTGGATTCAGTTCGGCAGCTTCTTGCCGTTGGAGGAATTCGTCCCTGGTCAACTGCCAGAGTTTGCGATCAAACTCTTTACCCTTGTTGAGACCAACATTGGTTTCCTTGTAAGTGAAGCAAAGGCGCTTCGGAATGGCCTCGCTCTTGACATTGCGAACGTCGTGCATGATTTGAACCGTTTCAAAGTTTGCGTCAAAAGCGGCCTTGAGCAGAAGTTTTGTAGCTCTTGTCGCAACACCTTTTCCAGTCGCAGGTTTGGCAAGCCAATAACCTATATCTGAACCGACACCGTGTTCAGCATTCATCAGACTGAATGAACCGCATACTTTGCCATCCAGGACAGCCGCATAGTCGAAGCTTGTTCCGTTTTCCCAGCATGATTCACTGAAGGTCATAAAGCTCTGCGCCGATTGGAGATCGTAATCTTTCGTAGCCCAGGTCATCCATTCAATCAATTCGTCCAGATTGGTGCGCGCAGCTTCGTAGCTGGCCTCGCCGTCTGCTAATCGCCAGCGGCGAAGTGTAAGGTTGCCGTCGGTGAGCTCTTCCGGTGGCGCGTTGTACTTCCGGCGCAAGCTGTTGGCCGGCAGCTCTTGGTCTTTGTCATTCGCCATTGTATGCTTGTATAAATTCGGAGGAAATGAGCATGACTTCAAAGTAAGACTTGCTGTGTGTATTTATAGAGACGAGGCTCTGACTCACGGCCGTCGAGCCTTGCCAATCGACCCCCACATCTCGGGTCAGCTTTAGACGCTGACTGTTGTAATGTCACCGAGTCACAACTTGTCGAGTAATAAATTTTGGCGTAACTAATAGTACACACAATGGTCAACGTTATATTTGTTTTTTTATCATAAATAATGAGACTTGGTGCGCGTTATGCTATATTATTTTCAGGATGGGCGCAGGTCTTTGAAGCTTCTCGTGATGTTGGTAATGGCTGTTTCGACGGGCAATCTTTCCATTGAGCTTGCACCGTAGAAGCCATGGATACCAGAGGTGCGACTCAGAACGTATTGCGCATCATCTGGAGCCGCAATCGGCCCTCCATGACACAAAACGATGACATCTGGGTTGATGGCAACAGCAGCGTCACGGATCTCCTGTATGAGAGTGACACATTCATCTAGTGTTTTACCGCTTGATGCGCCGATAGAGCCGCTGGTAGTAAGTCCCATGTGAGCGACAAGAACATCTGCGCCGGCTGTAGTCATCTTCTTGCTTTCTTCGACGTTGAACACATAAGGAGTTGTCAAAAGGTCCATAGAATTGGCCAGGCGAATCATATCGACCTCCATATCATAAGACATGCCAGTTTCTTCCAAGTTGGCACGGAACTGACCATCGATAAGGCCTACAGTGGGGAAATTTTGCACACCTGCAAAACCCAAACCCTTGAGCTGCTGCAGAAAAGCAGGCATGTTTCGGAAAGGATCGGTTCCGCAGACGCCGGCAATGACGGGCGTCTGCTTAACCACTGGAAGGACTTCGCTTGCCTGCATATCATCCAGTTAGTTACCGGATGCATTAATATAATAGCAGAGGATTTTACCATTTCTACAACGACATCATTTGCGTTGCCGTAAGGCATCAGACCGGCCAGAGATCCGCGGCCAGCCATGCGGAATCGGCCGCTGTTGTAGATGATGATGAGATCGCCACCACCAGCTTCAATAAATTTAGCTGATAGTCCAATACCTGCACCTGCACCAACGATTGGAATATTGTTTGAGATCTGGGCTCGCAGGTTGGCGAGAACCTGGGCTCTATCTGCAAGCGGCGCCATTTCGACGGTGGGGATTGGTGAGCTCTTGCAATAGGTGATTGTAGTTGCTATCAAATTGGGCGAAGCTGTCAGCAGATTATACAGAAAGTGAAGTGTTACGGAATTTATGAAACGGATTCGTCTTGATAATAGATGATGTAGTTGGGGGATGGATGACTGTGCAAAAAAGGCACCTTGCAGGTTTCTTGAACGTTATGTGACTGCTCCATTGTGGAGCGGGGTGTACTTCTCCTCATTCACGTTTCTTGCACAAAACACCGTCGACTGTCAAGGCATCATTTCATCCTGATTTAGCAGTGATTTGCTATTTTCTTCCAGATCTTGTTTCTGTTACATACAAAACGCTGCGCCTTGCATTCACCGTCAACACACGACCTCCCACCAATCTTTCTCGAATTCCAAACCAAACCATGCCGACAGTTGCTGTTATTGGAACATGCGATACCAAGCTCGCCGAGCTAATTTTTTTGAGAGACCGCATTTTAGAGAATTCATCGGTAAAGACAATCATAGTTGATGTAGGTAGACATCATGTCAAGAATGATGCCATCACCATATCAACCGATGAGCTGGCGACGCTCCACGGAACAAACAACGATTGGCAAGACTTAAGCCGCGGCGAATTTGTCAAGTTTATATCAAAATGCGCTACAGAATATATCAAGAGTTTATACAAGGATGGAAAAATAGACGCCATCGTATCTGCGGGAGGCTCTGGCGGAACTGCCCTGACCTCAACAGTTATGCGAGACGCAGTGCCCATTGGAGTTCCAAAGCTGATAGTTTCCACTATAGCTAGCGGCAATACAGCTGAAATTATTGGGGATTCGGACATCGCCCTTATGTACTCTGTTGTCGACGTCGCCGGTCTGAATCGTTTGCTTCGACAGATCCTCACCAACGCAGGCTCGTCTATAGCTGCAGCTGCGATCTCCTATGCAGCTGCTAACGAACTGTCATCTGAGCATCAAAGCTCTTCGAACAAAAAGCAAGTCGGTATTACAATGTTTGGCGTCACAACACCAGGTGCAGATGCTATTCGCAAGTTTCTGGAATCCAACTATCCTATTGAGGTATATGTTTTTCACGCTACAGGCACAGGAGGCAAGTCTATGGAACGCCTGGTCAGAGAAGGAAAGCTGGATGCTATCATAGACCTAACCACTACTGAAATTTGCGATCATGTTATGGGAGGAGTTATGTCGGCCGGAGAATCTCGACTCTCAGCTGCTTTGCAAGCCGAAATTCCTACGATATTGTCTCTTGGCGCCACAGATATGGCAAATTTTAGGGCCAAAGATTCGGTACCTGCCAAGTATGGGGACAGAAAACTACATGAACACAATCCTCTTGTGACACTAGTACGAACATCTGTCGACGACTGCAAAGAGATTGGGAGATTTATAGTTTCGAAGCTCCAACAAGCAACAAAGCCAGAGCTGATCGAAGTTTGGATTCCTCATGGTGGAGTGAGCATGATATCCACGGCAGGTGGTCCCTTTGAGGACAGAGATGCCGACAATGCTCTTTTCAAGACGATTAAAGATGGCCTGGTGGGAAGTAGTATCGCCGTTATCGACGACAAACGGGACATCAATGATAGTGGTTTCGCAACTGATATCGCCCGAGCTTTGGTGAAGAAGTTGAACCTTGGTTGAATATTTGGCGATACCTTCTATTGTATCCTATGATACGCTCTTTGGTCGCGCCATATCTAGAAATTCTTTTCCTGAAACGGATGACGATAACCCAGCAGCCTAGCGGTACGTTCAAGAAACTCTTCACTTCCCAGACCCGAAACGTAATATATGTTCTCCCCTGTTATCAAAATTGCAGGAGTCCTGTATGAAAATTCTGTTAAGGCTCCAGTTCTTGTCGATATAAGGTAATTATTACGCTATCCGATAGCCTCGGCAGCAGTTGACCAACTAAAACGGTCTGGGGCTTGCGCCATGTAGAGGCTTTCTAGAACCCAACAAGGAAGTCTAACGCACGACAAACACCAAAAGGGCCAATATGGGTTGGTGCCACTGTTGCAGGCGGAGCAAACGGGTATCCAAAGTACTCGCACTGTTAGCCCCATCTCCAATTTAGGGGGCAGATGGCGAAAGGGGAAATGCCAGTTGAAAATCAGCGCGACTGGATGAAAGCGACGAGTCGTGCAATCCGTGGGCCAGTGTTCCCCATGATCTACCTTCATCCGCCCAAGTCCATTGAGGATGATAAGCGGTTGCCGATAAAGGACCATTTTTTCGGGGGAAGTTGGCTCAGTCCGCCTAGAGGGAGCACAGACATTCACCGGCTATCTAACGATCCGTTGAGCGCATGAACACCTTCGTTTCCATTTGAAGAGGCGAACTAATTGGGTTGAAACCCGGCTGTTCCAATATCACAGCACTTGGCGCCTACTAAAGAACGCTCAAACTGCATGTGCGGTCGACATTCCAAACAGAGCAAGAGGACAGCGCAGCGCCGAATACTGCCTACCGCCACCACGGGCTTGAGGAACAGTCCAAAGGACCAACCCCGCTGAAGACGAAAGGGCTGCAAGCTAATTTGCAAGTGCCTGCGTGCGGCACGCTAAGCTAGTGGCGTTCTCCTCGGAACTTTGCTACTTGGGGAGCTGCGCCATGACTTGCAGGGGAAGACAACGCCACCAACAAGAGGCCCGCTATCGGTGTAAGTTGCCAACAGGACGCCTCTTGAGCCCAGGCTGTGCGTAGACTTGGTTGACGCCAAGGCGCTGGTCATCATATACTTTTCTATGTCAGTGCTTCCTGAGCGCCATATGGCGCCGCCTCTTGCAGAATATTGTATCTTCTCACCGTGACAGGCTTGCTCCAACGTCTGCTTCAATCTCTTCCCATTCAACGGGACACCACGCTCTCTATTAACTCCCTATCTTTCTTTCGTCGCATATTCGCCATCTAATCCTCGCTTTTACAACAACACTTTGATAACCTCACTCGTTTCCTTTCAATAACCACCGTGTCAATGACGGATCATTGAACTTTTTCAACAATGTCTTTATACTCTTCACCTCCATCGGCAGTGCCGTTTAGCGAAGCTAAGCCAACATTGCTAGTAAGCTGGTGGATTACTATTTTCTGTACCTGTTTAATCCTATTACGACTCGCTGGGCGCTACATCCGTGTTGAGAAGCTGTTCCTCGAAGACCAGATCGCCGCACTCGCCCTCGTCCCTTTATATGTACGCATGGCTTGTGTTCATATTGTTTTGGTCTTTGGAACAAATAACGCACGATTGGACGGTCTTGATCCTCAATCAGATGAAGCGCAACATCGTATTCTTGGTAGCCGCATGGTACTGGCATCAAGAATCTTCTACGCCGGAACGTGAGTATTGCAACCCCGAACAACTGTTCCCTGTGATCTAACAATTTGCTCTATAGTTTATGGACTTTGAAATTCACAACGCTCGAATTCCTCAATCGATTAGCTGGCGCATCGATGAAGAAAGTCTACCTGCGACAGATCTTCTTCCTCCGCTACGCTCTCGTCGCGTCATTTATTGCCGTCATCATTAGCGACTTGGCCGAATGCCAGCCCATCGGGAAGCTATGGCAAGTTTTGCCAGATCCCGGACCTCAGTGCAGGCAGGGATTTGCTCAGTTGCTCACCATGGGAATTTCCAGCGCCATTATCGATGTCATCCTTATTGCGTTTCCGGTTCCCATCGTGTTATCTACCAGAATACCTACCAAACGCAAGTTTTTGCTCGTCTTACTTTTTTTCTTTGGCTTTGTCACGGTTGCTATTACGGTATATCGTATACCAAACATAATTCAGCGCCAAGGAGACCAAGTATATCGATCTATGTGGGCATCGATCGAGCTGTTCGCGGCCACTATTGTCGCAAACCTGGTGGCACTCGGCTCGTTTCTCAGAGATAGCGGAGCGAAGAAACAGAAATTCCGCCATGACTATGGTAGCAGCGGAAATACTTCATCCCATAGGCATGGGCCTATTCTAACGGGGGAGTGGGATGATAGCAAGGGAAACGGCAAGAGCCAATACAGCGACTGGAATGATCGCACCGTGGCTTCAGAGCTGCTTGCTTCAAAAGACGTGGAGAGCAACTCACACAGCTCATCACCCGGTGCAGATAGAGGCCACAGCCCGACAGAAAGTCAGCACTCTCTCCTGCATCGTCATTCGATCAACACAACTGCTACGCAAGGGCAAACCCCTGGCGATGGGGATGGGGCACACCAGAGCCTTACGACTCCGGGCCGCGTGTTAGTGGCAGGCCGGTCTGGCCTCCACCGCCGATGATGAGGCATGCGTCCTGAATAATGGTCGTCTTCTCCATCTTTAATAACAAACGAATAGATACATAATGAGACAGAATCGTAACTTCTACAGATATTTACCAGTCGTGACAAAGGATCATGAGCAAATGGTCTCGCGCTCAGCAGACGAGCTAATCCAGTACTCAAGAAAGAAGCGCTCAGCCACGCGAACTAGGCTACAGACCAGTGTATCCAGGACCAATCAATCCCGTTGGTGCAAGGGTTGTTTGGAATGCGCCCTCTAGGCAAGCCTCAATTACTGAAGAGAAATGCCCTCGCTGCGGCGCCATCCCAACAGGGGGTCAAACGACAGCCAGGGATGCTATTCAGGCCCACATGGTGCGATGCAGGGGCTCAGATGCTGACCCTGTGAACCCCATTGTTTTCCAGAGCGCCACTAGGTTTAGCATGGAGAGACTGGTCCGTGGAGAAGACGATAATGAGGGGAACAAGTCACTGGAGCAGAGGCAAGACTTGGGGCTGACTGGAAGAATACACCAACAGATACACAACTGACCCAGAAATGCGTTCACCAAACGTTGCATGTTGGCCATGCAGATTCCAAGACTTATTAACTTCTCAGGCACCCCTTCGACTGCTGGGCCGTCCTGCATGATGTGCAGCACTTTAAGCGACGCGCCGGGCTAGAGAGCAGAGGTCCCAACCTTGTTTCTCGTTGCGCAGCAAGGGGACCTGCAGCACGAGGGAGAAGCAGAATTTCAGCCCTCTTTCTGGGACTTGCATGATAACAGATACGGCAAGAGGGGCTATCCAAGTCTGCTATGTTCTATACAACGCATCAAGATAGATCGGAATACTACTTGACTGACCTGAAACTTTGACGTGCTGGGTTGGAGGCGTTGCGCTATTGAAACGCATTCAGCCTCGGTGCCATGACGAGTGGTGGCATTTACCAAAAGGCTGGGGAAGAGGCAAGGTCAGGTGGCAATCAACAGCTCGATAGGCTTTTGTGCATGCATTTACCGAAACAGCGTCGATGATGCATGGGGTCGAACGATTTTCCGCGTGCGTTGGCGCGGCCCCTTCGTATCGAGAGCAATCACAACACGCCAATTCGTTTGGATGGCGGCAACACGCCCATTATGGACAAAACCGTCTCCGTGATCCCAAACACATGTTGAAGCACCATTGGTTTATGTTTGGCGGGCAGCGTATTAGTGACACGCAAAACGTGCGCATAGTAGTCCATAGTGCCACTACGTATACAACAGAAAGGTTTCTATCTTTTACCGTACAGTCTATCTGAACGAGCTTGGTTGTACATCTTATTTTGCCGGTGAAATCGCTGTTTAGGTCTCAACTGGCTAGAAAACTGGTACGCTGGACAGGGAAGCCCCCGCCAGCTAAACCAAACTTACAGCACCGCCGATCTTGTTGGTTCAGCAAAGAGACAGAAAAAAAGGGGCCGCTCATTTTACTAGCCTGAAAAGTTCCAAGGCTAAGAGAACAAACAAAAGCGATCCAAGCGGCGCGGGTAATGAAAATAGCGAGGAAGCGCCGATGTCGCCAATACCCAAGGCCAGGCGCATCAACTCGAGAAATCAAACACCGGTTGAAAGCTGGGGTCATCCGCGTGGCAACAAGACACTTGGATCAAGTTGTGGGCTTAGCTTCTAGAAGCACAGGCGAAGCTGAGAGAGCCCGTAGTTGCACCAGCCACCACCTGGGAGCTGATAAGCTGGGGCAAAGTTCACAGACGACGGGCACAGCACCAAGTACTTACTACTGTACAATGGGGCTCTCCAGCGCCTCGTCTTCCCAGAATGAACAAGATGTGCTTGGCCTGACTAGCACAGGCCAGGGGGCTCGGGTCCGCGAGGAAGTGGTGTGGAGATTGACGAGGCGTTGAGCCAACATCATCTGGTGGCCCTTGCGCACTGTATTCGGTTTGTGGAGAGAGCCATGCGCCATCCTATGGCGGGAGGTGCCAAGCATCCAGTGTGTCTACTGTACTTTGTAACCCTGGCAAACATCTTGTGAAAGAAGCCTGCCTGATAGTGTTGGAACGCGCTAATGCATCGCCTCACCTCTGCCCCAAATGAACCCCCCGCTGACCATATCTGGCGCTGTGTGAAGCCGTGGCGCCTCGGGACATGCAACCAGTATTACCCAGGCAAGCCTTTTTCTTTTCATCTATGCTGCAAAGGGCAGGTTTGTGGAGAGCAGATTCGCCCAACTCTTTCGATTTAGTGAGCCTCGACCGCGGGCTGTCTGTCCCCTGCCTTCTTCCCATCTGTGTTTCCTCCTTTCATGTGCATTCGTCATAGCCTTGCCTCTTCAACATATAGTTTGCGACAAGCCTTCCATAGAAGTAGACGCACCGGTGTGTCAATGAATCTTGTCCATTCTCAACTCACATTGCGCTCGATTAGGCAGGCCGCCTGAATTGCCATTGTCTATACACCATGGATCCGCGGGAACCTCAAGAGCTTCCGGCTCTCAAAACGGGAATTACATGCACCCGCGACTTTGAGATTGTTGAAATGAACGAGCTCAACCGCGACAAGACTGCAAACCAGTTTACGACGACGACTTCCTACTCTGTATCCGCTGCTCCTCGCCTAACTAGATATGCTCGCCAAAAGGGTATGGGCCAGCGCTGGGTCGACAGCTTTCGACCGGCTCGACGCTCATCAGCATCAAGGTCCCGTGGTTACTACATTACTGAAGGAATGCCTGAGGGCCACCCCGAGAGATTCTACGATTTACCGGCTGCGAATGCGCGAACCGCCAACTCGGCGCTCGTACGCGACCTCAAGGGAAGACATCTCCAGATGATTGCTATTGGTGGTTCTATTGGTTCGTAGCAAGACGCACGTTCAGGTACTGACTTGTTACTAATATGGTCTACATAGGCACTGGATTATTCGTTGCGTCTGGCATGGCTCTATACCAGAGCGGCCCTGCGTCTATGCTTCTCGCCTACGCTGTCACAGGAGCTTTTCAATTCTGTACCATGCAGAGTCTTGCTGAATTGGTTGTTACGTTTCCCGTAGCCGGATCTTTTTCTGCATTTTCCACTCGTTTCTTAGACCCCTCTTGGGGATTTGCTATGGGCTGGAAGTATGTGTACATGCCGTCACCGAATATGGTGCGTAGTTTTGCTAACGTTTTGTACTAGTTATGCACTACAGTGGCTCTTTGCGTTGCCGTTAGAAGTCATTGCCGGTGCTCTTACCGTTCAGTATTGGAACGAGAGTTTGAGCAAGGCAGTTTTCGTCACCATCTTTCTCTTTATCATTGCCTTTATCAACCTCTTCGGCATCAAAGGATACGGAGAAGCGGAGTTTATTTTCTCGACGGTTAAAGTGACTGCTATTGTTGGATTCATGTGAGTGTACACCATTAAAACCTGTTCCTCGATTTGCAAACTAACGATTTCGCACAGCCTCCTTGGCATCGTCATCAATATCGGCGGAACACCGACAGGTGGTTACATTGGTGGCAAGTTTTGGGTAGATCCGGGGCCAACAAACCACGGCTTCAAGGGCTTTTGCAGTGTTCTGGTTACATCTGCCTTCTCCTTTGTCGGCACAGAACTCGTGGGACTCGCCGCGGCCGAGACCGCCAACCCCAGAAAGTCTCTTCCCAGCGCCATCAAACAGGTGTTTTGGCGTATTGCCATCTTCTATGTTGTTGCGCTGCTCTTGGTCAGTCTGCTTGTGCCATACAACGAACCCCGACTGCTTGGAGGCCAAAGTTCTGTCGACGCAACGGCAAGCCCGTTTGTCATTGCTGTGGAGAATATTGGTCATACTATCTTGCCTAGCGTTATGAACGCAGTTATTCTGATTGCAGTCCTGAGTGTTGGAAACTCGTCTGTATTTGGATCCTCACGAACACTGGCTGCACTTGCTGAACAATCACATGCACCAAAGCTCTTCACCTACGTGGATCGCAAGGGTCGTCCGTTGGTTGCCGTTGCATTCGCGTTGCTTCTAGGATTATTGGCTTATCTTGCCGATGTGAAAGTTTACTCGGAGATCTTTGACTGGCTTGTCGCCATCTGCGGTCTGTCCAGTCTGTTTACTTGGGGAAGCATCTGCCTCTGCCACATTCGGTTCCGCAAAGCCTGGAGCGAAGCCGGCTTCCATCTTCAGCAGCTCCCCTTTCAGTCTCAGGTCGGTGTTATTGGGTCATATGTTGGCTTGACTGGCAACATCCTTATCCTCGCATCTCAGTTTTGGATGGCAGTGTCTCCTGTTCAACCTGTGCCTTTGGAAAACACAGCCCCGACGATTACCAAGAACTTCTTCCTGAAGCTCATGGCAGTGCCTATCGTCCTAATCTTTTATATTGGTCATAAACTGTGGTTCAGAACACGGGTGATTCCCATCCGAGGCATGGACATTGATACGGGCCGAAGTTTTGCACGGATGCAGTCAGTCAATGTGGACGACTTGGGCGGCAGAGACAATTGGCCGATTTGGAAGAAGATTTATAGGACGATTTGTTAACAAAGCAGTGAAGAAGATACATTAATTCTGTCATGTTTCATAGTTAGAATAACCAACCCTCTTAGATTAGTTTGACACAAACTCAATGCCACAGCGCAACAATATTACTCACTGCTCTTTATCGGCTCGCGAACAAGAATGTACCTAATATTTTTAGGTCTCTCGTTAGAAGAACTACGTCATGTTCTATAGGCGGAATAGGTGGTCTTAGAAACAAAAGCTCAAAGTCAATATCAAGGTTACAAGGTACTCGAAACCTTTACAAGTTTAGCTCGTTACAGTTAAAATAGAGAGTCCTTCAACTAATAAAACTTAAAAGTCGCAGTTACATCTTTGATGTCCCTAAAAGCAAGGTTAGTAAAAGACTTTAGAGTATATATTTTAAAGTAAAAGTAAAGATAATAGAAAACTTACATCATGATTTTTACAATGTCCTTTACAAACCCGATATCGATACAATAAGCTTTACACTTAGCATGATTGCAAGATTGAGGCGAAGTGATACTTTCCTCTACTGGGCTAGCCATTGCTATTCCAGAAAGGGCAAGAAACATTGAAAGTAGAAACTTCATCGTCGTGGAATGTTTACTCGTAGACAGTCAAGTCGTGTGGAGAGAAATACCGTGGTGAGATAAAAACTGTGAATTAAAGCAGAAGCTAACCGAGATATATATAGTTTTAAATTGAGAAGAAACTGTAGTATAGCAAAATACGTCACAGTAAAACACGGCGTAGCAAGACATAGCAAAGCAAGGTTTCTTCTATTTTCTCTTCGCTACAAATTGCCGCACGCGTGGCAAAGATCGACATAGTCGAGTCGTTCAACCCCCGTTTTGTAGGCTAGCGGTGAATATTCCTTGGATTGGTAACGGGTGCTTGAGGTACTGTCATTATGGCAGTATGTAGAAGATATAACAAAATGAAACAGTAGGTGCTTGAGAGATGTGCGAGAGAAATATAGGCAGCTAGTGGCGAATAGTACGGATGGGTCGAGGTTTCGTAGAATCAAAGTTTCTCAAAGGAAATAATGTTAATAGTTAGCCTAGTTTTTAAGCGTAATGTTAGACTGCATTCCTTATGACGTGTAGATTACGATGGGCATAGGCTTTCACACATAATCCAAATTGTGTTCACATCATTGTATGTTGATTCCTCTTACTAGTGTAATTGTTTTGAGATACACATGCGATTTAAATAAACTCCTGAAGCGCCTATATACTACATTACTGAAACACAAACACAACACCAGATCTATCTACCGAGACGCTCATTGTATAAGGCGACTCCAACAACACCACGTCCAAGATCGAGTCCAGATGCGACTGTAACAGCTGCTGTTGCTGGAGTGAAATGACTGTAGATCTAGGCGGTCTTGCACTGCTAGCACTCTTAGATCGACCTTGCGTGGCAGATGTAGAGTTGGGAGCCGACGTGCGAGGAAGTCTCTCAATGTTCAACGACGTTGTCGATGTAGACTGAGCATTGGAGAATGTTGGCGGTGACTCTTCATTCTGTAGGCCACTATAGACGCACGAGTTCTCGATACGCCCAATGTCCCAGAATCGAAGCCGCTTGTCGGAGCCACCAGTTACTATAAACGCATGGCGAACGTCACGCGAATCGCCCGAAGTAGATGTGCCGATGGCCATGGCTCGGACTCCTCTGTCGGTATTTGTACTTTCGTTGCTCTCCAAATCGGTCGCAAAGGACGCAAGCATGCCTTCAGGGCGTTCTTCGTCCACGTTCCAGGCCGTGTAGCCCTTAGGTCCGTCCTTGGATCCGCTCGTCCTGTATATTTCGCGGCACGTCGTCTTCTCAAGATCCCAAACTGTCACTTCTCCTAGCACAGTTCCTCCAGAGATGCAGATCCATTTGCCGCGCCCTTTGGTGGGATGGACGGCCATCCTGTAAATAGGCGTCTTTCCAGGCAGCCCCCAGCCGCGGAGTCGCATTTTGAATCGCAGATCCCACAAGTCTACCACACCGTGGGATGTGCCGACGCAAAGCCAGTGCCTCTTCTTGTCTATGCAAAAGCACGTAGGTGTGCCATGATGTACAGGGTTCTCCAAAGTGTAGAGCAACGCCATTGTTCGCAGATCTACACCAATAATGCGTGACTTGTTTGTCGCAATTACAAGTACAGAGCTTGATTCATGCTTGAAATGCTCACACCAGACCACTTGCTCTCCTTTTGGCAGCTGATATTCTCGCAAGAGATGGAGTTTTGGATAGCGGATGACGTCGCTTGCCGCCACTGTGTCAACCTTGACAACGTGTACGCTACCGTCACTGGCGGCACTAATAAAGCAGTGCGAGTTTTCAACAAAGCACAGAGCTGTTACACGCGCACCATCATCATGCTTGTGCGTTTGGCGTGATCGGTGGGTGATGTTGCGCTCCAGCCTAGCAGTGTCCCAGACCTTTACAGCGCCGTCATTGCCTCCAGTAATAAAGAACATGTGATCGGGAGACGCGGCAATGCGGTTAATGGGACCTTTATGTTCTCCAAAAGTCGCCACAAGCTGACCTGCTGGCTTCCATCGGTCATCAGAAGAACTAGCACTGATGGCTCTGTTCTTGCTCCGGGAGACTGGTTCGACCATAGGTCCAAACTCAATCACATCTCGTGGAAAGTTATCCACATACATGTTATCCAGCATAAGCTGGATATTAGGGTCATTCCCTTCGTAAGTGTGGCGGGCTTTCCTACTTGCTGTGTCTTCACCAGCGGCAGTCCTCGTCGGTGACACTGCTCCAGCTGCAGCAGGCCCAAAGGCTTTCTCGACTTCTCCAAAAGCATTAGCCCCGGTCATACCCGTCTCCGCGATGGACTTATTGCCGTCCTTCCTATCGAGAAGACTCAAAGCGCTTGACTGCTGTCGGATTGCTCTCCTCATAGCATACGGGTCTTCTTGAACGGACGAGCTGTCATCTGTCCTTTGGGATGAGGTGGAAACAATACGAGAATCCCGTGAGCTCGCTCTAAAGCTATCCGCCGGCGACAAGAATCGAGTAGCGGCCTCTGTTTGGCGCGGGCCTACACTTTGAACCCGTCTCTTCTGCCCGTGAAGACCTCGTCGTCGCTTGGCAATCGTATCATCAATAGTCATCGAGGCATCTAGCAAAGCGTCCGCAATCGTGTACTGTTCCTGAGAAGGGTCGGGCTCTTGTACCATTAAAGAGTCGTCCAGTGTAGGCTCGTTGAAGAAAACAGTCTGAGGTTTGACATCCAAGCTCTTCAGTGAGATTAGACCGTTAGCCACGATGGGCTCTGCGGGTGATGAAGGGCTGCTCTTCGATCGGCTCAATTTCCAAATAAACTCGCGGAGAGCCAAAAGCTTCATCTCATCATCCGGCTTTAATCCAAGATTTCGAAGTTTGCTCAGCCATTGCTCATCTTCGTCGTTCCGAGCAAGTTTACCCATCGAATCTGACTTCGGCATGGTTGATCCAGATCCAAAGGCAATAGACTTGACCTGCTTCAGCGACTTCCAAAATAAACCTCGGTCGCTCTTAGCGGCCCAAATTGTCGCTTGCTCGAATACAGTTCGGGAGATGGGACTCTTTAGAGCATCCAAAATGGTAAGCTCCGAATAGTCAGGCAAAGCGTTTATCTTCAAGAACGGCTTCACCATTGGCATGAAAACGCATTTTATATCAGCCTGGTCAAGGAACTTGACTGACTGCGCCAAGAATTCGGCAGCCGACTCTCGAATCCAGAGATTTGGGTGCATGGTAAACCTGGAAATCGTTTCCACAAGGTCCCAGACTGTACTCTTGGAGAGCATACCAAGCCCAGCCAGTTGTGCTAGCGAGTGCAGGGCGGACTGAATAACAAATTCTTCACTATCATGGAGTGCTTGCACCATGAGAGGTAGCATAAATTCCTCGAGAGTAGTGCTTCCAATGAATGTGGCAATACCCACGATTGTGTCAAAGAAAGCACACTTCAGCGTCCAGTCTCGATCATTCAAGTATGTGTTGAGATGAGTCAACAGTACATCGTTGGCATGCTCTTGAAAGAACATGAATAGATCCGGGACCGAAGCCAAGAATGCTCGGCGGACGAAGACGTCTGGGTCTTCGATTAACTGTTTGGTGTGATTTTCAATCACTTCAAAAAGATGTTTACCAGCCTCATCGAACATGCTGTCAAAGTTGGCATCCGACACAGTTCCTAGCTCTACTTCCGGGTCAGCTATTGTCATGGAGCTCTCTGGTCTCAAACTCGACGCCAGCTCTAGGAATCGGAGCGCAGTAGTAGCTAAGCTCCCCAGGCAAGAGGCATATGTTGCCCTAACCAGGGAGCTAGCAGATTGTCCGCGCGCTAACATGGTAGATTCTATGCGAGGCAAGACGTAATCTGCCAACACATGTGAGTTGATTGGTGTTATCATCCGGACCATCTGCAGCAATTGCGTTATAGTTCGTATAGCGGACACAATGACGATGTCCGGTTCATCCTTCTTCAGTAGCGTCATCAAATACGGAAGGACTCGGTCCAGTTTTGCCTCATCTGTAATGCGCTCAGAAAATGCTAGTAAAAGATCGCAGGCTTTTACTCTGGAGGATGCCCTTGCGGTAGTCCTCATTGCTGAAACAATCAATGTCAGAAATATTAATGTTCCGTCATCTTCAGGTGGCTCTAAATCAGCCGAAACATAATGCTCATGGTTCGGTATGCTCAGGCGCACAGGGAGTTGAACTAGACTCAGTCTGGAGCGGTATGGTTCCTCCTTTGGTGTATTCTGGTCCTGATTATAGCCGAGGAAGTATGAAATTTTGTCGAAATCGTAATACACACGGTCTATTCGATCGTCAGACTCGCCCAAATTCCTCTGCGAGCTTGACATGGGGTTGTTCCCAGAGGATGGGTCGGTGACAAGCTCCATGTACTGGTGCAAAAAGTTGTAAAAGTAGGCCGGAAAGACTTTTCCTTTCCAGAAGTCCAGGTACTGATCTGCTGAATATCTCTTCTCAGGGTCCAGCTGTATCATGTGTGCAATCATGTCGCGAACCTCTTTGTCCGATATGACGCTTAGATGGGTGATCACAGGATCATACTCTCCGCGTCTATATTTGTAAAGCTGAGCCAGGCTGAAAAGCTCTGACTCCAAGAAAAGCTGCGCGATGACGCACCCAACACTAAAAATATCCATTGCCCATGTCATCTTGGGGTTCGCGGGAGGTTCTTCATCCGGGCCGTAGAATCGCTCTGGTGCGACGTAACAAGTACGTCGGCCAGATGAGTCGAAAAAGTATGAAAAGTCGCCAGGGTTATCATCTGGTAGCATGACGGGTTTAAAAGGAGACGAGAAGTCGGTAAGATATAGCCAATTCCAGGAGGTGACCAGGACATTCTGTGCCTTGATGTCGCCGTGGTAGACATCGCGAGTGTGGCAATCGCGGAGTGCACAAAGCAACTGGAACGCAAGCCATTTCTTTTCGATATCTTCCAAGAATGGTCTATTACTGAGTCGGTCATATAGAGAGTTGTATAGGAACTGTCGGACAAGGTAACCGTTTGTTTCGGTCTCGATAACTCGTTGGAAGCCCAGCGCGTTGGGAACGCCAGCAAGCGCCTTTCTCTGTTCTTTAAAGCGTAAAGTTAGATTGTATTCATTATAAACAGGGCTCAGGATTTCTTACCCAATATCTGCTTCTTGTATTTGTCAAGTTTGACGTCGGCAAAGGGCTTGACGAGAGTCTTGACCAGGACAACGCCACTCTCATGGCGCGCCCGGATGCTCTTCATGAAGCGGGCATTGCCGATGCTCCGTTCATACTGGATGTCCTGAAGCTGTGCTATATCTATACCAGCAGCACCTGCGGCAGGCGTCGCCAGGGAAAACCCTTGGCCCATCGCGCTGGTTGGGCTGGCGGCTAGAGGTAGCGGTCGACAAGAGGTGTATGGTCTAGCGTCCGGTCGTCATGACTCTCCGCGGTTCGTCACTATTAGGTCTTCATATAGCTATCGACGATTAATTTCCGCAAGTTCGTGTTCTTTGTGTGTCGTTGCGGGATGGAAGAAGCTGGTCGGAGCTGGATCATGAAGAGCACGTCATTTGACCTGGGCAGACGGCAGCTTGCACGCGGGAGCCGTGGTGGGGAAGCTCCACGGGCGCAAAAGGTCACTGCTGGAGAAAAGTAGCGGCGTTACAGTGACTACATCACAAATTTGATTATTGACTTCATAGCCAGTAGATAATTATCAGATATGCGAGGCTTTAAAATATATTGTGTATAAATTTTGAGCGGTGCTCTTCGGCCGTTATCATACTAATCTGATAATCGTGACTTCATAAATCGTCGTCATATATAGAACAACCTCAGCCAAAGTCGAGGACTTGCTGAGAAGAATAAAAACAGAAATCCAAATGCAGCTAGGCAATGGCTTTTACATCCCAAAAAAAAATACAACCTAAACCAATGCTTCCAACACCCGCTTCCATATGCTATGCAAGGTAATCCAAGAAAGGAGAAAGAAAGATAAGAGAGAGCAGAACAGCAGCTTGCGTCCTGCATCTCAAGGGGTATAAGCGGAAAAGCGAACTGCTTCAACAAGATCCTTACTGCGCTTTAGGCATAACCAGATTGGTAGTGGTGGTGACTCCAGGGCAGACATCGGGGTCGACTTCAAGGCACATCATACCGTCGTCCATAAAGGGGATAATATCGCAGGGCTTCACCGGTGCCGTTTGGCCCTTCAACTCGCGTACCTCTCTACGGATGCTGATGGACCGTCTTGTACGGACCTTGGCCGTGTCCGTCGTCTCCTGAGTAGTGAGGCGTTTGAGGCGTCGGATTTCGGTATTAGATGCGTGGATGAGGACGGATATGCGGCTGAGGATTTGTTCAACTTCTTCACGGCAGTCTGACTTTCTCAAAAACTGGTGAGCTGCATCTTCGGACAAGCTGTTGACAAGATCCAAGTGACGTTCCAGGGTGTCGAAGATCTCAGAGGCTGAGTCTTTAGAGGACGCTGTGCGATTGGTTTTGACACGAATGCGGTGTGATGCGGGAGTGTGGGTAGGCAGTACTTGCTCGTCTTCCGTATCCAGGTCGAATTCCGCCAGTCGCTTAATCTGTGCTACTTTCGACGCCATTTTGGCTCTTCGCATCAAACCTCTGCTTGTCGAGACATAGCGGACCAACTCTGAGAAGAGAGCCTGGACGTCGCCGTCATAGTGCACATCGGGGAGGGCAGTTTCTGTGAGTGTCTTGTTCAAGGTTTCGTCTTGTTCAGAAATAATAGTGGTGCTTTCAGATAATAGTGGTGAAGTCGATGAGATCGTGGTACTGCATGGTGAGATTTGTTGAGACTGCTTCTGCAGTTGTTCCAGGCGGCCTTGCCACTCTGGGAGATTGAGAGCAAGATGCTGCAACGCCTCCATGTTGAAGCAGGCGTATTTGGGCAACTGTTGAAGTAGACGAGGCAAAGATTGGGCGTGAGACGTCTAGCGAAGAAATTTTCAACTAGGCGGTCCCTTCTACTTGTTCTTTCTTTCTTCGTCTACTCGAACAGAGGGGAAGAAGAAAGCCAGTTGCGTTTTGTGCAGAGTTGCATTCAGAAGTCGGTCGGGGCGATGCACACAGTGTGAGGCCGGTCGGGTGCCAAAAAGGAAGCAAAGAATGCGGGCCGCAGCGGTATCTCGAGGGAGCGACAATGGTGCGGCTTGTTTGGTGCTGTTGTTCCGCTATACGGCTACAAATAGAAAGGTTTTTGTCTGAAGAGGAAAAAGAAATTGAAGAAAAAGGGACAAGGCCAAATGTGCAGCCTGGATGACACTGGCCTTGGGCACTATGGCGGGCGTTGGAAGCGGGCCCAAGGTGCGTTTGTGTTGTGGCAACTCCGCGGAGGAGAGAGAAGAGACAACATGGGCAGACCACAGCGCTGGCAGTCACTGAAGAGAAGCTGCGAGCACCCACACAGCACATCTGCCAGCGCACCTGCACACTAAAAGGCCTGCTCTCCACATTTCCAGCGCTTCGCCGTCGCTTAGTGGGCAGATTATAGCGGCTCAACGCCCGTTGGCGGGTCGTGCCCTCCACCAACTCGCTGCTTAGCGCCAACCTTGTCCCGCTGCCATCGCGTCTTCCGTCCTCTAGTGCCATCCCGCGTTCCTCGTACGCTAGCGTCCAACTTGTGTTGCAGTGAATTCAATGTTCAAGATATTTGTGTTTTCCTTCAATTGCCAAACTCACCCATAGCAGTTCTCTCTCTTTCTTCCCCTGGTACTTCACTGCGGCCCATGCTCTCCCCCCCTCAGAGCAAACTTACTCAGCGCAAAGGACGCCGAACATGAAAATGTGGCTGGTCGGCGACTAACTTGTTTGGTGCCGCCCGCAGCAAGCATCCGAATCATGGACCCCTGTGTTTCTCGTAGTAATGAATGCGTCCTCTCTGCATCAAGCACCCTGCACATCATATCTGCTTCTCATAACAACAAGGTATTATACATAACTCGTACAGGCGGCTGATCTAGACTTTGTCGAGTATATCCGTGCTGCAGCTGTGTGCCGGGCATATCCACTCCCAGCGAGACAAACTCTAACCCAGTCAGACACGGCACATCCGCCGGGCTGATTCGCAGTTCCGAACCGGCATTATCTAGATTGTCTCGATTTCCGCTGAGTCACCATGCGCTGATCCAGACGCCTCAGGCTAGCAGCTACACCAGATGATCATGTGCACTTGAATTAAATCTGTAGCGGAAATGTGAATGTCTTTTCGTTCGGGATGTTTCCAGTATTTTGAGTAAATCTGCAGAGTTTAATTGAATATCCTAGTAAAGGTTGAGCTACGAATAGTTGCTATGAGATGTTGGCATACTTCTTAGCCAGCTTGTCAGATTGGACCTGTCCCAAGCTGACGCCAATGCTAACCTAGAGGCACTTAAGCTCTAATGCTATATTAAAAGTCCATCATCTTCATACTAAAACCCGGTTTTTTTTTTTACTTTTGGTAGCCCGTAAACTTCCATCATGCGACTAGGTGCTTGTATTCTCCCATCGTCAGCTGCAATCATCATACGACATCGCTGACGCGGACAAAGACACTTCTCGTAATATCCTGGCTGAAAATGAGATGACTGTTTGGCCCCCTCCCCCTCGATTTTTATTGCTACGTCTGGGAACTAGTATCCATGAGTCGTGGCTGCATCTATACCGCAGATATAATACACACACACTCATGTGCAACAACGCATTATGCAAGCCAACATTGCATATAGCCACTCCACCCCCATGAGCTTTTCTTCCTTGTGCATAATATGTCTATTTACGATCACAGATCGGCGCGCCGTTTGGCTAAATCTTGCAAGGCAGTGTTAGGGCCAGAGCTCCGTCGACTTCCACCCAGGTTCTGGGCCATCAGCCACGGCCTGATAATTCCAGCGCCTTGCGCGATTGGGGTCGGATAAATCTACCCTGTCTACCGCCTCGGGCACAATGATAATGACACGGAAGTTGCCACGAGCCACGGCATCTTCCAGATCGTGGACTTCTTGTCCCAGCCCTAGGCCATCTCCCGGCTCCTGTGTGATGGGGGTTCCCGGTGCCGGGTTGCGGAACGAACCTCGCATACCCGGGCTCAAGTTGCCAAAGTGGGCTGTTAATTCCTTTGTCCAGCTCCAGGACGACAAGTCGACATCGGGGTTGTTTCGCTGCATATGTTGCCCAACTGCAGCCCGGACAGGCGCAGCGGCATCCGATTCAATATCAGGACCAACAACATATGTGTGCCCCTGAATTCGCCATTGGGTCATGGTCTGCGGAACCCAAAAGACAGCCTCGACGGTCCCCCCCGGTCCAGATGCTGGTGAGCTGGCATCCTGGGACGACGACGAGGCGCTGCCAAGCAGCTCTGTGATCTTTTCCATGCGCACATCTGTGGTGATGACGGGTAAGTCTGTCTGCAACGACAGCGGATTGCGGGGGGCGGGATTCTTGGGATTGTTCGGCAGATATGCCCACATGCCTCGAAATATTACGGTGCGGCATCGTGGCACAACGGCGTGGGAAGCATCAGACAAGCGGTGCAAGGAGCTCAAGCTAAACGCCGGCGACGGCAGCTGGCCAATGTGGTCCAGAAAGTCGGCTCGCCATGGCGTCTCGCTTCTACGCCCGGCAACAACGGTAGTAGACATAGCCTGCTGCCACAAACGATGAGAAACGCGTGCTGCCGTTCGCAGTGAAATAGGGCTGGCCGACAGTGTCGGCATGAATCAGATAGCGCAGTCGTGGGTGATCGAGGTCTGGGCTGGGGGCCGTGAAAAGTCCCGTTGTCTAAGCAAGAAGAGGAAGAGGGGGGTGCGGCTCTCGCTCAGTTGTGGCAGCAGGAGATGACGACAAAGAAAAACGCCGATGGGGCTTAGCGTACACTGGGAGTGGAGAGCCCATCTACTGTATGTGCAGTACCATCCGTTGTTAGCGTCCTCCTCCTCCACCGAATGCCGCGTACAGTAATTACAGGTCCGAACAGAAAGGGTCGGTAGCAGTAGCAAACAGCCTGGCCGGTTGACTCCCGATATGAGCTAAAGCACATAATGCTTGTCCCATGGGGACGGTTGATGATCGTAGCACTGCACTGAAAATCACATATGTATCCTGGTACACTCGCTATCGTTGCACCATTCTATATGAATGACAGGTAGCATCCGGGGAGCGCTGCCGACAAAACAACGGCACGCCCCCCCTTTCTGAGTAGCAATTTGCATTGCCCGGCGGAGACGCAAAGGCCAAATCTTCGTTTGCGAAGTCTGCTGGGCAGCGATTTGGTGGCGCATAATCCCTTTGTCCAGGGCTGACGATAAGGCGGCACAGCTCACCTGCGTGCATTCCCGTGCAATCTGCTTGTCTTTAACCGGCAGTTCGCCCGGGGTGCTGGCTCGGGGGGGGGAGGGGCGTTTGTCACGTATATTATTTCCCCATGTCAACTATTGGCCAAGTTTACGACGATGCAGACGCACGTATTGGCTGCAGCCCAACGGTTTTTTTCGCCTGGTGCTGGTGCTGCGCCCCACGGACAAAGCACCAATTCAGCGTACGGGGCGGCTTTGTGGCACCTGTGCGCGAGTAAGATGTTGGTAGTTGGTGCTGGTGCTGCTCGGATAGCGCACCCATCTCCCGGTGATGCCAGCTGTAGACTAGAATGGAAACAAGAGGCATGGAATTAGCAGCGTAGCATCGCAGAAAAGTGCCGAAACGCTGCCTGCTACAGCCAGCTGAGGCGTACGGAAACTGAGACCTCCGATCCAGCAACCTGCGTCAATCGGCGAACCAAAGCAACACCGCAATCCCGATAGTCTGCGGGCTGTTTCCAGGGCGCGTTTAGTGGGCAGCACTGCCAGTCCCCCCCAAAAGGCCCTAAAAGGGAGGGGCCAGGTGTTGCTACTGGAGCTAGCGCGACAGGCTCTGAGCCAGCGTAAAAAAGCCCCCAATCTGGGCCACGCGATCTTAACCAGCAGGGGGGCGACCCAATAGAAGGGACCATGCCGAGCCAGTCAAAAGCCAGGAAAAAAGGCTAAGCATTTTTCTGACGGGCGGGAGGACGACCGTGTTGTATCCATGGCGGAAGCGAGGGAATAACACACCCAGACCCATCTTCCAAAGACCCTGGCCTTTCAGCTCCAGGTCTTGCTTGACTGGTCCGTCTCCAGACGAACGGCACGCCGGACTTGCATCCCAAGCAGCAAAGCTCGAGGCCGCCCGTTGTTCGGCTCTCGCCAAGCAAACGAAACCACGCATTTGCACAACCCGGCAAGCATAGCCTCATCGGGACTTGGCTTATGTGGCCAGTTCTACAATTTTCTGTCTCTAATTGCCCAACAACCGCATAGCTGGGCCCGTCCCGTCGGTGTACGTGTTGGTCCGTCTCATGTGTAAATCCCGCGAGTCCATTTGTCGCTTTGTGGGATCGCCGGCCCTTCTGGGGGAGGGGAGCCCCAGTAGCGCGTTTCGCTATCGCCAACCGGACAGACCGCCCAGGAGCGAGGGAATAAGAGGAAAAAAGAGGGGGACAGGACAAGGGGGATAAAGTAAAAACAATTATACTAAGCCAAAGGAAAAGGAAAACACAATAAGAATAAATATTAGAGTTGCTGCCAGCTGAAGTGACGTGCGGAAGAAGCCGCCTAGGGTGGCAGTGGTCTAGAGCGCCGAGTCAATTAGGAGAGACTGAGCTCATGGAAGAGTCTAGATCTTCGGCTATCAGCGAGCAAACGTGAGATTCCTAACTTTACTGTGAGGCGTAGCGGCTTATTTGCCAGCATGTCTGTGTTCTTTTTGGGGGGTGGCAAGGGGTGGACATCGTTTTGGGGGGTTTTAATTGTTTTCTGTACTTGGATTTTCCTTTGCGCCAATATGCGCGGACAAAGAGAAGCAGCACCACCGGGGATATCACACCAAAGCCCCCCAGTGACACCTCCTAAAAGAGGCCCCAGGAAGCGGGCTTGCAGAACTAAACTTGCGCCAGAACAAGAGAAGAGCACCGGAAAATAGGCTGAAAGAGGCATCATGAGCGAATCAGTGGGTAGGCTCAACGGCACCCCGATGTTCAGGTAAATTCGTCCTTGCGCAGATCTTCCAGTCGACAACGTCATGGGGGGGGCGTTGCAAGGGCTAGGGATTGTCACTAAAAATGAAGTTTACTGGAGCACATCGCGTATCAGCGAGAGTAACTAACACGTCATGATCATCACCAGCTGGGTTTTGGATCTGGGAATAAAAAAAACACAGCCTAGTAACAGCACACAACCCCATACACCCCTGGATGGTGCATGCCAATACTTACTGCACCAAGAAGAGATGGGACAAGTTCGATTGAGCAGCCGCTGGAGCCGTGTAAGTTGCTAGCGCCGTTGCAGACCCAGCGCAAAGGGTCGCTGGAATAGACGCTACGAGGGGCTGGAACGAGCGCAAAGTGGGAAAGGCTGCCGGTCCAAGCCACGATGGCGACGTGATTATTACCACAGAGGCTAAGCCCACTGGCGCAATTAAAGCCAGCAAGCAAGCAGCACGCGGCGGCGGAGGAGGACCAAAAAAAAAAGGACAAAGCCAGATGCAGCAGTAGAGGCAGAATACAGAAGGTGGGAAAAATAGAACCAGGCCTAGGTCGATCCCGCATCCACACCCCGTCCACTGGCGGCTGTTCCATTTACACACCCTCGTGGCCCTCGCCCGTGCTGCTTGTTCTGGTGCTTCATTTCTGTCACCACATCCCCCGGCGGCCTGTTTATCCTCTCTCACTTCCCTTTCTCCCCTCTTTCCTTCTTGTTTCTCTTCTTTTTCTCCCATTTTCCAAACTTTGAAATCCCGACTCGCAGTCGGCCCCGACAACAACGACAAAGCCGAACGAGTTGAGCTTCTGCACTAGCAAAGCTTCCTCTGTGCTCATTTTCCAGCAGTTCTTTCATCTTGGATGGACCCTTTCACTTCTGAGCTCCCTCCCTCACACCACACCCACCCCCAAAGGCAGAAAAACTGGAGATCTACAACCCTCCGCTCCCCTTCCAGAGCCCTGCGCCGACGCACTGAGCCGACCCAAATCTTCACTGCGCACCCGCCCCAAAATTAAACACGCTCTCCCCCAACGTCTGCCAAGACTTTTCCCTCCCACCTTTCCAAACCTTTTTTCCTACTCCTCCAAAAAAGACCGAACCCCAAGGGCTTGGCCGGCCGGTTCTCTTATCGCCTGCCCCGCGTCGCTGGTCATTGCGGACGGCATTTTTCTTGTCCTCCAAGCTTCCCCGGTTTCTTATCCTCTTCCCTTTCTCCTCTCCTGGTTTCTTCTGAAGCAAAGGAGCCGCCAATTCCCGCCAACAAAAACAAACACCGCTGGCCTCTTCGCCAACCCCTCTGCGCGGTCCACATTTGTTATTTCCATCACCCAAACCCGCCAAAAGGACCACTGGACTCAGCACTGCCATACTATTCCCGGCTATACTGCTGGCGTTCACTCTTGCACGCACCACACCGTCTGTCACCCAGACTTCGCCAGCCCCTCTGGCAACAAAGGCTTGTTAGCCTCACTTCTTCTTTTTATCCCTCTTCTCTGCTCAAATGCTGCAAAGCATAGTTGTGCCGATGGAACCACACCGCTTGGGACCGGCCAGTCTGGCTAGCGTCCTGTCGGCCTCGCCACCATCTACATCAGTTTCTATGCCGCCTATTAACGCCGGCTTCAAGCACCAGCCTATTGCCCCGGCCTCACGCATGCCGCTTCCCATGTCAACACCTTCGCCTTCGAGCCAATCACCGGGTGACTCACGGCGAGAATATGGTGATGACGATATGGTTATGGATGGAGTCAACAGCGATGAGCCTGCTAAGAAGAAGCAGAAGCGCAACAAACCTACACTCTCATGTCACGAGTGCGTTGAGCGTAAGACCAAGGTGAGATGCTTGATATCGTACTTGATTTGAAGCCTTTTGCTAATGCAGGAATTTATAGTGTGATCGTGGTAGACCTCATTGTCTAGCTTGTAAGTCGGCAATCCAGCTATGACCCTCAGTAAACCCCTCTAACAACCCTCCGCAGGCATTAAGCGACAGACGGAATGCAGATATGCTCATGTTGCCAACCTCTTAGAGTAGGCCAAGATACCTCCGCCCTATCATTACTAGTTACTAACAAGATTGGTGTAGAGAGACCACCCGATCAGCCTCCACTGGCCGCAGGATGACGAAAGCGCCCAAGAAGAGGCAGGGTGCCGACAGCATGCTTCGTATTCCTAATCTCGCTGACAGGCATACCGACGAGCACGGAAAGTCCCGGGGAGCAGTAGCCCTCTCTACCGGCCTGCTCTCTACCGCCCCCTACTCAAAAACGACCTCGAGCAATGTCTTTGGTATAGGATCCGAACACCCGTTTGCAAACTACTGGACATGCGGAGGTGGCCTGCCCGAGGTCATTTCTGTTTTGCCAGAGAAGATGCAAGCCGACATTCTCCTTGGACGATACTTTGAGTGTGTTGATCCCATCTACCCCATGATCCATCGTCAAACCTTTTACGCCGACTATGAGCACTTTTGGAGAATGGACGAACGAGAACGCAAAGACGTAGATGCAGCATTTGTTGCTCAAATCTTTGTTATGATTGCAATGGGCACCCAGTTTGTTACATCTTCAGCTCCGCGGGAGCGAAAGCAGTCTGCCGAGTTCTACGCCTCCGCTTGCAACCAGGCACTCCGCATCTCGTCGTACCTGAGCACCGCATCCCTGCGCTCCATCCAGGCCATGGTCTTGATGACATACTTTTTAATCAACGACAACCACGCCTCGGATGGCTGGGCCTTTGCTGGCATCCTCATTCGCCAGGCATATGCTATGGGCCTCCACCGCGATCCCAACATTGTGACGCCGAACGCCAGTCCATTTGAGATGCAGCAACGCCGCAAGGTCTGGCAGGCTGTTCTGCTCCAGGACACATTCATGACAGTCCTCTTCTCTCTACCTCCTTGCACAACACACACAGACGTTTCCGTGGATGACCTTCTCGACCACGGCTCGTCAATTGCGAGCAGCGACCCTACCGATATGGCCTACATTCGAGGCAACTGGACCCTTGCCAACCTGGTCCAAGAGACGATTAGCTCGCCAAGATCCTTGGATCTTCCTATTTGCACCACTGCCCGCCATAAGTCAAAGCTGGTGGCCGACTTCCGATCCGTTTACCGGTCTTTCCCTGATGTGTTCCGCTCTTGGGATGCTGAAAGTTTGACAGCATTGGCACATACGAATAAGCGAGTTGTTCGCCAGACAGTCTGGCTCACCAGCAACTACTTCCATAACCTCATGCTTGTCCATGCTTCCGAAAGCCCGGATGTGCCACCCAATGTACGCGGTACACTGGAGGCGGCCCACGATGCCATCAGCGCGTTTTTCCTTATGTTCCAGCTTCTTGAGTCTGAGGCTCGAGTTTGGTGGGTTATTAACCACCGCGCCTTCCTCGAAGCTGTTTGCATTGGTAACGTGCTGCGTGAGGCGGCCAAAGAGCCTGGGGGTCCTGAGATGCTCGAAAGAGATCCCGTCTTTGTGCGAGCTCGTGCAGATATTGGTAAGTTTAAAAGAAAATCGGGTTTATACAAGATCACATTGCTAACATTGCTTTCTCAGGCCGTATGATCCAGATTCTTAAGAGTATGGTGAACGACAACGAGTTCGCCCAGGCGCGTGTGGAAATTCTGAGCGCCTACTTCTGAAGCAAAGAATGGTGCTTGTAACTTTATGTTTTTGATTTTGGTCACGAAGCGATTTTTGTTGATTCGATTTTTTTTTATGTCATAGAGCGTTACGCATTGCAGCTTTTATGCGGCGCAGCGAACCAGCGGTATCAAATGTCTATGATTTTTTGTCTTTTATCCATAATTTAGAAAGAATGATCCACGAAGAAAAGAGCACAATTTTACACAATTCATCAAAACCGTCACTTCGAACGCTCTTGTTTGGTCCCCCGTGTCTCGACTGATGTCGCCTATTCACCCCAGCCGTTTAGGGCAAACTACCAGCGGCTATCTGCAACGGTCTTGGCAATGGCCTGACCAGTGACGTATGCGGAGAGGTGAGACACTACCAGTGTAGCGGCGCGGTGTAAGCTGAGACGCGGCCTGGAATTCGCCAGGGAGATTTCGCTTCAACGTGGAGGACAGCAAAACTAAGGTTGTATTTCCTGTGTAGAGCATGCTTCCCGGTGTCTAGAGGGCCATTGGTCTACTGTCCAGAATAGGTTGGATATCCGGAAATCCAACAAGGGCATCTAGTAACCCTCAGTCAGCCCTGAATGACACAAAATACGCGGGTGGAGGGCGGCACTACCGTGAATACGAGACCTAAGATCCAGGGGGCCATCATGATGGAGCAATTGAAGGGGCCGTAGGTGCCGAGAAGCCGCAAATCATTGGGGGCGTTTTTTCTTCTTACGCTTGAGGAGCGGAGAATATCTCTATTGGTGCGTCTGCAGAGTGCATTGCATGCAGGGCCAGACTAAGGAATCGGGCTGTGGAGTGATTCATGCGGCGCGTGTAGACACCGGGCTTCTTTCTCTGCACGCCGGAAGTGTTTTTTTTGCCGGGAGGCGGAGCATTTGGGCGTTTGGTTCAGGTGTTGTTTATGGATGGGGGTTTGCGGATGCGATACGGTACTTGTCTCTAAAGGAGGCGTTGCTTAATTTATTATTTTACCTTTGCTTTGACAAGTTGCGGTAAGCGAAATAGCTACGTTTATGGTATAGGGAGTCCCGCATTGCGAGCCACGGCAACTTGACACTGGTGATCCTGATATCGGCGGTGTTCACGGTTGAATAGCCAAGTGTCTCGAACCGGCTTTCCTTTTTTTTTGTGTGTTTTGCTGCCCTTCGCTTAGAGCTCGTCACGACGCTTGCAAATGTAGTCTGCTGGCGTGTTTCTTTAATTAACTGTCTGCTATTTGCTCAGTTAAACCTAATTCTCTGAAACTGGCTCTATTTTTGTCTCGCGTACAGTAGTGCATCGCCTGCGCGACAGCAGCGAATCGACAGAGACACCTGGTCAAAGAGGGTCTAGCGTCTCGTGGGCTGTGTTTTCTTTTGTTGCGTCTGAGCACGACCTGTTACTGTAAAGTGTTAGGTTGTGGTAGTGCTTGGGCCCGCCCGCAGCGCAGAGCCCCTCCTCCCTCCCTGCAGAACGCTCAGCCAGGTGCGCTGCCACTGTCACGCCAGGTGCCAAAGCTGGCGGCACATCAAGCTAAACAGCTGGCCACGAGGCTCTCGCCCAACCAGGCTGGTCTGACTCCTACTTTCTTCCCTTCATCATCATCGTCGGGGTTTTCTTTGCGAGATTCGCTTTCATAGTTCTGATTCATTCATCGGGACCCTTTTTTGCATCCAGTTCTCATATCGTTTTTCGTCATTTGGTCCCTTCGATTCTCTCTGCCTCGTCACAGTGTCCCGTCCACCAGCTCTTGTACCCCAGTTGCGCGGCCTCCAACGGCGCCATCCCTCCCAGTCGACGTGGTCACTCGCTCCCGACGATTTCATTTTGTGTTTTTGACGGATTATTTACGTTGGTCGGAATTTCGATCTCGAACTAGTCGATTTCATATACCACATAAGTTTCTCTCTGATTTATTCATCATCGACGATGCGTCGTGTCATCGCTATAGCACTGTTAACAGCTGCTCGCCTGAGCCTTGCGGCACCATGGCTAGGACTGCCTGTCAACTCTGTTGGTACGAGAGGCCCATTCACAAAGTCACCCGAGATCGAGAGCTAACCTTTTTCTTCTATAGAAATCGTCCCGACCGCATACATCACTCTCAAGGTCCCTGTTGAAGATGACGGTATCCAAGTGCTTGTAAGTACAATAACTGACAGCCTCATTTTTACGCGACCTTGGGTGTCAGTTAGTTAATCATACCTCGTGTACTAGCCCATGCGATTTGATTTGCACGAGTCCAAAGAGCCTTGCGGAGTTGCAAAATTGGTATTCAATGGTCTTCCCATGTCTCAAAATGCTACTGGTGGCGGCAGCGGCGCCTTTACTCTCCAAGATGGCACTGTCGTCAGCGCCAGCTGGAACATCGCCTGCCAAAAGAGCAAGACCCAGCTGCTCACCATGTCTATTCACTCTGCAAATGGACGATCCATCTTTACCCAAAATCAGATGGCAGCTTCATTTCAACAAGTAGAACCGATTAGATTCCTCGAAGTCACCGGTGGTTCCAGAGTGACTCTAGTCCACAAGGTCATTTCTCACAAGCATTCATATCCGTCAGACGACTATGATGATGACAGCACCGCGCAATGGGAAAGCCAACGGAACATGCCTTTTGATGTTGATCTGGATGCACAAATTTCTGCTCTTGAAGATCTTCGCCAGCAGGTACACAATCTTCGCCAACTCATCCGTCAAAAAGAGACAGACATTATGGAGCACCTCGTATATACAGACAGCACTGAAGGAGACACGCCGCCACGCCCGCTTAGGGAATGCGATGACTTGGGCTGTGTGTTCCGCGGACTAGCGTGGAAGATTAAGCACGCTCATGGAGATGTCTGCAATGGTTCTCCTCAATGGAGCCGAGTTCTTGGTTGTCAGGAAGATCCCGAAGACTATGCCTTGGATAGCTCTCCTGAGCATAGCCACCCACATCACAGCCACACTCATGATAGCGATTCGCACGAACACAACCACCATAACGTAAGTTATCCTCCCAAATATCGTCAGTCTTCGTCTAACCGTTTGCTACAGAGACGCAAGTCACCTATCAGCTTCGTTCTGAAGGTCACTGGGGCTTTGTTCTTATGGTACATCTTCGTCCACAAGACGATTGGCATGTGTCTTAAGCGACGCCGCTCTAGATCCATCTCATTACCAACTACTGAAGAGCTCCCTCGTATACCTCGCCGTAGATCTTTGTTTGGAGACTATTTTAGAGCTTTACGTCGTGTCGAAAGCGCATCCGATGAAGAACGACCACGCGAGAAGCGTCAGCAAAGCCCGATCAGACAGTGGAACGAGGTATCGCATCGGGATGTGGCTGATGAGCTCTCTGGGCTTCGCGAGGCTGCATCTATGGTCAGCGACATAATCAATGCTACATCAATGCCTCATCGGGCACGAGGCAGCTCGCCGCCTCCAGCCTACGAGAGCGAGGACGACGAGTCGTACATGCCTTGTCTCCCACAATACACACCTAATCGACGATAAGCCATCTTTATAGATTGGAATTACAACAATTGCCTGTGGTTGGGCATATTTTTCATGTATAGTTTTGCATCATACAGTACTCGGAGTTTGGTTTTATTTTAGCAAGAACGGGTAGCGTCTAGCGTTTCATTGTCATGCCACATTATAATACAGTACTCGAATACCTATTTTCTGCCTTTCCCTTTTATCCATAATGTTACTTTTGCTTGCCAAATACGAATGCCTCGAAATTGGAGGCTATTCGGGCTACGCCATCCTCTAGAGTCCAGCCTTTGGCTGCGCATACACGGCGATACATGACATCCAAGGCAGCGTCCATGGCATCCCCCGCGCAGTCAAGGTCACTCTCTACCAGCACACGATCGTCAGGGACGGCCCGAATAACGTCATCTATACGGGCTCGGACTGACTCGGAGCCCAGATTAACCGCGGATGAGAAGGAGACGTACACATCCGCCGGATTTGTCGGACGCATCCACTGTGACAGAACCGCTGCGCTGCCGCTGTACGAATGTAGACACACTCTTGGAGCGTATGGGCTTTTTGATTGGCTAGGTTTTGACTTGGGCTTAAGGCGTGCGAGGATCTCGTCATCCTCATCGTCGGAGCTGCTACTAAAGTCTTCTGCGCCTGGAGCTACAAGGCGACGCTCCCGACGGGATGGAATGTGCCGTTCAAAACCGATCCATGTTTTGGAGATGGTATCGAAGAGAATACCTGGCGCTTGGACGCCATGCACGCTAACCGGCCGGTTCATCTCCCCAGCCAGCTGCAGTTGTGCTGTGAGAATGGCCTGCTGGTGAGCCATATCGACACGGTATGGGCTGAGCAGACGGCCCTCGCGTGTGCCGGGGGTGATGGAAGGGTCGCGGTCCTCGAGCTTGGACGGATCCCATTGCTGGGGAAGGCGGAATGGTTTATCAAGGCCAATTTCACCGACAATAGCAACGGGGTGGGCGGCTAAGCGTGCGCGCGTGTCGTTTATAAGTGTGGAGAGCGGAGAGGGGTCCGGCAGCGAGGCGATAAAGGAGTCATCTTCTGGGGGAGGTTGTAGGACTGCTCGGTAATGTGCACATTTTGCTTGAAATATGGCATCCTTGTCAGTTGTATTTGACGGATTGTAAGTCGGTGTCGCAGCGGTTGTGTCATCGTATAATTGGTGTGAGAACCACGGGTGCCAGCCAAATGCGGGGATCAGATTACAAGACGAACTGGGTTGTGCTTGTTTGAGCGACGCCAGCTCGTCTATGCTTTTGATCCCATGGCTTTGAGTTACGTCTGCCACAAGCTGCTGATCTTGGGACCGAGTGGCCATGATAATCATGGCGGCGGCCTTCATGGTAGAGAGAGCCGCCATGGAGGCCATGTTGTCGGTGGGATGGCAGTGGGCATCGTAGGTGGGAATATGGAAAGGAAAAGACTCAGATGGTTTAGCATCCGGCGATTGACTTGATTGGCACATGTTCAGAGACTGTGGCGGGCATGTGCTGAAAATGTTGAAGATACAGAGAGCGAAGGGAAAGGTTGACTATGTACAGTTAGAAGGATGCGTCAGAGAGGCGGGGCGCAAGGCTGCAAGGGCGTGGTAGCAGAAGATGCTGGAAGATTCTGAAGGGGAGGGCTATAGACACGGATTTAGCAAAGAATGGAGTAAATATCGAGATTTTATGGGGTAATCGTGATATATGTTGGAAGGTTTACAGCTGGTTGTATAAATATTGGCGGCAGCGCCGTTATGCTTTGTGACAGAGAACAATAGCCTGGCTGGCTCCCAGCCTGCGGAACGAGAGCGAGGCGTGGCGGGCCTGTTTTACTGATTCAACGGGCAGGCATGGCAGTGCCAGTAAACCGTCAAGCTGGCACAAAATAATACACAGTCTGCGGTTTTTATGCAACACATATGCAGCTGCATCCAGGGAACAAGTAATAATGCTATACCTATTACGATTTCCCAGCTAGTGGCTGCACCACATCTGCTCTGCTAGGCGCTGACCTCCCACCTAAGGGTTTTTTTGGACAGGCGTGACATGTGACAGACGAGAAAGCGAGGACGCATCTCCTCGCCAGCCGGCAACCAGAGCGATTTACATAATAATCACAGTCACTCATACTTCATCGTGTACACAATCACCGACAATCAAGACGCTTCACTCTCTCTCCAGAGATTCCGTTGGCTGCCAATCCATCCCCCCAAACTGGTGCTGCCACACGCCACACCACTAACATCACAGGCTGGCACGCCTCACAAAAGCCTCCAACCTTCCCCCGCCAACGCACAACAAAGGACGCCTCTGTTATCTCTTTTCCTCTCTTATTTGGCCGATTTCTCCTCTTTCACGATTCGCCGTGGGAGTTGTCGGCACCATCTCACACTCTTCCCATCGTCATCTCATCAAATCGTCCATCTATCAATACAGCCTTGGGCGACAACCGCTGAGTCTCCTACAACAACAAACCACAAGTCACAGCGCCGTCGTTGCGCTTCGCATCATATAATCTCGCTACTATGGCGCTCATCAACCCCGTCCATGCCGCCATCGTTCCCTTCCTCTGCATCGTTACTGTTCCTCTTGCCCTCTTCGCCGGGCTGACCACAACGCTGGCATTTTCCGTGCTCATCTGCAGAGTGATTGTGGTATATCTCGACATTGCGATCTCACTTATCAACAACTCGTTTGGCAGCTTCAAAATCCAACCACACATGCGCCAAGTTGCTGCGCTTGATGACGATAGCCAGCCGCCGACCCGCGTGCCCTCGTCTGCTGCCTTACCTGCTCCCCGTCGTCGTCGCCGCCGCCCTAGCTCCGTCAGCATCTTGACCGGCGGCACGGTTACACCTGTCAACGAGGCCGGACTCGGTCTTACTCCAAGTATCGGTGCATGGAGAGACTATGAGGGCGTCGGGGGTTGGCGGGTTGGTGACCAGGACGATGAGATCTGGACCACCATCAACTCGAGGTTCGAACTTCCTGATCGACAGCATCGCCATCATCACAGAACTCCTTCGGGTGGCCCTACAACACCAGGTGCAGACGGCGGCTTTCTCATGATGAAGCGCCGCAACCGAAGTCCCGACGAGCCCACAGGACCAAAGACGAAGACCTCACCAAACAGCTCGAGAACTAGAACGCCATCGGTCTCGCGCATGTCATTTAGCCCAACCGGCAACCCGGATGGCTACTTTCCTCTTAGCATGTCAACCAAGGCATCGGCTAAGAAGGCTTCAGCCAGCAATGGAACACAATAAAAAAGCATACTCCAAATCGCCGCGGCTATATTGAACTATCAGTCACCCTGAACCATAGTCAATCCACCTGTTAACGATATCTAACGCTCTCCACGACATCCCATTCCCCTCCAAATGGCATTTCCATCTCTATGAAAAGAGGGCAGCCAGGCATCTATGTTTATATTGCTCTCATGTATATTATCATCAATGACTACATGTATTTTCCACAGGGCCACACAAAAGATGCTGTTTCCATAGTAATGATAGTATGTATTCATGCCGATATTTGCGCCGTACAAAAAGCAAACCGTGGTATCATGCTCTACATATACAAAATAGTTAAAAATTCCCGCCAACCCAAGAAGGCAAAAACGCCCGCAACATGCAAATCATCCAGTCATCCGATGCAGCTGCAATCTACATGGTATCCCAAAAGTAATTCGCATAAAAGTACCGCGAAAACTTCTTGTCCAAGTTGACAACATGTACATCGCCTTTCCTATCATTTCGAATGACTGCCTTGGCCCACTCGCCATCCTTGCTGTCTCGCTCAATGTCGATACCCAGGCTACGATACACCTTCAACCGCAGCAACACCTCATCATCAACTGGATCTCTGCGTCGTGCATCCTCGTCACCCTCCACACCCTGTAGATCGAGCTCCTGCAGCCTTGCTGCGAGGTCAGACGCCTGCATTGCCAGTCTCTCCGCGTCCGCCTCGGCGTCGTTGGCCGCCTTTGCTGTGCGGAACTTGTCTGTGTCGAGTCGGCTTATGACCGATGCATGGTCTGTTGACGAGTGCGAGGCAACCAAGTCGGCATGTTGTGAAGTAAGTGTATTGAGCTGGCGCGAAAGCTTCTTCAGTGTTGATTCGACATCGCGCATCCGCAGCTCACGCGCTTGCTGTAGAGTGGATAGTGATTCTTGAACACGCGCGACAGCGAGTTTATCGGGATCGATATTGAAGCTGTTTACCGTGTGATGGATAAGCTTAAAAGAATATTAGCAGAGTTCAGGTAATTCTCGTTGTTTGGAGACAGCGCCGTGTGCATGCGCGTGTGGTGGTAACATACAGTCGCGGGGTCCTCTGAGAGCAACATGATGGCGACGGTTGCTGGATTTTTGAATTAAGCGGTGGAAATTTCTGTCGCAAATATTTCTTTCGATAGTTCTCTAAGGTTTGGTGTTTTTATACGGATTTCTGGCGTGGAAGAGGAAAAAAGACGATCGAATGGGATTTTTTTTTGTTGACAATGGCTACGTTCAGTAGACGCGCACCAAAGAACAATGAATGGTTGGTTGGCCCCGTCGTCACCGGGACGACTCGCAGACGCCACAGCCCGAGCCTGTGCCACACGCTGCCGAGGCTCCACCAGCACCAGCAAGATGAGAACGTCATCTGCGCCTGCGCCACGTCTGGTGCCTTCTAGGCTTTCCACTGGTTTTCAATATCGCCGCTCTGCTTCGCTGCATCCAACAACGTGTGCTCTACTCCTGCATCATATCCTCTGCTTCTTGCGATACCCCTTTAATTTCAACAAACACTACCGTTGTATCTCTCCTCCGCTTTCTTAGTCCTCCTTTAAACCCTAGAACAGCTCTTGTGTCCATTCCCCCTCCTCCTCATTGCGAAGCCACCATGGTTGCCGAACTTCCATGTGAGTCTCTTCCAAATCGGATTCGCCAAACTCGCTTTGGCTAGTAATTGAACTTTACTCCTAACGTTTCCATACTCTACAGATGCCCTCGACGCCGAGACGTTCGTCCCGCCTTGCAACCCTCCACCCTCCGTTCTGCCCGTCTAACAACTATTTCTAGGTCTCTGTCTCCCGCCGAACTCAACGTCTTGCGCGCCCAATATGAGAAAGAAGGAGATATGGTTGGCATCCAAACCAAATTCAACTACGCCTGGGTACGGTTAAGCGCAGCATGCAATGCTCCCCAAATACGCATTTACTAATTATTAATTTCGCACGTTTAGGGCCTCGTCAAGTCAAACACTCGAGGAGAACAGCAGCTCGGCGTCCGACTTCTCTCCGAAATCTTCCGCATCGAGCCCGAACGACGCCGCGAATGTCTTTACTACCTCGCCCTAGGAAACTACAAGCTCGGCAACTACGCTGAAGCCCGCCGCTTCAACGACCACCTACTCGAGAAGGAGCCTGCTAACCTCCAGGCATCTGATCTCCGTCAGCTCATCGATGACAAGGTTGCCAAGGAGGGTCTTCTCGGAGCCGCCATTGTCGGTGGCATCGGCCTGGCGGCAGGTGTTGTCGGTGCGTTCTTGTTGCGCAAGAAGAGGTAAATATCTTGCAAACACTTCCACCAGTAACCGCAACACAAATGTAACACATCTCACTTGTGCCCATGTGCAGTGAGCAGTGAGCATATCTGCATCACATACTATCAAAGCATCCAAAGCCGGCAACACAGGCTATAAAAAGTACAGCGAATCGCCCCTTTTTCACATGTTTGTATTTGTATTATATCAGAACCTTGTAAATAGAATCTACGAATGAACGAGTATTCTCCCTCGCTCCCTCATCAGTCGTTGTTATGCGTTCATGAACATGTGTACAAGCTGTTCATCTCCGTCCTACGTCTACGCAGCTCACACAAATCACGCAGGTCAATCAAAAAAATATGTAAAACAGGGAAATTTTTGTTCTCAAAGTATTTTCTTCTGATCAAAGGCTGTACATTTTGGCATTGCTGACCATTGTGGTATAACACCTTCTCCCACCTGTGCACCTTCACAAGAAAGACTTTTCCGGTTGAATAATTAGATACGGATTCATGATTAAAATAAAAGCTGACCTGACAAGGCGACGAAAAACAAACAATGAAAGAAAAGTGACAGCGTTGAGCCGGTATTGTATGGCCACGAGGAACACCCAGGATATGGTCGTACAGAGAGCAAGAGCAAGTCGTGATGAAATAGAAGCAAGGTGCAGAGTGACTATCGCAGAGAGAATCCCTTGCGCTTGCCTTCCTTCTCGAGGGGACGGCCGCTCTCGATGCGCTGCTTCTTGTCCTCCAGCTCGAGGCGTTGGCGGTCGAGCTGCTCCTTCATCTCGCGATGGCGCGAGTACAGCTCTTCTTCCGATTGCTTGAGCTTGCTCTCCTTCTCGGCAACCTTTTGTTGGAAGACCATCTTCATTTCGGCCTCCATCTTGGCTAGCTTCTGTTCGTGGAGGGCACGCTCCTCCTCCTGCTTGGCGGCAGGGTTGACCTCCTTGAAGACGCTGGAGTCCTGGGAGACACCCATAGCGATCAACTTGTCGGTACGGTAGTTCTCGTAGAGGTTGTTGTTAGTGTGCTCCTTGAGCTCTTCCATGTGCGTGCGGATGAGCATCTGGCGAAGCTTGACGAAGTCGCAGTGCTCCTCGTTGTCAACCTCAATGACACCCCAGGGGTACTGACGACCGCGGACCTTGCGGCCATCAGCAGTGGCGATCTCGTTCGTGGCGCCAACGACAGCAAAGGGAACCTTGGACATGATTTCGTTGTTCTCGGCAATAGTCTCCTCATCATCGAGTTCGTAGCGAGGACCCTCGAAGATCTGAATGCCGTGGTGCTTAATGTCGGCCAAGATCTAAAAGACAGTTAGCGTTTTTCATTCGTACCAATATTTCCAACAAGCTGAGTTACTTACTCTGGCCTTGAAGCTGGTGATTTCCTCGTCGGTCAAGGTATCAGACTTAGCAATGACGGGAATGAGGTTGACCTTGGTGTGAAGGCGGCGCATAACCTCAATGTCAAGAGGCTTGAGAGAGTGGCCAGTAGGCTGAATGAAGAAAACACAGGCGTGGATTCTGTTGTCGACAATGTTCATTCTGTTGACCTTGTTCTCGGCGTCAAGGTAAGCATCGAAGCGCTGCTCAATGTTGTCGACAATAGGGCGCCAAGACTCGTCGTTGTTGACAAAGTCACCAAAGCCGGGAGTGTCCACGACGGTAAGACGGAGACGGACACCGGCCTCTTCGATATCAGCACTGATGGACTGAATAGTGACAGTCTTGGGGATGATGTCCAAGCTAGGCTCCTTGCGCTCCTTGGGGGGGTAGAGCGAGGTGTTGAACAGAGTGTTGACGAGGGTAGACTTTCCGAGGCCGGATTCACCTAGCAGGTATTAATACATAGGTAGGCTTAGGGGCGCTGTCCATAAAACTACTTACCAACAACCATAACGTTGAAGTTGAAGCCCTTGCGGACGCTCTTACGGTGCCACTGATTGGGCAAGTTGGCGAAGCCAACATAGCCAGTCAACTTTCTTCTCACGATATTTCTGGCATCCTGAGCCAGGGAGGCAGCGGGGGCTTCTATAGAAATCAGTTAGCATTCCCTTTTCTGTGTCAACTCGTCTGTAGCATACCGATAGCTGGCGAGGGGTTACCGCTAGCGGCTACGTAGAGTTAGTATCAAGACATGAGCAGACTATTATATACAAGGCAGGTCAAGAATGGCAGGCAAGTAGACAGGCAAGGCATGTGGTGTAATGTCGGGTTCGCACCATTCTTTGTAAGAGGTATGCTCTGGGCCCGAGCGTAAAACTCATCATAGGACAGCGGGTTCAGGGGCTCGATGGTCGGCGGCTGATCCACGACAAGCATGCTCCTATATTGCCTTTGATCTTTTGCTTTCGCATCAGCAACTGGAGTCGCCTGGTGAAGCGGCGAATTTGGAGCGGTGCTCTTTTTGCTGGGGACATCACCATCTGGTGCAGAGTCGTGGATTTCGGCCACAGAAGCAGATACTTCATGCTTTTCGAGTTGGATGTTTTTCGCCTGGCATTTGACGTTTTTCGTAATCTCAATAGCCATTGTTTATGAGAGGAAAAATAGCGTTGAGCAAGGGGCAGCGGAAAATAGATGGCGGGATACCAATAGAAACAGCAAAGGAACTGTAAGAGTGTGGAACGAATGTCGAGGTGGGTAGTTGAGCTGATGAAACTCTGTCGAAAGAAATGGTGATTGGCCTAAACAGCTGCTTCGAATGGTGATGCAAGTTGACTCAAGCAATCCCAGTTCAGGGACGGCCAGCGGCCACGAATGCCGCATACTATACGCTGCAGGAGCTGTCCGTCCGTATGTCTGCCGTTGCCAAGATTGCTGCCTTGTATATGAATAGCAAAAGGAAATTGATCTTACCCATTTTGCAGTGTTACGAAGATTCGGTCGGTACTGTGTGGTAGGAAGGAGCAGTTGCTGGTGTCGTGGGTCAGTAAGCCGCTAAAAGCGTGGGATCATGACGAGGGGTAGCGATGAGCGAGCAAAGAGAGCCATTGCTAACAGTTGGAGCAGCTGCTGAACCGCAAGCGGATACCATCCATGGATTGCAGAAAGCTCTCTTATCGAATTGCTAGATGGGAGGGAATAGGTGGCTGGCGATGTCGCTGGCGTGAAGCACCACAATGTAGCTGGGTTGCACTTACCGAAGCTCGCGCGAGTCGAGGAACTTGGTGGCCGTAAAGGGGAACCAAGCCTGAAATTGAGGATGAAATAAACGGCGGAAGCAGGAAGAGCGGTTTGCTCTGAACCGTGGCGATGGTGAGAGGAAGTAGCGATGAGGATGAGATCGGGGGAAGAGAGAAGGCGATGGTCAAGGCCAGCTACCAGGAAAGAGGAATTTCGGGGGGGAGGGGGTTCCGTAGGTGGAAAGACAGCCAGGAGGAATTTGTGAGGTGTTCACTGCGACGCCCAAGTGCTGGCAGTGGGCAGTGGCACCAGGCAAAAGGGGTATGTGCGATGCTAGTCCCAAAGGGGTTTAGCGCACTCAGGGGGCCACCGCGACGTTCTGGAGAATTCAAACGGGCACCGGTGCGGCAGAGCCATGCTATTGGCCGCTGTACAAATTGATATAGTGGCAGAGCAAGTACTGCATGGTACCTGTTCAATAGGGGATGGACCGCTGTAGCAAAATACTATATTGGGTTTAACCAGCTCGTATTGCGTTACAGTGTAGCCATCTAGAGAGGCGGCGCAACAACATGAGCACACTTCAACGGCAGTTGCTAGGTGCTAATGAGCGGATATTTGATCTTGTCATCTTGAGCATATGCATGTATCATTCCCTGACTTTAAAGGATATTTTAAAATAGATTTTTAAAGGTAAATGTTTTCAGCGAGACGATCCGAGACTAGCATGTCAGAAAGCGCTGCTGCTTGTAGCGCTCTGATGGAACTTCGGCCTTTGCCTTTTTCTTTTCTTTTTTTGTCAGTACTACTCATCGTGAGCTGTCTCGTTTTTCTTCTTTTCCAGCGTAATTTCCTTCGCAGTGTGTGACTTGCCCAGCATGTCCTCAGCCGCCAGGATTATGCTTTCTTTTTCTACAAGTGGTACCATGTCGTACCCCTATACATTTCGTAGATGCCACATACAAAGAAAGTATGTAACTTAGGCATCCTGTGGCTTTAACTTAGAAACTGCTAATCAACAAATTAATTGGCGCAGTTGTTTGCTTGCTTGGGCCGTCATTGCCCTGGCAGCTGTTGAGGCCTGTACCATGAAAACAATTAATGTCAATAGTTTACAGGGGCACCTCCTGATTTAGTGACCTCCTAGGCCCCGATCACCGGGCTCGCGCGGGCCTCCAGGCTCCACCCGACTGTGATGTGCACGGCAATGAACAAATGGCTGGAGGATGTTATTTGTACGCGGCTTATATGTCGGGCGCATGAAGTGTGGTAGTAGAATACATATATGAACTATCACTCCCTCTATTTGGGTACTATAATTATATTAGAATACTTTCTACTTCTCAAAGACCTTTCTGCAGTGACCAAGTGGATGTTGGATTCACAGTCCAGAGCAGCACACTCAGCAACAACGCATCTGAAAACCTAGCGCAAGAGTATCGAAAATAGAAACGTTACCATTACCACGTCTCAATTCACCAGGTACAGAAAGCATAGAACCAACAATCTGATACCTGAGAGATGAGTGGAAGGTCTTTGAAGAGTAAAACATATTGATATAGGGTAGCATACTACGGCAATCTAAAATAGCTCTGGAACCAAGGCGGCGTCAAATTATTTTATATCTATTGTTTCAGATATCATCCTAACAGTGATATGGCTCCAATATTATATAGTAACACAGTATAAAGCAAGGGTCGCAGGTAGCAGCCTGTACAGAAACAAGGCCTAATCTCTATAGACTGGCTTGCTGGCTGGCAAAGAATTTCTTGGACTCTGTGCAACGCTCGCTCTTGCAGCCAGGGCATCGGAGACCCATTTGAGCAGAGCAGGCAGTGTTGCTCTGCAAGTGAGTCTTCGCAATATCAGCCAAGGCTTCAATAAAGACACGGCTTCCGTTTAGGCTTTCGGCACGCTTGATGGTATCGGCATGGCCAGATTCACCAATGACCTCCAAATCAAGCTCATACAAAGTCTCGATGTGATCCGATGTAAATGCAATGGGAATTAGGATAAGGTCCTTCTGGCCCTTGGCGATATATCCCTCAACGGTGTCAGAGGTCTGAGGACCGAGCCAAGCCGACGGGCCGACCTGCGACTGCCAGCAGAGGCGATACGGGTTGCTAAACTTGAGTCTGTTCATGACAGCATAGACGGTAGCAGCAACTTCGGCAGGGTAAGGATCACCTATTGACAGTTAGAATTGGTACATATCATATAATACAGAGCCAGGGAATCTTACCTCGGTTGACCACAGACATGGGCAAGCTGTGGGCGGAGAAGAGCAAGACGACGTCCTTGCGGCGCTCTTCAGGGTACTCAGCAAGTTTTGCTTCGATATTCTGCGCAAAGGCTTCGACCAAGCCAGCATGAACGGGCCATCGGTCAATGACACTCCATGTAATAGGGCCCTTGTCGTCCTTGCCCTCGAGGCGGTTTCTCCACTTCCACAGCTCGTTCATGCTGCTTCCAGTGGTGGAACAAGAGTACTGTGGATATTGCGTGAATGCGACTGCTCTGCCACCTCGTCCTTGGCCGAAACCATCTTCGAAGAGCTTGTTGTACATTTCTTCGGTCAAAGGATCGGCGTATCGAAATGCGACGTATGGCTTGTGTGGTGCTGTTTCGGGGGAGGTCTTATCGAGAATCTTGCACATTTCGGCAGCCTGGTGTTCAGACCATTTTCTAATGGGTGAACCACCGCCAATTTCGGCGTATTGCTTTTGAATCTTGGGGGTTCGTCGTTTCGAAATGAGGGGCCCGAGGTACGATTGGAGACGACCGAGCGGAATCAAGTCACCATCAGCCTGCCAATTGTTAGCATATATGCAACACTGGACAGTTCAAGATACTTACAAAAAGGCGACTGAGGAAGCTTCCAACCTCGTCGGTGGTGGATGGACCACCCATGTTGAGAAACACCATAGCGGTAGGGCCTTTGGAGCTGGTAGCATCTTGGGTGACGGGAGGTGTGTGAGTGGCCAATTGGCGCTTTTGGAAGGCAAATTGCGGCGCAATAATACGCGAGGCTCCTCCTTGAGGCACGCTCTTGACGAGCTGCCTTGAGCAGTATCGTAGCGACATACTGGTGGTGCGCTGTGGTTGTTGTGTGCGGAGAGAGGAAACCGATGATGCCGGAGCAAAAGTGAGCCGGTGATGTAACCAGGTTTCCAGCAGCTAGCGTTGCCCACTACCCAGGTTTGCCTGAATTTTTGGTGCACCAGCAAAGTAGCCACTAACAGTTTCCCAGCTCAGCCAATAGCGTCGATTGTGATTAGCTCCAGTGCATTTGCTCGACAAGCTCTCACGTGAACGCGCGCCCACCCGCGCTAACCTGCCTGGAGCTGGGCCGCAGTAGTGCGCGTTTGCCTAGAACTTGACCCACGCTGCACGACGGAGCATATAATTGAACCACCATCCTTGTGCATTCTGTAGTGAGTCTGGCAAAACTCACTTTCATACTCTACGCATACGATTGAGTGCATTGCGTATTGGAAATCATGAGCGGAAATCGAGATTGGAAACGGGAAGAGGAGGAAGAGGACGAGAATGACCAAGAAATCGATGAAACTGTAAGCCTAGTGCATTCTAAACGGCACAAGAGGTACTAACGACGTTCTAGAGCTACAAAGCGCAAAAGGATGCCATCCTTGTTGCAATTGAAGTTAGCGACAAAATGCTTGAGCCACCCCCGCCATCTGACTCCAAAAAAGCAGACCGTGACAGCGCCGTTCAAGCCGCGCTTAAGTGCGCATATAGCTTGATGGAGCAGCGCATTATTTCCAACCCCAAAGATATGATGGGAATTCTGCTCTTTGGAACGGAAAAGTCAAAGTTTCATGAGGATGCAGGTAGCGGGGCTCTGGGATATCCCCATTGCTACTTGCTAACTGATCTCGATGTGCCTGCTGCCGAGGATGTTAAGGCGCTAAAGGCACTGGTCGAGGATGACGATGACGACGACGTTCTTGTCCCAGCCAAGCAAACCGTGTCAATGGCGAATGTTTTATTTTGTGCCAACCAGATATTTACTACAAGAGCAGCAAACTTTGGCAGCAGAAGACTCTTCATTGTCACTGACAACGACAATCCACATTCAGCAGACAAAGCCGCTCGTTCGGCTGCTGCTGTTCGCGCTAAAGATCTTTATGACTTGGGTGTTACAATTGATCTCTTCCCAATCTCTCATGGAGGATCGCAGTTTGACCTTGCCACATTTTATGATGTAGGCAACCCCGCCACAGTCTTTATCGTCACGCTCCCGCTAACAGTTTGAAGGATATTCTTTACCGCGACCCTCTTGCTGAAGCCAATTCCATGGAAGTTAGTGTATCCAAGTCTGGTGACGGTATTTCGCTGCTATCGTCTCTCGTCTCCAATATCAACTCCAAACAGACACCAAAACGATCACTCTTTTCTAACCTACCATTTGAAATTGCGCCTGGGCTCCAAATTTCGGTCAAGGGATACAACATTCTTCATAAGCAAGCTCCTGCGCGCACCTGCTACATCTGGCTCGATGGACAGAAACCTCAGATTGCTACCGGAGAGACCACGCGACTTGCCGAGGATAGTGCCAGGACAGTCGATAAGGTTGAATTTAAAAAAGCCTATAAGTTTGGTGGAGAGTACGTTTATTTCACACCAGATGAGCAAAAGTCTTTGAAAGACTTTGGATCACCTGTAATCCGGATCATTGGCTTTAAGCCCAAGAAGATGATTCCGATTTGGGCCAGTGTCAAAAAATCGACCTTTATCTTTCCAAGCGAAGAGGACTATATTGGATCGACACGAGTTTTCACATCCTTGTGGCAGAAGCTGCTGAAAGATGATAAAGTTGCCATTGCATGGTGTATAGTTCGTTCGAATGCGCAGCCGATTATGGCGGCGATTATGCCGTCCAAGTCTCAGTCTGACCCAACTTCTGCTACACCATTCTTGCCAGCTGGACTCTGGTTATACCCGCTACCTTTTGTTGACGACCTCAGAGAGATCAAGCCGCCTGGAGCACTTTCGCAGAGCTCAGACACACTGAAGACACAGATGAGAACTATTGTTCAACAGCTTCAGCTTCCTAAAGCAATGTTTAATCCCTTGAAATACCCCAATCCCGCGTTGCAATGGCACTACAAAATCTTGCAGGCATTAGCTCTGGAAGAGGAAGTGCCGGAGAAGGCAGAAGATGCCACCCTGCCCAAGTTCAAGGCCATTGCTAAACGTGCGGGCGGTTATTTCGAAGACTGGGCATCCACATTGAAAGGAGATGCCAAGGATGCAGTACATTCACGAGCCACAAAAAGAGAAGCTGATGATGATGACAGCCGTCCGACGAAGCGAAGCAGGTCCGTGACAGCTGACAAGCCAGGAGGATCAATAGGCGTAAAGGAACTGAGAGAAGCTATCGACAACGGGAAGATAGCATCTTTCAAGGTTGCGCAGCTCAAGGAGATTGCTGAAAGTAAGGGCCTGGGATCCGGCGGCAGGAAGGCTGACATTATTGAACGAATTGAGCAATGGGTTGATGAGAATTCGTGAACGAGCGGTGTTGTGTAGTTGGATGGGGCTCGACTGTATGAATTAGCTATTTGCACATAACGAAATATTGTATCTTTTTACGGCGTTAATAACTGCACTGATTCTAACAGAGATCAATGCAATGAATTGAACTAAACCAGATGCGTGCATTGTTTACACTTACACCGCACCGACACGCGGCGAGGGTGACGACTACCTGTTGCCAGCTGGCACGAAAGTGTCGAGCATTGCGTAAGCTGTCTATTAGTAGGACCTTCGAAGTCACCTCCCTGCATTTTCTATTATACCAATCCCTTTTTTTGGCCTCGTTTATGCTGTGATTGCTTTATTTTTGAAGATCGCTTGTACCAATATGACTGTTGAAGAAGCCTCTTGTGACGCTGCCAATCAAGAGCGAGCGGATCGCAGCCCATCACTAGCGCTAGCCTCGCCTCCACAGGCTCTTTGCGACAACCTCCAGCAAATACCCCGAGCCTGTCTTGCTACAAACAACGATGAAGAATTGCTGAGTCATTTCAATTGGCACACGCTATCTTTCGAAGACTCAGCATGTGACGGAAGCCCGGATAGCTACATTTTTGGGGCCACCTTGCTGTACGGGAATCTTGCGCCAGATCGCGTCACCAGATTCAACGATACTGTCAACGTGGCGGACTTTCTCGCCAGCTTCGATTTCTCCGGTAATAGCACGGCCCATCCCAGCGAGCGCTACTGCTTGCACTTGGAGGATGTCAAGACTCGACTGAGAACCGAGCTTGACGGCAACGTTTCGGCGGGTCGCGCCCAGCTGGTTGAAACGACCATTGACATCGCATCTCGGGCGCGTCTTGAGATGGACGCTGTACCTTTAGATGTGAATAACCAAACAGGCCAGACAACGTCAGAAGTACCAGGGGAAAGCGATGCACCGTCGGTTACTGAGGCACCGAACCAAAGTGCGCCTGCCAAACGGGAAGTCATGGCTAGTGAAGCCGCAAGCAAGCAACCTACCCAGGATCCAGAGCTTCAGACAGCAGTCTCCAACAGTCTTATGAAAGCTGTTAGCGAGGTAGACGCATGCACTTGGGAGCTTGAGAGCATGGCTCTTGAGAAGGACGGTTGGACCTTTGGGTTTGCCTGTAGCCAAGCCTGGCGCTGTTGGACTAAGCACGATAATTCGCTCGGCGCGCTCGCCATTTGCGACTACAGCAAGAAGACGCCTGAAGCAACTGCGGCCGGTACGTATATTTGATGTTTGTGTGTTGTTTGGTTTCTATGGACCTCTAACGACTGTTAACAGATCGACCGGCATTTGATTGCTGCGGGACAATCTCCGTATCCTTCAAACGAAGTAATAAGACGATAAAAATGACATATTCGCATATTCCCATACATAAGACTGTGGGAAGTCTCTGGAAGTTATTTCAACCTGCAGAACCGCCGATACCAGTGCTGGGTCCGTCTCCTAAGAAGCGAACGCCAGCCAAGTCAAAGCCCTCTGTTGCTGGCGCAAAACGCAATAGGAAATCTGGCACGGAAAGCGGCACAACTCCCAAAAAGCGAAATCGGAAAACAAAGGACAAAGACGCAGATCCCAGCGCCCAGCTCACCCTCGAGCAGAACATGGCATCGCTCGCACAAGAGGTACAACGCCTGTCAAGCACTGATGAGCCCTTAGACCAACAACCTAGTAATAGGACCATATCGCCTGCTGCTTTGGCCGAAGGATCAGCTGCGCAAGCCTGGAGTATATCCGGAATATCGGCTGGAGAGGCTACGAGACGCCGAGAAGTTGCTGCCAAACTTCTGAGTGAAAATGGCGTGGACGCTAGCACGCTTTCTGCTGACCAATTTAGCGTGTTGTCGAACCAAGCACCGGATTTACAGAAAAAGTCGATTGAAATGCTTGTGAAGTACGGCGCTGAGAGTTTACGAATCGTCCAGCCAGGCAGTAAAAGCACAACCAAGACAACTTCCCCCCCAACGACCAACGAGATCCCGGCTGGACCAATTATTTTCCAGACAACTGGAAAGAGACAGAGGACCAAATCTAGGGTTATTTGCTTCAACTGCAAGGCATCAAAGTCAAAAGTCAAGGTAGGTTATACTTGGTTGACTGCTAGTACGCTAAGGCTAACATATTGATAGTGTTCCAAGGAATTACCAACGTGTAATATTTGTGTGCAGAGTGGCCTTGTCTGCGAGTTCCCTCCGCCGCGACCTCGAGCAAAGAAGTCGCGCAAACCGGAGCATAATGAGGAAGAGGGACAGAATTCGGACGCGGAGTGGGAAGAGGATAACGACCAATCTATGCTAAGCGTAGCCCCGGATGAGACGAGCGCGCAAGGTTACGGGGCTCAAACGCATTTGTTCCCAACAAGCCACCCTGCTACCAACCCTGCAGTTGATGCGACTAGTAACCCAACGCCGAACCATCATTATCAGCAAAGCGTGGCATCCCAGCCGCACAGTACCACTATGCCGCCTCAATACCAGGCCACTGGACTACATACCCTAGCTGATGCGGTTGAAAGGCCTTCTGAAGCACACCCTAAGGCTTCTCCTTATCCAGCATCGCCCGACAGCAACATCGGCAACCGGAATAGCACCGGCTATCCCTACGCGAAATCATACAGCTCTTATGGATTGCATCCACCATATGGATCACCACAAGGGCGCGCTGCTAGTGTTCAATCGAGCGGGGTCTACAATACACAGAGCAACTGTATACCCGGAAGAGATAGAATCGCAAGCGCAGATCATCTATGTGCCATACACTTATAATTCACGAGCATTCACACAGCCGAAGGTACCAGAGGCCGTGGTCAGGCAAATACGCAACAACGGCCATGGACAGGCGAGCGGGCCGCCGGTAATGACGTGGCCTCGGGATTTGCCACGCTTTGTACAGTCTTAATGCGACAACTCCGAAGACCTCCTATGACTGGTTGGGCACGTCGTTCGTGTCATTTGGACTTAATGAACCTTTCGATTCAGGTATTTCATATGTACCAATTAGCACCATCTGATGTTGAAAGAACTGTGAATTTAGCTATGGAAGAGATGCCAACTTTTGAGGAAGACATTGCTTTTGTAACTATGCATCTAGCCAGGACATAATTTTGAATGAATTAAATTAAATGATTCTATGTTGTCTATAGTAAATCCAGAGAGGTATCAATATGCAGGTATTCAAAAGTGTACAGGGTCATCATGTCGTATCGGAAGCGAAACTACTGCTCGTCCGCGACAGGCTCATCATTGACGGCAAACTTGCTCAGCTTTCGGAGTCTGCCACCATAAATGTACAGGAGCCAGATACCAATGATGCCGATAACGCTGAGACCACCGAGCAAACTAGTACCTCTGGCAACGCCGAGGTTGCCATACAGCGGCTGCGCAAAGAGCACGCTACCACAGGCCAAGGCGCTTCGGAAGAAGTCGTTGGCAGCGAAGAGACTGGCTGCGTACTGGGGATAGCTCAGAGGGACATAGATGAAAATACACTGCATGACGACGAAGACAGTGGCACCATAGATGGTGATACCAATGGTGGGCACGATCCAGTGGATGGTTTCCTTGGCTGTCCAAGCAAAGACGAACAGGCCGATGGTAGGGCCAAAGGCAGCGGCGAGAGCAGGAAGCAGACGATCTTCTTGGATGGGGAAACCAAAGCGGGCGATGCGAGGGTTCATGAAGAAGTAGAGATAGGCACTGTAGACAGCAATGCCGATCAAGCAGGAGATGAGAATGCAGAGGAAGACGAGACCGATCTGACCGAGCGTCATGTGGTAGTAAACGGGATAAACGAGAGGGAAGACCTCAAAGACTATGGACTTCTGTTAGCAGCTGCTGGTAGGTGTAAGAGTATAAGGAGAAACATACATGAGTAGTAAATACCGTAGATGATGGCGCTGTAAATTTGGACGAAAAGAACTGCGGGATCCTTGATGGTGATTTCAAGAGGCTTGACAAGAGCATCGAGGATGATGGCGGAGGTCTTTTGGTTTCTTTGCTCAATTTCACTCTGGGACATGAACTTGTCGTTGCCAGTCAACTTGCGGAGACGCTGAGCACGGCGGAGAAGGATAGTCGCGCTGCTAGTCTCAGGGAGGAAGAGAAGCATGACAATGAAGACGGGAGCAGAAGCCCAGACGGACTCGTAGAGAGACCAGCGCCATCCCTTGACGGGGACAGAGAAGCCACTGAGAAGGGGACCAAGAGCAGCTGTGAATTTGGTTAGTTTATTGACCTTTTGTTAATTTTGGGGGCAGTAGAGATAAACTTACGACCACAGTAGGCTGCAGAAACCCAGGACATCATGGCGTAAGGAAGCGCAAGAAGGCTGTACATGTCACCGAGAGATGCACCGCCTGAGGCCAGACAGGGCGAGCCAAAGAAGCCCTGAAGGAATCGGAGGACCATGAGGCCGGCAAAGTTGGGGGCAAAGGCGGTGGGGATGGAGAGAATCACGAAGAGGAACATGGTGATGATGTAGACTGGGTTGCGGCCAATACGGGGAATTTCTGACAGAGGCGAGAAGATGAGAGGACCGACACCGTATCCAAGAACGTAGAGCGACAGACCAAGACTGGCCTCGATGTTGGAGACACCAAACTCCCTAATGATGCCCTCTGTGGAGGTGGTGTAAATGGCAGAAGTAGTGTACACAACAAAAGTGTACAGACAGATGACCCAGGCAATGGCGGCTCTCTTGCCATTGGTCCAGTTGTGAGGGTCTTCCGCATCATCGGTGTAGTACCAGTCGACGAGGATAGATCCGTCCTTTGTCTTTTGCGGGACGACGGGCAAGGAGAGTGTCTTTTCAATGTTGTGGATCTCGTCAGCCTCGAGGCGGCGCTCCGTGATGTTGTTGATACCAGAGCCGCGGGATGTGATGTGCGCAAGAGCTAGAGGCGGCTCTGCAACAGTCTCATCATCGCTACTGTTGTTGTTTGTGTTGTTTGCTACAGTAGATGCAGTGGAAGTCGGGCGAGGTTGCTCATGTCGTGCAGCAGTCTTACCCTCAATGAGGTCATTCCAGGTATCGGGCAGCTTGAAGTCAGCCTTCTCTTCAGGATACTGGAGGTAGCGGTTGTTGGTGGCCCATCGGATGATTTGGCCGATGGCGGCATCTCTGATGAGGTCCGCCATTGTACGTTTGTTTAGTGTATGTGGTTTGTATGGTGTATGTGAATCTTGAGGCGAACAAAAGTGAGATTGACTAGGTTGAGAGCCAATGTAGGAGTGTTGAGTTGTCTGCAAGTTGGTTTGAACAAAAAGAAATCTCTTAATTGAGGAGACGACTCCGTTCTTTTATAAACCTGATTCATGGCATTTTGTTGCTTGGCTCACCAGTATCGCGGCTTCGGCTTTGGGGCCACTGACACGATCAACGTGGGCCGTGAGGCGCTAGCAGGCGTATCCCCACCCAGGCGCCGGATGAGAAATCCATTGCTTTGAAACCAAAGCCGCAATCAGATAAGGTAGAGAATAAGAAAGAAGGTGTTGTGGATGCACGGTGGTCGGAGTTGGCGGAGTTTGCAGCCTTGAAAGCGTGCATGAAGGGTTTGGTTGCGTTAACGGTTTTAAGTTGTATCGTTCGCGATTGTAAAGTATAGAAGAATTGGCATAATTCTAGGAAAATGTGTATTAAATCGAACAGCTTTCATTACCGTGCACAATGTGCTCAATAGCAACCTGTTTCAATTATTCATTTGCATTATTTGCACAATTCTGTCTCTTTCCCTCTTGTGCATTCATAACGATTCATATGCAGCTTTTTTTTTGTATTACCAATTCACGCTACGGTTTCTGCCCCAAAGCAGCAAGTAGTGGGGCAATCCTAGATATGACGCCAGATTGGGTGTGTGACAAGAACCCATTTAAGCGGGGCGTGCTTGCCATAATTGGCTGCCTTTTGAAATTTCGTCCTCCGAGCGCCGTGGCCGAGTGCCGTAGCGGGTGCCAAATGAAGGGACGCAGGGGAACATGCGCACCCTGTAATGCTTCGTTTTTTTGCTGCACCTCACAAGCAGCAGGTACCCATGGACAAAGACAACAATAGGCGTGGTTATGGAGATAAATTACCAGCCTGATTTTTTTTTTGCGGACAAGTACATACAAAATACTGACGTATATCGTATTCATAACTTACTCATAAGCTCTCACTATGATTGTTCCTCCCTCTTACACCCTATCTCCTACGCCTATATCCTATATCCGACGGCTTTCGGCGTGTAAGTTGGAATCTGTTGCTCAACGCCTGAACGATAGTCCCCATCGCCCCCCAAAATCATGTGAAAAATTAATAAGGCCATGGAAACAAAGAAAAGGAAGAGTGAAAAACGAAAAAAAGGAAAATTACGGCTGAGTCACACCGGAGACGGAAACGGACTCACCTTCTATTCGTTCTCACAGTGTGCCCCTGTGTCCCTCCCACTTTGGCGCCGTCACAGCAGCGCCATCGATGACAAACCACCCAAACTCCGCAAAGTACGCCTGGCAAATCTGGCCATCTACGCAGCCTTACCAATGAAAACTGGCGCTGGTGCCATGATTAACGGGATGACGACAGACCTAGTTGGATGATTTCTGTTTCCACATCGCGGCTACTTTTTCTGTTTTTGTTTTTTTTGGCTTATACAGCGTTGCTGGGCCCCATCGTGTGGAATATTCTTCTCATCCGTCTTACCAATGCAAGAGACGCACCCCGCATTCTATATGTGATAGCACTATACGGTACCCAAACAAGAAGTTGCACTGGTCTGGAATATTGAATTCTTATTACACTCTAATTTACATATTATACACGTACTAATACAGCACGTCCAAAAGGGTGCCAGGCTCTCTATCGCCCTTTCAACTCGTCTGCTCGCTTCGTCATACGGCCCTGATTCAGCAGCTTCTGCACAGTAAACGTCAATGTGCTATTACCGCTCTTTGATACTGCATCCACCACTCGCCATACCCGCGAATCTTCTCGCGACACCGCCGTCTCAACAACGCCTTCGACCCAGCTGCCATGGTGCTTCAGCTGCTCCGGGTCCTCAAGCATCGGCTCCGCCAGCCGTAGTGCGAGATCGAGCTCTTCAATATCCGCCAACTTGGAGATCACATTGCTAAGTTTAGCAGCGGGCCGCACTGGGTCTTGTGTTGCTCGCTCGAATCGTGCTTGATAGACGCGCGCAAGTCTCGATTGCTCCGTACGGGTTGTGCACAGGCAGAGCATGTCTTGTGTCAGAGGTGCCCCAGCCTCTGCCCCAGTGAGCTCCAGCATCCTGTTATACAATTCCAAAGCATCCTCTCCGCAGGACATTTTAGCTTTGACTTCAATTATGGCTACTAGCACAGCTGGCGGGATCGTTCTCTCCTGGCGTAGTTCTGCCAAAGCTGCCTCACTAGCTTGCAACAGCTCGGGCTCATTCAATAACAGCTGCCGGAATTGTGATACTGTTGACTGTGTCACAGCTAGATCGGTCTGCTGCATGACCGAGTAAACTCGCATAGCACCGACTACGTCCTTCGAATATAACTGTGCTTCAGCAACCATTTCGTAGTGGAATCCGTGGGTGCGCTGCCTCTTTGATATGATGTCCAGGACAGCTGTCGCCAGTTCCGTGTTTCCATAGCGTGCCGCGGTCCCCATGACATTCTCCAAGATCCCGTCTGGTAATAAGCAGCGCGCATCTACCCTCATCTGCTCCCACGTACCGCAGGTCCCAGCATGGTGGAACCGGCTGGCGCTCGAGTCTAGCAAGTAGTAAACGATGTTGGGATAATCATCATCCTCAGCCAGTGCACGGCGCGATTGAAGCAGCTCCAATGCTTCATCAATGTAGCCCTGAGAGCCAAACTCGATGATAAAAATGGTGTAGACCCAAGCGTCAACCGTCTCCCCGCTGTCCCGTAGCCGCATTAAACGACTAAAAGCCAACTCGTGCTGTCCGTCTCGCAACAAGCCAAGCAATAGAGTTTGATTTACGGGACCGTCAACTATCATATCGGACTCTAGCATCATCTCCACGATTTCGGCTGAGAGAATGTGGTTTGGGTGGTTTGACAGCGCTTCCAGAGCAGTCGTCAAGACGGCTTTGGGGACGGGTATCTTGGCTAGGCGCATTTCCTTGAGGAGCCGACGGACAAAGTTGGAGTGGCCAGAAGTCTCTGCCGTACATGCTATCATTGCATCGTACACTTCTGCAGTCAATGGGGCCCGTCGAGTGTGCAGCAGATGCGTAAGGAGCTCCGTCATGCGTGTAGATTTTGATAGCTCAGAGCTCACCGGATATTGAGTATTGCTTGTGCGAAGTTCGTCGATCGCACGTTCTATGAATTCCACCGGAGCTTGACTGAGTATAGGAGAGTGAGGCAATTGTGCGCCGAGCAGTAATCTTTGCCATTGTGCGAAGTCGGTCGAGCCGGGGACGGTTGTCGATCTTGAACCGCGGGACTTGGTGAAGCTACTGCGATTTTTCTGGGTATGAGCCGAGTCTGTAGGAGAGGTGTTTCGATTTGGCGCTGCTTGAGCTGCAAATGATCTCTGCGAGGGTTTTGATGGAATCAATTGCCTAGCTGGCGCGTATCGTAATCTCGTTGTCGCTATTGGCTCGAAACGAGGGCAAAGACAGCGCCAGAGGCCATCATTAACGATGGTGGCTTGTCGCATACCGAAACTAGACAGTAAAAAGCATATTAAAGAGTAAATGCACCATTGCCGCCAAATTAATCTTGTAATATTAAGAATGTGTAGTCGCTGAATAATAATTTGGCTGGAGCCGACACCAAGGAGCTGCACTGCAAGCTTGCCTGCGTTTGGCAGACGTTCAACAAGCGGGGTGATGCAATTGGCGAGGTCTTTGTCCGCCCACAGCGCATGCGCTCCGTCTGCGGACACCTGCACGGCCGCACCAACGACCCCAACCGATCACCACACACGCGCTCGACGCTTGCACCTCCAGTATTCCCATCAATCGCATCTTTATAGATATAGAAAAATAGCCCGAGGCCTCTATACACAATGGTTCGTCAGAATCCTGCCTCCTCGAAGCCCGCAAAGACCAAGCCAGCGCACTGCCTGTCGTCGTCTTGTGCTGCCTCTCTCGCGATAACAAGGTTCTAACAGTCATCTTAGCTGCCCCTCGGCCTCTTGAACGCCGCCCAGGGTCACCCCATGCTGGTCGAACTGAAAAACGGCGAAACCCTCAACGGCCACTTGGTCAACTGCGACACGTGGATGAACCTGACACTGAAGGAGGTTGTCCAGACCAGCCCGGTACGACAAGCAACACTCCCAACAACTGATATTTGTGCTTTGCAAGTACTAACATGCGCTATTTGCTTTGTATAGGACGGAGATAAGTTCATGAGACTCCCCGAAGTCTACGTCAAGGGAAACAACGTACGTTTCCCCCCGCAGCCTGGACGCTCTCACAACACAACTAACAAGCTTCATAACAGATTAAATACCTACGAGTCCCCGAAGAAATCATCGAGCAAGTCGCCGAATCACAAAAGGGCCAGCAAGGCAACTTCAGAGGCGGTCGTGGTGGCTCAAGAGGTGACCACAGCGGCCGTGGCGACAGAGGACGAGGCCGTGGACGCGGTGGACGTGGACGTGGCAGAGGCCAATAAACCTGGCGACCGAAATGATAATGACAAAAAAAAAGAGGACAATTAAAAAGAGGTGTAAACGAAGGAATCCATGGAAACGGCATGCTAGACAAATATTCACGGAGTTTTGAGGGTCAACGCTATTCTTGATTGCGGTACAGTACCTGGTGTTTGGCATAACGTAGCTATATCCCACGTTTTGCATTAGCGATGCGAGGAAATAATACACTTTTGATACCCACGCACTTTTAAAGAACAACAATAGGAGAGAAACTCTGAGCTAAGAAAATAGTGTGTCTATGTACATGGGCGGAACAGGACGGCAAGTGTTGGATAGCGTGGTCAACCATTTGGGGTCCTTGCCGATTACCAAAATTTCAGTCACAAAAAGACATATGAACCCAGTTATGATAAATGTAAAATGTATTAAAAAAATCAAATCTACAAACAAGACTTTCAATCTATTAAAATAACAATACTTCTTTGAATGCGGCATTCCGTCCATCATCCGTCGTCAGTAATACATCGCCATGCCTTATTTAGAAGTTGGCAACAGCAACGGCAATAGCCTGGGTTTCAGAGTGAGAGATGGACAAGGAGATGTCCTTGATGCCGGCCTGCTTAGCAGCTGCAGCAGCCTGGCCGTGCAAAGTCACGATAGGGCCGCCGGTCTCGCTCTTCACAATCTCAATGTCCTTCATAGCGGCACCGCCGCCCTGGCTGGGAACACCAAGCGACTTGAAGACAGCCTCCTTGGCACTCCAGCGTCCTGCAAAGGAGCTCTGGGGGCTGGGAGCAGCCTTGCAGTAGGCAATCTCGCCAGTGGTGAAGTTGCGCTCAACGAAGGTCTCGTTGGTGATGTTGATGGCAGCAATGTCCTCAACATCAACGCCAACCTTGCTGTTTTGGTTGGCAACCTTTTGGGCAAGAGTGGACATGATGGCCTCGTTCTCCTTGGCCTGAGAGGACGAGACGATCTTCTCCGACTCCTTCATGAAGTTGGCACTGAACTTGAGCTCAGAAGTCTTCTTGTCGGTGGAGACACGGGCATCAGGGTTCAGTAGAACAGAGCTGAGCTGCTCGTCGGTGTAAGGAGCCTTGTCCTTGGCGACGAACAGGCTGTTGTTGACAAGACCGTTGTGGAAGAAGCGGTAAGCCTTCTTCTGACGGGCCTCGACCTTGACGCAGTACTCGCCATAGGTCTTCTCATCAAGAGTAGCAAACAGGTACTTGGGGTGGATACCAATGGCCTGGGCACCCTTCTGACCGAAACCGAACGAGGTAACGGAGAAAGCCTTGATGCCGTCAGTCTGGATGCTGCGGCTGGGGTAGACAATGAGGTCAAAGTCCTCCATGATGGCATCGACGTTGTCGGCATTGCGGTTACCAGGAACCAGACCAGTGTTGAGGACCTGGAGACAACCGTTCATCATCCAAGCACCAGCAGCACCCTTGGGGTGACCGGTAAGGTACTTCTGGAAGATACCAAGAACGGCGTTGCCCTTGGAGCGGCCAAGGTGACGAAGCTGCTGGCAAATGACGGAAGACTCGTTCTTATCGTTGGCCTTGGTAGAAGTTCCGTGGAAGGATGCAACACCAACATCGTCAATGGTGAGACCCCAAGTGGCGAGAGCACCACGGAGAGGAGCGATGCTAGTATCGTTCTTCCAGAAGTTGTTGCCCATGGCGCGCAAGAGTTCCTTTTCTTGGCGAGCGGCCTCCTTCTCAATGTGAGAGATACGGTCCTGAGCGTACGCCTTCTCATCAAAGGCAGCGTTCTGGGCCTTCATAGCATCAACCTCGTCGTGAACAAACTCAAGCTCAGACTCCTGCCACTGCTTGATCTGCTTTTTGCGACGCTCGATCTGGCGACGGCGGTAGTTGATGTCAAGCAGAGGCGACGGGAACTTGCCGGCGTGCTCACGGGCAGTGGTCAAAACACCTTGACCAGGAGCAGGTACGGAACGACCAATCTTGTCAGAAGCAGTGGTGGTAAGAGCAATGATACCGTGGATAGGGACACCCATATCGAGAGCCAGCTTGGCAGTCATGATGACCTGGATGCCGCAACCCTGAGACTCCATGAAGCCGTTTCTAGTTGTGGTAGTGGGTCGAGACATCTCCTGGGGAGTGCGGCCGTGGGCCATCTCATCAACGCTGTTGCTGGTAGCCTTCATGTTGGCAAACTCGTAGGAGCCCTCCTCGTTGAAGTCATCGAAACCACCGACGAAGCAGACGCGAGCCTTGCCTTCCATAATAGTCTCGTAACCGATATCAACAGACTCGACGGCAGTAGCACAGGCACCGACGGGGGTCTTGATAGGACCAGAAGAAGAGATCAACAACATGTTAACCCAAGCGGCCATGGTGTTGATGAAGGACTCCTGCAGGATATCGTTCTGGAGAGGCTGGTCGAGGAATCGTGTCTTGTACATGCCATTGAGAGCCTCGGTACCACCCATACCAGAACCAACACAGTTTCCGACCTCGGAAACGTGGACGTACTTGTAGAACTCGTAAGGGTCGGTAATACCACTTGCCAATAGAGCCTCAGCAGTGGAGACGAGGAGGAAGAGGGTAACCTGGTCGACTTGGGAGACGATGTCGTCAGGGATACCGTAGCGCTTAGGGTCCCAGCCGGTGGGGATCTGGCCGGCAACGAGACGGTCGAAGCGGAGAGCCTTGGGGATCCAGAGGGAGGCACCCTTCTTCATGCGGATAATGTATTCACCACTCTCAGGGATCTCAAATACCTCGGCCTTGTCACCATGCTCGCGCTTGAACTCTTCGGCGGTCTCCTTGGAAGCCTCGAAGGGCTCAAGGTCTTCCTCAATAACAACTTCGTGGAGAAGTTGCTTCTTGTTGGGGTCGTAACCACCAAAGAGCTCAGGCTCAATAATACGGATACCGGAGTGATCCAAAATATGCTTCTCATATTTGGCCTTGATATCCTTATCATCAACTGGCTCACCAGTCTTGGAGTCAACCCAACCGGAGTAGGGCTTGCCCTTCAATGGACCGTTGTGGTTCTTGATAAGACCCATGATCCAGGCCATCTCAACGCAACCCTCCAGGGAGAACTCGCCAAAGGCTTCCATCTCCCAACGGGTACGAGAGTTACCCCAAGGACCGACTTCAGCAAAGCCAGTAACAACAACAACACGCTCCAAGTCGACCATGCCCTTGAGGGAGTCATTAAGGGGAGCGACCTCCTTCTTCCAGTCGGGGAGAGTAGGGAAGTCAAACTGAATGTTGGCTCTAGGCTGAACAACCTTCTTCTTGTATACGACCTCGGCCTGAGCACCGTTGACAATGGTGTTCTCAAGAGCGTTCTCCTTGGTGATAGCACGGCGGATCTCACTGGTCTCAGTAATGTCTTTGCGAAGCTTGGTCATAGCCTCGTTCAGGTTGGGGATAAACTGAAGACCACCGTTAAGATCAGCAAAGACTGGCTCAGCCTGGCAGAGATCGACGATAGTAGGAGACATCAGACCGAGAAGGTTGAAAGCCATCTCCTGCTGGGAGAAGGTGCGTACACCAAAGGCCTCAACACCCTCAGCAACAATGTTGTTGCCAGACATGAGACCAGTACCGCGAGTCCAGCCAATAACAGCACCGCAAATGGTGAGGTAGTTGGCCCAGCTTTCGGCGTACCATCTGTTGAAGAGAGTCTCCAGACCGAGCTTAGACTCGGAGTAGAGACCATCGTTACCGAAGGTTCCGTGGTTAGGCGACAGAGGCAGGACGACCTGGGCGGGGCGGGTTTCGAAACCGCGCTCAGCCTTCTGAGTCTTGACACAACCCAAAAGACGGATCAAGTTGGTAAGCATGATACGATGGGCCAATTCGGATCGAGAGTCAACGCCGTCAATCTGGCGACCATTCTCTGAGATGGCAGCAAAAGGCACAATGTAGTCAAGATCCCAACCAAGACCGTTCTTGGCATCATAGATGTATTCGACGAGAGCCTCAACATCCTGCTTGCTACCTTGGTTGAAAGGAACAACGATGAGCTGAGAGCCGCGAGAACCGTAGCGAGTGTACATAGACTGGTAGTACTCAGTAACTTCTCTGGAGAAGCGACTGGTGGTGACAATGACGCGGGCACCACCACTGATAAGACCTTGAAGGACCTCAGCACCAATGGATCCGGCACCAGCACCAGTCATGAGGACATCCTTGCCCTCAAAAGTGACACCAGAGCGTGCAGCTTCTTCAAGGCAGGTCAAGTAGCTAGCAGTGAGCTTCTTGGAGTAATCCCAGCCGTGAATAGTCTTCTTCTTGAGATGCAAGAAGGGGATGGTTTCGACCTTGCCCTTCTTCTGAGTAGCGGCCTTGAGGCCACCCTTCTTGGGTTTGCCGTCCTCCTTGATGATTTGGCTCTGGTTCATGGCCAGAGAGCGGAGAACATCACCATACAAGCTCTTAATTTCGAGCTGAGACGTCTTGGACATCTTGTGCTGCTGCTTGATGAGCTTATAGATGCGCTGGAGATCACTCTGGACCTTTGTGCGGTTTCCGTATTCAGAAATCTTGCCACCCTCGGCCATTTGCTGAACATAGTGCTCAAGCTTGCGGCAGCTGGCGCGAGGAGTCTCCTCATATTCGAGGTTACCACGAGCGTCAACGGTGGTTCGAGGACCAGTGGGAACTGCGACATCCTTGTAAACGGGGGATACCTCAAGGACTTCCTTGCAGTTATCAATCAGCATCAATCCAAGCTCCTTAGCCAACTTGTAGGTCTCGCCTCGTTCGGTAGGGCAGTTGTCAATGTGGTACTGCATGAAGTCGAGGAACTTGGGGTTTGATCGGTTCATAAGGCGGATACACTGGCTGACAATTTCGCGATCGACAGTCTGCAGACGGCCAAAAATAATGTCGAAGTACATAGTGAGGGCATCCTGACGAGCCCAGTTCCATGAAGAGTCGTATGTGCGAGCCTTGAGAGGGCTGAAAACTGGCTCGATACCGGAGGCGTAGAAGTCACCGTGCTCAGCAGTCCAGAGGTCAAGCTGAGCTTGCAAGACCTTCTCAGACTTTTGAGAGTCAATGTGAGCCTTCTCACCGGAGCGAAGGTCCATCTTGAGGTAGCGAGCGAAGAGCTCAAGCTGCTGCTTGAAGAGCGCGCGCTGATCCTTGGTGAGCGCATCGATGGCTGCGGGATCCATCATCATACCAGCACCACCAGCACCAGCGGAATCGCTTGCAGAAGTAGTAGAAAGGCTGATTCCAGAGTTGGCAGCGTATTTCTGTGTGACATCGTCGAGGAAAGCCTTTGCGTCGCCTTCTGAACCAAGACGCGCAGCAGGTTCCATGGTCAACGCCAGGAGTAGAGCACCATCCTGACGACCATTACCGAGACCCCAGCGGGTTTCAAGGTACTTGCGAGCGGCAGTGATGTTGAAACCCCCGGGCATCTTAGAAGAAATGAGTCTGGCAATCAAAGATTGCGAAACCTTGCCCAGGTTGCCATCAAAAGTGGCTTGCATGGAGGCACCAAGCTCATCAAGAGGAGTGTCTTCAGGCTTTTCGGGAGTAGAGCCGAATTCCTTGCTCAGATCACCGAGGATTTCGTTTTGTAGAGTAGATTTGCCTGAAAATTAAGTTAGAAAATGTGAGCCATGGGTAACACAATTATTCATTAGTAACTTACCACCAACGAGATCTTTGATGGCCTTGCTCAAAGGGACCTCAAGGTATGGCTTCTTCAGCTTTTGAGCAATCAAAGAGCGAACAATTTCGACAGCTTGCACAGGCGCATCAGGAACTTGAGCGGCTGGGCCAGCGCCGGGGGGTGGCGGCGCGGCGACAGCAACGGGAGCGGCAGAAGCGGCGACAGCGGCAGGAGCAGCGGCGCCGTCAGTGGAAGCCGCAGCGGGGGCCTCGGGCTCCTCTTCGACGGGATCTACGTCGTAGTAAATCTCTTTCGAATCTTTGTTGTAGCAGAGGATCTGTCTTTGGACGGACTTGGCAGCATCGTAGGCTTCGTACTTGGCGGCAAGTGTACGCTTGGCCATGACACCGAGCGTATCGGCGGGACCAATTTCGACGATGCGCTCAGCAGTCTTCTCAGCGAGGAAGACATCCTGGGTTTCAATCCATCTGACCGGCGAGGCGAACTGGTAAGCAAGAAGCTCCACGAGGAGCGTGTGAGCAAGCTCCTGCTCGACTTCGGGACGCATGTTTAGCGGGTTGTGACTAGGTTGTGAGGATGATCGGATTTAAGTCGTAGTAGCGGCTGAAGTTGACTGTTTACAACTTCAGGCAACTCAATTGACCTTGAATAGATGCAAGGTTATTGAATTGGCTAACAGACGGCCGGAATTGAGGTTTTCAAGCTTCAAGAATTAGGGGGGGTCGTAGGCGAAAGTGCAACAGCGCGGCCAAACGCAGTTGGGAGGAGAGGAGAGTAGAGAAGGTGAAAACGAGGCAAACAAGATCAAGAGTCCCCTATTCTCTTGAAGCAACAATTAAAAGAAGTAAAAGTGTTTAGAATGGATGAAGATGGGAATGGAGGGGAGGATGGGGCAAGAAGGAAAGGTACGGGACGCGCAAGAAGCAAAAAGCCGTAGCGGTAGCGATGAGTGACGGCTGGCCGGGTGGCATGGACCATTGGGCGTGGCGGCTTTGGAGATTGTTGAACTGCTGGGACCCACCACAGCAAGCAGCTTTTTGGGGGAGCCTGCATGGGAGGGGGGCCAGTGGGCATAGGGAAAAAAATTGGGGATCTTGGTTTTTAGTTGCTGCACGTATCTCGTCACTTTTTTTTTGCCTCTAGATTTTAGGAGGGAGGGGCCCTAGAGGCTGCATCTGGCGGCCAATGCAAGCCTTCTCCTCAACGACATTGGCCCGCTAAACCCAAGACGGAAAGGTGCCCTGAGCCCGGCCTGCATGCACTTGCTGTAGCGCTTAATGGGCGACCGCAAAACCGTACTAGCGGTACGTAGGGAAGCAACGGAAGGGTTAGGGGAATTCAAAGCCCATCGTCCGCTATCTCTTAGCAGTTGGTCGGCAGTGGTACGGCCGCTGTAAAGCGTCGATGGTGACGTCGACGTCGAAGCTGTTCTCCTCGCAATGGGCTGGATCAGTCGCCGTCTAGTCTCAATTGACGAGATGTTTCATCGCCCGGTTGACTGGGCATGGCTTCTGATGATAAAAGAAGCTTGTTGATAATGCTTGCTCTATTTTCATTAACGGAATTGCACTCTACGCCGGCCGCGCGGCTTGCGGGCTCCGGGGCATAAAAATCATAGGCCTCCCGGACCCTACGGAATGGTATTTTAGGGGCACCGCTCCACTGAAGGTAAACCCTGTACCCAGCCAAAGTGCAATTTCAGCGTCCATTGAACACGACCTATGTACCGGTACTTCGGGACTTGTTCCTGTGCCGCCGTGGAAACCATTGCGTTTTAATATCGAGCATCCAATTGGAGGAGCGCTGAGGATTAGATAACAACAATACTGCTTACTCTGGAGCAACCGGCTTAATATTGGATTATGTGTTTTCGTCATAAAACATTGTGTTGTGTATGGCGATTGACAAGACCAACCAAGCCTATACGCCAGTACAGTACAGTGTTGAAGACAAGACGCAGACCGATTCCTCGTGCCACCGCCTGAACGATGAATTGAGTACGTGTCGCAAAAATATGTGGTCGGCATGCTATCTATTACCTGATAGTATCAGAATATCCTGCTTTTAACAACATCGAAAGGAATAGAAGATGCTGGTGTGCTGTCCCGACTCAACCCGACGAAAGCCTCATACAACGTAGCATGATGGATGGTGGTGTGATGCAAAATCTGAGTTCCGTTATCAATGTCTATCAGGTGAGTGTTCGTAACGCCAATGCTGCGCAATGAAGGCTTATACTGTACCAACTCTATTTCCATCATGGTTATTATGAATTTACCATAAATTGGCGCAAACCAAGAAGTTTAATGTGGTGTAAACTGTTCTCATTGAAAAAGGCAAAACAAAACAAACACAACCAAAGGCAAAACGGTTTATCGCTAAGCCGAGCCCTCCAAGACTAACAGTGTCCAGCAACAAGAAAGATCCTGCCCATGTACCGGTACTTCGTGGCCCTGCCATCTGTTGTCCGCCCCTCCATCTCTGCCGTGCCCCTCTGTGGCCGCCCGAATCGCGCAGGCACTGTTTGTGCTGAGCCCACCTCCCCAACAGAACAGATTTTTTGGCGGCCATTTGCTCCCCATCCTCTGCCGCAAAGTGGCCCCACTTTATTTTTTTTCTGTTTTTTGGGGTCGCTGGCTCTGCTGCTGGGGCATCCCCTGCCAGTAGCCTGCACCAGTGACGCCGCATCTCGCAGTCGGGGGCAAGCTACCTTCTACCGCTATGGTCCACGTCCCCTTCTTGTCCTCTCCCACCTTTTGCCTGCTCCGCTTCCATCCTTGAAGACTATCCGACGTTGGGAGACTAGCTCTGTGCATTTCTCTTCTCTTCTCTTCCTTTTGCAAACTCTCCTCCTTCATACTCTCCATTCCTCATTCCCCTCTTACCCCAACTTCAAGCTCGTCCAGAGTGCTGTGCTTAGCTGCTTAGCCTCTTCCTCCTCCAGACGAGCCCGCGACGCAATATCTTCCATTTCCAACCCCCCTCTGCGACCAATTCGTTCCTCGACGACTTCCTGTAGAGCTTAAAGCGGGCGGAGGAGCTTGCTTATTCTTCTTTGACACCTATTTGTCCTACTCTGTTGTAATTGGTACGTTGGCGATTGGGTGCCATTCTCTCACCCGCAACCAGCAGTCTTGCGCGTCCAATTACATTGCTAACTCTGCTGAATAGTCTTTTTCGACACCTTTCGTGACTCGCCACCATGTACGGTACCGGAACTGGCCCCCAGACGGGCATCAACACTCCCAGATCCAACTCTTCTCTCCGACCCCTCACCCTCACTCACGGCTCCTTGGAGACGTCCTTCCTAGTCCCAACCAGCATCCACTTCCATGCTTCACAGCTCAAGGATCGCTTCACAGCCAGCCTCCCCGAGGCCACCGATGAATTGGCACAGGATGATGAGCCATCATCCATTGTTGAGCTTGTCGCTCGCTACTTAGGCTTTGTTGCTGAAGAAGTCGAGGGTGGTGAGGATGATGCCTCTGGCTCCTACGAGGAAGTGTTGAAGCTCGTCCTTAACGAATTCGAGCGCGCCTACCTCCAGGGCAACGAAGTTCACGCTCTTGCGGCTACCCTGCCTGGAATTGAGTCCAAGAAGCTTGAAGTCATCAAGAGCTACTACATCGCTCGCAGTGTCTCTAACAGAACCATTAAGCCCCACGAGTCGGCTCTACTTCGTGCTGCCGATGACAGATCTGCTGAGATCTACACCATCTTCGGTGGCCAGGGCAACATCGAGGAATACTTCGAAGAGCTTCGCGAGCTCTACCAGACTTACCCTAGCTTCACTGCGCAGCTTATTACTTCTGCCGCAGAGCTGCTCCAGACTCTTTCTGTGCACCCTAGCGCAGAAAAGATGTTCCCCAAGGGATTGGACATCATGAACTGGCTGCAACATCCCGAGGCCACTCCTGATGTCAACTACCTTATTTCGGCTCCTGTCAGCTTTCCCCTCATTGGACTCGTCCAAATGGCCCACTACGAAGTTACTTGCCGCGTTCTTGGTATTGATCCTGGCCACTTCCGCGAGAGACTGAGTGGTACATCCGGTCATTCTCAGGGTATTGTTATGGCTGCTGCTACTGCGGCCGCCGACTCCTGGGAGTCGTGGAGAGAAATCACCTTCGCCACTCTCACAATTCTCTTCTGGATCGGTACCAGAAGCCAGCAAGCTTTCCCTGTCACCTCCTTGACGCCCACCATGCTTCGCGAGTCTATGGAGAATGGTGAGGGTAGCCCTACTCCCATGCTGAGCATTCGCGATCTGTCACAGCAAGAGGTTCAGAAGCACATTGACGCTACCAACCAGTACCTCCCCACCAACCGACACATCAGCATCTCTCTCATCAACAGCCCTCGCAATCTTGTCGTTACCGGTCCTCCTTCCTCCCTTTACGGTCTCAACACTCAGCTGCGCAAGCTCAAGGCCCCTACTGGCCTCGACCAGACCCGAGTACCATACACAGAGCGCAAGGTCCGCTTCTCTAACCGCTTCTTGCCCATTACTGCGCCATTCCACAGCCAGTACCTTACTGAGGCTACCAACATGATTGATGAGGATTTGAAGCACATCTCCATTGATTCCAAGGCTCTCGGTATCCCCGTTTTTGACACTAACACCGGTAAGGACCTCCGCGCCGAGGTGACCGGAAACGTCGTTCCTGCTCTTGTCCGATTGATCACTCGCGACCCCGTCAACTGGGAAACCGCCACCGTTTTCCCCAACGCCACCCATATTCTCGACTTTGGTCCTGGCGGTGTTTCCGGTCTTGGTACGTTGACAAGCCGTAACAAGGAGGGAACTGGCGTCCGCGTCATTCTCGCTGGCTCCGTCGAGGGCACCGCTAGCGACGTTGGTTACAAGCCTGAGCTTTTCGACCGAGACGAGGATAAGGCAGTTCGATATGCCATTGATTGGGTTAAGGAGTTTGGACCCCGAGTTGTGCAGACTTCCAGTGGCAAGAAGTTCGTGGATACCAAGATGAGCAGATTGTTGGGTCTTCCTCCTGTGATGGTTGCCGGTATGACACCCTGCACAGTTCCTTGGGACTTCGTCTCCGCTACTATGAATGCTGGTTACCATATTGAATTGGCTGGTGGCGGTTACTTTATGCCTTCTATGATGACCGATGCCCTCCGCAAGATCGAAAACGATATTCCTGCTGGCCGTGGTATTACAGTCAACCTTATCTACGTCAACCCCATGGCGATGGCCTGGCAGATCCCTCTTATTGGCAAGCTTAGAGCCGAGGGTATCCCCATTGAAGGCTTGACCATTGGTGCTGGTGTTCCTTCCATTGAAGTCGCTCAGGAGTACATCGAGACTTTGGGACTTAAGCACATCGCCTTCAAGCCTGGTTCCGTCGAGGCTATCCAGGCTGTTATCAACATTGCCAAGGCTAACCCTACCTTCCCTGTTCTTCTGCAGTGGACTGGTGGCCGTGGTGGTGGTCACCACTCATTCGAAGATTTCCATCAGCCTGTCTTGCAGCTGTACGGCCGCATCCGCCGACAGGAAAACATTGTCCTCGTCGCCGGTAGTGGTTTCGGAAGTGCTGAAGACACATACCCCTACATCACTGGTGACTGGTCCAAGAAGTACGGTTACCCTCCCATGCCTTTCGATGGCTGCCTGTTTGGTAGTCGTATGATGGTGGCCAAGGAGGCTCACACCAGCAAGGCCGCCAAGGAGGCCATCATCGAAGCTCCCGGTCTTGACGACGGCGAATGGGAGCAAACATACAAGGGTCCCGCTGGTGGTGTTATCACAGTTCGCTCCGAAATGGGTGAGCCCATCCACAAGCTGGCCACCCGTGGTGTCCGCTTCTGGGCTGAGATGGACCAGAAGATTTTTAGCCTGCCCAAGGAGAAGAGAATCGCCGAGCTTGAGAAGCACCGTGACTACATTATTAAGAAGCTTAACGCTGATTTCCACAAGGTGTGGTTCGGCTGCAACAAGGCCGGTCAAGCCGTCGATCTTGAGGATATGACCTACGCCGAAGTTGTCCGCCGCATGGTCGACCTCATGTACGTCAAGCACCAGGCTCGATGGATTGATCCCTCTTTCATCAGACTCACTGGCGACTTCATCCACCGTGTTGAGGAGCGCTTCACAGTTGGCTCTGGCAAGGATTCCCTCCTTCAGGCCTACTCTGACCTCAACGAGCCTTACAGAGCCATTGATCGCATCCTTGCCCATTACCCTGAGGCTGATGAGCAGCTGATTAACGCTCAGGATGTCCAGTACTTCCTTCTTCTCTGCATGAGACCTGCTCAGAAGCCAGTTACCTTCATTCCTGCTCTGGATGCCAACTTCGAGTTCTACTTCAAGAAGGACTCCCTGTGGCAGTCTGAGGATCTCGATGCCATTATTGATCAGGATGTCGGTCGTACCTGTGTTCTCCAGGGTCCTACCGCTGCCAAGTTCTCTACTGTCATCGATGAGCCTATCAAGAGCATCCTTGACGGCATCCATGATTCGCACATTGATATGCTTACCAAGGACTACTATGCTGGTGATGCTAGCAAGATTCCCACTGTGGAGTACTTTGGTGGCAGACTGGCTGAGTCGGAGATGCCAGGCGATGTCGAAGGCCTCACTGTTAGCTACGACACCCACAAGAACACTTACCGTGTTGCTACATCTCCAAGCACACCTCTGCCTTCTCTGGATGCTTGGATTTCGCTTCTTGCTGGTCCTAAGCGAAGCTGGCGCTACGCATTGCTTCACTCGGAAGTCATTGTTCAAGGCCAGAAGTTCCAAACCAACCCACTCCGACGCATCTTTGCTCCTGCGCGTGGTCTCTTTGTTGAGGTTCTATATCCCAATGACCCTTCTAAGACTGAGATCATTGTCAAGGAGCAGCCCCGTCACAACCAGTACGTTACTGTGATTGAGGCTAAGCTCGTCGGCAACAATGAGATCGTCGTCAACATGGTCAAGGATACTACCGCCCTTGGCAGCCCCGTCAGCCTCCCTCTGCGCTTCACTTACCACCCTGAAGCCGGTTACGCTCCTATCCGCGAAGTTATGTCTGATAGAAATGACCGCATCAAGGAGTTCTACTGGAAGGCCTGGTTCGGCGACGAGCCTCTTAACCTCGATGCTCTTGTCACCAGCACCTTCGATGGTGGCAAGACTACCATCACCAGCGAGGCCATCAACGACTTTGTGCACGCTGTTGGCAACACTGGTGAAGCCTTTGTCGATCGCCCTGGCAAGACTGTCTTCGCTCCCATGGACTTTGCCATTGTTGTTGGCTGGAAGGCCATCACTAAGCCCATCTTTCCCCGCACTATCGACGGTGATCTGTTGAAGTTGGTCCACCTTTCCAACGCTTTCCGCATGATTCCTGGCGCGGAGCCTCTGAAGAAGGGTGATGAGATCTCCACCACTGCCCAGGTCAACGCTGTCATCAACCAGGAGAGCGGCAAGATGGTCGAAGTCTGTGGAACTATTGTCCGTGATGGTGCTCCTGTCATGGAAGTTACTTCTCAGTTCCTCTACCGCGGTACTTACACCGACTTCGAGAACACCTTCCAGCGTAAGGTCGAGACTCCTATGCAGGTTCACCTTGCAACCACCAAGGATGTTGCCGTGCTGCGCTCCAAGCAGTGGATCTCGTTTGACGAGCTCCCTGCTGACATTGAACTCCTTGGTCAGACTTTGACCTTCCGTCTGCAAAGTCTTGTCCGCTACAAGAACAAGAGCGTCTTCAGTAACGTCGAGACCAGAGGTCAGGTTCTGCTTGAACTTCCCACCAAGGAGGTTATCCAAGTTGCTAGTGTCGACTATGAGTCTGGTCAGGCTCACGGTAACCCCGTTCTTGACTACCTCGAGCGCAACGGCTCGCCCATTGATCAGCCCATCAACTTTGAGAACCCTATCCCTCTCAGTGGACGCACACCACTCGAGCTCCGTGCACCTGCCTCTAACGAGACCTACGCTAGAGTGTCTGGTGATTACAACCCCATCCACGTCTCGCGTGTCTTCTCTGCGTACGCTAGCCTGCCTGGCACCATCACCCACGGCATGTACTCGAGCGCTGCCGTCAGAAGCCTTGTTGAGACCTGGGCCGCTGAGAACAATATTGGTCGTGTCCGCAGCTTCCACGCTTCTCTTGTGGGCATGGTCCTTCCTAACGATGAGCTCGACGTTAAGCTTGAGCATGTTGGTATGGTCTCTGGTCGCAAGATCATCAAGGTCATTGCCAGCAACAAGAACAGCGAGGAGAAGGTTCTTCTCGGTGAGGCTGAAGTAGAGCAGCCTGTAACTGCCTACGTCTTTACTGGCCAAGGCTCCCAGGAGCAAGGCATGGGTATGGAGCTGTACGCCAGCAGCCCTGTTGCTAAGGATGTCTGGGATCGTGCCGACAAGTACCTCCTTGACAACTACGGTTTCTCCATTACCAACATTGTCAAGAACAACCCCAAGGAGCTCACCGTGCATTTCGGAGGACCCCGCGGCAAGGCTATCCGCCAAAACTACATGTCCATGACCTTCGAGACGGTGGCTGCCGATGGATCTATCAAGTCTGAGCGCATCTTCAAGGAAATTGACGAGAAGACGACGTCTTACACTTACCGCTCTCCTACCGGTCTGCTCTCTGCTACGCAGTTTACTCAGCCTGCTCTGACCCTGATGGAGAAGGCCTCGTTTGAGGACATGAAGTCCAAGGGCCTGGTTCCCCGCGACAGCACCTTTGCCGGTCACTCGCTCGGTGAATACTCCGCTCTCGCTGCCTTGGCTGATGTTATGCCCATTGAGAGTTTGGTTTCGGTTGTTTTCTACCGTGGTCTGACCATGCAGGTTGCCGTCGAGCGTGATGCTGCTGGCCGATCCAACTACTCGATGTGCGCCGTCAACCCCAGCCGTATCTCCAAGACCTTCAACGAGGAGGCTCTGCAGTTTGTTGTGAACAACATTGCTGAGGAGACTGGCTGGTTGGTTGAGATTGTCAACTACAACATTGCCAACATGCAGTACGTCTGCGCCGGTGACCTCCGTGCGCTAGACACGCTTGCTGGCGTTACCAACTTCCTCAAGATGCAACAGATTGATATTGAGGAGATGCGTAGCAACATTGAGGAAGCCAAGGGCGCCCTCCGCGAGATCATCCGCGGCTGTGCCGAGGCAACTCTGAAGAAGCCTCTGCCTCTTGAGCTTGAGCGTGGCTTCGCTACTATTCCCCTGCGCGGAATTGACGTGCCCTTCCACTCGACCTTCTTGCGCTCTGGTGTCAAGCCTTTCCGATCCTTCCTTCTTAAGAAGATCAACAAGACGACGATCGACCCGTCGAAGCTTGTTGGCAAGTACATTCCCAACGTGACGGCTAAGCCGTTTGCGCTTACCAAGGAGTACTTTGAGGACGTCTACAAGCTGACCAACTCGCCCAAGATTGGCGCCATCTTGGCTAACTGGGACAAGTACTCGCAAGAGGCCGGTGTCGATGCCAAGGAGGGCAGCGACAGCGGAGCCAGCGCCGAGTATGACGGACCTGGTGCCGCCGCTTAAAGCCGTTGATGGGGTTTGGACGGTGGGGAATGGCTATCTCCTTCGTTGAACAACAACTCGGCATGTGGTGCAGACAGGAAACGATGTAAACGTAACGCAAGCCGTCATGAAAAGTGAGGTGGTGGACACAAAGTTGGGTATTTTTGTGACGACAACAAAACGCCAACAGGATAAAAAAGAGAAAGACTACATGACGATGGCTTTTTGTGTCTTTCGGATTTTGTCTTTTTTTTCCTTGTCCACTGTTATTTTAGAGAGTTTGTGAATTTGTTGATTTGTTTTTTCACTTTACTATAGATTATACTATTTTCATATTAATATGCTATATTTTCGAAATCCAGGTTCCTTTGTCTCTGCTGAGTCTGTGACTGTGACTGTGTAAACCTGTGATGCCACCATGCAGTATACTGTGCGTTCGTAACTTGGCGTGTTGTTGTGTCTTGTTTCCGTACCTGCGCCCCTCGTGGGGGTTTCCTTCAGCGCCATTCGCAAGCCACACAGCGGTTGACGGCGAGCGCCGGAGTTCTTTGTCGGCGCAGCTGCAGGGGCGTTGTTTGCCGCGCTGCCAAAGCAAAAGCTCCGGACTCCGGTGTCCACTTTGTCGACTGAGTGCAGCCCGCCACAGCTTCTTTCTCTGCTTTCACTTGTTTTAAAAGCCCGTGATTGTCTCCTCGGCTTCATCTTTTCACGTTGATTGCGCCTGCTTGGCAGTTTCCGACAGCATCACAAGACCCCGACTGTTTTTTCTTACGACATTGTGCACATTGTACTCGGTTGCCTCGCATTGCACTGAGACTCAGCCTTTCTCAGATTATCCGAACCAAGCTTCAGCTCTGTGACACTTAACGTCTACACAAACAACAAAGTGTGCGTCAAACGACACGGGCCTTACGATTGTATCATATCATAGGAGCAGTATCTCATTTATAACCCGGTCATCTGTTCCCGCTTGGGTACCGTCGAGTTAGCCGCGAGCTTCCCTCCCCCACCATCCGCCACCCTACAAGAGTTAAGACATCCCACCAGTCTTTACAATGACCAAAACGCCCTCGAAACAGGTGTTTTTGGGCACATTTGTCCACTCAAAATCTGCACAGGAGCTTGACAGTGTCAGAAATGGTGCTGTTGCCGTAGATGAGGCCGGCAAGATCCAGGCTGTTGTGCGTGACGCAGCTAACGCCGATGATGCCCTCACTCAAGCTTTGAAGGAAACAGGCTGGCAAATGGACAATGTTCAGATCACTCGCGCTTCTGAATCAGAATTCTACTTCCCCGGCTTCATCGGTTAGTCCACTGTCATTTGGAGAAGCACCCCGCACACAAATGTATGCTAACCCTTCGTCTCTCGTTCCGTAGACACCCACATCCACGCCTCACAATTTCCCAACTCGGGCATCTTTGGCAAATCGACGCTTCTCGACTGGCTACACACATACACATTTCCGCTAGAGTCCAGCCTCAAAGATCTGACAAAGGCCCGCAAAGTCTACAATGCTGTCGTCCGCCGTACGCTCGCCCATGGCACAACAACAGCAGCGTACTATGCCACAGTCGACGTCGGCGCCACGAACTTGCTGTCTGATCTCTGCCTCTCGGCCGGCCAAAGGGCATTTGTTGGCCGTACCTGCATGGACCGACCCGGATTCAATCCCGATTACTACTCCGATGCGTCTCCCGAAGCTGCGGCCGAAGCAACACTCGCTACGATTGAACACATCAACAAGATTGATCCCCAACATGAGATTGTTGCGCCAATCCTGACTCCCCGGTTTGCACCCTCATGCACTGAAGAATCCATGTCTGCTCTCGCCAAGCTGCAGAAACAGCATAACCTCCTCGCTCAAACACACATTTCTGAAAATGAGAACGAGATTCAACTGGTCGCCGAGCTGTACCCCGATTCGAAATCATATGCCAATGTCTATGATGACTGTGGCCTTCTCAACTCAAAGATGATCCTGGCCCATGCAGTCCACTTGACGGAGGAAGAAGCAATGCTAATTTCCCAGCGCCGCGCCAAAATTGCACACTGCCCCTGCAGCAACAGCTCGCTGACGAGCGGCGCGGCCCGCGTGCGCTGGCTCTGGGACAAGGATATCGACATTGGCCTTGGAACAGACGTCTCCGGCGGCTACAGCCCATCGATCCTCGAGGCAGCAAGACAGGCCCTGCTAGTGAGCAGACACGTTGCGACGGGCGCGGTGGCGGCACAACAGGAGCGCTGCAAGCTTACCGTGGAAGAGGTTCTGTTCCTTGCTACGCGCGGTGGCGCCCAAGTCGTCGGACTTGAGGATAAAATTGGCGGCTTTGAGGTTGGTAAGGATTGGGACGCGCAGCTTATCGGCTGGACTTGCGCCTCGGACGGCGATGCACCAGCTACCAACGGCCACGCTACAAACGGAACACCAGCCGCCCCGCGCCAGGAAGAAGGAAACATGATTGTGTTTGGCTGGGAGTCGTGGGACGATATTATTGCAAAGTGGCTCTTTTGCGGCGACGACCGCAACACAAAGAGTGTCTGGGTAAAAGGACGACTTGTTCACGCCAGAGGATAGACGACAACTGATGATGATGACGACGACGATGAAGATGAAGGTGTGCAAGTTTCTTCTTACCCTTTGTAAATTTCAACTAGATTCGAATAGCTTATAGACGTTTCTTTTACTTCACCTGAAGCCATCTCATAGCCCATTTGCAGCCGTGTTCCTATGCCAGTTCTATCGCCTAGCGAAGCATATGCTCTTCCGTCTACGCCGCTTACAACTAATCCTCCTATTTTCTTTGGGAACGTCCCCAGTTTGGAACTATACCTACCTCATCTCACCCACCTCACTCGCAAACCAAATCACTATATCTTGCAATGACTACCGCGCGAACTGATCATGGCTATACGACATCGGCCCTTCTGCAGACGTCAAAAGCTCCGGATCAATAGGAATATCCTCGCCGTAGGCCTCCACACCGCCCTCCTCCTCTTCTTCCTGTTCATCTCCTCCATCCTCACTAAATAGGTCTCGCTCCTCTGAAACCCTCGACCCTTCCATATTAGGCGGCTCCTCATCTTGCACGAGATTCGCCACGTTGATTCGCGTTCGTTGCTTGGGCTTGGCCGTCGCCTTCTCAACTCTGCCCTGGCGCACACCTCTACCAGTTCGCAGACTAAACGCGTTAGTCTTCATCTCGGCCGCCAGCATCGTCGACCATTCCTTAAGTTCTACTTCAGTCAGAGGCTTGATGTCCTGCGCTGCGCGCTCCCGGTTCCGATTGATACGCTTCGCCTTTTCGCGCGCCTTGTACTCCCGCGTGCGCTCCTCTTTCACGGGCCGGATGTAGTCGCCAATCTGGCGGTCCAGCGCATCCCGAACACGCTGGTCTGTCGCCTCCCACTCGACCACGGCGTCGACGCCCTCGGTAGCAAGGCGTAGGCGCAGCCAGAGATTCTGCGTGGCAGTCTCGACAAAGAGCCGCTCCGCATTCTGCAGGGCTTCCTTCTTGATCATTCGGCTACGCTGCGCCGACTTGTTGTTCCATGCTCGACCGACTTGGGCAAGGCCCTCGGCTCGCTTGGCTGCGTCAAGCTGTCGCGGCACGTTGGGCCGTGCTTTGGCCTCGGGGATCGTCGTGGCTGGCAGAACGGGAGGGTTGTCTCTGGTAAAGTCTAGCTGTTTCTGGAGGATGAGCTTTCTACGCGTGGCGTCGGTGGTGGGGATACTGGGAGGGACGCCGAGGTTGGTGTCGTCGATGTTGAGGCCGCCAAGTGTGATGCGCGGGACAACTTGACGGCTTGGGGTTCGCGTTGCGGTGGCCGTGTAGGTGCGGTTTATGTCTAAGTTTAGCTGGGTGTTCCGGGACCTCGCCCAATCTTGCATGCCGGTTCTAACCTCTGGGGCTGGTATTCTTAGGAGCTGCGGGCTCCTTTGAAGCTGTGAACTTCTTTGAAGCTGTGAACTTCTTTGAAGCTGTGAACTTCTTTGAAGCTGTGAACTTCTTTGAAGCTGTGAACTTCTTTGAAGCTGTGGACTTCTTTGAAGATGCGGGCTCCAAGGCTGAGTTGGTCCGACGGGCAATGGGTAGTTGGATGCAAGTGGGCTGGGTCCTGTTAGATCAAATACGTCGTTACCCCCAAAAGCTTGTGGCGTATTGAGGATGTTGTCGTAGGTGAATTGGGGTCTGTTAGGCTGTGGCGCTCGTGGTGCTGGAGGTTGAATGACATCTGCTGTTGGAAAGGCCATTGGGATGTTGGGTACTTGGTTGGTAGAACCAAACAGGTCGTCATCCATTTGTCCGCTGTTATAGAAGCTCATTGCTACGGCTTGATCAGATCAATTCTTGGAAGTAAGTAGTATAGCTATTCCAGAAAGCAATGGCTTGCTTTAGTTGCCTCTCGTGGTTTCTGAGGCAGGCTGGTGATAGTTCATGTTATGGTGTCGAGGAAGACTGACCTTTTTATATTCTGGATAAGGCGAACAATACATTGTCTTGCGATCTTCAACACCACATATTCATTACCACATGAGCAATTGTACGGTATGCCCACCGCTTTCCTACGATGGCTGCCTGCAACATCGCCAGGCGTGACCTGCCCACCCGAAACGGCGATGCCCCTGATCTCCATCACGCACAACGGCGCGCGTGGTTGCCAGCGGTAATAAGGAGGCTGTGAGATTCCGATCCATTACCGAGAGCCGCCGCTAACGAGATGCCTTACAGCGCTTGTTCACCGCTGCCAACGTGGTTTGTGATGAAGCACTGGCGGCCACCTGGTGGCGAGATGCAGCTGCCAGTTAGTCAGATGGGCGAGTTGCCAGCTGGCAGGAAGTGGCAGAATGATTACAGATGAAAAACGGTAATTGGCACGTGGTCCGGAACTGTTAGCCGCCTGTAGCTTCGGGTTAAGCGCGAAGACCTTGAATAAAGAATCGGATAGGTAGGTACTGATGGGGGGTTATTGTTTTCATCTAAAGTAACCTAATAGAATACAAAAAAACACAACTCCTTGCTAGCTGCTAGTAAGAAACCCGAGCTATATAGTAGAGACAGCTTTGGTTGGTAGGTGCTCTGTGCTCCTCCTCCTCCTCCCATATAATAAGAAAAGCCAAGATAGCAATAATAAATAGCAGGATAGCTAGAATGCAAAATGCGCTGACAGAAAAGAAGAGACATTGGTATCATCAAAAGCAATAGTAAAACAGAAACACCTTTCCCAATGCAATCTCACAGGGCCAAGCCGGTTCCGTCACCGGTCCAGCGGTACAACGAGAGTATTTCTCGTCGTCTTGTCTGTGACTCTACGACGTGCTCAACGCCGTCGTTTCGAGCCATGGCAAGCGTGTTACGCATTACTTTGCAAAAGTTGCGCTACAATCTCTTGGTTAGCTACTATTGCTCATACAAGACATGAAGACTCGAATGGATTCTTACCTGGTAATTCGTGCTGAGCGTCACTACAGAGGCGTCATGGGCCCGGATAATCGTTTCACAGGCCTTGAGCACCTCTGCATCCGCATCACCCTTTAGTCTATCGGTAATAAGGAAAAGGAGAAGGGATCCTTGGAAGAGATACATGCCAAAGAAGAAGGGCATAAACTCGACATTGGGATCAAGCTTGAGAATCTCTCTCAATGCTTCTGCGGCAGAAACGGCGTGGGACATGGCAGACAGGAAAGCCTGTGACGAGATCCAAGTCTCGCTGTTATCCAGGAGATCAACGGGATCCCATTTGCCTGCTAGTAGAATATGGAGGACGTGTAGAATGTACGTGCTGTATGTCAACACAATACGAGTGTGGAGGTCGGTGCGCGAGCGCGATCTTGAGCGGCTGTCAGATCGCTGCAGATCTATGGGGGTCTTATTGTGCTTGTTGCGCTGGTTCCTGTGGAAGACACGCAGGCTTTCTTCAAAGATTTGCAAGTACTGCGTAATCTTGACAGTCTGCGCGTTCCAGTGTGAGGCATCATAAAAGTCTTCGCCAAAGGTGGGATGGTTCTTTTGGTGATGCAAGGTAATGATATTACCGAGGATGAACATCAGAGGCAGGAAATAGCCAAAGATGCCATGGCCCCGGCACTGAAACTGCTGGATGCCTCGGCCGCCATGAGAGTTCCTTGCTTCATTTTCACCATCCAGGTCGGACTCATCAGGTGAACGAGACTCAAAGTCTCCTACTTGGAACAAGGTGTCATCCATGGGCAGCTTCAGCCCTGCGCACTCAGTATCTAGGAAGCGGAGGGAGCTGTTGTAGCACAGCGCGAGGTGTCTGTCTGCGATATAGAGCATCCACCAGACACGTCTCCTTTCTTCTCGCTCTTCAGGCGTCATGGAAGATCCGAGTCCGTCTGGAGCGACCTCGCGGCCCAGCTTTAGCTCGCGCGCTAGGGCCCAGGCCATGTTCCACCAACGAAGACTACCGGCTTTCTGTTCACTGGCAGTCGTAACTGTTGCAAGATGGATGTGTACGATAACGTCGTCAATGGACAAGGACGGCTTGGAAACGTCTCCGTTGGCGATACCGTCTAGATCCATATCCATACCAATAGTCATACCACCCGAGGCCAACGCTTGACCAACCGGGACGTATGCAGCCGACGGTACGTCCTGCGTAACAGGCTTCAAGAGGTCGAGTGTAAGCTTCAAAAGCTTTCGGCACAGCGCAGCTCGGGCAGAGGGTACGCTGGTGAGTGCGATAGCATCACTAGTTTGTGCAGCAACCCACAGGATGCTCGCAAGCAACGCAGGCTGGCACTTTCTCGGGTTAGTCGGGTGAAAAAAGGACTGCCGGCGGAAGAGGTAGCCTAGGATAAAGGGAGACATGGGGTGTTGATGGGTGGTGGATAAAGACTTGAAATAGAAATCCAGCAACTCACAGGCGAGCGGAATGGGGACAATGTTCCCAAGATGCGGGATGAGAGGTTCCAAAACGGGGTATCTCAGAACCGTCTGCGCTCCAAACGTAGCGGTGGGGAAGGACGTCGGGAAGAAAGCACCCTGGTTCGACATTGCATTCTGCCAGCTCGCCGAGAAGCTTTCCAAAGATACGGCGTCTTTACCAAAGCCCGTCAGGCCGTGAAAGGTGGAGTTTGAGGCATGGCTCATGGCAATCTGGCCGTTGAGAGATTCGGCCCCGTGCCTGTAGTTGGGGAAGCGCTCCGTAGCATACGGGCTGAAGCTATGCTCACTGCCCGTGTAGTCGGCGCTGTTTTCTCCACCATCATCCGGCTGCATGTTGCTCTCGTAGCTGCCGGGGAAGTCTTGAGGATACATGGCGCCGGGCGGCATCTGGTCGGGGTAGAACGATCTGGGCTCTGTGTTGACCATGCCTGCCATGTTTTCGATCGATGCGGAACCGTGACGAGCGTTGGCGGCGGCAAATGACGAGTTTTGTCGAATCAGGCGGTTGGGTGCAGTCTCGGGCTTCTTAGACTTCTTCTTGGCTGGCGCGGCTCCAGCGCCGGCAACCAAAAGGCTGTCAGAGGTGGCACTAGTGGACGACTGCTGTCGCGAGAGGTTCGCTTCAGTGCTGTCCTTGACGGCGGCCCTTTCCGCAAGCTCTTTGCGGGAGGCTTTGCCTCGCTTCTTTTGCTCTCGGTTGTACTGGCACTCGATAGCTAGTTCTGTAGTCAAAGCAAAACAGTCACTGTTAGCATGTGGGCTTCCGCGCAAGGGAGGTCTTTATTGAAGCCGGGGCGTATTCTGCGGCAAGAGAAGGGAAGGCTTACCGGTGCAATGTGTGCAAGGTTGCTGGCCATCGCACTTTGTTCGGAGCTGGTTGCACTGGTCGCAGGCTCTGGTGATGCGCTTTCGCACAGGCCGGCTGGCGTCTGAGGACTTGCGTCTCGTAGGAGCTGGTGGCGGGAGGCCATTCTGGTTTCCTGGGCCGGCTGAGCGAGCAAGCAAAGGCGCAGAGGGAGCAGGCGCACCTGGGTGTTGAGGTGGGAATGGCGCAGAGAACTGTGTGTAAGTTGGGAGCTGGGGGAATTGGCTGTTGATCTGGTAAGGATCGTGCTGGGAGACCATGTCGTTCCTCGAGAAGGATGCGAGGTCGTCCATGGTCGAGGCGGACCGTTTAAGACGGTAGGTCGATGGTCACTGCCGGTAGTGTGATGTTGATGTATGAGATGAGAGGAGCACCGACGTTTACGCCAGCGGAACAAGGAAGACGAAAAAAGAGAGAAGGGGAAACCGTTGAGGGAGCGATACGCGTTGCAGTGCGGCTCCGGCGTTGCAGGGTCCAGTACCGAGACCGAGTGGTGGGAGAGTCGATAAGAGGTTGCAAGTGGTGGGAGGTGAGAAGAGGCTTGCCCGGTGAGTGGGTGGTGAGAAACTATATACTCGATCTCAGAAAAGTCGATGATCAGAGTGTAGGAGGAGGAGGAGGGTTAAGAGGAAGAAGAGTAGAGGGGCTAACGATCCGGCGACAAGTCCAAGTCGTGGAAACAGCGGATGTACGATGGATATGAAGGCGACCGGGGCCACGGCGCCGGCTCTTTTGGCAGACGACTAGCATCGAAGTATGCTCCTCCCCAGCTGTGCCACTTTTTGTAAGTGGTGCGGGAACCTGACTCTTGTCTCGTTCGCCGGCCTCCGACAATGGCTTTTGGTTTCCCAATCGCCAATTTTGTATATCGGGCCTTTAATTCTATGATGATTTGCTCATTGACACTTTTTCTTTATTTTAATAGAATTCTTTGGGTGCCTGTTGGTCGGCCATGGCAATTTTTTTTCTCAGTGCCGTCTCCGTCGTCTGGCGTGTGCAGGCCCCTCCCCTTCCGATGAAGACGCCTCTAACAAAACACCCCTTGACGACTTTAGCCAGAGGAACGGTAGGAGGGAGAGTGCATACGTACGTCTTTTTCCAGCGAACGGGTTAGCGCCGAACGCCCACTCCTCCACTTCCCTCCCCCTAACTCGTGCCGTGTCCACAGAAGAAGAAAGGCCCTGGACGCTGATTGGGCTAGGCGATCGGCAGGCAAGACTGCTTTGTTAGGTGTCTGTACAAGCCACCACGACTTGCGCGCCGCTGCGTGGTTTGGACTTGACCCTGGCTCACGTCATCTCCATCAACGCTCTACGAGCACAAGAACACTCTACTACGAGCTAGGCAGGTCGAAGCATAGCCCGGTTGGCTATGATAATGGCCTCATGTTTCAAGACGGCCGCTTTATCCTGGAGACTTTTGCAGTGTCTGTGAAGCGGTTGCGTGGTTCAATCTCCCGGGTCCGAGGTGTTACACTTGCACCAAGCAACAGACAGCCAAGATTGGTTTACAGCGCTGTAAGCTAAGTAACGCCTCACGCCGCAAAGCCCTAGGATGCAAACATCGGTGCGCCATCTGGACGATGGGCACGCGCCGCCAGCAACAAATAAGGCGAGCGGAAGTGACAGCCCTGGCGTAGCCGTCAAGGAGCTGGGGAATTTCGGGTGTGAAATTTGATCATCATCAACTGCGCTTGTCGTTGAAAGAGCACGCGGCGCATCGTGGTGTTTTCCTTGGGGGGTGTGTCTGTACGCTAGGGTGTTGGATGCCGCCCAATGGTATTTTGGGGGCGTGGTCGGAAGCTCAAATGCCGCTGCGGCGTGTGCGGGACAGACGAAATTGACAAGCTGTGATGAAATTGAGCACAAACGTCTTTTTTTTCTTTTCGTCGTTGCTATGCTTGCTGTCTTGTAATTTCACAGATTATTGCAGGTGATGAGCAGCAGTTTGATCAATGGCACGGTGCACTATCACCTTAAGCCCTGCATGATGCACCCGTTAGCCCTTCCCGAGAGCATTTAATAACCAGCGTTTTGCAAATGCTCGTAAATCTGACCGTATCGCTCGTCTGAAGCAAGTGCTCGCCGTCCAAGCCTGGCTTCATCCCTAGACAAAAGTTCGATCGCCGACCCTCCCCCAAGAGTGTGACAGATTTGGGGGACAAAACGCCACAAACGGATTATTCCGCGAGCAGGGTTTGGCCCAACCAACGACCAGCCTAGTAACGCTGTGTAACTGCTTCTTGTTTCCTTGGTGTCATCTTGCCTCTTTGAGTTTCCATCGTGCGTAAGCTTAACTTTGTCGTAAGAGCCGCGTGCACAATACGGGAAACCGACACTCACAAAAGATAGGCCCAAACGTTGTGGTGTGGAGGTGGAGAGGAGAAAGCGAGTCAGCGCACAGCATCGTGCACAGCGGGACATTCTTTTGGGTCTAGTGCGCTCCCTCCTCCCGCTGGCAGTCGCTGGCAGTCGCTGCTAGTGACAGGGCCAGGGGGTGTGGGTGGGTGGGTGGGCTACAGCGCTCAACTGGCAGCGGGCAGGCGGGCAGGCGGCGGGCGGGGGAGGGTGCTGTGCAGACGCCTGCAGCAAGCGCTAAACCACTGGGGTCTGCAGCTAGAGGGGCCGCTGACCAGCGGGTCGGGTCCCCTGTCCCAGCTGTGTGGGAGATGGCGCCCGTTTGGCTGCGAAACATGCTGCATTTCTAGAACAAGAAAAAAACAGTAGGTGGTCCCGGAATTCCGAAAGCGCTATTACAGTCTTTGGCGGACTCCGTTGCTCAGTGTCCGCCTATGTGGCCGAGACATCGAAATCGCACCACAGAGCCAAGCTTTGCTCGGCAGGCGCACTGCTATTGCACACAGGAATGCAGCCCTCTACTCGAACGGTACGCTACAGTACCGAGACATTTTCCCATCAAAAAAAAATAAAGAAGCTTGTCTTATCAGTGCGCGCGCGATCTCTACTGTACTGCGTGCTGCCTTTTGGGTTTGCTCCGTCTGGTTTCCGCGGGCCCAGGTACTTGGTTGAACGGACGCATACACCCCCCCTCTTTGAATTCGGTATCCGTCCCCCCCTGGGACCATGTAAGTGCTGTTGTGCTGTTACTGCTGCGTTGCGGTGATGGCACAATCTGTCTGGTCCGTCACAATCACATCTTGGTTCCTCGCAGAGGGGACACCAGCATCTTGTCGTCACATTCGAGCTGGGTCTGTTTCTGTTTGCTGGCTCAACAACACGACGTGGCTGCAGGATCCGTCATCCCGCGACAACCCGGGCGGTACGGGATCCCTATTCAAACGGCGTAAAAGCAACGGCATAGATTCCACATCTCCAGCGGCCCCCAAAAACAAAGTTGGGTTGGCGTAGGGCCTGGCCTCAAGCCTCCCCGGGGGTGGTGCAGCGCCCGTCGCCTTGTTAGCCACCACTTTCCATCGCCCCCAATCCCAATGCGAACAAGCAAACGCAGCTCCCAACGGGCACCAACTACACGGACTTGGATGCACACACAGGGGGTGTGGTGGTGGGTGGTGGTTGAGGTAAGGCCCATCGTTGCATAAGTAGTGGTGATCTGTTTCCATGTTAGCCTTAGGGCATGGCGCCTGTTGGCACAGAGGGTGGCTTCAATAAAAACGGTTCACGCCGCGCAGCGTCTCGCCCTCTTGGAAACGGCACGCAGGTTGTCACACGCGCAGCGGCCCTGCAAGCCACGGATGAGCCCTGCCTGCAGCTTGGTCAATCAGCGTAATGCGCATCATGGCGTTGCTGTCCGCCTCAAGCTGAACATTTTGAGTTTCTGCTGGTGCTGATGCGTCTGCCGTGCTTTAGCTTGCTTTTTTCCTTTGCTCTCTCTCCCTGTGGCCCCTCAGATGTCCATTTTAGAGTGTGGTGGATTGGGCGGGGACCGAGAACGCCTATCTATCCCGTCCCGAGACGTTCTGGACAAGATGATAGGCACGCCAAATGTGAAAGTCATGTCCGTTTTGGACGGGCAAAGCATGGAGGTGGCGGGACTACAACTGGTACCCTGGCAAACGCAATCATACTGCAATCCCAGGACCAGCCTGTCTCCTCCTGGTGCCGGGTCTGCTACCCTTTTCTCCGGAGGTAGTATTTTTACCTTTGCGCCGTTCTCTTGTCATTTTACGCCATAATTAGCTTGGGCTGTCAATTCGGTATATCACTATCCCAATGTGTAGTCGGTGTACAATCAATCAATACCAGCAGGCAAGCCAAGCTAAGGCTGTGTGCTATGTGCAAGCCAAAACGAGCGCCTCCTCTCTGGCAGACACGCGACACCGCCGCCCATCGGTGCCGTTTCGGCAGCAGATGGCTCATGGTCTCGCTTGTCAAATCGTCGTCGTCATGCTGTAAAACTAACAACCGAACGATATCGCGCCACGGCGCTGTTGCCACTGTACTTACTGCTTGCGCCTCGACTGGGGAATAGGGCTGCCAGCGGTCGCAACTACGCCGAAAGGCAAAAAATTAAAAGGAGAAGGGAAGCTAAGAATAGCATCCAGAGATGCCGCGACAAGCGAAAAGCCAAGGTACGATGAGACTGTCCACGAGGCTTCGTAGGGGGTTGCCGCATAACCGTCAAGCGTACGCGTTACGGCATCTTCTGGCCGACTTGGTGTTGCGGCGGCACGCAAGCAAGCGGCGCGGGGGGAAGAAACGGTGCTCGCTGATGCCGATTCTCCGATGCGCCACTTCCCGGGCGGGCCAGCAACGGATAGCGTGCTGAGCTGGGTACAGTGGCCGAACTTTCGTCCTGTCGTTAGTGAACCGTGCACCGCCTGTCAACTGTCGCTGCCCACTATTATTCTGGCAGCGGGGGCCCAACACACCATCTCTTGGCGCTGTGCGATGGCGCTGTGGACGTGTAAGCAGCTGCGCTCCAGCACGCACCGGCTACGACTCAGGGCCCTGCAGGTGAGGCTCTCAGCTAGCGAGATGCCCTGTAAAAAGGTACACCGGGTTAAAACAATGGAGGCGCAGTGCAGTGCGACGGGCCATCTCCGCCCAGTCCACGGAAATGGAAACAAGAGTAGAATACGGTGCAAAATTAGAAACACAATCAGCAGCATCAGCAGCCGCATCTGATGACGACGCTTCAGCTCGACGTACCACATTGCATGAGGGTCTACGCACAGTTGGTGCAGCCTATAGTGCAGCGCATAGAGTGCTCTGCAGTTGAGCTGCGCTGGCCGCTGCAAGTTGTAGCCAACGGTCGCTACCACACAGCAGGGTAAGGGGCGCCATACTGCAATATACAGCACTACACTGGGCGCCGCTGTAATACGTGTATACAGCTGCTACTGTAGTTTTCTCTTTTCTGCATTGGAAGCAACGCCCCAATTGATTGCCATGCACTGCGAATTTGGAATATCGGGTAGAAGCAAGCCGCCATCGTACGCCAGCCAATAAGCTTCGGGCGGTTATAAAAGCAACGCCTTTCGAAAGCATTTCTGCTTAAATTTTAACTTTAAAAACGCGGAATACATAAATGAACAAAATTAAAACCATAAAAAACTATCAAAATTTTGTTCTCGGTGGCTCTCGCCTGTTAATCGGCCGAGTCCTTTTTCCCTATACACGGCAATTTAAATTGCCTGACCCGAACATTTCAGTCCGTGGGTCATAGCTTTGTTGAGCACAGTACAGTACAAAGAAAAGAAATCGCCCCAAAACGCAGCGACTCATGCAGGCCCTATTTTTTTTAACCTCTTTAATTTACCTCAAAGCTTAGCGGACTTTAGATCGCCCAAACGCCGAACTGGCCAGGGGGTGGGAAATCCATGTGGCCTAACAGACGCCTCTCGTTTAAGCTCTCGCGCAAGACGGCGACTTGATCCAATACTCTCTGTAATGCTTGCATTGATCAATTAATGATGCAACCAGCAGCATGTCTGTCTCCCCACCCATCCAGCCATCTGTATTACACACCAAAAAAGTAGCCCTCAGCGCTTCTCTGCTGGTGCTGCAGCCTTGCAGTGTGCGCTCGGAACTGCCGACACCACTATCGGCACCAGAAGCAGGCTTTAGAGGCGAGCTGCATCTTTCTAGAACGATGGCATAGCGTCCTCTCGCTCTCGTTTCGCCCAACCAGCGTTCTTCATCGCCGACGCTAAGCAAACCGGCAACTCCACTGGCTTCAACAACGCCCGGCGCTTTTCTATCGGTTCCCCCACGAAACAGAAGGGCGGCGGCGCATGGGCGGCCATGTGCCACGTTGAAGAATCCATTTGGATCGCCATCCAGGGCGACTGACAGGATGGAAAAGCGCCTCCTGCTTCCTTTTCCATCCTGTCCTTAGCATATTGAATCATGGCGGAATGTGGCCGCTATTCCCTGCTTAGCGGCAACCCATCTAATCCACACTGGCGCCGCAAAGCAAGGAGAGAAACTGGAAGGCTTTAGCCGATGCAGAGAGATGTCGCAACGCACGCTGATACTGGGCGGCTTTCGCAGGCACGCTAGCGCTGGTAATGAAACACTACCCACCATGCAGCTCTCTCTCGTGGTCTTTATTTTCGAGAATGTTGCAAAATCCGCGTGGCGGCCTTGGCGGCATGGTTGGACCGCAGCCCATCGCCGTTTCTGTTACGGACAAAGTAATATCCCGTCCAACCATGCCGTCGCCACCCCTTGGCTCCATTGCGGCTTCTATCTGTCAGTCGTTGAAAAGGTGTACCGTGCACCGAGACTCGGCCGTGTCGTCTGTCCGGAGCAAAAAAAGAGGCTTGCTTTCTCCTTCTAAGAACAAGACATCCTGGCCGGTGGCTTTCACAGCTCGCACTGCGGACGACGGTCCGATTAACCGCCCCTTCCAAGTTCAGCTTTCTCTCTAATAACCAGTTGCTCTCAAAGCGGATAACGCCCCGAGGGAGCAGCTGGTGTACTCGGACTGCAGCTAGAGACGTTAGTCTATATGGTAGGTAGCAGCGTTTGCCATCTACAGACACCCTCTCCCTGTTGGCCTTCCTTGTTGCTGGATAAAGGCGGCGGGCGTCATGCCTTCCTTTCCGCTTTGATGAACTGACTACTTCCTGGAATAAGCACATCTCATACCTGACTCGGCAGATTTTGTAACCTTGGTAACAGAAGGGTAATGAAGAGAAGGTTGGTAATCGTTATGTAAACGTCTGAGAAATGTGTATTCGCTCGTAACTGCTTCCGCTTTTCACCTAAATGCTCCCCTCTCTAACTATATGCTCTAAAATCGCTAAACGTGCTTTACATACCATATATATAATCGTTTGTCTGAAACGCAAATAACCTCTCTGCTGCGCTAATGGAGATAAACAGAAACTTGAAGACGGAACAATGGTCCCATCGATGCCACCCATAAATAAACGTCACCATGCTTTCCCAAGTCGGCGTCTATTCGCCATTCCCAAACTAGGGATTAAACCAAAATTCCAACCAGTAGATACTCCAGTGTAAATGCACTTCCAATGCCTTGTCAAATCAAGTAGCTTTAGTCAAGTCGAGGAAGCCAACCTCCACAGCTCAACGAAGCTTCGTAGTCATCCATGCCATTCCGGGCATACTGTCCATGTACGTTAGGGGCTTGTGATGAGCCTTGCTGATGTTCTGCTCCTCGAGGTCCGAGCTGACCCATGGCTGGGCCAGCACCCATATCGCCCATCATAAAGCTATTGTTTGCGGCGTTTGGCATGCTCAAGTCCCATCCCTCAAAGTTGCGTTGCCACTGCGCACTATCCGTTAACAGCCACTGTGAGGTGTCCATAGCAGCCTTGCTTGTAATGTCTGGAATTTGCACATGGGAATGAGGGGCAACCATGCTCGTCGGGGCCATCGCCATGGGATAATTGGGGGTCCCATGGCTCACCGGTGTCACTGGTAGCGGTGATTGATGATTCCATGTATCAATAGGGCTGAAGCCGCCGTGCATGGGTGAGCTGTGCGACGAGACGTGTTGAGATGGTATACCAGAGCGCATGGCCGCTTGGGGAGACAGATCCAATCGACTTTCGATACTTGGTTGGGCCGCCTGCGAGAGCATGTATGCGCCGTTGTTGTTGCTGTTGATGAATTCCTGCTTGATTGCCGACGGCGTAAGTTCTTCAGATGCGGTTGCTGATCGTCCAGAGCTTGATCGAGGTGAAGGCACATCGGATGTGCTGTACGATCCAAATTTGTCATCTGCCCTTTGCAGAATCGCTGCGGCATCTTCCGGCAGCTCGACATTCCATTTTCTTGCCAAGACACTCAGAATAGACAGGGTGCGTCGCGCGCAGAGCCAATCCTGAGCAATCTCCTCTAGATGCTTTACACCATGGATCAAATCTCTCTTGGCTGTCTTCTCTGGAAGGTTCAGTAGATGAATTGTGCAAGCACTGTGAGTCATATACACTGCAATATTGCAAATCTGGCGGAGATTCCATGTCTTTTTGTAAAGTCGCATGAGCTTTGAGATAGCACCGGCATTAGCGGTACAAATTCTCCTAGGCGAAACATGTGAGGGAAGTGGTGAGGCGTTTGGCGCGTATTTTAGGAATGGTCGGAAGAGATGAATGTACTGTAGGTGGAAGAACATGCTAAATGATTGTTAGTTTTATGTGTTTTTATATCCCCTTCTTTGGCATATTACTTACTGCATAAGGATAACGTTTGGCAGCTGCCCATCCTTTGGCTCGAATTCTTTAGGCAGTTCTTTATGCCACTCCTCCAGTCGTTGGTGAAGTTCACCTAGTTTCTTCAGCTCAGCACCCTTGCCACTTGTGCGTCCAATATGACTGGGGTGATAGAAGAAGCGCAGAATGTCACTGCTGATTTCGCAGAGACTCGCTAGCTGAAGGGCGGCGGCGCGGGTGCGGGCTGGCTGCTTGAAGGACTCATCAAATCCTTTATCAGTCAACGGCATCCAGAGCGAGGAGTCCTCGCCGGGGAAAACGTCAAATTTGGGCACGTTGCATGAGCTGCGGGGAAGCTGTGGCAAGCGGCCCATGTAGTTGGACCAGCACTTGTCGAACAAGAAACATCCCCAAAAGGTGATGCGTCGGGCGTCGATTTCCTCGTCCGTCATGGGTTCCTTTTCTTGAGACATCTCAAAGTTTAGACCAATGTCAAGCGCCATTCTAAAACTCATACCACTGTACACCCAGCCCTTGGCTTCACGCCCACAGCCTGCCTCTCGAACAGACATGAGCGCTAGAGCCTGGACTGTAACCAGGTGTGGCCTCTCAAACAAATCATTTTCAACAATCAGGCGCTTAGCCTCATTGAAGAAGTGATCACCCTTTGTTCTGTTATCACCGACCACAGCATATGCGCCGGGGATGTCCGTAAAATGGCACCCGAGGGCTAGCATTGCATTGACAAGGAGTGAAGAGCAGTGGGCGGCGTTCTCTGCTTTGCCCTTCATGAAATCTGACCAAAAGAGATCTTTGGACAATGTTGTAAAGTAGGCGTAATGGTAAGCAAAATACATGTTCATGAGGTGAGTGATGAGGCTGATATCGTTGGTAACCTCTGTCCAGGTTGTGATGGGCACGATGGCACCGGATGATTGTGGCGTTGAGCGATCCGAGTAGCCATCGCTCGGTGTCGTTCCACCCAAGTAAATAAGGTTTGACGTTCCTCCAATGTAGCGGACGGAGCCATTTTCAAGGCGAAGTTCGCCCATTTTACCCGCCAAATCACGTTCACCATTCAGAGGTAAGTAAAGTTCGTCGTCGGTATTGCCAAGACTGCCATCGGTGCTCTCCAAGTCAGTTCTCAAGAACTGCTGGGCAAGCACATCGAGGTTATCGCAATCTCGGATCTTCCTGGCGATTCTGGGAGCATCTTCCTCGCCCGAGTTGATAATGGCGTCAATAAGCACTTGCAGGGTTGACTCTTTCGCTTTGGTGCTGTCCACTTTGTCGCGGTAGACACCTTTGCGTCGATGGTCTGAATTTGGGTCATAGATGCACTCGGTGCCGTAAACGCTGGCGCAAGCTGCGCAGCTGGGTAGGGCACCATCACATTTTGATTTTCGCTTTCTGCAAGCAATACAAGCTGTGCTGATGCAACGTCGTTTTTGACCTGCGGTATCGGCGTCCCGTCTTCCCTTCTTCTTCTTGGAGGCGCCAGCATCGCCAGAGCCTCCGGCGTAGGATGCAGCACTAGCCATGATATTTAGCCACGGTAAGGGACGCTTTATGCTTGTTTTATATCTTTAAGTTGATGGCGCCGTCCGAGCCGTCTTCGTATTTCTACAGCCAGGATGATGGATGTGCTAGAGCTGTGACATGAGGCCGTTCTGACTCGTGGCAGATTTGTGCGTGGATCACGTCGCCAGCACTACTGGGACGGCCTGTAAGCAAGCCTCGCAGTGATACTTCTGAGCTAGTAGAGGTTGCTTTCTCGGTCGCGCCAGTGCCTGTAACAGGACGGTTCGTCGACGACGTGTGGGTGTTAGACAACAGCACAATAAGCCGTTGGTGATGTCCTGCAGCAAGCCTTAGGGCGGCAGGCGGAATGCGCGGCTCTCTTCAGCGGAGTCGGCCCCGCGCTATGCGTCGATCAGCGGCGGCAGCAAGCTGGGCTTTGTTGGCGACAGCGGAAGTTGAAATAAACGGCAATGAGCAGTAGCAAGTAATAGAAAAATAAGGAGATGGCGTAGTAGAGGTGAGAGAGTAGTGTTGGCGTTGGAAGTGCCTCGTTGGCTGTCGCGAATATAGCGATAGGCACTGTAGGCGTGGGCGCACACAACGACTATTGGATGCAAAGAAAAAGATAACAGGCGGCTGGATAGTTGGCTGGCAGGCGGTGGCCACAAAAAAAGACAACGGCGCAGAATGTGGTTTGAGACAGCCAAGGTCGATACTGCTTAGAATTAGAGAATGTGCTGAAGAGCGTAGGAGAGATGAAGGGATTGGGGGACAGCAATCCGCAAAGGGAAAAGAGTAGAATGTCGAATGAGGGAGAGGAGGAGAAAAAAGGTTCCAGAGGACGCAATGAAGCAATGAGCGCGAGGAGGGGGGGCAAAGGAGGAGATTGCAACCGTTTGTAGTCAGCAGAAGAACCGCTACGCACCGCTGTAGAGGAGACGGTTTAGGGGATTTAGTGCCGGAGTCTGGAGCCCCAGGAGAGGGCCTGGCGGCACAACAACGCTACTCTGGCCAGCGTATCAGTAGGTCACCCATCGCCTGAGCCGATAGGCATGGGATCAGTCCGCACCAAGCCACACCACCGGGACAGAGTGTACAAGCACGACTCGACAGGCATAAAAACTACACTAGACAAACATGGAATCAAGATACTAATTACACAATACAGAGCATGGACATCCAAAAAAGAAAACACACAAGAAAAAAAAGTACCTGCGCTAGCCAAGCACGGTCCATCCAAGGGGCGTCGCGTTGGTGGCCCACGATGTACTTTGCGCCGCCTACGGGGGAAGACGGCTGCACAAAATATTCGTGCTAGCGGCGCCAGAAATGGATACCTAGACTAGCTGGTGAGGGGTTGGCACCATCTTTACGGCAAATCGGGAGCGACGGCTGGCGTCCCTAGAGCGCCAGACCGTCAGCGGGCACGGCGCTATTTGCGTTGGTGCCCCGGCGCTAGAAACTCCATAGCGCCACCAACAGCGAACCCTGGGAAAATGGTGGCCGGGTTGCCGCGACTGGTGGTGCGAAGCGGCAAGAAACAACAACAATAGCAGGGAGTAACCGGATATGACTAGAGTTGTCGTGGAGAAACAGGAGGAGATCATCTCCCCGGAATCTGCCAATGCCGTCATCTACACCTTGAGTCTTGTGCTGCGGCGCGTCCTGCGTCCCATGTGCTGGGCGGATGCGCAACAACAGACGGGGTCCTCCGTCATGAGAGGTGGGGAGCAACGCGCCCAAGGTTGCATGGACTGGTTGGTTCCATTTCAGGGGGAGGGGAGCAGGGACAAAACAAGTGAGAAAATGAAAGGGACAGAAAAAAAAGAGGGGAGCGGTTGAGACGATGGGACGCGGGTAGAAGACGGTTGGCTGTGCAAGTTTGGACTCCATCGCCGATTAGTCTGATGCTTTGGCCCTTGTTTTTTTTTAATGGGGAGAGGTATTATTCATGGCACCGTTATTGACACGACGCTGCAACAGGTAAAACTGTGCTGATGGTTTCTATTTTACCTTTCGTTTTGTTTCCTTAAAATACGCCATTAAACTACACAAGAAATAAAGAGGAGTTGCCACACTCCCTACGGTAGATAAAGTAGACACAAGCCTGAGGACTATGTGGGCTCCGAGACAGTGCGAAGGATTAGCTGCAGGCTTCTAGTGACCTTCTTCGAAGGCAACCATTGCGAACAGGCTGGGGGAAGGGGGGGAGGGCCACCAAAACCAGAGACATGTCTGGGCAACCAAATCGCGAGCATCAATACGACGAAACGAGGCACAATTCCAGTACAGAAATGACTAGCAGTAAGAGAGCGAGGTGCAGGCACTGAATCATGGCGCATCAGCATACTAATAAAGATGATGAATATCAACGCCTCCATGCAATGCAAGATACAGCGTGTGCATTGACAACAGAAAAGCCCGACGCCGGGGAACGGGCCATGTACCGTCTTTTTTTTCCCACTTCGTTCTCTCGTGTCTCCTCCGGGCTAGGCAGCGAACAAAAACTGGCGAAAAGGTCACTATGCTCTAGCGTCATGCAAGGCAATGACAGTGGCAGAATCTTGCCTTGGTTGGGCTTGGGCGCCCTGGTCGGCCGGCGGTAAATCAGCGCTGGCGCTAGTCCTGCACGATTCTAACATAGTTAGCAGTACCAACACTCAACGCTAGTGGTCGTCGCCGCGTCTTTCAGGGGGGCGCCGGACAGAAGAGGAGACTGCCCACTTGCCAGTTGACCATGTGCGTATCTGCTTTTCTAATGGTTGTCCCGCTTCGTAGCCTGGTCGTCTTTGTTCCTGTTCATCCACTCTGTCGGTAACACCATCCATCCAATCTTGCTTTGGATTATTAATGCGCCATGGAGAGACCGAGGGGCCGGCCAAGTATGCACGAGACCGATAATTAAAAAGGCAAACAAACTAGAAAAACGCCGGGCCAGGCTAGGCCAGGCTGCACGGGAGGGGGGTGGTGCTTTTTGGCTTGGAGGGGAGGGGCGGCCCTGTATTGCCACCAACCGGCAGCGATGGCGGATCAGCACGCCATTCAACTGCACCCAAGGAAATCAACGGCAGTTCTTTGACGACGCCGTTTGGCTTTCTGGTTGGGTGTCTGTGGCCTGCACAGCCTGAGACACACATCTACTCGCTACCACCACAGGACGGCCCATGCGCCAGCCGACTAAGTACGAATACCTACGCCTACGAGCAATTCAGGCGACGGGTATTGATGCTGGGGAGCCGTGTAATTACGCGAGATGCAAGACGCTGATTCAAGAAATAGAAATATCCCCAGGTCAAACCAGGCTTCATCTCAGCGGACCACTTTGTGCGCTCGTCCAGTCCACGTTTTTTTCTGAATCGTGACCCCCCCGTTTCCTGCCACTACCAGCAAAGAAAGAGGCCGGTCTCAGCTGGGCCCCTCTTCTATCGACGTTAGCTGCTTCTATTGTTCCTCTCTTTCCAGTGCATTCGGCCTCTGTAGCATCACGCCGCATAGCTTGGCCCCGCCGGGTCACCGTAGCCCGCTGCCGCGGTATCCACGACGGCTCTCTCCTGTGGATCAATATCATGCTCTGGAGCGACTTTGTGGGCACGTTACCATGTTGCAGGGTTCACGCCGCAAGTCAGTCCAGTAGCCTCTCACCCCTTTCAACCCACCCGGGTATTGCATGCGACCAAATTACTCGTTCAATCCCCAAGCCATCATCTTACTCCAGACAAAAGATCCTGGGCTTGGTCCCTGTTCAACACGTGTTGTGGCGAGATGGTGAGTACGGGGGCGGGCCGGTATGCTGTGAAATGATTGTTTTAATCTACACTGACTCGACTCAAAGATATAATACACAGGACACTAGCTATAGTATCAGACACATCACTTTGTCCATCTTGCCCCTTTCGGTCCCTTCCCCCACGACTGTTTTACATTTCCCCCGTCCCGCGTCGTCGTTCCACCAAAACGACTCGCGCTGCTATTACTGCTTCTCAGTTGCTTATTTTGTTACGTCAATCGAGACATTCAGCCACGCTGCAAGTACCAGTTGTGCGTCAACTGGCTGGTAATGTAACTAAACGGCGTCGGTACTTCTGCCAGACCCTTTCTGGCCACCGGGTGGCGCAGATAGACCGCGGCGCAAATGTTCTGGTTGACTTCCAGGTATCGCGGGATAAAGGCAAACGCCGACATGTAGGGGCGAGGCTGCCATGGCGTAGCGTATGGCTTGGTATGATCCACTGGGTTTTCTTCCTCAAGCTGAAGCATGCGCGCAAGTGAGCGCAATTCTTCCCGCGTAAGTTGTGAGTCGCCAATAATGCGTACCGCCTTTTGCTTCTGCTCTGCGTTCAACTCGGCCAGTCCCTTGCCAAGCTCGCGGTCCTTGTTTTGGCTCTTTGCCTCTGCTGGTGGGGAAGCCTTTTTAGGCGCGGCATCGGCCGAGACGCTGAGCCCTTCAAACGCCTCCCGCATGGATTCGTGGTTCTCCATCTGGCTCTTGAGTGCGTCAACCATTTCCTTGGCGCTCATGTCGCTGCTCTCGGGATGCGACAGGAATCGCTTCGCATCAGCACGGAAGAGTCTCAAAACTTTCTTATCCTTGGCTGATAACGTCTCGGGCGTGTTCTTGAGCATCTTCTTAACGTCCTTAAGCAGCACCTTTAGGGACTTGTTGTTCAAGCGCCAGCTCTCCTCTGGGGTAAGGGATTCAACTCCGAGTGCCTCAGCCGCAGTAGCCTCGGTTTCGCCCTTGGCTTCAGCATCGCCTTCGTCAGCGTTTGTTTCTTCTGCACCGGCAGCAGCTTCTGTAGTAGCCGCTGCACTCGCCTTGGCTTTGGCAGCGCTGCTGTTCATTACAAAGTCATTCTCAAGCTTGGCGGCCTTCTTTTGACGGGCCTCAAGGTTCTCGATGATTCGCTTGTCACTAGATGCAGTCTTTTGCTGTCCCGTAGCATAAAGGACCTTGTCAACCTCGACTTGGAACATATCGCCAGGGTTAAGCTGGTATGAAGGGTGTACCATCTTCTTTCCATTGACTGTGACGGCACCGTGGATGATAAATTGTCTCGCTTGACGCACGCTAGATGCAAAAAGAGCTCTAAAGATAGCCGTGTCTAGGCGGCGCTCCATAGGCGCAAAAGTCATTTGCATGTACGGCGTCATCTTGGCGACATGAGACTCCAAAAGGGCGTTGGTGGTAGGAGGGGGTCGTTCGTATCGGAATCGTGAAGGTGCAGGTGCGGCTTCTGTCGAGTATGATTCTGCCGTCAGGGCCGAATCCGTTCGTCCAGAGCCACGTCCTGTGGCCTGTTCGGAGCCGTCGTGTAGAGCCAAGTATTTGGGGGGCATATCGACAGCAGAGAGAAGTCGAGGAGAAAAGAGGCGCACCCATTTCTTCTCCGGGACATGCTCGCCGTGGTATCCTCGCGTTTTCGATTTAGCGGCCCATTTCTGCTGGAAGAATGTAGGTTGTCCACGAATCACAGGCTCTCTGCCAACTGATCTGGACATGTTGTAAAGGTTGTATTTGTTCCATGATTGTCGCAATTTCTATGCCGCCAGAGTGTTAGTATCGTCTGTCCCGAGACACTCTGTATTTCAATTGCAGATGTGATAGACATACCGGCCGGTTAAGGCTGAAAAACCGATGTGTTTTGCGCATTTTGTTGGCAATTGAATTTCTCGCGTGATGCGACAAAAAGAATTGCTTGACATTCAGGAGCTTGTCGTCAGGCCACCAAAATTTTGGTGCCCGCTGTTTTTCCGAGTCCTCAGGACAGGCTGATCAGCTGACCAGCGCCTCTGCTGGCGCGCGGGAGACGCCGCACATTTACAGTGGGGCCACTAAACGCGGTTGTAAGTGGGCGGACGCGTTGTAAGTCAACCAGCAACCAGCAAACAATGCCTACAAAGAGGTCGACATAGCATGTTCTAAGCGGCATAGACAACCCGGCATCACGCATAAAATCACCCATTTGCCACTCCTGCATATTAATTCCTGAGTGTCAATTTTGCAGAATGCTTTCGACATCATTGCCCGTGGCACCTCCCGCAACGGAGTCTCTCAAGAGATCGAGGCCACACGATGACGCCCTTCCTCCCAGACCGCGAATGCCATTTCTTGAAGATGATGATGACGAATCCGACGAAGACACAGATGTTGTTGCCGAAAGATCTGCCAAGCGGCTCCGTGTCGAGGATGATACCAACAAAGAAGACGCGACAAATCCGGATAACGAGCCAAACTCCGCGACACAGCAGCCCGAATCCAACGAGACGAATAACGAACCCGCGAAGGAGCCAGTAAATATTCCCAGTGCTCCTGGAACTTCAGGCACGGCGCTTTCGGATGTTCTGGAATCGGCGGGCTTAGTCCAGTCTCAACCGTCGGTAGTCTCTGCCATCTTGGCGAACTACAAGATGACGAGCTGTCGAGGTGCCTCACGAACTATCAGAGAACGTGCACCTACAGTCGCTGTATCATACGATACAATGGTTGCAGCTAGATCAAAAACAAAAGATGGAAGAGCGAAGCGGAGTTATTATGGCATTGATATCCACGAATTAATGGCTGGGGCCACTACAGAGATTAATCAACAAAAGGAGAAGCGAGCCGAGCCCAGGGTAACAGCCGCAACTCCTATACCCTCGATTGAGAAATCACCCACGTCTGTCAAACGTCCGAAGAAATCACTGTTATGGACCGAGAAGTACCGTGCTCGCAACTTTATGGATCTCTGCGGCGATGACGGTACCAACCGAACAGTCTTGCGATGGTTGAAGAGGTGGGATCCGGTCGTGTTCCCTGGAGCAGCAAAACCAAAACCAGTCGTCCACCGTCGCCCTGGAGGTTTCCACGAGGAGGAGGAGAGACCACATCGCAAGATCCTGCTTCTTACTGGCCCTCCCGGCTTGGGCAAGACCACTCTTGCTCACGTTTGCGCCAGACAAGCAGGATACGAAGTCATGGAAATCAATGCTAGTGATGACCGCAGTCGAGATGTTGTCAAAACACGAATCAGAACAAGTTTGGGAACAGAGAGCGTCAAGGCAGTTGCCAATCAAAAAGATGCAGACGGTGCGCGCAAGGTGGCCAAGCCTGCATGCGTCATCGTTGATGAAGTCGATGGCGTCGTCACTGGCTCTGGTGGTGCGGGAGAAGGTGGCTTTGTGAAAGCACTTATCGACCTAGTGCTCACCGATCAACGAAACGAAGCAGCGGGTAAAACAGATTCCAACAGCACCAAAAAGAAGAAGGGCGATGACTTCCGTCTACTAAGGCCGCTTATCTTGATCTGTAACGACGTCTACAGTCCTTCCCTCCGACCCCTTCGCCAATCCAACTTGGCAGAGATCATTCATGTTGGCAGACCCACGCTGGACGCCGTTGTTGGACGTCTCCAATCAGTTTTCGAAAAGGAAGGCATTCCTTGTGACAAGGATGCCTCCCGAAAGCTCTGTGAGGCAGCTTGGGGTATAACTAGTGGTATCGACGCCAGGAGAGGAGCTGCTAGCACAGTCGAGGGCGACCTCCGTGGCGTTATGGTTGTTGGCGAATGGGTTGCAGGAAGATTCAAATCTACCAGACTGCACACCCCTACAGAGCGACTCAGCAGACAGTGGATTGAGAAGAACATCATTCACGACCTGTCTAGTGGCGCGGCTGGATCGCGCGGACTCGGCCGAGGTAGCGTCAAGGACATTGTGACGCGCCTCTTCCAAGAAGGCGGCGGTTTCCCAAAGCAGGCCTTGGTCCTAGGCGATGCCAAGAACGCTGATGAGCAGCCAAAGACGGAGCTAGGCTTTAACGAATACCACAAGAAGCATGCCATGGATCGCCTGAGACAAATGATTGACACCAGCGGCGAGATCAGCCATATCATGACCGAAATCATGGCAGAGTATCCCAACCGAGAGTACAACGACGACTGCTACCTGAACAAGCCGAATCAAGCGTACGACTGGCTCCATTTCCACGACGCTTGCCAGTCTCGTCTATATGCCAGCCAGGAATGGGAGCTGGCTCCTTATCTGTCACAACCCATCCTTGCCTGTCATCATCTTTTCGCTTCGCCAAAGCGCCATTTCAACGCCACCGGTGGATATACAAACCGCTGGGGGGCTAATGACGAAACTAAAGAAGAAATTGTACTCCCGTTCTCCGGTCCTCGCGCCGATTACATGGCAAATGAGGCAGAAAAGGCCAACCGATCCCAGCTGCAGGCGATGCAGAGCCAACTGAGCCCCTCGCTTATGCGATCATTCCGCAGCGCCGAAGACATGGCGACGGATTTCCTGCCGTACCTCTCCCGCATGGTATCTCCAGACGTCCGACCCGTCGTTGTCGGTGGAAGTCAAGGATCAATGGCGAGTGTACGCAAGGAAAGTGAGCGCCTCATGGTAAAGCGTGCTGTTGAAACCCTTGCCGAGCTAAGCATCAGCTTGGTAAAAGGTACTCTGGAGAGTAAGGCGGTTTCCAGCCGTGGACCAGAGTTTGTATATCGTCTTGAGCCGTAAGTACAGCATAGTGGCAGCTCCTTCTGTTTATCAACTAACCATTTTGCAGCGACATTGACGCCCTCGCTACCTTTGAAACCGCCGCCAACTTGCTCTCTTCGCAAGCACCTACACGATACGCCGTGCGCCAAGTCCTCGATCAAGAACTCCGCCGAGCCCGCGTCGCAAGGGACAACTTGGCCCGCCAGGCACGCTTCCAAGCAGGACACCCGTCGTCCACTGCGGAAGCTGCGCCTGGTTTGGCAAGTCTGAGCCAGTTTGACGTGGATAAGGAGAACATGCCAGCAGCAGAAGCAGTCGTTAAGCGCGACTTCTTTGGCCGCATCATTGAGTCTCAGCCCCTGGCGGAAATTGATCGCAATATCGCGGAACGAAATGCCCGTCGCCAAGAGACGCAAAAGGTATGGGTGACGTTCCACGAAGGCTTAAACAATGCTGTCCGAAAGCCCATTACACTATCCGAGTTTCTCAAAGCACTTTAAATAGGAAAGTGTGTGTTTGTGATAAAGGGCACGAGACATGTTTTTTTTGGCATTTTGTTATTAGAATAATTGCATCTTCATAGCGAGCACAAGTAAACCTTTCATTTTGATATATGGGAAAATGAACTACATTCTACAAGATCTACATACTTCCTCCGTGATATTGACGTGTAAACCCAGCGCCTCGTATATGCCAAAAACTATCAGCTGCAATATCTTTACAGCTTCGACTTGGGACGCTGAGCAGGTGTCTTGAGAACATCGTAGACACTTTGAGAAAGCGAGTCGGAGGGTATATAGCTGTGGTTTGCCAGACTGCGTGTGTCTACCATGGAGGGTGTCAAGTGCTCAATGGTCGGGGCGCCAATCAGGCGCATGTTCATCTCGAGCTCGTCCTTGAGCAGCTGCATTGCCCTGTTGACACCGTCCTCGCCGTAGCCGCTCATGGCGTACAGGAATGGACGGCCAATGCCTACACCCTTGGCACCCAGGCACAGCGCCTTGACAATGTCGCTGGCTCTGCGCACACCACCGTCGATGAAGATCTCAATCTTCTTCTCCAAGCCACGCTCGCGCAGCATGGGCATCACCTCAGCGAGAACCTCTACGCCTGAAGGCGCAGTATCGAGCTGACGGCCACCGTGGTTGGACAGAACGACACCCTGAACACCGGCATCGATGGCGCGGAAGACATCCTCGGTACGTTGAACACCCTTGAGAATGATAGGCATCTTGGTAATGCTCTTGAACCATGGGATATCGCCCCAGTTGAGAGACGGGTCAATGAAGGAGGAAATGGCGCGCGCAGCACCCTGGCTGTTGTCGGTTTGCTGTCCACTCTGGACATCGCTGCCCTGTTCGTCAAACTTGGAGCGCATGTCCTTTTCGCGACGACCGAGCTGGGGAGCATCGACAGTGATAAAGAGACCCTTGCAGCCGCGGGCTTCGGCATGCTGGACAATGCGTTTCGTGATTGCACGGTCCTTGTTCACGTACAGCTGGAGCCATTGGACCTGGTCGCCCTTCTTCGCGTCAACAATCTCGTCAAAGGAGCATGAGGCTAGTGTGGGAATCATCTGGATAGCACCGTGGTTGTGAGCCGCACGGGTAAGGACAACCTCACCCTCAGGATTACCCAGCTTGCCAAGTGCGGTAGCGGTGACGTAGAAGGGAACGCTCGTTTTGGAGCCGAGCATCGTGGTGGAGTAGTCAATGTGTTCGACGTCAACGAGGACTTGGGGTCGGAACCAAATACGGTGGAAGGCGGTATGGTTTTCGCGCAATGTCTATAATTTTGCATATTAGCATTCAACGTAGCAATCCTCACATGGTAAATTCAACGTTTGACGTACGATTTCATCGTCGGCAGCACTGGAATAATATCCCCAGGCGGTCTTCTTCATGACGCGGCGAGCAACAGCCTCGAAGTCGAGCAAGTTGTAGCACTGGGAGAGATGTGGCTTAAGAGCCTCACGCTCCTGGCGAGCAATCTCATCTGGGTCAGCATTCTTGGCTGTTTCCCTTTCCACAGTGTTCATGTCGACGGAGCCGAGGTGCTTGGAGGCATCGAGGTATTTGTCCAGAGTGTCGGGCGGGTGGATGGGGTCAAACTCTTCGGTAGCATCTTTACCCTGCATCAATTATTAGCAAATAGCGATGCCAGTGATGAGATCCAAGCGCATCATACAGCATATTTAAGGATAATTTTCGAACCGCCGGGGTGTTCTGTAGACGAGCATTAGTCCTAGGCCGTGATTGCCGCTAGCGGGCCGCTTTACCCGGAAGGAAGTCCGTGACGTCGTATGCTTTGCCCTGTGGTGCCGAGTTAGCGATGCGAAAACTCCCATAAGAAAAGAGAAGATTTGTAGTTACGTGAATAATGACCCAGCACGACTTGGCCGAGTTGTGCTGCGCAATGTCGCTGCCCTTGAGGGTCATGGTGGCGGTGGTGGTGGTGGTGTAGCAGGAGGAGCGACGGAGTGGAGGGTGCAGTTAATGGTGCGCTACAAAATAAGAGCAGATTCCGTAGAAGCAATTTGCAGTCAATGAGAGACTGGCTATGTAAAAGATTAAAAGGCGCGAGCGGCCAGAATGTTTGCCCCAAAAGAAGGATGTAGGAAATAGAAATCATCCGTCGGCTCTGGCACACAGCTATGCCCATGTTCTGTACGGGGCAGATAAAATAGCCGAGCCATTATTGGCTGGGCGGCAGTGGGGGAGAACCGGCCGGCATCGGGCTGGCGCTGGGCGTCCGGTTTGGGAAGGGCGCTAGCGGTGGACGAAAGGAAGAAAGCTATGGAATGGCATAATATGGAAGTTATAGCAGCATATAGTGAGAAATAAATAATGCAAAAATAACCCAAGATGGAATATATTCTTCTTTACCATACTTGTTTCTTTGATCTTCCTCTCTACCTTCAATACCCTGACGTATTCTTTGGCATTGCTACCTCCACTGGGTTCGATGATGCGCCTGCCCACCACGCCGCGTCCCCGGATCTACATTTACAGCCCGCCTAGACGTCATACTTGAGCGCCATGTAGCCGACATCTGTGCAAGCGCGTTAATGGACAAACACTTACAAAGCACTTATACAGAACAGAATAGCTATTATGCTGCGAAGCAAAGTTCTTTAGTTTCTCATTTACAGTTAAATTGCGCTCTTTTTTCTTATAACACACAGGCTATCCTTCCCACTTTTCGTTGCTGCCCATTCCTGGCATAGAAACCATCGTCATCCATTGTTTGCTATAAGATTATCTCCAGTTGCTCAAGCCAGCCCAGGGATCATGTGGCTGTTGGCCTTGTGAATCCCGTCGGTGCTGCTGCTGCTGTATGCCATGGCCAGAAGCAGCCTCATAGCCTTGAGGGTAGTGTACTGTTTGCTGAGGCCCCAGAGGAGGTGGTCCCGGAGGAGGAGGTGGTGGAACAAATCCAGGAGGAACATATCCCGTCTGCTGCTGGGCCGGTGATTGAACTTGGTGTTGAGGTTGTTGTTGCGATGTCTGACCTGCGGCATAACTGTTGTAGCTTTGGAATGTCTGTCCGAACGACGTTTGGTTGGGCGGGGGAGAGGCCGGGTTTCGCATTGCGTTGAGTCCAAACGAAGTCTGGTTAGGCGGCGGCGATGTTGGGCCAGGAGTTGGACCATACTGGCTGGGGTTGTAAGCCGCTTGGTAGAAGCTGCCTCCAGGTGGAGGGCTGCTGTAGCCAGAGAAGCTCTGTTGCTGTGGAGGCGGCGATGTTGGCATGTATTGGCTTTGCATGTTGGCCTGTCCATATCTCGGTGCCTGTCCTGCTGCATAGAGTGGTGTAGGAACTGGTCGACTAGACTGGGGTGCTGCGCTACCAACGTCCATACGTTCCATCAGACGCTGTAAGCGCTCCTGTTCCAGCTCTGCCTGTTGGGATTTGCTTGCCTCGCGTCTCTGTTCAATCTGCTCCAACATCTGCAGCCCTTCTGCGCGCCTGTTGTTAACAAAGCTGTCAACATTCTTCTTCAAGCTTGACACCGTTTCACGCATCTCAGAGTACCAAGTCTTGGCACTCTGAAGACCAGCCTCAAGATCCAAGAATTCTTGGTATGCACGCTTATATCGGTTGATGACGGTAGATCTCTGACGCTGAATAGTTTCGTACTTGCTTTGCTCTGATCTAACTCGTTTGTCCTGCAAAAGGGAGTTAAAGGTCACAGTGAGTTCCTTCATAAGCGCAGATTGCTTCTGATTGGCTTGCAAAAGACGGTTCTGGTGTGGCCTGAACTTTTCCAACTCTTGTTCGAAAAACTGAGACTCGTTGTTCGATATTGCCTTCTTGTTCAGAATCAGAACCTGTGAAATGTCGTCCGTGTGTACCTTGTCCTTGAGGTCTTTCAATATCTGGTTTCGCTCGCGCTTAATGGAATTGAGCTTCTTCAGAATATCCTCAATGAATGCAATCTGGTCGACGACACTCGGTCCCGATTCGCCAAAGTCTGCATCTAGCAAGCTCTGCTCAGCAACAGCTGGGCTGTTTCCTTGGCTAATGCTTCCGCGCGACTGGGCAACGGCCTTTTGGAAGAGTTGGTCGACGGCCGATTCCTGGACAGCCCGGCGCATCTCATCAAACTCCTTTTCATTTTGGACCAGCTTTGACATGAGCTGCGAATCGCTGCGCATGGCTTCATCTAGTGCCTCGCGGTAGCCTCGGATATCACTACGCAGTGTGGTGGTCAGGGCAGAGCTGGGTTGCTGGGTCCATTGGCCCTCAAATCTCGATCGCATCTTTTCGCACGATCCTTCTTCGGTATCTAGTTGTTTGGACGACTCAGCCAGCGCTGTGACAACGTAGTCCTTTTCCGATTTGAGGAATTCAAAGATTGCGGTGGGATCCTCGTGGTCTGCAACATCATCACACCACTGCCTAAAGTCTTCGTCTGGCAAGATATCCTGATCAACACCACCCTTAAGAACTTGAAGAGCTCCTGGTAGGCGCAGATAATCAAGACTGGCAGCCATTTCACCATTTGCGGTGTCGACCTTTTCTGTCTCTGCTCGGATAAGCTTAGCCTTCTCCTCATCGTACATGCTGGCGGTCTCCGTAACAGCCATGGGCACAATTTTGGCGAATAAATCGGGACCAGTAATCCGTTGAATATCCTGACCAGCATACAGCTCACTGACAGGAATAGGCTTCGCTGCTGGGGCTTTCGAGATGGCGGGGAGACTGGCCTCAGGCGGTACTGTCTGATGGTAGATAAAGTCGTTATCCTTGATGGCTTCCTTGAGTTTGTCTTGTGTGGTTGAAAGTTGGCGCTTGCACATCTCTTGGAGCTGTGCACCGCATTCAGGGTTGAGATTAGAGCTAGGAGGGACGGAGCTGGGAAAGTTGCGAGCAAGTTTCTCAGCCTCTTTTGCCTGAGCTTCTGCTACCATCAGACGGCCAACGCCGACACCATGCTGACCAGCTTCGTCATCTGCTAACGCTTGGTAATATTGAGCCACAGAATTGAAGTGGTTAGTTTTAATCTTTGTTCATGTGTTAGATAATATAGGAGTCATACGTTTCAGAGCGAACACATACCTGAACCATGGTTGCCCAAACCTTTTCAAACATGGCCTTTGACACGTTCTCCTGTACACCTTCGAGTGCCTGCGAATATAGATATCCAGCTTGAGATGCTAGTTTAGCAAGCAAGGCACTCTTTGTCTTTGCCGATATTTGCTTCTCGAGAAATATTTCCTGCGCTTGGGCGAGCGAGACATGGATTAACGATTTGACAGTATCTCTGCTCAAGTCGAAAGAAGGCGCGTGCAAGAAGTTTTCGTTGATATATGTAAACATACCAGCCGCGGCTTGGTACGAGTGATATGCTGTCTTCAGGGCTGATTCATCGGCACGGTTTTGTCCAGCGGCATGGCTAGTGAGAACGGCGGAGATGTTGAAGATGACGGAGGCTTTTTCGAAGGCGAGAGAGTATTGGGTTGTCGGTTTGTGTGTAAAGGCGTCGAACCTAGAGTTACAGCGGTTAATAATCTAGCCATAGAATGTAAAATACAGAGCAGGGGTTTCCTTTACCAGGTAAATGCAATCTTAATATGTGTCTCGTCAATGGGGAAGCGCAGGTCGAGTAGCTCCAGTTGGCCATAGTATCTATAGAGCATATCACGGCCGGATGCAGTTTCCTTACCAGCTCCACGCATATCCTGGCGCAGGCGGTTTAGGGTATTACATTCTTCGGCATATCGTTCGGGATCGTCGCCATAGGTACTGCGGATGTACTGCTTGAGCGGCGTGACCCAATCGATTTCGTTGGTAGCCTTGAGAGGCACCGCAATCATAGGGGATTGCGACATGGCGGCCGAATGTACGTATATATAGCCCGAACCAATCCTGGACAGCTATCAGAGTCTGAGAAGCAAGAGGGACACTTGGTTCTGTCTTGGCAATCAGGTGTAGCTGGCCTCAAGACCAAGGACTCGTCCACCAGCTCGCGTGCGACGGCGACGACGGAAGGATCAGGCGATATGGCGTCCCTGCAAACAAGCGTGGTTCCAAGTCGCACAGATCGTTGGCAAGCAGTAAGAAACGGGATGTTGTGCGTGTGCAGAGAGAGGGCAGGCCGCGTCTTATGCGGCCGTATCTCGATGGTGGCGGCGCTTGTTGGGCAGCTTGCGTATGCGCAGCGCAGGTCGACGTGGCAGCCGTTACGGTGGTGGGGGAGTGAACGGCGCTGACTGGCTGCGGGAGAGTCTCCTCGGGTTGCTACTCGTGCTGTGGATTGCGAATACCGCAGATCAGCCCAAAGCTGTCGGAGGGATACCGGTCGTTTGGTGTATTTGCGTCTGCCAAAGACGAGAGCGGCGACTTTTGGGGGAGGAGAAGAGAAGAGAGGCAGGAAGCGAGGTTGGAGGAGGGATTTGGGCACCTGGCAGCCCAGCTCAGGAAAGCGGGGTGACGATGACCACTGCGCCAGAGAGCGCTGCAAGGAATAGTGGGAAAGCTCCGGCAGCTAAAAGTGGAGGTGCCGGCGCACTCAGCAAGCAGCCACTGGAATGAGCACTGGAGCCAAGCACAGACAGGATGGAAGAGGTGATGGCGCCTACAACAATCGATAGGAAAACTCCCACGCGGGAACATAAAATAAAAAGAGCGAGTGTAATAGAAGGTGACAGCCCTTATGTCTGTTTTATCGTGCAAAATATCCTTAAAAATCCCTCTAATTACTAATCCGCCTCTACTGCTATCCCGTCTCTAATATCCCTCGAGCCCGGCGCTTATAGCTCTCCTACAGTAGACAGAACCAGCTTTTTCTGTAGGCGCCTAGAACCTGGCGTCGTCCCACGGGAGTTCCCCTGGAGCCACTGGCGCCACAGCACGGCTCTCTAGTCCACTATATTGTCATCAACCAGGTGGCCCCACCGCTGTGAAATGCGCTAACACTCACTAGACCACCTTCAACGCTTCCTTAGTGGACGGCTTCCCAGTTGACCGTGGCACTAGGCTCCTCATTTAGCCGCCGAGCTTTCTCGTCTCGTTTACGCTTAAGGGTTAACTTACCTGTGCTTTTAAGTTGATTTACACGGGATAGTGTAGACTTGTGTTCTTTATCAAGTTCGGTACTTCTAATGCATAACTACATTTTTTTGACATATCCGGGAGCTTAATAAGCTGCTGCAGATGTCATGCCTTCATTTTCCCACCTACTATTGACAGGGTTCCAATGCCGCAGTCTCCCCAACCTAGGCCGTCACACGACATACACCAAAGCGCAGGCACAAGCACACAGATTCACAGTGGACTACAGCATATACCCAACTTCTATCAAATGGCCTTGCCCGTGCCTACTCCACAGACAGAGCCACCATGCAGCCCACGCCACCATGCTCCCCTGTCTGCAGCGGGCAGCGATCCAATAAGCTCGCGAGTCCAGGCTTATTCGATCACACATGTACGCCTCAATGTGACCATGCTTGCTTGCGATGGAGTCCTTATGCACACTAGTTGGCACCCTTTAGAAACAATAAACGTAAAGTATTACTTTCAATATGGCCCAACACCACAGGCTTTTTAGGTATACACGCTCTCTGTAAAGGCGTTTAGTTGCAGTCCCCTCTCTGCCATTTCGGCATCCTTCAAGAAGTCCATTGACATCCACACCAAATGTCCCTTGATCTGCGCAAGCTTCTGGCGCGCATCAGCTGCAGGCATGAATTGGTCAAAGATGTGCCCGGCTTTGACTCCGCGAGGCGGCAGGTACCGGTCGTAATCGGCAAATGTTTTGACTACATTATCATTAGCGCCGTTAAGTATCTTGGGGAGATTAGGTTACTCACTATTGTCATCAGGATCGGCGTGGAAGAGATGCCTGAAAATGTCCGTATTGGTGTCCGCCTGGGTCGTCCATGTCTTCCATAGTTCCTCTCCCAGAGGATCTTCCACAAACTTCCAAGAGGCTTCCTTGTCGTAGAGGTCGTTCTCAGGGTTAATCGTTGGCGGCATGGCATTGATGTCATTTGTACCATCGAGCTCTTGGGCAGGAAGAAGACCAAGGTGCTCACGCCACAGATGGCGGCGTAATGTGGTAGCATGGTATCCTGCTTCAAATGGTTGTCCATCCATCATACTGGCAATCATGTGGGTGTCCTCCATCACAATGCTCAGCTCGCTGTCATGGTATCCGAGCTGGCTGCGGTCATTCAGGTTACTTGAACCGCAAACAACTATACGATCATCCGCGATGAGCAACTTTGAGTGAATATACAGCTCTTCTTGAATCCAGTTGCGGATCTCCAGTTCTGGGTCATCATCCCATAGCTCATCTTCAAGCTTACCTTCACCGGCCATCGCATGGTGAGCAACAGAGGCTGACGACTTGGTTTTCTCGGCAGGCATAGCACTTTCGAACTTCTCCTTGGCTACCTTGGCCTTTGCGATAGATTCTTTGACTTCAGCAGTCTTGTTATCACGCTCATCATCTGACCCATCGTTTGTTCCATAGACACCCTCGTTCATGATTTCAGCTGCCTCTGCGCGTTGTACTTCTTGATACTTAATACCCGTCTTTTCCTCAGCTTCGCGAATAGCCTTGGTTTTGTTTAGGCGGTCGTAAGAGCGCAAGTTGAAGAAGAAAATGTACTGAGTCGGGTCCACGCCTTCGGCGCGAATTTGTTCGTAAATGGAATGCTCGCCTCTGCAGATTGACTTGTACTGATAATCCATGATGGCTCTGGTGCCAGAGGCGGCGTTATCACGGAGGTCACCGGCAAATCCTGGGATGGCTGGGATCAAGATAATCATGCGGAATTTGCGGCCTTCCTTGTGCGCATTTACAACGGCATCAACAATGGCGCGACCAATGACGTTGTGAATGGGCGACTGGTGCTCTCCAGTGGCAGTAATGAAGAACTGATTCTCAATATAAACGTAGTGTTTGGCGTTGCGAATAATTTCGCAATAAGCGTTCTGAATAGAATGCTCAGTCAAGATGCCGCTTGACCAATCGGCGCTTGATCGAATAACCTGAGCACGGATAGTACCCCTGTTGTCGAGGTTTTTGGTAGCCAGAGGCGTCAGAGGATGTTTGATGTATTCACCGCAGGGGTGCTTAGGCCGCTGGACTCCTACAAGATCCTCATCTTCATTTTCTCGGCCCTCAAGGACGATCCAGTCAAACCGGTCATCACGCTTGTACTTGTCTCTTTTGGTGAAGTTCCATCGCAGGACAAAGTGTTCAGCAATGTCGAAAATGCACGGTCCAATCACGGCCATACCAACATCATGCCATGGCATTCGGCCGTATTCTGTTTTGCTCAGTTCATTCTGCTGCCAGTCTTGGACGTTGTGGAAGTCCATGACGCGATTGTTATTGAAGTCTTGGCCAGGCCAAACTTCCTCGGTTACTCCCTCTGGATGGCAGTCTGCGAGCGGATGATGGCGTACATCCCATCTGCCGAAGCACATGTCAAATCCACCAATAAAGGCAATAGCGTAGTCGATGACAATAAACTTTTCGTGGTGGGCCCAATACATGGTCATGTCTGCAGCGTTCTCGAAGACGTTATGGTCCGGGTGCCTCATAACTCTGATGTTTTCGTATCCGGGTGATCCTTCAGGGCACAGAGCTTGTAATGCGTGCTTTGTGTGAACCGAATTGCAGGTAAGAGCCGCTTCGACTTCCTTGTAGACCATGACGAAGATCTTGACACCCGCCTCGGCTTTGCGCTTCAGAATTTGATCGAGACGAAACTCTTGGTTGTGATGAGGGGGACGGCGAAGGAACAGCTCGGGTGACAACCACCAATCCGCAATGTAAATGCTCTCTTTGGCATCTTCCAATGCAATCGAGACGGCCCAAAAGTAGTCTCTGCCATCGACATACCACTTGATGTGGTTTCCGTCGCGCTCGGGGAAGTAGGATTCATACCGATGAGACTCGCATGCAGCGGTTCTCTTTTCATCGCATCGTTTTTCGTGCTCTTCATCGTGTCGGTGAGCCTTGTTAAACTTGGAGAGGTTAGCAACTGCCGTCCAATGGCATCATGGTAGAGGGGTCAGTACAAGGTTACCAAGCTTGCCAATCTGGTTTCTGCATCATTGTGTCAGCACGGAATACATATTCTGCAAATTTCGTCAACTAGGCTTACTTTTTGTGAATCAGGGCAACTTTGGCATCGTGTAGCTTAGAGTCATGCAGCTTCTCTTTCAGATTGTCCATTATGCCAGCGAAGCCGCCGCCACTTTTATCATCTTTGGGCTCAGACATGACGCCGAGCGAGGTCGTTTAGAGCCTCTTGTATCGGTCACAGCACAGCTAATAGAAGTGGGTTCACTATAATTGAAACCCGTAGGAGCGAAGCAAGACAATGGTTCAATTGTAGGAGACTGTAGAAATAGTAGGAGATGCGTCACTACCAGAGTTGCACACTCCAAGGCGGGGACTCAAGGAAAAAGAGGGGAGCTGTTGCGAAGCTTGGGTGGGGCTGCTGGTTCAGGCACGTCGTGTTGCAGTTGCAGCGACGAGATCGAAGTTTGATGCTTTAGATTTGTACATAGGAAGACACAAAAGATGAAAACGTGGTGGAAAGTGTTTTCCGATTAAGGTTGTGGGAAAGCCGTAAGAGGTCAAGGAAGAAAAAAACAAGAATAAGAATAAGCTACTGGGCCATTTTCAAGGCTAGTCTGTTCAGCCACAGAAACTTGCGTGCATCTGCAGACATGGTCCGACGGCGGGGTTCGCTGACGTCACGCCTGGGATAGCATATTGGGTATTGGGTGTTTGTGGCGTAGACTGGCACTGGCAAAATACGATATCCAAGGAAGAAAAAAGACGAAAAAGAAAAAGAAAGTATTCATTAAACAGTTTCATGTATCAGGGTCTTTTTGGGTTACGACTTCTTCCACTATGCCAATGTCAGCTTTCTAAGTGGTGGACACAGAGGTTGGTGCCAGAAACGCTTAACCTAGAAACTGACATGGCTCCTGATGGCCTCCAAGCACCTCACGAGAAACACTGTCGACACTCCTTCTCGACCTCATCTTCGCATACGTGACGATCTCAATCAGCATCAAAGCAACCTCCCTAAGCTGCCGTCATGCAGCCCTTGCCGGCGGACCAACAACGGCCAGTCCAACGGCCACAGCCACCGACGCACTTCGACCGTTAGAGTCGGATTGAATGCTTTACGTCTTTATCCATGAACCCCATAATAATCCAGCTGCAACGGTAGATCCGTCAGGGACCTGAGTGCTCTGCTTTTTCGCGCATTAAACCGCTGTCAAGGGCGGCTTCTAGAAAAAATGGCCAGTGCTGCTTGTTGGCTGCTAGCAGAGTTACAGCCGCTGCAGCCGCTGGTCGTGCCGCCGCCCTCTGCTAACAGGCTGTCTGTTCCTCTTTTTTTTTCCCTGCGACGCGGCGGGGGTGGGGCAGCGCTGTACCCGCCACATTTCTCCCTTTAGCCCCCCCTGCTGGCCACAGCTTGCGCACTAAAGATAGGCCCGTTCTACCGCCAGATGCACCGCCCGTAACAAAGAAGAGGGGCACCAGCGGCACGCACCAGCCTAGCACCGCCGCACCACCCCCTGGAAAGCTTGCGCCAAAGGAGGGGCTCACGACAGCTGGCCGCTGCCGGACCGCACACAACACACCGCTGTCCCTCCACGTTTCTCCAGTGTCTCGTGATTTCAACGCTTTCTTTCTTTCCCATCGTATAAAGGAACCCGCGCCGTATCCTCTCCATCATTGCTGATCCCCATCTCCAATCCATCAATCCAACTATACTCCTCCCCTCAACAACCTCTTCCCCGCAATCATGTCTGCTCCCACCATCCCCCCCGGCGGCACCATTGTCGACACCTTTAAGCGATCTTTTGTCGACGTGACAATCGACCCTGCCACCAACGCTGTCAACACCACTGAGTTCCTCGAGGCCAGCGAGTCTCTTATTACCATCTTTGGTATGTTATCCTGCCCCATCCTCGTTACAGCTACATAGCGAGCTGCTTGTCTGGCGGTCTCAGTATGTTCTAATACGCGCACTGCAGATGTCCTTGGTTCCGTTGCCTTTGCCCCCGTCAAGAGTGACATGCTTGGCAACGTCAAGAAGATCCGCGACAGATTCCTCGCCTCCCCCGTCGACTCCGAGACCCTTCAGAGCCTCGTTCCCAGCGAGCTCAAGACCAAGAAGCACACTGCCACCGAGGGTCTCATTTGGCTCGTTCGGTAAGTCACAGCGTCTTGTCATAGCTGCACGCTGCATTTCGCATGCTAATTGTGTTTTCAACTAGTGCCCTCGAGTTTACCTCCATCGGTATCGCCCAGAACATCTCCAAGCCCGACGAAGAGCTCTCCGACTCCTTCCGCTCTTCCTACGCCGTCACCCTGAAGCCTCACCACAGCTTCCTTGTCAAGCCCATCTTCTCCGCTGCCATGGGTGCTTGCCCTTACCGCAAGGACTTCTATGCTAAGCTCGGTAGCGACCCCGCCAAGGTCGAGGCTGAGCTCAAGGTCTACCTTGCTGCTCTCGAGAAGATTGTTGCCATCCTCAAGGCTTTCCTCGACACCAAGGAGGCCAAGTGGTAAGGAAAATAAAGACGAATATTATGACTGAGAAAACGGTTAGAAGAAAAGTGTTGGAAGAAGCATTGCGCAATGGCGACAAATATGCATTGGCTAAAAGCGCTGGTACTACTGCCCTCTGCTGCATTTTGGTTATCTAATGAGCCTCAAAATATGAGAATAATTTTACGAATTAAACCCATTAATCATCGTCCTCCATTGAGGGTGACCTGTTAAACGTTGTCTATACTAAACGGCTGCAGTTATGCGCGCTTGAGACGGCCTTCAACGCAAGCGCCAGGAACGCCCTTGACGCGCCACACTTTGACAAGCTCCAGCCCAGCCTGGTCGAACAGGTACTGGAATCCAGCTTGTGTTCTTTCTTTACCACCCATCACCATAACCGCTTGATCAATAACAGCAGCAGGAAAGTCAATCTCTGTGACCCTCGGGGGAAGGACCATATCGCAGATGAGAACACGCGACTCGGGGGACATGGCATCGGCAAGGTTCTTGAGAATCTTGATACAAGTATGGTCCGGATAGTCGTGGCTAATCATGCGCATAAAGTATGCCTTTGCTCCTACACCGAGAACGAGACATTAGCCGACATGCAATCTGTTTAACTGGGAATCGCGAGCACTTACCCTTAATAGGCTCTTCTGTCATAAAATCGTGTTCTAGTCTCTGTACGTCCTTATTGAGAGTATTTCCGGTCTTGGAGAGCGCAATCACTTCGGGCCGATCTTGCAGCATACAGTTTGCCGGAGTGAGACCGGGGCTATTGTCGAGAATCTCCTGCAGTACGGATCCATGACCACCGCCCACATCAATGAGCTCAATGATGCCGTTTTTATTCTCTTCGGGAGTGTTCTTAAGAGAGTTGAAATCAAAATGGCCGGTTACTGGGATAGCGTGGTTCATTCCCGCCATGCCAATCTGGAACGTCTCAAAGGCCTCCTGGTCCTGGCTCATGATTTCCCAGACACTAGATCCCTCTTGCTTATGCGAGTATGTGTACGGATTGTACAGGGCGTCATCCGGTTCCCTGGCATTTTCAAGCTGGCCCTTGGCACCCAAGTACTCGTGGAACTGCACCATGCTTGTCAGCCATGCATCATACATGGCCAAGAAGAGGTGGCCAGGACCGGGGTTGCTAAGAAGATAGGCACGCGAGAACTTGGTATGCAGGTATGCACCGCCATCTGGCCGTTCTTGGTCCAAGAAGCCGGTTGCAACTAAAATGACTGTTAATACACATAACCAGAAGAGTAATCCATAGCTAGTGCGTACCTAGGATTCTAGCGAAGCGCTCTGTTTTACAATGTTAGCGGCGCCTCGGTGTTGGTAGCAACAAACACATATGCAGCTGGACTCGTGACTTACCTAAAAGGGATTCCTGGGCTCCTGTCGCTTTGGACAAGTCTTGGACCGACATACCGCCCTCCAATGGGATGGCCTCCAGGACTTTGAGTTTCATAAAGGTGCGGATCGCCACCAGCTCAGCCACCTGCAAGACCGCAGCTTCAGCACAGCACTTTTGGTAGGATCAATCCAGCGCATTTCCACAAACATACATTCATTCCATGGTTAATAGGGGTCATCTCCGGACCCGAAACAGAGCGAATCAGCTTCTTGGCAGCATCGACAATCTCCAGGCGAGCAATACGGCCGTCCAGGTCGGGCGAGCTAGTGTACCCGTCTGCTGCAGCAGCTAGTTTTTGGACCAGAGCGTCCACGTCGTTCTTCTCAGGAAGGGCCATTTCGAGACTTGAATAAAAAATTGTGTTGATTTCCGGTGGGTGTAGAAATGCAATGCAATGCAATGATGCTGCTGCTGCTGTACCAGTTGAGTCTCTCTCTCCGCTTCTCCTCCATAGCAACTCTCGGGGCTCTTACTAACCCCGTTCCCCGTCACCGCAAGGCTGGGAGGTCCATTAGACGAGCAGTGTGACGTAATTAGTAGTATCCAGAATAAGTCGCCGTTGATCAAGGAGGGGTAAATAACTAGCCTTGTTCATGCATGTAGACAGCGGGTCGGCATGAAGGTACTTGGGCCACGGCGGAAACAACACCCCCAACCTGTACTTCTCTAGAATCTGTTGCGGCGCTCGTAATGGGGCGCTGACCCTAAGAGAATAACGCCATAATTAGATCTAGAGCGCCAGCGGCGTTGAAATCGGCCCCAAGCGTCTGCCAACATATTGCAGTAGCCACTGCCAAGAGATGCCCAGTCTCTGAGCTATTGCGTTGAAACTCTTGTTATGCCATTCAACTAGAATGCATAGTTTCATCTGGTTCATTCGCAATAGCGTCCCGTATTTCGTAAAGACGGCACGATGACCCGGTCACCAGTTGCGTGGCGTGAAACTTTGCAGGATGCAGAGCAACCACCTTCAGCGAGCGCTGGCGGGAATACTGGGAAATATCCAATCACCGATGTATACACTGTGCCGTATATGCATCGTATTATTACCCTTGGCAAAGGGCAACACGGATCTTCAGCTCCCCAGCCTTGTCATTGTGCCGCTCGAGCGGCTCGCGGCTCAGTTTGGCAAGACACTGCCAATCTATACCATCTTGAATTACCGTGGTCATTATTTTGAGGGACAGTAGCTGGATTGTGATTGGATATGACAGATTCCGCTGAGCTGTTGTGAGACCTCTCTCCCACCTCCTCGGCCGCAAGCCGGAGACTCTGGCCAGTCTACTTATTCATCGTCTAAACCATCTGGCAGAAGACGGACGCGCGGTACAGTTGTAGAAACCGAGATACGTCTTTGGTAGGTGGGATGACAAACTCAGCTGTGTTGAGTTGGTATGTCGGACGAAGGCCGTCGGACAGTCGTGCTAGGTGTTTAAAAAGTATAAAAGGGGCACAAAATCGCAGCATCTTCACAACAAAATAGCACTTGTTTCTTTTTCTTCAAGGACAAAATCACTTACCCACAGTTTTATTCAATCTTATTCCCCTTCTTCTTTCTTTTTTGACAATATGAAGATGCAAATCACCGACATTCTTGCTGCTCTGGCGTAAGTATTGTCGTCCACACAACTGCATTTACACCTGTAGTTAACCACATATGTTAGTCTTGCTGCCACTAGTACGTAAATCCCTTTCTTATTCCCACTTCCATACTCCTCATCTCATCTCATTCCCTTTAGTATCTGCTGCTCCTGCCGAGTCAGCTGAAATTGAAAGCGCTGCTCCTGCACAAGGCGTAGGCTGCTACCAGCAGGGCACTCCTCGCAAGCCCGCAATCTGTGCTATTCCCAACTGCCCAGGCGGCTACCGCCCTGTGTTCTGGGACTTTGGATGCCCAGACGACAGCTGGAAGTGCTGTGTTTAAGACGCCATCCGGAAGAGCAATCGCATCTTCATCTACGTCTGAAGGACAAGATGCTCGCGAGGGTGGGCTTGGCTAGGTTACTAAGGCCAGGGCTACTATGTAGGCATTGTTAAAGGAATTTCTCCACTGAGATGCATCTATTTTCCGTAGCAAGCTATGAATATACCACGCAAATTGGGCCCATTAAAGCAAACTTGACTTACACAGACACGATGCTTCCGATGCGAGGCTCCACAGCGAGATCGTCAACCACTGGTAGGGCTGCGTCGGATTCAATGCGACGAACGCTGACGCCGCGCAACGGGCGTCGTGCGGCTGAAGTATATCATGACGCCGCTCAAAATATACAAAAGGGTTCTGAATTTCCCCTCTTCTGTAGCTTGGTGGTTATTCTCGTCAATATTCTTTTCTCCTCTTCATTTTTATTACTTGTGCTATCGCGCCTTACACAAGCTGCGGTGCAGTTCACTTACACTCTAATACGAGAACAAAGAAATTCGTCATGGCACCATCGCCCTTCAAAATCGTCATTGTTGGCGCTGGTCCCGCAGGTCTCGCTACAGCACTGGCCCTCATTCATCAGCGCAAGAATGATGCCACCACAGCTTCTCCGGTACGCATCACCGTTCTTGAGAGGCGTGATTCTGTGCAGACGCTTGGCGGCGCCATCAACCTCACACCTCTGGCTCTGCGATATCTTGACTCACTGGGCGCTGGGAAAGCACTAAGAGAGGCAAGCAGCCCTGTAAGCGCCATCGAACTTGTCGGTCATCGCCTCGGGAATATACTGGTTAAGCTCTGGCCCGGTGTCGACGCTATCCGCATCCTGCGCCAAACGCTAGTTGAGGGTCTCCTCGCCGCTTTGAAAGAACAGTCATCAGATGATGGCGATGTTACCATAGTGTATGGAGCCAAGATCACTACCATGGAACAATTTGGGTCTGAAGACAGTAGCAGCGAGGGAGTACGCGTGGCTTGGACGCAAAACGGTGCGGAGCACACCGCAGACGCGCATCTCCTCATTGGATGCGATGGTATTCACTCCCAGGTTCGCACCGCACTTGTTGATCCGGAGAGAGAGAAAACGTACGCGGGCCGCAGCAATGCCTACGGCTATGCCAAGGTCACTCCAGAAGAGGCGACAAGATGGACTCGCTCTGATGGTGAACCACTTATCAAAGATACAACTCTGATCCAGAATGGCAGCAATTCTTTGCTTGTAACTTATTTCCAAAAACCAGAAGAACGGGATGCGCTGTACCTTGCGTCTTTGACTCCCACCCCAGAGCCGTCGGGTGGCTCAAGAGAAGGCTGGTCAGTCCTAGGAGCCGACAAGGAGGGCATCAAGCAGTCCATTTTGGATAACTACAAGAATGGCCCACTCAAATGCCTACCCGATATTCTTGATCGATGTCAGGAGTGGTTCTTCTTCCCCATATACATGCTCTCACCAGGCGGCCGTTGGTCAAAGGGTAGAGTGCAGCTTCTCGGAGACGCCGCGCACGCTGTAAGCAGTATTCTATCCATTTTTGCATATCTTACTTTCAGACCTCTAACGCCTTTTTTAGATGCCTCCGCAAGGCGAGAGCACCGGCGTTGCCATTGAAGATGGCATATTGATGGCTCATGTCTTATCGCGACGTGACTCTCGAACTGTGCCGCAGATGCTGGCTGACTATGAACAGCTGCGTCGCAAAGATATCGACACGCTGTATATCACCACAATGCGCAGATTTCAAACTAAAGGCCCGACGAGCTGGTTGGGTCTCGTTGCGTGGGATTGGCTGGCATGGTTTGTCTGCTCTTATACCAACTGGACGAGTGACCACTTTGCACGCGATGTCCGTTTCTTTGAGTTGCCAGAATAATTGTCTGATGGGTTTGCTTGCGTACCTAATTGCCTTGTTTTTGCATAATTTGTGCCACGTATCAGTATGTATTCCTTTTGTATTATTAGCTTTAGCCTATGTCAATCAAGTACCCGAAATCACATATACACCGACGCCAGATTAAACATTACCATGATCCTTCAGTTCATCAATTCGCGGGCCCATATGCCGGAGTTTTGAGTCGGCTGACCTAAAAACAAGACTATTACTCATCTGCCTTGTAGTCAATACCGAGCCAATCGGCTATGGACTCTATCGCCGCAGCGTATTCTTCTTGGGCGGTCTTCTTATACTCCATAGGGGGAGGCTTATCCCACGCATGTACAGCCTCTTTAACTAGGCGCTCAGTAACTGGCTTATCTAGTTGTTGTAACCGCTTCGTAAACGCTTGCCCTTCCTGCAACAACATATCGTATTCGCAGAGACATTGATGGATGGGTGGCAGCTTCTTAGCAATAGCGTCTGGCATCAGCGCGGGGGAGACTCGCAGGTCTGTTCGATTGGCGTGTGGAAGTGGTGGATTGAAGTACGAGATGTCGATGAGGTCGGTCAAATAAGGCTGAAGAGCGAGATCTGGTCGAGCAGAGGCCTCACGTTTCACAACTCGACTAATGGTCCAGTCCAGCACTGGATAGAAAAGGACAAGGCCAACAATGGCGGGTGGCTCCGTGGCAAAGGTGTAGTTCCACTGGGCGGGATCCTGCAAAACGGTCCAGCTTGCGAGTGCACAGTTGCCGCCAGCAGAAAATCCTGAAAGTATGATACGAGACGGATCTACGCCAAATTCTTCGGCACGAGCAGTAATCTGCAAAATAGCGTCCACACAATCCTCAATGGGCGTCGGGTATGGGTATCCCGGCGCCAAGCGATAGTTGACAGTGAACCCGACAGCGTCCAGCGACTCCATTACCTCTCCCATGAACCTGGCATCATCAACACCATAGCCAAGAATGAACCCTCCTCCATGGAAGTTTATCACAGCCGGCCGCAAACCAGTGGTGGGCTTGGATGGCACCCAGACCTCAGTGGGAATTTGTGCAGTGCCTTTGTATTCTCCAAGCGTAGAGTCCAGATGGATTGTTTTGGTTGGGACAGGCGCAGCGGGCGCAATTCTGTTATAGTATCCAATTCCAAAGCTGGCAGCATAGCGCAGAGCGTAAGCTTTAGCGTAGATGTACCATGTTGGGCTATTGGCAAGCGGATTGGGCGGGGTGGAAGATTCAGTGGACGACGCAGGATCGGCCATGATTTGGCGTGGCGTAGCTCGTGGCCTACGAAAATACGGCTAGGTAGGGTTTTTGTTAGATGCGTTTACTAAAGAATATTAGAAGCAATTGCAATGACGACTGTTCTTTTTTTGTAGCACAACTGCGTGTTGAGATGAGTTTGTTTGGATGAGGGAGTTGTAAAGGGAAAGAATGCAGCTGTCGTCAGCTGGTAGTGCTGGCTGCTGTGCTGGGGGCGGTGACGTCTTCGCGAATCGGGGGTCCACAGCCTCGGCCGTTCCAGCGAAAGCCTCCACTACAAAGCCCGCTGTGGATTTCTCAGCAGAGCAGAGCGCGGTGGCCGGAAGAAGGGGAGACGATTCAAGGTTGACATGAGCCCGAATCTTGCTTAAAAAGTGGAAATATTGGGTTAAATTTATAGACTATTTTCCTTCTTTCTGTGCCCTATTGACTTGGTTAGGCGAGCGATGTAGAAAATGGACGCTCTCATGTAGGATAGCTCTCTCGGCACTTCAAGGCTGCGTTGCGTGGTGCTAATGGCTTACCATAGGCCGGCGAAAGAAATAATCTCGTCTACTGTCCTCCAATCACCAGGTTCTATTACATAGCAGACGGGAGATATACGGTTCCAGTTTCCTTTCTTCAAGGGGTTTTGTTCACTATATCCCCCAGCAATTTCCATCATGCCAAAAATTTAAACGCCTAGCATTGCGCGATGCCACGGCAGTCCACTGTACCTACAGGGCTGATAGCCGGGAGTATGCTCATTCATGATGTAGGATTTGGTCTTGTGATTGACATTGGAAAAAAATCACAGATCATCTTACCACATTCTTCATGTCCCTTCTCGTTTCTGTGCATTCAAGTCTAATCCGATGAATCATCGTTGGGCTACGGCGGACAGTCCGCTTAGCGTCATGTGCGCCGCGCCCAGTAGAACAGCCGCGCCATCCGTGACCCCGACAGGCTTGCTTTCCTGCATCTAAAGCGAGGAATCCGAGACATTGTGTTAAAGTGCGTGGCACACCGTTGAGCTTACGGTATAAGGCTTCCTCATGGAGATGATCAATTGCCGATTCTATAGTTTACTATCCAAATTGCAACCATGTTTATGTACGCGTGTTTCAACAAGTCGAGTGCAAACTATATCCAACCAAACCTTGAGAATCCTTCAGTGCTCTCCCACAGCGTTGGCACCCCGCCGTCGGGGTCTCGCTACGGCGACTGGTGGGGCCCGCTCTGCGCCGTCGACCACGGAATGACCGGAAGAAGCCTTCAGTTTCAGCGCAGATTCGGACTTTGCCACGTGCCCGGTGTAAGGACCAAAAAAGGAAGAAGACATGTAGAAAGCCGAGCGAGAAGGGCAATTGGAAAGTATTTATCTGCTCGTGATGGAGATCAGCGCAGTGCGAAGGGCAGTCGGGTCGCATAACCTCTGCGATTGTCCGGCTATACGTGGGATGGCCTCGGGTAGTGGAAAGCTTAAGTCAGAAGCTTATTAAAGCATCCTGTAAGCGGATAGTTGGCTGTTTGTAAATGGCTTCGAGTGTCTTCTTTTACAGTACGTTAATCAGCTCAGGTCTTTACTTACATGTGGGAAACTCAGCAAATAGTAACGGCATGCTGCAGACAAACCAGCACGCTTGCTAAGCAAATGTAGGGGAAATACGGCGCTTCTACAGCAGCAGGCGACAAACCAGGCCCGCTAAAGGCCGCTGTAACGGTACCTCTACCTCGCTACTGGACGCTGCCGTGCGCGTGTCAGCAATCCCCCCCAAGGGGATGCCCCTCCCCTACCCCTCCTCCGCTCGCCGCCCAAAAAAAAATTACCACCACCACCGTCCATCCTTTCTCAATTTTGCCCGTCCTCCTCCTTTCCCTTTTATTAGTCCAGCTCCGCTCGCCCCTACATCCGCCTTTTGTCTTTTGCTTCTTCTCTCCTCCTACTCTTCTCGACATCACCATATTTTTCTTTCCCGTACGCTTCCGCTACTCCCTGAATTCTTAGTGCCCGCCCCCTCTAACCCTCATTCAGCTAGCACTGCTTTCCCCCGCCCACCCATAACTTCGCCCAGCCTTGGCTGCGAATTGCCTTCGCGATCCACCCCTCCTTTGGCCGGAAACGAACGACAGCTACCGATCGCCCAGACCACAAAAGCCACCAGCCTCATCGCTAATCCTCTGCTGCTGGCACCTGTTTTCTTGCTGTTGCTTTTAAATACCGCCCATCCCCTAGGGGTTATCTAATCACCACACAGTCTTTTGTGCTTGCATCCGTCTACCCCGCCGCTGTTTTGCTCAAGCTGCTGCTGATTGCTTCAGTCGCCGGTTGCTCAAGCTAGTAGAACTCACACTTCTCTTGCAGCCAAACGCACTCCAACTGCAATCATGCCGTCCTCATCAACTCCGGGCGCTGCGACGCCAAACACCATTGCCTCGGCATTTGGTATGCCTCGCAGCAACTCCCCGGCTGGCTCGAACCGCTTCCCTCGCCGAATCAGCCCAAATCAAACCTCAAACACAACTCCAGCGTCCTCTATCGACTTTGACCGCCTTAGTCTCGAGCAGCGAGAGCAGCTGCGCCTGCAAGGTGGCTCAATGTCGTCATCCCAGGTCAACACCCCTGCTTCCCCCATTCATACCGAAGCTACGCGCAGGATCCTCGCTGGCCTCAACGATGGCTTTGGTGGCAGTGGTAGCAACTCTCCCCGCGGCAGCATGGACAGTGTCCGCAGCACTTCAAGTGCTGACTGGCCAGTCCACCCTAATGAGCTCACTACCATAGGTCAGCTTGATACGCTGCCCATTGGCACCTCTGTCAACTTCCGAGCCCGCATCTACACACAACGCCAGCTTTCCAAGGCACTTGACTTCCTCCTGCTGCGCGACCAGACTCATTCTGTTCAAGGTGTCATCGCTCGTCACGACACAGACCTGATTAGCTGGGTGCAAAAGCTGCCCCCAGAGTCGCTTGTCCAAGTTGCAGGTACACTCAAGCAACCGCCTGAGCCAATTCGTTCCGCAACCCAGTCCAGCATTGAAATCGATATCGAGGCCATCCATCTCGTCAACCTTGCCCAACACACTCCCTGGAACAACTACAAGCCTCCAGAGACTCTGCGTAACCGCATGTCCTCCCGTATTCTCGACCTCCGCCATCCTTCCAACCATGCTCTCTTCAGGATCCGCTCTCTTGTTATGCGCAAGTTCCGAGAAACACTTGAAGAGCAAGGCTTCCTTGAAATCAATACCCCCAAGCTCCAGCCTGCAGCGACAGAGAGTGGTGCCGCCGTCTTCAAGGTCAACTACTTTGGCCGCAACGCCTTCCTTGCCCAGAGCCCACAGCTCGCCAAGCAAATGTCCGTCTCGGCCGATTTTGGCCGTGTCTTTGAGATTGGTCCTGTGTTCCGTGCAGAAAACTCCAACACGCATCGTCATCTCACAGAATACACGGGTCTAGATATTGAAATGGCTATCGAGAACGACTACCACGAGGTCATTGCTGTTCTGGACGACTTCCTCAAGTCGGTCTTCAAAGCCGTCTATGCCATGCCCGAAATTGAACAGGTCAAAAAGAGATGGCCCAGCAAGGAGTTTAAGTGGCTGGACGAGACCCTGATTCTAGACTTCACTGAAGGTATTCAGATGCTCCGCGACGACGGCAGAGATGTTCCCATGGAGGATCTCTCCACGCCAGACGAGATGCGTCTTGGTGAGCTTGTCCTCGAAAAATACGGCACCGATTACTACGTCCTCGACCGGTTCCCCACAAGCGCCCGCCCGTTCTACACGTACAAAGATCCCGAGGATCCCAACTTTACACGATCTTTCGATATATTCATCCGTGGCCAAGAGATTTGCTCTGGCGGTCAGCGTATTCATAATGCCCAGGAGTTGCGTGACAATCTCGCAGCTGCAGGCATCGCTGAGGAGGGTATGGAGGACTATTTGACGGCCTTTGACCTCGGTGCTCCTCCCCACGCCGGCGCTGGTCTCGGCTTGGAGCGCATCGTAGCTTGGATGCTAGAAATTGGCGATGTCCGCTACGCGTCTCTCTTCCATCGTGACCCCAAGTCGCTTCCTGAGCGCAAGCCTGGGCTGCCACACCCCGAAGCCGACACCACGAAGCACCTTGCAACACCGCCCCAGATTGAAAAGCTCATTGCCAACTATGGTGATGCCTCCAACACGTCATGGCTCGACGAACGCTTCTTGATCTGGCGCCACGAAACTGGTGCTGCCATTGGCTACGTCAAGCACGGCAAATTCGCCATGGTTACTGGTGATCCTCTGTGTGATTCTTCTCAATACAAGGACGTCTGCCAATCATTCGTCAAGTTTGTCACACAAGATCTCAAGCTGGTCCCCATGTGGATGCTTGTCTCCTTCGACGTCCAAAAGATCCTAGGCCGCGATCTCGGCTGGCGAACACTGTCTTGTACCGAGGAGCAGCGCATCAATGCCGACAAGCATGTCACCAGCACTGATCCCGCCAAGGCCCGTCGTGTAGAGCGTGAAGGTGTCAAGATCCACGAGGTCAAGGTCGACGCCGACTTCATCAGCCGAGTCGATCCCGAGATTCAAGCCTGGAAGGACAACAGAAAGGGCAAGCAAGTCCACTTGACTGAAGTGCGACCCTGGGTTGACCAGGCTCATCGCCGCTACTTTGTTGCCGAGAAGGACGGAAAGGTACAGTGCCTCGTCGTCCTCGCCAAGCTGTCTCCCAAGCACGGCTGGCAGGTCAAGTGGGCACTCGACTTCCCCGGAGCCGTCAATGGTGCTATCGAGGTCCTCATTGAGCACGTCTTTAGCGCCATCACCGGTCAGGTCACCTTTGGTGTTGGTGCCTCGCAAAAGTTCAAGCCTGGTGAGCACCTCAACGGTATCCGCGCCAAGTTCCTCGCCACAACCTACAACACCATCGTCAACCGCCTCGGCCTTCTGCGCAAGACTGGCTTCCGTAACAAGTTTGGCGCTCTTGGCGAAGATGTTTACATTTGCTACCCCAGGCACGGTGTCGGACTGAGAGACTTGCAGCAGGTTGTCAAGTTCTTCCAGGATTAAGTTTATGCATACCCTGATGATGAGGTTTTTGGATTAAAGATAGAGTAGGGTTGGATTGTTGTTTCTTGTTTTCCTTTCCTGCGCGCATCAATACCATAGGAGTGCGATAGACGTATACGGCGTTATATTGAATATAAGTAATTTGAATTCTTCATCCATATGTACTTCTGTGCCTTGACCTCTAGTCAGGTCAAGCATCTAAAGTGTTAGACCAGTGGCAGAGAACAACCAATAGTCTGGGAATCCACGACTCCGTTATCTCTGTATCTACTAAGCTTTATACACAAAATCACTCGCAAGTAATGCAATACAGGGTTTCATAACTGGTAAATAGTATATTCAAAAAAGAAAACATATGAAACTAGACGTCATTAACCTTTTATCCCAACCCAAAAGCCCATTATGTGGTATATAAATGCAATTTCATGTAAAATGATAAAATCCGACAAGTTAGTCAAAAACGTCGGTCAAGTAGCGCTCGTTGCGGTACTTCTCGAACCAAGCACGGGCTTCCTCGTCAGTGACGATGTGAGCGAGCTTCTTGGTTCCGCTCTCCTTGATCATGGCGATGCAGGCATCCTCAATGCCCTTACCGACATCACGGCTGCCGCAGACGTAGATCTTGGCACCCATATCCCACAGCTTGTAGATGTCCTCGCGGTCGTGGTACATGCGGTCCTGGACGTACTTGCAGCCCTCGGACTTCTCAGTATCGCGAGAGTAAGCGCGGCGGACCTCGACGGCGCCGAGCTGCTCCCAGCGAGCAAACTCTTCGGCGTAGAGATCGTCGGCATCAGGCGAGCGGCAACCGAAGAAGAGAATAGCAGGGGCAACCTTGCGGCCAGCGGCAATCATGGCAGCACGCTCCTGGACGAAGCCACGGAAGGGGGCGAGACCAGAGCCGGCGGCGACACCAATCAGAGGAACGTTCTCAGCATCAGTGGGCAGGTGGAACTTGACAGAGGGGCGAACGGAAACGTGCAGCTTGTCGCCGACGTGAAGCAGAGAGAGGAAGTTGGTGGTGACACCAACGTGGTCGCCCTGGCCAGAGAGGGCAGGCTGGTTGAGAACCGAGTAGGTCAGAGTGAGCTTGGTAGGATCGGCGAGAGGCGAGGAGGAGATGGAATACTGGCGGACGCGCATGGGAGGCAGCATGGCGAGGTAGGCACCGAAGGGCAGGTTAACGGTAGGGAAGCGCTCGAGGAGATCAAGAACGGAGAGACGCTTAGCAGTGACCTGCTCCTGGTGGTCATCTCCAGCAAGCTTCTCGAGAGCAGCAATGGTGTCCTTGTCCTCGGTGGCACTGATCAATTCGGCGATGTTCTAGAAGATTATTAGCAACAGAGTACAGTGACTGTGGGTAACGGCAGGCTGTGGACTTACACGTCTGGTAGCGGGCTGGCTCAGCTCAACGTAAGCAGTAAGAATGTCGTTGGCAGAGACAGCGGTGCCAGTAGGGAGAGCAGTCGGGCGATCAGCGGTGATCTTGATGTAGGAATCCCAGCAGAGCTGGAAGCGACGGAAGACACGAGAGACAATGGCCTTGGGGTTGAAGGGGAGAACAGCGAGATAGTCTCCAGCCTTGTAGGTCATGCCAGTGGGAAGCTGGATCTCAATGTGGTTCTTGGTGGCACCAGAGGTAGAAAGGGTTCTGGTGTCAAGAACAACAGCCTCTTCAACATCCTGGCGGAGGGTGCTCTGGCGGGGAGTGGTGACCTCGACGGTGAAGGGAGCAGCACCGGCGGCGTCGGTGTCATCGGAGCCACCGAACTTGGTCTTGACAGCGGGCCAGAAAGACTCATCCTCCCAGGTCTCAAAGTCTCCAAACATGTCGCTATCAGCAGCATCAGTGGTGGCAAGCTCAGTGAGTCTCTCACCACCAAGCTCAGCCAGCTTAGCATCGACAAGCTTGGGAATGCGGTGGAAAGTCTGGGCCCAGTCGTGGTGACCGCAGCCAAAGACGGAGTATGAAACACCCTCCATCTCCTTGCCCTTGAGGCTCTCAATCCAGTCGACAAAGTGAGCGGCGTTGGAAGGAGCCTGGCCTTCGTAGGATGCAGTGACAATGACGACGGGGCGGTCCTTGGGGAGTTCCTGGTTGGCAGAATCCAGAGGGCCGAGGATGCTGGCATCGAAGCCGTGCTGAGGAGCATCAGCAGCAACGCGCTGAGCCAGAGCCTCACAAGTACCACTGTTGGATCCGTAGTAAACGGCCATGGGCTTGCGGTTTGCGGCGGGGACGGCGGCAGCAGCGTTCTTCGCCTTGTCAGTCTCGTCCTTGTTGACACCCTTGCCGGCGAGTCTCTGCTCAAGCTCAGTAGCAGTCATGTTGTGGCGGAGTGTGGCCCGCATGTTGAACTCCTTGGGCTTGACGGTGAGAGTCTCCTGGGTCTTCAAGACGTAGTTGGGGTCATCGAAAGTGAAGTTGAAGTTCTGGATCATCATGGCCATGGCGAGAACAGCCTCTTGCCAGGCAAAGGGGCGACCAATACAGGCACGCTGTCCGTTGCCAAACGGCTTCCAACAGTTGGGGAATTCCTTTTGCAGTCTAGCAAAGTTCTCGTCAAGCATGCGGTCGGGGTTGAAAACTTCGGCATCTTCACCGTAGACAGTGTGGTCCAGGTGAGAGCGAGTGAGCAGCAGGATGATTGGCTCGCCCTTGGGCACGAAGTACTTGCCACCAACGAGGGTGTCCTCATAGGGCTCAACACCAATAGCAGCAATGGAAGAGCTGAGGCGGAGAGTCTCGCGGAGAATAGCAGCAATGTAGGGAAGCTTGGTCATGTGTTCAATGGTAATCTTCTCGCGGCCAATGACCTCATCAACTTCTTGCTGGACCTTGCGGTAAGCGGCAGGGTTCTTAAGCAAGTGGTAGAAAGCAAACGAAAGCATGCCAGAGGTTGTTTCGTGACCAGCAATCAGGAAAGTAATGAGCTGATCAGTGATGTTGGCATCACTGAGCTTCTGGCCATCTTGAGGGTCGACACCAGCCAACATGGCATTGAGGAGATCCTTGCGATCAGAGGGGTTCTCCTTGCGGTTCTTAACAACAGTATCGGCGACATCGCGCATGGTGTCGATGTCCATCTGGTACTTCTCGTCGGCCGCGCGGTAGAGGAAGCTGGGAGCAAATGAGGGGCGCTTGTTGCGAACACCGCACTCAGTCAGGAAGTCACCCATAGCCTGGACGAAGGGATGAAGGTCTTCGTGGTAGAACGAGTTGAAACGGTAGTCCATCGAGCAGAGAGCGAGGGTGTCGAGAGCGAGCTTGGTGAAGTCGTCACTGGCGGGAATGGGGGTCGTGGGGCCGTGGCGAGCAATCTTCATGGCAAGCTGGCTAGAGATATCGTGCATCTCGTCGAACATGCTGCGGATCGAGAGAGGACCGAAGGCAGGGACCAGGATTCTGTGAGCCTTGCCCCAGTTGGGCTCGTCGAGGTCGGCTGTGAAGAGGCCATCGTGAACACCGTTACGGACTTGCTGGAGGGCTTGTTAGTTTCCGTCCTATTTCTTAGGACAAGGTAAAGACCTACACCAAGAGTACCGTTGATGGTCTTTTTGAAGCGCTTCTCGTCGCAGCATTCAGCGACAAGCTCGTAGCTGGAGACGAAAGTCTGTGGTCTGCTACCGAATCGGAGTCTGTAAATTTCGCCTGCACCATCCGCATTAGCTATTAAGTTCGCATTGAAGTAGTTTTGTTCATCTTACCATAGGTCTTGGAGAGACGGATCAAGTCCTGAAGAGGGCTGGAGCTGAACTCGCCCAAGTTGCCAATGAAGGGCAGACCAGGAGGCTCGGGAATGGGAACTGATTCAGCCATTGTGTGTAGTTTGACCCAGCAGTACGGGGGAAGTACTCTGGTGATTATGCGGAGAAGAGATGGGAAAGAGTAGTAGTAGAGAGCCCTGAAGAAGGATTGGATGTTAGTAAATATAATCCAAGCCATTGTCAACAATGTGCTGCAAGGCAATGGAAAGCGAGTAAGAAAGAAGTGTCAAGATGGAGCCGGGCTGAATTTAACAGCAGCGAAGGCGAAACGAAGAGCAGCACAGACCTGGCACCTGGCACCTGGCAGCTGTCAAACTGCGACTCATGAAAGCTGTAAATTGCTGCTTCTCATCACCGAAACGGCCTTTGCGGGCCATGATCCTGGTGCCAAAACGGACTTTTTTGCCCGTTGTGGTGGCCATGTCTGGTCCCTCTCTTCTTCTTTTTTGGACCCCTCTTCAGGTTCTCATATAGGTGGTTGTTGGTTTTGAATGAGGGGTCCTGTCCAAATGCCGGTTCGCCTTCTTCTTCCCCATCTTTTCTTTTTCTTTCTCGCTTTCCATTGAAATCACAAGCTCAACTCCTAGTAACAGAAATGCCATTCCCTTCTGAATGAGACGACAAGCAAGCTCATCTGTCCACAATCTAGAGCGGAGACAGGCACCGCCATGACCAGCCAAGCCACCACTGTGTTTTGCAATGGATAGCAATCAGAGGAGGGGCCGGTGGCTGCCACGGGGCAATTCCTGCTTTGGGAGAGGAGTCCAGCACGGGGCAATCAAAGAGCAAAACTTACAATTGGCTTTAGCTATTTGGTCGGCGGGGGTGGGGGGAAAGAGATAGAGAAACAATTAAGAGAGCAGCTGTAGTGGGCTGCTGCTGATCCAGAAGCTAGCAAGGCAACTGAAGACTGTATAACAAAATGAGATGGGATGACGGCGTGGAGCGTAATCGAGAGGGGAGGAGAGGTCTTATATACGAAGTCTCTTACCCCTCGCCGCCGCAAGATGGCGGGAAAGAGGGGAAGCAGAAAAGCTAAGCCAAAAGGGATTCTCAGCAATCGCCGAACCGAAACCAATCAAGCGTCCATCCGCCCAAGAAGCAAGACGAAACAGGGCGCGCGGCCAGTAAGCTTGGCTCCGACCGACTCTCCGGCGCCACCGACACTGCCTAGCGCCAAAAACTCCTGGTGTTGTAGTGACGCAAGTCGTCCCAAACGCTAGCGCTGGTTACGGGGACATGCAGATCCAGCAAAAAAAAAAAGTCGATGGACGCCTGGCGAATCACAGGGTCCTGATTTGCCCATCAAGCTCCTGCAAGCCTCCCCAAATAGTCCCCATCGTTACAGCGACAGCGCCATACTTACGGCCGGCGCTACTACAATGCTGATGCCTTGCGGGCATTGACCGGTCACCGCTAGCGCTGAACTGAAAAAAAAAAATTATATTGTAGAGCCGCCATTATGGAAGCCATGGTCTCTAAGCTAGAATTAAACCCCTCAAGTACTCGCTACTTCATTATTCATCATGGCATCACCAATCTCCCTGTTTTCTGGCCACTTACATGGCTCTGGACCGGAGAACACGGCGTTTTCATGGCCGCTATGCCAGATGTGCTACACATACTCTATGGGCGGCGCAGCTCGCTAGACAGAAGTCGATCGGCCCTTTCGGGCGCCCCTGAGCCACTATCGTAACGCGGCCTTTTTTTCAGCGGGTGCTCTGGTTTTGTTGGGTGCTAGCTACAGCGGGCCAACCACTAAAACTCCACTGTATTAGCCAAGCGTCAGCATGCCAGACAGCGCCATCCAGGGCCGGAGAAATTGTCAAGCTCCACCGACACTCTCGGTCTCTCCGCTCCACCAGTGAGCTTCTGGAATTTTCTGACTGGGACGGGCTGCATGTTCCACAACGATGCCTAATGCATGCAATGGCGATTTTTCTTTTACCGCTTCCACAGGTCCAATCTAATCGCACAGCCCATCATGAGTGCCTAATGGCGCCAATAAAGAGATACTACGGTATCTGCACCATGCTGATAATTTCGGCCCCATCCACCCACCCGGTCGGAACCGGTTTTACGGATGCCGTACTCATCGCCCGGCCGATTGGGTTTGGTAGTGCTTAGCTGCTGCGAGAAATCTCGCTATACAAGGTGCTGCCCACTTACACTGGCTTGCCGCGTTGGCCCAGAGGTTTCAAATTATGATGCTTGCCTGCTAATGTATGAAAAAAGGTAATATACAAGCTCCTCAACTCCTCGCTTTCCTTGAATCCTTTTCCTCTCCTTGACACTCTCTCTAGCGTCTTTCTTCAAGAGCCACCACTTCCGTAAAATCGGTTACGCAGCCAGCTTAACGGACCTCCAGTGTTTTGACTTTGTGGCGCTGTATCGTCATCTTGACTGTTTGGGCGGTTCTGAGCTGACGGGCTACGTTGCCTAATTCTTGCCGCGTGCTCACCTGGCGCCATATCTCTCGGACTTGACGGCGAATGTGATGTCCGTCGTTGCAAGCTCGAGGTGTCATATGTGAAAGGAGAGGCCGGTGCTCGAGAGGTCCGCCAACTCACGCGAGATGGCCCAGCCTGGCTGCTATCAGCACCGTAACCTCCTGTTTGCCTAGCAGATGCGTATGGCGAGTAACCAGTTGACATGCCAATTCCAGGATCAGCGGTGTTCTGCTCCGGTCCTACATGCGCCGTACCAGCATCCGCGCTTGCTTGAGCAGCTGTGTTCGTAGGGGCTTCACCTGGCTCTTCAATAGAGCTACGACAGACTGGGCAGGTATTGTGTGCTCTAAGCCACATTGTGATACATTCGTCATGAAACCAGTGCTTGCAAGGCAAAATCACTGCAGTGTCACCAACTTTCATCTCTTCGATGCAGATGGAGCATTCTCTTTTATCCTCAGCAGAAAGGATATCTTCCGTTACTGCTTGCCTTTTCAGATTCAAGAGGCTTTGCTCCGATGCTGGTGGTGCACCCGATTGCTGTGACTGCGTGTCCATCATAGCCGATATCACACTATCGAATGCCTCTTCTGTAAAGACTGCGTCACCAGCTACTCCATTTGCTGGATTGAAAATATCCAGAATCCCACGCAGGCTTCGGGCTAGCTGTGCATCTTCTGCGCCAAGTTCGCGCCCTTCTGCTCCTCTCATAATTGTGTCAAACATTCTGCCAATACAGAAGTTAGCTAGATGCAACTGGTCCACACACAGAGTGTATCTTACGCTTGGAAAGCATCTCTAGGGCGACGCGGCGGTCGTGGCTGCTCCGGGGCCATCTGCCTACGGTTCGTCGTAGAGAAGATTGTAAGTCTCGCTGTGCTGCCACTATTAGATGTGAATGTAGTCTGGCGGACGATTGGGCCCTGGTTTGCTGTTCGGACGGGAAGGCCCCCGAAACGCTCAATCATCTCCAAGAAACGATCCATGGCTTCGTCGGCATTCGGGTTATGGTGCTGTGCAGTATCCCCTGCCCTAGTGTTTGTGCTGTGTAAGAATCCATGCTGCGCTAGGTGATCGTCTATGTCGGCTTCTTCTGGATCAGAGTCATCGTCGTCGTCATATTGAAATGGGGACGATGGCGAGTCTGATGCGGGGGTTTGTATCGCTCGTGGATCATTATCAGAGCTTATCTGCGTAACTATTAGCTGAATGTATATCTTCTTTCACCATTAGATAGAAAATTACAATTTCTGTGGCCTCGCTTTCGCATGATGGGCATATCAGCCCTGCATCATCTCTGTACCATTCCGCCGAGCATGCATGGCAATACACCACTTCGCGGGCTTCAGTCGCATCCAAATGAGCCCCAGTAGAGGCTGAAGATGCCATTTGCTGCTGCTGTCTGTGCTGGTATGCAGTTAGAGCACCTATTCCTAGGCTGACAGCCAAGCCTGCAATGCGAAGTGCTCGGTGAGCCACTGTAACGACTGGTGGCAATGACTGGACGGGAACGGCTATGTCGAACTGGCTTGCGGCTCTACACGCGGTGTCTCGTGCTATCTGGCAAAGATCGAAGCACTTCTAGCGAATTTTCTTTGCTTCTTATGTATCGAGGAGAGTGGTGCGCGCCCTTTAGCTCGGGATGTTGACAATGTTGATATGACGAGGGCAAGTGACAATCGTTGACGATGCTCGCTTCCGTTGCTCAAACCGGTATCGCGCTATGAAAGGTTGTTCTAAATTATAACAGAGCGCTCTCAACGCGCGCAGGGTATTTCGAAATTGGTACAGTCTCACGGTGGTGTGAAAAGAAAAGCAAAACAGTTTAAACCGATGTCGTTAAATTGACGGAGGGGCGGAAGGTAGAGATTGGTTGGTGGTGAACGGGCGGGTGACGTGCTACGCCTTAGTACTGTGGCGCCACCCTGCCAGAAACGATTGCGGTGATAAGGCACTAACAAAACTTAAGCACTCGACAACAGGGAGTTTGGGAAAACAAAGTGGGAATTTGACGGAGATGTTATTAAGGATCAACTCAAATACTAGCAAATAGTAGAGATATGTCTCCAAATTAATTTTCTCTGCATGCGATTCTATGCAAAGCAGATTATCTTTGCAGCGAGGGACTGCTAATAAGCGAGTCTGCCAAAGTGTCTACAGAAGGCTACCGAAACTGCAAGAACAGCGCCAGTAGGCAACAAATTCAGGGATGATGGTATCTCTCTCTCTTGATCTCTGGTCGTGACACGTGTGGTAATAGACCGACTATGTACTATGTACAGCCGTTTGGAACCTCAGTCGACTGCATCCAACGGACTGGATATTGCTTACCGGATTCCTAGACGATGAAAAAGATACCTTATAGGTAAATTTGCAACAGTTAGCACATTCATAGACCCTGTCTTTGAATTCTATCACCTTGTCGCCCATCAAATAATGTCGTACTAGCCATTCACGCGTGGTGCCATCAACCAGATGTTGGCAAATGAATAGATTTTCCTCTTTCTTTGCAAATAAAGTATTATGTACACAGCCACCTACAGTCCCGAAAAAACAAATGAAAACAATATGTCTATGCGCTGTCGTTCTTGGTGTTCGTCGCCGTGGCCTTGTCCTCCTTGTCCCAGTTAATCAATTGCGTCGCCCATCTATATCGAGGAAATCCGTCAGCATTGTCATCAAAGCCTTTAGCCCTCGAGCTCGAGAGGCCATTAGATTGGACTTCCACCTACCGTCTGCTGATATGCGACTCCCAAGCAGCAGGCTTGTGGGCTCTGCGTTCTCTGTCGGCGCTGAAGTTGAAGACAACTGCAACGATGCCGAAGACTACCGCGCCGGCGATAAAGGTGTTGCCTCTCCAGTTAGCGGGCTGAGCGTACCAGCCACCAGCCGGTGACCAGACGTGCTTGGGGTAACTAATTGTCGGCATCGTGGTTAGCTGAATATGGTCGTTTGATTTGTCGCTCGTTGCACCGGCTTGTCGAAACTTACGGGATCTTTCCGCCGCCACCCTGAAAGTACGTTAGCCAATGTCACGACTTGAACGACAACCAAGCTTACCATTTTTACTATTGTGTGAATTGAGGGGCTTTTGCTTCGCCAATTGTGGTTACTGCGATGGTAATTGAAGCCAGAGACGCCTGAGGTTCTCGGTCGCGGTGGGATTGGATCAGCCAAAAACTCGCCGGGCCAGGGTTGTTCCGGCCCCGGCAGCACCCAACTGCAAATTAGCTCCCTATTTTGTCCACACGCTTCAGCGGCTCACACGACCCCAGTAGAAGTTTTCTAGCGACGCCAGCTTGCACACACCACCACCCGTCTTCAACATCTACGCCATTGTCAATTAATCCAATTGACGGTCAGGGCTGAGCGGCGCGCATTATATAGTCACAATGAGAAGAGTACGGGTTTCTCAATTAAGCGCCCAGGTGTGCCGTGCTCGCCCAGGGGCCGCATTCGCTTCTCGACAGCCATTCCACACCTCCCTACGAACCCAATCGACAATAGCCCCGAGCGCGGACCTGACGTCGCTCTCCGAGAGCGTTGCCGAAGATCACGAGCACAGAGAACATATCCTGCAGCCTCTGCCGTCGCCGGCACCCGAGAGAGCCCTGCAGTCGGCAAAGTTGGCGGCGCTGCACGCCAGACTTTCTCTTTCCAAGCAAATCCCCCTCCAAACGCTCGCAAGGGCTCTCGTTAGCCCGACCGCCGACGCCAATGCCAATTTTAACAACACAAACCTAGCCTTCCTCGGAAGCACGATAATCAACTACCATGTATTCGAATACCTGTTGTGCAAATGGCCCCGCCTGCCAACCAGCATGCTGTATGAAGTCCTGAGGGCATTCGCTGGCCCAGAGTCTCTCTACCATGTTGCACGTGGATGGGGTATCGATGCTGCCGCTGCTCCAGGAGAAGAGGTCGACCCTGGCCTGTTGCAGTGGAAGGCAATCGTGGACCAAAGCATCGCCTCGAAATGGGGCCATGTCCGCGCCGAGGAGGAACGAGACGACAACTACCGTCGCGGCTTGAGCAGCCGCATTGTGCTCGATGATGCCTTTGGCGACCTTGTACGCAAGCCTGAACAGGTTGAGATTAGCGCCACGCAGCTTGAGCACCAGGCATTCTCTTCAGCCGCCCAAGCTGTCGTCGGAGCCATTTACACACATTGCGGCCGCGAAGCCGCCAAGGCCTTTGTCAAATCACACATCTTGACACGCCAGATCGACCCTTCGGCCATGTTCCACTTCAAGCAGCCCACAAGAGAGTTGAGCATGCTCTGCGCTAGAGAAGGTTTCACTGCGCCGATTGCCCGCCTGGAGAGCGAGACAGGTCGTCTTTCGCGCACCCCCGTCTTCATCGTCGGCATCTACAGTGGCAACGAGAAGCTTGGTGAGGGTGCCGGTCCCAGCCTAAACGTGGCGCGCAACAAGGCGTCAATGAATGCGCTGAAGGCGTGGTACCTGTACAGCCCTGGCAACAAGGTCCGCGTTCCTAGCGACATGCTCGAAGCAGGCGCCAAGCCGTGGAAGGCACCTCACATCGACATTGGAGAGATTGTCTAAGGGGATGCATAATGCTTTGGCATCGGTTCATGTACAGGCTGTTTTAGTAAAGATGAGGCATTCAGTGCTGGAGCGTCACAACAAAAGCACATTGGAGTTGTTTTTTGGGGACCTTGGGATTGCTCCCAGTCCCTTTGTACACTTAGAATTACATTGTAAAATAAGGAAAAGCTAAATGACTCTTTCGACACCCGAGTCGAGGTTAGATAACATCCACTATATCAACAGATAATTTTTCACACTCTTTTTGTCCTCCATCCTCGTAAGTCGTCTAGCTAAACTGGTCTCCCTCTTTCAGTAAATTCGCGTTGGTGTTGGCTCGAGTTGTCTCGCTTTGCAGTTTGCCTTCGGCCTTCAATCGCATCTGCTTTTTGCGCTCAAAGATTGCTCTGATCGTTGAGCGGATCTGCTCCTTGCCTTCGTCATAGTTGGCTCGTGCCAGCTCAACAACACTGTCGATTTGTTCCGGGGTGTACACAAAGTTCCATGTGCTCATGAACTCGCTCTCCGCTGGCGAAACACCAGGCACCTTCTTGTTCGGTAGGAAGGGCAGATACACCAGCGCCAACCCGGCATTGGGATGCATCAAACGCCAGTCGTCCGATTCTGAGACTGGCGTGGTAGGTGGATGCGCCTCCTTTGTTACTCGCTCTTCTGTGGTACCTACCCAGACTGTGCAGGGTCCCAAGTCACCCGACTGGCTAGCCTTGGCCTGCTCAAGCTTTTTGTCAGCATCTCGAGGAGTTGACGCTTCTGCGTCCTCGAGATCTTTCTTTATCTGCTGAACTGAGGCATCTTCCTTGGGCCAGCCCACACCAATCGGCCAGCCCTTGATGCCGCGCTGCTTTGCGTAGCCATCAGCTACAGAGAGCCAGTTGTCCGTCTTGACATCAGCAGAAGCATCAAAAGTAATCAATACATCAACATCGCGGCCAGGTCGGAGAAGTGGGTAGATGGGAAGGTTGTTAGACATGCCAGCATCCATCAGTTGGATGTGGTCGTCTTCGTAGATGCTGGGAGTAGCCGTCTTGGCGAGCTTTCCATACATTTGATAAGCGAAGTTGGGAATAATAGCCGGGTCAATCGGATGGATCTTACTTAATTCATCATCCTTGCCTGAGATGAGCTCGTCCATGGATTTCAGTGCCGCAATGTTCTTAACAATGGGCTGTACTTCCTTGTAGTAGTGACTGAGCGTAGCACAGAACGCGCTTCCAAAGATGCCCATCAGGAGAGGTGTTCGAATTTCAGGAAGATGCAGACCATGTTCCAGAGGTACGTCTTGACCGTCTTTGAACTTGCGGCCAAAAGCCCATGTTGGAATTCCGGCTCCAATCTCCTCGCAGAATACCTCGTATGGTGTCATTTCGTACCATTGGAACCAAGACTCCTTGGTGGCCTTTTCTTTTGCTGCTTCAAAATCCTTCTGGTTTTCTTTCTTCTTGAGCTCCTTTAACCCCGGAATCTCGTGGCGAACGGCCGTGTAAATAGGGAGTGGGCGAGAGCCATCCTTGATCAGCTCGCGTTGGTTGGAAATTTTGAAGTCGTTTCCATTAACGCCAAGCTCGCCCTTGGGCACTAGGAATCGGGCGCCGAGTAGCAAGCCATAAATGTCAACGAGACCAAAATCGGCGTCCTTATCACCCCTCAACTTTTCGACGACACCGCTAAGCAAGTATTTATTAGTCGGAGAGGATGTCAAAGACTGGAAAGCAACAGGCGGGTAAGCAATATGAGTTCCGGTGCGTGACTTGAGATGTTCCAAGAGCGACTTGATACTGCCCTTATTGAACGAAGTTAGGTAAAGGGTCTGCAGCCAGCATGAGCCACTAACGCCAGCAGTGTAGGTTACGCAATCGAAAAGGCCGTCTTCTTCAGTAGCGAGTAGAGATCCTGTACCTGCGATCAGGGCACGCAAACCACCTCCAGATCCGCACATAGCAATGGTTGGGACGTCCTCTGGGTTAACATCGGACTCTTTTAAGCCGAGATACTTTGCAAGCGCAGCTGTCGTCTTCTTCTTACGGCGGTCAAGAAACTCTTTTTCATCGTCACAAAGCTCTGAAGAGACTCGAACCTTTGCCGTGTACCGAATTTCCGGGTTCACAGTGGGATCATGGGCCTCATCCCAGAGCTCTTCAGCCAGAGACCCAGGCGACATGGACAGTTCTCGCTGGAGCTTGCGCATAAATCCCGGAACGGTTTTAGACCACTCTGGGAATATGTAGCCTACAAGCTTGTCGGAAAATCCAGCCCATTCTTTATCCGTTATAATGGACATGGACTCAAACTGGCTTGCAAAATGCGACCAAGCGCTCGACTCGCCGTTGTCCTCCTCACTAGACCCATCCGCGTTGTGTTCTGCCGCTCCGTCATGGCGAGGACCCTTGACAACTGAGCCGTCTTTATTATGGCCAAGGCGTGCAAAGTCGTCTGTAGGATATAGAAGCCAAATCAAGAAGCCCGCTGTAACAATCACCGCGGTTGGTGAGCTGCGTCTTTTAGGAGCGGCGGAGAAGAGCGTTCGTCGAAGTTGAGGCTGGACAGACCGGGCGAGGAGGCTAGGCCTGAATGCTCTGTGTGCTGTTGCCAGCAACGAATTGGTGCGAGGAAGCGGCATCCTTTGCTATTCGCGCTCAATTGGCGCGTGCAGTCGGCTTTTGGTGAAGGGGCCGCAAATGGTTGATCGACGGAGACGGTGATGGGATCCTGCTGCAGGGACGCGTATAGCGACGTTAGACCAAGCCGAGGCTGCGATCTAAGCTGCCAATGGTCGCAAATTGAGCCTGAAAGCCAATTACGTTGAATCCGAAGATGCTGACAATGGCAATGCGCAATTTGCAGAGGCGTATTTTGCGAAGCCCGTTGTGTCGAACGATGACCTTGCTGGCGGGGCGTCATGACGATCGGCGGAATCGATCTGGAGTACCCTAGAGGATCATTTGTATAAAAGAAAAGGTATGAAATTCCGAGGAATATTTTTACGATGCCCAATACATGGTGGAATATTTTTAATACAATTACAATCTCTTCTATTTAATTTTTCGGTCAATTTTTATCTACAACGGCACTCTATCTATATAGATGTTTGCCGGGTATATGTAACTGCGAGCTCAGGTCACCGAGTTAGTTAGTTCTCTATCCTGTAGCTACCAGCAATGCGGCCTGAGGGTGGCCCTATTTACGTATAGAGTCAATTTCAGTTCATAAAAACAGATTGCTTCCAAGTACATTTTTCTCATTTTTCTTTCTTAGGAATAGATATAAGTTATCCCGAAATACAAGTATATAAACTTCTCTGCCGCATAAAGTATACTGGCACCGCCCCGCCGCCAGCACCTGTCTCGATGGGGCAGGGCGGTGAAGTGGCTAGAGTTTTTGGGTGCGATTCTGCCGCGCGCATGTCAAGCATTTTTTTTTCCCATGCAAAAAGAGCCTAGCGAAGGAAGCCAGCCAGAACCATCCAACCGCAAAAGCAATTCAAATCGTCAACATCGCTTAGCGTGGGACCTGACCGTTTTGAATTGAATTCGGGTTTTCTTTTACAAGTAGCTGAGAATTGATATCGCATAGGTAAGCTACCACCGTCCTATGTTGTTGCGCAGCCCCCCAGGCACCGGCCTCTCGCCGATGACTCCTGCAAGCCCCGCGGCTTTCGACTTGGTAGTCATCTTTTGCTAACACAAGATGTCTCAATTCTGATAGATCAAAGTCGCATACACTTCTCAACCCTTACGACCACAAACTTGCATTTTCAAAATGAGCGAGGCTGACGTCGCTGTTAAGCCTGTTGAGGCTACCGAGCCCGTTGTCGACAACCAGACCACCCAGGCCGAGGAGACCAAGAAGGACGCCGGTGTTCTCAAGACGACCGCCCGTACCGACTACAAGAACTTCAAGAACAATCGCAAGTTCGATCCCTCTGCGCTCGAGGTTACTGACGACGCTGATGCTATCCGCAAGCAGGTAAGAACAAACCCCCACCATGCCACCATCGTCCCAACTCTACCGTTTCGTTACGATTTTGGGGGCAAATAGACTAACAAAGTGTTTTCCGAACGATCTAGGTTGAATTCTACTTTGGCGACTGGAACTTTGCCCAGGACAAGTTCATGTGGGAGACATGCGGTGGCTCAGAGAACAAGCCCATGCCCCTCGAGAAGATCTGCACCTTCAAGCGCATGCACCGCTTCCAGCCCTACAGCGCCGTTGTTGCTGCTCTCCGTGATAGCACCTTCCTCGACATTGAAGGTGAGGAGGGCAAGGAGGCCGTAAAGCGCAAGGTTGCCTACCAGTCTGCTGGCAACACCCGCGCCAAGTCCGAGGCTGCCACCGTCTACGTCAAGGGCTTTGGCGACGAGAGCCCCAGCACCCAGCTCGACCTGGAGAACTTCTTTGCCAAGTTCGGCGAGGTTAAGGGCCTCAAGCTCCGCCGTACTGGCGAGAACCTCTTCAAGGGTTCCGTCTTTGTCACCTTTGCCGACGAGGAGACTGCCAACAAGTTCATTGCTATGGACCCCGCCCCCAAGTGGCAGGACGAGCACGAGCTCAAGATCATGACCAAGCACGACTACTGCGAGGAGAAGAGCGATCTCATCCGCCAGGGCAAGCTTGAGCCCAACGGCAACTCTTCCAAGAAGTTCTTTGAGGGCCGCGAGTCTGGTTCTCGTAAGGGTAAGGACGGATCTCGCGACCATGACGACTGGAAGAAGCGCCGCGATTTCGACCAGAAGAACGGCTTCCGTGGAGGCAGAGGCGGTCGTGGCGGCCGCGGTGGACGCGGTGGACGCGGTGGACCTCGCTCTGGCGATCGCCGCAACGGCAAGCCTTCCGAGGAGAACGGCGCCGACGGTGACAACGCTAAGCGTGCCCGCGACGATGAGGGTAGTGCCAATGAGGGCGAGCCCGCGGCTAAGAAGGTCGACACAAAGGAGCAGGCCGAGTAAAGGCGGCGGTGACGGCATCAAAACGAACATCTACAAAATGGACTTTTTGCGATAAGGGCGATGGATGATGGGCATGTTGGCAAGGTTACGCCAGAAATCGTTTTTCTTTTTTACACCCGGCGTTTATATTTCCGTACAGTAACTGAACAAAAAATGGTACATTCTGCTTGGAAACACGATATACATGATGTCTACACCCTTTTCCCTGTTAGTGAATCTTGGCGTAGGCAGATCGTTAGCGTGCGATTAACGGGAGTAGGCCGACATTAGCGAAGGGGACGACGGTGGCTGCTGCAGATAGATGCAACACTGGCTTCCCCGCCGGCCAAGCTACAGTAGTAACATTAATGTCTTCTTCTCTTTTTTGCCAGGTTTTCTCTGTGGCTATGAATAAATTTACTGGAATATTCTCTACGCGGGGCCTTACATGCACAGCCTCCATTTACACGCTCGTCCCATCCTCTGGCAAAGAGCCTTCATCTTAAGTCCTCGGAATGTCCGCGGGCTTTGACTTCGGCGCTGGTGCGGCAGCGTTGTCGACGTATACAGTGGAGCCGCCCCCGGGCTTAGGCGGGCTTAGGAGATATGGTGGCCAGCCACAGGCTCTCTTTTAGGCAGGCCAGGGGCATTGTTGGCCACTGGGCGCTGACCTCATCCTTAAATGGGTGTGTATCTTTGTCCGCGGACTTTTTGTTGGGCGGATGCGTTACCCGCGGCCGAGTCCTGTTTTTTTTATTACAAATTTCTTTCTCTCTCTATGATTTCTCGTTTTTCATTCTTCCTCCAGCTTGCTTAACGATAATAAGACTGACGATTTCCTTCTCTGTCGCTAACTACCACTATCTCAACCACCAACTTGCACCTGTTCAGCCTCCAAGAAGCTGTGTAAACACCACATCGGCCGCCACCCCCCGCAACGCTCTTGGCAGGTGAAACAAAAGACCGTTCAAGACAAATTTAAACCCATGATATGATTTGTTAGGGCTTTCTGTTACCCGGCTATCCAAGACAAGCTACAATACACCTGCAGATTCCCCGTTAGGTGCTCTGCCTGTGTCTCTTCACCATGGCGCCACCAGTCACACGAGCAGCGACAGACGCCGCAGAAGCGTCTAAGCGGGAAGATGCTCCTGGCAATTCACATACAGAGTTCAATCCTGAGGAGCACGAACGCCCTCATACACCACTTTCAGAATCGAGTCAAGAAAAGGCTACGCCGTCGCGCCCGTCTGTCTCGCGGCAAGCTTCCAATGCCTCGCGCCGACTGACGAGGACCGTCTCCGAGGTTCGAGATGGCATCCAAAATCAGCGAGACTTGGAGCTCGGCCACGACTCGCATGATGAAAAAGAGACGGCAGATCCCGCCTCTAGAGACCCCAATATTGTAACATGGGATGGTCCTGAGGATCCCGCCAACCCCAAGAACTGGCCAATGCGAGTCCGGTGGACGGCGGTGGTTTGTGTCTCATTCTTCACATTTATCTCGCCGTTGGCCTCCTCCATGGTTGCCCCGGCTCTTGCCGATATGGGCCGTGATCTCAATATCCATGGCGAAACAGAGCTAGCTCTAGTTTTGTCCATTTTCGTCTGCGCTTATGCCGTTGGCCCCTTGGTCTGGGGCCCAATGTCAGAACTCTATGGTCGTGTGCTCGTCATACAAGTGTCCAACTTTTGGTTCCTCTGCTTCAATCTTGGCTGTGGACTCGCCAAAACCGAAGGCCAAATGATTGCTTTCCGCTTCCTAGCTGGCCTTGGTGGCTCTGCACCTCTGGCTGTTGGTGGCGGTGTCCTCTCCGACATGTTTACAGCCGAGCAGCGTGGAAAGGCCATTAGTGTCTACTCTCTTACGCCTCTCTTGGGTCCGGCTCTCGGACCTGTTGCAGGAGGTTGGGTCGCTGAGAAGTCCACCTGGCGATGGGTATTCTATGCCACCACGATTGCATGTGGCGTGATCCAAGTATTTGGCATCTTCTTTCTGTCGGAATCTTATGCACCAGTGCTACTGCACCGAAAGAAGCTGGCTCTCATCAAAGAGACAGGCAACACTAATCTTCGAACGGAATACGATCGTCCGGACCGAACTCTTATTCAGACACTCACTAAAGCCTTCACCCGACCATTCAAGCTGCTGGCCACGCAGTTTATTGTCCAAATCATGGCACTGTACATGATGTATCTGTACGGCATGATGTACTTGCTGCTCTCCACCTTTTCGACACTATTCAGCAGGGTATATGGTGAAGGACCTGGTATTCAGGGCCTGAACTACATTTCCATTGGCTTAGGCTGCTTCCTCGGTGCTCAAATCTGTGCTCCGTTACAAGATCGCATTTACGCCGCCTTGAAGAAACGCTACGTTCCTGAAGGAGGTCCCGGAAAGCCAGAATTTCGAATCCCTATGATGGTTCCAGGAGCCATCTTAGTTCCGATTGGCCTACTCATCTATTCGTGGACTGCCGAGTACCACACACACTGGATTTGGCCTGATATTGGCATCTGCATCTTTTCTGCTGGCACCATCATCGGCTTTCAGTGCATCCAAGGATACCTGGTCGACTCCTACACGGTCTATGCTGCGAGTGCGGTCGGTGCTGCCACTGTCCTCAGAAGCTTGGCTGGTTTCGGATTCCCGCTCTTTGCACCAGCAATGTACAAGGCACTCGGCTATGGTAAAGGCGGTACCATTTTGGCTGCATTTGCCATCGTTATTGGCTGGCCTGCACCATTCCTCTTGTGGAAGTACGGCGAGAGGCTCCGTCAACAAAAGCATAATTTCTAGAATTGTTGTTTATATCATTGCATTTAGCTAATAGAAGCCATCTATCTTTTGTATTCATGCCTCCATCAGAAGCATTCTCAACAAAACAATCCTTACTTTTAATGCCCTGCTTAAAGCTTGTGTCTATTGCTTTTATCCGCATAACCGTTTTATGAACTGTAGTCCAAGGCCTTGTCGCCCATGACTTTCCAGAATTCCTCAACGATTTCCTTTTGTCCACTAGGCGCGCCACGGACGGCCAGATAGACCCGGCTGTCCATCTCGGGATCAAAGTTGCCGGGGTTGCCGCTTGCCATGATACCTCCAGCTTCTTCCAGGATGCACCAGCCAGCGCAGACATCCCACGCCCAGCAACCGCCCTCCCAGTAGACATCCATTTCGCCGGCTGCCACGCAAGCAATGTTGAGAGCGGCAGATCCCAAGGATCTAAGAGAGTGCACCATTGAGCCTCCAGTTTCTTTGCTTGCAGCCAGCTTGCGGAAAACATCGACCTTTAGATCGTAGTTGGGGCCGTCGCGGTGTGCGCCCCATTCGATAGCGACCAAGGCCTCTCCTAGGCCATTGAGAGGACCGGGGGTCTTGGCGAGAGGCAATCTCTGTGGTGTAGATGACTTGCCGCGCTGCATGAAAGCACCACGTCCTTTAATGGCGGTAAAGAGCAGATCTTGCCAAGGGTTGTAGATGACGCCTACTGTTGATCGACGCTCAACAGCAAGGCCGAGGGAGATGCAAGCGTTGGGGAATGAGTGGACAAAGTTGGTAGTGCCTGCATTAAAAATCAAATGTTGTCAGTATGTTGAACGTATTGAGAAACATATCAGGCACAACGATCGCCCTCGTCATAGTTTGTTCTCACCATCAATGGGGTCAACCACAAATGTTGGCTCAGGTCCAAGCTTCATTCCAGGTTTATAGGTTTCTTCACCCATAAAGGAGACCTCTGGAAACTTGGAAGACAGCCTCGTAGAAACCATCTTTTCAACAGCCTGGTCGGCCTCTGTGACGATATCGACCGCGTTGATCTTGCTGCCCATGGCAATGTCGACAGGGTTTGCTGCTAGAATCATCTTGCCTGCCTCGTAGGCAATGGCAACGAGCTCATCTTGAATAGCTTGAAGATCGACTTCCACCATGATGTCAAAATGTAGGCAAATCTGCTGTGTTTTGTTAAAGTTGAAAATACGGCGCGATGCTATCTGTTGGAGGGGGCGTTATCGGTGTCCATGGCGGGGCAGAGGCGTATCAACCGTTGGGACGATGACGCTGCACGTGGGGCGGATGCAACGCTTGGACAGGTGCCCGAACCAATGTTTAAATAAAAATGGTTGGTTTCTGGCTGAATATTAAGGATTCTCTATTATATAGACCTTGAGCCAAATATGGCTCTGGAAAGGGTTTCCTGGATAGGATATGTGACCATGGCTGGGTACGGGCGCTAGACTCTAGCTCTAAACATGCATAAATTCATTGCGCAACAGGTGTTTCTTAAATATAATAAGCCAGGGTTTCTCGTGTCTCAAAATCATTCCTATGCTGTCACTAAAATTCCCTTTAAAACAAACATAGAAGTCGTTCTGTAATTCCCAAAAGCCAGCAAAACGATAACTTGGAGCAGACGGCTCAAGCTGTCATATATCGCGAATCGCGAGGCAACAACGCCAGTAAAGCTTAAATCAAATCCATCTCATACAATTCGACCATCAATTTTCGGGCTAGACAGTTTCTTTGAATATCGATTTTCTGTTGCTTTCGCCAGCACCGCTATCCAGCGGCCTCGGGCTGACACCGCGCAAGCTCTCCGCTGCATTGTCGTCATCGAACGGGTTCTTCTTGACGGGGGGTCGGCCGCGATGTTCGTCTTCGTGGTCATAATCGGGTGCATGCGTGCCTGGTGTAGCAGCCAAGTTCATGCTATAGCTGCCACCACCGTAGTGGGTGTTGCTGCCCGGGCCCTCATGGAGCTCTTCGCCGTATTCAGCATATGCATCTGCCTCGTGGCCGACGCGTGTATCCCAGGCTTCATCAGGGTCCAGGCCACCAAAACTACGTTGCTGACCTGCGCCTGCGCCGGCATATGACGGCTCGTAGGAACCAGCGGCGGATCGGTTGTTGCGGTTCTTAAACTTGCGAACCTTGTCGTTGAACCAGCCCATGACACCCCCTGAGCCTGAGCCAGACGGCGGGCCGAACGGATTCGATTCTTTATGCCACGGCAAATATGATGCGAACGATGGAGGAGGCAACTGGCAAAACATAAGTTAGTCTAGTAACAAACGTAGACAAGGGAAGGTGTGGCAAAGCTAGGTGAATCCGGTCAGGCAACAGATGAGGCAAATTAGCTGCATACAAACACTTGCTATGCAACTTATCTACATAGGCGTCTGTGGCTGTCTGGAAATCGCCGCAGCTTGCGATGCGCTCAATACTTACACCTAGTCTGCGTGCGCGAATCTGAGTGAAGCCGACCCATCCGGCAAGAGCTACGACAAGCAGTACCACAATGGCACCGATGATGCCACCCACTACTGACATATTGTCGCTTCAATGACACGTTCCCGATCACGGCGCGTTTCGTTATGTGGTGAGGATAAATAGGCTGGCGAAGGTTTTCGGAGGTTGAGGGGGCACCAGACGAGGCTGCGGCGCGCTTAAGCCTGCATGCGCAGCGAAGAAAGCGAGTGACTCGTCGGGTTGAACGGCGTTTTAAATAAGCAATAGCCCGGGCAGTATTTCGAGAGTGTCGTTATTGTAGATGCGGGGGATGAGAAGGGCAATTCAGCCGCTGCGTTGTTGGTTCCGGCAAGTTTCGTGAGGTAAAGGTGGTCGGATGTTGGTTGCTTGGGTGGCTCTGGCTACATGTACTGGTTCTATAATCAACAGTGTAGCGGGTACTTTTGGTGGTCCCTCCAGGTGGGTGCTGACGTAGCGTCCGTGGTGCTTGGTGCAGGTGCCTGAGCGCGCCACGCCAGCGACTCGTCACCAAAACCACGCTCCAACTACTGGCGGGCACCATGCTCCTCCTAAAACACAAAATGATGCTGCCTAGAAATCCGATCCGAAAAGAGAGAACTCACGAAAATTCCATATCTGACGATTGTACAAGTTTTGTTTAATTAATGAATATTCTAGAGCCCAGGATAAAGCACTGGCCCCGTTTTGGAACGCGCAAGTAACAGCAATACTCTACTAGATACAACTCCAAGTGTGAGCCAAGTCAATGCCGTTACTAGATACGACACTGCAGAGTCTCCATCAGCAGGCTTTTTTGTTTCATCAGTGCCCATCATCCACGCCTATGCCAGATGCAGCCACTTTTTTATTCTTATTTCTCCTTAGCCTCGCACTGCGCCCAGTCACCTCCAGACTGGGAGAAGTTCTGCGACTTAACAAATGCGCCAAGCTTGCATCGCCCCAGAGAGTCTGCATCACAGTCCTTGAGAGGGAATACCCGATCATTAATCAGGAGACGAACAAGCTCCTCATCGCCCTGGCCATCGCACGCCATCTTCTCCACGACCATGCGGGCGGCAAACGAGACTACCCGCGACGACGAGTACCCGTCAAGCTCCTTGGGAGACAGCCGGCGGTCAGTGGGTAGGTTTTGTGTGTTCTTGAACAGGCCAAGAGCACCGTAGATGGTCATCATGGTGTTGTCGTGTGTAAAATCAGCGTAGAGCTTGCGGTCCAGAGGGAAGGTCTTGTCAGATGAATCGAGCGTAGTGTTTGTGGTTGTATGATCCTGCACCGGTTGACCAGTCAAGCGCGCAATGAGTTCATTGACGTATCCCACACCCTGTGTCGGGGCCAGCTTACGGCCTGGCCCATAGACATACCACTTCTCAAGAGATTGGTAGTAGTCATAGCTGAGCCATTCATCCTGGTTGAAGATTTGGCAAAAGGGGGATAGCTTAGCATTGGGGTCAGTAATGGTGTCGAAAGGGCAGAGATCCATCAAATACACGATGCTCTGAGTGTCCAAGTTGGATCCGCTGAGCTTCTTGGTCAATCTGTCGCTGATAGCGGGCACGAACTTGGCCATCCACTCCTTTTGCTTCTTCTTGCCCAGCTTCTTTCCGTCACCGTCTTCAAAGGCCGAGCAACCACCATGGTCGAGTGTGTTGTTGAAGCCTGACTCTTCGGGAATGACAAGGATATCATCCGAGTGGTTGCTGTCAGAGTAGAAACCCTGGGCAAACTTCTCAGCAGACACAATGACTCGATGGGATCCAGACGCGCGGACAAACATGGGCTTGTCTTGGGTCAGGCTGCTGTATCTCTTGGAGAATAGAGCTCCGGCAGTAACCAGCTCGTTTTCTCCGTAGGTTGTCAGCTCATCGGGCACAAAAGGCGGGGTGTAGTCTTTGATAAATTCGTAGCCGGCAGCGTAGTCTGTTACGTTGTCACGCAGCGTCTGAAGCAGATCGTCATAAACCTGGGCTTTATCAGCCGTAGGGCTGCGAGATCCATGTCTCGACAGAATCTGTGCAAATGTGACTTTGCAACCCTTAGGGACAGCTGAGCTTAGCTCTGAAGGGGCGGCGAAGTATGGAGAATACTGGCCCCAAGTATGCTTCGAAATAGCAGTACAGGTGCCATTCTGTTCGCATCCTTTCTGCGCAGGTGGGCACAGTGAATAGCCTATAGTTGCTGCAGAAAGCAACAACACAGCGGCCGATATCTTCACCATCGTTTTGGTAGTAATTCGACGAGTCGCAGCTGGAGTGGAAGAATTGGAAAGTAGTGGCTCAGTGTTGTCCGCTGGAATAGCGGAATAGCGGTGCGTCCTCGGTGTCAATTTATTAATAAAAGAGGATATGAGACCGAATCTAGCCATGAAGGTATTGTATGTTCTGATGTGGGTGAAATGGGCAAAGTAGACAGTGATATCTACCTGAGCGCGATGGCGAATGCCTGTACTGAGCTTCTAGGTAAGTCCGTCGTTTGGCGCAGCAGATCCAATGTGAGGCTAGTCTTTTCGACTTGCAGATATTGCAATGGCGTGGTTCTAAAACCAGGACACTGGTGATGTAAATGAGAAAATTACAGGATGACAGTCTGGGGTTGTGAAAGTAACGCAGGTCAATCTTACGTGAAGGTGGTGACAAGCATTCAACATGGGTGGCGGTCTCGAGGCGATCCAGCCAATCAACGGGGCCCCATGAGGAAGCGAGCGGCCGACAACTACCGCCGCTCACCTTTAAAGCACTTAGATTTTATAGCACCATCGCAATTGTAAATGCATAATTTATATTGGCTGACAACACATTAGTCTAAGCTTATGCGCTACCACATCCAACAGCAAGATCCTCTTCATTCTTAAAGGACCGCTTCATAACAAGCTCAAGCAATAAAATAAATCAACTAGTTGCCTCCTGGGTATTCGTAACGTATTGTCGTCTATAGCCATAATTTTCCCCCTTTTTAATGGATCGGACCTGCGATCCCATTAACCTTTAGTCGTGATAGATGGTTCGTGAAAATGTAAGACAAGTGTGATAACAGCTCTATTTGTGGCTGTTGCGTAAGTTTTGTTGTGGGAAATAAATATGCGTTGTTGTCACATAGCCATCCCTACGCTTGATGTTGTCATGATACTGGCGCTTTTGCCGTAGTGGCGGACGTTTGTTGTCGTCACTTCATCGTCATGTCCCCCAAGCGGCGGACTCTCCATCGAGTATGAGGATCGAGCAGAAAATGAACCAGATGAATAAAGACTCTGGCGTTCAGCAAAATCCAGAACCGGAGCACACTGATAGAAGCCGTCCGAATCCTTCAAAGGCACCGGTTCGTTTGTAATAGAGTTCATGCTGACTTGCCGCTTATGTGATGATAGCCATGATGAAACTCTAGAAAACGACTTTTTCTTTCGCAACGGTGGTCGCAGAATCAATGGTAAAGGCGGCGGTGGCATTGCTTCAACAACTTCAGCCCTCGGCTGATTTAGATATACGGCTTGTTTTGGGAAGTGTGGTGCGGTACGTGGCCGTTCAGAATCGGTGTTTAACCTTTCAGCAAAAGATGGTGCAACAGGTGGAAGGGCCGGGATGGATGGCATCGGTTCTAAATCTTCTGCAATGTTAACTTAACGGACATGACTATAAAGAAGTCGAGCAACTTACCAGGCACTGTTCTAGCCAATGAATATACACTTGAGCGCCGGCTTGAATAAAGACTTTGTCGTTCTACGACATCGTCGATTTGCTGTTGAAGCTTTTCTACTTCAATCATGGAGCTGGCGATTCGCTCTTTCTGGGCTTCGAGCTCAGATGCCGTATACGACCGCTGTCTGGAGTTGCTGGGGCGGAGAGGAGGAGACGCGGGTGACTCGGATCTCACAGTTTCTGCGTTCTCTGGAACTGCCTTTCGAGGAACATGAAATGAAATGGTAGAGAAACTCCGTTGTCGTACAAATGGATACTCCTGACTTAATTCGCTGGTGACATAGGCTGGAGGTGGTGACGGCACCGGGCCGGGCAATTCGAAGTTGGGTAAAATAGGTGACATATGCATGTCCGAAGAAAACATGTTGAGCTGAAACGGTCCCGGGGGACTGTCTGCCAGTGGAGGACGCCGATTCGGTTGGAACGAGGGATAGTTGGCCATCATGTGCGATGCGGAACTAACATGGCGAAAGTTGGTAGGCGCAGATATGTTAGGTCGTCGAGACGAAGCCTTGGATTTTCGGCGAACCCTGGAGAAACTTCTGCGAGCTGATGCCATTGTTGTTGTAGTTTTCCAAGTCGTGTCGCCTGTTCCTTCAGAGGAACGCCTTGGGATAGGGCGTGGTTGTCCGTCCAGCAAACCATCATCGCCATGTTTCTCAGTCACTTTCTCCTCGGTCAGAGGCTGGGGGTCATATACAACAGATTTGTAAATACCTTGCGAAGTTTTCCGGCGTCGCAAAAAGCCCATCGGCGCGCAGCACCACTCTGAAGAAGCATCTGCTTCGACGCTAGATGCGGCCGTCATTCTGTGGCTAAATGGCCAACATGCTTGGTTGTAAGAGAACGCGATCACCTCTGGAAAGCACAGCGACCTTGGCGCCGATGTACTTTGTAAAAAAAGAAATGTTTTAGAGTCGTGCGTCAAAGACGGGGGTTGTAGAAACAAAACAAACTAATGAAAGAACCAGACCACGAAAGAAATAAAAAGGCAACGAGCGACCGGGAGAGAATCCCAAAATGAGAGTCACCTTGAATAAGACGAAGGATCAGGCGGGCCACGGGCGCAGTTTTGTACGATGCAGCCTGTCGTGTGCCCGGGCAAAATTCACACGGTCCTAAAAAAAAAAGAGCGGGCAGCAAAGAATGCTCAAGATTAAGCTGAGATTCCTTACTCTAAGCCTGTGTCTTGGGTACCTCTACACCATCCTGCGCCGGGGGTTGACCTAAACGGCGTTGTCACGGCGGCTGAGCGCACCACACTTGTTGACTGAATACCAGTCGACTCTGGGCGATGATAGGTCAGCTTGCCAGAAAAACGGACCAGTCGGCGTGCAGAAGATGCATGGGCTGTGGTTTGTTAGCGCTTCACCAGAGGATGGCGCTGACTCCACCACAGGTCAGAAGGCCACTGGGAAGACGACAGCCACTCGATGTCGTGCATCGACGGTACAGTCATGGCTGGTTCGTCGTGCTCATTTCGTCTCGTCGACTCGTAGCCCTGGAGGGGTCGCGTGGTGCTATTGCATTGGTCCATTTCACCGAACCTGGTCGGGGGGCGTTGACATGTTCGCCGGCTTCTATCCGGCCGTTCCTCCATCCCCTTTCCCTTTTCTTTGTATGTATCTCCCCTGTCTGTCCTGGGCCACTGGCTCTCGCCTCACCCGTCAATATCCTGGTCCGGCTGGCCATGGGGACGCGTTTGACTGGCTCTCGATGAAATCCTTATATGGTTGGTCGCCTCTTGCCTCTGCCAAGTGGGCGGTGCGCGAAAACACGAGTCGGCCAACAATGGACATCGTTTTGTAAGCAGAGCTTTGTATACTCTTGGATTGTATCTTTCGGCAGCTCCGCCCATTCGTTCAACGGGGCGAGAAGGAAAAAATAGAAGCTACTGAGCATTGTCTCCGCTGCTTGGCATGATGCACTGTCTCGCGCATCCCATTGTCACCTCCAAGGCCAATGTCTCGCAAGACAGCACCACCAATAGCTTCATGGGCATGTGAAAGGTGCACACGAACCCTCCATTACACTCGCCAACAAAGAAAGACACCAAAAAACGTGGGAGAACCGTGGCCAAAACAAGGCCAAATGTCGCTGTAGACAGTGGCGGTGCACTCGCAGTAGACAGCATGTGACAGAATTTCTGACCATCCGTGAGCTAAGCCATGAGCAAAGCCCTCCTGCTTGTCTCAGTTGAAGGCTCTCGCGATGCTCCAAGAGAGAGCCTGGTTGGTGCTGGGAAGGGGGTTGTAACGTGGAGCTCCTGTGGCGCCCGGTGGTTCCTAGCTCCGCGTAGAAGGCGGTTCGGTGCTGCGGGAATGCGACGCTAAAATCTACAGCAAGCCACGGGCGGTCACAGGGGGGCACTGTGCAGCACTATATTACTGTGCTGGGACCAACTCGGTACAGTGGCGTAGTACAGGTAACTCTAGCGCATTTTGTAAACATGGACAAGAGACAGCCAACGGCCGCAAGCCCGGCGCGGCAGGTGGGGCAAGCGGTGTACGCAGGCAAAATATCCAAAATTCCAAAGAAAGTTGCAACAGCATGCTCCAGTAGCGTAAAGAACAGCCGAATAAACCATCGTAGCTGTGCTTGCCATTGCGACGACAAAAATGGGCAAGCGAACCACGAATGAAGACGATGGCGCTTCTGCCTACAAGAAACGCCAAAAGATATCTCACGATATCCCCACGGGCGAGGATGTCTATTCAGCAGACCAGCTGAGAAAGCTGCTTTCGTTCAATCAGGACATGCGACAAGCGAGGCATGGTACGACTCCTATCCAGAGATATTTTATATATTTAGGGTACTTCAAGACTAATTGAGTCCAATAGCTCTCCAATCTTTCAAAAACCTACTCGATTCCGCAGCCAATTCGGACGACGACAGTCACGCAAAGATCGCCATTCTTCGACAATATCTTTCCGCCGTTAAGCCTCGAGACACTGGCGAGGATGCTGTATTTCTCGCTGATATTATGGAAACTTGGTCATTTGCTGCCCAGATTGGTGATGACGGAGTCATGTCGTCAGCAGCCGTTGTGTTAGCTCTCGTGCTGCAGGTTGTTTCGCAGTCGCTCGAGCTGGTGTCCCACGGCCTCGGCATCTGCCAAACCCTTGTGCAAGAGCGACAGCTAAAGTCGATTTCGAGAAACCTATCGGCCGAAAAGGGCAAAGGCTTTATTATATCACCCACCCTCCGCCTTCTCCGAGAAGCCGTTTGCTTAGATGGCGGCGCCTGCGCCAAGAAGATCTTCCGAGCAAGACTATCGACATGCGCATCCCTCGGTAGAAACCTCGAGATTGGACCCAACAGTGACAGCCCAGAAGACTTCCGTCGAGCTTCTGTTCGAACTAATGCGGTGCGCTTTCTTCTGAGCTGCTTCAAGTACCTCAATTCCGACGCAAAGAAGGAACTCGTCTCGCAGCGCGAGCTTATGTCGCACCTCACATTCACCATGAAGAATGATCCTCCTCATGTCATCTTCGAAATATTGGAAAGCTTAAAATCAAACGTGTTTATGGATACAGGGATTTCGAGAGATGCCAAGTTCCGAAACTTCAACACCAAGATTCTGATGCGTTTCCTTGCTCTTTACTCTTACAACCACCCACACGCAGACGCCCAGGATGTTGCACTAGTACCCGAAAAAGCCCACGAATTTATGGTCAGCATATGTACAAATACCACTGCCGGTATCCTATACCCTTGCCACGGACTATACCCCAAGGACACCGAGGACGAACCGCTTACCATTGCCTCGCTTGGGCGTCCGGAGAACATCGACGCCGACTTCTGGGGAGACCGCTTCCGAAAGAGCGTTCCTGTATATAACTTTGTCCTTTCAGAAGTCGCAAGTAAACTTCGCCCTTGGTCAAGCTTGAAACATAACGAACTCCTCATCGCTATCTTCAAGGCAGCTCCCGAGCTCATTGCCGACTACTTCTTCAACAACCGCGCCTTTACTTTCGAACCCAAACTTACAATGACATGGATCGGTTATGCTGCCTTCCTCTTTAACACTATGAGCATCCCTCTCCCTGCTTCGTTTGGCGACTCATCTCTCTATACCATCATCCCACCTCCAACACCCATCCTTCTCGACAATATCATCCCCCAACCCATAAACCAAAAAGTCTTGATCCGTTGTCTCACCCCGTCCTCAAACTTAACATCTATGTTTGCTATGAGAATACTGGTATTGGCTTTGGAGAAGCTTTCCAAGGCTCTGAAGGTGCTCAGCAAACCCCATACGACCAAGTCCGCTGTCTGGAACACTGCTTCCAGAAAGCTTACAGACGCTTTCTGCCAGCGTATGCCGGACATGAAGGAGGTTGTGCGCTGCTATAAAGCAATCCCCAAAGAAAGCTCCATCCATCGCACTATTGCTAGCCGGCTGCTTCGCCTTTACTATGAAACAGTACCTCAGATTGCTCTGAGCGCTAATTTCGACGTCTCGCCTTTCTTCCCCACTGTTCTCTCAATTATTCAGGATGAAACAGTCGAGGCTGAGGCACGGGCATTTGCCGGAATGGAGCTTGAAAACCTAGTGTCCATTGCCAGTTATTCACCGGGTATGCGATGGTTTGTCAAGGTCGATGGCCTTCATGCAAGTGCGGCCTGCTCAACATACACGGCCATGTTGCGACTTCTGTGCAACAGCAGTGAAAACATGCCATTGCTACAGCTAAGAGCCGTCTTATCAGATGTTGCCATCGAAAACCAGCTAGTATCTGCCAAGTCTAAATTAGTGCCATTGATACGCGCGCTGCGTTATGCAGCAGCAAAAAGCGATGCTGATGCCACTGAAGTACTTTGGTCATACATGGACAATTGTATTAGTCGTTGTGCCACCTCCCCCATCAAGTATCTTGACTCTTTGGACTCTGTTATCAAAGACGAAAAGTTACCAGATAATGAAGGTCTCTCTCTATTCGTCATGTGTCTGCTGGAGCAAATACCATTTGTTGCCAAAACAGCCTCGGCTTCTACGCAGAAGCATTTGGCAACATTTGCTTCGTTGTACTTTACAGCTTTGCAGGTTGCAGGAGAAGACGAGTTGACACTCCTAATCATTTTCAAACAGTTACTGGGTCATCTTCCCGAAGTGAAGAGCACCACATGCAAAAAGTTTGGAGATGCCAAAATAATCAGCCAACTTGCTGATTGTGGCGTCGACGACAGCTCAGCCGATCAGCATATTCAGGACGACGTGGCTGATTCCACTGTCATGGTTACTGCTGAAAGGCTGAAGGAAATGTTACATGTGCCATTCGACACTGAAGAAGACGGCTCAACGCTTCTGAAATGGGCGACCAAGACCGTCGACGACTTGGTTGAAGATAACTGGGTTGCAAAACTGATCCGCCTCCTCTCCTCTGAACATACTCACATACGCAAAGAGGCGTTGACCAATATTCTCAAAATGGCTGCGAAGATCGATGAATCGTCTTACGAGGAAAAGAAACAAGTGTGGCTACTGCTGTCTGAGCTAGCCGAATCGTCCAAGGTTCAAATCGATTCCGGGCCTGTACCTTCTTTCTTTGTTGCATTTGCAACCCACGCCCTTGAGATCCTCAAGAACCCCTTACATCCTCTCTATCCCAAAGTCAACACTTACCTCACTCGAAGCCCTGTCTGGCCTCTAGAGAAGCTACCGATGGCACATGACATCTTGCACGGAGAGCCTTCAGAGGACGACAAATACTACACCGAGGCTACCTGGCTGTTAACATACTTATTGGACGGGCTCAGATCTCCGTATGACTTAGGTGTCTTCCACAAGAAACGCTGGTTCGAGAAGATCTTAGCTCTAGGCAGCAACCCATACATGCGGGCCAACCTTCGAACCAGAATCCTTCGAATTGTATACCGCTCAACCTTGATTGAAAGTGGAAGCACTACTTTGGTCACTAGATTCGGCCTTTTAAGTTGGTTAGACTCCGAGCGCGTGGCATGTGGTTCCCCAGAAGACGCTGCCGTATATAGTGCTTTGATGAAGCAAGTCTGGGAGACGTGCGACCAAGCGAGGGTCTCTGTCTGGAGCAAAGGTGGAATCACAAAGTTGATGCAGAAGTTGGAAGTTTAGCTCTCAATCCTGACACGATAGACAACAGTAAAGAGACGGCGGCGTTAGAGATTAGGTCAATTTTTTTCCATAACTAATGCAACGAGTACAAACAATTCTTGCAAATCAAATAAATCAAAACACCAAATATATTCCTCTAGACAGCCCTGATATAACAAGAACTAATGGCTCCTCGTCAGCCGATCTGTCTTGCGCCTTCAAAAAGACCATAACCAAAAAAAAAACAAGAACAAAGTTAAAGAATATTGTGTGAATGCCCAGATAATAATTCTCAGGCGGAAGCTGAAGTAAAGAATGGTGAAAGAGAGGCATCCAGATAGTATCGGCATACCAAGATGTATTTACACGATACGATACCATACTGGAGAAATTAAACTGTATGCCACGCTCCTTGGGCGCGTCAAGAGTTTTTGTGAACATGTGTCAACTAAAGTTGACCAGACAGAATCGCTTCAGTTGCGCTGTTGATATATTGTCTCTTTGCGTCCAATGGCACATCAAAACGTCTCTCCAGCTCTTGCTTGATGCCCTTCTTGGTAACGGTCATCAAGTCTGCTGTCTTCAGAATTTCACGAATCTCGGCCAACAGAGCGTCGTCGCTGGGAAGACCAACCATATCCTCAGGAGTGAAGAATTGTGAGCCTCCATATGAGCTCATACGGTTGACGACACCCTCAGATGGTGCGAGAGACATGCGAGAGAGGTTTCGAGAATCAGGGAGCATGACAGGCATTGGTGGGACAAGGCCGGTGGTAGAGTCAGCGCGGCTGGAGATACCATATTCAGAAACATGTCCTTGAGCCTTGGTTGCGTAACTGTAACCGGAAATCTCGGATCTGGTGTCATCACGAGAAGTCTGCGTCTCCCAGAGCTCGGCCTGGTAGTCTTCCCACTTCTTGCGAGGAATAGATTCAGGGTCGAATTTACCCTCGTCAGAAACAACAACCTTCTTACCCTTTTCACCAGCGACAACACGGGTGTTGCCCCAGGCAAAATCGTCCATGTTCCAGAAGGCGTAAAGAGGTAGTCCAAAAGTAAAGACCGGCATGGCAAGGATATACAGAATCATCCAGCCAACCATTTCCCACTTGCGTCGCAGAATGAAAATGATGGCCTGTAGACCATAGATTGCGCCGAGCAATACGAAAGCGGTAATTGGTACCACGGTCGCATTTCTTGCAACAAGAACAATCAGGTAGACGATGTAAGCAATGGTGACAGGCTGCACAATGGTACTGAGAAGATCGATGAAGACCACAAATCGCATACTAAAGCAGCAGAAGCCACAGAGTTGTGCCATTGGGATAAGCTCGATGAGGTTGTGAACAGTAGAGTTGATCCATCGTCGTCGTTGTGAGAGGAAAACCTTCCAGGAATCAGGGGCAATAGTCCAGGCGTGCGCAGAAAAGATATACTTGGTCTTGTACTTCGAGTGAAACTTGAGCAACAAGGTTGTCAAGTATCGATCTTCACCGAGGTGCAGCAAGTTCTTCATGTGCAGCGTATCAACACGAATTGTAGAGTATGCGTCAACAACCTCTCGGCTGACAAATAGTGGCTTTCCGGTCTCAGCGGCACGGATTCTGTACATGGAGAAACAGCCAGGCAAGCAAGTAACAGACCCGAATAAACTCTCGAAGGCTTTAGACAAGTTGTGTGAGATGTAGTATTCGTACACCTGAATCATAGTAATGAAAGACGATCGGGCATTCGTAAGAGCAGTCTCACCACAAACGGCAATGAGTCTTGTATCGTCGATGAAGGCTGAGACCATGCGGCTGGCGGAATCAGCTGCAACAACCGTATCGGCATCAATTTGCAGCATGAATTCATAGAAAGTCGGGTTCACACCAATAATATTGCGAATCTGGTGATACATTTCCAGCTCCAAGGGGCTCATTGCGAGGTTGTAATGAACGCGGTTCAAGAAGCGCATGATGACCATTTGGGAATCACGCTTGCCACGGTTACCAGGGCGGGCAACCTCGGAAGGCTTGCCAACCTTAACAACCACCATGAAAGGAACAATGTGTCCCTGAACCTCGTAAAGTCCAGAGTAAACCTTGCCCATGTTATGCTGTTTAAGACCTTCTCCCAGTGACTCGAAGCTGAGGGGCTCCGGATCGACGGACTCCGAAACTCCGAGGATGTCGAGCACAATACGAGGAGTAGGTCTGTCGTTGCCTTGACCGATAATCATACCATCGCAAATAACGACGAGCAGTTTACGCTTATCGTCGTAGCGCATTCGGGCTGCAGAGTCAATGGCGCGACGCAAGGACTCTTCATCTTCTGTGTAGGCTGGAATTTGGCAGATAACAAATTTGTCGAGATTCTCTGGGACATTTTTGCCGCCAAATTGCAAAGCTGCAAAGAACTTGAACGCGATGACAGAGGCAAGCAAGATTGAAACAGCAAGAATCAAGTATTCCGCAAATTGGCATTTAGTCGAGTTTCGAGTGTCGACATCACCAACGTAAAAGAGGTTATTCAAGCACGTCATTTGACTCTGCTTGACCTCTTTTGACAGTGTCAGAGTTTGCCATAAGTGGGAGATATCGGAACCCGTGTTTCTCAAGAAGAGCTGCTTGACATCGTCGTGCATGAACGTGGTGATTGTGGCAGGATCAACGTCAGGAAGTTCCTCGCCGGGGGGTGCTTTGGGCTTAAATCCACCAGTGACGTATTTGGTGAGATCGTAGACCTTTCCATCAATGGTAGCAATTGTCTGTTGCTTTCCTCCAAGAGTATTGACGAGTTGTGGAGAATAACCAATTCTACCTTTGAGGTACTTGCCCCTCATCAGCTTCATTCTCTCATAATACCAATCGGGCTGGTACAGATCGCTGCTGTAGCGGAAATCATGGAACTTGTAGTTGTCGTCGTTGTATACCAAGGGTTGGCCGGTCGTGTTGGTATCTTTCACATCCATAGTGACATACTCACTGACCTTGCCGTTTACGCCTTGGCAAAGTGCAGATACTTGAACAGGGAAAAGATGGCTGACATCGGTACCAGCGTAATTCAGTAAATACTTCTTGTCGAGAAAAGGAGGTGGGTGGTTCCTCGCAAAGTCGCCGAGATCAAAAACATAGCCACGAACCGATACATAGGCGGGGCCGGAGCCGTCCTTGTTGTTGTAAGACGAGACTTCTGCAGCGCTAAAAACATACTGCTTGGGACAAATAAGCATCGGGAAGCCGACGATGAAGAAAGCAGAGACCAAACAGAGAAACCAGATGATGAAGTTGATTGCAAGCTTCTCTCGCCAAGCAATGCGAACATCTTTGCGGGGCTTCCTTCCAATCCACTTGATGAGAAAGTCGGGGATAAACCATGTCAAAAGGTAGACAATGGCCATCCAGCGCTTGCGGCTTGAACTGTCCTTATATTCCTCAACTTCTACCAAGGCCTTTTCGTTGCCACGCTCTGCCATTTGCTCTCGAGTGTCAAAGTTCTTAAACATATCTCCACCACCAATAGCAGAGACACCAGCTTCGGATCGTGCGTCATCAGCGAAATAGCCAGATCGTCGTTTCTCGCCGTACATGAGCGGCGTGTTGCCTCCAGAACCAGCAACATCCTGCGTGGGGCTCATGAGCTCTCCCGATGCTGATCTCATACCGAAGAAGCCAGCGCCAGGTCCACTGAGCTGTGCAATTTCTAACCAGCATCGCTCACTCAAGAAGACGCCCGTCGCACCTACTTGAACTTCGTTGCTTGGCCAGCGCTTCTCCTCGATAACAATCTCCGCTCTCTCACGTTCGCTACCGACTATCATGGCATCGGTGTCAGCCATGCCAAGGAATTCGCCGAATGGAAGGAAAAGGCTGAAGTCTGCAGATCGAAGCCTCTGGCTGATTTCTGCAATACCGAAAGTTTGGACTTGCGTTCGCACGCATTTGCTGTCGAACTGATTGGCAATACGGCGATCGTTGGGTTTCAGACAAAACACAAAGTACACGTTTGTCGTGGGGTCCATGACAGCTTTTTGCACATTGTCAAGGGAGGCGAGGAATTGACCAGATGCGCCTTGGTCAATTCCGTTCTTGCTCGGTCGCTTTTGGGCATCATTTAGCTGCTCAAGGCGATCAAGGGCCTCTTGCTGTTGACGACGATGAGCAGTGGTCGGTCGGGCACGGCTCGTCTTGCGCGACATTACGCTAGGTGCTCGCATAGGCTTCGATGAAACGGAGGCTTGCATAACTGTAGTCTTCTCGTGTGGGTGTGGCACAGTTTGCAAAACATCTTGGCCAAGGAGGCGACCGACGAAGTCACTCTTGGTGCCGTTGAGCATGTTGAGCAGATCACCAGAGATAATTTCGCCATTCTCTTCGATAAGGCCCTTGACAGGATAGTCAACTTCACCGGCAAAGTGCTTCACTGTAAATGTAGCGGCCGTGTTTTCAGTTAAAAAGTTGCTTCCGGGGAGTTTAGCAGTGGACGAGCCAACGTCAATAGCAGCGTTCTTTCCATCAAAACGTTTTCGCAAGCTCTCAAGAAGCTGCATGTCGGTTTTGTTTCGGCGAGTTTGATCATCCAAGATACTAAGGAGGCCGTTTCCAGACTTCAAAAGACCTTTGACAGCGTCGGAGTTGTCAAAGAAGCTCGTTGGGGGAACACTGACCTCTTCAGACTCGAGCATGTCAGCTGTACGGTCGAAGAAGTTGTGTAAGGTAAGGTTGTAGATAGCCTCCGTAGCTGTGTTGTTCAGCAACTGGTCTAGAGCCATACCAGTCGTAGACTGATGAGCAAAACCAGGGAAATCCAAAATAGAGACAGTGTTTGCAATGCTTTCTTCAGGAGCGCAGATTCTGGCATTGGCAGATTCCAGAATCCAGGCCACGAGCAGGGCATAGAGTGTACGAGCCAGCTCATCAGCATGTTCGCGTGCTCCAGCAGGATCAAGCATTACTGTGACTCGCTCCTTTTGCAGCATCTTAGTCTTGTAACCAAGTGTAGTTTGCAAATCACCTGCGCTGACTCCCAAGAAAGCTGCAATAATGGCAAGAGTGTCCTTGTTCTTCACGCCAGTAAAGGTATTGGCTCCTTCGTGTGAGAAGCCGCCAGAATCGCCGCCCATTGCGCTAGTTTCGCTCGTTGTTTCGAACTCGAGCTGACCAATATGCAAGATAACGGCCAAAATCTGGCAGATTTCTGCAATATCGGCTCTAGGGAATTCTAGCTTCTTTAGGGCTGTCTTGAAAAGCTGGAAGCCTTCTGCATCATTGATGCCGACTTTGAGCTGAGTAGGATGGCCGAGATACTTCCATCTCTTTGAGCCGTTTGTACCGGCATCTAAGCCCAAATGGGTTTGTTCGGCATCACTGGTGCCAGCAAGAAGATAGTAGAGAATGTGGAAGTTTCTCTCGCCTGAGGGGACATCTGAAACACGACTTCGTTCAAGACGATGGTCGAGCAGCTTACCACCGAGAAGAACGGGGTTTGTCGTGGAGGACGTGTCATATTGCAACTCGTAAAAGAGACCAGACTTCGAAGCAGTTGGGGTGGTAGCGGTCTTCGTCGTAGTTAGAGTATCGAAAACGTAGGCTGCCAAAGACAGTTTGTTAGAAAGAGGGGAGGATGTCTTGTTCAGCAGTGCCGTCAAAAGGTGCGAGCGAATTGTCGATTTGCCTGAACCAGATTCTCCGCTGTAAAGGATGTTAGCATTGCGACAAATACAGAACATGAGCTTGGATTTGACCAGATTATACATACAGAAACACAATAGCTTGATTCTCAGAGCGATGGCCAAGACGGATCCAGGCACGGTCAGCCATGTCCTCTGCGCCGGCCATGGCGCTTCCTTCCTTGCCTCCATCGGGGCCTTTCGAGGAAGAGGTGTAGTTGTTGATGCTAATTAGGCCATGAGATGAAAGGCTAGCAGTGGGCTGAGAAACATGGAACCGAGAAGCAAGGTGTGCGGTGATATGGGTGTCTGATTGGAGATGGGCAGGCAACGACGGCAGCGAGTTTTGTTGCTGAGATCCCGTACCTCCAGCACTCGACGCGGTGTTGAATGCCATGATGGGCGAGTTGCCAGATCACTGGCAGGATAGTAGATTCCCGTGTAGAGATTCACCAGTCGCTTGTGTTCTCGTAGTGTTCGAGGGGTTTGTCGAGTGACCGTAGCAAGAACCAGAAACGTCGGGAACACAGACAAGAGCAAAAGCGAGCGTGAGGATAAGATTAAACGAATGTGCAACTCGGTATTCCCCAGTGCGGGAATGTTATTGAAAAGACCGAATGCAAGAAGAAGGATAAGATGACAAGAGAGAAAGAAGGTATCGAGAAAAGATGAAATTCAATCGGAAGGGGAGAGAGGAAAAGAAAGGCTGTGCGGCCCGTGTATACACTTGGGCGGGCACCAGCAGAGTAGGGACAAGGAACGCTGGGGGGGCAGAGCACGCGTGTGTTTGGTGGCAGTCCCAGAACCCGTACTCGCTGCACAGTGGGCGATGCGCTGGACTGAGCACGCCAAGTGGCGCCCGCTAAAAAAAAAAAACGAGGCCAAAAAAAAAGAGCCCCTGGATTTGTGGTGAGTACGGCAAGTCATAGATACTAAAACGCATTCCCTTTTCTTTTTGCTGCTCAGCTCCTTTTTCACCCTTACGAAGTGCAGTGCTGGCGGGTCACCGTAATGAAAGCCGCCTGGTGCGCGACAGTCTATTTCGTGAGTTTGTCCCTAGACGGCATAGTCGAAAAAAGGCGACAAGCTAAGAGTGTGGCCACTAATCTCACAGTTGCGCTCATTCAATAGACTTTACGTTTGCTAGAAAATCTCTCGAATTGGGATTTAGCTAGAGCGAAAATCCCAACAACTTGCAACTTGCAGATGGACGACAGGTTTACATGAGACTACTCATGCCAGCCCAAGCTAATTTGACCATGTCTCAAATCTCAACTGCACCTTGTCCATCCACACCTGTATGATGCGCGTCTACACCACCCACTAGTAGTGTGCTTTAGTTAATGTATGACACTTGTACCAGACAGTAACGCCCGACGCGAACGCGACGGAATGCCACCGTTAACAACAGTGACGGGCAACGTCCGTCCATTCATCCATCGACGCTTTAGATCATACGTCTTTATTCTTGTAGCATGGCTAATTCTACTTCATAATACACGGGAAAGTATAAAAATTTGTTCCCCGGTAGTCTCATAGTCACTAACCGAGTGTCGAGACAGTTTTTCTTTGGTATCTCCTACTTGTGTTGCTATTTCAGGCTACTGTGCCCTCGTTTCTTTTTATCGACATGTATTAGCGGCGTTCCGGTGATTCCTACCGCCGTTCATGGTACTTTATTTGCTTATAATTCCGTTTCCCTTGCATTTCAAATACATGTAAAGTTATCCGTACATGAAACTCGAAGAATCCGCTCTTATGCAGACCCTGTAGGGCAACGGCTGCGGCGTGTCCTTGCATTGTATTTCTTCCATTTTTGCTTCTTGTTAATAGAATGGGGGGGTCGATCCTACAGATGTAGCCATTTGATATAGCTAATTGCTATATACTGCAATGGAGGTGATTGTGTGTTGCGGCATATTTCATTTTCTCATGCTGTTGCCAGAAAGAACACATCGTGGGATCAGCATATGGAAGGGCGATGCTAGCGCCGGACAACAACGGCGCCCAATCGTGAAGGCCGCTGTACCATGCTGCATTTATCGCAAATCCCTTGTAGCTTTCAGGGGAGGGTCTGCGAGATGGAAATTTTCACTTCGGTGTAATCCCTGGCGCTGCACCCTGGTCAGGTCCCCTAAAAATCAGTTGACATTAATTGGTGCTACCCTGTATATGTATTTGAGAATTAGGAGCCGTTGCCCGGCAGTCGACCTTCAATCAATCATCATTTTTAAGCATGAAGAACTATGTACAAATTTGCCTTTGGAAGCTTTGGTATCAATTATGTCATTTTGGTGATATTTTGGGAGGTAATTGAATCAGATATGGGTCTATGATTGAGTTGGGTTGGCCGGCGGCTTGAATGACAAAATCACGAATCGAGATTGCCGCCTTTGGTAACATTACGCCGGAAGACTATGTTTACAAGTCTACAGTGGCTACTGTGGTTATTCTAACCACGAACTGGTATCGTCTACAGATGATTCACAGCATATCGAAGTGAAGTTGAAAACTCATAATAGCTTCTTCATGATTGGCCGAGCTTGGCCCACACCCACACGACGATGATGTCAATAGCTTGTCCTCAGTTGCTCCTTCACCACGATTAAACTAAACTCCGCATACCAGACGTGTTGCTAACCGATCGAGCTGTTAAGCGTTCTTGGTAACGAGACACGCTGAGGTACGCCGACATACGAGAGCCGGTTGGATAGGTAGACAGCATTGCGGGCAACTCTGGATCGATCGCCACAGTTACGGAGCACAGCCCAGCAGATACGAGGCCACCTCGCTATGAATAGCACGCCATGCATGAACACGGGCAGTGCGTCAACTGTGACAATGCTACCCGTATTTTTTTTTGCCTCCCAGCCCACGCACTGTGCCCACGCTGCACGACATCCGCTTAGCACAGTTATCAACCGTATTTACAACCAAGAGACAGTGCATGGCAACGCTGCAATGCGCCTCGTATTGACGCGCCACAGAGCCCGGCTGAGAACGCGAGCATGGCCAAAGAAAAAACATCGACAGAAAAACAGAAGGGTTCTGTGGACAGAGTGCTTTGACTTGCACAGCGCCCGGAAGGTTTTTTTTTCTCCCAAACCGCATCCGAATTTGCGTGCAACGCCATGTCTGCCCAGAAAAAGCTTCGATTCTGTCAACCGCCGTACGCCTGGAAGCCAATGTAACTCAATTCCGCTGCAGGGCGGGAGGCCAGGCGCCAGGAAGACGGAAAAAGCAACCACAAAAATTAAATATACTGGGGCCGCCTGCCCGACCCCTGAATTGTGGGCCGCCAACCGGCGCCGCGGCCAGTGAGAGGCCGTTGACCCCCCTAAAAACGATGTCAAGCTGCACTAATGCACAGTGGGCGGGCATTCGAGACAGGTACCACCACAGGGGCCTAGCGGCCAGTGCGTTTGTGCTTCCTGTATCCTGCCGTAGCCAGATCGCTGGCGCGCAACCGACCACCCACTGGCATAGGAGAGCTCCCACATGCCTGCCAAAGTCGCCTGAAAAATGCTCTGGCACCTGAGAAAAGCAACGCGACCAAGGCGCCCAGTGCGACAAAACCAGATGCTAAAGTCCACACGGCTAAGCACACCCACGCGCAAGCAGCCCACAGAAGCCTGTGTGCACGAGACGAGGAGCCAGCGTTCCCTCAACCCTTTTCCTTTCTCTTTTTCCTCTCGTCTACTTGCAAGCCAAGCATCGTCAAGTTTCCCTTTCGCTGCCTTGACGCTGCGGCAGTCGTCTCTCGCTTTACGTTTCCTTTCTTCGTTTCTACGAATTCTCGATCCCATCCACGGGCTTGGGAATGCGTTGAACCCTATTCATTCATCCTCCAACTGCCTCACTCGCTTGGCATATTCCTTACAAAGTTCTGTACACATCTCGATTTATATCTACACCCGGACCAGTCTTTCCAAAATACGACATTGCATGGGAATATAGATCACTTACGTCCTCTCCATCGATTTCATTGAAGCTAGATCCAACATTAGCAGTGCTACGGACGACTTTCGGAATCGAACCATCAACATGGCGAACCGCTTGTCCATGTTTTCGGTAGCCTCCGAGTCGCCTGCTGGCCGCAATGGTGGCCAGCAAATGACACAAGTGTCAGCAACCACCCTCCTAAATGGCATTCACAACATCTATCTGGCGTCTCTTCCATTTGAGCTAGACTCGAGCACCAGCGTTGTCGTCAATACATGGCTGACAGCCGCACAAGGCGGCCCAACCGTCGATGCTGCTCTGTCAAGTAGAGCCTGGGAACACGCTCGCCGCCGCGCTGAAGATGGTCTAATTATCCTAGGGTTTGTTCTGCAACTATCTTGGACGGCACATGTACTAACCGATTTAATAGATCTCTGCACGCCTCTACTCCATCTGTCCTGAGCCCCTTCCTTGCCACCAGCCCATTTGCTATCCCATCGACTCTCTACAAGGCCCTCGAGGCCATCCAACCTTTCATACGATGTGTTACGCCCTACAACCCTTCGTATGCTAGACAAGTTGCACTAAGCACCACATTCACGCTCAACTTGGCGGGACATGTTACTGCTGCTTCCATTGCTCTGTCTAGTGGAGGCGTTGATACTGCCAATGGTCTTCTTGAGATTGTCAGTGATGCCGGATACCGTGCATTTGACGTTTTTTACTACCTTCTCACTTCTGCATCGACTCCAGCTGAAAGAGAATATCTCGGATTGAAGACGCCTTCCGATTATGCGCTCCTTGCTAGATCCAAAACGTACACTCCTCCTGCCTACCTACCTACTGCAGACGACGCCGCATCGGCTGATGACTTCCGTCAGGCGTTAAAGGATATTGGTATCAAAGGATCTGCGCACCGCAACCTTATTTCCATTCTCGCCGGACTGCTCAAGTTGGGCAACACTCTTGACTATGAAGCTGAGCCGGAAGTTCTCGAAGAGATCTGCGAAGAGGTCAGTGGTCTGCTCGGAATGGAGCCAGATGTTCTTCTGAACCAGTGCAGCACTGAGGATCGCAAAATACTAGTCGACGGCCTCTATGAATCCTTGGTTGACTGGGTTATTGCCAAAGCTAACAGTGCCATCGCTGATCAAATGAAGCGAGTTCTGAGTGGAGAGGAGTCTCTTGAGGGACGACCGTCAGGTGCCCCTCTTGACGAATCCGCGGACAGCGTCTCCATCACTATTGTGGAAGTTCCCGACCCTGCTCTAGGTAAAGCCCTCTGCATGCAGTCTATTTTTGACGACTCAAAGGGTCTCAACGCCGAGATGATCCAAGATGGTGTGAATGTTGCCCCTGCAGGTTCCACCATTGTCAAAGAGACTGAACAAGCTGTTGCTGATATGGCGGCCGACCTTGGTCTTTCCACTGGCCCTAAGGGCAGGGAGCGACAACACGAGTTAGAAAAGCGAGAAATTGTACTCGAGAAAGTTGGCTACGCTTCGGAAGAAGGCGGCTTCCTCAAGAAGCTGCTATTCCCTGTACAAGGCGAAGGTATCAACCTGGGACGAGCTGGCAGGGTCGACCTCGCGCATCTCATGACCTCCAACCGTGTTTGGCATCATCTCTCTCTCCATCCCACCGACGATTCGCCTGCCAATCTTGCAGCCCTGCCCTCCATTACCTCTGCATGGTCCGCTGGAACTGTATCGCGTCAGCTTCGTTCCTGGCGTTTGCCTGAATGGGCTAACCGCAGAAACCGAAAGATGGATTACACGGCAGATTTTGACGTTGATGAGTTCGTCACTCGCTATAGCCCACTAGGTTGTAAAGACGGCCGCGATGGAGTTGAGAGCTGGATGCTTGAGCGTGGCTGGAGCAATGGCGAGATCTTTGTTGGCAAAGATCGCATCTGGATCCGTGAAAACGCTTGGTGGGAGGCAGAGAGCATGCTTGATGCTAAGCAGGGTGACGGCATGCCTGCATTGCACCTCAATCCTTTCAGCAATGGATTTGACACTGGATACTCCAACAATGGCAGTGGTTTCTTCCCTACCCCTGGAGTTGACACTGGCATGACGAATAGTCGTGATGATCTCGTCATTGCACACTCTAGGAACCCCAGTCAAGGTAACCTCAGCCACGTTATGCCTGGTGCTCCCTCTATTGCACCTACCGCGATGCGAGCTGCTAAGAAAGGCGACTATGGTCTTGGTACAAAGGGTGACACGTATAAGGGTGAGCCTGATGACGTCGATTTCGACGCTGCGATGGATGCCGAGCATGCCAATGGCAGAAAAACAGAGACAAAGCACATCGGTATCGGCCGACGTGCATGGGTCGCCTTTGTGTGGGCATTGACTTTCTGGATCCCATCACCTCTTCTCCGTTATGTCGGTCGTATGAGACGACCCGATGTGCGTATGGCTTGGCGAGAAAAACTCGTTCTAGTTTTCCTCATTTTCCTCATCAACGCCTTCATCATCTTCTGGATTATTGTTTTCGGCCAACTTCTATGCCCGAACTTCGATAAGGCCTGGAATGTCGGCGAGTTGAAGTCACATCAAGGGACCAATGATTACTGGGTCGGCATCCATGGCAAGGTCTACGATCTCACGTCCTTCTACAAAATCCAACACAGTGATTTACCTGGCCAAGACGTCACTCCGGACAAGATGGCATTCTTCAGTGGACACGTTCTTGACCAGTACTTTATGCCACCTCTCAACCAGTACTGCCAAGGGGTTGTCGAATCGGATCGTGTCTATCTGCAAATCAACGCCACATTGGATCCTGATTTGACGGCATTGCCTAACCACGCGTCTGGCCCTAATACAATCGGACTTCAGTCGGACGCACTTAAACAGAGCGACTGGTACGCCACCAAATTCACTCCCAAAATCAAGGAATTCTACCATGGCGATCTCGTCCATAGCGTAGGAAACATTCGACAGCAAGGCAATGATGACAACCGTCCCTGGATTATCTATAAAGACGAGGTTTACGACTTGTCACAGTACTTTTACACTTTAGAATCCATGCAGGGGCGCGATGAATACAAATTCATCAACACCAAAATCAGCGATTTGTTTAAGAACAAGCCGGGACAAGATGTCACAGGACCCCTGAATGACATTTTCACAAATGCTCGCTCTAACAACGACGAATATAACAATCTGGCTGCTTCCTGGACCTGTGTTCGGAACATTGCGTATGTCGGCAAGACAGATTTCCGCGAGGGTCCCCGATGTACCGTGAATAACTGGATTCTTCTTGCCTTCACCATCATCATCTGCGCCATTATTCTGATCAAGTTTGTCTCAGCATTGCAGTTCAGCTCGAAGCGTCGACCTGCTCCCCAAGACAAGTTTGTCATCTGCCAAGTTCCTGCCTACACCGAAGGTGAAGATTCCCTTCGAAAGGCCTTGGACTCTCTCACCGCTCTCCAATATGACAACAAGAGAAAATTGATTTGCGTTATCTGCGACGGTATCATTACTGGTCAAGGTAATGATCGACCTACTCCGAAGATTGTACTGGACATTTTGGGAGTTGACCCTAAGATGGATCCTCCTGCTTTGCCCTTCCACTCCGTCGGCGCTGGCAGTGAGCAACTCAACTTTGCCAAGGTCTACTCTGGTCTTTATGAATTCGAGGGCAATGTCGTTCCGTACATTGTCGTCGTCAAGGTTGGTAAAGAATCCGAACAGAACAACGCCAAGCCGGGCAACCGTGGCAAGCGTGATTCGCAGATTTTGCTCATGAGCTTCCTGAACCGCGTTCACCACCGATCTCCTATGAACCCTCTTGAACTAGAGATGTTCCACCAGATCAACAATATTATTGGCGTTGACCCAGAACTGTACGAATATCTTCTGATGGTCGACGCCGATACCGCGGTGAACGAAGACTCCCTCAACAGATTGGTCTCCGCTTGTGCTCACAACGCTAAAATTGCTGGTATTTGTGGCGAGACAAGTTTGCAAAACGACGAAAAATCTTGGTGGACAATGATTCAGGTTTATGAGTACTTCATTTCTCATCACCTGGCTAAGGCGTTCGAATCTCTGTTTGGTGCGGTTACCTGTTTGCCTGGCTGCTTCACCATGTACCGCCTGAGAACTGTTGACAAGGGCAAGCCCCTGATTATTTCAGATGCTGTTATCAAGGAGTATGGAGTATGCGACGTCGACACGCTGCATCAGAAGAACTTGCTTGCCCTTGGTGAAGACAGATACTTGACGACCCTTATGACGAAACATTTCCCACAGATGAGCTACAAGTTTGTTCCTGATGCTCAGTGTAAGACGGCTGCCCCAGAATCCTTCGGTGTGTTGATCTCTCAGCGCAGAAGATGGATCAACTCGACTATTCATAACCTGGTTGAACTGTTACGTCTAGAAGAAATGTGTGGTTTCTGCTGCTTTGGTATGCGATTTGTTGTTCTCATCGATCTTTGTGGTACTCTTGTCCTTCCTGCTACCTGCGTTTACCTTGGCTACCTCATTTATCGCGTGGCAAGCCATACTGGCCCGTTCCCGCTCATTTCTATTGCTCTACTTGCAGCCGTCTACGGTCTACAAGCTCTGGTCTTCATTCTTAAGCGCCAGTGGCAACACATTGGATGGATGATTATTTACATCATCGCCTTCCCCATCTACTCGTTTGTCCTCCCCATCTACTCTTTCTGGAACCAGGACAACTTCTCCTGGGGTAACACCCGCGTTGTCATTGGTGAGAAGGGCAGCAAGCAAGTTATCTCTGTCGATGAGGAGGTCTATGATCCTCGTTCTATTCCATTGCAGCGCTGGGATGACTACGCCTACGCCAACAACCTCCCTGGCCGTCGCGGCGGCTACCAGGAGAAACATGATTCTCCCTACGCCGACCAGTATGAGCTAGACGAGATGCGCTCTGTATACTCAGCAGCCCCTCAGGGAACAATGCTTCCATCCATGCCCACTCAGACTGGCTTTGTTGCTCCCGGCAACCGCGCATCTATGATGTCTGGCATGCATCCTCCTAGCATGGCTGGCCGCCGTCAGTCTGTTATGTCAGGTGCTGATCTTCACGGCCGTCAATCTCCTTACCAAGAGTTCCCCGCAGCTCGCCCTGCCATGAACCAGCGCAGCCAATCCAATCTATCTGGTGTTACTGGTGCCAACAGATCGTCGTCCGCTCTAGGCTACGGCGGTGGACATCGTACTCCCATGGGCGTGGATTCGTCGCAGTCTGTACCCAACTTTGACTTCAGGAATGGCAACACTGCTGCTTCTGACGCCGCTATTATCGACTCTATCCAGGCTGTTTTGCGCGAAGTGGACCTTGATACGGTCACTAAGAAGCAAGTGCGTGCTTTGGTAGAGCAACGCATGCAGATGGAGCTGGTTGGCGAACGACGAACCTTTATGGATCGCCAAATCGACCGCGAGCTTGAGAGCATGTAGGTGCAGATTTACCTACCAGCTTGACCATCAAGCATGTCTGTGACGACTATACTTTTCTTTTGACTGCGTTCGCAACAACATAAAGCCACATCATACATTTTCGTCTTCAAAATATCGAATCTTTAATCATTTATCTCTTGGCTTCTCCCTTTCAGTGTATGGGGTTCCTTCTGGATGCGAAGGAAGGCGTTGATTGTCAGACTTTTAGGACGGGTTACGAATTAGACTGAAAGGTGAGCATTGAGCATCGCCTCTCAGAAGTCTCTTTGTTCTCTTTCACCTCATTCGTCGTGGTAAACTTTCTCTCATTTGGATTTTTTATATTTGTTAATGTAGTTGTTTTCATAGTATTAGGACAATTAAATGTTTTTATAATTTATAATCCGCCTCTCTCAGCAACGGTGATTCTAATGTATGCTGTTTATGTTTTTAGTGCTAATAGTTTGGATACATCTCTCTACCTTTACTTGTCAATCCTGCCGACTCCCTTGAGTCTCAAGTAAACGTCTGTCCCCCAACCGTACAAGCTCTGAAGAGCAATACCTCCCCCAAAATATTCAGCATATGCTCGACTTAATGGCAGACCATATCCAAGACCAGCAATAGAGCTACCACCAGAGCTGACGGATGCAATTGCATTAAGACCATCACCACCGCTACCGCTTCCATAGTCATCGTCTTCAGAAAATGTTGTAAATGAGTACGACCAGATGTCGGGCAGGACATCCGTCGGAATACCGCCTCCACGATCTCTTATACGAATAGTAACTCCCGGCGTGTTATCATCAAGCGGCTGAATGGCATGGTTGGTAGCCTCGGGCCCCAAGTCAGCTGGCTGGATGTACGGTATAGTTTCGGGTTGGTGCTTGAAAGCCGGCTCAGGAGCAATTGTGACCACAATGGGCTCCTGGGATTTGTTTTCTATCGTTGCCCGGAATGCATTTTTGAGCAACTCTGTGACAATGTACTCAAGATGGGTTGGTACAAACGCCAATGTGGCGTCCGGTTCACCATCAACAATCAGTTTTGGACGAATACCATATCGAAGTTCGCATATGTCTGCAACAAAGCCTGCGCATGATTCGATGGTGTGTACTGGGCGAAGAGCGGTGTCGATAACGCCAATATAATTTGGAAGATCTGGGCAGGGTGTCGGACTGGCGTCTGGGTCGAAGTGAGGCTGGCTACTGAAATGAAGAGCAATGTGCTGTTCAGCAACTAAGCGAGTACCGATACGAGCACGAAGATGCTGGTCAAGGAAGCGGGTGACATCGGCTGAGGAGACGTAGCGGCGGCATTCAAGGAAGCCTTTAGCAAGGATAGGTATAGTGTCGGCGTGTGTTGCAACCAGCTCTGTAAGGACGTTTGTAAATTTGATCTCATCCTCCAAATTCGTAATAGCGCGCCCTTCGGACGCGAGCTTCCAGTACGGTAGCAGAATAGATAGAGAATGGAGATAATTGTTATAGATTCGAGAGATATTGGGGTTGGAGACGACGATGAATGGCAAATTTCGGAGAGCTTGGAGGCGATGAGCGAGGCGGATTGGTAGAAGAGAGAGGGTGAAGTTGGCGGAAGATAAGAGCGATCGCTCTGACAGTGGTGGCCGTCCGTGCCTAGAAAACCAGTTAGGAGGGTGTACGGGCCTGGGACTAGTGTATTGGGAGGACGTACTTGACTAAATCTGCAAGACTGAGTGGATGCTGTTTCTGGCGAGCAAGAGATGCGATGTCTGCGTCAGCAACTTGCTGTGTCGGAGCACCGGCGCCTTGTTCGGTGCTGAAACGGCGTTTGCATTGTTGCGAGGATCTCAAGAGGTGATTATGACTGTTGACTGACTGGCAGTGCCGCAGCAGTCTTCGCGAAGGGGAAATACGACTCTTCATGGCAGCATGCTCTGCTATTTAATGGGGGGAGTTTATCGCGTCGATTTGCGTGTCGGAGTAGACGGGGGTTGCTATGCGGATGAATGAACGGGCCAAGCGTTGGCCAAGAGCGTTGAAAGTATATTTTATAAGGCTAATCTATTGCCCACGGTTGGTGGTAGGCCTGTTGTTGGGCTCGATTTGTCCGAATGCCTACGGCGTGGGATATTTAATTGGCGGTATGCCGCTGACTGTGATCAAAGGGAAGGGAAAAAAAGCTGGGGAAGCTGGGAGGGTTTGGAGAAGCGCGGCTTTAGCTACGGCGGCTGGCGACGGCCGGCGTGCAGCGAAACTTACGTCACGAGTTGAAACCGCCTAACAGGGCAAAAAAGGCGGGGGAGGGGGAACCAAGGGCCGTCAAGGTCCTGTTGTTGCGCAGGGCCAATGGCGGTTGATAAGGCGGCTTGTTATAAGAAAAATACGATTTAGGTATCAATATAAGGAATTAAAGACCTTGGCTGTATATATTTACTATTTAAACACGTCATGCTGATGCGCTATCCAAACTGATGTAGATGCAGTGTTGTGCAGATTCGGGCACTTATTGCGTGCTGACGACGCCATCCTTCTCGACGTACTTGACATGCTCATGGGCCTCGAAAGTCTGGACATGGTTGTCGTCAAATTCAGCACTAAGAATATAACATTAGAGGATGTATAGATGTAGTTGGAGGCCCTGGTCGGTACATACGAGAAGCCCTTGATGATGGTGTATTCGTGACCGATCTTGCCGCCCTGGTCAATGACCTTTTGCTTGACACTGCCGCCGAAGAATCATCTGTTAGCAATGAAATGAGAAAGAATACTCGTTTCAACTGGAGTATTGCTTACGCCTTGACCTGGTCGTCGCTGGCGTCGTCGTTGCAGGCAATCTAACACACTGTTAGCCGGGGATGTCACACGTGCAGGCAGGCATTATGGTACACACGATGTAAGAAGGCATGTTGGAAGCTGAGGTGAATGATAGATGTCGAGATGGAACTGTAGTTATGTATGTATGTAAGTGAGATGGAAATGGCAAAGTCGATGGTTAGAGATGAACAAGGCAGAGCCACTTACGCGTGGAGGAGGCGTTGATAGCGATGACGGAACGGCTATGACGAATGCGCATCACGCTGGCCAGCAGAGGGGCGGGCCGTACTACCGTGGTAGTGGTGGCTGAACCGGCCAATGAGGCCATTAGCGTGAAGTGCTTACGAAGAGGGTGACAATAAAAAGGAACAAAAATAAGCTAAATAGATAGATGAGGCAAGTGTATTACAATAATATTAATGGATGAATATAGAGACTTGTTGGATGGTAGTGGCGGCCCCGAAAATAAAGGCGGGATCATCGGCCGGGGCTGCTACAATTTTTGTCCCAATGTGGTGGTGGACAGAAGCTTAATCCAGATACAGGTACTGTACAGGTGGTGCTTGCGCTGCTACTGTAGGCGCTGTACCTAACATGCGGCGACATCATGGTCTTAGCACCAGTGGAAATCGCATGCTAAGACTTTTTATTTTTTTTTTCTAAACCACATCTATCTTACCACCTTTCTCTATTTGACTACACCAGCGCATGCTCTGGAGAATACTTTGCGGCTGACTGCCACTTACCAATGCCTTCTTTCCTCCCCTACGTGATATAAAGTCGCCGAATCAACCAACCGGCGATGGCGGCGACCTTGATGATGGTGTTCGACTGACTGGTGGACAGGTGGCAAGGCTACAGCGTGGCTGGATCACGATCAATTCAAGATCGCAGGCAAATCTAACACCTGACTCTTAAGTCTACTTGCAAAATAGTACTCTCCCATAGCGCACGACACGCCTAACACGCGTATACTTTGGAACGCTGTTGACTGTTTCGACAGCCAACCACAGCGCATTTGTTTGGGTTAACACCCGCTAGCTGCATAGGTGAGGCATCGTATTCGTACCTGCACCACAATAAGGCGACACGCTGTGGCAGCTTTGTTTTAATTTTTTTTTGGCGCGGCGGCGGGCGTGCTCCCCACTACGGAAGGCTGTCTGCAAGACACCCGAAGCTCCGGCAGGGGCTGGCGGCATTGGGTTCAGGAACCTGCGTATTCGGGTTTGAGCCGCAAATAGGGGAGGCTTAAAGTTCAACGGGGACGCTTCTACTATTCTCAACAAACTGTATAAAAATAGACAACGAAAAAAAATCAACGAGAACCATGGAGCTAAAACAATTCCATATTCAAGGTTGGACACAAACCGTAGGTGCTCCGACTTTCTTTGAAGCGATGCCTTCTAGGCGGCGCTCGTCTTCGTTTTCAAGGGACCTCGCTAACAGGCACGCTAGATTGGCGCTAGACAGGCCCGGTATGCGGCCTTCCATGCCCCTGGCGTGCCGAGACAATGACACTGCGTGGGCCGGGCTTGGGCGTCCCCCAACCCAGCGATAAGGACGTCTTCCAGCACGCAAAACGTGCTGTCTGCTTCACTAAACCCGCAAAGTCGTACGAGAGAGATCCGCTACAGGGCCTGTAGAATAGGTGGTTTGCTTATTTTACAGCAGCCACTGCACCGTAGCACCAGCTTGCCGCCGGTTCCGCATATCTCAGCGGGCCTGGTGTCCAGCAGACGCTGCCTCCGATATCGAAGCGGTTGTCATTTAAACCCTGGCTGTCAAGCGTTGCTCCGTAATAAAGCGCCAGAAATCCCCTATTTTTTGTAGGACAGTACAGTACTTTTGCTTGTCCTGCAGCCAGATGCACTAGCCGGGGCAAATGCAGCGCACCACCGCTGCTGGCAATGGTGTGTTTCTGTTGAGCACCCCGCTTTGTTCCATCTCGTCTTCGGTTTCTCATGCGCGCAACCAGTGCCCGCCCCGGAAAGTCCAAAGGAGAAGGATGGAAAAAATGTGACCAGCCCCTGTACCCGGGTTTGTCATGATCACTCGTAGCCAAATAATATTCACTGGAAAAAGTAAATGCACATCCATAAAACAAAAACATCACTTCTCCTTTCGTCATAGCTCATTTGTCAAAGAGGGTCTCATCTGTCGAATCGCGTTGCCGGTTTATCCCACCCACCTGTGTGGCCGCATTTTTTTTTAGTTAGCATCACCGCCTACTGCTACTACTTTTTTTCCTCCCATAGATTTCCTCTCCACCCTCCCGAGTCCTCCCCCCTTTCTCCTTTATCCTCCCAAACCCATCTCTACCACGGAAGACCGTCTACACTCACAGCGCACCGTCACGAAGACGACAGCCTCCCTTGCGCTTCAACAATGGCTTCCAACACCACCTTTACGTCTATGCTTGCTGGCTCCAAGTTTGCCTCTGCTGCCGGCCTCCCTCCTCAGGTCGACTACGTTATCGATGCTGTCACCTCGGTTGGCCCTTGGACTCTGCTCCTCACAGTCTTTGCCATGTGTGTTGTCTATGACCAAGGTAAGCAGCCAAGCAATCGTCTGCATCGCATCTCACAGTAACTAACGCGCGTGTCTGTTTCTCAGTCAGCTACATCATGAGCAAGGGCTCCATTGAGGGTCCTTCGTGGAAGATGCCCTTCATCGGCCCCTTCCTGCAGTCCATGGATCCCAAGTTCGAAGAATACTATGCAAAATGGGCCAGCGGACCCTTGAGCTGCGTCTCTGTCTTCCACAAGTTCGTTGTCATCGCCTCCACCCGCGACATGGCTCGCAAGGTCCTCAACTCTCCCGCCTACGTCAAGCCCTGTGTCGTTGATGTTGCGCACAAGCTTCTTGGTCACGATAACTGGGTTTTCCTTGACGGCAAGGCCCATGTTGATTTCCGCAAGGGTCTCAACGGCCTCTTCACCCGCCAGGCCCTCGCCACTTACCTTCCCGGCCAGGAAGAGATTTACAAGAAGTACTTCGAGAAGTTCGTCCAAGTCACCAAGGACGCTGGTGGCAAGCCTGTCCCCTTCATGCCTGAGTTCCGTGAGCTCATGTGCGCCGTGTCTTGCCGTACCTTCGTTGGTCACTACATGACTGAACAGGCTGTCAAGAAGATTGCTGACGATTACTACCTCATCACCGCCGCTCTCGAGCTTGTCAACTTCCCCATCATCATTCCTTACACCAAGACTTGGTACGGAAAGAAGGCCGCCGATATGGTTCTCGCTGAGTTCTCCAAGTGCGCTGCCAAGAGCAAGGTCCGCATGGCTGCTGGTGGTGAAATTACCTGCATCATGGACGGCTGGGTTCTGCAAATGATCAAGTCTGAGCGCTATCGTGAGGCCCAGGCTAAGGGTGAGGAGGCCGACCTCGAGAAGCCTTCCCCCATGCTCCGCATGTTTGGCGACTACGAAATCTCTCAGACCATCTTCACCTTCCTCTTCGCTTCCCAGGATGCTACAAGCAGTGCTGCCACCTGGCTCTTCCAGATCGCTGCTCAGCGCCCCGATGTTCTTGACCGCGTCCGTGAAGAGAACCTCGCTGTCCGTAACGGTGACCCCAAGGCTGAGCTCAACATGGACCAGCTTGAGTCCATGACTTACACTCGTGCTGTTGTTCGCGAACTTCTCCGCTACCGCCCTCCTGTGCTCATGGTTCCCTACATGGTCAAGAAGGCGTTCCCCATCACCGATAGCTACACCGTTCCCAAGGGCTCCATGCTGATTCCTACCACCTACATGGCTCTTCACGACCCCGACGTTTACGAGAACCCCGATACTTTTGACCCTGAGCGATACTACTCTGGCGACGCTGAGGAGAAGGGTGCTAAGAACTACTTGGTTTTTGGTACCGGACCTCACTACTGCTTGGGACAGGTTTACGCTCAGCTGAACTTGGCTCTCTTCCTCGGAAAGGCTTCCGTTCAGCTCAATTGGACTCACCACGCCACCCCTCTTTCCGAAGAGATCAAGGTCTTTGCCACCATCTTCCCCAAGGTATGTGTTTTTTCACGCTCTAGTTGGAGTCCCTAATACAATTGTTGCTAACGTCGTTATCTAGGATGACTGCCCTCTCACCTTCGAGAGACGTTAAATGATCTGATAAAGAGCATTACAGCGAGACGATAATAAAAGGGAGACTTTTAGATCGCATATTTGCGTAGAGACGACGGCGTTATTTTGGGTTACAGCACACTGCTCCGAATGCGATTAATCATGGGTATTTCCCCATACCACTGGAAACTGGAGTCAGCATTTCTTTTCGCTCACGCGTTTTATTTGAATTTTGCAATACGGGGGCCGGCGAATAGTGCAGGAGAAGCCAGGCGCTGGCTCACCCTACACAACTACTGTATATAGTTCTTGTTTGCCACTGTGGCTAGTATTGGTGGATATATGCATTCCAATAAATCCCTTCATCGATTTTTTAACCTTTGAAACTTCGAATTATGTAAATATGTGTCGATTGATCATGACTATGTATGCGTCTGTTGGCGTTGTAATAGTAAACGGCGGATACTCACCTTGGGTGGATCATGTTCATTTTCGGCCGTCGTCACGCCAGCTTGAGCGGCTTTGACCCAATTCAACTACATTGCGACCTCCGAGCCAATTCCATCACACGTTGTACAGGCACTTTGAAGAATATAATATACTTCTGGGAAACAATACCATTAATTTATAATACATTTAAAACCCGACAATGGCCAGTCGCCGCCTCACCAGCCTCTGCATTGACGCAGCTACTGTTACCAGATTCGTTGCCCGCCCAGCGAGCTTGTCGGCATTGTCAAGGTTTCCCCATGCGTCCACGAGAGTATGCCGAAATGGTGTGTCTATGAGCAGAGTGGCACAGCCAAAGGCTACACCTAGCCAATGGTACAGCACCAGGTCCGAGGAGAACACTGTCCCTGGCAGCAAGATTTGGGGCTTCAAGGAGATGAAGGACCAGGCCGAGAACCATGAAACAAGAACAGATATCGTCCTTGTTGGTGAGTACTAGTTCTCCATGGGGCTAATTCCACTGATATATTGGTAGCTAACTAAGGAAGATGTTCGCGAGCCTGCCGAGCTGATAGATACTGGCAAAATCCCTGGCGCCATCAATATTCCAATCACATCGGCGGTTCAGAGCTTCCATGTTTCGGACCAAGATTTTGAGGACATGTATGGATTCGAGCGACCAGGAAAGGATAAGACACTGGTATTCTACTGCAAAGCTGGTGTACGAGCACGATCTGCTGCCGCCCTCGCTCAGCACGCTGGCTGGAACAAGATTGGCGAGTACCCTGGTTCGTGGCTGGACTGGCAGGAGCAGAATGGCCCTGTAGAGAAACTCTCTAGCTTTTCTAGCTCCAAGAAGAACGACTAATGATGAAGTTGTTTAGGCTGGGATCAGACAGTCTCACACTGAGTATCATATAAAGCTACATTGTAAGAATAGACACAGGGTGTTGTATCTCCTTCTACAATTGTTCAAATTACAACATCTTTTCCATGTCATGATATATTTGTTCAACTCGCTCTATGCTACTTTAAAACATTGATGGGGGCTTCTCAACAGGCGCGTCCTTGGGAGGATCCGCGGGCTTGGCCGCTACAGGACTTCCATGAGCGAAGAAGAGAATCTTGATCGTCAGAGAAAGAGCGGCGTGTAAAATAATTACAACAATAAGCAGGATCTTGCTGACTTGCTTGTCTGTTGCGCTGAGGACAGGGTAGAGGTTGCGCAAGAGGAAAGCGACAGACATGCCGAAGCCAACGCCGACAAAGACCCAATTGAGAATAGAGATGGGAGACCAGCTAATCAAGGCAACTGGGATCCAAATAAGGTTGGAATAGCCATATAGGGCCCAGCACTCAAGCAAGTTTGCCGATTCGCTTCCAAAGTATCGCAGGGCAAGGTAGAGGCCCATCGGGATGAAGAGCGTGTAGCCGTAGATGAGGCCGGCCGCGCCGCTGAGTAATTGGAAGTTATACGCAAACGGCGCGGCACCGGATTGGGCCAGCTTGTCGCTAATTGTTCCGCCAAGGAAGAGGATAAGGACCACGGTCGTCGCAATCCAGAACGGGCCATAGAGGTCGGGGTTGCCTTCTAGGACGTCAAGGAAGTTGGAGCGAGGGTACAAAGCCGCCCAGCAGCGCGACATGACGGCTGAAGTGTCAACATCGAAAAATTGCGCGTAAAAGGACGTTGTCCAGAGGAATCGTTTCTGTGTAGAAGAGGATGACGCGGATACGGGAGGGGGGAGGCCAGAACCACCAGGAGCGCCCTTGCGGCGGCCCTGCGTGCCCTCATTGAAATTCGAGGTGTGGAATTCGAGGTCATCTTGGAGATCGGTGTGGCCAAGATCAGCCTGTTTGGGTCGCTATCTGTTAGATATGGTTTCCTTGAAGCAGCTAATCGGCTGGTGCTCGTAGCGCAACGAGTACACGTACCTCGTCGTCTACGTCGACGACCGCATCATAGCCGGAGCCAGACATCTTGTATTAAAATGATAACGACGAATAGTAGTCGGCGTTTTGAATATCGAGATCCGTTTTTATTTTTAAAATCAAATGTAATGTCGTGGAATAATGAACATGCAGCTGTGTCGCGCTCTAGACAAAGGAGGTTTACAGTGACGGGAGCTTCCACGTAATGTCTGGGCTTAGGACAGCTAGTCCTCGGCGCCGCGCCCCCAGCCGACTTTTACCCGACCACGCAGCACAGCAAGCTGTCACGACGCCGCCATGACGCAAGGTACTGTTTCATATAATTTGTATTGAGGATGAATAGATTGAAGATTGACGTACGATCCATACATATTCAATATATGTGTGATAGGAGCTATCACAAGTTAAGTCGAAGTTAATCACAAGATAGGGTTACGAATCACAATTGCATGTATGCGGCTGCATAATTTGAACATGATTTTTTTTTCATCGGCATGATCTAGAGTGCATTGCCTGAACAGTATCTACTACCATTAGAAACAAAAATCCGTATCAGGCAACCTGGAGAGCATTTCTGCTGCAGACCAGGATCTGCCGGTATGCCAGAAATCCCAGACGCCACATCCACGATCCAACAAAAAAGACGTATCGTTTATTTGAGCTTCTTCTTGGGGCGGAGCTGGTTGGTGTGACCGCACTTGCGCTTGCGGCAGTTGGTGGCACGGGGAGGGAGACGGGCCTGTATAATTGTATGTTAGCAAACTCGGTGGCGAAATATATGGCGACACGCGCTGTCGAGATTTTGTCGGGCGTTTCTCCGGGAGTAGGACAAATTCAACGGCGTGTTGGGTTGGACGTACGTAGCACTTGCGGCAAATCATCTTTTCGCAGTTGAATTTGGAGGCAAGGGCCTTGAGCGAGGGCTCGATGATACCACCACGGAGGCGGAGGACGAGGTGGAGGGTAGACTCCTGTTACGAGAAAATCCAGTCAGCAAAACAAATTCCGTATCCAATTTTGGGAAAATCCGTCGACTATAGAGTATCGCTTGCTTTCGCTCTCGCTTCGGCGGGCTGATTTCTGTCGTCTTTGGGCTATTCGAACGAACCTTCTGGATGTTGTAGTCGGAGAGGGTGCGGCCATCCTCGAGCTGCTTGCCAGCGAAGATCAGGCGCTGCTGGTCAGGGGGAATGCCCTCCTTATCCTGGATCTTGGACTTGACATTGTCGATGGTGTCCGAGGACTCGACCTCGAGGGTAATGGTCTTACCCGTCAGGGTCTTCACGAAACTAGAGGGTTTCTGGTCAGTATGCGCTGCTTCGGTCGTCCACGTCGGGTTGTCGAAGGGGAAAAGCTGGGGCTTACATCTGCACTGTACAATTGTTAGCATATCTTTACTTCTGTACCATTTAACAGCATTATCAACTTACTCTTTACTGATTTTAGTGACACTTGACAATGTGAAGTTTCGTTCGAGCAATCCGCGCACGTATTTGGTGGGGCGCAGGTGCGAACCGACCGAAAACCCTAGGTCAGCCCAGACAGCACGTGACTTTTGCACAATCTTTTTCACATCCCGCCTCCCAGAGTTTAATTGTCCCCACTTCCGTAACGGGAAGCGTTCTCGTCTGAGGTGTGGCTCAACTCATGTGGCTGGTGACTTATTCATAAGCTTGTTGGGAAAGAAATAGTTGAATCGCTGGATTTTGTTTATAATAGACTGAAATGGTATTATTTATACTAATTATCTCTTTGCCATACATATATTGCTCTTTCCATCATATAAACTGCTCTTGTCAGTGCTTCTAGGGTTAAGCCAGATTGGTGTGCTGTTGAACACGTTAGTCGTGGTTAGGTGTAAGCTACCATCCGATTGTACTTACCGGCCGCTTGATAGAAGGCTTTTGCGGTTGCAGGCATTGATGATGTGTCTTTGAATGAGGTATAATACCCGGTTCTTGTATCAATTGATTCCTCCAATGTATCGTCATCTTGATGAGATATTTGGACAGCGGCTTTGAGGACTTTCTTCAAAGTCTTATCGAGCAATTCATCGGTCACTTCTGGGGCCGGGTTGTCCTCTTGGTCATGAGATTCCCTTGAAAAGAACTCAACAATTTTATTTGTATCTGGCAACTTGTTAGGAAATAGCGCTTCTCCGTAGCCAGCAATACGTACTCTTCTTTTCAATGAGACTAGATACCTGATCCAGGTATGTGTCTAAGTCGTCAGGCCTCATGGCAACAACATCATTAGGTGTAACCTTGCTAATATCGATGCGTTTTGTTGATTCATGTGTATCCGTGGAACGATTTGGTCTCCATTTACTCCAGTCGAGAGAGGATTGAATCGGTGCGCCGGCGACGCGTAGAGGGACCGCAGCTGAGTCGAACGGAAAACAGAGCTTCACGGCAATAGTAAATAAAGAAATGAGCCGAATATCCGGATGTTGAAGTGGGAATACCCGTTTATGTTTGATTGGGAAACTAAAGTCGTACGAGAGTGCTTCGCGCAGTGTTTGGGCAACAATTGTGGTTTCAACTGTCGTAGAGTTAGCGAATGCAATCAATTCGTTTCTAGTATACGCACTGGGTATGCACAATATCCGCGCATATTGGACCAGTATAGGAACGTAATTCAACTGTGGAAATACCAAGCCGTAGTTGTAGTCAAACGATGTTGCCAATGCAAGAACCGCATTGTGGAGTTGACCGGGAACCAGTGGCTCACGAATTGGAATTTTCATGTGCGTGGCATATGCAGGGGGCATTCTATCTTGCATTTCTTGTGGTATTTGTTCAAACTGTATGAGGTGTCAGTTGGAGTATTAGTTGATAGATGAGAAGGTTGTCGACTTACAGCCTTTCTGAAAGGAATGTGACCACTGAGTGCCCATTGTTGGAATTCTCCGATCCGAGTTGGTATTTGCAACAGACAGCAACCCAAATAACACAGAGCTAATGTGTCGCGAATACCTGGCATTGGCCAAGCCAACCCTCGTTCTGATTTCCAACTTTGGGCTCTGGCTGACGAGGATGAAACGCCTTCCAAGCCTGCATCGCCCACATCTTGAGAGCTGAAGATCTCCAGATGGCCATCCTGCGAAGCCTTTTCGTCTGGGAATTCTCTAATACGAAGATCCCAAAGGTCGCGGACTGTAGTTTCAAGTTCCTCTCTATACCCATTTTCTTTGACTAGCCATGAAAGTTGAAGCCGTAGGATGAATTGTAAAGCCTCAAGGTATAAAGATTTACCAGCTTGCCCTTTAAGAGTTCGCTTTTCCTCTTCTCTGGCAACCTTTTGTTTGCGGGTGATTGTGCCCTGCTTTCCGGAGTCTTCTTCGTCGCCAAGATCGAATTGAATGAAGCCCTTTGATGAAGTTAGTTAAATTCTATAAATTGGTGTGTTACGCTTTAGCTACCTCCAGCTGATGGCCTCTAGCGCAGAACCTGCGACCGTCTTGGAGATACCATTTCTGGTTGCCACATTCTGGGCAGCGTTCTCCTTTCGGCATTCGCCGCAGCTCTTGTGTTTCATTCATGATATTTCTTTGATGAATAGCGGGACAATAATTAGAGTGGCCTGACTAGTAGGAGGCTGGTTGCGATGAAGAGTTGGATAAAAGCAACCAGGTACAGGCTGTTGCAGCGGTGGATTACGCACCACAGACCGCGCTATACTCCGCTTCACTTTCTCTTAAGAACATCATGCGATTGATAATCGGCTATACAGGCAAGCTAACTTTTGCTACGCTTCAGGTGCGCGATTGTGATAACGCAAGCTTGTCGCGTGTAGGTTGAAGGGAGACGACCCACAAAGTTTTTAGTCAGTCTCTGCAATTCTGCAATGGGTGGTGGTACAACTTCACTGGGCGATTGTTTCGGCGTTTGCTACAGGATCTACTAAATATTTCACAACACTACATAAAATGGCACTATCATGGAACCAGACGAGTTTCAACATATTTTAAGTATTGTAGATATCCAGCCGGGTATAAGGCAGATAACCGAATCTTTAATTCTCACTGCCCAGCTACGAATGCATACTTTTGTGGTTCGAAATGCTCATAGTCTCGGGCGCCGAAGGAACAAAAGAAAGATTGAATCTCATAAAGGTCCAACAATTTAAATGGCATATAAGATGCGCTCTTTAAACCATTGCCCCCACTCAATTCGATGTGCACCAGCCATCACACGCGAGTCTGAATCTCCCTGAGGAGGTTGATGACATTCAGCACAAAAAAGTAGAAGACCAACGCCCATTGGAAGACCAGAGGTTGAATGATGATTGACCAGTGTTTATCGCATTAATTTGAGGGTATTTACTGCTTGGGAGCCTCCTTGGCTTCAACAGCAGCCTCCTCACCCATGGAGGTAAGAATAATGACGTCTAAGAGGGGTCAGTTAGTTTCCATTTTTGCAGATAAATAACAAGCTGAGTTTAACTTACTGGTGTCCTTCTCATCCTCCTTGAAGAGCTTGTTGATCTTGTCACCGATTTCGCCATCGGGCATCTTGACATCATCCTTGGTGTCACCATCATCGTTCATGAGGGAGAGGAAACCATCGTCGGAAATGTCGAGCTACCATGGTCAGCACAAATGCACTATTAAATGGCGCCTAGTAGAGGTACTTACAAGCTGGTACTCACGACGAGAGACGTTGGGGACGTCCATGTTGTGGGTAGAGGGGGAGAGATCTTCGTACTTCTTGTTGGTGAAGATGTCGGTAGCGACGAGATGGACCTTGGCGTGACCGTGCTTGCCAGTCTTGGAGGTAGACATGTCGATGATCTTGCAAGGGCGGCCCTTGATGACGACGAAACCGTTCTTACGGAGAGCAGAGCACTGCATGGGGTAGGTCATGGAGGCGCCGGCGTCGGCGGACTCGAAGGTAACATCATGCTGCATTCACAACATTGTTAGCGCTCTGTTTACGACAAAACAAATTGCAGTATTTCTAGCGATAGCTTCCCCGTTGGCCCAATGAAATAAAAATAGAGTACATTTGATAACAGCGGCGAATGAAGTTTTTGTTCGAGGGGCATTGAGGTCGGCAGGTGATGCGGGGTGGTCAAAGGAAGCACCATCGCGAGGGGCCGTCGGCGCAGGGGAGCTAGAAAGACAGCATGCTAATAGGAGCGAAGACTAACCTCTTCAGACATCTTGAAGTATTGGCGCAAGAAGGCGGCTTTTACTGGTTGAAAAAGAAAAAAAGGGAGAGGAGGCTGCAAGATTGGTAGTGGGATGAAGGGAAGAAAGAGAGGAAGAAATGCTTTCAGACTAAGCCAGCTGGTGGAGGTTTTTTGGTGGGCAAGGGAGGGGACTGGCTGGAAAATGGGCGAGTGAGAGCGCACACAGAGGGGCGGGGAGAGGGGCGGCGGCGGGGGCTTTGGTAACGCAAGGAAAAAAATAAACGCGAAAAGACAACCTATATTTTTTTCTTGTGGGCGAAAACACCTAAGCGTAGGTGCTCGCTGCAGCAAGAGAGGGGGCAGGCCACTCTGCTCTGGGTGCTGAACAAGCCTACGTTGCCCCTATAAAAACACTGTAGTATACAAAGCCAGAGAGGGAGTAGTTTTGAATAAGTGACAAATACATATATTTTATTATCAATTGCACTTCGTTTTGCTGCACCAGCACTCTCTGCCCTGGGTCAGCTTGTTTAGCAAAGCCCGTTGCTACCTCTGGCTATTTGCTTGCCTCTGATTGGACCACCTTGGTCGACACGACATCCTTGTGGGGACTGCCAGAACAGCAGGCACTTGCAGGTAACTGGGTACTCGCTGTGCCACCAGCGCATACAGGGACCTGAAGAGGCACCAGCGATTTGCAGCCCAGAGCCTGAGCACAACAGCCGCAGGCATTTGGCAACGGCACAGGGGCCTCCGAAGGTCACTGCGCAGCTCCACGTCACAGCAACAGCTCAGCTCGCCGACGTCCCAGGAGCTTCAAGCTGTCCAACGGCGTCATCGTCACCACGCTAAACCTGTTAATCTCTGCACTACTCACATTCGAATAAACAAACACATCCAGAAGCAATTTTACCTACCGATTAAAATCCTCCCATTGCTTGTGCCGGCGTCAATCAAAGTGGTCCATGGCCCACCAACATCGCCAACTCCCGACTCCGTAAACGAAGAAGCCGATGTGGTTGGATCGCCTGGCCGCTGGCCCAAATAGTGCATCTGGCGCATCAACTCCTCAGTCAGCATCACGGTCATTCTCTCCGCTGCCTCGCAGGACCTCGAGTAACCTCAGCCCTTACGTCACCTCCCAGAGGCAGGGCCATTCGCCCCGTGGATCCTCCTTATCGCTGGTCTCAAGCGACTCGTCTGTGTCGCTACTCGCTGCCTCGCGTCGCCCAAATGGATCTGGTGTTAGACAATCCTCTGCATTGAACGATCAAGCCGCACGATCTATCGATGCATTGGATAAGTTGCTGCGCACGGGAGACGGCGCTGCGCTGGGGGATACCCGCCAATCTTCGCTTATTTCTGACGGCGACCTTGAGTTCGATTTCGATTTTGATGGCCTTTTACTTACAGAATTGGCGGCAACAACCAAGGACTATCATCCGACAGGGCCAGCTCTACGACTACAATCTAGGGATGAGTGTACGTCTGCGATATCACAATTGCTCTACATTTGGTCTTGACTAACGTGACGTTTGCAGATACGGCCGAGGAAACAAAATTCGAAGAATTGCACAAGTCTATATCTGCCTGCGACGATATTCTTGGTTCTGTCGAAATAAATCTTGCTAGCTTTCGCGATGACTTAGCAGCTGTTTCCGCTGATATCGAATCACTCCAAGATCGATCCACGGCCCTTAACCGGCGCCTGGAAAACCGACGAGAGATTGAGAAGGCTCTTGCTCCTATTGTCGAAGATCTGAGTTTATCTCCAGAGACAATATCGAAGATTGCTACCGGCACGATCGATGAATCTTGGACTAAAGTGCTGGCCGAGGTGGACCGTCGAGCAACATCTCATAAGAAGGCCAAGCCGGATAGCCAGCGAAGCAAAGCGGCTGAGGACATGGGACCTCTTCTTGAAAAGCTCATACAAAAGGTATACAAAAGTAATTATCAACTGCTTAAGCATTCTTCTAACATGAGTATTTTGACAGGCAATTGAGCGGATAAGAGACTTCATTGTTACCCAAATAAAGTCTCTACGGTCCCCGCAAGTTAACGCCCAAGTTATCCAGCAGCAGAGCTTTTTACGATACAAGGATCTTTTTACTTTTTTGCATAGACATCATGCGGTGTTGGCGGAGGAGATTGCGCAGGCCTATATGAACACCATGCGCTGGTATTATCAAACCCAATTTGCACGATATGAGAAATCATTAAACAAGATGAAGCTTCATGTCATCGACAGAAGCGACAGCATCGGCTACGAAGAATCCTCGAGGATTGCCAACGTGTTGTCAGTGTCTAGATCAAGCGCTCCACCACATGATGCCTTCAACCTGGGTCGACGGATGGACATATTGAAAGCTACAAATCAACCAGCAGTGCCCTCCCACTTAGCTGAAGAAGACCAAACAACGCATTATTTGGAAACGCCGTTTCGCAATTTTAACCTCGCCCTCATCGATAATGCCATGGCTGAGTACACCTTCATGGCTTCATACTTTTCACCAGCCCTCTCCTTCTCCAAAATTAACAAGTACTTTAACTACGTTCTTGACCCGGCTTTTGATTTGGGGCGAAACCTATCAAAGACGCTTGTTTCCGAAACCTACGACGCCATAGCAATTCTGCTCTGCATCAGGCTGAACCAACATTCCGCTTTTGAACTACAGCGACGAAAGGTCCCGGCCGCAGATGGGTATATCAACGCCACGAATATGCTCCTCTGGCCACGATTTCAAGTTGTGATGGACAAGAATGCAGAATCGGTGAAACTGATGGCCAGCAACATCCCCGCCAAGCCGACCAAGTCCTCGAGTGACGCTTCGAAATTATCGGCGGCTCCGCACATGGTCACGCAACGGTTTGGCCAATTACTCCATGCCATTCTTTCACTGAGTGCTGAGGGCGGCGATGATGAGCCTGTTATGGCTAGTTTGCAAAGACTACGTACCGAGGTTGAGGCCTTTCTTACGCGTGTTAGCAATACATACGGCTCAGATCGACGAAAGAGCTCTCGCTTTATGTATAATAATTATTCTCTTATTCACACAATCATAGCTGATGCCAAGGGTAAGCTTGCTGAGGAACAGCAAGATCATTTTGATGAACTCAAACAGGCGTACCAAGATGAGGACTAATACACCTGGTTCATCTCACCTCTTGATTGAAAGACAAAGACCTTCTATCCTTTGGCGCCGGCGTCATTCTGCGTCACATTATAGGCATAACTGCAAATCAAATAGAATTCTTTTTGCATATCATTACATCTTTTCTATCTAGAAAATACTGCTACAAAACTATTTACAATTCCAGGATTGCGTCGTAGGTAAACCGCTAAGATACCGACAGCTATTGCCATACTAGCAATCCGAATGGGGCGTCTATAAATCCAAAGAGCCATCTTTGCCTTTTCTCTCAGTTCTAACCACTGAAGCTCTTTTGATTGCGTCTTGAAATATAACTCTCCCTGCTCTAGTGATTGTTCATCGCATCTGTCGATTTGTCGGGCCGTTTTGAGGGCACTCGATGGAGATATCCGTCGCCAAGAGCGGAGTGTTTCTGGACTATATTTCTTATAAAGGTTATCTGAACGTTGGACCAACTCATCCATATTCATTTTAGGTGGGACTCGTGCGAGTACAACTTGCAACAGGTCTGGCTCGTCAATTTCGAATATCTCTTCTCGTCGATCCATGACTATTTGTGCGAACATGTATATGCTGAAGACAGGCTCGCGGGCCAGCAACACGTCAAAAAGCCGTGCAATATCATGGTAGGCTTCGATGTTATGTGCATACATAGTCAGAGTCCCCGCTAGGGCGTAAAAGGGCTCAATGCTTGCAACGTGTCGGCGGAGTTCGGGGTCAGCCTTGCCAAGGACATCGGGCAAAAGCCGAAGCTGTGCGGTTGTAGGGCCAAGGGTCGGAAGCATGAAATCTCGGATGCGTAACACTGAAAGGCGGGCAACAGACTGAGCGCTTAGCTGCCGACCTAGTACCAGGAGGAACACCTGGCAAATGTCATGGAAGCCTTGGAAATAGCATAAGAACGGATATCTCCTCAGCACTTCAACGATAAGGTCGTATAATTCGTGCTTTCGCTGGGTCATGTCTTCTTCTGTAAGATCTAAAGCATCTTTAGCATGATTATGCCTGAGTAGTAAATCATGTCATGTGGCTTACCATGCGGATAGAATATGAAGGCACGATTTACGTCCAATTGCACTTGCTCCTCGTCACGATGACGAGGGAGCTTTTCCCAGCTTGTAGTCTTTTCTGATTGAGATACCGGTTGCAACCCAAGTAGTAATGGCCCTAAAAGTAGTAAGTCAGCCATATTAGTAACCTCCGTAGACGCTGCCTTGGTGGTGACATACATGTCTTGCGTCGCAGGCCATCGCTTAGGAAACCACCTGGTGTTTGTGCTAGCTTTTGCAGCGCGGCAACATCATTCGATTCGCACGCGTCAATGATACCAGCCGCTTTCGCTGAGTCCTCAACGCTCTGTCGCTGTGGTAGATTGGGCTGCTTCTCTCCAAGCTTGCGCAAGCTATCGTCGTCCTCATCCATTGCGGTCGTGGTGAGGGCGGCAATCTATTAAAATGACAGTTTTAAAGTTGGCAAATCTTACAAAATGTAATACACCGATTTAGACCGGCTCGAACGCGGTTGCGTTACGATTGCCGAGGATGACGTGTTGCTATCTGGGTCTGCTCCCAACGGCGGAAACGCGCGGTTGGTGCTGCCAAGGCGGCCTGGGAAAGGAGCGCGGGCCGCTGAAACCTTCCGCTGCGTGGAGCCACTGGATCCCGACTTTAATTCTTCAGCAAAACGCCATGCACCAGCTAACTATAGACAATCTGCCAACAGACGAAAAAATATATTTCTGTTTCTCTGAAAGGGCTTGGAAGAAACCCAGAATCTAACAATGTCTTACTGATGACTATGAAATTCTACCCAACGGTGGCGTCTTCCTAGGGCCAATGACTTCCCCGGCAGGGTCTGGCTGGTTTCGCGTTTTTATGCGTGAGCGCTGCTATTTTACAAAAGAAATTAAGGTTACAGGTGGCATGATGGATAAAATTGATGTAAACTCACGGAATTTATTGTCTACTCAACACTGGTTGGTTGGAAACATTGGACGCATGTCTCGAACTAGCACTGGCCACACTCCTTGTTAGCATATTTGATTTTCATGGTCTCACCACACCATTAAAGACATTGGTTACATCTTAGACTGAATAAGAACACCCATTTGCGTGATATACGCTTCTGGAAAGCTGTATTCTTCCTCTCTGCTCCGAAAATCTATAGCATGTCTTAAGAAGGTTGCTAACCATGTACAACAACACACATGGATTAGAAGCCACGACAGATATGAAACCAGGCGGTCATCATTGGTGCACAAATGTTGATATCATTCCCACCTAAGCTTTGACTTGGCAAGCGGAGTCACATTGTGACGAACCCTGTTTTCCACATTGTTTCAACTCCGAATTCCCGTACGAACTGACAATGCACTGTCTTCTATCATGAACCAAGAAATTATATAGTTGAGCTATCAAATATAACAAATTTGGAATCCAAAGCTTTACCTCCGGCCTTTCCTCTGCAATCAGACTCTTAGGTTGTGGTGTGAAATATAAGCAGCTCAGCGCACCAAATTGAGATATACGTCCGCTGTGTACCCATTTAAGTCGGTATTAAATGCAATTCTTTTCTTACTGCAACCATTAGGCTCACACGCGTGCTCAGGAAAGTATCTATCTTCTGGCGTATTCGTAAACCGGAGTGGAATGAAGTGGGTGGGTGGCGAGCAAGTAGTTCGTCTGGAGCCCAGTCGCATGTAGATCAGTCCACAGAAGATCTCTTAAACGATTGAGCTTGTACCGGCTCAATAAACTAGTCTCCCGTATATTTCTTGCAATTTAAATAGCATACAAGTTGTCTTATTCTACTAGCCGCCAGAATGCTGACTACAAATGTGAAATCATGCCCAAGGTTGCGTCGAAGGCAGACAAGAGTTGCCCATTAGTACTTGCCACAGGCCGGATTGTAACGGAAACTAAGCTACCCCGCCGGTACTGCTATCTGCAATCACAAAACAAGGACGCTGGGGGGCTTGCTGGTTTGTCTGCCGACTAAGATGGCGAACAGAGCTGGCCCGTGCCAAAGACAACCAATGCCAGCTCAACGTGGTTGGTGCCTAAACGACCCAGGAGACGCTTCCAGTGAATCTGGTGTTTGCTTCCCCCTCCAATACCATCATCTAGACTCTAATATTACCTCGTTGAATGCGTCGGGTATCCATGTCAGTATTACCTTGATCGACACCAAAACTGCGCCAGCAAAATGTAACTCTGAAGCCGGCAATGGAGCGGAGAACTAATATACTGAAGGCTGACGCCAGTCAAGCAAGCAGAAATGCTTTTACCGAGCGCAAATCCGTAAAGGTGGTGTAATTTCGGATGCCCCCGTGTCCATGCTCTACAGCTTTGAGCTCTCCAAGGTGGCGCACGGGTCGGCAACATCGAGGGCATAGTAGGGGCACCGTCGGGTCAAACAATCGTGGAGCTTGCTAATTGTTACTCTGGTATAGAGCTTTCGACGGCCAACATTTCTAAGCTTAAGAAGCACGCAGATTTTCTTAGGCACGCTGGAGATGGGCTTCCGGCAGTATGGGTAGCAGTGGGACAGGGAAGCGGAGGCTTGGGTAAAACGGCGCTGGAAGCTGCCACCCCTTGCGGCGGTGCATGTCTTTAGCAGGCACTACGGGGCGCTATAATTTAGCGGCGTTTGCAGGCTGCATGCTCCAAGGCTGTGCGCTAGCGTGCCGACTGTTCAGTGGCACTCGGGCTACGGTACAGCGCACTGTAGCTGTTGCACAGACGGATGCAAAGACGTTCGCCACCGCCTAAACATCGGCCCCCACTCCCCTGCGCTGGCACTTGTGGCAAGGCGCTAGGCACCTAATAACAGGCGCTGGGATTAAAAACTCGGCACACCCTTACTATGCAACAGGGAGATGTACTCGTTCGGGCTAGTGAACAGACGGTCAAGATTGGCTTCTCGCCCGCCTCCCACACCCCACCAACTCAGCAAATGCCCCTGAGACATCGTGGGACATATGCCGTGGCTAGCACGTCACAGCCAAGTTAGCACACACGCCGCTATATCCAACACCCGACAACCGCACACCCTCGTCACTCCAGTTGTTGTTTCTTCGCTACGTTTGTGTCAGTGGGCGCTGATTCGGCACGGGGATATCACTACACGCGCCACGTTTTGGATTGACAAGCAGTACGCCTGCCAGTGCTTACACTTTCCAACCTGTCCAAATAAGACGGGCTGTTGCCGTCAAACAAATATCTCACTGTCCTGTCTAATATTAAGCTTCATCATGCCACATAGCTTCGTCGCTGCTTATCTTTGAATCTGGGCACAGTTTGACGTTTCGCTGACGCTCGATACATACCGAAAAGCCACACCCCCGCGTTGCCTACAGCCTAGTAGCATCTTGCTCACTCGAGTAGTAGCTCAAAAATCTTCATAAGAAGATGACTTGGTTAATTCTGCGATATATACACACCAAAGCCCACTAAATGCCGTCTTAGTACACTCAAGCTGCCGCCCGCTGTTCACTTTGAAGCACCGAATAGGTCTCGTTATATTCATTATTCATTAGTGAGACCGGGAGATCTAAGCTTCCTCATTACGACCATGTCCTTTCAATCAAACTTCCTGCGGGATGGCAACTGGGTTACAGAGACAGTCACTGTACAAGATGCTTTAAAGCAGCCCACTGCTCAGGCAGCACCGGCTACAGGACATCACCGACAAGCCCCAACTTGCGGCATTCTAACGAAGACGGTTGTCGAAAGTCCCATTGTCCGTTGGACCATCCCGGTCCGTATGCGGTCAAACGCACACAAAGATATAGCTTTTATTGGAGTAAGTGGTATTTGAATAACACAGCCTCTTTCTCTGTTGGTAGCCAAGAGCAACAGAATGAACATTAGTCTCGCGATACAAAATGGAAACACCGCCAACCTACATTCTAACACCCTTCTTAGAGTACATTTGTACAAATCAACGAGCTACAGCATGACGGTCAAATCCATGAAGTGCTTCGCAAGAATGACTTTGGCCAGCGAATTCGAAATGCGGTTGCGTACGGAGATTTTCTGGCACACGAACTAGAAAATACATACCCAACAGCAAACGACGAACATCACGATGCCCGAGGTCAAAGTGATTTGCAGATTCTTGACACTGATAAAGATCCGAATCATCTACCTCCTCAATTCTTAGTTCTATTTATGGAGTCAGGCGACTGCCTCTTTATGTTTTTGAGAGAAAACAGCGACTCGACGCTTGAATTTGTAGTCTCGAGACACGAAAAGGTTCGATCTATACCCTGGATCGGATTTCATTTGGCTGTCGATCCCTCTTGTCGATATTTGGCAGCAGCATCTCCCGACGGCATCTTGGAAATCTTCGAATTGGAGGACTGGCAGACCCTGAATGAAAAATATATTGCAGACCGTTCGTTTGCACCCATTCTTCGCAGCCGCAGCCGTACGATACAAGGCGTTATACACAAGATGGAGTTCCTGTACCCTCGGCCAGAAGACCACAATCATATTATTCTGATTTTCATCGTAATGTCCAAAGGAAATAGAAAGGGCCAACCAGGCTTTCCAAGCTCAAGACTTGTCTCCTATGAGTGGGAAGCAGGCGACCAGTTAGCAACAATTTTTGACCGAGAACAGTCCGGTACACGATTGCCCGTCGAACACAGCATGCCGCTGCTTATTGTCCCGCTCGTGTTTAGGACCTCATTTCTGGTGGTGTCAGCAGACATCATCGGCGTTTGTAAGAACGTACTCGGTGGTTCCCCAGAATTCGAGTTTCTGCATGCCGGGGCACCAGAAGCAACCAAATTCCACCATGGACGAGAAGAACCGCTGTGGACAGCCTGGGCACGACCGTTTCGCCGCAAGAGCTATTTCCACACCACCGACATCATCCTTGTTGCTCGAGAGGACGGTGTAGTCTTGCATGTTGAGATTGATGGCAAAGATTTAATACCATCGTTTACTACTGCTGGTTATCTTGATACGAATGTTGATACTGCCTTTACCGCTTCGTATGACCGATTTTCAGACGTAATCGTTGTTGGAGGCGATTCTGGACCCGGTGGGCTCTGGAAGGTAAGTATCTGAACCATTTAGGTCTTTCATTTAAAGAGAAGCAGAGCAGCTAACGTTCTATGGTTAGTTGACGCCACGGGAAGACCTATCACGGGTGAGCCTAACTCCAAATTGGTCTCCTGTTATAGATGTGGCCAGTACAAATGATGATTTATTTTGGGAAACCGATAACCCAGGAAATAGGAAACAGAAAAGTTCAGACAAACTGAAACAAAAATTGGCATCCAAGCCAGATAGCATCTTTACAGCCTCTGGCCGCGGCCTTAACGGCACGGTTACGCAGTGGAGATGGGGAATGCAAGCAAGAATAGGGCTTGATATTGAATCTGGAGAACAGATACGCCAGTCTTGGGCTTTTGCTACAAAAGACAAGAATTCTAACCAACTTTATGGGCTACTGGCTCTCCCTCATTCTTCACTCGTTCTTCACTTCACCGACGATCTTGAACAAGTACAGGCCGTGTCCCAAGAAGACTCTTTCTTTGATATGAGCTCGACAACAGTATTTGCGTTACAGAGGAATGACAACAGTATTGTACAAGTTACAGAGTCATATGTCACTATAGTTCGAGCCAGTCAAAGGTGTGAACTCTTTTTGATACTTTCATACGAGTCTATGCTAACAGGTTAGCTTCAAAACTGCACTATCGGAACTTATCGACCATCCGAACTGGCAAACATATAAAGCCTTTGTTTATGATGACATTACTGTTTTGTCGAAAATCGAAGCCAGCCGCTCTATAATTATTTTACTAAATGAAGAGAACAACGCCTTCACTATCGATACCAAATGGGAAGCCGAAGGCGAGGTTACTGCATTAGCCATCTTCCACATAGCTTCCAAACCGTTTATTTTGGCAGCAATGGCATTGAATGGCCAGGCATGGATTATTGTCTATGCTCTGGATGGTACCGTTGTTATAAAACGAGCGCTGAGCAAACGTCCCAGTAGGTATTTTGACCAGACTACATGCTAGCTAAATTGTTAATATGTGAAAAGGACACGAGCAAGGGAATGATTCAAACGAAGCCGAAAACGACGTACTCGAGCCAGCAACCAGTCTATCTATTGTACACCAAGACAACTTAGGAGTTGTCTTAGTCCTCGGCACTCGTTGTGGTCACCTTGTCAGCGCTAGTATTTCACAAAATATCCCTGACCGAATCCGATGGCGCACAGAAAATCTTGGAATAGCGGCAGCCACGGTATACCCGGCAGCATATAGCTTCAACGGAGGGATAGCCGCGTTTGCTTCCTGTGATGGCCGCTTGATATTAATGACTAACTTTGATGAAACGGCTGGAGAATTCCGCAGGAAGCACCTGATCTTTGCGACGGATACGAATGATTTGTCTATGCAAACACCGCCAATTCACTCTATGCACAGTCTAAATCACAGCTTGACCGGCTACACTGGACACATGTCGCTACTTCTGTTATCCAATTCACGGCTCCTTCTAGCAGATATATGGCCTCATGTTGGCCAGATACCAAGGACTCTTTTCTTAAACGGCACACCTAGTAGAATTATCTACTCCCATACTTGGAAATGTCTTATTGTAGGCATTAGCCGCAACGATCGGCCAACCCTTGATTTCATTGACCCAGAAACTGGAGTGCAAATTGCCAAACCGCGAGATAAGGACGGCAATGTTGTCAAAGGCGTATCTGGACTTGGACACACAGGTGACAAGATAATGGGGCTGACAGAATGGACTCACGTAAAGGATGGCAGAAATTTTACTTTTCTTCTAGTCTGCACGAGAGACGGTCATTTGCTGGTGATATCGGTGGCAGAGGTGGATGAAAGGGTTCCCGACTGTGGCCGCCGGGAGCTTAAGTACTGGACGCGCTTCCGCAAAGTACTGGAAAAGCCGATATATTCCATTGTTGGTGATGACAACGGCGTGGCATACTGCGTTGGTAAAACCTTACACTGGGATGTTTTGGATCTGGTGGAAAAAAAGCTTAAGCTTGTCAAAACGTATCAACTGGACAGTCCGGCAACATCACTCAAGATTATGAACGGGAAGATTGCGGCCGTGACGAGCGGCCAATCCTACCAAGTTTTTGACCACCGGCGGCCTGGAACGTCAGAGATGGCTCTCATCCATTCCGACACCGTGTCCCGACGTGGTCTTCACACAATTAACGCTGGAGATCCAGAAGAATCTGAAGAAAACTGGCCGATTACTATCCTTTCTGACGACATGCAGCAGGTGTCTGGCATGTGGACGCCGTGGGACGAACGGGACAGCGAATTCCACACGGTTTTCAAAGCAAAGCTAGCGTCGAGAATCAGGAAGTTTGTTTGCACTCGCACGCGGGCACCATGGTTGCAAGCAAGCCGAGCAAAACAATATGGTATCAAAAAAAGCAGCACCGGGAATGGAGAGGTCCTTGGAATCTCGCTGGATGGGTCGACGCACCATCTGACTCTTCTCTCACTCGCTACCTGGCGGCTCTTACGATTTTTAGAAAACTGCGTGTACAAGAACGAAGACTTGTACGACTTGACGGTTCCCAGCAGAGCAAATCTGATTGCTGCAGAAGATGGGGAGTGGATTACAGACCCTGACGAGTATCGTGACTCAATGCATGTGAATGGGGACTTTCTGCAGCTCTGCCTGGAGAAGCGGAATCTGGAGGAGGTACTTGGGACGGGTGATGACTGTGACATGCTTTTTGGGTGCTTGGATAACATTGAGGACGGCCGGTGGACATCCGTGTTCAAGACGGTAACCGATGCAGACGAACGACGGAGACGCTATTTTGCACTGGCGTATGATGTGCTTGAGTATGCGCTGGAGCCAGTTCTATGAAAGCTAGCAACCGAGAGAGATTGCGGCTAGGTGTGATGATTTAATATGATGATTGAGCATAGAGACATGGAAATGAAGCATGAAAAGTCTAGAAATAAATTTTGCATTTGATTTTCGTTCTATAGTCATGGCCGGTAGGCACTGCTAGGAATGGCTGTGTAGGGTTTTGTATGCAGACAGAGACTGACAGGCGCTATAAGCAAGGCCCTCTACATTGGCTCTGCCCCTCCTTTCTGTTGCCCCTACCCCTCCTCTGCCTAGGGTCCCCCCCGCCACCACCACCACACGGACTGTGCTGTACTTCGACTGTTGTAGCAGATGCACACGCGCACAAAGATTTAACAGCGCGGCATGGACCCCACTTGGAAGCCACAAGGTGACTCAGTTGGGCAAAGTTAGGCGTGGCAGCCAGTGCTGGGTCTCTTTTTTTTTTTGGGGCCTACTGCTCTGGAAGAAAGTTTTTTTTCTGTTTAGTGTCCCATTAGCAGGCAACGGCAGGCGGGACCTCTTCTGAGACGGGTTCCAAGCCAAAGCTCGCGCTTTTCGTTTTTCCGCTCCCCTCCATTTCCAACGCCCCGCCATCCAGCGTCCAACTCGATCTTTTGGACGACGCACTGGGTATTTTCCCTCCCTCAACAACCACCTATCCTACGGCAGAACGACCTCGGTTGCGTGAGCCGATACTGCCTCTACACCATGGCACCAAAGAAGAAGGGAAACAAGAAGGCCCAAGATGATTGGGAGGCCGAACTGGGCGAAGATGTTGCCCCGCAAGCACCTGCGCAAGAGACGCCTGCTGATGCGGCAAACGGCAATGAAAATGAAGTTGACGCAGCTGGTGGCGGTGGTGGCATGATGGCCATGCTTCGCAGAAACAAGGAGAAGCGCAAGAAGAAGGGAATCCAGGACGATTTTGTCGAAGGCGAGGACCCGACTGCTGAAGCCAAACCGGTCAACGAAGCTACCGAAGCTACCATGGACGATGAGTTCGCCTTACCCGACAAGAAGGGCAAAGGTGGCAAGGGCAAGCAGGATAAGAAAGCGACCGCTGCCGGCGACGATGCTGACGATGCCGGTGATGGCAGAATCTTGACTAAAGCTGAGAAGGAAAAGCTTAAGAAGGAGCGTGAGAAGCAGAGAAAGAAGGAACAGGTATGATTATGACGGAAACCCCTCGAAACGAGAATACCAAGCGTCGAATATCTAACAGTATATTGTATTAGGCTGCAAAGAAGAAGGGTACTACCCCTGCCCCCGCCGCTGAGAATCCTGCCGCCAAGGTAGAAGAAGCAAAGGCAGCTGCTGCACCTACACCAGCACCTGCTGCTGACGCTGGCGGTAAGAAGAAGAAGGTCCCTGCTCATATCGCCAAGATTCAGGCGCAACAAGAAGAGCTGCGCCGTCAGAAGGAAGAAGAAGAGAGATTGCTTGCTGAAGCGCAGGCTAAGGCTGAAGAACAGGAGCGTGCCGCCGCTGAGGACCAGGCTCGCAAAGAGGAGTTGAAGGCGATCAAGAAGCAGCGTGAGAAGGAACGTATTGAACAGCTGAAGAAAGAGGGTAAATTCCTTACCAAGGCACAAAAGGAGGAACGCGCACGCAATGAGCGAAAGCTTCAGCAGATGCTTGAGGCTGGTATTGTTGTTGGCCCCCAGGGGAAGGAAGATAAAAAGAAGCCCGCGGCCGATAACAAGAAGAGAAAAGGAAAGGTTCAACAGAAGCTGGAGGAAGAGCAGGCTCTCGCCGAAGCTGCCGAGCGAGCCCGTAAACAAGCCGAAGAGGCCCTGAAGCAAGAAGAGGAGCGGGCTGCTAAGGAAAAGGCCGAAGCCGCTGCCCAGGACGCCGAAAGCGATGTGGATGATGACTGGGAGGCAGCCGCTGAGGCTGACGACGACGTCAAGGACAGCTGGGATGCCGACACTGACGAAGAGGACGACAAGAAGGCTACCAAGGACCTCCCCGTGCTTGCTAAGAACAGCGATGACGACTCTGAAGACGACGATGATGATGACTCTGAAGACGATGATTCTGACGACGACGATGATTCCGAAGATGAAGCCGTCTCTGCTGCCAGACAGGCTGAAGCTCAGCGCAAAAAGGAAGCTGCTGAACGCAGAGAAAAGGCTCATCAGGCTGCCCTCGCTGCCAGATCAAAGGACAACCTGCGCTCCCCCATTTGTTGTATTCTTGGTCATGTCGATACTGGTAAGACTAAGCTTTTGGATAAGATTCGTCAAACCAACGTCCAGGAAGGCGAAGCTGGTGGTATCACTCAGCAGATCGGTGCTACCTACTTCCCTGTTGATGCCATCAAGAAGAAGACCGCCGTTGTCAACCCCAACAATGAGTTTGAGTTCAAGGTTCCTGGATTGCTCGTCATCGATACCCCTGGTCACGAGTCCTTCTCCAACCTGCGATCCCGTGGTTCATCTCTGTGCAACATTGCCATCTTGGTTGTCGATATTATGCACGGTCTGGAGCCCCAGACTCTCGAGTCCATGCGCATGCTGCGCGAACGCCGTACGCCTTTCATCGTGGCTTTGAACAAGATTGACAGATTGTTCGGCTGGAAGAAGATTGACAACAACGGCTTCCAAGACAGTTTGGCCTTCCAGAACAAGGCCGTCCACAACGAATTCCAGAAGCGGCTGGACGATACCAAACTAGCCTTTGCCGAACAGGGATTCAACGCCGAGCTGTTCTACGAGAACAAGTCTATGGCCAAGAATGTCTCGCTCGTTCCCACTTCCGCCCACACTGGTGAAGGTATTCCTGATATGTTGAAGCTCATTTTGCAGCTTACACAGGAAAGAATGGTGGGATCTCTGATGTACCTGTCAGAAGTCCAAGCTACTGTTCTTGAAGTCAAGGCTATTGAAGGTTTCGGTATGACTATTGACGTTATTCTGTCCAACGGTATTCTCCGAGAAGGCGACCGCATTGTACTGTGCGGTACAGAAGGCGCCATCAAGACAAATATTCGTGCCCTTCTTACGCCAGCACCGCTTCGCGAATTGCGACTCAAGTCACAATATGTGCATAACAAAGAAGTCAAGGCCGCTTTGGGTGTAAAGATTAGCGCTCCTGGCCTTGAAGGTGCTATTGCCGGTTCTCGACTGATGGTTGTTGGTCCTGACGACGATGAGGAAGACATCGAAGATGAAGTTGAGTCTGATCTCGTTAGTTTGATGAGCCGTGTTGAGAAGTCTGGTCGTGGTGTCAGTGTTCAGGCTTCCACTCTTGGTTCGCTCGAAGCCTTGCTCGACTTCTTGAGGGAATGCAAGATTCCTGTCGCCCAGGTCGGTATCGGCCCCGTCTACAAGCGTGATGTTATGCAGTGTGGTGTTATGTTGGAAAAGGCTCCTGATTACGCCGTCATGCTGTGCTTCGACGTCAAGGTTGACAAGGAAGCCCAAGCGTATGCCGATGAACAAAACATCAAGATCTTCACAGCCGAGATTATCTACCACTTGTTCGACGCCTTCAACAAGCATCAGGCTGAGATGTTGGAGAAGAAGAAGGAAGAGTCCAAGATGTTGGCCATCTTCCCCTGCGTTCTTCGCCCCGTCGCTGTTTTCAACAAGACCGGCCCTATTGTCATTGGTGTTGACGTTATTGAGGGTCAACTCAAGATCAACACCCCCATCGCCGCCGTCAAAACAAACCCTATTACCGGAACCAAGGAGATTATCAGCATGGGTAGAGTGACGTCTATCGAACGTGAGCACAAGCAGATCCCCGTCTGCAAGCGTGGTCAGCCTTCGGTAGCCATCAAGATTGAAATGGGTAGCAACCAGCCCACATATGGCCGCCAGTTGGAAGAGAAGGATCAGCTCTACAGTATGATTTCGAGACCCAGCATTGAATGCTTGAAGGAATTCTACCGTGCCGATGTCAGCATGGATGAGTGGCAGCTCATTAAGAAGCTTAAGCCTCTTTTTGATATTCCCTAAATATGCGCCTGTGTATGCATGGGAGTGTTGTCTCACGTCTTTTACATTTTCTGAGAGTCAAAAGTCACGTCTTTCTGTGGTATTTTACCAAGGTATCTTTCAGTCTTTTAATGCTATTTCTACTCTTCAATAAATTTAAAATTTAAATTAAAAAAAGCCCGGTTTTCAGTCTTGGCGTGCACACTATTGGAAAGTCTAGACTGGTGCACTGGTATAGCCTCATGATATTTAAGACGGGACTGGGGGAGATATCGTTATGTAAACTTCGTGAATTTTTTAAACATAAAAAAAGAGGTAAACTGTCTATACTATCTTGACATCCCATCGCCATTTCCTTTTATGTCGTTGCGCTTTTCATCTAACATTATGAAAAAAACAACCCAATTTCCTTGTATCGTGTTAATCGTTCCCGCAACAACTCTTTTGTTAACATCATTTTTGTGTTTTGACGCCTCCACCACTTTACTCCAACTCGCTTATTCTGTTGATCTATTTGGGGTCGGAGTTGTCCTCGGGCTGAGCCTCAGCATCCTTCATCTCAGAATCAGCGGCCTCCTGGGCGGCCTTCTCAGCCTCAGCAGCCTTGCGAGCCTCCTCCTCGGCAGCCTTGGCAGCCTTCTCGGCATCAAGACGCTCCTGAAGAGCCTGGCGCTCGGCCTCGACCTTCTCGAAGTGACGCTGGACAATGGGTCCGGCGAGAGCGCGGAGCTCATCCATCTTGGAAATGTAGACGCCCTTGGAAACGTCGTCACCCTCGTCGTAGAGCCAGTCCTAAAAGAGAGAATTCAGGTTAGAAATTGCAATTAGTTTGGTAGGGTGTATCATATATTCTTACCTCAGCAGCCTCGAGCTTGGCCTTGATGTTAGTCTTCTCGTCCTCGCTAGCGAATTCAGAGTACTGCTCGTCGAGCTTGGCTCTCAAGTCGTAAATGTAGGCTTCGAGTTCGTTCTTCTTCTCCTCGGTATCGGCGACAAGCTTGTCCTCCATAACCATGGAGGTCTCCTTCTCGGAGAGAACGGTTCGGGTGGCAGCATCAAGAGAGGCAGTGCCGCTAGAGATGGGCAGGTCGCCGGCGCGGACAAGCTTCTTGACCTTGCGGGTCTCCTTGTTATCGGTATCCATAGCCTGTCTAGAGTTAGTAATTTCGTCTTTCGAGGCGACGAGGCGTTGATTGGGAATAAAACTTACATCGCCATCCTTGGCGTCGCCCTCGGCCTTCTCATCCTTAACTTCCTCCTCAACTTCCTGCTCCTCGACGTAGTAGCCAGACTCGACATTGAGGATACCGTGGATGTTAACACGAGCCTTGAGTCTGCAGATCATGAAGTCATCCTTGGCATCAGCCTTGACACCCTTAACGGAGAAGCGGCCGATCCAAGGGTTCTGCTTGCCGGGAAGGTCCTCAGGCTTGGTGTAGCGAGCCTCAAGGTCGAAAGGCTGCTTGCGGTAGAAGGTCAGGATCTTAGTAGAAGGAAGAACACCACCCTTGTTAAAGACGGTCAAGCTTGTGTCCTCATCGGGAATATCGGCGGCCTTCTCCCAAGCAAACTCAATGGGGTAGCTGACAATATCTTGGACGGAGAAGTCACGAACGCGGAAGACGGGGGATAGAATGGCGCAGCTGAAAGCGCAACCACGGGCAATAGCCTCATCGGCGTTCATGGTGAAAGAGAGGGGCTTGCCGAAGAAGGACTCGATGCGCTCCTTGAGGGCAGGGACACGAGAACCGCCACCAACAATCTCAATGACATCAATATCCTCCTTGGTGAGCTTCGCCTGAGCCAGAGCCTCCTCAATAGGCTTAGCGGTGCGATTCAAGAGAGGCTCAATCATGGTCTCAAGCTCCTGACGGGTGATCATAGTGGAGACATCGACGTCGTTCATGAGAGACTCGATGTTGACAGGGGCCTGGCTGTTGGCGGAAAGAATCTTCTTGGTCTTTTCAGCGGCGGCAATGACACGAGCCATGGCACGACCGTGGGTGTAGATATCGACGTTGTACTTCTCCTTGAACTGAGCGGCCAAGTTGTCGACGAGGGCCTTGTCGAAGTCACGGCCACCAAAGTTGGCATCCCAGGTGGTAGCCTTGACGGCAAGCTCACCCTTCTTGAACTCAACGATGGAGCAAGTGTATGTGCTGTGGCCAATATCGATAAAGCAGACGCGGCGGGGCTGTTCCTCAGCAGCGGGGAGATCGAGCTTGGTAATGCCCCAGCCAAGAGCGGCGGCAGTGGTGTCGTTGATGAGACGGAGGAGCTTGAGGCCGGCAATCTCGGAAGCGTCGACAAGGGCGCGGCGCTGGGCGTCGCTGAACCAAGCAGGGACACTCATGCAGAGATCAGAAACGGGAAGCTTAAGTTCACCAGCGGCAGTCTGCTTGATCTTGGAAAGGTACATGCCGATGAGCTGGGTAGCAGTGAAGCGCTCCTTGTTGCCAAGGTAGGAGACTTCGGCGCCAACCTGGCCGTTGATATCGACGAGGGTGGCAGTTGTGTACTGCTGTTCGATCTGGACTTGGGGGTCGGAGAAAGAGCGTCCAGCAAGACGCTTGAGGCAGTTGACTGTGTTCTTGAGGTTGGTGATCTCCTGGGTCTTGGCGGCCTCACCGATGTAGCGGGACTTGGGGCCAAAGCCAACCATTGAACTGTATAGAGAAGTGATATGTTAGCAAGGGTCTATAGGGAAAAGGAAGGGTATACAAAGGTTAGGCGTACGGGGTAGATCTGTTAGAAACTTCATTGGTGACCTGGATTGACTGTTAGCAAGATGGTTGGACGCAAGGCTGTGTGGAGGAGGAATACGCACAATATCGACACCGCGATTTCTCGCGACGGCAATGACCGTCTTAAGGGTTCCGAAATCGACACCTAGAGGAAGAAATGTCAGCGACTAGACACAAAGAGGATATGGCTGCGCAAGCCATAGCAACGAGCTGACGGCTAGGACGAGACGCAGCTAGAGAGGGGGAGTTACATACCCACGACACTCATGTTTGCTAGAATGTGGCGTTAACGAAACTGTGTATGTCGAGAATAAGAGGATCGAGAGTCTGGGATTCGCAGCAATAGGGGATGTGATATGCTGGAAGCGATGTTTGCAAGGTAGAGGAAAACAACTCGCAGAGGGTGGAGGGGCTTTCGGGGTGCACGAGAAAAAAATAGCGAAAAGGTGTGCAGTGCTTAATAGTGGGGGAACTTGTGTGGTGGTGGCAGTGGGCGACTCTTAGATGCACGAGCTGACAGCGGAAGAAGAGGCGGAAAAAAATAAAGTAAAAATAAATGAGAAAGGAGGTAAGTTTACAGCTATGGCTCTTTGTATCAGCTGAAATATAAATGTACGCCGCTCTAGTGGTTTACCGCTGTCAAACAGCTGCCTGTGAGCTTCTAAGCGGTGAGAATTTCTAGTTTCCCAACGGGCCACGCATCGCCTCTGCCCAAAGCCATCTTGGTACTTACTTTTAGCGCGGGGCGTTGCGGTGCTTCGGTACCCTCCGCATATATTCTGGCTGTGACAGGTACCTCATCGCCATGCCCCTCCATCCGCCCACCTAGGTACCGCATAGAAGCCCGCAGAATTTTCTAGACACGCCTGGCATGGCGCCGATGGTGCTGTGCTATTCTGAGCTAACCAGCCAACGAAGCCACAATAGGAACTCGATATAAAGCAATAACAAAGTCACCATAGGCATATATGGCGCATGTGAATAACGGATAAAAGATACTGTAGCCAATGCATAATTTTCTTCTTGTTTCTTTTTTCAGTATTTCAACTCAAACAGGCTTCATGTTCCAAAGCCAATAGTAGTTGCGCCTGATCGCATGTAAGTTAAGCCATGATGTCCACTTACACCATAAACTTGCCAGGAGGGAGAATTACTATGACTGATAACAAGTGATTACTTTGACAATATAAAATATAATAGACGCACGTAATATTTTATCATTCGTCACTCAAAGAATTAGCTGTGTTACTACTGCTGCATCCGCAATGCTGCCTTGTATTTTAGTCGGTCTTCATCATTCATGCACTCTTCCATCTGTGCCCAGCTGATGGTAGCCGCGAATTCACCTTCGCTCGGTAAGTCACAAGAGTTTAAATTATCCATGGTATCCCCATCCGGAGACTGATACCCCAATTCAGTAAAACGCATTGGTCGCAACTGCTCCGCCAGGATACCGTCAATGGCTTTTGGAGGCTGGAGGAGACTATAAGTCCTACCAAGATCTGGTTCGTCTGACGCATTAAACTTGGGCGGCATGATACTGGCTTGTCGGCATCTCATAAATGACTCAGGAACAATGATAGGATCACCATCTTGTCGATCTGCATGGCGGATGGCGTCTTCCGCGGTACGATTCACATCAGCCGTTGCTGCATCCGCTCGTGGGCCACCCCAGGTTCGCTGGCCAGCCGTCAAAATCCCATACACCATATAATACCAATTAAAGAATGGGCTTAGCACAAACATGATTGGATATAGCCAGATTTTGAACCGCCGTAGCTTGGCGCCAAAATAAAACATCAATAACCAGTTAAGACCAAAGGATATTGCAATAAACCCAACTGGTAGATGCTCAACAGTTACCGTCGTAGTGGCAAGAGCGATGACGATAATGAAGAAGAGAAGAGTTGTTGTTCTAATTGTGTTTTGCATGAACCGGATCACAATCAGTATTGGATACCGTTTCCATAATCGCCAGTCAGTTAGCATACAGACCTCATTAGTGATGAATCCCATAAACCACCGCCTTCTCTGTTTAACCAGAGATCGATAAGTTTGAACTGCTTCGGTCTTGCAAAAGGCAGATGTACACAACTGGATTTGGTACCGTTTCTTTGCGCCGATCATAAAGAGATGGGTCAACCACCTATCCTCGCCTAGGTGACATTTGGCAAATTCGAATAAATCTTCGTATTTCTCTGCTTCATCACCAAAATAGTATTTTGACATTCTCCTGAATGCGGAATATCTCACCATGGTCAATGCACCGGGGAGACATGTAACAGCGCCACATGCCGACTCGACTGCGCGCTCAAACAGCTGTCCGTGTATATATTCCATGTCCTGCAACAAGGTAATCATGCTGTGTTTCTTGGTTGTAGCTGTTATAATTCCAGTCATCGCAAGTTTATCCTTTCTATTACCAGGGCTCAGCTCCATGTCGTGGATGAAGCTTCGTATGCAGCTGGCATCAAGAATACAGTCCGAGTCGATAAAAAGCATAAACAAGTCACCATTAGTCTGTGAATACTGGCCATATAATTGATCTACAAGTTTGAATGTTCGCTTTTGGCAACAGCGTTTGCCGCCGTGAGGAAATCGCGAAATCGTGAGGCGAACTTGTTTATAAACGACGTCGATACTCGCGGGATATGACGTCTTAGGTAATGAAACACCGAGGTGTCCAATTGTATCAAGATATAATCCATCCACCATATCTCCGTTAAACGATAGGAATAGATGCATGCAAGTCGCAGGGTAGTCGCTATTAACAACCGAGTTCACAGCGCTCATCAGAACATCGTATTCTTCATTATAGCAAGGCATAACGACAACAACTTTCGGGGCGTTGTTAGAATCTAGACTTCGTTCACTTTGTTTCTGTCGAACCAGTTGTTTAGTAGCAAGCTGATGGATGCAAAACATCCATGGCACAGTTAACGCGATTGCGAAGGCACCGAAAGCGAACCATTGGAAAATGGCGACGAGCGACTTTGGCCACAGCTGCGTTATCTGGTCGGGCAATGGTAAAGTAACTAGCATTATTGGAAGAAATATTCCTCTATAAGAACGATTAGTAGTAAAGGGATAATGGCTCGAAGGTAGTACCTGAGTAGCAAAAAGGACCCCGCGACGAAGACACTGAGTACCTTGATTGACCAGTGATCAGCCTTTCGAAACACTTTGTACAAGCAGTAAATGAATGCTGTGAGCCACAGGATCCATTCGACAAGAGCCATCAGCATGACAAACCCGACAATGGCAGTGTACACAAGCTATATGGCGATTGAGTTAATGTCCAATCACCGGCCATGATACAATTTTTAGACTCGCCTCCGTCGTTGGCCATTCTTTCCATGGCAAGGGACTCATCGTTTTCTTTTATTTACATCTATTGGCTAAGATGGAAAATGTCGAGGATAGGCGTTCATGTGGTGGAGGTGTAAGGTTGAGTGTTGGCTCCGACGGCAGCTGGCAACCGGAGCCCGTGTTACCGACAAACAGAGCTGCTTAAAAGACCGCTGACGAACACTAAAAATGCTAATTTCAGGCTGCACACCCCTGTTCGTAGTTCACTATCATTCCACGCCGGTTTGATAGATCTGCCACGTCGTACAAACGCTTCGCGGAAGGTGCTTCTGCGTCTGCCAGCGCGCTGTTCGGACGCGGACGAAGGGAAACAAGAAGAAATACTTCAATGTAGATCATGCTTATAGACTGCGCAAATAGTGGTATATTTCTTGTCATTATAGTTTACAATGTAGGTCTAGAATGGCCCGTATATTAGGAAGATGTCGCCCTTAAACAACGCCATCTCCTCGTCCCCAAACCCGTGGCCGACCTGAATGAGACAGTGTTTTCTGTTTCTACCAGTCAACATCACTCAACTGTAATTTTCGAATACGTTGGCCACGGTCTTTGCCACCCTTTTCGATACGATTATGATAGAATGTTGTAGGCTTGTCATTATCGGCTTTTATTTTGTTAGCATTGGTAAATTGGATCTTCTGAGGCAAGACTATCATACCCTCGGCTTCATCACTTTGCTGCATATCATAGTTGAGGACAAGGTTTTTGATTCGCTGCTGTTCCTCACGTTCTGCTTGTTGTTGAGATTTCATAGCCACAGCAAAAGCAGAATCAGATGGAAGCTCGACCGTCCGAGTCTGTTTCTTGTTAGTATCGCTAGTGCCAGGATTAGAGGAGAAACATACTTGTTGTCGGTTGCCCTTCTTCGTCAAAAGTGAGAAGGCCATCTTGCCTGCTGGAGGAGAGGGTTCGGTGGTTGATTCAGCACCACCCACTTCTTTTCCTTTTGATCGAACCGGTAATGGAGCATCAAATACTGGCTTGCGTTCAAATTTCCTTGACTCAAGACTCTCAGCCATCATCTTGGCATATTCACGCTCAAAGTTGGCTTCCTCTTCGGGGTCGATCGTCTCTTCTTGGCGGGTAACGACTATAGCCTCATCGAACTCGCTGGCGGTGTCAGACTCATCGTCACCTTCCATTACCTAAGTGGTTGTTAGTATGTTTAGAATCAGGTGAAGACAGAAAATGGGAACATACATCGATATCTTCGTCCTCATCTTCGGTGGCACTGTCATCATCTGCGTCCACATCATCTCCATCCACGTTGTCATCGTCAGAGGACTCGTCGCTAGCCAAGTCGTCAGGTTCTGCTGCCTTGTCTCCGCCAGATGACTTTTGGTCTTGTAAGACCGCGGCTTGGAAAGCTTTCACCGCGTCCTCAAAGCTAGATGCAAACTGGAATTGAGGTCGAATGGAAGCGAAGGTATCCTCGATTAAAAACTCCATTTCCACGGGAACATCAACTTTGGTGTAAATATAGTACTGTAGTGGTGGTTAGTGTATTGAACTAGCACATTGTGTTAAACTTATTATACCTGGAAAAAGGACAAAAAGTAATCAAGCTTCTTGCCCGCTGCGCCACGGTTGAAGAAGACACCGCAGGTATCCAGCATTGTCGTAACGAGTCTAATACGGAAGAAATCATCTGGAGGGTCAAATGGATTGAATTTCCCGGGGATCGGAGCACCTCCTATCTATTGTTAGTAAGGACTTATCAAGCGGGTTATGTTCGTACATACCGTGCCCAAATGACAGAATTTTGTACATAATATCGAAAATGACTTGGTGCTCTAACATTCGATAGTTGTACAACTCAGCCAGATATTTGACCTCGGCCACTCGCCGTTGAAATGTTCGAAAGTCGTTCTCTTCCAGGCCAAAGTTGACCGATTCCACAACGTTGTCTATAACTCGAACGACGAAGTCCGGGTGATGACGATATAACGCACTAAGCAGAATTCCTAGCAAGTGAATGTTGCCAAATTTGACCTTTGCCGGTTTGGAGAAGACCTTTTCTAAAATTGTTACAACCTGGAGCCAATGTTAGTATACAGTCTTACATGGTGTTCATTGAGCTGTACTTACATCTGCTTCTTCCCAATGAAGTCTCCTAATCTGCTTCAGGATTTTGCTATAGTTGCGCTTCGTCATGTCCATGTAGATTAGTTTGCGAATGAACAATTCCATCGGTGTGCGTTCCTTTTGTTCTATAGCAGGCCGCTCTGGAGGATCAACATAGTAAAGCGCATTGTCGATTAGCATGCGCTCTGGCTGACCGAGATGCTGTACCGACTTCTTCCGCTGCAAAGTCTCTAAAAAGCTGACCATTCTCGGGGAAGTTTCCGGGGTCTTGAGAAGATATCTTCCGCAGTTCTCTACCAGATTGCATAGGATTTCAATATTCATTCGGGAAAAGTCATCTAGGCTGACCTTGAGACAATGAAAGACGACGTGTTCGGCGACAACACCAAATTTTGTCAACTCTGCGAGGTACCGAATGTTGCTCAGCCGAACTTGACCAAGGAAATCCTTTTCCTTTCGCCTTTGCAAACTTCGGAACTCGGCATCCAAATAGTCAACAAGCCCCTTTGGGACATCAGGCATATATCGGCCGAGAGTTGCTGTGAGCCGCGACCATAAAGGCAGTAAATCACTGCGACCTTTGGGTATTTCGGATAATGCTTTGATCAAGCGATTACGCGAGGCCTTCGAGTTAAGATAGCAGAAGTCAATAGCCAGTTGATCAATAGACTCCTTATTCGTGAGCTCTTGCAATCTGGCAAGAAGAGCATCAACCTGGGCGCCTATCGTCTTATTTGCGATTGCTGTTGACTGATCCTCTGCCGGATCTTGAGCCTTTGCTGCCTCAACCGCATCCGCAGGGTCAATCTTCTTGCCCACTTGTTCTTCACCCTCAGGTTTCTTTTTCTTGTTATCTTCCAACAGCAATGAAGGTACTTTGCCCTTCAAGTCCATTATATTTTCGTAGAATCGACGTTCTTCGTCATCGGCCCAGATGCCAGATCCCTCCATGCCGGATCGAAGATACTCGCCAGTCTTCATTATACCAATCGCAGTTCCGGAACCAGCAGCGCCATCATCTACAGACTTGAGGTCTGGCATCTCAGCGCCAATTGCATCCGCCAAAACTTGTGCATTTGAGACGAGCCTATCGTGCGATTTGACTTGTTTCTCGTAGCTGGCCTGTCGATCCTCGAATACCTCGCCACTTTTGACATATGCTTCAGCATTACGCCTGGCTTGTGAATGTATGGTTTTTTGGTCCTTGACAACGTGGTTCTTGACGTCATCAAAGTACTTTTTGAGAATGCTTTTGAACCGTTCAGAGAGTTCTGGTGCAGTTAGAGGCATCTCCATCGAGTCAACTTCCTCTGATTCCTGCGGCGCAACGTCGGTAGTCCCATCTTCCTCTACAGTTTTCCGCCCTTCTGAGCTAGTCGCCCGAACGCCGAGAATGTCCCAGCTGAATGCTTTCACGAAAATCACCAGAAGCGGGAGGTTCATGTGCTCTCTATCGTGTCCTAGTAGATCCTTCAAGACCTCGAGAGGAAACGGATCTGCAGAGATGCCAGGTTTGCTGGTAGTCTTTAGTTTTACATCGACATGTTTCGTGCCCGCAACACTGGTAACGTCTTCTGGTGCCACTGCATCATCCAACGTACGTAAAACGCCAACTAACCAGAGTTCACTGACAACTCGGAGCAAAGCACGCTGTCTAATTAGGCGTTCCTTTTCTTCCTTTTCTCTAACCTCCACGGGGAGGGCCTTTAGTGCGCTCTTATCTGGTGTTGACATGCCCTTGCCGAGGAGCCAGCTCAGATAACATGTAAACTCGGCTGGGCCAAAGCGCTGGTGTAGGGCGCTGGCTATTTCAACACCAGCATCTATGTCACCAACAGCCTTCAGCTTGCAGAGGCCCTCATAGAACGCGGAGATGATTTCAGAGAGGTATTTGTGTAGACTTAGTGTTCGGATCTCTTGCAGAAACGTTGCAAGACCGGTCGACGTGATCGCGGTTCGCAGTCGTTTAATAAACGCCGTGTTTTTCTTGAGCGCCGAATCGAGAGATGTGTTGACCTGGAAGATATCTACAGAAGGCGACTAGTCAGCACCGCATCCCATAATAGTTCTACATCACTAGAGAGACTGACCTTGTTCACCGGCCCAAGCCTTTTCGTTTAGAGCACGAAGCTCTCCTAGTCATAACGTTAGCCCAGAGTCCGGTGGAGGCATCGCCGCAACATACTCTTCCTTGCACGATCCATATCGTTGAAAAGATTCTAGAGTCCCAGGTTCAAAGATATTCAGCACCACATTCGGGGCTCGGGTGCGAGGCTATGGCGCGGGGAGGCTCGAAGGGAAGCTGTTCGGTCGGGCAGTGGGCATCGGTAACGTGGAGTTTTGCTGGCGGTAGACTGCGCGATAGAAGGTTGCTTCGGAGCACCCTGAGAGTAAACTTGAAATGTAAGTCGATAGCCCAACGTTAGACAGAGGTGTGGCGCGGAGCGGCACACGAGCGGGAAATTTTGTTTGTCGTCATTATCCTGATTGCGACCTGCTAGTTTTACCACACCAAAGTGGAGTCGACGAGAAGCTCATTCACATTACCATTTGCGAGACCTTATAAATTCTAACTAAATCCATGTAGATAAAATAAAAAAGCTAAACCAAAGTTTTAAAATAGCTCTCTATTTGCTGAACATGTCGGTATACTTAATTTCTTTCTATGCATCTCTAATCTACAAGTGGAAACCCCATCGAATTGATTCTACTGACTCATCCGTCAACCCATCTCTCAAACCCACCAGCAGTTGTATCTTCTACATTTCTTTGCCTGTCCCCTTCAGGGTCTCGTCGATTAGTATTTCCTTCTGTCTTCATAGGCACAGGTTGAGCGACAACTACCGTCTCAATGCCGCTGTAGTCGGTGTTCCGGGGCTCGAGAGTTAGCGAGTCTGTGTCAATTTTCATCCCCAAAAGACCCTGAAGTATAGCACGGCACCCAAGTTTACTGGTAACTTCGGCCGACTTGCACATGTCCGATGTGACACACTCGCGACATCCTTCAACACATGAACATGCTTCAACTCGTTGCAAAGCCATCCGCAAAAGATGATCAACATGATCGAAAGCTTTGGCACTTATCCCAGAACCATTAGCTCCACCCTTGGAATCATAAAATGTCAACCTGGCCGGACGTTTTCTTGTAGTATCCTGCTTTGAATACTCCTTCTTAGCCACCTTACATTCGGTGCGCACATCCTCAGGCAAGCTAACAACAAACGTTGGCAGTAGACTCATGACGCTGTGCTGTGCGGCATGAATAGCGGCGGCAATATGAATGCCATACTCTTGTAATATATATAAAAGAGACTTAGGGATGTCCACCCACATCCCTTTGCTGTATCGAATGATCGGCGCATTGTCCACGTGCACGGCATCCAATACTCGGCCTTTTTTGTCAACTTTGAAGAACCCGAAGACTTTCTGTTCAATCTTAATAGTACCGAAATAGGCCTTACAGGTTGAAGACGGGATGCTCCTGATTGCCTCAGTTTCGGTAGGATCGATATCCGTAAAGTCACGGGGTGTTGTCGTCCAGTCAACATTAACCTTTTCTACCTTGGCCATTCTTTGATCAGGAAGGAAGTCTCGAACAAGATACTTTCGGCCTTGGTGTAGAAATATCCCACCATCATATAACGTGAATGTTGCTCTCGATGCTTCTAGGTCCTCCAGAACAACGTTTCGGCCGTTTGAAATATCGACAACGGCAAAATGCTCGTCTTCAGTATCGCGAATGGCGACATATTTTGCCGGACTTGGGCGAAATCGATCATGGCAGTGGTAAAAGCCCATTTCATCTTTCAAAAGCCTCTCTTCGCATAGCGTCATCAGATCTTCGCCAAAGTATTGAGAGTCTCTTTCTGGGCTAATCGGCATTTCATATGCTGCACATTGAACGTGGCCTTCTCGGATTAGTAGATTTTCCAAGTCCATTTGAAGTTCAGCTGTGGGTTGACTGAAGAGTTCGTCTGGATTCTTCATATAGTGTTGATCTGTGGCAAAACAATCCCCCAGAAGAATAGATAATGAATCCTTATTTCGTCTTCCGGCGCGGCCGCTTTGTTGCCGGAGATTCGCAATAGTGTAAGGGAACCCCCATGTTAACACACAGTCGAGGCTTCCAATATCGATACCTAGCTCGAGCGCCGTAGTAGATACAATTCCCAGGAGTTTACCCTCAAACATTTGCGATTCTATCAAGCGACGATCCTGAGGCGTGTAGCCACCCCGATATGCCATAACGAGATTTGTACAGTCGCCGCGACCGATTGCCTCAAGTTCGGCTCTAATTGCGCTCACAAGAAGTTCACATTGTGATCTCACACGGCAAAAGGCAATTATTCGAAGCCCTCGAAGTAGGAGTGCGCAGAAAAGACGCGCACACTCCAATTTACCGTTGGCTCGTCCACTTGCTGGATCGGTGGGATCTTTATACGGAGTGTTCCAGCAAAGGAACTCTTTGCGGCTAGACGGCGAGCCATCAAAGTCAATCAAAGCAACCTCTTGAACTCCAAAGATAGACTTGAAATGCTCGCGAGGATTTGAGACTGTCGCTGAGCAGGAAACGAATTGTATGTGTCGGTTGCCGATTGCCGCACAGATTCGGCTAAGACGTCTCATTATGAAGGCTACATGAGAGCCAATTTGGCCGTTATAATAGTGAAGTTCATCAACTAGGGTCGTTAGCTCAATAGAATAGTTTCTGGTCAATATTTTACTTACCAACCACGTATCGTAAATTCTTAAGGAAGCTCCTCCAACGCTCCTCTTGAGGGAGAATAGTTATGTGTAGCATGTCTGGATTAGTAAAGATAATACTCGCTTCTTCGCGAATGTAATTGCGTTCCGACATGACCGTATCACCATCAAAAGTCTCAACGAGTGTTTCCTCTAGGCCAGGCATATACCGCACGAGCTCTTTCAAGCTCCTCTTTTGGTCTTGCGCCAGAGCTTTTGTTGGGAATATATACATTGCTCTCGCATGAGGGTTCTTTTCCAATTCATATAGCACTGGTAACTGATATATCAGGGATTTTCCCGAGCTTGTGGATGTGGACACAACGACATTCAGCCCTTCATGCAAATTGTTTATGGCTTCTGCTTGATGTGCATAGAATTGTGTTATGCCTTTCGCATTGTAGATAGCATTGACTAGATTCTGGCTCATAAGAAAGTTCAGTTCGCCGAAAATAGGCTCTTGGGGCTCGAAGACTCGATGGCCATCTGGAATGATTTGACCAGTATACCATGGACTGTCCCGTAGTTCTTGCACGATAACAGCAATTGACTGTCGCTCTTTGGGGATCGTTCTCGGTACGGTACTCATTTTCTGTTGCTCTATCTCGCTCTTCTTCGGTATGAATCCAAGAGCCAAAGTCTGAAGAGTTGAAACAGGATCTACTTGCCCAGACAGACATTTCCTTAGGAAATTATCAATGGCACTCTTGAACTTCTTATTGCGACGTTCAATGAGAGCCGCCATCTCTTTTTGACTGTAGACCGGTAGTCGCAGATTTTCGTCTTTGAGCTTCGTCTGAGCCCTTACAGGTTCTCCTGTCTTGCGATCCGGCACATGCCGATTTAAGTCTCCGTCAACATATTCGAAGTACAAAACTTCTGACTCGGCGGAATCATCTTTGCTGTATGATTGTCGCAGGTTATCTCTGCCAGATATTCCACCAACGGAGTCATCTGGCAATATGGTCTGGCCACCATAAGAAGTCTTAAAAACGTTGTCACGCTCAGACCCACGGATTTCAGAATCCAACTTGACCTTGTCGACATAAGAGAACCGAATACCATCAGGTCTTAAGGAAACCACAGCTGCAATATCGCTGATCTCAAGGTCCTTCTTAATATGTGTCGACACTGCAGGGCGGATGGTACTGAACGTGGTAGCCAAGTGTTTGCGGCTAGAGCAAAAGGTATACACTAGATTCAAGGCCTTTTGTGTCTTTTCGAGAAATTGAAAATATTCGGGCCACTCTATATCGATCAGGTTTTCTTCTTCTTCAGGTTCATCAGCGGCAAGACGGTCAGATGTGATCGGTGGTTGAGTCGAATCCTTCACGCCTTCGTCAGAATCCACGACTTCAGCATGCTTGCGTTTTGCCACTATTCTTCTCGTATCATTACCACCACCAGGGGGTATCGAGTGAGACATTTTAGCATTCTTATTTCTGGTATTGGGGTATATTAGCAGCGTAAGGCGGTGGTGGTGCAACCGATCCAAGGTGTGTAGGTTTGTGCAGCGTTAGTAGCAGTTAAACGTTAAAAGCACTACATCACGTGGAGTCGAGCTTAAGAACAGCGCCGCGCAACACCGCGTCAACTTTTAATTCGCTATTATTATAGGACTATAATACATAAATAATCATCTGCTTCAACCTTCAACGCCACTTGTCTAATCTAAAAGTATCGCACTAGACGTGTCCAAGTCGTGTTTTGATCATCAACTTTATCCTTATCGGTCTTGAAGCTCACGCTGAATGCTTGCGACCTCGCTCATAAATAGCTTCGCGTTTGTATTGTTCATCTGCGAAAGGAGAAAAATTATCGTTAGTTGAGTTATAAAAACGAAAAATGTCCCAAAAAATACTCACTCTAATTGTTACTGAGATAGGCTTGGCTTCTGGGCCATCAAATGCTGTAAATAGGATGCTTGTGGCGGATGCCGATTTGAGTGTTGACTTTTTTTGGAATTTCATGATAGGAAGGATGGGTGTGTTAAGGATGACTCTGTGCGTCTGGTCTTGACGCATGATAAGTCTTGCAACCTTTGCTTGCTCATCAGAATCATCTTCGAGGCCAGATGCGTCGAATGAGCCGGGCTGGACATTGCCGTTGTCGTCAAACTCGACACATGAGTGTGGTACATTGATCTTCACCATGCCTGCACCACGCTCTTTCCAGCCAGCGTCGGCTTCATGAACAAACATTTTTGATCGAACCGAAATTAGGGTCACGTCGCCACTCTCACCATCATCAACGTCAACTATTGCGCATTAGTCAAAGAAAGGGCACTCACTCTCGATCGGCGCACTTACCTTTGTGGAGCTTTGTTTTCTTTCGATCCTCATCCCTATCGGAGGACTCGCCATTATCTTCGTCCTCGTTGTTCTTCTTTTCATCTCCCTCATTCTCATTTTCGTCATCTTCATTATCAGAAGCCTCCGCGTCACTATCTGGGGCTCCAAATGGCTTCGATGCCTTTGTTGTCGAGAATGGTTTGCTCGTAGCAGAGGACGCAAAACTACCGAGTGGCTTTGCAGAGCCCAATGAAGAAAATGCACTGCCTCCGAGAGCCGACCCAAATCCATTAGAGGATTTAGGCAGACCTCCGAATGGTGAGGCGCTCGAGTTGCCGCCGAAACTAGATTGCGAAGTTGATTCGGTGGTAGAGGTGGCCTTGGCACCAGACGCGAAAGATGTGAGACCACCCTTGCCTGCTGCTGCAAAGCCCGAACCACCTGTACCACCAAGAGTGGTAAACGGCGATGATCCTGATGCGAGCTTGCCAAAAGCGGACGCTTCGAAGCCGCTGGGGGCAGGTTTCGTTTGATCCGTTTTGGATTCGTGAGATTCGCTCTTGTCCGCAGCCTATGCATCGATTAGCCACAATGATCGATAACCTGGAATGTTCAACTAACCTGCTTAGTATCTTCTTCATCACGGGCTCGCTTCTTTTCGGGCTCCAATCGTTCCGTACGGTCCTTGGACGATTCATCGTCTTCTGAAGCTTGCTTGTCTGCCTTTTCACGGGTTGTATCCAGCTGGTCATGGGCGCGTTTCTTCTTTGGTGAAGATACTTTTTCTTTTAAGCCATCTTCCTCTTGACCTGCTGTGGTATCGTCGGGTGTGGATGCCGGGCCGTCTTCATTGGGTGAAGGATCCGATATGCTCGATTGCTTCAGCTCGCGTCTAGCGGCGCGAGTCTCAGCATCTTCTTTCGTGTCATCGCGGACTTCATCATGCTTGGGGCTACCCCCGCTGTTGCTTTCGGGCATCTTGATAATATTGGTCGCTTGTGGAATGTCGCGTGGGGAGGATTGGTCGTTCGAAGTGAATCCACGTGCGCTGTTGGTCAACGAGGCTTAGTTAGGCTGCGACGAACGAAGAGATAGTTGTCGGCGATTTAGTATGGATCCGTGGCGTGTTAAAATACGCGAGATCGAACTGCGAAGGGTTATAATGAGGGTTTCGCCGGCGTGAAGCTCACGTCAATCTTGGAGTGGAAGGATTTGCGCGTGGAGAGGAGTATCGCCATTGGTAGTATCCGTTTGCGACCCAGATGACCCCTCACCGCCCCTGCTAGCGGAGGGGCAGAAGCTGGCCCAGTAACAGCACCCGCCGTACGGCGCGCCGAAAGGCCCGCCAATCAAAGCTGGAAAGCCGTGCTAGCATTCCGCGCTATGATGATTGGAAGCCAAAACTCATTTGCGTAGCGTTAGCTATATGGCCTATCAGCTACAGTTACTGTTGCATGGGCGATTGATAAGCCATGGTGCTTTTTTGTTCCATTTGATCAATATAATGATTAGGTTATATTATATTTGTGCCACAGTTCTCCAACAAGAAAATAAATACAGGTTCAACAACACTACTTTTTCCACAGCCGCACCTCTGACGCAGCACGTCTAGCTGATGAAGCAAAGGCAACCCAGGCCCAAGTAAAAGATGAACATGGGGTACACGGCCAAGGCAACTCGGTTTTTGACAACGCCACTGCCACCTAGGATACTAACACCTGCAGCGAGAGACCAACCAACCAGAAAGAGGTATATCGGAATGCGAGGGATCCAAGGCAAACCAAGGGCGGAGAGGAGCGCGGCGATAACAAGCGGGAACAGCGTATAGCCAATGATGCACACGCTTTGCGCAAAGGAGCTGTACATAGCACTGAGTTAGTATCGGTGGCACTCTGATTCAGAAAACGGGCTCTGCACACGTACATGTTGCCGCCAAGCAAGCGGATTTGAAGGGTCACAACGGCCTCGCCTAGCCAAATCATTGCAAAGATTCCACTGAAGATAACGTCTTTCTGCTCTGGCTGTGCACGAGGGGAGAAACTCAGAAGGAGACTCAGAAGAAGGCAGAAGATCAGAGGGCCCCAAAGGTCCCAGTCCCGCAAGCCAGGGCTAAGGGAGCTCTGAAGAAGAGCCTCTGCATCAACAGCGCGGTTGGCCAATCCTGTGAGCTCCTCTCTTGTTCCAGCAAGACCTGCGCCACGGATATTCGAGTATGCACCGCGGAAACCACCTTCTGACTCGAACATGGAGCCGCCAAGGAGGTAACGGGGGTAGAGAACTTCCCTAAGTTTTACCCATACTGCAAAGAGATCTCGGCGCAATGTCTCCCACACTGTTTCGTCGATAGTATTTTGGGGAGCTCTCCTGTCTTCTCCTGGGAATTGGGATGTCAGGTACGATTCATTCAGTGGGCGTGTCGACGGCGCAGAGCCAATGTTGCCAGTCAAGGGGGGCTGTCGCGTCGATTGTGAAGCGAGAGGGTCATCGAAGTCATTAATATCAGCTATTGGGAATGTTAGTGTATATATTCCAGGTTTCTGCCTTTGGATATCGTAGTGGCAAAAGCATACCATCGTCCGGGTCGATCAAGTCGTCGTCGTCGACGGTTGGATTCGTGTAGTGGCCCCTGGCGTCCGACATTGTGATAGGGGTGATGCAGCAATCGCTACGAAGAGAGTAAATTCGATTTGGCTAATGCGCGCTAAAAGAAACGAGATTGCGGTAGAATATCTTAATGGCACCAGAAATAGAGCTCAATGCGCTTTGGAGGTGTGCGAGATGGATCGTGTCTACTGTAGCTGGTTGGTGGTCGGAGCTGACGTGTGTTCGACTTGAGTTCCACGTAGACGTTAGACCGGGGCTGGCCCAAGCTCCAGCTCCACTCTAGGCGCGGCACCACGACCGATCTCGTCACGAGAGGCTTCAAGCGCGTACCACTTCAGATTAATTGATGATTTCTCCCACGATTAGAAAGAAAACTTCGAAATAGTATCCGCGCATCCATTTAGTCTCATTGGTTTTGCTGCATCCCTTGGGTTAATGCGAAATTGTCGCTGTCCTTGAACCAACGTCGCTTGTAAACCAGATCGCACATTCGGAGGATCTCTATACAAGCAGACAACAAGAAACTAGGTCATGGAACGGCACTACATTTGCTGTTCATATTAAATACATCTTACAGTAGGCTTGGAATTTTTCGCATATCAATATAGCCCCAACATCGAGGACAGAGGGCCGCGCCCGAGTTGAGTCGCCATGCATGCCCCAGAAGATGTGGCATTTCAGTTGCCTCGATTGCGTGCATCGTTTGGCTTAGAGGTTTGTCAGTAATTCTTCTTGAGGACGCAAACTGACAACTGTATAGAACGATACCAAATACCTTGGCACAGATGACAGTGTTGCAGGTGCGCAACACTACGTCTTACCACAAGAGGATCCCCCACCACTAACTATCAATAAGAATTTTTCGATGTCAAATTCTGTCCATTCCAGCCGCTGGATGCAGATCCGGTATTCGCAGCAATCAGCAAGAAACACGTGAGTATTCATCATGTTTCAACTTATGTACGCGTTGATTGACCAAAATACAGGTTGTCCTTTGTCGGCTAAACCAAAATTCTGGCGAAAACAATCCCTGTCAAGTAATCAAAATCTTACGAGATGGCGATGTAAGTTCTCCGCGTATGTTACGTTAAAGTGTATTAACAGCAACCAGGAGGGCTCTTCACTTTGCTGCTGCACATGGGCCAAAGAGCCAGTATCAGGAAATCCCCTTATCTGCGTTGGAGGTGTCGACGCAAAGATAAAAATCTACGACGTCACTGACGGAACATTATTCAACGTTGGTCAATTAACCTAACGCAATGGTTTTGTCGTATACTAACCTGAATGTGGCAACAGACCCTTGTTGGTCATGGAGGTGTGAGTGCATATACCCCTTGGCCGGGTTATATACTAATCCTCGTTAGGATGTGAATGATTTAGCTACATCACCAATCGATCCGAGAATAATTGTTTCTGCTTCTGATGACACCAGCATCAGGCTCTGGAGCCTGTATCCAACTCATAAGGAGCAACCCTGTCTTTGCATATTTGCTGGAAATGGACATTCGTGGAGTTTATTGAGCGTCGTAAGATCCGTACAACCCAAAGTTGAGTCGTTTCAAGTCTAACCATTTCAGGCTTTCCATCGGACTGGCAGATTCTTACTCTCTGCTGGCCATGACCAGGTGATTAATCTCGTAAGTTGGCGGTGTAGTGTTATGAATGCTTATATAGGTACCTAACTTGTGGCAACAGTGGTCAATTCCAACACTACCAACATCACCTACAAAGGTTCCTCTTCAGGTTCATTATCCTCATTTTTCCACATCAGCTGTTCATGGCGGAATTGTAGATTGGTAAGTCTATTATTCTCAGAAAGGCTTTCCCAAATATCTCTCTTGTACATATCTAAACAGTGTAGCGTCGCATTCTATGGCGATCACATTCTCTCTAGAGCCTGCCATGATAACGTTATAGTATTGTGGCGTATAGAAGGCTTCTCTTCGGATGATCCTGTCGAAGAAACCCCGCCTCCAACTTCATACGAAGACCCTGCCAGCTTTACAAGGTCGGCGTTCATCACATCGAAAACAGCTGACTGTCCATCACAATACACTCGTCTCTTAGAATTCCATACCCCTAAGTGCGGGCCACAATTCTTCATGAGATTCAGTCTGTTTCATGTGCCTGATCATAACCCTGTTCTCGCATTTTGCAACGCCTCTGGCAACGTCCTATTCTGGGATTTCAAACGGCTTGAAATTTATGCAGATTTCATGTCAGACTTGGAGAGTCCAGAGCGAGATTTATCAAAACCTGTTCATCTTCCAAGCTGGCTGAAGCCCGTTATTCCGCGCCGGCGAGCCGATCCAACAGGAAAGATACGGTTAAAGACTTCAGAAAGAGACGCGGTGGTGCTGGAACATATGGAAAAGGGTATTTATAGCGCCGAAACGCTAGAGGCCTGGACCGCACGATATAGTATTGAGGATCCTCATGAGCCTCTCAAAGCGCATAGGTCTGAAGCTTCGTCTACTTCAGTTGTAGGTAGACAGGCCTCCTGGAGCCCGGGTGGTGACTGGTGTATTGTTGTTGGTAGCTCCAACACAATTCTGATCTTTCAGCGCTGGTCTAAAAAGACAACCGCTGATGACGAGTAGTTCAATTGGTTATAATATTATAGTTCCCTTATAGGCAATGTCGAGTGCAGCTGATCCGATATTGTTGATGTATCGTCTTCTCCTATTAGAAATGTCTTGAAATTGTCATCAAGTTCGCCGTTCTCATCAGCAATGCGCTGCAGCATTTCCTTTGCGATAATCGTTTCTTGTCTTAGTATAGCATCGTCTTCGTTTGATGTGCTGCCGTGCAGTGGTGTAGCTATATCTCTCAAGAAAAGGGCAACGATGGCTCGTAGACGTATATAGTCATGACTTCGTGAGTAAGGTGGATCTCTCATGAGCCCATCTAGATATTTTGCAATATCTGTAACTTTGGCGCGTGTCAAAAAATGGAAGTTTCGACCTCTTCCAATGTTTTCATCTGTTATTTCCTGCAAATGCTGTGTCTCAAGGCTGTTCTGATCAGCTCTGGCAGCATCTAGTCCATGCTCGTCTGTAATAGCTTCACCTTCCCCTCTTCTTGCCACAGATAACAATGACACATATTCGATGTAGGCATCATAAAGCTCACAGCCTATCATAGCAATATTAAAATCAAAGGCAGAGGTACGCTGAGGTGCTGTGTGGTCGTACGGATGCTGTTGGTTAAGTTGCTCGAAATAAGCCTTTAATTTCCCGATATTTGTTGTATTGCCCCATCGTTTTGGTATTCGGAACTCGCAGTCACCAGTTTGCATCGTAATGCCTTCGTCATTTCGTTGACGCTCCTGTTCTCCTTGGCGCATTATGATCTCCGCGCCCAGTGCCCAAATATTTCGATATCGAAGGTCTGGTAGACGGTTGTCTCGCCTCAGTTGGATCACGACGTTAAACGTCTTAGCCGCACTTTTTACTTGTCCGGCATCCAGAAAATACTGTGTAGCCTGTATCAGCTTATCCAGTTGCGCGTGTTGTTCGCTCTGTCCTCGCCTTGTTCGTTTGCGTGTATCCCCATCCGAGTCAAAGCCATCCGCTGCTATAGGTTCAAATTTCGAATTGATCCCAAATTCCTGTAGAGCCTTATGCGGAAAATGGGGAGAGTATAACGCAGGGTCTTCATCATCTCCGGCAAGGCCAGCTAACGTAAACTGATAGAGGGTATTCGGGGCATGACTGTGGGGGTTGATCGGCTGTCCAGAGCTAGGTAGTTGGCTAGAAGATGGTTCGGTTATAGAATCAAATGATCCTCGCTTTCTTTTATTAAAATTATGTGACATATTTTGCAGACACGGTGTGTCGGTAATCTCTGCTTGTCGCCTAGTTTACTTGCATGCCGATGTAAAAGTTGGGTGAAGTCAACAGGTTATCCACTCTGAGATATATGACGGCGATGGGTCGGCACAACGGCGGCAGGATATGCTGCATCGTATTCTCACTCCCCCTACGAGGCCGAAAATAAATTACACTATAAATCATTGGCGTAACAGGTAAATACATAGACATAGTATTAAAATTACTGTAATTAATTAGCGAGATACCGATATTGTTGTTAGGCCCCAAGAGTGTACAGGGTATTAGGTACTCTGTTGTCACGTAGCTGTCTAGGTATTACGAGAAAAGTTCGCCAAACATAATGCTATTGTTAACTGTTCTATATATGAGATAGAAAGGAGACAACAAACTTGAAGAAGGACAAATCCCTCTCCTCCTTCCACAGTTCACTTCTCTATTTATGTACAAGGTTGTTGTGATCCTGCCAGCTGGCGGCTTTTCTTTGCCAGCTGGCAAACACTTGTTGTTGAAACTTCTTTATTTGCCAGCTAGCAAGCGAACACGTCGCGTAGCAACTATTTCGATATCGTGACTGTCGTGAGTGTTGTGACCGACAGACTATAGAGCGATCCAGCAGGTCGTGACATCTGTAGACCTTTTTTGAAATGAGTTCTATGAATTCTCGTCGTTAAACGCGCTTTTAGCGATTGTCAACCCAAGGGTTTACACGTATCGATACAGGAGTCCCGCGCTTGAATTACAAGAAGTGTTATGAGGGCCAATTCTGCTTTGCAGGCTTTTGCTAATTGGTGTTTGATGTACAACTAGAATAGCCTTTCCTATTTTACATATACGAAAAAAAGACATTAAAACGGCACCAAATCGCTACAAATGCGTTTAGTGAGCAGTGCGGTCAAAGTATGTCCACTGCCCTTCAACAGGCTTCTCCTCCAACTCTTCCCAACTGTGGCAAGTTAGCAATGCACTTGGCGGGTGACTCTTTCGTATCAGATGTCATTACTTACACCTTGGCTTTCTCCATGGTTTGAATCAACTGCAGTTCGCCTTCTGCGACTTGAATTACTTCTTCAATGAGACCAGCACCAATTTTCTGCTCGAGTTCTTGGACCCTATAGACGTGGATTAGCTGCATTGTACCATGCGATCATATCACAGAAGGCAACTTACTGTTCAGCAGTCAGCTGAGGTTCCTCAACCCACTCAGAGTGGTCGCCCTGTTGCAGTGCCTCGCGCTCAGCCCAGGCAGCTTGATCGGCTCGCTCAGCGGGCGTGCGAGCGCCCTCCAATTCACCACCCTCATCGACCTCGCCATCCCATTCTTCGCTTCTGATGTCACCAGCTTCGTGTCTCGTTCCAATAACAAAGACCTGGTCGCCTAGTGTAACTATTCTGGAGCCACTGCCGTCGATTCGGTCGCCAGCAACCTTGAACTGGTTGGGGTTCTTAGCAATGAGCTCTTTAGCGCGAACAGCCCACTCGGCATGTCCAACAGGAACAATTTGTTCAACAATGCTCAAACGGTGCTTTGTGACAGCTTCGACGGACTGGCGGTACATCGAGGTTTCGGGCAAGGCCTTCAATTTGTTGAGAGTGCTTCCGTAGAGGTACAAAAGTGTCGATCGGGGGGTGGCGTGCGTCCATAGACCGGTCAGACCAGTGGGAGTTCCGGCTTCAAGGTAGCGCGCAAGCGCACGGAATGTTGGACGCATTATAGTAGTCCAATTGAGCGTGTATGTGTTGGTGAGATGGACTGTTGCCCGTGGTGGTTTGATTCTGGGAGTAGCTGCACATGGAGTTGGAGTTGTAATCTTGAACATCACGTGACACACTAGGTGGACCCTCGAAGTCGGGAGACTAACAACCATGTACGAATGTCAACTATTGAATGTTTCTTTAATAAAATAAAAATTAATAAACTTTATCTCTTTTTTTGCACAAGTTAGTCTGTACATTTGTAATGTAGAAGTCAGGCCGTTTTTCACTAGCTAGGTAAGGCGGAGGCTCCATCCTTGAATCGCGACTACGGCAACTCTCAATGTACCGCACAACATCAATATGTATGTCCCTCTGTCTGTTGGTTTGATTGTAATTTCAATTGTTTTGGACCTTTACGAAGTTTCCTCGCGGCTCTTGCGGTAGGTTGCCTAGGAATATTAATGAGTGACCATCACGGGGACTTTTGACAGCGTATTCATACCTCTTGCTCTGTTTGTAGACCTTCAACAACAGGTGCAAGTTCGCTCAGAATTTCGTAGGCCTTCTTGTGATACTCAATCTGGGCAGCGACGAGTTCTGCTAGGTTACGCAGAGGTTCAGGGGTGTCCAAGACCTATGTTGTTAGTGACCGAGCAAATATTAATGAGACTGATGGACTTACATTCTTCATTACGCCAACTGCCTCCTCGGTTTGCGTGACAAATTCGTCTTCAGCCTTCTCGATCTCCTCTTGAGCTTCAGCACTCAGTTCGTGGTCATCTGCACTGCCAGCGCCCGCGTTGGGCATCTTAAATGTGGTGCCTTTGACATGGGCCTTCACGGCATCAAGGGAGAGCCTAGACTTTTCAACATTCTTTCTGGCGCGGCTGGCGAACATGATGTTTGTGTTTAGAGTTGTGTTCCAGCCGGCAAGGAATCGGCTTTGAATCTGAGAGTCCTGGGCAATGCGAGCTTCACCAACACGCTCCATAGACAGGGCATACTTCTCAAGAGCTGTAGCAAGGGGGTCTTCACCGGCGCCTGTGTGATTCTGGTGGAGGACTTGGCTACTGGCCAAGCTGGCTCTGGCGATGGCATGGCTGAAGGTTTTCGGCTGGGGCTTAGCGGAAGGAGGAGCTACAAGAGCAGCCTGTGCTTCGGCGGTCGATGTAGCTGAAGACAGGAGAGATACCTTCTCGCTGACAGTTCGGCCAAGGTCTTGGAAGGTCTCCTTCACGTTGGGAGGGTAGTCGTAAGCTTCGTTCGAATATTGAGAACTGATAGCAGTTAGAGGGTATTATTTCGGATGCAGCTCCAACGAACTAGATACTCACGTTACATTGAGCATCTTTTGGTGAGCCTGCTTCAGAGCATCCACCTTCTTCTCGAGATCGATGTAGTCGGCGGGGAGCTGGGTCTGGTAGAGACAAACCGGGTTAGATATGGTGCATCACTATGAATATATTTAGCACTTACCTTGTCCTCGACCTGGCCGAATTGCTCCTTGGTGTACTGGAAGGTGCGCGACGCAAAGGGCGTGATTTGCGCGCCGAAATCGCTGTCCCGCGCAAGGCTAGTCAATAGCTGTGTCGGGCAAATGATGATCAGGCCAGTTGCCATGTGACGGTTACGTACGAAATGTTTTTGCCTAGCTTAGAGAAATCCATGGCTGCTTTGGTGAAGTAGAAATGGGTTTATAAAAGATTGAATATTGGTGGTGTGGGAAACAGATGAAAAAAAATGATGGGATATGTTGGATTTGGTTGGACAAGTATGGATGGGGGTTTGGTGGAGAGAAGTCGTCGTCAGAGGGAACGCCGTACGTCACAAGCGAAATAACGCCGCGCGCAGCGCCCCAAATCCAGGGGCTATTGGTGCAGGGCAACAGCGAGTTACTGGCGCCAGTTCTTCGTCATAGTGACACGTGACAGCTATTGTGGTACGAATGGCGATGAATGGCAGATCAATTATATTGCAAAATAATAGAAAAGAAATACATCTAAAATGGCAAAAGCTTTTGAAGGCAATTTGCATATATAAGTATATATTAATTCGGCAATTTGGGCCCAGGAGGTTTATCAATGAGGTTGAAGTCAAGAGGAGACTGAGCAGTCAACGCTCAGTCTAAAAGCAGTATTTGCATATAACTTAAATCAACACTACGAAGTATTAAAACAAGTATATCTATGTTTGCCGCCGTCTGTCATCGTATAAGCTAAGAAAGGCGACTGCTTAAACAGTCAGCACCAACACGCGGAGCCTATCGCAACTCTGGTTGGTGGTTCGCTTTGAGACTCTGTGTAGTAACGTGACAACGTGACAGCGTTGCAGACCGACGTGTGGACGCGCTCCCCCTAAGCTAAACAGAGAGGTGTCCTCGACAAGCTTTTTGGGACGAGCCTCTGTCAATTGGGCTGCCAATGTAAAATCACAAGAAGAAGGATATATTAAATCAATAAAATAAACGTAGATATCCATTCTTAGAACTGCCACCACCACAAATTATGAACAAAAGCCCATGTTGAGGCAGCTTCCGGAGCTATCAAGGTTCGTGGTGCATTGATGGTTCATGTTCAAACCAGCGCATTCGCAGCAGGTCCGTCTCCTGAAATTCGGCCGCAATCCACACAGCCCACTCCCAACCGCTTTCCCTTTCCACCTTCACTTGCCTCTCGACGTCTGTTCACGATACAGAGGGCAATGGAACATCGCCTGTAATTCTGCATTTAGTCCACTGACCCTATTTCCTACGGTTCTTCCCCACGCTCGTTTTGACAGCCCTCCCGGCGCATCCATACCATCATGGCTGCGGTTGGCAGGTTCGGCCTCTTGGCCATTGCGGTGGTATTCCATCTCATCTATCTTTTTTCTATCTTTGATATTTACTTCGTTAGCCCAATCGTTTCGGGCATGCAACTTTTCGGCGTAGAACGCACCTCAAGTGTTAAAGCACCAGCTGACAGACTGGTACTCTTCGTTGGTACGTCATAGCTACCCCAGCATGCTTTCAACGGCACCTCGAGTCTTGCTAACATAAATAGGTGACGGTCTGCGTGCCGACAAGGCATTTCAATCCTTTCCCCAGCCATTCCCGAAATCCGATGCGGATCTGGTCCCACGACACCTCGCACCTTTCTTGAGATCCAAAGTCCTAAACGACGGTACTTTTGGTGTCTCCCATACCCGGGTCCCAACCGAATCGCGCCCAGGTCACGTCGCTCTTATTGCTGGCCTCTACGAGGATGTGTCCGCTGTAGCAACCGGGTGGAAGTTAAATCCGGTCAACTTCGATAGCGTCTTCAACCGCAGTCGACACACCTGGAGTTGGGGCAGTCCTGATATCCTTCCCATGTTTGAGCAGGGCGCAACGCCTGGACGAGTCGATACTTACATGTATGGTGCGGAAGAAGAGGACTTTTCGCAGAGCGCCTACCATCTTGACCATTGGGTCTTTGACCACGTCAAGGAGCTCTTTGCTGAAGCCGCAACCAACAAGACTTTGGACGCCGCCTTGAGGAAGGATAAGAATGTGTTTTTCCTCCATCTTCTTGGACTTGACACCACTGGCCACTCCTATCGCCCATACTCGCAAGAGTATCTTTACAATCTGCAGATTGTGGATCAAGGCGTCAAGGAAATTACTGGGCTCATTGATAAGTTCTTCAATGACGACCGAACAGCTTTTGTCTTCACTGCAGACCATGGTATGAGTGATTGGGGTAGCCATGGCGATGGTCATCCTGATAATACTCGTACACCATTGATTGCATGGGGATCGGGTGTTGCTAAACCAGAGGTCTATAAGTCTGGTGGCGCGCCCGGTCACGACGAGTTCTCCGCTGACTGGGATCTTGATCACATTCGCCGTCATGATGTAGCTCAAGCCGATGTTGCCGCTTTGATGGCTTACCTTGCTGGTCTTGAGTTTCCAGCAAACTCTGTTGGCGAACTGCCACTCTCGTTCTTAGCCGCTTCCACTCGTGAGAAAGCGGAAGCTTCTTTGGTCAATGCTCGTGGTATCCTGGAAATGTATAGAGTCAAGGAGGAGAAGAAGGCTGCTAACGAGCTCCGATTCCGGCCTTATGCACCCTTTTCATCAGACGAATCCTCCCCAAATGCACGCCTTGAACATATTCAGACCTTGATCAGCGCCGGAAAGTACGAGGAAGCGATTGAAGAAACCGACGCACTAATTCAAGTTGGACTCGAAGGACTGCGTTACTTGCAGACCTATGACTGGCTGTTCCTCCGTGCTCTAATAACGATTGGCTACTTGGGATGGATGGCGTACGCCATGACCACAGTCATCAACCTATATGTTGTGGGCCAGACGCTTCCTGCAGACCGGCCTACCATGTCCACTGTCTTCTTCTCCTCAACTCTCATGCTTCTGTATGCTTCTTTCATCATCTCGAAGTCGCCAGTATCCTACTACGCATACGCATTGTTTCCCGTCGCTTTCTGGGAAGAGGTCTTTGCTTACCGCAAGAGTTTGAACCAAGGTCGCCAGATTCTCTTTTCTCACATCAAGTCTGCCAGTTCAGGAGCGACCTTCGGTCTTTATGCAGTTCTTTACGTTGTCGTCATCCAAGCGCTGGCTCTTGGATACGAGTATCGAGAACTCTTTACTATTCTCTATATCCTAGGAGCATTCTGGCCTGTTCTGAATGGTGTTGCATTTCTACAAAAGAATGCGGCTCTCAGTATCACATGGGCGGTGACTTGTCTTGCCATGAGCACATTCACGCTGCTACCAGCTATGAAGGTGGAGGACGTGTCGCTCATTATGGCTGGTGGTGCCTCTATGGTGATTATTGGACTTCTTTACTTAACATTTGAGAATTTTGTGCTCGCAGGCTTCCAGTCCAAGGCGACGCCGGAAAAAGCGAATGGCCGGGCGCTCGCCCGAACTTTGACCGGTGTTCAGATTGGGTTGATCATACTGTCCATGATCGTGACTAGGTCTAGCGCACTGTCCTTGCAGGCAAAGACTGGACTGCCACTTGGTAACCAAGTCGTTGGATGGATCGTCATCATTGTATCTCTGGCTATGCCTTTTGCGTACCGTATGGAACCAGACGGCCGCTACATGCATCGCCTCATGATGATCTTCCTAACCTGCGCACCAACCTTTGTGATCTTCGCTATTTCTTACGAGGGTCTCTTCTATGTAGCATTTTCCATCATGCTTCTAACTTGGATCAGAATGGAATACAGTGTTGAGGTCCGCGACAGGGAGAGTGGCAAAGCCATCAGCATGCTCTCAACTGGTTATCGCCAACTTCGCCTGTCTGATGCAAGAATTGCGCTGTTTTTCCTCTTCCTGCTCCAATCAGCTTTCTTCGGTACGGGCAATATTGCGTCAGTTTCTTCATTCAGTCTGGAGAGTGTCAACCGCCTCATCCCTGTCTTCGACCCGTTTTCACAAGGCGCCCTTTTGATCCTCAAGATTATGATTCCGTTTGCACTGATATCCGCGAATCTCGGTGTATTAAACCTTCGTCTTGGAGTTGCCCCGTCGGCTTTCTTCACTGTTGTCATGGCTATCAGCGACATCTTGACACTCTATTTCTTTTGGGTCGTCAAGGATGAAGGCTCATGGCTTGAGATCGGCTCTACCATCAGTCATTTCGCAATTGCCAGCTTGCTAGGCATCTTTGTTGTATCACTAGAAGCCGTTAGCGCATTCTTCATTGACGGTATCGAAGTTGACGACGCTCTCAAGCATGATAGTGGTGCACCTACTTCAAAGCTTGACAAGGAAGAATCGCCCAAGAAAAATGGCAGCGCAAAGTCGAAGAAGAAGAAGGACAAGAAAAATTAAGGCGGATATAAACCTGGTCCTCGCTGGAGTAGGCGAGAGATTATACTGGCATTTGTTTGGAGAATCCCGTTCTAGTTAGATCTAGCCGGTTACAACATCGTACTAATTTATGCAAAAGAGAATAGACAATGAATATTTGAATGTATTTATGCTCTCTGAACCATATATAAACTGAAAATGTACTCTCGATAATGTGCTATCGGTGACCCGAAATCTTCAAAGAAAGCACAAACGATGGGCAAAGGTCTTGATATAAATCCCTGCAACGAAACTGGGGCCAGTCCCATTACCAGGACAAACACGGTAAATTAGTATGAGTTATATTGAACTTCGTTTTACTCGAAACCAATATTATCTATTTTGAATAGAGCAACAAGGCTCTGGAGTATGACTGCTGGTGACTTGGGTCAGCCACGAGAAGCATGTGAGAGACAGCACTGCCCGTTGTGGAAGTAGCACGACCAGACGAGGACAACTAACACAGCTCCTTTTAATCGCAGTGACTTTTCCAGAATATTATTCAATCCACTGGCTTAAGCAGCTATTGGGCAACACGACCATGGTGTTAGATGAGGCCAAGCTCAAATTGCTACGCTGGACTCATGCAATGGCACATGTTAGATCGTCAGGGTAAGGGGCTTCTATGCCTTGTGGAAATAGCTGGGGTATTGCTGCCATGCCAGGGGTACAGCTGCCCGTTGGGCTAACGCTGTTCAGCTTTCCACACCCTGTAACGCCACAAACCGTTTTGAAATGGCGACGGCGCCCAGGAAGCACTGTACCAATACAAGCTTGTGCTCCACCAGGCGGCAACCTCTATGTCCAAGGCTTTTGGGCTCGGGAGAGTCCGGGAGAGTCTGGGGCACTCGTCTTCCCCAGAAAGATACAAACGACGGGGCTTGGGTCCAGAACTACATCTCCGATCGTCTGCGTGTCTGCGTGTTGCCTGCAGGGACCCTTCAAGTCTACTCAAGGAAGCGACAGGAGCACATGCAAATGTCGTTTTTTTACGGAGAGACCTCCCTCAGGCACCAACAGTTGTGATTGGAACGATAGACTGTTGGTTTGGTGATTAGCTTAAGCATATAAGCCGCATTGGTATTGATTTGCCAGCCAAGGCAACTCGTCATGCAAACTGCCTGCCATGGGGCAAACCCAATACGATGGCATAGCCACTGACAGGCACCAAGGACGAATCATGGGTGTTCATGCATGAAGAATTTGTGCCGATGAACTTACTATGAACCGTAAGCATGTACTGTATGGCTCCTAAATAGCGGTACCAGGTCAGACTTTGATCGAAACGGGACAAAATGCATTGAAAGGAGTCGCAGGAAGATGGACAACGCTTTAAGCCTCAGTACCTTCACCATTGATAGACTAGCAAGTCGCGAGAGCCCAACGCCGATTTAAGAAGCGAACGCTAGCGACCCGCCAAGCGATGCTGAAGCGAAGGAGGCCTGGCTTGGGGCACCTTGCGCCGTAGCATGTGCCAAACAGGATGGGTGGTGTGGGAATGACAGACGCGTGGCAAACAAGTGAGATTGGTGAGCAGCAGCAAACGGGAGTACGTACCTTGCTTGTTGTTGCGTTGTGGGTTTTGCACCTTGGCACACGTTTGGTGGCCAAGACGGAAATCCGGGATTTGGGTTGTTTCTGGTTTAACTTGGGTTACTTTTTGTTTTTACACTTTCAAAAAAACCCACGTTTTCCAAACGGCTCATACGCTTCCTAGGTTTCAGTGCACACTGGTCGCTCGCCGTTGCCGGAACGAACCAAAAAAAACGCCTCCCCTCCGCTCACTAGCGCACCCCCGCAGCGCCAAGGTTGCCCACTGATTACCCGCCCATCCGTAATAGCAGCTGCACTACAGGAGCCTCTCAGGTCAGGTACTGTACACCAGCAACCCTTTCCCCGCCCGCCTTTTGGGCTCATCTGCCCACAACCGCCAGCAGTCCACTAGCGCCAAAAAGTGCACCCACACCCCCAGCCTGAACCCATTTTCCGCCACTGAAAGTACTCGCCATGCCCCTCTACAGCACTTACCAAAACCGGAGCTGGCGCTCGTGCGATGGGGTTTGTCTGCGACCACCAAGTCTTCTCATCTCTTTTTTCCCCGTAGATCGCTCTTCTCGCGCAACCCCTTGAGCCCGAGTGCGGTCAAACAGCCACACGTCACATATTCCGTTGTTCTCTTCATTGGCTTGGCCGCTGCGCCGCTGCCTTGTCCTCCGCATCATCATCACCATTCGACGGCCTCGTCTCCCCCTGCACGCTCAAAGGACCCGATCAACCCGTCGAATCTAATCCACTGTTACTGTCCACTCTTTTTCCTCCCACGCCTCGTTTAGTGCCAGCACGGCGGGGAGTTACCCAAAGTCGCTGCCCCAGTCCTGCTCCGCATCGTTCTAGCGGGTGCGCGCACCAACGCTTCACTGTCAACTCTGCTGGTCATCCTCCATCTTCGACTGCCTTCTTCACGGCCTCGTGGATCCCGCATCTCTAACCCCAGCGTAGTGACGGCTCGCTCTCTTTTCTCCTCCTGGAAAATTAGTGATTTCGACGCCGCTCTTTGGCCATGGATATCGACATGGGCTCCAGCAACAGTCCTCAGCAGACTCAGTCGCCTACTAAACCCTCCCCGCCCGGAGGTGCTGCTGCTGCCTTGCCTGGAGGTGTGAGCTTCAGAAGGTAAGCCGCCCAGACGGAATAATAGCCCTTTGTTGCCTGCAATGTGCAAATTACTGACGAAAATCTTGCTTGTACAGGCAAAGAGCTTCAAGAGCATGCGAGGTGCGTAACATGCGACCGGCCCGTCTTTTGTAGATGCGCGCGACCGACCCCAAATCCACGAGCCGAGGCACAAATGCTCTGGCAGCCCCTCATAATCAATCCGATTAAGAATCCCATGCTAACATGTTATCTTATACCCCGATTTAGACCTGCCATGCGAGAAAGGTACGCCGATGCGCTTCCACCTAATCCGATTGCTCAGCAAACGGTTGCAAAAAGTAGACCACAAGCCCCCTTACTAACAGCTGCGCAAACAGGTTCGTTGCGATGCCGCAAGTCTCGGTGTTCCGTGCACAAACTGCGTTGCTTTTCAAATCGAATGCCGAATTCCAACCCCAAAGCGCAAGAAGACACAGACCGGCAGTACCCAAGCTGGTAAAGACTCTGACAGGTTCGTGACAAATGCACCCCCTCACTGAACGGCGGCAAGCTGACCGGCTGCAGTGGCGGCGAAGAAAGCGAGCGCGCTTCAGTTCCTGCTCTCAGCGCAAGCTCCTACCATTCACAGACGCCAAATATTTCGCACTCCTCCGAAGGAACGCCTTCGACAACCTTGACAGAGGCGCAAGGTCGAAAGGATGATGTCGACAGCGGAACATATCTCAACATGGTGATGAAGCCAAAATTCACCCGTGCACCCATTACAGAAGCTGGCCGTGTCGCTTTCTTGGGCGAGTCATCCAACTTGACATTGCTTGTTCATGATCGCCAAGGCTCGTCCGATGTTGTTCACTACCCATTGCCAGAGAATATCCGTGGCTCTCGAGCTAGGCTTACAGAGCTGGACAATGTGGAAATCGAAATTCTTCACAAAAGAGGCGCGTTTTTACTACCGCCACGATCTCTTTGTGACGAACTAATCGATTCGTACTTCAAATGGGTCCATCCTATTGTGCCTGTTATCAATCGCACCCGTTTTATGAAGCAATACCGCGACCCGAAGAACCCGCCATCATTGCTGCTCCTCCAAGCGGTCCTTTTAGCAGGCTCTCGTGTTTGCAATAACCAGCAACTAATGGATGCCAATGGATCGACGACACCAGCAGCGTTGACTTTCTATAAACGAGCCAAGGCACTCTACGATGCCAATTACGAAGATGACAGAGTAACCATTGTACAATCCTTGCTTCTTATGGGTTGGTACTGGGAAGGACCCGAGGATGTCACAAAGAACGTATTCTATTGGAGCCGAGTTGCCACCATTGTAGCTCAGGGCTCCGGTATGCATCGTTCAGTTGAACAGTCTCAACTAAGCAAATCAGATAAGCGATTGTGGAAGAGAATTTGGTGGAGTCTCTTCACAAGAGACCGATCCGTCGCCGTTGCTCTTGGTCGCCCAGTTCATATCAACCTCGACGATTCCGACGTGGAAATGCTAACAGAAGACGACTTCATCGAGGATGATTCAGAGAGAGGTGGTGAATTCCCGCCCGATCCGATCCATGTCCAATTCTTCCTTCAATACGTCAAGCTTTGCGAAATCATGGGTCTTGTACTATCACAGCAATACTCGGTCGCATCGAAGGGGCGCCAACGCAACGCAATTGACCTGACACACAGCGACATGGCCTTGGCTGATTGGTTGCAGAATTGTCCCAAGATCGTCTATTGGGAGATGCCCCGACACCACTTTTGGTCTGCCCTCCTGCACTCCAATTACTACACAACACTCTGCCTTCTTCATCGAGCGCATATGCCCCCTCATGGTGCTAGCAAGACGCTTGATGATTCGCCGTATCCATCCCGAAATATTGCATTCCAAGCCGCAGCTATGATTACTTCCATTGTCGAGAATCTTGCTGCCCATGAACAACTCCGATATTGTCCAGCTTTCCTCGTATACAGTCTGTTCTCTGCGCTTATTATGCACGTTTATCAGATGCGATCACCGGTCCCATCTATCCAACAAGTTACACACGATCGACTTCGAAGCTGCATGCAAGCAATGAAGGAGGTTTCTCGCGTCTGGCTTGTTGGAAAAATGGTATACACTCTATTTGAGTCCATCATTGGGAATAAGGTTCTGGAGGAGCGACTACAAAAAGCAGCTGGAAAACGACACAAGAAGTCACAACAAGCCATGGCGAACTTGGAGCAGCATAGCAAGAACCAAGATGCATCAAAGCGCAAGTTTGATGACATAGCCATGGACTTTACGGTTAACGTGCCGACGCCCCAAGAGTCTTATGAACGATCTAGACCGCAAACGCCAAGTGCAAACAAGACCGAAACCCAGGGTGCGATGAACCCACCCGCATCCCCTGCACGCAATAACGCTTCTGATACCTTTATGGGAGGCACCAGCTCGCGACCTCAGACTCGACCTGCTACTCCGTTCAACCCATCATTCTCAGTTCCAGCAACACCTCCAGACTTGTATTTGGTTACCCGAAACTCTCCAAACTTGTCACAAGCAGTTTGGGAGAATTTCCAGCCAGACCACCTCTTTCCCGAAGGCTCAGCAATGCCAGCGATGCACACCATGTCTCCTCAGCAAAACCACCCCGGTATTGATCCTAGTATCATGGGGCAGATGAGCGGTGGTGACATGCATGGTGGTCAAGTACCCCCGCAGCAATTCCGCGACGTTAACCAGCATGGCAATGGCATGGGCGCTCCTATGCCTGGATTTTCAAACCAACAGGGTAACCTGTGGCAGGGTAACTTTGACGGCGCGATGCAGGATGGCCAAAGCCCGGATAGCTGGAGCACTGGCTCCGCAGGTGGTCAACCGGTGCCAACTACATTAAATGTCGAAGACTGGTAAGTATCTTGTACTGTACACACTTCGATGGACAATGCTAACGTGTGGCTTTTCTGTTATAGGTTCCAATTTTTCGGACTACAAGGTGACCCTAACCAGCTGAACTTGGAAGCATTGAGCGAGAGGATGCAATAGAATGCTTTCTGATCAATGACAGCATATGGGAGTGCGGATATGTACGGTTACTTATTCGCAAGAGTAGAGAGAATATGGCGTCTTGATGTTTTGTTTTATTGTACGAGGGCTTGTTTATCAATCAACTCATGTCGCATACATGACATTTTGGGCGATGGCTGTAGATATCTTAAAGGAATGATGACTTAGTACGCGAATTCAATCCTAGCATATATTGGAGGTGAAATCCATTACTTGAATCTATTGAATTAGTGAGCAATTTTATTTGCCAAAGCTCCTGTTACCGTCAGAGACATAAGCAGCAGCGGTGCATTGCTGTCGTTCACCTTATGCTCCGTTTCATCTGCACGGTTCTAGCGGGCACGGGCCTCATCTAGTGGACCGCAGTGGTCCGCAGTAGCCCAGCGTTACTGCCAGATTCAGCGCTGCACAGTGACCTGCAATAGGGCGTTCAGGCGGGGGAAGCTGCTACAGGTGTGCTGTAGTGGAGTGGAGCATACGCAATTGGAGCCGACAACAGCCTGAAAGAGGGGCGGCAATCGGGGCTGGCGTTCGGCCCCAAACAACGCTAGCGTCTGAACACCTTCGTACTCAGAAGCACCACATCATTACGTTTCCCTTCTCGCCTCTCCCTTCAAACACCGTCCCGACCCGTCGCGCTCATCGCAGCTTGCATCTACCAATTTGCAGCTGTTGAAGCTTCCTTCACTTTCAAGTATCGCAGTGCTCACGCTGACTCACCAGCTCAGCCTGCCGGACGACGCGCGCCAGCACACCGCAGCCGAGGCGTAATCTACTTGGCTCCTTGCAGCCGGCTAACACTTCAGCACCCAGACGATTATAAACAACAGTGCTTGAATTGAATTAAACTTGATATAAAGTAGCTACAGCCTTGCATCCGGATGCGAACGGTCCAACTGTGCCGCGAGCTGCCGTTATCGACACGTTCGCGGGCAACATGACCGGCCGCTCTGGAGCAGAAGCGGCTGGGTCAGTCCGCCCAAGACACCGGCGCCTAGTCAGCGCGGAAGCCTATCAATCAACGACAGCTTCGAAAAATCACCAGGAGTCGACTTCCATACCACGACCTCCCACAGATCAGAATGGCAGCATCGGCCAATTCTTTGAGGATTCTATTTCCCAGAGCTGGATGTCCGTGCAAGGGCTAGCATCCTCCTTCATGGGCACCGGCGAAGGAAGCTCGAAAGGAAGCAGATACAGTTCGCCAGCCCCTAGAGATCGGGCGAATCCTAGTCAGCACGCACGAAGCATGTCTACCAACAATAAGGCATCGTCAGCATGGGGACCTCAGCCGCCGAACAGCACTCTAACCATCGCCGACGTTGCTGCAGGGTCCATGGCCCAGAGGGATGCAGCTCTACGAGCAGCGAAGACAGCTAGCGTTTTAGAGAGCCACGATGGTGTTAATGGCGGTCTTGACATTGTTGGGAAGCATAAACGACGAAACTCAAACGATATGGCTTCGAACGACGCCCCGCCCGACGAATATTTAGTCTATGTTCACCATGTCCAAAAGTCCGACACGTACGCTGGAATTATACTACGATACAAGTGTGGAGAAGACGCATTTCGGAAAGCAAATGGTCTATGGTCGCGGGATAGTATACAGACACGCAAATGGTTAACACTGCCGGTAGATACCTGTGAGGTACGCGGCCGGCCATGTGACGCGCCTTCGTGGAGTAATGCGCATAGCGTTGATCTTCTAGCTCGAACGCCGTCAGGAGCCGAAACCCACAACAAAATGGCCATGGCCGCTGCAGAAGACGACTTCTTCTCGAGCAAATCCGTAACACCCGCCGAACGAGTCGAAGAGGACAAGCGGCCGTGGACACATGTACGCTGGGTCAAGATTGATTCAATGAGAGAGCCTGTTGAGGTTGGACGAATTGCAAGACAATCTATGGGATACTTCCCGCCGAGGAGGAAGCAGAGCCTTACCTCCGCGTCATCACGGAGGCCAAGCATCGATCTACTAGATGCGGTCAGCGATACACCCCAACGCCGGGATAGTATGCGGAGCAACCGACCGCAGCTTTCCAGTACGCCACTATCTAATGCCAGTAGAAGCCGCGGGAATAGCGATGTTGGAGATGCGCGACCAGCTTGGATGCGTCGGCCGGGTGGGGTTGGTACTATGAGTCGTAAGACGAGGGCTCCCGGACCGGCGAATGATAACTTCAACAACTGGGCTTCTAAACACTTTCCAATGCTGAAAACAGACGATATGCCGTCCATGTCCGTCATGGACTCCGAAGTACTTCGCTTTGGTTTCTCCAACGATTCCGCTGCTATTGCCGAAAGCTCGTTCGAACAAGGTCGAACTGCTGAGCCAACAGGTCGCCATGGCACTGGTCTGGATCGAGCAGCAGCAGCTGTAGAGACCTGGCTACGAGGAGCTTTGTCGAAGCGACCTAATACACCGCTCCTCGGCGCGCGACGGCACGGAAGCAGCTTCGGCAGTAACCCCGAAGTAGACTTCATCGAACTGGCAGACACGGCGAGCGATGATGGGCGGCTAGCAGATACCGGTACTTCCTTACTCGGTCCTATCGTTGCAGGCACTACAGGACGCAGCGATGCTTTCGGAACAGTAACGCCCAGAATCAGTTCTGGGAAGGCTAAGAAGGATGATTAATTGGCATTTTGCGTGCGAACTGGATTCTAAGTTAGTACAGCACCGGCGTTCTATCAACGGGTTACTTTATTATGTTTATTTGTCTGTTATTGGGTTGCATGTTGTTTTCTATTTTATTTACGTGGTATAATCTTAAATGCATTATACAGACCTCATACTTTTATTTTATATTTGGTGCATGGCGCTACAACTCGATATGATCTGGAAATCTAACTAGCTTACACATGAAGTGGCTGTCGGAGCTAGTGCCCCTTGGTCTTGGTGGTAGCGTAGTGGGTTACAGTATCCCGCCGCGTCGTGACAAGCTCTCGCAATCCTCACCTCCTTTCCTTTTCAACAAAACACTGCCACGCTGCCCTAGCGCTGTTCCAGAGAATGCAAATTGCCTAAACCACATTTCAGAACCTTGGTACGATCGATTAGCAGCTACAATACGACTGCCACACGCCAACGAGGGGCGGAAATGCCGATTTGCATAGAGTGCCGCCACCCGGTCAAGACGCTCTGGACGAAATATTCTGGCGGCGCAGGCGACAAGAGCGGGCATAATATTCGACTTACAGTTTGCAGAAAATGCGGGCGCTTCTGCGATAAATATGTCGAACATGACTTTGTCGTCCTATTCATTGACCTGGTCCTCATAAAGCCGCAGGTAGGGAGTCTCGGGGGATGCGCAACCAGACTAGAGCTAACCGACGTCGCCTTGGCAGGTCTACCGACATTTACTACATAATACATTAATGCGCGATGGCGATCGATTCGATGTCAGTATATGGGACTACAAATACGTTCAGCGGACCTGTTTGCGCTAACTCGAGAGATTCATACAGCCCTCCATTATTCGACTCGGTGTTCTACTACTTCTCTTTGATGTTTACCTTACTTGGGCAAGAATAGAGAAGCAGTCTATTCCAGGCATTGCCCTGGGCGAAAGTAATCTCGGAAAGCTTGGACAACAGCCTATTGTCTTCCAATACTTCTTCTTTTGTATGGCGCCTCGAATCTCTCGCCGAGAGTTGTCTTTTCTCAGCAAAGCTAACATGATCGTAGTAATCCTTTGCGCATTATCAACAATAGCATTTCACATCAGTATCCGGTTCCTCGTCTCTTCGAGGTTCTCGCCGCTGAATGTGCTGGGGATCCTACCCCGATATCCACGACCCAATTCCGTTTCGACTGCTCTGTTGGTGTCGTCGTCAACCAAACTATTTCCAATTCTGATGGTCATTTGGCAATTTGATGTTCCTGCAGCTGCTCATTCACTGGGCTGGGCAGTTGTCGCAAATAATGTAGAAGCCGTCAGGATATTGCTAGACTGTCCTTATTATACTGCCTGTCTTCTTGCCCTCGTTGGCGCTGCTGCACGGTGGGGAGTCGGCAGACTTATAATGGCAGCTGCAGGCCTAGGCAATTTGGATTCCATTAGTGACGCTAGATTAGTCAATGATGGCGAAGAGCTATGGTCTCTGTTGGCGTATGTGAGAGAATGGGGAGGCCGCTTGGCCGTGGGTTAGTTACCGACACTGCATATTAATGAATATCACGCATATTGACACCGAAAACATAAACACCAATAGTTTAATCATTATTTTTTGAACATCTAACAGACTGCGCAGATATTATGTACATGGAGAGAATGGCCACGGTGCAAACGACTGGGTATCGTATGCAACGAACCAAGCTCTTAACTCTGTCTAGCAGCCGCAGGAGCTGTTACAGTGCCAGCTCGAAACAAATAACGCCTGTTATAACCCGGAATGATGGTGTATAGTCGTACACTCCACTAAAACAGTAGGAGGGGGCAAATGGAAGGGACTGGTCCAACCGCGACGAACGGCCGTGCTTCGTAGTGGGAAACCGTCCGCGCCAACCGCATAAAGGGTCATATTATCAATATCCGGTAGTTTATTCCAAGTAATCAGATCGGAGATCGTTTCGTTTCGGGGCAGTCAGGGGATGGAGCTGTGCGAGGAAGGTAATTGCCCACATGAGGTAGCAACTGACGATAGCTAGGATGAGTGACGAGCGCCACATACTGCAGCGAATCGCAGGTCAGCATTTTGCAGAACAAGATGTTGCGGAGGTCAGCTTGGTATCTTACACTTGGTATTCGCCCTTGGGTGCCAGGAACCACGAAGCGGCGCACAAGCCGAGGATAATGAAGAGGCCGATGAAGATGGAGTATCTGCGCAGAGGAGGTCAGCATGCATGCATCAAATGGGCGTGCCCATTGGCGCTAATATAGCCCAAGAGGTTATTTTGTCGTACCCGGAAGCCATTTTGGATATATTAATCGGTAGCGGTCGCGTATTCGAGCGGTTGGGGGAGAGGTAGCTGCGTGGAGTTGTTTGCCGTTAAGTTGCGTTGCTTTGCGTCGTGGCGAGCTCAAGCTCCGAGTTGCAGCCAGCAAATATGCTTAGTCATTTCTAGGCGACGTTGTACATAGCGACGTCACCAAGCTCAACACCTCTAATAGAACATTATAATTATAATTTATTGATATGTTTATTATTATTTATTATTCTTACTAGTCTGAAAGGATTATGTATTTTAAATTAATTGTCTATGCTGCAACCTCAAACTTCAAGCCCGCCTTCAGACGCGCGGCGCCATAAATGCCAGCAATGTCACCAGTTGGTCCACTGTGCTCTTTCAGCGCAGCGAGGTTGGCGTCAGGAGCATCGAGGGTGGTCATCTGGGCGCCAGAAGCTTCAGCGAGAGCTTTCGCATGTCTAATATCCTTTCGGGCTAAATCAACTGCAAACAGGGGCTCCGAGCGCTTGTGGTAGTCGCCTGTGATCATCCTCGTGCTGTATGCTGTGTACGGGCCTGGGAACAGCGATTCAACAAGCTGGTGGATGGGCTGTGTGCCCAATCCAGCCTTTTCCGCCAAAACGTGAGCCTCCGCGAGCTGCTCAACCATGTTGAAGACAAATGTGTTGCCAATGACCTTTAGCGTTGTTGCCTTGCCGTATGGCTTGTCCGAGAGGTCGATCTCGGCCCTCGATGTCACACCCTTGAACCAAGGTCGAGCTCGGTCAACGCTGGCTTTTGGCCCCGCCATTACGGCAATGAGATGGCCAGTATCCGCTGCAGCCGGTGCTCCGAAGACTGGGACAGCTGCGAATTCCGCTCCCTGTGCTGTAACCTTGGCTGCAATAGCTTCGGTAGTGTCGGGGTGTATGGTAGAGCACTCGACGAAGAGCTTGCCTTTGATGTCTCCCTGGAGGGCAGTGACAATTACTTCGTTTACAGCCTCATCATTTGCAATGCAGGTGAAGATGACGTCCGCTTTTGCTATCGCATCGGGCAAGGACTGTACGACTTCGGTTTTGCCAGCGGGAAGAGCGGCACTAAGGTCGATGGCTCGTTGCGACGATCTGTTGTAGATTAAGAGTGGTGATGTCAGGTTTCCTTTTTCGACAATGTTCTTGCACATGCCCTATGGTAATAATTAGTAAAGATGCGGTACTAAAAAGGGATATGATGTGTAAATAACGTACGCGGCCCATGTTGCCCAGGCCAATCCATAGTAGTGTTGGAGTCGCCATAATTGCTGTAGTTCTGTGTGGATGGTAGAGCGAATTTGCTTAATATTACTGTTTTATGTATGTCTGGTGACTTGGTGTAGTTGTAATGATCTCGAATCTCTTGGTAATACCGGTCTGATTTGAAATCGAAAGGGTTCAAAGAGGGGTAGCTGTAGATGGCCCATTCTCTTTTAGTGACGTTCATGCATCCACCGCATCTTAGCGCCGCTCTTGGTGACGTCGATCGGGCACAGTCGGAGCTGTCGGACCCTGAAAGCCACGCTTCTACAGGGCTTCTACAGCGGGGACGGCGCCGCTACGGCAGTGCTTGTGCCGTGTTGGCTGAATGCAGCACTGATCGCCGCGGGAATTAGCAGGTGAAATATGCCGTGAAGAAGGGAGCATCGTTTTTAGGAGAGTGATTTTATTTCGTATACACTCCAAATTTGTTTTAAATACTTTGCATGCTTCTCATCTTCACCGTCGCCAACAAAATCGCCCATCTCATTTACTAGCACCTGCTCTACACCACCTTTCACCGACTCCGGCAGAATTACCGAGAGCGGTAATCGGCCTACTGAGCAGTCAACAAAAAAATAGCTTGAGTCACTTCTTCCCACTTATACAGCTTTGCGGGAATGGTTTGAACATCTGGTGCTGTGCAACAACCAATTCGATTTTTTCAAACTCTTCTTACATATTTCCCCTCATCCGCCCACTCGTTTATCCGCCCGGCATGGCATGGCACTGACAGAAAACCGCCCGGTTGTCAGCACCGCTACTCTTTAAACTAACCCTTGCTTGCTCACCCTCCAACTCTGCCGCCTTTTCATATTCCGTCACCGCTTCATCATGAGTTGGATTCACGCGGCCAAAAGAACCACCACGTTGCCCTCATCGACATGTGCCAAATGCAGCGCTCGAAGACTCAGTGACAAAGCTCGCGTGCCACACGAGCCTTTGTCCACCACTTCTACCTCTCTCGCTCCGTCCTCTAAAGCTGTTGAGACAGTACGCCTCATATCTTCATCGTCCTCTGTGGCTCGTTTACGAAAGCAAGCGCTCGATAGAGTAAGTATTCAAGTTTTTGCCAACGAAGCAACCAGGAAGCAGCTGACCAGAATACACAGGACGTCCTAGTTTCTGTACTTGAGGCATCCGCTACAAAGCGTGACGCCAAGGGCTATCTTCAAAAGTACACTCTCAACAAGAACAAGGGCCTTTCAAAGAAAGAATCCAATGTCCCGATTGAACCAGAACCGTCATCAGGCTCCGCCGCGAGGGGCAACGTAGCAGTTGTCCTTCTACGCGAGCCACAGCTGTTGTCTGACGAAGTTCTTGACGGAGTGGCTCACACGTTTGTTCAACTTCGATCCTTGGGCCTGGTCAGCACCATTATCGTCGATTGCGGAACGCAATGTGACAGAAACATATTCGACGAGCAGAGCATGCGGCTATGCCAAGCCATTGACTCTTACAGCAAGCCTGGTGCCAAGGTCCTCGATGAGATGTTCTTTAACTCGTCAGAGTCCCATTCACTCACAGTAGATGACAGGGGGTTGCTTGTGAGGGCATTGGACCAGGACTTGATTACTATTATTCCGTCCCTGGCTTCTCCTGACTCTATATCAGCCACTCAGCCAGCTGATGCACCTTCTGCGATTGTTGCCCTTATAACGTACATAACCGGTATGCAGAAGAGCCCCGTTCGAACAGCACGAAATATCGAAGTCCCGCCGACATCAATTGCCTCAGTCGAGCGCATTATCGTTTTGGACTCAATTGGTGCAACTCCGATGTTAGGGAATTCTGGAGTTCGCCATCGCTTTATCAACCTAGAACAAGAGTTTGATGGTCTTATTGATCAGCTCAAAGGTAAGGGTGGTGGTATGGCTTCAACCAACCACGCATCAAATCTCAGCTTGGCCAAACAGGCTCTTTCGATCCTTCCAGCATCGGCGTCCGCGCTTATTACAAGCCCTTATGCCGCCGCTAACACACATCTTCAGTCAGCCGCAACTGCTCAAAAAGAAACCGAATCATCATGGGAGTTTGAAGACATGGTCACAACACGAAAGAAACAAAATCCGTTGTTATACAATCTCTTGACTGATAAACCACTATTCTCATCCTCGCTTCCATTCCAGCGGGTTGCCAATGGCCAGCAGCACACAAGCCCGTCCAATTCTTCAGCAGCAACGCTTGTCAAAGTTGGGCTTGCGTTAAGTATTTATCCTGATCCCCGCAAAGCGCCTTGGACCCCTTCAAAACCAGGTTCGACACCGCAACGGCTGACGGATTCTTGCGTTGATCTCCCAAGGCTTATCCACCTTATCCAAGATTCATTTGATCGAAAACTAGATGTGGACGACTATTTGAACCGCGTTAAAGATAACTTGGCAGGCATTATCATTGCCGGTGAATACGAAGGTGGTGCTATTCTGACATGGGAGAAGCCGGATCATCTTACCCACGAAGAAGCATATAAGCAAGGTCGTTACGTGCCTTACCTTGATAAATTTGCTGTTCTTAAGTGCCGACAAGGTAGTGGAGGTGTGGCAGATATCGTCTTCAACGCCATGGTTAGGGACTGCTTCCCCTATGGTGTCTGTTGGCGAAGCCGCAAAAATAACCCTGTCAACAAGTGGTATTTTGAACGCTCCATCGGCACCAGCAAGTTGAGCGAAAGTAACTGGGCCATGTTTTGGACTACACCAGGCTTGGAGATGGATGGACAGAAGCTGAAGGACTATGAGGCTGTTTGTCGGAGTGTTCAACCATCTTGGGCAGATAACAAACATGTCGTGGACTAGCATTCCGCCTCGGACCATGTGGGAGTGGCTCAAGCACAAGCGGCGGCCGTGGAATCCCCATAGCCATATGCAACATATAGTAAACATAATAATTGAAATCAGGTGCCAGATTGCTACCTGATATTGGTAAATGAATTGCCTAACAACCCTACCTGCATCATCTTAAAAGTTCATGCCCAAGATATGTACCCAAAATTCGAACCATCGTATCTCTTAGCCTATGAAGATGTTATAAGTCGTTTTATACGGTAGTTGGAGAGGATCTTAGAAAAGCCAATAATTCTCTGTTGGAGCATTTTATAAACTAAGCTTTCTCCTAGCCTAGGCTCAACCACAATTAAGAGGGGTTCAATAGTCTCAATGTCAACTTTTCTGTTTGGTGTTCGTCGAGGCCGAGGTCTTATGTTTATGGAGTTTACTTGTAACCTAATAAGTCTTTTATGTATTTGTATTCGACCAGGTATATACTAGAATCTCTGCCGCAACAACCAGCCCTAGGATAGATTGCTCGTCCTGCTATGCCTCCAATAGCGTTCTAGTTCTTTAGTGTAAAGTCACTGATAAACGCAGCGTGGTGGAGGGCCACTCGTTGTTAGGCGAGCCAGGATTGTTGTTCCCAACAAGATAAGGGTCCGATACGACGGGTGTGACGCCACCAGCGTAATAAATAAAATCCAGACGATCCTGGGGCGCATCGGGATGGATGGGGGACCAAGTGTTGGCAGGGTACGCCACAGGAGATGGGTGCAGATGGCGGAACGAGTCAATGAGGCCAGCATCTACGGGGATCTTGGACGTGGGCCAAGGAGTGTAACCGACGCCACAGTGCAAGTTTCTAGCGGCATCAGTCCAGTCGAGGTGGGAAGAGGCGTTGAAGTCGCCGGCCAGGAAGACAGGAATGGCCTCAGCATTGCTGATTTGAGGCTTCATGGCGTTGACGATATCACGGATCTGAGGAGTACGGCCAGACTGCTCTTCCCGCTGGAAAACCTGACTCTGGCTCATGTGCGAGCGGCAAAAGTCGTAAGGGCCGTAGGGATCATATCCCAAATAGGCGCTCCAGAAGATGCCCTGGTTGGCATCACCGTCAAATGAGACGAGAGCAGCAGAAGCCCAGCTAGTGCCATTTAGCGGCGTCAGAGGGTAACGGCTGAGAACGGCTGTATCACTGACCCAGCTAAGTCCGTAACCAAAAGTCTTTGCTAGGCGCTGGCCAGCAATACGAGAAGTCTCCTGCAGCGCAATGACATCGGGGTTGACTTTGGCAATGATGCCAACCTGCTTGTGGTGGTAATCGTTGATAGGCGTTCCAGCGACCCAGAGGTTCATGGTGAAGAAGCGCAGGTTCTTGACAAGAGGCTAGCCCTGGGCAACACAGGGGATGCTGACTTCCAGGTTGGCCGTGGAGCCATCCTTGGCAGTGGCCTGAACCGTAACAACAGAGGTGCCAGACGAGCAAGTCGAGATGCCGGAGAGAGTACCCTCGTTGTCGACACTGACCCAGTCGCCGTTCGTCTCGCCAATGATTTTGAAGGCGGGCGTTTCAGCACGGGGCTTGATCAGACCGCGAATGCTGGCTTCAAACTCGTCACCTTCGCGGGCATTCTTGGTGGTGAACTTGTCGATGCGGAAGCTGACAGGGCCAGTATCACCTTGGTAGGTGATTTGCAGTTTCGCTGCGATTGGGGTGTATCCGTTCTTGCCGAGGAAGAAGACGTCATAGTCGCCCGGGAGGAGAGAGTCGGCAGGGATGGTAACACTTCCGCTGGACCCCGGAGCATACTTGTAGCCGTAGTAGTTCTCGGTACCGGGCTTGGTAGTGCCGTGGACATAGAGGGCGATCCAGTTGCTGTTATCGGGGACATTGGTCTTATAGTCAAAGGTCAATGCCTTCTTGTCCGGACGGTAGGTGACTGTAGAAGAATACACGGGGCTAGCGTGCACCTTGGCAGGGCCAGCAAGCACCGTGTAGCCGTTCTCGGCCAGAAGCCAAGCGTAATAGTTGCCCTCAGGAACAGAGTTGCCGTTGATGTAGGCGCTGCCGCTGCGGCTGGGGGCCCAAGCCCATGCTGAGTAGAGGTACTTTGTGCTCTCGTTGGTTGGCGTCTTGCCGCCCTCGTAGATGGCGACCCAATTCGTCGAGTCCTGCGCCGAGGTCGAATACTGGAAAGTCATGGACGCCTTGGTGGCATCGACAGTCAGGGAATCGTTGGCCGCAGCCAGGCCTACGAGGCCGGCGACGGTGTACGCAACAGTGCTCCAGAACTTCATCCTCTGCAGCGCTCTAGAAGAATTCCTGGTTCAACTTGATGGAGAAAGGAAAAGGGCAACGATGCCGCTCTGTGTACGGTCCCAATAAATCCACTGGTGGCAATGGTTCTAGAGCAGAGGAGAATACGCAACAAAGCGAGGAAGTAGAAGATGATTATGACGACGGAATTGAGGACGACCAGCGATCACAAAGCGCACGGGACTCGGGATTTCCATATACAGTCCATTATGATGGGATAGAATCGCGAACTCTTTGCTCACGGTATCCTGTCCTCGGACCGAATATTAAGCACCTGAAGCTCGAATCCTGCGTTATGGACGCGCGAGCCTATAAAGTGTTTTTCCGCAACATGAAGCATCTCAAAACACTGCACTTTGACTACTATCAGAAAGATTGGTTTGGCAGACAATGGGACATTAATGGATTTGTTCGCAGCCTTGCCAACGCAGTTGGTTCTACGCTGGAAACGCTCGTCTTGACTGATGGCTACATATTCACGGGCAGTCATCTTATCTCGTGGCATATGCACGGCTCTAAAGTTCTAAAGCACATGGAGCTTAGCACTGTCTTTTTTACGAACGGTAGAAAATCGGCGGGCGAATCTAATGATGATGAATTCGATCATCTTAATCCGGGCTATGTGGTGCGGCCGTTATTCAAGTTGCTGCCTCCTAGTCTCGAATCCTTCAAGCTAGATGTGCTGTCCAGCCACTTGGAAACTGTGAAGCAACTATTTCGAGGCTTTCAAAAGAACCGAACCGAGTCCCTGCCTCGACTGACTATGGTGGAATTGCATGTACGTACTTGGGACCCTTGGAATCAAGAATTTCCAAATAAGGACGCCCAAGCCACTGCTATTAAAGCATTTGCTGATAGCATCGGGCTCACCACGGTTATCAGAACATACTAGTCAATTTAGTCACAATAAAAGTTTCAGTTATTGTGGTAATATGGTGTCACTGTTGTAATATATCTGAAGAGTTCATGATTCGATAATATTGCTCGGCTTTGTGCCGTTTAACCTAGGTCGCCAGCATTACATAGTGACGCTTGTCCTGGATATGGCTGGAACCTGCTGTTCTTTACTGTTTCTTCTCTGCCAACGCCGTGAATAACCTTATATAGAATTTGGATATTTGCGGTCCAGTGAACGTGAGATCTTCCAAAAAGTATTCTGGCAAGACTTTCATCAGTTCAGCATCGCGGCCGTCCTGGATTTGTGGGCTGAAGGTATATTTCGTTTCCGAATACCTTGAACCAGGATCTTCCTTTTCTTGGGAGAGGGTGAAATGTAGCGCTAGAAAAAAAGAAAAAAAGTGTAAGTAGTTGCCAAAGAAGTTGCGGTGCTAGTAAGAGACACTCACTTCCATTACGGCTTGACTGTAAGCAGTCAAATACGTTTTCGCCGTCTTCTTCTTTGACATTTCTGATAATGAGACTTGTCAGAGAGCTGTACAACTCCTCCTTAGCTTGTGAAATATGCATAAGCTCGGATTGCCCGGTCAGGTTCTTATTGTTGGCCGTGCTTGGTTTCGGAGCGGCGGCGGTGGCTTTGGCTGCGGCCAATGCTGTGGCTTCTGCTGCGCGGCTAGCAGCCAGTTTTGCCTTGAGCGACTGTATCTCCCGCTGAGACTCGTTTAAAGAGCCCGTCAGGTTGCTAATCTTGGATACAAGATTGTTGACATTGGCTTCGCTTTCGTCCAGTTGGCTTTGCAGCGCTGATGTGTCCCGTGTAGATCTTGTTTGGTCTTTGATTTGATCTTGGAGGGCGCTGATGAGCTTACTCGATGCTAGAGGGCATAGTAGTTAGCATGGTACCGTCCCGGTCGTAAGACACTATGGCTGTGTGTGTATGCTTACAGGTTTCGTTGTCTTCCATTTGCTTTTTAAGACGATCAAAGTTTCGCTCCGCCGCTTTAATACCAACGTCTTTAAGCTCATTGTATCTGTTTTCCAAACTGGTGTAATCTTGTGATAGCTCGTCAAATTTCCGTTTCAAAGCACTTGTCTCTGATGACTTAGAGTCGGCTCGGCTGGTAGGAGCAGCATCTGTGTCGGAAAGCTCTGTTGTCTGGTACAAGGGCGCAGATCTCTTATACTGGCCACTAGGAGCGACTTCGCGCACAATACTCTCATGTCTGCTTCGGGGAGGAGGCGACTGTCGTCGCACCTGTTTTGGTGGGCTCTCCCAGCCAATGTCTACCTCGTCGGCGCCGCTCAGCTCAGCTTCGTCATCGCTCCAAGTATCAGGAGCTTTTGTGTAGGTCGACTGTGTGTTTGAATATTTCTTTTCGTTCAGCGCCTTTCTACCGGGAGACCGAGACCCGGCGTGAGTCTTTTGACGCGTGCTGGTCGCGAGACTCTTTGTGCCTCTAAGAGAAGAGGTAGGGCGAGAAGTAGCGCGTTTCGTTGTTGTAGTCGACGATCGATGAGTTGTTTTTTCTAGTCCACCAAAGTCCGACTCAGAATCTGAGCCAACAAATCCGGAGAGGCCGCCTCCAGCCCTCGCGATTCTAACCATGTTGCGACTGATGGTGGGGGATGTGATGCGCTAGAATCCACAGCGTGAGCTAAGCTGGGCGTGTTGAGTTTGAAGCGGTCGAAAACGTGATAAAGGAACCGAAGCGAATCAATGCAATAGACTTCTAATTGGCAGCCAGAAGAATGTAGCGCACAACTCAAAAGCAGCGAGCGTCGATTAGTTTGGTGGTGGTCGCCAAAGTGGGATGCATTACTTCCACTTTCAGCCAAATGTAAACAAACCCATGGCATCCCACGAGGCGCTAGCCACAACCAACAACCCACCAAAAAAAAAGTGGCTGCCGTGGCTCAAGGTGTAAGCAGGTGCAACGCGCTGTGTGGGGTGTCTACACGACAAGCTTAGCTGTTTCTCATGTATCCAAGCTTCTTCAATTCTTCCAACGCTCTCTCCTTGACCGCTGCTCTCTCATGTTGATTAAGCAGGCTGTACCATGCAAAGTTGTAGTCGCGGCTTTGGTTACAAAACGGAGGCCTCCTTGATTTCTGTCTTCTTTCAACTAAACCGTAGCCTCTTAGCCTCTCCTCCGACCAGTACACAAAGCCATATGGTGCAAAGTTGTCAAAGGGGGTGAGCGAGGGAATGCTAAAGAGGATTTCCAATGGGAAGGCATCCAGCGCGAGCACGGCCATGACATTGATCGAGGTGGCATTGAACCGCGAAGAATTGCATTGTGGGCCAGTAGCCTTATACACATCTTTAATCTCTCTCTTTCTCTCTAGTAGGGGATATATTCCGTGTACAGGCACTGGCTACTTGTTACCCGAAGGACGAAGTACATGTTTACAGAGTGTGCGAATGGAGTCGTCTTGATGTAAAGGCTATCAGCAAAGCCTTTTAAAAACATCTAAATAAAAGAAACGCAAATAAAAGTAGTAGTATTTATTGAAGAAAACAGAAAACCCTGCATTTAAACAGCAGAAGTAAATATTTAAAGCCCAGTTTAGACCATACAGCAAGAAAGAAACAAGTTAGTGTATTTTACTCTTTTATATCTAAATTCTAATTAGTTATTCCATCTATCAATGTGGCTGCCCCTGCGTAGCTGTTTCTCACACAGCCGGCTACCGAGGATGCAGGGTGCGGGTCGCCACAAGCAAATTGATGGATGCGTGGTGCAGGTACTCTGCTGGTATCGCCTTGCAGCCATGTCGGCAGAACAGTACCCATCCGGTACCTGAATCGGGCAGCCACGAGCCGCCCGTGGTGGGTGACGCGACCAAGCCCGTTCTTTTCTGTCCTCCTCGTTTTCCTCACATTAACATTTTTCTTCTACTCAACGCAAGTTAGAAGCGAGACGACTGGCAGGATCCTGTCGTTGGGAGCTTTGTCTCGGAGGTTTATTTACCTTTTCGCTTCATCATCTGATGCCCGAAAAGACAGCCCACTGGCTGCGCCTGTTCGCCGGTATGGGAGAACGTCGCAAACTCGGCGATGTGGCCCTGGACCTTTTACTGTTTGCTGGCATGGTTCGTATTGATATATTAGAGCCCTTGGATATCTCTTTTAGGAATACTAACATCCTGTGGCAGATGACGGCCGGCTTATACATCACTCGAAATTTCCTCAACCCCCTACTCAGCAATCTTGCCGATCCCGACAAAGAAAAGCACGAGCAGGCCCGACGACAGGCAAAGGCGCACCTCGAGCGCTTGAACCGTCGAAAGAATGCAGATGGCCTTGAGAGCAACGAGAACAGCTCAGAGGACCGGGCCAAAGTAGAGGATCTCGTGCTCAATGAATACGAAAACTTGGTAGCGCTGGAGATGGTTGCGCCAGAAGATATCCATGTTGGTTTTGATGGTATGAACACCGCGCTCTGCATACCTTGCTTGTATGCTGTCATTGTACTAACACAATATACTTCTAGATATCGGTGGCTTGGATATGATCATTGAAGAGTTGAAGGAGTCAGTCATTTACCCTCTGACTATGCCGCATCTCTATGCTCACGGTTCTTCCCTTCTATCTGCACCCTCTGGCGTCTTATTATTTGGCCCCCCTGGCTGTGGTAAGACGATGCTTGCCAAAGCTCTTGCCCATGAAAGCGGTGCTTCCTTTATCAACTTGCACATTTCGACTATGACTGAGAAGTGGTACGGTGACTCCAACAAGATCGTCCGCGCCGTCTTCTCTTTGGCGCGTAAGATGCAACCGGCTATTATTTTCATTGATGAAATCGATGCCGTCCTTGGTACGAGACGAAGCGGCGAACATGAGGCTAGCGGCATGGTCAAGGCTGAGTAAGTTCTTTGAATTAGGTCTTATTCCACGAATGAACGCTAACAGTGGGCTAGATTTATGACTCTATGGGATGGCTTGACGTCATCCAACTCCTCTGGTATGCCTGCTCAGATCGTTGTACTTGGAGCCACCAACCGAATCCACGATATCGACGAGGCCATTCTCCGACGCATGCCGAAGAAGTTCCCAGTACCACTCCCCGGTCAACAGCAGCGACGCAAGATCTTGGAACTCGTCCTCCAGGACACAAAGACAGACGGTGACAACTTCGACATTGACTACATTGCAAAGCTTACCGCTGGCATGTCTGGTAGCGATATCAAGGAGACCTGCCGTGATGCGGCAATGGCCCCTGTCAGAGAGTTTATGAAGGAACATAGAGGTTCTGGACGATCCATGAACAAGGTAGATCCAACCCAGTTCCGCGGCGTCCGCACCGATGACTTTTTTGGAAATCACGGCGGCCAGTTGCCAAAGGGTTCCGGTGGTAGCCGAAAACAGGCGTCCAGAAGTACCAAGTCGACGAGCCGAGCATCCAACAACGACGATGATGAATATGAAGATGTCGATGAGCTGGTTGTTGAGGAACAGGACTAATCCCACGTCTTATATTAGAATCACATATCTGTATAATAAGTTAGAAGCCTGTTAGCGACCGCCCGCGCTGATCTACGACTGCTTCTAAGTGGAAGCTTGGATCGTGGGTATTCACGATGGTAAAAATCTCATGTCAAATCTAGATATCTAGCTCCTTTCGCAAGAATTAAGTCTGCCCTTAAATAATTGACTTTTATAGAACTGTTTTGTGTCTCTTTTTTTTCTTTCCTGCCTGCGAGCTTTCGGCTCATCGCTTAGACTCCCAACGCCAGTTCAACCTTACAGCGGGTGAATCACGTCATTTGCACTAGTTAAGCCGTGACCCGCTTTGCCCCGCGTGAGCGCACCAAACGACATGTACCAAAGCAACGCCCCAGACTCCGTTTGTCGGAAGTCGGGTGAGGGGCGGTGACCCTGGCCGGCAAAGAATCCCCAGCAAAAGGGCCAAGTACAGCGGGCGGCGCTGGAGTCATGTTCTTTTTCCTCCCATCACATCATTCCACGACATCTTTGTTTTTCTTTCGATCGCAAGAATTGCCTTCATTTGGTCTGTTTGGGAGAATTGATTCAAGGCTCAACGAATTTGTTCAGCCTTCATTTTATTCCTGATAAACTCAACTCTCCGACATTCCGATCATTCTCCGGCGTCGGTCCTCACGCGAACACCACCACGCCAGCTCCTCCCGTTTCCTTTTCATCATCTCAAAATCCAACTACAATGTCTGGATCTGGTGCTCCGGCCGAGGCCAAGGCCAAGAAGCTAGACCTTGATGGTCACAACCTGCCTCCTTCGCCCGCTCCCTCCAGCCCCGCCAACGGTCGCCGACGATATGCTCTGGCGACTGAGCTGGTCTACACTGATAGCAAGGATCAATATGGATCTTCAAGTGTGCCCATCTATCAATCAGCAACATTTAAGCAAACATCGGCAAGTGGAGGTCAGCAAGAATACGACTACACCCGCTCCGGAAACCCGACTCGATCCCATCTCGAGAGACACTTGGCCAAGATTATGAACGCCAACCGTGCCCTCGCCGTCAGCTCTGGCATGGGCGCTCTTGATGTTATTACACGAGTCCTCCGCCCTGGAGATGAAGTCATCACCGGCGATGACCTCTACGGCGGAACACACCGTCTGTTGACCTACCTTGCCTCCAACTCTGGCATTGTTGTTCACCACGTCGACACAACCAATGTGGAAGCCGTTGAGAAGGTTATTACCAATAAGACCGCCATGGTTCTCCTCGAAACTCCCACAAACCCGCTCATTAAGGTTGTTGATATCCCTTCAATTGCTCGCAAGGCCCACGACGCCAATACTAAGGCGCTGGTTGTCGTCGACAACACCATGCTTTCTCCTATGCTCTGCAACCCGCTAGACCTCGGCGCCGACATTGTTTACGAATCTGGTACGAAATATCTTTCGGGACACCATGATATCATGGCCGGTGTTATTGCCTGCAACGACTCTGCTGTTGGCGATAAGCTGTACTTCACCATCAACTCAACTGGTTGCGGTCTGTCACCAAACGACTCATTCCTTCTTATGCGCGGTGTCAAGACACTTGCCATCCGCATGGAGAAGCAGCAGGCTAATGCCCAGGCGATTGCGGAGTTCCTTGAATCTCATGGTTTCCGCGTCCGTTACCCTGGCCTCAAGTCCCACCCACAGTACGATCTTCACTGGTCAATTGCTCGCGGGGCTGGCGCCGTGTTGGCCTTTGAAACCGGCGATGCCGCCATGTCCCAACGTATCGTTGAGGCTGCCCGACTGTGGGCCATCTCTGTCAGTTTCGGATGTGTCAACAGTCTTATCAGCATGCCTTGCCAGATGAGCCACGCCAGTATCGACGCAAAGACCCGACGAGAGAGACAGATGCCTGAAGATATTATCCGTCTCTGCGTTGGTATCGAAGACCCGGCTGATCTTATTGAAGACCTCTCACGAGCTGTAAGTCAATACATTCCAAACCGTGATAAAGTATCATCTATTAATCCGTTACATTTTAGCTTGTCCAAGCTGGTGCTGTGACAGTCAGCATGGACGGCTTCCATGCAACTGGTGCAGCTGCGCAAGTGGCCCAAACCCAATAAAGGAACATAAAATTACAAAAGGGCAAGAAAAAAAATATTTATAATAACTGACAAAATACATCAGCACAGTCTCATTAGGCGTTCCGGGTTCTCACACTTTTTGATATTATGTAGTAACAGAGATGCATCAACAAGCTTGGGCCATTACTGCGTGATATAAATATTTCAATTACACAATGCTACAAATAAAAACGCCGGTATGCTAAGGAAAACGAAGAACAAGAGGTGTAGCGCACATTGTACGACGGCTAGAAGTCGAATCGGTCCGGCAACACAGCCGGTGCCACCAACGTCCAAATATACATGCCGTAACATGCCCATGCGCTGACAATCTTGATCCAACTGGCAGTATATGTGCGTCCAACGCCAGCAAAGTCGTCGCTGGGGTCCATATCTTTGTTAAGCGTGAGAAGGAAGGCAACCCATGCTGTGGCAAGGAAGAAGATGATATGGAACATAGTGTAGCTGTACTGTGTGCCGGAACGTTCATCATCGTGCGCCTCGCCATGGCCATCGTCACTCTCGTCATCCGACAAAAGAGCATTCGCAGGCAGACTACCTTCTTCAACAGCACGGCGCAAAGCTTCCGCTCGCATCTCGCGGCGGCTGCTGGGTTGTTGAGTCACCAAATCATGCTCATCCTCTTCCGGTAGTCGAATAGCGCCGTTGCCGCCTAGACTCAGGTTCTGGGTAGCAGCACGGGTGGTAGTGTAGGCAACCGTGAGCATCGTAACGATGGCGCCAATAACCTTGGAGGTGTCGCGGGTTCCCCGGCCGCGCAAGAGGGGGTTGCACTTATTGTCGTCAGGTTCCATAGAGACAGCCGACATTGTCAAGTACGTGCAGTAAACTGCAACCATAGCGGCTTGCGCAAGTCCGGCCTTGGGATTGTGTTCTTGAACAGATGGGTTAACAGAAACGACCGAAACAATGAGCCAAAGGAGCAGGTTAATGGTAATAACAGCTTGGTTCATCGAGCAGCCAGAGTCTGCGAAAAAGATGTATTGCACAATCGTCATGGCGATAGATGCAAGGAACATGGAAAGAGTCGATCCAATCAAGACTACCCGTCAGAAGCGTGAATCTGTGTCCTCGATTTGAGCAAGGCAGTATTCGGCCCAGACATGAGCAAGATCAACCAGAAGAATGAGACCAAGGATGAGGAATAGCATGGCACCAATCAGTGAGATGTAGGTGCCCCAGAAAACAAAGAACTCGTCAGGGATAAGGAACGACATGACCACAAAGGCGACCCAGACGAGCATTTTGGGACCCCAGTAGCCATTCTGGAGGGCGGCGCGAGGATGTTTTGAGGAATTGACGCCAAATAGAAGTCCGGCCATGATTATGTGAAAGATTCCGAGAGCAAATCCGAAGCGTTGAACAGCAAGCCAGCCATAACACTCGCCTTTCGGGCAGTTGATTTTGACATAGTCGAGCATCAAGTGTTGCAGCTTTTCGATAGCCCATGGCGTGAGCATAATCCAGGAGATGATAGAGTTGATTAGGAGGAGAATAGCATATCCGATACGGGTAGCGACACTAGTTCAACAAAGTTAGCTAGAGATCTAGAAGTTTTTGTCGCTTTTGTGGCGGGTGACATACCTGTTGCCGCATTTTCCGCAAGCACTGCAAACCATGGAGCAAGTCGCCGCACCGCAGCAACTGGCGGCAAATGACAACACCTATTCGAATATTGGTTAGTATTATGCCTGGCTATTCGACGTCTAGTTTGCGGGGTGCAATGCCGATTCGACCGGTGACGTACGGTGGTCATGCTGGGGACCGCAAGCAGCGGCAAGGAGAGTAGAGCTCCCATGGCGGCGGTCGGTGGCGTTAATTAATCGCAGTCGGTGAAGCTAATATTGTTTGTACGCAGTCCTTGCAGCTTGGTTCGAGGCGGACTACGAGTTGTTGCGTAAGGACCAAAGGTTGAAGAGAGTTGAAGTTGCAAAGACGCCGCCGCGTGGCTGGCATGGCGAACTGAGACCGCCTTCGGGTCATGAGGTAGGGTTACGTAAGGCACGAGTCCGTCATTAATCGACTGCCCCCCACGGTGCCACTCCACTGTAAACCCCGCTGTAGCTGCTGCTCTTGCAGGTGCAACACCACTGACACACGTCCACTAAAAACGCCCGTAATGCCGCTAAATACCGCTGGAAGGATCGTGGTGTTTTAGGTGGCACAGGCTCGCCGACAGCGGACATGCACTCGGCATTTTGGCGCCGAAGCCAATCGCACCAGCTTTCATCACCTGCATCACGCTGCTTTTGCGGTTTGGCGAAACGACTGTCGCTTCCTTTATTTTTCGATTCGCGCCGAGTGCGATTTCCTTGGCTAGATTTCGGCATCGCTATTGGATCTTTGCATTTTAGAATATATTCCTCGCACGGCTGCTATCAAGCGGAACAACCACCGGGCTTGCCCATCTAGCCCGCCACGAGCGCCTATCCAGTCGAGATGCACCAACGCGATCTCTTCAGAGCACGAGTGGTCGCCAGCATAGCTGCGACTACTATTGCCCTTGCCTGTGGAACAAGTGTAGGCTTCAACCATGCAAAGCGCCCCCTGGTCAGACTGCTAACCACTGCTCGATAGTATGTGTACTCAGCGTGGGCTCCCCAGTTTGCCGACAAGCTCAAGTTGTCTGCCACCCAGAGCAACCTGATCGGCCTGTTTGGTAATGTCGGCATGTACGCAACAGGTCCTCCCGTTGGCATCTTCATTGACCATCAGCGACTCGGTCCTCGTCCTGCCGTCCTGGCCGGTGCATTTCTCATGGCCGTCGGATACTTCCCCCTTTACCGTGCCTATGCGACTGGCTCTGGCTCTGTGCCTCTTCTATGCTTCTACAACTTCCTTACAGGCTGGGGCAGTTGTCTCGCCTTCTTGGCTGCTGTGAAAACTTCAGCAATTAACTGGCCGCAGCATCGTGGCACCGCTACGGCCTTTCCCTTGGCCGCGTTTGGATTGAGCGCTTTCTTCTTTTCCTTCCTAGGCTCCTTACTATTCCCTGGTAACCCAAGCGCATTTTTGGAACTTCTATCTTGGGGCACCTCTGGCCTCACCCTGCTCGGGTTCTTCTTCCTGAAAACATACTCCGACACTTCGTATGAAGCTGTTCCTGATTCAGACGCCGACCAGGAGCATCGATTCGTCACTCATGATGCTAGACAGCATAACGAGCCAGGTACGTCTTCCCTTATCTTACCGATTACTCAAATACCAACCCTTGGCGACATAGCCTCAACATCCCCCAATTTTCCCTCCGTTCCCCCGCTCGAGGCAGCTGGTGGCCTTGAGACGTCTCCGCTCGTCTCCGGCACAGCTACTCCTCACAACGAAGAAGCCGCAACAGCTATTGATACAGACCGCTCTCTCCGAGTAGATATTCGAGGCATCCAGCTCCTCTTTAGCTTGGATTTCTGGCAACTTTTTGCCATTATGGCTATCCTCTCTGGCGTTGGCCTCATGACAATCAAGTAAGCTTAACCGTATCGTCATATTTGCGACATATTCTCACAAAAGTTTAGCAACATCGGCAACGACGTAAATGCCCTTTGGAAGAAGTACGACGAAAAAGTAGGAGAGGAATTTCTTGTCCATCGTCAACAACTGCATGTCTCCATATTATCGGTTTGCAGTTTCGTTGGGCGTCTTCTGAGTGGTGCGTTCAAGTGCTACTTGAGGACTACATCTCCAGACTAACGCTGTCAATAGGAATCGGTTCCGATTTCCTGGTAAAGAAGTTGCAAGCCAGCCGTGTCTGGTGCCTTTTCCTCGCCGGAGTCATTTTCCTAGTAGCGCAATTCTGCGCCGTTAACATTACCAGCCCGCTCTATCTCTTCGCAGTATCAAGTCTCTCCGGTATGGCCTACGGCTTATTATTTGGCGTGTTCCCTTCTATCGTTGCGGAAACATTTGGTATCCGTGGAATGAGCCAGAACTGGGGGTTCATGACCATTGCACCAGTTATATCTGGTAACATGTTCAACTTGTTTTATGGCACCGTGTACGACCATCACAGCATTGTTGAACCCGATGGTAAGCGGAATTGCCACCAAGGGCTGGAGTGCTATCGTTCCGCATATCTTGCAACATTTAGCGCCTGCGCTGTTGGCCTTGTTGTTATTCTGGCGGTCATTCGTCACCAGTACTTGGCAAAGCTTAAAGAGACTAACAAGGCACATTTGGAAGACTGATTGTGTCTGCAGCGGATGAACCACATTATTGTAAATATTTCTTTTACTCAAGTTAATACATAATCATAAGCTGTTAAATGTTGCCGCTAATACACCTCGTGTACGTCCCTCGCCAGTTCACCCTCAAAAATGCATGTATTCAAAACCTAGCCAACAATGCCTCATGGAATACCACCAAACCTCAAGATGACCCTTCCACCGAATGACAGTTTGGTAAAGGCAATGAAACGCCACAATATGCTAAATAGAAAGTAGAATGTGCAAAGAAAGTGAAAAGAAAAAAAAGCGAGACTGCCAGACCTGTGGGTTATCTAATATTTTAGATAACCGGCTAGCTGGCGGATTAGGAATTATTTACCAAGCATGTTGGCGCATGAAATCGCAAGTATTCTTACAACAATGCTAATTGTAGAGGCTGATAGAGGCTCCTCATCCCATCATGCTGCTTTTCCTGTCTTCCTTGTCTCATGAGCATTGCCTTCAAACATGGAGCTAATACTGGCAAGAGACCAAGTATTTGAGGTTGCATGGAGAATGACGAGCCAAGCAGCTATGATATTGACAAGATAGTGTAGCATGTAGGCATGGGATACGCCATACAACGCGGCGCAAAGAGCGGTGCAAAATAGGAAAATGCTGGTCACATGGCGGAGACCACTTGATATTTGCGGAACCATCCTTCCAGTCGTGAGGTTTTCCACCAGCAGAATAAAGGGCATAATAGAGAGAACGTTGTGGTGGGAAGAGAATGGTGTTAGCCAATGGACAGCCAGGTTCCGGATCCAAACTGCCAAGATAGGTAGGTTGATGGGTAGAACCCACATCATAAGGAGCAGAATAGAGTGGCAATAATGGTAATAGTTTGCGTTCGAGAGCGATGGGTTCACAGTCAAGATCCTCAATGCTCTGGTAGATGTGAATAACTGGACAAGGCATGCCACCAGGTACGCAAACTGATACGGAATAAATGTCGAGACCAGAAACAGGAGTATCGCGGTTGAGAGCATACGCCTACGTGGGGTAGAAGCAGCAATAACCGGTAAGCTTGCACTGGCGGTATCGATACCCATCGCTGCCGCCCTAGTGCTTCTAAGTAGCCCATACAGAATAGAGAAGATCTTGGTGATGGCTAGGATCATATAATGAAGAGCTGTGCAGACTCCAACACACACAAGGCCAATAATAGGTACAATGGCTGTAAACAATGGGTCATCGGTACCAATAAGCAGGTCATTTCGATGAAAGTCAACTTCAGAATGTGGTACTGCTCTTGTGCGGTTCCAAATTCGGCCATTGCGAATGTACGGGGCACCACCAATAGATGCTGATAATAGTGTCATGGACAGGAGCAACAGAGGGATAGAGCGTCGTAAGCTCATGTCCAGGCCTTCAGAAAATGGAATGAATGTGCCTGTCTCGTCATACACTCGGAACTGCTTCCGTAGAACAAGAGTGACAATGAGAAGGGGGAACGCAGCAAACACTGTGCGATATCTCATATACAATTTCCCAAGACTGCCAATGGCATCAAACTGCACCTCAATAGAAAGAGGCATGCCACAAGTTGGGTCAGACCAAAACTGAAGAGCGATACCTTCAGCTGCTTGTGGTTCCAATGCTGGTGGCATATAGGGTGCGATTCCGTGCAGACTAATGTCTGCATTTTCCACATTAACGAAGAACTTCGATTCGTGGGGCTGATCAAGATACTGTCTCAACATTGGGGAGAAAAGGGGATTTCCTTGGCATTGGCCATGCTTCACCTGCAGGTTATACGCCAGCAAGCTCGACTGCATCGCCGGTACCAGAACGTCGACAGACAAGGGGCGATCTTGGGGAAGCTCAAAAGTAACACCTTCCATCAAGAGTTGGCCCAAAGAAACATCAACCACGTGGGTAGAATCTATGGCATCGATGAACTCGGCAATGACAAAGCTGTTGCTAGCTGAGCCGGCTTTGTTGATGACGGCGATAAATTGGTACTCGGCGAGATGGCTCATCTTGTATTGCAGGTACGAAAACGGTCTGATTTCTGCCTCGTTTTCCAAATAAAATGGGTGCTTTGTAAAAGGTGTTGAAGCGGGTAGCAGGACGCTATCAGCATGTGCATTTTTGCACAGAAGCTGGGTCGTCGCTCTATCACTCTCGGCCAGATGTATGGTCGTTGCGTAGTTCGCGGAGCCATCAGCATTCTGAGCGGTATGTGTTCCACATAGGAGAACTTCAAGTGGTCCGTGGCCACCGCTAATATCTAGCGCTGTATCGGAAAGCAGAGTGAAATGCTGGTTCTCGAGCTGTCCTGCAGCAGGAATTGGAAAGAGATATGTTTCGGTACGAGCAACTGATCCGAGATTTCGCAACACTAATCTCTCACCCGCGGGGATCATAGACGATGTCTTATCATCCAGAGTGAGTAAGGCGGTTTGAGATTCTTGTATGCCGGGTTTTTCTGCATTAGCCTCTAATCCAGTTAGGAAATGCTTCACAAATGTTCTCATGCGCTCTGCTCTTGGCCTCGTCTGACTAGCACGATTCACATCAACAATGTCATAGAGTGCTCGTGAAACCACTTTGCGGAATTGATCACACCATAGAATGGCTTGGTGATCGGCGCTAGTCCACACTGTTGGGATACCAGTAGTGTAAACCGTGAAGCCGTGCGTTTCGGGTACAAGAGATTCTAAGCTGGCATAATCAGATGGAACGACGGTGTCCAGACTGCCACCTGCAATTGATACAAGAGTGACGTGCCACAGCGGGTTGTTACTAGCCCACTTTTGCGCATACGCTTCTCTCCAGTAGTCGTTTATTTCGTCATATATTTGTACAATCTGCCCATCGAACGTTACTGGAGGTCTCGCGTGTGGTGCAGACATGGTAATGATTGTGTTGATGGAGTTGAGCTGATAGTTTGGCTGGATGAGCATCGTTCGAGCCACAACGCCGCCCATTGAGTGGCCAACGATGATGACAGAAGATGGGTCTGGTAAGCCCGCATCTCGTGCTGTCCGGGTTGGGTCGGAGTAGAGCGTCAAGATAAAGCGGACTGCCTCATTGAGGTACTCCGCCTGGTCAAGAAGTGTTTGCCCATGGAAGGCAGTAATATCTTCGTTAAAGTCAACAGTAAAGAAATCGAGGTTTCGAATACCATGCGCCACAGAGGATCCGTCATGTTGAAGCTGTTCGTAGAAATAGCTTGAGGCTTCTGCAGCAATCGGGCGGACTTGTTTGTAGCTTCCAGCATTACCAGGGATAAAGAGCACGGGGACGCCACGTAACTTATGCTCGTCATCGAAGCCTTGCTCACGGTACAAGTATAGAGAATATTTTGTTGCGAATCGAGTGTGTTCCGTGTCGAATTCGTGATAATGTATGTAGCTCGGCCGCATATAGGACATCCGGCAGCCTTTTGGTTCCAATTGCCGGGATACTAGGGATCTCAGGATTGTGCCCAGTAAAATGAGACCGAGAGTAGCTGTTACAAAGGCAAGTTTCGATATGGACCATGATCCGTGGCGGTTTTTCGCTGGTGACGTAGTGGTGATTTTCTTGGAACGGCCCGCGGCTATAGATGCTGCTGGGAGTGAAGGGGATTCGGGAGGCGCATGAGTCAAAGTGCCCTTGTCGGTAGTTTGGTCAATGGTACCGTTTGGAGGGTTCCAGTCCAAATTACTCGGCCTGCGAGGTTTTCGAGACGACGAGGGACGCGACGTCGTCGCCGGCTTGGATTCGTGGTTGTCGCGGTCCAAACGAGGCTTGTCCGGATCGCGAGGCGAGCTGGAGCCATCGGCGCTGCCGCCAGGCACAGCTGCCCGTCTTGCCATGTGGTCGAAATGCTGTATATGATGGTCGGCGCGATGAGGCGGGAAGGAAAAGACGTGCCGTCGACCTTTGCAAGGACGGGGGGTGGCTGCTAGCGGCGCAGTTTTCCAGATGTGGTCAAAAATACACCACACACAGTTTTTAGAAAGAAAAAAACACGGTGCGCCTTAAAGCAATTGGTGCCGTAAATAATACATGCCGTCGAACCGGTACCGATGGGAAAAGAGAACAAGAGCTGGTCGAACGAGTGGTGGCTAGCTCTGTCGCCGGCAAGGACCTGGACAGCGCGTTGAAGCGGGTGGAAGAGATATTTTGGCTGGGACGAGGAGGAGAGGGTGCCAGCAGCAAGAGCGAAAGTGGCGGAGAAGTGGGAAATTGGATGCTGGCCCGCCAGCTGCGGCGACCGATAAGCCTGCAGGCGCAGGTGCCAGTGGTCCTGGTCCGCCCCAACCACTGCTAGCGGCCGAAGCCTCCACTGGCAGCGCGGGTCGGGACCTGCGGCAGAGTGCAACAGGTGCTGTGTGCTAAGCTTAATTAGCTGAGACGGACCGGCCCTACAGGACTCACACTCGCTATGGCGTAGAGGCTTGCGTCTGATGTACTGTACTGTACTGTACTACATACAAAACAAAACAAGATCTTGTACTAATTTAGGGATTTGTCTAGCTCCGATGAAAGCCTTCTATCCCAAGCCCTTTTTTTAAGCAGTGTTTAGCCCGTGTTTTAACTCCCGCCCATGGTTATGTTTTGGCTTACGCCCTGTCTCACGTAGTTGGCTTAGACTCCGCTTCTCTCACCTGCCCGCCTTTTATATTGGCTATTGGCGATATCCAACGCCATCTATCCCAGCGGAGACGTGCTGCCGGGGGCAGACGCGCGGGGGGTGTGCTGTTTAGTGGTTGCGCCGCCGGCTATTGTTTTGCGTGCCCCTGACTCTAGGAATGCCGCATTCCCAAAGTGGCAGAACGGGGGTCGGTTCTATTAAAAGGCCGGGTGATTCGTGCGGATTTTTGAGAGGCATGATGCTTGCTACCCGGTAGGGATCTGTCAAGTCAATAGATAGCTGCTAGGCAGGTTTAATTCCATAATAATGACTGTTTTAAATATTTTTGTATTCTATCTTGCTTCTCCTATGATGTTTTTCTGTTTTTTTTTTTTCCTTTCGTGGCCCTTACCCTTGGCATTTATCCTTTTGCAGAGGTTATCCATGTATGATTGCAGAGCCTCAAATGTCACCGTTAGGCGGTGGTTGCCAGTGGACTCAGCAGTATACAAACTAAAACCACAATGCCTCTAACTTTATATGACCAGAGTCATACTACTTCAGCATAATATATATAACCCTAAAAGGGCAAAAAAGTATCCAAGAAAAACTATATCGAGCTCGTAACCCGAAAAGCCGCTCTTAAACGACATATAGATACGGCGTTCGATTCGCTAGCAGCATACGGTTGACCCCCCCCACAGCCACTTCACGCGTCGCTACGCGTTACTCTGCATATTCACGTTCACGCTCCACGGCAAATGAACCAGCAGCTTTAGCCTTGCCACAGTGCAAACCATGCCCGATATATATATTGGGGATGAGAATGGTGGTGATGCTCTATGAATCTCACCAGATGAAATGGCTTCCATAAAACCGATTGATGCTAAAAGCGTAAATAACCATCATCCACATGCAAATACACTGCCACTAACATCGGATATCATCAGATCCATCAAATCCAATCAGGCCAAGTCATCGTTGATCTGTGCTCTGTAGTAAAGGAGCTGATCGAGAACAGCGTCGATGCTGGCGCAACCATTATAGGTAGGCGAATCAAGATTTGCTGGCTACAATCGACCACGGCTAATCTCAATTAACAAACAAAAGAGGTTCGCTTCAAAAACCAAGGACTGGATCTTATAGAAGTCCAGGATAATGGTTCAGGCATATCACCTGATAATTACGCTTCAGTTGCTTTAAAACACCACACCTCAAAGCTCTCCACCTACTCTGATATCGAGTCTCTTCAAACCTTTGGTTTCCGTGGTGAAGCCCTGGCTTCGCTCTGCGCCCTCTCTAGCTTCACAGTCACTACATGTCTGGCCGAAGATGTACCAAAAGGGTCGAAACTGACATTTGAAACTTCAGGGAAACTTCAGGGCACTAGCATCATTGCTGCACAGCGAGGAACCTCTGTTTCAGTCGAAAAACTCTTTCATAATCTCCCTGTTCGCAGAAGAGAGCTGGAACGAAATATCAAGCGAGAATGGCACAAAGTTATCGCTTTGCTGAACCAGTATGCCTGTATTCAAACGAACCTCAAGTTTTCCGTATCACAGCAGCCCACAAAAGGGAAACGCATTCTCCTCTTTTCCACAAAAGGCAACAATACCACCAAAGACAATATTATCAATATCTTTGGAGCCAAAACCATGGCAGCCTTGGTCCCCCTCGATCTGACATTGGCAATGAAGCCCACCACGTCTAATGCGGCCCTACATGGATCATCTACAGACCAGGAAGATTCTAAGGAAGTCAAGGTTCTCGGCCATGTGTCACGTCCCGTTCACGGAGAAGGCCGTTTAACGCCCGATAGGCAAATGTTCTTTGTAAATGGAAGACCATGTGGACTCCCTCAATTTTCGAAAACCTTTAACGAGGTATACAAGTCATATAACTACTCCCAGTCACCGTTCATATTTGCAGATATCCGACTGGATACAAGTATGTACGATGTAAATGTGAGCCCGGACAAGCGGAGCATCTTGCTACATGACCAAGGGTCGATGCTGGACAATCTTCGGGTGGCACTGACGGAGCTGTTCGATAAGCACGAGTATACCGTCCCAGTAGCTAAGCTGTGGACAGCAAACAAACCTGCCGTTTCACAAAAGCCAAACGAAGTGACTGAAAGCGGCTCTACCAAGACGCAGGATAAAGATGTTGGTTCTGCATCAACTAAAGCTGCAGCCTCTCATGATGTCGAATCAGATGTTGAATCTATATCGTCGCCAGAGCCACCAGACCAAGAGGAGGATGTCCCTTCCACTAGGACATCTTCTCGGGTGAATCTTGCTAGCCAATCCCTGATTAGTCAGTGGGCAGCCAGGAAGCTTGAAATCGATGACGAAGAGAGTTCCGAACCACCGTCGAAAACACAAAAGTTGACTCGAAGGTCTGCAGCACCGGAGCGACGACATTTGCCGGTCAATGAGTCCCAACCTCCTTCCTCCGCATCTGATGATGAAATGGACGCCGGAAAGCCACTACCTGTTAGAGACTTCAATAAGAGGTTAGCAGAGAAGAGTGCCATATCCTTCAAATCATATAATCAGCATAGCGATGAAGAGTCGGCGGAACCCGAGCCAAGCCAAACAGCCAGAGAGAGAACCATACCGGGATCACAGCCACTAAAGATACAGAATATCACCAACCGGAGTCGGGTTGCGACGCCCCAATCTCTTAAGCGCCGGACGGGGCAGGCTATTTCCGTCACTGTTGGTGATGTGAGTATGAATTCTTCTATGCTCTTTGGTAGACAAACGCGCGGAAGTCAGCCTCTTGAAACCGTCGATGCGGTGAAAGATGATATTTCTATGCGAGAAGACTCTTTAAGTGACTCGGAGGCTGAATCTGAGGCAGAAGCTCCTGTAGAGGGGCAAGAAGAATCCGAGGCTGAATATAGTGAGCCAAATGCCGCCGAAGACCACGATCAATCTGAAGCCAAAGACATTGATGAGACTCTCGATGCAGAGGAGGATACAGCAGACGTAGTTCCGGCCAAAGCTGCATACCAAAAAGCACCGCCTCAGGGATCCAAACAAAAGAGCTCCACGCATCACCTTTCTCATACGATGTATATCGATGAAGCTAGCATGGTTCGCCAGCTGCAATTTTTCATAAATCAAAAGCAGTCACACAGCGCCAACGGTGAAAATGTCGGAAGTATTGAAGACTTGGAAGCATCAGATGCGGAGTCGAAACTGCAGCTCATTATTGGCAAAGAAGATTTTGGCAAAATGCGTATTGCAGGACAATTCAACCTGGGCTTCATCATTGCCACTCGTCCATCAACGTCTTTGGATGCCTCTGGACATCCAGCTGGTGACGACGAGCTGTTCATCATTGACCAGCACGCATCTGACGAAAAATATAACTTTGAGAGACTTCAAAACACGACAATTGTACAATCTCAACGTTTGGTCCAGCCCAAACGATTGCAGCTGACAGCGCTTGAGGAAGAAGTTGTAGTAGAAAATATTGAGGCTATTGAATCGAATGGGTTCAAGATTAGTGTCGATTTATCTGGCGACTGGCCTGTTGGTGCACGATGCGAACTCACGTCTTTACCGTTGAGCAGAGAAACGGCTTTCACTATCGAAGACCTCGAGGAGCTCATTGCCCTGCTAGGTGATAACGCATCAGACTCGTCACACATACCGCGACCATCCAAAGTGCGAAAGATGTTTGCCATGAGAGCATGTCGCAGCAGTGTCATGGTTGGGAAAGCACTTAACACCTCTCAGATGTCAACTCTAGTGAAACATATGGGTGAACTGGACAAGCCCTGGAACTGCCCTCACGGGAGGCCAACAATGCGCCACCTGTGTCGACTAAAAGCATGGGACGACAAGGTTTGGAAAACAGATGTTCATCAAGAACCTATATCAAAATGGCAAGACTACAGCAACTGAGTCAATACGGCTCAGTACTACACCGGATTATTACTCTTTGGAAACATTACTGTTGGTAGAAACCGAATGAAAAGTCAATATAGTGACTAAATAAAGTAAATAACAAGTACAGGAAAAAAACCATATGTACGCCTTATAAGCCATCCGTCACCCAGTGGTGCATCATTTACATGAAATCCCGTCTCTCGTGTTGCGTTGCAGATGTTCTACATTGCGTGTTCTCATTCCAATCATTAGAGCACTTGTCAAGACGTGCATCTCCTAGAATGCCTGACCAGCGAGTCCCTCCTCGGCAATCTTGCCACTAACGCGGCGTCTCTCCACTCCAGACTGTGCACTATCCCAGTCGTTTCCTGACGAGATCTTTCTGCTGTTACCAACCGTGACCGGTGAAGATCCTGTGGTCAACTCTCCATATCGACGAGAGAACAAATTATCAGATTGAATAGAGCTCTCGCGCTGGCGAGGGGTAGCCTGACCAACAACACGAGGCTTTGAGAGCTCTCGCGCGGCGAGCACGAGACGATCATTGTTGCTAATCTCTGTGAGGGCACTATCAGCTGCAAGGTTTTCTGCTGTCCAGGGGCGTTGCAGATTAGGAATGTTTCCTAGTTGCTTGGTCGCAGGCGATGTGGGAGAAGCAGGGTTGGATCGCAAAGGGTTCGGATGCTTTGTGTCTCTCTGAGCACTGCGAGCGTTGACATCGTACTCATCGTCAGAATCCTCCTGGCTGTATTGCTGGTTGATAGCCGAGTACGATTTGGAAGATCTCGCCGTGTTGGCATAGCGCTGATTGGTTCTTGATACGAGCGAGTCGGTAGGTGCCCAGGCTTCTGTAAACTTTGGCAATCTATCCCGGCTGTTGTTATTGGGGGTGGCTGTGGAGGGTCGTGATTGACGGTTATCGGCAAGTGGGATTTCGGCGTAGGAACCCCTCTGTCCTCCCATCGCATAGAATGTACGAGTAGATGCCAGCGATGCCGTCGAATGACGAGGAGAGTTGGTCGCAGCGATCTGATATTGTCGGCTAGGTAGGTTGAGTTGCGAATCCCGTGTTCCAAACGATGATGCCGAGTTGGTGCGAGTGTGCATGAAGGGAACCTTGGGAGGGCTTGAATCGCCACTGTAAACCATGCTGGAGCGAGCGCGCTCAGATGGGGTCGACAGCTTCTCGGTGAATACTGTGCTGGAGCTCGCAATCGAGGACTTCTGGCGCTTGTGTCGGAAGCTAGGGCGAGCCGTGAGGTTGTCCTCCAGAGGGTTCATATCAGGTGGCATCGTGCTGATCTTCTGGAACATCCACCCTAGCCAGAGCGAAATGATCAGCGACAGAAGGTGCAGACCACCACATCCAATAGTTGTGTAGTAGGTTGCAGGAACAAAGTACTTGAGCAGGCTTTGATCCGCGAGCCTGGTTGTCCATTCGGTGCCGTGCTCGTGGACCGAGTAGACGCCGAATCCATACACGGCGAGTGTCGCAAGATCCATGATAGCAGAGAACACCTGATAGGCTGCGGATGAGCCTGGGGTTCTACCAGTGGCTTCTCGAGAATGGTGGTAGACGCTGTACAGCGTGTGGAGACCAATTATACCAGGCTATATAGATATTACTCGTTAGTTTGTTTCGAGCTGACTGACATGGCGAAGATACAGTGACATACCACAATGCGCATGATACAGGCAACCACCGCATCTAAGCTCTCAAACAAGATAAACATGACCATGATACCAAATGCTCCATTCAGCTCCAACAACCTAAAGAGCAATTGGAATCGACGCGACCATTTGATAGCACCCTTGGTACGACGCCCAAGAGGTGCAAAGAGGTTTGTCCGCGCAGGCAACGCAAGGTGAGCACTACAGAAGAAGAAGAAATGTTAGTCTACCAGTCAATGTTACCCTGAGATGCCAATTTCCCCAAGAACGTACTCTGGATGGCGGTTGAATGAGACGAGGGGCCCATTCTGCGGCGGCCGCTGAGGAACCGGTTCCCAGCTGGCTCTTGTAACGGCCTTTGGATCAAACGTGGACGTGGGAAATCGCGAACTGTTTCGCGACTCTGCCGCATACATATAAGGCTGATGCCGCGCCATGATGGAAAGTTCGTTTCAAATGTATTAGCGGCGGAAGCCAGCCGTCGCAGCGGGTGATGTGTCTCGGAGCGATCTAGAATGCGCAGTTGGATCGCGCCTGTATCTTGAATGGCGTAGATGACTGGAATGTGTTTGGAGGAGGAGCTCTAGAATGCACACATCAGCGAACAATGCGTACATTGTTCTTTTGTCTTGTCTGCGGACCCAGACGCTTGTTTGGATGGGGGCGGGCAGCCGCTGTCTCACGCGTCACCACAGCAACGTGGCGGCGCTCGGTGGCCGACAAGCTCCGTATCGGTGCTCGGCCCGCTATAAACGTACTAACGGCTCAAATTGAACCTTCAATTGCATCACGTAAAGGGCACCGCGTCATTGCTGCCCTGCAAAGGTTTAATATTTACTCGATAATCCCAACCGTGCATACACGATGGTATTTCTTCGACGAGCGGCTCAGGCGAAGACGCGAGTGCTTTCGGCAAGATGGCTCTCAACGACAGCACGAGATGCTCACGAGCCATTCCGTTTAGCTGTAATTGGTTCAGGTCCAGCGGGATTTTACACTGCCTATAGGATCATGAACAAAATTCCTAATGTAACAGTCGACATGTACGAATCTTTGCCGGTCCCGTTCGGTCTCGTCAGACACGGCGTTGCTCCGGACCATCCAGAAGTCAAGGTGATTATAAGATATCCTTATTATATCTATTATATGCGCTAACATTGTATTTAGAATTGTCAAGAAAAGTTTGAAGAGGTTGCTTCATCTCCCAACTTTCGGTTCCTAGGCAATGTGTCTGTTGGTCACAGAGAAGGAGATGCTTCATCGCAACAGTGCCATGTCCAGCTGCAGTCTCTGCTGCAAAATTATGACTCTGTTCTTATGTCTTACGGTGCCTCTGAAGATAAGAAGCTTGGGATCTCAGGAGAATCTAAGCTGAGCGGAATCTACTCGGCTAGAGAGTTTGTTGGCTGGTACAACGGTTTACCAGAATGCGCCGGTCTCGAACCGGACTTAGGCGGGGAGGATGCCATCGTCATTGGACAAGGAAATGTTGCAATGGATGTAGCGCGAATGCTGCTTGAGGATGTCGATGTTTTGAGAAAGACAGACATAGCCGAACATGCTCTACAGCATCTTGCGCAAAGTCGTGTGAAGCGAGTGCGCGTTGTGGCCAGACGAGGGCCGATGCAAGCGGCGTTTACGATTAAAGAGGTCAGAGAGCTGATGAAGCTTTCCAATGTTGCTTTTCATCCAGTGGATCGATCTCTCATTCCAGACGATTTAAAATCACTTCCACGTGCTTCGAAGCGACTCATGGAAGTGCTTTTGAAAGGAACGACGAATTTACCAACAGCCACCGCGCGTTCTTGGTCTCTTGACAGCTGTCTTTCGCCTACTGGGTTTCTTGCTCAAACCAGCAACCCCAATCGGGTCGGTAGCACAGAATGTGACGTAACGCAACTGGAATCGCCATTTGATCCGAAGTCTAGAGTCAGTGCAACTGGAGAGACGATTGCTCTACCATCCAACGTCGTTTTCCGATCAGTGGGATATCGTTCAATAGCACTCGAAGGGTTTTCTGAAGCCGGAATACAATTCGATAATGCCAAGGGAACTGTTAGCAACGATGGCTTGGGTCGGGTTACAGGCTTGATCTCTGCAAACAGCGGAGACGTTGCGAACCAAGTCCCAGGCCTGTACTGTGCCGGGTGGCTGAAGAATGGTCCTACTGGTGTGATTGCGTCTACGATGAGCGATGCATTTACAACAGGAGATGTCATTATTCACGATTGGCTGGCAGGTAAACCGTTTCTCCGCTCTGATCAGACTTCCCCTGCAAAGGGTTGGGAAGGTGTTTCGAGCGAAAGCAGTACTAGTGATCCATCACATGCATTGTCATGGGATGACTGGAGAAAGATTGACAGCACCGAAAGGGCTGCGGGCAAGCTAAAAGGAAAAGAGAGAGAAAAGTTCACAAGCGTCAGCGACATGCTGGCAGTTGTACGATAGACATAGAGAGAAAGATGATATTGTGTAGAAATTGTACAATAGTGTATTTATAATTTAGTTTTTAACCTTTTCTGTCAGCTCAGGGACCTTCTCAAACAGATCACCGACCAGACCAACGTCAGCTACTTGGAAGATGGGGGCATCCGCATCCTTGTTAATGGCAGCAATGACCTTGCTGTCCTTCATACCAGCCAAGTGCTGAATGGCGCCGGAAATACCGACAGCCATGTACAGCTGGGGAGCAACAACCTTGCCAGTCTGACCGACTTGCAAGCTGTTGTCGGCGTAGCCACTGTCAACAGCGGCGCGCGAGGCACCAACGGCAGCGCCGAGAGCGTCCGCCAGAGGCAGCATGACCTTGTCGAAGTCCTCCTTGGACTTGAGACCACGGCCGCCAGACACAACCTTGCCTGCAGTAGCGAGATCAGGGCGGTCAGACTTGGCGAGGTCCTCCGAAACCCATTCCGAGGTAGCGGCGGCGTTGGCATCGGCACCAGCCTCGATGGCAGCAGAGCCAGATGTGGGGGCCTCAGCGGCGAAAGCGGTACCGCGAACAGTCAGGATCTTAACGGGGTCGGTCGATTCGACAGTGGCGATGGCGTTTCCGGCATAGATAGGTCGGACAAAGGTCGTCTCGTTCTCGATTCCGGTGACATCGGACAGCTGCTGAACGTCGAGCAGGGCAGCGACGCGGGGAAGAACATTCTTGCCAAAGGCGCTGTGGCTGGCAATAACGTGAGTGTAACCGCCCTTCTTAATGTTTTCTACCAAAAGCGTGGCGAAGTTCTCAGGGAGGCCCTGTTGTTGTGCATGTTAGTGGTTTTGGTGCGTCATTACCTCGGCCATTATGCGCAACCCACCTTTTCGTATGCGGCATTGTCAATGGTGATAATCTTCTCGATGCCGTCGACCTTGGCCGCCTCTTCAGCAGCAGACTTGACGCTGGCACCGGCAAGGAAGCCGTGAACGTTGCCTCCGAGCTTTTTGGCCGCAGTAAAGGCGCTCAGCGAGCCGGCGCTCAATTTGCCCTCGCGCTGCTCGAGCACAGCAAGGACGGACAATGAGCGCCTCTGTGCCTGAGCCTGGGCAGCAACGCGGCCAATTGCCTCGCTACCGCGTTGGGCCAAAACTCTCTTGGTCGTGGAAAACATGGTAGCGTCGTGTGGGTTGTCAATGCAGCGTTGTGACTGCCGAGCAAGGCCTGGAGAAAGAGATGTCAACGGGTACCCGGGTGGACGCGGCCCAAGTAGAGCTTAACCGTGCCGGCTCTCGGGATACCGGTCGGAGCTCTCACGTGATGCGATTCCGGCTCAATTTCGTAGCGACAAAGCAGCGCCAGGCTGCGAGCGAAAGGTAGTATATCATCACGTGATTGTATGACACGTGACGCAACACCCCTTGCCTGATGCGTTGAGGTCAGGGCGACGCCTGCGACTTGCTTTCGTCGCGCGCCAAAATTTAATCAGACGCGACTCCATCAATCGATCGCATCGACATCATCGCGACGACAATTACTTTACAACTGTTGTCGAAGCTATCTTACTGATAGACATACCCCATTATTGCAACATCGATTGTTTCAGCTGCTAGGCTTACGCGACGCGCCGGGCGACAGTAGCGACCGCGGTCCGATCCCATCATACAGCTTTAAGTCCTTGAACGGAACATTGTTGCGCATCAATCGCAATGGAGGACTCAACGACTTACGGATCGCCAGCCAACGAGGCTTCCCCTGACGGTAACCCTCTCCTTGCCCAGCCTCCTCTGGAGCAAGACGACGCTGGTGATTCCGCCCAAGGTAAGCTACCATCTGGCAACGACAACCATCACCAGGAAGCTAATTCCTTCTCGTTGTAGATATTCAAATGTCCGAAAACGTACAGGATAGTGAAACACCGGCTGCTGGTGCCGCTGGTTCGGAAAACCCTCCCGATGACTCCGAAGCCCCTGCGAACGCTGCCGCTGGTGATCAAGAGATGGGCGAAGCACCTGCGGATGGCAAGGACGCTGAGGCTCTTGAAGATGGCGCTGCTGCCGGTGAAGATGAATCCAAGAGCAAAGAGGCTGTTGAGTCAGCCGCCCGCGAGCATCTTATCAGCCAAACGCACGCCATTGTCCTTCCTAGCTACAGCACTTGGTTCGACATGAACGCGATCCATGACATCGAGCGCAAAGCCATGGCCGAATTCTTCAACAACCGCAATCGTAGCAAGACACCTGCTGTCTACAAAGACTACCGTGATTTCATGATTAACACATACCGCCTTAACCCCATCGAGTACCTGACTGTTACGGCTTGCCGAAGAAACTTGGCTGGTGATGTCTGCGCCATCATGCGTGTCCATGCTTTCCTGGAACAGTGGGGTCTTATCAACTATCAGGTAAAGCGAATCTATCCTGTCTCTCTATTTTGGGTGCTGTTGCTAACAAAGCTTTCTTCAGGTCGACGCCGAGTCTCGCCCGTCCCCAGTTGGCCCTCCATTCACCGGTCACTTCAAGATTATTTGCGATACCCCTCGTGGCCTCCAGCCCTGGCAGCCATCTGCTGACCCTGTTGTGATTGAAGGCAAGAAGAGCAGTGATACAGATGCTAAGGCCAGTGCGCCAGCACCAGCCAAGGCGGATCTTAACCTGGAAATTGGACGCAATATTTACGAGGGCAACGCACAGGGCTCGTCCGTCACCAAGACAGAAGAGAAGGCCAACGGCGAGGCCACGGCTACAAATGGTGTCACTAGCCTTGATGAAGCTACAAAGACACCAGTGGTCAAGGTCACTTGCCACCAGTGCGGCAACGACTGCACCCGCGTATACTACCACAGCAACCAGACCGACGCCTCTACCAAGGGCAAATACGATGTTTGCCCAACCTGCTACGCTGAGGGCCGCCTCCCTGCCAACCACACTGCTAGCATGTACACCAAGCAGGAAAACCCCACATACACAACCGTCTTGGACCGTGACGCTCCCTGGAGCGATGCTGAGACTCTGCGTCTGTTGGAAGGTCTCGAACGATTCGACGAAGACTGGGCCGAGATTGCAGAGCATGTCGGCACCCGCACCCGAGAGGAGTGTGTCCTCCAGTTCTTGCAGTTGGATATTGAAGAGAAGTACCTCGACGCTGAGGTTGGCTCTAGCGCACCTACTGGATTGTCTTTCTTCGGACCTCAAAACGGTCAGCTCCCCTTTAACCAAGTCGATATCCCTGTCATGTCCGTCGTAGGTTTCTTGGCCAGCTTGGCCGACCCCGCCAGCACTGCTGCCGCGGCCAACAAGTCCGCCGAGGAGCTCAAGAAGAACCTTCGCAAGCAGCTCGAGAGCGGCAAGAAGGCTTCCGACGGCACAAATGGAAGCGAGGAGAAGAAGAAGGATGGCGAGGATGTCATGGATGTCGATGCTACCAAGGAGGAGCCCCTCGCTGTAAAGTCGGACAAGGGCTCAGCTCTTGCTTCCATCCCTCTGGCCTCTATGGGTGCCCGCGCCTCGGCTTTCGCTTCCCATGAGGAGCGCGAGATGACACGCCTCGTGTCTGCTGCTACCAACGTTATGCTGCAAAAGCTTGAGATGAAGCTCAAGTACTTTAATGAGCTCGAGTCTATTTTGCGTGAAGAGCGACGAGAGTTGGAGCGTGGACGTCAGCAGCTCTTCTTGGACCGCCTGGCATTCCGCCGCCGCGTCCGAGATGTCCAGGACAGCCTCAAGGTCGCGGCTGAGGCCGGCGGCGAGCAAGGTGCCCGCCTGGCACAGGATGCTATGCGTGACGGAGACGCCATGGGCTTCCAGCCCGCCTCAGCAGGTGGCATGATGCAGCCTTCTATGGTAGAGGGCGCTGCTGTCAAGAGCTTCGAGGCCTAAGTTTAATGCGTGGACGGATGCTAAAAGGAGTAGCCCAGCCTGGCTAAGGGCCAAGCACGGAAGCAACCGGCCGAGGGCGTTGGTAGATTGCCCGGAACCCAGCGCTTGATGTGCACTATATGTGGAGGCGGCCAACAGAATCGGACGATGCGACACAGTGCAATCGGGCCTTGCTTCTTACGAGGCTACAAAAAAGCTGCACATTGGAAAGATGAGCACGAGGCCGCTGAATTGTCACGCCAAGCTTGCCGGTTATTGGGCTTTTGTTACATTTTTTTGTTCCTTTTGTTCTCCTTTGCCTGTTCTTTCTATTTTTTTGTGTTGTTATTATTACATTTTACATGTAGCTGTAACTGGTAGGCGGAGTTATATGGGATCTCAATGATGAAGACCGTTTATTAGCGAACATGTATTGATCATCTGTTGTATTGTGCTGTGCTGTACCGTAGTTGTTTCGAATTGATGTATGTTGTAGATATCAACTTGGTACGCTGTTCTGTCTGCGTTGACGAGTCCGGGCCGAAGCAGTCGGAGACCGGCGAAAATTGGAAAAGGCCGGCCGACAGGATGGGGAGATCGCTAGTTGCTGTATTAGCGCTGCATCGGCGAACTCCTCTTTCGGCGCACCGTGAGAGGTGGACGACGATGCAGGTTAGTGAAATTGAGTTGTGATGTTTCTGCGAGTCCGTTGGAGCCCAATTGGACTGGTACCTGTATTTTCTTTCATATAAAACAATGCATTATCGTGTTTTGGCTGCTGAGAGAACCACCCGATTTACAGTGCACAGTTCCCCAGATCCACTTGCCTCGGGCACTGTCTGGTGTCGCCCATCGTCCCCCGTAGTTACAGCGGGTCATCCCCCGGAGAGGGTCCGCAACAGTGCTGTGGTACCCGGCTGACTGTACAGTGCCAAAGGCTACCCAGGCACAGCAACCTCGGTTGTTCCTTCCCTACCACACAGGCTACGCTGCCACTTTTCTCCACGTTTCCGAAGCCGCCGGCCGCCAAACACCCGCCCACGGCTCCGCGCTGCCTCTCCACAAACACATGCTTGTGCGGTAAACTCTTTTTGCTCGATCGTGCCCACCACACCTTTTCTGCCTTTCTTCTTTTTCTTCTTCTTTTCTCCTCCACGTGAAAGTTACAGGCATTGGCCATGTTAAGCTCATTCCGTGCATTGGGATTGAGGAACACCGTCCGACGCATTGCGACGCCCTCGGTAAGCATGACGCCCTCACTCCCCAATTCCCTCGTGCCTGCGATGCTGCCGCCGCGCTGCTCGCTATAATCACGCACCGCCCGTTTTGCTTCTCAATTCGACGTCCCGTTCTGCCTCTCTTGCATCTGAACGCGCAGTCTTGCCGCTGCGGCCCTCTGTCTTATCATATTGCTGACTCTCCCTCGCGCAGAACATCATCATGGCTCCCACCAAGCGACAGTCTAGCGGCCTCCCTGCAGGTAAGAACCAACCCCGAAAAGATGGAGACAAATTGACCAAGAGTCTAACATGCGTCTTCCTTCCCTTTACAGGCTATGTTGAAGACAAGTCCAAAGGCGCCATGCTGCGCTTCCAAGAGTCTCTCCCTAAACTCCCCGTACCCACGCTCGAAGAGACTGCCTCCAGATACCTCAAGACGCTCCGTCCTCTGCTGACTGAGGCCGAGTTTGAGAAGAGCAAGGCCGCTGTTGGCGACTTTGTCAAGCCTGGCGGCGCTGGCCACAAGCTGCAGGAAAAGCTGGTCGCAAAGGCCAAGGACCCCAACACTAAGAACTGGATCTACGAGTGGTGGAACGACGCCGCCTACCTGTCTTACCGCGACCCCGTTGTCCCCTACGTCAGCTACTTCTACTCTCACCGCGATGATCGCCGCCGCCGCGACCCATCCAAGCGCGCTGCCGCCATCACCACTTCTGTTCTCGAATTCAAGAAGCTAGTCGACGCTGGCGAGCTTGAGCCTGAGTACATGAAGAAGCTCCCCATCTGCATGGACAGCTACAAGTGGATGTTCAACTGCAGCCGTGTCGCCGCCCGTCCTGCCGACTACCCTATCAAGTTCTCTCACGAGGAGAACAAGCACATCATTGTCATCCGCAAGAACCAGTTCTTCAAGGTTCTCCACGAAGTCAACGGCACTCCCCTCAACGTCTCTGAGCTTGAGCAGCAGTTCCGCCGCGTCTACGAGCTCGCTCAGCAGGTCCCTGCTGTCGGTGCTCTCACTTCTGAGAACCGCGACATCTGGAGTGATGCTCGCGAACTCCTCATCAAGGTCAGCCCCCAGAACAAGGCTTCGCTCGAGACCATCGAGGCCGCCTCATTCGTTGTCTGCCTTGACGACGCTTCTCCCGTCACTCTCGAGGAGCGCGCTCACCAGTACTGGCACGGCGACGGTCTCAACCGCTGGTACGATAAGCCCCTTCAGTTCATTGTCAACGACAACGGTACCTCTGGCTTCATGGGCGAGCACTCCATGATGGACGGCACGCCTACCCACCGCCTCAACGACTACATCAACGACCTCATCTTCAACAACAAGATTGACCTGTCCGCCACCTCTGTCCGATCCAACCTCCCCGAGCCCCAGGTTGTCAAGTTCGATGTTACTCCCGATGTGCAGAAGGAGATTGACCGTGCCATCACTGATTTCCGCACCGTCATTGGCCAGCACCAACTTGCTGTCCAGGCTTTCCAGGGCTACGGAAAGGGTCTTATCAAGAAGTTCAAGTGCTCTCCCGACGCCTACGTTCAGATGATCATCCAGCTCGCCTACTTCAAGATGTACGGCAAGAACCGACCTACCTACGAGTCCGCCGCTGTCCGTCGCTTCCAGCTTGGCCGTACTGAGACTTGCCGCACAGTGTCTGAGGACTCTACTGCTTGGTGCAAGTCGATGAGCGATGCTTCTGTTGACGATAAGACTCGCATTGAGCTTTTCCACACTGCTATCAAGTCTCACATTGAATACATCAGCTCTGCGTCCGACGGTAAGGGTGTCGACAGACATCTTTTCGGTCTTAAGAAGCTGCTCCAGCCTGGCGAGGAGGTTCCTGCTATCTACCAGGACCCTGCTTTCGGTTACTCTTCATCTTGGTACATTTCGTCTTCCCAGCTGAGCTCCGAGTTCTTCAACGGCTACGGATGGAGCCAGGTTATCGACGGCGGCTTTGGTATTGCATACATGATCAACGAGAACAGGTAAGTTTCTGTCCATTTATAACTATATTTGGTTAAAGGTAACTAACACAATTCTGTAGCATCAACTTCAATGTCGTCTCCAAGGGACTCGGCAGCGACCGCATGAGCTACTACCTGAACGAAGCTGCTTCTGAGATGCGCGACCTTCTCACCCCTACACTGGCCCCTCCCAAGGCCAAGCTGTAAAGAGCACAAAAAGTCGACCAACAGGGAAATTTGGTGTGCGCATTGGCTTAGCTATATGCGATCGACGTATTTATAGAATTTTATTTTGTAGAGCGATTTGACGGGATGACGAAGGCTACATAGACAAGGAGTCATATCAAGGTTGGCAGATACCATTGTATTGCCAATACCCCAATGCGGATTTTGTATGCTAAGAATAGGCACTGATCGTCTCAGTACTCCTTGTGTAAAAGAAATAGAAAGAATTTGTGATATTACGTTTCTAGCAAGAGTGACTCTCTAAGTCCAGGCCCCCAAGGAGACAGGAGAGATCGACAGAGGCGGCCAGCAATGTGTACATCCTTGCTTGTGGCACAAAATGTGTTAGTTTGTAGGCGCGCTATATACAAAAAACTGGAACCATACCCCAAAAGACAATCAACCAGCGTGAGCAACAATCTCGTTGACAAGATCATTCTTGTCAGGGTCGTAGTATGAGCACATCTGCGACGGCAAGGGGACCTCCTTGTAGTCCTCATCAGGGCCAGAGATGACGTTGAGGTTGATGCCATCAGATTTGCTGTGGAATATCTTGGTGGTAGTGCTCTCCTTGCTGAAGTAGATTTGCGCACCGTCAACCTGGTCCATCATGACGGTTGGAATGGTGCCCATGACTTGCAAGGCAAAGTTCTGTGCCTTTACTACATCAACCGTTGAGACCAGAGAATCCACAACTAGCGACAGTCGAGACGAGTTTTCGATAGTGACTTGGTTGGCCTTGCCCTTGACGATGATCGTAGTGTTGTTGCAGCGGCTGATGAGAATAGAATGAGACAAAGAGGCTTCGATCTCAATTGGTACGGCTTCCTTCTCAAAGTTTTCCTAGTTTCTCATTAGTGGTAAGTACAATCTAAACCTCGAGGAAACCTACGATTGTCCACTTGTTTCCTTCAAGCTCTTTCTTGGAGGGTTTCTTAACTCTCATACTCTCTGGCTTGGGTTTCTTGCCAGGGGCAGGACTTTTTGGTCGTGCGGAGTCAGAAACGGTCGCTGCTGCTCGCAGTGAAGGGTTCTTGTGAGTCATTTCAGACTTGTCGACCTTGCGTAGACCCTTCGTAACAGATTCTCCCTTGTTGAGTTCTGAAAAGACTGCACCAAGTCCGCCAGCGGCTGAAGGAGCAGCCGCAGGAGCACTCTCTGTCTTGATATCCAGCACCGGGGGAGGACCAGGAGGAGGAGGAGGGGGTGGAGGAGGACCTCCGGCAGCAGGAGCAGCGGGAGGTGCGTTAGTAGAAGATGCAGCCAACGCCTTGGCCACTGCACTGGCTGAGTCTCCTTTAGGGTTCCATTGTATACCGTTGGGATAATGCTGCTTCACAAGATCGCGCAGGTCCTTGAAGATGGCGTAGAATGATTGAATCCATTCGACCTGCTTAGGGTCCCTATAGCACGATTGTTTAGTAAATAGATAATAGGCAGATAAAGGTGGAAGCTAATGCATACTTATCCTTGTATTCCTTGATAACTCGGTTGCCGAAGAACTGAGCAGAGCTCAAGAATTCCTCGACGTGAGTAAAGGGTCGGTGGGCGACAGTAACCCAAGCAAGAACCATAATGCCGTCACCGACAGCGCTAAGCTGAGTATACATGGGATCTCCTCGGTTGGATTCCTTTATGTCTGTGACGGCCATTAGAGACTCGTTAATGGGTTTGAGCAAATCTTGGTAAACTGCCATCTCGGCACCGGAGAGATCCGGCTTAGCGGCTTTGGTGGTAATAAATAGGAACTTTCGCTGTTCCTTGAATCCGCTGAATACAAGTTCGGCCTAGGAAGAACAGTCGACGTGTCAGTATGTAATGATGCGTATTTGAAAAGTTGAGAGGGCGAGGCATCGTACCTGTTTTGCTACTAAGCCGCCGAGTTCCTTGCTGAGCGATACAAACTTGGTAACAGGACCATTGAGGAATGTGTCGAAGTCTTCGATAGCCTCGGGAAGCTCCTCAGGTTCCGGGACAGGTGCTGCCTTGGGAGCTGGAGCTCCCGCTGCTGAGACAACTCCGGCGGGGGATGCATCGGGATGGGCACGCGCGGCGCCGTCTTCCGCCGGTTCTGTAGATGTCGCGATATCTTCGAGTCGGGAGGTAGCTGCTTCCAGTCTACATTGGGCTGTTAGAAACTGATTATAAGGCTGTCGGACGAAATTGGGGCTGGACGAACCGCTTGATCAGCGTTGTTAGGTTGTGCATGTGGCTATTGGCGGCCATGTTGATGACAGAGCCTCGATGGCAGTGACGTGGCAGGTGCTGGACGATGACCGTTGTTCTGAGGGGCCCGATTGGTGAGGGTGCGATGAGATTGAGTGCTGGGGATTAGAGCGTCTTGAGGGATGCTAATTGATGCTAGAGTTGCAAAGGTGATGGTCTGAGCTACTTGCAGCAGAGGTGGACAAAGATGACGAGGCGAGACTGTTGGCCCGGGGCTCGAGACAGGGGGAGCCCCGCTGCCTGGCCGATTCTCCTGAGTAGCGCTCCAAACGGCCGGGTGGCTGCCAAGTGCCAGGCAACTGGCAAAAAAGATTAGGCAGTAGCTCAAAGTCGGACAATGCGATGGAGAATAAAAATAAAAATAAAATAAAATGGGCTGATTGAATTAAAAGACATAGTTTCTACAGAAATGAGTAATGTATAACTTGTCCCACCATTTTTAGTCTTTACATCGGCGTCTGGCTTTGGTACGGCGGCTGCTACTACTATTCACAGCCGTGGGGCTTTGCATGAGTACCCTTCACCTAAGCTCCCTTCACTCAACAAAAAAAATAGACGCAAGTACAAATCACAAAAGAGGATGGTTTAAAAAAATTCAATTCAGGCTATGTAGAGCACAATTTCCCCTGTAGATTGAATCTTAGACCAAGGAGCTATATCAGCATTACGCTCGCAAATCTACAGATAATATGCGCAGCGCGCTATAACGTGACCCTGCATATTGTAACTCACCTAACTTGCAGATGCGGCTCTCACCGACATGCAGCGCGCTATATCCCTTCACCCCAGCGTCTGATTCTGCAACTTGAAGCCTGAAATATAGTTATTCGGCATTTTGCATCTTGAATCCAATTGATGCACTGCTAAACGATCTTGGAAACCTTTTTAAAACCTGCAAGGTTCAGTCCACTAGGTGGAAAATCTGTCGACCTCATGGAAGATAACGATTCGTCCGCCCAGCCTTCTCAGGCGACGGCAGAAACTTGCATAGATTTTGTAACACTTGGAATGTTTATCATAGGTGATTTATAACGCACAAACAATGTATAACACACACGCTAACACCGTTAATAGACGATATCGACTTTGTACCGCCGAAGCCACCCGTCAAGGGCATCTTGGGCGGCGCTGGCGCGTACTCAGCACTTGGCGCTCGCTTGTTTTCACCTGGTGAAAAGACATCCTCAGTTGGTTGGATAGTAGATCAAGGCTCAGATTTTCCATCCAACCTCAAAACCCTAATCGATGGCTGGGACACAACTGCCGTCTTCCGCTACGATCCAAACCGACTCACCACCAGAGGCTGGAATGGCTATGAGGGAACAGATGATCACAGGTCATTCAAATACATGACACCCAAGAAACGGCTAACAGGGGAAGATCTAACCCCTGAATTACTACAGTCACGGTCGTTTCACCTAATTTGTTCCCCACTACGATGTCAGGAGCTTGTCAAGGATATTACATCGAAGAGAAAAAAGGTCATGCCCGCAGACGGCTATTGCAAGCCAATCTTTGTTTGGGAACCAGTGCCAGACTTATGTACACCGGAAGAACTGCTCAATTGCACCAACACACTGCCGATGATTGATATCTGCAGCCCGAACCACACCGAGCTTGCTGGATTCATGGGTGACCATGGCCTGGATCCGGAGACAGGCCGTATATGCACCGCTAGCGTTGAACGCGCCTGTGAACAATTGCTAGGCAGTATGCCGTTGCAATCGTACGCTATTGTCGTCCGTGCTGGTGAGAAGGGATGCTATATTGCCAAGAACGGTGGCAGAAAACGAAAGCGAGCAGAGGCATCAAAAGCCGCGCCACGCAAGCAGTTGATCCATGGAAGCTTGAATCCAGAAATTGACATGGAGGCTCTTTTAGCAGGACTAATGCAAGGCGATGATGGCGTGGTAGACACACAGGAGATTGAAGTCGACCCGGGAATTGAGAAATGGATTCCAGCCTACCATCAAGATCCTTCAAACGTGGTTGATCCTACGGGAGGAGGTAATACCTTCCTTGGTGCAATGACTGTTGCATTGGCTCGTGGCGAGGATATTGAAACTGCAACAATTTGGGGCTCGACGGCCGCTAGCCTTGCCATCGAACAGGTTGGGATGCCCACTATTGGTTCCGATTCATCAAGAAGAGAGACATGGAACAGCGTCGTCATTGATGAGCGGTTGAGCGAATATGAACAAAGAATTCATGAGACACAGTGACAGCTCGGATGGGTATACATCTAGAACCTAAGAACCAGACATAGGGTAGAGTATCAAATCATAGAAACACTAAGGATGAGCATCAAATGCATGCACGGTTACCGTAAGTACTACCTATAATTTAACGAATCTTTGTACGACCTCCACATTGACCTTAAATCATGAAACCGACTAAACCTATCTCCAGACGCCAAAATATCAATCATAAACCCGAGTCCGCTAAATCTTATATACCAAATCGCCGTCCGCAAACCTGAATATCCAGTTAGCTGCTGAGTGTCTTTAAACACCGTGATACTGTAGCCAACTTACATGATGTGATTCGCTTCTTCAAGTTTCTTGAGAGCCTTGATGGACTCGGGTTTCCCAAAGGCGCCACCATCCCGGTTTCCGACCTTCTTATTGACGGCAGTGATGACTTTGTCAAGACTGGCCGCATCATCCTCAAAGAGATCTGTGTTCAGTAGCTGACCTAGAGCTGTGCGGAAAGTTGCCAATCGACTGGTGGTGATTGGAGTATCATCAATGGCCAGTTCTGCAGCGCCATCGGCCAAGGACTCGTCCTGAGACTGAGAAGGTAGCTGAGAAGCGGGAAGTGACGATGCAAACGATGTCTGCGACTGCGAGGTTGCGTTTGCCGATCTTGTGCTTCGGTGAGGTGCTGATGAAGAGGCAGCCTCTTCTTCGTCATCCTCGTCATCGTCTTCGTCATCATCTTCAAGATCATTAGAAGTCGCGACACCTTTACCGTTGGCAGTTCTTCTCGGACCAGTTTGAGAGCGCGTAGCCCTTGAGGAACCTTCTGCAGGGCGACTTCCCTTGAATGCGGCGTCATTTTCGTCATCCTCATCGTCATCATCGTCATCATCTTCTTCATCGCTTGAGATATCCATCTCAACAGTGTTGGTCCTGCGACGCTTCTTTCGCGATTCCTCAACAACTTCCTTGAAAAGGGCAAATCGCAGAATAGCCTCTGCAGCAAGAGCATCACGCTCCTCAACCTGGCTAGAGAGACGTGATTTGGCATGAGCAGTAGCCAGACGGATAACTGTTTCAAGAGTACGAACGGTTAAAGGACTCGTTCTGCGCTGGTTACCTTCCATCTCATCATTGCGAAGGCCGACGTAGATTTCGGCAATGCGGTTCGAAGCCTCTTGGGTTAGGACGGGTCGAATTCGCGTCTTTGCATATTGGATGTACTTCTTCATGAACGGAATACTGAGAATTTCGGGCTTTTTGTTGGCTCCACGGCCAGTAGTGTGTGTCACACCAGCATGCAGCATTGCATCAAACTTTTCATATACATCTGTAGGTCCTGCAGTTGTAGTCTGGGTGTCGGCAGAGACGCCTAAAAATTGTGACGCTTGTTCGCGGACAGGGGCTCCCTCTTCAGTACCAGGCTGACGGTATCGGTGCATGCGCAAAACGTGCTCAGATACTTGACGGTCTCTAGTATCCTCAATATCATCTGTCACGACAAACAATAAATCGAAACGGGAGAGAAGGGAGTCTGGAAGAGCGATGTTTTTGTGAGGATCTTTGTGCGGGTCGTATTGCCCAAAGACTGGGTTGGCAGCAGCGACGACGGAACATCTCGCATTCAGAGAGGTATGGATACCCGCCTTGGCAATTGTGACAGTCTGCTGCTCCATGACTTCGTGGATGGCCACCCGATCATTGTCTGACATCTTATCGAACTCATCGATACACACGACACCTCTATCAGCCATGACCATGGCACCAGCTTCCAGGCGTCGTTCACCAGTCTCCTTGTCTGAAGTGACAGCAGCGGTCAAACCAACACCGGAAGAACCTCTACCGGTTGTTGCAATTGCCAGAGGGGCTGTGTTGAGAACAAAACGAAGCAACTGGGATTTGGCGGTAGATGGATCACCAACCATGAGAATGTTGATGTCACCTCTCAAATGGGTGCCGTTTTCCAAATTCTTCTCCATACCACCAAGAAGCATCAGGAGAATCGCCTTTTTGATATGGTCATGGCCATAGATACTCGGTGCTAGAGATTGAGACAGGAGCTCAAGGAGGTTCTTTTTCTTCGCTACTTTGTTGATGTTGCGAATGTCTGTGTCAGTGATGGTCGCAGTTGCCACGCCTCCACCGGATTTTGAAGAAAGGAGGACGATGTTGTTGGCGAGAATCACAGACTTGAAGAGCGCACTGTTGTGGTTTGTGTTTCGGTTACCAAGGGTTCTGAAAATGCCAACCAATTGGACACGGTCACCTGGCTTCACTTTATCGACCAGGTCATCATCCAGAATCACGTCAACGCCACGGGGCAGTTGACCGGCCGGTGCTCGCTCGGGCATTTCCTGAATAGAAATTGTTTGATGATCTCTGTAAGTGCAGAAGCCATACTCGGTAACCAAGGGGTTACCCTCCTCATCTTCGCGGGGATATACACTCGACGATGTAGCACCATTTGTCATCGTTTGATCCTGGTACTCTCGAAAGTGGAAAGTCTCTTTTTTGTCGTTCCAATGCACACTTCTTACAATTTTCGGTCGGATCAGCGAACATCTTGTGACAATACCCTCTAGGGAAACCATCGCATTGAGATGGTTAGACGACAATGTTCGAGGGTTACAGGCGTTGAGTCCGAAGCTACCTGCCCAGGCGCAGTAGTAGACTGTATCTTGCGCTCGTTGATCTGGTCTCGACTGAGGAAGCGATTCAACGATCTGTTTGAGGGCATGGTTGAAGGCGAGGGTGTAGTCAAATGGCTGCTGCAGGATTCCGTCGGCAAGTTCAGGGTTGTGATCGCGAACATGGTTGATATTGACAGTCAGGCGGCGCTGGTTCTTCTGAATCATCAGAATAATGTCAGATCTGTAGCTGCGCTCATGTGCTCCCTCCCCTACAATGGTCAGCTTCGAGTGGTTGGTAGGTTTCAAATGGCGGGGTTCAACATACTCGGATCGAGGAATTCTGAAGCCTGATGGATGCGGTCTTTGACCTCACCATCTTCAAGCATATAAGCATCCATTTTCACTTTACTCTCGGAGGTTAATAGCTGGAAAGTGATGCTTTGGTAAAGTTGAGAGGGCAGGTGCGAAGTCCAAAAGGGAGGGTGGTTGTTAGTATTGTGGGAGGGCAAGGTGGGCGCGTATGCGCGTTCGACGCGTCGAGGTCGCGTAAAGTGGTTATGCTTGTGTGGGCCAGACGAGAGAGAGAGAGGGGGTGGTTTCCGAGGGGAGCGATTATTACATAATGTTGCTGCTATGCGCCAGTAGAGCATCCACTTCGTCAGGCGGCGGCTGCTCTAGCGCTCACTACAGCGAACTCGTCGTGGTTACAAAGATAGGCTTGCCGCGCTGCATATATTGCTGAAAAAAATATTCTTCTTATTTTACTCTATTTAATCTGCAAAGTATCGGCACATACAGACAGCACTGACAAGTGCACGTGTCCACCGACATGATGGCCGTGGGATTGGCGACCAGCCCCAGCGCCATAGACGAAGAAGCCCGCGCTGAAGTAGATGTCTTGACGTCTCGTTTGGATAAAACTACGCAACTCACGAAGAAAATCCAAGCATGCCTTGGGCGACTTGAATCTACAGGACAGAGTGTCAAGGATGTCGTGGGACCTTTGAACGGCGAGACCAAGCGCTTGCAGGTCCTTGGAGGCAGTCAGTTTGCCAAAACAAGAAAGATACGGTGTTTTTGCTAACAGATGCATTATAGACGTTGATTCCGTATTGTCAGCAATCGACCGTCTGCGCCAGCCTGCTGATAATCAACAAGATGAGGAGCACGTCATCAGATCAGGTCCAGACAAGGCTGGGTTGTCCGCATATTTGGCATCCTTGAAACGCCTCAATCGATCTCATGCAGATATGCAGGCATCGAATTTGCGAGCAAACCAACAACATCAAGCAGATATGATGCGACTTATTAAGATGGGAAATGCACAACTCGAAGGCTATTTTGATAATCTTCTGCGTGGTGAGACTCCTCGATCGGTCGAGCCGCTACATTATATCACCAAAAACCAGCCATTCCCGACGATACCGCAAGAATCAATCACGAAATTGGGCCTGCTATATTCATACTTTAGTGGCCAGAAGCAAAGCACCGGATATGAGTCTCCAGCGAAGAAGATATATACGGAAGTACGAGGCCCATACATATCGCTCTCTCTTGCGAATCTCGCTGCTGCCAGTGTCAACACAGCAAAGAAGAAGGTTCCTGGTGCTATGTATCGCGCAGGGACCAACGGAATAGGAACATACGCAAAGGCCATGGAAGGGATCTTTGTGGCAGAGTATGACAACATCTGCAGCATATTTAGCCGCGAAGAATGGGGCATAGTTTTCCAGTCTGCATGCCAGGGAGCTTTAACAGAACTGGCCCGTACATTGCGAGAACTTAATGCTCACATTAAAGGACATTTGAGCACCGACTGCTGTCTGGCTTACGAAGTGATGGACATTTTGGGAACATTGTCGACAAGTTTAGAGAGCCGCACTGGAGAACTGAAGTCCTCCTTGACAGCCACATTAAAGCCTGTTAAGGAAACAGCGAAGCTTTCCTTGTCCGACATGCTCGATGAGATCAGACGCCGAGCCGCTGGTCTACAGTCCTTGCCAGCTGACGGCGCCCCCGTGTCTCTTGTCCCCGAAACTATGCAACGCATGCAAACCATGCTCGAATTTTTGCGACCTATATCAAGCGTTATGATATCTATTGGCGATGGAGGCTGGAAGAACGGTGCTGCTAATGGAAGATCTACCGACATGGTACCTAGCCTAGCATCGTTTGATGTTGGTGCTGATGGCCACGATATTTTCGCCAACTACTGCATGGATACAATCGACACCCTACTCACATCGCTTGAGGCAAAGGCTAAAATGATGATGCGAGCGAAGTCTGTCCAAGGCGTATTCCTCGCCAACATATTAGTCCTCATCGAGCGAGCTATCCGCACATCAGAGCTGAATGGATTGCTTGAGAAGCGTTTAGATGCTCTTGACCCATGGCGGAAGAAGGCTACAGTGGCCTACACAGATGTTGTTAAAGATCTGGCCGTACACCTGTTTGATACTGTCACTACTAGCCGTGGCCAGCGACACCAATCTGGACCTCCCGACTCCGCAACAGTTGTTAAGGGCTTGAGCAGCAAAGAAAAGGACAAGATTAAGGAAAAGTTTTCGTCCTTTAACAGTGCATTTGATGACATGGTGGCAAAGCACAAATCATACAATATGGAGCGGGAAGTGCGCGGGATGTTTGGCGAAGATATCCGACAAAAGCTGCAACCGCTGTATGATCGCTTCTGGGATAAGTATCATGAGATCGACAAGGGTAAGGGCAAATACGTCAAGTATGACAAGGTTTCTATGGCAGGTGTTTTCACAACGATGTCATCATGAGATGGCGATAGTTAAGGAACGCAGATTTGGAACGATAACACGCGATCATGAAATCTTTTTTAAGCTAAACTTTTGTAATATACCAACCCAGGCCCATGAGAATGAACTACGCAAAATAATAAACCAGATAAACGTTGCTCTAGTCTTCTATGACGGAATACCGCTACCGAAGATCTTGTCAATGCGGGTTCTGCGTTCCCACATAATCTCCGATGTGCTCTTCTGTTTGAAGTAGAGAATTCTATGCTGGGGGATGAATTCTTCGTCTGTTTGCTCTGTTTTCCATTGTGTTAAAGCCTTCTCTTGGGCTCCAACGAATCGATCCTCAAATCCGACAATGTAGTCAGCCTGGTCGATGGTCATGTCCCAGCGAATGCGATTGAGGACATCAGCAGCTGAGCGGAATTTGCCCATACCTTCTGGTTTCGGAACGATAGAAGGTATAGTTTTTCCTTTCTTCAAATGTGCTAGCATAGCTTCTTCATATTCCTCATCATTGGCCTCCTCCTCATCGTCAGAGACATCACTGTCACTATTATCACCTCCGATAACGCTAGTGGTATCAACCACAATGCTGCCGATTTGGGATGACTTAACGATCGATGTTGCCATCCAGCAATTTTCTTTGTCGTAGTATTTGTCGTCATTCCTCATACGAGACTCGAAATCCTGCATTGCCGTTGTAACCGAGGCTTCAACTTTCCGCGTGTCGTCTTTAGTTTTGCCAAGATCCACTGCATCTGCTAAAGAAAGACCAATGAGATAGTATGCGTTGCATTCCGTAGTGTTAGGAACGTCGCCTTCGGCGCCATCTCTGAAGCGAGCTGGCCAAATCCGTGGCACTACGTCCGGGGCCTTTCTATTTAGATCTGCGTAAATGTCAGCTGTGGATTCAAGACGAGTGGGCAATGAATAGACCTACCGACAAGCAAAGACACGCATCTGGATTCAAGCCAGCCGAAGAATTTGCGTCCTCTGGAGGGTGAAGCCCCCCAGTATCTGGCGTCAATCTTCAAAAATCGTCGATGAGACGCGAGGAAGCTATTGAGACCACTCTCTTGAGTCTCAATTGAATGTTCCAGGTCCAAGTCTAGTATCTTAAACCAACTTGCATCACCTATTGATAACAGCGCTCTTGTCTTTGAGATCTCGGTCGCAATGGTCTTCACAGTGGGTTGTGAGAACGCCATCGTAGTATTGAGAGCCGGTGCATGCCATCCGAGTAGGCAAATCGGCTCACGTGAGATACGATGATACTTGAGATCTTTATGAAAGAATCCGTCGTAAACCAGTTGTTTGGCCCAATCAAACGAATCATAATGGTCGAAGAAGGTAGTCACAATGTCTGCTGTCGAAAAATGGGTAGTGGACTGGGCCAGCTCCTTGCAAATCGGTACAAGGAGAACGGCGAGATGAATGCCTCCGAGTAAGCCAAACTTGGCTCCGTATAGTCCATGAGTGATTGCCCATGCCTTTATAAACAGGAATGCAACTCGAAATTGGGCGAGGTCGGGCACGGAGCGTTGAATATAAAACATATCTCGTGCAGGTTTCAGCTTTGCCAAGGTCTGAACCGGTAAGGAAAAGCTCGGGTGCGAGGTTGGATAATTCATGATACTGGGATAGCTTTGATGCTGTTAGTAAACTGTCAATACGACCATTCAGTTAGCGGTAACTCACTTTTCAACAACTGAAGACGCAGCGCAATATTGAAGATCAAACTTGACTCCCAAAATGTCAAGTTCGAGCATAGTACCTGAATTAGCTTTGACCCGGCGGAGGAGTGTAATTCCACTATCGCTTGATTTGCGAAGGCGTTGAGTTGCCATAGTGAAGAAGAGCTTAGAGCTAATATTTCCAACACAAAGACAATCGACATCAGATTCGGCCATCCAAACTCCCAATCCAAACGACCCCACTGGGATCAAAACAAGTTGCAAGCTGTGATGAGCGTCGTGTGGAGGAGATGCCGTTTCGTTTTGAAGAAGAACCTTTTGAAGTAAAGCGATAGCTTCTTCTCTTTTGATTCGATCTTCACTTGATGGTATGAAGCCTCCTGCATGTAGCGTGTTCTTAATCTCTTCCATATCTCCAAGAGACGTAGGTGCTTTCGATAGGGTAACTGGTTTCAGTAAGTTTGACTGAGGGGTGGTATCAATGTCAGTGCTTTTGAAGAGACAACGGATTCCCCAGTGGTCACTAGCAACCTCAGCTGACATTCCTTCTCCTATCATGGCGGCATCTTGACCAAATATGTTAAACCCGGCTGGTCTAAATGGGAACCAGTTATTCGAAAAGATGCGATCATAGCGTTGAGGGCGAACGTTAAAGCCGCTGCCAACCATTTTCGAAGCTTGGCTATTTGTCATTGGATCAAAGGTTGCACCTTGTTCACCCTCAAACAGTTCGGTAATGAGCTTTCCTGAAGAAGCGCCAGTGGATGATTCGCCTGTCTCCAAACGTGTACCTAACCATGCATCCCGAAATCCGTAGGTAGAGAAAAGCTGTTCTATGCTTTGGAGGCATTGCTCGCCATTCTTAGAGAGAACATCTCGACGGATTGCTTGTTCAATCGCATAAGATGATGTTGTGATATTGAAGTCGCCTGCAATGACGCATGGATCTTGAGTGTGGAATTCTCTCAGGTAATTGAGGATCCGTAGCAGTTCAAGCTTCTTCGTCGTAACAGCACCATCTGTTAGACCTTGGCTCAAATGACAACCAACCACAACAAGTTGGCGCTCTTCCCCCTGTGGTGTGCGGAGCAAAACTGTTGGGAATGTAGCAACAGAGACACTCTTATGCTTTTTGGAAAGAGGGAGGTACTCCCAAGACAATGGGAAACGGCTGAGAATGACAATATTAACAAGACTGGGTAGTGGTCCAACACCGTCGGCTGCTGGTGCATTGGAAGAATATGGGTAACGAGATTGAATTTCAGTGTTGTTGAGCAAATGGGGAAGGAAACTGTCAGATACCTCTTGAAGCACTAAGATATCAGCAGTACCTCGTTTTGAAAGAATATTTTGCACCAGAGAACCGTATCGTGAGCAGTTTGGAGGCCATTGGAATTCGGCCAAGACGTTGTAAGAGGCGATAATAAGATGGTCGATACTTTCCGATTTGGATAGAGCATTTTCAGTATTTGATAGGGTCCATTTGTTCAGAGATGTGTCAAAACGGTACGACGGTTGAGCGAGTGGTGTGTATGGCGCGAGCTGATCCCCCTTTGGAGCGTAAAGAATGGGGTCCAGCGCCAAATTTAATAGGGATACTTGGCCATTTGACAGGTCAATTGATTTGTAGGCCCTCATTCGCTTTGTGCCATCCGCTTCGGGTTGTGCGTCTCTAACCATTACTGCCAGAGTACATGAAGTCCACGAGAGCGGCGCCATGAGGGCCACTTTATTGAAGAGAAACTTATGCGAGTCAGATTCGGTGTCCTCGCTTTGAGCAATGGTCATATGTGACTGAAATATAGCGTCTATGGGCCTGTTAAAGGCCTTGCGTAAGGTATTTGTAAGCTCGCGTAGCCGTTCTTGCGACCCCGCGTCTGGTTGTAAGTACATGGTGTTATTGTTTCGGTGGGAAAAGACGCCAGGCTTGTCAATATGTATCGATAGATGATTATAGGTCGAGATATCGGATTTTCGAATGTTCTCAATAGCATCATCGATAACTTCTGGGCGGACAAATGGATATATCAGGTTGATGTGAGGCGGCCACCTGCCATAGGCTTTGTCATACAACGCCCGAACACGGTTAATCGCTGGCCAAGCTGTTGTTGGTGGTATTAAACATAGTGCAGTGTCGTGAGATACATCCCACTGTCGATGTGTTGGTTCTGAATAATTCACCATGGTTGTTTTATGCCTTGGACGTTGTGATGGTGAAGTTGGAAGTGTTTGGGGAGATTTCGACGCCAGGATGCATACGCCGACAGACTTTATGCCGTGATAAATAATACCAAACAAAATTTGCAGCGAAAATCTGTGGAAATTGGTAAAATTGTAACTGCAACTCAAACGTCTGCAGCAGAATATTATATATTTATCTATTGAATGTAAGGTCCGTGAGCCTGGATGCCTTTTCCTGGTTTCGCAGGTGGAGCGCTATGGCCCGTTCAGCCTCGTGTAGTGAGGCACTGCCACACCATGGTACAGAAATAGTGTGATGACTCACGCTGCATGAAATTTCTGGTGAGTTACGACAGTCGAAATAGCCTTACTCATTAAAGAAGCTGAATTTCGAACCAATAATGCGCAAAGGGAGAAAGGAGTCCTGGCCAGCTACCATCACTCCGGATGACTCACTCTAATATGCTATCCACTGACGAGGCAGAAAAGGACGTGCTAGGGGCGAAAGCTCTAAATGGTAAAGGTAGATTATAGTATTACATGAGATCATTAGATGGGTATAAACAGAACACAGCAGCCAAAATATTGCTCCTCTGTCTTTACGTCGAGTAGTCGGGACCCCAATCGATTAGCTCGGAACTCGATCCTTTGCCCTCCATGACCGTTTCCAGCTTGTCCTCGACCGTTACCCAGCCCTGGCGTTTCTGTGAAATGGCATATCGGATGGGATCTCTCCATTCGCGCCACCATACCTCTTCCGATTGAACCAAGCATTTTCGGTTGGGCTCTCCGTTTTTCGTCGTAGCAAACGGCCAGACGACTTTGACGACCTCGTAGCGGTTCTTCCCAGAGAATAGGCTGGCAACGCTTGTGAAGAATTGATTGACCTTGTCGGGATTTTGCACCTGAACCTTGCTATGCGAGACGATGAAGCTGACATCAACACTTCCACGGTATTTTGTAGACGCAACCAGACTGCGCAGCTGGCCTTCCAGCCATGACACATCCAAGTTGGCAACAACGCGCTCCAAAGTAAACGATTTGACACTGGAGCCGTCCTCGACAAATCTACGACACCATTCTTCGAGTCCGCCGTCGCCAACCTCGGGCAAAACATCGGGTCTCGAGCCGCCGCGATAGGCTACTTCGTCGTGGCCGACGCAGCGGATGTAGTCCATTCGTAATCGCTCATCGTCGGGCAGGAGCAACGGCATAAGATTGACTTTGACATCAAAATCAACCTTTCTACCGCTTGTGCCTCGAATTTGGATTTGTGGTTTGGGTGGCACAGATGCTTGTGTTCGCATCAACGACAACAGTGCAGAGGCATTAGTAGATAGGTAGTCAGCTTTAGATGAGAGCGTCGTAAGGTCGTGAGAGAGCTTGAAGAGGGGAGGTGAATAGATTCTGTAGTCAATTTTGGGGAGGCCAGGATATCGAGGAAAACCCTTGTGAACCGTCGAGCTGGGTTGCGCAAACTGTGTGTTCTCTTCGCTGGGTGAGGCGGGCGACGGACCAGAGTACGGCGGCGGTGTTTGTGATCTGCCGACGGCCGCTTCTGTTGGCTGTTGAGCTTGCGGCGCTGGGATCGGCCGTTTCTCGTCGACGAGAGACATGGCAACAGATTTCTCACAAGAAGACTTGTGTCGGTCGAGGTTTGAAATCGGCCACTGGGCGGTGGAAGAGAGTGATGGTGCGGGAAGAAAAGAAGAGCTGGCGAGAGCGAGGTGGATATTCCGTGGCCCGTTGAACGGCAGATAGCTGAACCGCAGATATAAGAGAGTCCCTTGGCGCCACAATTCAATATATATGTATGTCTCCGGTAGATTTATTCAACAAAAATAGACTGAAGAAGAGGCATCCAAGAGAATGAAGTGAGAAATTTGTGCAATCAATCCCAAATTAATAAGAAGCAAGAAAAACACATGACGCGGTGTAGGCTAAATCTTTGTATGCGGACTACGCCATCACATGGCGGCCGCACGCTGTAAATACAGGGGGCTAGCGGCCGGCAACAGCGGCGTGGTGGGGCATGTTTGCGTGGCCTCGCGACATCAAGTCCAAAGAGGAAAGGTGGCTGTGGAGAGATGACGAGGCACGACTCAGCCTTAGCAGTAGAACAAAATAGATGCCTATTTAAAGTTGGGGATTTAAAGTTGGTGCCTAAAGGATGTGAACAAATGAAACGTGCCATGTCGATCATATTATTTAAGCCAAGGTTGATTTTGTGTTTGTCAGATTATTACATGGGAAGTTCTCCCGGTTATCTATTTTGTCTATAAACACGGCGCACCGAAACTAAGCTAAAGTGCTAGTATTTGCGATACAAAGCTTTTTAGATAGGGCGTTCCATCATCGTCATGGATGCAGCTCCTGTGCCTCCAAACGGGGCCAGATCGAATTCATATATACCTTGCGAAACATAACCATGCTTCTCGTACAGGGGACGACCAGCCGCAGTAGCCTCCAAGTAGGATGTGAGGCCGAGACGAGCAGCCTCTTCTTCTCCCCATTTCAAAATCATGTGGCCTGCTCCACGTCCCTGATGATCGGGATGTGTCGCTAGGAGAGAAAGATCTAGAGTAAAGCACGCGTGTTAGCAAAGCCTACCCAATCGTCTGAGAGTAGAGTAGAGTCGTAACCAATACTTACATAAGAGCGGCTTGCCCTCATATTTCTCGAAAAGAACCTTTTTCATACCACCGAAGAAAGCTCCACAAACTACTGGGTCAGAACCTGGCCCCTTATCCAATGCAATGGGCAGATTATCCTGGGACACGCCATCCTTCCAGACATACCAGACACCGAAGGTGATCCGGCTCTCTTTCCCCTGGGCCTCTAGCTCCTCGTCGACAATCTTGACGACCTGGACATGTGAAGACGAGAGCTTTTCTCGCATGCTGTTGATTCTACCAGACTCGTCCGCGTCAGGAGGAAATGGGCCTGGGTACATGAGAGCTCCAATAGGGCTCGTGCCAGAAAAGGCAACTTTCTCAATGGCAACGATGCGTTCAGCATCGTCAAGACTGCCCGGAACTATCTTGAGACCCATTTTCGGAGTTTTGTATGATGAGAAATAAAGATATCGTCTTGTAGAGCAGAAAGGGCGTATGAGGTTGCGGAGAGGAACCCGAATCGGCATGGGGATGGTGGCACGACTCTTTAAGTAGGCTTGACTAGCCAAGATAAATTATAACAAATGACTCAATCAGACGAAAAGGTGCAAGCAGGTTCGTCGCCCGGAAGAAACAGGAAACTGTGATGATAGCTTCCGCATTTGAAAAAATAATATTCTCTATTTTTTATGCTACTTCAAAGTATATAGAGTTTTTTACATCTTGCAAAGCGTGGTGCGTGCCTGCAGCCGGCTGCCGAACACGGCGAAATGTACACTGCCATACAAAAGCTGCGCATAGGCTACATCACCACGCTATGTATGACCACCACCCCCCTGGGAACCAGCGCTAAACCCAAACAGGACGTACCACCAGCGGCAAAGACCGGAAAATTTGCGGGACGCCAAAAGCCAAGCAACATTTTCTCTTCCTTGCCATTCCACGCGCCGTTTCGTCACTTTTCTTCTCGAATTCAACCAGCGACTTCTCCATCGTCGGGCTCATTATTTGCATCTCTTCGTCACCGCCCCCTTTTTTTTCTTCTTCTTCACACCACAGCAACAATGGATCACGGAAGAGACCCCTGCCCCTGGGTTATTCTCAATGACTTTGGCGGTGCCTTTTGTATGGGTGTATGTGTAGCCCCTTCTCCTTACCCGCATAGCTGTCGGCCCGCGCATCTCGACCAACGAGTCCTTTGTGGCGCGGGACTAGCATCGATTGCGTAGCAAGGCGCTATCTCTCTAGCATATTCTAACTTTAATTTAGGCCATCGGTGGTACCATCTGGCACGGCATCAAAGGCTTTCGCAACTCCCCCTACGGCGAGCGACGCATCGGCGCAATCACAGCCATCAAGATGAGAGCGCCTGTTCTCGGTGGTAACTTTGGTGTTTGGGGTGGTCTCTTCTCTACATTCGACTGCACCGTCAAGGGCATCCGCAAGAAGGAGGACCCTTGGAACGCCATCATCGCTGGCTTCTTCACTGGTGGCTCCCTCGCCATCCGTGGTGGCTACAAGGCTGCGCGCAACGGTGCCATTGGCTGTGCCGTTCTTTTGGCTGTCATTGAGGGTGTCGGTATCGGCTTCAGCAAGATGCTTGCCGGTTCGACCAAGCTCGAGGCTCCTCAACCTCCCCCTAGCATGGAGGCTGCTGTTTAAGAGCGCGTTGACATCTGGACTTACGACTCAGCAGCAGCGACCATGCTGCTCCTATTCAACTCTACTTCTTCCCTCTTCCTGTTTTCTTACAACTTCGAAAAAGTTTAATCGACAAAATCTTGTTACGACAATGAACCGGAAATAACACCCGAAATCGCGCGCGACCTTTTGAAGTCGTCGCTCACAACGGCATCGCATAGGCGTTTATACTGTATTATTAGAATGGGGCCGAGGAATCTTGTTTCTAGGGGATTACAAAACGAAGGATTGATATTTTGGTCAATCAAGTGTATAAAAGTAAAGGCGAGCGTCTTTGTACTACTACCGGAACAAAAGGAAGACATCTCGGCTAGCTCGGCCTCGGAGAGGAGGGGAGCTACAAAGGACCACATAGACCATGAATCTACTATTTTCTTGTTTACAATGCTATTGACTAGATGTGCTATGCGTTTTCCGTATAATGGCAGTAAGAGCTCTTTAGAGTAAGGTACCGTGATGGTCGTCTTCTGAATCGTTGGACCAGATGCTCATCACTGGTTTACCGTCATCATCGATCCAGGCACGGTACATTCCGCCGCAGTTGTAGTCCATCAATATCTCAGACCTGGTTCCAACGACTCTTCCTTGGGCATCGTGGATCTCTACAGCCTCGATACCAATCATACCACCCTCGCCTTCTCCAGTCTTGCCCCATCTTTCAGCAGCGCTCTGTTGTAGGATACCTTGAGGGCCAACGACACCAGTGAGGGCTTTGGCGCTAGATTCAACTTTCCACTGTGCCATTGAAGCTACAGTATGGGCTGCGCATACCCGCAGAAACGAGTCGCCATTACCGGTGCCAGATATGCCTACAGCGCGCTTAGTTCGGGCCATGCTGTGAGGTTGGTCGTCCAGATTTACTGGTGTGTACATCCACGGTGTAGGTAGGCAATCAGCGAACAAGCCCTTCAACGGGCCGGTTATTGAGAGGCCGGCATCAGCAATGGAGATGGGGTCGACAAACTTGCCCCAAGTAGACTTGCCAGTCGGATCTCCGGATTCCTCCCACTCTCCAGCCCAAAATCCGGCTCCAGGGACTGGTGTATCTCCAACTCGACCACTTAGCTTATTGGTCATACCGCCAGTGCTTGTAGCTGCGCAAATGACGCCTTCGCTATCCATGGCAACAGCACCACAGGTACCTTGCGGCAAGTATTCATTTGCGTCCCAAGTTCCGGTGGACATGCCTTTTTTTTCCTTTTCCAAAGCCCGGATGTGCTCGTCCCATCGCTGCTGAGTGAAGTAGTAGCTTGAATCTACCATTTCGCATCCATAATGCCTCGCAAGTTTCTCTGCAGCTGCTCCGTAGATCTGCGTGTGGCCTTGCGCGGATGGCGCATCGATGCCATGGCTCATGGTTCTTGGTTCCAACTCGTTTTTAAGAGCGAGATCTTGCTCTCCGTGCTCCAGCATCTTGCGAGCAAGTATAATTGGGTTACGCACATGACGAAGACCCATGACACCAACGCCGCGCTTCTTGAATCCGCGAGACACCATAACCGAAGCCTCGAGCTGGTTTATTCCGTCTCTCGTGAATACTGCACCATGTCCGCTGTTGAAGAGTGGGTTGTTTTCCAACTGAACGACAGCATGTGTTGCAATTTCCAATGCGGATCGAAAGCGAGGACAGGCAGAGCTCCCATCGCTGCGCTTTTCGTCTCTCACTTCAGTGTTCAGGTATTGGTTTGTTGTTATGACCTACATAAACTGTTAACGAAATTATATTTTCCGAAAATATGAGCCTAGAGCTTACAATCTCTAGTAGTGCTTTGCGGTAGGCTTGGTATTTATCTTCTGGGAAGCCCTTGCGGACGATGTTGCCGGCACCGCCATGAATTATCAGACGAGGTGTAAACTGAGCCGTTGTGGCGACGGGGGTTTGCGGTTTGTAATCCATCTTGGATTATCAAATAATAATCCAGTAAGTATAGATATTATGGATCAGCTCAAGAGCAATATATACTGATGAGCAGTTCTAGCCAAGCGTGTCGTTCGGCATCAAGCAAATGGAGGAGTTGAGTTGCTCAACGAAGCCCGCTGGAGATGATGGGGCTTGCCCCATTCGGCAGGTAAAATGCTGGGGTAAATGTTAGTCAGCACGGCATCGGCGGAATTGGCCGACCTTTATATTTACGATACTTAAAGACATTTTAAAGAGTAGAAAGAAGAATCGATAGAGTCAAAGTTATAGCTTCTTTGGTAAGTTGAAGCGATAAAAGGTTCAACCTTGTTATATATATACTTGAGCTGTTGGGAGGACACTTGGTCCAGACCTAAAATACAACAAACGCCGTTGACATATAGTCCCGTAAATCCGGTGCAGCCTTCTAAAAATAGGCACCATCTCCTGATTTAGCTTATCCAAACGTTGGGTAACAAAGGAAATTCGAAGAGGTATAGGAGTGACTACGCAAACGCGCGCCACTGTCCCTAATTGGTATCACAAACAAAAAGGAGCAAGATAGAGAAGGGAAAGATTAGCAAAATGAGGCTGATATAGAAACCTCAGTTGTGAGAGAGTCCAGAAGCAATCCTGATTGCTTTATGGATGTCGTTAATTCGGATGCCTGGCGTTTTACCAAGACAGACCGAGCCACTGACCATTTCTGTAACATCGGTTAGCGTCTGCCACAAGCAATGCATCGTCATATGCCTAATAGCTTACCTTCGATAAGAACTTTGATGCTAATTGTAATTTTTGTCTTTGACCACGTTGGTTCGGGCCATATGCGACTGACTCCATCAGGGTACGCTAGACTCACAGGCGTACCAACCGGGGCGATGGGTGTGTCAATAGTGAAGATAGGAGCAGTCATGGCTACCAAAGGCTGTGAAGGGGCCATGGTTGTAGCGGTAGCCATAGATGCGGCGGCCATGGATGCATTGTTAAAATCAACCACTTGTGATTGAAGAGCCATGGCATCGCGCATCTCCTGTGTGTTTGGTACGTCTTTGAGAAGATTCAAATCGAGCTCAGCGTCAATAAAGTCCGCATCAGGTGGAATAAGGATACCAAGCTGGCGCATGTAGACCTCACTCTCATCAGTATTCAGGAAGTCTTGGCGATAGTTTGCAAAAATGAGCCTAATTTGTTGTTCCAATCTGTCGGCTTCATCCAGCTTAGCAGGGGTGCTATCGCCGTCGAACTTGGCTTTCCACAGACTGATGTCAATTTCGCGGTCTTCTTGGATGTTGCGAGTTAAGCGGCGCACGATATCATCCTTTGTTTCAAAAAGAAGACAGAAACCGAAAACGGCGGCATACCGTTCTGCTGGTGGGCTAGTCATCGAGGCGAGAGCAAGCGAGCGCTCCTGAGTTCTGCGGCGTAGTCTTTGGCTGAAATTAATGGGAGGGAATGCGTATGTAGCTTGAGGGATGGTTGCAGTTGTGTATTGAGGAGGCGGAAGAAAGCTAACAAAGCTGGGTGACGGTGCTGAGTTTATAGGAGTACAAAAAGGGAAACTGGCATTTTGCGGTGTTGCGTGTGCTACAATTTCATAAGAAGCAGCGACAGCAGGGGGGGCCATCTGAGTTTGCGGATGAGAGGATGTAAACGAATGAGTGGCGGATGGGGTGAAGGGTTCAACTTGAGGCAAGTCATGACTCTGCTGGGGCTTGCGATGCGGGCTAAAGCTGCCATCAGATCCTGTGGTTGTCGATTTATCAGGCGCCTGAGGATGTGACTTGGCGTTGGGAATCCGATCATCCTCTGGTGATAAATATCCGCTGGCTTCACTGTTGAGGGTGCCTAGTCGCATTATTTTGTCCGTGATCCGATGTAACCGTTCTGAAACTTGTGGTGATACCTCGAGCATTCGTTCTGAGAGCATAATATCATAGAACTTGTTGAATTCTTGGGTCATTTGTGAGTTGATCTTCTCCAGTTCCTTGACGCGGTCCTCGAGGGTGGTGATGGCAGTGTCTTTTCGGTGTCTATATGCCCTCTGGGCTAATCTGATTTGTGTTCTTCGTCGCTACAGATATTTGGTTAGAAGAGTATTATGACAACATTTCAGAAGTGAACGAACATCAGCAGCAGTTTCATCTTTGGTATCTAGTCGAGGCCGACCACGAGATCGTTTTTGCTTGTTGTCGTCCGCATTCTCGTCGCATTGGTCGTCTAGTTCGCACAGTTTGCGCTTATCGGATGCCTCAACTTTGACATTGACATTCGACGAGTCGCATACTCCAGCAGACTGCGTCTGCAAAGGGGCGGTTGGATTTGTTTGGACGTGCATCGTGGATGAGTCCTCAGAGAGCCTTGGCCCTGTCTCGTCCCAATATGATCGGCTGACGATGGCGACAAGCCCAGGCGAAGTAGTCAAGCGAGCGAATCGGATGACGGTGTAGCCTCTGCTGATATTTCCCGGAGTCGCTGCAGCAGGGGCGGATGATTGAGAAGCAGCAGAAAGGGCGCAGGTTCACGACGCAAGATCGTCCCGGTCGGGCGGGTTGGCTTTGAAGCGGGGGCAGGCTGAGCGAAGGGGCGACGGGGAGGTGAATTAGAGTCGAACGTGGGAGGTGGGGGAGGGTTGTCCGGTGTAATACGGAAGAGGCGAGGGATTCGAGATGCAAGAAGTGAGATGATGCAGACAGAGAGAGCGATTATCTCCGGCGATCCAGCACAGGCAATGACCGTTTTTCCCTTCCTTTTGCAGCGAGTCGTGACAAGACTGCGCGAGTGGAGCAGAGGTGCTGAGTGGCCGGGTAAACCGTTCTACGCTGGTACGCTAGCGGTCGGGCCAGAAGAAAAAAAAACTGGTGGGTGCTCCAACGTGGGCAGCGCCAAATCACGGGGACAGCGATGTGCTGCTGGGTTCCTCCTTCTGGGGCGTCGACGGGCCCTCCTCAGTGGCTCAGCACCGAGATTCTGAGGTGGTTCACCAGCACGCCCCACATAGTTTACTTGGTGGGAGCCACGCCTAGGCCGTGCACAGCGCTGCTGATTGGGCAGCCTCCAAAAAGGTTGTCCCGAGGATTTGGGATGGCAACGGGACGCCTCGTGGGAGAAGAGGGATCAGGCTGGTTGCTTGCTTGATGCAGCCAATCGCTGCGAGCATATGCCGTGCGAGTCTCAACTCCAGCCAATAGCAGGCAAGCCATTTTTGCAGCGCCGTCAACTAGTCCCTCGAAGGGTTGGCGCGGATTCCAAATACGTCGTTGCAAATGTCAGGAGACGTAATGTCGCACCCGCGGCTCGTTTGTCTTGCATAGTAACCCGCGAACATTGCGTTACCAGCTGTGTCAAAGATGAACGCTAGATTTACCGGCTAAATAGGCATCATAAAATTGTTTTTCTTTTTGTTTAAGAGAATTTCTCGCGTCGCTATATATTATATGTGTGTATGTGTCTATATATTTGTAGGAATTACAGTGCCTTTTGTGGTTCCTCTGGCGTGATCTAATAGTAGTACGAGGTACATGCTGTACTGGTGGCCCGAAGCCTTCCCCCTCAACGCTCTCTTCTAGTAGACTGTTTTGGCCGCACATCGGCTTTGCGTAGCGTCGCAAGCGTATATTTAAACAGTCGGGACCGATGGTAGTCAATGACACCAAGCCATGCCTTGCAGCAGAAAGGATCATCAAGTTTCGGCTGCTGTACCAGCAATGACAGCGGCAGTGTAGTCGCAGGCTTAAAGGCAACGTCTGCTTGCAAAGCCTGACCATTTGACTGCAAATCTTTCTTGGATGGCAATGCTGATTGTCGGCCATCCGATCGTCGGCCTAATCTCAGCTTTTCTTCCAGCGACGAAACTGCTCGCTCTACCACTTCTGCGCTATTGGACTTTGGTAGCGTCTCGGCCTTGACAACAGCTTGTAAAGCTTTGCCACGAGCCAGCCAATCTTGCCATGTCTTCTCAGCTTGCCATTCCCACCATGCACGGCTCAGCTGTACCGACCATGTATATGTCTCCTCTGGTGGCGTGTCGGGAACGTCGCTTCTAGGTTCACCAGCTTCGTCTCTCTGTTGTTGCTCTACGAGCGCATCCCACGCATCTTCCAAAGCAGCATCAGGGGCCATCCACTCTTCGACAGCCACAATATTCTGGACCTTATTCTCGAACCGCTTGCTCTTTACACCAATCATGCGCGACATTGTATATGGCTGTGGCTTCTTCCTCCGTAGAAACGGCATCCCTAATGCGGTCGTTGCCAGCACTGGCGGCTTTTTGGGGCCTTGACCATTTGTATCCGACCTAGGCTTTAAGGAGGATACATAATGTGGAAGCTCTCCTGCTCGAGCTGTATTATATATAAGGGGTGGATCTGTTCGGTCCTCTTTTTGGGCACTCAGTTGCCACGGGATGGGTTGTCGCTTCCGCTGACGATCGGGTCTCTGTGTCTTCAGAAGCTCCTTAATTTGAGAATATTCTATTGATTGAACATCCGTTGCCCGCTGAAGAAATGTAAGATACTGAATAAGTTAGCGCCGTTGTCAACATAATTGAAAAGTAGGGGTGGTATTACCTTGTAGCCAGCTACCATAGCCGCATAAGTTAGGCGCGAGCTAGTATATGTTGTATTCTTTCTGAATTGACTGGTAATGACAGACTTAATCTCGCCATCTTTTCTGGACCCAGCGTTGTCACATTTGACAGCAGAGCGTAGAAGCGCTCGATACAGGGCGAGTGCTGAGGCTCGGTGTCGCGAGCTGCGGGCTGGTACAAAAGCAGTCCGACGCATGGTCAAACTGTTATTTCTGCTTCAGCTATGACATTGCGTAATAGTGTAAGAATTTGGGACGTTAGAGCAGCACTGTGGAAGCTTGGATGAGCTGCTTCGCAAGTTCCGGCTCTGCATGCTGATGCTGAGCTGTCAGGGACGTTGCCCAAACTCTTAGGTTTGACCCACACTTTAAGCCGCGCGATGGCGATGGCGCGTGCCGGTGCAGTTTAAGCTTGCCTCGACGCTAACCTTGGATAAATTTACTACATGGCACGCGCTGTACAATAGTTCACTACAGTACCGTGTGCATGAGATACTAGCTGTGAAAGTCTTGCAAGCTAGGATAGCGGCTTATCCAAGGGCTACGCTCTTACCGTAGCTTTTACGCGTAACTGTAATTGGATATGTTCAAGCCAGCATAACGCCATCAGACTCATCAAGTAGAACCCATGACATTAAGTAAGGCGAGATACTAGGAAAGTAGCAACTCCCGGCTCATCCGGATGGGCGGCTGAGAACCAGAGCATTCAAACTCCGCTTTCAGATGACATCGGTGGGACTGCATGTATCAGCGCTTAACTTGTCATAGGGCGGACACCGGTTTTTACATTTCGGTCCATTTTCCGGCCTCGTCGGCGTCGGTCGTGTCGTACATGCCGTCGTCGGGATAGTACAGGGTTCCGTGATGCTTTCCAGGTGGATGGAAGACCAAAGGCGCATAGCAACGATTCAAGCCACTGTGGACTGGAAAATTTTCAGTCGGTAAATATGCTTCTAGCTCTCTATCATTATACACGGATAACCGTCGTCAATGGCGCTCTAATGCTTGGAATGCTTATGTTGTAACGAGGCTGTCTAACCAGAGTAAAGACAACGCATTCGCCAACGTACGCTGTAGTATGTTAGCGCGCTCCGAGGGACGTGTGAAATAGGCAAGATGTCACTTTGTTTTTATTAACCCGGTACACGATTTTACTTTAGAGGGGTTCAACCGTTTTTAACAAAGGTTTCGGGTTCTAGTACATCGTAGATTGATGTGACGGAGCGAAGTGAGCCCACGGTAGTTGGCGTCTCACGGCTGAGACTCTGGCGGGCAGCCCCAGTGTTCGTGTTCGCATCCGCGATGGAAAAGGTGTTCCCCTAAATCTTCAGGTAGAGTTTACTGCGGTATTCCTATAAGTTACCGCTTGGAATTAAAACTGAGAGAGACTTTCCCTTACGTTATTACGACAGGCTCCGTTTCTAGTGTCTTTTTCAGATTGGGCATGTCTTTTCAACGTACTCTTGGTCGTTACCGCCAAGGCGGCCCATCGCCAGCCGTCGCCCTGCAGTATGCACAGTACTTTGTAACAAAAGCAACGCGGCATAGGTGCAATCACACTACAGCTGTGGGATTAATTTAAGGTGGCCCATTCTGGCATTGTAAGCTATGTCCCTTATGTTGCTCCTTAACGTTTATAGATTAAATGGCGATCGTTTCATCTTTCCGTGTATACGTGTATACTGTATAAACGTATAGGTCTTGCGATCAGTGTTTTAGGAGCTCGTTAGATGCCCGCATCTGAGCATGAAAGTCTAATTGCTGGTTTATTTCTATGACGCCGAAGGATGCTCTGGTAGAACTCTACTAGCGGCAATCCTACAATCGGCCGGTACCAGCTCCTAAAACAATGCGCACAGCTGTCAAGTTAAAGGACAGGAAATAAAAACTACCCTAAGCGTCACCAGCAGCTCACCTGCCATGTTACAGTGGCGGGGTCTTTTTCGTCTTCGGACTTTCGCATAAGAAAATTACAGCGACAACAGCGCCTGATGCTCCGCTCAGGTGGGCGCTGTCTCACGCGCCTGTGGCCCCGATCGAGCGCTAGTCCGCTACGGCTGGTCCGGAAACAGGGAAAGCAGGCGGGCTTTAGCGTCCATATGTCACCCAAAGGAGCACCATGGGAATGCTGTAAACCCTGCCCACGAAACCTTGTTCTCCGCTGTTGCTGAGCGTTTACGGGCTTGCTAGTGGAGCTTCCTAGAACCTGACAGCGCCCGGTACGTGCTGGAAGCACGAGTACGGTGGCCATTGCGAACCCCCCTCGTCGTGGCCGCCGCCTTTTCTTAGGCGTCTTCCCCCCCAACTTCCATCTTGCTTCTTTTCACTCTGACTCAACTGCGTTGCTTTATTGTAATTTGTTTTCCTTCTTTACGTGTTCTAATTGTCTAGATTCTATGTAACAAACTCGTTGTACGTTGTTTATTACTAGGTCTTACTACCAACGTCTTAACGCCACAAAGACCCTGGCACAGAATCTAGCCTAGCATTACACACTGAAATCAACATCAACCAGACGATTAGACTGCGAACTCGAATCTCTCAGCCCCGTATATAGGAAGAGACTCGCATATCAACCTCGATATATTTGACGGCTCATACGTCGACGATACACCACTTCGATACCCAATACCCTTCGACCTGTGTCCCAGTACTTGCCATAAGCAATCACTTGGCCAGGTTTATCCGAGCTTGGCACCACAGGTTGTTGCCATTCTGAGCGTCAAACTACAAAACATTCTTGATCGACGGAGCGACTTACAACATCTGAAGCAAGAATTGTTAAACTTCTACTTATATACCGACCGCTGCTGGTCCAAGTTGCAATCTTATATGGCGACGATTGTATAGCAGCAACGCCGCTGGTTATAGCATGTTTGTTCATTCAGGCGCTGGGCTTCATGGCCACGAATTCTCTTCATCTCAAACAACATCCCAACGAGCAAAGCATCCCCTCCTACAGTCAAGCATGCGCCGCTCTGTCGCAGTGGCCGAATCAAGACGGTTTTCAAGCCCATTGGCACCAACAACGCAAATGAAAGTGCCTCTTGATCTAGATTCAAATCATAACCGACGTACATCCCTGCCACTGAACCAGCGCTCTGTATCCGAATATATCCGCAACAGGGACCACGCGGTTCGATTCCACGACGAGTTGCAATTTAGCGAAAACTCGACACCAGTTCAGAGCGAAGACGAAGAGTCAATCGCAGGCTCTGATTTCACAACCGCAACAAATACTTCATCGAACAAAAAGAAACGGAGGCAGCGAGCGCCACGGAATTCTACAAGGTTTGCTCTCGCGCTGCCACCACCTCAGTTGCGGACCAAACAGCGAATGCTTGTACAGCTGCGGCCACGCCTCCTACTTCAGTTACAAGAACTAGGGCAGAAGAGAACTCTACCTGCCTTTGATGTGGTCCCGTCTAGTCATTTAGCAGGAACTCTTATTCTGCCTGCATTACGAAAGCGCTGTCCCCGATTGTTCCGGTCAAATCCAGACCTCGGTCCCAACGATTTGGTGATTGTTAGGAGTGAAGATTTTACTTCGTCTACTGCCAAGTCTGGTAAAGACGAAGAAGAGAACAGAATCGACCAGCGAGAGGTTTTGGCGATTATATCACCAGTCTCTCAAGATGGCAGCCCATCGGCAGAAATCGTATTTGCCGATGGTTCAATATGGACTATTCGACCGTTGAGAAATAAATCGTATGAAGTTGTTCTAGCAGATGGATCAGCACAACCAGTGACTGCGCGATGGGCAAGAAAGCCTCAGCCCAAGAGACGAACCAGCAGTGCGTCGGCGGACATGGCCTCTGGGACTGTTGCTGCAGAACCCAAATGGACTTTTAGCATAATGGATCCTTCAGCTCGACGCCATCCTATTATGGGAATCCTAACAAACGAAATGTTGGAAGTCTATGACAATTATACAACCTTGTCAGCTTCCAGCGGTCGATATCCGCCAACTCGTTCGTTTGCACCTGAAATGTCGGCCCAAGATTCAGCAGAGGCCGGTGCTAGACCACGAACAACTATACCCGTCAATGAGAAACATAAAATACTGATGATGGTATCTTCAGTGTGGATCAACTTGAGCGAACAAGGCTGGCCGGCATCCATGAGTCCAAGGTTATCACGAGCGCTGCACCGCTATTCGGGATCGGAATCATTGCCGAGATCACAGACATTCTCAGGATCGCATCGACGAACCTCAAGTGATAGCCCGGCGGATAAATCTGAAAGGAGCAGTCTGGAGCAGAGAAGTGATACTTCCACGAGAGGGCCTGGTTCAACGGTGCCTACTCGATCTGCTTCAACAGCAGCCAATTTCTTTCGGAGAAAGCGGCAGTCGGAGATATCAGCATACGAATTTCGTCAGAATTTCGATGCAGAAGAACCAAGCAAGAAAAAGCCGACATCGAAACTAGCACGCCTAATCAGAGCATGCTTGGGGGGATTGAACCAGAAGACGAAGTCATAGTACGTTGGCGGGGCGGAAATGTAAATTTAACTTTGCCTGTGATGACAATCCAGGCGTGTACTATCAGTATATAGCGGGCGGATAGATATTCTTTCCCCTACCATTACCCCAATTAAAACTCTTCTTAGCCAATATGAATGTTCTAGCCCGTTGTTAGCGTGACTGTGCAAGAGGCGCCGTCGGCATCGGTTACCGATACTCCGATCACGGGGACACGGCAGCCAGTGTTTGGACAGGCAGGCCGGTCCGCGCCTATAGCCACACAATACCGAATTATCGCCTTACTAAGGTACGGCGATAGCTCGGTAGATATCTGGATCTTTCTCCACTGAAAGATTTAGGTGGTTGGAAGCAAAAGACAGGTCTTGTGATAGTAATGTTTATATTTACCTTTGTGTATGGATTTACGAGGGTAATAGTACAGACTGCTCATTTGATTATAAATTCTATCCTCATTTTACATCAATGAACATTTTTCTAATATTTTTAAAATGCGATTGTGAAGGCCAAGTCGCTCACGTATATTGTAAACTGCTGTAGCTGGTGAACTCCGATGATGAAAAGTTTCCCCACAGCGGGGTACTGGCGGCACGGCCAAGCGGCAAGTTTTCCGTCGTTGTGATGCATTGCTTCTATTCAAACACCTTGGTCGCCTTCACAACGCGTATCTTGTTTAAATTTTCTACAACATCATCTTAAATCTCTCTTGAAGCTTCATTAACAGCTTCTGGAACTCTACCATGGCGTCCACCGTGGGTCAGGTATGTCGCGAACCCATTCGAGTTCGGAGCTTGACAGGCAGCTCCTTGGTTTCAAGGTATCCCACGGGCAAACACTGACACGGAATGATACAGACTATTACTTGCAAGGCAGCTGTTGCCTGGGGAGCTGGAAAGGAGTTGACAATCGAGGACATTGAAGTCGCGCCCCCAAAGGCACACGAGGTCCGCGTTCAGATCTACTACACTGGTGTTTGCCACACCGATGCCTACACATTGTCCGGCAAGGATCCCGAGGGTGCTTTCCCCATCGTTCTGGGACACGAGGGCGCTGGTATTGTCGAGTCTGTTGGCGAAGGAGTTACCAATGTGAAGCCTGGCGACCACGTTGTCGCTCTCTAGTAAGCAACTGCCGTGCTGCGGTGATTTTCGCACCATCCCTCCTTTTACTGACAACCCTTTACAGTACCCCAGAATGCAAGGAGTGCAAGTTTTGCAAATCTGGTAAGACGAACCTCTGCGGCAAGATCCGAGCAACCCAGGGCAAGGGCGTCATGCCCGATGGTACATCTAGATTCAAGTGTCAGGGTCAGGACCTTCTTCACTTCATGGGCACCTCGACATTTTCGCAGTACACCGTTTTGGCGGATATTTCTGTCGTAGCGATCCAGGGCGATGCCCCCATGGATAGAACATGTCTTCTGGGATGTGGTATTACCACTGGTTACGGTGCCGCTCGCGTTACTGCTGGTGTCGAGGAGGGCTCCAACATTGCCGTCTTTGGTGCTGGTTGCGTTGGTCTCTCTGTTGTTCAAGGTGCTGTTATCAACAAGGCCGGCAAGATTATTGTTGTCGATGTCAACCCATCCAAGAAAGAATGGGCCGAGAAGTTTGGCGCCACTGACTTTGTGAACCCCAACGACCTCCAGGGCCAGACCATTGTTGAGAAGTTGGTTGAGATGACAGACGGCGGCTGCGATTACACCTTTGATTGTACCGGTAACGTTGGCGTAATGCGCGCCGCTCTCGAAGCTTGCCACAAGGGCTGGGGAGAGAGTATCATCATTGGTGTTGCCGCTGCTGGCCAAGAGATTGCCACACGACGTAAGTTCTCTTATTCTCTGTAAAACATGTCGTTTCGATGCTGACTTTCGCGTGTAGCTTTCCAGCTTGTCACTGGCCGTGTGTGGAAGGGTTGCGCTTTCGGTGGTATCAAGGGCCGTTCCCAGATGCAAGGCCTTGTTGACGACTACCTCAAGGGAGCCCTGAAGGTTGACGAGTTCATCACGCACCGCAAGACCCTCGGAGAGATTAACAATGCCTTTGAGACTATGAAGCAGGGTGACTGTATCCGTGCCGTCGTTGACATGCGTCAGCTGTAGATAGGTGTATCGCTAGTGTCTACGCCCATATAATTAGCACAAAATACAAGCATAAACTGTGATTAAACGTACAGTGTGGTGGAAGGTCGCATGTGAATAAGAAGGTATGAATCGGGGAAGGGCACTATTTAGGTGCTTTGGGGAGGCGGTCACCCTGATGGTCACTGCATCGACACTAGTGATGTAGCCGACAGCGTCACCAGACTTAGGGTGTCTGCCAAACATGACTGACTGTTGACAGTTTATAAAAAAGAATTAACAGTTTGTACCTCTTAAAGCAATCATAGGGATAAATAAAGGAGATAGACATTATTGTAGATTTAATTCCTGCCTTGTAAGCTCGTCTCAACGGATTGTCGTTTCGTTGCAAATTGGGTCAATTTAACTGGCCGAGCAAGCCGGCCCGACAGCAGCGTACACGCTTGGTGTGTTCCGCTGCGACACTGCCCCTTACTCGCACCACCGTCCTGTTAATCAACCAATTCGTGCAATTCAAGATGCGGACATCCCGAGTGTCGAGAGAAACAGCTCGTCTGTTTGATAATGCCAGCACATCGCCCTCTCCGCGTCGGTCGACGCGATCTCTAGCGCGTTTCTCGTACGGCGCGCCGTCATCGCCATCCGTTAAGAACGAGCCCGCCGATATTGAAGACGCCGTCAGCCTACCCCGAGCGAAACGAATAAAGCGAGAGCATGCAGATGCAGACGCTACTATAAAATCAGAAACAGAAGACGTCAAAGTCGAAGTCAAAGATGAGGAAAGTCCGGGCACGAAGGCCCCTCGTCGCCAACGCAAGCCAGTACGCACCACAACGGATCGTATAACCGGACAAGTCAAGGTTGAGCCGCCATCCGATTGGGAAGCAATGTACGAGGCCGTACGGAGAATGCGCGCTCCTGGAGGCGCGGCATACGGAGCAGCCGTGGACACAATGGGCTGTGAGCGCTTGGCAGACAGGTCCGCATCACCGAAGGACCAGCGCTTCCAAACTTTAATATCATTGATGCTATCAAGCCAGACAAAGGATACAACGAACGCCGGGGCCATGGCCAGGTTACGAAACGAGTTGCCGCCACACAAGCCAGGAGCCGCGAAAGGCTTGAACCTCGACAACATCCTAGCGGTTGAGCCGCGCCTGTTAAATGAATTAATCTGGGCAGTCGGATTTCACAACAACAAGACAAAGTAAGTATATCCGTGCGCAAGAGGCCCTTGGATGTACTTCCAACTAACACTGCTCAGATACATCAAGCAAGCAGCAGAGATACTACGGGATAAGTGGAATGGAGACATTCCAGACACAATCGAAGGTCTTACGTCTTTGCCTGGCGTAGGCCCTAAAATGGCATATCTCTGCCTCTCAGTGGCTTGGAACCGAACCGAGGGAATTGGAGTCGACGTGCACGTTCACCGCATCACCAACATGTGGGGATGGCAGAAGACCAAAAACCCTGAGGAAACTCGCCTCTCTTTGCAGTCTTGGCTGCCCAAAGATCGTTGGCGAGAGATTAACGGGTTACTCGTTGGTCTAGGACAAGCTGTCTGTCTCCCAGTGGGTTCAAAGTGCGGCGACTGCGAGCTAGGACTAAAGGGCCTATGCAAGGCGGCGGACAGGAAGAAGGTTGCCGAAGGCCTTAAGCGGCTAAAGCTTGAAGATGACGAGAATGTGAAACTTGAAAATATCAAGGCAGAAGAGGCTGGTATTGTCAAGCAGGATCCTCAACAGAACGGGTTGGATGATGTCAAGCCTTCCTTGGAGAATGTCAAGACAGAAAGCATCGAGAACGGAGAACAGGCGGTCACAACGAGCATTAAGAAAGAGGAGAAGCACGAAACGAACGGCATTAATGGCGTTAGTCCTGTCAAGAAGGAAGAAGAATCTGTGAAGAGAGATGTAAAAGTAAAGATTGAGGAGGACTAAACACAAGTACTACATGACACAGGAGACACCAAAGTCAATAACAAAAAGTGGAGGCACGCGGGAGATGTAGCACTAGACAAGGATAGAGGAGAAAGCAAATAAATGTTGACAAAGACAGAGTAGCATAACACTAAACCAAAACAACTGCGCTTCTAAAACGCATGGGCGAAGCCTGTACGCCGCGCGGAACAACCAGCACGGAGCGGAAGTCCCAGAACCGTCAACAACAGTATAAGTACAGTAATAATAGATCCAAGACACCTCGCAATAGCCCAAAAAGCATGGCTGGCAACCCTCTTTCTCCATCAAAGATGTCTATCCTTTAATGCATCATGTAAAATGTGCAGCAAATATAGACGCCACAGAAGCTCTGGGCAGTGTACCCAGAGCATCAAAACAAGGAAAAGGAAACAAAAATGCAACGATAAAAACCAATAAAAACAAAAACAAAAAAGCAGTCGTAAATGTCGTTTGGTTTCGTAAATAAGCTTTTCGGGGGAGGCTTTAAGACTAAAAGAAATCATCATCGTCGTCTCCGGCAAAGCGCTGGCCATGGCCAAAATTGGGTGGCGTCGTGCCCAGTCCCGAACTGAGCTAGCCGGGAGCAGCGGTGGGGGCAAGGCCTATAGCGTTGGTTGTCAGTCACCCAACCCAAAGCTAAAGGCGAGAGGGCTATTTCACCATCTCTACGCCGATTCTTGAGGGATATTCCACCTCATGAAAGAAAAGAAAGAGGAAATATGGAGTGTTGTTCACACCTCTACGGCGTGAGAGTGGCCTCGATTGTCGGCATGTTGGTCGGGCAGGCGAAGCTGGTGGCGGTGCTTAGACGCCTCGGATGACTTGCGTACGCTCAGCGTTGAGCTGGGCAGCGTTGCGTTCGTGTGATTGCTTCTTGCACTGCAAATAAAGTTAGTATTTACTGGTCATAGATGTAGAAATCTAACAGAGGCGGTCAAGGCAAACTTACGTCCTCAAGGCCGCTGCACTTGTGGTCTTCCAAGAGACGATGGCGCCCGCAGAAGTGGCCTTTGCAGAAGCCGCAGTCACCGACGATGCGTTGAGCAGCCTCCTTGCACTCCTTGGCACCACAGCGGATCTTCTTTCCAGGCATGATTGCTATTCGTGTGTTGAGAGATGGGGAGATTTCGAGTGTATTGGGCGGTGACACGCTGACAGCGGACGACGAGATGGGAAAATCCGGGGTTGGCAGCCGACGTCGGAAGAGCAAGTTGGATGAATCAAGATGGGGATGCAAACAAGATTGCAAAGCGTTGTTTTCTGTGTGATGAAAGTGATGTAGTTGGGGAAGAAAAAACCGAAACGAGGGGAGAAGGGGAGGGAAGATTCAGGTAGGCAGGCAAGGTAGGCTTTATGAGGCGGCGAAAGCGGCGCGGCCGGAGGCCCGTGTCAGTCATGTCCATGATGGCGTGAGCAGGTTGTCGCCTGGAACCAGCGGACACCCGCCCACCGCTAACGCTAACGCCAGCAGCTGCTCCGTTAGTAATTGGAGGGCGTGCAGGTGGCCCTGCCCTTGGGTCGCGCCTGGGCTTGGGCGACAGCGAGGGGGAGTGTGGCGCTGGAGCAACAGGGTGCCCCAGCGGTGGGGGGCGTGTTAATGTGACGGCTGCTGGGCCCCGAAAGGTACTGTTTGGGGGTCTCGCCGCCGTTCCAGATTGCCGTAGATTCGTCCCAACGGAAACCACAGCACTGCACTTGGTTGCTAAACCCATCTATTATCTACAGTAGCCATGTTGTTTCCGTCTAGAGGGTCTGCTGCGGCTGTTACTGCTGGTGCTGTTCCCCACGTTAATAATAATACGCTGGTCCTGATTACTGGTCGCTCCTAAATACCTGCCCTTCTGATACGACCCAGCGAGGCATACAGTACGTACTGTATTGTACCGTTTTCGCAGCAGAAGCCTCTGGAATCGGCCGGGGCGTGGCCCCCAAGCCCTGTTTTCAACGCAATGTATGGGGCAAGGTCGTCATCGGCGTCAAAAGTCTGTTTTGGAAGCAACTAGACGCCGACGGTATACATTCTATTGGCTGTAATAAATTTGTTCCGATGTTATTGAGCGTAATGTATTCTCGTGTCCTTGGCAGCCCGTATTGGCTTCCCATGAGATAACCGCTAATACACCAGCCCGCGTAGAGATGGATGCGCGCATGTACTATTTTGAAAGTCTTAAAAAAGCTAGACATGACTATTGGCAGCTCGGATTCCCTGCTGCCTTGTCCTTTTTATGCAAATAATTCACAATGCTGTATGGCAACTACGGATTTTGCCAATGTGCGCGTCAACCAAACTCCGAAAGCGGTGGCAGTAATAAACCGTGTTGGGGTGCGTGGCGTAGCGATAAAACGGTGACGTCGTGTGCTGCTGTGCCCGCTGGCGCTTGAAAAGGCAGCGGGTGTGTCGGCGTCAACGGAGCACGGCTGAGCAAGTCACCCAACTAAACTTTAGCATGTGCACACACACGCGTACATACGGCTATATGCCAATTCGGCATGGAAATCACACAGCGTGATTCCACAGAGAGCACCCAAGGACACGCCCATTAAGAATTCGCCATCGCCCTACCTTGCAATAGGCGCCTAGCCAAATTGCACACCGCAACGACGCGCAGGGGGAGCAGCCGCCCAAGTTCAGTTGAGGCGGGCCGATCGCTGCACCAGTGACGCTCACGTGCCGCTGAACCCCGATCCAGGCTCTGGAGCCCAGCGCTACAGGTCACTTAAATGCTCCAGCCGTGCTGGCTAAGTTAATTGGTTCCATGGCTAATGGGCGTTCGTCTGAGATTTGCAGCCAGCTACACAAGGGATGCATGAATGGCGGCCGCGAACATGTTGCAAATACATGAAACCAACAGGCAAAGGCGAAAGAAATGAGAGGGAAATGCCGAATCCCCCGAAACGCAAAAGGCAAATGATGCAGTGTCGTCGTCAGGTCGCAACCCAACACTTGTCCTCAGGCTTTCTTCCCACACCCAAGCGGACAGGGTCCCTGCTGTCACTAGCACCGTCCATCTTGTCTGTCCCATGCACGCCTATGTATTTCCATCAACCCTGGGCCAATTTTGTTTCAGGCCACACCTACAGTCAGTTACTCAGGAGTCCCGTACACTGCCAAAAGGCACGATCGATTGAAACAGCTGCCACGCACGAGGCAGTCTTAATTGTTACGAAGCATATGCCGCCACCATGCTCGACATTGATGAAGGCTACAGTTGTTTCTCGTAGCAGCTGAAGCTTGGCTGGTTTTTGCACCGGTTAAAGTGTCTTAGGAGGTAAGTCGAATGCCAATAGCGTCCCTCGCAAATCTGCAATCCCGCAGTCGCTTAACCGGCAGGGACTGCTCCGTTGTCACTATGCCCTTTACAGGCGCTGCAGCCGCAATCCCCCGAAAGCCCAAGTCCAATGCAACGGCGCCGGCGTGCACCCCCTTCCAACACGCTAATGCACCTCCGTAGCGCCGTTGATAAAGCCTGCACGGCTGGGAAAATGGCGCCCAGCATTTTACCCCAGGTGAGAAGAAGTCCCGAACCCAAGTCGGCTGATATCGTCGCGAGTCAGTACAACCTCGCAATTGTTACAAGGTGCTTGAAACATCATTCCAGCAGCGATTCATTCCATTATTGGTTACTCTATATTATTATTATTTACATGCAGTCCGGCAAACTGCCCACTATATACATACTCCCGCTACTTTCTTCGACCTTTGGGTATTGTAGTGTGAGAAGGGCGGATTAGCAACTCAGAACAACCGCCGACGTCATCACCACTCGTGTCAGTCAGACTTGTACGTCGCAAGCATAGTGTCCAAGTTTAGTCGGCCCGGACCAGTATTGCGCTTCGGGGGTTGTTTATCAACCGCCCCTAATTTTAATAGCATCTGCTCGGCTATTAGATCCAAGTATACTCTTGCGTATGTAAGTGGTGGCGAGCCCTGGGCATCGCAAAGATTGACATCTGCTCCATGCTCTATAATCATTGCAATTTCCTCATGCAGTCGCTCGCGAATCGAATACGACAGCATGGGTTCACCTTGTGCCATTAGTGTGTTTACATCACCTCCGTTGTCCAACAAGAACGCCAACACTTTAGGTAGATGCAGCTCAAGGGCAATACGAACGGCCGGCTTATTGCTATTTAGAGCGGCACCATTTCTCGCTAACCCTTGGACAAGTGGGAACATATCCTCGTCACTAGCCGTAACAGACTCCAACACTTGGCTTATAGTAACCCGTGTGCGGTGTATGCTAATATTGGCGTTTGCCTTGTGATCGAGGAGGAGGGTTATCATTCCAGCATCACCAGCACTAATGGCATCCGCCAGCACTCTCGATCCGCTGCTTGATTCTGAGTCCGCCCGTGCCCCATGCTCAAGAAGAAGCTTCGCGATATCTTTGTTTCCTTTCTTTACAGCGATAGACAATACGGTGGGGTTGCTCAAGTCACCGACGTCGGCCTTCGCTCCGTGCTCCAACAGCAGTTTCGAAATATCGTAACGGTCGTCTCGAGTCGCATATATCAGTGGAACACGGCCCAACGTCGTAGATTGGTTAGGGTCAGCACCATTTTCTAGTAAAAAACGGACCTTCTCAACAGAGTCGTTTCTGCATATATCGACAAAGTAAGTTGACTGGTAGTTGCTCCTCGCTCGGTTTGCATCCGCACCGGCTGTTATAAGTAGCTTTGCCATTTCGTAATAACCAAGAGACAAGGCATAAAACAGCGGAGGTAGTACTGTAACTTTGGTTGTTTGTTCAATATCGGCGTTGGCGTAGATAAGAAGCTTGGCAATATCCAAATCGTTCTTTTGAATGGCATAGTTCAAGGGCGAATTTCCATCTTTATCTCTACCATTGACGTTTGTTCCCTGTGCCAAAAGACCTTTGACCTGAACCAAATCCTGACTCAAAACTGCGTTGCAGAGGGCATGAGCAAGAACATCGTCTTTGGGTAGCACCATCGATGCCATTGCCTTCAGCGAGGTTGTAAAGGATGATATACGACGCCGCGGCCCATTTGATGGCAAAGACGAGCCAACAGATACGGCATCAGAATGTGTCTCTGTTGAATTACCGACACTATTGCTGCTCCCTAGAGAGGCCATGGTAGTATGACTCTGCGTCCGGGAAACCGTTGGATGTGCGGCGTCCTGTTCTTCTGAGTATGGAGGAGGCAATACGCTGAGTCGATTCGTCCGCCGTTCTACGCCTGTGTTAGTTTCATTATTCGTATCAAAATTCGGTGCCGAGAATATGTCGGAACACGATAGAGCTCGTTCTGATATTGACGTTATAGATAATATGACATCGTGATTTTGTTGTAGTCGAAACATCTGTAGCTCTGCGCTTGGCCTATACCAGAGTTAGCAAGATCCAAAACGTATTCGCAAAGTAGAAAGGCGGTATTTCCTGACGCACATTGTAACAATATCGAGCAAAAGTCCAACAAACTTGCTATGTGCGCCCACCAGATTATGATGGGCTTGGAGATATGTCGGCTCAACCCTATCGATATTCTGAGCATCCAACCGCATTATCTGCTTATTCAATTTGCCATATATAGAATCCAATCGTCCCAGTATAGTATCCAAGGTTGTGTGGGTCATTGGCGAAACCACTGGACGTTTCTCCAATGCATCGTTCAATTCGTTGGTATATTGCGAGACCTCATGAATCAACCCCGCAAGGATCTCCAGGCCGCCGAGGGTGACTCGCGACTGACCCGACGACAGAATGAGTGTGTGAATTTCCGTATAGCAAGCTGTGCTTCGATGAACCACAGACGAGCAAAGGCTGCAGAGCGGTGCGATTAAGGGTCCTTCCATGTTGATAAATCGCCGGCACTGCAGCCGCCTGGAATAGAACGATTCGCAGCGATCCAGATGAGTCAAGAGCAACTAGAGAGGCGTCCCTGCAGAAAATTAGGAACAATTCTGACTTTGTCTATGTTCTGGAAAGCAGCCTCGTCATATGGCACCTAATCTTTCGCTGGAGCCTTGAGCCTGATGACGCGGTAGCAACGCCAAGCATGCGCCGCGGCCCCGCGTGTTTTAGCCTTGTTCTATTAATACCCACGCTGTAGAAAACGTTGCTGGCTACTATAGGTGTTGATTACCACCGGGTAGAATACGAACAATGTACGCAAGACTATTTGTTAGTAATGCCGCCCAGAAACCAGAAAAAAAAGAAGGAAAAAATTCTTTATTCTCAAAATTCAAAAAAGAAAAGGACATGCCGCAGCGAGGACTCGAACCTCGGTTTCAAGCGCTTTGTAGACAAATTTCCACAAGCTTATGTCCTGACCCCTAGACGACTGCGGCGAAGGTGAAAAAGAAAGCGTGCCGCAGCGAGGACTCGAACCTCGGTTTCCAGTGAATTGCAGATGATCTCCACAAACTAGTGTCCTGACCCCTAGACGACTGTGGCTGGGCGCGTTTTTACACTCAGTTGCTAGCGAGAGACCTTAATTTTTGTTATTAACCCTACGCAAAATTGTCTCCACAAATTTCCATTTCAGGCATTTCAAATTTACCCTACTGTCAGGACGTGGAAGATACAGTTATGAGTTTTGTGCAATGCTCTGTTTTTTAAGTTATTAAGAAATAAATGTTCCAAATAGAAAGCTATCATACAAGAAGAAGATAAGAAATTCGCCAGCCAAGGCGGTCAAGACAGTAGTTGTAGATTCCTCCAAGCTTTGTCGAGTCAGTATTGATCGCAAGAACCCTGGAAGTTGCTGGCCAGCAGCTGCACATGGTCCCGGCATTGGCTGTCTTTTGGCGTGTTGTTTAGCCCAGAAAGAACTTCTGCATTTGTTGAAGTGCTACAAGCTTTGAAGTCGGTCGACCCATTATGGATCAGCAGCTTCTTGTCGCCATTTCTTTGCAGGCTCCAGACATCATCGCCAGGTGTTGGGTCGAGACATTGAAATTTGTTGTAGTAGTTGACGATGCAAGCGTTGAAGTCACGGTCCCAGAGGATGTTGCGCTTGTCGTTGGGATCCAGACAGTACTGGCCTTTGACTTGGTCGCTATGCAAGTAGACCAGACCGCTGTACATGTCTTGTTGCAAGGGAGATCCTGAAGAGGCTTCCGCCAAGTCAAAGCAACACATGCCAGGAGGGACTTTGAAGTCCCGTGGAACAGCAACAGCTGCGGCAACCGACACCAAGGGGATGAGAGTGGTGAGAAGCATTATTAATACTAGATGCAATGTATTCTGCGGGAGGGAGAAGGGATGGCTTGACAAGCAGCCTCAAAGTGAGCTGCTCCTCCCAACGACTTATATAGCTCGAAGAGGGGCAAGATGCACGGCGTTCGTGCTGATCGGCGAGCCAGCATAAGAGGGGAGCTCTATTTCGGCTGAATTTTACGACGAGAGAAGGCATAAGGTGGTCCTGAATCGGCCGGCATCTTGCTCGTCCTTCCGGTTGCGACTAACTGTGCACGTCCGTTGTGTTCTCTGGTGGCCTTGCCCCCCTCCGTGGAGCTTGGCGATGTGACGCAAAGCACAACTTCTCAGTCTTACAGCTCCGATCTTTACCGTTTTGCTCACAAGTGCGCTGGACAAGGCCCTCTTTTGGTGTGGACATAATGGCACAGAAAGGCGGCGTGGGGACTAGACTCTATGGATAATGGCCGATCCGACGTTGAGCGAGCATGAAGCTGGCTTGAGACTCCAGTGTATAAGCGCGGCGCTGGGTGACTCGGAAGCGTTAGCGCGTGATTCGTTATGCAGGTGATGGCGCTGGGAGCCAAACTCGCTTCTTTACTGGACCCCGACAGTGGGCACGCTAGAGCTCGAAGGGTCGCATTGGGCGAGATAGTGGTTGCGGGCGTTCCCAAGCCGTCCAACCAGAATGCTCAGCGCTACACGTCCCAGGCGGTATGGCGCAGGCCCGGCCAGGGGCCCCAGGGGCACGCTGTTGGTTTGAATGCAAGGCTGGTTTCCTCACAAGCACCGTCGTGTCTCGTCTTGCTTGCTCACGGAGTTATCCGTCACAATGCCCTGCTTCTGTCACATTTTGCACATGCTGGGAACATGCTCATAAATGCATGTTTGCTACATGGCTGCCGTTAGATTGAGAGACAAACACGGCACGCCGCAGGGTGGCTCCCTGTTGCCTTTGAGTAATGTATGCATGTTCCACTTGTTGCCTTTGCCTGAGGAGTCGATGTACCTGTATCAAAGTGCTTCAGTCACGTGTAGTCTACTGCAAGAATCCAGTTCCAGTGACGTCGACAGCGCCCCGCCGCTGGCCGCTGGCCGCCGGTCACCGACCCCGCTACAAGCTCTTCTCAGCTCTCAGTGCAGCCCTTGCAAATTGAACGAATCAAGTGTTTCGACTCTCTGTCGCCGAATAACGCCAATATCCATTCCTCGCTACGTCTGTCTGATTAACAGGTCCTCTAACACCGAACGTGTTTTCCACGCTTTTGTATTGCCTGCCGGCAACCGACAAGTGGACGTGACTAGTGCCCAGATTCACGATCTTCATTCACGATTCGAATATTTTATCCAGTATTCTTTGCCACAGTGCCACCCTGCATTGGTTTCGACAGAACTAGTCAAGGGACAGTCTAATACCGGGTTCACAAATCACAACTAACATTTATTCCCTACTTTCTTGATACGCAACGCCGCCAAGATGGCCATGCCAAATGATGTCTGGGAGGAGATATCGCAAGATATACCATCCTTATCAGACCCTTTTCTCAAGCAATATATGGCTGGCCGAGATCATCTCATGAACCAAGAAAAGTCAAAGAGATCTGATGCCGCATTCCGCACTGCCCTCTCTCCAATTGCTAAGAAAGCTTGCCGCATTGTCGACAACATCAGAAATCACGAAAGGGAAACTGTATGGACTTCTGATCTAGATCAGCACAAAGCTGCAGATGGCTCTTCAAACATATTTCCCGGCATGATGTTTATGCATGCTAAGGAGAAGATGGAAGGCACAAAGCTGTGGAACATTGTGCGCCGTATGCCAAAAGGCAGCTTACTTCATGCCCATCTGGATGCCATGGTTGATATAAACTTTATTATAGACGAGCTTATGAAGTTGCCTGGAATGCATATGTCAAGCGATCGACCGCTTACAAGCCCAGAGGCAATGGAAGACGCCGCCTTTAGCTTCCGCTACAGATCTAAGACTAAAGCTACCACTTCCATGTGGACCGACGAATACAAGGCAAACAGCTTTTTGCCCATCGTCCAAGTTGCTGAAGAATTTCCCAACGGTGCCCGCGAAGGCTTTCAGAAATGGTTGTATAGCAGATGTACACTGTCCGCCTCTGACAGCGATGAGCAACGCTATGGCATCGATGCAATCTGGAGAAAGTTCGCCAAGTGCTTCCTTGTTGTCGACACAATGATTCATTACGAACCCATGTTTAGAGTCTATCTCCGCCGCCTCATGAGCATGCTCAAAGCTGACGGCGTCAATTGGGCCGAGTTACGGTAAAACTTTTCCTTAATACCCCAATGAACACAAACCGCTAATAGTTTTCTAGATCAACTTGGCCACTAAACTATTGTCGAGACCAGCGTGAAAAGCCTGAGAAAGACTACTCTCACATGTTCCAAGTTTTTGAAGAAGAAATCGAACGCTTCAAAGCATCGGAGGAGGGTAAAGGGTTCTGGGGCTTGACCTTGATCTGGACAAGTTTGAGAAGCTTGGACACTCGATCAATTATCGAGAACATGGATCATTGCATTACAACCAAGATTGAATTTCCTCACCTCATTGCGGGTTACGATGTTGTCGGCCCGGAAGACCTTGGCCGCCCCCTTAAGGACTTGCTTCCAGAGCTGTTCTGGTTCCAGAAACAGTGTGCTCAAGAAAAGGTCAATATTCCGTTTTTCTTCCATGCCGGCGAGACTCTTGGCGATGGTAACAACACAGATTCTAACCTCTTTGATGCCATCATCTTGGGAACTCGCCGCATCGGACATGGCTACAGTCTGTTTAAGCATCCTATGCTTATTGATATGGTCAAAGAAAAACGCATTCTCATTGAGTCATGCCCCATCTCTAACGAAGTTCTACGCCTATGTAGCTCTATTCTAGCCCATCCTCTACCGGCACTTCTAGCACGCGGAGTTGCTTGTTCTCTCTGCAACGATGACCCTTCAATGCTTGGACAGGATACTGCCGGCATGTCCCACGACTTCTGGCAGACACTACAGGGATGGGATAACTTAGGATTAGCAGGCTTGGGCAGTCTAGCAGAGAACAGTGTGCGATGGTCTGCATTTGAAGATGAAGACAACGCCGCCTGGGTTAAAGGAATCCGCGAAGCTTCCGTAGGAACTGGAATCAAGGCTGCTAGGTTGAAGGAATGGCAGATTGAGTGGGAACAATTTTGTCTTTGGATTGTGTCTGAATACTCTGAGTATGACACGGAACCAGATGCCAGCGCGGATAACGTCGAGGCAAAGGGTAAAGATAAAGCAGTCGACGCTTAGTGCATTAGGAGAGAGAACAAGGACCGATTCGCGCGTGTAAGGCATCAGGCTATATCACATAACATTGGTACACTTGATGCCACAAAAGTTCAGTTTAGCTAGTCATTTGACATAATCATTTATTCATATAAATGTCGTAATACTCGTGAGGTTAATTTCTAAGTAGGGTACAGACAGCTCGTCCACCCACAAGCCAGATTAAGTGTACCCCTACTACATGATGCGCTCCATCATTCGTCGTGTAGCTAGGGTATCTGCCGACCATCGACTAGTTTGGCAGGTCGTTGCTAAAAGATATAGTATATGTACAATTCTTGATGTATGTCTCTGTACACCACGAATGAGGCTGTTGTTAGCCTGTTAATGCTGAGGCGAGCCACGTCTTGAAGTTAACAGGCTTAACGTCTGCCCGACTGCTCTTATCAACAGCCTCATTCAAAGTTGCTCGCGAGAATTCGTAGCGTCCATTTGCTGTTTCTAATAGACGTTGATAATATGAAACGCGGTCTTGCTGTCCTGTTTGTGTGAAATAAGTAATATAGGACGTCAACTCGCCATATTTGACGGTGCTGTGCTCGAATTGTGCTAGATGATAAGTTAGCAATGTTCTTGTACGTCCTGATACGTTGGGATATACCTCCACGAGCCTGACCACACGCGTCTACAACATCTCGTAACGAGAGTTTATCACCGCGTAAGGTATACTCTTTTGGCCAGTGCTTTGGGCCTATGTCGACAGCAGCAATGATGAAACGCACAACATCATATATCGACGTTAAGCATATGCGAACTGTAGTCCCTTTGGCTGTCTTTTCAGGATATTCTGCGATTCCTAGAGTCATGTCAAGCAAGTAGTCGCCGACGTTGGCCACGCCGGCCCCATGCCCAATGCTAAAGCTCCCGAGACCGAAGGGGTGGAAGTGTTCCATGAATATGCCACACGAAAAGACGGTATATTTCATACGAGATGCGTCACCCCATTGCTGTAAAAGCGCAAGCGCTTGCGAGGAGCCCCGATCCTGGGTATCGCGGTGGGGTGAAGGGCGATGCGAGAGCGATCCCTCGAATTCGGACGGGACAAAGTATCGAATCCGACCATGGCCTGCCGCATTGATAAGATTAAGCTGCTCGTTTCCAGAGATTGTCGAAATGACAAGGTCTATTCCTTGCAGGGCAAATTGTAGAGACGCCTTATCAGTGTAGTCGACCACATGGACCTGTATACCAAACGGCGCAAATTCGCGTCTAAGCTGGTCGGGTGGTTAGAGGATGTTGTACGGGTGTAGCGTTAGTACATACTGTTCTTGATAAAACGACGACGTTATAAGCAGTTTCGGCTTGCGATAGGCCGGTTGCAATCAAATATCCCAGACCACAGCCGCCTGCGACGGCAATGCGCATCATGATCGCTGCACTTTGCTGTTGCCAAAGCTGGCTTGTTTAGCCACTTGCATTCTGACACCACAATTGCTGTTGACGGAGGCGGAATTTGAAAAAAATCTTGAAGGTATCGTTATGTTATACGCTCAACCGCTGAAGAACATAACCTCGAAGGAGAGTGAGGGAAAACGATAAAAACAAAGACGGCGTTTGTGTCGGTTTCGTTTGTGTGAGCGGCGGGGTTTGCGTTGCAGCACCTTGTTTTGGCCAGTGTGGTAGGCAGTCTAGAATTATTCGCTGTGGAAAGCTTTTGCCGGTTGCCGATGAGTGATTCAGAGAAATTTCTGCAATCCGTAGGTCGAATGTTTATAATAAAACGAGAGAGATGGTGGTCGTATTTTGCCTCGCCGGAGAACAATTATCGACAGGTCGCGCACTATCGCAATATGGCACAGATCGTAGGCTGGCTTAGAGACCGTTTATAGGCTGACAAGGAAAAAAAGAGACCAGGGTAAAAGTAGCGAAAAGAGACTGTGTGGGTAGGTTGCGCATATCCAAGCTGGATGTATCAGGTAGAAGTCCACTTTCACAGCACAGGTTGTTGTCTCTCACCAAAGAGGAAGCAAGATCCTTGATCACCGGCCGTATCCGCGCTTTATATGTCTTGCCCTCATACCAAAGTTACCCCCCTTCGCATTTCAGAGCTTTGCCAAATCAATAACTGGCATCATGATGAGCCTGACTTGGGAACATGGCAGTCGGCCAAGGCCCGCTATGCGGCGAACGCCAAGCAAGCCTCTCACTGATTTTCCATCTGCGGCAATGCCTTAATTTGATGCTAAATCCCTTCAACGCATCACCCTCCCGTAGCGCCTTCGGCCGGTGCGCGTTGCGGACCGCAACTACCAGTGTTACAGGGGGGCTGGTGACATTGTCGCCACATTGGCAGAATGGAGCATGAAGGATGAATTTGTTTCGGTACCATCTTGCATCCCACCCGGCGCGAAGGTTACATCTGGATGCACACAACTCAAACTAGAAGACCGGGCATCCTACCAAGTTTGGCCGTCTCGGGTGCGGGTCACGACGGGATGTCTCACGCCTGCATGTTCAGCGCTTTCCACGCTACCGGCTGGGATGATGAGAAAGCCTAGCCCAGCCTGGTCCAGCCCTGCCCTGTGCAGTACGGGCCAAAACCAAGCTGTGGCGCTAGCCAGTCGGTGGTTCCAGTGGCGTGCTACTTAACTTCATGCTGTTGCCGAAGGCTCCAAATCGGCTCGCCTTTGGCTCCAAGCCTACCTAGGCTAGGCCAGTGGATGGCTGGCAAGGAGGCGGCAGAAGTGCCGGTGGCTGCATACTGGGCCGTCGGTCAATGGACTGGACCTGTCGCGTTGCGGGAACAGCGAGTGGAGGTTGCGCCCAGCGGGGGCGGAGGGGGCCTGGCAATGATTGTGTGTGCGGGACGCGATGCCCGATTACAAGATTGGATCATGAGTTTGTTGTCCAGGCTCAATCACAAGGTACAGAGTATACTATCAGCAGATCGCGCGTGCTGCGGCCGGCAGAGCCTGGTTATGGTGTAGTAATGTTCAATCGGTTCTGCTGCTTATCTCCTGGGCTCTTTGATGCAACATGAGCAACATGTATTTCCAGGTTGTCCATAGCCGGTGGCCCAGTCGATGATGGGAACCGTTGTGGAGTTGGCGCCCTCTGGTAGTAGAATCTCCTTTTCGTTCTTATCAATTTTGGTCCAACTGACTAGTCCCTCGTTCACTGTCCGCGTTGATACTTGTCCAACAGACGCGTAGCTGCAAGAGGAGTCGGGCGAACTTCTTGCGGAAAACTTCCAGTTGCTCTTAGCGATGACGAGCCACGAGCAGGTGGGGGTTTTGCCCCTCCATGTCGCGTGCTGTTGCAAAAGTGCTTGCTGCAGTGGGATAGAGTGTGTACTATACTGCATCATTTAAATGGAGCAATAAATTGCTCGCAGCAAGCTCGCGAGAATCCTGCACCAGAACTAATATGGGTTACGAGTTCACTGGAATAGACAAGAGCGAGCCTGTTTCTTCTAGATTTCATTTGCCAGCTGCCAAGTGCAACAAAACGCGGCTCCCTATTTAATCTTCTCCTCTTCTTAATGTACGCTCATTACTGTTAGCAAAGACACACACCAGGAAAATCGGGAATCTTTCATTAGGTACTTTGTAAAAGGTTGGTCTACACGTTGTCTTTCTGTTACCTCTTTTCTTCTTCTGCGGCATGCAACCCCGTGTTTCGCAATTGCGGGACTCGCACCACGTTCAGCAGCAGAGTGGTCGACAGGAAGACGCTAACATACGTAGCTGGTCCGCTTCCCTACATGCGGCCCGACTCTCCTCTGTCCGCCTCCACCCGCGTATACTCAAGTCTGGCCGTCTTTACCTTCCGCTTCCGAGAATCACGGTTGGCACTTTTGATATGACCGAACCGCCGCCCGTCAATAACGAATCCAAGTACAGTGATTAGTGATGCACATGTGTGGTTGCGGCGGTGAGCGACAGCAATGCGTAAGCCGCCAGTGGATGGAGTGGCAGTGACTTAGGATTGGAATCCGTGGGCTCAGAGCCTCTTGCTTCGCTATTGTCATAGAAGATTTGAAATAAGGCTGGCAGACGACCATACATCTTAACGATGAAGTAAAATGAGGTTCGCCGTGTCCGATCATGCATGCACGCTCAGCCTTACGAAAACCGGTCGTTAAACTTCGATTCTAGCAAAAACGTGATGCTACGTAGCATCTAGACTGAGTTGATTTATGCGGTAGGTGCTCTTCTAAATTAATTCGTCCAATATTATCCTTAGCCAGGTACGATATGCCAGTTGAGAATAGCGCAACCTGCTGCAGTGCTCTATATCTTCGCGGACACCGATGGATTGCCTTTTTGGGTAGCGAACATTATGCGCATAAAAGGTACGACGGCGCCACGTTATGGACAAGAAAGGCACTATGTTACTTTTTGGTGGTGTATATTCAACGCCTCTAAGTTCTACTGCAAATCATCAAAAACAAAAATATAGCGCAGTAAGTCAAATCCGTCTATGCTTGAAGTGCCAGCTCCTCGCGGGCCGCACCACTGCCCTTCTTCCAGTTGTCAGTGTGGTCGACAGCGCCTTGAGCATCACTAGGATCTCCAACCCTCCCCCAACCACCTCCGCCTGGAGTATTGATGATAATACGGTCACCTGCGGCCATGGCTGCCGAATTCTTGGCTCCCAAATTGATATGACGCACCTCGTACTCGACGTCGGCGTCATTCTGCTTATTGGCCGAAGCATCAGCGTCCAGGCTTTTCATCGATCGTTCCCAGTCGGCCTTTTCCACCTTGTGAACCCAAATGTTCAAGCCGCACTGCGCATCTTCACCTCCGTTCAACCCATAAGGTCTGTATACACGACGCTCACTGAGGATGGATACTTGAAGAGGTATACGAAATTCGATATCTCGAACAACACCATCGCCACCGTTGTGCTGACCTTTGCCACCTGAGCCAGCCCGGATAGAAAACTCATGTAGGAGAATCGGGTATCGTCTTTCGAAAACTTCGGAATCTGTGATGCGCGTATTGGTCATATGGACGTGGACACCACTAGTGCCAGCCCAGGTTGGACCAGCACCACTACCACCAGCAATCGTCTCATAGTAACCAAAGCCCTTAACGGCCTTTTCTCCGGTAACATTACCACCAAAGCCAAATGTGAGGTTGTTGCAGCATCCCTGACTGGCTGCACAAGCTTCAAAGGCTTTGAGGACCACATCCGTAATGCGCTGACTTGTGAGAACATTGCCGCCTACAACAGCCGCGCCAGGAGAGGGAGAAAGAATGGACTTTTCAGGAATCTTGACATGAATAGGTCGCAGACATCCCTGATTTAGAGGAATATCTTGTGACACAAGGCAGCGAAGACAGTAAATGATGGCACTGTAAGTGATAGCAGTGGGTGCGTTGATGTTGCCATATACCTCAGGACCAGTACCGCTGAAGTCAAACTCGGCTTCGCCAAGTTCTGGATCAATCTTAACCACGAGCTTGATCGGGGATCCATCATCCATGAAATCCACGGCGGATAAATCTCTACCTTCAAAACGCTTGTAAACGTCTTTGAGGAGTCGCCTGACACACATTTCGGCGTTCTTCTGAATATTGACCATGTAGAACTGGACAGTCTCTTCACCGTACTCTTCAATAAGAGATTCAATGAGAGAGATACCCTTCTTATTGGCTGAAACTTGCGCCTTCATGTCGCTAATATTGTCTGACAAGCATCGAGTTCCGCTGCAGCCTGGATATTGCGCAGGTTGGTCGTAGAGTAGTTCAGTTATACGCTTCTCGTCAAATTTGCCCTGGCTGACAATCTTCTCGCTGCGGAAAGCAGCACCTTCCTGGTAGAGCTCCTTAGAGTTAGGAGGCATACTTCCTGCGGTGATCCCGCCGATATCAGCGTGGTGAGCGCGTGACGCGGCGTAGAAGAGGATGCGTTCGCCCTTGGCATCAAAAGCCGGCATAATGAGAGTAACATCAGGTAAATGGGTACCACCATATGAAGGATGGTTAGATGCCACAACATCGCCCTTTTGGAGCTTGCCCTTCCAAATTTCGGCTTGTCGACGAACACAGGTCGACATGGAGCCAAGATGAACCGGAAGGTGAGGAGCGTTGGCTACAAGGCCACCGTCTGCATCGAAGATGGCGCAAGAGAAGTCCAATCTTTCCTTAACGTTGGTGCTGACACTGGTCTTTTGCAAAGCACGGCCCATTTGCTCGGCAATTGCCATGAATCTGTGACCGAAGATACTCAACATGATGGGATCCGCCTCCCGCTCGCCGCCATGGGTAGTGTTGCTGTTGCCGTTAGTATTGCACAGTAAAATACCTTTGAGTTGCTTACTCTTTTGTGGCTTCTTTTTCAACGTCAATAATAACGTGTGTGCTGGTGACCAGGGCAGTTGCCTTGGGACTGACGACGATTGTTTGGGTGCCGTCAGCAAGCATAGCAGGTCCTGCAACGACGTCGCCTTGTGACAAGTCACTAAGCTTATAAATAGGCGTCTTGAGCCTTCCACCCTCAAAATAGACTTCTTGAACAGTGTGCTGCTTATCAGGAGTGGCCGCCTGTCGCTTTATAGTCTTAAGTTGCTCATCCACCGAACTTTCGCTATGTCTGAGGCTCTTGCCAATACCTCTGACTCGGACATCATCGATGATGATGTCACGCTCATCCAAAGTGAAACCGAATTCATAACGGTGTTGTCTTACAAATGCCTGACCGAAATCCCAGTCGTTGCCACCGTATAATTCCTTGGCTTCAGCCTCGCTAGGCTTGACAATCATGAGCGCTGATTCTGTGCCGCGGTAGCGCATATTGAGGTATTCTTCAAAAACCACTTCGTTCTTTTCAAATCCTTGCTCTGCCAGAGCTGCTCTCGATGTGTCCTTGAGCTTTTCCATTTTAGCCTTCAGATCATCGACGGAAGTGCCCGTGGATGCCCAAACGGCAGACTCGGGCTCTTGTCGCTCATCCACTACATCAGCCAAGGCCATGCCATATGCAGAGAGTACCGATGAGTATCTGTGGACTAAGATTTGGCTAATGCCTAGTGATTCGGCAATAGCAATAGCATGCTGTCCTCCTGCGCCACCAAAGGTGGCAAGACGATGCTTGGACGAGTCGTGACCCTTGGCCTCCGTAATAGAACGGATTGGTCGAGTCATAGCTTCGTTCGCAACAGTAAGGAATCCAAAGGCGACCTCATCAACAGAAAGGTTCTTTCCAGTCTCGGCATTGACTTGGTCCGCGAGCTCTTGGAGAACTTTACGACTTGCCTCTCTGTCTAAGGGCTCATTTTCGTCTTTACCAAAGATTTTGGGAAAGAATTCAGGTAACAGACGTCCCAGATAGAGGTTAGCGTCGGTGACAGTCGCAGGACCGCCCTTTCGATAACAAGCTGGTCCTGGATGAGCACCAGCAGACTCTGGGCCGACGACGAACAAGCCATTTCGGAAGAATAGTCTCGAACCGCCGCCTGCAGCAACTGTGTTGATATCAAGCTGGGGTGATTGAATCGTGACACCAGCTGTCGTCGTCTCAAAGACATGTTCGTATCGGCCTTCTCCGTATCTCGATACATCGGTACTTGTACCACCCTGAGAGAGTCAGCAAACAGAGTGTGATTACATGAGTGGTGTTAATTTACCATGTCGAAGCCAATTACGGGGATTTTGGTGTTCTCGTCGTATGATGTCATGGCGTAACCAACGACACCTCCAGCTGGTCCGGATAGAATAGCTTTTAAGCCGGTGAACTTTTCCACGTCAACTAGGCCGCCATCGCTTTGCATGAATTCGCAACGGGCGCCCTTGGCTCCGTTGCCCTGTTGTACGCTCTGCGTACCGAGCCCTCCCTCGAAGCCTGATTGGAAGCCATTGATGTACTTCTTAATGGTAGGTGTAAGGTAGGCATCTGCGCAGACAGAAGTGGCTCTAGGTACGAGCTTGATCATGGGCATGAGCTGGTGGCTGAGGGAAATGTGTGTAAATCCAATCTCCTCTGCAATTTTACCAACAAAAGCTTCGTGTTCAGGGAATGTGTAACCATGCATTAGGCACACGGCAATGCTACGAATGCCTTGTGCGTAGACAGCTGTGAGCTGTTCGCGGATGGCGCTCTCGTCAGGACGTTGCAGGATACGAACTGTCTCACCCGAGAGACCGCGAACAAGATCCTTGCCGGCAGATTGTTCGGTACCAGCAGCAGCCTGAGGTTCTGTAACTGTTCGTTCGGGGTCTTCGGCATAGTCTTCTAATGTCACTCGTTCCTCAATCTCAACAACGGACTCGTAGAGCACATCAGGCTTACGAATGGCGAGGTCGAAGATCTTAGGACGGGACTGGTTGCCAATGGTTAAGCAATCCTTGAAGCCCTTTGTGACAATCATGGCTATTCTTTCGCCCTTTCTTTCAAGTAGAGCATTTGTAGCAACAGTAGTGCCCATTCGGATGGAATCGATCATGGTGGTATCCAGCGGCTGGCCGCGGGGAATATCTTGGCCCATGAAGTGGCTCATGATGCGGCGGATGCCTTCGAGGGGGGCATCTTTGTAGTTCTCAGGATCTTCAGAGAGAAGCTTGATGATGATCTCTTTGCCATTGTGCTCGCCGACGCAGTCGGTAAACGTACCACCACGGTCAATTGCGATGCGGACGCCACGGCCTTCGGTAGCCATGATGACGTTACAGCAAGCGTTAGTGGGGTTAAAGATGTAGCGAGTTGTCTCAGGATAGGTGCTAAAAGGATGCTAACGGCCGTGTGTCGGGCTATCGGGTTTTCTCCGCCGTTATAGAGTTTTTTGAAAAGGAAAAGGGGAAAACATAAAATCGCAAGCAGGTTGAAGGATCAAGTTGGCTAGAGTAGCGGCCCCGCGTACTTTTTGTGGCCTAAAAGGTGCCAGGTGTTGGGGAAGCTGGTTTTGGCGGGGTTCCGCCTCCGGAGCTTTTCCCCACAGCGCACCTGGTGCAAGTCCGCCGCCGTCTTTTTGCGGAGAAATAGCTAGTCGCACGGTTAACTTCGGAAGAGGGGAATGCTTTGGTGGGCTGTTTAGGTATTACTACTACTGGTGCTGCAGCTTATGAAGGAAGGATTGTCAGCATGGGCGGGAGCGTGGATATATATGTAGGTACCCGACTGGAGCGAGTTATGAGATGAACTTGTGCCTCGGGATAAATTAGGGTTGAGGCGGCAGGAATAACACAACTAAGGTATAAAACAGATTGTGATCAATAGAATCATGATATTGAAGGGAAGTTTTATTAATAAACGACTAGCCCATAGTATAAAGCTGTATTCTCCTTCAACAACTGTGCCCTACACTAGTTATTACTTTTATCCGTGCTTTAATCACCCCACCTACAAATAGGCGCCAGATATGCATGGCTTCAAAATAGAAATACAATGATGGAGTGCTGTAAATCACTGTAGGCGAAAGGCAGCGACCCACTGATTTATCATTGATCCCTCTATCTTTAGTTCGGATACAATTTCGTTGGCATATACAGCCGCGTCTGTGCTTGCACGGCATAAATATACGATAAATTGCCTATGATTCGAAACGTTCTCTAGAGTTTTCGTATCAAGATAATTTAACGTGGTTGGTTCGTAGCTGGGCGTTGCACTTTCAACGAAACACCGCGCCTTTTGACTTGTGTGTCTCAAAAAGCAGCCACGGTCTCACAGAACATATTACGCCTCAAGAAAATGACGCACTTTGTCTTTTCTTCGTATGGCATTATTCCCTAAAAATTAAAGAAAAAAAAAGAGGAGGCTTAATCCCATAGCACGATCTCTGAACAGCTCAGGTCTTCAACGTCTTCATACTGCCCCCGCCTAACCGTTGCCGATCGGTGCTTAAAATAAATCCCAAAATGCCAAAGCAAAGCAGAGCAGAGCAGTTTTGGAGTGCCCGAATGGGTTACAATCTCTAAAAAGAGAAAAATGCTGGTCACTACCTCCTGTTGTTGCGACAGCACATCCGATACGACAATGGTGACAAACCAGCCCTCTCACTGCAGACAGGTGTACGCTTCTGTACCCTACCTTTCCCGAGGATCATTCCCTTGGCATTTGCGTATTGAATGATGGACAAGTGGGCTTCTCCTTTTATCTGCTCTTTTAATAGTATGAGACCGTCTCACCAAGAAAATGGTTTCCTGCCCCAACGCGCCAGCATCACACTGTAGATCAGTTAGTCATTGGCATTCATCTTACAAAGTTTCTCGGCGTTTCAGTTCGCAGAAATAGCTTTCAGTTCTTAAAAGACGCACATTTCGTCTCCCGCATTCTTTTTTTCTTTCCTTCTTTCTTGTCTTGGTGCTCTATGACGGATGTATTAGCATAGCATCAGACAACGACAACCACGACGACAAAGAGTACGACAGCGACTGGCACTAGGCAACATCACCAGAACGATAAACAGTTCATATATTCTCACACCTTGGAAAACACCGTCACCATGGCTATAGATCGTATCTTTAGCATGATACTTCGTGGCTCGGAGCTAGTCTTCGCCGCCGTCATCGCTGGAGTTAATGGACAATATCTCTACAGGTCCAAGGCATCAACGTTGTTTCTTTCTCGGTTCATCTATACAGAAGTCGTCGCGGGTATATCGATACTGCTGGCCCTGATATGGCTCATTCCATTTTCAAGCACATTCACACACTGGCCTGTTGATATCCTCATCAGCGTGCTTTGGTGGGCGTCGTTTGGTGCCCTCGTCCATGTACGTCATCATCTCTAGCACAACTCCAGTGTACAGCTACACAGCAAGGCTGACCCTTTTCGTACAGTTCGTAGGAGATAATTGCGGTGCCGTCTTCGATTGGGGAAATGTTTCTCCTCGAGGAAATCTTTGTGGAAAGTTCAAGACCAGCATTGCCTTTGCTTTTCTTTCCGCCCTGATATGGCTCATCTCCGCCTTTGTAGGTATCTACTGGATTCGCCGCCGGGATCGTACCGCAAACCGGGTGCAGGGTCGCCAATGGTTCCCTCGCAGAACTCGCCCAGCCGTTGTCTAATATCCGAAAGACAAGACCCTGCGGATCTATGTCTTGGTGGATGGTGGCAGGGCAAACCTGTTTTCTTGTATAACTCCCTTTTCAAGTTTCTTTTGAACTCCTCGGCGTTATTTGGAACTTTTTATTTTTAAACGAAATGATGATTGGTACACGGTCATTGGGTGCTTGGTGAAATTCAGTGAAGCACGCTGGATTCGCCAGAGGCATACACAGATGACCGAGTATATGAACATTATGGCTGCTATTACTACTATAGTCAGGCACATCATCATAGGCTGGTCCTGGTAGATGTATCTGCCCAATTACTGGTTTTTAATATAACACTTCTTGTTCACCTCCTCTGCCTTGTTTTTGAACAAGCGTCTTCCATTGTGGTCAGCTACAAAGATCTCATCATTTGTAAATTTCTTGGGAACTCGTCACAAAGAGTAATAAATTGTTTCCTTGGGCCCCGAAATTGTTATTACCAGGAACAGCAGCTACTATTATCGTATGGCTATACGTTGTTCAGACCATACTTCATGCGTTGTGCTGATCCTCCGTCATCATGATGGCAGCGACAAAACACTATTTGATGCTGAACGTATGTGTCAATGCGCAAGTGGCTCCCTGTCAGAACAAGATAAATTTATTTGGAGAACCCCAAAAATGAACTACGTAGTTTGGCGCATGAAGGTGCCACATACTCAGCCACATCCTGCTGTCGCCTTGGTTCTAGTGTCGATCACCAACCCCACAACCACCCCCAGTGGCTTGGAGGTGGCCCGTTAGGTTTGGCAAAGCTTGTTTCAATGAATGGGTCGACAACGTCACTTGGCATTGAATACACTGTGCGATGGATCTCACATACGTTGAACAGCGTCATGTAGGCCATGGTGGGGAGAGGCCGCCAGACCAAAGCCTAACGGATGTTCTCCCAGTCTGCCACTTCTGGCAAGATTTGGAGTTAAGGCGTCTGCAAAAATAGCCATCGATGACGACGTTGGAGTGTGGCTAGTGGCCCTGGTTGAGCCAAGTGCCCTCCATCAACGTGAGTTTGTGAGAAAAAGTTCGTCTATATAAACCAGCCATGACCGCCTCAATTCAACACTCATCTGATCCGAACATCACATCAAACAAAGACAACTTCTCTCTACACCCATCAGACTCTCAACACAAACAACAATGTCATCCATCATGAACAAGGCCAAGGACGCTATGAGCTCCGACAAGCAAGAGACATATACTCACCCTGCGCCCTCTGAGGCCCAGCACCACACTCATGCTTCCGATGCTAGAGCTCCTCGCCACAACGAACCCCATAGCAACCTGTTGAGCTCTGCTCAGCAGCCTAGTGGCACATACACTTCGAACAATGCTTACACCACTACTTCTGCCACTGGCCCAGCCACCACCACTGCTGGCCCTCATTCTTCAAACCTCATGAACAAGGCCGATCCCCGTGTTGACTCCGACATGGACGGCCGCAATGCCTTTGGCACCCAGACCCATGGCACTAGCCACGTTCCTGGAGCTCACACCAGCAACACTGTCCACAGCACCTCTGGCCACCACCAGCACAACACCAACCCAGGTACTGGGCTTGGTTCCACGGGACCTGCTTCCAGCACTGCCGGTCCCCATTCTTCCAACTTGATGAACAAGGTCGACCCGCGCGTTGACTCTGATCTTGATGGAAGCAAGACTGTCGGCAAGGACCAGACACTTAGCGGCAACACTGCTGCTTATGGCATGACCAACCCCAGCATGGACCATGCCATGCCGTCTGCCTATAGTGCCAACAGCGGTACCACTGCTACCGGACCTGCCTCATCCACTGCTGGACCTCACTCATCTAACATGATGAACAAGGCTGACCCCCGCGTTGACTCCAACCTTGACGGAAGCAAGACTGTCGGCCAGAGCCAGACATTTGCTAGCAACGCCACTACACAAGGCATGACCAACGCCGGTTTCAACCCTTCCAACCCTGCCGTCCATGGTACACATACTACTCATGCCGCCAACACCGGCATTGCTTCCAGCGGCCCTGCTTCCAGCACCGCTGGACCTCACTCCTCCAACCTCAAGAACAAGGCCGATCCTCGCGTTGACTCTGACCTTGACGGAAGCAAGACTGTTGGCCAGAACCAGACCTTCAACACTACCTCCAACACCCACAATACCCACAACACCACTGGTGCTGCTACTACTACCACCTCTCATGCTCACCCCCATCAGACTCACAACACCCATGGTCAGCACCACACATCGGGTGCTGGCGCCGATGTCAAGGCCAACCTGCAGAGCGCCGCGACTGGCCCTGCTCCTAACACCGCTGGCCCCCACAAGTCTGACTTGTTGAACAAGCTGGATCCTCGTGTCGACAGCAATCTGGACGGCAGCAAGACGTTGGGATCCAACCAGACCTTTAACCACTAAAGGTATGATGAATGATCTGCTGAGAAAGAGAGATATAATAAGATACTATGATCCGATGCCTATGTATTGTTAGCTAGTACTAAATTTTACGAAATAAATTTCCTTTGACTTAAATTATCACATTTTTTGGTTTGACTTTTATTCTTCTCCCTGAAGCGTACCGTGAAGAAGGTTATTGTGAGTGGGTTGGATGTCGTCAGCTGGTGCAGGACGCCGCGCCTCCCAACCAGGCGTCATAGCCTCACCACTACAGGCAGCTAGCTCTCCACCTGCACAAACAAAATTGCCATCTTCATATATCCGCACGCATTGCCCACGGTTGGGACATACACAGTTCATGCATGTATTTTTCATACACAACATCATGATGAAGGAAACATGACATCAAAATCACTCCCACAGACTCTCTGGGATACCCACGTTCCAATCCACATTATACACCCCTCATCGCCCACTACGCCCTTCGTCGCCAGCGTGCCCAGATTTAGCTATCTTGCTCTGCTGCTGCCACGGCTATCTTCGTTTTTTAACACACCTTGTTCCAGCTTCCATTTTGAAGAGGTTCTCTTGAGGAATCTTGCGGTTGGGCTGCTTGTCGATTTATACCAGCCCAGCCTACCCTGGCGCCTCACAGTTAGCGACGGACTCAGCTGGGATATATCAGACACGTTTTTAAACAGCGCAAAAGAGGTGAGCATGAATTTACGTGCACTCTCCCAGCTCAGTTTACACACTAACAATATCAGGCTGATTTCATTAGAAATGGAAATGCGAACCAAATTATGAAGATGTCCAAAAGCGACACTACACAGCTATGGCATGCAGTCATCGATAACGACTATCCTTCTTTTGCAAAGATTAACAATCGTCTGCTAAACGCACCGACTGCATTAAAACATGTTCCAATTCGAATTTTCCTACCATCAGTTCAGAACGCCGAAGACAGCAGCTCAGCACCGGCAGAAGCCATGGGCTCGTTCAAAATCATACAATCTCTGATGCAGCCTGCACAAAGAGATCGAAGGCCAACATTGCTTGGCCACGCGCTCAGAGAGATGATGCCAGTACTATTCCCGAGTAGCCGGGATCCTGTGCTCGCGACAGTTGTGATGCATGGCGCTCAACTCCCCTTCAACACACCGCTACAAGAATTAATGAAAGACGCAGCATATCCGGATGGGTGGATATGTTTAGTTGTCAAAGTTTTATAACGTGTACATCAATAGAGTCGCTTATACAGCTCCCGATTAATCGTTCATCGTCCCGGTCTAGTTAAATGTAATTGCCTTGCCCATAAGACTCTTGTAGGCGTCATCAATAGCCTTTCTCTTTTTCCTCTTTGCATCCTCATCTTCATTCAGATCTTCTTGTTCATCATAGTCTTCGGGTCCAGGTATTTGAGGTGCCCAAGCTCTAATCTGACCATCCATATGCGCGCTGTACAATGCTCCCACAGAATTGCCGCCTCCCATAACGGTACCATTTACTCTATTATCACCTCCACAACTTCTCCATGCTATGTCAGTAATACGATTTCTGCCGAGCTCACTACCGCGCGCCCCAACCGGATTACTGATACCAGGACTACGTAGTCTGGTAATGACAGTCCCCTGGTGTAGATTTAGAAACAAAATTTCCTGTTCATTTGCCCATATCATAACATCTTCTGAAGAGAAGTTGTTTGATGGCGGTGTGATGATTGTCGAAGTCTTGGCGTGTTGGTTCTGAATGATGGATCCAAAACTCGCGAGCGTGTTTGCACCAGTATCAACATCCCAGACGCGGATTCTCCTATCAAGGCCCGCTGATATAATGTATCTTCCATCATCACTCCACTGCAGCCCGTTGACAGCCTCGTCATGAGCCTGTGCGGAGGTACGAAACCGAGAGCTGCTCTGCCAGTCCATACCATTCGCTGATGCCATACGAAAGCGATGTATCACTCCAAGGGAATCCTCCTGGTCCAGCTGCGTGACTACGCCACCCGCTCGGCGAATATCCCATATGCGTACTCGGCCATCAGCATGGCCGCTGGCAAGTATGTGCTCGTGCCTTGGGCTCCAGGCTGTGCAGAGAACTGGACCACCATGAGCAACCAGTGCTTGCACCGCCGATCCGGACTTCAAGTCAACTAGGCGAACATTGGAGTGCTGCGTCGCGCATGAAACTAGTAGGTGACCAGCAATTGGGCTGGTTGCGTGAGAGTATACTGTAGCATTGAGATGGAATTCGGCTGACAACGACGCACGTTCAGTTGACCATATCTTGAGCGTCTTGTCGAAGGAGCTTGATAGGAAGGCCTGCGCATCGAATGGGAAAAATCCCAGATGTGTAATTCCATGGCTATGACCCTTGGATCGACCGTCGCCTGATGATCTTGCGATGGTGCCTATTGGTTTGAAAGTGTGAAGGGTATGAGGATTGGATGACTCTTCCAAGTCCCAGATTTTGAGGTTACCCTCAGCACCGCCAGAAATGAGAATTCGCCCATCAAACTTTTCTATTGCCAGTGCACTAACACCGGCTCCATGTGCCTTTATGGAGTGAGGTCGATTAGCCAGGTGTGCGGCATTGGCTGCGGTTGATATTTCGCCGTTAAATCGGAACTGTGGTGCGGCGGCGAACGATTTGATTAGAGTTGAGGTGACGGCGCGGCCGTAGTCGGCGGAGCTCAAGTCACCCGTCTCGCGCGCAAGTGTGTGAGCCTGCATTCATTGATACACAATGTTCCGCCGTGGCTCAAAGTTGGAATGGCGGATGTCGGACTGATGTTTGAAGGTGGGGAGAGGTTCAGCAGTTTACAGCGTTAACGCTGAGGCGTGGCCGCATTCCTCAGTGAAGGCCCCCACCTTTTTTCCAACGCAGTTCTTCTATCGCAAACTCATGACTGATACCTATGCACAATACATTAGGATAAAGCTCATGAACCGGAATATGTCGTATGGATAAATATTTACGACACTAAATATCTTTATCGACTAGTTATCACAGCTTCGCCAACAGTTCTCCGGGACCCAACCGCTCACAAAGCACCGCGGATGAGAAATGCATACATCGTGTTGAAGCAAACGAAAATCGGCACCACAGCTAGAGATAATTGGCCGTTGTTTACATGGTTGACTTAGCGACCCAAGTTAGCCATGACGGCAATGCCTTAGGCGGTCTCAAAAAGTTACCAAGAGCGTTCTTGGGCGACGATGGCTTTGTCTATGATTCTGCAGTCCCTCACAGAACCAAAAGGGCACTCACAAGCGGTAGCCGTGGAAGCGACTCGATGCATATCAATAAAAAGGTTGATCCAGCAGGAGCACGTCCCGATGGCTTCAGGAATAGGCGTGATGTTGATTGGGTCAATGACTTGAGTTATTCCTTCAGGTCAAACATAAGTAAGGGACGCGCCGAACTACAGAATCAAGCGAACCTTGATCAAGCCATTCCAAAAGACAAAAAGTCAGGCGGTTCAAGGAGGAAGAAAAAGAAGTCCTTGGAAGAGATTCTCCAATACCTTAGCGGCAATTTCCCACATAACAACTTCGACTCAGACGGTTCGAGCAGGTCCAGTTCTTCTCGCAGAAATCCTCTTATTCGAAAACGGCACGTATTATTCAAAAAGAAGCGACGTCAAGTAAATGTATTCGACTCAGCTGCAGGTATGTTCATCGATAATCGACTGAGAACCAATATTAACCAAACAACAAGGCGTTATTTCTGGAAGACCACGCTATAGCAGAGGCAAATATGGTCGATGGAAGCCTCCGAAAACAATTAAAGACCAGTTACATTCTCTTCCATATGCTCCAGACGAAGTTTTATTTCAAAGACGAAACTTTCCAGTACGCGACGCCGAGAAAGACATCTATTTCGCCAATGAGCAGAAATTACGAAACAGCGGCGAAGGCATTCTCCCGGACAGCGACCTTTTGAAAACGTTACATGCATTTACTTCAAATTTCTATGCGTCACATCGTCCAGCATCTTGGAAATATCGCAAAATAGACATGGCAAGCATGGATGCTACAGCTCTGCTGGCATTTGGCATTCTGATGGAGGAGCTCGCCAAAGACATATCGCGAAAAGGATATCGAGTGCTTACCGAAGGCCAAGCAAATAAGACAGCCGATGGCGCAGAAATATATGACAATATTGGCGACGGAGCAACGTCGCTCATTGGCCAACATAGAATCAAACGACAACGTCTTGGCACTGATCCGCAACTCGACCATCTCAAATCCGAAGGCGAAGAGAGTGACCGCGCTGGTAGAAAGACGTCTGCTAAAGCATCGCGGCAGCTGCGAGATCCGTTCACTTCTCAGATACAGAAAGAACTATTACACTATAGAAAGCTGAAACCTCTGGACAGCGGCCGCCAACGAGTTGGAACTCGCGACTCTCTGTATGGGAGCTCAGGAAGACCTCAAATCGTCGCCACGCTCCCACGCATCAATTTTTCGCCAGATAAGGAATCGAATCAAAAGCGTTCTAAGAAACGCAACAAGAGAGACACTGTTGAGTCTAGATTGGAATCGCAATCGCCATCGCTTGCGACTGTGCCTCTGTTTAGTTCAGCACCTGTCGTTGCTGGTGACGACTCAGACGCAGACACCAGCGATGAAGCTTCTCTCTCGACTGAGTCAACAGGTGTACCTAAGCACAATATCACAGAACCTTTACAAAGGGTGCGTGAAGCTTCTGTTGAGTTGGGAGGCTATGGTCACAATAGTCCTCAAGCCAGAAGCAGTCCCGTATTGCAAGGTAGCCATACGAGTGCTTCATCGAGCGAGACATCTGAAGCAGACTCTGATAGTTAACGAACTGTACATTACATAATACAATAGCAAATAATCTCTCCTATAAAATCTAAGATATTTTAGTACTAGAACGCACGCTTACAGTGGGATATGCACGGCTTTCGCAGAAACATAGGGTAGGCCATTGGCAGCCGTTGGATGATCTGTGAGGCAAGGGTCGTCCATATGAGCCGTACCACCACCAATGGTCCCCTTGCCGCGCCAGGCTGGTCCTGCAAGATTGCTGTGATGGATGAGCAACGTCTACTGAAACGCCACGGTGCTAAATAGTCCGCAAAAATCGTCAATACTGAAGATCTATAGGCGGGTAAAGGAGTCAGGTCTGGCCCATGGCTGCATAGCAGAGGCTCGGCGTGCACCTGCAGTGCCCCTTGCGCCGGCACAGCATCCCCGGGACTAAGAGTGACCACTTCTCAGCTTCGTCGACACGATGCTATACCGGATTCCTGGGAGAGTGGCTGCCGATGTCGACCTGTCCCCTTTTGATGTCTCTAAACAGCCTTGTTTGTCTCGTGTCGGACATACTGTGCGACAGAACTGCTTGTACTCTCTACACTTGCGTTTCAACCATCGGATGAGCGACAGCGGGGCCATGTCCTAATCACACGTATAATTACATACGCTGCAAGTTTAATATCAGTGACATTCTGGAAGGGCTGCCACGTTGACAGCAGACTGAAAATGTTGTTTGGAGAATAATGACTCTGCCGTGTCTGTATATGTGCATCGAATTCGCATTACCAAATCATCCGTCAACTATAACAAGCACAGCCCTTTTTGTCGTACAGTACTGTATACCATGCGACGATCATATCGACTAAGACTTTAGCCATCAATAGTCTTCCATTGCATCCACCAACTGCACGCCTGTCACAGGCACGAAGGGCCCTCTCGTTCAGATGTGGGCTAGCTAATACCTGCCAACAAGGCCCTTGCTCTAATACGATAGAAAAAGTCGTCACCCTGTCTATCTACACTACTTTTGAATGGCGTTCTAAATTACCCTAAGGGTACCTTAGTCCCTCACGCTGAGTACCCTAGGAGGGCCGGCCCGCCGCTTGCTGCCGGGGCTACGGTACCGCGGAGATGGTTGATTTTTTGCCACATGTAACCTCCGCAAGGGCCACCCTTTGCATCTCGCTTCTCCGTTTATCGTAACCAGACGCTGCGAGTGTTCAGAGCTTGGGTCTAAAACGTTCTATATTTTGTCGCATGGCCCCTTGCTAGATAATAACTCGTTAATCACATGAGCGAAAGATCATGCACGGAGGAGATTTCTTCATCCCGACGGTCCATGTCTTGATGTGCCTTTACCAACCGAGTGTGGTTCGCAAAATGAGGACGGGATGGATAGTACTGGCTGGCGCTCGGCAGTGGCCCATGGGCCGCCTCTGGTTTGGTCACGCAGCACCTACATACGACAAGCCTGTCATCTATCTATTGGCCTGGCTGTTTGTTGGCGTCTCGTTTGCGGCGGCTCACCATCCTGGCCACCAGCTAGCCCTGCTATGGCGACATCATCAACTGCCGTCATTCTCGAGGTCCACTCGACGTTGCGTTCAAGTCTGGCAGATACAGTAATGTTAGACGCCAGGTTAATTATCTTATGGGACATTTTGGGTCCAAGCGTTCAATTACTGGCATCCTCCAGCCATGTCTTACGGCCAGAACTACTCCCGACGTATCTCCTCTCTCTGGCAGTTTGGTCGCCGACTCGCCCAGTAGTTTGCGCATGTGGAGCTTTGGGACGCCGGCAGAGGACGAAGAATAAGGGGCTTCATCTTACCCACGAACAATCTGCTGATGTACGTAAAAATAATATTCACCTTAACCGTTCCATGGTGAGTCTATGGGCTAATGCAGATTGGCGCTGAAGCATCCAGTCAAAACCGCCCAGCGGCCCGGGAAGAGATGCAGCCCAGGACGCTGAGGCACAGCGGCTCCCGCATCCTCGCCCGCCATTGCTTCAACCATCTGGCGCTAGCAAGCCACTGCAGGCTTCCCCGTCGGCCGGGATTGCACCCATCGCCACGGCTCCATCTGCAAACTCCCGCGGGCGCGTGGAATGCACAAGTACCGTAACCTACCGAGACAACCGTTGCGCGCGCAGCCCCACGTGCAGAGAGGTGTGTACGAGGAGCGAAAACCATGGTCGCTGTGGAATAGGCAAAAGAGTCGATGATGGTTCAGTTGAATCGCGACATCCGCTGCTTGGGCCTCTGCTAGACGAAGGAAAAAAAAGTGTCTCTTCCAGACCGGGCTACGCCAGGCTGCGCGACCAGGCCGCTGCAGGTAACCGGTTGAATTGTGACGACTTGTGCAGCAGCTGGCTGCACTATGGCCCGCGCCGCACATGAGCATCTCGGGCGGCAATCTGCATCTCATCCGTGGCAGACGTGGTTGACGGAAATTTCATGGGCTTCTTCCCTGTGTATGGTGGTGCTTCCTGTATTCTGGATGCATGCAGCCAGCTGAGCCTAGAGTCGACGGGATCGAGGCATGTCATTTTTGCGCCTACATGCAGATTCAGCCGGCATTTGTCCCGTCATTTGTGTCTTTGGTTTTCAAGCATTGGATCTGCAGTATGCAGTGGCTCGTCACACACACATCCTCGCACCGACGACGCGCAGCTTCAGCCGCCCACCATTTAATGCACGCCAGGTCTCATGCATCCAACCAGCTGGAACAGCACACAGCTTCTACGTCACAGCCAGCGCTGGTGTCTGTAAGACGTGTGGAGTCGAGCTGCAGAGGAGTCCCGTGTGCATGCTCGGCTAGCACGGGGCGGCGTCAAACTTCCCGCTACAGTGGGTTGCAATTTGCCCAAACAGGACAACCAGTGAGTGGCCAAACCAGCCAGCTTCTTTGTGAGAGACAAGCTATTAGATGCAGTTTTCTTGGTGCTCTTCGCAGAGGAGATAGTTCTAGCCTACCTCTTTCACCCTAGCTAAATAGCGTCACAATGGTGCGCGGGCAATCGCATCCAGCGGCAAATCGAACTAATCCGCCCGGTACCCAGGCCCTCGGAGCATTCCCAGAGCGTCGGGTCCAACCCAAATGTTGCATCGCGTTGCCCGAATAAGCGTGGCGCCAAGCACCAGCAACAGGAACAGCACGACCCCCAATGGGCATCGCTCATCACCATGTGACATGGACGAGAGGAGACACCGCCCAGAGAAAAACGGCTGAGATATTGGTCGGTTCCTTACGAGACGCCTCGTTATAAGCAGTTGCCACAGAACAGTCCAAGTGTTAAATGAGCGGCTACAGCAGCCATGCGGGAACAAGCTCCAGCTGTGGCGGGCAACAACGTGGTGAAACAAGCTGGGCTGGCCCAGATTGCTATATGCGATATGTCCCTTTGTCTGCTTTTTCCGGCCCTGTCTCTCGGCCTTGTGTCCTCATGAAGAATGGTGCACGGTGCAGTGCCGTGAGGCTAGCCGAAGGTCGGATATAGCACCGACGCGGCTGCACGCGCATTACTCGACTGGTCAGCCAGACAAGGGCTGTTTCCGTGTCATGGTGATGCCTCCGCCACCACTACCCATGGGCAAGCAACGGCTGGCTGGCTGGTGCTGGTGGCGCTGCTTTTGGCAAGATGTAGTGCTGTTTCCCCTGTCGAGTCCAAAGAAAGCCCATAGTTGGATACCGTCTGCGGCACAGCGCGCCCCCCAACGGTGGCAAGTTAGCGTTGCATTTAGCAAGGGGACCAGGTAAGTATGCTCGGCTCCAACATTGCCTAGAATCCGTTCGGTCGGGTCCCGAAGCCGTGGCGATGCTTATCCTGACGGACTACGAGCTCACTGTTACAGTGCTGTAATTACAGGCCCCGTTTAGTCTCTTTTGTTCTACCCTTTTCGGGGACAGCGCAAGATGCCAGCCAGCGCGTCATGGTCAACCTAAGGAGAATTAAGAAGGGCCGTTTAGTAATACACTCACGGCGCACCAGCACCGAGCAGCAAAGCGCCCCCATTTTGGAGAGCACGGTGTGTGATGCCCACTGACAGCAGCTTCTTAGTGGAAATGATAGCCTGGAAGCGGAAGGTTTTGGTCAGCAACACGAAGGAACAATGGCGCCACTGTTTTTTTCTATGTAGTCGGTCCTAGCTCGATTGTTCACCGGCAAGGCAAGGCATTCTTCCCGATGCCCGGCCTCCTCTTCGCCTCAGCGGCAAAAGAAATAGCACTTGTCACCTTTTACAGCGTGTCCAAGGCTGGCCAGCAGCATAGAGTACCCAGCCCAGCCTGCCCACGCCGGTCCCCACCACAGCTCAGTGAAGAGAAAGAAACCTGCTGCAGGGAGACACTAAAAAGGCAGTTTTCCAGCTGGGCGAGCGCGCTCCACCCACCGCCACAGCGCCACGCACGCCGTGGCCACACCCACCCCTCCCCCAGGTCCCTTTTTCAGCATCGTCCCATCAGGGAGCCCGCCTAACCAAACCAAGCTTGCGAAAAGAAGGAGGAAAGAAGGCGGGAACCCACACGCTAGCCCCCTGTCATTTCAATCCTGAGTAGCTCTTGGATCCTTCTCCGGAGGTGTCGCTTTTTTATTTTTTCATTTTTTTCGGGGCTCTGCTCTGCGCTGTTCTCTTCTCTCCTGCTGTGCCGCACGCGCTGTACACTTTGTAGCACGGCACTGTACCGAAGCCCAACTGTAGCGCCCCCCAGCACAGCGTCACTCACTCACTCACTCACTAGCTGTGCCACCGCCCTCCAAACACGCGCCCATCATCATCACCGCCTATTGTCCTCCAAAGGCGACTTTTCGCCTCTCGCTGTCCGCTTTGCGTTCCTTGCATCATCCGCATTTCTACACTGTTTGCGTTTGCCGCTCCCTCGCATCGGATGCCATCTAAGCAGCACTAGCACCAGCAATAACAATCATCAACGGATTTCTTCAGCGCACGAAAGAAACAATCATCACAACGATAGCTAATATCCACTATAAACAAGAGTATACAGTACTGTACACTGGCCCGCCCAAACAAACGCACACAGCATCGTACAAAGTAGCTGTCGCTCCTCGGTTCTACTGGCTGCACCCCTGCCCCCTGGCCTAACCCAGCGCACACGCCTTGTTCCTAATGCCCCTCAGTGGCTTATCTTGGGGGAATACAACACGATCATATACCACTTTTTCCTCGCTACCGAGTTTTTCTCTTTTACGCTGATCTTCCCTCCCCCAAAGTTGGCTGTCTCTGGCTTCGCCTCTCTTGCGCCTTTGCTCTGTATCCCGGCGACAACTCTCTCAGGGGACGGAGAGACTCGAGAAAACAGCCACCTCACAACTCCTCACCCACCCGCTGCACACCCCCGGAATTCCGCGGCTGCTGTTACTGTTGCGCCAGTCTCTTGGCTGTGGTGTTTGCTTGCTTGTCTGCTTGCCTCTGGCCGCACGCACACCCCCGACGCTCGAGTAACCATCCGCCTGTAGCTTGCCTGTCCAACCAGGTCGCTGACTCTTTGTGCTCACCACAACCGCCCAATAGCCTTGTGCTGTTTCGGGTTTTCGATCTGTTTCTACCTGTTGCTGCCCCTGCTGCTGCGCTTCCTCACTTGCCCTGAGCAGCCGATGGCTCCGTGCCGCCCTCGCTCCTTGCTCGACAACTGACCGACTCGTCTCCCGACTCCCCGGTCTGTGTGCCCTCGTATATCTCGACGGCCACACCAAACATGGACGGCCCTTCAGATAGCAAACGCCCGCGCATTGCGACATGGTCGGCTTCAGCATCTCAGACTTCTGCCTTGCCTCACCCGCATGCTAATGCCCAGCTTCCTCCTCCCCAGTCTCATCACCATCAACACGCTGCCAGCCCATATCCTCTGCACTCGCATCGACCCGGCGAACTTGGCAGCGCGCCGCCGCCCGCTCCTCCTGGGCCGCACGGCCATGGTTTGCAACATCCCGAAGTTGATCGAAGACGTCACGAACAGGACCTAGCTCCTATGCAGGATCATTATAGACAACAGCCATCATCGCAACCGCCGCCACACTCGCCGGCGCAAGTCTCCTACGCCGGTTATCCTGCTCGCGACGCCGCCATCAAACGCGAGGCTGTAGACAACCAGCGCCGACAGAGCTCCAACCACTTGCCTGATAGTCCAGCTCATCACCATCATCCACCTCCTCAGCACGTAAGTGCTAGCTATCCGGAATCTCAGCGGCACATGCCGTATGACAACAGCCCGGGCGGATATCGTCCTTCATATCCGCCTCCGACACCTCCAGTCTCACACCCGCAGTCCTTTGAACCCCCCGCCGTCTATGGCCAGCCGCCTGCCGAGTCGTTTTATAGTATATATTCGTCCGCGACGCCGTCCAAGAAGAAGAACACGAGGGCATCACAGGTACGTTTTATGATGCTTCTTACCAAACATCAAGCATGTGTCCACTAATCGACGATCAGGCCTGCGATCAATGCCGCCAACTCAAAGCGAAATGTGACGAGACAAAGCCTTGCAAGACCTGTAGAGACAAGGGTACCGAATGCCGGTATAGGGACCCAGTGCCCAAAGCGTCAGTTGCCTCTTACCACATATGAATATTTCGGAACCTTTCTAACATCCATTGTAGCACCGACAAGGCGCAGTCCGATATCCTCGACGGCATTACAATGATGCAGAACACTCTGAACACGCTAACGGAACACTTCCAGCGTATGGATCAACGCCTAACCAAGATTGAAGGCACCATACCCGCTGTACCGGGCCCAATCATCAAATCCACGCCCGGCTCTGAGAGCAACTCCGTATCGCAAGAAGCCTCTCTTCCGTCCACATATCAAGAAGCCCATCGCGATCAGCCCATGTCTGGCTCGGTCCCGCCACCCAGCAACAACATACAAATGATGGATGATGATGAAATGGAGACTGAGCCTGGGCCGCCCGTGGCACCTGGAGAGCCAGCCATTCCCATGAATCATACCACCCTAGCAGGCCTCTTGCTTGACTGGCCTCCTATTAGGGCTCTTACACAGTCTCATTTGGAGAGACAGGGTGTGAAATACGCTGCCGAATTTCCTATTGCTCAAGAGCAAAACAGAGGACTATTAATCCCGTATGGTCGTGGAGAGGATTCAACATGGACTCGTCGTCAGGCCGAAATGGTCGACCACGGAACGATTGATTCGTCGTCAGGCGAGTCGCCCGAAGTGTCCTCTCCTTCGCCAAAGACAGACTGGGGAAACCTTGGCTCGCTGAATCCGGTTGATCATGTTGAGTATCGCGGCGGAACGTTTACATCGCAGGGAAATCCAGATTTCTCTGAGGAAAAGATTTGGCTTTACGTCCAGAGTTTCAAGGACAACATCCTCAACATGCACCCCATCATGCAGCCGGACTTGCTGGATGCATATGTGCAAAGCTTTGTTGACTCTACTCCAGTTTCAAACTCCCCAGTCACGCAGCCACAGGCCACCCCAGCCTTCGCTGTTGGAGCTACTGAAACTGTAGGATCGAAGCGCAAACGATCTCCCGATGGGGATGACACAGAACCAGCACCTGCACCTCGAAGTGGCCGCCCTAACCGAAACATCCAATCAGCCATGGTTCTAGCTGTTCTTGCGCTAGGCAAAATTTGCTTGTTCCGCGATCATGTCCCAGATGCGCTCTACCAGGTTGACCCAACAGCCCATGGCAGCCCAATGATGCGCAACGGGGTTCCTGGCTCACCAAGCCAAACCTCGTCTCCTGGGTTTTTATCTCGCTCACTGTCTTCCGGTCTACCGTCCCCTCACAATGCAGACCCCAACGCCCAGAACCGCAGGTCTTCGTTCCATACATCTGGTGCCGTAAAGGGCGGTTACAACCTCAAAAAGAACTGCGACGTTATCCCTGGCCTTGAGTACTACGCTCTTGCATCTGATATTCTTGGAAACCATGCTGGTTCGTATAACAGGCTTACCATCGTCTACGCCAATATCTTTGCCGGCCTCTTCCAAGGCCAGCTAGGTCGCCCACTCGAAAGTTTCGCATATATCCATCAAGCTAGTCATAAGCTTCAGGTTCTCTTACGACCGTAAGTCCATCACATGTCCCAAATAACCCTAACGAACTATCAATGACGATTTACAGACATCTTGACCGTCTTCGAGGCTTCAAGCGCAACAACGTTCTTATCCCAGACACGAGAAATAACCAGTATGCATTGGCGTTTTGGACTTGCTTGCAACTCGAAAGGTAACTATCGACCTTATCCTACACAGACTGGCCAATCCAGTCCACTGTAAACCACTACTAACGTGTTCTCAAGCGATCTCATCGCAGAACTTCCTCTGCCTCCCTCTGGTCTCTTGTCGTATGAAGATGACATGCCGCACCCCAACATGAGCTTGCTCCGCGGCTACCCACAGCGTGTTCTCGATAGCTACCCCGGCCAGCTTTACCTGCGCACCCACCTAAACAGCATTCATCGCATGTTTTACTCCCCGGAGGACCCAAGCAAGAAGTCAAGTGGCGAGAACAAATTCAAGAATGTCGATCTCGTATCAAGCGCCGTCTCAGGTATGGACTGGGTGGCGCCGAGCTTCGCTTTCAAAGAAGATGACCCCCCTGCCGATGACATTCTTGCTGCGCGACTCCGTGCCAAGTACTGGGGTGCTCAGGTGATCACATACAGACCCTTTGTGAGGCAAATCTTGCAATTTTCGCACAACTGCAAGCATCCTTCGAGCTCCAACGTTCCAGCAGTTACAGAATTCCGCGATGACGTCGAGATTCCCCGTCTCAATCCCGAGGCTAAGACGAGCAGCGATATTGACGACAGCCTGCTTGAACTGGCTAAGAAGGGCATCAAAGCTCTTATTGAGAGCACGAGGCCCCTGCATGGCTTGGGCGAGCAGCGTCCCATTATTACTAACGTCTTCGGTACCGCCCATGCACAATGGGGCAACATGCTCGTTTTATCAGCAGCCTATAGAGACCCAATTCTTCGACCCTTTATTGACGAGGGCTTGCTCCGGGTGCTCTTTGAGAAGACAATCGCATTCCTGCGCCAATCCGCGCCTCTCACGAGCTCCCTTCGCATCGATATGAACATCCTTGACGGCGTCTATAAAGACATCTTCCACGGTTCGGAAACCCGCCCGGGGTCACAACTGTCCGGCAAGAATGCTGCTATTGCTGCGAACCAGGTTCAAAAGCAGGCCATGGTCCCCCCAAATGCGTTCCCCGCCCAGACGGACTCTGCAGCGCGCCACGGCGTAAATGGCAATGGCGTGTAAGCTGCTAGTTGCGGAAGCAAGGAGCTACGTCAGGATTTTTATGGCCTTCCTGATAGGGTGGCTTATTCACGAAACCCAATTTGACTGCTGGCAGTCACTATTCAACGTTGATCTATTGACTGCTTATCACAAGCGGTTCGATACATGCAACACTATACGTCCCCCCACGACAGTATAGTAGGTCGATGCCCACTACCTACTTGGACTTGACTTCACGTTTACTTCACCACTTGATGTTTCATTGTATTCGTTTTTATACCTACCGTTTTTTATCTACACAGCACTACATCTCTTATCGGTCACCCGCTGTCGATTTCTTTTTCTTTCTTTTTTGGATATTTTTCCTGCTTATTCCCTCAGTACGATATCTAGTTATTTTGATTGTTGCGATTTACCAGCCATGTACACTGTGGAGGAGATACCACCTGGAATACTCTTTTTTTATTACTCTTTTAAGTCTGATATACATATGGGCGCCAGCTGAGTGATTTTTTGAGGAAAGTGGAAAAGAGGACTACGGGAAGATCAGAGGAAATAATGGAATATCGGAAATGCAGAATGGAAGAGATTATGTTTGTAAGAAATTGTTTCGAGAAGAAGTTCGAAAAATGAACAGCCCTACCTTGATTATTACTCCACAAGTATCAAGTGAGACAGCGTGTAAAATAAAATCGTGTGATATAAGAGTGTATACTATGTTCCAACCCAGATATACAAATGTCAAGTTGCTACAGCTATGTAGAGCTAGCAACTAGAACCAACCAACCATTGTCTACACTTATTTTTGTTTCGCAGAACCACAAACGCCGTACCCAAGATGCAGACAAAATGCTACAAAAGAAAACAACCTCTTAGAATCGTGACCCGTCTCTTGCTGTGTTAGAGAGTGAAGCCCGCTCTATGTTTCTCCGTAAGACAAGCTCTCAAGCATAGAGCCCGTGAGCAAGGCGACTTGGGCTCGCTCCGTCTCCTGCTCAACTCTGCGACGTAGCATGCGGAATCCGCGCTCCAGATCCTCATTAGCATCGGCATACTCAGAGTACAGCTCAGTTACGTGCAGACACGCTTCCACACAGACGCTAACGTAATGAGGGTCGCAGACGTGGATGCCGAGCCACTGGATAATAGGCAGCAGGGTGAATTCGTTGCGGTCGACAAGGGCATCGCGCATCGCACCGCGGTGGCGGAGGGCGAGAAGCAGCGTCAGCGCGCTCATGGGCGAGTAGTCTGGCTTAGTGCGGTCGACGACGTAGTCGAGGGCTTCGGCGTAGCGGCCGTGGCGAAGGTCGGCTTGCCAAACACGCTCCTTCTTCTTGCCGGTGCGGTCATTGGCAATGGTGACGTCGGCGCCCTCGCCGGCGAGGTCAAGTCGGGACGAAGCCTCAATGCGGCGCTTGCGCTTGTTCTTCTTGGCGTCGTGTTCCTGAATTCGGCCTGCGACGAGAGCTTCCATTTCCTTCTCGCGCTGCTTCTCGCGGTTCGCTTCGTGGCCAGTCAAGCGAGTACGGACGCTAAGCATACCAGACTGCATGCCGACGGCAAGGTGGCGGTCGACAGCATCGTTCTCATCACCTGTAGCGATGACCTTTGCGGAGAGGATGGGCGAGGGGTACTTGATTGTGTTGACGGCGTTCCAGCCGGTGGTCTCAAACACCTTGACGTGGCCGTCAAGACCTCCCGATACGAGACGCTGGCCATTAGACGCCAGGCTCAGCGACGTAACAGTCTTTTGGTGGTTTGTAATAATAGTCAGCGGCTTTGCTGCAATAAGGTCCAAGATGGTGATGTTCTCGCCCGAGGCAGCCGCAATAGTTGTGGCCGTCGAGAGCGGCAGGACAGCCTCAATGGGAGCAGCGTGCTTAAAGGTCATGATTGGCGCCGAGTGGCCAATGCGGGGGTCCCAGATCTTCACGGTCGAGTCGTAACTTCCCGAGACAATCATGTTCGACATGGTTCCGGACAGATAACTAGCAGAGCGGACGTAATCCTGGTGGCCCGTAAAGGTTGTCAACGGGTCGTTGTTGGTCAGGTCCCAGAGTCGCACGGTTCGGTCGTCGCTGGCACTAAGGAGATGCGTCTGATTGCTAGGGGAGAACTTGGTGACCCAAACAGGCTGCTTATGGGTGAGCCAGGTGCGCAGGATCGATCTGGTGTTTGCCTGGAAGACTTGCATGCGGCCCGAGTCGTCACCAGCCACGAGGGCGTTGCCATCCTGACGGATCTCACCGGAGCGTGCGACGTCGCTGAACCGCGTGATAGTCTTGAGGAGTTTTCTTGTTTTCGTGGAGAAGATTTGCACTCGTGTGCCGGTGGTGACGGCAAAGGAATCGTTGTTGGAAGAGATGTGCGTGACGGGATAGGTAGTTGGCGATGGGATGACGAGCTGGTTCTTGAAGGTGCGCCAGTAGCGCTGCTCAGCGGTAATTGGCGCAGGGCCAGAGGCCAGCTTGACCTGCTGCAGAGGTCCTACTTGGGCCGCCATGTTGCTGTTGTGATACTCGGTAGGAGGTGTGTGGGAGTCGAGAGAGTGCGCATCCAAGTGGTTAGCAAAAAGTTGATCGGAATGGCGGGCGGCAGTAATTTTTTTTTTCTGCTGCAAAGCTTGCCGCCTCGCTGGGTAGGAGGTGGTGCAGCAAGAAAATGGGTCACCGCCTTTCCTAATCAAGCAACGACGCCCAGCCAGCCTGCTTGTAAGTGAGAGCACTACAGCGAAATTATTAAGAAAGGAATAGAATTGTGCATTCGCAGACGAAAAAAAAAAGAAAATCAAGAGAAACATAGATTCTATTGGTTCCTACTTCTATATTCAGTCAATTGACCCGTGATCCCGTCTCCATATCCAATGCAAAACAACAAAAATTAACGCCGCAATAAAGCCATCCGCGTATCCTGGATGACATGCACAAACTATGATACATTTCAATTGTCGAAAAATGAGATTTTAATAGCCGCCCCGACGTCTTGATCGTCCATTGCCGATATCGATACGAGACATCTCGTCTTCCAAGCTTGAATGCTCGCTTGCGTGAAGAGGCACCTTGGCGGGGATTGGCGGCCCATGTCCGTATTGAGGAGCGTAGTTCTCGTTTGGATAGTCGTAATGACCCCGTGCTGGCTCTCGGGACGGTGAGTATCCACCATATCTATTGTCATGGTACTGCTCGGGCGCCATAGGGGCCAGAGGGATGGCACCGGGAGATATGGACGAGCCTCGCGCCTTCTTCTGCAGCCTGGTCCTACCAGTTGTAGTGGGAGTGGTCGGTTCGTTATACTGGTAGCCGTATGACTGTTGTGGATCGTTTACTTCTGGTCTCGTAGACCTGCGATCCCTGTTTCTTTGGGCCTGGGGCATGGGCTGTGCGCCACTGAGCGATTGACGGGTACGTGCTGGCTCAGGAGATGGCTGCTTGGATCCAGGGCGAGGTTCTGGCTCTGGTGCCCACGATGTCTCCGGTAAGTGATCTGATGGGTCTACTTCTTGGCCGTTATGAGCAATAATCTTTCCATTTGGTTGCCTATGCTCCAACCCGGATGTTGCAGAGTAGTCGGAGCGTGCAGATGACACCACACTCGGGTTCAGCGCATCGTACGAATCAGGGCCAAAGGGGACATCAGACAGTCGTCGTCTCTCAACAACCACAAGCGATGGTGCGGGGCTGACTGATTTGCGGGGGATTCGGTGAGCAGGGTTTGGGCTAGCCGACATGCGACGCCTCTGCTCTGTATGAGGGTCGGGAGCAGCATAGTTCGCAGTTGATCGACGATCACTCTGTTGCATGGGCTGCGGGGACGCATCTCGTCGGCCACCGTATGATGGAGGCGGTTCACTATACTGCCGTCCACGGCCAGCAGCGGTTTGTTGATGGAAACGCTCATCATATCGCCGCTCGTCGTTAATCCTGTCTGCCACGTCCCGGGAAAGTCGAGGGTCAACATTGTATGAGAGCGATGATGGTGGGGGTGGAACACTGTAGCCGGGGGAATGTCCACGGGACGATGCGTCGTATTCATCGCGGTAGCTAGCTTGCCGGTGGTGTTGCTCTGGGGGTGCACGCCCCGGGCTGTTTCCATATTCACGAGATGCTGCTGGTGAAGGCACGTTTTGGTAGTCGTCATGGTCTTCATGACGAGATGATCCGTAATGCCTAGGAGAAGAGGCCATGTGACCGGGTGATCGGCTATAAGGGCCAGGACTGGGTTCGCGCTCAAAGTGCATTTCGTCTCCTCCATACCCGTTTCTTGCGTAAGGGTCATGCGAGGCCGATCGCTCATGGTGCCGAGGACTGTTTGGTGAGGCAGAAGTAGCGGTAGGAGGGGCCTGGTAGGTCTGATAAGGCACATTGGACGCCGAGTTTGTGTATCGGTGAGCTTCATTTCGTAGTACACCGTGTCGCATGTTCGCCTGGGCATTCTGTTTCTGCGGCGACGTTTCATGACTACCTCTGGAGCTCATATCTGGACCTACACTGCTTTGGCGCGAGCGATGAGCAGGTGGGGGCGGTGGTTGTGCGGTCTCAATCGGTGGTAGATTGCGAGGGGAACCTCTGGATGGGGGCTCATGTCGCTCAGCAGGCGAGTAGTGTCTTTGGCCAGGCTGGTCGTAACTAGGTGGTTCGTACTGATCCCAATCTTGGCTTTGCTCACGCTCAACTCTTCGGGTGGGAGTTGTATAGTATGGGTCGTTGGGTTGGGGTCTGGATGCTGCTGCGTTGTACTCAACCGACTGCAAGGGTGACTGGTTGGGTATGAGTCCTGAGTGGGATGGTCTCTTAGTATGCTGCCGAGGAGGGGTCTGCTGCTGAGCATAGAAGTCAGGCGTCGATGCAGTTACGGCTGCTGCCATGGGAGGGGCCTCGCCTGTAACAGGATCGGATGGTAGAGGTCTTCGTTTGGCACCGCCTCGCTGTCTTGACGAGCCTACATCACTATCTGCATGCTGCGGTTTCGGTCTAGCGGCAGCGGGGCGCTCTGGCTTTGGTCTGGAGTCGTAAAAGGTAATTTCAAGACGGATTTCACCAGCGTATTTGCCCTTGCACGAGAGGCTTTGCCAAACGTCACTCTGGCCACCACCGGCAATGATGATACCTTTCAAATCAATCCATGTTTCTCCAATGAGATCGGTTCTTTTGTCGTCGGTAAAGACGGAGACTTTAAGTTGGTAGTAGTCGGACGAATCGTGGACGGTGAATCGCAACTCTTGGTCCCTGGAAAGTGGTTAGCATCATTCGTCGCTGTCTGCTGGTGTGCTAGGCAACGAAGTTAAAATCTTACCATTTAGGGGTCTGCCCTCCTCTGATATCCGTAGCTGTCTTCTTGGCTTCCTTGCCCAGTCTAGCAGCGCAATAGGGATCCTGTTTGCCGATAGTCTTTCGGTTGGGAAGGTTCTTGGCCCTGTCGACGACGGCAACTAGGGTGCCAATAATAGGTCCGTCAACAGAGTGGTCTGCGAAGATGCCAGCTGTGTGTGCAGCGCCTTGGAGGCCGAATGGCTTCGCCGTAGCACTCATAGTGAATATCGGGTTGTTGGTTTACCAAGACTGGATAACCATTGAGAGTTGTTGAGAAGGTCGACAGGCGAGAGAATGGGGCTGGCAGTGCTTTGTTTACTTTGGCACTTAGCGCTGGATCGCCAGCGGGTGGGTCAGAATCCTTTTCTGCTGGAGAAGGCGGCGGGTGGCAGCGGCGAATTGAGAGACAATGAGACTGCGGAGAGAGTTGGGAATAACAACTCTGTGCAATAAAAATGAGTGACTACTGGATGTTCGAACAATGGAGAGTTAAGAAAGAAAAGGCGACGCGGCCACCAAAGGGGTTTTGCTGGTCCGAGTCCTCGGAAGGGGGGGCTTTCCAGCCGCCCGATAGGCTCGATGTCGATGGATCACTGCCACAGCCAGTTAAAGAGCGTGGCATCCAAGGCACAGTGGGCTGCAAATACAGGTACTGGCGCAATCGTAATGGTGCGTAACCGTGGACATGCTTTGATTTGGTTGGATTGTGCCCAGTGCAGAGGCCTGCTGAATGCTGGTAGTGGGTTCCCTGTTGCCGGGTTGCAGGGGTCAACAACAACAAACGGTGGCTGGGCTGCGTACGACGCCTGGTGGTTGGTGGGGCTGGTGGTGGTGGTGTGCAGCGAAACAACCTTGGCTTGGTTGTCGCAAGGCTGGGGCATGCATGATTAAGACGGCGCTGACAAGTCGGCTCTTTTTAGTGCATTTGGTATTGTTGAACGATACGAGCTGCTGGCAGCCGCCTCCCTTCATCAAGTGATGCATTATTCGTACCCACATGATCCTAGGTCAGAGACAATGTTGTCCAAGGAACTGTGCTAGTGTCTAACAACGCATCTTAGGACTACAGATCCTTTTGCTAGATATACAGTAGCCATGAGTATCGAATCTATACACGTCTCTCTTTGTCTTGAAATCACCGACTGATGCAGGGCGGTCGTCTTATCGTCCCAGCAGGCCGATATAGCCCACCATTCAGGGACGTTGTTGCAACAACCGTCGACAGAGCCTTTACCCTTTATCAGTCGTACGATATTGGAAAATCCGCTTGGTTCATCACATTATATTATATATTTGTCCACTTTGTAAACTGTTCTTATTTACAAGCGGTTCCAGTCGCAGCTTTTGGCAAGCAGGCGAGCGAGCGCCTCCAGGTTGGTCTTATCGACGTCGTCGAAACCATTCAGCTCCGCACAGTCCACATCAATGATGGCAACTGTCTTCTTCTCGCCTGTCTCCTGGTTTTCCACGACAATAGGAACCACAATCTCGCTCTTGCTATCGCCGTCGCAGGCAATGTGACCAGGAAACTTTTCAACATCATCAACCAACTGTGTGACTTGTGTCTCGGCTGCTGTACCGCAAACTCCGCGGCCAAAGCGAATGGTTTGACAGGCTACCTTTCCTTGAAATGGACCGAGAATAAGTTGTGGTGAAGAAGAAGACGAATCGAGCACGTAGAATCCTGATTGACATGTCAATGTCTGCTGTTTTATCTGCCGTGAGTATGATGGAAGCTTACCTGCCCAGTTTACATCCTTACTGGGAGCCGGAAGTGACTTGTAAGCGTGCCAAAGGAGCGATGCAGCGTTGGAAAGATTGCTGTTGTTTGTCAATTTGTATGTTCAAAATGTGCAGATCAAACTGCTTACCAGACCTGTATATTGTCAGCCATGGAGTCTATAGGTTTCTTATTGCTGTCCTACTTACCCAGTTTGGTTGATCATAGAACAGACCCTCTGCTTGCAGAAGGACTTGTTCATAAGCCTCTTCTTTTGTGACTCCAGCGTCAAAGTTGGATGCGTCGGCGTGGACCTTGAGATATGTTAGTCAGACCAAACTAAGGAGAGCCTCCAGTTAGCCGAAGATGTTTACCATTTTATCCAAGCTTAAGTTTGAATGCACTAAATATTGTTGATACTTTTAAAAGCCTTTAGGAATAGCACAACCCACTACTTTTAGACCTTTTGGAGAAACCTTTGCTTGGTTGATGGCGTGCTGTGGATTGAAAAGTTTTGATTAGTCATGCTGCCAATTGAGCCGCGATGACTATTTACATGCTCTTAACATCTAGTACTCCCCTAGAAATATGTAAAGAGGCGTTTTATAAAGCCTCTTATTTGTTCACAATATTTCAATATATTTAAATAAGCATTGTCGGCGGTGATGTTACCCGCTATGCATGTTATACTATGAACCCAGGACGTTGGTGGAGTGGCCCCAGGCACCGTTGCAGCCAATGACGCACCATAGTTGGCTGACGATTCCTCAAACTGGTCAGAGCACAGGCATCACGACAAGTCCATCACGCCCGACGTCGCTGCGCTCCAGCTTCACAACACAGCAATGGCTCCTCCTTTGCTCTTGCAGTGCCATTCGCATGGTCTGCTGCTAAGCACTAGGGCCTTGATGCATAAGACCCCAGCAATCACGAGAGCAGTCTGGCAAAGTCGACTTGCGCATACGAAACCGAAGCTCCGAGCTGGAGAGAAAAGTCCTCTCCTGAATCCTCCAGCATCAACGAGACCGCCTATTCTGGCTACACCCGAACGAAGCCGGTCAGACTCGGCTGCATCATATTACTTTAACCTAGGCAAGGCCTATCTGAAGTTCTACAAGGATGGCCTGAAGGCCGTCTTTCAGAACCGCAGGCTGCTGAAAGAAAAGCTGGATCGAACACCAGTAGACGACCGACCATCGATTTACAAGCCCCATTACGTACCCAAGTCTTTCTCGAGAGCGGATTGGGTCCTATTTTGGCGAGTCAAACATGATATGCTCCGCTTGCCCTTCTTTGGCCTCATGCTCCTCGTGATTGGGGAATTCACAGCCCTCGTCGTTCTCTGGGTAGATGGAGTCGTCCCATATACCTGCAGAATTCCGAAACAAATTGGAAATAACCTACAGCAGGCAGAGGAGCGCCGAAAGCTCGTATTCAATGAGTTGGAAGCAAAATATCCTCAAGGCGTGCTTAGCCCAGGCGTGAACACAGCTGTTGCTCGCAAGCACGTTTTGCGCAGTCTTCACATTGCAGGCAACATGTGGGATAAGCTTGGATTCATCCCTCCAGGCATGTGGGGGATTAAGGGCAACCTGCGCATGGCATTTTTGGAAGGTGATGACAAGAACATTGTAGAAGATGGAGGCATCATGGGCCTGGAGGCAGACGAGCTTCGCATCGCATGCGCCGAACGTGGAATCGATACCCTTGGGCGAAGCGATAACGACCTGAGACGATGGTTAGGCGATTGGCTACGTTTAACTGCGGCCGAGGATATTCAGGAGCGTCGCCGTCGGATGGCCACGCTCTTGTTAACGAGGTATGTCACGCTGCGCCAGGAACACGTATAAGTAACCGTTTGCTAACAAGCCTGGATGTTATAGAGCCGAGCACTGGCCGCAAACTCGCAACTTTGCATTGCCGGACTGGCATCTGTAGTGATGCCACTGGCCGAGCCGAGTAGCAGGCGCCGAAATCTGACAGCGCGGAGCCGGCGCAACAACCCCCAACCCACTCCGTATTTAGACACTGAGCTGGATGGCTCAAAGGGCATAGAGATATAGCAGATATGTACAGTATAGAGGCATTGTATTAAATAATCCCATCGTATCGCATACTACTTTTTTTTCAATCATTTGGCCGGCAAGCTCCTCGATTGACAGGCAATGCCCACGTCCTGTCTGACACGGCAATACGTCACTATGGGCATTATTGGCATGTGGTGCACACGCGAGCGCATCTGATAGACCACATGCACCTGCAGCCATGGATTTACGGTGCATTTTATTCCTAAGGCCTGACTTGGAGAATGGCAGCATTACTACGTAAACGGCATTAATACCGTACTTTTCAATTAAGTTTTATTTCTAGGTATTATTGGGCGAATTGGCAGACGGGACGCTAACTATGCCCGGCGAAGGGCAGAAAAAGTATGGTAGACGCTGTTGGGGTACCGGCGGACTCTACCAGCAGCCAATTGTCCGTTATAAAAAAGTGGTGCAATGACAATTAAAAATAAAGAAAAGAAAAATAGAAACGGTGTACACCGTCTACTGAAGTAATGGCAATTAATAGCAACTACCAGCCACACACGCTGGGACGGGTTAAGTGGCCTGGATTCCGTCCCCCGCAGCGCCTAGCCCAAGTCGGCAGACTGAGCGCCAAGTTACCGAGGAACCCTTCTGGGCGAAGCAGGCACTGCAGAGTGAGGGGAACAGCAGATGGGCGGCGCTGTGGGGGAAGGTAAAATGACACAGTACAAATGACGCTAGAAGCAAAAACAGACTGGCTTGCGTGCAGTAGCAGCGCAACGCAGAGCGGGCCAGATGTGGAGGAGGGCCGATGCGCAACGCTGGGCTGGTGAGGAGGAGTGAGGAGATGCGCCGAGGTCCCATCACATGCGCCGAAGCCAAAAAGTCTTAAACTCTCCAGGTTTCCCCAGAACGCTGACTCCGGCTCCTTTCTTCTTCTTCCCTCATATTCTGTTTCCATCTCAATTCAATCTTTCCTTCTTCATTTTTTAAACTCCCCCACAAAACCCAATTCATCACAATGTCTGTTGCTTCTGGTAAGTCTCTACTAGTTATTTCCTCGCTCTCCCGCAAACGCTGGCTGGCTCGTTGGTCGAATGCGTCATGAGGGTGGTGGGCGTTTGCTCCCCCTTCGCGCACGACAACCAGTAGCCTAGCCAGCACACGGAAGCCAAAAAGTACCGAATGGACCGCTAACCACTTTTTTTGTGTAGACAAGTTCCCCGCCTCCGCGGCTTTCGATGCCATCAACGCTGTCCTCAACAGCTCTGAGGACGAGCGCAAGAACGCCATCAAGCAGGGCGGCGCCATCTTCGCCTTCACCATCAAGAACAAGGCTGGCGAGACCGCTTCGTGGAACCTCGACCTCAAGAACGCCGGCAAGGTCTCCCAGGGCCTCGGCGACAAGCCCACCGTCACGCTCGTCCTCTCCGACGATGACTTCACCAACCTCGCCCAGGGCAAGGCCAACGCCCAGAAGCTCTTCATGTCTGGCAAGCTCAAGATCAAGGGTGACATCATGAAGGCCACCAAGCTCGAGCCTATCCTCAAGAAGGCGCAGACCAAGGCCAAGCTCTAAATGCATCGCTGTTGTGTTTTTTTTTGTCTCGTGTCGGGTATTCTCTGTGTAGCATGGCATGAGTAATGCCGTCTGCCAGAGCGGTTCTGGAAATGGGTGCTTCCGCTTGTTGTCTGCGTCATGATGATACAACCAGACAGCTTGTAGCGCCTTGTATCATAGCATTTTGTTACCTCTCGGATAGTTTGTTAACGAAATCAAAAATATAGACGATATCACATTATGGCTTAAAAATATACTCTCGCGTCACTGTGATCACCTCTAAGGACCATTCTGTACCCGCAATTCCGTAGTCGAAGTTGTTCGCATTATACATAAAACCAATCGACAAACTAATCACCAAGCTATCATAGCCAACCTTGGCTAAATACCTTCTGCCAGTTTGCGAATGATAGCCTTTGCGTCGTCTCGGACTTCATGAACAATTTCGCTTGCCGTGGACTCCTTGTTGACCAGTCCAACACCAGTACCTCTGTGAATCGACTGTTAGTCACCAATTCTTTTCCTCTTTTTAGCATCAATAATGAAATATACTTACGCCCACGTGCCAATTAGCCTCTTCGCTTCCTCTGGTGTCTCAGCCTGTCTGGTTTGCAAGGTCGTTTGGCAGTCTTCGAGAGAGGCGCCATCCAAAAACTTTTGGTGAATCTCCGTAACTATGGCTCGACCATCATACAACGGACCCCAAAGAGCATTCTTATTAATTTGGTCGTTAAATGGTGATCTGAGTAGACATGTATGTTAATATCATCAACTAGTTTATGCACGCATGTGAAAGTAGCGCTGGCACTTACTTGAATGTTGCATTGCCGCCATCCGTAGCATTGAGAATCATAGCCTTTCGGAAATCGGGAAATAAGGATTCCTTGGCAACCGTAAACTGCTTCCTTTTAGCGAAAGTGCAGAGAAGTGTGTGAAGAATTGGGGTCAGAAGCTTACTCTTGTACCCATTACAATACCGTCGGCACCTGGAGAAGCAATTAGCGCCATTCAATTCGTTAGCAATGGTGACTTTTAGGACATACCAAGAGCTTGGGCTGCAGCAACACCCTCTCCTCTGACTATACCACCAGCTGCAAAGATGGGGATTTGTCTATCAGCAAAGGACTCGGCCAGCAGCTTCTTCACTTCGGGAACGAAGCTGATGACGCCCATGCCGCGACGGAATTGGTGGCCACCTGCATCGATTCCTTGGCAAATAAGCGCATCAGCACCGTCCTGTATAGCTTCCTTTGCTGCGGTTACATTGCCGACCTGGACAAACACCTTGGGTGGGTGTGCCAGACCCTTGAGCGCTTGAATAACAGCACTGTGAGGCTTGACCTCGCCGTCGGGGGCAAATAGCCAAACAATGGCTGGTGTAGTCTTCTGGAGGACTGGAATAGCAGTCTCTGCAAACTGTGTGATAGATTTATGGCCCGTGATGAAGCTGGCGCCTACGTTGATAGGGCCTGAGCTGACGCCGAGTAGTTCGCGAGCTTGTGTAAGGTCCGAGTCTAGCTGCTTCAGATTTGCAGAGTCTGGGGAGACATCGAAGGCAGAGGCAATGAATCCTTCATTAAGACATCATATAGATGTTAGTCATTTAAGAATAATACTACGTGTCCGATAGGTAGGGAATATGTACCTATGCCTCCAGCTTTGGTGACTTCCGTCGCCAGAAGCGGGGTGGCGGCGTGCAACATTGGACCATTGGCGATGACTGGCCGCTGAGTCCAAGGGAACCATTCTTGTAGCTTTGCTGCGCTCATTTTGGTTGCTATATGCACAGTAGTTGGATGATGTATGGAGTTGGAGGTGAGTAGTTTAGCAATGATGCACCTGGATGCGTCGTAGTTTAATAGACATCATAGCGGGGTTCATCGCCCACGGGTTGAACCAATGACGAACAGCAAGTCACGATACAACACGCTATACTATAGCTTAGAAATCAGCCGTCTACTATACGCCAGATTTACATTATGTGTCATTCCCAAGGTTATCAATCAATTGATTGCAAATACAGGTAGGATGAGCCGGCATCCGTCATAGCCGTTATTGCCGTTATATCCGGTTCCTATGTAGGGTATCGAGAGAGTCCACGCCGTTTTGATGTCAATGCAGATGGATTTGTGGGAGAAGCGCAGGTTGGGTATTGTAATTGAGGGGGTACAATTCAATAATAACTTTATTGGATATTCTGCGTGCTATATGCCAACATTGTTTGACCTGCCATGGTTTCTCAACATGTCGTCAGTGAGTTTACGCAAGACTGGCCTCCCGCTGACTCTCGGCTATCAACGCTACCGGAGAGCTAACGATGGATCTTGCAACCAAGAAACAATATACCTGTTTAACATGGTGTAACCAAAAAGGTAAAAAAATAAGACCATCGTATAAATTCATTAATGGAAGTACACCGAGTTCGCATTGTGAGTTTTACCCTTACTGGGGCGACTGGTATGCTGTGTACTCCGAACTGGCGCGTGAGGACTGGTTGATCTGGAGATGCGACAGCTAAGGGCCTAGCGTTACCGAAGCGGGTAATGTTCTACTCTGGAGAAAGACATGCGAGGGGAGCTGCGGAGAAGAAGCAAAATCGAGACAGGCTAGATTACTCTGCCAGAATACACAAGTTTTGGTGATAATTCTAGGCGGCGTCGCAGGCTGAGGTTGACATTACTGGGTGTTGCGTTAGGCTCTCATTACACACCAGAGGTAAAAGTCACAGGCAAGCCGCCAGCCGATCGTTGACAACCTAAAGCCGCCTGTACCTTGCGCTAGGACCCCGAGGTGCAGGCCCGCAATGTACCCGTGCCTACTAGCAGCAAGCAGATTTCGCCGAGCAAGCATTTTGCGCCGAGCCTGTAAGAAGCTGCAACGGGCCACATCCTGAGTGGCGCTTCACGGACGACCTACCCAATGAGGCCGATACTGTACGACGCGGCTTATGCCCCGTTGTCTCGCAGACACCCATCTCAATATCACCTTGCGATGCCAGCGGCCGTCGTGACGGTACGTTCTTGTCGGCACCATGGCGTGGTTGAAATCAGCAAGATGGCGAGGGAAACCACACAGAGGGAGAGACACGACGATGGAGATAAGCCAATGCGTCTTTTATCCAAATGCATCAGACGGGCGTCAGGAGAATAACAATATCAGCTCAGGCACATAATACCCCAGGAAAGGTTGCGGCTCAAGGGGGGCAACCGCCTGGGGCCCGATTCCCCCAGCGCTCTCAACCAAAACTGCAACCTTGGCTCTCACTGCCGCAGCATGTCTTGGCTTCATTGACGCTCCCCTTGCGTTGAACCCAGCCATATGTTACTGCAAAATCTGGCTCCCCAGAGCTTGAGCGCTGCCATGAGAACTATGGGAGCCTGAATTTGCTTCCTAATTGTGAGAATGCAGCCATCATCTCGGTCGGGCTGAACAATCTGGCTTTCCAAAAATTTCACCGGCCACACCGATGGAATAACACCGAAGAGGTCCTTGGACGCTAAAATACGCTATCCATACGTCGAGCATAACAGGTCCCAACATATAGGATGAAATGCCGTGGGTGATCTTTTGGGTGGGCTGGCGCCCTTCGATTCAACCATGGCGCTCAGTAGCAGGATAGACAGTATTTTGCCTGACACTGGCTTATTTGTTTGTCAGTATCCTTGCTCGCTAATATACCGTGCCAGCGCTGGCTCGTGTATGCTATCTGGCTTTTGCTCCTCCGGGGCCAGGGCAGCGCTTGGACAGCCATGGATGGTTGGTTGATGCCTCGCTCTTGCACTGTGGTGGTACAATACGGTACAGTGCGGTGGCTACAGAGAACGTAGCATTTCTCTCGAGTAATTGAGGTCTCATCTATCTTGAACTGACACTACTTTTGATGCACACGAGTCACTAAAAAGAAAAGGGTCACGCTCGACGGCGGCAGCCCGCCCCAAAAGGGAGACTAGACCCTCGTGTCTGCCACTACCCAAAAGAAAATAGTGGATCAAGCTGGGGGCACAATAGCGCAGAGGCCCGCCAACCAACGGCTCTGACCGACTTTGCTGCTACCTAAAGTACTGGCAAAAGAGGAGCCCTGGCCCTGACGGCCACTGTGCGAGCTAGCGCTCACAGTGGCTTAGTAGCCCGGCCAGCAGCGCCATAACAACCAAAAGGGCCGCCAGACAAGGCTGCTTGGACGGCGCTCGACGATGCCTGAAAATGCACGCCTTTTTTTTTATTTCTGCGTAACACAGAAGCAGCTTAAAGACAGCAATTAAAAAAAAAAGTAGACCGGTCGTTACCATGCACCCATAATTACAATTCAAATGGCTCGGGCATCGCTGCCCTGTCTCCCTTGAACCGACGCTCGTGATTTTCTGTTTTGGGGGGACCGCCGTCCCCTAGCACCAGGCACAGGCAGCCAGAGACGCTACTGTCCATCCACTCAAGCCTGCTAGCACGCCGCCCACCCACACACGCCCCCCTCCCAAAATACCCTCCTCAAGAAATTGTCCACCTGTCGACGTCCCCACTGTCCCAGCGCCCAGAAGCACTCTCTCATCTCTCCCCAGCAGATCTTTACCTTGTGCCCCCCTGCCAAAATCCAGACTCGGCTCTTCTCCTTCTTCCTCCTTCAAACATCCGCTTTGCAATGCCCATACCCTCAACGCGCTGCTGATTGTCTGCTGCGTTCTGGCTTTTGGCTTCATCACAGAGCCGCTGAAGTGCCTCTGCTCTTCGCCCCTTTCTTTCCTCCCGCCAGCCTCACAGCCTCTCAGCGTTTAGTGCCTCGTGCCTCTCGCATCTCCGACCGACATTTCCGCGCCTCTGCACCCGCAGCTTTCCACGACACGCTGAGCACAGCTGCCGCGACCCATTGCAACCTCGAGCCGTCTACATTATAACAGTCACAATGGCGTCCTCCTCTTCCAACGTGGTCGGCGTTCACTACCGTGTCGGCAAGAAGATCGGTGAGGGCTCGTTCGGTGTCATCTTCGAAGGCACCAACTTGCTCAACAACCAGCAGGTCGCTATTAAATTCGTAAGCGTTCTCTAACCACGGCCATGGTATCCTTCTTTCTTCTATCGAATTATATCGTTAACCTCCTCTCAAGGAACCTCGCAAAAGCGATGCCCCCCAGCTCCGAGATGAATACCGTACCTACAAGATCCTCGTTGGCTATCGTAAGCACCTCAACCTTCATTGCACGCGTTCCATGGAGCTGACATGAATACTTTCTAGCTGGAATCCCCAATGTGTACTATTTCGGACAGGAAGGTCTTCACAACATCCTCGTCATTGATCTGCTCGGCCCTTCCCTGGAGGACCTTTTCGACCACTGCGGCCGCCGCTTCACTATCAAGACCGTTGTTATGGTAGCCAAGCAAATGCTTTCGCGTGTCCAGACAATTCACGAACGCAACTTGATCTACCGCGATATCAAGCCTGACAACTTCCTGATTGGTCGCCCAGGTACTAAGGCTTCTAGTGTGATCCACGTTGTCGACTTCGGCATGGCCAAGCAGTACCGAGACCCCAAGACCAAGCAGCACATTCCCTACCGTGAGAGGAAGTCTCTGTCCGGAACCGCTCGTTATATGAGTATCAACACACACTTGGGCCGCGAACAATCGCGCCGTGATGACCTCGAGGCTCTTGGTCATGTCTTCATGTACTTCCTGAGAGGAGGTTTGCCGTGGCAGGGTCTCAAGGCCGCCACAAACAAGCAAAAGTATGAAAAGATTGGAGAGAAGAAGCAGACCACCGCTATCAAGGACCTTTGCGAAGGATTCCCCGAGGAATTCAACAAGTATTTGACCTACGTACGAAACCTTGGATTCGAGGATACTCCCGACTACGACTACCTGCGCGAGCTTTTCACACAGGCTCTCAAGAATGCCGGCGAAGTGGAAGACGGCGAATACGACTGGATGAAGATTAGCAAGGATTCGGGAAAGGGTTGGGACCCGAAGGGCCACTCCTACCTTCACAACCCGAATGCACGACCTGGTCCCTCGCAAATGGAGTTACACAGCGGTCATCGTCCTGGGAATACCACGGCTCATCAGCAAGCACAGAATCTTACTGTCGGCCGTTTAAACGCCGCCCAGCCTCCCCCTCCGTCCCCGATCAAGCAGATGGGGAGAGATCAGAGAGATCGTCCAAACGGGCAAGGTGGCTACTCAGGCCAGCGAATTAGCACCGCCGGTGGTTTGCGTGAAATGTCTACCCCAGCAGGCTCTACCCAGGCCCAGTTCCAGAACAGCGCTCAAAATCTGCCTCAGCACAAGACTTCGCAACAGGCTCTCGGACAGGTTGGCCAAAGCAATGATCAGGTTGTGGAGCCACAACCTACTGGCTTCCAGAAGTTTATGAAGACGATTTGCTGCGGTTAGATGCCCGCAGTGGGTTTGCGAGAGTGTGTTATCCTGTACTGCTGTGGCCGAACGATTGCCTCGCCAAATTCGCACAGACATACTCCACGCCTGAACGACATGCATTACAACTCTCCCACCAACGCACATGACTTGCCCAGACAACATAGACTTATTGAGATGGTTCGCCTCGAGCCTATTTCTCTTGAGAGCAAGCGGGGGCGCCAGACCGAACAGCGAGAAGCTAAACAACGACACCGTGGTTGCTTCTCTAGCGCTGGTTTAAGAACGCAACAGCCCAAATCAACATCTGATTTTTTCATACTATAGATACTTTTCAGCGGATACACACCTGAGCCGTCATTTTTATTGGCCCTCACTCAAAGGGCCAAAGGACGACTCAAAGCCAGTGCTGATGCTTCGCTTTCCTTGGATTTTCGTCATCCTCACCACTGTTATTTGATTTCTTTTGAACGGCATGGGCTTCATTTTTCTTTCCTACCTTTCACGTCTGCAACGACTGCATCTATCACTACACTCAGTTACTGGGACAGCGACCTTCAGAAATTTGTTGATCTTTTGCGCCAGAACACGGGCGCAAATGATCTGGTCCCATCGTCTACTCCTCCCACTTACCTTTTATACGTCACCTTTTCTTTTATGCTATCATATAATAAACTGCACCCCGGCAGCGCAAGGCATCGCCTACAACACCGGCAACCAAAATACACGTTTTGCCTAGGACCTGGGAACCTCGAAACTAGGAAGTTGAGCGGCGGAATCTTGGTTGAGCGTGAGGTCACATACACTCAGGAGTTTTATTGGTATGTTTTTGTAATGGAAATAACAATTGCAATTCAACACAATGGGCGTCTTTTCGTAAAATGTGACAAATTAATTTAAATTATGACCAGCCGTCTTGTAGACACATGTAATAAGTATGTGTTTGTATCCCCTAAATGCATCATTAACCTCATTTTTTCGTTCCTGCCGAAGGCGGCCGAGAGCTCTGGCTGGTCGCTTCAAGCCTCGGAACTCCCTTTAACATTGCCTGCCATTTTTGCAACACAAAACTCCAACCTAGAATTATACATATTTATGTGAGCTTCTGCTTAATAAAGAAAGATCGCAGATGCGACAGCTGCCAAGCGCAGGTGCCACCAAGAACAACAAGTTGAATGATAATCCAGCGCACTACACGTCCGTTGGTTGATTCGGATTGATCTCTGAACTCAGCCTCGCGTTCCTATGTCTTGTTAGCTAAATTGGCTTTTTGGGCATGTGCTGCACACGTACACGCTGGAAAACTTGCTCGCGACGAATATCGTTCAAGCGGTTGGTCAAGTCCTTGACGCGGGTAGTAATGTCATCAATCTTGCCCTTATCGCTTCGCTCGATGTCGCTGCTCTCACCAATAACCATGTCAAGACGAAGCTTGACACCGCCGTTGGGATAGCTGGTGGAGAGCCAGCCGTGACGTCCAGAGGTTGAAGAGGGGGTGAAACAGATCTTGTGGTCACCGGCCTCAGCAGCGGCAAAGTGGAAGCGCCCAGACGATCCGCCCTTCTTGGAGACAACGCGGTGGTCGTTGTTGAAAACCTCCTATAAATCACATTGTTAGCTTATTCCAGGATCGGCATGGTTGGGGTAGCTCACGTCAACGGAGATGAAGATGTTCAATCCCTGGTGTTGTTGCCAGGCGTTGGCACGGTCATCGAACTCTTCCGCAGAGTATTTGCCCGATACAAGAGTACCCTTGGGCAATTCCTCGTAGAAACATTTGGACGAGGCGCCGTCGACGTAGAAGTACAATGCCTGGGCCGTCGAGGCCAAGGCGAGCAAGGGTAGGAAACGCATGTCGCAGGCCAATGTATGTACAAAAGCCTGAATCGAGAGATGTAGTATCTGGCTTGAGTAATATGTCGCTTTTGAGGGTAACAATCGAATACTCGGTCGACGGTAGCTGGAGGTTGTACTATAAGGGATAGAATCCTCGTGCTCGGATCGCTGGGCTAAAGCTGCCACGTTCAGCGAAAAGAGCCCACCATCAGGGGTAACGGGTCACGTGCAATGACCTTCTCGATCTCGCGTTTTGCGCCCGACTCCATCAGAAAATCAACGACATACAGAAAATCATCAACCACGAACGCGATTAAAATTAGACAGCATTAAAACGACGGCGAATCGATCACGAAAATTACTTAGGCACCATAGTTACAGTTCATTTGGTCATGGTTATCGCTGCTTGAAACCATATTGAGCCTTACTACAGCCTCGTCCATCTAAGATGTCCTCGTCCGACGTTCGCGACGTATTAAATCTACCTGACGGCCTGTCAGCGACGCGCCCGGTAAAAAAGCAAAAGGCTTCAGGCGCAAGATCTGGTCTTAAGGGTCTCGCAAGAGAAGTTCACAGCCTGGGAGGCGACAATCCGATTGCGATTGTACCAGAGGTCACCCAGTTCAAGAAAAGACGCCTGGCTAGCCGCAAACCAGCTGCTCGGTGGGAGCTACGAGATTTCCGAAACTCAGCGCGCAACGATGCAAGCTTGATCTTGAAGCACTGGCGCCGCAAAGAAGTTAAATTAGAGCCGCAACCAACAGACGTTGATGGCGTCCAACTGCCAGCTCAAGACGAAATTGAAGACTCAGCCTTTGCGAAGTACAACGTCGAAGTATCGGCCCCTCACTACACAGATGAGCAGTATGCGCAGGCTCTGACGCATGATGATTGGTCCAAGGAGGAAACAGACTATCTAATGGACCTAGCGCGCGACTTCGATTTACGATGGCCGTTGGTATGGGACAGATACGAATGGAATCCGCCGGCGACGAATGGAGAGGCTACTGAAGAGGGAGATGAAAGCAAGGCTATTATACCCGTTATTCAAACACGCGCTATGGAGGACTTGAAAGCTCGATACTATGAAGTAGCTGCGAAGATGATGGCTCTACATAAGCCTGTGCAATACATGTCACAACCGGAATTTGCACTCCATGAACTCATGGCTCACTACAACCCACAACAAGAAAAACTTCGAAAGGATTTTGCAATGAACTCGCTAGCCCGCTCGCGAGATGAAGTGCGGGAGGAAGAGTCTCTCCTACTGGAAGTTAAACGCATTCTTGCACGCAGTGAGAAGTTTAACGAAGAGAGACGCGAGCTCTACAACCGACTCGACTACCCCCATGCCGAACAAGATATCAACACATTCAAGTCGTCAACTGGCCTACAGACCTTGCTGCAGAACTTGATGACAGTGGATAAATCCAAGAAACGCAAATCTATCCTGGGTGCTGAAGGAGGTGGTACCCCCGGGCCTGCTGGCGCTCAAGCAGCAGGCACTGACTCTGCAAAGCGCGAGAACCCAAGTGCTGGCAATCGCGATTCTGTTGGAGCGACATCGACGCCTACGGCAGCGAGCAAGAAAGGCACACCACAGCAGGCACAGGAACGCAAGAAGCTTACAGACCAAGAGGAGGCCATTTACGGTATCACACATCACGAGCGTCTTGGATCCGGCCCAACATTCCGCACAGAGAAGATCAACAAGCTTTTCTCACACAAGTCTCACCAGCAGCAAAATCGCATCACAAACACACTCAACGAGTTGGATGTTCCTAATAAGCTTGCGATGCCAACAATTGGCACTACACAACAGTTTGAGGCGCTTTTGGGCGCTGTCAACAGCCTTCTTGATGCCAGAAAGGTCTTTGACAAGCTAGAGGCTGAAATCAAGGTGGAATTGGCGAAGAAGGCTGAGCGCGAAAAGGCAAATGGCACTGGCGAGGAGGAGACCAAGCCAGAGGGTGATGCCAATGAGGCCGATGCATCAGAGACCAAGCCTTCAGACTCGTTGGAAGAGGAGGCTGAAGATGCCGACGAAACAGCTGTACCAGCTGAAGATGCTGAGAAGGAAAAGAGTGGTCGACCTGGAAGCAGCGGTGTGTCGAATAAGCGAAGCGCAAGTGTCCTCAGCACTGTTAGTGACAAGAGTGCAAAGCGGCAAAAGAAGTGAAGTGCAAGTACTATGGAAGTACACTCTACCTAATCGAGGCACGCGGCTGTGTGCTTAATCAACCACACATCTCAGCTTGATATTCCAGACCCTGCTGAATCTTCAGCTCCACAAGTCAGCGACTCACTCTTGCAGGCAGGAGGTTCAGAGCTTTCTCGAGGTAGGGTATTACTGAGCTAGGCACTTGTGATGATTGACACATTGTGCCATGGGGATTCGCCATTACCGCTCTCCCATCTTAATGAATGATGGTTCATAGCCAGCTGCACCTGCGCCTGGCCATCGCATGTAACACTAGATAACCTGAAACAATACTATTATTTGTGTCCACAAATGATTTACAAGCGATTGTACCATGACTTCATGTGACTGGGTATTCGAATTAAACAGGCGGCTAGATGTTTCATGACACTCACAAGAGGTTGGCTGCCTCTTCGCTGGTGGCGTGCCATTGGGTAGACCAAGATGTGATGAAAGGGTCAACGAATGCCCTCTGTGGAGCGTAATACAAACTAGTGTAAGTGAGTTCTGGATAAGGGGGGTGTATATAAGGCCCCCGCCTTTTGAAGTATTCCAAAGTTTCAGTAGACATCATAATCTGCAGGTTTGGGTGGTCATCAGGAAGAGTCTGCCAAGGTATAAGTCGCCGTTGAGAGCCAAGTAATTGGTCAGGAATTGCTGAAGGCGGGGGATTTAAGTAGTCAGAACCCACTTCATATCCGGTTTCTTAATTTAGAATGCCAAATATTGGACGACTACAGCTGACGTTTGCTAAGAATAGAATATCTGGCGGGACCACGATGGAGCCAATACAGACGGCCCGATGCTTGACTTGAGCCAGGAACCAACCGCATCGATCCTGTAGCCGCCCAGATCAAGATCTAAAGGGGGGAGGGGAGTGTGCAATTAGGAAAGTCTTGGCTATCCAAGGGTCTTCTCGCTAAAGGGCAATCATGACGAGGTGGAAAAGCGAGATCTTGCTAAGGGGGGCCTTCTGCCTGAGCTGGCGGTTACACTACGACCAATAGGTTCAAGGCCAGCAAGCCTCCCGAAGTGTCTGCATGGTGGGGGCCGGCGCGTAGAGATCCAGCTTTGTTGATAGGGCTACCCTCAGACATATACCATGATGTTGGAAGCCGGGCCAGGTTAGATCTGGCATGGCTGGAAGCCGTGAGGCAAGTGCATGCACGTGGAACGGAGCTGCAAGCGATACAGGACCCAGGCTCATGCATGTGTAGTTACACTCGCATTACATATTTCTTATTTGAAACGAGCAGTCAATGTCCAGTGTCGCAGGAACTCTACCCCAGGTCAGCGACGATTGGACAAACGGAAGCCGGTAGGCGGGAGGTGGAGGCGACGGCCGGCGGCTAGAAGCTATTAATATCCTGTAAAGGATACCGCTTGTGGAGAAGAAGAGTTATAATTAGAAGCAGCCAATCTCGCATATGACAAAGTTTAGCAGATGGCAAACGAGATATCAGGGTTGATGACCGGTTGTAGTGGTGGTTAGCCGCCCAAGTTTTGTGGCTTCTCAGGGGTCTACCGAACCAGGAACGGAAGGGTTGTGGTCTAAAAAAAGAACAATCTAGCAGTTTAGATCGAACCCATTACTACAGAGGGGCTGAATCCATCGTGGATTGTGCATATATCCAAAGATAATTGGCTGGTTGAGCTCTGTTGAAATAAGCGCCGACTTTGAGGTCGGTGGTGGGGATGGTTAAGCGCCGTGGTGCTGGCTACCAGGATTTTGGTTGGCTGGTGGCGGGACTAACGAGCAGCCAAGCCCATTCTAACAGAAAGTGGTAATATTTTGCAAACATCGAAGGCGATGGGCGATTGTCGCCGATGGCAGGACGTCTGCTAGTTTCGGAGTGTAACGACAGCCGGCCGCGCGATGTTTCATCGTGGCCTGCGATACAACTTGCCTCGAAGCGCGAAACCTGGGAGGCGTGAGCATGGGGTAAATTGACGAGGACAAAGCGCCGACAAGAGAGATCGGAGGGCAGAGGAGGGGGGGATTTGCAAAAGTGCCGCATGATGATCAACGCCCCGTGGGCTCAGAGCATCACAGCGACAGAGGACTCATAGAAGATGGCCCAACCATTACTGAGTGAACTGTGCACGCGCTCCATGTCTCTGTCCCGTCGGGATAGGTCAGGTCAGGCCAGGTCGAGACTGGCTATCACGGGCGCGACGGAGGTTGCATTGCTACGTGGTGGACCTTTTGCAATCAGTCAGTCAGTTGCACAAAGTTCCCCGTTCTTCAAGAGCAAAAGCAGAGCGACGCGGACGGGCCAAGGCGTGACCATTGAACGGGACGTTTGTAGCGCAAGCCCTTTTAGGAACTTGATTGCGAATATTGCCAATTGAGCTAGCATCGCTCCCAGGATGATGACTAGGACTTAACCATTGCCCCATCCGTCCATGCAAAATGCACGATCTTGACCGAGACTTAAGAGCTAAAGCTGCTGTTTAGTGGACTTCCAGGGGGCCCTCAGTGTTTCAGAGTTCATGCGGGCTCGATGTTTGGCAGCAAGTGCTGACTGGAGGAGGCGCTCGGGTCTTGGTGCACCGGCACAGGAATAGAAACATGCAAGCTGGTTAGCCGCATATCTGCTCGTTTAGCAGACCTCTCGTCGCCTGTGGTTCCTTGCACCAGGCTCGGCGGGCTTAGATTGGCTCGCTCGCTCACGCCGCCACCACCCACCAACAAGACCTGCCACACCCATCCAGCGCTTCGCTAGGATACCAACCCCGCTCCTAGAGCCTTGTCCTTGTTGTCCCGCTGAGTAAAGGAGGAAAAATACACTAGGTGAAACCAATGGGGAACTCCTGCGTTCTTCCCGCACTGCAACACCGCTAACAGAGCAGAAAAGAGTTAGTTGCTGTGGATCGAATAGCGTCAAGCGCATCGTGGAGTTTAATCCCCTTTCTCTGGGTTCCAATAAAAAGAAAGAAGGCCGAAAGGAAAGAAAAGACACAGACCCATGCCCGTCTGTGCTGAAGACGAAGCAGAAGCAGAAAGCAGAAATCTTTGCGAAACTCTGTTGTTATTGCCCAGTCCTCCTCGGCAGTGGTCCAGCGCACAAACGGACAGATCTGCGGGCGAAGAACCTAATATCCAACACGCCAGCTGCATATAGCTCGGCTGCTCTGCGGTTTCACTTGCTCGTCAACAACGGTGGGCATTATTCATGTTACCCCTACTTAGATGGTAGGGTTGCAGCGCCCCACTGAGACTTGCTGTACTATGTACTGCAAGAGCCGGTTTGCGAGTGGCCCTGGCTGCCGTTGGAGAAGACTTTTTTCTTCTTTTCTATCATCTGGCCAGTTTGCTCGAACTTGCAGGATTTCCCTTCAACAAGACAAAAAAGAGGGACATCACGGAGCTCGTGGGACTCGGCCGTGGAGCCTGCAGATGATGGCGCCAGATGTGGACATCGGCCGAATGAGGGGAGGGAGGGTGTCTGTGTTGTATGGATGTCCTTGCGCAAAAGCTTCGGCTCATTACAGCCTTGTCTCGCAGTCGGTTTCGGCCTAGATTGCCTAGTTCGTAAAGACGGCACGATGGACGTAGTAGACAGAAAGAAGACACAGAGAGAAGGCCGTGGTGACAGTATCAAAGCAAGGGCGTGCTCGACAACAAAGCTAAGCTGGCTTACGCATTAGCCAATTGAGACAGCGCTGGAGAAAACGCAAGGCTCCGCTTGCTTTCCTAGCAGGCCATTAAAAAAAAGAGCGCAACAATAGACCACATTTGTATTTGTAATATTGAAATGCGAGTGCGTTGGTTGAGCCCGCCGAATGCGTCAGGTTGCATACGTTCAGACGCGATGGAGAGGATTAGCGCAGCTCAATGCTACTGGCCAGCATCCGCTTAACAGCGTTTCCTGCGGTGGGACTGGCGCAGCGGTAAAACGTTGCCTTCTGCAACCCTCTTTGCTGCACAGAAAAGAGAGACAGACATGAAGGCTGCTGATGCCGGAGATATCAAGTTCAGCTGCAGGCGCGCGGAGCCCATATGCAAAAGTTGGGAAGCAATGGCATTTCTACATGATGTTACAAATCGACGCTTTTTCTTGTCTAAGCCTTGCCAGCGTCGTCTATCTGCACAGACTGTTGGTGGTGGTGGCCCTGGGCTGCAAAGCCGAGCCTCTTCGGGCTGCATCTTCCCTGCACCGAAGCTAACTAGGCGCTTGCTGGGGCACTATGGGACTTCGCTGTCTGTCTGTGCCGAGGCCTGTGGAGCGGCATAACATATTTTGCTTGACAAGGACAAGGAAAAAGAGGAGCCACGCTTGAGTTGGGGGTGTGGTCCGTAGTGGAGAGCATCCCACCGTCCTGATACAAGCAGTACAGCCACTGAGGCGGGAGTTACCACAAAGTCGGCGCTAGACGCGGCGTTAACAAGGACTGACTACTCTGGGGCCTGTGATTGGCTCTCGTCGACGTGACTAGAGCGTTCGGCGCAAAATATCCCTGAGTCACCATTTTTGCTCATCGTCTGGAAGCTTGTTCATCCGTCGCTTACTTTTTTCAAGCGGGCCTTTTTGGCTCGTACGGCAGACTCATCGCCGTCGCTATAGTGGTAGTTGGGGTAGGAGGAGGTGTACAGTATAGTGCCCAGCTACTGCTACTAGCTGACTTGACCCGCCCACGACCGTTCTCGGGTGCCGTGCTTCCTGTTTCACCATCACAGCGTGTTGTAGTTGTAGTGGGTGTCACATTTTCTTCGAGGCCTTCCAGAAGAAGGCGCCAGCACATGGAGCGACTGGGGAGAGAGAGCTCTTTGACACATGGCCTTGGGCTGTGAAACCAGGCGCTCGCTCTGTCGGCAGCCAAAAGGTGTCATGATCAGCATCCAGATGAAATCATTAGCCGGAGCCCAGACACAGACACGGCCGTGTTCGAGAAGAAGACAGAAGGCGCTGTTTGCTGCATGCATCAGCTGGCGTATGGCGTGTGTGTGGCCCCTTCGCAGTAGAAACACGAGGCGCTAAAAAGTCGCCGTGGCTGAGGTAGAGCTTCCCAATTTCCCACTGTGGCTACTACTTTGTCGGACGGGTCAGATATTAGCCATGCGCTGAACCAACGGAGTGGAGGCGCCAGCGCGCGGCTCGCCTAGTCATGGGTGCGAGCGCGTGCCAGTCCCCACCGGCGATTGGCCTAGTTGGGGCATTCGGGTTTGTGGCCCCCCCGGTACGATGAGAAATGAAGCGCTAGAACGCTGCTCCCGAGTTCCATGGATTGGCCGTGCCGTGGAACGAGCTGTGCACAGTAGTCATGCTGTTCGTATATGCTGGTTCATATCCGTATAGAAATTACTTGCTGTTTTTGGCGAGTTCGAATCCAATGAAGCACAAGCAAAAACAGGAAACATCTAAGCGCGTTTCCTTGGAAGGGCGGTTGTTGGGTAGCTGGCGCCAGCCCAGACCGCCCTACGAGCTCCTCCAGCAGCCTTGTTGGCCTTTTCGCCAGCCTGAACCGCCATTGGTTTTAAAAGCGCATCCTATGATGCGCTGTTGCCAAAAAAAAAAGTCTCCAGATAGGGCAATGGCCGAAAAGGAGGCTTTGTCCCGATGATATTCCAGAGTCGATGGGGGTGCCATCTTCGGAGTCTCGGATGCAGCTGGTTTGATGGGGCCTTGTCGCATAGCGTGCTCTGCTGCTACGGGCCATTGGTGCACCTAGTTAGCTTTAGATTGACAAACCAACGCCCATTGAGCTGATTGCCAGGTTTCCCCGATCAAAAGACGAACTGGGACCTGGGATACTAACGGCGCACATTCCCTTTTGGGCCTGTAGCAAATCGGTAGGATGGGCGATTGTGGCCTTGGGATTCGCCCATGGGTGCCAAATGAGCAGCGACACCACCACCGTAGAACCCCCGAGCGGCTGTTTGCGCTCCAGCTACAGCGCCGAGCCACACTCTTTCAGCAGTCGCAACGCTTCCTTGGCGGCAGTGGGCGACAAGGATTCATCTGAGCACCCTAGCGCCACCCCTCCCTTTGCTTTCGCCAAGTATTTACCCGGCAAACCATCCACAAGCCTGCAACAGCGGGCTGGTCTCTCCGCTATAGCGCTAGCTTTTTCTTCTGCTTGCCCTCTGGAAGTCCTACCTACCCACTGGGGAGAGGGTCAAAGGTGGGTGGTGGGTGCCGTGAGCCGCTGCGGATGCTGTGTTCTGGTTCTGCGACGAATGGCAGCGCATCGCAAGCAGCGCTACTTGCTGGGCGCTGTAAATTGCATCTGCCCAGTGCGGCCAAACCCAGCCCAACCTAGCCTGAACGGAACAGGAAGCTAGCAGCCAAAGGGTACAGTACACTAGGGGCACTAGATTGTATTGCTTGCTTGGGAGGGCGCACTGCTCTGTTTCGCTGCTTGTAAAAAAAAAAAAAAAAAGCTACTACATTCACAGCCAAAAGCTGCGTAAGAGGGTGTGCGGCTGCTGCTGCGCTGTCACGGTCCGCGCACCCAGCCCAGAGTTTGTTGGTTCAGTGCCGCTTAACGCTGTGGCTAGCCCATTTCGCTAGCCAGGCTCGGCCAAGGGGGCTTGATCTGAGTCTCGTTAGGCGCACCCGCCACCACTGTCCGACCCAAGCACAGCACCATTTGCCCTTTTTTCTTTTCCCACCCACACGCCCCCCGCTGGCCCCAAGCGCCATGCCGCCCGCTGGGTCCCCCGTTGTTGACGGTCATGCCACGGCTAGGCGTGAGAGCGCCGTATCTGAGTGTCTGCCAGACCCATTTCGCTTCGGCAAGTGCCTCTGGTACTTTGTACAAACCTTTTTTTTGCTGCGTCTTGTTCGCTAGTCCTTCCCATAATCCCACCCCAGACTTACATACTGCCCTCTCTTCCCACTCCTCCTCCGACACCCTGCACGCTTCCTTCCTGCTCCCAACCGCCGGCACACCAACCTCTCAACTACACAACCGCATCGCAGAAACCTCATATTCAACGGCCAGCAAGAGTGGTTTCCCATTGTTCTGCTCCCGATTGTCTCGACCATGCCTGCTTGCGTCCAGTCGGATCCTCTTCAGTAACCATCGCAAAGCCGCCGACGGCTTCGTTTCCACCTTTCGGAGTTTTTCTTTGCACGCTGAAATCGTCGACGGCGCGGCAAATTCTCCGCCACAACCGCCAATACTCGATACCGGAAAACCTATTCGGAAGTTAAATATATCTTTACAAAAAAGCAGAAAACAACCATTGCTACCCGAAATCATTGCTGTGCGCTTTTCTGCAGAGTAGATCTTTGCGTGCTCGCATTGCGTCAGTAGCCGCAGCTTAGGTCCGCAGCAGCTTTACCTGCCTAGCCGCAACCGCCGCCTGGATCAGCACCGACAATTCAGCCCCTTTGCTTTTGAATTACGAGCTGAAGCGAGCCCATCCACTGCTGAACAAGATTTACACTCGTTGCATCCCATTTGAAGCCTAGCCAAGGGTTGCGCAGCTGCCTACCCGCTCGCTCCAGCAGACACCCTCCCAACTCCGCACCACTTGCTAAACCGCATTAATTCAGCACCGAGCACCATGTCAACATTTAAGGCGTTAAACGGCGCTGCAAGCTCGCCAAAGTCGGAGACGCAGGCTGCGCCTACCTCTGACAGCCCTTCCGCTACCGAGACCCCCAAAGTAGCCGCCGCCGAACAACCCGGAAGCGCAATTACCTCGCCTAGTCAAGCAAATACTGAGACTACTGGCAATGCTAGAGAAAGCTGGCCAACTCAAGGCCCGGACCGACCCGTTGCTAATGCCTCTGCTGGATCAGAGACAGAATCCTCAAACAAACGCAAGAGATCCGAGTCTGCAGAACCGACACCCGCTGACGGCCCTACGCAAGAGAAGTCTCCGGTCACTGCTAATCCCGCCAAATCTACGGAACAGGAGAGTTATGCCACCCCGCAGCGCGAGAATAGGCAATACGGCGACCAGCGAGACCAGGACTCGTGGTATTCACGCAGAGAAGGCCAAGAACCTACCGACGAGCAACAAAAGGCCACTTCTCCTACCAACGACCTGCATGATGAACAGGGCTCTGACCCCTCTCGACGCCGCGCTGAAAGTGAATATAGCAACACTAGCGCCGAAGCTGAGGACAGACCTGCTGGGTTTGGCAACAACTACTCTGGCGAACAGCGCGGGGACGGTATTCTTCAACATGACCCGAAGAAGCGCAAGAGAAATTTTAGCAACCGAACCAAAACTGGATGCTTAACTTGTCGTAAGAGAAAGAAGAAGTGTGACGAGCAGAAGCCTGAATGTAAGCCCATCTCTTCCAGATTTCAAGCTGGCTGATGTTCCATCGTTCGTTGCATCATTTATCTTTACTAACCTTTGAATTCTAGGCAACAACTGCATCCGAGGGGGATTTGTCTGCGCGGGCTATCCACCACATCGCGGTACATGGCCCGGGTCCAAGCTCGATAACAAGGCAGTTGCTATCCCACTTGAGTCCAAGGACCCCAGTTACATCCCGCCTGGTGCATATGGCATGCCGCAACCCGGCATGTACGGCGCGCAGCCTTTGAAGCGGGAACCCTTGCCGCACTATCGTGGCCAGCCCCTCCGCATCGACCCACCACAAGGCCGTCCCTTGATGACCGATGACGACCGCCATACTGCGTCGACATTGGCAAGCGCGTCTGTCGCTAGCCCCGACCATAAATTATCCAACGTTCCATACACACCGGCCAATGCTTTCCCCACTCCTGTTAGTGCCAACACTCAGCCGCCATTGTTTGATAGAATGGGCAAGGAATATCAGCGAGTGCCTCCACTTCATGAACTGAGCAGAGGAGATCACGGCAGAGGGGACCACACCAGGGCCGAGCACGCCAGAGCAGAGCATGCCAGAGCAGAACACGCCAGAGCAGAGCACGTAAGAGCCGAACACGGAAGATTAGAGCACGGAAGAAACGAGCACAGCGACCGCCTACCTCAGATATCATTGTTGCATTCGGGACGCACAAACAGCCCCAACAGACACCCATCGATGGGTCCTACATCTAACCCCCAGGTAGCTGCTCAGCTCGCGCTACAGCATCCTCAGTATCCCCAGCGACGAACGCAAAAGGAAGAAATGCTCTCTGGCAGACATTTCTACGCCTTTGACAAGGAACTTTGCCTCGAGCGTGAGCGTTGTGCTACTGCATGCTGGAGATTCAACAACCTCACCGCTCCTCCTACCAATGGTGTTTCACCCGACGAGCGTGCTCGTCTCTTCCTTGAGATCTTGCAACCAAGAGACCCGGTTAGAGTGTCCCCCTCGGAAGCATCGCCCGTCACAAACGTTGGCCGTGTCGGCCGTCATGTGGCTGTGGAGACCCCGTTTAACACCGACTACGGCTACAACATCTCCATTGGACATCATGTCGTTATTGGCCGCAACTGCACCATTAACGATGTTTGTGAGGTTCGCATTGGTGACAACTGTGTTATTGGTCCCAATGTAAGCATCTACACCGCAAATCTCCCCATTGACCCCAAGAAGAGACAAGGTGGCCAAGGCCCCCAGTACGGACGACCCGTTGTTATTGAGCAAGACTGCTGGATTGGCGGTGGTGCAACTATTCTGCCTGGCAGAACTATTGGCAAGGGAAGCACGGTTGGAGCTGGATCCATTGTTACAAAGGTACGTTCTAGAAGGTCGCATAGTAAATGTGTTTATTGTGGTCATACTAACGGGTCCATAACAGGATGTGCCTCCATTTACGGTTGTAGCAGGAAACCCTGCTCGCGTCTTGCGTGGAATTGCCTCTTAAGCTATGTATGTCATCTTTTTTGAGCCATGTTACGATAAAAAAAGTAAGATATTTTTGTTGGTGTTTTAATGAGCTGAGCATTGGGAGTTGATTTATGGGAAGCGTCCGATATATAGCTTGTCTTTTATTTTTATCTTATAATCATATTATCTGGAAATGTCTATTGTGTCGTGCCTCACTGAGTATCTGCCGTGTCAAATAGAGACCTGAGTCTTTCTCCCCTGTTCTGTATACCATTATTGAACCTCTAGACCCTTTGTGCAAGGGGCTTACTCAACTATCAAAAGCAAATCAAAACAAAAACAGACCGTGCAAACTGTATCCACCATCAGTGCGCATGAATGGCATGGGCCGGCAGCTCGCTACATGTTTCCACAAGTGAAATGAACGAGCCCGCCACATTTGCAGCCCTCAAGACTTAAAGAAGAGCTTGATATTAGTGGATCTTTTGATAAAACATAGGCGACCAAGTTTGATGTGGTCCCAAGCCCAAGGCCGTGGGAGTGGCCGGGCCCATGGCCTCCTGTGGCCCCCTCCGTGCCCTGCGGACCTGTATCGCGGCCTAAACATGGCCTCCTCCCTGGGCCACGTATGGATTTCGAGGGTGCCGGCGGTGAAGATCGTCAATACTTATGGTAGCATGTCGGACCAATTCGTATCAGTTGCTTGGTCAAGCCGAAGGTACTGGTCGATGGATTTCTAGTTACCAATGTTAGCTTTGCTTAACCCCCATGGTCATAATACACCATATAAGTAATATCAACATACCCAGTTTAATGCTTCTGTACTTGAGAACAAGTCGTTCAAATCCGGAACCTGGTCGAAATTGATTGGATAGTCGCCCTCGGGAAACGGAGTGGTGAAGGCTGGGTCTTGAGCCACACTCGCGTCATCTGAAATTCGGAGACCTTGGCCTGTCGCCTGAATGATCCGCGACATTTGCGGTGGCGGGAACGGAGTATCTGCTTCTGACGCAGTGCTCGGACTATCGACCTTTACTAGAACAGCACGGAGGAGCTTTGCGGCATGGCGTGCATCTTCAAACTCGGCGCCGGCCCTTGACCAAATCTCTTGACTCTTGTGCAACATGATGATGCGCTGTTGACGCTCAGAGGGATTAAGATCGTGGGATTCAGTCACGTCTAGGCAGGCAATCGTTGACGCGATGAGGAAGTGCTGTATGGTGAGTCCGGACACCATGAATCGATCTTGGTGCATTCTTCCACCGGGACTTGTTGCAATGTCTAGCTCGACTTGCCAGTTTTGTAGTATAGAACATGCCTCGCGGCAAATGCGCCGGGATTCATAGTACTTCGGGTCGTCTTTGTATAAGCTAAGATAAGGCCGATTTAAGACCATCTGGCATTTGCGATACACAAGCTCTAGCATGAGCCTGTGCAGAATGGTATATGTAGGATCTGTGAATGAAGTGCTCATAATCGGTCGATATCTAAGGCAGCTTGGAATGGATTCAAACCACTCGTCAAGGGCCTTGTTGAGGCGGATCGTCTCAGAGTACGGAGGCAGTTCTACAGCCAAGGCATGTCTCATAATAACACGCATCAATGGAGTCATGTATGCCTTTGTACAGTAAGCCAAGATTGGTGTTGGGTCAATTAAGCCTCTTGGTGGAGGCATGATCTCCGTGTCTTCGTCAAAGTCGTCGTCCGTAAGATTAGTAGGGTGCGGTGCATCGCAGGCACCCTCCCAGACCATAGCAGGCATGCCGTTTTGGAATGAAAATAGAAGATCAGAGGATTGGATCATAAACCAGACACGTCGTCGCATCTCTGCTTCAAAGGGTGTAATGCCTGGGATGATCTTGAGAGGATCTCGGTGATAGCCTTGTCGCTGAGCCAAACGCACCGCTAGGCCATACATGGCCCAAATGACAGCATCAGAGTCCAGCCGCAGCACATTTCTCGAATGAGCGTGCATCAGTACAGCTTCCACAGAACCCGCCTTGTTCTTGAGATATTGACCGGCTACCAGACATTGCACTGAAGCCGTGGTGTAGACCTGTGGATGTCTGACGGTCGTTAATACAGACGTGTTACCGGCATACTTGAAGCGAGCAATTTTGGCACCAGCACACAAAATGGAAAATAGAATGCTGATCCAGAGAAAACCGGCCGAAGCTGGATCTTTAAGGAAAGCCTCATACTTTCGCTGAAACTGATGCGTGTGGATGAATGGGATCGCCTGGAACTTGGCGTTGAAGTAGCTGGAGATCAACAAGTCGGAATCTTGTCGAGAGGGGAGAAGGTCCAAAACATCTTGTAGAGTGATGCTTGATGCATGGCCCAGAAACGGATCGGCCTCCTCGAATCGATCGTCATCCGCAGGGTGACGAAGGTCCTCATTGCTGTCAAGCAGATCTTGTAGGTCTCGAATGCTGTCGACAATGTTCGTCCAAGCCGTCGCACCCTTATAACTATGTCCTTCTTCCTCTCCGTTGATCTTGCCAACGTCTCCTGTAGCGAGCCCATTCGATATATCGCCCGTGTGCGCCGTTTCGTGTGATTTGGAGCTCGGCGTGCTGTTGACGGCCTCGTTCTCGGCCATCGTTCGGACCATTTGCTCTAGCTTATTCAGCTTGAGCTGGACTTGTCGTCTATCTCCCGAGGACGAGCCCGATCCTTCAGCCACTGTGCTAAATTTGCATGACGGGCCTTCGGAGCGTTTCTCGCAGGCACCGCACGGCTGTTGGCGATCACATTTCGACTTGCGCCGTTGGCATGCGGTACATGAGACTGCAAGGCGGTTGCGGCGAATTCTGTTGCGCTCGCCAGCGCGGAAGACGGATGTAAAGTTGGATATTCCCGGTTCGGCCATGTTGCTTGGAGTGGTTTCACTCCATGTGCGGTTCAACGGCTGTGTTGGTAGTAATTTGGCGGGCAGGCTGGCTGCGGGCGGCGTCTTGCGGCTGTTGCTGCTCTCGGAACGGCAATGCACTGAAGCGGATATTTGTTCGTAGTGTGGTGATATAGCGGTCTGAACCTTTCAAGCGTCGTGGTGCTTTAGGGCATGCGATGTCGCAACAATGATGTCGTTGGTATTGTCACCGTTTAGCTCAAGCGGGGAATCTACGGTTGGGTTGTGTTCTGTGGCAACTCAGCACTGACGTCGGGTAGGCTCGCCAGGCTTCGGTAGCTGGCGTCTTGAATTTGACGCCATTTCTTGTTACAAGAATTCTTATGTTGAAAAATTATTCAAAAGGATATTGTCATAATCAAATATAGAATTTGAGATAGTTGGTTATCGCTTGTCCTTGATTACTGTAAATAAGTTGACATGTCAGTTGGGGTATGGTTTCTTTACAGCTATTATACAGAATTGTTCTTCCTATCGTTACATATCGCTACATTCCACCGTCGGAAAGTTTGCGTTGATTAATATTAATAATGTCTTCCATGATTTCAAAAGCCCGACTTTGGTCATTGAGCTTGCCAAATGCCTTGAATGTAAATGCATCTGGCTTCAACCCGGTCGACTCCATTGCCTGTAACGCTGTTACGGTTCGGCTCACGCTTTGCATTGATGAGTACCCTCTAATCAGCGTGTTCCACGTAACCTGATCCGGTTCATGGCCATGCTCTTTCATTACTTGGATGACCTTCTCAGCCATTTTAACGTCACCTTGGCTGAAAAGCCCACGAATGAGCAGGTTAAAGGTGATTAAGCTGGGAGGAGGGTGGGCTGGACCAGATGATGCTTGTGTTCCAGCCGATGCAGCTTCATCAAGCGTAGAATGCTTCAGATAGTCTTTTAACATGTCTCCAAAGACTGACAGAGCCGGTCGAACCATGCCACGCTTATTTGTCATGCCCAGGATAAATGTGTCGTGGATCAGACTGCCTTGATCCTTCATCATCTCAGATCCGAAACCAGCACCGTTTGCCGTTTCTTCCAGTCGTAGTTTGAAGAAATTATAATACGAAAGGAGATCGTATGATGAATGTAGACTCCGGATGTAAGCGCGAATCATTGTGGCAATAGTTGTAGAGTTGGGTTTTAACTTCTTCGTTGAGTTGTTGGAGAAAAGATCGCCGATTGTGCTCAGAATTGGGCCATCATATTCTCGCGGAGTAGATTGGGCATTCTGCGACAGCGTAGGAGACACTGTAGGTATGGTGTTAAGTAATAGTGGTAGGGTATCAGGAAGCCAGCGTTGCAAAGGTTCGAGATCAAACTGCTTGGCATAGATGCGTAGCATTGGTTTGAATATGGAACTACTGGCAGCTGGTTGATGTCTGCCATCGCGAAGCTCCATCGTTGCAAAGTAGAAAATAGCGTGTAAAGCGTTGTTGAGCACTTCACGATAGCCAACGCTGGCTACTTTCGCAACATCTAGCGCTTTGGAAATGTTGCTGATATTTAAACTATGTTTGGCAGTGCGAAAGAGGTTAGACCACGTTCTCGAGTCCAGTTTGACTCCTGATTCAGCAAAGAGCAGCGCCAGGCGAATTACTTCTTCACAGTCTACCTCATGGGCCATAGAGTCCAAAAATGCCGTGAATGTAACGGTGTTAGGTGTATACCCTTGCTCCATGAAATACTCGAGGGCTGCTTTTGAAGAAAATTGTTGAGTGGTGGCTGATGGTGTTTCGCCAGAGACTGGAGAATGCAATAGAGTAGTCAGAGTGCTTGAGAATTGGGGAAGTTGCAAGTTATGCCCATCCTCAGTCAGTTCTTTGAGTATTTCAAAAGCGACTGGCTTGGTATTAGTATGCTTGCCCAGCTTTGCTGCGAATTGTAATTTCGTGTTTGAGTGCAGCTGATGTGAGGTTCGCTGAAGAGTATTGTATAACTCATGGGCTTGTTCTGCCGGAAGAGCTTTCGCTAACAGACCAAATGTTCGTTGTCGAAATGGAATCTCGCCGCGGGGCACATCTTCTAGTGTATGGACTGCCAGGTCCAAGAGTGTTTCGGATGCCAATGTGTGTTGCCGATTGTGCTGGGTTTCTGCTCCAACAGCCCAAGCTGCGCAAAATGCAAGTACATCGTTGATTGCATAGCCTGGAGGGAGAGGATCTAGGGTGGCGTTGAGAACCATTGCTGACTTGCTTGGTGTACATCTCATGGTTGATAGCATGAGCTTTGGCCACTGTTTTAATCGCTCTGCAGGGTCCAATTCTTGCCAAGCCCGGCGCATGGCAGAGACATCTTCATGTTGTAATAAGGGGAACATGCTTTCCTGTTGTAGTGGTACATGTCGACTTTTTTGCATGATTTTGTAAAACTGTCGCTTCCAGTAGTCGAACGCGCGTTGCGCCCCTTTGAGCTCCTCAGCAGGATACGCATGCCGTAGAAAGCCCCATTGGTTGTACGCCGTATCCGTGCGCTTTGGTCTAGATTGTCTAATTCTCCGGCTTTGTGTTTTAGATTTCGATTTGTCATCCGTTATTGACTCTTGTATCATCGTCTCAGCATCCGGGTCTGTTGTGAATGTGCTCGCGTGGGCTGTCGTTGGAAGAGAGTCGGCAGGGAGACTTGACGCCGCATCTGCTCCGGCCGAGGTATTCGATACCGGTCTTAACCCTCTAGGCAAATTGACAGGATATTGCGCTATTTGCTGAATTCCTAGCATAACCGTGCCAGCAGGGCGGGAGGCATTTGAATATTGCTTGCGAGACTGTGCGACGTTTGGGCGCAGTGCGGCGAAGTTGTCGCTCCGAAGCCGCACTGGTAGCCTGACTTGCCGCATCAAAGCTAATACCATGGTATCATGATTCGAAATTTATTTGTAGCGGCTTCATGCCGATTTTATGGCGTGACGTGGGGAGGCAGATGCTGATTAGAGTCGGAACAATTTTTTAGGGGCGGCGAGGCTTGGATGACAGCCTGGTATGGTGGGTCGCCAGGCTTCGCGTGCAGTAGAGCTTAGAACGCTACCATATTTTTTGCCCCGCGACGGCATCGACATTGTGAACCTCCATCTCGAAGTATTGCAATTGGACCAGCTGCGGCCCACTCCAGCCGATCAAAATGTCATCATCATTAAATAACTTATCTTCTGCATCGGACGACCGAAAGGCAAGACTTGCACAGCTTCGAAATCTCAAGCGGAAACAGCCAACAGATGAGATCGCTCCCCCAGAGGCAGATCGACCTTCCGCCACGCCAGAGGAAAGCCCAGACGTTGCAAAACTACATCTATCCGGAAGAAACTATGATGCTGAAACAAAAGGACCCAAGCTGGGTTTCGACGCCCCTCCCACTGCCGCTATGGAGAAATCTACACTCGAAGAGCAAGCAGCTGAAATCGCTGCTGATGTGAAAAACCAGGCGGCGGAAGATGCGCTTGATGATAAAGCTATCGATTTGTTTAAGCTCCAACCGAAGAAACCAAATTGGGATTTGAAACGAAACTTGGATTCGAAACTAGAGATCCTCAATGTTCGCACAGATAATGCGATTGCACGACTAGTGACGGAAAGAATCGCTGCGGAACAGAGTTCACAAGCGCACCGGCCAGGCAATCAAGATGCCACCGGCGATGGTGAAGCTAATATTGACGGTGCTGCGTTTGTGGAAGGATTACGGGTCAGAGAAAAGGAAGAAGAGGAAGAAGAACGCAGAGAAAAGCTTGAGGAGGAAGACTAGACGTGGCGGACGATATATGATATGATGAACATGTAACTTCATAACTTTGGTTTACTTTATATATTGATACCCATTCATTTATAACCTAGTTTGTCTGGCGCGTCAACGCTAGTCTCTTGCTAAACGGACTTAGACTACGGTCTCTTCGACTATTTGCTGGTGCTTTCGGAGCGTTGTTTTGTGTAGGCGGAGACCTCGAGCGCCTGTCGTATGGCGAGCTGGAACGAGAACCGCTGCGACTTCTGGAACGATACCTCCTACGACTGGATGTAACTTGTCCTCCGTCTTTAGTTACAGGCGGAACTGGGCGTTGGTGGCTCGGCTCCGGTGACCTGCTCCGAGATGCTGTCGAGATCGTTGATACAGATCTCGAGGATGGAGACCTGCTTCTGCTGTCTCTAGATCCACGCCGTCTACTCAGCTTGTCGTCTGAATTCCCCCTCTCAGCCGCAATTTTTGCCAATTGCTCGTCCGCTGCACCTTTCCTACTCATCGTTAGTCGAGTCCTCAATTCGATGACTGAAACTGAACCCTTACTTCTCAAGCAGGTCGAGTTTGTCGTTCGTAAGCTCAGGGACTAATTTTGGATTACGCAGCTGCTTGGATCTTGATGGACGTGATACATATGGTCGATCCTGGGAGCTTCCCTTGCACTCATATGAATAGTGCCGTGCATTGATAGTTAGCCGCTGAAGCAATAGGGTCTCGTCGCGATACGATGACTACTTATCTCTCTTTAAGCATTTCTGGCATTGTACATTTGCAGGTGTCCCTCTAGAGGGACCTCCTCTGCCTCTTGGTGCAAACATTATGTTGTCTTTTTTTGTAGTTAGATCTATTGACGGATTGCTAAATTCAGCTTGTCGCTCTCTCACCAACTTGGCTACGTCCACGTGATCACCTCACCTCCATCATGCTTCCTCAACAATCCACATCTGAGAAAATGTGGTGATAGGCAATTTTGAGATTGAATGAGATGGAATGTTTAAATTTATAAATAGAAATATACTTTTGCAAGGCAATGCTTTGCCGGTTTGCGGACTGCTAGTGAATATTCCGATCTGTACAGCATCCTGGGCGAAATTTTGAGTTGGGCGCACACGGACCAAGACGCTCCCTTACTATAAAATATATAAGACAATGCATGATTTCATTTAGAGTTTTTCCATCTTAGAAAAGCCGGTAATCAGCCTTTAGACCGTCCAACTGCTACAATGCAGCCGCTTTCTAGTCTAAGACGAACGGCGGCAAATCAGGTCAGGTGACCTTCCCTGACCAGCTCCCGACGGATCAAACGCCACTGGCGCTCTACCGCTGAAAACTACTTTGATCAAAGGACACGCGCAAGCAAGTCTGAGTTAACCCCTGACCAAATGATATTTATTTAAATTTATCGTCGGTTCTTGCCAAGCGATAAGATAGGTCACAGAAACTGGGAGCATAACCTGGAACATCTTCAAGGCAAACGATACAGAGGTACGCTAACGCTAGTTCTCCCTTACTTCGCTCTGCAACCGTTGGCTCAGCCTCCCATCTATTACAACACAGTTAGACTTGTTGAGTATATGGCTAACTTTGTATAATAGGAATCTCAAGCGTACCTTCTATTGAACGGCTCCGTTTCGACAGCTTCGGGAATACGTTGGCAGTTCCTCGACAATGTTCTGCCACTTATCGCAATAACCAGAGTGTTTTGCTTTCTTCTGCACCGACCGTTTGCGATCGGCCACCTTTTCGATTTGATATATACTGGGGATTTATTCATATCACGAATTCACTTGTCGAAGCGTAATACCGGCTACCTCTATCTACCGCACTCTTTCAACGTACAGCATCAATTGTAAACCGTCTGTTACAATGGCTAGTACGCAAATCGCATCTGGTTTACCTAAGCCATCGTTTGCCAAGGTATGGACGATTCACAGCTTCACACTTCACTTGCTTATCGACGATGTAATACTAATTGGTCTAGATTGCGGCTAACGTCGGACGATCTGATTTGACACCTGGAAGGGAGTCCCCAAACGAACGGCATACGTCGCGCAAGGCAACTGCGGATGCGGCTGTGCAAGCAACAGGTCCTATCATTGTGGGACATAACACAACACCTGGGATGGTTGTTCGGCGAACAGGATCGAAAGAAGCAGAATCAACGATGGATGCTACAGTCGCCAATCTTCAGCAGTTGCATATTGCCAGCGGTGGACCCAATCTGGTCGTAGATGGCAGCGGTCTAGCTTCGTTAACTCCAAGCTCCAGTGGCATAAATCAGAGCAGCATATCTGGCGACTCAAATCGGCCAGACTCTGTATCTGATCTAGAGCACAAGCCACCCAGTTTGGATGGCAAGAGCATAGCATCTGGGACTACGTTCGCACTGGACGAAAAAGAGTCTCTCAGACCTGATGACAGCGCTAGTGTCAAGGCAGCGGCCGAAGATGATGATACTGGATCGTTATTAGCAGGCTCGCGCATTGGTTCAGAAGCTGCAGCCCGTGCTCGAGGGAGTGCAGTCGCTGACTTGCGGCACCCGCATGCAGCGCTAGGTGGACAATCACAGGGTATTATGACACCTCAAAGCGCTTCCTCAGAGCAGCCTCCGGATGGAAATTCGGGCGATGCACTGAACGTTATATATCGCCAAGCACCGGACGATAAATTACTTGACGCTTTAGCAACCCCACGCGACCGGTATTTTCTGTTGCGCCTGGAGAAGGACGTCATGGATTTTGTTCAAAATTCAAAGTACGTAATATCGTTTCTACAAGGCAATACCGTGAACATTAGCTGACTATTTTACTTCTAGGGAGCCATACATGGACTTGCCCCCATCGAACTCATTCTGCCGAATGTTGACACACAAGCTGGCCGACTACTATCATATGACACACTCATACGAGCCTCATATCGGCTCTGTGCGCATCTTCCGTACACCGTTTTGTAGAGTGCCGCCATCGTTGGCACTAATGGTTCCAGAAATGAGTGCTTCTACTAGCAGCACTCCTCCCCCTGCAGTGCTCCCACGGAAGATAATGCGTCGTGGGCAGGAGGGTGACAGTGGCCCAACCAGCACCAGTCCATCGAAAGCTGCTTCTGAGGCGGGCAGCGAGCTTAAGGATGCAAAAGAAAAGACATCGGCTTCTAATCCAAAGTATATACTGGACGGTCTTCTGGAGTAGCTTATATGCTAACTAGTGATAGATTGTCTCGTGAGCAACGAGAAGAAATGTATAAGCTGGCGCGAGAGCGTATCTTTGGAAACTCTGAAGAAGCATCTCCAGGTATGTGGATATGTCCATCTCTGAAACTTACTCTAACAACGCTAGACACTGAGGGTGCAACCGGCATGTCACGAACCAGCTCCATTTCGGCAAATCGATCAACTATCAGCAAGAAAGGCAGACAGGTTAAACAACGACGTGATGATTCCGATGGATTTGACTCTAGACATCAGTATACGCCATACTGGGGTCCGCAGCAGCAAACCTGGGTTCCTCAGCCTCAGGTCCAGGCTCAATATCCAAGTCCAACCGCCCAATATCCTTCCCAAACTCCCGTCTATATTGGTCCTTCGCCACCCGTTTATGGGCAACAAGCACAATCATATCCTGGAGCGCCGGCTACAGCCCAGCCACCTGCGTTCGGAGCATACCCTTCAGTACAGGTAAGATAATTATTGATGTTGATAGTATTTCCACAAGCTAACTATTGTAAGTACGCACCACAAGCACCTCAACAGCCCTTCCCGCCAGCAGGAAGCCCGATGGCGCCATATGTTGCCCCAATGCCTACTGGTGCACCTCAAGCTGCCTGGCCAGTCAGTAGTTACGCTGGTTCGCCTGTGACGTACCCTGCTCGTGGCCAAGCTCCAGTTGCTGCTGGGGCTGGGGCAATCCCATATCCATATGGCCAACTACCTGCCCACGCAAATCCGAATGATCCTAAGAGTCAGCATCCGATTCCGGGCAGCTATAACAGAAATCATGGGTTCAACCCGATGACCCAGTCGTTCATCCCGACTGGATCCATGCAGCAAACTCCTCAACCACCGTTCACTACACCTGGATCACATCATAGCAGTCCTCAAATCGGCACTCCGCACTTGGCATATGCTGGTTATCAGCAGGCGGTAGCGATACCATATGGTGGTACGTATGGTATGGTACGCCAAGGATCTAATAACTCTGTCCCATCATACCATTCACCACAGCAAGGAACTCCGCCATTCCCCTCCATGCCGGCCATTCCACATGGCTCGCATCCACATCCGGCTTCATCACATCCTTCAGGAGCTGTTCCGAATAGACCTCCAGTTCCTCAAGGGCCTAGTAGCCAAATGTACACCAATTTACCAAACTATGGTAACCCAGCTACGTTGCCACAACGGCCAGCTACTGGTATGTAAGCTTGGTCAAAGGTAACCGGTGCATATATTTGCGTGCATAGCATTTTTGGCGTTCAAAGGGGGTACTATATATTTTGAAATGTCTGTCTGTATGTATGGACTACAGCTATTTCATGTAGATGACACGACGTATAAAGACTAGCATTTGTTTTTAATCAACTTCAAATTAAATAACGGTTCCGTTCGTATCTAAAGTTTCAAAAGTTGAAATATCGACAAACCACAACGCCATGATGATTCTTTTAAATTTTTGGAACAAGGCAGCAACCCGTATTATCTCGTTATTCATTGCGAGATGTGTGCTGGCCGCTTTGGCGTTTGACGCCCTCCGGTATTGTTCAGCTACCGAGTTCCTCCCAAGTCGTCATTCTTTCGTTTATTCCGTAGGCTCTCTGGGCTCTCTGGGTTCCTTGGGCTCCTTGGGTTCCCGAGGCTCACGGTCACGAGTCTGGCCACCTCCACGGCCACCTCCACGACCGCCGCGCTTTCCACCACGCTGGCCACCGCTTCCCTTCTCGCCATCATTCTTCGACTCACTGTCCTTCTCAGAAGTGACCAGGGCTGCGGTTGCTAGTCTCTGAGAAAGATCAATCTGGGTGCGGATTGTGTTAGCCAAGTAGCTGACCATGAGGACGTCTTGGATGTGGTTGTTGAAGTCATGCTCAATTTGAGAAGCATCAACCTTGGGGGAAAGAGCAAGAGCGTTCATAAGATACTGGCCCAGAGCATTGTTGGGCTCTTCATCCTCATCTAATACGCCGCTGACCCATTCGCTGACTCTGTCCAAGAGGCCAATGGTCTGTTCGATCGACTTGCCGAGACCCTCAATATCGGAGACAATAGGAGCAGTACGGGATTCAGAATCCTTGGCACTGTTGATGGCTTCCATGGCGCTTCTCTCGTTATCTCCGTAGAGCATCTTGTGAGGCACTTGAATAAACAGGCAGCTTTCGGCGGCTCGCTCAGCGTTGACAGCGACGGGTGCGCTGATGTAGCATCTGGCACCAATATCCTGACCAGGCTCAGTAGACATGGTCAAGTGGATGGCGGGATGAGGGAAAGTGCCGGTATCCGGGCTGGCGAAGAAGTTCTGGATCAAGGCGCTGAAGTTGTTGAGTTCGTGCGAGGTGGTGTACCAGCCGAGGAGCGATTCGCGGGGGTTAGCCTTGAGAATCAAAGCAAGCATATTCTTTTGATATTCGACATCGACTTCGACTTGGTCTTCCTCTTCGGTGTGAGGGATGGCGAAGCAGGATCGTACTTCGACTTCGGTACCATCTTCGGATCGGGTACCTACAAGAGCACCGATAACGCGAGTCGACTGGGCTCCATCTTGGACATCTCGGCGAACGGCGTGGTCAAGAATAGAAAGGACAGCCTATATGGAAAATATTATAAGCATATATGACGTGACGATGGAGATGTCGAATTTTGAACCTACCTCAGGCTGGATGTTGACTGTGAGCGGGGCAATGTTGGTTTGAACACCACCACCGTTGTGTGCCAAAGGGCGCGCAAGGTGTATAAATCTATCAGCGGTAGCAGCCATACTGGGCAAATCGAGACAATATCGTCGCAAGTTGCAGCAATGACGGGGTTCGTGGAGGGGAGGCGAGAAGTCGGGTCGTTCGCGCGAGGAGGGGCCTTTTCGCACCAAAATTGAGATTTGCACCTTTGCCAGGCCCGCTGGGGTTGTGCGCGCTAAGATAGTCCGTTGATAAGCCGGTGGTGTGGCTGTGCACACCCCACCAATTGTGGCTAATTCAGCCTTCTGCACAAGGCTGACCTTTCAAGTTGGTTTTTTTTTCTTGGTAATTTTACAACTGACAAGCTTCAGAGCTCAACAACGTCAGAGCTTGGCAGCAAAAAATACAAAATGGGAGCTAGAGGACGAGGATCAACATTCCGCGGCCGCGGAGGCCGAGGAAGAGGACGAGGTGGTAGAGGAAAATCCTTCGGCCAGTTTGGACCAAGCCGGCGCTTCGAAGCAGGACGATTGAATGACGAGGAGGAGGAAGACATGTCGTAAGTCGTCTACTAATAGGGGTGAACCGTACGTCTTTTGTACAAAATTTAACAATTTATAGGGACAATGCCGACCCTGAGATGTCTTCTGACAACGACCAGATCTCTGGCCCTGAGTCCGACGACGACGAGGCCAACGACCCTTCTGCCAGACCATACATGGCCCTCATGCAGAGTTTGGCTTCCAGTCATCCACCTCAGGCCAAAAGACGTAAAATTGAGCCGACTGAAGCACAATTAGCCATCACAAAAACGGAGCAGGCCTCAGAGGAAGAAGAGATGGAGCTGGACAATGCGGACGACCTTGGCGAGGAGAGCGAGGACCAAGACGAAAATGCGAATGAAAGTCAAGACGACGATGATTCAGATGAAGAAGATGAAACTGACCCCTTTGATTCTCACTTTGCAAACCCTGACGAAAAAGTTAGTGGAGTTGCCATATCCGCAGCCAAGGATGGGAACTGGGAAACGAAACGCATGCTTCTTGGACCTCTCCGAGCCACGATTTCACAGGCTGGATTATCATCAGAGATTTCGGCTCCTGCTATAATGTCGAATTTAGGGAGCGCACGATTGAAGCAAAAGCTTCGACAGGAAGTTGGAAACAAGCTCAGCAAACTGAATGCCACCGAACAGGCCATTGCTGGACCTTTATTCGACTACCGCGACCTGTTATACTGCGACCGAAACGTCAAGTCATCACAGCGTTTGCTGAAAATGACATGTTTGCATGCACTAAACCACGTCTTCAAGTAAGTTTGGCTTTTCTTGCAACAGAGAACCTGGCTGACGTTCAATCTTTTAGGACCCGCGACCGCGTTATCAAAAACAACTACCGACTAGCGAAAGATGCGACTGATTCAGAACTCGAGCTGCGGGATCAAGGCTTTACTCGCCCTAAAGTTTTGTTTATTGTGCCTACGAGAAACTCCTGCGCCAAGCTCGTTTCTATTATACGCGATCTTTGCAAGCCAGACCAAGAGGAGAACCGTAAACGATTTGACGAATCCTATATCCAAAAAGACTCCAACTTTGGAGATGATCGCCCCGAAGACTTCCGAGACCTGTTTGAGGGCAATGATGATGACATGTTCCGGATTGGAATGAAGTTTACAAGAAAGACTGTGAAATACTTTTCTCAGTTCTACAGCTCTGATATACTTTTTGCAAGTCCGCTCGGACTTCGCATGGCTATTGGATCAGAGGATGACAAAAAGAAAGTTGACGCCGACTTCCTGAGCTCTGTGGAAATGGTTGTTGTCGATCAGACAGACGCCCTTCTGATGCAAAACTGGGAGCACGTCGAGTATATCTTTGAGCATCTGAACCTCCAACCGAAAGAAGCTCACGGCTGTGATTTCAGTCGTGTTCGAAACTGGTATCTGGAAGATTGGGCTAAATATTTCCGCCAAACAATCATTCTAAGTGCATTCAACACGCCTGAACTGGCCGAACTCCAGCGACGTCACTGCCATAACTGGGCTGGCAAGATCCGACTACAGCCTGAATATACGGGATGTATCCAAAATCTTGAAATTAAGACCAAGCAAACTTTCTCGAGATTCCAAGCATCCTCTGTTGAGAATGAGCCGGATGCTCGATTTGAGTACTTTGTGTCGGCCATTGTACCTTCGATTGTGAAGCGGGCAAAGGACGCCCATGGAACTTTGATCTTCATCCCCTCTTATTTGGACTTTGTGCGAGTGAGAAATTACTTTGCCACCTCACTGGTCGTCAGCAATGTGTCGTTTGGCGCAATCTCGGAATACACAGATGTTCCAGAGGCGTCCCGTGCCCGTTCGCACTTTGTGACTGGAAGACACAGAGTGTTATTATTTTCCGAACGTGCCCACCATTTCCGACGCTACCAGATCAAAGGTGTTGAACGTGTCATTTTCTATGCTCTTCCTGACAACCCAATCTTCTACAAGGAAATCGCGGGTGGCTACTTGGCGAAGAGTGAGCAAGAAATGTTGATTGACCCTGGCAAGGGCACAGTCCGAGCTATGTTCTGCAAGTATGATGCTATGAAGTTGGAAAGAATTGTCGGGTCAAAGCGTGTTGGCAAGATGATTCAAGATAGAGGCGATACTTTTGATTTCATATAAGAGCTTAATGTAGATATACTACCTGAATTATATGTACAATCTTACTACCACAGATTCCACCGTATCACATTTGCAATTGTAAATGCACACAAGAGATAAATCTTTATAGAGGATAAATTTTAACAAGAAATAGGAAACGACGAATTTCTCGCCCATAGTATAGTTGTGCTAGTTTACAAAAGGGTCATTATTTGATACACGAGTGCAGCAGCTTAGCAGCGTTTTCGGCCAGCGCTCTGCACGTCCCTCCAATGTTTCATCTTCCCCTCTAGATCATGGCAATGATCTCTTCAACCGGGATGCTTTGTGTGGCAGATTCGCCAGTCGATTGTGCAGTGACCTTTGTAGAGTCTCGAACGAGGAATGCGTTGGCCATGGTGGCGAGCTCCTCCTTGGAGCGGAATTTTGTGACTTTTCGCATGTTGACCAATGTTAACGGCGTGGGCTTGCGCCCCAAGAGGGCATCTCTGGCGATGGTTTTGGCAGTCATCATAAATTTGGTATCTTTGGCTCCGTCGACGAACTCGAGGATGGCGGACTCGGCCTGGTCCTTAGGATTCCGCGGCTCAGTGCGCACAACTCGGGTATAGCCTCCTTCTCGGTTCATGTATCGTGCGCGCAAGGGGCCGAAGAGTTTTGGCATAAGGGCTTCGGGGCTCTAAACACAGGCTACTCGTTAGCAAACTCTAGATTCCAGGGGCTTCATTGCGCAGCACGCGCCATCGCCAAACGTACATAGAGAATTCCATGGGCCGATCTGCGGCAGGGTTCATTGTTTCTCTTTGCAAGACCAATCAATTTGTCTGCTAATCGCTGCGTCTCCTTTGCTTTTGCGTATGTCGTGTGGACTTGCTCGTGCTGCACCAGCTGCGTGACCAGGCCGCGAAGCAGCGCCTGTCTCGCAGCCGAATTGCGGCTCAGGTTGCGGTATTTTGTAAGTCCTCCTGCCATTATTTCTCAACCAGTGTCGGGCGCCTGGTAAACGGTAGAATTAAATTCGGGCGCGGTCTTTGCGATTTCAGAGATCGTCTCTCCTGGGTGCTTGTGGCTCTGGCGCTAGTCGTGAGGTGTGGAAATTTTTGGCCCAGTGCGGAACAAACCCGGCTGTATTTCGCTCGCGACCTTTCAGCCCAGCTACGTCAACCACACAATTTGCCCGCCACTGTCCAGCACCAGCTTGTCGGTGCAATTCATTCCTTCGCCTCGTTGACGATAAATTCGAGGCGTCAATTGCAGCATGCGATCTGATAGACAATCAAACTAATTACGATCCGTCATCAATTCGCTCCGACTCGCGCCGACCCTGACGACTAGTGAGCTTGAGGCAATAGCGACATTACTGCACCGAGACGAGCAAACATGGGCTTTGTTTCGGGATTTGTATGTTTTGGTGTTTGGTTTAATCGTGTTCTATTTGCTAACCGCAATGTTTAATCTAGACCGGCGGTGTTACGCTGACGTTGTCAGTCGCCTATCTTTCGGTCCTCGCCCACCGTCGAAATCGCGACCACCAGAGCAACCTGCTGCGGGCACAGGCTCTCGAAATCCAGACCCTCATCGATCCTATTCCCCAACCGCTACCTCCTTCTCGCGCTGAGCTTGCAGCGGCTGAGCGTGCAGCCTCGCTTGAAGTCTTCAAAGACCGCTGGAACGAGGAGGTCAGCAAAGCCGTCACATGGGTACAAAATACCGACTGGGACGATGTGCGTGACGGCGTAGAGAAGAGAGCTAGCAGACTCTGGTCTAAGGCAACAGGAGAGTCGCCATCCGAGAGTCTTGATGCTGCCAAGGACACGGTTTCTCAGCAAGCGCAGGCTCAGGCTGGTAGCATCAAGGATGCTGCTAAGGGTGCATGGGGCTCGGCCAAGGCCACTGGTCGAAGCGTTGAGGAGGCAGCCCAGTCTAAGGCCCTTGAGGCTAGATTGAGAACCAAGAAGGAGGTGACTAAGATTGGGGACGAAGTCAAGGAGAAGGCCGAAGAAGCCAAGGGCGGATTCTTCTCTTACCTGTCAAGGGGCAAGGAGAAGGCCGGCGAACTGGTGAATGCGGCTAAATCTGCCATTGGCGTTGCTGAGGGCGTCGCCAGCAGCATTGACGGCCAAACCTTGACTCCCGGCATGACGTCGGTACAGAAGGCCTTGCATCAGCGCTATGCGAAGTCGCAATCCCCAGACACCCGCACGATAGCTGAGGTGCTCAGCGAGAGATATGTGCGCGTGGATGCCCGTGACAACACGCAGCTCCGCGGCTTATAAGAAAGGTTGGGGGTAGCAGCGAGAATATGGAAACGCTATGAAAGCCGGATATAGAGCAGGGAAGGGTGCAGCTTCACACATACGTGTACTATTATTTCCTTAGTTGCGGCCTTGAGATTTCTCTTTGTTTACAGATAAACTCTGATTCAAGCCATAAAAGAATGATACAAACTACAGCATTGTCTACTGTGTCACGTGTGATGATATAATGTTGCCTCCAGACGCAATCGTCCTCGAGCAGGCGAATAAGTTTCAATTTGGTAGATTAAAAAGCTTTCCAATGGGAGGGAAGTGGTAGCAGTGCGGGATTTTCTACCAGTTGCATTTGCTACCACCGACTGAGCTGTCGTCTTGGGGATATCAAAACTGATTGTAAACAGCAGCAAGCCCATAGGACAAGCCATTGTTCACCGGGCTAATGCGGGAGCACTGTAGCGGCATACTTTTAGTGGTTGCCGAATCCCCTAGCCCTCTGCCAGCAATTGCGTTTAGCCACTATTAGAAAAGCGGCAACGCTGATTGGGTGGCTCCCTTCTGATCCGGTGGCCGGCTTGCAGCGTATCCGAAGCTGCGTAGAGCGATTGACAATACTGGAAATTTGAGGATACATATGCCGTCATTGAGGATTGTAAGCTCCTTTAAACCGAAGAAAATATCATTTAAATCCTAATTAGATATAATAATATCAGTAAAACACCGACAGAGCACTATTAGCTCCGATACTAGAGAGCACGCTCGGGCATTTGGGGCCGTTTCGGAAGCACCGAGTCCACCCACCCCAAACGAAAAACAGAGGCCCCACCGCTTTTCCATTGCGAATTCGCCGTCAGGTGCCGACGCCTTTCTTCCGCGCCGAGCCCTTTTTCTACTCGCATCATCCCACTTCCACCTCCTCAAATTGCATCGTGGTTCACAGCTTGATTTCGAAGATTCTCACTCTCAATTGCACACTTCCATCATGTCATTCTCCAGCCTCGTCCAGGATCTCAGCATCCGCGACTCCAACAACAGCGGCAACGCTGCTGCCCGCCGGCCTCCCCCCGGCTCCATCTCCACCGTGGACGACAGGCGATCTCAAATCTCCAGAGCCATGTCCTATGCTAGTACTACTGCTACTAGCGTCAGCATCTCTGGTGATATCTCTAGCCAGCTGCATGGAGGATACTTCCATCCTCTTGCCCGCACATGGCAGGCTGAGCGCCAGCTGACAAAGGTATGTCTTCTTCGTTTTGCGCCTCCACCTCGGCTTCGGCTTCAAGTTTTGGCCCAATTAACAATTCTTGTTCTCATAGTCTATGCTCATCTACCCCCTCTTTATCACCGATGGCGACGACGATATGATCCTGGTTCCCTCTCTTCCTGGGCAGCACCAGCTGAGTGTCAGCAGGCTTACTAGCTTCCTCGAGCCCCTCGTGCACAAGGGTCTGCGCTCCGTCATACTCTTTGGCGTACCCATGAAGGCTGGCACTAAGGATGCTCTCGGTACCGCGGCCGATGACCCCGAAGGCCCTGTCATCCAAGCTATTCGTCTCATTCGCCGCCGATTCCCCCAGCTCTACATTTGCACCGACGTCTGCCTCTGTGAATACACCTCCCACGGCCACTGTGGTATCCTTCGCGATGACGGCAGTCTCAACAACCAGCTCTCTGTCGATCGAATTTCTGACGTTGCCGTTGCCTACGCTAAGGCTGGTGCTCACTGTGTTGCACCCTCTGACATGAACGACGGCCGAATCCGCGCCATTAAGCTCAAGCTGATCGAGGAAGGCATCGCTCACAAAACCACGCTAATGTCGTATTCCGCTAAATTCTCTGGTTGCTTGTATGGGCCTTTCCGTGAGGCTGCTGGATCTGCACCCTCCTTTGGTGACCGCAAGTGCTACCAGCTCCCTCCAAGCGGCCGCGGTCTCGCTCGCCGTGCCATTATCCGTGATGTTGGCGAAGGTGCTGATATCCTCATGGTGAAGCCTGCTGGCCAATATCTTGATATCATCAGTGACGCAAAGGAACTTGCCAAGGATCTCCCCATTGCTGCTTATCAGGTCAGTGGAGAGTACTCTATGATCTATGCTGCAGCCAAGGCTGGCGTTTTCGATCTGAAGGCCATGGCTTTTGAATCGACGGAGAGCATCCTACGCGCGGGTGCCACAATTGTCGTCAGCTACTTTACTCCTCAGTTCCTTGACTGGTTGGACAACTAAGCAGATGTCGAATACGAAAACGACTAACGAAATGATATGCATATGGGGACGGCGTTACGGGCACATATACACACAACTCAATGAGGGCTAGGCTGGTCCAATAGGCCAGATTACATGGGACATAATAAAACTAGCATGATTGGAAGGGACATTTTTACTATAAGAAAATAATTCAGTCTTTTATCCTTGATCCGTTTTGTGTTCCGACGTTAACAAGACTGTGTATGTACTTAGCAGCGTATGTCACACTTTTATTCCGCTAGTAGCGATTTATGAGGCCTTGATTCAGCGATGCCGAATGCACGCTTTTAAACTCGATCGCAATATACGAACCAAGATCAGTCTCGATTTGGTAAGGCTAGATTTTAGAGAAGAGATGAGGCGTCGTGGAAGTACATTCCTTTCAGTCAATACACCAAACACAAGCCTCCCTTTACAACAAAGCGCGGGGCAAACTCACCATACATCTAACGGTCAAAACACAGTCAAAAGAAAAACAAAAACGATTCTATTTCCAGAAATAACAGACGTATTAATTTAAAAAGTCCATGGTTTGAAGCACCACTCTGTTAACGGCGATTACTATCGTGCTACGCGAACCGGTTCTTCGACTTGCTGGATGTGGGCTTCAAAAGTCACGAGAGTGAGACACCATGGCGGACTATACCAAACCATTGCTTTGGTCGGGCCAATGAAATGAATCTGGCGTCTCTCCCTGCTGTGATTTGCAAAACATGTTCTTGTCGTTTGGTGGCACATGTGGGCTTGCTTTGTCCCGCCGTGCGTGCCATTGCAGACACCCGTTGCTCCGGGCTGTCTACAATGTAGGTGGTCCATACCCATAAACAAGAGCCGAACGCTAGGAATGGATGGGCTATTATTGTAAATATCATGGTGTTTGGTTGATAAGCCACCTCCGCCCCTCACTCACAACGTCGCAGCTGTTGCCATTGCCAGTTTGACACTGCCAACGACGCTCCTCGCAGCTGGCAACAGTCGGCACCTCTTCGCACGGTCCGTATTACGTTTCTCTCCAGTTCAGCTATTCTGATGTTGAGATAATCCTGCTAAAACATCTTAAAATAGATCCTCACGATTTCTCCAACACATCACGACCATCACAATGAGAGACCATGGCGCCTATCCAGACTCACCCACAGAGGTTGAGAAACTGGGCCTCCTTGAAGAACAATTGGTTTCTGAAGTAGGCAGTGAACATGAGAGCTACGATTTCGATCCGAAAAACTACATTACTACGTCGGTCCAGCCTCTACAGTCGGCAGCGAGTATTCTATCCACGCAGATTCGTTCAACATCATGGAAACGTTCGCTGTCCAGCGTTGTTGTGTTTATCACACCCAGTTTCATGCAGCACAACGGTAGAGAAATGATCAGACCAGCCAAGCTATATCCTACCTCTTATCTCGATGGTATCCGTGGATTGGCTGCACTGTTTGTATTCTTCTGCCACTTTTTCTACCAGGCTTTCAACATCGCTGAAGGCTGGGGCACCAACGAGAATAACTACCACTTTCTCAAACTCCCATTTATTCGACTCTTTTATCAGGGAGCTCCAGCTGTTTGCGTCTTTTTTGTCATCTCAGGCTATGCGCTCTCCTACCGCCCACTGAAGTTCGTTCGCAGTCGGTCTCCAGCGGACTTCTCCAACGCGATCAGCTCCCTAGTCTTCCGACGTGGTATTCGCCTGTTCTTACCTACTGCTACGTCAATGTTCATCATTGTCGTCCTCCTCCGTATCGGAGTCTACGACTGGAGCAGAGACTTTGCCAACGATAGAAGATTCCTCAAGAACTTTGCCGAACCGCATCCTGAATGCCTCCCTACCATCTATATCCAATTCCATCATCTCATGATGACAATCTTCCAATTCATCCACATCTTTGACTGGGACCAATATGGAGGTTCTACCAGTATGTAGTTCTCTTACACCAAATGACCTAAGATACTAACAATGACGGTATAGTTCTTGATGTCCATTTGTGGACTATTCCTGTCGAATTTCGCTGCTCTCTGTTCCTGTTTCTGGTTCTTGTTGGAACCGCTCGCCTGCAAACAAAATACAGATACCTGGCTGTTGGCGGTTGTATTTTCTTCTGCTACTGCAATTCCAGATGGGAACTTTGCCTTTTCCTTTGGGGCATGCTTCTCGCTGAGATGGATCTTGTTCGAGACGCTCATTCCGGTCCCGTACCCCCACCATTCTTAGAGGTGGTTTCTAAATGGAAGATGCCTACAAAAGCCCCTTCCTTTTGGGCGTTTATCATCGTCATCAGTCTTTACTTGATGTCCATGCCGGATGTCAATCCTGAACTGGCCCCTGGCTGGGCAACTCTGACAAGCATGATCCCCAGCTGGTGGGTTGGGGAGCGATACAGATTCTGGCAATCAATATCCGCTGTTCTGTTTATATGGGCTGTGGGACACTGCACTTCCTGGCAAAGCTTTTATAACAGTGATGTGGTCCAATACTTTGGCAAGCTGTCGTATGCGCTTTACTTGGTACACGGACCGGTACTTCATTGCATCGGCTATCAAATTCAAAAAATGACGTGGGGTATCACCGGCGTGGAAGGCCATGCATACAACCTTGGCTTCGTAATGTCCGGGTTCTTCATCATCCCAATCACTATTTGGATAGCAGATATGTTTTGGAGAGGCGTGGACATTCCTACTGTCAAATTTGCCAAATGGGTGGAGAGCAAGCTCGTTTATCGAGCTTAAGGAGCAGAGACTGTATCCCTTAAGGTATGAGAATCCTGGGAGCTTGATGAAGATTCGGTTTAGTAATGAGTGTTGTATTTTGTTTTTTCGATTCTCTCCCAATCTTTGATGGCGGTAGATACACTTGCGCGTATACATATGGGTAGCAATCTATGATCTTATATGTCACAATTCGGCCTGCTCTTGTTCTTGGTCACCCTCTTCCCTGTGATACACCCTGTTCCCTGCGACCCAAGTTTCTCTGACCTTGACATTGCGTAGGTCTTCTGTCGAAAGACTTTCCAAAGGCGCATCCAATACAACCCAGTCCGCGAAGGCACCCTTTGTTATTTGGCCAGCCTTGCCCTCCATAAAGGCTCCATATGCAGGACTACCAGTAAATCCCCACAGAGCTTCATCGAGACTAAGCGCTTCTTCCAAATGCCAACCACTCTTACTTCCATCGGGAGCTGTGCCAGTATGTGGGCTAAGTCGTGTAATGGCAGCGTATATACCTTCAAAAGGATTTGGCGGTTCGACTGGGAAATCGCTACCTAGAATTGGATCAATGTCGAGAAGGGACTTCATCCGGTATGCTTCCTCAGCCGTGCGCTTTGGACCGAGGCGATCTTCTGCATACTTCATATCAGATGTAGCATGTGTGGGTTGAATAGATGGGATGATCCGAAGCTTGTGCATACGGGCCTGATCGTCCGGGTGGATGATTTGTGCATGCTCAATACGGTGACGGAAGCGAGCCTGGCACTTGTACAAATCATCTCCATCTACTTCAGGACACTCTTGTTTAAGCGCCGTTTCGAGTGCATCTATGGAGTTGCGGTTGGCCAAATCACCGATGGCATGGATATTTACCTGAAACCCATGAGCTGCCCACAACTTAGCGACGGTGGCTAAAGATGATCCATTGATCAGAAGAGATCCAGATGACCATGGGTGGTCGGAGTATGGCTCCAGCATGGCGCTACCCCAGCTACCAAGAGCTCCATCAGCAAATAGCTTAACGCTGTGGACAGTCAAGCGCCCGTCAGCCCGGGCAATCTTGTTTGCATTTTGTGGGCAAAAGGTGTTTCGAGTGTCACATTCCAACATGGAATATATCCTAACAGTCCAATCGTCCGAATCCGCGAGTGTGTTGTAGAGTTCAACTTGACTTGGGACAGTGCTTGCATCGTGTACTCCCACAAGGCCAAGTTCATTTAGCTTTCGCATCGCACTCTTGACAGCTACTGCTTGCATCTCAACACTTGGCTTTGGCCATAGTGGCATAACCATATCAAGGGCATTGTCGCAGAAGACACCAAGTCCGGGATCTCGTACAACTTCGCCACCAGGAACATCCGGGATTGGAGTCGGTATCAAGTCAAGAACAGCTTGTGAGATCCACGAGCAGTGAACGTCGGCTCGATCTAGCATGATAAAATGGCCTCGTAGCTCTTCGTCCTGTTCAAAATCATCCTAAACAACTTAGCATTTACAGCAGGGCCTTGGGGGGAACGGCTAGTACTTACAGCTGTTGGCATGCGACCAAAGGCGGCTTGATCCCATCCCACGCCGCGAAGCCATGACTCCTTCGAACCTGCGCCTGGATTTTCTTTTAAAAACGCTTTGATCCTGGTTCGTACATCGTTGATCGACTCAGCGCCGAACAAATCCACAGAATACAGGAATTCTCCATAGCCCATAAGATGACCGTGGCCATCCCACAAGCCCGGGATAACATATCGGTCTGAAGTTACAACTGGGGTTCCATCAAGCTCGTCCTTTCCTTTAAATATTTCTGTAAATACTCCATCTGCGACAGTGAAACATTGAGCCTCGGGAAGGTCCTTAGTCTGTGTGCGGACACGCTTATAGCAGTACGTGACAGGCTGAGATTCAATCGATCCCAACGGCTGTTGCGCTTGAAAAGAAAGCGCCAATGCAATAGCTGCAATAGCTGATAGTATTGTGCCTCCAAATATGAGGCGTCGAGCAGCCATTAGCAATAAAGCGTATATCTGTCAGTTGTTGATGATGGTGGAGACGCAACGTCGTGCTGCACGTCCAGCACTAAGGCCCCCGCAATCACCCACTCCACAGTGCCAGCTTTAGCAACGATCAGAGTCCGTCCTCTTTGCAGCGTTTTGAGATTCGACGAGACCTCAAATCTTATTGCAACATAGAAGAGCTTATATACAACTACTAATAGATTCTATCTCTTGTTTGCGGCACGTGCCCAGAAATCAACATCATGCCCCTCGTCGTCAGTCCGCGGATGCACCCTTAGTTGTTCGGCTAGCTTTGCCCTCCATAAACGCTCTCACTTATACGTAAGACTGTCAGTGGACCCCCATAGAGCTTCATCAAAACTAAGGTCATGCCAACGCTATCATCCAGCAGAAGAATTTACAGTCCTATAGCCAGCTCGCGTCTCCGTGGCTCAGGTATGAGACGACCACCACTTCGGCTTGCCCGTGAGATCAAACAATAGCTGCGGCAGCCCCACGACTTCCGCGCACGCCATGCAAGCCTCATATGAACCAAAGCATGGACAAAAAAACCGTCCGATAACGGCCTGCAGGCTAGTGAACAAGGCTGTAGATAAAAAGTGTAGAAGGCCGGAAAAAAAGGGAAAAAATAGCAGGGGAACTTATGTTTAGCCCGAGCGTAGGCTTACACATATAGACAATTACAGGAAACAATCACGCAATACTCGCATAAGCAAAACACCGCATGGTAGAGGAATACTTAAATGGAAAGTTTACCTTTACCAAAGAGAAGGGAAAATCGTGCTAACAGCTCGCGACTCCTTAGGCACGTTCGAAGCTAGGTTAGTTCAAGACGACGAAATGGCGACCGAAGCATCACCTAGCAAAGATGAGGGCGATATGCATGCTACCAGCCATGCCGAGGTGATCGACGATGTTGGCGGCCTTACTTTCGATCAATACACCAAGGGTGGCTTGGGGCGCCATCTTGGCATCACCAGTACCACTTTTCTGATGTAAGTTTCTCCCGTTTGGCGACCAAAATATGCGATACAATTATGTCGAACATGGCGAGATTAACTAAGCTAACCATAATAATAGTATTGGTCGCATCATCGGTACAGGCATATTCTCTACGCCGTCCACCATTGTCTCCAGTGTTGGCAGTGTCGGTGCATCGCTTATGCTTTGGGTTCTAGGACTGCTGTTGTCCATCGCAGGTCTCTGCGTATGGTTGGAGTTTGCTTGCATGATTCCCCGTAGCGGCGGTGAAAAGGTGTATCTTGAGGCAGCGTACCGAAAACCCAAGATGCTCGTCACCATCGTCTTCGCGGTTCAAGCTATCGCGCTCGGGTTTACAGGTAGGTTGCGCCAAATTGGCTTGTTAATTTTATCCAGTGACGAAGAAAGACTAATAAGGACTCAGCTTCCGGATGCATCATATTTGCGAGCAATATTGTTGTGGCGGCAGGACGCAAAGCAACGGAGTGGGAACAGCGAGGTATTGCCATTGGCGTTATTACTTTTGTTACAATCATCCACACCTTCTTCCCTAAGGTTGGCGTTCATGGAATGAACTTCTTCACCGTTCTCAAAGTCGCAGTTCTTTTATTTATCGTGGTCACTGGTTGGGTGGTGCTTGGAGGTGGTGTCGCAAGAGTTCCCGACCCCCATGCCAGTTTCCGAGATGCGTTTGCCAATTCTGCAACATCTGGAAATCAGTATGCAACAGCGCTATTCAAAGTATTGAATTCTTATGCTGGGTATGTCGAATTTGTGCTACAAATGCGTATATAATTGTTCACGCTAACTCAAACCTAACCACAGTTGGTCGAATGCCATGTACGTCCTCAACGAAGTGAAGAACCCCGTCCGGACGATCAAAATTGCCGGCCCTCTCGGGCTATCCATCTGCGGTGTTCTCTACCTGCTCGCAAACGTCGCATATTTTGCCGCGGCTACACCGAAGGAAGTCGCAGCGAGCGGTACTACAGTTGCAGCGTACTTCATGGGCAAAGTCTTTGGAACAGCGGCACAGAGAGCATTAAGCGTCCTCATTGCTCTATCTGCGCTTGGAAACGTCATGACTGTTACCTTTGCGCAGGCCCGTGTTAACCAAGAGCTTGCCAAAGAGGGCGTAATCCCCTATCCTCGATTCTGGGCGTCGAGCTGGCCATTCGGTTCTCCTTCCGCGGGACTGATCTTGCACTATATTCCGTCCTTCATTGTCATTGTTGCTATTCCATTTGGTAACGCGTACAATTTTATTCTCGATGTCGAAGGTTATCCCGGATCAGTTATCAACTTCCTGGTCGTGGCTGGATTATTTTACCTGAGATACAGTGAGCCAAATACCCCACGGCCGTTCAGGGTTTGGTGGCCAATTGCGTTCTTCTATATGGTTGGCCAGGCATTCCAGCTCGTTGCACCTTTCCTACGCCCCCCAGGAGGCAAAGGCGATACCCCACCGCTGCCATATTGGTTGTACTGTGTGGTTGGTATTGTTGTATTGGTAGCCTCGGTGGTGTATTGGTTCATTTGGTGGGTAGCAGGTCCAAAATTGGGTAAGTATGAGCTTGAGCCGAACAATGAGCCTTTGGCAGACGGGACCAACGTAATTGTTTATCATCGAGTACCTAAGAAATTCGAGGACTCGTGAAGTATGTAGAATTATAAGCTCTTGACGCGGTGCTGTGATCAGTGTTTGCCTGTGCTGGTCTCTTATACGCAGATTTAGCTTATAGTCTGCTGCATTGTGCTTTGTACTTAAAAAAAAGTTCTCATTGTTAATAGTTTTTTTTTATTTATTTATTAATACAATATAATTCCTTCGCTATTAGCTTATTCGTATAGGATATTGCTAGAGTGAAGAGAGAAAAAGCATGTCAAATGTTCGTCCGGGTTTCATTTAGGGTAGTGGTCACTGTCACGGGCCTGGCAACGATTGCCCCGCGATCGCCAACCCCGCAATGCGAGCCTTGGTAACTACCAGAGTTCTCTTCTTTGCAGCATTATTTTGAAATTTGACGAGACCTTAAACTTTATTGCGAAATAGAGGAGTTCATATACAACTACTAATAGATCTCACCTCTTGCTTGCGGCACCTCCCCCGGAACCAAGATCATGCCCCTCGTCGTCCCCGACATCAACGCCATTGCGGCAACCCACGCTCGCGATGCAATCCCTCCTGAGGCTCTTCTCCCTATCTTGACAAGCTCCCCTTTCATCCCATCGCGGTCTTTATTCAACATGCGCGATGTCGGCGCTGTGGAAGGCTGCTCCATCCCCCCAGGAAGAATATATCGATGCGGCGCTCTCGACCATGCTGCTAAGGACCCCGAAGCTCTTGCATGGCTCGGAGCCAACTTGAAGACTATCTTCGATCTCCGTAAGGCCGGTCCTGAGAGAGACACGGCCCCCGACCCCGTTGTCCCTGGAGTTGAAAATGTCTGGCTTCCCTCGCTGGGCGACTATCCTACACCAGACCTTGCCGCTTTCGCAGAGAATGGTGGGCGCGACGCCTGGAAATCCCAGTACGTCAACATCGCTCGCGTCTATGCGCCAATGTATAAGGCTGTTCTTGAACACATTCGTGACCGACCGACCGAACCATTCCTATTTCACTGCACAGGTATGTTTGCAGAAATATGCAATAGGTGACATGCAACTTACACAAACACAGCTGGCCGCGATCGAACTGGTGTCCTTGCCGGTCTCATCCACTACCTAGCAGGTACTTCAGAAGAGGATACAGTCAAGGATTACATGCTCTCCCGTATTGGCATCGAGCCCGCTCGCGACAAGCTCATGCAATATGCTATGCACAGCGTGGGCACTACTGACCCAGAAACACCCGGATTTTACAACCTTGTCAACCTCAAACCTGAATATTGGGCGGCGTTTTTGGAGGGCCTCAACGATGAGTATGGTGGTTGGGACGGCTACATCTCCAAGGGCCTTGGCTTCTCTGAAGCTGACGTTGCAGAAATAAAGAAGAACTTGCGCCAATGACGTAGAAAAAAAGACGCCATAGATTTTGATAGACAAATACACATGACCCATTCACAGTGCAATAAAATGCAGGAGCTTTCTGGAAGGTGGTGTTGTCCTTCACTCATTACATCATCGTGCTCATCGCAACTCGTAACGTTCCTATGCGCAACGTCTACAACACTTAATAAATTGCGAATGAAATCATGATCACCACTGTGTGTAGCACACAACGGCGCCAGCGCCCCCCAAAATAAAAGAAAACCAGGGTTCACTACATCATGCACGGCAACCTGCATACAAAACCAAGCTTTCAGCCACCCAAAAATCTTGGAAGGCCGCCGATCGGCAGCGCAGCCTCAGCCACACATGTAAAACCAGTTATTAGTGAAAGAGGCAACCAGAGGAAAATGAACCTGTTTATGATCAGTAGATGAAGAATTTCATCATAGCGACGTAAGTTTTACAAGACTCCACCAGCCACGAAAGTTGTGAGAGCTCTGCTTCTTTCAACTATATAAATCACGATTCTCTTCCTCCCAGCTACCGCACCGCAATCTTGATCTCCAGACACAACAACTACTTTTAAACTTTCAAAAGATATAGAACTCAAGATAAACAAAATGCCTTTCTCCAGACACTCTCACAAGCGCCACCACCATCATGAGCATGACACTGCTCCTCGTCGCCGCGGTCTCTTCTCCCGCCACCGTGAGCCCGTACACCATCAGAGAAAGCCATCAATGTCCGACAAACTCAGTGGAGCCCTTCTTAAGCTTAAAGGCAGTCTTTTGAATAGACCTGGAATGAAGGCCGCTGGAACTCGTCGAATGCACGGTACCGACGGACGAGGCTCTCATCACCACTACTGAGCCTCGACCAATGGTTGAGCAATCTGATAGGGAGTCGAATCGACTTTTAAGACATGGGAAACGAAATTACACAACATTTGACATTTACTCTACGACATGGACGGAATGAAAGAGTTTGAAACCGCACTTGCTATATACCCCTACTTGTTATTAGTTAGTTATTCGCATTTCGCTTGCGCCTTCAAGTGATATGGACAATTTTAATCTAGTCTATCAATGAAAACAATCTCCAAAACCTATAATCAGATGGGCCTGTTTAATACATTGTAAATGAAACTAATCCCACTCCTATCATTGAGAGCCCATGAAAGAGCCCTAACAGAGGAACTGCGAACACATGTGCACCAGATAGCAACCAATCCCGGAGCTGCTCGGCACGCAATCCTCTAAGAAATCTCCTATTCTGCAACCATGATGTAACATGGGATACAGCCCATGCCACGGGGGTCTCTTCGTTGAACATTAGTGCTCTGTTTTTTCTTGTCCTCCTCACTCATATTTATGGCTCTTCGCGATCCGGGTTGGATCCATTGAGGATATCAATACATACGGTACATGCTCGCACTCTGTCAAGTCACTGTTGATCAGCATTTGTACCACAGGCTTTAACGTAGCCCCGAAATGCTCTTTCCAAATTTTCAAGTGCACTTTTGCTTGGAGACGGGTGCTTTTTTGTGCTGCTAGATTCCTCGGGGCTTTTGCCGAGGAAAGATTCCAGAGAGATCTCTGACATCGAATGGAGCCCTGATGACGATCCCACAACACGATCAACTTCTGAGGTAACTAATGCCTCCTCTGTTGAGGCAAGTATGGCGGATGAGATATCCATTAGTGAAAACCAGCATCTGTCCGAAACTTTTGGGGTAGAGCAGCCAGCTGGAGAAGAACCCAAGATTCTATCTTCGAGATTATCTTCAAAACCGTGTTCTGTTTGGAATGGATCTTCTTTCGAAAACTCTTTGTAGTCTGACGTACTGCTACCATCGTTGGAATAATCCGATGACGTGTCTCTGAACTGCTGGAGAGCGACAGTCGTAGCTAAACGAAGAGCTCCTGATGAATCAGCCACTGGTTTGCGATTGAGCTTTCCGCCAATCATCTTCTGCACTTTCCTCTTATTCATATTATCGCTTTCATTGAGTCGCCGTTGAATGACACTTAACGGTGATGCATAGCTGCTTTGGACGGGAACGTTGCCAGCGTGAGACATTCTAACCAAGGAGTCTGATGGCAGTGGTTTTCTTAACTTTCGCTTTTTCTGACCATCATACGATGCGACTGTAGTATGGTTCAATTTCTTCCACACAAGAAATGCCTTTGAAACAAACGTACGCTGATTACCACGAGACAATGAATGGAAAACCGATCGCTTTGGCAGAACGGGTTTAGCACTCTCCTGCGAAGCCGGAGTCGTCAAGATTTCTTGTGCACTCCTCTGCGGTCGATTAGATAGAACAGGAATACAAGAAAACGATAAAGAACATGTGCCAATAGTGTCTTGTGCTGTTGAAATTACTGATATAGTAATGTTGTCCTGTTGGCGAACGACTTCAGGATCGCAAGATCCCTGTATGGGTAGAACAGATAGAAGGCGCGGAAGATGGTGACGACATAAACGTTGTTTTATCGGATTATTTCGACGATGTAATTTCACACGGTAAGAATTGGGAAGAACTAGACCTTATATACCCGAATTAGCATAGCACACTTCCTATAATGAACAACGACGAACATACCTTGATCCACTGCCGAGCCTCTATTCGATATGTATGCCAGGCGGCGTCTACGAGCCGCCTGAATGGTTACATAGGACCGCTTCCATCTATTAGACTCAGACTTGGATATCATAGTGACCAACGGCAAGGGCCACTGGCAAATCAACCACAAAAGTTGGGGGGGGGGGGGGGGGGGGAATCTTATTGCGACTGGTTCAGCGCTGTTCATGCGGCTGGGAATAACAGCGAACTGAACCACTCAATGGGGAAATATTTTCCAGGTCTTGGACATGAGCTTTGATCAGACAAACGAGTGTGAATGGTCTTTGCGGACGGACAGCTGGTCCGAAGCTAAGAACACGAGTTGGGTGTCTGTGGCATAATGCCGATTCCGGATTGTATGAGAACTATCTGTGCTTGGCGAAAGCACAGTAGGTTAAATTGAATTTGAGGAATAAAATTACGTTGGGGCCAGTTAAGCGAGCTCGGAAGTGACTACCAGCTCATAGGTAATGTGACAAGAACGAGAAGGCGATGGGGAGGGGCGCCAGTGGGTGCTCAGGACGGCGTCAGTAGCAGTATCAGCACACCTGTGACGTAAGATTTCTTGAAACAAATCCAAGGCATAGAAAGCATTATGAAAGTACTTTTATGACCAGTTTCATCGGAGTTCGCAAGATAATTACAGCCAGTGCAATGGCCAAGGAATGGAGAGTACAGCTACCGCAGCCTAAAAGAACCTGGATTAATTGATTTATAATGGAATCTAACACATTATTTTAGCAATCCGAGTACAAAAAGTTGATATATCTACATTGCTTTACAACATTTTCAACCTGAGCATTCTCTTCCTCGCTGTTCTTTCCGCGGCTGCCTGGCCAGCTGGCAAAATTGCCACGTGGTTTTGTCACCAGATATCCCGGTCCAACCGATTTACTCACTCAACAAAATAAAATAAAAATTAGATAAGCAAAGTTATGTCTTTGTTTTCACTTTTCTCTTTTATACTCACCAGTTCTCGTGTAAGTGCCATTCGTTTTACACGTGACATTGCCGTTTCTGGAAGCTAGCACAGTGGCGCCACAGGGGTGCCTCAACTTCCATCAGCCTGTTTTTTTTTTGGTCTGACCAAACAGCCCCTTCAATCACTGAGCGGTTGGCATATCGACATAACTCCGATATAGCAGGTGAAAAGCGATCTTTAGAAACGCTACATCTAAATCCCACGCATATACTGCATTTGCCTGCTTGTTGCCTTGTGGTGCGCTTTTTCCCTCCTCCAGTCACAAGCATTATCTCCGACGCCGCCCTCTCCGATAGCTCCGACCAAATTTCCAGCATCATCCATCCACGACTACGCCTCAAACCGATATAATACAATTGAAGAACCTGGAAATCTAGTCACAAGCTTCTCAAGTACATTGACCCATACAAATTACTTATACCATACACTCAACAACGTACGTAACCAGCCGACCGAACTCTACTCGAGATGATCCGAGCTATGAACGGTGCTGCATTGTCCAGCAGAATTGGCCGTGCCGCCCCAATCCCCCAAGGTGCTTGGCAGGGTGCTTGGAAGCGATTACTTTCTATTAAATCTGCAACGGCATCATCCGTGCAGAGTGTGCGAGCGGCGACGGTGCAGACGCCGTGGCGCCAGACTCTGGCGCGGACAAACCTTCGGGCAAATGCAACATCACAGGGCGCTTATGCTTGGACAACGCCTAGACGCGGCTTCCGATCCACTGCTTGGAGACGGAGCGGTGCGAATAACGGCAAGCCCGTGGAGGAGAAGCTCTCCCTTGGTGCAAGACTGAAGAAGCTTTCCAAGGAATACGGCTGGACAGCGGTTGGTGTCTACCTGGCGCTTAGTGCGCTGGACTTTCCCTTCTGCTTCTTGTTCGTCCGCGTCGTGGGAACTGAGACAATTGGTAAGATAGCCGTTTACAACTCAGATCGATCATCATCTAACATTATATCCAATCGCAGGCAAGTTTGAACACTACATTGTGTCTGCCGTCAAGAGCGTCATCCCCGAGTCCGTACGCACCAAATTCAACGAACTGTGGGCATCGATGAAGAGAAAAGAGACAGAGAAGCTTGGCAATGACAATATTAGCGACACGGTCGAAATGGCCGGCTGGGGCGTTGAGAAGGCGGCAGAGAAGAACTCGGAAGAAGCCAGTAAGTTGCTCGCGGAGACGGATCGGAACCTTGCCGTCTCAGTCCACAAAGTGTACAACCCAGTAACTAATCGAGTGCAGGTCTTGCAACACAATTAGCGCTTGCTTACGCCATCCACAAGAGCTTCATTTTCATTCGCGTGCCACTCACAGCGGCTATTCTACCCAGCGTTGTCAAGGTTCTGCGATCTTGGGGCTGGAAAGTTGGCAAAGCAGCGCCACGCGTGTAGAGTTTATGGCTCAGCACTTGATGGTTTGGATGTCAGTTGGATCTAGACTCATACAAACAACGCGTGAGACGCCTCCTAGGTTCTGTTGCCACCAACTTTGCCCGAGCCTCGCATCCTGCTACAACCAGACGAAATCCATCCGTCTTTCTTTTTTGACCTAAGGGCCCAACAATCCTTTGCGCGAGCAACATACTGGGTCAAGGACGCGAAGAAAGCCTTCAATCAGGTTCGGGGTGGATACGAGCGTTATAAACTTTGGCTCCTCAACCAACACCGGCGGGTATCCATGAATTCAAAAGACACCCATGTACAGTAATAGATAGATAGACGGAGAGCACTGATTCGGCTTTGTACAATATAATTTCACACTCCATAAACAAGCTGTCTCAATGTTCTAGGACCTTTCGTGATAAACACTGTGTCGCCTGGTTTGTATGGTGGATGCACTTGCTTCTATTTTGGGTTTCATCATGTGGCTACAGCCCAACAGACACGGCCCGCATCAGAGTTGGCCGCCGCAAACTTACACACCACCCACAGTAGCTGCAGGAAGAGCCATGATCGGCGTATTTTCTAGTGAGCCTATAGGAAGGAGCCGGGTGCGAGAGGCATAATCTATCGACGGCACGATGGTGTGCATCGTGAGATGTCCAAGAATGGGGTGATGTCCATGGGACTACCTCGCCTGCAATTGCACCGACGTTGAATAACCGTACAGAATAGTTCTGGAACGTTTATGGGCCAATCAAAACTATAAAATAAGAACCCCAGAAGAAATTATTCATCTAGGTTTTCGATCTGCTCATCGTACGACGACGCTGGTCAGTATGGGGGAACTGAGGGAGCGCGGAAAGCGAGGCCAATTTTCCGAGGCGGCAGTAGAGAAAGGTAAAAACCATAGCTTTGTCGGCAAGTATACGGCGGTACTTACGGTATGATGCGTTATAGAGTTTGACGGGAAATTATCGCCAGACCAGAGCAAGCCCATCAGCAGCCTCCTGCGAAAGGGCTGCCAAGAGCCGTTGAGTTCCGTTCCGCGGGTACATGCGACGTGCGATTGCTAGGCGGAAGTTGCTGGTTCCGGTGCACAGACATACATATCCTACAGTAATCTAAGGCGTGCCAGTGGTGTTGGTTGGCTGTTGCGTCCGATCCAAGGGGGTTGTGTAGGTTTGAAAGATGGAGGTTGGTGGTTCGATGGCGTCGAGAGTAGAACGGCAACTGAGTACATAGGCTGTCGGCAGTACTACGCCAGCTGTACACGGAAGCTTAGTTGGTTGTTTTGTGGGCTTTACAGCTCGGGTAATTAAGACCGTTTTTTTAATAAAAAGTAATGATAAAGGCAAAAAGATGAAGATTCCGCACGCAGACCAGCGACTACACGCCGGCGGAAAATAACCTGGCCTTTGTTTTCGTCCGCACCGCCGTTCGCACACCGGCGGCCGCACTGACAAAAAAAAGCCGAACTTGCACTAAAGCAATGTTAGTGCCACCAACCACGTTGCGTGGCCAGGCGCGCGCACGCGATGGGAATTAAGGTTTACAGGGGTCGACTAGCGCAGCAGAGATGTCGCATTTAAGCGGGCTGGAGTGTCGGCAACACGACGCCTACTGGTACTGCTACTGTCGTTGCACCACAGCGCTGGCGTCCAATTGCTGTAGTTGCCGACTGCCGCTGAGGTTTGTGAAGAACGAGTCGCTTTAGGAAATTGAGCAACATGTTGTGTTTTCTGTTTGTTGCTGCCTGTTATTGCGAATCAACCCGCACTCTACACTAGACACTTGCGCCGCTGGTTCGCACATGCACGCATATGCAAGACCAGCAAGCCGTGCCGATTCATCCGCAGGCTGGCATACACTAGAGGCTAGCCGTAGCCTGGCCAATTATGGAAGGTGGCTGCTTTGTTCCCCGATTGCGCTATTTTCGTTCTCTTTGTTATTCCTATTATCAATTAGTATCTCTTCGAGCCTAGGTCAATTAGATCATAGTCTCTCCAACCGCGAGGCTGCACCAACCGAGGCGGAGCTCGCCAACTGGAGGCGTTACGGCTCTTTCGCTAGAGCAGCACCAATGGGCTTGTGATTCCAGACCTAGACCGCGGTGTCGGCTCTCAGGAGACCCTGGTTTGTCGATTTCTGGGAACGCTGACCGACCGCGCTTCCATTACGCGCAGAGTCAGGGATATACGAAGACACAACAGGCGCTTAGACCACTTGCAGATGCAACCCAGCACCAGAGACAGAGTTGCATAGCGTAAACTATATTCTGCTGATATCCTCTCACACCAATCCGGATAAGGCAGAGGACCTCCCTTTTGGTGATGTGGTGGCTAGTCTGGACCTAATAAGGCGTGTAGGTTTGCGGATGGACCTTGCTCAGCCAATTGTCTGGCAAGAGTCGTGTTTCGGACTGGTCCAGCTATGTGGTAGGTGTAAGCGCTCTGAAAGAACCAACACTGGTCAAAGGAGACGGTACCATTCTCCGCCTTGAATTTAAACGCTGTCATGTTGTAGCTTATGCACTTGAAGCCACATAAGCAGCCGCCCAATGGAAGGTGTTGCTACGAGGGCTGTTGAAACCCAACCGGGAGTATTTAACCTATCTTTTGATAACAACCTGAACGGGACAAGTCAGACGAACTACATGGTCGAATGCACCGGCAGTTGACGGTGGCTAGTCATTGCCCAGGCGCGGGTCGCTACGGTGGTAGGACGTCGTACCCGTGGCCACGCGAGAAAAACATGGTCGAGACGACGGCCAAGAACTTTAGTGTTCTCAAAAGAGAGAAAACTTAGTGACTCGCCATCGCTAGAATGTAGTCGAGATTCGGTTCGAATCAGGCAACGAATAGCAAGATGCTAGAAGCGAGACAGACGAGACGATGTGCTGTTGTTGGTGGTGCGATGTGGTAAGACAGTCTAGGCTATCGCTAACAGAGTTTAAGACAACAAACAACCAGTGAGCGAGCCCTATTTCGGTCCGCCAGCTGATGAGCCTCCTGCATGCGGTACAAATGCGTCTACACCCTCGACAGCCGGCAGGCAGCGTCATACGGTTCGAGGTTGATCGACAGCTGATGGGCTCTGTTGCTATAACATGACAGACCATTGGATGAGAGCGTCGGGGCTTATGCCGCTCAGGGGGAAAACGAAGCAGAGCGCGCGTCCGACGTCGCTGGCCACATACAGTAGGGCAGGCTAGAACTGGATGCCGTGGGCCTTGGAGGTACAGTAGCCCGAAACTCAAAATCGCCGGGCGCTCGGCGACGCGGTTCGGTAAGTGGCGGTGAGCACTGAAAAGCAAATTAAGGGTAAAAAGTTAACTGAGAAGCGTATCATATGCTGTTGGTTCAGCAGGCTGTGAAATACCTTGGTGTATGCACGACGAGAGTTTAAATTGTTGGTTGGACGACAAGATAACAGGATGTGACAGGTGGCCTGCGGGCCACAAAGCGCAGCGCCTCCAGCGGCTGCACAGACAAAATTACAGGGCATCCGAGCGGCGAGGCGGCGGCCACCAACCGCGGGCAAGTGGCGGTGGTGGCTGCCATCGGTTGGTTGTGCGGGCGGCGATGCTGTTGGTTGCGAAGACGCCCAGTGGCAGGTTAAGTTTGGGATGTTGGTTTGCTTGCGTATGCTTTTTGGCTTTTTGTTGGTTCTCTGCCCCTATTTTCTTTTTTAGTTTTCTTTGTCTTTTGCAATACGACGCCTTTGAGCGAAGAAGGTCGGACAGTCGGGCTATAACGAGGCGGAGACCACAGGAGGAGGAATCGCTAACCCAGCGCGAAGGAACTGCTAGTGGCAGAGGGACCCGTGCTGGTCTACTCTTCTGGAAGCCCTTAAGGAAGATCTGGAACCCGCTGGCTACGGGGGACAGAGTAGCACCGACACAACACAGCGCAAGCGCCCTGAGTGACTGGGCCCGCCCACTGTAACACTGCATCATCAGCAGCAAGCCCCAGCGGCCGTCGGGGCGGACTCGTGCTGTTGGTGTGGCCACCGGCGTTGGCTCCAGCCAACAGCAACACGACACAACAGCGCTGCGACTCTGTTAGCGTAAACTCTAATGCCCACTCTTGCTCATTTCCACGGCGCATTGAACCCGACGGGCTGGGAATGCACTGAGAGTTTACTAAACTCGTTTTGGTTTTTTTATTGTTATTTTCATTTATTATTATTATTATTATTTCGACATCCCCCCTTTTTCTATTGGGGCCACCAAGGCTCCTCATTTCAAGGTTTTGGCAGTGGCCTCCGCCAGTAACAGTCGACGCCCGTTGGTAATAGACTTTGAACGCCCTTGGGCCTTGCACGCAAAAGGGCCAAGCGCCGACAGCCCAAAGTTAAACAGGACCAATAAACGGAGGAATTGGTATTCCTATTATTTATTTGCCTTCTTTCTTTCCAGGAATGGCCCAATAAAAAAGTCTATTGTTCGTCCACCGCGGAAGATGCCATCGCCAGAACCACGCGCCAACCGGCCAGCCGTGGAGAAGCCTGACCCCTCCACCTCCACTCCGCTGCCCACCCACCTCTAGTCAGGGCGCGTACAGTGCTGCTGCCCGCTGGTGCCGCTTGCTCGCTCTCGCCTGTTTTTACTTTTTACTTTTTATTTTTTTTTTATTTTTGGGTCGCAGAAGATTACCTGTGCTCGACACATGGAAACTTTAAACAGTCATGAGTATTGTCATTTCCCAACGGGGCATTGTCCCGACCACTTGGGTTAGAGTTTGGCAACAGTTATTATATATACCCTGGTTTTGTCCCCCCCCGTTGCTAATCGCCATCATTCTTCAAAGATCCTTTCTTCTTTGCTTTATCAAACCATTTCCTACTACTTGTCTCTTTTCTTTGCTACAAAGAAGAGATCTACGACCCACGGACATTTGTGTTTGCCCACCAATCCCACTAGTGGCATCCCACCCCCTCCTCATTCTTCACCGTCTATACGACAACACGCCTGTGTTCTACCATTTTCCTCCCTAGCTTGGACGCCTTTTTCCTTTTCCGTCCACATCTCACAACAGGGATTCCCCAAGAGCCCCTCCCCTCCACAGCCTCCGAAAACCATCGACGCTTGACAGCGCATCCGGTACCACCCAAGGCCACCCTATCAATTCAATTTTTTTTTCCTTTTTTTTGTACTACTAAGGATCTCCACTTCGGCAGCAAAACAACGCTAGGACAATCGCGCATTTGCATTGTGTTAGCCCAGCCACCCCTCCTCTTCACCCCTAGGCCTATATACATGAGCACGCCTCCTACCTCCACCTCCTCCCACAATACAAATATGCTATCTGTTGCTCCCTCTGAGCCCCAGCATCATTATCGAGTCCCATATCTCCCTCCTCCTACTTCTTCTCCTCTCTACCGCCAGACAATGCCTCACCGTGTCTCCATCTCCGAGCCCAAGGAGATGCCATCCTCTGTCACCCAGGCTTTGGAGGTAGCTCGTGAGAGTGCTGATGGCGCCTCGGATCCCACCATCTGCAAGATCCTCGACAATGCCGTCGAAGGCATCTGGGGAAAGATCAATGCAAAGCCCAACGACTACGTCATGACCAGAGATGAGTTTGCCGTCTTCAACTACTACCAGCGCGACTTTAGAGGCAACAAAATCGCCGTCGACGCAAAGAAGCGCTACTGGGACAACTTGCGCGCCTAAAGAGCGCCTTATCTACGTCTTTTTGTCCACAGAAGCCAAGCATTGAATTCTTCCCCCCAGCAAAAAAAAAGGTCCAGGAAAGCGACTTGAGGGATCATTATACCACACGGGCATTGGAGCGACACCTTTCTTCCTCTTTTTTGAATCGCCCATTTATCATCAGCATGAGGTTATTTGCCGCTTTATTTTTTTTCTTCGACTTGCTTCTTCTTCAATTTCTCTTCCTTCATAATTTTACGAACATAGACTGTACAATAGCGCCTTCTTGTCTACTTTAGCCATTAATGACCAATGGAAATGAAATGAATTGCAAAATCTTCTACACTAAGCACATTGTACTGAACCAATCTCGACGTGACAAGCTGCATCCTGCCGACGTAAAATACACTGTGGCTGAATTTTGAGTTGTAGCTACTAAAGAATCAGCCCACTCGTCATGCTGTGAGGCAAACTTAACAAAAAGCCTGAAGCTTAAAGCGGCCGCTACCACATCCTAGCTTGCTTCCTTGGTCATCGGCCCATCGCTCGAATGTTTGGTACAATACAAACATGAATATAGTATAGCGCATTTACGCAGAAATATAAACGATACCGATATGTTCTGAGAGTTTTATATTGTGCTGTGAAGTTCTTCTCAGAATCACTAGGTTGACAATGTTTACTGCAACAACAAGCTTTTTATTCATGCATCTTACGAAAAGTTTGTAGATTTACTTTTAGATTTGAATATAGAGAAATACTCTAATTTAGAAAATAAAAAGAATTGTGAATCCTGCTAGTTTGCGTTCTGTGGGTTGGAAATCTACAACGTTACACAGACCTAAGAGTGCCGTCTCGCCCATACAAGATGCTCTGCAAGGCAATCGTGACACTCTTTTTGCCACTACTGGTTCTCGGGCAAGACCTTCACAAACCTTTTCCAACAACACTCGGCCCGAATGATCCCTTCGAGGAGCCAATCCCGACAACTCACGAAGTATTGCAATGCGTCCAGCCACACAAGCCCCTGTTTGGCGAATTCGGTGCCGTCACCAGCAACCACCTACTCAAGGAGCACCCTGCCGATCAGCAATATGCCCTAAATGCATGTAAGCAGGAACTTTTGCACCACAAGGTAGGAGACGGTTGGCAGAATGCGTACAAGCGCAAGTCTATATCCACATCCAGATCATGGTCTATTCCATCTCTAACTTCCAGATGCAGTCCGGTACAACCCCCCAAAGTGTAACTTTACAAGAGTCATCTTGAATTTAACTGTCACATCTCATGGGGTCCAATACGACCGTATGGGAGGCGTCTGGCTCGAAAACATCGAAATATGGCGATTCTCTACCCCGCAACCGTCGGATAAGCCGGGGATTCGATGGTCCATGATCAAGGACGTCACACCATTTCTGATCCTCTGGCGCAAAAAGGCCCAATTGCTTCTTGATTTGGACAATCGTCTGCTGCGCCCTCTTAATGGAAAGTTTGATGTGACTCTAACCGCCACCTACCTTGCGGCTGATCTGCAGGTCCCGACATCCACGCCGGCTACTCACATTTTGCCTCTAGGTACGCTGACTACACGCGAAGCCAATGTCTACGAGTTCCCATTGATGTACTATCCGAACCGGGCTACGCTCCCAGTCAACACTGTCCGTGCTGTTGTTTCTATTGGAGCCACAGCGCTTGCGCGGGAGGAATTCTGGTGGTCAAACCTACCAAATAGCGTTTCCGATGTTGCCTCCAACAAAACCAGCAGGCTGCCGGACCGATCTGGCTTTCGAGAGATTCGTCTTAGTATCGACGATCAAATAGCCGGCTTAGCATGGCCACAGCCCATTGTTCTAGCCGGTGGCGTGTCTCCCGCTCTCCATCGACCCATTGTTTCTGACCAAGTATTCGACCTCGCCGAACACGAAATCGATATCACCCCATGGCTTGGGTACCTTTGCGATAAGAAAAAGCATAAATACACTATTGAGGTAATCGGTGAAAATGACCTCATTGTGGCCACCTTTTGGAAAATCTCGGCAAAGATATTTGTCTGGGCGGATCCGAACAACCGCATCACCCCAGGGCCACCTCCCACCGTCAATGTAAGCGAGACCGAATTCCACAGCAACCAATCACAAGGCGCCGAGAAAGAATGGAAATATTCACAATCCACGTCTCGTTCCATTGAAGTCAAATCTACGCTCAATATGAAAGGAAATGCTATTGATGTGGTGTGGACTCAGCGGTATTCCATGCGAGGAGAAGGAGTCGTCGCCAGATATGGTGACTACCAAAGCTCCTCTACATTTTATGAGGGGGAGTCTACTCTCAAACGTGACCTGCTTACCTACTATCATCATGGATTTTCTTATCCCATGAAAATGATAATGGATAAGGAAACGCTAGCAAACCGCAAGGCTTTTCGTCTTAGAGCAGAGATTGACCAAGGGACGAATTCTACCATTATTGGCAACAGCGTATTCCCTTGTGGGATGGAGGCATTTGTTCACGATTTGCCGGAAGCGGCCTCAGGATGTTCAACGTACACAAGAAAGCGCGGCCATGCGACCATGTATCAGACAAGAAAGGGAAAGACGTCAGTAGCTGAGTCGGATGTCGAATCCATGTACATATTTGGAGCAAAGATGTTTGGCATTGAGTCTGGTAGCACTTTTGCTGCTGGTCCCGTTCTTTTCTCTCATGAAATGCGACAGCAGAATGAGGCCATGGTAAAGAACACAATGTACATGATGAAAGGGAAGGTTTCGCGCCTTCCTGTTGCCACTTATGCATCAGATCCGCGTTACATTGGCTGGTTCGCCCCCATTAAAAACCACAAGCATGGTGGGACAAGAATATTCTGGGGGAGAGATGCCTTGAGTTCGAATGTTGGTGATATATCATACGACAAGGGATATGGTGCCCGCCGAACTCGTTCATCAGAGTTGAGCAATACGACAGAGACCATTGACGCGCCACAGCTCTCAGAACAAGTAGCATCCGATGATGTAACCGAAACTAACACCGACAATAACGCAGTAAACAACACGGGAATCGACTTTGATGAATTTGATGGAGACCTCTTAACGGAACTTGAAGAGGAATTTGAGAAGCTGGATCATGCCAAGAACCTACCCCGCCCATCACCCACCAGAGCTTTCTTCACAATATATCCAGGCGCCAGAGGTCGTAACATACATCACGACCGACCGTGGATAACTCGTGTCGGGGGAGCTATAGCAGAGGCTGTAACAAACGGCGGCTTGGGGTATCCCGCAGCTGAAGCCACGGAAGCACCTACGTTCCATGGACAGGAGAAAAGGGTAGATAAAGACGTAGTAACACTAGAGGAGGATTAAAAAAAGTGAAACCGGTAATCCTACCCAGAAATGCACGAGTTTCAAACGCATTCACTGTAGTCGGGAGTAAGACGACAACAATTGGAAGAAGTCTAAAGACAGCCAGGCCAGTAAGGATGAAAAGTATTAACAAAATGGATCTCCATAATACACTATTTCTTACAATTTAATTCAACAATCTAAAATTTGGTCAAGTATTGTCGTCAAACTGAGTGCATAGGCTGTCTGTCCCAGTTGGTGGTGGTCATACAAGCGCAGACTGTGCTGAGCTCAGCCTCGCCACACCATACATAACCAACGGGGTTTACAGTTCAAGTGCGTATTTACAACTTGGTAAACGAAACCTTTTTGGGAATGTAATTTCCACATCCATTACAGCCTGTCTTTGAACTTCCAATGAGGACAGCCCCGACGGGCGAAACGGCAACTTCCGTGGGCAGCCCCAAACTCTAAATCGCCATGGCCAGCTTGGTACAAGCTTTCCGAAATAAGAAGGCTTCTAGAAGCGAGGTGTACTATTCAGGGCAAACTAATACTCTTTAGAGTCTAGCGCTTCTCGCGGCGCCTTCTCCGCTCGCCTGGAAGAATTGCCAACGCGTTAACATTTAGCTTTCTCAGCACAGGCTGTATGACTGTTAAGCTTTTCGTTTTCTTCCAGCTTACATGGCTGGCGAGGCTTACTCGCAGAGGTAAACTCTAGATGATTCAAACTCTTAGAGACCAGCGAGAAAGACCCAAAAATTTTAGGAGGCCTCGGGCAATTGGAGCCCGAAGCTCAATGGGTGTTGTTACAGTGTAATTGCGCGGTTGTTGTAGAGAGAGGTCTCGCCGTCCGTCGCTGAAGCCGCAGCAGCAATTGCAAAAAAAGAGTTTGAGGGGTGTGGGCAAAGTTACAATATAGTCTAACCTTCGTCCTATACGAGATAGTTGTCCATAGGGAAATTCAATGCCACGCCACAGGCCGCCACGCGCGTGACCGATCGTGATGGGTAACGCTGAAGTCCTATCGCGCGCACAGGCTGGACCGCAGTTTAAGGCTCTTGATCCAAAGGCTAGGTTGAGTCGCGTGACTATGTGCTTTTTTAGCTGTATATTTTGAATATACCAAATCTGCCGTCCCGTCCAACAGCGGAAGGTCGCGTGAACGCATGTCTCAAATCACAGAGCATCGAGCGTAGGCACCTGCTGTGCTGTAAGAGCTCCATTGTCTGTTAAGTGGTCGGAACATGAGCGAATTCGTATTCGGGGTTCCCAGCTTAGCGTTGTCTTTCTTTTTGTCTGTCTTACAAACCTCTGTGCAAAAGGGAGGGCTTCTGCGCCGTGTCTGTTTGATACATGGCGGGGGAACAGTCTCAGCAAGGGTGGGCGAGGCTGGCGAACAAGGCCCAGTGAGCGAGCAGGGGCAAGCTGTAGCAGCTGCAAGCCTTGCGGTTGGTGGGCTGTTTCCAGTGGTGTTTCCGTCCCCTGGTAGCGGAGAGTTTCTGGTATTTTTCGAGATCGGACGAAGGAGAGCTGTGTGGTTGCACGGGTTGTTTCTACTTGGAGGTGAACCGTGTATATAGACACCAATGGCAGAGATACACGGTAACTGTGTGTATGTGTGTAATTACTACATCTTGGGCAGTCACACTACTGTCCTTGTCTCCCGCTGCACAAGACGAGGCAGTGGTGGTGACGGTGGTGTAAGCTGTCAGCGTCGCTGCAGCGGCCTGACTGTTGCAACAGAGACGGCTTCAGGGAAGGGACAAGAATGCCAGAGCGTGGGACTCATGAGGTCATCGCCCCGGCGCCACGATCGCAGGTACAGATGCACTGTAGAGCCGCCCAGTGTTTTTCCTAGGCACTAAAACACAGCGCTGGGATCGATACGCTAGAACTGACAGTTCACGATGGGCTGGAAATAGTAGAATAAAAAAAATATAATCTGATCTGCAATCCCCATATCTCTCTTTGTTTTATTTTCCTCCTTCATTACAATCGCACACAAGACCCTGCTTGGTAGAGGGGGAAGGGGACGCTAACGCCTGTCCGTCACTTTGATTTCCCTGTTTTTCGCGAAATTAACATTGGGGCGCGCCGCCCAAGAAAAAAAAGGATGCTCTGTTGGCGGGCCCCAGCGCATTTTTGGGTGCTGGCGGCCCCCAAAGCAGCGCTAGAGCCCATCGACGCGACACATTTGCTCTCCGTCTCTGCTCCGCGCCAATCCCGCCAGTCTTCTTACCTTTGACATCGACATTGCCTTCGTTTCAGTCGCTTTTCTTCCTTTTTGGTTAATTCTCGTCGCCTTTTCTTTCGTCTTGTTTGCCGTCGTGGCTTAATACCGTACTTCTTACCACCTAATACTTTTGTCGACTGCCGCTCCCTTACACCACCACCACCACCTGCTCCTTACTACCATTTGCGCATTGCCCCAATTCGCTTTGCGCCAAACGTCCTTTTGCAATCGCATAAGCTCAGCTTCGCCGTTCTTCACCCAGTTACCGCAAACACCACTTTCCCACAATGTCCGGATTCCTCAACGCTATTGTCCGCGCCGCGGCGCTCTTCTGGACCCTGTTGCTTACTGCCCTCGTCGGCAACTTGATCGCCGTTGGCAACCACAAGGCCGCCATTAACTTCACCATGTTCGTCGCTGTCCTCTCTTGGATCGTCACGCTCTACGGCATCGCCTCGTCTTTTGTTTCGTCTCTCGGAAGAGCTGCCATTCTCCTCCCTCTCGACGCCATCCTTGTCCTCTTCTCTGTTATTGACGGTATTGTTCTCGCTGCTCTTCTCAACACCGTCGACTGCGCCAGCATCGACTCTACCAAGAACCACCAGAGCGTTCTCTTTGACAACGAGATGGGCCACTGCCGTCAAACTCAGGCCTCCGCCGTCTTTGTCTGGTTCATCTTCATCTGCGCTACTGGTGGTCTCTTCTTCAGCTTCTCCGAATCCCGCAGCCCTATCGGCTCCATTCGCGGCTCACGCGTGTAAATAGATGGCTTATTTTTGCACTGTATCGTAAGTGCTAGCATAGTACCCTCTGAGAGGGTCGTTGCTACAGTTCTTGGGCGCCACTGCGCCAACAGATACATACGACACGGACGGGGCGGGCGTCATTTGAAATTACTTTTTCTTTCCTTTAGCAGCTCAGGGAGCAAGCACAAAACACGGAGAGGTGCGATGAGGGCTAGAAAGCCAATCACTAATATTCCAACACAGATAGGTTGGTTCATATGAATTAGAATGGTGGGGATATGGGTAATGCTAGTATACATCATTTAACTGCTTTAATTAAAATGTCTTCAACTAGCTTCGTATACAGTGTTAACAGACTGTTGCTAATTGATAGTCTGATTCGCTAAATGGTCTAAATGAAGCTCCATACTTTCCAACAATAGGCATGCATCCCCTGTGTTGATGCTCTAAAAGAAAAACTTGAAACGAGTCTATGTCCGTAGATGTATGTACATTCGAAGCAGCCGTCCATGGCTGTGATCTTGGTGATATGGTATGCCATTGCCGCATAGCAAATGGTCTTGTATTGGTTGAATTCTTTTGCGTTGGAACCCTTATAGTGCTCGGGTCACTTCAATGGCTCCAATAACCTTATTGGCTGTCTTGTTCGTCCATCGCACTTCGACATTGTGCGCCCATTCCATGTATCGTGCCCAGCCTATCCATCGAGTTAGTATATGATGCCTTGATTTACGTACGAAACTGTTGTTGCCGGCAGTACTCACTCCAATAGGCGAATTTGCGGCCAAAATACTTGCCCATCCATGGCACCAGGACCATGGTCAGCAGCATCTGCACCTGCTCTAGACTCCGCTCCCACTCCTCCTGGGCGTCCGAGTCCTCTTCTGAATATAATTCGCTCGTGGCAATGGAGGGAAGAGAGTCGACATCGTCCTTTTCATCGGAAAGGTTGGCATCCCGGACGTCAAAGACGGACTCGTTGACAGCCATGACGGGCCACTACACCTACTACGGCTGGTGTTTTGGCTTTGTCGACAGAGAGAAAGGGTTGTGTTTTATATCGATATTCGCAGTTAGTCTCAAATTATCGATCCGTCATCAGCCAGAGTCAATGCTGTGCGGCCGTATGTCGAGAAAGTAAATGCGGAGTAGCGGAAACAGTAGCTCTCAGGCCTGTAGTTGTCGAGCCATAATCTCCACAGGAGTAAGGCACGCCTCAGGCGTGTCAGTGGATTCGCGGCATGGATCGGAGGTTGCGAGATGCGGACAGTCACGCGTTTTATCACGTGATGATGACGCTGGCCTGTGGCAGCTTGGGTGAGTGGCGTGGAAGGAAGCACCTAAGTTAGCAAAAACGAGGCAAGATATACAGACCGTTTTGTTGATCAGCGCCTGTGGCATTACAAAAAAGCCTGACAAATTTGACAGTCAACATCTTATTGCCAAAAATTCCTCTGCTATTTGCACGTTGTCCCTTGTTTTTTACCGCTCGAGGCCATCGTCCATCCTTTGCCCGCCCTCGCCTGTCCCACAGCGCGCGTGCCTCACTGCTTAGCCCAGCATGGCTGTGAGTTTTTTCCCCCCTCCTTCAGGCCTATTGGCCACTGGTTTTGGTTTTCTGCCCCTCCATTTGGCTCTCTCTGGCTTGGTACCCCACCACAAAACCGCACACCACAACCCACCCAACTGTGCTGTGCGCGCGAGGTTGGCCACCACAATTCTTTATCCCGAACCTTTGCCATTTGAGTCACCACCACCACAATCTCTCTCTTCCTCCCGCCGTCCCCAACATCACCAATTCCTTTTTTGCCTCCTCCGACACTTCTCGACGACTCCCTTTCCGCCGCCGCCGCTCGACGAATTTTCTTATCTCGGCCACAAAAAAAATACTAACCAGGGATCTGCTCTGATTTATAGGAACCTACCTCCCCCGTCGAGCGCAAATCTCGTAAATCCGTAACTTTTACCGACGAACAAATCGTAGTCGACGCCGACGGAACCGTCAAGATGGTCAACGCCGCCGACGAGCCCAACAAGGACTCTGCCCTTTCCCACGCTGCCCGTACGCCACCATTGTCCGCCGCCCTAGGAGACTTTACTGATGCATCTCAAGCAGCCGAGGATGCTGCCGCTGCTGCTGCCCCCGCCGACGATGGCGGCCTCGACCTCTCCCTGTTGAAGAAGAAGAAGAAGAAGAAGGTCGCCAAGCCTGAGGATGGCGACGAAGCTGCCGCTGACGGTGAAGACGATGGCGGCCTTGACCTTTCCCTCAAGAAGAAGAAGAAGAAGAAGACCAAGGAGGTTGCTGAGGACGACGAGTTTGCCGCCAAGCTCAAGGAGCTCGAGATCAAGGAGGCCGAAGAGGTCGCTGATGCTTCCAACGAGCAGGAAGGCGATATGGATGTCGGTACCGGCATCTGGGCCCACGACGAGACTAAGCTCATCAACTACCCCCTCCTCCTCAACCGTTTCTTCAGCCAGCTCGCCCAGAAGAACCCCGATCACACTCTCTCTGGCGCCAAGAGCTACAAGATTCCTCCTCCTCAGTGCATGCGTGAAGGTAACAGAAAGACCATCTTTGCCAACATTGCCGAAATCTGCAAGCGCATGAAGCGTTCCGAGGAACATCTTACTGCCTACCTCTTCGCCGAATTGGGTACCTCTGGTTCCGTCGACGGTAGCCGCAGACTTATTATCAAGGGTCGTTTCCAACAAGCTCACATTGAGAGTCAGCTAAGAAAATATATCAGTACGTGGTCACGATCCTATGCACGCGCATGGCTTGTATACTTGACATCGCTCTTTACTCTAGAGTCAGATTTACTAACCTCAAATCACAGTCGAATACGTTACCTGCAAAACCTGCAAATCGCCCAACACAGAACTCAGCAAGGGTGAGAACCGTCTTTACTTCGTTACCTGCAACAACTGTGGCTCCCGTCGCAGTGTCAGCGCCATCAAGACCGGTTTCTCGGCCCAGATCGGAAAGAGAAAGAAGATGCAGGGTTAATAGTGAAACGTGGATGCAAAATAGGGGTTACATGGTGTTCTGGCCATTATGTTTTTATTGATGACAATAAAAGAAATGACTTTTTTATTATTACCTGCTCAGATGATGTCCAGAGGAAGCCAATAATTGGGTTTGGACAAACTCCAGAAAAAATTTGGATGATTTTAGCATGTGCATGATACTACACATTCTTCACTTTAAAAAACGACGTGCAGTGAACGGCATTATATAACAAAGAAAACAGGCGGCTGTGAAAGCCGCAAACTTATATTTTATCGCATGAAATGCTCAGCTCTCTTTCCCAACCCTAAAATACTTGGCTAATAGCTAGAGTTCTATGTATCTCTTGCCTACTTTCTTCATCCTCTATGAATCAGAGCCCGTAATCCGCAAATAAAAAAGAACGACATAGAAGGAAATTGCCAGGCCGATAAAAAGTAAAAAATGGAAATCGCCATAGTCAAAAGCGCGTGAACCCGTAACCCAAAAACAAATTTCAGTCTGACAGCTTAGCCGAAATCCTCCCTAAGCTGTTTGCGCCTTTGTCCTGGTAGTGTTATTACATGAATCTCCCAAGGCTTGCCCTATTGTATCCCATTGTAGAGTTACTCAATGCGAGACTCCTCGGCGATAGCAGCAACCTCTGCTTGAGCTGCCTCCAAAGCTGTGCGAACCCAGTCACCCAGGCGATGCTTCTCAATGTATGACTTAAGAAGCTTGTCTTCTGCCTTCATTCCGTCAACAAGCTTGGACTGGAAATCAGCACCAATATCACGGAATCGGCGGTCAAGCTCTTCCGAGAAAGCACCAATGGCTTCCTTGGGTGCCATGGGCCTAAAAGGGTCGCGAGCATCCTGATATTGAACGCAGTCTGAAAACATAGCATACAGCTCGGTTTCGGCTAGTCTCGCAACAACCGCTTCATCATCCTTCAACTTGGTATCGTTGATCTTGGACCAGTCATCCCGAATATAGAGTCGGCGCCAGATTAGGCGTTTGGCCTCGCGAACTTCGTCAGCGTGACAGCTACTCTCCGCTACTTTGAGGGCGAGCCAAAAGGGGTGTGCAATCTCTTCTCGGGCTTCAGGCTTAAAGGACACCAAAGTCAGTAGATCAATGAGTGTCATCGCGTCCAAAGCTTCATGCTTGAGAAGGCGCTCCATGGCACCTTCAAATGCTTGAAGGAGTGCCTTCTGCTTGCGGGGGATGTTATCACCGTGAGCCTCAACAGCCAAGTTGAGAGCAGCAGCTTCATCTACAGCGTCATAAGTGCTCGAGGAGATTTGGTTGTAAAGCTGGTTCTGGATGCGCACGGTGATGAGTTCACGGTTGACTTTCTCCAGCTGCGCTTCTTGGCGTGTCTCATCAACCTTGACCTTGAACATGTTGCCCTTCTCGCTCTGCGCCTCTGCTTCGGCAAGGAGCGCCAGCTTACCAAGACTAAGCTCGATCTTTTTGTTCCATGTCTGTTGCTCTTTGGTAAAGGCCAAGTTGACCAAGGTTTCAGCCGCATGTTCGATGTCGTTCTCTTGTTCCACATCGTTAATCCAAGAAATGCGAGCCAATTCTGGCTTACTACGCAAGAATTGTGTCTTGAATCCCAGCGTTTCTAGATCGAACTCCAAAACAGCTTCGACGCCGTTCTTTTCCAGCAAGAATTCATATACAGGGAATGCAAATTCTTTTCCGTATTTGGCGAATCGGTCCTCTAGTTGGGCTCTCTTAGCATCACGTAGGTTCTTGAAGTTCTGCATCTCGGTGGGAGATAGTCCAGGCTCAAGAATCTGCGCTTCCAGGTTGGCGACGTATTCTAGTAGAATGACTGCAAGCGCATTGAGTGCTTCATGCTTTTCAGCAATCTTGGCAGCCTCCTCCCACTTTCCAAGACGAGCCAAGAGGACAGGCTTGTCGTATCGGTCGCCATGGTAAGATTTAGCAAAGTTTTGCGCAATCGACTTATGCTCAGAACTAGTCATTCCCCATCTAGCATACTCGAGCACAGAGGTGAGCATGGCATCCGTCAAAAGGGGGAGGTCATCGAAGATTTTTCGGATAATGTCTGGGTTAGGAACATTGGGGGCCTTGGTGTTTTCAGTAAGAAGAGAGTGGTATTTGTTGATCCAGTTGTCGGAGAGGTCGACCAAGCGCTTCAAGTTGTTTGAGACAAAGTATGAACCTGTCCATGGCTCTGGCAATCCCTCATAGCCTTCGCGAAGGATACCGAGGCGTAGCTTGTCTTGGCTTAGGCCATAGAATGAAAGGTTTGTCTTTCGGAATTCGAGGGCTCCGGTGTGTGCGGTTGTGTTGATCTGCATTGCTTCGTAGATCATCAATGTAACCTTAACATCGTCTAGCAAATGATCCTTGTACAAAGTCTTGATAACCTCGTACGCCCATGAAACAAACAGCTCCATGCGGAAGATGTCATTGATGAACCAATGTCTGACTGGATCAACCTCACCGATTTTAGCAATGGGGTTTGTCTTTTGATCCTGATGGATGAAATCAACGATGGAGGCAATTAGACTCTTCTTGTCGCCGGCAGCTCTAGCCGCTGTAAAGGCTTCATGGCGCTTCCAGAGTAGGCCAGCGACATGCATCTTCTCAGCATTGAACAGCAGACTCCAGCGTGTCTTGCGATCGATCTCAGCGTTAATTGAACGCACGTGAAGCATCAATCGCTCCAAAGCATCCGCACGAGCTCTCAAGTTATCCTCTAGTGACGCAGGCAGTGTTGACATAAATGTTGTAGTGGAGCTCAGAATTTCTTGGCTGATCTCCAATGCGGCGGCACCAATTTCCTCTTTGGAGAAGGCAGTCTCTCTGCGGCCATCAAAGATGAGTGGGTTGTCAGCCTTGGCACCAAAAAATACTGTCTGTTCCAGTTTGCTCTTCGCTGACACTTGTGGTGGGTGTTCGCTGGCGAACTTGTCAATCTCAGTGGTGACTACTCGGATAACGCCAGCACCCCGTGCGAAGAGGAGCACAGCGGGATTCTTGGCCTTTTGCTTGAAAATACGAGCTTCCTCTGCAGCTGCGGAGGGCATTTCTTCAAACCCGGAGCCAATGGTCTCATGAAGATTATCTTCCCTAAAGTCAATGACATCTTCAAATGAAGCCGGCAGGATGTTGTTATCTGATTGTAATTGAGAATCAGGTGATTCGGGGGCGAGGGCAAGTGAAGCAATGACTGTAGCTCGCTCAAAGACAGCGAAGGCCACAATTGCAGGTCGAGGAAGATAGATTCGAGGTCGGGTGGTTGGTGGCGAGTCAGCTGCAGATATTGGTGTTGTGTAGGATGTAATAGGGCGGATCATTCCAATGGAACAGCCTTTAGGGTTCAGAATGACCTCAATCATAGCGTAACGTGATGTGCTGCGTCTTGTAAGGCTTACTAGTAGTAGCAGGTGTTGTTCAGAGGCATCCTCGGAAGAAATGGCATCGCTAAGTCGGCTGAGTTCCAAATATTTCGATTCCAAACCCTTTGGCACAAATGTGAAATCAACGGCCTCGAAGGAGTCAGCTGGGAAGTCTTTCGCAAAAGGATCTGACTCTCGCAACGCGTCAACGAGCTGATCCCGAATATCGGCTTCACCAATGTGATCATTGTGGCCACCACGATGGATTCTCCAAGCCTGTAGCTTGCCCTTGCAAGTAAGCGCGACGACGTTGCGCTCACCAACTCGGGTGGATCGATCCGCTCTCACGGCAGCAATCTCGCCTCGTAGCGACAGATTAGAAAACGCGTGTCGGATACTGCCAAAGATTCCGCTGGTGGATGGTGTCAGGTTAGTTCGCAGGAATTGTGTAGAGATGGCAGGTTTTCCATGACCATCACGAACAGCCATGTATGCAAGTCGACCAGAGTTGAAAGTGAGAACAAAGCCGGCAGATTCTGCGCTGGTAATACCAACCACCTTTTCGCCCGATGACATGCCAGAGATGACATGTTCAACACCAGAGCGGTCCTTCTTGATGAAAGCAAATGTAGCGGCGCTAGATATCGATTCCCAAAAGACAACTTTGCCGCTGCCAGCCATCACAACTACAAGGCCAGGCTCGACAGAAGAGGCCGAGGGTGATACAAGTGAGCCAACTGGGAGAGGGTCTGACGGTTTGGATGCCGATGGGAGTGTAAATGTAAACGTTTCGGGGGATTGTGATGTCGAGTTATATGGCCAGACCATGGCATGTGTTGCTGTCAATGAAAGGGCATATCCGAATGACGAAGAGATATCAGCGTGTTGTGGGCCTATGATAGATAGCGAGATTAGCCTTTGCAGCAAGATCAATTGGGAATGTTTCTTACTATTCCAGTCGGCTCGAATTCTGTCCGGAATTGCTGGTAGCTTGCTGACTGTGTAGGCATTGGTGCTGGTCTAAATAATTGATGCCGCTGTTAGCCAAGTGTGATGGACGATGGACGCTGACGCGGACTTACCAAGACAAGGCTTCCATCGCCTTTCTGGACGGCACGGTCGCTATGCTTTGATTTTCTGGTTCGCACATTAAGCTCTTTCCTTGGTACAGGATTGACATTCTCAATGTTCGAATCGGGCATCAATGCGTCGGGCGTGGGCGTGGGTGGGCTCCTGAGCGGCTTTGCGTTGACGACCTCGGGGTGAACATCAGGGTTTACAAAGGTCTGTTCGGTAAGTGGTATACGTTGACGCTTTGCTTTTGGCTGAGGAACAAGATTTTCGCTGCTCTTGGGGCGTTGACGACGGCGAGAGCGTGTTGCCGTGGCTGGGCCACCTTCGGCGACCGCAGGAGAAAACATTGTTGAAGAGCGTGTGAGCGTGCGCCCTGGCGTCGCGCTGGTTGGGAGATGCGAGTCGTAGAGATGGAATCGCGTGCAAGAAACTAGATGATTAATGGTAGACGTAGCACATGGCCAGCCTTCTGCTGCGCGAAGTCGATGGCTGATGAAATGGTGCAAGAAGGAGATGCTGACTGCCCAAGAGGATGCAAGAGATGCACGGCGTCGTGATGGCAGAAGCTCATTGGCGGTGGGCAAAAAAAACAAAAGGCAGCCAGCGACAGCTTAGAAGCACCTGGCAGGCGTTGGCCAATCACAAGCCCTGATCAGGATCTGGCCGCGGCCAGGGCGGCCCACTCGCGACGAACAAACGGCATGCGCTTGTTTAGGCGGCTGCAGCTTGTCTCTGACCTCATCACCTCACACGCCGCTGCTCGTGCGCTGCTGTCGACAATGAAATTAAATATCAACAATTATTACTAAAATTATTTTTCAAATTGCAACAAGATATAATCGCTAAATAATTGACATTATCACCAATTGTCTACCTAGACGCTGTACATTCCCGACCATAGTCCTTCTCCGACGCGACGCCGAGAAACGGCCATTAAATCGTCAGTTTTTTTAATTATGAATTTCAATAAATATAAGGCTGACGCAATGGCTTTAATTATAGACTCCCATTTTTCATACATGTTTACCAATTTTACACTTAGACGGCATGGCTCAACAGCCACCATGAGGCGGTTCTCAACCGCCATTACGATTACTGACCCTCTGGTTAAATACCAGAGCATGGTTGCAACCGGTATTCTCTCACCGGATCCCGCTCAGCATCGACTAGCTCTTCATCTTCGTGCTCTTTATAGCCGCATCAAAGATTACTCCCCACATCATAACTACAGCCAGCGCATTCGGCAAACCCACGCCTTAATCGAGCCTGAGCAATCAACCGAGGATTCGGGGGGGAATATACTTGCTGTTAGAACACACAGTATATGGCGCAACCCATTTTTCAAGCATCTACTGTCTACCCCAGAAGGACAGAATAGCTTGGCTCTTACCAGAGTTCTCGCTAACTATGAGGAGGCGATTAATATCGATTCTCCAAAGGGCCTATTCCTCTCTGGTGAAGTCGGCACAGGAAAGTCCATGTTGCTTGATTTACTGGCTGACGGCCTACCCACACACCGAAAACGACGATGGCACTTCAATACGTTCATGTTGCACACAATGGCACAACTAGAATCATACCGAAATATGACTTCAGCTTCCCGGGGTACCAGGCCAGAACACTCGCTGCTCTGGATGGCCAAGAGGCTCGTGGATGAGTCTCCAGTTCTATTTCTGGATGAGTTTCAGCTGCCCGATCGAGCTACCAGCAAAATTCTTAGCCATTTATTTATAGCCTATTTTCAAATGGGTGGTGTTTTGATTGCTTCGTCAAATCGCATGCCAGAGGACTTGGAAAAAGCAACTGGTGTTGATTATTCAACAGAACCTAAATACGGCATGATTCAAAGACTATTTGGAAACAAATCAAAAGACGAACTATACGGTGGAGGTAGTGATTTCTCAAAGCTCCTCGAGGTATTAAAGGCTCGATGCGACTTTTGGCAAATGGAAGGCGGCCAAGACTGGCGACGCAGAGAGCAACTAGAGCTAAATTTGGCCAATGATAAAGCTTCGGCAACGGATGAGAGCGGCAATATCGGTGGAGAGGCCGAGTCAGAGGAATCGAAACCGACAAACACACCACACGCCTATGTTCTCACATCCACTGAGAGCAGCGATGATCTATTCCTCGAGCACACAAAAGTAGCAGCATCGTGGGCTAACAGCGAACCGATTCCTTGGCAGCCAAAATATCTTGTTGTTTATGGGCGGCAAGTCAATATCCCTAAGCATTTCGACGGCGTCGTCACATGGGACTTTGAAGACCTAGTCCAATCATTTGGCCCCGCAGACTATATTACCATGGCATCCTCGTTTCATACGTTTGCCATAGACAATGTGCCGGTTCTTACAATTCTCCAGAAGAACGAAGCACGACGATTTATCACATTCCTTGATGCCATCTATGAGTCTCGATGCAAGCTAGTCATACGCGCGAGAAGCCCTCCTGACACGCTGTTCTTTCCTTCCACAAAAGCAAGTAACCCTGGCAAAGAAGGTGATAAAGTAGGAGATGATGCGACGTATTCTGAGACTATATCTGAAGTATACCAAGACCAAATGTCTCCCTTCCGCCCCAACATATCATACTACGACACACCGAGCTCAACATCCACGTACGACCCAGATCAAGACTCCGACTTTGGGCTCCAGAAGCGACCAGTAGACTTTAGCAACACTAGCGCCTTCACTGGTGAAGACGAACGATTTGCATACAAACGAGCTGCATCACGGCTCTGGGAGATGTGCGGTGCTCGGTGGCATGCACGAGAGGGCAATTGGTGGCAGCCGCTGCCCCCAGAGGCAAGACACTGGGAAGGCGGCCAAGCGTCCATACCTTTAAACTCCAAGCCCTTTACTAAACAATCAACGACTGGAGAGATAATGGGTGAGGCTGTCGATGCTGATGGCGTCGCTGGCCTATCCAAATATCACATAGAACATTTACGAAAGAAGAGTGGCGAATAACCAAGCCAGTTCAAATATAGAGTTAGACAACGAGCCTCCGTTAATTCTATAGAAAAATAGACAAGCATGTACATATCCCAGCTAGAAATGTAGTTCTTTACTCCTATAACGCCGTGCCATGTGTGAAACAAAACCCGCTCAGAGACTGGTGACACCCGGTGTCCAAGACTCTCCTATCCGTCTCATGTCCTCTGCAAATCTTTTGCTGGTGATTTTCTTCCCGCCACGGCCTCCTAGCGGACTATGCTCGTCAGGGTTGTAAAATGGGTTTTGCAGCAGCCTTACATATGCTGTCTGCATCGCTCGAAAGACAGGCTTGAGCTCCGAGTCCCTCAACCCAGCACCGAGACCGCCCGTTGTGCCACCGCCTCCTGTCGCGGCCGATGGACCCGATCGCAGCACCGTACCGTCAATTCGGCGGCCCCTCATATCTACTACGCAGACCATGCGCACGCCGGTGTTGGTTTCGAAGCCATAAGCGGCGAGACGATCGTCGACAGCGTGCAGCAGTCCAAAGTCGCCCGTGACGTTGATGCCTGTTGCAGCGGCGTGCTTGGCTCGGAGCTCGAAAACATCAACTGTGGAGGATAATAGAAGCGAGAATTCGAGGGGTGTACGGATCGGGGTAAAGCTATTCGTTGTTGTATCGTGAGAGGAGAAGATGGACATATGGAGCGGGTTGTTCTGAGCTTGGTCAGTTTGGTTTCGGGGCCAGTGGCCGCAGATTAGCAGCATGAGCTTGTACAAGCACAACTAACATTTCTCCCGATGACGCCTAAACAGGCTATTGAAGGTATCGCGGTGCTCATTGCGTATGTGGTTCGTCCGACGACGGTGTTGATGTAGGGAACAGGCTAGGTGGGGGAGCGGCCAGCTCGACAGTGAGGTGGAGGCTCCTGGGCTAGTGGGGATACAGCGGCGACACTCAGCTGAGGCTAAGCCAAGCAAGCACACATGTCACTTTTATCTACTGTTTTAGGAATGATGCATTTGTGAAGAGAATTCAAGTAGTTGAGTTTTATACTCAAAAAAAATAGACTGTTCAGTCTCATGGTACAAATTGTACCATGCTATCATATATACACGGCGTCCGTGTACGGGGAATAAATAATAAAAATCAAACGCTAAACTCCAGTCAAAAGAACCGTCCCTGGCTTTTGAGATGAACAAAATAAAACCGCCTGTGGTTATGCCTCCGTTAATGTGTCGCTATGGTGTTCCCAAAAATCAAATCAAACAAAAAAATCAAATCGCTTAGTTGTCGTACTCATCCTCGTCGAGGATGCCAGCCGTATCTTCGAGACCACGGAGAACCTCCTCAATCTCTGTAGGGTCGGTGATAGCCCAAACACCACCACCTTTAACGAGATCCTTGCCTCGCATGCCAACACCTTTGCCAACCAGGTTGCGGCCAACCTTTCCGGGGCCTATGCCAACCCATCGTCGAACTCGCTCTTCTTGGTCGAGGTACTTGATGCTGTCCCACCATCGAACGGTCTCGGCGGCGCTGCGGGACAGGAGGTCCTTGAGATCCTCCTTGTTGCGGAAAGGCTTGGCTGATACGTTGCTAATGACCGGGAATCGTCGGTTGAATGTGATGACGTCTTCCTGGGGTCGGCCCGGGGCGACGCTAGGCTCACTGAGGAGCTTCTTCATGGTACCTGTCGCGGGCGTCATGATAGGGCTGTGAAATGGGCTGTCGCTGTGCAAACGAACAGCGCGGGGGTCGTGGCCAAGAAATTGGCGCACGTGTGTTAGAAGGGTGTTGATTTTCTCAATGTTGCCGCTCAGCACAATTTGGTTTTCGCTGTTAATGTTGGCAATAGATACTTGGTCGATTGGAGGTACGCTTTGCTGGCTGTCAGATTTGCTGCCGTCGCTGGAGTGACCAACGAGGTCATGAACAGTCTTAACAAGGTCATCCATGTGGCCGGGTTCTTCTGTAATAATGGCAATCATTCCGTACTCGCCACCGTACTGCTTAACAGCAGCCTCGGTAGCGTCGGACATGGCCTCGGCACGCTTCATGACGAGGTTGAAGGAATCTTCGAATGTCATGTAGCCACCAGCCACCAGTGCTGCAAATTCTCCTAGCGAGTGGCCCAATGCAACGTCGAAGTGGTCCTGGACGCGGAAGCCGAATTCTTTTTCGAGGATACGGAGGATGAGGATCGAGGTGGCCATGATGGCGGGTTGGGCGACAGTAGTTTTTGTGAGGGTGCTGGAAGGTCCATTGGCAATGATGTCGGACATTTTGTAGCCGGCAATGTGATCCATCTCCTCTACGAGCTCCTTAGCGGTGCGTGGGAAATGTTCCAGCCATGGATCAAGCATGCCAACTTTTTGCACTCCTTGGCCTAGAGTGGGAAAGGCGAGTTAGCAGCAGAACGCGAATTTGCCGACAGGCCAGCAAAAAAAGAAGACAAGCAAAACATACCAGGAAAGAAGATTGCCGTCCTGGGACGTCCAGGTTTCGTCGATGTGAGTTTTCGGACCAGAGCAGAAATCTCTGGCGTGGGCGGCACCCATGATGGCGGGATTACTGGAAGGCCGCGGCGGCGAAAGGCCGGCGAGTGTCTTGTTAGTGTTGTAAGGCGCTTCATGATGTAAGACGGGCGGTGGTGAGTCGATGGAGGGCAGCCAGCATGCTTTCGCAGACGCAGTACAGACTGTGTGATGAGATGGGATTGTTGATGGAGAAGTAAAGTTGCGGCTCAGCTTGTGATTATTTCTTGAGTTTGATCCTCGTTTCCAAATGGTTGCGGAGGGGGTGTGGTGGCGCGGCTTATTTTCGTCAATGACTCCCCATGAAAATGCCAAAGCCGATGGAACGGAGTTTTGGTGGGGCTGCCGAGAACCTGGAGTGTCCCCATGACTTGGTGCTCATTTGCAGCACATTACAGCGGCGCAGCGGTCCCCTAGCACGCCTTGGCCAGCCCGTTAGTGGCCTGGGCTTTTGGCCTGCGGAACACCGAGCTTGTCAACCGGATTCTGGAACATGGGCTCGGACCAGCGGCTTTAGATGCGCCAGATGGCCCCCCTAACAGCCGCACACCAAACCCACCATACATTACTGTTAGTGACTTCCTTTTTGGGACGCCTTGGCAAGACCCATATCGTCGCTGCAGCGATCTCACATATTACGCATCGTGCCTAATACACTGGGTCCCTTATATCCTGCACGCTTACTTCTGTCGCACCAAACATAACCTTGTTTTTTAGACTCGTTGCATTCGCTCCCCTGATGTAGCCTGCTACGAGCTCCCATTGGCTCGCTTGGCCCTCTGACGCCAAGCTCACCCAGCTTCTGTAGTAATAGCCCCCATATTTGCCAAGCAACCACCATCAGCAACGAATCTCAACTCCCCCCTTGCTTACTGTAAGATACTTAACACCCTTGTAAGGTTTCACTCCTTCGCCAAGCCCTCGACTCTTACGCGTGTCCAATATGATACTCTCAACCTTGAGGCCACTAGCCAGCCATCCCCGGACGGAGAAGCTGACTGAAGCAGACGTAGGCATCAGTATTCGGTTTTGCGCTATCCTCTTGGTATCTTGATCGTCGCTCGGTGATCCTCCCGCTTTTGATAGTGGCGGCGCAGCTTCTCCAGCCTCGCCATTGGCGCCGTTCTTTGTCTTCTTCTTCTTTTTCTTCTTTTTGGGTTCCTCGGTCTCTACCGGTGCTGAGCTTTGGTAGTTGTCGGTATAGCTATAATCGTTACTGAAGTCAAAGTTGTTTGGCTCCATGTCATCGTCGTCGTCGTTCTGGGTGAATGGGCCAACCACTGTACATCTCAGGCCAAAGTACGACGTGGGCCCAGAGATCTCCTTGGCGGGAATGTGCCACTCCAACACCCTATCGCCTGGGTTGAAGCTGGCATCCCCTCTGCTCGGACGAATGTCGGATAAGTTCCGTACGTCTGCTGGCAGAGGAATAGTGACTACCAAGTCATCCAGCGCTGGTGCCTGTGGAGTACCCTGGGCGGGCTGTCCCAGCCGTCCAGGGCCAGCTCTGCCGAGTGGCCCAGATGAGAGGCTGTTTGGCGCACCCAGGATCTTAATGGCTTGAAGGCGCACCTCAAATTCTGCGCCTAGGCTACCTAGACCCGTTTTAACTTCAACACTGACAGGCAGCTGCAGATTGTTGGACGTTAAGCTGCCTGCCGTGCCGCTTGTAAATGGCAACAAGTCAACCTCGTAACCCGCAAGAATGCACCGCCCGTCTGGAGGGATAAAACTCAGCTCTCCTGGTCGTTCCTTCCATTTGTTTAAACGCACACAGGGGTGAAATACAGGTAGATCCATCACGCCAGCAATATTATGTCTGCCTGACGGGCTTGATAACGTTAACAGGATGTCAGGGACCCCTGATACCTTGCAGGTAAATGCAATGGTGCCGTTTGCAAACGCCGCTAGTGGTCTTCCAGAAGGAGCAAGTGTTACCGTTAGGGTTTCGACAAGGTCGGCATATAATTCGTTCGATGTGTGGCGCACGTTGGCCCGCCTCCAAGGTAGCGCTGTTATGTTTGGCTGGATTAAAGGTGGTGTACTGGAGCTTGCAAAGCTTTCCTTTAGCTGCCTGAATGATGGGTTTAGCAGATGTATAGCGCACCAAGCTCGTAGCTGGCTTACCCTGGTAAACTTATGCTTCCCAGAAGCTTGTTCATCCAACCTTCCACTTCGACAACTTCTCGAAGGGCGTTTGGTTCTGTAGTGCTTATTACGCCAGCATCGCACATTTCAGTGAGAAGCTGTGCAACCACATCATAATTGTTCTCAATCTTAACCGCTAGAAGCGGCGCACCGAGAAAATCTTCAAATGCATCGACTATTCGGTGGAGGAATTCGAGGACTAGGAGGGGCTCAATTTCGGAGGAGGATGTAGCGAGAAACAGGATGTTTGCGTGAGCAAGGCTGAATACTAGTGTAGGAGGGCTTGTATTCGGAAGATATATCAGGTTCGGTCGAGGTGCGCTATGCTCAAGATAGAGAGGGAGGATGTGGTTGGCGGAGAGTGGGCGGCCAGCGTATGTGTGCGATAGGATCAGGCTTCTGCTGACGGTTAGCATCGACATGCCGTACATATGTAGTGTATAATGAGACGCACCTATTATCATCAAAGATATAGACAGCCTCAATGACGCCGGTCATTTTGAATAGCTCTCACGTTCGTCAATGAAAGGCTACGGAGGGGAGCTTCGCCTTGGTCGTCCCCCGCACGCGACGCAATGACGAAACCTCAAAATTGCTGACTAACTTTTTTTGGCGGCTCAAGCTGGCGACAACCCTCCCGCGTCCCTCCATTCGCTCCTTTTGTTACTACAATGATTCTGCCAATCTACATCTTGGGCATTATATTCCATTTCTAACAACTCTACGACTTATTCGAGGAGTCGCACATCATGGCCGGCGATATCCCGACACTGCAATCCCTCGACCGACCTGAAAAGTTCCAGGACGTGCTGAGAAGGGACCGACAAGAGGATTGTCTTGGCTGCAAAGTTGTTGGTATGTTTGATTGTGGTCAATCTGATCTTTTTACTTTATTCTAATGATTTGTACAGGTAGCGGCTCTCTTCTAGGACTTGGCGCATATAGCTACTTCTCCGGCATGTCCCAGCTCGAAAAGCAACGACAGACGATCCTACAGAGTAAATCGATATTTGGCATGCGAAGTCGCAAATTTGGAATTGTTTCTATTTCTCTCGGATTAGCCTGGATGGGTATGTGGAGGGCATTCAACTAAAGGTAGCGGCCATCATTGGCGCTCGCCAGACTTTATAACCACGTCGTGCTCCGCGTGGCAACTGCGTCAGATCGTCTTCGACGTTAAAACTGTATTATACTCCCCTAATCTCGCTTGTATACTAGAAATTTATGATACCCACTCCTGCAAACCACTTGCAACGTGCGCGCCTCGGTGATTGTGATCTTCTGCTAGACGTCTGGGCAATAGAAACAGAATATGCACTTGAAGAGAGCATTGAAATGTCAATTTGCTATGGATATTCTCGAAACTGTTAAGCGTCACATTAATTTAAAATTCAATGATAGCTGCAATTAGCTGTCATCACTAGCTGCCGTGGTATCTGTAACTGAGCGTTGTCGGCATCGCACTATGAAAGAAGTGCCCCACCAAAAGGCTGTCATGCAAAACTTCAACTGCGGGAAGCCTCAGAATCTCGACATACTAAAACCATCCTCACCCTAAGACATCAACAACGACTCATAAATTCGACAAGTAATTATAGAGAGAAATTTTGGCGTCATAAACACATCCGAAAGTTATTGGACACCCCATAGGACCGACCAGGCCCACCTTGTTGGCGCTTCTCACCTCAACCTTATTCACCTTCTCTCACCATGCCTATCACAATTTTACAACCGCAGCCTGCAGCGCCGCAACAACCATCAGCGGCTTATGCTGGCTCGGATTCGGATTCTGACTTCGGCGGCGTCGATGTCCAGGGTGATGTTTCCATGAGCGACTCTAGACAACCAGCAATCGACTTGGAAGACGCCATGGATGAGATTCTCACTCCAGGTAGCATCATTACATCGAACCCGCAGTGGATGCGGTACGTCCCCTTCAGCAAGTACTCAATAAAGAAATCTTACTAACAGCAGCTAGTGGACACGGCACATATGTTCCTACAAGCACATCAGACATCACATCTTCGCTAGCTGGTACTCTCACCAAGACCAACAAGCTGCTCTCAGTTCGCCCTCTACGTGCGCGTTACACCCCCGAAATCGGTGATCTTGTTGTCGGTCGCATCGTCGAAGTGCAAGCTAAGCGATGGCGTGTCGATGTCGCAGCATCCCAGCTAGCTATTCTTGCCATCTCTGCCATCAACTTGCCTGGCGGTATCCTTCGCAAGCGCACAGAGACAGATGAGCTTCAAATCCGCAGTTTCTTTTCAGAAGGCGACCTTGTCGTTGCTGAAGTCCAACAATTGCATCAAGACGGTGCCGCCAGTCTGCATACTCGCAGCTTGAAATACGGAAAGCTTCGAAACGGCGTTTTTGTTAGTGTCAGTGGTACTGGTGGCGGCGCCGGCGTCGTACGCTCAAAAAGACAAGTTTGGACGCTTGATGGATCTAACGGCGCGGGCAAGATCGACCTGCTCCTCGGTGTAAATGGATACATTTGGATCAGCAAGCATTTCGAGAGCGAGGTCTCGGCAGAAGCTACAGGCATCAACCGCATGGAAGAAAACATCAGCAGCAAGGTTTACTCGAGTCAAAATGACCAAATCGATGTTCCTACGATGCGAGAGATTGCCCGGTTACGAAGCGTCATCCTCGCGCTTGTAGAACACGGATTGAAGGTAGACGAGGATACTGTCACGCGAGGTTACAGCGAAGCGGTAGAACTAGGCCGGGAATCTACTGACGATGATTTGTATCTTGGTGGAGAGAAGGGGCGTCGATTAGCAGATATCCTCACGGGGCGTTAAATAGTTCTACTAGCATCACAAGAACAGCTGGACGGGCTAATATCGTTCATTTATAACAGATTAATTGGTCATTCGTCCTGGGAATGTGCATAAACAATATCCACTAATACAAAAGAAACAGCAAGCAGGCAATTTCGGGAAATACTACAGATACTACCAACACGGTCCTACTGCAATTGTCTGCGCTTGATATACGCGGCAATGGCGCCAACCAGAACCCATCGCGCCAGCGAGCCAGTCACACTCTTACCTCCAAGAGCCAGCAAAAACTTAAGCCAATATCCGACACCCTTAATAACGTTGCCGTTACGGTCGAAATCGGGTTTGCCAAGGCTCAGCATCTGGAAGAAGGCAAGCTCTTTAGGCAAGTAGGGCATGTAACGAACGCGGAGGACCTTTTCTGTCCACTTGGGGACCCGTGCGATAGGGCGTTGGTGGCTAAAGGCCTTTAGGGAGTAGTAACCATGGTAGGAGCCTTGTCCGGAGGAACCAATGCCACCAAGCGGTGTTGCGTTGAACTGGGCGTGGAAGAAACCGTCATTGACAGTGGCGCCACCAGAAGTGACGTTAAGAAGAACTGTTAGCTGTAGTTAGCTGGGTGTACAGTCTAAAATATCACAGCTCAATAATATCTAACCTTTTTCGTTTTCGGCATCAGAGCCAAAAGTAAAGAGCGACAAAGGAGTAGGGTCAATCTTGTGTGCGATGCCAATGGCCTGGTCCAGAGAATCCACAGGGAAAATGGACCAAATGGGGCCAAAGCTCTCTTCCACCATCATGCTGTCATCAATATCATCGACCAAGACAACAGTCGGCTCGATGAATAAATCAGCCTCATCCATCTTGCCACCCATGACGATCTTGCCCTTGGAGTTGTCGAGCATAGCCTTGAGGCGATCAAAGTGGTGCTTATTGGGCAGGCGAGAGTAATCAGGGCTTGCCTTGGCACCCTTAGGCATCATGGTGCGGTATTGGTTGTTGAGCTCGCCGATGAAGGTAGACAAGACGCTACGCTCAATCATGACGTAGTTTTGCGATAGACAAACCTGGCCGGCATTCAACGACTTGTTCCATAGAAGACGGCGGGCCGCGAGCTTGACATCGGCATTCTTGGTGACAAAGGCAGGGTTTTGACCACCAAGCTCCAGCAAGCATGGTGTAAGGGTTTCGGCCGCCTTCTTGGCGATAATGGTGCCGGTTCGCTTGCCACCAGTGAAGACAATCTTGTCAAACTTGTGCTCCAAGATATGCTTAGTCTCGTCCACTTTACCATTGACGCAGATGTAGCTCTCAGGATCCAGAGATTCATCAAAGATCTTCTTGATAACCATAGCGGAAGCGGGGGAGAGCTCTGAGGGCTTCAGGATAACTGTGTTACCAGCGGCGATGGCGCCAATGAGAGGCGTAAGGTTGAGCTGGAACGGGAAGTTGTATGCGCCAATGATGAGGACCTTTCCAAGGGGCTCGTTGCGGATACGAGGCTTCATGGCCAAGTACTGCATGGGAACATTGACGATGCTCTCTTCCTCAAGCCACTTCTCCAGGTTCTTGGTGAAGTCGAGGCATTCCGCCTTGACCCATGCAATCTCAGTCAGGACAGCCTCGTGCTTGCACTTGCGCATATCCTTGCGCAGAGCAGCCTCGATGAGCTTTTCATTGTTCACGATGCCCCAGTAGAGCTTTCTGATCTGGCGCAAGCGGAACTGGACATCCTTGGTCCTGTTGGAGCGGAATGTCGTGTGGATAGTGTTGGCGGCGGTAGTGATGTCGTCGAGCGACGTTGTCGCGTACTCTGAGATAGTGGCCATGATGAATTTTGCGTATTTGCTGTCGCGAGATTTGATGAAAAATGGCGATAAGCTCTGGCGCGATGGGAGGAAGGGGGAAGCGAAGGGGGCGCGACACCTGGATGTGTTATAGGCGAGCTTGCTCTCGTGCCGAGGCTTTTGGGGAAATCGGACAGCCGCAGGTGCGGGGCGGCGCTATAACGACGGGCAGCTACAGGGGTGGTTGTTTGAGTTACAGTGGGTAGCGGCTTGCTTGTATTGGCCGCCACCTGCACAAGTGCGGCTACTTCAAACTGACAACGCATGTGAAGTGCGCCAACAGCGCCCCTTTGCTCAAACATGGGATGCAAAAACGGACGAGAAATATATGTGGTCAAGATGAGATTATAATCAAGTTATATTGGTTGTTTCTACATGGTACAATGCAATTGGGGGCACGCGACCCCCTGGATTTTTTTGAAGTAGAGAATCCGCGCAAGACTCCCTGGTATTATACACAGATTCTACATCCGAATCACGCTTGGCAAACAGATTCCCTTATCTTCTGGCTCGGGCAGCGGTCGCTGTTCGGCCACCACGGCCAGCGCTGATGGTGAGGGCCTCTGCCTCACGCTGCTTCTCCTGCTCCTCGGCTGCCTTGAGCATGAGATAGCTCTCAATCTTCTTGCCGCCGTCCATCAGCAGACCATCGTCGGCCTTCTTGACATCTTCAATGGCGATGCGCTGGCGAATGGCGTCAAGCTCAGCACGACGCTCCTCTGTCAATCTCCATTCCTTGGGGAACCTGGGCTTCGGCTTGGACTTGGTGTGGTGGCGCACGTCGAGGGGAATGTCTTCAAACGTATCCTTGGAATCCTTGGCCGCAGCGATGAGGTCGTCAATGAGCTTGAGCAAGTAGGACTGGTTCTGTGCCTGGTGTTCGTAGTTCTCGCAGCTCATCTTGACAATTTCCTTCTCAGGGTTGTAGCGAGGTCCAACCAGCTTCTTCAGCTTCTCTGTTTGCACCTTGGTCAATCCAAGGTCCTCAGGGCAGAACTCCACGACGACTTTGCTCTCTGCTGGGTGCGTTTCGCCCATATATGTCGTAAATCTCCATCGCAGGACTTGCTTCTCGGTCGGTGGCTCGAAGGGCTTGGCGAGTTCTGTAAAACACTTGGTTAGCTTGCGAAAGACGGCATTGTAGGTGGTCGCTACAGGGCGGAGTACGTACTGGCTAAGAGGGGCATCTCCCATACAGCGAGTCTGTTGAAGTGACGCTGCTCGCGCAGTTCATCAAGCTTGTTGTGCGCAAGAGATGTCATGTCATCCTCGTCGAAAGGATCCAGGTCTTCCTGAACCGAGTCAAAGTCCTCAGGATCATGCCACAAGTGACCTCGGCGCAAGGGCTTTCCAACATCAAATCTGGTAAGATCTTCATTGAATCCACGCATGCCGGACAGGGCCTTTGAACCTTCTGCAAATTGGCTGTTGGCCAGGTCGTCTATGTTGTTGAACCCATTGACCTTTGCCAATTCATCCAGTTGGCTCAAAACTTCTGGTGTCATCTTGTCGTTGTACATTTCGCGCAAAGATTTCAAATCAACTTCCGTCTGTTGCTCCGTTGCCGGCTCCTGCTTATCGTCTTCAGCCCATCGCGATGTCGTCGTGCTGATCGTTCGGTTTGTTTGAAAAGGCTTTGCAACCACCTGCAATCGTGGCAGCCTGGACAATTGAGGTGCTCTCCGGCAGGTCAGAGCGCACAACCTCGCTGCGCTGTGAGCTGAGGCCATCTTGCACGATATAAGCTGCAATTGATTGCTGTCGCGTGTGTAATGCGAAGAATCCTTAGTCGATTGTCCTTCAAAATTTCGGCCGCCCCCCTTGGTGGTACTGGGTCGGCAGAAATTCGGCTAACTCGCCAGCTACCCTGCTTTATAGCGTGGCAGGACAGTGAACGATGAACATCGGAATTGGCTAGGAAATAAATATATAATTAATTTGCATAGATGAAATAGTTTTGTTTTATTATTTTTGATCTTGCCACTATTTTGTTGACTTCTTTTGAAACAAAGGCGTCGTATTGTGGCATCGCTCATAATCGTATAGCGATCCTGCAAGTACAGCGTACTCAATGGCCTAGACAGGGACCACTCACCTCTCCGCTAACACCACCAATACATCAAACACCAACCATGGCACCATCACATAAATCACATGATAAATACTGTTTAATCACAGTAGGAGCAACTGTCGGTTTTCGAGAATTGACGGCCTCATCTCTCGATGCCCGCTTCTGGGAGGCTCTTGTCAAACATGGTTTCACTCACCTACGAGTGCAATGTGGTCCTGATATTGACTGGGCGTCATCGAGATTGGATTCGTTGCGATCCGAAATTCCGTCCAGCCTTTCTATTGAAGTATTTGAGATTCGAAAAAATCTATTAAAGGAGGAAATGATGCTATGCAAAGGCGATCCGGCAGAGAGAGAGCCAGGTCTAGTCATCTGCCACGCTGGTGAGTTGACCGACACTCCAGTTTCTCGATTAACATATTAACCTCTTTTCTTCCAGGAACTGGAACTATTCTCGATGGTTGGAGACTTGGAATCTCGCTCGTAGTAGTGCCAAACACGTCCCTACTAGATGATCATCAAACCGAAATGGCAGTGCATCTAGCTAAACAAGGTTACGCTACATCAAGCTCGAGCAAGTGAGTTGTCCTACATGGTTCTCAACCTGACTGAATCTTGACTAATCTCTCCTCGTCTAGATTAGAAGACTTGATAGAATCGCTATCAAAAGCAGAGCAGCTTATTGAGAAGAACAAGTCCCGCTGGCCGGCGCATGACGTCCCAGCACAAGAAGCTACACCAGCTCTGCGGTTATGGCAAATCTCGCCTGACGAGGTTCAACGCGAGCAGGACGAGCAAATGAATCACGATTAATGAATAATAATTGACCGGATATGTACATAATACGATATATTTGACGATTTTTACTGTATAATCTGTTTGCTTTTTCATACTGACGCAACCGTGCCTCTTTTCAACTAGTTTCACGTTTCAAGGTAGATCCTTAACATCCCATACCTTCACGGTGGCATCGGCTCCTGCACTAGCTAGTGTGGCTCCGTCAATCCATGAAATACCGTTAACACCATCCTTGTGAGCATTTGCAGCCTTGATACGCTTGCCTTGGTTCTTCTTCTCGAGGCACCAAACAAAGACGTTCGTGTCCAAGCTACCACTGGCAGCATATTGACCTTTGCTATCCCAAGAAATGCAAGTAACACGTGCAGTGTGAGCGGACCAGCGATCAGCTACTACCTCCCAGGAGCCAACCTTGTAGACATAAATCTTGCCAACGCTGTTACCGGCAGCCAAGTGATCTCCGTCATGGGAGAATGCGAGCGCAGAGATGGTGCCCGTGGAGTTCTTAAGCGACTGTACCTCTTCGAGCTCGCCTGTAGCACCAGTCTTGTAGATTTTAACAGAGTTTTGGTCGGCACCTACGGCAACAAAGCTTCCGGAAGCAGCAATAGCGCCAGGGGAGTACGAGACCAATGTTTCCTTGACCAATTTGCTGCCTGAGTAGGTGGCAACGCTGTTACCAGTAGCAACATATACACTGGTGCCAGTGGCAGCAACGCCCTTGGGTTGCGAAGAAAGCTGTGCTGATTCACCGAGGAACGTCTTTGCGGATTCGTCCACTGTTCTCAGCGTATCATCCCAGCCGACACTAACGACCTTGCCTGTCGATGTAGTGAGCTGTACGATTTGGTTTGTATGTCCCTGTCCATCTACACTTGAAGCAAGGCCGGTCTTGATATCCCAGTAGTATGACTTGCCATCAGAGCTGCCGGTCCAGACGCCAGCACCTTTGCCATCGGAAGTTCCAACCAGTGAAGAAATAGGGTTGCTATGACCTTGGACAAGACGAACTGGGTCAGATTTGCCCTCGTTGAGGTAGATTAGTTCACCATCAAGATTCAGGCTAATGATGAGGCCATCAGTTCGGCCATGGGGAATGACGACGCCAACTTGCTGCTGGCCGACGTCAACACCGTCTCCAAACTTCCATGACTGGATTAGCTTGCCTGAATCGGCATCCCAGAGCTTTACAGTCTGGTCAGCGCTGGCAGTTGCAAACTTCTTGCTGTCAGCAGCCCAAGATACCGAGAAGATGGAGCCTGTGTGCTCTCCCTCGCCAATTTGCTTCTGTGCTTCACCCGTCTTGCCATCATACAGCTGAATGCGCTTATCAGCACCAACCGTAACCAGAATTGCGCCGTCAGGTGAATAGGCAGCGCCCATGACGAAGCCCTTGTGTTCCGAGCTCTTGTCATTAAACTTGTAGGGGGCGCCGTGGTAGAAGACCATGTTGCCATCGTCGCCAACAGTGGCCGCTCTGAAAGGGCGCTGAGGCTTCATTGCCACTGCATTGACAGCCTTGGAGTGGCCAATAATTTCTCCTACAGAGTTTCCGCTGTCCGCTGTGATGCATCGACCGTACTGCTCACGGCCATCGCCAACGGCAATAACACGCTGGGACTCACCGTCCCATGCAATGTCATTGAGACGACCTGCGATAATCTTATATTCCTTGCCAGCATTTTCGATGTTTTCGGGTTCCCACACTCTCAGTGTTCCGGACGCATCACCACTGGCAATCTTGAAACCGCTGGGAGCGAACCTGGTAACCGTTGTCTGGGCGGTATGGCCAGTGTATTCCTTGCATTCGGTGGGGTTGTCGATGGATCGGACGAAAATGGATTTGCCAGCCTAGTAGTAGAACAAGTTAGCAAACATATGGGTTGTCACCACACCATTTCAAGCAGAGCTACATACCGCGTAAGCTATGCGCTGGCCCTTGCTGTCAGTAGAGAGCTGTGTTGGCTGTCCTCGGGTGGAAATAGGAGCAGCTGCAAAGAGCCGATTCAGGGTGACTGACGGAGTCGACATTTTTGATTAGAAATCTCAATTCGCAAGCGTCTGTTGTAGATGTGATTTTTGTATGAGCGAAAGCTGTGCCTTTGTTTTCTGGCGGGACGTCGTCACCGTTGGAGGGGCGGACGCAGAGCGGGGTATGACGTTGTTTCGGCGGCAACGGGTACCTGAAAGGAAAGCGGTCCACCAACTACAAGATTGATGGGCTGAGGGAGCAGAAACTGAGATGAAGAAGTTTGCTTTGACTTGTCAAAAGAAAACTTGAAAATTAATAATGGCATTGGAATCTGTTTCTTCTTCAGTGTTATTTTGCTGCCTAACCCGCCGACATCTCCTGATTCGCAGTCACCATGTCCTGTGCTATACGGCTGCCTAGCAAACGCTCTTACTACACAAGTTAGGTAGGTCTGCTCACTGTTTAATAAGTTATGCAAAGCCTTTTTTTCTTTTTCTACTCAAATTTATCACCGCTACATTTGCTTCTTTGATTCTACAAGACGTCATCCCCAGTCCCAGAGCCTTGGTCAAGGTTGCATCCTACCACTCATCGCACAAGAGCTCAGGGTTGCACCGTGTTCTAATTCTGTACTAACTGTTGCCTCGCCACCATAGATTTTGTTTCTATTTAAAGTTTATCAGCAGGCTCAAAGTGGCGGCATTATATCCTACCACGCAATCCTAGACACAACTGGCCACGATGCTGACCAGTAGAAAGCTGCGCTTGAGTGGGAGGAGGCGTGGGCAAGACTGTCTCCCCAAGATGTCTAAAATATGACGGCTGATTCTAGACAGAATCACATAATACCTTTGTTCCAAGTGCGGTTGTCGTTTTCTGACTGTCCATCTACTCTTTGACTACCATGACAGACTAGACATTTCGACAAGGTGCCCGTCATTTGGCTCAGTTGACTCCAGAACGGTGTTCAGTAGCAAGAATAGAAACCAAATTAACAGAGTTGTGGGCGTTGTGAACAAGTGTCTATATAACAAGTTAGCCCAAGCGTCAACATGGAGCTAAGCTACAACTATCATCCATCTATTTCTTTTCTGCTTTACGATATTTCATCAAAAATTTATTCAAGATGAAGGGCCAAATCGCTTTCGCTGCTCTCGCTGGTGTTGCCATTGCGGCTCCCTCGACTCCCAACGAAGCTCCCACAGCCCTGTCCGACAACTATGCCGTGAGAATGTACAGCAACGGCACCATGTCCTACGGCAACTACGAGGCTCGTAAGTCTAGCTTCTGATTATTATGATGATCCAATACGAGACGTCCTGTAAAGGTCGTAGAGGTGCAATAGATTGCTAACACGCCACAGCTCCCCAGTCTAACATCATTGCTGATGAAACTTGCAAGTACCTGAAGATGCCCGTCGGCGTTGCCTTCAACGACTGCCGTGAGTATGCTCTCAAGGCTGCGCACCAGGCCAACACCGCCGATGACAAGGTCCTGAACAAGTGGTTCGGCAAGTCTGATCCTACTTCACGCGCCAAGATTGCCGGTATCTACGGCGAGATTGCCAAGGAGTGTTCCACAAGCGACCGTGGTTACATGAAGATGTCGTGCGAATACATGAAGGAGTGCACTGAGAGCGGTCTGATCTTCATTGTCGTCAAGGGCGGTGGCAGCCTACACGCCAGCTACTGCCCTCTCTTCTTCTCGTACTGGGACATGAAGTCCAAGGGCGAGACCTGTGCTCGTCGCAACTGGCCCCAGCATGGCCCTGCTATTGTTGCGCACGCTGCAGCCGTGCCTCAGGTTGCCGATCTCGACTTTGGCAACGAGCAGGACTGGATGCGCAGCGGTGAACGCTTTGGAAAGTTTGCCTTTGATACCGTTGACACCTGCCAGAAGAACTCTGAACGTGTCTCTGAGAGCATCTAAGGCGGTTGCTTGCATGCCGCAAGGAGAGGAATCAGATTACATCTAGAAAACAAGTATATATTCAAATGGAATAGCGAGAAATGGACCAATCGAGTGGTTAACATACGTACTCGCAAAAACCCCGAAAAAAAAAAAGAAACAAGCTACGTAAGTATAGATATGGGTGTAAGCGAGAGCCAGATTTCGTGTAAGCGACGGCAAAGCTAGGAGCGAGGTACAGAGGACGCACCTCAACCATAGACAACAAAACAATATATCTCAAACTTAAATACAGAAGAAAAACGGTCGTTATCGATTCAGTGATCACTTGCCACTAGTATTGTATGTTTCTTAAAAAAGAAAGTTTGTAACTCAGTGTCTCGACAGGGCCACTTGACGGCTGGAGAGCTTGTGAGTCTCAACTGCACGTACTATGCAGTACTTACAGAGAGCCAGCCTGCCTCGGCACACCTGGCCCAAAGCAAACCGTGCTTGCGAGTGATCGGTCCAATCTTAGTGTTCTGTCAGGGGGACAGCTCACCCTGTAAAACGCAAGGCTAAGCATTTCCACGCGGGCGCTAAAAGCGTTAGCCCGCCACGCAGGGGGAGATGGTGCCCAGATCGAAGGGTGCAGCAGTGGCGCACAGGCCTCCACCAGCTCATTTCGTTTTTTGGGCTACCGGACGGACAGTGGCCGGTGGTCCGCTGTACAGTAAGTTGCTGTACGACTACTAACTAATCCGTTATGTCTTTCTGTCCGTCTTCCATGTGTTTTGTGTTTTCCTGATTCATGGCAAAATAAAAATAAATAAAACCAGTTAATTATGCTTTTAATACAACTCGCGCGCTTCATTTTATTCCCCCAATTACACTGCATGCCTTACCAATTCCACGCAACAACACTACTTACCGTTACACATACAACACGATCCAGCGCCAGAGTCGCGTCTCAACCACACCCACACCACCCCGGTCCCAAATATGCATCACGGTAATTTCCCCGTACACTCTCACCACCGGCGCGCAACAGGTAGAAAGAAGCAAAGACAGGGAGACTTTGGTCCGCAAATCATCGCTGCCCGCTCTGTCTCATCGAAATGCAGCATTCTGCCCGTATTGGCCAGCCAAGTAGACTGTTTTGACGCTGTGTGTCCCATCGTCCCAACCCCTGATGGCATGCAACGCAGCCGTTTGCCCTGCGAGTCACTTTTAATTAAAAAAGAAAAGAAAAGCAAGACGCTATTCCCCAGAGAGTCCGCTCCCGCTCCCCAATTGCCCACCCAATTCGGCCGTGTCTCTCGTAGCGCTTTTCCTTTTCCCGTGTGCTCTCCCCCGTCCACTTACATCTCAGCTTCCGCCTCTTCTTTCAATCTTCACCTTTTTCTTCTTCCTTTATTCTACTTCGTAGTCGTTCTTTCGCCTCTACCTTCATCCACTCTTTCAACCTGTTTTCTTTTTCTTATCTTCTAATTCTTCACAAACTACCATTCAAAATGAAGTTCTTCGTTGCTCTTGCTGCCGTCGCCGCTGGCGTTTCTGCTGCTTCTACCGCCGCCGCCGACTCTACCTCCGGCTCTGACTGCGCTGCCGACTACATCGTCACCACCTGCCTCGGTACCGAGAACGCCAAGGTTAGTTATCCATTCTGATGCTATTTGTATTCTGCTGCCTGCAAAAGAGATACGGATCGCATCACATTGAATCTCCCGCCGTGTCGTCGCTAACCTGCTCTCGACCTAGGTCAACGCTTGCGCCCCTTCTGACTGGGACTGCCTCTGTGCCGCTTACCAGGCCGTTGCTACGTAAGTCGCCTACCGATGCCGTGAATATGAAGCCATTATCCTAATATCCCATATCAAATAGCTGCTACAACAACTGCCCCAACGATGCCCGCGCCGCTCCCGCTCAGCAGCAGGTCGGTGTTTTCTGCCAGAACGCTTCCCTCTACGGCACCAAGGCCCAGGCTTCCAAGACCGCCGCCGCCGGTCAGACCGCTGCTACCACTCCTGCCTCCAACAACGCTGCCTCTACTGGTGCCACCAAGCCCGAGGGTAGCGCTACCGAATCTTCTGCTGCTGTCAAGCCCACTGGTAGCAGCGCTGCCGCCGCTGTTAACGCCAACGGTGCCGTTATTGCCGGTATTGCTGGTCTCGTTGCTGCCATGCTCTAAGCTGCCTCTTGTTTGATTCGCCCCAGAGACTGGTTATCGGAACCACATTTTGTTGACGCTTAAGTTTGGAAATGATGATATCGCGAGCTCGGCGTTGGTCAATAGTCTATGGCCCTGCCCTGCATGTATTCATCGGGGAGCTTGCTTGGACGCAATTCAGTATATAATTGTTAGTGTAACAGAATACAAATGCACTACATGACAATACCCATACCATTACTGCGTTCTTGATGGAAAACGGATGAGACGTGGCCACAATGTTATACAACTAGTCGGCTTAAGAGCTTAATGAAACGAGACAGTAAGATTCACACGTGCGCAAGCTGCAAGATTGTTTTTAAACCCGCGGCACAAGGCCGACACGTTATACATTGCTTTTCTATCTGTCTGGCCCTTGCTCATGAGTAGAGCTACGGCTTCACCTCTTCAGGTAGCAGGCTAAGAATGGTACACCAGACCAACTCAGCTCGCCCGCGTCGCAAAAACCAAAAGCTTCTAATATGAACACAAGCAAAAAAAAGAAGAAAACAGGCCTCCAATGTGTAAATGTTCCAGAGGTACGCCGATAAACGCCAATCAATCCGCGCTCCAAGATATGAATCAAAGCCAAGGTATCCCAACCAATATTTTGTCACCCGAGCACGTCTCACGACGCTCGGCTTTAATCAAAGTAATAATAATGTGTAATAAAATCAAGTATGGTGTTAAAACAGTGAGGTGTGTTGAATGTAGTTGAATGTTGCTTGCGCAGCAAAACTGCGGCTTAAGATGGTACAGGCCGAGTCGTGAAGAGCAGGCGGTGACTAGGCCTTGCGAGGCCGTCCTCTCCGCGTGTTCATCTTGACCGGGCTGATAAAGGTGACCTGCTTGCTGTTTTCCTTCTGAATACGTACGGGTCCACCACCAGAACCGCGACGCAGTGAACGGGCCTCGTTCTCTTCATCCAGAGTGATTTCAGCAACATCAGAAACGGATTCACCGTCGAGGCTTTCACTCCCCTCGGACATTGATGATCCGTCATCAGAGTCGTCATACTCTCCGTCGTCGCTAACCAGAGATGGTGCGTTGTTGCTGGTAAGAGCAGTTGGGCTCAAGCCCATGTCTTCGTCGGAAAGTGGTGAGCTGGATGCCTGTGTAGGTTGAGTTGCAACGGACGGCGTAGACATGACAGAGCGTCCCTTGGCACTCATTGGACGAGGTGTGATGGATGATTTTCCGGGCGTGCGAGTGACGTTAGGTGTTGATGGTTGAGGAGTAATAGTATCGTCTCCCTCATCGGAATATTCGTCCAAAGCAATGTCGTCAATTGAAATTTGCTTCTTTGCATCGGTCACAATATCGTCCAGCTTGCCATCAAGCTTACGGCCTTGCATAAATCGGTCGAGGTAAGGCGTCTCGGAAGACTTGGAAGTGGCAGAGCTCTTCTTTATCTTTGATTTATACGAAGGAATGGCAGATACACCAGTAAGCTTGCCCTGATAGTACATGTTGAGCGAGTCGGAAATGCGGGAACGCAACGCCGCGTATGCTTGGAGTTCGGTCATATCGCTGCGGGCAAAGGGATGCACAGCCGTGGATGTCGGAGTAGAAGATACAGAGGTTCTCTCCTCGCCGGCAATGGCAGTAGCTGTAGTAGAAGCAGCGGCAGCGGCGGCGGCGGCGGCGGCAGCTGTGGCAGAAGGGGGGGCGTCAGGAGCGTCGATAGGCTGGCCGCTGTGGACGGCAGCTTCCTCGTGGCTCTTGAAGTCACGCTTGTGTGCAATACGACAATGGTTGATGAAGCCTTGCGTGCTGGAGAAGTTCTCACGGTGGCAGTCCAAGCAGACGAGCTTTACTGTCTGTCCATCAGCGCGCTTAAGAACACAAGGGCCGGCCTTGTCCTTGGGCTGTGGATAGCCTGCGGTGAGTGCAGCAAGCTTTGCACCAGCGTTGCCACGAACTGGGCGCCCATTGCGGCTCACGGCGACGGGTTCACCGAAACTATTGCGAGTCGAGCGACCATCAGCGAAGGAGTGTCGAGCTCGAGTTGCCTCTGCAGTAAACTGCCATTCGGGTTGAATGCCATCAAAAGATGGATCAGGAATGAGCCACTTGGCGTAGTGGCGAGCGTAGGGACCATCAGTGACGCCAAAAGGAGCTGCCCACTGAGGAACCTTCTCACCAGGATACGAGGCAAGCGCTGGGCCGGTGCCACTGCTAATATTGAGCATCTGTTCCGGAGTGGGACAGGCAGTTGGATACGGGATCAAGTGGCAGCGTCGCAGCTGTTCGAGAGCTATTTGGCATTTGGCAAGTTCCTGGTTGATCAGGCGTAGCTCATCATGCTTGAGCAGGATTTCTACGCCAAACTGATGGTGGATTTCGTCTCTAGCACGATCAAGAGGGTCCTGGTGCTTCAACAGTGGTAAGTCATCTTCGAAAGTGACCCTGCCGGTAGACTTGCGACGCTTCACCGAGTGGTGGTCATTTAAATCGTCGACATCGTCCAGGCCTTGAAGCTTCCGCTTCGACGGATGCAGGCCGGGCGATGCCGGCCCGAGCGAGGCAGTCGGCGACGGCGTGGGATTCTGTTGCAAATAGGCTTGATGTTTTAAATCTTCAGGTTTCTCGTCTGCACGTGAACCTGATGCCCAAAAGTTAAACATGAGGACGCTGTGAGGATTGCGACAAAGGACTATGTCGCAACCAGTGTTATCAGATCCAAGACTCAAACGAAATGATGAGTCAGGATCGTGAAAGAGAGAAAAGTGGGTCTGACGTGCGAACTGCTGACGTAACCCAGATGGAGGGTGGCCAAAAAGAGCTTAGGCAGCAGCTGAAGGGTGATGTGTCCAGGCCCCTCTCGGAAGAAACGAGAGCGTCGTGTCGAAACCGGGGGATGCGTTGGGTCGCCTCGCCTCGGAAAATGCAGCGACAAGGGGTGCGCAAACAGCCAAAGGCGCGCGCGCAAATGGATTTTTGGGAGGAAAGAGGGAAAATGAGAGCCTGAAAGAGTGATGATGAGAAAATCGAGTACTAGCGAAAGCCTCGAATCACCAACAAAAAGAAATCGGGCGTCTCTGGTGAGGGAAATAATTAAGAGAGGGGAAAAATAGGAGGGAAAGGGCGAGGTTTGGGAGGGAAAGTCAGAGCAACAGGAGAGTGAAAGGGGGAGGAAGAGGTGACTGAGGTGGAAAGAGGAGGAAGGAGCGAGAGGGAAAGTGTTGGAATCATCGGAGGGGGCGAAAACGGGCTCTTGGCTGGGGCCTTGTTCTGCTTCGTTCAGCGCTGGGCGCAGCCAGCAGAAGAGTGGGTTAGTGGAGGGCAAGGGCGGCATACGCCTGTTGGTAGGTGCTACGGGCTGGCGTTGCGACGCACACTAAGGCAACTTGGCTGGGTGGGCAAAGGGGGGGAGGGGGACGAGAACCACTAATTTTGCCTTGTGTATACAGGGCCCCAAGACCAGCTTACAGGCGGGGAGGTATGCGCTGCAGGCCGCCCGTGCCCTGCCGCGGTTTGTTTTGGGCGCTGGGCGGGTGGGCCATTCCAGAATTGCGAATGACAACGGGGCTTGCTAGCGGCCATTCACGGCAAGGGCTCGCTGTAACTGCGCCTGGCACCCGCTAAAAAGCACCAAAAGCAAAGTTGGGTAGATATGCGCAGCTAGCGCCAACTTGATGTGCGCCGCACTGCGACACGCAGCGCCAGGATTGGCCGGCGCCCACGACGGTGGCACTTTGGTCGCAGCTGCTACCCTGGCACAGAGACGGGCCTGGAGCTTTTTTTCTTTTGCGCCTTCGTTGCCACCTAACATTGGTGTGACAGGAGGAGGAGTGGTTCTTTTCTGCCTCGCGTCCACTCCATCGTCTGTCGCTGGCATGGCCACTGGTGTCGACTGACAGCACTCGCGCCGTATATATGCGCATACACAACTCAACACGCTGTACAAACAAGTGCATTCTGGGACAGGGGACCAACCAAAACAGAGCTGTTGCTTGTCTTGTCTCGGATCAGGAGCGGGCTTTGGGCTGTCAACAACAGTCTCTTTCCCCCAAGCCAGCGTCGTTGCCTCCCTCCTTTACAGTGTAGGTTCGCCTGCTCCCGCTGAGGCTTCCGGGAAACGCGCTAGGAATGCGGAGCTGCGATCAAACCAAACCACCTAGGGGATCGCTGGACCCACAGGCCCAATCGCACTAGCAGCTTTTTCAGGTGGGCGCCCCTATCGACGACGAACGCGAACAGATACGTGAATGCGCGAGTGAATTAGAGTTCGCACAAAATTGCATTCGTGCTGGCCATGATAATAATATTTAATAACACAAACAATTTCGTCAAATATTCACGGAACATGTCCGTAGCCAGTAAAAAGAATGAATCCGCAAATACACAACATGATGCCCCCAGTCACCAAACCTGGAACAACAGGGAGCTGTGGGGTTAAGTCAATGCAACAGCCTGCGGACCAACCAAATGGACGTCATGTACTGTAGGAGGTGTAACCAGCTTTGCCCTAGGAGACAACAAGACGTGCCGGCACATAGAAAACTGCCCTACAGCTGCCGGGAAGTATCTGGTCCAAGTCTCTCATTCTTCTAAAGTCGGTGACTTGTTCGCCTTAGAGTAGCAGTGCATGTCACTACATCTCAGGCCACTTCAACAATCAGCGCGCCAGGCGAGCGCAAGCCTCTTTCTGACAGGGCGCCACTTTTCTCTCGGCGAGCAACCGATAATGCCAGTGGCAGAACCTGTTTGCTGGTACAGTACTCCAAATATCCCTGCGTCATACATGCTCAGGCAAAGCTGTATAAACCTCACAAAATCAATACGATCCCGTTTCTCGGTATAATTGACTTTATGGTGATTCATTCTGAAATACAGATGGTGGGGTTTTATTTTGCAGAGTAAATACCTCCCGATAAGTATAGAAATCGGTAACGGCTCTGTGTGCACGCAACCGCCTCCAGTATTTGCAACATATATTTCTTTATCTATGTCACATCTGAACCCTTCCAAGGCGATAAAGACGAAGCAAGACTACCATAATAATTTACTTGAAGGACCAAAATATTTCCAAACAAATAAATACCTGTATTTATGGCACTGTAACCACCTACAAAACTATCCGTGATACATCCGATATCGCTACCCTACACACAGACCCACTTTTAAACAGCAACAGCCAGTCAGCTCTTACAGCGGCGAAATCCTGCACCAGATAACTTCAGCTCTGCATGATTAGCCGACTAACACGCCCATCCAAAATATGTTCATTGCTTGATTGCAACTGAAACTTGTGATACGTTATATCTCGATTGAAATTTGCGCACGCATTGATATATAAGAGATATGGAACCTTCACTTCTTCAAGATCACACGGATGCTGTTGATGAGCTTAGCCCAAAATATGACCTCAGTACTCTCTCAGTCATATCATCAACGTCGATACAAAAGCGTGTCACATCATCTATATCACATTTAAAATCGCCAAGTCCGGATGGCAAACCACGCATGGTCCTCATATATGCACGGACGGCAGAAGTTGGTAAGCTCATCACAATTGTTGAGCAGATCAAACGGCTGCTATCAGCAGACGGAGACCACTGGTACCAATACAACCAGCTATTCGACTCTAAAGGGGAAGAAACGAAGAAGAAACAAAAAGAAATTATAGAAAAAACGGTCATACAACAAGATGAAAAAGATGAAGACGACTCAGATGACGACTTTGAAGTAATGCAGAACCGATTCACCAATGCAATTATACCACCACCAACGGAACGCTCAATCAAGTCATTGAGAGTATTTGTTTCTACCTTGGCGATCCCGGAGCTCAAGGGAAAGGAAAACGTTACATTTCAGGGGAGCCAAGGCAGTCAGGGCAGCCAGGGCAGCCAGGGAGCATAGGCCCTCAGCACATGTACATATACCGTAATGAATTTTGCCGAATGAAAGTTTACAAAGCATGCTATTGTATATATATGTCTTTTAGCTACCTATACACCAATTCAAATATCGAAACAAATTACCCGAATCAAACAACGCCATAGTGTGAGTTAAATACGCTTGTCGCCCTTCGCTGCCGCCCAGGTCGTTTTGTGTCAACCGTGGCGGATCAAGCGCTTCGTGAATCATTACACGACGGCAAGATAAAACAAGCCCCCAACGCCCAGGGTCTTTACACCGTAAATCATGGGTTTACTGGGGAGTGTTCTTCTTGGACTGGTCCATAATGCGGAGGACAAAGTTGACAATGACGGCCAAGAGGAGGATAATGGCGAGGATCGTGGGGCCGAATCGGTCGTCAAAGCCGGCCTGGCCACGCATACGAATAGACTTCGCACGCCAGTGGTAGGTGACAAGAGCGTAGATCATGGTGAGCATGGCGACGCCGGTGAATAAGAAGGCAGAGATGAAGGCGACACGGTCACCAAAGTTGAGCATGCCAATGGCAAGGGCGCCAATGACGACGGTGAAATTGAGCCATGACAAGAAGGTACGCTCGTTGGCGAAGAAGACCTTGGGTTCGACACGGGTGGGCAGGGCGATGCGCTTGCCTGTATCAAGAGATGGTTAGCCTCAACGAAGTGCCTTTGCCATTGAGCACGCATAGCCGCTCGAGACGACAGGAAACATACCGGGAGCGGTCTGGAGCAAGGGTTGGGAAGACATGATGAGTGATCGGAGCTAATGAATAGGTTGTTGATAGAAATTGCTAAATTCGCTGGGGTCGCTCGCAGTGTCGTTGTTTGCTGTTGGAGAAGAGGGCGAGGCGTGGTGAGGCTGGAAAAAAAAACAATGTCACGGGGACGGACAGGAATTTGGCGCAGTAGTATTGGGTTTCGAGGGTATAGTAGCACCGGTAAGTTTGCCCGCCGTCAGGTAAATACGGAACAATTGAGGAGAGAAAGGATGAGAGTTTTGTTGGATTTAATCTACGAATGCAGAAAAGGGAAAAAATATCGCTTTGAAGAAGCCCGCCCGCCTTGAACGCTTGCAGAACCCAGCCAGCCACATCCATCCAACAGTGGGGTCACAGCTGCACGTTTTGGGAGAGCTCTTGACGCACGTGGGTGATCTGGTTGGCTATGGGTCACGTGTTTCCTATGTGCCCCGCGGCCGTCCAGGAACAAGGCTGGCTGGACCTTGCAGCACTCAGCGAAACAGCTAGGTGACTATTACAGAAGGGTCTGGGTGGTGCGCGTCATTGTTCGCAGACTAACGTGTGTTACTAGAATATCGGCTTGGTGTGGCCGATTAGCGAGGCTCTGCACTCTGAGACAACCGTTAAACAGGATACATAAGATCATGAAATTTATCTGTATGGGCACTTTTGAGAAACTTCGATGATCCGAGCAACGCTTAATCTCTTATTCGTTGACTCTCTAGTCAAACACACCACAGTATAGAGAGATGTTGCATCCCAACTTCTTCAAAGTCATGATCAGGCAAGCAAGCCAGCAATGACAGTCTATCACATTAATGAAGAGCAATACTTTTGACTGGCTATACCATACCCGATGATTGTAGGCTTGTATCTCGATTTACACCTATTATTGAGACCATACCCGAAAGTGTCACGTGCAAGCGCCCCTCGTTCGAGTTTCAGCACCTATCAACCAGCAAAGCCCACTATACGGTGCGTCGTTGACAGCGGCTCTGCAACCACTTGCGCGTCGCGTTTTTTTCTTTAAAATATTTATAAATTTCTAACCGTGTCACCTTGAAAGGGCTTAATAATGCAATTTGCGCGTCAGTAGCATATATTTAAGACCAGTGGGTGCTTATCGCTGCTACAGAACACCCTTATCTGTACAACGCTACCAACCGATTCTCACCGCACCCGCATTGTTTACTTGTCCACCTCCCCTCTTCCAAACGACAACGACAATCTACAACCACCAACATGTCTACTCCTGTATGTGATTTGCGCCGTTATTTAATTGACCTCTGCGTACGAGGCTAACATGAATCTACAGCCCGTACCATTCAACCGATTGAAGCAGATCGCCACCGACGTGCGTCCCCCGATAGCGGCCCGCGCGACACTGGCCAACGCTCCTCGAACTCTCTAGCTAACTTCTGATGGGATAATAGGTGTGCGATAGTGCCATCGGAAATGCAGAATTCTATGACCATGCCAAGACAGAACAATGGAACTCAACAATTATTGTGAGCGCCTCGATCGTCGCCCACCCACCCGCAGCACTTGCTAACAAGTAACTACTACAGAGCTCCATGCTCAAGGCTGTGATCTCCGAGTCAACCCCCCAAGGCTCATCGACGCCTGCTTTCAAGTACGCCTGCAACAGCACCATTGTTCAACATCTCGTTCCCACATCATCCCTCAACAAGGCTCGCGCCGGAGCCGACGCCAAGGAGGAGAAGCCGCACATCACGACAAGTTCCGAAGCGACCGCTACAGACGGAAAGCCCCATGTTGGCCGACGTGGAATGCACAGCGCTACTGGCGCGTACTGGGACGAGAAAAAAGACGGCATGTGGACATTCAAGTACGATGGCGGCGAGGGCAAGGGCATGGACGTTGTTATCATGCTAATCTGGGTGGCCGTTTAAGCTTGTCTAAATTTGATGGTATTTAAATTGTATTGATTGAGATTACACGTGTTGAGCTGTCGCTGGTATAATCGGCTGAGCTTGCGTTTTATATATTTGACGGGTTTGCATGAAACGGCCACCGCTGGTGTGGCCACTGGTCATATATGTTTATTTTGTGTCTACAGAAATCGAAACTTTTATGCCAGCTGGCAAGTGTCAAATGCCTATCAAACATTGAGAGCAACATGTAGTCGAGTTTCTAGCAAACATGTAGAAATTCGTGCCAATTGGCCGCTACCGGCGAGTCTTTACTGTTTACATTGCTAGCTACTTGGGCTTTCCGTTTTACAAATCTTCTCTCATGATTCATTGGGGTACATATCTGTCTGTGGGTTTCTCTGATTTGAACGAGGCCTGAAATGGGTGAGTATAGCCTCCCTTAGGATTTTATAGCCGGCGATGGAAGTTAAGATTCATGTGTTTTGTTCTTCGATTTGTAGCATTCGCTAGGAGAGCATCGGCAGTTGAATTAAGTCTTTAGATAAATATTGTATTAATTATATTGTGTAGTATAACTATTGTATTATAGTATTGAAAAGTCAGACAATTCGTGCAAATGAAATAGCGGCTGCTTGTAACATGCTACGGTGCTCTGCAAGGAATTAACGTTTGCGCCTAAGCAGACCCGGTTTAGCGCCCACGCCAGCGCCGATCGCCCCAGACCCAACTCTCCGAGCGTCGGTCAAGGGTTTTTTCGCCACCGTAAATCCACTGCACTTCGGGCGCAAGAGCGCTGGAATTAAAACTTGGCACGAGACCACAGACGTCACTCACCTCGCACCGTCATCGCCGGCTCCGGTCTTCTTCCTTCATCACAACACCATCTATTTCTATGAAAGGAGCTGTGAAGAACACAGCCCTACCTTTCGAGAACTGTTAATATCGCATCTAATGTGGTCGCTATTGAGGAGCATTACTTAATGTTCGTTCATCTGCGCATCACCGAATCTTGACCAACCCCGCCCGTGTCACTGTATCAATCACCAGCCAGCGTATTGAACAGTACGCTTGCTACGGAATCAAATTCAATACCCTTAAGAATTCTGATCATGGTCCAAGTGCTGACCAATCGCTCTGCCACCATCTATTGCGCTGGTGCGGACGAATCGCGTGACCGCCAGGCAAAGCAGGCGCCAGACGAGCACACACAACGCATCAAGGAACTGATGCTGAAGCAGAGTGGTCGACGCCCTCCGCGGCGAGGATGGTCCCTAACGGACCAGCAAACGGCGCCCAGTTTTGTTACCGATGAAGACATCCAGACAGCGTCTGGTCCGGTCCATCTTCAACACTCCATTCCAGAAAACGGTGTTCTTGCGCCGCCGTCATCGTCGTCCACCACAACCCAGGCTCAGCCATCGATACCAGACCGCACAGCGACACTGCCCCTCCGTCCCCCGAAGCCGCCTCCTCGCAGGTCGCAGTCTGTAACAGACAAGGAGCCCGAATGCAGCCCGAACCAGCCCCGACCATCGACACGCATCAGTATTGTCGATCTGCCCCCAGAGTTGCACTATGCTATCCTTGACTTTTTAGACCCTATCGATGCTGTCTGCCTCGCCCTAACTAGCCCAAAGATTTACGACGTCAATCGCCGCAAGAATCCCAAGGTCCCTTTGAGTAGCCGCTACTCAGGGCCGAACAATCTGGAATGGGCCTGGAGAGGAGGTCAGCACGTTACTAGCAAGCAGCCCGCAGCAGAGGGCCATCGAATCCGCGTCAACGGCCAAGTGTACTGTCGTAAATGCGGTGTTGATCGATGCGAACTTCACCGTCATCTGAAAAGTTGGATGGGTGACGGCTACGAATATTGCGAGATCAAGGAGCGATATGGCAAACCAGCTGCTAGCGACGCAAAGCCGTATTGCTATATGGCCTCTCCCAAGGACCGTCACCGCTGCGGAAGACATTCGGGCAAAAAGGTTGTACCATCGACAACGGCCTTAGTTTGATATACCCACTGCGAACCGAACGCGCACCTTCTCGGTTAATACTGTTCGAAATCATTTAAAGTCCGATTTTTGGAGCAGAGTAATGGCGCATATGACTGTTTAATTTATGATGACCACGACTCGAATACTTCAGGATCTTGGCGAAATTTACTGGCGTTAGCATATACCTAATGATTGGAACTGCATATTATTCTTTACCTTGTAATCTTCAGATACAGATTATGTAACAATGACTTTATACTCTTCATGTTGTCAGTCCTTTATGTGATTGCGTCTGAGGTTGGATAGCTTACGTCTAGACTCAACCCATTGGGAGGATCCTCATACATATATATGCCTATGGACTTTCTCGACTTGCATTAGCGCGATAGTTTATTGGCATTATAGGGCTTTGTCGTAACTTACCAAGGTATTAAGTGCAATAAGATCCCATGTGTTCGGCCCGGCTGATTTTCGCGATCTGCGACCCAAGCATCCGCTGTGCCCCGAACACAAACTTCTATACATCACGGCAGTGGAAGCTGGGTAGCAGGAAAAGAGTATGCTGTGTTCAATTCAATATGCGCCAATGAAATGCTAATATGCTATAAAACCCGAAATCAAAACGCCGTCGCTAATGTGAATAATTCCAAATGCTTTTCGCCGTGTACTCAATGCAGGTAGTATGTGCGAACCTCATGTGTCTCAGTATGTGCTGATCAATCCTCGCTATCCTCGTCGAGGCCCATCTTCTTGCAATGTCTTCCAACACACTCTCCTTTCATCCATGCAGGGCCATCGGCGCACTGCCCCTTCACCTGGATCCAATCTTGGATCCCTCCCTTGTTCCATCCACTCTGCCACTGGCGACCATCTTCGGCTCGATCAGGTAGACCAAGCCGAATGGACTGTCCCAGACAGCACTCTCCTTGGCGGTACTTCCATTGGAAGCAGAGATTTTCTTCAGGTGAGAGACGTTCCAGCTTGCTGCGATATGCAGTTCGCAGATACTCGGCTTCCTCCAAGGCGCTCATACCAAGTACGGATCTATCGCCGGTATGCACCCCGTATGCCATACAAGCCAATGCACACGCGTCGGCAGATTCATGAGCTGTTCTTTCAAACGAACTCTCACGATCATCATCAAAGCCGCTTGTTGGTGCATGGAAACACGTTCCTTCGGATAAATTATCCCAGTTTTGTTTTCTGTGAGCGATGTGAGGCTCAACAAAGGCTTCATATATGTCTTTGAAGAGCACAGGCCCATCGTTCCGTCTTGACATTTCGTATTGCCAGATCGAATTCACTTCCTCTGAATTGACGTGATGCATTGTCAGGACAGGCTGGCACCAATGGCGGTGAACAAATGCCATGGTGTTTGGTTTGTCGCCGTTGAACATGGGCCAATAGTTGCGAAGCGTTACGCCGAGTGCATCGAGAACCTTACCGACGAGAATATCGCCACAGCATATGTTCTCAATATCATCGTCAAAGACACTTCCCAGGTCGCTATCAGCCTCAACAGCCCTCTTGAGCAGCTCTCCAGAAATGAGATAGCCCGTACCGCCATGGGCAAATCGAAAGTCGCCGTACATCGCCACGTTTCCGGCATAGAGCTGGCCGTCTTGGGGCGCTCTGTCATGGATCCATTTGACGATATTCGACCAAACAATGTAAGTATCTGCCTCAGCAAAGAGGTACCACTTTTGGTTTGGCCGCATTTCCCAGGCTCGAACTAGCATATGCAAGAACTTGTACTTGTCCAGATCCCAAGCACCTTTCATGCCTTGGGTACAGTCGCTTTGTGATACTGGACAGTCTTGCTGTACCCGATATAAGGAAAAAGCTTGGTGCGTTGCTTTGACCGTATCATTAACACGAGATAATACGTCATATGCATGGTATTGTCCAATTTGTTGATCCTGCCATGGTTAGCATTGTGACAGCCATGGCGAGCAAGATGGTCTTACCAAGTCAGAAAATAATAAGAAGTCCGGTAGGCATTGCATTCCGGTTAATAATTGTGTTGGCATCTTTTGATAAGCTTCCGTTGCTCCTGTCTTCATCACTAGCATGATTCCGTCTGTATTTGGAAAGCTGTGACAGGGATCTGAAGTATCGAGCTGTTGTTGATGAACAACTTCTTGTGTTGGGGTATCTTGGTTTATTGTCTCGATATTTTGTATTTGTGAAGACTGCAAGTATTTTGAAACCGATCCGAATGTATAATTTGTCGACTCTGCTTTGCGGAGAATATGAATAGGTAGCCAAATACCAACACCGACACAAGCGATAAGGAGTATGCGATAAACTGTCTTTGGTGTCTTTTGTGTCTTTCGTGAGGCTGGTCTGAAAGGTGTGTCGACTGCTTGTACTGAATAGTGATAATCGCGCTTAGATGTCATCTTGTTGACGTTAGCACCAAGAATTCCGACCATGATGGATGTTGGCGAATGTTTGTTGTGAAAGTTGTTGTGTTGATAAAGTGTTGAGAGGATGAGGAGCAAGAGATGGGATTGATCAAGTCCAGAGGAAACTGCAGTTATTATAGTATTCAGGAACCAGGTGCCTGGCGATCAATGTCGCCTGGAATGTGATGTTTGCGGATGGAAAGGGACGATGTCTTAGAATGTCTCAGAATAGTGACAGCCAAGCTCAAACAATGACGACCGTTAGTCCGTTTGCGACGACTTCGACGGGAGCACTGAGCGACTAAAGAATTGTTTTCAAAGATATAAAATCGTTTAATATTCAATGTAGGAAGGAGCAGAACTGCTAGGGACCTGTTGATTAGGTTCCCGTGTGCGTCGCTAACGATTTGGAAGGCACGTTGTTAGGTTTCTCTGTAGAAACCGAACAATAAACAACAATACAGCCCCTCTTTATCTTCATGGGCTGCAATACAAAAACCCACGTGGATTAGTTGTATGATTTCTATTGTATTTTGATGATTAAAATGGATTTTTGTTCCGTTTGCGTATGAACCATGATATGGTTCCTGGTACCTGGATATTCTACTTCGATGTGATTTGAGACATTGTCTCACGTAACCGTCAAGCCTTATCCGCTTGCAGGAACCAACTGCCTTTACGCATCTCCCTTGACATACCACACCCCGCGTCGTGTTCCTTCATACAAAGGTAGCACTGTTGATCACTGGAATGCTGATCGGTAGCACACGTTTTCTTGTGCAGGGGGCTGTGTGTCACTGCTGGACTCTATGTGCACAAAGAAAGGAAGGAAACAAGTGTGTTAGAATTGTAAATCATTCAACGATATTGAAGACCCGATTGTAAGAAAGAACCATGTCAACCCAAAACTATGAACATGCTACTAGCTCCTTCAAATGCTGAATATGTCCCACCCATAGATTTCGCGTCTCCGTAATATCTCAACCTGTATTCGCCAGGTGGAGTTGAATTCTCAACTGTCCAGTCAATTGTGACCTCGCTAGTGCCCCAAATAGATGATCTACGTTTCCAACGGTATATGAGAGACCAGTCAGAATCGTCACGTACTCTCTCCCACGAGGACGTAGGACCCGGTCTGTATTCGACTGCTGCAAAAGTGTCTTCAAGACGCAGGTTGTTGCGAGGATTAGCACCGATGAAAGTGGCATTGACATTTTCCCCAGCCCCATATGCTCGCCGCTGAATGTCCTGTATCGTGTCACCAAAGTCACCTCGAGAGCCAGTTCTGTCAAATACAACGCCGGATATCAAACTGATAGAACGCTGGCTATTATCAGGTGGTACATTTCGGAGCCCTTTCTGCCTCGGGCTCGGGGAGGTTGCTGCCAAATAGTGGAGTGTTTCCGCGGTACGGTTGATGTACGCAGCTAGCGTATGCGGACCATACAGCGTCGACGCGCCTTCGTAGCGCTGGATGCTATTAACTTGTTAGCTGTTTTACGATAAACAAAAGACTTGGACAGTACATACCTATATTCTTCCTCTGTCGTAATATAATGGGTATAGCTGTTGCTAGGAGCACCAATGACAACGATGGGCTCCTCACCTCCAAGATCGGCCTTGAGCAATGTTGCACTTTGTTTTGCAACTGCTTCTTTCCATCTTCTTCCAGCCATGGTGGTTGCTTCACCTGGGCTGACGACGATAATAAGCTGTCCAACTCGAAATGTCTGAACATCAACAATATTGGGGGTCCATTGGTATGGTCGCCTTGCCTCACCAACATCTAAAATGATTGACTTTGGAAATTGGCATTGCGTCTGCTCAGGTGTTGGAGGGCGCAAGAGCCACCGAACGATTCGCCATAGTCTAGACACAGTTTCAGAGGTACTCTGCTGATGAATGTTGAACTGTCCAGGCTCATCCCAGGTTCCACCACAGAACGAGTAGCCAAGGGCGGCTGGGCAAGTCTGTGCGACTGTCCCGTTTGTCAGCGTGAATTTGAAGAACGACATGTCATGAAATTCATGGACAGCTTTGACTCCAACTCCATGGACTTTGTGATCGGTCTTGTCTAGAGCTCTGTAAATATCCCAGGCGCCTTGATATTGCAGTCTCGCGATCTCGAAACAGGACGCAGTACCGTCGATATCGGCAACTTTGTTAAACATGGGTCCTCTGGCATGACATCTCTGAGGTTTCCCATCTCTGCAAGTGCTGCTTTTGAAATCACATCGTTCCCCAGTACCGTCATCACACCATGCACCCAGCGTGTTGGGGCTTGCATCGCCCATGTTTGCTTGAGAGAAGCCGGCCACAAAGTCATCGCTGGCATCAGATGTTTGTTGAGCTTTCTTTTCAAACATATCCGCCGCAAGACCCTTATTATCGCCCGTTATCAAAGTGTTGTTCACTGTCATTGACGTACCATGCGTCGGGAACCAAGACAGGATACCAATATTCTTGCCGTCAGACTCGCGTTTGAATCGAAGAAGAGTCATATCTTTCTCTACAGTGCCATCCTCCTCAACACTGACGTTGTATCTTTGTCTTTCGGCTTCGGGGTTTGCAAGATAGGAATACAAGCTTCGATTAATATTCGCACCGATGATTTTGGTAGTGCCCACGCTGAGTGAGCCACGAGACAGTTTTTGATGGGCGCGTACGATGGACAACACACATCCATCGACAATAGCCTGGTAACTCTGCTTGTCAAAACCCAGACTCGTAATCTGAGGCAACAGATAATTAAGCCAAGCACCAGGGCCTGAATGAGAGTGCGTGGCGGTAACGGCGAGGTTATCGTGGTTGTACATGGCATAGTCGGGGCCAAGTTTTCTGAGAGCATTGAGAATGCCATAGCGCACCGCAGTATCGCCAGATTGTGTGTCCAGGACGAGGTATATAAAACGATCCCGCGGGTCGTGTAGATCTCCAATAATGAAGGCGCGATAGTATAACCTCTGGCGAACGCCGCTGCCCACCTGAGCCGCATTTGCATATCCCATCATGTTGATCTCCACCACCGGACCGGTAATGTCGGCTTTGCCGACCCCAATAAGATATTTGTCTGTTTCATGCGGAGGCGGAATCTTGTTATTCAGCGGCACCTCAACATCGTCGAATTGCAAATGACTCCAATCCTGGGCTGCCGTGGTAGCATCCGAGCTTCGAAACAGCCGGAAGAGGCCGAGGCAGCACGCAACGGCGAGGACGAAAACTACCATGCAGTTTGTACATTTTGACGACGGACGGCGTTTGCTAGACACAGGTGCTTGTAGACCTGTCGAGTGACGGCGTTTGCGTCGAGTTTGAGGCAACACCTTGGCGTAGCCTTTGTTGGACGACCCCATGACGATGCCAATGACGTTGGTGGAGATACTATCGGTAATTGCGGGGATCGTATATAGCTGCTGAAAGAGCCGTAGAGGAACTTTATATCAAGTAGAATTGCTTATAATATTACGAAGCCATAACTCGTTCAATGTTGAAAATGTAGTTGGAAAGGACACGATTAAGCTTTTTGGCTGAGGTTGTTTGTTGGCGTGACATGCGTCAGTAGCGTATGCGGCGTTGGCTACGAGTGGTGGCGGATTTGGTTAGGCGGTAGTCTGGCATGTGGAACCATAGGCAAGGCGCTGTACTGTAACCGCTGTATGAGAGAAACAAGGCAGCCTCATGTAAATTCTATGCAATCTATTAGCTGAAATTTGAAGCTAAAAAGTTAATATATACAACCGGCTTCTTAAACAATATAATTAATTATAGTCACAAATAAAAGTGCCACGGGCGACCTCTGCAGGCTATGCCACCAAAAAAGTACACGCTACCTCACCGTTACAAGTCAGGCTGTGCGCGGCTGTGCGCCACAGCGTGTGCTCAGTGTGTTGGCTGCAGGATGCGAACAGATGCGGCGACAGTCTCGGCAGGTACCGGCTCTACAGTGGCGGCCTGGCTGCCAGGTGGTGTGTTGGCGACACCAGCTGCCAAAGCTGCTTTTCTTTTGTTGAGCAGCTGGCGGACAGCTGGCATAAAATTATCACCAACACAACCACTCTACTGGTTCATCGCGATGTTGCGATTGCTTTGCGGCTTTCCAGTCTCGCAAGTTGGTGTGGCGGCGGCACAATTCCGCCCTGGGTGATAAAGCTGACACTCGTCCACCACAAGGGTCTTTGCTCTCTCCGGCCGGACCTCCGTTATGAACAAAGGAGTGAGAACCTTCGGTTTGCAAATGGCAGTTATACCAGTCGCAACATTTGACAGGACTCAACCTACGAGCCAGATATCGCCTTCTAGGTTGCAATCCTTTTCTTTATCCTGTTCCCCCCACACGTGCTTCGTCTCTCGATCGTCAGACACAGAGCTCCCAGATGCTCCTTATCTTCGGCCGATCCACAACGCCTCGGCGTTTGCTTAGCCCGTTCCAATGGGGCCTCCAAGAGTAGCGCTAGGCCCGCGATAGCGCAATTTCATGATCCTTTGCTCAGATGTCGCCTTTTGTATTTTCTTTGTTATAAGGACCTTGCCCGGACTCGACCTCCCTACACGGATCGCTCTACAACTCTTGACATTACTCCGTACAGGAACACGGCCTTGCATACAAAGTCGCCGAGTCTCTCGAGTCACAACCTTAGCACGTTGTTACTGTTGCGCGAGATATCAATTCGATTGTCGAGTTTTTCTTTGGGTGTCGTCATCATCGATCTTCACTCGCGACCAACGCAACAGCAATCGCAGGGTATATGTGCTGCATTTATGAAGCTTGCCTACCAAACCTACGGAGTTACGAACATAATTCCTTTGGGCTCCGCCAACGCACTTAATACCGACCCATCCGAAGCTAGTCGACACCATGGCACCTTGCTGGTAAAGATCTAATCTACGCTATTTTACCCCTCGGTTGCATTGCGTGATTCCCACGTTTTTCCAGCCCATCGTTCTCTGCAGCCACTGCGCGCGCACTTCCACTTACCGACCTACATAACTTCGACAATGATAGAATTTCGATCGGGCGAGCATCGCCCAATTCAAACGAGCGCGGTTATTGTTCTGGGTGCCTCGAAAGGCCCCTCTCTGCCACCACCATCGCCGCCGACACCTTTTGCAAACCCAACAGCAGATGGCTGCGAGCCGCTCGAGGCCTTCGATTTAGAAGAAACATATAAGTCCTCAAAGGAGAAAGAATCTGTATCGCGGAAACGTCTTCAAGATGGACTACATGTTTTGAATACGGAGGCGGCGGCGCTTCACAACCTAGGGGTTCTCTATGAAACAGACCCGATTGCCCGCGAAGGGTTTACGAAATCCGTTGCGGCTATTATACAGCAAGCTTCTGCTGGCGGCAAGCTTGTAGTTATTGGAGTGGGCAAATCAGGCCACATTGGAAAGAAGCTGGTTGCTACGTTTCAGAGCTTGTCTGTACGGGCTGTCTTCTTACATCCCACCGAAGCCTTGCATGGTGATCTTGGTATTGTTGGACCAGATGATACGCTCATGTTCATCACCTACTCTGGGTCTACACAGGAGCTGATGCTCCTACTGCCACATCTGGACGATAAACTACCCACTATTCTTCTTACATCGCACACACGCCCGACCAATTGCAAATTTATTGAACAGCGACCAAACACAATTCTCCTCCCTGCGCCAGTTCACGAGCTTGAGAAGGATTCATTTGGTGTTTCTGCTCCTACAACATCTACTACAGTGGCCTTGGCGGTCGGTGACGCTTTAGCAATTGCTGCCGCCAACGAGCTGCACCCAAGCACAGCCAAGACATTCGCAAAGAACCACCCAGGCGGTGCTATTGGCGCCGCAGCAAGAGCCCCAAGCACTATTGGACAGCTGTCGACACCTTGGCAGGATATCCACGATCCTGCTGGTCTCACTATGGCAAGCACCGGTCTGGATCTCCTCAGATCTGGGTTTGATTCAAAATCTGGTTGGGTAATTGTGGATGATACGTGGGTTGCCTCACCTACGGCCATTCGGAATCTAAGCAACTGCCAATTACAACAAAAGATGACGGATTTATCACCACTGCTCCTGGTATCGCGAGAACAGATGTTTGACTTGTCTTCAGAGATGACAATAAGACAAGCGAAGATCGTATTACGGGAGACTTTGGAGACCCAGCATTGCCGAGTTGAAGAAGATGATATGTTCCTTCGCAGCAATTCTGTTATCGCAGTTATTGCAAACGGAACCATCTCTGGAGTACTGGAAGTTCAGCAAATACTGGACTATGAATCATGACTTTCAACAGAATAGATAAAACTCTCAAAGAGAGCAAGCCTTTGGGCTACGACTTCATGAATTTGGTATAGCTTTCGAGCCACACCCAATGCATAAATTCACATTTGCACAGCGTACATAGTCAGCATCAGCAACTGCAAGTCATGTTGCGACAGCATTATATTGAATTCCAGCTATCTTTATGCGACAAATAGGTCGCAATGCTTATTTATGAATCCGTTCGTCAGTGATCAAGTACTCTTGCGGTAGTCTAATCTCATCGGGACGGCCCATGATCTGCTGCGCCATGGCCATAGCAGATCTGGCTGCAACAGGCATGCCGTGGCCTGTAAATCCAGCTGCGATCCAGAGTCCTTTGCCACCACCGAGAATTTCAGGGACGGAGCCCACCCAAGGCTTTTCATCCTTAGAGAAGCCCATAATTCCTGTCCAGTCCATGGTCGACGGTAATGTCACTGGTTCTGCAGCGCATCGAGGTCGTAGCTTGAGGGCGTCGTGACAGGCATCATAGAGCTGATCGCGGATGATATCATTTACAGTGTCATCGTGATCGACCCTTTCCTCTCCATCAGGCGCGCTATGCCGAAGACCACCAATTATAAGTGTATCGTCCGGTCTTTGAATAAGATAGACATCCGACGACAGTCCTTCACCCCCAACGTACCAGACGTGAGTGTGAGGCAGAGGAATAGCATCTGCAGGTGGTGTAAGAGCAGCCACCTGAGCCCGAACCGGATAAATAAGGTCTTTCATCTTAGGTAGCAGATGTGATGTGTATGCGTTTGTAGCTAGCAACACGTCTTTGGCGCGAACAGTGCCCCGTTGTGTTTTGAGCAGCCAGTATTCTCCATCTTTTTGGAGAGTCTCTACCGGTGTGTTGGTTTGCAAGTTGAATCTATCTGGCCCGGCCTCCAGCAGTCTTTCAAGAACCCAAGCGACAAGCTTGTACGGCCAAAGTTTAGCAGCATCTGGCTGCTCGACTGCACCTGCCATGTTAACAAGGCGCAGACGATTGAGATCTCTAGTTGAATTGTAGTGGTGCACTTTGCTGGCAAGGGCTAGATCTGTCTTACGGAGAGCCTCGATCTTTTGTGCCGCCGCGTAGCTCTGTTCCTCGCTTGGAAAACTTAGCACAGCGCCTGCTGATTGCCAATCGCATGATATATTGTGCTCCGCGACCAGGTCCTTGAGGAAGTTGTAGGTGTCCAGCTCGAAGTGAGCAATCGGTCTTGTAGTAGAATATATGGCGGGCCTACAATGACCACCATTCTTCGGAAAATAGCCATTTTAGCACATTGTGAGAACCTTTCATGGGGAGCGATCTGTACTTACTCTCCCTGTGGCACCAGAGCATGCCTCACGAGCTTCAAGCATGAGGACGTTTTTGCCTCCCTGGACGAGCTCGCGTGCGCCGAATGAGCCCGCTATCCCACTACCAACTACAACGACGTCGGCATAGCTAGGAAGTTCTTCTGTTGAGTGATGCCCTAGGAGAGCCTTAGATGGTTCACGGAGCCAATAAGACAGTGTGCTCTGCTGAGAGGGTAGATGAGCAGGGTGTGTATCTCCATTATCGGTGAGGATTTGCTGAGGGGCGAGGGCAGTTATGCCTTGGATAGTGATAATGAAGCATATAGGAATGCGTAAACTAAGCTGAAAATGCACCATTCTGAGTGTAACTTTGATGCACTGGACGAGAGATGATACGAAGTCAAACCGATTGTTGATGTCGATCGTTGAGATGCCCACTTATAGTGGTATGTGCGCTGTAGTTGGCGGGGTGGGGGAGCTTTCAGCGCTAAGCTATAAAGAGGTCGTGCGTGATGCGAGGGTTCGTTTTGTATATGTTCCACGCCATTCATAGATCACAGCTAATATTCTTAAATTACTCTATTAAAATAATTATAATAAATACTAGAATAATTACAGTTAAAGAGTAAATACTTAAAAGTATATATAAAGCTAAGATCTTTCGTAAAAGGTAAAAGACTGAAGTTTTTAATAGATTTATCTTCTATTTCAAAAGGCAAAGTAAAAAAACTTATTATATTAAAACATATCATCCTACTAATACATTAATAATTTAATAAATAATAATAAGAATTTTCTTATATGTTTATTTTACGAATATAAGTTGTAATCCGCGAATAGCGTACGCGGCGTGGAACATATACATGGAAAGCGACCGGGGTTAAACGTTGCAGATTTCTCAGAAAGAGATGATGGTTAGAGGTAGTATGAAGGCTTTGGAGTTAAAAAAAGAAGAGACGAAGAACGAATATGTATAATTAAATGCAGCGGTGTACTTACTGCAGGGCTGTTCATTCGCCAGCTGGCGACTGGCACACCTGGCTTCTAGTCTCATGATAACAGCAGGGCTCTGCAAGTCAGCTAACTACTCCTTTTGAACTACCAACAATGCACCGCGAAGTGCTGCTTTGAGCCTTGCTTGTCCTGGGGCAACGCCTGCATCTGCTTGCAGTGTCTCAATGGTCTTTCGGATCATCTTGATGACATCCCTGTCCGTACCGGCTCTCTCTGGGTTCGCTGCCCTCCATCGTGTATACGAGCTAACAGTGTCCATGATATGCTCAAAAGTGTCCATATCCATCTCGCCACCTCCGAGAAAGAACTCTTCATCAAGAGTCCACTCTTTACGAAACATGCCTGACTTGTCCCATCCGATTACAGGCTCTGGTCCGTCCCATGGCATTTCTAGGTCGCGGTATCGATTGCAAACCAGGATGTTTCCCGGCATATAGTACTGGCGTACTTCGTCGTCCAGCATCGCCGTCCACGCCGCTTCAATCTTATCACCGGCGGGCATGTCAGGGTGAGGTTCGATGTCACCAGTCGTCCATATTGCCACGCAACCGCCTGGCTTCAATATCTGCCTAGCAGCCTCCCAGAACGCCTTCATGTTGAACCAATGGGCGGTGTTGGCAACTGTGATGAGGTCGACGCTGCTTAGTAGAACCGGGGGATCCAGACTCTGACCAAGATCCTCAGCAGTGGAAATTCGAAACTGAATCGGATCGCCAGTACGGCATGTGCCGCCAATGGATATGGCAGCGTCAATCATACCAGCAGAAGGATCGAGGCCAATGACTTTGTCGAAATGGGGAGCGAGGGCTCTTGCCACATTACCAGGCCCAGTTCCAAGATCAATAAGTGTTCCAAACTGGCCACCATTTTGCTTGTGTTGTTTTATTACGATTTCATAGACGAATGGGCTATAATCGGTTCGACCTGTGGCGTATGCTCTGCCTTGATTGATGTCATATGACCGAAATGTGCGCTCAGGCACCGGCAGCATTGATGCTGTCGATTGCATTATGGCAGGTTAATTTATAATAATATGTGCGAGAAGGTGGAAAGTGCCCTAGCAATACTTTTATCCCAACGGAGCCATTCCTTGCAATCATACCCCATTCTCGCGCTATATCCGAACGAGGTGACATTGCCACGCTTGATCTGCAGAATGCTACAGCTACCTTGTAGGCAACGTAGTTTTCCTTACGCATGGAATTTTAATCCCGCATCTTCTGGAAAGCCGCTTGCTTCTAGTAAATGCAACGGCTAGATTAGTGAGCAGCTAAGTAAGTCTACATATTCCCCAAAACGAAGAATCGTGCTACACGACCAGGTTGTCGTAAAATGACAGTGCAGATTAGAATATGATATCAAAGCGCCTAAGTTCAAAACTTGCATCAACAAGAGATCCGAAAAATGTATCACCACGAGCTAGGACCAAATGTACCGCCCTCAGGAGGTGGTCGAACTATTGCTGTGCCCAGGCTATCCATGGTGTTTAGAGCAGTAGTCGAACCCCACCAGTCTGTCATTGGCGTATTGGTATACTGCAGAGCAAAGAAAATAACAATGGTACAAAGGGCAAGCCCAACATCGAGACCAGCCGACGTCAGATAGTTGTACTGCATCCACCACCCTCGGTAACGTCCGCGGATCCATTTGTTAAAAAACAAACCCACGATTGCCCAGCTTATATAGTTCAGAGGGGTGGCTGGAGGGACACTGAGACTGCCGCCGAAGATGATTGGCCAGTTGACGAAGCGCCAGAGAGACTTTGGATACTTTCGTGCTAGATACCAAGTGATGACAGGGACGATGGCGCCAACGAGGAAGAACCAAAGATAAGGTGCATACAAAGAGCCGACGCCAAAAACGCGCTGTGCTCCAAGAACTCCCCAAATGATGGATGAGTTGAAAGTAGTCTCTGCATTTGGGCATGTAAATTGGTTCTTCTGATGAGGTTGGCAGATATCGTCGATTGAGCCCAATGCCCAGTTGATGACCGATACTTGAACAATGGAACTCCAAATAGCAGCCACAATCTGTGCGAAGAAGATGGTTCTTGGCGAAACCTTCATGTACTGAGCCATCTTCATGTCCGAGTTGAAGGCGATGCCCTGGGATTGCGCTACAGTGGAATACCCCTTGAAGAGAAGTACTGCTAAAGGGTGTCCTGTGAACATGTAACTGGCCATAAACTCACTCAACACATTGAGGCCAATGCCAACGTTTGTAGCTCCCTGAATGATACCCAACGGGAGGTAGAAAACCGATGCGAGCAGCATGCAGACAATGAATCCCCACCACGGGAAAGCGGTATGGTATGTGAGAATGGCGGCCAGCGATATGCCGACTATGCTGAGGAATAGCGCCAAATACCACCAGAAAGGAACCTTTGTGTATTTTGAATACAGACGGAGGTGGATATCTTGATCGACCTGTCCAGCATTTCTCATCTGTTGCCATATTAGAGGTCCATGATAGAGAACAGAGTGAACAACCAAGGCGGAAATGGTAGCAAAGGAAATGCCAAACGCTATCGCAAACACCGTAGAGAGAAACAATGGGGAATAGCTCTTGTAAGCCTCAATATCGAGAGTATAGTCTTTGTTGAGGACCCTACTGACGTTGTAAGGATTACCCGTGTTATCGTAGCTGAGATTGTCGCTGATGGGAAGGTACAAGCTATAAAAGGTGTTGGAATATTGGACACCAATCGCCATGAAGACGAAAAAGAAAATCACGCCACATAGCGAGTTGGCTAGGGCATGCCAAGGGAAGATTAAGGGTGAGAGCGTGTAACCAGCTATCTGTGTCCAGTCAAAAGTCAATGGGATGAGAGACACCCCAGTCCATCCTCCAAATAGTTGATTAATGACTGGGTCTTGAGGTTTGATCCAAGTGACAAAGGCAAAGACACTGAGAAATGGGGCAATGAAGCCAGGGAACCAGTACCAGGCGAAAGAGCCAGCCATGACAACCATAAACCACTTGTACCGACCAATGGACCAGCCGTTGGTTCGTGACGGGTCTGATGGCGCATGGTCATGGAGGGCGTAGAACAAGGACGTGTTGATGAGAGTGCTTGGCCACATCATGGCCGCAGGATCAACGAGAATGCGACGGAACATGCCCGCCATGCCGAAACCACACATAGAGATGGTGACCACCAGGAGAATTTGCCATCCCCAGCCCCATTCCTGGTTGTAATACTTCATCTGGGCGAGGAGAATGTCGGTGGCGTACGAATTGCCATTACCAAAGGTCACTTTGCACATGTTAGCAGTGGCTCTATCCTCCGCAACAGAAGTATAAAGTCTCTCTTACCATTGGCCATGATGACTACTAGGCAGTGTTCCTTCATGTTCCATGGGCCCGGGTTAAGATTCCAGCGCAGCCCAAGAGTCTTGAACTCGCGATTTGGCATCACCACGGTCCACAGCAAGCCGATGGGGTGGCATAGGAGCTGGGCGACATAGGTCGTGATGATGATGGAAGGCTTGCGCATTGAAAATAGCATGTTGAGTGCGGATCCTAGCGTTGCAAACATTAGGCCAATGGTCCAGGCACGGATTGTGTTGGCCGGAACATCCTCGTCGTAGTTTCGCACAGCAGCGCGGACCTCGGGATACGGCGATTCCTCCAAGAGACGATGTACACCCTCGACTTTTTCGTCGACATTCCCTGCTTCGAGAATATCCTCTACCTCGTCAACGTACCCATCTGATAGATTTGGGTCGACAATCTGTTTGTTTCGTAGCTGCCGAAGCTTCGTCTGAGCTTCCAGAGCGGTGCTCTCAACAGCAGCGGCGCTGGCAATGCCCGCCATTGTTTGACTTTTTTTTTTGAAAAGGTTTCAGATAACGCGATGGTGATGGAACTGGTCACCATGCGCGCACACACGGTATTGACATGGCATAAAGGAGGGGGAATTGCATCAGTTATCAGTTCATACCCCTCTTCTTAGTGGTAGTATGGCTGCTGCACGAGCCTGCAACCAACAACAGATGTGAGAATTGGATAAAGGAAACAGCTATAAATGTATACAAATACACCTATATATTACCATTCAATACAATTGTTTGCGGATACATTGTATTATTCCACGTATTCGTAATATTATCATGGCAAAAATATGGACAGCACTCGCTAATAAATGAACTTTGGCAGTATCCAGGACGTCCTTGTTCACTGGCACCCCACTCTTAACCGTCTGTACTGCAGTGAGTGACCTCTAAATCAGGCTTCCCCGCGCGCCACCAACTGCAGCCAGCAAACATTAGCACATGGTCCCGCGTATAGCTCCATATCTTCTATCTCCTACCCATCGTTCGTAGGGCGAGATGTATTACGACGTTGCGTTCCCAAGTTCATGCCGCTGTATTTTAACGTTTCTGGATAATGTCGGGTTTTATTCCATGCTAAACGAACCAACAATCACCCATGCGTGGGGTTGCATCGCCTAGTGCTGTACAGCCTGGCATCGTGTGGGGGGCACCATTGCCGCCGATAGCGCCAGAAAGCAGGACAGCTGATATACGGTCGCTATAATAGTCGCCGACATATTGCATGTACGGTCTTGTGTTGTATTTCTCGCTGTGCTCGGGCCTTAGTATGCAGCCACCACGTCGGGGCAACATCGCCTGGCGGTCAGTAAGATTGCTAATTCCTTGGCAGCATCTGATTTGGGTTGGCAAAAGGTGTAGAACATCAGAGATATCATAGAGTCAGGGATACATTTTTGGCTAGAATGGACTCCGGCTAGTCTGATGGGCGCTGACGTTGAGCTACCATTGGCCTCAATTGAAGACACCTGCGCTAATAGAAACGGAGACTCTGTGCAATACCAGCGGCTATCCGGCACGCAAAATATCTGACAGTAGCAGAGCCAATCACTTCCAAGCTTGAATCCAATTGCGGCGTTGTGATCGTGCAGTCTTTTGGTCACTATTCCCGGACTCCTAGCGCTGCCGACACGGCCGTGTGCGGCCGGCACAGAAACTCTACATTGCTGCCGTATAACCCGAGCCGTGCGCCGCCAGAGTATTGAGAATTGTAATTGGCTTTACGGCAGTGGGTGCCGATAACTCAACCAAAAAAAGACAAGTCAAACTACCATCTAAACGAACCCTGGTCCTTAACCCCTCCCCCGGTTCGATCTGGAAGAGTGACTATTGTCAGGAACTCTTGGGAAAGGAGTGCTTGGAAGAGACTACATGAGAGTCTTGGATCGCAATCCTGGCCAAATCTAGTATACTGTCCTGCTAGCATCTCGATCTGCTTACTGCCCCCATGTTAAAATGGAAGTTGTAGTGGAAGCGTGCGAGTTCCGCTTCGGCGGAGTCTTGTTGGCCGTCTTTCTTCAGCGACCGCTAAATGCGGATAGGTACTCCAGGCCTCAGTAGAGACTAGAACGGTCTACCACAACTAATTCGATGCATATGGCAGGTAGTACGGCCTGAGTTGGCTGGTATGCAGTGGCGCTGTCCAGGTTCGCCCTCGTTCAGAGTCCGAGAATGGCGCGCGAGCACCATTGCAAAGCTCAATATCGTGACTGAGAATCTAGGTGCTTGAGATCCGGCGAGTTTTATGAAACCCGGCCCAATTGCCCGCCTTTTAAAGTTATCCCCAAGCTCGGAGAGAATATTTTGAAGCTGGGGGCGGTAGTTAACCTCTAGAAGCTGTCTGGGAGCGGAAGCCGCACACGCGAGCAGCTTCCAACTTCGGACGAAGCGTAGGAATGCAGGGTCTCAGCTACCAAACTTTGTTTATGACCGGGCGCAACGGTGGCAATGCCGCTTTTGTATGTTATTTTACAATTGGTAGATGGTAAAAGGGGATACATCAGATTGCCTAAAGATGATGTATCATTCACTGACCGGAATAGTGAAGCCTGTATAGTTGTCACAGAACCTTGTGGACAAGGTGAAAAACACCCCGGCATAGGAGCCAGGAGACTGGTACAGAAAACAGTTGCGATGGGGTTACGACGCTGTTGGTGACGACGTTCACAAATGGTTGTGACGCAAATTTCATACTTCGTACTTGCCGTAAACTCGGAAAATAAATTCGTGGGTTGCACGACTCAGGTGTATCTCAATTGCACACCGAAAGCAATATCGGCGCACCATAAATGTCGGCCAACTCTGGTTCCACCGGCCTTTACCATTGATATAGCCGGGCAGCAATAGCCCCCATTTGAGAATTGGTGGCGGCAGGGAGTGGCTTCGGCAGAGAAGAATTGATTAGTTTATCTGGTCGTTGACGACTAAGCGGCGTATAGGCAATGAGGAACCGCACAAAGAACAAAGAACACCACCATACTCCTGCGCCTGGATGCAAGCGAAGCGCCAACGCCTGCAGGACAGCCAAGCACCCAGCGCCAAGGGATGGTTTCTTGGACTGTAACGTCCCTTCTGGACTTGGCGCGATGACGAGTTATCCTCCATTCACTATATGAATATGGATCATGGTCGCGTGCTCATCATGACTTGAGCTGTGGGGTTGCTGAATGGGGGGCGGTGTTCTGGAAAGGGACCCTTAGATATGGAGCTTTAGTGCAACGGGTGCTGGCCGACGGTACCATTCGCTATGCGTATCGTGCATTTCGTGGTACAGTTGCCTGCCTACTACCTCAGGCGCATCTGCTTCGACGCACGGCCATCAATACTATGCAGGCGCGCAGATCCATGATATGCAGACGCTTGTTGGGGGATCTTGGTCTGCCAGCACGAGCAGAGCACTCTTGCCTATAGTAGATGTAGCTGGCACTAAACGATGAGGCTGTTCACTAGCGGTTAATAGCTAAACTCGAGTAGTTCTTGGCTCATGAACCAAAAGATGGAGAACCGTCGGGTGCGGTGCCCGTTGCTGAGAACCACTTGGGATCAGGAACCATCCTGTTTTGGTGAAAAAGGCGAAGAGAGTGAGGCCCAGTTCAGGATCCACTCTTGACTAACAGTGGGGGTTTTTAGCAGAAGGCTGGACCGCAGAGGGGCTCGCCTGTTGGGTGGAGCGTCTTTTTTAGCGGGCGCCGTGCGTTGGCTGTGGTGCTAAACTACAACGAGAGGAGCACGCCCGTGGGCTAGTGTGGAAAGTAACCCGACGGCCCGTCATTCAGTCATGGTGTAGGCATTGCAAGTTTGCCACACGCAGGGTTTTCGAGGCGGTGTGTGAGAGAGAAAGAGGGTACAGTTTTTTTTTTTTTTAAATTGAGAGTCATACTACTAACAGCTGTGGTCGACAAATAGATTAGGTAAATTGCAATCAAGGACACGGCACACACTTATTGCCGGTGGAGATGCAATGGAGTCGAGGACGTAAGGAAAACGAAGGCGTGATCGCCAGCATGCAGGCCAAAGCGAGACACAAGCGACGCAGAGTAGAAGCAAGAAAAAAATTCCCATATGCATATGCGCATCGAACGCCTGCAGCGCCTGGGCCAGCAGAGTGCCTGGTAACCAAGACATTTGATGCAAGCGAGGGCCAGGCACAAGCACAGACGGGAAGAGGCTGCAGATGGATACGACAGTGGAGCAAAGGACAACGGTAAAGGGTAGAAGCTCTGTTGAAATCCTGTTGGCCTATCGGAGTCGAGGCATATGGGCTGTCCGTCCAGAAATGATGCTGCTTGGAAAAGCAATAGCGCACGCTGCCATGTTGCATTCGCACACGACAAGCGTAAGCATTCACGCAACCTTGCTAGCACGCATAGACCAACAATCGCCAGATGGTCAATCCAACGGCTGCCCCCATGGTGAGATTTATCACAGTGATGGGCACTGCAAGCTTACGCTGAGAGATAGGCGAGCAAGGCCCGTCGTAGTGGAGGCTCGTCGTTCGCGTGGCTTGCGTAGCGTCGCTGCAGTCTCTGAATGAACTGTAGTCACCACCACCACAATAACCACACCGGGATTCGTGCTATCTTGCCAGCGCAGCGCAACGTTATGCAAAGCCAGTGGGGAGAAGCCTTAGAAAAAACTTTTTCTTTTAACTCCCATCCAGTAGTTGGAGTTTGGCTTCCCATTGGCTGGCCTGCTATATGCACAAGCACAATACGGCGTGGCAACCTTTGCTTCGTCGTTGACAGCTGTCATCGTCCGTCCGGCAGATGCAGATTTTTTTATTCTTTGATACCGTCGGAGTTTTCCAACTTGCAGCATTACCTGAGTCGTTGGCCCTGCTAAACAATATCCCAAATTGTATAACCTCCTTGCTCTGGCGGGGCAGCAGTCCAGCTGGGATGAAGGAAGCAGAAAAAAATATAGTTGCTCCCCACTGGATCGACGCAAAGTCCGCCTTGATTTCCGTGATTTACTGAGCATCCGGCTTTCCGTGCTGGAGGAGCCTATAAAAAATAAAAAACAGGGGTCCGCCAGTGGCTCTCGCTGCAGGCGCCTGAAAGAACGCTATCTAGGCCCTTTTGCCCCCACTTCGCCAGCAGGGGTGCCGCCCTCCCAATCAACAGCGTCCGCAAGCGGGCAGCGTGTGGGTGCAACATGCCGGCTGAATGGCTGGGCCGGGACCCCGCTGTATAATGTAGGTGCTATGGTGTCATATCGGTGCTGTTAGTGGTCAACGACACCAACCAGCCTGACGGGAGAGTGTCATCGTACGAGAGAAGAGAAAGGAGGATAAATGGAAGAACCGGGCAAATATTGGAAAACCCAGCCAAGAATTGAAAAAGAATAGAGGCGGGATTAAAATACAGAGTGTCTTTTACTTGTATATTTGCCACAGACCAAGCCCATCCAGGCCCTGTTGATTTACAGTGCAGCTAGCCCCAAAGCTAAACGACCACCACCAACAGTTGGTCGACTTGAGCGCTAAAGGTCCACTGAACCAAGCCCCGCCCCAGCGCTGTGGCCGAATGCAAAAGTGGGGGTGGCCCTTGTCTTGGGTGAACCGTCGCCCTGGACGCTGCGCTATGCTGGTTGCGCTAAAACGCTAACAGCCCACTAAAAATTCCCAGCTCCACGGGCCTGTGTCGGCGCCCTATGCGCTGCTTTCGTGCTGCTGCGAGCGAGGCCTCTTGTCCATTCTGCTAAAAGAACCACAAGTGCCCACCACCCTCCGTACCTTGTTTCAATCTCCAATTATTCTGCCTTTGCTTCTTATTCCAGGCCTCACTTGACCGGATCACGATAGAGCTTGGCTTCCTTTCATTTTCTCACACTTACGTCCATATCTAGCCATCCTTTTGCTTTGCACCACCACCACCGCCCTGCAGCTCCTGCACTGTCACCACCGCCAACCACCCGCAACCGGCTCCGTCCTGCATACATCCTCTCGCCCCGCGGTCCTCCCAGAAAAAAACAGCCGCGACGCAGTGCAACACAACACATCGCAGGCCAAGCCGATACTTTCAAGCAACCCGCCTGCCTTTTCCGTCGGGACAGCTGCTATATTTGTCACAGGACACCACACTCCTCTGTGACGGCCCTCGCTTTCGTTCGACGACGCCGCCAGGTACCCCAACCCAGCTAGACTAGGTTTCGGGGCTCTCGTCAACAAAGCGTCATTGACAAAACCTTAGCTAGAAGACTAAAAAGATCTTCGATTGCCCCTTCTTTCCGACAACTTCCATTGTTACCGTACACAAAGCATAAACAATGAAGTTTGGCGACCAATTGGAACGTGATTCCGTTCCAGAATGGAGCCTTCGTAGGTCCATCCGCACGCAGCAGCCCTGCGAGACACACGCAGATCAAAAGACTAACAAAAATCTAGATAACCTCGACTACAACTCCCTCAAGCATGAGATCAAAGTCCACACAACAAAAGACCAAGGCACCGCCATGGCCATCCCCGGCCAACCCGATCTCGCCCTCGGCAGATTCGAAGACGCCCTCTTCCGCGAGCTTGCCCACCAGCACGACCGTGTCGATCTCTTTGTCTCTAGCAAAGCCAGCGAAATCAACCGTCGTCTAGACCACCTCGCCACAAACATTGAGCGCTTCGCCGTCAAATCCGCTAACAACGCCGAGAACCTCTCACCACTCCGCCGCCAGCGCCGCTTCGCCAAGTACGAGCGCGACCTGCTCCAATGCGACACCGACATCCACTCCCTCTCCCGCTTCTGCTCTGCGCAGGTCGTTGCGTTCCGCAAAATCCTCAAAAAGTACAAGAAGTGGACCGGCTCAACCACCCTCCATACCCGCATCAACCAGGACGTCCTCGGCAATCCCAAGAGCTTCACCCGCAAGCAGTTTGGCTCCCTGCGGACCAAGCACGATGAGGTTCTCACCGAGCTGCGCGCCGCGGAACCACCACTCAGCGAGCCCAGCTCACCAGACTCCCTGGTAGGTTCGCCGTCGATGCTTAGCCATACCCAGCGTCTCCCGCGAGCCGCCATTGAGCGCCTCGAGCCTGCGGAGGCGCCGTACCAGCAAAAGTACTGGAACGAGTACGATGACGCCAGCGATGCGGGCCACGACGACGGCTACGCCATCTACGTGAACCCCAACGAGGAGCCTAGCTTTCCTGGCTACGAGTATGTCGCGGCGCCCTTCCGTGCCGTCTCTGCGTGGTTTGGCAAGGGTCCTAGTAATGGACAGGCGCCGGAATCGGCACCGCTGCTCACGGGCGGCGAGAGCTCCCGCGCAGGCTACATGTCGACATCGGGGCACACGGATTCTGAGGAGGATGGCTACGCCAGCTCTGACGGCATCCCGTCGTACGGCTTCGAGGCTCACTATGCCGTCTTCCCCAGCGTCGATGAGCAGCGCGTCGCCATGTACCGCAAGAAGACGCTTTTCTGGGGTACAATTGGCAGCCTGATTATCTCGTATGCGCTGCTGGGCGTCTGCTCTATTCTCATTGCGACGGGCAAGCACCGTCTGCACATTGAGGTGGATGTTGGCGTTACTCTTGGTGTTGTTATCAGCTTGTTCTGTGCCTGCGCTGCGCTCGGCATGATGCTGTATCGCAACGACCGCCCTTCTCTCATCTTCCGCCTTGTCGTGTGGTGTGCGTTCATGACATCCTGCATCCTCAACGGCATGCTTCTCGTTCTCGTTGCCAACAACACTTCGTGAACAGTCTCCGACTTTCTTCTTCTCTCTCGCACTATATCCAACTGCAGTTACAGTTTATATTCCGGCACAACAGATATTGGCCGTCTTGTTTTTTATTCATTGATTTATCTTTATTTTGGAAGGCGAAATTTAGCGGCGCATTTTGGTTTTATTTTACAGTTATTTAGGGATCGTTTGGCAAAACGATGTTGCTACGGGACAGGGAGACAGCGGCGCAAGCGTCGCATCTCAGGGTTTGCTGTCTTTTACATAGAATGATTGAATGAGTACATACCCAATGAATTGGATCGATTTACAATTACATTTTCTCTGTTAAATGCTGTGCTTTTTCTATGACAAATTCATTAAAATTGCTTGTGATGGTGTATACAAGATAGTAGCGGCGCTCCATATGGCCTCGTGTCGCAGTGAAGCTCTGGAGATCCCGGGCAATCCTTCTCACTCCGTGAGTCACTCACCGAACGGCCTGCCGGAGTCCACACGGAAACAACACCGTATTTAAACATCGTGGTCACGCCTTGTAATCGCTACAATCCGTCACTTGAAGCCCCTATCGACGCATTTTCTCTTCTCAAAAACTATCAATCGGGTTCACCCATTCATTTCACAATGACAACTACACTGCGCCGGCCCGACCCGGCTTCATTCTTCATCCGCCCCGCGACCGGCCGCGATGTCCCATCTCTCGGCCGCATCTATGTGGACTCCTTCCTGGGCCCAGGTGCCAATGGCGATAATCTAGTCGAAATTCTATTTCCTAGCTCAATTAAGGATAAAACAGCGCTGGCCAGCCACGTCTCAAACGTATTCCTACACCGTCTGTGGCAGCCGTTGAGCTACATAACCAAGGTGGTCGACGACGGCACAGGTAACGTGGTAGGGTTCACCTGCGTCATGGAGCCGAAGCGCAATATCTCCTTCTACAGAAGGTGGATTAGTCCGTGTATGTAACAAATTTTGCACATCATGCTTGGCGTAAGTGCTAACAAATGGTGGGGGGGTAGATACTTGGTTCTCGTATTTTGGCCGACAAGTACTGAGACTCCGCGATGCCTTGTTCCAGCCTGTCAATCCGGATGAACATATCCTTGATACGTTTGGAAAGGTTCTTACAGATGTCCTGGTCGATGTTGCAACTACGGAACGTCGCAAGAATGCTTGGTATATTAGCACTATCGCGCTTCAAACTGATACACAAGGACTGGGGCTTGGACGGAAGCTAATGGACGACTGTCTGAAGCCGGTGGATGACGATGGTGCTGCTGTATACCTGGTTGGATTGAGGGGCACAAACAAGTTTTATTCCAAGTTTGGTTTCAAGTTGATTGCTCAGGCCAACGTCCGAGAGTTTGCGGGCTGGACCGAAGGTGGGCTTATTATGATTAGAGAATGATGGCGCATGTCGCAGCCAAGAGTTTGTATGAAGGAGTGTGTATTTATATGATGACTTTCTATTAAAAGTTTGGTATAAACTCGGGGGGATCAATAAAAGCTAATTAAACATGATCTGTCAAACATAATTCCAAATATCCGGAGTCTTGTAAAACCTGTGCAATGCATATTTCCCTAAAAGTCAAGTCCCTATTAAACAATACATTCGTAGATGGCTAGTCATAATGCCAAATTAATACTTTATTTCTTTATCGTGGAACCCATGTACTCGCATTGTGCGCAGTCTCGTGCCCTTCGTGGGCATGGCTGTGTGGGCGATAGGCCAGAGTCTCTCGGCCTCTCTCCCAGTTTGGCGAACCTCTGTAACCATGGTTCTTTGGTCCATAGAATGAAACAGTGTAGGGAGCCTCATCCCTTGCACCGTTTCGGGGTACATGGACGTACTCCGTCTCCCGTCGAGGGCTATTCTGTTGGGAGTAGTGGCCCATAGGCTTGCTTGCCAACGTGTACGCGCTGGATGAGCGCATGTGTGTATGACGATGGGCCTCATAACCATCATAATGGTCTTCCCCGTGGGGTTCACGAGTCATTGATGGTCTTCGGCCACGACCCGAGGTTTCGAATCTACCTCGGAAGGAGGACGAGTGGTCTGGAGGATAGTGTCTTGGCACTGGTGCCGTGTAGTGATGCTGGCCTCTGTAGGCATCATGGGGAGTAGCATAGTCGCCATTGGCAGGTGGCTCGTACGCCTGCGACCCAGGATAGCTTAGGGATCTCTCCTCCTGGTATCCAAGAGACTGCATCCTTGGGATGCTATGCACCCTGGCGTGGCTAGACGCACGTCTGGGGATATCAGCATAGGGCACAGCAGCTGCAAGCGATGGGAGAGTCTGTTCATGCTTTGGCGCCTCTCTTTGGTAGAGATGTATGCGAGCCCGCTTTCCAGTAGGGCTGCTAGGATCATCATGGCCGTCAAAGCTATGCTGACGATAATGAGGCACTCCAGCATGGTACTGTTTTGTGTCACAGATTGGGCCTTCATTCTCTTCCGAAGCTTTGCGCTTTGGAGTTCTGGCTTGTGCCGAACTCTTTCTTCTTCGGTTGAGCTTGCCACCCGTAGATTGAGGTTCGACAATGTCGGGGAGGAATTCAATCTCGGGGATTTGGCTGAGATTGCCACTGTTAATCTCATCATAGAGACGATCCGCAACTTCCATCATATCGGCCGTTGTATAACCAGTACCAATCTTTTCCAACAGCCAAGTAGGTACACCTACGGCTTCGGCTGAGCCTCTACCAGCTTCGCCACCATCCTCTCCATGTTCAATGCGATTCTGCTCTCGCTTTCTTAGAGACAGTGTCCAAAGCTTGATGAACGGGCCGCTTCCGGAGGCCTTATTCTCGTCACTCCAGCTTTGAAGTCGAGCAATCTGCAGCTTGACAAGCTCCATTTGGTTAAGCGGGTATGTCTTTGCGTTGCGGTAGCGCACTCTTTGGTAGTGCTTGCGGCAGTAGTATACCCAGACATGTTTGGGTATGCGTAGTGTGCAAGACTTGTTTCTTCCAAAGAGGTGGGAGATGGCCTTTCGAAGCTGGGATCCTGTATCACAATTCTGCACAAACATGCAAAATGCTTCAGGTTCAGGGACAGAGACGGCAGGGTTGGCCTCGCTTGTGGGCTGCTTCACAGGGCTATCTTCTGACGCATCATCAGACGCCTCCTCGTCCAGGTTGTCAATCTTTGGGTGTCCAGAAGCTTTCAGGTTCGTTCGGTTCTGATATTCGAAGAGGGCAGCTCTCTTTGTAGAGTCGACAGAGCTGTTCCTTGACCGGTGACCAAGGCTAGAGGCTAAGCTAGTGGTGGATTCTAGACCACTCTCTGGTGATCTGGGGAAAGCTCCATTGCGCTTTTGACTGCGTGCTGTATCAATCGTCAATTCCGTCTCTGATCCGCTGTGTGGGTGGTATTGCAATTGTGCAGAAACGTGTTTGCGATGTCTGTCGATAGAAGGCAGTGTCCTCTCGGGAGACGGAGTTGGTAGTGATGTTGGGAGGCCGGTCCTGCCGGATTCTGTTGTTACAACCACATTTGGCTCCGTAGGTAATGGTGATCGAGTAGGCTCAGGGCCGTTAAGTAACGAACCCAGATCCATTTTGCAAATTTGAAGGGGGGTTTTAGTATGAGCTAGCCGCTCCGATTGTTGCCGCTCCGGGCCTTGACAAGTTCAGTGCCAGGCAATACTACTTCAAATGTGTTAGTGTGAATGGCAATAGAGTATTGAGAATAATAACGAAGAAGGTAGTATAGGAAACGGGTTGATGCAAGCGGCATAAAGATGTGTTTACATCAGAGTTGACAAAGCATGATCGGAAGCAGTACTCACCGAAGAAGGGAGAGCCCTCTTAAAACCTGTGGTTCTGCTACAGGTTTCAAAACGAACACTAGCAACCTGCGGGATCGAGAGGCTGCAAATTCCAAATGCTTCGAGAAGGCTGTGCTATAACGCTGCAGCCAATCTGGGGTAAAGGTGAAACGGCAAGTTTATCTGTATGTGTTTGTGGTGTAGAGTAGGCCGGAAGTCGTGTTTTGAAACTGCGATGGGTTGCCGCCGTGTTAACGAACGATGGCTTTTAATGCGAGTTTCAAAGTCAGTGTCTTTTGTTCAAAGAGGACGGATGACAAAGGACGGGAAGAGAGGAGTAACAAAAATAGGCAGGATCGGGACCGGAGGGTTGATGAAGTGAGAAGAGTTGGGCGTGTGAGGGATCTGAACTTGCGACGCCAGGTGTGCCAGCCGTCAGCCCCGTTAATGGAATGTCAGGCGATGACTTTGAAGAGGGGCAGAGGGTGCAAATATATCAGTGTGAGGGGAGGTTCTGGGGGATCAAGAAAAAGCAAGGCAAGTCAAAGTGTGTAAGGATGGTGGTCCAAATATATGCTTGTGAAATGATGAATGAGGCGGCCAAGGGGGACAGACCTTTGCGGCCGATTGTGAACATGGGCAAATGACTTACCTTCCAGAGAGGGTGGGCCGTTGCAGAACAGCTACTCTGCGTTTCTTCGGAAGACAACCAGTTGTGAAACGTCAAAATGGGATGCTCCTTATTCCAAATCGGGAGAAGAAGGGTGGGAGGTAACGTGGATGGGAGGACGACGATGCGGTCTAAGAGATAGCACAAGCACATGCAACTAGTCAGTCACTTGCTGCCCGCGCAAAACACGGATCCGTCCCGGGGGAATGGGTTACAGGGAAATGGAAACTCACCGTCAAGGAACGGGGCCAAGGGTGACGGCGTCGACAAACGGTGCTGGGCCTCGGCGACTGTCCTAGCCGGCCACTCAACCACGATGCTGGGTACGCGCAGGCAGACTGAGCCAAGTAGATGCTGTCTATTCGCACAGACAGACAACGCTGCGGGGCCACCAAAAAACGAACGGGGCAAACGTGCGCGCGCAAATCGGCAGTTCAAGGGGAGATGAGCAGGATCCTTGCCACGCTGTTGCAGTGGTGTGATGGCGCGAACCTAACAAGCTCGAGGAGGGCCAAAGGGATACAGCCCAGAAGGTGCGGATATCTGGACAGCTTCCGAGCTAGCGTTGTAACACCAAACTCTGTTACGGAGAAGGCAAGTTCTTGGCAACCAAGTGCTCGGACAAAGACGAACTGGCAAAAGTTGGGTATGGCGAATGAGTTGGGAGGATGGCCGAGAGTGAGATGGGGAAGAGGATTGTTGAGATGGGAGAGGATGAAGCAATATAATAAGTTGTCATCTGAAAACCTGTAGGATACTTCAGAAATTGTTTGCACTGGAACTTATGCGCAATAGTTCGGTCGAAAGATGGGAGTTGGCGCAAAACAAAAAAGTCATTCGACCGCGTCGAGTAGCGTGCCCACTCGCAAGGTGATGGATCAGAGTTGGCGAAAGGGCAAATGGGCGTCTAGTCGCAGCGCAAAGATGGGTTCCACAGCGGCGGCGGCATGTGGCCAGTGTATTACAGACAACGGCGTACAAGAACTCGCCAGGAGAATAATTGAAATCGGGGGTGTGAAGGTGGTTGCGGGCGTAAGGGGAAAGAGTAGCCTTGCGCCGCCAGGACCACGTCCTGTCATACAAGCACAGAGTTGCCCTAACCCAGAAGTGGACGGTGGGTGTGCCGGCAGTAGATTCTGCAAATCGAACTAGCAAATACGCAAGTCAATTGAGCTCTAGTGCCGCTTGCTTAGGTGGGACATGTGAAGACAGCGGGAACGGACGGGCACGGCACATCTTCGCAACCCGCTTTGCGCAAGGGTGCTCGTTGTTCGTTGCGGTCCATGCCAGTGAGACAAGTTCAAAGTTTGCCTAGTAAGAATAGCCAGTCGTTTAGTTTTACCATCACGCGGAGATGACCGTTTTCGTGAGTTGCTGCGTGGCAGATCGCGATTAATTCATGTCCGGAGACGTCCCCTCAGTGGGCGGACTGCCGATGGGCTCCAGCGCACCAGCAAAAAAGAATACACACATTATCCACTGTCTGCACCCCCAAGTAACGTCTCTTCTTAGTTACGGGAGACGAGCTGTTTTCACTGTTTTCCTAAAGAAGCAGCTCCGTTCACAGTGCACTGGGGGACCGCTAGTCTAGAAGACATTTTACTGCGAAGGCCGCTGTGTGTTGACGATTCAACCGCGTGCGACTAACGGCGCTAACAATGGAACTCGCGCCCACCGGAACTGGCCCCGGGGGAGGGGGGCGTGACAGGGAGTGGGGGAGGAGTGTGGTTTGCTTTTAATCTAATCATGGTACAGCCACCAGCCCAGCTAAGTAACCGGGAACGGGGGCGAAAGGGAGGCGCCATCACTGCCCCCCTCTCTACTCGACACGGTGTGTTTCATTGGGCTGTTTGGAGCCGCAGTTGAGCAGGCCATGGCTAGTCCATGGGAGGGAGGCTCCTGGACTAGTGCGCTTAGGTCGCCGAACCAAATACCAGTGCCTACGCGAGCTGTTTTCTTCCCTATTGTTTTGACAGCCAGGGCAACGGGACAGGTGGGGGACAGGTTCCGGAGTGGGCATAGGCGAGGCTCGCAAAAGGGCGGCACTGGTATGCTGTCAAGGGCGACCACGCACCAAAAAAAAGAGACGGAAATACGATGGACTGACTGGAAGCCACGTCCATCCATAAAACGAGATGGGAGAGTCAACACAAGCGGGTTTGTCTTCGTCTCAGCTCCAGTGGCGGTAGCAACGGTGGGCGGGTTCCGGCAGTATGGCTACCTACCCAGTGACGAGTCCCACCAGCAGGCGGTGGAAGCACGCCGACAGCGTAGGTATTACAGCGCGCTGTGTTATGCCAGTTGCAGCGCAGTACCTCCGCTCTGTACGGTCAAGGGCGGGCTTCCGCAGGTACCAGCTGGCTGTTTAAGGGAGGAGGAGGCGTCTTTTACTGGGCCGCCGGCGGAGCTGATCGGTAGTGCCCTACAACTAGGGGAGGGCTTGCAGGCTGTTTCCAAAAGAGGGGCGTCTGACGTTTCGGCTGCGACGCTGAACTTGTGAAGAGAAGATTACCGAGGGAAGCTGCCAGCAAAAGAGGGGCTGCCCCAATCTTGACTGCCGTAGCGCTACAAGGCCAGCCACAGGCCTGATGCTTTGTCCCGCAGACACACCACGCTCACACGACGGCTATGGCGCTTGTTGCCGCCGTTGTGCCACGCTTCCCCCCAAATGTGACACTATGTGATTGCCTTTTTTCCCATGGTTTTCCCTTGCGGGTGTGTGAGCAGCAATAGTGCAGTGTGTGCTAAGCACAAGACAGGGAAGACGGAAATAAAGTTAGCAAAAGACGAGTCTCACAATACTATACTAGGTTAGACATCTTTCTAGCGTATGCAATGCGATTGGCTTATCCACACGTTGCGTGGACATACCGTAGAGCACCCCCAAAACCAACACACCGTATACAATTGTACAGTACACCACCGTTTTGCCCTTGCCAATGCCAATGCTGTGCCAAACACAGCGTCCAACCACGCTGCAAATATAGCACCTTTACAGCGCATCAGTGCGCCTTCTCCCGCGCTGGACGCAGTCGCTATCGGGCAGAGTCCGTATGCCTCCAGTGTGGAGGGTAGCAGAGCGCACGGCGTTTGAACGACCTACAAGGTGCTGCCAGCTGCCTGCCAGCTGCCACTTACCTGTGAACTGCCTGGAAGAGCCTAGCGGCAGGCTAGAAGCCCCCCCTGGTGGTCTGACTTGGCGGGCCTGCCAGGTGTCATGGAACTCCTCTGCTCTGTCAGTTTGCATTGCAACCATCTGCACTCCCCCGTATCAGAAAGCATACCGCTGGAGGCAATCCTACCTGAACTTGGAGGAGACCAGCGCCCCTCTTGACCCGCCCGATTTTGACCATCTCCGAACTGACGTGGTCGGTCAGTGAGCCTGAGCAGCGACCAAAACGAAACCGACAGGCATTAGCACTGTCAGGGCGGGACGGTGAGCCTCCGTTCTGTGTCGAAGCCATGAATCGCGGGCAACCTTCTCGAAACTTTCTTTGCTGCGCCATGCCAAAAGGCAACGGTCGAATGGCGCCAGCCCAGAAAAAAAGGACCCCTACCTGCGCTAGCTGCAGCAGCAGCAACAGAGGACACTAGCCGAACACGACGATAGTGGTTCAATGCGTCCGCTACAGCAGAGCTCTGTACGCCCTGCACCCACGCGCACGGCCGCTCAAACTTGCTGGCTCAATTAACTTTATGCAAGTGATGTGGGTAGCTGCCCTGTTCCAACGGCATATAGCGCTGGCGCACCTGCATTTCTGGGCTATCCAGGCAATCGGAACCAGCCCAGTGCTACGTCGCGACGCCACGCAAAACGTTCGGCATCTGCCCTGCGCGCCGCCGCGGCGTCATGAGTGCGCCATGTACATTCATTTGCTCAGCAATTTATTCATCACTTCGTGTCTGCAGCATGGCAACTGAAAAACTAGACATCATGACTGAAAAGCCGTTTCAATAGCCGTGTTTCATGCGCGACGCTCAGCACGCTCCAGCGTCCAAGCTCCCCTGCAGGCGCCATCTCGCGACAGCCGGTCACAATCGGGCGTGTGCGGGTTAGTGAAGATGAGCCTGGGGCGCCCCCAAGGCCGCTCGCTCGTCGTGCTTGCCGGCTAAAGTTGGGCGATTGACTCGGCCTAACGATTTGTGACGGCCAGCTTTCCGCGACGCCAAAATCCCCATTATAAAACGGGGCCTGTGCGTGATAGGGCGGACCGAAGGAGATGTGACGCTGCGGCATGGGTGTTATAGGCTTTGAGCATTCGTCTCAACTCGCAAACGACGCCAATCCCATCGACCCGGCATGCCACTGAGCTAGTTTCTTGCTACTCTAGGCTGCTGGCTAGCTTACCCCCCCTTGCCTTGGACAGACGCATCCACCATAGAGGCGTCTTGGTCACCGTAGGCCTCGGCCAAGGACCCAGCAACCCACACCATAGTGGTACGATGGCTGATCGACCCTCTTTCACCAAGTGTCGAGCTCGTTCCCGCTGTCATCTCATGGAAATCATGGGCCTATCAGTTTTATTGGATGGAACCCGATAAGTTTCAACCAATATACTAGACAATGGTGCTATCTATCAATGAGCTGGTGTGCCAAGTGCCACGTTTTTGCCAAAGTTTTCTTGGGATTTCATCTTTACAATTCAAAGTGACATATCAACCAAATCCCACTGACGTCAAACTTCAGTATGGGGGTTGGCATCCGCACGCCATGACTCAGCGGAAAGACGGCGTTCTGTCCTTTGCTGCCGTAAATCGTTAGATCGACCCTGTGATTATTATGTTTTTGGCCAAATTGGAAAATGCAAGGATGCACCATTTCGTCCAGCTACCCCTTTAGGCAACCTGTGCGGAACGCCAATGGGTAGCCTGGCTACACGTGGATTCGTTTAGACAATGTAACCGTGCGTCCTCTACACTCGCCTTCAAAAACGGCCTAGCTGGGTAAAACGGCTATTGCTAGTCTGTCGTATTCTCGATTTGCAACAATTTCCGGAAAACCGCGAGAAGAATTCCGATTTGGCATGTGCTTAACCGCTTGAGCGGTTGTCAAACGGTCAGATGCGACAGCCTAGAGGCTTGCCCACTACGGAGATCTCATCCTTTCTTGAGCTCAGCCAACAGCCATCAAATCTATTCCCATCGTACCAATTACTGCGATCTGCAGAATGACCGTCCGGAACCTCTTGGCCGTCCAGTGCTGTGCCCGTGGATTTGCAGAAGCAAAAGGCGTCGAGGTGGAACGATGGCGCAGAGCTATCTAGATGACGCAAACTATCGATTCCAGATGAGCTCAAAGTTTGCATATGATAGAACATGGCTTCGCAAAGTGGCCAATATCTGTCGTTGGATAGCTGCTCCAATCAGTGGCAACACGCAAATGCACGTCGCCATGACCTTTTCTTGACGGAGATTTCCGAGTTAAACCCGCCCAGCAAATTAGGCCAGCGACGGAGCTAGCTCCTGAGGGTTACATTGACATCTAACAACGCCATTTGTGTCTCGCATTAACAAGGTATTCAGCCCTCCTGCACAGCATGTTGAACCCCTCTTTCCCCTACTAGAGCCACATCCTCACTCAGCTTCACAGGCAGGTATCCCCCTTGTCTCTTCCATCAATCTGTAGAGCGACGCCATCGGTGAATCCAGGAAGCCCACATGTGCCTTGGCCAGGTTGTACCGTCCTGAATGCGGTCTAGATGTACCAATCGACTAAGCCTCGTTCACACCTTGTCCGTGTATTTGAGCCGGTAATACCATTTTTAGATATCTCATGTTGTTCTGTCTTGGAAACCCATGTGCTCACACTTCGTGGAAGCCGCGGAAGCCACTTAGCCGGCTACGACACTAGGTTTCATGCTTCTCAGGGTGACGCATGTCTGCCAGATCTAAAATGATAGATAGCTTTTTCCTGTCTCACAACGAGCCAGGAGCCGCCAGCCATACGAGGTTTATCCGACGTGCATTTGCACAAGCTTTTTCCTTCTGTTTTGAACTCGAGTGGTTCGAGAGGAGAACCTCGGCTGATGAAGCTTGCTCTCGTGGCAAATACCTTGATTGATGCTTTCTAGATAGCCTGCATCAGCGAAGAACGAGATAGCTCTCTTTTGTAGTAGACGCTACTGTAACTCTAAATCTTACGTGCTTAGGCCGGTTAGCCGGGCGCTAAGTGGGGCATATGCGTATAAGACCTTAAGTCAAATTAAGCCGATTTTGAGTTGCCGAGTTTTCGCTCTAATGCCCCCGTAGCGGAGTGGTTACCGCGTGACTCTTATAGCCTAAGAGATCCTCTTTTAGAGTCTATGTTAAGAAATGTCAAGGTCCGGGGTTCGACCCCCCGCGGGAGCATTGTTTTTGCTCCCGCGCATTTCTTTTTACTTCTTTTGGTTCTTTGTATCCAAGTTCCCCTTTCATTCTACTTCCACACTCATTCAATAATTTTTGAAGCGAGGTTTTTTTCTTCTTCCACCGCTGCTTACACTCCCAATGTTCAAAAGAGGAAGGCGGCATATCTGTCATCCCACCAACAGATACCGAACCGCAAATTGGATGCTCCGCAGTTGGCCCTGGAGTCATGATGGACATCCCCATTCTCGGCTTAAGACCTTGCGAACACATATCACTAGCGTGGACAAGGTCGCGTAAATTGTCCATCTCTGATATCTCTGATCACGGTCGGTGTAAATTTTGTAAATCCCGGTTCGTCTGTTCTCGTCGTCGTCCCAAGAAACGACATCAGATCTTGCATGGGGACCATCAAATCGTTACGTAACAGCCCCAATGTATAAATTAACCAATATTGAACCTTTTGCAACCCTAAAAGGGCGATTCTGCTAGCGAGATGCGTCGTCTGATATATGTGGCTGATTATTAAATGCTTACGCTTTTTTTTTGCTGCGCTCTCTATGATGCAAATCAGGCTCGTAGCGACGGCATTGATTGGGTACAAAGCGCCCCATTTCGTCCGCTTGACTTCGCTTAAACACCGACGAGACGGCTTAGCAAACAATTTTGTAGTGAGTGGGGGATTGGCGCATCGCTTAGAACGAACAACGAATGGGATCACCGCCGTTAATGAAATGTGTTATCAACACACCCTTAGAGCAAACGGGATGAGTGGCATCCCATCCCTGTCCCCGTCTCCAGACTCACCTGTAAACACCCTCGCCAAGGTCACACTTGCAGGGAGACAACAGTTTAAAGGAGGGACGAAAACATTCCGACCACCGGTCCTTTGTGTAACCCACTGGTGATAGACAACAATGCCCATTGGCTCATGCAGCCACCAACAATCAATGGGGTGAGGCAGCCGGTCTAGTTTTGGGACTAGGCCGCGTCAGGCAAACAACCACACTGGGTACATACATACCGGATATCAGTCGACTAGTGATGCAAGATGTGGCTTTCCGTCCGGACCACTGCTATATATCCATGGGACGAGGCGCAGGCATGGCGGATAGTCGACATGCTAAAAGTGGTACGAGAATGTTTGATACGCTCCAGCTGCATGACGTGGTCACAAATTGGGCGCATGACAAGTGATGCAGAAAAAGTTAAATGAATGGTATCAGTTTGCCTAAACTAGGTCATTGACGCCTTTATCGGCATCCTGCTTAATCAGTTCAAACATGCCCTGTATGTATGTTAGCGAGTTTCGAGTGTGGGAGAATAAAGCACTCTTGAAATTTACCTCTGGCATGATGGGCTGATCATCAGCACCCTTAACATAACGGAAGGGCATCTGCGTGCTCTCATGCTTGTTGAACTTGAGTTCAGGGTAGTCAAGGTACGGGACATCGGTGAGGGCGACTTGAATGTAGGTTAGCAAAATCGATTCGCTGGTTGACTGGTTTGAAGGGAACGTACTCTTTTCCTGCACAACCATCCTGGTAACGCGGACAGCTGTATCAGTAGTCATTTGCTTCGGACCAAGTCTTCTTCCTTCGAATCCCTTTTTTCTTAGTTCAGAGGTGCGGTCTGCAGGTGGTTAGTATTCATTGTCATAGTGGGAGCAACCAGAGACGTGATATCGTCTGTCTAACCTCTTGGGGGGTCATCGCCTGCGCCATGGGTGGTTAATAATTTATACACAAGACTGTTGGCAGCATGATTAGTACATACCTAGAATTCCTCCAAACAAAAAGGCATCAAAGGAATCACCGTCCTCAGGAGCGAGGTCCTTGGCAGCCGCGGGGTCGAGCAAGCACACACGGCTCTTGTTAGCGGCGTACAATTCCTCTACGCCACGCTTCTCAGCTGTGAAGGCATCGTTATCCTGAAGGGCTTGGGGGACCTTAAATTCGTCTGGTAAACTGGAGAGGATGAAGGAGCAGTTTGTAGTCTTGGATTCAGCAGCAATTGTCTTGTACTCCAGCTCTGACCAAGGGCCGAGCTCTGGGTCGAGATGCTCGACGATGAACGTCTTCTTAGCGGCAGCCATATGTGTTGTATGAATCACGAGATATCAATCTCGTGTAGATTATGGGATAGACGGTGAAGAGTGACTTATTAATATGAAATGGCGATGAGTATGCGAGTTAGAATTCTGACCTTTTGCTGTGTGGAGCTGTGAAAAAGTTGCCCAGCGCCGGAAGCCGTTAGGTGGTGCTCCCTCAAAGATGTGACATCTCGGTGTTAAGATGGCGCAAACTGCAAATATTTCGCTGTAGAAAAAATTCATTAAATTTGCAGTTATTATTCAGAGAACATCTATTTATTAGTATTTGGTCAAACTAAATACAATATACTTTGAAACTGATTCTGTGACGCTGATGCAGCTCCTGATTGAGGTAGAACGGCGGTCAGTCAAATCAACGCAGGAGATATATTATGGATAAAATCGACTACAAATACGTATACTTAACTGCAAGAGCAATTTTAATATTTTCGTTGTAATTTTTAACACAGTCTTCTATTGTAGAGTCGACAAACAGTGCAGTGCAACTCAGGGTCCAATACGTAAGCCCGCGGCGCATGGACACCCGCCCCCCAGATGGACGCTAAGCTTAGTGGCGCCCGCTGCGACTGACCTGCCACATCGCCAGATTGCTTGCGACGACTTGCCACATTCACCCGGCATTCGACATACGCTTTCCATCAACGCTCCCATCGAAATCGAATACAGCGAGACGAGAAATACAAATATCAACGTTAACGACACCCATTTCCCTCGGCCGCCGGCGGACTGGCTACGAAACGCCCTATCGCCGAGCACGCGCGTGCGACAAACCAGCCATGAGGCTGACACAACCCGTAGCATGGCTCTACGCCTTTGCTGCGACAGTATCTCCGTTGAGAGCCATGGCTAAAACAGCTGCGGATTACTATGTTCGAGATCTCCCCGGTCTACCCGCGGATGGACCGGTCGTGAAAATGCATGCTGGGTATGTCGCTAGACAACGATGACAGGCTCTTGGCGATGAGACCGACTAACAATTTATCTGTACAGTCATATCGAGGTCACTCCCGAACATAACGGGAATATGTTCTTCTGGCACTTCCAGAATCAACACATTGCCAATAAACAACGAACTGTCATCTGGCTCAATGGTGGACCAGGATGCAGCTCTGAGGATGGTGCCTTGATGGAAATTGGCCCTTACAGGCTAAAGGATAATGACCACCTGGTTCATAACAACGGATCTTGGAACGAGTTTGCGAACCTCCTATTTGTTGATAACCCGGTTGGCACTGGTTTCAGTTACGTCGACACCGATAGCTACGTAGAGGAGCTTGATGTCATGGCAAGTCAGTTCGTCACCTTTCTCGAGAAGTACTTTGCTCTGTTCCCAGAGTATGAACGAGATGATGTAAGTAAAGTTTTCATATTGATGGCCGTTGGTCTTCTTCTTCTAACCTCATGTATAGTTATACATTGCTGGCGAGTCCTATGCTGGTCAGCATATCCCATACATTGCGAAGGCAATCCTCGACAGAAACTTGAAAAATCCCAAAAATGCGTGGCAACTATCCGGTCTACTGATCGGAAACGGGTGGATTTCCCCCATCCAATACAGAACATACGGAAAATTCGCCCTTCACAAGGGCCTTGTCGGTAAAGGCTCTCCCGAGGCCGAGGAGCTCGAGGCCATGACACAAAACTGCGAACACTATCTAGGAAAGGCTGATGCTATTGATTTGCCTGGCTGTGAAGGTATTCTTCAGAAGATTATGAGCCAGAGCAAAACTGATGGCAAAACTGATGGCTGCATTAACATCTATGATGTTCGCCTTCGCGACTCCTGGCCAGAATGTGGAATGACCTGGCCCCCAGACTTAGCCTACCTGAACCCTTATCTACGCAATCCAAAGGTGATCCAAGCCTTGCATATTGACCCAACCAAGAACACAGGATGGCAAGAATGCAAGGACGCGGTTGGAAGGGCCTTCCGCAAAACTCATGCCAAACCATCTGTGAGACTGCTTCCTGACATCATGAAACAAGTACGCCTTCTGCTCTTTTCTGGTGCGGATGATCTTATCTGCAACCACTTTGGTACGGAAGATCTCATCAATGAACTCGAGTGGAACGGTGCCAAGGGCTTTGAAATCTCGCCTGGAAACATGGCTCCCCGCCGAGAGTGGACTTTTGAGTCGGAGGCTGCTGGCTTTTGGCAAGAGGCTCGCAACTTGACCTATGTTCTATTCTACAACGCGTCTCATATGGTTCCCTTTGATCATCCGCGCCGTTCGCGAGACATGCTAGACAGATTCATGGGTGTTGATATCAGCAGCATCGGTGGCGAGCCCAGCGACAGCCGCATCGACGGAGAGAAGGGGTTGGACACTAGTGTCAGTGACGCCACCAACAATACCAAGACCAACGAGAAGGAGATTAAGGAAAAGCTGCAGCAGGCCAAATGGGCAGCTTACCAACGATCTGGTGAAGTCGCTCTCGTCTTTGTTTCTATTGCTGCGGCCCTGTTTGGCTACTTTGTTTGGCGACAGCGCCGCAAGGGTACGCTCTACAGTGCTCTTCGCGGTGAAGAGGCATCCAAGTCAGGCTTCAGACGGCCTGGCGGTAATGCTGACTTGGAGGCATCTGACTTTGCCGACGCTTCAGTCGACGGCATGCCTCTGCGATCAATCGACGCTGCAAACAACGACCACTATGGAATTGGAGACGATAGTGACGAGGACGATGAAGCGTCTGTCAAAGACAAAGAGGGCAAAAAGCCCGTCAGCGAGAAGCCCGAGTAACAACAAGACACACTATAGATTTGAAGTTTTGAGAATTCTGTATAAATATCCAAGCCACAACAATTTTTTAAAGATAAATACGCTCAAACATAAAATGTCTTTTCATTAGACTCTTTGAAATGCTGTGTGAAATTCTATAGACTCGCGTTTGCGAGAAGCCAAAAAAAAGATACCCATTCGCCGCTAACGCCGCCATGCAATACGTTCCTTATCGAGATACGCAACCTTGTACCATAATCCCGCTTGATCAAGCCGGTAGACTCCTAGCCATGTCATGTAATAATCAGTGTTGTTTGAGGTGCCATTTACAGCTGAATTTCATTGTTCAACAGCCTAACCTCTTCGCCAGGCTTGAAGGGAGGCAGGCCAATGTATGGGCAGCCGTCGCAGCGGAAGGCATCTCCAAGAGCACAGTTACCGCAGGATCCAACCTTGCCTTGCACGGTGAAATCAACCTCGGTGAGGTCATCGGCGGCAAGCTTGAAGGCGTTGAGTTTCTTGTCGGCTTCGGCACGCTTCGTGGCGTCTTCTTCGGCAAGACGCTCGGCGAGACCACAGGTGCAGTCCTTGCAGGCACGGCGGCGCTTTCCGGGCTTTGGCTGACACTCGGGGGCTATATTGGGAGCCTGTGTTAGTTTAAACGATCGAGTTGTTCAGCCCATAGGGGAGGTTACTCACGGATGTTGATGGGGCGCTTGAGGTCTTCCTCGGTCATGAGATCGTCCTCGTCAATCAGGTCGTCATCATCGAGGTCATCGCTGAAGTCAATGAAACCAACTCCAGCGGGAGCAGCAGGCTTCGCTACCACAGGTGGCGCGGTAGTCTTCTTCTTGCCTCCCAACTTGAGCATGACAGTGCCTTCACTTGCTCCGTAGTCTGGCTTCTCGAAGCCGCTTCCTGAACCCACCAAGCCTGCCAGGATAGCCTCCTTAGCCAGTGGTGTAGCCTGGAGATCCTTGGAGTCTTGAGCCTGGAGCTGGCCCTTGGGCTTGAGCGACTCGACGACCGAGCCGACAACACGTCTCGTGAGCAGCTCGACTGACTCATTGACGGAAGCAGATGCGTCGGCGAGAATAAGTATGGTGTCGTAGGTGGATTCGGGGAGTGTGACGAGGCCAGCGGCAATTCGATCGATCATATGGAGGTCTGTGACGGCGCGATCATACTGAGAAACGACAGCGGTAAGGTTGTCGGGTTGCGCTGCGAGCGAGGGAGGGGCAAGCAGCAGCGTGCGCTTGTCGGAAAACGCCGACGAATCGTTGGGGTCGATAGTGAGTGCGGGTGCCATCGTAGTTGTCTCTATAGTCGTGCTCTAAGGGGGAAACTGATCTGGGCAAAGACTGAGGGTATGAGGAGGTTATGAGGAGTGAAGGCGGGAAGAAGGGAAGTCGGGGACGTTTTCTGGATTTGTCAGGATAGTGCAATTTTTAGTGATACTGTGCGAGGATTTGCTAAAGCACACCGGTTAGCTAGACCTATTTTAGCTGTGATTATACAGTGCGGAAAGCACATGCCGTGCCTGGCCTTATCACCCCACCGATCGCGGGGCCGCCGTGCACGGTTTGCCGATAAGAGCGACGGCCTCCGAAAGCGGCTCAGCCAGCGGTACATGGCTGGACCTATGTGCTGACAGCAATTACAAAGACATTGTCAAAAGTGCCGGGTGGATGCTTCACAGCTTATTTAGCTGAATATTGGTTGGCGGATATATTATCCATCATAATTAAATGACGGATGACCTTTATTTTCGGTCGTTTACTAAGATCCGGAGGAATGGCATGTTGGACGGCTACCCGGTATAAGAGCCACGAACCCGGCAGCGGCGATGAGCCACCTAGAAGTCGGTTCTGGAGTAAGAATATATGTACATAGTACACTAAATACATAACTTAGTCTTAATTTTTATTTTATTTTCCTTCAACCCCTATTACTTGCGCTGTCATTTTGAAGATGGTTCCGTTCTGTTCAAGGGCACAGTTTCCAGTGACGAAAGAATTTAGCTGAGACTGAATAAACGAACACCAAGACTCTTATAAAATGATACATACAACGGAGTTTGTTTCAAAGAATATATGCTACACACTATAAGAAAGAATTCTTCCATGGTTTTCTATAGCGACGCGTGTCTACCTGTTACTATGGCAGTCCTGCCAGCTGGCAACTGGCAGACTTGTAAACACTGGTGCTAATCGAGTATCTATTCACCATCATACTGGCTATACTTTCTTTGTACCCCTCTTATTGTAACAATCCCTTTCAGAAAACTCCGTCTGACCAAATATCCCCCCAATTGAAAGAAGCCATGAGTGGCTGGGACAACAATGATCAAGGAGCTGCAGGCGGCTGGCAAACAAACGCTGCCGAGCCTGTTTACGATGGCTGGGAGACACCCAAGGGCATTTCTAGTGATATTGTACCAGACCAATCGAAGTCTGCTTTAGCTTCCCTTGACCAGGTCAATGATTTGCTTCAGAACGCCAGCCTTGACGAAGGCAACGATAAGTGTTTTGGCTGTGGTCAGCCTGGGTACGTGCCATCGTTGACGCACAATTGTCTACTAACCAGAAAGTACAGACACATCCGAGCCGATTGCCCAAGTGCTGAAGACAATGTATGCCGCTACTGCAAGAAGCCTGGACATATGGTCAAGGAGTGTCCTGATAAGCCACCAATGATCTGTGACAATTGCGGACAGGAAGGTAGCATAAACACACTTCGATTCTTGACAAACGCCCATTTCTAATTTATGCTAGGTCACACTAAGATCAAGTGTGAGAACCCTCGCCGCATTGACCGCGAACACATTGCCGATATGCCGGCAGACAAGGCTTGGGACAAGATCAAGAGCGCAGCGAGGGAACGCGATGCTGATGATGCAAAGGAAGCAATCCAGGAATACATCAAAGCTGTCGACGGGGCTGTGACGTACCGAGACTTGCAAGAGTCCTTTATTAGGGACGGTATCAACCTTTGGTTGATTGGAGTAAAGCGTCCTCTCATCGACGTCTATACTAACATGGATATTCAGGGCAACACTGGCAAGAAGTACACGATTTCTTACCGCTTCTCTGAACGTCCTTCTAGGCCTCGAGAGAGATGTGGCTGGCCACAGGATCGCCAGGAACTGCTCAACAGACTCGACAATGCTGGTGATGCTGTTGACGGTGGTATCCCCAAATGTGTCAGATGCAAGCAGCTTGGCCATGTTTTGAAACACTGTACGATCGAGCGTCAGGAAAATGAAGATGCCCACAAAATGATGTGCTACAATTGCCGCTCCGACCAACACCGGGTGCGTGACTGTAAGTCTCTTTCTGTAGATGCTGCGAACTACTGCTAATGATGTAGGCCCTGAACCTCGAGTGGATAGATTTGCCTGCAAGAACTGCGGGTAAGGAACCTCTGACTGTCTGAAGTGTCTCAAGCTAAAAGTCATATAGCAAATCCGGACACAAGGTAGCAGAGTGTCCCGAGGAGCCCAACGCCGAGAACGTGGAGTGTCGTCGCTGCCATGCGAGTATGTTTTCGAGCCACATTTTAACTCACAATGCCTAGCTAACTACAATTCAAGAGGGACATTTCGCAAAGGACTGCCCCAATGGAGGAGGAGAAGGTGGCAGTGGATGCCGCAACTGTGGCCAAGAAGGGCATATTTCTCGTGACTGTGACCAGCCTGAGAATATGGACAATGTTATTTGCCACAACTGCTACAAGACTGGCCATCGGCGCCGGAACTGTCCATTGCCTACGGATTGTAAGTGATATCCTCGCCTATCATCAATGTGACATTATTAACCGAGCCGACAGGGAGTAAAGTCCAATGCACCGTATGCCAAGAGTATGGGCATACGCGCGTTCGATGCCAGAAGGCGCCACCAGATGATATGAAGGGCGATGCTAGCCACGGCTTCGACCACGTTGTAGTTGGCAATGGTGCTGGCTGGGAGAGTTCAACTGGGCCTGCTGTTATGACAACCACCTCTGTAGGTGGCTGGTAACAGCCGGTAACAAGCACCTCGAGAGTTTTGGAGAAAGCTTCTCGATGTTGGTATGAAAGCTTGCTTGAAATGATTGAAGTGGACATTAGCTAGAACAATGAAGGCAAACAAATTGAAATAACCACAGAGGTTTAGCGGCATGCCTTTGATGTTTACAGATACCACCAGGTCGATAGGATGCTACTCTTCTATGAGGTTGGCATATATGGCAATAACAACTGCACCATTACAAAAGTTGAGCAAAGCTTCCAGACGGGACCAAAACTGTTTTAGTGTGGATACCAAGGTTGGAGCTTGCCTTGTGTATCGGTACATAATTAGATCTAATCGGTCTGCGTAGCATAAACTCTGTGACTACAGCAAGCGAGGATATAAATGGCCAAGCCCAGACAAGTGTCGTGGGTTGCAGAGTCGTGACGTCACAGATGGTACTGAGAAGCGGCGCCGATCGCGACGGTGTACCATTTGGTGGAGTAGCGGGTTTTAGACCGCGCAGAAGAGGCGCTCCGTTTTAAGCCAGTGTTATTTAGGCACACCACAGAATACGAGACGGTAGCGAAAGGGGATGCGGCGTTACGACGGGGGAACATGCAGGTATTAGTAAACGGAATGGACAGCTAAGACGCGGGCGGTTAAACTCGTGACTTTGATGGGCGATTGCGCAAGGAGGGTAGATATTGGAATGTGAGAGACAGCTTTGTCGCAGGCCGGGCCGTTTTGAATCTGGGTAGAGTGGCCTGGGGGACGGAGTCAAGGTGAGGAAATACGCAAGTATACTTCTGACGATGGAGATGGAGATAATAAGTAAATACTCGTCAATTGAATAAGCCTGGCCGTCTTGCTTTCTGATGTGGAACTGATATTAATGAGTGACCTCCAAGCCGGCCTCTTGTTGTTGCGCTGGAGAGCGAGAGAGACCCCCGAAAGACAATGTTACAGGGGGGCGGAACACGCCCACAGTGCGGGCGGTACTTGGGTAGCTACAGGTGCTGGGAGATGTAATTACAGGTGGCAGAGAGGGTAACTTAGTGGTGCTAGGCAAGTAAAATATGACGTGGCGAGGGTAGTGTCCATCCAGGGCCATTAGGTCCGGCGGCGATCTTTTTTTTGAGACGACAACACAACACAGCACGCCTGTTGATGAGTCGCGCTGCTTCTGTTACTTAGGATCCTATTCCCCCGAAAATTATTGGATTCTTATTCTCGTGAAATGTCCGTTTTTCTTAATAGTCTTCAAATACTACTATAACGCGTGGGAAGAATTAGAAGACCACGCCTAGAAAGCTGGCACGCGACGCCCACGCCCGCTCGCCACTATAGAGCATCTCCACACAGTGCTAGAAGATCTGTTTTGTAAGCAACGCTGCACCGTCCATCGGGTCCCTAGGCACGCCATTTGGGGACTAAGACGAGAAAAAAAAAATGGCCCAGTCGGCTTTTTCTTCCCTGTCGAGTAGGAGGCGAGCGAGCGACAGTGGTTGTAGCGGCCGAAGAGAGAACTGGGGCGGCGGTCCTCCCTCACCCACACCAACCCGTCCCCTTCTTTTTCTCTTCTTAACAACGTCATCTCTGACGTCTTCACCCCCGTTTTCCTGCCTCTCGCAACGACACCGCGACAGAAACCAGGCGTCCCTCGATAACCGCCCGCTACCTGCGCCGCACCCTCCCACGGATAAGCGCGTCTCCGTTTTGTACGGCCATCTGGACATTTTTATATTCGTCGTTTTTTTTTTCTTCTCGTCGATATCTCTTTTGCCTTTTGCCTTTTGTCTAGGCTTTGGCTTTGCGGACGAGGACAGAAGGAAAAAAAAAGTCTTGCGTCGACGGGAACTACGAAAAGTGCTCTCCGTAGGCTGGCTCTTTTTCATCAGCAGGTTTATTTTTGCCTATAGAGCGCTATCCACGAAGGCTGTATTCTATCCCTCCAGCCAATATCCTTTTTTTTCCTTTGCTGGCTGTTGCTGCTCGCTGTTCAATGCGTTGTTGCCAGTGAAATCAAGGACCACACCTAGTTGGAGTTTACCGCCCAGTAGCGCTGGCGCACGCATCAGACTTGACTGACCACGCGTTGTCTGCTCACACGCACCCGCTCTCCTTTCTCTTTTCCCATCATCTTTCTTATTCCCATCCATCCGCTTACACGGCAAAACCGAATCGGCGGTGATCCAGGCGTGCGGTAAACTTTTTTTGATAACCCGCCGCCCGCTTGTTGTGCTGCTTTTGGCTTTAACAAGCGCAGGTTTGATTTTCCTGCCCCCCCCCCACACACGCCCCCCTTTACCAGCAAGGCCGGTACACACTACATCATCGTCATCATGGGCGTTGCTGCGAACGACGCCTCAAAGAGAGGTGAGACGAAGTCTCCCAAGCAGCAAAACAAACCTTCTGCATCCTCCAAAGGTATGTCTTTTCTTTTCTTTTCTTCTTCTTTCTATTTTTTTATTCTCTTTGCGCCATTTTTGTAATTGATTTTTTTTTGCGCCCGTTTTTTCGATGCCGTGCTGCTGCTACTGCTGCTGCATCCGACACGCTACGTCCCCCCAGCCCCAGAAACATACCAGCCGATCCTGCTTGCGCTACCAACTACGTCATCCCCCATCAGTCCAGATTGACATGACCATCACCGCACCTCCACCCCTTCTTCCCTTCTACAACCTCAATTGGAAACGTTCCCTCGCTTACACTTCCGTTTATAGACGGTACCTCCGACGTCAAATCGGATACAAAGACAAAGATTGAAGCTTCGTCGAATGCGACAACCACAAAGCCTCTCGCTCCTCCCCCTCGACCTGGTCAGCAAGGGACCAACACCCCCGACTTCTTCACCAGCCAGTCTGGAGGCTCTCTCAGTCTGGAGCCCAATCCCTTCGAGCAATCCTTTGGTGGTAGCGGCCCTGAGACGCCAGGAGGCACAAAGCTTCCCTCCGTCGCCGCCTTGACCTCTCCGTCCGCTCTTCTCCAAGGCTCAACATCTACTCCTTTCACCTGGGGAGGCGGCTCGCTACGAACCGGCCCCCTCAGCCCCGCCATGTTGTCGGGTCCTACCAACGACTACTTTAGCGACAATCATCATATGCGCAGTGGCTTTACTCCTAACGAGTCGTCACTTCGATCTGGTCTTACCCCCGGTGGCAGTGGTTCTATGTTCCCTGCTGCGAGCCCCAACTCCCAAGCCATCTTTGCGCAGCTTGCTGGTGGAGGCGCAACCCCCAGCACTCTAGACTTCCATCGCACTGCTCTTAGCGCTGCTTCTAAGCAGAACCAAGCCGCTATTGCACCTACCAGTCAAGCCCCCGCTAGTGCTGCTGCCCCCCAGCCTCAAGAAATGGCCAACAGCGCTGGCATCAAGACGGAGGCCAAGGCCTATGACCCTCATGATAATGATGCTGCCAACGGATTGTTCTTGCTCGCTCAAGGCCGCAACAACAACCCCGTACCAGCCAACCCCACCACAGCCAAGGCGAATGCCAATACAAAGTCTACTGCTCCCATGGACGCTGCAGATGATGCCAACAATGGCGCTGAAGATGGCGGTGCTAAGCCCAACACACGCGGCAAAGGCAAAAAGGGCGCAGCCACAGCCGCGACCGCCGCCTCGACTACTGCTAGAAGAAAAGCCGAGGAGCTCCCTGCCAAGGCGCCGCCGGCAAAGAAGTCTAAAGCAAGCGCCCCACCCCCTCCTAGTGATGAGGGCTCAGATGAAGAGGATGGCGACGATGACGATGAGAATGGCCCCAGATCCAAGATGACAGACGAGGAGAAGCGCAAGAACTTTCTCGAACGCAACCGCGTCGCTGCTCTCAAATGTCGTCAACGTAAGAAGCAGTGGTTGGCTAACCTCCAGGCAAAGGTGGAAATGTTTAGCACTGAGAACGACGCATTGTCGGCCCAGATTACACAGCTTCGCGAAGAGGTTGTCAATCTCAAGACAATGCTGTTGGCGCACAAGGACTGCCCTGTCACTCAACAACAGGGCATCCACGGCGCTTTTATGTCACAAGTTGTCGAGCCGTTTAACGGTCAGATGAACCCGTACGGAATGGCACCTGGCATGCCTAACCAGCAACAAGTCATGGCTGGACAGGGTGTTCAGAGACGCTTTTCTTAGCAACAGCTGTAGCTGCTGCTAGATACAAAAGGGTAGAGGGATTCCATGACCTAACATTTGCTGGCTTTCAGTTTATGTTTGTGATCCCTCTCGTCCTTCTTCTTCATCTTCTCGAAGCACAACCACGTCGATCGAGAAGATCTTTTATTCTTTTTTCCCAAACTAGTCTGTACGATTACACTGCTCATGAAGAACAGGCACAGTTTTGTCTGGGAAAGTTCCCACGACTATCACAAACAAGCTCACTTGGCTGCTCTGTGTGTCGTCGTTTGGACGGCATTCAGTGAGCCATGTTTGCGCCTAAGCTTCTTTTCTCCTATCTGCCACTGGATTTAGGCACAAAAGGGAACATGCCAGGAGCAGATCCTGGCTTCTTTGCGGCGTTTATTTTGGATGTTTTGCCATTGATGATGAGTACGTTCTACGGACCGTACTCGGTGTTGCTAGGATAACTGCGAGATTCTTGTGCGATTGATTTGTTGTCATAAAAATAGCCAGAACATGACGAGGCTATCTGTTATTTTTAGACTTGCAATGATATAAATGAATATATCTGTACACACACGCAAGAATCTTTCGAAGTTTTAAATATAAGTGACCTGTATAAGGTGAAACTAGGGTAAAATCAAATGAGCAGGTGTAAATACAGAGATGAATATCTATTCCAAGTAAAAGACGGGAAGCTGGGCTGCGCGTGTCTCTGCGGGCTGTTGGAGGGGCTTGCCCAAAGCGGTTTAGCGTGTCGATGAGGAACATGCGGCAGAAGGTAAACAACACCAACCGGCGTTCCTAAGCTGCAGAACGCATCACGACAGGTTGCCAGTAACGACGACACACGTTTTTAGAACAAACAATCTGCCGCGGAAACAGCGCAGAAACCGACGAAAAAAGCGAATTATTATTTTGTAACCGTTCACGCCACCCCTCCGCCCAACACTCGGCCCGACGTCAACGCGACCGACACGCGCGTCTCTGCGCCAAACCTCGGTGGAGAGTAGCGTGGCCGACGCAGGGTCGACTTTCGCTGTGTTTGGCCGTCCCGACAGCGTGTGCGCGGCTTTTAGAGCAAGAAACGCCCATCAAACACCCCATGACGACTCTTGTACAAGTTCGAAAACCGCTACAAGCTGTCAGCATGAGCAGCAACCAGCCGGAGCGGAAGCCGGGCAAACGGCCTCCTGCCCCGGTGGACGACTCGAGCGACGACGACTTCAAGTTTGAAAGAAAAACAAAGAAACCGAAAACCGACGACTCACTAGTACGCAAGTCCATGAGCGGCAAGGCCGCAGCAAAAGCTATTGGTGTCGAAACAGACGACTCCTTCACAGAGCAACCGCAGCCCTCGAGGCGCCAAACCACCGCACAACCATTCCTCGACTCCTCACCAGACATCCAGGTCGCTAAGCGCGATCAAAGGAAATCCAGCCAGAGACCAGAGAACCGCCATGCAGGAAACAAGTCGAGGTCACGGCCACCGCTGGACGATGATTCTTTTACGGAGACGTCGCAGTCAACCATGGTCCCGTTACCGCTGCGCGATACACCTGTAATAAACCGAAATAAGGAGATGCGAAAACAAGGCGGCTCGAGCCGCAGGAGTAGTCTGACATCCCGTGGTCGTCGCGCAAGCTTGTTGATGGATCAGGGTCAGGCGTCTATCCCGCACCGAGAAGTTGACGCGAGCGTATTCTATAAGCATATCCAGGCTTATGGTTGGACGGAGCAGCAGCGAATGAAGCAACTGTTGACGTGGTGTGGCTCGCGTGCTTTACCAGAAAAGCCACCGCATGATGCGCCAAATCGCCAGAGCCTCCTGGCAGGTGAGTTTTTTGTCTTCGCATTGATCTTATGTCTTTGCTAACAAGCAACTAGCGCGTCCTATACAGGATCAAATACTCAAAGGATTTGGCGAAACGGCCGACTTTTCAGATTGGCTCAGTCGAGACGACAGCCGGCCTAGAAAACCGCTGCTGCTGAAGCCGAACCCGAAGAATGTGGAACTAGATCAGAAGATGGACGATCTAGAAGCGAGAATAAAACGGTAAGAAATAGAACATGATGGTACGTATGGTGTGCTAATTGCGTGTTCTGGCAGATTACAAGAAGAAAAGCAAGCATGGCTATCAATACGAAAACCTCCCGTGGACCAACCGTCAGTCTTTGCGTCTGACAACGATGCCATCATCCTCCCCGACTTTGACCTTTTGGACCCCGAAGAGCGCAAGATCCGCACATATCTTGCCTCCGAAATGGAACCATTCGCCTCTGTCCGCAAATCAACAGACGCAAGAATACGGAAGATCCAAGAGTCGCTAGAATTCGAGGTGGACCAGCTTGCCGACAATGTGCATAAGCTGGAGCAGCGTGTCCTCGTGGCAAGCCAAGAAGCAGACAAGGTCCTGGCATCGAGTGCTGTGCAGCTCAAGGCGCGCGAAGAAAAGGAGAAGACGCGCGCCGGCACGAGGGCGATGCCCATGATGGAGGTGCTGCGAAGCTTGGGCAAGATTCTGCCTGATGGGGGAGCGTGACGCTCAGAATCATGAGACGTATAAAAAGAGGAGGACGACACTATATCTGTTAAACGCAACCTTTCTATTTTCTCTAGTCTTACGGCGCTTATTTTCCTTTTGTTTCGGAGCAACACGGTGGCATGGGGCGTACTACAACACACTTGGGACAATTGGACGGAAGGGAGTTTGATACCACTTACACGGCATGGCTTTTGATGATTTTGTCTTTTCACTGTCCTCATCGATTGATGAGTGAGCGCGCATTTTACAGTCTTGGAAGGGTTTTTGTATTTCTTGGGGGACTGCAAGAGAAGGGCTGGGATTCTTGTTTGGCGGGCATATTCTGTGCGCTTCTTTTGTCATATATATGCCTGATTTGTTCTTCTTTTTCTACCTCTTATCTTTTCTACTGTCATGACGAAATGATGAACTGGTTGGCCATCTTGCCGCTTTTCTACTATGACTGTCCTTCTACATCACCAGCTATACGTATAAATTATGTGAAAATATGAACGTAGATCCAATTTGGTTTTAGCGTTTCCTATATCTCGCGGACGCAATACTATCCTACAACACCTCCAGATTTTATGAATACAAAGAAATGAACAGAATGGAGAGGGAAAGAAGAAAGTTTGGTTAGTTGATTAACCCTTCAGAGGAGGCATAAAGGCAAAGCCCTTGCCCTCCTCGCCATCGACACTCCTTGTACGGACATGCTCTCTGAGAAGCTGCAGCACCTCGGCGCCTCTCCAGCGCTCAGGGACAGGTCTGTACGCAGGTTTGAAGTTGCCAATGGTCTGCGCCCACTCGCCCTTGGGCGGATGGCGCATCGTCACAATGCCCTGCTCGTTCTCCTGGCCCGGCGTCACAGGCACGTCCTTGGGGTCCACAGCGCCTGCAGAGGCCGTAGATGTAGCTACGGAAGGGTTGGTCGTGGACGTGGGCTCGTGCTGCGTCGCCCAGTAGTAGATGTCCCAGTCGTTCTCGTCGAGGAACAAGTCGTACTGCGTCAGCTGCTCGGGTGTCATTGTGGCGAGGTACTTGTCGGCAAAGGTTGACAGGAGGAGGTCGCTCTCAAGAGTGCCGCGCTTGCGGGACTGATCTGTGTGATCAAGAGGTTAGTTTGGACGTAAAAGAGTGGGTAGATGTAGCGTACAAACGAGGCGCGCGCGCTTGGTGTTGGCGTCCTCGCCGACGCGGCGCAGAGGTTCGATGCGGAACTTGGCGCCCTGGAGTTCGCCTACCTCGAGCTCTTGCGGCTCGGCATCGGGGACCATGCGAGGACGGTTCTCGTTGAAGAGGCGGGCTGATGTGCTGAGGGAGCGGCGAGCCATGGGGAGGGCTATGCGCCGGATGGCCGCGGGGCGGAGAGCGGCGAGGGGATTCATGGCGCTTGGGCGGGCTGAGAAGAAGACGAGGAAGAATTGATCTTGTGTTCGTGATGCGTCGTAGCAGCCCGGGATGCGTGGTGGTTGAATTGATGGGCGGACTGTGGAAAAGAACGGGCAAGTTTCACTATAGCCGAGAAACTGGCTGCTTCTGCCCGGCCCACCCGACAGCAAAGTCGCCCCTGGGCACATGTGCTAAACGACACCAACAGTATTTCTCTGGCGAATGGTTCGTGGATTTACATTGCAAAAGATAGTTATTTTAACGGCCACACGAGGAGCATTTACTTCTATTAGATAGGAGCACACAAAATTTGCAAAATTTTTTTCAAGTATTAACACACCCCGAGCTGCTGCCGTACATATCAACAGCTCAGTCAGTTAGATAAGTCTTAGTATAGCAGCAGCCCGCTACATCGACAGTTGATTATGTATTTATTTGGATTCCCTTCCCAGCTCGCCCCCGTCTTGATAGTCATTTCAAACCCATGTATGCATGCATGCCATTTTGACCTAGTTTCTCCCCGTTTTCTTCCTTTGCATGCCGACTCTCCATTAACGCACCGAGAGCGGCCAGCTACTCTTCATTCATCCAGATCGTCAGGTGAACAAGGATCCCCTCGTCTTGTTGTACTTGAAGGAAAAAAAACGCCCAAAATGTCGCGTGAGAAAAAGCGCACCAAAGTCAAGTAGTTCTACACCCCACTTCGTCCCGTATTTTTGTAAACCGCCAAAACCAAGAAAGAAGTCAGTCTGCTTAGATCAAGTGCTTGGAGCGGAAGTAGGCGCGGAGGTACATGATCTGCCAGGCCCAGAGACCGACGAGCAGCCAGGTAGTAAGGACACCGAACCACTTGACACGGCTGTTGGTGCTCTCGTTGGTGTCACGGAGCTTCTGTTCACGCTGGCGGAGGTATTCCATCTCGTGGACGATTTCGCCGGTAAGTTCCTCGATGCGGCGCAGGTCGGCCTCGACGGGCTTGAGCTTCTCGTCGGCCTGGATGGCGGACCAGTCCTTGGCGTCGGCGCCAATGTCGATGTCGAGCTCGATGTCACGGGTGGAAGGGGTAGGGTGGCGGGCTAGGCGGAGTTAGAGATGCATTCTAAAGAGGCGAGGAGGCATAAACGGATGGGAGGGTTAACTTACAACCAGACAGGAGGTTCTCGTAGCAGACATCAAAGGCAGCGTCAGCGTGGGAAGTAAAGATGGTCTTGGACTCGCCAACAACGTCTCTGGCGCGGCCGTATTCGTTGCCGAGGGTATCGCGGACCTGTAGTTCATCGTGTGAGTTGACAAATCCAAAAGGATAGAGAGATAGAAAAAAAACTTACGGCAATGTTAATCATCATGCCGTCGCCCTTGTGGCCGCCAACAATCGACTTGACAACGACGAGCGTGTCTGTCTGGACAAAGTTGCGGATGCAGCGCTCCTTGTTGTGGTTCTCGTGGCCGCTGTGGGCGGCAAGCTCAAACTTGAGAGCGCTGGCAGCTCCGATGAGGAAGAGGAGGCTGCAGAGCCATTGGAGTGGCGATCTTTGCGAAGGCATTGTGATGTGTCGTCGTGTCCCGCGATGATCTGCTGGAAGAAGCGAGCGACCAGGTTATTGTGATGGTCGTCAATTGCAATCGAGCGAATCGGAGAATAGAACAAAAGACTGCTGCTGTTGCTGCTGCTGTTGCTGCTGCTGTACTGCTTTTCCCTTTTTTTGGTGAATTCGGGCTCGGCAAAGTGCAGGTTTTCGTGTTGCTCACATACAAATAGGGAACTCCTTTCAAACTCCTAGAAATCCACCGTTACCTCAGGGGGGGGCTGTTTTGGACATCGGTGGCGGTTCCTGATTGGGCGCCGCTCCCTCCAACATCACGTGTGGGGGGCCTACGCCGGGAAACGCGCCAACCTAGTGGTAGAACATTTATTTGCCTGTAGCTGTCGCATTGAAGATTCTCCCAACGCACGTTGCGCCGCCGCCAAAATGCCGAAATGTAAGCAAATGACTGATTGTGTATCTTTGATTGTTATAGCGATGCTAACTCTGGTTGCTTCTAGTCTTCTGTAAGCACTCCCGCTCGATTCGGCCTGCGCCCAACGCCCGAGTTCGCCTCGCCGCAAATACACCACAAGCTGACTTTCTTCCTTACGATAGGCGATTACTGCGATGTTTACCTTACGCACGACTCAATGAGCGTGCGCAAGGCTCACAACAGCGGTCGAAACCATCTCCGAAACGTTGTCGACTACTACCAGCGTGCGCATCCCACCCCCCATCCATGGACACCATAGGTCATAGCTAACTGGATCGTTATCAAAATAGAAATTGGCCACGAAAAGGCTCAGTCCGTCATTGATTCCATCACATCATCCTACGCCGCCGAGGGCCAAGCACACGCCAACCCCATGCTTCCTCATAACCAACCAGGAAACGCCTTCCCTCCGCCTTTCCCATTCCCTGGAGGTATGACAAAGTGCATCGCTATGACACAAAATCAAATACTAACAGTACAATTATAGGTGCCCCTCCTCCTTTCCTAGGTATGCCTGGAGCACCGCCTGGCCAATTCCCCCAGGGCCTTCCTCGTATGACTATCTAAACACGAAACATGCTTCCTCTACCTGCTAACATCTCTCGATTAGCTCCTCCCGGCCGCGGCGGACCCCCTCTGCCATTCCCTCCTCCCGGCGCCCACGGTCTGCCTCCTATCCCTCCAGGTGGCCTTCCTTTCCCTCCACCTGGCGGTCTGCCGTTCCCACCTCCAGGTGCTGCTGGTGCCCCGCCGGCAAACTTTGCTGGCTTGCCTGGCTTTCCTCCTGGTGGTGTACCTCCCCCTGGCTTCCCGCCTGGCCGTGGTGGCCCTCCTGGACAGGATCGCCGCTAATGCTGGATGACTTGTGCTTGTATTTTTAAACACCACAACATTTCGTTGCTATCTGGAGTTCTCGGATGTGCGGCACATTAGTGCTTTATATCGGCGTATCGGCGTTTCTCTCTGTTGTAAATTTGGAGCTATATTTTAAATATGAAAAACATTTCTACATCATAGTACATTGTTTTCTACAAACAAGGCGGCTTTCAATGTGAAGCGAGTCTGATATTACTGCTTGATGAAGTACTGACTGTGCACCCAATTGGTTTGCGTCATCAACGTAGCTCAGATCTCTACCTATTCCCACTGGCTCAAGTTCAGCTTCATTCCATCCCTGTTCAAAGTACAAAATCTCCATCGCGTGTCTATAACTATCAAAACAGATGCTGCTGATATCCAAAAGGTGCTCTAAGCGTAAAATAGCGTGTCAAAGTCATTCATGCGTGCGTACGTAAAGGCCTGCCGGCCTCTGATCCTGTTTTCATAAAGTGGTGTTGTGTTCGTTAAGTTCATGGCCATCATAAGGCTATCTTCAACCCGTGAAGCTAGCTTCTTGTTCGCTTTTCCCTCCGTCTCCTTCATTCCCATCAATCATATCCGTCGTCAAATATCGGGCACATGTACATATTGAGAGTGTCGCTCATTCCCAGGTCCATCGTGCCGAATCACCTCGCCCATGCTGTCCCGGACTTCACGAGGCGCACTAATAGACTGCCTTAACTCCTGAGTGCGCCGCTCTCGGCGCCGTTCGCTGATAATGTTCGAGATATATGGAAGCTCATCTAATTTGCTGCTCAATGAAAACCGGCGCTGTAAGCCACCACCCTTTCTGGGAAAGATGGGGCCTCGTTGCATTGAGCCGCCTTTAGCAGTAGTAGCCTGATCCTGCATTTGTGTCGAGTGTGGTAATGATTCCGCACTGCTGCGGCGCTTCATCACCTTCAAACTCCCACTGTCTGTGCGGCGGATTGTGCGTCGCTCAGGACTCGGAAGCGCTGAAGGATACACCTCATCGTAACGGGTAGGCAGGATCGAAAATGTTGTCTTGATTCGGTTGCTCAGACTTCGTTTCGGAGCAGGACCGTGGCTGCGGCTACCGTGATGAGGACACTTGCTTCCAAATTCACATGGCTGGGATCCGTCTTGTGGCTGCCAGAACGGATGCAGCTTGTGAATTTCTGGTGGCTCAAGCTCATCCCTTGTGTGCGTCGGCAGCCACTCCATGTCTGTCTTTGAGCGTGGCCGAAGCCCCGTATCAAAGGTCTTGCCTAGGTGTCGGGATAAGGAGAAAGTTCGCGTTAGCAGGTTGGGTTGCTTCGTTGAGCTTGGCGGATAGTCAATTGAGTTTCGACGTCGGCGAAAGGCACCTCGCAAAATAGATACTCGACGGAACGGGCTTGAGTCAGATGTATCAAAATAGCTGCGCAAGTTCTTGTCATGGTCCTGGGCAGTGCTCTCGCCCGAGGGAGTAGCAGGAATTAGGTGAATAGCAGGGGGGCCAGCGCTAGGCGCAGGAGGGGATGGCGGTACTCGAGGGTTGCGAAGAGGAGAATTATAGTCGGTGTTGATCTCTCGCGTTTGATCTGGGGGAGTGACTGGCAAGATATCGTCAGGTCCACTCGCGACTATAATAGGAGCCGCCTGGGGGACTGAGTCTTTGGGCTGCTCCAAGGTGCGATCAGATGCTTCCGAAGGTCGGTTTGAGTGGTTTACTACCAAAACAGACGAGTTTTGGTGCTGAAACATTTGTATGGCGTGCGCCTCGGAAACCTCTGCCGCGGTGCCCATCGTGTCGAGAGAGGCAATCGAAAATGGGGTATTGCGAGACGAAAACTTCCTAGCAGAGAGGTTATCTATGCTAATAACATCAATCATGTCGTCGTCTTGATTCTCCGTCTGCTCAAATGAAAATCTCCTGGCTTTTGGGGTGCTGGTGGCTGCTTCTACAGCCGGTTCAATGTTGATCGTAGGGCTGATATTTATAGTAGACTTTGCGCTTCGCGCCGCTAGAGATGTAGTTCGCGAAACATTTCGGCTAGTCGGAGCAGAAAGTGAAGAAGAGCGCGGAGGAATTGCGGGTGGAAAGTCAATCGTAAACTCATCATCATCGCCAATGGTAATGGACGACCGCCGGGGTCGTCTAGCTTGAGACGCGGTATTTGGAACCGAGTGCTTCGGCCTGTGCAAGTCAATACCCGTAGAATCGAAGCTATTGGATCGCCTGGAGCGACTCCTAGAAGTAGAACGCAACGAAGGCTCTCGGCTGTGTCTGCTGCGGTGAGACGACTGGCGCTCTGGAACTATAACAACAGGAATAGCGCCGCTGTTCCATACTTCGCGACGAGCTCTACCATTGGATATAGACCTGGGCGGACGAGTCGCCGGTACTGGGTCTTCCGGGGCCGGTCTGTCGTCCAATCTGGAATCCATAGGTAAGGATGCATTTCGGGTAGAGGCAGCATCACGCCGCGGAAGGATCGTCTCCATTTGGCTGGCACTGCGGAGGGTTTGATGCTTCTTAACATGTCTCAAAGTTTGCTGCCTTCGCGGCATACGCTCCATTAAGAGGACTTCAACGACAGGTGAAGCTCCGGATTGTGCCGATGTACCGGAGGATCGTTTTGCATCAACACTAAAAGATGTTTCGGACAGAGATGGCCTGGATGAGCTAACTGGAGAAGCGTCTGGTAAGGCGCCGTCCCTAGTATGCATGTACCTAGCGGCACGGCTTGCTGCAGTCATATTTACAACGTTGTCTTCGACTATAAGACCATGTAGAGTGGGCTCTGTCATGTTTCGAGGTATCCGCGGGTCATGTCGTTTCTTGCGGCCATTGATAATTTGCGTAGCGCGTTTATCCTGGTCACTCTCTATTCTGCGGTCCTTTTCCAGGTCGGCGGCAAGGCTCCATTTACCGTCAGAGGCAATGAGGTCGGTTTGGGTCCTTGGGGTATATAGGTCATCAGGATGTGTTGCCAATTGTTGCAAAGCATTCTCTACAGCTGCGGAATGCACAGCACGCGGATCCTGGAATCTGGTGTTGTTTTGGATGGGCAGCTGATGGTTTGCACTTGCGACTGGCGCGGAGCGCCCCATGAACTTATGGGCTTCATCCTCAGAAGACATTTGCTCCTCTCGAGCGGTGGTAAATGATTCCGTGACGGACTCAGACGGCGTTGTTCCAGTGATGGAGCGGTCTTGACTGGGGCGCAGCGTTTTCACGGTGGTTTGTGCTTGTGGCGGCGTGACGTCGGGAGTCGGCGGACTCATCTGCTCTGGAGGGGTTACTGGAGGGTGCCGAAGCGTGGCCTGCGTTGTTTGCACCCTGCGGGAATCGACAGTGCGACTATGCTGGGTGTGGTGATGGTTTCCAGAGGAAGCCCGAGCCTGTGGAGGGGGAGTCGGCGGGAGATCTGGGCCTGAGTCCATGCGCCTGGCTTGATGCTTCACGGGCCGCGAGCCAGCGCCTTGTAACCTTGTGGTTGCGGCGAGCGCGGCAGTGAGCATGATGGGATCCTTCGGTCGCGTATGGCTCCTTTGGCCGATAAAATGCGATTCCTGCGGCCTGGGTAGGTTCTTGTGCTTTTTAAACTGCGGCGGTGTATCCATGAGGTTCGAGTGTTGGTGGCCATAATCACCTGTTGTTGGGTACATGATGGCGGACGCTGGCGCAGCGGGAGTAGCGGCTAGCATGCTCGGCGTCAACGGAGTTCGTACTGGTCAATCATGAGCATTCATGGGTTATCCTTTGCAGTCGGGAGAAGATATGACATAAAATGGCCTGTTCGCGAAAAAAAGGGGGCAAGAAGAAGAAGAAGAAAAACTGCGGCAGAGGAAATTTGCTGCAGGTCAATGGAAATGAATCTGCAGGTGGTGAGGGCGGCGGCTTGCTGGGTCGGGTAAAGTGGAATCTGTAACTGAGCACAATGCGACATGCAGCGGGTTCGAGAAGGTTACAAAACCGAGGGAAGATGCCGGGTGGTTGTATGTCAAAAGATGAACGCAACGCTCCAGATCAGTTAAAAAAATAACGGGCTCCAAGGAAATTGATGCTAACAGGCCCCAGAGTTGCAATGAACCAAGTTTGGAGGGTTGGGGGAATGCTTTTGGTGAGACAGTAGGTAGGAGGGGGCCAAAGGGCGCAACGGACGTTGTGCTACTACTTGGCAGGGTTGTGTTGGTCCTTGAATGGGGGAGACCTGTATGCTTATGCTGGGCGGTTTAGGCGGGCCTCGAGAGTAGCCGAAGGCGCATGGTTACTGGCAACAAAAACGGTGGTGATGAAAACTGTTGTGAAGCAGGATGAGATGTTTGTGAGAGAAGAATGCGGAGGAGTACGAGGGCATAAAGGTGGCCAAGGGGCAGGGTGCTGTGGCACTGGCGTGCACTGGCAGCGCAGGTGCTGGCCAGCTGGCGGATGCAAGACGAGGGCGACGACTCGCAGGCAAAGGGCTGCGTGGACGTGGTGACTTGCAGAAAGATTGCGCAGCGCAGCGCAGTGTTACAGTCCCGAGGGCAGTTGCAGTTTGCAGGCAGAGCGGGCGGGCGGACGGTTCACGGGCGCTTCCATGGGGAGCTAACTGGGCGGGACGCACCCGCTTCAAGTGGGCTGGGGCGGGAAAGCCGCTGCGAAAGCCAGTACAGAAGGGTTCTAGCGCGCCCGGCACTTAGGAGGTGGGAGCAATATTGGCTTCCGAGTCGTCTCTACAGTATAGAGTTGGGTGTCGCTGACGCAAATGAGCGGGGGCCACGAGGACAATGGCGTATGGGAAGTTGAGAGAAGAATGGTGTGTGTCTGTGTGTGGGCAGAGCGACGAATGCTAACAGTGCGGTTTTTGCAGGCCGACAAGTTTCATTTCTTCAGATTCATGCGCATCCATCTGTCTGCTCTGTGGAAGGCCGATAAATTTCAACATTTCTTTGGCGCCAGCAGCCCAAGGTTTGCCTGTGGCTATCGCCAGTCGAGGGGCCCAGAAAGCAGCGCTCTCCATGTCATACATCACCAACCTGCCAGACCTTTCTTGTTCGGGTCTAGTCCCGTGGCCGCTTTTGCACCGGCAGTCTTTGTGGTGTCATTGGTCATGTGAGCCTGCAGCGTGCAGATATTCCTCTTTAACCCGCATGAGAGAGCCCTGTTTTGCCCGCTTCGCCCAGCCCCCCCTTACCTGCTGCAGATAAGGGTGACAACGTTTCCAGATATCGCTTGTCCTGCAAGTCACCGTGCGGGTCTCGACGGAACAGAGCTCCCCTTGTGCTTCCGGCTTCTCGCAACCCATCTAAAGCGCAAGTGGTTGCAACTGGAGGCGCTCTGAACCTTCACGTGGCTTGCCCGATATCTGGATGGCTTGAGATGAATGTCGTACCACTATTTTCAACTTGCGGTGAAAGATTCTTACCTACTCTCAGGACATTTCAACGTGGGCTCGACATTTGCATCTCGTCTGTTGGGTAATGACTATTGGTCAAAAATGGGGCCAAACTCTCTACTCTTAATTCTCTGCTCTGAGGAGTTCTTGCAGGAAAAGAAGAGATGGAGTGGAGTAACTTAAACATTGGTGACCAAATCGCTGATGCTCTAAGTGTATGTATCACAGGGATGCGAGATCGGTGTCGAGGCCTACCATGGATTTACATCACCGCTACCTTAAGGGTATGGGCCGAATCGCACTTGAGTTGATCTTGTACTTTCCATGCTGGGTTTGTCTCAAATATTGCTGGGCCACCGCCGATTCCCTGTGCCTCTATTACGATACGATACAGTGCGGTGAGCGGGTCCGAGATCCGTCCCCGCACGTTAGGATGGCTGGCAGACCGCATCCCACGTAGCATCGCAGCAACAGAGAAGCAAACTAGTTCAGAAACGATCGTCATGTAGCTATTCTTCTTGGCAATAGCGCGGCGCTTTTACCAAAAGCTTTCTGCCAACGAGTCACACTAAAGTCTAGTTTACAAGCGGCTCGGCCAACAAACCTCCGAGGCGGGGTAATTTGTGACAGCCCGTCATATATATCAGAGACAATGGACTTCATTCTAAGGGTTTTTAGTCTGGCGGATTGGATTGTATCTGATTTTAGTATTATGAAATCCTCCTACTTCACAATTGCTACGCAGTCGACGTTGGCGGCCGTATCCAGCGCCAATACGTGTAAGTGGACTAGTACTGGTGCTGTCTAATAAATGTCATTACATTTACTCACAACTCCTAGTGAAGCCATGGAAATATGAACCTCTACCGTTAGGTTCCGTCAAGCCTATGGGATGGCTGCATGGTGAAATAGATGCAATGGCCAATGGTCTTGCAGGCCATGAGTACGATTTCTATATCTTCGTCAACGAATCATCATGGCTGAATAGGCCAGGCACTGGTGGTGTTGAATACAGTGGGCTTAACGAGGCATTACCATACTGGTTTAATGGCCTTGTTCCTATGGCGTATATTTTGGACAACGACAGACTCAAAGGCCAGGTGCACAGAGTTACAGAAACGGTTCTGAGCTGGCAAGCAGAGGATGGCTGGATTGGCCCCGAAGTTGGCGATGATCGGAATTTTTGGGCGCGTGCACCGCTGTTTCTCGGACTGACACAGCTAGCTGAAGCAAATACATCTTGGGAAACCAGGATTGTGAACGCACTACAGAAATTCATGGTCCTTGCAAACAAGATGCTCAAGAACAACAGCCAAGGCTTCACCAACTGCCTACACACCGATTGTAACTGGGGGCAAGCTCGCATCCATGATCTCATCATCACAATCCAATGGCTCCTTGAGAAACATCCATCATCACAAGACTCTCTATTATGGGACAACATGGACATGTTTTACTCTCAGCTACAGTTTAAGTGGGATCAATGGTATACTGAGGGCAAGTATCCCCAGATCGTTGATCCACACGATGGCTCCATCTTCCCATATATTCATGGAGTAAATGTTGGCCAAGGTGAATTTTCTCATATTTACATGCACTAAACTCTACCTAACATCTATACAGGTCTCAAGGCGTCGACTGTCATGTATCGCTTCAAAGGCACCGACTACTTTGTCGAGAAGAGCCACATTGCCGTGGACTGGACCTTCAAATACCATGGTAGCGCCTCTGGAACGATTCTAGCCGATGAGGAGCAGCGAGATCTGGCGCACTACATGGGCAGCGAACTCTGCACGGCCGTAGAGACAGGCTACTCGCTGGCCTATATGTATCAGGTCCTCGGCAACAACGCTTACGCAGACCGAACTGAGCGCACCATGTTCAATGCGCTACCAGTTATGATGACTGGCGATAAATGGGCGCATCAATACATGGCACAGCCAAATCAGCCGTTTGCAGTCAGCACCATTCAAAAAGATGGAAGCGTACCCCAGCTATTTACAACAGCAAACAGCGGCGTAGCCACAACATTCGGAATGGAGCCACAATATCCCTGCTGCACCGTCAACCATCCCCAGGGCTACTCCAAGTTTGTGAGCAATAGTTGGGTACGTGTCGGAAACAGTGGTCTAGGGCATGCTTTACTATCTCCTTCCACTGTCAGTACTACTGTCAATGGCGCCAAGGTGAACATCCAATGTGATACTCAATATCCATTCGCCATGTCCTTCAAGTACACCATTGAAACTGACAAGGACTTTGACTTCTATTTCCGAGTCCCAGAATGGTCCAAAATCTCCACCGTCGCGTTTGTCAACGCTGGCAGTGCGACAGCTGAGGCATCCCCGGACAAAACCACAGGCATGCATAAATTTGCGATCAAGGCAGGGCGAGCAACTCTCGAGATTGGTCTTGGGACAAATCTTCGCTTGGAGGACAGACCACGGAAGACCACTGCGGTATTTTACGGTAACCTCTTATACGCCCTCGATGTTGGGTACGAAGTCACCTCGACTCTCCCACATGCCTATGGTGACCCCAAGAGTAATGGCATCAGTAGTCTCCCGTTTCAACAGCTCCGTGATGACTACGTCAACAGCACAAAGGAATGGAACGTGGCTATCGACCCGTCGACCATTGAGTACCACCGCCTGACTGGCGACGATACTGCGCGTATGCCCAACCCCGTGTTTGCAGACCATGCCGCTCCCACTTACATGACTGTGCAAGGCTGCACCATCCACTGGGACCTGCATTTGGGTATCACACCAGATTGGGCACCAGATGACCGAACGTGTATCGGGCCAAAGAAGACATACCGCCTGATTCCGTATGGCTCAGCAAAGGTGCATATGACCGACCTGCCAGTGAAGCAGTTTTGAGTAGAAAGCACCCTTGATAATTACAGAATATGGACTGCTTCTCCAAACCGTACCATAGTTTTTAGTGTTTGATGTTGTATCATGTAATCAATGCATCGTTAAAGTTCAGTAATCTACAGTTGTGTCAGTGAATTGGCTGACCGCCATCGTAGTCCATTGCCTTGGAACTTCCTTAACAAGAAGTACCAGGGCTTGTAGCAAAGGCCCACCACCAGCATGTTTAGTGGTAGTGGGGAGAGGGAAGTGAGATGGCGCTGCAAGGGCCATTTTGCGACTGGGGCTTACATCCATAGTATGGACAAAACAAAGGCTAAAAAAGGTCGCAATAGCAAAGTCGTCCTACACTTGCATGGTCTGCGAGATCTGCGCTGTCTACTTTGCCGAGCTCGACTGGAAGACGAAGGACAGTGAGCGCACTAAGGGCTCCAGTACATGAAACAAAATTGGGTAGCCAATAGGAGTCTAAGACCATCCTTCTCATGGTGCTTGACAACACGCTAGCACGAGGAACCAGCCTGATTTGCAGCTCAGCTAAGTCGACAGGTCACGCAGCGTGGCGTTCGGATGTGGTGCAGCCCGTGGCTGCCCACACTCGCTGCTCGCTCCTTGACGAGAGCGAAAGCCGTGCACAGTGGCACAGGTTGCGCTGAAATTAAATGACAAGTTCTGCGATGCCGATCCTCCAACGTTTGCGGGACGGCCCAAGAGTGACTAAGATATGAGATGAACACTGGAGCTCAGCGCAACCCTGCGGCAAACACCATCTCGGCCACCGAGTTGTCGGGAACAAGCTTCCCCGCGAAGATGTGTTGAGGGTCGAGTTTGATGCCGACACGTTGGTTCGGCTGGCCTATGCAATATGGTCCATGCGGCTTAAGCTATGCAGCAAACAACTCTGCAGGACCAAGTTGTAGCCGCACGTAGAGCAATTTGCTTCCATCCTACGTAGACCTGGCGGACCAATCAAAGTCATCTTGCACTGCAAGCCTCCCCAACGCCAGGATGGCACTTATCATCCCTCTGACAGTAGACGTTGAGATTACCCAGCGCCAGTCGTAGGTACCCTGTGTGATTATTCGCTACAAAGTACTACAAACGTAGTTGGCCGTGGCATGCGCGGAGGGGTCGACGCTGGGGCCATGTGCTGTAGGGCGGCTGCGTTTACGATTATACTGTACAGTACAGTATACCTAGCAGATGCATGGGAGCCACAGCCAATGCAAGGTAGACTCGGCTGTTCCGTGTCCGTGACGCCTCGCAGACGCCGCATACCTGGGCAAAATTCGGTCTGGCGCTACTACATCTTTCTGTTGGGCTGGAAGTGGAAATGCATATGGCTTACTGCGCAGACTTCACACCAAGTTAGCCAAAGAGCACAGGTCGAAACATTCCAGCAGATGCACTGAGACAAGCCGATGGCCACGAGCTTCTAAGCTTAGTGGCGTGGAAGCTGGAGGAGCTGCTAGAAAAACGACGCTAGAAGGATTGAAGGCTGGCTCTGTGTCTTCTAGAGGGCGTCTAAAGGGGCCCCATGTTGAGTAGAAAGCTAGAAATGAAGGAAAGACACATGTCAAGAATAGATTTGGACGTCGTATGCACTGCTAATTTCTGTGTGCAACATTCTATTTTCATGCGAGACTGCTTGTGCAGGTACAAAAAGTAAAAAAAACAAAAAAAGAACTGTAAAAACAGGCCTTTGTCTTCTGTAGGTGTTCACTAGAGCGAGACAGGCCCCCGCCACTATTGGAATGTTCGACGCTAGCTTCCAGGCCCTTCCAGCGCTTGTAGGGCCTGGACGGTGTCTCTCATGTGCAAGCTGCAGCAGCGGAGGGTTGCACTAGAAGCAGACATGATGCAGTCTCTTCCCTTGCCTGCTATTCTTTAAATTGGTACAAAAAATACCGCTATTGTATAGTTATAGTAGCTTTTTTTTATTTGGCTGTTTCCGTGTCGTCGACAATCTGTCTGCCAGTGTGCACTCGCTGCTCCGAATTTCACACCTCCCAAGCTTTCAGCCGCAGTGCAACCCACTACCACTAGCACCACCTAACTTAGCCCATCCAGGTCGTGCTTAGCCGTCAACCTGCTTTGGCTGATGCACCTCTACCTGGGCTTCCTAGTGGCGCGCTAGCGACGCAGAACAGCGTTGCTCGTCTCACTTCACAAGTGAACACGCGGGAACGCTGGGCTGCCCCTGGCCAGAGCTTCCCTCGTGGCGGTCGCCGTCGCTGCGTGCTGGGCTTTTGGGCTTTGGGCCCCGGCTCGTCTTGCTGTAAGCACGGATCCGATTTCCTCTTTCACAGAATACCCTGGTTCTATACCAGAAAGGGACTTCCCATCGAATATATACTCTCCGCACTCCTCCACAGTTCCCCAGTTGCGCTACCCTTGGAAGGTGGCAGTCTTACACCGACGCTGTACTCGCCTTTGCTTCTCTCAGTCTTTACGATAGCCAGCCGTTCACGACCCTCAGCTGCGAATAAAATACCTTGAAAACTAGTGGAAACTGAACTCACGACGCACAGACTGAAACGCATATACGAGATAAACATAACCCTGGACAATATCCAAGTATACATTAGCTGCGGCTGGTACACGTTACGGGCAATATCTTTTGCTCAATCCTATCGCAGGAGCATGACATACTGAATAAAGCACATACGCATGCCTGGTCGACCTGCATCGACTACTCTTATACACACGGCATTTCTTACGACTGTGCCTAGGCCATGGAGTCGGCCAACCCGCAGCGAGATGCGCCGCTGGGAGGCACCGCTAACAACGTCGACAGAGCTGGCCTCGTCGCCATCATCTGGACATGCTTCGGAGTCGCCACCACATTTGCTTCGGCGCGCATCGCCGTCAGACTACACACTAGCCGCCGGCTACAAATCGATGACTGGTGGATTGTTCTCGCGTGGGCCGCCATGCTGACCATGTGCATCATCGAAACGATAGCGCAAGACGTCGTGTGGTATGCACTGGGACTACTGGCTGGTCGCTTCATGCCTGAGGTGGACAGCATGGTGTCGGACCTGGAGCAGCTTGCTCGATGGCAATTTGCCAGTATTAAGCTCTTCTTTGTATGCCTGTGGTCTGTCAAAGCGAGCTTCCTAGCTCTCTTTTACCACGTTGTCCAACCATTTACCACTCGCCGGCGGCTGTGGTATGTCATCACCACTTTTGTCACGTTATCTTTTATAGGATGTGTCATAACGAGCGTCCTCACTTGCGACCCTCCCTCGAATTATTTCAAGTTTGGCAAATGTTCAGGCCCCGCTGATTTGCGCCGGCAACACTTCAACATCTTGTTCGCTACGCTGCTAGACATCGTCTCAGACGTCGTCATTGTGAGCCTTCCGTTGTCTGTATTGCCGATACTAAATTTAGACAAGCGCAAAAAGATTGGCCTTGGCGTTATTTTTACTCTGAGCCTGTTTGTTGTTTGCGTTTCTGTTGTCCGGATGACGCAGGTTATTGTTCGAGATGCCGTCGACGTTGTCGGCCTCATCATCTGGAGCACGGTTGAGACTGCGACGGCCGTTATTATCGGCTCTTTGCCGGCACTCAGTGGGCTTCTCACCAAAGGCGTACGCAAATATAAGAACAAGAAAATCAAGCGCAACATGATTGAAAATGACTTTCACCCACAAGACTCGTATCCGTTGGGATCGAGATCGCGCACGGTCATGATGGCCGAGTCGATCCCACTAGACGATTCAACCCGCAGCGAACAGCTAGACGGTGGCATATACGTCCAAACAATGTTTGAGACGCATATTGAAGTGGATGCGGATGCATCCTCTCGAGATGACTTGTCCGACATTGCTATTGTCAAGTCTGTCGGGGCGAAGTGTTGATAAGTCTGCCTATCTTGTTTATGAACCAAAAAGCATGTTCTGGGAATATTTATTCGGCGTTATTGTTATTGGAGAGGGAGACCTAGCTCAGGATCTCTATGTCAGATTTTGGAATGAATTGGAACGACTAGAATGAGAATTGGATGTTTTTCATGTATTATACCCTTGTTGGATTTGTTAGAGCCAACCAGTGATGGCCCGCTAGGAAGCGAGCACAGAGCATTATAGAACGCGATTCCTGTATACATTAACACAGACGCTACCCTTCTATCAGTACAAAAGCCGAATTTTCAGCCCGTGAATGTTTTGTCCAAACATGGTAGTGGCCGACAGAGCCTTGTTTTCTTTGTGGGTTGTTGGGCGCAGGGGACACGCCCAACAGGGGCAGGCTACCCATGCCACGGACCCTACAGTGTCAAGCTACGCAGTGAACGCAATTGTTTTTAGTTCACTACTCCTTATCACTCTCCCTTGAGGCCGCACATCGTCGATAAGGTGGCATATAACATGCGGTCGCTTTTGATTCACTTCGGTCCGTGTCCCGAGTATTGCTGGAAAATACCGGCGCGTAACACCCCATTCTGAATTGTTGCGTTTCCTTTGGCTACAGAATTGATCTAAGACTTGATCATGCCTATACAAGAGTTAATAGAAGCAAGTTAACAAAAGCGTACATACTACACGTCAAGTCCCAAGACGCGTTGTCTAATAATGAATTTGTTATCATGTCCCCTTCGTCGCTGAGATAATGGTGAATAAGACCTGACAGATAGGCTGCTTCTTCAGCATAACTTTCCGGGTCATCATTGTAGCGACGAGTGTACTGATCTTCTGGTTCATATTCGTCCTCTCTCTCACCTCCATATCGATGCCATAGATCTCGTGGCTTCGTTTCGCCGTTAGCTTGCCATGGCCGGATTTGGCGAATATCATTATGCATACGGTCAGTTGATGGTAGCTTAAGAAGCTGGCTCCCGTCTCTCTCCGGCTTCCCTGTGTAAAAGTCTAACTTCTGATACGAAGACCCGTAGATATGCAAATCTTCGACCGGGATCAAATCATCTCGAAGTTTGTAGATGGCTGGTAGGCGTTAAGTCGCATACTCTATGTTGCTAACTATGCAGCTATGGGGTTAGATTGCTCGTCTTTTGATGTGTAATATGTTTGTCGAGGAGCAAAGCTAGTATCTTGTCTGGGGCGATGGGGAGGCATGATATATTGTAGTCGCTAGTAACGCGTGCTCGCTTGCTAGATTCTTTGCCGTTGATATATTTGCTATATATGGTCGAGGCGCTTCGTCTGGTACTTATTTACACTCGATAGGGTTCTTGCGTCTAGGGATCGGCTTGTTGGTGATAAGTCGAAGGAGTATGAGACCAACAATGTGATTCACAAGGTCACTTCCGGCCGAACGCCCTGCCATGTGGAAAATGGCTACTGAGGGCCAACAAGGAAATACATGAAAACAATGCATTAGTATACTGAAATACAATGCAAGACAACCAGGTAAACCTAATAATTAGCTCTAGTCTCACTTTGGCCGATGGCTTATCCTTCTCCCTACCAGTTTTAGCCTTGCTCACTAGCGAACCGTTACAAACCAAACTACCCAAACCTTGCTATTAACAGCGCCTTTCTCAGCGAGGCGCAGCACTCTCACTCACAGTGGTTGGCTTGCTAGGCGGAGACTTTGCAGGAGCTGCGCCTCGCTGAGAAAGACGCTGTAGACGCTAAGGTGTGGGCGGCCAGGTTTGTTATGGTTCGCTGGGGNGGGAGCAAGGCTGAAAGTGACAAGGATGGGGAAAGTCGGTAGAAGAGAGAAGAAGTTGTTTTTGCTGTTGTGTTTGTCTAGTTGTTTTGTATCCGGTATGGTTGTGTATGTTCCTAAAATGCAATCTTTCTTTACATTTCCTTTACCACTCCTCGTTGACCACTTGCCATCTGGCAGCCAGCTGTGGCGCCTGGCAGCCAGCCGGCCGAAAGCAAACCGCAACAAATTTCGTGGCTGACTCCAGTGCGGGCCATCCCAGCACGCTTTGATTTGCTGATGGAGAGGGATCTACCAATAGGCGGTCATCCAACAGGGCTCTGTTCCTTGCTGGCGAGCCTGCTTTTCCGCTCTTGGGCCTTTTTTGCTGGCAACGCAGGGAGGCTCTTGTGGTGCAGAGAGCTTAAAAAAGTTATTTTTATCTCGAGCCCAGCCTTCTTCCCGCGTGCTAGCCGTCCCGCTCAGACCGTTTTAACCCCATCAAGACCCCCTTCATTTCCACGCCGCCTGTTTGCGCAAGTATTTCCTTTCCATTTCTTTGTTGTTTTTATTTTTCTCTCTCTCTCCATCATCCTCAACTTATTCCTATCTGCGCTTCAATTCCATTGTCTTGATCAAACATCGACATAGCAGCTATTCCCAAGTCTCTAACACGGCTCTCACACACTGGGGTACATCACACCCGCTCTGTATTAGCCCACTCGCCGGGTCTCTTTTACTTTGATTCTTCCCTTTTATTTCGATTCCTCCCTCTACTCTTCTATACCCTCACATCGTATCCATTAAACATGCGACCTACAATCGCATCCGCGGCGACAGTGCTCGCTCTCGCCTCCACTGCCATTGCAGGCAACTTCGACTTCTATCCCAAGGGCTCTCAAACCTGTTTAGAGGCCGCCTTGAACGCATCCAAATGCCCAGGAAGTGTATCGGAACGCAACTCATGCCTGTGCAGTGACGGTGGCGGTTTTGTAACCAACACTGCCAAATGCCTGGGCAAGGGTAAAGACACCAGAGCCCTTGTTCCGGATGTCTTTACCACCATGGTAGGCGCTTGTGACACCTCCGACACGCCTCTATCTGTCGATCAGTCTACCTTTCAAAATACTGCTGCGGATGCAGCTAAAAAAGCAGATGATGATGACAAGAAGAAGACCACCACAACCTCCAGTGCCGCAAAAACAACACCAACTAGCACATCCACCACCAACACCAAATCGTCACCTACCAATAAAGACTCCAACGACAAGGACTCAAACAACAAGAACTCCGGCAACAATGACTCCGGCAATAAGGACTCCAGTAACAAGGATTCTAGCAGCAACGGTGACAAGAAGAGCGGTCTCTCTACTGGTGCCATTATCGGTATTGCCGTCGGCGCAGGAGTTGTTGGCCTGGCTGCCATCGCCGTTCTGCTTGCTTTCCTGCGCCGAAGACGCGCTATGAAGGCTGCTGAAGAACGCGACCCTATGCTACACCGTTCATTTGGAAACGAAGACGGTAATGCCTTTGGCCAGTCGATGCACAATGAGCCGATGAGCAGCTACGATGGTGCGAGCAGCGTCTCAGCCTATAACCGCGCCAGTGCCTACACACAACCCACAATCAGCCCTGAGCCCCAATACCAGCAACAGTACTCTCCTCCTCCTCAGCAGTACAACAATGGCACGCCGCAGTTCAACCAGCCGCAGCAATTCAGCCCACACCATAGCTTCAATGCCGTTCCTGCTGCTGCTGCTGCTGGAGCTGCTGGCGCCGCTGGTCTCGCCGCCGGTGCTGTTCCCGCTTGGTACAACCACAACCAAGCAGTTTCACCACCCCAACGTTATGAGCCGTACGCAGCGCCTCCCTTGGTATCGCAAAGTACCACGCCTGGTCCTCCTGTAGGCTTTGCGGAGCTTGCTCCCGATGCTGCTGCCTCGCCAAAGCCCAGTGCTCCGGTGTTTGAGATGGATGGTGGTGTAGCTGGCGCCTCGTCAGGTTCGCAACCGCCAAAGCTTCCTGAACTCATTCACCCTCCTAGCCTGCAGCCCCCAGGCCTACAGTCCCAGGATAGAAGATGAGACGGCGGATGTTGAATAGAGAACCATTATTTGAAAAACGTTGTTTTAACTACATGCTGCAGAGCAAGCGTTGATCTTTTCTTCCGTATAATATTTAGTTACTTGTTACAGTTTGATCTGGACTATATCATATTACATAAAGTTTTTTGTTTTTTTATAGACCTTTAAGCTTGGACTCATTTTCATTTTGTTCGCCATTGTCACACGTGTGTGTCTTCTACCTGCCAAGACGAGGAGACTCTTAGCTAAATAACCGTATTAAAGCTTTCTCGTTTGAGAAGATGAAAATTTACTTCCATCAATTATTATTACGAACAATAGAAATTATATTAAAACGGTTATTTTGGTGATTAAAACAAACTAAGAATGAGGTCCAGGGTAGTAGCCATGCGGCACATAACGTGGAAGTCAGTGGGAGCACTCGACTGGACAATAATATTCTAAAATTGGAATTTTAATAAATGAACATGCTAAATACAAATAGATATCTATATAAAAATTGGTCTACATTTAGATCCCCTAGCCAGCCGTTCGACTTCTAGATCACATATCGCGATGGCCATGACGTGTCATCAGGCCGACAGTAACAAAACTCAAAGTGGCAATGAGTTCGGGTAAAAGAGATAAGCAGACGAGGATAGCGGTGTTTCCAGTGACAGGGTTGAGCTCTGGGTTGTTGCTCGTAAATGCCGCCAAGGTGTAAACGAGACGGATGCCGATGAACACGAGCGCAATGTAGACGCCAATAAGTAGCTGAGAAAGAGTAAGCAACGATACTATTACCATTTTTATATGCGATCTGTTAATATATTTACCTTTGCTCCATTGCTGCTAGAGATTCGTGATGATTGTCGGCGGCGTCGGCAGGATGCGATGGCAGTCACGACAATGAGGATGACCCAAGCAAGCAAGAGGATTCCAACACCAGCCTTCACCTTATTCAGGGCGCCGGCCGCTGGGGATGCACTCTGAAGTGCTGAGCCACCCGAGGCGACGAGTGCTGTGGCGGCGACAACAAGCAAATGAAACATCAACACAATGACCCATTCAACCTTTGGGTCGACTCCAGAGCCAGATGGGCTAACGCTTGATGATTGTTAGAGATGGGGTTGAAGTATAATGAGAGGTGAACGCTTACACTTCGTGCAGGATGCCACTTCCAGCGAGGAGCAAAGGAGACAATCCCACATTGGCGACGATGAGCGCAGAGGGATTGTTCCCAAGGGCCATGCCACCTGCAATAATACGCAGTAGACAGAATGCTTGCAGATAGAACCACCCCAAAATGCCATGTGGGAAGTGTGTAACCAGAACATATATCACCGGAATGATAAGAACGGCATATATCGCAAGCTCGGCCGTGGTGATTGCTGTCATTTTTGATGGTATGAATGCTATGTATGGTTGAAGCTGTGGCTACTTGTTGATAGTACTCGTGATCGGCTGATGCATATTCTAGAGAGGAAAAGACGCATTATTTATACCAAAAAAAACCTTTTGCAATGTTATAAGATGATGCCCTCTGATCGCGTATAATCGCCCGGCTCGTTAAGCGGTCGATTAAAGTGGACCAGGAACGAGAGCGAGACCCAGGTGTAGCGAGAGCGAGAGCGGGCGCCGCACCACCTAAGCATAAAGGGCTGTGCATCCCCCACGCTGACGTGTAACGGCTCCAACTTCTGCAGTATCTCAGAAAAAAAAACTTGGTTGATCGAGTTTGAAATTTCGGATAGTTTTTTCGTCTAATTTCTTCAGCCCTAGAAAAGGGTGAGGCCTCTTTGCTGGTGGGGCAGTTTTGTTTTGTTTTCGTATGTTGCGTCGTCAGCGTGCTCATCAGGCTAACTCGGCGTCGGGAATTGGCTCTTGGAACTGGTCTTGACTTGTTCCATTGGCCACGCCATGAAGCGCTGCCACTGCGGGCCGAGATGGTCCGATATTGCTTGAACTTCCTTCTCCGGCGTGTTGCCCACCCACCAAGAGTGGCAGCAGAAGGAGGCAATTGCAAAGAAATGACCCAAGACTATTAGTGCCCGCGGCTTGTTGTCAGCTAGTAGCTCAACAAACCTCGTCGGAAACATGATGGGGAATACAAGCACCCGGCGAGCTATCATGCTAACATCATCACCAGCCTCCTTTGCAGCTATAATTGCTCCTAGGAAGCTAACTGTCGACGCATAGGCCTCTTGGTCTTCATTGGTTTCGTCACCAAGCTTCTCCATCAGATATGGAAACCGGGCCCGATTACTTTCTCGAAATATGACAGAGGGCTCCACAATGGAAGCACTTCTGTCGGACACTATGTTGATCCTGGCTGTCGGGTCGTCGCGGACAAGGTCCATTGCAACTCGAAAAACATTCATGACACCCTTACACATGTACAACCACTGTATAGGGGCTTCGTACGGATGTGATGGCCTCTCTCTCAAGCTCGCAAACGCGTCCAAGGAAAGGAGTACGGATGTGAAGCTTGCAGCATCGGCAATATCGCGGTCCATGATACCAATGGCTTTTCGGTGTTCTTGCAATGTCGCTTCAACATAATGCGCTCGATGCACCTTCAGTTGGTCCATGGGGACAGGGCCCGGAAGATTATTGAGAGACAGGTAAAGAATCGACAGGGCCATAATACCGTTCATGAGTGGCTCATAGTGGACTGCTAATTGCGGTACATCAAATACCCAGGTCCGGTGAATGTGAGGGACATGGGCGCCTGGAAAGGTCGGGCAGATATCAACGATGAAGCAATGTTGGAGTCGGAGCTCACGAAGACGACGTGCGCGGCTCTCATCCGCTAAGAATGGTACAGGGGCATGTGCATCGCTTTTTCTGCCATTTGTTTCGCCCTTTGGTGTGGTTACAGAGGACGGTGAGCCTTTGTCAGAGCTGGGTGGTTTGGGAGAGCGGTCATAGACGCATTCTACTTTGTGGCGATTGCATCCTCCCTTGGGTCCAGGTTAGCTTCAATGGTGAGGGTTTAGTATTGGCTGTTTCTTACACAAATAGGTCGCGCTTCGTCGCACTATGGACGATAGTCAGCTTATGGTCATTGACGGATAGGTCTTTGAGAGGGACAATTCCACGCACCTTCACTCGCCTTGCTCGGCAGCGAGTACATCCTGTCCTTGATTTGGTGTGGTATAATCGCGGCATAGATGCGAATGTTTATGCTTGTGTAAGCCTGCGGCAGATTTTGTGCCAGTCAACCCAGCGGAGGCTTATGGCGTTCGTTGAGTGTGTCAATGAGCTGGGTGGTATTGGCGCGGACGAACGTAATGCAGTAGGCGGGTAGTAAACACAAGTTCCGGCAGTTCCATGCAACTTGTTGCACTAGACGTGATGCATCTGGTTAATTTTACAGTTGTCGAGACTAAGTATTGGACGTTGCGGAATTATTTTAACTTCATCGGCATCGGCTACAGATGAATTGTCATGGTTGGTACACCTGGGTGCCCACGCGTCACGTGTGGGTCAGACTACATCTACTCAGCCACGATCGCTCCTTTAGCTCTGAGTATCAGCATTAGGTTTCCCAGACATTTGCAGCTGCTGCCCCGATGACGACAGGTCTGAGTTAAATTAAGATCACGAGAAATTCTTAATTGTTTATTCGTTTGTGTGTTTTTGTATAATGTGTATGCACAAATAATTATCTAACCTCTACCCATTACACTTTGCGGAGCATTGTCCGCTGTTCATTCGACTGGAAAGACGGCGTCGTGGTCTGCAGTCATTTCCAGAAATCACTACTATATAATGAATCAAATCAACCATAGTTTTGGTCTTATCTAGCTGTCATAGTCTTCATCATCCGAGCCACGCTGATTCTCATACCGGCCCGGCGGTTGACGGTTGATTTCATGCAGGTTATTTCCCGGCTCCGCCAGTCGATCGTTAATAGTTCTATGCCATTCCTGTAGGGCATCACGACACTCACGACGACGATACCTATGCGGCCATCCGTGATCGCGGTAAATTTGGCGGACCTCCTGTATAAGAGCACATCTGGATTAACATCTCTACCAACACTTAAGACTCTTTTGGAAGATCAAGACTTACATCCGTCATATTATCGTATCGTAACAGCATGCCTCCTTCGTCGTCGAATGGATCAACGGTCCATTCTAGACTGTAGAATCGCTCTTCCCACAAGCCGAAAAACTCAGCCACAGGCCGAGTCTCGTAAGAGTGCCAGAAGTCGTTAGGGTCGGTTTCTGCAGTAGTTTCAGAAGCTTTCAAAGGCCCCCCAGGCTGATAGTCGCTAAATGTGTCTATATGGTAAGATAAAGTTAGTAGAATACTAGCCAGACAGGAGCAAACGTTGAAAGATAGTACTCACTTTTCTCCGTATCTAGTAGAACTTGACTCCCGTAAGATCCTGCGCTGCGGTCTGAAGTCAAGACAACAACATGAGGGGGGAATTCGGGGTCCCCGTGGGGAATCCATCTATTTCTATCACCAACTGCAATCTTCACACCCCTATAGTCAAGAGCTTCTGTTCCAAAGGCGATCTGAACATTGAACTCGTTGCTATATTTGATGTACGGTAGATGGCGCAGCACGTCGACGACTTGCTTTTTTTTTTGCAGACCAGCAAGCGACTCCTCGGTGATGTTTGGCCAGCCTTCCTCCGGAGGGTATTCCACACAGTCTTCTGGGATGGCTTCCAGCTCTTCGACTAAGAAATTGTAGTATTTGTATACAGCATCGACAGCCGGCTTCCAGGGTGGTTCGTCAGGACTACCACCCATCTTGATTACTGGTCGTTTTCCACTGCAATGAGCTTTGTGGAAATTAGTGATGAAAAAGTGTACAGAGTTTGTCCTGGGAGAATAAAGAACGATATTTGATATAAAGTAATGTGGCTACCCTGCTCAACCTTTTGCGTCGATTGCAATCGAGTGATCGAGGGAGAGGGGCATGCCATGAGTTGCAGCACATAACTCAGCGGTGTTTCCCCACTGACAAAACTGCACGTCTATTACAACCAACCTGTGCCATCGTATACAGTTGTCCACTTAATAGGAACAGAATAGGATCTCTTATTTAGCTTAGACAACATTATTATTATTCTATTTTCTAGAGATATGCTTCTCGCTCTGTGACAACTGCGCCCATCTTCTGTAAGAGACATCGTTATGTAATCAAGCCAAACCACCCATAAACGACGCCTCCAGGGTCCAACGCACGCGCCGCCACCACCGCCTCCTAAGGTGGCAGTGGAGTGAGCTGCCTGAACACTTCACCCTGGTCAAGGCATTACAGTGCTTGTTTTGGTTGCTTCGCCAGCACCAGCCCCCTGTTTCGTACAAAGCCTGATCATTAGGGCGGCCTTTTCTTGCATCGTTTTCAGTCTTTTCATCATCAACATTATCACAGTCATCACTTGCATCGTATTGTGTTGACGACTCTGCTCTGTACATGGCAACATGTCTCGTGACGATGATTCCAGCAGGCTTCCCGAGGGTATGAGGCGAGTTGGATATGACGCTGACACGCAAGTCTACACCTTTCAAGACGCTGATGGCAGCTATTGGGAAAGCGCTCCTGGCTGCGAGTACGGACGACTCACGCGTGTAGGCGGCAGCGACGAGGACGATGTCAACGACACGCAGCCGTTTCTCCAGAACGCGTCTGCCCAGCCATCGCCATCTTGGCGGTCGGAAATGCGACCCCTGCTCAACTTTGGTGTCATTATCGGCGTCTTCCTGATGGGCGTCATATGGCTCTTGTATGGGTCCTCCAGTGGCAACCCGGTCCCTGAACTCGACTGTCCTGTTGGCTCCCAGGTCTACAGAGTTCAGGCTGGAGACACATGCTGGGACCTTGCCCAATCACACGATGCTACTGTTGACGATTTAATCCAGCTCAATGATGGGCTGGATTGCAAGCATTTGCCAATCGGCCAGCAAATCTGTCTTCCGTCCACTTGAACAAACTCAGCAACAGCCCTTATACAACACGCAAGAACAAGCTTCCGACGTCATGCCCACTAAAGCTAAAGATGCTTAGCTTCCGCTGTGAGCGGTCATTAGCGGCAATACTTTTGGTGGCCTTTTTAGGCGCCAAATTTGAGTGGCTCTCGACGCCCCCAGTGCCTGACCGCACCACCCTCGACGCGCCGACCGGCGGGGCAAAGTAGCCCCTCATCCAATTTTTTTTTCTGCCACCCCGGTCTCTCTCTCTTGTCCTGAAACAAAATTTTCTGCACACTTCCTTATTTGCAGAGAATTTCCATCTCAACCTTATCACCTACTTCACCACATCCAGTTTGTGATCAGTGAAGTGTCAAGATGGATAAGGATCAACTCGCTCAGTTGCTGAAGGCCAGCACCGTTCGTAAGTCTTGCTCGCTGCTCGCTGCCACCCCGCCATCCAGACACAGAACAACTGCTAACTTTTTCCTCTTCTCTATAGCCAACACGGAACAGGTCAAGGCTGTCACAGCTGATCTCCAAAAGAACTACTACTCAAAGCCCGAATGCCTTCTCCTCCTCATCGAGATTGCTCTCACAAATGACGACAGCGCCATCAGACAGCTCGCTTCCGTCCAGGCTCTTCGCAAGGGTGCTAAGCACTGGAAGAAGGTTGCTGACGATCAGAAGCAGCTTGTCCGCCAGCACTTGATCGAGGGTACCCTTCGTGAGACCGTTAAGCCCAACCGTCACTCCCTGGCTCGCCTTATCGCTGGCCTGGTTTCTGAAGACATGGAGCTCGGCGCCGGCGAGGAGTTCCTCAAGCAGATTATTCCCCTCAACTCTAGCGATAACGTTGTTTCTCGTGAAGTTGGCTCTTTCCTTCTGTTTGCCATGCTCGAGGCAAACCCCGAGCAGTTCTCGGACCACATCCACCAGCTCCTCGACCTTTTCCGTCCCAGACTTGAAGACCCCGAGAGCAAGGAGGTTCGCATCAACATTGTCCAGGCAATCGGTGCCGTTGTTCTCATCGTCGACGCTGAAGAGGACCCTCAGTCTGTTAAGGCTATCCAGACCTTTATCCCTCCCATGGTCAACATCCTCAAGGCCACTGTTGAGGCTGAAGATGAGGAGAGCTACAAGGTCGTTTTCGAGACCCTGCACTCATTCCTCGCCTACGACCCTGCCTTCCTTGCTCTGCACCTGCGTGACCTCCTTCAGGTCATGATGCAGCTTGCTGGCAATGCTGATGCTGAAGAAGACGCCCGTTCTCAGGCCATTACCTTCCTTATCGAGGCTGCCAACTACCGCCGTCTCAAGATCCAGGCCATGGGTGACGTTGCCTCTCAGATGATGGTTGGCGCCATGCACATCGCCACCGAGCTTGAACCCGATGAGGATGATGAGGACATGTCCCCCGCTCGCTCTGCCATTGGTCTTATTGACCAGCTCGCTGGCAGCCTTCCTCCCAAGCAGGTTATTGTTCCCCTTCTCGAGCAGTTCCCCAAGTTTGCCACTCACCAGGACCCCCGCTTCCGTATGTCTGCCATGCTCTCTCTCGGAAACGCTGCCGCTGGTGCCCCCGACTTTATCTCCACACAACTTGAGCCCCTTCTTCCCTTGATTGTCAACCTGCTCTGCGACACTGAGCTCCAAGTTAGACATGCTGCTTTGGTTGGTTTGATCCACCTCGCCGAGGAGATGGCTGATGAGATGGCCTCTCAGCACGAGCAGATTATCTCTGCTATTCTCAAGAACCTCGACGCTGCTTCTCAAGCGGGCTCCGACAAGAAGAATGTTAGCATCATTCGCTGCGCTTGCGGTGCTCTTGACACCTTTGGCGATGGTATCGACACCAAGATCATGGCCCAATATGGCCCTAGCCTGATGGAGCCCATGATCAAGCTCCTTGACCACGAAGACTTTGGCGTCAAGGCTGGTGCTGCTTCTGCTCTGGGTGCCATTGCTGGCTCCATGGATGACGCTTTCAAGCCTTACTTCGAGGGTGTTATGAAGTCGCTTGCCCAGTTCGTCATGATCAAGGACAACGAGGAAGCCATGAACCTGCGCAGTGCCACTTGCGACAGCTTGGGCCGTATTGCCATGGCTGTCGGTGCCGAGACCTTCCAGCCCTACGTCGTTGACCTGATGAAGGCCAGCGAAGAGGCTCTCCACCTCGACAACCCTAGACTCAAGGAAACCAGCTTCATCCTATGGTCTAGCCTGTCCAAGGTTTACCAGGCTGACTTTGCCCCCTTCTTGGACGGTGTCTTCAAGGGTCTCTTTGCTTCTCTCGAGCTTGAGGAGGAAGAGCTTGACCTTCCTGGAATCGATGCCAGCCAACTCGGCGAGGATGGATCTCTCGTCATTGGCGGCCGCCGCATCAAGGTTAAGGCTCCTGACAGCGCTGACGACTTCACCATCGCTACCGATGGCGAGGATGATGATGATGAGGACGACTGGGCTGATTTGGACAACTTCCACGCCGTCACTGCTGTCGCTCTCGAGAACGAAATTGCCCTTGATGTCATCGGCGATGTCATTTCCAACTCTTGCAACTCCGCCAACCTCGAGAAGTACACCGAGGAGACCATTGAGAAGGTCGCTACCTTTGCTGAGCACGACTACGAGGGCTGCAGAAAGTCTGCCATCTCTACTCTCTGGCGCATCTACACCCGCGTCTTCCAAATCTGGGAGGAGAGCGCTGGTTCTAAGTGGCAGCCTGGTTTGCCTGCTAAGCAGGCCCCTCCCGCCTCTATCGTCAGCATTGCCCAGCTGCTGTACAAGACCACCATGCCCATCTGGACTAACGACTCTGACCGGTACGTATCCCATGTTTTTCATTCCCTTTCCTTTTGTTGTAAAATGATGAGCATTTCGCGTTATACCCAGCTCACTCAGACGCAAAATGCGATTGCTGAGAACACGCCTTATCTACTCCTGATTATAACCTTTTATTCATATTTCAATTAACGTTTCTCGTTTGTTGATCTGTTGCTAACCGCACAATTACAGGGGTGTTGTTACCGACATTAACCGCAATGTCGCCGCTACTTTGAAGGCCTGTGGCCCTGCTGTCCTCGGTGCCCAGGGCAGCCTTCTGCAGGAGATTGTCACCACCATCACCACCATTGTTACCAGATCCCACCCCTGCCAGCAGGATCTTGGCGATGAGGAGGATGCCCAAGAAGTCGATGCTGGTTCTTCTGAGTACGACTGGCTTGTCATTGACACCGCCCTTGATGTTGTTTCTGGTCTTGCTGCTGCTCTTGGCCCTGACTTCGGCGAGCTCTGGAAGATCTTCGAGAAGCCCGTGCTCAAGCTTGCCAGCTCTACCGAGGATCTCCACCGCTCCACCGCTGTCGGCACCATTGCTGAGGTCTGCAAGTTCACGAAGGATGCCATCACCCCCTTCACTGAGTCTCTGGGCCAGGCTCTTGCTCGTCGCTTGACTGACCCCGACTCCCTTACCAAGTCTAACGCTGCTTACGCCATTGGTCTCTTGGTTCTCCAGTCTGCCGACACCGCCAAGACGTTCCCTCTGTACTCTGCTCTCTGGGAGAAGCTCCAGCCTCTCCTCGTTGTCAATGAAATGCGTATGACCGACAACGTTGCTGGTGCCCTGAGCCGCATGATCTTGAAGAACCCCGAACCTGCTTTCGTCGCGGAGGTCTTGCCCGCTGTTGTCAATGTTCTTCCCCTTGCCGAGGATTACGAGGAGAACGAGCCCATCTACCAGTGCATCTGCCACCTCTACCAGCAAAACAACGAGACTGTCCGCCAGCTGACCCCTCAGTTGATGACTATTTTCGAGAAGGTTTTGGGTGAGCCTGAGGAGCAGCTCGACCAGCCTACTAGGGAGCTCTTGACCAGCACTGTCCAGACTCTCCGCGGTTAAGACAGTCATCTTGGATGATTTGAAGAAAAAAGCAAATTGATTTTTTACTGCATGCAGTACCGTTCGCTGCCCGATGAATATATATGAGGCAATGACACGTACGAAGTTTTTGATGAACACAGCGACGTTAGCCAGATAGGATACCAATGATTAATAGATGATGGAAGTACTGCTTCCGGCCCAATACTGGGTGTTTATATAAGCTTGATTTACAATATTTCTTGGTTCTTGACGTGAATTTACCAAGGTGAAAGTGAAACACGTAAAGATGATGATGTAACATTATTCATTCATATAATTAATAACTAATAATTGCTCTAAGAGTACACATGTCTAGTTTTAAATGGTAAAGAAAGAAGGGGTCGGCCTGTTTGGCATACGGCTACCTTGTAAATATGAGGCTTGGTCTACCAGATGCGTTTATTGACCATTTCATAGCGAAAGACGCCTTGGAAGTCTCCATCGTGGACCTTCTTTTTGCCATCATCGCCTTGTCTTTTACCACCTGGTCCTCTGCTGCCGCGAAGCCCTTCGTTTGGATCTGCATGGATCCAGCGCTGCTTGTCATCGGTGACCTCGATTTCGCCTCTACCGCCAACTCGGCGGCCCTTTGCATCAAACGACTCGCGCTCAAGCTTGCCAAGAGCAACTAGCTGTTCTTTTTGCTTCATCTGGGCGTAGCGGTTTCGTGAATACTTAAGAAGCAACATGCCCAAGGTAAGCTTGAGAATTAGGAACACGAGGAACACAATGAAGAAGACAATCACCATGGTAAGAGTGGCGATGAAGTCGTCGGTTGTCCAGGCATACCATGGTCGTGGACCTCCATATGGGTATCCGTACGTGGCACGGCCTAGCGAGTCGCGGATCAGAGAGTCGAAGCGGTTCAGTGCCGCAATTACTGCTGGCGATGAGGGCGTCGCTGATTCTTGTGAAAGGCTGGTTTGCGTGGACTGCGGTAGCGGCATAGGGATGTAGGTGGACAGGAACATGTGGTAAGCCTGGACAGAGGCGCGGATGAAAAGGCATGATAGAGGGATGACAGCTAGGCCGAGGCGTCTCGTCAATGATGGTGTGGTGAAGGCGTTGGTGTAGTAATCCTTGCAGAGGACGTCGAGGATCCTGCCGTAGAATTTGGGCTTGATATTGTTGAACTTGGTGACGTAGGCGTGCTTGATTGTATCGACAAGCATCTCGCTACCAAGAACAATAAGGAAGGGTGAGATGACTTCTCCCGAAATAAGCCATGAGGGTAGGACAGTAAAGCTGTGAGGCAAGATTGACGGGTGGTGTCTCGGTCCGCTAGATATGTCGTCGTTGTCACCGTTCATCGCACCAGGAACGGAGAGGCCACCGACTTCCACAATGTTTCGCATGCCGATAATGAGGAGCATGATCCAGAGATGGAATCGCTCAACAATATCCGCACAAGTGAGTTGGAAGAGATTGTCTTTTTCAAAGCGCTTGAAGACGGTGCTTTTGATCTCGACAAACTGGTTGGAGAGCAGCAGGGTGAGCAAGGCGTTGGAGTATGAGTTGACGGCGACGTTGAGCGTAATGACTTGATAATACAGGGCTATAGAATGCAGGCAGTTGTACACGAGCGCCATGATAAACATGCCAAGCGGTAGCAGAATCTTGGATCTGCCTGAGGCGTTGCGAGAAAGAGTCTCAGCGCTGAAGAGGCACTCGAAGATATCTTGGCCAAATGCAGACAAGAGACGGTCGCTTACTTCGAGGATATTGTAAATGACGTAGAGCTTGATGGCGGACTGGGCACGGATAAAATGATACATTCGGCTGGCGTCGAGCGTCATGAGCGCCATGGAGCTGCAGATGATGACGGCGCCTTGTAGCAAATCAGCCTTGTGGTATTGGGATAGTAGAGATGGAATCGACTTGGTTCGGCGGTGTTTGAACGAACCCGACTTGGGTCCTGGATCGCGGAGAGAGGTCGGCGTGCGAAGGGTCTCAGGACCACCGGGTCGAGATCGGCGCTTCGTAATGTCTATTTCGGGGTTGCGGGAAGATTCGCTAACGCGGCTTTGACTGCGTGATCGATCACTGTAGACAGAATCGCCTTGATGAGGAGCTCTGCCAGTCCTTTCGCGCTCCCAGAGGCGGCCGATGCCTGACCAGACGTATCCGAGAACCCATTGGACCTCTTTGCGAATGACATAGGCCCACCATCGAAAGAGCAGCCCAAGTGCAATAAAGAACCGGATTGGTAAGATAGTAAATGTGTGCAGCCAGGCGTCTAGACAGGCCAATGCTCCAAAGTAGAGAGTACGCTCCAGGTACGGCGGGATGAGCAGGACATTCTTAAGACGCTCAAACTTGACGGCGCTAGACTCGTACGGAATATCGGTTGCGTTGGAGTGGTGGATGTACAGTGGGCTTGGGCGCTGCGCAGCCAATTCAAGCTGTAAATGTGTAGGGATGGACATGGGAGGAAGTGGTATAATAGTTGGCATGGGGGACGGTGGTCGGATTCCGCCATCTTGACCAGACGATGAGAGGGCTGGCGGGCCCGTCTTAGGGGCCGGCGAGATGATGCTAGCCTTTAAACGTGGCTCACTTCTCATCTGGTCAAGATTCAGAGGTGTTGGTCGAGAAGCTGGGTGGAGGGAGAATCGGCGTGGCGGAGACGAATCATCATGGTTATCATATCGTTTGGAGCGGGTGGATGGCGGTGTAGACAGAGTTCTGGAGGACGATGTGCGGTCGTTTGAGCCCCTGGATCTCGAGACATATGCCGATTGCGCCTGGCCATTAGCCATGGAGCCGTCAAAGGCCCGGATTTCCGGTCGAGCAAGGAGGGCCTGTCGTATAGCCTCACGCTCATCTGCATTCTTAAACGGGGCAGCAGATTCGAGGCGCGGTGGTGCTGGGCCGACAGGAAGCGACTCAGGAGACGCCGCCAGGTCCTTCATTTCAGAGGCAGAGAGCCTGCGGAAGTGGTCTGTACTAGGCGTCTTGCGAAGGGTTCTGCTGGGACTGCGAGCTTTGTTGGCTGCTTGTTCGCCATCGGACGTCGAAGGGGTTTGAGGCGAAGTCTGCGCGCGACCGCGGGGAGGGCTGCTAGCTCGGCAAGGTTCGGTGGCAGGCTCCTCGTCGGCATCTTCTGCAGGAGGGGTCATTGGCATGGGTGGTTGCGCCGAGCTGTTGGGGAGATAGGTCGTCATTGTGGGAGCAGGCGTCGTCAAGGGCGAGGACACGCGAGGGTCGAGAGGGTCTGCGGTCGCGGCCATTATGGCGACTCAGCGGGCATTCTGGGCCGGAACGCAATGTTTGTCCGATGTTATATAACTACTGCCCGGTCGAATAATTGGGCGTTGCGTAGTGAATGGGCGGGCGGGAGAAGTGTGAGGGTGATGATGCAGCAGCGTTGAAGCCAGATTCAACGTTTGCATGGCGTTGCAGTCTGGTGACGTGAAATAAAACTGGGGCGATCCAGCAGCAAGCCGTTGGGACGAGGCGGGCTATGTTTTTTTTGGTGGCACGTCAAAAGCCTACAAGGCTGTTTATTGGACAAATTAAAATAACTGGTAAGTACAATTGCCATTAGTTGTAAATAATTCCACTATTCACATAAAAGTGCGTACTGGTGCGTTGCTGTTGGAGTGGTGTTTGTCACCTCGTAGCCAAGAGCCTTTCTACATGACGAGGCTGCAGATCGTCTGGGGACATGCATATATGCACAGTCAATATAACAAATGTGGATATAATCATGTAATTTATATCATGCAGAGGATATTATACCATTCATTCTACTTAAGCGGCCCGTGTCTCTCTACATGCTTTGTCTTTGTTGTCGTTGCACACTCTCGCGCTGCCTATTCTCCGTTTTGATATTCGTCATAGTTTAGCCAACGCGAGCTGCTCAAAAGGGAAAGTTGTCGAAAAAAGTGACGGCCTGGAGGAAGGCCTGCTCCTTAGCGTACTTTTCAATCTTGTTCTCCTTGTTTCCGCGGACAGCGAAGCCATGGGCAACGCTGGAGTAGAGGTTGATCTGGTAGTGTTGCTTGGTGGCAATGAGAATCTCCTCGGACTTGTGGCGGAGCTCGGTGGTGAAGATGGAGTCGGTCTCGGCGGCAGCAATGGCAAGAGGGCCAGTGATGGCAGCAAGCTCGGCCTCCTCGACAAACGAAGGGTGGCCGAGGTAGCCGACGTTGATGCCGCTCTTGTAGTGGCGGACGACGTACTGCACCATCCGTGTTAGTAGCGAACCAATAGTCATATACACATGAGATCTTGTCTAATAGCTTACCTTGGCACCGAAGCAGTAGCCAACGGCGGCAATCTTGGTCACACCAGCATCCTTGAGGTGCTGGATGGCCTTGAGGACAATAGGGTCGACGTGGTCAGTGGTGTGGTTCAATCGCCAAGCGTTGAAGTCAAAGCCCTCCTTGTTGAAGGGGACAGTGTCGCCATCGAACAAGTCAACGACAAGCGTGGTGTATCCCTTCTCGGCAAAGGCATCGGCCATGAGCTTGCTGTTCTGCCAGATACCAAAGACATCGGGGAGGTAGAGGATGGCAGTGTTCTTGTGCGCCTTGTCCTCCGGCGCCGTGGCGAGGTAGCCGTCGATGGTGCCGGCAATCTTGATGTCCTGGCCAGAGGGGGTTCCCCTAACAATTGTCACGGAATGGTTAGCTAGAATACTCTTCCGGCGCAAAAAAGCGCATGGAACAGCTACTTGCTGGCCGCTGTAGCCGCATGGCGAGGGAAGACGATAGGAGGGGCAACATACTCGTGCAGGGTACCAAGGTTGCAGCAGCTGCCGGGAGGGTTGGAAGCCATTGTGAAGTGAGAAATGTGTGTATGTGAGTGTGTGTATATGTGGTTGTGTTGGAAAAAGAACAAGAAAAAGCGAAGCAGAGGACGGGAACAATGGCAATTAAATGGACAACCAGACGGCCGGTGTTTGGGCCGGTAGCTACCCCTCCGCTCCACACCCAATAATGTTCAGCGCAAAAGATGTCAGGGTCGGAGTCCCGCGCTAGTCCGTCCTTACAAATTCAGCTCGCCGGGTAAAGCTGGAACGTGCGGCAACAGATGGAGCGTATTAGCGAAATGGGTATCGGGATTTTTTTTTTTCATTTGTGCTTTGCTGGCTTGTTTGCCAGCTAGCTAGCTATGTACTACTTACTACAAGGCGCCTTTTTAATGGGATATCTATATACAAAAGTACAAATACACGGTCGTCATTAACGTTATTTCGTTCGGAGCACCTTTGGCTTTCTCTTCTTAAACACCACCGATGGCGTCGCATCCTCGTCTGTCGGCGCCTCGTCCTTCGGGGCAACGTCATCAGAGTCCTTCGCCGAAGGCATCACCGCGACGCGTTCGTCTCTTGGTGCATTCTGGACCTCATCAGCCGCATTCTCATTAATATCTTCCTCCTCTTTCTTGACAATATTGGCATCGATCGGCTCCTTTTTGACGAGAAGGGCGCCGTTCAGCAAGGCATCAAGCTCCTTGTCCTCGTCGGCAGGCATGGTCTTCGTGTCACGGCCCCATTTCTTCGGCTTCTTAAACAGTCCGCGCATGGCATCCTCTTCTTCCTTCTCCTCTTCTGTAACTTCGCGCTTGCGTACACCGTTCGCTCGGCCTTCGACTTTGGTCGGGTCATCGCCGTCTTCGGATTTGGTAGGTGCCTCGATGATCTTTGTTGACGTAACAGTCCATTGGCCGGCCATGGCCATTTCCGGACGCAGCTCACTAGGCATTTCTATACCCATGGCAGCCAGCTGCTCTCGCTGCTTCTGCAGCTGAGCGACGGTCGCGGGCCGCGTCTGGTGACTGCCTGCTGGTATGGGTGCGGTGCGTGTTGGCGCCGCATTGCTGGACGATGTGTTCCCCGGTACGACGCCATTTAATCGTTCGATTTCTTGCTTAGCTCGATCTTTTTCTCTCTGTTCGCGCTCGTGGCCGCGGTGGAGGTCTCGGAGTGATCGCTTCAGGTTGCCCTGGTGTCTGGCTGTCGCTTCATGGTTTGCGCGCTCGAGCTTGGTGTCGCGAATATACACTTGGCAGTGCTTACACCAGTAGCGTTCTGTCGATTTCCAGAATTCCGACATGTTATGATTGACGCCGACGCAGCAAGTTGGCGGTTGGCGCGATGTGGTTGAAGAAGAAAATTTTGGACTCGACGAATTGATGGTGGCTGTAAGAGCAATGTTGCTGCGACTGGTGGCGGCCCACTCCTCCGGCTCGGCGCCGATGACTTCTAGTTACAAGGCAGCAATAACACTACAGAGCGAAGAGCGAACACGTTTTACAATACCTCTGATATTTAGGAATTTTTCAACAGTCATAATGAATAGGAAACGATAAAGTAGTTTGAAAAGTTTGAAAATCTCATTTGTACTAGTGACTATGTGTAGTGTATATTACCACGACCGACTTCCATACATCGGGCCACCAATTCTCTTTCATTATATGCGTCATCTCGATGCCAGAGAAGAAAAGCAAAAAAGCACATTTCATGTCATTAAGACTTGGTCCTCTTTTTGTCCAAGCTAAACCCAAAATATTCCGAACAAAATTTCACAATTGAGGCAGTGGCAGCAGTGGCAGCGCTAGACTTTACCACCATCAACCAACTACCTATTCATTACTTCCAAGCAGTTTTCAGCATTTAAAGGAAGAAGACGGCGGCAAGACCGGCAGCGAGGAGACCGCCCATGGCGGGGACGCTGCGGCCGGCACCAGCGTGGGGGACGGTAGCGGGAGCAGTGGGAGCAGCGCCGCCAGTGCCAGTGGGAGCCTGGATCTGGCCATCGCCAATCTGGGAAACCTTAGCACCGCCGGTAGGGGCCTGGATCTGGCCATCACCGATCTGAGAGACCTTGGCGCCACCAGTAGGAGCCTGAACCTGACCGTCACCGATCTGGGAGACCTTGTTGCCGCCAGAAGGAGCCTGAACCTGGCCGTCACCAATCTGGGAGACCTTGGCACCGCCAGTAGGGGCCTGGATCTGACCATCACCGATCTGGGTGATGACGGGAGGGTTGGTGGGAGCCTGGATTTGGCCATCACCAATCTGAGAGACGGGAGGGTTGTTGGGGACCTTGTCGCAAGGAGTGGTGTGAGCCTGGATCTGGCCATCGCCAATCTGGCACAGAGGGACGGGGAGCTGGGTGGTGACGACCTGGGGCTGACCGTCGGGGAGAGCTGTCACGATGGTGGTGACAACCATGCTGGTGCCGACAGTGTTCTTGCCGTTACCACCAGCAGGGGGGTTGCCGCCGGCGGGAGCCTTGCCGTGAGGCTGGGCAACAATCTCGACGGGCTCGCACTGAGCAGCCCAGTGACGGTCGTAGAGGTTGTAGAAGTCGCCAGAGAGGCACTGGTAGAAGACGGTGGAACCGCCGAGGGCGAGAGAGCCGTTCTGGCAGGTGGAGAAACCAGCAGTGTAGATGGAGCCGGCCTGGGGAGGACCGTCAAACTGGAACTGGTAGTTGGCGACAATGGCACCGGTGCGGTCCTGGGAGTCCTTGAGGACACCGTTCTTGAGGGTGAGAACAAGGGTGTCGCGCTTCTGGATCAGCTGGCGCTTGGCGAGCTTGAAGATGGAGAGCTCGAACTGGCCATCGTAGTTTTCGCTGCAGCCAGCAGGGGCCTTGGAGTCAGGGCGAAGGTTATCAGGAGCAGCGCCGGGGACGGCAGCGGCGGTGGCAGCAAGGCCGAGAGCGGCAGCAGTGAACTTCATGATTGTCTGTGAGGAAAGAAGAAGGTTAGCATTTAATATTTTCGAGTAAAACGAGGTCTTTAGTTGTTGAGAAGAAGAAGAAGAGGGAAGAATAGCCCGCCAGCCCAATTTGGTGGTGGTGTATTACGCTCCTCGTCCTTCTCCTGTAAGAGATCGGCGACAAAAGGTGACTGATGTGCAATCGTCGTTCCAGGCCATGGTAGGAGAGTTGATGGGACACCGATGTGATCGGAAACAGGCTGAAGATGGGACAATACATACAGTTTGTGAGAGTTGCTAACAGCAGCAGTGTAGCAAAGCGATTGTGGTGAGGCGTGGGTGAGCGATAGGCAGACTACTTGATTCCTAGCGATGGATGGAAAGCAGAGTAAGTCGATGATGAAGTAGCGAAGGAGATTGTTCACACGCCACAAAGGAAGATGGAAGAATGGTGGATTGGATGGAATGCAAGAAAAAAAGATGTGCTGAGGAGTGGGAGAAGGGTGGGTAGATATAGAATCGAGCGTCTCGGTGATGTACAGTCCAGTACGGGGGATGGATGGACACAATGCCCTGCACGCAGAAAGTGGGTAAGAAAGAAGAGGCCGGAGTGTGGGCCACGCAGCCGTTCGCCATCGAACTTCTCTTTTTTTTGTTCTTCTTAGTGCAAAAAAGCAACACGACAGAGGTGTGGCCGTATAGCAGAATAGCGTCCATCGTCCGAGCCAAAGGGGCATGTCTCTGGCACCAGAAGCACGCTGTAGACGCCCACAGCGGCTGTGTGGAGCCCCTGCGGAGGGGGGGAGTGGCGCTAACTGGGGCCTGCGGGAATGCGATGGACTGACGCCGTTAGTGGCAGGCTAAACCAAGAAAGAGGAAACCTGCGACAGGCCCTGGCAGAGCCTGCTAAGCTGTGCTGAGCTGCGCTGTGTTGGGTGCTGTTAGCAGTGGTGGAGAAGAGCAGTCGCCCGTGGTAACAACCAGCAAGCCACACGGGAGCCACACGCCCCTCCTGATGCCTCCCCCTGCCCCCCTCCCCTGCGCCCCCTCTTTTATGCTGGATTCGTTGTAGTGGACCTTTTTTGGGTTCCGGCGAGCCGCTGAGCGGTTTTACTGGTGAAAAAGTATCGGGCACAGTGTGTGTGTATGTCTGCTTTGCTGCAGTGAACATCAACCGCCCCAAAAGCTGGCAGTAGGTCTCCAGTGATGGTGATGATCGCTCAATCGGATGGGTTGTCACTGGATCCCTATTTTAATTTTATTCTTTTATTTTCCATACTTTCTTTAAACTTTTTAGCGTCATTATGCATCGTATACTTCTACGATGCGCCCATCAGGACGGATTTTCACCAGTTTACCGGTTCAGTGGCGAGCTGCCCGCTATCATCCCCACTGTTGGGCCCATACAGCGCTTGGCCGGCCCCATTGCAACAAACCCTGGCCAGCACCAACTCCTACGATCGAGCGCCAGCACGCGGGGGAATCGGCGCCCAAACCATTCGCGTCGGATCGATGGCGCCTGGGGTTCTTGGCCGCGACACGGGTTGGGACGACGGCTGTATCAACGGCTGGAAAGGAAACAGAGCGTGCAATTGTAAAAGAGTACAAGAAAAACCCAAAAATAGGGGACCAGCAAAAAATGGAAAAGTGAACAATGCACTGGAACAACTGGCATGACACGCCAGCCAGGCTTATCGTTCTCCCCTGTGGCGCTACTGCACACAAACGCTGCTGTAGGCATGCTTGATCCTGCTCAACTAGTGGTCTGATCCAGTATAAATCAGGCTCGTTGTTGGCCGTACAGTGGGGTTTACAGTGGGTGCCTCCAGCAGCAGCAACACCAGCGAGCTTCCTTTTTTTTCGGGGCGGGTACGTAAGACCGTGTGTGTACAGTGTCGCCGATCAGAAATCACGCATAATCCGGTCTCTCGGAATCAATAGTGAAAATAATGGAAAATAATGGAAAAGTAAAAGAGCCCAAAAAGGCTAATACGATGCCTCCCACCGCCGAAAGAACCTGTGGCGGCCGCCAGTGATGCATGACACCAGCCAACCACCACAACTAGTGGCATCGTTTCTCTGCCGACGATGTACGCCCGCCTTCATTGTTCGTCCGCCTGATCTCATGATGATGATGCCAATGTCTGGCCAGCCATGCCGGAAACAATAGAAACCAGCCTTTTTGTTTTCTTTATCCCATAATTAGAGTAGTCATCGTCCATCGGGCTTGCGTACCACCGCCCTTAGCCACAGGTCACCATGGCAAACACTAGACGCCTCTGCCTAGTCCGCAGGAATGTTGGTGTGCCTGCCGCGCTGTAGAGACTCGTGGCTGGGGCTTGCTTGCAACGAAATGTCTCGCCGATAGTATAGATCGTGGCCTGCAAGTGTCTCACAGGAGGTTCGGTGCTAGTTGACTGCTTGCGGAGGCCATTTCCACATCTCGAACGTCTGACCCTGCTGAATCGCTCCCGCCACGAACTGTCTGAATACTGGCCGCTGCTGTCTGGCTACGTGCAAGACAATACAACGTGTATGGGCAGGCTTGCCAGCTCACAAGCACGCATAATGGAGCTTCATGCGTGCGTCTATCTCGTCTGCTCTCTGCATGAAGTGGCTAGGCTAGCGTCCGTAGCGCTGCATGCGCCGCTATTCCTCTCTCCAATTCATGAGTTGCTCCGCGACCACCACCGCCCGCAGCCTGCAGATGTCTCTTTCATGCATCGTGATTTACAGCCAGCCTGCCTCAGCCTTTTTACAAGTAAAAAGGAGGGAGGGAATCTATCACCGGTTATTCGTGCTGCCAGTTGTTCCATCCATCGAAAGACTCCGACTCGCTGATGCCCATCTTCGCGGAGCTGCTGATGCCTGTCAGCAGCACCACCCTGTCTCAAAGCAAAAGAGGCCGCCTCGTCTCTGCTTGCTCAGTCAGCTCTCGCTAGACAAAAGCCCATTGGCAGTACCCCTGCATGCTCACATTGATCTATGCCTAAAGGGGACAGTGGCGCATCGGGCTCGCAGCCTACGGGCGGGTTAGGATTTTCCCAATTGGTGAAGCCCAGTTACGGTACGGAGAGGTTGGTCCATCCATCCATCCACAATGGCATCTCCATACAGTACGTACAGCAAACGCCGGCAGAACAGTACCATACTGTATGCAGGCATCTTCTACGGTGCCCGTACAGCCCTTCTGTGGCTGCCTCATCCTTTTCCCTAACATACCCACGGATGGGGGGGGGGCTCGTCCGTGCTGCTGCACCGGCAGCGGTTAAAGTTTAGCAGCACACTGTCAAACGGTCAGACAGCGGAGTCGTGCATCGATGCAATTGACGTTTAACCAGCACTCCCTAGGCAATGCGTCGTCACAGAATTTAGCTTGTTAGTGATTTTGCTTGCGTCGTGCCTGGTGCTGCCTCGTCGGAAGCAGGACCTGTGAGGTCATCGACGCAGCCACAATGGCACAAGAATAGAGCCTCGCGTGCTGGAGGGGCGTGCATGGCGCTCATTCGCTGTTCGCTAGCAAGCTAGCTAGCTTCAGCAGTTGCAGCGTGCTTGCCGGCATCGTCAGAGAGGGGGCAAGCTAGACTTTGTTGGGTGGTTGGTGGACGCCATTCCACTGAAAGCTAGCTGGTGATGGGGACCTGGCCGCACACTGATTCAGACTCAGACGCCTGTCCTGTCGCAGACCTATTGTTAGAAGCATCTTCCAGCGCAGTAAAGTCGACTGATGCATTTGAGTCACTGCCACGATGCTTGCGTTGACCCATTATTGGTCTAGTCCGACGGTGACGCCGTATAGACAGCTCTTCCAACCTCAACGTGCCTTCCGGGTCCATTTTCATCGCAAGCTTCCGAAGCTTCCTCTATTCCCACAATGCAACCCACACCCCAAACGAACTAGCTCCATGTGGGCGTCCCAGTTGGGGCGAGCTAGGCTATGCTAGAAAGCGGGCTAGCGAGATGGTTGTGTAGCAGAGCAGCTGTGTGTGGCGATAGCGAGGCTTTTTGCGCTTGCGTTGAGCATTGAATCCTGATTCGGAAGCATGCTGGATTTGCCTTTGTCTTGCTCCCCTCCGCGAGTCGCTCTTCTGTTACAGTCCATTATGCCAAGACGAGGCTAACGGGCTCGTATTTACAAATGGGCGAGCAAGGAAATGGCGCATCTCTTGATAGCCTTGCATTGCCATCTCCGTCGGCCGGTCCTGTCGTGCCGAGGAAAGAAAAGCCGTTCGAGATAGATGGGGCGCGACCAACCTGACAAGAGAGAGGCGTAGTCCCGCGTCGAACGACCTTTACTGCGACCGGTAATGGTGTTCCTGCTCTTGTATCGTATCGACTGCGAAAGTGGTGTTCTGAGCAATCACGCCCAGAGATTTGCATGTCATCATAGACGCAGCAGATCATCTCTGGCTCGCTACGTCTGAAGCGGCAAGCCCTGCGCTTCTCTCCGCTTCCCATCTGCGGCAAGCTGCGCCCGGCAGCTGGTCTCATCACTGCCCAAGCCGACTGTACTTCTGTTGCCATTGCTGCTGCATGAGGTCGTATCGGCCTGCAGATCTACTATAGCAACGACACAGACTAGCTGTACGCAGGTAACAAGGTTTGCGCCAGTCTGTCCCACGCCTCCCTCTATTCCCAGACCTTGCAAGCAAAATCAAGCGAGCCTGCTTGTTAACCCGGCATTTTTGGTCTGGGTACAGTAGTAAGTACCCTGCTCTCAATGGAATCTACACAGAGAGCCACGGCTGCTTCATACGCATACATGCTAGTCAACATGGGGTGCGACACTTGACGTCACCAAGTATCGTAAATCGCAGCCTTGATCAATTGTCATCCATGTAGTCTGGTCACGAGCAAAAGTTCAGTTCCAAGGGTCTTTAAATTTATTCATTTACAAACCCAGCATATGTTTGCAGCCAGCGTTTGGACGGCAATTTGAATTTGCCTCCATGACGTAGATTGATTGCCCCCAGTCTGCAGCCCAACATGGACTGCTGCTGGTAGCAGCACGCCAAGCAACAAGATATGCATTCGCTCGATGTTACCATACATGGTTTCTTCAAGGTTTTCGTAGAGCTAATTGATTGGGTTAGAAGCTGATCAACCGGGCTTTTTAGAGCCGGTCGGCACTGCGGCACCAGTTTGGCGCAAGGCCTGCAGGCTATCAATGGGCATAGCAGGAGGATCTGGCTTTTGTAAAGGTGTGTTTTGCCAGAAATTTTCACCTTTATCCGCCAGTGGCACTTTGGCGGGCTGGACTGAGATTATGACTGTGACGTGCTTATAGAATTGAGTTTGGCCGGTGGGCGATAGCTTGCCGCCTTGGCTGGTTCCATCTCGTGTTGCCAATGAGTATGGCCTGTTCCATGTGCGCTTTGTATATCAACGGCACTGTATACTACTTGCGTGAGCATTGTTCCAGGTGTAACTTTGGGCATCAGTGCCCTCGACAGGCATTTGACATTCCTTACTTCTGTGCATGTTACAACCATTTTCGTCACCTTTGACTTTGACACGTCCGCTCGGTCTGCACGCTGTATTACCGATGTCATGTTGTACGAACGGACGCTATGCAGGGTCCAGTCTGTTTATTCCGACGCACGTCCATTCCCCCAGGTATTCTGTAACCAAGTGCCGTGATTGTTTCTGTTTTTTTTTTCAAGTTTCAGTTTCTTGCTTGTCAGGGAATATTCAGACTTGTTTGATGATGAAGATGATACAAACCATCGTCCAACAGATTGTTTCTCGTCTGGTTTCAAGATCGCCACCGTCATCGCTTATGGCTACTGGCTAGTCAGATGAGGACTGCCTTTGTATGAAAAAGTGTGACGGTGAGCCTATGTTTTAAACATTGTGATTATTGTATTCTAAATAGATGGATAGCGTCTGCTTTGTAAATTGTAAATAATATTCCAAGTGGCGTGGGTTGTTGGCGAGGAAGCGCTACCAGCTGGCATCTCGCACCTGGCTTGGCTGGCAACGCCAAACGGTGGACCCAACTCCGTTGCCCAACAGAAGACCCGCCCCCACGAACGGTCGGTGCAAACGCACGATCACCTGCAGCTTTTCTTCTTTTTTCTTTCCTATCGGAGTACCCTCAAACGAAGAAATTAGCCATCGGGAACGTTCGGATACTACTAAAGATTGCTGGTTTATTTCATTAGAAGCTAAAAATATGAGTGATAGCCGCCAGAGCACCCCGCCGATACCGCCGCGGCCACGGAAGATACACTCTAGCGTATGCACACAATGCCGACGCATGAAGCAAAAGGTATAAGCCTATGGATGGATGATGTGAGATGCGAGCTAATTACATGACAGTGCGATCGCCAAACACCATGTTCCAACTGCATCCGACGACAGATTCCAGAGCATTGCCATCTTCCTGGCGGCCATCGTCGAGCCACCCAAAGGGCATCCGCAGGAGCATCATCCAGTCCGGCTCTCACTGCTACAGACAATGCAGAAATATTATCGCCTAGATCTAGACCCAGCACGTACACTGTTTCCAATGTAGGACATCTCTTCCGCAGCCGCGATGCATCAGCGTTTCATGGGAGCTCGTACTTTGGGCATCAGGCTGCTGCCTCGATGATGCAGGTTGAGAGCCCCGATTTGCCTATCGGCGTTTCAGGTATACATGCAAACAGTAGCTCAAGGCGAGTCTTTCAGCGAGATGACAAGCGACCTTATGATCATATATGGGAGCTAGTTGGCTATTTGCCGAGGAGGAAAGCAGCGGTGGATCATCTCGTGGACGAATATTTTGAACAGCTTGCACCATTACATGATTGCGTACAACAGGACACATTTCGACGCCAATATGACGCCTTTTGGAATCGAAAATGGGGCGATGATGATGTTACCGTTGTTGACTTGAGATGGCTAGCACTGCTCTTTATCATGCTGTCATTTGCCGAGCTCTTGACCTGTCCGTTAGATGCTTCGCCTGAGACCCAGAGAGACTGTGAAGAGAAATCCGTGCAGTTCTTTTGGGCAGCGCGAAAGGCTATTGTCCTTGCTCCAACATTCTCGGGGGAGAGTCCGGATCTAGTGCGTTCTGGTATCCTCGTGAGCTGGTACTTGACGTACTTTGGCCGCAAGACGGAGAGCTGGCTCACTAGCAGTTTTGCCATCCGAATGGCACAAGCTCAAGGGATGCATATTGATGGGAAGACGTGGGATCTTGCGCCCAAGATGTTGGAAACTCGAAGGCGTCTTTGGGTTAAACTCTACTGCTTGGATAGGTCCATCTCCCTCGCCGTAGGACGACCGTACACCATCAACGACAAGCACTGCACAAAGATGGACATTCGCAACATATGGCTAGAGGACAAGACCACCCAAGAAGCTGCATCTGCTCTACCATTGCCGATGGACGAGCCCACACAGAATATATACTACATGTATCAACAGTCGTTATCAGCCATCCTTGGCGACATCCACGACGAATGCTTCGGCATAAGCTCCGGGCCGTCGACTTCATACGCGGCATACGATAAAGTAATGCGGCTTGACAGAATTCTCTCAGACTGGGCAGACAGCCTTCCTGCCTATTTCCGATTACGAGAAGCAGATTATAGTATGGACGGTTCCCGGCCTTACTTATACTGGCAGCGAATGTATCTTCACAGCGCATATCATTTCGCACGAATTACACTGCATCGCACCTATGTACTTGTGGAATCCATCACCGACCGATTTCAGTACAGTCGCGAGGCTTGTATCAGTTCAGCCTGTGCAGATTTGAATCTGAGACTGACCTTCCGATACGCCAATATGGCTGATCGCATCAAAGCCGGCGGCGCCATGCATAATCTATTCAATAGTGCTTTGGTACTGGGTATTATCGCAGTCAAAGATCCGTTGTCAACGAAATCAGCCGCCATAATCGACGATCTCGTAGCGTACTGTGAAAAACAGCGCGCTGACACATGGGTGAATGAGTTTGCACTGGCTGAAGTTAAGGTGATTGAGCTCTGCATAGCCAATGTGAGAAAAGCGCGACGAGAGGCGAAAGAAGGAACCGATCAGAACACATCTTTAATAGAGGACTCCAGATACTGGAGCTCAGCAGCAGCCGATTCAACCTTGAACACAGACATTGCCATTATGGATGAAGACCAGAATTGGTTTGACAACTGGCTTGGCATGGCTCGCAATTTTACGGAGCCTATGGATTTCAGGTTTTGGGAGAGCCTGGTTGAGACGTTTGAGAATGGCGCACAGTGAGGAACTAATGTTACAAATCATTGATATCAATCTATTCCTACAGCCTGGAAAGTGAAGAGGCCTCGGACACAACTGGGTTTATCAGTGTTCCGATTTCTTCTATAAAGATTGACAGTTCAGATCCATCCTTCATGTACTTTGGCGGATTATAACTGTGACCGATACCAGACGGCGTTCCGGTCAAAATGATGGTTCCCTTGGGGAGTGTCGTGTCCTGACATGAAATGTTAGCTCAGTCACCTGATGCTGTAGCTATTCTGCTTACCTTGGACATGTGGGTGACAATTTCTGCCACGGAAAATATCATTTCAGCTGTTGTTCCGTTTTGTAGCACGTCGTTGTTGAGAATGGTTCGCATGCGCAGATTAGACAAGTCTGTACTTTTGGCAGACACCAAGAGCGGTCCGAGTGGGCAGAAGCCGTCGTAGCCCTTGCAATATCCCCATTGTGAGGTGTGGTTTTGCACATCTCGCGCTGTGACATCGTTTGCGATTGTGTATCCCAAGACGTGACTGAGAGCCGTATCAACCGTGGCATTTTTGCAGTCTTGGCCAATTACAATGACGAGCTCAACCTCAGCATCTATAGCGTCAGGCGCAGAGGAAGGGATGATGATGGGATCGAGAGGGTTGTTTAAACATTGCCCTGGTTTCATGAAGATAGTGGGAACAGCCGGTAATGGGAGTTTCAGCTCGGCCTAGATTCAAGAGTGTAAGCAGACGATGCTGTGTTCCTGGCTCGGAGACCTACAGCGTGGTCTTTGAAGTTGAGGCCGACGCAGCGAACCGTGCCAACTTCAGTAGCTGATAATGGCGAAAGGAGTTTATAGATATTTGTTTCTTCGCCCGTGAATTTGGTTGCAGTCAATGCTGAGTTCGAATTTAAAACGTTGACAGCGACTGTTCTACCTTCGGAGACAGCAAGCCCGACTCGTAGAGCGTTAGCAAGATGTCACGATGAAATACAGCTGTATATATTTACCATCAACATCGGAATTCACAGGCTCTCCGCATAGTTCACGACCGTCTTCAGAGATGAACCTAACGGCTCGGGTCCAAGGCTGGGCTAGTGTAAGAGAGAGTAAATCGTGGCGCAAGACGAGAGACGTACAACTTCCAACATGGTGTTTCGTTCAACCATCATGATATGGTAAAGGTAGAATCTATGTACGAATATAAAGATAAGTGATATTTACAGACCTGGTCGTATTTATTGCATCACTGGTTCTCCGGCGTCGGCATCGATCCGAACTACGGCAACGGGGAATCTGTTCTTCGCCGACCGCTCGCCGACGCTACGGCGAGCGACCCCCACAACCGCCACGACGACAAGCCGGGAAGCCGGCAACGGAGACTCTCTTTGGCTATGATTTGCCATGGGAAATTATATTGATTGTGGAACTTGTACATTTGCGCTAGATAGAGGGATGATGTATTTGGTAGAATACATGACTAGCGACAGATAATGAGGATGGGATGAAAACAGGTTTGCTTGCATTAAGAGTATACTAGTTTACAGTGCGTATCTAAAGTCAGGGTGATAGTCACCAATCTTGCCCTTTGCAATTTCGGCTGCCCTCTCTTCTGCCGTCATATTATCGCGCTTCTTATTCCGGCGCTTCAGATAGGTGTACAAAGCAATGTGTCCAAAGATAGCAAGCAAGACGGCGGCCAAACAGGCGCTCAGGCCCATGACATACTTGCCGTTCTTCTTGGTCTTGAAGATTTGGCCAACCTAAGAGATAACATTGTTAGCATCACACTACAGACTGCTTTATGTATGTATTTTACTTACCACGAGACCGGCAGAGTTGCCGATGGACTGGTTCATGCCGACAGCCATGGCCCTCTTGTAATATGGGGCGTGGCTGTTGAGAAGCCACGCGCAGTTGAGACCGACGATGATGTACACGCCGGGGGCAATGAGAAATGTTGAAAAGTATAGGATGCCCGATTTTGATTCTGGGACGCCCAGGTTGACTGCAAATCCAATGGCAGTTACCACGCACGCTGGGATCATGAAGAATGCGCGCTTCTGGAGCTTGTCCGAGAAGTAGGACACGACAATGTATGCAAACGATGCCCAGAAAAATACAGGAATGGTGAAGAGCTGGGTCTTGACTGTGTCGTAGCCAAAAGACTTGATGATGAGCGGCAAGAAACTGGACAGAGAAAAGGAGCCAATGTCTGCCATGAACTGGTTCCAACAGCTCAGGTAGAGCTTGGGGTCCGTTGCAGCCAACTTGACCTGTGCCCAGTCAAAGTCTGGTTTTCCATTGTACCGAGCATTGTTGGCTGCTCTGATACGCATCAGCTTCTTGTCTTCTTCGTTGAGGAACTGTGCCGTCTCAAAGTTGTCTGGCAGCACAAAGTAGACCACGAGAGCAACCAATACACTGGCGCATCCCTCGATGATGAACAGCCAGCGCCAGCCCTGAATGCCTGCGATGCCATCCATTTTCAAGAGCGCATAAGCAAACAGGCCTCCGAAGGAACCAGACAAGGCAGCGGCGACAAAGAGATAAGAAACGCGGAGAGCCTGTTCTTGGGGAAGGTAAAACGTGCTGAGGTACAGGGCGAGGCAAGGGAATACACCGGACTCGAAGATTCCGAGCAGTATGCGGCTTGCGTACAATTGACCAGCGTTGTGCATGAAACCGGTGCCAATGAGAACCACAGACCAGCAGAAGATGAGGAGAGGAATCATGCGGCCTGAAAAATAGTAGGTTAGCAGGTGGTGTATAACTTGGGGCAGAGTCGAAGAGATACAAACTTGGGTGAAACTTCTTCAATACCAAGGAGCAGGGAACTTCAAAGGCCACATAGGTAACGTAGAATAGAGTGATCGCATCTATTAGACATGTTAGTTTTAACAGAGTCTTGTGAACAAAACAGGATAGGAATCCGTACTGCCCAGTTCGCCGTCGGACATGTGCAGGTCGGTCAGCATGCCAGCAGACGCGGCGTTTCCGATATTGGCGCGGTCCAGGTAGGCATTGAGAAAGACAACGGTCATGATGGGAGCGATGAACAAGTCCAGCTTGCGCGTGAGCTGGCGTTCACGCTTGGGATCGATGTAGTTTTCTTCCAGATCCATGGCGTCTTCCACGAGACTCGGGTCTTTGGTGAGCTTGTCTTCCATTGCTTGTATGTATGTGTTATATAGAGTAATGAGAAACCGAGACAATGATGGTCCGAACTATTGTGAATAGGACAAGGGAGGTGTGGGTGTCTATCTATTTAACACTTCTTTGGAGGTTGTAGTGACTGGGGCGGCCGCCGGTTATCGCCCAAACCCCACGGGGAAGCGAGCATTGGCGAGACAGTCACGGTCTAATGCGGCTGAATGGAGATACTTGGGGCGAAAATGGAGATAATAATGCATGGGAGGCGAGATTGGCAGCGGAATTGTCCTCCGAGTCAAAGATTGTGGTTGGCTTGGCTTTTGGCTTTCGGGTGCGGTGTCGGCGCGTCGGCGGCAATGTCGGAACCTCGTCGGCGGATAGCTTTAGAGTTTGGCGGCGTGTGTGGCTTGCGCTGTCAAACATACGGCAGTTACTTATACTTGTTAGTCAAGCGAGCTGGTTTAGTTAACAGTATAATTGGAGGCGTAATTCATAGTTTGGAATAATTTTTTTTTTTTTGTAACTTCGTATATAGGTTGCCATTGTAGTGTACTGGCCGGATCCGGGGCTGTTCGTACCGACTTACACCTCTACAGAGAAAACAACACTTAGCTTAGACCATCAGACGTCACAGGATATATTGCTATATGTGAATGGATATCCTACGTATCTTCATATAATTTTTATCACCTATTAAAAAGAACACCTTCGCTCGTTACAGAACACGTTGGCGTGGCGGGGTCCGAGAGCCGTCAAAGTACCCTATACGCTGGGAGACGCTGCGAACGGTCCTCTTGCCGTCACACACATAAAATGTTTTACATACAATGACATGACGGGCACTTGTGTGATCGCCTTGCGGCAGTGGAAAATCAAGTCACGGCGTGTATATCGCTTCGTGGGCTTGGACTGCGGCTGATTCCAAGAGGGCGAAACGTACAAACTGACTCAGCCTTTAGACATTGGCCTGTCTATGACGCACTTTGGAGTCTGTAAATTAACCACGTATCAAAAGCTACACACCCCATCCCGAACCATGCCTAGCCTTTGCTCGAGTCTCAAAATGCCAGCTGAACGCTAGAGCATGCCGACATGCGCGCGTCTCCAGTCGCTAGTATCAAGCGTAGCGCCCTCATGCCCGTGGCGGTTTCCGTATTTCAGTTTATTTGGTCTTCAGGCGCTAGACAGGGGCCTTTCAGACAAGTAAGCGCTAAACTCGGTTCCGACCGGCGCCACCGTTCGATTTGTGGTGATCCGAGCCTTGTCTGGTCTGCCTGCATGCGAATCATATGAGAAGAGCCTGGAAAGAAAATGCAAAATAATTACTGGAAAATTGAAAAGGCAGACGGTGTAGTATCCCGACGTTTGATATAGCTCTAAGCTATAGTTGATGTCGCATTGGCTAATACTCTGTTAGTCGCCGGGATCCTCTGTTGCTACCTCACCAGGGTTACATTTTCACAGAATGCCTCGCTACTTTATTTAACACGCGCATCTCTCGCCTTTAGAGGATTTCGCAAGGTCTGCTTCTTCGGTGGATATCGCATCAGCTGAAGCCGGCCCCTTGGCGTGGAACGAAGAGAATTTTATTCTGTTCTAGTGGATCCATTAGCTTTCTTATGACTGACGGCCCCTTTGCTGAATGACTCCATTGGCCGTTTCATTCTTTCCATGGTGATTGTTTGAACTTCTTTTCATACTCGCGGTATTGTTTTGTTGTCGCGACAGTAACTGCAGACAGACAAGATGGCAGCCACATCGCCCGAGGACGCTGTGCACAATGATGTGAAGCTGGAACAGGCGACCCGCCAGGCTTCGTCGCTAGGTGAAGCCGACATGAAAAACCAGTATGACGATGAAGAATTCTGGACTCGCGCCGGACTCACGCCGCAGTCGTTCCAGAAGCGACACTATGGAAAGGGCATCGTCGAGATGGATCGCGCAATTAAGAAGAGGCATTTGCACATGATTGCAATTGGCGGCGCTATTGGAACTGGCCTCTTTGTAGGCTCCGGTAGCGCTCTCGCCAAAGGCGTACGTTGTTTCATATTGAGATGAACTGTGGCATTCCCCATCCTAACTCTGCTGTTGAATAACAGGGCCCTGCATCGCTAATTATTTGCTTTCTCATTACGGGATTCATTGTTTTCAACGTTGGTAAGTAGTTTCCTGTTTCAAATCCTTTCATTGAATAACTGCAGCTACTAACACCAGTCCAAGTCCACGCACTGGGTGAATTGGCCGCCTTGTATCCCATCTCGGGAGGCTTCTACACCTATGCCACCCGTTTTGTTGACCCCTCCTTTGGATTTGCTGTCGGCTGGAACTACGTCTTTCTGTACTGTATCGGCTTACCGCTTGAACTCACCGTGTGCGCCCTAGTCGTGCGGTACTGGAACGAGAATCTAAGCGTCGGTGTCTGGATCACCATATTTTTGGTGGTCATCATCCTGATCAACGTCTTTGGTAGTATCGGGTTTGCAGAGGAGGAGTTTTGGTCGTCGGTCTTGAAACTGGCCGCTATTGTCGTCTTCATCATCATCGCCCTGGTGCTCGTACTAGGCGGTGGACCTGCAGATGGCAAATACCACGAATATCAAGGCGCCAAGCTATGGTACGAGCCGGGAGCATTCAAAAATGGATTCAAAGGATTCTGTGGCGTCTTTGTCACTGCCGCCCTCGCCTTCAACGGAACCGAGCTCGTCGGCTTTGCTGCCGCTGAAAGCAGAAACCCGGCCAAAGCACTCCCCGGAGCCATCAAGCAGGTGTTTTGGCGAATTATCCTCTTCTACATCTTGGGACTGCTATTCATTGGCTTGCTTATCCCCTTCGACGACCCTCGTCTGCTGTCTGCCCAGGCTTACACCGACGTCAAAGCGGCACCATTTGTCCTGGTCGGCGAGTATGCCAATCTCAAGGGCTTCAACCACTTTATTAACGCCATTATTCTCATTTCTGCTATTTCGACTGGCGTTGCCATTGTCTACGGCGGCTCTCGCACCCTCACGGCCATGGCACAGCAGGGATACGCCCCCGTTGTCTTTTCCTACATTGACCGATCTGGTAGGCCCCTTGCCTCTGTTGGCGTTTTCATCGCTACCGGTCTTTTGGCATACATCAACTTGTCCGTGACGGGACCCGAGGTTTTCGAGTGGCTGCAGTCGTTGGGTGGACTGGCTATTTTGTTTGCTTGGGGCGGCATCTGCCTGGCCCATATCCGATTCCGCGCGGCATGGGTATATCACGGCAACAAAGTATCGGATATTCCTTTCCGTGCTGCCTTTGGTGTTTGGGGCTCATGGATTGGGCTGGTTGGATGCATTCTCGTGCTTGCAGCACAGGTACGTCGTTTATTACCACAATGCAGCAGTGATTACATATGGACTAACGTATTCTCAGTTTTACAATGCAATTACAGCTCCTATTGGAAAGCCAGGTCCTCTCAACACAGCCGAAGGCTTCTTCCAGGCGTACCTCGCCTTCCCGATCCTCCTCCTGTTCTGGGCCATTGGCTTTCTGTGGAAGCGCACCGGATTCCTGAAAGTCGACCAGATTGATATTGATACAGGAAGACGACAGCTGGATTATGAAGCTATCCACGCCTATGAAAAGTATATTCAATCGCTGCCACTGTGGCGCCGTGTATACCACAAGTTGTTTTGATATGAGCGACGGCTTGGATGCATAATGGTCACGCAAAGATACCCTCTGTTATCTGATTTCATTTGATTAAAAAATATTTATCTATTCGAATATAATATAGCCCCATATATTCTTTTTTAACAAAGTATTATTTATCAATAATCTTCTTACCCATTCATGTTCACATACCAGAAGACCGACGTCGGCGCCGACCCACCACCGATCGGCTTTAAAACTTTCCCGAAAATTCTAATCCGAGCCAAGCGAAACACAGCACAACACACTGCATGCATCGCCAATATGCGAACCAGCTTGTCCTGTGACCGCTGCAGGTGCGTATAAGTCGCTGTTAAAGCCAAATAGAAACTATAATAACATTGTATAAAATGTACCAGGAAATCCAAGGTGAAATGCCACCATGACGGCCACGCGCCGTGTCAGCGATGCGCGAAAGCAGGCATTCCCGACTGCGCGCTTTCACGGCCAGAAACCGCTATATCAAGATCTAATGCAAGGAGGTCGCTTACCATGCGACGGTCCGTGGATCCGTCTCCCGTTTCGCAGAATCCGACACCCGTGCGTAGCTCTGTGAACCAGGACGGTGACAGCAGTGCTACACTATCTGAGAGCAGTGTAACGCATCATCTTGCAGCCTTGCCGCTTGGTGTCATTATTAAATGTCTCAATGCGTTTCACAACAAGTTCCCCGAACTCGCCATTCTTCATCTTCCCACTCTGAGCCAAAATCTCCAGTCGGGGCCATCGGTCCGTAGCGAAGCGTTACTGGCCGCCATCCTCGCCGTCACAAAGCCGCAGCTCACAGCTTCCAAAGTGGACTGGGCGCATGTCCTGCTTGACAGAGAGCAGTACGCTTCTCATGCTAAGCAGCTACTAACAGATCTAATGTTCCAGCCACCGGAAATTTATGTTGTTCAGGCTCTTCTTATCATAACATTGCATGAATGGGGCATGAGAGACTTTCACAAGGCTTGGGTATACTGCGGCATCGCTATCCGTAATATGCAGGCCCTCTATAGTTTGCGCATCGCGCCGTATCCGCTGGATGCTGGCGCTGTCCAAAACCCGGATCCGACGCTGCGCGCCATTGAGATTCGGACCTATTGGGGATGTTTTATTATGGATTGTATGGTAAACTCTGGAACCTATAATCCACCCATGCTGCCCATGTCGGAAATGAGAAAGCTTAAAATACCGAATCCGCCGAGTGTTGTTGAGTATGCCTTTAGTAGCATACCTGCAAAGGCAACAGATGTATCATTATCTGCCCAATATCACCCGCGGCAAGAGTTTGATGTGACACAAGGGTTCGAGATTTTAGTCACTGGATTCGACATTTGGACCAAGTTAATGACGTTTATTTTCAATGATGGCCGCCGAGCCCCAGGCATGTGTGCCCCAGCAAACTGCCCTTGGGTAGAGGGGTCGCCGTGGTGGACAACGAGACAAGAATTAGAGAGCTGGAGAGCAAGTCAGGCGTCCCAGTTGCAATATCCAGCCGTTCCTGTGGCGGTGCACATGGTGCTCAGCTATGGAGAGACCTTTGTGTATCTCAACCTTCTATACTATGTGAGGTAGGTGGTGTCGAATGCCATATGATGTGAATAACATTCAACTAACACTCAGCAGCACACTGATGCTACATCGCGAATATTTTCCCTTTTTACCAACGGTCGACTCAGTGCCACAGGGCCCTGTAGACCATCCTATGCTGCAGGCTACAGCTCCCGAGAGATGGTGGAATGACAGCGCTGCAGAACTCTTTTCCGCTGCTGAGAATATATCATGTTTATTGCGCGACGCAGCAGATTGCGGTGTCCATTTGATGACTCCCTTTGTTGGATTCTGTGCTTTTTCAGCTGGCTACCTGAATTCATATGTATCCTGCTACCCCAAGATGAACCTTGGAAGAAGTCTGAACGGAAGTCGTGATCTGGCACTCTGCATGGACTATCTTAAAGACTTCAAAAATGTTTGGACAATCGGAGATGGATGGGTGAGTTAGCTTGTCTGGCTACCATTCTGAAGACACCGTGTGCTAACTGTCACAGCTTAAAACCATTCAACATGCAGCGCTTCTGTATCAACGGGCGTCTGCGGACCGAGGAAGATATCACGGAAAGACTAGGGCTGATTTTGAAATCTTGCATCAGTCTGTCCATGACTTTCGCGTCGTTGACCGCTCGGATCTGCACACTCAAGAACTGGACGGAGCTGATCAACGGCGCAATAAAAGAGTTGGTTATGGTGACCTTTTGCAGGACAGCGAAATGGATGCAAATGGATTATTGAATCAACTTATGGCAGAAATCAGCAGCAACTTGGACGAACAAGGAGCTTGGTCACAGTGGTGGCCGCCAATGGAAGATATAAACCTCCCCCACGAGGCACCGTAAGAGGTGTTGGCGTATCATGTAATTATATGTCTATTTTAAAATTCTAATGCCAACTAACGAATCATGAGTATCATAAACAATGTATGAAGCTAAGCCTGGGAAGTGACTTGTTTGTTGCGCTTCATTTTTAATAACAAGATGAAGGCGATGCCAACGACGGACATGGCGCCAGCGTAGTATGCAGCAGGTCTGTATGCAGTCACATTGACATTTGTGCCTGCAGCGGTATATAGTTGGGCAGCAATTGGTGTTCCCTATCGAAATTATTAGTATTTGGGGTATTCAGAATTGTTGAGCGAGGTGGTCTCACAAAGAAGAAGCCAAAGAACCATCCAGCCCACATGATGGGTAAAATGCCCATGGTGTTTTCGGGCCCAAAGACGGAGCCAAGGACAGTAGTGAAGAGGCTAAAGAATGATCCGCAGCCAATACCGTTGACAATGGAGAAGAAAATTAAAAGACCCAAGTTTGTTGCGAAGGGCCAGATGGCCAAGGCGCTGATACCGCAGAGGAAGAGCGAGATGATGAACGTGTTGAGAGCGCCGAGGCGGGAGTCGGCAACATAGCCTGCGCCTACGCGACCAATAGTGGACGCAATGTTCCATATCGTTAATGCGATAATCGAAAAGCTAGAGGATGTGGAAAGGGCCCTGGCAAAGATGGGAATAAAGTAGGATGGAACAAAGAGGGGGAAGCAGCCAAGCGATGAGCCGATAAAGAGAATAAGAAACTTGGCTTCTTTCCAACGGAACCTATATGACTATTAGTACTCCTGAAAGACCTGCTTTATGACGGAGGACGTACCACTGTAGCTTTGGTATACTAGCTTTGGCACCGGGAGGCTGTTTGAGCATGCAAGCAGCAGGTAAGCAAATAGCCCACAAGAGGAAGGCCAAGATTCTAAAAGTCCATGGAACGCCAACCTGCGCAACAAGTTGATGGGTGACAACGCCAATGACGGCAGCTCCAAGACTAGCCGCGCCAAAGACGACACCCGTTGCAAGACCACGGCGATGCTTGAACCACTTCAAGGGAGCGGTAGAGCAGGGCTAAAAGTGGTGATGTTAGCATGATGTTAACAGTCATTAATCAGGATGAAACTACTCACTAGGATGGTCAGGCCTCCGCCAATACCAAATAGGACGCCGTGTGTGATGAAGAGGGCGGGAAGGTGGTCGGTCACCCAACTAGACAAGAACTCTCCCAGACCGAGGAATATGGCACCTGCAATACCAGTTTTACGATATCCGAATCTTCTGACGAGTTTGCCAACGGGGATGCTCAGCGAACACATGCAGGATGTAGCGAGGGACCCAACAAACGTGAGCGATGTAAGCGATATGGACGAGTTTTCGACAATGTTGGCCTGAATAATGCCCCATGAGTAAATGACGCCCATGTAGACAAACAATGAGCACGAGGCTGCTGCAACAACCAACCAGCCTTGCCAGCCATCCAGGTGCTGATCTTGTTCCTCATCCTTGGGCGGTAGGTGTAGTTGGCTGGTAGCAGGGCTAACCTCTTGCTTGTCTTCGGTAGACATTATGGCTGATATGATTATCTTGGCGATGATGATGAAGGAGAAAGAAAGAGAATGGATCGGAAGGAAATATTTGAATTGGAGAAGAGAATAGCAATATTAATAATATTTTGCTTTGTCCGTGGACAATACATCTCTATTTGCGGCCCTGGCCACCATGATTTCAAACCCGATCGGCTTTGAAAAACGGTTGCATTCCCGAATTGCCTATTTGGGACGAGTCACGGCGAGCAGCCCGACGAGCCGGAAGCGTGCAGATGATAGTTTATATCACGTAAATAAATAGTTTAAAAATTAGAAGCATGTTTATTTCCTATATTAAATACTTCTAACATTGATGGATAGTAATAGAATCTTAATAAGAATGGTAAAGTTGTCCACAGCCCGACCGCGAAGCTTCGGGTATGGCTCATCGGCTTTGAAACGCCTTTGTCGGAGTCATCATCCGCGCCCTTGTTATTATAAAAGTCAATATAAGCCACGCTCGCATTGTCTTCTTTTACGAGCACTTTGGAATCAAACAATTATTCCACATCAAATCACACTCCAATCATCATGGCACCACACAAGAATGATGAGTCGCCGGCGAGCACAACCGCCCCGGCTGCTGCCACTCCCAAAGGCTCCAAGCTGATGAACCGCTCGTTCAAAGTCGAACCGGAGCTGGTTGTATCTGCAAAGGGCATTCATCTGCATCTCGCTGACGGCCGCACCATCATCGACGGGTGTGGTGGCGCTGCTGTGACCTGCATTGGCCACGGCAATGAAGAAGTCATTGAAGCCATGTACGAGCAGTCCAAAAAGGTCAGCTATGTTCACACACAGTCCTACGTCACATCGTCCGCCCAAGAATTGGCCGACTTCCTTCTCGAGGGCAACCCGTATGGTCTGGAAAAGGCCTTCTTTGTGGGCAGCGGCAGCGAGGCCGTTGAGTCGGCCATGAAGCTGGCCAAACAGCACTTCTACGAGCTTGGAGAAACCCAGCGCGTGCACTTTGTATCCCGTCGACAAGCCTACCACGGCAATTCCATGGGCAGCATGTCCATCACATCGCATCTCCTACGCAAGCGCCCCTACAACGACTACGGCCACCAGCATGTGTCCCACGTCACTCCCGCATTTGCCTACCGCTACATGAAGGACGGCGAGACAGAGTCCCAATTCTCACAGCGCCTTGTCCAGGAACTCGAGGACGAGTTTCTCCGCGTAGGCCCCGAAAAGGTGATTGCCTTTGTCGCAGAGACCATTGGCGGCGCGCTTCCAGGCTGTGTCGCGCCGCCTGCAGGCTACTTCCAAGGCGTACGCCGCGTGTGCGACAAGTACGGCATCCTGCTCATCATGGACGAAATCATGTGCGGCACTGGCCGCAGCGGAACCTTCTTTGCCTTTGAGCCCGAGGGCGCGTCGCCCGACATCATGACGGTGGCCAAGGGCCTCGGCGGCGGCTACGCCACTATTGCCGCCGTGCTGGCGACCGGCAAAGCACTCGAGCCTATCCGTCGAGGCTCGAGTGCCTTTAACAGCGGACACACCTACCAGGCGCATCCGCTCGCGTGTGCAGCGGCTCTGGCCGTCCAGAAGATTATTCGCCGTGACGGCTTGGTTGAACGTTGTGCCAAGATGGGGCTGCTGCTTGAGCAGAAGCTCCGGGCACAGCTTGCCGAGTGCCGCTCTGTAGGGGATATTCGCGGTAGAGGATTATTCTGGGCCGTGGAGTTTGTCAAGGACGCCCAGACAAAGGAGACGTTTGACCCGAGTCTGGGGTACGGCACTCGCGTCCAGCAGGCGGCTTTCCAGATGGGCGTCGCTCTGTATCCCGGATGGACGACGGTGGATGGCGTCCGCGGAGACCATGTGTTGTTTGCGCCGCCGTTTACCGTAACAGAAGAGGAGCTTGATACTATTGTGGATGTGGCGAAGAGGGCCATCTTGTCGCAAGAGGCCCAGTTTCTGTAATAATACGTGGGAAAGTTTGAATGGGTTTACATATATATAGACTGGTTATAATGAATGCAAATGAAATGTCATACACCTCGAACTTTTGATTGTATTATTCGTCCTCCTCTCCGTGGATTGGTGCGTTTAAACGACATGGGCACGATAGAGCACCGATGTCTCTCCATTTTCAAAGACGATAAAATACATTTTTTAGTCGTTCATTTTAATTCTCATCACCAACATCTCCAGTCAACGGCTAGTACCCCCCAAACCCTAAAAAGCTTCCATAACCCCTTCTTCTACCCCAGCTTTCTCCCCCCATAATGTCCCCCCACAGCTCGGCATCAATATTCTCATTTTCCAAGACGCGTAAACACACTGTCAATTTGTGGTGCGACACGGAGAACCATGTATTCTTTTTCCCTCTTGGCGCCGCGCTCTGCGTGCAAAGCCAAGGGCGAGTCAAGCCTGTTCTTGGCGTGGAGAAGCCCGAGCCAAAGATTAAGGAGCGAGTGGAGGCAAATCATCAGATTCTGGGGGAGAGAGGAGCCCTTGAATCCATAATCGAATGATTTTGTTTCACTGGTAAAAAGAAATACCCGACGCGTGTAATATTTCACATGTGTTGCGGCGGTCGCTCCGTGTAAGTCGGGAACAAGAGGGGAATTAGCCCAGCGGACATAATCACAGAACGGTAAAAAAAAGGAAACGCCTCATTTGTGTCCTTTTGGGCGCAGTGTTTGCCCTTTCAGCCGCATTCTCTGGCCCAATGCCTGTGTCCCAAGCTCATCATTCGCCTCGTTTGTTCCACGCCACAGAAACTTTACTGCAAGCTAGCTGCTTGGCATCCCACCAAGCTTCGCTGGAGCCTCCTTTACACTGAGAGGCTTGCGCACGGATGGCGCTCACATACTTTCAGTAACAAACGGCGCATTACGTCCGCCAAGCGAGGCTCTCCCCTCCACGCCCCTCAACACGCGACGTTTATCACGCCGTCTGTTCTTTGCCCCCCTGCTGCGTAATTTGTATGTAGCCGGTGTGTATTCATGTGACTTGTTGCCGTTGGACGGTGCCAAAAACGAAAACGGCAGAAATGCTTGGCTTCACGCCGCCACAGCCTTGTGTACTACTTTTATGACGGGCAAATTGCGCAGCTATTCTCTTGTACCTTGTTCTTGGCAGCTAGTACCAAGCTGCCACCTAATCTTTCTAGATGTATTCTAAAGTCTGTTGTGTCTGGTCTTGGCTCGCCCCAAGTATATAGATACGGGTGGTGTTCCCATGTCCTTGGTCTATTTGTGTCTGTTTCTATATTTGACTTGTCAACGAAAAAGTCATCGATCTTTGTGTTTTGATTTTAATGCAGACCTGTCAATAACATATACCCCGATACATCATAATGTCTGGAGTCAAGCGGGTGTACAAGTGGTTCGCCCCGGACGCCGAAAAGGAGGAGGATGGCCGTGATAAATGGCCTTCCCGTACTGCCTTTGTCCTCGCAGCCATGGTGAGTGCTATCTATTAATCTTCAACAACTTGGGATATGCTGACTGTGTGGATAGGGAGGCGCGGTCGGTCTCGGCAACCTTCTCCGATATCCATCCGTCGTGTTTGCCAACAACGGTGTCCAATGGTTCATCCCGTACCTCATCGCTCTATTCTTCCTCGGTATTCCTGTCTTGATTCTCGAAATTTGCATTGGCCAGGCCTACCGTGGCGGTGTCGTTGTTGCCTTCCACGGCATCAGCAAGCATACCAAAGGCGTGGGTTTGGCCGTCATCATGACCGGTTACGTCGTTGCGACATACTATGTTCCGATTCTTGCCTTCATCATGCACTACTTCCGATCTTCATTTCAAAGCCCACTTCCTTGGACCGGTCGAGGCACAGAATTCTACATGGTGGACGTCGTCGCCAACCCCGATCCTATCCCTGGCACCATTGAGAACGACGCCGTCACAAGCTACACCAGTTACCCCTCCAAGGGGTTGGTAGGCGAGACTGTCGGATGGTGCGCTTTCATGTGGTTCATGGTCTTCCTCTGCATGTTCAAGGGCGTCGGAGTCACGGGCCGTGTCGTCTATCTCACCATGGGCCTCCCCATCGTCATGGTGTTTGTACTCATGGGCCGCTCCCTGTCTCTGGAAAACGCAACAAATGGTGTCAAAATGTACTTTGCTGAATGGCATGGCGATAAGTTGGCTAGCGGTGGTATCTGGCAAGCTGCTTGTGGGCAAATCTTCTTCTCCATCGGTGTTGGTTTCGGATACTTTACATCCTACGCCTCCTACAACACCAAGTTCTCCAATGCTGTCCAGGATGCCTTCATCATTGGCCTGAGCAACTCCCTCTATGAGGTGCTTGCTGGATTTGCAGTCTTTGGAATCATTGGGTTCCTTGAACTGCGCCCCGAAGACGGTGTCAAGCTCAGCACCTTTACCGTCGGTTTCCTGACTTATCCTCTGGCTATTGTCGAGATGCCCGGTGCCAACTTTTGGGCCGTCATCTTCTTCTTGACAATTGCTCTGCTTGGCCTCAGCTCCGCCTTTGCTTTGGTTGAGTCCATGGTTACCATGCTGTGCGACACAGCCCTTGGCCGAAAATACCCCCGCCCTGTCATTTCAACAGGTGTGATTGTCATTTCCTTCTTGCTTTCCCTCATGTATTGTACCGAATTCGGATTCTATCTGTTGGATGCTGTCGATGGGTGGACGAATAACTTGGCTCTAATCTTTGTGGTCTGGTGCGAAGGCATCGCCGTTACCACCATCTACCGCCACAAAGATGTCATCAGACAGGTTGGTATGGTCGCCTTTGTCATCAACACGGCTGCCTATATGCTGTCCATGATTCTTGCAGTTGCCGTAGCTCAGTCTGTGAGCGCTGCGGCTGGAGCCAGCGTAGGCTTCGGCATATTCATTGTCGGTACAATCGCCGCTGTATTGTTGAGCAAGACTCCCGATTCTATCCCGCCTCGGTTCTGGGGCAAAGGTGCTCTACAAAGCAAACTGTGGTGGCTGTCCTTTTACTCTGTAAGCACAGTGTGTGAATACCCTAGTTGCTATCATATCCTCTAACCACACCTTATAGTGCAATCAGCTGCGTCGCGATCTCAACAACGTGGTCGCTCAGGGCAAAAACTGGAAGATTCCCGTCATTTGGGGACCGATCATCAAGTACATCTCGTGTCCCATCCTTGCCATCATCCTATCGTTTGCCTACCCCGACTTCTACAATGAGAAGCGCAAAGACCCCCTGCAAATCTTTGCATTTGCCGTCGCCCACATCGTCATGATTATCATTGCTTTGGGCTTCATCGTCCCCAGAGCATTCGATGTCTTCATTCCTCCAGAGAAGCAGTACCTTGCGGATACTCCCTATGCACCCCAAGTTACCATCTTAGGTATGATGCACGAGAGCGATGCCGTCGAAGCTCGCGTTGTTGAAAATGAAGGCAGTTCAGACGGAGAAGCAACAAACGGGAAGAAAGGCTAAAGCCACTTCCCAGTATGTACTTGTACAGTGGGTAGGCAAAAGTTACAAGTAGTCTATATTTCAACCAACGCATTCCAAATATATACACAAACTTTATATGTAATATTCATCTAAAAATTCGATAAATATAAGGTATTTATAGGTACATAATATTCTACTCAAAGATCGATTAAAGGCATAAAGTTGAAATTTTTAAAAGATTATTTGAAAGATTGACTACGAACGACTCTACTTGTAACTTTTGCCTACCCACTGTACTAGTAGCAGCAAATTTGAAAAATAGTATGCCCATGAGCATCGTTGTTGATTCTCATCTTCATGCGGCCGCCAATCCGAACAATACCAATTTGACCGAATTCTCGCTTCGGCCCGTTCTTCTCATTGTAATTTTGTTAAGACTTACACACCCATACTAGGCTCATGCAAAAGTGCATTTAAACTATGCAGATAAGGTTGTGTGGGGAGCCAACAGCCACACCTTGCCCGAAGAAGAAGGTCTCTAGACGCCAATATGGAACGATGCAACCCACAGCACTGTATTTAGCAATGCCAGGTTTGACAGTGCGGGGGCCATCCTCGTTTCATTGAGAGAATATGCGTCTGCAGCTGCTGATTCGCCGATTGTGGTAAGCTTCATGCGCATCACGACTTTCGCGGTCCACCACACACAATACACAAAGTGTCTGTGCTTGTCTTGGCCTTCTTGGCTGCTTTGTTCTAGGCTCGGTGCATTTGCCCACCGCAGAACAAGAGACGCTAGTGCCATCACATGCCCTGTGGATGGTTCTAATAGTGGCAGCAATGAAGCTCCATTTGGTCCGCGGTTCCACGCCAACTGCAAGCAAGGAAGACGCCCAGAGGCCCGCAGGTAATCGTTTAGATGAGAGCCATTGCTTTGCTCCCACTTTTAAAGGCGGAACTATCTCTAAAACGCTTGACTCTTGCCTATTCAGGCTATAGAACGGCAGTGCACCCGCTCTTTGAGCTATTACAGGACGCCGCCACCATGCTTCAGCGTATCGAGCATCTCGCAAGCACCCAATCGGGCGTACCACACGGCACTTGGATGATCTAGGCGTTTGGCAGCGCGGGGTGCTTCGTCGTCGCCATCTCCAGTTTTCATAACCTCATGCCAAGGGTCTATTGCATGTAAGCCGTAGGCAGAAAGGCACTAGTAGCTTCTTCAACAGGCAATATGATCCGGTATCCAGAGCAGCTGATGGTATCAGACATATCATGACCTTCCTAAAGGAACCTGTACCCCGCGGTTCTGATTAAACAACATCGATGTACTATTGCATTAGCGTGGAGGTCGATCACGGAAGTATACCGTCGTCAGACAGAGGGTTGGTGGGTGTATAAAGGGGAACCATGATCCAGCATTAAATTCGGATTGTGATACCACAGATTCCAAAGTCATTACCCTTCCTTTCATATTCTCCCAAGTCAAAATAATTATGAAGTCGGCGATTCTTTTGGGCCTCACTGGTCTTGCTGCCAACGTCAACGCACATCCACACCACGCAGAGAGATCCAGCATGGTCAAGCGTGGCGTGGACATCTCCAATTATGCTATGCCCGATGTGTCGCGCTACAGCTCATCGGAGGCTACTGATGCCAACCCTGTTGCTGCGACTGTGGTCAAGCGCGCTACCTATGTCGAGACTGCCACGGACTTCGTCAAGCAGACTGTCCCTGGGGCCGAGTTTCGCCTTGTGAATGATCACTTCACAAGTGCTAGCGGTATTTCACACGTCAACTTCAAGCAGACGCATAATGGCATCGATATTGACAATGGTGATTTCCACGTCAACATTGGCCGCGACGGAAGCATCTTCTCTTTCGGAAACAACTTCTTTGATGGAAAACTTCCTTCAAAGTCTGCTCTTTCCACAAGAGAGTATTCCAACCCTGTCGATGCTCTGAAGGGCGTTATCAACACTTTTGGCTTGGAAGTCAACGCTGCCAACGCTGGTGTTGAAAAGAAAGACGGTGAAAAGTACCTCTTCACCGAGACCACTGGCACTATTAGCCAGCCCAGCGCTGAGCTTGTCTATCTATCCAAGGGCGACGGAAACCTCGTTCTCTCCTGGAAAGTCGAGACTGACGTTGACTCCAACTGGCTCGTCAGCTATGTCGACGCCAAGGACAACAAAAAGGTTCACAACGTTGTCGACTATGTCGACGACTTTGCTACGATGGAGGTTTTTGACTGGAACCTCATCGATCCCGGAGAAGGGGACCGCAAAGTCTTAACTGACCCCTGGAATGTCGAGACATCTCCCTTTACCTGGTTTAGTGACGGTACTACCAACTATACAACCACTCGCGGCAACAATGCGATTGCACAGAACAACCCCAGCGGCAATGATCCATACATCAACAACTACCGCCCCAACAGTGCCGACCGCAAGTTTGAGTATCCCTACACCAACGACAAGGATCCCAATGAGTATGTCGATGCCTCCATCACCCAGCTCTTCTACACCTCCAACTTGTTCCATGACGTCGCCTACAAGTTGGGCTTCACCGAGGCTGCTGGAAACTTCCAAGTCAACAACAACGGCAAGGGAGGCAAGGGCCAAGACTCAGTCATCCTCAATACTCAGGATGGTGACGGCTTTAACAACGCCAACTTCGCCACTCCTCCCGATGGCCAGATGCCCCGCATGAGAATGTACCTGTTCACGTCGTCGACACCCCGCCGCGACAGTTCTTTTGACCAGTCTGTGGTTGTCCACGAGTACACTCACGGTATCTCTAACCGTCTCACTGGCGGTCCTGCCAACACCAAATGCCTCTCCACCACAGAGGCCCGTGGCTTGGGCGAGGGATGGTCCGACTTCATGGCCTATGCCTCCAGCACTCGCAGCGACGACAACCGCAACTCGGTCAACAACTTTGGCCACTGGATTTCCAACAAGCCCGGAGGAATCCGCAAGTACCCCTACTCCACCGACAAGGCCGTCAACCCTCTTGTCTACAGCAACGCTGACGGCCAGACTTCCGTCCACTTCATCGGTACCATCTGGGCCACCGCTCTCTGGGAGGTCCTCTGGAACCTCATTGATAAGCATGGCAACTCTGATGCCACCTACCCTACCTTTGATGCCAATGGTGTGCCCACAGATGGCCGTTTCCTTGCCCAGAAGCTCGTTATCGACGGCATGATGCTCCAGCCTTGCAACCCACACATGCTTCAGGCCCGTGATGCCATCTTGGATGCTGACAAGAACTTGACTGGCGGAAAGAACAAGTGTGAGCTCTGGAACGGCTTTGCTAAGCGCGGTATGGGTGTCAAGGCTGTGTATGCCCTTGCCAAGCACACCAACGACTACACCGTTCCTAGCGACTGCACTCAGTAAGCGGTGGACACTGATGTCTTCACAAGACTGACATATATACAAGAAAACAAGGACGGATTATGTACATATTGTTGATGAAGAGAGGATGTAAATAGTCGTAGTTGGTAGCATGATTCGGAGTCAGGTGCATAGCGTATATAGTGTAAATATTACGAAGATTTGTTGATGAACACTTGTGTCAGGATGATTAGAAAATGTCTATTGGAATCCGTTCATACCGGTAGATGCTAATATTCTTCTTTCTGTATTATACATGGAGCGATACAATGCAACGTCTACTTTGCCCCCTTAATCTTGGTCAGTAAAGCTTGGAGTTTTGACTTGAGCGCGTTAGGTGGTACTTCGTTGGTAGCCACCATGCGGCGAATGAGAATATTATAGAGTCCACCAAATGTCAGGGCGATGACGGTGGATGTGAGGATAATGACGTTATAAGGCATGCTGAAATCAGGCGTAGGAAGGTAAAGCAAAAGTCCTGTCGTGCGAATGTTCATAACCTTGGGACGGAGCGTCGTAATAACGGCTGCAGCCACATCAAAGCCACGGTTTGCGTCAGGGGGATACTCGGTGTATCTCAGAATCGTCTTCTCAATATCATAAGTTAGGAAAACCGTGCATCGCGGCGGAATTTGGAGGAGAAGCTCAAGCTGTGTTCCACGAACGCGATCAAGAGCCGGTCTGTAATACACCTCTTTAACAATCTCGTCTGAACTGTTTGTTGGTGATGATGTCGACATTCTAGTCTTCAGAGTGTGCAGATAAATGCGCATGAACCATGGGAGAGATTCCATGTATACAAATTCCACTTCTTCATCTGTGGGGTTTGTAAGAATGGCCTGGATGCCTCCATGCTGCTGGCCATAGCCAGTCAAACTGCGCTCCGCGACCAACATTGGTGGTTCAGGCTCAACGACGCCAGGGTACGGGCCCACCTCATTTGGCTCCGGGGCGCCCAAGACCATGGTGAATTCCATATCTTCGGGTATCTTGTAGCATCGGACCGGCTCCTTGCCTTCCTTGATTTCACGGGCTCCGTCGGAGGAGTAGACATGGCGCGTATGGGGCACATGAATGCAAATGGGAGCAACGTCCGGGTCGGTAAGGGGGCAAGTGCCTTGCATTGCCTGTCCAAAAAGATGGGACAGAGTCCAGTCTTGTCCTTGCAGATGTTCGGCCGGGTAGCAAATGTCGTCGGAATGGTATGATTTCGAAGTATCGCAAACAAGCTCGTTGGCTGGAGGAGGGCGGGGAATGGGATTTTCTATAATGTGTTAGTGGTGGCGTTGCGAGAGAGGCAGCTCAGCTCTTACCCTTTGGTCTTTTGGAGCGATCGACATCCAAGACCATGTCAATAGTCTCTTCCATCTCAAAAACACATTTGTCATCTTCGGAGCAGATGGGGCGCACATCAATGGCCATGCTCTGGAAAGAAGCATCAAACAGCTTGTGGCCATCAAGCAAGCTAGCAACACCCGCCTTGCCTTTACACGGAAGAAGCTTCAGGAATGGTGTTAAATTTTCCGTGCACACAACCTCGTGGGGAAGAACGCCATGCAGGAGCCTCGTGTTGGCCAATGTGGTATTGGGGTGGTTGCCTTCGGGTTGGAATGACATGACTGGGCGAATAGTTCTCGTCGCGTCAATGAAGTTGAGACTGGCACAGAACAGACCAGAGAGCGCATTGGTCAACAGAAGCCACTTCTCATCAGCCTCGTCATCCGTAGCAGCATCCAGCCATGCCCAAAGCTCAACACCCTGCCCACCCTCTTTGCGGCCATCCCAGGGACGAGCTCCCCAGCTCTCCGTATCCCATCGACCGAGGGTGAAGCGCAGATGAAGCTCCTTTGTACCGGTATATTGAAGAATCTGGCCTAGAGATCGCGGGAAGAGTCGGAAATTCTGAGCTTCAAAGTCCTCGAGTGTTGTGTTAGATCGGAAGTTGAAGCTTGCGAGCAGTGCCGACAGGGGCAGCGGCGTCAGGTTAAGCTGTTCATGGTAGCCTGTGGACGATGCGACGACAGATGTCGCCAGGAAAAGGAGAAAGGAAAGAAATTGGCGCATGATTACAGTTGAGAATGCGTACCGCTGGTCGCCGGCATCGGAATCTCAACACGGTGCGTCGCAATCGAAGCAAGCAATAAAAGAGTGACGTTGAAGCGAGGTGGCAGCAAGCAGGCTCCCTGGACGGATGGCGACGTGGCGGGCGCGGGCCTTGTTCAGGTACGCTGGGGGTGGGAGGGCGACGCTGGGCGGTGGCAGGCGGCACAAACTTTGGCAACCGTCTCTAGCATGAGAGCAGCCCTGCGTGCATGTCGTTCTAGCAAACGACCACTAAAAAGCTGGACAAGAGAACCGCTTTCAACGACAGAATTTAAAACAAAAATACCGCTTAACGCAAATACCAATAATACTTCATAAATCACATTCGAATCCATAAATACGTCCCACATCGACACCCACGCAGCGTCGCCATGGCCGCGGAACAGAGAAAGCTGCTCGAGCAGTTGATGGGCGCATCGTCGACTCAGGCTGCCCAAGTCTCGCTTTCCGATCCAAAAGTCTGCCGCTCCTTTGTGGCTGGAACCTGTCCGCACGATCTCTTTACAAACACCAAACAAGACATTGGCCCGTGTCCGTTGATTCACTCAGAGGCTCTCAAGACCGAGTACGACGGGCTGACGGACCGCGAGAAGCACAAGTACGGTTTTGAATACGACTACATGCGCGACGTGCAAAAGTACGTCGACGAGTGCAACAGAAGAATAGAGTCTGCGCAGCGACGTCTGGAAAAGACGCCCGATGAGATCCGCCAGACCAATGTTTTGGTAAGTCCCAGATCCTGTCTGTAGCTGCCGGTGCTGAGCTGGCGCTACCCTCCCTCTGCTCAAGCTAACGCGTTCCCCTACTCTAGTTACGAAACATTGCCGACCTCTCCACGACGATTGAAGACAGCCTCCTCGAAGTCGAAATCCTAGGCTCCATGTCCGAAGTTGCCCGCGCCCAAGACGAGCTCTTCCGTGCCCGTCTTGCGATGCAGACCAAGGCAGAGCGCGAAAAGGAACTAAAAGCCCTCTCTGACACCTCAGGCCCCTCTGGCCACCAGAAACTGCAGGTCTGCGACGTCTGCGGCGCATATCTCAGTCGCCTGGATAACGACCGTCGTCTCGCTGATCACTTCTATGGCAAGATGCATCTGGGCTACGCGCAGATGCGCCGCACCTACGACTCGTTCCCTAAGGATATGAAGTACAGACCGCGCCAGAACGACGATGATGGACCTCCACGAGGATCTCGCAGCGGTGGTGGCTATAGAGGTGGCCGCCCGAATCGCAACCGGGGAGGTTGGTGAGGCAATCATTCTAGTGTAACAGCATTTGTGGGATCTAGCATTGGTGTACGGCGTTTTTATTTCAATATTTGGTGTACAAAAGCTACATGTAGAAAAGCAAATCAATTCATTAATAGCACACTTTTTGTTGTGATTATTGAATATCCATTACATGCGTACAAGTACACAAAGGGAGCACATATTGGAACAGATGTGGTATCTTTGAAAGTCATTTAGAATTCGGCAATCATATCTGTTTTAGTTTTACAAACGGTCTCTGTGAATCGTATCACCAAACAACTTTGTCGTGACCCAAGCAACCTTAAAAATACACCGAGGACGGTACCACAAACGCCGATATCCAGATAAAAATATAAGACTAAACATATCCAATCATGCTGCAGCATTCATCATTTCTTCATATTCCTCCACCTCATCTCCCCAGTTGCCGCTTGCGGGAGGCGGAGCAAACAACAGTGATTCCAGGGTTGCGGGTTGTAACAGTTCAGGCTTCACGGCTTCAGGGTCAGGCTTCGCAGGCTCCTGCTTAGGAACCTCATCTTTAGCAGGTACTTTCTCGCGGTTGAGTAGATGAGGGAACAAGTCATCCTTCTTAGAAACTGGGGTTCTGGAACCGGGGGAGGTTGACTTGCCCGGACGGCCCCGGCCCTGGTTGCGTCCTCTCCCGTTGCCAGCCCCTCGTCGTCCGTTGCCTCGTTCACGGGTCGCTTCCTGGCCTTGACTATCGCTTTCTGGAGGTGTTGAATCGTCGGCTTTGGCAAAGCGACTAGCTTTCAGACCGCCACCACGAGCACCTCGGATGCCTCCATTTGCTCCTCGAAACGTTCGACGGGCTTCTTCCTCAAGCACCTCATGCTTGCCCGCATCCCAGCCGCCCTCCTTTATCTTCATAGCCTTGAGCTTTCTCTCTCTATTCTTTGCTCTCTCATCATCTAGTTGACGGCGCTCTTCATCAGCGCGACGCTTGCGCTCAGCCTCCTCGAGGCGCTTCTTGCGCGCTTCCTCCATGCCCCTGGCATACGCTTCCTCGTGTTGCTTCTGATCCTGGTTCGCCTTTTCGAATTTCCGCGTCTTTTCTTCCGATAGAAGTTTCATCTTCTCCATCTTGGCCGTAATTTCAGCTTCTGTCAATTTCTGTCTTGGGTTGGCACCGGATTGGGTGCGAGCATCATTGACAGGCGGCTTAGGTGTGGGAGGAGTGGCGGCAGGTTTTTCTTTCTTCTTGTTGGCAGCACCCTCACCACCTTTGCGCTTCTTTGAGCTGGATCGTGGCTTTTTCCCATCAGGAGGAGTAGTTGTAGTAGTAGCAGGGACAGTTGGAGCAGTCGGGACTGGAGGCGGAATCGCTGCCGCTGGCAGAGCAGGTTCGATGGCTGGTGAGGCTTTCGCTTTGGCTGCCTTGGGAGGTTTTTGTGATTGTTTGTAGTTATTTTTCGGTGTAGTCTTCCTCTCTGGAGCCGGCTTAGGTGTCACAGTCGGCGCCTCGGCAGGTACAAGCGCCTTTTCTTCCGCAGGTTTGTCGGCGAAGCGTGAGTTGGCCAGTGTCTTGGGCGGTGGCAGCTGTCGCCGGGGCTCGTCCACTGGGATACTCTCAATTGGTGGAGGTTCTATAGGTACAATAGGGATTGATTCGACAGAGGCAATGTATGATTCGAGTACCGATGGCGGTTCGATGTAAGGCGTGGCCTCACCGTTGACGGGCTCAAAGTCATCATCATCGTAGAAGAGGTCGTCGTCGGTGCGGCCACTGAATTGATCCTCCATGGCGCGATGACTTGGGGGTGTTGCAATGGTAAAATAGTATATAGCAGGAATATGTGTGTAAATCGTAGGATATAGTTTTCTGTTGAATAGCGCGAATAGCAATCGTGGACAAATTAGCGACAGTTGCAAAGTTAAGTTGCGAGGTTGGCCGGTTGCGTGTGGCGGGCAGCGCAGTTGGAGAAACGTGCTAAACCGTTGTGGAGCAGACAGCGTCCCAGCCTTGTCAAAATATCCCTGTTGCTGCAGCGGGCCGGGGGGGCTGAGCGTCAGCAGTTTAGCGGCGCTAGTGGGCAGCAGGTCAGGTGGTGGATGTGAGGGAAAGCCACCAAAAAGAAATACAGGGAAAAACGAAAATAAAATAAAATTGAATGGAGTTTTTATGGACAGAATGTATTGTGCGTATACATTGCGTTTATTTATACTCAGACCGTGATACCATTAAATCACTGGTGTAATGCTAATCACTGTCCAGAATGTATCTATGCCGGGTAGGTGCTGGCTACTATTCAATGGATCTGAATAACCCGATACAATAACATCAATTCATTGTATACTAACGGGGAACCTCTTGACTACCAAAATTCACCTCAAAGCATGGTCGTCAATACGTTCCTTGCCTTGGCCTCACCCACCCGCTCAAGAGAACATGTCTCGGATCTTCTTCATCGCTATGTAAGTGGTACGCAGTCATGATGCCACCACCAACAACACGCTCTAATGGACAGCCATCTTTCTCTAGCAGCTCTAAGCCTTGACGCAGTGATGTTGGTAGATGTACAGCGGCCTCCTTCGGTTGCACATCCGCAGATGGCCAGGTCAGCGGTTGATTCTGTTGGCACGCCTCCAGACCAGCACTGATGACAGCTGCTAATGCCAAATACATGTTTGCTGTTGCGTCGCTTAACCGAATATCCCAATACCCTCTTCCAAGACGTCGAATGGTGCTATTCTTTTCTTTCTCAGAACAACTTGCAGTACCGTTGCCGATGTGAATGTGAGTCGATCGCTCATATGAGATGTCGAACGATAAAAGAAAAGGACATAGTGATGGTAGGCTCTGTACCAATCCCTGCAAAAAGAATTCTCCTAGAAGCGCATTGTCCGTAGAGATATGCATATGCTGGCCGGTATTTTGAGACGCGGTTGTGAATGGTCTTGGTGACATGGCTACCTGCAGTCCATGTTTTGAAAAGACGGTCTTGAGGGTGTCATGAACAAAGACAAGCTCATCGATAGCGTCCATCAGTCTCAGTGGGCCCAGCGTCATTTCATATTGACCGTAGCATCCTTCGGTGTGAATGGTTTCAACATGAATACCCGCTTCAAGTAGTATCTCTACTGCTTCTTCGACATGACTGAAAATGGGATCGCGCAATCCAGACACGGCATAATGGCCCTGTCCGAAGCAAGCTTGCTCATACTCACTTCCAGGATTCTGGGTTGACGTTGTCCTTGCAATCTGGAATTCAATCTCAAAACCCACAAGAAATTGCATATTGCAGTCTTGGCGAGCCTTTTCCAGAACAGTTTTGAGTATATGGCGAGGACAGATGCCATATTCCGGCTTGGGTCTTCCGTGGCGATGTTCAAACACAGAACACATAACGCTTGCATGCTTCGGATCAAGAGAGTGTCTTGTTCGCAATGTCGACCAGTCGGGGATAAGTTCATCATGGCCCTTCCACTCTATACCTTCTTCAACCAACTCTTGAAGAACATTGACCTGGAAAGCAAAGACAATGCCGCCAACATGGCGTTCACCACGCACAATTGATTTTGCAAACACCACTGTGACAACTTTGGTACGTAGGACGCCACACAGGTCAACCCATTGGAAACGAATGAAGCTAACGGCTGGATAGCTTGCGAGAAAAGTCGTCAGTGCTGATATGCCTGTAGACCGAACGTGCTTGACATCACCATTCCCATTAGTCACGGAGTTGTCATCGGCACTCAACGCCGAATCCCTAAGTACCTGCATTGCAACAGGCATTACTGTGTAAGGAATGAATAATCTGTCTTTGAAGCTTTGAAGAGATTCAGCGCCGCTGCTGTCGTCTCTTCACTCTTCAATTGGTCTCGGCAACCAACGCGCCATCTTGAGCTATAAGTATAGCATATGTGTCAGGTAGCTTCTGGATAGACAATGATGCTGAAGGATTCAGAATTCTATGCCTGTGTCTGCTGGCACTGCATTGACTATTTCTGCACTTGCATCCTCGGCTGAACCTGTTTTGTTTGCTTCAGCGAATCGGGTGGCTGCAGAGGAAGTTTTATACTTCGGACCAGTGCATAATCAACCGTGTCATAGCCGGCAATTGTGTATAATCTGAGTGCTACCACCGACGCGGCGCTATACAACCACTATAAACTTTGGCGCAGGTGGGCCTCGTGATCGGCTTTGGTGGACAGACCTCGCTGAAGCAACCCCGCAGATCGACACCTGCCAGCCGCGCGGGCCGTCACAGGTCACCCGTAAACGCATCCTTTGCACAATCTGCTGATAACGTTTTCATTTGCATCGTGTTGCATCGGCACATCAAGTGACATCTTATTCCCTTAGTTTAACCTTTATCTCCAACCAACGGCTCTGCTTGGCATCCTATCCCGTGCGCTGCGCCGGTGCTTGGCAAACCTCGATGATTTGCCTATAAATCCAGTCAGAGTATCCAACAACTGGTCATTATTATTATTCCAAAATCATCCTTCCTCCTTCCATTCATTTCTTTTTGAATAACTTCCATCAACTTAGCAATCTACTACAACTGTCCCCCACATCCATCCATCATGAATGACACTGGCACCTTTCCAGCAGAGTTGCCCGACTGGAGCAACCTCAAGGTGATTCACCAAAACACACTTGAGCCCAGAAGCCACTTCTATCTGTACAACTGTGAGGTTGACGCCCTTACAAGGGATATCTCACGAGCAAAGGCGCAATGTCTCTCTGGCACATGGAAGTTTTCTGTTTCCAAGTCGCCCTTCGAAGGACCACAGAACTTCTATAAGAAGGACTTTGACAGCTATGGATTTTCAGATATCCAGGTCCCTGGAATGTGGCAGCTTCAAGGCCACGGAAAGGGGCCTCATTACACAAACTTTGATTACCCTTGGCCAGTTGACCCACCAAATGTCCCCTACCAGGATAACGAATGCGGTCGTTACATCACACGATTCACTGTGAGAGACGACTTCGCAAATCACCAGCTTCGCCTAAGATTTGAAGGCGTCGACTCTGCGTTTAGTGTATGGGTCAACGGAAAGAAAGTTGGGTATTCACAAGGCGCTCGAAACCCTAGTGAATTCGACATCACCCAATACGTCGACGACGCTGGTGAGAATGTTCTTGCCGTCGAGGTCTATCAGCACTGTGACGGGCGCTATCTGGAAGACCAGGATGAGTGGTGGCTAAGTGGAATATTCCGTGACGTCTACCTGCATGCATTCCCAAAAGTGCATCCAGTCGATTATCATGTGACGACGGAATTCGACAAAAAGTACGAAAATGCCACACTCAACGTCAACTTGCAGATGTGCACGGCGTCGGGCGTGGAAGTCAAGTTGTTTGATACCCAAGGCCAGCTTGTTGCACAAGATAACAAAGCTATTCAAACGACTGGAAAGTTTTCCATCAATGTTAACAAGCCTCTAAAGTGGACTGCTGAAACTCCTCACCTTTACACACTCGTCCTCAACGTTCTTGACAGAGATGGCTGTAGTGTTGTTCAGCGAGTGGGATTCAGGACTACCGGGCTTATTGACGGTGTCTTCTGCGTGAATGGTCAGCCTATCAAGATCCGAGGAGTAAACAGGCACGAAAACCATCCCGACTTTGGTCGAGCAGTCCCCTATGAATTCATGCGACAAGATCTTCTCACTATGAAGCGTCACAATCTCAATGCGATTCGCACATCGCATCAAATAAATGACACAAGACTGTACGATGTTGCTGATGAGCTCGGTCTCTGGATCCTTGACGAAGCCGACTTGGAATGTCATGGATTTGGCGTCGTAGGTGGCGACGCCTCCAAGTTCACTTCGGATAACCCAGATTGGAAGGAGGCCTATGTTGACAGAGCCCGACAAATGGTTGCTCGTGACAAGAATCACGCCTGTGTCATCCTATGGTCCCTCGGAAACGAATCCTTTTATGGCCGGAATCATCAAGCCATGTACGACTGTATCAAGGAAATGGATCAGACACGTCTGGTTCACTACGAAGGTGATGGCGGCGCCCAGACAGCTGATATTTTCAGCTGGATGTATCCAGGTATCGATTCCATTGATAACTTTGGAAAAGAAAGAGACTGGAAAAAGCCCCTCATCATCTGCGAATTCCTTCATGCAATGGGAAACTCTTGCGGTAATGCAAAGGAATACATTGAATCGTTTTACAGACACCCTCGTCTCATGGGTGGATTCGTGTGGGAATGGGCAAACCATGTAAGTGTACAAATCAGTTTCTATAAGCACTGGATCTAATGGGATATTATAGGGTCTACGAAAGAAATCAGATCGCGGAGAAGAGTATATGGGGTACGGAGGTGACTTTAACGACTTCCCCAATGATGCCAACTTTGTCATGGATGGCATGATGTTTTCCGATCATAGGCATGGGCCGAATCTGATTGAATACGCCAAGGCTATTGAACCCATCCAGACAGTATCCTTTAAAGATGGTATCGTTGGAGTCATCAATCGATACGACTTTCTGGGTATTGAGCATCTCAGTGTGACTTGGGAGATTCGGACGGACGGCAATACCACAAAGGCCGCCAGTGGCCGTACTTCGTTGATTCAAGATGCATTGCCACATACTGAAGGGCGAATTCGACTTGACGGATTCCACAACGACCTTTTGCGCACTTTGTCTGGAGAATCATACATTCATTTGTCGTACAAACTCAAAAACTCTACAAATTGGGCAACCGCGGGCCATGAAGTCACGTTTGGCGAGATACAAATCTCCAAACCTCGACCGTTAACAGACTCGATTCCTACACAGTTGACATTGGCAAAGCCTAAACTAGCTAGGGCCTCTGGCAATCGTATAGTTATCACCTCAGCTACGGGAGTCTCCAAGTGGGCGATAGACCAGGCTCATGGCAACATTGTCAGCTGGACCAGAGCAGCACACCCATCTCAAGAGCTCATTACTGAAGGCACATTTATGGACTTTTACCGTGCTATGACTGATAATGATAGCCGTGGTCATGGCTGGCAATGGCGCGACCGCTATGTCCACCAGACCTCCAACAACACGAGGCAGGTGTCCTGGAAGGATGTTGACGGCGGTGTTCAAGTGCAAGTAAAGAGCAGGATTGCACCAGTAGTTAAAGCATGGGCCGTGGATACAACCTTTACATATACATTCCGCGGAGACTCATTGCATATCAGGGTTCAGGGCAAGCCAGGGGGACCGCTATTGCCTGACACATTTGGAAGAATCGGCCTTACCGCAGGCATCGCTGGCGTTGATCGGGTCCGTTGGTGGGGAAGAGGCCCGGGTGAATCATACATTGACAAGAAACTTTCGCAGTCTGTTGGACAATGGGGTTCGACTGTGGATGAATGCTGGAATGACTATGAATTTCCACAGGATAACGGCAACAAGACAGACGTACGATGGGTGGAGCTCCTGGGCAGCAATGGCGAGCGTATCCTACGCGCCAACTTTGGTGCTTTCAACGGTGCCAGTTTCTCCACGATGCATTACTCGACAAAGGATCTCGACGAAGCTCGCCATACCCACGAAATCCATCGCAAGAAACGGGCCGATACTGTTCTTCGCTTGGACTGGAAAAACCATGGTCTTGGAGGCGCATCGTGTGGACCGTGGACGTTGCCTGAATACCAGCTGCAAGCCAACCAAGAGTTTGATTTTGAAGTTTTGTTAGAGTAGCCGTATCCAATCATAAGAAATCGATTTTTGTTAATTGCTTCTTTCTGCACCGCGTATGCAACGTCTCGCTTCCTGTGCTCCTTCAGGCATGCAGAGCGAATCCGCATGGAGGGCCTGCACACCGACATGGCTGGTCGCGTATCAGGTAGGCTGAGGCGTCTGCAGGATGCATCATCAAATAGGATAAAAACGGCAGCGCTCCTTTCTATAAAGAAAACCGCAGGTCTGCTATCGGCTGCTGTGTCCAATTGTAGCGTTCTGCCTTTACTTAGCCTGGTTTAACAATGCCGACCGTGGACTCTTGCACAGCTTGTGCGGTGATAGATACCAAGCAAGCGGAAGAAATCAAAGAAAATAGTAAGAGAATTATTTCCTTGTATCTTAGCTGGTTTGATTTGCAAAATCCATGCTAGCGTCTATTCCTCTGGTATTGAGCCTGTGATTGAGCCTGTGAGAGTTGGTCGTGTCACTGGCAGCGATTCCGGCGGTTGGCACAGGGCAACCCCACCTCCGTAAAAAGTCGTCATGGCGTGGGTGGCAGCACCTCATCGCACACACGACTCACTTGCATCTCATCTCATCGATTGCAATCCCTGCTAGCCTGGATTTTGCTTTGATTAAAATCTTCCCCTTCTCTTTCTTCGCCCCTAAACTACTTACACTGGATATAACCTATACAACCGCATCGGCTCGCCATCTCAACGTTTTCTGCTTGCAGCCACATGGTCTAAACACACAGCAACACAACGACCATCATCAGAGTCTGCAACCATGGCAACGCTGACTGATAGAACAGTATCATCGACTCACAGAATACAAGATGACTCAACAGAGGCTTCAAAAGATGCCCCTGAGCTGATTCACAGCCTCAAGCACAACAGTACGGTCTTGGCTCTCGCCGTCAGCCCGCAGCACGGCTCTATTTTTGCTGGTACTCAAGATGGCGAGATTGTGGTCTGGTCGCTGTCGACCTTTCACAAGATGGCTCAAATTCAGGCACACAAGAGAAGTGTTCTATCATTGTTTTTATCCAACGACTCATCGCTTCTCTTGTCCAGCGCTGGAGACGCCATCATCAATGTCTGGTGCCCAAAGACACTCCGAAGACTCTACGAAATCTACGGCTCTCATGATGTCGGCGATATATTCTGTACAGCTTATAGCTCACAACACGACACAGTGTATCTTGGCGCCCAGAATGCATCCATTCAATGGGTGAAGTTGGACGACCCATCTACGAGAGTAACCCATGGCTCAGAGAGACACCCCGATAAGAGAAGTCATAAGTTTTTCGACTCAAAAGCTATTGGAGGCGGAAGCACTCCCCGACGAAATGAAGATCGTTGGTCCCTAATCCCCAGAGCCAATACAGTGCTCGAAATGGACAGCTCAGCGATCCAAAACTTTGCTCACAACGGCTACGTCTTCTGTATGCTAATGGCAAAAGGTCCGACTGTAGAAGTTGACGAGGATGATGATGTCCTCATCTCTGGAGCGGGAGATGGTACTATTAAACTCTGGGAGCTCGGACAAGGTAGCCGAGATGGCCTCGATGAAGGCGAGCCTGACCGTGGCGGCATTGAAGAAATCATGACGCTAGGAACAGACGATGGTGAGTCTATCCTCTCGTTAGCCTTGGATGGATCTTTCTTGTATGCCGGAAAATTGGATGGAGTCGTCGAGCTCTGGGACTTGGACACGGCGCAGCGTCTTCGATCTATCAAATCTCACGACTATGATATTATGTCCTTGCAAATGGGATGGGGTTATTTATGGACAGCCTCAAGCAGTGGTTGGGCTAGTGTAAGTTTGTAATCAGCTCTAATACGCACACAAAATTAAAGACTAACCGTTTTGCAGCAATTCAGCACCGCCCATTATGGAAAATATCAACAAGCATCTGGCAATGTCGCCCAAAAGTACCAGTGCCTCAGTAACTGGAAAGCCCATAACGGCAAGATCTTAGCTTCTGCAACTACCACCTTCAAAGATCAACAGTACTACATCACTGGAGCCAATGACGAAGAAATTGGCATCTGGGCAATCAAGGACTCTGCCAAGACAACTACTGAATCCAATAAGGATTCCGACGACTTGCTACTGAACTCCTTGGCTGATTTTGTTTCCTACAAAACCGTCTCGTCCAAACCGGAATACTCGGAGGACTGCCGCAAAGGTGCTACATTTTTGGGCTCATTATTCAAAAGACTGGGCGGCGATGTGGAAATGCTAAACACTGACAACGATTATAACCCCGTTGTTTACGCCAAGTTCTCTGGAAAGAAGGAAACTGCCGGCAAGAAGAAACGCATTCTGTTCTATGGCCACTATGACGTGGTACCAGCTGACAACAACAATGGAAAATGGAGCACGGAACCGTTTACTGCTAAAGGCACAAATGGTTTCCTCTACGGCCGTGGTGTAAGCGATAATAAGGGCCCGATTATAGCAGCCCTTTTTGCTGTGACAGACTTGATGCAAGCGAAGCAGCTGGAAAACGACGTGATATTCCTCATTGAAGGAGAGGAAGAATTCGGATCTCGTGGTTTTGGCAACGCCGTCAAGCGTAACAAGGAGCGGATCGGCCCTATTGACTACATCTTGCTTGCCAACAGCTACTGGTTAGATGATGAAGTGCCTTGCTTGACGTACGGCCTGAGAGGCGTTTTGCATGCCACTGTGTGTGTTGACTCGCCCCGTCCTGATGCGCATTCGGGTGTTGATGGTTCACACATGACGAATGAACCACTGTCCGATTTGACACAGGTTTTGGCAAAGCTCAAAGGCAAAGGAAACCGAGTCCGTATTCCAGGTTTTTATGAAGGTATCCCGTCCATCACCAGCGACGAAGAAGCACGCTTCGACGATATTGCATCAGTATTGTTGCGGAGGAACAAATCAACACTCACCATTAACGACATCAAGGAGTCCATTATGGCGCGATGGAGAGAGCCGAACCTAACTATTCATCGCTACAAGGTGTCTGGCCCTGATGGCAGTCTAGTGAGCAGCCACGCCAGCTCTCACATTAGCATGCGTTTAGTGCCTGGTCAAGAAGCCGACGATATTGCCATTAAGCTTCAAAAGTTCCTGGCCGAGGAGTTTGGAGATCTTGAATCCCAGAACCAAATGTCCATCAGCATTGACAACAAATCTGAGGCATGGCTCGGCGATCCTACGAATGACATCTTTCGCATTTTGGGCGAGGCCATCGTTGAAGCATGGCCGGATCGCTTTGATGCGTCTCCCAAGTCTGGCAAGCCTAAGCAGCCATTGTATATCCGAGAAGGAGGATCCATCCCTGCCATTCGATTCCTGGAAAAGGAATTCCAGGCACCGGCGGCCCATTTACCGTGTGGGCGTGCCAGTGATTCGGCGCATCTTGACAATGAGCGGATGAGTGTTGTGAATTTATTAAAAGCGAGAGAAATCTTTGGCAAAGTGTTCCAAAGGCTGTAGAGCAGATGCTGTGTATCATAGAATAGAATGAATCTTATTATTATTGTTATATGTTCAAGGCATTCCATTATACTCTATGAAGTGGGCTGCCGGGCCGATATGGCGGCGCTTTGTCGTCAACCCCACCAAAGCAAGCACTCAACGCGTCTCGCTGCCCCTCACGCGTCACCCGCCAGCTTGGGCTCTTGACATCTGCATCGCCACTGCTTTCCAGCTACGTCCAGCTACTACAACGCAAAACAATATAGAAAAATGGCTGAAAAAAGACACGAAGAATACCAGTACCTCGATCTCGTCAAGGAGATCTTGGAAAATGGTGAACACCGTCCAGACAGGTTTGTTGGCAGCTGTACATACACGCCCAACTCACCCCGCTAACCATAAAACTTTACCAGAACCGGCACCGGCACATACTCGATATTCGCTCCCCAACCTCTCAAGTTCTCGCTAAACAAAGGTGGAAAGCCCATCCTCCCTCTCCTCACAACAAAGCGCGTCTTCCTCAAGGCTGTTGTCGGTGAGCTCCTCTGGTTCGTAAAGGGCAGCACGTCGTCGATTCCACTGAGCGAAGCTGGTATCAAAATCTGGGATGGCAATGGCTCGCGCGAGTTCTTGGATAACGCTGGTCTTGGACACCGCGAAGTTGGTGATCTCGGGCCCGTCTACGGATTCCAGTGGCGTCACTTTGGCGCAAACTACGTCGATGCGAAGGCTGACTACACTGGCCAGGGCGTCGACCAGCTCGCCGAGGTGATTGATAAGCTTAAGAACAAACCCTACGACCGAAGAATTATCATGTCTGCCTGGAACCCACGCGACTTGAAGCTGATGGCCTTGCCTCCATGCCACATGTTTGCCCAGTTCTACGTCTCATACCCTCGCGCCAAGCGTGCCAACGGTACCCTTGCCGAAAATGGAGATAGCGAGGAGAAGCCGAAGGGACACTTGCACTGCCAGCTCTACCAAAGATCTTGCGATATGGGTCTTGGTGTGCCATTCAACATTGCTAGCTACGCGCTGTTGACCCACATGCTCGCTCGTGTTTGCGATCTTGTGCCTGGTAGCTTGACACATGTCATGGGTGACGCGCACGTATACCTTGATCATATCGAGCCTCTCAAAGAGCAACTTGAGCGCGAACCTAGAGATTTCCCCGATCTGGAGATTAAACGCGATGTGGGCTGCAGCATTGATGGCTGGGCGGCAGAGGACTTTGTGGTTACTGGCTACAACCCACACAAGTCGATTGCCATGAAGATGTCTGTGTAATAGCGATGGAGACCTTGGGATATGAAACGAATAGATGATAAAAGAGCCGGTATAGAAGGTTACAAAACTGGTCGCTGTTCCATCAACTGGACAGTGTATTACGGGATTAACAAACACTCGGCTTGGCTAAGACGGCCCAATGCCACTATTGGATACGAATTACACATTTAATACAAAATCAAAAGATATCAACTCGGTTTTCATTTTATACATGATATATTGAGTGGTGTGTAAATGCTTATGCTTCGTATGCTTTCATTAATCATTCATTACGAGCTCGTCTCGTATTTGCTTCTCTTGCGAAGCTTGTCTCCCCACATCCAGAAACACCATGGAATAGGCGCCATGATGACGGTAATGAAACCTAATAAGCTCGATGCCCATCCAGCGCCAAGAGCCATAAACATTTGTAGGGCGAATAGCGGGAAAGCCGCGCTGAGAATATATCGACTGAGCATGAGGGCACCGGAAGCCGATGCACCGTACAGGGGTCCATATGAATCCAGCATAAAGAGGTTAGTACTGGCGTAAATGAGTAGAGAGCTCAGCATCACCAAACCCTGACAAAAAATAGGCACTACAGGGTTCACTTGATACTGTGCTGTCCAGCCCACGGCAAACAGGCTTAGGGGCAACATGATGCTTCCTACTAACGCGCCAATCAAACGACTTTCACATGGTAGAGCAACCTCATCGCCATTCTGTGCCTGCCATCTAGCCAGTCGAGGCTGATAAAACTTCATGTCAATAGCAACAAGTGGAATCGACGCAATGATGGTTCCGCCTATCATACCAAGATACGCCAGCGACGTGCCCGTCCCAGTAAACCCGTAGTAATTGCTAAAGATCCACGGCACCGACACAACAAATGTGTACAGAAGACCATAAAGAAAGCCACAGTACAAGCTCACCAGCGTAACAATGGGCTCCGTAAACAACATGTGAAGCGGGCGCTGAATGAGCGTCGTGGCAAAGTACCGAAACACACGACTCGCCGATGTAAGCTGCGACGCCGAGTCCACCAGGCCAAGTCTCAAAGCACGGCGGCGCAGGATAATCTTCTTGTACGTCTCTCTCGTAAACAAGATGGGGATGTACGCAGCAGCAGCAAACAGCACAGATGCCCACTGCGTCCAGCGCCACCCACCAGCCGGTACAATAAAGCCACCGAGCAACGGGCCCAGCGCGGCACCTACCGAAGGAATGGTATAGTAGACGCTCAAGCTCACGCCTCTGTATCTGCCGGGTGTAAAGTCGAGCATAGTCGCGGGCGCATTGTTAATGAGCGGCGCGGCAAACATGCCCGCAAAGAAGCGGCAGACAGTCAGCGCAGTGAGGCTCTGCGCAAAGCCAGCGCCGATGGAGAAGAGCATAAAGACGAGGCCGGAGACGAGGAGTACCGCTTTACGGCCATATGTCTCGGAGAGTGGTGCGCCGACGAGGGGTCCGAATGCAAGCCCGAGGTTGTATAGCGACAAGGGTACAATGGCAAGCTCGTGGCTACAGTTGAAGGTGGCAGCGACGTCGTCCTTTGCGGGGGCGTACATGGCGCCGGATACGGTGCCAACCATTGCAATGAAAGTGATGGCAACGGTGGAGTAGATGCGGAAGGCGAGCGAGAAGTTGCGCGGGTTGTCTTTATCGTCGGGGCCCATCCAGTCGTAGGCCCCGTTCATGGAGCGTACAGCATGCTGGATCTGGATCTGTTCTTCGTCAAAGGTTGTTTGACGGGGGGCAGGAGGAGGAGATGCATCGTGGATGGCACCAACTTGGGCCATTTCAGGCTGTGTTAACGAGCACAGCATCGCTGGTAATGCTAGACGGGGCTTCTAGTTGACTCCGTATACGTTGATTTTAGAAGTATGCGGTAACAGCAGTCATGTCTGCTTTTCTGATAACGAGTAAAAGATAGAGCAGATCGAAGGAGCGGGTGGGGGTTGTTTATAGCGTCAGAGGTGAGCAAGGCTTCCGGGGCAAAGTGGAGCGAAGCCGGCGATAATTCGCCGGACACTGCGCCCTTTGAAAGCCGAGCGTGCGCCGGTCTAAGCCAAAATAGGCAACGGACCACGGCTATTGCTTTTACAGAGGATCATTTCACGGAGTAAGACGGAGGACAATGTTGTAGAGTGAGACGATTGTAGGTATTTGGTATCTGAGTTAAAGTACAAAGTAGCATCGACAGTAACGGGAGCTACATCAAACGCATGTTTTCATTTTCAAAAAGTTTTCTTTGTCGCAGGAAGCCAGCTTAGGCTTGTTCGTACTTCTCAAGACCAGGCTGGTTGTTGCCAACGTACTCGGTCTTCTTCAACATGTTCCACTTGTCTTCATCAGTGTCGAGGTGACGGAAGCAGAACCAGAAGCCCATACCACCTGCAGCAGCAATGACAGCAGTGGCAGTGTAGTTCCAGACCAAGTTGGGGTCATCGGAGAGGGGGACGAAAGCCTGGCCGATGGCGGCGGAGATGGCACTCATGAAGAGGTTGACACTCATGACGAGGGATCTCATGTTCTCGGGGGCCTTGGAGAAAGCGTACTCGAGCGAGGTGACGTTGGTGAAGATCTCGGAAAGACCAACCAGGATGTAGGGCAAGCACTGGGCCCAGACATTGATGGGGGCAGGATCGCACTGCTTGCCGTCAATCTCCTTGTTAGCGTACCAGCCGCAGGGGCTCATCTGGTAGATGTAGTACTGCATAACAGCAGAGGCAATCATGGAAATCATGGAGAAGAAGAAACCGACGGCCATACGCTTGATGGGGGTAAAGGCGAAGCCCATCTTGCGCAGACCAGGGTAGATCAGGTGATCAAGGATGGGAATCATGATGACAATGGAGATGGGGTTGAGATTCTGAATAACGTCGTTCGGGACACCGTTTCGGACCATGGTACCAGCCTGGCTGGTCAAGTTGTTGGTCATTTGGTTGTAGGCGAGGAAGAAGATGGGCAAGAAGAGGAAGACCTTGCAAGCCATGAGACCACGGCGGACTTGATCAACCCAGGCGTCATCGTAGGTCATCCAGTGGGGTCTCTCAGCAATGGGCACGCGTGAGGGGCGGACGTGGTCCCAGTCGACCTTGAAGAATCCAGGGCTGCGCTTGCGGGCGTAGAAGACCATTTGCATGAACTTGGCCAGCAGCGAACCGGTAGGGGGAGTGAGCTTGTAGTTCTTCTTCTGGGACCACAGGACAAAGGGGGCGACGAGGAAGAGGATGGTGGGAATGAGGAAGGCGAGCCAGAAGCCGTAGAGCTGCTCAACGTATACCATGCCGATCTGGCCGGCAAGGGCACCAATGTTGATACACAGGTAGAAGTAGAGGAAGATGCGGGTGTTGGTGATGGCGGGGTCAACAATGACGCGCTGGCCGTTGCGCTCCTCCACGCGCATGTGAATGTCTTCGTTTTGTTCAGCGAGCAGCGGGGAGACATTGGCCTTGAAGAAACCAGTACCGACACAGAGACAGAGAAGACCAAGGATGAAGACACCAAATGAGACATCAGTCTTAACAATGACGCTGGGGACGGAAGCGGCGACAAGAACAACGTGGGCAATGGTGGAGATACCGATGGCGAGGTGAAGAGTCCAGAAACGACCCATGCGGGCATCAGCAATCCAAGCACTATACAAAGACTTGTTAGGCACGGTTTCTCAAGTAGGCGGTCTGTTGTATACAAACAGCGCAAAATGCGTTTGACTTACCCAATGAGAGGCATGAAGTAGGCGAAGAACGTGTTGAAGAGGGAGATGGCTTGCGAGGTCTTGAGACCCTTTCCAAGCGCACCGGGAAGGTCATCCGTAGTCAAAGGAGCACCGGTGGTCGAACCCTCTGGAAGACCACGCTTGACAAAGTTGGTGTACAAGACGGCGCTACCATAGTAGGAGAAACGCTCGCAAAGCTCAACAAACGCGATAGTCCACATGGACCACTTGATCTTGCCCGAGACACGGGGAAGCGTAGCAAGCTCCTCCTTGGTGGGCTTGCCCTCCCACCAGTCATCGTCGTCAGTAGTTGTGCTGTGGCGATCAGAGTCCCTCATTACACCAGCTTTGTGAGTGGTAGTGTCTGTGTCCACTGCCGTTGTCGCCGCGGTGGGCTGGATGGCATCCTTGTCGGCAGACATGATGTCTGTGAGTACAACAGTGAGCGCTGCTGAGGGCTTACACTGAGACGTAAGAGAGTTTGCTCGGTGAAACCAGAGCGAAAATAACCTCAAGAGAAGATGTTTGGGGAAACAAACTAAGACTAGGCGTAGACAATAAGGGGGGGGACGGAAGAGGGGGAGGGGACAATAGCATATATATAACTCCCACAAGCTTCTCCAACAGCTGCTACATTTCAACACTTGCTGGGGGAGCGCAAGTCTGGGCCATTGGGGTAAATGACACAGTACCAGGCTCGAGGGGGTCTCAGTCAACCCCCCCAGTGTAGAACCCCCATGAGTCGAATGGGGCGTCCAGCATATCGCCACGAGCGCCAAGAGCAAGGATGGGCGGGGAACGATGCCAGATAGTACCGAATTGGGAAAGTACAAAAGAACCTTTCCAGGGAGTAGGCTGCGTGGAGGGGCATGGGCGGCCGACAAATGGCACTAGTGAGTTTGCGTCTTGGTGTTTAGTGGTGGTGATGGAGACGGAGGAGGCGTCTTGGCGAAGGCTGCGGTCTGTGGGCGGCCACCTTGCAGCAACAGCGCTGCAGTAACACCAACAGCTGGCAGGCAGTCGTTTATGCCTGTGGCGAGGCCGGCCAGGTGCTAGCTGCCAGCTGCAAGAGTGTGCAAATGCAGGTAGCGAGGTGGTTGGCTGGCAAGCAGGCACGGCTGTAGTGCAACGCTGTGGCTACGGCGCCAGGGCTGTAAAGGTATCTGTGATGCGCTATAGAAGCGAAGTGCTGGTGCAACATTGACCACTTACACTACCACTGTTTTGCTCCGTTTGCGTGTCTTTTCCCATTTTACAGTTGTAATTTTTAAAATAGCACACGTCAGCAAGATTGCGAGAAGAACACCATATTGCGCAAATTTTCTCATGAACCACGGATAGCAAAGAACGCGCAACATCATACGACAGCGCAATCCCAGTGACCGGTTCGCGTGTCAGGCGAACCGTTGGGCTGTGCGAAAAACAGAGTCAGGGTCCCTCCCCCGCCCGGGGCAGTCCCCATAGCGCCTATTCCCCCGCTGTAATTTCGAAAGCCTCATCACGCCAGGATGGGAATGTTGGACCGCGGGGAGCCGCTGTCAAACACAACAGACGATAAAAATACACCCAAAGAGACACTGTGGCAAATATTTCATGATTTTTATTTTGCCTTTTTACTTCAGCCATTTTCCGCACTACGCCGAGACTAGCCCTATTTTCTTCGGGATGGCCTGCCGAAAGCGTGGCATGCCACGGCGGGAGCCGTGCCAAGTACCCAAGAGACAGAAATAGTACCCTTCTGGAAGGTTAGATGTCGCCAGTGGCCACCATCTCTCTCCTCTTCCAGGGATGTTAAACGGTTAACCCGCTGCCAAAAGGAAAAACACATGCCAAAATAGTAATAAAAGATAAGCGCAATAGCGGATATTATCTCCTTCTCCAAAAATGGCCCCGTTATCAGCACCTACTAACGTTAACACCAGCAATAGCAAACATCTTGGGGAAATGCGCCCCGTCTACCCCCAAATCTCGCCCTGCCTCGCCCGCCTGGACCCCGCTAATTACAGGGCTTTATCTGCTGGGGAATGGTGGATCACGGCCTTTTTCTCGGGGAAGGCTTTCTGAGCAATCGCCGCTTCTGCACCTCGGCAGTCCACTGACAGCCTCAAGAAGATGTGCACAAGATGGTAATAAAAACAGCCAAACACACAAACAAAGTTGCTCGTATAGGCAAGAAGCAAGCCACTGCCAATACTTCTTAGAAACATAGGGTGCCGCAAGACCGAGGCACAAGCGAAGCCTTGCCCTGGTCAACCGACCGACAAGAAGCATCGCCTCCGACGGAACTTATCCCTAATAGTTTTTTTTTCTGCCGCCTCTCCCCACCGTCAACAAACATTAATAGGAGATCAAAAGCCTCGTCAAGTACTTTTGCATACAACGTAGCAGAAATTTCCAACGAGGCGTTGCGCCACAGAAGATGTAGCCCAGTGTTGATGCCAGACCGCACAGTGGGCCGTCACTTTAAGCTACACGCTAGAGCGGACTCCCTGCGCCGCAAGAGGCAAAGGAGGCGCGCATGGAGAAGAAGCTTAAAAAGAAGGGAAAACAATTGTCCCCGCATACAGTATGGCACGGCCTTTGCTATAATGTGTTGCTGTAAAGGACCGCGCGTGCACATTCACCGACGAAGGGCCAAGAAAACAAACATTAGACAGAAGATAGCGTGTAATCTATACAAATACATTTTAATTTGTGACATGGAACTTCCATCACGCCATTTAGCCGTCTGTCCTCTGTCACTCCCTATGCAGCGAGTCAATGCGGCCGCTTGGCGGGTGGGGGAGGTTAGTTAGTATTGTACTGTAATCAGCACCGCCCCCGCGTCCCGACAACCACTAACAAAAAACGCTGCCCTATCATGTCAAACACAGAGCACACGACCAAAAGCAAAGACACTCACATGTACCAAACAGTGTGCTCAAGACTGGCTGCACGCCGCTTGGGGCCCAAATGAACCCATTACCTGATGTTATTCTCTTTCTGGAACTGCCCCGGAGCAAGATTAGCCTCTGCCAACCTCCACTACGCGACGCCTGCAAAAACGAGGCGTTTGCGCCCAGAACCCGTCGACCCTTAGCGTAGCTTGGCGCTTAGCAGCATGTAGGCGTTAGTGCGCACGCCACAACTCGTTTGCGGTTTGTGGTTGGTTGTGCGCGCACAGATCAGCAGGTCGGCTGGTCCAGGGAGAGGTGGTGTGGTGTGGTGCATTGCAGGACGCTACTATCATCATCACAGCCTGCTTGTCTGCTCGCCTACTTGGTGGCTCGCCCGCGCTATTGTCCTGCTTCTGTCGCTATTGCTCCTGTGCATTAGGCTGTCTAGCGCAAAGCATCCCTCTCCTGGCGTGACCCACGACGGCTTGGCCCAGATGAGTTGCTCCCCAGTCCGTCTGTTAGTCTGGTCTTTGTTGGCGGACCAGTCTCGTTAACACGTTTTCTACCGCCCGGAAATTAGAATCCCCAATTCAGCCATTGGCGTCTTGCCCAGACTATGCCCCAGGCCTTCTGGAAACAGGAACACTGCCCGCACTTCCCCGCGAGGACCACACATGCGCGTGTGAGCGAATATGTGCTTGAATTGAGACGAAGCGCAATAAAGCCTTGCTTTGTGTTTTCATTACATAAATACCATATCTTCTGGTTGGTAAGGTGATTGGGCATAAGGGTGCTGTCAGCAGCAACAGGAGATCCCGTACCATTACTTGCACGCGGTGGCCACCGTCTCAACTCTTCGCCGAGCATTCTACCGCTGATCCACGCTTGGTTTGTAGATCAGCTATTCCTGACAATGTGAAGCCCCTTGACGGAATCAAGCGGCTATTCGTGGCATTTCACTTGTAAATTCCGCCACAGAGCAGTATTTCCGCGCTCGCCATGGCTTTCTTGGAGCATTTTGCACGGGACGGTGGCGTATTGCCACCACCGGGAACCCCATGTAGATGAGGAACAATAGGCGTACATAACTCCCATAGTCGTCGCGCGCTTGGCGTTTGGGGTACGAGTTGCGCCGCCTTGTGTTCTGCCACGCGAAGGCTTGCTTGGCTGTGGATCGCAACCAACTCTCGTTCTTGTCGGCAGTGTGTATAGGCTGCTCAAGCTCATTACTGCGGAGAATTCGCTGTTCGTAAACCAATATGTTCCGTGTCAATATTTCAATCTGCCAAGGATAACAATGTCGCCGAAACTCCGGTCATCATCGACAAAAAATACGACGGCATCTCCTCTTCTGGTGGTATCGTCACATCAATCTCAAACGATTTCACCAAGGCCACCACCACTCGAAGGACAATGAGCTCCGCAAGATGGCGACCCGGGCAACTTCTGGAGCCACCACCCCAGCTGAGGTTATATCTCTCCATGGACTTTAAACGTTCGGCATCGTCCAGCCATCGCTGAGGCTGAAAGTCGTCTGGCGCTGAGCCACATATTGCTTCGTTCCGGTGTAAGGCAATGGGATTACAGCCGACTGTGGTACCTCTGGGTATCCAGCAACCTCCAATTACCAGATCGGAGGCTGCTTCGCGAGGTAGCCCCATGGCAATAACAGGTCGGAGGCGCATGGTCTCTTTAATCACTGCTCGGGTCAGCTGCAGCTGAGTCTGGTCTGACAAGTCAATGGGCTTGGCCGCTTGTGCTATTTCATTGCGAACTTGTTGCTGAATGCTCTTGTTAGATCCCAGCGCACACAGAACCGATGTCAATGTAGACGCCATTGTTTCATGGCCGGCGCCAAAGTTCGTCATGGCCATTTTTGTCAAGTATTGTGCGGTGAACTCGGGACGTTCCTGATGCAGCAGTATAAGATCTGCCAAAAGGTCATTGCGCACGTCTTTAGTCGGGTGCGCACTTAACGCTGATTTGCATCGAGTCTTTACTTTCCGCGCAACGTCCTAACAATCTTAGTACGTATTCATATTGTTGTAACTCAAGGTACTTACAGGGAAAAAGGCGCGAAAGTTCTTGGGCGTCGGAAACGTCACCCCCCAGAGGTTGCCAAAACGCCGACCAAGAGTGCTTGACCACATATCCATCTTCGACATGGGCGGAAATAGTCCAAATACACTCTTTCGACGCCAACCCATGTAACTGTGTTTGCTCGAGGACCAATCCGTACCAGCCTTGAGCATACCTGGGGACCACGAGAGTACACTAGCCCCAAGGCATTCAACTGCAGTAATGTGCATCCATTCTTTCAAGTCAATCTTCTGACCCTTGAGCATATCTAAACGCTCAATAATCCGATCGAGTGTTTTATCAACAGAGCTACCGTATTTGGCAACATTTGCTGCCTTGTAGGTCGGGCCAATGAGACGGCGCTGTACACGATATCTTTTGACATCTCGCTCCGATAACAAATCAAGTGTGTCAGGGAACGTAGGGTTCAACAGTCTATCAAATTGGGGCTTGCTAAGACTCGTCGCCACTATTTTCAATCGTTCAGCAAACACGTTGGGCATTGACAGGGCGATACGTACAGTAAAAGTCGGATTTCTCTAGGCCCTTCCCACTCGTACCTATTAACAGTTAAGACATATTCCACGCTTAATATAATTTAAAAATACCGTAGATGACGTCAAAGGCCTCCTTGGAATCAAACCACACCTCGTTTGGTCCTACCCGTACAACTGGACCATATTTTCTGTGTAGTGTTTTGCCGAGGATCGCAGCCCTTCCATTGCGGACTTGATACGCATACCAGACGTTTGACAGCGCGGCAAGCTTCGGTCCTGGGATACCTGATAGCGGATGAAATGCAATTCTGTACACTGCAATAGTCGAGAGTGCAAGTGAGGCTATGGTGACGACGTATGTCAACGACGTCGCTAAGACTCTCCCTACACGTCCAACAAGATCCCAAATCCAAATGAGTTCCATGCTGCTGAGGATATGTTCATAGTGGTTTTATCGCTTAAACCATATTGCCAGTCAATAATTGTGCTTTTTGAATAGCCAACGACATGCTATTATGCAACACCGACGCGGAATATACTTGAATTGAAGATTCCTTCACTCCAGATCCATACTGGCACTCGATGCGCGTAAGGAGGTTATGTAGTTAGGCATAATGAGATACCCTGGACAGCGACCAATCGTTTTTCTTCGTCTATTCTGCCTTTAAAACTAACAATAAAAATTATTTAGTATTAATAAACAAAGCTTTCATTCTGAATATAATTCAAAAACTTTTATTAATAAATATCTAATGCAATATTTGGATCGTTCTTAACCCGATGTTGTTGCAGAGGCATCCGCCTTTTGTCGCCATCTCAAGCCACCGTACATAAGATAGACCATGGGTATGCAGCAGAGCCCGTACAGCCCGGCATAAAATGTAAATGCAAATCCTCCACCCCATGCATTCATCATGGGAGCAATGGCAGCGGAAGCACCAGCGCCGACGAGGCATCGTGTAAAGTTGCTGGCTGCCGTTGCCGTGCCTGCTTTTCCGGGATGAAGCTCAACTACGAGTGTGCTGATAGTGTTGGAAAACCCAACGAGTCCAAAGCTCATAAACACATTCACGACGCACACCACAGCGACATGGGCTGCCTTGTCAAGCGCCCAACCCCATCCAACCATGGTTGCCGTTGCCAAAATCAACAAGGGCAGGCCAACTTCCAACCGAACTCGTTCAATGGGAAAATTGGCCATATCAATCTGACTCTTTTTATCAAACGGTATGCCAAGCTTGATGCAGTGTGCTTTATATCGGCGATTCATGAAAGGTCCCAGAACAAACGCAGCCAGAATAGAGCCTCCTGCCATGGGGAGATACATGAGGCCAACTTGCGTCTCATTGAATCCGTAAGCCTGCTTCACCAGCGTTGGGGTGGCAGCAGAAACGGAATAAAATCCTGCAAATACAATGCTTGACGTCCAAAGAAGAACAGCAGTTTCCTTTTGCAGAAGGAGCATGAGAGAACCCAGAATGTTGAATCCTTTGAACGTTGATTTCTTTTCCACAACGCCCGTCTGGCTTTCAGTGTCGCTCGTTCCTTTGGCTTTGCTCTTGGACATTTGACGCATTAAGCGATACCCAGACCAATAAATAACAGGGCACGGTTTTGAGCCATCGCCCACAATGTGTCGACAAGTTTCCGGTAGAAAGACCATAATTAAAATGATGGTGACGGCCGCAAAGATGGCGAGAAACCAAAATATCGAGCGCCATCCGAGGTATTGTGCCAAAAGACCACCAATGACGGGGCCTAGCGAGGGAGCTAGGATAATGGGAAGTGATGTGTAGCCGATGTATTGACCACGCTCTGCAGACGTAATGACGTCTGCTATTACGGCCATGCATAGCGCTACTGTGCTGCTCGATCCAGCAGACTGAAGGCAGCGTAGTGCGAGGACGGCGCCGTAGTTAGGCGCCAGTGCTAGACCGATATTGGCAGCAATGTAAATAACAAAGCATATGAAATACGCTGGTCTTCGCCCAGCCACATCAGCTAGAGAGCCAATAAACATGGGCGTGATTCCTTGGAAGACCATGTATGTTGTGATTGTGAGATTGATGTGCGTGCTGTCGACGCCGAGATCCTCTGCCACCGGGCTGAGAGCGGGAAGGTAGATTTGCGCAGATAGTGGCGAAAAGAATGCAGTAATTGCTGATGCCAGCACAATCAGTTTCTTCTGCCAGGAGTTGAATGATGAATATGGAGCTGTAGAGACAATTCTCCCAAGGGGCTCCTCCGGTTTATCATGATGGCTACTGCTGGAAGGACGAGGCTGTGGCTCAGCCGTCACCATGTCGCTGCCCATGGCTTTTGAGTGGAAACTGTGAAGTACACAGATGCAATCAAAAGTATGTACTGAGAGGGCGGCGACCCAATGACCCTATTTAACCATGAGGGATGAAGTGCAAAAGTTCAAATAAGGGACAAGCCGCTGTGGTTGATTGTTCGCAACGGTCAGCGTGAAAAGTGGGTTTCGGCGCCGGTTCGGCGGACGCAGCCAGGGAGGCGGCGCTGGATATGCGGATTTAGACGGGAATAAGACTGCTGAGGTACGTCATAATTGCGAACTGGATTACGTTGTAATTATATTCGAGTTTTCGATAATAGATGATGTGTCTTGCTTGTGTTTAATTTCAAGCCGTTATCTTGGTCTGTTTGTATATTGGGCGATGCAACGTGCTGCTAGCACTTGTTGGCGTCTTGGCTGTGGAGGAGGGTTGTACACGCTTGATGCCAAATGGGCCCAGCAACAGACACCTGATACATATTAAATATAATCTCTGAATAAATACAATTAATTGAGATTTAGTAATAACGTTGTAAACCTAAATATTACTGTTTATTACAGAGTAGTGCTATTCTGCTATTTGGGTTCGACCGCCGCTCAAGCGAGGTTGGCTGTGGACCTTGAGGCACTTGTCATGGATTAATAAACAAACTGGATAAAACAAAAATAACAAGAGATGCACTTAATAAGAAGTATATTTAGAATTGAAACAGTAGAATATTTTTGAGTTGCTTGTATGAGCTTAGAACACTTTACACTTACACCGACCGGAAGATCTAATGATCCGCCACCGAACATTGTTATGTGTCCCTCCACATGCCAGGCTTCAGCACTGCCTGTGTTCTAGGGGCTATAGTGCACTACGTATTTATTTGGCCACGCATCAACAAACTGTCGCCCATTCCAACAATTTAGACATCGGCGCTGCAACAATGGTAAGGCTCCCTGTTAACCCGTATTGTACTACAAGGAAAGAAACTTATACAAAACATAGAATGTCGTTTATAATTCAGCCCTGCGGCTGAGCAAGTCTATCCGCAATGACTTAGGCGAGCTGGAAAGCAAAGGTCAAGCAACACCCGGCGAGATTGGCAACATCTCTGCTTCGATAGCGTCATTCACAAAGTCTCTCGACGAGTACAATAGCCTTGCCCGCCAGGAAATCGTTCCTAAGAAACAGGAAGAAGCCTTCAGCAGAGTAAAGAAATTCCGCGAGGATCTGTCCGGCTTCCGCAACCAAATGGACTCGCTCAAGAAGGCGCGCGAGGAGGCACAGCATCAGAACAACAGAGCCGAACTTCTTGGCCGTCGGCCGTACAATGCGACACCCGAAAATCCATACGCAAATGTCACAACCAGCAACCCCGCCTTCCCCCAGAGCTCCCAACCGTCCAACGTCATGAGCACCGGCTCTGGCGACGAAATGCGCGAGGCACACGCCTTTAGAGAACAAAATTTCTTCGCCAACACAAACCAGGCTCTTGATGACTATATTGCCCGCGGCCAGGCCGTGCTGGGAGACCTGGGTCAGCAGCGCGAGATGCTGAAGAACACACAAAAGCGACTCTACAGCGTTGCCAACACTCTTGGCGTCAGCGGTGAGACGATCCGCATGGTGGAACGCCGGGCCAAGGAAGACAAGTGGATTTTCTACGCTGGTGTAGTGATCTTCTTCCTGTTTTGCTGGCTCGTTTTGCACTACTTGCGATAAGCAATGTTTGTGGCAGTGGTGGCATAGAAACGAAAGTTAAAAATGGGCACATAGAGCATCTAGCGCGGCGTTATATCGGTTTGCAGTCAATGGAACAGGGTCGTAATGATTAATATACTTCAGAATATATCCAAAAATTCCTTTTGTTTTTAGTTGTTTTGTCCTGGTTTTAGAGTTCATGCATCGTCATCGTTGTCGCCCTGGCGTAAAGCGACGGTAAAAATCACGTCGTGAGTCGTTTCAATCTCGACAATCTTTGTTTCTGGTAGAATGTGGTTGCTGGTACTGATGCGACCACCGATGCGTGTATCCCAGTTTGTAACATCCCATTCGAGACCTTTAGTAGAGATGGTGCTTGGGCCTTCCAGGGGGATGATGCCAACGTATTTGGCAAACACGTCGTCTTCACCGTCGTTTCTGACCCTGATTTCGTGTTTGCCTGGTTTAAGTAAGAACGTGAAGCTGGATCCGGAAAGCAGGTACATGCGGCCTTGTGAGTATGTTGGGTCTTTCTGGAAGAGGTGAATATGATGTAGTTGGCTCAGACCCTGGTCAACTCTACCACCGATACCACCAATGACAACGGTGTCAGTATCGCTGGGCTGTGTCTTTCTGATCCAGGCAACTGCCTTGCCAAAGTCGGACGACTCTTGATCATCATCCTTAATCACCTCAGTAGCATTTGGCTGAGAAGTGTAAAACTGACGGACAGTGGGGGTCAGAGAGTCGAGATCACCAATGATGACTTGGAGATTGGCCTAGAGGAATTAGCTGCTATCCTGTCCTGTTGAGGGCTAAGAATTCCCACAAATTTGCCATGAAATGTTGAAATGGCATGTAGACGATTTGCGCCGCCGTCAGCAGCCACTCGAACAGCCGCTATATCATGATATCAAGTCAGTTAGAGCGTGAGATGTGGAGGTAAAGCGGCCGTACCATTCTTCCAAAGTCGCCTGAGGTTGGCGCTGTTTTTGAGGGGCTGATTGAGGATCAGAAGAGCATAGCTATCTGTAGTATCATCCTCCTGAAGAAGGCGCGCGGGGTTCCAATGGAATGTCGATAAAGTCGCCATGTTGAAGTCGGTGTATGCCACCCTTGTAGTTGGCTATCTGTGCAGTTGCTGGTTGCGTTGCAGCTTAGAAATTATCTGCTTTGCTATAAATGAGATGCGCTGATCAAGTTCCCCGGTATGCAAGAACTCCTATTTTCAATTGATCACTTTGTGGCGTTTACTTTTGTGATGAGAATATGCGACTGTCACTTTGAGGCACGTGTGGATAATCGTCGGGTGGTGGACCATCGGCGCGGCGGTTTGGGTGCCGTTTTTGGCTGACCAATCTCAGGGCGAGCGAAAAAAGTTAGGGTGGCGGCTCTCGATTTCTCTCCGTCATTAGGAACCCTACGACCGCGGCCCTTGTTTCAATTCTTTCCATTCGCTCATTTCTTTGCTTCATTAGGCCAATTAACGTTCCTGTACCTATTTTAATTCACGACCCTTTTTCTTTCGTCATGCAACGCCTCTCCAGACCCGCGCTGAGCGCTTTGCGCTCACCCGCCCTCCGGCAGGTCGCCCCTAGACGATTCGCATCCACGGCTTCACCGGCAGACAAGAGCAGATCGTGGAAGAGCTCAGCACTGCGCTGGGGTCTTGCCGTCGGTGCTGTCTACTACTATACCACCAGCTCTGTGTTCGCCGACGAGGCTACCCGTATGAAGTGCTGCTCTTGATTGCAAGTCGAAGTCGCTAACCTTTCCCAGCTCTCCAAGCAACCTTCTCCGCCGCCCCGTCCTCGTTCCCTACATCCGATAACAAGCTCCCTACCGTTGAATCTGTGCTTGAGGAGAAGCGGAAGCAAAATACACCATCTGCCCCCGCTGCGGAATCGAAACCCAAGACCGAAGCGCCCAAGAACGAGCCTGACAACACTACGGAAGCCGCCCCCGCCGGATCGCCCGCTGATTTGGAAGAGGAGGCTGGCCAGCAGGGCGCTTTTGACCCCGAGACTGGTGAGATCAACTGGGATTGCCCATGCCTCGGCGGCATGGCTCATGGCCCTTGCGGCGAGGAGTTCAAGGCTGCCTTCAGCTGCTTCGTTCACTCTACCGAAGAGCCCAAGGGCATGGACTGTATTGAGAAGTTCCAGTAAGATAGACTATTGCAGAGTATTTGGACGGTTACTAACCCATCCCAGGGGAATGCAAGAATGCTTCCGCAAGTACCCCGAAATTTACGGAGCCGAGCTCGCCGACGACGAGGATGCAGAGCCTGACTTTGGTGAGGATGCTCCCGAGCCTACCGATGCCGCCACCCCAGCTGTCGAGAAGGTTGCCGAGCCTGAATCAACAACTATCGCTCCTGTAGCCGATGATAAGACACCCGAGCCCGAAGCCAAGACTCAGATCGAGACTAAGTCTGAGCCCAAGGCCGCCGAAACCGAGGTCAAGGCATCAGAGAAGACTGGCCCCAAGTGGGAGGATGCTACAGGTGCCAACGACGCTGCTCCTGTGAAGAAGGATTAAATCGCAACATGATCCTTGGAATAATAAAATTTACAAAGCAAAACAAGACAGGAACAGGCACCGTTCCTATGTATTACAATCAAAAGAGGGTAGCTGGTCTCGCGGCCCTCATTCCATGTACGAACGTCGGGCAGCCGCATGACTCTATATAGAAGGCTACGGCATTAGAGGGCGTTGAAATTATGTATAAAATCTCACCATCTCATTGAAATTATTTTCTTTTGGAACTGTTTTCCGTATTGAACAAAAACTAAGTAGGAGTAGTCGACCGTGAAAGCTAAAATACAGGCATAAAAGTTGCATCACTCATAATATGCGGTTCTGCTGAACCCTAGTTGTCCTTCTTTCCCTTTCCCTTTCCTTTGTACAGATATGTTCCAACAAAGGACTCGGCAGCACCAACAGCTGCGAGAATGCCGACGCCAGCGCCAACATACTGCCACGAAAGGCGGCCTTCCGAGTATAAACCCCAGGCTTTGTATCCGAGAGCTGAGCTAACGCCAACGAGAGCTACAAGATTCGAGACTGCGAGACCTCCAGCTTCCTTGTCTGTCAGCTTGGAGAACTGTGCAGTCAACCAGCTATCGGCTTCCTTGGCCTTACCAGCCGCCTTCTTAGCCTTATCAGAGACCTTGCCAGAAGCTTTGCTGGCGGCCTTTTCAGCCTTTGCCTTGAAAGCTTCGGCCTCCCGTTCGAGACGCTTGGCTTGCGTCTCAGTCTGGACATCCTGGTCTAGAAACTCGGAGTTTACTGTATGGACGCTGGGCATATCCACGTCGATAAGGGACGAAGTTGAAGCGCTTTCAGTGTGGACGACTTCGGGAACGGGGGCGGCAGCGGCCTAGCACCGTCATGTTAGTATACCACGACAACAGTCACGAAATCTGTTTTTTTTCACATACCTCTTCAGGCGTTTGCTTAGGTCCCTTGGAAGCAGCATCGGCATACGACACTATCTAACGGTTAGCTATGACACAACGAAGGCAGCACGGCGGCTAAAACGCGACGTACTGTTTACTAGTGGTATAAAGGTCAAGGTGAATGGTGTTGATGTAGATGAAAGCGATGGTGCCTGGGAAGTGTGGATGAATTAATATAGCACGATCGTCTAGTCAAGCAAGCCTTGATTCTGCTGCAGCACGGCAGGGTCACGACAGCAGCGTAATGTATGATGTAGTGGACTTGGGCCTGCCACATGTGACGCAACGGCAACCCGTGCAAGCCATTCACCAGCCATGGTTGCAAGTGTGGCGCAAGAGGCAGGCAACCTGGACAGCTCTGGCGGCACTTTCCTTGTTTCTCCAGTTTTTTGGGGGGATGGTTTAGCGAAGACAGAACAAGTTTGCTGATCGTCGCCTGTGTCGCAGGCTCAGGCACAGAGTGAATCGGGGAGGTCTCCAACCGGGTAGCGCAACGCTGTGGGGAGTCGCATGTTGGAATGACGTATCCATAGATGCCGATCCGCCACGGTTGCGTACTTCCAAGCTTATTCCTTGCTAATTCATGGCTTAATCCGCTTCTATTTACTTACCAGGTTATTTCTAAGATTGGCCATAGACTAGAGCTACGGATTGTTCCATGTAGATCAATACTGTCCCTTGAACGAACCTACCAATTTGGACAACACCAGCTGAGATCCTGACCGCGACAAGATAGACATCCTATATTTGCGCTCACATTGTTCTGTCCGTGTATCGATTTATTATAGTAGCTAAAATCTCTGCTTAGTCCGTGTACAAAATCCCAGAGAATCCAACGCCTTAGCAAATTGCCTAGGGTACTATCATCACCTTCCCCTGATGGCTGAGAACCAAAACACCTCGCTGTGGCCGCTTGAACAACTTGAAATGCAAAAATCGTATCCAAAGGAAAATAAAGCAAACAAAACGGCTTACGCTCATTGCAAGAACAAAAGACAAGAACATGAAAATGTTATCCAAAAATAGAAAGCCGTCCCTTGGTGGGTATCCCCAACCAACTGCTCACTGGGGATCTCCCACCTCTCAAATAAAACAAACCAGACGCTAGGGGTATTAAACAATACACATTAGTATGGCGCCCTTCTAATAACGTTATCTCGCTGCGTTCTGACCCAGTGTTCTCTCACCCTCGGGGGCATCTTGCAGAACACCATGGCTGTATGCTCATCGCTAAGCACTGTCTGTGAGATGCCAATCTGGACCTCGGTGCTTTCGTCGGCAAAATCTCTAAAGAATAAATCCACAGCATCTTCGCGCCAATGGCGCGCCCCACGTCCAGTCACACTATCGGCGAGCTCTTCAGCAAACGCACGACGGATGCTAGGCAGGCTCGTTTCCTGTTGAGAGCCTGGGGTGGCGTTGGCTGGCGGAGTAGCTAGGGGAAGGATGGACGAATTGAGCATTCCCGGAGATGAAATATGCCCAAGGTCCATATGCATGGCTTGACGGGCTCGCTTCTCCGGCGAATTGATGGGATACGGTCGTTCGCCTGGGCTATTGGGCTGGTTGCGTGGGATATCCATGGTATGCTGAGGCCCAGAGTCTGAAAGATTACGCTTGCGTCCAGCGTTGGATGATTCATCGGGTGGCGTAAGAGCAGCTGTATCTGACATGATGTTGGCGCTGCGTGCTGGTAAAGCAGTAAAAACAGTGGCTGCCTGACCCGATGACGAGGGCGATGCTTCGTCGTCGAGAATGCCTTCTTTGCCCCGCTGCTTTTCTCGCAAATTGAGCACACTGGTGCCTGGTACTTCGTTTTCATCCCCAGGAAGGCAGTCAGTGCGTCTCTTGGGCTTCATAATCCTTTTAGGTGCTCCTCCCGATCCAATAACATCAGGATATAAAACTTCCATGTAGCTTTCATGGTCAAACGGGCGTCCGCGCAAAGCACGAGACAAAGGCTCCCTCTACACATAAGATTTCACGGTTAGCAAAACACTCTACGTCGAGTTGGATAGACTGGCTCCGTACCTCTATCCTCCGGCGCCAGGCATCCTCCGGTGCTGTGACGGTCCTGGTATCTGGATTATATACAAATTCCGGGTCTTCCCGCAGCCCACGCCATAATCGAAATCGTTTTCTGGCATTGTCACTTTTGTTGATGAGATGGCTTTTAGTGGGAAATGCGTTGTGGCTCTCTGACAAGGCAAGGGTTGCTCTCTCCCAGGCTTCCGCTTTGAAGCTGCTGTTTTCGCGGAGTCCAAGCTGGACGCTCTCGCATAGGCTGCGGAAGAAGGTGGCTTCATAAGCTGGTGTCCAGCTGAAGCGAGGAATCCTGCGATCCCGGTCGACCTTGGTAGACCCTTGACCATCGGGGTCTGCAATATCGCTAAAGTCCTCCGACATGGCTATCTTGGCGCACAATGACGATGGTGCCGGCTGAAACCTACAAGCCAAGCGTCGCCCAAGATGGGGTGCCGGTTTTCAATAAGGAATAGAAGCGCGCGGAATGATGAGGCGCCAGCAGCGTTGCCGTGAATCGTTTATTCTTGAGCCAATGCCCGTGTTGCTCTCTCCGTCACGTTTTCTTTCTAAGCCGTCTACGTGAAGAGACGGCGGTTGGATGGCGGCATGAATGGCTGGGATAAAACTGGGGAAGCTGCAGAGACAAATGACGACAGAAGAAGATGAAAAGAGAGGAGGAGGATAAGAAGCAAAAAGGAAGAGGAAAAAAAAAATAGAAGACACCGCCCGCTGAGGCTGGGATGATCTGGATCTGTCCAGTCCGGCCGATTCTACAGCAGGTGGGGGGCGCTGTGCTGCGCATTCTTGGTGAGGTTTGGACCCTGTTTCTCAGTCACGTGGAGCTGGGCCACGAGCCGACAGCGGCCCTCGCAGCGCGCGGAGCCCCTCCGAAGCCCCTCTGCGCGCAAGTTGCAGCGACCTACAGCGGCCGCTGGGGCATGATTTTTTTAGTGGGCGTAGCGCTATTTACAGTAGACCCAGGCGATAAACCCCATCTTTTCTGGCAGCGGCTCAGTGCCTTAATTTAAATAAAACAAACGGTTCGCAAGCATTTGCGGTTTGTCGCTTAAGAAAGAGAAGACGCGCGCTGACAGTTTGGCACCTGGCAGAACTGCCTGCCACCTGCACACACAAAATAAGCACACACGCGGCGACGGGCCAATCCTTTGGACATGACTTGTCTTTTCTCTCCCGTTTTTGCCTGTACTTCTCCTCGCCTCGCATATTCTCTCGCAAGCCGGCTGCTCGTCGTCCCACAATAGTCTATTGCGGTCTGGGCCTCTCTAGCCTCAAGTGCCGCTGGGCTCTCTGAATCCGCGCCTCCGCCTGCTACTCACCACCACAGTACCGCACTGGCCAGTGGTAGGTCAAGCTCGACTCGTCTGCTTATCCGCTTGTCTTGCAACACCTTCCAAGAAGAGACAGCAAGCGTCGCAGCGCGCAAATGCCCCGCGAGTTCCGCGTCTCACTCGTCGATGGCGACATGGCCCAGAGCAGGGTGTTGTTGTCGCGGACATGAGACTATTGGCTGTGAAATGCGCTTTGCTTTTTGCCTTGAGAGCCACGCCGGCACAACAACCGGCCGCCGGTTGTTGAAGTATTCCGGACGCTCAGTATTATATTCTTGCCTCTCTTGACCGATGCTATCCAGTGCAGCTAGTCGTTGAGAGATTTAGCTGAGTTTGTTGACAAAAGAATACAGGGTCCAAATTTATCCGTAAGGGTTGGAAAGCCAAAAAGTCTGTTTTGGAACGGGAACCTGACACTGTTTCGGGATCGCCTGCGTTAGCCGCAGCCACTTCTGTAATGGCAACGGCCGCGATCATGCAGCGTTGTGGTGGCAGATTTGCCTAATTGGCCGTCAACTGGAGTGTGTCCAACCAACCAGCACTGACTTCACGGTGTCGCCGGTTAGCGCACATTAGCCAGTTAAATCGGGTAACAGCAGACGGCCGATTTGGCGGTCAGAAACGGTGTGCGCAGAGCATGGCGGGGGTGGTTAACGCTTGTTTAGGACAAAGCGCGAGCTGAATATTATCGCATGGAAAGGAGGGGACATAGCAAGATACCAGACGACGAGAAGCGATAGAAAGGTAAAAGGCGATATAGCAAACAACGGTCTTGCAGGAGTCCTTTGTCAGTAATGTGGGCTAGCGTTGGTAGTGGTTGATTTTAGCTTTCTCTTGGCATGTTTTGTTTGTTGCGCGCGCACGCTGGCCCCCGGAGACTGACGGGTCAGCGACGGTGCAAGCCCGATGGATATGAAGCCATCCACCGTGTGGCGTACTTGCAATGCGCGCCAAACCTGAGCTTTGGGAGGGGGCAGTCTGGGTATAGTGGCGAGAGCGTCACGGAAATAAGAAATCCCTTTTCAGCCGCGGTTCGGGTCAACATATGGGTGAGGGATTCTCGCGCCACCCGCTCTCTCAACAACACACTTGAGGAAACTCTAAACACCAAACACCACGCACAAAGCGAAGTTTTTTGTTCGTTGGCTTATCGCCGACCACGGCCACGGTATTGTGTATAGAGTGGTGCAGCATAAATTAAAGAGGCGTCAGACCTACATGCCTGCAGCGCAGCTCCCGAGCTTACGGGTGCAACCTGCGCCAAGGCTGCACGTCACGACAATATCGTTCAGTGATGTTGTTCTGGTCGGTTTACAGCAGCCCTTCTGAATCCACTCAATTCGTTTATTGAAATATTCCACGTTCAATGAACCCTGCAGCCTACTTTTAAGCGTAAGTTACCGAATTTCCGAACATTGACAGCTGCATCCTCATCGACAGTATGCACAAGTGTGGGCCACACAGCACGAGTTCGCCACGACTTCAGCATATAAGACTAATACCCTCGAAATTGTCACAAGTTCGTTGTTTAAATGAGTCGCCCACAGGCTATCCCTGAAGAACTCCTGTCATCCACTTCTTATCCACCTGATGCAGCCTCGTTTTCTGTTCGGACTGTTCCAATGGATCTGATAACTGGCACCACTGGTGAAAAAAATTATCTGATCATCAGATAAGATGCGCTATTGGGCCACCGCCGACCCTGCGCCAAGACAACCTAGCCTGCCTCGTTCTAACGCAAGGGTGTCATGCCGACCCAGTTCTTTCAGAGATAATTTACCAGCTACCTTGCTTTCAGTGCCAGTTTAGCTGCTTCTGCTTGTATCTTTTTTCGCCCGAATGCCCGCTCGCTGTTCGCCGCACGGCGCTGTTTTCTCCGCACCCACCTTTCATGCGTTTAGGTTGCTCCATTCTACTAGCCGAGGACCACTGTGTGTAATTGCAGACATGGGTATTACCGGAAACTGTCCAGCTAATGGCAGCATGCATGCGTTGACGAGTAGAGCCTTGCATGCCCGCTCCCACTTCTAGAGAATGCTCCTTGGCGTATAAAGAAGGCACGTCGCCACGTGCAGAATAACCTCTTTTGGTTCTGCACACCATCATTATCCAACCTTGTCGCCTGCTTCACAGAGCGCTCAGACGCCTTCTAGTGCAAGATGGGGCTCCTATCTCGTTTCGACTCGTCCAAGCGGGCGGACAACACTGTGACAGAGACCGTGACTCCTGTCGTTAACGAAAAACGCAGCTCTGGTGAGCAGGACATCAAGCCAACCTCCAACCCCGATGCTATTTCCTTTGGAAAGAAGCAGACTGGTGTTAAAAAGGTTGAGGCCATCACCAAAGTCTGGACGAAATGGCATCTGGTTGCCGCCTACTCCATGTACGTCTCTTTTGAGCGAGCCGCTCCAGAAGTTGGGCTAATGATATCTCTGACAGTATTTGGTTGATTTACTTCATCACCTCCATTGAGGAAAGTGTTGTCCGTACGCTTCTGCCAGACATCACGAGTACCTTCTCAAAGCATTCACTCTCGGCCGCCGTCACCATCGTGTCCAGCATCATCGGCGGTCTAACCAAGTTACCTTTGGCCAAAATCCTTGACACATGGGGCCGACCACAGGGTCTTACTCTCATGCTGGCTATCTGGGTGATTGGTTTTATCATCACCGCTGCTGCTCCAAACATTGAGACATACGCCGCTGCCAACGTCTTCAGTTCTGTTGGTGCCCAGGGCGTCAGCTACTGTATCACCATCTTCATCGCTGATACATCTACTCTGCGCAACCGTGCCCTGATGCTCGCCTTTGCTACGTCCCCTTACATCATTACTACCTATGTGGGCGGCCATGTTGCGACATCCGTCTCTAATGGTCCAGGATGGCGCTGGGGATATGGCATCTGGGCTATCGTCTGCCCTATCATTGTCCTTCCGCTCTCTGGCCTTTTCATTTGGAACAATCAGAAAGCAAAGAAGCAGGGTCTCCTTGATACAACAAAGACTCCGCTCACCTGGAAGAGAGTCTATGACTACCTAGTTGAGATTGACATTGTTGGTCTCCTGCTGCTGGCTTTGGGTTGGACCCTTTTCCTGCTGCCCTTCTCAATGTGGTCTTTCCAGGCGGACAAATGGCGTGCCCCCATCATCATCTGCTTTTTGGTATTTGGTGTACTATTCCTCGTTTCGTTCATCATTTGGGAGCGTTACTTTGCACCAGTCACTTTCATTCCATACAAGCTGCTCATGGACCGCACTGTCTTCTTTGGCGGCATCATGTTCATTTTTAACTTCGCGGCAGGTGCCATTTGGAGAGGGTTTTTCACCTCCATGCTTTACGTCGTATGGAACCTCAGCAAAGCTGAAGTTGGATACATTGGTGGTATTTACCGAGTTGGATCTTGTTTCGCGGCGATTCCTATTGGTCTCATCATCCGCCGCTCTGGCCGATTTAAATGGGCTGCTACCTTCTATGCCCTGCCACTTATGATTCTCGGTGTAGGCTTAATGATTCATTTCCGCCAGGCGTCTCAGTCCATTGGCTTCATCATCATGACACAGATCTTTGTTGCCCTCGCCGGTGGTCCCGTCGTTATTGCAGGCGAAATGGCTATGATGGCGCCCTCCGATCACCAGCACGTAGCTGTCATCATGGCCATTCTAGATCTGTTCTGCAGTATTGGTTCCGCCATTGGCAGCGCTATCTCCAGTGCAATCTGGACAGGCACATTCTACAGAGAGCTGTCTGTTCGCCTCCCTGCCGGTGCCCCAATTGACAAAATCTACGCCAATATCAACTGGCAGACCAAGTTTGCACCTGGTTCTATTGAGCGTATTGCCATTCAGAACGCATATGGTGCTTCTCAACGTTACATGCTCATTCCAAGTGTCTGTCTTCTTTTCTGCGCTTGGCTTTGTGCCTGGGTTTGGCGCGATCTCGATCTTGAGAAGAACGACCAAGTTGAAGGCGTTGTCGTTTAAGCAGCCGCCTCCGCTCTTGGGCTATTCTCCTCACGACGGTATGATTTATATAATCTGAATAAAATGACACCCATCTCTATCATCAGTATCTCTCCATGTTATACTAGGACGCAGAGCGGCCGCCTCTCAGCACACAGACATGCAATCACATGCAATCGTTGATCATGAGATCGTATTCGTTTTGCTAGAAATCTCGACAAATTATAGCTAATGCTTTGTGTAAGTTTTTAGATGTTAGTCTTGGCCATGGTCTCTTCAGCTTCCTTCTTCCACTCCTCACGCCAGCGAGTCAGGGGAGGTCTACCATTGACAACATCGCCAACAGTCCAGAGCATTCTCTTCTTGTCTGTCTCCTCCGATACATCGTTGTCAGGGCAGATGACATAGAATTCGTCCTTTTCCATCTTTTGGTACAAGAAGTCTGCGACTTGCTCAGGCGCCCAAGCACCCGCCGGCTTCTCCTTTGCGCCACCACCGCCAGTCTAGAAGATATTGTTAGCAACATAAGAACTCAGCCCCAAAAAGCTGCATTACGCACCATGCCAGTAAATGTCCAACCTGGGACGAGCAAGTGTACACTGGTATTTGTGCCTTTGAGATCCCAGCTAAGATGCTCGGCAAGCGTCTTGACGGCAGACTTGGATGCATTGTAGGCGGGGTTGCCGGGCGGGTTCGTGATTCCTTGCTTGCTACCCGTGATGACGATCGAGGTTGGCTTCGACTTGGCCGCCTCCTGGACGACAGGAAGGAATGTTCCAACGCCATGGATAACGCCAAAAACATTGGTCTCAAGAATCTAGTTGCCAGCCGTTAGCTCTAGTTTCCAATATGTCGGAGCAATACCCGTTGGTGTCATACCTTGCGGAAGTAGTCATCATCACCCCAAGTTCCTCGGCCGCCGACACCAGCATTGAGCGCCACGAATTCTATAGAGCCAAACTTGGATACTGCGCTATCCTTGAGGGCCTTCCAGTCGTCGATGCTGCTAACATCTGCAACCGAGGCCACAACGCGGGGCTCATCGCCTCCCTCAGAAGCGAGCGCTGCACAGGCAGTCTCAAGAGCCTCGGCATTTCTGTCGACAATGATAACATTCATTCCCTTGCTGCGGCATAGCTTGGCGAGTGCGAAGCCAATACCGGAGGCGGCACCGGTGATGAGGGCTGTGGAACCGGCGGCGAAGACGGCGGCGGCGGTCATTGCGTCTGGATGGACAAATATCGGGTAACGCAAGAATTAATAGTCTCCGTACTAAGAGGTAACACAGTAGCAATTATCCTACTGTATGCTTCTGTATACCAAAGATTTATGGTGGAAGTTTCAAGAGGTTCGGCTATATGTCACCCACCAGATGATGAATGAGGGGCACTGATGACGTCGGTCACCCATGCTGGAGCTCAGAGCTCCCACCTTTGTGGATCGATGAGCTTCACAAGCCGCACTGAGCGCCACACGGGAGGGTTAGGGGCGCTGTAGAGCGTTTTTACAGGGCTTCTTTGTCCAACATGGATCAGCGGTAGGTGCCCTGGATTCAGCAGCGCCGTGCCCGCTAAAGAAGAGCGCTAGCCTGTGGCCAATGTCTCTGGTCTCGTCTAGGGATCTTCGATCCTGAATACAGGCACTGGATTGGGTCGCAAGGGAAATATTGACCGGGTATACACTGGGGCCGCGTCCATGGTCGTCAGACCAATAAAGCTTCGTTTGACGGCTTCTCCTGGACATATTTGACAACGCGATTCTTCTCCTTTCTTTCTACTATCTATTTGTGATCCTTGATTTTATCGCGCGCCGGCATTGATCGGAGGAAGAGTCAAAATGAGCTCTGAAATCCGCCTTGCAGATCAGCCCGCTTCATTTCAGCGAGTTCACCAACCAGATGGACATACTGCGATTATGTCCAACTGCAAAACTTTGAAACCCTGAACTGCGGACATTGCACAATACGCGCTCGCGCTACAGGACTGCTTACATGGCACAAGAACAACAGCACTGGAGATACTTCCAAATGGAGATGGCCGCTCTGTTCTACCTACCAATTTCCTAGAAGAGCCACAGTGTCGCAAGCTATGCAGAATGGAGCAGCCGGCCTCAACTGTGGTTTGAAGTTCTAGAACAAGAGGTGCTTACGGCAGAGCCGGATAAGCAGGGGATAGCTCCAGCACCCAGCACCACCATCAGGTAATATATTCACTGCTAGCGGCGTGCAGTAGGCCTATTCTGTGCGGTGTGGACGCTCCGTCAGATTTTAGAAATTTCCCCGGCAGCCCAGCGCGCGCACTGAAACGGCGGTGCACCAACCCAAAATGGACTCTGTGAGAAGCCGACGGCCCCCGATAAAGCTGAATGTGGTGTATTCATGCAGGCTCAGTGCTCGGTGCCTTCTCCTCTTCTGCCCAAACCGGGCTATTGTCCGGGGCATCGGCCCTTCTTTTTGTGAGAGGGGGCTTCGTCGGTAGTTGGCGGAGTTGGAGAAGGCTCTAGCGGGCGTACAAGCAGAACAACCCGCCAAACTAGTGGAATTCGAAGCGGAGAGTATAACAACATCGTGAGTCTTTTGAAATTGCACAAATTTCGGTCATTTGCGTACTGCAGAAACAACAAGTCTACGGGAACAGATACCTCCTGGGCTAGATAGCACTCAACGCTGTAAATGGTGGGCAAACACTAAGCAGGCAGAAAGATAGACAGACATGTTAACCTGTCATCCAATATGAAGGACTTTCGGTGTTAATGTCGCCGTGCCCAGGACGCCACGTTCTGTGGTCACACGGCTCACACCATTTCCCACGAACCATAGCGTTGACGCCAGCTCCCATGTGCGCCACAGGATCGGGGGATCTTCAGGACATGGTCAGCTTTGGGCTACTGTGCGGTGCAAATCCGGCCTTGTTCACGCCACGGTGCATACCCAATTCGGAAAGCTCCAAGCCGTGCTGCAGATTATGGTATAGCTCTTTGCTGTTCTCCATTACAGACAAGGCCATCGGCAGTAGTAGTAAAGGGGCATGGAGTTGAAAGCTGGTGCTCTTTGTCAAAGACCGGATTTCAATTTGGCATATATTCTGGCAAACAAGCAACGGAGCATGCTGATTCGCTCCAACGCGCACGCACCCAAGTTGCTTCGGTGTCTGTCAGAGCCTCGCCCGGCTGCAGCGAACCCCTGTTGCAGCAGCCAGTGTAGACTGAATAGGTGTTTTGAAGGCAAAAGCGCACTAGCGGTTTTTTGGTGAGGTGGAAAGAGAGTGTTCTCCGCAAAAGATGCAGCAAATCACAACGCGTCGTTGGCAGCTCGTTCAGTCGCTTTGCTTTCCGAGGTCCAGTAGGCAAACTCCTTTCCGAGTCCCATTAACCCCTTTTCTGAACCTTGCTGTACACTTACGCCGACCTAATACGCACTTCTACGCTGCTGTCGGTTCAAGTGCAGTCTAACCGATGGAGCGCCACATCGCCGTTTTGCTGGGAAGTCATCAGAGACATGGCGTGTTACTGGCCCTGGTATGGGTTCGCTTGCCATGCGAAATAAAGAATTGCGCCAGAGTCTATTAGCCTGGGCTGAATGGGCGCGCCACTGACCGCCGCTAGCGCTGTTCACCAACATGCTCCGTGCTCAAGCTCTACAGCACGTGTCCCCAGTCTTACCCTCTCTTTATTCGGCCCGTCCTATGTCAGGTTAGGTGAGTAAGTCGCTGCTGCATCTACGGTAGACAGACAGCCTGGATTTTAGGGGACCGTAGCATTGGTTGTAATGGACAGGCAGGACTCTATTGAAATACACGGTTCATAGAACTTACCTATTGGGAATGGCAGCGATGTCTTGCCTCCCTTCGACGTTGAGACGATCCTCCTGTACAAGATCTGTCTCCCACAACTAGACAGGTCTTGGATTCTCTCCAAACGCAGCAAACCGTTTGCACATCCCGCTGATCTGAAGAAAATCCCCCCCTGGGTTTTACCCAAAAAGCAGCTGCATCGTCCCCGTTCTCCATGCGACGTTCCCTTGCGCTCCCACACCCACAACCACCCCCGCCTTTCATCTACAATAGGCAACGAATGAGCTTGCAGAGCGCTGGTGCATTCGGCGCGAGTTTAATCTGACTGGCGTTCGCCGGCTTTACCCAAAAGGAGCCGGAAGCCATGCTGCAAGGTTGCTTACCACACACCCCGTTGTGCTCCTAGCGCCGCATGGCCCCGTCACCGATGGGACGCCCCCCAAAAAAAGAAGGTTCAGGTCAAAGACGCCGCCCAAGCAGAAATCGTCCCATTGTTCATTCAACCGTGACACTCGGAGAAGTAGACATATAAGGATGCCGTGGTCCGCATAGCTCAGTGTCAGCCGTGTCTCGACCTTCTTTGTTTCAAGCCGCCTTGCCGCATTCCATACCCAGACCCCTTCTTCTTGTTCCCTCTTAGACGTCGTCTCACCACTTACACGTCGCGTCTTTACACTTACTCACTACCACCACCGCAACCATGGTCGCCTACAGCTTCATCGCCTCTGTGCTCGGCCTCGCCGCCCTCACCTCGGCCTCTGATTCTCCCACCTACACCGGCTGGACCCGCGTCTGGCAGGATACCTTTGCTGGTCAGGGCTCTACGCTGCCCAATGAGAACAACTGGAACATCATCAACGCCAAGCTCAACGTCAACAACGAGCTCGAGACGTACAAGCGTAGCACACGCAACGTCCAGCTCTCGGGCGGTAATACGCTCCAGCTCGTCCCCTGGAACGACAACGGCGACTGGAGCTCGGGCCGCATCGAGTCCAAGTACACCTTCACTCCTACTGACAAGAAGATCACCCGTGTCGAGTCGTCTATCCGCTTCGGCGGCAATGCCCAGAAGAACAAGCAGGGTATCTGGCCTGCTTTCTGGATGCTCGGCGACTCCATCCGCCACGGCACCAGCTGGCCCGCTTGTGGTGAGCTCGACATCATGGAGGTCATCAACGGCCAGCTTACCGGTCACGGTACTATGCACTGCGATAGATACCCTGGCGGCATTTGCAACGAGGGCAACGGTATCGGCTCTGCTGTCAGCATGCCTAACCAGGACTGGCACACATGGCGCATCGAGATTGACCGTAGAAACTCGGACTGGAAGCAGCAGAGCATCACCTGGTACTTTGATGGCAAGAGCTACCAGACCATCACGGGCTCGCGCATCAACAACCAGGGTGTCTGGAACTCCGTCGCCCACAGCTCCCTCTTCATCATCTTCAACGTTGCTGTTGGCGGTGGCTGGCCCGGAAACCCCAACGCTGATACCCTCGACGGCTACGGCGCCATGTTGGAGGCTAGCTACGCTGCTCACTACGTCAGCAACTAAGAAGTGCATTGTGTACCTTTTGCTACTGATTTGTACATTTCTTTCACCCTCCTCCTACTTCTCCACATTCGCTTCTACTGTTTATATTTTCTCGTGAAGGTTTCGCTACTGAGATCTTCATGTCTATACTTGTATATACGAGCTGCTACTGTACATAGCAATGAAAAACAATACGCCAACAAATGGCAACTTTCTAACAAAAGCAAAGGATCAAGCAATGTTGTAATTTGTGAAATAATCTGCCTCGGTTGTCTATCCTCTATTGTTCCAGGCTAGTGAGGAATGCTTCTAGTTCGGCAATCTTTTTGTTGGCTTCTGCCTTTGATTGCTCCTGGAGCTCCCAGACCTTGAGCATTTCGTCTACCATGTACGGCTTTAATGGGGTCTTTTTCGCGTTATCGTAATCGTAGACAACAATATCCTCTTCGAATTTGGCAGCGATTCGGCGGTGGTTCATGGAGTAGCAGGCGGCGCTCAGGATGACTCTGTCCGAGGTGTAGTCTGGCTTGGTTGTCAGGCGATGCATTACGCAGATGTGGTCTGGAAATGCCATTGGCTAGAGAGACAACAAGTCAGATTTAAAAACAAAAAAAACGAGTGGGAAATGGTATGAATGTCAAAAGCTTACGAATTTGAAGTCCGTCTTAATGCTGCCGAGGATCAGGCCAACGCCTCGAGGCGTCATTAGCAGACGCATCTCCTCTTCATTTTCCGGTGCCACATGTTTGGATAGAATCATGAACCAGTTGACACGTCCGCATTCAGCCCAGCGGTTATATATGACGTTGTTAGTATGGCCCTAGCGGTAGCTGTTAGTCTTGCGTCTTCGTCAAGCTTGGAAATGAGTCTGTACCATGCAATCCTAGCAGATATTGTGTTAGCAGCTATCTTCCAAAGAAGTAAACAGAATCCAGACTCACCATATCTCCCCAGAAGATTTGGTGATTGACCATTCCCCACCACTTCTCATCCATGATGAAGCCGTCGCGTCCTGCTGATAGTAGCAGCCAGTTCTTTTCGAGATATGTCTTCCAACCCGCCAGCGAATTCTTTGAGGTGGCATCCAGCGTATCTGTGGACAGCTTTTGCATGCGCTTGCGAATATCTGTCAGCCAGCGCGAATTGGACACTGGTTGTGCTTGTTTCTCGGCCATGCGGAAAGCCGAAGCACTAAAGGCGCGGCATGTCTGTGCGGGCTGCTGCTGTCGCGCTACCAAAGGAGCCCGTCGCAGCGTATTTAATAGAGAACTTCGAATGTGATGCATTTCCATCTTCAATTTGGAACAAATTGTGCAAGTTTGCGGATGCAATTGTGTGAAAAGTGGTGATGATGTAAACGTCAACTGTTGTTGATGGCTACTGCCCGGCTTTACTCGGCTACTAAGGCAGCGGTATCGGCTTATGTCACAGAGCGCCCTTTGGCGAGAGGTCACCTCGGCTAATAATTTCACTGAACAAAAAAAAATAGAAATAAAATATTTAATGTTATTTTTGATGGTGTTCTTATATGATGCAAGGCTAAACATTAATATCTGCACAAATATGCTGACCTGCGCTGCCATTGGCTAGAGATGCGTGCGGGTGAGATCACTTGCATGATGTTATTGCCGGATAGGGTATATCAGAGCCGCAACAAAAATAATTTCATTCCAAAATACAGTCCTATTTCATTCTATCCAACCCAAATACGGCGGTCTCCATATATGGCATCACTCCTCGGCCTCCGCGGATAGGTCCTCGTCGTGTACGTACGCCGTTTGGAGTAGTTTTCATCTCGCATCTCGCATCGGAGGCCCAGAAGTGGCGATGAATTGCATCCTTGGATCACTCCACCTTACCCTCAATGTTAATATCCATGATTATATTAGTATAAGCTAAGTGCAGAAAGGTAGGACATCTCTCCTCATAGGTAGGCGCCAAAGAGCATCGTCTATGGAAGACAACATATTGATATACGCAAAAACAGGCAGGGAAAAAAAGGCAAAAGGGAAAAGCATTTCTGAAGATTCTCTGATATCTATTTATATTTTGGATATATCATTCAGGGGTATAATTAAGTATGGTCGTATATAACCCAATCTCGCATAGCTTTGTTCATATATCCATTAAACGATAATGCACAGAGCTATTTAAAGGTCGTGTTACTAGCTCTTCCTACTATTCATCTACTCTTGAACTCACGTCAGAAAATACCTTTCCGCCTATCTTACCTGAACGACTTTGTACACTGTTACCATGCGCACTTCTACCCTCCTGACTATTGCTAGTCTCTCGACGGCAGCACTGGGCGAAGACTTTGACTATGTCAAGGCCGTGTCTACCATGCCAGATTGTGGCTGGGGTTGTCTGATTGAGGTATCTGGTGTCATTGGATACACAAACCCTGCAAAGCCTTGCAAGGGAGAAGGACCCAATGATCTCTATACCCAGTATCTCAGCAAGGGCACCGGTGCTATTGCCAAGTGCAGTGCTTCCGATAGTGAGTCGATGCGATGACATTCTTTACTGCCATGTACTAATGACATATTGCTGCTTTTTGTAGAGCAAAGGCTGGTCGATACAATCACGGCAGTCTGTGTCGTCGGCATGGCAGACGCCATCGCCGGTGAAAGAGCAGAGAAGCAGGCCGAGGAATATGCGCATTACGTACGACTCAAAGCCCGCCAGTTTGCTCCGGAGCTTACAGCAGGCGATGGATGGGATGAGGGCGGCGAACACCGTGGTTACTGGGACGGAAAGCCGACCAAGTCCGGCTCCTCTAGTTCGGGTTCGGGTTCATCCAGCTCTGGCTCTTCCAGTTCCAGTTTCAGTTCCACAGGTTCCGGTTCGGCGAGCCTAAGCACTGGAAAACAGAGCAGTGCCGTGGGTGTTTCATCGAGCATGGCGCTGCTGGCTGGTCTGTTTTTCATGTCGCTGTAAAGACACGTATCAAACTGGCAGAATTATAAACACAGCACTTTAAACCGTTATCACAGTTAATATATTATGACGGGTTAACCAATTATGAAATTTAAGCTTGCATATTACATATTACGTGCCGTAAGAACCGCCGCCACCGCGATGGGCTCCCTGTAGGGTAACGGGTTGACTTACACCGTACCAGCCAGCGCATGCTTCATAGCATCATTCAAACTAGTCTTTCCTCTGACAATATCAGGACCATTTTCAGACGAGGAAGCTGATTCACCAATGCGACCATCTGGGAGGATGCTCTCCGTCATTTCCACATAGGATGGCACCACGTTGGGCGGGAGGAATTCGCTAAAGAAGCCAGCCAGGTCTGCCTTCTCAATGGGTTGGATCTTGACGGGTTTGCCCAGTGCAGCAGCAAAGGCAGCTTGCACGTCTGCAGGACTGTAATCTTCTGGCCCGTGCAATTCAAAGATGTACGGCTTCTTTGGCGGGGCGTAGCTGGACGTGAGGCCCATGGCGAGCGCCGTTCCAATGTCCTGGTTGGCAACCATGGGAAACTTGTAATCAATGGGTGTGATGGATGACATGAAGAAAGGCTCATCGCCTTGGAGAGTTTCAGTCATCTCGGTCCAGTTATCCATGAAATAGCAAGGTCTGACAAAGAGGAGCTCCTCCACGTTTGTGTCCTTGAGCGTCTGCTCCGCCAGATGGTTGGTATGGATTTCGCCCTAATGTGGCACATTTAGCTAGGGTTCGTAATGAAAATCAAAGACGGAATTTAGGACTTACAACGCCACTCTCAAACTCTGCGCCCTTGCTGCTCAGAAGAATCAGGCGCTTTACCGTGCCCGACTTTTCCACAGCCTCTTTGATGTTGGTGCAGACAGTGCGTGACTGCTCGTGACTATTTTCAAACACTGGCGGCGTCATGGCTAGCACGGAGTGCGATCCGGCAAAATCAAGAGAAGACTTGTCGTTGACATCAGCTTGGACAGCATGGAAGCCCGGATACTCCTTGAACGCATCGGGCACCTTGGCGAGATTGCGGTAGCACGTGTAGATCTCGGTGTTTGCTGTTTCTTTTTTTATTAATGATTGAATGGTGGCTGCACCTGTTCTAGTACCAGCTGCGGCGATTGTGACTCTCATGATGATGAAGAAAACGAGTAGATGGAAGTTATCTGATTGAGATTATCATCTCGACGAATGAATCATAACTGCTGGACAAGCGCGTACTTTCGTTCCTTTTTTAAAGTTGTCACCGTATTACTCGTATACCAACGGCAGTGCATTAGGCAGCGGCAATCGTCATGATCAAAATTCACGGATGCGTCGGTCGTGTAGCTTTAGCCCCATGCATATGGCTTGTTCTAGACGGTGCGCCACTTACACGCGGCTACCCCTCATCACGTATGCAATACGACTTTTAAGCTTAAACATTGTAACACGTATCCATTCAATAAATATTATACGCCCGCATTTAATAAACATGTGCTATATGGTACACTACTATACCGTAACCAATTTGTGTTCTTAGTGGTGGTGGGCGTTGGCCACACTGACTCTGCGGCTGGCTGAGGGCGTGCCGCGAGGAGTACCGCGAGGGGTGACGCGGCTCTCGCCAAAGAATCGGTGCTGCTGGCTGTAACGGCGTTCGTTTCCGGGGCGGGCGTTGGAGTCTATCTTGAAGTTAGTTACGTGTCCTTGTGTGGATGACAAATGCAGTTGTAAAAGGGACTTACCACGACGACCATCATGAGCAACGCTGCCACGGCGTCCAGTCTGCTGGACTTCTTGGCGGGCATCAGCCAGGCGCTGAGCAAAGGGCGAGCGCTTGCGCAGCTCAGGGCCCTTCCAGTAGATGACATAGACGGCCACGACGAGGATGAAGGAGATGCAGAAGAGAATGGTGTTGGCGTACTGCAGATTCTTGCCCGTCTCGGCGCCGACATTGGTGAAGAAGGGAACGGCGGGCAGCGTGAGAACACCAGCAAGGAAATCGCGAGACCAGCCGTTACCACCAGTGGCCGAGGCCGAGTATGGACCGTAGGCGCAGATCATGTAGTCGATGGTGGCCATGTAGATGGCGTAGTTGGCAATACCGATGATGGCAGCAAAGATCATGGAGCCGATCCAGTGGATGTTGGGGTTGCCTACGGTCCAAGCAAAACCAATCAAGCCAATGGGCAAGCAAGGGACGGTGTAGAGCAAGAACCACAGGCGAGACTCGTACTGCGCGCGCTCATCGTTGGGCTTGGCCTTGCGCTCGGCAATGTTGCGCTTGATGGCGGGGATGAACAGCAGCCAGGCGAGGAAGTAGCCGATACCAATGGGGATAAAGGCAAGGCCAATCTGGTATGTCTGGAAGTCCCAGACCTCGTAGACGAGGCCAAAGGACTGGATGAACATGAAGATGAGGGCGTCGGAGAAGCCGGAGAGCAGCGACAAGACAAGCACAATGGGCTCGGTCAGGAACATCTTGAAGGGGCGGATCCAGGTGATGAGGACCTCCTTGACAGAGAAGCGGTCGCGGAAGGGCACCAGCTCGTCGGGACCCCAGATGTTGGCGCCGGTAGCCTCACGGCGCTTCTTGGCGATGCGGTTCATGAGGATCGTGGTTCTCGTTTCGGGGACGGTGAAGAAGTGCAGGGCCTGGACGGCGGCGCCAAAGATGAGCTGGATCCAGATGCACCATCTACGTTTCACCCACGTTAGCATTTTCTAGGTATGATGATGAGTATAGTGGATTTCAATCTTACCTCCAGTTGTCGACAAACTGCTCGACAAAGCCACCGACAATAGGGCCCAAGACAGAGCCACCAACCGAAGAAAACACAACATATGCCACGGCATACTGTTGCTTATCGGCCTCAAACAAGTCGGCAATCATGCCCAGCGTGACAGAACCACCGGCGGAGCTCAGACCGCCGAGGGCACGTCCAACCATGACGGTAGCAAAGTTTTGGGCCAAACCAACAGGGATCTGCCAAATGTTCACAAGGAACAGCGAGAGCTGGAGCACTGGCCAGCGACCAAACTCCTCAGACCACGGCGCCCAGAGCTCACAGCCAAAGGCGTAGAGCACAAGGAAGATCATGGCACCGCAGCGGGCACCCTGCGCGGACAATCCGGGAAAGTGACCGGGGTCGTTGATCATGCCAGTAATGGCATTGGAGTAGAGCGACGTGTTGAAGTTCATGGACACCTGCACCCAGAAGATGACAGTCAGGATGTACCACTTCTTCCACTTGGGGAAGTTGTAGCCCAGCTCATCGTAGCAGTCATCCTCGGTGATCTCGTACTTGTCGTACGTGCCCAGCTTCTCAAGATTCCCGGCGCCATTCTCGTTGGCCGTGTTGGCCTTTTCAATGCCGGGCGATGAGGAGCCGTCATCGCCAGAAGCTTTGCCTGAAGCCTCTGCACCAGCAGAAGCCGCTCCCTCGGCGGCCTTTTCGTCCTTTAGGCGCTCATTGGCAAGATCCAGATCCTTCTGGTTGAGCACCTTGGGCGGGTCCTCGGAAAAGTGCGTCGTCCCCTTTGCCATGTCTGTCTGCAGATAGCCGTTTTCGTTATCTCTGTGGAGGAATGTAGTAGCAGGCTGTTGTCGCGTGCTCAGTGTCGATCGACGACAAAACGGTCTTGTTTACTTTGCTTCCTTTTCTCTGGGGAAGATAAGGAGAAGAAAATAAAAAAGAGAGGAGAAAAAGATAAGAGAGGGGACGGGCAGGGTTTTTGTTGAATGCGACAGTGAAGCTTATACTCTACCGGGGGGGCAAGTGGGTGTGAGACAGCTTAGCGTGCCCGCCAAGAAGGGAAAAAATACCAGTTAATCTTTCTCTTCTTTTGTTTCCGGGCTCGCAATGATGCGCTAAACCAATTCTGCAAAAGAGCCTTGTTTTGGTGCTGTTGTTTGGGGTGTTCCCACTTGGTGACATCATGGGTTTTCCCCAAAACACGAACTAGAGTTTTTGGGCGACTTCCACTTTTTCTAGGCTTCCGGATTCTGCGGCTTTGCAGGCCATTGGACGAAACTGTGCTTCCCATCCCTTGTAACCTACGTCAGTTTTCTCAATTGGCTGCTCTACTGTACATTCATCCAGCATCCATCATACGACACCGCCCACACAAACACACACACCTCCTTGTCCTCCTCGTCTTTTTTAGTCTATAAGCTAAAGCTGTCCTGTTGCTGGTTGTTTGCCCCCTTCTCCATCTAGTTGGCCTCCGCATCCGCTAAAAAATAGAGCCGGGCTCTCTTGGCCTTTGCTCTACGCGGATTAGCGTCTCCCATGATTTTCGGTCCTCGCTGACAAGAGGGGTTGCATTGAGCCCATGTAGTCTGAAATGTTCCGCATCTTCCCCCATATTCGTCTAATTAGCCTACCTGCAGTGATACCCTTGCGCTTTCTCGGCGCCTTTTCTGCTTAATATGACGTCTTTGCATCTGCCCGACGCCCGTGATGTCCTCACCTCCCGCTTTCCGGCGTTTTCCTGGCTTGGCCGATCGCCTTGCTTCCTTCACCTTGTCAAGCCGTCATCTCCCCTCTTCCCGTCGTGTTGCCGGCCGTCAGCATCATCTGGGCGCCGGCAACTTGGCTAATGCGACGCTAGCAAGGGTTGGTGGCCGATCGGGTTATGTGTGGCTTGCCCTTGGCGTCTTCTGACGGGCTAGAGCTCCGCTTTCGCCGTAAAGTGGCAGCTCACGATTCGCGGAATCCAAGATGGTGCGATGCCGGTGGCTAGCTAACAGCAGCCAGAAAGAAGGTTACCTGGCTGGATGGATGGATAAGCTGAGACATGCCAGTGGTATGGTTGCCGCCAGCAGTAGTCTCAGTTAGTGTCTTTCTCATGTTGTTATCGTAGATTTGCTTGCTATGTATTTATCCAAGCTACCTGAGCGCCAACATACGAGCAACCGGCAAGAACCCATGGCGACTTGTCGGAGCTTGAAGTACCGTGGGCAAAGGGAAGGTCAACGTGTCGGGCAAATCGAACCAAGTCTTTCAAGGCATTATCCACATTCCGCAGCCGCAGCGTCGCTGCGGTCAGCGTGTTGTACGGGGAGCTCTTGCCGAAATATCGATGCTAGGGGACAACATTGGCTCCTTTATTGTCTTGGCCGTATACACCTACAAGCGTTTTGTTGTTGATATATCCCAAAGATCCTTCTGCGTCAAACTCTCCCGGCACGTTGAGGATGATTGGGGAAGCTGGGCCCGCGTAGAATTCAGCATTGTACCAATATCTCTGTTTGAACGTGCCTAGCTCTGGCTTGTCATGGTCAATGAGCTGGTCAAATATGCCAGCAATGATTGGGTGTAAATGAGGCTACTAATTATTTTCAATATGCTATCCTGTCGATGTGGACAATTCGGTGGGTTTTAATACACACATCCGCCGGATTGGGCGCTGATTCATAGCCCTTGTAGATACCCCATAAAATAAGGGTAGCTGAATATCTCAGTAATACATATGCTGCAGAGACGTGAGTAATGTGTACTGCACGTGGTAAGTGGCGTATATGTATATAGACTTTTATCACTTTCTAGTGGTACGATAGAATGGTATTGGATGACATTCTCTCACGGGTTCTCATAGAATAAAGGCATACGTAGCTACATAGAGAGCTTCAACTACATTATCTACTTGTTTAAGGACAAAGATGTATAAGAAAATAGAAACAACAGCAGTAGATTCGTGTTACAATTTCTATGGGGTATATACTAGTTGGTACACAAGAACAAGTACACCCCGTAAATGGGTATCTTTCAATCAATATTCTTTTAATAACAATACGAGATGATGCTCTGCTAGAACGGGCAGCCACTCGATTACATGCCTCAGAATTGTCCTCCAAATCCCAACCAATCTGATTCCGGATCCGGCATTCTCATAGATTGATCCGCCTGTAGCTGCTGCTGTAGCTGTTGCTGTTGCTGTGCCTGCGGCGGCGACTGCGACAGACTCGACTGGCCATTGACGGCGCGGGCCACGGGCTCCGATACCTTGGGATAGTTGAAAAAGTCAAAGACGTCAATATTGTCCAACTCACTTAGAGAGGTACTCTGCGTCGACGTTTGCTCAATACCAGATTGGCGCGTCGATGCCGTGAGGGTCACCAGACCATGGGCGCTGCGTCGCATTGCCGTAAAGTTCATGTCGCCCTGTCTTGCGCGCTGGACGACTCTAGCCAGGATCTTGGCGTAGTTGTTCGCAACGTCCCAGTATTTGCCGACATGGCCTAGGATTTCGATAAAGAATTCGATGCGCGGGTCGACGGGACATCCGATAGTGGCGGCGTGGACAAGCAGCAGGCGAGCAGCTACCCATAGCGAAAAGACAAAAGGCGGGCCAAGGATATCCAAGCCGCTAGCTTCGTATACATCTTGCGCGATATCTCCCAGACTTTGTACGGCGGACAAGCACCGCTGCATAGCGTAGTGCGACGGCACAAACAGCGATGAACGGACTGTTGGATATGCTGCTGAAGAATGTAAACGCACAACAGCAGTCACGTAGGCGCTATGTAGCATGAACCAGTTGGCTACACGGCTTGCCGGGTCCGAGTGGCAGAGCGCCGAGATCTTGCTGTAGTCGCCAGGGAGTCCGCGCAGCCAGGTATCCAAGGCGCTGTCGAGCGCTCGATAGTTGTTTCGCCAAGTTGCCATTTCGGATTGGGAGGTGATATCGACTGGCTGCTTGAGAAAGTCGTGGACCTTGCTGAGAATACGGAGGATTTCGCAGTGGTACGAGAAACTCCCCAGATTCTCAGGTCGGTTGATTGTCAGTCCAGCTGCACCATGTTGCTCCGAGTTCCATGCCCATGCTCTCGTTTCAACGGGGACGTCTCGAGAGAACAAGTCGTAGGAGCAAGGAAGCATACGCTTCATCTTGGTATCGTCGAGCATGAAATCGAATGTCGTCGTAGCTAGCGTGGCGTATCGGTCCAGCAGATACACCATCCAGCATAGTCGGCGTCGGCCCTCGTCTTCAATCCACGATGACGGGCTGTCAATCGCAACTCTTCGTATGGAGCCTGTCTGTGGGGTATCTTCGTCGGTATCTACAGACAGGAAAATGCTGCTTTCCTCGCATAGCCCAAGCTGCCGCACGTTCTGTGCCAGGATGGCCAGGAGGTTCCACCCTTTGGGGCCGTTGGAGGTACCGAGCTCGTCCAGACAAACAATGACAAGTGCTCGTAGCGCTTCAACGTTGGCATTGTCCATTGCATATAGTTGGACTGCTTGTCGTGATACCGCGTGGTAGTGCGACCGCATCTCGGGAGAGAGTCTGGGGTCCTTGAGAAATCGGAGAGTGGTGGCGACAATGGCGTGCAGCAGAACGCGGTCTGCTTCGTTGAGAGACGTCGATCCAAAGAAGACGCTAAAGGTAGTTTTTCTGTCGAGAATCGGACACCAAGTATTACAGTGCTTAAAGTACAAGTCCACCAGGGTGTAGACAATATCCTGGGGAGGCAAATCTGAACCAGCAGATAGCGATGATGGGCCTCGCCTCATACCGCCAAACGCGGGCGGCGGCAAGGAAGTCGGTGGAAAACCGCTGTCGACCATGGAGATGGATGACCGCGGACCACCAGGCTGAGATCTGTGTGGTGTATCATGATCGTCGTATCCCTGGCTTCCCGCACCACCTTGCGCCGTAGGGGTATGTCGAGAAGTGCTTCCTGGGCTCGCACGGCTGCGTTCTGAGTGAGCAGGCGGTGGCGGATTGCTGATGGCTGGCGACAAGGTCTGCGCTGGATCACTGTGTCCTTGCGCGATATGTTCTTCCACGCGACGACCGAGCGTCTGAAGCAGAGCATCGATGCGGTTCACCTTGGCCTCTAGCTCAAGACTGAAGCCAATTCGGCTGCCTGGCTTCTGTCGCTCCAGGTACACGCAATTGCGGTTGTGTCTAGCGCACCATGAGCAAGCGGGCTCAGCGCGATCGCACTTGACTTTGCGTGCTTTACACAGTTCGCATCTTTACGAGGGATCAAAGTTAGCAAGAAATTCCAGTACTTGATACCCCCAGCAGGGCGGAGCAGCAGAGAAGATCAGATGACAAGCTCTCTCTCACACAGCTTATCCAAATGATAAACTCCGGGGGGGGGGGCAGGGCAGGGAGCGGGACACCAAGCGCATGCACTTACGAAGTCTTTTGATACTTTCCCCTCTTGCGCTTCTTACGAGGGTGCGCGGAGTCTGTCGACCCATGGTTGATAGTCTCCTCGGCACTGGAGCCATCGTCCTGCTCTTCTTGGCTGAGAGCGGGATTTGGATCCTCGTCCTCGGGCATTGTGATAGCGAGATGAGGCGAGCAAGTGAGGTGATGGAGACAATGGGGACTACGGTGTGTGCCGGGGCGCAGGGTGGGTTTGTTTGACTGCGCGTCTGCTGACTGATAGATAGATTGATAGATTACCTGCAGCAGCGACAGCAGTAGCAGTAACAGATAGATAGATAGGAGATGGAGTGATCGGGATGAATGAATGCGAAATGGGCAGAGAGAAGAGAGCGAAGAGCGTGGGGCGAAGGGTCCAGACCGAGTTGAAGAATAGCCTTTGTCAGTGCGACTCGCTAGCAACTCGTGACGTTTTGACCGAGTCCAATTAAAACAATGGGAAAAAGTAAAATTCCAAAGAAAACAACAATCGAACTTTTTTTTGCCTTTCCGGGGGCGGGCGGGCGGGCGGACAGCAGCACGTTGCGTGGTGGTGGCGCTGTAGGCAGGCTGGGCTTTACTGGAGGGGAGTAGCGCAGGATCTTGATGGCGGAAAACAGGGATGCTAATTAGAGGAGGGGGGGGGGGGGGGGGGGGCGGACAGCAGCACGTTGCGTGGTGGTGGCGCTGTAGGCAGGCTGGGCTTTACTGGAGGGGAGTAGCGCAGGATCTTGATGGCGGAAAACAGGGATGCTAATTAGAGGAGCAGCAGCCTGTTTTGGGATTCAGCAGCAGCAGCGGCAGCAGCTGCCATTTGGGGGGGGTTAGGTTAGAGGGCGACTATTTTCTGCGACGGTTGCAAAAAGTGTTCGAGAAGAGGTTGTAGAAGGGACGGTTGGGCGGCTGGGTAGCGGGAGTTGCTCGGTGTTTAGCAGCGTGGTGCTCGGAAGTGAAACCCCGAAATCTCCGGAGCTGTTGTCCTAATTGGGAATTAACACAGGGTTTAGCCGTTTGCTGCTTTGGGCGACCGAATGCTGTTTTTTTAGGTGGTGCGAGTGCTGTATTTGTTTGTTCCCACTGTAACATTCAACCAACTGAAAAACAGACAGCAGAAACGGCAGGATTAAAGAAGAACAAGAAAATAGAAAAGAAAAAAAAATGGAGCGCAACACTGTGAAATTACACTTACGCATCATGTGTAATTTATTACTTCTTTTTTGTTTTTTTAATTCTTAAAATAAATATCACAGTGACGGGCGTCATGCATGAAGCCCATGCGCTGCACTGCACTGCAACCTATGCCACCGCCCGGCATATAGCCAGCCAGCAACAAACACAATCTGTCTTTGCGTTTCTGTCTTGAGATTATGCTTGCCCGTCTTTGATTCCTTCACCACGGAAAGAAGCATAACCGGCAGTAGCAGCAGTCTGTGCTTGTTGTTCTTGTTTGTTGGGACGAAAACCCACAGACCAGATGCTGCTCCAAACGCCCACAGCCAGCCTGCCGCGCGGTCTCGGTGCTCTTTTTTCTTCGTTACCGCAGTACGGCGATCGAGTTGAAAAAGGAAATGACAGCTTTTGAGGCTGCTTATTGGACCTGGGGAAATTGGTTTCCCTTCCCTCGTGGCCAACCGCCGCCTCGTTTGCGGGGTATTATTACACAAGACAACCAACAACTTGTAGTAATACAGATGCAACTCACATGCGAAGGCTTCAGTTCGTTGCAAAAGTCACTCTATGAACAAAATCAAAGCTACATAGAACCTAACCCAATTATGAAACCATCAACTCGTTTCACCATCGCGGCTCTGCACCATCTAAAGTGGCAAGCAAGCAAGCAGCTCGCTCTACAACCCAAGCTTCCTCTCTTGTCTCGTTCCGCCACGGGCCGGGGAATGAGACGGCGGCGCTTCGACCAACAACGGGCCGAAAGGCTAGCTTGCTGGTTGGCAGGTTCCAATTATATCCCAGACCACATGCGCATATGCAAGGGCCATGTTTCGGTCCCAGCTTGCCCGTTGCCCCGACTTTCCTCCTTCAGCCCAGTAAATACGCCTCCGTGCTGGCACAGCAAGCAAGCGATGTCCGCAATAGGAAACAAATACGGTGCCAGGGGACAACGAACGACAACGTGGCGGCGACGGTGAGGGAGGCGAATGACCAAAAAACCTCCTCGCAGCAGCAACAGCCCCATCACCGCTTCTCTGGCTACCCATTGGCCGCTCCTGAAGATGAGACTTGCTTCAGCTTGACAGGCCATGCTTGCTTGATTGCTTGCAGATAGCTAGCTAACTAGCTAGGTGGATAGATATCTGCCAAGCTGGGCCAAGCTAACCAGCTCGAGCTATTGGCCCGACGGCAGCGTGAACCAGTTCCTGCCGTGGCCATATAGCTTCTCATGCGTGGCGCTCGTCTTCGGCAGCCCATCCTCATAGCGCAGCCGATATTCCGAAGATCCGTACGTGGGATAGTCGTAGGATGAAGGCAGCCCGTCGTTGTCTTCGTAGTAGTCACGTCTCAGGCGAAAGCTCTCGTCCTTGTCGGCGGGCTGCCATCTCCACTTGGAGCCATAGAGCTTGTAGTAGAGCTGGCTGGAGGGGGGCAAGTCTGTTTCGGAAATATCAAAGTCCGTCATAAAATTGTACTTGCGTTCCTTTTCCTTCTTGGCTGGCCGGTAGAGCTCCAGATCCTGCGTGCAGCGTGGCGCGCAATATGGATCTCTGCGCCGCTGGCCGATAGATGAACAAATCGGTAGATCATCCTCGTCCTCAGAATCGTAGTCAGATTCATCCTCATCGTATTTCTCCAATCCCAGAGTGAGCCCCTTGGACCTGAGGTATCCATCGTACGTGTCCGTCTTGTCCAACAGCGGGGGATACTCGTCTTCGCCATAGAAGTAGCGATCCTGGCTGCGAAAGTCCCGTAGCGTCTCATCCCACAGACGAGACCTTGACCATAACTGTAAGCCGCCGTGAGTTTTAGCCAGGCTTCGTTTAAAGTATTTTCCACGCCCGTAGTCCTCGTCAAACAGGCTACTGCGGCGCAGGTTGTGGGTGCTGCCGCGACAAGCCATATCTGACAGCTCCGATATATATGAGCTGCCACGACTGACACTGCGTCTCTTGGATCGAAGATACATCATTTTTGGTGAGATTGTAAATATGATTATGACGAAGAGAAGAAATTCACATTTCGATTTGGGGACAGCAGAGGGGTATTCTAGGCAGATCCAGCGACAGCATGACTTCTGGGAGGCTCAGCCCGGCCAACTTTGCCGGCCATCTTGCATCAGCTGCGATAAACGACCAGTTCATGCGCCCAAGGCTATTTACACCGTGATCCCTGGCCAAAATAGGCATCACTATTGACCGCCTCTCGGTGAAGGGTGAGGCCGTGGAACCCAGCGCTTAGCTGGTGAGAGGTCAAAATCGGCTGAAACTCGGCGCGTATGCGACCATGTTGGCCGGCGCTTGCATGCATCAACCCGACACAATGGTAACAAATAAGCAAAACGAACAAGACAATCACTTCATCAAGGCAGGTGTACTTGTTTTAAAAATAAAAATGTGTATTTCATTCCACGTCACTGCTTTCCTACAGGCAAGCTAATAAAGATGCAATCCAAGAAAAGGCAAAACAAAAGCGCAATCATCCAAAAGTTCGTAATAGTACATTGCCAAAACGACGGCATGTTTAGTTGGCCCATCCCTTGCTCATTTGAACAGCCTTCTCCCAGCGGGCGAAGCGACTGTCAGCATCCTCGGCGGTAATGGCGGGCTTGAAGGTGGTGCGGCCCTCGGTGTTGACACCCTTGAGGTCGTCAAAGTTCTCCCAGACACCAACAGCCAGACCGGCAGCAATAGCAGCACCGAGGGCAGTGGTCTCGCGCATGGCAGGGCGGATGACGGGAATGCCAATCAAATCGGACTGTGTCTGCATAATCAGATCAGAGTTGGACATGCCACCGTCGACAGCGAGCTCGGTAAGAGCTTGGCCACTGTCCTTGGCCATGGAGCTAAGAATGGCCTTGGTCTGGAAGCAAGTAGCCTCAAGCGTGGCACGAGCAATGTGACCGCGCTGGGTGTAGGCGGTGATACCAAAGAGAGTACCACGGGCATCGTCGATCCAGTAAGGGGCGAAGAGGCCGCTGAAGGCAGTGACGAAAGTAACACCACCGTTGTCCTCGACGGTCTCAGCGAGAGCGCTGAGTCTGGTAGAATCCTCAATGAAGCCAAGGTTGTTGACGAGGAACTTGATGGAGGAGCCGGCGACAGCAATGCTGCCCTCGAGGGCATACATGGTCTTGCCAGGGCCAAAATCGAAGGCGACGGTGCTAAGGAGGCCGTTCTTGGAAATAACGGGCTTGGGGCCGACATTGTACAGCAGGAAGCAGCCAGTGCCGTAGGTGTTCTTGGCAAGACCGGGGGTGAATCCCTTCTGGCCAACAAGGGCGGCAGACTGGTCACCAAGGCAGCCGGTGATCTTGACACCCTTGAGCAGGGTGTTGGCAAGGCTACCATAGGCCTCAGGGTCTGAAGAGCGGACAATCTTGGGGAGGAGGACCTTTTCGCGGTCGATGCGGAACCAGTCAATGAGGTCGTGGTCGTAGTCGAGGGTCTCGAGGTTCATGAACATGGTGCGGGAAGCGTTGGAGGGGTCGGAGACGTAGACGTTGCGGGCAGTGCCACCGTTGAGCTTGTAGGCCAACCAGGCATCGACGGTACCAAAGGCAAGGTCACCGCGCTCGTAAGCAGCCTTGACATTGTCGTCGTTTTCAAGCAACCAGAGCAGCTTGCTGACGGAAGGGTATGTAGACAGGGGCAGACCGCAGCGAGCAGTGAGCTCGGATGCCCCAAGGCGGTTCTTCAGACGACGGACAAGCTCCTGGGAGCGAGTGTCGGTCCAGACAATGGCATTGTGGAGAGCCTTGCCGGTGGTCTTGTCCCAAACAATAGTAGTCTCGCGCTGGTTGGTGATGCCGACGGAAGCAATCTGGCTGCGGGAGTGGCCCTGCTTCTCAAAGGCCTCGACAGCACCGTCAATGCAAGTCTCGACGGAGCTAATAATCTCCTCGGGATCATGCTCGTGCCATCTGTAGGAAGTGGTCAGCAACTCATTCCATTGAAATTTAAGCTTTTGCGGCGGCGAAGCCAGCGACGACAGCGCAATGCGCGCCGAACCCCAATACATGGCGGGGGCGGGGTTGCACTGAGGGGGAGCCGTCGCAAAGGCAAGACGACGCAGACTATGAGGATTGACTTACCCTGGCTGGGGATAGTACTGCTTGAACTCAAGCTGGTGAAGCGCAACGACCTCACCACTTGTGTTGAAGATGAGGAAGCGAGTGCTGGTGGTGCCCTGGTCAATGGCACCAACAAAGGACGGGGAAGACATGGTGGCGCGAGCTTTGTGGAGAGTGCGAGAAACAAGCTTGGAGATCATGCAAGGTAAAGGAAGAAGAGAAAGAGTCCAAGACGGCGAATTGCTCGGACGGTGATGGTAGCAAGAAAGTGTAGAATGAGGAGGAGAGGAGAATGAGAAAGTGGGAAAGCGACGAGAGAAATATGGCTGCCAGCTGTCAGAAGTGCCCAGCACCAGCTGGCGCTGCCCGTTTTTAACATGTGGACTGGCAGCAGCAGCGAGCAGCCGTGCAGAAGGGTGGGAGGGTCACTGACGCAACCACCTCCGCACTACGGACGGCCGCTGGAGCTATGGGCGGGGGAAAAAACGAGGCGTTTTGCTGGTTCCAGGGGTCGCCGGCCACCTCCATGGGGTTTCTCCAGAACAATTACAGAAGGCCAGCGGGCTTCCGGGCGCCACTGCGGCGTTGTTGGCAGCCACCGTCTGTCCGGCGCCGCCAAGGGGGGGGTTTTCCTGCGGGGACTGCGGGTTGTTCTGCAAGGTCTGCTGCCACAGCGAAGTTTTCCAGTCCCAAAGACACACGCCCCCAAATTCCCCTCTTGTTTAGCACCGTATGGTTGGTGGCATTTTTAGATGAAGTCTAAAGGAAACTTCCATCCAACGCGGCTAGCTACAGGTCATGGCACTCCAATGTGGCGCCGTTAGAGCATCTACTGGCGCAGCCGACGCAGCGTTACAACACAGGGCTCAATGCATGAGCTGAGGCCTAGAACTGCACATGTACGACACACGGCTCGCGGCCCAGCCTCGTCAAACAAAGGTACTGTGCTGCAGGTTCCCCAAATTCCAGCAGCAGTAGTGTGTAGCCTGTGGGGAAGCTTGCTGCTTTCTTTCGGCGCTGAGATCCTCATGAGGAATGGCCTGCCGCGGCTGCAGAACGCCTTGTTTTACGATTTGCTGCTGCTGTCTCAAAGGCAAGCACATGCTCCGAGGCCAACTAATAGTTGGGGGCCTTTGTTCCTTGTGATGAGACAGTAGGCAGGAGAGAGGCAGAGGCTAATACATTGGACGAACATTGTTCCCTGAATGGATGCGACGGAAGGGAATGCTTACCTATCCCATTTGCTCGCTAATCCGGAAAAAAAGCTACAAGAAAAAAAGCAAATCGTCACTTGATCCATTTGGCTTGCAACTGTTGATCGCATTCTTCTCGCTCCCGACACCCCGAAAACCCCTTGGAACCGCTTGGTCCCGTCTTCGCCGTGTGTTCTGGAAGCGAGCTCACTTACCACCGCCGTTGAGGCACCGGCCGGCGATTCTGGCAGGCCGGGAGGGTCCCTGGCGAGATCCGCTTTTTCTCGGTGTCGGGAACCCCGAGGTGCTTTACAGAAAGGGTCTCCATTACCCTGAAAAACGTGTCGGTGCGGTCTCGGGTATCAGCAAATTGGATACACTATCGAAAGGCGTTGCAAATAGATGAAGATGGTTTGCATGAATGATTTGCCGTTTGATTTAGGCTCTATGTGGATAATTGATGATGTGCTAGACAGGGTATCACTAAAGAGATGCGATGGTATATCACCCCGGCTTTTGAAGTGCTTGAGTCCATTGCCATTGTCCTTCGGCATTACTGGAACCGTTTTTAACCTCTATTCCATACCACCATACAAGACGGACGTGGACTCCTGTTATAGAATGCACAATGGCGCAGAGATGCTATTGCTGCTTCGGATCGCATATACCGCCATGGCTGTTTAGAGTAGCCGCATCGCTAAATGAGGCTGCTTTGGAGGCTTGTCGGCAGTGTACACCGAACGCGGCAGATTGTTCAACTGACGGTGACATTTCACCGAACTCAATTGACAATTTGGAAACATGGCGTGGAACTGTGTCAATACGATATTGCGGCGCCTCTTGGACTTGCCTCGTTCTTGGAGTATATTGTGCCCTCGTGATCCATCACAAGCCCAATGGCGCTGTGCGGATGGTGCTGGAATCCCTATCAGGTCTCTCCATAAGCGAGGTCAATAGGCTCATTGTGCTTAATTCATTTATATACAAAGTCCAATTTACCGCGCGCCAACGAAGGGTTGCCGCCTCTCTGCTAGTGTAGCAGCAACCACCACAGCACACAATAGGCCTAGCCAGGTCCCTCCCCCCAGTAGACGCCACAGCAGACGCCGCTGCAGAAAACAGGACGATACCCCACTGGTTCGGTCCACCGGTTCGTTCAATGTATTTTTTTGCGGGCGGGTGGGCAGTGGGGGAGGGACAGACGTTGGAGAAGAGCAAGAAACAGATTCATTTTACTATGGGATTTTTTTTTTTCAATCCACGGGATGGGCCCCGGGGACCGGTCTGGACCCCCCATCATGTCATGCCGGATTTGGAGTTTGACAAAGGCGAGCCGACGGGGTAAATTCAATGGCAGCAAGCAGCATGGGGAATTTTTTTCACAAAGTCGATGTTTGCTGGTCAGCGTCTAATTTCATGGTACTTGGCCATCTCGGTGTAAGTATCCCGGAGGCTTTGCAAAGGGTTGTTTTATTTACCCCGCGATTTGCAACAGAGTGAGCGCCTCAAGTGTTTCTATTTTGCCACAAGGGGGCTGGGCGCCCATCAGCCACTGGCCTACCTGTCAGGAAATAAGCTAGAAAGAAAAAGCGTCTGCCTAGAAAAGAAGCCTGAGTCGTGGGTGGTGGCGGCGCTGGTGTGCTGGTGTGCTGGCAAACGGTGCGGCCAGGCCGGGGTGGCGCATACTTTTTTGTTTTAAGCATTGTTGCCAAAGTGAGATCGCCTGGGCAGTGGTGGGGGGGATTGCTGCTGCTTTACAGGGGGCGGTAGCGAGGGGGCTGCACCCAGCAGCCAACGAGTGCAGCAGAGGAGGGGGCCAGAGGACATGGGGGTGTGTTTGCGCGCTGTGGGTGGGAAACGGGTGGCTGGCCTAGGCTGGAAAAGGGCCGAAGTAGCAGCCGTGGCCAGGGCTGGTAGCGCGGTGCTGGGCAGTTTTGGAGATGGATGCAGAATATAAGAAGACAAATTCAATGGTTGAACAGGATGGTAGAGACTCCATGAAGAGAATCCAATTGTATACCAAGAGCCAAACAAAAACTGAAACCAATGGCATTGGCCACTCGGGTGCATCGGTGACGCCTCGATCCATGTTCCATGCTGATGATGCAATGCAACGCCCTGTATTTCTTGTACTTGGTCGCCTGACAACCCTGCTGTAGCCGCTGTGCTGTGTGGTTCAGTGGGCGCACGAGTGAAACTTGCCGGCGTGGCCGCCACTGAAAACCCCGACCCGGGCTTTTAAGCACCGCGTAGGCAGACAAACAACTGCTTAGTGAGAAAAGAATGGGCAAGTTCCAGTTATTGTTTTCCAGGTAATTTGTTTGCGTAGTCATTTGATCCTTTCCATTGCCTATTGCAGCTTCCAATGGCAATTTCCGCACGGCGCCTCGTTAATTCTCCGTTCTAGTGGTCGTGTGCTGGTTCTATTCTTCTTCGTCTGCAACGCTCGATCACCTTTTTCTGTGGCGGTGGCTTTTTCTGTTTCCTACACCTAGCCTGCTTTCCCTGCAACTACCACAGACCACAACGGGCTTTTGATTTGCCTGCTTGTGCAGCTTCAGCTTTCTTGTCTCGTTCCTTCTTTGTTGCTCTCGGTCTGGGCGACCCCGAAATTCTCCCTGTTTTCATTTTCCCCGTTCTCTCTTTTTCCCTTTCGCAGCAGCCCTATTTGGTCCCCTAAGCAAGAAAGCTCCGATATCCGTTCGATCCCTAGAGAATTCCCTGTTGTCCATATCCTACTCGTATATCCATCTCCGGGCGGTGTTGTGATTTCCAAGCATCGTCACCAGACCTAAGAAACCATCGTCATTGCCCTATAACTCCTTTGTTGTCTTCTCTCTTCCCTGATAAAAGAGTTACCAGCGCCCCTCTCGAATCCTTTCTCGGGCCCCTCCTCCAACAAACGCCGAAAAAACGACACACGGTCCGTTCCCTGCTCTCATCGCCAACATTCGCAAGCCTGGTACTGTACGACTGCTGCATCAAAACCGACGCCACAACTCGCGAGGCTTGCATTTGCTTACCGACCTCGTCCCATTCCGCGCTGGCCTCGCCCGTCAAAACCACGCTAGCTCTGCAAGCAATTCCACCCCATCGTACAGCAGCGACCCGCTTGGCATTGAGCCACCGGAGCTTGTTACCAAAAGGCTTAGCCTAGTCGGCCGACTAGCCCAGAAAAAAAAGAAGGGAAAAAAAAATCCAGAACGACTGAATTGTGTGGAGGAACACCAAGTCGCTGCTGCGCTGCGCTGTGCTCGCCGTCGTCGCATCGCTAAGGCCGGACCACCTCCATCCCCAAATCGCACACCCCTCCCCTCACCCGCGCGCTCTCTCACCCTCCTACTCATTTTCCCCATTGTGCCTTTTTTAACCTTGCCGGTCCCCTCCTCCGCCTTTTGCTTCGCCTTCGTTTACCAGCAAGAGAAAATCAACCAGGCTGCGGGGTTCGCTTCAACGGTCGTCTTGTTCTTGGCCTCCACGTGGAATCGTCCAAACCATATTAAGCTCACCTCTCCCCCCCATCCTCTCACTCCCCCCCGAGTTGCACCACAGATCGACATCTCACATCTTCCTCTCTCACTTGTCTTCCCTTCTACCTCCCCTACCATTCCCTTATGTCGGTTCAGCCCAACAACATCGACTCCATCTCGGTCTCGTCCGCAGACAAGGTTGTCACCATCCATAACATTGACATGGCCTCGTCCTCTACGCAAGAGGCTACGCTGCCTCCCGTCATGGACGAAAAGCAGGAGCTTGCCTGGAGCAAAGTCCGCTCCGTCTGGTCCGATGCCTTTTCCGAGTTCTTTGGTACCATGATCCTTATTCTCTTTGGTGTCGGTTCCGTTTGCCAGGTTGTCCTGTCCAAGGGTACCAAGGGCGACTACCAAAGTATTTCTTGGGGTTGGGGGTAAGTTGATAATCCGCTGATTGAAGGAAAATCGAAGTCGCTAACAATCTTGCTTCTTTAGCATTGGTGTCATGTTCGGCTTCCTCGTCGCTGGCAAGTCTGGCGGCCACCTCAACCCTGCCGTCACCTTTGCCAACTGCCTCTACCGCGGCCACCCATGGCGCAAGTTTCCCGTCTACGCCCTGGCCCAACTCCTGGGAGCCATGACTGGCGCTGCCATTTGCTACGCCAACTACCGCTCAGCCATTGATACCTTTGAGGGCGGCGTCAACATCCGCACTGTTGGTGGTGATAACTCCACCGCTGGCCTGTTTTGCACATACCCTGCTCCCTTCATGAGCCGCACTGGCATGTTCTTCTCCGAGTTTATCGCCAGCAGCATTCTCCAGATTGTCATCTTTGGCTTGACCGATGCCGACAACTTCAACGGCCCCCACATGAGCCTGTTCCCTCTGTGGCTCTTCTTCCTCATCTTTGGCATTGGTGCTTGCTTCGGTTGGGAGACTGGTTACGCCATCAACTTGGCCCGTGACTTTGGCCCTCGTCTCGTCACCTACATGATTGGCTACGGCCACGAAGTCTGGTCTGCCGGCGGCTACTACTTCTGGGTAAGCTTCTTGTTGTTCTTATGTGGGAACCTCTGTACTAACGCTATTTTGATAGATCCCTATGGTGGCTCCCTTCTTTGGCTGTGCTTTCGGCGGCTTCCTGTACGACACCTTCATCTACACTGGCGAGAGCCCCATCAACACCCCTGCGCTCGGTCTTCCTCGTCTCTTCCAGCCCCGCCGCACCGTGTGGTCCAACACATATAAGGCCAAGGTCAATGGAGCTGTCTAAGTCGTTGGTTGTGTTGAAGAATGATGTATATATATCATGGTGTGGGGGCTGTGGCTGAGTGTGCTATATCCAGCATCTGATTCGGGGATGAGCAGCATGTGCATGGATGAAAGATTGTGTTTAGCGGAGCATTTTGTCGTTTCTTTTTGGCGTTCTTTTTCTGTACAGTATTCTATGGGACATTGACTAGAGATGAGCGATGACTGTCATTTTATTATCAAAGCATTTTCCTATGAGCCACCACCGTTCACATGATGCGCCTTTGTAAAAGTGTTGGCGTTTTTGTACTATGATAGCATTCCTGCTATAGGCAGAGAAGAGCGGCTACGGCAGGAGAAGCCACTTGGTCTACTCTGCTTTAACCGCTAACTATGAAAATATGGCGTAAAGCAAAAGACACGACTTTAAGGAACTGTGACATGTGATGTCTAAAAAAAAAATCAGAGAGGCTAGAATGGAGCCATTGGCACCACTGTGGCGTTTGTTATAGGAGCAAGGAAGAGATGGGACGACAGGAGACAAGAAGCGATGGAGACGACAGCTGCCGCAAGTCATGTTGTATGTGGACTTGTAGTGGAGTCTCTAAAACCTTTTAAAAACAAATTGGCGAACAAAGAGCAAAATGACTTGCATGTTCTGCATTGTTCTCGGTGTCAGTCTGCAACCATTTCCCTGTTTTGTGCCCTGCGCTACCAGCCGTTGGAGACGACGGGCCGGGAGTGGGCTGGCAGGCAAACGAGACAAGTTGGAGAAAGGGGAGTGCATATGTATGTTTGTGCTCGCTAACGGCAAATGTGTCCTTTTTTTTAAACTACAAATTCATAGTGTATGTTTATTTTGCCAATATTTTATGAAAATGAAATTGAGGCCAAAAATGCGGCTGTACTTCGTACTCTGCTTCTGCCGCGCCTTTGCCCAAGAAAGGCCAAGACCCCGGCGCTGACTGCCAGAATGGATCCCAGGGGGGTGCAGCGGCCTTTAGGGGGCGGGTGTGCGCTGTAGCTGATCGCGCACAGGGCTCTTGGGGAAATGCATGTGAGAGCGAGACAGGCACTAAGACAGGTAAGAAAAAATCGATGGACGGCTTGCGCTGTGGCTGGCTTGCGGGCTGAAGGGCACTCAAACTACTCTCTATAGAACTTGATATTGGATGTCGGGCGTTCATATCATGGAATCTGATATCGTCTTCCCCAGAATCGCATCCCCGGGATGGATGCTACCGCCCATCTGGCATGATAAGACAAGAGTTCGATATACTAAACTACCCCGCGGGGTAAGTGGCAAGTTGTGAACCTTGACCATGTCATGCTGATAGCAAGATAGCAAAAGCCTAGACGTTGTAAGTAGAAGCTGGTGATAGTCGTGGTTCAAGCGGTGTTGTCCACCGAAAAGCCCGCCTCGGTGTCAGAACCCCGAAGTACACCGAGCACCAACTCCACCTAATTTCGGAAAAGCCACCCCGACGCACCCCGAACCCACCAGGGCCCGTGTAAGTGGTCTCGGTAGCGCCAACCCCGAATAACTCGATCCACCAGAAACCGCTGGATTGGTGGGATTAATACGTGGAATGCCATCATCATCACGCCAGGCTAATGCTAGGCTCCAGCAAATAGTTTTTTTTTCTGCTCTGGCGGGCGCGGGTGCTCCGGCAAACGGACGCCTCGGAGGCGGGCCTTTGTAGGGCGCCGTGGCCGCTGTATTTCTAGAATCCGTAGTGCTGCATAAGCTAACTGTCGGCAGGCGGCGATTTACAGTTGCGTTGCACTAGTTAGAGCTAGCTTTTTGTCTGCACGTGGGGGAAGCGGATGGCGTTTAGGTGCTCCGATGCGGCGGAACATGTACGAATGACGTGGGAACGGGGACACCAGACCGGGAAGATAAGGAGACAGAGACAAGGCCATAAGAAAATGGAAAAGCTTTTTTTTTTGTTTTGCTGTCTTTTAATTTAAAACATTGCTACGCCTTGTCTCTCCATCCGTTTTACCCTTTTCCCTTTCTTCCATTCCATACATCAACACAACTTCATCCAGCCCTTTTTTTCTAAAGGGCACAGCAAGCAGGCTTATTACTAGCTATACGGAGACTCCGTCTCACTCACATCACATAAAACAGCCCGTTTCCGTTTTCCTCGCTTGGTGGAAAGTAGCTATCTACAAAAAAAGCAGTTTCTTCCTCTCCGTAGCTTTCGCAGTCTTCACGCCCTCTGCGATACAAGCTTCTTCTCGAAACCCTCAACAGGCGTTCTCTCTCTCTCGACCTCATACACACACACAACATGTCTAGAGCTTTCTCGGCGCTGAGAAAGCCCCTTTTGGGCGCTGCTGCCGTCGCGACCGGCGGCGCAGTCGTCCTCTCGCTGCGCAAGAGCAACAGACCGACCTGGGACCAGCCCATGGTTCCCTTGAAACACAACCCCGACACTGGACGCATCATCCCGCAGGCCTTCCCAGCCGCCAAGAGCCGTGCCGATAGCATGGCTGAGCTCCGCCGTGAGGAGGAGTATGATCTTCTGATTGTCGGCGGCGGCGCGACCGGCACCGGCATTGCCCTCGACGCCGTCACCCGCGGCCTCAAGGTGGCTCTTGTTGAGCGCGACGACTTCTCGGCCGGCACCAGCTCCAAGAGCACCAAGCTGGTCCACGGCGGCGTGCGGTACCTCGAAAAGGCCGTCTGGAATCTCGACTACTCCCAGCTGCAGCTGGTCATGGAGGCCCTGCACGAGCGCAAGACCTTCCTCGACATTGCGCCGCACTTGTCGCACAGCTTGCCCATCCTGCTGCCCCTCGAGAGCTGGTGGCAGGCGCCCTATATGTGGATGGGCACCAAGATGTACGATATGCTGGCTGGCGAGCAGGGCCTCGAAAAGTCTTATTATCTTAGCCGCGAAAAGGCCCTCCAGGCGCTTCCTCTGCTGAAGCCGGACCACTTGTTTGGCGCGCTGGTCTACTATGATGGCCAGCACAACGACTCGCGCATGAATGTTGCGCTTGCGTTGACTGCCTCGCTCTACGGGGCTACCGTGGTCAACCATGTGGAGGTTACTGGTCTGAAGAAGGATGCCAATGGTAAGATTTGCGGCGCCACAGTCCGCGATGTCGTTGCTGGCATCAATGGCGAGACTGATGCCGCCAAGGAGTTTACTGTCCGCGCAAAGGGCGTCATCAATGCCACTGGACCGTTCAGTGATGCTATTGAGCGCATGGACAACCCGACCAAGAAGGCCATGATTGCCCCCGCCTCTGGTGCGCACATTGTCCTCCCCGGCAAGCTCTGCCCCAACGGCATGGGCCTGCTTGACGCTGCTACTTCGGACGGCCGTGTCGTCTTTGTCTTGCCCTGGCAGGGTTTCACGCTCGCCGGCACCACCGACAATGCCTGCGAGATTGAGCGCCAGCCCGTGGCCCGCGACGAGGATGTTGACTTTATCCTCAAGGAGGTCAGCAAGCTGCTCAAGCCCGAGCACGTCCTCAGCCACGACGACATCCTCGCCACATGGTCCGGCATCCGCCCGCTCGTCAAGGACCCCCATGCTAAGAACACCGAGTCCCTCGTCCGCAGCCATTTGGTCACTGTCTCCCCCGCCGGCCTCCTCACCTGCGCTGGTGGCAAGTGGACCACTTACCGCCAAATGGCCGAAGACGCTGTCGACGAGGCCATCAAGACGTTCAACCTGAAGCCCAAGGCCCAGACCCTTCCCGACATCACCGCCTCTGGCCTCCAAGGCGTCACCACCACCGGCGCCTGCTGCACGCGCCAGATTGTCCTCATCGGTGCCCACGGCTTCTCCAAGAGCCTGCAGGCCGAACTCGCCGACCACTACAAGCTCGATGCCGATATTGCCCACCACCTCGCGACCAACTATGGTGACCGTGCCTGGGCTCTGCTCGAGGAGGGCGATTCTACTGTCAAGCGTCTGCTGCCTGCTCACCCCTTCACTGAGGCCGAGGTCCGCTATGGTGTCCGCGCCGAGGCTGCTTGCACTGCTGCCGACTTGATTTCCCGCCGCACTCGTCTTGCTTTCCTGGACGTTGACAGCGCGCTTGCTGCTCTTCCTCGCGTCATTGAGATTATGGGCGAGGAGCTCAACTGGTCCAAGGGCCGCGCTGCGTTTGAGTGGGACGAGACGGTACGCTTCCTCAAGTCCATGGGTCTGTCGCAGGATAAGCAGGGCCTGAGCCGCCGCGATGTCGAGACCAAGGTTGCTGCTGCACCCAAAAACAAGGCGCTAGCTGCTGCTGTGTCGAACAAGCTTAACCTCCCCAACTTTGGCCAGGAGGCCAAGACCAGCTCGAACCTGTAAATCACAGACCTGTAAATAACAGGACGGTGATATTTTACTAGTACACTGATTTTTCATCGCTTTTTTCATTGATTTTCTTTCTGTCAGATACATTCATCATTGGGGAGGAGTTTTATTTTTTCTTGGCTTATACTATGGAGTTGGGTTTACGGCACGCACTCGCATCAGGCAGCGACCTGACTCTCTTGTTTGTGTAATTTTTTTTTATAAAATCCGTATCATGGAAATAAAGATTACAAATCATACATGTTGATCTTTTTAACCAGTGACTTGTTCTTTTTCGTTTGTGAATGGCGGCAGCCTCCGGAGCAGCCCCGCGGGCTTTGTTGTATATGTATAGATACCCAATGACCGCATGTTGGCTGGAGGCTTACTTTGTACACGACACGTCAGAGCGGCTTCTGCGGAGCGAGTCTGTCGTATGCAGGGGCAAGACGCAGGTGATGGTGGTGGTTTGTTGGGTATTAGACGCAAGCGAACGTTTTCTCTTTTCGCATTGCCACGCGGGGGCTTCGGAGAGTTGTTATTGTTCGGCCGCTGGTACTATGGTTATGCACTGTACATTCAAGATAGCTTCTTTGTTTTAGTATGGTCTTTTTAAACACCATACCTGGGCTGCTTTGCATTGATATACAGCTGTAGATATCCCATCTACACGAGACCGGATATCTCTAACTAAGCCACCAGCCAACCAACCAACATCTCTCTAAACGTCATCCTCACTCCAATAAACGCATCATCATCATGCGGCAATACGTTTCCACTGCCGAACACTGTCAAGCCCAACCGACGCAATCGCGCCTAAGCTCCTGCAGCCAATCGGCGGCTACCATCCGCGGGCGCACGCTAACGGAGCCATGCAAGCTGAGTGGTTTTTTGCTGGTCTGGTGCTTCAGGTGGTCTAGTGAGGCGCATGTGTTGGCGCCCTCCCTCTCGCGTTTTTTTCGTCTAGTTTATGCGTGGGTTGCAGCACGGGAGATGCAACCGAGCGTATTAGGCGGAGGCAACGTCAGCCATGCGGATGACTACAAAGTGTCTCCCCTTATTTGTTGGTCTTTCATGGTATATAGGGCCTGTTGTATTTCGCCAAGATTTTCCCAGGAATTATTTTCTCACGTCTGTGTACCCCAGCTTCCCGTCTTCCCCGGCCAGCGCCTTTGCTGTTATTGTAGCGGTCTGCCGCTCAGTGGAACCGATTTCCAGGGCCTCGAGCGCTAGAATCCTCACCGACAGGCCCCGTGGCCCGGGTTCACAGTGGGTGCCTGGACCATTTACAGTGGGCTTACCCGCCGTTCCGACCCGCCCTTTGCCGGCTCAGCTGCCATTGTCCTTGTTCAGCCACCGCCGACCGACCCTTTGATTGTCACCACCTGCACGCACCACCACCGCCTTTGCACTTCTTCCTTATACGCTGTTGGCAACTCTGTTTCTTTCGTCTTTGATTTTGGTCATCTTTGGCAAAAATGCCGCTCGAGCAGACCGTCTACATTGTCAACAACTCGGGCAAAATCATCAGCTCCGTACGTGCTGCACCCTGCTCATAAACTGCTCTGCCCCGCAGTGTAGCGAGGCTGGGCGGGATCGGCAAACGACATCGCCAAATATCTACTAACACGCAGATTTCTAGGGAAAGCAGCTGCTATCGATATTCAAAGAGGCGAAAGCATCCTATCAGGAGAAGAAGGCCCAGATCAAGGGAGAGCGTACCTTGCAACGATCACAGACATTTGCGCCTCGGTCCTCCGTTGCACCTCACCGACTAGAAGATTACTACGAAGAAGAGGACGAGGACGACTATCGTGGTAACAGCAGAAGCCAGCCTCGCAAACTACGCGAATACGAAGATATACACCAGAAACCACGCCGCCGGTCATACGATGCAGCCAGTGATGCCGGCTCAAGACGCAGCCACCGACACAGCACAAAACACCATGGCTCCAGCAGCCGCAGCATCAAAGGGCCGCCCCCAACTACGACGGCGCTGACGGCAAAGAACCTCAAGGCAGCCAGCGAGGCATCGAGTACGAAGCCATCAAACACGATTCCCAAGTCCTACCGCAGCCCCTACGCAGAGACTCTACCGCTAGATCAATCTCGCATGGATCTCACACAAATCGGCTCAAGAAGCATGGCCCCAGCCCAAAGTGCAGCGTTATTGCCTCGCTCACACTCCGAAGCCGATTTTCAAAGACTCAAAAAGTACAAGGAAATTGATCTCAATCTCGCCTATGGTGAGATTCCCCCGGATCTCGAGAGCAGAATTGACTTGGACCCGACGCGTGAGAAGGAAGCAAAGGCGCTGTCTGCCAAGAACCTCGTCAAACAAATCGAAGGCCTGCTGGATGAAGCAAACTGTGTACAACATACTGCTGGTGCCATGATTAAGCATCTGCAAGAAAAGCCCGAGGCGGCTGCAGCTGTTGCCTTTTCGCTGGCAGAGCTGTCTAAGCTGGTGGCCAAGCTCTCTCCCGCCGTGCTCGGTCTGCTACAGGGAGGCTCACCCGCTGTATTTGGCCTTCTTGCGTCCCCTCAGTTTCTCATTGGTACTGGCCTGGCTGTGGGTGTCACTGTCGTCATGTTTGGTGGCTGGAAAATGATTAAGCAGGTTAAGGAGGCCCGCGCGGCAAAGGAAGCCCTTGCTTGGGAAGCCTCCCCCCAAGCTTCCCAAGCTCGACCTGTCCTGCAACGTGCTCACAGCTTGCACTCGTCGCAGTCTGCTGGCTATGATGAAGCTTTGGTGGTGGAAGAAGAGCTCAGCGTGATTGAGTCGTGGAGACGGGGCATCGAGCCCTTCCGAGATGATGAGAGCGCGGATATTGAGCTCATCACACCAGAGGCTGATCGAGCCACCCGTGCTGACGAGCGTGAGCGCCGCGATGAGGACATCTTTGACACAAGATCGCATAGAAGCGCAGCTCGCACACACCGCACCGATCGAACGCACAAGACACACAAGACGGAGCGAACCCATCGAACAGAAAAGACGGAACGAACACACAAAACAGACAAGACGGAACGAACACACAAAACAGACAAGACGGAACGAACATACAGAACAGCCAAGACACAAAGAGCAGTAGATGATGAAGCTCTCGAGACAAAGTCCCATCGCAGCACAAGGACTCATCGAACCGAGCACAATGAGCGAAGAGCAGTTGATGATGAGGCTCTTGAGACAAAATCCCATCGCAGCACACGGACACACCGAACAGAACATAGCGAGCGAAGCGCGCGGACCGATGAGATGCACGATCTCATTGTGGAAGATAACTTTGATATTGCTTCACAGCGAAGTGCCCGCACCCATCGCACTAGCAAAACAACACTCACGAGCAAAACAAGCAAGACCAACAAGACCAACAAGACGGAGCGCATGCACAAGACGTACAAGAGCAAACTTGGCGCAGAAGTCCCTCGTTCATCCAAAGAGAGCGTCATTGACATTCCCATCGGCGCTGCCTCTGAGATGGGCCATGTCACCAGCAAAGGCAAGGGCCGTGCGATGCTCGCCATTGAGGATGGCAGTGCCCAGCGTGCTCGCGATGACTTGGATCTCGTGATGCGCCCTCGCGTCCAGCGCCGCGAAAGTGACCTGCTCAAGGCGCTGTTTAAAGGTAAAAAGGATAAGAGCCGGAGTGAGCTCGTCCTGGTTTAAATCTGTCGTCGTACACTTTTTCAACAGCCTTTCACTCATTTTATGATTATAATGACTTTTGATTTCTCGTTTTCAACGCTGTATTTTTCATCACCATCTCTTCATAGCTCACCATATACACATCGTATTTTTAGAACGAAGCATCGCTGTTTCTGAATCAACAGTTGGTTAATCAAGTCTCTCTCGGAATATATAAAGATCTATATACATTACATGATTGTCTATCGCGCAATGGCAACGTAGAGCCCACTGACCGATACCAAAGTAGCTATCGTTTGTAATCTAATCTGGTAGCTTTCTTGCTAACCCAACTCGAAAAATATGGCTTTTTCCGGATTAAAAGCTTGAGATATAGCTTTGTGATTGCCTAGTAAGCGACAGTACAGCCTCGTTGCACATGTTGATTTCACAGTTTTGTATGGTAGCCTCATCCATCAGCCACATTTGAAAGTCATTTTTATTCGGAATGTTCGGCGACTATATAAATAGCGAGGCTTGCTCATTCAATTGACAATTTCTCCAGCGCTTCTATTGTCATTTAATTGATACCTTGTACAAACCTTCTATACCCTCATTATGCAAATTGCTCCGATGGCTGTGGCAGCTGCCAGTGCTGCTGCTGTTAGTGTAACAGCACTCACTAGTGTATATCTTTTTTCCCTAGAGTGAATAATATTGATATATTTCAGTGCCTGTTGTCGAGGCTCGAGCAGATTGTACCCTTTTTGCTCACTGGGAAGCCAACTGGATTGAGCGGGCACTTACGAGATATCGTGTGCGTGTATATTCGACGGGTGCTACTCATAACCAGGATTACCCGAAATTCTTTTGCCAAGAGTGGTATAGTATGCTAGAAGCTGTTTTCAATGTCTGATGATTTAATACTAAAATGTGTGTTGTAGACTCCAACAGTGTCGATCCACTGAACAATGCTCAGTGTTTCCATGATGGAGATGATGGAAGAGGTGATCACTACTATGCCGATTTTAGCGATCTCCAAGGGTCAGTTGGCTATTATCACTATAAAAATGCATTTCAGCGTGGACTAAATTCATTCCGCGCTGATACTGGCTTCGATGTGAATTCTGTTCTTTAGAATAAAACACACTCTCTAGTCTAGTCCCTCTCGATATTCTACAATACACCCTGCAAGCGCAACTCTGTTGGCTCGCCCTGCAGCGATTTTATCGGTTTAATCTTGACCTCTTTTGTCTTCTTCATGTCTCCCCCGCGATACGCATAGCTGTACCCTTCAAACCCGGCCGACGCACCCGCATGCCGTCCCTGTTTATCTACCACGACAATGCCCGCGGACATCTTGGGATACTTTTTGAGTATTCGTCTAATCGCATCATCCGCAGCTTCTTGCGGAGTCATGCCCCGGCGCATGCTCTCCACGGCCTGGTAGCATGGCAGGAAGCGCATCATAATGTCGCCATCGCCTGTCGAGCCGCAAGCCCCGACATCTCCATCTACGTAGGTCCCGCTTCCTGTAATCGGTCCGTCACCGACACGTCCTGGAATCTTGTGCGATGCCCCGTTGGTTGATGTCCCCGCGGCCATGACGCCGTCGTCGTCAATCGCAATCAGCGAGATGGTGTCGTGGGATGCCTGTCCCTGATCTACAGGAGACTGTTGGTCTTGCTTCTGCAAGGGCTTGTATGGGCCGCATGATGTGCTCGCAGCGGGGGAAACCTGTAGACGGTAGTTGGGCTGGCACTTGGCCTGCTTCCACTCTTGACATTTGGCGCGAGACTCGGGCGTTGAGAGGTCTTGTGGTGTGAAGCCGTTCTGCACGGCAAACTCGGTGGCGTGGTCGCCGACAAGGAGCGTGTGGGATGTGTGCTCAAGGACATGACGAGCCACAGAGATGGCGTCCTTGATGCGCCGCAGACCGGCAACGGCTCCGGACTTCATGGTGACGCCGTCCATGATCATGGCGTCGAGGGTAGTCTCGCAGTTCTCGTCGGGTGAGCCGCCGAACCCGACGGTCCCGTCGCAGCGGTTGCGCTCACATGTCGAGCAGCCGATTTCCACGGCATCCAGGGCTGAGGAGGAGTCTTTTAGAGCGAGGTAGGCGGCGTCAGTGGCGGCTTGGAAGGGGCCGGCCCATGTGTTGATGGCGAGGGGCCATAGTGGCTCGTCTACAGTGGCTGTGTCTAATGTTTCTGTTGCTGATACTGTTGCTCTTGCTGTTAGCAGTAGTAGAAGCAGCCTTTGCTGCTGTTTTGATTTTGTGCGCATTTTGCTCTATTTTATGATTGGAATTGTTGTGATGGTGGAGATGTAGGGTCGTGAGAGACGAAGACATAAGTACTGTTTTGCAATGCCAAGCAGCGACAGCACAATGCAACATAAATTTTATTTCATGACAAATAAGGTTCTATTGGGCAAACGGCAGAAAGTTTAAACATAAATATATTCCCTTTTACAAAATTATGCACAGTTTTATTGTATTCTTCTTTGCAGCTATAATGCTTACGCCCAGTGCCGGGTAGGGGCGCATGTAAGCCACTCCCCCGCATAATTGCATAAACTGAATTCGACTACATCAACCATGTCTCCTCGCAGCCTGGTTCGTATGCAAACTCTCCCTCCTTCATACCACTTTTTCGTTACGCTGAACAAAGTACCTCTGAAGGCATCGCCCGCCATTCACTGAAACCCCACCGAGAGCTGCATTCTCCAGCCCCTATGCCCTTCCCTTCCCTTTAGCTTAGTTGTAATACTGTAAATAATACAACGACTGCGTGCTCCCATCACATGCTATAAGATGGCTGCCGCTGATGATTCCCCTTCCCGTCCTGCCGGTCGCATTCCTGATGGCGACCAAATTGCCCAATTCCTCCTTGCTGCCACGAATGTCTATCGTGCAGCTGTCATGATGCACCTGTCTGTTGATGATGGAGACGTTGCTGTCGAACGGGATGCTGTCGCCAAACTCACATCATTGGCTCGTGATGCTGATGTTATACACTCCCTAAGCATCACTGTCGTTGGCGACGGTTCATCTGACAAGATGGTCGCTGACGCTGCCGAAGTGGGACAAAGTCTTGTCCTTCGACTAGCTCGCATCTCGCATGTTGCCACCGACTCGTCTACCAAAAGATGCCATGTCGACGATCTAGTCAATGTCTGGCCCCCAAGTGATGTCGTCTTTCTTAGACAAGCACTACAAGATGTCATGAACAATGCCGTTGCTGTTACTTCTCTTTCGCCGTGCGTGTTTTCCCCAGCTACTTATAACAACCTGCTGACACATTTTCCCAGAGCACATGAAGACCAATGTCGCCACAACCTAAGCGTTGTGATTGCCAAAGTCCCCCAAGCTTTGACAGTCGAGGAAGATAAAAGGGTTGAAGAAGCAGCCGAACAAAAGTCGGCCAGAAAGATTCCCAAACATTGGCCTAAAGGCGTTCCCTTACCTGAGCATCGCTTCGTCGTGCCCCATCGACCTGCGCCAGCCGGCATCATCAACGAATTTCTGTTGGAAAGTCTCGCTTACAGGAGCATGTATGATCGCGAAGATGAAGTGGAGAGAGCGCACGCCAATACTTTTGAATGGGTGTTTGACGACTACAGCACGGATAGCACGCGCCGTGATCCCAAGCTCAAAGAGTGGTTGGAGACGGAGACTCTCGGGCCGATTTATTGGGTAACGGGCAAGCCTGGGTCTGGAAAGTCTACCTTTATCCAGTACCTGTCGCGACATACAAAGACAAAGGAGTCCCTATCGCGCTGGTCTATTGGCAGAGAGGTATGCTTTGCTGGATTCTTCTTCTGGACCAGCGGCTCGCGAGAACAGCGATCACAAACAGGTCTACTCCGATCACTGCTGCACCAAATCCTAACTGAGCACCCAGAATTCATTGCCAGTGCGTTTCCAGAAACATGGGACCAAGTCACAAACATGACCACGAAGCAGCGTATTCAATTCAAGCTTGACTGGAAGGCGGATGCTTTGACACAGGGCTTTCAAGAGTTGGTCAAGCTGGTCGTCGCCAAGGACATGAATTTGTGCCTCTTTATTGACGGCCTGGATGAATTTGAGGGCGATCATAACATGATTATCAATCTCTTCAAGGGCATCAGTGAGGAACATGGAGCTGAAAAGGTGAAATTGTGCCTGTCATCGCGCCCATGGAAGGTATTTGAGGACGCTTTCGAATACTCTGTACCGAACCTCAAGCTACAAGATGTTACCTATAGCGACATGTCTCGATTTGTTTCTGAAAAACTCAAAGAAGATGAAAAGATGGCGACCGCCTTGGATGAGTCACCTGGGCTGGTGGACGATGCCGTTCGCCGAGCCGACGGTGTCTTCCTCTGGGTGCGCCTGGCCGTGGAGCAAATGAAGAAACACTTTGTCGACGATAGGTCTTCAAAGACGTTGGACAACACGCTAAAAGGTCTACCTACGGAGCTGGATGACTTGTTTGAAACCTTCATCTTTGAGGATCAGTCGATGGAAGCTGCTGGTCAAACCGGCGTTCTCTACCGCCTACTGCGCGCTCGGGAGGAGGTGGCTGATTTTGTCAAAGATGACTCTGCAAATGCTCTGACGGTTTGGGAGCTTGCATTTGCTATTTGGGACGAGGATGACAAGACTGTACTAAAAGATATGGAGATTGAGCAAGTGTCACCAGAGTTTGTGGATGCCGTGTGCGGCAAGACAATGGCGCACGTCAAGAAGTATTTTGCCGGTCTGCTCGGAATTCAGAATCGCGTATTCCGGGGCAACATGCGGCGAGCCAGCTTCCATGGAAGCAAGCAATCCGAAGACTGTGATGCTGCTGAGAGACGCGTCTTTTATATTCACCGAACCGTCCGCGACTGGCTTGTTACTTGTCCTGGTGTGGATGCAAGGCTGCGGCTGCTGTGCTCGCCCGAGTTTGATCCTCATCTGCGTCTTCTCCGATCATATGTGCTGAGGATGAAGCTACCACTGGAGGAAATCGAGCATCATCGCCGCCTGGACGACTGGTGGCCGGATATTGTGCTCGCTCTAACGCATGCCCGGTACGCTGCGATCAAACCTTGGAGTATGCAGCAGTCCTTGATCAATGAGCTCGACAAGACGATACGCTGGTGGTGGCTGGATAAGCCAGACGATCCGTACGACAACTGGGCCAGGACGGCCTTTGGCACATATGAAGTTCGCATGAAGGCGCCACCTATTTGGCAGCCCCTGTTGTGCTTGGCCGTCAAGTTTGGGTTGACGCAGTATGTGAGTCAAGAGCTAGATGCGCGGGAGGAGACAGAGAAGACGCAGGGTGTTTCGGACGAGCAGATGGAACACGAGTGCAACGACACAACACCACTGTTGGCATATGCGGTAGAGTACCTGTGCTCTCGGAAGAAGACCATCTATCCCATGTCGGATCCAGATATGATTATGGTGCTGTTGACTCGCACCAGCCGAACGAACCCTGGCGTGAACCACGAGTTTAAGGACTTTATATATCGAACGCCGAGAACAGCATGGATCATGGTATTGCGTCATTTGCGGGATGCCCATCGTCTCAAGTATATCCAGCCGTATGATGTGTCTGTGGATGGGACGGCGAGATGGACCAAGATTGTGGCTGCATTTCTCGAGAAGGGCAAAGCAGATGCTGGGGCCGTTGTGTTGAAGGATATGTGGGATCCTGAAGTTTCGGGGAGGGATTTGTTGAAGCTCTTGGATGAATCATACTGTTCACCTGATATTCGGACGGTTAGAGACATGTTGGAGAGTTGTTTGTAGTTGAGTAGTTGGCTATCGTCTACTGCTGCGTTGCCCTGTTTTAACAAGTTTCACTAGCTTTGTTTGAATTAGATGTTTTACAAATTGACCAAACACATCAATCCTGAATTCTCTTTTTTCCGCGATTACAAATTCATGCAAAAAAAAAAAAGCAAGCTAGTGCACCAGCCGTGTTGATGTTCGTCGTTACAGTGCATGGTGGCGTCGTAGGATTCGTACAGTACGTCCACCTTGTTGGCTTCCCCGCAGCCACCCATTTTTTATTCCCCAGAGCCACCCACTGACGCAAGCCCCATAGCGGCACTCACTGCAGCAGCCTGGCCGACCTTCCCCAAACGGCTAACGCCGGCGCTGGCAGCTCCAACTACAACTACAGCTGAAGGGCGCCATCCTTCGCCTCCTCCTCCTCCTCCCGGCGAGTTTCTGCTTCTTTTTTTTCCTAGTCTTTTGTTTTATCGACACAAGATGAAATCATTCCTCACAACGACCCTCGCCACGGGCCTTGCCCTTGGGCAGACGGCCTCGGCCATGACGCCGGGCTTCTCGCATCACCACATGGCCAAACGCCAGATTGACCACGCGGCCATCCTCGCCAGCACAAGCTCCCACATTAAGGCCTACGATATCCCCGTGCCAATCGACCATTTCCACAACGACACGCGATACGAGCCGCACTCCGATGCGCAGTTCCACCTCCGCTACTGGCTCGACACGTCCAATTACCGCCCCGGTGGTCCCGTCATTGTCCTGCACTCGGGCGAATTTGACAGCACAGCTCGCCTGCCTTATCTCGAGCATGGCATCGTGCCCGTCCTTACCAAGGCCTTTGGAGGTGTCGGTCTCGTCATGGAGCACCGATACTATGGCAAGAGTTTCCCTATGGAGACCACAAGCACCGAGAACCTGCGCTTCCTGTCTGTCGAACAGGCTCTCGCTGATACAGCCTACTTTGCTCGCAACATTACCTTTCCCGGACTCGAGCACGTCAACTTGACTGCTGGCGCAGCGCCGTGGATTATCTACGGTGGATCGTATGCCGCTACGGTCGCTGCGTTGTCTCGCAAGATCTACCCGGACGTCTTCTGGGGCGCCATCTCGTCGTCTGGTGTGCCCCAGAGCATCGACGACTACTGGCAATACTTGGAGGCTGCCCGCCACTTTGCTCCCAAGGGCTGCGTGGAAGCGACACAAAAGCTGACGCACATTGTGGATAACATTCTATTCGGTGGTGACAAGGAGCAGATTGACAAGCTCAAGGAGCTGTTCCACTTGCAGGGACTTGAGAATGACGAATTCGGCGAGACCATTGCTTCGCTGGGAGGAATCATGAGCCTGCAGAGCACCATGTGGGATATCGAGGAGGATTCACCCCATCTGGGATACTACTGCGGCGCCGTCACTTCGGATGCCCCTCTTTTTGCCAGCATGCGCCATCGCATCACCAGAGCGCGCCACTTTGTTTCGGTTGGTGGATATGAGCACCAGGTTAATGAGCTTGCTATGCCACTGCTCAACTGGGCCGGCATAGTCCGATTCAATCTGCGTGACGCGCTCAAGGGCTCTTGCAAGGGCAAGTCGGCACGCGAGTGTTTCTCCAACCGCTTCCTGAACACGGACGAGACGAGCCTCGACTGGGAGCGTAGCTGGAAGTACCAGACATGCATTGAGTAAGTCGACAACTGGCACGGAAGAAATCCGCCTTACTAACACGCACTTTCTAGGAACGGTTTCTTCATTACTGGCACTGGTGTGCCCAAGGACCAGCTGCCTCTCATCTCGCGAGCCGTCACTCGCGACTATGCTGCCTGGCACTGCCCTAACCTGTTCAACATTACGGACCTCCCCAACGTGGACAACATCAACAAGTTTGGCGGCTTTGATTTCAGCCACTCCCGTCTGGCGCACTTGGATGGCGCTCAAGACCCCTGGAGAGCTGCTGGTGTCCACGCCATCGGCCAGAAAGACCGCAAGTCCACCGTCAGCGAGCCCTTTATTCTTGTCGACTACGGAGTGCACCACTGGGACGAGTTTGGCCTTGCCAGCGGAACAGAGGAGCAGGATCTGCCCCCTCGCCAGGTGGTGGACGCGCAACAGGCCATGGTTGGCTTTGTGGGCGAGTGGCTAAAGGAGTGGGATGCCGAAAAGGGTGGCAAGCACACCAAAGATACTACTTCTGACTCGGCGGAGGCGGATGAGCTCTAAATAATGATCACAGGATAATTAGTAAAAAATAGTTGAGTTGCTCTGCAGCATAATCTTATATATTGAATACAACGACTTTCATTTTCTGCCATTATTCCACCATCCACTTTAGCCCTTGCAGGAGGTTCTGTCGCCACGTCTTGGAGACGGGCAAACTGGGACAGGTAGTCCAGAAACCATGTGGAAGTCCAGGGTAAACATCGATTTTCGTGCCCAAACCGGCTTCTTTGAGGAGCTGTTGAAATAAAAGGGCCTCATCTCTTCTTGGGTCCCAGCCGCAGACGGCAAAGTAAGCCTTGGACGCGATGCCGGTGTGGCTGTCAAACAGCAATGACGAGACGCGCTTATCGTGAGGAGGACCGCCATATATCTCTGCCATGACAAGTTAGAAACTATGCAGCACACAAGATTCAACGCATATATTTGCAACATACTGGAAAAGTGGTCAATTGAGGTACGATTGAAGCCTGGCGCATCAATGACCTCGTCAACACTCAGAAGGCGGTCGAGGTATCTGGCAGGCCGAGCATCCGGATGGCAAAAGTTGCTAGCCAGGAAGACAACACCTGTAATGGGCGGCTGAATCTCATCCTTGGCATAGAGGTGCGCAATGCCCGAGGTAAAGTTGCCGCCGGCTGATGTGCCGCCAACAATGAAGCCCTTTGCCAAATCAACCTGAAGCTTTTCCTGGCCCTTGGCCGACGCAGCCCAGCGCACAATCTCAAAGGAATCTTCAAAACCAATAGGGAAGGTAAACTCGGGGGCCAATCTGTATTCAATGCTAAGAACCACGACATCTATCTCGGCGGCAATGGCTCGGCAGGTCTCGTCGTCGGTCTCAAGGCCACCAGTGACGTAACCGCCGCCGTGCATGTAGACAAAGAGCGGGAGACGGTCTGTAGCGGCGGCCGTCTTGACGTAGCGGCGCAGGCAGATTTCTGTGCCGTCTCGGACAGGCACGGTGAATTCGTCTATGGTGAGGCCGGGCTGTGGGGTGATGGGGTCGTGGGCGCGGTTCATTTGGAGGACGTGCGTGTTGGGCGGGAGGTTGTTGGGGAACTGTAAGACGAGTAGGTTAGAACATGAGGATAGGGTTAAATGGTGCTAGAGATTCATACGTCGTTCCATTCTGGGTCTGGCTTGGCGAGATGTCTGTACTCAGCCATGGTGTCTATGTGTATATGTGTGATGAGGGAGCGTGATTCGGCCGTATGCTAGTAATGGCGTACGGCGGGGTAATGAGGATGAGAACGAGAAGGAAAGATGGAGGTTGGATGTGAAACGACAAAAAGATGTGAAAGGTGAAGAGAAAAAGACGCGTCTCTCGTTTTCTTATGACGTGTTTTTACAGGTGGTAGTGGTGCAGCAGCAAAGACAACAGACGAAAGGTGGATAGGTCTCTGCGTGTGTCATGGAGGCGTTGCGGCGTGTTGTTGCTGTTGCTGCGGTGTTGGGCAGAGCGGGAGTGGAGGGACCTTGCTGGCTGGCGGCGGGAAAGATGCCAGGCAGAGACTATAAGTGAAGGGGGCGCTGTAGTTACATGTTTTGAAGTGTATGCAGTGATAATTTTGTATACAGGAAAATATATTACTAGATTATCAAGTAGCAGGTAAATCTGTACTCATGGTCATCAGCCAGCATGCTCGTTGTTGACAAAGTGAGAGAGAGGCAGAGAGATGATCTTATCAGATGGAACAGTGGATGACGAATTGTGCAAAGTGGATATACTTTTTATTCCTTGCAGTATTAATTTTATAGTTCTTTGTTTATTTTTATACCGTTGGTCTGCACGCTGAGCAGGGATGCAAGAAGCGTAATTTGCTGCCTTCATCTACTTTTTATGCTCATAGTACACCAGAGGAACGCATCGTTTCTGCAACGGTGCGGGTCCTGGAGGCAGCCAGCCAGCCAGCCAACAAGGGGGGTGGAGGTGCCCTGTAAGTAAAAAAGGATGCCCTGTAAAATTAGAAGGGGTCCAGCATAAGAAGGGAGGCTGCTGCGTGTGTAAATTGGCCCAGCCCGAGTATATTATTACATATGGAAAAATGAGAACTCCAGAGAATGTGGCATAAATTATGCAATTGATTCCTTCTTTTTGGTAACACAAATAAGGTATACAAATATAAAAATGTGCTTTGCCATAACGAGGCTGCCCGCTGTTAGTTTCGCTTCCCACGTGGAAACACTGCCGAAGACTGACCCCTGGGGGACCGTTATCAGTGTACGGAGAAAAGCAAATTGGGCGGCCGTTGGAGTCCCGAGCAGGTGTCGACAGACGGGCCATTACGCTAGAACTGGACAGGGCTGAAGAATAGTCGAAGAACAAAAAGAAAAGAAAAGAGAAGATTCTGTATAAATCTTTTTTAATGACAGTTGTAAAATGTACACTGCAAATTTACATCCCGCGTCTGTCGTCTGTTCCGCCGCATCTCATTTCACCTCGCTCTTCCTTCTGCTGCAGCCACCACAAACACACACACCACAGTTCGCCAAGTGGACCGTGCATATTTTTCTCCTTGTCTCCCCCCCCAAAACACCAAACGAACTGCAACTCCTCTGTTGCATCCACGCTTCTTCCCGCTGCAACACTTCAGACAATGAGACGCTGCAATGCGACCCTGATTGTCTGACGGCTCGCCTTTCCACTCTCGCTTCACACCACGCGTCGCCCGTTGGCAATCCCACCACTGCCATCATCATCATCACCACAACAAACCGCGCCATTCTCTTTTTTCTTTGTCGCTCACTTTCTCTGTTTGTCAGACGATCGCCGACCCGACGCCACTGCCGACACACAAAACATCTTGCGCACATCACCACCACCACCAGCCGTCCCGACTTTGGTGACACCGCAAATCGCCAACCATGGCATCCTCCTCTTCCTATCTCTCGCCCAGCCAGCACAGCGACGCCGGATTCCCTAAAAGCCTCGACACCCTCAGCAATGCCGACTCAGCAACCGTCCCTCCCGCCCTCCTCTTCAGCGAGAAACAGCACCAGCGCCCGCCCAGCTCATGGCGCAAGTCCTTTGGCCTCGGCACCGCAGGCGGCAAGCGCATGAGCAGAGCGACCCTGCGCACCGGCGGCTTCACATTTTATCGCGAGGAATCGCCGTCTGCAAGCATGGATGTCCCGCGACGCCCTGGTGCTGCTATCACAACAGGAGCCGTCGAAGAGCCCTACGATTACCGCTACGATCATGTCGCACCGCCCGCGCCGCTGCCCGAGCCGCCTAAAGTCATGGGATTGAAGCGCAGAACGTGCCAGCTATTAGGCGCCGTGCTCGCCATTATAATTATTCTTGCCATCGCTCTTGGCGTGGGACTGGGTGTTGGTCTGAAACACAAATCTTCAGATGCGCCGCCTGCCGCTGAGACAAACGGGTACGTTGTGCATAAACAGCGCCTGAGACACCACACCACGCTAACCGAGTTACTGTACGTAGATCGCCATCGGGCGCACCGTCTTCTGCAATTCCTACATCAACAAGCGCGCCTTCAACAGATCTTGTCGCGTGCCCAGCGGCCAACAATACCACCTACAAGGTGCCCGACACAAACAGCACGTTTTTGCGCGAGTGCGGCATCGACTATAGCGGCATCGACCAGGCCAAGGATATCGCTAGCGTATGGACCATGAGCATGCAGGATTGCATGTTCCAGTGCGCAGAGTATCCGGGCTGCGAGGCCTGCGGCTGGGGCGTCATTGAGAATGACCCGGGCAGCTTGCACCGGTGCTGGCTCAAGAGCGGCCTCAAGCAGGCGCACAAGTCCCGGCCCGGATGGGAGTTTGCGTATTTACAAAAGTAATCCCGGTAGATGTACATCCGGTATATCCGGTGTCTTCTTTTTTTTTTCGTTTTTATAGTAGCAGGTTACGGACCGGAGTTGGGATTTTGTATACTTTGACTTTGGCACATATTTCTTTTTTTCTTGCAGATACACATAGATCTTTTGCCGGTGTAATGATACCGGCTAGTAATGTAATGATAGTACATACCCTTATATACCATGATCGGCGGTCATCATTTCATTTTTAAAGGCACGTCGGGCATATCGGTGATAGTTCGTGACTCACGTATAACTGTGCCAGCCAACCAGTACCACAGTCCATACACACAAGAAACAGGGAGCATGTAATTCATTTGTAGACCATTGACAGCATATAGCATCAGCTATTTAACTGTTAAACATAACTATAGCCCTATTTTTGTAAACACTCGAATTGCGCCATCCACCCTCCCATATAAAAAAAGTGACAGCCAGCCACCCCGCACCCGCCGATCTCGCCCTCACGTCCATTCACGCCATTTACAACTACACGTTTTTTTCTGGCACCAGCCAATTCACTTCCACCATCTAACTTCACTATTATACGATAGTCCCTTTCAGATCAACATGCCAATCACTACGCAAACATTCAAAGAGGTACCGCCGGAGCTTATAACGCTGCTGCTGCGCTTCCTCCCCGAATCATTAACGATCCTCCGACGCCTGCAATTCATCAAGATAACCACCATTCAGAGACCCCATGGCCAAATCATATTCTGCTCCTCTGACGGTCCCCTCTCAGATACCTCTGCCAACACCATCAATTCGTTTACCGTCAGCTATCTAGACATTGCCGGCGGTCCGGACACGCAAATGTGGCTCTTTTCTACGCTCCAATGCCGGCCCAGCGACTCTCAGGAAACGGAGCAGTGCAAGGAACAGCTGGATGCGCTGGTGCAGCAAGTAAACGGAATCAACAAGGCATACGGCAAGCCTCTACACTACGGTGACTCGGTTGTCCTGGGCAGTCTGGAGAGCCATGTGCGTGCCGTATTTCAGATCGAGAAGCTCCTCACGCCTCGTCCAAGCGGCAACTACGATAAGTGGGTTCTGAATCTGGACGATATCCCAGCTAGCGATGATGCACTTCCCGAGGGCATGGTTTGGGGAACAGGCTCCTTGGACGACTGCAAGCTTGTGGCGTCGCGAACAGATATTCCGCGTCCTCCGTACGTATTGACTCCCCGAGTTGCTGTACCTGTCGCTCTCTCTTTATTAACTAACCATGTTGTATTAGCGAATTTCTGGTCCAACTGCAAAATTACTTTATCAAGTTGGAGGACGGTACACCTGTGGCATGGGCTTTTCTAGGTGAGTCCTGGTACGCGTGATTGTAAAGCATTACCTGTATTGACAACATCGTTTAGGAAGCGAGGCGACTCTGATTAGTGTGCACTGCGAGGTATGATGACTTACACAGATTCGATGTGGGATTGTATTAACACCGATAACAAATAGGAACCGTATAGACGCCGTGGCCTGGCAAAGCTCATCTCCATTAAGCTGCTTCGCGACAAGGTAGCCGTGTTTGGTCCTGGTGGCTTGTCGTCTGCGGATGTCGCAGCAAGCAATACCGCCAGTCGTGCTCTGTGCAAGGGCCTGGGAGGATATCCCACAAGCGTTGTTTCTTGGTGAGTTGCTATCTTCGTATGCTTGGTGAGAAGATGCGCTGACATGTGGACAGGGTCATGCTCAAGGTGGAATAAGTACAATAACATCCTTTCATTTTCAATAGACTCGTAAAATAGATGGTATGAATACATGGACAGATTACTCTGTAAAGAGTGTGCTCAAATATGCTTTGCAGTCCTCGGCATCCTTGGCAACGTAGCCAATGTACATATCAGGCCGGACGACAACCATGGCGCAATCAGCCTCTTGAATCCAGTCCCCTGTGAACTGAGTAGCATCTGATCCAGACTTTTGCACATCAATAGTGGTGACATACTTATCGAATCCAGTCGCTTCCACGGCGGGCAGTCCGACGTTGAGCACCAGATATTTGCCATACTGGACTTCTTTATAGAGCCAGGTTTCCTTCTTATCGTCCGACACCATCGGAACATCTGGGCATCGGAATCCAGCTTTCCAGATACCAGCTTCCGACGCCTTGACTATCGGGGAGCCACTCTGATCATATGCCACGCCCATACCAGTAATGTAGCCTGCGTTCCTCTGAATAGTAGCAACGTACGTCTTGGCTTCCTTGACTGTATCGCGAACAAGAGCAGCAGCGACATCGATGACGCCTTGTGCGGTGCTGCGTCGTTCCGTATCATAGCTGCGGACAATATCGCCAAGAGCTTTTTCTTGAATGCCCGAGCTGTCCAGGGCCATTGCTAGTCGCCACGACAGACTAAATGCATCGGCAATGCCAGTGTTTAGTCCCTGTCCTCCATTGACGGAATGGACATGAGCAGCGTCACCTCCCAAGAAGACCCGTCCGCTACCATCTTTTGATATAAAGGTGGAAGCAATTCGTTCCTTGACTAATTCCACAAGTTAGTATATATATTGACAGACGGATCTCAACCACCAATAGTACTAACCATCAAAGGTGCTGTACCATTCTATCTTTGTAAACTCAATCTTATGAGGCGCCAGGTGCTCCTTGATAGATTCTTGTGCACGCTCGCATGTTACTTCTCCATCCAAGAGGACGTAGAATCTGCAAAGGCCTCGCTCTCGTGGGATCCAGGACACGCGCGATTGGCCGTCGAGCTGAAACGTAATAATCTCCGGGCACTCTGGGAAGTCTGTCTCGATAAAGGTATCCAGAACAGCCCATAACATCTCTGGCTTTGTTCCGGTAAATGTTGCGCCAATGGCTTTGCGAACAAACGACCTTGCACCGTCTGCGCCGAGAACATATTTGCTGCGAACAACACGGCCAGCGTCTGTGACAATTTCGACAGAGTCATCTCCTTCCTCCAGCGATACAACCTGTTCTCCATAATGAACCAAATCGCTCAGTCGGTCACTGAGCATCTTCTCAATAACGGGCTGGCCAATCATAAGGAAGTTCTTATGCAGAGCATGTTGGAGGCTCACCCACCACTGGTTCTGGCGCGACTTGAACTCGCCATCTCCAAACGTAGAGCTTGCTGGAAAGGTCAACTCAGTCAGTTAAACAGTTCCAGCGTGATATAGAAGCCTGTGACTTACTGTTACACTTCAATCCCTGGGGCAGCAGCTCATCTAGCAAATCTGCTACTTCTAGATACTGTTGCGTTCTCGCATTCAACGCATCAGCCCGGCCCAAATCCAGGCTAGCAGGCTTTCCATCTTGAGTCTGGGTTAGAAAGTCACCCTAGTATTGCAGTGCATCTTTACTTGCCTATTACGGATACTTGGACTCCAAGTCTGTGAAGCAAAAGTGCAGTAGTGAGCCCAGTAGGACCTCCTATAATAGAATTAGTGGTGGTATAGGATATGCAGCCAGTGCTACGACGTACCGCCTACAATGGCTACATCTACGACTTGGGGAACACTCGTGATCACGGCAGAAGGCATAGTGATGGCAATGACTTGAGCATGAGCTTGCCAGAATAGGCAGGGGCTGTCTTGGATGATAAATCCATTCCAGATAGAAGTGGATGCGCTCGTTCAAGGTTTGATGTCAATGGATCGTTGCGCTGTCCTATGGGGGGGGGTCAGAATAACATGTTCTCTAGTGGCTTCTGCAAAGCTCAGTATCTTGGTACACGTATATGGCGGAATTGGCCTCGAGATTTCCGAGTCGCGGAAAGGGTGGCCCTAGCGCGGCGGCACCTTTGCTCATCAGACACGCCTCTTGTGCAAGGATCAGAAAATTTCGGCACCCGTTTGGCGATCCAGCTTTCGTTTTAGGTTACATGGCGTCTCACGGGTGGGCCGAACTCAAAAGTCTCCAAGCACTGGGAACCGACAAACGGCCGATGCCGTGATTGATCAGTCGTCAAGCTTTGCAGCCAAGTTTATCGGCCGCCGTCCAAAGTTTCGTCGCAAGCTGGCCTTGGCTCCAAGTTGCAGTCGTTATACTCCAAAAGATCCAATCCAACGTCTGGATCAGCGAGGCTGAGCAACTTGATGAGGGCCACCCAGAGAGCCAAAATCTATTCAGCATTTTTCCGGCGCATTAGACTTGGCAGGCTCCACGGCGGCGGTGCTATATTCGTCGTAGTTTTAGCTTAGCCTCCCGAGGCGGCGCGGCAGCGAAGACCAACCATATTGGGGGCTAGCCGTGGCGCCCTCTTACACCACAGCATCTTAACAATAACCTAATATTTCGTCGATCATTCCCGTCAGTTGTGCCTGTAAAAGATATACTGCACTCGGACAACTTCCAAGATGCTGACCCAGTGGTATGCACGGCCTCAAAAAGATGAACCTTAGCGAGTTGGTTGGAGGATTGGGAACAATTTTTCCGCCATCCACCGTCCCGGAGCGCGCTGTCACTTTGTCTGCGACACAGGTTCGTCCTATCCCACCTGCCTGCCGAGGCCTTCTAGTTGCGCTGATGTCTTCATTTAGGTGTTAGCGCCGTGGGAGGCCCACTGACCAGTCTTGCCCTGGGCTTCAAATATGCCGGCGGCGTTTTCTTTTTAGTGCCCCTGTTTTCTGAGTCCCAGGCCATAGTCTTTACTTAGGACCGTCCACTACGCCCGTTCACCCCTGACGGGCACGACGTGGGGTGCGCTGGGCCTACCGAGCTGCAAGGAAGGATCCATTTGACACTTGGATGCAGGCGATGCCGTGGCGCAATTCTTCCTTGGTTACAAATACACTTCTTCTGCATCTGGCGGGGCCGCGGGTGTTGTAGAGGGGCGTGTGAGTCGTGGGGTGTCCATCTCAGTCCCTCTCTGTCGACTGAAGAGAGCTATGCCAAATCCTTGTTCAATTTTTGAAGCAATGTCCAGTTCCGTGGTTTGTGCTTGCATCTGTATATATAGAAACTGGTCTCCGCCAGCGTAGCGTCAGTGACGATGTTCCAACTCCAACCATCTCTCTCTCATCAATACTCAATCATGGCTCCCGCTGTTATTGATCCGCTTCCTCGGGTTGCGTCTCCTATTCAACGACCCTCTCCGTCATATCCTCTCAAATCTTCCCAATTCAGTATCCAGGATGGATCTGGTGTAGCATCGCCAGTTCGCACACCAACGGCATCTCTACCAACTGTAGTCGACGCCGCTGCGTTAGAGACTGCATCCAAGATACTCAATATTATCCACCGCTATCGCCTCAATAAATCTCCAACTGCCCCAGAAAAGGCTGATGAAGGCGCTCTCAAGTTTCTCGCCGTCATCTACAACCATGTCAAGTCCGGCAAGGCTGTTCCTATGTGTTTGCCCGCTTTCCCATTCAAGTCTCCCAACTCCATGAGCAAGGTTATGGGCAAACTCCCAGACCGAGCAGAGGAGCTGGCCCTTGCCCACATGAACGGTCTTTGCGCTGCCATTCAAGGAATCTATCCTCCTGGAGCCAAGCTCACCATCATCTCCGATGGTCTTGTATACAACGGTAAGTGTCCTGGTGTTTCGTCTGTTCGATTTCTTCCGTACTAACAGCACTGCAGATTTGCTCGGAGTGCCCGACAAAGACGTCTGGAATTACGGCCAGACTCTTCGCGCCCTCGCTATTGAGAAGGGCTTCGAGCACATCAGCTTCTCCCGCCTGCGCGATCTCGTTTCTATCAATCTGCCCGATGCCCTCGACGAGATGACCTATGTCGCCAACGCCACAAACTTTCGCCGCGTACTACTCAATACATTCAGCCGCCCTGACTGGGATTGGGACGTTGTTAGTCAGAGCGAGGATGTCTGCCTCACATATCGTGGATATCTCAAGTTCTTGGAAACCGACCTGGCCACAGTTTACCCTATTGAAGGAGACCGTACCAAGTCGCAGTTCAGAAAGGGCCTCAAGTACATCGCCAGAGAGATGATGGCTCGTGGTGATGTAAGTCAAACGTTTCTGATGCTTCTCATCAGCTCCTCGTTGCTAACTTGGTTGTCTTCTAGGCATTTGCCAGCGCTGTCCGACAAAAGTATCCCGACCACGTCCGGCTCTCTATTCATCCTTCGACTGGTGCTGTGAAGCTCTCCATCAGTCTTCTTCCTACCTCCAGCATGTACACAACCCCCTGGCACTGCAGTGTGGCATACATGTTGGACGGACAAGTAATCTCGGGCATGCGAAAGGATTTCGAAAATGACGAACGCCTGGAACTTGTCTATGAGAACGACCGCCCAAGCTATTTCAGAGAAAAGTCCGATTTGTTGTCCTGGGGATTTGAAAACGGTGGCATAACCTGCACACCTATTTATCCCACAGGCTGGATGATCAAACCAGCTTCGGGTCACGGCGCATTGTCCATTAAGCACGTGGACGCCTTCAAAGTCCGCGCACTATCCGAGATCAACTCTCCTATCGTCCTGCGCGGCTTTGCCAGATCAACACACCGAGATCTGTACCTCGATAAGGCGCATCAGTTTGGAGAGCCTCTGCCGTGGAAGTTTGGTCTTGTTCTCGAAGTCAAGGATCAGGGGGATAACACTCGTGGTCTCAACAACGTTCTCTCAGCTGAGTGGATGCCATTCCACTACGATGGCTTATTCAAGACTGCCAAACAAACGAACGCGGAGGGGCAAGAGGTCCTAGTCTCGACGCCGCCTCGATTCCAGTTCTTTGTCGGAGCTACCGCCTCTCCAAAGGATACTGGCTTCACTCTGTTTTCCTCTTCAACTTCCGTCTTCAACCTCTTGCCTTCCTGGTTAACCGTTGAGTACTTGTCAACATTGACCTGGTCTGTATCAACCTCCTCCTTTGATGCTACCGTTCTCAAGAATATCCCATTGGTTGTTTCACATCCCGTCACTGGAAAGCCTTGCTTGCGGTATCATGAGCCATGGCCTTCTACGAAGACCAAATTTGATGCCACACATGTTACAATCGAGGGTGTTACAGAGGATGAGAGTACGCGCATCTGCGCAGCTCTTGATGAGATCCTTCACGACCGTCGCGTCGCCTACTACCATGCATGGGATAAGGGAGACATGGTTATCAGCGACAACATTCTCATGATGCACACAAGAAGCGATTTCCAGTCTGGCTGTGACCGAGAGCTGTGGCGCATCCATTTCGACTGAGCAGCCTTATGCTATCCCTGAGGTCGTCATTCATCTGATGATGAAGCCGTGTATTTTATGCCGCGAGATGTGGGGTGCTGAATGCCCTAATTTCGTATGATTTGATGAACACTGTCATTCCTGTATATAGCTTGATGAAGGCATGAACTCCGCCGTAAATAGAACAATCTTACCAAGAACATTTGACCCCAAAAAGCAGTTGTAGCTATTCAAGGAACTAAAGCTCATGATCCAGCATAGAGTGATTATCATTAGTTGAAATGAGTGAAATAGTATGCCAATTAACGCCGGATGCATTTTCCAGCATCAAGTTATACACACTGTGTCGAATTTGTGACGGGCTTTGTTCTATATCAGCACGTCGAGTCTTGTTTGAACTGGTCGTTACGCTGCACTCATCCACATGTTCTTGTGCTTTTCGTTTTGGAAGAGATTTGACGGACCCGTAGCAAACATCTTCACCCGAGTCAGATATCTCTGCTAGTTCCGATAAAACTGTATCAAGCCTGGTTCGAAGACAATGAGGTTCGTATTGGTCACTTTGCAGACTATCATAGCAAACACCTCTTATAATCTCGGGTGAGCTGATGTTTTGGGATACAGAGTCTGTCATAGTCTCATAACGAGTTGAATGGGTCTGAGACTCTGTATGGGCACGCTCCTCTTGCCTAGTCGGAGCCATTTGTTGGAACTCGTCCAACAGGGTATCATACGCGAAATTGGTCCCAGAGCAGTACTTTCCAAATAGTGAAGCAACAGAGATCCCTATAACAAATTAGCTAAATATAAATAACATTGAAGAAGATTTCTTCAGACCTTTATCTGTCCAATCTTTCAAGTTTTCTGTACAAGGCCAAACATCTCTGGGCCGAAAAAGTTTAACCAACTCGCATTGTTCGGGGTAGCTAGAGTGCCGCGCAAATGCAAATTTGATGACCTTTGGTAAATCCATGTCTCCGTTGATTATAGCTTCTTGCGTTGGGAGGCTAGTTTTATTCATAGCTTGCTCTTGAATGGTTTGAAAGTCAGACTTTAGATCGTCAGTCATGCGTGTCACCGGAATATCTAGAGAAACTGCGCGTCCAGTGTCACGAGCGCGAGCCAACTTTTCTCTTCCCACAAGTAGTTCTTCTACCGAGGCACCTTGCGGTAGGATGCTTGAAATGATTAATACCAGTCCGTACCAATTCTTTACACGTACGTACATGTCTTGTAGGACCTGGTCAACGTCTTCTACATCAACCAAGTCTAGTTCCGCCTCGCGTTGTAAATCGCTACCACCTCCACCAACGCCAATTTCAGGAATACCTGTACCATCAGGAAAGAGCACCACGACTGGATATATCGTTACGATGCCCTTCTGACGCGCTGTCTCGCATCTATCGCGAGATTCACATGCGTGGACCCTTGCTTGTCTGTTCGATGACAAGCAGCCAGGGTGCGTCGAGTTTCCAACTACATATCCGTTGAGCCACGGGCTCTCGGAGCAACGGTATACACGCAGTTTGTAATCGTCCAGATGGACCTTGCTCCTATTAGCTCAAGAAGCGGCACGTCTCATAAGTGCTTACCTGAGTATCAAGTGCCTTGGCGAGAGCAGTCCATACATTTTCGTAGCCAAATGTACGAGAATGTAAGTAGAAGATTGTATCATTAGGATATTGTGTCACCTTACGCACCAGGTCTGCAATACCCTGTGCGTTTGGTTGAAAATGGACATCGCCAAGATGTGAGGTGTCGAGATAGATTTTGTCCAATATTTTAATACCAGATGTATACTCAAGCAAGCATGATTTGTTTGCTAGGCATTCTATATGCCATGGCTCGCACCGAATATCTCCAGTATATAAAATGGCCCTGCCACCGCCTTCGATTACTTTTCTGTGTTAGTTCCGGTCTAGCAGCGGACGAAGTTTTGTTTACATACGAAACATGACTGAGCCTGGACAGTGGTTTGCGTCTATCAAAGTAACAGTGATAAACGTGTTGGGCGCTAGTTCAATCTTTGTCGGGGTATCCAAAGGAATTGGTTTCTATATTAACAATTAGTACAGTCATTCGTTGGGATAGACTCTGCGGAGATTACTAGAATCCGAGCGAGGGAGCTGTATGTCTGCTTCCGGGCTTCCAATATCCCTTTCGAATAATTGATTCGGCATGGATATCTCTCCAGCTTTAAGAGCATCGCTCTCGTCGCGGCCGAGCAATAGACACTGGTGCGTGCATATTAGTGTAGCCCAGGCAGTCGTAGTGTAGGTTACGGTGTACTTACAATGGCGATCGCAGAGTCTCTAGCCCTGCAAGATGATCACTGTGTACGTGACTTAGGAAACATGCCAACGGAGGTCGTATATTAGCATGTTTTCGGAAAAAGTCAACTGCGATGTGTTTAGTTCACGGTGCTATAGTTAGAGGTCTTATGTAGCGTACTGCGGATATCGGGAAACTCATCAACAATACCGTTAAATGTTGACATTACGAAATACTACCGCTTTTTCAGGCTCCACTTGTATTAAATGGGTTTGTAAAACTGAAAGTAGTTGTGCATTTGTTGACGATGAAGGCAGAAGAAACAACACACATCGTGCACACGCTTCTTGCCAGGTGCCACGCCTGTCTCCACCACAACCACAGTGAACATTGCCAGGCAGACAGCCGCCCAAACTGTACCAAAAGACTATATGGAACGGTAACTGCAAACATGTTCTACTTTTATTTTTTTTTCTCATAATGACGCTATAATTTACAGACTAAATCCAAATCCCATACCCATGCTATCATCACCGCCCAAGAACAATCCACCAACAGAATTCTTCTCACGCTCCCTCAGTAGCGCCGCAACATCTACACGACCACCCGTGATATATCGTTCACTCACGCCCAAATTGACCCTACGGCCCATCTCCTCACGCAGACGGGCTCGCAAGGCCCCCATTTCCGCCTTTGTCAGCGACGCAGCCTCCTGATCCTTGCGCTTTCTGCCGCCGCCCCGGCCGCCCTTCCAGCCGCTATTGGCAGCGTTCTCCTCAAACTCCTCCTCATCGTACTCGACACCGAGCTCATCCGCAGCATTCTTAAGCCACTGGTCTTCGCTGTGCGTCTTCTCCTTGGCAAGCACGGCGTCGGCAAGGCGCTTGGCCAGGTCTGCGCGGGGCTTCAAGCGCGTTGCGATTTTGCGGTCTACAGGCAGCGTCTCGATGAAGTATTCCCTCTTGCCTGAACGCTCGGCGTGGACTTTACCAGCGAGACGGCGTGTGGGGAGCACCTCGTCCGCGGAGCAGAGCATGACGCTTACACCGGTTCGGTCTCCACGTGCCGTTCTGCCCGAACGATGGATATAAGTGTCTGCTGTGCGCGGAACGTGGTAGTGTAGAACGAGATCGACTTCTTTGATATCAAGACCACGGGCAGCCACGTCGGTGGCGACTAGGATCGACTTGCTGTTGGCAGTGAATCTTTCCAGTGAGCGCAAACGGGCTTTTTGGATCATTTGTGAGTGTAGAGGGAGAGCGGTGAGCTCAAGGTTTTGGAGGAATGGCACAATGCGTCGCACGGCAGAGATGGAGTTTGTAAAGACAATGGTTCGCTTTCCGGGGTTGAGCGCAAGCAATGCATACAAGAACAAGTCCTAGAAATCAAATGGTTAGAATCTTTTATCTTGCAGAAATTCACACAGATTTTCTTACCTTTTCCATAGCGCCACATTCAATAAGACCTTCTTTCAATCCATCAGCCATTTGACTGACAGGGTTCACATCAATGTACTTCGGTTGGCCACGGAACTTGAGCCTCTTCATCAGATACGCCATCTTTTCTGCATCTGTGCCTGTAGAGGACGATCGTCCCTTACCAGCCAGCTTTGTCTGGAGATCCTTATCAAAAGTCGCCGAAAACACAAGTGTCTGTCGTGGCGGTAACTCAGCATCATCAGAATCCTCTTCAGCTTCCGGATCGACTCGGTCCAGCGCTCCAATAATCGACTCAGCTTCCTGGAACTGGCCTGCCTTGAAGAGTCTATCAGCCTCATCAACAACCAGGAACTGGATCCTTGTAAATGCAGTCTGCAGCTTCATATCGCCCTCCATTACTTCCCACAGTCGGCCAGGCGTACCAACAACAATGTCAGCCTTTTCAAGCTGGCGCTGCTGCTTCTGAATACTCAGACCACCAGTGACAATACAGACGTAGGGGGCACTAGACAGATTATCGCAGAGCGCCTTAATATGGTCGCCAAGCTGCTTTGCAAGTTCTCTGGTCGGACTGAGAATAAGAGCTAGCGGGCCCTTGCGCTCTGCACCATCCTGTTGTGCGTCCTGAAGCTCCAACCACTGTTCGACGATCGGAATGCCAAAGGCAAGAGTTTTACCGGAACCAGTCTGGGCCTTACCAATAACATCAGCGCCAGAGAGAATTTCGGGAATAGACTGCTGCTGAATAAGAGTAGGCTGTGAGAAACCAAGTTTGGCGATGCCAGACAAAACTCTAGGCGACAGACCAAGAGCTGCCCAAGCTTCGACATCTGTGTTTTCCTCTTCGCCTACGCTTTCCAAGGCGGAAAAAGCATTGCTTGCTGTATCCTTTCTGTTTGTATCCAATGCTGTATCCTTCTTGTCTGCTTTCTTCTTGTCCTTCTTTTGTTTCTCTTGCTTGGGCTTCGTTTCGGGTGCCTTCTCGGGCTTGTCGTCAGATTTCTCGGTATTTTCCTCTGCTTCGATTTCCTTATTCTCGTCGTCGCTGAAACCTTCGAATGATTCGCCGTCGTCGGCATCATCCTCGTCGGGAACAACTGCGGTCGTTCCATTCTCAGCCACCACAAACGACACCTTGTCGCCACTTCTCACCACATCGACACCCTCAATAATCTCAAGGCCGCCAAACTCTTCTACACCAACCATCTGCCAGGCCAGACTCGAGGCGTCGTTAACTGTCTTTGTAGGGCCGGTCGCCTTTTTGCCCTGCTTCTTGGCGGGGTTCCGGCGCTTGTTGGAGGCTTCAGCGCCGCCTTGAAGCTTGCGCTTCTTTGGGAGCTGCGCCATTGCTGTGTATTTTTGGGAGCTTATTCAATATTTTCGATTCCGTTTATCGTAAATCTCTTTGTCACGCGTCGTCAAAGATGGCTGTTGTCGATGTCTTCGCACTCATAAACCCCGTCAAAATTCAATGCAGCAACAAAGTTGGCCGTCAAAATTTCGACAAATTTTTGGAGTCGGCGGTCGGCCCCATTTTTGCCGACTCGACCGATCCGATCCGGCAGCCGAGCCTCTAAGACACATTTTACAACAACAGTATTATCATTTACTTTAATTCACAATAGAAACGAGGGCAATTTTGTCTAGTAAAAGTCGAAATGCGGGTTATTCCTCATTATAAGTACATACAAACAAAGGAAAAAGAAATGTAGCCTGTAGTTCAACAGCAAATAGCACAATCAACCTTGATTCCCTTCCGTAACTCTAAACATCCTCAATCCCTATTGAATACGTGATCAATTGATTCTAGATTCTCCGCGTTTAATGGGCTCCTCGAGGCCGCTTAGCACCAGCACCAGCTTCCGAATCGCCACGAGGACGCTTTGATCCGGGTTGGAAGTCGGCAGCAACGGGATTCATGCCGCCACGTCCACCACGGGCACCACCTCGTCCGCCTCTGACAGCACCAGCTGTTGCACCTTCATGATTGCCGCTAGCTGCGCGCTGACCAGGTGGTACGTAGGTTCCACCACGTCCACGGCCGCCTCCACGAGGCATAGGGATGCCGGAGCGTACTGGCGCTGCGGCTGGCTGGGCAGCTGCTGCTGCGGGAGCGGCGTTTGCGAACGGGTTAGCGGCAGCGGGAGCAGCAGCGTTGGCAGGCACAGCAAATGGGTTGTTTGGCTGTGCTGCCGCCGCTGGAGCCGCTGCTGTTGGCGTTGCCGGCGCAGCGTCAGCTGGCTTCGACGGTGTCGTTGTAGGTCCGCTCATCGAAGCTTGACGAGCCGGAGTCGCAACCTTGGGAGTGGCCGGAGCAGCAGGCGCAGGTGCAGGAGGCACAGGGGCAGCCTTTGCGGCCTCCCAGACCTCTCCTACAGGGCGTTCTGGCGTTTCCTTGGCTGCTGTTTCAACAACCCCAATCTTAGTGTTGGCTGCACGAAGCTTATTCTCATTCATATTGATGCGCAGCGACGACTTCTTCGCCTCCATCATTTGAGCCTGTTCACGAGCTGCGGTGATCTTAGCCTCGTACTCGCCCTTGACCTTGGCGCTCTCGGCATCCAGACGCTTCTTAATGTTGGAGGAGATGATACCCTTGGCTGTAGCATTTGTCGCCAAGAATTGTCGAAGCTCGGTATCATCAAGCTGCTGAAGGGCAGCAGCACCGCTAACTGCAGGTGCCGGTGCCGGTGTCGGTGCTGCTGGTGTAGCCTCAGCATTAGCGGCCGGGGCAGCGGTAGCAGCATTCTCGGCTTGCCAGATAAGCTTCTCCTGCTCCAGCTTCAGGTTGAGGTCATCTTCCTTCTTCTTGTATTCCTCCTCCATCTTAGCTCGGCTCTCCTTAAGCTTGTTATTGAGAGTATCTTTCATCTTGTTGCAGCGGTCCTTGACAGTCTGCTGGATGTTGGCCTCCGTTTCAGCAGCCAGAGCTTCAGCTTTGGTGGCCTTGGCCTCGGCTGCGGAAATCTGCTCCTGGAGAGCTTGACGTTCCTCGTCAGTGAGACCAGCAGCAGCGGCAGAGACAGAATCGGTAGTCTCTGTGGTAGATGGAGCTGGAGCTGCAGATTCACCAGCAGCACCATTCGCTGAGAGACTGTTAAGGGCCTCGTCGCGCTCAGCAACAGCAGTTTGCAGTTCGCCACGCAAGGACTCGAGCTGTTGTTCGGCATCCGCCTTTTGTGTGTTGATGGATTCTAGCTCAGCACGGATCTCAGTGAGTTGCTGTTCAAGCTGCTGAACAACGGCAGCAGAGGCACCGGCATCCTCAGAAATGGGTGCGGTAGCAGGAGCAGCCGCTGGTGCGGCGGGTGCAGGGTTCTGTTGAAGTTGCTCCAGTTGTTGTTTGAGCTCTTCCACCTGTTGCTGAAGGGTCTCGTTTTCAGATCCAGCCTGATCAGTTGAAGATTGCGCGCCTTCGAGGTCAGCGTTGGCCTTGTCAAGCTGCTCTTGGAGCTGGTTAGCTCGCTGGGCAGCTTCATTCTTTTCAGCAGACAGCTTCCTGGAACGTTCCTTGAACTGCTCAGTGAGTCTGGTGCGCGTCGTTTGCCAGTTGTTCCTCTCTGCTTCAAGTGTAGCTTCGAGCTCTGTGACCTTGACCTTCAACGGCTCCTCGCCTTCCTTCAGAGTCTGGCACTTGGTCTCAAGCTCGGTAATCGTAGTCTTGAGCTGTTCCATTTCTGCAGGGTCGACACGACCATACTTGGTCAAGATGCCCTCTGTTCTCTTCTGCCAGCGATCTCTATCCTCCTGGATTTGCTTGATTTCATCTTCCAAGAAGGACTTTTGCGTGTTGAGATTGTCGATTTCAGCTTCGAGGGGTTGTACCTTTGTCTCCAGCTCCTGAATCTTACCAGCCTTGGCGGCGATCTGGTCCTTGAGTTGACCATTCTCACTGCGCAAGGCCATACTGCTTTCACGGTAGAGGTTCAGCTCATTGAGCTTCTCCATAAGCTCTTGGTGTGTGACAGATGAGCGATTGCTCTGAACAGACTGGGTGCGTTCTTGATCCAGCTTCAACTTGGTTTCGTCAAGCTGAGACTGCACATATTCAACTTGCTGTTGAAGACGCTTAGCCTCTTGCGACTTGAGGTCGTATTGAACCTCAAGAATCTCCTTTTCGCGACGGAGATAGTTGTTGAGCTCGCGGAGGCCTTCAGAGACATCACCAGTGCCGATAGATGCAGTGGTTTCTTCCGCACCATCTGCGCTCTGGCGACTTTGTTGGAGGGCGGCAACCTGGCTCGATAGACCTTCAAGCTGTTGGTGAAGTAGCTTATTTTGAGCATTAACATCCTCGCGGCGGGCCTTCAACTCAGTCATCTCTTGCTCAAGCTGAGATTTCCTGTCGTCCCAAGAGCTCTCATTCTGTGCAAGTGTTACCTTGGCAGACTCGGCCTCTGCTCTCCAAGCAGCTGCTGCCGACTTGAGTTCGTTGTGTTCTTTGCGCAATTGTTGCACAAGCTTGGCCGCGTCGGCGTGCTTGACCAATTCCTGCTCGTAATCTTGCTGCGCCTTGGAGGCAATTTCGGCTTGTGCGCGCAGGTCTTGCTGGTGGAATCTGGCAGACTCTGCGTGCCTGGCGCTATCATCCTTGAGGCGCTTCACCTCATCCTCAAGAATGGTCTTCTCGTCTTCGTACTTGCGAGCAATGTCACCTTGTGAGTCGCGCAAGGTAGAGAGCTCGGTGTTGGTACGAGAGAGCTCCGAAGACATATCTTCCAGTCTTTGGCTGAACTCCTTGACCTTGTTGTCCTTCTCTTCAATCAGAGAGGTCATTTCTTCCTTGTACTGCTCTTGGACCGAACGCAGATCCTCCAGTGTTTCCTCGTTAGCTTGGCTGAGCTCCTTGTATTGCTCAGCCTGAGCCTTGGCGTTTTCAAGTTGTGTGTTAGCAAGATCCAAATCACGCTTAATATCAGAAATTTCAGTGTTGAGTTCCTGAACCTGTGTCTCGAGATCTTGCTGGTACTGGCTGGTCTCAGCGCCAGGTCGTGGCGTAGGTCGTGGCTGCAAGCGGCCCACGCGCTCTTCAGCATTCTTCAACTCTACCGTCAACTCATCGACACGAGCCTGGAGATGATCCTTAGTGGTCTTAGCTGCAACCAGATCCTCACGAACCTGGCCGAGGCTTGACATGAGCTCGTCAATACGCTTCTGGGATTCTCTCGACTCAAACTCCTTGCGCTGTTGGAGATGTTTGCTCTCCTCAGCAGACTGAGAGAGTCGTCGCTGGACGTCGTTGAATTCCTGCTCAAGATGTTCAACTCTAGCCTGAGCCTTGCGGCGCGCCTCGGATTCGGACAAGATGCGTTCGTTATCGACAGACTGTTGGGTAGCCAGCATGGTGCTAAGGCGGCCATTCTCTTGGCCAAGAGTCTCATTCTCCTTGCAGAGACGGTCCTCTCTATCCTTCCAAAGCTTCTTTTCAGCCTTCAGATTGGCTGTCTCGTTACGTGTACTATCGAGTAAGCCCTTGGTATCAATGAGCTCTTCAGCAACCTGCTGAGTTCGAATATCCTGCTTAGCTGCAGTCTCAGAAAGAACCTGGTTTCGCTTTTGAAGCTCGCGGTTCTCATTTTGGAGTGCTGTGTAGTTGCCCTGAAGCATCTCGCGGCGTTCCGACTCCAGTCTAGCCTCACCGTGAAGCTTGATTTTCTCGCTTTGCAGTGTGCTCTTTTCGGCAGAAAGGGAATCTAGCTGGTGTCTAAGATCTTTGCGAACGCCATCCTGAGCCTCTCTGAAGCTGTCGTATTCGGACTGGAGTTTGCGAAGAGCTTCGCTCAATGTTTCGGTTTGTTCGATAGAGTCCAGGTTGGCGAGAGGTGCACGGCCGTCGAGCGAGCTGCGCATCATAGAGGCTTCGTCACCGCCGGCAGTTCTCTGTTGCAACAAGCGTCGGAACATGTCACGCTCAGTCTTGTAGCTTTCCATGGTGTTCTTGATGGATCGCGACTCTTCGGTGAGATGCAGCAGTTCTTGCTCAAGGGTTTCTACCTTGTCGTGATCTTCCTTTGCTTGGTGCTTGGCGGCAAGCGCTTCTTCGCTCTCCATCTGCTCCGCCAGTTCTCTGGTGATGCGCAACAAGTCTTCGTTCTTTGCCTGTAGCGAGGCAACGTCTTTGAAAACAACAAGCTTCTGGGTAATAAACTGGTGAGTATCAGACATATCATTGAGGGCTTCCTCAGTGACTTCTCCCTTCTCAAGTTGCTTAAGGCGGTAGACTTCTTCATCAGTTAGCTGCTCGATGCCCTTCTCCAGAGCATATGCGTTGAAAACGAGCATCTGGATCTGAGTTCCGAGGTCGCGGAGTTGCGTTCGGAGAATCTTGCTCTCAGACTGGGCGGTAGACAACATGTTTTCTGCCTTTCGCGCACTCTTCTTAGCCAAGTCTCGCTCCTGGAAGCTCTGCTGCGAGAGCTCTGACATGTGAGCAATCTCAGCTCGCAGATTTTCCGACTCGGCTTGCAATTCCTGAATTTCTGGCGCCTTGGCCTCCAGAGCAGCCAGCATATTGTCAAGTTCGTCGACCAACTGTTGATTGCGTCGCTTTTCGTTGGCAAGCTGGCCCTTGACCTGGTATAGCTGTTCGATGGCCTGGGTAGCGGTGATGGCGCTCTTGCTGCGAATCGAGGCCGGAGTTCCAAAGGGAGAGGCAGCTCGGGCAAGGCCTCCGTTGGCTCTGGGAGTCTGCGGCGCAGATGCCAGAGGAGCAGCATGTTCCATGCGAGCCTGTGTCTCGTCGAGTTCGCTCTCGAGCTGGCGGATCTTCTCTTCCATTTCGGTAACGACCCGTCTCTCTTGTTCTAGCTCAACACGGACTCGTCGGATTTCGTTTTCAGAGTTGTCCCTGAGGCGCTCTTTTTCGGCTTCGAGTTCTCGGACGCGGTCCTGGTGCTGTCGGCTGAGCTGGTTAGAGAGCTCTACAAGACGTCGCTGATCTTCGAGCTCGTGCTTGTAGCTATCTTCAGTCGCTGCAAAGGATTCTTCCTGCTTCTGAATCTTCACTAGAGAGTCGTCAATCTTGGACTGCATGGCGGTCAGGCGGTCGCGGAGCTGCTGCTCAGTTCGCTTAAACGAGTCGACCTGCGAGATGGCGTCTTCATTTTGGCGCTGTAGCTCGGCAATACGGGCACCCTTTTCCTTGCGGAATTTGAGGGCTTCTTCGCTCTTGGTTTTAAGTTCGTTCTCAAGCCATTCGCCGTTGCGACGCGTCAAGTCGAGTTGTTGCTGTAAAGATTCTTCGCGGTACTTGGCGCTGTTGAGCTGACCACGGGCATTCTGTTCAGACTGCTGAAGGGATGTAACTTCCCTGGCGAGCTCGACGTTGCGCTGGTGCTGCTTGGTTAATTCTTCAGTGACAGTCTGATCGCGCTTGTTGTTCGACTCGATGATGCTCATGTTGGTTCGGTTCGACGACTGGAGGGTCTCAATCTTGTCATTGAGAGCCTTGACTTCGGCATCGTGGTCGGCAATCTTTGCTTTCGTAACTCGAAGTTCGTTCTCAACTGTCTGTCGCTTTGTTTCTGTGGGAGAGCGTCTGTGTTAGCATCTTGTGGCAGCATGTCTCGTTTGTAGCAACAGCGTCTTACCTTCTTCGCGCAGCTTCTGTCGGGCTTCTTCTACATCTTTGAGGGCCTTTTCGGTTGTAGCCTTGGAGGTCTGCGACCGCGATTCGGAATTGCGCACTGCATTTTCGAGAGCAATGTCGGTTTCGAGCTTCTCCGCATACAACGTCTCAAACTCATGAGCCTTGTTGGCAACGGCGCGCAAGACAGCAGCTACTAAATCGGCAGTAGGCTCTGTTGCGAGAGTCGCAATTACAGGCTGGTCAAGGCCCAGATGGCCGGCAACGTAGCCGATGTCTAGATCGGGGGCGGCCATGATGGTGTTGCCGTTTGCTGAATTACCAGCCCTCGAGGGGCGAACTCCGTGAGATGGAGCTTGATCCAACGGGAGACGAAATTAGTATCCGACCAAAGGTGGTGCTATCATCGAGGAGCTGAATGGCAGATCAGCTATCGCGGCGATTTCGTGCTGATGGGCGATGGTGATAAATCAGCAGCGTTGCTGAGGTTGGCAGTTTGCAGGCAAGAAAGGGAATCCAAAGGCAAGCAAAATGAACCAAGCTCTGGCGCGACGCTGCCTGCGGGAAGCGCCTGGCTGAAAGCGGTTAGCGCCAAAAACAACAAAGCACAGCAGAGCAACACGCCCGGGCCAACCAACCAGAGCCTTGAAAATAGAATACCCGATAATCACCCGGGCGCTAGCTATGGGAAGCTACCCGGCATCCAGATTTTGTAAGTTTGATTTGCAGGCTAAACAGAAATATATATATTATAAGTGTTGAGTATATAAGTTGGAGTAAGAAATATTGTTAGTCAAACTCTATCAATTATTTTCAAAACGAGATGTATGTTTGTGGAAGGTTAACTCCGTCAACGTGGTGGTTTGTCACACAGCAGAACGAGGAGCGTGTTATGTAGTTCAAGGTTGTTAATTAATGTGCCAACATCGCTGCAGTATTGCAAAGCGTGTGCATGTGGCTAAGTGGTATCTCTAATGCGATGTAGTAGTTCTAAACTCCATGTAAATGCGTCGCTAAATAAACAAAATGCAATGTTTCCGTATCCTGACAGGTTCCCTTTTGACTCCAAAAGAACAGAAAAAGAAATAAGACGACATGCCATGGGTGTCTTTCACCGGATGGCACGTCTGGTAACGTGATTGTCAGCCTTGTCACCAAAGGCTTTCTTCATAGCGCTGGCGCATGACTGAGTAAAAGATCGAGTCATTGCAAATGTACGAGAGTTGCTTCGGCATCTAGATGGCCGGCTCTCGCTAGTAATGTGAGGTGCAATGTTGTCCTCGCTTGCGGTAGGGATAGTGTAGTCTCGGGAATCGAAGCTGGAGAAGGTGTATTGTTCTTCAGCTTGGTAGGAAGGGGAGATGGTGAAGCTGGGGATCTTGAAGGGAGTGGGGGAGTTGAAGTCGACAGGCGCAGGGGAAGAGACTTCAGCGGCATTCTGTTGCTGCTGCTCTGCGTCTGCGGCCTGGAGAGTCTTCCAGAGGGCGTGGCCAAGGTCATCCCAGATGACGGCAGCCTTGAAGAGCTTTCTGCAGGCACGAGTTCCTTCACTCTCGCTAAGCTTGCCATAGCTCTCAAGCTCTTGCATGGAGGGGACGTATTCCCAGTTGATGGAGATTTGCTCGAGCTGATCATTCCAGGCACATTGTTGTAAAAAGTTGACGAGATATGTGCGAACCCATTTGCGGTTCTCCTCTTCGATGCGCTCCATGGCTTCGGTGGAGAGGGCTGAATCTGTGGTGCTGGTGCTTGACTTGCGAGTCTTCCACTTCTTTCGTGGGAGTTCAAAAATGCTCGCCGACCGCGACGAGCATGGAGACGGTGTTATTGTCGACATTATGAGGGTATTTTTTTGTGTCTGTTTTGGAAAAGGTGGTGGGCGAGGGTTTACGTTGCTTTTGTTGGTTGGGTGCAACGCACGGCGGTGCGTGTTGGGTCGCGGGCGGTCGCGCTGGTGGCGGGCAGGGCGGTAACCAACAAGTGAACAGCGGTGGTGGTGGGTGGGTGGTGGGTGCAGGCGATTAAAGTACTGGGCGATCCTGTCGATGGAATACCTTTTAAGTTGTTGTTAAAGGGATCGCTTTTGAGGATTTGCAAGAGAAAATTGCAAACGCAAAACGGTGTTCAAGGCAGAAGCAGTGGCAGCTTTGTGACAAAGAGCCGGCGGAGGGGCGGGCGACGTGTTATACGACTCGGGATGGGACAAAAACGGTCAGAGCCCAGTGAATACGATTTGCGAGACACCGAGCGGTAAGATGGGGGCCGGGCTAGGCTAATGGTTGGTTGGCTATTTGGCAGCCTGGTGACGGCGAGTCTGGTGAGCCAACGTTGCGTCGACCGTGGGTAATGAGGCTGCAAGTGGGATAAGTCGGGACGGGTTGGTTGGTTGGGGGCGGGACGGGTCTCGGGCTGGCTGGTGACCGCCACCAAAAGGATGTGCTGCGATGACGGCGATGAGCCAGCGATGAACGATCCGCTGGCACACGCAGGGGGTGTTGGTTTTGGATGTGGTGGTGATGCAGCGCTTGCCTTGCTTGCTACTGAGCATCAAGGGGCAGACGTGATGCGCTGCTGCGGCAAGTTTCTTCTTTTCCTGGCGTTTGGCGCAACCATTGTCTGGAATTATCAGCCTCCCATTTCTTTTTATTTTCATTTATGTTGGCGCTATTTTTCTTTGCTTGGCTGTACCTTGCTGTATTGGGAAGGCCGGCAAGTTCCTGTTTTCCTTTTGTGCAAGAGTCAGGTAGCGTCGGGGTCAGGAGCCCGAGCACACCGCCAGCTAACGCACCAACAAACAAGATAGCTTGTGACGGAGCCAACTTTTTTTTTTTTTGCGGAGGAGGGGCGAGGGACACAAGCGACGATGGGGCAGCACCGCTTGTTGGTGGATTTTTCCTTGTTGTGATGTGTGGCGACAGCCGGACATGGGGCAGCGCCCAAGCTTAGATTAGCCTCGATATCACGGGTGGTGGGAGGGAACGAACGAGCAAGCAAGCACCACTAAGCGGCGGCCATCGGTGCTTACACACACCACCCACCCACCACAGGCCTAGGCCGAGCTGACCGCCCTGTTTTTCCCGAGCACAACAGCTCCTGCCAGCGGATTGCCAGCGGGACGCCGGGCGGGCGCTAAAGAATGACCAATCCATGTGCAGTAAACTGCTCATGCGTGACCAACACGGTCGCAACAAGGCCAGCGCTTGCGTGCTTGCTACACCCGACACACACGTCGGAGAAAAGGAAAAATCAGAGACACTTTTGAAAATTTAGGAACAGGAAAACAAAGGAAATTTTCAATAGTCGCGAAGCACAAACAATGCAAGAAGCAAACAGAGGCTTTTGATCAAAGGAAAAAAGAAAACAGCTGGCAGCTTGGCTCTGACCCCTACATGGGCCTAGGCTGCTGTCAAAGCACTAAAACTAGCTAGCAGACGGCCAATTGTTTGCTTTTTTTTGTCCGCTGGTGTCGCCACAGCGCTAAAAAAGGGTTCTCGGTATAGCACAGCTAAGGTGTTCAAAATAGGCAGTCGATACGTCTGATATGTGACACAGGATCACGCTACTGTTTTCTACAGAGCACTGGAGCCGTCTAGGCCCAATCACAGCTGCCTCTATACGCAGGATTCATATTTGACTACAATAGGACCTTTTTGATCTCTTGGTTGTGTGCATCTGACTCTCCAAGATCTGCCTGACCGCCTATGCACTGTCTCATCAGGTTTTGCTTTTTTCTCTCGGCTCAAGGCGTCCGTCGTAAAAAAATACGATACCCGAGTTTTTGCTGACCCTTACAGATGACGTTAGCTTTGCTTGCTGGGGGCTTTATGCAAGCCATCTGAAACGCTTGATGCGGATGAGCCCAGGCTTATTTGCGCTCCATCTCTCTATGCTTGCTGTGTTTTAAGTTATGCTACTTACCGCTGTGCTTTTGGGACGATAAGCAAACGGGTAATTTCCAGTGGAACGGCTATCAAGTGAAAGGCACGGAGCATGGATCATGCAAACCTTGGCCCAAGAAAAAGGCTGTGCGCACGAGTAAAGGTCACCAAAATTAACTTTGGTTATCTTCTGGCCTTCCGCGGAGCAACAGCAGCACAGTCGCGATAACGCAAGGCGAACCGAGTACAGAAAAAAAAAATGATACCTGTACTTGGCATGACATGATGTGCAGCAGCGCTGACTAGCTTTGCTTTAGGGCCGGCTGTCGCCAAGTTGGACGGCGGGTTAACAGCAGCCAGTCAGCATGACTGCTTACCCAATGCGGCTCAACTGAACGACCGTCAACGACTCATCTGGTGCCCCTCTTTTCCCCTTGTGCACACCTAAAGGTTCGTGCCCGAGTGCCGGCAGGCAATTTTGAGTTGCGGTGGTGCTTTGTGTATTCATTACAAAAGTAGTCGCGGCAGGCAAACGACAAGTGGTTGGTTGTGCGGCTCGCAGGGCCATGGCTAGATCGCGCTGGCCAGCTGCGCGCGGGTTGCGACAACGGCACAGATTGACACATGCGACACTACTAAGCCGTCTCCAAAATGCCTGGGCGAGACGAGCACTAAGAAGTGCCAAGTGGCGTTCAAAATTGTCTGTAACGATGCATCTGCTGTTGGGCGGTGGTGGCGTCTGGGACGACTGGAGCAAAGGTTAAGCACGCACCACCAGCGCCGCCGTGTTGAACCAGACCAGCGGATACGACGAGCAGCGGTAGCCGGTGATACGATCAGACAAATCACAGCGCCCCTCCAAGACCCTGAGTGCGCGGGCTCATGGACCACCAGAGGTTCTGGTAACGCGATACGATGCCATGCTCGATCTGCCAGTTTGACTCGGATGAACACTTGGAGGACAAAGGGATGCGACACGGCCAGCCGGCCAGATCGATATATAGCTACTTGGCACAACGAGGCAGCGAGACGGACTCTTGTCCTCTTGCTATGAATAGCAGCTACGGTGCCATGAGCAGAGACGTGCCGGCTACCAACTACAGCATACCCGCGGCTACCGTGCCAGAGAAAATTGCAAAGGGGCCGACGTGCATCCAATAGCCGGCGGTGGCTCAGAAAAATTTCGATGCTACATTGCACGCTTGTCATGGCTACCAAACACTAGTTGCGCCACGGTACAAATGCCGGGATGTGGTAAAGCGGATAACCGAAAGAGGCGTTTCCCCAATAACCAAAAAATAAAGAGATGATTTTCAAGTGAAGAAAATGGCTAATACAGGTTTTCATTCCCGCGATATTACAAGCCACCTTTGGTTGGCAGCTCTGGCTGGGGTCAGAGAGTAGACGGAGGGTGCAAGTGCAACATGACGGCGCTCATCACCACCATCTGTGGTATTTTGGCACAGGGCGTAAAATTGGCCGATAGCACCTACTGGGAGGGCAATCGACCAGCAATTTAGACGACATGCCACGCATGTAACGGGCGGGTGGGCAAAGGACCTGGCCAAAAATCCAGGATATGGATACTGTTTTGGGCTGTTGTTATGACCAAGTGGGTGCGCTTCGGGAACCGTAGCCGTCAGCTTGGTGAGGCGAAAGGAGTAAGTAGAAAATATTGTCTGTAAGAGGCCAATCGTTAGCGCTGTAAGCTCCTCCTTTTTGATCCTAGTGGTGCTTTGCTCCCTGCTCTGACGTGCGGTCGAGAGTCATGAATCAGGTCAGATCTGGTCTGCGTCAGCAAGAAGTCTGCACGCACAGGCGGTGGTAATAATGGTAATAAGGGGGCAGACAGCCAACCAGGTCATTCATTTTGGTCAAACGGTGGCTGGCCACATCGTCAAACAATACATCGAGTCTAATCTTACGGCGTGCATGAACGGGCCTGCATAATGTTTTGGTGCAGTGAGGGCATGGAATCATGTAAACTTTGAGCCAAGCCAAGCCCAGGCTGTCGGTGGTCAGGTCAGGACAGGTCACTTGGATGTCACGCAATGAACTGTCTACAAAAGTGAAAACGGTACGGGCAACTAAATTAAACACAGCAGGTACAAAATAATTTACCAAGAGAAAAGCAAAAAAGAACATTGCATAGCACACGACAACACCATTATCGGCAGATGAGCTCTCCCACTAAAAGAGAAAAAAATTCAGTTCTTTGTTGAGCCAGTGGCTGCTAAGCTAGCCCTGGAAGAGCAGCTACCAAGGCGTTGGTGGCGGCCAACTTCGTTCCCAGCGGGGCTCTCCCCAGTGTCTGTTATGCTTGCTTGCTGGGACATGCCGGAAGGGAGGGGGGCAGATTTTGGTGGCGTCAAGCAAAATTTCCTGTTTGGGCATGTAGGTAAAAATTCAATGCGCGCTAAGACGATGGTGTGCAGGATGGACGAGTCGAGGCGGGTCGAGGTCGAGAATCTGCTTTAGTTGAAGACACTCTTGTGGTTTGGATGTGCCGGTGTATGATACAGCAATGAACGCTGTACTGTGCTATGTTTAGAGATGGCTGGCACGAGACAAACCAAACCGGGTGTCAGTGTTACCCGCTGCCAGGTGCAGAGCCGCATAGAGCGGGAGTATTGACATACACCAAGCAACAAAGAAGGAACAGGCGCGGTCGTAGTAGCAGTAGCAATAAAAGCAATAACCGTAACTATCAGCAGTAACAGAGACCCTTAGACACGGCGCGCACCTTGTCAAATGGGTACCACGTCCCCCCGATGAATAGCACTGCGGCAATCGCCCAGCGTAACATGACAACCACCCGCAACGCCGCAATGCAGACGAAACAAACCCCTTGGACGCTGCTCTGGGATGCCGCCTGCCAAAAACAGTATCAGCCATCTGTAAACTACCACCCCGTCTGTCTCTGCGGTGCGCCCCCGCCTAGCCAATGTTAGCCAAAACAATAGTTGCCAAAATAGGAAGCTGGCCATTCAGCGGCACGCCGGGGGACACTGCAGCGTGGCGTGCTGCGTGCAGCAGTGCCCTGTATTAGTTTCTTGTGCTTTATTTCATTAGTATAGTCAATCTTTTTTTTCTTGACTTGCATCGGTACCACGGCGCTGGTTGGCTTTTAGCTTTTTTGTGCTTTCTTGGCCTAGACACCTACAGTAACTCGTCTTACTGTCAGCGTGCAGGCAGCGAACGAGACCCCCTCTCAGAAGTGTCAGTGCCCACAGCGGGCGGACCCCCCCTAAATTAGCAGTGTCGCTACAGTGCAATGCTGTCAGTAAAGTGTCTGCCACCACACAAAACGTCATTTTGTTAAAAGCAGGCATTCTCCGCGCCTCTTCCACCCTCGTCTCGTCTCGTCTCGTTTCATTCATCTTGTACTTTAATTGTTGCGTTATCTCTTTTCTCTTCTCCATTTTCCCCCTTTTTTTTTTTTTTGGCGTATTGCTATTTTACTACTTCTACTATAACTTCTACTATTCACTCTTCACCATCTCTCTCTACGCCGTCACCCGACACTCACTCTACAATACACACGCCTCCAACTATACTGCAACACAACACACAACAAGAAGCCGACTATAATAATACATTGAAGACACATTTACATCTATCACCGAAATACATACAAATCTATACACAAACTTCTATATACACGCGCCAGTCATTAGTAGCGGAGCCCTCTTCTTCAACATGGACTCCCACTCTGTTGACGAGGAGCAAAAGGGCATTAAAAAGTTCGTCAACCGTTTTCGCAGCGGCAGTATTAGTTTCAAGTCCCGGCCTACCATCGACGATGCCGAAACAGACGGCTTTGCACCACTACGCCGGAACTCCTCTCCCAAGGGCCCCAAGAGCTCCAAGGGAAGCAAGAAGCAGCAGCAGCAACAACACATGTCATTTGAAGACTTGAGCATGGCCGTCTGGAACGAAGCCTACGAGTCGCTACGAGACAGCCCGGCTACAGCTGCCCTGGTCGTCGCCTACGAATCCATCATCGCACACGAGCTGCCCGACTACCTCAAGACCGGCGGCATGAACACCTCGTTTCGAAACCGCTCCGCAGAAGAGCGCCTGGCGCTGCTTACCTGCATTGCCAACAACGGCCTTGAAAAGCGCCGTGGCTCCAAAACGAGCCAGGTCGAAGAAGTCTCGCGCACCATCATTGACGACTGCAAAAGCGCCATTCGCCATTCGCTCACCGACGAGCCCGCTACCGCAATTGCCTGGGCGGGCTTTTGCACCCTGACTCCGGTATGTTGTTGATAAATTACGCGGCGTTGCGTTTCCTTGTTCATTACGGCGTGTTAATGCTTCTGTAGCTGTTGCTCGACCCGATACTACGTCTCGACGCCATGCGGGTCGGCCTCTTCCACGTTACGGGCCGCATAGGGTGGTATATGTCGCTACCCTACCTGTTGATGCGGGATAGCTGGCGCGACGATGCCGATTTTGATCGTCTCTGCGACAAGACACGCGACCGGATTTCCCGAATTGCGCGCAAGGCCCTCGAGTTTGAAATGAGCTGCATCTGCGCCACCGCCAGCGCCTGGAACGCACAGGCCAAGAATACAGTCCGCTGGAGCAGCTTGGAAGCTCTGGTCCAGGATCTTATTGGCATGGGCGGCGAGCTTGCGCAGCATATTGATAGCTACGCGAGCGACCCTGTGGCGAGAGAGTTTCTGCGCCGCGATCACGATTTCCAGGAACAACATGCTGGCGCCGACGCAGACAGCAACGGGCCACAGTCGGCCATTGTGGCTTAATTGTTGCATTCACACAGTTTTCTTTTCTTTTGCTTTCTTACAAAAAACATCACTTTGGAGCAAAGGGGTACATACCATTGGGTCGGCGCATAAGTGCACTAATAGACAGGCGCATCAGAAGCTCGAGCTTCTTCTTGTACGAGTATAATGTTAGCATTTTCACGGCGCTTTTTGCGATATAGAGTTTGGGATATAAAATACCTTGTCTTCTTCTTCTTCTTCTTCTTCTTCATAGTTGGGTATAACAAACAGTATAATGAAATCCATGTTATTTATAGGTGGCCTGTCCCACGAAATCAAAGTTGTCCTAAACAGATATCAACAGGCATCTGCCAAAGTACCAGATGCAAAAGCAAAACGACTTACCGATCCATTATGACGTCAGTGTCGACTGATGGCCCCGAATCTCTTGCTGTCCGAAGCAAACCTTCCCATATTCCCGGCTCTGCCGAGGATGCGGGCGGTCCAACTGCCTCAGCTGTCTCCAAAATGCCCTCTTGGTCAATTGGGCCGCGCATAGTATGCACTTTCGCCGGGCGCCAGAGCTCGGGGAGGTAGACATCGCAGTCGTTCGTCTTGAAATGATGGAACAGAGCGTCAACTGATGCCATGTTGCTGGGGTGGAACGCACGCTCAGCATACAATACCCTACGCAGAAACCTTGCAAACTTTTCTGCATCTCCCGCACACACCATGATCTTCATTATAACGCCCACCCATAGCTGGAGGGTAGGAACATCGAACGTACCTTCGAGATATTGGATACAAAACTGTCCGCACTCGTTTCGATAAATAGCCGATGGAGTCTCATCCTCACCGCTCAGTAGATAACCTAGCCAGTAATTCCCCCAGTGAGCTGCAATGATATGGAGGGCCTGAATCAACTTATAGTCTCGATGAGTGGGCAGAGGTATGCTTTGCAGGTATGGAAGCCAATCAATGTGCTCGATTATGTGTCCCACCCGCAACTCGTCAGGATTTAGAGCCAGCCTAGAATTCCTAAACAGCGGAGGGAACGGAGAGTCGTGCTGCTTGCGCGAAGGATGGATAAAGGATAACATGGCCTGTTCCATCAGATACATCCCGCTGACGATCCTGTGCAAGATGGGCCACTGCAGTGGTATCCCGCGCCTTTCCTCTAGTAGGCTGAAGATGGTGTAGCACGAGTTTCCGAAACAGACTCGGAAGTCGTTCCGAATCTCCGTTGTCATCCATGCCAGACACAACTGGAGCTTGTCAATCTCCCTTGCTGGGTAGTAGGGTGTCCGCACTTCCACGGGTGTCCAGCGCCAGGGGCCAGTTCGATTCTTACTGCCCTCCTCATCCTCGTTGAATCGTTTCGAGAATTCATCAGACACCTTGACGCGCCATTCACAGGGCAGCTCTCCTTCCAAAAATCCACTCTTGGGTCCCTCATGGTCGTACCAATATAAGCGAGTTCTACTGTCCGTGCCCCATATGCCTGCGGCGTCGGTATATTCCTCCAGCAGGTGAGCATCTTCCTCGGAAGTCATGGGAATGTCCAGGTATACGTACTCCCCGGGTACCGCGGCATTAGCGATACTTCGCGCAATCATGCCCTGTGTGATGATGTCCGCCCCGTAGCCGCCAACTTGGAATGGCCGTCCCTCTTGGATGGCATCTTCAGGCCAGCGGATATCTCTCTTGTCCGCTTCCGTTCGCTCTCCCAGGTCAAAAGGAGGTATGGCTACGAGGAACTGAAGTGTGACTGCCAAGCGGTGTCTGTCTCTTTGGTGGTCAGGACCGAATCCAGTCTGTTGGTAGACACTCATCCTTGCTGATGGTGTACAGTTGTCTGTACCTGTCTTGAGGATGGAGAAGGACTGTTGCTATTTTTCGTGATTCTTTTTGGTGTTGTGAATATCAAAATGGTGTCTTTATCTACAGAGAGGTCTAATTTTGACAGCATGAGCATGGTATATTTATACATGGACGCTGGGCAAACTTGAAGATGCTTCTGTATTGCCTCTGTTCTGTGCTAATGAAGAGGAAGGGCACAAAGCCCCATTTAGAAATCTTCTAAATAGTGGCCATGATAAGCTGTCCTAGTAAAGAAGAATTTCTGTTCTGTCGACCTGCTAAGAAGAGCACTGTCAAAGAACGTCAGGGTGTCTTTAACCAACAAAGCAGCGGGCTGAGTAGTCACAAAGGATTGTTCTTGAGCACATCTGTAAATTCCGATCGCTCAAAGACGAGAGTGCGTGGAAAATACAGAAGCTAGTACAAAAAAAGAAGTAGTTCATTACGCTGTTCGGAGTGCTTTGTTGCGAACAAAGGATTCCTCTTGGTGTTCGTCAAGCGGACCAGCGGCACTCTACCATGAACTCATGAACACATGAGGCGCGTGTAATTGACCCTTGTTGGCGGTGGTTTGATTGGTATGGGCGGGCATTGTTGGTACCACAGTGGCATAACCGCAGCCTTTCCTCCATGCTGCCATCTTCGCGTCGTCGGAAATTTCAACCATTGTACTCCGTCTACATTTGTCGCAATCAAAAATTGTCTATTATTTTATCTCTCACATGAATGCGGCATCTTGTGGAATTAAGACAGGCAGCCTCGTGGATTTTCCGCCGGCAGGCTAGCACGAGATGTTCTGGACCGCGAATCTTCCCCAAACATGGATTCAACATAATCCCATCTACAACATTGATTGAAGAAGAGCGACTGCCTCACTACCATATGAAAGATTACTATCCAATGACTCTTGGTGATATTATTCATGGCTACTATCAAGTTGTCGCGAAGCTGGGCTTTGGGACAACATCCACCGTTTGGCTAGCCCGTGATAATATGGTTGTCCAGGCCACTAGGATCTTTAAATTGTGAATTTCTTGCAAGAAAAAGTGCTAACTGGGTAAATAACACAACGATATTGGACGTTGAAAGTCCATATAAATAAGCTTACGGACAGTCATGAGCTGAAGATCTTCCAGCATTTGAGTCACGCCACCACCGATCACCCAGGCAAAATAACTGTGCGGAAACTCGTTGATAATTTTGAGCTTCAAGGACCGGATGGGGTTCATCAAGTATTCGCCATGGAACCAACAAGCATGAGCTTGCGATCCTTGCAAGAAATACAACGGACGCGAGTCTTTCATGAAAGCGTGGTAAGAGGTGGTATGAGCCAACTGCTCCTGGGATTAGATTACTTACATGAAGCCGATATAATCCATGCTGGTAAAGAAAACCCCGAGAATAGCCACCCAGTACCTTACTAACAATGTTTATGTTAGATCTCCATTCGGACAACTTGTTAATTGCTCTCAAAGATCAAACCATTTTGGAAGAGCTTGAAGACGATGAGATTACGAGCCCCTCAGCGCGCAAGATTATTGCAAACAATACCATACATACCTCTCATTTTGTTCTTGGCGGCTTCGGGGCTTTGATAATATCGGATTTTGGACAAGCAGGACTAGGCGAACGTCATTCTGGTAATGCCATGCCAGTACCATATCGAGCACCCGAGATTATTCTTGGGCTGGAATGGGGTTCAAGCATTGATATTTGGGCAACAGGTGTACTTGTAAGTTCAAAATCATATTTCGTATCTCCCAGCACATTTCTGATTGTATTTATTACAAAACCAGGCATGGAGTCTTTTTCATCAAGAGTCGCTCTTTACCATCTACGATCAGACCTCTACTGAAATGAATGACGCACACCATCTGGCCTATATAACGGCTCTTTTAGGACCTCGACCATTGCAGCTGCTTCAAAAGACTGATAAGACGAAGCAGTACTGGGACTCAACAGGTTCGCCGTGTTAACGTGGTATCATGTGAACAGTTTAACTAACGACACGTATAGGCCAATGGGTTGGACCAGTTCCACTTCCGGATGACTGACATCTAGAACTTCTCTTGCAAAAAATTAAAGTTGAAGATAGAGAAGTTTTTATGGATTTTATCACTGGCTTCCTGGCTTCCTGGCTTCCTGGCTTCCTGGCTTCCTGGCTTCCTGGCATGGTTAGCAGAAGACAGGTTCGACGCTCTGAATGCCTATTTTCACCCGTGGCTGAAGAATAAGCTTCCGCAGGATGAGGGTGAGGAATAGGGAATAAAAACGTAAATCTCGAATCAATCTATAATGTTGGACTAAGTACTGTCGAGTTTACTCGTATTTGTATATAGACTTTAGCTTGCAGAGGGTAATGTACGCATAAGACACACAGCACCGCCCCGCAACAAGGTTGTTCCGCTGCCTGCTCAGTTCCATACTGCGAGCATTGTACCCCTAGCCTAGCGCAATTTCCACTTTAGGCGCAGCGACACGACCGCCAAAGAGAAACGCGCCAGCGCATCGCGTCTCCTGCACCGCTCGGCAGAACACCAGCTCCCTTTGACATCACCACCACGAGTCGCATCACCCACCAGCCCTTTCACGGGCATCGCCGCAAACATGCTCATCATCAAGCCATCGTGGCTGAGCCACAGCGGCGAACAAAAAGACTTTGAAGTATACAGCTGCCACGTCTCGCCAGACGGCAAGCGTCTTGCCACAGCGGGCGGCGACGGCCATGTGCGCATCTGGTCTACCGAGGCCATCTACAACGCAAACGATGCCAGCTACACAAAGCCCCGACAGCTTTGCCACATGAGCCATCATCTAGGAACCATCCACTCTGTCCGATTCTCCCCCAATGGCCGATACCTCGCCAGTGGCGCCGACGACAAGCTCATCTGCGTCTACCACCTCGACAAGGGACCACCCCCGGCCACCTTTGGCAGCGACGAGCCACCACCTGTAGAGAACTGGAAGACGTACAAGCGCTTAATTGGTCACGACAATGATGTGCAAGATTTAGCGTGGTCGCACGACTCTTCCATCCTCGTCTCTGTTGGCTTGGACTCCAAGGTTGTCGTTTGGTCTGGCTATACCTTTGAAAAGCTCAAGTCTATTCCGGCGCATCAATCGCATGTTAAGGGAATCACCTTTGATCCTGCCAACAAGTTCTTTGCCACCGCTAGCGACGACCGAACTATCAAGATCTTCCGCTTCACCTCGCCCGTACCGAACGCGACGCAGCATGACATGGTCAACAATTTTGTTCTCGACACAACCATCAGCTCTCCGTTTAAAAGCTCCCCGCTTACAACATACTTCCGCCGCTGCTCTTGGTCCCCGGATGGTAATCACATTGCCGCCGCCAATGCAGTCAATGGCCCCGTCAGCTCCGTCGCCATTATCGAGCGTACGCGCTGGGATAGCGACATCAATTTGATTGGCCACGAAGCGCCTACCGAAGTATGCATGTTTTCTCCTCGACTTTTCCATACAGTAAAGCCTGGCACTAGAGAAGAAGGCGAGCCGGATAATGACCAGCTCGTCACTGTCATTGCTGCTGCTGGTCAGGACAAGACGCTCAGTATTTGGAACACAAACACGTCCAGACCTGTTGTTATTATGCAGGATCTTGCTGGAAAATCCATTTCAGATCTGGCATGGACCCCAGAGGGCCAGACCCTTTTTGCTTGTAGTTTGGACGGCACTATTGTTGTAGTGCAATTCAAAGAGGGCGAGCTCGGTTGGGTGGCCAAGGAGGAAGAAAACGATAGGGCTCTGCAAAAGTATGGAGCTTCACGAAAGGGCATGGGCATTGCCGAAGATGTCGATAGCTTGATGCTCGAAAACTATAGTAAAGCAGATGACGAAAAGGCTGTGCAATCGAGGATGGGTGCACTAATGGGCGATGCCCCTGGGTCGACAGCACCAGCGACACCCGACACAAACGGCGACAAAGCTGATGATGGGGCGGACAAGGCTGCTACTACAAACGGTGATGGTAAAGTCACTGAGGCCGAAGACAAGTTGGCAGAACGTGTCAAAGAACTCAAGTCTAGAGTGACCATTGGTAAAGATGGCAAGAAACGCGTCGCGCCTTTGCTCGTTTCGTCGTCTGGAACTACCCAGTCATCTTTGCCCCAAACTCAGCTTATTGGCTCAACTGCAACCAAGGCAGCGCAAAACGACGCACCGCAAACTATGCTCGACCTATCACGACCTTTTGATGGACTTCCGAAAGGTGGCATCGCATCCATGCTTCTTGGCAACAAGCGTAAAGCTGTGGTTTCGGAGGTAGAGGACGAGGATGAAGGACTTGCCAAGCGAACCTCTGGAGGCCCAACTGCCATTGTCACCAACGGCCCAGACGGTGTCGAGCCCGCAGCCCTTACACCAATTGAAACCGGAGTCATCCCAACGCCCGAATTCATCCGCCCAGCCGTCCTGAATCCTGCGATATCTGTTTCTCAGGTCAGACTAGCAGTGCCAAAGATTCGATCGCATATTCTCAGACCACTTGAGCGAGGCGTCTTGCAGCCAGATACAACGCTGGATGACGCTACCAAGGGAGCTGAGAATTTGATTCTGGAGGCCAAGAATGATGCCAACCCCCGTGATCCGGCTCATATATATGTCACCAAGCGTGGTGCTTTAGTTTGGCAGGAATTTCTACCTCGTGCTGTCATTCTCGTCACAGCTAACAAGCAATTTTGGGTTGCTGCATGTGAGGATGGCTCCATTCACGTCTGGACACCAGCAGGTCGTCGCCTACTCAGCCCAATCATTTTAGAGTCACAACCGGTTATTCTAGAATGCCGAGACTCGTGGTTACTTTGCATCACTACCGTTGGATTGGCACACGTCTGGGACCTCAAAACACTTCGCTCTCCCCACCCACCCGTCTCGCTGGGCCCAATTCTTGACGTTGCAACTACATCTCTAGGCCAGCATACTGCATCTCCAGGACCAGGAGTGACGTCTGCTCACCTTAACACAACCGGCCACATTGTGGTTACCCTGACGAATGGAGATGGCTACTACTATTCTCGAGATATGTTTACGTGGCAGCGTCTTAGTGAGGCATGGTGGGCTGTTGGATCACAATATTGGAATTCGAATGACTCGTCCATATCTGCACTGCAATCCACCGCTGTTGGCCCAACCTCTACTGACAAGGACAAGAATGCGCCGGCTGTCGATGTTTCCTCTGGAATCATTCCCTTCTTGGAGCGACATACCACCAACGAGTTTCTTCTCAAGGGACGTGCTTATGCGCTGCAGCGAATCATCAAGACCGTTATTCAAAGAAGAGAAGGAGAGGATTTGGAAAGCTGCGTCAGCATTGCTCACTTGGAGAATCGTATTGCCGGCGCGTTACAGCTGGGTGCGCGTGACGAGTTTAAAGCATATCTCTACATGTATGCCAAACGGCTGGGAGCTGAAGGTGCTCGGGGCAAGGTAGAAGAGTTGTTGAACAGCTTGATGGGCGGCATCCTGGTAGAAGAGACGGACGACACAACTGACACCAACGGCCGAGGCTGGTATGGCACTGGCAAAGAGGTCTGTGGCTGCGATAGAAAGGAGCTCTTGAAGGGCGTCGTCTTGATTCTTGGTATGTTATTCCATCCCCTTTGGGTACAATTCTGGTGCATGCAAGCTAACTAAAAGTAACAGGCAAATACCGTGAACTGCAGCGCCTTACTGGACAATACGCTAAGCTCCTCGGCTTTGAGTTGGACGCGTCGCTTGCAAGCAACGATTCTATGGAAGTCGAGGCCTAGTAGGCAAGACGATTCCATCTGTGTAGTAAAAGATATGAGCTGTTTATTTAGTGAGAACACTATGGTTGGTGTTTCGGAGGTGCTGTTTGGCGTTTGGGGGTATCTCATTTGGATAAGGGTACATGGCTGGCGAAAGAGTAGACTCAGGTATCTACAGCTTGATAGACTCCTGGCTACTTGCAAAATATTCATCATTTGTTTACATGAATCTCATTAATTAATTGAAGGTGTTCCAAGAGCAATGCGTGTTTATCGATATTCACCCAGTGTTTTAACTCTGCCAGCTGGTTGCCAGCTGGCAAGCAGTAGCAGGTGGCTGCCATTTGCTGGGCTGCGAGGATTTTTCACTCCGCTGCCACTGGGCTTTCTTCTTCATTTGGATTCCTAAACCTTTCCTTTTACATCCTTCCTATCCCCAACCCATTGCGTCAGTACTGCCCAACCACCACCCACCGCAACATCGCTCTATGGGATTTCCCGGTCTACTTTCAACGCTGCCCACGCTCCACATACACTGAGGTAGAATTGGTGTACACAGCCCAAGGTACCCTTGCAAGTCTAGACGATGAGCATCATGGTATCGTACTCATGGAAGCGGATTGTTGTCCATGTACTGGCGTGCCTTCTCCTGGGCACCCTCAGCTCCCGCGTCCTGAGCACGCCTCACGTATCGGCGGGCGTAATCAACTGTGATGCCAAAGTAGCCATTGCCGTTTTTGTTCATGATCAAAACATGGATTCCATTCTTGATTCCGTGAAACGGTTCGAAGATACATTCAATCACCAATGCCGACACGATCTGGTATTCTTCAGCAGCTCTCCGTTAAGCGAGGACAACAAACAGGTGGCGGCAAACAGAACCAGAGGCACTTGCATTTTTGAAACAATTCCTGTTAATCTTTGGAAAGTCGACCGCTGGTCCAGAATTGAGGCAGAATCGACAAGAGTCTCGTCCAACAACTTTGTTCTTCTCAACAACTGCAGTACTGCTGAAGCCGACGCAAACCTCCCCTGTTGGAGCTCAGTATCTATCAAGAGTCTGAAGCGGCTGCAGCAGTATGATTGGTGTTGGAAAATCCAAGTCCACGTTAGTAGTAAATTTCCTCTACAATTAGAACAGCTAATCTCTAATTCGGCTTATAGGATGTCGGCAGCGTAAGTGGCCTTCGTTTCGAGGCGTTCAAAATATCCAAGGCTGTAGAGCCAGGACGGTCCAACGAAGCGTCTGTCCAGTCAAGATTCATCAACAGCGGTAGTTTATCCGACAATCTTCGAAGGGAATCAAGTCGCATGCCTCTTTTCGAGGATGATGGAACAGCACTGGGATTAGGACGAAGCGACAACGGCATACCCACGAAGAAGAGCAAGCAGCCATCTCTCACCAAGTCCATCAAATCATGGCTGAGCTCAACAACTAAGCGCGGCTAGTCGCCCACTATGGATGTTGCACCATCAGCGCTATGCAAAACCTCTTGTTACAAGCGACTCCTAGACTACCTCGACCAAAGCCGGCAACACCACCACGAGCTGGGAGATGCGGCATTACCCTCCATCAGCGCTAGCATGGTCCTGCCAATGAAAAACGTGTGGAATTTCAAGGCTCGAACATCAAGGTATGTTAGCCAAAGCCAATGGACTGAACGCCTCCCAGTGTTGTCGGACGAGAGAAGTGGGCGGATCCCCGGTGCATCACGACAGGCAAAGGCGGCTGAGGCCATCGAGAGCTTCCCAACGGTATATAGAGCAACCATGGGCGACCAGCTGTCGTTTTGGGAGATTGTTTCCATCGACTTTGAGCGCCAAGACGCTATACCTAGCCTGCGATCCGGTAATACCGTTATTGACGAGCGCAACTTCATAATGACCAAGCTCGAATAGTGGTACTCCGTTGCCATCACAGTTTAAAGACAAGTAGACTAGCACGATCAAGGAAGGCGAGGATTTAGGACGCAGTGGGATTCTAACCATACAGACCTAGATAATTATACAATGGCTACATGATTTACAACTTGAACGATACTGGGTGTTCTGCAGCGTGCTATGGTGATGCGCATACGACAAGCAGCAAAGAGTGACGAACCACAACCCTCTACTAACGAACTTGAAAAATTCGGTATATAAATGGTATTTTATTCTTCTTGCTGACACATGTGACCTAACTCACAACCTTCGCTATTGACGGCTGTTACGTCTCAACGCTCGTTTCATTTAGAAGTGCGTCAGTTGCAAGTACACATTTAACATCTTTCCCATTTTTGCATTCTGCTAACTATAGTATAATACAATCTAACGTTTTGTGCTATATCATGGCGCTTTAAAGCGTCAAATTTAATTTCTCAAACGTTTTGCAAACCTCCTCCAGCAAGTATCTGATTCTCTCTTCCTTGAACAAACGCGACTTGCCAATGACGCTAACCTGTAGGTGAACACCATCAGGTTCTACTTCGCCCGCCATTGCCAAATCAAACAGCGGCTCCTCCTTGCGGAGCTCGACATGCTTGGCCAATATTCCTAGCTCTACCTGCTGCGTTTCCATTTCACTCTTCGGGTGGTATTCAAAATTATGATAAGTGATGCAGCAAGCGTAGTTCGGCACAGTCTCTGGCCACTGAGTGCAGTTACGCTTGACCTCATCAAAACCCAAAGTCTCAAAAGGCAAACTCAAAAGATATTGGTCTTGCATGTCGCGCAGCTGTTGTAGTTGATCACCTTCAGTATCCACGTGAGCACGCACTGGCGCTGTATTCGTGCAAGGACCGACAATATTTTGCCAGCTAACAGGCAAGCCTTGACGACCTGAGACGACGCGGCCAAAGACAACGTCCTTTAGTCCAGTTTCTTTGGCCATCACTAGAGCACAAGCATAGTTGAAAACTGTTGCTTGTGTAATAATGCTGTTTCGAAGAGCTTGGAGGGGTACACTGATAACCTTTGACAGGTTCAGTGCCTTGATCTCCCCAACCTCACTTGGAAGAGAGCCACCACTTGCCTGGCTCAGGTCTGCGATTTGTGCATCCTGAATCACATCGCGCCAAAAGTCGTGACTCTCTTTTCGCACACTATCTACGTACTGCATGTACCTCGAGAATTGGATCTGTGGTGGAAGGGGCTTTCCACTGTAAAGGAAGTGAAGATGGCGCACAATGCGCTCCAAGCTCAAACCATCGTACAGAGCATGGGAGAGACGGAGTAGCACTCGTACTGATGATGTCTGCTTCAGGATAGCAACCTTTATCAATGGTTCACCCAGGCGAACTGGCTCTTTTGCAACTCTATCCAAGAAGTCACTTGTCGCAATGTTGACATTCTGCGTGGTTTCAATGGTTTCGATGGCTAGGTCGAGTTGCTCCAAAACCACCTGATAGAGGATGTCTGACGCCGTGACAAAGACCGTCCTAAACATGTCAAGCTGCTCAATGAGAGATCTGCAAGCTTTGATGAGGGCAGTTGCATCTGACTCGGCAGGAAAGTCAACATAGAATGGCACTAGAGGCTTAGGATATCCAGTGGTAGGTTCGCAGACAAAAGCCTTCTGCATTTGAGACGCAGGGTATACGTCTTGGATTTTGCCATGGTTAAAGTTGAGTTGCGGGACAACTTCTCGCTGAACGAAATCCTCAACATCCGGCACAGACATGAGCTGGAATGCAGCATAGTCGACATTTTGCAAATCGTTGGTGACATCATAGCTCTGTGTTTTAGACAAAGCCAAGGCGCTCGCAAGATGAAAGAGGACTGGGTGATCAAACACTTGCTTGACCGATACTGTTGTATCAAGTCGATGGCCAATGCGCGCAGCGAGCTTGGTGGCCATGAGTGAGTGCCCTCCGAGGTCAAAGAAGTTGTCTGTGATTCCGACTTGAATACCAAGAACGGTCGCAAACTCTTCGCACAAGATGGATTCAATCTCGGTACGTGGTGCTACCCTTGCGGACTGCCCATCCTTGGCTAGTCCGCCGTCTGGCACAATAGGGTCCTGCAAAGCTAGCCTTTGACGGATGACAGCGGCCAGGTCGGCAAATATGGGGTGATCAAATACATCCTTAACAGTGACACGGGCATGGAAATGTTGACCAATTCGTGCAATGAGCTTTGTAGCTAGGAGGGAATGGCCACCAAGTTCGAAAAAGTGATCTGAAATCTTGACGTCCATTCCAAATGCTTCGGTCGCCTGTTCACAGAGTATGACTTCAATGTCGCTAATGGGAAATACTGGTACAGGTGTAGGTGCGGCTGGACGGCGTGTTGGTATGATTCGGGCCCGACGAGCGAGTTCCTTTCGGTCCACTTTGCCATTGGCATTGATGGGCATCTGATCCAAGGCAATGATATGAGCCGGGATCATGTAGGAAGGAACCAAAGATTGCAAATGCTCCCTGACTTGAAGGGCAGCACGACGTCTCTGGAGTCGCTGCAGTGGTCGATTGGCAAGGGTGAAGGATGCTCGAACTTTGTTGTCAGTAGGGAAGCGCACTAGTGTTCGACTAACTGTTTCTGATGAAGGATAGTGGTGGAAAACAGCATCCAGACCACCGCTCTGGGACCACTGTCGAGCTGCGCTGACTTCAACGGAGAATCCAGACTGTTTAGCAAGCTTTACAAGCTCTGGGACAGCCAGTGATGCACATTTTTCAGCCTCAGAGCGCATAGATGAGATCCAAGCAGCGCCGTCTAGGTTGTTTTCCTCGCCACTCATGCCATCCCTCTCGAGAGACTCAAGAATATGTCGCTCGAAAATAGTTTTCGAATAAGGAATATTGCTAACACACACGGTTTGTTTGTCTTTCGAGAGCTTCAAAAGGGCTAGGAGTGACTCGCGGTCCATCTGAGAAGCAGCAAAGTCAATCCAGTCTTCGTCCTTAGTGTCATGCAGAGGTCGTGCGGCTTCATCGTCGGAAGCATGCAGGTGAACAACGGCCGCATATCGGTATGCACTTAGCTCGTTTGTGGCCTGCATATTCTTGGGAATGATTTCGACGTGCCTAATCAAATCGGGACGAAGGTCCTGAAGAGTTGTGAAGTAGGCAGGTTCAACAAGAAACTCTTCCTCGCGTTCTTCCAGCTCTGCAATCTTTTGCTGCACATCATGTTTGGATGCATTGTTTCCTAAGGTGAAAATGGCTCTGGCAGCTAGGAAATGTCGGTTTGTAGCTTGCGAGCGCATATCGCCAAAGAAAATGCGCTTCAGACCAGGGATGCGAACCAGAGTGTCAATAACTTCGGTCAGATACTCGGGTGTAGGGAAATATTGTGCCACAGAGTTAATTACCACCAAGTTTGTGCGTATTTGGCCCAGTTTGTCAATATCTGCTGCTGTTCCAACATGAACTTGGGCTTTCCCCGAATATGCTGGAATGGCCTTGATAGCGCCGTTTACCCACGCGGCTGCTGATTTAGAGGGCTCAAGACCGATGTAGCTCTGCAGCTCAGGGCCCAGGTTAAAAAGGATCATGCCGCTACCGGTGCCGATTTCCAAGACATGGCCGGGCGATTGACCGTCATGAAGCGTTGCCATTGTATCATCGAGCCACTCTTGCATCTCTGTCTTGTCGATGTCATTTCCATCATACATGGACGTCCAGCCCTTGAAATCGTTACCGATGGACTCAGGGCTGATGGTATCGATATCAGAGTACATGCCACCATCAAAAAGCTCTTGCCATCCTTCAACTTGGTTGTCTGTTTCCTCCTTCTCCGTCGAGATGTTATCGTTGGCGACGATAAACCCAACCATTTCCAACTCTTGGCCCTCCTCGCCGCGTACAACAACAGCTGTATCGCGGACTGCTTCATTGCTGAGGATAGCAGCTTCGACCTCGGCGGATTCGATACGGTTGCCTCGAATCTTGAATTGGAAGTCCATACGCCCGAAGAATTCTATGAGGCCGTCGTTCACACGATAACGAACGCGGTCACCGGTTCGGTAGGCTCTTACAGTCTTGCCTTTAACGGTAAACTGGATGAAACGGTTCACATCAAGCGCTGGATCAGTATAGCCTCTGCCAAGGCCATCTCCAGTAACAACGAGCTCTCCCATCACGCCAGCTCCAACAAGCTGCTGGTTAGCGTCGGTAATGAAAGCTCCAGAGTTGTTGATGGACCACCCAAGAGGAACGCCGTTTACAAACGGATCATCTGGAGCAACATTATACACTGTGCTCAATACTCCGTTTTCGGTTGGGCCGTAGAGATTGTAGCACTGACCACGGATAAGCGCCTGTGACTCAATAGCATCCTGACGATCAAATCTGTCTCCAGCAACGAGGAGCAGATCAAGATTCTTCAGGGCATCTCGAGCGTCGACCAGATACAGCTTGAGTAAAGCTGGTGCCATCATGGCAACATTGATCTGTTCCTGAGCATATACAGCACTAAGCGCTTTGCCGTCAAGGGTGGTCATGTAGTCAACACAAACTAGGGTTCCACCGTTGAGAAGCATACCAAAGATCTCATACGTTGCGCCATCAAATGCAATGTTGTACATGTGAGCCATGATTGGTTGTGGAGGGAAGTGTGGAATAATGTTACCCTTCACAAGACGCACAATGACACGGTGCTCAATCATGACACCCTTTGGCTTGCCAGTGGACCCGGAAGTAAAGAGGACATATGCGAGACTAGTAGCTGAAGGATGCGCTAGGTCTTTGGAGTATAGACTGTCATTCGGGTTGCCCGATTTCAGCGCCTCACTGATGCGCACCAGCTCTAGCTCAGGTAGCTGAAGTTCGGGGACAGCAACATCATCACCAAGAAGGACTATGGCACGTCCAGATATTGTTGAGAGGATATCTTTGACACGAGCAATCGGAGATCGTACATCCAGGGGGATATACGCGAGATTTGCTTTGAGAATACCAAAGAAGGCAACAATTGTCTGACACGATCGTGGTGCCAGCACTCCGACTAGGGTCTCGGGTGCCAAATTCTGTCTGCGAAGCCATGCTGCGAGCCGATCCGACTGATGGTCCAGCTCAGCGTATGTGAGACGAGACGATGAATCGATCAGAGCCATGGCGTCTGGGCAAGAAGCCGCTTGAGCACGGAATATGTCCACAACGTTTGAATCTCGTGGGTATTCAACGTCGTTGATTTGCAGCAGGCCCATCTTCTCAAGGCGAGGAATACCACTGGTAAGCGGAACAAGGGAGATGGGAGTCTGGGGCTGGTCAAGGCCGCCATGTAGAATCTCAAAGAAGACATTTACGACATTTTGCATGCTTTCAGGTGTAAAGAGCTCCATGGCGAAATTCAAGGCACCGGTGAGCGCAGCATCCTGCTGGAACAAGTGAAACTCGATATCAAATCGAGTATACGCCTTGTTTGTGAGAGGTTGTGTTTCAAGGTTTTGTAGTTCAAACTTTCCCAAATCTTTCTGTGAGTGAACTGCAAACATTAATTGTGCTAACGGAGTTTGAGATAAATCTCTGGATCCGGGAAGCAGTGCGGACACGACTCGCTCAAAGGGTACATCTTCGTTCTCAAACGCCGCGGTCGTTGTTGCCCGAACTTGGTGCACCAAGCTTTCGAATGTGTCGTCGTCATCTACAGTGATGCGCATACACTGGGTATTGACAAAGAAACCAATCATATCCTCGAGCTCCCACCGGTTTCGATTGGCAATGGGCCGACCAATGACAGCATCATCCACTCCGGTAAGGCGGTAGTGAGCCGCCCGGAAAGTAGCAAGCAACACAGAGAATGATGTTACTTGATGTGTATTACAGAAAGATCGCAGCTTCTGGTATAGTTCACCGTCGATTGTGACCGGCACGACGCCGGCATCACCAGATAGAAGGGCCGGTCGAGGGAAATCGGTGGGAAATTTGGCCGGCGAGCAGTCGGCAAGCTGTTTCTGCCAGTATTGGAGCTGCTTCTCATGTTGCTTGGCCTGGGCTTCTTGCTTCTGCCAAACTGAAAAGTCAACATACTGGATTGGCAGTGGCTTCATGGCAGACAGAGGGTCGACGCCCGCTAGAGCAGCAGTGTAAAGTTGACCAAGGTCTCGTCGCAGTATATCAATGGACCAGCCATCAGAGATGATATGATGCATGACGATGGATAAGACATGATCTGTATCACTCAGTCGAATAAGGGCCGCTCGCCAGCCTGCTTCCACTGTCAAATCAAATGGAGCAGTCTGTTCAGAGCGCAGGGACTCTAGATACCCGTCATCTCCGCTGCCCGATACGTCTATCACGCGCAGTTCTTTGGCAAGCTTCTTATGGACAATTTGAACACCCCCACCATCGTTGTTAGCAAAGGTGGTTCGTAGGGTTTCGTGACGTTGTTCTAGAGCCAACAGAGCGCTCGTTAGTGCGCGGACATCCACGGAACCTCGCATGCGGACGGCATATGGAATGAGATACCACGAAGCACCAATCTCCAACTGGTCTAAAAACCATAGGCGACCTTGAGCATAAGACTGCTCCACAGGTCCGGTCTGAGCCAACTTTGGGATAGTGGTAAGCGGCCCCGAGCTGCCTGTGATAATGGCCGCAAGACTAGTAAGGGTAGAATTGCGAAGAATATCAGACACCTTGAGATTGATCCCAGCCGACCTTGCCATATTTACCATTTTGATGGCTGTAATGGAATCGCCACCCATCTCAAAGAAGCTTGCTCCTTTGTTGGAAGGGTTTGGTTCTGTCTTGAGACTTTGAAACCATATCTTTTCCAGCTTGCCATAGATATCAGTTGGGATTTCAGTGGAGGTTTGGGTCGATTGTGCCTCTGTCTCGTGGGTCTGTTGACTTAAGATCTCGGCACCAAGAGATCGAAGACGTCTTCGGTCTACCTTGCCAGTAGCAGTGCGAGGAAGGTCTTGCATTGAAATATAGCACACGGGAACGGAGAACGGAGGAAGAACCTGTTGCAACTTGGTGTTTATTCCATTTGTTGCATCCGCACTCAAGATATGGGAGTGTTTAGTGTCCTTTGTTCCTGGCACAGATCCTATCAAGAACGCAGCCAAGACTTTGCTGTGTGATGAATCTGATCTTGTAATTGCCTCTGCTACAACTGTAACATTTTTGGGTAGTTGCTGTCGCAGGCAGGTTTCCACAGCACCCATCTCGACACGCTGCCCGCGGATCTTGACTTGCGAGTCCATGCGTCCGAGACATACAACGGTGCCATCAGAGGCGTACCGCGCAAAATCGCCCGTTTTATACAGCCTAGAACCTCTAGGAAGCTGTTTCTGAGGATACCAAGCTGGCGTTAATGCAATGAATGGTGACTGATCCTGCAGCAGAGGAATGATATAGTCGCGGGCGATGCCAGGACTTTCTATCACCAGCTCTCCAACGGCACCGATTGCGGCCAGTTGTTTGGAATTATTAGGATCAACGATCCAGGCGTGGGCACCGACCATACGGCCAATGTTGTTTGGTTCTGTGGCATTGGGCTGGATACTAGCAACCGAGCACAGAGAAGAACTCTCACTCTGGCCATAGCCGTTCAGCAGGTTGAGTCGAGGAGCCCATATGTTGTTCACAGATTGTAACATTTGCTCTCCTACTAACACCAAGGTTTGCAAGCCGGGAACGTCATCGGGTTGGAACGTTCCCATGTAAGATGGCGTTGCCATTACCCAGTTCACACTGAACCTGTTGATGAAGCCTGGGACGTCGTTCATGCGATCATCGTCTGACGGAATACAGACGCAGCCACCATGAATAAGAGTTGTCATGACTTCTAGAAGACACGCTCCAAACGCATGAGAGCCAAATTGAAGCGCACGCGTGGTGTTTGTGATGCCCAGTGCAGGACCAAACTTTGTGGCACAAGAAGCGAATGCGTGATGCTCAATCATGATACCTTTGGGCGTTCCTGTACTGCCAGAAGTAAATATGACATATGACAAATCGTTTGATTTTGGAGCAGATTTGACACGCGGCTCTTGACCACTAGATTTCGATGTAACAAGATCATCATCTACAACGATGCCACGACCAACCAGCCCTTGCACTGTGTTGTGGTGAAGTTTGGAAGTTAGCGCAACCGCAGCACGACTTTGTTCAACCACTTGAGACACTCTACCAGGAGGGTCCTTCGGATCAATAAGTGTAAATGCATGGCCAGCTTTCAGCACGGCAAGCATTGAAGCGACAACCCATTTTGACTTTTCAAAGTAGAGAGGCACAATAGCCTGTTCTTTGCCAAAGTCGACAGATTCAAGATGTTCAGCTAGTTGTGTAGATACATTGTCTAGCTCAGCATATGTCCAGTCTCCATCCCATGCAGAAATGGCAGGCTGGTTTGGGGAAGAAAGTGCTGTTCTCAGCAACTCTGTATGGAGAAGAGTATCCTTTGCGACCAGAGGCTCTGAATTCCAGCCTTGTATCTCTTCTTTGTCGTCAGTTGTCGCCATATCAAGTTGGCCTAGACGGAGTTCACTGTCAGATGAGCTTTGCAACTGTCGAATCAAGCCTCCGAATTGTCGTAGTAGACGCGCAACTTGGTTTGAGCTAATGACACCCTCGTCGTATCTTGCCGTTAATGATGCGCCTGTAGAGACGACCCGGCAGCTAAGTAGGAGGGCTCGATTTGCACACGGCACAAACTCTTCTGGCTCTTGTACAAGTTGGTGAATCTCATCACTTTCAACACTATCCGAATCATTGGTGATTCGTAACACGGTTTGGAATCCGCAGGCAGTAGAACCATCGTCTCCTATATTGCTAATGGCACGAAGACCGACATTGGGGATCTTGCGCATGGCTTCATCATCGGCATGAAGTTTTGTGATGAAATCAGACACGAGCAGGTCGGACGCGCAATGGACGCGCATGGGCACCACTGCTCGTCCCGAGCCATGTCCCTCCACAACAACGCCGAAGAGTGCTTCAGGGGAATGAGAATAATGGGATAAGAGAATAGCAAGTGCTGATCGGCATAGAGTTGTGGCCGAATAACCTCGCTGTGCTGCATCAGCAGCCAGAAAGGAGATACAATGCTGGGAGTATGCACGGGGACTTGGCGATGCCAACTGGTTGGGTAGGGATGGGAAGGAAGAAGCATTTAGGCCACCAAGGCGTTGCTTCCAAAACTGCGCAGCATGCTCCATATCCTTCGACGTGGGAGCCTTTGGTAGGTCGAATGAGTCCGAAGGGAGGCTTCGGTCGCTTTTGGCTTCTTCAGAGGGATCTGGCGTGTCAGGAGCAGCAATGAGTTCATCCTGCTTTTCCTTGCATGTCATGAGGACGCGAGCTAAGGTGTGTTTCCGAAGCGCTGCGTCCACCAAAGAGTGGCTGAAGGTCCAAATGAGAAGCCGCTCTCGTGCGTCTGCATCATCGAGAAGGGCAAATCGATTGCAGCGTGAGCCAGATGCCGCCGCAGCAGTCTCATCTTGGACAACTGAGTGCAGAAGATCAACAGAGGTCAAATAAAGACGGGAAAAGACAAAGCTCTGTCTCAGTACAACTTGGAAAGCGGCTCCTTCTTGGGACTGGAAGATGCTGGTTCTCAAGGCTGGACTCTGGCGCACGGTCTCCTTCCAAGCAGCAGCCAAAAGGTCGATATCGACGTCCTGGGGAATCCTGTAAGAGACATGGCCAATGGAGAGTGCCTTGTCTTTGGCAGCACAGTCCACAATATCGCATTGGAAAGGTGTACATGGCAAAATGGCCTCGATTTCCTCACGGCCAATGCCAAAGTATTGACTGGCTTGCTCGTAAAGGGTGGTTGAGTCATCAAGTCGATCAACAGAGAGCAATGGGGATGAGGATGAGTGCTTTTGAGTAGCTTCTCCACTAATAAAGGGAGCCATGTTCTGTGTTAAGGAAACAGAATCCCAACGTTGCGCTGGAGGACCTAATGGTAGCGACCTTGGTCAGGCCGAACGGGTTTTAGATGAAATAAAGAATGGAAAAAGGTATGTATTTGGTATGATAACAAGGATAAAGTCCACCAGACTTTATAATGGACGGGAAATGGATAGAGATACAATCTGAAGAGGTGAGAGCGACGCTGTTCAACGAGAGAGTAAGCCTTCCTCAGCCTCTTTATAGACTGTTTACAACCACCCAGGCTAAAATATGCAGAAGCAGTCGGCATCTTTTTCAACAGGATGCCGCAGCCCTGTGGCATAGACGGGACAATTGGTTGGGGGAACGAACGAACAGGCTGCCTGCATCCACACAACGTGCCGATTTACAGTGGGTAAAGAAAAGTTACAAGCAAGTTAGTTCATTTTTCAATAAACGCATTCCAAATATATACTTACACAAACTTTGTAGGTAATAGTCATCTAAAAACTCGATACATATAAAGTATTTATACTACACGTGATACTCTACAAAGATTGATTACAAGCACATAATTTTTCTAAAAAGGTACAAAATTATTTGAAAGGTTGACTACAAACGAGTCTACCTGTAACTTTCGCTTACCTACTGTAGACGCCCAACAACTCGCCTCAGTAGTCACAATGGAAGAAAACGTGCTGCCAAGCAAAGGCGCATCGTATTTCCATCGTATCCCATTTATTAATTTCTTTATAGTACTCTTTTCTTTGTTATTGTACATGTTGCAGCAATTCGCTTACGATAGATTGTTGTTTGGTTACATTGCCATACAAACACCAGCAAACCAGTTTGATCTAGTCATGAGCTTGCCATAGCCTTGCGACCTTGATGAAACGCTATACACACCGGCACACGCCGTCGGTTAGTCCGCGCCGTGCAGCCAGAACCAGCCGTGCTATCGATGCATGCCACGTCAGGTTGGACGATCTATCCTCCACGCTTGGATAATGACAATTGGCCTATTGTTTCCACGTGCCATCTGTCAGCACCCAGACGCTATCTTGCGCAGGGTAGAGCCGGTACTCATCGTCCCAAAGCATGCCGGAATTGCCTCGGAGACATCGTTCCATGGTTACTGCACGCAGGCCAAGCTGCCCAGACTGAAATACGTCGGTGGGAACCTAGAATAAAATGGAAGGATTTAACAGATGCAGCATGCAATATCGATTCCTTTCCCGCAATATCCATAGGAACATTTGTGCTAGATGGCTTACGGACACTTACAGTAGTCTAAGCCCAACAAGGCAACCACCGAAACAAGACACAGCCGCTAATCCTAGCCTAAAGAGGAAACCAGAGCGGGTGCGCCATCAGGACCGGATGGTCTTTTCCGTTGCACTAAACCACGCTAGTGTATAACGCCTCCAAACCTTGCGATCCAGCCTCATTTGGGATGAGGCAGTGTACGAGGCACGGACTGGGCTGGCCTGGATATAGCGCATGCACAACGAACACTATAGTTCTCGGCCTACATCATCGGGCGGTGGCAATTGTCACGGCGTACCGTCTTTAGGAAAGTGCCGAGATGCTGGGATTGCGTGCTGCCAAGCTGCGTGGTGCGGGATATTCGGCAACTTTAACGTCTTGTATCCACCAACCAAGACGCATCCCGGCGAGGCCAAGATGGTAAGCTGCATGTAACGGAGTACCTTGGAAACGGAACCCCTACCCTACCGGCAGAAAACCGAAGACTGACACTAAACAAGGCTTAGAGAGTGACGCGTCTAACGCAATGTGTTCAAGTGGACTAACACTACTCAACCAGCGTCTTATACTGAAAATAAAGAAAACTAAACTGACGCTCTGAGTAATGCTGCTGCAACTCCCCATGTCTATACTAATACTCTACAAGTAACTCAGCCTTGATTTACTATTTCAACGTCCAAGCACAAAAACGAGGCTTGAATATGTAATCATTTATTTTCACCACGGTTCGTATCAGCCGTCAAAGAAGGCTGCGGGTGGCTTACTGGTGACAACCTTTCCCAGGGCCATCTTAGGATCCCATGCAGCCTATATTGATGCATCTGCGGACACGTCGGCTTCCTTCGCATGGGCTAGGCTTAGCCAGTAGGATGGTGATGATCGTTCATGGCATCTACCCAATGACTATTGCCAGCCACAGCATGTTGGCACGGTCTCCCCTCCGTGTAGTCGTGGACGGCTGCAGAGGTGAAGCACCCCTCGAGTATTTGCGATTCTTGCTCAATTTAGGATACTGAAATGTCGCCGGCACCACCAGCGTAGCCTTTGGGCTCTACGACTTGCATCGCTCTGAGACGTTTCCCAAGTCACCACTTACCGATCTTTGTTTTTCATCATCCTTTTCCAAAATAGACTCATCATGAAGAACACAATGCCCTCTCCTGTTCATCCTCGATGGCTCGCTACTCTGTTAGCGGACAATAGACCACCTCCAAGGCTGTTTGCCTGGACTCCCGCCAATCTTCCTTCCCTCAGAGCTGCCAGTCTTGCCCAAGGAAACCATGAGTCCCATACCAATGGAGACGATTTCCATACTATCCCTAACAGCTCGGAGGAACGCATCTTTATCATCGGCGCTGGCAATATAGGAAGGCTGTATGCGAGCTACATGGCCCAGCATCCCAACCCTCTTCCCATAACTCTGGTTGTGCATAGGAAAGAACTCCTATCACAATGGGTGGCCAGCGAAGGCATCGGAGTCTCCAATATTGGCGGTAGCAGAGTCTTTCGGAGCAAACAGTTCAACATTGAATGGTGGACAGACACTCGACCTCAGTTTGGCCCCGTACGAGAGGTAGCAGATGGGAAGAAGCTCCGCAATGTCTTTATTGCAACAAAGGCGACCGCTGGCTTGCCTGAAGCGGATAGACTCCGTCGATATTTGGGTCGATCGAGTTCTGTCGTATTCGCGCAAAATGGCGTCTGCAAACTTTGGCCGCCGCATGGTCCGTCCTATATCGCTGGTCGATATCAGGCCGGCGATGCCCCTACCTTTTCTGCCTGTGTTGTGAATCATGGCGTGGCATCGTCCGGGCCATTCTCCAGTATTCATTCAGTTCCTGCAGATGCATCTATCGGACCAGTCCTTTGGGCTCCTGATCCTACACCCCCACGTGTACAGCAAACAAGACAGCACAAGCGACGTCCTTGGGACAATTTCTTCATCCGATATATTGCATCTACGCCGCTCTTGGACACCAAGAGAGTATCCTCGGGCGAGCTGTGGCTACTCCAACTCGAGAAGCTGGTAGCCAACTCTGCGATCAATCCACTCAGTGCTCTACTGCGCTGCAAGACTGGCATCTTGTTTGCCAGTGACGATCCGCATGATCCTCTGGCAAAAGTGCTGGATAAGATGTTGTGGCAAACTAGTTCCGTGATCCAACGGCTTATCAACCATGATATCAGTCGGGATATCGTGGCCTCTTACACGGAGCAGCAGTATGGGGCGGGTATCGACGGCAACTTGCACGAGGCGCTTGCCAAGGTCCGCATAAAGCTGACACAGAGGTTCTCACCGCCTGTCCTAAAGGCGAAACTCTATGTTTTTGGTCGTAAATTGGATGCGCATCGTAGTTCAATGCTACAGGACGCTGAGGCTGGCCGGAAGACAGAGGTACGGGATTTCAATGGCTGGATTGTTGACATGGCTCATTTCCTAGACCCGGACTTGGATGTCAGTGTCCACCAGGGTTTAATTGAGTTGATTGAAAGTGGACAGGCCCTGGATAAAGAGGAGTTGGCCAAAAGGCTACTGTAAATTGGCAGATGGGATATCACATTTAAAGAGGTTTGGAAGTTGTCTACGCTAGTTGCTGTCGTGTAACATCATTTTGCTTCATCATATTTGATTTCTGTAGATCTATCCTATTGTCTATGTGCTATGATGCATTGTATTCTGTCTCCCTATCATTTTGTGTAACCTTTATGCATGAATGGATAGACTAGGAAGCCTCCCGTGTCTGGCTACTTTGGTAAATTGCCTCGTATTGCCGTGTCTGTCTCCGTAGGTGTGTTTGATATTACCTGCATGCACGTTCTCAGGAGGTCGCTCTTGTTTCCGTTCGCCACGCCTTGGCGAATGCAAGGAGGGGAGGCAAACAGCCATTCAAAACAACGCATCACATGATTGACTTTGCCTCTTGTTGCTGCTGCAGTTGTTGTCATCACCAGAGCCTTCAAGTGGCATTACACACCACCTTAGTCCTTTGTAATGGTCATAGACTGCCTGTAAAGTTTCCATAGTCTCCTAGGCTAGTTGTGTGGCGTCGTCTGAACGCCCAGATCACCGCGGCCTAGACTCCGCGCAAACGAGGCTGGACAAGGCTATTATTGCCCAGGCTAGTGATGCAACTCTCATCCCATTGACAGGCGGATCTTCGGGTTCCATCTAGACTCCGCCCACCACGGCACGGGCTAGCGGGCGTCCGGAAGCAGCCGAAACCCCATCCCCGCCGTTCTTCGGGGCGCATCGCAACCCCGACCCTCCCGTTGACAGCCAACAGCCGCCATCGAGGGATCCTCTTCCAACGCCAATCGAGATGAGATTGTGGCCAACATGGGATCATTGTCGCGCCGGTGTATAAGCGCAGTGGCACCCCATCACGACTGTGTCTCTGAGACGACGTGCTCCCAAACTGTTCTTGTCTCTAGACAAGAGAAGCAAAAAAATAATTCAAAATGGAAAAAGATACGGCGGAAAAGTCTGCTGCCGTAGACAGTTCCAAGCCCGAGACCAAAAACCAGCATCAACGCGAGGCTACCTTTCAAGACTATCTGGTATGTCTGTCTTCTCCCCGCCCTAACTATATCATTAGCCGGCGTCGTGCATGACGGAAAAAAGACAAAAAGACTAACCATCTTTTTCTGTGTTATTTTTAGCGAGTATTTTCCTATGCAACGAAATGGGATTTTGTAGCGTACGCTCTTGGTGCGGTGGCTTCCATCGGCGCTGGTATCACTATACCGCTGCTAAATGTCGTCTTTGGTGCGTTTTTCTGCCCTGAAAATATATTTGTTTCCGTAACTAACAATTTACGAATATTCAAGGCCAATTCGCCAGTCAGTTCTCCAATTTCGCTGGCACAAAAACAATCGACAAGGATGAGTTTCAAGGAACTCTAAACCGCCTCTCGTAAGTTGAGCACCTAGAATGAAAGCCGTTTGTGGGAAATTTCTAGTTTCTAATAAGAAGAATTATGATAGATTATACATGCTTGGGCTCTTTCTGGGTCGTCTCGTACTCAGTTACGTCAACAAGGTATTAGTGTTTCTTTACGTACTTATACCATCATTTACTTACCTTCTTCGCAGTTTGCATTCCGCATGATTGGTATTCGCATCTCGTCTGCCATCAGACAAGACTTTCTGAATGCCCTGTTTGCCCAAAGTGTTCATGTGCTAGACTCCATGGCTCCAGGCTACGCAACCACAGTGATTACGGCTTCCAGTAATACCCTGCAGCTTGGCATTTCCGAGAAGCTCGGTGTGTTTATCGAGTTCACTGCTACCATGATTGCCTCCATCATCATTGCTTTCATCTACAGTTGGCAGCTGTCCCTGGTCACATTTACTGCAGTCGTGTTTATTCTTCTCAGTGTCAGCATTCTGCTTCCACTCATTACTAAGGGCCAGACACAACAAGGCAAAGTAAGATTTGGTCCGCGTACCTGTCATCTTCTGAAGCGATACTAATGCCGGGAATTTAGTCTGAATCCAAGGCAGCAGCTGTTGCCAGTGAGGCCATGAACAGCATCAGAATGATTGTGGCGTGCAGTGCTGAAGCTCGAATGGGTAACAAGTATGCCAAATTCGTTGACGAGGCCAAGGCCCATGCACGATTTGCTAGTCCGTTTATTTCGATCCAATTCGGTTTAGTGGTACGTTGTAATACGCTTTTAAGATCCTTTCTAGAAGCTAACAGCCGTTGCTGCATAGTTCTTTAGCAGCTATGCTGCTTTTGGGTTGGCGTTTTGGTATGGAACCACGCTGTTCCTCGACGGTAAGATCGACCAGCTTGGAGCAATCATTGTGTAAGTTTAAGTTTCCACATTTGTTCATTGCCGTGGATAACAAACACTAACTGTGAAAAGTGTCCTGTTTTCTGTCATGATGATTGTGACTTCACTTGAGCGAACCTCTACGCCCCTTCTTGCTATTAGCAAGGCTATGGTTGCTGCTTGCCAATTCTTTAGCATCATTGATGCTCCCCGACCCGACCCTGGCCATCTCACAGACGCAGATAATGTCTCTGCTACGGAGGACATTGTTCTGGAAAACGTAACTTTTGCTTACCCCAGTCGCCCCCATGTCAAGATTCTGGACAATCTCAATTTGACGCTGGAGAAGGGCAAGGTCACAGCCATTGTTGGGCCCTCTGGCTCCGGTAAAAGTACCATTGTTGGTCTCATTGAACGATGGTACAGCCTCAAGGATCAGTATATCGTTTCCCAGATTGTCACAAAGGAAAAGAAGAAGAAAGAAGGCGATTCCCAAGGTGAAGAAGAAAACTCCAGTGAGTCGGCAACTCCGAACGAGGAGACTGGTGAAGCGATTCAACTCCAGGGCAGAGTTTCTACCTGTGGTCACTCACTCGACGACATCAACGTCAAGTGGTGGCGATCTCAAATTGGTCTTGTGCAACAGGAACCATTCCTTTTCAACGACACCATTTTCAAGAATGTTGTGAATGGACTTACCGGCACCAAGTGGGAAAATGAACCGGAAGAAAGAAAGAGAAAAATGGTCAAGGAAGCCTGTAAAGAAGCGTTTGCCGACGAGTTTATCGAGAAGCTCCCCGAAGTAAGTACCAAGAGCAGTTCTCGCGTCAGTATATATTCTTGCAGTGACCAATGCTAACCTCATAATAGGCATATGATACTCCTGTTGGTGAAAGTGGTGCCAAATTCTCCGGTGGCCAGCGTCAGCGTATTGCCATTGCCCGAGCCATTATCCGCCAACCATCTATCCTCATTCTGGACGAAGCAACCAGCGCAATTGACGTGCGTAGTGAGCGCATTGTGCAAGCCGCGCTAGACAGAGCGTCTAAGAACAGAACAACCATTACCATTGCTCATCGCCTCTCCACCATCAAAAAAGCGGACCGTATTGTTGTGTTACGAAAGGGACAAGTCTGTGAATCAGGAACCCATGAAAGTCTTCTCGCCGACGAAAATGGCCTCTACTACAGCCTTGTGAATGCTCAATCGCTGTCTCTGGGACAACCAACAGAGGCTGTTGAAACCAAAGAGAAAGCCGAACTGCCACACCTGACCAAGGAGAAGAGCCGCGCAGAGTCTACAAGAGAAACAGAAGCCAAGGCGAAAAAGGAGAAACGCAGAAACTTGTTTTCTAGCTTTGGTCGATTCTTCTATGAGACGAAATCGATTTGGTTCATGATGGCACTGACACTGTTCTTTTCTGCCTGCGCTGGTGCAGCCATTCCTTTCCAATCCTGGCTCTTTGCAAAGGTCATCATCGCGTTTGGATACCTTCCTGACAAAACAAAAGTTCGCCATGAAAGTGAATTCTGGTCGCTCATGTGGACTGTCTTGGCCATTGCAGCAGGCATTAGCTACTTTGCCACATTCTTCTTCTCTACGCGTACTGCCACTACCATTCGGGCCAAGTACCAAAAGGAATACTTCATGTCCATTTTGTACCAAAAGACGGCCTTTTTCGATTATGATGATCATTCGCAGGGTACCATGACGGCTCGTAGCTCCTCGGATCCCGGTCATCTTGAGGAGCTTCTGGGCTCCAACATGGCAAGTGTGTATGTGGCTATCTGGACGCTGCTTGGATCTATTGCGATTGCTTTTGCCTTTGCTTGGAAGCTGGCCCTCGTATCTTTCTGTGTGGTTGTCCCCATTCTCCTTGGTTCTGGCTACTGGCGATTCCGCTACGAGATCAAGTTTGAAGAGATGAACAACATTGTCTTTGCCGACAGCTCCAAGTTTGCCTCGGAGGCCATCGGAGCATTCCGCACTGTGGCATCGCTTACGCTTGAAGATGCTATTTGTGGCCGATTCCGTACGCTAAGCAAAGGACATGTTATTGATGCATTCAAAAAGGCGCGATGGGTGACAATGCTGTTTGCATTTTCCGACAGTGCTACCATCGGCTGTCAAGCCCTCGTTCTCTGGTACGGTGGTCGTTTGCTTCTTAATGAAGAGTTTGACCTGCAAAGTTTCTTTGTATGCTTTATATCTGTCTTGAATGCTGGCGAGACAACTGGACGCGCTCTCAGCTTCGGCCCCAACGTTGCCCAAGTCAGCGCAGCCGCCAACCGCATTCTTAGCCTTCGAGACAGCAAGGTCAAGGACAACCCTAACGCTACAGGTGAAGCATTCAAGTCGGAGGGTGGCGGCATGAAGATTGAACTCGAAAATATCCACTTCAAATACCCGACTCGAGATGTGCCCGTCTTCCAAGGACTGAGCCTCACCATTGAGAAGGGTCAATTTGTGGCGCTCGTTGGTGCATCAGGCTGTGGAAAGACGAGTATCATCTCTCTGCTTGAAAGGTACGTAACCAGGTGTTCGAAGATGGCACAAAACTCACAAATTGTAAACAGATTCTACGATCTCAGTCGTGGCCGTATCTTGTGCAACGGTCAGGATATTGCGACCAACAATGTCTATGCCTACCGTCGTTGTCTCTCGCTTGTGGCGCAGGAGTCCAGCTTATTCCAAGGTATGAATACCGAGACGGACCAAGAAGGGCTTGCTAACCAGTCTGTAAAGGCACCTTGCGTGAAAATATCCTTCTTGGTGTCGATGAGGCCTCCGTCACGGATGAGCAGCTACATCACGTTTGCCGTGAAGCCTCTATTCACGATTTCATTGTGTCGCTACCTGAGGGATACAATACCAACATTGGCTCCCGTGGCGTGACGCTCTCTGGAGGACAGAGACAGCGTGTAGCTATTGCACGCGCTTTGATGCGCAACCCAGACATCTTGCTACTCGATGAGGCGACCAGTTCGCTGGACTCAGAGAGCGAGAAGCTGGTGCAGGAGGCATTTGAGCGTGCAGGCAAAGGGCGTACAATGGTTGCTGTCGCGCATCGTCTAGCCACGGTACAGAATGCTGATGTGATTTTTGTGCTCGGAGAGGGCAAATTGCTGGAGCAGGGCAACCACGAGGAGCTTTTGGCTAAGCGTGGTGTTTACTGGCAAATGGTGAGATATCCCCCTACTCTAAGTTGATGTTGGTGTTGACTGTGCTAACGTGTGGTGAATTAGTGTCAAAGCCAAGCCCTGAACAAATAGACGGTGTCGTCTGCGTTTTGAGACCGAAAGAACAAAGGAGACAGGTTTGTGAGTTTGTACCGTCGATCATTTTTATTCTTTCCTCCTTCTCTTCGTTCTTCCCCTTTGCAATACACTTCTTAGGGGAACACTATACACGTGTATTCGTATTTCTTTTCGTCGAAGTTCCGGCTATATAGCTAGCCGCGTTAGTAATTTAAAAACAACCCAGATAGCTTACCTAGCCTCTACTCTACTTGCAAGTGCCGTGCCGTGCTGCTGCAGCTACCCGCATGCTAATGTATGTGTGTGCTGTTGCTGTTGCAGGGTGGCGCGATTAGCGTCAACCACAGTGGCGGGACTGCCGGCACGAGACCACGCCTCGGAATCCATCTTGTGATGCTAAGTCGATAGCTTATGCGGGGTTGGTGGCTGGCGCTAAAGCGACTAGAGCGTGCCTGTGATTATGAAAATAGGAGAAGCACCAGCAAAAAGGATGCTCGAGCTTCCGGCGCTTGGCCGCTTCAGGCCGTCAGGGGTCCCACCACAACAGCAAATCCCAATGCCTGGGGGGGCTTGGCACTGCGCGCCGCCATTTGACTTTTCTTTGTCGCCAAGTCTCCTTTTTCCTCTTTGTCCGTTTTATTTTCACCTTGAGTTTAGTCTTCGTCCTCGATAAGCTGCAGACGGACAAAGTGCGGATAATACCGAGCCGCGAATTACACAACAATCACTGCAGCCGGTCAACACCGCACAAAGGCTTCCCTCGACAACACCGACATCTCTGACACCGCCCCAATCCCCATACCATCAAGACACGCCGACACCAAATAAACAACGCCGGACAACGAGTGCAATAGAACCAAAATCATTGGTTTGCGGTACCCAAGTTGTAGCCTTGCCCTGGCTCCCAAGCAACCACCTACGACCCCTGCATCTGCCATATCGCGGGGCACGAGACCTCCTACCAGGACCAGACTTGGGCAACACCATGGCCAACAAGGATGGCAGCGTTGCTCGTGATGGAGCAGGCTCCTCAAAGGGCAGCTCTGTGGGCAAAAAGCTGTCTCTTATCTTGGTACGCTTTTCTAGGTTCCGTCTTTGCGCCACGGAGAGCGATTTTGCTAACTCGTCCCTACAACAGCTAACTTTCCAAAACTCGGCACTGATTCTCGTACGCCCTTCTCTTATACGGCAACAAACCCTCTAAAACAATGCTAACACATACCGCTAGGTAATGCACTATTCGCGAATCATGCCCATGTCCGGCGACCACCGATACTTCACATCGACTGCCGTTTTTCTCAACGAACTCATCAAACTCGCCGTTTCCTTGTCCATGGCAATGTACGAAACCTCCAAGACCCTTGCGCCAAGCACCCCGGCGACAGTGCTCGTCGAACAAATCTACAATGGCGTCTTCCGCGGTGACGGTTGGAAGCTTGCTCTGCCTGCCGTCTTTTACACCCTCCAGAACATGTTGCAATTCGTGGCGGTAGAAAACCTCGACGCTGTGCACTTCCAAGTTCTATACCAACTCAAAATTATTACGACTGCTATATTCACGGTTATTATGCTCAACCGCCCGCTGGGTATGGTACGCTGGGCATCGCTCATCATCCTCACCTTGGGTGTGTCGGTTGTCTCGCTACCGTCTAGCAGCATGCCCAAGGATTCTTTCCTCCTCCACGGCATCCCAGACCACTTCTTCCCCCGATCGCAACACGAACTTGGCCATCAGCCTACAGACGACGGCCCAGATGTCCATCTTACGCGACGATCAGCAAGCTACGAAGGAATTGCCGACGACTTGCCAGTTGGAGAAGCGGGTATGAACTATTCGGTTGGGTTTACTGCTGTTTTGATTGCTGCGGCAGTGTCCGGCTTGGCGGGAGTGTACTTTGAGAAGCTTCTAAAGGAGAGCCCTACACAGGTCAGCGTCTGGATCCGCAACGTGCAGCTCAGCTTCTACTCTGTCATCGCAGCCTTCTTCGGCGGCATCGTCTGGCAAGAGGGCGAAGAGATTCTCAAGCACGGCGCCTTTGACGGTTATAATTGGATCGTGTGGGTGACAATTTTGTTGCAGGCTGCTGGCGGGCTGATTGCAAGTCTTGTCATTCGCGATGCGGATAACATTGTCAAGAACTTTGCTACCAGCATCAGCATCGTCATTAGCTTTGTCGTCAGCTTGTGGCTGTTTGATTTCAAAGTGTCCTTTAACGTAAGTTGGCATTGTCATTATTTCTTGCATGGTTTTTATTTGCTAACCCAATTATCTAGTTTTTGCTCGGTACGAGCTTAGTGCTTGTCGCTGTTTGGCTTTACAACACACAGGAGCATGGCTTGAAACGGCCACAGGCCGTAAGGCTCTTTAGCTTTGAAAAACACACGATTGACCGCGGCACTCCACTGTCTACACCAAGAACGACAGACTTGAGAAAGCTGAATACGGATCCATTCGATCTTAAGGGTTTGGCTTCCACCTCGAGCCGTCCTAGCAGCCCAGGTCCCGGCCTGACCCCACGACAGATTAGCCGTAGCATCCCAAGGAGCGAGTAATGCTTGTATTTGATTGATTAACGTGAATATGGAGAGAGACTGTGCGCGAGGAGACCGCAATTGGATACATATACCCTCAATAGACATTGGACTTTTGGGTTGGATCTGGAGGAGTTAACTGCATCAATAATTTCATTTAGAAGAATTAATGTAAATGCGCACCCTGCATGAATGCATGGAATTTTATAAATATTCTTTTACCGAAAAATGTCAGTATTTCTTTTTACTTTGCCTTTTGGCTTTGGTGAATTGCTTTGTCCACGGAAGCCTGGCAGCCAATCGTTTTGACCAGCCACGCTGTTTTTGCCCCTGGAAGGGGGAGCGTGTGTGCTGCGCCAACTCCTGGCGGCAGTAGTTTCTGTTAACAGACGCGACTACGATGTAAATAGAGGTGCTCTTTTCCATTTGTAAATTTTATTTTGAAAATTAACATGGTTAAAATAGAATATGAGATTTATGTGCTTCTTTTTAATATTGAATTAATTCTCTGCTAGTACACAGTGTCTGAGATACAAAAGATGTTCTCTAACAATGCCTAACGCCAGCGCGTGCTCCTGGCGCCGCCAGCTTTCCTTTTGCCAACCCTGTTTTTATTCACCTATTGACGACTGTTATCAACACGCGGCGTCTATTTGATGCTGTTCAATCTCATACCTCAATTATCCACTCAAGTCAAATTTCTTTCTCTATACTGCTTTTTTTTAATAGACAGGAGTATTTCCTAATCAGCATACTCACGTCCGCCAGCAACTGAGGTAGCGCGCCTACTGGGACACAATAGGCATCCGCCAGCTTCTATTTCTCAGCAAAGATAGCCTTGATGCCATTGAATATTACAAACCCGTTCAAGCAAATCAAGAAAGATGAGACACGGCGGCCCTAGGCGGCATGGACGCCCAAACAGTGGCCGCGTCATAAAGCCAGACCCCGACAGTCATGCAGTCACTCGGCAGTCAATTGAGAGTGACCATGGTGATGTCCCAGGCCACCACACTCAGAACACAAACGCTCTCCCCAATTCCTCACTCTATGGCCAAAATAGCAGCACCGGATCGGTGACTCAGTCTTTTAACCAACAGTTAAGGTCTGACGCACGTAAGTTGGCACAGCATCATGTCGTTTGTAAGACACAAACAAGCGCTAACTCACCTTCACAGCACCTCCAAGTGAACCTGCTACCGAGATTGAACCTCTCTTTAGAGAGGTGAGGCCTCTTGCCATGTTTTCTGCAGCTACCAATGGAGCGTCGAAGGAAGATAGTTTCTTTCATTCCTCATTCAAGGACATCGGAAGACGTCTCAAGGAATTCAATGACACTCTTGGCGAGCTCCAGCAGCTGGGTATGTCACACGATCTCAAACTCCCTGAACTAGTGTTGATTGGAGACCAGTCTGCTGGCAAGTCCAGTCTCATGTCCGGTTTGGCACATTTAGACCTCCCGCGAAGCGAAGGCACATGCACTAGATGCCCTCTGCACATTCGGGTGTCTAGGAATACAGACTGGTCCTGCAGGGTTTCACTTCGCCGAGAGTATTCTTATCATCCCCCGCAGGATTGTGGTATTACAGAGGACGATGTTACTGACAGCGATCCATTTTTCCCCTGGAAGAAGATGGCCCACATGCAAATCCATGAGTTCAAGACAATGCACGACAACTCTGAGATTGAGAGTGTCTTGCGCTGGGCCCAGATTGCCATTTTAAACGACAGCAAGAGCCACAAGCTCTTCATCCCCGGTTCTGGCTCCGTCGCACTCAGCACTAACATTGACGAGGCTGCCGAGACGACGCAAGCCAAATTCAGCCCTAATATCGTTTCCTTGGAAATTAGAGGACCCGACTTTCCGGATCTGTCCTTCTATGATATGCCTGGCATCTTTCAAAATCCAGCGGATGCCCGGGACGACTACCTTGTGTCTGTCGTGCGAAACTTGTCAAAAGCCTATATCGAGCACACCTCGGCTATTGTCATCTGTTCTATGCCAATGAACAGTGATGCCGAAAATTCAGCCACTTTTGGTTTGACCAGAAAGCTGAATGCGTCTGGTCGTACCATTGGCGTTTTGACAAAAGCCGATCTTTTGCCAGTAAACGGCAAAATAGACCAGTGGCTGGCTATCATGAGACAACAAACGCACCAGACAGGACTTGGCTACTTTGTGACGTCCCGTCCTCCAGACAAAGATCTCGATGAATGCAAAGAGTGGGAAGAGCGCTTCTTTACAGAAACCAACACATCCGACTGGCCGATTCATTTCCATGAATTCCAAGAACGATGCGGTGTGGAAAAGCTAAAGGCCTATTTGTCCGAAAGACTAGGAGAGCAGTTTGCCCGATTGTAAGTCCTCGCCTGCAAAGTAAGCGTATCAACACAAAACTGACCCAGTGATAGTTTACCAGAGATCAAGAGAGATCTCAAACATAAACTTCAAGCAATCAAGGAACAGTTGTATGGCCTTCCAGAACTGCCTGAAAATGTCGAGCTTGAGATCAAATCTTGCTTAATGACATTTTCGGACCAAATCCGGATTCGACTGGATAGCTTTGTAAAAAACATCAACACTTTGCCCATGAACTTCAAGCAATGTCTTCTGGATATGAAGCCCAAATTCGTTCTCAAGGACAATTCCGACTGCCCCATCCAAATTATATCCGACTCTGAATCCGACGCCACGACATCCTCTGTGGTTCAAACACCGAGTCGCAAACGTCCCACTCAAGGGCCAATTACAGTTCCAACACCCAAAAGACAGAGGTCTGAACTGCTCAACAATGGGGCAGGTTTACCCAATCGTGGTGCACCCGCTGCCAACAATGGAAATCAATCACCTCGAGTGCGAGGCGTAGCAACGCCGTCCTTCCCGGAGCCCTTTACCCAGTTTAGTGCGGTTGGTAGAGGATTCCGAACACTCGCCGCTGTACGTGAAGAAATACAAAACAATATGAAAGCCGGTATGCCAGGCATCATTCCGGAGGAGGTATATGAGAAGCTTGTTTTGGAGGCCATGGATCCATGGAATGGCCCTACCAGAGAATTCCTGACAGCCATTGTCCAAGCATTGCACAATGCGATGCAGGAAGCGCTTGTGAGATCTCTGGGTCGCCATGAAAAGCGCTTCATCTTTCGAGAGGTGGAGAAGTATGTCGCGGAGCTTATTGAACAACACCGGGACACAACTATGCAACATCTGATTCAAATGTACGAGGACGAGACTAGCAAGCTTCTCACTTTCAACACCGAAGCATTCACGCACTACTTCACCCACGAGAAGGAGGTGCTGCAGAGGTTCAGGCACCATATGAGACTCCAGGCTGCAGGCATGACGTCAGAGCAGCTTGTGCCCTACGAATCCGTAGGACAGGAACGCTTAGCGCTGGAGGCGAAGAAGCGAGAGGCCGAGATGGTCAAGTTGGGCCCGGACAAATTTGAAAAAGAGGTCGATGTGATCGCCTACGTTAGGAGCTACTACAAACTTGCGGCACTTCGATTTGCAGACAACTGTGCGCAGAATGTCATTTGCCGCATGATTCCTAACTTGAATCGATCTCTGGTGTTTGAAATGCATGGAAAGCTGGGCATCCAGGGCAGCGACTGCAATGACACTTATGAGAGGCTCATGGCAGAAGATGAACAGACGGCTACCTTGCGACGAAATCTCAAGGGCGAGTTGCTCAAGTTTGAGACTGCGCTACGCAGCATTGAGCAGCTGGAGGCCAACTTTGGCGAGACTTCGACTAGTTTCACGACCGAACAGAATGGCGGCGATGGTGCAAACGGTGTAAACGGTGTAAATGGTCATGATGTTGAAATGCACGACGGTGATCGTCTCGATGAATTGTAGACCCCCCCGAATTAGCAAATGGTCTTTAACAGGTTATGGTACAGAGCAGCATTGGAGGAAAGGTTATGAATGGACACAGAAACAACTGTAAGCAAATATTGCGAATGTACGAATAGACAAAAAGTAGCTCGGGAATATAGGAAAACAAAACTTGTATCGGAGAATTTCCCGTTCGCCTGTTCACAACGCTGATCGGAGTCGGGCCGATCTATTTAATTGGGCCCAATAGATAACGTTGGGAGGATTTCTTTAAAAGCCTCTTGCGGCCGCCTCATGCACACATCTCAAGACATCAACGCACAGATTCATCTACCACGTGGAATATATCATTAGAAAATGTCGCAGAAAGTCTGGACTCGCAAGTTCCCTGCCGGCTTCGGCCTCGAGAAGGCGCTGGAGGCCACTCGCAACCCCGGCGCCGCTGAGCCCATCGTCAGCCCACCTGAGAACGTACGGACATCTTTCCGCCCATAGTCTTTGTAGTCTGACAGCTAACACTGTAATCTAGATGGAAGAGCTCGCATCGTCCGATGCCGGCGGCCCTGGCTTCACCCTTGCCTCCTTCACCACCGAAGACGCTCTTGAGCTTGGCCATCTGCTGCACGCCCGTCTTCTTGCGTTTGCTCCGGCCCGTTCGGCATTGATCAACATTAGCACTTCGGGCGGCGCTCAGACTGTCTACCAGAGCGTCACTGGTTCCGGAACCACCCCGGACAATGAGATTTGGGTTAGCCGCAAGCGCACGACCGTCCTGCGCTTCGGCGTCAGCTCGTGGATGATGGGCCGCAAGTTTGCCGGCGACGAGCCCCTCTTTGCGTCCAAGTTTGGCCTGGACCCTGAGCAGGCTGGCAAATACGCCATCCACGGTGGCGCTATTCCCATTCGTGTCCCAGGTGCTGATGGAATCGTTGCTGTTGTGATTGTCAGTGGTCTCAAGCAGCATGAGGATCACGGCGTCATTGCTGAGACGATTCACAAGTACTGGGAGTAAAAAGAAAGCACAAAGGGGTTATGAAAAAATGAAGTAATATTTAATTCAATATAGAGATTATAAAGTAGTCAGTATAAGCTTGTACACTAAATGTGACGAATAAGCCATTGCGATATGCTCACAAAGCTCTACTATTTGAAAGAAGAAGAGAAGATTAAAGAGAAATTGGCGCAGTTGACGCGTGGGAGTCGAGGTTTGGAAGCTGGGTGAGTTTACCAGTTGATGCTGGTGTAAGAGCCGCGGGGGGGAGAGTGAGGGAGGACGTCCGGAGTCTCAGCGGGAGGGGTGTAAGTAACAGTGCTGGGCTTGATGACGCTGCTGCTGCTGGCGGATGGGGAGGAGGTTTGCGCTGCGAGCTGGGCGCTGGTCTCGGAAACAACTTGGGAGCTTGTTGTAGCGCGAGATGGGCGGACGGGGGCAGGGCAAGCCTTGATAGGCGCCTTGCTGGAGGACACGGCAGGTGGTGGGATGTACGAGATGGTGGTGAGCGAGGAGGACATCTCGTGGCCCTCAATTGGCTGAGCGGAGGCCCCAACCTCTCGGGTAACGGTGATGGTTGAGTGGCGAGTTCTTGTAATCTTGGCGGGTGCTTCGCTCAGAGGAACAGGGTCGACAAAGATTTTGCTGGTGATGGTTTCCTGAGTAGGAGGAATATACGTGATGGTAGAGACAGGGGTAGTGGTATGGGTGACAGTAATAGTAGCAGGCTGAGCATACTCCGTCACAGTCACGGTTTGAAGACCAGCTTGGCCATTCGCAGGGCACGGGCAGCAAGCCTGGCCATTCTGACGAGGAAGAATGAAGCGTCCATGGCGAGCTTCGCCGAGGCTGGCGAGGGCAATCAAGGTAAAAGGAGCAAAAGAGTGCATTTTGAAAAAAAAAACGACGGTGGTGAAATTGATCAACGAAAGTAGATGAAGAGAGTGGTGAGAACGAATGTGCTTTTCTTGCTTGGTGTTATAGAGAATAGGACACTTGGATGACGAAGGACAGAGCGGTATATATACGCTACTGGACACTAACAGAAGGAGTATAGTCTACGATCAATCTGAGTCGTCCTCACTTACCGGAGTAATAAAGTCTGCATATAGCGTGGCAATGGATTGGCAATATTTGATTCAAGGCAGCCAGCCGTAGTAGGCCGTCCAGAGAGTCTGCGTCGGCGCTGTTTTAAGGATCATCCCTCATGAAACCCGAATGGGAAATATGGGCACTATAGCAGCAGAAATCCGTTACTTTTGCCCTGTTTATTTAGGGAGGCGGCGAATTATCGTCAGAAAATGAAACCTGCCCTACGCAAGGGAAGTGTCCAAGGGAGCTAAGGTGGTATGGCGAAGAAGGGAGCCCCCCACGACTCGGCACAATTGTTTTGGGGGCGCCATTTCTCAATGACTCAATAATTAAAGAGCACCCTGTTGCATAAAGCTCTGTCAAAATAATGCAGATTTTTGAAACGTGTCTGTGGAAGTCGTGATGTTGGCACCAGCTGGCAGAGCTGTCACTCCTTCAACGGCCCGGGTGCTGGGACCACATTTTTCCGGTCGCAACAACAAGCTAACGCAGCTTGGTGCATGGAGCCCCACGGTTGTCGACTGTCACAGGGTTTAACGTTTTGGATCTCAAGCGTTTTTTATCATCACCACGGCAGCAAAGCTTGAGTGGTAAAGCCTCTCGCACTATTCATCAACGCCGATTTTCCTTGCACCTCGTCCGAGTCTGCCATGGGCGCCTGTCAGTCATGCCTGGGCAGCCGCAAGCCTGAGGTTGTAGAGGAGGTACGTGAACGAGGCCGCGCAACACTCTTGTTGTCAGACGATGCGCAGGGCAGAAGAGCTAACAATAGAAAATTAGAGCGAGGAGAATAGACTGCTCTACGATGATGCCAACGGTATCCAATACGGCAGCTTCAACGACGGCGTGATGCCGGGCGACGAGACGATCGAGACGCAGCGTGAGAATGAGGCTTTGCAGCGGGTTGTCGCAAAGACATCCAGGTGGGTAGAAGGAATTCTGGAGTTTTATTGCCAGAGAAGCTAACGGTGTCGTTTTAACAGTAACATGGTCGATGTTTTCGACATTGCGCCCCGCAATCCCGGAGCAGAGGCGGCTGCTACCGCGTTCGGATACACTTCCCAAGACGCTCGTGCGGCTCGCTATCAGCATCTCGTATCGAAGCTTCACACGGAACAGGGCGAGCAGCCTGCGGGTATCAAGGTCGATTGGCTCGATGGCGACCAGAGTCTCAAGAACAACGATCGCCCGATGAGCCTGAAAACACTGGACGACGATGACGATGCTCTGGTGGGCACGTTTGCCGATGCTGCAGCGGCTGCGACACGATAAACGACCGGCATCCCTCTATCCGAATGTATCACCATTTTATCTCGCTGTTTACCTTTCTGCTCTATCGAACGCCATCTCGTAGCAGCGACATTTACAACCACCGTTCTAATACCTGATACCCACGACTACCGACCCTCGTTCTCTACTACTTTTCTTTGTTCCATGGAGATACAGACATTGCAGTATCTCTCTTATTTTCATGTGTATATTGGACTGGGCTGCTGCTTGAATAGCGCTCAGCAGGACAAACGCATCAGCACGTTGCTTTGGAAGGCAGTACGATGCGTAGCATACTTGGCAGTTATTTTTTTTTGCTTGTTCAATTTGTTTTGCCATCTTTTTGTTCTTTGTTTTTAGCTCATCCCAAACCGCTGTTTTCCCTTTTTTGAAACACCAGCGGACAGAATTGTAAATATATGCACGGTTTTTGAGCACATGTCAATCTGATCAACAAAAATACCGCCGTTTAAGCCTCGACACGACACCCGTGCATTGGCCGCAACTAACGCCACGCAGCCCTGCGGCCAGATAACGAAAGCAGTTTAGCTCAATGCCCTGAAGAAGAAGTCGAATGCCGAAAGAAGCAGTGGCATAGTGCCCCAGATGCACACCCAGTGAGTATGGGACACGTGCAGAGGTGGCCACCTTGTGGGGATTGCAACCATGGCACCAGCCGGTTTTTTTCCTTCTGCCTATGTCTTGGTTTGTCTTTTCAGGCCTTTTTTGCCCTGTCTCCAGTAGGAGCGGGGGGTGGGTGAGCGTGTGTGTGTGCGTCTCGGCACGCACCGCCCGCCATGGCTTTTGTACCAACGTTAGCTAGCCTCCCAAGACTAATTAGGTGGGCAGGGATTGCTTAGCGCGGACAAGGGCCGACGGACCTTCCCGTCCATCACCACCAATCCGCCCCCCGTCCGCGAGCCGGGAACCATATCGTCGGGATCAGTTGTAGGTTACCAGACTCTCGGTACCGGCGGCAGGGCGTGGCCAGGCAGCGCGAGGCTGAGATGGGCGGTTTGGCCTTGCTACCAGGAGCCAGGATGGCCCGTTGGTTGTTCGTTTAGCCAAGGAACCGCATGATGGAGCGGCGCCGCACAGCCATGTGTTCGTTTTTTGCTTGCATGGGGGGGCAAGGGTTCGCGCTCGACCGCTTGCTCTACTGACGCGCACCCAAACAGCGGGTTTTGCGCAAACCGTAGCCCAGCCCAGCCGCCCTGGCACCAAGTTGCCGCGGTGCCCTGTGAGTTTGACTTGGTCTGGTTGGCTCTATTCCGCGGAGTTGATAGTGAGCCGTGGCGGGTAACAGCAGCAGACAGCAGTAGTGCCATTCCCGCCAACGAAGAACAATTGCAAAAGGGTCCCCTTTTGGCCGGTTCAATGCTGCTACAAGGTTTCCTCTTTTTTGGGGCGGCGGTCCGCCTGATATCGACGCTCGGCAGTTGGTCTCGTACAAGGTTAGATCTATTTAGAGATCTTCATGGCAGTGCAACGTGCCAATTGCCTGTGTCTACTGCCAGTATTGCCGCAACAAACTACTGTTCTTTATACTACTTGTGGCCAGGTTGACCATGCCTATCACCTGCTATCTGCCTGCCCTGAAGCACAGTCCCCCCGGCCGCCGCCGGCAAAAGCAAGCTGCCCGCCTTGCGTGTCCCTTAGGGGGGCGTTCGTGCCGCACGCATGTATTCATCAGCGGCGCCGCGTTAGTTTGCAGCGGGAAGCATGCACGTCGACGGGGTTAAGGAGCCCTGTGAGTGCCACATCCCATCCCACCAGCCAGGATACAGTACAGGACTCTTCTGCCCTGCTGACTCGCTGGCTAGCTGGCTCACTGGTGGGCTGGCTTGCTCGCTGGCCCGACTCTCGGAGGTTGGGATAAGGAGTTACAGGCTTCGGTTAGGCTTCTGGTTTGCCCAACGATGGCCCCAACAGCACGCGATACTGCTGGCAAAGCAGCAAGTCCACCGTCGCTACACAAGTGGTGGCTCCGAGGCCGAAATGAAGAGGCAGATGCGGTAAAGAGGGGTGTTGGAAAGGGATTATTCAGATTCCAAGATGCCTATTTACGATTTGAATCATGACATTTGTTCCCAGCCAAAAGGACGACACCAGAGTGACCCCGGAGGATCTGTATTAGCGACGCATAGCCGCTGTCGTCATCCATGCTCGGCGCCTGTAGTGTCCAGAAATGCACACTTTTCGCCCGGTTCCAGCTCCTGATTCCGGTTTGCATTGTCGACCGACCTCGATATCCCGACTTGAATACCATATATCCTGTCATAATAGCCAGTTCCCGCCTACCCTCAACGGGTTTGTGCGGCGGACATGGGAGTTGCTGCGATCGCCGCGGCGGGAGTTACAGCTTCCAAAAGACGCAAAAAATGCAATTGCAAAACATGCTCTGTAGTTATATGAATCCTGGCAAGGCCGCAAAACCCTCTTCTCGCGGCCACGATGCTAGAAATCTCTTTCGTCATCCAACTTTGTCTCGTCTCCTTTTTGCTTTTTGCTGTTTTATACAAGAGAGCCCACGCGCACATCATGATCGTGGTGCATGCCGAACAGTTGCTCGTACACTTCTTGCATCTCCTTTAGTGTTTTCTCGATGGTGGCCGTGCGATTCGACATCCCCCTCCAACGCTCCACGTCCTTGGCCATTTTGTCGTATCTGCGCTGCTTCCTCTCGATTTCACCACATAATTTGCATGTTTCCCGGACATCGTCTCGTTCGTACATGAGCTTTAGCCCACATGTCTCGCCTATTCGATACTCCTTATTGCACTGCATCCGGAACTTGCCCCAGCGCCAGTAACCGCAGCTCCAGCGCGTCTGATAGTAGTAGCACATGGCGTTGGCTGGCGGGCCGAGTCAGGCAAGGACGGTCCAGATCTTTAGGATATTGCTGAGGAAAGTTTCTCTGTACTGTGAAAGCTGCAAAGAGCAGCAAAGCAGAGTTAGTCTGGTGCATAAGGGTGCCCACCAACGGAGCCGATCGCACAAGTAGCTCTCCTTTCTCCGTCTGTGCTGATGGGTTTGGCCATGAAAAGGCACCACTCACCTCGGGGCCGAGGGCGGCTTGGGGCTTCGTTCTCTGTGCAAGAGCCGGGAGGCTGCTACTATATAGTAGATGTTATTAATATGTTGGGTGGAAAAAGCTGGCTTTGTCTGGTGTGAATATGTATTGCTTGCCGCTTTTGTTCAGCAGGGAATAATGTCAACTTTCTGTGCAGACAATCGTCTGGAATCGGGGGTGCGTATTTATACAACCCGGCGAACGGAACAGAATGCCTCTTTTAAACAATCCCCAGCAAGCAGCTGCAGAACAACACGGCTGGTGGGACTCGACTAGCTAACAGGAGCAAACAAGTCTGTCTGTATGTTTCTCTCTCGCAGTCTCTGTCTCTTGCTCACTCCCTCATTCAGCTTTGGATCCGTGGTAATAAAAAAGGTAGCGACAACATCGCAGGGGCGGCCACGGACTGGATGAGGCTTGGATGGCAAGATTGGGTATCCTTACATACAGCCTTTACGCTCACGGTCGACGGGGCGAACAACACACGCCCCCATTGCACACCCTACCCGGTTTATAGACCTACCTACCTACAGCGCAGCGAGGCCGACGGAGGATGCTGTACAGGCCGCCGGTCCCCCAGCTATGTAGGGGGGCTCTTAGGGCACGACAGGCGCCACCGTTATCACAAAAGGGCCCCTTGTCCAGGGTTCCAGGACGGTTGTAGATTGACGTTAGTATGCTGCTGCTGCTGCAAGTGACGAGCATGAAAATCCTCTTGCCGCCATGTGAAACATTTGTGCCGGCGCAAGGCTTTGCTTTTGCATCGGAGCCCTGGGCACCGGCCCTGTTCAGCCGGCACGGCAGAGACAACTTACATGGTAACTGAATGTTTGATTTCTTATTTACATTGCTTACTGAGAAACCGTTTCTGGAATAACATTACACGCAGCCCGGGACGCGATGGGTTGGGCCGCTTCCAGGCTAAGGCCCATTAACAGAACCACTACGGATGCCTATCGGAGATATTCCGGCGCGCTGGCCAGCTTAGGACGAGTAAAAACAAGAAAAAAACAAGTTGATCACAAAAGACGTTTGGCCTTGCATCTTGCCTGAAAAAAAAAGAGGGCGGAGGGGGCCCATGAACGCGGCCGCTGTGGAGAGCGTCTCGGGCAGCAAGCAACTCCTTCGCTTCGCAGCTTGCCGGAACAGCTGTTGCCGATGCATACGGCTGCTCTGGCGGATGGTTCTTCTCGGTGAGAACTGGCATCATGGTTCGATGGCTTCAATGGGGGAAGCTAGAGAGGGTGGATCTGGTGTGGTTGCGGCACAGCGCTGGAGTGGTGTGTCTGCAGGGACAGCGCATCATGACTGGGGGGTTTAAAGGGCCTATAATGAATGCCGTTGGTGCAAGCAGACATTCTTGCTGTGCGATGAGATTATCGCTGCGACTGCAGATGATGGCGGGAGGAGCGCCGCCAGCATGCGATGTCAAGCATCGTTGTTGTCCTACGTGTATGGTAGTGATTGTCCAGAATAGCAAACTTGAAAGGTCGGCAATTGTTTAGAGCCTGTTATTCCAGCTTATAGAAGAGGATTTCTCTTGTTTGTTATTCTATTCATCGTGGTTTCCAGGGACAAATGCCAGTAGCGCCCAGCACTTACACCGGCCGCCATGCCCGCAAAAGGAAGGTTTCCCGCCTCCAATTAGGAACTAGACGCAAAATTTGGCAATTACAAGCTAGAGCATATCTTTTTTTACCACCCGTCTTTTATCCTGATTGCATCTTGTCATTCCCTTTTTTGTGGGCTCCCGGTGAGCCCGCATCTGCATCCGCCATGCTTGCTCCAGTGACGCTGCTGCGATGCGTAGGTGATGGACGATACAGACTGCAAGGCAGCCAGCGGTTGAATTGACGGAGACTGTCATGGGTCGCATTCATGCCGCGCGACCGTTTTGTGCATTTTCGCTAACGCATGGCCGTTGTATTTGAATGGATCTGCTTTTCGTGTCTTAGAGCCGGTCCGGTCGGCCTACGGAGCACATCGATTGTGGCGACATCTACCGGCAATGATTACTTCATACATAAACAGAATTCTCGGCGAGACCCGCAAGTTGTGGGACAAGCTGTATATTAGAAACAGAGTTAGCATATGTTACTTGCAGGCCGCCACCACTTGGAGCTGACGAGAGGTTGAGTTGGAGTCAGTGGACCGCATCTCTGGTGGAGAAAAGCTTTGACGTGGTGAAGGTTATACCATAGTACTAAAGCTAGCTCAGACGCATTCTACTAGGTAAGCTTGTTGTGCATGGGCTGTTTGTGGCCGTGTTGTGGTGTGGCGGCTGCAGCGGAAGGGTAGTCCCGCGTGAGGCTTGCATTCCGGTTGGCAGCCCGTGGTACAAGACAGAAATCTGATGTTTTTTTTGGCTGTTACTATGCACATACTGTGCTTGTAAAATTTATGTCTATTCCAACATGATTGCCCAACCTCGCTTGTTATGGCTGCTTACTGGTCCGCTACTTGGGATGTCTGCGTATACAGCCACAACTGAAGCCCAGGGCTAACACAGCTTTAGGCGACTGACCTGTAAGGTATGGGTGGAAAGTGATCAATTACCGAGTTCTGTGCAAGGATCCAATTCGTTAAAGTGAGGCTGGTCTTTCCAATGTCTCCAGCTGACTCGTTGGAGCCGCTTCTGTGCAAATTATCACCGTCTAAGGGCCGTGTCTCTGTGATGTAGGCGGCAGAAGAGGGCTCTTTCCGGCTAGACGCATGCAGACTGGATCTATTTCATCTTTTACCTTTCTTCCCCAATATTGCATGTATAGATTGATTGCTGTGTAGTGGTTATGATAGATTACTTAGGCGGGCTTCACTTGTTCCCCTCATCCATCAACGAGTGGCTTGAGTATATTCCCGCCACTGTCAATTAATTTGGCTGTATACCTAGAAACTTTTGTTAGAACAGCCTACAGACACCCTTCCTTGCCAATAGAGGTGCTCAAAGCTGAATCGGTGGTGCTACAGCGTGGCACCCCCCTTGAGGCCGGTTGGAGCTTCCGATATCCCGGTTCCTGGGATTAGCATCAGATGGAGGGGGTGTGCTCTTATAAAGTGCTACGTACTAGATTCCTTTCTTTCTCCTCACCTTTACCTTTGTTTTCTTGATTACTCTTTAGATGAGAGAGCCTGGTCGGGGTCGGGATTTAAGGCCATGCAGGTAGACGAGGGCTGAGAGCCGGTAGAAACCTGTCCCGCGCCGATAATGGTCGTAGAGGCTTAAATGTTAAAATTTAAACTAAATTATACATTTTCTGCGTTGTTTCACATATTTAACAGAAATTTATCAGAGTAGAACCGACTCCAAGTGGACAAAGTGTTGTAATTAGCCACCATCTGACTTACACCCGTAGTTTAACAAACACAAAACTAATCAACGAACGTCGTATTGTATTTCGTATTTAATTACGCAAATGCCTATTTATAAGCCTCTATAAACGTTTACTATTTAATTTACATATATTTAGCCTCATCCCACGACCCCAGTTCACCTCATTACATCATTGCCACGACTGCCGGGTAGCAATTTCCGAAAACGGATAAGCACACCTCTAAACAAGGGCGCTAACAGAAGGCGGGTTTGTCCCCCACACAGGGCATCGCCCCACTGCTGGCGGCACTTGCGGGGGCCGCTGTAGGCTGCTGTAACGCTGCGCCATGCACTGTATCTCCCGCCTTGCTTTGTACTTTGGTACCCGTGACCTTGTGTAAAAGTTGCGTCACTCCAAAACACCACACCTTCTTCCTCATCCCCTTTCCTTCTTCTTGTCTCTTTTCTCTTACACAAACCCTCTCAACCTCCTTTCATCGAATCTTGCATCTCCGGCTCAACGTGTCATCGCATCTTCCGTCCATTCTGCCTCTGCCATCGCTTTCAACCTGCAACTACTACTTCTTGCCGAGTACACAGCTGCGCCGCGTCACCCGGTAGCCAGTTATCGCGACCGCATCTCCACTAGACGACGCCTCTTTGGCAAGACACGGCACATTTCGAAGCTGAAAAGCTTCTTCGGCACTGTCTCTTCAGCAGAAGCTGTCATCCGCCCACACTGAAGCGTAGCCTACAGCCGTCTGTCTCCCAGCCTGGTTGTCGACCCAGACTCAACCACTTACATCCGCGCTGTTTGGGACTTTTTAACGCTTGTGACAGCCAACAGCAGTTCTAAAACGCATCCGCTGATCAAGTGACTACGGGGCCTATCTGTACATATACCCGCCCAACCCCCCAAAACGGTGCTAGTTGCGACGAACCCTGGCATCCAACGCGCAACAGCTAGGCAACAGCCCCCAACTCACAACCTGTCGGCTTGCTCGGCTGCATATTGTGACTCTCCTTCTCCTTCGTGTTCCACCATGACGCCTAGCATATCGGATATTGATGCCCGACCATGGGTGCTTGACGGGGGCCATGAAGTACACCCATGGCCGCCAGAGGCGAGGCCGATACCTGCACATCTTGATACGTTGCCTTCCGAGGTCCTATTGCAGATTTTGGACCACCTGGATGTTTGTGATCTAATGTCTACGTCACGGGTAAGTCGATACGTGAATCTATCGTCGCAAAAGTGTAGGTAGACTGGTGAATCAGCAGCTTACAGTCTTGGCGTAGGCCAACCACCACCTCCGAGCTCTGTCATTAAGCCCGATTTTGCACTACTATCGGCTCCAACGAACAAGACTAATCCTTCCTCCTCTACTGACTCCCCCACACCGTCCACGCCTTTCTGATCTCATCGATAAATCCATCTTTGTCACGCCAACATCGGTGATTTCCAAGCGTCTTGCACGCTCTCTTGTATCGATCCGACTCTCTAGACGCCTCGCCTCTCGGCCATCTCCAGTAACTCTGGTTCAGCGTGCCGTACTGCCTCCAGAATGCGTACCCGGCATGACTACTGTCCATGTCACCCCTGCTCTTGTAGCTACACGACGGAGCATCGAGAAAGAGAGAGTCAAAGACGGCCTCCGACGATGGATCGCATCCAAGTGGAAAGGTCAAGTTCAGCAGAGGGAAGAAAATGCCAAGCAGCACGATGAGCTCCGTGGAGTAGGCAGAGTCTGGAAGCTCACCAGGTTTTGGGAGAGTGTGAGCAAAGGCGAAAGAATGCCGGCGTGAGCATTACACAGCGCATTGGCATCTCCTCATTTGTATCATAGTTTGACTTGAAGCGTGCATGTATATATTTTTCAACGTAGATTCGAAATACAGCGGGCTGTATCTGTTCCATTCAAAACACCGCACGCAGCTGTATCAGCGCGACTGCCATTGCTACTAGACAAATTCGACAATATAGTACAGAGAAACTTGTAAAAGCATCCAGACAAGCAAAAACTCCACCCATGCCGCGTGCCAAGTAAAAGGCAAAAGAAATAACTCCAATATGTACAGTAGAAACTCAGCGACGGAAAGTAAATCCGTCAAAGTCGTCCTCATCATCACTATCCTCCTCTTCTTCCACTACCGTGCCATTTGCGGCGACAGCACCAGCTGCACTCGCGGCAAGATCTGACGGTTTGGGTGGCATCGTCTCTTGTCCTTGGCTCTCTGCGCGTTGACGAAGCGCAGCACGCTGGTCCTTGAGGCGCTGTACGCGTGCTTCGAGCTCCTGCATGTCGTCAAACTCATCCTCCATGGCTCTCGTAGCCTCTTCCTTTTCATCTTCAATATCAATGTCTGCCTGCATCTTGCGCTTGACATCCTCAGAATCAGCATCGCCCGATGCCGCCGCCGCAGCCTCCTCTGCATTCATTGCCGGTGCAGTAATGGTAGCATCTTCATCAAACGGCACAGATGCAGCTGCAATGTCAGCCTCAAAGGCCGCCCATTCGTCCTCATCTACACCATTGCCGCTAGCAAGAATCGGTGTCTCCTCTGCTGATGCAGTGGTGGTAGTATCTGCTGCTGCGGGGATGGCGCTCTGCATTCGACTTGAAACAGCTGTTGCGCCGGCTGTAGCGAATGCAGACGGTAGCGACGAGCCGCCCGGCGTGGACGACGACGACGAGTCTCTGTGTGCGGGTGTTGCTGGGCGCGAGGGGATCTGTATCTCAATACCCTGCGAGGGTGTCGTGGACATTCGGCGGATCAGGCTGGGCGGTGTTCGGACTCGATCTTTCTGCGCTGGCTGCTGCTCGGAGGCGTCTTCGTCAGATTCGGTGGTGAGGAGCCCTGCAGCTAGAAGCTCTGCTTTGGTCCTCTTTGTGCGTGAGGCCTCGTCGAACTCCGTGGCTTCAGAGCTCTCTTGGAGCTTCCTCTTGGGATTAGCAGCGCCGGCATCGTCCCGTGTTGCTTGTCTTGCGCCAGTGGCGGCTTTCTGCTTGTGGCTGGCTCCTTGCAGATGGCTATCCCACATGCTGTCGGCTCGAATCTGCTCGCGGCATAGCGTGCATAGCAGCTTTCCGGCGTCGGAATAGGCGGCTAGCGGGTGCTGTATTCGACGGGCATCGCGCTGCTGCCGCAGGAGAGATCGGACGTCGGCCATTGGGGGCTGTTGGGAGGGGGCTGGTGCCTGTGCTGGGGCCGTTGTAGAGTAGACTGGTCCAGGTTCTAGGGCACCATTGATAATTTTGGTTTCGTCTGAGGGGAGATCCTGTGCTGAATTATGGATTGGCGTGTGGTGGCATGGAAGAGTTGAAGTTCAAGTTTAGCTGCGTTGCAAGTGGTCGAGCTTGCAGGGCCACCGTGGTTTACCCGGCGCAAACGGACAGCGGGCTCCTTCAGTGACGAGAGATCCACTGGCAACCGCCGACCTTGAACATCTGCGATACCATTGATTGAAATTCGACTGTACCGGGAGTAATATTAAACAGCAGGGTCGAGAGTGTCCACAGAATTTCCTACGTACGAGATTGGATGACGCGGATAAATACGATAGAATCACAAACCGCCCACAATGGCTGAACAGGAGCCCGTTTCGCTGTCATCGACATTTCCCAACCCGCCATCGTTCTGGAAAGACTTTACGCCCGAACGAATAGCCAGGCTAGAAAAGATCCGCGAGCAATATGCTGAAAGCAATGGCTTCAACCCTTCAGATCCCGCGTCGCTACCGCACCGGCTGCCCGATCTGCCAGAAGATCTGACGACACTCCAACCCCCACCAGAGCCTGCGGATCGCAAATGGAGGGTTTTCGGTGACCAGTACATGGTAAGCAATGTCCCTAGTGGCTCTCCCGCATTTAACCGCAGCTAACAACTTGCCCGTGCTAGCTCGACGACGAACTACCCACTCTCGAGGACCAGGGCATCTTGAACCTGCCAGCTAGAGCATCCGCCAACACAAAGGACGCGAAGCCGCAGGACCGCGCGTTTGAGCTTAAGAAGCTGACCAAGTCTCTCCTCCTCAACTTCCTAGAGCTCGCGGGCATCATGTCGCGGAACCCCTCCCACGCTGAACACAAGGTCCAGGACCTGCGCACGATCTTTATCAACATCCACCACATCCTCAACGAGTACCGCCCGCATCAGGCGCGTGAATCGGCCATTAAGATGATGGAAGACCATCTTGACCGAACTAGAGCAGAAACTGCAGCCATTCAGACCCAAGTGGACAAGGCAAAGCGTGTGCTTGAAGGTCTCGGCAGCTTAGGCGCTGCTGCAGAGCCTAAGAAGGACAAAGCAGCGGCAAACGTAGAAGCTACGGATACAGAGAAGAAGGCGTCAGAGGATAAAGAGGCAAAGGATTCATGGACAGCGCTTGATGCGCTCATCAAATCATGAGAAGAAAGGGTATTATAAAGGTTACGAAATGGCATTCACGGCGTACATGAGTTTTTGTTTTTTTTAAATCACGGAGATATCCAAAGGATCAATACAGAATCTTTCACGAGTTATAAATAAAAAAGGGGAACCTGGTATTGGTGTGTATAGTACTCAACAAGAGAGTGGTATTTGTGAAATTAATCAGTACATAAGAAGATCATGTCAGCTTTTTGCCTTGCCCGCTTCAAAAAATTGCCCACCCATAAATGTACAGTACAGAACAGAAAAGAGCAAAACCCCAACTACCTATTGCCATTCAAAAAGATAAATTAGAAAATTAGGCAGCCCTAGGGACCGCAGGAGCACCAGGCACCGCGGCTTTGCTGGGCTCCTTTTCAAGAAGCATACTAAGATACTTGAGGTCCTCTCGAGCCTTGGGGTCTCGCTCATAGACGCCACGCACAGTCTCCCACTCCTTCTGCTGCATCTGGAACGCCTGGGGGAGGAGGAACTGGGCCGTGGGAACACTGATAAACGGGCCGAGGATTTCTCTAGCGAGTCTCTCGCCAGCCTGTTGTCGTTGGTAGATGTCGTTGGAGGAGATTTGGTGGTTTGGCGGCAGCTGGTGGACGGCCTTGGAAGGCATGGCTGGCGCATGAGGGAGGGGTTGCTGTGCGTGATGAGGGATGGAGACAGGTTGAGGAGGGCGAGCGTGTTGCCCGTTGGGGCCCGGGACAGGCGCAATAGGACGAGGTGCGGCAGCGGCAGCAGCAGCGACGGGTACAGCAGTTGTAGTCTTGGATCCAGGAACGCTGGGTGCCTGTGCCAAAGGTGCGGGAGCAGCTTGGCCGTTGTTGGAGAGGGAAAATTCGGTGGGTTCGTTGCGGTATACAAAGACAGCGAGGAGCATATCTTCGGTACGTGTTGTGGGGATGAAGTTGTCCACAAGGTTGAGCATGAATTCTGGGTGTCCGTTCTCGCCTGCGCGGACCGGAACAAGATATGTATCGCGGACGTTGCCGGCGACCTTGTTTCCAACCACACCGTAGCGGCCCTTGCTGAGGAAGTAGTCGATCAGCGCTTTGAATTCGGGCTGTGAGCCTGGGGAAGCAGGCGTGAGGTTGACAACTACAATGTCTGTCAAGTTGCTGTATCGGAGACTGCAGAGGTATTCAATGGCGTTTTGCTCGGTTATCCGGCCGGCCACCGTCATACGCTGCGGAATCAACTTGGACCACGAGCTGAAAGAGGCAAAGTTAGCACCGCCAACGTGTTTTCCAACAGCGTGGAAGTCGGCAATCGAGCTCATGGCCAGAGATCCCTTCCAAATCACATCGGGATCCTGTGTGTCTTCCGTAGGCGAATAAGGAGGGGACTCCGTCTCGTCTTCCAATAGACGGTCAACTTCAGGATCGAAGCCTGGCCCGCTGACGTTGATGGATGGACCAGATGGGCGGCGGCGTTCCGTCGCAGTTGGCGATTTGACTTTCGAGAATACCTTTGAAATATCAAAATTGCTTTGACTTGGAGACCGTTGACCGTCGCTGCGAGTAGGTGAAGCTGCTGGTAAGCTAGCGTGGTCGATGCTGATGGATTCGCGCTTGATGGCTGGTGCTGTAGGTGTAGCCGTGCCACCACCACGGCGAGCACCACCACCGGACGTCGGCATGCGGTGTTCGCCATTGTTGGCCATAGTTTCGTCTTCCACTACTTCCTCGCCCTTGTGTGTGCGGCGGACGCGAGGCCCATTGTCGCCAGTGTATAGAATGGACTGCTTTTCGGCCTTGGCCTTCATCTCCGCCGTCTGCTTCTGCATTTCCGAAGAGGCCATCGCCTCCGTTGTCATGACGGCGAGAGTAGCAGGCGAGTGATAGCTCTCAACCAGACCTTCAAACAGCTCAGGGTTATTCTTGAGGTTAAAAGTCAACGCCTTGACTTGTTGCGCATATTCCTTTTGCCCCTTGGTGGATGGGTGGGTATCGAACACGGCCCTTTCAATCTGGAGCGCATACGTCTCGGCAATCTTTTCCACTGTAGTGTCTGCGGGTATGTCCAAGTCACCCTCCTTATGAAGGGCTGTAGCGACATGGACCAATGATTTGGTGAGAGCTTTGATAGGGCCGGCTCTGGTTGCTGGTAGTTGGCTGAGATCAGTGACCAGGTCGGGAGGAGGCGAGTACTTGACCTGTACACCGACAGATTCAGCGTGCGAGACTCGTCGAAGTTTGGGCAGTTTGCCATCGGCGTCGTTGGATTCATCCCGTGATTTTCGCTTGCCCGGCTTCACTGCTGGCTTGACACTGGCATCTGGCGTAGGAGACGCTTTGGCGTTGCGCGCGTCGTCCTTGGTGTCGCTGTTGCGTTTGCCGCGTCCACGTTTGCCGCCCTTCTTCTTTCGGTTCGCCACTTCTTCTTCATGTGTCTTTCTCCGGTCTAGCCACGGTTGTTCTCCCTTTGCCATTGCTGCGAGGAGCTCTGTATGATCTTGTGGGCGGCATTGCTCGCACCAGTAGTTCTCGGGAATTTCATCCTCGAAGGAACTAACACCTACACAGACGTTATGCTGCCACGCGAAACAAGTTTCGCAAGAGATCCATGCCTCTCCAGAATCTTGGTCCTGCTCGTTCGCGCCGCATACGCAGCGAATGACTTCGGGCTCCTCTGATTGCTCGAGTTCCTCTTGCTCGAGTGCCTTTCGGGACTTCTTGGATTGTCGTCGCTTCGGGGCCGGTGCTTGCTCGAGCTCATCGAAGGATTTCGTATGCTGGCCCTTGGTCGCTCGGATTGAGCGTCGCGGCTCAGCTTCTCCTAAAGGATGCGCGTTAGTTTTTGCTCTCCCGTCGACCGTAGCTGCGCGCGCAAAGATTTGCGCCGATGCGCGGCGGGTGTCGCAAGACTGCTCCAGCGCAGTAAACATGATCTTACCAGACATGATGCTACCGTTGCGGCGCTGCCTTTAAAGGAAGCGAAACAAGTTGAAGGACGCGAGTAGACTTTAGGTTGTGGGTAGAACTACTGCAGACAAGTCTATGCGCCGGTGGCAAGCCTCTCGGCGGATGTGGACGGGGTTACAGAGTGAAATAGCACGAAATCACAGCTAATTTGCGATGTCCTTTTTTTTTCAGAGTAATAGTCGCGGGTCTCTCTGCTCTCAAACTGTCTTGCCCCGCGGGGATTATGTGTGGACGTGACGTTTGGAGGGTGGCTACAGGTTCTGCAGGTGCTCTTGTGACTGAAATTTGTATGTGTGTTTGCCCCTTGAGTGACGGCGACAAAGCGTGTTTGTTAGCGTGGCCGGAGGTCCGACGAGGCGTGACGCGAGATGAGAATAAAGGGAAAAAAATGAGCGGAAAATCGCGTGATGCGTGACGCGGTTCTCGGGCGAAGAGGAAAACGATTAAAGAAATAGATGACGATGAGATAAGATGTGCACGATGCAAAGAAGGACGAAAGGAACGGTCAGGCAGAAAATTAGGGGCGGCAGGGAATGCGCTGGAGTATCGTGGAAGAAACGGGAGTTGGGCAAAAGGTGGAGTGGAGTGGAGGCGAAAAAAAAGGCACCAAAGGAAAAAAGAAGGCGAGCCAGGAGAGGACGCGCCCGTTAGGTTGGCAGCTGGCAGCCAGCTGGTGGCGGGCGGGCCAGGTGGCGGGGGGGGGGGGCTTGGCCAAAACGCGTAGGCGAGGCGATGTACTGTAGGCAGTGGATTGTAGTGGCGGAGGCAAACTTGGACGGTTACAGATTGAAACTTGTGAGGAGTGGTGTTGTGTAAATAAGGGGATACAAAATTCTTTATAAATATACGCACATATATATGTATAAATTCCTACGTGTTTGTATAATACATTATTAAAAAGTGTGAGGACAGTTGTCTGTGATGCGAAGGAATCTCCCTCGGTAGTAGCAGCACCTTTTACTGTTGTTCTGCCTTGGATTCCATATAGGCTTCCATAAGCCAGTCATCAAATGCCAACTCTTCCGCTGTCGGTCGATCTTCCGGCAGCCATTGTAAAGCCTTTCGGAACAAATTCAGCATCAATTCTTTGTCCGGCCCCTTTAGCTGGGTAGCACGTTGCTCAAATGATTGATCTGGAATTGGTACAGATCCTAACCAGTTACCTGCCGGCTAGTTAGTTATTAAATACGCATGGGATTCTTATAAAACTGTAATCTCACCTGAGGCGTCGAAATATTTGGCGCACTTGTCGCTTCGTTGCAGAAACTTTGGAGGTGGTGGGCCTAGAAGCGCTACCATCTCTGCCAGGTGCTGTTCGTCATCAGATATACTATCTCTCTTCGATAGAAATAGACGTCCCCCTTCAAGTAAATCCCAAATCTAGACCATATTAATTAGATATCTCTAAAGATTGATGGCTTTAACTAGATGTTGTTGAACCGCTGATAACTTGAGAAAGTCAAGGACAGCGATTGCATTTTGTGCTTGGCGTAGTAAAAGGCCATTGCTAGAGATTGTACAAATCTTCAAGACTCTGTATTGTGTACTACTGTAGAAAGATTATTAGAGACTAATATTTTAAATTCGCTAAAAAAAAATATTCGTAAGATCTTTCGACAGCCAAACCGTGGATCCTGTGCCTCGCCCAAGCTTGCAGAGGATACGGTACCGGTTATCAAAAACTTCTCCAATACGAACTGGATAGTAGTCTTCGGCGTTGTAACCAGGCAATTCCTCCTACTCTAAAGGGACAGAGGTAGGCAACAAGATTGGTGAAATCGGTCGAGCGGCATTGCTCAACATCCAACGTTTGCCTAAGACCGGGCGTAGATCTTTACTAAACCTAAACTGGTTAGTAGAGAGAGGAAAGCCTGGATTAAACAATGCTCGCAAGTGGTGTAGCTTCATAATAAGGAGACTGAGGAATATCGACGAGATAATCTTTGGAAGTTTGTGTTCCGCACTGTAGAGCGAGGCTATGATTAACGCGACTCTCCCCAAAAGTAAACATAGCCAGGTTCGCTTAATACTTGGTACAACCAGCCACTACTCGACTATCGCATATTCGCCAAAAAGACAAAAGAAAAAGACGAAAAAGCGAACAATTGTTTAAAAATATGTAACTGGTTATATTATTATAAATAATGCAATTTGTCTTTGTAATGTTCCGTGCTAGTGTGATGGTATCTATATAGGGTGACAGTTAATGCAGAAACTAAGGTATGGAAATTGGTATAGACAAGTATACATGACTATTAAAAATAATGCATAATTTATCTTCAAATACTGAAAATATTATTTAACGTAATGTTCGCACTAAATCAATAGCTAAATAAGGAGAGTAAGGTGGCATAGTAATTGCCGGCATCAACATAAAGCAGTTACTCAAACACTATAGAGCCAGGAAGGCAAGCCAGAGAGCTCCGATGACGTCGCCAGCACGTCCTACACTGTGCTTGCTACCAGCACCAGTAGGAACAACGGAAGGAGCAGTGCTGCCTCCTCCTGTAGGCTGCCCGGTAGGCTGCCCGGTGCATCCCGCGGTACAAGTAACCGTTGTGGGTTGGGTAACGGTGCCACCACCGCCGCCGGGAGTGCTAGAAGAATCACAGGAACCTGAGGGCATTGAAGATGGAGTGGTCGTAGGAGAGCAGTCACCACCAGAGGGTTTTGCGGTTGCGCTGTATGATTAATTAGTATATGCTCTGGCGATCTAAATTGAACAAGATGGAAGAACTCACCATGCACACAGTCGACTGGCTCCGTTTGTGATGGAAGCCAGTGTGCTGGAGTCAAGTGGGCAGGCCGTAGCAATGCAGCCGGGCAAGATCTGCGAGAGACTTGCTTGAGCGGCAGACTGGCATTGGCAGGCGTAGTCGGTGACATCACAGTGAACCTTAGGCGCAGCACTGGCGAAGCAAGGCTGAGCACAGCTAGGGATCTGAGCCACGTAGGAACCACAATTGGGCATAGAGGCAGGCATGCAGGGCGTTGTGGTTGACATGGAAGGGCCCGAGGTGATGGGGGATGAGCTGGATGCGCTGCCAGGACCAGATGATGCGGGCTGAGAAGATGTAGGGCTAGCGCTGTTGCCGCTGGGCATGGAGTTGGATGGTGACGACGACATAGGCTGAGTTGCAGTTGCAACGCTGGTGTTGAGTTAGCAATTGATGATTGTCTTTAGTAGTGGATAGGAATTTACCAAGCGCAGATGTCACTGCCGGCCTTGATAGCAGAAGCAGCTGCATCACCTCCACAAGCTAGGACGCAATTGATGGCGCTACCTTGGATAGCCGCAGAAGATGAAGGGTTGCATTGGCCTATGGGATTCTGTTAGTTTGTTATCATTACCGGGTATGAGACTGCTTACAAGCTAGGTCTGCAGTGTTGGTACAGCCGACAGCATTCGCAGCGCTACTGACGCAAGTATACTATCAAAGAGTGTTAGTCCCGTTGTGCAGACAAGGATTGCAGTGTTACGCACAGCACAGGGCGGAAACTCCGACGTAAGGCTAAGACAGGCAGACTGGGCTGCGGCAAGCTCGGCGAGAGCCAACATGCCAAAGGCAACGGCGCCGGTCTTCATTGTTGTGATTGTCTGATTTGAACGAGTGTAACTGGAAGGGGAGGCCTAACTAGGACGAGAAACCCCAGAGCCTCGTAAGACGGGGGACACTGAAGTATATAACAGACGCCCATATTGGTCGATACCTGCTTGGTACTTTGTTGACGCAACTGGTGTTGCCGGGAGAATACAAGCCTCACAGTGTGTTCTCGTATAACCGCTCAGCTGGTGGCTGGTTGTCCAAGGAGAAGTCATATTTCTGATTGGCTAGGTAGATTCCGTGTCGGTCGCATTAGGAAAACTTGTTTTTTAGGCGATACGGGATCAGCTAGGTGGTCACCCAAATTAACTTTCACTGGCAAGCCATAACGGATAACCGGCAGCGTTGCATTGGAAAGCTGATAGCGGTGGCGCACCCGCCTGGCGATCTCTACCACTAATGCTTCAGACGTTTGTTTTGGTGGTCTGCCATTGCTAGGCCTCTGTGTTTATGCTTCTAAATAGGAATTGCGAAGAAGTGTGGCGAAGCATCTCTTTTTAAAAGCGTGGATCAAGGCACAGTGTAAGTAAATCGAGGGTGTGCCTGTGGCGGGGGGTAAAGGAGACTGCTTGTATCGTGTGAGTAGTATTACGTATTCGACAGCCCGTTGACTTTTCGGGCGATCGCTCCGTTTGATACCCCGCGTTTTTGTTGGTCGTGTTCATGTATATTGCAAGTAGCTGGCAGGTACTGGGCTGGCTTACATGGAGGAGTCGGAGCTGTCGGCGTCGCTGTCGAGTGATGGGGGCTGACTGTAGGTACTAATGCTATTAATTTATGAAAATAGCTTAAAACATGGTTTAGCTATTGTTTAACAATTACTGTATTATTAAAAGAATAAAATAGAATTATCTTGCTTTGAAAGGTGCGATTCACCACTCTGTCACTACCATCTGAAAAGTTGCGGCCTAGCGTCTTAGGCATCCACTTTTGTTCTCACCCACGGCGCCCGCCTGGCGGATCCGATGTTCTGCCACGAGGTGCTGGCTTCGCTGGCCCACGTCAGGCGCTGGTACGCGGCAAGCTGTGCCTGGAGCTTCCTGCTGGTCGTCAACCAAGCTTCCTGCCGCATTTCACGACAATTCGTCCGCATCATCAAGCACAACCGCCCGTCGATTTGAATCTGCCACTGCCTCGAACCGCCGTCCAATTATTATTTATAGTACAATTGCTGCCGTCATTGCCGCTCTTTGACCAGCTACCATGTCTCGTCGCTACGATTCCCGCGTACGTTTGCCTAGGCTAGGCTGATGCTGTTGACGCCATCATCGTCCATTCGCTAACATCTCTCCCTCGCGCGCAGACAACCATCTTCTCGCCAGAAGGCCGATTGTACCAGGTCGAATATGCCCTCGAAGCTATTTCACACGCCGGCACTGCCATCGGCATTCTCGCCAAGGACGGCATTGTCCTTGCTGCTGAACGCAAGGTCACCTCCAAGCTGCTTGAGCAGGACACATCTGCTGAGAAGCTCTATGTTTTGAACGAGTATGGAACTAGTCCTGCGCTTTTGGATGTGTAAAGTGCTTTGTAATGCTAATTACATCTTCTTGCAGTAACATGATTTGCGCCGTTGCCGGAATGACGGCTGATGCCAACATCCTCATCAACTACGCCCGCCAGGCCGCCCAACGCTACCTCCTCACCTACAACGAAGATATCCCCTGCGAGCAGCTTGTCCGACGCCTCTGTGATCTTAAGCAAGGTTACACGCAACACGGTGGTCTGCGCCCGTTCGGCGTGTCCTTTATCTACGCCGGCTGGGACCCCCGCCGAGAATTCCAGCTCTACCTCAGCAACCCTTCGGGCAACTACGGTGGCTGGAAGGCCACCAGCGCCGGTGCCAACAACGCCAGCGCCCAGAGTTTACTTAAGCAAGACTACAAGGAAGACTGCACATTAGACGAGGCTTGCGCGATGGCCGTTAAGGTTCTGAGCAAGACAATGGACTCGACGAAGCTGAGTAGCGAGAAGAGTAAGGATTTCTGTAACCATTTCCTGATATACAATCCACTAACTAACGCCCTTTTACAGTCGAGTTTGCTACGGTAGGGAAGACAGACGATGGCAAGATTTATCACAAGCTTTGGAGTGCGGATGAGATTACTGCTCTGCTGAAGGAGCATGATTTGGCCAAGAAGGAGGAGGCCGAGGAGAAGTAAAGGTATACCAATGAGTAGCCGCCTATGAAAATAAAAATAAAGAGGTCCATGTGTAACAATACAATATAATGCCTAAATAAGATGGATTGTATGGGCTCTCTGTGTTGTCCCTCTAAGCCACCTTTTGAACTCCCCCTCCTATTTGTAATTGATGATACTCACTCATATCATGCCAAATCAGAGCGCATGCGGTCCATCTCAACATTTCTGGAGCCTTGCTCCTCATCATCCACCCGCTGCCAGCCGCCTGAGGCCTCTGAGCCAGGGAGTGGCTGCGGCTCCGAGCACGATGCGCTGCTCAGCTTGGGCCAATAGCGTCTATAACTCCAATACGCAGCCGTCATGCCAATAATAGAGCCGACGCACACATCGTATACATCATGTCGATAGTCCTCGCAGCGAGATATGGCGATTAGCAAAGCGCCGATAGCAGGGACCATGCAGACAAAGAAGCGTAGCAAGTTACGGCTGCTGCCAGCGTAGTTGAACACCTGGAGCTGGCCTGCTAGGAAGAGGGCAGTGAAACCGAGGCCTGCAAATGCAAATGAAGAGTGTCCAGAGGGAAACGAGCGGAAGCCGTCCTCCAAGCTGCGGCTGCTAGGTGCTGTGCAGACTGCAATAGTCACTAGTGTGTTCTCTTGAGCAGACTTTGCTGGTTTGCATCGCGCGAGTAGATCTGGTCTTGGTCGTCCCACGGCATTTTTAATAATGTCCGTAACAAAGCAGGCCATGGTGATGGAGATCAGAAATGGGAGACATGTCGCCTCGTGTCTTGCTAAGCTCGACCTGCACACCATGTTGTATGCGATGAGCGCGCCCAGCGGGATAAAGAGAGAATATACAAAGTTCATGGCTATGAGATGTGAGAACATGAGTTTAGCAACGGCAGTGGGCGTTGGTCACATACTGACAGAGACTCGTTCATGCTCGGCATGGGGGAACGAGATGCGCAAGTCATTGACATAGAACATGCGATGAAACGGCGTGACAAAGAGGCCGAGCTGCAGGATATGCTGTTAGTATGGTGCGGGAGACTGATTCGATATATCACGTACCATGACCCATCCTACAACTAGAGCAATCAGGCCGACGTAGTCTGGCGCATTGGATGTCTGCGTGCTCTCACATTAGCGTCGTCTTCATAGCGCTCTGAGGGTTCATGCTTACCACCCATATCCGCGCCAATGGATTTGGCAGGCTTGCTCGCGACATTCCCGCCATTGCTGCTTTCCGTCACGATCCGTGGCTCTCCAGATGTCCAGCGTGGAAGTGCCGCAGGAGGAGGCTCCTGTTGACATCATGACGTGGCTTGAGCAGCGTAGTGGACAAGTGGTGGTGCCCTGAGTGCGTGGCTTATTCATGAGTGTGCAACTTTCCCAGTGCTACACTTTGTAAATTACAGATTTGAGTAGATATTATATTTATGAGGCAATGTAAAGAATATTTGAAATTTCTTAGAATTAAATTCATCATAATACAAATAGCTGGTTGCGTCATAGGCAATCGGCGTCGCTCGCGTGCGCCCGTGCCGCTAGCCGAAAACTCTCTGGCGCAGCTGCGTGATCCGTGATGCCTTCAAAGCTCCATCACCATTTTTTTCTTCATACAACGCGCGGCGGCCACCACACGCCCCTTTCGACAATATACGAAAGTCTACGAAATACATACCCCCCAAATCAAATCGTTCAGAAATCAATACTATTATGCGCACATAAATAGCTGCCATGCCGCTAAAGTCAACACACAAGCCAGTAGAGCTTGCGCCACTGGCGCCCGGATGGACAGAGCACAAAGCTCCCACCGGGCACATGTACTATTATAATGCACACACCAAAGAATCAACATATACCAGACCGACCGTGGAGCCGATAGCACAGCCCGCGCAACCAGCTCTGGCGAATCCGTATGCCAATGCGCCATCGCTGGCTGATCCTCGAGCAGCAAATCAGTACATGGCGCAGTTCAACCAACCACAATCACAACAGCATGGACGCGGTAGTCAGACAGGGGGGCGAGGAGGATTCGAGGGTCGACCGAAACCACAACCGATCGACAAGCCGCGAAGCAAAGAGCGTATTCCAGGCCACGAGCCGTGGATCCTCGTTTACACTAAGTACTCGCGGCGCTTTGTCTATAACTCTGCAAAGAACACCAGCTATTGGAGAATCCCCGAGAAGCTGATGCCTGCCATATTGGAATTGGACAAGGCACGAATAAAACGAGCTGCGGCGGGAGACGATGCGCCACCTGAAGCTGAAGCTGGAGAGGACGCCGGTGACAGCTCTGAATACGAGGAGGTTGAAGTTACTGACGACGAAGGCGAAAATGACGGCCAGGCAAGCACAGATCACCCACACAAGCGGCAAAGGCTGGAGGGTGATGGTCAAGTAGGAGCAGCAGAAGATGACGACGAAGAGGAGCAAGAAGGAGAGGAGGAGGAAGACGCTGGTCCCATTGAGTTCACAGAAGACGATATTGCAATGCAGCTGCAAGCCATGGGTGAAGACTACGACTTGGAGCCAGGAGAGTATGATGACGGAAACATGGAAGACTGGCCAGAAGGCGCCCAGGGAGTAGAATTCTCCCAGGAGGATGCAAAGCTCCTCTTCAAAGATTTGCTTAATGACTTCCGCATCAGCCCTTACAGCCCGTGGGACAAGCTGATAGAGGAAGGCAAGATCATCGATGACCAAAGATATACAGCCCTATCGACAACAAAAGCCAGAAAAGAATGCTGGGACGAATGGACACGCGAACGCATTGCGGAAATCAAAGAGCAGCGCGCGCGACAGGCCAAGACGGATCCTCGCATCCCCTACCTTGCTCTCCTCCAGGAAAAAGCCACACCCAAGCTATTCTGGCCAGAGTTTAAGAGGAAATACAAAAAGGAGGATGCGATGAAGGATATGAAGCTAACCGACAAGGAGCGCGAGAAGCTCTACCGCGAGCACATTAACCGCCTGAAGCTTCCGCCATCCACGCTCCGCGCTGACTTGACCACACTCCTCAAGTCCATGTCAATTCTGCAACTCCACAATCAGTCCAAGGTAGACGAGCTGCCCGACCAGATCCTGACCGATTTGCGATTCATCTCGCTGGACCCCAAGGTCCGAGATCCCCTGATTGAGGCTCTTGTCCAGACGCTTCCGCCGCCTGTGGAGGACATTGCCGCTGCTGAGGAAGACGAAGACAAGCGCAAGCAGCGAGAAGCCAAGGCGAAGCGGTCCAAGGCGCTGGAGGAGCATAACCGCATGATTGATGAACAAAAGAGACGCCGTGAGCGAGACATTGCGTCTAGTAAGGCCCGTTTACGTGATGAAGAGCGGGAATTAGAAATGGCCATGCACGTTAGCAAGAGGGGCTTGCAGACCCAGCTTGCGAGCATGAAAACGACAAATAATACTGACGAGAAAGAGGAATGAGCAGCATACTTTAACTTTATATATAATCAAACATCTCTGTTGCTTTTCCTTCCACTTGCTCCGCCAAGCGTGCGATATCATGGCTAGCAATGCGTCCATCTTCAGTGATGTAGCCGTCTATCAAGTTATTCGGGGCCCATTCAAAGTAGATATTTTTCAACGTGACATTAGATTGTAGAGTAATGTGTTCTCCCCACGCGGAGCTGAGCTCCCTCGGGTCATTTTCCTCGTGACCCGGCGGCTCAAACGGCATAATCTTGTCCTTTTCCGCCACCACAATGATCTTGCAGCTTGGGCACATGTATTTGGCAGATAAGACGGCTGGCAGCGAGCCTGTTTTGTTGCTCACGTTGCCTTGCTTGTCGATTATGTCTGCGCCCAGGAGGACAAAGTCAATGTCTTTACATGCAAGAGCTACTCCAGCGTCCGGGTAAACTGTTATAGATGGCTTGGAGGCTGCTGCAAAGGGAGATACTGCGGCAAGTTTGGATGCGAGACTCGCGCCTTCAAAGAGGGGACGGGACTCTAGAATGCGAATGTCGAGAGAGGTAGTAGAAGTTTCGATGACGCGGGTGAGGGCGGCGGATATTGTTGAGCTAGACGATAGCGTGAGGAGTCTGGTGCGTGGTCTAGTGGGAGAATCGCCACAAAGGAGTCTGAGGACGTGCCTGGATAGTGCGGATGTGTTATATTCGTTTCTGGATTTTGCAGAACCGGGAATGGCAAACATGAGGGCGAAGAGGATATTTGTGTCGACCTGGTTGCAGCCGGCAATATGGTTTTGCACAATAGTCAGGCATTCGATCATGGCGTTTAGGATCGGTGCCCCCATGCTCTCGCGGCCGTTTTTCCAGAGATGCCATGCAGCTATACATGCCTGTCGAAAAAAGATTTTGGGGTCGCTACCGTCAAGCTTTGATAGTAGATCACCATAGATGTCGACGGCTTTTGTGGCCAGTTGTCGCGCGCCTGAGACGTGGTCATCTTGTAGTGTCTTTAGACCGTTGGATAGTATATCCCCTGCGTTGTATCCAATGTCGATGGGAAACCAAACTCGTCGGAGACTCTCAAGAAGGCGAGGCACACCAGGGAAGTTTGCGTCCTGCTGGATCTCGTCAATATCGAACCACGCATAGCCCTCGTGCTCCCAGTTAAGTGTGATAGCAAGGTCTCCAGGCCCATTTGGGCGTAGCATAAAACCAAATGGATGAATGGCCCATCGCCTCCCGATGGATTCATCTGTAAAGGTGTAGGGCTTTCCCTGTCTGAAATATCGCAGGCTGTGAGCGTCAAGCCTCGTCTCTTCCCGGAGTTCGCGCCATGCAGTGTCTAGCGGCGTATCGTCCTTTGGGTCTATGCTTCCGGATATAGGCGCATATAAATGTCTTTCGTAGCGGTTAGTTTTGATGGGATGAGCAAGCCACGCGTAGGAAACTCACCGGTATGTGCGGACTTCCCCGCTCCGTTTGAAGAGGGCGACTCTGGGAGGTCGGTTGGGCCTTGAAAGGCTGAATTTAAAAATGAAACAGACGGCTACTTCTTTGTATATTTGCACAGGCATGGTCACTGGTGAACCGACCGTCGCAGGGGGATGAAGTTCGGATGGTGATACAGACGGTTGGATCAGGCTGAGGCTATGGGCAGTAACGACAATATACAGTAGGTAAGCAAAAGTTACAAGTAAACTCGGTTTTGGTCAATCTTTTCATTATTCTTTGATATATATTATAAAATTACCATTTTTATCAATCTTTGTTGCATATTATGTATGGTATGAATACGTTATATGTATCGAGTTTTTAGGTGATTGTTACATATAAAGTCTGTGTAAATATATATTTGGAATGCTTTTGTTGAAATATAGACTCCTTGGAACGTTTGTTTACCTACTGTAACCGCAGCACGGCGCATATTTTGGTCTTAAAATATTTTGGAAAACTAATTATATTTCATTCACGCTAAAAGAGTCACTAAAATGCTACAGTTTACGCTAAGCCCTTTTATTATCGTACTAGTGCTCGACATAATTGTCCTGCATGAGCCAGTCGTTATCCATCCACGTTGCAATCTCGCCGTAGACAGTACCATTTGGCACGGCCTTTGACGGCGGTGTAAAGTCGGGGTCCAGGCTCAATGAGGCTATTCCGTCTTCTGATGTCATGTCCAAATCTTTTGAGGGTGGCTGTTGTTGAACGGGCCATGTGATGAGTCGATTGACAAGCTCCTTAAGGTCTTGCAGCGTATTAACACAGCTGTTATTCAGTGGCATCAGGCGGTGTTTCTCGTCTTCTTGAAGTAAATGGATGCCGGCATCTATATCCCTATCCTTTCTCGCAAGCTCTTCAGCAGACCGTGTGTTGCGATCATAGACAAGGTCTTCCATGATGAGACATGTGGTGGCAGTAAAGACGTAATGGAACGTTTGGTGAGAGGGTCGAGTATATCGGCGCGCAAGGCTAAGCTGGGTAGTGTGAAAGAAGTTGTGGCGGGCCGCTTCTATGCAGTGTGTCAAGGGCCCAAGGCGTCTGCCTAGATCGGCGGCGATGTCTTTCAGCATCATGCGCTCCGCAAGGGCTTTCTTGACGGCTATTAAGAAGAGAGGTCGTGTGGCGATGATGATGAGCTGGTTGGCCCGCATGTGAATACTGAGCGTTCCCGGATCGTTGCTGGTTCCCTCGAAGTCTAGTTGCAGCGTAGGCGGGAGTTTTCGCTTAAACTCCTCGAGCATCCAGAGGACCTGGGCGGGGTTTTGAGCCAGTTCGCTTCGTTCTTTGCCGTCAAACGGAGCTATACGGTACATGTTGCATACAACGTGCCCCGAGATGCGTGATAGTGCGATGTGGGCTCGTAAACCAGCCGCGTTTGGCATGTCTCTGGGGAACGCAAAAAGAATAAATGTTAGCATGGTAGGAACCAGAAACAGCACTGCGTCTCGTAAATACTTACGGGTCATTCGGGTCATCTTCTGGCTCTCCAACCTGAATAGCATCGTCCGAGATCATGGGCGGGCGGCCAAGCACACAGCCAATCCACCTATCCAAGCAGTAGACTGTCCAAAAGAGACGCCTTGTTGACTCGTCTCTAAACATGCGGTGGATACCAAGAATAATGCACATTTGCACTGCTGACGAGATGTGCATGTACGCAGCATCACGTTTCGTCTCCTCGAGTAAATATGTCGCCATGAGGGCCAGTGCGGAAATCGTATGCACGGAACAATTCCTACCGTCGAGCGCATACTGAAAGGAACGAGCTGCCCGTGCAAAGAAAACATCACCAGGTCGATCTACAACGGTATCCTCTTGCGGCCACTTGCAACAACCAAAGACATGCAGGGCAAGTGATGCATGTATCCGCGGCACCTCGGGAAACTTGGCCAAGTCGTTTGCGGTAATGACATCAAAAGGTTTTGGGAGGTTCGAAAATTTATTGATACGTCCGTACCAGTAGATGCCACCGCTTGGCCACGAGCCGTTTCCATCCTGGAAGACGTGCCGAGTCTCATTCAGCATATGCTGCAGGTCATCCTTGGGCGGGAGAGTTAGCGGGTTGGCGTCGTAGTCAAACTGGGCAATGGTGGAAAACGTGTGAAACTCGCCGAGCGAGCTGAGAAATTTGCTGCTATCGATTGGAATCGATGTCTTTGGTTTGTCGTTGGAATCAATTACGGCCGCGCGAATAAGCTCCTTGATGCGATCCAAGAACGCCGGGCCGCTTGTTTCGCCTACGAAGCGCCGCGTGCCGTCGGCGTCGTAGAGCAGCTTGGCCGTTGCCTCTTTAGCATCGCTCTCATCAATCATAGCGTGTATGGCTTGCGGTGATGAATTCACCGCCGTCTGTGACCCTGTCGACCCCGGCGAGCTTGCGGCGAGCTGGTGCAGCAGTTCTGTGCGGCGGGCAGCATCTGGCTGGATTTCCTGGAGAGCCTTTTCATAGACCTCGATCTTGCGACGCATGGCATCAAACTCGGCCTTTTCCACCTGTACCTTTTCCACGACAGCAGGATATACGCATTCGCGCTTGGATGCTGCGCAGGCGTTACATGGCTGTTGACCGGAGCATTTGACGCGGCGGACGTTGCAGCTGTTGCATCTGTAACCAAGTTAGCTTTCACATACTACGTTTTTGCTACGATCTGACTAGGTTTAAGTTTCTTACGCCGTGGTGACTCGCTTTCGCTTGTCCGGCGCCACTTTGTGACGTCGGGGATTGACGGGCAACCTGTGCTTGACCGAGTGGCCGTCGCGGGGTGAACCCTCCATGGCGATCGCTCGGCAGATGGAAGAGGTTGCTGTTGCCGATGATGGTGTCTGAGAGGTGAGTGAGTAGGGGCGGGTGAGCAGCAGCAGCAGCAGCAGCCGCGTTGGGAGGTTTGCGGCGAGTGAGTGAGTGAGTGAGCGATTGAGTGAGTTGAAGAAAGAAGAGGAAGAAGGAGATTGGCGGCGTAAGGCGAGGCTCCGGCGCTGAACGATAAGGTTTGCGGCTGGCCTTAGCGGTAGTAGTGTACGTTGGTGGCTAAACCCCCCGGAGGTGCCGTTTCAGCAGGAGGAATGCTAAGCTAGCTTGGTGTACCCCTAACACGGGAACAAGCAGATAGGCAGCCAAGCCGTTACAGTAGTAGCAGACCGAGAGAACTGCAATTAGCCGCTTCTTCGGGGCCGCGGTCTCGTGATGCAGCGCGCGATGCTGGTTGGCTGGGCCGTTGCGACAACCAAGAGTGAAAGAGGACGGTTTTGCCACGATGATGACGCTGAGCTGGGCTATTTAGGAGGCTCTTTCTTTTTTTCCCAGGTGCGCCCGCCGCGGCTGATATCAGGCTGTGTGTGTTTGCGGGCTTGGCTTGGGAAGGAACAAGACAAAGGCGCTGTTAGGTCTGACAGCTAAGGGTACTGTAGCAGCTGTCCTGTGGGGGAGAGACGTGCTGCGGGTACGCTAGTCGAGGTTTAGTGTCTTTTTTTAAAAATACAAGTCTCCGGCATCTGGAGACGGTGGGTTTTTGTGGCGAGTCAGTCAGCGGCAGTGTTCAGCGGGCACGCATAACCGAAGAAAAGAAAATCTATAAAATAATAAAAAATAAAATCCAATACAAGCTTAAGGGCATCTCTCTTGTTGTTGTATCTTTCATCGCATTCACGAGCCGTCACGCTCTCTTTTCTTTTTTTACTTCCCTCCTCGCTCGATCCCGTTCGTTAGTACACTAGCACATGCATCATCTTTTTCTTTCGTATAATGTAATTTCTTTTTTACTCGGGCTTGAAGATGGATTCGACCATCTCGCCAGATCGAGTAGCCAAGACGGAAAGAAGGGTATCACTCAACTAAGAGGGGAAATGATGTTAGCGAACCTATACAGTGCATGGCGTAGTGGTGATGGTGGCAGGCAAAACTTACGCCGTGTGTTCCTTCGCAGCAGCCCTGCAGCCAGATGCCTGCATCGCCAGCAACCTGGCCAGCCGTGTAGTTTACGCGGTAATCTCTGCCAACGGCCAGCTTGCGCTCGCCTTGGTCGGTTGAGACGTTCCACCCGGTAACGCCCTTGGCGAACTCGACGCTGCCGGGGCTGGCCTTGGGCAGCATGTCCCAGGTGCCCTTGAGCATGTCAATGTGCGCGTTTCTCTGGTAGCCGGTGGCTGCAATGATAAGATCGGCATCCAGGAGCTCCTCCTCGCCGGGGCCGGCTACAGGGCTGATGGCGCCGTCGCGAATCTGCTGGACCTTGATCTGGACCTTGTCGCCGGCCGTGTCAATGTTGGTAATCTCGCGGCCGCCGAGGATTCTGTGTGGCCAGTTGGTCTCGTCGGGGCCGAGATCTCGTCTTTGGTCATACATGGTTGTATAAAGCTCCTCGATGAGCTCTAGACGCACGACGCCGTAGTTGGTGGCGCGGGCATCGGCAAGGAAGTTGCTGCGGTCCTTGGCGGACTTGGGGAACAGGGAGTCGATGTATTCGGGGTTGAAGATGGAGTTGACACTAAAAAGAGGCGAGTGGTGTTAGTAGATAAGAACAAAGCATAAGAAAAAGAAGGTACAAAAAGGAGCAAAAAAAGAGAAGAAAGAAAAACATACAATGGAGAGTCATCACTGGGCTTGAGAAACTCTTGTCTCATTACAAGCCAAGTCTGCGAGTTGGGGTATAAATGGTGAATGTTGTGGAAGATTTCGGCAGCACTCTGGCCAGCACCGACAACGGCAACCTTGTAGGGCTTATTCCTTTGGGTAAGCAGCTGGGGCACCATGTAGGCGTATTGAGAAGAGTGGATGATTTGCGGGTGCTTGAGAGGGAAGCTCTTGGGGAAGCTGGGACGTCCGCCGGTGGCCAAGAGGACGTTGCGGGCCTTGTAAGTCTGGACATGGCCGGTCTTTGCGTTTTGCGACTGGACGACAAACTGGTTCACTGGGTCGCTAGTGTCCTTGACGGGAGATACAGTAAGAACCTCCTCGTTGAACTGGACAAGGTGGCTAAAGAAGGACGAGCACCATCTCAGGTAATCTTCGTATTCCACGCGGGCAGGGAGAAAAGTGCCCAGGTTGGTAAAGTCGACCAGTCTGTCCTGCTGGTGGAGGTAGTTGAGGAACGTAAACTCGGAGCGAGGATCACGGAGCGTGGCCAAGTCCTTGACAAAGGAAATCTGCATCTTGGCGCCGGGCAAAAGCATACCGGCGTGCCAAGCAAATCGGTTTTGCTTCTCGATAAAGAGCACCTTGGGGGCCGCGCCATTGGGACGCAGCTTCTTGCCGCTCTCCATGGCATCGTGAAGAGCAACAGCAATGGCGAGACTGGCGGGGCCAAAACCGACACAGACAAGATCAAACTCGTCATCGAGCGGCGTGGCATCGAGATGGCGCGACTTGTTGTCGTACATGCGGCGCGCAGCGGGGATCTGGTGAGCGGTAACGGCGCCACCGTTGCCGTTTACAGCAGGAGTTTCCGCGCCGTGGCCGTTGCCGTTGGTGCTGACATCGTGGGAAACGGCGCCGTTGGATACGGGCTCTAGAGTGGAAGCCCAGGTTCCGTTGGGCTCAATATGTGAGTCCGTAATGGTGTGAGGAGACATGGCGGCGGATTGAATCGTCCTAGTAGTACCTGCGTTTTGTAGATAAGATGTATACGCTCTCTCTATAATTTCTGGCGGGAAACCAGCCTGTGAGTATGTATGTATGTGTGTGATTGTTGAATCACAACGATAGCGGGTTGAAACGAGCCCTGGAAGAGGGTTTGATCTCGTATAGAGGCAGGAGGAGGAGTGGTTTTGTTAGAAGAGCACAGAGGAGGAGGGGGCATGGAGGGGGACGGAGGGGAAACGGACCCTTTTGAAATACTGGTGACGTTTTTGGTTGGGGGCAAAATGGCGCGGGCGTGGCCCTCCCAATTTGGAGAATGGGACGGACGGGACAGAGAAACATGGCCATTGCCGAGCTGAGCCAAGATGGGGACTGTGATTTGGCGAGTGATGGATCCCAGAGTGTTGGTAGCATCCATCCGTCCAGGGCTAGCGCGAGCGCCTCAAAAGCTGCGGGTTGACCCCTGCGGCGGCCGGGTTTTTATTGGGAGGAGGAGTTGGAAGTAAAAGGAACCGAATACGTGGACAAGTCAGAGGGGGGAGGAGCGGGTGATTTGCACGACATGGCTTGGTCTCTGAGTCTGGGCGCCGCCGTGATTATTCGCAGAAATTTTACAAGTATACGTCTTACACGGAGAGCAGTCCATGGTGATGTTTTACACGTGCTGATGCAGCGGCTAAAGAAGCAAGGCCCTGTCAACTCACCCATACTTGCCAGCATTGAAAAGCATACCAGTAACAATTCTCCTCCTTCTTCATTTGCACTGCTGCTCGTGGGATGCTTCATTTGCTCCGCTTGCTTGCTTGCCTCTCTCGTCTTGGCAAATGGCGTGAATCAGGGCCGGCTTTCGCTCGGCACAACATTTTTTTTTCTCCTCTTGTATGTGTCATTGTCGCATCTGATAAGAAATTTCAGCGGGGACCACTATCCCAGCCTGGCAGCACGCAGAGCCCCAAACAAGGGTATGTTCCGCCCCAGACCAGCAGGCTTTTTCCGTGTCATGCACGCTGTTTAGGCTCGGAATTAGCGCTGCGCACGTTCGGAGAAGCACCAAAAGGCAAACCCCGTGAGGAGCCCCGTGAATTGGACCATTTGATTCGCTGGCTGCCCTGTTCGGGACCTCCTGGACGCCCAGCCCAGTGGGGGCGTTGGGGCGGCGCACGCACAAAATGCCGTGAGGGAATTTTTATCTGATGATCAGATAAAAAAACGGATCAGATAAGATCTAGGCCTGCGCAGTGGCCTGTCCACTCTGACTGCCGGCAGCACAGCACGCCCACCCCCTGGCCGCCAGTCTAGCCGAGGATACGATTGGGTAGTAAAACAGAAAATGAAAACTTGGAAATGAAAATTTTTTCCCACAGTTGGAGCGGAGTTGGTTCCCATTTAACCGGGCGTTGCTGCTGGAGTTGGATGGGTTGATTGGGTTGGAAGAGCGGTCATGACTGACTGAATTTTATATGAGGTCCAGTTTGCGTGAGTGTGGAAGCTGAAGAGAATTTGTAGAGAAGGAAGAAAAGAAGAGGAAAAGAAGGAAAGTTAAAAGAAGGGATGCGGGCTAGTACATATGTACTCCAGACTCAAGGCTGTAGTGAGTGAGTGCCGTTACAGCAGCCTATCGCCCTCTTATATATGCCTCGCTGTCTCTCCCTACTTGCTCAGTCTCTGATTCATTATCTTCTTCAGCGCCGCTGTCGCAGTAAAAAAAACAAGAGGACAAGTGAGGGGAGGGGTGTGTGGTGGCAACCCAGCGAGGCGTCTGCATCCCCCTCCCTCCCTTGCATAAGGACCAGAAAAAAAAGAGGCTGCTAAACCGTGAATACTTTTAGTCCAGTCTAATGGTTGTCTGCAACGCCAACTTTTTTGGTCCACATTTATGGTATCATCTGGGCGGTGGAACCAGTCTATCTTTGCATATGCAGTCGTTGGGGGAAATAATACTGGTTATTCGTTCTGGTTTCCTATATTCTCCGCTGCTAGCTGCATATTGGGCTGCACACCCTCTCCGTGAGAAAAGCATCACGGAAGACGGCTGCTGTTTCGCTTTGAAAGGCTGAACTTGGATGCTTTCTCTCGCTTCTCAGCCCTCTGTAGATACACACCAAATAACCACTGACGTACTTTCTGGCTTTCTTTCTCCAGAAGCGGACTCGGTGTGCATCCCGCCCTGGCCTCCGCGCCTCGCCGCCCATCTGACTCTAATACATCCGCCAATACCCAGCCTAAGCTAACGGCGGCGCGCGTTGCAACGCCCCTCTCCCCCTCCACTTTGGCATGCATACAGTACACAAAGCCTTCTTCCAAGGGGACCGGACCCCTCACTCGGGCACTGGGCCGGGCCAAGAAAAAAGAAGAGCGGACGTTGGTTTGCCCCTCCTCCTCCTACACTGTCTCGCTTTGTCCCGCGGCAGCCTAGCCTCCCTCTACAGTACGCACAGCCCTGTGTGAAGGAAGGGGTCTTGAACCTTTCGATTTCTTTTGCTGCTATACTTGGGGATATCGAAACCTGGGGGAAGCAGAGATCTCATTTCTTCGTTCTTTTTCTTCAGCCGTAAAGGTCACGCCCGCGCTCCGCTCTCCACACCCACTTGCACACAACCCAGCCCCCAAAAAGCGACACCAAGCATATAATACCGCTCTCTCTTTTTTTGTTGTATTTTTGCCGCTGCATCAGAAGCCATTTCTACACATCACAGACACCAACACGCGGTCAAGTGACGTCGACGGATGCTGCAGGTCGCAGCCGCCTCGTCCAGCCAATCCCACGCCACCTGATTGCAATCAACGCCCTCTCACAGGCTCGCGCGCCGCTGCTCTATTTCCCTTAGCTGCATGCATGAACCGCTTTTGCTGCCACCCACATCGCCAGCATCGCGCATTCGCTAGTCTCTCTGCTTTCAAATCACCTCGTACTCATTGGTCAGGCCGCCAGGGATCCGCAGCACCGTTCAATGACAGGTCAACTTATACTCTTCTCCGGGTAACTTGTTCCGCCTGCTGCTGGCGTAGCCGAACCGGGGGGGAAGGGTAATAGCCTGTGTGTACAGGCATTGTCATTTCAGCTCGGCTCGGAGCTTGTATCTCCTTTGTTCGACTGAGCCTGACTGCCTGATTTGTTTTGCTTGCAACTTCTGCGGCTGGCTTTACTGTTGTTTGCTTGCTACCTACGTAGACCACACGCCGGTCAGACACCGAGACACCAGGAAAAAATATCATAGGCCGTTCTTCTTGTTGAATGCGTGCTTCCGCCGCGTGTTGCCCATAGACCAGCATTCAGAGCAGCACAGCAAAACGGCCCATCATGACTCAAGACGCCAGCTTGTCTGTCGTCAACGCGCATCCCAAGCGCTTTCCAGGCGTGTATCTGCTTCATCAGCTAGTCTCCAAGACCAACAGTGATCCTGCGCTGGAGCACTTGCAGCAGCAGCAGCAGCAGCAGCCTGATGAACACGACAACGCGACCTTTTCTACTGCTACCTCAACTACTACTACCACCATTACTACCTATGCTGAGCTTCATGATGCTGCTGATAGACTCGCAGTGCGCATCGCCAGTCTCTGCCATGGGGAGAAGCGTATAGTCCCCGTACTTGTGCACCAGTCGCCGTTGCTGTACATTTCGCTGCTCGCCATCTTGAAAGCAGGCTCGGCCTTTTGCCCTGTAAACTTAGACGCACCTCCAGAGCGACTAAGATTCATTCTCGGCGATGTTGCCGCACCACTGGTCCTCACCACCACAGCCTTGTCTGGAAATATTCCGGCCGTGGATGGTGTCGAGATTTTGTTGCTCGATGAATTCATGTCACACTCAGATTCCACTCTAAATGGCGGTGCTTCGCTGCTACTGCCAGAGGCAAAGCCAACCGATCTGGCCTATGTCATGTACACCTCGGGATCTACAGGCACTCCAAAGGGCGTTGGTGTAAGTCATGATGCAGCTACACAAGCGTTTTACGCACACAACCAGCACATTCCCGCCTTTGAAAAATTCTTCCAATTTGCATCGCCAACCTTTGATGTTTCCGTCTTTGAAATATTCTTTCCCCTTTTTCGCGGCGCCATCCTCGCCAGCGCAGACCGGCAGCTTGTCCTCGACGACCTGGTGCATGTATTCAAAGTCATGAATATAGACGCATGCGAACTTACACCAACTGTTGCATCTGCTCTATTGCGGCTGCGATCGAGAGCTCCGTCACTGAAATTGCTCCTGACTATTGGCGAGATGCTCAATCAGCAAGTAGTGCAAGAATTCGGAGGCAGCGAAACGAGAAAGAGTCTATTATACGCCATGTATGGCCCAACAGAAGCAACAATACACTGGTAAGTAAAGCATCTAAAACTTTCAAGGATTTCTACTTATAAAGGAATAGCACATTACAACCCAACTTTTCCGCCAGCGCTTCGCGGCGAACCATTGGTGTGCCTCTAGACACAGTCTCCTGCTTTGTTATCCGTCCCGACGTCCCATTTGAGCTTGTCCCACGAGAGGTTGAGGGTGAGCTAGCTGTTGGTGGCTACCAATTAGCTGATGGATACATTAACCGCCCTGAACAAACAAGTGCCGTCTTTATAGATTCACCTTATGGACGCGTCTACCGAACAGGAGATAGAGCAATCATGCGCACAGATGGAACACTCGAGTGTCTAGGTCGCCTATCTAGTGGTCAGGTCAAGCTTCGCGGACAGCGATTAGAGCTTGGAGAGGTCGAACATGCCATTATGAAGACGCACGGCTGCCATGGTGCTGCAGCTGCCGTTGTTGGAAGCATATTGGTCGCCTTTTGCGCTGTGGACTCCGATGTCGATGTGTCTGACATTCTGCACAGCTGCAATAGCTGGCTGCCTCGGTTCATGGTTCCTGGCGATGTCATTGTCATGGAGTCGTTACCCCGTCTCCCAAGTGGCAAGACTGATGTGAAAGCATTGGTGGCCGATTATGAGCAGCGACTTAAGGAGACGACAGCGACAGATATAGCCTTAAACGGCCACGACATACTGACAATACTGTCTGAAATGGTCCATTCAGTGGTGTCGAGGACCATGACACCAGCTATGGCAGGTATTGACTCGCTCGTGGCTATTAGAGTCGCATCTCGGATTCGTGCCGCAGGATATGACATCTCTGCTCACCAGCTACTAACATGCAGTCGGATTGGTGATTTATGTAATATTACCAAAAGTATCCCCAGCCAGAAATCTGAGAAGCAGCAGCTTGTCCCTACTGATGTCTCGGATGCGATTATTACCGCCCAATCGGCCGCGTTTGGCGAGAACCAGATTGACATCGTATTACCATGCACAAGCGTCCAGTCGGCGATGCTGTCACAATCTGCGCAAAACCCGGCGTCATATTGGAACTTGGTGGAATATGAGTTGAACACTTTGCTTCCTGTCGAAGCTATCCGAGCTGACTTGATTACTGCCATCAAAGCCCACCAACTCCTCCGGGGCTCATTCATCAACCATGATGGTGGCTTCTATATTGTGGTTACAAAAGAATTAGACACAAGCTGTTTAATTACAACAACTACTGGCTTTGCTACACCACCCTCCACATCTATTCAGCGCCCTCTACAAATACAAATCGCGGCAGATGGTCATGGCTTTGCCCATAAACTGCGTCTTGATCTTCACCACGCGTTATATGACGGCTGGTCACTTGATTTATTCATGTCAGACTTCTCTCAACTAATTCATGGGCATGATCTACCATCTCGCCATTCCTTCCAATCCGTCTTTGAACAGGGTCCTATTCAACCTCACGTTGAACAAACCACATTCTGGGCTGAGTACCTCATGGCGTGGGAAAAGCCTGCGGTTCCAAAGCTTGTACATTCTATTTCTTCCGACACTACACCCCAAATTACACAGTATACACTCCCACTTTCCCCAGAAAAGCTGAAACAGACTGCTCTACAAGAGGGTTATACTGCTCAATGCTATTTCCAAGCGGCATTGGCGATGGTCTGGAGCTCCATTTGCCATGCGCCAGACTTGGTGCTTGGATCTGTACTTTCCGGTCGTGATGCGAACATTGCAAACGTGGAATACATATTTGGCCCTATGATCAAGACTCTTCCATTGCGTCTCATAATACAGAAAGAGAATACCATTCAACAGTTGCTAGACAGCGTCCAGTCAAGCAACCTCAACCTCTTGGAGAACGCGAGTATTCCTCTGACTGAGATTTCTAAAATCTCAGGCATGGTAACTGGCGATTCCATGTTTGACGTCATGTTTGCCTATCAAGAATCTCCATACCCCTTGGATCCTGCCATTGGAAAGGAAACTCGCCACGTAGACTACACAGACACCAGAATCATTCTCGAAGCCATCCCGAGCAAAGATGACTTTACCTTGCAGCTAACATATCACTCCAACTTTTGTACTGACAGTCTTTCCAAGGAAATACTTCATCAAGTTGCTTCGCTTGTATCCAAGTTTGCTGAATCTTCACTTGGCCAATCTCTGTCATCTTTGATGCGAGATTTGCCCTGTGCGCAGTCCATTTATAACCAGCAGCCGACGACAATTACGAGTCCCAGCAACTTGGCCCAGCTCGTTGAGATTGCTAGCACGAAATATAGTGACGAAATTGCTATTGAATTCTTTCAATCTGCTTCTGCTACCAATCCCATTTCAACCACCATATCCTACACAGAACTCAACGCTTCTTCAAACCAAGTAGCACGCTGGCTTCAGAGCGAGGGTGTAAATCCTGGCGATATTGTTCCCATCATCATGGAAAAGTCCACCGATCTGTACGTCAACATATTAGGCATTGTCAAGGCTGGGTGTTCATATCTGCCCTTGCTCCCCAATCTTCCCCTTGCGCGTATGTCGGAAGTCATCGCGCAAGCAGAGGCCACCTTTTGCATCTGTGATGCAGAATCCGCATCCAAAGTACAGGAAATCGAAAGAGCAAAAGTCCTCGTACCAGGAACAGCGCCGCTTGCTACATATTCACAAGAAAATCTCAAACTAGAGATTGACAGCACACAACTGGCTTACATTGTGTATACATCTGGAACGACCGGAAAGCCAAAGGGTGTTGCCGTCTCCCATAAGAGCATTGTCAGCAATGTAATTCAGCTCCAAGAAATCTACCCATCAGCTACTACTGGCCAAGGTAGACTGTTGCAGGCATGCTCCCAAGCGTTCGACGTCTCTGTGTTTGAAATATTTCACGCATGGCAAACTGGTATGCGGTTATGTGCCGCTGTTAATGATGTCCTGTTTGAAGATCTAGAACAAGCTATACGGGCTTTCCAGATTACCCATCTCAGTCTTACACCAACGGTTGCCTCTCTCATTGCCGCTGAAAATGTTCCCAGAGTGGAATTCTTGGTCACTGCCGGTGAACCACTCTCTCAGCGAGTTCTTCAAAACTGGAAAGGCCGTCTTTGGCAGGGTTACGGACCTTCAGAGACTACAAATATTTGCACCGTCAAAAGAATGACCGGTAATGAGCATATGGATCACCTCGGATGGACATTTCCCAATACATCCGTCATTGTTCTTGAGGCTGGAGGTCAAGCAGCTCTTCCTGTAGGATGGGTAGGAGAGTTCTGCTATGGCGGCGATCAAATTGCATCCGGATATCTGAATATGCCGGAAGTCACGGAACAAAAGTTCATCAACCACGCTACCTATGGCCGTCTATATAGATCTGGCGATATGGGTCGAATGCTATCTGATGGATCGCTTGTTATCCTTGGCCGTTTGGATGACCAAATCAAATTGCGTGGCCAACGAATTGAGCCTTCAGAGATCAACAGTGTAATATCTACCAATGATCTCGTAGCCTCAGCTGAAACTCTGCTGATGCGCGGAGGCTCCCAATCGAGGGACATGCTTGTCTCGTTTTACGTCGGATTGCAAGAATCAAGAGACTTTCAAATGTTGGAAACGGTTCTAGAACTTAATCAAGAGATATTTAGCCGTCTCAAGGCTACGCTGACCAGCTACATGGTCCCAACATATCTCTTTGCGGTATCGTGTCTGCCTTTAACACCTACAGGAAAGGTTGACAAGAACCGTCTCCGAGAGGCAGTACATTTATGTTCAAAAGAACAGTTGGCTGCGGCATCTGGCGCTACAGATTCCACTGAAGATGAATCCTGGTCAGTGCTGGAGACATTGTTGGCGAGTGCGCTATGCTCATTGTATAATGTGCATCGTGACGAGGTTCGCCGATGGACTCTGTTTTCTACTCTTGGCCTAGACTCAATATCTGCCATCAGATTTGTTTTTCACTTGAAGGAAGCACTGCATCTATCTGTTTCCATCTCCATGATTCTCCAGAATCCGACTGTCGCGCAACTTGCCATTGCCATAGATGGTCAAAGCAATGGCAAAGAATCATCCGAGGTAGCGTTCTTTGATCAAACTGCGATGGATGATATTCAATCAAGGAGTCAAGAAAGGCTTGACAACATCATCTCCGTCATGCCCTGCCTGCCGCTCCAGGGTGCTATGCTTTCGCAGGGCAAGGAGCGCTACTACAACCAGATCCTGCTCCGTCTACATATCGGCGAGGACTTGATAAAGAAGCACTGGAACACTGTCATTGAGCGACACGACATCTTTAGGACACATTTCATCACGACACGAAGCAGCGCGTATCCTATTGCTCAAGTTGTAACCAAGACCGCAAAAGTGAACTGGGAACATTTTGACGTGGATGCTCTCTCACTAGATGGGGTGATTGCTGAGCATATGAATAAGCTTCCAGACCCCGTAGATTCCTATGAGGCACCCTACTCTCTGGGAATTATTCGATACCGCGGGTCAACCTTTCTTTCATTTATATGCCATCATGCCTTGTATGATGGTGTAGCAATGGAGAATCTGTATCGTGAGATTGAGCATCTATCAAACGGCCAAATCCTTGCCCCTTCGATATCGTCGGTACCATTCTTGCAGCAGGCGCTTGAGCTTCCATACGATGCTGACGCATTTTGGCAGTCGCATTTTGAAGGATACCAGCCAATCTTCATATCTGCGAAGTCCGACAAACACATTACAAGCCAAAGCTCGTCCTCCATGTCTTTTGACACAACACTATCAGATTTGCAGTCACGGTGTAAAGATCTCGGTATCTCGTTGCTATCTCTGTGCCAGTCTGCGTGGGCCATGGTGCTTGCTGTGATATCTGATTCAGATGATGTTTGTTTTGGAAATGTCATGAGCGGTAGAACTGTTGCAGTCGAGGGCGTTGAGAGAATCTTGGCTCCGTGTTTTAATACGGTTCCCGTCAGGATGCAGATCGATGCAAGACAAACTCCAGTTGGCCTCGCACGCGCCTTTCAGACTCTAAACTCTAAACTTCTGAAATATCAGTTTACTCCGTTGAGACTGGTCAACAAAATAACTAGGAAGCGGAACCTCTTTGATACTCTGCTTCTTGTCCAGCAGCCATTGACGGATATGGACAAATCCGTTTGGACGCTGGAAGCTGACAATGGTTCCATGGATGTCCCCATCGTCTGTGAGGTTACGCCCTGTCCTAATCTCAATTCCCTTGTTGCTACTATCCGATATGATATGGTAACAGTGACAAATCCAGCTGCCTCCAAGTTAACCGAGTTGCTAAAGGCTGCTTTCCAAACCGTGCTCGAACAGCCTACAAACCGTATACCACGTCGTATGGATCTGGCGTCTTCTTTACAATCTGGTTTTGAAGATTTCCAGACTCGCAAGGATCGCTCAGAAGATGTTCTGAGTAGGCAGGACGACGCGGAGATGCTCGACTCTACTACTGAGTATAAGACCGTTGTCGATATTCTTTCCAGTCTTGCCGATGTACCGAGCAGCAGGATACAGCCACATACATCCATCTTCCAATTAGGCTTGGATAGTATCAGCGCCGTCCAGATTGCCTCTCAACTCCGCAGCCAGGGATTCAAGGTTTCGTCAGCCGATATTATTGAGCTTCAGAATGCCCATCTCATTGCAAAGAAGCTGCAGCAAACCCCTATATTACTTGATGACAACACAATAGGATATGACTTTGCAGCATTCAACACGGCAGTACAGTCGCAGATCCAAGCAGCCATTTCTCAAACTGCAAACACAGCAGATGTACTCCCAGCGACTCCTATGCAATGCTCGATGTTGTCTCTCTCTGCGACATCCGAGAACTTCTCTTACATTAATGTCATTACTACTCTCTGCAACTCCGGTATAACAGCAGACGAATTGAGACAGGCCTGGTTTACGCTTGCAAACAAGTTGCCTATTCTACGGGCCGGGTTTGTCGATGTGCGCCATCCAGATACTACTCATGCCATGGTACAATACATACCCTTTGACGAGTTGAGCTCGAATAGCATCACCGAACTTACCGAGGGTAGCATTGAAGATGCGATTCTCTCTGCCAGAAAGTCTATACAATCAGATCTAACACATCCGCCGTGGAGAGTAATCCTTACGAACACCAATTCGGAGCAGATTACAATGGCACTCGTCATCCACCATGCGTTGTATGATGCATCATCACTCAAGTCTATCATGATGGATCTAGACAATGCTCTTACTATGACACCTATCTCAGACCCTCAACCGATACGCAGCGGTCTCTCCGAGATGTTGCAGTGGGCAAACAACAGCAGCTCTACAGAAGCCGAGACATTCTGGACCTCAAAGTCAGATAGCATAGCCATCACGAAATTCCCAACAATGACACCGCTGAGAGAGGCATCTTCACGAATTCTCACTACCGAATTTACCACTTCCAAAACCATTGGCCAGCTACAAACGTGGGCCACAGCATGCGAATCCACCATACAAGCCTCTATTCAAGCAGCATGGACTCGAGTTCTTTCATCCTACTTGGGCGAGAATGCCGTGACATTTGGTCAAGTGCTTTCCGGTCGTGTCACAGAATCGACTGCTCAGACCCCACTGCCTTGTCTCGCTACTATTCCGATTATTGTTCAAAATATGTCGTCAAACAGAGAACTGCTACAAGCCACTCTCTATTACAGTACCGAGATCCAAAGATATCAATTTTCCCCTTTGCAGAATATACAAAAGTGGCTTGGTCATCCGGCTACTGCGCTCTTTGATACGGCCATTGCTTATCAACGTCTGGCCAATGAATCTAGCAAGCCAACGTCTTGGACCGTTATTGGTGACGATGCTGCAGTGGAATTCCCAATCTCGCTAGAAGTGGAAGCAAACGATGACTCTGCTGAGGCGTTCTTCATTATGCGTCTAACATTCATGGAGAACGTCATGCCGATGGAGCAGGCCCAGCTCATGGTTCAACAGTTTGAGGCTAGTTGGGTACATCTACTGTCCGAGCCCGACCAGACACAGGACGATCTCTTCCAATATGCCCCTCACGTCTTTGCCATTACAAACCCCAAGATTCCCATCATGAGTGCGCCAGTGACACTTCTGCACCAATTTGTAGAGATTGCTGCAGCCTCGACCCCGGACAATATCGCACTTGAATATGTCGTCGAGCTGGACGACGATGTCTGCAAAACCAAGACATGGACCTATCAGGAGCTCAACTCCAATGGCAACAAAATCGCTCACCTTCTATCTCAGCACACGAACCCCGGAGATATAGTGGCCATTCATTTTGATAAATGTCCCGAGGCATACTTCTCCATTCTTGGTATTCTCAAGGCTGGATGCGGCTTTGTGGCCCTAGATATCAACGCTCCGAATAGTCGCAAGGAGTTTATCCTCGGAGATTCACAAGCTCCGTGCATGCTATCCCTAGCTGCCATTGATTTTCAAGTGCCGTCGAGTTGCAACATCTTGAAAATCGAAGAGTCTGGGCTATCAGACTTACCAAGTACAGCACCCATCATAGATATCGCACCAGAGAGTACCTGCTATTGTCTGTATACTTCTGGTACTACTGGTACCCCCAAAGGCTGTCTCATTTCCCACGAAAACACAGTGCAAGCCATGATGGCATTCCAGGAACTGTTTGACGGCCACTGGGACGCAGAATCGAAATGTCTACAGTTCGCATCCCTTCACTTTGATGTCTCCGTCTTAGAACAGTATTGGAGCTGGGGAGTTGGTATTACCATGGTTGCTGCGCCCAAAGATTTGATTCTGAACGACATCACAAGATCCATCAATGCCCTCAACATTACCCACATTGACTTGACCCCAAGTCTAGCGCGACTAGTCCACCCAGATACAGTCCCAAGCCTATGCAGAGGCGTCTTCATCACTGGTGGCGAGCAGCTGAAGCAGGAGATTCTCGACGATTGGGGCCCAGCCGGTGTGATTTACAACGCATATGGCCCAACAGAGGCTACCATTGGCGTGACCATGTACCAGAGAGTTCCGCAGAATGGTAGGCCGAGCAATATTGGAAGACAATTCTCCAACGTTGGTTCCATTGTAGTGCAAAAGGATACCGAAAAGCCAGTGCTACGAGGAGGCGTAGGCGAGCTCTGTGTATATGGCAAGCTTGTCGGTACTGGATACCTCAATAGACCAGAGCTCACAGACGAAAAGTTCCCAACTTTCAAGGATTTGAATGAACGGGTCTACAGAACAGGTGACATGGTTCGCATCCTACATGATGGATGCTTTGATTTCCTTGGTAGAGCAGATGACCAAGTCAAACTTCGCGGTCAAAGACTGGAGATTGGCGAGATTAACCATTGCATTCGAAGCCACTGTCCCTCTATCCAAGATGCTGCAACGATTGTTGTCAAACACGGTACCTCTGGTAAAGATGTGCTTGTCGCGTTTATCGTCAGCAGAACAACCAACACTTCCAGCAAAGACGTCTACACCATGGCAGACGAAAATGGTCTCCTTGCTGAGGCCCGCACCGCATGCCGTGATAAGCTTCCTGGCTACATGGTTCCGACTTTCTTCATCCGAATTTCGCGTATTCCGCTCTCTGCCAACAACAAACTCGAAGCCAAAGAACTTCGCCAGCTATTCCTGAACCTTGATCAACTCGAGCTTATGAGTTTAACAAGCACGCAAAGCCAATCAACATCAAGCATATCTACAGTCCTTGTCAAACGCATTGCTGAATTCACTAGCATGGACGCCGCACTTATCACTGCAGAGACTAGCCTATTCGACTTGGGATTGGATTCTATCTCAATTGTACAACTCGCTAGATATCTCAGGCAAAACGGCTTCCCCAGTGCCACGCCGCCGCTTTTGCTCAAGAACTCCATGGTCGCAGATACAAGCGCCGCCTTGCAAAAAGATATTACTCAGGGCAGATCAGCAAAGGTCCAACAGACACGGCAGATGATTCGAGCCAAATTCCACAAGTATTTACCCGCTGCGCATGCTGCTTTGGGTATTGGTCCCGACAGGATTGAGTACATTTGCCCGTGCTCAGGCCTTCAACAAGGAATCATTGCTCGAAGCATGATTGCATCGCAGTCAGGAGCGTATTTTAACTCTTTCCATCTTCATCTTACCAACGGCGTTGATCTCACACAGTTGAAGCAGGCGTGGGAGGCTCTGATTGCTGAGGAAGCTATTCTTCGAACGTCATTTATACATACTTCTGATGGCTTTGTCCAGGTGGCAGAAAAGAACAAAGACCTGTTCTGGGAAGAGACGGAATTGGATAAATCTACTACATCATTGGATAACGTCATTGAGGAATACCGTACACACTGGATCGCCTCGAATCAAACCGTCATCGTCTCCCCTTTACGACTACTCCTTGTCAAGCATTCCGACAAGCGCATTCTCGTCATTTTCATGCATCACTCGATTTACGACGGTAAATCTCTTGACACGATGCTGAGAAGAATTTCAAATATTATGAAGGGCCAGACTCCTCTACCTGCACCTTCGTTCTTGGATGCATTGATCCACGGACCACTTACCAGCGATACATCAGCAGAGCCTCGCTGGAAGAGTTACCTTGCAGGCTGTGACTTTAGTGCTATTGATTCTCCGCCATCGTCTGCCGACAAAATGCCCATCAGTATCTCCCGAGAATTAAACATATCTACACTGGAGGACTTGAGAAAGAAGTACAAGGTCACTCTCCAATCCATTGTTCTTTCGCTATGGACATCTGTCTTTTGGAAACGGTTCGGTGGTAATCAAAGCATCGGCATCGTCTTGTCCGGTCGATCTGTCCCTGATATGAACGTTGATGATACGATTGGCCCTATGTTCAACACCCTTCCCTTCTTCCCCAAAGCTCAAGTCGCTCAAAGTTGGGATGCTCTGATACAAGAATGCCACCAGTTTAGTATTCTGGCCTTGGAGGATGAACACGTCTCCCTCAAGAATATCCAAAAGTGGTGTTCCCATGGATTGCCGATATTTGATACGCTATTCGCCTACGAAGTTGATAACACGGACAATGATTCGGATGTACCTTGGACTATTGGTCCTAGCAGCGGAGCTATTGATTATCCTCTTGCTTTTGAGGTCATTAATATGCAGAATCATGCTCTCAAGCTTACGCTGGCCACTACGCTATCCTTCATTGACAAGTCTACAGCAGAGTCGATTCTAGATGACGTTGAAGAATCCATCAATGACATTCTCGCTAACAGATTTGTTCCCATTGTCGTCTCTAGCGAGCCAGAAACGCCAGATGAACTCGCACAGACACCTACTGACAACGAATCGTCCTTTGTTCACAGCGAAACATCACTCATCATCCGTAGCCAACTTTCCCTTATCTCTCGCACGCCAGAAGATGAAATCAAAGCAACAACCCTTTTCACTGAGCTTGGCCTGGATAGTGTCGATATTATCCAGCTTGTTGGACGCCTAAGAAAGCACGGGATTTCTTTGACTGCGACAGCTGTACTCAAGGCGCAGTCCATTGCCAACATGATGTCCATGCTTGACAGAAACCACCTCACTAGCAATTCTTCCAACTCATCTAGCTGGTCTGAGATGCAAACCATACTGAATGACTTGCTCACAAACGCCGGATCCGACATCGAGCAAATTCTGCCTGCTACCTCTGTTCAAGAGTCAATGATTGCAGGCATGCTGGATTCTGACTTTGCCTACTACTTCAACCAAGCAGTGTTTAAGCTGTCAGATGGAGTTGATGTGGATAAACTCAGCACGGCCTGGTTACAGCTCGTTGATCAGTGCCCTATTCTCCGTACTGGCTTCTCCCAAGTTACAGATGCACGTCTAGATATGGCTTACTGCCAGACAATCTACCAGCCGTCCGTCTTCAAACCGCGAAAATTGAAGATTAGCGACCGCGCTGAGATCAATACGCTTCTATCACAAGATAAAGGACTGGCCATTCTGGGTTGTGGTGAGCGCGACCTGTTCCAAGTCACGTTTGCCGTGCTGGGCGCGCAAAAGTATATGATTGTTTCTCTGTGTCATGCACTCTACGATGGGTGGTCCTTGGATCTCATATACAGCAGTCTTACCGCGCTGTACAATAATCAACAGCCCGAGCTGAACCATAACACCGAAGCGCTATTCCTAGCCCACGCACACATTGACAAGGAAGCAAATCGCGAGTTCTGGAAAGGCCATCTGAGCAATCTACAGCCCAGTCTCATTGAATCTCTCGTGGATATGGATCTCCCCGTCGATGGGCCACACCGTGAAGAACACGAAGCGTCACTACCCTTTTCCCAGCTTTCTTCATTTTGTAAAGACCACAGAATCACTTTACAGACGCTCTGCCACGCAGTCTGGGCTTCTGTCCTTGCTAAGCATACGTCTTCGCTCGATGTATGCTTTGGCATTGTCCACTCCGGAAGAGATTTCGAAGGTGCAGAAACTCTGGTCTTTCCTACCATGAATACGCTGCCATTCCGATGTGTCATTCATGGAACTGCCGCCACCTTCTTAGCATATCTCGAAGAGACGATGCAAGAGATTCGCCAGTATCAGTCATATCCGCTCCGAAAGGCCCTGTCTGCCGCAGAAGTGACAGGAGCAGACTCATTCAACACGCTGTTCATGTTGCAAAAGACCCAATCCGGCAACCAGAGCCAACCTCTCTTTACCGCGATTGATGGAACCTCCGCTGTTGAATATCCCGTCTGTGCAGAGGCCGAAGTAGTTGACGATAAGCTGGTTTGGCGTGTCGCATGCCTAACTGGGAATACATCTTCTGAGATGGCTGCCACGATAATTGCCGATCTCGAGCACGCCCTTCACTCTATAGTGACTGATCCAAACACTGAGATGCTAGATTTCACTGTCACTGGGGCTTCTATTCTCGGCTGGCCAGAGTTTCAACTAGAAGATACTCTCCATGTAGATACACAGGCAAAGAACATCGAGGCCAACCCCGCATTCGAATGGTCAAAAGACTCTCTCGCCATCCGACAAGTTCTCAGCCAAGTCTCCAACATCGAAGTTGAGGCTATTGAACCAACTTCGAATTTATTCCAGCTTGGCCTTGACTCCATCAGCGCCATCAAAGTCTCATCACTGCTGAAAGGTCAAGGCATCAAGCTGAAGCCTAGAGATTTGATCAAAGCCACCAGCATTGCAGACATGATATCGGCACTTGCTATAGATCACATGGATTCTGCACCGATTGCCAACACATCAGAAACCACCTGGGTCGTACCTGATACAATCAACATTGATAACATTCTCGCCAAGTTCTCATTCATGCAGGATCATGTTGAAGCCGTTCTACCAGCTTCTGCACTACAAGTCTACATGGTCAACAGCTGGGCTAATAACCTTGGAAATGTATTCTATCCGACATTCACATACCGGCTTACTGCAGAAACAACGATTGCTCAAATCACGAGCGCATGGGAGGAGGTTGTCAAGTCCACACCCATGCTTCGAACAGTTGTTCTCCCTACTGCCAACGAAAACACGCCTATGATCCAAATTATTCTCAAATATGGAGCAGGCAAGCCGACACCCTTCGTTGCATTCTCGGTGGAAGCAGCCAACGATGGCTTTGATATCTCTATTCGCATCCACCACGCGCTATACGACGCCATTAGTTTGGATACAATCATCTCCCGTCTACGTCAAGCAATACAATCACAGCTCCCTTCAATCAACAGTACACTTGGCCGTTGGGCCGTCCACATCCTTCACACTCGTTCCAAGAAGCAGAAATCATCAACCAAGGCGTTCTGGTCAAGCTATCTCGCCAATGTATCTGCCAACGAATATCCTCTTATCAATATTCAGCAACGCTCTGAGAGAGTCTCCCTATTTATCAAGGGAGCTGTTGCCGATGCCACTCGACTTCAGCAAACAGCATCCCAGAATTCTTTGTCCATTCAGTCGTTGCTATTTGCCGCATACGCTCGTCAAACATCCGCCGCAAAACAAGTCGATAACGGTTCCGCTGTCGTTATCGGCATTTACATGGCCAACCGCGCAAATAGCACAGACGAGCTAAATACATATCCGACATTGAATCTCATCCCACTAAAGGTCGTCAATAAATCAGATCTGGTGTCCATGGCGTCCCAAATTCAGGCAGACCTACTCGATATATCTGCTGAACAGAGAGCACACGTCAGCCTATACGACATATACAGATGGACAGGCGTCCAAGTTGACAGTTTTGTCAATTTCTTGCCATCCCCAACAGAAGATGCTCCGGCAGACTCTTCATTTTCGATTATAGAGTCACCTCTGGATACTCCAGACCTAGTGACTAAACAAGACACTCAGCTATGCCGGGCCTTTTTAGACAACAGCTGTACCTCCAACGCCTTCCCTGTAAGTATCCCTTCCAAAGCATTATCTTCCAGCCATTTGCTAACAAACCACAGTATGCATTAGACGTGGAAGCATGCATTCGTGATGGTGCCATGGACATTGGTGTCTTTGGCCCATCTACAAGAATTACCAGCCCCGAAGCTCAAACCCTAATTACCGAGCTGGTTGAGATTCTTCACAATCTCTAGACAAAGGGATTATCATATACGGAGTTCTTCATTTACTGTTTCACTTTTCTTGCATTTTCATTCTCATTAGAGCGTTGCTTTTGCATCATCATCATTGTCATTTCTTTGCTGTCTATCATTTAGCTCAATACATTCAGATATACCGCCATTTTCTCTTCCCTATATACATCTACCACAACTATCCAATAGCTGCTTTATCCGGAAACAAAATAACATTGGCCAGCCGCAGAACCTCCGTGTCTGCCGTGGACATTGTCGTAGCGCTGCTCGGACTGTCATATGTCCGCTCATCATCCCCGTCGCCATTAGTAGCCGTCCATCCCTTTTCAAACCACGGGAGCGTGGCATTCTCTTCTTCCCAGAGAGCAAGGCCCATCGCACGCAGAGCGGGTTGTCCTCCAACAGCAGCAATTTCTGCTTGATCGGGTCGAATGTCATCGCTCTCGGTCTGGTTATTGCTACCAGACGAGTCGAAATCAGGCCCAGGGTGGCCGCGCTGATACGATTTACGCTGTCGAGCTAGATACAGCGCGCTTGTTTGAGTAAGTGGTGCTGCTGGCACATAGACGAGCATGCGCGCGTCGTCAAACCAGTGCGCTGCTGTCTGCGGCGTCTCTACGCCAGGCATGCTCTCGCCAGAAGACAGGTGATAAGGTAGATCCGGGTGCCACAGGATATAGTCGCCGGGCTTCAGTGTCGGCAGAGTAATCATACTGCTTCGGAGCATAAGATGCGGGTGCCAGCGTTCTGTAACGCGCTGGGCGTGGCCAGGTACCGCGCCGTGAATGACGGGGTCAGGATTGCGGTTCAGCTTCCAGTTAGATGGCGACAAGTACGCATCCCAAGCTTCAGCATAGCCTGGGTGGTTGGCAGATATCCACTCCGGGGCAGGATGTGTCGGCTCAAAGAATGGCCGCAGTAAATAATATGCCGTCGCGAGCTTGGGTGAAGGAAGCAGTCGAATCATACCTGGTTCGACAGAAGACAGAGCAACTACGCCCTGGAACATGCGAAAGATGGTACACGCGCCGTAGCCGTTATAAAGATCCATGTTGGCAGATACGCGGCACGCGCTACGCCACGGATCATACTCTTCCCATCTCCCTTGGAAGATGGAGGAATACGTCCCTGCTCGCTGATACCCATCCGGTTCCCATCGCTCCAGAGATCCATTGTCGACTTGTGCTGTGATGCCAGCAGAAGACTGAAGCGCACTGATCCAGTCGTCGGCAGACTGAGGAACAGATTCCTTGGGCAGCGTCCCCTTCTTGCTGCGCTGGTCGCCAACCTTGGCAGCCGGTGCACTAGCTCCAGGGCCATAGATACGGATTCGATCGGCATATGTTATAGGATGTTGAGGGGCCAGAGGGTCATCGGCGCGTGTCTCCCAAAGGCTCATCATGAAGCGCTGCGCAAGACGGATATTCGGATGTGCTCGCGTGCGAACCTGCGCCGGTGTCCAAAACAGGTCAAAGCAGGCCGGGTCGTGCTTTGGTGCGTGGAAGTGTCCGTACCGATCGCCATCGGCGTCTTCTCTGGGTGAGTTGACACTAGACGAAGGCTGGTCGGCTTGGCCTCTAACCGGCACAGAGGGTGCGCGTCCTCGCCGGCTCTGTACGTCAATATATCGAATGGTATCTTGTACCGAGGCCTCAATGTCTGCTTTGGGCACAACCTTTCGAATTACGCCGACTCCATATCGGCGCAAGTCGCGACCAAACCGCGATGTTTGTGAGGGATCGCTGAGATCCGCAAATTCAATCGACGGAATCAAATGTGCCCCCAGGCCCTCAATCTGATCGACATCAGCACGTATGGCAGCTAGTAGTCTCGTCCAGCTAGCCTCCAGTTCGGTCTCATGTCCAGCAATGAGATTCTTCTTAATCCTAGCAAATCTGGAGGGCAGTGGAACCGGATCAGGTCCCCAGAAGGAGAGAGCCCTGGTAGCATCGCTGCTTGGTGGTGTCGCCGTCCCCGGCGTCCTCTCTGGTTCCGTTCTTCTTGGTCGCGCTACCTTGTATGGTGAGGGGTGATCTGAAGCCGGCGCGCTCCTTCTAAGCGAAGTCTGTTTGGCTTCTTGACGGGCCTGCATCAGTTTCGCAGCCATCGAAGGCGCAACGTGAGCAGGCGGCGCGATCCGAGTGGTTGATCCATCGAGGATAACCTTTCTGAGGCGGGCCGTATCATCGTCTCTGCTGCTGCTGCTTGAAGACATTATGAGACGGCCTGTATTGAGTAGAGTGCGCTGTGTGATGTACGTTTGTGTGTTCGGCAACTGGTTATAATGTGTCGCTTGCTTTCTTGTTGCTATCTTTCCGTGAGAGCGCTATCGGCGCCATACGACTTGAAAGGCATTCGGCAAATAAGAAACTCTAGAAAGCTCTTTTTTATGTGACCGAATAAGGATAAAGTTTCTTGCGCAACGGCGCAAAGTGGCCAATAAGAAAGGTGAGAAGGCGAAAGTGAGGGTGGCGTGATGTCGCCGGGGAAAGCGGGTTAGAGTTTGGCTGTGGGCGGGCTTATCGCCGAATCAGTGCCGGGTAGCGGCGGCCGCAATGAGCACAAGTCTAATCAAAAGTCGGTAAAGCTGTTATTAAATAGTATCAAAAACAGTAAAATTGTGAGATTGTTATTTAATATCAATTAGACTAATTATTACAATCATTAAGGCTATGGCTAACAGCAGAGTTCCGAGACAGCCCAAGGAACAATGTAATTACCGAACAGGACCAAGGGATAGGTTTACAACTTACTGAGGCCGACTCAGCACAATTACGAAGGGCGTGATTGAAGAATGTAATGGAAATAGTCATAACATTGATGGTATATAAATCCCTACATATCCAAACTCATATACTCCAAGAACAAAGGAAAACTATTCATACTAGATTGGGCAGCACCAGCTGACACACGTGGTCCATGAATAAACAAGAAGTTTTACAAAAAAATGACAACACACAGCACGCTTAGAGTCTGGACTTGTTGGCATCGAGCTTCCAGCCCTCCTCCATGGCAATCATCTCAGCAGCACGCTCACCAATGGCAAGCACGGTAAGCATGGGGTTGATGGAGGGCATCTCGGGGAAGACACCGGCATCAGCAATGCGGAGGTTCTTGATACCGCGGACCTTGAGCTCAGAGTCGACGACGGCGAACTCATCCTTGGCGACATCACCCATCTTGGTGGTACCAGCAGGGTGGTAGACGGTATGGGCAGCACGGCGGGCGTACTCGCTGATGGCCTCGTCTGTCTGGACCTTGGGGCCAGGAGCAACCTCCTCCTTGAGCCAGTCCTTGAAGGGAGCCTGCTCGGCGACCTTGCGGGCGGCCTTGATACCGGCGACAAGAGTAGCGGCATCGTAGCCCTCGGGGTCGGTGAAGTAGCGGAAGTCGAGGGCAGGCTTGACGCTGGGATCGGCCGAGGTAAGGTAGATGCGGCCGCGAGATCGGGGGCGGGGGATGTTGGGGGTCATGCAGAAGGCGTACTGATCGGGAACCTCACGGTAGCCGAGACGGCCCGTGTTGAGGGTAAAGGGGATCTGGTAGCAGTGCATCATGATGTCAGCAGCATCGGCGTCGTTGCCGGCAGCGTTGTGGGCCTCGCGGCGCAGGAAGATGCCGGCGTCAGAGTCCATGGTGGTCTGGTTGGCGGGAACAGGTTTGTTAAGCTCCCACATGATGATGGTTTCGGGGTGATCGACGAGGTTCTCGCCAACTCCACGAATGTCCTTGACAACGGGGATACCGAGGCCCTCGAGCTGAGCGCGGGGACCAAGGCCCGAGTGAAGCATGAGACGGGGGGTATCGACAGCGCCAGCGGAGAGGATAATCTCCTTGCGGGGGCGGAGAGTTAAGGTCTGGCCAGACTTGAGGGTGACAACAATACCGGTAGCGGCATCGTTCTCAACAAGCACCTTGGACACCCAGGCCTCGGTGAGGATGGTCAGGTTAGGGCGGCGCTCCTCACCACGGAGGATGGGGTGGATGTAGGCGACAGAGGCACTACTGCGCTTGCCATCGTCGGGGTTGTAGGAGACGTTGAAGAAGCCAGCGCCCTGGGTGAGCTTGCCGGTCTCGCGAATCTCCTCGTTGAAGTTGGAAATGACGGGGATGTTGAAGGCGTCGGAGCAGGCTTGGACCCAGTCCTTGCAGAGCTGATTGCGGTGGCGGGCGTGGACGGGCTGGAAGGTGTTGCGGAGGTTGTCAATGTGGCGGGTGACATTCTCAAAGGTCCAGCCCTTGCAGCCCTGCGCTACCCACCGGTCCATGTCATGTCTGAAGGGGCGGAAGGAAATGAGGGTGTTGTGAGAGGAGCAGCCGCCGAGGACCTTTGCGCGCGAATGGCGGATGTGGCTGTTGCCATTGGGCTGTGCGGTGGTGGGGTAGTCGTAGTCGAGATCACCACCGAGCAAGGTAAGCCATTCGCGGAGGTTGAGAACCTGGTTGAGGTTGAAGTCGGAAGGGCCGCCTTCAATCACAAGGACCTTCTTCTCGGGCAGGTAGCTGGAGAGGCGAGAGGCCAGGACGCAGCCAGCAGTGCCGCCGCCGACAATGATGTAGTCGAAGGCATTGGCAGCGTTGGGAGGCAGAGCCTGAGTAGTCATGGTGATGTCGAGAGAGGCGTTGTGGGGTATGTGAGAGTAAGTAAGGTGCTGCTGCAACAGTGACGTAGTTGCAGATGGTGGTGATGGCTAAGCTAAGTTACGCACACGACCACTTTCTGAGAGAGGATGGGAAAAAAAGAAGAAGGGATTGAAGATGACAGACAAAAAGAAGAAGAAGATTAAAAACAGAGGAGGGTGGGAAACCAGAAGAAGATAAGGGCGAGGCTGTTGCCGTTGGAGCAAAAAAAAAACGGAAGCATTGTGGTTGGCTGACCAGAGAGGCTTAGGCTTGCTTGGGGGTGGTGTGGATGTCAGCTGCGGGCCTCTTGCTTGTCGCATCGCCCAAAGTGGTCGCGTTGCAGAAACGCCGATGATGTGCAAATGGGGAAGAGACACGGCACAGCGGCATGGATAAAATTTGCGAGGCCGTGAAAAGTGGCTGTAAAATAATAAGCCATTTGTAGGATTTGCCTAGATTTATTCTAGAATATTAAAAAATGGCTACACCACCCTTTTCCTGCATCTTCCATTGCCAACACCATGATGGGATTTCGATGCATCGACAAACTTGTCCGTCGCATCGGCGCACTGTACCACACCCGCACAACTCCCAGCAAACTCCACTGTGTCAATCTTGCAGTCTGCACACCGTATTTCACCTAAGCCCAGAAGGTGGAGTAAGCATGCCCCGCAATGGTGGTGCTTGGCGCAAAGCTTGCAGCCAGGCTACAGGGCCTTCTGCAGGCTGGCTACAGGGGGCTCACGCGCTGTAAGGCCCTGCTGGAGCGGAATACCGCTGGGGCACAGCGGGGACAGCAGTCTGCCTGCGGGGCGCCTGTGACATCATTAGTGCCCACCGGCTAGCAAGCTCTGCAGCAAACCGTAGCAAAAACTTTTCCGTTTTTAATTTTTTTTAAATGGTACTCTATGTGCTGCGGCCGTTCTCAGGGTTATGCTGTTTCGGTACGAAACGGACCACCCTCCGTCTTAAAGAAAAGGTGGAGGAGGCGCTGGCTAAAAGAGCGGGCATGCATGAATTGTCAAACCATTTCCCGTTGCAGTAACTGCACACACATACAGGCGAGCGTCTCCGGTAGAAAATATAGTGTTTGTTCTAGCGCACCTCGGATGCACTGTAGCGAGCCGTGCAGCAGTTAGCGCGGTCTTCTGGTCCGATTACACGACGTACATACGGTACAGTGTGTACAGTACTTGGTTGGGGGTCACCAGTGATATGGCATGGCTTGCTTGCTGGCTGGCTGGCTATTTCCTTTGAATGTACAATCAATAGCGTCTGCAATATATTAACACGATAGAGAGCTGCTTGTTTTATTAACGATTTGCCGAACGACATCCGAAGTACATGCTCTAGACACCGACGTCATTCCGTGGTGGCTTGCTCTTTGACGCCTCGGCGTTGGCCGGTAGTTAGTGGGCTTGTAGTGAGTGGGTGGGTGGGCGGTGGCAGTAGCGCAGCAAACCAACCCCATGTTGTAAGATCCCAGCGCTGCGGTTGTCGCTGTCTAAGCTGCAACAAATGTATGCCAACTGTGGCCTCGTTTATTAACATCACCTGATTGTAGAGCAGGAGCTGAAAATTACAGCCAATAATTGACTGTATTCGACGCAAAGTGACGTGGTTGGCCTGCACTTTATGCACGAATTGTACTGTACTTCCGCTTCAACAGCTACAGCGCGCCGTCCTCCCCCACCACAGCCCGTCTGCACTGTCGCCGGACAGACAGAGCATCAGCACAGCACAAGCTTAGCGCGGTCGCCCCGCCCACGGCCCCAGCAAAAATATTTTGGTGCCACTGCACTCTCTCAGTGTTGTCACTTGGAACGGTTGCCGTCGTCCGCCTTCATCACCACATCTTTTCTTCTCTTGGCATCTACACTGCCTCATTGTATTCTCACTCTTTGCATCCTTTCATTCAAATCGCAGCAAACAACCTCAGCTGTCTCCCAATTGGCGGTTCCCCCCTCCTTCTCCCCCGCTCTCATTCTCATCAGCCTCGCCTCAAGCTCGCCCAGCATGACGTTTGCAAAAGAGATTCACACCTTCCACTCGGGCTCCGTCCAGGCCCAGTCCTCCGACAAATCAAAAACATTTGCTTCCATCGATCCCAGCACTGGAAAGCCCCTCGCCACCATCTACACAACAACACCCGACCAGCTCAATGCCGCCGTTGCCTCTGCCCACGCCGCCTTTCCCACATGGTCCCAGACACCGGCTCCCGCCCGCGCAAAGATCCTCCTGCGCGCCGCCGCTATCCTGCGTGAGAGAAACGATGCTCTGGCCCTGACCGAGATGCTTGACACCGGCAAAGCCTGGTCTGAGACCTCTACTGTCGACATCGTCACTGGTGCCGACGTCCTCGAATACTACGCACACATGGTCGCCGGCGGCATGCCCGGCCAAAACACCAAGCTCCGCGCCGACGCCTTTGTCCTGACGACCCACGAACCGCTCGGTGTCTGCGCTGGCATTGGTGCCTGGAACTACCCGATTCAAATCGCCCTGTGGAAGTCGGCTGCCTGTCTAGCCGCTGGTAACTGCATGGTCTACAAGCCCAGCGAAGTGACGCCCTTGCACGGCAACACCCTCGCACAAATCTATATTGAGGCCGGTCTACCTGCTGGCGTCTTCAACGTCGTCTATGGCGATGGCGTGGCCGTGGGTGCTCCTCTTGTAGCTCACCCCGACATTGCCAAGGTCAGTTTCACTGGCCAGGTCAGCACGGGCAGCAAGGTCGCGAGCCAGGCGGCCAAGGACATGAAGGGCATCACCATGGAGCTCGGCGGCAAGTCGCCCGTTGTCATCCTACCCGACGCTGATGTTGACGAGGCTGCTGACATTGCCATGGCTGCCAACTTCTTCTCTACCGGCCAAGTCTGCACCAACGGCACACGCGTCTTCGTCCCGGACACACTGCTCGCCAAGGTCGAGGCCGGCATTGTCCAGCGCTGCCGCGAGGGTATCCGCATGGGCATGCCCCGTGACGAAAAGACCAACTTTGGACCCGTCGTCAGCAAGCCTCACAAGGAAAAGGTCGACATGTACATCCGCCACGGCAAGGAGGTTGACCGCGCTCAGGTCCTCTACGACGGTGCTGTCGACGCTCAGCGCAGCAAGCCTACACCCGATGGCTTCTGGGTCCCGCCTATCGTCTTTACAAACTGCAATGACAACATGCGCGTTGTCAAGGAGGAGATTTTCGGCCCCGTCATGTGCATCTTGCCGTACAAGACGCAAGGCCGCAAGCAGGAGGAGTGGCTGCCAGAGCTGGTGGCCCGCGCCAACGATACTCAGATGGGCCTTGCTGCTGGTGTTGTCTCCTCTGATCTGAGCCTTGCGCAGGATGTCATCCGCCAGCTGCACGCTGGTATCACATGGATCAACACATGGGGTGAATCGCCTGCCGAGATGCCCGTCGGCGGCTGGAAGATGAGTGGTATTGGATTGGAGAATGGCGAGGAGGGCATCCGCGCGTACATGCGCACCAAGAGCACGCTGGTGCAGCTTGGTAAGGGCGCTTGCAGCGGCCTGTTTGCGAAGCTGTAGGGGGAATGATTTTTGTACCACTACTTTCTTCTGGCGTTGGGATGACGTTTGCAATTTTGTACATAGGACACCATCTCATATGATATATTTCTACAATTTTGAATACCAAAAAGCGAATAACTTTCTACAAGGTGGATGAGCTCATCATATTTATCTGTAACGTGAGCATTAAAGGGTTGCATGCTAAGTGTATGTTCATTATATTTCTATGTAATGCTTGGTTATATACAGCGCGGGTCTACGTATGCGTTGGATGGCATCAGCTTTTCTACCGCTTCCACAACATGCTTTTTCTTTACAACACGGGGATGTTGCGCTGGAGGTAGCCGCGCCAGGTAGGTCTAGTTCGGCCAAACTTGCCGCCAGACGACTGAATCACATCCTCAATGGCGCTGGCCCACTTGACCAGCTCTGTCTCGGCCCAGGCAGTCTGCAGGATAGCCAGACCAAACGGCATACCCGAGTCGGAGCTGACGCCAGCAGGGATAGTGACGACGGGGTACCCAGCCTGTGCGGATTGCTGGTAGCTCTGGCCGACGGCAGGCGGGACGAGCAGGCCATTGAGCTTCTTGCCCTTGTACGTCAGGGCATCATTGATACCGTTGCGAGACGAGCTCTGGCAGAACTCTAGGGCCTGCTTGTATGTCTCGTCCTTGATGCCCTTGGTGGCAAAGGATGCCTCGAAGCCGTCCTGGCCAGAGTAAAAGGCTGGGTTGCCGCGGGGCCAGGGGTAGCCGCCCTCGGAGCCGTCGTTGTCGTAGTTGTACTGCATGAGGTCGGCAAAGGTCTTCATGTTGGTGTTGGTGAGCTCGGACAGGTAGGCGTTGATGTTGTTGTAAAAGTCCACCTTGACAACGGTGTACTCGGACTGGTTGGCGGGCATCCAGTTCCAGTTCCAGCCGTCGCCGTTGATGATTTCCTGATAGTTTGTGATTTCGGTGCCGTTGATAATGGTGGCACCAGCAGCCTCAACAAGCTTGATGATGTCTGTCAGAACTTGCAGCTGCTCGGCATCGGCGTAGCGCCAGTAGCTCATCCACGGGATGCCAAAAGTGGCACACTTGAGAGCATCCTTCTTGCGGAGGAACTGCGTGTAGCCGCCCTCGGGGGTCTTTCCCTTTTGCGCAGCGGTGTAGTTATCGTGAGGGTCGATGCCGTAGATGGCGTCAAAGGCGTACACGGCGTCGCGGACCGTCTTGCCAAAGGTGCCGACAGAGTCTTGGTGCTCAGACTCGGGGATAACGCCGCCGCGGGACGTCAATCCAACGGTGGGCTTGAAGCCAACCAGTGCGTTTCGTGAAGCCGGGTTAATAACTAGAGCTTGGTTAGTGATTACTGTTGCGCTGCAGAATTTGGAGGCTCGAGTACGTACCACTTCCGTCGGTCTCGGTGCCGAGGGCAAAGGGGATGACATTGGCGCCAACGCCAACACCGCTTCCTGAACTGCTACCGCCAGGGTTCACAGTCAGGTTGTAGGCGCTGCGGACTTGTCCACCACGACCAGAGTAGCCCTCGGAATAGTTGTTGCTGCGCATATCAGCCCACTCGCTAAGGCCAGCTTTGCCAAGAAGAACGGCACCAGCGTCTCGAAGCTTGGACACGACAAACGCGTCTCGGGGGACGATGCTGCCCAGTAGAGCCAAGCTTCCTGCGGTGGTATCCATCTTATCCTTGCTGGCAATGTTGTCCTTGATGGTGAAAGGGATGCCGTGGAGAGGGCCGCGGACCTTGCCATTTTTGCGTTCAGCATCTCGTTCGGCAGCAATGGCGAGGACATCGGGGTTGATTTGCAAGACAGCTCTGTAATCGGGATATTGGATTTAGTTGGCACGCTTGCAATTGGCAGACTGCGACTCACCTGAGGTACTGATCGGTCTGCGCATTTCGCATCAAGTAGCAGAGGGCCAGGTCAACGGAAGTAAGGGTGCCGTTCTTCATGGCATCCTGCATCTGGTCGATCGTAGCCTCCTCCAGCTTGAAGCCTTTGCAGGCTGGCATGGGGAAGAGGTCAGGCGATCCAGCATTGGACTGCAGCGGCAAGAAGGACGCGCTTGTCTCTTGGAATACGGAGAGGTCGCATGTACCAGCAGCAGCAGCCGTAGCTGCGCCAAAGGCAGCGGCGAGACGAAGGGTGACAGAGACCATGGCGACAATTAGCACGATCACGTCAAAGACTCGGACTTGAACGGTTGGTGAAGGAGAAAGAAAGGGAAGCGGCGCCCAGAGACAAGATAAGATGGGATAATTTATGCGGCTCGGAGCAGTACTGCAGGGCTGCATGGCCAACACCACCTGCGCGTGGAGCAGGTTACATTGGGCGGCCACGCCGCAGCGTCTGACGACAGGGGGGCGACAGGTTGGGTTCGTTGGGGCAAATTATCCACTAGAAGCTAATTGGAACCAGTGGCGTATCTATTAGAGGGCCCTGCTACTGGACTGTTGCTGCGGTGGTGGCTAATTTCCACTTGCTAAAGACCGTACTTGGCGTGCGCGGGGGAGAGTAACCGGACAAAGTGGTGTTGTGTTGTTCGGCCAAACTTGAGAAATGTGCCGGCAGGCTGGAGAAGGAGCGGGTTCAGTGGGTAACGCTGCCTGCTTTGGGCGTTTTAGCGTGGGTTAGTGGAAGATGTGGGTGGGCTGTAGCAGGTTATAGTGGGCGGGGATGGCCGATGGGCGCTCTTCAGGGAAGCCTGCTGGGGGCCGGGAGGGCACAGACAGCCGACAGCAGGCCCCTCAACGGCTTTGGCGTTGTTTCAGTGGCGATGTTTTTTGGCTTCTTGGTTTTGCACTCGCTTAGCATGGCCAGGTTTCTTTTTACGGCATCTTGTTGTAGTCAATTGGTTTACAGCAGTTAGAAAAAGCACAACTGAATATACGGTGAATAGTAGCTATCAAGGTTTCTCAACGCATCCACAGACAAGGCTGCAAGGTTGGGAGCTGAGTAAGTTGTAGTGCAGCTACAATAGCAGCAGGCCGTATACAGCAATTACACCGCAGTGGAGTATCAGCCAGAAGCTGGAACAGCACGCCGAGAACCAGGGAAAAGAAATGCCAGCACACTAAAATTGGAAATATTGGAAATAAACCGCGCAATACGCATAGCAGGCATGCACTGGGTGCATGAAAAATTTCAAATACACTGTTCGAATTTACGCACAGAGCAGCCCTTGGCAGCGCCGCACGCCACTCGCACTTAAACATTTTAGCCTCTGAAATTACAGAGGTATATCTCGCCCGAAAGGCACTTTATAGTGGAGTTTCCGCGCTGCTACAGTGGAGTCAGCCGCTATCTGGTGGCGCACTAGCAATTATTTCCGCGCGTCGTGGCAAAGCTTCCAGAAGGCCCAGCGAAACCAAACACCGGCATCGGCATTTTTGGAGTGCCGTTCCAAACAGTTCTGCCACCTGCCGCCAGCTGGCAGCACAACATATGGAAGAAGAGACACAAACGTTAGGAAACCTGGGAAATCCAAAATTTGCAGGATACCACTCAGTTTCACAACAAAACAAATAAATCAAGCTAATAGAAAAAATGCGTTGAGATGCAAAAATGTACGAGGTAATTAATTCGTGACCAGGGGGGATATCTATCGCTACTAATGCAAAGTGATTGAACAAGCAAATGCACAAACAAGACAAAACACACTGCCCCTTCATAATCATCGCCTCAAGGGTGCTGGTTTCGTCTCATGCACATCAAAGTCCATCTTGACATAGATTCCGTCTCTCAAATCGTCTTGATCACTTCCGCTATTTCTCGAGTCGTTCCCGATAATCTGCGTCTCCAAGATGGCATCATGATCCTGGCTATGCAGCGTAGAATGCTGTGGTCGGAACGTCGACAGCCTCGTGCTCCGACTGCGCTGTGTCCGTGAACGATTTCTGTTTTTGCTGTCATAGTAGTCAGACGGCCCTGTGGTAGACTCATCATGTGATGTCTTGTTCAATACAACCCGGTCAAACAACGGCTTTGCTCCGGGGACGGACAGCGCTATTAGTGTTGCCCCAATCTCCGAAACTTCAACACCTAACATGGGGTTGTAAGACCACGACTGATCTTCCTGCCACTGGCCAAGAATAACCAACACTAAACGTGTGATGGAGATGGCAACAACGCTAGCAGGTTTGTATGTTAGTAAATTGTGTCTTTCAGCTATCGCAGACGGACACATGTACTTACGCAGTTCCTGGTAATAAGATGCAACCCAGCTGAATCTTTCTCTTGCGAGGCATCTCTAATATCCACAGCATGGCAATGGGTATACCAAAGAGCAAAAGGTCGCAAAGCAAAGAGACGCTAGAGTTGACACTATACACGAGGCCCCATTGAAGGCATGTGTACTTGTCAGCGATGGGTTCCCACCCATATGGCCAATATCCAGTGACTGGACTGCAGTGGAAAATAAGCAAAAAGACTTGCGGGAGAAAGCCGGCAATCAAAATCCCCAGTACAATCTTGATGGCGAAGAGAAATCTGTCGTGGAGTCCGCAGATGCGGTGATAAAAAGCGAGACCCGAGATGCGGCAGAGCAGCAAGGCGACGGTGTATATAATATGGGCAACATAGTCAAGTACCTGTGTCTGTAACACGGTATCGACACTGAGCACATAACGGATAAAGGGAAAATGGCGTCCTGAGCCAAGGTTGATCAGCTCAATGCACAGACCGACAAAGGCAACAAGGCACATCTAGTATTGGCAACAAATGTCAGAGAAGACGTCTTACTTCTAAACCAGAGATGGGTAGTTTCAGTCAGCACACTTACCATGGACAAGACAGCCAGAAGATCGTCGAGCCCGCATCGTTTCACGATAAGTGTCCGTGACAACAGGCGGCTGCAGACCACGAAAAACGTGATGGCTGTGACGATTATGATTGCCGTGATAGTCTGCGAGTCTCTAGATTCGTAGAGCAGCGTCGGATCCACATCCGCAGGCACTTTGCCCTCTTGGATGGCTTTGGTAACTCGAGAATCTGACATTTGGGTAGAGGAGCGTGGCTCGAAACACTCGGAATGGTGGTGCGGTTACAAGCTTGGCGGTGCGCCCATCTCTTCGGAGGGAAGACGTTGCAGTATTTCAACAGATCGCCCGACCGGCTATCGCTACTATGCAAAGTAGATGAAACAGGAGGAAAACAAAAAACTCTTTAAGCAACAAAAAGGAGGGCGGCGAATTAAATGGTGGCGTCGCAGAAGGACCACGCCTTTTCTCCAGTCCATCTCCAGACGAACTGGGCGCCCAGTCGCGCTACCGAACCTGCAAGGTCTGAATCGCCTATCGCACGCACGCTGTCTTCCATACATGACCCATGCAAAAGGCGCTACTTCGGGCCTGCCCTTCCCACCAACCCACCGGAAAAGCCTGCATCCTCGCACGCTAGTGGGCTGGCTCCAGCGCGCAATCGAGCCCGTGGGCCCTTTCACCAACGTTTCTCTGGCGGGCGGGCCCAAACTAAATCTTTCGTTTGACCTTTTTCGGCATTTGCATCCCCAAAACCAGGGGGGCTCTTTACTCCGCCAAAGCAGGTCCCAGCTGGATGGCACGCATAAGGCAGCCTCAAAACAGCGCACTCCACAGCGCTCCGCTGCGTCCTTTGTCCGGCAGATGAGCTATGGCCGCTCGTTGGCTCCCACTGTTCAGCAGTGTCGCTTTCATGTCTCGGGCTGATGCTTAGTTGTTGCGCCGCAAATGGAAAGCTCAAAGTCCGCCAACCTGAGTCATGTCTACAGATGATGGTGCCTAGACGTGCTACTGAAAAGGACGCTAGAGGCCTGAATCGCCAGATGCTGTTTGCTCCTAATTGATCGCAGCTAACAAGTTACTTCCAAAATAGTTTGGGAGACCCTTGCAACCAAATCGAATGATAACTGTTTGTATTAGTTACCCACTAACAACGCTTTTCGTCGGAGGCTTTCCGCGCTGTGGCTCCCATTAACCGTCGGCAAATGCAGGGCCAAATCCGCTTGGAGAACGCCACTAATGCAACAGCTGAAAGAACTGTCGGTATCAACCAAGTCTATTAATTGCCCAGTGGTCAGCCAAGCGAGCATAGGCCACCCGTGTGGCTTTTACGCCCGTTTTCTTACATACAGACAGAGAGGGTTCTAAGCCAACGTTGTGTCTACTTTTGGTGCAATTAGTCTACCTACACAGCAACTAGCCACTTCATCTTACTCATGCGGAAACGCGCGAGGCCTACTAACACGGCTGCTCCCAGCGCCATCGAACCGGCGTAAAATATGGCTGGGCGGTATGCGTCAAGACCCTTGCTTGCACCTCCATAGGCATCCAAAAGATACCCAGCAATTGGTGACCCCTATTGTAGAAGACGGGATTGTTAGTATGAAATCTGCCATGCGACTCGTCAGGTTGCATCATCCAATGTCACTCACCATCAGGTACCCTCCTCCCCAGCCCGTGACAATCATACCCATGGCGACGGACACCCGTTGGGATCCAAAAACGTTGCCCACCACCGTAGGCATGACGGAGAAGAAGCCACCATTAGCTACGCCGTTGATAATCACAAAAATTGCTAGCGACGCGAGCGACGTCGACACAGGCCAAATGACAAGCATAGTTAGGGCGTTGAGCGCCAAGCACAGGAACAGAGTATTGAGAGCGCCGATGCGGTCACAGAAGACGCCACACAATACACGACCGACTGCCGAGGAGAAGTTGAATCCGGCAAGCAGCCCGGCGCCGGTAGACGACGAGAGGCCGACGGATCGTGAATACAACGGAATAAAGAAGGGCGGTACAAGCAGCGGGAATGTAGCAATGGCGCCTGCAGCAAAAATAATAAGAAACTTGCTATCCTTGAAGAGCGACCTACATAGCACGGTTAGCCTGTATTGCTGTATACATTCACACGCATTGTCACGATTTCAGCTTACCAGTCAATGAAACCGGCGGTTCTCGGTGGCACACGCTCCTTGACAAGCCACGCGGCAGGAACTCCGGTGAGCAGAGTGAATACTCCCAGGATTCGATATGTCCACTCTGGCCCAACCTTTTGGATCATGGCCTCGAGGGCGAAACTAGTGACTGCGCCGCCAAGGCCGCCTCCCGCAAAGACGATACCGTTGGCGAGACCGCGCTTACGGCTAAAGTACTGTGCGGGCGTTACCGAGACAGTAATGAAGCACAGACTGATTCCAAGCCCCAGAAGAACTCCACTGGTCATAAACAAGCCTGCGACGCTGTTGAGCGCAAAGCTGCTCAGAATCTCTGACAAGCTGAGAAAGCAGACGCCGAGAACGCCGGTACGCTGGGGCCCAATAGCGCAGACCACACGAGCATTGATGATGGCCATGAAGGATATAAACGCAATGGCTATGGAGCCAATATACGACAGTGTTGCAGGCGACGAGAAGCCCTTGGCCACAAGTGCATCCTGAATCACGCCCCAGCTGTAGCTTGTGCCAACAAACTACATCCGATCCCATTAGCAAAGCACGCTGGCTGCTTCCGTTTTATCAGTGACTTACATGCCAAGTCAATACAGCACAGCCTGTAATGACGACCCATCCGTATCCGCCATCCGGGACCTCTGCATCAGCGGCACGCGACGCCTCCAAGATGTCTTCTGTCGACGACGACGCAGGGTCCTCGCGTCTCGCGCTAGCGGTAGGCGCCAGAGATGCATTCTGCGGAATGGGCTGCAGCTCAACTGCCGTGGTAGCCATTTTCTTGCAGCAAGCAGGTGTTTTAATCTGTTCTTAATTAACAGGCGTACTATGAACAAGGTTTTTCATGCGGGGGCTGCGATCTATAAAGTGAGCTATTCTCCCATTACTAATATCTTCCAGCGCCCTAAGATTGACGCCTAGTGGAGTAGAGATACAATACTGGGACCTGCATCAGCGCTTAGCCTTGCCACTCTTGTCGCGTTATCCTGTATTCCACCTCGCCGAGCTCAGTACCTGGGATGGGATCGTCAAATTCGAGGTAAAATGTACGCACGTACTTTAACCCGCACGATGTCATAGTTGCCCGCGATCCAGCATTGATGGCCATTGTTTCTGCCGTGATTTCCAACAGTCCGACATCTTCAAAGGCGTGGCGTATGACTTCCTTGGCGCCTTCTTTGGCGAGACCCTGTCGCCAGATTTCAGGAAGCAGACGATATCCCAAAAGACCGGTTTGCCTACTGAATGTTCCATCTTCTGCTTTGATTGGAGCAACAGACCACCAGCCGACCAATTTGCCGTCCATGGATCCCGCCCATACTCCAAGCCCAGGGATGGGCTGGCCTTGGCTCATTCGCTCGCGGAATTCTGCTGTAGCTTGGTCCGCGGTGTGCGGCTTGGTGTCGATAAACTGCATCACCTCGGGGGATCCATTGAGACGGATGATGAGCGGGAGATGCTCCTCTGTAAGTGGTACTAGCGTTAACCGGGTAGTTTGTAGAGTAGGCTGCATTGTTTTTAAATGTTTGTGGAACAATACAGCTTAGAACGCACATTGCGCAAAGGTCGAGTGGTGCTTAGTCGTCTAGTGAGTCACGCCGCAAATAGCGCAAAGGTTCAAGAACAGTAAGTATAAAGTGATAAATTATTATAGAATATGTAGAAAAATATAAGCGACCAGGATTAAAACAAAAAGGAACCAATATCCAAAGAAAATATTATATCAAATGATAGACAAAATATGGTTGTTGTTTTTAGGCACTGTTGCCATTGTTTGAGCCATTGCTGGCAGCGGACTCCGTCTCGGTCTTCGCATTGGCGGCTGTTTCGTCAGTCTTCTTCTCTGTCTTCTTAGCCCAGGGTAGCTTGAAGTTCTTCAATCCACCACCGCTCTTGCGGACACGGAACATGTAGTAGATGACGACAGCCATGAAGATGTTGAAAACGACATAGACCCAGACAATGCCAAAGTTGCGCCAGCGCTCACTCCAGAAGATCTTGGATGAGGCGAGGAAGTCGTCAGCAACATTGAGAGGGCAGAATTCGCAGCCAGATGTAGCATTCTCGGTTCCAGGAACCAAGTGGCCAGTGGCGCTAGATGAGCCGCCATTGGCAGCAAGCTTCTGCGCAATAGATCCAAAGTACTGCTGGCAAGTCATGCCTGCAGGAGGGTCAAAGGGCGTGGTCTCGCGATCAGCACATTGCACTTGGCGGCCATGGAGCTCCGCAGCGACAATACCGCCGATCCAGTAAGTGAAGGGACTGGCGCGGTACATGAAGATCCAGAAACCGGGGAGGGCATCGGGGGTCTGCAGCACACCGCTGAAGACGATACTCATCATGGTCAGGATGACGACGATGGCGGCGGCAGTGTGGGCATCGGGCATGGCGACAATTGTCATGTGGGCAAAGGCGCTGGCGTAGATGAAGAGCTGGATGATGAAGAGAAGCACGAGACCTTGGCGCTCAGAGTCCTGGATGCCAACAACGGGGTAGTAGAAGCAGGCGAAGATGAGGATACCGGTGATGATCTGGTACGGGAACTCCACGACAATATTGGCAATAATGAAGGCTTTCCAGGAGTACGCTTTGCTGGGGCGCTCGCGGACTTCGTAGAGAGATCGCTGGGTGACGAAGAGGGGTTGAATCTAGAGGATGGTTAGTAAGGAACGGTAGATACAGTGTTAGTGGTGGTGGACGTACCTGTTGGACGAGGGTAGAAAAGATGGTGGTGACCATGAAGACGGAGAACAGAACAGTCTGCATGCCAGCGATAGAGCCCTTGGCATCGTAAAAGGTAAAACCGATAAAGAGACCGGCGGCGATACCGAGAGCAAACTTGGCAAACACGTAGCTGGGCATGCGCCAGTATTGCTGGAACACACGGTGAGTGACGGCGGCGAGCTGGCTCATAAAGGGCATGGCAAACTCGTCGTGCTCGTGGGGATCGTCACCTCCCGAGACGGCAACGTGCTTCTTCTCCTCATGGATGCGGTCCAACTCGGTAAATGTAGCCGTGTATTCGGGACTGTTGTTCCAGACAGAGTGCCAGTCCTGGCCGCTTGCGTTCTTGCCCTTATTAACAACCTCGAGCATGTACTCGGCTGGGTTCTCGCTGTCGCCGCACTTGCGTCCGCCGTTGCGCTCAAAGTATTCGAGAAGGGTGTGGGAGTTTTCGCCAATATCGCCAAAGTAGACGGTCTTGCCGCCTCGGGCAAGGAAGAGAAGGCGATCAAAGGATTGGAACAGAATGGCAGAGGGCTGGTGGACGGTGCAGAGAATGGCTTGGCCAGAGTCGGCGAGCTTGCGCAGGAAGTTGCAAATAGCCCAGGAACTCTGGGAGTCAAGACCACTGGTAGGCTCGTCAAGGAAGAGGAGGAGCTTGGGTTTGGCGGCCAGCTCGACACCAATGGTGAGGAGCTTGCGCTGCTCAACGTTGAGGCCTTCGCCGGGGACACCGACGACAGCGTTGGCGAATTCTTCCATGTTGAGCATCTTGATGACTTCTTCCACAAACTCGAACTTCTCCTTCTTGCTGACAGATGCGGGTTGACGGAGGAGGGCGCTGAACTGTAGGCTTTCGCGGACAGTAGAGGTCTCGAGATGCAGATCCTGTTGCTGGACGTAACCGGTCTTGCGCTGGAAACTAGGGTCGCGAGGCTTGCCGTTGACAAACATGTCGCCAGTAATGACACCCATGGTGGTTCGCTGGGCGAGGACATCGAGAAGAGTGGTCTTACCGGCACCAGAGACACCCATGAGCGCGGTCAAAGTACCAGGTTTGACCCAACCAGAGACATTGTCGAGCAAGCGACGCTGCTCTTCCTTGATGTGGATGTCGTACACGACGTTGCGCCAGGTGAAGATGTCCTTTTGTGGAGGGATCTTGACTTCTTGGTCACCCGCTTCCTTGTTGGCGGCCTCGCCTTCGGTCAGTTCTGGCTTCGCCTTGCCGTCCTTGAGATAGGCGGGAACATGGCCACGCTGGAAGACGAGGGCCTCGGCGGTGCTGCTGGTAGACGAGTTGAGCTCGACTGCCGCAAAGTAGATGATCATGAAGCCAAACAGGAACGCAAAGAGGATACCGAGGTTACGCCAAACATGGCTGTAGTAGTACTCGTAGTTGGCTGCAATGAAGTCGTCACCGTTGACAGTTTCCGCGCCAGCACGGGAGCCAGATACGCTGCAGACGAAGGAGCTGCCGACAGCCACGGCACGAGGCGGGATGAAGGAGGCACAGGGGAATTCTCTACCGTGGAACTCATTGGCGACAAGGATTTCAAAGGCGTAGAAGATGGGGTTGAGCCATCGAATCCAAGAGAACCACGGGTGCATATCGGGAACGGTAATAGTGAAACCAGTGTAAATGACAAGGGCGAGGACCATGACACCAGAGAGCGCCATGGCTTGCGAGACGGTCTTGGTAACGGCAGCAAGGGTGCGGAACACACCGCTCATGACAAAGGTGGACAGGAACGTGATGAGGAAGTAGAGGAAGAACTGGGCTGGTTCGCGGCGGAGACCAGAGAGGAAGTACAGGACCAGGTTGAAGACGGTAGCAGTGACAAACTTGATGGGAATATCCGAGACGACACCAGCTGCTGCTTCCGCGGCCGGGTGGTAAAAGGCATACGAAGCCTGTTTTTCCACGATGGGTCGCTGGGCATACAAGCTGTTGATTTCGGAAATCGCCGTGAGCGCATTCATGAGAATAGCCATGAAGAGGACGGAGCCCTTGGCGTAGAAGCCGTCGGTGGTGTCAGGCGTGCCGTAGAAGATACTACCAATGATGAGGGACATGACCAATTGACTGGCAACAGTGGCGCCAGTGGCAGCAATATCTCCCAGAATACGCTGGTAGGCGCGCTTGGTAAGGGCCAGAATCTGCAGACCAGGCGTAAGGAGGTAGGATGACTTGGGGCGCGCGTGTTTGGCCTGACGCAGGTTCTTTTGCTCGCGCATGTGGGTGACAGACTGGGTCTGAGATTCACCAGAGTATTCGAGATCGTAGACATCCATTTCCTTCTTGAGCATGGCGTATTCCGGAGACTGTCTCCAGGCGCGCTCAAAGTCCTCGGGGGTACGGGGAACCTTGCCCTCCATACCTTCCTTGGCCTTGCGCTCAACGGGGTTGGTGACGGAGGTGAGGAAATCGCCAGTCGTCTGACGAGCCGGGCAGAACCAGCCCTGCTTCTCAAAGTAGCGCTTGGCGCCATCGGCCGGGCCAAAGTAGATCTGGCGACCTTCGTAGAGGACGACAGTCTTGTCAAAGAGGTCGTAGATGGCCTGACTGGCTTGGTAAATGGCAACAGCACTGGTCTGCTGGATAACATCGCTAGCCATACGGAGCGACTCGACAAACTTGAGCGCAGTAGCGGAGTCAAGACCGCGAGTACTGTTGTCCCATGCAACAAAGGGCGAACCAGCAAGCACCATTTCGGCAATGGACACACGCTTTCTCTCACCACCAGACACGCCACGAACAAAGTCGTCGCCCACCTTGGTGTTGTAGGTGTGGGAGAGGCCAAAGACGGCCATGACAACCTTTGTGATGTAGCCAATGAGCTCCTTGCGGGTCATACCGTGGGAGTCGCGGATGGCAGCACGAACAGTGGCAGCAAATTCGAGGGTTTGACCAACGGTAAGATGAGGGAAGTGCTTGTCCACCTATTCTTTGCGTTAGTCATGTTGTAACTGGGATAGGGATCGTAGCCAAAAAGAACGCACCTCTTGGTTGTAAATGGTCTCGCCTCGGAATTCCTTAATCATCTGCTTCTGGGGAATACCGTTGTAGTGAATCTTGGTCTTGTCGCCAACCATCAAGCCATGGAGCTCGCCACAGAGAGTCTTGAGGAAGGTGCTGCAGCCAGAGCCGGGGCGGCCAAGAACAACAAGGAGTTCTCCAGGCTTGACAACACCATCAAAGCCGTGGAGGATCTGCTTGTGGTCATCCTTCTTGAAGCTGAACAACTCGCCAATTCTGGCGGGAGCTGTGGCAAAGGAGCCAACTGTTTCCTGGAGTTGGATGGCTGAGCCAGATCCGTAGATGTCGAGGTCACGGAAGCAGACGCCGGTCCTCTTGGAGGAGAAGCCGTCATCTAGAGACTCCTGGAAGAAGCGACGCACCCACTTTTCAATGTCGAAGTTTTCATTCTCTGGGTTGTATGCGGCATCTTCGTCAATGGCCTCTAGCGCCTGGGGCTGCTGCTGAGGATCATAGGCCACGCTAGAGCGGCGCTGTGAGAGGATGGAGGCGATTCTGTTGAGCTCTCTCTTGTCCTCGCTGTCCATGATGGACTCTGTGTTGCGGCGGCTGAGACTGTAGCCCTGGGGGATGCCATTGTCATCCGTATCATCGTCATCATTGGGGATGGCAACGGGCTGTTCGATTTCGTCGGCAGTTCTCTCATGGGGGACAGAGAGGTCATTCTGCTGGTGCTGTTGATGTTGTTGGTTAGTAGTGGTGGACGCCATGGTTGCGTGTAAGCGGGCTCATATGAGCATCCGCGTGTGATCTGCTTGCAGGTGGGATTGGCAACGTCAATGCAAGAGACGATTGATGATGGAAATAACAAAAAGGAAAAGAAAGAAGAAGCTTTCCAAAAAGCAAACCAACGGAATGAGGGGAAGTGGGAGCTATTTAGCTTTAGCGGGCAGGGGAAAGGGAAAATACTACCATGCCGGCTGCCAGGTGTGTGCCAGGTGCCGCACATGTCTGGACACACGGTGCGAGATGGGCAGCTGGAACAGGTGGAGCCGCTGTATTTTGAGTTTGGGGGCTCCACTGGGCAGAGCAGATAGCGCGCGGCACACAGCAAATTCCGCAAGGCCGCCGCCTGCAAGCGTCAGTGGAGACTGCGCGATAGTGCCAGAACACGCACTGTGTAGTATTGGGAGATTTGGTATGGGGGCCGTCCATTCCGGATACGATGCGCACACTGTATTGCTCTTTTGTTTTGTTACCTGTTATATTATTATGATTCTTTTGTTTTTGCTGGAAGCGGCCAAACCCACTAGGTAGAGTTTTGTGTATTTTGTGTTTCCTACACAGACCCTTGATCTCTCTATCTCTACATAGCATTAGCTAGCTCTCTGCACATAGCGTAGCAGCCAGCCCTACCACCAACATACACGCGGAGCTGCACTGCACTGTTTTTGTCCGCTTGTCGTCATCGTCTTTTTTCTTGTCCCACCGCCTCCGCCTTGCGCCTCCTTCTGCTGCCCTGTCCAATGGATTAGTCCAATTGCTTTAAAAAGAAAAAAGGAAATCGCACTCTTGGCGGACGCCGGTGCTCCGCTGCAAGCAATCGGCGCATCAAGCGGCGCAGGCAACGCAAACAACAGTGCCCCACAGGCCATAGCGACAGGATTTTAGCAGAGCTCCGTGCTTCCGGTTTAGCTGCGCTTCCCGCGCGGGAATACAAAACGGTTGGCCCGGCGCTCCTGCTACCCTAGGGACAGATACGTGAATGGACAAAAAGAGAATAAGAAAAGAAACGAGGATAAAATTTCCAGATAAAATATATTGTTCTCTAGAAAATTATCTTTTTTCGGTTTAGTATTCCTGTTCATCCAATTGGTGTGCCGTCTCGGAAAACAATGCGCCTCCTCCATCAGCCGATAGCTAGTCTTCGCTAGCCACAAAACCAATAGCGCCTAACACTAGTACGGTAGCGCCGCCTCAGCGCATCCCTACAGTGCCATTGTTCGTGCATCGACGACGTCACTCCGACTACACTAAGCTATCGAATTCGAAGTTTCCATTTAGCGAGCTTCGGCCACAGGCGGCTATTGCCCCCTAGGGTTGTGTTTTTATGTATAGACAAATATGCTACCAGCTATGACCTATACTTGCACCAACCACATGTTCGCCTAAGGGTAGCAGAGTGTACATGGCAAAGGGAATAGCTGCCTACTGGTAAAAACGGATGGATGCATATTCACATGCATATTTTTGTCTCTTCAAACAAATTTTGCTTCTAATTTAGTAGATACCTAACCCAGCGCGTATAGTAGATTGCTTCGCCGCGTCCAGCAGGGTCGGCACAGTTGCACTCCGACCACCGACACTGTCCTCGTGGCGCAGCATTATCGTCCAATCCACGATGGCCCGAAAAAAATAAAGAAAAATGAGCAAGAACAGTAATAGCATATTGGGCAGGATGTACAGTGGCACACGCCACAAGATGTGCTGTTTTGCTTCTTCCTGGGCAACCTTCCAGAAACTCCGCGTACCCGACGCCGATCTTGCCATGCCGCCCAACACAACTGCTAGTACGCGGACAATAGTTCTCAGGGCTGAGGGATCTGATTAGTTAGTGGCGCTTAGTCAGTGCGTAGCTGAAACGATGGATAGGATAGACCTTTCCAATTTGCTGGTTGTGAGAAGCCATTGTGCAATTACAGCTAACGCAGCACGCGGTTGCTAGATCTAGCACCGAAAGGGCCGCGTTTATTCTGCCCCCCTTCCTTACTTTACGGCTTGCTTCCACAATGACATGAACCCAGGGACATATTACGTGATGGCAAAAGCAATCCATCAAAAAGGCATGCTCACACGTCCGCCACTTGTGTTTCAAAGGTTGCCTGCGTATCGCCAGCATGATGTAAGCGGCATCTGTGTAAATGATAGCTCCGTCCTCCGATACACAGCTCCGACTACTCAGCCTCGCCACAGAAGCCAAAAGTCCACCTCCAATTAGCTCCATAGAATGACGCAGCCTTTTCTAAACATGAAAATAACGACAAAGCAAAGGCGGACAATGGAGATAAGACCCCTTAAGAGTCCGTCCGCGGCCCCGGCCAAGTCCAAGCTCCCGAGCCCGAAGGCTGCCCCGACTGGACCCACTCCCGCCCCGGCCCATCCGCCGTCCGCCAATCTGACACCATCGGCGCCCGGCAGTTCCGCGGAATCTCCGCCATTGCATCAAAAAGACGTACGTCTGTACACGTCACAGATTACGACAATGGACGAGGAGAACGGATAAAACGAGAAGAGGGGAGAGGTAGTCGCCAAGGTCACGAAGTAAAAAAGGAAACGAGAAAAACAAAGCGAATAGAAAATAGACACTCACGGACGGGGAACACGGTACGAAGAGCACCTGTTTTACATCAAGAATCTATAGGATATTGATAATGCTTTCTACTCACTAATCAATGACGGTGAATCCATTTTCGCGAGCAAATTCCCAGATGAGAGCCTTTTTCTCCTCCGCATCCGGCAGTTCTCGACCATAATACGATGAGACTCTCACCTCCACCTCGACCTTGGCCAGCCGCGGCAGAAACTCTTGTCGGTCCTCCTGAAACCCTTTAAACAACACCTTCATTATTTCAAAGTCACAGACTGGTACCACGAGGCGGAACGACTCGAGGCTTGGCGGCAGCAGGAGGGTCAGCGGGCGCAGGGGATCAACGGTAATGCCATCATCTTCCCTCGAGTCCGCAGAGTCACCTCCAATGCACGCAATGCCATTGACGAAAAAGACGGTACTGAGTTCCATATGCCTCAGCACCTTGAAGCCGTGCATGCGCTGGCGGATAACATAACTGTCATCGCTCACGTAGCCAGCAGCAAGGACGAGCGTTTCGAGCGTGGACCCCAGTTCGTTGGCCAGGTCCCGAACAAAGCCATTGACGTCCCAGTAAGAGCCATGCTCATCCTTCATGGAATACTCAAAGTGCAGCGTCTTCAGGCGCTTCATATGGCGGAAGAAGAGTTCGCTAGCGCCTGCCTCCATGTTGCACTCTTCTAGTCTCATGGATTCGATGTTGGGCCCGAGGACGGGATATCTCGCGCACAAGACTCGACTTTTTATGTCGTGGATATAATATGCGTAGGGAAAGTAGTCCTCGGGGCCTTCGTAGTCTTGGACTGATTCTTCGTCTTCAGAATAGTACGAATCGTCATCATCGTCATGGTCGTCGTCCTGTCCTGCGCCATCTTCGTTGGCATCATCTTCACTCCCGACGTCATCATCATCTGCCTCGTTGCCTTCAGTGCCACTGTCCTGGCCCTCACCATTGCCAGCGTCGTCACTGTTTTGACTGTATTGCCCATTATCCTCATTTTCGATATTTTCGACGCCGTCTTCTGCGCCATTCTCAACTGCCTCTTCGTTGTTGTTTTGAGGAGCATCATCTTCCATTTTTGGCGGGTCACAGTATCCATATGCGTAGTGCACCTCACGTAGAGACTTCAGAGCAAGAAACGGCAGTACTGCTATCATATCCACACCAAACTGTGTATCTACATCCCTCATCGGATGTAGGACGCGCAGTTTAGACAGTGGCTCCCCCACGAGAGTCTCATCGTTGGCACGTTCCACAAGCAATGCCATGAGATCGCGGGTGCCACTCTCGAATCTATCAAGCTGGGCATTTGCAGGCTCATGCCACCTGTGGCGGATATCTGGCGCGGCGGTACCAACAACCCAGTCTCCAGAAAGAGCGATTGATTCGAGATTCGGCAGCAAGGACAAGAGAAATACGAGTGGTGCGTCCACCACGAGGGTCTCACGATTCTCGCTGTTCATGTGCTCAAATAGCTCTTGCGCAAAGTCTGGGTAATCGATAAGCTTGGCAATGTGAGTCGATTCATCAATCAGTTTGCGTAAGGCGTTAGATCCATCCTCCATATTTTGTTTGGCACTGTCTTCGATTTCGTGGCCGTAAGGCCTCAGTCGTATTCGATTGTTTAAATCGAGATGCACAATGTGCTGGGCAATCTCCGGATCCGCCGCAATATGGCAGAGAAGCTCTGGAATAGAATGCGGTATGCCTACACCGGTTTCTACAGTGTGGTATCGCTTCCGCAGCTGGTATTGGCGCTCGCTCATGGCCTCCTGCGCAACGCTAAGCATGTCTCGACATGTCAGAGCGAGGCCTTCGACATCATATGGCGCCATGCCGCGCATAAGGTATAGCTTCAAGTCGTGGGATAGTGATACGAGAGCCATTATGAGCGTGAGTGGCTTGCCACATTTGTCTGATGGTTTTTTTCCTGTGATGACGGCGTCGTCTTGTGGGCGAGGCTGTGGTCATTTTTATAGAAAGGGGCTCTGCCAAGCGTGGGGTGGATTGTGCGCTAGGCAGAACATCGTGAATGTTGACCGTCGTTTCTTTGTAAAAGGAGTGGCCGAATGGAAATCGTAGCAATTCTTTGGGAAATCAGTGCCGAGCGTAGTAGTTTGAGCCACGTGTTAAGATATCCGATTCACGAGCTGACAGTATATCACTATGTACCTTGGCGGAGAAACGACGGAACGGTATCCCATGCATCGCTTCGGCCCGGTCCATACTCTTCATCGCCGCATCAATCATCTCCTTCACTTGGTCACCATAGGCAGGGCGCGCTGCGAGGGTCTCCTTTCTCCAATCCCCCCAGTCTTCAGGACGCATCTGCATAGCCTCCGAGACCCTGGTTTTCGGAAAGCAAGGCTCGTGTTGAATGTTGGTCAGCATTCGTTCGGAGCCATGGGTTAACCACAGGCACCAGTTCCGTATACGCCAGTTCTTAATCTGTGAGCTGTAATCTGGGTTTTTGAATACGTCCCGAAAGTCGTGCAGTGCCCAATATGTGAAGTCGGTGGCCGGAGCTCTTGGGTTCGAATAAGGCACTTCGGTTGCAGTGGCAAGACGCGCAAGAAAGGTGACAAGGTTTTCATTCCGTTCAAATTCCTTAGGTGGAAGTGGGTTGCCCCTGTAATCCTTTCCACCTATAATGACATTAGTACGAATTATCGAGATCTGAACGATGAAGTGAATACTTGCCAAAACCATCTCGTCACTACCAACCCATCCAAGCATTGGCAAGTCGCTCCACACAAATCAACCCGCTATTTCGAGCCGCTCTCCCGTTTCTGGGTCGTCCAACTTTATCTTTTGTAGCTGGATCACAAATTGGACGAGCTTATCGAGCTTTTCTACTTCCGAGGTTCGTCTTGCAACCTCGAACAGACAGTGAAAGGCTGCATAGGCCCAGTTCTCGTGGCCACCTTTGTAATATAATGTTTCCTCCGCTGTATGTTCAAGGAAACTTGCCACTGCAGCACTGGGTGAGACTTCGGAGTCGTTAGCCAAGCTCGTAAATAGCTTGACTTGAAACAAGTTGTCGAAGTCGTCATCCCAGCGGTCAGGAACATCGTCCTTATCGAGTGTTTGTGAACTGTCCATTTGTAATACAAAGCTTTTGGAAGTATCAATGTAAGAGCTGAAAGATGGTAGAATGCTCACAATGAGAAGTAAGGAGAAATAAAAGAGAAAAAAAAGGGATGAAAAGGACAGCGGCATGACACACGCCGAAGGGCGGCTGTGCGCCCGCGCCCTCACTTAAGCGCCCAGCCCAACAGCCTTGTCTCATGTCTAGGCTCCGTGCCAGATCCAAGACGCGCTACAGACTTTCCACCACGGTCTATAACAATTCTGCAACTCTATCGGTAACACCATAGCGAGCTAGGTCTTATTTCCGCCTCTGGGGCCACGGATAAGACAACTCTTCGGAGCATCCCCACCACTGTGACACAGTATAGACGGGCTCTTACCAGACCCAAGTGATGCCTCCAACACCACCCACGGGTGGGATAAGAACACACGGTTTGGTCGTGAAACAATATGGCCGTGTTGGCCAATAGAGTCTCGGATCTCTTGCTCTTTGACAACGTGGTTCCCGCATTGGTAGTTTCCACTGGTAGCTCTACTATGTAACTCAGGGCGAGCTACCGATAGAGTCACCATGGACAATAGGGCAACGTATTCCAGTTTAGGCAGCATAATGTGAGAAGGCTGAAGGGCGATGACGAGTATGCGTTATAGCAAAACCATGTTGATATACAGTACTACTTTGTGGCTTATATACTTTTCAAGATTCTTTCCTTGGAGACAATTTTCATAGATGGATATGAAACCCCCATTTCCAGGGGAGGAGGTAGAGGCGGTGGTAAGGGAGGCAGAGGAGGGCGCAGATCTTAGTTTGCATGAGGTATCCTAGTGTCTGCGTAGTCTTTGTGTTAGCTCTAGTTTAGTTTGACGTCTAGTTGATTTCTGCAGTTTTGGTCTGGTTACCATGTTTCTCCTTAATTGCTCTCAACTCTCTAGTCTTTTCTTTCGTAGCCGAGTTTGCAATGACGCACCAAACCAATCTTTGCGATATTCCCCGTATGCGCGACAAACGCCATTGCTCAGCTTCTGGCTTACCGCATCTCAAAACACGATTGGGCTAGAAGACCGTTGGAGGCGCAACATGCTATTGGTCGATATTTCCAAGCCTTCATAGCCAATCAAAAAATCGAGGCTAACACGGCCATCGAAGCCATGCCCAACGGGAGCTACTTGGCAAATAAAAAATTGGATTATGGATATAGAATTTTTAGCAAAAAAGAAATGCATTATACTTCATTTGAAGTTCATCTTCAAAATATTTTTCAACTATTTATTTAATATATTGGCGACGAATCAGTAAACATTCAACCTGCTACAACACATCTAATTAGGCCGCGTGGCGTGTAAGCGGCTTCTACTGTAGTTTTCACTTGCTAACAGTCTCATAGAAGGCTACCTCCTAAGAAAAAGGCACACTCGGTCGCTGCCCACCCTCGTTCAGGGCGCCTGGGCGGCAGTGTGGTGTGGTAAGCCCGGGGGAATATCTGTGTCTTCATGCGTGGTTTGCAGTGGCGCCACGTTTTGCGAGCCTGGAAACCTCTGTATGCCACACTTGCCGCGTCGTATGAGCTTATTAAATAGGAGGATGGGCTTTTATGTGGCATATAATCTCGGAGGAATGATACCTCCATGGCCAAGCTAGCACTGAACGTTTTGGCTATTTGCCGTTGGACAGACATATCAACAACTGTCAATTAAGCGAAAACAAGGCTTGTAAGCCGGAGAGTCTGAAGCCCAACCGCAGCCCCAGAATCAAACGTGGCACAGAAGTTCGTCCAAGGCGACCTCAGATTTGGACTGCCCAAGCAGCCAATAAGAGGGGCGACTGGATGCTAAATAACAACCAATGACATGACACTGGGCGATGCAGGTAGAAATGGTATCTCTGTTGCCGATGAGCTGGACAAAAAGCGAGGCTGCTGTTGGGCTTGCTTGTTCCTAGAAATATAAAAAGCCTATTTGGTAGCTGTAGTTTCTTAGTTCCCAATCCACCCGTTCTATGCAAAGCATCATCCTTCTGCCATTATGCCACGTCCACTTCGCTGCATTCTCTCTATTACTATTGCTATACGTGTACCTGGTACATCTATATGGAATAGTGGAGTTACAGTAACTCTTCAGTGCCGTTTAGCACCTGCGGTTCTACAACAGGGCGGCCCTGTGGCCATGATGTATCCCGACATTTCCAACCACCGGCTTGGAAGTTTTCGTCAGGTGAGCACGATTTCTATTCACTATCACAATAACAAGATAAATAACACTGCATTCGTTAAATAGGCCGGACTCATACGACCATATACAGTTGTTTTGGCTTTTCGTTGGTTGATTGGCTAGCGACACTTAGTTCTACTATCCTAAAACACACCGCTCGATAAATAAGAAAACCAGTCTATAAAATGTCTTTTGTTTATTACCAAATATATGCCAGAAATAATACCAATTAAACTATGTTCTAAATAACTTTTTCTTCAAGCCTTGCAAAAAGTGAAAATGCCTTACAAGTACTTGTTCTCCTTGACCCATGCAGCAACATCCTCTCTGTCGCGGTTCACCCAGGCCAGGCGCGAGCGCACCGCCTCCAAAGTCTGCTCAAGAGTCTTATCGAAACCGGTAAGATCCTTATCCTTGAAGAAGTCGTTGACTTTAGCAAGGCCATCAGCGTTGACAGCAGACACGAGATAGGTGAGGACACGGGGCAAGGTGCTGAGGGTAGGGGGCAGCTCCTTGATCATGGTTTCCCAGTTGGTGAACAGGTAGTCCTGCATCATCTCGATTCCTTCTCTCGAGGCGCGGAAACCAAGGAGGAGGTTATGAATCTCCGAGTTCTTCACCTCGTCAGTGAAGATCATTGCCAGCGTTCGCTTCAGCAGCTCGGGCTGGTTGGCGCGACCAAAGGCCTTGAGGGCGTCGTTGGCTTCGTCCTCGTTCTTCGTTTTGGCATAGATTTCGCGCAACTGGTTGTATTCCGTCTCGCCACCGTGCTTGAGAGCCAGCGAGAAGACGGCACCACGGATGTTGGCGTGGAGGGCAGACGCGTCGCCAGCAGCGTAGCGAGAGAAGAGGTCCTTGACAGCAGCGATAACTTGCTCGTCGCCAACAGCGCCGGCGGCCGAGAACATGAGAGACTTGTACTGCTGCATCTTCTGGTCGTCGCTGCTAGTGAACTCCCAGCCAATCTGGTGCGCGCGGGGAGCAACAAGCTGCTTCTGGAAAGCGTCGAGGCCAGCCTTGATGGCGGGGTCCTCGTGGATCCAGGCAGAACGGACGCTGGCGATGCGATGGACAAGCGAGCCCCAGACAACTTGCTCTGACTCTTGGTCAAAGTTCTTGAGCAAGTTGAGGAAGCCAGACGTGGGCTGGTAGCCCGAGGTGGACAGCGAACTGGCGTCGGCAATGAGGCCAGCGCGGTCCTCGACTGAAAGGAGGCCATCCTTGGCGGCCTTGCCCAGCTTCTCGAGGCGGTCCGACTGGTAGCAAGTCAGGTAAAGACCAGTCTGGTTGGCGTTGAGCTTGAAAAAGTCGTCGCTGGGGATGGGGAGAGTCTTTTCACGCTCCTGGAGCGCAACTTCGCCGTCGATGCCGTCGGTAGTGCGAATGCCGAGGAAGACGGGGAAGAGAACATCGTCCTCCTCGGGCTTGACATCACCGGTGCGCAAGTATCTGTTTTGCTTGACCGTCATGTTGTTGCCGGACTCGGTGACACTGATGACAGGGTAGCCCATCTTCTTGGTCCAGGTCTGCATAATCTCGGAAACGGGCTTGCCGCTGACTTCGCTAAGAGCGGCCCACAAGTCGGTAGTATCGGTGTTTTGGTAGGCGTGTCTCTTGACGTAGTGACGGACGCCCTCGAGGAACTTGTCTTCGCCAAGGTAGGTGGAAAGCATGCGGAGGACACAGGAGCCCTTGGCGTAGGAAATGTTGTCAAAAATTTCGTTGACCTCCTCGGACTTCTTGATGGGGACCTCAATGGGATGGCTGCTGCGCAGAGAGTCGAGGCTCAGCGCACTCTGGAGAGTGTCGGTGACGTAGCCTTCCCACACCTTCCACTCGGGGAAGAAGTTGTTGCAAGAGTACCAAGAAACCCAGGTGGCGAAGCCCTCGTTGAGCCAGAGACCCTCCCACCAGTCCATGGTGACCAGGTTACCGAACCACTGGTGAGCAAGCTCGTGCTGGACAACTTCGGCGACGCGGAGCTTGTGCGAGGCGGCGCTAGTCTTCTCATCAATGACCAAATCATTGATACGGTAGGTGACCAAGCCCCAGTTCTCCATGGCACCAGCGGCAAACTCGGGAATGGCAACCTGGTCCATCTTGGGGAGAGGGAAGTCGACACCAAACAGCTTCTCGTAGAAGGGAAGAGTCTTGGTGGCAAGCTCAAGCGCGAAGCGACCATGCTCCATGTCGTAGCCAATGGGGAGGTAAACGCGGTTGGGGGTGCGGCCGGTAGTGTCCTCAATGTAGTTGAACTCGCCAATGACCCAAGCCAGCAGGTAGGTGGACATGAGGGGCGTCTTGTTGAAGGTAAGAACCTTCTTGTCGCCCTTTTCCGTCTCCTTGGCCACGTCCATGTTGCTGAGAGCTGTCAGGTGCTTGTCGACAATCAAGGTGACGGTAAACTGAGCCTTGAGAGCAGGCTCGTCGAAACAGGGAAGACATCTGCGGGCATCGGTGGGCTCCATCTGGGTGCTGGCAATCATGCTCTCTGTGCCGTCGGGCTTCTTGTAGAAAGATCGGGAGAAACCAGCCATAATCTTGTTGATCTCACCAGTAAAGGCGATCTCAAGAGTAGCCTTGGAGCCCTGGGGAAGGGAGCCGTCAAAGTCAAAGGTTGTCGTCTGGCTCTCGGCATTCTCGCTGATTCTGGGAGATTCGGTGACAACCTGACCGTTGGAGGAGATCTTGACAGTGTGCAGCTTCAGATCAAGGGTATGGAGGGTGATGGAGCTCGAGGTCTCGGCAACGTCGACGTCGATGGTGACGGTGCCGTCAAAGGTGAACTTTTGCGCATCGGGCTCGATGGTGAGATCGTAGTGGCGAGGGACAACGTTTGTCGGGAGCAGATCGCGCGCATGGACAGTGGTCGAGCCACTGGCACCGTCGAGAGAGCCGCACATGTTGTGTCGTCGGTGAGAGCAGCGTCTGACTTGTGTGGCGGAGGTGATGCGCTGCGGGACAAAACGACGTCGCTGGTGAAGCTTTGTTCTGTGAGGAGGAGGAGGAGTTAGTTTGTTGTGTGCTTTCTCTTTGTGTATTTGCAATTCCTCGAAGGCGGGGTAAGTGGCAGGAGAAGGTGAAAAGGCGACAAGAAGAGAAATGTGCAACGTGGAGGGGCAGTTGCTGCAGGTAAAATACGGAGGGGCAGCGTCGTAGTGGTGGTGCGACTAAGAAAAAAATATGCCGACGATAGTGTGGGGAAGTGCGCCTACAGAAGGCCTACAGAAGCCTTCTCCCGCTGTGGTGCAGTGGAGTAGTGGTGGACTTACCCTGCTGGGCCGCTACAGAATGAGCGCTGTGCTTGTGCTGGTGATACAAAGGGGGTAACGGCGGCGCGGCGAGGATGTGCGAAGGATGGCGCAACAGAGGCAATTGATTGTTGTGATGTTTTGTAGCAAATTGTCCGGTAGGCAGAGCACAATGACCGGCCGGACCGGGAGGCCATTGCCGCGCACGAGGAAGCCATTTGCACGCGACCAGCGAATCGCGCCTTGTTGCGTGCAAAAGATCCTTTTCTGGTTGGCGACGGTTTCCGGCGGCGCAGCATCCGTCGGAAGCACACGTGACTGTCGTGACTGAGGCTGCCACAGGCCAATCTCGGAAGCTTGAATCAGGACAACTGGTTGCCCAATTCCGAAGCAGATTGTGCTCGAAATAAATGAAGAAAAATTGCAAAAGATTGATATGAGTCTATGGGAATAATTTCAGTCTTGCATCTATAAGTATTCTACATGGCAACGGTTCTGCGTGTGTGGGGTTCTAAGTAGTGTAAGAAACCCTTTTGCTCAATGTGGAAGGACTAGAGGGTGTATTGCATTTTGCCGCTCGTGAGTCGAGACGGCATTGGCAAAATAAATTGTTCCCCAAACCTATGATATTTGTCTCTTCTTAAGCAGCACATGCATCCGACTCGCGTGCCTGCGTTTATGCCACCTACCTTGTTGTAGGGCCATTGCAGGGATCTCAGTTCAAATCACCATATGAACTGAGATCCCTGTCGCCAACTGTGTTCAGAGCACAACTCCCAGGTAACCTGTCAAGTTGCGTTACGGTTGTTTGCCTTTCTTAAGCAGTACATACATGTATTCGGTATGTATGCGACCGGTATACCCGCGGCTAGATCACCTTTTGTCTTAAGGGCATTGCAGGGATCCCAGAGTAGTTTCTGATTTACTCTGGGAACCTGCAGCCAGCTCTTCAGCTCCCCAGATAACCTGTCAAGCTGTGTTGCGGTTGCTTGCGACGGACAGTTTGAGCGCCCGCCCAGAGCACACCAGCCTGGCGCCGGCTACAAGTACAACGTTTTTCCCGTCTATACCTACACACAAGGCATGTCGTAAAATAAAATATGTAAAAAAAGCTCGTAATATGTAAGTCAAAGTGTAGAATACAAAATCACCGGGAAAATCGTTTTTACCCCAACAGCTAATGCTCGTGATCGGCGCCCACCCAAACCCCATTTACAGTTTAAGCCTCGTCCGTGCTTGTTGGCTGATCGACTTCTCCACCACATTGCTCGCCAGGCTGGCCAACTTGAATCCTAAAAAACACCACAAACAAGCCCAGCATGAGTGAGCCACCAGCAAGCACGCCCGAGGTACCGGTGGACGCGAATGGCCTACCAGATACTCTCGGCATATCTAGACCAAGCGATACAGAGGACGAAAAGCGCTATGTAGAGCTCATCGAGGGCGTTGTCCGCGGCACCATAACGCCGTCTGCGGCTGCGAAAGAAATGGACAAGATTGTCCGAGAGTCCAACGACAGAGCCTACGGCAGAGACTTTGAGCGCATCCACTTCAAGTACATTGACCATAGAGACGAAAGAGAGCTGGCGTCGGATGCAAGCACCTGGCAGACCTGCCTCTGGTACTCGATAGGCCGCGCATCCAGCGTCATCCCGGCGAACCACAGCGGCCAGGAGCTGCTCATCCAATTACTCGAAGACTTGACATGTCTACCCAAGCACACAATAGCGTATTTCACGCTCAGTGATGAGGAAATATACGAGGAATTGTGGACGTTGAGCAGAGAGGACGGGTACAGACTATTCCCCGAGTGTCTGACTGTGATTCATAGTGAGTTATTCACGAAGCGCCGCCGTTTTCTTATTCACATAGTATTTGGTACTCATGTATACATGATACTAACCGCAACATCTACAGACGATTTGCTCGATTTCCGCCGAATAGACGACATGGACCAGTCGCGCGTTGACCAAAAGGCCAGAGCAGCCTTTATCAACTTTACAACGCTCAGCGCCAGACTAGTCGGCGCGCACCTCGTCAACGTCCTCATTCTCTCGCCACTCACATCCAAGATCTTCTGGGACAAGCACCAGTCCGTCACGCCCGAATACACTAGCGCCGTGTTAGCTGCTGCGCAGTGGATTCTGCACGCGGGCATCGACATGCTGGAAATGTGTCTGCGCAACGCACAAGACGGCCCGTTCACCTACAGCATGGAGCACTGGGCGCGATGGAGGATCATTTTTCTGGACATTACGGCGCACAATAGCGGCTTCATCCCGGAGGCACGGAGGGCGGCTTCAGAGTCGCTGGAGATTATGACGGAGGCGGAGCTCGATGCAGAGCGCGACGACTACGAAGATGAACCGTCCATTATTGATGCCTTTGGTTTGGAGACGATTGACGACTATACGCATCAAGAAGATGTGCTGGAGGCGGTAGAAGCGTTACGAGGGCTAGAGGTATGAAGCACAGAGAGAGAGAAAGCTGGTAAAGAAGGAAAGGATTTGTGTCCAAGTCATCCTTGAGCTTTTTGTATATATACACACGGACACACACTATATATTGTCATTTTGTCCAAACTTATATCTTTTTGGTTTAGAAAATAATATCACCGCCTTGCCATGCAGTCTGCGCAGGGGGGTAGCTGAAATCGACGGGCATCCCTTCCATCGAGCTGGTTCCGTGTTCCGAGTCAAAGTCCGACGTGGTCAGCACGCCGTCTGGTGCGTACATGGACGCATCGTTTGAAATGTACTGGCCGAGCGAGTCGAGATCGCGCCATGAGAAGCCATTCAAGGCATCGAGCTGCACGCCCATAATATTCGTATCCGTGCTCTGTGTTGTTGCTTGCGACGTGTTGTCGACGTCGGTAATGTTGGTTTTCAGTTCAGTCTCATGTTCTGATTTGTGACCGCGCTTTCCGGGACGCTTGCGCCACAGTAGACGCAGCGAACGTGCATAGCGATGGCCAATGCTTTGTGTGCTGCGAGACGTCTTTTGTAGTTGGTTGATTGTGCCAAGAATGGCTCGTCGCACACCCGATATTGAGTCGTTGTTGATGGCACCTGCAAGCCATGCCTAAAATATACAGGTGAGCGACGATTCGGATAATGGTATGGTAGAGTGTATGAAAACGTACCTTGAATAAAAAGGTGGCGGCATAAATTACAAATAATGGGTATTTCAGCGGCATATATTTCAACCCAGCCACAGGGTCGATAAAGTTGTTGAGTACAGACAGCAGCGAGTTCGCAGCGTCAATAGACTCATAAATGAAGCGAGCATCGGGCGCTGCTGCAAGGTCGGAGAATAGCGGGCCTAGAACTGTACTCTTGCTGGACGAGCTCTTCCGTGACTTGGCTGCGGCACGGTTCAATGTCGCTTGAAACGCAAAAGCGTTGATATAGAGGCGTAGAAAGTCGTAGGACAGGATGAGGGACGCCTTTACTTGTGGTGTGACTAGACATTGTTAGCTTACGCATATGATGACAAGGCGATAAACATACAATCAAAGTTGCCCCAGCTGAGTTTCCATTTTCGAAGAACAGCAGCAAAGTCATCCTAGGTGGGTTAGTTGGGTCAACATACCAAGCACGTCAAGACGGCAACTCACAATATATCTAACATATTCGCCTCCGACGTAGAGCTGCTCCCGATGACTAGTCGAGGAATACAGAATGTCGTGGGCGTTGCTAAAGAGTTGTGTAAGTTCAAGCTGTGCTTGAAACAGGGTGCCGAGGTTGTCGTGGCCCAGTGTTTGTGATTGGAGAGAAGGAAAGTTGGCGGCGCGGAGGTTTGTGGATGGGCCGGGGCCTCTTGACCAGAAACCCTTGCCCAAGCGGATGGATACTTGTCGATCACTCATGTAGCATGCTATGAATAAGTCAGTAAATAAACACGCCACGGCCAGATCGTCGACAACATACCTGCCCACGCAATTCGCTTGCGGGTGAAGCTATCAGACAAGCTGTCCTCCTCATCATGAAGACCTGTCTGTTCCAGACGTTGTAAATATCCAAGACGAATGGCAACTCCAACAAGCATCCAAGCTCCGTGGTCTTCCTTTCCACATCCAAATGTTGAAATCTCACGAGGTGGCTGTGGTGCCCATTCGGCTAGAATAAGAAGGGCCTCCACGGCGCCAACGGTGGCCACGCTTCCGTATATCAGCTGTGACAGGAGGCCTTCCATGTGACTTGAACAAGCTTCGTGCGCACCCTGCCAAGATGGGTCGTCCTTGGATGCAACAATCAGAATGGCCGTAAGCAGATGTGGTTCCTTTTCAATCCACTCTGCCACATGCCCCTCAAAGATGGACTTGTGTGCCACTGGGAAGAAGGGATGGTAATTTTGATGGTAGCTGCAACATGTTAGTCTCTGCATGTACATACGTCACACTCCCACATTCAACTCACTATTGTACAAGCGTATTGGCATTTGCATAGCCCAGTGCCCCATCAGATATCGGCGGGTATCGCGACGACGCCGATGGACGAGAGCCATTATTCTGACCATTCCCATCGCCCTGCCTGGGATGCCGCGACGGATCCAAGTCAGCCACCTGTGCCAACAGATCCAACGCATCCGACGGATTCAGCAGATCATTCGATGCAAGGTGCCCCTCGAGCGCAACGGAACTTCTCCGCGACGCCGGCTGCGAGGGATCAGTCCTCGAGGCCGCCGACTCATCTACCCAGCTATTATCCTGCACCGCAGCAGCCGTAGCCTGCCACGAATCCATGGCCATATTCTGGCGATTCGCTTGGAGCGGGTGCTGAGGAAGCAGCGGGACTCCGTCATCATCCAGCTCCGGGATCTTCTTCTTACGTACGCGGCGACCACCACGGCGCGAGGTAGCCAGGACACACTCACGCTGCTCTTCAATACATCGCTTACAGGGCGGATTCCCCGGCGATCCTATGGAATCACTATGAAACAAACCATGGCTGTTAGCAAGCGATAGGGCGGCAATTCGCGCGGGGGGGGAGGGGAATGCGACGGCGGCAATTGACTCCCAATGGGCTCCATTTTGGCAAATCGACTTACAGATCGCATCGCGTCTTTCGCGAGCGGCACGAGATGCAGGCTCTCGATACCCGCTTGCCCTTGCCTAGGTGGGTCATTTTCGGTTATCAAGGAAGCAATATTGATGATGGAAAGGATATCGCCATTGGGGATTTTTCTATGTGAGGGGGGGCGGCGTTGGGTGCACTAGAAAGAGAGAAAAACAAAATCGGCGATGGGAACGGTTGGGCTTCTGCGTGCGTTTGTGTGGGCGGCGCGGGGCCGGGGTCCATTTGATGCTGGGGAAAGGGGGGTAAAAGTGTGTGTGGGGAGACTGCTGGGGGAATGACTGACTGCCCGGAGCGGGCTGACATGGCGCTGATTCCGGTGGACGCAGGCGCTGTAATTTTTTTTTCAGGCTGCGGGCTGCGAGCAGCGTCAAGCTCAGTGCTGAAAAATGGCCTTACCAGGTTTTTTGGCTGGCTCGGCAATTGACCGAACCGCGCAGCCTTACTCTTTTACCGTACACAGTTAGCAGTGCGATGCGACTATCAAGAGTCAGGGCTGCGAATTGACAGGAATAAAGCAAACAAAAAAGAAAAAGGAAAACACAATGTTTGTTATTGTTGTTGGAGGCGTATAGAAGTATTGTAATCGCTACATCGATAATTTACTGGATATTTTTTTTCATTTCAGACATGTCACTCGCCTACGTTCTACTTCAACCCGCCCGTGATCAACACGTCTTGGCCCGTCATATAACCTGTCTTGGCGAACCTGAAGAATCATCATCCATATTAGCCATGGAATGTTCTGCGACGAAAACAAAGGAAAGAAAAACTTACATGGCTATAACATTGCCCACCTCCTCGGGGATGCCCAAACGGTGGACAGGCACCCCGGCAGCAATGGCCAGGCCGGGATCCTCCGCGGCCATGGCCTCGAGATCTGCGCCGCGCGTCCAAGTCCTGTTTCCTGTTAGTTTTAGACAGAAAAAACAATGCAAACACCACTGACGTATTCTTCGGCGTAGGGATCATGCCTGTCGCCTGAATCATGGCAGGCGAAACCGTATTAACGGTGATGCCGTCCGCAGCAAGGATCGTCGCCAAATTCTTCCCCATGGAGCTGTTGCAGTAGCAGGGTTAGCAACCAATTTCACGACCGTTTCAAATAAAAAAAAAGCAACAACGACTAACCACATGGCACCCTTGGACGCAGCATAGTGACATCCGTTTAAGCCTCCGCCATGGCTCGAAATGCTTCCTACCAGGATCACACGACCCCATTCCTGTTCGCGCATAGAGGCAACCGCAGCCTTGGTCACCACAAATTGGCTGCGGGCATTGACCTCCATGATGGAATCCCAGTCGTCTTCTTCAATGTCCTTGACGTCGCGGATTCGGCGGCCAATGCCGGCGTTGGCAACCAGTACAGAAAGGGCCTTGTGCTTGGCCTGCACGTCGGGATGCACGAGCACATTTGGTACGAGGTTGCGTGTTTGGTCGCGCGCTGTTAAGTCGGCCGGGATGGTTACAAAGAGCTGTGATGGAAACTGCGCCTTGAGTTCGGTGGCTAACGCATCGGCTTTGTCCTGGATTTCTCTTTTGTGAGCTGCTGGATAACATGTTATTACTCCTGGAGTACTTACCTTGCTGGAAGAATAGTGAAGAGCAACATCACAGCCCTCTGCTGCCAATGCCCTCGCACAAGATGATCCTATACCGCCACTAGAGAATGTGAGGGTTAGTGATTGTAGCTATGGCTGAGCCTCCGTTGCTCAGCGTACCTAGCTCCTGTAACCAAGGCCAATCTGCCCTTGAGTGTATTGTCTACTGGTCTAATGGAATATGTGGTTGTTGCCATGGCTGCTACTTCTTTTCTGGTGGCAATTCACGGGATAGAATGGCGGTGCGTGCAATGAAGAAAGTCAAGTTGTCACGCAGAGAGCCGCATGGCAGACGTTTGGCTCAACCCCACTTAGGCTTTGTGCCGGCTGCTGTAGTAATAGTGTAGATGCGGAGACAATTGCCGGCTCTGTAGCCGATAGGGAAACAAAAGGGCGTTTTTGACTCTAAGCCTTATGGTGAAGCTATGATGCACAGCTGAATTGTTTACTGGGGACTATTGAATAAATGCAGGGAGCTGTGCCAAGCCAGATATATTAAAAAAAAGGGAGCGCCGGATGATGTTCAGAGTTTGGTTTAGTTGAGGCGCCCTGTACTTGGTCTGTGCATTGTAGGTTGCAGGTGGCCTCATATATTTTGCATCTGCGGTCAAGAATACCAGAGCCTGACAACTATGATGGTAACGGACAGATTTAGTAGACTAGCTTAGACTAGTGTAATCTATCTGTATTCGTCGCCTGTATTCATCTCGTCTGATTAGTTGAGATAAAGCACTTGACCGGCTACTATAGTCTAGGTAGCGTTGACATTGCAACTACACAACCCAGCCCGTATTCTCCGTTCGGTAATCTCTCCGCCCAAATCCTTCTGGAATATGCAACCTAGCACCGCGGCGCCCCTTTTTTTTCAGGCGGATTGAGCGGTTTTGTTTCCCTGCGGGCTGTGAAGGCTGCTTGTAGCGTGCAGCGCAGTGGAGGCGCATTGGGCGCCACAGACAAGGGAGGGTTCGGCAAATGGGTGAGCAGTTGCCGCTGTGTGTTTTGTAGTGCACAGCTAAGTGCACTGAAGATGGCTACTAACAGCAACAGCACCAGCGCCAGCTAAAATGGGGGAACAAAAAGACAGATAAAATACATAAAGAAACGCCATTCATTGTCTCAATTGCCGCTTCTCAATCCACGGCTGTTAAAACCACCCACTTACCCCAACATCCGGCTATTGAACTCGCCTCCGCGCTGGGCGTTAGGGTGCTGACTCCTCTGTTTTGAATACCCGCAGAGTGGGGGATGCAATCGTAGATGGGCTCCGCCCCTGCGCTATGCTCCAGCCCATCAGTGGCCTGTCGCTAGCCTGAAGCTCTCCACTAAACCCATGCCTACAGCAGCCCACTGGGCCACCTGCTCTTCAGCGGGGGCGAACCCGGGTTGGGGGAAGTGTGGGGGAGGAACGTGAGGAGCGCACTTTTCAGCTACCACTTGGCAGAGCAGAACGCGCTATAAGAATTTGCCATGATCCCCCATCATTTGCTTTCCATAGCATGGGCCTAGACATCGATTACCATCTGCTCTGCGAAGAGACGCCATGACCGATAAACAATCCGCCACTCACAACGAAACAAAGACCTCGCCGCGGGACTCGCGCGACGAGACGTCCATTGTCGCCATGCACGCTGAACACGGCGACAATGCTTCTGGTACTGCTCCCACAGGCACAGGCCAGCAAGTCACGCTCACAGAAGAAGAGAGTCGCCGCATCTGCCGCAAGACAGATAAAGTGATTCTCGCCATCCTTGTCTGGGTCTACTTTCTCCAGATCCTCGACAAATCCGTCCTTGCCTACGGTGCTACGTACGGCCTAAAGGAAGACACACACCTCAAGGGCAATGAGTACTCGCTCGTCGGCTCCATGGCGGCTATTGCCCAGCTGGCCTGGCAGCCGTTTTCTTCGGTGCTCATTGTCAAGGTGCCTCACCGGATCCTGATGCCCGTGCTGTGCCTGGGCTGGGGTATTGCGCAGGCTTGCATGGCTGGCGCACACAACTTTGGCGGGCTCATGGCCACCCGCTTCTTCCTTGGTCTGTTTGAGGCTGGTTGCTTGCCTCTGTTCAGCATCATTACTAGCCAGTGGTACAGACGCGCCGAACAGCCCGTGCGCATTGCCGCCTGGTACGGTACCAATGGCGCTGCGACGATTGTTGCCGCTGCGCTGTCCTATGGCCTGGGACACATCAAGTCTGACCTGCTCAAGGAATGGCAAATGTAAGTCTTTTTGTCCCTTCATATGCGTCTGGAAATTGACTAACCCGCTCGTGCAGCATCTTTCTCTTTGTAGGCCTCGTTACCATCATCTCCGCCCCTTTCGTCTACTGGAAACTCGACAACGATATCCCCTCCGCGCGCTTCCTCACCGAAGAGGAAAAGCCAAAAGCCATCGAACGACTCCGCGCCAACCAGACCGGCACTGGCAGCTCCGAACTAAAATGGGACCACGTCAAGGAAGTTTTTATCGAGCCCAAGACATACCTCTGGATTGCCATGGCACTCCTCCTAAACGTCGGTGCCAGTGTCGCCAACACCTTTGGCCCGCTCATCATCAACGGCCTCAACTTTGACAAGTACACTGCCAGTCTGCTCAACATGCCCTTTGGCGCTCTCCAGCTCATTGTCATCTTACTGGGCAGCTACCTTGCGCAAAAGGCCAAGCTCAAAGGCGCCATTCTCGCCGTCTTTTGCCTACCAGTCGTTGCTGGCCTTGCCATTTTATATTCCGTCCCGCGCGACAAGTCTGCCCAGAGCACGCTTCTCGGTGGATATTATCTGCTTGCTTTCTTGTTTGGCGGCAACCCCTTGATTGTTACCTGGATTGTTGGCAACACGGCGGGCACGACGAAAAAGTCTGTCATGATGAGCTTGTACAATGCTGCCAGTTCTGCTGCCAATATCATGGGCCCCATTCTGTTTGACAGCAGAGATGCGCCAGAGTATAAGCCTGGACTGCGAGCATGCTTGGGCATCTTTGTCGCGCTTGTTGTAGTCATCTTTATCCAGTGGGCAAATCTTTTATTCCTCAACAAGATGCAGGAGAAGAGACGTGTTCGAAATGGCAAGCCCGCCAAAATGGTGGACAGATCGATGCAGGACAATTACCGCGACATGAGAGCGTCAGACAGCGAGACGCAAGCAGAGGATGTTGAGGGGGCTAATACTGCTGAGACTACTGCGCATCTTGGCGACAAGTCGTTTGCAGACGTCACTGATGGTCAGAATGACGAGTTTGTTTATATTTATTAGATTCATAGCATGAAATGTAATGCCTGTACGATTATATACAATATCTTCCGCCCAACTTCGTGACGAATGGTTTCCCGATTTAGTTCTCAGCAACATAGACCTTTCTTGTTACAGTTGAGCCCAGTAGGCCGCCCTGGGGTAGGTCCACGGTAAATGTAGTGGACGTCTCGTTGTCGGCAACCTTGACGTCAGATTGCTTCCTGTCAGCATTCTTCATCTTGTGGTCCTTGGTCGTAACTGTAAATTTAGCAGTCTTGAGCTTCTGCGTAGGATCGGCAAAGTAGATGGACAGAGTGAACCCTTCGCCCTTCTTCTTACACTTGCCGGTGATGAGGTAGGCCAGCGGCTGATCGCTAGTAATCTCGACAGTACCAGTCTCAGACCACCCGATATCCTTCATGTCAAGGTTTACAGTGTCGTCACCACCGGGCCAAAATACAAGACCAAGCTCATCTTTGCCCATGGCACCAGTGATGCCCTTTTCGACAATTGGCTGCCACGTCTTCTTCTCGTGCTCAGCTGCTAGACGGCGCTTGCTAGTCGCAGGGAAGAAGGCATAGGTTGAGTTGGAGCCGGTGATAGTTGTGTACGCCGAAAAGATGTCGGTCGTGTACTTGCCAGCCTTGGAGGTTGAAATAGCAGACCAGTTGCCGTCGCGCGGTCCCTCAGAAATAGTAAGATCAAACGGCGTGTCGTACGAGACATAGCCGTTGCCGCCGTAGAAGAGAGTTGAGGCCTTGGTCTTTGTAGAAGCAGATAACTGAGTGCGGTCACCATCGATGAATGCGCCACCAGCGGCCTTGGCGCGGTTATCCAAGACAGTAATGACTGGTGCTGAGCCTTTGTTGACAATATCCGAGGTGACGACGACAACAGCATCCTCGAAATGGAACCATGCCTTTCTGTAGGAGATTCCAATGTTGAGGGGGTCCGAGTAGTCGTGGGCGGCGACACCGATTTTGCCATTGCTCACTACGCCAACAAACTCCCTGGTACCGTTGTGCTTGATGTAGTCCACTAGACCGGTAACGTTTTTCGTAGGAGGAAGATTGTGCAGGTCCGGCTGGTTGAGAAGGGTGGTGGTACCGGGCACGAGATTCCAGTCCCAGGCACCCATGATGTCCTTGTACTCGTTGCCCTCGACATAAGAGAAAAGTGTGCCCTGGCCGAGATGGTAACCAAGGGGGTTGGCGCCGTTGACGTTTTCCGAGTTGACTGTGCGTGTCGACACCATCTTGTTGCCGAGGATGAAAGTGTCCCGGCGGTGCACCATGTAGTCGCTGGCCCAGAAGCCCTTGTTTCCCACGAGTTTGTCGGTGCCGTTGGAGCTGAGGCGGCGGATCACATCGCTCACGTCGTCAAGGCCGGTGAAGTCAGCAGTGGCCTTAGCTAGCTTAGTCACGTTGAAGTTGATATCAGAAATGGCCTGTAGGTCCTGTGTGGGGAAGGCGACGAATCGACCAACAGCGTTCTGTATTTATTAGTGATGTTATGTTTACGTTGAAAGAAGATGCGCTTACAAAGTCCCAGTATTCCTGTCGCGTTTCTTGGTTGGTAAAAATCATCCATTCGCAGCCGCGGACATAGGTAGCCATGGTCTGCTTGGTCGCGTTGTTTGTTGCGAACTGCGTGCCGACGATTTCAGCGCCTAGTTGGATAAAAGCGTTGAGCTGACTTGTTAGTTACAGGTTGATGACAGAACATTGGAATGGGGGGGCGGACATACCAAGTCTTTGCCATAGTTGCCGTTGTAGAGGACACCATCGTGCTGGAGGAATGTTCCGTCGCGGTGGATGCCATCAAGAGCGGGTTCATCGGTGTACTGTGCTTATTAGTTTTGCTCCTTGATAATGACATCATGTCTCTAACTCACAGTCATGATGTTCATGGCACGGGTGAGGGAGTCTTGCACGATAGTGGCATTGTCCATAAAGAGACCCAAGCTGACAGAGTTTTGCATAACGAGGACGACCTATACCAAACAGTTAGCCTTTGAATTATAATGCTGGAGGAAGCACATACGTTGGCACCAGTGAGGCGTCCACCAGTTCCGTAGGTCGAGTCTCGCAGGTCGTAGGATCGTTTGGGGATTCTGATACAGCCATCACGCTGGGATTCGGTCAAGTTGGCATTTTTGAGGACCAGGCAAGTGATGGAGCAAAGCTGTGGAATAAGAATCGTCTGACCGTACCAGTTCTGATGCAAGTTAGCTTTGATATCTTCAACAACCTAGGTTCACAGAGGGACTCACAGTGTTCCAGAGACCAGGGGTTCCACAGGGGCAGCCTTTGTTGCTGTATACAGTCAGCATCAATTGAAATCACTAATTAGGTATCCATATAAACTTACGGGTCACCGCCATCGCCAACGCAATCGGCTTGCTTGTAGTCGTTGTTGAACCAGTAATCAAGGCCTTTAGAAATAGCAGCCATGACTTTGGCGTCACCCTTCCATTGGGTTGAGACTTCGAGGTTGACGCCGCTCCATGCAACAGAGAGGGCAATCAATCGGTTCCAGTGCTGCTGAATGGGCCAATTGGCTCTTTCTGAGTAGTGTGTGTAAGTATGTAAGGTCAGGTATATCATTGCTCAACAGTTACTACTCACGGGCAGCACAACCAGACAGGTAGTTGACATCAGACCATGTTCCATCATCCTTTTGGGATGCTACCCATGTATCTATATTCGAATAGACTGATGGATCCAGAAACTGTGCCAGATCCTGAGTGCGACGCTGCGTGATGAGAGCCAGATCGTCAGACGCGTCTCGAGGCACGGCGGGCGAGGCGTGCGTAAGCGGCAGAAGCGCAGCCAGCAAGCCTGTAACAATTGCAAACTTCATGTTTATTAAACAATGGTCAGTTCTATAAACATGATACAGTGTCGGTTTTGAAGTGGCAATTGGATGCAGGCGACTGGTAAATAGAAATACTCACTGGACGGACGTCTGCACCGTTGGGGAATTAGCGTGCCAGTAACCCGAGGATGCGATTGGTGGAGAAATTGGTTAGGTCAACCAACGCTATTGAAAGAGTTGGTAGAACGGCAACAGAAGCGCTAGACAGAATGGCTTTTGGTTAATATGGATAAATGGGGATTTAAACGGACGCCACGAATTTTTTACATATGTATTTTGTATTTGTTTGCTCATAGTGATGGCGCTGACAGGACGTGAGCAGTTGGCGATGATATCATTGGGGAGAAGCTGAGATGGTGTATGACTGGCTTAAATATTATGGAAAATACAGACTAAAATCACGATGAATTCATTCATTCTTACAGAAAGATGAACTCTTTTCGGAATATATATTGCCAAACCTGCATATCTGTGATGGCATCATATGTATACAAAAACTCAAGGCAAAGAACTCTGGGAGATGACTCAGCCGTTACAACACCCCTTTTGCCAGCCGGCTTCAGTTAGTCTATACCGATCTCAGGGTCATGTTATGGGATCTGTCGAAACAGTAAAGACCTCCACCAAAGCAGTCTAGACATATAGCGAAGTCACCATTACTACATATACTGCAGGAGTAGAAGGATATTTCCGAGGGAATACTCCGAACACAGGCATCACACCGTCTAAACACCGATTCGAACTCAGTCGTCGAAAGAATCATCTTCTTGTCTTGTTCTGTAAGCTCAGTAGCGGGCAAACCATGCTCAAGTAAAAGGTTGATGATTCGGGTATTCTTTGTCTTGGAGGCCCACCATGATACCGATCGGTGTAGGGCATCAATGGCATTAATATCAACATCTTTCCTGGCCAGGAGAAGCTCCGCCACTTTAGTGCGTCCAGTTCTCACAGCAACTAGAAGTGTTGTAGAGCCGAACTGGTCTAGGGAATTTACATCGATACCACTATCCAGAAACAGTTGAATTGCTCTTGTATCCTGGCGAAGTACCGCAGCGTGAAAAACATTGGTATATCGGCCACATGACGAATGGGTATGGGCTTCTTTATCTACCAGTAGCTGTACAAGGTCGCGATAGCCTTTATATGCGGCAATCTCCAAAGTATCGCTAAAATTGCTAGCTTGCACGTTCATGTCAGCTTCCCGTTCTAGGAGCAGCTGCACAGTCTCAAAATGGCCATTAAGTGAGGCAGCCTGTAGAGCATTGCCATATTGGCCACCTTGCATGTTGATGTCAGCTCCTCTATCTAGGAGCAGCTGCACAATCTCAATATGGCCCCTAAGTGAGGCAGCCTGTAGAGCATTGCCAAAATGGCCACCTTGTATGTTAATGTTAGCTGCTCTATCTAGGAGCAGCTGCACAATCTCAAAATGGCCTTTATGTGAGGCAGCCTGTAGAGCATTGTCAAAATTGTCACCTTGTATGTTAATGTTAGCTTCTCTATCTAGGAGCAGCTGCACAATCTCAAAATGGCCATTATGTGAGGCAGCCTGTAGAGCATTGTCAAAAGAGGCACCTTGCATGTTAATGTTAGCTCCTCTATCTAGGAGCAGCTGCGCAGTCTCAAAATGGCCCGTAGAAGAGGCAGCCTGCAGAGCATTGCCATATTGGCCACCCTGCATGTGGATATCCGCCCCGTTAGATATCATTCTAGATGCAACTTCTTTGAGACCAGAAAGACACACAAGATATAATGGTAGTGTCTCGGGTTTACCCGGATTCCATATCCATGGTCTTTCAAGATCGAATAGACTTGCCCAGAGCGTGAACTTGACGTCGTTCTGGAGGAATTCTGAAGCCGCGTCGTTGGTCGGTATAGAGTCTTTGGCGTGCCACGCGCATTCCATCCATATTTCTGATGCATACCGAGCCAGAGGATACTTTATCCGTATGCCAGAAACTTCCCCAAGCTGTATACTTCCAAGATACGCTAAGCATATCTGTGTAATAGTAATCATGGGTTCAGGGCTAATGAATTCTGACATCATACAGCCTTTTAAATACTCCTTTACCGAAAAATGGGCCAATTGTACGGTACTTAATTGTTCATTATTTTTATTTTCGGTGAGTAATACCAAACTTGAACAATATGCGGTAATATCTGATCTGCGACGAAGTCTATCGCGGTTGTCGAAATAACCTGAATCGATTCTGACAGCAACCACATCAATGGCCTCTCCAAGGGTCAATGGTCGCTCTGAGTAGAAGAGGAACTGTAGCAAACGTATAGTTTTCTTTTTGCGGATTCTTGGGATATTTTCAAGAATCTGGGCATACGTCGCGTCCAAATCAGGTGGTAGTGATTGAAGTGCTTCCTCTAGACTTTCGGCGTCGACACAGTCGCGAAGGAGATCAAGTTGGCAGCTCGCCCATCTAAACCTAAAGATGTAGTTTTAGTACTAGTCACTAGCTGAATCATGGAGATATATTATACTCAACTTACATGCCACCAGCCTTGCCGCTGATTGTAACCTTGATCATCTCCAATATTCGCGGCTCTTCAACCCATCTCTCATATTCTTCAGACTCATTCAGTCTAGCATGTACATAAGAGCAAATATCGGCGTTTATACAATCTGTATTCAATGAAATACAGTTGTTTTCTTTGACCCAGCCAGGGAGGCTCTGCCTGATGTCGTCTTCGGGTCGACTAGTACATAAGAGCTGAACATGAGTAAGAGGAGGGATGAATTCCTTCATCCATTTCAACAGCTTTGGTCTGTCAGAGCCCTCATCGAGAGCATCAAGGAGAATAATAACCTTTCCAACAGTTTGCATCATATCCTTCAGACAGTGGGATAGTTTATCGGTGTCAGGTTGCTCGTTTCCGTCTCCGTGGGAAGTAAATAAACTGTCGAGGACCTTCCGGCATGTCAGACGTGAGCAATAGAGCTGAAAGACAATGGAGTGTAACATGTCATCTAGTCTCTGATTGCTGGTTTTTCTAAAATCAAAGAAAAATGTGAGAATAGTGTAAGTATTCATCGCCGCGAGGTTGTCAAGGATAGTGGTGCTAAGAACGGTTTTGCCGCATCCTGGCATACCATGGAGCCATAAACACTGGTTGCACCCAAGCTTCCAATTTTTAAATGCTTCACTCTGGATAAACCAGTCTCCAGTCCCTGTGTATCGCGCTTCTCTGGCATTATTGATGTTGGTAGACGGATCAGCAGGTGAAAGCCAACGTGCGATCCTTTCAGTGTGGATGTCAACTCTCATCGCACAGATGAACGCATTGGTTTGATGTGATGTCTTTTGTACATCCTCGAGGTTTTGGTTTACTTTAACTAATTAGCATACCTCCAGGTAGAGTATTTTGGTAATGAATGATGCGTACTTTGCTCGATCGGTGATAGATTCCTAACACCTAGTCCAGAAACATTGGATAAAAGCTCTTTAGCATATGCCGCTGCCACAGCCGCCGCATATGGTTGCCATATCTTGTTCTTATGTGAATCAGCATAGTCGCAGATACCGCGAATGACGAGGCAAGGAAACGAGTCCATTAAACCTAAACCAACAGTAAATAGGGTGTATTCGTAAGTTGGAGGGTCAAACTCACCTGCAGCCTCCATTTCAAAGCACATGATATTATGCTTTTGTGCCAACTGGTCTCTTAAGAGAGCATCTTTCATCACTTGATCTGCTGATCCTATAGTTCCATAATGGAGCTGCGGAGTGTTGTTCTGGCGATCTTTCCTCTTCACTAGGTTATTATTCAGCGGGCCACAGCAACTCTTACAAGACTTTTTCCCCTCTACATGAACGACATTTGACTTGAAAAGTCTATCCTTGCCCGGCCCAGGGTAGGAGAATTTCTCAACCATACCCGGATTTTCTGAAAGCATTTTTGACAGCAGCTCAGAGATCTTATGGCCCTTTACTGCACATTCGCCTTGAAGTCTTGCTACTGCACCCAACAATATGTCGGGAGGTTTGTTCAATCTGCCACCGGCTTGGATAAACTCCTTCTCTTGCACTGACTTGCCAAAATCGTACTGAATGACAGCTTCTGTAGATTTTGAATGTAGGCCGATGACAACGTCACCCAGTCGAATGTCTTTGATATCTTCGATGTCGTCTAGATCGGATTCCTCGCTTTCAGATTCGCCGTCACCGCGATCAACATCTGTGACGCCGTAATAAGGAGCACCTCCCCCGATACCAACCACTAGTCCAAATCTGATAGCTTTGAAGCTGCGCAGCATGTCTTTAGCGACAGTGGCAGCAGACACCTTGCCCGTTTTCTCGGCAGGTAGACAAGCTACGACCACATTATGATCTCTGATCGATCCAAGAAGATATACGTTCGCATCTTGGGGGTCAGCTGCGTGAAGCACTGGATGCTCAACATCTAGCATCGCCCAGGCCGCGGCTAGCTCTGTAGCTGGCAAAGCACATATCCATCCTACTGTATAATCGTCGTGTGTGAACTGTGGAGGAAGTTCAGCCATCGTCGCGGTTGATACGTCTTGGCTATTCCAGTTTAAAAATTCTCGGTTTGCAAGCGTTATTCATGTGCAGCAAGACATTCTGTGTTACTCGGATCTGTCTCTTCATGGGCCTAATCAGGCACCCAGCGGCTCAGCCAATCGGAGTAAGCTGCAGCACTCTGCAGACGAGAGCAAGAGAGCTGGCAAGTCATATATATAGTCTTGATTTGTTTTCCATGTTGTAAACTAGGGAAAGGCGCGCTATTAAAGTAGTAATGGCAACTGTATAAAGGATCACATCTAGAGTATTAGAATCCAACCTGTTTCGTTTTGTCGTTGTGGAAGAATGGGCAGAGTTTACACTTTAATCTTCAATAAATTAATACTCAACCGACTCTCAGCTAACCAAGTTATATACGCTCATAGACTAATAAATCTAGATTCGAGAATCTTTGTAGAGATTAAGAAGATTCTGTGGATGAGGGTATAGTGACCCCCTGTTCCGCCGTTGGAGCTTGTCTACTTTAAGCTATTTAGCGCTGCCACGCAAACTCTCCCCGTCAGCACCGAGTGAAGAGAAAACGGAATATCAAGCAAATACTAAGTTAACATAAATATATTACTGTAAATACTAAGAGTATACTTACTTATAGTATTATTTTCTTCTTTATATTACTCTTTTCTCTTACTATATTTTATTTTACTACTGGTTATATAGTTTTTTTTAACTATTTCTACTCGAGACATAATCGCGCATATCTTGGTCACAACTCTCCATGTATTGGTGTATGACTATGGTCCATAGCTACTCTTAGCGAATTGCAGACCTCCTTTGCAAATCCGGATCGTAATCTGGCTAGAGCACCGGACTGTCTTTATTTATTTTTATCCTTGTTTTGCTTGCTATCCCCCAGCTTGCCACCACGTACAAATCGGCTACCACTCGCACACCTAACAGAGTTATCTAATCGCAAAGTAACATTGAACCTGTACTGCACTGTACCGAGCAAGAGCAGCTATAAAAGTATGGGTTAATTTTCCTGAGATATATACTGCTACATATTACAGAATGGATCATTAAACGCATAAAACACACCCACGAGGTATATCAAATGACCTTCTATCTATCGAAACTGGCATCGCCCAAAACACACGCCTAACCCTAACACCGTATTTCTAGCCCTAAATTAACCCGAATAATTCCCAGTAAAATTCCAGTGTGTTTTCAATATTTTCTTTATCCATTTATTCTTTTATTTACTGTCAAATTCTTTGCCGACTTCTTTCTCGCAACCTGCGACACTGGCTGCCGCAGATTACGAGGCGGCCGCTCCACCCTCAGTGCGTCGGAGGCGGGTTACCGATGCAATCTTGATGCTACGGCCACTGTAGCGGGCTACCTCCAGGTACTTGCCCTCCCGCACCCAAATATCCGTATAAAATTAATTAGAAAATTCCAAAACCCTTTCAAATCTCTCTATTATATATCTGCGGACTTTATATTATTTTATAAGAAGGCTAAAGCCTCTTAGTAAGTTACCTTTTTTTTCCCATTTTATATACCAAACCCACTCCTCCGCCCACCGGACACCTCCGTGTATCAGCTTCAAAACACCACACGTCACAGCTTTAGCCCACCACCGTCCACTTCTTCCACCTCACAGACAATGGGGCCCTCCCTGCAATTCCTGCACCGCCAATCCTGATCACTTCAGCCTGCGGCCGTTCTCATGGATTCCCTGTCGCAGCGGCGTTAGAGCAGCGGCCTTATGCTGGCGGCTGCTGCTGCTGTTTTGCATCAACAAGGCCGGCGTATATTATGGCTTGCACACATATATTGTCTCGAAACCATGTGTTTCCAGTATCCCCTTGGCTCGTATAAATGCAAATTGGTCCCCCTTTGCTCGCCCTCGCTGCGCGGCCCGGTTCCCTTGTACACTTCACCACCGACTTACACATCTCAATAGAAGACCAACAACCGCAAACATGCGATCAACAACGCTAGCGTTGTCGTTTGCTGCGACACTTTCAACATTGATATCCTCAACTTATGCCTCCGACTTTGACAGCAAACTAGTCCTCCGCGCAGATGAAGTCATCCGTCGACCATATGCCACGCTATCCAGCCACGAGGACGGTGTCCACCGCCGAGCGGTTGCCGAAGCAAACAAAACCGTCGAAGGCATCCCAGTAAAAGCAGATGGCACCATAGATTTGAAGGCTTGGGAAGATTCTACGGATAGGGCTTGCAAACTGGCGCTCAGTCACATTACCGAGAGCAGTAACCCCTCTGGCAACTGCATCTGCTACAACCTCCCGTCGCTGGATACAAAGACGGGTGTTTTTGCAGCCGATCTTCGATTATATCAAGTTTCTGAACCTCGTGGCCCGTTTGCTGGCATGTCGGCCTCGGATATCAAAGTCAGTGTCGCGTACAAGGGGGCTAGCGCCAGCACCGTATCGCCTGACCAGTTTACCGGAGCTGGCATGGTGGGCAATGTCTCTGGGCTCATGCGGCGAGACGATGGCCCTGCAGGACCAAAGCTTATGCAGCTATATCTGCTAGTCGGCCAGATTGATAAAAAGACCAAGCTCGATGGCCTCAGCTTGTAAGTCTTACCCAATTCTTTTCAGCTTCCATCATACTAACGTGACGCAGGTCCGCCTTTGAAGCATTAACCTTACCAACACTTACGCTTAGCGGAACAAACTCCTCGGGAGCCCAAGTTACCAGCGAGGTGTCTCTCAACGAAGCATCATTTTTAACGGGCATCTTTTCACAGCACGTTATCCAGTCCGACTTTGCCGCCGCCCAGGCCGCTGTCAACGATCAACTCGCTGCCTTGGCGAATGGTACTGTGGCATTCGTGCTTCCAGGAACTCAAGTCATGATCCTCCCCATTGGCAGTATCATCACGTCAATATGGCTGGTTGTTGGTTTGGCCGCGTACGGTTTTGGCACCTTTCAGAGAATGCATTACGCCGCGGCATTCCGAGAACGAAACAAGGCCATGTAAAGTTTAGTGGATGATGGGTAGATTTTAACGCTATGTATTACTAGAAATATAATGACAAGGCTCTGGTAGCCTCCTTTCTTTTGATCGCCCATTGTGCTCTGGTAACGCCGTCCGCCACGTCGGAGCGCCATGAGCACGTCCCATACTGTCTGTTCGCCATTTATAACGCCCGTGCAAAAGATTAGTGAGATACGGGACAAATTCCACAATTATATTTATGTATAGTATTACTCGAGAAAGAAGAAAAAATACATAAATACACCAGCCCCTAGCGCTTATTAAGTCGCAAGGCTACCAATCCGCTGGCTACCCTATATGGAAGTTAAAAACAGAATGATTCAGTCTTACATGGTGTTGTATTGTAGCATCCACTTGGGCGTTGATAAATGCAGTGTGTGGTGGAACGAGCATGTTAGCAACGGATTGAAGCTTAGTCTTGGTGTTGGCGTGCCCATCTGGACAATTTTGGTTTTAGTGGTAGGCACAGTGTTTGGCAAGCACCTTCAAAGGCAAGATGAGATGTTGGCGAAGAGGGCGACGAATGTTCACGCTACGACTGAGGAGGACATAGAGCTGGCGTCTGACGAGGAACGGGTTACTCCTACCCAGAAGCCGTAGATAATCCATGCAGTTTGTTAGGTTAGCATGCATTCTCTTTTATAGCAAGCGTAATAATTAAATAATTCATTTATATAAGTTATATGTACAAATATAAATACCTTTGTGTTAGTGCAGCATCACACTTCATCAACAGCTTTGGTTGTATTGTTTCAATTGGTTTTCTGTATTGTAAAAATATATACGAAACAGGAGGAGAAACTTAGAGTGAGAAAAAATGGCCAAGAAATATAATACTCCTAGCACGCCAAGATAAGAATAGGTTGCAATCTATGCGTATACGCATCAAAATCGTTTGGTCCAACGCCAGTAAGAAAATAGATATCCAATAGAAAGTGGAAAAACACCGCCCCAAGATATTTGCAAGAAACGAAAATAAGGAAACTAAACAAAGTAAAGGCAAAAAGGACATCCATCACATATCAGTATATATATCGTATATCGTCGGTTGCGTTTCATCTTCTGCATTCGTCGTATAAGTCTGTTCGCTTAGGCGGAGATGCTGGGTCGGCGCTCGCCTCGGAAGCGACCCTTTGCCCACATGGCGGCCTCAATAAAGACCATGTAGGCACCAGTGACGATCCAGAAGGAGCAAATGATGCCGAGACCGCCCACAAGGCGAGCATCGACAATGCGCTGGAGAATGGTCTCACGCATGGCGCTGTTCATCATGAGCCAGCCGTAGACAGGCACAAGGTCCTTGGCGCCAGCAGCAGCAGCAGAGGGGAGAACAGCACGGGGCTGCTCCTTGAGACGCTCCTGTTCAACAGCACGCTCAGTAATGCAGTCAGCCATGCGCCAGGCGACCTTGTTGTTGATCTTGTCCCAGGTGCACTCGCAGGCGGCAGCGCGGGCATCAATGACCATCTGGGCGCGCATGGCCTTGTCGTTGGTCAGCATGGTGGCCTTGGCGACAAAGCTGTCGATATCGTGAGGCGGGACAAGGAAGCCCGTCTTGCCGTGGTTGATGATGTCCGAGGGGCCGCCCTCGTCACGGGCAATGACGGGGACACCGCTGGCCATGGACTCGAGGACGACAAGGCCAAAGGTTTCGGTAATGGAGCAGTGCAGGAAGATGTCGGCGCTGGCGTAGTACTTGGCCAGCTCGTCGCCGTGCTTGAATCCTGTGAAGAGCACGTTGCCCTTTTCGATCTGGTCCTCAAACAGGTCCTGGACCTCCTTCTCGACATCGGGGTTTCGGTTGCCGCCCACAATGACCATCTTAAAGGGCAGGCCGCGCGCGTCAAACTCGCTGGCGGCCTTGGCAAGGAAATCAAAGCCCTTTTCACCGGCAATGCGGCAGACGGTCATGAAGATGATCTCGCCGTTGGGGGCCAGCTCGGCGCGCAGATCGTTGTCGCGGCACGTCGGGTTGAAGAGCTCGGTGTTGACGCCACGGGTGAGCAGCGAGAGCTTCTCGGCCTGGACGTTCTGGCTGACAAGGTAGCGCTTGACAAACTGCGAGGGGTAGAAGATGGTCTTGATGGACGAGTGGCGGAAGAGGTAGCTCTGCACGGCGGCAAAGGCAAAGACGGCAAGGTGGCTAAACGGCGCGGGGAAGAGAATGGCGCAGTAGCCGGCCAAGTCGGTCTGGAAGTTGCAGATGATGGGGATCTGGTTCTCCTCGGCCTGCTGGCGCAGCTGCAGCATGACCTGGAAGCCCAGGCTGGCGGGCGAGGCCAAGTAGATGATGTCGGGGAGCTCGTCGGAGCCAAAGGTCTTGGAGTAGAGGGTCGAGTTGCGGACCGGGTAGACGACGGAGAGCTCTGGGTTGAAGGGCAGCGGGTATCCGGTGACGCGGACCTCGGGCTGCTTGTCCATGGGGCCCAGGTTGGGCGACGGAGGAGGCGAGAAGGTGTTGTGGTTTGTGTGGTTGTGAGGCGCGACAACGGCCACCTGGGCGCCGTGGTTGCGCAAGTGGGTGACGAGCATCAGCGTGGTTCTGCTGACGCCGTTGACGGGGCCAAAGGACTCGGTACAGAGGAGCACGCGCTTGCCCTTGAGTTCGCTGGGGAACTGGGACAAGTCGTGCTCGGGGTACTGCGTGATGGCGGCCATTGCAGCAACGCTTTGCGAAGGTTGGCGATGGTGGTTTTCCGGTAGCGGACGGCGTGTTGGAGGGGTTTATAGTGGCGGTTTTTTGGGGTACCGGCCAAGTATATAGCGGGGGGGAGCGAGTATACAACAACGCTTGTAAGGGTAGAAGAAAGTAAGGCTGAGTGAGCGCCGTGTAAATCGAACAACGGCAGGCACAACAAATCGGAGTATCTCTGGGTTTTCCAAACAGCCGCGGCCGTGACAGGACAAAATGAAGGATGGAGGAGTAGAGTCCAAGACGACAAAGAAGTAGGCGCGTGTGTATTTTTTTAGAATCGCCGCAGAGACACTGCAGGACTCACGCGCTCACCGCCGGCCGTGGGAAAAAGCAGGGAAGCCAGCACGGTATTATTGGTGGCGACAGCGAAAAAAGGCTAGAATGGTTTAGGTCAAGCACAGATTAAAAAAAAAAAGAGTCATTGCAAAGGCGAACCGTGGAGAGAGAGGCATCGAGGCACGTGTGGCAGACGAGACGACGCTGGCTGCTTGCTGGCTGGCCAAAAAAGAAGTACAAGTAAAAATAGCAGGGGTCCAAGACAGACAGACAGAGCACACTTCTGTACTGTCACTCAAGTCACTATTGTACAGCACATTCCCTCTAGAACAAGTACAAACAGCGGCTTTAGATACAACCAAAACAGCTAGCAAATGGGAGAGTGGAGGCTGGGCCACGCGGATGCTGGGTTGGCTGCCGTTGGCTGCAGGCCTTGGTGGGGGAGGGGCAGACAACAGTCCATCTTTTTAGGTGGCGGGGTTGCATGATGATGCACGTTTGTCGTCTTTAGTGTTTTGTTGGGGTAGCAGGCCGAGGGAACTTGGTGTAAGTGAACAGGAGGGGGACTCGCGATGTCGACACACTCTGCTAACAACACCGTTATTTGTATTTAAAAGTGATGGACTTGGTATTCATCTTGTTGAGTATGTCCTGGCAATTTTCAAAATATTTCTAAGGCCCGAGATCGCCCACCGGAGGAGCATCATCGCGCACGGGACTCGATCGCAGCACCATCTGGCCAATCACCAGCGTCTATTCCACCACACTCCTGATAGCCAGCCAATCAGAGGCTGCCTCATCGCCAACCCGGCAGACGCAACATGTCAAACACGCTGTGGGGGGCACGCAGGCTAAAGAAGATAAAAATAAAAAATGAAATAAAAAGAATTAAAGGAAAGTGTCACGGGTTCGCTTCTCTCGTTTTATTTTTATTATTTTTGTCAATAGTGGCCGCCTGCTCGGTGCGCGCATGCATTGCATTGCAAAGCCCAGCACCACGGTTGGCCACGGCGGCACAAGGTACAGCGGCTACAGGGGGTGCTTTAGCGGCTAATGCAAGTGCTGTAAGTTCGTCTGCCGTGCCCCGTGGGAGACGTGGTTGGCCACGCGCAGGACAAGAACGCGGTAATTGTCAGCGTGACCTCTTTTTGTAATCCTCGTTTTCGTATACATCGAGTGCCATTATTGGGCATTTTAATTTGGTTTGTTTTGTGTGAGCTGCTGTTATGACGCGCAAAGCCGGCTGCGGATGAACTAGGGAAGTGGTATAGCGCACTAGCAGGTGTCCCTAGTGCACTATACGCGCCACTGGAACTGGATGTTTGCAGAGGATCTGATATACGAAAAGGGCAATTAGAGAGTACCTACTACTGTCTATATAGAGTTTATAATTGCTGTGTAAATTCCAAATAAATTGTGAACAAAGCCAATTTATATCTCCCATGGCTTGCAATATGCGGAAAGTGTCAGCATTGGGATTGTCAAGAGAAATATATCAAACTTGCTCTCTCTTTTCATCACAGTATTGGTAGTAGCAGTTCCAGCATATTATAAGCAAGTGCCTTATTTTTGATTATATAATTAGAATTTTGGTCTCTCCGCCTACGTCAAGTTACTCTCCGCAAATCGTTGATTGGATCTGGGGGCCGTCAACAGCGCTCTGGCCTGGAAATTATGACTTTAAAGTACACGTCTCCGTTACTACTACAAATATACAATCGTATTAAAAAGTCAGAGTGGCATTTAAAGATGCAATCGGCCTCATATGTGCTATAAAGGAGTAATTGTACTCAAGGTTGCCAAAACTTTTGTCAAATACTCCATGCGTCTGCACATCACGCTACGCGGGAGTATACAACAATCAGCAGCGCCTCGTCGAATAAACCCCGTCTGGTCTTATAGACTTACAAACATCCAACGATGGTATCTGGTTGCAAACTCGTCCCTTTATAGGTTAAGCTTAATCACCACACTGCTATATCCATTACGTCGGCCAGAGAACTGCCTGCACAGAGCCTGATCTCCACAGACACAAGAAATGCTGTCCCAAAACGCATCCAAACACTAGTCCCAATTCATCAAATCCCCCGTTTCTTGGCTCCGTTGCCAATCCAACAACCTTGCCTGCCCAGCAAAAACGCAAGTCTTGGACAACTAGGGGCAACCGTCGTTGGAGATTGATGCAGCAGCGGTCGGGCGAGAAAACCGTCATGGACTAATAAGCTTATCCCAGGGATCGCCTATTTCCGCCGGACTAGCGATTGCCAGTGGTGCATGAGATGCGACGAACTGGGACAAGTCTCCGGCAATGGCATGGAAACAAGGCAGACCAGGGCCACACAGCAATTTACCCTTTGGCCTTGACAAACCCTGGAATGCAATTTGCACTGGCTCGCACGCGGGCAGCTGCTCCATACGGCCAAGCACTTACTTTACTGCTTGCTGCCACCAAAAACAAAAACTAGGCTTCTTCTTGGCAAAGACAAACGGACAAGAAGAAAACCAAGCCTGCGAAAACGGCGCCAGGGGGCTTGCTGCTACTGGCTCACGGTAAATTACTGTGGGTTACGCATGCACAATGGGCAATCTTCCATGGAATTTAGCATTGCTTGTGGTTCCTCTCAGTAATCGCCTGGTAACCTAAAACGCTACAGTGCAAAGCAGCCTAATGCTTGCGCAACACAGTACAGAGGGGGCGTCTTGGCAGGGAGGGCCAATTCTCCCGGTATATCCGGATAACACACACGGTGGGAAGGATGCGGTGCCATGCAGATAACGACGGAAAAGAGAAGTCTACCAAATACGAATACCAAGTGAAAAAGACAGACTGCTACTCATGCATAGTAACACGCTAATACAGGAAAAAACTAAAACCGTAGCCCAAACTCTCACACCGCATCGCCCTGGTGCGCGGTCCCAAGAAAGAGAAAAAAGCTAACAAGGCTAAAATAAAAGCCGGGGAGCCAATGACGCGCCCCGGGCCTCTGTTCTTCACTCTGACTGGTCGATTCCACACGTTGCCTTCCCGAAAAGACGTTTCGTCCTTTTTGCGTGTGCTTGTCGTTTTGTGTTGCCTTTTCTGGTTTAACGTGAAGCTGACTTTTTCTTAATATTATTCTAATTACTCTCCTCATTTCCCCTACCGCACCCCAAGAAAAAAAAAACTGCCCCTCTTACGCTACAGCCTGTACTTGGAGACAACCCGGCGCAATCGTCATCATTTGTAGTGGAGGGGGATGGGATGCGCCTCTCCACACTGCGGCGTGTGCCCGCGATGGAAAAAAGTAAAATAAAATGGAAAATATTCGCATCCGCTACACAAGCCCGCTCCGATACTTTCTTGGGCGGTCCCAGTCCTGCGCGTGCCTGTTGTGCGTAGCTCCTTCTGCCGCGAGTCGGCTGCCCTCGTGCTCTTCTTCTTCCCCTCCGTGCCGCGCCGCCGCTGCTCTCCGCCCCTTGTGATTTGTCTCGTTTTCCTTTTATTTCACTCCTTCGTCTCTCTCCTCTTGGCGGCTCCTCTTTCTTTCTCTTCCTTCATCTACAGCATTCTTAGCTTCCCTTTTACACGCCGTGTTCTCCTTTGGGTGTTGCTTTACAATTCATCAGCCCTCTATTCGCATTGCGCTGCTGCTGCTGCTGCTTGCTCGCGTGTACTTGACCGCTGCCTCGCCCGCTTAGCCGCCATGGCTCAGATCGAATACATTGAAGGTCCCGTGGACGCCGTGAGGAGAATCAGTCTTCACGGCCTCAATGGCGACGCTAATGCAAAGCCTGCCGGCTTCACCATCAAAAACATTTGCTGTGTCGGCGCCGGCTATGTTGGTACGTCATCCTTGAACTTTTGGACGTTCTCCATCCGGCCCCTCTTGGGCGCCTCTTTGCTTCCTGCGACGACGCCCAATTTATCCATGATTTGGATCTGCGAGAAATCGGGCTAAATGCAAGCCCTGGAAACTCGTCAGCAATCCGAAGCCAAAAAAAATTAAGTTCGGATATTTTGAAAAGTCCCAGCAGCTAACCAGGTCTTTCTTCGTGCGCACAGGTGGCCCTACAGCGGCAGTCCTTGCCTTCCAGAACCCTCACATCAAGGTCACTGTTGTTGACCGCGACGAGAACCGCATTCGACGATGGAACTCTCGCCACCCTCCCATCTACGAGCCTGGCCTGCATGACATTGTGCGCGTAGCCAGAGACGGCGGCCGCGCTACTGTCATTTCCAATGAGCCCACGTCCGATGCCGACTCCGGCCCTGTGGACGAGGGTGAGACACGCATTCCTGTTCGTCCTGCTAACCTCTTCTTCACCACGGATGTTGGCAAGTGCATCGCCGAGGCCGACATTGTCCTCGTCGCTGTTAACACGCCCACCAAGGAGCGCGGTGTCGGCGCCGGTAGCGCTACCGACATGACCGCCTTTGAGGCTGTCACTGGCGTTGTGGCCCAGTACGCTCGCGAGGGCGCCATCATTGTCGAGAAGAGCACGGTTCCTTGCCGTACTGCTCAGCTCGTTGCCGAGACTGTAAGTGGACACAATTTGACCATCATTTTCTGTGGCGACCATCACATTTGCTAACATGACATCCTCTCTCACAGCTCAGCATGCACCGACCCGGCGTTCACTTTGAGATTCTCTCCAACCCGGAATTCTTGGCTGCTGGTACTGCCGTAAACGACCTTCTCTACCCCGACAGAATCCTTATTGGTTCGGCGCCTACGCCCACCGGTAAGAAGGCCGCTGAGGCCCTTGTTGAGGTCTACGCCTCCTGGGTGCCCCGCGACCGCATTCTTACTACCAATGTGTGGTCGTCTGAACTCGCCAAGCTGGTGGCCAACTCGATGCTTGCCCAGCGCATTTCCTCCATCAACTCCATTTCTGCTGTTTGCGAGCAGACTGGCGCTGATGTCGACGAGGTGGCGCGTGCCGTCGGTGTCGATCCCCGAATTGGTAACAAGTTTCTGGTTGCTGGTATTGGATTTGGCGGCAGTTGTTTCAAGAAGGACGTGCTCAACCTCGTCTACTTGGCTGATACCTTTGGTCTGCCCGAAGTTGGCGAGTACTGGAGACAGGTTGTCAAGATGAACGAGTACGCGCGTGATCGCTTCTCCAACCGTGTCATCAAGTGCCTCAACAACACCCTTGTTGGCAAGAAGGTGTGCATTCTGGGCTACGCCTTCAAGAAGAACACCTCCGACACTCGTGAGGCTCCGGCTCTGGAGATGATCAAGACGCTTCTTGAGGAGCGTCCTCGCGAAGTCGCCGTCTTTGACCCTTGCTGCAACCCTCTTGTCATCAAGACGGAGATTAACCAAATCCTTGGTGAAATTGCCACCAAGAACAACATTTGCGTCTATGACAACGCCTACGACGCTTGCAACCAGAGCACCGCCGTCGTCATTGCCACCGAGTTTGACGAGTTCCGCAACCAGCCCGCTCCTCAACCTATCCCCCAGCCTGCTGATCAGCCTGCGCCCAAGAGCAGAAAGCCGAACCCCAAGTCCGATCCTCGACCATTCAAGACTGCCCAGCCAACCCCTAACAACCTCTTGGCCCTTCACAAGCATCTTGTTCAGCGCAACAACGAAGCCATTGAAGATCCCCTCACCATCTTCAACGTCGAACCCAGCTGCGAACCAACGTGCCCCGACTGTTTACAAGAACAAGCCAGCAAGCTCAGTGGCCACTCTACCGGTATGGGTAGCGCAGAGGACTACAAGCCCAAGGAGCGTTTGGACTGGGCTCGCATTGCCGAGACCATGTCGAAACCCAGATGGCTGTTTGACGGTCGCGGTGTCATTGATTCTCGCGAAATGATCAAGCTTGGTGTTCGTGTGGAGAGTGTTGGTCGCCAACACCGCTTCTAAGCGCAAAGATGTCATGATCTAGCAACATCGCGGGTGGTGGTTTGGTGCAATCGGAAAATACAAAATATAGGCGCATAGCGTTTGGGTCTGCTCATTTGATGATGTAAACGACTAAAGACAGTCGGAGCAAGAGCGCGGAGTTTTTTTGTTTTTTTTACATTTCAGTTTACTTTTATACAGCATAGACAAAAACTGGAGTCAAGTACGTCCTACGAAACAGGCTCAGTTGCCATGTTTGGATAAACAGCATGGTATATAATCAAAATCAATTCATAATATTTTCTACAACTCCAAATCAATTTGTCCTTCAACCCTATTTAGACTGTCACCTTGTTTCCGTCTGATGCCGTCTGCTCACTGAGTTCACGACGAGGAGGGATTGTGTAGCCAGTATAGAACCATACGCAGATGGCAATGTACTCGGGGAGCAGTGCCATAAGTGCGAATGCAACAGCTGATCCGAATAAAGGGCTCCAGATGGTATTGAGAACATCTTGTTCTGCGACCTCAAGGATACCATAGACTGTGCGAAGGATGAGGAAGGGGCTTGCGATGAGATTTGCGCGCAAGATTCTGCGACTCGAGTCGGTCAGGCTCAATCGTTTGCCGAAGAAGTATACCTGCATGGAAATGAGGACGACCAAGACCACAGCAAATACAACGTATCCGACGAGCGTAAGGATTCTGCTCAGACTGAGGTTGAATGACGACACGCCACCTCCTGCAGCGAATAGTATAATGGCGGCGATGAAGGCGATGCGGAGAAGCTTGGCGATTTTGGTGGAGGCGGGATTGTGGCTGTAGTTGTCCATCAAGCTGTGCGTAACCTAGTTAGTGAACGTTGTCTCGGTAATTTGGGCCGAGAAACATACATGATGCGCGTGAGACCGAGGTTGGCAATGATGAGAGGCACAACGCCAACATTGAGCATGATAAGGGTGGCAATGTATACGCCTGTGTTGTCCTTCTTTTGCTCAAAGACCAGCGTGAGGATACCGCCAGCAAGACGCACTAGATTGACACACGTTAGCTCTGTGGCATTCGTCTGCGATCGCAACATCACTTACTCAGAGAAAACGGTATGAAAGGGTACCATGCCATGCGTGGGCGGACCTTGCCATTTCGGATCATGAGAAAGATGGCCAGCGGCACGACGGGCACGTAGAAGATGATTTGGGCAATGCCCAGCGAGCTGTGTGAGTCGAGCATAGTAGCGTGTGTTGGTGTAAACGGTTGGTGTTGCGGTGCAGAATGAGATTCGGATTTTTTCGACCGCGCTGTACACCTGTATATATATATATGCGTTTTATGCAATCAAATTATGGCAAGACTTTTTTTCTTCTCGCGACATGATCCCTCGCTTGGGCAACAGCAACTCAAAATATCAAGATGCCCACTAGTCAAACGCCCTGCGGCGCCGGCGCTGCTCGCGACGTAAAGCCCAATAGGGCTTAGCGGCCGGGTCTTCGGCACACGGCGTCGTCACCGGTGATGCATTTTGCGGCAGTGTTTCTTTTCAGCTGGAGCGGCGTCCGGATATTATGCCGTCGTCGCAGAAACTGGGCGTTGTTCAGAATTAAATGTTAGTCTACGCAGACTAAGAAAATCATTAAATGTGGTTTTGTAGCATTTCTCTTGTAGGAAATATCATCTGATGTGTACCTGGTGGTTGTTGCCAGCTGCCCGCCAGCTGCCAAGTGCGCGACAGGTGCCGGGCGATCACCCGAACATCCATACACATGTCAAGAAACAGCTTCGTCGCGGCTGAGAAGTATGATTCCACATAATTTCATCTAATTTTCTGGTCTTTGGAGGCCCCAGCCATTCACCATCTTACCAATCTAATAACCACTCTCTCAGCCTCACTAATTCTGTAATATCCCGGCCGGCAGTCCAGTGGGCCCTTCTCGTTGCATACCGCCCGATCAGGTTTAGCGGAGCGCCTCCCACCGGTAGCCGTCGTTCTCTCCGGCTTCTAGTGAATCGAGGCTGTGGCTCATTCGTCATCGGGAGTGGCAAAGGGGGAACTGCGTGGACACTCCGTCACGGGAGCCCAGCTCTCTGCCTTGCGGCTTTTACTTGCAGGAATTATTTCTATGCGTTTGGAGAGAATTAAAGTGGCATCATGCGTGGGCTGGGTGTCTATTGGCTACGTCGGCGGCTGTCGTCGCAAGTTATGTTTCACGAGTGTGTCAAACAGAATGACCGCGCACCGTGAGATTGCTATCGCCGATTGGGGTAACAGATGGTGATAGCATTCACAATATACGTTATTAGACAGCCACAGGTGGCGCAGAGAGTATACATACTGTGCAGTCATGTCAAAACCAATCTGACAATGATGAAATGGTGATGTAGAAAGCGGCTGCTAGTGTTCCGTCCTCGAGGGATGGCAGGTGCGCTATTCTTCAAAGCAAACAACCGCTTACAATATTTAGTTTACGATAGTACAACCTAAAATATTGCTTCTGATAATCAGGGATTGATTATTTTAAACAAAGAACACCTACCTAATTTCAACACCGAGATATCAACATACTAGTCGTAAGTCAGACACGTAAAATATAAGTAACGTCCTAACTATAAGCAACTTCCTAGTGACTATATTAACATGAGATTGATTCGGAGTTATTTAAGCAGAAAAAACGTTTAAATCAAACTGTCCGCTTCCAGATTTGTCTGTGTACTGCTTAGCGTCCGCCTTGGTCCAGCCACCAAACGGCGATACTAGATCCAGAGTCTCGACGTTGTCAAACTTGGCAAACCACAGTGGCACATCATTAGCCAGCACCACATTCTTCGAGCCAAAGATATTCACCCACTTTGAAGCCGAGGTGTAGATGCCAAAGTCCTTCTTCGTGTCGCGGACGGCCTGGATGATCTTCTTAGCCTCCGCAATATTACCCTGCGAGCCGTAGTTCCAGGGGTTGCAGATTCTGTCGGTCTCAATATCGATCCAGATGCGGCGAATGGCGAGTTTGTTTTTCTCGATAGTATCAACAAGCTCGTGAATTTGGGTGCTGTAGGGCTTGCATTTATTGTCCTTTCCTGAACATGGGAAAAAATAGGCATCAAAGTTCTTGTAGCCCGCCGCCTGTGCATTCTTGTAGCTGGGTACAAAGTTTGGGTCAACACGGCCGCCTGAGCCACATGCCTCTTGGTAGCCACGGAAGATGGCGCGCGTAAAGCCCTCCGATAAAGCCTTTTTGTAGATGACTGTTGAAACATGAGAGGAGCTGTCGACAGCATGAGTGAGCGCGCAGCTGATGCCAGTGAAGGCAAGGATAGTGGCAATGGAAAGACGCATGGTGGGAGTTTTAATGTTTGGTGCTTTGCTGTAGAGGTATAGGTAGACTTTCAAAAGTGATTTTTTTTTTGGTTGAAATAAACTGACTGTCGCTCGTTGGGGTAGTACGCTATTTAACTATCTCTTCCAACCAAGTTCATCACAATATTCTTCCTACAGGGTCTGTGCCGCCTTGATGTAAGACAGCTTGACTCAATCTAGAGACATTTGTGTGATCTCATCTGCGCACTACAATCATTTCGTATTTCTTTTTTTTCTTTTAGAAGGTTACTCATAGCGAATATCCAACCATGAGATAACACGCCGAGAGTTTTATACAGCTTTCAATTTTCAAGAATAGATACTATTATAAGCATTTGCTTGAAAAATATTTTTATCCTTGCAATACAGCGTATACATAGACATAGTACCCGCCAATTATATGATTGCCGATGCAAAACACTGAGTCACATAACTTTTATCCTTGAACAATTAGCCGGGAATTGTCTTAGCCTTGTGCGGTTGTGCGGTTAATCCTTGCCCGTTGCAATCACGGGAATACGAATATCAGACAGAATAGATTGGAGTTAACTTTTACCCGTACCCCACGATTGCAGAGCTTCTAATCCTAATGCTAGGCTTAAGAACGTATATTAATGATTACTCTAGGAGTCTAAAGGGGTTCGCCAGCGCGTCAGCCTGCTAAAGCTGAGTGGAAATTGCGGCTTCTGCACAATACTTAGCCGTAGTTAGCACCCATGATATTCGCACTGTACCAGCCACACTGTAGCCAGTAATGGATGTACCTATTATATTGCTCTACACGACCAGGGCAGGCGCTCCTTCAGTTGACGCTGTAATTTCATAATTTTATTTATATTGTATAAACCCCGTTATAGTTTTATGTATTTGAGCGAATACAAATATTCAATTGTTTGCTAGTCCAACACTTCAACCTCACAGAACGGATGGTGTCATAGTGCCAAGGTGAACCTGTTTCAAGATTGGTCTTCGGCGTATTACGACAAAACCACGCTAAAGCCACTATTTTCATGTACGTTTGAAGTTGTGTTTGATACTCTACGTAATGTCACCCTATGAGCTGCATCATCTACTGATCGCCGCCGTGCCATGGAGTATGCGATGAACCTGCTTACATACTTTGCCGGCCTCTCACACTCATTTCTCTTCTGTATTTTTTTTAAATCCTCCAAAATCGAATAGCTACCACCACAATGAAGCCTTTGATATCGCATTTTGCTGGCCTGTCCGTGCTATTAGCCGCCATCGAGGCCAACGAACTGCCTCCCCAGAGCATCCCCATCCAATGCGCAACAATATGCGGCCCGATCGTTGAGCTCACTGCGCTCTGCAGCAAAAAGCGATCCGTTCCCATCGATAAATCCCATATCAGAAGACATCTGGAACAACCTCGAGCCCTTGAGCCACTGCCTTATCTTCGAAGAGACACATATAAGCACAAGAGGCTCTTTGTAACTCTTGTGCCGCCACCTGCGGCGTCTGTTCCTCACCCGCAACAACCTACACCTCAACCAGCAAACCATCCACCTGTATCACAATCGCAATCACCAAATCAGCCTCCCCCTGCTAACCCTGCTCCTCCGGTATCCCAAACCACACAGCAAAAGCCGCCTCCACCCCCTCCCCAGCCAGCGCCGCCCGAACCACCAGCTCAAACATCACAAGCGTCAAAACCCAAAGAGAAAGGCCCGGTTGAACAACCAACTTCTTCAGCGCGTGCTTCGCGAGGCGGGGGAACCGAGACTGCAGCTATGAGCCCTATACCATCTATGAAAGGCGGCGGCACCTCAATGTCTGGAATGGTAGAGGGGTCAGGTGGAAGTTCCCCGGATATGGATAGTTCAAAGGGTCCAGAGGGCGATGAAGAGATTTGCGTGTGCGAGAATCGCAGCTTTGACGTCGCCACTCTTACCGGGCTATGTGCAAGTTGCGTTGCCAGCAAATCAAAACTCCAGGATGCTGCAAGTGAGTATTTTTCTGCATAAATGCGTTACTTTGGGTTCATATACTAACGGACGGGGTGTAGACCTAGAATTAATCATGTCAACGTGCGACTTTCCAGAGCAGCGATACAGTCCCGACAAAGATAAGCTGGTGAACAACATTGTGGTCAAGGCTCTGACGTCAGGCGTTGCAAATAATTCAACGACGTCAGAGGGCATTTCGGCTCCATTACCAACCCGATATTCGTTGGTGCCGATAATAGGGTCTTTATTCTTAGCTGCGCTGCAGTCGCTTTAAGCCAAACAGCCTGCACATATTTCTACACTCCAGCTGGTCTGGACGTAGATGAATTGTATATATGATAACAAATAATAGCAACTTGAATATAAATAACTTCCTTATAAAAGTTTCTTTTTTTTTACAAAAACAAAACGCAAACATCTCTAGATTATGGGTGTTTCTCCACCTCATTAATTTGTAGGGTAGTATACAGAGTAGTGTTGCCGACATGTCTGCGCGCCAACCGATGGCACCTTCATTTCTTAGTGCGACAGTAAATACTTGTAATATAAGTTCACAAAGGCTTAATCTACCAAGTTCAGTATATCCTTCTTTGATATCCATGTTCGACTGTTCTTGTGTTAGCAAAGAGTAACAACCGTTAGTTAGCGGTAAGGATGAAACTTACCATATCATGCAATGTTGGGGGGCATCATCTTGTTGTAGCCAAGAACGCGCCCAAATAGTATGGTAATCGTTAAAGCAGCAGTTACACCTAGTCACTTTGCTTGCATCCTCTAGAACATCCATGCAGATGGGGCACAAACCGTCTGAATCTACAGCTCCAAAGCATCTAGAGTTCATGTGTTTCCAGTGTGTCGTCCCAAATCTGTTTCTAGGCAGCTGATTTTGACGCAAGGCATCTTGGTATGCCGATATAAACTGCTGTGTTGAAGGGCCAGCGATCCGTGAGTCGCATGTTGCCGTGTTCATGCGAATGAGTAGCTCTGTTGCTTCTTTTTGTTCCTTTTCAATTGCCAGTAACAGCGCGTTTAACCCATCCTGATCACTGAGTAGACATTTTTTCATGCTGAAGCAATAAACAAGCACACTCCACCGCGCAGAAAACACGACAGAGTCTTTTTTTTTCAATGGCAAAAAAACTTGGCAGAAATATTTGGACTGCAGGAGTATTAATATATAAGAATTAAAAGAAAAACGTTGTTTCTGTTCTGCGAATACTCCAGGCAACCGGATGCCTCTCGCACAGCCGCTACACTGACGAGATGCCCTTTAAGTAAGGCTGCACACATTCAAAGCGCTTCAAGAGCCCCTTGTTATCATCAAATTGAACTACTGTCTCGGGCACCTCTAGAAATTTCTAGTAATCCTCGGTAGCTCTCTTAAACACCCTCACCACAAGCTGTTTTGGCGTGGCCACGGCCTCTCTCAAGGAATGATCTACACTGCACGGTCGGCAACAGCACCCGTAGAAGCTGCAGAGGATACAGGCGACCAGGATTGAGCTGGACTACTCTATGCTCGGCGATAGGGGTTAGTTACTTACTATACGAATTAATGCAACCCGTCGCATACGCAAGTTTGAGTGGAATCCACTAACCCGGCAGACTTCGCCGTATTTCCACGCAAAAGTCACCCCGATCCGCCCTCCGTAAGATTTTAAAATCCGCCGCTAAACCTTGCGGGCTTGCCGCTGTACTATGAGCGGAGGCGGAGGGCGGCCCGGCGATAAATGGCGTTAAGGGCCTCCGCAGGTTAAGCGTAGACTCATACTTAAAGCACGCCCAATCCGGCATCTTAGGGTACGACACCAACATCAGCATCAACATCACGATAAATAAAATCGTCTTCCCTCCAAAAATAACCTTCTTTCCATTTTACAGCCCTCTCCAACAACAACAACCATGCATCTCATCCTCACTGGCGCCACTGGCCTCGTCGGCTCTGCCGCCCTCGACGCCATGATCAGAGCCAAGGACATCTCCAAAATCTCCATCATCAGCCGTCGCCCCGTGCCAATGGCCGACGACGCCAAGGATCCGCGCATCAACGTCATTATCCACAAGGACTTCAACAACTTTGACTCCGCTATCCTCGACCAGCTCAAGGACGCCCACGGCTGCGTCTGGGCCCTGGGCATCAGTCAGACCAAAGTCAGCAAGGAAGACTACGTCGCCATCACCAAAGACTACACCCTCGCTGCAGCAGAGTCCTTCTCCAAACTAGCTACAGCTGAGAAGCCATTCCGCTTCGTCTATGTATCGGGTGAGGGCGCGTCGCAGACACCGGGACGCTTCTCGCCCATCTTTGCTCGCGTCAAAGGCGAGACGGAGACAGCTCTGTCTGATATGATGAAGACGCATCCGTCGCTGCGTGCCGACTCTGTACGTCCAGCATTTGTCGATAACGCAAAGCATGAGGCTATCAAGCCGTACGTACCGGACGCTGGATTCATCTACAACGCCGCCAAGGGGGTTCTTGGGCCCGTCATGAGAAGCATGGCAGGAAGACATTCGCCTACAGAGGAGTTGGGAGATTACCTCACACAGTTGGCCATGGGTAAACAAGACGCTGGTTTGGCATCTAGCGGCGCATACCAGCTCGGTTCGTCGTGGATTGTGCCGAATGTGGCTTTCAGGAAGGCCATAGGTCTCTAAATTTGGGTTTAGCATGGGAGCAAGGCGTTATAAGGATATCATTTTCTTTCTTTTTTTTTTTCGATATCCTCAAAAATCGCTTGATTGTGTACTATTACAGTTGATAATCTCTAATATGTCTCATTTATTCATAAAATATTTCTACATGCTGGTTGTGTCTTAAGATGTCATAATGTACAAAAGGGCGACCTATGGGGCAAAGGCATCGCCAATGATTTCGCCTTCGTCTGGCGTTGCTGCGAGCTCTAAAAGTTCGTGAGCCGCTTCGATAATGTCGACGTCAATTCCTGATTCGATAATCAAGTCGTCGTCAGCAAAGTTTAAGCGGCCAAGCGCTAAGATGTACCGCTGGTTTCCGCCATGTGTTACTGACAACTTTTTCATAATGTCGGCTACGTCCGCCGTGACTGGGCTTGTCACAAGAGTGTGTATGAGAGTTACACATTGTGCAATGATGTGGCTCAGGTCTGCTCCTGATTGCGATGAAGCCACAAGCTTAGCAATGGATGGTGTATACGCCCCCGATTGCGATAAAACAGACCGCGATATCGGCTGGTGGTACAGGTCATCAATGGATGCGCTGAGGCACACTGCCAAGCGAGGTAGTGCGTTGTCGTGGGATGCAAGCTGACGAGCGCCAAAAGGATGCTTTGTAAACGAGATCAATGTCCGCAGAGCAGCTGCTCGGATTTGCCTTCGTTGTAATGTGCTGAGATTGGATCGTAGGCTTTCGACAAGCTTGAGGCTGACTCGGTCGATAATGAGGCGTGCCACAAAGTCAGGTTCCCGATCATGGCATATAGGCCCAATAGAATTGGGGAGAGACGAGGTCGCCAGCAGATCCAGCATGCTAATCGTATCGGCAAAGTCTTGCTTATTCGTCAACAAGAGAAGCACAAACTCCCACGAGAGCAGCTGCCAAATTGCCAGTGTCGAGTATTCGTCTCGTTCGCTCTCTGGGCTATTCGTGGCACACGCCAAGGCGCAGATATGTAATAAAGACATGATTTCCTGGGTATCCACATAGTTCTCAATCTCTCTAGGCTCCATATTGCTTGGTAGAGAGCCATCGGCAAGACGGTGCTGATGGGCTTCTGCAATGATAAATACTGTTGACTCAATCGTAGGCAGTAGATTGCGGATAACAAGCGGAGCCACTGATGTGGTGTGCAATTGAAACGTAAACGCGATCAGTTGGACAAGGTGTCGGACTGGCGCCCAGTATTGCTCCTCAAAGCACCGTGACCAGAGTGTAGTCACGAATTCCACAAAGTCTACTAGGAGCTGCATAGGTTGTTGGGCATTACCCATGAGCGGTATCCTCTCGAAGATTTTGGCCGCTAGAGAGGTTGTCGGCTCGGAGGGAAAGTTGAGCTTGGAAAGAGCATCAAAGGTGGGCGGATTTGAGGCGACAGTGCCATGATCGAGGATCAGTTGCAGAAACTCGAATGGTGCCGCTGGAGCCTCTGTAACCGTTGCTTGCTGGGTGGGTTGGGAAGAGCCGCCCCTGGCATCCGCCATGAAGACATCATCCGTGTGTGTCTCGAGCGCCGTGACTGGGCTATCGATTGTTGGCCGCTTTCGTTTCCCTTTACTTGGTGTACGCTCTCCAACGGCGGTTGCTACAGAACCACCCGCCTTGCCTCGTCCTTGTCCTTTACTAGGGCTGATGGCAATGTCCATCTCATCGAAGCCGTCGGCAATGCCCCACGTTCGTCCACCAGCCTTCTTTGGAGTCGTGGCATTGCCGCCAAAGGTGGAATCCTTCTTCTTTGTTCTGTCGCTTATGGCCTTTTCTTTCAAGTCTCGCTGCATGAATTGCAATTCTGTGTTGGCGCTCTTTTCGGCGGCAACAGCAGTCTCGAGCATGCGCTCGTGCCTCTCCTGCTGCTCTGCGTTGATTTTTCGCAGGCGCATCACTTCCATGTCTCGTTCGCGTTCGGTCTTGACCGACTTGGCGCGGAGAATAGATGCCTCTCCGCGAGCAGCATTGAGTTCCGACTCTAATGCTCGCAGCCTCTGCTGCAAGGCAGACACAACATCACCGGCCTGTGATGCTCCAGGAAGCAGCGCTCGGGCTAGCTGGCTCTGCGGAGGTCGGCTGAGAGCTGGCGGGGGCATTTGTGACGATGGTCTATTGGCTGAATGGAAAGTCGGGTTCCATTGCGGATTCGGCACGGGAGGGATCATGCGAGGTGGTGGCATAGCATCTTGCTGGCTAGGCGTATGATGGATGTTGTGTCGTCCAACGGGTAGACCAGCATCGTTTGTGACTTCTGTGGTGTCGAGATCGTCATCTTCTTCCCAGCCATAATCGATATCTTGGAGTTGTGATCGCTGCGGCTGTGTCAATTGCTTTGCCTGTGTGAGCTGGATGGCATGGGCTTCGAGAGCATCAAGCTCTGTGACGCCCATGTCGTCGAGGCCATCGTCGGAAAACTCGTCGATATCCATGTTTGTATCTATGGTGTGAAACTGGGCGTTGGAACTGCCATTGGGAATTATGATTTGGAGCACCTAAACTGCTGTATTTGCCAGTTTGGTTTCCTTCCCAATTTATGTCGTGCACGGTGGTTATCGGGTTATCTACTGGGCTTAACGATTCACGCGTTGAAGCACGCGGGCACTGCGCGACGTCACGTGGGGTGCTGTAGAGAGCGTTAGAGCTCCCTGTGGCATGCGTCTTCATCCCCCAACGCATACTTAATCTGTGGATAAGGCTTGATATCTGATAATTATGCCATGCAGACATTTGCGCTATGCAATTGGTATATAATATCATATTCGTAGAAAACAAAAAAGGACAGGATGGTTGTGTCCCATGGACAAAAGCCACATGCTGCGTCAGAGGCTCACATGCGCATTAAGCAACCAAAAGAAGCATTTGGCATGCGACATGTTACGTTGACGAAGCGGTGTGCCTGGCCGTTATGTTGAGGTTCCTAAAAAATTAAACTATAATTTCAAAAAGAGATGCTGGGCCGATGCGCTAGGGCCACTCAATGCACACATCTCGGGAGTGCATATCTGCCGAGCACCACTCAGGCATATGCTATTTGCACTACCTTTGCCTTGTTAGCCTCGGTGTTTTGCTGTGCTTCTCCGCACCGGCTCAGCGTGTTGGGGCAAGTGGGAAGCGCCAACTGTGGCTGAAAAGTGAAGCAGAAAAAAAAAGTCAATTCCCCCGCAAAGAAGAAAGTGGCTTGCCCTTCACCGAGATATTGGGTAACAAAAACAAAGAGTTGCTCAACAGAAAAGTGAAGTAGAGTGCGAATTAAGACGATAAGCTTGAATAGATGTTTTTAAAATAAAATTAGAACATGCAAAGCTAGAATCTCGAACATAAAACAAAATAAAAAAAAATCTACTTTCCCAACACGTTTTAATTCTTCCCGCCAAACTCCGCTGTTCCCGGGCCCGCTGAATCCGGCTGCAGCACCGCACCGCACACAGCGCGCACCGCCACCCTGACGTAGGTTATTTGGCCACGCTGGTGTCAGCCACATGTGTCCTCGTCCCCTGCCACTAAAGAAAGAAAACCAAGCTTGCTCGCCCCAAAATCCTCGTCCCGGCTCCACGCCGGCCGTCCATCGTCATCAACAATCGCCCCCTCGACAAATTCTCCCTCCCTCCCCCTCGTCGTCGCCTTTGCTTGCTGAAGTGCGCTTGTCCTTTGTGATTAGCTTGCGACCACTGCTGCAGAGCGCTACACCAAACCGGGCAGACATACGTCACGATAGTTAGCCTGTTCTGCTGCTGCTGACCATCTATCTGCGCATCATACACACACATTGTCGCTCGAAACACAGCTGCTGCTGCCATGGCTCGATCAAAGAGAGGGGTTAGGTTCCCCGCAAGGCGCAACAGCAACGAACTGAGCGGATCCGAAGGGCGTCGGTCAAGCTTCAGTGATGTGAGTGAAGATGGTTCCTCCAGAGCAAAGGATGCACTTAAAGCAACCCTGGAACCCGTGGAAGAGGTACGGAGACGAAAAGAGAAAAAAGAAGATTGCCGAACCCGCAGCGGCTTGGAACTGTTTATTCCACATGATGTTTTTTTTCTTGTTTATCCTCTGCGACGGTCCGGTCCAAGAACGAAATGCGCTAACCTTTCTGCTCCTTCTAGAAACCACCTACGCCCGAAGACCAAAAAGCCGAATATGAAAAGAAAAAGGCCAACTTCTGGACACGCACCATTTGGACCTTGATCATGATTGCCGGGTTCTTCATTGCCCTCTTCATGGGCCACATCTACATCATCGCCATTGTCACCGCCGTCCAGATCATCTCCTTCAAAGAGGTCATTGCCATTGCCAACGTCCCCAGCCGCGCCCGCTCCCTTAAGTCCACTAAGAGCCTCAACTGGTACTGGCTGGCCACGACAATGTACTTCCTCTACGGCGAGAGCGTCATCTACTACTTCAAGCACATTGTGCTCGTCGACAAGGTCCTGCTGCCTCTTGCCCACCACCACCGCTTCATCAGCTTCATTCTCTACGTTTTCGGCTTCGTCTTCTTCGTCGCCTCCCTCCAGGCCGGCCACTACAAGTTCCAATTCACCAACTTTGCGTGGACGCACATGGCCCTCTACTTGATCGTCGTCCAGGCCCACTTTGTCATGAACAACATTTTTGAAGGCATGATCTGGTTCTTCCTCCCCGCTGCTCTTGTCATCACCAACGATATCTGGGCATACATTTGCGGTATCGCCTTTGGTCGCACCCAGCTCATCAAGCTTTCTCCCAAGAAGACCGTGGAAGGCTTTGTTGGCGCTTGGATCATGACTGTCATTTTCGGCATGCTGCTCTGCAACCTTATGATGCGCTCCAAGTTCTTCATCTGCCCTGTCAACGTAAGTAGCGTTTCTTTTGCATACAGTCGCCCCTCGTCATACTAACATTCAATAGGATCTCGGTGCCAACATCTTCACTGGACTCGAATGCGATCCCAACCCAGTCTTCCTGCCCCGAACTTACGAGATCCCGCAATTCTTCTTCCTTCCTTCGTACCCCACGACCACGATTACGTTTGCGCCGCTGCAGCTCCACGCCCTTGTCCTCGCTTCTTTCGCATCTCTCATTGCACCTTTCGGTGGTTTCTTTGCATCTGGCTTGAAGCGTAGCTTCAAGATCAAGGACTTTGGTGACTCCATCCCCGGCCATGGTGGTATGACTGACCGAATGGACTGCCAATTCATCATGGGCTTCTTTGCATACATGTACTACCACACCTTTATTGCGGTTTACAAGGCTAGCGTTGGCTCCGTTCTAGAGACTGCCATTACACGACTAGGCTACGATGAGCAAGTCGAGCTCGTCAAGAGCATGTGCCGATATCTCGGTAACCAGGGTGTCGTGCCTGAGGAGTTGGCGGCGTGCATTGAGTTTGCCACTCGCGCCTAATTGATGGATTAAGATTACATGTTGCTTTAGTATTTTAACTTTGCTGGTTTCTTTGTGCTTTTGCTTTTCATTTCACTTATTTCCCCCATTGTTTACTTCCTCTTTCGAGGCCAATACGCAACTCTTCTCATTTTGTACCATAAGCCGCAGTAACACGGCAAACTGTACATTCGGTGTGTGGTTGGATGAAGTAGCTTTCTAGCTAGTCACAAAAGAAAGAACTATCATGTCCAGTTGACCTTCTCATAATTACTCAGTGCGCTTTCCAAAGTTTTCTTCTAAATTCAATGCAGGCTAGCATAGATATGAAACATATTGCAAGCTACAAAATCTTTGTCGTAATGAAACATGGTCATCTAAATCACTGTCGTCAGGCCTCTCCAACTTTACAGATGGCCATTTCCATTGCCATTTCCATGCCCGCTACCATTTCCATTTTCCCGGTCGTGGCCATTTGCCTCACGGTGTGTCGTAGGGCCGTGAACAGGTCGCTCCCATCCACCTTCTGCTTCAAAGAGGGGTCCAACATGCGAAGTAACACTCAGCAAGTGTCGATCATGATATCGTGGAGCTACCAAAGACAGGCCAACAGGCATGTTATTAGGGCCCCCAAATCCAGGGATGTTAACAACAGGTACGTGCAGACCAGTCCATATCTTGCAAAACAGGTAGCTGCCTGTGTCTGTTCCAACGGGGGCCTCATCGGGTGTGCTAGGTGTCAATACCGCATCATATCCATTCACAAGAGCATCAAATTGGGGTCGAAGGGCCGCCATGTTATCGAGTGCTTCCACATACTGTCGCTGAGTATACTTGGATTTGTTTTCGACATAGCCCACCATGAGAGAGTCGAGCTGTTCAACGGCGCTGCTGTACTCAGGTAGAAAGGCTTTGGAGCCCTCCATATCGAGTACTACATTATACCACTGAGGGAGCTTATCGAACGATTTGGGAAGCTCAATCTCTTCCACGATGGCACCGTGAGACCGCAATAATTCTGCTCCGCGAGCAAGAGCATCGCGAGTAGCAGGCTCCGCAGCGGGCCAGAGCATCGATTTGATGAGTGCAAATCGAGCTCCTTCCAAGGATTGGAAGGAAGATGGTTGATCGTCTGTAATCTTGAAAGCATCAGTCATCATAGTAAGGTCGTCTACATGGCGAGAAAAAATGCCAAGAGTGTCGAAAGTGAGGGAGAAGAACTTTTGGCCTTCGCGTGAGACGGCACCCCAGGTTGGTTTGAAGCCATAAATGCCACAGTACGCAGCTGGTCTAATAGTCGATCCTCCAGTTTGAGTGCCTAGCGCAACAGGGACTTGGAAGTCCCCGACGGCGGCGCCAGAACCAGCAGATGAGCCGCCGGGAGTACGCGTAATGTCATGAGGGTTAAAAGTGCCAGGCCCATTTGCTGTGGCTGCGAATTCAGTAGTCACCGTTTTTCCTTCTGCAAGTTAGCACAAAGGCCCTTATACTGAAATAGTTGGGTTCACAAACCTAAAAATAAGGCGCCAGAGGCTCTTAATATAGCAATAGATGCTGCGTCTACCTGAGGAAAGTGGCCCTTGTAGATCGGAGAGTTAAACTCAGTGGGCATATCTGTGCGTGACATCCTGTTAGCCAAGCACATACAGTATGGGATGGGGGCAGAATCAGGCTCCGAAACACTGTACCTTTAGTGTAAATCACATCTTTGACGCCAATGACAACTCCATGCAGGGGGCCTCTCTGGTCTGCAGTGAGAGCATCCAAGGCTCTCGCATTGGCAAGAACTTGGTCCCTGTCCAGAAATGCCCATGCTTTTACATCTTCATCGCGCTCGTCTATACGCTGCAGGAGTGCCTCAACATAGTGCTCGACGGTAAGTTCTCCTGATTGAATAAGTTTTGCAGCAGCCGATGCTGAGAGCAGATGAGCGTCATACATCGCAGGAGTAACGGCGGCGCCCATGACAGAAGTCGTTTTTTTCGCGATATTAATCCCGACTGGCGGTTCTGCAGGCGAAGACTCTCAGAGAAGGGTGGGAACCAGGGCCCCTGTTGATGAGTGCAAATGGGGTGCTGCTGAGCTGCAGGTTTGCAGGTCGGCAGGGATTTGTATGCGCGCTGGAGATGGTGCTGTACGCGAGCGGGCAAGCAGGGCTTTTGGTTGGCGTGAAGAGTTAGAAAGAAGACTTGTGGCGAGGAGGGGGGAAGGCAACTTGGCTGACAGTGGGTTTCAAGTGACAGGTGCTGTCGCAGTGGCAACTTGTAGATGGGCAGCTGTGCCGGCTGGCAGGTTTATAGCGCTAGGTGGGCGGTTGGTGCTGTGGGTTCTATGAGAAACAATAAAAACAGGACTACCTGGGTAATTCAGACCTGTTAGGACCTACAAGGCCAATGTGGGGGAAACTAATCGTTTTAAAACAATAACCGCCTACTATGAATCTTACAACCCCGACGCCAGCTACACGGGTCACGACTGGCGCTAGCCTCCTCGATGGGCCTGCGTCACAACGTTACGAACCGGTCAACCGTTGACTAAACATTTAATCTCAAATGGTGTCGTCAAATCAGGGCCAAGAAGTCGGTTGCGAAATGGAAAAACAAACGTAACCACACGCCAGAGCGAAATAGGACACGGCCCGGGCGTCCTAGGATCTCTTCCGATGCCCCGCGAACCAATCGTGTTAAGCCATGATAGCGCAGCATTAGCTCCTAGCATGGCTGGAGAAGACGACCAGGGGGCAAATTGCTGGGTTTAGCAATCCAAGACGTTCTCAGAGGAATGTCTAATCTCACCTCAGATACTCCTATTACGATTCAGAGGATTTTTAAAGCGCCTGGTAGACGAATCAAGTGCGACTGTGAATGCCAAAACACTTACACAGCGTGTCATGCAACCACGACCAGCAGTGGCTGAACCAGATGCTGGCCGGCCATAAATTAGGCACTCCTTTTCTAGCGTGGTTTTCCCCTTACCAGGTGGGCGGGTTAGCCTTCTTTTCTCAACCCTTGACCGACTGTATGGGTGCACATGGGGCGCAACGCCTCTGAAAGTGACGCTTCCACGGCCCCGGCAATTTGGTAGCTCACCACGAGGGCGCTCTGGATAACTGAGGTAACATTTTGAGTTGACCCCTGTTCCAAGGACGTGCTCTACATTCAAATGACAACTCTTTGGTGGGCAAAGTGGCGTAAATTACGAACCAACTTGCCTGATTTCAGTGCGGTTCATAGAGTGTATTGCTCGACGTTAATGGCATTGGGCTGCTTTATTTTTTTTTTCGACTGCACCCACATTGGATTAACCGGTGAAGGGTTGCAGGTGCAAGCGAAGTTTTCATGCAACATGTAGCAAGCCTCTTGGCCCAGCAATTTGGGTTGGGAATTGCGAGGCCAGCCAACCTCTGATCCCTGTTTGCGCTTGCGCCGATCCAACTTCCACACGAGCGGAATAGCGATTCCTCCATGCTTAGTGGTCGCTGAAACTCCCCTTAGGGTGTCTGAGATTTAGAAGGATATGCGATGCTGCTGAGAAAACCCGAAAGTTTGCGGCGCAAGATCAGAAACACTGACAAATAGAGCAGAGACAACAGAGACAGCGACAGCCGCATACAAGGGTTATTCCCAACACTACGAGGCGTTATTCACACCAATGAAAGGTGCATCTGCACATTATTCTAATCATGCAGGATGCCAGAACAGTCCATTGACCCAAATTCCTGGAACCGTGATCGCGATATGATTCAGTTCAACCACCAATACCGATCACCCAGTGTTGATTCCCACTCTAAGGTGTCAGGAATTGAGATCTCATCTCGAATAATCAATCGAGATACAAATATATTTTACAATGTCTCTGTTATTTTGCCCTCACCAAATTCCATGGTTTCGTGTTGGCGCACCACTTGGAACCGACTGCAGCCAGGGACTCGACGTCTTTACCGCGAGATGAATAACAGTAGCCGCACCGTGTAAGGTTACCAGACCACGTTCAGGGTCAGACATGCTGCTTTCCTAGCCAAAATATTTTCTTCTATTTTCTCGAGCCTGGTGCACTTATAAAGACATGGCTTCATTGCAACCATCAAATGGGCCGACAACACGCGCCGATGCCGCAACAGCAGCGACCGGCCTTGGTCCAGCGGAGGGATGATCCACCGGCCGGGCTAGCCAGTCGCGGCCTTTGCTTTGGCAACGACGTCAGCAAAACCCCGGACCAAGGAGCATCAACATCTTTTTTGCACGTCGCGTTTCCTTTGCTAGCAACGGTCTGCCATCGCCATTGCCCGCTGCAATTCTTGCCGACCGAATTTATCACAGCCGCCTGTAACAACAGCCTCAAACTGGCTAGGTTACAGAGCCCGCTGACCCTCATCCTACGCTGCGGATTGCCGTGCATACGGTCATTCCCGGTACCCCGTGACCGCTCTGTTGAACGAGTCCGGTTACCCAAACTCTGGTAGCCGTTCCGTATTACGCTCACCAGAGGAAACGGTTCGCACTCTGTAATTATCTTGCATATTTCTGCACGGCAGACTGCTGAACGCGCGACCGTCCTCTGATCTTGCTCCACGCATCCTCGCGACGATGAGCCAAGGGAGACCCGCGGCGAGCTCGCACAACTCGTCCTCGAGCCAACCTCATCAGCCACTGCAGCCCAGTACGCTCCGACAAAGTCATACGCCTAATAGCCGACCGGGTAGCCATGACAGTCAACTAAGCGATATGCCATCCGCCTCGAGACTGCCCGTTGATGGCGCCGACGACGAACATGTCACCGAGTCGACGCCGCTGATCCCAGCCTCTGCTGCACATGAGGGAGACTGCGATCACGGCACATTTAGCCCGCGCGCAGCATCACCTCATATAGACAGCTTCCAGAGCTCTCCTGGCAGACTTGGTTCTCCTCGCTCAGGCGATGATGGACTCTTTGGCTCAGGTGGCAGTGGCGCAGAAGACTGGAAGGGGTGGCTCAAGACGAGAATCAAGACGCGCCGAATGGGCCAAAGCCGCCAGTTGGCTGAGCGCGCCGGCTTTGACGACAGTGCCTTAATGTGAGTCCCAGTTCGCCTAATTGAATGTCGGTGTATCTGAACGTACAACTAACGAATCAGGTACCTCTCATACTACATCCCATGTCTGACATGGCTTCGGCAATACAAATGGTCCTATTTGCAAGGAGACTTTGTTGCGGCCTTGACTGTGTCGTCAATGTACCTACCAATGGCCCTCTCTCTGGCTTCGAACCTCGCACATGTTCCTCCGATCAATGGTTTATACTCCTTTGTCTTCAACCCCTTCATCTATGCTTTACTTGGATCCGCTTCGCAGATGGTCGTCGGTCCTGAGGCTGCCGGCTCTCTGCTTATTGGTACCATTGTCAAAGGTAGCGTTAAGGATGGTGATAGTGCTGAGGATAATGACCTCATGCATGCCCAGATTTGCGGTGTTGCAGCAGGTATGGCTGGAGCGACTGTTCTCATTGCTGGTATCGCTAGACTCGGTTTCTTGGATAACGTGCTCAGTCGACCATTCTTGCGCGGATTTATCAGCGCTATTGGCTTCGTCATTGCTGTTGACCAGCTGATCCCAGAACTAGGACTTGTCCAATTGGCAGATGACACCGGAGTTAGCCATGGAAGCAGCGTTGAGAAGATTGCCTTCATCGTTGAAAACGCTACCAAGGCTCATAAAGCCACATTTCTTGTTGCCGGTGTTAGCTTCTTGGTCATCATGGTTTGCCGCGAGCTTAAGCGCAGGTTGGAGCCAAGAATGCCCTCCGTGGTCTTCGTGCCTGACCGATTCTTGATTGTCGTCGCGTCTGCAGTTCTATGCTGGTATTTCCGCTGGGACAAGCAGGGTGTGCCGATTCTTGGAGAAGTCAAATCGGCGACAGGTGGCTCGTTTACCTTCCGCTGGCCGTTTCAAATTTCTCACATGCGCCATATCCGGTCTGCCATGTCTACTTCCTTCCTAATTGCTCTTCTGGGCTTCTTCGAATCGTCCGTTGCTGCAAAGAGCTTGGGCGGTGGTGGTCATATTCAGGGCATGGAGCTTAGTGCTAACCGAGAAATGATTGCCTTGGGAACTGCCAACGTCATTGGATCTTGTTTCATGAGCTTGCCCGCCTTTGGTGGCTACGGCCGAAGCAAAGTCAATAAGACCACTGGCGGTAAGACTCCCATGAGCTCAATCTTCCTCAGTTTGATCACCCTTCTCTCCATCCTATTCCTACTTCCTTACTTTTACTACCTCCCAGTAAGTTTATAGTATTCCGATCAGTAGCTCCTTTTTGCTAACGCTTTACAGAAACCTGTTTTGTGTTCCATGATTTCGGTAGTAGCCTGGTCGCTGATAGAAGAAGCGCCTCACGACATTTCCTTCTTCCTTCGCATTCGTGGCTGGACTGAGCTCGGCCTGATGGCGGTTGTGTTTTTGTCTACCATCTTCTACTCTCTTACATTGGGCATGGCTCTCGGAGTTGGTATTTCACTTCTCTTTGTCATCAAGCACTCGACCCGTCCTCGTATCCAGATTCTTGGACGAATCCCAGGAACAACACGATTTGAGAATGCTGAAGCTGAAGACTGCAGTCTCGAATTCATCGAAGGATGCTTGATTGTGAAGATCCCAGAACCACTGACGTTTGCCAACACTGGTGAGCTCAAAGCACGACTACGACGACTCGAACTCTACGGTACACCAGAGGCGCATCCCGCCCTTCCGAGAATCCGCAGCCAAGAAGCCAATAGAAATGTCATTTTTGATATTCATGGCGTGACATCTATTGACGGCTCTGGCACACAGGTCTTGGAGGAAATCGTGCGCAACTATCGTGACCGGGGCGTGCGAGTCATCTTCACTCGTGGCCCATCTCGAAGAAGCCACCCAGTTTATGTCACCATGGCCCGAAGTGGCATCATCGATCTCTGTGGCGGCGAGGCACATTTCGTTTCCAACGTTGATGAAGCCTTGCGCCTGACTGAGTGGGAAGATAGCATTGAGCCCACGTCGCAGCCAAGCACAGACAGAACCCTCTAGACAGACGGAATGGATTTACATATGAAGATATGGTATATAACGAGCCCAGATTTACATAGCGCCCAACATTCAATTGTCCTTGCACCGTGTAGGAATTGTAACTCTCCACAAAGTTCACACATGTTGCATTATGGATTATATATATAACAAAAAGTTTCAATTGAACCATTTTTACAATAAACTATAAACTCGCTTCCTTTTTGCAAGAATGCATAAATAAACATAAGAAAACAGCGCCATTATATCGTACCCGAGAACATTTACAAAACTTCGTTGACAAAGATGCCACTGCATCCCATGCCAGTGCCCACGCACATGCTGGTGAGCAGAGTCTTCTTCTTCTGGCGGCGAAGCTCACTGAGACCAGTGACGATCTGGCGAGTACCAGTAGCACCGAGAGGGTGGCCAAGGGCAATGGCACCACCACGGGGGTTCATCTTGGCCCAGTCAAGACCGAGCTTGTCACGGCAGTATACGGCCATGGAGGCAAAGGCCTCGTTGACCTCGACAACGTCCATATCGGCGAGCGAGAGGTTGTGGATAGCGAGGAGCTTGGGGATGGCCAAGCTAGGGCCAATGCCCATGATGCGGGGAGCGAGACCGGAGACGGTAGAGCCGACGTACTTGGCGAGGATGGGCTGGCCGAGCTTGACGGCGGTGGATCGCTTCATGAGAAGGACGGCGGCAGCTGTAAAATATGAGTTAGCATTCATGGGGTTTCAAAATGAATCAACGGCGATGAAAACGTACCTCCGTCAGTGACCTGACTGGCGTTACCACCGGTAGTGGTAGGACCCCACTGGGGGAAAGCAGCGCGGATCTTGCTGAGACCCTCGGCAGTGGTACCGGGACGGACGCCGTCATCCTTGGTGACGGTGACCTCCTTCCACTCGCCATCGGGGCCCTTGACCTTGGTCTTGATGGGGACGATCTCATCATCGACCCAGCCCTGCTTCTGGGCACGCTCAGCACGCTGGTAGCTCTCGGCAGCGAAAGCATCCATCTGCTCACGGGTGATGTTGAAGTCGCGGGAAACGTTCTCGCTAGTCCAGCCCATGGGCTGCATGCAGTCCTCGGCCTCCTGGCTGGCCTTGAGGACGGCAGCGTCAAAGGGCGCCTCGAGGCGGTCGCCAGGGGCAGACATGACCTCGGCACCGCAGGCAATACCGACCTCGATGGAGTTGGAGCTGATGGCGTGGGCAATGTTGGCGACAGAGACGAGGCCAGAGGAGCAGAATCGGTTCAGGGAGTAGGCACCAGCAGTGTTTGGGAAGCCGGCGGCGAGGGCAGCAGCGCGGAGCTTGTAGGCGGCCTTGCCATCGTTGACCTGTCGGAGTTGTGCGTTAGCATTCCCAAATTTAATGAGGACTGGCGATGTATCGTACGTTACCGAGGCAGATATCCTCGACGAGCGCGGGGTCGATGTTGCTGCGCTCCTTGACCTCCTTGAGGAGGGCGTAGATGAGGTATTCGAGGCTGGTGTCCTTGAGACCGCCCTTGCCGGCCTTTGTGAGGGGAGTTCGGATGGCAAGAGTGATGACAACGTCGTCGGCGTTCTTGGATTGGCTGCGAAGTGGCAATGTTAGTAAATGCCTTTCGGTGGCGACGGCATGTGAAGAGCAGCAAACGGAGCTTACATTTGGTTGATTGCTGAACCGGGGTTCAGGTGCTTGATGATGGAACCGATGCGTTCGACAGCCATGATGAAGAAATGCCTTTTGAAAGGGGAATGCGAGAGGGAGATGGATGGATTGGTGGGAGAGATGGAAAGAAGACGGACGGTCGGGAAGACAAAAGTGGCTGCTGGATGATATTAAAGCTGCTGGGAAAATAGTAGCCGCGGGCCAATGCCGGCCACTGAGCGGCCCCGGATTCGTGAAGACTGTGGGGTCCAGCCGAGGCACGGGGTTTTGTTGAAAAGTCCGGGGGAGTCGAGCGGCGATCCGGCCAGGGGGAAAGCATCAAATTGAGGAAATAGAACATGACTATGGCAATTTGAAGATGTCAAATACAATATTAATTATAAGAGAAGTAATTAGTAATTTTTAAAATATTTATCAAGTATCATTCTGGTAAGGTGTGGTCGTCTTGCCGCACGGTGGAACACATGGGCTCCAGTCGGTGGTGGGAGATCATCTCCGATGCCGATATCAAACCGTCTCTCGAAAAACATACTTCATCGGAATAGACGAGGCTTGATGAAAGAAAAATCAAAGGACTGAAAAATATACCTTTATACGTATACATCACGCCCTACCTACCACATACTCATAACCACCTCTGCAAGCCACCCTTCATAAAGCTATCCTCTTTCTATGCCCACTTACCAAGTAGACACAACTTACAGGCTCTTGTCTGCTTCACAAACAGCAAGTAATCGACAGCCAAAGGGCACAGGCCTCGCCTTTATACTCCTTTATATCGTCTAAATGGCATCCACCATCTACCAGCCGGGATAATACATGCCGAGCTCTGCTCATCACGAGTACCTGTCTTTTCGGCCCTTTGTAGTTACCCATAATATCCATCATCGTATAATAGAAGAAGTATTACAGAAACACCATAATTGTCAATGTTACACTGCCTAGCGCCGCCCATCAGCGGTTCGTCGGGGACTGTCGCCCCATGCTTATTCTTGCAGATCGCGGGGAAGCTTCACCTCCAAAGTCTGCGATGCCGACGTCCCCGATGGAAAATAAAAGACCTATTCCATCATCTGACCATACTCTGCATACAGAATAAGCCAATGCGAGGCTAGGGCTGCAAGCAATGGGGGAGATGCTTCTGGATACCGGCATCCGTGCTTTCCTGTGTCGAAACTTTGCCGTGCATGTTGCTGTAGACTAGATACCCAACGCCTTACCATACGGGCCCATGCTAGTCCTAACCGCTTTTTTTTTGTCCTTCACTATAAAATATGCTATTCCTCTATCCGCTCTTTTTTTATACACAATTTTTCATCTGTCCTGTCAAATTGGCGCTAATTCCCCCAACCAGGAAAAAACATTGGGCCACCCAGATAAGAGAGGGCCGCAGCGATCCGGTAGCCTATCAGGTTTTTATTTCCAGCGCTTTCTCAGTGACGCAACCCCTGTAACTGCTCCACTAAACGCACTGCCCCTTGCGCCAGTTCCGCTCGCTAGCGTCCTTGCTCCTGCGTCCAAGGCTACATGCGCAGACTCTCTCTTCCCAACTGCATCCACGCATCGCTTTCGTTTCTTTATTTTTCTTACGTCGAGCCCGGCAATTCGTTTCCCTGCAGCATTATCGGTCCTTTTCATTGTTCGCTGCATCTCTATCCGAGAAGAATAGTCCCTCCTTCAGCCCACGACTGCGCCTTTATCTATTTAAAGCGCCAGTCGGGAACCTCGTATTCCACTGACTGCGCACTTTTCTTGGTATTCCTTTTGCTTCGGACTCTTTGTTTCTGTTCAGCAATCCAGCATCTGTCAAAGTCTCAGAATCAGTTTCTCTTTTTTTTATTTCAGTCTCTATCAACCGGTAGCCGCCGCTCCGACACGATCCAAATGTCGATCTTGAATCTCCTTGTCCTTGCCCTGGCAGGACTTAGCGAAGCCACCCGATCCAACAAGCGCGGCCTCGTCTTCACTCCCAACTCAGAATGGCCAGAAGACAACAAGGTCTGGACACAAAAGGGTGGTGACTTGACATGGTACTACAACTATGGCAGCCGCCCGTCTGCCGCCTTTGCCGATATCCCCCAGGAACAGTTTGAATTCATCCCGATGATGTGGGGAATTGACAAGGGCAACCCCAACTCGACCGATTGGCTCAACGAAGTCAAGACAGTGATTGACTCGGGTGTCAAGATTACACACGCAATGGGCTTCAATGAACCAGATGGCAAAGCCGAATGGGGAGGTAGCGACATCGATCCGCACCGCGCGGCGATTGCCTGGGTCGCAAACTTTGAACCCCTGGGCAAGATGGGCATTAAGCTTGGATTGCCTGTGTGCACAGGATCGCCCGATGGCCTCACCTGGACGAAACAATTCATGGCCAACTGCTCAGAGATTGTAAGTCAGGGAGGACCCAAGAAGAACTGCACTTGGGACTTTTTGCCTGTGCACTGGTACGACAACTTTGGCGGCCTCATGTCTCATATCGGCGAGCGTCGCGCCAAGTAAGTAGAAGTTGCAAAAATGAGTACAACCTCACAACAGCATACTGACTGAAATCGAAACACAGCTTCCCCGGCGCCGAAATTTGGGTCACTGAGTACGCCCTTGCGCACCAAGACCTCCAGCCCACACAGCAGTTCTACAACCAGACGAGCGAAACCTTCGACCGAGAAACATACATTGGTCGCTACTCATACTTTGGCGCCTTCCGCTCGCAAAAGTCCAACGTTGGCCCCAACGCCACGTTCCTCGACACGAAAGGCAAGCTGACGGATATTGGCTCCTGGTATCTTGGCTTTGGCGCTACTGGCGTCAACCCCCAGAGCAAAGCGGCTAATCCCAAGGGCTCGCGCGGGCTTGCTCCCACTGCTGTTGCCGGTGCTGCTGCTGCAGGAGTTGTCTTGGCCAATCTACTGTAGAATTGTAATGGCCATGACAGGTTCCTCGCAGCGCGTGGGGCTCATGATAAAAGAATTGTGTTTATGGGTAGTTTTATTATCTGGCGTTTTGGGAGTCATAAATTGATACATTGAACCAGACTTGGTCATATACGTATATACTTCATATACACTTCATATATACTTCATATATACTCCAGCTTCTTCTCATTGTCTCCTCCCAAGGCGCTTGCCCCTACTTGAAGGTGCATGCTCGCTGGCTTGGGGTTTATTCCCCAAGTTTCTGGAGTTCTCTACTGCGTTCGAAGCGTAGCCTGTTAGACAAAGACTATCAATTAATTTGAGATGGTATAGTTGCTTGCCTCCTTATTAAGGTCAAATAGTATAACTAACACCAAGACGACGGGGTTTTGTTTTTCATAAACCCATCCATTACGTGCAGACGAATCCATGAACATGATATCCTGTCCTTGACCATCCTGTACCTCATCTAAATAGATAAAGTCGCCAGATGAGCACTGGCTAATGCAGCCCTTGTAGCTGTCGCACGGATCGTCCCGAGTAACTAGCATAGTTAATAAATAGTTGGTGATGGACGAAAACATAGAGATAACATACGAGCGGCCACCACAGTCAGTAAAGTTGCAAGAATAATCAGCCGGGATTACATGATGAAGGCGATGTAAATATTTGGTTCCTTTTATGTCAAACGAATGCTTCAAGCTGGTGATTTCAACGACGGCCCTGGGCTGTGCCTTACAGCTTTGCATGGGGATCGATAGACTCTTATACACACCTCAGACATATGTGACGTAGAGTCTCGGCACTCCCAAATCTTAGGACAGCCGGGGTGAAACAACCTATATGTAATTCAAACGCAACGACGAGGTGGAACTCTCGCAGTGCGTCAGACACATTTTCCCGCGTTTTACCCAAGCAAGTCTATGATTGGGCGGATTTTAAGACACCAAGGAGTAGACGATTGCAGTTAAGAGCTACAAAATCACATATATCATAATAGTAAGACTCGTAGTCACAGTGCTAACAAATCTGTCGATTGACCGGTAGCTCGCACCTCTAAACTCTGAAGCACGGCAGGCTACGATTGCTTTCTTTCCAACGGTTTCTGAGGACGCCCAAGGTTAGTTACCACAATTCTAAAGTTTAGTGCTCGTCTTTTTCGGCCAACATCACTACGAAAGACCGTGGGCTGTGTGTACGAAGGATGCGTTAGCTCAATTGAATAGTTGCACGCCAATGCTTTGATGGGAATCATCATCGTTATATGCTGATATATCAGCTATGTAAATAGCCGCATATCGGTCTATACCAGGATTATTCAACTGGGATATCTATTTGTGTCTAAACCATAGCCAATTACGGGTGCATGGCAATTCTAGGATACCTTGGCATCAAATCTCTTGTATGATAGTAGCTGGCATTGCGTGCTCAGGGCAGATCCTCTAGCATTTCTTGGCAGGCCTTTTCTTCCAAGACCATTTGAAGCTCGGACACAGACCTTGATAACGTCGGCATCCCATCACGGAGGTCGCTGTCACCCAAACACCCGTTCGTCGGCCCGCATTGGAGCCAGCGAGATGCTTGCTCCGGTGCCACCGAGCGTGGCGGATGCCGAGCCACGCCGCAGTGGAGCGTTGAGTCCTCCGGGTTCACGTGACTCAGCTGTGCCAAGACCATAACTTCTTGGCAGGGAAGGCGAACAAGTTGGGACGCAGATGAAGCTGTTGAGAATGAGTGAAGAAATAGTACTTGGAAATAAAAAATACAAATGAAATAACTATACATTTGAGCAAGTATTGAATGTAAAGAACAAAGTCATTTTATACCGTTTTGGGGGCATGATGTCACCAAAACGACTAGAGCGCTAAAGCAAACTACCCACAGCTTCCAGAAGGTCTGGTTCAGTGGAGTTGACATGCCAAGCCCCCCGGTGAGCAGCGCTACTGGCGTGCTAAGAGTCGCTATAAGAATTGGCGCCTGCAAGACCTGTATAGCATGGATGAGCGAGCCCAGTTCATTGGCCGCCATGCCTCGTAGATGGTGTATCTGTTTTCTTGGCACAGCTATTGTTCCAAGAGCTTTGTTGGGCACAAACATATACAACTTACTGCCGCTGTTGAGCAAACTGTTCCTGTTCTAGCTGCAGTCACTAATGCCAAGCTCTCGTGGTGCCAACCTTGCACCTGGCAGCCAGCTGGCGAACCGTTGCCAACACCTGGCGAGATTTAGGACGCAGATTGTTTCTTCCTTTCTGCCTTTGTCTACTTTTTCTAAATTAAACATAAACTTGCTCCTCAAAAGAAAAAGGCATCGCGTGACTGTTACGACTTGCATCACCACTCGATGCTGGCGTCGACTCAGCTAATTAACCAGGCCCTCACGTTAAACCTCCCACAGCAGCACCATTGGCCCCCCACGCCAGTATTGGGTCCTTAAGCCGCATGTTGATGGCATCATAGACTCATACATGCCAATCTACCCCATGCGAACTGCTGAACCCAGGTGGGCTGCATCTTCACTGCCCCAATCTGCTACGGGGCTCGGATCTTGGCATCAGTGGGGCAACCTTAAAGTCTAGCTTATTGCGCCTTGAACCGCCCTGTTCATCTGCATCCAGCGGCCATCATCTCGCGCTTGCGCTAGCTTATTCGCCTCAGCATCATGGGTTTGCCAAGACATCCGACCCTCCGACACGGAGACTCCTACACCACCTTGGATGAAGCTGGGGTGGATAACGCAATGCAGGGGAATGCGTCTGCTCCGGAAGTGGGCGATCTCGACAACAAGTTCACAAGTACTTAAAGACCGTGTTCCCCCACGACCAAGAAGCCATCTCGTAAACTCTAAACACAAAGCAAGATCAAAAGTAGTGACGCCATCTTGGTTCTGAACCATCTATCCCTTGGCATCCACCCCTCATCTACAACCACTACCAATACACCAAACCAAACAAACTACCAACTACAACGACAACACCTCTTACGGGTATCGCTGTTTTGAAACATAGCTCAGAGAACCACAACCACATAGACGGATCTCTTCAGTGCCTCACAAGCGCTACATCTGCATCTTCTCGTTCATGCATTTCGTTCAGTGCTTCACCCTCAGCCCTTCATCCGAACAGCGCGACGCAGGCAACCACAGCTGCCGCCGAACCATCTGCGACAATGGCTGAATTCTCCAAGCACCCTTTCCTCCTCTCCGTTGATGAGACCGCTCATGCTCTGCAAACAGACATTGACAAGGGTCTCACGTCGGTGCAGGTGGCCCAGCTTCAGCAAAAATACCCCAAAAATGAACTCGACGTCGGTGGTACCATTCCCTGGTACAGCATATTGACGAAACAGGTTCTCAACGCCATGATTATCGTGAGTCTCGCCATATATGCTACGCATGAGCCTCTACTAACATTTCCCAGGTCCTTGTTTTCGCAATGGCGCTAAGCTTTGGCATCAAAGACTACATTGAAGGCGGCGTGCTCGCCTTTGTCATTTTCCTCAACGTCACCATTGGCTTCTGGCAGGAGTATCGCGCCGAAAAGCGCATGGATGCTCTACGAGCCCTCTCCTCCCCCAGTGCCATGGTCCTCCGAGACGGCAAGACCCAGGTCATTTCCAAGTAAGTTCTTAGTACGCTCCTCTACAACCATCTTTTACTAACGAAACCAGCCCTGATGTCGTCCCTGGTGATATTGTTCTCCTAAAGACTGGCGACACCGTCCCAGCCGATCTTCGACTATTCGAGGCCATGAACCTTGCATGCGAGGAAGGCCAGCTTACCGGCGAGTCGATCCCCGTCGAGAAGATCTACGAAAACAACATCACTGTTCCCGATTCTGAGAAGCTCGCCACGAGCGAAGAGGAGATTGGTATCGGCGACCGAGTCAACATGGCCTATGCCACTACTGTTGTCCGAAAGGGCCGCGGAAGAGGTATTGTCACTGCTACCGGCATGCTCACAGAGGTTGGCAAGATTGCCGCCTCTACCTCCAAGAAGCAGCGCAAGGCCGGCAGATCCATGAACTGGAAGAAGTACGGCAAGAGACAGCCTGTTGTCGGACTCGCCAAGCGCACGTACGACATTCTCGGCAAGTTCCTTGGCCTGACTGAAGGCACTCCTCTTCAGCGAAAGCTGTCTGGTTTGGCCTATGTCCTCTTCTTTGTTGCCATTATCCTGGCCATGGTCGTATTCGGAGTCAACAAATTCAAGCTCCAGAACGAAGTCATCATCTACGCCACTTCCCTTGGTATCGCCATCATTCCCGAATCCCTTGTTGCCGTTCTCACCATCACCATGGTCGTCGCCGTCACTGTAATGCGCAAGGCCAACGTTGTCGTGCGAGACCTCTCTGCTCTTGAAGCCCTTGGCGGCGTGACCAACATTTGCTCCGACAAGACTGGTACTTTGACCGAAGGCGCCATGATTGTTCGCAAGACATGGATCCCCGGAAACCACCTGTACACAGTCCACGACTCTCAGAACCCCAGCGATCCCACCAAGGGTCGTGTCACATACTCCCACAACAAGGACGAGACTGATGCCGAGATGGCTGCTCCCAAGCGAGATTTCGACCGCGAGCGCAGTGCCGCTGTCCTCAAGTTCGATGTCCCTGATGAGAAGCTCAACCCCAAGCCAAAGGAGCCCCAACCCGAATCTGCTCCTGAGATGACCGACGCTCTCCGTGCATTCCTCCTTTCCTCTGCCCTGTGCAACCTTGCTACTGTCCGCTACGACAAGGAAGAAGAGAAGTGGCAGACAACCGGTGAACCCACCGAGATTGCTCTCCAGGTCTTTTCCCACCGCTTCAGCTACGGCAAGAAGTCCTTGGAAAGCGCTGGCTGGAAGCAGCTGGCCGAGTTCCCGTTCGACAGCTCCATCAAGCGCATGTCCGTCATTTACGATGCTCCCGCCGAGGAAAGCGGTTCTATCATTGAAACTTCCAGCAGCATGGTTTTCACCAAGGGTGCTGTTGAGCGTATCCTTGACCTTTGCTCTCATGTCGGCACTGGCAGCGACCAGCAGCCCATCACCGATGAACTCAAGGAATCCGTCCTTGGGCAGATGAACTCGCTTGCCTCTCAGGGCCAGCGCGTGCTTGCCATTGCGTACCGCCCCTGGGATGGTCGTTTCACCGCTAAGCAGTCCTCGTCTGCTGCCGAGGATGAGCAGCTTCGCAGCGTCGTCGAAAAGGACTTGATCCTGCTCGGCCTCGCTGGAATCTACGACCCTCCTCGCCGCGAGACCAAGGACTCCATTCGCGAATGCTCCCAGGCCGGTATCAAGGTCCACATGTTGACCGGCGATCACCCTGAGACAGCAAAGGCCATTGCCAAGGAAGTCGGCATCATCCCCAAGAACCTCGGGATCCTGCCCGACGACATTGCCAAGTCCATTGTTGTCAAGGCTACGGAGTTTGACAAGATGACCGACGCAGAGATTGACGCTCTGGAAGAACTTCCTCTGGTTATTGCTCGCTGCGCTCCCGACACCAAGACGCGCATGATTGAAGCCCTCCGTCGCCGCGGCGCCTTCATGGCCATGACTGGTGACGGTGTCAATGACGCTCCATCTCTGTCTCGTGCCGATGTAGGCATCGCCATGGGCTCCGGCTCCGACGTTGCCAAGTCCGCGGCCAAGATTGTCCTAACAGACGACAAGTTCAACTCAATCGTCTCGGCTATCCGCGAAGGTCGCCGCATGTTTGACAACATTCAAAAGTTTGTTCTTCACCTGCTGACATCCAACGTTGGTGAGGTCATCCTCCTGGTTGCTGGTCTCGCATTCATCGACGATGCTGGTCTCTCTGTCTTCCCTATTTCCCCGCTGCAAATCATCTGGATCAACATGGTTACCTCGTCCTTCCCTGCCTTTGGCCTGGGTCGTGAGGCCGCTGCACCAGACGTGATGCGCAAGCCGCCCCAAGACAAGAAGCGCGGTGTATTTACCAACCAGATCATCGTGGACATGATTGTTTACGGTATCATTATGGGCGCTTGCACCATGTGCACCTTTGTCATCATCATCTACGGCGCCAATGGCGGCAACCTTGGCAAGGACTGCAACACGCACTACTCGGAGGCGTGCGACGCCGTCTTCCGCGCCCGCGCTGCCACCTTTGCCGAGCTTACATGGCTGATTCTCATCTCAGCCTGGGAGTTCAAGAGCCTGCGCCGATCTATCTTCCGCCTCAACGCCGACGATGAGAGCAGCTTCCCCATCTTCAAAGACTTGTACGCCAACCGTTTCCTCTTCTGGTCCGTCATCATTGGCGCCCTGTCTGTCTTCCCCGTCGTCTACATCCCTTACCTCAACACCGACTTTTTCAAGCACACCGGCATCACTTGGGAGTGGACCTTGTCTCTTGGCTTTACCGTTGTCTTTGTTGCCGGTATTGAGACTTGGAAGCTGATCAAGCGCACATTCCACCTCCTCGAGGACCGTCCTATCCAGCGCGGTTCATGGGGCCAGGGAACGCCCGACGACAACGGCGTCAAGTTCCGCAAGACCATGTCCATGTCGAGCTTCAAGACGTGGGCGTCTTTCTCTCGCAAGGACACTGGTGACTCACTCTCCAAGTCGGGCTCTGCGCATGATAACAGCGCTCGCCGCGTGATTTCTCAAGTTTAGATAGCATCTCATCGATAACTCTATCACTTAATGTAATTAATCCAACTTTTTTCTTTCATCTACACGTATATCCCGCTCTCACAGTGAACACATAGCATATATTCTTGTCATAATGGTAACAATTTGCTTTGTTTAAGATGCTTTGTAGGCTTGAAAACACCTGCTCACGGGCAGTATTTCAGCCGACCACAGGTTCTATCCTCCCCACGCCCAACCACCATGACGACCCCAACAACGCCAAATACTGCTTAAGCCCGCCATGCAGGCCAAGCATCTAATTTAAAAATACCTCACTTTTCTGTTTTTCTGTATCGAAACACTCCTCTAAACTCCGGCTGCTGCTCCCAACGAGGGGGTGTCACCCTCGTAACTTTGCTTCTCATTATAAATGTATATACTTTTTTCTTCTCCACAGCACTAAAAGGAACCCCAAATCAGGTACTGCTTTTACTCGTCGGAGAGGTTGTAGATCTTCTGGATGCCCTCAAGCATAGCCTTGAAGTCGACCTTGAGATCCTTGACCAGACCGTCCTTGAAGTCAAAGACCCAGCCGTGGACAATGGGGTACTGGTTCTTCTTGAAGGACTGCTGGATGGCCGCAGTCTTGATGACGTTGCGGCACTGCTCGACGACGCTGAGCTCGACGAGGCGGTTGTAGCGGGCGTCCTGGTCGGCAATGGCATCGAGCTCGGCCTCGTGCAGGCGGTAGACGTCGCGGATGTTGCGGAGCCACGGGTTAAGCAGGCCAAGATCCTTGGGGGTCATGGCAGCCTTGACACCACCGCAGCCGTAGTGGCCGCAGACAATGATGTGCTTGACGCCCAAGTGGCGGACGGCATAGTTGATGACGCTCATGACGCTGAGGTCGGTGTTGACAACCAGGTTGGCAATGTTGCGGTGGACAAAGGCCTCTCCGGGCTCGAGGCCGAGCAGCTGCTCAACGGGGATACGGGAGTCGGAGCATCCGATCCAGAGGTACTCGGGGGCCTGGCCGGCGTTGAGGCGGACAAAGTATTCGGGGTCCTTGGCGGCCTTGTCGGCAGCCCACTGGCGGTTGTATTCAAAGAGCCTCTCGTGGGACTGCTCGAGGTACTGGGAGACGGACTGGTTGTCAGAGCCGGCCATTGTGAATTTGGTGCGGGCTTGAGCGGGCGAAGAGGCGGGCTTAGCTGGAGAGGAGGTGTTGCAGCAAGAACTGGCGAATCGACGCGCAAGAGGTACAGAGGGCGATGATGGGAGTGGTCGGGCGACGGCGAAGCGAAGCGGACGAGAGAGGATGCGTGCGGCGGGGTGCATGAGAATTTTATATGCACGACGTAATCAAGTAAGGCAAGTCAAAACAAGAAGTAGGCGTAAACGGCGCTAGAAAGGGCAGGAAAAAAAAGAGTGAGGGAGTGACAGGCGGGGATGGGGTTGCAGCACAGCGGGGAGGGGGGGGGGCGCTGAGGGCGTTGGTTGGGGGGAGAAGATTGGCGGTGATACAGTGATAAGTGGTGTATTAGTAGGCGTAGTAGTACAGTATTATAGCAGCAGTAGTCAGTAAGGCGGGCTCGGCTTATGTGTAGTGGGATGGTGTTGTGGATGTAGTGGAGAGAAGGTTTGTTGAGTGCTGAGCCAGCTCCGCGGGCCGATGGCTTCCGGGTCTGGCCGGTTTGCGGAGGAGCAAAAAGCCGAGAGTGTACCGGGTAGCAGGTGCAATTGCGCGGCATAAACGAGTGTAGGCGTGGATAATGTTGTCTTTTTAGATTTATACGCACATAAAACTTGACTATGTATGAATATCTGTGAATAATTGAAAAATGGTGATAAGATGGTGTTTCTGCAGCCGTGGCGCAGGATATAACAGGCACGTTGTTTCACACTGAAAGTATGACATAGTAGTGTCGGTGCAAAAGCTCACAGCATCACAAGCTGTAGATGCGGCGGTATTTCCCCAATGCCTGCAAAAACAGCTATGAAAATAGAATAAATCGATTGGAACCAGAAATAAATACAAACTGTCACATAGCAGCCTTTGTTTTCCTTTCCTTCTATTTTCCAATCCCATTGCTTGCCGTCTTCCCTCTTCCGGCTGGCTCTAGAACCATCTGCATGAACACCCGCCTAAAACAAAAACAAACGTTAGCGCCTGTCCCGCCCTACAAAGTCCACTACAGAACAACAGCCGTACGTTCCAGCGCTCCCAAGACACTGAACCACCACCCACCTTCAGCAGCCCGTCTACACTACAGTACGCACTGTACGGACAGCAGCCCACTAGGCGCTTCGCTTGCACTCCCAAAACAAGGCACAGCTGGCCTCGCTAGCGCAAATCAAGGGTCCATCCTCCGCTACAGTGCAGCGTGTTTAGTGGAGGCCCAGCGCTGCACAGTGCAGGTACTCACTAACCGACATGCGACTTTTGCAAAATCCCATCTTCGCAGCATGGCAAACCGCCAACGTCGCCTCTCCACCATCACCACCTTTTTGGCTCCTTTGCACCCTTCTTGCGCCCTTTACATCGCCATCCGTGCTATTCTTACATCATTTCGATCCCTTAAGTCGCCCTCATCCGATATATTCTCGGCTTCTCTTTCGCTTTCACATCCCCTCTCCCCTCTCCTTCGCACCGCCGCCTCTTGCCCCCTCAAACTCATGGCTCGCCTCGACCGTTGAGTCAATCTGCATTCCGGTCCCGGCCCGGCCCCCTCTCGCCTTTCCGCATCTGCCGCATCCTTCTTGCATGTACCACGAGGTCAACGACCAACCCATCTGCGCTCTCTACTGCTTCTTCGTCTTCATCTTCGCCAGTGTCATTGATTCCGCGAGTCACCTCTTGACGCAGCAACATCGTCATCAACCATTCTCGCTTGCCGCCTTTGCGATTAGATTCGTCTAATGTGAAACACGGCATCGCCCATGTCTGTATCGAGCACCAGCGATGTCGAGAGCAACCCATCGCCCGTGCACGCTGGCAATGACACCATGTCGGATCACCACCATCGCCACAGCAGCCACTACCACCCTGCTATACACAGGCCGCAGCAATCCACCGTAACACACTTGCAGCCCGGCGAGAGCCTTGAAACAGTAAATCTCACCCTGCTTACCGTCTCAGTTATCTACGCATTGTACTAACCATCGCCTTCAGATTCGATGTTTAGTGCAGGATGTCGCCAAGTTCAAAGGCAACGTTGGTAGGCTGACAGACGGGTTGCATGCTTCCAACAGCCGTCATAGAAACTTTACGCAAGATGGAAATGGCCGGCGTCCTGATACTACGTCTGCAGCTCTCAACGGCTCCCAACGACACCGTGAGAGGGACTCCTCTCGTAAGAGCCCGCTGAGCAGGCATCACTCCGTCAACGAAAAAGCCAGCCCAAGACTGGGACGCGCAGGTGTACGTTGAATAGCCCATTACTCAAGTGTATATAAAATACTAACAGCCGTGACTACAGTTTCGTAACTCACAAGTTGCCTGCCATTCCTGCAACAGAATAAACAGTCCCGAGTGGCGCCATGGCCCAGACGGACCCGGCACACTTTGCAATGTCTGTGGCCTTGTCTATGCGAAGCGCCAGAGCCATAGGAAACAGCAGCACAAAGACCATCGAAAGCAATAGGTTCTCTGACTGACGGCGCACAAAACGCATCACCCAATGTACTACGACCACCAGTATCACCACCCATCTACGAACATGTTACGATAATCATCCTTTTGCATTCACGTCATTGCTTTTTGGCTTCTATTTTATGTTTGAGATTCCCCATATTGAGCGTTTTGAAGTTTACTACAATCAACTTTATTTATATGACACAACGCATCTTCATGTCGTTGTCTGTGTAGTTGAATAACGGTGCATGTGATGAGACATCCCAGTGCATACAGCGTGTCCTCATCCTTACCAAATCAATGGCCGCACTAGCAGACAACGAAAGCGCCACCACCAGCTCTCTATTTGAACATTGATTTACATGCTTCGTCCCCGCAATGTACCAAAATAGACTGTCCTCTATGTGGCTTGTTGTGCTACTGGTACCGTTATTTGCGTTCTCACGAGCCGCGAACCGCGAGCTATTGAAGAACAGCTATTCATGCAATCAAAAATGGCGCGCATCGTATTGCCATTTCATTCATACATACATATCAACGTATTTATGCCACGTATAAAGGCCGAACTATATGAATATCGCCACCAAGCTGCTGCTCTCGATGACGTCGCATTCGCAACGAGATGGCGCGCGGAGTAGCATCGCCCATCGCCATCTCGGCACAATGTCACAACGAGCTGTCAATCGTGGGGTTTCATTGCAGCACAAAACATACAACCTACTGCCAAATGGAAATATATTTGCTGCTTGATATTGCTTTCGCTCTCGGAACATAATGCACCGAAATACTTCAAAGTGCGCAAGCTCGTCGCAATACATGCAATATTGCACGTCAAGAAATGGCTTATATAAAACAAGCCTCTTTTCCCTAAAATAGGGCTCATTGTTCACCATTGCATACACTTCCAGCCTCAAGTAACAATGGCGGTTTCTATATCAAAGCTATCCTTCGAACACCATCGAAGTGCCTTGGGTATTGGTGAATCTGCCCCACGAATATCATGGCGGTTCCAAGGCGATGCACCGAACTGGGAGCAGTCAAGCTATGATATCCAGGTGGCCAGAACGGGCAAAGGAGCTACAGAACCTGTTATATATTCGCACAACTCTTCAGAATCTCTCTACGTACCGTGGCCAGACCAGGAGCTTGCCTCCATGGAAAGCGCCAAGGTTCGAGCCAGAGCTCATGGAAAAGCTGGCCAATCATCAACTCCATGGTCAGATTGGGTGGCGGTTGAAACAGGACTACTCAAACCAGAAGATTGGTCGGGCGCAACGCCTATTGCTGCTATTCGCGACTATGACATCAATAGCCCCAAGCGTCCCATCTACTTCCGCAAAACATTTGCTTTAAACGAGACAATCACTTCAGCTCGCTTATACATCACTGCACTAGGACTGTACGAGGCGGAGATCAATGGACAGCGGGTGGGCGACGCAGTATTGGCGCCTGGATGGCAGTCGTTCAACTACCGTCATGTCTACGACACATACGACGTGACACACCAAGTTAGCAAGGGCGAGAATGCGATCGGAATTGTTGCAGGCGAAGGTTGGTTTTCTGGTAGAATTGCTTTTGACGGACGAAACTGGTGGGGGAACAATATTGGAGTCCAATCGCTGCTTCGCATTACCACTGCCGACGGTCAAGTTATGACTATCCCCACCGATGAATCATGGAAATCAAACGTGGGACCAATCGTATCCTCAGAGATATATGATGGTGAACTATACGACTCGCGCTTGGAAGAATCCACCAAAGGATGGTCGGAAGCCGGCTTTGACGAACGCGCTTGGCTTGCGGTTGGCAAGCTACCACCCGTCAAAGGCTCACTTGTATCTCCGGATGGCCCTCCAGTTAGAAAATTGGAGACGCACAAATACCAACAAGTTTTAAAATCACCCTCTGGCAAGGTTATTCTCGACTTCGGTCAAAATCTTGTTGGCTGGCTAGCCCTCAAGGTGCAAGGCCCAAGTGGAACTAACATCACGATCCGCCACGCTGAAGTTCTTGAGCATGGCGAATTGGCCTTAAAACCGCTCCGCTCCGCTAAAGCAACCGATAATATCATATTGCATGGAAACGGTCCACAAACGTGGGAACCAAAGTTCACATTTCACGGCTTCCGATATGCCGAGATCGATGGATGGCCTGCAGACACACCCATCAGCCAAGATGCCATTCAAGCGATGGTGGTCCACAGCGACTTGGAACAGACTGGTTGGTTTGAGTGTTCGCACGAGCTACTAAACAAATTTCACTCCAACGTCCGGTGGTCGATGAAGGGAAATTTCTTGACCATCTCCACGGACTGTCCGCAGAGGGATGAGCGTCTAGGATGGACTGGTGATGCACACGCCTTCGGCCCGACAGCAAATTTCCTTTACGACACAGGAGGATTTTGGCGTGGTTGGCATCGGGATATGTGGTCAGAGATACAAAGAAATGGTGCCATGAAGGTTCCTTTCTTCGTGCCCACAGTACCACCAGGTAGCAATGATCCTGGCGCTGCCGTCTGGTCCGACGTCTCGGTTGCTGGTCCCTGGGATCTTTTCCGATTCTATGGTGACAAGGGTATGCTTCAAGAACAGTTTGCCCAGGGCAGAGCTTGGATCGACCATGGTCTTCCCCGAAATGCTGACCGGCTCTGGGATCGCAGCAGCTTCCAGTTTGGAGACTGGTTAGATCCAAAAGCGCCACCGGAGCAACCCGATGCTGCCACGACACCAAAACATCTTGTTGCCGATGCCTACTTAGTACGAATGACAGAGATTCTCATGCTTGTGGCTGAAACATTGTCTGATGACGTTACGGCAAGCGACTACCGAGCCCAACGCTCGCAGCTTGTTAAAGAGTTTCAGAAAGCGTGGATGCCGGCAGGCAACATGACCAATCAGACGCAGACAGCATATGCTCTGGCACTTCACTTTGGCTTATATACGGATATAGACCAGCGCCACGCTGCAGCAAACGCCCTCCGTAACATTGTGGCACAAAATGATTACCTCGTTGGGACTGGGTTCGCCGGAACACCGGCACTGGGACCTGCACTCCAAGATGTGGGCGCCGCGGAAGACTTTTATCGCATGCTGCTACAAACAAAGGTACCCTCGTGGCTTTACCAGGTAGTCATGAACGGTACTACTACCTGGGAGCGATGGGACAGCATGCAGCCCGATGGCTCCATCAACACGGGTTCCATGACGAGTTTCAACCATTACGCTTTTGGAGCTGTGGCAGATTGGATTCACACAACCATTGGTGGTTTGGCTCCGGCCGAACCAGGGTGGAGGACGATCAAGGTTGAGCCGATTCCTGGTGGTAGCATTACCAGTGCCGAGACCCGATACGTTAGCCCCTATGGTGCCATCGAGCTCAAATGGTGGGTGGATGACGTCGGCTTCCATCTCAACTTGTCTGTTCCTCCGAATACAAGAGCCGTCGTCAAGTTGCCCAAATCTCAAGAAACTCTCCGGGTTGGCTCAGGCATCCACAAATTCCACCAGTAGAGGGGGACAGTTTACATCAAGTTGCTTCTTTTGTAGTTGGCTCATATGCTTGGGGATGGTCCGTAACGCTCTTCGGTTACGATATGTGATGCGGAACCAACATCGCTAAGCAGGCGACGTAGCATTGCGCCAGAAGCTATCCCAAGTTGTAGTTAGCGGTGTAAACGCACCGACTGAGGTCACATTTCTAAAGTAGCAACTTCAGCCCTAATCTCCGACAGCAACATTATGTACGTATCACTCGATTACCGGCCGTGACTGTAAATGTGTTCCCATCGGGATCGAGTACGCCAAGCGCTGGTAAGCCCTGGCGCAAACCTCTGCTGTGGTGTAGGTGTGACGCATCAGGGAAAGCCCATATGAAATTTTTTTGGGATACGACAAGCCCGAGTACAAGGCTCACGCAGCGATCGGTCTGATGTTGCCGTATTTGGTCGACTTGCGAGCTGCCAGTGGGCCGCAGTGTTCGCTCAAAGACGTGCTAAACAACAACAAAAAGTGTCTCTAAAACCCTGTTTTAGGCTGCGACTATTGAATTGGTGTGGCTTTCTTAGGAGCAATCGTCCATACGTTAGTAGGCGCTGGGTTCATGATAGTAGGCGGGGCCGAGCTGAAAGAAACCTCCACTACGCGCGGAAGGAATCGAAGTTGACCTGCAGGAGAAACCTGCACTTCCGTAGAACAGGGTCTAAAACGCCGTCCAGCCAGAAAGGGTGTGTGAATCTTGGACCAAGTGGATTGATTGACCGGGCCGTGATGTTAGTGGGACAGAGGCCAATTATTTCAGCCGATCAGCACATGTCCTGATCAGAATTTTTCCATCAAGACTCGTGTATTCACACATGGAGCGAGCGAACCTGGATCAGCCCAACAAGGTGGCGTACAGCGTGGAAAGTCTAGCACGCACCCAACATCATCCCTGCTGGTACGCTGTACCCCCACCGATGGCGAAACGGCTGCATATGTAGAGTATTGGTGCAAGGAGTGTGTGGCTGCATTGTGGCCTCGTTGGGCCTTTCGGGCACTCGTTCTTCTCTCAGGCGAAACCTCAGAACCGTGTTCCCCCCTTTCCGTTCCGTCTTGCTACTGGCGCCGACGTTGGTTGTCTCAGAGGTGAGGTGACCATCACTAAAGATCATACTACCGACCTGACTCCATTTTCCATTCCTGTCAGCGTTTTCCCCAAGATATGTAACTCTGATCAAGATGACAATCGGCCTTGTCCGGGTCCGTTTCGCTCTTGGCAAGCGGGCAGGATTAACATGATGCCAGAGAGTAGCTTTTTTGCGTTGCTCACGTTAGCTTACCAAGTGGGCAACAAGCTTAACACTTGCCTATACGGTGCTAGAACGAGATCTGACCAATCAAAGTATACCGTCACAGGTCTGCTTACGCGAGCTAAGCCCACGGCCGGGTGTCCTAGGGTGGCTGGCCAAGGGCCTGAGGTGCCGAATATGGGTGCTATTTCCGTCTTTCTGCCATTCTCAGGAACATGTTTATTTCTTTGGCCACCAACGCTCGCAGCGAACCTATCCACAACTGTAAGGGGCGGCACCCAGGGCAAAGTGCGATGCCTAAGATGTACCCATCCAGTCCGTCAGGCACCACGTGCTGAGGAAGAGCTTCTTTTGTGCACGGCTTAATTCACCGACAAAAATTTCAAGTTAGCACGCGATCGGACAAAGTACTTTGGCCCTATTTATCGGATAATACCCATTCAGTCACTCCATAAATGCCAATACTGAGATAGCGATTAAGAATGGTAGTCCACCGCGAGTATTCGCAACCGTATGATTCAACGCCCCTGATGTATATTGTGCAGACGAATTAGTACTTGTTGGACCTATATGGTCAAGACGCCTTGTTGGCGGGCAACTTTATAAATGCTTTGAGCGATCCTGGTAGTATCGCCCATCTTGATAGGTATAGTATGGTCTCCCTCCCATTCGATGATAGTCCGGCTGGCTTCGCTGCAGTATTCTGCGGCAAGCTGACGATGCATAGGGAGACCTTCATCCTGAAGACCATGAACATGGATGGTCGGGATTCGAAGAATATGCGGCGAGGGTAGTGTGAAACCACCAGAACTAGCTGCTGTTGTAGGCGTCGCTAGGGCAGGGCTCAAGCTGTACTCACACATGCTAACCAAAGGTGCTCTGGCGGCCATGATGACACCAAATTTGAAATCCTCTTCTACAGCGGGTCCGTCCTTTTCACGCCGTATTTGCTGATCGTAAAGAATGCTGGCGGCGACTTTACCACCTTGGCTAAATCCCAAGATCCCGACCCACGGGCCCGTGCCAGCATCATTGGTTTTGCATCTCTCCACACAACTTCGAACTTGACGGATGATGGCTTCGTCTTGACCTTCTGCGTGGATGCTGGTCAAGCGAAGCCAGCTTCGATATGGTCCCCATTCTTGATAAATCGGCAAGATACCAGGTCCGGCGCTGCTGAGAAACGGCGCATCAGCAAAGCAAAGGCGAAAGTCCGGCAGTTGTCGAATGAGTACACGGCTTTGTGTTTCAAAAATTTTAGAGTTTACACCTCCTCCATGGAGGCAAAGAATTCGCGGCCTATTGTCAAGCTTAGACGTATGGGGTGGCTGTTGTGGTTGCATGGTCGTTGTGGCGCCGGACTAGGTAGCTGCAAGGTTCGGCACAATAGTTTCCAGAAGGTAGGCAAAAAAAAAAGAAAGTAAAACTAAGAAGGATATAGCACACGCGTAAAGACTGGAAAGTGCTTGGCATATAATCAAACTCAACGAACGACAGGCGTTATAGTGAAGTTCATCTGTTGATAATAATAAAGGGTCGTTCTGGATTACACGGAATGCCTTCCCCTTTGGTCAACGGAGAGCATCTCTAAAGTAGGCTAGAGTATAGCGCGGCCAACTTTGCCGCGCGCGGCTTGTCAGCACCGATGGCGTGTTTGAGAGGAGGGCCTCCTGGCAGGCAAAAGACATAGCGCAATGGCAGGGTCTGAATGTAGTGAGATTTGTAAAAGCATGATGACCAAGGGCCTGCGGGTGGAGCAAGGCGTCTGCCTTGCCCGGCTCTCGACAAACCCAACGATGGCCGGCTATAGGACAGCTCGGACAAGTCGGCACCTTTCGTGGCGTCCAGGATACGGCGCCACGATAGCACGGCTCAGAACGGCGAACGGACAGTGTTACGATCTATGGCTGGCAACCATAGCGCCGGCGATCCTGTAAGCAGAAGAATCGATTGTATGTGTGTGAGCGTTCTTCGGGTTCTTACAAGCGCCGGCAGCCGTCGGGATTCAGGTCGGGACAGTGGGTAAGTCGTCTTAGATCTTACATGTCCGTTCGCCTCTGTCACATTCGGACTCGCGCACGCGGACTGGATCTAAGCACCCGTAGGCAAGTGCACCCAAATAAATGCCAGGTGTTTTACTTCCGTGGACGAGCCAATGCGGAGGTTCATTTTCCCAGAGTAGCGTCCAGTCGACTGATGCTGCTGATGACGATCACGATGACGCGGGAGCGTGCTGCAGCCTTCACAGCCAACGCCATGCCCGAAGAGGAAGCAAAACAGGCAGATCCTTCAAGGCATACCGCCGTTTAGTAACATATTAAAAAAGCTTGAACCGGAAGGACGATACGCACCGTCGGATGGAGAGTTGAGCGCGCCCGATGCATGCATGAGTATCAAAAAGTCCGAGAAGCGAGACGACGAGGAGAAGGTTTGTAGTACGCCTTGCAGGTGACCCATCTGCAATCTGTGACTACTCGCCGGCTGGCAAGATGTATCCTGACACTTGCCACAGCTGGCACGCCCGGCAAGTAGTACGCTACCAGCTGGCAGGCAGACAACCCTGCCAAAAGCAAGAAAAAAAAACGAACAGGCAACGACCTGGCATCTTGGATCTCAACGCGAGATGACACTTAATTTGTGGCTCAAGTGGGTTTTCAGCGCCCCAAATAGGGGGCCGACGACAACGGTGGGCATCCAGTGATAATCCTGTCTTGAAGATCTGCCGCGGCGCCCAGATCGAACCCCATCAGGGTATAGCTATTGGCAGAGGACATGAAAACTCATCCACGGTTTGTGATCTTTGCATTTACAAGTCTCGTTTTGTCGGAGATGGTTGCATTCTGTCTCATCGTGCACAGGCCACGAATAAACTATGCTTCTCGAAAATGCAAAGAATCCGCACTCCACCTGCCATCAGCACTATCAATAGAGGTGGCCACGGTCTATTTCCCCACGTTCACCATAGGCTGGTGAAGGAACGCCCACTGCCACGGGTCAGAGCGGGTGTACCAGGCAGGGTACGAAGCTGAGCGTGCTGTCAAACCCAAACGAAGAAGATTAGGCCTCCCTGTTTGCCGTCCAAACCCACAAATCGCAGCGCAGAATGGAACTGCTATACCGAGTAATGCGATGCGCCCCCAATCATTAGGGGCGGCGGATCCTCTCAATCTAGGTAGAAATGGATTCAACTGGGTCTGGCTCGCGTTCACACAAGGCTGGCCCTCTTAGAATCAAGTATTCCAGCCTCTATTGATACAGGCCTCCATCAGCTGAGAGTTAGCGCAATCCCGTGCCTTGCCGATAGGATTGGGGCTGTAGAAGAAATACGTGTAGAACCACTTTAACTTGGGTTTAAACATTGGGAATAAGACGGCCTCCGAGGAAAGACGACGAAACACGAAGGGGCCGTCTTCGGTACGTCGCAGAAGCAGCATTGGTTCGGAAACACTCGGTCAGTGTGGATGCATAGAAGCATAGAAGGACAGCCTGGTTCCAAGAAAGGCTAACAAGTGTTCTGCAGTGCTTATCAATACCTTTGCATGGCAGTCGGGGACTAACGGCCTTACAAAGCGAGACCAGACTGGATGGTGTGCTCAGCGCTTGGCTGGTGCTAGGCGGGCATGGGCGGCTGGGCTAGCTTCTGGAAGACAAAGCGACGCAGAGAGCGTCGCATTTCGTGGCACTGGCGCTGGTTGGCTTCAACTTGGCGAAATCTGTCTGCCGCTCTACAATATCTTGGCTTTCCTCGTACACCTCCCAGGGTGCGGTGCCGAGCCACGAGCTCCCCACCAGCCCACTGTATCCTGGGTTGGCCGGCCGGGAGGGGGTGTGCGTTCTGGAGCCATTGCGCCAGCAATCGGTGGCGCGGCTTTCATAGCGACCCCGTTCGTGCTAGGTGCACCCGCCTAGGGAACTTGACAAGGATACTTTCGGGCAGCACATCAGCTTGGAGGGGGGCAGAGGGGTGTCGAGAGCCTTTCCCAGGTCTGACATAAAGCTCTTACGGTTGTTCATTGTATGCACATGGGCGGTAGTCGTTCTTGGCTTCCCATAGTAACCTTAAAACTCAACAACGGCCCCCCAGATTCCATGCAACTCATTTCCTCCCAGCCAAGTGGTTCTACAAGGCACCCCCCAAACTTATATCTACTTCAATCCCACCCACTCTGTTTCTGGATCAAGACATTCACGTACTTCCTACCTACACCTATACACCAAGAGACACAAACACAAGAACGCAGTGTTGAACAGTTATACACACATCTGCATCTTTCTTCTCTATTGTTTCCTTCCTCTCTCCCCTCTATCACACCCTCTTACACTCACAACATGGGCCTCGCCATGGAAGACACACGCCAAAGAGCAGGCTCAGCTTCGAGCAACACAACTACTACCAAGGCAGAACGAAGAAAAAGCCAATCGCCACAAGCCAGCAGTCCTGAAGCAGAAAACAGCGCCGAGACAGACCAGAAGGCCAAGAAGCGTATCCAGAACCGTGTAGCCCAAAGAACATATCGTATGTCCTGATCGTTGACCATGTCGACTGTTTATCTAGGCTAGTGCTAACGTGACACACAGGCAACCGTATGAAGCAGAGAGTCCAAGATCTTGAGGCTCAGCTCTGCGAAATGCGAGCTCGCCAACAGCAAGCACAGTTTGCCGGAGCTGAGTATCCTGCAGCAAACATGCACGCCGAGGGCACTCTTCCTTACCCTGCGGGTGCCAACATGCAGCACACCATGTGGCAGGCCGCCCCCAATATGGCCAGAACGCCTGGTGTGATGCCCAACGATGTCTGGCCGACGATGCCTGTAGATGGCACCCACACTCCTAACACCGATGTCAACATGCAATCCAACGCTTTCATCCCACAAAGCTTCCAATCCCACGGATTCCCCACGTCTGGAGTCATGTCACCGCTTAACCTTCCTGGATCCTCTGGTATCGACAACCTTCCTCACACCATGATGCCTTCAGATATGGATATGCACTCTCCCGAAGGTATGGGCCACCCCGGCCGCGGATCCCTAGATGTTCAGTCTCTCTACAAGATGGGCCACCCTTCTGAGGTCTCAGAGGAAGATGCCAACCCTTGGGACAACAGATCTTATGTCATGTCACCTACCAGCTCGAGAATGGGCGCCGTCGCCGCCAGCGGTACCGCCAGCGTCATGTCATCCTCTCCATGGGGTTCGATCGCCACGGCGCCTACTGAGGTCTCTGAGGATGGCCTTCCTTCAAAACAGTCTACCATGGAAGAACGCTTCGAGTATGTCTTGGACTGTGCTAGAAAGGTGGGCTTTGAGACTTTTGACAACATGGCCAGCCAATATTACGCCCAAAACTTTGATACCAACTCTTCCTTGGCCATGGACCAACGCGTGAGCCGCAACCGCCACCTTCCCGCTATGCTCGCAGATATCCGTCAAAATTCCGGCAACTGGAGCTCTTGGGAGCGCCGTGGATTCCAGGACGAGACTCTCAAGACTGCAGAGGAGATTTGCGCCGCTGAATGCCGCGATTTCAAGGCCAATGGCGACGCTGCCAGCTTGGCGACGATCCAGCAAAAGGTACAGTCCTTCCCTATTCGGCTCTGAAACGCTCGGCATGCTAACCCCCAACTTACTAGCTCCCCAATGTGTGGGCTCTCCTCACAGGCTTGGCAACCAGCCCAGGCTTTTCCAGACAGGGAGACCGAACCAACCTGGTCTACCACAGCATTAAGCAGCTCTGCGCCTTAGAAGAGAAGGCCACCCAGCTGGTGCAAGAAGCGAAATGATTGCGCACCTTCATTCTTCACTTTTCTTTTTCCAACAAAGATTCTTTTGTACGTTGTTCTTGTTCACTTCCAACACACGGCAATTCTTGCTAACCTACCGCCCAGAAAGACTTCTCTTCTATGCACTTATTCTTCACAAGTCGCTGTATTCTTTGTATGCACAGGCTGCTTACTGTGCTAGCGGGCCCTTTTTTCCAGCACAGAGGCCCCTAGCTAGTTTGAAATTAAAGTTTGACATGGGCGTTTCGGGATGGGCAGCGGCTAGGAGCCAGCCCCGGTTAGTAGCATGGCTTAGACCAGCAAGCTACTTGTGTCTTTTTTTGCTTTCCTTTTTATTCTTGGTTTTGCGCTAGCGCTGCATAAAGACGGGAACTTACTCGGGCACTGGGCCCGGGGTTGGGGGCGAGATTTGTCTTGTTTTTTTTCCTCTATTTCTTTCGGAACAAAAAAGGCGAGATGCAGATTCTTCTTTTGATTTGTTTTCGACGGCGTATGGATTTTTGGAACGAACGGAATATCACATAGACTATCGGCAATGCATTCGATCTAACGTATTACTCTTGCATCTTCTCTTCACCTGGAAACCTTGTTCATCGCCCACCTAGATCTTGGCTGCCGTGCTTATGGAGGAGAGGGCCGCTATTCTCAGATAGACTCTTGGCACCGTGCTCAGCCACCGAATGGATTAACAGGCCAAGGATCCCAGTGCCCGCACCTGACCCAGGTACAACACATACGGTTTGATTTTAGTTTGCAACCACTACCGTGAAGCCTGAGGGGGCGAGAAGCCGACCGCTCCTGCAGGAGGGGAAAGACAGTGGTCCAATCGGCGGGACACGCTAGCCATGAATACATGCTTGGCATTTGTAAAGCCACCTTACTTCGGGCCAGAGGTTCCCCCACTGTTGAAATGCATATCGTTTGGATAGCCTGGGGCCTTGTTTGGCTTGGAGTGCGTGCCTCTTGTCCCTGGTGACGACAGACCTTCTGTAGCAGAGAAGGCGAATGCGCAAGTCGTACAGTAAGCTCAAGGAACGGAAACAGTAGCGGAAAACGAGCGGCAGGCAGGCATACAACCATGAGACAGGCTCGGAAACCAAAGTCCTACTGCGAAGTAACGCTGACAGCATGGGATCAACCGTGGATCATGCCCGCATCGACTATGTCACCGCCCGATGACAGCGCCAAAAGGCCCTACGGCACCACCAACTGGGCTCCGACTCACCCAGCGTTGCTAGTCAGATGCGCTGTAGGGTCCTCACCTCACCGTAGAGTGAGCACAACCGTAGGCCAGCGAGGGGCGTTCTGGACACACAGCGCCTGACAAAGCGGCTTGCATTCTGGCCGCCCATGAGCGATTAGGTTCTGCTGTTGCGCCGATGAAGCAGCACGCACCCCCTCCTTCCCTGGAAGGGGGTGTCTCTGCGCTGTAAGAGACGCTGCTGCTGGGTTCCTTTGCGCAATGTTGCGTTCTTCAGAATAAGCTTCTTTTTTTCCCTTTCGGTCCGTTGCCTCGGGGCATCGCGTAGCACTACGCCAAGCCAGTCGTCTAAGCATAACTTGCGTGCTTGCTTGCTTGCTTTGTCAGATGCTTAATCTTGGAAGAAATGGATATGCCTACGCAAACACCAAAACCCCGTGCCCGCCGCCGCTCCATATCTCCAATACCAATATGTCACGCCTAGAAGAGGGGTCCATTTGCTGCAAGCCAGGGGTTCCAGCACCCATCGGAAGACCCTCTACAAAGCCCGGACCGGGCGGGCGCTGATGGAACACCGCTTCTGGAACACCGCACCGCTCTCCCATGCCTATTACAGCGAGGTATTGAATGTACATAGCAGAGGCAGCGGACCACGGCCTGCTCGCCTACGTATCAAGCACTGGACAGACAGCGGGTCTCGCCGCGGCGGCCTGGTAGACAGCCCCGACAGCAATGCTACGTCTGGTGCCCTTTTGAGCAAGTATCGCTGCCACGACAGGAAGGAGAGGTTTGTCCAATCTTTCTCCGCAGCAGCAGCCCACTAATGGCTCATTTTTAAGGTTTGGCTGTGCGGCTGCGATGGTGGTGCGCTAATCAATCATCTTGGTACCTACAGTACAACTAACTACCAAGTCTTCATCTTGGGCGGCGGGGAGCCCGGTAGATCCAATCAATTATCGTCGTAGCGCCGTGATGCACTCACGCCAGCCGTCTGCACTGTTTGCTTGGCGGCCGCTGCTCCTGTTGCTGATGAAGATGATACTGCTTACCTGGTCGTTTGTCAGTCATGTTTGCTGTATTTTTCCGGCCAGGTTGTAGATGCTTCGATTGCGCCAGCCAGCCATCACACCCTCCCTCCTGGAACCAAGTGTGTATCATGGTATCATGGACACCGCCAGCCCTCGCTCGCTGCGCTGTCTCTGTGGCTCGCTTTTCAGCAATGAATACTTTGCTCTGGTTTTTCCTGCTCAGCGCACGCCCGTCGTCCTTTTGATCGTCCTATCTCCCCCCTCCGTCTCTCTACGCGCACTTGGCGGCATGCCTCTTCTCCGTGCTTGCGTGGACGTTTGGGTCTTCAGTCACGCAATCGTATCCCTCCACAGCGGTGGCCTGAACAAGTCCCTCTTGGCAGCGGGACAAGCTACGCTGGCGCCGGCGAATAAGCATAAGCGGCTGGTTAAGGTTTTATGGAGATAATGGCAGGCGGGGAGCTAGCTGGTTGGAGGATCTACGTGTCCCCCTTTCCCGCGCCAGGCAGGGCAAAGCCAGCGGCCGACCGACCAACCGAACCAAACTCGTCGCATGGGTGGTAAAGTTGAAGAGGGCAGTGCAATGCCAGTGGGCGGGTTCGGGTGCAACGCAGCGGGTTGGTTGGCAAGTAGGCCACCAATCACTCGCCTCGCCAAGCGTTATAGTCCAATGTTTAATCCTGTTTAGCGTCAGCGAGGGGATCCGCCCACGGTGGGTTTTGCTCAATATATGCCCGGCCGGCGCAAAGCAATCCTCTTGTGGCACACAGGCTGGAACACGACTGGATATCGACAAAGTACAGCCATACTGTTGCTGGTCTGCTGGTGCGGCTGCAATCCGTTGCTACTATTGTACATCGGATAAATGTGCACTTTTGCTTCTCTCTCATTTTTTTTTTCTCCTCGAGTGTCCTGGTGCGCTCTGTTGCAATGTAATTACCACGCCACGGTCACTTACAAGACTCATGCACAAGACTATAGGCACGCTTTCACTGAATTCTTCCGCGTCTGGGCCTTTTGCCTCTTCGACTCGTTTATGGATAGAGTTCGCCAAAATAGTCTTTGCTAATTCTTCTAGACCAAGCTAAGCGTCTTGGCCTCTGAACTTGCCTTGTCCATGTTTCTCCGCGCAAGCGTTTAATGTCGGACTACCACACCCCAGACTTTCCCAAGACTCACCATGTCACATAACGGTGCGTAGTGTCTCTCGCAATGCAGCATGCAGTCGACAAGTTACGGTACCAAGGCCCTACGTTGGGTCGACGCAGACAGCGCTCATGCCGCGCCAGCAGGTACTGCTTTCTACCCGCTCCCGCAATACCTTCATTTGTTTTGAGAGACCCTTATATTTCTTATGGGGAGAGAGGCTAGACAAGTGTGGCCTGATACCGAAGTCTCGCCACGTTTTGCATAAACAGGCTCTGCAACGGCTCGGTACTTGACCTAGCCAAGTCAAACGCCGTGATTTAGATTGTGCTTCGGCCATCCACCCGAAGCCTTGTCCTTGCGATGCGAGCTTCGCCACCGCGGGGATCTGGTCTTGGCTACAGGAGGGTGTAAATCATTTCTCTAGGGCCTTTTCGCCAGTGGGGGAAGGGGGCACGGCTGCCTCCATCTGTGTGTGCTATTGTGCGTCGCTTTAGGTGACCACAGAAGATACAGGTCATTTCAATGGCTCGTGTCTACTCACTTGAAAGTCAAAAGGGTATCATGACGTATTTCTCCGACAACTGGTACTTGGCAACGTTGTTCAGCGCCGTCTCTTGCTTCATTCCCACCGACAACGACCGGACCATCCGCGTACTTTGTAGGAGAGCTGAACTTGCAATCAGCTGAAGAGACCACCAGCCGCCCCCTGCGCCAGGAGGCAAGGGATACGCCGCGTAGTTGCTCATAGCAATGATGCTCTCTCGCCTATTTTCGTATATAGTGGCCTATCATTAACGACAGAGAGGCTGGTCATGGCCGCTGAAGAAAAGAAACGGCGCGGCGTATTGAGGTGAATTTACTCGGCCCGGACGCCGGCTACCTTGGACACAAAGGGCAACTCCGCCATCTGTTGCCTAGCAGAGTAGAGAATAAAACAGCCTCTTAAAGCGCCCCCAAAAGGATAACCCGACGAGGCAAGCCATCGCAAAGTGCGCCTCTTCGCGATTCGCCTTTGTCGAGCCAAGCTTCACAGGAGGGGGGCGTGCGCATTGCCAAGCAACACCACCAAGATTGATTGCTCCGCCAAACTTGGTCCCAGACATGCCTGTATCATCTGGACACTTGTCGTACTGCTTGCTGTTCATAGTAGTAGCACGCCCCCTCCTTCTCCGGCTTCCGTCAATCATGTTGGTCCTCCCCCCAGCGAAATCCGCAACGGTCTGCCCGTCATCTCTGCCAATCTTCTGTTTCAGAGGTCCGAATAGGTAAGCAGTCAGCAGCACAAGTTCTTCTGTGGCATAGATACACCGTCTTCAACGCCATCTTGCTCTCTTATACGTGTACATGTTGTTGTTGCTGGTACTGGAAGGGCCGACTCCGCCCCAGACAGTCCTTGTGGCATTGCCTCCAGGATCCGTATCCACAGGGAGGCGCATAGATTGCTGTATTTTTCTAATTCAACGGCAGATACAATATGTTCCGTCCGTGTCCGAAGACCGACCGTTGTCTTCATACTATAGGCAGGCCTAACGAAACGGTAGATAGTGGCTAAGGCGCAGGGAGCCTTTAAGGCAGCGGCAAACATACGCACGACTAGCCGAATGCACCGTCGGCATTTCCATTTTGCGTCTCGGCTATTTGGTAATTCCTTGTTAGGTTAACATAACAAACGCGACGGGAATTAAACCCCCCAAAAAGACGTTACAATTTGTTAATATCCGCGGCCGGTTTGGCTGCCTACGTTGGACTCCCCCGGACTGTCAGTGTGTCTGCCGAAGATCACCACATGCCCAAAGCCAAAAGTGGCAATGACGAGTCAGCAATGGACATTGCCATGTCAGCAGTATTGCACGCCATGGCTTGGGCCTTCTTGACATTGAAAAGTTCCTTTTTGGTAGGAATATGCCGTCGGATAGCGGGCCTTGTTGATCCTCGCTGGCGCTCCTTTGAACGAACGCACGCCACAGCGCGTAAACGGTACATACGGTGCCAGTAGGGAATATGACCTTATTCCCGGCCTGCCGTATAGCTTGTGCCCGAAAGCCAGGCAACGCTTCGGTTACTGGGCGGGAAGCTGAAAGCGCAAGCTCCATCCTTATTCAGCCACCATGCGACAAACCAAGGCGCCACTCAGCATATCGCGCCGCGGCTCGCTCTTTGAATGATAGGCCACGCCCTCAGCTAATCCAGATGAGATTAGAGCCACCGGAAAGGGCTTGGACCTGGCTGAAATAAAAACGTGCGAGGCGTACGGGCTTACATCGACCATCCCAAGCCACACGGCACCGTCGGCCAAGCGTATTCGAGCTTATACTAACTTTTGGTGCGTTTCTACGAGACCCTCGAGCGGCAACCCACGGCGCATCCACTGAGGCTGATCACCAGCGTTTCATGGGCGGAGCCGCTGGGTCCAGTCCGAGCTGTCGATAGTATCGAATCGCGCCCTCTGAACGCGAGTGGTGGATAGGAATCAGCGGGAAGACGGGTCCCGGTGGCGTTGATGACGGAAACTTTAAAAAAACGAACAGAAAAAATAATCATGCATCATCATCAACCACCCTCCCTCCTACAGACGGCTACGAGATCCCAGCCACAGGGGAGGACCCTAACACAACTAGGAGGGGTGTGCAGTGTGTCCATCCACCAGCGGAAAAGTTTTTATAGTTGGGTCAGTACTCGGTGCCAGAACTATCCGCGGACTCGGAGCCGGCTAGTGAGTCTACAGGGCCGTTGCTCGATCGCCAAATCGGTGTGCAGCGAGGGTTTGCAGGCCACGTTACAGCGCATGCACCAACCGTCCGCCACAGTACGGACTTGCTTTTCTAAGGCCCAGTGGCCGCCGACAGACGGAGGCAAGCATGCGGAACCCGCTATAAGTTGAAGCCTGGGCCTACTAACACCAGGAAGTCGCCGGCGGACCCCCTAAGCAAACGTACCGAAGATGCGGCAGGCATAGGGGAGCACCAGCAACAACAAAACAACAATCGCAGCATACAGTACACCCCTCCCCCCCTGCCCACCAGAGCGGTCTACATGACGTTCACAGGGTGTCCCATCTCCCTCACGATCGCTACTTTGGCCCGGTAGGTGTGCTGGTGCTGCTCGTTTCCGACCCGAGATGATATGATCAAGCCTCAATCTTACACGCCAGCAAGCCATCCACGACGTTATTGGTCTTACTGGATTGCTCATCTGGCCACCCACCCGCGGATAAAAACGCTCTACAGCAGAAAAAAGCTTGGCCTACTATGCCAAGATTGGGGGCAAGACGAGGGAAATCAATCCTCTCCTCATTAGCTGAGGCCGCCGTGTGGCCCTTGCCAACGACCGACCCGCTGCCGTCAGCAACGCACGCAGCCTGAGCAAGCCCACTCACTACCGAAGTGCTCATCTTTAAGGTTATCAGTCAAAGTTTGTAGGACCTGCTGGCTGCTGCGCCCGTTTACTTTCGGCAGGCAAACAAAGAAGGCAACCTCGCGTACACGTAGGGCTCCAGCAAACCTCGAAGCGACGGCTTTAAACGAAGCACATTCGCCTATGCGAACTCACCTACTATATTCGCAAGGCAGAGCATCTACCAAAAAGGGTACCATAGGTCCCTGCCCTGCGCCCTGCGTCCTGCGTGATCCCCTTCATAATCCCGCAGCCGTGGCTGTCACGAGCAATGTTCGTTTTGGAGAAATGGCCTCGATATTGCTCCATCTCGTCGCTCAATACGGGACACCCCCCTGTCTAAATGAAATCAAAACTATGAACGGGAGTGCGTTCATCACGGGGCGGCGGCAGTCGTGCCCCTCCGCCACCAGCTCGTGGTTCCCTGCCGGCGATCAGCAGCAACATGCCGGAAAAGAATGGAAACTCCGATGCACTTTGTAATTACAACCCAGAGTCTTCTCTTTTTCTTCAATGCCGTGTCAAGTCGCACAATCTATTAATCCACGCCTAGCGTGCAATATGCATCACTGCCGCGGTGGATGCGGACCAAAGCCCGCTCGAACTTTTGTATTTTTTGAGGGGATATATTGGCCCGGCCCATGCATTAGGAATCAAACAGCCGCGCCAAGGGGGGCAAACGGCCTGCGGCAGTGACATGCTGCCGTGATTGCACTCTTCATTTATCATGTCGCCTATTTCCAAACCCCATATGCCCTGCCACGCGGCTTTGCACCGCCGCCCATCACAACCTGTCTGATAAAGGCAAACATCGCGTACCAGACGACGTACCACTCGCCAAAAGTTCGCATCGACAGAATAGGCGAGTGCTTTTTCCAGGCCACTAAATTAGAGTCGTATTGCCCCGCCGCGCTCTCGCCCAAAGTCAGGTCATTCTTATCTGATCATGCGCTTGCGGGCCTAGCAGTGCGCTGTAACGGACGAGACTTGCCGAACAGTGACAGGAAATCATCGAGGTTTGCCGGAGTTGCCTACCGCGAGCCGAAATTACCGAAAAGAAGAACATGCCCTCTACCCCATAATTTGTGCCCCTGTTAGCCTCTGTATTTCCGTTAGAGTTTGCCTTTTTCTTTGTGTGGCAGACGGGCTGGCGCTTTAGGCATTGTTGCTGCCGTGCTTCCGGCGCCGTCAGACCCACTGTAAAACACCGGCCCGGCGCCTGGAAGCTTGCCGCATCGGGCTGCCAACATCGGTCTACGGAACAAAAACTTACAACATGAGTATGCTTTCTCAAGAGAAATATTTAAGTTGGTAAATCTATGTAAAGAGGCATTCTATTAAAGGTGACATTCTCTACCAGGGCCGGCCAACTGTACAAACCCTTCCGGATACCCGTGTTGCATTGCAGACATTCCAGCCGTCAGAGCCTGTGTACACAGACATCTCCAACTTGGAGACGCAAGAAACAGATTAAAATAAATATCCCTTCGAACACCGTTGAGAGAAGAACCTTTTTAGACCAAACACTCTGACACAGCCAAATACCATTACCCCTGTAGAGACGCCTCGTGCTTCCCGAAACATGTTTCGGCGCATACTCGGCGCACCGTTGCATCTCATCAGTCAAAGGATGCCAAAAATAACAGCATAGGCGAGACAGGTTGCACATTTACCCGAAACTCCCTTCACGGCATTAGCTACAAATGTATCTGTGTTGGTGAGCTGGCTCGTCACTCGGCTTATCCGCAAAAGGAGTACATATATCATTAGTTATTATTATCATTTTTTGCTTCCATTATTTAAAACGATTCAGTACTATTTATGGATAAGAAATGCCAAAGTGTACAATCATCCAGTTCCCAACCATCCCGTCTGCTGCTAACATCTGCGCTGTGTATAACCAAATAAAAAAAATATCCAAAAAAAATGATAAACAATGCTTTGCGTAGAAAAAAAAAGACCAAAGTACAAGAGACTGTTGCAGACTCATCTCCGTCTACCACAAATTGCAACAGTAACCCAACAAAGACAAACTCAACTGCTAGGGTATAAGGAGTCTTTCCAAAAAAGATAATGTAAGATTGCTTGTAAACGAAAGAGAAAGAAATTGGACAGATAGGCAGTCTGTAAAATCTTTCACAACATGTATCGTGTCTCTTTCATTCCCAAAAAAAATAATATTGCGAGGCGCCGTCGCCCTTCACCATCGGCGGGACGGCGAGCCAGCAGGTCGACCATCAACACGAGCGCTGGGCTTGAGAACCAAAAAGGCAAATCTCATGACCAAGCGTAGAGATCATCAGCCTTAATATTATTTCGACCAGAAATAATAATAATAATTTGTTGAGGGTACACTTGAGGGGGAAGTAATGCGCCGTGCTGCAATGGGGTGTTGCAGAGGCGGCGCCTGATTGGCGCATCAGGCGCCAGCTGACCGGACCACACGCTGCAGTCCAACACGTCAGGTTCGTCACCTATTCAAGCCTAGTGATGCAAAATCAAAATCCATCTATAAACCAGCGGATCTGGCTGTCAGGAAATTTATTCACTGGCACCATGCTCACGTTCTTGGGGTTCCGTCACCATACCCCGTTGCGCCGTATACCGACTGCGCGTGCGTGTTTTGCGATGTCAGGCTGGGATAGCTCTCAGAGTAAGTCACTGGTGTGGTATCCCATCGCGGCGGAGTCGCAGATGTTCCATGGCTAATTCCCGCATAGCTTCCCGCTGAAATAGTTCGAGTGTCGTAGGAAGTCACTGCAGGCAGCGAACTGGCACCCAAGCGCATATTGGGGCCCCCGTTGGGGCTTCCACCTCGCAGATTGGGGCTCATGGTTCTCGTCGTGTTGGCAGGATATGGTGCCGTCGTGTATGGTGTCCAGCCGCCTTGCGATCCAGAGAGCGATCGCGGAGACGAGATCGCGTCGTGCTGGCTGCCCACCGAGTACCGGCTATGGATATCTCCATGATGAGATGGGATACTATGCTGCGAGCTCATACCCTGCGAAGGAGGGGTGGGCAAGGGCACATATGGAGAAGGGTTAACAGGAGGAGCCATGTTGGTTGGCGGTAGCGTGCTGCTAGGGCTAGCGCTATATTTGCCAATAATCTTCTTGAGGGCCGGCTCCAAGATCTTCCATGGGAAGACCTTGACATCCTTCTCAATGTTGCGAGGCTTGGGGTTAGGGAAACCCATAATGAGCTTGAAGAATTCCTCGCTGATGGGCTTGGCCTTGGAGACGGTGATTGGGTGGAAACCTTCCAGGTTGCGTCTGATACGGTTCTTCTCCTCAACACTGAAACGGTTGGGCGCAGCAACAAGCTGCTCCAGGAGGTAAATGGTATCAACTGAAGTCACATAGCACTCCGACTTCTCTTGCCAGTAGATGCATGAAATGCAGATGCTGTTAGGAGGGCGTTCGTTGACAGGCACGGGTCGGAAGTTGGCAGTAAGGGTAGAGCCTGTCTGCGACTTGCGGAACATGACGATACGGCGACGGTTGTCCCATTCTTCCTGAGTCCAGTTCTCCGTCATGGTGTCTAGCTTGCCGTTGATCTTGAGCACGGCCTTGGTCGAGTACAGAGAAATCGGGTGGTATGGGCCGCTGGATCCGGCGCCGTTCGCAATTGTGCTTGTGCGGATGAGCTGAGGAGTTCCTCCTCCAGATGAAGAAGGCATGGGGAGCGGCGTCAAGCTTGGACGTCCAGCCACGCCATCAAGGCTGATGGAGCTTCTACCAGAGCTTGGGAGAGGTGTATTAAATCCATTCCATCCCTGAACCGACCGGCGGTGGGGATAGTGAGGGTCAGCAAAACTGCTGCTTCGGTAAGCTGTAATCATATCGTTTGTTTGAGGATAGGCGTTTGCATATTGAGGTTGTTGTGTAGGATAATCGTAGTTATTTGTAGCTCCGTCGGTATTAAGGTGAGTGGTGTCTGTAGTTTTGGGAGAGGTATCCTGCTGATCGAGTTGAGAGGCAGGTGTTGCAGAAATGTCATGCTTCTGGAGTTTATCGGATCTGGTCAGGTCACCGGACCCGTCGAGATACTGGAAGCTGCCCGCAACAACCCTAGCGATTTCCTCTCCAGATGAGCCCTCCACAACTAGTGACAATGGCACGCTGGGACCGGTGCAGCCCGTGACTAAGAGTTGAGGCACGTCGGCACTGCATGTGTAAACAAAGCCCGTGTTATCCTGAGTATCGCGTGTCACATCTTGCATCGGGCATTTTTCTGAACCAAAATAAAGACAAAAGTAAGGCACAGGAGCCGAGATGTTAAAGATGTCATACTGAAATGAGACCTTCAAGAACACTTTAGACCCAAAGACGCCAGAGGCCGGCTGACAGGATAGTACCACGGCTGGACCCTGTGGCATATACTGAGCAACGGAATGGTTGGAGGCGAATGACTGCTGATTCAGCTGGGCAAACTTATCAGTCTGCGTCGAGAACGCTTGCGTCTGGTATTGGTCGTATGTTGCGTCTTCGTAGCGCGTCTGATCATAAGTGACGTCTAGTCCAGCCATTAGCATCGATTTCAATATCCTTCAACCCTATGATGGCTTACCTTGGACGGAAGGCAGAGATGACTTCGTGTAGGCCGCCATCTTGCCGTAAATATTAGACTATAGGAATAATAAAAAGATAACCTAGTAGCCAAAGATTATCAAGAGCTTATTGGAGATAGCCTATCCAATGTTCTGTGCTATGTTTTCTGTTATTGGAGTACCACCGAAGTCTGTAGTTGTCTGTAAGCTGGTTAACTCAGTTCATTGTTTGTGGCCGAAACATGAAATCGTATTTGGAAAGAGAATAAAGCAGTGGTGAGATAGAACAAGACTTCAAAAGAGGAAGGGAGAAGTGATGCTATTTGGGGAGAAAGTTGGAACATGATTCGCTTCGCGTACTCACCTCTAGGAAAGCCAAACGTCGCTTCTGGAAACGAAGTGTGTTGGTGTGAAAGGGGTGGGATTTGGAAAGATGTATATGAACCGAGAGAAAAAAAACACAAGAGAGGAATCAAAGAATGCAAGTCACTGTCTTGGGAAGAACGCGGACAGAGCGGGAGTTTAAACCAAGTCTCGACAAGGTCTTAACTGGGAGAGTCAGTGGGTTAAGAGGAGCCACTAGCAGCTGGGTGCCTTGAATTTCGGAGATTTGATATGCGACAGACTCAGAGGCTAAGGCGTATGCTAATGCGTTTGCCGTAACCTGCTAATGATGACACTAGCTTTACTTCCCTCTTGCGAAGGGGGGCTGGGTGAGACAGATGATGGGTCCCGCCCGCTCTCCAAAGCGACAGAGAAGATCCTGGTAGTGGTAGAGGGTGGTTCCGATCCTGAGCAGAGACACTTGCATTCCAGGAAGGGAAAATGGCTATGTGGTACCACTCGCCGCCTTCCTGTTTTGAAGCGGCGTGTCGAGTTCCGTCGTCGACTGAATCAAGGGCGATAGTGGCGTGAACGAAGGGAAGGGTGATGGCAAGGAGGGCAGTCCAAGGTCCGGGGGTTTCGACAGGAAGAGAGACCTGTTTGGCTAGCGCAAGGCTGCGTGTGTGAAAACGAGTGAAGTGAAAGTTGTGATATTAAAAATTACTGTTGGTATACTTGGGTCAGCATGGCTTTTAAACGGCTTGGTCGCGGGTGCCTTTTGAGTACCATCCGAACCACGACTGGCATATGCAAGTAAAAAGGGAGTACTGGGATCGAAATTGCAAGAGGGCCACAACCTACATAGAAATTCGATCTCATGTAATATTAGACGCAGTAGGCTTCTCAAGGTACAGCTTCCGAAAGGCCTTGCTTTTGGATATGTGGAACCGGGATGGGCAGGCGTTATGTCGTTGGTGCTCTGAGGGTCCTGAAGGGAGGGAAATGAAGTTAGCGTCAGACCGGGGAGAGAAAGTCGAGCCGTATGAGAATCGGGGAAACAACTCACTGATTAAGGTGTAATGGTGGGAAGATCCCGGCAGGCCCTGGCTCAAGCAAAAGCAGTGTTAGCAAAGAACGTCCAGCTTGTCTCCGCCCCGCTGCGGGTATTCTGGAGAGAAGCAAAAAAAACACCCAAGAGGTTTAAGATGCACGAGGCAGTTGTTGCTTTTTCGGCGTAGCGCATGGGTTGCATGCACAAAATGGTCTGCCCTGCATCCAGCGGTTGTATGAGATACTACTTACAGCAGTGGGAGGATCTCGAGGTTGAAAGCTTAGACCAAAATGGGGAGACTCGTGGAGAGAGTAGATATCCAAGATGGATGCAGACGTGCACGTTCCGGATCAACGGGGACGAAGCGAAGTATATGCCGACGACATCTCCAAGAGAGAACTGCAGCGGGAGCTGTGCCAAATAAGTCAACGTCAGTCAGGAACGGCTTCAGCAAGTGTGCTCTTGGTTGCATTTGCCCATGACACCCGTCTCCACAAACGAGCTGTAACCAGAGGAGCATCGGTGACAGCACGACCATATCGAGAGCTAAAGACGCCGTGGCCAAGCACTTAGCAAGCGGGTACGAGGAAACGCCTGCGCTGTGCGCATAACGCGAGTAGTACTCCCACCAGGTAAGCCAAGACTGGCCTGTCCTGAGGGGGGTGATGCAAGGGTTGGTAGATGACAGGTGACGCCAACGACGCTAGTGCGCATGCACTAAACCTAGCTAGGCTAGACTCTGGGCGGGGAGATGAGGAGCCTGGCGGTTTTCCTTTTTCTCTTGGGTCCATGCGCTCGTTTGACCCGAAGCGCCTCATGCTTGTAACATGAAAAGCTGAGCCCAGGAGTTGCGTTTTTCCAGACGGGCGATTTCTATAGCCGACGCGATTTGTTACGGCGGCGGCGCTGAAGCAAACAATGTTGAGGCGTCAGAGGTGTCGAGCCCAATTGCGCTCTCCCAATGGCTTGAGACTAGTGCGAGACTCTGATGCTGAATCAAAGCGAAAAAATAGTAAATATAGAATATGCTTACCGTTTTCAGAGATAAAGTGAAAACTTTCGGGGTAAGGCTTACCACTTGTCCAAGCTGGTAGCTTTATTAATATCGCTTGTAATAATGTCTGCAGAATAGCAAACAAATTAGCCTTGGAACTAGTGCCCATTGAAAATTGAACATTTGCTGCAGCGGAAGCGATCGAGAAACAAGGCTGCGTAGTATCGAATACTTCAACGCAGATTTCAGTGGTCAACAAGGTTGCTGACGCTATTCCTATCCACGACTCCCACAGGTTCGTCGTCCGTCTGCTTGACATTGAGTCTCATCCGTAAACGGGCGAGGCCTTCCAGCCCGGCGCTCTGGCACAAGCGGCCATGGTACTCCAGCTCCTAGGGCGCGCGCCGACCCTGGTTTCCAGATCAGCGGTTGACCCGCCCAACCTAGTGCGCGGGTGCCTCCACCGATAGTTTTGCGGGATGGCGGATCAGCGTGACCTCGGTAGTACATTTCAGGAGCCAATCGGTGGACATCCTTCAAGTCTTGTTCATGTCGGCGTTGAACACTGCCTGTGACACACTGCAGAACAATCGTCCCAAACGCAAGTTGTAGATCTCATCACTCTTTCCTCTTCCGCTTAGACCGGCTTCCAAATAGCATCAAAAAGATGGGTTGATGCCAATGGATGAAAATAGAGTGTCTAGCTTTGCTTAGTCGATAGCTTCTGTCAACGGCCGGTGTTGAGAGACCTAAACGGAGGTCGTTTGTGTCAGAGCGCCCAGAGAGTATGTACAACGAACATGTAATAGTCTAAATTTGACTGGAAACAATTTCAAAGCGAAAGGCAAAAAATAGACATTAGCGTTACACCAGGGAATAAAACCGGCAACCGAACTAGCCCATCACCCAGAATAGCATTGGGGAGCACCTATACCTCTTTGGCGTAGCATTGGTGAATGGATGCTACCCAACTGCGATAGGGCGAGAGCATCTTGACCCATCGGCATTGACAGTCGAGGCTAAGTGAAGGTATATGGTATAAGGGAGTCGAGGAGCTGTAGTAAACAACCAAGCGGAGCGGATAAAGATGCAAATGCTCTGTCGCAATGACACCAGTTCAACCACCTTGATCATTCGAGCCTTCAACACCTTGTAGCTCTTCAGCAACGACCCCAGGTAGTCTGTAACCCGTGTTGATCTGTTGGCCATGGGACTGCTCACTTTTTTTTCGGCTGGAGTGGCCAAAAGCAGCGAATGCACCTGCAATTTGGAATGGCTGCATGCCCGCCACCAAGCCATCGGGTTAAACTGCATACGGCATGGAGTTGCATTTGTGGCTGCAGGCTGGAGCTGCAGCTCAATCCGCCCAGGCCGCGGAGCCATCTTCACCGAAAGACGAGTTTCCTCTCATTCAGCCAGATTCCCGCTGGGAATCCCGCAGCGCGTTTTATTTTCTTTTCTTTGTTTTGATTGTTTTTCTTTTGAGGATATCGTAGATGATGCAGTGTCTCGTCAAACGGTTGCGCGGGCTTGTGCTAACGGCAAAAAAAGCACAGCCAGTGGTGAGCTACCCTTGGTAACGGAGCGTGACCTCGGCGGTTTGGGAGCCAATACGGCCGGCCGCCAGGTGCCAGGCAGTGCCAGGCAGTGCGAAAAGGACGATTCTCGGTAGAAACTGCGGTTCGCGGCAATCGCTTCACCTGCTTCTCCGCCTTTGGCTTATTTGTCTTACCTCGCAGCAAATTTTCATACGCCTTCATTAGTCCAATTGTGCGGCTCAACATATCCAGCCCTGGTCTTTTGAGCCGATCAATCAGTCCATTACAGCACAAGCTCAAACTCACGTTTTCGGCTGGTCTTGATCCCAGGACGTGGCGATCTTGGTTTCAACCGTTCAACACCATGGGGTCCAGGTTTTGTAAATCTTCGGATGGTCATGTCCCTAGCAGTACGATTGTTTAGGTTTTGTGGGCTCCTGTGCTCTTATCTTCCACATTTGCCGCTTGTTTGCAGCTTCTGACCTGTGCAGCCCTGTTTGACGGACCTCGCCCGTCCCTTTCAGCGGACATTACACAACCTTCAGCTGGACTCGCTTCAGTCGGCGACTCCGCTTAAAAGAGTAACGTCAATGTGGCCAACACCTACGTTTCGGTATATGCTCAGCCGCGCTACGGGTTCTTGTACGGCACTGGCAACGCCATTTGGCGTAATCGGGAGAGGCGAGGTTGATCATGGAGTGGTCCCCATCGACGCTAGTTGGCCCGCCTCACTGGCACTTGATAACGGGACATTGGAGCTAGCATGGGTGTTGTGACAGGGAACCATGGACAAAATCGCGCCATACATTAACACGTCTATCTGGAAGAATACGCCCATCGCCAGCAGGAGGCTCCGCTGGATCTTCGCATCGCTGACTGTTCTCGCAATGCAAACCTCTTAATTTCCTGCCGGTCGTGTTTGTTTACAGGATTTGCTTTTGATTTGTCCCCTCCTTTAGCTGTGGACAACAGCCACTTTTTTAAGATCAGCATCGCAATCCCACCCCAAAATGGCTGGGCTCATTTGCTGATTTGCTTCGTAAAAGCTATTGCCCAACAACAAATTGCCGAGAAAAAAGTAAAAAGCCACTTTCGTACTCATTCTGCATATCGCACAATTTCTATCTGTGGGTATAAGATTGCAGCCAATTCATGACACAGATCTCGTGCTCCCTGCCAGGGTCATTGGTCGTTTCACTACGCGACGCGTGCTGATGCAGTAGCGACCCTAAACCAAACACTGGTGCATATCAAGCCCATTTGCCAGAGATTTAATGTGTAATACCTGTCGCGTCTAATTTGCTGCCTGCAGCTGTTCCAACTTGGCAGCATGTTATACCATTAGCCCTGGTCGGGGCGGCATGCAACGTTGGAGGTCCGCGGCGGATATGAACCGAATGTTAGCCATACAGGTTGTTTGCCTCTTGAGATGGCTAGCATTGTGCAGTATACGATTATTAATGGACTTGCGCCAAGGTGTTTCCAGCGCTTTCGTAGCGAGCGAATGGTGGTGCTACCCGGTACACCGATGACATCACACTGGACAGTCGCCCAGCTCGCTTCAGACCCCAATCGCTGGATGTCGTATAATAAATTTCTACGCTGCAACAGGTCTATCTATTGAGTCAGCTTTTATGGCATAAATTGTGCCGCACAACTATAGATGAGCTGGTATAGCGGTAGCAACCAGGTCAATCCAACTTACACAGCTACTACCGGCCCAGCTTGCTAACGCCCGGCCCCCAAGCCCTACCGATCCCAGCACGCTTATGGAAACCTAAAAGGCAACCTGTGCGATATTAAACTAACGTATATTGCCTTGATTGGCATATAATATCCCTCAAACACTTTCTTGATGCCAAAACGCGATGCCGATGTCACACAACACGAGCGCCTTGGCATCCTATACCAGCTTAGCTTGAAACCGATAGCCTGGGCCCGCATCTGCCCGAGTTGATAATGTACAGGGTTATGCGAAGCGATAATATGACCGGCATCGATTTGGTTCTGGCCACCGTAAATGTCCTAATACTGAAAAGATCATCGGCGGGCGAGATGCGCGGGGGACCAATGGCAGCACCAAACATTGTCACTTACAAGGCTACCCCTGCTAATTTAGCTCGAGTTTCCGGTGAGGCGACCGATTGTGGAATCACAAATTGGCTGTCACATCACGCCGGCAAACTGTGACGAACACTGCATCAATCGAACGCTTAGCAGAACCGCACAGCCGGGCCCAAAGCCGCAATATTTCCCAACCCCTGAAAGCCAACCGGTCGTCACTTAGCGGGCCGTAGCCGAACTTTCGCGGGGAGAGAATGACACTAAGAAACAAACTTTGGGTACTAACCGCACTTTGCACCTCAACGATGTAATTTGATTGGCCAAACGCAGGTAGCCCGTTCGATGATGTGATGGGTTCAGGAACCCCGGAAAGAAGAAAATGCAATGCTACGCTGTAGTTGACGTGCCGGGATATCCCCCATCATTGCCATATATTTTGAGTTTTAGCATTATGTCCAGGTTGAGTCGGCCTTATTCGCGCTTCCTCACCGTCGGCGGCTTTGGACCCAACCTAACAGTGTCACCCGCGCCCGATCTTTTACGGAGAGCAAACAACCTCCAACTGTCACTGAATGGTAAATTCTGTCACATTTTGAAAACTTTTTTTTTGGTTATATGTTTTGTGGACCAGACTATCGTTGCAAGGCAATTTCGACAAACCGTCGGCCTTACGAGGAGAGAGTCGGGCACCGGATTATCCGAGTCAGCACATTCCACAGCGGCTACGGTTTGCACGACACGACACCAACTGGACGTCAACATACCAGCAGACAGTGGCAGAATCCAAGACCAGCTTGGGCTAAACCACCTTCCAAGGCTTAGCGGTAACCCGTGTTTCTCGGAATATTTTGCACATGTTGGTTCGGGTCAAGCTCTATTTCCGGTGAGACAGGAGCCAGCGCCGACGCTTAAGCAGCGTCTGTCTGCATTTTGGTTTTCTAAAATAGACACTGCTGTCTAAGACTGCCTGCGAAACGCGATAAATATATCTGAATAAAACACCCACGTTGCTATCTAGATATCACTAAGACGACAACGGCTTTTCATGCACATATGTCCCAGCTGCTGCCCATCGTCATCGTCAGTGTGCATGGGTTCTCTGTGAAGAAAGGCGTTGATCAAGTGCTATCCCTTGATTATGGCTTGCGAGAAAACATGTCATGCTGGGGGAAAACAACAGCCTACAGGTCCGTGACAACCCGGTGTTTGGCACGCAACACGCAGGTCAACACCTCCCTCAGGACGAGCCTTGCAGCAAGCTTCCCCTCTTTCGAGCGCCAATCCCGCCTCTGGACATGCCATATAAGTTTCCGATGCATCTGAAAAAGAAAGCTGTAGCCACTAGGGAGGCAAAGAACCCGACGTTGCCACCTCCCGGGCGCACGGGTCAGCAGCGCCGGGACCTGTTGGTGTTGACCGATAGCCAGCTTTGGGCTTTGGTGCTCATCCATCTTGTTCTACCAGGTTCCACTCCCCTCCTAAATGTAAGACAGACTGAAGGTGTGAGGCTGGCCGCGTAGGGGGGCGTGAGAGGCGTGTCAGGCGCAGCTGTCTTTCTTCATCTGGAATGCCCGTCATGTCTCAGTTTGCCCACACACTAGGACGTTTGGCGACCGCCGACTCGGGTAGTGCACACCCAAGAAGAAGGTGATGAGGGTGGCAAGCCCGCTCAAATAGGCCTGTGCACTGCATTAGGCCTATCTGAAGTTGCTTCTTGTGCATGTTGGATGCTCCGTTGGCGCACCAGGATGTCCAACCTCATAGTTTGATGCCGGACAGCCATCGACCTCGTCCTCCTTGAGTACGTGTGTGTGTGGAGCTCAACAGACGCTCACGAGGCGTGAAAATGCCGGTCGTATGCACAAAAGGAACTCTGCCTGTAAGTAGGACACCACTAGAAGAGCTTTGTGTTGCGATTCTCAGCTCTTGGTTTCTCAGCACTAGCGGGAAACATGACCCAAGCATTCCACTTAGGTTCGCAAATCGTGAAAACCGCAGCAAATCTTTTAATCGCAGCTGTGAGGATCGTTATGCAGGGCAATTAGGCGGTGGGCTAGACTCAGTTCCATCAGTTTGTTTTTCGAGGCAGTGTCCTTCCTTGCATTATATTGCGTTGAAGAGCGCCTCTTGCCTCTCTGATGCAGCCATCAGAGAGCCGAATATGCATCCCATTACCAATTGTATCGCATTTAACCGAGTGTTCGGGTCGTGTAGTACTGACTGAGATGCCCTATCCCTGCTGAAGACGCTCGTAGATCGCGTGCGGGACTGCCCGCCGTCCGGAGAATTTACATCGAGACATTTTTCTCCATGCCCGATTCGAGCTACCGTAAACGAAATTTACCGATGGAAAAGCTAAGACAGTTCCAGACGAAGCATAGGACGAAGTTTTCCTTGGCCAACTGCAGAAACTCAGAACTATAGTGGACAGTGGGCGTGCCAAGGCCTTGGACTTTCACCATCACCACTATAGCATGCGTCGTCGGCCGAGAATGGGTCATGGTATATGTCACTAATCACACTGAGAGAGAGACTTCTCGCGTCTTTTGTTCCAGAACAGGAAGCTGTCAACTTTGTGCAGATAGGAGTGAATCAGTTCGCCGAGGTGGGGGGTAGGTCGTCGCATTGCGAGTGTCTGGGCTCCCGTAGCGGGCCACCAAGGTATGTGGTAGCCGGCGCAGTAATTTTGGTGACGCGGGGACGAAAAGAATTTGTATTCCATGTGATCACGATGAAATGCAGATGTTCGTGCTATTTCCGATGCATGTTTCAGAGGACGCAGGTAGACTTCTACGTTGGGCTTGTGTTGCGGTGGTGACAAACAGGCACTTTGGCAGCGCCTAGTGGTCTTGCTCTATAGGTTTGTATTGTATATTCATTTATATTGCAATAATATAGTAGTGTGATTGTTGATGGCTCAAATATGCTGGAGCTCAAAGGCAAACTGCACCTCTTCACATTTGACCAACTTATCATCAGCGACGGGCGGTCCGCAGGATTGGGTGCCGAGGCCGGCTACCTTTGCATCCAATCTGACAAACGTGACATTATCGTCTTGAAGATCAAAAGGATGCTTGGCATCTTGAATAGTTGCCGGGCTATACTTGGATACTGCAAAACTGAACGCATCGTCGTCTTGATCGTCTATGGCGACTCGTCGCATGCGGATACCTGATGCCTGCTGCTGTTCCGACACGATCTTGAGCCATTTCGAGTCCATACGATTGCCATTCTCCTGGGGGACATCATACGGAGTATGCAGGTCATCGAGAGACTCGGCAGACCAAACACCGATACGCTGAGAAGATTTCGAGTCGGGATAAGTTTCGCCTGGACCGCGGCCGTACCATTTGATTCGATTGAACACCTTTCGTAGTCGAAGATTGAGTCCAATGCGTGGCACATGCTCAGGAACTGTTCCTGTTGGTTTGAGTGATTCAACACGGATTGACAGAACTCCTGTGCTGGAGATTGTGTATACCATGTCGCATTCCCATCCCCATGCTAGCACGGGTGGTGTAAGGAAGCTCTTTGTAGTAAGAACAAAATCACCTTCGTTAGAAGTGCCGGTCTTCAGAGATCGTAGTTGCGAGGTAAGCTGATCTACTCCAAACCTATGCCAGTAGGGCAGTGATACTGGGGCATCATTGTCAGTTGTCGGTCTCCAGCTAGAGACAATCAGCGCGCCACCGGTTGTAGAGTCTATATCTAGAATCTCCTCGTCGCCACGTTTCCAACTGGTGAGGAGACCTCGTGCTTTATTGAAAGTGAATTGGAATCCACTACCTTGGATAATGGCGGAACACTGAGAATCTGTCACGTTCAGCTCGGCACGGGAGGTGGTGTTTTGGGTGCATGCTACTTTGACGCTCGCCAGCTTGTGTTGACACCAGGCAATCTCGTGGTTAGCATCAGCCCATGATTCTTGATGACGTAGACGCAAGGTGATGGTGATGTAAATGTCGGCGTCCTCCTTCGTTGAAGTATTGTACTTGGGCAACGGCACGGTAGCATCATGACCAGGTTTGATGTTGGGTAACTCCAGGTCACCTGCTGCAAGTAGAGTAGATTCACTGATATTGACGTTAGACATTACAGTGTTCATACACAATAGAGAGTACTTACTTTTGTCCGAATGCTTCAATGGAATATATAGCCGTTAGGTGGCTCAAGTTCAAAAAGTTGTAGTGGTTTTCGATGGTCACGTTGCCGCAGTCAACACGAAGCTTAACGGGCTCAATTACCTTCTTGTATTCGATAAGCCCTGGAGTAGGATCATGGCGACTGTTGAGTAAGCCATCCATTACAAATGTCCCGTCGTTGGGGTGGTCGCCGAAATCACCACCAAATGCGTAGAAGCCTTGGCCATTCTTCTCGGTCCAGAGACCATGGTTGGCCCATTCCCAGATAAAGCCACCTTGAAGGCGGGTGTTGCTGCGGAATGCTTCCTCATAGTCCTCCAACAGCCCCGGACCGTTACCCATGGCGTGGGCATACTCGCAGAGAATAATGGGCTTTTTGTATTTGCCGTCAACCACACCAGTTTCTTCAGCATGGCGCAATAGTCTTGCTGGAGATGCGTACATGTAGCTATACATGTCGGTTGTTTCTGCTTGGGGATCGCCCTCGTAGTGTAAGAGACGACCGGGGTCAACTCGTTTGGCGTAGTCTTGCATTGGCTTGAAGTTTCGACCAAAGAAAGCCTCGTTACCGTAACTCCACATAATAATACTGGTATGGTTCTTGTCTCTCTGTACAAGAGATTGGAATCTGTCTAAATAGGCAGCAGTCCATGCAGGGTTATCGCTGGTGAACTGTGCGGCCTTGCCAAAGGCCAACTCTTTTCGCTTTTCGTAGTCCATCTCCTCGGGGATGTCGAGTGGTCGAGCAACAGCATCATAAAATCCGTGACATTCCAAATCTGCTTCGCCCATAACCCAAAGACCCAGTTCGTCACAAAGATCCAACAGTCGAGGATCCGGAGGCTGATGGCAGAGACGGAGGGCATTGATATTGTGCTGCTTCATGATCAACAGATCACGTTTGGCAAACTCGAGAGGCACCGCACGGCCAAAATGAGGATGGTGCTCGTGGCGATTTACTCCCTGGAGTCGGATAATGGTTCCGTTGACCGTCATATGACCGTCGATGAGTTCCACCTTGCGGAAGCCAATGCGCTGCTCAACCGTGTGTTCGTCGTCCCCAGATTCGAGCTTGATATGAACATTGTAGAGATACGGAGTTTCTGCAGTCCATTTTGTAGGAGTGTTGACAGCAATAGTAAGATCATTATCTGTCTTGCCCTCACTGACAGTAGCTGACGCAGTGCCCAATTGGGCTCCGCCCTTGTTTGAAAGCTCAGTCAAGGTTACTGTGAGCTTGCTGGTACCTTTGGAGAGAATGTTGATCTTTGCATGGAGCACGCCATTTTCATAGCTTCGATCCAGATCTGTCGTCAAAAACCAGTCCTCTATGCGGTTGTGCGACGGCATCGCAATGAGATGGATGTCTCGAAAGATGCCGGACAGCCACCATTGATCTTGGTCTTCAATGTAAGTGCCATCAGACCACTGATAGACTCTGACAAAGACTTGGTTGTCACTTCCATCTCGGGTTAAGACATCGGTAACGTCGAACTCTGAAGCATTTCTAGAGCCTTGCGCGTAGCCTATGAGGATGCCATTGACCCAAACATGGTATGCGCTGTCAACGCCGTCAAAGCGAAGTCTTAGCTGGGAGTCCTTTGGCCACTCAGGAGGCACAGAAAATGATCTTTTATATGTGCCAGTAGGGTTTTCGGTCGGCACCAGTGGTGGGCAGACGGGAATAGGATATTGAACATTAGTGTACCACGGCTTGCTGTGTCCTTGGAGCTGCCAATGGCCAGGCACATTCAATTTACCCCAAGATACAGAGCCCGCACCCTCAACCAATGGTGCTTCGGTTGGCGTTGAGGCCATATGGAAATCCCATGAGCCATTGAGGAGGATGGAAGTCTTGGGAATGTGATATGACCTGGCAGGCAGGCAGTTGCGGCGGAAGACAGCCTCATTGCAGTAATCCGGGCGGTTGTCATCCTGCTGGAGGTTGAGACCACGAAGCTGATCTTTGTTTATCTGGCCCATTGTTCTCATGAGACAAGAAATGAGAAGAAGATGCGGAAAATTGATAGAAACTGTGTGTCCTGAGAAAGACCTTTACACAGGCGGCGTGGGTACTGTGACAAGGACAGCAGAGCAGACAATCACGTTACTCGGCAAGCTCCGCTGCAGACAGTACAAGCTTGAAGAAGATTCTTTCTGTATCAAGCAGTGGCCACACAATTTCTCGGCAAATTGTTGATCATGTGGATGCAAGAAAGGTGTGCTGGCAGCGTCTGGTGGCGTTGGTGGTTGGGGTAATTATGCTGGCGTTCTGGCGGGGTCGGCGCTGTGCTGTGCGTCTTCGGGGCAGACGGAGCCGCTGAACGGGCACCTGGCGAGCAGTGGTTTCGGCGCCGGAAAAACGTCTGTTGCCGGGTGCAACCTCAAGGTCCTAGCGCCGCCGCAAGAGCGTTGGGCGCGAGTCAAACCAACAAAGCAGCCCCCCGCATGGGATGGTCTGGATGGGATCGGCGCTGCTTGCTGCAAAGGCGAGGCTGCATCGTTGATTCTCTTAAAAGCGGAGGTGCTGCATGCTACGCTGGAACAAGCTTCCCCCCAGCCTCGAAGATCTCTTCCCCTCTTTTTTTCCTGTTGGTCCTACAGATCGCAGCATTCTTGGCATCGTTTCATTGCATTTTCTTCGAAATACTCACTGTATTGCTGCCCTGCAGTTACAACGTGTGCAATCATGAGCGAGGAGAAGCACGCTGCTGTGGCGGCGGATCAGGTCTCCCAGAGTTCGCAAGATCGCGCCAACGCCACGATTCAGCTCGCTCACGATTCCGGTGAACAGAAGCTGTCGCCATGGACGCCTTCCATGTTTCGCCTCTACGCGGTCCTTGCCGTTGCCTATCTTTGCGGCTGCTTGGTGAGTTTAACGCGATCGCTTGTCTACGCTATGCTAATCCAGCTTGGATAGAACGGTTATGATGGCTCACTCATGGGTGGAATCAACGGCATGAAGTCGTATCAAAACTACTTTGGAGCGTAAGTCAATTTATTTTTGATCGCTGGCAACTGAAAAAGAAAATCAGTTCTAATACTCACACATTACAGTGAAATCGATGGTTCGCCTACCGGCATCACCTTTGCTATGTACAACATTGGCTCCGTTGCCGCCGTCTTCTTCACCGGCCCCGTCAACGATCTCTTTGGCCGACGCTGGGGCATGTTCACTGGCGCCTTGTTGGTTGTCATTGGTACTGCTATCCAAGCCCCATCTACCGGTCGCGGCCAGTTTTTGGCTGGTCGCTTCGTCCTCGGCTTTGGTGTAAGCTTCTGCTGCGTCTCTGCTCCATGCTACGTCAGTGAGATGGCTCATCCGCGATGGAGAGGCACCTTGACTGGTCTCTACAACTGCACATGGTACATTGGTAGTATTATTGCCAGTTGGGTCGTTTACGGCTGCGCATACTGGGACAGCCTGGACGCTTGGCGAATTCCATTCTGGTGCCAGCTCATTACGTCTGGCATCGTCATCATCTTTGTCTTCTTCCTACCCGAATCCCCCCGATGGCTTGTCGCTCAGGATCGCCACGAGGACGCTGCTCGAGTCTTGGCCAAGTACCATGGTGAAGGCTCGGTACAGCATGCCATGGTGAAGCTTCAGCTTGAGGAAATGACCGCGCAGATCTCGGCCGAGGCCTCGGATAAGAAATGGTGGGATTATAGTGAGCTGTGGAACACCCGTAGTGCCCGCAGACGTCTCATCTGTGTTCTTGGCATGGCCGTCTTTGGTCAAATCAGTGGCAACAGCTTGACCTCGTACTATCTGGCCGCCATGCTGTCCAAGGCAGGAATCACGGAAGAGCACACAGTTCTGGCTCTTAACGGTATTAACCCTGTGCTCTCATTCTTTGGTGCAATTTTGGGTGCTCGCATGACTGATGTTATCGGTCGTCGACCATTGCTTCTCTACACCATTGTATTTGCGTCTGTCTGCTTTGCTATCATCACCGGAACAAGCAAGTTGGCTGGTGGAAACACTGACGGTGTAGGCAGCTCTTCGGCAGCCAACACTACTGTTGCGTTCATCTTCATTTTTGGCATTGTCTTTTCCTTTGGCTGGACCCCTCTTCAATCCATGTACATTGCCGAGACTCTTCCCACCTCAACACGAGCCAAGGGAACCGCGCTGGGCAACTTTGCCAGCTCTGCAGCATCTGCCGTCATCCAGTACAGCAGTGGTCCTGCTTTCAAGAACATTGGGTACTACTTTTACCTGGTGTTTGTCTTTTGGGATCTCTTTGAAGCCGTCATCATCTACTTCTTCTGGCCCGAGACCAAGGACCGCACGCTGGAGGAGCTTTCCGAGGTGTTTGAGGCTCCAAACCCCGTCAAGAAGAGTTTGGAGAAACGCAGTGCACAGACTGTGCTCAATACGGTTGGCGTCCGACACAGCGAGAAGCTCCCTGCTTACGACGTTTGATTTTATTTTGAGTTTGCGCTATGTAACCGCTTACAGACAGTAGTATACGTTTTTGACTCGAGCCCAAATTGCGCCTGTGTTGAATATTTTACGCGTGTCAAAAAAAAAAATACGCGAATGTTTTTATATTTTGGCTAAGTAATATATCAATCTAAATCTCATTTTACAACACCATGCACCACGTGTAGATGCATGTTTCTTGCAGACCGTTTTGCCGTTGCAACCCTCCATAAAGCCAGCCGGCCGCCCCTCAGGGCAGTGGAGCCGCTAACGCAGCTGAAAATACCCCGAGTGGGCGCCGCTAAATTTATCGAACATGTTCGTCTTTGGCCACCCCCGCAGTTGGACCTCGACGAATTTCGGACCGCCTCGGATCGAGGAGAATCGAGATCCTTAGCAACAACGCCCTGCTTCAGCATGGATGCCTTGTCGCCTTCAGAGCCTGCAAGAAAGCGCTTGCGCACATCTCACGCGGTATGTCTTATCCTCGCTGCTTGTTCCGGGCTGGTGCCTTGCCAGCGCATCGGATTCCCACGTGGTGGTGGTACCGGCTAACCAGAGACACCAAACGCAACAGTGCGACATATGCCGAAGTAGGAAGATCAGGTTCGTGATACTGGCATTGACTCTGCGCTATGATTACGATCAACTTACTCTAATTACTGTACCACAGATGCGACGGTAATACGCCTTGTAGCACATGCCGCTCGGCAGACCAGGAGTGCACTTACGGTGCGGAAGCCAATCCGTAAGTATCTGCCACTACTACTACCTACTGAGTTTAACCCTTTACCAACTGAGATTGACCGATATAAACAGACGAGGCAAAAGTGACTTGGTTCTAGATGGCGTTCGACGCATTGAACGAATCCTCGAGGGGCTCAGCCCATTCCTTGTAAGACCGCCATGCTTCACTCGACTTTCGCATAGCAATGATAGCTAACATAGCCTTCCCTAGCAAAATGCGGCCGCCGCGTACATAGGAGACAAGAATCAGTACATATCACCTCCTGCCGTCAACTCAATAACCTCACCATCAACCGCATCGCCGTCAGTAGATGCGTCATGGCGCCAGGCTGCCTCCCAGCCCCCAGTCTCGACGGATGGTGCCAAAACTCAAGATGGGGGCGGTGCCCTCGACAACGCTGTTCTCGACTCCATGCACACATCTACCACGGAAGCTGTGCTCCAATGGCCACATTTTGACCAGTACCCATCTCTTCGAGGAGACTACAGATCCATCTTTCACTTGGAGCGAACACGCCCACAGCTGGAACTCTCACCATCAACCATCTTTCCTTATGTGACACAGGAAGACATCACGGCTATCCTCGATGCATTTCAGTACAATGTTAACTTTTGGTATCCTACGGTGTCGCAGAACCAACTACATAGCGTGCACACCTCGATGATGTCTGGCGATCCTACAGATAACTCGCTGGATTCCTGTCTGTCGCTTCTCATCATGGCCCTCGGTTGCGCTAGCCAAGTAACCGCCAATCTTCCTCAAGGCAGCACATCTACACCTGAAGAGGCACGATACAGAGCGTCAAGACGAAAGATTGGCGACAAGTATTTTGAAGCTGCGCTTAAAAAGCTGCATATTGCTCATCTCACCGTGAACTCGACATCAGCGCAATGCATGCTCTTTGTCGCGTAAGTCGCCCCTGCAAAAACAAGATTAACCTGCAATTCTCTAACCGAATCTCTTATAGATTTTACTTTGCTTTCCTTGGCCGCCCTTTACAGGCCTGGGAATTCATTAGTACAGCATCCACCAAATGCTTGATGCTGCTCTCCTACGCGGCCGAAAATGCGCAAGAGGAAGAGCACGAGCGCATGCGTCGAGTATTCTGGTCATGCTATATCCTTGAAAGGTACGTTTATTCTCTAGCTATTTCTATACTCTATTTGAAACCGAAACGTATAATAACGTGTGTTGTAGCGACTATGTTGCCGAGCTTTCTGCTTGCCCAGTCTCTGGCATCGCCCGAGTCGAGTCATCCGTTCCACTGCCACGCACCTACTACAGCCATGCTTCGACCTCCGAGGATGAGCAGTCTTCGCTGTATTTTGTCGCATGTATCAGTATGCGGCGACTCTTGAATCGCGTCCACCAATTGCTCTATGCCAAGGACACCGGTGCGGCCGTGAACTCGGCTCAATTTCCCTCCATTGTTGCCGAGCTGCACCACCAACTCGAAGATTGGCGCGAGGTTTTGCCGCCCTCATTTGCCTTTACCGTTGATACATCGCCTGCCACAAATGCCGCCAGTGGATTCTTGAGACAGAGATATTTAACTTGCCGAAGCGTCATATATCGGCCATATCTGATGTGGCTTCTCAGCGGTCTCGGACACCCACCAGACGGCAAGGTTGGCTCACCGACCAATCCCAGCCCCGAAATGCTGAAGAGCAGTAGGGCATGTCTGGATGCATGCTTGATGCATATTCTCAACTTGCGCGGCTTCTCACACACGGTCCTCATGGACACGTGGATTTGTTCGCTGTCTATGGCGGGAGCTATGCTTGTTCTGCTGGCTGCGTCCAAGATTCCGTCTCTGCGAAACTTGATCGGACTAGAGGTCTTCTCGGCAGGTGATCATCTGATACAGCTTCTTCAGCAGTGGCAAGAGCTGCTTGGTGGACCGCCATCACCTAGCGTGGCGCAGAGCATTCGTATCATTGATGCTGCTGATCGCTTCATCAAGGACTCGCTTTCGCATCAGTCGGACCAACCGAAGGATCCCCGATCCTGGAAACGGATAGAACTTTGAAATTTCGTGTAAAAGGGTTGTATAATAATGATGTGGCGACGAGCGGTGTTGACTTGGCGTTTGTAATGTATTTTATTCCACATAATCGAACTTGTACCTCTCTTCTTGGTTGTGTAGCTGATTGCAGTCTCATTATGTCTCAGTCCTCACTCATGGCTTCTAGGGGCCCAACCGGGTTATCACGGAATACTGCCAATGATGACAACTGCCAATAGCCGTGGCCACCGCGTCGGATGATTTCACCAGCCTGTTGGAAGAAAGAGTCGACCCGGAGTGCTACTGGTCGCACCAGCAGTTTACCTAGATAGTATTCGGTGGATGTCAACCTCTGCAGCGATACGTGAAAGCTAACGAGCAAGTCATGCGCAACTTTGATATCAGGTGGCTCCGAGGCAACAATGAAAAGGTGTATAAGGAAATTGCCACAGAGGATCAACTGAGAACGGGCGACTAGGGAAAAATGGTTAGTTGTCTGAATGCATACATCACAACGGGAGCAAAACTTACATCGTCCCCAAAAGCTCTGTAAATCACCTTCGGTGATGCCGTCAATAAATTGAACAAACTTCTTCATATCGTGAATCGCCGTATTGAACCACCTCCACAAGTTGGAATTGGGGTCAGCGCGCGCCGCTTTCGACGCGGGGAACATCAGTGCTCGGAATAGAAGCACTTGTGAAGCATAATATGAAAGGTGTAGGGGACCTAGAATAACCATTAGAACTGTACTGGCCCACTCCAACAAAAACACTTACAGTTATTCCGCGTCATTGGTAATGGCCCTTGTCTTTTGGGAGCCAGATAAGGTGGTATACGCGTGGTCCAATCCACGAGTCGACTGCGGCATCTATGTAATCCAGATAGACATTCCTGCTCGTCATATGCTGTATTGACTTCGCTGCTCAAAGTTAGAAGATTTCAACGGACATAGTAAGGGGTACTGTCTTACAATCGTAGATCGACAACCTCTCGGACCACCCGTGTAATGTAAATATACTCCAAGAAACGAGCACCCAAGGCCTCGTCAAACACCGTGTCTGCGGGGTCTAGATAGTCTTTCAGATCCTCAGGTACATCCTCATCAAAGCGCATGTCGTCTATATTCAAAGAGGTTGTTGAAAAAGAAGTCGGGCTAATGTGCGGGGGATTGCCGTGGCAGATGGAAGCCCAGCAATCAGCAGCATATACCGCCCACCAGAGCCTCTTTCTTAACTTCTTTTCCCAAGGCTCAATATTCCAATCATCACAGTCTTTATGTAGACCGCTCATCTGTGCGCATGCCAACGCCTGTGACGCAATCACCCACATGACTGGTGATTCCACGGTGTCAATCCATGGGGGTGTCATATGAAGAAGTAATAGGCATGATTGAAGATTGGCTAGATTTGTATTGTTAAACTCAGCCGTCAGAGAAATCTGGGCACGAGATTGCAATTCATGCTGTTCAAAGGGACATGGTCCTTTGAGAGTCGGATCTCGACTCCAGAACATGCATGCAAGAGCGTAAACTGCGCCTCGGAGTGAGGCTGGAAGCTTCTCTTTGTTGGTCGCGAAGAGTCTCAAAAAGCGTCCTTTGGAGACAACCGGGTAGACCGGATGGACGTACTTGAAGAAGAGACGCACCAAGTTAGCACTGTATGGGTACACAGTCCTCTCAATTGCGTCAGATGACTCCAATTTTGGTCGTAACGTGTGTTCTGGAACCTCGTTCTCTAATAATAAAAAGTGCACTGGCGGGTCGTTTCGTTTGGAGCTGCCAGGGTATACCTGCAGATAGTCGGCGTCAATCTCATCCTTCTCGCTAACAATCATGTAGCGAAAGGAATCCAAGATGTAGGTATCCTGTTCGGCAGTATCCCCCATAAAGTTGGCCGTTTTATTGAGGTTATCTTCAAGAGTGTGAATGCGTCCTGGGCCATTCGTCGGCCAGACGCCCATGCCCTCTGTCGTCCCAAGAGTGTGTGTATAGACTGTTCGGGGGATTCCTTGGGAATCAACCGAAGATCGAGAGTCTGGCGGCCCTATACTGCCTGATACGGACGGGCTTTCATATTTAATTGGTGTAGTTGCCAGTGGGCGCATCAGGCCACCTGGCGACAGGGCGGGCTGGCTTGGTGGTGTTGGCCCTGTAGTGGCCGAAAAGGGCGACGGTGACGCTTCCATGGGCGAATCCAGAGAAGTTTCAGAAGTGTCATTTTGAATTAACCCCGATGATATGCAGCTGATATTCCTGCTTTTGCAAAAGGCGCCTGTGTGAGGCAAGGGCCGTTAGCAGGGTGAGACCTTTTCTAGGGGGGGGTGACATTGAGAAGCGCTGTCGACGCAGCCAGCGACTTGGACTGTCAGGACACTTACATGGTGGTTTATCAGTGATTACACAGGCCGTCTTTCGTTTCCGACAGGTATCGCACGGGCGGCTCTTGCGACTGCGCCGCTCTCGTGCTTGGCCAAAGCTACTCTGGATGGTGAACTTGCGCCTGCGCTGGGGCTGGCCATCCACCATCCCCTCTTCGGGGATCTCAGCCTCGTGCTCCATAATCGATCTTGGCCAGGGGCAGTAGGATCCGAATGGATGGCACCACGCGGGGGGAATCAGGGTTGTCGGCCAACTAACTCGCAGGACAATACATTGCGCGGAGCCACTCCCGTGGCGCCTTTGTGAAGAAACTTCACCAAGTTGGCCGATGCGGGGGCTGACGCAGCTCGTGCTGGCGGGGCCAGCTTCGGCCAACTTTTGGGGGGCACACGGTTTGGCCGACGAGGACAAAAAGTCCGGCGGTGAAAAACAACTGTATTGTTTGTATATAAAGAGTATGGGGCCAACCCATGTTTGGTGGATATATTTAAGAATAGGATCTACTGTATTGTAACTAACTGGATCTGTAAGTTAATTTAAGTCTACGGGCCGTAATGGGGGTGTTGATCAGCCACCTTTGTATCTCATGCAGCGTTATGGGCCAGCACTTGCCGCCCGTCGCTCTAATCGGACTCATAGTTTCCCATTCCAAACAGCCGTTTGTCTTCACAGCGGTATCTATAGTACTCTTGCACCTCTCGGGCGCTCCTCGTATCGTTGGTAAAGGCATCGATACTCGCGGCTGGGAGCAGCCAATGAAGCGCTACGTAAGCAGCACAACTGGCGAAAAAGCCGTAAAGACAGTTAACAAAGTAAAGCTCTATGGCGCCGTCTGAAACCACAATGGCAGGGCTTATGGATGCGAGAAAGCCTGGGAAAGCGGGTACAACCCCAACCAGCCACTGCAACACACTTCAGCGTTAGCGACTCTATCATACAGACGGCGATTTCAACAGCTACTTACAGCAACGAGAGCGCGCCAATTGACCCCACAGGTATACCAATATATGCTTGCAGAGTTGCCCGTAAAGAGGCTATCAACGTCAAGCTTGCGCTTACAGACGACGAAATAACTGGCCACCATGATGCCTACCATGGGGGCTAGGAAGACACTATAGCCAGCAACAACGGATAAAAATATCGACGCAGTTCCAACCAGTCGCCAAGGGTTGATTACAGGACTCAGCAGCGCCGTCACATATGCTCCGCGACGAATATCAATGTACTTGGGGAGAATCGCAGACAAGTCGATGCCCCCAGAAAGACCGTTGCCGGAAATGTTGATTCCAAGCTGTCCAACGGCAAGCGTGAGCCCTGCAAAGAATATGGCTGCGCGGGTACCTGCAGTTGGATTTAATTCAACCAAGCGCTGCAAGATCATAACAGGATTCCACTCAGGCCCGCCCAATCGTTCCTGTGTGGCCGCAACAACAAGGATGCCAGCAACAGAACACAGAGTCGTATAGAAAAACAGTGAAAAAGCGACAGCCCAAGGGCCCCGGCGAGTATTTGAGAGACGAGTGTAATCGTTGCCATTCAGAATGCCGGCTGAGATTGCACCGACGGTAGAGCTAATGCCATATAGCACTAACCAAACAACGCTCTGTGGCCCGCCTGTTGCTGAAAGTGGTGTCATGTCTGTTATGGTGCCGCCAAAGCCGTGGGGCCCCATGGTAGCCAATGCCCATATTAAGAATACTGTGAAAAACGCGCCGATAACAATGCTGGTGATGTTCAGAAACGTCTGAAGGCGATGCGGTTGGATATAGTGAAAGGGAAGCGAAAACACCATGAAAAGAATATATGCAACGAATTGAGCAGTTGTCATGCCAATATCTGAGGGCATGGTATTTGGTATATGCTTCTCGAGCTCAAGGTCCCATGAAAGCAGGATGAGATAGAAGCACTGTCCTCCGACAAAAGCCTGAACCGAGTACCAAACAATGGCAAGAAAGATGCGGTTCCAGATGGTGAAAAGCGATCCCCACATGCCCCAAGCTGCTCTGCTGAGAACAGGGAAGCCAATGTGATAGTCAAGACCAGCGATGGAGTTTATGTATACGCCAGCAGCCGATACCAGATTTCCGAGAACGATGCAGATGATGGACTGCCACCACGTCAGACCCAGAGGGATCAGAGCGCTTCCGGAGAAAAAGGACGATATGCTAAGACTGGAGAGCAGCATATAATTGTGTAGCGCAAAGAAGCCCCATGTGCGTCGTTGGCTTTCAATTGGTCGGACATCATCGTTGATCCACAGATTCGAGTTGGATATCGACGGCCCTTTGAGTTCAAACATTGTTGGAGGTGTTGCGACCCTTGACGATCGCCGAGGGGCATTAGTAAGCGCGTTACTGAGAAGGAGGAGGGCGAAGGTCTTATTAGAAGGCAGCGATAGGGGCTAAAGGCGATTTCTTGTCCAGCAAGAGGTCGCGTAGGGGGCGGCAACCTCTGAGGTTGAACGAGGTTTTTATATACTCCCTGCTTGCGAAGCGGGCTCGCATCCGTGAACGAGGGGAGACAGCGACCGTGTGGAACGAGAGGTGCCAAGCCAAGCTCAATATCATATGCGAGTAGACTGAATATAGCTAGCAATTGTCGCCGACAATATGATGATGCGTTTTGCGACAACGTCCGACACAAAATATGCGATACGACGGGCGTTGACTGAGAAAATGTGGTTGCTGCCCGGCAGTTCAATTTAGCCGCTATACAATAGCGTTGATTTCCACGCTAAATTATTAGCGTTGATTGACAGGCATAAGGCTGCGCAAATATCTGCAGCCAACAGGGTTTCCACTGTTGAGCGGTGCTAATTAATGTATGAGACAATGCGTCGAAACGATGCGACAAGGAATACAATGAAGTTGAGAAGTCATATATCAGAGTATTTATTTATTTTTTCCTCTTCATTCTTGACAGCTGCCACGGCAGTGCCGCCTGGGCCACCGCCAGCTGGCAAATTCTGCCACCTGGTCCCGACCTCAACAAGCACTCCTGGGCACGCCGAAGCTTTAACATGACTCGACACTCCACACTTGTAGCAAGGAACAAATACAAACTGACAGCAACATATTCATTCATATTCAAGAAAGTTCCATCATTTTACGGATGGCTACAGCATAATAAATAAATTAGGCCATGTTCTCCTTCTTGCGCTGGTCAAAAACCTTGAGAGCCTCTTCAGCAGCCTTGACACCGCTGAGAACCATGGCTCCGAATGTAGGGCCTGTGCATGTAGATTAGCAAACGGGTCACAACAAATCATGAAGGCAATAATATGGTTAAATATACCCATACGGTTGGCTCCGTCAACCTCAGAAAGCTCCATGCCGCCGACAATCAAGCCGGGGACGATCTCACGGGTGCCTTTGACAATGGCGTCCTCAGCAGTGTTCATGTCGAGGCCACGCATGCCACCAAGCTTCTCAATTCTCTGCATGCTAACGAGACGCTTGACACAGAAGGCACCCATAGGACCATCGTGACCGGTAGTCGAAACAATAAGAGGGCAGTTGATGGTGTTGGGGTCCATGCAGGACTGATCGTCGTGGTGCATAGACACCAGAGTCCAGTTGGTGACAACACCAGCAATGCGAACACCCTCGCCATCGAGGCCAGGGCGAGTGATGAGGTCCTCAACACAGGTGGCGTTGAAGAGCTTGACGTTGGGCAGCTGCAACACCTTGGACATGATGGTCGAGGTGAAGAGAGCAGCGTGCTTGACAACGACGTAGTTGCCCTCATCCTCGTAGGGAACGCCAATCTCGCGGAGGAAAGCATCGGCAGGCTTGCGCATAATCATGGCAGAGAAGAGCTGACCACCGAGCCAAGCACCGCCACCAGGGGAGACAGAGGCCTCAATGATGGCAATCTTGAGATCGGGTCTTCTCTTGCCTAGGATGTAGGCAGTGGACAATCCGCAAGAGCCCGCACCGATGATGACAATGTCAGACTCGGCGTACTGGTCAAGATCCTGGAAGTAGCGGCGGGTCATGGCACGCGAGACCTGGCTCTCACGGATGGGAGCGAAGCGGAAGTCGTTCCACTTGCCCTCCATGTCGTCAACAGTCACTTCGGAACCGTCCTTGGGAGGCACAGCGACATTGTTTTGCGCGTTGGCGAGCTTGATGCTCGCAGCAATATCAGCAGCACGCTGGATGGGGGAGATGGCAGATGGTGGGCTCATGTTGAAACTGCTATAGTTAGAATGCATGTGGGGGAAGGGGGGGATGGAGGAAGGCATGATCCTTTCGCTGGTATTATCCAGATCAAGTTCAGGGCCGTATATTCTCAGCCACAAGCTCCATCGCAACAGCCTCAACTGTCCCTGCGAACTTAGCATTGCTAAGACACTGGAACTACAAGACTGCTGGTCAAGAGCTAGGGCACCGGCTCATGCAAAGAAACAGTACCTGAAGGAGACATGATTGGATAGTGCACCACCGAAAGCCGGCAACTCATGGCCTAGCCTGGGGCATTTTTACCGGTTGGTTGGCTACATGTGTTAGAAAGTGAGTCGCACTATCCTCCTCTTATACGGAGCGTAGTGTAAGGAGGTCAGGTGAGATACAAACATTGTTACTTGGACAAAGAGGCTTTGTACTTGGGAGCGTTGGTAAAGATCAGAGAATTTGAGATTCAAACTTGAAGAAACGAAAAGAGGGGAAGCAAAAGAGATCGGCTTCCACATGAGCCCTTTTATACTCAAGCCTAATTGATAATGGCGGCATTTTACTGGACCGTTATGGTCTCGGTTATCATTTCACTCCATCCAATGCGGAGCCGCAAAGCAATATGGGGGCACTATAGGCCCTACAGCGCCGCCGTCATTATCCGGTGCTGCCCGCCCCAACATGATGCAGATGGCCAATGGAAATCGCACCTTCCATATTTAATTGGGGTCATTGGTGGTGGCGTAGAACGATATCGGCACACAGTGTTGAGAGCGGTTGAAGTCACCGATGTCCCGCATTCGTAGGCTAGAACCCTTGGCCAGAGCTGGTGGCCGCCATCGGCACCAGGGCTTAAATGGCGCCGTGGGTGAGATGTTTAAACTGAGATCGGGGGATGACGGATCGGTGTGATGAATTCGCGAAGACTACATGCTGGTCACCGACACTATATTTGCAAAATGGGAACGCTGGATCTATTCCATATTTGGGGTACATTTTTGGCTACGTCTATCTATACATATGCTGGTTCTACGATGGATTCGACCATTATGCCTCAGCGACCTCTTTACCCGTCTGTACGAATTGCTCCGGATCATGAGCAAACCTTCCCAGGAAAAGGCCATCGAGACCATCCTTGAGCTTTTTAAACAGACCAGGACCAGCGCTCCCACCATAAACGATCCGTGTGATACCTTTTCTACCAACAATGCTAGGTAGATTACGCAGCTTCTCCACGACAGCTAAAATGTAGTCTTCGCTCGCCGGTTGTGGTGCACCAATCGCCCATACAGGTTCGTATGCTAAGGCGATTTCGGCGTCACTCTGCACAGCAGCCACAACAACGTCGATTTGCTGGGTGCATTCATCAACTGCGATGCTTACATCGCCTTGTGTTTTCTCGCCAATGCATACAAGAGGCAACATGCCATTTCTGGCCACAGCTGCTGCCTTTTTTGCCACCATTTCGTCATCTTCAGCAAACAACCTGCGTCTCTCGGCGTGGCCCACTGCGACAAGACGTGCACCAATGTGCTTCAGCGTTGCCGGACTAACCTCACCCGTGAAGGCACCTTGGTCCTCCCAATGGCAGTCTTGAGCGCCGGTCCACACAGGAACAGGACTGTTCTCGAGTTGTTTTATCGTCCCGGGAATGGTGATGTAATCTGGCAAGATGAAGATGTCGATATTCTGTAGTGTTTCCAGGGGTACACCCTGGAGCAAATCGACCAGAGTTTGCGTGTATTCCTCCGTGCGCGGGGCAGTAAAGTACATTTTGGCAGAGAAGCCGACCAGCCGCCGGCGAGGCTCCAATGACGAAACCATGAGATAGTCGGCGATTTAAAATGAAGTAAAACGAATCCAGCAGTACTTTTATGACAGCGAAAATCACTGGCGCTGATTGTTAATGTACGGAACAGAGAGGAGCATGATAATGAGAAGCCTGTCCTGGTGCAGATGCGGACCGACCCCGCGATTCCTGTTTGGGTAATCCGACATTAACAACCTCTGTCGTCGCGCTAACAACGATACATTTGATTCACTTTACCGAACGGCATGGTGGTATAGTAATGAAGTTGTTGCATTTCAAGATGAATTGTCAAACTTCCAAAATATCTTCAGTATTCATTATTTACGCCCCTCCTTCAAGAGCAAGATTCAAGGTCTGCCCGTGGTATACACCGATTCTACGCTTCCAGCTCATCAATTTCGGCAACCTTTTTGGCGCTAGCGCTCTGGTAATCGAATTCATATCCAAGCCACTCTTTCGCAAGTCGGCGAGCCAGCTCTAGGCCTACCACTCGCTCACCCATACAGAGGACTTGTGCATTGTTGCTCAGAATGCTTCGTTCGACGCTGAAGCTGTCATGGGCAGTGACTGCGCGGACTCCTTTTACTTTGTTGGCCGCAATGGCAACTCCCAGACCTGTGCCGCAGATAAGTAGAGCACGGTCAGCTTTGCCCTCGGCGACAAGGCGGGCAGCGGCGGCAGCACGAGCAGGATACGGCGTCTTGTCAGTAGCTTCTCCGGAGCCAACATCGATAATATCGGTGACGCGAGGGTCAGATTCAAGATCTCTCTTGATTGTGTTTTTGTAGTTGATACCGGCCTCCTATAACCGATGCTTTGTCAGAATCTGTGTGGGCGTTGTTGTGGTAAGTCTTAGTACTTACGTCACAGCCGACGGCGATTCTCCAAGAAGGGCTCATGGTGTAAGAACTTGGTCCTGGAATTGATTCTCGGTACAAAAGAAGTGATGTGAAAGAGGCAAAAATACAGGACCAAAGAAAAAAAGGAACAGTTCAGCGAGAAACGATCAGGGTCCAGCGTAGCAAGTCCGGTATCTAGACCGGACTATGCGTCAACGCGCAGCACGAGCTCAAACCCCCCACCAATTCTCCAGTTCTAGATCATGCGGCCATCGAATAAAATCAAACCAGCCTTCAAATTTGACGTGCAAAAGTGACCCCGCCGTTCCACTGCCTCAAAGTCGGGGTACGCTCCGCGCCGAGCAAGCGTTGATGGAGGGGCTCGGATTTCCCAATCGGGTAACCCGACGCAACACTCACACGCGACTTAGACAACTTAAACGGAGCATAGACCGACGATGCCTTGCCTTCGCCACTGTAAACCACCTTTTGCAGACGATTGGCCACCTATCTCCTCCTTTTTATGCGGGGTAATCCATCTAGAGGCTGTCTGGAGTTTCTCAGCTGCGCAGCGGCGCTGTCTCCGAAGCCGGGTCCGCGAAGCTCTAGAACCATAAGGTCAATGTAGCGGCAGTTCGGGGTAAGGGGGAGAGTTTTCTTGGCTCTTTGGCTCGTTCTCATTGCCATTGTAATCAAAAGCGTCCAAGGATCCCCTCCCCTCTCCCCTCCTTACTCATTGTCCTTCCTCCATTCTGCCGCCTTCACTGTCTCTGGGCTGAGAGGTAGCCTTTCAACCTATACCTTCTTAACCTTTTCTTCTAATCTCACATTATTTAACATGTCCAAGAGACATCTTTTTGATTCGGCCGATGGTCTTGTCAACAAGGCTCTGAGAGGCATCATCCGATATAACCCCAGCCTTAGTCTGGACGAAGCAAACAGAGTCGTTTTTGACTCCACCTACGACAAATCCAAAGTTTCCCTCATTAGCGGCGGCGGTTCAGGTCATGAGCCCGCCTGGACAGGCTATGTGGGTGAGAACATGTTGACGGCTTCTGTTGGAGGTGACATCTTCGCCAGTCCGAGCACCAAGCAGATTGTTGCTGCTGTGGAGAGCGTTCCCAGCGACAAGGGAACCATCCTCGTTATAACAAACTACACTGGCGACTGCCTACACTTTGGCCTTGCCAATGAAAAAGCTAATGCCACCGGCCACAACTGTCGCACAATCATCTGTGGTGACGACGTTTCTGTGGGCAGGAAGGGAAGCCTGGTTGGTCGTCGCGGCCTCGCTGGACAAATTGGAGTCCTCAAGGTCATGGGTGGAGCAGCCGGCGCTGGTGGTTCTCTCGACGATGTTTATAATCTTGGTGTGGCATTCTCGGAACAAATTGTTTCTATTGCAGCCACCCTGGATCACTGCCATGTACCTGGACGCACTGAGCATGCCATGCTGAAAGAGGATGAAGTTGAGTTGGGCACTGGACCTCACAATGAGCCAGGATACAAGAAGCTCTCGCCTGTTCCTACGCCATCTGAGCTCATTGACCAGATTCTTACCCACTGCCTAGACGAAAAAGACCCTCAGCGTGGCTACGTCAAGTTCCAGCCAGGCGACGAAACGATACTTTTGGTCAGCAATTTTGGAGGCATGTCGCATCTTGAAATGGGCGCTCTCGTCGACGAGCTTCTCGAGCAGCTTGAAGTCAAATGGAGTATGGAACCGTCCCGCGTCTGTGCCGGCTTCCTTGAGACTTCGCTCAACGCGCCAGCTTTTTCCGTCTCTGTCATTAACGTGACTGCTGCCGCACGCAACTGCACATATTCAATCGACGAAATCAAACAATTCTTTGACATAAAAACAAACACATATTGGGAGTCTATGGCTGGCTCGCAAGTGATCCGACGAACGAGAAAAGAGCAGCTAGTACCAGCCCGCAAGGAAGAGCCCAAGACTGTAGATGAAAGCCGGGACCTCAAGATCGAACCTGCTATGCTCGAAAAGATGCTTCGCACAGCATGTGAGGCCGTTGTTGTAGCAGAGCCTGACCTCACCAAGTGGGATACGGTCATGGGCGACGGTGATTGTGGTGAAACGCTCAAGACTGGCGCAACATCCTTGCTGGCTGCGCTAGACCTTGGCCTTGCGCGCTCCGGATCAGTTGTCAAGGTGCTCCTGGAGCTTGAAGAGATTGTAGAAAGCAAGATGGGTGGTACTCTTGGTGGTATTCTGGGCATTTTCTTCGTCTCGCTCCGTGCCGCGGTCGAGAAGAACTGCAGCCTCGCCTCATCGCAGGGCGCTGTGGCAGTCTGGGGTGCCTCACTGGCCTCTGCACTGGAAAACCTGCGCCGTTACACACCTGCCAAGGTTGGAGACCGCACCGTCATGGACACTCTGATTCCTTTCGCGGAAGTCATTGGCCGTGCCGGTTTCCAGGGCGGCGTCGAGGCTGCAGTGAATGGAGCCGAGGCCACGAAGACCATGAAGCCTCGCCTTGGCCGGGCAACTTATGTCGGCGCCGGTGCAGACCAGTCGCAGCAGCTTCCTCCTGATCCTGGAGCTTGGGGCGCAATGGTCGCTATCCGCGGACTCCAGGAAGGGCTTTCAGCACAGTGAGGAAATCCGCCCATGGCCGTTGGGAGACCTGGATGAACAACTCGTATGACAACTCTCAATAATGAAGCACTTGCGGAGACGATTATGGCGACTGTTTATCGTTACTATTCCAATATTATAATTGCATGTTTTCTTTACATTTATTCGCCTTGTGTGTTTAAGATACACCCTACCTGCCATGCCAAGTCGAACCTGTCGGGAGATATTACTCTACATGCTCGCCATCAGGCACTGTCGAATTTTTCTATTCATCTTGAAAGACCATCCATTCACAGATCACTAAAAATATTTACAGATATTTTAACGGCAAAAACATTAATCAGATTGACATTTGGGAATCATTAATGAGTACATCAAACTGCTTTCTCAGCTCTTGGTTCCACCACGCCTGCCATTACATCCGCCTTGTCATACAAGTCGAGTTACTCATCGTCCTCGAGCTTCTTGGCTGTCTTTTCAGGAGGGAACTTCATGCCGCGGTTTGGGCCATTTTCGCCTGCTCCTGGGCCCCAACCTCCGTAGCCGCCTGAGGTTGCAGCACCAGCGAGGCCGCTTGTACCGCCCATAGCGAGCTTTCCAGCTAGCTGGTTGCCAGCAACACCGGGAGTGTCCTTCTTGAACTCCTCAAACTCTTCGCGGGTCTTGCCGGTGTACTTGAGAAGATCCTCGTCGCTGATAGGAGGGCCCTGCTTCTTGGCCTGCATCTTTTGCCAGAGACCCATGGTTTGTGATGAAGTGGGAGGTGTGACGAGTGGTTGTGTTGTTTGTTGCTGTGTATTCACAGAGAAAAACCAATAGAAGTCTGGTATGTGATTGTTGATGGTGAAGATGGTGAGTTTGACTCTAACAACCCAAATCGCAGCAGCCACCCAGCGCCTCTTTAAAGTAAAACGGGCGGCACGCTACGACTCGCGTTGGTTCCCAAAGAAGCATTGTCAGCTGTGCCCCCTCCGCAAAAACGCCACGGCTGTGACATCACTCTTGAATGCAGCAGCGCCTCACCACCACCACGATTGCGTACCTCATTTCTCGCCCGAGCGCTTGTCACTAGATCAAAGGGTCTTGAGGCTAAGAAAGGCATGCGAAGCCGAAGCGCATAACCCTCTTTCTAGAAGCCACAGCGATGCGCTAGCTGAACCAGAGGCTTAAAGGATCTACACTCGACATCTAATGACTAAAATGGCATCCAGCCAAATTTTATTTATACACCTATTGCACAACTAAGAAACTATCATAACTTGCGTGCAATACTTCTAAAATGGAATCAGATAATAAGAAAAGGAGAAAAAAACAAGGACAGCTCTTTGCCCTTAATGCGCCACTGTTCATATGTCCGCCTCACTTTCTGAGAGACACGGCCCGATTAGAACACCAGTCAGCCTCTAGGCAGCAGCGGCAGTGTTCCGCGTTTCAAGCGCCCGCGAGACGAGTTTCCTTTTAGGCGTGTGGAGCAAGTCCAATACTGTTGTTTGCACCGTTAAAGGCCACAAACTGGGACTTGAAAAGAATATCGCCGTAGACGCCGAGCCCGCCCGCCTGTGTGGCTTGCAAACCACCGAAGCAACCTGAAAGCATTGATATGTTAGCATGTTTCATGCCAGGATACAAAAATGGGGAACTACTTACGTCCATTGCTAACCGGGGCAAAGTTGAGATCGGAACCCTTGATGCGGGCCATGTACTGGCCGCCAATGTCCAAGTCAAGATCCGGAAGCTGGGCATCGCAGGGCACTGTGACGCCACCGCTTTGCTTGTCGTTCTGGGCTCCTTGTACCTTGGAATAATAACCCTGAACAATGGTGGGGTCCGCGAGGAGCAGCGTGGTACCAGTGTCGGCGATGGCCTGGCCACCCTGTGCACCAGCCTGCTGCTGGCCTCCGTCGACAGCGAAACTTTCGCTGCTGAACTGCCAGAAACCCTTTTTATTGTTAATGGGCACCCAAGTCATGTCTCCCTGGAACTTTGTGGTGTCAATCTTGCCAAACTCGTAGGCTCCTGCAGCGCCCTTGCGAAGATCAGCAGTAAAAACAGGCTCTGCCAGCGACGGCATGACATTGTCAAAGAAGGTCTTTTGCTTCTGGGGCTTGACAGTGTTGATGGATGAAAAGGCAAGACCCATCAAACCATCATTGTTCTGGTCACGGACAAAGGTCTGCGAAACATCGGTGGCAAGCTCGATCGCCTGCTGATCAAAAACAGCGCCACCGACATCGACGACATCGAGGCCGACGTTTCCAGCAGCACCGGAACCATCGCCGTAAGAAATAGAAAACTTGGCGCCATTAAGAGCCTGGAAAGTCTTGCTAGCGGTGGGGTCGTAGACAGAGTGGCCGTTTGTGACTTGAGCGTTGAGCTGGGTGTTGAAGACCCAGAGATCCGAGGAGCCTGTGTCAAAGTCCAGTGTCACAGGTTGACCGCCAATCTTGACTTGTGCCAGGAACTCTTTGTCGTTTTGTTCAGGCACGGCGTCGACTTTGCCTGTCTGGTTGGTAGCACTAGCAGTGCCGTTGCCTGCACCACCATTCTGGTTCTTGTTTCCCTTGCCCTTGCCCTTGCCCTTGCCCTTTGCCTTGCCATTGTTTTTGCCCTTGGCCTTGCGGTGTCCTTGGCCATTCTGTTGGCCAGCATCAGCACCGCCTGCATTACCACCAAGCCCGTCCGCAAGACCAGTAAGCAAACCCAGAGGGAGAAAGTCGGGTTTGTTTCTGCGGCGGGCAATCTTCTCGTTCGTGACGGCAGCCTCGAGCCCTTCAGGCATCTGCATACCGAATTTGCGGAAAGCCTTGGCCAGTGCCTGTGGGCCATTGTTGCCGGTGAACTTTTCATTGGCGAATCGCTCTACTTTGAACGAGCGCTTCTCAATAGCCGCTGGTGACGCCGAGGCCAGCGATGCCAGCAGCAGGACGGAGGTGAGCGTGTTTGCCAACATGTTGTAAGTATATGGTATACTGAGAGAAATGGATATATGTATAACGAAAAGAGAGAGAAAAACGAATGTAATCGAATCGAAAAAAAAAAGAAGTCCAAATAAAAGATCTCGCGCCGGGCGATAATACAGGTCAGAAAGAAAGGATGGACGAAGAAAGTAAGAATCGCAGAAACAAAAACCGGGAAGTCGATCACGCCAAGACTAGCAGCAAGCGATATATAGCATTTTGTTTATGGCTGTAGCGGCACGCAGGATACTATATACAAAAGGAACTCATGCGCATGGACAAGACTACGGCAGATGGGGCCTCTGAAACGATGAGAGGCCGACATTGCCGTCATTCGCAGATCCCACGTTTTGAACCAGACGGGCCGCCCAAAGCAAAGCTACGCAGAGCAAAAGGAGGAATAAACGCCGGGGGCAGCCAGCGGTGGGCAGACGGCGCATAACGAGAAGATGTTTCGCGTCGAGTTTGAGCGGCGCAGAGGCCCTGACAGCCGGCGTATCAAGTGTGGGCCCTAAGCGTAACGGGCCTGACGATGCCTTGTCCCTTTTTTTTTAATTGGCGTCAAGCGGCAGTGTGTTTGGGCTTCTCGTGGGTGCGCTGATCCGTGGGTTAAACATGAAACATGGGCCACGGGCAGGGCTGTTTCAGCGGTTGGGGGCGCAGGACGAGAGCGTTTTATGGGAAAGTCGGCAGTCGCATAAATGATATGGTGAGCCTCGACAGCGCAAACAAGAGCGAGAATTTTTTGATTCCATTCTGGCTATTTTGCCTCCATCGGATTCAAGATGCCGGCGCCGGGCGCGTGTGTAAGTGGTGATGTGGCGCTGTCGAAACGATTGGATTAGCGGCGCTGGTGGGCTAAAAAGAAAACGGGTTGGTCTTCTGTCAGGAGATGTCGCATACTTTCTTTTTACCGGCTACAGAGATGCCTGTTCCTATTGGGCCGATCACTAGCTTTTTGCTGCATTTCCCCTTGATGCTGCTGCTCATATCCGACGCTCTCCTCATTGCGACGGCCACCCTTGCAATGCACGCTATTAGGGTATTTACAAGGAGGTTTCTCCCCCGCATCGCTCGCTAAAAAGGCAACGTTGGCCAGGGTCAGTGAGGCACGCTAACGAACGGAGCAGGGTACCGTACATGTAAGCGTAAGTTGTACTAGGCAGCTTGCAGCATGGGGAAATGATCTGGTTTACAAAAATGCATAGAAAGCAAGCTATAGTTTGAGGTTTACCCTTGGATTTACTTTGCATGATGCTGAGTGATCAGACGACTATGCGAACCACGGAGATGGTGGCTCATAGAGGAAGGTCGTTATCACCGAGATCGTCAGCACATCAGCTCAAGCACCAGCAGACAAGGAAAGCAAAAGTGTCTGCTCTCCAAGCACGGAAACAGCAGCCACCGTGACCCAGGAACATGGCCAGGACAAATCCACACGTGCAAGACAGCGTGTGCAGCAACTACCATGGCCATCATGTGCCGGTCTAGATTGACATTGGCTAGGTTCACGGGTCTGATCTGTGGCTGCGGCCACCTGGTTTACTCACTTGCCGTATCTGAGTCCATCTGGAAACTCATATTCCCGTCCAGTCTCTGTTCGAGGCCATCGCTCATCAGCCTTATTGACCGAGATCTAGTAGGTGGCCGAGCCATGAAGATGAAGGTGTTAGAGTCTTCTGGAGATCGATTTCAAAAATGGACTTGGAAGAGGAACTCGGACCGCCTTGAGAGACTTGTCACCAAGGATGTGTCGGATACAGCGCCAAATACCGTCGCGTCCAAAACTTATGCGACAGATTTCCAGCCAGAAGGCGGTGCTGGCTCGCTAAAGTTGGATTGCTCGGCTCTGCGCTAGCTCAGTCATATCGCATCTCGTTCTTCCTTCTGCCTTTCGCTTACAACTTCCCCCATGGCCAACCCAGTCCGCCAAATATAACCTTTTTATTTTTTTGTTCCTCGCCTACTACTGCAACTTATACTAATTTCGCAAACCCAGAAACCAAATCACCATATTGTTTTGCGCCTTTGATCCTGTTTGCGTCCGTGCCTCGCCCGGTCTGCGACAAACATGCCGTCTGTGCCCGCCGCCCGTCTCCCACGCTGAAACAAAATCACCAAAAATATTTCCAAAAAGTATTCCGCTGCCACAGATTAACTTTGGCGCCCCAGACACTCTCTCCAGCGCCTGTGCCTGTGCTCACATAACCGCTACTACCCTGCTGGTCGTCGCCCCACGGCGCCATACTAGAGTGACAGGTTGGGGCGAACCTTTCCTCATAAGGCTAATCGGGCTAGTCGGCAACAGAGAGCCGTCAATATTCTGGCGCAAAGAGTGTCGATCCGGCAAATGTAGAGCCCTTCCATTACTCTATCTTTATTCCATGGCGTCCGCTAATCCCATACCGGCACCCTTCGCTTACACATATCGTCCTAGCGCTAAACCACTTACAACAAACAGTCACGATTCTGGCCTCTCCAATGTAACGCTAGTCAGGTCTCGGATATGACATGTACACACTTATACACAAGTCTCAGAGAGAAAGACGCCGTCCTGCGTAACGACTAAGATATGGCAAGGTAAAAGGCCTCAACCCGCCAACACCGGGTTTCATCTTAGCTTAGCTTATAAACCGTTCGCCAATCGTGCGCGTCATATCTTCCATTTGCGACTCTTATACAAATACCTTTGCGCCTGCCTCCAAACCTTGTTTTGCTATACACGCACATACTCGCAACCCAAACACCATCATCATGTTCTTCACCAACGCTGTTGCCGCGGGCATCTTGGCCCTGGCTACCGCAAGCCCCCTCGCCTCACAGGTGGGCTCCAACGGATTCAACGCCACGCAGATGGAAGACTTTAAGAAGGAGATGATCATGGGCCATTCATGGTACCGCAAGCAGCATAGCGCCAGCGAGGTTATCTGGTCCGATGAGGTTGCTTCCGCCGCGCAGGACTGGGCCAACCAGTGCAGCATGAGCCACAAGGTGCCTCCATGTCTACATCTCAGTAACAGTCAAGATACAAAAGTCGGAACTAACAGGCATCATGTAGGGCAACAACAAGTATGGTGAGAACCTTGCCTGGGGCAGTCTCAAGAACTGGGCTCATCCCCAAAACATGTGGGGGAGCGAGCGAACCAAGTACAACTGGGCAAACCCTGGCTTTAGTGGTGCCACGGGCCATTTCACCCAGATGGTCTGGAAGAAGTCGACCCATCTCGGCTGCGGTGTCAAGAAGTGCAGCAACACCAACACCTATGTAGTCTGCCAGTACGATCCCAAGGGAAACATCATGGGCGGCAGCAACTTCAAGGACAATGTCGGCGCGCAGGTCGAAGGCAAGATTGATGATGTCTGGCCCGGTCCTTAGGCTTTGCCTACGTACAAGGCCAAGCCGCTTGTCGAGATTCCCCTTTGCACGCCTCTTTGTATAAAGAGAGGGTGGTCTCCTTGTTCGATTTGTCACTGATATATATTTTTCTTGATCATAAAAATTGATACATAGCTCTTTTTGCTCTCTAAGTAGTAATTTACATACTGTATTTCTCGCTTTTCGTTTTACTTGGCCGCTTGCAAATACTCGCCCTTTGCTGCCCTCTCGCATAGATCCTTGAGCATCTTGGCCGAAAACTCGTAGTCCTGGAGATCAAGATATATCTGTGCGCTCAGACGCACCCAGTATCGTTGGCCCTTTTGCACAAATAGCGGCAGAAACGTGTTATACTCGCTCATCATCTGCTCTAGCATCCACTGGAACGCTAGATCGCCATCTTGAGCCGGCACGACGCCATCGATACTCGCAGCGCCTTCGCCCTTCTCTCCGATCCAGAGAGGCAGAGCAACACAGGCCATGCCGCAGTTTGTCATGGTACCCTTGCTATTATCAAGCACATGCGTGCCCAGGGCATCCGCTACCAGCTTCGCACCGTCCTTGTTCAGTTTCCACAGATACGAAAGGATCCTGTCCTCACCACCGCAAACACGCTTGCGCCACTCAATAGCATCCTTGATCACGTAATACATGGAGTTATCTCGCGTTCCGACAAACCCAAAGTTGGTCAAGAAGGCGTTTTGCTCGCTCGGCGGCAGCGGGTTGAACCGCTTGACCGTCCTGGGCTCGTAGCCGTGGCTCGTGCCAAGTGTAGTTGGGAGCAGGTGCTGGTTCCGCTCCGGGCAGTAAAGCAGAGCGCAGCCGCGCGGCGTAAAGAGCCATTTGTGGGCGTTGGAGATGAAAAAGTCTGGGTCTGCGGCGCGAATGTCCAGATGCACCATGCCGACTCCCTGCGCACCATCGACAAGACTCAAGACACCTAGCTCCTTGCACGCTCCGCACATGTCTTCCCAGGGGAACCGGATACCAGGGAGCGATGAAACAACGTCAAACATGCAGATCTTTGGCCGCTTGCCGTGCGCCTTGAGACGCGCTACCGTGTCGCGGAACATCTGGATGATTTCGTCGTCTTCGTTGGGATAGTCGAGCACGATGCTTTCCGAGGAGACGCGGTCCGGGCCAAAGTAGTCGACAAGGTAGTCGATAGACTTGGCGCAAGATCCGTACGCCGTGGAGAAGTAGATGATAACGTCTTTGCCGTCCTCTGCCCAGGTCATGTTTCGGAATACGGTGTTGACGCCCTCGGTGGCATTGCCGATGAGCACAAGTCCCTCCGCGGGGGCGTTGACGAGCTCGGCCAGTGCCTCTCGCGACTCATCTAGCGGCTTCTTGTAGTCGTAGCGAATAAACTGGTCAGGTCGGGCCTCTGCTATGTCTTGGTACTCCTTGTACTTGGCTTGAATCTCGTGAGGGATGCTGCCAAACGAGCCTTGGTGAGAGTGCTTGGTTAGCTGCTGAGATTTTTCAAGAGACAGAGTATATACCACTTCAACTTACCATGGTTCAAGTTTCGCCAGCCCTTTCCAAAGGGGAATAATTCTTTCAAGTGGCCACCAAACTCAACGACGCCTCCGTCTGCGGTCTTGAAGACGGGCACCGTCCTGTTCCCGTTGGTAACCGTCATTCTTCTTCGTCTCTTTTTTATGGGGAAATACCAAGTAAAAGCGCACTGTATAGCACTCGATCAATGCATTTCGTTTGCTTCGCCACAGATGGAGATTGTATAAATAGTCTCATGATACTTCAGCTAATGACTCCATCATCCACTTCTCCCCCACTGCAAGCTCCGAATTGCGGCACTTTGATCCACCACCGCTTCACTCTCAGATCTAGCGGCACTCTGTACTCTAAATTAGTGTCGTTGCATTTGCTGTACTTAGACCGTCATTTGCGCCCTTGGCCACGAAAGGCGCGGCGCATAGTTGATGATGATGTCGTCTTAAAAGGGCGCCCTCACCGATTGCGGATAAAACTGATTAAAAGGCAAGGCAAAAAAGGAAAAGACGGTGAAAACAAGAATCTTAAGCATAAAAAAAAACTCCTAGCTCAGCGTTCTATGAGCACTGTAAGTAAATGAGGCATCAGATATTCCCAAATAAAAAACGCCAGTATGTATTCGTCATGCCCTGTAATGATAACGCCAATTTTCCACACATGGTCATTATTCCTAGCTCTCGCCGGCAAACAAAAAAACACAACACGTTACAATCCATCATTGGGCTCTATGCAGTTATCAACGTAAGTTTCTACATTCGGGGTGAGCAGTCCCAAGTAGATCCCCATGCCGTCAACCCAGATGTAGATCGGCCCCTAAGGCCACCACGCTGTTTCGAAGCTTTGGCAGCGCCAATAGGCTCATTTTCGTTCCCCGACACCACTACCGTCTGCGTTGGGTGCAAAGGGGGTAAAGAGCCGCCTGTCCACGCCGCAGCCTCGGACGCAGACCGCGTATTGGTTCCGAGGGGCGAGCGTAAGTTCACAGACAGAGACGTCAGCGGTCCGGTAGGCGGGCTGCTCGGCTCCAGAGGCTGTGGCCGTCCACAGGGGAAAGGAAGGCCAGAAGGACGCAGCGGCGGTAGCTGATATGCTTGATCAAGGAGGGATTGCTGGGGAATGCTGCCACCACGGCGTCTTCCTACTGATGGCGTCGCCACCTCTTCTCCGTCAATCATCTTCCTCTTACGCCGGCGGGGGTTGGCCTTGACAGAGTCCAGAATAGAGTTGTCCGAGAGAGGGCTCGATGGCGGCATATCTTGCTGAAGAATAGCTGCAATGTCCGTCTTCTTGGACCGCCCATGGTTAGGATTCAGAGTAGACGGCTTCGCCAGCGTCTGGCCCAACTCTAGCGCACCAGGGGCGGACTTTCGTGGAGCTCTCGATCTTGGCTTGCGCGGCTTCTTCACAGGCTGCGGCTTTTCGGTAGCAGGCCCAACCGGATCGGTTGGTGGTTCACTGCTAGATTCCGGCAGTTTAGCAGCTTCTTCAGTAGCATCTGCGCCGACTTCTTTTGCCTCGGAGCTTGTCGTCTGCTCCGTTGGCAACTCGGAAGCGCTGGCGCGGCGAGCAGCAGGGGGCTTCTTCTCTCCACTGATGCGGCGGAGCTCCTTGAGAACTTTAAGTGTGCAGTAGGCGCCTGTAACCCGTGTATCCCGCAATGCCATGGGGTTTGCTGGTGGTGCCTTGACCTTCTTGGGTTGTCGAGGCCGTTTCACTTCCGGTTCCTGCCAGAGTTTTGGCACACGATCTTGAAGATCAGCCACCCAAGCGTCACAGTCCCACTGCACCCAGTAGTCGATAATGTCACCCCAGATGCTCTCTGGTGGCTTCGTAAAGTTTACAAACACAACATGACCGCCTCTGCTGTGAACCGTCTTGGCAAACTCGCGAACCATAACCTTTAGCCCATGAACGCGCAGACTGGTGCCCATAATCAACAGTAGATCAGGGTACAGTGACAGGTCGTGGGTAATGATAGGGCTAATGAGGTGAGCATTTGGATGGTCCTCGCCATAGAGCACAATATCAGGGCGCAGTTTTCCAACGCCAAGTGCTCGCTTGCCTCGCTCTTGTCTCTCTGCTGCTGCACCAGCACAGTGAGGGCAGTCTGGTTGCTCGCCATGTAGCGTATTGGCTTCACGGTCTTCAACATCCCAAGAGCAAACTTTACCACACAGAAAACAGCGGAGTAGTTCGAGAGATCCATGCAAGAAGACACACTCGACTCCCGACTTTGGTGGTTCTTTTTTCACTACAGCAGGCAGGACCTTCTTTGCAGCTCCATCGTCGTCATCGGTTGGTGATGTTGCCGCGTCCTCAGAGGACGATTGTTGCGAGGACTCGGAGCTAGCAGTGTCAAGTGCTGCAGCCTCCTCCACCATTTTGTTCAGCTGGCTAGTATTTGCTGTTGATCGTCTTGAGAAGCGTCCTCTGCTTCCCGGTCCGCCAGATAGCTCCGTGGAGAGTCCGACCTTTTCTTCAATCTGGTCGATATTTTGGGTGTAACAGCGAACCAACTTGCCGCGGTCTCGGAGATGGCTAATGAACTTGTGCGAGCTTGTAGGCTCTGCATCTTTAATTTTCTGGCGCAGTGATGTAGCAAACGTGTAGAAGACGGATGTACGTAGTGGATCGGCCCAGATGGACGCGTCAAAGAGGTCTTTGCCCTTCATATTCGGCAACGTCGTCTTGCCGCCATTGGAGCCCTGCGAGGCCATAAATAGTGGCTGGGATGACGGCGGTTCGACCTCATCCTCTTCTTCATCAGAATCAGAACTGCCTCTGTGACGGGTGGGCGATGAGTCGGGTGCATCAGACATCTCCGGTGGCGGCGAAGAACGCGGTGATGTGATGCCTGTAAACGATGTGAGAAACTGTGGGTGTGTGAAGCGAAACGACGATGGCGGGACTAGTAGTTCGTCGGCAAGAGGTGAGGATAACGGCGAGCTCATAAAATGCGCGATAGCCTCTGCTAGTCTCTTGGGCTTTGGTGTCTGGAATCTGGTGGATGCAGGTGTTGTTTTTTCTTTCAGTGAGCCGTCATTGTCGGGGAGTTCAGATTCGTCCCCTTCATCTTTGACCTTGTTTTCAGTACTTGATTCATCTTCATCGACCGACACGCGTCGGCGTTTGCCCTGTCGTTCGCTATCATCCGCGTCGCTTTCGTTTTCGGTGCTCTCGCCCTGTTTACGGGCTGCGTCTCGGGCAAAGGCGTCGAATTGAGCCTGGATTAGCGAGTAAAGACCATTCTCAGATCGAAAATCCTGTTGTAAATGTGGTTGGTGCCTTCATATCTTCTACCATGAACTGCATAGACTTACTGGGATGCCAGAGTTTGTGCTGATACCGGCGCCAGTAACGACAACCACTTTACGGGATTTCAGCAGTGCATCTGCCACTTTTTGGAGATGCTCTGCCGAGCTGGGTTCCACGTGTGTTGTCGGCATCGTGCAGCTTGTATTGGCGTGCTATTTTTCGCGTTTGAAGTGCTGGCGCGCCTCCAAGCTAAACAATGCAAGAGCCGTTTAAAGAGCTTCGAGACCGTTGCTGGACTGGAAGGATAAACTTAGCAATAATTGTAAGAAATTAGTTTCGCATCGTGAGGCTCGATTAGATACGGTTTGTGTCGGTAAACGTGTTGAGTTTATCGTAAACAGCGAGGGAGGAGTTGGTAGGCCCAAGCATTAGTGACGAGGCTCGAGAGACAGCGCGTCGAATCGGTGCACGAGGGCTCTAGTTCTGACCAGCAAAGGGTTGAATAGCAATTCAACGGGGTAGTAGTTAGCTCCCTCTGCAAAGAAAAGGCAATAGTAAAAGAATGCAGAAATAAAATTCAGTTCAGCATAAAAGAAGTCGTTGAACAGTTAGCCAATCGCTTGAAGGTGGTGACGCGAAGTGTTGACTGTCGCGCTAACAGGTGCGTGGGGCTTGCTGATGGTTTGTTATGGCGGCGCTTTCCAGGTCCGACTTAGCGTGCTTTTAGTGCAGATTGAGCCCCGCGGCTAGTGGACCGCCCTGGCGTTCAATACTGTACCGTTACAGCAAGTGATCATCGCGCTGTTGGATTTGGGGAAAATGTGACAGCCAACAGGTAATACCAAGTTACAGATAATACTAGATTTGGTATTAAAAAAACCAGGTAGTAGTTCAAGCTGCGCAATCTCTCACGGTAGCAGTTGTCAATGGGTGGCCGTACACTCCCAGAACATATATAGAATCAGAATAGTTTCAAAATTTATACATCTAAACAATTGTTGTCTAAAAAATTACATTAAGCGTCCACAAGAGCAGACAGGAGCTTTCCAAAATCATTCGGCACTCCAAGACCCGTCATTGCATCCCATCCAGCCTTTGCTGGCCATCCTCCAGGCATGAAGCCGTCAAAGTTGCACGACTTGCTCTGGCCGGTTGTCACATCCTGCAGCAAGCCTCTCACTCGTGGTGAATACAGAATGGGGTTTAGCCAACCAATGGACTTCTTGCCCTTTCTAAAGCGTGCGTCATTCACTAGAGCAATGAGGGACGCGATGACCGGTGTACTCGCGCTGGTGCCATCAATCAAACCTTCAACACTTGCGGTGATGACGGCAAACTCGGTGCCCACGGCGGAAATATCAGGCATACCCCGCATGTTGGGGTCGTAGTAGCCCTTGAGATGTCCGTTGAGCTTGTTGATGTAATCACCTGTATCCTTCTTTTGCCAATCAGGGACCTTGAAGTATCGCGAGAATCCGCCACCACTGAGCATCGCTCCGGTAGGTGGCCCGTCAGCGTTTGTCGTAGCCCCGACAGAAGTGACCCAAGGGCACGATGCAGGGAACGTCGGCATAGTGATGTTCTTGTGGGTGCCGTCGCCGGTCTTGCAAGTCGATTTCTGAGCTCCCATGGCGCCACCGTCGCCGGTTCCTCCAAAGATGGACATGCCGCGCCCTGTAAGCATACCCATCATGTTGCAGACACGCTCCGCGTATGGCCGGGGCACGGACACCTCATCGTCGGCGTAGGAGAGGGAAAGGATATGGGGCAGCTTGCTATCTGGCATATCGAGAAAGTGCTGAAGCAGCTCTAGGAATGGCTCGTTGGTGGCAGTGTCGGCAGGAAGCCCCTTACCATTCTCATCCAATTGAACACCGCGTCCACCAGTTGCGAAAAACGTCACTTTGGCCGGGTATGCCAGAGCCATACCGTACTGAATGTCCAGCGATGCCTCAATGCCAGACTTCTTCAAGTCTTGCAAGTTCTGGCCGCCGTGGACCAGCTCAACGCTAAAATTGTAGCCCGTGGCGGCGATTTCAGGAATTAGCTGATGGGCAAACTGTTCGTAATCTGCATAATTGGCGTATTGTTCTAGGAAGCCTGCAATGGCGAATCGAACGTCGGACTTGCCTCCCGGCGCCTTGTAGTTCACCTTATACATTTGGCGGATGCATTTCGGGGTGAGACTCTGCGAGCAAGGGGGGTCTTCGCGTTTTTCATTTGTAGAAGCAGGCATTCTCTTAAAGGATCCCACTGTATGCTCGGGTGTCATAAAGTTCGTCAGTGGGTGGATGAAGTCGATGGCATTCTCCAGATCATCAGGGACGTGATACTCCGTTGTTCGCAGCACCGGCGCCATATCACCAAAAGTATAGTGGCTCAATTTGGTCTGAAGCAGCGCTTCGGCCTGGCGCACAGTAGTTTGTACGTTGATCCAATCGTTCTTTTGTTGTGCAGACTCGATTCCAGCATCACGAAGCCACTGCATGACTTGGCTAACCTCATCGTCATTTGGTGTACGGAGTAAATTCGTGGCGGATAGTGATAGATGGCTTGTGAGGGGAAGAATATCGAAAATCGTGGACTGGAGCTTGTGGATTTCGGGTTGACGCATAGCAATGGCGAATTGCACCGTCGAGTCCGGGTTGACAGTATCCTGAAGCTGAGTCCAGCCCTCAGGAAGATCTGTAGTCTTTTCCACGCAGATAGACGCAGCGCTGAGCGACGCCAGCAGCGTCGTCGCTAAGACGATAGAAGAATACATGATGAATCTAACTGACTGCTCGCCTGGTATATGGACACACACAAACCAGGAAAAGTCAAGGGCAGGGCTATGGATATATGTCGTCGTTCGTCAAGCAGGTGCGCGAATTGCCTGGCAGAGACAAGTTGACGAAAGTGACGCGAGCACGGATGTTTTATTCTCCAGAAATAGCATCGCGCCCCCTTTTTGGCTGGCAATTTGCCATGAACTCATCTTTTGGCAGATGTTTGCTTCTTTTCCTGCGCTGTGGCTCTGCGGGTGAGACATTCAGGTCAGGTCGTGTATTGATTGGCCGCGGTCTAGAGGCGCGCCGCCCTGCATATCCATTTTGGGCATCGGGCATAGGAATGCAATAGCGTCAGGAAACCTTGGCTATTGGCGACAGATGCAGGACATTGATTCGTCTTGACGTATGCAGCAGGCAAAATACGCCAATGCGATTTCGAGGCGAGCCACAAAGTTGAGGTGTAGGACGAGGGAGCGGTGGTTGGCCAGCGCGGTTTCATACAGAGTAGAGTAACACATGGCACTGCCAGAGCAGTGTCACGACTGCGAGACGAATTAGCGGTGTTGGACAAAAAGACAGAAATTTTTTGCACATTAATTTCTGTGTATGATTTATGGTTATTCATATTATGACAAAATTAGGCACCGTACAACCTTTACACTCTCTGACAAGCTGCTCCATGTTCCAGGAACAAGTCTACTGAGCTGTGCCAATAGCGTGTTGCTACCACCAGCCATTCACATACACGTGGCCATATAAAATAGCAGTCTGTGAAATCATCCAGATTATATTCAAAATCAAACGCCATTAGAGATCATGCATACACGGCGATCTTTACGGGCGATTTCGCCCAACGCCGCCTGTCCGTTCATATCCTGCCAACCCTCCTATCTCATTTACACCAAAAGAAAAAACCAAGTTGTACATGCCATCCAACAACCTCATGGATATATATACCAATATGCCAAAAAGAAGCTTCGTTCCTATGCTCATGCAGGCTAAACTGTGCCGCTATGCCAACTACATTAAATACAATAAAATTTTGTGGCCGCCAATTGGGGGGAATCATGATTCAAGTAAAACAAGATGCCAATGCGCAGAGCCAAACAGCGAAGCCGATGCTATCAAATCGTAAAGCAAGAAAAGGATATCGTCTCGTAGGGTGCACATTACCCCCCCATTGCGCTGGTAATGGCGCTAGGACGGCCAGGTATCTGGATTTCTTCGTCGTCAGAGCTGTCGTCTGCTGCCCGATCTAGCATACGTTCGATATCCTCATCCCTCACTGTTTGGCGCACCTTGCTCGCACCGGCACCAAGGCCACTCGGTAGAGACAGGGCCGCACGCATATGTCCAGTTGCTCCGTTGGCTCTTGCTCGGGGCGTCCATCGGCGTGGCGAGACAAACTGTTGCGGTGAATCCACGTCCATGGGTGAATGTGGCGGGCCCATCAGCGGTGACTTTTCAAAACCAACTCTCTTGCTGGATTGACCAGGTCGATGTACTGGTAAAGGTCGCCTTTCAGAGGAGCTGCTATCCGATATAGAGCTTTTCGACTCAAATGCTCGCACAACATCGACCTGCGGAACCGGCGATGCTGATGGGGAAAACGTGCTCTTCATGTTTGCCGAGTTGCCAGGGCTGCTCATGAATAACAATGTTTCAATGGCATCTTGTTCTCGCACATGTTGGTGGGGAGAGTAGGTTTGACCGCCAGAATGGCTCGACTGAGAGGATGAAATGTGATTTGGGAAGCTCTTGGGGGTTGTGCGAGTATTAGAGTGGATGGCTGATGCGGAGGCGTGCGCTGGTAGCGCCGGGGTATTTCGAGAATGAGCTGTGCGACGAGAGTTTGTCTTGGTGGCAGGCTGGATGGGAGCGGGAGGAGCGAGCTTTGGCTTCGTCGCATCTGGTGGTGACATGGACCGCGGAGGAATGATGCGATCTGGGCCAAAATTGACCTGTGTGGGTGGCGTGGGAGGCAGGTTTGGGCTCGCTGATGATCCCATCGGTCTATGGAGCGTAGAATTACTAGAGGCTGGCGACGCCGCCTGGGAAGCAAGCGATTCGACCTCTTGGATAGACCGCGACTGCCAGCCATGGTTTACCTTGACCATGGCATATGTTAGTCTCGTCTTCAACTCTGCTGACATCTGTACCATACTATGTTAGCAGGGGTCCCGGAGTACGCATATCGGGGTATAACAAAGACATACGTCGCCGATATGGCTTCCGGAAGAGGTGGTGCTCATAGCACTCATTGTGCGAGTATGGCCCTTGACAGGGCTTGTGCTTCGGGTTCTATCCTTCACCTCGCCGTCGGCCATTCTCTTTCTAGACGCAGAGGCGGCCACAGCAGCAGACGCCTGCAACACAGTCTCTGGTTGCAACGGCACGACGCCATTTGCAGAGTCTTCTTGCGAATTGGGCACGGTGCTAGAGATGGTGTCCTGGGAGTCTGCTACTGCATCCATTCCGGTCCTCCTATACTCCGTGGCATTCGCCTTACCGGCCGCACCGGGCGACACGCGACCTTCGGAGGCCGGGATAGGTGGCGTGGCGGGCACGGTATCGAGCCGCGCGGACGAGGCCGAGGACGCAGGCGTGTCTACAGCGGCAGCGGGGGACATTCTGGCGGGAGGGACGAGGATGGAGATCCCGCCGTGGCTATCCGATGTCATGCGAGGGCGTTCTAGGAACGCGGAAGAGCAAAGTGGAAGCAAAGGAGCAAAGCGGTTGGGCTGTTGGCAATATATGCGTGCGTTTTTGTTCGGCCGGTCGGGATCGATGACAGTGGATGTGCGTTCTCGTAGTGGTGGGTGGCTGTCTGGCGTAAAGCACACGAGGGTAAAATGTAGAAATTGCAGTGAGGAGAATTCAGCAAATAATTCGTAAAAGAGACTTTGACTCTGTATTCTGTCGTCCTGTAGGAATTAATTTTCCTACTGCTCGTTCTCTGTGGTCTTTGGCGTCTGGTCTGGTTTTTTCTCTTGTTCGTCTTTTTTGGCTTTGGCGTGTTACGCGGTCCAGTCGCGACGGATGCGGGAGCCCAGGACCCACGAGGCTTCTGCACCAGCGAATGGCGCGACTTTGACACCATCCGCGTGACAGCAGTGGCACAGTGGTGAGTGGGCAACTAACGTTAACTGCTGGTAACTAATAGCTGGTGCACTAGGCGAAAAACAAGAGAGTGTGGGCAATAAAGTATGTTCATGTCAAATTTTTCGTTTTTCTATATAAGTCTGTTTGTGAAATATTTATTTTACACAGGTATAATTTTGTAGAATTTTCGATCCTACTTTTATTTAACACCAACACTAAGCTAAAGTGCGTTCTAGAAACTCGTTTGGTTGTCCCCCATCGCTAAAGTGGTGTCTAAGACAGCGCTAGTGGAGTTCGTCTCTTCCCCAGATTGTTCATTTAGGCGTCCATTTAGCAACCTAGGTCTACTAAACTTATAAAAACAAATTACGCAAAATAACTCACATTAGTTTATAAACTCGCTTTACTTAGAGGTATTACTATTAAATTTAACTGTCGGTTCACGCGTCTGGCTTTGTACAAAGGGTCATCGGGCCAAGTGCAAAGCAAACAGTGAGAAGATGTAATTATCATCATTCAAGAACAGCGTTATCAAACTATCTTCAAAATACCAAGACGCAGTCACCATGAAACCAAGTCCATAGTTTATTGCAATAATGTATTCAAAATGGCCAACATCTATTTTCTTGTTACACTACCCAAACTCACAACCACATGTAGGGTAGCCATAGCCATATGCTCTACACCTCTGGCGTCCAATGCCATGTTTCGCTTGTAAACAGTGACTTGGCTGCCTTATCCACGTACATGGCACCCTCATAACGGAGCCGTTGGTCATTAGCTACTGCTCGTGTAAATAAAAATTCCCGCTTTGGCTTGTCCCTTGTAGAATCACCGCCCTCGGCGTCGTTTTGCCATTTCACGTTTTCACTGTTCCTTCGCCATTCGACCAGTGGTATGGAAATGACATTGGTGGAAAGCATTGTACGCAAGTAGTCCAGGATAGGTTCAATGCGAATACGAAGACCACAGTTCGTGTGGTTCTTGTCGAGCTGGTAGCTGGGGCACTGTCTCAACGTAGCTAGTAGCTCTTGAATGTCTATACATGTTGCGTCAGGAGCCGAGTCCAGCGATGAAGGGCTATAGTCCATGAGGAAAAGAAGGCTTTTTGACGATAGAAACTTGACCATTTGACCAAGTTGGAATGAATCACATGCAGAGCTAGAGTCGTAGCCGAGTTTGCATTGCCTCTCACGAGATGAGTACAAGTTGAGGAAGTGGCGTTGAACTGACGCTACGGTGTTCAATATACACTCGCGGCGATATCGCAGTTCGTCTACCAATTAGCGTTAGCTGGAGAGGCCTTATAAAGTACAAGCTATGCTTTGTATCTCACCTTCGATACCCTCAGGTAGATGCCACCAAGCGGCATCTTTGCCCTCTTCTGGTTCGTGGTACACATTCCAAATTGCAGAGCCACGCAATATGAGTTCTCGAGAGGCCGCTGCCAGTTGTGTGGGTTGACCGAGCAGGATGGAAATAAGAAGCTTTTGCCGCAGCACGTTTTCAGTTTCCGTGGCACGCCCATGTTCGTCAAAGTACGCTCTGGTGCTGGTAACCGGACCTTTGAACTTGGCACCTAAGCCAGCAGACTTGGCTACCGTGGCAGCACAGTCGAAGCGATCTGCCATGATGGCCAGCGTGGTCATGTACGACATGGTGAGCTTTGTTACTGAAATAGGCAGTTTATGAAGCATAAGTAGCATGTCTTTAAAGGCCACTTCTCTACCAGATGCCTGAGTGGCCTGGTCGTCGTCTACGATTTCGACTCGCGGCAACTCCGCTGCCTCTGCCTCGGCAGGCTGGATGCCTCTGGCAATGAGTGCGGCATGCGTGTCCGTAAGACGTCTGTGCTCGCTGAATTGAGGATTTGACAGCAGATTGGCAAAGTAATTTGAGTGCTTCTTTAGAGCCTCGGAGCTCACGCGATATGCAAGCTCGAGTCTCGTGCTCGCCGGCGTCTTGGGTTCATTCTTGGACCGGGCAGCTAGACTCATGGACTTGAGCTGGGCCCGCAGCTTCTTGAGCGTCTCTTTTGACGTTTCAAATGTGACATCCAGGATGATGTCTCCATCCGCAGCAATGGCTATCACGGATGCGGCTGTCGAAGAAGCGGCATCTCCGTCGCCGTCTGCGGGCTCAGCTGATGCAGACTCACCCATGGTTGATGCAGCGCTACTCTCATTTGCGAGGAAGAGAGGAATTGGGTTACCTCATCGATGTGTTCCCTGTTCACCGGCAGCAGAAGGAAATCTTGATTTTTGTTCTTTTCTTTGTTGACAACGGAATACGCCAAGTGACGAGTCGCCAGACAGTGGTAGCATGCCTCTGTTGTGGCGAGTTTGGCCGATGGTGGTGGAGCAAGCAACCGTGTCAAAAGTCAGCCGGCGCCGGCACAGAAAGGCTCCGTGGCGAGTCGTCGTCCAGCACTCTTCGTCAGATTGCCCACGTTGAGCGCTAAGCCCGCCCCCACGGCACACCCGCTGTAACGTCACGACTACAGCGGGCCACAGGGGAGCCGCATCGACGCCAGGCGGGCCAGCGATGTGCGGCGCCCCCCACGCCGTTGTCCTCCTTCAGGCTCCGGACGGCCCAAAGTCAAAACTTTCGACCGCTGTAGAGATAAGCTCCAGCGGAAATAGGCGGTAAAAAAGTTCTTTTCTTCCCTCCACTTGCTGCCTGCCCAGCACAGTGCCCGCTTCAACCCCGCCTGCCAGGAAGAGCTGCTGCCATTTCTGGGCGGGAAAGGGAATCTGCTGTGATTCTTCATTTGCTAACCACCGCGTCGTGCTTCATCCCGTTCTCTCTCTTCAACAAAAAAGTTTTCCAGGCCGGTTCAGCTCCCCCAACCCACGAACAATCCGCCCTGCAGCAGCCTCGTCCAAAACCTTGTCTTAGCTTCTGTTGGGGCGCCTGCAGCTGGCTACTACCACCTGAACCCCTGCTTACCGTTTCACCCAACTGCAGCGCAACCACCACGTCCTCCTTCTTCCTCTTTCAACAATCGCCGCTCCTCCACGACATGTTCGCGTTGGACACCGGGAACTACTGAGTCTAGAGAAGCTGTACGAGTCGTCAGATGGCTTCGCTTGCTGCCAAAGCTGGCCGCCTGCCAACCCGTGCCGCCGTTAAGCTTGCCGCCGACCACGCGCCTGCCAAAGGTGTTGCTGGTGCTGCCGCTCAAGTAGCTGGAGTACGAGCATTGTCTACCGTGGAACAAGAATCAGCTGCTACTGATGAAGCTTTGGCTGCCGTCACGGAGTTTTCTACCGGCCGCAATGCCGCACATCAGCGATCAGTGCCCCGTCCGGCGCTGGCTGCCGCCGTTCCAATCGACTCGTCGCGCATGAACGCCAGGAACCGCAACTTCCACACATACTTTGTCACACATCTACCTTCTTCTTCTATGCATCCTGATGCGCGAATCATGGGTCCCGGCCACAAACTGCCTCGCGACGCCTCCACGCCTCATACTCCCGACCCTGGCGCCGGCCCAGCCGTCAGGTTGCCAAACATGCCTTCGAGGGACCTGACAGTCGTGCGCATACCGCTACGCAGGGCCAAACACCATTTTGGTTCTGCCTGCTCGCGTGGAAGTCGCCCGTATAACGAAGACACAGATCAGGCGGGCATCATCAACATCCCCGCCTTTGCCAAGCGCGCCCCCATGAGCGTCCAGCACAAGCCTGGCGAGCCCAGGTCTGCCGACAATGCTATGGGCGATCCACAAACGTTTTATTTCGGTGTATTCGACGGTCATGGAGGAACCCAGTGCTCGCATTTCTTGCGCGACGAGCTCCATGGCTATATCGAAGAAGCAGCTACCATATTCGGCCTCAAGAGCAGCCTGCGCAAGCGGAAACCCGGTAGGGTCGAAAAGCCGACGATAACAAAAGAAGAAGCACTTCAATCCGTGCGAATGAAGCAACCTGAAAGCGTTGCGAAAGAAGTTGAAGAAGCCCTTAACCCCGAGGAAGACGATGGAAATGTTATGAAGAAGTCCTCCCCAGTGCACGGCAAACCACTACAAAGCGAACACGCCGTGCCAGCTAAACTGCAAGACTACCACAAAGCGATGCAGCTTGAGCGAGATCTTGTCAAAGAATACGCCGACACAATAGGAGGATACTTTCGACGGTTCAACCCCGAGCACTTTGACATCAAAGACGAAAACTCCCCTAGCCAGTCAGTAGTGTCTGCCGAGAGTGCACTGACGTATGCCTTTCTCCGTGCCGATCTCGACTTTGTCACCGCACAAGCTAGAAAAGCAGACCCAGACGACTCGAGAATAAGCGACACGCCGCTCAACAACGACGAGATCCTCGGCGCCCCTCATGCGCCCCCTTCAGGCCATGGCATTGGCGGCGCGATCCGCTTCAAAGGCGGCTCAACCGCCTCTATAGCCCTCATCTCAACACCAACAGCCACTCCCTTCTGGCACCCAGGAGCCCACTCGACACTCTTGGTTGCTCATGTCGGCGACAGCAGAATCCTCCTCTGTGACACAGCAACCGGCCTCCCCCAGGCCCTTACCTCCGACCACCACCCGAGTACGCCGACCGAGAGTAGACGTTTGCGCCGCTACGCGCCCGCCGGTTCCATGGTGTCCGGCGACAGTTTCGGCGAGGAGCGTATTGCCGGACTAGCCAACAGCCGCGCCTTTGGCGACATTAAGAGCAAGAGAATCGGCGTGTCAGCCGAACCAGAAATCACACGCGTCGAGCTCGGCCCAGCTCAGTACTCTTTCCTCGTCTTGATGAGCGACGGCATCTCCGGCACACTCAGCGACCAGGAAATCGTCGATGTAATCAAGGAGGCCAAGACCCCCGAAGAGGGCGCAAAGGCTGTCGTTGACTACGCTACAGAAGTATCCAGTGATGGCGATAATGCCACCTGCCAAGTCGTGCGCCTGGGCGGCTGGGAGAGACGTTCTGAGGGAGGTCTGGGTAGCATGGGCACCAAGGAAGTCCGTGACATGCGTCTAGCAGAATCTCAAGACCCCCGACGTGGAAAGAGATAGAGGTAGCAGAAGAGGCTGGTTCCGTTAATACATGTACATACAGCTCACCTTTTCTGGGAGTTTTTTGCATCTGGTCACATTGGCGTTTTTGTTTACTTGCAATAAAGCAGCAGCACAGAATGGCATACAATATAGCTATGCCGTGGTACAGTCAAATATCTTTTGATAACATAGATTTCAATTTCAACTCATTATCCACATGTCTGATAAAATGTTAAGCATCTTTCGTAATCAACCACTCCGCTCCCCGTTAACTCCCCTTGTAATGCTTCTGAAACTGCACGCTTTTTCTTTCTATTCTTGACAACACCAGGTGCTGGGTTTTCTAGTATCCTCCTTGGCCTTGGCCAGGGTACTGATTCCAGGATGGTGGTCCTTGAGGAGGAGGAGGACCCTGCTGATAAGGAGGATACTGGCCCTGAGGAGGACCGCCATAGCCCTGGGGCTGTCCATAGCCTGGACCGCCGTATCCTTGAGGAGGAGGCGCGTTCCACTGGCCCTGCTGAGGAGGACCGCCGCCGTAGTTAGGACCAGGAGGGGGGCCACCGTATCCTTGAGGAGGGCCTCCATAGCCTTGAGGAGGACCTTGGTTGTAGCCGCCTCCCTGGTAGTAGGACTGAGGAGGAGGTGCATTGTATCCGCTTTGGTTAATGTTATTGTTACCCTGGTAGGACCCTGATGTTCCTTGGTTGTTGTAGTTGTAGCCGCCGCTGGGAGGACTGTGGCTACCGGGAGGAGCAGGTGAGGGAGACACGTAGTTGGCGGAAGCATCACCGTCTCTGCCCTGCATAGAGTCCAAGTCTCTGGTGCGAACTTGAGACCAGAGCGAGCCAGCCACCTTGCCGTGACCGCCGTCGCCGCCACAGCTGTGGCCACCAATCTCACGCTTACCACCGCTGTTGCCTTGCTGATTGAGAACGTGGTTCTTGCCCTGCTTCACAGATTCAGAGGAGAGTAATCGGTCAATGTCGTGGCGGCGAGGGTGCTGATCAGCCCACATGCGGACAGTCTTGAACATGTCGCGCTGGATTTCAATGTTCTCATCGCGCAGAGCAGGGTGGTGGAAAGCGCGAAGGACATCGTTCATGACCTCGTCGACTGGAACGTTGGGGTTGTCCCATGCAAACAGGATACGACTGTGATTTGGTTAGTTGATAGTCTCGTTGGGGAGTTAGAAACGGCAAGGGCTTACGGAACAACGTATTGCAAGATAGTAGCGGCTACACGGCCAGCACATGAGTTCAGGAGGTTGGTAAAGTGATCCTTGGACAACATGGAATGCGTAGGGTCGGAGCACTCAGGCTTCTCCCAAGGCTCAAGCTGAGAGTTGGAACTAGCGCTGATGATGCCAGAGGAGCCATCCTTCAACACCTTGGAAACAGAGTTGATAATGGGGCGCACGAATGGAGCCAAAAGACCGAGAACGAAAGCAGTCAAGGTTTCGCTAATGTGTTCAAGCAGCTTCTCAAGACCGGGAATCTTGGAGATGCCGCGGCTGATGGCCTTGACAATCTTGTCACGGAACTGCAGAATGGGGTAGATTTGGCCAGCAACCTTGACGGGGTCAAAGTCAGGGCTCATGCCAGGAACGACATTTTGGTTTGTACCATCACGGCTTCTAGTCTCGCTGTGGTCGTTCTGGCGCTGCTGAGCGTCGGAAGCGGCCTTGAGCTCTCTAGCCTGGGCAGCGAATCCATCACCCTCTCCAGGAAGCTTGGAGAGAAGCGAGATGAAGTCAGTTGGTCCGCCAGAAGAGTCGAAGAATCCTCTATCCGTTGAGACGGATGCGGTTCCGCGTTCGGCATTTTTCAAAGCGACCTCCACCTCGTCGACTTCGGACTGGGTAAAGTGATCCGTGGCTTCTCCAATCACGGAGTGAAGGAAGTCGACGGCACCAAAGGTTCCAGTGGTGAGAGGGTAGATTCTCTTGCCTTGCACATTGATTTCGGCGCGGTTGCCGCAATGGGGGAAGACGTTGTTGTAACCGAGCTCTCGGAGGGCTAGCTCACAGTAGTTGCTGTGGGCTCCAAAATCTTCCATGCAGTGGAGGGCCTGACCGAGACATCGCAGCGCCTCACAAAGATCTTCATCCTTCCCCTTCCGGGAACCAGAGGTGTAGAGGCGGCCAAAGTGAATGCTGCGGGCGAAGCTAAATCGGAGGTATCCAGCACTGGTGGCCCACTGGCCGGTTTCGTTGGCAATGTAGTTCTTCATACCGGTTCGCATGTCGATGTCGTACTCGATAGGCTCAACGGGACCGCGAAGGCGAGGATCAAACTTGCGCGCGTCCAGTCCATCAGCATAGCCGCGGGGGTTGTCGATGTGCTCTTCGGCGCGGTAACAGCCAAGCCGTTCTTCGGTGACTTCGAATTCTTCGGTAGCGTAGCCAAAAGCCATGAAGGAAAGGACCCAGACCTAGTATGTGTAAGAATATTAACAAGCAATAGTGTAGGTCCGAATAAGAGTTGTCATACCAGAATGCGGACGGTGGCAGCGTTGACGCCCTTCAAGCTGCCAACATCAACGGCCTGTGAGTAATCACGAAGCCAGTTGCCAAAGTAGGTTCGCTTGATCAACATGGAAGACCATTTCTTGCCGTTCAGGAAGGCAATAGTTTGAAGCATATCCTCGATATCTGGAAAGAAGTCAGGGTTAGGTGTACAGTAGACAGCACGCGATTCTTCATACCTCCATGTCGCCAGTTGTGGCCCTCAACCTAGTCGCATGTAATTCGTTAGGAAGGATTGACAACAGTTGCATAGTTGGATGATACAAACCTGGGCAATCGAGGGAATATTACCGGCGCCAAATGCAGCAGCCTTGCCTGGCAGAAGAACCAGGCAAACAGCGAGCACCAGCAGCCAGCTACCGCGTGGGAAGCTCAAGGACAACATTGTCTGTAAAGCAGCTAAAAGACGTAGACAATGTCAGTTTCTGTAGCTGCGATGCGGCAAACTTGTTTAGATAGAGTACAACTGACTTGTGAAAATTTGAATCAATCTGCCAAAGAGAAGTAAAAACAGGTGAGGAGTCGAGGTTTCGGTGTCTCGCAAAGAGGTGGGGGAAAGCACCACAGACGAGGGGCAGCAGCGCACGTCACAGCGGCTGAGCTGGGCGGGGTGGAAAAGAAGCTAAATCGAGTTAAGGCTGGGGGGCTTGGGAGGCAACCTGTCGGAACGAGAAGCGCGGCAAAGAGAGGGAAGATGGGATGAAATCATCTATAATGGGTACGAAAAACTGCATGATATTATGACGGAGAATAACCTTGATATTTTAATGTATTTTATTTTGATAGAATTGCTTTGGTAGCTCAGTGGTTGATTCGGGTCTGCATACCAGTTAGGGTGTTACCGCCTTTACCACCCACTACAGCACCCCTACAGAGGGAAAGTTGCCACTGGCGCGTTGTAAAAAAAAACATGTGCCATTCTTCTATACTGAGGTGGTGCTATACGCAAGCACTGCACGCAGGAGTCAAGCCCCCTCTAAATGAAAACAAATAGAAAATCATCCAATAACCGTCTGATTCTTACATGCTCCATCGGACGGCTTATAAATGAGCCCTGCATCAGCTTGGAATCAAACCACGGTAACAACAAAACGAATACCCGGCCCCTAGCCCGACCCGAAAAAAAGCATATCTCACACCACTTTGCTCGCTCGGCTTCCGCTGCGTCACCTCCGCTCAGCGCAAATTAGGGGGGGCTCGGGCGCTAACAATGGACCCGATTCCCCGTGCCTGTGATTTTCCAGGGGGTCGTTTGGCTATTCGGGTCGGGTCGAGTAAAAAAATCCTTCTTATCACTGGCACATCTCCTCTCGAATACCTTTGCCCTGGAACGTGTCCTGATTATCCCATCTATTGTGTCCTTAATCTCAGAACTACATATTTGTCCCTTCAAAACTACGGCTCTCTTCCTTTGCTCGGTTTCTCACGCTCAGCAATCATCGCGCCTCGGAGCGTCGCGTCACCTATCGAATCGCATCGCCTCCGGCACTCCCGATCGCCAGCCAACCGCCATAACACGATATTCACGATGCCTTCCCGAACCCTTCCTACATTTACGCGGGCACAAGTCGAATCTCATGACTCTAGCACATCTTGCTATGTCACTATCGGCCCCAAAGTCTACGATGTGACGGACTTTGTCGACGACCACCCCGGAGGTGGCGACCTCATTCTCGAGTACGCTGGCAGAGATATTGAAGAGATCCTCAAGGACGGTGCCTCGCATGAGCACTCCGAAGCCGCGTACGAAGTCTTGGATGACTCCCTCATTGGCTTCATCGGTGAGGGCAACGGCTCTGCGGACGCTAAGCAGGATGCCAACGGCGGCTTTGTCCACCCCCGAACCGGCATGTCCTGCGAGGAGGACCTCAGCAAGGATACCGATTACAACTCCGACTATAAGAAGCACAAGTTCCTCGACCTTAGCAAGCCCCTCTTCTTGCAAGTCTGGAGAGGCGGCTTCAGCAGGGAGTTCTACCTGGATCAGGTCCATCGCCCTAGACATTACAAAGGTGGCGAGTCTGCCCCTCTCTTTGGAAACTTCCTCGAGCCACTTACAAAGACGCCTTGGTGGGTGATTCCTACGCTGTGGCTCCCCTGTGTTGGATATGGCCTCTACCGTGCCTCTGAGGGCCTTCCTACCCTCAGCACAGTGGCAGGTTACTTCGCATTTGGCGTATTTCTGTGGACGTTCATTGAGTACTGTATGCATCGCTTCTTGTTCCATCTTGATGAGTAAGTTTCAAAATACCTTGCACTATGGCGTGTACATTCGCTAACATCTACATCTAGCTATCTCCCCGATAACCGCGTTGGTATCACCGCCCACTTCCTGCTCCACGGCATCCATCACTACCTGCCCATGGACAAGTACCGACTAGTCATGCCCCCAACGCTCTTCGTTGTCCTTGCTACTCCGTTCTGGAAACTCGCACACGCCGTCTTCTCTTACAGCTGGCATGCAGCTACTGCTGTCTACTGTGGCGGCATCTTTGGCTACATCTGCTACGATTTGACGCACTACTTCTTGCATCATCAGAACCTGCCCCTTTGGTACAAGGACCTAAAGAAGTACCACCTTCAGCATCACTTCTTGGACTACGAACTCGGCTTTGGCGTCACCAGCCGCTTTTGGGATCGTATCTTTGGCACTGAGCTTCAGCCTCCTCCCATGAAGATGAAATAAACAAGCCAAAATGTTTTGTGGAATTCCTTTGAAAGCATTGCTATTCATGCAAGTTAAATAATTGCACACCTAGTGTGTGTCATCTGTGAGCGGCCGCTGACGGCTATACAAAGTTTAATGATTAATTGGGTGGGTGGGCTTATGCCGATGTCCTTTTTCTTTTTTTGATAGTGTTCTCCATTCACCTCTGAGTTAGAATTTTTTTAATTTGACGAACTTTACTCTTTAAACGTGTTTAATGACATACCTGTGAATCAACTCTGTAAGTGACAGCTAAGACACGCGACAATGGCGGTCACGTGAGCCACCTAAGGCAGAAATTGTTCTGTGAACAGCAGAGCCGCCACACTAGGCGTGTATCTCGTTTGGCTTTTGATCCGTTCACCATCGTTACCCAGACGCCGAATAAACGTTGACGAATCTCCAAACAAAAGCTAAGATACTCTCGCAATCTACTTTCTTTATATTTGCTTGTGAGGTGAAATCTACATCGACATGGCAGGTCTCGACGTGGAGGCGCTCTTGGACGCTACAGCAAGAAGCGCTGAAGAGTACAAGGCCCGAAGCCAGGGCGAAGAGCGTGCTAGAGAAGATAGCCGTGAACGCCGCGATCGTGATTCTGAGAGAGAGCGCCGTGACAGCAGTAGAACCCGCGAACGAGAAAGAGACCGTGACTATGACAGACGCCACCGAGACAGCCGACGCGGAACACCAGATGGCGGCACCCCCCGCAGCGAGACGGGAAGCCACAGGAGCAGGCGAAGAAGCAGAAGCCGCGACGATGATCGCCGTTCATCGCGCCGTCACAGAGATGGCGACTACTATAGAAGTGGTCGCCGCTCCCGCTCGAGGTCTCCCCGTAGAGATCGTAGAGATGACCGCGACAGACGAGATCGCCGCGATCGTGATCGGGACCGTTCTGACCGTCACTATGACAGTGGCCGTGGCAGAGACGATGACCGCCGCGACTCTCGCCGTGATGGCACCCCGCCTCCCACCGAAGATGAACGTGATCGCAGGACCATCTTTGTCCAGCAGCTTGCGGCTCGTCTGCGCACCCGCGAACTGAAGGCCTTCTTTGAAAAAGTCGGACCAGTCGTGGAGGCTCAGATTGTCAAAGACCGTATTAGCCAGAGATCCAAAGGGTAAGATGACTTACGCATTTCATAGAAAGTATCAATTGCTAACAATCTACAGTGTCGGTTATGTCGAATTCAAAGACGAAGAATCCGTCGCTCAGGCCCTACAGCTCACTGGTCAAAAACTACTAGGCATTCCCGTTATTGTTCAAGTAACAGAAGCTGAAAAGAACCGACAAGCTAGAAATACCGAATCCAGCGGATCGCACCCTAACCAGGTACCCTTCCACCGCCTCTATGTTGGTAACATTCATTTCAACGTCACCGAGCAAGATTTGCAGGCCGTTTTCGAACCCTTTGGAGAACTCGAATTTGTGCAGTTGCAACGTGATGACACTGGCCGCAGTAGGGGATACGGTTTTGTCCAGTAAGTTTCTTGACTTTGCTTTCAATATAAATCTTGCTAACGTGTGCTTTTAGATTCAACGATGCTTCCCAAGCACGAGACGCTTTAGAAAAGATGAACGGCTTTGATCTGGCCGGACGCCCCATCCGAGTCGGTCTCGGCAACGATAAGTTCACCCCCGACAGCAGCAGCATGATTCAGAAACAAGGAAACCAAAACTCCAACTTCCAGGGCTCTTCGTTTTCCGGCTCTGGAGGCCGTGGACAACAGTCGACATTTGACCGCGCCGGCGGCAGAGATAACGAAAAGAACGGCGGCGCCAGCGCGCTGGACGATACCGATGTTGGCGGTGTCAACTTTAACAATTATAGTCGCGATGCTTTGATGCGCAAACTTGCACGAACCGATGAGCCCAGCAACGCTGCTGAAGAACGACAACTTTTGAAGCCCAAGACGGAGAGTAAGCCATTGCCTGTCAATGTTAACATGGCCAGTCGCTGCGTTGTCCTGCACAACATGTTTGATCCGAAAGAGTAAGTTGCTTGTTCTTTGCAGCATTACAGTTTGATACAGAGTGCTAACCCGCTGCCTTACAGGGAGGAAGGTGAAAACTGGGTCAAGGAGCTTGAAGATGACGTGCGACAGGAAGCCGAGCGCCAGTACGGACATGTCGTCCACATTTCTGTTGACCCGAATTCCGAAGGCGACATCTACCTCAAGTTTGATAAGGTCCAAGGAGGAGAAAACGCTATCAAGGGTCTCAACGGTCGCTACTTTGGTGGCCGTATGATTGACGCTTCGCCCGTCGTCGACGCTGTCTACAGCAGTTTGTTCTCACGCACAAGGGCCATTTAAGTGCTAATCTCGACCTGCCGATACCTTTAGGACGCCTTCTACTAGGTTACCTTTCTGCCACGATTCGGCATTCAAAGAAACTTTCTAGGATCGAGCCTCGCAAAGAGAACCCCACATGCGAAAGCAAAAGAAAAACCAGGGCTATATACATCCAGGTCTACAGCAGACAGACTCTTACCGTTTTCTAGATTCTGGCAAACGCAACGCAACGCACCTTACAAGTCCACAATCGGAACTGAGCGCCGCTGCAAGAGTTACTCTCTCGGCTGTGAGCTCGAGCTCACATCAACATCACCTTTCAGGGTTTGCGTTCATCTCACCCTGCCACCACATGCTGATTTTTGTACCCTAGGACCACCGTTACTGCCCTAGTGGCATCAATGGGCTTTGTATCCTGGTAGACATGTCATTCCCAAACCTGTATTCCTCCTTTTTTTGATTTTGACGCCACATAGTAATTGCTAGTCCAAAGAATATACAATACAATGTTTTGAGAAGAAGCGCCGCGTCGTCGGCACCGGTCCACCAAGTGAATTGCCACCAAGTGAATACAGAAATGTATAGTCCACCCACTCAACACTCACTTCTGTCTGAGAGAAGACAGCATTCACCAGCCCCTGTCGCATTTTCTCAGTTTGCTGCCAGACAAGCGCCGCCAGCTGTCATAGGCACGTCTCTTCACTTTGCTTTCAGCAGAGCTTGATATTTCAACTCACCTTGTACTGGAAGCTCACTTTCTGCAGGCAGCATTACGTACTTATATCTTTCTCTACTACCTCACACCATCTCTGCCGTTCAATTCGTTTGCACTCATACGCAGCTCGCCCAAGTTGTGCTCCCAAAGCCTCGCAACCTGCACCCATTCCTGACATTCATACCAAGTGACGCTGCTTGAAAGTGCACATCTTCAACCGTCATGACAGCGACGGACTTGAAGATACCATCTGCACAACGAGACCTCGACACTTTCGATCCCATTTCCAGAGTGTCAAGCCCCAGCCGTAGCAGCGCCGCCGCCGCATCGATTGCGACCTCAACCACCATGCTCACCGTCAACTTCTCAACACCCTTGACTGGGCCTGCACGGGCAGAAAGAATTAAACAAATGTCTGACAAACATGTGAGTATAATGGATCTTCTACAACAGCCTTCACCACTAACACACTGCAAACAAGCCCGCATTTGAAAAGTCTCGCCTGTCGCAACAAATCCTGGTCAAGATCCAACACTCTTTGCGTCGCATGCCCGGTATCTCGGCCAGCGAATCTTCAGAAATCATCGAACAGCTGCAAGAGGTGGGCCAAATCATAAATAATGAGACAACTGCTCTTGTGGACGCCCTCGCCAACATGTCCCTCGACCAGGAGGAGACGGAAAAGGCCCTGGCCCGTCTTAGTATCGAAGGGAACTTGGCCAAAGCTGAGACTGACTCCAAGGAGAGCAAGATCGAAAGCCTTACTAGCGAGCTCAAGGAAGAGACTGAAAAGAGACGCCATGCCGAAGCTGCTGTGGAAGAGGCCGTTGAAAACCTGCAAAAGCTGAGCAACGAGTGTCGCGAGCTTAAAGCAAGAAATGAAGATGATGGGAGCAAGACACCCGAAATTATTCGTGTAAGTATCATATCCACTGAATCGTTTGTATACCCGTCCAATCTAACTGTTAGCAGAATTTGGAAGAAACTATCAAGCATCTAGGCGAGCAAGTCAACAGCCGTCGCTCGATATGGCTAATGAAGAACACCGACCCGGACTCTGTTGCTAGAGCTATTGAGACACTCGCAGTTTCTGTGCAAGACAATCCGTCCGCGCACAGAGCCTTGATGTCGCTCAAGCCCAATGCAGTACCAGATGATCTGCATGAAAACGGTGGCAGCGACTTTTCTCGCATGATTAATGAATTCCCAGCACCCGTGAGACCCCAGTCCGCATTTCAACCCATCCACAGGACCGCCTCTGGACCAATGGCCAAGGCTAGTAACTTCCACTTGAGCAATGGTAGAGTCCCTTCGGGGCCTCCAGCTCGTCGCTACCAGGGATCTTGGGGCAGTAATGCCTACTCTCAGCCTTTGAGACATGGGCATGCCTCTAACTCGCTGATTCCCGTCTCCTCCTTTAGCCAGATGGGCTCTCGCAAGAGCTTTTCCGGCTCTAGATTCAGTCCCGGAGACAGAGACAGCGGCAGATGGTACGGCCAAAGCGACGGGTTTGAAGGCAGAACCGGGTCGTTTGCAAGAGGTCGAGAAATGTACCCTCCTACCCCGACTGCTTCAAATAGAGGGAGATATGGCCGCCATGCGGACAGCCAAGGCGGTGGTTTCCAGGACTTCCAGCCGCTTCATGGGCCTGGCAATGCTCTCGTGCCTCACAGCTCCAGCGGACCGCTTGTGCATACAGGCGAGCGCTATGTCCAGGGTTGGCATGACAGTGTGATGGAGCTATACAATCTTATCCGGATCTTTGTTGAGAACCACTCCGTTAGACATGACGCTGGGCTTGCCCGCCGAGTCAGCGGAACAGCCATATGGCCTATTCTTCTGGCTACGTACTATCCGCTCTCAGAGCCCGAGGCAGCTTCTTACCTTGACTTTCATCTACGCGATGCAAGCTCCAAGTCGTGCCTGATTACCCGAGTCATCATTGACTACATTGTCAATCGAGTTTGGGTGCCTGGAGCTTGGACTGGCCAGGACAGCGAGATTTCGTATTCTCTGCTCGAAATTGAGCGAGACTTGGAGAAAATGCATGGTAAGTCACTTTACTTTAAGATTGATAGATTGAAGTTAACGATGAATAAAGGCCAAACTTCCTCCCTTCGCCAGCCCCTGTTGGACAGGCAGGCTACTATTGTCAACGGCATCATTAAAGGGGAGATGGGAAGCGCATTCAACAAGACAAAGATTGAAGAGGTTACCCGAACTCTTCTCACCAACCTCAAGCCTCTGATTGACCGCAACACTGACCCCAAGGATGCCTATCAGGATATGGAAAAGGTGGCTGAGAATGCATGGGACTTGTCCTCCCGCATCCTTACCAGTCGTCTTACCTTTGACTTTCGCTTTCCTGAAATTGGCAGCCGCTTCTCATCCCAGTCAATGGTGCCTATTTGGCCAGAGGGCGATCCTATGGAACTCCAGGCTAAGCACTGGCGCATCGCGTTGGTGACGACGCCAGTGATTACCTGCAGAAATGATACGGGCACCAATATTTCTGCTCATTCGGTTGCCTTGGCAGATGTATTCTGCATGCAGTGATGGCGAGCTACAGCTTGCCTCGAATCGCCATTACTCTTATCACAGAAAACAATTCGGATTGTGACTGTTGCTTTGACGCTGGGGAGTATATCGGATATAGGTCTTTGGGATTACACTTGGTGAGATGACAGGAGAAAATAGACGGAGGCTTTTCCTTTCTCTTGAACAACGGAGGGCATGCCCCGAGAGACAGTTGCTGAAGGGGTTAGTATACGAGACAAGTACGATTGACAATGCGCAAATAGTTGGAACAGCTCCGTTCAATAAAACACAGTTCAGCGAGGTATAAAAGCTTGTTCATTACCAGCAATGTTAATATCTAAAAAGTTGCTCTCAACACTCTCCAGTGCACAGTTTGTCCAATGTTTATGTTTGTTAGTAGGTGGTTTAAGCAACAGCGCTGGACTTGGCAGCAGCCTCCTTCTTCGCCCTACAATAAATTGTTAGTAGTCTGAGATATTGGTTGGGAAGTAGCTAGAGCCTACTTTTCGACGACGCGGCCGATGGCATCCAATCCCATGCGCAAAACGTCCATTCTAGGGCCGTAAGACAGTCGCACAAAGTGGTGGCAAGGGCTGTCGAAAAGATCACGACGACGGGAGGGGTTAAGGTCGAAGAAGATACCAGGGACGACAATGACCTTCTCAGCCAAGCAAGCTTGGAAGAAGTTGAGACCGTCAGCAATGGATTCGGGAAGTCCTTCGAGGTTGAGCCACCTGCGGTAGATGTCAGTAAGCTGGTTGCGATATTGGAGATGGTGTATTTGTACAAGTAGAATGTGGAGTCGGGAACGTATTTGATGACGAAGCCAATTTCGCGGAGTCTCTTAACGACAAAGTCACGCTTGTCCTATTAGGAGTTAGAAATGTACTGTCCTTTGGTACGTTGGTAATTCTTACACGGAAGTGACGCTGCAAGTGAATCATCTCGGTCTTGACAAGAGAGGGCTCAAGGAAGGGAATGGAGGCAGTCTGGAAAGGATGGGCGGCACCACCGTCAAGGTACTATGTGTATCAATTAGCAATAATTCAAAGGAAGTGGAAGAGCATATACTCACAGATCCGCAAGATCCAATGCTTTGGTAAAATTGTTAGTAACGTCTCATAAATCGATGTCCTAGTAGACTTACGCAGAAATGTATTCTAAATATCAGATTAGCAAACGTTACGTCATTATGGCTAAACATTGAACATACCCTTGGGACCGAGAATCCAAGCGATTCTCCAGCCAGGCAATCTGAATCGCTTTGTGAGACCATCAATGATGAGGACGTCATCCTCGTCGACATCCTCAACGTTCTCGGCAGCAGAGATGGACGAGCCATCACAGTTGCTGGTGTAGTTGTAGCCGGAGTAGAATTCGTCGCTGATAAAGGTGGCGCGTCCACGGCAGATATCCTGGATCTCAGCCAGTTCGGGGTTGGCAACGACACGGCCGGTAGGGTTGCGAGGGTTGGAGGTCAGGATGACAGAGGTACCACGGGCAATCTCCTCGGCAATCTTGTTGGGGTGGATGTGGTATCCATCCTCTTCGCTAAGAGGGACGGGAATGGCAGCAAACTATCACATGGTCAACAGTTTAGATAAGCATACTTAATAGTTCCACAAGGAGTACCCACGTTCTTGAACAAACTCAACATTTCGTTGTATGCGGTGTAGTCAGGCAAGAAGAAACTGAGGTAAGAAGTACCAAGAACGGCAGCAATTCTGATAAGACCAGCACGGCCACCAGGGACAATGGCAACGTTTTCCCATGTGTACTGACTTTCCTTGCCCTGACGATGCATCTCGTTGTAGAGCTTGGCGACGGCCTCACGGAGAGGCTTGATACCGGCGGTGGGAGCGTACTCACGGTCGGCCATGGAAATGTCAATGGTATCCGGGCGTTTGAAGCACCCCTCAATGTCGTCCTCTACTTCGGGAGCACCTTGACCAAGGTTGGCCCATGCATCTTGGTCCTCGAAGAAACCAAACTCAGCAGCACGCTCTGTGCACCAGACGACACCAGTGGAGGCACGGCTGGCATCGAGACCAGCATGGGGCAAGTGACCCTCGTGGGCATTTCGGAATTGGCGATGGACGCTGGACTGAACTTCTATACATTGGGAAAAACAGATATCTGGTCAGCTCGGGTCTTCTCTATTAGACATATGCAATGGCGGTATTGTCGGCCGAACAATGCCCAGTTGTCGCCAAACAGGTGTGGGTCAATCGGGCTTCATTAGACGGACGGGCATTTCGGCTGGGTCGGGGGAGTTTTTGTTGGATGAGGGGTAGCTTCCAAGAGCTTGGATAGGCGGGCGGTACACTGCGAAGCCAGCTAGTGCGTGCAAAAGTAGTCAACATACCATTGGAAGAGGGCTCAGTGTTGCTGAAGCGGCGAATAGCGGGACGAGGGACGCCAGTGTGGCGGTTCATGGAAAACTTGCGTCCTCCAAACATTGTGGCGGGCGATGTAAGCTGGTGATGGTACGTGGGGTTGGTTGTTGGTGGTTGAGAGTGCCTGTCGAGAGCAAATCGCAGAGACAGGGTATTGGAGAAGGAAGAAGACAGTCCGTCCTGACCAAGTGAAAAAAGAAGCAAATGTTAGCAAAAGCAAGGATGATCTGTGGGAGCGTGATTTTTTTCCCTGTGCTTAGTTTGGAGGGAACGTGGGCTTATTTATTTTAGCCTGCCAAACAAGAAACACTGAGGGACGCAAAGGTGGAGGGACGAGGCAGAAAATCGTCAGTGCTCCCCCGCTACAAGCGCTGTAGAGAAGGTACTGGCGCCACTGTACTAGTGACACTGCCATCCTGAGCGCGGAAGTGCGGCACGGGGGGCCTGCCAGCGCCTTGATTTGGGCGACCAGGTGCAAGGTTGGGTGCTTGCCAGCTGGCAGGCAACTGGCGGCCAAAGCCCGACAACTGTGAAGGCGTTGGCTGCTGCGGCTACCAGCATCAACAACCCGGCTGGACCAGGGGAATAATCAAGAGGTATTTTACCGGGAAAATATTTACAAGCAAAGACATGATTGATACGGAGAGTCTTCTCAATATGGGTCAAATATCGGCCTATACCGGAGCGCCACGATAAATTTAGACAACTCGCGCCGTGCCTGTAAGTGTCTGTCGTCGGCCTGAGCCCGAGCAGCGCGTTTGCAGCACAAGCCTTGAGCGACATTCAGTCAAGGCTACGTTTGTTTTGGAAACAGGCACGGGAAGAGCGTCATTTTTGCAACCCCATGAAAAACCCGTATCCTAGTTGCGGCACTTTATCGCCGGACACGCGACACCTTCTAGAAACCGAGACTGTACCAGGGCAGACCACCATCCAATGTCACCTTGTACTCTGCCATCCGATCTTCCCTGTGTATCAATTGGGTCGTACACGGCGATATCTTCCGAGAATTGCAACACAATGACCATGGAAAATCGTTTTCTTGTTCTGGTGCAGCACATAAGCCGGCAAGATGTTCAGTAACGCAAACTGGCGGTGTCACTCAGTCTGTTCCCCAGTACCCGTTCTGACACGGCTTGATCGGCGTTAAAACACCCCAAATTCCCGCATTCTATAATAAACAGTGCACAGATGCTTTCCTGCAAGCCACTTTGAAGCGTTTAGTGTTCTATTATTGGTGGACATTGTCGGGGCGGTGACAGTGCTCCATGAATATCTGTTTGATGTGACAGCTCAACATCTTGCAGCCACGACATATATTTGTCAACCAACTTTTTCAGAAGATGTGCAATTGAGTTCAACAATCCATTTTTACCAGCAGTTTCCATAGTTCTCTTTGTACAATATCACAACAGACAGCGTTTGGTCGCCCTCTGACAACCCCAGGAAACGCATCGCTTTGCATACCAGCCTGACCCACATCAGCCTTGCCCTCTGTGGCAGCACCAAGATTCGCTGGCCAATTTTCCACCTCCTCAACCAGCACGCATTATTTGACAGCCCTTTGTCGAAGCCAAACACCAAACAAGACGTCAGGATAATGTTTTATAGAGGCTTAATTACTCGACGTGCCTTTTCCCGACCTATTCTCACAATGTCCAACCAGCTTGTTCCGACCCAGGCTCGCGCCAACTCCTCAAAATCAACCTCTGACGAGGATCTGGGCCTCCCTGCTCCTGGCGAAGGAACACCAACGACGCTTGATGTCAGTGGTGAAGGCACTACTGTCAAGCTCTCCGATCTTGGACCTATTGTCGTCAATGTAGACGGGACCATTGCCCGCATTTCGAACTGGGCTCAGATGGCAGACATTGAGCGTGAGACGACGGTGCGCATGATTGGCAAACGAAACAAGCAACGGCTGGACGCTCTCAAGAAAGCTAAAGCGGAGGAAGAAGCCAAGAATGCTGGAAAATAAATCAAATGTACCAACACGACGACAACCAAGGGGGGTGAGGGCAAGCGAATACAAACTCTGGCAGGATGATGAGGTGTATTGACTGGAAACCAGCCCAATAGGCCCCAGGAGCTAGGGGCACGGTCTGGATAGGACAGTATGAAAAGCGGTGGAAATTGCGAGGCTTCATACCCTCACTTGTATTGTACAGAAGATTTCCTAGCGTATTGCATCGACACTGTACATAGAATAGAATTTACGGATGATTTACGTGGGCAAGATATGATCATGTTTGGGAATTAACAAAGGGAATGTCACAGGCATCTACACAGAGCAAGTTGGAGGTCAGGTAGTTGGAGCCGCATAATAATGCGGAATAACGTGTAAATTCATTTGCAGTCAATGGTACCTCTAGTCAATATGAGCTCATCATTGAAACCACCTCCTAATAATCAGCCACTTGAAAGGTGTAAGGCTTTCACTGCCAGCCCCATGGAGCTGTCCCACAGATCATCGCCAACCCTCATTGGCACCCTCATCGCTTTTATATACGTATCTCCCCCCGTCGTCCACCAACCAAAAAGCAAAACTCGTAACCAAAACGCCGTTAACCCATATAGTGTATAGAATATATGCCCCGACAAAACACCAGCCTCTCACAGTCTATCATTACTTTCACAAACGATACCTGTAAAGATATCAAGCCAGGCCGTAAGTTATGGGTCGTTACGACCTTGACTGGTTGGCCTTGAGCTTGCTGCCGGCCTGTTTTGTGAACTCTTTCCAGAGAGCAGAGATGTCCTCATTGCCTTCGTTCTTCTCAACAAGGAGGTTCTTCAACCACTTGTTCTCAGTCTCAAGCTGGGAGATCTTGGACTCGAGGTTGGACACCTTCTCGGACATCTCCTTGGCGGACTTCTCAAGGGCCTGCTCGCGCTGCTTCTTCTTGATACGGAAACGAGCACTGGCAGCAGTGTTACGGCGACGCTTGTCTTCCTCAGCGGCAATACGAGATGTATCCTCGTAGCCAGTGGGCTGTTGGGGGGCGGCCATCTCCTCGGTACGCTTCTCAGCGGGACGGGTGGCACCGTGGAACTGGCCAGCCACCTGGGGCTGGAGTGCCGGGTAGCCATGGTTGGCCTCAGCGAAGTTGTTCATCTGGGGTGCAGAGTAGTTGTTGGCATTGAATTCGTGGAAGTTGAAGTCGTCTAAGGCAGGCGTGTGTTAGTCGAGCATTCTTGATAGTAATGCGGTATATGTAGAAGCCACGAAAGCTGTTGCAAAAGAATGAAAGACATAAGGCCACAGGCAGCCATGCGAGGTCATTGCATGTCATAGCCCGGGCATCGGGTAGATCAGCAACGGTCCCAGCGGTGCGATGTGCTTGTCTTGAGGGGCAGGCGCCATCACGAGATATTGCACCATCGACCATTTGTCAGCCCCATTCAGCGCCCCACATCAGGTCCCCTATGAACAAGCGAACGGCACATGCGAAACGCTCTGATAGCGGGAGTTCACACTCCAAAGTGAGACGCGGCAGGTTCTGAAAGCGGGGGTTGGTAGGGGTTTGTGCAGCTTGTTCTCTGATAGACAAAGTTACTATGCAGGTGTTCAGCCGCTTGGCTGAGCACGCAACAATGCAACTTTTGCAGCACATCGCATTTCCGTGCCGCATGTAACCATCGGCATAAAACAGCTGACAAGGGGTAGGGAAATAGGGTTTTGTAGTAGTAATAATGACTTACTGGAAATAAAGTCCAAATTGGGCATATCGCCGATAACAGATGCGGCGGCGCTCACATCCGCAGCAGGCGATGTGGTAGCCTCAGTCTCAGGCTTGACATTCACAGGCTGGGCCTGGAAGTCGGTGGTTTGTCCTGATTCGAAATCAAAGAATTGTGTGTTGGTGAAAAGAGCAAGATCGGCCTCCATGTTGAAAGTCTCCTCAGCGCTATCCTGAGGGCTGATAGTATCAAGTTCGCGAAGATACTGGGACACGTTGGGTCCGTGACGGCCGTTGTAGTTGGACATTTTGCAATGAATGCGAGACCAGAAAGATTCCGAAGATCACAGTAGCAATCTATTTGATGGATTTAATGGTTGGGGGTTCGCGGTTGGTGATGCTGCGAAAAACGCTCGAAAATCGATGACTCAAAAGTCTGTGTAGCGAAGAACCAAGCGCGGTGCTGGTGGTGCTGAAAAATTCGACAAGTCGATTTAAAATGCGTCTCGTAGAAAGAAATAAATGCACAGCCTACTCGAAGCGATTCTCGAGAGACTTGTTTATTTCGTCGATGGTGGTTTGGATGTTGTGAAAAGAAAATCGCGGGGAGGCCGTGCTTCAAAGGCGGTTCGTTCTCGGCTGGTGGAGGCTGAGAGGGGGGGGGCTGCGTGCGTCGGACTTCCAAGGCCGGACCGAGGGCTTTCGTCGGAGCAGAGGCTTAGCAATCAACATTAAAAATGCACCGAACACATTGCCCCCACTTACTATTTAGCTTTGCAGGATGCAGCCAATAAAACACGCCTGCCTGCCATCTATCCACCAATGAGCGCCCGTCAGACCACCTTATCGCTGCGCACGAATGTCTCTGGGCGCTACGGATAAACAGTCTGTCATCATCGAGCGGCTCTTAAGGCTCTGCGACAACGGCACATGAACAGTTAGTGAGGGAGTGCTGCAGCGATCACGAAATGCACAGCGTGGCAATTTGTTTGCTGGCCAGCGGCATAGAATCACATTTAATTAGACAAAAGGTAGGGCAATGCTCGTTGCATGATGTGTGTCTTGATACTCTATTGCAACAAAAAAAAAAGATTGACAAAAGAGGCTATTTACCGATTATGGACGCCGGCACTTGCCTTCCTGATGTGGAATCTTGCGAGGTGTTCCTGTGATTTCCGCCTCTCCAAGTTTTTCTCCGCTCCTTCCCCGTAGAATTCCGTGCGGCTCTTTGGTCGGGGTCGGGTCGGAATAACTGGGTGCCGGAGTGGTGATGCTTGCCCGCTTAGTCATGCTCATGTTGACGCGCCTAGACGCATAGCGGAACGCGTCTTACAGTTCAGAGTGGCCGACAGTGCACTGCATGGGCTTGCTTGTCGCGCTGTTTGGGTCTATTTTGCGGGCCCGATCCGACAAGCATGTTACTGATGAGGACCGTTTAACAGTTGACTGCCTCTAACTGCAAAGTTGTAAGAACGGACAAATATTAACACCAGCTTGCGCGGGCGCATCTCTATCCTCGTGGTATGACGCCGCCATGTCGCAACTCTCCCTGCCAACAACAGCAAGGCTCCCGCCTTCGCTGAGAGTTGATCCAACAAACATCACGGTCATAAAGAATCTCAGTCGTCTCTCCAGAGAGTCACTCATTGCATTGGCCCTGGACTGGCTCGATGACAGCACAATAGCAAACGCTGCACCGTACCTAGCCCAGACAGATGAGCATGGCCATTCATTAGATGATCCAGAAGACCTTTATCCGCCATGCGAAACTGTCGAAGAGCTGCGCGAGATGTACTCGCAGCTTCAAGACCACCGAGGCGCAAAGCGAGATGTTGTCACCCGAATATTGGAGGGCGATTGGAGGCAAGGCCTGACGCTCTATCAGCTGGCCATGATTGACTTTGCACACCTTGACGAACATCCTCATTCTCAAAAATGGACTGCATATAAGATTGCACCCCTCCAGCATCCTACCCACGGCAATGACGACGAGGTTCTACGGGCTGACGAAAAGAGTCTGGCCATTCCCCGCTTCCATCCGTCGACCTTTCTCCAGAATCTCCAAAATCAAGTACTTCCAGACGTGAAAGCACACTACCACTTTTACCGCCCTCGTGACTACCCCGTCCTCTTCCTTCGTATCTTCGTCCTCGACTCGCCATACAACACACAGCTTGCGCTGTCAGGTCTAAACAGCACAGGAACTACCAACTTCAACTCTTCAAGGACGATATACTTGGCCTTCCCCGACAGTGCGCCATCATTATACATATCTAAAGCAATTGCACCAGGCAATGCTACTGCCGGTGAAGGAAGGAGTTTACAAAGCCTCATTATCAAGGGAGTCCCTCAAGCACTATCCAGACCTCGAGAGCGGTATACGCTACAGGTCACCTACCTCACAAGTCGAAATCTCGGCGCGCTACTTGATAAGAAGGGAGCCGGAAGAGGGAATGCTGCCGGTGGTGGTTGGAGCGTATACACAGACGACAAAGATAAAAAGTCGCCATTGGATACTATCTTGCCAACACCGCCGCTTTCAAGACGATCTTCCCACGCGATTACTGGCAGCAAGCGGAATTTGCCCATCAGCAAGGCCGCGTATCAAGCAAAACGAGCCAAACTTACGGCACAAGCCCGTTTCGGCAGGTCAGGTATAATCTCGGATGGGAAAGGCGTTGAACGCATAGATATTCTGATGCAGGACCCCTTTCCATCCATAAGCCCAGCTGACTTTGACGATGCGGCCAGTCAGCCTCCCGATGCTCGTGGTCCAGGGCGCCGAACAGGTGTGGATGCCGCCCTCCAAGAAGCCGCGGAGGACGACGGTTGGGATCCTGCAGCAGTGAATAATCCGAACGATTGGGTGCCAAATGTGCGTATTACATTCCAGGGATCGCATGTTTTTGCAGGAATTCGACAACTTGTTGAAGCAGGTATCATTGACGGCGCCAAAATGCCTGGCTGGATGACTGGTGAAGAAGGCATCACAACAGGCGTTGTGCGCGATGGCCGTGTATGGGGCAATAAAGGATCCGGTTTGTAGTATTGTGCTACATAGTCTGGTTGGCATAGCATAGCTTGGGGCGTTTTGGCTTTGGTTTTTTGGTTTATTTTACGCCGTTGCATTTCTAGGGCGCATGATGATACCCATAGATGACTATAAATCTATCCTGATTCTAATTCTTTTTCTCCACGTCAAACACCTTGACTGTATTTTGCCATGCCTTCTCGCAAACCTCTTCTACCGTAATGCCCTTGATTCCAGCGACAATCTTGGCGATGCGGTCAATGCTGCAAGGCTCATTGCGGCCCTTAACCATTGCGCCTTCTGCCCATCTTTCCTTCTTAACGGATCTGTAACGCTCAGGGATCGCTGGCTCCTTCTTTTGATTCTTTTGCTTCTTCGGTTGGTTAATGCTGCTAGGTGTATCAGTTCCAGTACCGGTCGCTGATTCCGAGTCCTGTGCAGCAATGCCATCGGCAATAACATCAGTAATATCCTTCTTTTCGATCAGATATTTGTACCCTTCATGGCTGGGTCGAACCTCACACCACGGCCCATCGGTTTCAATCATGATACGATCCATCCGTACTTCCTTGACAGTCTTGCAGTTTTCCACAGTCTTAAAGCTGCAGCCGTTGATGCCAATGTAAAGACCAAGATCCATCAGCTCCTCCATCTCCTCGGCCGTGCCTGTAAAGCTATGTACAACGGCGCCCTTCTGTAGATTCTCCAAGTTTTCACCAAATGCCTCTTTAAGAAGACGCACAAAATCATTATGCGCAGCTCTCGAGTGGAGGAAGAGAGGCAGCTGAGGTTCAAGGCTGGCGGCAAACTTGAGTTGTTCCGCAAATGAGTGCAGCTGAACAGTCTTGTTGCAGCAATTTAGCCGGTCATAGTCAAGTCCAAACTCTCCAAGCGCTACTAAATGGCCGTTGCCGGAAGCGATAGCCTTTTCGACAATATCACGAAGGCGGCCAATGACCTCACTAGTCTTTTTGGCATCTGGCTGCTGGTCTTCAGGGATCGGAGCATCTGGGTCAGGGTCACATGGTGTAGAGCTTCCATCGTCCGATCTCCTGGAAGGTTTCAGACTAAAGATGGAGCTAGTACATGGATGGATACCAGCAGTTGTGAAGATAGTGCCAGCTAGAGTCGGAGTTAGTGGTTGGTGAAAGTTATCAAAGCTGGCGTCGACCGACCATATTCTTCAGAAATTTCAAGACCACCTTGAATACTTTTGAAATCTGATCCGGTAATAATCATCTTAGTACATCCAGTCTCCATAGCCCGCTTAATAACCCCAGATAGATCATCTGGGTGCCGTTGGACACCATAATATTTGCCCCTAAACATGGGGTCCGCCAAGTTGATGCCAATCTGCAGTAGTACAAACCATCATGTCAGTCTCGATTGCAGATCACAGCAGATTTCTGTAGGCACTGTTTACTACTTACGTCAATGTATCTGGGGACATAAGTGTCTTGGCCAGGCTCTAGGCCTGCTGCAGGAGAAGCCATATTGGTCAAAGGGCGAGTCCACGTAAATCGGGCCGTCTGTCTGAATGGAATTTGCAAAGCAAGTCGTCTCGCTAGCATTGAGGGTTTCTGTGGCAAAGAAATTTCCGACCAGGGCTGAAACACAATAAATATACAGCGTATCGAGCAATGGCTGTCTGTAAAATGAGTCACCGTCAAGGCTCGAAGAAAAACGCTGTTGAGAGGCCAAATACAGTCAGCGCCTGCAGGCAACCACGGGCTGTACTAGGTGGTCAAAGGGTGCTGCAGAGTATCGGTAGGGCCCGCTGAAGCGCCCTAAAAGATTAAGCGTAGCAGCCACTAAAACGGCAGGGCAGAGCTGCGACGCAGGTAGCCTTGCCACTGTAGCGGTGCTGCGACACAGCAAGGATGCCAATTAATAATGGACCGTTGGCACGTGACTCCGCGCCCATGGCAACTCACGTAGTTAAAGTGGTTGCTTGGGTACGCGTCAAGGACGTGCATGTGGCGATTCTGCATCAAGCGCATGCAGGGTCTTGCAGACGAAATATTTCCATAACGCAAATATAAAGCAGTAAAACTAGAATATAATTTTACAATTGCTATTTTCAGTGCTATTTTGCCATATTTTGCCTCCCTCAACCCCTTGCAAAGGGTATCCCTCCAGCGCAGGGTGGGGTGCCAGTTTAATGGATTCCTGTGGCTTTGTCATTGTTGTCACGCTAAAGTTTTTGGCGTCGCGCGTTTCAACGACGCGCTGTGAATAAGAAGCACGTCCCACCAGCTTCTAACGCACATTCATCCTTCACACTCCCCAAACACGCATCTTCAAAGAGCATCTACAGTGGCCTACTTCTCCTCTCTATAGTCTCCTATAGAAAGGCCATTGCTTGCAAGTGTCCTGGTTGACGCTGCAGAGTCTTTAGATACCAATCTCATTCCCTCTTTGCCCGTTTCTTCCATCGCCATCCGTTGTCGAAAGACACGACACACATCACCAACATGTATGTCAAGAAGAGAGGTATGTATCTGCTATCATCCATGTAACTCTCAAGCCCTGTGCTCACGCCGCTGCAGATGGACGCCAAGAGCGCGTCCAGTTCGACAAGATCACTGCCCGTGTCTCCAGACTGTGTTACGGTCTCGATGCTGAGCACGTTGATCCCGTCGCCATCACACAAAAGGTCATCTCCGGTGTCTACGGCGGTGTCACTACTATTCAGCTCGACGATCTCGTAAGTTTCCTTCCAAGCGAGTCCGTGGCTCTCAATTGCTAACGTCGTCTTGCTCCAGGCTGCCGAGACCGCTGCCTACATGACGGTCACCCACCCTGACTACGCCATCCTCGCTGCCAGAATTGCTGTTTCCAACCTTCACAAGCAGACTAAGAAGCAGTGGTCTACTGTTGTCAGTGACCTCTACCACTATGTCAACCCCAAGAACAAGAGAGCCTCGCCCATGATCTCCAAGGAGACATACGAGTGCGTTATGAAGCACAAAGAGGAGCTTGACTCTGCCATTGTCTACGACCGTGACTTCAACTACCAGTACTTCGGCTTCAAGACTCTTGAGCGCTCATACCTGCTCAAGATTGACGGCAAGATCGTCGAGCGTCCCCAGCACATGATCATGAGAGTCGCTGTCGGTATTTGGGGTGACAACATCGAGCGTGTTCTCGAGACCTACAACCTCATGTCTAACAAGTTCTTCACCCATGCCTCCCCTACCCTCTTCAACGCCGGTACACCCCAGTGCCAGCTTTCTTCCTGCTTCTTGGTTGACATGAAGGAGGATAGCATTGAGGGTATTTACGATACCCTCAAGACCTGTGCCATGATCTCCAAGATGGCTGGTGGCATTGGTCTCAACGCCCACCGCATCCGTGCCACAGGCTCTTACATCGCTGGTACCAACGGTACCTCCAACGGTGTCATCCCCATGTTGCGTGTCTTCAACAACACCGCCCGCTACGTCGACCAAGGTGGTAACAAGCGTCCCGGTGCCTTCGCCATCTACCTTGAGCCCTGGCACGCAGATGTCTTTGAGTTCCTTGACCTTCGCAAGAATCATGGTAAGGAAGAAGTCCGTGCCCGTGATCTCTTCCTTGCTCTCTGGATTCCCGATCTTTTCATGAAGCGTGTTGAGAAGAACGGAGAGTGGACCCTCATGTGCCCCAACGAGTGCCCTGGCCTTGCCGATTGCTACGGTGAGGAATTCGAGGCCCTGTACGAGAAGTACGAGGCTGAGGGCCGTGGCCGCAAGACCATCAAGGCTCAGAAGCTTTGGTACGCCATCCTTGAGGCTCAGACCGAGACTGGTAACCCCTTCATGCTCTACAAGGACCACTGCAACCGCAAGAGCAACCAGAAGAACTTGGGTACCATCCGCAGCTCCAACCTCTGCACTGAGATTATCGAGTACTGTGCCCCTGATGAGGTCGCTGTCTGCAACCTTGCTTCCCTTGCTCTTCCTGCTTTCGTTGACTACAACGAGGGCAAGTATGACTTCAAGAAGCTCCATGAAGTCACCCAGGTTGTTGTCCGCAACTTGAACAAGATCATTGACGTCAACCACTACCCCGTTCAGGAGGCTCGTAACAGCAACATGCGTCACCGTCCCATTGGTGTCGGTGTTCAGGGTCTTGCTGACGCCTTCCTCGCTCTACGTCTCCCCTTCGAGTCCCCTGAGGCTCGTGAGCTGAACAAGCAGATTTTCGAGACCATCTACCACGCTGCCGTCACTGCCTCTGTGCAGTTGGCCAAGGAAGAGGGTCCCTACTCTACTTTCAAGGGCTCTCCCGCCTCTGAGGGTATCCTCCAATTCGACATGTGGAATGTCAAGCCCAGCGACCTCTGGGAGTGGGATAGCCTCAAGGAGCAGGTCAAGGAGCACGGTATCCGCAACTCTTTGTTGCTTGCTCCCATGCCTACTGCATCTACCTCGCAGATTCTTGGCAACAATGAGTGCTTCGAGCCCTACACTTCCAACATTTACCAGCGCCGTGTCTTGGCTGGTGAGTTCCAGGTTGTTAACCCCTGGTTGCTCAAGGATCTTGTCGACATGGGCTTGTGGTCTGATGCCATGAAGAACCGTATCATTGCTGAGAACGGATCTATTCAGAACATCCCCAACATCCCTGCCGACATCAAGGCCCTTTACAAGACTGTTTGGGAGATTTCCCAGCGCCAGGTTGTCCAGATGTCTGCCGACCGTGGTGCCTTCATCGACCAGTCTCAGTCCTTGAACATCCACATGCGTGAGCCCACCATGGGCAAGATCACCAGCATGCACTTCGCCGGTTGGAAGCTCGGTCTCAAGACCGGCATGTACTACCTCCGTACCCAGGCTGCTGCCGCTCCCATTCAGTTCACCGTCGACCAGGAGGCTCTCAAGGTTGCCGACACCAACACTGGCAAGGAGCGTCTTCTCCCCAAGAAGCGCGCCCCTCCTGCCGGTAGCAACTACATGTCGTCTCCTTCCGCTGTTCCCAGGACCGCCCACCTCAAGGAGAGCGGAAACTTGGTTAGTTCCAACGGCATCCCTACCCCCAGCGCCACTCCACCCCCAGCGCTGACTGAAGGTCTCAAGTCTCGTCCTCTCGGTGTTCCCATCAAGGCCGCAGCCATGAAGGCCGATGCTGATGAGGGTGACAGCCCCAAGGTCCTTGCCTCGGACCCTTCCGAGAAGGTTGAAGGTGGCGAGGAGCTCGCTACTAAGCAGTCTGAGGACAAGGACTCTGACAACGAGGAGCGCGAGAGAGATATCTACTCGGAAGCTGTTCTTGCCTGCAGCATCGAGAACCCCGAGTCCTGCGTCATGTGCAGCGGTTAAGTATTTGACTGAACCTGCACTATGACGGCCTGTCACGTCAGGTACGTTGGCATGGTATGCAAATGGGAAATGATTGGGAAGATTAATTGGTTTATGGTGTCTTTTGTCTTTTTGTTGTTTTGTGTACCCTATCCCCCTTGTTTATGATTGTTTGTTTTCCCTTGCACTTTCCTGAAAACCCGCACTTGACTACATTTCTGCTTCCGGCATTAGATGCATTTGACCTCGATGAGGATATTTATAGGTCGGGAGCACTTTACATGGACTGTGTACGCAAACTACCAGCCATTTGATATCAGCATTTCATGTTAATGAGACTTTTTTTATTTTCTTACAAACTGTTCATGGCCCGTGATTGTGACGTGTAATCTATCCTGGTGAATTGTCCGGTCAGCATCAACAAAGACAAACGAGAAAGACCAAGTTACACAGGGAAGTGCCTGGCTTGCAGACACTATAGTATTAGCTCAAGCACCTATACCGTTACACAGGCACAACGTATAACAAAACAATTCCAATAATTTATAACATGTTTTTTGTTCTCATTTCATTCATTCATAATGACAAACAGCCGTGAGGCATGTCGGTACAAAGTCTATCGGATATCGCGAGGGCCGAAAACATTGCGCGGGGCGACTTGTCCCAAAATGCAGTGTTTACAATTCTATAGTATGAGAATTCTAGCTTCATATAATAATTTAACAGCGTCACATCCCCAGGCGGCCAGAAGAAGCGTATGGACTGCATTCATACACACATTCTTTTTCAAGACTCGCTAGCTGGCTGTGGCCACGATGTGGACAACAGCTGGATTGACAACCCCCCCAAAAACAAGAAAAAACGAAGGCTATTCCATTCAGCCCCATGTTTTGTTTTTTTCTTTGTGTTTTATATTCAAGCGTGCAATGGGCACCGCTTCATTTGGCAAATGATCAAACCATTTGCGTAAGGCAAAAAAAGGAAAAAGGAACAAGAAAGACAAACCAACCCTGACATTGGGAAAAGCAGTAGTTGTGCCAGGGAAAACTCCAATAAAATGATACCAAGACTTATACAAGCCCCTAGTTGTGCTGGAAGAGCACGCTGATGGATTCACCGTGGTGGACGCGGCGGATAGCTTCGCCAAAGACGGCGGAGATGTCAATGACCTCGAGCTTAGGGCACTGGCGGCAGTGCTCGTCCTGGGGGACCGAGTTGGTGACAAGCATCTTGTCGATGGCCGAGGCGTTGATTCGCGCAATGGCATCACCGCTAAATACGCCGTGGGTCAGCAGTGCGTAGACCTTGGTGGCGCCCTCCTTCTTGAGCAGCTTGGCGGCGCGGGTGATGGTGTTGGCGGTGTCGGCAAGATCGTCGACGAGGATGCAGATGCGGTTGGCAACGTCGCCGACAAGCATCATGCTGGCATTCTTTTGCTCGGTGAACTTGATGGGGCGGCGTTCCTGTATAGGGTGTTAGCTGCTTGCTTACAAGAGGCCAAAGGTTAAGCATCACGTACCTTGTGGATAAGGGCAAAGTCCATGTTAAGACTATCGGCAATGGCAGTGGCACGCTTGGCACCACCGGCGTCGGGGGACACAACAACAGCTTCTCTGTAGCCAGGGATAGCCTGCTGGATGTAGTTTTGCAGCAGGGGTTTTCCGTAGAGGTTGTCGACGGGGATGTCGAAGAAGCCCTGGTACTGGGGGTCGTGCAGGTCCATGGTGATGATGTGGTCGGCGCCAGCGCAGGTCAGCAAATCGGCAACCAGGGTACCGGCTTGCGCAATCCACTGCTTGTATCCCGGCTTGGGCTGGAAAGCTCGTGCGTTGGCTGGCTTCTCGTAGTCGTGGGTGGTGAAGCTGCGGACCGAAGCGGCAGAGCCTTCCGAGGTGTGGCCGCGGGCATGCGATGTGACGCTTGCCATGGTATCGGATCTCTTGGTGGGCGAGAAGTAATCGCCGTTGCCCTCAACATGCTTATTGCCAGAGATGGCATTTTTGGCGAGCTTCTCAGCGAGGCTGTCGACGCCGTTGGCTAGGCCGTTGCTGCGAGGGCCGCCGGGGCGAGGCGTGGGAGGGACGCTCTCAAAAGTATAGTCGTGCTTGCCAGCCGCCTCTGAAGGTTTTGAGAGGGGAGCGCCCGTCTTGTTGTATGGCCAGTCGGGCTGTCGAGAGTAGGGGAAAAGCGGGATGACGGCGGTGACACGCTTTGCAGAGCCGGTTTTGCAAGCCGAGATCATGATGCAGAGATCGATAAGGTTATCATTGACGTTGCCCGAGCCGGACTGGATAATGTAGACATCCTTGCCACGCACGGAATCCGCAATCTCGCAACGGCTTTCACCGCTGGAGAACTTGGTAAGAATTCGTTGGCATTGAGGGATGCAGAGAATGTTGGCGATGTTGTCAGTCAACTGCGGGTGGGAGTTGCCTCCGAGAAGGACGATGTTGCGAACCATCAGTAGAGATGAAGGCGATGTATAGCCTTGATGATGTTGTTCTGATTGGAGATGGAAGAGAGGTCGCGTGAGGGGTGTCTGTGCCGATCTAGGGATGCAATATCCAAAGAGGTGGTTTTGCTGTCGGGCTATCTCGAGGGATAGTGGGATGGACGCTTGCGTAGATGGGCGGCGGCAGCTGCAGAGGGCAGAGGAGCAGCTGTATTGACAGGCCTAATAGAAAGAAAGGAAGCAGAGTTGCGACTCGATGGTCGTGCGTGTTGATGCAGCACCTTGCGAATCAAGGTTTTTTCACGCAATTGCAGCGTTTCCTTGCGAATGGGTTTTTTTTCTGCGGCGTAAATTTTGAGTCAGTCTGCCGAGCTTGTCCGCCCGCACCACCAAAAAGGCTCTTGAACGGTGGGGGGGAAGCCCGTGGCAGCCAATTGCGGGGCAGCAAAAGGCTGCTGTCTTTGGCTGGGAAGCCGCCGCAAAAGGCGCCCTGCAAAGCATCAACGGTTTGCAGTGGTAGCATCGTCTATGGCGTCCAAAAAAAAGAGGCAGCAAAACCAGCCCAGCCGATTTCGGCCGTCGCAGTGGTACAGTACAGTATAAGGGAAGCTTAGCTTACTCCTATTATATGTGCACAATACTGCAGCAGTTTTTTATGCTGGCGAAGAGGAATATCCCACAAACGAGATTTCAATCCTCTTTTTTTTTATTTTTGTTTTCTTTGCAGCGGTGACCCTTCATCTTCACACACAGCTTCAGAAGAATACACCAGACTTCGCCTTACTGCAGCCCAATTACAAATCTCTGCATATCCAAGTCGTCGTTCCAGCGGAGGCTTCAATATAGCTGGATCAAGGCGTTCCAAACACGACCTTACACATCTAGACGAAGCGACTCCGGCCAATTCAGTACCATAGAACCCGTTAGGGCGGTGCGAATTGAGTCTGTAAGAATAACCGTAAATAATCATCTTCTTATTTTCCTCAGGTAGTCAGTCCGTAGCTGTTGCAGTCATGCATCGTTGACGTCGACGTGACGCTCATGCCCCAGGGCTGTGGAGATGGGCACCCAATACGGCGCTGCATTTGGCGAAATGCAGATGTAGCTGACCGTATGTTATCCTACGAGCACCACTCATACGAGCAATTATACTTCGTAGCGGCCATACAAACAGGTTTGGTGGCCGGGTCTCACGTCTACCAAAGAATCAATCGGTGCATTGATTTACCGAGGCTGCCAGTCTCAATTGAAGCTGAACATGGGAAGAAAATACTACTTCCAATAGTCAATTCCACTCATATGGCGGTGTCCAGCATGGAACGAGGAAACAAACCGCGCATCTGGGACCTATCACATAGCTTCATCCGTTGCTGCAGCCAACGCAAGGGTATCCTTGTTACGCCGAGCATAGCTGTGGTCTGGAATACCGGGATTCTGCTGCAGAAGCCTTCTACGCGCGGGCACAAACAATGATGCTTGCATGCGTCTTTTGCCGCACGTAGCGTTGCCTGACGTCAGGACGGCCGAGAAAAAATGGTGCCGTGTGTGACGGCGCAAAAGATACAAGGTACTTGTCTTTGAATCTACAGGGCTTTGTACTGTACTTATCTTGACGCAGACAGGCGAGGCAGCCGGAAAAGTCTGTTGGACGCTTGCTACTACGCGTAGTGCTGCAGATCTCGGCTGGCTGAGCAACCACTGCTGCATTGGCCAATGAATGTTCTGCAACCGGGCCAGGCTCTTACGATGGATAGCAAGCTTTCGTACAGGGAAAAAAACTTTATCAAGCGAATTCCCATACCACAGAGTCTATCCTGCTGGGGGTCGGCGAGCTGCTCGTTAGCCGCGGGCAAAAGCAGAGACAGGCAAAAGAGGTGTGGGTTGACTTCCATCGCTTATTTGCCATCTCTCAGACCAAAAGTTAAATTACATATTCCTTAGTCGTTTTGGCGCCAATTCCCAAAGGGGCGGCTTTCGGCCTAGAGAGCACCACAGGGGCAGCTACCGATGGTCTGGATGCGCTGATCCCTCTCTACCCAGTGGCTATGGGCAAGCTATCAACCACCACCTGCCACCGATGTGCCAGCAGCAGCCACGGCAGCCAGAGCTGGGGACGTGCAGCTTGTGCTGGGACATGCATAGATTACGGTTGATGCTGGAGGGCCAAGACTGGCTTTTCCTGGATGCATGCGAGAAGCGGGCGTCATTGATCTACAATTTTTTTTCTTGCTGGGAGCATCGGGTTAAGACAAGCTGTGGCTGGAACCAGATGCACGGGATCTGTTTGCGTTGAGCCAGAGGGAGGGTTTGTGGCGTAACTGAGAACCAACGAAAGGGACACAATTGGGATGGTTTCCTGTCTCCTGTAGTGTGAGGCACACTGCATTCGTCACATTAGTTTGTTTTCTTGCGCGAATTTTGCCGTCGTTTCCCTAGTGCCGCTGGTGCTGATGGTGCTGTTGCTGTGCTGGAAACTGGGTGCTGGCAGCAGCTGTAAAGCGGCCCATCGGCGTAACCAAGATCGTACCGTACGCTGGGGGACTTGGCACACCAGCTACGGCTAATGTACCACGCAGGCCTGGGGTGGCAGCGAGAGACCCGTACGGTAGTGTAGGCGGGCGGGGAAGAAGGAAACACGCTACGTCAGTGGATCGAGCTAGCCGTCACCACAGTGGTCTGACTTTCATTTTAATTTCATTGCGGTGGGATGTATTTTCCCGCGGAAGCAAAAGCAAGCAGCCTACGGTCACATTAAGCATCGTCATCGTAGGCGAGCAGTTTGAGCCCTTCCCTTCTATGCTTCTTTCTTGGTGTATTGGCGGCCTACAGCCATGGTTGCAAACGGACGAAAAAAGCCTTTTTGGGCTGTGCCGTGTTGTCAGTGCTGCTGCTGCTGCTACTTCAGGCAGGCTGGGCTGGTCACCGCGTCAGCCACACCCGGCATGCGTAGGCGAGAAAAGGCCCTGCTCAGCTGTGCCAGCACTGGTAGTCCCCACTGGAGGCGAGCCCAGAGACCAAACACAGCAGCCCTGGGAGAGGAGAGGCTCCACCCAGCAGCCCAGAGGAGCGCCACCTCCAGACTAGGCGGCGCAAATTACATCAGGGGTTGGCTTAGCGTGCTGCAAGGAAGCACTAACAGACGTAGAGAGCCCAAGCAAGTACACCACCTACCCACCTTCGCCAAAGGAAGAAGAGGAACAGCCAAAGACAGAGACCTACAGGATGTAACTATACCTCTTTGGTCAATGATTTCAGGCTCCACTGGGTAGATTTGCTAGCGCAGCACATCCCTGACGCAGGTCGTTCTACACTGCATGCACCTGTGCCGTTTCCCGGCGCACGCCTAGCGTTGGCGGCCCCCTTCGCTTTTGCCCTGGCCTCGACAAGTGTAGCTAGCCAAGCTCCCTCTGCTTGCGGCCCTGCCTATTTCCAGTATAATTAGACTTGAGTCGCCCCATCGCATCCCGAGTGCACTGTTTCTGATCTCTTTCCTCCCACGTTCCATTCCATCTATTCTTCGCCACCAAAGTGTATACTCTTCCCAAAGGTAAGCAAGCAGCATCACCCATCACAACAGCCTGCCCCATGGCATCTTCCCATTACACATCCACACGCAACCAATCTCTGGCCAATTGTCTCCCTGGAGCTGCTCTGCTGGATTCATCGGCGACTGGGGGCTTGTACGGTGCTGAATTGCAGGACCTTGGACCAGCAAGTTGCCTGTAGCACCGTCCCAGCTCATGTTGGATCGCACCATGTTCTGGCAACATCCTGCGTGAAATTGGCTACAAGCTCATGCCGCTCGCCTCTTCTCGTCCGATGTAGCCAGCCGTGCACACATGCGATGAACCATGAAAGCAGATTGCTACAAGCAGCGTGTTGCAAGTCGGGGTACCTGACTGTTCCAAGTTGTCTGTGTACTACATGGCAGTGTCTGCAACGCGTACCTTGCTTCACCACTTGCCAGCTGGCACCAGCTGCCACTTCTTGCCTTGTGTAAACAAATACCGCTGCCTAGCCTTTTGTTTTCCCGTTCTCTTGGCTCCTCCATTCCCTTTCTCCTCACACACATTTGAATTCAGCTCCAATTACTTGCGTGCTAACTTTCATCCCCTCTTTACCAGTTACTTAACTCAAACCCCCAAAAGTCACAATGAAGTCTACTCTTTTCGCTCTCGGTGCTCTGGCTGCTGCCGTCACCGCTCAGGACATTGCCAGCCTTCCTCAGTGCGGCGTAAGTTTTGTTTCAACTATATTCTACAAAGTGTGTACCAATTCTAACATTGATCCTCTAGCAAACCTGCGCCAACAACATGATGGCTGCCGCCAAGGCTCAGGAGCTCAAGTGCAACTCTGGTGACATGAAGTGCCTGTGCAACAACGTCAACTTCGTCTACGGTCTCCGTGACTGCTCCAAGGCCATCTGCGATGCCGATGGTGCTTCCAAGGTCCTCAACTACGCCGTCACCCTCTGCAAGAACGCCGGTGTTACCATCAACCCCGATGGCAGCAACGGCAACGGAAACGGCAATGGAAACGGCAACGGCAACGGCAACGGCCAGCAGTCTAGTGCTGCCAACTCCGGTGCTGCCAACTCTGGCGCCGCCAACTCTGGTGCCGGCAACACTGGTGCCGCTAACTCTGGCGCCGCCAACTCCGGTGCCGGTAACACTGGTGCTGGCAACACTGGTGCCGCCAACTCTGGCGCTGCCCAGGTCACCACCATCTACAGCACTTCCACTGACAAGGATGGCAAGGTTATCACCACCGCCATTGCTACCAGCACCATCGGTGGTGCCAACGGTGGCGAGAACCAGTCTGGTGTTCACAGCGGCGATGCCAACACCACCATGGCTACTCAGACCTCTGGCAACGGAGCTGAGGCTACCGGTGCTAACGGTTCCAGCACTGGTGCCAACGGCAACGGCAACGGCAGCAACACCTCCAGCGGTGCCAACGGCGCCAACGGTGGCAAGACTTCTTCTTCTTCTGCCCTCGGTGCTCAGATGACCGCTGCCCCCGCTGGCGTCCTCGCCGCTGCCGGTATTGCTGCCCTCTTCCTGTAAAAAGGATTGATGCTCAATTTGGTCGTTTTCGACACTTAATCTTCTTGTTGCACATGTTTGACAAATAATACCCACCTGGGCTCCAAGGCCATCCTGACAGCAATCATTTTTATGGAAAGATGAATGGACATGAAGGGAGGAATAGGATCATGCAGGTTATGCTTGGAGGGGTTTTTACGATGACTACGTTATTATTCCGGTATAAGACCGATGACGCGACGTATTAATGGAAAATAATAAAGATTATATAGCTTCTATCAAGATGTCTACGGCTTACCTTGCTGCGTTTTCCACTTGTGCTCATGAGACAATTGAATTGTAAAGAAGATAAAACTTGCATTCTGGTATCGCTGTCTAACTACATGTAAACACTAACACATTTTATTTTATTTTATGAGACAGCGTCTTTAATGACGCATTGTCTTTCCAATTTCACTTTCCCAATCCTTAGCTCTTTCGAAGCCGTTGGAGAAGGTCTGGTAGTCCGATAATGCCTGGTACACTTGTTCCTTTGTGTTGAGAACAAATGGGCCGTACTGGACAACGGGCTGGTCGAGAGGTGTGCCGGCGACGAGGACGAGGCGAGCGTCCTTGTCGGAAGTGTTCTCGAGGTCCACAATGTCGCCTTCTTGTTCAAAGACAACGTTGTGGTACTGTTCGACCTTTTTGCTAGCGTCTCCCTTGCCGAAGACGGCTTCTCCTTCAAGAACATAGGAGAATGCGTTCCATCCGTGTGGGAGAGGCTGCGAGATCTTGGCGCCGGGGCGGAGGAGAACGTCGAGGATCCAAACGGGGGTGTAGGCAAGCTCCTTGACTGAGTCGACTCCGTGGCTTTGGCCAGAAATGACCTTAATAGTGGCCTTGCCGTCATCGACGTCCACCGAGGGGATCTCAGAAGCTCGTAGATCGCGATATCTTGTATCACAGAACTTGAGCTCCTTGGGCAGGTCAACCCATAGCTGTAATCCGACATTGGCACTACCATCAGGGTTTTGATGAGGCATCTCGGCGTGCATCGTGCCCTTGCCGGCCGTTAGGAACTGTAAATCACCTGCGTAAATAGTGCCTTTATTGCCTGCGAAGTCTTCGTGATCAACTCCTCCTTGGAGGAGGTACGTGATGGTCTCTTGGCCGCGATGCGGGCTGGTGGGGTGGTGGTTAGCACTTCTGTGGGGTAAAAAAAAATGGTGGGGGTGGGAAAAAAACATACTGGTCGGGGAATCCGGCACCTGGCTTAATAGAGAAATGGTCGAGCATCAGAAAAGGCGAGAAATTGCGCAAGTTGGGTGTTCCAATAGATCGTCTGACGCGGGCGCCTTGGCCTTCGGCCTGCTCAATGGCAAGGAAGACCTTGCGGATGGCGCGGGGAACCGACATTTCGTTGGCGAAGAGAAAGTGGTTTTGCTGGGTAGCGGAAGCTGTCAAATTGGCTAAAGAGCCTAGAATAGAGGTTTTGAAAAGCTGGGGAGCTGTTGCCGGTGCGCTGCTGCTAGTATAGAGTAAGAGAGCTAGTAGAGCTGTAAGAGTAGCTGTGAGGAGTGTCTTTTCTGTTGGTGTCTGGAGAAACATGGAATTTCGAGAGATGCAGACTGAGGACGGTCTTATATAGACGAATGAGCTCTATGATGGAAGAGCTGTGGAATAGTTTCGATGAAAAGGACGGCTGGGCTGGTAGATAAATCTAGAAGCTCGATTGGCGAGCTTCAGGTCACGTGGCATTGATTTAGAGATGCTTATGCAGGCCTTGGGTAAGCCGTTTGGTTGGCTGTGGCGTCAGTCAGCGATTGGTAAGGCTCGCCAAATGCCTGATTAGGCAATGCCTGGGCACTGCAGTCAGCGGCTGAAAGCGGCTCCTGTACGGTACGGCGCTACTATTAGCAACCGGGTAGAGGGGTGTTACTGAGCATTGACTAACTGGGCGTGAGTTTTACAATATCATCATTTACAAGAAACATGGCTTGCTGTGTAAAATCTTGGAAATTGGATTGATGTGTTACGCGAATAACTATTTTCGATTTGTACTATTTAGTCATTTTGGATCGATTCTCTTCTTCTTCCATTCAGCGGCTTCCAGCGAAGTGCGACCGTCAACGCAGGAAGAAAATGCGCCATGTAGGGTACTGATGGTCGTGGTTGGTCGTGACAATGATAACTTGCTAGCCCTCAATTCGCTCCCCCAAAAAACCAGTCTGTGTCCATTCTGCGTGGTTGTTCAATTTTTCTTCTTCTTTTTCTTTCTCTTCGTCCTTTGATTTTAGCATTTGTTGCTAAAACCTACTCGAGGTCTGGTACGTCGTAATCGCTGGAGGCGCTCCATGCACAACATCAAGCCCAGGCCTTCAGGTGGCCTCAACACTGCGCCCGTGGCATAATCCGAAATACAGATCCCGATTTGCCTGCAGCCCCAAGGCAAAAAGGCCACAGAGATTAATATCCCGTGTCAATCACCGCCACGATATCCCTTGTTCCTTTTGTTGCGTACTGGCCTGTGATTGAGAGCGGCCGTTTTCACATGCTGGCGGGAGCACCCGCAAAAATATCGTGTTGCTACTCAGGGGACCAAGTGTCAGTCAGAGTGAGCGTTTGCGCAATCAGCGTCACATGTCAGAAAAACACAAGCGAACAACAATGCCAAATCAAAGGAGCAACAAAAACAGTAGACGAAAGGACAGGTGAACATAACAAAGCGTGATAAAGACAAGTAATCAATTGGTTCAATACAACAATAATCTATTAAGTGTCTCTCAGAAAAAAAAAGAACTGGTATTTTCGCTTTTGTTGCGTCATCCAAGTCATCGCCATATCAATGCAAAGAACAAATCAGCAGTGCTGGAGTGTATTGGCTGTCTCCATAAAGTATAGAAGTGCCGTAGCAGCTGCAAAAGAGGTAATCGAAAATATAATGGATTTCCACGTTAGGGGAAAGACCAACATATTGTGATGAGATAAAAAACAAAGACAAAGCAGATTCAGAAAACAGCAGTGCACCCCAAGGTATATGCTCATACGCTCAAGCTGCTGGAGCAGAGGGCTGAGAAACGAGAAAGAAGAAACAACGCCGGACAAGTGATAAGACTCAAGAGGGAGTGGGTAGACAGGTACAAGGAAGAAGACGGCTGGCTTTGCATCGTGTCGAGGCAATCACCATCCGTCAAGCCGCGCCATCAAGGCGTCAAGCTAGGCATCTTTACTGGTTGATCTTCTCCTTGACGGCCTCAGTGGCCTCAGCCTTCTTGGCGTGAAGGAATGTGCTCAGGACAGCCAAGGTCTCGGTGGACAGAACGAGAGCAGTGGCAACGGCAGCCTTGCCCTGGCCGACGATACCCTCCTGCTCGTGCTTCTTGGTCTCAGAGGAGTACACATCGAAGACGTGGTCGCGACCCTCGAGGCCCTTGTTGTAGGGGAAGAAGATGATCTCCTTGGTGTCGTTGTACAGATCGGAAGTGGGCTTCTTGATGATGGGGAAACGCTCGTCGATGCGGTCGAGGGTCTTGTCACCGAAGGAGTCGGCGCGCTGGACGTAAGGAGAGACGTAGCCGTAGGGCTTAGAGAAGTAAGGAAGGACGGGAGCGGCGAAGGTCTGGTAGGCAGAGTCACCAAGCTTGATGGAGCGCTGGGCGTAGCCGTTGTTCTTGACGGTGTTGACACTGTCGCTGATCAAGGGGTAGTTGAGAAGGTGCTGTAGAAAGACTATTGTTAGTAAAATATGGAATTATAATTTGAAGGGTTATAGTTGGGTCTAGCGTACCTGGAGGAAGGCAGAGTTGATAGCAGGGGCGACATCGCCGTTAACCTGAGGAACAGCCATTGCGATTATTGGGAGGGAGTCGTGTAAGGCGAGAGTGGTTGAATTATAAGGTGTAGTTGGAAGAAGTCGAAAAGCGTACGCTTTCTTTTATCGACGGTGACGATGGATTGATGGATGGAAGCAAAGACAGAGTTGGGAAATGTGTGTGGAAGGGAACTATCTCTTTTTGTATTGTGTACGATCGATGGCGACAGCGCAAAGTTGATGGTGGGCAGCCAAGCGTCGCTCGCATGTGAAAGTGGCGCACCCATTAGCAGCAAGGCAGGTGTGGGACAAAAAAATAGCAGGTGCGATGGGCGGGCCGGCCAGCTGGCGCGACTGCCAAAGGAGAAAACAGGAAAACTAAAAAAAGTATTTAATCGGACGGACTGATGAATGCGCGCAGTGCATGTGCAAGGGAGGGAAGGCTGCCTCTGAAAATCTGGTTGAATGGAAAGCGCGCTAAGCTGTTTCGGGTACTAGTTCGCCTGTTTTTACAAGTCGCCGTTGGCCTTTTGCAGCTGCGCGCCAGGTGCAAAGCTGCCAGCGGGTGGGCCTTTTACGATAACTGATTGGCCACTCACAACACCACTGCAGCCACTGATGCTGACATGTGAAAGCCAAGCTCTCTTCTGGCACCTATCGTGGCTCTGCTCTGGAACGGCGTTTTTACTCCTGCTACAGTGCTATCCGGATATTGGATTTCTTGAATTCCGCCACAGGCACATGGAAGAACGGATTTAATCCATCTCTTGCTTAAGAGTTTTCCTTTTTCTTTCTTGGTTGGGGGCTAGCAACCCGAGCATGCCGTGAGTGGTGGCTGCATACTGGCTCTCCGGGTGTCTGCATGTGTTTGCAAAAAGCTGCTATTACGCCTTGCTTTGGCTTGCATACGAGGCCAATAAGTAGCCCGTTGATAGCCATGCGCTGCATCCAGAGTCATGATTAGAGTGCTCTGCGCTTGGTATCCGGCGAATCATGGCCAATTGGCTGCTATCATGGGCGTCATGCCATTTAGCGGGCCACTGCATTCCACTATCAGTGCCATTGTTGAACAAACTTTGGAGGCGTGGGAGCATCTATCCGGTGAGAAGCACAGCGCACTACAGCACTTGAAAAGGCGCTGATAAGAGGGGGGTAGGGCGATCCCAAGCAGAGTGTGCGGCGATAAAAGCATGGCGGCGGTCTTGTAAGCCATACGCACCCTCCGCACTTTGCCATGCTCTGCATGCGGCTGCTGTGGCCCAAAACAAGTACTTCTGTGTGCATTATCTTAGAATTGTGCACCGGACACCCCCACGGGCAGAAGGCAGAGCATGCCTGTCATCAAAACTACCGAGTGAAACCATGGTGTAAGCGAACAGTTCCAAAATGTCGCTAGCGGCAATCACGAGCGAACTAGCAGACTAGTACAGATTACGCCCTGTCGATGGCCTATCTACACCCGCAGATTCGCCTCGGAGCGTGTTGAAACGGGCTAGGTAGAATATCGTGTGTCAAGCAACGAAAAGCAACCGGATCGAGCTGTCATCCAAAACCACAAGGTGTTTTTAATTGGAGACCGGATCCGCGAGCCGAGCCCATGGTTCAGCCAGATCAAAGAGGCAAAAAAGGACCCCTGTCTGTTATCGTCGGTGTCAACAGAAATTGGAACCAGCCGCGCTCTGATAAATTACGCCCATGAGATACTCTTTGGTAACGAGGCTCTTCCGCTTGTTTAGAGACGCAAGCAGCCGCCCCGACGTATTATGCACACCGGTGGATGCAAATGCAACGGCTGTAATGTATATTAATAGTCGGTTCCATATTTGGCACGGAACCAGCTACGGCCGACTGAGCTGCGATCCGTGAATAAAGACACATACAATGGTGAGGGGGGCTCATTCAGCCTTGCCACTGTGACATCGCGTCAATGGCACCTGAGTACTGCATTATGCGCTCAGAGCACAGGTGTCGACCGCGGTTAAGCTTCTGGTGATTGCGCAATGTACGCGAACACATTCCGATGAGGAGAACGGTAATTAGTTTACTTTACAGCTGACAGACACAAGATACATCTTTGAAGCTAGCGAGGTAGCTTCGCCAACAAAAAAAAAGCTAACCGCCACAGAGGTACTAAAATGATTGGGAGACGGCTCGGCCGACAGAAGCGACCTCGGTCGGACGTCACAGGCCCCGTTCAACAGGTGAAAATGTCCGACACGAACAGAGACTGGCGATGAGGCCAATCGGGGTGCTATGCACAAGGATGCCAATTTTGGATAACAAAACATACAAGCAGTGATTTATTTTCATTTCCGCCTCCACCGATATATGAGCCATCCACCAAAAAAAGCAGCACCAAGCAGCCTGTTAATCAACGCAGCGGGCGGCGCGGGACCCTGGGCCGCACTTAGACGGGCTGCTGCGAACTCTCTCCACTGAACATGCTTTCCGCGCTAGGCTGTGCCCACCTTCACATGCCAACATGGACGCCGCGCGAATTTGGCCACGGAACGAAAGCGATGACGCTCTTTTCCTACGGGCTTGTGTATAAATTTGCCTGGAAAAGAAAAACCCCGTTGGCGCACTGGTCTATCTGGAACAAGAGTCAGGACAATGCAGGGTGCTAGCTTACCAGCATCTTCCCCCTCTTGCCACATGCTATTCAGCTGGCGATGTCTCTCTGCCCGCCATTGAGAAAACATCTTGTTGAGGAGGGGTATCTATCGGATCGGCGCAATGGCTTCGGCCTCAGGGTCCGTCTCAACATTTTCCCAAGTCGCCAGCGCTTAAATGCGCGAAGATATTGTCGAGTGTGAGCGGAACAACATCCGCAATCGGCGTAGAGCTGGGGCAATCTTGTTGCACGCCGCGGACACAGTAACTTAACAATGCAGCGAGGGTTAGAAAAAGCAATGTGAAATAAAGAGAGAATACGTATAATAATGTAAACGTATATGCCGCGAGCAGCTAGTCTAAAATAGCCCTTCTCATATACCGAAGGTCATGCCTGGAAGGCTAACCTTTCCACTGTTACTCAACAGCTAGCCGCCTTGTTAGTAGTGCCTTAACGGTCCGAGACGAACCGCTTGTGTCCTTCTCAATTGATCTTTGCAATTGGTCAATTCGGTTTCCGTGGCCAAGTTCAGAATATTAGCGTGTGGCGTGGTTGGCTAGCCAATTATGTGCTGGCACACGTCAGGATGCAGGTGGGAGTGTTGGCGGCACTGTCTGGCTTGTGCTAAAACATCCATTTTGGTCCATTAATGAAGCCTTTGGGGCTCATAGATGTCCACTCCGAAGGGAAAAATGGCTCAGAAAGCCTCAACAACACCTTCGTCGGGGCTTCATGGTGGTGTCTTCATCAAACTCGGCAGCACAACTATGCAGACATCCATTCAGACCCGCCGTTTGGTTTACTACTTCTACGCCCTTTTAGCTGTAACAAGATCAACTCATGCAACTGACCAAATGGGACATGCGGCTAACATGTTTTCCTTGAGACGTGGCGAAATATCCTACCAGACATGCGTAATAGGTGGCGTGCTACATCTTTCGCTATTGCATACAATGTAACACCCCTCATTTCGGTTGATTTTATATTATGAATCTCCATTATATCCATAAATTTTGGGCTTGGTGGAATTCTATTTGTTTTTAATAAATAAATAAAAAAACACATCCTATATGAAGGCCGTTGCTAGGACTTCCAATTCCCAGTCCACCTTGCAGACTATAGACGCATCGCCTCGCCCCGACTACTGATTCAATGGGCAAAAGGGAATCTAGACCCTTCTGGTGATGATACTCCTTACTTGATAAACTCTTATTTACGTTTTTTGCAGTGAAATTTCGACAGACGACAGGTGATACAGTGTTGCAACCGACCCAAGATGGCTTCAGCCCCATCGTCTGATGTTGTCTTGATCGACATGATCTATTCACATCTCCTTCGCTTCCCATGAATATTACGCCAGACTTAGTTTTGAAATAGTCAAGATTATTGATAGTGATGCCCTGTAAAAATAACGCAGCAACCGCACCGAGTTTATATGTCGGCGCCCTGGCGTTGCGCGCTGTGACCGCGCAGGCTACTCTATGGGGTATGAATATGCACGATGCTGAATAATGTTTCCCAGCTACTTGTAAAACCTTTATCAATCAAATTGGAATCAGCTGTTGGCTGTGAATATTGCTGGCTGGGGGGGTCTAGTCCGGCATCCATAAAGCCTCAGCGTCTCTGTGGACTGCATTTGGAAAGTCGAGATAGAGGCTGCTAGGTATACATGTTTCTCAGCATATTTGAGAATTAGATGCAAGAAATATAAAACGAGACAAAACTACATATTGGAAGTAAAGAGTCAGTACTATATGGGGGCTGTAGTAGAGGGCTTCCTGCCAGCTGTCACGCACCTGGCAAGTGTTAATTAAATAGGCACTCGCCCTGTTGGCGTCACCACACCACACGTCAACTTCAACCGTCAACTACGCTACAACAGAACCATTTCGGCTACGACGGTGGTATGGCGGTGGTACACGAAGAATTGGCGAATCTGTTACCATAGCGCTGTGACACCTTGGATCATCCGACCTGTCGGCTCTGGTTACCGTGCAGAACGATCTACGGTCCGAGAGCCATCGTGTTTCGTAGGTAAGCGTTTGGGTGGTGTTCTGACACCTCGATTGACAACCGATGGGATGAGCGCTTTTCCTTTCAGAGCCAATAGCAGCGCCACGCGATTCGAATAAACAAGATATGGCTCACTTTGTCACTTTGCAGCATTCCGCACGATGCGGCGGATAGATTACCGGAACTTCCCCGCCGCGAAATTCATCAGCACTCGACAAGCGACGAACCCTGCACCACATTTGAGGCTACTCGACGCTAGCCTGGAGCTATTGACCCAGGCGCCACGCTATTTGCTAGGCCGTCTCTCAAAACGCGACCCCGAGGTGGGGCATGCATTGACATCGCTCGCGATATGCACATCAGCTTTCTGTGGCAATGTTTTGCGCGTGGAGAGTCAGCGTTTCTTGTTTAATGCCCGTTGCGCTCGGATGTATTCGCCTGAGGAAACAAATCGTACCTGCCGAGTAAAAAGGGTTACTTTTTGCAGAAGCAAAGGGAGAGGCGGGGTGAAAAGCAAATCTATGAGGTGACACGAAAAAGGAAAAAAAGGGCTCAAAAAGGAAAACATTCGGCGCAGAGCACCCATCCGGTTAACAACCGTCAATCATTGGCTACTTGCGGACAGTACGGGGGAGGAAAACAATTTAGAGCGAGCTTGGAGCAAGGGGTCCCTGCGCAACATTTGGTAGACCCGGCGGCATTCAACAGGCAAACATGGCAAACAATGCACTTTGTTCAGGGGCAGCTTGAAACGCTCGCCTCCAAGCCAAGGGAAAACCACGCACGCTGATGGCGGGCCGTTCCAACTAGTCTCAGGTACCAGCTCCAGCGTCCACCACGGGCTCTCTGCGTGGTGGTGGGCTTCCAGCTAGCGTCAGCCAGTCTTCTCCATACAATACGCTGGAACATCACCGCGGAGCTCCACTGGCGATGGATCAACTGCGGGCTGGGTTAGTGTGTGTCTGGTTTCTGTGCGGATGATGTGCGGACGTGCGCACGATGAGGTCCCGTTGATTGATGTTGTATTGCTTTTTCTTGCTTGCCGGTGGGTGAGAAGCAATGCCGGGTGACAGACCTAACTTGGTGGTCAAAGCCCAAGCCCCCAAGGCACGCGGCCGCCGCTAAACTACTGATGCCGTACCTTGACCCGAACGCCCCCTCTCTTGTCTCCCAGCCCCTGTCGCACTACTGCAGGCGTCCAGGCGCATTGTGTGAAGGAAAAAAGAAGGCCTCGCTGAAGGTGCTTCTGCATGAAAGCCCAGCCCAGGTCCTCCTTATCCTATGCCCCTGTCCGTCCTCCCCTTTGACCAGACTCTTTTTCTTTCTGCTCCACGAGGCATTCATTTTGCTTTCGCATAGTCGTCATCCGGAGAGAGTAAATCTTGCTCTTCCTCTTGATTTCACTAGAGTCGCTCCGTTTTTTTTTGTTCAACGGCCGACGTGCGATTCGACTCACTGCTACGATGGCGCCGTCTCTGAACACCCACCCGTCCTTCACCCGCCCTCGCACCGGCGACCGCGAGGGTCGACCCCAAACTCGCGATCAGGCAAACGACAGCATGCTTATCCCAAGCCGCACCTCTTCTCTACACTCTCGCATCACTCAGCCCATCCCGTCGTCTCTCAATGCCAAACCTCAGCAGCGCACCCCAAAGACCCTGACCCATGCATACATGGTTTGCGGTGTTGGACGAGAGCCATCCCAATGGGTTCGGGCACCTCCTCCAATCCAAGGCAAAATTGGTCATATGAAGGGTGCTGTTGGACAGTTTTGGCTGCCCGAGATTCTGGGTTCCAGCCCGAGATTGGAGCAGGACAATGAGATTGCTCGAGCTCTGCATGCCGCTATGCGTGTAGGACAGCCCATCGCCATCTAACGTGATACTCTATAATTGCTAACTCTTCCATAGGCCTGCTTCCCTCACGATGTAGAAATTTGCACTGGACGTAACCAGCCTCACTGTGTGCACCACGCTTTTGTTCTTCAGCAAGATTCTTCCCAAACTCTTTACGGTATCTGCCTCCGAGTTTGGTCCCGCGCTGACGACAAGCGTGCTGAGACTATTCGTGACTTGCGTCGCAGAACCGAGTCTGACTTTTACGACAACCCTGATGAGACCTACTGGATCCCGTACTGCCTGTCTTTCCTCTCGCGCTACCCCATTTACAACCTTCTAGGCGATTATCTTCGTGGCATGTGGATTCACTGGAACAAGGCCACCAACCTCTTCCACGCCGAGGAGGTGTCCCGCATCCTCAGCTTCCCTGCACCTCGCCTGAATGACCTCGTTCGTATTGATATGAAGGACTATGCGCTGTGCTATCAGTTCCCCTCCTCGCCTACCGGCTTTCAGAACTTCGCCATGTGGCCCCTCTTCAACTGTCTCTCTATTCCCAACATCGTCGGCGTCATCGAAGCTGCTATTTCGCCTACTCGCAGAATCATCTTTGTCAGTCACTACCCAGCTATGCTGACCGTGGCCGCTGAGACGATCCGCTACTGTGTCCGCGTTTACGAGTGGAGCGGTCTCTATGTTCCCGTCGTCCACGCTCGACATGCCCATGAACTTGTCCAAGAGCCTGGCCCTTACATTTTGGGTGTTACTTCGGAATGCCGATCGCTGTTCACTGCTCCTAACGACGCCCTGGTGATTGACCTGGACCGCAACTTTGTTCTTACCTCCAGCCCACCCACTGCCCTGTCTACTGGCCAACGTAACAAGTTTATCGCCCGCTTGACCCAGGCTCTTAATGGCGATGTTGCACCCGCTGGCGTGCCACAGCACCTTCGTTCCGCTTATGGCGGTGGTAAGCTTGTTCCTGCCGGTCAGATTATCGTGATGCGCGGAGAGGTTGAATGTGTCGAAGATCCTGAATGGTGGAACCAAGATGCCGTCATGGCAGTCATGGACCACGTTTGTGAGAAGCAGGGCCGTAACACTGGCTTGAAGGCTGTCTTTGGCGGCTCAGTGAAGAAGCCTCTCATGACCAAGGTATCCATGAGACATCTGAATGAGATTGTGAGGGAGCGCAACCAGTACTCGCGCGATGCTCTGGAGGCTTGGCAGGATTTCATTAACCTGAAGGGTCGCATGGATACTGAGTTGAACAAGGTCAACAAGCGCAACAACTACCTTGTTGATGAGCTGGAGAGCTGGAAGCAGCAGTTCCTCAAGTTCCAGGCCTTTGCTGAACAGCTCACTAAGGAAACACAAGATCTCAAGGTCAAGATTGAAACCCATAAGCGTGAGAACCGCCGTCTTGGTGGTCTTATTGACCAGCAGAAGGAAGAACACTCACGCATGGCTACACGCCTCAATGGCACCGAGAAACAGCGCGATGATGCTCTGGAGGCGCTGGTCTTGCAGCAAGAAATCGCCGAAGAACTTGAGCGCGAGCGCAAGAAGAACAAGAAGGAACTTTCGCAGCTGCAGCACACCAACCTCACTATCCAGCGCCAGCGCGACGAAGCCCGCCGTGTTGTCTTGCATCTTCGCAGCTTGATTGGCGGACAGAGCCACCACATGGAGCATCTGATTCAGTCTCTGACCAAGCCCGATGACTTCATTCGCGAGATTGAAGAAGGCTATGCTCTGGAGGAAGAGGAGCTCGCTGCTCAAGAGGAAGCTGGTCAAAGTCTCCGCGCTTCTCGCAGCAGCAGCCGCCTTTCTGGCGCCAGCTTTGCTGATGTCGCCGACCGCCACCTCAAGGACAAGACGGACGCCATTGCCCACATTGTCCGCAACATTTCCGACCAGTGCCAGGCTGCTGTCGAAAGCCTTCAGCTGGCTCAAGACTCCTCTGAGTACCGCTCAACCAGACGTCATAGCAACTTGTCGGCCGCCCCCAGTGATGACGGTACTGACGGCCACTCCGCTGCCACCTCAGATGCCGGCGAGGATCAGCAGCAACGCCGCTCTAGCAGACGCACCTCCAGCATTCCTCCTACTCCTGATCTGATCCCCAACCGTAGCAGCACTGCCATGTCGTTTGCTTCTAGCGCCACCACACCTGAGCGCTCCAGCCAGCAGTACACGATTCGGGATGAGATCCCAACCAAGATTGTTGAGGATGACGAGGAAGAAGAGGATGAAGAGACACGCAGCGATGCCGGTGTTGTGTCCAAGCTTAGCGAGTCTCTTTTGCACAGACCTTCCGGAGCCCGAATCAGCGCTCTTGGAGGCACTCGCTAAATGGGTCTACTGCTTACAATTGTTCCATTCTATCTCCAAGTCGCCAGGCGACGCCTGTTTTATATCCCCCTCCTTTGCTGTACGATTTCCCTTGGTTGATTTACTCTATTCTGCTTCATTTTTTGATGGGTTGAGCTTTCCGTATTATTTCGCTATGGATTTGGGCGTTGTATTCTGTGAAACTTTTCTTTTATCCTGTATTTACCTTTGATATTTAGCTAGCTGAGCCTGTTGCGAGCAGCATCCAGTCCTTCCGGTAACCACAGCCGAGATGCAATTTTATCTGTCTATTTATGCTCCAACTTGACTCTACGTGCAATCTCGAATCTAAAGCCTTTTTACAACTTTTATTTATAAATTCCTGTGGCACTAACGTCTAAGTGTAAAAGTGACGGAGGTTGAATGACCTACCCACTGATTAGGCGGGCGATAAGACGGAGCCGCCATGCCGTCCCCATTAAAAAGTTGCGTCGCAACGACTTCAATCTTTGAGTCATTCCGACAGCTGCAAATTTAGCGGCGCAGCCTCTCACAGCCATGGCGGATCCTATGCTCACATCGTTATGCGCAATCTGCCATGTGTCAACACCAAAATATAAATGCCCGCGCTGCAACATGCAGACATGCTCGCTGGCGTGCATCAAGAAGCACAAAGCTTGGGCAGAGTGCAGCGGCGAACGCGACGCGACAGCATACATCCCCCCCTCGAAGCTACGAACTCCGGCCGGCGTTGACCACGATTACAACTTTTTACATGGCATAGAAATGTCGTTGGACCGCAAAGAAAAGGTCCTGGTGGGCGACAAGTCGCTGGTACAGGCCCAGGAGCTGCGGCCAGCGACGACGCAAGAGGTGCGATGGAAGACGGGCCGGGACGGCAAGAAACGCAAAGTTTTGGTGACCAAAGTCTTCAAAGAACCAAAGGGCCGTGTATTTGAGAGATTTCTATCGCAGAAGCTCAAAAAGTACAACATTGGCATGCTCTGCGCCCCGACTGGCATGTCAAGACAGAAGGAGAACCTGACGACACTGAATAGACGGACAGGCCGCATTAATTGGCAGGTGGAATGGCTGTCGGTTTCAAATTCTGATAAAGGCTTCATTGTGCGAAACCTGGCCAAGTGCATGGACGATACCCCGATATACATCGCATACCGAGCTATGCGCGATGCCGACACGAGGCTACAACACCGGCCGGCTCTCAAGACCCCGAAGCCCGATGGCTCGAAATCAGATACATATCACAGCTCGCGATGGTATTCATCTCCAGGCTGCATGCAGGATCCGTATACGGGCACTTGGACAGTTCATGATGGGAGAGGTCTAGATATGTGGCCTGAAGAGAAGCGGAAGCAGTTTCAGTTTTACCTTGGACGACCTCAGAATCAATCTGGCCTACCAACAACTCTAACTCAGATTGATCCGGATGATTGCCTGCGAGATATTCTGGCCAACACAAGGGTGCTCGAGTTTCCGACTATTTATGTCCTGCCCGCTGGCGATGCTATCCCAACTGGGTTTGTTATTGGCGAGAAGGCTTTGATGCCGGAGCAGGGAACTAAGCGAAAGGATGGAAGTGAGAATAAAGGTGAATTCAGAGCCCGCAAGAAGCAGAAACATGGTAATGGAAGGGGTGGTGAAGACGACTCTGGCGCTTCTGGCGATGAGGGTATCAGTAAGGGGGGCGTTGGGTTGGAGACTGGAGAAGTGATTGATGAACAAAGCTTAGGAGAAGATGAGAGCGGCGACTCTGACCAGGATAGCGAAACAAGCTCTTCTGGATCTGATTCCGAGGACTCGGAGTAGCTGACACAGAAGAATGTACAAAGGAACAGCCTTAGCATGAACCACACAGCACGTAGCATTGAGCGACCTTGATGGCAGTAACTACCCCAATTAATGCCTTGAGATGATAGAAATATCTTGTAAACTTATTAAGATTATTTGAATATTTTATCTTATTTGTTCATGAGATTTCTAGATACACACGTTGGTAGACCTGCACTTCTCACTATGTCTAGTGGGGGCCTTGCCTGTTGCTTTGTCTGGGGTAGGCAGAAAGACAACACAGCGCCACTAGGAGGCAGCTTGCCCTTTGTCAACATCACAACATCACGCAGCAGCCGACAACGCACGCACAAACGACGGGCGACCGTGACGACTACGAGATATACCAAGGACGAATTACCTTTAGAACCCAATCACAACGCCCAGCTTGCCACCCGCTCCATCCCCGCGCCTGCACCACACGCACACGCATCCGCGCCATGGTCTGCATTGAGCATCGCTGAAATGGATGACGCCCCGGCACCAAAACTGTCGGATTTGCTGCGGCACCCCGATGATCTCGACAAGATCCCGTCGCTGCGACAAGAATTCGCGCGCAAGAAGAGCGCCATTGATGGCCAGCTGCGCAATGGGCTGCGTGAGCAGCTGGAGAGAACACAGTCTGGCATGACGGGCCTCACAGACGGCCAGCGAACGGTGCAGCTGATAAAAGACGAGATGATGAATATCGACAGACTGTGTTCCGAATCACAGACCATGATCAAGGATTTCGCCAGCATTAACCTGGTCTCCCAAGCTCACAGAAACTTTGTCGCCGTCGAGACGATGCGGAATAACCTCGAAACCTTTGACAAGCGCCTAGGAGTCGTGGAAAATATGCTGCGGGAGAATGACGACGACAAAGAAAATATGCCGAATTTGTTACCTTGCCACTACGAGCTCACACAGCTACGAAACATTCGAGACGACGCGATGGAGCAGATTCAGCGAGCCGACGATTCCAGTCTGGAGGCTACGTTGGAAGATTACTTTGCGAGACTGGACGATATTATTGACTGGTTTGACGAGCATGTGGGAATTGTTGCGATGAACTTGATCAATCTCGTCGTCAATGACAACAATGGGCTGGTGGTGCGGTTTGCCGTCGTCATGGAAGCCGAAGAGAAGAGTGATCAGCGAGTTTTGGCCTTGCAAGAGGCGCTCAAGGACCACAAGGAGATGGCATCGCGTTTCCAGGGCATCACAGACGGAGCGAAGCAAGTCCGTGGATACAAGGACAAGTTCATGCAGGCCATCAAAATCAGCTGCGAGCAGCAGTTTGACCAGGCTAGAGAGGAGTTCCTCGACGACCCCAAGAAGCTAGAGAAGATTATGAAGTGGTTCTTCAACGACCTCAATGCCGTCAAGATTGGTATGACGCCGCTGATGCCTAGGAGATGGAAGATTGCCAAGACCTATGCCGACCTGTACCACCAGCTGATGCACGACTTCCTCGTTGGCATGGTCGACGACCCCGAAGGCAGCTCTGCGCACACGCTCGAGATTATCAGCTTCCCCGAGAAGTACTACAAGAAGATGGCCAAGATGGGCTTCCTGCAAGAAGATCTTATCCCGCACGTAGTAGACAACCGAGAAGCCGAGCTTGTCCGCGACTTTAGACAGCTCATTATTAAGTTCCTCGACGAATGGATCGAACGAATCTTTGCCCAGGAACGCAAGGACTTTGCCGACCGCAACGTTGAGGGCTCGAATCTCGATCAGGACGAGTACGGTTACTTCCGCACCAAGAACCTCGTGGCTCTGTGGCGCATGCTCCGCGAGCAAGTCGATGCAGCCATCAACTCACAGCGTGCCGACGTCGTAGAGGGTGTCATTGACGCCATGTTTATCAGATTGCGCAATCGCCAGCAATCATGGCAGCACATGCTTGAGGCGGAGTGTCTGCGGTACGAGACAGGCAAAGTACCCGATCTCGAGGGCTTCCAAGCGCTGCAGGATTGGCTTGTCGCCACAGCCAACGACCAGATTGCATGCATCGACGACGGCGAAGATGACAGTAGGCTAGGCTACCTGTCGAGCTTCCGCCAAAAGTTTGAGCAGCACGTTACACCGCAGTACCTCGAGCGTGCTGAGCAGGAGATGAATGCGCTCCGCGATGGGTACGTCGATTTCAGTACGTGGTGCATCAACAAGTTTGCCCATCTCGTCTTCTCCGTCGACTTTAAGACCGTCATGCCCGACTTCTTCACACAGAAGTGGTACTCGACCACGGTTATGAAGCAGATTGTTGTGACGCTCGAAGAATACGTCAACGAGTACAAGTCTGTTCTACACCATTCTCTGGTGGACATCTTTATCGAAATCTTCTCGGACGAACTGTTGTCGCGGTACCTCTCATCTGTTCGCAACAAGGGTGCCAAGTTCCGCCGCACAGATCCGTTCCGCGACAAGCTCTTCAACGATATTGCCACGGCGTTTGACTACTTCTCCAACTTGCCCAACCCGGATGTGGGCTCCTCCATCAAAGACACATGGCGCGTCACAGAGCCGTTCTTGGGACTGCTTTCTGTAGATAAGGCTGCTTTGCCGGATGAGTTTGCCGCGTTCAAGGCGGCTTACTGGGACATGCAGATCAGCTGGGTAGAAGCTGTGCTGCGCTCTCGTGACGACTTTGAGAGAAGTATGCTCAACGCTGTCAAGGCGCGAGCTGCTCAGGTGGATGTTATTCGAGGAGCGGAGACAATCATGGCCAAAGTTAAGTAGAGTGGCTACCATTGGTGGTGGTGGTGTCTTCGAGGTTTATGTGCATTTAAAGCCGGTTGTGTTTTTCTATAGAGTTATGAAGTTATGTGATTTAAGCGATGTCCAAACAACCCATCTTGATAACATCCGATCTGTAACGGCGACAGTCCCGTTCAGGGTCAGTGATTTTGATATAATCTAACTAGCTTCATAGAAGCTGTAGGAGTAAAAATTTAACTGTTTATGATTACATACAAATGAAGCAACGCAGGAAAAGTAAAGAACGATACCTAGTACAGGCACATTTGCAACCCAAAGACAAAAAGAAATGACGTGGCAGACACAACAGCACACACTCACACTGAGGTCGAACAGGAAACCTAATATAGCGTTCATTTCGCCTCACATCCCCACTAACGATGATGATACATCATCAGACTCCATCCTAGGATTGGCTCGCTAGGAAGTTGGCAGCCTACCCCATCGTTAGTAAAATATACACTTATATCTGCTATAGTGGATGAAGACTTACTCTTTCAAGGTTGTAGTCGTACTTCTCGAGCGCAGCAACGGCGTCCTTGCGGTTGTATCCCATACCGGTCAAGTTCTTGAGAATGGGATCATCATGTTCACCCTTGTCTGTCAAGGCTCTGCCGGGACCAGCAGGTCGCGATTCGGAAGACTCAGCAGGCTTAGACTTCTCCTCAACCGCATTGTCAGTTGAATCAAGACCGGAGAAGATGGCGTCCCAATCATGCGAATCAGACCCCTTGCTTTGGCTGGCACCGCTGTTGACAAAGTCAAAGGTGCTTTCGTTGCCAAAGGCTGTGGTGTCGCTCTTGCCTGGAGGACTGCTGTCAAACACGTTGTTGTAGTCCTCTAGACCAGAGCGAGAAATGTTGGCAAAGTCGTCATCAGCAGATCCCTCCTTGGCCTCCTCAAGGCCATCAAAGTCGTCGTCATCGTCATCAAAGGTTACTTTAGACGAGTTCGCAGCTGGTGCAGCAGCTCCAAAGATGTCGTCAATAGAGGCATCCTTCGACTCAGCGCTAGTCGCCGGTGCGGCGGATGCTGCAGCTTCCGTAGCCTTCTCCGTCGGCTTTACAGCGGCCTTCGCCGTAGGGGTTACAGCTTCGTCGATCTTGGATTCGGTGGCGGGCTCTTGCTTAACAGGGGTAGCCTTGGACTTTGCATCGGCATCAGCAGTGGCAAAGTCATCATCAAAACCTGTTTGCTCGCTTTCAGAATCAGAGTCATCATCATCATCATCATGCTCCAACTCCGAAATAGGAGGGAACTCGCTATCAAAGGCAGATTTCAACTTCTCGCCATTGTGAGGGGCGGCGCTCTTGCCCTTGGCGCTAGTAAATGCGGCAAAGGCGTTATCAAAGTCTGCCTTGGCCTTGGCTCCATCATCTTGGCCGAATGGATCATCAGCCTTACTCTGATCCACATCGGCCTTGGCTTCAGATTCAGCAGCAGGCCTGCTTGATACCTTCTCGCTCTGCTCTGCAGTAGGGGCGAAATCAGTACCTGTAGCAGCCGAGCCGCCTATTTGGGAAGCGGGAGGAGAAACCTGGCGAGAAGAGGAAAGCGAGGTAGCCTGGTCGGGGAAAGGTAGGAAGCTAGAGCTGATCTGTCGGGACTCAGGGGGCGCCGGTGGCTGATCAGCTTGTAGAGTAGCCTGGCGACTTATGACTGGCGTAGAGGTTGCTGTATCAAATGAAGCATTGCTGGCGGTTGATTCGCCAGCCGGTCCAAACATGTCTTCTACGGACTTATCCGTCTTTGACTGAGGGAGAGGAAAGACGCCGAGAATATCAGTGCTGGTTGTTCGACGGAAGAAGGGGTTATTAGCGCTTGAGGTCGACAATGCTGGGCTAGCTCCTCGGTTTGGGGTCACAGCACCAGGAGAGTTAGTATCGGCATTACGGCTGACCTCCTCAGCAACACCGGCAGCGGCAACGGCAGCAGCACCGCCCTTGGCAAGCTCCTCACTCTCTGACTTTAGCTTGTCACGCTCTCCCTCAGTTGTAGAAAGCTGTTTTTTGTTAATTGCGACGAGACCCTTTTGCTGCCTAGCCTCCATCTTAAGCTTCTCAATCGTGGGTTTCAAGGTTGAAATTTCAGAGTTTGCAACACGGATGCGCTCCCTCAGGTTTGCATTTTCTTGCTGGTCAGCCTGAAGAGCGGCTGAAAGCTGATCATGCTGCTGCTTAACGTCTTGGTATGTGCCTTCAAGAGTAAGGCATTCGCCTTGAAGCTTTTGGGTATCGCTACGCGATTTCCGGAGCTGCTCTTCAAGAGCCTGAGTGTCCTTGGCTTCCTTCTCATACAGCTGTCGGAGCTGGGCAAGACGTTGCTCAAAGTTTTGCTTTTGTGTGTTTGTCTGGTTCAATTCACCTTGAATGACAGTACGCTTGCCCTGAACATCCTGCATCTCCTTTGAAAGAGATCCGATTTGGTTTGACAGGTTGGCCAGCTCGGTGCTTTCTCCCGTAAGCTTCTTAGTAGCTTCAGGGTCATGGTCAGCGAGGAGATCATCAGAAGCGGACTGGGGCGTGCCGCTTCCTTCTGTGTTCAAGCTGCGGCCAAAAGAAGACGTGGGAACGAATGGCTTGAAGGTGCTTCCAGGGCCGATGGTAGCAGCACGAACAGGTGATGTTGGTGTACCTCCAGCGAATGGATCACTTCCAGAACCGCCAGTTGACATAGGAAGCTGTGCGAGAGGCGCAGGGCTGGGAGCAGATGAGTCCAGGCCAAACAAGTCATCCAACGCCGACTTGGGCTGAGCAACGGGTGCCTGTTTGATGGGTGGGGGAGAGAAGGCAGATGTTGCGGCTTGGCGTGGTTGACTGCGCATGCTCGGGGGGATCAAGTTAGGTGGCAGGGTGGCAGGGAGTGGGCTGCCAAGTCGGTTGAGTCTAATGAGATACATTGCAACGGCGAACTCGTCTCTACTCAGTTGACCAGTGGAGCTGATGTCAGCAAGATCCCAAACCTGGGCGAGGTTCTCTTCGGAGAGCTTAGACTTGCTCAGGAAGGGCACGGCCTCTTCACCGGTAATGAAGCCCTTGTTTGTGGGATCAAGATCAAGGTAAAGCTGATCAAACTTTGCCTTGTCGGCAGGTGTAATGGCCCAATCTCCAGGTCCAATCGATCGGCTGAGGGGGCTTCCAGTTCTGTTCTGGGCCATACCGCTCAGCTGGCGGGGGATTGCCGTGGCAGCATTTCCTCTGGGTGAGCCGGCGTTGGCACGCCCAGAGGCTGCTTCAAGCAACCCGGGTGGAAGAACGCTTGGGAGACCACGCAGAGTACCGGCCTTGGTGCAGGTCAACAGATGCATGGAAATGACGAATTCAGCTTGGGATAAGGCTCCACGCTGCTCAGTATCAGAAAGTGCCCAAATGCGGCCCAAAGTCTCGTTGGGCAAGCCAGACTTGTCGAAAATCTGGCGTGCCTGTTCGCCAGCTAATAGCCCATTTTGAGGATTTTGACGATCAAATAAGCTGGAATATTGAGCAACTTTGTCTTGAGTTAACGAAGGAATGCGAATAGGGCCACCCGTTCCTTGCTGCTGTAGTGGACTGGGAGAAGCAACGGGTAACTGGATGCCGTCGAATCGAGGTAGCGGTGCGCGCTGCAGAGCTAGGTCTTCTGTTGGCTCTCTACCGCTCTGGGCATGGCCAATAAGTCTAAGAACGATGCCAAACCCAGCAGGGGTAAGAAATCCTCGGTTTTCGCTGTCGGCAATTTGCCAAATCTGCAGGCGCATTAGCAATTAGGGGTATGTTTGGCACAAAGCCGAGACGGGCCAACTAACCTCTCCTAGGATTCTAGAGTCTAAGCGTGTCTTTTCGAAGAATGATACGGCAACGTCGCCAGTGACGATTCCTACGCCTTCGGTATCGGCTTGGCGAAAGAGTTGGCCATATACTCGCTTCTCCTCTGGGGAGAGGTTTAGGTTGGGCGCATTAGCTGCGAGGGTCAAGGTTAGATGGCGGTTATGATTCAACGAGGGGATATTTTATCTCACACATACCAGCGTCACTCGCCATTGTTTATAAGCAGCCAGCGGCCAGAGATGATGTGCAGGAAGAGTCGCGATGTCGTCGGTGGTGGGGGGTACAGGTCCGGGCACCACGGGCCAAAAACGCCAACAAAGAGCTCAGCGGGTAGCTTGCCAGGTGACGAAGAGGCAGACAATGGCGTCAGAAATATCTTTGCCGTGAAGGCGCTGTGCGGATCTCCAAGAACGACGAGGAGAAAGGCCAAAGGGCTACGTTGGTGGAAGCTGTTGGAACAGGTTGGCGTAACCGGCGGCTCGTCACTGGAATCGTCAGCTCCTTCTTTGGGGCTTGGGCGTCAGAGGAGGCTGGTTGCTGTGGCGCGGCAGAACTGTGGCTGACCATTTTTGTGTGGGAGAGGATGCAACGTTGAATATGTGGACACTATGATGGTATAAAATTATAAAAATAATGCTGAAAAGTCCAGAATATAATGCTAAATTGAATATAGTAAAATTTTTCCTTGTCAATAAGCTTCAAATTGCTGATTGTGCGCAGATATTGGTTTCTCTCCAACACATACGCCAGCCATTCCAGCGTCCGAGGAACAGTAATAGGAATGGTGTCATCGACGATGACAACGCAAGAAAAATAATAAGAATAAGAATAACTTATACACTCTTCTTCTTGTTTCCAGATATACATCTCAAATACCATATAACCCATTATTCATCTTTTTTTTCCCTGATATTAATTCCAATTTCAAATACCTGAAAGACTGCATTTGTCACGATGCAGCCTATTCCAAATCTTTTTGCTGCGTGGCCGTTGCTTACAGTGGACAGTCCTGCCCACCGGACCGCTGAACCAACCCCGAAACCGCCGGGCCATCCGCTGTATTTCTCAACGACAGCGGCTTCACCAGCCCCAAGGGACCACTGTGGCCGGCCCCGCCGCCCATTAATCAGCAAGCCGGAAACCGCTAATGTCGCCATCACCAAACGCCAGAAGGGCAGTACTTAGTACTTTTTTTTAACGCAGCCCGATACTTTGTCCACCACTCACAGGACGTCATCCGCATTCCCCCCCCCACTACAGCAACCAGCCAAATCCCCGATTTCAATCGCTTCCTGCTGCAACCTGCATAACATCCCACCCTCCAGTACTTAAGGCAACCCCGCCCCCCTCTCTCGCCCTCTATCAGCCTTGAGTCTCCTCTGCTCAACTTCCAGCTTCCGCTCCATGCAACCATTCACACGTTTAGCATTTGCATCGCAATTGACGTCCAAAGCTGCCCCGCTAAGAATCGCCTCCTTCTCTAGACACCTTTCCACCACATCTAGAACCATGGCTCCCATCGTCAAGGAGACCGACTACCTCGTCATCGGCGGCGGTAGCGGTGGTCTCGGCTCGGCTCGCATGGCCTCGTCCAAGTATGGCGTCAAGGCCATGGTTGTTGAGGGCAAGCGTCTCGGCGGAACCTGTGTCAACGTTGGGTGAGTTGCCAATCACTACAATCTACGCTATACCAGTTATACTAACAGATGCTCTCTTCTTACAGCTGTGTACCCAAGAAGGTAACCTACAACGCCGCCGCCCTCGCCGAAGCCATCCACGAATCCAAGTCCTACGGCTTTTCCGTCCAGGAGACTGCTCCCTTCGACTGGACCACCTTCAAGACCAAGCGTGATGCGTACATTAAGCGCCTCAATGGCATCTACGAGAGGAACCTTGCCAACGACAAGGTTGAATACGTCCACGGTTGGGGTCGTTTGACCTCGAAGAACCAGGCCGAGGTCACCCTTGACGACGGCTCCAAGATCCTCGTCAACGCCAAGAAGATCCTCATTGCCGTTGGCGGTAGACCTACTCCTCCTCCTGCCATTCCTGGCGCCGAGCTCGGCATCAACTCGGACGGCTTCTTCGACATTGACACACAGCCCAAGAAGGTTGCCATTGTCGGCGCCGGATACATTGCTGTCGAATTCGCCGGCATGTTCAACGCTCTCGGAACCGAGACTCATCTTTTCATTCGCCACGATACCTTCTTGCGCAACTTTGACCCCATGATCCAAGAGAGCGTCACCAACGAATACCAGCGTCTTGGTGTCCACTTGCACAAGAAGAGCCAGACCACCAAGGTCGAGAAGGACGCCAACGGCAAGCTCACTGTCACCTACACGGAAGCCGGTGGTGCCGAGACCAAGTTGACCGATGTCGACCACCTCATCTGGGCCATTGGCAGACAGCCTCTTACTCAGGACCTTGGTCTTGAGACCGCTGGTGTTAAGCTGAACGAAAAGGGCTACGTTGTCGTCGATGAGTACCAAAACACCAACGTCGAGAACGTCTACGCCTTGGGTGATGTCAGCGGTGGTGTTGAACTTACCCCTGTTGCTATTGCCGCTGGTCGCCGCCTCTCTCACCGTCTCTTTGGCCCTGCTGAGTTTTCCAACCTCAAGCTTTCGTACGAGAACATTCCCTCCGTGGTCTTCTCGCACCCTGAGGTCGGCAGCATCGGTCTGACCGAGCCTGAGGCTATTGAGAAGTACGGCAAGGACAACATCAAGATCTACAAGACTGGCTTCACAGCCATGTACTATGCCATGATGGACCCTGAGCAGAAGGGCCCCACCAACTACAAGCTTGTTACTGCTGGCCCTGAAGAGAAGGTCGTCGGTCTTCACATTATGGGTCTGGGCAGCGGTGAGATGCTGCAGGGCTTTGGTGTTGCAGTCAAGATGGGTGCTACCAAGGCTGACTTTGACAGCTGTGTGGCCATCCACCCAACAAGCGCTGAGGAGCTGGTTACTCTGAAGTAAGCGTATTGTCTGAATTGATTAAGCTAATAAATGTATATATATCTAAATAAAGGAAGATAAATCATGTTAATCTACGCTTACGTCATGCATGAGTGATTGAATACAGATCGTAATTGCATGTGTCTTGTTATTATGAAAACCTCTACGGTTTAATAAACTTGGTCATGAGGAATTGAGGTTCACCACAACGTGACCCTTTGGCAACTTCAACAAGTCCAAGAGAGGAGTAGAGGGGATACCCAGATGGAGTTGCTATAAGCCAGACATCTTGGTTGCTGGCTACTGCTTGGTCCAGACCCCAGAGTGTTAACATCTTACCAACGCCCTTACGACGATGGTTGGGATCGACACCAATTGCACTTAGCGCTTCGATTAAAGTTCCGTAAGCAATCGCTCAAGCAGTATCTAACTTTGGTTTGCATAAAAAGTGACTTACTCCACATATCCGCACGATCTTTATCTTGAAACGCACTAGTTCCATTGGTCATGAGGTTCTCGATTTCTGCATTTGCAGCTTGAACAGCACCCATATCAACATATGCCGGTATGTTAGGAGAGCTCTTTTGGTCCGTATCTTTTGCTTTGTCGGCATTCTCTAATGTCAGAGCGTCGCGTTTTCGAGGAGGTGTCCATTGTGCACAGCCAACGACACGCTCACCCAGTCCTTCGGCGCCGTGGTCGACGGCTACAATCCATCGTCGCGCCGTGGATTGAATTGCCGGTCGTATCTGCTCTCTCAAAAACTCCTTTTGATCCTCAGTGCCTGGTTTTACACTTTTCGAGGCTGGAAACATGGCATTGCGAAACGGAGTATCGAGATATGCTGCTACATCGATATCGACGATAGCCTCGAGATCGTCTATTGTGGCTAATCGAACAGAAATAGACATTGTATATCTTTAAGGCTATGTATTACTTAGGTTTGTGAGTGATAGTTGAGTAGTTGAAGGTGGTAGTTATTCCAAGCTACCCCGCCTAGGCTGCCGCATAGTCTAATCGCCGACGAGGCTGTTGGTGGACACAGCGGATACAGTTGCCTAATCATACCAATTAACTTATAGGTATCTTATAGAAAACTCATGTTCAGCAAATTAGACCTGAATACAATAAATGCATTAAATAGCGGCAGGTTATTGTTGTCTAATGTGACAGTTGAGCCCTTCTAGCTATGGCCTTAAGTATGATGTCCTTCCAGCTGTGAGGCCTCTAATGGCAACAATCTTCTCACCAACGCTGGATGACCAGTCTCCGGTAGCATACCCCTCTACACAACTTTACAATACATGGTACGATGATGCCTAGCAGCAAACTCTGTTAGTATTCTCCCTAGGCACCAGAAAAGGAAGTTTCAGGACCGGACAAAGCCGCTAGGCGTCCATATTGCAAGTTGATAGTGGCGTGACTCGGGAGCGCTGCCTCGCCGAGAAGGGCCTAGATTCCAAAAAGAATTAGACGCCTTACCCAGCTATTACGCACACGCCCTCAAGCCAGGCCATCAAAAAAAAAGAAAGTAACAGGCAAAGAGGCGACCATAAGAGCAGAGAAAAAACGTGGTGGCGGTGGTGGCGCGTGTCATGGAACGACTTGGAATTCGACGCCGCCACGTTTTCTGGCGCGGTGACAAAAGAAAAGAAATATGAGATAAAAGTCTCGACTATTGGAAGACAAAGAAAAGAAGAAGGAAGCTACGGGCTGACTCTACACGTGCGAGACACGAGGCGTGGCTGCGTTTGCTTTCTTTTTTGCGTACGCTATTGAAAAATACTGGTTGCGGGAGAAGGCAACCAAGATGATGTAGAACGAAAAAGGAAAGATAATTAAATGCAGAGTAAAATAAAATAAAAGCCAGACAAAGTACTGTACAAAGGCTGTGTCGCCCGGAAAGGCCATACATGTACGTATGCAATGCATGTCTCTCTCGTTCTGTAACTTTTTTCCACATTGGCCGCAACACACCACCACCATGGGAAGAGGCCACCGGACCAATGACAATACGCAGCGAGGCGCAGCACAGAATCTCGAGGCCTCACGCCACCGCCCTACTGCTCGAAGAATGCTTCCTGTTTGTGCTCATCACGTAGGCCGGCAGAAGCCCATCTTGGTTTACACTCCACGGCCACCGGCTCCTGTGCGCGGCGCCCCCGTCGACGTAGAACAGGGGCAAGACATTCCATGTGAAGATAAAATAATTGGAATTCTTTTTGGCAAGCAAGCCACCGCCGTTGTAGTAGCTGCCGCCTTATGCTATCGCGGCTGGTTTTGGGGGGATGATATGATTTTTGGCGTTTTACCGACCGACCGGCACGCCAACCACCAATACTACGGCCTTCTAAGTGATATTGATAGCTTCACCAACGCCAGCTTTGGGGGTCACATACGCGGGCATACGATGGCTGACAGATACTTTACATTTTTGCTTGTCCGCTCCTCGGTATGTCCAGAAAGAGAACAATGGACAAAAGCAAGCAAGTTTTGGCTATGCTGCAGTAGCATTCGGTAGTCACATGCAGCGACGATGAAGTGCTGCATCATACCCGTGCCCGCTGCCCACTATCAATGGACACATAACGAGCAGTATATTTTTAGGCGCTGCTCTATAAGCACCTTGGATCACGCAGCTACTTTGCTTCGTCAAACAAAACTCAAATGTCGTAAAGGATATAAAAAGGGATCTTAACGGAGTGCTCCGAAACGCTCACACGCCCCCCTCCTCGTTGGCGTGACATCGCGGGCAACACTACGTGTTTCTCAGAATGAACGGGTCAACTTTTGTCTCTTTTCTGCTATTTGTCCGTGATTCGATGCTGCATAGGCTAGCAGGGGGGACTCGAGGGCATGATCGGGCTTTCACCACCACTAACTGCGGCTAAGCATGTAACCATCCCATCTGGTATACCGTCATCGTCATTGTCCTGCGATGGGTTGCAAGGGGGGTGACAAAGATTCTCTCTTTGCTTTGTCACATTGTCCGTATCTTCAAATGACAAATAAAGAAGGAAGCATGTATCATCTGCAGTGAATTCCTATCCTTGCAATGACGCAAGCCCGCTTCGCCGTAAGCTGCAAGACATGGGCACATCACGTCGATTTAGGCAGTTCGATACGATATTATCCAGGCAGCCACAGCGTTATACACCAGCATCTATGCCGCTGCCTGCATGTGTCAATGTCACGGAACTCGCCGGCCCTGCCGAATATGTGTTCCGTGTTTGTCTATTCATTTTTGCTGGCTCGTGCGGCGCTATGGGGATTGACTGGAGGTTTAATTTACCATCGGCAGACCTCATACAAGTAAATCAAACTTGTCCCACGGAGGATAAGCAACGTAGCGGCTGGCTTAAGCTCACGCTAGCTGTACTCTACAGCGGGTCTTCCCGCCAACAATGGCTTTGAATACGGCGAAGAGCCTCGCAAACGGGCCGCCCCAGGGGAACTGCCGTCGACTTACCGTGGTGTTCTGTAACGACACCACGGGCATCAACCAAATATAGAAATAGCACCGCTATTGGTAGCACTAGACAAGGTGTCAAATTAAAACAAAAAGCAGTGGCAAACATGTGCAAAGAGTGCAATGGTGCGCACCTAACGAAAAAAAAAAAAACAAATCATGGCCAAGTAACTTACAAGCTCGATCCATCGGCTGATTTCGTCCAACTGCGCCGTAGCAGAGCGTAGCACTGGCGAGTGGTAAGTTACAGGGCACATCAGTTCCCGTGCCCAACAGTTCATGCGCCTCCCAGCAGTGCAGCTACAGCTACAGCGTCAACCAGCATCAAGGATCGCCTTCCACAGGGCTACCGGTTGGCCCCCATCACAAACTTAGTTTCTACTGCAGCGTACTACAGAGATCCACTAACCTGTAGGAACCATCGGCAGACAAGCTTCCACAAACATGGACGAACGTCGTAGCGTAGTGCCACTGATCGCGACTTTAGCAGCTTAGCAGAGAGGCTTCAAGCCAATTTTGTGCTGCTGCCAATTCCATCATTGGCCGTGTCTGCGCTAATGCTTCCACTCAACCCAGGTGATCGGCTCAGGCACGCCATCTTTATCCAGCCCGTCTTATGCCAGACGGCACGGCGCTGCGGGAAAAAGAAAAGACGGTCAGTAGCGCGGCTGAGCTCCCGTCTCTATATATTGCGCGTAGGGGGAATAAAAAATTCTCCGGTGGGTGATGGTCAGCCAGATGTCAAAATCACCAGCTGGGCAAATTCAGCAAGCAAATATGCCACAGTACGATTCTATCGGTGTCAAGTACGATATTGTAGACGGGCTCCCTTTCAAGATTCTGGAGGCCCGGAACGCCGAAGCAGTTCTCCGACCGCTGCTTCCTTCTTCCGACAGAATCCTAGAATTTGCCTGTGGCTCTGGATATTACACAGAACGGCTAGTATCATGGGGCGCCAAGAAGCTGACCTGTGTTGATATCTCATCGGAGATGTTGAATCTGGCTCGTTTGCGAATGAAGGACCAGGTCGCATCGGGCCAGGTCCGGTTTGTTCAGGCGGATGGCTCCAAAGTCCAGAGCTTTGCTCCAGACCAGTCCATGGCTTACCATGACACCGTCTTCGCCGGATGGCTTCTCAATTATGCAAAGACGGCTGAGGAGCTGGAGCATATGTTTCGGAACATCGCCGCCAACCTCCGATCCGGAGGCTACTTTGTCGGCGTCGTATACCCCCATACCGACGCCGCCGGCCTCCTCCACCGTCAGAGCCTGTACGGAAAACCACCAATGGATCGAATCCCTCCGCGAAATGAATGGGTGGAATCGGTTCCTGAGCAAGGCTGGAAGCTTCGCATACACTTCAACGCTGACACCGTGTTTGACTCGTGGCATTTGCAGGGAAGCATCTACGACGAGGCGATGCGAGCAGCTGGCTTTGACGTGGCGAATGCCACTTGGAGGCAAGAACCTGTTGAGAATGAATGGAAGGATAGGTTGAATCTAACAGAGGAGGAATGGCTTACATGGAAGGCATGCCCACAATGCGTCATACTCAAAGTCCAAAAGTTGTGAAGGCATTGTCACCATTCACCCTTTGAAAACAACAAATCATTTCGGCTGTAACACGGGATCCTGGATATACCAACGTTCTTGGGGACGATTGACTGACTCGTAACATACGTGACAATGAATTGCCGGCGTACCAAGAGCCGGATATGTCAGCCTTTGGAGTTGAGAGGTTATTAGCGGCGCCTTGCCTTTAGGCAAAGTAGAGGCAGCCACGGTAATAGCGTTAGACTTGCGAAATTGCACGTTGCAACCCTGCTGAAGCTCCCCTGTTCAAGTAGCCCACAAATAGATCTGTTCCTGGTCATAGTCGGCCATGGCACGGAGACCCCGTGTTTTCCACGCTTAACACGCCCTAAGTGGCCCCGTCCAGACGATGCTGTAAACAGGACTAAACGACGCTAGCCTACTAAACTCCTTTGGATCAAGGGGTGTACATCGGCGGGGTCCGGTTTGTCAATTGACGATGGGATCCAAGCTATATGGGTACTTTATATTGCTGGCCAATGTATTGTATAGGCAAGTAACCGAGATATGATTTTGGATTGTCCGTTGTAAAAAGCCATGCGTCAGCAGCCTTTAGCCCCGAGACACTGCCATCTGTCCACGGCGAGACTGGCATCAATTGCTGGCGCGAATCTCGTTTCTACCTATTTATTTTTTAACCTTTTTACATGTCCTTCAGCCACGCCACCAGGGGCGCTCGGCTTAGGTCTCGTCTGCGTAGCCCTGTAGAGCCTTGGGCTTGCTGAATTCAGCCGGCGAGAAGGCTTGACGGCGTGCGCTGAACTTTTCAGTGCTTAACAGGGGTAGTGCACCGGCCGAAATGGTGTAGGAGGGAATCAGTAGCTCAGCCGGGCTAACTAGTAAGCCGATGCCACTGTGTGGTCTGACCACCGGCCGTGGCGCACTGGTAACAGGCTCGTCCGAATCTGTGCTGGAGCCCGCTGAGCGTAATTCTCCGAGGTGGATTTTATGAACGGAGTACAGAGAAAATTTGGTGATGGTTGTACGTATTATGCAATCGGCCCAGGAAGGGCAAGCAGATCCGGCTTACACGCTTACGGCCTCGGCTACAGCATCCTTTCGAGATGCGTTGCCAGTAAGCCTCCTCCGCATGTACTGACTGCAGTGTGAACCAAAGCTGGTTAGTTCGCTGCATCCCAAAAACCTGCGTCTTTAGCGGCAGCAGCTCTGTTACACAGCATCACGCAGATTGCCTAAACGCTGCAGCCGGCCTCCCAAAGCTCTGGAACGGGCTGAAGGACCTGACGCAAGAACAAGACCAGACAGCGGCAGCCAATAACACAATTGGTACTAATAAAGGGCAGGTAGGCTATTCCCGACTGGGCTCAGCCACGCCGTCCCAGGCGGGTTGCGCCGTTTCCTAATCCTGGTCGGTGCAGTCATGGAGGCAAAGTGACAAGTGACAGATTTGGGCTTCATTCTGAGCAGGCATAGGAGGATCGGCAGCGTCTTTCACCCGCTGGGGATCATTTTGAGGCAAATGGCGCCCACTGGGAGAGGGTTGCGAGAACCACCAGGGTGCCTTGTGCGTCTGGGCAATCTGGAGGCTGCAGACAACTTACTCCGTGTGTGTGAGAGAGTGAGAGAGAGCAAGTATGTGTTTGTTGCAAGTGGCAGCGAGCATTTCTGAGAGCAAAAGAAAAGCGCCGAGACACATCACGTAGATCCCCACGGCCGTTGGGTTTGAAGACAATGTTCCAGGACAAGACGCGGCCTTTGCTTGAATCAGAACTGGGGCACGAGACGGCAGAGAACGCCTCTCTCAACAATATGCCTGCTCGCTCCAACGGTTTCGCTGGAACGCAACGCAAAGTTGCGTATAGAACCCCAGCTGTACGATTCAGGCATTGGGCGCCATTAACATTCAGTCAGTCTCCTCCACATTGAGGCACTGACAACAGCAGCAACTTCCCGTAAACAGGGGACGGCAGACGCCCCTGGCTCTCCCGCACTCAAGGGCCAGTTGCTGGCCCTTGAGCGCCACGGCAGAGACGTTTGGGCGCCTTCCCGGCTCGGTCGCTAAGTGTTAATAGCTCGGTTCGCTAGTGAATGCATAACGCTGCACGATATTATTGGTCTGAGCTGCCTACGCAGGGCGTATAGCATGTCTGCATGGCAGGGCCATCATTTGGGGGGCAAGTCTAGGCGCTGGTCGTTTCTGACAGAGTGGATTCTACTCTCTTGCGCACAATTCTATTGCTTCGCTGCTTTCGGTGCTGTGATTATTTGCTTTTTATGAGGGGGCATTTTTGCTTTTGCTTTCCAACGGCCACGGCTCGAAATCGCGATGGAATCCTTGCTTAACGCATGCGGGATCCGTTTCCTTTTTGTTGAAATTTTATCTTTATGAATCAATCTAGTAGAACATATTGCCAGAATATTCGCCATAGGTCTTGTCTCTTGTTACTGGTCGTATTTGCTTTTATTGCTCAATCGGCCTAACAATCAGCGAAGCCACATGTATTGTGTGCGTGGCAAAAAGCTGTCGGGGAGCAGGGGATGCAGTAAGTGAGAGAAAAACAACCACTGTGCCTGCGTCAGTTAATCGCACAGGGTCTGTCGACCGTGGCCCAGGCCGTGCTACCCCAGAACGCCTGTCAAATATGATAGGACGAAATGAGTGCAAAAAATCTGTAAGATGTGCATATTCATACGTCGTACGTCATGCATGGCTGCCATCCCTGGCTCATACACAACTGCAAACAGCGCTCGCTAGCCCCCGTCAATGCCGATATGTGGTGGTGGCCAAGCAGCTATCCTGTTGACGGGGAGCCAAGTTAGAGTGCAGCACCGCCAGCCACAGTTCCATCTATTGGCTTAGTTTTGGGGTGCAAGACGCACCGTACCAATAGCAGCTTAGCAGCCATGCATATATATATGCAAGCCAAGATTGTCGTAACAACCCCGCATTGGCAAAGATGCGATTCTCCATACCCGCTTCTTCCTGAGCCCAAGCCGGGCAGTGAACAAAAAAAAGCAAATATCCCTTATGTCTTCTAACGGCCGGACACTTGATCCACATGCCATGCGAGAAGTGGGCAGAAGAACGAGAGAGGGAAAAAGCAAATGAGCGGACAGCGTATTCGTACGCTGGCTGTCTCGCCACGATGTCTGCCGCTGCAATTGCATACAACCGAACACACCATATCACCAAGGATAAGTCTCGCATTGCCAGCGTACATCATTGAGGGGCCCTTATTGCGTCTGCCGAAACCCGTCCCAATACAATGGCTAGCCCAAATGCACCTCGCGGGCGCTGGGCTGTTCTGCCGCAACCCCCCACGTTGGCACTAGCTATGGCGTCTTGGTTCTTCCAACCCCTGCTTTACCAGGCGAAGGGTTTTCTTGCGATGGTGGTGCTAGATTCTGCAGGTTATTTCAAAGACTAGAGGAATATAGCCGGCTGAAGGCTTGGTGTCGTGGTCAGCTGGCCCCTCTAGCATCCACGGCAGAAGTGGAGAGAGCTCGCTAGTAGTGCCCTGATTCGCTGTTGCGGACTTCCCCAGACGCGATGCCTGCTAGCGCCCGTGGCGGGCCACCCCATGCAAATGAGATTTGCTCCAACGCTAATAATGATAGCTGTGCTTGTTAATGACGAGGAGCAGGCTAATGAACATCACCACCAAAGGACATGGGAGCCACGGCACAACACAAGATACTGGGCTTCAAGCCGGAATGTCATCGGGCTGTGTCCTAGGGCATGGCCGCCACAATATTCCGCTACGCCCCAAGCCTTCCTTGTCACAACGTTGGAGAATTCCAGCCCTTACTCATACCACTGGAACAATCAGCCCTCGTTTGCTTCACCCACTGCCGCTTCGTTAATAATGATCAGCGTAGTCTATGGCATTATCTGAAAAGATGGATATCTGCTGGTCCACGGGTGTCTGAAAACACAAAGCCTCTACTCCAATTGGAAACATTGGCGCCATGTCTAACACCCTGACGCCTTGGAGGAGGGACATACGTAGCGGCTTATCCCATACCACAACTTTAGCAGCAGATCTCCAAGCATCACTGCAATAACATAGTAAGCCAATTGTTGGTTGATAAGTGGCATTCGCTGCCAGTGCATGGCTCCCCTTGGCATGCACGATGAAAAACTAGTCAAATCAAGATAATGAATACGGGATTTCCCTATGTTCGCAAAACACTTCCTTCTTGATAGTATTTCTGCGACAAGAAGGCGTTGACTGCCCTCCGAGATCAGCCCCGTGGCATCTCCATTCCAACAGACGCTGGGATGATGCTAAGTTTGGCAACCTGTGAGACACTCACCATGGGCAAAACATGTCGCCATTGGGCTTTTTTTTTTCCTTGGTTACCTTTCCGCCACGCGCACGTTGCAAATTTGCTCATGATGTGTGAAACTTGTGATGTCTTTGCTTCTTCCTGGTGTTTGGCAACGGATCCTCACGCCGCCGTGTCGATCAACGGGCCTCGTAGCCGTGAATAATGTACAGTGACGACAGGTTACACGAGATCGTCAATCTACCAGAGTGAGCGACATCCTGGCACGGGCAGAGCCGTCCTTTGGTACCATGCAATTTGACTTTACAGGTTTTGCCGTCATAGGGTCTCCTTACACTAGGGCATTTCGGCGCGACTGAGACTCGGCCGCTTAAGGTAGCAGTCGTTGCAACCACGCTACAGTGGGGGCCGCCGATGATGTATGTGAACTCTGTAGTGTTTTTTTTTTCTTGAGTATTTGCGTAACACTGCTTGTAGCTGATCACGGCTTGGGGGGCAACTGGTCGGCTGTATCCCTCGCTCTCTCTGTGAAGCAACCCGCCACAACATGTACGCAGGGTCTGGGCACCATCTTTGGGCAAGCCCTCCAACGCCACCAAAAGGCGAAAGTAAAAAAGTAGTCGTGTTGCTAACGGAACGATACTGCAGAAGCCCAGCGGACGGCTAAGCCCAGCCCAGCCCAGCCCACTACAGTACGGGCCTAGTGCTGCTGGACTACGGGCGCTCCCTTGACCATTTAGCAATAGCGCCAAAGGTAAATCGCTCCCGCTAAACGGACATCTCGGGTTTGCCGACATCGGGCAGCCATCGCTTGCCATTGCGGAGTGAGAGAGTCATGTTTTCGCGGAATAGTCCCAAGCGATGGCGACAAACGACGCAATGGCCAGTCTCTGACAGTTGCGTCGTTCAACAAACGATGGCCTCATCATCTTGGGGCTGGAATAACAAAAAGAGGGCCTTGACGGCTTCAACAGCATGCAAGCATGCACCACCACCAGAATTGCGTTGAATGGCGACAGCGATTTACTGGGTGGCGTGGACCGTTGCGTGCTGTACCTTTCTACGGGCGCCAGTTGACCTGCACGTGTGCGTGGACAGCTGGGAACATTATCCGCGCCAAGACTTTAGAGCCAGCTACCAGGCTGCACAATGAAATGCACAGCAGCAACAGCAGCAAAAAAGTTATGCAAGTCCACAAGTCTCTTACCCAGGCGCCACTGAACGGGCTCACTGGTACAGCAGCAGGGCCTGCCTGTGACTGTGTGTGAGAGACAGGACGGGCAGCCCCGCCCAGCGATTCGCAAGTGGCCCAGAGGGCACTCCCCCGGATGATCCACCCCCGTGCCAGAGACGGGCGCACTGAAAGTCTTGCGAGCGGAGCAGCCTCTCGGGCGCTGAAAATTAGCACAACCCCGTGGCTCGTCAGAATCGCCTTGGGCTCTCTCTCTCGTTCAGGGGTGGAGAGTTTCCATGGGGGTTGGGGTGGAGACCCGCTCCCATCCCATCAGACCCATCGCTGTGCCGCCTTCAAAAGACAACCTGCAGCGGGCATGCCACACGCCCAAGCAGCCCAGCAGAAAAAAAAAAAGCCACCCAAGGGTGCCACCCCCCGGCGCTGCGCTGAGGTGTGCTGTACTGTACCTAGGGCGCCCAAAAAAAAGAAGGAATTAAAAATAAATAATAACAGCCATCAAACAGCCAGGTCACAGCGCCTGCACCCACCACAGAAAAGGTACTTGCTGCGCTAAATCCTGCCCCATCCACCTTTCTGCGCACCCCTCTCCCTCCCACACCTACTGCCCGCCTATACTGTACCTGCTGCGTGCACCTCACGGTCTTGATATATTCATCCCAGGCTGCCCACCTCTTTTTCCTTTCTTCTTAACATCCCATCCGTCCCCTTCCGCCATTGCTTGTCTTCTTTACAAGTGCCTTTTCTTTTCAATACCCTTTGTCCTTTTCAGTTCTTCGCGAACAACACTTTAGACTTGTGCAACATTGCATCGCCAGCTGTTCGCTTTCTCGGCTCATCGTCCTGCTCGCCTTGCTACGCTTCCGCATAAACTGCACCTTGCAACATCGCCATTGCTGCATCTTTGCTTCCAACACTCCTATTTTGAAGCCATCAACCTAAATCCGGCTCCTTCGCCGTACTTCCAGGGCCATCTCGCCCAATCCTCACCACCAGACACCACCATCGACCATCTCGCTCGACCATACCGGCCGACGGCACCTCCCACCACTAGACACTATACTAGACAACATTACACCGTCACCATGTCTTTTGATCTCTGGACCCAAGAATTCTGCCTCGCTTGTGACAAGCAGGTACATATCGATGGAGCTGCGTACTGCTCTGAGGCTTGCCGCCTAACCGACTTCGAGAAGACGTCGCCGGCTTGCTCTCACGCTGCATCGCCCCAAGTGTCCTCATCGTGGGCTCCTACCACTACTCCCATCCGACAAGTTACTCGACCCAAGTTCTACCTCTCACCTGCGTACGACTTTTCCAACGCTCAGCCGTACGGAACCACTCCTGTCGCCCCTCGACACTTTGACCACTTCTACGCCTCCAAGAGCCTCCGCCCTAGCCAGCCAGCACCTCTCCGCCAGTTGACACCATCCAGCTCCCATAGCAGCCTGTGCTCTATGCAGAGCAACTCTTCCTCGGAATCTGTTGTCTCTGACAAGGCCAAGAAGGAACTCCAAGCCTATGCCGTCTCGTTTGAGCAAGTCCGAACTCAGAGACGCCGCTCTTATTAGGCATCAACCACCCCCACCACCACCCACTACTACCGACAACACCCTACTCCCTTTACGACCTATTTACCTCTACTCATCATGACGACATTTATACCATTCTATTATACACCCTGTCCATTGCGGGCATCTTTTGCTGTACCAAAATGACCATTATCCCGGAGTATGGCGAGTACAAAAATTTTGTGTTAATACGCCTTTTCTTCTTTCCCTTTGTTACACGGCGTTCAGACTTTGGCGGCATCATCACTGGCGAAGCATCTCGCAGTGCTTCATATTATTACTATTATCAGCGAGCAAGCAGTTATTTTACATGCTTTTTTGAGATGGGATGGAATGAAATAAGAGGACGAAGATTATTATTATGAGAGCATGGAAGGAGGTTGACTTGGAAAGCAACCAAAGTTTGTACCCCATAGGCCAAAGACTTGACCTGGAAGATTTATTAGCTAGACGATGGGCAGCAACCTCGACTGGTCTCTCTGTCCATCACTTTTTACTTTTTTTTTATTTTGAATCGAATATCAACAGTCTATGACTGTTGTCTTTTGACGATCCAATCTTTTGTTCTCTTGCAAGTGATGTCTTTTGATAAACTGGTCTTGAACGGCGTGCTGTCATTGGTCTTGAGGCAATGAGACACTGGCATCAATTCCAGTCGGGAAACCATGGGTTTCTCGTCTCGGAGACGCTTATCTCCAGCCTCGCAATTTCTACTTGGGGCCAGACGAACCGAAATAAAATAAAAACACAAATAATAGAAAAAGGAATAGCGCTCGCCCTTGGTGTTGCACAACCACGGCCGCTGTTCGAGAGCCATGTCTAATTCAGACAGCATGGGTCGAGCCGTAGCTAGGCCTTCCCTTGCCTAGGCGGGCTTCCCTTGGCCGCAGGGGCCTAGCCAGCCAAGCAAGCCAGCACCAGCATCAGCACCAACACAGCCATCAACCAGCGGCATGAAAGATGTACCGGCTGGGGGCCAGAACCAAGGGAGTCGTCAGTTTGTCACACTAGGTAACGAAAAAAAAAAGATTATTCCTTGATTTGCTTAAGCCGGCACGGGAAGTACATGTCTACGGAGGCACACCTGCTTATCCCATTAACACGCACACGAAGCGAGGAAAACTCTTTTTTTTTTTGCGTGCCAGGTCAGCCTGATTGGACGCTGTGAGCCACGTTGTAAACCACAACTTGCGAGCCGTTGACGAGAATTTGTCCAGTTACATTTGCCAAGGCGACGCAGCCAATGAGAGAAACGGTAGGGTCGGCATAAGCCACCTGAGCCGAGGCGTGCCGGGAAAAAACACATTAAGGCTTGCATTAAGCCGGCTTAGACTACTGTAGGTACGGAACGGGTACAGTACATTTGGGCATTGACAAGCGCCAGGAGGCGAAAAAAAAAATCTGTTAGCGTAATTTGGCAGCCGTCCAGTCGATGACGGGTATGTTGTCAAAGGGGGAGGGAAGCTCGGATCAAGATTTTCATTCGCAGCCGCCTGGGGCTCGGTGATCAGGCTAAGCTGCTTGTGGGCTAGGCGCTGTAACAGGAGAGTGGTAGTCGGCCAGGGCGTTTTGGTAGCATAATGTTACGGCCGAAACACGCCTGCATTAGAATGATGCGATTTGCCTTGGTTTACTTTTGCCCCTTTTGGTGTTTTTCTTTTGTGCGATTATTACTGAGCAGCTGTGGTACGGGTAGGCTTACACGAGGCTCGCTTCGCACCATCCAATGTAGTGTAGTTACTTTTTGGTGGGTTTTACAATTTTTTACTTTCGTGGGGTGGCCGCCCTTGTGAAGCTAAAACAGTGGACGGCAGCTCCGGATGTGGCTTTTTTGATGATGAAGCATTAGCGCCAGCCGTGGCCAGGGTAGCAGCCTCTTGGTGTGTGTAGCGCTGAGCTAGGAAAACTCTGCTGCATTAACGGGCCACGGGGGACCGGGTCAGAGGGATTGAAACGGACCGGGCTGAGGAAACGGAGGAAAACGACAGAAGCAAAGAGAAAAAACTTTTCTCTTGCTTTCTACAAGCCGCCGAATGTACACCCGAATGGATGACACTACGGAACCCAGGCGGTGGCAGTGGTATGACCTGTTACAGCGCTATACCACTGAGCGGTTTGATACTGGGCTACAGTACGTCGCAGAGGCGCAAGGGACCATCTGCTGTGACTTGCTTGGACTAATACATTTCGCACGCCCCTTCCGCTACAGGTTTAGTCTTGTATAAAGAAATAAAAGAAAAAAGGCTTTTCATACTTCACCAGATTCCTCGTCTGGAGAATGCTTTTTCGTCTAAGTGTATTAGACAAGGGCGGCGGGGCTTAAGCGTGCGCACTGGCAACAGCCAGAACGGGTGATGTGCGCTGGCTGGCTGTGTGGTCTGAGCTTGCGCAAGGGATTGCTCAAAAGAGAGAGAAAAAAATCTTCTCATGTCGTGATCTGTTTTGTTAGACGGTTACAGGGTGTTGTTTAGACAGCGATCCAGATCCGGACGACGTAACCGGTGACGACGCAAAAAGCAAAAGGCTTGTCGTACGTCCTTGTAGTTCCTTGATGTTCCATTGCTCGCCCTTAGGAACGGCCCCCATGAAGCAAACTTTTCACGCTCTAGTGGCCGGAGAGTGTCCGTCTCGCATTGCACAGCGCTTATTTAGCGCCGTTTTAGTGTTTGCTGCGCTGAACGTCCGCTGTAAGCCACCAACCACCAAGGCAAGGTTTTTTCGTCCTAGGGGGGTGTGCAAGTTCGCGTTGCAACGGGGCGCTTTCCCCATTTGAGAAGGTACGCAGCAGTAAGATCGATCGGCTTCCCGTCTCACGCGAAGTCAGTGACAAGAAAGAAGACGAAGAAAAAATTAATTACGGTCCAAGCGAGAATCGAAAAGGGGGCGTGCCAGCTGGCGAGGCTTACAGGAAAATCCGGAATGGAAAACTTTTCCTCCTCATTCTCTTTGCTTCTTGCCGTCATTGGCGGGTAGGGAGATTGGCCGCTGCTATTTTTGCAGTGAAAAAAAAAGTGTGGCGTCACTTGAGAAATGCTGCGCTGGGTAGCCAATTTCACGGCCCAAAAATATTTCCTAATCTAGCGGTTTAGCTGAGCGGGCTCCAGCGCTAATTCTACGACACGCCCCCTACCAGTGAAAAGAAATAAAAGGAAATAAAATCTAAACTTTCCTTTTTTTCTGTGTTGACAGCTGCTAAATCGGAGGACAGGGTTAACGCAAATAGAAGCACAAGGGTGAATATTTTATTTTCACAGTCCCACAGCTGGACATGGATACGCTGGCAGTAAAGCCCAGTGCACGGCAATGCGGACAGGTATGCAGTATGTACTAGGCCTAGGCCCAGTGTGCGGTCTGGCCTGGACTCAGGGGGTGTGGTGGGCGGTGTTTAGGCATAATACAGTGAGGAAGAAAAACAACAGCAGAAGTAGCACAATGCAAAAATGTCTCTGGCCATCGTCGATTGTCCAACACGCTTGCTGGCCTGAACGGCAGTGATCGGCCGTTTCGGATGCTGTGCGTCAGCAACGTAACCACATACCCGCTAAACGAAAACACGGCAGGAAGAAAAAAAAACATCTGCCAAAGACGACGAGCACTAGGAAACTTTGTGCGTCTCACATCGGTGGCTTATTGGGCGCAATTGGCCGGAAAGTTTAATGTGGTGTTGCATCGACCAAAATCTGATGTTGGGCCTGTTACTACAGGTGCTTACAAAGTGGACAGCGTGTGTTTTGGTGCACCAACAGCAACTGTAGCCCAACACGGCATAACACAGTACCATACAGCACCAGCATTATAGTACAGACGCCGATGCCGGCGGAATCCATCTCTTGGGTACACCAGTGGATGCGCAAAGCTGACTGCTGTACTGGGCTAGCGCTAGCGGACGGGAGCTGCCATGTTGCACGGCATTGACGTTAGAGAAAGAGTATCAACAAGTCGTAGCAACAGCACCAAGGGCGTGTAAGGCATAGAGTCATACACCTGTCGCAGCTACAGAGAATTCTCCATATGTATCCATTTCTGCGACTTCAACAGTGTTTGCATCCTTGCCTTTGACTTCATCAGCGGTGGACCTTTGCCATCGTATATCTGCTGCTACGGTGTTGGCTTTGTTGGGCGACATGGTTGGGACGTTTCACAGGCATCAAACAGAGCAAGTCCGATATTCGTCCAGTGTCAGCTGCTGCACTGAGTCAAACAAATTGGCTTGGCCTCGCTTAACATGGTCATCATCCAATTCTCACCAAAAGACATGCGGTGTAAGTGAACCGTCCCGCCCCGTCAATTAGACGGTGGGTTTTGCGGTCGACAACGTAGAACAATACGGTGAAGCCCTGTGTCTCCTTTACAGTAGATTCATTCTTACCCAGCCAGCGCCCAAGCAGCCCTGTTAGCTAGGTTCTCTAGGCGGGCCTCAATTTGGCTCCCTGGAGTTCCCGCAAAGGGGGAGTCACCGTCTCCATCGTGAACATCGACCCCCCCTGGAGATTCCACTTAGACCGTAGTCCGCAAGGGTAATGGAATTTGAACGCACAATGCGGTCTCCGGAAAAGAACACGCGATGCATCTCGCTTCACATCCGCCGTAGCCGGCATTGCATCCTAGCCGTTACCCGCATTGTCCGATATGACATCATGAAAGGGGAGTGTTGGATGTAAATGGCGACGGCCCGCCTTTAGTGGATATCCCACTGCGCTGTTTTGCGGTATAAGTTTGCGTTTTATAGGCATTGGGCGCTGTATTATTTTTTTTCTGATGAAATTTATCAATGTCTGCCTTGTAACGTGTCGTCTGTTTGTATAGTTCATACTTCCGCATGTCTGCATTGCATCACAGTCGGCGTTAACAGGCGAAAGCTAAAAGTAATACGCGTGACTTCACAATTCTGAATGCTTTTTTTTTTCGTTTTCTTGTCCAAGCCGCCTGATTCCGAGGTGCTGTTGCATATTGACTCAATTACTTTTATTTTTTTTTTGCTTGTCTCCTCTAAGCCGTGCTGGCTCTCGGTTCATCAGCGACAGCCGAGCTCACAACTACCAACCACCACTTGACAGACCAACCAGCCGCATATTTGCCCTTTTTTGTTTTTGGCTCGCTTATCAAACTTTCTGTTCGATCTAAATTTCGTGCCTTTCTTTTTATGCGTAGCTTCAGTAATCATATAGCCATTGCCTGGACAATTAGCGGGCAATTTTGCTTTTTACCCTTGTCTTACACTTACCGTAGCTCGTGTTGGGCTTAAGTCTAAGGGATGGTCTCAGCCAGCCTAACACAAATATCTCGTAATAGAACAATATAGGCTGCTCTAGAAGCCGATTCACCCCCTGAAAGCAATCCTGTCCGTTGGAATGCCACCGGCCTTGCGTGATTTTCTTTTCACGCTGGCCGTGTCTCTCACTAGGCCGCCATTGAACTAGGCCTAGCTCGCAACCCTTTGTCTGAGTTAGGAATTCGTACAAAGCGCTGATTAGTCGGCCAGGGTATCCCGATCAATCATTAGCGTGAGAACCTCGATCGTGAAGCAATCCAAGTGGTTGATCCAGGTTACATTGCGTTAATTTCGCAGCAGAGGCACGCCTTCTACAAGCAGCCCAACGTGTGCCTTGAATTTGAGCGCCGAAAAGGCATTAACCCTCATTCTTTTTGTGAAGTTTTAAAAATAATCACGATTATTGAAACCTGGCATCGTGTAAAGTTTCACAGCCACCGGGTGTGTTGGTTCAGGCAATTGGCATCTGCATTGGCTTTAGGACACCGCAGACGCCAAAGACGGTTTCGCAATTCACGATCAATACCCACCTGACATCGGAAACCGTAAATTATTTCGCCTAGACATTTCATTCTGTCTAGGATGGCCTCCAATGAACTTGTTTATGGTGCCATAAAAGTTCTGGGTGATGGCACATGCACGGGTCAGATACTTACCGAGCCTGCTGTTCGCCTATTCTATCTAGTATTCAAAACTAGTGCTGGGGTCTCGCGATATTCAGGAATGATATCATATCAGGCTGATGTTACTTCAGAGGTTTGAATTTTGCAACGTGATGCTTCAACGTGTTCCAGTTGGATGCTGGGCGTACAGCCAACCTAGGCGAACTTCACTGCGACCTTGTTATATAACGAAATCGGAAAACGTTACAATCGGTAGGGTTGCATCGCACCCTTAGAAATTGACGTGATGTGCTTTTCCAGCCGAGAAGTGAAAAACTGGCGCAATTGGCGCATATCTTGTTTCTGGCGAAGTCGTGTCGTCTTGTTCGAGCCACCCCCAAGTAGTGCATTCGCTCGTATCTACATGTTAGTTTATGAATAATGCTTTTTGTGCATGCAAAATTAATGCAATCCAAATGCATAATTGCATAGAGAGGAACTAGGTTGCCTTGAGTGTAGCGAGGTTCAGCGTCTACGATCCAAGTAACCAGCTCAGGCCTGTCTAAGGTACAGTAGCTGGAAAGGGTATATTGCCGAAGCGCGCTTTGTGGCGCTTCATTTAGTAACTTGAAAATTATGAGGTTCCTTTTGGAATACACAATATGTGCGCCATACGATGCTCCAGCATTGGAGCGTGATGCCCACCTGTTGGATGCGCTTTGGATCTCGGTGTCTAGGTCGTGAGCACTATAACTACCCGGGGTCTGTTTCCTATGCTCAATATATTATGCCTCTAATCGTCAATTACAACAGTTGATGCCTTCCTATGGCATGTGAGATAAAACTTTAATGGAAGTATCGAAGGTGGTATCAATGTTTGACGGGCTGTCGAATATGCAAGAGCAGCATGACGAGTTAGTCGTAACGTTAGCACTTTTCAAGGTTGCTGTTGGTGAGCACAATCCGAAGCTAGTCGTAGATGCCTCTGTAGTGTGGATGGTTCCGTTCAGAATCGCAATTGTCGTGACTATGTTTTGGTCTTGAGGACTGTCTGTGTTCGAAGCATGCAATCCTCGGCACCAAGTGACCACAGAGCGCAAACGTGATACGTACGACGATCAACTCCGATTGGTTGATGATTCGGCATGCATCTGAATGGATTCGGAGCCTCATTTCGGAGAAGGATAAGCCGCACGGGAGTTGTCAGATTCGGAGTCCGATGGCAATGGCCATTTAGGGTAGGTATATCCGCACCTCAGCTTGTGGGGGAGGAGAGGTGCATGCTGACATGCGGAAGTGACCGTGGGTTGTAAAATTCCAATATGTATTTAACAACACCTTGTAATGGTTTTATTTTTCTTAAAATTGTCGCAAAATAAATAAATTGGTATAGATAGAAATTGTTTCTTAGGATTTTACTCTGTAAATAGTGTTGGCAGTGTTTGCAAGAGGTGGACCTACTCGGGGTAAAGTATATGCGGAGGGCGGCCTGTTTAGTGCCATGCGAGCTTGTGCGGGGCGAAGGCTGAGGCACTGTGAAGCTAACTGGGGGGTAATACGGCGAAGATTATGTGAGAACACTAGAGTAGCGAGAGTGTAGAGATATAAGTATATGGACGAATAGCACTTATTTTGTAACATGTGTTTTCAATTTTTACTCAATTTTTAAATTTCGTTCTGGCCTCCTGCTCCTCCTACAACAGCTTACCAGTAGAACAGCTACACTCACCAAATCTATTTCTGCCCAGGGGTCTTCGCCGCGCCACTCTCTATCGAAGGTTCCATCGGCGTCTCTCGCATCTTGCCCCGCCTTCTACAGAACACCAGCCAATAGGGTGCCGACTTGCCCTTTGCCCACCCAGCACCAGCGTCCCAATACAGGGCACCTTACAGCGGTCGAAGGCTGAAGCTTAGGCGGCTACAGCACAGTCAGCAGGACACAAGGAGGGGCGACTTACCACCAAAGCAGGCACCACCGCTTTGCTGCGTGCCCTTTTGTGTGTGTGCGCGCGTGCAGATTGTGTGCCCGCGCTCCAACAAATCCGTCGCAGGCAGCCCCTCCAAAACCTTTCTCCATAAGCTTCCCTCTCCTTTGCTCCTCCATCAGCAATACCCCGGCTGTCTTGGTCTTCTGCGGTCCTCCAGCTTCTTGGTTTTCTCTTTCTTCATCTCTTTTTCCTCTCCTATAGCCGACCACAGCAACACCGCCCATCATGCAGGCCCCCGTCGTGGTTATGAGTACGTTCAACAAATTTCAACTACCCCCCTTCGCGCTTCCATCCACTTCGAATCTACCGCCCGCGCCCCAGCCCGACACACGATCCAAATACCAATTGCAAAGCTTCAATACTAACAATATGCTCTTTTTACACAGACACCAATGCTGGTGAACGACAAGTCGGAAGAAAGGCGCAGCTTTCCAACATTGCTGCCGCCAAAACGTACGTCCCACACCGCCACCACTCGGCTTAAAGCTTGTTACCTCGGCGCCATCAATGTGCAATCTATTTGCAAATAGCTAACATGTACACCTTGCCAGTGTTGCCGACATCATTCGATCATGTCTTGGCCCCAAGGCCATGCTTAAGATGCTGCTCGACCCCATGGGCGGCATCGTCCTCACAAACGACGGCCACGCCATCCTCCGAGAAATCGAAGTCTCCCACCCTGCCGCCAAGAGCATGATTGAGCTTAGCAGAACACAGGATGAGGAAGTTGGCGATGGTACTACGACTGTCATTATTCTTGGTAGGTGCTATGCACGCGACATTTATGACAGAACTAACCACACTGTGCAGCCGGTGAAATCTTGGCCCAGGCTCTGCCCCAGCTCGAACGAAACATTCACCCAGTGGTCATCATCTCTGCCTTCAAGCGTGCTTTACAAGACGCCCTCGATATCATCGAAGAAGTTTCCACCCCCATCGACGTCAACGACGACAAGGCCATGCACCAGCTCATCTCTTCTTCCATTGGCACAAAGTTTGTTTCCCGCTGGATGGATCTCATGTGCGAGCTTGCCCTCAAGGCTGTCCGCACTGTCACCTGGGAAGCTGGCAATGGCAAGACTGAGGTTGATGTTAAGCGATATGCCCGTATTGAGAAGGTTCCTGGCGGTGAAATCGAGGACAGCCAAGTTCTTGATGGTGTCATGTTGAACAAGGATATCACACACCCTAAGATGCGCAGACGCATAGAAAACCCTCGTGTTGTTTTGCTTGACTGCCCTCTCGAGTACAAGAAGGGCGAGTCTCAAACCAACATTGAGATCAAGAAGGAAGAGGACTGGAACAGAATCCTCCAGATTGAGGAGGAGCAGGTTAAGGCTATGTGCGATGCCATCTTGGCTGTTAAGCCTGACCTTGTCATCACCGAAAAGGGTGTTTCTGGTAAGTTTATCTGAACAGTCTCAATGAGATGAAAAAATGACCGAATTCTAACGTTTGCGTAGACCTTGCCCAGCACTACTTCATGAAGGCCAACGTTACCGCTCTCCGCCGTGTCCGCAAGACTGACAACAACAGAATAGCTCGTGCGACTGGCGCCACCATTATCAACCGCGTAGAAGATATCCAGGAGTCTGATGTTGGTATAAAATGCGGTCTATTCGAAGTGGAGAAGATTGGTGATGAGTACTTCTCCTTCTTGACCAAGTGCAACGACCCCAAGGCCTGCACTGTCCTTCTCCGTGGTCCTTCCAAGGACGTTCTTAACGAGATTGAGCGCAACCTGCACGACGCCATGGGTGTTGCCCGCAACGTCATGTTCCACCCCCGCCTATCCCCCGGCGGTGGTGCTACTGAGATGGCTGTCTCTGTCCGTCTCGCTCAGCGGGCGAAGAGCATCGAGGGTGTTCAGCAGTGGCCCTACAAGGCCGTTGCCGATGCCCTGGAAGTTATTCCCCGTACTCTTATTCAGAACGCTGGCAAGAGCCCCGTCCGTGTTTTGACCGACCTCCGCGCCAAGCAGGCTGAGGGTAAGAGCTCTTGGGGTGTCAATGGTGATGCCGGTACTATTGTCGACATGAAGGAGTACGGTGTCTGGGAGCCTCAGGCCATCAAGCTCCAGAGCATCAAGACTGCTATTGAGGTGAGTTGAATCGGTGAACAGATGGTAAATATGTGTGACTAATATAGAAACTCTAGGCTGCTTGCTTGCTTCTCCGCGTCGACGATATCTGCAGCGCCAAGAAGGCCCAACACTTTGGCGGCGGCGGTGGCGACGAGTAATGTTAATTCTCAAACCCAAAAATAACGAAGAAAAATAAACCAAACGAACGTACAAAGAAGAGAGCCACTCTCACTTGTTTTCGACATATACTTGTTACAGGGATCTGGTGTTTGGACTTTATGTTGATGTACGAGCATGGGATAATACAATGGACCATCATACACAAGGCAGCAGGATCTGAAGATAGCGTTTCGACAGCGTTGTCCGGCAGAGCCGGTTGACGGACTGAGAGACGAGGAATATAAAAAAAAGTTGAAATGTATAAACTGTTTAATGAATCTGTATGTGTATATGCCAGTGCCTCTTTTGATTTCCGTGGGGTATCGTTATATGTACAATGTAGACGTGATGATGTGGAAGTGGACATGAGCCCATATCAATCATCCTCGTCATGGAATATGATACCCTGCGGCGCCGCAGACGTCTCGCTTGCTACGGAAGTCTGACCATTTGATACTTCTGGTGTCTTTATATCCTTCTTACTGTCATTGACATTATTATCGTCGTCGTCGGCCTTGTTGTCTTGACGAGGCTGGACCTTGGATGCTATCGCGCCGTCCGGCTTCTGGGAGGGACCATTGTTTGCGCCGCCTTTGCCCTTGTTGGCCTTGCGAGCCTTCATCTTCTCTCTCTTTTCGCGATTCTTCCTCGTCTTCTCCTCGTCCTTGCGATCGCGCTCAGACTTGACTTTTTCGAACTGCGCCTGGTCCTTCTCGCGCTTCACCTCTTCGTCCATCTCCTTGAGCCGCTCGTATTCCCTTCGGCGCGCTGCCTTGTAGACGTGGAATTCACCGGATCCCGCACCGGCACTAGAGCCCTGAACATTGCTTACAATCTCAGGGGGTGCTAGGCGCCGTGATACGGCAGAGCCAGCGCTGGGGATGTGGATTTCGCGGTCGGGATGCGCGAAGAGGGCGTCGACCGAGGCTGCCTGGGCAGAGACGGGGGTGAGGGCGCGCTTCTTGGTCGGGCGGTGGGATCGCGAGTCTGCCGACGTTGGGATGGATTCGGGGCCTTCGCCAGACATGGTGACGAGGCGAGTGATGGCGGATTGGGTTCGTTCTGTGTGCGTTGATGTACTGTGGTGGATGACAGTTGTTGTGCTTGTGTAGCAACCATAAAAAAATACGCAGTAGCACCACCCCCTCCAACGGACGCACAGAGACCAGCCTGCCAAACTGCACAGCATCTTGCGCTAACGCCGCCTGTAAAACGCTGCCCAAAGCACCCGAAACCGCCACACCAATAGCACCCCGCGATTTCTCAGCCATGGCCGCTTTTGGGAGCTTGCCACTTTGGACCCAACCGACTTTCCGACTCACATTTTTCTTCTTGTCTTTTCTGCCAGTCACACATTCACCACACGCATCCTACGGCCATTGGAAATAGCAGCTACATTCATTTTTTAAACCCATTTAGCAATACTAGCAGCGGCTCTTCTTCTTTCTTTTACGACATCTTCACTTTCGGGCGATATCGGATCTGACATCCAACGGCAAATTCCACAGCTCGTCATGGGCAGACCACGTTTAATTATCTTAGTTCGGCATGCTCAGTCTGAGGGAAACAGTATGTTGAAGCAAATGTCGACTCTATTTGCTACCAAAGATAGCCCCTAACGGACAACCTTTCCCTTAGAAAACCGCGAGATTCACCAGACGACACCAGACCATCGAGTCAAGTTGACACCAGAAGGCCAACTCCAGGCCCGAGAAGCGGGACACCGACTGCGAAAGCTCCTTCAACCAGACGATACGATACAAATATTCACCTCGCCGTATAGAAGGACAAGAGAGACAACCGAGGGCATCCTGTCCACTCTGACATCTGACGACCCCGAACCATCGCCCTTCCGCCGATCTAACATCACAGTCTACGAAGAGCCTAGGCTTCGAGAGCAAGATTTTGGAAACTTCCAACCATGCAGTGCAGAGATGGAACGCATGTGGCAGGAGAGAGCCGACTACGGCCATTTCTTTTACCGTATCCCCAACGGTGAGAGCGCTGCAGATGCATACGATCGTGTCAGCGGCTTCAACGAAAGTCTCTGGAGACAGTTTGGCGAAGACACCTTCCCAAGTGTTTGTGTTTTGGGTGTGTATCACAGGTTTCAATTGCAATGTCCAACTACATTCACTAACTACCATCTGCTACAGTCACACATGGCCTCATGTCTCGCGTCTTCCTCATGAAATGGTACCACTTCACTGTCGAGTACTTCGAAGACCTGCGTAATGTAGACCACTGCGAATTCCTCATAATGCGACTACAAGACAACGGCAAGTACCATCTTGAAACCAAATTACGAACCTGGTCAGAACTTCGACAAGAACGTGCCGAAGTCAGCAAAGATAAGAACGCCGATGACGCCGAAATAAAGGACGAAGTTAAGCTCGCACGCAACAAGACCTTTATCTCACATCGTAAATGGGGTGGCTGCCCCAACGGCTGCAACCACTCTAGTCATTACAAGAAGCGTCATGATCTTGAGGCTCTGCGTGAGCGTGAAATTGAACGCGAAGCGGCAGCCTCGATAGCCAGCCGCAGCACATCCCCCATTATGAGAAAGCACCGTCCAAAGATGATGCTTAGCTCTGACGAAGAGGGTGCAGATGGTGATGACGATGAAGAAGATGGAGCCAAGCTCGGCAAGCCACGACATATTGTTTTGCCTTCCAAGGATCTCGAGACGCCTGGAGTCGCAGTCACCCCAACTACAGAAGTAGAACAGTTTATTACGGCAAATGACGCGACAGCAGCGTATCTCAGGAAGAACAGTCCCCACCTTCATGTTGGCCGAGACTTTGGCGGAACTTATTCAGGCCATGCCTCAACTGCAGGCTCTGATACAGACGCATCTGAGGACGACCGCCGACGCCACGCCCCTATGGCAGCGCTCAAGAGCCGCCTTCGGCTTGCCGATGACAGACCGCATGCGCGAAACTACAGCATCGATAGTAACGCCAGCAATGCTAGTATACCGCCTGCTAATCCAGGTCCGTTTGTCAATCGTCTCGGCGATGCACCGCCGTTTAGTGACTCTGGCATGGACGACGCCGATCCGACACCGTCTTCCGTCGCGGCTAAGCAGAGCAAAGACTCTCGGGAAAAGGCTAAGGACGTAACAGAGATGAGCCAGGAAGATTTCGATGCAGCCGAAGCAGAGGATAAGAGTGTTCAAGGGAGCGTGTATTAAAGCTACACCATGGCGAAGAGATATGGCACGACAACAGCGGCGTTAACAATTTGGGAGTACTCTGGAAATAGCGTATGCGCCATGAAATAGCGTGAATATTGTATAAATCTAAAATCCTATCCATTGATACATAAATCATCGGTGGCAGACACCGACACAATGAAAATCAAGACAATTGAAAAAATGAATGAAACCCTGCAAAACCAGACAGATACAGGGAGCACTTCCCTAGCATCTAATGCCGCAACGATGAAATGAAATCTAAAAGTAACAAAGAGAGAGAAACAGAAAAAACAAAGAGAACAAGTCTGATCAGGGGTTGTTGGTAGTTGTAGATGCGTTGAAAGATGACTAGAAGTACTGCGCCATTGCCTTACTAAGGCTGATAAAGTCCACTGGCTTGGTAACGTAGTCATTGAATCCAACAGCAACGCATTTGTCTTGCATCACAGTCATGACATTGGCAGACAGAGCAATAATGGGGATGCGAGGGAGGCCGGAAGCGCGTTCCCAGTCGCGGATATCTCGACACGTCTCAAAGCCGTCTTTTCTGGGCATTTGAATATCGCACTGTTGGATGGTTAGCTTCATGTCTCAATGGAATAATCTGCATTCACTTACCAAGATTAGAGAGTAGTACTCGTGTGGCTTTGACAGCATCGTTTCAATGCATTCGATACCATCCTCTGCAATGTCGACGTCTACGCCAATCTTTTCCAGATATTTGGTCAAGACCTTTTGGTTGATCTTGTTGTCTTCAACAACAAGGACTCGCAGGCCGCGGTTGCCCATGCGTCGTAAGAGCTCTTGTGAGCTCGCCTTCTGATTCTCGAGCATCTGCTGGGCGCTTGATCTGTTAAGATCGGTGCTGAGGTCGCGAACTCGATCTGGATCAAAGATTACCGCAAAACGTGACGGCTTGACAGGCTTATAAATGAACGTCACGGCGTTGTCCGACAGTAAACGTTCATATTTGGTGCCAGAAGCAACCTTGAGAACAGCTTGTCGTTGTACGGAATCGGAGAGGATGAGTATAATGGTCTTGTCCATGCGTTGGTGTTGAGTGATTTCGTCCATAAGACTGATAATAGCCTCTGCAGATCCCAGATTGATAACAATATGGGAAAAGGAAACTGGGTCGTCGCCTCCGATGAGATCGTGTGCTTCTTCAATGGTTCCAATGGCTGTTATTTGATGAGGAATGTCCTTTGACAAAGTCATCTCGATATGCTGAACCGTTGCATCTCGACTGTGACGTTGCGGACAGACGATCAGGATAGAGTAGATGGCAGGAGGGACGCCACTAGGAACAAATTGCGATGGCTGCTCCGGTGTCGATTTTCTTCCGGAACCGTCCTTGGCAAGAGGCATTTCCAGTTTCATTTGGCTCAAGTCTTGACCACTTGCTTTTGCTGCCTCACTGAACTGTGTGAGACCACTCTTCACTCCATTTACAGATGCTTTCGGTCCGGTCAATAGTGGTCGCTGTGCGATAGCCGAAGCCTTCATTGCTGCTGCTCGTGGAGAGCTTGAGGGCGGGAAAGTTGGTGTTTGTGTATCCCCTGGGCTGATTGCGTCAGATACCCGCTTTCCGGCGTTCAATTGAGGCGAAAGACGGATACCATCTGACGACTCTTGACGGGATAGGACAGAAACCGTGGAGCTAGGACTCTGTGGTAGATTTGGCTGATCGGCTGGTGTAGGTATAGCAAACAACGCCGTAAAAGTAAAAGTAGAACCTTTACCAAGAACCGCCGTACCAGTCATTGTTCCGCCGTGCAATTCAACAAGTTGCCTGGAGATTACAAGACCGAGGCCGCTTCCGCCATGCTGTCGGGTGCTGCTGCCGTCAATTTGACTAAACGGTTTAAAAATCAGCTCAGCTTCCTTTTGTGAAAAGCCACGACCCGTATCGGTAATTGAGAATTCAAGCATAATTGAATGTGTGTCAGCCTCGCTGTGTGGGTTTGCAACAACTTTGCAGTGGCTAAACACTTCTCCTGCCTCGGTAAACTTGATAGCATTGCCGATGACATTAAGCAAGACTTGACGGATTCGAACCTTGTCACCCTTGACCCAGGCAGGGACATCAGCCTCTACTAAATAGTTGAGCTCCAGGCCTTTGGCAATCGACATGGTCGAAACAAGCTCGTTAACATCTTCAATTAACGAACGAGCGTGGAACCACTCATATTTTAACTTCATCATGCCAGCATCCGCCTTGGAGAGATCCAAGATATCGTTGATAATCATGATCAAGCTGTTCGCGCTCGTTTGAATAGTATTGGCATAGTCTCGTTGCTCTTCGTCGAGCACAGTTTCTTGCAGGAAGCTGACCATTCCCGAAATGCCAATAAGAGGCGTTCTGATTTCGTGGGACATATTGCTCAAGAAACGTCCTTTCGACTCCATTGCCTCCTTCAATTTTGATTCCATTAGCTTGAGATCATTGATATCCGTAGCAGAGCCAAAATAAGAGCTTGCGCCGCGTCCAAAATCAATACCGTCAATCTCGACGCATCGAATTAGATGCCATCTGTATTCGCCAGATTTGGCACGAAGCCGCACCTCACTTGTGTACGAGAATCGGCCATTGCTGTCTTTGCTGATCCTCACGATGCCTTTCTTGGCCAATATAGCGAGGTCCGTTCCAGGGAGGTCAAACTTTGGCAGCTTCTGATTGGAGAAGGTGGCAGTTTTCCTTTCTGGGTTTAAATGGCTACCGCCACCATTGTTTGCCGTCCTTGATGATCGGCGGCCAGTTGGGATGCGGCACTTTGCCAGATCGTCTGGGTGGACATAGTCCATGAATCCAAGGCCCAGACAATCTTCGAAGCTTTGGCCCGTGTATGAGAGCCACTGCTCGTTAGCAAAGGTAATACCTTCCTCCTCAGTAGCCGTAAAAATTATTTGAGGTATAAGATTGGCCAACAATCTGTGCTTTGTCTCTGAAGCTTCGATCTCTTCCTGCCGTGCAGCCTTTAATTCTGCGATATGTTGGTCGTGGATGTCCATGTACGAGCCAAGAAATTGCATGATAACTCCTCGCTTGTCTCTCGAAGCAACAGCGCGTGCATAGAACCATCTATAAGCACCGTCGAACCGTCGGATACGAACAGTCCGTGAAAATTGTTCACCCGTTCTCAGTGAGTGACCCCAATCCTTCAGGTAATCGTCTCTATCATCTGGATGGAAGCTGAGCCATGGATCTGCGGCTAGGTCTGACACAGACTGTCCTCGGTAAGCCAAGTAGCGACTATTAACCCAGACAATTTCGCCCGTCTGTGGGAGAGCGACGAAAACATGGGCGGGTAGAGAGTCGAGAATCAAGCCCTTGAGCCGGTCTGATGGTGGCGGCAAGTCAACTGCAGCTGATGCCACTGACATGCTTCTAGTTGGGGTAGAAGTGAGTGGTACTGGAGCAGGTCTGCTTCGTAGCGTAGAGCTTGGCGGTAAGGACTGGAAAGTCGACGCAAAGTCGGCACCATAGCTATGTAGCATGCTATGATTGGGCTGATACAAGGATTGTGATCGTCCAATCTTCGGAGAGTCAGACATTCTATCCATGGACATGACCGGCAGCTCATCAGTATTAGGATCTGTGCCGCTCCGCGACGGTGCTCTGGTGTCTTTGACAAACGAAATAGAATCATCGCATAAGGATGGTACATTGTCACCATCATCAGTAGCATCCATGGCACTGGAGGGACGAGTATGGCGCTTTTCACCAGGCGACGCATCTTTCGAATCAGCCCGTGGACGTAAGTGGCCTGGAGTCAAGACGCCATGTCTCGAGGAAGAATGATGTTTGCTACTGAAGTATCCGCCACCGCTTTGTGAGCCCGCGGCTGGGCTTGCAAGTGGTTGTCTCCGCTCGCTCAACGAGCCATAAGTGGTTTCCCATCCTGGTGTGCCCATGGGAGATCCAGTGGCGCTCTTAGAAATAGCCGAGAAATCGCTTGGGCTAGTAATACTTCCGGCTAGAGACTGAAGCTGGCTTGGATCGGCAATATTGAGCAGCGATGGGTCGTATGGAGCTACAGCCCCGAATCCTGTTGTATTGGGCCGGCGTCGCTGAATGCCAGCCAGCTCGGTTTCTATATTCGTGAAGTGGCGACCGAGAGAGAATGAGGTAGCCATATGAGGGGCTAGCTGCTCAAGAGAACGTCTGAGCTCCGCTGGGTAGGGAGTTGTGGGACTCAGAATTGAAAGAATTGCAATTGGTGTTGCTTTTTTGGCTTTGAAACTGTCGGGGGCTGTCTTTGACTGTGTTTGCTGCTGTAGGATACTGGCAGCGCCACCCTTCAACAGCCGGGATTGGTTTGAAAGAAGAATATGATTCAATGGGATATGCAACACAGTCCAAGAGTTCTCAAGTCCTATAGCCTCCAAAGGCTTCATATCGGCATAGTCTGAATTCCCAGCGGCGGTAGGATTAAATGAGTCCTCGTCTACCATGGCATCCGTGAAGAAGGGATTTTCCTGAGAGTCTGTACGTACGGCCGGGGATGGAGCGGGAGATTGAGACCACGGCGAAGGGGGAGCTTGTTCATACTCTTCGTATCGTGGTGTAGTTGGTCGAGCCTCGTTTTCGCAGTTTGCAGAACCTTTCAACCTTTCAGTGGACTGAGCTTTCACTCGATTAGCTGTCAATAGGTCTGAGAGCCTGGACCCTGATTCTGATCTTTGAATACCACTGGGCTTTGAAGCGTCGGGCGGATTTCGTTTCGGTGTAGAGTTGGTATCGGAGGCATCTACGGCCTGTTGTGTGCGTGGCAGATAAGGATACGTCCGTGTGAGTGCCACTGGTCGTCCCCGTTCAAGAACACGCATGACGCCGCGGTGGTCGATTAAGGGATCGGCCTCGTAGTTTAGAGCTTGCAGAACTGGTAGAATACGGCCTTGGCCATCATAACGCGCTCGGAACGGTATTTCCCAGCTCGGTATGTTGCTATCGGCACCATCCTCTGCTTCATGCTCTTCCAGCGTCGTTTTGTCAAGTCGGAGGAGGCTCGGCGGTAATTCAGTGGCAGGTGTTAATGGATAGTTGCTATCACTTCGGCCAACCTGGGTCGGTCGGCGTGTAAGGGTCGATGGCCTCTCTAGTTTGCTTTTCTTCTTGTCCTCGTAGGCCGTGAAGGAATGTCGACTAGCTAGGCCGGGTCGTGCTGGTTGATCTGGTGCAGGGAGCTCATCCGGTGATGCAAAGGCGTCTGAGATATCAGCTTCGCTATTTTGTTTCGCGCTGCTGCCCTTGGTCATATATGCCATGCTGAGATCGTCTGCTTCGTGTTGATTATACGTAGCCTTTTGACCCCATGGAACATTTTCGATGTCTGTAGAGTCAGCAGGAACAGACAGGATGACACGTTCGGCTTTGTAAACATCACGCATAATCTGAACTACAGTATTCCACCAGGCATCCAAGCCAGGCTCCGCGGTGAGAAGGAGAGACAGCTGGTAGAGGTCGGGGAGGCTCTCCGGGGGATTTTCTTGTAGTGATGTGCCATTGGTGTGAAATCCAAATGCTGATGCCGGAGTAGATAAATCCGAATCAGCTCTTTCAAAAGCAAATCTAGGTTCCGCAGTCGTGGTGATGGCTATTCGAGACGATGTGTTGGGTGGAGTTGATTGAAGGTGCTGAGCGAAGCGAGTCGCAGCATTATCCACCGCCGCACCCGGATTCATTCTAGGAAAGGGATATGACGGCGTAGGCACAGCGGCTGGTGTAAATGGGCCACGGATTGTGTGCCCAGAATCAGTCGAGGAGGTGTTGAGATTTGATGATGGCCAATGGGTGCTGGAGGCAGATTCCTCGGGGATTGGAGAAAAGCGATGCTTGTCTGTCGATGAAGAGAGCATACCACGCGCATGAAGCTCCCTGCGCTCCAAATCACGAGCTAGCTTTGCTCTATAGTCACTAAGCTGTTGCTGGGAGCCGGTATCGTGCTTTGTGTCATCTTTCGCTTGGTCTTGGCCGTGTCGCGTGGCAGTGGGCGACCCAACTGTCACTTCGGCGGTCATTTGTGGAGGATGTGCTGGGTCGGGGCTCGATGTTCGCTTTTCTGTAGTGTCTGTGGGAAGGTTGCTTGATTGCGAGCTGGCCATCGCGACGGGAGGCTCTGCATGATCGCTGGGCTTCGCAGCAAGAGTCATTGGGCCATGTCTCGTGCAGGAGCTAGAGCGCGGAGAAAGTTTAGCGGCAGATATATAAAGGCGTACTATGCAACAGTAAACAGCCTAACGGTTGTTGTAGGATTGAAATTAAGCTTCAAGTGTAAGACGAAAACCTAAACAGTGCGTGATGTGTGGTAGGGAAAACCTCTGTTTGGCGTAGAGTTTCCCACACTGACAATCTTGCTCACACTGAGGAGTCGCGAATCGATGGTCGTCTGTAGTGCTATTGCCAACCTAGAGCCACTAGATGACTTTGTAGCGAGCAGAAGGTTGTTGCGGTGTGTGTCGCTGGTGGAATGCGTGAAGCCGGTCTGAAGAGAGGTGAGGAAAAGCAAGGGCAACGGAAATGACGAAGATGGCGAGGTACGGCGACGCCAGGCAGGGGGGAGGTCAACACTTGGCGGCGGGCAGACGGGTTGGCACTGTGAGCTGGGCTCCACAGCAAAGCTGTAGGGCATTTTGGGTTGGGTTAATTTGGCCACCAGCGCGGGAGCCGATGGCACTAAACGTCCTCGTGGCAAGAGAAAGCGAGCTAAAAATTGCTTGGACGAGACGATGAAAAAAGAATACGAAGGTCGTTTACGAAGTATAACACAGAATGAAAAAAAATAGGCGAGAATAAAAACCAATGAATACGGGCGTTTTCTTTTTATTTCCTGAGCAGTATTGTGGTTATTCCTCTTTTCCCGTCCCACAGCAGCACAGTACGCAGGGGACCGTTTTGCAGCACGCACCACTGGCCGCCAAAATTGGATTCTGCCAGCTGGCAAAAACACAACACAAGCCGGCACCCACAAACTAAAGCCAGGCCAGCCGTTTACAACAGTGTCGCAAATCGAGATCTAACCATATACAGTCGCCCGTTGCCTCGCCGCGTTCCAAGCTGCTGGGCGGAGGCTTCTTCAGTGGCCAAGCTTGGAAATGGTGGCTGACAGGTGGCTACGCCGATGACGTAGTGTCCATTGCCAACCGTTTTCCGGGGGGGCCGTCGCCGCCGCCCAATTTACTTTAATTAACGTTGACCCGCCAGTCACACTGACGACAAGTGAGCCGATACACTCAGAGTATGCGTACACAGCTCACGGGAAATTCATGAAAAATATTCTTGGCTTCAAAATGCCATTTTTGAACATCTATAAATCGTTGAATCAGTATGGCCTCTCTGTACGCCACCAATAGAGGCATCAACAATCGTAGTAGGTCATCTACCCCCGCTCTACAACAGTACTCAAACAGGCGCGGAACACAGTGTGTTTGGTGACTGGCAAGCGTCCGTCACAAACAAAAATATACATGGATAAACCGTGAAGCGGTGGGGAGATGGTACGATGGAGGCCGCATCGTATAAGTAAATCAACCATATAAATCCTTGCTTCGTTTGTAAATATCGGCGGAGGCAGTGTTGCTGCCTTGTTTAATTCATCCGCTATGGAGTTGCAACAATCGAAGCAGAGGGCACTAGCAGCTACTTGCATGCATGCAGGCTATAAAGAAAGAATTTGGATCATCTGTATACATTACGGAACAGTGTATCAGCTAGTCGTTATCTTGCCACCAAATTTATGCTTTTGGATGCGAGGTAGGACGCCAGCCAAAACTAAAACAGAAAGCAAAACGGGTGCCCAGAGCTGGATCTTCAATACATTCTCAACATATTCGGTCCTTGTTGCACTGCAAACTGTGACTAGTAAGAGAACCAAGATAACATAGCCGCTCGCGCGGTGGTACTTCCAGATGGCCATGGCGTTTGCTCGACCTCCATACAGAGATGGTACAGCATACATTGTAAGGCCAACCAAGTACTGGATCAACAACACAATCGATGTTGTAACTCCCAAGTAGCCATGCACAGAATGGAAATGTTCACCCTTGCTTCTGTATTTGTTATACTCGATCACTCCAACGCCGGTAACGAGCAGCAGAAACGCAGCGAGGTTGAGGGTAGCGTGTACTTTCTGGCCGATACGCTTTTGATCTCGTGTATGAGTTGGCTGTAGGGCAAGAATCGATTGAATAAGGACCAAAACAGCGAGCGACTGGGCTAGTGGATGGCCAGAGAAGAGAATCAGCGGTTTTGTAAAGACGCTAGCCCAGATGACGATGGTTAGAAGAACGCTGGCAAGCTGGGCGATAAAGCCGGTTCCTATTTTATCCCAGGTTAGTATTTTGATGGCTGGAATTTGGATCGGCAGCACCCACCAAGTGTCAAGTTGTAGATAAAGGGCTGTCGGCGAGTCTGTGATGCATCGCCGGGTCGCCCCAGAAGAGGCTCAGTCTCATGGATTGGGGCGCCGCCAGCCTCGTCAATGGGCGCCGAGACGTCTGGTGCTGTGGTTGTAGCCATAGTGAGTACTGAATACAGTGTCTTTTTTTCAAGTCCTGCTTCAACTACTGCACAGTTGATGATGTTGGTTGCGAGTTACACAACCTGGCCGTCAAAGAGGGGTCACCAGCTGACGTGAATGCAACCGTCGATGACGGAACCAGCCACAGTCCCCCAGATTAAAACGGGCTTAGCGGGCTGCTCTGCGTGGTGTTGGCGATGCGGGCGGCGATGGGGCGCTCAGCAGCCACTCACAGGCGCCGAGTTGGCAAGCTTGGGACCGATTAGGCCCGCCTTGTACTGGACGACCACTGGAGGTACGCCGATCCACTACAGTGGGTAAGCAAAAGTTACAAGTAGCCCATATTTCAACAAACACATTTCAAATATATATTTACACCAACATTATATGTAGTAGTGATCTAAAACTTCGATAAATGTAAAGTATTTACACTATATATGATATTCTAAAAATATTGATAGAAAACTTAATTTTATAATATATATTAAAGAATATTTGAAAGATTCACACCTTGGTAGCTAACACGACATCCATGCTAGTTTACACCTCCATCATAGCTAGCAACTACATAAAGGGCGCCGTGTATTGGGAATTATGACGACATTAAGCCAAGAGCGAAGCCATCTCCGGTTTTTCCTCTTCGGAAGACGTGCACCTTTTGTAACCAGTAACATATTGTCTCCTCGCATACTTATTCATAATAGCATCCGGCCGCAGACCGGCGTCGGAACTGGCCGATACCCACTTCCCAAACCCCCCGCCCCCGCGACGTCCTCAAGACATTAAATAGAACGCACTCCCATTTATAAGGTTTCTTTGTGATGAGACTGGTGCCAACAGAAAAGATATAAAACATTATAACAAATAACTACTTACTCATACTACATTTATCTATCCTATTTACACAATGTCTTCCTTCGTCGATGAGATCGAGTACAAGCTCGAGAATGTCAATGCTACGGCCGTCGCCTCGGGGGACATCGACAAGACATTCCGATCTAGCTCTATTGGTAAGCGCACTAGTTTAATGAAAGAAATGGTCCTAGTGTATCACTAACATATTTGTAGATCTCATCTCTGCTACTCTAGGCGGTAAGATCCTTGCCTTCTCAGACCAGTGGTTTGCCGAAGCAGCGAATCTTCTGACCCCCACTCCTCCCATCAGCCAACCCGGAAAGATGGTCTTTACCGGTGCTTGGTATGATGGTTGGGAAACTAGACGCCACAACTCCGAATCTTTCGACTGGGTGATCATCCGCCTCGGTGTTGCATCTGGTACGGTGGAAGGCGTTGAGGTCGACACGGCCTTCTTTACGGGCAACTATGCTCCCGCCATCTCTGTTGAAGGCTGCTTCAGTGACAACGAAGATCAAGTGGTCTCCTGGCAGGGCGGTCGTGGAAACTGGGAACCCATCCTTAGCACCCGCGAGTGCGGGCCGTCTCAGCGCTTTGGTTGGAAGCTTGACCAGCCATCGAACAAGCAATACACCCACGTCCGACTTAACATGTATCCCGACGGAGGCATTGCTCGATTCCGCCTATTTGGTCACGCCGTGCCTGTTTTCCCCGAGGATAAGAGCGTCATCTTTGACTTAGCCGCCGCTCAAAATGGTGGAGTTGCCACCTCCTGCAGCGACCAGCACTTTGGCACCAAAGACAACCTCATCCTACCTGGACGTGGAAAGGACATGGGCGATGGCTGGGAGACAGCCCGTTCACGAGGCAAAGACCACATCGATTGGACTATTATCAAGCTAGGTGCTCCTGGATATATTGAAAAGTTTGTGGTTGATACTGCTCACTTTAGAGGAAACTTCCCCCAGAAAATCGCCATTCAAGCCATCGAATGGAAGGGCGACGCCGACCCCGACGCTTCAGCAGAGGGCTGGAAGGAGGTTGTGGCTCCTAGCAAAACCAGTGCTGACAAGGAACACGACTTTGCAAACGCCTCTACAGACTCGGTATTCACTCATATTAAGCTGATTATGATTCCAGATGGCGGTGTTAAGCGAGTTCGCGCCTTTGGTCGACGCGCTGCTTAAGCTTGTGCGCAGTGGGAAGTGTGTCCAGCGATGGTGTCTAGCAAATCTATGAACTTTAATGGAAAGCGATGATGAAAAATAAGAAACAATAATCGATGGTAAAAATACCCACAAGATAAATTTATTATTCATACTACCAATACAATTTTTTAAAATAAAAAATAGTCATCTCTCTAGTCTTGCCCACCTTGGAAAACCAACACGCGATGTGGTGATATAAAATTCCAGGCACAGTGTGCGGGGCAGACCAACGCACAGCACTAGCATGACGACGGCGCCGCAATTTAGTTGACCCTCCCTCGGCCGTCACGACTGACTACCACCTCTTTGTCAACATCACACGACATCCGATACCACGACGCCCAACACGGCCGCGATATCCCCGGAGCTGCCGTATCAGTCACCAACTACATATATCTGAGCTACATTAACCGGAAGTACCCCGTGTTTCCCTCTCCCACCGCTGCCGGGTCGTCGTCTCATGAGTCCGGCGGTCTGGCACTGCCCCTCCTCCCACAATGGATCCTGAGGAGTCAAACGGCGATGCGGGTGATATCAAGCCCAAGCCTATGCCCTCCGATCTCCCTACCTCTCTCGACGACCGAAGGCACGCCCCAGTCGATTATGTAGTCCCCGAGACGGAAATGTATGATGGGTGGCAAGGTATGTGATGCCCCTCTTGGCCAGAAGGATTCAAAATACCAGGAGGCCAGCTTGCTACTTTAGTGCTCCCAAACTAATTCCAACTAGGCCAGTCCCAATTCCTCACAACCCCAGCCGTAGCAAAGCCCTTGAATTTCGGAAGCCTCTCGCTAAATGACTCGGAATACGGCGAAGACATTACGAAAGGCCCCAAGGATAGCGACGCGCGATTGATGGAGATGCTTGCTGCCCAAGCTGCGGCCCACCAAGCTGGACATGGCGTGGAAAATGAAGATGTTATCATAAATGACGAAAAGCTTTCGGACGATGAAAAGAAGGACATGCTCCAAAAGGCACTGAACATGGCTGCCAGCAACGGAGATGTTGCCAAAGTCGAAAGCTTGGTCTCCGGAAAATCGAAAGAATACGTCGACGTCAACAAAGCAGATGAGGATGGAACTCCGCCTCTCATCTATGCAAGCTGTTTCGTAAGTGTTGCCACTAATTCCTTTGAGCCGCACGTTACTGACAAACCACACAGGGCCACGAAGCTGTTGTCCAAGCCTTAATCGATGCCGGAGCCGACGTGAATAAACAGGACCAGAACCAATGGAGCGCGCTGATGTGGGCAATGACAAACAGGCATAAGGGAATTGCGAAGATTTTACTTGACAATAAGGCTTCGTCTGATCAGAAGACCTCCTCTGGTCGCACTGCGTTTGACTTTGTCCCACCCGACAGCGAAATGTCTTTCTATCTACATGATAACGGCTACAATATTGGAAATGCTGGTGTTGGCGACGACTTCTACAGCCCTGGTTTCTCACAAGACCGATTTGAAGAAGAAATTGCTGAAAATGAAATGCGCCGCCGTCTGATGATGGAGAGTGCGCGTGACTTGGAAGTTGATCTCGGTAATGTTGGCATGGATGACCAGCCGGAGGTAAGCATTCACTCTCCTACAATTTCATACTATGCGAACAAAAGTAGCTAACAAAGAGAACAGCCAGTCGATGAGTTTGAAGAAGAACAGCAAGAGTTTGACTGGAGCAGATGCCTACACGATCAAATGTTTGTTTTCCAGGAGCACGAGCTCGATCGGATACTGGACATCATCATCACCAAGATGACTCCCCAAAGATCACCGTCGCAAAAACCCGTCCCAGCAAACATGATCTTTCTTAGCGCTCGCTACGCACATTATCATGCTAGCCCCGAGTTGCTGGAGAGGTTGCTTGTTTCCGCCATGGACCTTATTAACGATGTTGTCGAACGGTGCCAATGGGACATGACCATTCTAGCATTCTGGATTTCCAACGCAACATTACTCTTACACTATCTCAAAAAGGATGCTGGTCTGGTTGAGCATACAGCCGAGTTTCAAGCCCAGCTTGCAGAGCTTATCAATGAGATTTTCATCCTAATTGTACGCGATGCTGAACGCAGACTCGACAAGGTCCTGGATCCTGCCATGCTGGATCACGAGACCATTCCCGGCTTTGAGGGCATTACGTTCCAAAACGAGTGGAAAATCTTCAAGCGCAAAAACACAGTGAAGCAGGAGCCGCTTGAGAAACGCTACCGCCCACCGTCACCAAAGCAGCGCGCCAAACCGGCGCCTCGCAACGTCACTTCGCTCCTCTCATCGACGCTCTTCGTACTGGACTTGTATGACATCCATTCCGTCATCACGACGCAAATCGTCTCGCAGCTTCTCTACTGGATTGGTGCAGAATTATTCAACCGTATCATGTCGAGTCGGAAATACCTTGCTAGAACGAAAGCTATGCAAATTCGAATGAACATCTCGCTTCTTGAAGAGTGGTCTAGGACGAACAACCGCCAAGCGGAACACTACGAGAGTGGCGAGACCAAGTCTACGGGTGAAACTACAGCCGATGCTGGCAGGAGGCATCTGGCCCCCGTAATCCAGCTTCTCCAATGGCTTCAATGCTTCTCATCGCTCGCAGAAGACGATCTGGAAGCCTTGGTTGGCACACTGCAGCAACTCAAGCGCCTAACACCTCAGCAGCTGATCCACGCAGCCGCGCACTACCGACCAGAGGTGGGCGAGAAGAAGCTCCCTAAGAGTGCTTTGAACTACTTGATAGCGATTCAGAAGGAAGCGACGTTGAAACGGGACCGACGCCGCAGCAGAGCTACTTCTCCCTTGCCGGCTGAGCCCACCACACCGGTGCGGCCTGGCTCCAACGCCAACGGCCTCGAAACGCCAGGCAGCGTCCAAACCACACCGGACGGTGGCAATGGTAGCGACGATGACGAGGGAGACGATGCGCCAGCCAATTTGTTACTGGACCCTGCCCTCATGCTACCATTTACCTTGCCGTCGGTGACCGATATGCTGGTCTCGTATGGGGCCGGCTTTGGCGGTGTAAACCGCGAGCGGGAACGCAAGTATATTCCGACAGTGCCGCCCGAGTTCCTGGACAAGCTGGAAGTGAGTGGTGCCCAAAAAGAAGCACCCATGTTTGAAGAAAAGGATTGGGAAAATGAAGAGGTTTAAATGTGCGTGTACATTTCGAGCTAGACGCTCTGCCTCGCCGCCATTTTGTTGCATTGGGATAAAGACATCAATAGCCCCTTGTGCAATTTTCTTTCTTTCTTTTTAATTCGTTTCTATCAAACCAAAAGGCATATAGTAGCATATTACAGGCAATTATCATGATTTTTATTTATGACTATAAATCCGTCGTCCTAGGTGAAATGTCGGTTCTTGCATCGTCGCTTAAGCTGAGTATTTTGTATACCTAGTTTTTATTTAGAAGCTGTCTTTTTTATCAGCACCGCGTGATAGCCGCCCAAAACTTCGACGAAATTCTTCACACGGCTCAAATGTCTTGCCAACTCTACAAGTTTTCCCAGGGTCCCCGGTTGTGTTGAAGGGTCCGGTCCGGTCCGTGTTTCCCGTGTACATGTCTCACTGGGTTAGCCGCAACAAGCTGTCGCCGCCGTACCGAACCAGGCACAGCACACAACTATCGAACGAGATGCTTCGCGGGCTGAACCAAGCGCTGAGTGAGAATCATTTATGTTGTCTCGTCTCCTTTTTACAGCGGTGAACTTGACCATGCTGGCAAGGGTGGTGGGAGAATTAAACAAATCATGCATGCACAAATAAGGATTTGCTTCCTTGCCCAATCGTCCGCCGCCTTGATTACCGATATGCAATGCGTGGCTGCAGTACGTAGATGGGGTACACTATGCAGGGCAAGGTAAACACAAAATGCATAGCTGTCATATAGAAACATTATGTGCTTTTTTAAAACAGTTTTTATGCTCGTCATTCGACAGCGAACTGCACGCACCCGACGCGAAAGCGGTACTTGTCACGATGTTGACAAGCTGCAGCTGTTAGCGCAGGTACAACCGCTCCCAACTCTTATTTATCACTTTGTTTGAATGACTGTGTACCACGTACTAGTCGCTTGCTACTGCACTCGACGGTGTAATAGTCAATTACGTCTTTAGCTACGCGCCACGAGCCACATGTCAACAGTCTAGTTGCGCGACTTTGGCCTGGCAGACGTTAGGCCGTGCCATCCCTGCCCAGCACACTATTTGCAAGCCGGGCCTCTTGATTGGGTCGCTCGCCGGGCTCGTGAAAGATGGTGTGTGTGTGTACGGCTGGCTTAGCATCGTGCCACTGGCGGCGCGCCAGTCAGCTCAGCTCAGCAAAAGGCCTCGAGCTAAGACCTGTGGGAGGGCACAGGATGTGGAAATCAGCTTCCCTGGCCGGGTGTTCCAGGCCGCCTATGGTCCCCGCCCAACGCAAACTTTTTTGACACTAACGCAAATGCAACAGCAGCGACGACGCGAAATAGTTGGAGGTACTTGGTGGACTAACAGCGACGTCGCCGATCTTTGGTGGCTGGGATAGTGTTGACCTGCAAATCGTTTGTCATCTGAAGGCTCGTTCGTCTCTTGACAGAAAGTCAAAAAAGAGTGCACCGAGGAAGCCGTAATAGTATTAGGCCAGGGACCAAAAACTCAGTTGCCTCTCCACTGACCGTTGAACGGGAATCCTTCCGGCACGGCGGAGAGCCTACGGTGCTTTCCGCAGCTGAATAAGGTTCAAACCTATGAGAGCTTTGACATGCACAAAGGGTACAGACAGTGACAAAGGTGTATCCAGGAAGCACCAGCACCGCAGGGTCTAGGTCGCATTTATTTTTCGGAGCACAGCGCGCAAGACGAAGCAGGTTTAGGTGCAACGCAAGCCCAACCCAAGCGTCAAGTGGTGACACATCTTCGAGACATGATGCGACGACAGGATGCACGTCAAGGGAGAGTCAATCTGTCTTTTGCTACCCAGGAAGAGTCGAACCTGGTACCAAAGGTCAAGACAGAAAAGAGAGTCAGTGGCTTCTGAGCTAGTTTCGGATGGTGGGGAAAAGCTGTTCTTTGCTTCTCTTCTCTTGCTAGCAAGAAGCAGTGGAAGCGGATGTCTCGGGTTTCTTTTTGGCCAAAACTCGTTGAGTTGTGAGCTCTGCTACTCTTCACTTAACAGAGACAACAAGGAAAGAATGGGCAAACAATAATTGCTGATGAACTCTTTTTTTTTTTCTTTTTCTTCGTATTTGCGGTTCTTTTTAATCTTATTCACACAGAATCATGTAAAATCTTTCTTCAATGACACCCTCTTTAGGTAGACAGAGCTGACAGGCCAAGGACGAAGGCAGGCACCACCCAGGTCAGGCCACATTAAAGTGGGCGCTCTTGCCTTTTTTTCGTGCGGCTTTCCCCACCATCTGCCCTGTCTATTGCCGGTTACAGCGGACAGCATCGGGTCCTGCAGCCAGCGGGTTAGTGCCTGTGGCTGCTTGTTTCTTTTTTCTGCGCTGCAGGCTAATGATGAAGGACAAGTGCACAAAAAAGAAAGCAATACAACAAGGAGCGTAGGATGATAAAAAGAAAACAAAAATACAACAGATATCAATTACAAATTCACATAGTCATGTATTTTGAACGAACGCAGTCCAACGGCCGCAAGTACTCAATTTTTTCTTTCCTTTCCTAGCCCACTAACACCCTCTAGCGGCCCACGGTAAGAAAGTACAGAAGGAAGAGTCAGGTTTTTAGCGGGGATGGCCAAACTGGCGCCGGCCATTTGGGTACACAACGATACCAGCCCAGTACACGGCACATGCACTCTGGTCCCCTTCCCCGGGTGCGATAGCGGGGGTCACGGCAGAACTGTATGTCACCGCCACGTACCTTGGAATTCCCTCTTTGGGCCACCAAGCGGATTTTTTCTTTCCTCGACGGGCGAGATTCCAGAACGCCGCCCGCTGGGCCCTTGTACCTGTGTGCCTGCATTGTGATGTGTGTGGATGTGTGTGTGTGTGTGTGTATTGGTTGCGCCGCGCGCGCTTGTTTGTCTCTTCTCTCGTCTCTTGGACTGCTTTCTTTTCTTTTTCTTCTTTTTCAATCCGTCGATTCCTCCTCATCACTTTCCTTTCTTTTTCCCCAAATCAATCTCGCTCTCTTCGATATCCCGTCCCACACGGACACCACCAATCTCATACATCAACCACTCACAAGTTCCCCCTTCACCAGGTTGTTTCTTTTTTTGCTGCCTTTTTCGCAAGCAAGCACCCGCATTGATTTGCTCGCTTCCCCAAACTGGTCATTCCCTTTCTCGGAATATTGCCCTTGCAATTTTCCTTTTGGGGTTATAAAGTCCCCAGGTTGCCGTACATCTACATCGCGCGAGCGCTACTCCTCCGGCAAACATCCTTGATCTCCCAAGCCTCCAGCTCATCGCCAATTCGCTGGCTGTCTATGCTGCAACCCGAGCATCAGTGCAAGTTCGCTTGGTTTATATGCGCTTGATACCCTCCACCAGACTCCATTCTTAAGAGTCTCATTTATATTTATCCTCTCATTCTTCCTTTTGTTACACATTGATTTACTCGGCTTTGTATCCATTCTTTTACGGGCATCGATTCCAGCAACAGCCTCAGAAACACACGGCAACTTATACAGCAAGCGTGCGACAAACGCCTCAAAACCAAACCTTTCATTTTTATTCATTAGACTACCAAAGAAATGCCTCCGTCAAGGTCCGCCTCTGTGAGGCAAGCAGTGTCCCCTGCCGTCCGCAAAGCACACTTCAGAGACGACACCAGCCTCGTTGGGCTGCGCTATGAAAAGACGACTGCAGCCCAGCCGCCCATTCCCATTATTTCACGAAGCGCCTCAGTCAGACGCCCAGCGCGCACGCTCTCTCGGTCAACCTCGTACGCCTCGCTTCACACACCCGTCGTGGTGGTGCCGCCGCGCGGAGCGTTCCTCGAGCCCCCAGTTGAAGTGCACCCTGCGCTGCGAACAGAGGCGGTCGAGGTTCGCGGGCGCAACCGAGATTCGGGCCACGGGGCAAACACATCGTCTTCTTCGTCAAGCATCCCAGAGGAGAGTTGCGATGACATTGTCAGCGTTGCAGGCTGCGACACAGAGGGCGATGTCACTATGCCAGATGCTTGTCATAAGAGCGCCAACGAGGCCAGTTCGCAACTCGTCGAGCGTCCATCCAACGACACCCAAGCGCAGCCTGATGCAGAGCTCGAGCTTGTCGCTACTAATATGACCAGCACTGGTCTTGCTTCGCCGCCGCCGTCCGAGCCAACGTCGCCCACTACGCCCAGCCGCGCTGCGACTTTTGCTCAAAACTCGTCCTTTCTCCCCTCTACCCCGTCCCCGTCCCCTTCTCTTGCTCGTCAAAACTCCTCTGCCCGCCGCAACAAGCTCATCAAGAGATCGTCGTCTTCGTCTGCTGGCAGCCGTGGCTCGTTTTGGAGACACTCGTCGCCCCCAATGCCCTACTTCCAGACCATGCCGACCGTGGAGCGGGGCTCGCCCAACGCCCCAGCCACTAAGCCACTCCGCCAACCCTCCATGTGGCCAACAGCTTACTCCTTTAACAACAACGCCTCCAGCGACGTCGACGCCCCTGACTATCCTTCTTTCTCTCCCCTCGGCATTTCTATCCCCAGCCAGAACTTTGTCGATGACGACTTGTTCACAAACCTAAACTTTTCCCAGCGAGGCAGTATTATGGGATTTGGCGGCGCCATGGGCCTCAATCCGCATCTCGCCAGTGGCATCGCCCCCTTTGACAGCAGCAGTGCTCAGGCGCAAGTCTACGACGACGAGTCCTACACATACACAACACCCACGCAGACTACTACATCGGCTGGCTCCGACGTCAACTCCCTCTCCCAGGACGACGCCTCGAGTGCCCTCCACCCAGTAGTTACTGCGCGCGGCAACCCTGCTGCTCCCCCCGCCCCCGACGCTCGCGTCCCGACAACCGACGCCGAGCTAGAGTCTCAAAAGGTGAGATCGCTCTATGAAGCGGGCGATGCCATCAGTTGGGAAGACGGCGCAAGACACTCCTTCTGCGATCACTTGGACTCCACACCAGAAGTCCTCGCAGAAGATGAAGACCATGTCCCGTATGATAACTCCTCTTTGAACCGGCCCTCCCAACGGCAGCCGCCTACTAGTCATGCTTGCACCGACATGTCTGCTAACACTGCTTTGCCTCCTCTGCAGAAGAAACGAAGGCCTTCCCGCTCTCGCTCCCGTTCCCGAGCTGTGTATTCCAAGATCCGCCGGCTCCTCATCCCATCACCACGATACCGCGAAGAGTGAAACCGGGCCGGGCGACGGCCTTGAGGACTGGGAAGACGTTGATAATGCCTTGATAGACCGCTATGGCTTTATTACTGTGCCGCGCATCCGCTCCCGCGCCGGCACTCCGACCGAGCTCAAGTCGGCGCAGTTTTCCCCTAGAAGGCGAAACGTGCTCCAAAAAAGAGATCCCATGGGCTTTACAAGCGGCCAAGGCGCAAGGCGAATGCCTAGCAGGAAAGTATCCGCTCGCTCTCTGAATACCCAGCACTCCCACGCATCAGTAGTCTCTTTTCGCTCGTCGCGCTCTGTTCTCCGACAAGCCGGCAACATGTTCCCTCACAACCGCAGTCGTCGCTGGATGGACGAGGCCGGTGACATGCTCACCGTAGCGCCCAACTTGCAAGACGATGTGGAAGAGGCGCATGTGGAAAAGATCTCGGAGGCGATCAAGCGTAAGGAGGTGGAACGCGCAGAGAAGTGGCGCAAGATGGCCAAGGTAATCCCCAAAGGCGACGAAGGCCAAGGCATGGAGTTCGAGTTTGACGTGAAGAACCCAAAGCTCATTGAAAGAACTTGGAAAGGCATCCCTGACCGCTGGCGGGCTACCGCCTGGTGGGCCTTTCTAGAATCAGCAGCAAAGGAGTCGAAAGATGCCCAGTCATCGCAGGAACTGATTACAGAGTTCCACCGCCTCCAGAATCGATGGTCTCCAGACGACAGTCAGATTGACCTGGATGTTCCTAGGACAGTTGGCCGGCACGTCATGTTCCGAAAACGGTACAGTGGTGGCCAACGCCTACTCTTTCGCGTCCTCCATGCCCTCTCTATACACTTCCCAGATACGGGCTATGTCCAAGGCATGGCTTCGCTTGCCGCTACGCTACTCTGCTACTTTGAGGAAGAGAAGTGTTTCGTCATGCTGGTGCGCATGTGGCAGCTGCGAGGCCTTCAAAAGCTGTATCTCCCTGGAGATGCTGGCTTGGACGGGCTGATGGCCGTACTTCATGCGTTTGATGCCTCATGGCTCAACAAGGAAGTGGGCAACCGACTCAGTCAGCTTGGACTAGACACGACAGCCTATGGCACAAGATGGTACTTGACTCTCTTCAACCTCTCGCTTCCCTTTCCAGCGCAACTCCGCGTCTGGGACGTCTTCCTCCTTGGAGAAGGAACCCTGGCAAAACCCCCAACGCCAGCCTCTGATCCCAAAATGAGTGTCGATCCCGCCCTGGACGTCCTCCACGCCACAAGCGCCGCTCTGATCCAAGCCCTGCGCGAGGTCTTGCTCGACTCGGACTTCGAAAACGCTCTCAAGGCCTTGACATCGCCGATCCCCGTCAAGGACGAGGATCTGCTGATGAAAGTCACCAAAGCAGAGTGGAAAGCCCATCACAGCAAGAAACGATTTTGAGCATTTCTTGTGCCCATCGCGTCCTCATTCGCCAATCATAATGCTTCTGCACAATCAACGCAACTCCTAAGCCTCCGTGCTTCTCTCAATTCTTCAAGCATACTCGACAAAAGTTTTACAAGCCCAGCCCCTTCCCGTCACTCTCGAATGCCGTTTCGCCTCTTGCATATTTCTGTTTTCCAATACCACCTATCCTTACACGCATGCACTTACTCTTTTTTTCGTTCTACATTATTACATACGAATAGATGACATGATGAAGGAGGACCAAGATTTGGTATCCTAATACCACGCCCTTTTCATTGTAAAATCGGCTTCTTGTTTGTTTTTGTCTTTTTATACCCCATTCCTTATCTATGAGTAGTCGCAGGATACCGACTACATAGTTACTGTCTTTCATTGTTATGCATGTGCCATTATGGCGTGTGCCGTTCCTTTGTCTTTTTTTACTGCATGATAAAGAAAGCAACCTGAATTATCAGTGCTGCTAGCTAATTGGTTTAATACACACAAAGTTTATTTGTCACATTCACTGCCTTTCGTGATATATAAAAGACGCAAAATCGGTTGCGGTTGGAGCTTATGCAGCACACAAAGTTTGGGAATTAAATATGACAGCACGCTCGCTATTCAAAGTTAAGCATCATGAAATCAATCGAATCATTTACTCTCTAAATACTATCTAACTTGTATAATATCACAAAAGCAACGTGAGAACACCGTGGCCAATGGGGGGCATCCTTCAATCTCAGGAGTCGCCCTTCACAGTACGAAATAGATAAAGCAAAACCTCGGCCCAGTCCATAACAACAAAGTACATCGTAATTAAGCAAACAGAAAAGGACTTGGACTAGACCGTACATGATACAGAAAATGAGAAAAGATAAAAAAGTTGCATAGTGAATCTCAGAATGAGCGTTCATAATTCGTAAACTGTTCGAATAATATGCGTAAACATAGGAGATGTATAGTGTTCGTTGACGTCGTGTCTGTCATCGCTTGTTGCAAACGGAAAATAAAGGTTATAAATCAAATCACGCTGGGCAGCAGAGTTTGCTGCCATCATCGTTCTTCTGGAATTCGACGCCGCGCCATCTCCACAGACCGCTCTCGGCGACTGCGATGGTCAAAGGGGGTTTCAATTATTCTTGACGGCATCCCACCTCGCGGCTCGATTGCAGAGCGAGGTTCCTCTTCGCGTTCCCTCGATAGCCGATATGAAGGGGGCTGTTTACGGTCGTCTTGCACATCACGGTCCCGGGATGAGACGGACGAGTTGTCTTGGACAGGAGTGCCAGGTCGATGTGTTGAGTCGCCACTGGCACTGAACCCGTGTCTTGGTGCTTGATACCAGGTCACGTCACTTTTGTGGCGCTTGTGACCGCGGCGATTTCCCTGTTGACTACTGGGCGGATTGTTTGGCGGGTTATTGGCATATTCTTGCTGGCTGAGGTTTGGCGGGGATCTAGATCGATGAGTGCTGGATGCTCGGCTATGTTGATATCCATCTCCTGCCACTTTGCGCTTCTTTTGAGACTCGCCTGTAGGAATAAAAGAGAGCACAGGTTAGTTCAAAACGACTCCCGTTTGCGTTTATTCTTGGACGAACCAGAAGGTGTTGCTGGTCTATTGGAGCTGCTCCCGCCAGTTAGCGACCCAGGGGGTTGCCAATGGTGGAAATAAATAGACGAGTTGCTCTCATTAGAAGGTGCCTGCAATACGCTACGCTGAGGTTGATACGTCCCAGATGCGCCGTGGCTAGATGAACCGGACACAACAGTTCCGCTACTGGCAGAGTGGGTTATAGCTCCAGAAACGGTCTGACCCCGCGGTCTGCCTTGAGCATCCGGATATGATGCGTATCCTGTTGGCTGTGGCTGTGGGCCAGAGCTCACAACAGCTTGTGAAGCATGATATTGCCCAGGTTGAACACCGTCCCTCAATGGCTCTGGAGACGCCGCGCGTTGAGCTGGTAACAGTTGTGGGGGATGTCCCTGCTGAGGTGGTAAAAGTGACTGTGCCCAGTCGATCGCTGCTTGAGGTAGAACTCCTCCTCCCATGCCTGCAAAGACCAATGGCACCATGGGAGGTGGGATACCCCCACCCAGAGAAGCCCTCAGTATATCCATTTCTATTTTTCGTTGCTCAAGTCGTAGGCTCTCTTGGCGTGTCTTTTCCTCTTCCTGCTTTGTCTTTTCTTCTTCCGTCTTTGCAACAAGCCAAGTGCGCATAGACTCATCCCCGCCTTGCCAGTGGGGAGAGTGTTGGGCAGACTGTGGCGGTGGAGGAAGCGACGACGAGCCCCAAGAATCTCTCTGATGATGACTATGAGCTGGTGGTGGCATTGGTGGCGCAGGTTGACCATGGTGTGGGTGATTGACTGGTTGAGGGTGTGGTGCTTGTGCCATTGGAGGGGGAGGTTGTTGCTGTGATAGTGCCAGGGCAGCTGGAGGGGGCAACCCTCGAGCATGGGTGTTTGCCATAGTCTCTCCTCCGTAACTATAACTTCTAGGTATTCGAGCTGACTCAGACGAAGAGTATGAATATCGATCTAGCCGAGAAGCCGAATCAAAAGAGTCTGGTGGTGTGGTTGGTTGCTCATGGGCTGGCCTCGAGGCTGCCGTATATTCCTGATGGCTTGTAAGTTTCATGGTGTTATTATAATACAGAATTTCGAAATGTGAAACGACGGTGCAAGACAGAAGTAGAGGTATAAAAGCAATGCAAGAGGACTAGAAGAATACAATATGTGCCAGCCAAGCAAAAGAGGAGATATATATCAGACGTGTAGTGTTCAACAAGAGACAGGAAACAAATCAGGGAGCATAGCATAAATAGGAAAGAGGAAAAGATCTGGAAGAGTAGCCAAGCAAATGGGATGGAACAATATAAATCAAAACAACAATGCATTAGAATAACCGTCAAAGGGGTCAGTCGCCTACCTTTAAGCTGGACCCTATTTTAACCAGTAGTTGGGCTGCGCGGAGCGCCTGCGCTTGTGTCGAAACGTGGGCGAGGCTTGTTGGGTGGTAGCGAGAATGGAGGACAAAGGTGGGATGAAGCTCATTCGACCATTGCTTTCAATAATGGGGTTTCTCTAGGTTTAATGAGGCAAAAGGCGACCTGAAACGACCAAAAGGTTTGGCAGGGTGGTCGATTTCGGGGATAGGGTCGATGGAGCAGATGGGGTCGTCAGGGTTGCTTCGGATGCTGCGTTTCCCCTTGCAAAGCCACTAGCTCTAGAAAGCTTAGTCGTGCCTGAATTGGGAATAAGACGACTTGGACGAGTCGACCTCAATTCATACGCGAGTATTTTTCTGTGGTTTGCACGTGTAGACAACTTGGCGGCAGTATCGACGGCGGTGCTACTAAAAAGACAAAAGGGTGTGCTAGAACAGCTGCAGCCCTGAGAGTCTCAATCTCAAATTAGAAATAACCGGGTCGAGGAAATGTGAAAGATTTGCAAGGTTGTCTTGCAGGAAAGAGACGGATCGAGCATATATATGCGCCGAGAGTAAAGAGATTCCAAGGGGGTTGCTGCAAGTTGAGATTGCAGATTGGCGATGTAAGAAGTCAACCGATCTTTGGTATCGGCGAGGAAACGACGTGACAAAAGAAACGAGTTTGAATTTGCAAAGGGACGCAATAAGGGGCCAGTGTAGTGACTAGGACGAAGAAAAGAAGAAAACAAAACGAGCCCCGTCTACCTGAACACGCACGAGGGAAACGGTCTAGCTTGACGCTGAGGGTCGCCTGGCGGGTCGCGTGGTGGTGGCCGGTTTGGATAGCTGGTCTGATTCCACTACCTAGTTAAGACAAAAGGTGTCTTCTCTAAAGAGTACGGACTGTCGGACTGTCAAGAACTAGCTAAAGGGGTCGAGGTGAGGCGTATGTGCTGCTAGGTAGGAAATATCTTGGGTCTCGCGGTGAGTTGAGGTGAAAGCCCGGGGGAGGGGCGTGGTTAAAAAAGGAGGACAAAGGGAATCGAGAAGGGGTGAGCAAAAGAACGAAACGGGGAGTAGGGGACGAGGATGAGGGTGGGAAGAAAGGGAAAAAAACAAAACAGAGGCCGTAGAAGCGGAAGAAGAGGAAGAAAGGTGAGGAAGCGGGAGGCAGAGTTGAGACAGTGGTGTGCGGAGTGGCAGCCAGCAACTGGCAGTAGCAGTGGCACTGACAGAGGAGTGGGTGTGTCTACAGCACTCGCACTATAGATGGAGACTGTACAGGTTTATGGTCTGGGGCCAGCTATAGGCTCCGTGGAGAGCAGCATTCTGCAAGGCGTGCAGTCATAGGCCAAACGAGGAGAGGGGTCAGTGTACAGATTGGGTTAGACTATGCAACGGCATTTCGCTTCTGTGCACAAATATTTGGCCTTTTTTACTGCGTGCTCGCTGCGGCATGGAGTGCAGTAGACGCTATGCCTTTTGGGCTGCTGTTATTGACCAGGGCCAGGCAGGCAGGCAGGCAGGCACAGGCGCAGGCGCAGTACAGGGAATACGAGACGATATCGATCCATAGTATTAGCCAAAAAAGCTGTGGGGGGGCTAGTCCTTTTTCTTTTAGCGGGTTTCAGAACGCGTTGTAGTGGACTATCACGGCGATTGCGGAGCCAGCGGCTGGCTGGAGGGGCGTATAAGACAACCAAAGAGCTCTGCGTGACGACGACAGCTGGTGGCGGCATACGGCTGGACGAATCAGGGACATAGGCGTCTTTCGAACCTGCATCTCTCTCTTCTTCCTCTAATCCTACGGCCACGCTTTTGAGTTGATGCATTGGCTTTTGTATTTTACGGAAGCGGGACAATGGCAACTATGTTTAGTGGAAAACGAGGCACAGAGCGGGGGCCGGCTGGCGGGACAAACAAACACACGCACAACACCACGCAGGACCGCAGGACCCGGTCAGGGGGCCGCTAAAGAGACCCGTTCGGAGGGGCCTGCACAAAAGAAGGAGGGGGTGCATGTTTCTGTGGGATGAATGGGGAAAGGGGAGGGCTCGCTCAGATGGACAAAAGAGGTAAAAAGAAAAGAGTCTTGATCCGTTGTGTTATTTATAGCGGTGCAGGCCACCGCGTTCGTTTACATACTCAACAGTGTTACCCTTACACGCCAACACAGCATGATGGAACACCAAGCTTAAAAGGAAGGGGTTGGTTCTGCCATGCATATCTGACTCGGACCAAGCATAGGGGAGGCTGTTTATGATCTAGATGCATATGCGAGTGCGCGTGCGTGCATCCCTGTGAATGACACACGCTATTTGGTGGGCGGCTGGCCATGCACATCATCGGCGGGCAAAAATAGGCGCACGCACATCTACCATGGTGGCCGATGCGCTACAGACACAAGGCAACAAGTCGGATCTCTCGTACCGACCACAGATGGACAGCAATCGCACGACGAGCAAGAACATGGCGGGAGAACCAAACCAGAAAGACTGTCTCGTCTCACAACCACGTTATGCAACGACGACGCCAGCCCACAACGTTGTAGTAGACTTCAGCGACATGGGGTACTGGTACGTCTTACTTACTACAAGTAGTATTGGCCAACCGTGTTGTTCGCAAGGATCGCTAGCCAGGGACAGGATGCAAACGAGCAACTCGGTACAGTACTGTACAAGTCCAGGTTCTATCCACAATGCCGGACAGTAAAGCTAGGTGTACATTGTCATGTCATGAAGCTGTTATAAACCCGCAAATGGCTCCCTTATGGACCGCAACCTCTGGGCGTGTCGGCCACATGCTGCCAGCTGGCGGTGGTACAGCTGCCAGGTGTAAACTGCTCTGTTGGCCAGCTGCAAGTGGCTGTCAAAAAAGCGGCCGCCACCTGCGCCCGCCAGCTGTCAGGCCCTCTCAACAACCACCAACAAGCCACCGAAATGGACCACCTGCACGCCGTGGTGCCTTCCGTTTACGTCTCCGTTTGTACCAACTTGGGCCACATCCAGCACCGCAGCTATTTGGTCCAGCTTCAATAGTTCTCACCAGCTGCATTTAGCCTCCGCGGGCATACCCTTTCTAGTCATGATCCATGTCGTGTTGTCTCAAGAGGGCCATGTCTCACTTCTATTTTTGTTGCGACCTCTGCTGACTCGCCACCCACACCCATCGAAGCTACCCCGAATTGGCAACGCCGTTCTCGCTGGGCCGCCCAAAAGCTCTGTTAGGCAAAAGCCCAGCTACGGCGTAGTAGCGGATCCGCAGCCAAAATCCAAGCTATTCCGCCGTCACCTCCCTCTTTCTGTCTAGGGGAGGCGAAAGGGGGGCGTAGACGAAGCAAACCAATGTGGTTGTAAACGCGAAAAACTGGATCTTGTCAGTTTGGCACAAAGCAGCAAATGCGCGCCACCATCCAACCTAGAGCCACAAACAAGAATTCGTTTCGGCAGAACCCACCAAGGCACAGCTACCTCAACGCCGCTCTGCCTTGTTCAGAACAGCCAAAGCTGCAGGTTAATCAAGTGGCAAAAGATGTGTGCAAGCCTCGTGAATGTCCTAGCCTGTGGTCAGATACCGTCGCACAGATGGGTATTAGACAGCTATCTAGGAGATTGGTCAGTCTGTGTCATACCAAAGCCTCGAAAGAGTTGTGTTGACGCTATAATCAGCCTTCTCCGCCAAATTGAGAAAGCCGGTGCCATCCAGTTCGTGTAAGCCGAAGACAATAAACCTTCGACGCGTGTTTCCGCTCCATCGTGACTGTATCCCATGGGCCTATGTGTCGAGAACACGCCATCGACTCCGTCACATCGCCCCTTTGTGTGTGGGCTAGCCATTCTTGGCCGTTCCAGTGCAAACAGCATCTAGCATCTGCTCAGTGCAAGACTCCGTATGGGAGACCGAGACAAGATCCTAGCTGCCCATCTCAGCGTACATTGTGCCACGTTCCCCTAGAGCTCCGGTAATTAGATGATGTCTCTCACTAATCTGTGATTAACCAGACGCTTCTGAAGGCCGAAGATCGCCTCCAGGAAACGCGGGTATGCTATTCTTGGCAGAATGGTGTAGCGCAACTCTGGTCGTGGTGATACCCTAGCGTAGCAGTTTGTTCTACCTTCACCGGCACATGGAGCTAAGCCTGTATCCAATCAGCTTCGTTACCCCTACTTTGATCCATGCATCGACAGGTGGACCTACAACTACCCTGGTCAGTGTCTACGATCCCCTTTCTTGTACCTGAAACAGCAGTTGGCCAGATTGAGCAAACAAACGAACAGGTACCATCACACCAGAGACGTTGTGCAGAGGGGCTTGCCAGACGGTCTCATTGATGAGAAGATAATACCACGCTCTCTCCCCTCAACACAGCCAGCATAAGAGATCCTGGGTTCACGGAGATCCTCACCTCGGGAACAAAATACTACCGTCAACCTTGAGTAATAAACCCTGCTCCACGGTCCACCAACGGCGAGCTCACGCCATCTTTCCAGTGCCGTTGCCAACGCACCGCACTACGGTGCCATCACAACGATGAACTCGGTAGGATACAGTAAATGTACCCTCTGGAGTAGCCTTCGATGGGCATGCTACAGCGAGTAAGAAGGCTATGATCGGCGGCCTAGAAAGTCGGGCATTTGATTTTAGGGAGAGTAAGCTAGATGCGCAATGACGAATGTCCCGAGATGCAATGGAACTTGCTTGGCGCGGTAATATAGATTCATGCAAGACCTGTAGGGGGCATATGCAACTTAAATCGAACCTCAGTCGTCACCACAGGAACAATTGCCAGAACAAAGATTGACTATCTGGCCGGCAGGAATTTGAGCTCGGCTGTGGCTCAGAATGGCGTCAAATCTTGCTGAACCCGGTCAAGGCTACAGCACGTAGGGGCAAGGATCAGTGCCGAATAGCCAGCCTTTTCGCTTAGAACGCATCCCGCAGAGAGACTGGGGTATTAAACATGCACGACGGATCTTACAGTACTGAGACGCATTGAATACTGTAGTGGTGTTGGGCCACTCTGTTCACTATTGGAGAACCTCTATTCGTACTCTCTTTTTGTTTATTACATGCAATTAGAGGCTCGGGGTGACCAAGAGGGGATGAGCAACAGGATATCGACTGCCCTCATGCACAATGATTGTATAAGGCATGAAATAGCTGGGAGTGACGCTCGTTTTCCAATCATTAAATTCCAACGTTTGTAAATCATTTCGCTTTGTATATTTACATATAACTTTATAAAATATGATCTGTAACTAGTGTTGGCCTTGCTGCCATAATCGTCATGCAAGTGACTCTACTTCAGCAGCATGTTCATAAGTGCTGACTTCAGTCCAGATTTTCCCTTTATATAACTCCATTATTATTTCGTAGGGGCTGTTTGCTCGCCCTGTATATTGTGGTTGTTGACGTCCTCATCATCAGGAACCTTTAGCTCCTTTGTTTTTGTCTCAGCCTGTATGGCTGGCGATGGCAAGTCAACCTTCTCATGATTGCTCAACACCGTTTCATTAGACATGCCAGATCGCGGGCGTTCAATAGTGGAAGACGAAATCCACTCGTTCTTTTCAATTCCAAAGGTTGGGCTATCAGCTGCCAGGTAGCCATCAGGATCGAGAGGCTGGTTAAAGACTGCGCCCTCTTCCATCGGATCCATCACGCGATTTCGAAGAGCAACCTGCCCGCTAGGGCCTTGTAATGGTGTGGCTTCGGGCCGCTGTACAGACTTTGTGTCTTGACTCGGCGTGGTCTTGGATGAGCTTCGCCTATTGACAGTATTTCCGTTGGTATGATGCTCGCTAGTGGAGGGATGGCCACCAACTTTGATGTAGGCATCGAGTTTCCTTCGCAACACATCTGAGCGAACTGGTTTCGCCAGATAGTCGTTCATACCTGCAGCAAGGCACTTTTCTCTGTCCCCTTGAATAGCCGACGCAGTCATTGCAATGACCAAAATCTTCCGCACAGCTTCTATGGGATCTTTGCGAATAAGCCTGGTTGCTTCATACCCGTCAAGAATCGGCATCATGACATCCATAAGAATGATGTGATACGGGATGCCTTCTTTTGCTTTTTCACGCAAGCCTTCGACAGCTTTCATACCGTTCTCGTAGGCAATAACGTTTGTGTATCCGAGTCGTTGCACGTATTGAATCGCAATCTTCTGGTTGATGGGATTGTCTTCAGCAATGCAAATGCGAAGCTCTTGCTGGGGTATTTGTGACAAATCAACAAAGGAATTGGTCGATCCCCGTCTCTCCAGTGGCGACATCGCAGCATACTGGTCTGCAGCCGGGGGCGACTTTGCCTGAAGATCGCCCGCAGCAACATTAGAGTCGGCTTTTTCAAATGAAACCGTGAACCAGGCCGTGGTACCGACATTTTCTTCGCTCTCAAGCTGAATTTTACCCTTCATCATGGTCTCGACAAGCGACTTGCAGATACTTAGACCGAGACCACTGCCACCATACTTTCTTGCTGTACCAGAATCGGCTTGACTGAACGGCTGGAAGAGCTTTGCAAGCTGGCGAGGAGGGATGCCAATACCAGTATCACGAACCCAGAACGTCAGTATAGCAACATTGTCTGTTTCTTGATCGAGCCTTGCGCCAATGGTAATAGACCCCTGGTCTGTAAATTTGAGACTATTTCCGATGAGGTTGCCTAAGACCTGGTGTAATCGAATAGGATCTCCGTACATGAGGGCGGACGGAAGTTTAATATCGTGAATAATTTGGACATTCTTCTTCGTTGTCTTCTCCCTGTTGCTATATGAAACAGCACGTACGACCTCGCGGACAAGCTCTTCAGGGTTGAAGGCTATCATGTGTAGTTTCATCTTGTCTGCTTCCATTTTAGAAAAGTCCAGGATATCGTTGATAACAGTAAGAAGCAAATCAGCTGACACACGAATAGAGTCTGCCATTTCCGTTTGCTCCTTGTTTAGGGTGCTATCACGCAACAACTCTGAATTCCCAATCACACCGTTGAGCGGCGTTCGAAGCTCGTGGGAAACATTGGCTAGGAAAATAGCTTTTGCCTTTGCAGCTTCTTCGGCCAACTTGACATTTCGCTTGGCCTCTGCCTCAGCATTTTTGGCCTTAGTTTCTGACTCGAGGGCCTTTGCCAGAGCTTGCTTTTGTACAGTGACCATGGAGCGGTTTTCTGCTGAGACTCTCTCTATGCGTTTCATAGAAAGCGCATTTGAGTAACTGATGCCAATTTGATTGACGAGTAGCTGCAAGACAGTGACGTTTCTATCGGTGAAAGCTCTAGGTTCACCTTCCATATACATCACACCAATTAACGTCTTATTACCATGCGTAATCGGTATAGCAATAATAGACTTGCCCTGAGGGTTGCGTTGCAGCCATGTCTCGTTAACGTTTCCGAGGCGTTCGTCCGAGAGTAGATCAGGGATGAAAACTGGTTCCAAGAAGCGAGTGCAATACAGGACGACATTGTCAGCAATTAACGATGTGCCTGAGAGGGGAAGTTCAGGACTGTGGGCTGAGGCACCATTATCGGAATCACCACTTGCTGCAATGCACCACTTCTCTTGTTTCGGGTCGCTGTCAGGTTCCTGTACGACAATCGCAGCTAGGGTTGCTGTTCCGCCGCATGTCTTAAGAATAACGTCGCACATCGTCTTGAGAAGCTCGTCAATTTGTAGAACAGACGAGATAACTTGGGATGACCGAAGAATCGCGTGGAGATCGATCATATCGAGAGCTGGAAGACCAGACCAATCTTCATTTTGTACATTCATAGAGCCGCGCCAGGCGCCAATACGTTCGCCACGAAGCTCCGTCATCGTATGAGAAGGGACATGCGTCAACTCCTCACCTTCTTCGGTATCCACGGGTCGATACGTTACTGTGGCTGGGTCCGCCGCGATATCTGTTTGGATTCCCACTTCGGCTGTTTGATGGTTTCGAGTTGGTCCATGGAGGAGGAGGCCATGCTCCTCTTCGATGGCTTTTGCTATACCAGAAGCCGCTAGTTGTCTGAATAACCCCACGGCTTCGAGCAAAGCGCTTCGAGCGCTTCTTCTAGCCTTTCTACGCAAGAAGAAACCAGCCATAAGATAGTTCCCCAATGCCTCTTCAAAGAGAAAACGGTGTTCTGTTGCATGATCCAGTGCTTCTTCATAATGCTGCACCGCTCTTCCATGTTGATTTAAGAGTTCGGCCATTTGAGCTTCAAGCATGCGAGACCAGCACAGGTAGTTGACATCAGAAACAGCTCCCCACTCCATAATCATCGTTACAAAAACCCCCAACTCGTTTACAACTTGCTGTGTATGTTCCGAGATGTCAGCATCTTTCATACGGGGGTCAAAGGACCACTTGAAGATTTGCGCAGCTTTCGAAAGCCCATAGAAGAGTAGCACCAGCCGACTGTTTCTAGCAGACCAAAGAATTTCAAGTCGTTCAAAACAAGATGCTCCTATATTTGCTGCTCGGTCGTAGTGCCCATACAAGAACAATGCTACGAGCTCTAGACTCTCATAAAAGAGGGTGGCTCGGTTGCTGTCCAGTGTTTGGGTAGACAGCCAGGCTTTATATTGTGGGCTGTCGTGTTGGTCATCTCCAAGCACGGCGTTAGGATTCTGGGTGTTTGTTTTGCCTTGCAATGCTCTGCAGAGTTGTCGAACTGAAACCATTAAGCAGCCACCTCGAGTGTCTTTATGCCAATCCGGAATTTCTTCGCATGCGTACTGACAGTATCCTTCTAGATCCGCGAGATTCTCACTTGCCATCAGTTTAGTTTGTGCAGAAATACCATAACTGAGAATAGTGGACATGCGATCACCGCCTACAGAGGCCAGCTCTATAGCGTCTTCCATTTGGGAGACGGACAGAGGCATGGAAAAGTGAATATGGCCAATGAAGCAGGCATGAATCATCTGACCGCGGGCCATGGAGAACGCATCGCGAGCTGCATATAGCATATCTTGGGACACAGTACCCATCTCGACAGCGAATTGTGCCATGGAGAAGCGGCTTAGCGAAATTACCGCCAAGTTGAGGAACGACATGCCCGATTGAGGGAAGGCGCCTTTTTCTAAATGAATCTCAAGCGTGGTCAGCGAAAGGTCGTAGTACTGAAGACAGTCACTCCACCACGCTGCACTGGTACATTCGGCCAAAACAGCGCCAACCGACGCCATGTTGGGGTCTAGAGCTTTCGGTGCATTGACTAGTGTCGATCGGTCCATTTGTTGAATTTTGGTAACAAGCTTATGGAATCTCTTATCGCACTTCTCATATGACGGCTCTTCCGTTATTTTCACTCCAAGAATGCCCAAGCATTCTTTTAGAGAGATCAGCGCCGCCAGTGAGTTCCCAGTTTGGGCGAAAATACGGGACTGAAGCACATATGCTGGCGCCTTATCGATTGAGGACCTAGCATTATTAAATATGACGGTGAGGAAGTCATTGGCGGTGGGAAGATTGCCCATAAAAAGGTTGCATTCTGCAGCACGGAAGTATAGTTGAATGGTTTCGTCATAGAATACATCGTCAGCTTCATCAGACCATGCATTATCCTGGAGGAGGGAAATCGCAGTGTTGTAATATCCGGCAGCTGTTGGTCGTGCACCACTTTCCGTGGCTGTTTGAGCTAGATCCATCAGGAGCTTTCGAAACTCTCTCCTTTGATCTATCCGTTGCTTGATGATGTCTTTTGCTTTGCAAATATGAACTGCAGTGCTTTCCATGTGTCGAGCTTCAACCGAATAGTACTTGAGAAGTGTCTGCGAGATAATGAAATGCATCTTACCAGCAACACATTCTCGAAGGGATACCGAGGCATGAATATATCGATCATGTGCGAAGCGAAACCTATCGTCCGTCGAACTGGGAACTACAATGTAGGCCTGGAGAGCGCTATGCAGGCCTGCAACACACTCTGCTTCCGAGTACTTGATCCACTTGAAGTCGCCGTCGCAGTCAATAGTAGGATCGTTGAAATTATATTCGCCACCCATTAAATGGCAGATTAATTCAAATGAGAATGAGCTTCCCAGAAGAGCGGCCCAGGCCAACAAGGAACGGGCAGCAAGGGGTAGTTCCGCCAGCCTTCGCGTAACGAAGCTTGTACCCAGAACATCATAGTCCTCTGTGCCTTTGAATTGGTCAAGCATTCGATCCAAATCATAATGCCATTTGCCGTCACGATAGTTGTACCATATGCATCGTTTGCGATGACTTGCGCTGAGCAGCTCGCGCATGTAGAAAGGATTACCCGCAGCCTTTGTTTGAACAATCAAGGCCAATGAGAGGATTTCGTCCTTTGGGCGGCTAAGTGTCTGAGACACATAGTCTACTGTTTCTTCTTCCGACAGAGGCTGAAGTTTCACTTTGGTAATAACGGGTCGAGCGTTGCCGGGAAGTTCTTCCAGGTCTGATGGGCATATAATCTTTTGAACTTTGTCGTCTGACATCTCATCATCTCTGTATGTGAGTACCATTACCATCTTGATTCGAGCCGCAATAATTTGAGATATCAATTCGAGTGATTCGTTATCAGCGAAGTGCAAATCCTCAAGACAGAAACAAATGAATTTATGTTGTGTGAACATGCGCAGGATGTCGAGAAAGGTATTGAGAAAGCGCATCGTCTTGGTAGATGCACCGGCACGCAAGAAGTCATGAGTACTTTGCGATGCAGTATTAGGTTTTCTGTTTGCCGAGGCGGGTGATAAACCAGGAGATGACTCTCTTCTCCTGCCTCTTCCCTTGCTGCTACTCCTCAGACTATTGTTATTCTGTGTCAATGACAGTGAACGGGAGATGCTATTGTCAACTGGGCCGAGGAGAAATTCAGGAAGTCCGAGAACACGGTGTAACGCGGGCCAAACGGGTCGAATATATTGCTTTAAGGCTTGATGGAAGGGTGTCTCCGTATTCCTTTCTCCCCAAACTTGTTTGATCAGCGATGATAACAGCTTAATAATTGGTCCAAATGGCACACGCCTTGCGGTGTCAAACTTGGCCGTAACGCAGTATCCGCGGCGGCGGGCTTCTGGTAGCATAGATTGGACGAGGAGACTCTTGCCTAACCCGCCCGCACCAGAGATCGTGACTACCTCGCAATGACCTCGTCGTTTATATTTCACCGTACCCAGTTGTCTAGAAAGGGTGGAGGCTCCGGAATCAATAGTGGTGTGTCGATTTCCTTCGGAGCCAACACTTTCGACATTGCTAGAAACATCAGCAGATATTGATTGATGTCGCTCCCATCGCCTCGTAATACGCGGAAGAGGCATCGTGTGCGCAGACTGGGTCGTAGACATAGTTTCGGATATCGTTTGGTTGTCAGAGAGGACCGATTGGTGTGGGCTACCTTTGAGCTGTCTAGCGTCAGAGGATGACGCTTGCGTAAAAGATTCGCTTCGTCTTGTGTGGCCATCAATGGAGCTCGCTCCTTCACTTGAAATCTCATCGAACTGTGGCTGTTCAGAGAAAGATATACTGTGCGTATTAGCCCGGTGGCCGTTGCGAAATACGTGATCCCGAGAAACTCTGTTGATAGCTCTCATAACCTCTTCCTTTTCCTTGGCACGCCCAATCATAGCAGTGGGGAGCATAAAGAATGAGGACGCATCCTTTGAGCCGGTCGTAAAGTACTTCAGCTTATCCAAGCTGCCAGATCCAAGACACTTCTGAATCTCGATCAAGTCGTGGCGGAGACCAGTGGCGGAATGATATCGCTCACTAACGTTCTTTGCCGTGCACTTAAGGATTATTTGACCGATGGCATCGGGTACATCGATTCGTACCGAGGATACGTTTTGAATTTTCCTTCCAAGCACACCCTGAACGACATCGAATGCACTTTCGCCGGGGAAAACGGGTCGTTGTGTTAATAGCATCCAGAACAGCACACCAACTGAATAAATATCGGTCCTACTATCAGGCTCTGCCGGCATTCGACCGGTTTGCTCGGGACTGATATATAGGAGTTTGTTCTTTGCGCCAAGTTCCTTTGAAAGCGTCGACCATCCAGTACTGGTTAAACCATGTTCGAAAGACCGGACGCCGGAGCCAAATGACATAATTCGAACTTTATTCTCTTCCGCGTTGTAGTGGAAAGCGTCACCTCGTATTTCGCCATGGATCATGCCTCGTCCATGGTGCAAAATTTCCAGTGCCTCTGCTGCTCCAATGGCGAAGTCAAGAAAGTGCTGCAAATCAATCGGTGGCCGCGGATCCAAACCTTGATAGATTATTCGATAGACCCCGGCTTCTTTTCTTGCGCGATAAAAGGCAGGGCCCATATCCATAAAATCGAACAATGCATTATGCCCAGGGCATCTATAGATGGCAACGGTTATTATACCTCGTTCGCCGGCCGTCGGGTTCAAACGGATGATGTCGATGGGTTTTATGATGTGATCGCCGGCAGGGTCGGCACTGGAAGTGACACTCTTGGCAATCTGGAAGGCGCGCTCTTCACGGACATTATGGAATGATACACGTGCTAAGACGGGTATTTCCAAGGAGCCTAGTTCCGTGCGGGTCGACATGCCTGATGATGGATGTAGGAGTGGTGAAACAAGAGAGTCACTCTCATGACTGTTGCTTGCCGTATTGTCGCCATTGTCCGATACCGTCGTCTGTCGTACTTTCGATACCGATCCGGGGCTCGATGCATTTTGTGACGGGGTGGCAGGCGTTACGGATGACGGCTGAGAGTAACATGTACCCAAGACGTGCCTATTTAAGAGAGTATTAGCATTAATTTTAACCTCAAAGATAACACAACACCGGATCAACTTACCAAAAATCGTAGGTAGAATGCAGTGGAGGTGTTGATTCGTCCCATGTGTAGCCGGCGATTTGACCAAGCCTCTCGAAGAGTCTCGGAGGGGGCGGAGGCCGTGGTTCGCAAATGCCATCCTGCATTGCGCTATGTGCACTAGCACTATCCATTCTGCGACGACAAACTGGAGAGAGGGAACAAAGGTTTCGAATGTCAATTCATCTGGGGTGACAGAAGACCTCTTTGGTAGGAGCGAGCAGCTGGCAAGAACCAGATGTGGCGCTAATCGGGGGATAATTATTCGGAGTTGAAGCTTGCAACGCTGGAGCACATTGCGGGTATAATAGAAGCAGAAAAGATCGAGAGTGATGGAAAGCTGCCGCTGCAGAGTCGTCGAGTCGTCAAGGCTACCGATGAAGCACCTACGCGGGCGGTGTCTCAAGCGCGGCCGTAGGCTACCAAGGGCGCGGGTTGGTGCGTAGCTGGTGGCCGCAGCACAATATCAAGGCGGCTCGAGATATAAACGGACAGCTTGCTGCGTGTTGTGTCCAGTGCTAAATGAATGTGTCGTGATGTAGATTTTCCCCGGATCGAGCGTCGAGCCCTCAGTAAGGACTGACTGGGTCCGGTTCCGATTTGCTGAGGTAATGGCACAAGCACCCAACCAGCCCACTACGGCGGAGCTGCTTTGCTCGTAGCGGCCACCAGCTACGCTATCAGTACCTAAAGTGTGGGCCACTGTCACTCAACCTTACTGTACTACAGTATTAAAAGTCTACTGAGTGACGTCGTCGAGCCTTTTACAAAGGGTTCAGTGGCTGCTCAGTCATTAAAGTTTTCCAAGCACATTAACGATATATGAGTCAAAATAAATTCTATTAAGCCATTCTTTGGTTCGGTATACATTTTCTTAGCTACCGGTTTCTAAGCTGTACGTCATTGAGGTTCCCATCCGTCCAAGAGCGCTTCATCTTTGCCAATTGGCGGTGACAGGGTGCTTCCTCGCTCTAAATCAAATCAATCATGCATCCGTCGCTTTTATATTTTGTACCAGAAATGCTACAAGTGAAAAAAACATGTCCTCAAAGCTACAATTTAAGCTAGGATAGGAAGTTCGTTCGCTCACTTATACAGCCCACATAGTCGGCATCGGCCAGTGGCTTTGACCAATGCCGAGTCTTAAAAGGCTTATTTGATCTGCTTGGAGGACTTGCGGCTGTGGCTACCGTTGGCGGTAACCTTGGAGCTGGCACGCTCGCGAGTAGGAAGCTCAGTGATGCCGTTGGTGCTGGCGCTGTAGTTGAAGCTAGTGGCCAGACGGCGCTCAGTGTTCTTGCGGCCGTTGACAAAGTCGGGGTAGTTGAGGGTGAGCTCGACAGCGCCCTGGACAATGGCATCTACAGCCTCGACACCGAGCATGAAGGAGTGATCCTGGTTACCAACTTCGTATCTCCAGCTGCCGAAACGGCCACGGGAGTAGATGTCCATATCCTGGAGCTTGGGAAGAAGCTCCTGCAGGACACCTTCACGCTCAAGGCTGGGGGTGGGGTAACCGTGGTCGAAAGCGCGGTGGTAGGTAGAGATGATTTCGTCCTCGGGCTTGATCATCTCAGTGTTGATGAGACCCTGGATGCTGTCCTTGAGGATGTTCTCAACATCGACAGGCTTCATGGTGGACTGAGAAACCTCAAGCATGATGGACCAGTAAGGACCCTCCTTAGGCTCTGACGAAGGTGCCTTGTCGCCGTTGGCGAGGTAGAGTGTAGGCAGCTTGACATCCTTCTGAGGCTGGTTGTAAGGAGAGTAGTTGGAGAAGATGGTGGCACGGTAGAAGTTGCAGTTATCCTCAGGGAAGTACAACCAGCACTTGTCACCAATGCGCTCGGGGCGCTCGCCACGGAGACCAACACCGATGACGTGAGTTGTGGAGTAGTAGAGACCCTTGGTCAGGCTGATGAGCTCCTGGTTGCCCATCTTCTCAGCCAAATGGTCAACAGCCATGGTGTTGATCAGCTTGTTGTAGCCAATGGTGCTGCCATCAGCGAAGCTAACAACCTTCTTCTCGGCATCGACCTTGGTGACCTCACCCTGCTTGCCGAAGCGCTTCTTCTCCTTGGGGATGGTCTCGGCGACAGCAATCCAGATACCACCGGTACCATCACGGGCAGGGAAGCGGAAGGTAGCGTTGGGACCCCAGTTACCAGCAACCTTGTTGAGGATAACATTGCGAGTGACAGCCTTGACATCAGGAGCGGCAACACGCTCACCGAGCCAAGCACACTGCATCTTCTCAGGGGGAACAGCCCACACCTTGAAGTTGTAAGGGCGCATGAAGATGTCAGCAATACCAACACCAGTGTTGCGAAGGATCCATTCGTCGAAGTTCTTGGGCTTTGTGTTGGCAACGCGGGCCTCGAGGGCAGCGTCAATGACACCGTCAATACACTTCACTTGGTCCTCCTTGGGAAGCATGGAGATGTTGTTCTGGAAAGGGTAGGGGACCCAGAGGCCCTTGTAACGGACGTAGGAGATGCGCTGGTGAGTGTACCAATCATCGTCTTTGGGGAGGGCCTCGTCAATGCAGTCATCGAAGTACTTGTAGTGGGAGAAGATAACGTGGCCGCCAACATCGTAGAGCTAGTATTATAGTGGTTAGTTTTGGGGCAATTCCAGAGATCAAGAATAGTAGCTGTCTACTTACGAAGCCCTCGGGCGTAACGTCAGTGCTAGCAAGACCACCAGCCTTGTCGGAAGAATCGACAATCAACCACGAAGGGCCGTTCTGCAGAGTATGGTTAGTCCAATTTGCATCTTCCACCTAGTTCTGGCTAGGCGCAACTGTCGGTGAGGACGTACAATGTGGTTGAGGCGCTTGGCAGCACCGAGACCAGTAGGTCCCATGCCAATAACGAGGACATCAACGTCGCTATATCGTCCACAATGTTAGTTTGTATCCAAATTGTGTGTCAGGAGGCCAGGAGCAGAAGTAATCTTTGCCATGGGCTGGTTCCGCGCTGTGGTTGTCACAGACGCGAAGGAGGGGCTGAGGGGCAGAAAACGTACGTGTGAGCCATGGTGGGGGTTGGATCTGGCAAAGTGATGTAGGGTATAGGGAATTGACGACGAATTGATGGTGTTTAGGAAGGATTCTGTTGTCTATTCAAAGACGAGAAAAAGTATGGCAAGGGGAAGAGAAGGGGGAGGGATGAAGAGAAGAAGTGGAAAGGTGGCTAGGAGATTGGCGGTGGGATGAAAGTGGGTGGTGGTGCGGACCTGGAGGCTAGCAGGCGTTGGGAGCTTCAGGCACTGCAGCGGTGGTTGGCGGCGGTTTCCCAGGGGATTTTTTCTCCAGCGGCAAGACTTGGTGCACCACACCAAGGCTAAGAAAAAGGGAGGTTACGTCGCAGAGGGGCGCTAAATTGTGGACTACAAAGCTAACTACATTACTGCTCGTCTATGATTGGGCATGAATTCGACAATGCGTCGTAGCTGGGCAGCAGTAGCAGCGGCTCCCCATTATTGATTTGTTCTGTGCTATTGACAATAGGGTGAGGATGTCGTGACAATCATGGTACACACAAACTGCAATACAGATACCACCTCTGATACAGTTGGCAAAAGACTCGAGCAAGGGCAGCAAACCATCGGCAATCCTCCCTTGAATACATGGGGGCATGCTCCGTAATCTACAGATGCATACTGGGGGAGAAGCGAACAGGCAAAAAAAACATACGGTCCACTAAAGACCTACGCAAACACATCCCAGTGGTGTCCCTGAAACGAGTACCAGGGGCGCGTTCCTCGCTGGAGGGGACAAGCGGATCGTCGTTAGCGGAAACTTGAGACTAGCCCGCGGGACTGGACCACCGCGCCAAAGAGGGAAAAAGCTTAGCTATCGCTAGTGCGGCAGGGGCGGGAGTAGTGCATGAAATCTTGCAGTTGACGGGGGTGCGGCAAAAGCTGTCGAAGAAGTGGCACCAGATCTAAGGAATAGCCCGCCTCCTGCTAAAATCCTCTTCAGCGCTTTTACAGAATAGGATGGCGTTCGAGCACTGAAGATGCATCTACCTGATCACAACCTCAATCCTGGAGCTCCCACAGGAGCATAACGTATGGCAAACACAATCTGTCTCCAATGGTTGCCTATGTGATGTGAAGTCTACCTACCTCATTGGTGACAATTGGCTACACAGCACGCACTCCTGGTTGGGCCACAGCAGTATTACTGGTTACCCGCCACGAACCTTGATATAGCCCCTGGTAAAAGCAAGCGAAAGAGATGAGCTATGTGGAACCCCTGGGATCGAGCTGGCCCGCGCTTCGGCACATGTAGGAAGTGTAGACTCTCCTATCACAAGGAATAGGCAAAAAGAAAATCATCTTGTCACTGTTGTAATTTCGTTAAATGAGGAGACGATTAACCCCCTCAAGGTCCACACTGTGCATAGCTATACCCTGGACCGGATGCCGCTTCGTGGAGACAACAGTGCGGGCGTCGGTTATATCAAATATTTCCAAGTTGGAGATTTGGCCACTACAGATAAGCATGTGCTACGACAACGGGACAACGTGTTAGTCGTGCTTGAAATTAGGTGTGGCCCGACAAGTTTGCCTGATATGGAGATCCGTGATGAACCCAGCCGATTCCACCACTGACAACATTGTGACATCTGACATGAAAATCTAGAAAACGAAGCGTCTGGAAATAGACAAAAGACCCATGCTGTGGCGGAAATACAGACGTCATTTGTACTGCCTGTAAGCTCTGTATGGGACAGATAGTGTTTGATCGGCGTTGAGCAGAAATTGTGACGTACGGAATTGTCTCCATTGTGATTTTGGAGGTGTGCTGATCTTCTGGAAGGCATGTCAATCCACTGCACACTGACGCCATGCGCCCATTGCTGCGCGGGCTCGTTTGTTTGCCAGCAATCAGCCTAATCACTACTTCGTCCAATAAGTGGGTGCATCAAAATCTGCAGCTTAGCAACGACTTTGCCATGACATTTGATCATGGTAGTCGTGTGAAGGGATATATGAAAATAGTACATGGTAAATAAAAGAATAATCTTTATTTTTCTTCAGTCAACTTGGATAACCGTACAGAAATGATCTCGGCGTGGGAGGAATGGTCGTGTGCACACTGGCGTCTCTGATATGTCGCCCTACACCAACAGGAATTCTGCATTCTGGAGCCCCGACCCAGAAACCTAGAGCCGATTGTAGAAGTTCGCAAAGCTTGGCATTTACTGTTTTTGCTGGGGCTGTTTTTGAGTGGACGTTTACGAGGCTGCCAATTACTCATGCGGCCACCTTGCCAAAGTCGAGCGTGATCCATCTTAAACGGCTCCGAGGCGCCAGGCCGGACGGATTCCGACGCGGCCAACTTTGTTTGCGAGGGTCAGCCTCCCTCCGTACTTAGTTAGGACTTGGTAATCCCATAGAAGCAGTTGAAGCCCGAGTTGACAGGGCTGGGTCATTCGTAGCATTCCATCGTGCTGCATCTTTGTCCTTTGAGACAATCTCTGTTTGTCTAACTGTAGTGGTCGAGATGCCGTTTGAAGAATCGGTGTGTTTGCCCTATACACAAGCAAAATTGGGTTACATGGTGTAGTATCGAAGAGAACCCTACGTCTTTGGATGAGGACAAGGAGATGCTGTCAGGTTTACGTTACGAGCTCGGCCCGCAACGAGACATCGCCAGCCATTGAATGTAGCCTTGTCCTCCACCAAATACGACCAGTCCAACTGGCGTATGTATTTTTAGACCTCGTAGGGTAGAGAAGGAGCATTCATTACTGGGCATCAGTGGCCAGTGACAATCATCGCCAGCTCAGATTTTCTAGCGATGTATTTTTCCCGTCATCATCCGGCGATTTTCCCCGATGCCGGAAAGGCATATCGGGTAGGAAGTTGCAAGAAATGTTTCTCGCTGCTCTATTGGTATGCGCCGAAGGGGTCCTCCCCCAACGCAAAACATTCACAAAAATGCATACCTAGCAAGCATAGACCAAAACATGTGCAACACTGTAAGCAAGTGGGCACAGAGCAAGCATATCTGCAGAAGAAAACAACGGCGCAAAAAAAAGAAAAAAAAAAGAAAAGTGACCTACAGCGGGCTGAGGCGTTGTATTGGTGGCGAGTCGGGCCTGTGGCAAAGCCGTGTTAGCGCTCGTGGTGGAAAAGGCTAGCTGCGATTGGACCGCTGAACCCACTAGAAGCGCATTGGATTCTGCCAGCACCACTACGACGCGTCAGTGCCTGCTCAGTTGATTTTTATTATTTTTTTTTTGGAAGCTGGCGCAACTAAGCGCCAATGTTACAGGTTCGGCGGTTGGGCTTTAGTGAGACTGGTCCGCTAAAGGGGGCTGCACTAAGAGCACTATCCTGTGTTTATTGTTTCGCCGGTGCTGGCGCAAAGCACGCAATGGACGATAATTTCACCCAGCATGATAGCCTGATAGTCGAGCTGTGGGCTGCTATTCTGGCCTGAGTAAGCTTCGGTAGCCAGCTTGTGAACGGATCAGCATACAATTCATGCTTCAAATTATGAGGAAAGGGGGCCTGCTGGTGGATGAGCAGTATCTTTACCCATAAACCACAAGAGAACCCGCTGTTCCCGCTGTTCTTTCCATTACTGAGGGTGATGTTCAAACAGATCATCTGTACGAGTCCACTATGGGCGACACAGCCCAGTTAGAGATCCGCTAATCGGCGTGCCCCTTTCTCCCCTGCCCGCCTGCTGCGGCCGCTGTAAACGCAGGCGCAAGAAAAGTCGGGTTACAGCAGACTCCCCCCCTGAACTATGTAATGTGGTGGTGTCAAGACTGATTATAGGGGATATCTCATTTATCCACGTCGCTCCTCACCCTGTCCTGGCTGCTTTTCTCTTCTTTTTCAACACCAAAAAAAGAAATACAGGTGCTTCTTGTTCTTCTCAACCGCCTTCTTCTTCAATTTTTTTTTCCTTTACTTCACTTCTTCGTTCCTCTTCTTCTTGCCTCTCCTTAAACAAGTTTTGCTATTTGGCCTGCCGATAGCCTTTTTGACCCCTTCTGCACGCGCAACTTGGCCCCCCTTTGCCCACCCTGCAACTGGACGCGCCGCCCCCGCCTGCTCCCGCTCCTTAACCTTTTTTTCTTGCGACGTCTCCCTTGTTGCAAGCCACCAGTGAAAAGTCCCTCCACTCATCCTTTCTTCTTGCGCTCGCGATTTCTCTTCTTGGCCAAGTCCATCCATTCGTTACAACTACGCTTCTCTCTGGTGCCCCCATCACCAACTGTCCCTCGCCACCTACCGCTCGCTGCGCTTCACACCCTTTTCAACCTCAGCTCCGAGCATCACCAGATTCTACAATGTCTGAAGAGAAGGCTCGCGTCTCAGGCGACTCGCCTCGTGCGCCTATGCTTCCCGTCGTCAACCCGGCCGTTGAGAAGCCCAAGTCGGCTGCCGATGGTATTCCCGCTGTTGTCTATGTCGTGTAAGAAACACTCACAAGCCTTTGGTTGGAGATGCCGCTAACACACCTCGCAGTGCCTGGATTGGTTTCTCGTCTTCCGTCATTCTGTTTAACAAGTGGCTTCTCGACACCCTTGAATTCCGTACGACCTCCCAATATGCTGAGAGTCTTTATACGAATGATATATGCTAATCTGGCACAATAGCCTACCCCGTTATCCTAACTACCTACCATCTGACCTTTGCGACCGTCGTTACTCAAATCCTCGCCCGATTCACCAATGTCCTCGACGGCCGCAAATCTGTCAAGATGACTGGCCGCATTTACCTTCGCGCTGTCGTTCCTATCGGTATCTTCTTCAGTTTGAGTCTGATTTGCGGTAACTTGACCTATCTCTACCTCTCGGTCGCTTTCATCCAGATGCTCAAGGCTACTACCCCCGTTGCTGTCTTGCTTGCCAGTTGGGCTCTGGGTGTTACCAAGCCCAACTTAAAGCAGTTCCTCAACGTTTCGGCTATTGTCGTCGGTGTCATCATCGCTTCCATCGGTGAGCTTGACTTTGTCCTGGTCGGTGTCCTGCTCCAGCTTGCTGGTGTCATGTTCGAGGCTCTCCGCCTCACCATGGTTCAGCGTCTGCTCAACTCTCCCGACCTCAAGATGGACCCTCTTGTTTCCGTTTACTACTTCGCTCCCGTCTGCGCGGTCCTTAACGGTGTAGTTGCCCTCGCCTGGGAAGTCCCCAAGGTTACCATGGATCAGGTTTACCACGTTGGTCTCTTCACTTTCTTCCTCAACGGTTGCTGCGCTTTCATGCTCAACGTTTCCGTCGTTCTCTTGGTAAATCCCCATAGCAGAGCCCGAAAAGCTGGCTTTAACTAACACTTTATTCCTCTTTAGATCGGCAAGACCTCTGCTGTCGTCCTCACCCTCTGCGGTGTCTTGAAGGACATTCTCTTGGTTGTTGCTTCCATGATGATCTGGGGCACTGCTGTTACACCTCTCCAGTTCTTTGGCTACTCTATTGCTCTCGGTGGCATGGTCTACTACAAGCTTGGTTATGAACAGATCAAGGGCTACGCCGGTGAGGCGAACAGACAGTGGGCTGAGTTTGGTGCTCGCAAGCCTGTCTTGCGCAAGATCAGCATCATTGTTGGTGGATTCATGCTCCTCGTTTTGGTCTTCTCAGGCCTTGCTCCTGGCTACGCGGCCGACATGAATCCCGCCAGAGCTCTGGCCAAGACTCCCGCCAACTAATTGGTAACATTGACACCGATGACACTACCTATAAAACTTAATAAGGACTTTATAGTCCGCATGGCGTTGGATGTAGCGGCAGACAGTTTCAGTCTTTGGTAACGGGCTGACACGACTAATGGTTATCAACCACCCTGTGGATGGCTGTCTGCGATATGAATTTTCGTTTTTTGTTATGGTATACGCACACTCACCTTGAGAGTGCGGCAGCGAGAGAATTCGTTTCTGTATTTGCAAAAGGAAAGCTTAGGAGACAGGATTTGCTACATTTGCTCACGTCACAACTGGTTGGCGAAGCATGTGGACGCTCTGGCTGGCATATATCTTGATGTATAATTAAAACCCACGGCGCCGTGCGTCTAGGATCTAAAAGCTTGCATGACCTGCATCATGAATAGACAAAAAAAACTTTTGAATTACTTTCTTCCACCGCTGTATGATTGTAGTAGCGTTGAATTGGCTAGCACTGATTTTTTTTTAATACCCGAAGCACAGTTCAATTTGCGCAAGGGTCATAATCCGATTAGATGGTCAAAATGTTCGTTCATTGATTTTTGATATGGAATCTTTAAAAGAACCGTTCATACTCGTCGAGGCCCCCAACAAAATAACCCAGGGGTGTAATCCTCAAAAAGTGTCCGTTTCGATGCTTTCTTTAACCTCCCGCCAACTCCCTGAAACCGTGATGGAGAATTTTTTGTTTAAAATCGCAAGGGGGTGAAGAACCATCTGTTCTTGCCGCTGGTGTAACGCTCCTCGAGGACCTTCTTGACGGTCTTCTTGGCATCCTCACGCTGGCTGACCTCCTTGAAGGTATCGGCAGAGATGGCACCCTTGAGGCCCTCAAGCTCGAGAGTGTAACGTGTGGGCATCAAGTGGTTGTAGTTGATGACCTTGATGAAAGGCTTGACCTTGGAGCGCTTCTCCTGGCGGGCCTTGGACATGCGGCGGGTGATCTTGGAGGGGTAGCGCTCAATGCCGGCAACGACGGCGTGGCCGAAGGGGTGAGGCTTGTTGCCGTTGTCGACGGGCTGAATGATAACGACCTGTAGAAAGTGGTCTGTTAGCTGTCTATTCCATCATAACCCAAAACACAGTCCGTCATGCAAAAGTCTTCTCGCTCCATGTCGTCGATAGGTCTCAAATAATTTCGCCAGGGGCACCTGTATAGCCTAGTTCGAGAGACGATGCTGGTTCGAGCGGAATCGAGTCGGATTCAGTAGAACTTGGGCCAAAGTCTCAGAGTCCCGGTATGGGAAACGTCAAGCTTCAACATGTCCCAGTCGTCTATAGTTCCCTAGTTTTGATATCCAGGCGACTGAAAAGCTTGCTGGAAAGATAGCGACACGTCCGTTACTGTTGTTTCCGCCGTCTTAGGTGCATTGAGTTCCCGACCAGAACCTATCGATCAATCGTGACGAGTTTGGCGAACCCCTCGAAGGGCAGAACGAGAGACTTTGCTGGCCTGTAAATTAAAACAAAAACCGTACCTTCTTGCCGGCGTAACGGCCTCGGGTGATAATGGCGACACGGCCAACCTTGAGGAACTTCATCTTGTCCTGTTGTGTGGGTTGGAATATGGGCGTTGGGCGATGGTTAAGGAATCGTCTGTCGTCGAGAACAGGCCGCGAGAAATTTGGTGGTAATTTTTTGGGGTTGTGGGCTACAATTTCGGGGCAAGCGAGTTGTGCATGTGCGCGGTCACGTGGTTTCCTTTTTACCTGCAAAAATTCTCAAGCAGCCAACGACTGCTTAGTCACGATTTCTCTACTATCTGGGCTCCACTGTTTTTTATCCTGAGGCTACTCAAGCTGTCTAGGAGCGCGACCCAGAGGCTAGGAGTATAGCAGGTCGCTCTTGATCAAAATGCCGGCCCCTACATATATCATATCGAGGGTTGCAGACCCAATCTTTGCCATTTTTATTGGCGTAACGGCTGCAGCTACCCGTATCAATAGAGAAGAGTCAGCAAAGGGCAAGACGCCTGGCGAGACGATGCAGACCGGACTGAGGTGAGCGGAATGTTCATGGCAACAGCCACAGCTGCTGCGAACGTCATCTATTTTTGTTGCTTTAATTTACTAATAATTTTTTTTATAATTATAGGCGACTTGGCCTATCAAAATCTACCTCATGAGAACTATGAAATATACCCAAATCCAAAAGTCATAGTGAACGCCTTTTATCATGTATCAATGCAGTTTGTACCATCATAAATAATATCTCAAGAGATGCAATTGCATCCTGTACCAATTTCTTTACTTTCATGAATCAGATCAAAGTCGCTTTTAGCTCATTCGCTGAAACCCGGCCCATATTCCTCCTTCATTGCTTGACGAACAATCTGACCGCAGAGCTTCGCTGTTGGGTTGACGCTGACTGCAAGACCCTTGGCAATGTTGTTGCCAAAACGGCCACCAAGTGCAAGGTCGTGGGAAGCAGCTTCTTCGAAGCGAACCTTTGTCCATTGCGCCTCTTGGCGGCTGCTGTCGATATCGAGTTTACGATCGAGGATCAGCTTGCTGGTCTTCAGATAGATGGCTGCTCTTTGCGTGTATGCCATTGACAAAGTTTTAGCAGCGGTTGGCGACATGGAGGATGCGAAAGAGGGTGGTGTGAGAAGAGTGATGGAGGTATCAAGATCGCTCAGAGCTTTGGCAGCCGAGGCCACCTTTTCGGCTTGCTCAGGCTCATCAATGAGGGGCATAGGAATGCCAGTGGTGAAGTTCAAGAGCATGGCGTCGCCATAAAGTCGGCGCATAATCTGGGCTCTGTTGTTACGAGCGCTGGCATAGTTGGGGTACTCGTCAATGAGAGCGTCAAACTCCTTGATGCATTGTTTATAACCGCTGATGGAATCTTCAGCTCCATCCTGCGCACCAGGTGTGCTTAGCTCGCGCTCCAGGGTCTGGATCTTGAGAATAATCGATCGCTCGCGGTTGGACACTTGGTCATAAACGTCGGGGTCAGTGATTTGAGGATCGCGAGGAAGGCGCTCATCTAGGACGAGGGCGGCTGCTGGGTTCGATTCAGGGTCTCTGATTTTGTCAAGGACGTTCACGTCGCGCGTGGTAAGATCAACGTAAGCCATGCTTGCTATTTGGTGCGGGGGAGTATGGTTTCGGCTCGTAGTAAGAGAACGATGTCTCGGGAAGAAGGAGAACGATTCGGGCCAGCAATAGACGGGATAAGACCCAAGGCAACGTTAAGAAGCGGGAGGTAATGGAGAAGATATATTCTTGACAAAATTTACGACACGGTAACGACAAGGCCGAGCCACGCAGTTGCAGCAGAGCGTCGCAAGGCCAGCGAAGGACAACGGTAGCGGGACACCATCCGCAGTGGGGAAAGCCGGCCAGCGATGGGATGCTAATGACAGTCCGCTTGAGCCGCGAATAGAGTGTGAGTGTTGGATTACTACAACGAGGAGCCCAGCAGCAAGACAAATGACATCAGCGGGTATGCATGCGCTGCGAGGCGAAAGTTCAGTGGCAAAACAGGGTGCTGTTCAGCCTGGTGACCAGCGCCGGGCACTGAGTTAGTGAGGAGCGGTCTAAGAAATTTCGCTGTTCTCAGCAAACCTACACTGGAAGCTTATGCCGCAGCCTGTGGTTTGGCGGCACACTTCGGCTTAGGGCGGCTAGGCGCTCGGCAACGGACCCATTCCGCACGGCGGACGCCCGGCGTCTGGAAGCGGATGACGGATGGCGGAAGACTTGGACGCCGCCCGGGACTCCGTAATGGCCAGAAGAGGTAGTTTGCGATGCCCACCTCGAATCGGGGCGGATCAGACGGGCTTGGGATGAGAAAACGTCACAGCTCTATGAGCTTAGACAGCCACAGGCTAGCAGCCTCTTCTGGTGGTATTCGCTCGCTACAGGGATAGCCCTCGAGCATCCCTGAAGTACTAAATAAACAAGGGACAAGAAGGCACCCAAGAGCATGCATGCCACCAAACCTCTAATGGCAGCTTCGCTATTAACGGTCTGTGGTTCACCGTCGCAGCAAATCATAAGAGACGTATTTCCTATTATTACTTTGGGGGGGGGGGGNGGGGGGTTATCCATTATCCGCGCGCAACCGCCGCATTGCACCCATCGGCCCGCCATTTGGTAGCGCGGCGCATTTCCGGGGGCTCGGCTTCCATGCTACCTACCCATTAATGTCTAGTAATAGGTATCGTCTGACAGGTTTTTCTTGTAACTCGCAGCGTCACAGCAAAATCAGCAAGGAAAATCCTCTCCTTCTCGAGCCGCTTTTGGCAGTTCTTGCTCGCTTTGTTTTTTTAACCCGAAAGGGAGAGCCGCCCACCACACCACCACCACACATATATACTTGGGCCATCCCAGACACACCCCAAGCCTCATTCCTTTGTTTCCCTTCCCCTTCATAACATAACATCCTTGACGAAGCAACGCATCTTCTTCAAGTTCAACAGTTCAGATTGCACTCTTGCTTGACAGTCTGCAATCTCTTGACGCTTCTCCCTATTATCCGCCCAAACCACCCTTATACACATATACACACACCATGGCTCCCGCCGCCGTCTCACCCCTCCAGCATCCCGCTGATGCCGTTCAAAACCGTACCGCCACCACCACCCAGGTTGACGGCACTTTCGCCATCCAGCCTGCTGGCAACTTCACCGGCTACGACCACGTCACGTGGTGGGTTGGCAACGCCAAACAGGCCGCTTCTTACTACACTCAGCTCTTCGACTTCAAGGTCATCGCTTACCGTGGCCTGGAGACAGGCAGCCGCTACTTTGCCTCTTACGTTATTGCCAACAACGATGTCCGCTTCGTCTTCACCTCTCCCCTCCGATCCGCCGTCCACCTCCCCGAGGATGAGACCATTTCTCCCGAAGATAAGAAGCTGCTCATGACCATGCACGCTCACCTTGAGCGCCACGGTGATGCTGTCAAGGACGTCGCCTTCGAGGTTGACAACGTTCAGGGCGTCTACAACAAGGCTGTCCAGGACGGTGGCGCCGTTGCCGTCCAGGGCCCCCAGACCTTCCACGACGAGGAGTTTGGCTCCGTCGAGACCGCTGTTATCTGCACATACGGTGATACCACCCACACTCTTATTAACCGTCACAACTACAACGGGCCCTTCCTCCCCGGCTTCCGCGCTGGCAAGGAGTCTACCTCCCAGATCGTCAGACCCACCGTCCCTCTTAGACGCATCGACCACTGCGTCGGTAACCAGGACTGGAACGAGATGAACAACGCCTGCTCTTTCTACGAGAGATGCCTTGACTTCCACCGCTTCTGGTCTGTTGATGACAACCAGATCTCCACCGAGTTCTCCGCTCTTAGCTCTATTGTCATGGCTTCCCCCAACAACTTGGTCAAGATGCCCATCAACGAGCCCGCCCCTGGCAAGAAGAAGTCCCAGATTGAGGAATACGTTCTCTTCAACTCTGGTGCTGGTGTTCAGCACATTGCTCTACTTACTTCCGATATCATCACTTCCGTCACAGCCCTCCGCGCACGTGGTGTCGAATTCATCAACGTTCCCACAACATACTACGACACCATCCGCCAGCGTCTCAAGACCGAGAAGCGCAACTGGGAGCTCAAGGAAGACCTAGACACCATCGAGCGCCTCAACATCCTCATTGACTACGATGAGGCTGGTTACCTCCTCCAGCTCTTCACCAAGCCTCTCATGGACCGTCCCACCGTCTTCATTGAGATTATCCAGCGCAACGAATTCGAGGGATTCGGTGCCGGTAACTTCAAGAGCTTGTTCGAGGCCATCGAGCGTGAGCAGGCTGAGCGTGGCAACCTTTAAATGGTTCGCCTTTTATACCTTTTTCAAACTCCTCTCGTCTACTATCCCATCTTTGGCTTCAGTTCAACCCAAAGATGTCTTCTTTTATTTCCTTTGTTAAACAGCCTACATTTCAATTACGGGCTATGTTATGGGTAACATGCATTTAAGCAGCAGATGCACTGTATCATCATCTCTGCAGGTTTTATGAGTTCAGCAAAATTACAAGCAAGAGGCGAAGAGGTCCCGTCTCCTTGCGCAATCTCTAGTAGTCATTCTTGAATTTCTTGTGCTAGTTAAACAAGAATATTCTACACATAAACTACAATTAGTTTAAAAAGAAATTTGAAAAGAAAAAATAGAATTGGCCCAATTTTTGTGATCTTGTTTAAACGGATTCAGTCATCCAAGACTAGTATTTAACCAAACCAACTGCATCGCTAAAATATACACCCCCAACCAAGGTATTTTGTCTACCTAACCTCTTCAACGCCACTTCATGCTTGCTATTCGCATCTATTTTATATACAGTTATTCATAGTCTTTTCCATCTATCCATCGATTACCATCGCTCCGTTGCCATTGGTATGGCCGTTCAATTCGTGTGCCTGTGGTGGCTCAGGCACCAACCTGCTTTGACATCCTGGGCAGTTGTGTATAACTTCATGAGCAAACACATCGCAATCAATGCAGAAGTGGTTGTGGCACACTTCACAAGCATATCGAGAGCTCTCGCTAACTCCTTTTGCTGATGTACGCGAAGCCGCAGCCGTCGCCTTTTCTGGTGATGTTTTCGACTTCGTATTCTCTGGAAAGGGACATTGGCATGAAAAGCAGGCGGTGGACTTTGCAGCATCAGCCCATGATACTTCCACCCAGTTCCGCAGCGGGAAGAGGTGATGATATGATCTTGCCAAATGTGTCGAGAGAATCAAAGTTAAGCTACACGACGGGCACTCCGCCGGTAGTCTGCAGACTTTGGTACCGCAGCGTGTGCATAGATAGCCTTCGCGGCTTGGCTTATTATGACAAGCACAGTAGCTCATTGCGCCGCCTGGAGCCAGCGTTCGAGATGGGAATCCCATCATCAACAAGCTAGCTTTGCTTTGCTCGTTCGTGAGGGTTACCGGAGGGGTTGTAGCAGATAATAAAAGTTCTCTGAAATGAACCTCATCGATCGCGATATTGTATTTTGTAGCGTCGCCGTCGTTCGTTCTCGAGCACAGCTCTGCACAAATAGCAACTTGGGCGGAAAGCCCGACAATTGTAACTCGTATTCGATCGCCAATAAGATTTAGAATCGTCTCGTGAATATCGCCGGGATCACTGGATAGTAGAGCTCCGTATATTATCAGCACTTCTCGAGTGCCATGCGAGGGTGCGTAACTACAAAACAAAATCAGTAGGTAGGCCTTCGTGTTAGCATAGGTGTAACATACAACAACGCGCCACGGCACATCTCCAGTGCATTCTGAAGACTAGGATTTCCAGATGGGTCCTGCCCTTCTAGGTCCTTAAGTCTCTCTAGGTGTTCGGTGGGATTTCCACCCAGGTCGCTGATGCGCACAGCGACGCCGTCACGCATTCCAACAATACCAAGCTGAGAGATTGGGTTTTGTTCAAAGTATTCTTTGACAAAAGCTGCCGCATAGCTCAGCGTTAGTCTATATCTTGTCGGCAGCATATCCTTTTCCGTCATGGCAAATGACATGTCCACGACCAAGATCAAGTGTCTGATGATGCCTCTTTGCAACGGGGTCGTGTCGCGCATCAGCCGCCGTCGCTTTTCGGCTTCTAGCGTCGTTAAATTTAGCACACCATCTTGATCTTCTTCAGGCAAGTTCGTTTCCCATGTTCGCTTCGACTGTTCCCAGGCCTTGGCCGCATTACGGTCCTTTTGCTTTCGTGAACGGGAGCCTTTGGTTCGTGCGGTCGGTTGCTCTTCGTCATCGTCTGATAAATTATGGTCAACCTGCTCCTCATCCGACATGCCATCGGCAACATATTCGTCATCTGATGCCACCATTGTAGTGACTCCGGATTGCGGTGGCGTGAATCCGTGTGGGATGAAGCTTGTGGTAGAGTTTGCTGCGCGTGCTGCACGCATCAACTGGGGGTGGGTGCTCACTCCCACTAGCGCGAGGCTGTCTCCTCCTGTTAGTAGCCTTGCTACAAGCCTTTTTGTTCCCACCACTCGAGCACATTTAATTCAGAGATTAACAGATGATGAGAAAGATACATTGGTAGTATTTATATTTAAATTTCTAGCTAACAGCATCATAATGCGTAGACTTCCCACAAAACTATTATAACATTCAACCAGGGTATAAAACCGACACAGGTGTAAATCCACAAAGCTCAAGCCAAACAAGTCATGGCCAGTACAAACAATGTCAAATGACATAGGATAAGCGGTTCTGAATAGGATTCGAGATCCCTGCAGAATATTAATCCTGTATGCAAACTCCTCGTTTTCTTTTGTACCCAAGCAATCCCAGAGCAATACGACCCGCCTCAGCACTGTGTATCTCAAAATACAAAAGCCATATCAGCAGTGGTCAGGCTCCATTCATTAAATCTTCCTCTGCTTATATCATCTCCTTTGTTGGAATTCATTGCGTCATCTTGCTTCCAGCGAAATCATGCATCCTCGTTGGTAGAGTAACAGATCAAGTGGAAGTCATGGATAAAGCGAATCCGGCAAGGCCACAAAAGCACACGTGGCAAAAGAATCCAGTATAAATATCAGGTGCTGTCAAAAAAACGCCGAGTATTTAAATCAAAACAAATTTGTCGCCGCAACCAATTCATGCTTCATGAGTAAGAAGAGTGGACGGGAGTTGGCCAGTCATCTTCAGTGATGCTTGACCAGAAGACCCAAACCATGATGACAGACAAAAGAGTGAAGAGTGTTTCAAACAAAGCACCGTCAATCTTGCCGCTGGTGCCGTCGCAAATGTATTTGCTGACAGTGTAGTTAAACACCTGACCAATGGCGAAGAGCACAGCTGCGCTGGTGAGGTAGAGCATAGGGCGCTTTTCGCCGAGGACGCGGATGACGAGGATAGACTCAAGGACAAAGAATGCTACCAAGAAGATCAGAGGAACCAATTGGTAGAGGACATAGAGGGCGATGTGACGGTTAGGGAGATCCTTGCTATCGTTCCAGTATCCAGTGAATTGGAATCCCGTGTCGAGAGCGATATAGCCGGTTCCAATCAAGAAGGCCGCAGCCGAGCCAAGAACCAAGGCAACTGATGCAGGAGTTCCATCATCAAGCAGCTGGTAACCAATGACGGCATTAAGCATTAGGATCCAGGTAGTTGCTGTAATCATTCCAATGTGGATAGCACTGAATGCCTATTTTTAGTGTTAGCTGATGTAGTAGCGTATGAACTCCAAGAACAACTCACAAGTCTGACTTGGCTACTAAGAGGGAATTCGCCAACGCTAAAAATCTCGCAGATGCTGATGATGATATAGCCGATGAGGAAAAGCTGCATTTCTCTTCTTCCGACAGCCGCCTTCTTCTTATCAGACTTGATTATAAGTAGAACAGAGGCAACAATAGCTGCAGCGCAGAGAATAATAGAGCCAACATTGCCAAGGTGTTTATCATCGGCAAGGGGGATGCCGGTTAGCTCACAACCTCCCCATAGCCCAGCTTGTGTTTTGTTGCGTGAAAGAAGCTATAATCGGGTTAGAGAGGTGGCTGAGGGGGCGTTTCGTAGGCGAAGTAGGAACATACGTTGCAAACTGGCAGAGTAGAGTCTCGGCAGAAGTTCTATGCAATTGTCAGGAAGGATATTGTTAATTATCAGCCGTCGCTTCTTACCTCGAATTTTCCAAACTCGGTCGAACCCATCTTGGCTGCTGTTTGGCTTGTTCCGTGAGAAGTGATAGGTTGACAGTCGTCGAGAGCGGAGCGAAGATGTGCTGGTTACCCCCAGAAACGAACGTCGGCTGGTGGACTCGAACGGCGGCAAACACGCGACAATTGTGCCGTGTAGAGCAGTCGCGAGAAGTGTAGAGTATTTACGCAGATTTGGGGGGAATCTGAAGACCCTGGCAGACTTTTTCAGAGCCGACTAGGTCGATTTGACGAGATGAGATCGAAATAGAAGGCGGAGGCTGGTGACTGTTGGCAATGGTTGCCGCTTTCGTCCAAGTGAGCTAGCGATGGTATGCGGGTATAGGTCGCAGAAGCGACGGTCACGTGCGGAGAATATTTCGTCGATCTAGAGATGAGAGCGATTTCGAGGCTCGACGATGGTTAGACGAATGAGAATTTCGGTTCGAAGGTTTTAGGTGTAGAGAGGAAAACGAGTTGTTGTGTATGCATGGGCGCAGAAACCTGGCTGTGGGCGGAAAGGCACCAAGGGAAGGAAGGTACAAGTAGCGCTCCTGCCTTGCCTGTCGCTTTTGGGGGGCGCGGCTTGGCGGGCACCAGGTGAGCGGCGCGCGGTGTCCTGGTGCTAGTGCCAGGGCCCGCCAAAGCAAGGCAGGCAGGCAGGGTTGGTGGGTGGGCCTGAGCAACCCATACATTTGCGCAGAGGGGCCACGCTAGCGGCCTCTAGGCTTGCCAGGGGCAACAATCATTGGCTGCTTCATTCTTATTGCTCCCTCGACATAGGCTGCACCTAATTTCCCCTTTGTTCCCTCGGGACGGTGCTGCGTTGCATCGAAGCTCGCAATTTCAAGCGTTGCATGGCAGGATTAATGGAAAGGCTTAATGAGCGACGGTAATCAAGGACCATCTTGGATTTGGCTTTTCCATGTGGAAATCGCCCCAACGACGCTGAAGCTTTCTGTGCACAGGCGCGCATGGACATTGTCTCGAAGCCATCTCCCTGGCAGCGCACCCCAGCGCTACAGAATCTCATCCAGTTAAGCGCTGGCCATTGAATAGCGGTGATGCATTCATGTTAATTTCGGCAGTGCGAGTGAGGAAGACAAGGTTCATCGCCTGAGCTATTCGCTTGATCGCAATCCAAAAGTCGTCGATGTATGGGCGAATTAGCGACCGCTTGTCGCTGGAACAAATTGCCAATGTATCGGCTCATGATGCTATTTTAGACTTCTTCATCCTCCGTGCGAGACCTTTTCAAGCATGCGCCTGACACAAAGGTTAACACAGAGGTGTCAAGCCGCTGGAATGCTGTTCTTCATAAATCCCCGCAACCCTTGGCCATGGCAATAGTCCTGGTCAGTGTTTCTGCTGATAGCAGCACTGTTATTATGTTGGATTCTTTGCTGTCGAACCATTCCCCGGCTACCACAGGTATCTGGAACATTAGCCTCCGCTTGTTTCCGCCCATCTCAGTTTCCATCTCTTAGCTTTCTCGTCAGCATTTTGCCTTTTTTTCCCTGTATTTTTGTCAACCAAACACGCGGGCAGAATGCTCCAGTCCCATGCTCGCGCTATCGCAGGAAGTAAAATTAGAAGCGGAGTCCTCATCGTGGTGGCTTGCCCACCCACAGAAAAACCCAGCTAAAATACCCACCAACTCTTACCCTTTCCAGGCTGGTGCCGGTTCTAAGCTCTCACGCTTGTGGCAGTCAAAGCGGAGCAGTTAGCGAGCTATCATGACCTCATCGCTTCGTTTCGCGAACGACAGAGAGGCTGGTAAATTCTGCGACGCAATGCACCTGATACACTCCGACATTTGCCTGTAGCGTGGAACGTGGAGACGAACCCCCTCGATCTGCTTGTCGTATCATCGAATCTTACTAGCCTAAGGCGTACAATGGAGTATCGGTAGTGTTTCAAAACGCGAACCTATAAGCTGGTGTGTCGTAGCAACCAACGTATTATCTTGCTTGTTCCTCTTGTATGATGTATAGATGGTGTCAGCATACCTCTTCGATCTTTAATGTTTTTCCTTATCTTTTTTGTCATACCTTAAGGTCGTCTCATCATGAAAACGTCTGTACCGTAATTAAATGGGAATAGGTATGCCGTAGTTGACAGGCCACAGAACAACAAAAATGTCCAAAAGAGTAACCAGGACTTCATACAGGGAGAATAAAATTTGGTATGGAACAAACGAGAACACACAAAAGTGTTTCTAACGTAAATAGATAACCAACTGACCATTGATACCGCTGTTGTTGAACCTGGTCAGAGTATAGGGTAAGTCAGCGTAGATGCGTGCCGTTTTTTACGGAGCCCCTATGCTCCCCGTTCAAAGCGCCAGCCAGCCAGCTGAAAAGGCTGCAGCGACCACACTAGGAATAAACCAAGAAATACTGATACGGGACGATAACGAGGAGCCTGACAATGGCCATCCCTCTCCCCTATTCCCAGGTCTTCCAACAACATAAACCCCCACGTCCTGTTAATCTGGGTCTCTCTAGCCACACAATAGTCCTATCGGGCATCGAACGTAAAGACAATTCACAGCAAAATACATCCAGATAAACCAGCCCTTTCTGGCCCTCCACCGGCTTACTAGAACGGTTGGATCTCGTCTCCCTAGTTGAACCGAGACAGCGAGGCAAGTCACGATCCATCACCTCGACACGGCAATACTGCCCACCCCGCTCTGCTCGACGTCACGCCGTCATCTGAGCATCTTCAATCGCCTCTGCAACCCCTCAGAGATTTACTGTTGTAGGCTTGGCTTGCATTATTGTCTGTCTCTTGACGCTCCGTCGCGTCACCAGACCCGTCCGACTTCTGCCCACCTCGGGCTAAACCGCCGTCACTGGACCCTCGCGTCATTGGCTCCGCTCAGGGCCGCGCTCCGCTTGTGACGTACCGTCTCAGCCCGCCTCGCCTGCCCGAGGGCCCTTTTTCTACCGGCCGGTGCCTTGATTCGTGCAGTTTCTGGTCACAAAGGCTGTGATTTTTCCATCACGGGTGTCTTTCAACTGCAGCATCCTTTGCACCAAACCCTGACATACCCCCACACAGCAGAATTGTGCAGAGAGGCGCTGCTGCCGGCACAGCGCCAAGACCGTCCAAAATTCCGTCGACAAAAGACGCTCGTCTCCCATCCAACATCCCTCTGCGAAGTTTCGGCCCGGCGCAGAGATCTAACAACACAGATCACTCACGATTGTCGACAACTCATACCCACCTATCTGGCGACACAACCAATCGGCCCTCCTTTAGTTCGGAGTCGTCGTGGACTGATACTGGCGATATCGGCGACCAACTAGATGACCACGACCCAGTCCGTCTCCAACTGCCCGACGACGTCGAAGAAGAGTTGTTAACTGGAGTCAACGGTCAGCAGCGACGTCCTAAAAAAGTTCGACTACGGGAGCCTCTACCCCAGCACCGAGACCGCTCGCTATCTCGTACTGGCACTTTGGATAAGACTGCCATCCAGATCCCCGCAGTTCGACCTCGTCCGCCGTCTCGAGCTCAACGTTGTGTAGGAGGCATCATGGCGGGCTCATCTGGTGCCACCCATGGCCTTACTGGCCAGGCTTTGATGTAAGATGACCGTGATGAGAAGATCGGTGTTTTACCATACTAATCTGCCTCTGTAGCTACTTCACCAGCGTATTCGTATCGCTCGGTGTATTTCTCTTTGGATATGACCAAGGTGTCATGTCCGGCATTCTCACGTATGTTATATGAACTATGCAATCTGCGACGAAGTCGTGAGCTAACTGGCCACTGTAGTGGAGAGTACTTCATTGAGTATTTCGACCACCCAAGCAAAGCTCAAGTGGGAACCATGGTTGCTATCCTTGAAATTGGAGCTTTCATTTCGTCACTGGTTGTCGGCCGCGTCGGCGATATTATCGGACGCCGTCGTACCATCCTGTATGGGTCTTGCATTTTCTTCGTTGGTGGCGCCTTGCAAACTGGCGCTACATCCATGTCCATGATGATGCTTGGCCGTATTATTGCTGGGTTGGGAGTGGGTATGCTCTCAACTATCGTCCCTGTCTACCAATCGGAAATCTCGCCCCCACACAACAGGGGAAAGCTCGCTTGCATTGAATTCTCAGGCAACATTATTGGTTATACTACCTCTGTATGGGTAGATTACGGCTGCGGCTTCATCAAAAGTGACCTTTCATGGCGGGTGCCTCTGCTTATGCAATGTGTCATGGGCGCGTTGCTTGGACTCGGTAGTCTGATAATTGTTGAATCACCCAGGTAAATCTTAGCACACAACCTCAATACCTTGAACACTTTGCTAACGAATTTTAGATGGCTACTCGACAACGATCACGATGAAGAGGGTATGGTTGTCATTGCTAATCTTTACGGTGGCGGTGATATCCACGACCCAGTTGCACGCGAGGAATACAAGGACATCAAAATGGATGTGTTGCTCCAGCGCCAGGAAGGCGAGCGTTCATACGCTGAAATGTTTCGACGATACCGTTCCCGCGTCCTCATCGCCATGTCTGCACAAGCGCTTGCCCAACTTAATGGCATTAATGTCATTTCATACTATGCACCGTATGTGTTTGAGGCTGCTGGCTGGCACGGGCATGACGCTGTTCTCATGACTGGTCTCAATGGAATAACCTATTTCCTTTCGACTATTCCCCCATGGTACCTGGTTGATAAATGGGGAAGACGCCCCATTTTGCTTTCAGGTGCTGTTGCCATGGCTGTGTCACTATCCCTGATTTCCTATTTCATGTATCTGGATATCGCATGGACTCCAAACCTCGTTGTTTTGTTCGTCATGATTTACAACGCCGCCTTTGGGTATTCGTGGGGCCCTATCCCATGGCTCTACCCGCCTGAGATCCTGCCTTTGAGCATCCGTTCAAAGGGTGCAAGTCTTTCGACTGCCACCAACTGGGCATTTAACTGGCTAGTAGGTGAGATGACGCCAATTCTACAAGAATGGATTCAGTGGCGACTCTACTTGCTCCATGCGTTCTCATGCGTCGCCAGTTTCGTCATTGGTAAGTGATTCCAACGTGAGCGCAATATCGCATCGCTAACAATTTGACAGTCTATTTCTTGTACCCCGAGACATGTGGTGTCCGACTCGAGGACATGGATGCTATTTTCGGCGACGCCAGTACTGTTATGGGCACACCTTCAGTTCGTGATGAAGCAGGTTCCTTGATGCGCGGCGGTTCGCCTGTGGGATCTGCTCGTGCTGACGCGGGTGATGGCCCTGGCCTGTCCTTTGGTACTGCACTTGGAAATGATTTTACTAAGCCTAGTCGCCAAGCCAACAGTAGAGGAGATGGAACTATCAGCGGATGGTTATCGCGCGTAACAGGGCGTAGCCGGTCTGATAGTAACAACAGTGGACAAGGACGATACGCACCCCTCGACCAACAAGAAGAAGGAAATCGCCGTGATGGTTAAGCAATACCAATTGTGCAGTAACTATGCCGTGGCATAAACTCAAGCTAAACAGGTTTTCGTTTGGTGGTGATTTAGACGGAATAGCTTTGCAGCATCTTTGAACGTAGACTCATCCGTATGCAGTGCGCGAAGCGGATAAGAGAATTTGCATTAGAAGCTAGAGCTAGAGTTGGACGGTTTAATTTGATTTAAACTATATAAATATAAGGCTCGAAAAATTTAAAATATTGAATATTTTGCTTGACAATAGCTGTGCCTGTCTTTAACGAGAGAATGGTCGTCGCCGTTCTGACGAAGGTTGCTATGCACGTGCCTTGAGTGGCCCAGAACTTACTTACGTTCTGCACCACCGTTGAGCTGCGCTTGGTCGTTTCGCATGCCGTTAGACAACATTCGACGCAATGCCGAATAAGCTGGAAATAATATCGACATATCGACATTTGTACCGCGGCCTCCTGAAAGCAGTACAATATTCTTCACCGGCCCGCCGTGTTGTTCGAGATCAGCTTCGACTGGCCTTCCGCAACCCTGTGCTATCCAGCGCGACGGGCACACCCATTTGGGATTCCGAGGGCATAAAACGGACCAAATGGTTTCTTGATGCAGCAGCCAAAGAAAAGGGCATTGAGCATAGGATACTTAAAAACCTGATCAAGGTACGATTCTTATCAGGCAAAGATACCCCTTCCTGGAAAAGGGCACTTCACGAAACGCGTGCAAAGTAAGCGGTCTTCCTACATTGTCAATACTTTTTCTTCAACAATATATTTTCAAAGATACTAATTAAGAAATAGAGACCCCCTGAAACAAGAAAAGCCAGGCGCTATGCAGCATTATGAAATGACAGTGGCAATGTTGAATAAAAGCATGGGCCTGCTTCTTCGATGACCCCCGTGAGGATTAAAGCACAATATAAAGGATTGCTGCTGATGCCAAACGGGGTACGAAGAGACACTGTATTGTATTTATATAAATAAGATTATAGGCGTTTGGGTGTTTGGTTTGTGCAAAATGGACTGCATATTCTTGTCGTTTTGGAATGTGTAGATTTGATATACATGTAAATATAGTTACAGCAGGACTCCCCAACCGAGTGGATCGTCTTCATTATTATACAATTTTCTTCCCATTAGTTCTCGGCCGGCATTGAAATATCCACACCAAGCTCCTCAAGGATGAGAGAATCCAAACTGCTGTTGTCTCGACTGTACATCCAGTGCCCGTTCGCCTGTTGACTGTCGTCTTCAACACACCAGTCATATCGCTTCGGGCCTGAGATTGGCGATGAGAGCCATATTTGCTTATTTGGAGGTTGCTTGTTTATGACGTATGTGCCAATATCGTTATGCGTGATAGTCATGACGCCAGACTGCGATATTATTAGCCAACCAAACCTGTAGCGCAGATGATATAAACCTTACAGAAAATTCTATATCAATATCCTCCCTAGAATCTTGGAGCGCCTCGAATATTGTCAGAACATTTTCGAGGTACTCGTCGGCAATATCGTGATATTGGCTTTCCGACAACTCTGCTGGGGTGAAGCCCGTCAACCCCTTCTCTGTTGACGACGTAGGCGGCTGCTCCGGTGTTTGTGCTGCCGCTCCCAGGCGAGAAGATACATTGGTGAAGTTTCTCACGCCATTGGCCATAAAAGGGGCGACATTGGCTATGGACGGTGTTGCTATCAAGCATCGATTGATGTGTGACGGGCGAGGAGATCGAAGCGCTCGTAGGCAGCCGCGAGACACGCTTGAAATTGCCTGGCGGGACATGGTGGCTGTTGAAAGGCAAGATTGATAAATTACACTCTTTTTACACCTCTGGCTAAACGTCGTAGCGTGTTGTCGAAGTTTTCGGTGCAAGCATGTGTGATGATGATCGTGCAACGGGCTAGGCGGGCAGCTTCGGTAAGGCGTGCTGTGGGGGACGCTTTAGCTCAGCACGACCACCAGCCATTCCAAGGTAAACCCCACGTCTCGACATTCTGTTCCTTTGACAATTTCAACCCTTCGCAGCCCCGGCCCCTCCAACCGATAGCGAGACGATGATAAACGCCTTTTTAGTTTTCAACGGCCAAGGCCAGCCAAGATTGACGAAATTTTATACACAGCTTGTAAGTCTTGCCGCGTTGTTCACAAACCTATGCGATTGGTAGCTAACCATTGTCGATCTCATAGGAGACCAGCATTCAACAACGACTAATTTCCGAAATATTTACTCTTGTCTCTAATCGGCCGTCTGGATCTTGCAATTTCCTACCTCTGCCACCACTACTTGCAGCGTCGAGCACTGCGAAAAACGCATCAGAAGAACAGAACGATGTGCCGTCGCTGGTGACGTACCGCAACTATGCGACACTTTACTTTATCGTCATATCAACATCGACCGAGTCACCTCTAGCACTTATAGATCTTATCCAAGTTTACGTCGAAGCTTTGGACAAATTGTTCGAGAATGTCTGCGAGCTGGATCTTATCTTCAACTTTGAAACGCTGCACGCGACTCTCTCTGAAATGATAGTAGGAGGCGTGGTTATCGAAACGAGTTTAGACAGGATAGTAGCAGGTGTCAGAGCTCAAGGCACTGTAGCGAAGCGTCCTGTGAACGAAGGTCGCGCCACAGGCCTCGGTGCTGGCTTAGGCATGACGAGCAACTTTGGCTGGGCAGGCAGGTAGGCTGAGTAATGCCTTATGAGAAGTTCATTTTTCTGGCGCACTATTGGGACTGGGGCGTTTGATTGTGATTATTTGGCCAATGGTTAAAGAGGCTATATGGAATTTACATTATTATACACTACCAACTATCATGGCATCATAGACATTAGTTCGGTTTCGACTTCTCTGCTTCTGACTGAGACGGATGCATGCCCTGAATCATGTCATCTGATTGTTCATATCGCTTATCTTTGTCCAGAATACCGAATAGATTCTCGGTTTTCTTTCTAATCTGCGAGCCAGCAGGGTTAGCAAACGGCCCTGCGCAAAGAGCCTGGGGTATCAAACTCACTTCTTCTGAAGGCTTATACTTCTGACCCCACCACTCAAATTCAGAGAAGAATAATAAATAAATCATGGCGGCTATAGGTTTCTTCGCATTAGCCGACGCGCCGCGTAAGGTAGCCAGAGCATTCTTCAGTACTAACCGGTCATTGTGGCTAGTTGGGCATATTTAACAGCCTTGTCCCATCTCGGCGATCGGTTTGCTAAGAACATTCGGCGTTTGTACTTTTTCTCGAAGCGTAATTGTTGTTGGTGAGTCAACTGTTTGAAGTCCGGCGGCCAGACAGTTTTGGCTTTGTAAATGTTGCTCGCGGCGATTGGAGGCAATTTGCTGAAGACTCCATCTTTAGCAGGCTGAGCCAGTCGTCTTAACGTTATCGAAAACATGTCGCTCGATTGTTGTGTCGCCGAGAGTATTACCAGATAATCGAAAGGAACAGAGGAACCCTTTTCGTCAAGACGTCATGCCTGCGATCTAAATTGCCCAGGGCTCAAGCCACTAAACCGCACCGCCACGACGAATATTTGCGCCACACACACCAACGCAGAATTGCCCCGCGCCTTATTTTTCACCCCGCCAAGGTGCCGCCGCCCTTGAACAGCTTGCAAACGTGACTCACTTTTGATTTTATCGTCGTGCTGTTGTATAGACTGCACGTTGGTATCTTCATCATTGAATCTTTGGTCTCAACATCATCTGGATTCGCACATTAGTGCAAACCGACATTCGAGACTGTCTTTACACTCCTGCATAAGATCGGGTATTAGATCGGATCAGTTCCTAACCTTTCGAATCGTCATATCTATTCTGCAACCATGGCCGCCACAACAGCTGTTGCCTCCGATTTGGAGGGTTTGACTCTCTCAACAGCTCTGAAGGAGTTGAAGGGTGTAAGTGGACATACATCACCACGCAGAGCCAAGAGCAATCGCTAACGGAACGACAGACCGAGAAGCGCGACTCTCTCATTGCGAACGAAAAGAAATATCAAAAGAAGTGGAAGGAAGATGGATTGTTCGATGTTGACGCTCCTACCACGGCCGAAGTCCCTCTCCACTCGATCTCCGCAGCAGAACTGCGAGAGAAGGTCCCTAAGTTCTTCTCTACATTCCCCTATCCTTACATGAACGGTACTCTACACATCGGCCACACCTTCTCTCTGAGCAAAGTCGAGTTTACTACCGGAGTTGCGAGAATGCAGGGCAAGCGTGCTCTGTTTCCCCTGGGTTTCCATTGCACTGGTATGCCCATCAAAGCTTGCGCTGACAAGCTGGTCAATGAGATTAAAATGTTCGGCAAAGATTTCTCTGGCTACAACCCAGACGAAGAGGTGGAGGAAGCTCCTAAGGCTGCTGAAGCTAAGCCAAAGGAAGATGTTACAAAATTCACGACTAACAAGAGCAAAGCCAACGCCAAGGTCGCCAAGAAGAAGTACCAATTCCAGATTATGGAGTCTATGGGCATCCCCAAGGAAAAGATCGCATCATTTGCTGATGCCAACTACTGGCTGCAATATTTCCCCCCTCTGGCAATGCGTGACTTGACCAACCTGGGCTTCCGCATCGATTGGCGTCGCTCGTTTGTCACCACCGATGTCAACCCTTACTACGATGCCTTCACCAGATGGCAGATGAACCGTCTTAAGGAGCTTAACAAGATCAAGTTTGGCAAGAGATATACCATCTACTCCATCAAAGATGGCCAGCCTTGCATGGACCATGATCGTGCTGAAGGTGAGGCAGTTAATCCTCAAGAGTACACCGCATTGAAGCTCAAGGTCCTCGAGTGGGCACCCAAGGCTGCCGCAGCCCTCCAAGGCAAGCTTCCTGAAGGTGCCAACGTCTTCCTGGTCCCCGCCACTCTTCGCCCGGAAACCATGTACGGCCAAACGTGCTGCTTTGTCGGTCCTAAAATCAACTATGGCGTTTTCAAGGTCAACGACACTGATTACTTCGTCATGACGGAGCGTGCAGCCAGAAACATGGCCTACCAGGGCATTTTTGCTCAGGAGGGTGTTATTGATAAGGCTGCCGAAATTGTAGGATCTGATATCATTGGTACCTTGATCAATGCTCCTCTCTCTCTCCATAAGGAAGGTGTCCGCGTGCTCCCCATGGATACAGTACTGCCTACAAAGGGAACTGGTGTTGTCACGTCTGTTCCTTCCGACAGCCCTGACGACTTCGCGACTGTTACCGATTTGGCAAAGAAGGCTGAGTACTATGGTATTCAGAAGGAGTGGGCTGAGTTGGAGATCTTCCCCATTATTGAGACTCCCTCATACGGTGATCTCTGCGCCCCCTTCCTGGTTAAGAAGCTCAAGATTGCTTCTCCCAAGGACACCAAGCAACTGGAGGAGGCTAAGGAATTGGCATACAAGGAAGGATTCTACCAAGGTATCCTCAAGGTTGGAGAGTTCAAGGGTGAAAAGGTTGAAATCGCCAAGCCCAAGGTCCGCGCTCAGTTGATTGCTGCCAGTGAAGCCTTTGCCTACTCTGAACCTGAACGCAAGGTCGTCAGCCGATCGGGAGATGACTGCATTGTTTGCTTGATGGACCAATGGTATATCGACTATGGAGAGGAGTCTTGGAAGCAGATTGCGCTCAAGTGGGTTGAAAACGAGGATGGAAAGGGCATGGAGACTTGGGCCCCTGAAACTAAGAACGGCTTCGAAAGCGTTCTTAACTGGCTTAACCAGTGGGCTTGTGCCCGTTCTTATGGCCTGGGATCTAAGTTGCCTTGGGACAAGAGCTTCCTTGTTGAAAGTTTGAGTGATTCTACCATCTACATGGCTTACTACACAATCGCTCACTTCTTGCACAAGGACTTGTACGGAAATGAGAAGGGTGTTGGGAACATTGCTGCCGATCAGATGACTGACGAGGTTTTCGACTACGTCTTCTGCCGTCGTGACCTTGACGACTCCGTTCTTGCTGACAGCAAGATCCCCCGCGAAACTCTCGAGAGCATGCGTCGTGAGTTTGAGTACTTCTATCCCGTGGATATGCGCAGCTCTGGTAAGGATTTGGTACCCAACCACTTGACCTTCTTCCTGTACATCCACTTGGCTATCTTCCCACCTGAGTACTGGCCTCGTGGTGTCCGTGTGAACGGTCACTTGTTGATGAACGGAGAGAAGATGAGCAAGAGTACCGGTAACATGATGACTGCACAAGAAGGTGGTTTGAAGTACGGTGCTGATGCTACTCGCATTGCTCTGGCTGATGCTGGTGATGGTGTCAACGATGCCAACTTTGAAGAAGATGTCGCCGACAACAACATTCTCCGTCTCTTCACCCTCCGCGAGTGGTGCGAAGAGATGGTCAAGCCTGAGACTGAGCTCCGCACTGGCGAGATCAACAACTTCCAGGATGCCTTGTTTGAAAACGAAATGAACTCTCTTGCTGCAGAGGCTGTTGAGCAGTTCAAGCAGACTAACTACAAGCTTGCTCTCAAGGCCGCTTGGTATGAGCTTACCACTGCGCGTGACTTCTACCGTGAGGCTTGTGCTGCTGCCAACATCAAGATGCACAAGGACATTATCATGCGTTACATTGAGACTCAGGCCCTGTTGATGGCTGTCATCGCCCCTCATTGGTCTGAGTACATCTGGCTTGAGGTCCTGAAGAAGGAAGGCTCCGTCCACAACTGCCGCTTCCCTGAAGCCGGTAAGGTTGACGGTGGCCTCTCCGCCAAGCGTGACTATGTCCGAGTCACCACTTCCAACGTCAACTCTGCTGAGGCTGTGCAGTTGAAGAAGAAGGCCAAGGGCAAGGATGTGTCATTCGACCCCAAGAAGCCCAAGAGACTGACCATTTACATGACTGAGTCTTTCCCCTCATGGCAAGCCAAGTACCTCGACTTGCTGAAGGAGATGTGGGACCCAGCAACCAACTCGGTTAACGACAAGGAGCTGAACGGCCGTATTGGAAAGATGGGTGAGATGAAGAAGGCTATGCCGTTTGTCCAGGGTCTCAAGAAGAGACTCCAGGCCGGTGAGGCCGCCTCGTCTGTCTTGGAGCAGAAGTTGGCCTTTGACGAGAAAGAAACTCTCTCTCAAATGGTTCCTGGCTTGAGGCGTACAAGTGGCTTGAAGGATTGCATTGTCATTAATGTCAAGGAGGGTGGCAAGGAGGGCGTCAACACCGCTACCGGAGAAGATGTTGAGCTGAGTGGCCCTATTCCCGAGAATGCTGTCCCTGGCCAGCCTACGTTCTTCTTCGAGAATGTTGATGCTTAAACGGATGAAATTAAGAAATGAACAGAGAAATAAAAAAAGAATAGGCAATGATAGTACACAAACTTATAAACCAAAACAGTCTAAAATTCCATAAGCTTTGTGGTGAATATACGATGATTGTCAGCTTGGGCATGGAAGAGCTTGTCTAGTTTGTGACATATCTGACATCGACTAAGCAGGACAAGCAGCTTGCTAGAGAAATTGCGGATTGTGGGTGAGCCTGGTATGTCGAGGCACCGACTGGTACTGACGCTAGCGAGGCTGCAGGATCCTCAACGGGCAGCATCCATCTAACACTACATGAGACGCTGACTGACCGTGCGCCGGAGGCGGCAGCGGTGACGGACACGAGCGGACATGGATCAATACAGCTTGATACAATATATGCTTTGTGGCCTCTTTTCTTTCTCGAGCCACTATATTAGAAAGAAAGAACAATATACATAAAAGAAGCTACTGTAGAACCAACCACGCTGTTCACAACAATACGCAAACGTAACGGTACGCACGTTGAGAGAGGCGGGTCGGGGCGGATACTCCCTTGCGTAGTACTTCGCTATTCTGCAACGTGTAGCAGCAATTGCATGCCTGCGACTACCATTGTGTACGAAATATGGGACACGGAGACTATTCTCCAGTGGCATCGCGGGTTGCAGAGCCACTCGGTAAGCGACAACGTTGCGCTTTCGGAAGCATGACAAGGTGAGGTGGGCTTTTCCACGCAGCGTGACGCAGACGGCGTATGAGGAATAGGATACAAGATGGGACTTTGGTTTAAAAAATGAGGCGTTGGGGGGTAAAAAGGCTTGTCTGCGCTGATCCTTCGTGGAGTCGTGCCCGCAATGACGCACAAGAGTGCTGTCTTGTCATATAAATGGTTTTCTAACGTCTGCATGCATGAGAATGGGCGGGTAGGCGCCGTTAGCGTGGCTTGTTTGAAAGCTGATGGTGCAGCGTACGTTGCGTCATCATGGGTAATTCTGCCTATCTTTAGAAAAAAGCAGCCTGCCGGATGGGGTTGTGGTGGTGGTTGGTGGCTGCGTTTGCGGGCGGGCTGTGTCCTGTACAGAAGGACCGACAGCGCTGTACTTTGTCGCTACAGTTGCCAGATACAGTGACTTACAGAAGTCGTACAGTACCTACAACGGGCGAGTAAGTGAGCCACATGTGCAGCGAAGTGGGCGCTCCCAGTGTGTGAATACGAGGCTGATCAGCCAGAAAAAACCAAAACGCCTTTGGATCCTCTTGCTGGAGCGTTCATTCATCCATAGTTTGGGAGCCCGACCTCGGGGAATTATTTAGGTCTGGAGCGTAATATTCTCTGTTAATTACGATTGCCAGCATTGGAAACCATCCCCCCGTCTGTGCGTGCTTATACTCTGTAGACAGGGCCTGCTAACTTTTTTTATCCCCCAAATCACAACTCTAACTTGAAAATCCCTTGCGGCCAACTTCCCTGTTTGCGTTGCTGAAAACTTTACTTATAGTGGGCTCAAACGGGGCTGCAGTGTGGCACAACCACTACAAAGAAGGAAAAAAGCTTTTTTTCTTGCCTGGTCAAAGCGCCCCCACTCGCAAATTGGGCCTATCTTGCCAGGTAGCGGGTACAAGGCCTGCCCTGATAACAGGCAGGGATAAGGGAGCACGTTGGCGACAGATTGGTGGTTGTAGGGGCTTGAGCAGGAGCACGCGCTAGGTACCCGGTACCCGCTGCAACGCTGGCCCTTGCCCCCCCGGGCCGACGCTCCACTCAAGCATTTCGCAGAGGGTGGGCTCAATCTCTGCAGTTTGCGCCAGCAACCCGTGTGGCCAGGCTGCAGGCCTTGTTTTTCTAGCGGCGCTGGCTCCCCCGAAGCTCCCCGTAGAGCGAGCTACAGCGCTGTACAGCAGCAGGGGTGCAACATCCTGGTGAAGGTAATGTACTGTAATGTAGCGTCGGCAACGCTAGCGTCCTTCTCCAGGGGTGGCTGCAGCGGCGCAGTGAGTGTGCGGCGCGCTGCTCCTGCCTTTTTTTTCTGTTACGTCGCGATCGCGCAATCTTCGATGTTCGATGGCGGCCGTGCCTTTTTTCCCTTTTCTGCTCTCGCATCCTCTTCTCCGCTTCCACTCTCGGCTCTCGTCACTTGTTTGCTTCTTCTCGCGTTGCTATTCTCGCGCACACAACTGCGTCGATTCCTCCATTGCACCGCCAATCGCATCTCGGATCCTGTGCTTGCCACTGCTCTCCTATCTGGCCAACGACACACACCAGCGCTATCGCCACCTCACCACCATAGCCAGCCCCTGGGTCTCTCGCTTCGCCCGTCGATAAAAAGAACCACTTGGCCTCGTTGCCCGTCGCTCGCTATACTCGCGCTGTTGTTTTCGCCTGATCTGCTGGATTAAGCTGCTACCTTTTTTACTCTCCACATACCAATCCATTCCCCAGACTCGCAGGGCTAGACACTTGCCCCAACGAGCCACGAGTGCCAAGCTTTTTAATCTGCGATCTCTTGGACTTTATTGCCCTGGTCGCTGAACTGCAGCACAACAACCTCGTCATCTTCCTTTTCGATTCGTGAACACAATGAGAGTCTCTTTGCTCGCAACTGCCTTGGCAACTGCCTCTGTTGCCGTTGCCTCCTTGCCCGGCGGCGGCGACTTGAACCCGCCAACCATTGACGTCTCTCGCGTTGTCACAACAATTGGCAATACTCCGTCCACAAACTCGGTCGCGCCAATTGCTACTCCCTCGTCATCTACCAGCTCTACTTCTGCTCCTCACACCGTATCAACGCATGTTGCCCCTTCCACAGACGTCAGCAGCACGCCGTCGTCGCACCAGGCCCCCAACGCCACCAGCTCCAAACCCGCCGACCAGACAGGCGGCGCTATTCTCCCGCACATGCAGGGTTCTATGGTTGGCCTGCTTGGCTTTTGCATCATGAGTCTCATCATGCTGTAATGGCCCAAATTCGCTTTGCCAAGCCCTGTGCACCAGCTATCTCGCCAAGCATGGCAATCGTCCGTGGAGTCTACCATGGACCCGTTTGCTACGCTTAACGAACAGCACCACCAACTGTACAGGGGAAGCGGCAATTGATACGACGTTATGACACCCGAAACACCACCACTTTGTACATTTTCTCTGCTTCTCTGGAACAAGAGTTTGAAGGTTGTTGGCCACCAAAGTGGCAGCACGACTTAACCCCGTCCAAAGCGAGACGGCGTTTTACTTGCGATTTCTTGCCTTGCCTTTTCACAAAAGATTCATCATATTTGGGAGGATCTACTCTTTGCTTTCTCTTTCAACCAATGATACCACCGCCACCACGGCGTCGCTGTATTTGAATATCTTGCCACCTCGACAAGATTAATGCCCTTTTTTCTTCTTCAGTTTCTGCATCAGACAGACAATGGCAGGCCACAAATACTCCAGGTGTGCAGTGCACATCCAAGCCCTTAATGAGGCTTATGATAAAGAGGAGGGCAATGTTTGATACAGACAAAAAGTTTAATACCTATGTAGATAGACGAAGATACTGATTAGCGGCAAACCCTGCCGTATATAATGCATAATAAATCCTATATGCGAAAACACCTATCCCAAACAAACTTTTCAAGCGCCAAATATTACGTATAAACCACCCCATCTATGCTGTTGGTTTGTAGCCGCGGTGCTGGAGTGTCCTACTCAGCCTTTCCGGACGCCCAGATATTTTTCTATTCATTACTTCGTTATTCCCTAGCAGCCGCCCAGCCTTTCGAAAGGCGATGTGTCTCCTGCGTCCATAGGATAGAGCACGATAAGATTGTGTCGAGTGTGTGTATAACTGTCAGAACAGTTGCTTATATGTGAGATGTCGGCAGAATTCTTCCCCTCGGGCCAGAAAGTGCCATCGTCTGAGGATGAGCATTCAGTGCGAGGGGAAGGTCGACTTGTTGGACGGTGCGGGGCTATGCTCTTCGTTCTCCGTTTCGCTTCGTGAAATTAACACACAGAGCTGTGTTGTAATGTCGATCTTTTTCATTTAGACTGCAACGGCAGTGGGCGCCGCAACATCACCGGGTGGAGGAGGCGGTTGTGGTAGGTCATCCTGTCAATAAAATGCGTTAGCAAGTCTGAAGTGGCGACATTAGAATAAAGCGGAAGCGCGCGCACCAAGTCGAAGATGACCCTAATCATAAGACTACAGCTAGGACATACAGCAATATCCTGCTCGTCGCGAAGGTCCTCAAGGGCGATCTGGAACTTGTCGCCGCACGGGCAAGGGTAGTGGTAGACCTGCATGTCGGCGTCGAAGGTCATGTCCTCGATCTCGATTTCATCGTATATGTTTTCCTCATCAGACATGTTGGCAATGTGTCAAATGCGTCAATATGGTATCTTGGTAAACTGTGGGTTTGTTGCAGAAATTTGTTTAATTATTTGAAACGTTTTCCAGCGCTTGGGAGACTCGAGTTGTCGGAAGTGGCGATGTCGAAAAAGGACAAAGGCAGAAAAAAAGAGCCGTTTGAATCACTCGCGAGACCAAGTGTGGCTAGTGAAATTTGCTGTGGCTAGTGAACTACCGCAAACACACCTGTGTCAATCACATGTCGCTCTCACCCGCAAAATAGATCTGTGGCGCAGCACATTCCCCAGCATGTCAGCCATTTTGGCCGAGGAGCTACCAACCACATGCGTCTTTCTTCATTCTCCAATCGGCTTGTGCCAGAGTAAGCGACAGCAAACGGCTTTTCCCTTTTCTGTGCTTCTCTTTTTTACTTCATCCCATCTCCTTCCTTTTCTTACGTTCCTTTTGGCAACGCGCAATTCAAATTCGTCCTCCAATTACCATTTGGATCCCCCGCGACGGACGCTGCCCGCTAACAGCGCCCGCCCCAGCTTAGCCGAGATCTCGTCACAAGCCAACCACCACCGTCTCGCATCCCCCATCGCCGAGGACTCTGTATCAGGGCATTGTGTACCTTGCAACTCGCAGCCATGGCAATCCAGTCCAAGCTGTCCTTGCCCCAGTTCGACGGCAAGGTCAAGAAGATTGTCCTCGAGTTGACGCAGCTCTACCTGTCAAACCGCACTCGCATTTCTCGCGCCGTCTGGATCACGCTCTTTGTGGCCCTCATCAACCGAATCCGCAATGCAATCTCGGAGCAAAAGGCTGCCTCTCAAAACTCGGCCGCGCGTAAGAGCGCCGTCCAGCCCGCCGCTGTCGGTCCCGATGGCAAGCCGCTGCCTGTCAAGAAGAAGGTTGCGCTGGACCGCGAGTTCTTCCGCTCGCTGCTTAGATTGCTCAAGATTGTCGTACCGGGATGGCGCAGCAACGAGACCAGACTGCTCATAAGCCACAGCTTCTTCCTCGTTCTGCGTACCGTCATCAGTCTTAAAGTTGCCGAGATGGATGGTGCCATTGTCAAGGCGCTTGTCAAAGGCCACGGTAAAGAGTTCCTTAAGCGAATCCTCTGGTGGATGCTCATTGCTGTACCTGCAACCTTTACAAACTCCATGGTATGTAGCCTGCGCTGCCACACCTTGTCGCAATCGCTAACATACAATCACAGCTGTCATATCACCAAGCCGAGCTGTCGCTCAAGTACAGAACAAGATTAACACAGTATATCCATGACCAGTATCTCTCAAAGCTTACATTTTACGGAATTTCCGCACTGGACGACCGTATAAAGAACCCCGATCAGCTCATTGCGGTCGATGTGTCGAAGTTCTCCAACAGTCTTGCTGAGCTCTACAGCAACTTGGCCAAACCTATTCTCGATATGGTATGTGTTTACTGATCCTGCAGTTACAGTCTTGCTTTTACTAATTTCAAATTACCAGACCATCTATACATATTCCCTATCCAACAGCGTTGGTGGCGAGGGTGTCGTCTTTATGTCACTCCTCGTGCAGCTCTCGGCCAACGTCATGCGCATGTTGACTCCTCCCTTTGGCAAATACGTTGCTGATGAGGCCCGCCTGGAAGGTGAATTCCGCTTCCAACACTCTCGCCTTATTGACCATGCCGAGGAGGTCGCTCTCTATGCTGGACACAACGCCGAAAAGGATACCCTCGACAAGGGCTACTTCACTCTCATCAAGCACGTTAACTATATTCTTCGACGACGCTTCTATCACGGTTTCATGGAAGACTTTGTCATTAAGTACTTCTGGGGTGCTCTGGGTCTTGTCCTTTGCAGTGTACCTGTCTTTGTTAAGCTCCCTGGCCATATTGCTATGAACATGGGCGACCGAACCGAGTCCTTCGTCACCAACCGACGCATGCTTCTGTCAGCCTCTGACGCCTTTGGCCGTATCATGTTCTCTTACCGCGAAATCATGGAGTTGGCCGGATACACCTCACGTGTCGCGTCCCTGCTAGACGTCATGGACGACATCCAGGCCGGCCACTTTGAGAAGAAGCTCGTATCGTCCTCTGGAACAGAAGACAACGCCGCCGTCCTCAAGGGCCGCGGTACCGTACATGAGAGCAAGGATATCACATTTATTGACGTACCAATTGTCTCTCCCAACGGCGATGTCCTCGTCAAAGCCCTCTCGTTCTCTCTCAAGTATGGCGACCACTTGCTTGTTGTCGGTCCCAACGGTTGCGGAAAGTCCTCCCTCTTCCGTATTCTTGGCGGTCTCTGGCCCGTTTACGGCGGAACGGTCTACAAGCCTCCATTCAGTGCCATCTTCTACATTCCCCAGCGCCCATACCTCTCGCGCGGCTCTCTCCGCCAGCAAATTATTTACCCCGATTCTCTTCGACAGATGCGATACCGCGGAACTACGGACGCAGACCTCTTTGAGATTCTCAAGATTCTTGGCCTTGAACATCTGGTAGAACTCTACGACGAAGGTTGGGATGCCGAGGCTGAGTGGAGAGATGTGCTCTCTGGTGGCCTCCAGCAACGTGTTGCCATGGCCCGTCTCTTCTACCACCGTCCGCAATACGCCATCCTCGATGAATGCACCAGCAGTGTCACCCTTGAAACAGAAAAGGTCATGTACGATAACGCCAAGGCTCTCGGTATCACTCTTATGACTGTCAGCCATCGTCGCAGTCTCTGGAAATACCATACCCACATTCTGCAATTCGACGGACAGGGCAACTTTGTCTTCACCAAGCTCGACGCTGATAAGCGTCTGAAGCTCGAGGACGAAAAGGAGGAACTCGAGGTTAAGCTGCGCCAGGTACCTGAGCTAGAGAGGCGCATGGCTGAATTGACGGCATAGGGTGGAGGAAGTTGATGCTCCATTAAACAGAGCGTGTAGTAGAACGGTGCGGCGTAGACTCCTTTTGTACATGAAAAGCCACAATGATTTATAGGCAAATGTATGATATAACTATTTCTCTTCAATGCCATCATCATAAAATGTGAATACAAGAAGTAAATGTTTGTAGGAGGCTCAAAGCGAAATACAATGTTTGTAGGTGTACTGCTTATTAACTATATATTTACATGAAGAATAAAGAAGAAACAAGACGACAGTATATGACTGTCTGTCTTTATTCGCTAGACGTACAATGCAGCAGTATATATGCATCAACACTAAATGACTCAAAGTTCTCGGGTGCTGTCCAGAACACCGGCGCAAAATATTCGAACGACAAATAAAATAGTAGAGCCCGGGGGCGGAAATACTGGTAGTTGCAAAAGATTTTCGCAAGAAGGAAAGTAAAGTAAAGAGCTGTAGAATCATCTCATCAATGAAAAAGTATCATGAGAGAAGAAATAGAAATAAACAAAGAAATGAATAGGAAAGGTTGAGGGGCGGGAAAGGAGAGGTATTTACTCTCTTTCTTCGTCAACGCTGCCCATAAAGTTGGTCGACCGGCTGGGCTTCAACCCAATCTTTAATAAGCTCAGTCGCTTTCGCATACTGCCCCCTCTCTTTAAAGGACTTGGTTCCTTGTCTAGCGAGGGGCGGCCATCCTGCGATGATCTATTATCGAGACTGTCTCGACTGGGAGTGCTCTGCCGTCTGGCATTAAGGATAGGGCTGGTGACGGTTTCAGAGGCTGGCGACCAGAAGCGGTTTGGAGAAGACTTATCCTTGCTTAGACTGCGCCTGTGCCCATTAACAGCATTGTTGGACATTGGGCTTAAAGGAAAGTCTGCTGACGGGTCGTGGCTCTTCTTGCGACCACCTAAGAAGCTGAGGCGGGTGCCCTTCTGTTGGACAGTAACCTGACGTACTATGGCAGCTTCTTCTCCCCTTCCAAGAGTTGCCGGTGATGCTATGCTGGTCCACGGGCTTTGGTTGATGGAAGGTGAGCCTTTCCATGCTGTTGAAGGCGTGGACATAGCAGGCTGTGGTGACGGTGCAGGTGCAAACTGTGACACCTCTGGCGCAAAGCTAATTTCAAATTCTACGGGAGTGTTAGATTAGCGGGTTGAATATAAAAGTGATGTAGTGCACGTACTTCTTTGCAGGCCGTCATGGCGAGCGTTAATTGAGCTTGTTTTGGAACGCAACAATAGAGCCAGGCTTGACTTAATGGCAAGAGCGTGGTCAAATAGGGCCGTTTGTATGGCGAGATCTCGGGGTTCAAGGTCAGGAGTTTCCTCTTCTTCCTCTTCCTCCTCATCTTCATCATCATCCTCGCCTGAACCAGGTCTTGTTGGTTGCGGTAGAAGTTGTCTGTAGGCTGCGATGCTGGTCTCAGAATCAGGTTCCACCGATGCAGCGATCAAGTCGGCCAAAGCTGGCAATGCTTGCTCTTGACCATCCGCTATACGACGTTCTAGCGTTGAAACCTCCTGTGTCTTGCGCAAAATTCGCTCTAACGCAGTCTGATGGGCATCAAGGCGCAGTTCCTGAACATCAACAACTTCGGATCGGCGCAAGATTGTTGGGAATGGTTCCGCTGCAGTAAGAAGCATTTTGACAGCACAGTGGTCATGGACTGGGCCAGATGTATTCCTTTTGGTGGTAACAGAAAAGGATTGAGGGTGAGAGGATAGCAAGAAATCACGGATAACCTGAGGAACTCTAGCCCGCTGCAGAACTTGGTGGCTAAGATCACGGTGAGGTGAGATGCTTGATATCGACAGGAACTGACCCTCTACCTCATCGATATCCTCAGATGTGACAATTTTGGCAGCTGGGTACTGTTCTTGCAGTCTATCGGCAAATGCCGAACCTCTCTCGGAGTGGGAGCCCTCAAAAATGAAGACCTTGTCTCTCTGTGCCGCGGGGAAGCCGAGCCCCTTGTATGTGACTTTGAAGTACTTGGGCACAATCTTGTCGCTTTTTGATATCATCTCGTAAATCGTTGCAATGGCTCGCTCAGTTCGTGCTAGCTTGGCAAAATCGAATATGTTGGTTTCATACTGATGCTTCAATTCTTTATATGCCGTTAGCGCGTTGCTCCATGATTCGCCTTCCTCAAAGTGTTTGATCATGTTGAAATAGATCTTTTCTTTTCGTTCGAAATGATTCTGTGCGTCAAAGTCGGGATCTCGGAGTGCGGGTGCTTGACGATTTGGATCCCATTCATAGAGGTCTGCGTGTAATCGCAGCGCCAGGCCGGCTTCACAATGGTTTCCAGAGTCCGCTTGAACGGTAGCCAGCTGCTGGACATAGCGGACAAAGATCTCCTGCTTCTGCATATCTCGGAGAAACTCCATAAGCCTCAGTCGGTTGATGATATCAAAAGCACCAGAGTTATCGTCGTTACTGTGAACTGCAACCAAAAGATCGAGAAACTCATCCAATGTGCCGATTAGTTCTTGGGTAGCAGCATACAGCGGTTCGTCTGATGTTTCCGCAAGAGGCTCGAATCTTTCGAGTAATTCGCCAAGGAAGAGCTTCTGCAAAACACTCTCGGTAAGTGGTTTTGTTTTGAAAAACGTGTCCAAGCAATCCACAACTTCCGTTTGAATCACTGCCAGATCATCACTAAGAGACCACTCGCTAATAATCATCGTCTGCAGTACTTCAACCGCCATTCCTCGCAAGCCCTCATGCACACTAAGACATAGTTCAACAATGGGAGCGACCAGAGTTGGAACATATTGTACTTGATAACCGCCAATCTTTGTGAGACTATATCTCGCGCGTTCCTCTGGGGTTGTCTCCCACCCAATAGCTTCCCACATTCGCCGAAGTAGGGCAGCACCATCCTCCCTCACGTCACCAGCAATCTTCCACACCGCGCGCCTCTTCTGTTCTGGGAAGGTCTCTAGAGCCAAAGACGGGGTTCCAACCAATTTTAATAGAGACGCAAAGAATAGCTTCCAGAGCTCCGTGTTGAAGTTTTCTCCATCGTCCGGATCGGGTAAGAAAGAGTCCAACAATATGCCGGAAAGGTATTGAAGGGTTCGCATTGTTGACTTGTGATGGTAGATGTGAACACTGAGCCATCCATCTGGGAAGGCATCCGCCTGTAGAATACTCATTTGTACGCGCAGAAGGTTCTCTAGGAGAATAGTGAGATCATTTTCAGCCAACTCTAGCTGCATTCCTGAAGGTGATGTTGCCATGGCTGATAGAATAGCAGAGAGTTCCGCGAGACCTTCATCCATACTCAAGTCCTCAGCGACAGCCTTGCTAGGGAATGGATATACAGACGGAAATAGCAGGGACAGCTTATTTCGAGGCTTCAATGGGCTGTTTAGCATCGCCAGATATGAATCCACGGCCCTTGGCACATGGTCTGGGATTTCTGGACCAAGGTATTCCAATTGACTGGCGAGAACTGAGCAGCACAGGCGTACTTGTTCACGCCACTGGTCACTAACTTCCAATGTATGACCCCAGTGAGGACTAATCCATCGGACAGTATTGGCGCTAAGAGCTGCCCGTTGATCGGGATGAGCAAAGATTTCCAATTGAGAATAGTTGATAATCAAGATAAGCTTGTAGAGGATAAGCTTGCCTTTGACGTTGCTGCAGGAGTCCATGAAATCAATGGCTATGTGAAGAATCTCTTCTGTAGGTAGAAGTTTTGTCAGTTCTGGAAGCCAGGTATGAAAGTGTTGGACCGCTAGTGTCTGGCTACCGACGAGAACTGGTGCAGGATTCTGCATCATTTCATCCAAGGCTTTGAAGACAGAGCGCAACTGTTTGTTGAAAGCGTGGGGAGGCGTGGCAATTCCTAAGTCTGCCTCTTTGGCTCTTTGCTGATCTCTGGCATGTGTGATAAATCGCAGGATTTGCTGCACAATTTTCAAAGTTGCTCGTAGTTTCCTAGCTGCTTCTGGTTCCGTAGAATGTTCGAGTAATCTTGTGAGGGCTCGAATCAAACATGTAGTTGCATAAGGGTAGTTGAACCGAGTGGCAGCATATCGATCAACAATTGGGACAAGGTTAAATCTTCTGTCGTGGACAATATCCAACACTCGGACAAGAGCTGTGAAGACTAAATCTTCGTACTCGTCTTTGCCAGCGTGTTCCACCAAAACGGCGAATAGATTGTCAAGAATATCGCTGAGCAACTGCACAATTTCAATCTCTGGCACGAACATGAGCTGTCTCAGCACAGAGTTTAGATCCTCACTAGAAAGCTCTCTCCATCGTAGCAAACCAAGAATGATTCGATCTTGGGAGAAACGAGTGCTGCAGAGGAAGGTTCGTGTGTTTATAATTGCCAACGGTCCGGTAACGTCGCTAGAGCGTTCATCTCGGGTTCGAGGCTCTGAAGGAAGCGATAGATAACCGCCTCTACCTGTAGGCCCTGCCTGAGCTGTGCCCGTGTTGTCGTCGGCTTTGTATAGCAATAGCGTGTGTTTGCCGTCTCTCACAAACGCCTCGCGGTCCCATAAGGGCATATGTGCAACTGCGAAGTTTGCGCCAGGCATGTCCGATACGTACAACACAATGTGAGCATCAGGCACTTCCTCAGGGGGGAGAGTAATGCGAACTGTTTGATTCCACAGATCCCCTCTTTCCACAATCGCAGATTTGAAGGTAGTAAGTGGTTCTGAATTAGACGATGGAAGGATGCATTTCTCAAACTTTTCGCCCGAAGATCGTCTGACTTCCATTGTAACTTGCAAGTTGTTACCAGAAATTCCTGGCGGCAGGCTTGTCGCGCTTCCACCAAATCGCGAAAGGAGATTTTGTCTCGAGAGGGCAGCATTGTCGAGCGTGAAGTAGATATCGGATCTCGTACTTGTAGGTGCTCCAGAAAAGCCAATTCTCGGAGTTTTCGGGACACCAGCTAGTACAGTTGGGTTTGCTTTGATTAACATGTCGGCATCCTGATGTTCGAATACTTTCAGAGAAACCTGCAACCGCTCGCCTCGCCTGGACTTCTCAAAGCCGTTATTGGGGTTTGACATTAATTCGCGAATCAACGGCACCCAATCAGAGTCGGATGTGTCGGTGGAAGAACCAGCAGCACACGGTGACCAAATATTAGCAATTAGCTCCGTCTCTTCGCTATACTTCATTAAAGCATTCAACTTGAGAACGGCGATTCCCACAGGTCTCTGTCCTGTTTGTGTCTCGTGCACTAGTGAACTGCTGCTTTGGGAAGCAGCAGTTTTGGGAGGAGTTGGGCCCTCACGGCTCTCCAATGTTCGATCTGTACGTGGGCGGCTATCAGAGTGTTCGCTGACGACATCCATCCTGGTAGTCGGCGAACCACGAGAGAAGGTAGATCGTCCCGTCATGCTTCCCCACATGAAGCTTCTTCGGGAACCTTTACCACCCGTTGGAAGAGACTTTGTATGCTGGTTCGTGTAGAAGCTTTCTCCCGCTGTGCCCACACGAGACACAGGTCGAACAGAAATTTGTTGATTGCTAAGCACCTTAATGACAAGATATAAATCAGAAACAGACGCTGAGACATCTCCTATATCCTGGCTTGATAACTCTGTAAAGAGAGTTTTCCTCTGAGAATCTTGGTCGAGACTGTTGATCGGGCGGCCAGCCGGTATTGTAACATTGAAGCATTCTGATAGATTGACAGCTTTTTCGTGTTCTGGTTTGCGAACCAAATACGCAACTAGGGTAGTTTCGTCACTCGAGGAACTGGCGAATCCTTTGACGTCAATAAGCAAGTGGTGAAGTGTCGTCAGCTCTACTGATGGCTGTGGAGGCTCATCAAGCAAGCTCATCACTGATTGTAGTTCCGTTATGGAAACGACCGAGTCATCAGCAGTTAAGATACGGCCTCGAGCTGAAGGATCGCGGACTATGACTTCGCCACCGCATAGCTTATTAACTTGAACCAAATCCCAAACAGTTTTTTCCCTCAGCAGATTGTACTCGTGTTGGGTCAAGACATTGTACAAGAACTGCTGGCGATGATAGTTGAGTCTAGCAATCAGCGCGGACAGCTTGTCCAACTTGGCATATTGTCGAGAAAGTAGCAACTGGTGTAGATTTTTGGAATGCCACTCGCGGAGGCAGGACGAGATTTCGTCTACGAGAGGTTCTGATGCAGAAGTCGGGGTCTCGTCGCCAATTTTGAGCATAGGAACCGGGGCTGCCGGGCGAGGCGCATTCGGGTTTCTCTTTACTGGGATAGAGAGCGTTCCAAATGTGCCGTTGGCCTGGTCTGTATGTCCGTTCCGGTTCGAAGGTTTGTGTGCGTCGATATTTCCATTGCTCAAAGCTTCTGAAGATGCCACTTCAGCCTCCAAATCATCTTGCTCGCCAAGCAGCTCTCTAACCTCTACGCAGCTTCTGGGGAAGATGCCGCTAAAGACACGAGCTTCAAGAGTCTGGCCCTGCACGGAAGTCAATCCAGCAAGAAGACTTGGAGGAGCAACGAGGTAACCTCTAAGCCACTTGGCATCTGAGGTCTCTTCTATAATATATAGTTCATCGCCAATTTCGAGGGGAAGATCCGCGGGGTCCTGAGCTCGGAACGGGTAGGTTGCTACAGCAAACGCTATCCTCGGGAGAGGCTGCCACGGCATCGTCGCAGAAGGACTCGGCTCGGTTGTTGTAGTATAAGCAGTGTAATGTCGTCGATTGGGAGCTACAGTGGCCAATTCGGCCAGTTGGAGCAAATTCCGGCGCGAAGGTCGCAGAATCAAGATTGCTCAGGAGGCGCGAGCATGGGGACGGATAGCTATTGGAGTATCGAGAGCTAGTGAGTTTTAGTGTAGCCACGGGGTGTCGAGCACTCTGGGCCGGAGCGAAATAGCAGCAAGGCGGTGCGAGTTGCTTTTGACGAGCTTAACCTGAGTGGTTTAGTACGTCTTTTGACACCGGATAAAACGGCATTCGCGAGCAAATGAACTGGTAGGTAGGTACGCGAACTGTGGCAGACCCCTGAAGCCAGAAGCAGCTGGTTTGATGGAGAGGGCAACGGTGGGAGGTGGGCCCTACAGCGGTGCTTGGCGGTACTGTCCGCGCTACCGAGCCGCCAGGGGCAGCGTTGGTGGACAAAATGCGTACCGTGCCCAAGAGGGAAATGGCGCTTAGGCTTTTGGAACAGTGGGGGAACGTCTAGAACACCGAGATGGAAATCAACGTTTTAGTGTAGTTATTTTATAAAAATTACTAGCTTGTCTATGATGGTTATATGTCGGTTATGGTAAAGGGTGTTATCTTTTTTTCCTATAGTATAGATTGTACTTTCTTTTTTTTTGGTGGTGAGGATGTACCACATTTCGAGTTAGAGAAAACAATAAAAAGGAAATATGGCAAACAGTCTCTGTACAGGGTGTTTCCACGCCACCAATACTGTGCCAACTCCACTGTATAGTTGGCAGATGCCCGTCCGTCTTGTCACCCTACACACCAACGATAGATTAGCTTTTTCGTTTACTTAAGCTAAAATGAAAACTGCAGACATAGTCTGCGATAGCTCAATTCTTCTGAATGGAGTAAAGTATTTTCTAAAATTTGCCTTATATGCCATTTCCACTGGAAACGACTCACAAAGTCGGAAACGACATGCGAAAGGCGTAGTTCGCACCAACTGGAGTCGCAACCTTGTAACTGTCCCCTCAGCGCAAACGGGCTTCTTACAAGACGCAGGCACAGCTCATACACACCATAAACCCCCTAGAGCGCATGGGCAAAAAGAAAATACACTTCCGAGAAACTGTAACTAGTACCAATTTAGACCGCCATTAGACTCATTGGAGCAGCTGCAGCCACACTAGCTAGCTCCCAAAAGAGCCACCCCGCTGTTCTCATAGCAGCACCTCCTCACGCACGACCTAGACGGGTGACGTCGTCTCACACCTGCAGCTCACAAAATACGCCACATCAGCAACCCATCTCCCACCTCTATAGCACTTTGGGCTTTCCAGTTGGCGCCTCCACCGGCTGTCTTCTACACCCTCGTCAGGCCCGACAGTGCACCTTCCAACAAAGCAAACATGGGAACACCTTTCATCTCGCTTCTTGAGCCCAGTAAGCTCGACGGGTATAGAATTGGGACTCCCCGCGAGCAGCAGCAAGCCTCCCTTCCAAAGACATTCCTCGATGCGATGGAGATCAGAGCGGACGTTTTTGTAGATGAACAAAATGTCCCCGCCAACAACGAATTCGATGCGGATGACTCCAGAAGCTGTCATTGGGTAGCCTACGCGAGCGTCCACAAAACCGAAGAACACGAAGTCCGTGACGAGGCTGGAAATGTCGTACAGCCGCGCAAGAGTTCAACGCGCACAACACCTATAGGGACAATACGACTTGTACCCTTTCCTCATGATCCCCATCCCCTGAGAGATGGTCACTATTGGAATGGCATCCTGCAAGACGACCAACCTGCGCAGGCTAAACCCCAACCTGAACTGGATGCTAAGAAGCCTTTCGTGGCTGATCGCGCTACAACGTTTCATGACGGCAAAGAACCGTACGTAAAGCTTGGGCGTCTCGCAGTCCAGAAAGACTACCGTGGAAACAAAATCGCCGGCTTACTTGTATCTACCGTCCTTGACTGGCTCAGACAAAATCCATCCTACTTTGACCCCAGCATCACGGAACTGGGGCTGGAGCAGATGGGGGCCACTAGAGAAACAGATATTCCCTCCTGGAATGGCCTCGTCTGTGTCCATGCCCAAGAGCAAGTAAAGGGTGCCTGGGAACGTTGGGGATTTAAGGTTGATGAAGGAATGGGTCGGTGGTGGGAAGAAGGCATTGCCCATGTTGGCATGTTTCAACGACTGAAGATTGGCATCAAGCAGATGCGAATTTACTAAGTCATGGCTAAGATTTTTGTTGAAGACGGAAACTACTACAATTATGACCCAAACATATAGATATCCAATGAGACAAAATAGTCTCAGAGAATGATAGATTGAATGCATTGCCTTTTACTAGTGATCACATGCAAAACAGTTCGCTTACACCGATAATCCAGATGTGAGAAGTAATTTTCATTTTTTAAATCAATTCGCCCTTGCAGAGCCCATTTTATTTAGACTTTAGAGCCATGTCACATTTTCGTAACAGCGTTCCCAGACCTGAACGCACAAAATATGCAATTCTGAAAGATGCCAGAACCACGCCATAAGCACCCCAACAATCCCATGAACAACATGAAAAGCATTTATCGGTTGCTCTTGGCTACACGCTCCAACTCGTCCTTCTTCTTGATAGCGTAAGAGTTGCTGCTGCCCTTGGCGGCGTTGATGAGCTCTTCAGCAAGGCACTCGGCAATAGACTTGACGTTGCGGAAAGAGGCCTCGCGGGCACCGGTGGTGAGAAGAGAGATGGCCTGGTTGACGCGGCGGAGAGGAGAAACATCAACGGCTTGACGACGGACGGTACCAGCGGAACCGATACGGGTAGAGTCTTCACGGGGACCGCAGTTGACAATGGCGTCAACGGCGACCTGGATAGGGTTCTGGTCGGTCATGAGGTGGATCTGTAAAGAATCACGTATTAGCAAACTGTTGGTTCCATGGAGAAGTCGTCCGGAGGAGTCTTTGGACAGACTCCTTTTTGACGTGTGTCGACAGCGCATTCGCGTTCGTCTGCGCTGCTTCGGGTACACTTACGATCTCGAAAGCGTGGTCAACAATGCGGACAGCCATGAGCTTCTTGCCGTTGTTGCGGCCGTGCATCATCAGGGAGTTGGTGAGACGCTCGATGATAGGGCAGTTGGCCTTGCGGAATCGCTTGACGGCATATCGGCCGGCGGAGTGGGTGACGTAGACGGGGTTGCGCAGAGAGATGTAGTCGCTATAAGAAGATGGTTGTTAGTTTCTCAAGAGTTCCAATTTGATTCGACACCTCGATTCTCGTCGTTTGAATGCGCAATCGTAACGTACGTCAAGGAGATGTCGTGAACCTCAACATCGTAGTCCCACTTGTTGAACAACTTGACGTTGCCGACCTCCTTAGCAACATCCTTGGGAAGGACGTTGGAGATGACCTCGATATCACCGCCCTCAGACATTTTGAATATGTTACAGTCGATGTTTCCGTAACGTGGCGGGGGACTGTGGTTAGTATTACTCGGGATGTCGAGATAGGTTTTTTCAGAGAGACTGGAGGTTGGCTCTCGGTAGACGAGGGTTTGGAAATTTCGGTGGGTGCCCCACCGACCAATCACAATTCGTGAAATTTTGGGGACGTACCCTACCCACTCGAAATTTTAGGGCAAGCCTGCCCTCAGCCAAAGTCCCCTCTATGGATCGCTTCCCAAATGGCAGAGACCTAGTCGTTTTGAGAGCGCTGGAGAAAATTCCCGTTCCTCCACATCCGTCAACCATCAAGCACATCAGTACAAAATGGTATGTCAATTCACCACGATGCGATTTGCTGTTCCTCGACGACGATGACGAGCTCGCCATTCATAATTCCCCCGAGCGACCTAATTTACTAACGTCTAATTTTTCCCAACGACATAGGCTCCCGCATCCGGCAAGAAGAAGAAGTGGTCTAAGGGCAAGGTCAAGGACAAGGCCCAACACGCTGTCATCCTCGACAAGGCCACCTCTGAGAAGCTCTACAAGGATGTCCAGTCCTACCGTCTCGTCACCGTCGCTACCCTCGTCGACCGCATGAAGGTCAACGGTTCCCTCGCTCGCCAGTGCCTCGCTGATCTCGAGGAGAAGGGCATGATCAAGCCCGTCGTCACCCACAGCAAGATGAAGATCTACAGTATGGCTACCCCGAAATAATCTGCGGCATTGGATATCGGAACACTTGTACTAACACTTTTACTAGCCCGTGCTGTCGCCTCCGCTTAAATGTGCTAATGGTAATGGAAATGGGAATGTTGTTTTGACTCTGGAGAGTTGGCGTCTGAAGGGCCTGCATGATGAAAAGCAGGAAAAGAAGAAATGATTCATGGCCAAAGAAGCCTACAAGGACATTTTTTCAGGCTCAGTTTCGCATTTTTTGGGAACCGGATTTGCTTCAGTAACGGCAATGGAACAAAACAAAAAATAAAGACTTAAAAAAACTCAAAAAACTGTTCTCCCTCAACATGTGAATGGCGTCCCGTAGAATGTCTTCAAGATGTCAATGTTCTTCTCAGACACATATACATGTATATACTCGCTCCATTCGGCCATTCAATCGGATAACCCGATCTACTAGGCTAAGCGTGCGTGAAGTATTATCGTTCACCACAGAGCATGCCGCTATAAAGGGCTGCAATAGGGTTGTGCTATAATGACCATCTAGAACTATGGTTCGACATAGTTCTGCCACTTGGTGTAAAATAATTCCCTTCATAATTACTCCATCTGATATGACCTGCGAAACCTCCCCAATCAGTAATCGTGCATCAAAAGTACAAATCACGTGATGTACATTCTATCAACGAGTCTTTTCTATTCCGCCAGATTTTATCTATATGTGGGCTTAATTGGAAGGAGAGGGCGATTTAAATGAAATAGACAAAAAGTTGAAGAAGAAACTCGACTTCCCTTGCCCATAGTGTTGTGGCATTGCGACGGACGAAAATGGCTAATCAAGCACAACCGTTCACGCCTGCTTCCATCACTACCCAAGAGAGCTGGGTCTGTTGGTGGGTAGTTATTTCCAATGGTGTATAAATTCTCGAGATAATTCAACGCCGTTGCATATTTCAGTCTCACAAAAGTCTGGTATGCCTGATATAGGATATTGACATGTGAGAATTAGCCGTCGGCGTTACCGTCAATGAGATGGGCCCATCCTAAAACCTTGCAACACGTAAAGCCCAGCTCCTGCCCTCAAAGACCAGGTATCTAATTACCACTGTATTCATCTTGTTCATCGTCTCTTATTATATATAGCCCAGCAAATGAGAGGCGCGGCCCCTTTTTAGCCACCGCGACACACGGTTGGCAGATCCGGCGTGGCAAGTGGGCACTAAATTTAAGCAGGACAGCCATGATGCAGCCAATTGAAATTAACGGCGGCTTAAGAGCGTTGTGATGTCAATTGAGCCTGGCATGTTATCAAACGCTTAGCAGAAAGTATGGGATTTAGAATTAGAGAAGTTTAACAGTAATTCGTGATGGATATACTGATCATTGACCTTAGTAAACCGATCGCAGAAGAGCCTGTGAACACACTCGCCTTAAAGGGAAGCAAGTTCCGCCAGCGCTTAGATGAGAAACGGGTTTGATGTCATCCACTATTACGGTGCTCTTACTCGCGAAAGTACAGGCCAAGCGCTCCAGACACCACTTGGGTCATTGGGGGGCAATCGGGTCAGTTAGGGGTGAACAATCGAAGCATATTTGAGAGTATCACTTGAACATTAATCTAGTCATATGTCATAGTCACCATACCCAGAGAGCGCATGCATGCTGTAGGACGATCGTGTTGACGGAAGCCTCATCGTCATGGACAGGAAATAATCGCTAAATTTGGACGCTCTAGCAGGGCGTCCGGGCGGCCTACAGTGTTACAGTTTCAAGGCTAAGGATGCGCTGAGGCTGCTATCAGGCGACAACTGCAGGTGGCCGTAGTGGACTGAGTCGGCCAGAGCCGGTAACTTCCAGCATGGTGCTCCGGCGCTGGCACCATTCCATTTAGCGCTCTCGTAGAGGTGCACGGTGGACTACAGCACAGGAGCCTAGGTATCTAGAGAGGTGTTTTTTGTCCCCTTTTTTGGACGGTAGCGCCGAAACTCAGTCTGTCCCCATGTACCTTTTTGCCTGAGGTTGTATGTGACTGGTACATAGCCGTACCTGCCTGAGGTGCGAAATGTTCTCCACTCTTGTCTTTGTTGCTATGGAAAAGCCTTAGCCTGAGGCTCATTCTTGTGAGAGGCCACCTTCTAGCGTGGGAGGAACCGGAAAGATTCGCTCGGCCAGCGTCCCTTTTTTCGCAGGAGACCCGCATTAATTTTTTTTCTTCTCTGGTTGGCACCCCCATCCCTGCCACCCTGGCGCCTGCGCAGAGAATTTATTTCGCTCGACTTCCCCAGACACCTTTCTTCCTTCTCTCTCCTACTCCCCCAAACTCTCCCCTCAGTCCTTTCTTTGTTTTTGGAAAAGACCACCATCCTTCATCATGTCTACCGAAGAGAAGCCCAAGGTTTTGGGCATGCCCGTAAGTTTTATCTCCTTTCGCTCAGCCGAACCGCCTGAGGAAATGCCGCGTTCTGCCGCAGCCAGGAAAGGGGCTTGTTTTCAATTGTTGGCTTGCCGCCATCCATTGATCGCCGTCAATGCATCTACTAGATGAAAGACATGATCAATTGAATGCACGGCAAGCTGCGATTGCGACAATTGCCTTCCATGCTTGCGTCGGATGCTGTGGATTTTCCTACTTGCGGTGGTTGCTGCCCCTGAATTAGTGGGAACCCACTAGCTAACCTCATCACAGCCTTTCGTCGCTGATTTCCTCAGTATGTATCCCCGACTGCTCGACAACGTCCTCAAACCCGTTCCTTACAAGAATTGGGATTGATGGACTATCCTGCGACTACACAAAGTACTACAAAAAGTTTTTGCAACTAACCCATTCCTATAGTGGGAGGTGTCTCCGCCGCTGTCTCCAAGACTGCTGCTGCCCCCATCGAGCGTGTCAAGCTCCTCATCCAGAACCAGGTATGTTGTCCCTATACGTATAATCCAGGCGAAATTTGGCTAACAATACCCAGGATGAGATGATCAAGTCTGGTCGTCTTGACCGCCGCTACGCCGGCATTGGTGACTGCTTCCGCCGCACCATGGCTGACGAGGGTGTCATGTCCCTGTGGCGTGGCAACACCGCTAACGTTATCCGTTACTTCCCTACCCAGGCCCTGAACTTCGCTTTCCGTGACAAGTTCAAGAAGATGTTCGGCTTCAAGAAGGACCGTGACGGTTACGCCATGTGGATGCTTGGTAACCTTGCCTCCGGTGGTGCTGCTGGTGCCACTTCCATGTTGTTCGTCTACTCTCTTGACTACGCCCGTACTCGTCTTGCCAACGATGCCAAGAACGCCAAGTCCGGTGGTGAGCGTCAGTTCAACGGTCTCATTGACGTCTACCGCAAGACCCTCGCCTCTGACGGTATTGCCGGTCTCTACCGTGGTTTCATGCCTTCCGTCGCTGGTATCATCGTCTACCGTGGTCTCTACTTCGGCATGTACGACTCCCTCAAGCCCGTCCTCCTCACTGGTAACTTCGCCGACAACTTCCTTGCCTCTTTCATGCTCGGCTGGGGTGTCACCACTGGTGCCGGTATTGCTGCCTACCCTCTCGACACCATCCGTCGTCGCATGATGATGACCTCTGGTGAGGCTGTCAAGTACAAGAACTCCTTCGACGCTGCCCGCCAGATCATTGCCAAGAACGGTGTTAAGTCCCTCTTCAACGGTGCTGGTGCCAACATTCTCCGTGGTGTCGCCGGTGCTGGTGTCTTGTCCATCTACGACAAGCTCCAGGTCCTCATGTTTGGCAAGGCCTTCTCTGGTGGCTCTGGTTAAATACCATGAACCCTCACATTCCTGTATAGAATACGATGGTGTAATGGGGTTGGTGAGCGACTCAACAGAGCTTAATATAATGCCTGTTGCGTTCACTTGCAAAAATGGGGAGATGGAAAGTTTTGATGGCGAGGGAAGTTGAAAAGCAGGCTTCGCTCAGCAGGCTCTGCGTACCAGCGCCTTTGCGAACTAGATTGGTATCGACATGGCTGCCATTTTCTATGTCGTTGTAATTTATACACTTACGCAATTTCCCTTGTTGTTAATTGAATGGAAACTTTGTTTCACCTTACCTCTTGCATCTTTCAACAATGCTGTGATGATTGATTCGTGACTGGTTTTTTTCTGCTGTTGGAAATTTCGCGTGTTGGGTCGTCACTTTAACACGTGACAACGTGTATGGACCGAACTCAATTGTCGCCCATGTTCATTGTACGCCTTTGTCCTTAACTATCCCGCTCAGCTAGAAACGATGGCTTCACATCAATCCCGGAACGGTAAACGCACTCGAGATGTCGATTCAGAGTCGGACTCCAGCAACGGGCGTGACTCTGGAGCTGACAGAGCTCCCGCACGCCGTCCAGCTCAAGCGCGTCGCGATGAGCCACAGACCACAACCCAGGAAGATGACGCTAGTAACGCGATTCCGAGAGCACTAGTTCGACGAATCTTGAACGAATTCTTCGAAAACGACAATACTGCCATCTCAAAAAATGCCAACGATGCGATTAGCAAATACGTCGAGGTCTTTCTTCAAGAGGCTATTGCGCGAACAGCTGTCGAGAAGAGAAGCGGCTTTCTAGAGGTTCGCCGACAACAACCTTGAGCGAAGGGGCTTAACAAGAATACTAACTAGGAGACAATTTTGTAACAGGTGGAAGATTTAGAAAAAATTGCGCCACAGTTGTTGTTAGACCTTTGAGCAAACAAGGCAGGCTGACAACAAACATGTCATATCAAGGGGACCTGATTGACTGATGAAACTGAAGATCATATCAAGACATATCCTTCGTTTGGCACAGTCCCCTTCGTTTGGCATAATCTCTATCGGCAAACTCGGCTATCCAAGCACTGAAGCAGCCTTGAGGCATGGCATACGGCTTGATTGACTGCACGTCGACGCGTGTTCCTGTCGATCATGGCTGGCAGTGCTACTGCCGTTCCAAAAATGGAACGAATAGGCCCCTGTCAGCGTCAAAGACCTGGATAAGGCACTCGAACGCTCTTGTTGAAGCATCATGTACATACCAATAGGCATGGCGATTTTTGTCAAGGCTGTGCAGCCTAGGTTGGCACAGACAGCACGGATAGCAAGCAGAGAGGTGGCCCCGGCGGCCGTGTGGGAGAGGAGCAGTACTTCCTCTTGCTAATGATTCATGAGAAACACAGAAATTAACAAATGATTGATATTAATTCCTGTCACCGGCGCCTATTCAAGTGTATTCTGATTTGTTCTTCACATTTGTTTTATTAATCTCTTACAGAGCGCTACGGTCGTTTACTGGCGAGGTTCAGCGCAACAGCCCAAACTAGGCAAGTGGGTCGCGGGTGGCCGCGCAGCAAGCACTGAAACGGGATGCGTCTCGCAAGCGTCAGAGCAACTTCATCATGAGGCAGGCCTGAGACGCAGCCTGTATGAAGAGCCTGTTGAGTGGCTAAATCTATAGGAAATGTTCAGGGGGATGTGCCGGTCAAGCGGGCGGCAGAAGCGGCATTATAGGCTCTTTTTCATTCTTGTAAGGTATAGGTTCTATGTGAATGACCGTTGTAAGTTAAACTGGCGGTGTTCTGCATCTCAGCGACGGTATCGGTAACGAGGCTGGGAGGGAAGTAAAACTGGAAGGTAGCATTAAGAATTAGAGCCTGTAAAGAGACAGGACGCTTTCAACATTACAAGGATAAGAGCGCCTATGCCAGCCTTGGCCCCGGCCTTCCACTGTGCACGGTGCGCTGGTGTAAGTCGCAAAACAACGGACCTGCTCCGAGCGGCCGGCACGCACCCCTCGCAAGCCGCAGGGGCGCGCTCATCATACACACCAAACGTGCTGAGCCACCGCATAAACATGATCAAGCCCTTTGGGCCTGGGTACTAACGGCCGCTGCCACTTCCGGATTTGGTTCATAGCGGATGGCCCAGCGGCGCCTGGGCGGTGCAAGATGAGACGGGTCAAATCTCCACCACGCAGCCTTTCAAACAAGTCGCAGGTCAAACAGTTCTTCCAATTTTAGCGAAAGGAAGAGAAAAAAGGCCCCTGCCATGGACTGGATCGTCTGAAGACTCTTCGATACATAAAGCGGATTGTTTCCTCGAGTTGAGCAAGTTTTTTTTCCTCTTCCGTCATCACACACTCTCACCATTGTTTCCCTTTGTCCTCTTTTCCTTGTTTCATTTCCAACAAAGGCTTAGTCCCTTTTCTTTGCAATACCCAATTAGCACAACATCACTCTGGTAGTGATACATTTTCTTTGAATTCCTTTTTCTTCTGTCTTTTAAACAACTTACTTGATTTCACACCCGTTCACAACAGCCCATTATGAAGTTCTCCGCTCTCTCCGTCGCCGCCATCGCTGGCCTCGCTCAAGCCGCCGAAGTCCAGGTAGTCTCTGTCGGCAAGAACCCCGTCAATGGCGAGGTTGCCCTCAAATACTTCCCCGAGAAGATCACCGCTAAGCCCGGCACCATGGTTCAGTTCCAGTTCCTTGGAGGCAACCACACCGTCACCCAGTCCAACTTCGACAACCCTTGCATCCCTCTCCACAAGGCCGACTCCAGCAAGCAGAACTTTGCCTCTGGCTTCCAGCCTGTCGCCGCTGGCGAATCCAAGGGCCAGCTCCCAGTCTTCACCATCAAGATCAACGACACCAAGCCCATCTGGGTTTACTGTGGCCAGGGCCCTCACTGCATGAAGGGCATGGCCATGGTCATCAACGAAGCGTAAGTATCATCGTTGTTTCTTCATTATCTTGCTCAAGCCCATTCTGACCTTTGACTAGCTCCAACACCACAAAGACTCTCGAAGAATACAAGAAGAAGGCAGCTGGCACTGCTCCCGCAGGTGGTTCTCCTCCTGCCTCTGGTGGTCAGCCTCCTGCTGGCACCCAGGTTGGCCAGCCCTCTGCATCTGGTGGCTCCAGTGCTCCTCCCGCTACCTCCTCTCAGCCCGTTGTTGCCGGAGCCAGCACTATTGGCGTCTCTGCCACCATGCTCCTGGCCCTTGGTTCCAGCCTTCTTTTCCTCTAGACGTTTTTTTTGGATCATTTTCGGCAGTTCGTATTAATAATTTTGTTCACGGCAAAGCATATACAGATAGACTTTGATGGCTTCATAGTTTGTACTATATCCAAACACGGGCCTTGGGGGGTTGATTTCCCCATGTCAAATAAGAAACACATTAAAACATCAATTCATCATTATACCAATCTGATTTCAGTTAATTTGTTGTTATATTCATAGCTGGCCTGTCGGCTTGTAATAAAGACATAGCCTTTCATTTATCCTGGCGGGGCTCCCGGGGCTTTCGGTTCTTCATAGCATATTCGCAGGGTTCCCTAATCGGCTCGTTTTCAGGCCAGCCATCGGGGTATTTGACATAGCCAATCTTTTGGTACTTGTCATTCCTGGCAAAAAAGCTGGCCCAGTGTGCAAGCCCCTCATGGACCTTTTGCTTGGCAGCTTCAAGTTCTTGTTTCTTCAGTTCCGCCATCTCCGCGGTTGTCCACTGCGCGTCAATCTTAGGATCATCCAAAGGTAAGAACATCTTTTCAGCGCCTCGCATATCCGAAGTGAAGTCTTCCTTGAAACAACCAGTAACGAACGCCCTGGAGGCATCACGACCTACAAATACATTGTAAGATCCACCCGGGCCATACATGCGGCGGCCTTCGGTAACATCGTATATCGTTCCATTGACAGCCAAGTATAGGGGTGTCGATTCATCCTTTCCGTTGAATTTGGCAAGCTCTTCCAGAGTCAAATATTGGGGACCGGACTAGGTGCAACAGACACAGGTTAGTTATAGATAGGGCATTGAGCTCGTCTGCGCCAACATACGAATTTTGTTTGCCAGTACCGTAGTTGAAGATAATTGGGCTTATGCTTCATTCCCCAAAAGTAACTCTCACCACCACTAACAAGGTAGCTAACACCACACGAGGCGACAAGCAGAAACGTCAGGACGCGGAAGATGTCAATGACCCATGATGTCTCGTCATCGTCCTCCCTTGCTTTGCCACTGGTCGATTTTGCCGGAGTTTTGGTGGTGGTATCGGCAGCTACCGCGGGCTTTCGCTGTCGAACTTCCGAGTCGGCCATGATGAATTGACAGCGAATCGTTCGAAAGGGGGCAGTTGAACGGAATGATGACAAAAGAGGGGGTGCTGGTTGGTGAACAGCTGGGCACACCAATACTTTGTATGGCTGTCAAGTACCTATCCCAAAGTGGCAATCGAACAGCGGGACTAGACTCGGAGGTCATCGCTGCCGTGCACACCACACAACGCAAGGGATTGTCACGTGATATGGTGTTGTCCCAGCAACGATCCAACCGAGCAGGCATACCTTGCATTCGCCGGCGATAAACACATTGTGAACAATTGCTTCTTCAAGATTGTACTAACCAGACCTAGCAAAAAACACCAACTACCACTAAAAGCAGAAATAAGCGGTCGATATTCACACACATCTCAACTTTGCACTAAATTTGGTGCAAATGGACCGCAGCACAACACCGACAGGACCTGTCGTAGGCGGGCCGCTGTCAAACGCTACGCCCGACCGAGTCAACAGAAATTCGCCATTGCATTCACCCAGATCAGCAAGCAAAGATGCCAGTCCGTTGGTCTTTGAAAAGGCAACCAGCCCTTTTAATAGTCTCAGCATGAGCGCTCACAGCAAACTTTTGGAGCGAAAGACGGCCGATGCTGCCCTCAAGCGTGCCATGGTTGGCCGTGAAGAGGCAGAGGCAGAGATGGGCAAGCTACGGGAGGAAAACGCCAAGTTGCGCAAGTCGATAGAGGAAGGAAAGGATAGAGAACGAAAAGTAGGAGAGCGGCTGGAAACTGTCATGGTATGTTGACATTCCCAATATAGCAGCTGGAGATACAGCGTCCACTAACAAGTTGCACCAGGATAACTACGGTCGCGTGAAAGAAACACATGCCCACACACAAGCCCTATGGGAGAAGGAAATTCGACGAGCGAGAAAAGAGAACTTCAAGGCCCAGTCCAACATTGTGAAGCTTCAAGAGGAACTCAAGACAGCGAGAACAGCCGCCAAAATCAACGAAGAGTGCCTCGCCCGCGAGAAGGAACGCAGCCATGCCCGTGAGCAAGAAGCTTTCGCTGCTAGATACAATATTGTTGGAGTTCAGGAACAACTCGAGCAAGCTCTCCAGCGCATCAAAGTTATTGAACAAGAGCGCGATGCTTTCAAAACCGCCGCTAAGAATGAAGAGGTCGCTCGCATCGCCGCCGAGGGACGACTCCCACTACCAACAGCAGATGACTCGGACGACTTTGCTTCCTCTGCGAATAAGAAGTTGAAGAAGCGAAAGAGAGACAGCGTCAAGGAAGGCGGTCGTGTATCTCTATCAGCTATGGAGATCTTATCATCAGCCGCGAGCGAGCTTGAAATTGACGAGCTTAGTGTGCAGGTTCGCTGGGAGCGACAGCGAGCTGACCGTGCCCAAGAAATGATCGAGTTTTTGCAGGCTGAATGTCAGATGCATTGCTGCCCTTGCTCCAAAGACAAGGCAAAGGACGAAATACCAAAGCCGTTGAGAGCCTCTCCACCAAAGATAATGCAGTCTGTTGAGCACGTCAGTAGTGTTGTCACTAAACCTGAGCATGACGATATTCCTGAGCTAGTCGATGACCGATCACCTGTTCTCAACTCTCCTCTGGAAGGCGATGAAGCACCAGAGCTTGAAACATCCGTCGTCGGCTCTATTCGATCACGAAAGCAGAGAACTAGCACGATTTTTGTTCCGCAAGAGGGCGTTTTCCGAACAGTTTCCGAACAAGAGGCTGCTGCTTATGAGGCTCAAATGGCAGCTGTACCAGAACACGACGATCTTGATAATGACATGCTCGCTCCAGATTCCCCTCAGCTTCGAAGGTCGCACCGCGAGTTTGCACGAACTCCATCCGTGGAGCCACCATCTTGTGCCATGATGCCCAGAGATCGTGATTCACTTCAGTCTCTCCTCAGTGCTCCTCATGGCGATGACGATACCGCAACTTCGGCGAAGCCACTCAATATCCCTACCGTTGCAGATGAGCCTCAGCTACCAATGCTGATGCAGTCCATCGAGCGTCGCCCAATTTCCGAACCTGAGATTTCCGAACCGGAAACTTACGACCCCAATATGTCAGAGCCGGACATCTCTGACCCTGAGCCAGAGCCAGAGGTTCAACAGCGCAACTATATCATTCAAGCTACCACTTCACCTCAAGTGGCGCTCAACTCTTCCAGCCGATACCAAGTCACTACAACGACTGTTCCTGTTCGAACTGAAGAGGAGCAGCGTCGTTCTTCATTCAACGACAAACTGCGCACCCCTTCAAGCTGCAGCAACCGAAGCTTCGATCACAACGACCCTGCCCTTACACCAACCATGACTCGAGAGCAGGCGCTCGCCAAGATTCAAGAACGACGTCGAGCCAGAAGTGGTGATCGATCAACAGCAGCATCTCGTGCAAAGCAGGCACAAGCTATTGCACGAAGAGACGCGAGCGGTGGCTCCAAAGCAGCTCCCGGAACAACGAGAACTGTTAGCAGGACTCGGTCTAGAAACTTGGTCCGATGAAAGCGATTCGCTCTCAGCAACACTCAACACTATTGTTTCTTTTGCATAGATCGCGGCATACGATACATGAAACTTGGAGTTTATATTTCGACGGCATTAAATTCCTTTAAGGACTAAACATTGGCGTTTTTGAAAGGCTGGAATTGGAGTTTTCTTGTTTAACTTTCCTTCTTTACAAGCAGGGTGCATATATTGTTATTATACGGATTCTACCTTGGTCCTATTTACTAATACATTTCGTTTTCTGCTCACACCTGATTAATTCATGCTCCTCACCTGAGTGTGTAGACGTCAGCAAATGGGATTCCTTATACACTTAGGAAGCCCTTTATCCTGTTTCGTCCACGTTCCGACGATAGCGCATCTAGCTTGACTGCCTCGAATATACATTCAACCGCTCTATTGCCTCCCATACTCTGCTGAAGACGCAGCCTCCACTGGCCTGCCCTAACGCTCCATATCGTTCCTGCGGGAGGAAGAAGTAGTGCTGTCTCCCCCGCTGCTTCTGTCCGACGACGCTTTCGAGATCGTGCGGCATCGCCCCCTCCTTCCTCCACAGACTGGTCGAGGCTATACTCTTCATCATCCAGAAATATGACGGTATCAGAATCCAGCGATACCTTGATGAAGTCGTCACTCAATGGCGTGCTCCCCGGTCCTACTGGTTGGGCTTCGGCGCCGCCAGATGCCATTAGTAGGCCCAAGGGTTGTACTGTAGGTGGTAACCCGATCTTAGTAGCGATGACTTCGAGAAGCTTCGTCACTCTTGTCTTGGTATGGTTGAACAATTCGATACGTACTCCTTCCGGAGTGAAATGAAGCTTGGTTGTTTCGCCACTCACTTGGAGGAGCAGGTCCATTGGCTCCTTATCCGCATATGGGCGAGCATAATTGACCATGCCGGTCATGGAATCAGCCGTTTCGGTATCACCATGGTTGACGCTTATTCCGCTCTTCTGTACATTTTCCAGTCGCAGAGCTATTTCGGTTCGCTGGCGGTTTGAATTGAAGGCTATTGTGTGGGGGATCAGGCGTTGCTCGAGGCCCTTAAAGTGGAAGTAGCGCGCGTCTCTCAAGAGCGCCTCACGATGAGCTTCATTCCGGATCTCCACAGGGTATCCTCTTAGCAAGCGCAATAGCTCAGCAAAAATGTCGGCATCTCGATTTGGGACACATGGAGGTAAAAGCGACGGCGGGCGGATTAGGCCTTCGCGATCTAACCCGGGAAACACCTCGCGAGGGTCGGAGAATAGAAGGCCGAATCCAAGAGTAAAGTAATTCGGTGCATTGCCCGGCTCCTTAAATACGTCGCGGGGAATCTGGAACTCGCGATGTCCGATGGAGATGAAGATGCTTTCGTCGTACAGTTGCGACATCAAGCGCGGCACTATCTAACAGTTAGTTTTTACCACAGCTGTTTGCGAGTTAGAACTTGGATTAGACATACAGCTGTAGAATTGCGCATCGGCAAATAGACGAACAAAGTGTGTGCCGTCACGAGGCTGGATATGGTAGCCTTGCAGATGGAGGGCAATGTCGCGAAACGTGACTGGGTCTCGGTCGATGTTTAGCGTGCGGATGGCGGTTGAAGGGTCCTCGCCCGTTTCTGCAGCCTGCGCAAGCTGGCAGCGAAAGTATTGGGAGAAATATGACGGTGCTGCAGAGTTGGTAAGCATACAATTAGAAATGGCGTCGGTGGCTAGTTGTTTGTGGTAAACGCACCATCGGACGAGAGGGATGCGCCAGAGAGCTTGAAGACCTCACCGCCCACTTGAATTGGGAAGACGCGCTCTCTTGGAAGAATATCAGGGATTTTGGAAGGGTTCGCTCTGCTATGCGACTCGTCGTGCGCAGCTTCTGTTGTACCGTCGAGCGGTGTATGGGATGTTCCCGACGACATGGCAACAGATGACTCGCCGTAGTTGTCGCTGGGCAATTGCGTTGGTATAGATTAATGCTACTGTGTAGATTCGTAAAATATGTACTTGATGTCGACTGCAGAGCACGTCATCAAGTGTTTTCTGGAGAATAAATAGAGGACGAGGAAAAAGTTGGGCAAATTACAAATGCATGTTGCGCACGCTTGACGGGAACTTTGCTGTTCGGAGACTGACTACCTGAATGCGGAATAGCGCCGATCAAGCAACGGCTAGCTTCCAACAGCTTCCCCTCAGCAGCTTTGAAAAAAAAAAAAAGAGAAATTGACGGATACATGCAAATGGTTACTATTTGTCTTTTTTTTTAATTGACGCTAAAAAAGGATAATCTACATAATCATGTCACTAATTTTCCCGTTTTATTTGCTCATCAGTTCAACACCGCTGCGGACCACACCAACCACAGCGCCAGTCTGAATAAGTTCGCTACCTCCGCCAGACACACGATGCTCGATATCTGCCAATCCATCCAGCCATGTAATCATTACTTCGGGACCGACTTCGAGTTGTGACAGCTCCTCAGCAAGCGCTGTAATAATATCGGCCAGAGCCAAACCCTGGGAGACCTTGAGGGTGTTGATAGTGCTCAGGCAGCTCGTGACATCGGAGGTTTCGAGCAGGGTGCTCATGATCTTCTTGATGGATTCGGGATCAGGGGCAGCAATGCAGTTGTATATCGTTTGTGTGGTAATCATTTGTCGCTTGATTTCACTTTCGGGTATTTTAGGTGCATCCTTTGCTCGTAGTGGTGTACCTAGGCTATGATTAGCGCGTTCCAAACAAATATTAGTTTGGACTTGGGTTTTCTACTCACTTGATGCGTGGCAGGCTTGCAGCACATTGAGAGCTCGTCTCATATCACCCTTGCTAAGCTTCACCAGGGCATCCACAGCCTCGGCTCCAATCTGTACGTTTTCCTCTTCGACAACCTTCTCCACGAGCACGCGGATGTCGGCTTCCTTGAGGGGGCTGAATCGGAATCGCGTGCATCTACTGAGAAGAGCAGGGCTCAGCTTGTGTGCGTAGTTTGCAATGATACAGAACCGGGTGTTCGCTGTGTATTTCTCCATGATTCGTCGCAGAGCCATCTGAGCTGTGTTGGTCATGGCATCGGCCTCATCAAGCACAATAAGCTTGAAGCCGGCGATGGAGTTGGACTTGGCCGACGCTCCGCCCATTGTAAAGATTTGTTTTGTGCTAGCAAATGTCTTGATTTGCTCTCGGACAACGTCGATACCTCGGTCGTCGGAAGCATTCAGCTCCAGAACCATTTGGCGGGCGTTAGCAGCACCGTAGATGCGTCGGGCCAATGCAAGAATCGTAGATGTCTTTCCGGTACCGGGAGGGCCGTAGAGTAGCAGATGTGGGAGCTTATTAGAGTCGACGAACTTGTTGATCGTGGCGAGAATGTCTTGGTGGCCAGAGACGTCTTCCAACGTTACTGGTCGGTACTTTTCAACCCTGTGAAGAGACATCGTCAGCTCTGTGATCTGGAAACCGAGGTGCCCCTTTGCAGAGCAGCTTGCTTACCATGGTAGAGTATCTTCGGCTTCTACGGGCAAGTTTGCTGTACTGCGTTTGCCTTTACTGGCGCCAGCAGAGAAGCTAATGTCGTTGGAGGGAGCTGCCTGGACATCGACGTCCATCTCATCTTCAAAGTCGGACATGTTGCGGATGGGACAACAGCGGCTGTTGGGTGAGGGTGTGTTGGTGGTGAATGTGGGTTTAACTCGTTCTTTTGGATCTCTGTTATTTTATCCGCAATTGGTCCTGTTAATCTGCTTATCAGTGTGATCGCATGTACTGGCGGATGGTGCGTGAACTGTAGCAGATAGAAAACGTGAGTGGGGGAGACGCGTTGCCTAAAGTGGCCACCGCGACGCCGACGTGTTGAGCCCATTAAACCAAAGGGCGATCGCTAACAGGGTCTCTCTATAAGATAGTGGTAGTGCCACCACTACCATTGTAAAAAAAAATTGTTATCAATTTCAAAATAAAAAGATAATTTACTTTCATCTACAGAAGTTTGCCCTATAGTGTAGTAGCACCATTCGCATTCATACCACTCTCATAGTCATAGTCTAATTACTTCCACGGTCAAGGTACATGTTCTCTCAAGCAACACTCGATCCTAGGGCCTAATGAGAAGAATTGTGCTTTCAATGCCAGGCTACTTTTAACTAGTAACCATTATTCTTGAAGGATTTATCACGACTTTGCTGTTGGGCAACATGTTCAATGTCATGTGGAGCAGACCGTATCTCGCTCCAGCCTCGTTAAGTCTGTCCGCGCCCTGCATGTCGTCTCGGTAAGGTCGGCAGCCGCCTCTTGTCTTTCATAGGGTCCTCTCTCCTGTTACTAGAATCTTCGCAGTGTAGCTCCGGAGATTCACAAACCGTCACCTGCATAACCCACCTCATGCGGCAGTCGTGCCGAGCATGTGTCCTGCAGGCGACCATAACAAGGGCTTCCTAGCGCCATTGATTGCTACGTCACTGTCCCGTTGCGTATTGTCCATGCCCGCTAGAGTAGAGCCTCATCAGGAAACCGACGAATTACCAGAGCCTTTTTATAACGCCCCATTTCAGTGCGACGCCCTCTGCATCCAACGCCTCCCGTCTTAGCCGTTCCAGCCGTAACTTTAGTTTGCACGGTTGGTAATATGTTTGCTCGTAAATGTGAGCGGGGATGAGAGGGTGCAACCGTGCTTTAAATACGTGGCTGCCCAACATGCCACCCACAAAGCACGTCTAATTCAAAACGTCCTCCCAGTCCCTGCATTGGTGATAAGAAGAGCCCACTGTTGTCCCTCCACTTTATCGCTGCACCACTTCCACCATGGCTCTTGTAGAAGAACAACGAGCTGCTCGGCTCCAGGACGCGCAAGATAAGGCTGCCGAGCTCTTCGACGAGATCGAAGAGAACCTCCTCCGCCCAGGCATTGGCGAGAAGGCACTGAGCGACGAGATTCACAAGCTAGGTACCGAAAGATGTGGTGTTCGCACACATTGGCACAAGCGCGTGGTTCGTAGCGGTCCAAACACCATGTGCGCTTACTCAGATAACCCTCCGGATCGAATCATTCAGCCCGATGACATCCTCATCGTCGACCTCGGCCCTGTTTTCGAGGAATGGGAAGCAGATTTTGGTCGCACCTTTGTCCTTGGTGACGACCCCCGCAAAAAGGAAATCCGAGATGCGATCGAGCCTATATGGAAGGAAGTAAAAGCGAAGTACAAGGAGAACCCAGATATGACGGGAACCGAGCTGTACAAGATCGCCAAAGAAACTGTCGAGGCTCATCCAGGAGGCTGGACCTTTGGCGGTAAGCTCGCTGGACATATTGTTGGCTCATTCCCGCATGAGCGCATCCCCAAGGACAAGGTCTCTCTGTACATTACCGAAGGAAACGACAACTCAATGAATTGCGTCGGCAAGGATGGACATAAGAGGCATTGGATTCTTGAGGTCTACATTCATGACGTCAAAAACCAGATTGGTGGTTTCTACGAGCAGCTCCTCACAGTTGGCTAGCGGTTGTCTATGTCAATATAGTTTGTATTTTGTATTTGCCTTGTTATGGGATCTAGACAGTAGCTGCCTCTATCTGTATGCACTCATGACGCCTGTAAATGATTCGTGCCAAGTCCAACAAGCTCGAAAATAATGGGGATCAAGGCTGTTGCAAAAAGACCAATACCTGAACAAAGGTTAGTACACATCCATGGGGTCAAAAGGAAATATAGAATCGACATACCAGCATAAACAATGAGCTTCGTTACAACCTCAATATCGTATCGCACGCGCGGCTTCGTAATCATGGCGAAAAACTGCTTTTCTTCTATCGCAGCATCTTGAGGGCTGATGTCAGTGACATCAGCTGTGAGCAGCTCAGACTTCGTCATCTCATGTGTTCCTCCAGGTGATAGACCGCGACCAGCAGCCTGTGTCCCTGTGGCAAGAGCCGACTTTCCACTCTGGTTCTCTTCATTGAAGCTCTTATTGCTTCCGATGCTCTCTCTTCGCTTCCTCTCGCGGTAAGCCAAAGCTTCGTATACATCTGCAGCACTTTGCGGGCCGATGGATACAGAGCGGCCTCTAGTGGTAGGATGTCGAATACCCTCAACAATGCGAGGAAAGTCCGACGCCTTGGGGAACAGGGTATCCAGGCGCGATCCTGGGGGTACAGACTTGTATTCTGTCGCCGGAGTAAAGAATCGGCGAGGCAAGCTCAGTCCCAGGTGCTCAATGAATCGGAAGAGATACGGTAGGTACTTGAGCAGCAACGGCTTCATCGTCTCCCTCCAGGCAAAGATGATGAGAACACCAAGAATGATGCGTGCGACATTGATAGGCACGCCCAGAGCGCCCACGTTGATAACTCCGTCACCATGCGCGTTGGTCTCCCATGGATCTCTGCTGATCTTGCCATACGACCAGGTGCCAAACTCGACTCCAATTACGACTCCAGCAAAAGCAACACTGTCATCAAAGCAGGGGCAGTCATCTGCAGGCTCAGGGTGAATCCGTACCAAAGCAACGACTATCAATCCACCAATAAGCGGCGCAAGCCATGAGCACGAGTGCATGTAGGTGTCAAGCTGTGGCCCGTGATAGAATTCTAGAGCCGCAATACCGGCACCCATAGCTGATCCTACAATCACATCAAGAAATCCATGCATGCCACAGTATAAACGGCCGAGGACAATAGAGGCAGCGTAAAAGTACGAGAGCGTCTCGAGTATGATCCTAGCTGTCGGGCCCATGGCCGACTCTGCGCTCCTCAGGCTAAGTAGCGCATACACTGCAACAGAGACAGCATTTGCACTATGTGTCGATGGGAATCCATATTCCAAGGCCGCAGAGCCGGACATTGTAATGCGATGCAGGGGTGGGGATAACGGTCGGGGAAGCGAGTAGAAGTCTTTGATAAAGCCAGTCCAAAACACGCCGAGCGCGAGCATATGAACAAGTCTATACGCATTGTTAGTCTCACAATACTGGTATGGTGACCTATTGTTATTAACGTACGCTTTACCAGCTGCCGCCCATCCGCACCAAAAGCAGATGGGCAAGCCAATCATAAAGAAGGTATGCGTGCCCAGATTCGCTGTGATGGCAAAGTAGCTATCCAAAGCTGGCATCCGCATCTTCTCTTGCATCCATGCCAAATAAGGCGTCTCCCATCGGACCAACGGTAAGGCATTCTGTCGCAAAACGTAGCGCCATCTCGGCAGGGCTCGCTTGTCTAGTCAACGAAGAACGGGAGTTAGCGGTGCGTCCACAGGTGGCCGTAGCAAAGAGAAACCAGCCCGAAAATACAACAACAAGCTCTTACAGTGATCAAGATTCCTCAATCCAGCATCCACAACATCCTTCTTCTGCTTCTCGTCGGCCTGGGGCGGGGTTTCGCGTCTCGTGCCGCCCATGTCCAGAATGAGTGGCCGGGGGTAAGCCACTTGTCGTCAATGTCTTTGAAATGGACAGGGAGAAGCCCGGCATGCAGCGGCCGGCAGGGGAAGAGACGCCGCTAGAGACAACCTTTTGCACAAAGCAATTGGCGACAAGACGACGGTCTGGTTGCTGTTTCCAAGGGGAAGCCTGTCCGGAAAGCACGATGTTTGGTAGAAAGAGGCGGGGACTGGGAGAAAACGTGGAGGTGGACACCAAAGTGACAGGCGCTGGGTGGATGCGAAACACGCTACCGAGGTTTAATTACCGCCTGCTATAGCAGCCTATGCCCGCTGTAATTGTGATGGGCGGCGCCGCTTGCGGGCCACTAAGCTCGCTGGTGATGGTCATCTACACCTGCGCGTTTAGGCGCCAACGCCCTTCGCTCAGCTCGCTGCGACTGCTACGCGTGCCCTGCAACAGCACCATCACCCGTCTTGCTCAGCCTCGCACGCCCACCAGCTATGGCTCTCCGCTTTGCAGGAAAGCACTGTGCAGTAGTGGGAGGTACAGGCATCATAGGTTCCCATATTGCAAAGGCTTTTGCTGCCAATGGTGCCGTCGTCAGTGTGCTTGGCCGCTCTGCTGTTGATATGCGTCCTGCTCTTGAGAGCAGGCTTCAGCCATATAAGCCGCCAATAGAGGCAACTTCATCTACCAAAGGCCCCAATTCCCATCAATTTATCCGTATAGATGTTTCTGACGCAGCAAACATCAAAAGCGTCTTCTCATCGCGCCCTAGCAACGTAAGCCTACTCTACGCGCCTAATCCGCCGTCATCCCATGCAAACCTCTAACCCAATCCTATACAGGATGGTGGCCAGCCTCATACCGTCGGTCCTGTTGATGTTCTAGTCAACTGCGCCGGTATTTCACAGACCACATTGCTTAAACGAACCCCAGATGAGGAGCTCTTTAACATTGTCAACACCAACTTAACTGCAGCCATGTTGGTGTGCAAGTATGCCAATATGCAAGCGCAAGGTATGTATTTAATACCTCTCTGGAAACGCCAATCTTGCATAGTGCAGATTTAACCTCCAGTGACAGGATGTATTATAAACGTGTCTAGCCTTATGGCTGTGAAGGGCGCCCTCGGAACAACAGCATACGCTGCTTCAAAAGCTGGACTTATAGGTATGTCACCACCGTGTTTCCAATTCGCTATTCTCTACGTCTTGATGCTTTTCCATATGAACTATAATACAAACAGCCAAAAAGAAAAGATATCCGTGACCCAAGGTTCCAAATACTAACACATCCACCAGGCTTCACCCGCGCCCTTTGCCATGAAATGTCCGCCCGCTCTATCCGTGTCAACGCCTTACTCCCGGGATGGGTTGACAGCGAAATGTGGAAATGTAAGTCTAACTCATCCTGTCGTTATCGCTCCATCATTAATTTACAACTCGTTCAATAGGTCTAAAGCCGGAGCTAAAAGAAGCGTATCTACGAGAGACACCACTCCGTCGTGTCGCAAGTCCAGATGAGGTTGCTGATGCAGCTGTCTTCCTTGCATCAAATGGCTTTGCCAACAATTGTGTGCTCAACCTTGATGGTGGTATGAGCGCATCGTGATTTGCCCATCGCATTGCAGCGTTTTATCGCGTTCAATCATCATCAATGACAATGGCGCCACCAGCATCGTCCACAATCACGACATCGTCATCAGCGGTTGAAGGCTCAGAGAGGCGTTGCTTCTTGGCAGGCTGGCCATCACCACTTGAGAGTGCTCGCTTATGACCCTGAGATACCTCAACGGGTCCGTCCCCGTTGCTGGCGCCGTTCATCCCATGTCCGTTGGGTACAATAGATTCTGGTCGGGCTGGCTTGCGAGGAATATCTGGTGTTTCAGTGAAGGATGGCTTAAATGGCTGTTCGTCTGGACCAAAAGTTCTATCAGACACGTTAGTAACTAGACTGTACAATATCATGGGCGGAATAAAATACCCAATTTCAATGCTAAGCACAATGTTAACCATTACATCATCATCCGAGTCGTCTGTGACGGTAATGAAAGTCCCAGGTTTGATTCCTAAAGGCGGTTAGTAGGATACAAATATGGCCGATACAATTTTTTAACTAACCCAGATCTGCAAGCTTCTTCGGCAGATTGTCGGTCTCATCAGGATCGTATACAATGCCCCGGTCTGTATTAACAACAAACTCGCGTTCGCCGAGTCCCATACGTTCTTGTAAGAGGCCCTCGACGATATCATTCAATGTCGTTTTCTCAAGGTCAACTACGACATTTGCATTGAAAACGCCACAAACAGGACATTCCGGGTTAGGTTCACGGGATCGGTCTGGTGCTAGAAGTCGAGCCGGTGCAAATGGCGTTAAGAACACCTCTCTGGCTTGTTGGTAATCCCCCTTAAGAACCTTGAACGACTCAAGAACACAGAGGCCTGCAACTATGGCATTTGTGGTAGCAATTGCGGGGATGATATTGCCTGCCATTTGTTTAACGTCAAATCTAGACTTGAGTTCGATGCTGAAGATATGCGAGCGAATGTTGGCACTGGCTGTGACAAAGTCAAGAGTATCAATGTCGTCTTTATCAAACGTGATGACTGGTGCAGTACCAGTGGATGCCGGCAATTTCCTGGCCTCTTGCAGTCTTCTGCTCAACCTTTCCAAACTATCATTAAAGACAGCCAAGTTTTCTTCAAGGGTCCAGATCTTCTGATCATCGTGCAAGATTTCCTTCGCATGTTCGATCGCGTTGGCAGACTTGACAAGTAATTTGTCGTAGTTGAGTGATTCAGGTGCAGTTCTTGTCTTCCACATGTCCTCAACAGAGCGAAGTCTCTCAATGTCCTTTGTGAAGACCTTTGTGAAGAGGAGCTTGCAGAACTCCGGTGTTCCAACTGACTCTCGGATTGCTTTGAGCTCAGCAGCTTCTTTCTTTAATTCTTCAATCTCGCCAGCGTTGTCGGCATCTTCTGAATGATCAAAAGCCGACTGATCTTCGTTTTCACCAAAGATTTCATTTAACAGATAGCTCTTTCCCCATACAATGCAATGGATTGGCTGACTTGGTGTGCTTCGAATGGTGCACACGGGGAATGACTTTGGTACTTCCTTGGGGGTGCAGTCGTAGCATGCAGTCTGACCTTTCTTAATCACTTGAACCTGGCCATTGAATCCTGTCGTGCCGCTTTCAATCAGGGGCACATCGGCTGCCAGGCACATTCTATTTACGTGCCGGCGAGCATCCAGGTTATCCAAGGCGTTGAAGACGATGCCGAATTGACGGAACCAAGACACCGTAAACTCGGAGTCTTTGATGTTGGCATGGTGCGCTGTTATGTTCACTTGGGGGTTGAAAATGAGAGCAGCTTCTTTGGCAACCTATTATTGTTTAGTACACCAGAAGACTGTCACTGTACAAAGCTGCCATCTTACCAAAGCTTTTGACTTTTTAATGTGTTCATGTCGAAAGAGGAATTGTCGGTTAAGGTTCGAAAGATCGATCGTGTCCAGGTCGACAATGTGGATATCACCGAACCCAGATAGCACAAGGTTCTTCAACAGTTCACATCCAATGCCACCTGCGCCAACCATGAGCACGCGAGCCTATTCAGTTCATTAGCTCTCTGTACCTCATTATATCCGTGTTCACTGCTTGTAGGGCATTTGCGTCTACCTTTTTAACAGCCGTGTTAAGGCTAATCCCCAGTGAGTGGAAGTTATAGTGATCGCGCGTCATCGTTACGGGCTGTGCTTGGGTTGTCGGTGGTTTCTGGCTCTGCGTGGAGCCCAACACTGGCGTTTCTGTTGTCTTTGTCGACTCGGATATCGTGGCAACGTCAGCCGCCGTTCCATTTTCTTGTTTATTGATCGATTCGTTTGTCGTATTCTCCGTCGGTCGTTGAGCCTGTGCTGCCTCCTCGGCAGGCAGTTTGGCCTGGTCGTTGGAAGGATCCATGGCGTGTACCATTCACTGCAAACGTGACGTTGCAAGGGCAATGTTCATCAATACTTTCTGCCGTCCGTGTATTGCTTGTTTTCACACGTCCAGATGTACCCCCGCGCTTCAAACAATCAAGGCTGAAGAATAAGTGACGAGTGCGTGCAGGCAGTTGGTGACAGCTGGATGGTGACGTTGGAGCTGGAAACGCAGTGAAGAAATGCGACCAATCGGGATCAGGCTCTGTTCTCACCGGGCGCGCGCGCCGCTCGAGGCGTCACAGTGCTAAACCCTTGTTTCCTTTAATGGATATACTGTCAGTTTGCACTGTGCACTTCACGTCGCGTCTCGTTGTTTGATTGGCGGACAAGAAGCCCCGCCACAGTAATGCAGGGTCGAGTGTGCATTGAGCAAAAAAAAAGTTATGTGTGACGTCCCTGATCCTTCATACTGGAGATGCATAATTAATTGCACTATAATTACAGTGAATGTCCCTACATAATTTAGTGGCATTTTACTACTACGTTGAGTGTATATTTTCCTGCAGCGTGTTCTTAATTGGTTAGATAAGGCATATTCATTAATACAATCATTACCATCGTTTTAAATGCTAGCGGGGCGTGCGGTGAAGTACTGTGACGAAAACTTTCCCAGTGACAATCTCGCAGCACGATCACAGCAACAACAAGCAAACACCATAGACATTGGTTACAATTGCACAGTAAAACAATACCAGCGCATTATAACAATGTCAGACGACGAAGCAGACCCCGAGCTCCTGGAGCTACTCCGCCAACACCTGCAGGGTAAATTGAACGTCAGCGACGAACCAGATACCGGCGTGTTAGAAAGCGCCGAATATGTCTACAACAACTGTATTGATGTTGCAATTGATATGAGGGCGACGAAAAATGCTGCAGAGAGTATATATCAGCAGATGCAAGAGAAGAAGTTCTCGACTGCATTCTGGTCAGAGCATGAGCTTCATCCGAAGACAAAGGATGAGTCAACCGTTGCATTTATCTTCACAATGGACCTACTGAATTTCTCATTCTGGTCTGCATTACCGAATGATGAGAGATTCGCCATTGATTACAGAGATAAAAAGTGGACGGGGTATTGGAGCTTAGTTGCTGGCATGCAACGAGCCTTAGATGAAGGTAAGTAGACCATGGGGTTTACTAGGTGATCACTAAAAAGGCTGACTGACGTGATGAACTAGGAATCCCTATTACAGATCCAAGCTTTTGGACCAATGAAGAGGAGTGTAACATGGATAAGATGAAGCATATTTTCCGATCTGCTACCGACGAAGAGATGCCACTACTAGCAGAACGACTCGAATGCCTCCGCGAGAGTGGACGTGTTCTAGAAGAAGTAAGCGACAACAATTCCCAGAAAAGCCATGAGAAAATCCAATTTTCTAACATCAATGCCAGAAATACGGCGGTGCATTTACCAATGTCATTGCTGAGGCTGATTTATCAGCATCTAGGCTGGTGAACATGTTAGCCCAAGACTTCACATGCTTCAACGACGAACACTCATTCAACGGCCGCAAAAAGCCGATACGAATCATGAAGCGAGCACAAATACTGGTAGCCGACGTTTGGGCCTGCTTTCAGGGCGAATCATTTGGCACTTTTAATGACATTGATAAAATCACAATGTTTGCCGATTACCGCGTTCCTCAAATCTTAAGCGGTCTTGGGGCGCTCTATTATAGCCCTACAATTGCAGCTGCAATAAAAAACAAAGAAATGATTGAAACAGGTACCCCATGGGAAATTCAGCTAAGAGGTATGTATCGCTCTACCCTATGATGTAACCACAACTGACAACTGTTGTAGCTTGCAGTATCTGGTGTGTTGAGCTTATTATACGAGAAATAAGGAAGAAACACCCGGACACCAACGTCAACGCAATTCTTATAGACTTTTTCTTGTATGATACAATTAAAGAACTGGAGGCCGAAGGCAAGGAGCCTGGCCCGCATCACCGCACTAGGAGTATGTGGTATTAGACAAAATTGGGTAGAATATCTTCAATGCGACATACATCTGGTCACTGACCATATAACTAAGAAAGAAAGAAAGAAAGAATAATTACAGCAAGACCCTCCAAGCAATCTTTCTCTGACACTTTCCAGTGCCGCATGAGCGAAGAGTATCCCAGCAAAAGTAGCTCCGTCGTCCGAGATCATACCCAGGTGCAAAACGCCAAACAGTATCAAACGCTAAAACCTCTAAATCAATACCAAAAGATGACCATTATGCTTCTACAGCCGCTGATGAGTTCAGAATTTGGTCAATCTCGGTGACCTGTACGGTTTTATTGCCTTTAGATGTCTCCTTCAGGAGCACGGCGAGGACCTCGAGGGGAGGGTTGAGCCCAAGGCGGTGGGCTCTCTCCCAGCGCTTCTTTCTTGGGATACCAATGCAAGGCTGCAAACCAATTAGCGACATATTCAGTTAAATGCGAAAGAAGACCAATCTGACGTACCCCGTATTGCGAACTAACGTCAAAGTATCGTAGCAGCTTTTCGTTTGTAGACAATCCTTCTTGGTGAACTCTGGGAGCTTTGCGCTCGCTCTCAATAGACTTCCAGTATTTGTTCACTTGCGCATCAGTTATATCCTCCGCCAGCTGCTCTTCCTTTGACTTCTCCTCTGTAGGCTGCACGGAGGGCTTCTCTGGCTCTTCGTCCTCTTCCTCGTCATCGTCTTGTTCTTCTTCTTCAACAACATCCTTAACCACAGGCTCAGTAACTTCTACCTTTGTCCTGATGGGGGCGGATATAACGTTGTTTTTAATATCTTTGGGAATTGCTTTCGTAACGCTGCTGGCAAAGCTTATAGTTGATTGTCCCTTTGTCGGTCCCTGGCGGGCTCGGGCACCACCGGTTGATCGTCTTGTGGTGGGCATATTGAATTGCTTGTTTTATAGTGATAATATGTTGGACAATATCGAATGAAAATTGGTTTGCGTCCGTAGTTTGTAGTTACGTTGCTAGCTGAATAGCAGCTGTGGTGGGTGGGCAGCGTGAACCATGTCATTGCATGCAGGGTTGCCCACCAACCTGGCGGGGCAACACGAGACCGAAGCGTTGTCAGGTGACTGGCTCTCTTCAGCATAGGTGAAAGGGACGCCGATTGATACATAAACGTCTATTCTAATATTTCTAGAATCATCATTAAATTAAATTAGGGAAGCCGAAGGATATTCTCTAACCCCCAGTGGCCTCTCTATAAAAGGAAATGCTTCTGTTGGCCCCCGCCGTGCAAAACATCTCGCTTCGTCCAGTTTTCGGTAGCCACCTCACGGCCCAGAGTGCCTTATCCGTCTCACTGTGCGTCGCAACGCAGACACTTCGCTCAATGGACCATACTTTTACTTTTCCGTCCATTGAGCCGCTGAGAAGGTATTCTCCACTATCGTTCCAGTCGATGGAGGTAATCCAACTGGAGTGACCTGTTAAATTGCCAATATGCTCGCCATGCTTCATGTCGTAGATAGCAATAATTCCTGCGTCACCCGCAGCAGCCAGTCTACTGCCTCCCGGAGAAAATGCAACCGCCCTAACAGGCTTTGCAAGACCTATATGTTGTTAGCCATGCTACATCTTGCATAACTGTCAGACCGTACGTACCAGAGAGAGTGTGCAGAATGCGGCCAGTTTCGTTGTCGAAAATATACACACCACCGTTCTGATGACCGCTGGCAGTGAATTTGCCGTCCCGGCTGATGTCAACACACATTCCAAAGCTCCCACTTCCACCACTGCCAGTCTCCAATTCTCGAATTTTCGGTCTGGCCTCGTCCGCTACGTCCCAAACGTTGATGCGGCCGTCGTTTGAAGTGCTTGCCAGGTATGCGCCATCTTCGCTCAAAGCGACTGCCCAGACTTCTCCAGCTTTGGCTGATTGACCTACAATTTCGCCACCAAGAACCCATTCACCTGTCTCTTGGACTATATCCCATATCTTGACTTCGCCCCCAAATCCAACGCTCGCGCCGTATTTGCCGTCTCTGGAGGTGCAAAGATGATGACAGCCGAGTTTATGGGCATTTGAAAGCGATTGCTTCAACGGGAATGCCGGGTCTGTAGTATCATGATAGTGAATAGCCGAAGAGCCTCCGGCAGAGAGAATCCCCTTTGAGGTTGCTGCCAGGCTGAAAATGTCTGTTACGTGCGCTGCAAAATTGTGTCAGAGCCGTAACGCGCTGTGAGTATCAGGTGCTGGAGCTTACCATTATCTATGGTATGCGTCGTCAAGTATTGTTTTGACTATTACATGTGATCAGTACATGAGTCTACTATAAGTTGGCAGTAAACGCACCATTGTGGCAAGCCAAACGATTGACGGTTGGATGCAAAGTGACAAGTTGAAGCTGTGACGAAGTCCATGGTGGGGTAGTAAAGGACTAGCACTTCCCAGAGCGGATCAAGCGACCTCCAGCACTGGGAACGGCGAACGACGGAAGAATCCTGCGGTTTGCGTTCTTTCTATAATTTACACTGATAAATCAACTCACTGAATTCACTGACATGAAGTGGATTATATTGCTAATCCAAGTAAAATGGTAAAGCTGGAGAGCACGCCTCTGCTTCAATTCTATTCTGATAGATTATTTTATTGTGTATAGTACAGGAATACAAAAGCCATGAGCCCAGGAACGCCAGTTATGCAAGATCTGCATGATATATAACAGAAAGGGACCATTTTTGTACATTTGTAGAGTTGTTGTTTTGCCAACAGTGGTTGATATCGCAGGGGTGTAGCATCGTGACTATGCGCTTTCGCCTCCGGCACGCTTCTCCTGTCGCCATACGTCTTTGAAATCTGGAGAGACACTGCTGTTAGTCTTTATAGAAATGAGTGATGTAAACTTGCGTCCATACCTTCTAAGCAATGCGGGCAAAGTCTGTGAGATCGTTTCTCTCCACCACAGCCAGGGCACTTGTTCAAGCTTGTAACGTCTTTTAGGGCCTTGCCGGCCATCTGCCTATGTCTCTTACGCGAATGAGAGACCTTATTCTTGGGAACAGCCCGTAGCACAGACTCCCAGATGTCGTCCAAAGTCGGCAGCTTCCAGCTGATTCCAGGGAGAGCGACTGCTAGCAGCGGGATAAACCGCGCTGCGGTGCGACCTGTATGTGCAGTCCACTGTGAAGCAGAGGAAAACAGTGTTGAGCCCAACCGAGGGAATGCGGAAATCGAAATGGCAGCCATTGTGTAGGAGATGTGGTAAATGCGAGCGCGGTCGCGTGGTAATCGCCCTGGTATATCGTCGTAAGATTCTGCAATTGGGACAATCCTGCGTGGATTTATCGATTATTTCGAAGTCCGAACAACACCACACTCTAAAATAACCCGTGTCGCGAGTGCAGCAAAGAGAATTTCGTTGTTTGCTGGTGATTTTGCTTTTTTCTCAGCGTGGGTTGCTTATTTGCTTCACCAGTCGTCGCAGTCTGGCAGCTGGTGTACAAAAAAGTTCAATTGTGGTTAATAGCCAATCAGCGTCTTTGAACGCACGGTCTTACCCACAGCCAATTGGCATCTGCCGCCCCTCGCTCTGCCCCTTTCTTTTTTCTAGCCCCAGGTCACTGTAGCACCACTAATATTGAGTGCACCGTGGCGCTAGCACCCCATCCTACAGTACAGCTTTCGGCCTAGTACTTACCTCCTTTTCGTCCATGCGTTAGTAGGTGGCAGCCAGCTGTCCTGTTCCTTGCAAGTCTTGGTGCCCATCGCCAGCTTCCTCCAACGGTCTCCCACAGAGCCCTTTTACCTCCCCCCAACCACACTTTTCTTACACTACACCGTCTCCATACAACAAGCTGGTTGTTGCGATTACAACCACCGCTTCAATCCGTTGATCGAATCATTTTGCGCTTTTTTATACTAGCATACGCTCGCCAGCATTATTGCACGATTGGGAACAGCGATAGACAACCTTCTCTGACCCCTCCTGCCCGCCCCTGAAGCCTAGTTCACCGTCAAGATGGCCGCTCCTACCACCATCTTCCCCCAGAGCCATGTCGGTTTCGACAGCATCACATCTCAGATTGAGCGTAAGCTCCTGAAGCGTGGTTTCCAGTTCAACGTCATTTGTGTCGGTAAGTATTGCAGCACTGGAGCACTGTAGTGCCAATCTCGGCATTCTGCTAGATCCAGCAGGCCCAACGCTCAACATGGAAACTAACCATTTGGCACATCATTGTAGGCCAGACTGGATTGGGAAAATCCACCCTTATCAATACCATCTTCGCCTCTCACCTGATCGACTCCAAGGGCCGCATGCAACCTGACGAGACCATTCGTTCAACCACCGAGATCCAGGCTGTCTCCCACGTTGTTGAGGAGAACGGCGTCCGCCTGCGCCTGAACATTGTCGATACCCCTGGCTACGGTGATCTTGTCAACAATGACCGCTGCTGGGATCCCATTGTCAAGTATATCAAGGACCAGCATTCTGCTTACCTTCGTAAGGAGCTCACTGCTCAGCGTGAACGCTACATTCAGGACACCCGCATCCACTGCTGTCTCTTCTTTATCCAACCTTCTGGCCACTCTCTCAAGCCTATTGATATCGTCGTCTTGAAGAAGCTGTCCGATGTTGTTAACGTTGTGCCCGTCATTGCCAAGGCCGATACTTTGACTATTGAGGAGCGCCTTGCCTTCAAGGAGCGCATCAAGGAGGAGTTTGCTTTCCACAACCTCAAGATGTACCCTTACGACAACGAGGAGTTTGATGAAGAGGAGCGCGTCTTGAACGGACAGATCAACGTAAGTAATGCATTGGTCCCAGGCCTACCACTGAATGCTAACCCAGTTTTAGAACCTTGTCCCCTTCGCTGTTGTTGGATCCGAGAAGTCCATTGTTGTCAATGGCAAGCAGGTTCGTGGCCGCCAGAACCGCTGGGGTGTTATCAATGTCGAAGACGAGAACCACTGCGAATTTGTCTATCTCCGAAACTTCCTCCTCCGAACCCACCTTCAGGATCTCATTGAGACCACATCGCAGACACACTACGAGACCTTCCGTGCGAAGCAGCTTCTTGCTCTCAAGGAGAACACCTCCCATGGTGGTACTGGCAGCCGTCCCATCAGCCCTGCCGCTGACCGGGAGCTCAGCCGAGGTTCCCAAAGAATGGGGATGAACGGTTACTAGGAGTATTGATGTTGGGCTTGACGGCCACAATTCCCTTTGGACGGTGTTGCTACAGTAAAAGCCTCTTTTAACAAGCAATTATTATGATTACGGAAAACCAAAAATATGTTTGATGGAGTCGGTGTATAAGAATGCGCTAAGAATACCACTGGGGCGAACCTAGCTTGAGAGTGCATAGAGGTCGGCTTGCTTGCATTCGTATATTTTGTTTTCGTTTGTGACTTTTTTTCAACAGTACGAATATGAGCCTTTCTTTATAATATTGATTCAATACTTCACGCAATGCTTTTCCAAGTGACAGTGCTATGAAGAATACCTAGAATCTAAAGCCACTTTATAACTCTAAATGATCAAGGGAGTTGTCTATATAATTACGCATCGACTGGCTTGTAGACAAACTTCTCAAACTCGTTGTAGGCCTTGTCAAGATCGTCGTTGACCAGGATAACATCGTGGACGCCAGGAGTCTGAGAATATTCGAGCTCATTCTTGGCCTGAGCAAGGCGCTTCTGAATGCTGGCCTCCTGTTCAGTACCACGGCCGCGAAGACGAGACTCTAGGACTTCAAGAGAAGGGGGAGCAATGAAGATGTAACGAGCGTCAATGTTGGCCTGCTTGATTTGCTTCACGCCCTCCATCTCAATGTCGAGAAGTACAACCTTGCCCTTCTTAGTTTGCTCCTCAATTGTAGCCTTGCTAGTACCGTAACGGTTACCACCAAACTGGGCGTGCTCGACAAAACCATCCTTGGAGATCAAATCTTCAAAGTCAGCCATTGGCACGAAGTGGTAGTGAACGCCATCCTCCTCTCCAGGACGAGGCGAGCGGGTGGTGTGCGAGACGGATAGGCAAAATGTATCTGGGTGGCGTTCAAACAGGCGGTTGTACAGAGTGCCCTTGCCAACACCAGAGGGACCAGAAACGATAATAGGACGACGGTCAGAAGGAGCTATAGACTCTCTAGTCAGTTGTCTGAGACTGAAGTTGGCCGTACTAGATGCTAACGGCCTAGCCAGAGGCGCGGACGGAGTAGAGCCCAATTCGGTGCGACTTACGAGAAGCCATGGTTGCGACAAGCCGAAGTTTACACGATTGGCGAGTAAAGGCTTGTGTAGAAAGTATTCGAGACGTAACGTTGACGAATGGCGAGAGTCGTGGCGGCATGAATGTTGGATTCGACGCTGGTTGCTGAAGCCCACCAGAACTATGGTGGGATGTGGAGGGGGAGCGGTGGCGAAAGTGGCAGGCGGTGAATAAGGTCCAGTGGTGTCCAGTAAGGTTGTGGTCAAGGCAGCACGCTATCAGAGATATGTACGCATCGGAATGCCACGACATCATCCCAGATCCATCAATTATCCGAAGCAGTACATGGGGAAAATATACCACATTTAATTAAACTGGATTTTCTTTGCTGAGATCGCTAGGGAACCGTGCTTAGACGAAGCACAGTACCTGTCTCGAATTCTTAGTGGAGATTTGCAAGCCCCTGAAACTCCGTCCTTGGTCATGCAGCTCCAGCGCCTATGCAACCGCCAGCCAAGCGGCGAGCCCCTGGGAATACAGCGGGCCGAGCTACCGAGTTGGGAACGGTACGTGCCTGGCGTTGGCGGCGCGAGGCTCTGACCTGGCGCCCACTTGCTACTCCCGTTCCTTGGCTCTCGTCCCTCTTCCCTTCTTCTACTTCGACAGTCGCTCTTTGTGTATTTCGTCTTTCTTTACCAGTTTTCGGCAGTTCTCTTGAAGTAGAGAATTTCTATCTTGGTTTTTCTTTTCTGTCAACTACTCTCCTTTACTCGACACACTTCTTTATCGTCTCTTCGAACTAGCCGTCGCTACTCGCCACTCCTTAAAAACTTCGCGTTCAATAACCACCATGCAAGTACGTATATAACTACACGATCTTCGGCCTAAAACCTTGGATCATGGTATTTCGCATCGTTCGATTCTAATGCCTTTTTTCTTACAGCTTTCTGCCGCCCTCGTGGCCTTGGCCGCCACGTCGGTTTCCGCCGTCAAGCCCCTCAAGATCCAGGGCAATGAATTCTACGATCCCGACTCGGGCAACAAGTTCCAGGTTGTTGGCATGGCCTACCAGCCCGGAGGCTCCTCTGGCTACAATGCTGAGAAGCTCCAAGATCCTCTTAGCGATCCTGAGACTTGCATGCGTGATGCTGCTTTGATGCAGGCCATCGGCATCAACACCGTCCGTTCCTACAACTTGAACCCCAACGCCAACCACGACGCGTGTGCCAGTATCTTTAACGCCGTATGTATCATGATATAACTTCGGAGTTGTTCAGCGACTAACCATTGCTGCTTCTATAGGCCGGTATCTACATGATCATCGACGTCAATGCGCCCCAGATGTCCCTCGACGCCGCCAAGCCCTGGGAAAGCTACTACAACGCTTACCTGAACCGCACCTTTGCTGTGGTAGAGGCTTTCAAGGGTTACGACAACACCCTTGCCTTCTTCTCTGCCAACGAGGCTATCGACAGCACCAACCACACCGAGTTCACCCCTGGTTACATCCGTGCCGTCACCCGCGACCTCCGCCAGTACATCAAGAAGCACTCCGACCGTGACATTCCTGTCGGTTACTCTGCCGCTGATATCCGCGACGTCCTTCCTGAGACCTACCACTACCTTGAGTGTGACAACGGCAAGAACGACATGAGCGAAGGCGAGATCTTTGCTCTTAACTCCTACTCTTGGTGCGGCCCCAAGGCTTCCTTCACCAACTCCGGCTACCAGAACATCACCAACACCCTCAAGGATACCCACGTCCCCGTCTTCTTCTCTGAATACGGCTGCAACGAAGACCCCCCTCGCCTGTGGGATGAGACCAAGTCTCTCTACGGTGACGACATGGACAAGATCTTCTCTGGCGGTATCATCTACCAGTGGACCGAGGATGCCAACCACTACGGCATTGTCAACATCACCGGTGACAAGCTCACACTCATGGATGACTACACCCGCATCAAGTCTAAGTTTGGCGAGCTCAACTGGAAGAACATTCAGGGCCAGAAGGCTGCCAAGAAGGACATCAAGGCCCCTAAGTGCGACGCCAAGATGATCAAGTACCCCGGATTCGAGAAGAACTTCACCCTCCCTGTCATTGATGGAACCGACAAGCTCATCTCTGATGGCGTTAACCCCAAGCCCTCTGGCAAGTTTATCAGCATTGACAACTACAACGTCAAGATGTCCGTCTTTGATGCCCAAGGCAACGCTATCAAGAACCTCAAGGTTGTGCCTCAAAAGGACAACCAGTTCAACATCTATGGCAACGTCCAGCTTGATACTGGCAAGACTTCCGACGGCAAGACCAGCGGTGACTCTAAGGGTGGAAAGAATGGCACCGACAATGCTGCCGGCCTCCTCCACCCTGCTGTCTGGGCTGCTGCTATGCCTGCGCTTGCTATGCTCGCCTTTTAAATCCTGAGAGCATCATTGTGTAGACCCGGCAAATATGTGATGTATAGAAGCATGGGCCTCTCTGTATTGTCTCCTTTGATTTTGTAGATGCGAATAATCGTCAGATAGTAAATAATGTAGCACCTTTCAACCTCATTTCACCTGCATAACATTGCCTAACGGCCTGTAACACAACCTAAATATCAAGCAAGCTCGTAGAGAATGGTAAATATCAGTCACGGGGAGATAGCAAAACGATCAATGTGGATGAAAATTTCAATAGTCTATTATCTGTACCTTCTCATTGATACCATGTACACATTGCCAACCAAGCTTCTTGATATATTTCTCATGAATTCCAACCGCTGGCCTACAATAGGCTTCATAAACAACGACGTCAAGTAGTAATTAACACGATAAAAAAGTAACCCCTTTTCTTCTCGTTCTTCCATAGTCTAGTGGATGGATACAAACCAAGCCAAATCACGTATGGCTCGGATTGCTATGTTTTTGGGGGGTTTATTCGCAACAATCAGACTATTTAAGCCTTGAACTCTTCGATGTTGCTGCTTTCCCACTTGCCGGGGATAAGGGCAAGGGGGACAATGCCGGAAACGTGCATCTCAGGGCCGAAAATCTTGGCGTTGAGTCCAAGCTCTTGGGTAGCGGCCTTCATGTTCTTAAGACCCTCCTGGTAGTTGGGACCAGCGCGGCGGACCCAGATTTGCACGTTGTGCTCGATGAGCTGAGCAGAGAAGTCGCGGAGAGCGCGGATGACACCCTTGAAGGTGCTGGCGACGTTGGTGAAGTTGGCAATGCCACCACCAATGAAGAGAACCTTGCCCTTGTCGCTCATGGGAGCACGGAGCATGAGGTCAAGGACGGTGCGGGCGTAGTGGTAAGTCTGGGACTCAGTGGGGGCACCAGAGTATTCACCGTAGTTGGCGAGGTCGTCAGCGAAACCGGCGGAAGCAATGGCATCAGCGTACACAACGGAGGCACCACCACCAGCAACAAGAGTCCAGATGCGGCCAGCAGGGTTGAGAACGGTCAATTTCAAAGAAGCACCAGTCTTGGCATCAAGGTCGGCAATGTAAGCCTCCTCCTTGGTGAGCTCACGACCGAAAGGAGCAGGGAAGTCCATAGGAGGACCAGCATCAATGTTGACCTTCTCGCCGTTGGCGCTGGCAACGTTGGTAAGACCGAGGGCAGCGGGGGAGCGAGCAATGGCCCACTTGACACCGCACTCGAAATCAGCGGTCTGGTCAAGCTTAGCAGCAAGATCCAGGAAGTGAACTTCAGCGGAAGTCTTATCCTCGTTGGGGATAACAACGAGAGGGTTGATCTCGAGGTATGTGAACTGGCAGTCGACGTACACAGCGTACAGTCTCATGATGAAGTCAACAAGGACATTGTGAACTCCGCTAGGGACCTTCTTCAGAAGGGTAGCAGCCAGCTGCTCGTGTGAGGGGAACTCGGACAAGTCGACGGGGATAAGAATCTTCTCAGCCTTGGCATCGACATCACCGACATCAACACCACCCTCGTGGGTGAAGAGAATCCAGTCACCCTAGAAGAAATGAGTTAGTATATGCATACAATTAAGCACATAGGTACAATGTAGCCTGAACGGCGCTGAACTCCCATAGGTTCATGGGTAATTCTACTGCGTCACTGCGATGCCGCAAAGGCTAGAGATTTCAACTTACATCACGGACGGAGTTGATGTTAATGTAGTATTCGGTATCCTGGGGGTGGGGAACGAAGGGCTCAACAAGGAAGTGTCGCAGAACACCGGATGTGTGCTCAACCTTCTGCTCCTTACCAGCACGCTCAGCAACCCAGGCCTTGGCCTCGGGCCAGGTCTTGTTCAACGCAAGAAGACCGCTCTTTCCACGGCGCTTGATGAGCTGATCGGGCTTTGCGACGAACTTGGCGCCAGCCTGGAGCAACCAGGGGTAGGTGACCTCGGCCTGGTTGAGGACATCCTCAACGTTGGCATCCTCGGGGAAGGTGAGGTGTGCGAGTCTAGGGGCGGCGTTGTGCTTCGTAGGAACAGGCAGGGGGCTGGGCTTGATAGCAGGAGCGCGGGTGAGGTGGTAGTTGAGGATGGCCTTACCATCGGCCTCGAAAATCGACTTGGCAGACATTTTCAATTACTGTGTGTAGAGTTGGAGAGGGGAGACAGGCGGTTGAAGGTGGAGGTTCCTTTGGGGTCTAAATCGTCAAGACAAGTTGAGTAATTGTCTTGATTTCCGCTGTAGCAGTGTCATGTTAGCACGATATTCTTGTATTTAGAAAGAGGCTGTTATCAGTCGCCCAGTAAGGTCAATTGATTCAACGAAAGGTCAATTGGTCATCTGTGCAAGTCGTAGCGGTCTGGCGAGGCTCGCCTTTCGAGCCACCCTCAATGTAGACAGAGAGGGCGGGGCAGGGAAAAGGACTTGGGCAACTTACCGAAGCTAAAATGCCACGATACAGAAGATGCGATATAGAAAGGTAGTTGAGGGAAGCAAAGGGCTTTGAAGGTTGGATGAATAAAGTGAAACGGGAGGGAAGGAGGAGAGTTGGGAGGAGACCAGAGCGAGGGCAGAGGTTGTTTAGGGAAAAAAATTGGGTGACGGCAAGCTCCCCAGGAAGACAGCTTGAGGAGGGGGCAATGCGCGCCAGCGTGGGAAAAGTGGCGGGCGGCGGCTTCAGAACCCCAAAGAGCGCCCAAGTCCACTGTAACGGCCCAGGTCAGCAAGCAAAAGACGCTCCAGCAGTAGGCTCCGACCCTGGATTTCGGGGCAGTCGGGGAGGGGTGAGGGGTTCCGGGCTCCAGGGGGCGTGTGCAGTTGAGCTCTTGGGCGGTCAAATCAACAGGACGTAGAACAAAAAGCTTTGGGGATAGAGACGCTATCATCGAGGTACCGGTACATGACGCGCAAAGCCCCAGCTGTTGAGAACATAGTGGGCGTACAGGGCCTCCAGTGCGATTCCGGCGCTGCGCGCTGGAGACACAGGCTTTGTGGACCCGAACCATCGTGGTAAATGGGGCGGTCAAATTCGATGCGCCAGCAGAGCCGCTAGTGGGTGATGGGCTCCATTACAGGGGGGCTACAGAGAAGCTCATGGAAGAGAGGTAAGAAGAGGTGAGAGCTGCTTTGTTTGGCTTCCTAATTTCCCCAGGAGAAGAAGCCTACGTACAATGGCAAATCCACAATTGTTTTCTTTGCCCGTAATCTGACTCGCAAGCAATCTTGACGCCAGGGAAACACAGGTTGTTTTCACCAGGGGGCCACTGGCGGCGTTTCTACAGCGACTTTCAGCTATGCGAAGCAGTTGAGACTGAGATATGTTCCAGGCCGTTCAATTGCATGGTTCCGCGGCGGCGTCTTACAGCTGTCAGCTCAATTTTTCCATTGTTCCAGATGCATTAGATGGTTCCTGGTTGTAAGGTCATCCTGTCGCATGGTGTCGCCGTATTATTATGGCACCAGCCAGTCAGACGGCTCTTACTCGTAGTGCTTCGGTTGGTTGTTTACTCTCTACTTTGGGCACTATAACCGGCGCATCCAAAGCGCATTCCGATTAAGGTTCTTTGTCATGGCCATCACCAGGTCCAAAAGCTGACCTCTAAACCATCACAAGCTTGCATGTCATCCTTTGTCGTGGGCCGTTTTCCAGAGATGTCAGCAAACTTTCGGGGTTCAAGCCCGGCGTCTGCCATTGTTTCCGAATAGACGGTCTTTTGAGAATCGCCGGCTGGGAATGTTCGGTCGTGACGCTTGGTCCTGAGTAGATGCACGTCTCTTAGCCTCAAAGCCTGATGCTGCAAGTAGGTGCGCCGGAAGACTTGGTGATGATGTCCTTTGTTTGTGTGTTTGTGTGTAAAGTTGAACGTCTTAACACCGCCCCGCCGCTCGTATTGGCCCATAAGACAGAAACCATTGGCCGAACATCGTTATCCAATTGAATATGTGAAGTGATTATTCGATCGTGCAGAACTTCTGCCTTTCTCTTTCCCTCAAAAACAGACAGAATATTCGCCGGAGTCCGAGCCCAGCTTGGTTGCAGCCACCACAGTGTACTCAGCGCCAACCACTAGGCGTCCAAAGGGGCTCTGACGGGCTTCGGCGCATCTGATGACATCCTGCGTTGCATGCCTGCTGATACATTCGAGAGCCTTAGTTCGTGTTACTGATCCAGACAGCAGACAATTGGATTTGAATACGGCATCTTGTGTTTTTGATACGTTGAAACTGATTGTTTGAAAAGCTGTGATACATCGCCATTGCGATTACGACGATGCAATCGCACTTACACGCGACGATTTGCGAACCCGACAACGGCGGGCGAGTACGAATACCGCTGGCCCAGCAAAGGCCGATAAGTACAAGTACAGGTACATGCGCCGACAATCGCAGGGCCCAAACGGGAGGATAGGCGGAGGGGGCGTGTGGGCTGGCGCATTCAACAGATAGAAATGCCGTCCGTTTTGTCTTAGCGCCTCAAAGAAAAGCACCTTACCCCAATAAAAACCTCCCCAACTTATCTTTAACTTTTTCTTGGGATCCGGAAAACTGGACACGAAAAAGGGTAGGGAGAGAGAGAGGAGACTACCAGCAATTGAGCTCGTAGCGCATTCATTCTAAGTGCACTGTAATGTTCTTTTCCCTTGCAAGCCAGTAAGAAACTGGCCGGCGTAATCATGACAGGCCGCCATAATCATTCGACCAGTGGTAGAGCGATGACGCAGCTCAGACGGCAATTAGTGCTGTGTTTAGCACCCATCCCACTGTAATGCTTCACCGGAACTCGTCTGCCGGCCCCTGCGCAAGGCCGACGTACTCCACAGCCTGTCCCAATGCACACCCCTAGCTCGCGCCAAAATTTTCCATCCTCTTGGTTTTTTTCTTTGGGGCACCGCTAACTGGGTCCTACAAGGTGTGTGTTAGGCGGTCTTGCGTGCTACGGCATCGGACTGGGCCCCTGCTACCGCCCGCCCAAAAAAAAGGCACCGCCAAAACCAGCCCCAAAAGTAGGTCTGGGCGTGGGTGGTGGCGTGTAGTGTCCCGCAGGCACACCAACCCCGACACCCTGGAGGGCCCTGTAGCTTTCCCTCCCCAGCTCACCCTCTCTTTTTTTCCTCTCTTGACTCCTCGCCTTCTCGTTGCCCCCCTTCTTTCCATTCAATTCATCTCTCCCCTCCATCTTCCCATCTTCTTCCCTCCAATTCTTTGCTCTTCAACACGCTTTGAGCTCGCGCCATCTCCAAAGACCTAGCTTCTTCGTTGTAGTGTGCTTTGCGTCCTCTTACTTTATCCTGTCCAAACCTCCCCCACCAGTGCAGTGACGCCGCTCAACAAAGCTCACGGCTGCGAGAGACTGCGTTAATCGTCTTCTCACTTCCCCGACCGACACTTCTCACAACTTTTCCAATTCATTCACAATGGCTCAGGCTACCACCAACAGTGCCAACTTGTCGGCCAACGACAACATCCAGCGCTTCAGCGCTCCCAGTCGCCCTCTGAGCCCTCTTCCCGAGCACGCTCTCTTCAACGACAAGACGCGATGCTTCGTCTACGGTCTCCAGCCCCGCGCTGTTCAGGGCATGCTTGACTTTGACTTCATCTGCAAGCGCAAGACTCCTTCCGTTGCTGGTATCATCTACACCTTTGGTGGCCAGTTCGTCAGCAAGATGTACTGGGGTACTTCCGAGACCCTTCTCCCTGTCTACCAGGCCGTCGACAAGGCCATGGCCAAGCACCCCGACGTTGACGTCGTTGTCAACTTCGCCTCCTCCCGTAGTGTTTACAGCTCTACTATGGAGTTGATGGAGAACCCCCAGATCAAGACCATTGCCATTATTGCCGAAGGTGTTCCCGAGCGTGTAAGTTGAGCCTCGAATAGCGTGTTCACTCTACCACAGTCAACAATACTAACATTAGATTTTCTCACAGCGCGCTCGTGAGATTGCCCACGTTGCCAAGAAGAAGGGTGTCACCATCATTGGCCCCGCCACTGTCGGTGGCATCAAGCCCGGAAGCTTCAAGATCGGTAACACCGGTGGTATGATGGACAACATTGTTGCCTCTAAGCTCTACCGCAAGGGCTCCGTCGCCTACGTCTCCAAGTCTGGTGGTATGTCCAACGAGTTGAACAACATCATTGCCCAGAACACCGATGGTGTCTACGAGGGTATTGCCATTGGTGGTGATCGCTACCCTGGCACTACCTTCATTGACCACATGCTCCGCTTCCAGGCCGATCCTGACTGCAAGATCCTTGTTCTCCTTGGTGAAGTCGGTGGTGTCGAAGAGTACAAGGTCATCGAGGCTGTTGAGAAGGGCATCATCACCAAGCCCATTGTCGCCTGGGCCATTGGTACCTGCGCCAGCATGTTCAAGACCGAGGTTCAGTTCGGCCACGCCGGTTCGTTCGCCAACTCTCAGCTCGAAACCGCTGCTATGAAGAACAAGACCATGCGCGAAGCCGGTTTCCACGTTCCCAACACCTTCGAGGACATGCCCAGCGTTCTCGCCGATCTCTACAAGAAGCTCGTCAAGGAGGGAACCATCGTTCCTCAGCCTGAGCCTGTCGTTCCCAAGATCCCCATTGACTACTCTTGGGCTCAGGAACTCGGTCTTATCCGTAAGCCCGCTGCCTTCATCTCCACCATTTCCGACGACCGTGGCCAAGAACTCCTCTACGCCGGTATGCCCATCTCGGATGTCTTCAGAGAGGACATTGGTATTGGTGGTGTCATGGCCCTTCTGTGGTTCCGCCGCAGACTCCCTGACTACGCCTCCAAGTTCTTGGAGATGGTTCTCATGCTTACTGCTGATCACGGTCCTGCCGTGTCTGGTGCCATGAACACCATTATTACCACACGTGCTGGCAAGGACTTGATCTCTGCCCTCGTCTCTGGTCTTCTTACCATTGGTTCTCGCTTTGGTGGTGCCCTCGATGGCGCCGCCGAGGAGTTCACCAAGGCTTTCGACAAGAACCTCAGCCCTCGCGAGTTCGTCGACAACATGCGCAAGGCTAACAAGCTTATCCCTGGTATTGGTCACCGTGTCAAGTCTCGCAACAACCCTGACTTGCGTGTCGAGCTTGTCAAGGAGTACGTCCTGGCCAAGTTCCCCAGCCACAAGCTCCTCGACTACGCCCTGGCTGTCGAGACTGTCACCACCTCCAAGAAGGATAACCTGATCCTCAACGTCGACGGCTGCATTGCTGTCTGCTTTGTTGATCTCCTCCGCAACTGCGGTGCCTTCTCTCCCGAAGAGGCTGAGGACTACCTCTCCATGGGTGTTCTCAACGGTCTCTTCGTCCTCGGTCGCAGCATTGGTCTCATTGCCCATTACCTGGACCAGAAGAGACTCCGCACTGGTCTCTACCGTCATCCTTGGGATGATATCACTTACCTCCTCCCCAACCTCAGCCAGGGACGACCTGGTGCCGAGGGCAGAGTCGAGGTGCAGATGTAAAGTGCGGGCAGTACATGATAGATGCACACGGGATCTGCTTTCTTTGCTTGTTTTGTGGTACAATTTGACGATACGGTGTGACGGTTCAGGGAATGAAAAGACTTCAATGGCTGTCTGTACAAGACCAATGATGAAATCCGCGGCTCAATGCCGCAATCTAGTTATCCATATACTATGTTTTACTCGCAATAGACACTTAATAACTTTTATCACATTATACATTTCTCAAATCACGCATGACAATTACAGACCACATGTTCACTAAAGCAAAATTCAGTAACAAACACGGTATATATATTGTTTTAATATTATTTTCCAATGCGAGTTGGGTTCATTGTTAGAAGGCGACTTCGTTCTACATAGCTGCGAGGCTATCACGTGATGTGGATATGCGCATAGATTCTCCTAGGGGACCAAGCAGGATAGAATTCCTTAGATCAACAAACCCAGCAACAAACCACCGTCAAATCCTTATAAAAACTCCAATTCCGACAGTAATAATTGATTTTATTGCATCGGAGACATTAGCCGGCAATTGCTCGACCATCGACAAGAAACCCTAGTCACCCTTGTCCAAACCTGCAACCCTCGACTCTGCGAAGCTCGATTCCAAGTTCGCGACACAATCTGAAGCGTTAGACCATTGAATCAGGATCAATACATCCCTATATACAAGCTATTTGCGTCATTCCAAATTCACAAATACCACCACCACATATCCGACCCTCCGCCACCCAACCACAATCATGTCCTACTTCCGCATAACGCTGCAGCGCTCAGCCATCGGCCTGCCTGAACGAACTCGTGGTGTCTTGTCTGCTCTTGGCCTTCACCGCCGTATGCAGACTGTCTTCCACCCAGCCGAGCCTCAATTCGCCGGTATGATCTTCAAAGTCAAAGAGCTCGTCCGCGTGCGTGAAGTCGAGGCGCCGTTGACGAAACAACAAGTCAAGGCCGAGAGAACGCCAGACGCCGGGTTCTACGTTGAAAAAGCGGTCCCACGAATGCAATAAAGTCACAAAATTTAGGGGAAGACGTTTGAGGATAGCATCAATCTTGTACTATAGCAGCGGCCGGCCACGGATCTGGTCGGAGCTTTTTCTCTTTTGTATTAATGTATTCATAGCGAGACACGGAGGAGTGTAGCATATAAAATATATCAGTGATTATAATGTCAAATAGTTGTTCATTTTCTTTTTCAATTTTGTACTTGCTCCAGTACGAAATCTATGTGCCGCATGTAGAACGACAAAATCCATAAATGCAAACCATGCCCAAATGCGAATCCTTGACGCGCCAGACAACAACGGCGACAAACGCTCACAAAAGTTAAACCCAACTCCGAAATCATACAGCAAGCCCACGTGGTTCACCTAATAGCTGGTACATGTTTAGAAGCTTCTGGCATTCTCAACATACTCCGGCGAAGGAGTCTCATATTCGTTGACAAAGTAGGTCTGGCAATTGCGGCCCAACCAAACTGTAAACTTGCCGATTTCCTCGCGAAGACGAGACACGGACTGTTGATCCATATTCGTTTGGGCAAGGAGTTCGGGGAGAGAAACTGTGTGTACCAAAGGTTAGTATAAATCCTCGAGATTTACTAGGTGAAACGCCATACCAATAAGTCGCGCCAGATGCTCAGCGCCATAAACATCGCAAACGCTCTTGTATTCGGAATCATCGTCGCCGTTATCCCACAGCTTTCGAATATCCATGTACTGGTGACGTTCAAAACTATCGTAGCAACTCAGTAAAATGAATACCAGGAGGTGAGTGTTGCGTAACGTACCGGTAGAGTAATATTCTGCTCAGGGCCTTCTCAAAGTATTCTCTAAAGCCAGCTACTACTTCTTCGAGGATATCCATGCTTGCGGATCCTTCTTCGCGGTGAGGACGCTCGTGCTTCAGATAGTCCTCAAAGATCTTGCTGACGGGCAGGTTATGGGGGAGGGGCACAAGCTGGTTGTTCTTGGTGATGTTCTCCCAGTCGTCAACAAGCATGGCCTGGATATGGTCGGGGACTGGTATGTTGATCATGGGCTTGCTGTGAAAAGCATCTTCGTGTTCCAACTCCCAGTCCTTGCCTCTGCGACCTCCTCGTCCTCCTTGGGCAGCAGATGCGCCGCGCTCTTCGCTGCCTCGCATCGAATCGGGGCCACCTTTTGTCGGCTTCTTGGTGAGTTTGGCATTGGCCTTTTGTGTGCTCTGCTTAAGCTGAGCATGCAATTGCGCTGCAAGCTCCTTATGCTCATCATCAAAGGGTCGGATGCGATCTACCAGGACCCAATCGTCCCACGTGTTCTTCCAGCCCTTGTAGTGAATCTTGTATTTGAATCCGTCGGCGGCCTTGTCTGCGGGTTCCACGTCGATGACCTTGGCCTCGTAGAGCATGTCAAGATGAAAGCACAGAACCTTTTCGTCCTTTTGGAACTGCGGTTGCGGCTGCTGACGCGCGGGAGCCATGATGGAAGACTGTCCGAGTTGATTTGGTGATGATGCTGGTAGGGTGGGAGTTTGGAGTCGAGCGGTGCCCCTCGATGGTATCAATTCGGGGTTCGGCTTAATGAAAACGCGCGGTTATTGATGAAACAGCAAATATAAACTGATGTGAGGTTGGTAGGATACAGACTACAGCGTGGAGGCGGTCGCTACAGAATCGTCGTGGTCGCAGAAACGGCGCGGCAGAAGGCAAAAGTGTTTCTGTGATGCTCCGCGTTTAATGGGTGCCCCCAACGCAGCACGCGACGCGAGTTTCTCCCTTGTAGCGCCTGTCGGTACAGCCTGCAGCCACTGTAACTTGGTGAGCCACAGCGGGGTTTCCAGCGACTGAATAGCGCAAAAAGTGGTGGAGCAAGCCTTATACTGTAGCCAACGCGTCAACAAGCATTGACAGCTTCCATCAACAAGCTGACCAGACTCAAGCGCACCATAACACTATCAAAACCGGACAAACTTGAGAGTATTGGAACGGAGACAGTCAAACACCCGCCATGTCACGAGTAGAGGTAGAAATCCTCACCAACTATCTCATCCAGCCTGCGCCGCTGCGTGCCATTGTCAGCTTCGACCAGTTCCAGGCCCTATTTCCCAGCGATGCGCAAAATTCGCCCTTGTTGCGCTCTTTATTCACGGACTTACAATCCCAAAGAGCCAATGCAATAGACAATGTGTCAGCCGCGATTGAACTAGAGGCAGAGAGTGGCAAGATGATGCGGCGAGAGGTACTGCGCCAACGCCAAGTAGTACAAAAAGAAGAGATAGATGGCGAAATTGAATTGGAAAGAGCAGTAAGTCCATCCTCTCAAGCTTCTCTATGATTTCTTGGTCTTAAACTAACTTGTACAGCTATTCGCAGCAGACTCCGGTGTCGAGAGTTCAAAGCACACGCTCGACTCCATTCTCCCCGAGCTTGAGGGCGCAGCAGATGCTTTGAAAGAGGATATCCTGCGGTTAGAGGATGAGGAGAGGGCCCTTACTCAATCTATTGCACAAATAATCAGTACGTTGAGTGATTTGCAATACAGCAAGTTAAGCAATGCAAGACTACCTGAGGAGCTACGAGCAGGCATGGATTCCCTACGAAACGCATGCTCGAACAAATCATGAGCGCCCACGAAGTAATGATGAAATGAGAACAAGAACAAGCGTTTGTAATTCGCCTAACAATAATAATGCAATAATCCTTCGCCACGACTTCAATGCACGTCCGTAGAGTAGGCATGTCGTCTTTCCTAAGAATAACCCAACCCAAACCCTGTAGACAGAAACCCTTTTTTGAGACAAACCCCCATCGAATAATAAGAAGCGGCAAACAGACAACTCCAGAAGAAAAAATAGAGCTACCCCACGAAAACAGCCAGGATATTGAGGAAGTAAAAAATGTGCCAAGAAGAAAAACCAAAGACCCAACCCCATGGTTGGTCAAGCGAAGAGGGTCTAGAGAAAGCCAAGAGCCTCATAGCTTATTGAGCAGGGGCGGCGGCGGCTCCAGGAGCGGCAGCACGGCGTTGCTGCTGCTGCTGGCCTTGCATGCGGTTGGACCTGCGAAAGGCTTGTTAGTCGGGGAAGCACCAAGATAACACGCTTGAAATCTACTCACATCATAGTTCTGCTAAGAAGAGAGACGACGATCATGAAAGCCCACTGAGGGACGAGACCAAAGGCCCAAAGAACGTAGCCAATGGGAACAGCGACGCCAAGCTCGGCAGCCTTGCCGTTGAAAGGGTGGAAGAAGGACTCAAGGAGGACAAAGTCCTTCTTGCCGTTGCTGTAGAGCTTGGTGATGGTTTCAGCCGTCGTTGTGGTGAGGTTCAAGCGGGTACGGTAAATGTCGATGGGGGCGGGAGTGGGAAGCATCTGGAAGGCCCAAAGGTGGCCGCTGTTGGCAGACCAGCTGTTGCAAAGAACAGGCTCGTTATCACAGTTGAGCACAGCCAGGTGAGGGCGCTTGGAAGCGGCGGCGAAGCGGACGGCGCTGGCGTTGAAGGCCTTTTCGGCGTTTTCGCAGAGGCCTGTAGAAAGTGTTAGGTTAGCATGGCGCATAGCGTCGTTAGGCGTATGCCATATTCGTGGAACGTACCAAAGCAAGTCTTGTTGCCGCCAGTGATCATGACATACCACTCCTCAGGGGAGGTAGCAGCAGCCTTGACAGGCTCATAGAGAGTGTCCTTCCAGGTGTCCAGATTCAAGCTGGTAACCTTGACGGAGCCAATCTTTGCGGCAACAGAGGCAACGGGATCTTTAGGAATAGCTTCCTCAGCGATGGAGCCAAACTTGCCAACCAAGTTTTGGAACTGGGCCTTGTACTGGGCGAAGATGCCCTCTTCGGCGGCGGCGACAGAGGCCAGGGCGGCCGTGACAGCGAGAGTAAAGCGCATTTTGTAAGAATGAATGAAGGTGTTTGGGTGAGTGCAGGACGATCCAAAAAGCAAGATCTTGCTGGAATTGGAGAGAATTGGCGCGGAGGGCGATGGATGCGGAGAGAGGCAAAGAGAAGAGGGAGCGAGACACGGTGGAGGAACGTGGTGATGTGTAATTAATGTATCGAGCCGAGCCTTGCTAGCGACTCGGGCCAACCAAAGCCGCCACAGCAGGGACGACGGACGCGGTTGAGCTCCACCCATAATCATACTACAGGTACAGCTTAGTGGGCAGGTATTGATTGGCTGTTGGCGTTGGGCGCGGGGCCGGAGAGCTGTCGCTGTAGCTGCTCCAAAGAGTGCACCACGCAGAACAGAAGAGAGTCCTACCAGAAAATCAATGCGTAGAACTTGAAAGTACAGATTATATCGCTAAAATAGACAATTTTACGCATTTTATAATAAGGTTACTACGAATATCTCGTCACTCGAAACTCTGCAAGACTGTTCGTAAACCCCAAGCCACAAAGGCCAGCGCAATTTACACAACAGCACCTCAAGCCAGACCACCGTAACCCCTGAAGAGAGACTGCCACCAGAAAGGGTTCCGCAGCGGCCGCTAGCGCGTTTTTTGTTTTAATTGCCTGCTGTGGAGCGCGAAGCTTCAGCGACGTGCCACTAAGGCGACTACACCTCGCGAAAACGCCACAGCTAACCCAGCCATAGGCCCGCTGTTAAACAACTACTGTTGACTTGCTGATGCGTCTACTTTCCACGACGAGTTCTCTCTATCTTCACTTTCACAGTCTACTTCATCCCAAATCTCGGCGGCGCATTGTTCTCAAAATGGTACGACTCAATAACTTCCATTTCCCCAAACCTCCATTCCTTTTCATCATACAACACAGCCTACTAACATTACACTAGCCGCCGCAAGATTTAACACTGCCCAAGCGAAAGCGCGGCAGACCATCCAACGCGTCCAAGATAGCAGAAGCCAATGCCAGGGCGCAGGCCGGCCTACCGCCTCGACCAGCATCTACAAGAAGAAAGAAGAAGTCTTCCACATTTAATACATCTCAGTATATTGCCAGCCGCAGATCAGCATTAGATACATTTGCCTCTGCCAGTAGAGCTGCAGAGCCGGCCAGACGGCCCGCCGTCGCTGCGGGACGACGAAACATACCACAACCTACATCCGGACCTATCTTTCAGCGCCAAGCTCGAGATGATTTCGATTCCCCAGTCCCTGAGAGACCGCGGCCAGCAACCACCGTCGGTCATGGAAATCGCCGAGTTGACCGCGATGCCGATTCAGAAGCCGAGGCCGACGACGATGCCATGCCGCCCTCGCCTCCCAAAGACTACCCCCACGTTGCCTCTCGTTTCCGACGCGTCCATGTATCGAAGATCAAAAACGATTGGTCTCCTTTAGCCGAACCGACACGGGTCACGATCTCCAAGATCCTTCAGCTCGCTCATCGTCCGATTATACAGCGCCAGGCAAAAAACAACACCCGACGAGCACACACCATGAACGCTTTGCGCATTATCACAGGCCGAATTGGCAAAAAGATTTCCCGTGGTCTGCCATTTCCTCCCGCGTCCATGACTCCCGTACGTGGACGTGGCTCTGGCGCAGCTGGACGGCCACGCAACACTGTAGACGGCGGTCGCGAAGCTGAGCTCAACTTTGAAAGCGTTTTGGATGCCAAACGCGCTTTGGAGCGACAGCTTGATCCGGCTCTTCACGCCATTGATCTGTTGGTGCAAGAAAAGGAGCGCCTGCTAGAGCAACTGGAGATGGATCGCCAAAAACTAGGAAATCTCGAGGCTGCATCAAAAGCACAGGCGCGCGAAAACAGAGAGTTGCTCCGAAGAGCGCATCCCTTGGCACCAGATGAACACGCAGAAAAAGGCGAAGATGGTGATACCACAGCCTTACCCTCAGAAGAGGCGTCAGTAATCAACCCGTTTACTGTAAGTCATGGGCTAACTCTGAATCGTCAATACCGCTACTAACTCTCTAATCACAGCATCCCGCGAGCAAGAGGGTTGCGCCGTTAATTCCGGAGCTTGCCAAACACATGGAAAGCTTGCAGTCAAATCTCGAGCAGACTAGCGGCCTGATTCCAGAGATTGCGCATAGCAAGGCCGTGTTACAAGACCTGCTTTCTCGATGTCTCGATAGCAACACCTATGAGCGCGTCATCCTAGGCCCATAGCATCATCGGATGAAGCAACTACTAGCCAGCTGGCTTTTTTTACTGTATAATAACGACAGAGATGAGAGCGCGGTTGGGGAAAGCGCTATATGGCTTGCAAGAGCAAACCAACATGATGGATTACGATTTAATGACAGAATACCCCGTGTAATATCCATAGTTACGTTTTGGAGGCAATAAAGCACTAGTCTTGAACAAATGCTGGGCAACTTTCTACGTGCACAATTAAGAGGACATCAACACAATGATAGAACTTGATGGTTGCAGCGAGCCATGGTTGTATCCAAGAGTGAATTCAATCCAAATGAAAGTAAATATCTATGTACGTGAGAATATGAAGATTCAGGAACCACAGCAAGAAGCAGACTGGTTGACCTGGATAGCAACAATTTGTATTCATCTGTTCCAACATAGAAGTCGATGTATTTTTAGCATAGTCTTTCTCAATGCCCCCTTTACAGGGAAGCATGTTGTAAGATTTCCATTTCCATCTTCTGCCAAAGTCAAATAATAAAAAATGATCGCTGCCGTTCTAAGTTTGTATAGACCCGTTTCTACCCAAAAATCCCATGGTTACTTTGTACAGACAAAGCCGTAAGTCGGCTTAGTCAATGGGAGGCCGTGGCTCGCACACCTCATCAAAACCATTTAGTGGCGGATGGGAGTAGAGCCGGTGGGCTTGGCCTTGCCAGACTCAGGGGAGGTACCGTTGTTCTTGGGGTAAGGAACAACGGTGACAACCTTGGCCATGGTGGTGGTGACATCAGGGGGGCAGTCAGAAGTCTTCTGGGCCTCGGGCTGCTTGTTGTCGTTGCCAGTGTTGCCGTTGTCAGCCTTCTGGGAAACGGCGGGAGGGTTGCTAGCGGGAGTCTGGTTGGCGCCGCAAGGAACGGTGACGTAGACAGTGGAAGCAGGGACAGTGACGGTGGCGGGAGTGACGGTCACAGTGACGGTAGGGGCAGGGCCGTGGCAAGACTCGTCACCAGAAGGCTTGGGGACAGCAGAAGTCTTAGCCTTGGAGATGGTGACAGTGCGAGTCGAGGTGCGGGTAGCAGTGGTGGTGGTGGTAGGCTCAGCCTTGTCGCAAGGAACAGTGACGGTAGACTTGATAGTAGAGTGGATGACGGTCTTGACGACAGACTGGCTGCCCTGGTCGCCGAGGGTCATGGTGAGAGTCTTGTCAGTGACAATGCTAGCAACAGAGGTGGTGTAGCCAGCGGGGACCTGGGCGGGAGTGGTGGCAGGGATGACCTCAGTGACGGTAGAGCCAGTGATCTTGCCTTCGCTGTGGTCAGAGACGACGCTGGAGGAGATCTTGTGAGCCTCAGAGACGGGGCATTCCGTGGTGGTGAGAACAACGGTGTGGGTGGCAATGTGAGTGACACGGTCAGACTCGGGGACGCTGCTCATGCCGGGCTTGCCAACGGGGCAGTTGGTGACAGTGGGCTTGCAGCTGGTGACGGTGTGAGTCTGGGTGGCCTTGACGGTCAAGGTGGTGATGGCATCAGCAGCGCCAGTGGAGTGAACGGTGGTGCCGTTGCGAGGGAAGAACATGTGGCCATCACGGTGGTAGATGTTGGCGTTGGCGACGGCAGCGAGAGCGCCGACAAGAGCGAAGGTGGTCTTCATCTTGATGTTGGTGGTGTTTGTTGGTTAAAACTGAAAAGAAGGAACTGTTGATATCGTGGCAAATCCAGCAAGCTCACGACGATGTTGATAAAGAGAGTGGTGGTATATCAAGTGAACTGCTAGTTAGCGAGACTACTTGACAAGTTGGTAAGGGAGCGTAAAGGATCAAGATGATCGAAAGAAAAAGAGTGACTGCTTGAAGAAGCTAAACGGTGATGAAGAGAAAAGGGTGGCAAGAGCTAAACTGTGGTGTGAGAACCAAGAGGCAGATAAACAAGAAAGGGGCGAGTGGAAGTGAAGAAGAGGGGACGCCCAGCCTGATGGGATCACTAACAGGCGTCTGGCTGGCATTGGCACTGGCATGAGTCCACTGAAGAGAGGGGAATCAAGGAAGACGACGCCAGGGGCTCGAAACAGCGCTAGGAAGCCCAACACGAAGTGGACGAGTGGAGCAGTGGCCGATCCTCCCAGTGTGCCTGGCGATGACGAGCGGGCTTGAGCACTGAGCACGCACTGCAATAGCGCACACTAACCCGCCTGTTCCTGCACGATCAAGCCACTGTAGAAGGGAGCTCAGGTGCTGAGTGAGAGAAGCTTGAGATGGTGGATGATCCTTAATTACAGAGGGTCCACTTCATGGTTAGCTCTCTGGTCCGCCATTGGCTGCTTCCCCTTGGATGGGTTGCACGACTGGCATCAAGCGCGTCCAGTGGCCCCCACCGCCAGCCAACCACAAGCCAGCTCTGCACAGGCGCCCATGCCAGGGGCCCAAGGGGGCTCCGCCTCAATTCTCCTATTCCCAGCAGCTTGGCCCGGGATGGTGTTGTGACGAGATAACCTTGTTGGCTCTGCGCAGCCTCAGACTGAGACTTTGGCTCTCGCTACGTCGCGCCCGGCGCTTCTTCAGAGACATAACACGGAGAATACAATCACGTATTATTTTGGCCTCGTTTGTGTACGCGTGGGAATGAATGGTCATGCGTGCCTGCACATCACGTTTCATATTCTGCAGACGGGCGGTTGGGATAAGCAAAATCCATCTCAGCACTTCTTTGTGGCGAAACACGCCGCCAATTCCCTGAGCGGTTGCATAAAGACCGGTCCACGCACGTTTTCCGTCTTAAGTTACATAGCAGCATCTACCGTCCAAAACCGTCGCTGTGGGTAGTGTGGCTGGCCCAGGCCGTTGTTTCGTTGCACTTAAATTGACATATGGGCCGTCTATTAATTGGTAACCTCGCCCCTGCTATCGCTTGCTCTTCTCGCGCGCTAGTTTTTTGCGTTGTCTTTTTTTATTAGGCGAAGCTTCTAGCTGCGCTCGGCACTGCTTGTCACGCAATCTTGTCTGCCAATAAACAAAAGTATGAGTGGTGGCCACGAAGCCGCAATTCCAGGTGCCAAGTGGGTTGGTCACGTATTCCCGTCTTGTTTTCTCGTATGTTTGCCAGGTGGATACCACGACAGGTAGATGCAAAGAATGGTGTCAAGAAAACGGCCGCCGTTCTGATTACTGGGCTTCGCCTCAAGCCTGCAGGTATCACGTTTTGGAGCCTTCTATACCCACTCTGTAGGCGCGTCTCCATTCCATGGTGGTGTCGCCGAATGGGTGCAGTCTTACCAGAGTCTTGGCAGCATACTTGGGCCCATTTCGCTTTTTGAGCTCGGCAGGGGTCGCGGCAGCTGTCACAATAGTCCAAACCAGAGAACATTGCGAAAGACAGTCTGGCAATGGAGGGGAACAAGGCTGGGCAACCTCTTTTTCATCTGGACTCTGCATATGGGCGGCTCTTGGGCTAGCCTATCATGTTGCTTGAACACAGTTTGTTAACCCAGCTCGGTACCCTATACTGCAGCCGCGCTTTATCCTGAGCATAGTGCGTTTTGTGTTGACATTTACAAATACATCTATAAGTTGGTGTATGTATGGGTGATCTAAAAATTAGATTTCGTAGACTGAAGACCTATATTATTTCGTTGTTGTTGAGCAACGCGGTCTGGTCGAGGTTGTAAGCTTTCATACTAGTAGAGGGTTAACAACATCATCCACGTCATGAACCGGTCATTGTCCGTCGGCATCTAATCAAATGAACACATTGACGATCTAGAAACACAAATAGTAACCCGGTAGACTAGGAGTATTGTTTAGCGTTATTTTTTACGTGATTTTGCTTCAACCTTGCCACCAGAACACATGAAGGAGCTCTCAAAAAGAATGGCTGATAATATAAAATAAAAGTACGCGCTAAGAAACAATAATAAAAAAGAAACGAATAAAATAAAAATATCACAGATGAGCCAATCAAGAGTGAACTTTAGCTCGACAACCCCACATCGGAGGCCGCGAAGGTTGGACGACCTCGGCATGCAAAGCTTGGCTAGCTAGCGAAAATGCGATTGGCTAGTCCAAGAACAGGGTGCGCAGGCCATGCAGCTGTGGAAATAACTAATAAATCTCTCTTTGGGCTGTGAAGAAGATGCAGTAGGTAGCAATCGATATGCAGGCCCATGGTACAGTGTAGAGATTTCCACACACCAAGCAATTTACGTCCAATCAGACTCTATAGCTAGCGAAGCGAAGTATGGCTGCCTGGCCGGCTACCAATACTCATTAGCGAGCCCCATTCAGAGGCTTCTAACGAGGTGAGAGCATACTCTGCCATGCCACTCGGTGTCCGGGGGAAAATATGCTATTATTCGGGCGAACGTCATACGAACAGAGGGTACTCCAACAGACGCGGATAGCTAATAGAAGCCCATTGATGGAAGCGAGACAAACACTATCACAACTGCCGGTGGCCTATACTATCGCAGCACGTACTTTGTTCGCTTGGCTGCTTGCATTTCTTGAGTTGGGTTCAGAATTAGGGTATCTATATTATCTGCGGTAATCGATGCGAAGTAAACGTATATGGTGACATGTTGTGGCCCACTACTGGCACGTCACTTACACTGGCAGCGCTGAAGCGAGACACCGATGAGGGGTAGATGATGCGCTCTCCGACGTAGGGCCGGCATTAAGCTTTGTTTGTTAGCGATTGTCTCGCCTTGCTTCGGCGCCGTCATCTAAGGGAAGCTGCTAGGGCTGGGACGATCTCCCCCAATGCAACGCCTCGTGCGCATCAGCGGGATGGCCGCTGACTCGCAGGGAAGGTCGAGTTGGGTAATCGGTGCGATCCGCCGAAGTCCCCGAATGTCATTTTGCTACCTTTAAAGGTAATTGCCCCGAGAAGCCACCAAAGCATGCCGTCAATGACCAGAGAATAGCTGAATTTTTTTTTCATCCGTAGCAATTCACCCTGGACCACCACCAGTCGGCAAATTCTTTTCGACACTGGATCTATCTTAGCATGCATAACGTGGCGACAGAGGCATGGGCCACTCGCAAGCTACACCAGATCAAACCATCACGTTCTACACTAGACGCCGCTATTTACCATAATTCGGCAAATATTACGATTTACATATTGACATGCTATGCTAACACTAGACTCGGATCCCGCACCCATCTTCCCGTATCCTAGCCAAAGGTCAAAGAGGCATTTCCTTTGGAAGCCTGCTAACATGCACCTAGAAACGCTTCGCCTCATCGTCTGCGCCCCGCGGCCCTGATCTCTGTCCAGTCGGCTCTCCCGGCGAATGGCTTGTCGCTCTATTTGTGTAGGCAGAGCCTGTAGTAGCACGAGGCTGAATGGCCTGTAGTGACCCCAATTAGGAAGTAAAATTGCAAGCACTCGCTGCACTGAGGGACTGGAGGATCTTCCCCGCTCGCAGAATTAAAAAAAAAAAGAGAGCTAAGAATACTGGGACAAAACAGGAAGTAGTTTCCGGGACGTCATTTTGTCACCAATATAGAAAGCTAGAATAAATGCCAGCAGATATTAAAAAAAAACGAATTCAGCTCGGCCAGGGAAATTGTTGAAATGAGGGCGCCAAACCAACTGAGACACTGGATGGGAATACAGCCGGCAAGGAGCATAATGGCCAACGAAACAGATGAACGGTCACCAGCGATGCATACACCAAAGCCACGCCAGTAGCTGTGAGGACACGAGGTACAGGGGAGAAAAATAATACATATAATTTATTACGAGGCGCCACATCAGTTAAATAATATAAGCTTCCACAGAACCCCTCATCCTCTGCCCCTCTCCTTCACATCGGGCTAGTTAAACCGTAGTCAAGCTTCTTAGCACAACGCACACACACGCCTTGTGGTCTTTTTCTTTACTTCTCTTTTTTTTTTCTTCCCTGCCGGACATTCCACCCATTTTCCCCGAGCCAGGCCGGACACAATATATAGAACCACCTGTTTTCCCCCAATCCCCCCAGACATCAGACTCTTCCCCTTTTCCAACAAGCTCGCGCGTGTCTTTGCATACTCTTTTCTACTTCCTCGTCTGTTGTGCATTGAAGCTGCAGCGTCATCGCAGCTTTGCATTCTTTTTCCCCGGCCGCAAGCCCACCCCTCCCCCAACTACATATATCCAACCCCTCGACAACTTCAGACCACCGACGCAATGGTCGACCTTGACTTTCCACAGGCTCTCAAATGCCCTTGTCTCTGCTGTGGTCATCTGGTGCACTCTGTAGAGTACGGATGGCCCTCGTCATACTCGCTATGCGCAATCTGCCAATGGGAGGATGATTACTCACAGCTGTTGCGACCTCTCGACCCCGACGGCGCTAATCATGTCTCACTCTATGATGCCCAGCAAAACTACATACAAATGGGCGTCTGCGACAAACGTTTAAAGAAGTTTGTCCGCAAGCCGACTCCCGAAGAGCCCATTGCGGTTGGATGGCGCCCAATTGACCCCTCGCGCGACATCTTCAACGTCGATTGGGACAAGGAAACCGTCAATGACTGGCGTGAGCTCTGTTGGTGGCTTCCGCAGTTTCGGGTGAATCAAGCGTGACTAGCCGACCTTCCTACGCCGCCTGGCTCTATTGTTCCCTATGACGAGTACTGCTACGACCCATACCAACAACAGCAACAACAACAGATGCAGCAGCGCCCATCACCACAACACATTCCTCAGCATCAAATGAGCTGCGACTACGGAAACGACTACTACATGGACAGCTCTCCCATCGATACCCATAAATACTCCCAAAACGTCACTTTTTACTCCGATGGTGTCTCCTGGCACTTCTCCCCTCCGCCACAAGAACAGGCGGATGCGGGATACCCTCTTGGCTAACGGCATCACCAAAAGGGCGCTCTTCTGAGACTCTTTTTGTATACTCTTTTTTTTGCACTGCTTTCTGTTTTTGTTTTTGTTTCCTTTGTTATCATCGAGTCATAAGCGAGGGTGCATTCAGCGGGCGTACTGATTTTTCTCGTCGCTGCAGCGCAGGACGTTGAGGGGGGCATAGGCACTCATAGTTATGGTTTGGTTGAACTCTCTGCCTTTGGGGGCCTGTTCGCAGCGAAACCTGAGCTAGAGGGACTATTTCTACGACTAAGGCATTATATTGAATTAAAAATATCTAATAATATCACTTCACTATTAGTGATTCTCTTCATTAATTTTATTACGATTTATTGTGATTTATTTGGGTCTGCGCTACGCTCTACTCGATTTCTTCAATACGAGGCCGTGATGTCGATACACCTTGCTCATCCCCTAGGCTGGGCTTCACATGCAGTCCAGCTAGGTTCGTTAGCCCACTAGATCCAAATCCTGATGATGTTTCTGTTCCGTCTAGCGCCAAGCTTGCCAAGCGCCAATTATCAAGGCTCTCCACCACGTCGTGTGCGTGCTGCTGTACAAGGCCGTCGTTGTCCGTCGCCGCGATATACTCCAGCGTTCGCTGTATGTTGCCTCGACTTTCTTCTGTCAGACCAAACCCGAGAGATTGACCAGGTTCTCTAGCTGTGTTTAGTGCTCGCACAAAGCTGAGGATAGAGATGATCGCTGCTCGGCGCAGTATGCCCGATGACGTATCTCGCTCCATTGCTAAGATGTTTAGCGCCAGATCAACCCCTGCCGATGCAAGAGTCGCCCCGATACCTCTAATGTTAGTTTCGACGGCCAAGCCAAAGATTGACAGCGCTGATGTTCGCATCCGGATGTCCTCGCTGCCACGCTGGCTATCCCATCCTTCAATGATTCGCGCTATAACATCATTATTTGCCTTTTGTTCTTCCGTGAGATCTTCTTCGTCCAAGTCCATATCGGGCTCATCGTCCTCGGCTTGGCCCTTATCTTCTTTCAGTTTGCGAAGCTTCTCATCTCGCTTCTGCTTAGCATACGTCTTTGCACGATAGCCACGTCTGCCTGCGATGCTCAATAGAGCCTCTGATGTTCTATGGGCTGCATCTCCAGTGAACAACTCGCCGAGCCTCTCAATAACTTGCACCAGCGCCTCTCCAAAACGTAAGCGAGTGTCTGTTGACAGCTTTTCGCTGCTGTCAAGGTAGCTATCGGTGAGCTCCTGCAGTGTCGACTTGGGATGCTTGTTTGATAGTTCTGTAAAAATTTTGATCACTCGTAGGTTGATATAGTCCTCCTTATCTTTCAAAAGACTCGACATCAGAGTGGTGATACCGTTAATATCCAAGATCGGACTTTGACTGTTGATTAGACCGGACAAAAGATTGAGTCCTTCAGAAACAACAGGTGGCGGGTTATCCTTTTCTCCTGCTATATAGCTCATCGCTAAGCTGTAGGTTTTTCGATCTTCAATTTGCCGGGCAGATGGAAGTGATGCCGCATCATCAGGTTCTTCGAGTTCATCGCGATACTTCAAGAGTAATGACAAGTTGCGTGCTGTTGCTGACGTGTCTGAGCGATCTTGTTGGGAGATTCGTTCCAAAGAACTCTCCAATATCGTCAGTTGGTCTGATTTGATGTCGGACTTTTGAAAGCTCGGGACTGTAATAACAAGATTCAGCAAGCTCAGAACAATACCAACCACGTCATCGCCCAAGGGTGACTTTGTATCTGCTATGAAGACTTGTGTCACTAGATCAAGTAATTGATCAAAGTGACTGACCAGCTTTTCCGGAGCCTTTTGCATAAGCTTTTGCAAAACAGCCACTTCCACAAGATCAGAAATAGTTGAACTCGGTGACTCTGTGGGACTCGAAAGAACAACTTCGATGTTGGGGTTCTGTTCAGCGCTGCTTGATTCAATCCATTTTCTCAACAACTTTAGGAAAATAGAAGAAATGTCTTCCGTAGAAGAGGCTGAAGTGAATAAATCTACAAAATTGCTCGCGTTGGCGTCAATTTTGCCCCAGTCAACAACACTTTCTTCGCTTCGCTGGGCCTCAACAGCTTCGATCTCGTCCGAGTTGATTGACAAATACTTCCATGCGGTTTTTGAACTGGGGAGAGATCCTTGGCACATTAGATTCTGTATAAGAACCATGATGCTCTCTGATTCTCCAAATAACTTGAAATATGTTTGCAGGAGAACGCTAGCAGGGATCTTCAGGCCTTTGACAACCTCGCCTTGTTGCGCAGGCCATGAGGCAAGAGTCCAGAGCTGCGGTAAAACACGGGTAAGAACTCGCTTGCAGAGACCAGGTGATGGGTTGGACAGGATTAAGATCTTAAGCCTCTGTACCGAACGCTGCAAATCGTCTGATGAGACAAGTCGTCGACCCCGTGTTAGATCCACCACTTCCTCCTCCTCAAGTGCTTCGTCTCCTCGATCTTCTCGGAGGGACCAGTTAATATTATCAATAATAGGCTGAACAAAGATAGACCATCCCGCGGCGCCTATAAATGTCAGTAAGGAGCCAAAATACGGAATTCGTGCAGCCTACCTGGAGCACCGAGCGATCGTTTCCCTAATATTCCATAGCCCACAATTTGAGCTGCAGTTTGAGATAGCTCGGGGCCACTGCTGCCATCGATCAATGAAAATATTTGCTCTGATATTCCTCCAAACCAAGCTTCTGGCGACATGTCAGATGGAACCGTAGAGAGGAGCTTGGTGGCGACAGCGACAGATTCTTGTGTGATGTTGGCACCCTGTTTTTGAGATTCTTTGCTATCTTTAGCACCACGCGATGTACTGGGATGAACCATGAAGACAAGTTCCATTGTAGCCCTTACTCCATCCTTTCGAAGAGGAATGAGAGTCAACGATCGCATGAGTGCTGGACGTAGCCATGCTTGCGTTGCACCGGGTTGGATGAGTGCATTTAAGGCATGAAGCAGGGTCCATGTATCTGTTCTATACTAAATTCAGCATTGCGAGTATTCTAATGCAGCGGTTATTGTATACCTTTTGATTAAATCGTTATATTTCTGAAGGCCGTCGTCCCGGCTCTCCGGGCTGCCACTGGGGTTAAACGCAGCTGTGCCCGCCTTGACTAAGTCTTCAACGACGTTAGGTTTCGCCGTGTGAGAGCCTGACGGCTCCGGTGGACCCGATGACATGAATAACTGTGTGTGATAGGATACTACTTGATTTCTTGATGTTAAAAAACATCTACATGAACGAGTGCCGTAAAATGTGGTCCGTTTGCAAAGACAGTGCGGGAGCTTTCACACTGTCGCCAACGAAAAGTGGAGCCATGCCAGGTCTAACGCGGTTTCTAGGAACGCGTCTCATTGACAGCTCTCACCTTTCTACATGTTCAATATTGAGAAAGTACCGACAGCATTTTTATTTAATAGATTTCATAGCTTGCAGCTTGAGCTGGAGTGAAACGTATCCGGAAACACCAACATGCTCGAAAACCTATTTGCCTTTGCTCACTCCGTTGCAGATATGCCAACTTACACAGCTGCTGGCTCTTTCGCTACTGATCTTGTGCACGACGCCTTCCCTACAGTTTCCCGATTTCGATTTTCCGAAAGGAATGTCTATCGTAGACCCCTCTACAAGCTTGGGTTGACCACGTATGCCACTCTCGAGCCTGTATCAGGACCTCGCAGCTAGTGGCAAATGGAGCCGTCGTGGTCAGAAGCCGTCGGTTACTAGACGGCCCAAGGGCGCCAAGAGGGAATCGAGTCGGAACTTAACCCTACGAATATATCTGGTTTTAGCTTTGCGGTCGTATGTTGGCCAACATCGCCTTTTACGGCCTAGCAGACGTTTTTCGACCGCTGGAGGCGCTGAAAAGTGCACTAGTTGTCGACTGGACGTCGGCAGGGACAGAATGGCTTTTTGGTCTTCCAGTCACGTTTCTGTGTGCGAAGATGAGAGCCATGAGAGCGCGGAAATGCGTAATCGTCAGCTTTTGTCGCTGGACCCTGACATTGGTCGTCGGTTAGTTGCTTGACAGAGGAAGCCAATATGTTCAACCCTTCCGGATGTGAGAGGCCGAAGCACGGGAGTAGAGCTCATCAAAAACCACAAACAACCAGACGGTTCGCTTCATACCGCATTCCGGACCTGCCTTGCCGGACGCATGCCGATTTCGTTCGGCTTTGCTGCGAGGAGGTCTAAGGAAACCAACAGAAGCGCACTGTCTGTTCACACATTGTTTTGTTGAACATGCTCTCGGTCCTCCCGGCTTCATAATGGTCTCATATACACTGGCGGGGCAACTATGGCCAACTTTCAAGCCATGCAAGTGCATCATTTGCCGGCATGTGATGCTCCATATCTACTCAGATCAGACCCATTAACGCCTAGGTACAGTCTTGGTTGTGCCTCTGGTGGCGCCTATTCCTTTCTGTTCCCGTTTTTGGGTCACAGACTTACCTGGGTTGACCGACTGCTCTTGGTCAATCAAGATGAGAGCGCGAGTTTTTGCGGATGTCTTTTGCTACGTGCGTTAATGCCCTCCTTCAACATAGCTATTCTGATCTATGGGAGTGGAAAACAAAAACAGTCCTTGTCGGCAGTGCTACACAAACAGAAAGAGCCATTGGAGTTGAGCAAGGTAAACCTTTGATGCAATGACCGGAAGTTTCAGCCTGTGATGATAGCTGCTTGTCTATGAAACTATGTGGTCCGAAGTGGTGTTGCATACTTCATCTGCGTGTCTTCGGGACCCATCCCGTGTTGGTGTCAAAGTTTTGTACTTGTCTGGGACGACGTTTGGGATCTATGCAACCCACGATCTTGGCTAACCGGTTTCTCTACTACTTGTTTGTTATGGGCAGGCCCAAGGGATGGGTAGCTCAGGCTGTCTTCGCAGCAGAAATGCTATGCCGAAGGCAGCCCCCCAACATTGGCGGGGATAAGTACTATTAACTTGTATTTGTTTACTTCAGGAGACTAACATGAATTCTAGGTACATATATGCTACAGGTTCAAGTCGCGAAACAAGATAGGTAGGTCATTGGTGAAATGTAACAATGCTTTTGTAATTCTATAATCAAACATAGAAAACCCCAACGCCCGGCCATATGGTAGCGGCCATGCTTTTATAGTTAAGCTCAACTAGTGCTGTTCGCTTCCAAAATCTATCGCCCAGCCTTCATTGCTTCCTTGCGCTTGCGTCTCTCTGCAGTTCTCATCAACGAGCGCTTGATGTCTCCGTTTTCAAACGTATCGAGGTCGTAGTACGTAGGGGCGATGTCCTAATATCTTGTTAATGCATGTTACCACCAAAAGGTTCACTAGAGTACTTACAAGTAGCCACTCAGGCTTAACACCTGTGCAGGTGCGGATGTATTGCTTAGATGTCAAGACGAATTCGCTGTACAAAACCCATTCAAACTCGGTGCGCAAGACCGTGGATGGGTGGATAAGAACCGCTTGGTCGTCCTTCACCGTTCGGTAAACTTTGCCAGAGCTCTCCTTCATGGCCACTTGCATGAAGAAACCTGTCAGCAGAGCGCGACGAATGTTAACGTAGTAGTTCTTGTCTTCGAAGGGAGTTGAGATGAGGTCCAAATTCTGGGTCTCCATAATACGCTTCAGCTGCAGGCGAACGCTATCGGCACTCGTCAGGTGGCGGAAAGACAGGAAATGCTCGTGGCACCATTTCTTTCCTCCATCGGGATCAGACGCCGCCTGACCCTTGAAAGCGTGGTAGGCGTTGAGCAACGTCAAATGGTCACCATCGGGGTGGCTGAAATGCGCCTTCATTTCATCAGCACGCTTGCGGTTGTTCGCAGGACGCATGAAGATTTGAGGGACTGAGAGGAGGGAGGTGATGGAGAGGATTTCGTTGGAGCAGTAGAATTCGGGCGATGAAATGAGCATAACGGCAAGCGCGGGATCCAGAGGGAATTCCGAAGCAAGAGAACCAAGTGTGGTAAGCTCGCAGTCATCATCGAGACAGGCAAGATAGTTGAGCTCTTCCAGAGCTCTCATCATGGTCTCTGGCGCAGGAGGATCCATAAGATCGAAGTGGACCAAATCCGTGACGCCAAGCTTCTTGAGCTCCAAAACAGTGTTTGCAAGGTTGGAGCGGAGGATTTCAGGATATGTCTGCTCGATCAGTTCTTTCTTAAACGCTTGCTCCGTGTATAAACGGAAGCATTTTCCGGGCTTGGTACGACCGGCACGACCAGCTCTTTGCTGGGCAGACGCCTTCGAGATGGGTGACACCAGGAGAGATTCAACACGGATTCTTGGGTTGTAAATCTTTTGTTTGCTGAAGCCGGGATCCACAACGTAGACAATACCATCAATGGTAAGCGATGTTTCAGCAATGTTGGTAGAAATGATACACTTGCGACCAGGGCGACCACCCTTACGCAGAGGAGCAGGTGCCTTGTCGAAAATACGCTGTTGCTGATGAGGGGGCAATGTACCGTAGAGGGGATAGACGGCGAGAGGGCCAGCGTCAACTTCGCGAATGAGCTCTTCGGCTTCTAGGCTGATTTTGCGACACGAGTCCTCAATCTCATCTTCACCGGTCAAGAACAACAAAATATCACCTTCAGGCTCTGAAGCATGAATCTGTAGGACTGTTCGGATGGCGGCCTCGACGTAATCCTTCTCGGGCTCAGGCGTGTAAAAGATTTCGACAGGGTGGGTACGACCTGGGACGGCAAGAAGCGGCGCATCGTTGAAGTAGCGCTGGAACTTTTGTGCATCAAGTGTGGCGGACATGATGATGATCTTGATATCGGCACGTCGCATGCTGATCTGCTTGAGCAGAGCCATTAGGATATCGGTGGACAAGGTTCTCTCGTGGGCTTCGTCGATAATGATGCAGCCGTAGCGGGACATGTCGTGGTCGTGCATGGCTTCGCGCAAAAGCATACCATCGGTCATGTACTTGAGCATGGTTTTGGGGCCAGTGTTATCATCGAAACGAATGTTGTAACCGACCTCCTCACCAAGCTGCACATCCATTTCGTCAGCTACTCGCTGGGCAACGGACATGGCAGCAACACGACGGGGCTGGGTACAGGCGACCAGTTTGCCATTGAGATGCGGCATCTCATCGTAGACGACGTATTGAGGGATCTGTGTAGTTTTACCGGAACCTGTCTCACCGACAAAGACGAGGATCTGGGTCGAGTGGTACTTGTCAAGAAACTCCTGTCTCTGCTTGTGGACGGGGAGGTCGCGTCTCTTTTCCAAGATCTGGAAGTACTGCTGCGAATGAGGCTTTCCAGTGAAGGGGTTGGTTTCGGAATCCTCAATCTTGGAGGCTTGCTTGGCCGTTGTCTCCCGAGGCTTCATGCCGTCGAAGGCAGAGCTAACGTCGCCATCGTCGCCGTTTTCGTATGTGTGAGCGAGGTACGGGTTATAGTCCGGATCAGTCTTCTTCATCTTCTTGCGCGAAGAATCTTCAGCATCAGCGCTGACCCGTTTGGTAGCGGTGTCACTCATCGTGATCTTTGTCGTTGTTTGTGGTATAATGGATTGTCGGGAAGGTGGCGCAACAGGCAGCCAAAGGAAAAAAAAAATTGGCGGGACGAGTTTTGTTATCGATAACCATTTTCGTCTGAGACACAGTGCGCATTCAGCTCAAGGTGGGCTGATGGTGGGGGAATCACAATGCATGGCAACGGACATATTGAAGAGACGCAATGATTATTTAAAGAATAACAAATATATTTGTAATATATGGTTGCTAATATAGCTGTGGATACTTTATTTCTAATTATAAAGACGTATCCTCTCTGCTAGTAACCAAAAGACAGGTGTAAGTGCTCCACTGTGCTAGATCTCACTGGGCACAGTGGTGGATTCGCATCGATGAAAATAAAATCGACTCTGGCAGTAGCTTGCGAGCGGTCAACAACAGCACCGCCAGCAACTTGACAGTTCAATTTGCGTTGCCGAGATCTCTGGAGGCGTTGATTGGTTTGATTGCAGAAACTCTTCTCGGCATTCCTGTCCTCCCCCCAAAATCTATACCTCGCTCGTTTTGATCCCGATTCGACTCTGGCATTCTCACTTCATCCTATTGCAACCTCGTTAGGAACATAGCTGTAGATCGTCAAAATGGACCCCGAACACCCATTTTTCACAATCGGTGTCCACGATTCGAAAAGAGATGAGCCCTTTACCGAACTGCAATATGGACACCTCCTCAACCAAAGTGTAAGTTGTTGCGCCCTTACGCTCTAAACCCTCCCCCGCTAATCACACTGCAGGTTTCATTTGTGACAGCGCCGATCACCAACAGCCACTTCAGAGATAGAATATTTGCTCTTGTAAAAGATCATCTAAATGCGCTGAAGAGCAATGGCGAACAACCCACTACCCTCTTCACAGCTTCTCAACCAGATCCTATCATCCCACCCATTACTCCGGAAGATACCCAGCTGTTCCCATCCAGTGCAGTCAATACTTATATCGGATACACGAGTCCTTGGATTGATCTTGGATCCAATGACCCTGTCGTGGCCAGCATCTCTCGTCAGATTCTAAACCTTGAAATCAACTATGCCAATTTCTGTGGTGTGCGTACTCTGGTCATTGCTGGCCCTCAGAAGGGTAGCAGCAACGGATCGTTGGCATCCAAGTCGATTGCTCTTTATGCCCGTGGCATCCAAGAGGCCCTTAATGTCGGAAAGCATCTTAGCTTCATTGTACATATGCCCATGTGTCACGAGGCCACTGACAACCCAGTTGAAACTCTCTCGAGCCTTGCTGCTGTCATAAGACAAGATGTCAGCCAAACACAAGCCGATGTATTTACATCGTGGGATTATTGGCATCAGATTCGTACAGTCTGTGATTACAGTCTGCGTCTCTTTGTTGGTTCGTACAACCCACTGCAAGCCATGATATGTAACTCAAGCTAACTTCTAATCCAGCACTGAAGCTTCCAATTGTCGTCCCCGAAAAGGACTTGCAGACTAGATGGTTTGCTGAACCTCTCATGTACCTAACCATCGGTGCTGAGGTGTTTCAGACCAACAAAGCTGGTTACCCATGCCTCTCGAAATACCATCAGGCATTGATTTTCACCTACATGCGTTTGAAGACACCACCTTGCATCCTGCTCTGTGATGTTGGACCAGAGGTTCCCAAGACAGAGGGCAACTTTGAGACACTGTTGGAGATGACGAGCAAGCCCAAGGATGATGACGAGTTCCCTTCTTTGTCCCAGGCTCACGCTATGCAGCCCAAGGCGGCGGCCCCGTCTTCTCACCTCGATTACATCAAATGGCTTGAGTCTGAGCAGCCGCCGTTTGGACCCATGGAGACGTCTGTTTTGACAAGCTTCCAGGATTGGCTCCAGTCGCCTCTGCAGCCATTGTCGGACAACTTGGAGTCTGCTACATATGAAGTATTTGAATGTGACCCTGTGAAATACAATCAATACGAAATTGCCACAATGGAGGCATTGAGCGAATGGAAGAAGCTGAACAAGCCCACCTCTAAGAAGGGCAAGGTCGTTATTGCTGTTGCCGGTTCTGGTCGTGGCCCCCTTGTCACCAGAGCATTGAATGCAGCCCGAGACGTTAAAGTCGATGTGGAGGTCTGGGCTGTCGAGAAGAACCCCAATGCCTATGTCTACTTGCTGCGTCAGAATGCAAAGGTGTGGAATGGCCAGGTTAATGTTGTCAAGACAGATATGCGCCATTGGAAGGGCCCAGTCGTTGAAACAACAGCTGATGGCAAGGTGGTCTACGGCAAGGTCGACATTCTCATCTCTGAGCTGCTCGGCTCCTTTGGAGACAATGAGCTTTCGCCCGAATGCCTTGACGGTATTCAACATGTCATGGCTATGAACGGCATTTCTATTCCCAGCTCCTATACAGCACACCTCTCTCCGATTTCGACACCGAAGCTTCACGCTGATATTTCAAACCGATTCGCAACTGATCCAACTGCGTTTGCTACGCCATGGGTTGTCCATCTCTTTGCGCTCGACTTTGTGTCGCAAAAGGTGCCGAACCACCCGCGCATCCAGGAAGCCTGGGAGTTCTCTCACCCCATCTCGGCTGCTACTCTCGAAAGTGTCGAGGCTAGACGATCGGGTGGCGTTGTAGGAGGCGGCGGTGGCAGCATGGCGGGAGCCGCCGGTGCCAACGACCACAACGCAAGATTCTGCCACTTGACATTTGTCTGCCGAACGCGGGGTGTGACGCATGGTCTGGCTGGATACTTTGAGGCTACATTGTATGAATCGCAGCTCCCCGAGAATGAAAAGGCCAAGGTGGAAATCAGCATTCACCCGGAGAGAATCGACGATAAGAGCAGGGACATGACATCGTGGTTCCCCATCTTCTTCCCACTCAAGGTGAGTTTCTTCTAGTACCGGATACCCTCATGCTTAAAGCGAATGATAATGCTAACCAGGGCAGCAACCTCTCTACTTCCCGGCAGATACTGAGCTGGAGGTTAGCATGTGGCGACAAACCGACGACACTCGCGTTTGGTATGAGTGGCTTGTGGAAGCATGGATGTGGGTGAGCCCGACGTCGCGGGTCAAGATTGCGTCGTCGGAGCTATGCAGCAGCCGTCAGGTTGCGTGCCTTATGTGAACGGTTTAAGTCATTGTGTCGTAATAAAAGTATGCACTACTGCAAGCATGTGGCCCTATTTAGCCCTCTCACACCCGCTGCTTACTTGCTATAACCCAACAAGGCGTAAACACGACTTACTAGTGGTGGATGCTCCCGTCCCAGTACGGAAGGCGGCGCTAACCATCCGGAAAACGCCGGAAGACCTGGCATTGGCGCGAGCGCACCAGCAGTTATCCCGGTACCGGCGCTGCTGGGAACGCTAATCCCCGGGGCGCGTCGCTCTAGGTAGCTTGCATAGCGTCCATCCATCCGCTGGCCCTTTTTTTTTCCTGCTTCGAAGTTGCTGTGTCTTGCTGTTCTTTAGGCGTCGTCGCTGCCTGTCGCATCCAATTGACATATTAATCGACTACTGCCCGCTTGGAAATCCGTTTTTTCAAGCTTAAGCTGCAGCGTCTGCTCCGTCCGCCACCGCGCTAAACAACGCGCTGAAGTGCCTCGGATAGCGCAGTGCACGACCACGAGCATCCATCCAGTGCGCCCCTGTAGCGCAGCGTCATGCTCTCCCACGCAACCAGACCTGGCCTCCGATCGGCTATGCGCGGGCTGCCCCGCAGTTTTGTAGAGGATTGCCCCTCCATTGCTTATAGACCTGCACCGTCGTCCGTCATGTCCCCTCACTCTTCTGCTGCATCATCCATTTCTTCTGCCTCTCGAATCAACAATTTGTCTGGTCATTTGCAATTCACATCCAAGATGTCTTCCTTCCAAGCCCCCCACGCTACTCTCCTCATCCCCGGCCCCATCGAGTTTGACGATGAGGTCCTTCGCTCCATGAGCCACTACAGGTACGGCCATCAAGCTCCATTGCTGCATCCTCGGCGCTGCTAACCATCTCTTCAACCTCTAGCCAGGCTCACGTTGCCCCTGCCTTTGTCGAGACCTTTGGCGAGACCCTTTCTCTCCTCCGCCAGGTTGTCCGCTCTACCGACCCCAACGCCCAGCCCTACATTATTAACGGTTCCGGCACCATTGGCTGGGATCTTGTTGCTGCCAACCTTGTCGAGGCTGGCGAGGATGCCCTTATCCTCACCACTGGTTTCTTCGGTGACCGCTTCGCTGACTGCCTTACCCAGTACGGCGCCAAGGTCACCAAGATTGCTGGTGAGGTCGGCTCTGTTCCTTCTTTCGATGAGATTGCCAAGGCCCTCTCCGAGAAGAAGTACAAGATCATCACTGCCACCCACGTTGATACTTCTACCGGTGTTGTTTTCGACCTCAAGACTCTTGTCGAGACTGTCAAGAAGGTTTCTCCCGAGACCCTCGTTATTGCCGACGGTGTCTGCAGTGTCGCTGTCGAAGAGCTTGCTTTCGACGAATGGGGCCTTGATGGCCTCGTTACCGCCCCCCAGAAGGCCATTGGTGCCCCTGCTGGTCTCTCCATCTCTTTCTTCAGTGAGCGTGCTGTTAAAGTTGCCCACAGCCGCAAGACTCCTGCTGCCTCCTACTTCGCCAACATGGAGCGCTGGACCCCTAGTAAGTTTTGGAACTACTTTCGTCCTTTAAAGCTAGACTTTGCTAACAGACATAATTAGTCATGAAGAACTACGAGGCTAGAAAGCCCTCTTACTTCTCTACTCCTGGTCCCCAGCTCGTCCACGCCCTCAACACTGCTTTCAAGCAGATCCTCGCCCGCCCTATCGAGGAGCGCATCCAGAAGCACACCCAGGTTTCCGACAAGGTCAAGAAGGCCGTCACTGACATGGGTCTCAAGATCGTTGCCAGCGAGCCCAAGAACCAGTCCCACGCTATGACTGCTATCTACCTCCCCGACGGCATCGCTGCTACCGACCTTCTGCCTAAGCTCCTGGCCAAGGGCGTTATCTTCGCTGCTGGTCTCCACGCTACCATTGGTGCCAAGTATGTCCGTTTCGGCCACATGGGTGTCAGCGCTGTAAGAAACCTTCCTCTACTCTCTTCATATTTTCCGTCCTACTAACCATGGTTTAGGTTAACGATGAGCGTGGCGACATCGACAAGGCCCTCAACGCCCTCAAGGCTTCTCTTGAGGAGTGCGGCCACAAGGCTTAAGTATTTAAAAAGGACATATACGCGCAATTTAATATAGAAAAGAGACTTTGATTTTACGGATACATTATATTATACAGGAAAAGCAATGAAATTGTATAGATTTTACACAGTTCTGGCTCTACGAGGCAACAAAACCAGTGTGCTTCGCTACCGCCGCTAACGCCGGGGCAGGTGACGCTGGTGGAATGTTTGGTTTCTAAGCAATGACTGCGGTAGGAGACGGAACATATGCTGATCACCTGGTTCGGAGATGCGGTATCGTAGCGGAATTAACCTGGCGATCTGACTATGATCACTGGAATATATTCTTTTCGCCGTTGGTATAAGAGTTACTATTGAGTTTGCTGTGGCTGGTGGCATTAAATTCACCTGCTCTCCCTACTTCACTGTACACCAGTCGCCAGCTGGCCGTGCTGCAGCAAGTAAAGGTTTGCATTGGTGTGGCAACGGCGGGGGTTATCTTTCACCCCACTTTACCAGTTCTGCCTGGAAACGACCCCTCAAAGTGCCGAATACAGCGAGCTCTGCTGACAAAATAGGCGGACCCCGCCACAGCTAGTGCGCTGTTGAGGCAAGTTACAGCGCTCTGAGCCGCCTGGGCGATGAGTTGGCTCGCCCCGATTTGGCCGTTCCAGCCACACCATTCCGCCTCCTCTTTCCTTCTCCTCTTCCACACCTTCACCTTCACAAATCTCCCATCTTTTCCCGCCAAACCCGTCTGCAGGACTGATTTCCGAACGCTGCGTCTTTGCTACTCCCCGCGTCTTTTCGTCACGCTCGCCTACTACCGAGACTTACGACGTACCGCACGGCACTCCTTTGGTGCGCTACGTCGTTTACGACCTGACCAAGCCGACGCTGTGATCCCCCGCCCTAACCCCTCCGTTGCACACCCACCATGGCTCCCACGATCGAAGAGCTCGACAACACGGTCCGCGCCTTCTACGATGGCCGTGGTGAACAGGTATGATATAATACTAGACGTGCGCGTGTTACGTTCCGACTTGCTGACCGTTTACCTCTTCTCCCCGCGCACAGCAAAAAGCTGCCCAAAATGCCTTGAACCAGGTACGTTATGCTCGTCTCTAGCTAGCCTGCTTTCCCTCCCGTTTGGGCTTTTTGCGCCTGACCATTGCTAACATAACACCCACAGTTCAAAGAGGATCCAGACTCTTGGGTTCTGGTCGACAAGATTCTTGCTGAAGCGCAACATCCCCAAACCAAATGTAGGCTAGGACCCGACAATAAGATCAACATGGAGCCCACGTATGCTAATGTTATTGTTTGCTAGTTTTGGGATTGCAGGTTTTGGATAATGTGATCATGACACGATGGAAGGTCCTTCCTCGGGACCAATGCCAAGGTTTGTGCTGGCCGGGACAGAGCTCCGAAACACCGTTGACAAGTGAACATAGGCATCCGCAACTTCATTGTGCAATTTATTATCCAATGCTCCAGCACCGAAGAATCACTACGATCGCAAAAGACTCTACTCAACAAACTCAACTTGGTGCTCATCTCCGTTTTGAAGCAAGAATGGCCGCACAACTGGCCCTCGTTTATCAACGAAATCATCACTGCTTGCCACTCCAGTCTGTCGATTTGCGAGAACAACATGACCATTCTTCGATTGCTCTCCGAAGAAGTCTTTGACTACTCTGCCGAGCAAATGACTTCTGCCAAGACCCGCAATCTTAAGCAAACAATGTGTGCCGAATTCTCACAAATTTTCCAGCTGTGCCAAGAGGTTCTCAACACTGCTGATCAGCCGAGTCTCATCAAGGCTACCATTGAGACGCTCCTTCGATTCTGCAATTGGATTCCTTTGGGCTACATCTTTGAGACACCGCTTATCGAAACGCTTCGCACTCGCTTCCTGCCCACGCCCGAATTTCGAAATGTTACTCTGCAGTGTCTGACCGAGATTGGTGGTCTCCAGACAGGCAACCAAGGTGGCCAAGCCAACACATATGACGAGCAATTGGTCAAAATGTTCACCGAGGTTCTCACAACGATTGCTGAAATCATTCCTGTATCGTTGGATCTGAAGACAACCTACCCCTCAAGCAACTCTCGCGACCAAGAATTCATCCAGAATCTGGCTCTCTTCCTGTGCAATTTTTTCGGCATGCACCTCAATGTAAGAATATAACGCGCTGACCAAGAAGTAAATCCTTTCTGACCGCTTACAGCTTATTGAAAATCTCCCGAACCGTGACTATCTCTTACATGGTCACTACTATCTCATTCGCATCTCTCAGATTGACGACCGCGAAATCTTCAAGATTACTCTGGATTATTGGCTCAAGCTAGTACAGGAACTGTATGAGGAGATGCAGCAACTCCCAATCACCGACATCAACCCTCTGCTTGCGGTTGGTGGTGCCATGTCTGGAACTGGTGCACCAAACCCTTCCATGCTGATGAACTATCCCCTCCGCAAACACAAGTACAATGAAGTTCTCTCCAACCTTCGTGTTGTCATGATTGAAAAGATGGTGCGACCTGAAGAGGTTCTCATTGTTGAGAATGACGAAGGAGAGATTGTTCGTGAGTTCGTGAAGGAAAGTGATACAGTCCAGCTTTACAAGACCATTCGTGAAGGTCTTGTATATCTCACGCACTTGGATGTTGTTGATACCGAAAACATCATGACAGAAAAGCTTGCCCGCCAGGTTGATGGTACAGAGTGGTCGTGGCATAACTGCAACGTTCTTTGCTGGGCTATTGGATCAATTTCTCTTGCCATGAATGAGGAGACGGAAAAGCGCTTCCTTGTCACAGTCATCAAGGACTTGCTTGGACTCACAGAAATGAAGCGCGGAAAGGATAACAAGGCTGTTGTCGCCAGTAACATCATGTACATTGTTGGACAATACCCTCGTTTCCTTAAGGCCCACTGGAAGTTCCTTAAGACGGTTGTCAATAAGCTCTTTGAGTTTATGCACGAATCTCATGAGGGTGTCCAGGACATGGCTTGCGATACATTTATCAAGATTGCAAGGCAGTGTCGCCGTCATTTCGTGGCTTTACAGCCAAACGAGCAGGAGCCTTTCATTGAGGAGATTGTCCGTAACATGGGCAGAATCACTTGTGATTTGACTCCTCAGCAGGTCCACACATTTTATGAAGCATGTGGCTACATGGTGGCTGCTCAAGGAAACAAGAACCAGCAAGAACGGTTACTTGGAGAACTCATGAACATCCCCAATGCTGCTTGGGATGAGATCATCAAGCAGGCCACTGCCAACCCTTCGATCTTGCAAGACTCTGACACAATTAAGGTCATTGGCAACATCATGAAGACCAACGTTTCAGCCTGTTCGTCAATTGGCCCCTACTTTTATTCACAGATTGGACGTATCTACCATGACATGCTTGAGATGTACCGAGCTACCAGCAACCTAATCTCAGAGGCCGTTGCCCGAGATGGTAAGTTTTATACGTGCATAGGGCTACCACATTGTTACTGACTTTGAAATTTAGGTGAACTTGCAACCAAGATGCCTAAAGTCCGCGGTCTGAGAACCATCAAGAAGGAGATCCTAAAGCTGGTGGAAACATACGTCGAGAAAGCAGAAGATCTTCAGGCTGTTCGCGCGCAGATGGTACCACCTCTGCTGGAGTCCGTCCTTGTTGATTATAGCCGAAATGTCCCTGGCGCTCGTGATGCAGAAGTTCTCCGAGCCATGTCGGTTGTGATCACCAAGCTCTCAGTAAGCAAACAACTGCCTTATCTACTTCAACTCCTTTGCTAACAATTGTATAGAACCTTATGGACGACCAAATCCCCACCATTATGCAGAATGTATTCGAATGCACATTGGAAATGATTAACAAAGACTTTTCTGAGTTCCCTGAACATCGCGTTGAGTTCTTTAATCTCCTACGTGCCATCAATCTGCACTGCTTCCACGGTAAGTTGTCATTGGATGGAATCCATATATGTTAATTTTACTAACTGTTTGGTAGCATTACTGAAGTTGGATAACAACCAGTTCAAGTTCGTTATCGACTCTTGCTCTTGGGCCTTCAAGCACGACAACCGTGATGTTGAGGCGGCTGGCTTGAACATGTGCCTTGAGCTCATTACCAACATTGCTGAAAAGACTGACGAAGCCACGTCGAACGCCTTCTTCCAACGCTTCTTCATGACCATTCTGCAGGATGTTCTCTATGTTGTCACGGATAACGACCATAAAGCTGGCTTTAAGACACAGTCTATGCTTCTGATGAAGCTGTTCTATTATGTTCAGCCCGCCGACGGCACACAGCCCAAAATCCAGGGTCCTATCTATGCTGCTGAACAGGCCCCGGCTGGTACCGGAAACAAGGAGTTCCTGGGCAACTCTGTTGTCGAGATGCTGCAAAAAGCATTCCCCAACCTCCAAGCGTATGTTTTCTTTCGTCTGTTCTGCTAAGTAAGCGACATACAGTACTAACATTTGTAACACAGTGCCCAAGTTACCAGCTTTACTGAAGGTCTCTTCAGTCTCAACACCCAGTACGACAAGTTCCGTTTGAACCTTCGAGACTTCCTTGTGTCCCTCAAGGAATTCGCTGGCGACAATGCGGAGCTCTTCGCTGTTGAGAAGGAACAACAGGAACGTGATGCCAAGGCTGCCGATATGGAGCGCCGACAAAAAGTTGGTGGTCTTCTGAAGCCCTCTGAGCTTGATGATGAAGAGCTGTGACTTCACGAAGAGTTTCGAGCCGAGTATGTTCCACTCAGAGAAGCTGGTAGGGGAGCCTTGGAGAATGAGCCAGAACCAGAGCGTGGCAACGGCGATGGCTGGGAGTTTTACGGACTATAGGTGGTGTTTTGCCGGATTTATATGCAAGAATTGATTTTACATGGAGAAAAGCCACGAGTGACACGATACGCCTATTGTGAAACAGAGTTGGCGTTTGGAGCTGACTGAAGGCCAGATGCGACGAGCCAGTGAAGTAGTTGAGAGACGATTACACTGAGATGAAGAGGGGCATCCCAAGCATCTGGAAGCATCGAAGTGGCTAGGGTCAGATTCATTTTGTTTGTTTAGAGACGTTTGACTAGAGATTGCGAGTATCGCCCAGTATGCACAAAACCAAAAGCAATTTAAGAACAACTTTGATGAGAAAAGACGAATCTAGTACGAATGAGTGACCGAATGATGAGTGAGTCGAGTACATGTATAATTTGCATGTATTTTAATTCTAGATCTTTGTACAAACAGGTATATCCAACCCCGAAGTAAAAAGTGCGCTATCCTTTGTTTCGCTAATCAACCATGCCAAAACCTGTTTATCGCCTTGTCCGCCAGTATTGTGTGTGTATATATCCCCAACTCCAGAATTCAAAAGAAAAACAACAACAACGGAAAAGTACAAAATAGTGCGTCTCGCTTAGCGCTCTACTTCGACAACTCTCAGAGGCCACGCCATTGCCTTATGCCAGTAGCTTCCCAAATGCTTAGCGATGATGTGAATCATTCGAGCGCCAGCATCCCGGAACATCCAAAATCTGCGGCAACGGTGCAGCAGCACGCCGTAATGGGCGAGAATGACGAGGGCTTCAGGGCGGTGCTTGCGGAGAACCTCTACATACTCTGCTTGGACCATGACGGAGAAGCCAGAAGCGGCGTGAGGACCGTTACGATCTGGCAAGTTATTGTAGAGATCAAAAGACCACTGCAACTTCTCTACAGCAGCACGACATGCTTGTAGATTGGCATCGGCGAGATCAGAGGTGCTAAGCAGCTCCTGTAATGGGACACATTCGCCACCTGGTGTCTGCGAATGCGGAACCGCCTGGTGTGTGATTTCGAGGAGGGGTCGTAGCTCGGATTGTATGAGAAATTGGAAGGTGGGTTGAATGACAGCGCGAACACCACGATGAAGGTGGAAACAGTCGACAAATCGATCGATGAAGCTGTGGAAATTGACATCATCGGAGCGAAGCACCGTCAATGTCTCCGCGAGAGAGTGCAGACTGAGAATGCTGGAGAAAAGAAAGCGAGGAACACATGTTTCGGTATCATCGGCTGCTATTCCTTTGGTTAGGCGTGTAAAGGAGGTAACCGCACGGGTCTGAAGCTCAGTTGCCAGACGTTGCAGCGCCGGAACGGACATGGCGCCACCGAACCTCGTAGCTTGCGGCGAAGCGTCATCTGGAAGTTGGGAGGCAATGTGCAGAGCAGAAAGGGCAAGCATTTCGTCTATTAGGTAGGGGGCATCAGTCGTTCGACATATTGCAATAGAGACGATTTGTTGCATTTGTCCGGGGGGCCCTACACCACCATGATCCATGTCGGTGACAGCGTGGTGTAAGAGCATTAGATGCTGAGCGTTGAATTGTCCAGGATGTGGAGAATGTGCGATCGAGGCTAACCCAGGTGAATCGGTAGTATGTGGTGTCGGCGGATCTGATATGCTATACTGCTGCTGGTGATACTGCTTCGACGGATGCTGTGGGTAGCCGTTGTTGAGATACATTTGGCCGTCTCCAGCTGCTGTGTCTGAAGCAGCGGGCGTCCATACCATTGAGCAAGGGTCAACGGCATGACCACTTGAAGCTGGTGAGACGTTATCTTGGCGTTGTTGTTGCTGGTCAGCCTTTCGCGCTCGGTTTTGGTTGGAAGCGGCGGTGGCGGTTGGTGCAGCGTTGGGATAGGCGCAGGCTCTGTCGGCAATGGAGCAATTGGAGCACTCAGGACGGCGTTCGTCGCATCGGATATGGCGGCGCTTGCACTCTGCGCAGCCATTCCTAGACTTGCGATGAGAGCGGCGTGTCTTGAGGGCGCTGCCGCCGGGGGTGTTGGGGATGACGGGAGAGGTAGAGGTTGTGGTAGCATGGTGGTGGTTGTTGTGGTCGTCGGGGGTAACTGGAGAGACGCCAAGTGGACTGGCGGTTGCTGTAGAGTGGCGAGGCATTATGAATAATTAGTTATCTGGATCGGTACGGCGCCAACGTTAGACATGGCAGCGTTGCTGCTTGAAGTGGTGAAGCTATCTTGAAGACGCAGGCTGTACAAGTATAACGTGTGTTGAAACAAGAGGGGGGAAGGAGGAGGCTAACGAAGCGACTGTAATAAACGTCTTAACCACAAAGAAGAGGCAAAAAAGCAGAGAATGAAGAAGAGAAGATTGTGTGTGAAAGGAAGAGGGCCAAGACAAGAAAACTGTCAGCGCAGACCACCGCTAAAGGAAGGCACGCCAGTGTTTTCAGGTTCGATCGATGCGTGGTGGGCATTCGGACTTTAGACGGTGCAGTCGCCCCAACTCCGCAAGAGCACGCACACGCAACCACTAGGAGCATCGGCGCTTTACAGTGCCGTAGCCTCGTGGCGCAGCGGGCACCCTGCGCTGTAAAGTTGGCAGTTTGGCAGGTGTCCGTAGTGGCTTTGGGGGCGGGCTTTCGGGTCGCTTCCGCAGTCCGAGGGCCGAAGAAGCGCTAGCCTGCGTCACTGGAACGAGAGCGAAACCAGCGGCGGAGGCCCCTACGCCCAGTGAATGGCGCGCTGTAGTGAGCCAACGGCCCCGCTGAGACTCCACCAAGCTGGGTGGTAGTCGTCTTCAGCCTTTGACTCGAATTGCCTGGTTGGGCTGTATTTTTTCTAACAGTAGCGTGAGAGCCAGGAGCGCATGGGTACTAGTAGCAGCTCATGCAGGGCGATTAGTCTTCTGATCTTTGCCTTGCAGACTGCCCTAGGGATGCACTTTACACACGCATGGCTGCAGCGTAGTATTCTATCGTCAGGGCTGAGGAACATCCCATGCCAGGCTAACTTACGATAGGTTCGGTCCGGCTAAAATGGAAACGTGAAGACCAGAAGGGTTACAGTGTCCAGGTTTGGCGAGGAACGAGGGGATCTGGAAATAGGGGAGCTGAAATTGCCAAGATGAAAGCAAGGCCAGATGATATAGACGATGGCGATGGTAGTCTTCCTATATTGTATAAGACCATCATGGTGCTACGTCTATTGCAGTTCTCAGTGTCGCTACGCTGCCGCTGATAGTACACTACTGAAAAACATCCTCGACAGGGTGTACCGTACCTACAAGGCTACTAGCACAATGAGAAGCGTGCTAAAACAATAGCTTCTGGAATAAGCTTCTTTTTCTTCCCACCGCCGCCTCCACCACTACCCTAACCTACTTTGCTCGTTCATAGGCGGGGTGGCTGCCTCCTCTCACCCCACTAAGCCAGGTTCAGCGCTGCAACTTCTGCCGATTCGGCGTGCACTTCGCCGACCTGTGAACATGGGGGGCCATCACTTCACAGGTGAGGTGCCCTGTAGCGAGCGCTGTGAGACCACCAAGCACCTCCACCGGAAAAGTGACGCTGCTGTAAGCGATCCAAAAAGTTGCAGTGGCATTCATCGGTACTTACTGGCTACCTTGCTGTTAACCATGTAATTAGTAAACTAACTTGACAGACTGCTGCAATCTGCAGATCAACCGCGGCGCCACGCATAGTATAGTGGCCATCTGCTGTGAGTGGTGCGTGCTGAGAGCATCATGGCGTCTACAGGGCTCGGTGCTTTCCGCACAGGAGCAACTCCTGTAAATCACAGTCTCGGCGCCGGGGCTCTCGTACGAGAAATGGCAAGTAAAAAGAGAGCGATCCAGCAAATAAAAATCTCTACTTTGCATCGCTCCGCCCTAGTATTCCACCCTGTAAATGAATTCGCTAAATCAGCCAATCATCCGTCGTCTCGTTTGCCTGCCGACGCTGACTCGGAATTGGCTATGTGCTCCTCATTACCCAAAATGGAATGCAGCATGTTCAGCTCGTTCGTGCTTTTTTCTCCAAACGATCTCTGGCCAACCAAATGAATCTTAAAACACTAATCACAAACTATTATTTTTTCTCTCAACTTGTGCGGCTAAATGCCATGTCCTCTAATGCAATGCTACCAATCGAAACGACGCTAAAGTACAGACATTTCCCCTAGGCGGTTCAGCTTTGCATCACTATCATCTTGCATAGTGCGCTTCTATTCCGCTGGCAAAGAAAACAAAAGAAAAAAATCGAATTCCGCCGGAGACCACCACGTGTGAACGCCTCTATGGCTCGTTGGGTTTCGTCAGCCCGTCGCGGCTTCTTGAAATCGTAAATCGCGATTGGTCGTCCTCCGACACGACTCCGTCCATCACCATGTCCGTGTCAGGCCCCTCCCACTCTCTTGCTGGTGGAGTTAGCTGTCCAGGATACCAGACGGCGAAAATAACCATGGTAAAAAACATAAGAATGGCATCAAAGACGTAGAGAGTCCATTCGTGCGTTAAGAGATACCCCGTCTTGCCCATCACGTACTCAATCACGCGAAACACGGATCGGATCAGGATCAGCACGCTCATGGCGTACAACGTGTACATGATTTGTTCCCACTTGGACTTGGGGTCCAGCGATGCTCCCGAAGGCCACTTTCTCATTCTCGAATGAAAGATAATGGCAGTGATGGCAAAGAGACTAAAGAGCAGAATTTGGACGACCAGACCAGCCAGGACAATGTTGGACGCGAGGTTCTTGTCAATGCTGCTAATGGCCATCATACCACCTCCGCCACATTGCACCAAGAATGATAAAACATCGCCGGTGACAAAGGCTCTTGTCAGCCATTGGGGTCGGATTATAGCATGTCGTTCGCCGTGTACACTGCGCATCAGGCGGCCCAGGGTCATGTAAATGCTGGCTGCGAAAAGAGCTGGGGCGACTAGGATAAAGATGCTCTGGATGATATAGGGTAGCAATTCGTCGGTCTTGTCTTCGGATGCGGCTCGAGCAGAATATCCGATTGCTTGGACTGTAAAAGTAAGCTCTAGTTAGCGTATTGAGAAACCAGTTGCCATATGGGTTGGATGGAGCCGTACAGATTCCGCCGAGGATGAAGGGTATGCTAAAGCGCGTTCTCGTCTTTATGCTTCTGAATATGACAGCAAGAGTGGCCAAAATGAATAGAACCACGGCGATGATGGCTCCAATCTTGGTTGGGATATAGTCCCATAGGTAATAATCGTGGGCGTAGGGCTTGAGGACCGCCATTGTGTTGATGGCGGTAGTGGTTGGTTGCGGGATGGATGGAAGGAGATGATGATGAGAGGATATGGAACAGAAATTAGACAAGCAGGTGAGAATGGCTTTATATTTTGATTCTTGTAATCCCCAAACCCTAGACTACGCAATAATTATAGCATCATGGCGTCTATTGAATTTTGGGGGCGGAGTCGTTCAAAACCCGCGTATCGGGTCGCATTCATCACCTCTCAGAAATAGAGCTATATTAAATGTAAAAAATTGCTGTAAAAGAGGAGTCCTATTATAAAATACCAGTAATATCTACCAATATTTTAATTTAATTTCTTTTCTCCCAGTTCATGACAGTATTGCTGTATAACTCTAAATAGTCCTGAACAAAGACGTTTGGTTTCCGCGTATTTGGATCCAAAGTTTCCCAAATGGGCAACTCTATACGCGTATCTCCGTAAATATAATTGGGGCCAACCAATCACAGCCCACTGCCACCTCAGCCCTCCGCGTACCTTTTTCACCTCGTCCTAATATCAACCGGCCAAAGGGTTGGCACCAACACATGGTTTCAGCCTTATCGGATAGATTTGGGATTAAGCGATGACGAAGCTTATAAGACTGCGCCTCGCCCTACCCACCCCTGGGGATCACCTTGCATCTCCTAGCGGTGGATCATCCACGCCTTGTCTTCTCGTCATGACGCGCGGCGGTTGACTCTATCTCTACTACCGCCATGCTTGCTACTGCAATTGATAGGCATTTAGTTCACCCCCTTTGGCATTTAGTAGCTGGAGGTTTGTTGAGTTATTCCAATTACCCGGCCGACTTCACTAAGCGGATACATTTCGGCGACGGTTCAGTCATGTCGATCTTCGCGAAAATACTCCGACAACTACGCGGCATGATGATTCACGAAGAGCTCCGAGTTTAGAAAGGGTTCAATAAAAGTGCCCAAGAAAGGCGAGATATATTCATTTAATCGTCAAATCCCTCAAACTCAGCACCCTCCGCCTTGGCCTCTTGCTCGGCCCTATTCTTCTCGCGCACCTGTCGGATAAGATCCTGCAGCTTCTCATGCTCTATCTTTTCTTCCTCGGTCATAGTAGCCACGCGTTCGGCATCTCTCTTCTTTTGACGCTTCTCGCGGCGCTCTACTCTGGTGTCTTCCTGCTCTTGCTTGCCGCTCCAGGCAGTGTTATTTTTTCTCTTTCGTCGAGCCTCAGCAGCCCGCTCCTCAGTTAAGCCAGACTTGTCTGCATCCAGGGCTTCCAATCTTGCTTGTTCTCGTGCCTTGTCTTTGTATTGGAAGTTATCCCAGTCCATTTCCACGCCCAAGAAACTATCGCCCTTCCAGCTCTTTGTCTCAGGCATTCTAGGTAGTCGCAGCAAACCCCAGGCGTTGCCCAAATCAGTCCAGTCTAGGTCCGCAGCGCGGAAGATGGATGTCGCTTGATGGGCACCGTAACTTCGTACCCAGCTGACAAAGGCCTTCTGCGCCTTATCATGGAACGCACGATCAGACTTGAGAATTCCGCGAATGTGCTCTGTAGCTTTTCTGGCCTCCTCCTCGGAGACCGTAATTGTAGGGCGCTCCAGGGGCGCAATGGGTGTTTTCCTTACGTCCATGTAGCGAATATAGTCCTCTTCATTGCCTGGATGCAACATGACAACCGCAAGACCCTTGCGTCCTGCTCTTCCTGCTCTACCACAACGGTGAATGAATACCTTTGGGTCGGAGGGCACGTCGATTTGGACAACGAGGTCGACTTGGGGGATATCGAGACCACGAGCTGCCAGATCCGTTGTCAGTAGAACCGTGGGTGACACCGAGGTGATGAATCGCTTAAAGTTCTTCTCGCGCACGTTTGCGGGATGCTTGCCATGTAATGGAACAAGTGAGACCTCCTCGGGCAGGATACCAGGAAGCATGTGCTGGTAGTAATCGACGGCGGCGCACGTGGATAGAAAGACGATACTTCTTTGTGGCATAATAGGCAGCTCTGAGAGTAGTTTTGACAGCGCGGGCAGCTTTTGCGTAGCTGGCGTAATCATATATGTCATCTTCAAACTGGCTGGCGTTTTTCTGTCTTCTAGAATTTCTCCCGTCTTCATCTTGACACGTACTTCAATTTTAACAGGATTGCGCAAGCCAACGCGGATAATCTCGGAGACAGCCTCGCTCACACTGGCGCTGAAAAGGCCGGTGCGCCGTTGCTTGGGAAGACGACTCAGGATATTTTGTAGATCTTGCTTGAATCCGAGGTCGAGTAGTCGATCGGCTTCGTCGAGAATAAGAGTTTCGAAAGAGGACTGGGTGCAATGGACGTGAGGCGAGGCCAGCAGCTCGACCAATCGTCCCGGCGACGAGATCAAGATGTTGGGGCTGTGGCGCATAAAGAAACTAAGATCTTGGGCGGTAGTCGATGCGCCTCCTACCAGCAGTTGTGGTACAATGACAGGTTCGGTTGTTGCTGGGCGTCTTTCATCTTCTTTGAGCGCTGGCAGCAGTTCGGCAGAGGGGGCGTGGAACTGGAGGAGAGATAGTAATACAGTATGGATCTGAGCGGCGAGCTCTCGAGTGGGGGATATAATAATAGCAGCGACATGGTGTTTCTTTGTAGGTTCTTCGAGGCGGAGAATACGTTGGATCAGAGGAATTAGAAACGACAAGGTCTTGCCGCTGCCAGTGACGGCCTGTAGAGCGAGATTGTTAGTTGTAATCCCCAATCAATTGGCGAATGTTATGCGGCATCGTACCTCGACGACCACGTCTTTGTTTCCCATGAAATGCGGGATAGTAGCAGCTTGGACTGGCGTCATTTGGGTAAAGCCCATGGACCCGACAGCATCGAGGATCCAGTCGGAGAGGGCTGGTGAGAGGCCATCCCAAGCCCGAGGGCTCTTCTTTTTGGCGATTTTTTTCTCAGGAGCCATTTCTGAACCGTACAATTCTTCGATAAGTATAAAGAATAGGTCCGGATACCAAAGGATGTCGGCGCGATTCGCAAAACCGCGACTGGAAAATCTGGTGATGTCAAAGTCCAAAAATTTGTATCTTATCACCACGTGCACTGCTCTTCAAGAAACTTTTTTTTTGGAGGCGGCAACTAAGGGCCCACCCGTTTGCAAAGATGGCTATTCAGAAGCAGCTCCGCTATAGAAGCGCAAATATAGGTACTTTAACCACTATAATTATTTCCCCACAGCATACGAGAATGGCATGGCGGCTGCGAGATGGCGGAGCGGTGTAGACATACCTGTAATAGGGGACTTTTTGTTACGAACACTATTCTAAAACATGCATGCTACGTACTATTATTATCCTATATTTTCCTTGTATTATACTTGTACTCACCACCGATCGCGTGGGGTAAGTAAATAGAGCACCTGGCCCATCCATGGCATTCCCATACGACCAAAAGCCACTGCCGCTGCACTGGTCACATGCCCACACCCCCAAAAGCGTCAGTAGAGTCCACTGACAGGCGGAGCCCACTGTAGAAACCGCACCACCGAAAACCCACCCGACTTTTTCATCACGCACCGCCCAACCGCTGTCTTAAGCAACCAATTTCCCTTTAAAACGCCGCCTGCTGCCTCCTTCGCTCCACTAGCTACTCCTCTTGGTCCTTTGCTTTCTTTCAAATAGCCGCTCGCAGAGGAGTCCACGAATCCTCGCCGCATCCCCCAGGCTATTCACCCTGGCGTCCCCTGTTGAAGCTTCCACCAACGACGTCACTTCGGGACACGCGACAGCACAGCCGTCTTTGTTTTCGACGACACCCGCGCCGCACCCTGCCACTGCAAGTCCGCAGGCGCCTTCAACAAGATCACCAGCTTCTTGGAATAATCGTCTCTCGCTGTTCGGGCGACCATTGTCGCTGTTTCCACGCCGTGCCGTTACTGGCACTTTGCTACCCCCGGCTCTTCCGCCCGCCACCTCCGCAATGTCTCTCCGTCGCAAGGCCGCGGCTCCAGAGACGCCGCGCATTGTTTCGCCGACATCTTCTGACCTCAGTACAACTGGTTACGATGGACCGGCTACAAGATCTGGCAGTCGACGTCTGCAACAGCAAAAGTCGAGCGTTAATGCTGATGGCGACTCACCGTCGGACGACTCTGGTATTGATACACACTCCAAGCGCAGGTCGCGAACACGAAGTCGGTCGCCTATCAAGTCACAGAAGCTTACACGAATGACAACACTTCCTACGGCGCAAGAAAACGGTACGATCCCCGAGATTAAAGAAGACAAGGTTGAATCGATTCCGAACGGCGACTCGAAATTGGCCGCACCAGTTGCAGTCGCGTCCAACGGGCATCTTGCTCCTCCTCAACCTGCCACTAGCGGCTGGAGTTGGCGTGATTTCAGTAGAAGCCCGAGTCCTCTTGGACTCATCCCTATTCATAGACAGTGGCGAACCTTTGTGCACAAGCATGAAGTTCCGCGCAAGGTTCTCCACGTCTCGATCGGCTTCTTTGTGGTATGGCTCTACACATCAGGCACGCAAACCAGCGCTGTTGCACCGTACCTGATGACGGCATTAGTGCCTATTGCGTGCACAGATGCTCTCCGCCATCGCAACCCATCGTTCAATCGCTTCTACGTTCGCGTGCTCGGCGCCCTCATGCGTGAAAGCGAGTATGCGGGATGGAACGGCGTCATCTTCTATCTTCTTGGCGCATGGTCTGTCTTGTACTTTTTGCCCAAGGATGTCGGCGTCATGAGCGTCTTGCTCCTCAGCTGGTGCGACACTGCCGCCAGCACCTTTGGACGCCTCTGGGGCCGTTACACACCCCGACTGCGCAAGGGCAAGTCTCTTGCCGGCTCGCTGGCCGCATTTCTCGTCGGTGTAGCCACCTCGTACGCTTGGTACGGATGGCTTGTACCGACCATTGGCCCTATGCCCGGAGACGAGGGCTTCATGTTCAAGGGTACGCTCTCCCTACCACAAGCTGTCACCGATGTTGTGGGCATTTCCAAGGCAGCCGCAACAGTTGGAGGACCCATTGCTCTCGGCATCATGAGCATTTGGTCCGGATTCGTTGCTTCCGCTAGTGAGGTTGTTGACATCTTCGGATGGGACGACAATCTGACTATCCCTGTGCTCAGTGGTATTGGCATTTGGGGCTTTCTCAAAGTCTTTGGTTAGGCGAACCATCGACACCTCTCGTCGGTTGCCACTTTCAATCACTCACTTCACTCCGCTCTTTTCATACCAACTTTCTTCTTTTCAACTTAATGGTTCGCATGACTTTGGCGTTTAATATCAGGTTGCAGATGGACGATACGTTTCATGACGTTGGAGGCCACTATGGCCATTATGTAGACTTACAAGATAGTTTCTCTTTTCTCTTCTTGAGTACATACTTTCCTTTGCTCGTTACATCTACTGCATAGCAGAGTGTCGCTTCATTTATTCGAAAGATTTAGATAGATCTGGTCGAATACTACGATAGACATATCATTGGAGCATGGCGCGCAATGTATCTTTTTCCTCCTCAAACGATGACTATGTGCGGATGTGTAATGCGAAACGGTGCTTGTGTTTGTGATACGCGTGATTGCAGATAAGGGCGAAGATGACGGTCATGTAAGTTCGTGTTAGACTCGTAGCGGGTGTGATAGAGTAGTTCGTATGCTGGGTTCGGGGACGCAGCGAGGTTGATAGGTACCTGCCTACACGATGCAGAAGAATGCAACTATAGTGATACTAGCATTGGTGACATCATGCCCCTTAATGTAAGTAGTTTGTTAGCATAATGTGATTCATAGCATGCTACGTAGGTCTCCCACAGCCAAGTGCTGAATCCGTAGAGTAGGAGGCTAAAGCGGCTTCCCACGAAAGGTTAGTGCCATCGTTGCAGAATCCCAAAACGATTTAGCTTTGTATTCTCATGGTCCCGGGACGCGCTGCCCATTACCAGGTCTACGGAAGCGGTGTGCAGAAGAATGGAGCGAACCAGGCGCTAACGCGTAGGGAGAATGGTCATGGTGGAGGGGGGTGGTACCAGAGCAGCCACACGCCTCCGCGACTGGATTAAGCAGCGCATGGAAAGTTGGGGGCGGCCTCCCTTGTACTGTATGTAGCTCAGAACTTGGGTTGTCTGTTTGATGGCTGTCAGTTAGCTCTAGTATCCCACCGTGGGGGAGGGCAGGCAAAGAATTGTGGCTGCTGGTTCCTTTCACGCATCGAGGGGTTGCTGCAGCGGATTTGCTGGCACGCCACATGCCTGGCATACTTGCGTTGAGCGCAGGGCGCTTTGTGAAAGCCGATGGCTTTTGGAAAACGAATCTACCTGCAGTGGTGATATGATACGGTTTGCCCTGCGGCGAGGTGCGGGCCATCCTGGTCAAGCCCAGATAGTTGGAGCAGCCAAGGGTTCCAGTAGCAGCAGGGCGAGCGTGCAAGGTTGGGTTTCTTCTGGGGGGTTGCAGTGACGCGACAGTGGGTAGCCATCGCATGCTTTCTGAGTACCGGCGCCAGACACGAGTATGCGACGAAACTAGCGGCCAAGGACAATGTCTTGAAGCTTCGATGTAATCTAAATGTTAGCGCAAGTATAAAAATGCCTTGCTCATAAGCTGCACGTCATTCATTCCTAGCGATGCCAAAGCACATCTACAGCAGCTGTTAGGCTGCAAAGCATGGTCCTAACGTCACCACACACAAGCGTAGCTCCCTGTAGCTCACCCGCATAGTGAGTAGCGGTGGCCTTAGGGCGGGGGAGGGGCAAAAAAAAAGATGGCCCCAGTAAGCCCAGGCTTAAACGCAAGCTAAAGAACGGTAGGCCGAACATAGTGCTGCAGCAGGTGTCCATGTCCAATCATAGCAAGCGAAAGTCACATAGGCAGGGCTCGGTTCATCCGGAAAGACCGAGCATGGGGCCAATAGCAGCAGATACAAAGCGGCGATATGTGGCCACTATGAATCATGAGAAATGGGGGAATGGGAAGGCGGCGTCATCCCAGCTCCGAGTCCATGGACGGCGAGGCAGGGTGGTGTCGGTGGTAGTAGTAGTGGTGGTGGTCCGCACTGCGATTAGTGGCTGGCGTTTTTGCCTCTCTTTCTCTCTCTGTTCTTGTAAAGAGTCTGGACGTTGCGTTGACAAAATATCTAAATTGATGAGGTGACGTGGTAAGAGTAAAAAAAGCCAGAGAGGGATGGTGATCACCCATATGCCGAGAGCTAAGGTACAACAGGGTGGCATGTCGTAGGCAACGATACATCTGCTGCGGAATATCGCATGTAAATCGTTAAACCTCTTCCACGTTGAATTCACAGTGGCTGGTGAACGCAAAATGCACTGGAGGCGAAAAAAGAGCAATACACCACCGAGTCGGTCCAACGTGGCGACCTGTCTCTGGTGGTGGCCGCCAACGGCGCTACAGGCACTGTTGACTTTTCGGATCATCATCTGGCGAATATCATGACAACGCATCGCCGTGCCTGCAAGACCGCTCTATGCATGCCGGGAGGCTTGCTTGACGGACAACGCAGGCTCGCACAAAGAAACACGTAAATAAATAAATCACGACTCAGCAGTAGGTGTGAATTGGGAGACAAACGCAAACGGCTCCTTTGCCGTGGCCTTCCGATGCATCTGTGCCCAACACCACGGACCCAGCAATCGCGTGTCACCTGCAACCAACGCAGGGACGTCGGAAATCCAGCGCTGCTTTAACGCTTGCTAACAAAGGAAAAAGCAAAAGCCCAGAAATGAGGCGCTATCCTTGCTTTCCTTAGCGCCCTTTGCTGCCCGTTCAGCTGGGAATGTAGCTTCTTCCATGGGCCGAACGAGGCTCTCACTCTGTGTTCCGTAGACACCACACGCCTGGTACTGCTCTACGGTACCCAACACTGTGGTTGGTCCTTTTTTTTCTGGTTCCGACTGTAACATTCTTTTTGCTCGAGCCACTGGTACCTTGGTCTTTTCTTGTTCGTCTTTTCCCCCTTTTGGCTCCCTTCTTAGCGCCGCCGCCACAGTCGTGTGTGTGTTTTTGACAAGGCTAGACACAAGAATGCTGTGCCAAGGACAAGTCACTTCTACACACTAGTTTCCATGTCGTCTTTTGATTTTTAATTTTTTCCTTAGTCGACTTTTTCCTAGAGTAGCTATTAGCCCAAGACATATGTGGTAATAATGCTATTTCCCCAATTCCGGCACACCCATCAGTCCCCTTCTCGCCCATCAATTCCGGCTTGTCACTCGTACTTTTTTTTTGTTAGCTCGGCATACCGTGCTACATGCTAAACTGACCTCCCAAACCCACTACCGCTGCTCTCTTTTTACTGGCCTTTCTCATACGCCTCAACTGCCCTTTTCCTCTTCTCGCCTATTTGCATTTTCCAATTTTCTTTTAGCCTTGCGCTGCCTTCTTTTTCCCACTGCCCGCACCCCCCTCTTCTCCAACCACACCTCAGCCAAAAAAAAAAAACCCCGTCCAACCGCATCAACCTCTGTCCCACTCCTCCATGTTCGCCTCTTTCATGTTAGTCTCGTTCTTCGCAATGTAATGTAGCGTAATCGTTAGTGCCGAGTCCCATCCATCCACAAAGCCAAGGCCCACTCCGGCTCATCATCTTGGCCTCTTGCCATTCGTCCTTTTCATTTGCCGCTTCATCATCTCTCTTCTCTCAATGGATCCGTCATGAGGGGCGTCACCCACGTTGTTCTGTCCGTTGGAACGGCCCGGCCTCCGCTAGACCTCAATGGCAGCTCTTGGAAAAACTATAAAAGGGCTGCTTGATTCCATCTCCTCGTCATTTCTTTCTCTTCCCTTTCCTTTCTTTTTCCTTCCTCATCCATCATCGCCCACTTGAAGCTTCGCTCGCACAGTCTACACTTACACACACCAGCACGCTACTGTACCCCAACCACAAGGCCACTACCTACCCACAAACCTCCCCCAAACACAACCCAACACACTCTCCGACCATCATGTCTAGCCAATTCGCTGCTAGTGGGTATGCCCTACCAATCAGCATGCCCGGCAAGGGTAACCAGTATGCTTCCTATGCCCAATACTCCATGTCGCCCCCAGAGTGCGACGATTCGTACAGCTCCGCCTCTGGCAGCGGTGCCTCTTACAGCGTTGGTTTCACCAACAGCTCTGCCGCGAGCTACATGGGAAGCTCGCATGGGGATTATGAGACGGTTGGTTCTGCAAGCGGAATCGATTTCCAAGACTACATGCAAGACCGCTTTGCTGGGTCTTTCAACCCCATCCCAATGGACCGCAGCATGGCTGTCCAAGCCCAATCGTAAGTTTTTGTGGTCTCGTGTGCATCAATCGCAAAAAGCGGGCTTGTGCACCTCTCGATACGGACAAAATCAACTAACTGTTGCATAGATCAGGAAAACTCAACGCTAAGCACCGCGAACTCATGGAACTCCAAAAGAAGGCGCAGGCTCGTCTTGCCCGAACCCGAGAACGCTTCCAAGATGGTATGCGCGACGCCCGTGAGGTTAGAGGTGATCTAGAGTGGACGCAAAAGAAGGTCACGTAAGTTTACATACAATGGCCTAAACTATAGACGCTGGAAAACTAACACAAATACAACCAGGTCGCTCAACGCAAAGGCATCTCGCATGCGCCCCAAGGAGTACGCAAAGGCCCGCGCACGATACCCTTCGCCCGAGTGCTAGTTGACGAATTTACGAATATCCCCCTTTTTACGAATCTCCTATGTTTAGCATTTTACGAAAGCGAAGCGAAATTGTTTCAATTTTTGTCGACATTTAGCGATGTTCTTGATTTGCGGCTCATTAGCCGATTTCTGATTGAGGAAAAAAAGTTTCAACCTCTGTTGTACGAATGCTCGAAAATCACGAAAGCGAACCGAGTCAACAAAATGAGAAATATTTGGAGGAAATGGCATTTTATTTGGATTAATGGCGAAATAATTTGTGCTCTGTGGCAGCAGTCCCTCTGCGAGCGACGTGTAAGATGGCGAACCCGTTTGGCGGCAATCTTGCATAATGTGGCCGCATATGTGCCCACCAAGATCTATTGCTGCTTTTACGTCGGCTATAACGGGCACAGTGGCATGGACTATCGAGCCGAAACGGACACCTAGGCTATAAACCGAATTTGACAAGGTTCATAGCTGACAGAAGAGCTGCCAAATTGACAGCGTCGGTGACGACCTCGCAGAATTGGTCTGAACTTCCGATCTTGGCGTCAAGCGGCACGGCAGGAGCCGATCTGGTGGTGGGGAAGCCATCGTCGCCATGGTAGAGAACTCATCCTCATTGGTTCGATGGGAGAAAGCCAGGCCAGGGGTTGCAGGCAAGTTTGGCGGGCGACCACTCCGCAGCTATATCAGCGAGTTCGATCGTGAGGCTGTAGACGGTTGGCGGCCAAACGGCTAGCTGGGTGGGTCAAGACAGTGTATATAGTACCCTTATAATACTCGGCTCGCACCCCGGGCGTCCTGTTTGAAAGACAGGATCGTAATGAATTGAATCTTCATTGGCTCTTCTAACCCCTTGTCGTCACTAGTGATCAAGCCCAGTAATCCTTGCTTGTGTGTGTGGCGGTGCTGTGTAAATAAGTATCCTATACCGTCTCCAAAAGCCACAGCCTTGCTTGCTGCGTCGTGTTTGTGTCGTCTAATACCGATGTATCCGTTGTTCTGGTTGTAGCTCCCAAGCCATCACGTGATGGTTCGCTTTGAGTTTTTAGCCGTTTACATCATCTGACGCTCGTCATGTAGAGAGGGAAGTTCTCCAAATTGATAATCGTTTAATTCTCTTCCTTAGATTTCATGAAAGCCAGAGTTTCCGCTAGGTTGTTGGTGCCACGGCTTCGATTCCAGGCCATTCGTCGAGCGGCTGCAGCCCCATGCGTTGTTCTAACTGGGCCCACGGGTTTTTGTTCGAGTCGTAATCGTAATATCCCTCGTACCAGGGTTTTCTGTTCGCGTTTTGCGTCTGATAGCTGTCGTGATTGCCCTCGTCAGGTGGTATCCCGACACCAGCTGGTCGACTAGGAAGGCCAGCACCGGGCTTAAGAGTATTTATACCAGCCTCGTTCGATCCAATAGCAGTATCTGAGGGTGCCTGTACCCCCGTCTCATCCTTTATATCATCATCACTCTCGTCATCCAGATTAATCTCATTCTTGTTGATAGAAGTCGGGGCTTTTGAGTTTCCGAGCGGCAACGAGTTCGCCCCAGTGCTTGAAGACGCAGCCTGCGACTTGACATTATGAACAGACATTGAGGCATCCGCTGCGGAATTGTATTTGCGCTTTTTGTTTGCCTGGCCTCCAAATGAGGAGAAACCCATCATCTGGAGCATTGCCTGGTCGTCCGTTTCGTCCGCCATATTGATAGCTATGACGTGGGCTTAAGATCTCGAGAAACTTGTGGGTCGATTCGATATTATGCCACAATTTTATCTGTGAGTTGACGCTAGTTGATTATAGGAGCCGTTTCGTCAAATAGTGCTGGGCCATGGGGTGTCGTGGTTGTTAGAAGGTAAAGAAGCCCAGTGCAAAGTGTGACGGTGGGTAAGTACATAGGTGGGGCAAGCTGTCACCGACCAGAGAGCTGTCCTGCTCTTCTGGCTACCTGTGCTGCTCTGTGCCTTGAAAAAAATTGATTATATTCTATTAATATGAATTAATATGATGCTTGTTAACTTGAATCTAGCCGAGATCATGGCTTTGAAGTTCCTTTCCAAGTCATGCGTAAGATCGGAATGCCAGTACACTTAGATCATTGCCAGCTATCACAAGCCAATGTGCCTCTCGCAGCTATGTGTCTCAGTCTTCAATAATGGGTGATATTAATTCCATCTTGTTATAGACAACCCTCAGATATGTTTTATCTACAATATTTATCCTTTCTTTGACTGCCTGGTTGTGAAGTGAACAAAATTGTAAACCGCACTGTGTTCGGTAACTGTGCGATCCGGAGTACCTACTGGGTCTCAGGATAGCTAAGCTATATGCTTCATTTCCGCCATGTAGGATCATTGGTATTGTTCACAACACACACCGCCAAATGTCAGAGCTAGACACCTTTACCCTCGCTTTGCCCTCGAAATACGCGTCTAAGGACGCGTCGGCGAGTGCGCCCGCCACACAACCGAAGACTCCCTCGATCGAATGGCTCGAGCGAACCTGGACGGTCACACATTCCACGCTGTCCATGTGGAGGTCGGCGAGAAACGTCCGAATTAGCTATAAGCGCCTCCCGGCTAAAAGTGATGGTCGCGCACGAATCGACGACCTTGTCGAATACGAACCGATAAAAAAGACCGGCGTCTTGAGTAAAGTTGAGGGCGTGGACACCCAGGCTGCGGATGGCAGTTGGAACTGGAGGGGCAAGGGTTGGCTTTTCTTTGTGACTAGCCACTGGGAGCTTCTAGGATCTGGTGAAGTCAAGCTACCGAGCGGCGAGACAGAACGGTGGGCTGTGACATGGTTTGCGCCAACCGTCTTCACTTCCGAGGGGCTTGATGTCTACTGCGACAAGGAGGAAGGTATCTCTAGTGAGACCTACAGCAAAATCTCTGAAGCCTTGACAAAGATTGGGGCTAAGGGCCTTGTTGATATGGTCAACAAAGATATGAAGCCAGTTGAAATCAAGTTGCCGTGGACAAAACAATGAAACATTGAAGATGCAAGGACGTTTTTGGAGGATATACCTTGGTATAATGCAATGAAGTCTGATGGGTATCTAAATAAATATAGAAAATACAACATATTAACACATCATCTGATATCATGATAGTCACCGCTCATGATGCTCTCTTCGGCTACTATGGCCATCATTCGCTCTCGCAGATGAAGAGCCGCGATCTCTGGGCCGTCGCCTATGGTGCGATCTATGTTTACGATCCTCAGATCGCGGTGACCTAGACCTGCGGCGATGTTCGCGCCGAGTCTTTTCGCGGGGCTTCTCGCGATGCCTATCATTTTGGCGAAGTTCCTTCAGTTCCATCTGGCGCTCGTCTTCAAATGCTCTTCTTTCCTGTTTGAGTTCGCGTACTCTTGCTGCACCTCTCTTCATCATCGCCAAAGGGTCGTTCGAATTCAGACGAGCAGTATCCCGTTCCTTTCGTTTGGGGTCATCTCTGCCAAATGCATCCTTGGATACAGTGTCTACATTGCTTGCATCGGAGCGTGAATACCACGGCGTTAAACTTCCCTGTTTTCCAGCAGCGTTTGAAAATCGCATATTCAACAGGTCATCGCCTTCAACGCCTTTGCCTCTTTCATTCTTATCAGAACTCGGTGTCTCTCCATTCGGCGCGTGATTGGTGACAAATGCAGATTGTGATGGTTGGCGTCGTTCTTGTAGTTGCTGGTCACTAGAAGACGTCCTAGTGCTTGCTAGCCGTATCTCGAAATCTGTGTCATCTTCGCCGTACCGTTTTCGCTCCCTCCTCCGTGAAGTGTGGTTACGCGAGCCCTGCGAACTTGCTGGTTCGTCATGCTGTTCGCCCTCTTCCAATGGAGGAGGAGCCTCGCCACGTAGAATCGCTATACGTCGCTCACTGTCAATCTCTTGCATGCGCTGCTCTTCTGCAGCCTCCGCATCCCTGGCCGCGGCTTCATCTTGGCGGACACGCGCAATGTTATCAGCATTATATACGTTCCATGATTTCTTTCCCAGCAAGTGCCTGAAGCTTGTTAGCAAAGATGCTGTACAATAAAGCGAGTCACATCTGGACTTACAGTGGCATGTTGGAAGCCTTGTCTTTGCGCTGTGTTACTCTGCGCTCCGCTTCCTTCCACGTGGCTTTATCACAGCATCAACCCCCGAGTTTGCTTTGAGGACGAATTGTTGAACAAAAGCTTGGTGGATACACAGTGACGCCACCGGGCTGCGCGGCTCGATTTTGGAGCTGCCTAGTGCCTGGTGAGTGGCCGTGGCGACGTCGCTCAGACACCAAACGTGGGGCGCAGGTGCAACAGCTCCCCCTCCATCTGGCCAGTTTCTTGTTTCTCCATGCTTCAACTCCTGTCCAATTACCCGATCATCGAACGACAAACAGGAGATAATTATCATCTTCTTTGAATATATCAATCGTTTATAAGCAACCGAATAGCTAAACCTATCGTCATGTCGAGAGCTCCCCCTCCCGGCTACGGTGGTGGCGGTCTCCCCTCAAGAGACCCTCGACCTGGCCAAGGTTACGGCGGCGCTCCTCCTCCTCAGGGTTACGGTGGTGCACCTCAAGGCTATGGTGCTCCCTCCCAGGGCTATGGCGCACCTCAAGGATACGGGGATCCTCGGGCAGGACAACGTCAACCTCCTCCCCCTCAAAGTGGTGGCCGTCACGAGTCTGGCGGTGGGCGCCCAGTCCAGCTTCGAGTTGAAAAAGTGGCGGACAAGACTTTGCAAGGTCGATTGATTTACGGCAACCTGTAAGTGTGCTTCTTGAACCCGATTGAGGATCCTTTCTAACCGCTTAAAAGTTGTGCTGTAGCCCCAGAAGACTTCCCTTCGGCTCGAGACGGCGATGCGTACATTCTAGTTCGAGGTGGCCAACCCGTTGGCGAATACGTTGTCACAGCCAAAGCTATCCCAGGCTTCCCCCCAGGATGCATTTCCCTGTCTGACCCCCAGCGTCAGTGGTGTGGCATTACGATTCGAGATACCTTTACTGGAGAGACCTATGATCCCTTCCGAGCAGGAGGCAAAGCATACCTGGGCTCTCTGGACGTCGAGATTGGATTTGCCTCGCCAAACAAGAAGACAGAAGTCCCCTATGACGAGGATGAACTTTCGAAAATATTCATCGACACTTACCAGAACCAAGTCTTATCTCCCGGTCAGCGCATTCTCATGGACGTCCGCAACATCCCGCTCCTCATCATCGTCAAGACTGTAGGCTTGGTAGATCTGGCCATGTCGTCCGATGATTCGTCTAAGCAAACTTCCCGCGAATCCCATTCTCGTGGTATCTTGACAAACCAGACCCGGGTCTTGTTCCACCGTGACGGCAAGGGTGACTTCAACATGAAGCCATCCATGTCCAAGCCCAACTCCAATGCCATTCTGGCCCCCGATTTCAAGTTTGAAGACATGGGTATCGGTGGCCTGGGTGATGAGTTTTCGACCATTTTCCGCAGAGCTTTCGCATCGCGTGTCTTCCCTCCTGGCTTGGTGGCCAAAATGGGCATTCCCCACGTTAAAGGAATGCTCCTCTACGGTCCTCCCGGTACCGGTAAGACGTTGATTGCTAGACAGATTGGTAAAATGCTCAATGCCAGACCGCCAAAGGTCATCAACGGTCCGGAGGTCCTTAATAAGTATGTCGGTCAGTCAGAAGAGAACATTCGAAAGATGTTTGGAGATGCCGAAAAGGAATACAAAGAAAAGGGCGACGAGTCTGGCCTGCACATCATCATTTTCGATGAATTGGATGCTGTCTGTAAGCAGCGTGGATCTGGTGCTGGTGGCGGCACTGGAGTTGGTGACAGTGTTGTTAACCAGCTTCTGTCAAAACTTGACGGTGTCGACCAGTTGAACAATATTCTCCTTATCGGTATGACTAACCGTAAGGATATGATTGATGATGCTCTGTTGCGACCTGGTCGTCTTGAAGTGCATCTAGAAATCTCTCTACCCGATGAGGCTGGACGATTGGAAATCATTAAGATTCACACGGCCAAGATGCGAACAAACAACCTTCTAGACCGGGATGTCAACCCCGAAGAGCTCGCAAGTCTTACCAAGAACTTCTCTGGTGCCGAAATCAACGGTCTTGTCAAGGCAGCTGCTTCATTTGCCTTCTCACGTCACACTGAAGTTGGTCAACTCGCTGCTGTCAAGACAGACGTTGCGAGCATGAAAGTCAACCGTGCTGATTTCATGCATGCCCTTACTGAGGTCCGACCTGCGTATGGTGTGTCGGAAGCTGAGCTGGAAGATGCGGTTCGACTGGGTATCATTCCGTTTAGCCCTCATATTGACTCTACGATTCGCGATATGATGCGAGTAGTAAGCATGATCAAAGATGACCCCAACAAGTTCAGCACGTCTGTTCTCTTCCACGGTCCCAAGGGCGCTGGTAAGACGGCTCTTGCAGCTCATATTGCGATGCAGTCCGACTTTCCATTTGTCAAGATGGTTACCCCGGCAGACCTTGTAGGCTATAGAGATGATTTTGCCAAGAAGGACTATGTCCACAAGGCATTTGCGGACGCATACAAGTCTCCAAGCAGTATCCTTATCTTGGATGACTTTGAGCGTTTGATTGGATGGAACCCAATCGGTCCAAGATTCTCCAACACCATGCTGGAGGCTCTTACGACGCTTCTTGTTTCGAAACCGCCACGAGTAAGTAAAGATGGCTATACAAATCTTCATTGTTCAAGTAATGCTAACTTCTCTAGGGTCATCGTCTGTTGATTTTTGTAACAACATCAAAGGCCTCTGTGCTAAAGATGCTCGAAATTGACAGCGACTTTGCCAAAAAGGTGGCTGTCCCGGCTGTTTCTGGTCTACGAGAGTTGGGTACAGTACTACAAGACTCCCGCTCGTTTAGCGGCGAGGATATTAACAGAGTCCTTCGTGAGATCTCGTCCCGCACTGGATCTGAAAACGTCGGTGTTGGCATCAAGACTATTTTGGATTGCATTTTTGAAGCCAAGGCAGGTGGCGAGGACGTTGCTGAAACATTTACAGAACTTATGCTTGAGAACATCACCATTGAGTAAAATAAGTTGCTCTGTATAGGCATATAATAGAAAATACAACAGTCGCTGCGTATGACGAGTACTAATCAGAGATATTACACTGGTGAAATCTACACACACACACACACACATACACATACACTCCAATACAAGGACATGCTTATTCGTTCCAAGAAAACCCTGGGCTGTAAGGCGCGGTACGTGCTACGTTGTAGCAGATTGATGAAGAATGGAACGTCGATTGTGGCGCTGCGATTGGACAGGGAGCGCCTGAACACAGATGCAACGTCGACGCCTCCAGCTAGCTACCACCGCTGGAGTGGTTGGAACGAGCACTTTGGCGGTCTACACAGATAATCCAATCGTCGACAGTGGTTGGTAACAGTAGTGGACACAGGTGGTGATTTGAGAGGGCTAGGCAGTATGTCTCGGCTCCCTTCCCCCGCGGATCTACGCCTGGTCTCGTCGAACAATAGTCTAAATGCAACGAATCTGATAGGTTACGTCGTAGTTGACTCAGACATCGAGGGAGTGAACCCTACAGAAGCCAATCAAGCCCCAGAGGCGTTAACTAGAGAAAGAATTGTAGTAAACTGGACTGGCGCAGAGATGAGCCTGTTGAGAACGAGGCGGTTTTCCGAGGAGTCAAAGCGAAGCGAAGTCCCTTTGCCACTTGGGAGGATTCAGCACCATAGGGCACAGGCTGGGTGTGTCCTAGTGACGTGCGCCTCTTTTTTTGTTTTCTTTTGTCGATTTTTTTACTTCTTCGGCGAGAGGGTGTGTGGCGCTGATTGGCCGGTAACAATGCAGGCGGCTCGTGGGAAAAAACGGCGATGACGCAGTAATCTGCAGTGTGCGTCGTGTGCGGACAAGGCATAGAAGAGATGAGAACATATTGAAATTGTTGTTTAATACTATTAATTTATTCTGGCAATACTTCGTTTTCGAGGCTAGCACATATTTGTCTCGAGTAGCCGCTACCAGCACCGGCAATGCTATCAAGAATGATCCCCATGGGCTAGGTGTAAGCTGGACCCCTGCTACTGTACTGGACGGGTAGGCGTTAGTGAAGCTGGGGATTATTCCAACGGTATTGATCAAGGGTGGCTATCCCCCGGCGAGTAGCGATGATTGCGCCATGTTCGTTAGTAAGAGTTTTCCGCTCGTTTTCGCTTCTTTTCCCTTTTTCTTCCTTCTTTCTTCTTGCCGAACACATTCCTATTGAAGATATTTTTAACCAGCTTCGCCCCTCTAGCGAAGCATAAAAGACTAGGCCTCCATAAAATGTCTCTGATTTGGCCGGCACTAAAAGCTACCAAGCTCACGGGCCTAGCCGTTGTCGGCTGAGTGCGGTGGCTGGGCGAGTCGCGGGTGTCTCGCATGATTGGTGCAGCGAGGCACAGCCATCCAGCTCAATGCGTAGAGAGTGAAGAAAATAAATTAAATGAAAATAAATACGAGTGAAATTTTTATGAATGCCTGGCCACGCATTATAGGATCTTCTTATAATACTAGGATATTATTCTATATTTCTCGCTCTCACGGTTTATTTTCGTCAGCAACTCTCGGTGGTATCTTTTTGCTGCGGGGATCTTCTTCAGCAGCACCTGGACGGACGCTCTCCGCTAATCAAATAACCCCCAATGCCTGCTAGGCAAGTCACTCAGTGGATGATGCAGGCGTCCCCACAGCACTAATGCACCTCTACAGTAGGGCAGCTGTCTTCCCACGATTCTGGCCTTTTTGCATTCTGTTTAGCGTTACAGCACAGTACGAGCATCCGCTTGTCTTTCTAATGGACCGCCCTACAACAGTGTAAGTACCCCCAAGACTTTTTACGGTGTGCGCAGTACAGTAAAGCTCATACCAACCACCTGCTGTCGGTGTCATTCCGTAAAAATGAGCCAAAGTAAATCGTAGTCTGCAGGAAAACATGCCACTGACAAAAGTCTGTGCGCCATCTGGTCTAATTTTTTGTATTTTTCTTTTCGTCTTCTTCACTGCTTCCAAGCCACCAACTCACGCCAGCCCACCATTTTGAGTACCCGGAACCAACCATGGTGCTGTACCCCAGGCTGTCCAGACCCCCTCCCCCCCCTCTTTCTCCCTCCTGTAGGCTACTACCACTACAGCACCACTACAGCTGCTAACTGCTGGTGCTGCACGCCATCGTCCACCCGACACACACACACCTCCCGCCTCCTTGTCTCTTCTACTCGTCAGTGCTTTTTTGGCCCGTGTGCCTCTCTTTTCTTCCAACCTCCCCCTCCCCTCCCTCGACTCGAACCTCGATTCTCTATTCCTTTGGATTTCTGGTTGCCCAACAGCGCATTTGCAAACTCCACGATACCCGCCCTACGCGAGACCAAGCTTGCCGTTTGCCAAATCCCACCTTGCCTCGTGCTCTCCTTCGATACCACCTCACACCGACCTTATATCCCGCCAACTGCTCCTCTGGACATGACAACGCTGCACTGACAGTTGCTCCCAATACCACTCACCAGCGACAGCTTCGATTTTCTTGCGTTGTGTTTCTTGATACTGTTTTCTTCTGGAACTGCTGCCGCCTCGCCAGCTAGCTACAACAGCTGTAGCTACACCTGCAATCCTCGGCTCCATACCCACCTCGGCGCACATTTGCCTACCAACAGCGGCAGTAACAGCTCTTTCTTGTCTCTCAAATACAGTCAAGCGCTCACGCCTAGATATACGGCTCCTCCAGCAGCAGCAATTATAGTCGATAATACCCTCCGAAGAATGTCCTAGCAACGATCAACCCTGTGCACCCGCTTTCCTCGCTAAGAAGAGCGCATTTCATCTCTAGGCCCGCAGTTTGGCACCGCAGCCATGCGGATGCCCGTAGCCGCCAAAAAGGCATCCCACGAAGCAATTGCTACCCCCAGGCCCCCTAATCCGTCTACCCGCAAGCTCAACGAATCCGACACTTGGAACTCGGGCATTGACGAGCCTTCTTCTGGTCGGGATGGCAGGCAGTTTGCCGTCGCCAATGTCGGCAACAATGGTCGCATCTATTTAAGGTATGCGGGCACTCCCGTTAGACTTTGCCACTGGTGGAGAGCTTCATTGTCCACCTTTTGAAGCTCCCCGGACAATGGGCCTAGCTACTTCATGGTCGCGTGGCATTTCAAGGTATCCAAAGGCTAATTCTTGTTTCTGCTCTTAGGCCCTCCGTGCGTTCGGGAACACGCCGTTATCCTATGCGGCAACCACTTGCTTCGGATTCTCCGCAAAGCAACGCCGCCTCGTCCTCCGAATCAAAGCGAACTAATACTAGCAGCACAAAAGCAGCCCCAAGCTCATATAAGCCGCCACAAGCAAGCAAGAGGTTTCACTTCAGTGATGTGCGAAATCTCGCTCGACCGACGCGGCATCGCAGAGCGCTCTCCGATAGCACCATTTGCGAGGGCTCAACCCGTGGGTTAGATGCTGAGATGTCCACCCCCGCTTCAGCAAATGGGCCTCGTCCGCGCACCACAGAGGACCTCGATGCCGCCACCAGCCCTGTTCTCAATATCAATATCCCATCCTGGAGACTGGGTACACCCCGATTTTCGGTCCGCGGCACCCCCTTCATCAGAGCTTCCTCGTACGCCCCAACTGAAGATGTTCGGTCCAGTCGAGGTTCAGTGTTGAATCGGCGTTCATACGACCAGGGTGCAGTTCCTACCTCCTTCACATGGAGACCAATGGATCCCTCCCTTGAAAATGATTCAAAGAGCCGGTTACAAGCAGAGCGCCTCATGAGGACATTGCCTACTGCTGCTTCAACCCCAAACGACTCAGTAGATCCAAGTATATTTAATGCTCTCACTTTCAAACCGACGTGTGATGATGCAACAATCGTCAGATATGCTCAAAATACGGACTCAGTTACAGCTGCTACACCACCCCGCCTTGTAGCTGAGATTACTTCACCAACTTTCCTCGATTATGAATTGATTTCCGACTTCTTCCTTACATATCGCTCCTTCCTACCATCAGATCACCTAGCAAGGATGCTCTTTGCCAGAATGAGATGGTCATTGGCAAGGAGAGATGAAGTTGGCATGATTGTCCGCGTGCGAACCTTCGTTGCCGTCAGACACTGGATCCTCAACTACTTCATGGACGATTTTGTCATGGACTACGACTTACGTGTCGCTTTTTGCCGAATGATGAATGAAATCGTCGAAGATCTTTCCGATGATCCCAAAGTACGAAAGGTGCAGCTCAACGTTATCAGTGAGCTGAAAAAGTGCTGGCGGCGGATATGTGCTCAGTACTGGGACATGCCCAACTATGGTGAAGCGGTTAGTCCCGAGGTCACCATCACTCCAGGCGGAATCGCTGGAAACCGTGATCCTGGTTTAGATCCTTCATACTGGGAAACCCAGGGACTTTCACCTCCTCAAATGTCCCCATTGCTTTTCAACGGAGGGTTCAATGCTGACACCGGTGCTGAAACACCTCGACCAGCACAAGTTGGTGATTTCGTTGTATTCGGTGATCATTCGATGACTCCAGCGCGACGAAGAAGTGACGACGATAAAACAGTCAGCCCTGTGTCTGTTCGAAGCTCAGGGAGTGCTGATGCTCGTGCTGGCGTATTGATGAGCAAGAGCTCTAAGAGCGACGGTTTGAAGCTTGTAACGCAGCCTCATTCACACCAACATCCAGGAGCCGTTTCGCCAAGTACTAAGCAAAGTCCTGCTCCAATGCGTACAATGAGTCGTAATGGTCATGGACACAAACGGAGCAACAGCATGAGCGAGTCGCTACGACAGCATGACCGAGAATACCTCACCACAGCACCATCTATGGGCAGCCTCGTCCGTGGAAATATTCTACCTCCAGGGCACTCTTATGTTGAAGATCCGGCCCATGACTACAACGCGCTCAATATCAATGGCCCCCGTCAAACGACAATGTTCAACACACAGAGCCGGACAGTGGTGGCTAAGGAGCGTTCATTAGCTGGTGCCATGTCGGCATCAGGCATGAAGCGACTAGTAAATAGCGTTCGACGGGCTCTTACATCCCGTGGTCCAGTCACGTCCCCTACACAGGCGAACTTTATCAGGATATCGCCTGTTGACCGGCGTGTGATGATATCGAATGCCTTGCCTAGCTCCGCTCTCGTTCCACAAGATGCCCGCAGACAAAATGGTAATCGGCCACCAGTCCGAATCGACTTATTGGGCGCCGAAGTTGCCGAAGATTTCAAAAATGCTATTCGAGAAGGTCAAGATGCGGAGAATCTTGCAAGATTAAACGAGGTTGGCGAGCAAGGCACAATCAACATCGCGTATGATGGAGGTGCCTCGCCGCTAATACCACCACCAGCAAGCGATGCAGGAATGACTATTAATAGCCAATCTATAATCATTATGGACGGCACAGGTGAGGCTACTCTGCCTGGTCTTCTTCACTCTGGTCGACATCTCACGCCATCCATGGAAACATATACCGAAACATATATGCTTGCCGGCGGCGACCCTACTCCCCCAAACACACCACCAGCCCCGTATTCGAGAGACACACCAAGACGATCATCATATTTATTGAACCAACATGTTCTCCAAGCTTCACGATCAGAGCCTATGCCAGTTCCAGTGATGCCAAATTTGGATGAGAAGCTACGCGAGGCTGACACTATGAAAAATCCAGTGGCGACTCTTGGGCCTGGAGACAGCGCACCTAAAGCTGCAGAGGCTATGTTCCGAACACATCGCCGCTTTGCATCCTCAAGAACACAGCAATCGCTCAGTTCCATTATGCATCGACGCTACAGCAGCGGAGTCGTACAGTCCGTACAAAGCTTCGATCCAGCCACTGAGTCCGACTTTTCTATTATGGATGGCGATGATTCCGATAGTGCAGTGCCTGGCCCTCTCCGGGTTTTGCGTAGAAGACCTGGCGGGGATTTAAAGACTGCCCGGAACATTGGAGATCTTCAGCACCGTCTCCTGAGGAAATCTCAGTCTGTTGGTTCATTTGTCACTTACACTGAATCTATACGGTCAAGCTTCATTGGCTATGGTAACGAGATACCAAACTCGCTCATTCTAGGCGATGATACTGTCAAGCTTCAGCCTGCCGTCTTCTCGGTTGGCCAAATGACGAAGAAACTGGAGCCCCAAGTGCCTGACGATGGGGCGGACGACTCATTCCAAGAGGCACAGACAAGCGGCCCAGTTCGTAAATCGTTTGAAGCGGAGGCTCAACGGCTCGCCCAAATTACGGACGACGATGAAGACGGTGGTATCGAGTCAGCCCTCCTAAAACTTGAAGGCAAATACGATAAGAATGCTCGAAAACACGACCATCACGCATCAGGTAGCGAAGAGATTAGCATTGAGCGTCTAGGACAAGCACTGCAACATTTAGCTGGTGGTCATGAAGAAGCCTTTCCATCTGAGGAGCCTCTCTCAAGCGCCGAACCCGCAGCTGAGGAGGAGCCCATCGAAGCGGTGACTGATGAAAAGCCTGTCGCAGCAGAATCGTTTCTCTACGACGAATCGATTGCGTCATCTGCCAACGTCGCCCCAATGGCCGACTCAATTAATCACGCACCTACAGGTAATGCTGGGGAGCAATGGCAAGACCGATCAGTGCTTTGCGACGGTGTGGAATCATCTGTAGCCGATGATGAACTTGATCAACACGGCCAACATGGTGAGCAAGAGTTGTTCTATCTAAGCCCTGCCGTGTACAATCCGAACGCTCCTAATCGCGCAGCTATGGCGAGTATTGCAATTGACAAGGAATCTGATACTCAGACTTTCTTGGACGACAAGAGCATCTCGGAGAGCGAGCTTTCATCAGAAATGTCGCAAGAAGACCAGCATACCACCAACTCCTTTCATGCAAGTGGCTATCTTTCTAGCCCAGAACTTCCATCACACCCTATGGCGGATCCAGTCCCAGAGACATTGTTGGCTTCTCCTTCGTCCCCACTCACTACTCCTCGGCAGGCTGTAGCACCGACTATGGAAGGGCCTCTGTCAGCTAAGCCATCAACAGCAGTGTTGCTACCAACACCTGATACCACTCCAACTGCGCCATTCACACAAACTCTTCCAACTCCAACGTTATACCCGTCATCCAGAACTATGGAAACGCCACGTGCTGCACCAGCTCCACCGGCCGGTGACAGCTTAAGGAAATATTCAGTTCACTTGCCGTTTATCCTTGCTTTTGACTCTGATATCTTAGCACAACAATTCACTCTCATCGAGAAAGACGCTTTGATCGAGATTGACTGGAGAGATCTGATCGATATGAGCTGGAAGAATGCAGCCAGCGGAAGCTCACGATCATGGGTCGACTTCCTTCGCAACAGTAATGCACATGGCGTCGAGGTAGTCATTGCAAGATTCAATATCATGGTCAAGTGGGCAATCTCCGAGATTGTGTTAACCCAGCACATTGAAGAGAGAGCCCGCTGTATTATCAAAATGATTCACATTGCAATGCATTGCAGAAGATACAGAAACTTTGCAACCATGGCCCAGTTGGCTGTTGCTTTGACAAGCAATGAAGTTGCCAAGCTAACCAAAACGTGGGAAATGGTGCCAATGCAGGATATGAACACGCTCGAGACGCTCGAGAACCTTATTACGCCTTCCAGAAACTTTTACAATCTTCGCGCTGAAATGGAAACTGGCACAGATGTCGCTTGTATCCCCTTTGTTGGCATTTACACACATGACCTACTTTTCAACGCACAGAAGCCGTCCGAGATTGCCAGCTCGCCAACCTCCCTACCACTAGTCAATTTTGAGCGCTGCCGCGCAGCAGCATCAGTTGTCAAGATACTACTCCGTCTTTTAGAAGCGAGCACACATTACTCATTTCAACCACTGGAAGGCATTACTGAGAGATGCCTCTGGGTCGGTGCGTTGGGAGACGAAGACATCCGTCGCCGATCAGAAGCCCTTGAATGATTTGCTTGCTGTACTGCTGGCGTTCCCACAGGCTGCACTTTGACGATACCCTCATTTTCTTGTTTTTTCACATTACGTTGTTTCTTTCGTTTTGGTCCCCCTGTATTCGCTGTTTATTCTCATGTTTTTACGTGACCGCCTGCATCGCCTCTGAATGCTAGGCCCTTACACACACATCGCATCACAGGCGCAGATTTAGCATATGCTCTCTTTTTGTTTGTTATCCGCACGAGCAAGGTTGACAAAGTGGAATTGGCTTCTGTATATAGAGCTCACAGTATGTATATTTAGCGAACCATTTCTCAAGGCAAAATAGTACTACCTGCTCACATCATCGAGCCTACAAAGAAAATCTTCTAGTATTGAGTTACTGTCCACTTCAAGTTTAATGTTTATGATGACTTGTCACTTAGAAGGATTGGGTCCATGTTTTCAGAAAAGGTATTATCATTTAGAATTTTTAGAGGCGGGACAACGGTTAAGTCCATCCCATCTGGTGGTACAGGGCTTTCCCTCCCTCTCCAGATCTTATAGGCAGCATTTGCTTACTACTTGCAGACTTGAAAGTTAGTATCTTTCCCTCATGAGTACCACCAGCCTTTCCATGACCTCTGTCGATCGCTTTGAAACTCCATTTCTCTGTTGCAACTAAAACTCTCCATTACTTTTTTGAGGTCGGCTTCGAGCAAAGCATCAAGTGAGTACTAGCAGACGAGAACTGAGCTACAGCCAGCTAGTATCACAGGATGATTTGTCGAGCAGGGCTCGAGGATGGACCTCTTACCACTGGGACTCCTTGGCGGCGGCATCGCCAGCCCACTCACCACCGGCAGCGGCGGCAGAGGCAGCCCAGTCCTCACCAGCAGCACCGTCCCAGCCACCAGCGGCAGCGGGAGCGGTACCAGTGAAGCCGGGAGCGGCCTCCCAGTCACCAGCGGCGGGAGCCCCGGGAGCCTGGAAGCCAGTCTCGACGGCAGCGCCCTCCTCCTCGGCGGCGGCCTTCTCCTCCTCGGTCTTCTCCTCAGCCTCAGCTTCGGGGTCACGGTAGAAGTAAAGATCGGGCATGACGTCCCAGGCGGTGTCGCGGGAGAAGATGGTGCCACGTAGGCGGAGGACCTCACGGGCAAGGAGCCACCAGATGGTACCGATGGCGTTGCGACCCTTGTTGTTGGTGGGGATGGCAACGTCGACGTACTCGGTGGGAGAGTCGGTGTCGCAGAGGGCAATGACGGGGATGTTGACGTAGCTGGCCTCCTTGATAGCCTGGGCGTCGGTGCGAGGGTCGGTGACGATGATCAGGCGGGGCTCCTTGAAAGAGCGGGTGATGTAGTTGGTGAAAGAACCGGGAGTGAAGCGACCGGCAATGGGGGAGGCACCGGTGTGCGAGGCGAACTTGAGGACAGCACGCTGACCGTAGGGACGGGCAGAGATGACGCAAATGTCGGCAGGGTTGTCGATGGCGGCAATGATACGGGCAGCGAGGACAATCTTCTCCCTGTGTGAGGCGGACGGCCACGTTAGCTGGCTGCGTTTCTTGTATCTTGTTCTTCTTCTGTATATGGCTTACCAGGTCTTGCCAACGTTGATAATGTTAACACCGTCGGCACGGGTCTTCCAGAGGTAAGGCTCCATGTGCACCTGCAAGTTCTTGGAACCCTGGTGGCACTGGGCAGCCAGGAGCATCTCAATGTCCTGGCTGGTGGCGTTGAAAATAGCGGGCAGGTTGTTAGGAGCCATCTTGTCGGATTGCGTAGTCTTCCTTGGTGGGTGAGAAGGGAAAGATACAAAAGATGGGGAGGGGCTTTTGGAGTCGTGAGAGTCGTCGAAAAGTTCAGCGCCCACCAAAAAACCGCCTTACACGGCGAATTTCAAGCGAAATGTGTGTGTGGTGGGAGCCCTGACTGCGCTAAGGCCTAATTGGGACTAGCGCCTTTTTCACTTGTCGACCAGCAAAAACGAGGTCGCGGCACGTGACTAATACGCTAGGCTGTTTTGGGCGTGAGCCAGCCAGTGGAGTCGCTCTCCCCTTGCGACAGGACAGGACGGGTCTGGCTGCAGGCTTGGGAAATTTTGAGAGCCACGCAGAACGTGACCACTCAGGGAGCTCTTGGTCAAAGACTCATCATCACATCAAATCGCCGTTATGCCTCCCAGATTAGAGGCTCTGCAGCGCTTGGGCACTGCCAGTCGTAAGCATTGGCCTTGTATCCGTTAATTGGCCTCAAAAAGTGACTAACAGTTGTCTATTCCCAGTGTGTCTACGGCCCGCCGCTCGACCTGCGATCCCCCAGTTTCTCCCCATCACGCAAACCGCCAACCTCTCTCTACGCGAGCGCAAACGAAAGGCGAAGCAGGATCCTTACAAGTACGCACAGGCTCAGCAACGGAAGAATGTCAACTTGAAGAGACGAGGCGAGCTCGAGGCCGAGCGTAATGCCGGCTGGGGTGATGCCGTCTGGGGCAAAGATACTCCTTTCATCAAGTCTCTCGCCGCTACCAACAAGGAATTCGTTGCACAGGGTGGCTTGGATGCTTCCAAACCAGTAGAAGCACAGAATAGACTTCGCAACTTCTTCCTCACTGATGCGGAGCTGGAGCGTGCCGGCGAGCGCGCATTCGCCTTGTCGAAGCCTGTGTCGGGCGTCGTCGATTGGCAGATGGACCCGGCTCAAAAGGAGAAGGAATTGGATACATTACATCAGGAGAAGCACGACAGAGCCATGGAGGCCTTGAAGCGCATCACCTCGCTGCGCAACAGCAGCGCCAAGGACCGATATCACGTCAACGTCCGTCGCATTATCGAGGAATTCGGCCGCCACAAGACCGACGGCGTCCTCGCACCCAAGCCAGACTCAATAAACCCTAGCACAGCTGCCGAAGTACCGCGAGGCGGTCCTGATACCGGTAGCTCCGAGGTCCAAATCGGCATTCTCACTGCCAAGATTAGAAACCTTGCCGGCGTCCTCGAGCTGAACAGAGGCCACAAGGACAAGCACAACAAGCGCAACCTTCGCGTGCTGGTGCACAAGCGCCAAAGATTATTAAAATATATGGAGCGCAAGGAGCGCGGAAGCGAGCGATGGACAAACATGATTGAGAAGCTGGGTTTGACGCCAGCCACATGGAAGGGACAAATTTCCATGTAAAAGCATCTTGTAGAATACTGCTAATTCCTCTATGTACAATACAATATCACCAACAACGGAGCGATCATTTCACAATCCCCCGCTGCTTATCTTTCCCCTCGTAAGCTGGAAGTAAAAAAGGAGAGTGTTCCTGTAACCCATTCCGAGCCATTACGGTCTAAAAGTAAAAAATGCTATACTACAATTTGTGCCGTCGCAATCTGAGGCTATGAAAACACGCTAATAAAGTTGCCAATACGATCTTTCTGGTTTTGAGCTATGCACTCGGCAATCCATGTAATGTTTCGGATTTCCTGTTTACTGGTTAGCGGGTTATTCTTGCAGCCAAGTTTTGGCAATGGACATACCTGTTCGCGCAGCTTGACCCAGCCATATACAATGGCGTATGAGAACTGTCTGGTGAAGGCGCTCTTTGAAATCTCCATCTCTTTTTGATAAAACATGTCTTCCAGGCTCTTGCCATCGCCGCCGCCACCGCCGCCCATGTTGCCAGGGCCTGAAGAGCCACCAACCGAGACAGCATCAAAGAAGCTCTTGTAGTCATGAATGCCATCCACAGCCAAACGGACACCTTCAGCATCATCTGCACGAGACAACATCAATGTGCCTTCGGGGTAGAGCTTTCCAAAGGTGGGGTAAAGTTTGTTGCGGTCGGCCTTGGCCAAGTCGGTGCCAAAGGAGTTGAGAGTGATGTTGATAGCGCGACGGTCCGCCTCAAACTCAAGCATCTCCGACATGACTTCAGCTGTGGGAGTGCCAGCCATGTCAGGGTGCGTGTTGACAAAGTTGTAAAAGTCTTCTAGGTAGTTCTTATATAGGGTGTTGCGGACAATCTCGATGTTCAGCTCGTCGAGATCCTGGTGGCTGAGACTGCCCTTGAAGTATGGGGCAAGGGGAGTTTCGATCAAAACGCTGTTGTAAAGTTCTTCGATATTGGTGGCAACGCAGAGCACGGGCATCGTCTCGAACCAGCCGAGGGGATGGCATCTTTCGAGAAGCTCTCTGGTGTCTCGCTCGTGGAGAGTGCCGGTAATAAGTAGCGCGACGTTGTCAATCATGTAGCCATATGTGAGGTAGTCCATGAACTTGGCAAGGGAGCCAACGGCATTGGCGCGCACATAGCGAAACTCAGAGATGAGCTTGTCAGTGGTTTTGGAAGCGAGGCTCGAAGTCGAGGGGTTTGGTGGCAGTGAGGCCAGAAAGTCACCATAGGCAGGGCCAAGCTGAAGCTTCAAATCTGCGGTCCGGTAAGCGGGGTGCCGGTTAGAGGATGAGGTCGTACTTTTACATACCATCGATCGTTTCGCACTGGGTCAAATTGTTATAGGCAGGGGTTGTCAGCAAGCTGTTGCGGTATCCGCGAACGATGCCTTCAACGTAGCTGTTCCAGATGGTTAGTATCGTATAGGTGGCCAGCAGCACGCAAGAGTGATGGGCAAAGCTTACCCGTTGTTGGCGTTGAAGAAAAGGCCCTCCATATTGTATTATTGACTCGCGGCAACGTTTTCAGCAACGATGCAAGGTTGGCGTAGAGCTGTTGAATGACAAAGACCTTTGCGTTGTCCTTCGTTACTGGTCCCACTGGGCGAGAGTTAGCACTGACGACTGCTGGCAACGACGCTCCAGCGCCGCACGTGAGTGGCCCGACAGTCGAGTCCCGGCTCCGGAACAACACTAGTGCCGGCTTCCGGCAGCGAACCCACTTTATGCTTGCTAGACACCAAAATTTTTGGCTGCAGCGAGGAGCTTAAACTGAAAAATTTCGTACGCCCGAACATTTTCTTGCACGCGCACCATCGATCGCCATTGCGACCCGCGAGCAAGTCGACAACTGACCGACCGGTGCATATAACTTAGAGGGATATCATTACTTCCCAAAATGTCTCTCTTTATTCTTGCAGAGACGCCTGCCGGGTGAGATTTTGCCCTTGCTCGTTGTCCCTGTGCCCAGCATGGCTACAGGGACCGAGATGTCTGCAAAAGCCCAAAATTAGCCCAATTCGCTAACAGTTCTCTAGCTACGGCTTGTTCAAGTCTGCCGACAAGAAGCTCTTCAAAAATGACGACCTCGCCGCTGAACTGGGCCGCCCCGAGAAATTGGTGGAGATGTGAGTTGACCAGAAATTTTCCGTTGCCCATCAAGGCTATCTTGCTAACAATTCGCCCCCAATTGCAGGCTCAAGCTCAAGAAGTTTGTCAAGTTTGAAAGCGCAGCCATGGCCCTCGAGGAGGCTGCTTCGCTCAAGGAAGGCAAGGTCCCCAGCCTGTTGAACTCGCTCCTCGACGACCTGAAGGCCGAGAAGAAGGCCTCTGTCGCCGTCGCTGACATCAAGCTCGGCACTGCCATCTCGAACCTCCCCGAACTCAACAACATTACTCCCGTCTCTGGCTCCAACACAATGGACGTCTTCCGTGGCATTCGCGAGCACTTGTCGTCCTTGATTCCTGGCCTCGCCCAGGAGAACATTGACCGCATGTCGTTGGGTCTCTCCCACTCCATGTCCCGCCACAAGCTTAAGTTCTCTGCCGACAAGATCGACTCCATGATCATCCAGGCCATCAAGCTCCTCGACGATATGGACAAGGAGCTTAACGTCTACGCCATGCGTACCAAGGAATGGTACGGCTGGCACTTCCCCGAGATGGCCAAGATCCTCAACGACAACCTCGCCTACGCCCGCATTGTCATGGCCGTCGGTATGCGCACCAACATGTCGGAGACTGATCTCTCTGAGATCCTCCCCGAGGAGTTGGAGACTGCTCTCAAGGCTGCTGCCGAAATCAGCATGGGTACCGAGATCACCGAGGAGGATCTTGACAACATTCAGATGCTTGCCGACCAGGTCATCACCTACACCAACTACCGTGCTCAGCTCTCTTCCTACCTCGAGAGCCGTATGCGCGCTATTGCCCCCAACCTGACTGCCCTTGTTGGCTACCTCGTCGGTGCCAGACTCATTGCCCACACTGGCTCCCTCATCAACCTGGCCAAGGCTCCTGGTTCCACCATTCAGATTCTCGGTGCCGAGAAGGCTCTCTTCCGCGCCCTCAAGACCAAGCACGACACACCCAAGTACGGTCTCATCTACCACTCCTCTCTAATTGGCCAGGCTACCGGCCGCAACAAGGGCAAGATCGCCCGTATGCTTGCCGCTAAGACTGCCCTTGGTCTCCGCGTCGATGCCCTCGGTGGCGATGACGAGGAGCAGGATGATGAGGAGCGCGCCATGCTCGGCCTTACCAACCGCATCAAGCTCGAGAACCACCTCCGCAAGCTCGAGGGCCGCCCTCTGCTGCCCAAGGGCACCAACGTCGCTCCTTCTGGCGAGATCCTGACCGGTGGCCAGTTCACCCTCAACGAGACCCGCCGCTACAACACTGATGCCGACGGTGTTGAGGATGAGCCTGCTACCAACGGAACCAAGAAGAGCAAGAAGGAGAAGAAGGAGAAGAAGGCCAAGATCGAGGTTGTCGAGGAAGAGGACAACGACGAGGAGATGGAGGACGAGGATGACAGTGACGATGATGATGTCGCCACCCCCAAGGTCAAGAAGCTCTCCTCATCAGAATACGAGCGTCTTGCCGACCTTGCCGGTCTCTCTGTCAAGAAGTTCAAGCGCAAGTACGAGCGTGGTGACGTCCAGGTTGAGGACGGCAAGCCCCGCGTCTTCAGCAAGAAGGAGCTCAAGAAGCTGCGCAAGGCTGCTGAGAAGCAGGCCGAGACACCCTCAAAGCCCGAGAAGAAGCGCAAGCACGATGACAGTGATGATGACGAGGCCGAGGCCAAGAAGGAGAAGAAGCAGAAGAAGAAGAAGCGCCACTCCGATGCGTAAAACGTTTGCAACGGCACAAGGCACAAAACACTCCCCTTTCCACAATACCCAAAAATTGCGCACACGACTTCCCTTTTCTAGGGGAGGTGAAGTGGCGAGGTGGGACGAAGGTGGTTGTAAATATACCATGAGATTTGCAGCTCTCGGTCTTCAGCAGAAGAAGCGAGCACTTTTGTCTCTGTTTTATCTTCTGACGTCTTTTTCTTTTGTTTGCTATCTTGGTTTTGTCGATATCTTGTCTATTTTTTTGTTTGGCTATTTTCCTTCAGCCAGCAGCAGTTTGGACACCAATTTTGTTCGGCTGTCGCTGACCACGGCGTTTCGGGATATGGGGAAGAAATAAAGGCACGCTGATTTCTCATTTTGCTTAGCTGTATTTTCGTTTTGCATAAAGGCGTGAATCAATCAAACTGATTATGAAAATCTACATCTGTACATCTGCTTTCAACGTGATATAACGTGCAACATGACTACAAAACAGGTTGCCGCATAATAGTGTATGTCTATTCCACGTGGGTTACTCATTGGAAATATGGTTGCGCAAAACAGCTAGTGAATGATACAAATTGGTGGTATTGAAAATATGACTAAGTATTATGTATTTATTTGCTGGGATATATTCAACATGATTTGGTACACATTCTTCCACTCCAACAAGGTATTTCTCAGAATTTCGAAACGGGGAATCATCAAAACAATCATTACAAACTTCATCCTGCCACATGAAAGATAGCAACAGGTGACATAACGGGTATATGGAATAAGAAACAAGCAAAAAACAAGCCAAGCGTCAGCGTTAGATGTTCTCAACAACGTGAGCGTTCATGGCCTGCTGGAAGCCCTGGTCGTCGCCAAAGACGTTGTGAGAGGGCTTGAGGTTGGGAGTGTCAGCAGTATTGGGGTCAACAGCCGACTTGAGCGCCTGGTCAAGACCCTGGTTAGAGGATCCGGGAAGGAAAATGACCTTGCTGTTGGCAGACTTGGCCATAGCCTGCATAGCCTCGAGGTAACGGATCTGCATGGCGGGGGCGGAGCTCAGGATATCGGCAGCCTGGCGCATGAGCTTGGCGGATTCGACCTCTGCCTTGGCGGCAATGATCTTACTCTCACCAATACGCTTGCTCTGAGCAGCCATGGAAAGAGACTCCTGGAGCTCCTTGGTGAAGACAATATCCTTGATGAGCATACTCTCAACCTGGACACCCCATCCGGCGGCGACATCCTCGATGATCTCTCCGATGGACTGGGCAATTTCCTCACGACGCTCAATGACGTCCTGGAGAACACGGGCACCGACAACGTGGCGCAGGGTAGTCTGAGTACGCTCCATAAGAGCCTGACGGACGTTGGAAATGCCAAAGGCAGCCTTGTGGGGGCTGACAATGTGGTAGTAGATGACGGAGGTGAGCTTGAGCGTGACGTTGTCCTTGGTCATGCAAATCTGCTCGGGGACTTCAGCAGTCTGAATCTTGACGTCGACCTGGACAAGTGTCTCGCTCAGAGGGTTGATCTTGACCAGACCGGGGTCGACAGCACGGTAGAAGCGACCAAACTTGGTAACAAGACCAACATTACCCTGCTGGACGCTCTTGTAAGGGTTGGGGCAGCAGATGCAGCATGGGACAGCACCCATGGTACCGATGCAAGCACCGAGACCGTTGACTATAAAAGAGAAGACGCTGTTAGCGGAAAGTGGTATTAAGTAAAAGAGATGTGAAGGGCAACATACTCATGCTGCCGTACCAGCCCTTGGGGTTGGCATCAGTGGCGACAATGGTGGCATAGCTGCGCTGGAGATCCTCCTTCTTGGGAGGCTGAACAGACATCTTGGCCTGTGCCTGGAAACCGCCGTTGTGACCATTGGTCTCGCCATCGGTGTCGGCGGCCTTGGAAGACGAAGCGTGGGCGTAGTTGTCGGCCATTGTGAAGATTTGGGGAAGCTAGGTATGTGTGTGGCGGTGGTGGTGTAGCCGTAAATGCGTGTGTGCTTGATGAAACAGAGTCTTGTGTGTCAAATAGAGTGTATGACGCAGCAGCTGTAGTAGTAGTAGCAGTAGCTGTGAATTAAAGATGGAAGGAAAACTGTGATGATGGTAGGTAGAAAGAATCAACGCCAAGATTGAAGGAGGGGGTGTGATGGAATTTAATACTTGGGGACAAGAAGAGCAAAAGCTGTAACACGGGAAGCCATTCTGCCGGTGACGTCCTAGAATGCAAGCTGCTGCTGCTGCTACCGTTGCTGTAAGCCCCGATTTGGGGGGGCCACGCTAACACTAACGCCGCTTTTGCTGGGCATACAGCACTGCCTGGTTGCCCCATTGCAGCCGCTCCAGCGTAGTTTCCGGGGCACCCACAGCACCCTCACTTTTTAAGTGGAGCGCCGCCCAAAGGGTGGAAACGGTACTCGCTCAGCAGAGGCGGCAGTGCACCGATGGCCCTTTGGGTGCAAAAAACGCCCAGCTACAGTGAGGCAAAATTACCAAAGCAGTGCTCCAGCACAGCACAGCGCCACACGCTACGGCACCGCGGGGCCGAGAGGACATGTTCGCCAGTCACCAGACAGACGCTGATGCAAGCCCCCGGCTAGGCTTCTTTCTTTTCTAGTCCTTTTTTAATTGCCCGTGGGATCGCTGTTAGCTCTTTTTCGCTTGGTGGGACGCAATGCGGGCGTCTAGCGTATTGCCCGGATTGCTCTCTACTGCCCCCTTTCGGATCCGCGACTTACTCCGATACGATGCATACGCACTAGGACAGCGTGCGCCGCCACCCGTCAAACCCCAAACACACAATATATAGCGCAGGGGTTCAAACATTCTAGAACAAGTTTCGTTCCGGAACCCTGGGAGATCATCTTGGCCAGCTTTTTCTACACCGATAATGTCTGTAGACAGTAATCTCTCTCTCTCTCTCCAGCGCCCGCTTACCGTATACATCCTCCATCCCGCTTCGACACCTATACTTCGCCTCCACGGCAGCACAACGAGTCCCCAAACTAACACGGGTTTAATAGGAACAACAACAGTTCTCAAAAAAGGCGCATCCCACACAATAGACGAGCTAACACCATCGGCTCCGAATCAGGCGACTATTCCTGAACTCAATATTTCTCTGACTGTGGCAATGATGATGCGGCCCCGTTCAGACGAGGCCTAAGCTCCACCGACAGCCTCGCCTGGTCTTGGACGACGTCACAGCCTCTGCTGATCACGCTGAGCCCCATCACTACCCAGGCCTCGCTCATGGAAGCTAGGATACATGTGCAAGAAAAAGAAAGTCATTTCATGAATCGTTACGGACTAGTACTGTACACTGCGCCACTCGCGCTTCACTATCGGATCTCGGGCTCGCGCATTCCCTCAGTCTGCGCGAGCCATGGGTCTGGCATCTCAAACGTCGAGTCCGCCAACATCTTGGCCACCTCGCTGAGCCGCTGGCTCGACGTCAGGCTTCCTGGGAACGCTGCTGCCACAGCTTCCGCATCCTCATCGGCCTGATGAGTGATGGTGTCTTGGCTGATATCTGGATCAAACGCGTAGATCTTGATCCCTCGCAGATGCGTATCTTTGCCATTCTGGTGGTTCTCCAAAATCTGCATTTGCAAGACATACGACACCAGAGTGTTTCCATCTGGGTCACCGCCAGCACCTGCAATCGGTACGTCTTGCCATCCATACGGGCTGTCCATGTTCATCGTAGCAAATTCTATCAAGTTGTTCTCGCTCGTGCCGGATTTGAAGACGATTTTCGTAGGTGTGTAAGACTCGTCTTCCCGATAGTCGACGTAGAATCGAATCACCCGAATGCCTACACGTTTGACAAAGTATATTGTGAGTTTGTGAGGTTGCGGTCCGTCCGATCTGTATTGCATGTTAGCCTTGATTCGACACGGTGGGCACAGTGTTCATATCCAGAAGACGTACTGCCAAAAGAGCTTCAGGTTGTCGCTGCGAAGCTCCTCCACGCCACTTCCTGGCTTGTGGCTACTGACAGTAAACTTGCCCAGGTTGGATATCTCTTTCAGTCCAACGGCCGAGGGGTCCAGGAGCGGCTCTATCGCCTGCTCTTCAATTTGTTCTTCAACATCGTGCTCATCGAGGCTTGTCTCCTCTGGGTCTCGTTCGTAGATTTCTTGTGACATGCTGTCTTCCTCTTCCTCCTCTTCTTCCTCGAATGTATCGTCTTCGACGTTTTGAAGCACAACAGCCGCTCGGCCCCCGCCACGAACCATTTCTAAAACACTGATTTCGGGATCAGAGCCCGAATCGTCAGATCCCATTGGGAGACTTAGTCTCGGCGTGGAAGTTGCTGGTACAGCTATAATGCGCGGTTAGCCTGATCTGACTTATCCATAGTCTCTCCGCAAATGCCTATCCAGGGAGCTCGCTAGCACCTGTAGCGCAATGCCGGAAGAGTATCAAGCGTAGATACAAGTCAGCAACATACCACGATGAAGTCTAAACGGATTAGCTCGTGGGGGCGGTAGAGCGTCGCCATCGCCGTCATCTGCCCTCGTATCCGGCGTTCTATGCGCGTCGAGGGCTCGTTGCCTAGGCGGTGCGGCTAGATCGCGAGCGCCGCTTCTCCGTCGTGGCTCATCGGCAGGGTTACCCGTCGCGAGATTAGAGGCCACATGGCGTGCCCGCCTAGCTCCGCGGTTAATGTCCATGTTCTGCTCGGTCTGGGTGTGCGCCCGGCGTCTAGCAGTTACTGCCAGAGCTCGACGCGCATCGAGGGGCAATTGGCGTCGCGATGTCACGTGTGCGAAGTCTGGACGGTCATCGTCGAAGTTGCAGCATTCAGTGACCTAAATAAATCTTTTTATATGTAAATAAATTTGAGATACTAATATAGTAATATTTTTTGTATTCTATCCGTCATATAGGTTATATATCTTCGGGTACGAGCTTCAGCAGCCCATGGGTGATACTGTAGAGTCTGCGCTTACCCTGTATCTCGTCTAAGTGATTTATCGTCGTATATTTCATCCCTATTCTCCTCTAATTTCGGGAGATAGTGGTGCTTGGCGAGTCCATATATTCATTCCAATCTTTTGACCCGATATTAAAGGCAATCCGGCGTGTAATGTGCGCTGATCACCTGTTCCATCCTCTAACATGTTGCTCCAGAAGATAGCATTACCAGCGATGGGACGGAATGTCACACCTGATTCATACTCTTCATCACAGTCTAAAAACCCATCACACCAAATGCTATCACCAGGTATATCCAAGAGCGGAAAATTGGTCCCTCCGCCCTTGACGTTGTCGACATGGACGTAGGCGAAGAATGAGGATTCGCGGTTTCCCCCCTCCGCCGCCGTCGCTCGCGCGGGGTCTGTGAACCAATCGGTATGAAAATGGAATCGCTCGGTCGGCGCGTATTTGACAAGTTGTATCGGTTCCAAGTGAGATTCAGGAATGTCTAGGCCCTGGAAGGAAAGCGCTCGTCGCTCGATGCAGCGAACGAGCTGGTCGCGTTGGACGGTAGTGGACTGCGATGTTCGCACGGCATTGAGGGCCGATTTCCCGTCCGAATCAGTCACTCCAGAATGTTTAAAATGTCCTCGCCTAGGATAAAGTTAGCTCTAAAAGGAACTCTAGGAGAGAGTTGTCGAGATGCCTACGCGAGGTCTTGTAAATGTTGTCGCTCGGCATCGGAGATGAAGTTTTCAATGTAAATCATCACCGGAGACTTGCTAAAGATATGGATTTTGTATTGAGAAGGCAAACATTCGTCGTTTGCTATATCGCTTCCTGCGGATAGTGGTTTTTGGGAGTTTTCGACTGCTGCTGAAGTTCTCATCATGTAGGCTGCCCACAGCAGCCAGCTGGTAGAGAGTCGAACCATTGCGGCGTGAACTGGCAGATGATCCCTAGGGTTGTGCAATGTGTAAAACAGGTAAACAATATTAAAGCAACAGATGAAAATGAAGGAACGTCCGGGACAATCGCCAGTTCAATAACAGTCCGACCATTCGGCCTCTCGAAACGCGATGAAACTCGCCGGCTGCGCGCCTTGACCCGTGCGCCGTCACTCCGCGTTTCAGCATTATGCATGAGCTATCTAAAAGGACGACAAACCCCCAATTTCAAGCGACTATGTCCATGGACTATTTAGTTTACCGGTAAACTTTGTTAATATGCATTGGTTTGCTTTTTCGGTGTTCGCCAACGTCGTGGCATGCTCAACGTCGAGCTTCAGCAGCGGCGAAGACGCACGCAAGCGAATCGCCTCGGACGAATTTCTATTGGTTTCTTGTAAGTGTTAGCGACCTGGGAAGAGAAATTGAACCGTTGAGCGCTAATTCGGAATAGTTGTAGAGGTAGGAAAGTTTTCCGTCTTGTGATCTACTTGGTACTGACAATCGACTTCGCAATCCTCCAGCCGCAACTGTAGGTATCTGGCGAAGTAACCGTTTTCATGTGACTAATTTCCCCCGATAGAGCTTCGAATAAAGCATTTCTCGAAGAATGGAAGAATGTTGGAACCGAATTGACTTCGACACTGACAATTGACTGTTCGCAAGAAACAGAGATATGTAATGACCTCGACGTTCTCTCGTTTCCCGCCATACGCTTGTACCAAAAGGGATCAATGAGTCGATATAGAGGCCCCAGGACGTCCAAAGAGCAAGTATTACCATCTGATTAATCGATTTCTAAGCTAACAGGTCGGCAGTATGTTGTCATATGCACAGAGAATGAAGAATCCCATAGTCTCACAGCTCAAGCCAGCGTTGGTAAAGGAGTTTTCCGAGTCTGACGATCTTGTAGTCCTGGCAGTGGTATCTGCAGATGATAAAAGCTTCCGAAAGAGGTTCGAAGACTTGGCCACAACCTATCACGATAGGTACAGCTTTGGCCTTGTCGATGGTGATTTGAGCAGTGTCAGCTGCCATAACAACATGGACTCCACGCAACATCAGGCACAAGATTTAGAGCAAGTCGGCTCTCTAAAAAGACTCCTGGAGGTTTGCAAAGAACCCTTGATTCCACAGCTGACAAGGCGCAATGAAATCAAGTACATGAGCGTATGACTTCGAAATATACCAAATCTGACAAAGGTCGAGACCGAGCTAACAAGTTGCGGATAGGGTTCAAAATCTTTGGTATACTACTTTCACCACGACGAGACCGACCGAGAACAATACGTCAATGATATGCGTGAAACAGCGCGAACATACCACGAGTTTCTGACTCTGGTGACTGTTGATGCGGACGAGTATCCTCATATGCCTACTAGTCTGGGGCTTGTGGGAAAGGGCGGCCTGGCAGTTCAGAATCTTCACAATGGCGAAGTATTCCCGTATGAAGAGAAAGAGATTACCGCAGGGGGAGTCGCCAATTTTATATTTGCCATTTCTGAGGGTCAAGTGAGCCCGTGGGATGGAGTTGTAAAGGCGCCACATGTGCGCGATGAGTTGTAATGTATTCATGATACGAAGTGTCATATGTGATTCTGCGGGCACAGGACATTAAATATATACATAATGACCTTTTTGGGCTGCGCCCTCATAACCACGTTCTCGCAGAGGCTATGTGATGCGTTATCATCTGCATACGATGGAGGTAGGCGACGATCAACGGCGAGAAGCTGCACTCGCTTCCATACACAGACGACGGATGGTACCACCCCATTGCTACAATGCACCATGTATCGTCCGAGGAGCTATCTAAGCTGGATGAATTTTGAACGAGTGCGAGGGTACGAAACTCCCGTGCCCATCCGCGAACTGTACAAGGAGTTTGTACATCCTTTGACAACTGCCGTAAGGTCTGCGAAAGCACTAACGACTGCTCCCAGTTTAGTAGCTTCGCGACGGGTCTGTGCAATCGCAGATGGCGGCACATTTACGCCCTATGTGCCCGAGATAAACAGCGGTAGCATTGACAGTCACCGACGGAGCGGGTTGGATATGCGCAAGATCCAAGATTGGCGGCAAAGGCAGCAACCAAAGCCATCATGTAACTAGATTGGTTGGCCACGGCGGTTGTATTTCAAGGGACGGACAAAGTAAACTAAAAATCAAAAGCAATAGTGCAAACTTACACCTAGTCTGTTTTTGGATAGGTGACCAGGGCCGCTGGTATTGGCCAGCATTAATAGCCAATATTTAATCTCGAGAAGCGCCGCCCCCTTTGGAGGGTGGAAATTAGCGTGATGTCATGGGCACCGCTCAGAAGAAAAAGTGGTCTTACTGGGGCACTAGGCCAGCGTTTCGTACTGTATTGTACTGTAGCCCAAGGGGTCCCTTATTTGTGAATTGTAAGATGAAGCTTGGGCTGTTTACTTTCTTCAAATGGTGGCTAGGGGCAACGATGACCTGTGAGGCGGCTAGAGTATGGAGAAAGGCAAGCTAACACGAACCTAGACTAAGAGAAGACAAGGGTGATGCTGGTGGTGATATTGCCCAATGCCGTTTTCCACTGGGGCCCAAAATACTACCGTCGCTGCTGCTGATGCTGATGCTGATGCCGAGGGATATCTTGGTGAGCATTGGCTTTTGTCATTATCCTTTTGGCTTAAGCCGTTGGCTTTGCAAAGCTGACGGGAGAAGATGTGGGCTTTCGGCGATCGCATCGCATCCATCCCTCCCCCTATCACGATATGCAGCTGCATAAGACAAGGCTGCGCAGCGCCTCTGTGGTTGGTGCACCACTAGCTTCGTATGCTTCGTAGTAACAGTGGCAGCGAGGGGCCCAAGTGGCGCTATTGCATTTTTGCATGATCCATTCATTGGAGGTGCTGGTCGGCAGTTTTGCTGCAAGGGAGACAGAAAGGCTGCATATATGCCCTTTACTTTTTTTTTATTTTCCGAGCCGAACAAGCGGCCTTTGTTCAGTGTAACAATGAGTTGTGATTTGCTTCTTTTGACCATTGTGAAATTGTATTCTCCTGAGGATGAGAACAGAGCATGTGTATCCTTGAATGGTAGGAGTACAGTACACATGATAGCTGTCTTTTGATGCTGTATTTTGTAGGGGCGCGGGGTTCGTTCAGTTGCCAGCTGGCAGGCTCTCAACACCATCACGGGATCCGAGCATGCGTCTGAAAAAGGGCAGTTAGACACCAGTGTGTGTAGCTCATGCACATATCAGGCTCCCTCATTTGGCTGCTATATTTGCATTGCGTTTGCTTGTCTAAGGCAAATGCAGCTGCAGCTGCACACATTAGATCACTCTCACTGCCTGAAACATCATCAGACACAAACGGCTTCCACATTCCAGGCCGGCCTTTTTCGCGTTTGATTATTCCCCTCACGCTCTTTGGGTCTCCCTCCACCGCTACGACCTGCGCTAAATGGCCCCCCACTACGGCAGCACTACAGTACTGTACGTACCAGCTGCCCGTGCCTACAGTGCAGTACAGCGCTGTGCTGTCCTTTACAGCCCGCTATAACACGGCATTGGACACGCTGCCCACCCACCCTCCAAATAAAGCCCCTCTCTGTGCCTGCCCCATCCCCTGACCTGATTTCCCTTTGCTGGCCCGCCAAATTTCCCTCGAACTAGCTGGCCGTCCGTCCTCTTCTACGCCTGCCCGTCCACTCCCCTGGCCAGCTTTCTCCATCTTCCGCCTCTTCATCGTCTACCATTCTCTTTTCTTCTTCTCATCATCTTGCATCTGCCAGTTTTCTATTTCTTCTTCGCACAGCTTCATCTTCATCTTTCGCCAACGCCTCATTTGTCAACCCCTACGCCCCCTTTCCCAAATCTCGATCGGGCCATATTGTCATCGCTCCTCCCGACCGCCCCATACATAGCCGCCAAAGCTACCTGCCACCCGTAAACCACCTCCCACCAAATCTTCAAAATGTCCAGCACACAGCATCACCAGTACACCGATGAGGAGCTTGACCGCGACTGGGTCCCCAACGGCCGACGTCCTCAGTCGTAAGTATTGACCTTGTCCATGCGACGAACAGACCTGCGCTTCGCCATATAGCCCAGCTACCACCTTTTGCAACCGCATACTTAGAAATGCTGAATGGACTGAACATTGTACTAACATGTTTGCGCCTCTAGTACCATCGCCCGCTCTTTCTCACAGGAACTCGGTGATATCTTCCGCATCGAAAACTCCATCTCCGATCTTGATGGCCAAGTAGACGAGAAGTGTGTACCGTTTACCTTCTAAGAAGCTATAGAACTCCTATGCTAACGCGCATCATTAGGCGCCAAATTGTTGGCCAGGGAAACCGTGAGCTTGCCTCCATTGAGGCTCGCATCAAGCAGATGGAGGAGCGTCTCCGTAAGAACCAAAAGGCTCACCCCGAACTGGCTGCCTTCATCTCTCTCCCACCTCGCCCCCCAACCGGCGACGAAAAGGATGCTCCCGCTCAAGGTAACAAATCTCGACCTGGCACTGCCCGTCCCACGCACGCTGCTCCAAGCTCGGGCAATATGCCCCCTACACCCGGAGCTAGTGAAGGTGATCGCGTTCCCATACTGATAGAGAAGCCCATTAGCTAATCATACCTTGTTCGCAGACGGCGACCGAGAGTAAATGCCTTGATTCCCAATTTTTCGACAAGTATACCCGGATGGCATGGCAACATACGATCCAATCATTTTAGCCTTTTGCCTCATCCGCCTTCTTCTTTTTAACCAGCACTGGCTTACTGCATCCTACGACTTTTAATACTTGGGGCTCGAAACATCTCGCACGGAACCCTTCGACATGCTTCAGCTGCAGGCGTCAGCCTATGTTGACGTGCGGGAATCGAACTTCCCAAATCCCTTCATTTTTACATATTAGGCGAATGCTTTTACTGTTCCTTTTGTTTGGAGTTTGGCCATGCTGCATTGGGCTAGATCGAGTGGACCACCGCAAGCAATTACAACTACGCTGCTCCATGTTCGACTTCTCGATGCCAGGCCGAGATGGAAATTATTGACTTTTTTTTAAACTACCTTGTACTAATATTGGAAGAAGAGAGCGTGGTATTGCAATGGGTAGTATAGCTGCATACCACATCGCGAGGTCTTCCCGCTGCCAGTACTTGGATAGTCGTTTCTGGCAGGCAAGAGAAGGGCTACGCTCGTTCCCCAGGATTGCTTTTTAATGTTCAACATTGCACACGTTGTCTTGTCATTTTATTACGATAGACTCTTTTACAGCATATCTGTCAATGCGAGCATTAATGCGTTTCTCCTTAAATTCGATTGGTCCTAGTTTCTTTTATAGCAAAGTAACGAATGCCGCCATATGGTTCGAGGTCAAGCCTTTGGTGTCTCAAAACGTATCCATATTTTACCAAGGGTTGAAATTGGAACGAGTATTTACCTAATACCAGCAATGTGTTTGTTTGCGAACCCTACGCGGTTCTTGTCCAGGTCAAAGGCCACGAAGAGGGCTTTGAGCATAATGTCACCCAACACGGTAACATCGAGCCCTTGTGCACTCTGCATACCTCCCCAACAATAGTCTGAGCTGGGTGATACAGGCCCGTAGTTCATGTATACTCCCGGAATGGTTAAAACATGTTCAGATCCGGGCAGTTTGAACATGAGATCTGGTAAATCCTTGGCGCCAGAACATGGGAATGTAAATGCCCCGCCAATACCGCCGTCGGTGCGGACGCCCGGTACGTCAAACCAGTACATGCTAGCAAGCTCATCAGGCATGAACATCAAAGTCGTTCCAGTGTCGATTGTGGCCTTGAATGGGTAATACCACCATGTTTTGCCATTTCCAGTCCATGATGTTAGATCTAGTTCCACATCCCAATGCGGGCTACTTGGGTCTGAATCTAGCCAAGTGATGTTTTCCATGGCTAGTGATTGATTGATCATACCAAAGTCGAAGCGGCCAGTGGAATTCCGATGTAGATCAACAGTGAAAACTGGCTCTTTCAGGTGATCCTTCAGCTCTTGTAGGAACGATGGCATTGGGGGCATAATGTTGTTGGGAAGACTCTTGGCTAATCCCATAATACCACTCAACTGTACTTCCGTTTCGAACCGGCTTGCCACTCGTTGCGCTGACTCGATTGTTGCGTTGGTAACTTCAAAGCCGGCGAGACGGACTGTGTCTTCATACACAATACCATGTGCATTTGTGCCATCAACTGGTTCCCTCCATTAGCGAATCGGCTGGGGCTCGTGTTGCTGGTCAACTTACGGTATTGTACATTCCATATGGTGCTGTTGAGAAGCCTGGAAGATGTTGAATCTGAAGGCCGGTACTTTAATGGCCATGGTCCGTTCTGGTTGACTCGGTAGATGGTGTCTGAGGATTGCATCCAACTATCTTGGTCAGAACAGGTCAACGCCTTATTTTGCTGAGACTTACACATCTGAAGACCCAGTATCGAGTGCCATTTTCACCAGCTGGGGAGGATTGCCAATTTCAACATCAGCAATGAAGATATCGTCGCTACCTATCGGGTTAACGTCGACATGACCATCTGCTCGAACGAATTAGTAGAGTATGTAGACGGTGAGCAGATGAACGAACTCGAATCTCCCAACGCGAACGTGGATGAGGCTTTGTCGAAGGGCTTAGAGCCCCATTTCTGTCGTCCAGCAATCCAATCCCGAGCAAAGTCTCGGTTCGCATTTGCTTTGCGCGAAACGGGAAGAGAAAACTGATGACCTCCACCAGGCACCGCCTGAAGTCCTGGTAGGTTAGACCCATAAACACAGTAAAGAAGAATCAGGAATGAAAGAAACTTGAGAGCAGCCATTTTGTCGAGTTGAAAGCTTGCTTAGCAAGAACTCTTGAAGAACTTGAAACGGCGAATGAACTCTACTTTTCCGTCTGCTAGTGAGGGTAACCTGGGGATACCTGTAGTTTTTATATGTTTTGTAGGATAAACTTTGAGCACGCACAACCTGTGCAGGTACAAAGACAGCGCTGAAACTGAAGAAATGGGAGCTGTGTGCCAGTTGGCAAGAAGGGCATTGCAGCTGGCAGCCAGCTGGCAGCCGCCTGGTATCCGGCAACCTGCACCAGAAGCAACACAGCCTCTCTTTGTGTTCATCGGCCAATTTCCCCTAAAGCGAGGAGTTTGTACACTATTCATGGTATAAAGGATGTTGTGATACCTTGGGATACTCACCTGTTGCCTTGTAGTCGAGCTTGGTGATACACCGACTAAGTGGCGATATGTGAAGCAACATTTGAAACCTCAGAAACGAATCAAATACGAGATCCCACCATATATCTGTAACTACCATGTCATCAGTAAGAGGGTAAAAACAGCGCTTTTATCGTAAACCAAACATGGCTACCGGCCCGAGCGTACGGGGCCAATTATCTCTTCCCTGTTGTGCTGGCAAATCCGCAAGACAGACAGAACGGGCGGGTTGTTTATGAAGCAAAGACATTGTCATGATGAACACAGCCATATTTAATGATGATCAGATTGAAACCATGTGCTAGGTTGGAATGATTTGTCTATGTACTCCTGACCTTATCTAAGAAAAAAACAAAACTCTGAAGAAACGTTGGTACATGTTTATCTGCGCATTATCTTTACAGCTCATCGTGAGTGGCGGGCTCAGCCTCCTTTTCGTCCGTAGGCTTCTCAGACGTCTCGTCAGTAGCCTCCTTCTCGGCCTTTTCCTTCTCGGCCTGCTCCTTCTCAGCCTTAGCCTTAGCCTTAGCGGCCTTCCTTGCCTTGGCCTCCTTGGCTTCCTTAGCCTTCTTCTCCTTAGCGGCCTTCTTGGTCTTCTCTTCGAAGAATTTGACGCCTTTCAAGGCAAGATCCATGCCGTGCTTCTCCAGAACCTCACGCTTAGCGTTAAGGTCCTTGACAAGCAGAATAGGCTCAGCTGTCTCGGCCAAAGCCACTTGCTTAGCCTCAGTCTCGGTGAGCCAGTCGCGAGTCGACTTGAGAGCCTTTTCGTACTCAACAACGTCTTCGCTGGTGTAGAGGGGCTCAATAGGACCCTTTTCCTCCTCAGGCTCTTCAACAGGCTCAGTGGAGTCAGTTTTGGCATCTTCATCTTCAAGACCTTCGAAATCTCCAGTAGCTTTCTCAGTAGCACCGGATGTGGTAGAAGTAGACTCAGTTGCGGCCTTAGACTTGGCCTTCTCAAATTCAGCGATTTGTTCATGGACATTGGCAATGAACTTGTCAGCCTGGTCCATTGCATCCTTAAGAGAGGCAATAAGCTTGGGTCGCTTCTCAGACTCATCAACACGGGTCTGAATTGGCTTGACAAGGTCCTTGAGCGTCTTCAGCTTGGACTTGAAGTCCTCGAGTCCAGCTTCGAAGCTTTCCTCATCGAGCCACTCACTAGTCTCACTAGCCTTCTTGGAAAGTTCGTCTCTCTCGGCCTCAGTCGATTTGGCAACGAAGTCTTCGTTTTCAATAAGATCGCGGATCTTGTAGGTGAAGGCTTCGAGCTGGTTCAAAGCTTCCTCTCGCTGGAATCTGGCCTTGTCAGATGCGGCGAAGGCCTTCAATCGGTCCTTGGACTTGGCTGACTCGGTCTTGCTCAGATCCGCGAGGCCAGACTTTTCCAAGTCAATGGCAACGCTAATGCTAACAAGCTCCTTCTTCTTTTCGTCTTGGACCTCGGCCTTGGCGCCGGCCTTGACCTTATCGCCTGAGGCCTTACTAGATGCCTTTGATGAGCCACTTGATCCGGAAGCCTTGGCGCTGGCAGCTGTTGAGGACTTGGTAGAATCGGCGCTGCTGTCGTCAGCCTTCTCATCATCCTTCTTACCGAAGCCAAACAGGTTCTTGACACCGTCGACAAAGCCCTCCTTGGAGGCATCAGCCTCACACTCTACATGGGCCTTGGCAATTGCTACCTCACCATTGTCACCGCTCAACTTCAGGGATACCTTGAAGCTAATCTCGGAGTCAACACAAGATGGGTATTTCTCCTTGAGGGCGGCGGTAGTAGCAGTGAGGTTCTTGGTAGCAAATGTCATGACTTCCTTGTCCTCATCGCCAACCTGCTGGTAGAAGGAGCCGCTAAAGTCGGCAAGCTCAGTGAAGGTCATTTCCTTGGGGGTACCACCAATGGGCGAGACAGCAGTCCAGAGGCGCTGGCGTTGAGCCTTGCCATTGGAGCCAGTCCACTTGATCCCAGTAGCGTACATGGGGCCATCCGAGATTCTGATCTCCTTGACACGGAAGCTGGGGCTGAGCTCAGCAGCGCGGAAGCCAGCTCCGAAAACAGCGGCCTCGTCAGAGTTGACGTTGGAGCGGAGCTTGTCAGCGGAACCAACAGCCTTCTCAAGAGCTTTCTGGATGAAAGGAGTTCTGGTGGCGCCGCCATGAAGAATGACGGAGTCCAAGTCTACAACATCGAGTCCAGCCATCTTGAGAGCGTCACCAATAACTGTAGCAACACGGTTGCTGTAATCTTCGGCCATTGTTTCAAAGTCTGCGCGAGTGATCTTGTACTTGAAGTCGACATCTTCGTAGAGGCCCTCGAAGCTAGCACCAGTGTTTTGGTTAGCACTGAGCACATGGCGGACACGTTCAGCTTCCTTGGTAAGCTTTGCAATGGCACGTCCGTGGGCTCTAACAGCCTCAGCTGTAGCTCCGATCTTCTGGGCTCCCTTGGACTCAATAAACTGGGAAATCATGTCGTCAACAATCAAGTAATTGAGGGCATCACCTCCGAGAGTGCGATCCCAACCACTGCCAAGGGACTGAACTTCCTGAACAGTCTTGTTGTACTTGCCAACATCCTTAACAGTACGGCTCTGGAACTTGATGATAGAAGCACTAGCAGAACCAGCGCCCATGTCGAAAATTAAGTGATGTTCAGGCTTAGCGCCCTCATTGATGTTAGGGAATTGACGGCTAGTGGCGTAGTTGAGGCCAACAGCAACTCCGTCACTGATCAAACACAAAACCTTCAGGTTGGCGAGCTCAGCAGCCAACTGGATAGAGCGTCTCTCTTCCGTAGTATAGAATGGAGGGACAGTCAGGACGATGGATCGGACAGACGAGCCATCGCCAGCGGTCAACTCGGCGTTCTTCTGGATACTCTGAAGTTCCATGGCCAATAGCTCTTCCACCATCCAGGCGTCCTGGTTTGCAGTCAGAGTATTGGTCTTGAACGCGGCCGTCTGGCGGCCAGCGTGGGACTCGATCTGAAGAGCGGGGTGGCGGCTGGCGTATTCGCTAACGATTGGGTGGTCAAGAGGGAGACCGAGGAGAGTCTTCAGGTTGGGGTACACTTCGCCAGGGAAGCGAGCAGCGAGAGCCATGGCATCGGCGCCATAAGCTCTTTCGGGGTACTCGCCATCCTTAGCACCACCCTTGGAAGGCTTGAGTGCAACCGCAGATGTCTCTTTGCGTCGGGAGTCTTTGGTTAAGACGATTTCGAGGGGAATACCGGGCTTAACCAGCGCTGCCTTGATGTACTCTGTTCCCAGATCAACACCCAAGACAGCTCCAGCCGCCAGAACATTTGTCGAAAGAAGGAATGCACCTCCGAGGAGAGTCGCAAGCGAAGGAAGCGAGCGACGAGGCGCCATGGTGTTGTGTGCAGTCCGTTGGAAAACGACGCTCCGGAGCAGATCTGCTAATTTTCAACGTTCGCCTATTGACGTCTAGTGAAAAATCGGCATACAAATAGGAATTGGCAGTATGCAGGCCGACGTGAATGCAAATGAAAGGTTTAAAGTGGTCGTGCTGGGCCCTGGTTGCAATGAAAGTCAATGTGGCCACGCTACCGTCAGCGACTGAGCTAAGCTACAGAAGAGGACAACTTGCACAGAAGCGGCGAAACTCTGCAAGGCTGCCCCGATGTGATAACAAGTGCCGGCGAATTAGCGGGCTGGATAAGGAGGAGGCTGAACCCACAGGGACTCTAAAGCGCTGTGTCTCGTAGGTGGCTGCTTTTGGGATCTAAAAAAAGAAGGAAGACTACAGGGAAATAAATTTAACGTTTTAAAAAGGAGAGATGAAAAAAAAAGTTGATACTAAGCTGGCATTGTGAATCACCAACTTGCAGTTTAGTAATCAGGAACAAAAAATGGCAAAAAATTGAAGTTGGACCAGCAGGGAATTGAACCCCGGACCTTTCGCAGGATATTGAGGTGTAGAACCGTCAATGCAAAGCGAACATCATACCCCTAGACCACTAGCCCCACTGAAAGAAAACAGTCCTTAATACACATTATACGTGCTTCTCGCACGATCTAGAGCTGGAATGAATTCCGATATTCGCCATAATTTTTTATACTTTTGTTCTATCACATGGGACTAGAAGACTAATCTTAGTTCATAATGTAGTTATTTTTATGCATCACTGCGAATCATTAATGCTCCTAAAAATACATAAAGACAAATCAAGGGGTCTCATTGCCGTAAACGCCGTTATGCTTTTGTTTACACTCGCCATCCTCGCAATCATACTCTCGTGCTCTCATTCTCCACGAATTTGGTCCAACGAATAGACAAGTGTTCAAGTTGGTTGTTGTTTATTCGTCGGTTCGGCGTGGGCCGCGAGAGGGAACTCCAGAGCTGCGGTTGTTGCCTCTGCCACGACCGCGTCCATCTCCTCTACCACCACGACCACCACGGCCACGGCCACCACCACGGGCGTTGCTGCCTTCACGCTCGTGGCGTACCTTGTTGCGCTGAACCTCGTGGAAACCATCGTTAGGGTCGGCAACAGGCTACAAATGCAAGTTAGCAAGCGTGAATCTTTGACATTGGAGAGGTAGTAATTACCTTGGGTGCGGGTTCTGGCTGATCATCTGCCCAGCTCTGGCTGGCGGTCATGCTCGACTCTCCGGTATCTCCTTCAGCACCCTTGACATCAATCCATTCCTGGGAGATGGACAGGTCGGTAGCGTTATCTGCTGAGCCGTTGCTAGCGGTGTTGGCTGGCTCTTCTGTAGGTGCGGGTGCCTCCTGGACATCAGCGGCGGTCTCAGTAGCCGTGGTGGTGGCCTCAACCGGGGCCGCCTCGGTTTCAGGCGCTTCTTCCACAGTTCCGGGGGCCTTGTATCCCTGGGCAAGTGTTTTGATAGTTGCGTCTGCTACATGTTAGCTTGAAATCTACAATTACAAAGTTGCTGAGCTTACAATCTGTGTTGAGGAGCTGTCCAGGAACGCTGATGACCTTGTCATCGGTGCCGTTTACCAGCTTAAGTAGCGATGAGACAGCCGACTCGTCGCCCGCATAAATAGCCAACAGGACACCCTCGATAGCCTGAGTCTCATCCGACTCAGGGTCGGCAGCCTCCTCTCGGCGGTAGGCAGCCAGTCGCAAGAACTGTGAAACCACCATCAAACCATCGTGCTGCTTCTTCTCGAAAGCTGCGTTTGCTTCAGCCAGAGCTTCAGTTCTAGCTTGCGCAACAGCCTTGTCTACAGAAGCCTTGTCGGACTCGGCTTGGGCGCGGTACTGGTCGTGGATCTTCTGGTATTGTGCTACTTGCTCCTCGAACTGAGCCAACTGAGCCTGGAGGGTAGGTTTCTTGAGGATCTGGGCCTTCTGATCTCCATTGATCACCTTGGAAGCGACCAAATCGTCGAGTGATTTGCCTGGATGGCTCTTCAAGACGGCATCGAGCTTGGAGGCGTTGGACTACAAGACAGGTGAATTATTAGCAAAAGGCAATGTTGACATCGTTCTCTTCGGCACGTACAATCTTTTTGGTAACGTTTCGGATATTCCTGGTTAGACACGAGGTTGGTTAGCTGATGGGGGCCATTGCAAAAGTTTGGGTTAGGCTTTACTTGTGCAGCTCCTTAATGTAGGGGCTCTCGAAACCATCGTCACTCTCGTCGGCAGTCTTATCGAAGGAAACGCTGCTAGGGGCAGGCGAGTGAGTGCGCTCGAGGGCCTTGGCGACCTTCTTCTTGGAAGCTTGAGCTGTGGGAGCGGCCATTGTTTTGTGATGTGGGAGTCGATCGAGAGTCGAAAAAACTGATTGTGCTAGGCGGTAGAACAGCAAAGAGGGATTGCACGAAGGCTATGAGCAGGTGTATAGGTTTGTAAATAACAAGGGAGGCGGTTGTTAGGGATCTTGGAGAGAAAAGAGTTGTCAAAGTGGGAAGGGTTGGACGGCGAGCTGGAGGTGATGTGGTCTTCTGCCAGGGGGCGTGTGTGGGCAGCCGCCAGCATGCGGAGAACTTCTAGAACCAGAGAGAAGCATGCGACTCAAGGAAAACAGGCCGGACAGACTGCGCAGCGCGGTTGGGCAATATTTTTTATTATCAATTTATTCAATTATACTCTTAATAATTGCACAATGGTTTAATTTCTTGTATCTTGCATTTCCTCCTCTCAATCCGCTATGAGGGTTTGCCTGTCGTGGCCCGTTTGCTGCGATGGCCAGCAAACAAACCGTGCCCTTGCCGCGACCTGTGGAGCTGGTCTCGTGCTCAGCGGCCGTAGCCTGCCGTTTGGCCATGGCCACGGTCATGGTGTAGTGACGTGCCAGCAAATGCTGCAGGTTGCCGCCGGAAGCATGGGAGAATTTCCCACCGTTGGCAAATGTCCTTGTATCTAGATACCAAAGCGCATAGTTACTGCGACTTGTTTTTTAATACCGGCCGGGAGTAGCTAGTGGCTCGAACCGTAGCGGATTGTCGCTGCTGTGAATGTTGGGTAAATCGTGAAACTCGATGCTTGAGTATCAGCCCTTGAACTTGGCGAGTGTATCCTATTACTGCGGCTTAGTATGAATCGTAGTAAAGTATGAAAACTTGACCTACTCGTGTCACTTTGCGAACGCTTCGTGCGGTTAGGCCACGCTCGCCAGACTGCTTGGCGTGAATTGCCGCCTCTTTAATAAGTCTATCTTATTGTTAGCAACATGTTAAACCCAACAGAGGAAACTACTCACGCTTCCATAAAAAGGACATAATCAAGGAAAATCTATACTCTGTTAGCCCATGATACTGGACGCGCTGCTTCTGCCCGATGTAGCTCACCGTCACGTCCGCATTCTTCTTTAAATCTAAATCAGAATGCGCCTTGATGATTTTCTTCACCGTGGATTTCGGATAGGCCTTTTTTCCGAGAGCCATTGCGTAAGATGCTCCTGTCGTCACGGGTTTCAAGGTCTCTAAACGCGTTGTGTTTAGATGGACAACGGAGGACATGGATGTGGAGCCACCAGTGACCGCTCGAGGAAAACTGTACTGTATGGTCCGCCAACGCGCACGGCTCTGCGCACTGCTACCCCACCATCCCACCAGGAGCTTTTCTAGGCGCCTCCTTGGATATCTAGGACAATACCGCGAGACGATACCCAAGGCACAGCTTGTTTCCTTGCGGCACAATCCACAAAATGGCTTCGATATTGCAAAGACGAATGGTAATAAATCCAGCCCTGCTTCTACTCGGGTGCAAGCTAACAGCAATACCTCCTCATAGCTCTCGAAAGAGGACGAAGCTGCGGACGAAGTCGAGGTGCGCCGGGAAGACCAAGACAAGATCAACCGATTCAGCCGTCTTCATCAGCGTGAAATCGCATTATCGGAGGAACTGCAGACAAAACTCGTGAGAAAAGTGCCTTGTGCATCGACATGCGGCCAAAAATGCTAACGTGACGGGAAACGTAGAAAGAGAAGGAAGAGCTCGATGACTTGTCGACAGAGTTGGAGCTCGCTGACGAGGACGAGAAAGTCCAGTATGTTGCACTGACAAAAGTTCTGCGTCCAACTACGAATCGACATACTGATAATGGGTCTATAGGTACAAAATTGGCGACGCTTTCTTCCACCTACCTCTCGAACAAGCCCAAGAGATGCTTAGCACCGCCGTAAGCAGATTAGAAGAGGACTTTTCTGCCCTAGAAGAGAAGCAGAGGTCGGTTCAAGATCAAATGCAGTCGTTAAAAGTCGATTTATATGCGCGCTTTGGCAAGCAGATCAACCTGGAGACATAGTCAGCAACATCAGAATACCACATTAATCAAAATCATACTACCAGCTGCACAACCAACACCCATAGCTCGTTCAGAATGCCTCTCAGTTTTTATTTTATCACTAATTCTATCTTCAGGCTATGGTACGTCGACTTCAAGACTTGACACCCCATAAAGATTCAACGTCCAGACTGCAACACTCTTCTATTCCGTTATTACAGGGTATTCTGATCGATCTCTGTCTTATTAAGATCACCGCTGAAATGCCACTGTCTCAACCTGCGCCACCCAACAACACTCGCCGATTATTGTATCATTAATCAATCCGAATACACGGCGTACTAGTGACGTTGCTAATTTGCCTGCATTAAGTTCGGCCGATCTTGCCTGCGCTACACACCAAGTTGGTCTTTAGTGGGGGGCGACTCGCCGCAATGCAGTGCCGAGTCACGTCTCGCGGCTTTTCTCCCGTCGCCTTCTGCCACCCTCCCGGCTCAAGCTTCGCCGATTTGCGGCCCCACGGCCCTGGAAAAGACTGAAGTTTTGAACGCCTCCGGGCCGGTCTGGCGCCCTTGTGCAGGTCTTGACAAGACTGATGTGACGCTCCGCGGACGCTCCGGCTTAAAGGCTATTTGGTGCAAGCCCACACCGGCCTAAGAGTCAAGTTTTTACTCGTACCCTGAGGACTTCTTTTCTTCCCATCCTCCCTTAACACCAGACTGTTGATTGATTGTTGGCGCCATGTCTGTCCGTGATTCAAGTGAGAGTAGCCAGAGCGAGCGAGATGTTGCTGATCGTGGAAGTAAGTATACTTGGTGTTTCCTACACCCGCGGAATGGCGTACGCTAACATCGGCCAAGGGAACCACAGGCGAAGCCGGTCGCTATCCGGTCGCATACGCGAAATAGACGAACAAGATGCAGAAATGCACATTGCCGACGATGTCGATGCTGAACGTGGTCTTGGTGCCTTGCATCATATTCGGTCGCGGACTCGCAGCCGTACTGACCAAGTTGTCATTGGCTGGGAAGAGGACGACGCGGAGAACCCTCATAATTGGAGTAATGTAAGCAACACTGCGCCATATGCTGACGATGGCGAAACACAAACTAATGTCATTTCCTCGTCTTAGAAAAAGAAATATCTCATTACGGTCATAACAGCCATGCTGGTTCTTAACTCGACGATTGGATCAGCTCTTCCTAGTATGGCTGTTCCTTACATTATGGAAGAGTTTCATATTGTTTCTTCAACGCAGAGAGTCTTACCGATTTCTGTCTTTCTGATTGGCTACGTATTTGGGCCTTTGATATGGGCGCCGCTAAGCGAGCACCTTGGACGCCGAACTCTCACATACTGCACATTGACTGCTTTCACCCTCTTCACCATGGCCTGCGCTCTGGCGCCAAATTGGCCAGCCCTGCTTGTATTTCGACTCTTTTGTGGCGTCTTTGCATCATCACCGATTGCTGTAGTCGCCGGAATTCTTGCCGATATTTATCACGACCCGATTACACGCGGCAGAGCCTTTGCCATCTTCATGGTTGTAAGTCACCACCGTGATCTGCTCCATCCCTGCTGTATATATTACAGAGCTGACCTTTCTATAGGCTACTACTGCAGGCCCACTTGCTGCACCGATTATTTCTGGATTTACTTCACCTACAATTGGTTGGCGATGGGCATTCTGGATTGGCCTCATCTATGCTGGTGTGACAATGGTGTTAACAGTGTTCCTCCCAGAAACATATGCACCTATCTTGTTGGAACGTCGCGCGAAGAAGATGCGCGAGGAAGACCCTACGAATCCAGTTGTTGCACCCCGAGAGCTCGAAGAAACGGATATCGGGCAGCTCCTTCGTGTCGTTTTGACACGACCTCTTCGAATGCTTTTCTTTGAACCCATTGTTTCGGCTACATGCGCATACATTTCTATTGTTTACGCAATTTTCTATATGTCCTTTCAGGCCTTCCCTATTGTCTTCCAGCAGCTATATGGGCTCTCACCTGGCGTGACTGGTCTAACATTCCTCTCCATTGGTGTCGGGGCTTTGATTAGCTTACCCATCTTTTGGACATGGGATAGCATTCTCGCAAAGGCTCACGCGAAACAAGCCCCATGGGTTCAAAGAGAAGAATATCGTCGCCTGCCACTAGCATGTCTCGGTGGCCCCATGTTTGTCATTGCTCTGTTTTGGCTAGGGTTTACCGCGAAAGCGTCCATTTCTTTTGTCGTACCTATGCTGGCCGGTATTCCGTTCGGCATAGGTATGATGCTCATTTACATGGCGATGTTGAATTATTTGACAGATGCATATGAGATTTTTGCTGCTTCAGCAAACGCCGCTGGGTCAACATGTAGATCCCTTTTCGCCGTTGTATTGCCCTTGGCCGCTACGTCTATGTTTTCTACACTTGGCATCTCGGGTGCCTGTGCCCTACTAGGAGGTATCAGCGCTCTCATGTGCGTCATTCCCTTTATCTTTATTTGGAAGGGCCCAAGTATCCGCAAGAAATCTCCCTTTTGCATTGCTTTACTGGAAAGAAAAGAGCAGATTGCTAGGCGAGCACAGGAACAGAAAGAGAGGGCTGAACGCCGAGCACAGCGAGAGAAGGCGAGACAGCAGTACCAAAATTAGTTCATATATAGTCTCAAGCACAATATTAATTATTACGTTTATCGTTGTCGGCTCTATCCTACCTCTCAGTTCGAAACTTTTCTGCTGCTCGTGGCTGTCAACGACGTCACTCTCTTCTCTTTTCTGCCACGTTGAGCCATGCTCGAGAGGGATATAACTCGCCGACTGCTATTTTTATTGGAAAATAATGATGAGAAGTCTCCGTCAGGAAAAGGCTGTTTGGTGCTATTTCGCTTAGGAATGGCCTTCTTCACTGTATTGTCTTCACTTAGAGAAGCATCACCTAATCTAGCTTCATCAATGTTGAGTTCTGAAATATGCTTCGCTGAAACTAGCCCGCCTACGTTCGCGTTTGACGCCAATATGTTGCTGTCCTTTTTGATGAGGCCCATATCTTGCATGAAGCTTATTAGTGTGGCGCGCATTGATGTCTTCTCTGTAAAAGGCTCGAGAGAATGGTCTTGATTTTGGTTCTCATCCGGTCGCAGTGACTGTACACTTTCAATGTAAGGCGGTACCGAGGATCCCTCCACGTTTGAATATATGTTAAGTGTTACTGGAACATGCCCAACAGCGGTAGGCGACGATAAGTCCTGGGCAACAAACACTTCGTCGCCTTCTACCGCCGTATTGTAGGAACTTCGACTTTTATAACTTTGACCAATATCGGAAGCAGATATGCTGTCGTGAACTGAGAGAGTCAGCTTCATAGTAATAGAAAGCACACTAGGGTCCATACCTGAAAATGGGGACAAGTCCAGGCTACTTAAATCTGCTAGATTCAAAGTGTTGCCGTTCCTCTGAGATACAGTGGGACTTGTGGAAGTTTGTAATTCCACTGAAGGATACTCTGATGAAGACGTCGGATGATTTGTTATTTTATTGCCTGATACAGTTGGCGCATTCTGATCAATTAGTGATGCCACTGGTAGCAGGCTCGCTAGGCCCACTGCTGCGCTTGAACTCGCCAGGGACGGAATATTGGCTGCTTCAATAATGTCACTATTCATAGAACGACGTTCCGCATTCGTATCCATAGTTCGACAAGCGGAAGGTAAAATACTATCGCTCAACCTTACACTTGGTTCCGAGAGCGACAGTACGAATGGTTCAGTTCTCATTGCCGAGAGACTAGACAAGCGCACTGCTTGTTGAACTCCGTCTACGAAAGAGGCAGTCGACAGTGGCGGGGTTGAATCGACCGGTTCTATGTTTCTTGATAATATATGCGCATTTGCTGGTCTGCTGGGCATTACAATATCAGAAGGCAGAAGCGTTTGCAACGATAATGAAGTTCGCTCTAATGTTGCAGCAGCTTTTGTTTTTATGCCGGCGGTCAATAGACAGCCTGGGAAACTATGACTGCGCTGCCGTATAGAAGCTGGAGGATCTAGAGCATCTGGAGTTACTAGTTCTTCAAGGCCATCAATGAAGAACTCAATGGCATCTCTAGGACCGTTTCCGTGCTGAGATACGGGTGTCTTTGAACTCTTCGATGCCATATCTTGAGATGATCCTCTGTTGAAATCGCAACATGGGTGTTCTGTATCTAGTTCATTTTGAATTCTTAGCGCACGCAGCCTTTTCAATTCAAGCCTCCGGGCTAGACCTTCGTCGTCACAGCTTGTATTGCTCGGACTATTTGTGTGTTTCTCGACATGCGGGGTCTCGGCGGGAGGGCTATCAATGCCTAGTTTTTGGGTTCCAATTCGATCCGCTACCTGCGAGGCAACCTGTGAGACTATGTGAGGCGATCTATTGACTTGTAAAGTGCTTCGTTTTGGTGGTTGTGTCTTCTTGATCCGGCAACCTGATCTCCAGCAGCATAGAAACGACATAGCTAAAAGTGAGGGTGAGAGTTGTGTACTAATCGCAATAGAAAACGCGAAGCAAATGATCAATTTAGTAGTGTTCGCAACGTAAGAAGGTTAAAAAGCTGGTCGGTGCTATTCTCCAGGCTGACCTGCGACGCAACTCGTGCGCAATCAGCCAAAGGGTAGTGGTCCAGAAACGCAAGATTGGACAGAGCGACCGGATCATGTTTGCTGGGTAGAGCTCCAACATATTCAAGGCGAGCGCTTCCAACAACGTATCGGGGCAACCAGTTCACGTTTATTGCCAGCTGGCGACTGCTGACAAGTGGCAGTTGCCTATCGACGGGCAACTGCCAACTGCTAGCCGCCAGTTGCCAGCTGCGAAAGTTTGTAGGAGGTTCGTACAGGGTCGATGCGCTTGTAGCCGGCAGTGGGTTGGCAAAGCAGCCAAGCGACATCACCACATGTCTATATATCAATTACGTGGCACGGGGACTATGGGTGGTCGTATCATAAAGCTAATTCTGCGCGTGCAGAATGATGTGATTTCCTTTCCAAAGAAACCCCGAGTGCGCTTGAGCGCATCCCTGGCGCCATTGATTCTCCGGGCGAATGAGAGCGTCCGAGGAGAACACACCTCCGAAGTACGGCGCGCCGACGGCCCGTTGAGAAGAGCTCTCGATGGATACCGGCAGCTCTATAGCAACGGGATCCAGTGCAGGAAGAAGTACGCCAATCCCTCGGAGTAACTTTGGCGCTGTAAGCATGTCGGTGGTTTTGTAATGCTCGGCGATATTCGGCCGACGGCACCTTATTATAGTTTGGCCAGCTGATGATTTCTGGCCTATTGATAGCCCGGTATGACATTTTTATCGAAGCAGCTCAAGATACTCTCATCACTATATCGGTACACTGGTACGCAGAGATGAGTGAGTTAGCGTAGCGCCTAGATGCGGGTCTCTCACAAGCTGCGAAAGAAATTTTCCTCTCTTGATCGGGCGATTGCGCAATACTACGTTTAGTGGGCGTTAGTGTCCCACGTTGTTGCGAAAGAGGCAAGTAGGCAGCGGGTTCCCATTTAAACGTGACAAAACCGAGTACGAGCCGAACAGCGGGCAAGATGTGAGTCTCGGATGTCGTGATGAGCCAATTAATGCCTGGTGCTGGGTAGGTTTCCTGCGTTAACAAGGCTGGTGCGTCTTGTACAGTGCAGAGTAAGAAAGTACAGAGTACAGACTGCTAGCACCGGGGATGGGAAGAGCAATGCCTACTGCGGGACGGACTGGACCCTTGGTTAGGCTCAGTCTCAACAACCTGCAAAAAAAGTAAGCAGTTCGATCAGGCGCTAACTGAGTCGGTACATTGGTATTGGTACCATCCCGATAGAAGAGAGGCCCCCCTGGAAGTAGGTTCCATCTGCTTCTGCTTGGCTGCTGCTATTGGCAACACAAGTCGGTGTGGATCTGCGTGCCCCTCCTCCTCTGATTCGCCCTTACCGCCTGGCGTACGGTGGTGACAGCGCTGTAGAGGCGTGCTGGAGGGGCTGGCCAGACGCTGAAATTGACCCCTCCCCCGCTTCCGGTGCGTGCTGCATGCGCCCCCAGCAAATCACCCCCTCCAACAACTTGCAGGCCTGAGTCGAAGCTCAACCATCCCCGCCGCCACTCTCTTTATCTACTCTGCCCGCCCTCCTTTCCTTTCTCCCAAACTTTTTTTCCCTCATTCCTCTTTTTCCTCAATCCATCTCTTCCCTTTAGATTTCGCCTCTGCGCTTCTTCTAAGGGTTTTCTTATACTTTCATAATCCCGTTAGGACACAGACGGGCTTCCTTATTGTACGTTGCCCCATCCCCCGCCTACTACATCACCAACGAAAAAAATATTTCACACTCCCACGCTTATCACATATGCCCAACACACTCATCTACTCTGTCTCCCCTTCACAATGGCTAACCGCTTCTACTATAGACTCAATTTGTAATACTTTGATACCACCGCAAACATGGTTCAATCCGCTGTTCTCGGTTTCCCCCGCATGGGTGTCTTGCGTGACCTGAAGAAGGCCACCGAGGCTTACTGGGGTGGCAAGCTCTCTCAGGCTGACCTCCTTGCTGAGGCCAAGCGCCTTCGTCTTGCTCACTGGAAGATCCAGAAGGATGCTGGTGTCGACATCATCCCCAGCAACGACTTTGCTCTGTACGACCAGGTCCTCTCCCACATCCAGGACTTCGGTGCTGTCCCCGAGCGCTACACCAAGGATGGTCTTGACCCCATTGACCAGTACTTTGCCATGGGCCGTGGTCACCAGAAGGATGGTGTCGATGTCCCCTCTTTGGAGATGGTCAAGTGGTTTGACTCCAACTACCACTACGTCAAGCCTACCCTCCAGGACAACCAGACCTTCACTCTCTCTGCCTCCCCCAAGGCTGTTGCCGAGTACAAGGAGGCCAAGGAGGCTGGCATTGAGACCCGCCCCGTCCTCGTCGGCCCCGTCTCTTTCCTTCACCTCGGCAAGGCTGACCGTGGCCAGTCCGTTGACCCCATTGACCTCCTCGAGAAGCTTCTCCCTGTCTACGAGCAGCTCCTCACTCAGTTGAAGGAGGCTGGTGCCCAGACCGTCCAGATCGATGAGCCCGTTCTCGTCTTCGATCTTCCCGCCAAGACCAAGGCTGCTTTCAAGCCTGCTTACGAGAAGTTCGCTGCCCTCGGTGACAAGATTCCCCAGCTCATCTTCACCACCTACTTCGGTGACATTGTCCACAACATTGACCTCGTCCCCAAGACCGTTGCCGGTGTCCACGTCGACCTTGTCCGCAACCCCGAGCAGCTTGACACCGTCATCTCTGCCCTTGGCCCCAACACCATCCTCTCTGCTGGTGTTGTCAACGGCCGTAACATCTGGAAGACCAACTTCAAGAACGCCATTGAGATCCTTGAATCTGCTATCCAGAAGCTCGGCAAGGACCGCGTCATTGCCGCCACTTCCTCTTCCCTCCTCCACACTCCCCACACTCTTGCTAGCGAGAAGAAGCTCGACCCTGAGGTCGCCGACTGGTTCTCTTTCGCTTCCGAGAAGGTTGTCGAGATTGCCCTGCTTGCCAAGGCCGTCACTAAGGGCCCTGCCTCCATCAAGGAGCAGCTCGAGGCTAATGAGAAGTCCATGAACGCTCGTGCCACCTCTGCCCGCACCAACAACCCCCAGGTTAAGGAGCGTCAGTCCAAGATTGTTCCTGCCGACTACAACCGTAAGGATGAGTTCACTGTTCGTATCGCCGAGCAGCAGAAGAAGCTCAACCTTCCTCTCTTCCCTACCACCACCATCGGTTCTTTCCCCCAGACTCCTGAGATCCGTGTCCAGCGCAACAAGCTTGCCAAGGGCGAGATCACCACTGAGGTCTACGACCAGTTCATTCAGAAGGAGATTGAGGAGAACGTCAGAATCCAGAAGGAGCTTGGCCTTGACGTCTACGTCCACGGTGAGCCCGAGCGTAACGACATGGTTCAGTACTTCGGTGAGCAGCTTGATGGCTATGCCTTCACCACCCACGCCTGGGTCCAGTCTTACGGCTCTCGCTGCGTCCGTCCCCCCATCATTGTCGGTGACATCTCTCGTCCCGCCCCCATGACCGTCAAGGAGTCCAAGTACGCCGTCGATGTCTCTGACAAGCCCATGAAGGGTATGCTTACTGGCCCCGTCACCTGCTTGCGCTGGTCTTTCCCCCGTGACGACGTTCACCAGTCCGTCCAGGCTGAGCAGCTTGCTCTTGCCCTCCGTGACGAAGTCGTCGACCTTGAGAAGGCCGGTATCGACGTCATCCAGGTCGATGAGCCCGCTCTCCGTGAGGGTCTCCCTCTCCGCGCCGGCAAGGAGCGTGATGCCTACCTCGAGTGGGCTGTCAAGGCCTTCAAGCTCTCCACCGTCGGTGTTGAGAACGCCACTCAGATCCACTCTCACTTCTGCTACTCTGAGTTCCAGGACTTCTTCCACGCCATCGCTGCCCTCGATGCCGATGTCCTCTCCATCGAGAACTCCAAGTCCGATGCCAAGCTCCTCCACGTCTTCGTTGACGAGGCTTACCCCCGCCACATCGGCCCTGGTGTCTACGACATCCACTCTCCCCGTGTTCCCAGCGAGCAGGAGATCAAGGACCGCATCGAGGAGATGCTTCAGTACCTCAAGCCTGAGCAGCTCTGGATCGACCCTGACTGTGGTCTTAAGACCCGTAAGTGGAAGGAGACCAAGGAGGCCCTTGACAACATGGTCAAGGCTGCCAAGTACTTCCGTGCCAAGTACGCCAACTAAGCAGCCCTGCCAAGTGTGCTACTAAGGTTGCCCAGAGTCATGTAACTCTGGCGACATAATTTTCTTTTGTTCATGATATTTTGTTTTACAGCTCGGACAAAGTTTCCGACTACGATTTCAACATCGGCGTTTTGGGAGATTGGGGAAGTGATGCGCTGCATCCCAAAAGTTTTTTTTAACGCCTTCCTGGTAGCGGACCGGGATGGGACGACGGCATGGCGCGCATTCAACATAGATTACTCTCACTTGGGAGCCGAGACCCAAATACCACGGGCTCATATTAATAAAACGGAAAATATATATCCAATTTTCACGTAAACTTGTTTTTCCACCTTTGCACTTGTGTCTGTCCTCTTTAAATGTTTCTGCTGGTTTAGATGCCACGAGATCACGTGCGGTCGTGACATCCACTAAACGCGCTTTCATAGTCAACTGTAAGACGAACCTGGGTTGAAAGTTGGACAAACTCAGCACACGCTCTCTGGCTACATAGAACGTCTAATTGACCCAATCATGTTTAGAGAGATTGCAGACTCTGACGATGATTTGGATGGAGACGACAGCCTACCTGTGCCATTGAATAATGGCGATTGGAGCGAGCACGCAACACGCTCGACAGGCTCAACGGATCCCATCTTGTTTCAGCAGGTCCTTGCTGAACAAAGTGAAGCTGCGAAGAATGTGAAAAGGAACGCAACGAATTATTCCAAGCAACCCCAGAATGATACCCAGGACACAGAAGAATGTGGCGATGTCCATTATGGCGGCAGCGACACTGGCTCATTACAACCACAACAGCCTCCTTGCGATCTTTATGACGTTCCCAGCAGCCCTCTAGGTGCCGTGTTAAATGGGACTTTAGCAAAACCATCGTTTCTTGTCGACAACTCCTTTGAGCCACAAGCAACTGGACCAACACCTCCGTCAACAAATTCTCTCGTTGTCATCCCCCAACGGCTCAGCATTGAAGAACAAGGCCAATATCAAGCGTATGACATTGGCTCTACAGATTCCTATCCACCAACAGCTGGGGCTTTCACCATCGAGCATGAACCTAGTAGCGTAGCTACAGTCGTGAACACACCAGGGAAAAGAATACACCAGGTGCTTCAGATCACCCATTTAGATGTGTCGCCGTATGTCGAAGACGACGGTAAAGTCAACCGTGATGAATCCCCTCATCAAGCAAGCGATACTCCACGGACAAGAAGCAGAAAATCGCCAAAAAGGGGCCCAAGTAGCTCACAAGAGCTGTCGCCGATGACGAAGGATCAAACCACCACCGCGACACCTGTGAAAGGCAAGAAAAGAGGACGGCCATCGCGAAAGGTCCAGGTCGCTGAAGATGATGATGCAGTGGAGGAACCAGTGATCGAAATGCCTCGCAAACGACGAGGACGCCCGAAGAAATCAGCCAAGATGGTCGAGGAAGAAAATCCAACTGATGACACAATAGTCGAGGACCTTACGACTGAGCCAGAGAAGACCGAAGCAGATATCCAGGCGTCAGGCCAACATGGGGAGGTATCTGTCCGCACAGTTGAAGCCCTACCAGACAGTGAGGAGGAGGACGATGCGCCGGTCTTTGCTGAACCAGACGAGAAGGCGGTCGAGACAGCTAGCGCAACAAGCTCAAAGGCTACAAATGATACAAAGCCTGCAGCTGCAGTATCCCTTCTGAAGCAGGCTCACCGTCCAGCGGTTTTGGCCTCAGCCGACAAGCCGGTGTACCGCATTGGGCTGAGCAAACGCCAACGCATGCCGTCATTGCTGAAGATGGTTCCCAAGAAATGAGCAGTGGCCGGTAACAATCGGGATTATTATATACATTTGGGACTGGTGACGAATTATGATACTTAGCGGACAACACGTCAGATATACATGTACATGGAAGAAAGGTGGGAGTTGTAGCTTATACCCGCATCAGAAGATGCACATGTAATGCATATTGCTTGTTTTAAATTATTTGATGCTACAGCTTGCAGCGATTTAATGTTTACTTTACTATTAATTCCTTTGTCTTCTTTAAATAATTATGAAGAGTGACTTCTACTGGGCGTCATGTCGTATAATCGTACACTCTGTTATACGCTATAAATAAGCGCCCAACAGTGGCCTTCAGCGCATTTTCGACAGCCCCGCACTAGTCCTTTTTCGGCGCCGCTCCCCTCCGAAACCCCTCCGATGGCAGCAACTTTGACTCTGACTTTGAGCTTTTTTTATGAGGGGCGCCGGTTTCTTATCTTTTGGCCGAGTGTCTCAATTGTCCACATCTCCATCTTGGGTCTCTGTTTTCTACCTTGACTACGTAAACATCACCATTCATTGTTACGCTTCAGCCCGCAAATCACGAGCCATCGCTACATCGAACAATTGAATTGACCTCTTCGTTTTCTACTTTCGCACCCTCCTTGTCTCTGCCCCTCCTCCTTACTTCGCCATCATGGCTGCCAACGGCGCTCAAGGCGCTCCCGATTCTACGCATACGCAATCGCAACGATACCTCAGCACCCGCGGTGAAGACGCTGACGTGAGTATTTATCAGAATACCTTTGTAAACATATCCCTTGCTAACAGCTCGCCTGTGCAGCTCTCCTTCGAAGAAGTCGTTCTCAAGGGTCTTGCAACCGACGGCGGCCTCTACATTCCCGAACAGATCCCTTCTGCTTCCAACTGGCAATCATGGAAGGATCTCAGCTTTGAAGATCTCGCCTATGAGATCCTCTCTCTCTACATCTCTCCTAGCGAAATCCCCGCCGACGATCTCAAGGATATCATCAAGCGAAGTTACTCTACATTTCGAAGCGAAGAGACCACACCGCTGGTCCACCTGAAAGACAACCATCATCTGTTGGAGCTGTTCCATGGCCCAACATTTGCGTTCAAGGACGTTGCGCTGCAATTTGTTGGCAACCTCTTTGAGTACTTCTTGGTCCGCAAGAACAAGGGCAAGACTGGCAAGGGTGAGTTTCAACTGGGCTAAATAGAAACAAAAATAGAAAGTTCTTGGCTAACCAATGTTTAACAGACCGTCATCATCTTACCGTCGTTGGAGCCACAAGTGGTGATACTGGCTCTGCCGCCATCTATGGCCTCCGCGGCAAGCAGGATGTTTCCGTCTTCATCATGTTCCCTACCGGCCGTGTCAGCCCTATCCAGGAGCTCCAAATGACTACGGTCCCCGATAAGAATGTCTACAACCTATCTATCGGTGGCACATTCGATGACTGTCAGGACATCCTGAAGCAGCTGTTCGCTGATGACGACATGAACTCTACCCTCAACCTTGGTGCCGTCAACTCCATCAACTGGGCTCGCATTCTGGCTCAGATCACATACTACTTCTACTCTTATTTTGCCCTTGCAAAGAAGCCCGACTCCAACTTCAAGATCGGCGACAAGGTCCGCTTTGTTACCCCTACCGGCAACTTTGGTGACATCCTTGCTGGTTACTTCGCCTTCCGTATGGGTCTTCCCGTCGACAAGCTCGTCATTGCTACCAACGACAATGATATCCTTGACCGATTCTGGAAGACAGGCAAGTACGAGAAGAGCGCTGAGGCCGAGGGCGGCGTTAAAGAGACCCTCAGCCCTGCCATGGATATTCTGGTTTCCAGCAACTTTGAGCGTCTCCTGTGGTTCCTTGCCTACGAATTTGCAGCCACAGCCGGTATGGATGACGTTTGGAACAAAAAGCAGGCTGGTCAAGAGGTCTCCAGATGGCTCAAGCAGCTCAAGGATACCGGTTCTTTCGGCCCTGTTTACCAAGACATTCTTGCTAATGCTCAGCGCGACTTTGAGTCTGAGCGTGTGTCTGATGCCCAAACTCTCGAGACCATCCAGTCGTTCTACCGCAGTGTTGGATACGTTCTTGACCCTCATTCCGCTGTTGGTGCAGCTGCCACGCTCCGCTCTGTTGAGCGCGCCCCTGGTGTACCTCATATCTCACTGTCGACAGCACACCCTGCCAAATTTGCCGGTGCTGTTGAAGTTGCACTGAAGGACGAGCCAAACTTTAACTTTGAGAAACAGGTCCTCCCTGCCGAGTTTGTGGGACTTGACAAGAAGGAGAAGCGTGTGGCGGTTGTTGACAATGACTGGAAGGTGGTGCGCGAGCACGTCAAGGCTCAGGTTGCTAAGGAATTGGCCGAGCAGTAAGCTGCTGCTGCTTCACGTATTGTATTTAGAGGCGAGAGAGAGTAATGAATGCATAGACAGCGATAGGTTGGGGGACAGAACTGAAAATCGCGACTGATTATATACCTGGATAATGACAAAAAAAGGTTTATTTTATTTCACATCTTTTCTTTTACATGTGTAGCCAATGAAGAGGAGAAGCACATAACTGGTCTTTAGATTCAAAGTATGAGTCTCATTAGCAATAAGAGTTTGTTTAGATGGTTGTTTGTTCTATAATCAACAGGTGGAAGCCAGATACCGCGGCTTGGTGAATAAATACAAGTAGAAAACGCCGACACTGATGCAAAAGTAGATTCCAGGGAACAAGGGAGACGCACGAAAACTGCGCGCTCAAGCATCTTGGTTCTCGTCCATTGTCTTGATCCTGTTTTTGATGAATTCAAAGGACGAGAAGAAGATGGCGTTGACGACACAAGACCGGCTCATGGATACGGCAAGGCCACGATACATTTGCTTTTTGAAGAACTGTATCGGCGACGGCTCTACCTTTTCGCCTCGGGCGTGTAGCAAGGCGTTTCTCTGGTAGATGCTCTTGGCGGAATCAATAGGGTCTATGACATCCATGTTAGCAACCTCGTTCTCAAATACTGCCAGTAACAAGTTAACATACATATCATCGCCCAGGAAACAAGACCACAGAGACCGCCAGATGTGACCACTGCTAGCTTGTTGTTATTTGGGCTGTCGCCAGCAAATGTTGTGCCTATTTGTTTGCCGCTCTCGTATACCATGAAGTAGATGGATGTGCCTAACGTGTCTCGCACTATAAAAGCATGTTAGTTTACTGATTGATAGACGATTCCCTGGTAGACTGCTTACAAAGGTGTAGTCGAAAGCCCGTGTAGAGTCCTAAAACACCGCGATGCTTTACAATGTTGGCCATTGTTTTCAGCGTGCCCTTGTTTTGATAGCTCGCGGCCAGCTCAGCGATTCGTTTGTCTCCTTTACTTCTTTCAGCTAGGAGCACAGACACCTGAGAACTAAGCTTGGTGAGCTCAAACGGGCATGCTAGAATAGGGATAATGGCACCAGCTGTTGCACCAGCTGCGCCAAAGGTAAGAACCGAGTACATGTTAGGATACGTCCCTGTTGTGCTGACGTAGCCCATCACATCATAGCCTGTGGTTCGCTTTAACCACCCAGCGTATGCATATTTCGCTCGTTGGTAGATGGAGAAGGATATGGTTCGGACCAGGGTCACGCTGGCCATGGGGGCAGCGACTCCTACATATCAGGCGCGGTTAGTACACTGCTACGGAGACGGCAATTTTCAGCATTGAATGAGCCATTCGTACCTCGAAAGAATCCCGCTAATGCTTCTGTGCGATACGTATGCTTCACACAATCGAGAAAGCCATTGTACTGGTATGTCTGCATGCGCGTTTTGACGCTGTCGAGGGGGAATGCTGCCAATGTTGAGAAGACACTGGAGGTGCTGGCGGCGATTTCTGTTCGGTACTGTTTTAGAAACGCCATGGTAGCCCTATCACGGCCACGATCGTGGTCAGAAGGCATGATTGAGTCGGGGAGCAGACGGTGCTGCTGCTGCACATGTTGCGTCTGAGCAGAGCTTGGGGGCTGTGTCATGCTCCGTGTCGATTGCGAGCAGCTTCCCTTGCGATTAGGGTCACAGCAGCGCGTAGGCTGTGGCCCCGAAACGAGATCGAGGCCAGAGTCTTGCTGCTACAAGATCGAGAGTCGGCCAATCGACGGGTTGGAGAGCTAGCTCCCTCGGTTATCAAGCAGGTAAAGAATTTCCGCTCGCTGTTCCTCGGTAGACCCCTAGTGCAGAGGATGCTGGCAAATGGCGGACACGAGAATATATCCTGCTGCAGGTCAAGATGAGAACAGAGCGTGTCGATGGCGTTGGTGGATGAGGGGGCGATGCAGTTGAGATCTCTTTGAGCTTTGGTAGGGCGACAAGCTTTGGCGACTTGACGGCGGACATGCCTCTGCGCGCGACGGATGGCGGGGAAAAGAGCTCTGTGGATCCCAGCAGTTGCTACTGGGCGCTGTACAAACGTTAAAATAGCCACTACGGGGGTAGAGACAGTGAGCCGCGAATGGGAGCTGTTCGATTACCGATGCCAGGCTATAGAGTAGAAAAAAAGAAGGTAAAATTTAAACCAAAAATATGGTACCATTATGAATATCACTAGATGCCTATGAAATAACGACATACTTCTATTTTTCACGCCGCCATGTCTGCCACACGCTCTTCAGCTATTTAGCTTTTCTGCGCGGCTTAAGCCGTTGCAGTGCGCTGCAAACTTAACCGATGCCACTACAGCTGCTGTACCGCCTGCAGCCTTCTGAAGCGATGGCACATCGGCCCCCAAAACCGGGGGCGGTAACTCCGCCGCCGCTCAAAGCAGATGCACATATGTAGAGAAAGATCAAGTTAAAAGTTATGCTTGGTAAATATTGTAAGATGTAATGTACTCCAATCTCCTTCAATCATACAGGGCATTAGCCTGCTTCATTCATCAGCCGTTACGCGCTACCTCGCACGGCCCAACGCACACAAACGAATACTTTTAGGTTCGAGCACATCTCGTTACATCGTCGACAGAGCGCCACAGGTGTGTCATTCTTTTCTTACATCACCCCAAATATGCATCCGTCTCTTTCGACGCTCTGGTCTTGGCCTCACGGGCCTGTTATGGTTTATACTTTGGAATCAGCATCTCCAGTCCTTCACGACTCCTCACCGGCGTCCGCATCATCATCCGCGGCAGCAACAGGTGCAACAGCCACAGATACTCCGGGAATCTCATGAAGGGTCGCCAGACGCTCTTCTTCCTTCTTGTCACGCAGAGCAAGTGTTTCTTCTCGCAGCTTGGCCAAGTTCCACGTGTCGTCGTCGTCGTCTGAGTCCGCGTCCTCGTCGTCGCGCCACTTGCCACTCTCGAAGAGCGCACGACCAGTGTTGTCCTTGGCCTTGCGAGCCTGCTCTTCGGCAGCCTTCTTGTCGAGACGCTCCTTTTTCCATTTAGCAAAAGTCTCTGGTGTAACTGGTGTCAGGTTGCCGGTCAACTTGTGGCGCTCCGACTCCAAGAAGTCCTCTAGTGTCAGCGTCTTCAATGGCGACTTGTCCATCAGCGCCTTTTCGGCTGCTCGCTGTTCCTTGGTCTTCAACACAAAGCTGTATCAAATGTTAGCAATGACAAACTTAAAATGGGCACTATAAAGACATCAACTTACCCAGGAGGAAGAGCATGCTGGTACATGCACTTGTCGCCACCGTTGGGGCATATCCAGAACCAACCGTATTTGCCATCCTCGATAGCTGTGATGAAGAACTTGCAGACCTTGTCTGTTGTTGTTCTTTGGTTGCCCTTTTTGGACAAGACGACGGATCGAAGCTTTTCTTCGTCCCAATCCGCGGCAGTCTCAGCCTTCTTCTGCTCCTCCTCGTCCTTGCGAGCGTCTGTGTAGAGGTTCTTCTTCTCGGTCTTGCGCTCAACAGACAAGTCGTGTGCAAACTTGCATTTGCGACCCTTCTCACAGTCTCCCTTCTTGAAGAAGATGCATACAACCGTTTTCGGGTCAACGCCAAAGGGAACTTTTTGAATCTGTACCGGGCGGTTCAGAAGTTCTGCCACTTCACGCTTCGCTGCTTCAGCGGCCGCCTTCTCCTTCTCTCTCGCCAGCTTATCTGCCTGCTTGCGCTTTTCTTCGGCGCTTCCACTGTTCTTCAAGTTGGAAGTCATCTGGGCAATCTGCTTTTGCGCGGAAGCGCCCTTCTTGTTCTTCATACCAAAGGTTCGGTCTTCCACAACCTTGGTGGCAGACGGCTTCTTGCCGCCACCACCCTTGTCCTTCTTTGGCGGCATTTTGATGTTTTTCGTCGATCGAGTATTAGTTTAAGTTGGTCGGGTCTCGAAGTATATGGTAGCGTGATGCAAATTCTCACCACACTACAGTTGGAAGCAGTTGATTAATCTCAGAAGTCGCAGGCCAGCGTCGACGATGCTGAGTTATCGATATCGTTATAACCACTGGTTCTTTTTCCCGGCGTATATCAAACGTGAAATCGACCGTTTAAGCGCCTCGAATAAAATCGTCCTTCGTAGAACTTGCAAAGTTTGGTGGGGTTGAGAGTGCTGTATGAGGTCACCGAGATCACGTGCGTCTTCCCTAAGTGGTGCAGCCGCTGTGTGGCTCACGGTTGGCCGCCAGAGCCAGCGCTTCAGGAGGAGCTCTGTAGTAGCGACGTGTACTTCGCCTGTTCTGCGACAGTTTTAGGAACTCCTTTCAACACAACAACTGCCATCTCCGTAGCCGATTGATTCGTGGTATGTGTCATTTCGATTACAATTTCTTGTAGCGCGCAGTTTAGGCTAATATTTACGAGTTTGCAGACCCAATTCTTGTCTTAGTTCGAAGCTTTCCCCGACAACCAACACCTCACAATGATCTCAGACGAGGAGCTCTACCGACTGGCCATCATTTTGGGCAGTGCAGCCATGATTCTCATTGTCGCATACCATTTCGTCGAAATCAATGCCGAAAAGAGAGAGCTCGATGCTAAGAAGAAGTCGAACTAGACGCTGCTTCTTCGAGAGAAACAAAACCAACAGGGCGTGCACACCGGCTGCCACCTGATCATCGCAAACGATGCTGTATTATAGTAAAAAGGGCGGGCCATGTATATATGAGAAATCTGCGAAAAGAGGAACCTGGAATTCAGGATAATGCACGGGGATCTAGGCTACGATTATTTGCTTTGCTTCTGCGCTGCCAGGCACAAAATGAGACTGTGAGCAGGGTCACTACACAGGCTATTTCTACTACGATTGTTCGAGACGATATTACCTGAAGTATTATTCAGAGGAACGCCCATGACAGCGCTGTGGCCTTTGGATTGAGGACGTGCAGCGCCTGGGCTCCTTGCGTCTTTCTCTGCCTTGGTGAGGCGTCCGCATGCGGCTTTGGTGGTTGTCAACAGGTCGCAAGCAAAAGCCAGCTCTTGCGAGCTTAAAACCCCAGCTCTTTAGGAGCTATATTAATACATTCTCAATAAAATTACTCGTATAAAAGATTCAAATAGGCAGCTACAGCCCAAGCACCTCAGAGCCCAACGAGGCTCCGTTTATGCTTTTTCGTCCTGTTGGGTTGAGTTTGCTTACGTGACTCCAACCTGGCGCTAAGGTGAAGCGCCACGCTGCGCCGCGTCCGCCCCTGTGTCTTCTTCGCCCGCCCACTCCCCCATCTCCGTTTCTTGTCTTTTCCTCATCCAACTCTCCCTGTTCACCAAGCACGGCCAGTTCGATCGCGATATTCACACATACCATCGTTTTTAATCCTACCAGACGCAAAGTATTTTCCTTCTCAATACAAAAACAACGCTTGCCGCTTTCGCGACTCGTCTACCACGCATCAAATTCTGCCTTGTTTACCTTCACAACTAGGCAACCAACCCCGACTATCCGATTTGCATACTCTCGCCCTCAAAACCGAGCGTTAACAAATCGTCTACCTTCCTTTTCGACCACTCTCAAATATCTACATTTGATTAACATTTCTCACAATGTCTGGAAAGCTTGACCAGTCTCTCGGCGAGGTTATCTCTGCCCAACGCCGCTCTGCCGGTCGCCGTCGCTCTCAACGCGCTGGCGCTGGCCCCAAGGCCGCTGCCCCTGTTGGCGGCATCCAGAAGACCGCCAAGGCCAAGAATGCCCGCGGTGCTGCCGGAAAGGCCGCTCCTGCCAGGGCCGCTACCCCCCATGGTGAAAGCAAAGTCATTGTCAGCAACCTGGTATGTATTTCGCAGTCTACCGTTTACGCGCAGATGCTAACTTTTCACAGCCCAAGGATGTCTCGGAGCAGCAGATCAAGGTATGTTTCCGTTGAGGCTACATCATGCCCCTCGGACTTTGTTCGACTTTGGTTCTTTCTTGAAGAGCTCCCCTCTACCGATGCCAGGACTTGATCCCAAATGGCCCGCTGTGAAAGCGTCAGACTCGCTGAAAATTTGCCGTATTCTCCTTCCGATACCCAAGGTGTGATAACCTTGGAGGAGGTTGAGCGTGCCATCTAGTCCGCTTATATGAGTCGCTAAATGCCTGGTCAGCATTAGTATGACTCTTCGCCGACTGTTATAAGATGAGCCACAGCAAAATGCGAAGTATCTGATCGGTACCTGATCCTAGAGCGAAAGCTCCAAGTGATCTCGGATGTAAATCGCTGGCAAATCAAGCATCAACAGTGGATTTTGGTGCCACGCAACACTCTTCGTTGGCAGTATGAAAACCTGGCATGCCTCGCAACGCGCAGCAGGCGATCAATACCAACAGTGCAAGCAATGCCGTGGGATGGCTATTTTGGAACCTCAACCTAGCCGAAGACATTGCGTGGACGCTTTTACAGATGCGTTTGGTATGATTGATGCACCCATCACCAACAATTCACTGTGTTGCTACTTGACAACTATTTACATGCCACTTGCCTCGGATGGCATAGAAAATTTGAGGCTTAATCGACTGGAGGCTCGGATATTGGACCTTTAACACCTTTGAAAAGCCACCCCGATAAACTAACCAAACTTTTTCTGCAAATTAGGAGTACTTTGTGCAGTCTGTTGGCCCCATCAAGCGAGTCGAGATCTCCTACGGTCCCAACTCGCAGTCTCGCGGCATTGCCAACGTGATCTTCCACAAGCCCGATGGTGCTAGCCTGGCATTCCAGAAGCTCAACGGTCTCCTTGTCGACAACCGCCCCATCAAGGTTCGTTCTACTTTTGCAACGGACTCTTTATTTGATGCTAACGATGATGATAGATTGAGATTGTTGTTGGCGCTGCCCAGGCTGACAAGGTTATGCCCACCGTCAAGACTCTTGCTGAGCGCACCAGCCAGCCCAAGGGCCAGGCCAAGGCTCAGCCCAAGTCCGCTGCCACCAAGCAGAACAAGGACGCCAAGGGTGCTGCCGGTAAGAAGGGTGCCGCTGGTAAGAAGGGCCGTGCCAAGAATGCGCGCCCTGTGAAGAAGAGTGTTGAAGAGCTCGACTCTGAGATGGGCGACTACTTCAAGTCTGCTTCTGCTACTGACAACGCCGCCCCTGCTGCCCCTGCTGCTGCCCCCGTCGCCGCTGACGCCACCATGGAGGAGGATCTTGTAAGTTTGCAGCCTTTGTTTTGACTCTTGTTAAACTTTGCTAACAACATTTCTCAGTAAATGATTGGATCCTGGGTGCTACCACGCCACATGGGTGTAATACTATTTATTGAAAATACAAAGTTTGGGGAAGAAATGTGGCTGGTGGAGCGATTGTAATATGCGAGATACCAAGTTAAATTGTGATTTTTTAATGCAATACTCAAGTGCAAACAATGTGACTGAATCGACGTGATGTATTGAATTATAAGCTAGCTACTGCCATGTAATAGGCGTCTGTGAGAGGGACTAATGGTACGACACCAGACCATCACGCATAGGAAACTTAAAGTCAAAGGATTTTACTGTTTTTTCTATTGTACTAATAAAGCTACAACGCCACGGTATTACCAAACTCTCGATACCGAACTCCAACTGATAGGGCAGTTAACTCCAGTCTTAAACTTTTTCTTTCTGCAAGTCACGCCGTGAAACAAACACGGCGTGTAAATGAATGTCAAAGGCGGTGATTGGTGGTGCCTCTTCTTTGCACCCACCACTGTATGGCTGCTGCTGCCTCTCTCTACACGGTCGTCGAGCTAAGTGAATAGCACCGCGAAAACTTGGGGGAGTTTTCAGTTTTTGTCGCAAGGAAATGGCGTGCTTAGTCGTTGCGGGGGACCTCCTCGACGTCATCCTCCTCGTCGCCGCTGGACTCGCCGTCCTCGCCGCCGAGAGCGCTGAGGTCGGGCATGCCACCGCCGCCGCCGAGCTTGGAGAAGTCGATGCCGCCAAAGTCGCCGCCGGCACCCATGCCGGGCATACCGCCCATGCCGCCGAACTGGGAGAAGTCCTCCTCGGGAGCCTCGTTCTGCTCGTCCTCGTCAACCCACTTGTCGAAGTCGGTCTTGAGGAAGTGGAGTCTCTTGTTTTCCTTGAGCAGGCGGGGCCAGTACTCCTCCTTGAGGTCCTTCTTCTGGAGCTTCATCTCGATGTTCTTGGAGGTGTGGTTGATCTGGCTGGCGGAGGGGTCAATCTCGGCAAAGAACTCAAGGTCGACGTGGTACTTGCGCTTGAGCGTGCCAGAGGTACCGGTGAAGGAGAGAGACGTGGGCTTGACGTCCAGCTTGATGTCGTCCTTGGGGACATCGGGGACGGAGATGGTGAGGTAGACAAAGTTCTTGTCGGCGTCGGTGCTGGAAGAGCGCTGGGCCCAGAGAACTATTGCACAGCTGTGTTAGCAATCAATTGCACACAAAGGAATTGTAGGAAGCAAGCTATTAGCCGGGCGATTGTGATGCGAATGCTTGTCGACAGCACGGCTAATGGCTGCTTTGTATAGAATGCAACAACAAGAAAGAATGAAGCTTACCCTCGGGAGTGTTGGTTTCCGACATGGCTGTATGTGTGATGTGGGTGAAGAGGGAAAGAGATGAGTGGGATGCAAGAACTCCTTCTTATTTTTAAATAGAAAGAGAAGGAAAAAAAGGATGCGTTGACGATGGGGTGATGTCAGAGAACAGGTTGAAAAGTCAAGTTTTGGTGGCAGCTTGAAGGCTGAGCATGGGCATCCACGGATTTCTGACACATTCTACGGCGAGCTGCAGGAGGAGAGGAGGGGCGCGGGCGGTGAATGCGAACGGCCGTGGTACCTGTATTACTGTGGGTAACTGTATGGTGAATCATGTACCCTCTGTTGCCCCTCACCCTGAAGCGGGCGCTGTGGAGCGGAAGTGGCTGGGGCAAAAGGCAGAAGCTGTGGCTGTGAACGAAGCGTTAAGCGGGCTGAGGGCCAGTGCTGGGGTCCTGCAGGGGAGAGAAGCATAGCGTGCACTGCACCAACGGGTTCGCTGAGCTTGCTAGCTGGTTGGTTGGCCGGCCGGGTTTTCTGCCACCACCACCACCAGTTGTTCACCTGGGCTGGCTGCCGCTCAGCGTTTAAGCTGCCGCCTGCACAACGTCATCCCTCGCGCTTGACAACATCGCCGCCACCACGATCCGCTAGACGAGCTGGCAACCCTTTGTTTCCCCCGTAGGAATCGGCATTTGACTACACTCTGAATCACTACGAGCCTGATTTTACGGCCTGCACGCTACGTGTTGTTTGTTTGCCGCCCGTTGACCGCCCGCCACCACGACCACCTCGCTCATCATGGAAGCTATCCGATCCTTCTTTGCGCCGCCGGATCCGCAGGCACAGGTCCGTGAAAGATACTTTTTCTGCTATTACATGCAGAGGGTCGTAATCATGATGGTAGAAGGCTAACAATTTACCCACTGCAGGCCCGCAAATGCAATGCCCTGATCCGCTCCAACATCCGCAAGCTCGATCGCGACATCATGAACCTCAAGCAGACGGAAATGAAGACCAAGAACCTGATTCTACAAGCCGACAAGCGCGCACAGCGAGAACCCTCCAGAGCAGCTCAGGCGCAACGAGAGGCGCGAGACTTTGCCCGCGAGCTCGTCCGCACGCGCAAAGCCAGCGCGCGACTCATCACATCCAAGGCACAGCTCACATCGGTTCAGATGCAGGTGCAGGAGACGTTTGCCGTCCGCAAGATTGAAGGGTCTCTCAAGGCAAGCGCGGGCATTATGAAGGATGTCAACTCGCTGGTCCGACTGCCGGCGCTCCACGAAACTATGCAGCAGCTCAGCATGGAGCTCATGAAGGCGGGCATCATTGAGGAGATGGTCGACGATATGCTACCTGAGGATGGTGATATGCTGATGGAGGACGAAGAAGCAGAGGGCGAGGTTGATAAGGTCCTTGGTGAGATTCTCAAGGATAAGAAGCAGCCGACGCTCCCTGTAGCGCCGCTCCCGGAGCCACAGCAGCCTGTGGCAGCGGAAGAGGAAGAGGAAGACCCCGAGGCTATGATGGATCAGATGCGCAACAGACTAGATGCTTTGCGCAGCTGATGTGGAGAGTTGGTGCGTATCTGGGAATGGCATATAATGTTGGATGGCGTTGTCGGCGTTGTGATTTCACGGCATAGCGTTCTCTCTTTTTCTCGTCTCTTTTTTTATACACCAGCCATGGGCATTCAATATAATTCATTGATTAAATCTGTGTTCGTTTGGTCTCCTACTGTCATGATTCATAACCTTTACAGAAGTTCTTTGCACCGGTGCTTCATTGTTCGAGGGTTGGACACCGCAAACTACCACGATACCACCACTGCAGAGCAAGCCTACAATAGCAACACGTACAGCCAATTATTGTCCCATTTATAAGCCGGTGTGTTACACCCAAATCCGACCATAATTAGAAATACGGCTACTTCTGCGCAGAGAGTGAGCGTGCATATGCTTGCTGCTTATTCAGGCCACAGGGTAGCCCTACAGTCTGATGCAGCAAGCACCAGGCTAATCTAACGGCAACGCCGGTTCGTGCACATTGCCAGGCTGAGAAAGACGCAAGGATGAAAAGTGCCGACCGACGGGCGTGTGTAACGCAAAACAGAAATACCCTGCTCTTTGTAGTGACGGTTTTGTGTCAGATGCGGCACAGTCAGAAAGTGAGCCCTGTTGTAGTCAGACTCAAGTAAGAGGTTTGAGATGCATGAAACGCAGAGGCCACTTTCGGTAGCGAAACGCGGGGGGGAAAAGTCTGGGGAAAAGCAGGGACACTAGAAATTCAGCGAACCTGTGCGAGTGTGTTCACGGTCCTCTATTGCGAAGAAATTAGGACAGATGCCATCCAAGCTAGCCAGAGGAGATGACAGCGGTGGTTGCGACTTTGCAATACTAGGCCAAAATACGCGATGTGGCAGCACGGGCATACCGTAGCAGTTAGACAAGAAAAGACATATTGAGCATACGAGGCTACTCTGCGCTGCTGCTGCTGCTCGTCACGTCACAACAAAGGTTACATGGCGGGCAAAACCGCATGCAACAGCGAACGAAGACAAAAATACACCAGGCAACAGAAACGATAGACGACGGAAGAGAGTGGCTATTTTTGGGAGTGCCGGCCAACCAACAGAGAGTCAAAGCGAGGACTAGAAGGGTACGAGGCTCGGCTGGCCCCCAAGTACACACCACCTCCAAGTGTGACGGCTATAGCCTTCTTTTTTGGCGATGCAGTAGATTGTCTGAGCGGCGTGGGGAGGCGGAGCAGCCCGATGCTAAATATGACTGTAAATAATATGTAGTTGGTTGTGTAGCCGACAATGTACGGTAAGGATTGGGCATGTCAGAGTGCAAGTTGCAAAAACAACAACACAACACAACACAGCCATTGCACTGGGCGCCTACCACCAGATGATGAGGGCGCTGGGCGCAGGCAGATGAAACGTCAACTGGACACCACTCTACGGTCGCGGGATGAATCAGAACGCAGGCAGGCTCAACTCACAGTCGCTGCATCACTGCATGGGCCACATGAAATTGTAGTGTATATGGCAGAAGAAACAGAAACAGGGGGTGACTGAGGGTAGAGGTTACAGGAGAGGTCATTTGCTTTGCTGGCTATGATACCGACTCATTATGCTGCCTGCCCAGTACTATTGTCTATGGCAAGCAGCCAGCCAGCCATCCCTATTCTTTTAGGTTGGACAAGTAATATTAAAAAAAAAAAGAAAAAAAAAAGAGGCTATAATACGTAGAGAACTCGAAACAACGGCACGACTCATACAGAACCCAAGGAACAAAGTGAAAAATTCTCTGCATCGTTCCATTGCATGGACCAGCCCAAATCAGGCATTTCCGAGGGCAAATAAACCCGTGACAGAGGAAATGAAAATTGGATAGCGGCCCGCCGGAACATGAATCCCAAAGGGCCGGGACGGCGATGGCGCAAGGGTACAGGGCCCTGGCCTGTCTCTTCAGGGCCCGTCTTTTCAGTCAAATGCCCCATGAGGTACGCTACGCGGTATACTAACGTAGGCGAGCGAGCGAGAGCCACGGAGAAGCTGGAAGCTTCAGGGGAGTCCCTGACCAAGGTTCCAGGGGAGTTTAAGTGCGTGCTCGCTGTTTGTTGGTTAGGGGGCCCGCCAATTTAGGGGCTGCTACAGGGGCTTCATCGACAGCGGGCTTGAACGGTGGACCCGCGCGGGAGGACGGGTAAGGAGGCGGCTAGTTGGTTTAGTGTCCCGGGACGGTGGACGGATGTGGGGAGGCCAGGCATAATGGCATTTTCTGCGTCTAGGTAAATTAGCATAGTGCTGTAATGTGCCTGAGCGTAGGGTGCCGTCGGTGAATTTCTTTTTTCCGTTTTATTTTATTTGTGACGGGGAGAAGAAAAATGCGGCCGAAGACAGGGAAATGAGCCGGCTATGGAACAGTCGCAGCATATCAAATCACAAATGGCGCCGAAGAACAAAAGAAAAGAATAGAGTCAGACAGGTACATACTGCTGGTGGTGTGTGTAAGCGTCAAAGGAGCCCTTCTTGTGTCTCTACCCGTTGCTGATATTACTGCTTTTTTTCTTTCCTTCTTTCCTTTTATTTTTAGCCCCCGACTCACACTTCCCGATCAAAGACACGGTTACGCTGCCACTACCGGCCCGTGTCTCTCCTCCGCCTCTTTTTCTTTGTTCCCCCCAGCCCGCTGTCGTCTCTTTTCCCCGCATGTTACAGTACAGCGCGCGCTGGACTGCGCTTCCTGGCCTAGTGAAGACAGTGTCTCGATCGCTGCTACTGTCAAATTTGCTTATATGCGACAAGCACGGGAAAAAGTAATGACAAACGGCGTCTGACCAACAAGCAACTTACTAACCCCACGGCGTGGCGGAACGGGCCAGGCAGCGTCCCGGGAACCACTAACTGACTGCCCTTACTAACGTAGTGGAAGTGAAAAAGAACAGGCAGGGCTGGGCTGGTGCGTGCGCTAGCCACACGCCCCCTCCATCTGGCATCACCGCTTGTTAATACGGCTTCTGTGATGGTGCACAGGGCTGGCTGAAGACAAGACCGTTTCCCTTTCTTGATGCTGCTTTTGGCGGTGATGTGCTGCTACAGCACCGAAAGACGGACGGAGAAAGAGTCATACAACCACAGCAATGCAGGTCTTGTGCGACACCGCACGCATCGTCGCCCCAAACGGCGGCGCTGGACCAGCGGTCAAAGGGACATCACATCACATTCACCGTCTTCTTTTAATCACCTTTGTTATGCGCCGCTTGCGTTGTTGTGTCGGTCAAGACAAACATACAGAGACAACACATCAAAGGAAAAATTTTCTTTTGCTTTTACCGGTGAGGAAAATATTTTCCGTTTGCTTTTTTGTTGTTTGCGTGATTGCTTGCTTGGGTTGGTTGGGCATGTAAATTACTGTAATCAGTCACTTCGGTAAACGCTAAACTAGGCATCGGGCACTGTACTGTAAGCACGAACCAACCAACAAACCGAAACCCCCGGTGCGTCTTCCTGACGGCGGCACAGTCAGACTACTAAGCCGGCTATTTCGTTTTCCGCCAACAAAAAGGCACCGCTGGTGGTGTTGACAGTGTTATTCACTTCGGTCTTACTCTAGTTGGGGACAAGCACCGAGTATTTGCTGGCTGGCTGGTGCTACTGTTGTAATAGGCTCCGGCAGGCTCCCCAACACAAAGAGTGCTACAGGGCGCTGGCAGAGCCTGGAGGGGGAGGATGGTGCGTCGTTGCGTGCTGCTGATTGGCTCTGGCAGCGAAGTGCAAAGTGTCAGTATAGGGAGATAATACTGTAAAATGGGTGGTGGTGTAGGCTCGTGGACAAACAGTGCGTCCTCGTAGTGCCATTCATTGGTGGTGGTGCTCTGTGCACCCGCTGGGCGCTGGCTAAAACCACCACTGGCCACCAGCTGGACAGCGCTCCTACAGTGGTGTTGGCTCGAAATTACAGCGGGCGCTCGGAGCTCCGGGCTCGCTACAGGGGGGTCGGTGCTGGCCTGAAGTGAAAGTGAACAGGCGCCAGCTGTCACAGGCCCAGCCAGCCAACCACGCACATGTTCCATCACACACACAACAAAGCAAAGTTACAACCATCACCGACACACAACCTCGGACACGCTAAACACACACGCCCCCCCCCAGCACCGGATTCCAACCCGACCATCGCACCCCTGCTTACGTCCTGACTGGGACGCCCGCGTTGCCTAAGAATAATTCCCACCGCTTACCACTGCAGTGGACGGGCTCAGGCAAGGTTCACAAAGGGGGCGTGCGTGCGGTGCGGCGCTGGTCAAACCATATATCATTCACGGGTCAACCCTCTTTCAGAACTCTTTCAGTCTAGCATTTCACTTCTTCTGATGATCAGAAAATCTGTCGTCCCAGGAAACTATTTAATAAATAGCCAGCTCTTGTGTCGACTTGTCATCACCATCACCAACACCATCACCAGCATCACCAGCTTTCGACTCACACCAAGCCTGTATCGCACCGCACCCACACAGCCCAGTACCGCACAGCCCAACGCAGCCGATACTCGCACAATAGCAGTACACACGCACAGCACACACACACGTGGAACACACACCCAACTTCGCATCGCGCGCTCCCGCAGCCCAAAGCACGCGCTGAGCCTTACCGCAGCCGAGGAACCCGCCCGCCCGCCTGCCAAACCGTCGTCATACCCGGCGTCGCGCATCCAGTCATCCGCGCTGCTCCGGCCCGTTTTCTATTATTGACAAGGGCCTCGTACAAAATAACCACCCTCGCACCTCGTTTTCAGCCCTTTCTTCGAACATTCACCACCCTTCTTCCGCCGTTCCATTTTAGTACTTGTTCCGATGCCATCGCACCACCGCTGCCTATAAAGAATCTTTTGGCCCCGAGTGCACTACCACTACAACCACCACTACCGGCTTACACGCTATAACATCACCAACCTACTTACACTTACACACACCACAACACCAACCACAACCACCCGTCATGTACGGTTCATACGGCTCGTACAGCTCCATGAGCGCTAGATCCGCTCCCATCGACATCATCTCCTCCTCTCGTGGCCGCGACCACTCCTGCGCATTCCCATCCTGGCCTCGCCGCGCATCGCTCAGCGAGTCCGATGCCCAGGAGCCCCCTCGCGCAACATCCTACCTTTCTGACGACGACCTCCTCTTCAGCTGCGACGACGCCGTCATGTCTTCTTCTGAGGACGAGACCAACAGCATCGCTTCCACCTCCTCGTCTACCTCCTCTTCGCCCGCCAACTTCCTCAACTTCCCTGCCGCGCCTGTCGTCGAGGTTGCCCTCTCCGACTTTGACCTTCAGCGACAACGGCTCGAGAAGCTCGAGGCTCAGAACCAGGCTCTCCGCGAGCGTGAGCGCCGCAAGATGGTCTACAAGCAGCAGCGCCGCATGGCCGCGATGGCTGCCAAGAAGTACAAGAACTTGGCTTCTATGGCTCCCATTGCCGAGTAAAATCTCACTCGCCTACAAATCATCACCAGCTTCACTAGTTGGCTGACTGCTTGTACTATACCTGTTTTTACTACATGTACCACCATCACGTCACGACTTGAGCATTTACAGCGCGGCATCACACTTTCTACCTACATCTTATTCACTTTCACCTGATACCCCCATTTTTCTTCTACCAATACTACCTTTTTGGTTTTCCTTTTCTTTCCGCCAAAGCGACAAGACAGGAAACTGTCGGAATCTCTTCTGCAGGTAGCTAGCCAGTTTTCTTCCGCACCGCCGGGAGCTAGCTGGCTGCCTAGCATCGCGCGCGCAAGCCAAACCCTGCGAAAACAAAAAAAAACAGCCCTTTTTGCGACTACTGCTGCCCTATCGGGCCTGGTCGGAAGCTTATGCAAGCCGAGGAGGGCGATCGCGCGGGGAAATGGCAGTGTGCACACACGCACGCGCAGGCGTGTGAGTGCCCATCTTGCACATGCCGATGGCCCATCACATGTGACTCCATCACAAGCTTTCCACATGGCCACAAGGCAACCTTCACTAACCAAAGCCTATTTTGCGGCTTTGTTTTGTGTTGGGAGCTTTGTTTCATGTTGGGCATTTTTATTTTTTCGAAGCTTAACCGAAAAAAAGAGTGCGCATGCATCTTTTTCGGTTTTATTACCGATCGCAACCACATGCATTTGCATGGTGGCAGCCACTTACACGGCTTCATGGCATCGACTTACTTTTGTTACGGCCTCGACTGATTCTTCTTTTCTTTTTATTTTCTTTTTTTCACATGTTCCACTTTGTACTACATGCATAGCGATCAACCGCATAGTTCTCTTTTTTCTTGTTCTCTTGCACAGCATAGCACAGCATCAGCGCAGCATTTTTCATTCGTCTTCCCCTTTTTCTTACTGCATAAGCATTTCATGCATAATGATGGATAATTGGTTATCCAGCTTCGACTGGAATAGAACACTTTCTTCTTGAGATACCCCCAGCTTGCCATCGACTCATAGTCGGTGCATTTTTTTGTTTCTTTCTAGATAGCACTTCAGCATAGATTCCCTAATGTGGTACATAATCACTTGAACTTCACCAACACTAGTTCCTCTCTCTCTCATTTTGTGATTCCTGCTACTCTAGATTCATAAACCATTGTGATTCCTCGCTGCGGAAGCATTGCCGGCCGCAATTACCCCGTCGCTTCCGGCACGCACAGAGCCGCTCAGGGGATAACTCGCCTACGGTAACACCCCTGGACGCATCGACATCTCCGCTAATGGACAAGCTGCAGAACCATGTTTGCTTTTTTTTTGTCTTCGCCGTTGTAACCTGCTGCATCCCTGCATTCACCCGTGTCCCGGCAGTCCTTCCCCGGAGCGGGAACACTAGCGTCCTCTCCTGGTACGTACCGTACTCGCGACAGGGGGCGCGCTCTCTTGTGCTTTGGGTATCTGCTGGAATTTCAGGCAGTTGACTCTTTTATACTGTACGTTTCAGAAACTCTTACCGTTATAGAGCCTACTTCGGATGAAATATTACTTATTTGTTATTTATAAGTATATTTTGCAGTCGCTCTGCGGGGAGACAGCCTTCGTGTTGTACATCAATGGAGCATGTGTACGCAATGACGATTCCTGCGAGTGACAAACAATTGGAGATATAACACCATGTATTGTACGTAGTGACATGATAGTCAGAGTTCTCAAAAAAGGGCAGAGAGTGTGATGGCTTGCTTGGTAGGGTGAGCGAGCTGCCGTGGCTGGCTTTTTCAATCTCCCGACTCATCACACATAATCCCTGCAATAGGCATGTCTCAACTACGCCACACGCCTTCTCAACGGCTCTGGATGTATCTTTTACACCAGTAAATAGTATACATGACATAGTTTCCCATATAGCATAAATGAATCAGTATACGCCTCCTTCTCATAGTACCTTCTATGCAATTATATGTTCTTGGAGTAGATGGCGGACGGCCTGCTTGGAGGTTGGCTGCGTCGACGCGATGTAGCTCAACGCTCGCGAGGTCTAACAGGTCTGTTTGCTTTGGATTTGAATGGGAATTTTGAGGGGGTCATCTGATTACTTAAAAGATGGAATAATTTGGTTGAATTGTAATGTAGATGTGGAAGATCCAAAGGTATCCTCATGTACACACCATTGGCGGCCATTGACCGAGCGCCATGCTCACCTATGCCAAATGATTTACACCGGTGGCTTGCACTAGCTCATTGGACTAATGCGGTGAAAGTCTCACGTCCATTGTATACATCGGAATGGGGTTTAGCGGAACTGATCCGGCGGCCTCTGCCCTCAAGCTACAGATGTTGGTCTCCGCTGGCAGCAAACTACCTGCAATTATCAAATATACCGTCGAAAAAAACTTACTCAAGATATTTCAAGCAAACCAATACGTTATAGAACAGATTATACAAAGGTAATTACATAAACAACAATCAGCTGGGGCATGACCAGCTGGCCAACTTTGGTAGCCTCCCCGTGTGGATCTCCAACGCTTTACTACTAGTAAAAGACGGCTGCGAAAATTGTACCATCTCCACTGTATCTCCGTCGTTTGCAGCAGGCTGGGAAATATGATAAAAAGCCGGTGGCGGGGAGGGGAGACTACTGCAGAGTTATGGAGTGCAAGGGCAAACATGGCGTTAAGGTTTGATGCTGCAGCTCGGCCTACATATCAGCTGCAACATTAGCGCAATTATCACCTCCGTGAATTGGATTCAAGTACACTCCAGATTTGAAAAGGGAATAGTAAAGAGCCAATTTCCAAACCGGTTTCACTTGTTAGCAACTCTTGCATCCGGTCAGAAGTGTGCTGACTGCATCTCCGGATAGGTCGCCGCATATCCCGGCGGGTTAGCCGATTATGCATGAAGCACCGGATCCTACTGGTATGATCCCGAGTTCAATTGCAGTCACACTAGATTCCATGCGTTGAACTTGTGGCGACGCTAACTGTGTACTAACAGATTGAGGTGCAGAGGTCAGACCGGTCGAGACGAAGAGGTGGTGCCCACTCGGCGATGGAACTTGCTGCGGGACAATCGCCACTTGGACAGGGTCTCAAGTCATTAGCGCTACGGAACTCCTGTGTAATTGAGTTTTGCATTGTGCTTCACGTTGGAACTGTTGTTCTGATTCGTCGAACCAAATGGGCCAAGTCCACTAGACGAGACGGGTTCCGCCATCACAGAATGAGTATTTCCGATGAATGCAACCTAGTGTGATTGCTACCAGCCAAGTCGTAGCAGATTCGACAGCCTAAGAAATGCCACCGAAGTCTGATGGCTAGGCGTTGTCATTCATACTCATGGGTGAGCCAACTACTCACCGAAGCTTGCGCCGCAAAGAGGTATACCCCAAGGCAATGCTATTCAACGTCGTGAGATGGCGCTTGGTTGCATGAGTACCAGCATGCAATCATAAAAATAGATGGAATAGCGCTCAAGGCTGGCTCTGGGGGCTATGCATTGCATGCGCGGCAACAACAAGGGCTTTGAGTGTAAGCGAGGACAAATGGCGGCAACGGGATGCGGGTTCGTCGCCTGTTGAGGGTTCCCTTGTTAGACTCAAGTTTCATGTCCCTGTCCCGATTGGTAACGCCAGTCCGTGCGAGGGAAAGGCAGTGCAAAGCAGAATAATCATGACCTTGATTAGCAACATAGCGTGCAGTCGTGGTAGTGGTTTTGAGGTGGTGTGGTGCTTGCTGGCTAGTCTGAGGACCAGAAAAGAGGGCCCCCCTGGCAGCTGGCGCACCTGGCGCAGTTGGGGCAACTGGCAGTGTGAGAAGCAGAGTGGGTAAGCTTAGAGGCAAATGTGTTAGCGGCGCGGGAAAGAGCGATCCACAATCCCTGCCGGCAGGCGTGATGAGGGCGGTGATTGGCCACAGGGGCAGGCACATTGGAGTCCATCCCGGCCAATCACAACGGCCATCTAAGTTCGGCGCTTGCTCGACGCTTTCCATTCGCACGTTGGGCCCCGATGCCCCGCAGCGACGGTCAACCACCAGCGCCATGCCTATCGAACCCGCCAGGTTTCGTGGGGCCTTTGCTCGCGGATTGGGCAAGGGCCTTGTTACAGAACTTCACTAAACTCTTTTGCGTATGGCGGCAATGGTAAAGCACGCATTACTTACCCACTCGAAACCTTGACCAGCCAGCCAGCCAGCCTGAAGGAGGAGCAGCAGCAGCAGCAAATGAAAACGTGGTGGGAATAATCAGCATCAGGCAGCGGTGACAAACGAGGCAAGACAAGGGACCCAGAAGCAGGTAATAACAGCAAATACGGCCAGTAGCCACAAAATGGCCAGCGTGATCTCTTATGGCACCAAACGCTAACGGACGTAACCATGTCCAGGTGCTGCCATTGGCAGTTGTTCACAGTGCTAAGCTGGCCTTTGCCACGCGAATCGACAGGGCTCTGCGACTCGCCATTGGATCTCGGATTTGATTAGTGCACTGACAATCCACCTCGACAACGCATTCTTTGCCTAGGCAGACGAATAACATACAGTAGCATAGCCCTCTTTGCCGCGCCGCTCGGATGCTCATCTTGGAATAGCAGCAACCAACGTATTTTTGGGCGTGTTGGCAAGTCAGATGGACATGAACCGGGGGTCCATTACTCCAGCATCGCTGTCATGCATGCGGTGCATGTCGTAGATGATTGTGCCGACGAATCGCGTATTGCGCCGTTGGTACCACCGACGCAAGGCAGGGCCAGCGTATCACACTAGTGAATGTCTGCCCAAACAAGGCCCGTCAGCGCCATATGGGTCACTGCTGCAGTCGCCTCTTGCAGCAAAAATCGCCAGGCGAAGCTAGCTTTGGCTAATTTTATATAGTCTTGCAGCTTCTATCCACTTACAAGCCGTCGCGCCAGAGCTTAGCCGCCACTCCCCTCCACCACCCCAGTTCGACGGGGCCATCACACCCACACCTCGACAGCGTCTTTTCTCTGCCCGTCTGGCTCCTGTTTTGGTGTGAAAGCCTTTTCCTGGTAACGCCTTGGTGAATCTGCAGTTGAGACAAAGCGCTTGGGATCCCCCCTCTCGGTCTCCTTCTTCTGGCAAGCCGACTTCTGGCCTTCTCTCGTTCTGCTTTCTTCGTTCTCCGTCTCGCCATCGCCCGTCTAAGTCCTTCTATTCTGTTGCTTTCGTCTTTCTCCCCAGTCAGACATCTTCAGCACAACAAAAACAACAGATCCGCCGCCTTGACTAGCCTTCTCACGGCGCAAGAAAAGCCCTCGCTAGCCCTCTCGGTCCCCTTGCCGCCCAACTATTCCAGCTCGAGCGATCCCCTCCTCCTCTTGTGCTCCTCTTGGAACCACAAGCGCCGACTCCACCCCCATTTCCTGCGGGTACTCGCAGCCACTCGTACACCCAGTCCACGCACTTTCTGCAAAACCCTTTGAGGTGCCCGCCCTCTCCTGTGACCTGCGCTGCACTCTTATTTTCTTCACTTGGTTTTTTGCTCTTTCAGCCTTTTGCTACTTGCGTCACTGCGATCCCTGGCTTCAGTTGCGACTTTCTCGGCCGTGTCTGCGATTTCCTTTTCCCTTGTCGCTCAACTTATACACTCCCCAACTGCCGGGCGCCCACTGTCCTCGACCGCCGACCGTTTCGCCCACCCACGCCTCTTCTCGTGCTAAGCGGCGCAACCTCTCACAGCTCGCCCTGACTTTTTTGCTGTTACACACCGTCCGAATAGAGCATCTTCGATTTCGTTGGACCTTTTTTCCTCCTTCGCCTCAGTTCTGATTATCCCCTCGGCTTGGCCTTGAATCGACCGCCAATTCACCTGTCTCCCGCCTTATACTTGGTCTCACAGCTACGCGCCGACTATGAAACGAGACTGAACAAATTCCGAAAAATTCGCAGAATTATTTATGACCAGCTCCGACTCATAGACGAAAATCATAATTTGCATCACTGGGCAGCGAAGCATCGACCGCTTTTCAGTCGCCTGCAGTTCGCCCTCTGAACTGTAAGCGCTTCCCCAGCCACCACTTGGTCCGAATAGAGAATACGTTGTAGACTGCGCAGCTACAGTCACGACCACGTCTTTTTATTTGCTATAACTATATAATAGCCCAAAATGTCTGCAGCAGCGTCTTCTAGAAACGCCAGAAGCGCTGGCAGATCGTCAACCGCCCGAGGCGAGCCTGCTCCCGATTATCCAGTCATGCCGTCGACCAAGGAGCTGCGGTTTTTTGATGCTTGCGCTTCAACAGCATCCATGTTTTTGTATGCGCAAGGCTCAAGTATCGTATGCTGCCATCATGACACCCTTACTATTGAGCGCCGGTTTACCAGACATGCTGCTGAAGTCAGACTCATAGCTGTGGATAACCAAAGCGCTCACGGTGCTGGACGCTTGGTAGCCAGTTACGACAGTGCAAAATATGCAGTGGTTTGGGATTTAATGACCGGCGATGAAATCGCCAGATTTTCTGCATATGAGCACGTTACAGCTGTATCGTTCATGAAGAACGGCAGCGTCGTGTTTGGTAAGTCATCTTCTTCGTCATTATCCGTGAGACTTGCATTAACACAACGCAGGTGATGCCATTGGCCACTTGATGGTTTTCGACCCTACAACAGCTGAGCACTTCTATTGCCGAACTATAAATCAAATTGCAATTACTGCGCTTGCCCCGTCAGCCGATTGCCAGACCTTTGCGGTTGGGTACGTATCCTCTACGTGAGCTCCCGAGTATACCTTCGCTAACTGATTGTAGATTTCAAAACGGTTCGCTTTTGACATGCCAGCTTAAACCTTATTACCAAGTCATCCATAATCTATCTACCTCTCGAGGCCCCTCTCCCATTGTCACTCTTGCCTGGCATGCATCTTCTCCAAAACAAAGAGCGGATATGCTTGCTGTGCAGACATATGACGGAGACTTGAGAGTGTGGAGTGTTGCAAAGAACAACAAGCTGGATGAGCCAGCCAAGGTCATTAGAATATTGCGCCGCTCTGAAAACCGCATCATGGGTCCCAACTGGATGGGTTGGTCAAAGAACGGCCGCATTATTCAGTTCTCTGAAAGGTAAGACGCATCTTATACGTATTGAAGTGCTATATCACTAACCAGAAGCTAATACAGTGAAACCCGATCATGGGATGTCAGAACAAAACATATCACATTCGATGATATTCCAACATTAGAGCATGTTCGCGGTATCACATTATACGGTCCTGGCGCAACTTTATTCACTATTGGACCCAATGGTACGGTCCAGCAGTTTGATCTTAACGCACCTTCCATCATGGTGGCCAACGTTCAGCATCCTGTTAGCCTGCTTCCACCATCTCCTCCAAACTCTATTGAAGAGACAGCCAACCAGAGTGTCCATTCGGCAACCACGATACACACCTCCGATACCGAATCAGGATCTTCCATCCCCTTTGAGGTTGGCGTATCTGAAAGTGACGACGACCATTTGTCACCCTTCGCTCGCATTGCTCGCCATCAACAAGGTGGTCTTCCGGGTGTCGATTCTGGAAACTCTGGTAATGAAATGTACGACTCTCAAAGCCCTGTCTCCAGCCGAAGCGCTCTTTCTGGTAAATCAAAATCGTCCACTGGTTCAAAAACACCAGGTCGCCCCGCCGGATCCATGAGATCTAAGGGCATGTCCGATCATACCTATATTTCCGCTGGTACCTCTCTGAAATCATCCACTGTTGGTCGAAAGGATGTCGATAATTATTCCATGGGCTACTCTCTGGGAACAACAAGCGTTTCTTCCATGGCATCGTCTAGAGCTCGCCATCGACCTTCACGGCTCCGCCACGAGGTTCCTAGAAGTCCCGATGAGAGCAGCAACAAGGTACACGACCTGTTCAAGTTTACAAGAACACGCCTCAGTGATATTCCCTACAAACACCCTATCGCACCAGACAACTCCCGTCTAACCAACGATGATCTTCGCCGCCAGATGCTGAGCACCATCTTTGGTTGGCACAACGAAGTGGAAGACTTGATCCGGGATGAGATGAGTCGCCATGCTGCCGGATCACCTAACCGTATTCTCCTCGCCAAATGGCTCGGAGATATTGAGACAGACATCATGGAAGCTGGCTCTCAGAACATGACATCATCTGATTGGATGATGCTTGCTCTAAGTGGCATTGGTGGTCAGGCTTCTCAGCACAAGCTGGGACGGGCATTCGTCCAGCGTTTGCTTGAGAGCGGCGATGTCCATGTTGCAGTTACCATGATGCTCGGAATGGGTGATCATAACGATGCTATTGAGATTTACGTATCTCATAAGCGCTACATGGAAGCCCTCATTCTTACTTGTTTGGCATTCCCTGAAGTATGGGAGCGCCAGGCTGCTATTATCAGAAAATGGGGTGAATGGGCTGTTCAGCACGGGCAACAGCAGCTAGCCATCCGATGCTTCGCCTGTACAGATCAGGAGTCTTCAGAGCCTTGGAGATCACCATCTGCGGCCCAGCTAAGTTTCACCAATGTCACACCCAGCATCCCCGAAATTCTCAGCCCGCCATTGTCACCACCAGGCCAGCGCGGTCCCCAGCGTAGCATTGCAAAGACATCAGCCTTGAAGCTCATCACCTCATTTGGTGACCAAGGCCAGAAATCGAAGTTTTACTCTCAGAATGACGAGGGACAAACACCTATTGCGGCTGGTGTTACTCCTATTGCTGAATCTGCAGTTTCTCCTGGAGGATATGACTTGGCTACTGCCTTCATCAGACCGTCTAACAACAGCAGATTTAATACACCAACATCTGCTCGCCCTGTTGGCCGAGGTCGTCTCCCATCCATTGGAGAGGTTCCATCAGACTTGAACCGAATTGTATCAACGACTATTGGTGACAATGGAGCCAGCCGCCGTGGCCATAGCAGAAACACTTCCCTTGATCAGGATAACTTGGCCCTCGGAAACTCTCTGCAGCGTGCTTCTACGGCGAGCCCAATGATGATGCGTGAGAACTCTGCTCGTATCGTCGCCAACTACGAAGGAGAACGTGCACCATCGCCTGACCACAACATCATGGCGCGCATGCAGGAGGCGAAGGGAAATCTTCGCAACGGATCTCGCGATAGAATTCCTCGCGGCGTCAACCTTCAGCTTCAGCCAGTAGAGCAAACCATCGATACTGCTTCTACAGAACAGTCTGGTACATCATCTGCCCGTTTCCATTGGCCAACTCGTCGACGCGGACCTGGATCCGTAGCAAGCTCCATCACATCTGCATCAAGCGCTGGACGAAGCTACCGCCACACAACACGCAAGACAGATCCCACCAAGGACCCTACAGTCGCATATCCAGTCCACAGCACACGCCAGCCAAGTAAGGAGAGAACTCGTGATTCATCTAGAGGACGTCATGGAAGCAAAGAGCGACGAGCAAAGTCTCGCGAGGCTTCGGAAGATCGCGGTCGTGGCTCTGTAAGAAGCTCTGCCCGAGGAAAGCGATCTCCCACTAGCCCGATCCCCATGTCACCTGAAGACCTTGCCAATCTCACTCCACGATACTTTGAGGCTGTCGAGCCCGGCACCACTCGCAAGGCTCCTAGCGGGACCAAAGCTAAGAGCAGAACTTCGAGTCGCGGTAGCGCCGATGCACGCAGACGCCCCAAGCTGGATTCTCGTGGCCGAAGCAAGGGTCCAGAGGTGACGATGCTGGCATCGCCCACATCGCCGCTTCCAATGTCTGCTGTTGCACTTCACTATCAAGGCTCTGAAGATGAGGAGGACTTGAAACAGGCGATACAGGAGCAGGAGGCTTTCCGAGCTAAGCATAGCAGAAGCACTAGCCGTGGCCTGAACTCTCCGGCCGTTTCACGACGGGAGCGCTCTGAAAGCCGAAAGCGTGAGGTAGCTGAGTCACTTGATACCTTGCCCCCAATGGTTATGCGCAGCCGTGCAGCATCCACAGAACATGCGGGTGATTTGCGTCAGATGAATGCTGAGCGCCAGCGTAAGAAGGATCAAGCAGCCCGGGAGCTCGAAGAGCGACGCAAGTCGCTTGCCAAGAGATCACAGACTCCCAATATTCTTCATCCAAGCGAGGTACCACCCGCAATGCGTGTTGGTATTGAAGCTGACGACGATATATATGATGATAACATGCCTCCACGATGTGCTACAGAGCCTCCTAAGAGCATGTATGCCAACGCCGGTCCAAGCGTAGGCTTGCCTGCTACACCGAAGGCAATGCGTCTCGTTCTCGAGGTTGATAAGCAACCGGAAGAGAGCATTCCTGCTGTCCCTAGTCTTCCCCTGCCCTTCACCTACGCGCAGCCAGCATCGTCTCTGCCAGAGGGTGGCGAGGATGAATCCCTTCTGTTGCTCCCATCTACGGTATATGAGCCACCACCAAAGCCAGTCAAGACGCCAAAGATTGCCAGAAGCGCATCTGCACCACCTACTCGGGATGGTGCTCCTGAACGATCTCGCAAGAGCCGCAAGGGAAGTGTTGCTGAGGAACAAACCAACGACGTTGATGCCATCCCTCCTCCTCCTCCCCCACCTCCAGCTCCTCCAGTCTTGAAGGAGCTTCAGCACTTGGCCATTCCACCACCACCTCCTCCAGCTCCTCTACCAAACTCCATTGCCGCCAACAACATTCGAGGAGGCGGTGCTGTAGCTAATGGTCTAATTGAGATTGTCCGTGACGATGATGAGGACGTTAATGAGCCGGTTGTCGTAGCTCCCAACGACAACATGGTGCCCGTTCTTTTCCCTCCCGCTCCGCCATCACGAGGCCAACCCAGAGCACGCAGCGCTAGTGTTTCTGGCCGCATCTCACGACCTCCCAGCCGCACCCGAAAGGATTCTATCGAGGTTGGCCTGGACGGCAGCTTGATCAGATCGCCAATTCTGTCGCCGCCCCCAATGCATTTTGACCAGGACGCTATTCGCTCGCCGGTGGGAAAAACGCATAGCCACATGTTTTAATCAAGTCTCCTGCATTTATTCTACAGCTTCAACTCAAAGTACATATGCTCCGGAATCTGCACATATGGTGAACGCATCAAGAGTTGCTCCAAGGCGGCCATTATCTCTCTTCTTTCGTTTTCTTTGTTGAACCTAGTTTTGGGTTTCTTGTTTCTTATTGTTATGTTCTTTTTTTTTCTTCGTTTTATTTCTCTTCAGATGTTTTCTCCTTTTGGTTTTCTTTACGACTCATGAACTGGTGGGATGACAGACGCATCAACTTGGGATTTCCAATGTCTTGTTCTACTTTTCTTTCTACAGCGTACAACGCTGCCTCGCGGCAACTTTGTGATATAGTTGGTTCTGGATCAATTTGTACAGCTGTTCCAGTCAAGTAGCATGTTGATAGTATATTGAAATTAATTTTTTTCTGTCTCGATGATGAATGTCCTCTCAAGTACAACGTGTGGCGTGTAAGTCAAGCCTACCAAAAAACACATGGAAGTGTGTTGTTTTGGGGTTCGAATCTTGCGACAGCGTTCCCAATATAAATTCAATTCCAGTTTTATTAATATCACAAGATTGATAATAAAATTACAAATCATTCAGTATAATTTTGGTCTGGGCTTTACGTTGTAAAGAATGGCAAAAAAAGAAATAAAAAGTGAAGTTGAGCTTCTCCTTCTCGCGCAACCAGCCCAAAGTTCCCTCTAGGGTCGTAATCCAATTCGCCACGCGACGGGGAAGATGCCTCTGCAGAGTGAAACCTCCCTCAAGAATAATCTTCAGTGCTTAGGACCGCAATGCGAACATTGTTTACCGACGTCGCAGGTTACCCATGCGAGCGGGCGATCACCGCAGCGTTCGAACTGGGCGCCAGCCAGAGGGGATCTGACGGGGTTTGGTGCGGAAGACGCAAGAAAAGTACGAGAGTCTTCACCATTGAACCATTACAGCCGGGGATAAACCGTGCTAGTTTATTTTATATACCTACATTTTTCTGTGGGGCATATGTGCAGAGCAGTGGAACAGCTGTAGAGTGCTGCTGCAGTGGGGAACGCACCACCTGTAGCTATCCCCTAAAGACAGCTCTCGACTCATGCCAGCTTGATATCCTGTCTTTCCATCTAACCAAACAACACATACGACTTAACATGATCAGCGTACGAACCCAACGATAATATTATACCCGACTCTAAGCACGCACAACACACGCACATACACACTATAGCGATGCTCACATCAGCCCCCCGGCTGCGCATCCGCAGACCCTCCCCAACAACCGCCGAATTCACAGTCACCACACTCCCTCCACAAACAGTCACGCTACGCGCCGCTCGTCTGCTACTACTGCTCTTCCGAATCACGCTATCCCTCGCAACAGCTTTCCTACTACACTCGCGATGGTCCGCGTCTCAATTGGCCGCCCCGCGGTCGCCGCTGCCCCTGTCCCGACCCGATAGCATAGCGTCTGCTGATGGATTGTGGTGGTTCCTGGATGCCGCGCACCGCACGCAGTTTGGTCTCATGTGCGCGCAGTTATCCGCCATGGTACCGCTTCCTGTACTGCTACTCGCTGCTGCTGCCATTTTCTATGTGTCGAGTCTGAGAATCCACGCGTCCGAGAGCTTGCTCGTGATGAGGGGCCTCGGTGTCCAGACGAGCGAGAGCCCCAAGTCGTACTTTGCGGGCACAACCACACGGTTTATCCCCACAGAAAAGATTCAGGATATCCTTATAAATGAAGGATTCAAAGGGTTCGGTGTGACGTATTATCTCGTTGTCGTTGTAGAGGGCGAGGAGGACGTCGTGGTGGTCTTCCCTGAATTGATGCCCAAGCGGGCCATTGTCGAGACGGTCTGGCGCAGAGCTAGAGAGTGTCTGTACGAGAGGAGGACGGAAGAAAAGGCGCCATCTACTACTGCTTGAGAGGATTGTCGCGTAAGGCTGTTGCTGCATGGTATTGGAGTAATGTGGTGTTTTGTTTGGTTTCTTGGAGCATATAAATATGATACCCCGTCAAAAACTTTTTTGATATTTTATGTACAAGTAATATCTAAGGCTTTTCTTCCATGGTGACGTCTTCCTCCTCGCCGCGAGCATTTCGCTGGGCACGCATGTCCTCCGCATCAGCGAAGCCCTTTCGGCGCGCATATCTATCGTTTTGTACCTCTGGAGACTCCATCATGGCCTTCTTCATCACAGGCACATACTTGCCCACCAGTCTGCCTGTATTGCCACCTTCATAGGCGCGGACGCTAGCGTTAGCATTCAGCTTTTTGTTTTCTACCAAGGAAAAGTCCTGGGCTGTAATCTGTTCCGCTACATGTTGCAGTAGCCGGTTGGACAGGAGCTCGTCCATCTTCTTTTCACGCCAGTGCTGCCACATGCTGTCCATCAGCCCGTGGGGACCAAATTGAGCGAGCTTGCCTTGGGCACTGCCCTCATCACCGACATATACCCATTGCATAATGTCTTCAAAGCTCTGTCCTGCCGATGTAGACTCTACTGCTTGGCTTAGATCTGGGAAGATGCAATCCCACAGCACTAGCGGGACTTCATCGGCCATGACGTATGCGGGTTTGGCTGGGTTCTTCTCAACATCTAGAATCTCTGAAATAAGAGATGGCTTCTCCAGCCCTTGACCAACAAGGAAGAGGAGAGCGACCATGTGTCGAATTTGGTGCCACAGGAAAGCTGAGCCACGCACGTGGAAGTAGTACACCTTGGGGTAGACACCTTCGTCATTCTTCATGGACTCTGGCGCAAAGCCCTGAGCCTTTAGGTATGGCAGGGCAGAGTTGACATCCTTGACTTCGACAATGTCTGATTCGAATATCGTGCGTTTCCAGTTGGTGATGAGCTTGGCCGGGTCAATCTTGCAGACGTTGCGGAAGTCTTGCTCTCCTTCGTAGCGCTTGGCGGCATCTCTCATGGCATCAATGTCGAGCCATCCAGTCTTAACTCCTTCTGTAGAAGCGCTTGCTTCTGGTGAGAATGCAGGCTGTGTGAAAAAGTACCGGTATTGTCGCTCACGACAGGAAAAGCGGGCAGAGAAGTCTGGGGGCGGCGACGGACACCATGCCAGAATGCGAATATCAGGCGGTAGCAACCGGTTCAGTACTCTAGGATAAGCGATTTCGTCGCGGATCGGATCAAACGGCTTCTCTGGCTTCGCCTCTGCCTCCTCCTCGCCGTCAGCGGTTGGTTGTTGCTCGTCTTGTATAGGTTCCTTGGGCAGTGGACGATTGCTGCGGACTCTGATACCAATGACCTGGCCAAAGGCGCTGACACCGCGGTCTGTTCTTCCGCACTTGGAATACTCGCAGCAATCCCACTGCACAACGCGGTCATCCTCGGGGAATATAAGACAGGCTTTGGTCAAGGCGTTCCAGAGCTCTTCTTCAATGGATGGCTGGTTTCCCATGGCTTGGAATTCGAAGCCGCCGTAGTTTTTGCCAAGGTATGCAAGCTTCAAGGCAATGAAGCGGGAAGAATACTTGGACGGGTCCATCTTCCTCTTGCCCTTTGGCTTCTTTGGTTTGGGCTGTGCATCGGATGGCTCGCCGCCATCTTGAGGCTGCTCAACTGGGACAGGCTCTGGCGGTGGTGCTGGGCGATTTTTGAGCTCTGCTTCTAGTTCCTTGACTCGGTCTATCAGACCAGTCTTTGTCCAGCTGTTGTAGTTTGCTTGCGCCGCCATCTCGAGACTCTTTGGCCGTAGTGGTGAAGGTTTGATAGGGGCTATGGAATGGGCTCTGGACGGCCTGCAGACTCTTGTAAATAGCTTACTAGATAATCTGCGGCCAATCCTTGAGGGGAAACTCTGCATAAACGTTGGCGAGGCAGTGATTCGATATTTGGTGAGTGCGTCATAAGGCTGAATGCGGTTTCCGCAGAAATTTGTTAGTGACCATGTTTTGCTGTGGAGGTCGCGTGGGGTCGTTGGGTGCTTGCGCTGTGCTGTAGCGCGATCGCAGCTTTAGAGTGGTGCTGCTACCCGAGAGATGTTCGCGGTTGTGCCGCAATCGTCATATGGATCTTGAAAATTAGTAGGAAAAATATTTTATCCTCAAATATTATACATAGAATTATAATTGAATTTGTTTAACTTATTTTAACGCTTTTTTACTGTTTATTGGTGTTGTATTAAGATGTACATAGCCGCTATCGCGCCAGCGCCCTGCCGAGATAAGCTTCAAGACGCCACCCATACCAGACCTAACGTCTACAACATTAGGGTCTCAGTCCGGTTAGGCCCCAGTTCGGCGCACATTGACACAAGATGGATCCGGGAATCATCAAGATTCTAATGGTCGGCGACGAAAGATGTGGAAAAACGTCGTTTCTTTCGTATGTCCCAGCATCACCGGGCTTCTGCTGCCATCACATGTCGCGCATAACGTCATCTGCTAATGCAAAGTCTAGGCGCCTTCGGGCCGGTGAGAATGTAAATCCGATACCGTTACTACGAGATATAGACCAGCCGTTTAAATTCAACGTCAATTTGGGCGGCCAGAGCCGCATACTCGAGTTTTATGACACATCTAGCCCTGACAATTGGAGACTGTTGGATCCTGATGTTGTTATACTGTGTTATGACATCAGCCAGCGGCTGAGTTTGATCAACATGAAACGCTATGTAAGTTGTATAGTATACAAAAGTGCTACTTCTTCCCATCCACCAGCTAATTATGCCTGCTGTCAGTGGATCAACGAGGTCAAAGGCGCCTTTTCACGCGTCGACAGTCTACCCATTATCGTCTTGGGTTTGAAGCGTGATCTCCGGTCAGAGGATGACCCTAACGGTATTATATATCCCCAAGAAGCGTATCAGATGGCCCAAGAGCTGCGGGCAGATCGATATGTAGAGTGCTCAGCACGTTCGGGCGAGCTTCTCAAGGCGGCGTTTGAAGATATCTGCAAAACAGCCACCGCAACGATCACAGCAGCTGGTGGGCAGAGTGAAGGCGGCTGTACACTGATGTGATTTGGGTGTACGAGAGACCTTTTGTTTATCGAAGCCATATCCAGGCGGAGCTGGCTGGTGATGTTGGCTGTATTCTTGGTACAATCCGACACTTCACGCAGCATCTGCCATGGAGACATCACCCTCCTCTTGTCCCCCAGCAGCTCCTGATTCAGGCTCGCCCAACACCTCTAGGATGATCTGGACCATTTCTTCCTGCTGTTCCTCGGTATATCGATCGGACATGTCCTCGAGGACGGTGTTGAGCGCGACAACAGACGACGGGCGGAGGTTGAGAATCATGACGACCTCGCCCTTGGACAAGTCGTATGGCCGCAGCTGTTGAACTAGTGACGACACACATTCGGCGTTGTAGGTGATGGGCTTCTGGCTAAGAGGGTTTGGTTTACTGCGCATGTATTGCAGAAGCTGGGTTGGTCAAGTTAGCTTTTGGACATTCACCAAGTCGCATCGCCATGCAGACGGTGGACGAGCAGGACTAACCTCGCTAACAACCGTCTCCAAATTAGGAGGTCCTCTTCGCTTAATCTTCTTGTATTGGTCTCGTTGGTCTACCAGGTGCTGGTACACCTCGTAATTGCTGAGGACAGCGGATTGAGCTTCTGTAATTTTCATGATTGCTGTTGCTGTAGCTGGGAAACCGAGGCGAGTCTGGATAGATTATGAAGTTTCTGCTGCTGTAATTATAGTCGTATACAATTGAGTAGCAGATCGCAGGCAATACTGTGCAGGCCAAAAGTGTGCAGTTGGTTAAAAATGTTCGAGGTTGTGATTTGCTCGGAGCGTCAGTCAATTATTTTTTTCTTGATGTTTGCAACCACCTTTGGGCGTTGGGTGGGGTCACGCCTTCTGTGGCACGCTCTACAGCGACTGCCTAATGCCCTGTGGGGACACCCGAAGCACTGAACTGGCCTTATTTTACAGGGCCGCTCAGTAAGCTTCGGCTGCACTACGCTGCGTCTAATTGGCCCATTCTGGCATGCTGGCCTAAACGCCAGAGCCTTGTGTTCAAGTACGAGATAGCTTTTCCCTTCTTCCTCTTTTTCCATCGTCGCACTTTCACACTTGTCGACCTCATTGGATGCTGGTAATCCTCATGATATAAAATCAACTCTCGGCATATTTATTTCTGCCATCCATTCATTTCGTTCAGCCTTTGCTGACTGCCCTTCCTTAACTACTTTACCACATCGACATCGCCACTCAGGGGCTCGACAACCCGACCAACAGCATCCACGATGCTGCGCTTTTCGTTTAGACGGCTCGTCTTGCTTCTGGCTATTATAGCCAGCATGTTTCTCTCCATGTCGCTCATCCTCGGCTCCGACATCGCTGTACCCCAGAGCATCACCGACATGGATAAAATTGGAGAGTCCATGCAGAAGAACAAGGAGTCTATTTATAAGACACTCGACAAGGGAAAGCAATCGCTCTACGAAACGGTCGATAAAGGCAGACAAACTGTAGCGGAAACTACCGATAAGGCCAGCCAAGCTATCCACAAGAACATTCTGAACCCGCTGCTCAACCCGAGCCACGCCCCTCCACGCAAGGACAATGACAACTTCAAGGGCTCATCCTGGATGCCCAATTTGCAGTGGCTGTCTGTTCCGTTTTCCAAAAAGGCTAGTCTGGACGACAGAATCGTCTTGCCTCCTCTGCCTAAGCGCCAACCCGTCTACTGCTACTACGACTCGACCAAGGACAAGCCCAAGGAAGTCAAGGATGCTGAAAGCGACTTGCTTCTGACCTGGCGCCGTGCTTGGTGGGCACAAGGTTTCAGGCCACAGATTCTCGGCTATGCAGATGCAATGAACAACCCTCTCTACGCAGAAATGCAGAAGAAGACGACCCAGGACAGCAGCCTCAACGATAACGTCATGCGATGGCTTGCTTGGGATGCTCTAGGTGGTGGAATCCTAGTTCAGCACACCCTGTTCCCCATGGCCCATGATGACAACGTTCTCTCCTACCTCCGCCGCGGAGAGCTGATTGGACTGCAGCGTTGGTCATACCTTGACGACGGCATCTATACCGGCGACAAGCAGACCCTGACAAAGGCACTCCGTGGCCTCCTGCATAATAGCAAGACGGCCTCGCTTACTCACTTTAAAACCGGGGAACCTGTCCACACGGTATATGAAGCCCTCGACCCAAACTTGTTTAAACTCGATGAGGATGGCTCCCCCTTTGCATACTACAGCAACAGCACTATTCACAAAAAATATGAGAAGTTGGTGAAGAACGGTGAAGTTGACATTGGTGCGCTTAACGGGCTTGTAAATGCTCATCTTCAGAGCACATGGCAACAGCGATTTTCCGGCGGCATCGAGGTTATGCATACTCATGCACAGCACATGGGCGAACTACTTGGCAAAGGTGACAAGTTAGCAGAGTCATTGCGAACCTGTCAAGAAAGCCCCCTGCCGGATAGTTGCCCTCCAAACAACGCCAAATGCACGCCCTGCTCCGCATCCACCTCGATGAAAGTCAAGGCCACCGAGAGCTTTCACAATAAAACCAATGTCTACACCATTGGTATTGTGCCACACCCATGGACCTATGCCGTCCTCAAGAATATGCGAGAGGATCTGGATACTGCATTTATCAAGGCTGAAATCCCTCCAAACGACTGGGTTGAGACCATTACTAAAGACGTTCTTGCTAAGGCTAATGTCGATAAGCGTGTTCTCAGCTACAAGCAGATTGTGGCTGGAGAAGGAGCCTTGGCTTCTTCGTTATGGCTATCATCAGAACGCCAGTTTCCTGATGATTTGGAATGGCACTTTGGGTTTAGCATCCCTAAGCCAGAGTCCAAAGACACGGACGATGATGAAGCGGTCAAAAGCTCAAAGGAGGAAAGCGCAAAGGAACTTGTGCTCATCAGCCACGCCCACCAGGTGATTGCCTTGGATAAGTCTACTGACAAGACCAAGTTACGGGCGGAGCTCGAGGAGTGGAGCATGGCTGATACCGAGGCTTGGAGATTCACGAGAGCCATGCAAGCACGAAGACAGCTGGAGCGCAACAATTTTGAAAAGGAGGAAGCCAAGTATGCCCAGGGCGCGGGATCCGAGAAGGGGCGCAGCCGCTGGAGCAAGTGGAATGACCAAAAAGAAGACACAAAACGTGCTGTAATGTAATGCTGTACGAGGGAGAACCGGGGAAAGACCTCATTTTTGTGTATACGACTTCAACCTGTAACATATTGACATCTATGAATTCTATTTTTTTCTTGCCTAGTATGGTGTTGGCGTTTCTAACATCAGCCGCCAGCTATGCAGCAGCAATTTTGTGCACAGTAGATCCAATAGCTTCAGATTCGCTCTTGTTGGCTGATTTCTGGGCCTGTTCGTCCAGAAGCTCGCGAATGTGGTTGTTGAGCCACAGCCCGTCGAGTTGTTCGCTAGTCATGTCTCGTGCGCCGCTGATTGTGCCTCGACATGTTGGGGTAGAGCATATGCAGTCAAATGGCTGAGCCATATCCCATTCTGTGGATGGATAAAAGAACTATTTCTCCAAGTTAGCTGAAAGCCCATGTGGCGAGCACTAGGATGCTCTGCGTACTGTAAGCTCGTCGCCGGGGTTGATGCCTTTGGGACCGACGAGAACATTCATGTTGCCGATATCAAAGATCTGGAAGAAGCGATTGGATTAGAGATTGAACTGGAGGAGTTGAATTAAAAATGGAATTTACCAGAGATGGTTCACAGGAGTGGTTCAAGTAGAGCAGATCGCTGTTCAAGTCTAGATGCGTGTTTTTGCCCGTCTGCACTGTCGCGTATGTAGGGCTATTGGCAGGCGTGCATGGCGGAAATGAGAGCTTGGAAAAGACGGCGAAAGGAGGGAGAGAGATTTTCGAAATGCTCTTGGAGCTGTATTCCGCTTCGTTGACAATGAGCTCTAGGCGATCGGGGTGCGAGGGCTGCTCCCAGTGCGGTGTTAACGGAGCCATGTTTAGTCGCCGCAGCTAGTTAGCGGGTAGGAATCAAATATTTTAAAGATGAAAGATGTCGAAGAGTTTTAAAAGATGGCCTGGCTGGAGAGATTGATTGACTAGCTTGATCACAGGTGCGGCAGCTGGAGAACGGGGGGGATTTAAACTTTATCTACTTTCCAGCTTGGCCGTTGACACATTACGTAGGGGAGTCCCGGCAGCACGGACGAATGGCGCGGCTTAAAGGCATCTAGTCGTAAGCCTTGTTCAGACCAGGGGCGTGTGGTATAAGCGAGCTTGCAAATCCAACGCCTTGTGGATATCGTTTTGGTTGGCGGCTGAAAGCAAAGAACCCCTGTTAAATGGTTGTTAATATGAGCATGTTGTGGTGGATAGGCGGAATGTTGTATGTGCCGACAGGCTGTGTATTCTGCCCTAACACGTGTACCAATGGTGGAAAGCGTCTTGCGAAGAAGATGCTATTGCACTGTTATTAGATCTAATAAACGTCGACGGTGCTTGTAGAGTCGTGTACTTTGTACATGGCTGGCTGTAGACTTGGGAGGCTGGTGATGCTAGCTCATTAGCTTCTGAGGTCACAACTTGTGTAGACTGAGAGCATCTACCTAGCTGCACTAATATTATTATGGGACTTGCTGTTATTCAACTTGCGGTTTGAAATAGCTCTGTATTTAGAGGGTACTAAGTTAGTGCTAAGAGAGACCAAGCCGACAGTGTAAAAGGGAGCGAGAGACAACACCAAGTTGTTTAATCAATTGGAAATATGCAGATAAATTTTTAATGGCTCTGTATTATTTTCTTTTATTCTTTTTGTTTTACCCCTCAACCTGCACCCCTCTCCATCGTGCCATCGTCTTCTTCTCTTCTCATCTTCGGGCGGTGGCTGACATGTGACCGTTGGTGACGAACTTGGCGGCTCGAGTTTTCCCCGCATCTCCGTTTCTGCTGCTGCTGGAGCTGCTTCCTCGGCTCTTGTGCCAGGTGCCACAGCCGCCCGCCAGGTGCCCGCCAGCCGCCAGAGCATCAGTTGTCACAGGTCAACAGTCGTTTGCATCGCCATTTCTTCTTACCTTTTGCCTTTCTTCTCCTTTACATTGCCGTCGCGACACTCTACAGTTTGGAAAAAGACGACAAAGGCTTCCTGGTCTTTGTTTTTGGATATTTATTAGCTGTTTCTCCGTGCACCAGACTACCGATATGCTTACATCCTCATAACCGCATTTTTTCAATCGTTCGTCTGCGCTGCTTCCGGCTAACAATCTCCAACGCCAGCTTTTTTCATGGCGGCCGTGGTACGTCTCTATTTTGCTCTTGTTTGCCAATGATATTCTCTTGCACCATATTCTGTAACCTCGGATATTCTCCTTTTTTTGGCGCCGTTGGGCCATGCCGCGCTTGTTGGCGCTGACGTGGTGATGTCACCTACGCCTGGTCACCGACAAACAAGACAAGTCACGCGCCCATAACTCTCCTCCCTGCCCTTGGACTTTCCACAACAGAACCCTTTCCAACATACCTTGTTTCAACATACAAGAACCCTACAAACTTCACAATCAAGCCAAAACCGAGAAAAATGGCAAGCTAATAGACCGGAATCGTGCAGGACATTCCCCTCTTCGTCGCCGACCCGATGGCTTCTACTCGAGACGATGCCTCGATCGCCGGCTCGAGCGTAAACGCCCCGAATGGCGCGACAGGCGCGGCAATTCCTTCAACATTTGCCGCCTTCTCGCCAGTAACACTATCTGCGAGCACTCCGTCCCGATCCGCTCGACGATCGACCGTCCTCGTTCACCAAAAGAGCCCGCTGTTGCTGGCCACACCGCCGCAAATTACACGCGCCCTTGCCTATAGCCATCCGTTCCTTTTGCCGCTTAATACCTTTGTTGGGCTGTTGACTTGGAGCTCTGGTGATCCGTGGCAAAGCTTTCTTCTGCTGTCTGCGTTCTGGATGGCGGTTCTCTATGGCGATGTAATCGTGATCCGCGCTGGACCCGTTGCAGTCGGCGCAGGCCTGATTATTGCCATGTACGGACGCCGATATAGTCCTCTGAGCAGTAGCAGCTGGTCTGGTGCATTTGGCAACCCCAAGTTGAAACAGCGCTCGTCATCGACAACCACAGCTTCCCTCACCAGCACTCATAGTATTGGAGTGGAGGAACCAGGTCGGCAAACACCATCACATAAGCGAAACAAGTCGGAAGTGACTGCTACTAAGCACCAGAAGACACTTGATGAGATTGTTGAAACTTTGAAAGAGTTTACCAGTCGCTGTAATATCTTGATGGATCCTCTTTTGGAAATGACCGACTTCCTCAGCACTCAGCAAACAGCCACCAGCGCTACAACTCGCCCTGCTCTCATTGCTATATTTATGAGATTCATGATTGTCACGCCGTTCTGGTATGCGCTTACCTTCCCACCTTTCAAGGTTATCACAACAAAGCGTGTGATCCTCATCATTGGTACCATCATACTTAGTTGGCACGCTCGACCTATGCGCGTCACGCGAACTCTCCTCTGGCGCAGCACTACCGTTCGACGACTGGCAGGTATTGTTACCGGCTTACAGTTTGACGGGCCCGGCCGGAATGCTGCGGCCTTGCAGCTTGAAAAAGCCAGACAGGCTGAGCTTGGCCACAAGCGGAGCGGATCGAAGGCTGGCCGCCCTGCTGGTGTCAAGTTTACCTTTATTATTTATGAAAATCAAAGACGGTGGATCGGCCTTGGCTGGACTCCTAGTCTATTTGCGTATGAGCGTGCTGCATGGACTGATGAGCACAACAACGCTGTCCCTGCGAGAGACGACTTCCAGCTCCCCAATGTGGAGGATGGAAGTAAGATGAAATGGGAATGGGCCGAAACCAGCCGTTGGAGAGTCGATGGTGTTCCTGATGAACACGGGCCTGTTGAGTATGATGGTGAAGAAGGCCGCAATGGCTGGATCTACTATGATAACAAGGTATGTGTTTTTGGGATTGATATGGTGATGCTTTTGCTAACACATTCTTCAGTGGCAGTATGGAAGACGTGGTCAAGATGGCTGGGCCAAATGGACGCGCCGTCGCAAGTGGTACCGTGATGCAGAGCTGGTCGAGATGGACGAAGATGAGGACGAGCCCTCTTTCTATGGCAATAGTTATGCCACTGCCGTCGACGCAAAGGCTACTATTCCAGAGATTGTCACATCTGACGCTGATAATGCGAGTGTCAAGACTCATGACGATTCTGCGTCTGTTCATTCAACCTCGTCACGCTCCTTTTGGCCACTAAGACGCAGAACGACAGACAGATCCAGCTTGGACAAGAGCAGAGATGTAAAGCCACCAAATGACGTGCAAAGCGATACCACATCTATCCATACGATTGATGATGATGCTGCCTCGTTGAACCTCGAAGCACAGATGGCCATGCAAAAGCAAGGTCAATGGGGAATTGGAGACGAAGCCAGAATGGGCCTGGAATAACAGGGTGTACTAGTCGCATATGTATTTTATAAGCCATTGTAGTCTACGCGGCACAGATCGTCCGAGTACCTACCTAATTGAAAACAAAACGATTAAATCTGACCCTCGCCGCTGTTTTATCTTCCGAGTTCTATTTTCTGCTTCACGTCGGGGCAATGTTTCTTCCACGCATGCCTAAGGAGCCAGACAACAGCCCAACATGTTTTGTTTGGTAGGCGGGATGAGTCACTTGCACAGCATGTGGAAGGACACAAAAAGATTCAAAATTAATTTTTTTTTGGTGGTTAAAACAACAAATAATTAAACAAGGAATTATACGAAGAGTACAAAATTTAACAAATACTTTGCTTATTTATTCTGGTTGACTTCCATTTGTGACTAAAGTTTGTTCTTGTTAGCTCTCCCGGGTTGAAGAACAGTGGCTGTTTGAAAAATTCTGCGATAGACGTTTAGTGTGCATTAAGCAATGGTCTTGCATGCAACAAGGCAGAATGGCCGAGTGGTCTATGGCGACGGTCTCAAGCGCAGTTATCAAGCACTTCACCAGCATTAGCGGGTGTTCCGTTCACGAAAGTGGCCGGGGTTCGAATCCCCGTTCTGTCAGCATATCTTTTTTTGTTTTTCGAGCTGGCCACCACGGTTCCAAGGAACATCAATATTTTTGTAACTTGAAAGAAAACATTTATTTTTATTCCTTAATTCTAGACTAAAATTTTATTTACACGATACGCAAGCACCAATGTAGGATCTCCGTTGCGAGGAGAGCTCACTTCCTCCAAGCAACCTGTAAATGTGATTCATGCGCTGCTCCAATGATTTCGCCATATAATTCTGGCCGTCTCGCCATTTTATACCTGTGGCCGCCAGCCTTGATAAGCTTGTCTCGTGTGCATACAGCAATAGCCATGTCCTCCCCAAGCTTTCTACACTCGTCGACCACATCACCGAATGGGTCGATAATCATGGAACACCCGTTCTTGAGCTGGTCATCATCCATGCCAATGGGGTTACTGAAGACCACGTAGATTGCATTGTCATAGGCTCGGGCAGGTAACCACTTCATCAGCCACGATCGTCCCTTGAGCCCGTCAAATTCCATGCGCAGCGTCGTCGGATCTTGGTGCCTGTTCTGCCAAAGCGCTGGATCCACGAAACCGGCTCCGGGACGAGAAGACGGCGTACACATGGTAACATGCGGCGTGAAAAGAATTTCGGCTCCTTTGAGCGCGGTGGCTCGCACGTTTTCTACAACGTTGTTGTCGTAGCAGATGAGAATGCCTGCTTTCCATCCCAACAAGTCGAACACTACGAGCTCTTGACCTGGAGATAGATATTGGCTGATGAATGGATGCAGCTTTCGGAAGCGCGCAAGCATGCCGTTTCCATCCACACAGACATATGTGTTGTAGATGTGGTCTTCAGATGAGTCGTATTCATATAAGCCTGCCAGGACGATGATGTTGGCGTCTTTCGCGATTCGGATGAGCTCCTGGACGCTTGGCCCAGACGGGACTGCTTCGGCAACAGCTACTAGTTCCTCTCGGCTGAGGCGTGATGCGAACGTGTATCCTGGGATACAGCATTCGTGAAATGCAACGACGTGACAGTCCTCTGCGGCAGCCCGCGTAGCAAATCGTCGAATGGTAGCGAGATTGGCCGTCTTGTCTGCCGATATATTTTCAAACTGCACTGTGGCAATGCGAAGATCGGAAATCGTCATGTTGGAAATGTTTGTTTCGAATTGGCATTGAATTAGATTCGTGTCGGATATTTCCTCAGTGTCCGAGGTGGGAGATCGCCTTTTTATAATACCCGTGGGACGAGGAAGTAGTTCCTATCCATTGTTAAGCCATCATCAGTCCGGAGTGCTATTACCATTCCGCACCGGAACCATCTCCGCTTTCTAGATGAAAGATTATTGCAAATTCAATCATTTTAGGTGACAAGTGTTGCGTTGCTATCGTCGTGACATTCATGGACTCAGCTCGCGGAGCTTCCGCTTTTGGCGGCGGCGGAGGGCGGAGTGGATGAGTTGGACAAACGAGCCTCGTAAAAGAACCAAGTCAGCTGAACGGAAAACTGGATATGGATATTTTAATATTGTTAATGGGCTGCATGTAAAGTGAATGTAACGTTTTAATGTGGCACTTTGCAACAAGTGATGGATTACTATGCTGGGTGAAGCTACACCATCTGTGGATTACATGATCTAGCAACGTACGTGTAAGTGTATGAGATGAACCATCTTTTTTTACATTAGTTTTATTTTATTGACAATCTATGGGGGTATCTATTTATGTTCTTATTTTACAAAAACGTCGTACTATCCAACGTAACAGGACATTTTTTTTGTAAGTTTAAATTTTTCTCTTTAGATATGTTCTTCCTCGCTGGGAATCACGGTTCTGTACCCGTGCCTTTTAAGCCTGCATAAGCTTAAGCCTGCATAAGCTTTCGCCACTGCTTAGTCTCCTTTCGAACAGCCCTTTCTCTACCGTCGGGAGTCATGTAACGCAGAGACTCGTCTCTGAAAAAGTGTTCGAGTTCTTCTCGGTCATGTGTGATGCGCTCATCCCACACAACAACGTTGATGGCTGATTGAAGGCCAAGCGTGGAGGCGCTTGAAACAGATCCCTTGTCGCCAGTGTAGGAACACTTTGTCCACTTGAGGTGAAGATTGGGAGGAAATCGGCCAAATTGACTGCGTCGGAAGACAACTGGGCAGAGCACAGCCTCGGCGTCCGCTGTTGAATCCCATAGCAAAGTGTATTGATAGACACCATGTCGGACTTTTCTAACATTTGCCGTGGTAATGGGAACCTCGGAGAATGTTCCTTGAACGGAGCCGTTGTAGACAAAGGTTGCGGAGTTGCTAACTAGTGGGCTAATAGCAAGGCTGAGGAAGCTGCGATGGAGATCGATAATCTCCATCTCTTCGGTGACGGCTGCCAAGCGTTGATCACGCTTACTGTCGGCCTCCATGGCACGGACAGCGTATTCCTCGCGGATGTTAGCGGCAGAGCCTCTAAACGCACGTGTGATAGGATTGGAAGTGACGGCCTTTTCTCTGCGGAGTTCAAAGTTACGCTTGGCAACTATCTGCTGGTGCTCTCGCTCCCACTCGTTATAGATGATGAACGAAGTCGAGCAGATGAGCTTCTTTATCTCCGCGAGCACCTCGTTGACTTCCTGTGTAGTGGTGTTGAGGACGTGAGTCAGGGCAACAAAAATCTTTCTCAACAGTTGAAGACGCAAGAAAACGCTGCGTAGCTCCAGATCCACCACGTCACCGGGGAGCATCCATGGTCTTGAAATGTTGAAGTCTTCAAGACTGTTCATGTCACAAAATGACATAATGTTGCTCAAAGCTTTCTGCTCAGCCTCCATTTTAGGAGTCCAAGGGCGGCTATGGCCTACTGTGCTGAAGCCATGAATGTAGATAGGCGTAGGTGAACAGCCTGTAATCATTGTGTCCTCTGACGAAGAGGAGGAGCTGGTGACGGGGCTGTTTGGGGGAGCGGAGACACCAAAGTTAACCATGATAGGCTATGTATTGAGATGGGATAGAGTTTGTCTTGAAGACTTGAGAGTGGAAAAGGGTATATGGTGTATGGAGTATGGGGTATGAAGCAATATGTGGTGATGGGATAAAGACCAAGGAACGAAGGGGAGGAGGGAAGAGGAAATTGAGGGCCTTTTATTCTACATACTGAAGGATTAGGTTTCTGGTAAAGGAGTTTTTGTGACAAATTTTCATTGAATACTTTTCTTGTTAACAAATTCTAAAACAAGAGAGCATATAAGAAACAGTAGCATATCGTTGACAAGGTTTTGGGTTTCGCTAAGCTTCGTTGGACGGTCTCGCGTGGCAGGCGTCGTAGGCGAAAGTATAGCATGATTAAAATTTGTGGTTGGTGATGCCTTGAAAAGAAAGTATTTTGCGAGAGAAATAGTGAAAAACTTGAAAATATTTTGTTTTCATTTGATTTTGCTAGGTGTAGGGAAGCAAGAAAGCGAGCAAGAGGGGAAAATCGAAAATCTTGTAAGTGGTGAGTTGCCAGGTGCCTTTCACCAGCTGGCAAGCTGCGCTGACAGTGTCAGAATTAAGTTTAGAAGGGCTACTATAAGGTATATTCATTTAGTAAAGGAAAAAAAAACTTTGGAAATAGAAGAATAGTTGAAAATATTCTTGTCTTTTGATACGAACGTGGCTGATGCCTCACGCAGTGTAACCTACAGTAGAACGCCTACATTAGATGGCAGCCACTACTGCACTAAGCACCACCTATCTTACTGCACCCTGCAGACGCTCTACAGCAGGTGAGCCAGTGCCAGGTCGGCCGCTCACTATATTAAGTTATCCACCACAAATAACACCCTCCACTGCGCACTAAGCTCTTTTTGGCTTGTGACATGCCCCGAACCCCCCCCCAAGGCCACAGGTGCCGCCAGTGACGCAGGCAACAGCAAAAAAAAAAGAGGGCGGCCAGGCTGTGACTGGTGCTGGCAGCGCATGAAAAAAAAAAAAAATTCCTCGGAAAACCTGGCGATCGCCCATACTGGTCCCTCCTCTCGTCTTCTTTTCTCTCTTCTTCCCCTCCTCCTCTTCTCTCTTTTTATTTCCTCTTTTCTTCTTCTTTCTCTCCTCTTGGGCCTTGCCTATTTGCTTGCTCCCTTTGTACACCATCCAGTCTACAAAGTACTTTTTTCACCCCTCGATTTTTACCCCGCCAACATCCGTCACAATGGTTGAGAAGCTTTACGTTACCTACAACGATGTAAGTATCTGCAACGAGTTGGACGTTGAATCGGGGAGAGTTTTTGTACAGTCTCGAATTTCTGTAAAGAAACTCGACTGTTTCAAAGCATACCTTGTGTTGATCGTCCAACCGCATGCGCTTCACCATCATCCATGCGCACACAGCAGAGCAAAAAGCTAACCCGTTGCGTTCTCTCGTCTTACAGGTGCACAAGCTGTGCCAGGAGTCTGCCGACCACCTCCTAAACCAGTTCAAGCCTAACCTCATCATCGCCATCGGTGGTGGCGGCTACATCCCCGCCCGTATCCTCCGTTCGTTCCTCAAGCAGCCTGGATCTCCCAACATCCCCATCCAGGCCATTGGTCTCAGCCTCTACGAAGAGCTCGGCGGCGACTCCGAGGTCGAGGTCCCTGGCACAAAGGTCACCCGTACCCAGTGGCTCGATCTCTCTGCCCTCGGCGAGATGCAGAACCTTGTCGGCAAGCGCGTCCTCATCGTTGATGAGGTTGACGACACCCGTACCACTCTTGAGTACGCTGTCCGCGAGCTCGAGAAGGATGTCGAGACTGCCCGTCAGAAGATGGGTGGCGAGCAGCCCAAGACTGAGTTCAGCATCTTTGTTCTTCACGTAAGACTTTGTTATCCTTCACAATATGAATTCTACAATTGCTAACCAAACCATTAGAACAAGGACAAGACGAAGAAGGGTGCCCTCCCTGGAAACATGCTCCAGTCTGGATACCTCGCTGCCCGCACCGTTGGCGATGTCTGGATCAACTACCCTTGGGAGGCCATCGACATTGACGAGCACGACCGCCTGGCCCTCGAGAACACCAAGCCCCAGTAAACTATATACCCCTCTAAGAAGTGTGCCCCGGATAACACAGTCCATCGTTTAAGAGTTTACGCAGGAATGAATGAAAATAGACACTGAATGAAGCTGGTGATGTCGTTGATCATCTGGCTCGAGTAGACACAGAATAGCCTAGCTTAAAAGAGGCTCGAGAAACTTTCAACTTAACAACTTCCCCATATACTGTGAAATTGTGTGTAAATTTCTAGAAATCGTGGTCTAGTATGCTATATTCTATAATGACATGGGGTATCAAATGCAGTCTATCGGTGCTATGCTAGGAAGATGCTGTCCACCTTAGTGTTAAAGGGCTGTGCCTTGTTCTCGCTCATGCTTCTCACGTAGCCGTTTCTCTTGCTTCATGAATTCGCGAATGCCCACGGGAACATTTTCAAACACGTCGTCTTGCCATAAATCTTTGGCAATCTTGGTTTCGGTAGCCACGGAGCCACCTCCGTCAGCATCAACGCTGCCACCAGCACTCTGTAACCGCTGTTGCGCTTCCTTGTTCGCCGCGGACCAGTCCTCCATATCTTCTCGATAGATATCCCACACGCAGTTTACGCAACCGCTCATACAACAGTTATCAGGCTCCTCGGGACGGGGTGGCACAAGTACGCCAGCAATGTATGTCGATTGTGCCTTTCTTGTCGCCATGCGCTCGACCTTTTTCGCCGCCGGCCCTGCTAGCGAAGATCCAAAGATAATTTTAGCCCTCTCTTCTTGTGAATCCGGTATTGTTGGCCCTGGGCTAAACTCGAATGTCTTGGATGTGGTGGGCGAAGAAGTGGTTGTGGGCGGTTCATTGCGCTTTTCGTTGGTTACAAACGGTGTTTTGTAGTCGATTAGACTCTGGTAAAACGATCCTATAGGATGAGCTTGGGCAGAAGTCTTCTCTTGGCGGGCAGCAGCGACGCTGAAGCTTCGTGAGGTAATCCGGGATGGGCATCTAAGGCCGCAAACTCGGCAAAAGAGCCTAGCCGACGAAGGCATGGTGAGAATCTGCGTATTTTGTAGTGGCCGTAGATGTTGAGCTTCTAATTATACTGCTACTGCCCAATGGTATGCATGAATTGCTCTGGAAGCAGATGGGATTCGCAAGTAAATTTTGGCTCAATGTCAGGTTGTAGTGTGTAAAACAGACGTCATGGCCGTTAGCCGATGCCGCCGCTGAAGCGGATCGCACACACGTGACAGCCGTCGTAGCTCGAAGCGTGTCACTGGGCTACGTTTATACCGCTGGATATAATTATGAAGAAATTAACAGGCATCGAAAAGGCCAATCGTTTGTACAATCGGCATTTTTCACTAAATATATTCAGATTTGTCCCTCCACGTTGCTCAGTGGCGACCCGCTGTAGACCAACGCGGGCCGCCAGCGCCTGTGTTTTGAGTGGACGCGCCGCCACCGCCGCCATCTGCAGCAAGCAGCACCTAGCTTGTCATTGCCTTCTTTCAACATCAACAACAACAGTGGCATTTATGCCTTTGCCACGCCACCCATACATTCCTTCTAGCCAATAAGAAATCCGATGGCGATGAAGACTACCGCATAATATTCACAATCAAATACTTCCACTCAAAATGGACTCAAGATCGCCGAAACGCCGCCGCATCTCTCGCGAACCCGCCGACGATCAGGGTCAAGAACAAGAACAAGACAACGCTCGCGATGCACCCAGACTGAGCCCCAGATTAACGCGAGCGCGCCGTTCATCATATGCGTCACCAACACGAGCCAGCTTGGCGCGAACTGATCCGGAAGGCCTGGAACAGCGAGACAACGAAACGCGAGAGCGCCAGCAACAACGAGCAGCAGAGGCGGCCGCCGCAAGAGAGGCAGTGGCGGGTGACAATAGCCAACGCACAGATGCTGCTGAATTAAGTCGTGGCCGACAAGCAGCTGCGACAGAAACTCAACCGCCCACTGCTTCTAGACGCGCCTCATCTCGAGCAGTAGCGGCTGCTCCATCCCCAGCCCGACCAAATCCTCGACCATTCCCTCCTCCAGGTCCTCCCGATGAAGACCCATTCCTGCCCCGTACCTCACGAGCACAGCCAAATACCGGCATTACGATACCTAGACCCCGCGAACCGTCACTTCCCCCAAGCAATCCCGACTCCATTACATCCACACCCCCAAAGGGCATCCACAGCAGTCCGTCAAGATGGCGGTCGTCGCGGCGCGGCAAGACGCCAAAGAGCTCGCCACTGAAGCAGTCACCTCTTCAAGCTCGATCTCAAGCTATGAACGACAACATGCAAAGCCCATCGGCGCGTCGATCCCGAAACGTTCTGGTGCAGCCTGGCCAAGATGAGAATGTAGATCTGAATCCCAATGTCGACCCAGCGCGCAAGATTCCCAACCACGACCCAGCAAAACGTAAACAACGCGACAAGCTGCAGCAGGAATATGAGCAACTACAGCGAGACTGGCGCATAGCGAGTGCCGAAAACCAGCGCCTGCTGAGACTCCAAACTAGTGGTAGAAGAGTTGCAGCAACCAATCAGTCCGCTATTCTAGATCTCCTGCGCCGCCACCTGGTCCCGGCTGATCTGCTGGCTCAGCCGCCACAATCACAGCAACTTTTAATGGCAGCATTAAATCCAATGGGTCTTGTGCCCTTTGGGACTGCGGATACAGAGAATGCGACGAATGAGGAACTCGAAAGTCTGGCCAACATCAAGTCGCATCATCCTGTCGTAATGACATCGGAGGAAGAGCTACCATATCTGCAGCTCTTCAGCCCGTTTGAAATCACAACTACTATTGCTGCCGAAGCAAGAACGGCTGACCAACCGTTCCGTCAGCGTCGCTTAATTAACATCCGCTCCCGAGAATCACCACCGCTTTTCCACTCTCGTATCGAGATGACTGTGAACCCGATGTCACTGGAAATACTGGAGCTTGATGTCCCAGCGATGGACCCAGCAGCAAAGCAAGAGCTCGGCCCGTTTGCCGAGAAGATATGTAGCGGGAGATGCAATCGCAGCATGCAGCGCAATGTTGGCGTGCTCTCCTGGGCCATGGGAGAGTGGCATCGCATCGCTTTGCAACGTGCGGAAGGCTGGGCACGTTTGGAGAAAGAGCTCGCAGACAAGAATGCATTTTTTGATGCGGCAGCAAAGCTGCGAACTGGCAAGAGAAGACTACAAGAGATTGACGGACCAGAATCCGCATCAACTGCACCGCTCAACAATGCCGACATTATTAGGTTTATGGGGCAGCAGGCCTTTGAAATTGCCGTTGACCAAGATGGTGACTCAAGCTCTGCTGCACATATTCGCCTGGAATGGGTCATTGGATTTGACTGGACTGGCGAAGCAGAGAGCAAGATTTCTGCCTTGTTCGGCGTCCCTGGAAAGTGTGAGTTCTACAAGTCCAGTGTTGCTCTGTTATAATATGTTAACAATCTACAGGGCGCAAAGTTGACCGGCGTGGCAGCTTGCGAAGACTCCCTAAACTCTTCCAGGATTTGGTCAATGGCGGGGAAACTGTTCATCTTGCGGCCCGCAAGATTGCCGCACTCATGATGGGCGAGTAGCTGTAGCTGTAGTCGCTGGCTGTGTGGGAGATGTACGATGTTATGATTTTCTCTTATTTGCATGATGAGACGGCACGAGTTTAGCTGTCCATTGTTTGATGGTTTGGGTTGGCGTAGGATACCCCCCTCCATGGCACCTTCAAAAGGCGTCTTCTGGGAATATATAGTTACTTCACGGCGCAAGGGTTCTGAATGAGAGAGTGTTTACAATTTTGAAGAGTTGTTATTATATTATCGCGTTGCAACGTGTGATTCAAGTAGGCAATTGTTGCGTGTTGCGTCGAGGCTCGCACATCTTGGGGATATTATTTCTGCAGCACGTCGCCTCCCTATGTTGCAACCCATTTGTCCTTTTTTATACCGCGCCATCTTCGTACGTCATTCGAATCGTTTTCGATACCGTGGCATTTAGTCGACATCGACGCCGAGCTTGCGCAGGTCGACCTTGGCAGTTTCAATCTCGTCCATCAGCTCCTTGTGCGCCTCGGGGACATCGTTGAAGGTAAGAATGCCGAAGCCGAGACGGAAGAGAAGAAGAGCGCCAAAGGAAACGAGAGCCCAGAAGGGAAGCTAGTAGGAGTGACATGTGTTAGCAGGTAGCTGAGGACGGTTCGGCGCATTCGAGGAGGAGGGGCTACATACAACAGGGACAATCTCGTTCTGGATCAGAGGAGGGAGGGGAATCAGCTCAAGGTAGAGAGCAAGGTAGACCTGCGAATCAAAGCAGCGGTTAGTTAGTGCTCAGCTATTTGTAAAGCGCAATTCGCGTCGTCGGGGATTCGAAAGGGGAGCTATACGGAGGAGACCAGTAGGCCGAAGGAGATGGTTTGCTGGGCGCGGGTCATCGTGGCGATAGGTGGGCGAGAATTATGAAAGTCGAATTATGTAGTTCTGAGAAGGAAAGGAGGAGTCGAAGCCTAGATTTCTACGAGTTGGGCGTAAAAAGAGGCGTGGTGTGTTTGGACTTGTCAGGAGGTTTGACCAGAGGTTGCTACTGTGGATTCTCGAGATCTGGCGTCAGGAGGCTACTAGGCGGGCAGCTGGCGGCGCGTCTGCCCAATTTCTCGATTAGGAAAATACATGACTAAGCAGTTCTTCATCACGAACATTCGACGGGAGGTTATAAGTTTTGTAACAAGAAAAATAAAATAGGGAATTTGATTCAAAATTGAAAATGAATCAATATAACGAGATTAATTCACATTTAATTAAATTTACATTTTCTAGGAATCACAGTGGAACAAGAGTGCAAAGGGTAAAGATGCAACCTAGTGACATAGGTGTGTTTGTTAAATTCGTATCTAATGAAGACATTGCTTCGTGTATCGTGTAAGAGTATATATGTGCCAATTTATCATATAAATGTATGCTCCGTAGCCCAATGCAGATAAAAAAATTGTATGTGAATCCTTTCCTGAAAATGCGAGTCCCGATGAAAATATAAGGTGCTAGGGGGGGGGGGGGGTATAGAACGCCGGTGTGATGCTTTGTATGATGCGCAAAATCAGATCAATCAGAAGAAAATGGGGTGGTGGAAATAAAACAAGGGATGATGAAAGTCAAAGGGGCAGGCCGAGGTACATAGGAAACTTCACTTCCTATTCTTTCCAAATCGCCAGCTTCGGCGGTCGCTGTCGCTGCTGTCTTTTTCAAGATCATCCTCATCCAGTTCCAGACGATAACGTCTGACGCTACCAGAGTCGTCATCAAACGGAATATGTTGGGGCCCAGTAATGCATTCAGGGACGAGGTGCTTGCGGATCCAGCCCTTAACACCGCGACTGGCGGCATCAATGGCAGCGTACTCAAGGCGGCGAGTGCTGTCACTGGTCCAGTATTGCGTGGTTTGGGGCAAAGGCGGAGCTACCTCCATGTGTGCTTCCGTCTCGCTCATCTCTACCACATCCAGTGCAGGGAATTGGTAGTAGGCAGCGTTGGTTTGTGATCCAGTGTAGGATTTGACCTGGTAGACGGAGCCGTTGTTGTAGGAGTTGTAGGGCTTGCTGGAACGACGGGTTGATGGGCGCGAGCGGACACGAGACGCCGACATTGTTGAGTTTTGACGAGTCACTGATGGTCGACTATGGGAGATGGATGCTCGAGGAGAATAGGAGCAGGATTCGTAGCCAGAGTCCTGGCGATGAATTTTGGAGGAAACAAAGTCCTGGGATCCAGGTAGAGATGGCCTGACGTCGTATGAGGCACGGCCATGGCTGCGCTCGTCTACCGGAGCCGCTGGCTCATACAGCTCAATATCATTGAAACTGTGGTAGGTGGTGTCCGAAGCAGCAATGCTGGATCGATTAGCCATGGCGATATTTCATACGAGTCTTGGACTCTAGAGGATGGTGGATGTTATGGGATAATGAGGCCGAACCAGTGGAGAGCGAAATGGTGGCGGCTATATATGTATATGTCGTGAAAATCCGTGGCAACCAGCAGGGATAGGCGATTTAGCGAGGGACAGTACGGTACTGATAGCGTGATCGGTTCCGGGACCAATAGTAAAAAGAATGTTAGGCACGGACAACCAAGAGTTGCGGTCAGGTTAACGCCCTGTATCCACAAGCACCGCTGTCAGTTTCTTGAGCAACGGTCTGCAAGGACGATGCAGGTCTTGGATGGGGAAATGGCGGAAGGAGGGGATGGACGGGGGCACCGTAATATTATGCGCCGAACAAATTTCCAAGCCTGCAACAGGTTGACAACTTGATTTCGTTCCTGGCCCGGGGAACTAGGGCTATCGATTCCTTGAGTGGAGATATATCGGCGGTGAAGATGCAGTGGGCAAGGATGTAAGTGGGAAAAGGCGTGTCGTGTTATGGGTTAGGTGACGTTTGGCCGTGGGCAGCCGAACCAATACAGCTGGATGGCTTGGTGGCAGTGCTGCACCAGAGAAAAAGTCGCAACGCTAACGCAGCGATTCAGAGTCGGGAATAAATCGCGGGCTGTGCTTCACTTTGTTGAGGAGCTATCGCGGGTTATGGTTGTATGGGAGTGGAGCTGCTCAGTTTTTTTGGTTGGGACGTTTGCCGATCCAATGCCAATAGCCGAACGGTTTAAGCTTGATATCGAGATGGTATGTCCCCGGATTTTGAAGTAATATAGTTGTTCTGAAAAGAACGATGTTGTCTTCCAAAACTCACTACACCTCTGGGAATACTAGGCAGTATATACAGCCTGGTTGTATATGGTGTGGTTGCGCGTGAACAACGCCGCGCAAGCGATGTGTATCTGCCCGATTAGGTGCTGCCGGCTGCGTTTGCCACAAAGGACGAATTTTTTGAGTCTAGGCAAAGTTTGGCGGTGGTCATGCGCAGCAATCGGCTACATGCGACGTTGATGTTTGGTGGCTGGCTGTTTGCCGATGTCGCTGGGCAGGTCGTAGCGGCGTAGTTGGGTCTGGTTGGCAACAGTGCAGAAAGATGAAAATCAACGATCCTCGATGCCTTTTTTCTCCGTTGGGCACCCCATACTGGGAAGTGTCAGGCACCATCCTTTATAAGAATGTCAATGTAAGTCGGCGACGACGGGTCCAGTGGTGCGACGTTGGTAGCATGAGCCCGTGGCCAGTCGATTGATTCAGCAAGTCTCCCGTCGCAGGGTTCACATTATGGTTTCCACCATGTGACGGAGCCTGCATAATCGTCCTGCGGCTCTCACTGCCCGGCGCCAGGACGCTTCTTCACATGTACTGGCCTGGCGTTTTAGACGCTCTCCGGGTGTCCAGTGCGCGTCGGCGGTGATGCCCAATTAGTTATTGCCACACAGCTAGCGCAGGTGAGACAGTGACTCTTTCAGTATCCTCGTTTCGCCCATTATTACCTAACCTTTGTTTTCACTTTTTCGGAAAAATCAGGAAGCAGTGCTGCAATGTATGCCTTGTGTTTGGGATTTGGCTATGCTGCCGAGAGAATAGTCACAAACAGGATTCTTCCCGTGTTTGTCCTGCGACAGTATTGAGCATCATTCTGCCCCTGTTCAATCGAAACCAGAGGACAAGGAGCGTCATGCTGCCACCTCGGTCCCACAGCGGCCGTAACAAACCACGCTTAGCCAGCGGCCCGTCACGGGTAGCCCCCGCTGGAAGCGTTTTGCTGTAGCGCTAGAACCAGCGAGCCCGTATTTGTGCGTCGCTAGTGTCTGACCAGCGCCGTTAACGCCCTGGCGTTGGTGCCTAACCCGTGCTATGGGCACAGGGGGGACAACAGCACCGAATCAATATTGGTACAGTACTGGGCTCAGCCTCGGTAGACCTTTGCACTGTACCTTGGTCCTCACTGGGGCGGGCAGATGACCTCGAGTCCTCGGCGGCTTGCATATCTGGATCGTGACTGGCTGACGGGCGAGTGGAATATAGGTTAGGAAGCTTCATTTGTGCCTACGCAAGTTGAGATCGACGCCGATTTACCGATGCATGTGCATGTCCCTCTCGGGACTTGTACAACATGACATGATTAGCTTTAGGCACTCGTTAGGCTTCTGATTGCCAGCCAAATAGTCTAGAACCGTGTTCCTTAGACTCGGCGTGTGCCTTTGTCGGACTGTCTTGCTTCAAGACATGTTTATCGTATTAATCTCGCATGTTCAGAAGAGGAAGCTGTTTCCAATTTAGCTAAACCCGAAACAGTCGAACCTCTGGGAGTATGGAAACCTGCTTTATGCCGGGCAAGACCACAAGTATAGACGTCCTTGTGCTGTGAATAAACCAAGAATCTCAACATGTTGTGTGCCTTTACAGTACATACTCTGAGAAATTATTCTGCTTGCAATACTAAAAAGCTACAGTTGTGACAGCTGGCAAGCGTCGACAGTGCCAATCAAGCATCACGTGCTGAGGTTGACACCTGTAGAGAAAGGACAGTCTGTGGATCTAGTAATATTTTTGTTCTGTTGTTCATTGCTTATGTCTGCTATCGGCATCTAATTGTTACATTCACCCTAAGCACTTGCCTTTTCGTCCCTGACTAGGTAATCCTCTCTGGCTGTCTGTTCTGCCAAAATCTTACTGAAGCGACCATGGAAGACATCATTCATTGTGGACTTGACACCAGCCCAGTTTTCGCGCACAATATCCATGGTAGGTCGAGAGAAAACCTGATCAATCTCTTCCAAGGTCTTGTTTTTCGTCTCGGGCATGAAGAAGATTTGATACACCTCGCCGATTACTGCGATGCCGCCATAGAATCCAAGCATAAGACCGGTGGGCGACATGGCATCCTTCATGGCACTAAAGTTGTATGTAACAACAAATGACGCGAGGAAGAGAAGAGCGTCTGAAGTAGTCATGCCGTAATGACGAAGATAGGTCGGGTAGACCTCAGACGGTACTACCCATGTCAGACAGGCGTACGAACCGAAAAAGCCCATGTAAATGATAAGGCCAGTCAGATACACGCCCTCTGCAGCCTGTAGGTTGGTTGCTGGGTCTATTTTCTGAGCAATACCGATGATGACCAATCCGATGAAGAAACCGGGTAACATCATAATGGCCCAAAAGCGACGACCACAGGTTTCCATCAGGAAAATGGCCGGGATAGTGCCAAGAAGAAGTGAACCTCCACCAACAAGCGACATATAGTTTGCTTGCTCTTTATCGAAACCAATTTCGTTCATCAAAACCGACATGTAGTACATGATTGCGTTGACACCAGTGAGCTGGCCAAGAAGGATCATGATGTTGGCGTAAACCAAAGCGCGACGAGCGCGAGGAACCCTGTTGCAGTACTATTAGCAAACGTTGTCGAGGCAAAGACGGTTTGAAATGCAGCTTACGTGAAAAAGTCCATCCAAGGGAATCTCTTATTTTGAGCGCCTTCATGCACAGCTGTCTCTTCTTGTAGGACGCTCGCAGACATGACGTAAAACTCTTGTCGAGACTCAGCGTCTTCAACACCACGGATTCGCTTCCAGACCTTGAACGCATCGAGAACACGACCCTTGTGCATTAAATATCGAGGGCTTTCGGGAAGGAAGAGCATTCTGTTACTTGGTTAGTTATGAGCCCAATTTAAGAATAATGCCAATACGAACCCGAAGAACATGATGGTGGAGAAGAGAAGGGAAGAACCGAGAATATAGCGCCAGTTGCCAGGGACTCTGAGGAACATTGCCGCCACAGCATAACCAAGAACCTCTCCTAAGGCGATGTTGAACTGATACAGCGACACCAAGTTGCCGCGAATGCGGCGCTCAACGGTCTCTGCGACGTATACCGGAACAGTACCGCCTTCGAGACCGACACCCAGGCCAAGGACAACGCGACCGGCAACAATCATGCCAAAATCCAGAGCACCTGCCTCAAGCGCAGCGCCAATGGTGTAGAGAATGATGGAAAGGATAATGGCTCCTTTACGGCCAAAGTATTCGTTGGCGGGCGACAAGATGAGTGCGCCACCGACAGCGCCAAGCGGCATACCAGCATTGACCAAGCTGTTTTGGCGGGTATCGAGATTCAGATCGGCCGGGAGGTAAAGGTTGGCACCAGAGATGAGACTCTGATCAAGGCCGGAAAGGAGACCTCCCATGGACGCAAAAGCGACCAGGAGCCAGGTGAAATGTTTGGGGTTCTTGAATTGAATATTAAAGAAGCCCGTTTTGATGCCGCCCGCAGCCTCTAGCTGCGACTCCATGTCATCAATCAAGTTGTCAACTTGCTCATCGCTGCCCTGCTGTGAGACCTCAACAGCCTCGTGGACGGGCTTGTCCTGGTGGTCCACCGTGGGATTGACCTTGTCAGTCGTCATTTTCGAATTTCTCACTTCTAACTACGAATGGGCAGAATCTTATCCGCAAGATAGCAAAGATAAAGGAAAAGCTGGGGAAGTGAGCCTGCCTGGGGAAGGACGTGGGGAGGGATAAGATATCATCAAACCTGGGGTATGCTTATCTTTTATACTTTGTCAATTTGTCCCTGTTGTCACAGCTCTCAATCCGTCCTTTTTCTACCTCCACAGAGGCCAACTTTGGTCTGTCGCTTCTCCAACTAAACCTCGCACCACTGCAACACCATGCCACCACTACGAGGTGTTAGTGTGTTAGTCCATCGCGCACCCCGGTTTCGACGCTAGGGGCTGGCACTCTCGGACCGAGAGGTGGGAATCGTGGCGCCTGTAAATTGCCGGCCCCGTCCACACTAAACTTGCTCTGACCACTAAAACGCAGCAAAGATAAGACCTCAGTGCGAAACCTAGTGCCCCATCGTTCTCCAGTGGCTCTAGTGGCGTCGTTTCATTTGCCGTTTGGCAAGGCTGGTGGGTTGCGTTTGCTGTTCTGTGCCGGTCTTCCATCCGCGCTCTTTTCCACAAACAGAGCTCGTGGAGCACTTTTTAGGCAGAAGTATTGGAGAGAGTGATGTGCAAAAAGCTTCCAGAACGATCGGCTAATGGCGCATTGGCAACTTTGGCATCGCCAGTCCATTACAGTCTAAATACGTCAAACTCGGGCTCAGCGATGAAGTCTCGCCAGTCGGCGCTGTCTTGCTGAGCATCCCAAACAGCTTCAATCAAGTTCTCCAGTACAACCAGGTTACGGAAACCTAGTTTGGACTGCTCTTTGAACCACGATTTCATCCGATGCCTCAAACCAGTCCCCTGGTCGTCCATAGGCGGAGCGCACTCCGCACCTAACACTAACACGGGCCACAGCATCATGCAGCCCAGATTTCCCCTGCCGACTTTTTCAATAGCCTCAACCTCGCGAATACCCAAATCCACTAGTGTCTGGACAGACGCCAATGAGGCGTGCCGAATGCTGCGCTGAAAAAAGACGAGGTGTGCATAGTAAAACACCTTTGCAATGTGGTGCAGAATCAAGCCTTGAGGGTCTGTTGGCGCTGCCAGCAACTGGGCTGGCGGCGTGGGGAAGTTGAGATAGAGCTGCATTTCGAATGCATCCAGCTCTTTCTCCATAGCTGACAGTGCCGGTGGCGGCAATGTTGATAACTGATTCATCCTATCATGAGCCTGAAGAAAAGCTCGCGATACACCATAGTACGGGAACGTTGTCTCCAACGGGTCAAGAGGCTGTTGGGCATCAAGAAAGGACTTCAGCTCATCTGCCACCGGCACATCGCAAAGGATTGCCATGGACACCATATGTCTCTGAAAGGCAGCCAGCATCATTTCATCTACACCTCTGGATCGTAGCTTGGCGAGATACGCCAGTCCCCCAGACACGTGTGTGCGCCAGCGTTGCGTCGTGCCAGAAATGGCATCGACCATAATACAAGCCATAATGGCCATGGCAAAGGACTGATCAGTGTGCTCGTCTGCACGCGACAAATTGTCCCGCAGGTGTTTGATGGCTTGTTCGTCGTGATAGAGTGCTACTAAACGATCCTGCTCATTCTTTCGCCCACCGAGTTCAAACAAGTTGCAAGATGCGGCAGCGCATAATGCATGGAAGACCACTACACTTGGGTTCGACTCTTGCGAGCTAGATATTAGTCCTTGAAGGGCCATTGGTAGCATCATGGTGCGACAGGGGTTATGTGGCTCATCTAGCAGGGTGATCTTTCGGCTAGTGAAGGTGACCCAATGATGGACAAGTCGTTTCTGTGTGGATGGCATTTGAATGACATCCAGATGAGTGAGCGAAGCGCCCGGTCTAGACTCCGTCTGCAGTTGTGGCGCATCGTGTTCTTGTTGGCTTGTGCGTTGAGGAGGTGTATCAGATTGTCGTCGAAGGCTGAACGGCGTTTGTGGCAAGGTAAGTGTTGGGCACGAGGTAGAGTCTGGTGGCGTAGGCAGTAACTCGGTGTCTTGGGCCCTCAGAGCATCCAGGCGGTTTGCAGATCGATTATTCGGTGGCAATCCCGCTTCAGCATCGTCTTCGGAGAATGGTGTAGGAGGAAGGTCGATGGGGAAGACGGCAAAGCCGGCCCTTTGCAAGCGCGGGCTGCGAGAGGGAGACTTTTGTGCGGACCAGTGCTCAATCTGATCAAGCGCATTGTCAATTTCTGGGGAAGGTATCCGGGGAATATCTGAGACGCCAATGTATGTCATCGACCGCCTTGAGCGTGCGCGGGATGCGACTGATTCGCCGTCGTCCAGCTCATGCGCCGATTCGTCCGAATGGTCGCCTGCTGCATTGTAATGTTTCCAGTTAAGACGGACGCCATATCCCTCACACTCAATTCCCCTTTGCCGACATCTTTGGCAAGACGGAGTGGCCCTATGATACTGTCAGCCATTTCCATTATCATAACCTTGTCAATACAGCACTGTGCTCCATACTCGTCGCATTTCACTCTGCGGCTGCGGCACGTCCAACAGCCCGTAAAGCATTTTGTGCGCTTCCTGGTTGGCGACATTGGAAGCGAAATCTAGAAGTCAAAAAAGAACAATTAAGACACTGCAGAGACGAGTATGGGAATGCAATGCATGCCGAGAGAAGGCGAACACGAAGAAGAACACAGGCTCGCTCCTTTTTACTACTCGGCTCACGGATGGACGACCAGGAAATTTAAAGCGACAAAATTGGCTCGCTATGAATTACCGGCGTTTGAATACGAGATGGCGATTGGCTCGCTTTCCACGGCTCCTCTGCAACGCCCCACGGTGCCTCGCTCCATTTTGCCGCCACCACCGTGTAAGCAAATTAAAGCGAAATAGTGCGATTACCTGTTTGGGACATGCGACGCAGAGATTTGGTTATAAGAAGGGGTCCCCGGATTGCCCTCCTCGGCAAGTGAAGCTGAAATCCCAATCACATTCTTCAGTTCTCACTGTCGCAGTCTGTTCTGCTTTTCTTCCCAATGAGCGTCAAGTCACGAAACCGGGAGTCGTCGTCTCCCACAGAGAGAGCGCCGCTTCTCTCTCGAGAAACCCCCGTTGTCAACGCTACCGATGGCTCATCCGATGAGATTGAATTTGGCGGCTCCTTTGGCGCCCTTGGCCTCATGATTGGCTTCCCCCTTATCATGTGGTACATGTGGATTGGCGCTACCTACTACGGCGGCAAGCTGCCATTACCCGCTGACGGCCAAAGCTGGGGAGAGTTTGGCCAGCATCTGTGCCAGCTCGTCTACGAGGGCGCATACCCGACCACCCGAGCCTGGGCCATGTACTGGATCTTCTTTGTTGTCGAGGCCGTCATGTACTGCTACATGCCAGGCGTGTCGAGCTTCGGTAGCCCGCTGATTCACGAGGGCGGCAAGAGACTTCCATACTACTGCTCGGCGTACTCGAGCTTTTACACCACGCTTGTTGTTGCTGGCGTGCTTCACGGGACCGGCATCTTCCCTCTGTACACCATCATCGACGAATTCGGCTCCATCATGACGGTTGCCATCTTGAGCGGTTTCCTCAACAGTTTCATCGTCTACTTCCAGGCCATTATCCGCGGCCGAACCCACCGTATGACAGGCTACCCAATCTACGATTTCTTCATGGGCGCCGAGCTCAACCCCCGTATTGGCATCCTGGACTTCAAGATGTTTTACGAGGTTCGCATCCCGTGGTTCATCTTGTTCCTGACGACGCTGTCGGTTGCTGCTCGCCAGTATGAGCGTTACGGCTATGTCTCTGCTGAGGTGCTGTTCCTGTGCCTTGCTCACTACCTGTATGCCAACGCATGCGCCAAGGGAGAGCAGTTGATTATCACATCCTGGTAAGTCTACACTACTAAGTATTTATTTTCTTTTTCATTTGTTGCTAACACTGTTCTTAGGGACATGTACTACGAAAAGCTCGGCTTTATGCTTACCTTTTGGAACTTGGCTGGTGTTCCCTTCACCTACTGCCACTGCGCTCTGTACTTTGCCAACCACGAACCGTCCGAGTACTTCTGGAGCCCCTACTTTGTTGCCTTTCTCACTGTCGTCTACCTCTTCATGTACTGGATGTGGGACACTGCCAACGGCCAGAAGAACAGCTTCCGTCAGATGGAGCGCAACCAGCTAATTGTCCGCAACACGTTCCCCCAGTTGCCCTGGGGCGTCATTGAGAACCCCAAGACTATCGAGACGGATGCAGGCGACCGTATCATGGTGGATGGCTGGTTTGCCATTATCCGCAAGCCCAACTATGTGCCCGACATGTTCTTTTCGTTCTCGTGGGGTCTTATTACCGGCTTCTCCAGCCCGTTCCCTTGGTTCTACTCTGTTTTCTTCATGATTATGATTGCCCACCGTACGCAGCGCGACATTGACCGCTGCCGCAGAAAGTACGGCGAGGCCTGGAAGCAGTATGAGGCGGCCGTCCCGTACCTGTTTATCCCAGTAAGTTTATGTCTTACGTGAGGATGTCAATCATATGCTAACGATTCTGTCACAGTATGTATTCTAAACAGTCAGCGAAAAAGCGTGTCCACTATCTATCTAGCATCAAGGGGATTTGTTCAACTAAAAGTATATTAATTCTAATCATACAAATACTTTTTATTATTTGAAAATAAGAATGGCGCAACTAGGGACTGCCATGTTTGCATCCTCACTCTCTTTCCACTCTTGCCATGCGTCAATCATTTCCTGGATCTCGACCTCTGTGGCAAGGCCGTGTTCTAGCATACCTTTACCCCAGCTTCCGGCTTTTAGTCTATCCGAAAAAGTGGCACCTGGCACCATATTAGTTACTGGTGGAGATGAGAATGACTGCCTGCTTACTGATTATTTCTCGTTCTTCGGGCGAGCTGTAGCACCAGGTATGCCAGCTAGCTTGGATCTGGTCTCGCTTGACACCGGCCTTGAGAGCCAACCCCACGAGCCGTCGTCCACAAGTACTTTTTCCTGCTGTCAAGTCATGTAACGTGACGGCTAGCCTCTGAAAACGCTGCTGAGCTGGTATTTCTGGCCAATAGACCATAAGAGGCAAGTCACCCTCGCGACACGATACGACGCCTCCCCTTTTGGCGACCCTGACCAACTCCTTAATAGCATTTTGAGGCTCGTCCATGTGGATAAGCATCTGAGATGTGTGTACTACATCGAAGAATTCATCGGGGAAAGGAAGATGGTAGGCATCGGCTTGTTCAAAGGTGACATTTGTGATGCCAGCTTCACGCGCAAGCTCTTCTGCCCGCTTCATGATGTCATCGGACAAGTCTGTTGCAATAACAGTTCCCTCAGGGATATATTTTGCAAGCGATGTGGCAATTGTGCCGGACCCTGAGCCGACGTCAAGCAGCGTCAGTTTGGGATTCTTCTCTGCACGCTCCCTCAGTACAGGAATCAGCTGCTCGGCACTGTTCTCTGCCGTGCGCCATTCGTGATGGCGGACTTGATTAGGCTGATACCCAATCTGGTATGCGCGCTGTTGTTCTGCCATGATTGAGTTTTTTACTTGTGATGATACTTGGGTTGAGTTCACGACAAATAGAGTTTACAGGTACAGCGTCTTCTATATACCGATCGCTGCCTTGTTCGTGGTGGAGATTTTTTGGTGGCGACCGCCGTCAATGATGGCGCAAAGTCTTCAAGAATTGTTTATTGATGTAGTTGTTTCACGAAATGGGAGAGAATTCTCGCAAGATTTTGTCAGTTAAAAATAGAAGCCCTATAGAAAGAAGGAACAAGACCTGTGGATTTTCAAGGCAAGTAGCCCTACCAAGCTTGTCTATGGGCAACTACATCTATTCTTGGCGACCACCAGCCCGTCCTGGTGCTATGCAAGCTATTTCCTAGCTCTCCTGGGAATCTTTCTAATTGTATAATTTTTTGGAATATTTTCAAATAATTTTACCTCGTCTTTGCGCCGCCTCATCTGAGCCAACTAGAGATCGACGCCAAGGGTGTAAGACGCTCGGCACTCGGTGCTCGGGTAGGGGTCGGTTACAGCCAACAGCTATCCCAATGTGGTAATTATAATCGAGAGACGCCATTACAATATAAATGAGGCTTAGTTTGGTGTAAGTGAATAGATTCAGCTCTAATGCAGACTGACCATACAGCAGTCACGGCTCATCGCTGATGGGAATCATTCCCCGTTGCGATACTCAACCACCACCCCCACGGAGAGGAACCAATCGTAAAGGTTGTCTTTTCATAAGACGGGCATATTGCGTCCGACGCAAGTTTATGAGGCACCGACTCTTTTTGAGCTGAATCACGGAGGCTATCCGCCCAGTTGCGACAGCCGCAGCCTTGTTCTCAAGCCGTGCACAGCCCTTCCAATACAGAATCGGCAAGATCGTCTTGTTTAGGTTACATGTATGTACAATAGAGTTTCCTCATCGGTTACAAAAGGACCGATAATTAATATACAGGGATTTAGCTGCCGGTTCGCCTTATGTAAATGCCAACTTGGATGCCACACCTACATTACCAATCGGGCGTCGTGTTCCATGTTTATTTATACGGTTAATACGATTAGTAGGCATCTAAAATCAAGTAAACATATAAATAAAGACGATCAAGCCCGCAGCTAGTTGTTTTATGGTCGTTCATAGTCCTCAAGCCTTGACACAGTCACGACATCTGCTGTCTTCTACCCTTTAAACATCCCAGTATGGACCATACTTTTCCTCCCCTATAAGGCGTAGCGACACTAACGGACATGTAGAAATGCAAATCCCCACAATCTTGACGCTCTTGAGTCTTGCTCTTGGCACAAACGCGTGCTTTGTGTCGTGCAAGGGTGGCGCAGAGTACGACGTGGGCAGTAACGGTGGTCCTTGCTATGGATCACAGACCTACATCCGTTCGGCTTTCGGATATGCTGATATTGTCTACTTTGATGGGGGCAAGCATTATCAGTGTGTAGATAGCGAGGGATTCGACTTGACTCATATTCGTCAGAATGTCGTTGGGTGCTCCAACGGCGTCAAAGGCGCGTGCTGCGGCACCGACCGCTGCTAATGCAGTATATATAATTCGCTGCCATAGTTGACGAGCGTACCTACATTCAATAGTTGGCTAGTTTCTAAAATTGAGACATTTACCTAAGAATTTTATGGGTTTGTTTTTGGACGAATCGTTAAGCGACGGCACCACTTTGCACGCTCTTGGCAGAAAGTTCGTTCCCAAGTACGGCAATGGACGATCGACAAGTGTTTTTGGAGATTCAATGAAGTTGACAAGTCATAATTGTTGTTTACTTACGCCAAGAATCGCCCAGCAATGATGTCGTCAACCAAATTGTGCACATTGGCGGCTAGCTCCAAACGCCACAGACCAACCGCTCACACTAAACCCCCGCACACTAAGGCGGCCACTAAGTTAAGCGCCCAAACCATGGTGTTAACGTTATACTTTGTAAACGACCATGCATTTGCAGTGCGAGACCCTAATCCTCGCCAATCATGGTGGACTGTGTGAGTGGGCTGATGGTGATAGACGCTTACAATGTGGCGGCTGACTGCCCGCATGAAGAAGAGGACAAGTATCGCCCCAGCGCAGCAGCGCAGCAAAACATCATATGTTTTAGAAGGGGCCAAATTCACTCTCTTTACCTTCTCAAATAGCCATTCGTCACCATGGTTAACATTCCAAAAGGCACTCTCTCCGAAACGTGGCTGTTTGATAGGCTTGCCTATAGGCGCCTGCAGCGCGCCACCCGCAAGCTGATAACGCGGACCTGATGCTGGAAAAGTTACAGTAGTTGAGGAATGTAAACTAGAGGCAGGTATCGCTACAATTGTATTTGTATAGATTTATTATCCTGATTACTAGCTGCTAAATGTTCATCCAGCAAGCTTACACTTACACAACCAATTGCGTAACCTAACAGGGGATACGGGGGATATTAATTCAAGTAAAGTATATAAGCAAGTATACACGCAATACACATTCTAAAATAAACATTCTCTCAATATCTTTTATATATTATGAGCCACCAGCAGACATCTTTCCAGATGCTTGCCTCTCATAGGGTAGGTAGCCTGCGTCATCGCGATGTCGGGGCGGAGCTCCACCACTTCGGCTATATGCTCTTCAACACAACGCCTACAAAAGCGCCTTCTTTCTAATTTCTTTTCCTTCCACTGCACAGTCTTGACAAAATTACATGATATAGACGAACAACAGACGAGGTCATTTCAAAATGTCAGTGGCAGCTTCACGACGCATTGCCGCGGCCCTGCGACAGCCAGGACGAACATGCGCTTCAGCGGCTACCACCAGCCACACCTCTCGCCGTCGCTGCTTCTCGTCTACTGGTAGCCGACAGCTCATGGAGACGACAGGCTTCACCGAAAACGAGCTCATGGTCCGCGAGGCCATTGGTGCCGTGTGCTCCCAGTTCCCCAACACCTACTGGCAAGAGCGCGACGAGACGGAAACAAATCCGACCGACTTCCACGCAGCTCTGGCCAAGGATGGCTGGCTGGGCATTGCGCTGCCCGAGTCGTACGGAGGCGCTGGTCTGGGCATTGCAGAAGCAACCATGATGATGCAGACAATCACAGAGTCTGGTGCAGGCATGGCTGGTGCCCAAGCTATCCACGCCAACGTTTACGCGACGCAGCCGCTAGCCAAGTTTGGCAGTAAAGAACAGCTAGAAGAAACCATCCCGGCTATTATCTCGGGCAAGGTCCGTGTATGTTTCGGCGTCACAGAGCCCAATGCTGGTCTCAACACATTGAGTCTCACGACCGCCGCAACAAAGACGGACGACGGATACGTCGTGTCGGGGCAAAAGATTTGGATCACCAATGCACAGGTGGCATCAAAGATGATTCTACTTGCGCGAACAACACCCCAAGAAGAAGCAACCAAGCCTAGCGAAGGCCTATCACTATTTTGCATCCCACTTGACAAATCACAGCCAGGGCTGGAGCTGCGCAAGATTAAGAAGATGGGCGGTCGCGCTGTGGATGCCAACGAAGTCTTTTTTGACAACTACAAGATTCCAGCCTCCTCACTGGTAGGCCAGGCTGGCAAGGGTTTCAAGATGGCCCTGCACGGGATGAATGCCGAACGGTGTCTGCTAGCCGGCGAGGCACTAGGGCTGGGCTATGCGGCTCTGGGCAAAGCTGCGCAGTATGCCCGGGAGCGCGTCGTATTTAATCGGCCGATAGGCATGAACCAGGGCGTGGCGCATCCTTTGGCCGATGCATTTATGCGCCTTGAGGCGGCCAAGCTGGCGACATATCACGCTGCGCGACTATACGATGCTAGCAAGAAGGACTCGTCGATCCGGCAGGACGCAGTGGGCGTTGCGGCGAATAGTGCAAAGTACATGGCTGCCGAAGCAGCATTTACAGCCTGCGAAAGAGCTGTCCTTGCTCACGGCGGCATGGGATACGCAGCCGAGTACGATGTTGAGCGGTGGTTCAGAGAGTGCTTGGTGCCGCGGATAGCACCGGTCAGCAGGGAGATGATTTTAAATTACATTAGCGAGCGCGTTCTGCAGCTTCCCAGAAGCTACTAGACTATTTTGATCGTAAATATAAAATAGACAAATAGAGTAATTCGTTTGTAAATAGGCAATTCGTGATGAACTGTGCGTGTAGGTGTACCTGTCAGCAGCATCAGCTTATAGAACGCTAATAACTCTCCAGGAAGTTGTCTACAAGGTTAAAGACAGATCTAGCATGAATTAGGGACAGCTAACCGAATTTTCCATAATTATTTCGCGGCTCTGGATCGTCATCTCGGTCAGCCTTGTAGGGAGCGGCCATCTCGGGACCGAGGCGGGTACCTCGGGGACAACCTGTACCGACACCTCTGATTGGCTGACCTGGTGTTTGCGCTGCGTGCCACCTGCGACAGCTGTCTGCCAGCTGCCTCGCAGCTGCCCAAAAAATGCACCGGGACCGAAACCAACGGAGCAGCGGAGCAGCCGTCACGGCGCCGAGATTTCCAGAGTGAGCGCCGGAACGAGGCCCGGAGATCTGCAAACAAAGAGGAAAGCGAAAATTATAAATATACTTTGGATTCCCATGCTCTTCCATCTTTTCAACTCATCACAATTATCACCACTACTACCACTATCATAGCTGCTTCTACCACAGCTAGTTACTACTACACCTCTCCTCCACTTTCACTCATCACTTTGAAAAGATGTCACCCACCATTGCCATTGTCGGCGCTGGCCCTGCTGGCCTCCTTGCCGGCGTCATCCTCCAAAAACACAATGTTCCCTTCACAGTCTACGAGCTTCGATCCAAGCCCACAGACGAAGAGTTCGCACAGCCCTCTGGCATGCTTGATCTCCACGAAGAATCCGGCCTTGCTGCGCTTGCTGCCTGTGACCTTACTGAAGTCTTTCATACATTTACCGGCGAATGTGCCGAAGACCAAAAGATTGCCGACAAGAACGGCAAGATTCTCTACCAGGACGAGGGCAATGTCTCCAACCGCCCTGAAATCTCACGTCACAACCTCACAAAGATGCTCCTCGATACAGTCTCCGCCCCCACCACGATCCACTGGAACCACAAGCTTGTCTCTGTCACAGAAACGCCCAATGGCACCGAGCTAGACTTTGGCGAGAACGGCAAGCACACTTACGACCTTGTCATTGGTGCCGACGGTGCGTGGTCCAAGGTCCGCAAGGCCCTCACAGACGTCAAGCCCGCCTACGCTGGCACTCAGTACCTCGTGGCAACAATCCGCAACGCTACCGAAAAGTATCCCCATCTCGCACAGCTCGTCGGCAAGGGCAGCTTCTCGAGCCTCGCCAACCACCACGGCGTAATGACCCAGCGCGGACCCCAGGATTCCATCCGCGTCATGGTTGTCGTTACCACAGACGACGAACAATTTGCCACGACAAAGGGATTTGCTGGCAAGCCCGCAACCCATGTCATCGACACCCTTCTCAGCGACGACAGCTTGCTTGGTAGCTGGGGCTCACTCATGAAGGAGCTCGTCAAGACCGCATGCACTGAGGAAGAAGCTGATCACCCGGGCCAGCCGCTGTTCATTCGCCCTCTATACTCCATTGCTGCAGGCACCTCGTGGGAGACGAAGCCTGGATACACAGTGATTGGCGATGCCGCGCACGTCATGTGCCCATGGGCTGGCGAGGGAGTCAACCTGGCTATGAACGATGCCATGATCCTTGCTCAGGCCATCTGCAAGGCTGTCGATGGAGCTGGCGATGCTGCCGCCTTTAAGACGGAGATGGCTACTGCTCTGCCTGCCCTTGAGAAGGACATGATGCAGCGCTGGGAACCCTTTGCCGAAGAGACAATTCGCAACGGCAATATGCTCTTTGGTAGCGAGAACGGGTCTCAGTCCTTTGTGGACTTTTTTAAGCAGTTTATGCCTCCTGAGGCCTTTGTTACTCCAGAGTAGGGTTCCATTTATTGGTCACTTTATTTTTTGGATTGGATTATTTTTCATAGCATAGCATAGCATAGCATAGCGATTTTATTTCTTAGAGTAGATTCCCAACATATATAATAGAGAGAAACAAAAATTACAAAAAATAAGTACACGACTATTCTAAATTCGTGACTTGATACTGAATAAATGAAAACTGGGTTGGAATGACTCCCAAGACAAGCGGGTGCGAAAATATACCGGAGCGCTGGATATTTCCTAATCGGGACACAGCCTCACCTAGCATCGCGTGCTATTTAAATCCACTCGTCGCCAACATCATCAGTCTTCTAATGCAGCATCTCATGTTACATCATCTAAGATATATTCATCAGAAAAATAGCAAACAACATGTTAAGACAGATTGCTGGCCGCGCTGTACCGTCTCGGTCAGGCCTGCTATTGAGACACACACCACGCAACACGTCCATCGTCCACAGAGCCATCTGCAACGCTTCTACATTTGCCACAAACAGACAGCTCCAATCACAATCAAAGTCAGAAACTACAAAACAACCCCCGAAACATGAACCGGGGGAACCTGAACTCCCCAAGTTCAGCCTCGATGGCCTCGGGCTCAGCAGAAACATGAAAGCGGCGCTCATCGTCATCCTCGGCATCTTTGGCACCATTGAGACATGGGTTTGGTGCAAGGCGATATGGCGATGGTGGAATGGAGAGGGATTTGCGCTTCGGGGGAAGCCTACTGCACCAGCTACAGAATAAACAATGGGAGATTGACACGGCAAAGTCTTTCAACGCCTTGGATATCATATGTATTAATAGTTTGTAGAATTGTAATCAACATGCTCTCGCTTCATTGGTAGATCATCAAATACACAAAATTGCAAAGTAAAAAAGTATTTACAGGAACCAGCGGAATTCCTCCACTGACGGACCATCGCGGAGCTTGTGTGTAGGCACATCGCGCGCACTCAACTTGACGCCGCTCTTACGGTCACGACGGCGGTTATCCCACATCATATAGAGACCCATACAAGCTGTAATAGTCGCTCCAGCAGCACCAAAGCAGGCCACAGTGATGAGAGCTGGTGTGTACTTTGGCGCATCCTTCTTCTGGAAGACGTAGCTGGGCACCAGGCCCATGAGGTTGGCCAAGGGCACACCCACAGATGTAAGTGTGATACGGCGACCTTCGTGGGCAATGTTGTTGTTGTACCAAGTCGACAGGAGCACTGATGGTGCAGAGGTGCCCCAGCACATCATAAAGGTGGCAAAGTAGGCGAGCTTGAGCTGCTGCTGGACGTCGCTAATCGCCGCATAGATGATGAAGCCCGTAAAGGTAAAAACGTAGCCCAACACGATGAACGGGAAGCGGATCCGGCTGAAGTCGGAAGCAAAGGCGAGAATGAGCAGCATCACAGCGCCAGTGACATTGGGCGCAACAGTGTAGAGGTTGGTCTGGATGGGCTCGGTGGTGATTCTGCTAATAATCTGAGGGAGGAAAAGCGCAACAGACTGCAGAGGGACGCCGAGGCAGATTTCAATGGCAAGGAAGCCGTAGGTGGTCCAGTAGGTAAAGATCTTGAGGGAATCCTTGAGGTTGAACTCCTCGCCCACGACAGAGGACGAGTCGACGTGGATGCGGTGAAAGGCCAAGTCGCGCTCCTCTTGGTTGAGGAACTTGGCGTGGGCTGCACTACGAGGGAGGTACCAGTAGGCAAAGATGGCAAAGAGGACGGTGATGCTGCCCTCGAGAATGAAGAGGTAGCGCCAGACAAAGATGCGGGTGTCTTTGATGTGGAAGATGGCAAAGGCAAGCAGACCACTAAAGGCATTGGCAATGTTGGAGGCAGCGTAGAAGAGAGCCAGACGGCGGGCAAGTTCGCCTCGGCGGTAAAAGGTGGTGAGGTAGAAGATGACGGTGGGGAAGAAGGCAGCCTCAGACATGCCCAGGAACCAGCGCAGGGCAAAGAGGCCGGAGAAGTTTGTGACTGAGGCGGAGAGAAGGGTCATGGAGCCAAAAGTGAACATCATGACGGGGAGTGCGCGAGAGGCGCCAAACTTCTTGGCGAGCATGGAGAAGGGAGGCGCAAAGATGACGTAGGGGATGAAGAAGATGGAGATCATGGTGTTGTACTGGCCATCCTTGAAGTTGAGGTCTGCGAGTCCGTTTGTTAGTAATGTGACTGGGAGAATGGGCATGGTTGGTGTACCTTTGCTCATGCCTTTGGTTTCGGCATTACCAATGTTGCCCTTGTCTAGGGCATTGAAAAGGTCTAGAAAAGGATACAGTTAGTTTTTGCCAAGCAGGAGAGGGAAAATGTGTTTGGATACGTACACATGACGGCAAGGACGGGCAGCAGACGGATGTCAAACTTGAAGCAGAGCTTTCGCTCTGCCTCATGGTCCACAACGTGCGCCGTCTCGTCGTTGATCGCAGCGCAAGTTTCGCCCTCATCGTGTGAAAGGTGAGGGTCCATGCCGACAGCAGACTGCTTTCTGTCGATGGCGGCAGCCTCTGGGTCGCTGTTTGAGACTGTCATGGTGTCCAAGTAGGACAGAAAATGTGGCTAATGAAGAGAGAAGGAGAGCGAGGTGAGAATTGAATAAGGCAAAATGCGGCGCCTTTTAAAATTGGAGAGTTGGAGGCGGCTGATGGCTTCGGGAGATATAAACGGCGTCGATGAGCTTATCGCCGATGTCGTCCTGATTGTGGGCAGCAGCAGTAACAGCAGCAACACTGCCGAGAAGAAGCAAACGAGATAGACGCTAGCGCTGATAGGCTTGGCTAGATGAAGGCGGGTTTCTGCGGGTTTCCGTATCAACAGTGTTGGGGGCAAGACGGCATGATATGGGCGGTTATCTGTATCTGTATCTATATCTGTCGGGATAGTAAGGAAGAGAGAAGTGGGCGGGAGAGTAGGTGCCGGTCGATAGGGATTAAATGAAGCAAAGCAGATTGACAGTGTTGGCATAGAAGTAGAAGGAGATGCAGCAAGACCCCCAACGATGAACAGCCACGGCGTTTTCCATGGAGAAGAAATGGAAGGAAAAGAAGAAGGAGGCTTGTCAACGGTTGAAATACCAAGGCGCGTTACGTGGGATTCTCCCGGGGGTGGTGGTGGGAGGGGAACTAGGCTAGGCTAGGCTAGCGACCAAAGGGGGGGTACAGTGCGGTGCAGTGCAGTGCAGTAGTAGATGTATAGCGCGTGTTGCTTTAGAGGCTGAAAAGAACGGCGGTGATGGGATTGTGATGATGGCAGCAGAGATGTGCGTGCGTGCAGCAGACAAGGGAGGCGCTCTCTCCACGTTCCAAGGCCGCCTGAAACAGGGAAGTTCAGCGCAGTGCACTCCACTGTATTTTCTGGGACGATGCCGCTGTACCGAGCTGGCGTGGTAGCGGGACTGGGGATATGGGATGGGGGGTTTTACGCAGTGAGCAATGATGATTTTTGCAGGGCTTGGTAAAAATGATAAAATTACAGCAAAAATACGAGCAGCCAAGACGCAGTGAGAAGAATCTTGTCAATTTTTGGCTGCTCTATACAAGTTGATTTGGATTTTCCAACGCCGCACCTTGAATGGAGGGTCGTGAGAAACGAAATGAAGGACAAGGAAACAAAAACCTGGGGTACATCCGGCACTGTAAATCGGCCCCAGATGGGTTCTTCCGGGGCAATGAACGCCCAGAGCACTGGACCGGTCCACTGGAACGCCCCCCAAAGCTGGAAATTGGCCGTCGGAAGTTTTGGGTGGTGCTAGCTGCAGGGATTACTGCACAGTGGATGCTTCAGTGGGTGTGGTGCCTTATTTCAGCCAGGCATCCTGTGCAGTGTGCATTTGGTGGGGGTCAGGACCAAGCGAGAGGGGGCGCATTCAGTGAGGCAAAACCCCCCAACTGCGCCGCCCACTATGCTGCGTGGGGATGAGAGCTTTGGGTGAGTTGGTACGTGGGCGGCTGCCTGTAGTGTGGGGGACAAATTGAGGCCTATACGTGTTCGTTTTTATGAATTGTACAGTCAATGCACAAAATGCATAAAATTCATGTGCTATAGGCGTATAAAATGTATAAAATATCGTTAATTTTGTTCGGTAACACAGACAGCTTCTCGCCAGCTGGCAGCGCCCTCTGTTCAACACGCCAGTGGACCGAAGCGAGCGAATGACGCGCCGCGCCCTTTGTCTGGCGTCCCGTCCGTCTTGTCGGCCGCAGCGGGGTGGTGGGCGGTTGGTTGGGCGGGGGAGGGGCAGGAACCAGCGAAATACAGTGGGAGCGAGCTGTGCTTGGTAACACGCAGAGCCATAAAAATGTTTAAGCCGAAGCTGTGCTGAGCATCAACCCCTCTTCTTCCGGCTTCTTTTTTCTCTTTCTTCTTCCTTCATCCTCTCTCTTCAATCTTCTTCTTCTTTCATTCTCTTAACCACCAAAACACATCACTCACATCCTTCATCATGTCTGGCAAAGTCGCTGTCCTCACTGACAAGGCCCCCAAGCCTCTCCCCGGCATCTACAGCCAGGCCATCAAGGCCAACGGCATGGTCTTTGTCTCTGGCGCCGTTCCCATGGATGCCGAGACCATGGAGCTGATTCCCGGCGACATCCAGGCTCACACTGTAAGTTTAATTCAGCTTCCTCTTCATCTGCCAGAGACCCCATCCTGTAGACCTTTTCTCAGCGGAGAGCTCTCCTTGTACAATCCAGTCTAGCTAACACACTGCTTCTTCGCTCTGCAGCACCAATGCATCAAGAACCTCAGCGCCATCCTCGAGGCCGCTGGTTCCAGCCTCGACAAGGTTGTCAAGGTCAACGTCTTCCTCTCTGACATGGCCGACTTTGCCAAGATGAACGAGGTCTACACCACCTACTGGGGTGACGTTAAGCCCTGCCGCACGTAAGTTGCGCTACACTCTTTCTTTGTAAAGAAACTGTTGCTAACAACCATGTCTATAGCTGCGTTGCCGTCAAGACTCTTCCCCTCAACACCGACGTCGAGATTGAGTGCACTGCTCTCTTGTAAATAACGCCCCATTCTTTTGTAATGGATCAGGATAGACAAAATACATGAAAATTACTTCTATGAACCATACCACATTTCATACGCGAAAACCGTCACATATTATAATAAACAAGAACTCAATTACGCAACAATATTCATTACATGTCCTATTTTCGTGTATAAAACCATTCATTATGGCATTGGCACTGGGCCGAACCACCTCTGCAGCCCAGGGCCGTCACCAGATATGCAAATGACGCCGTGTCCAATGATCCCGTCTATATGCAGCCCCAGGTCACACACATACTTCCTCTCCAAATATAAATTCAACGTTACTTCATCCATTCATTTACTGCTTATCCGACAGAGTCGCCTCGAGATCCATCAGCTCCTTGAGCTCAGCCGCTAGTCTCGCCGTCTCCTTCTCGTCAGGACGAGGCATCGGTCTGCGCGCAAACCCGCCATAGCCAAAGTACGAGCCGAGGGCAGCCTTAACGCCCACAACGCCCGTCTTAATCATGGCCCAGTCGCCGCGACCAACCACTTCTTGCAGCGTAGTCGCTTCCTCGCTGTGGAACAGGGCCTTGTCCTCGCCCATGGCGAAGAGCTTGACACTAGCGCGAGGGGCCAAGTTGGCCATGCCGCCAATGACACCAGCACCTCCAGCAGCCTGGGATGGCAGCGTAAAGTCGGTCGAGCCGGCAAAGCAGAGAAACTCGGCGCCCGATTTGCGGACAGCCGATGCAACACGGCCCAGTTTACCAGTGTTGCCGCAGGTGAACTTGCAGCCGATAATGTTGGCGTGCTGGCTCAGTGTAATCAGGATATCCGAGTTGATATCGACACCGGGGGTGGCACCGGGGTAGTTGTAGATGATAATGGGGATGGGCGAAGCATCGGCGATGCCCGTGAAGAAGTCGATGATGGTGCTGGGCGTAAAGAGGCCACAGTAGTAGCTGGGCGGCAGGATCAGGGCGTAGTCACCGCCAGCAGCGGCAGCTTGCTCGCACAGGCTAACAGCCTCGACAACAGACTGGGCGCCGCAGCCGACAATCAACGGCATGGACGTGAAGCCAGCAGTATCGAGGGCATCGCGGGTCGTCTTGGTGACGGTGCTGCGCTCCTCGTGCGTCAAATGAACCGACTCGCCGTTGGAGCCCTGGACAGCCAAACCTGCAACACCAGCCTTGGCCAGGCGTACAGCGTGCTTGGAAACCGTCTTTGTGTCGAGCTGGTCCGTTGAAGGGTCGAAGAAAACTACCGTGGGGACGTAGATGCCGCGGGCGAGGGGACGGGGCGACGAGCCGTTGACGGCGCCAGAAGGATACGCAGAGGGAGACATTATCTTTTCTGTAGGGCGTATAATAGAATGGAAACGAAGAGAGGAGTAATAAGAGGAGCAGGCGTGTTTATACGCTACGGATGGGTCTTGCGGATTGTATAGCGTCAGCAAAGCTATATCGTTTCGAGTGGTAGTGGTGTGTGGAGGGCTATAAGTCGATCAATTGGCCCGAGGTATAGGAAACGACAGACGAGTTTCGAGGAATGTGAAGATGGCAAGTTTACGAAGCAGACACATCTCACCAAAACTATTTGACCACCACCCCAGAAAAAAAGAGCGAGGACCGATGCGGGAAAGTCAAAAGGCGTGGTTTGCCCCCCATCGAAGCCACCCCGGGGTCTCTGGTCGCCCCATTCCCACAATGACGAGCGAGCGAGCGAGCCGCAAAGGTGGGAACTTGCAGCAGCAAGCCTGTGATTTATTGGGGGGCAGACACTCTCCACTGCTAAATGCGCCGAAATAACTACGGTTTTGCTAAGGAGGCTCTGGTCCGCCATGGCAGTGGGGGGAGGGGGGGAGAGGGCGCTGAATGTCACGCTAAAACGAGCTTTGACGAGCAACTATTAGCATGCTGGATACTGGGAAAGCGAGGAAAAAGACGGCGGGGGTGCGGTACGGTAGTAGCATGTATCGCGATGGATCCGCGCTAGCGGCTGCAGAGAACCCCCACGTCTGCGAGGGGTTGTGTGGTGGTGGCGGGTCTTGTGTTTTTTTTTACGACGGTATTAATTGGAGAAGCAGAGACAAAAAAGAAGACCAGGACGAGGGGGAAACAACGCAGCGGATAGAAACAAGGTGATAGCTGATGGTGATGCACTTACTGTCGGAGTTGGTGATGTCAAGTGCCTGGTGTTGCCGGTATAAAACCGCCAGCTATTACTGAGCACAGCAAAAAAAAGACACCGAATCATAAGCAAGGCAGACTGGCATTACTGAGCGTTTCCTCTCCATCTCCCCACGCATCCCGCGCGGTTTTTTTTTCCTTTCTCAATTGCAACGTTCCAGCCCCCAACTACTGCACCACACCACACACGCCACTATACCACACACTATTGGCGGGAAGCGAATACACCATTGCGCTATAGAGCGGTATTGGCAGCGGGCTTAACGTGTGGCAGCGCATAAGCTATCACGTCACTCGTCTTACTACTTGAGCAACTACCGCTAGAAGTGTAAACAGCCAAGCTCTATATACGGATTATATTGCAGTTCATTCATCTTTATTATATTGCTCCCCCAATCTATGCATGAATTAACACAACAACCACCAATATCAACGCCAGTAAGAAAATGCTCCCCCATCATGCAACACCAACTTCTCTTTCGGAACATATGCCGTTGTATTACCATCCTCGTGTCTTGACCCAAATGTCGACAATCTCATCCTCCTTACCCTTGCGGTCCTCATCTACTACAAAATACCATCCAAAGTGACTGCTCGTGATGCACGCATGGTTCGGCCACAGCCTGACCAGCTGGCCAACTGAAACCTCGTCCGTCGGCGGCTTCGAGGGAGTTCCCTTGCGCTTGCCGGCTGCCCAGGTCAAGATGCCGTGTTCCTGGGAGAAGCGGCCTACCGTCCACTCCTCAGCATCCTCCACATCGCACGTTGGCAGCTCAATACCCTTGCGGCCCCATGGGGTCACCATGGCCATGCCATCGTAGGCCTTGCAGAATTCGCGGCCGAGGGCAAGACCACCAGCACCAATCAGGGCCTCTGGTGTTCCGTCGGCGCCGCGGCCGGGATAGGTGCTGTGTACTTGCGCCAGAATGGTGAGTGCAATATCACCCCATGAGAGAAGCGATGACGAGATGCTATGCGCGGCCAGCTGCTGTAAGTCAAGGACGGGGTACACGCCAGCATGGATTTCCACAGCGTGGCCGTTCTTCTTGGCGGTTTCGAATAATGTAGATAAAGTCTGGACTTCAGTTTGGAGCTCCGGAGTAGCAGTCTCCGCGCTGGGGTTCTGCTGGACGAGGTTTTGAATCGACAGCGCTGTAGGAGAGGCACCTCCAGAGAGAACCAGTGTAGGCAAGTCGGTGACGCCGCTTTCTGCAGCCACGGCCTTGATCTTGTCGGCACCGACGAGCATAGCGCCAGTCTCTGCTCCCATCATCTTCATAGCGGCGACTCTGCTATCACCACCATAAGATTGTCCAGCATGTGAGTAAAGGCCGTGGATGATGATGTCGCCGTTCTTATGAGCTGCAAGAGCGTCCTTGACTACTGAGACAAATCTATCGCTGTCCGCCTCTACACCTGCACGGCGGCCGCCCATGTCAATCTTGATGAATGCTCGGGGCACAACACCGGAGCTGGCGCGGAGCTGTGCAGCAATGGGGATCTGGGCAGGGTCATCGAGGAGGATCGAGACGGCGTCGGGGCCGAGAGCGGCGGCAATGATGGAGAGTCGGGGAACAGCAAGGGCGTTGATGGGGAGGCCGTAGAGGATCTATTCGTATACAGTCAGCATTTTACGGTAGTTTGTCTGATCTGGGGACAGGTGTAGAACATACGTTTACTTTTCGGCCTTGGGCAACGTATTCTTGTAGCGCTGGGAGCAGGAGTTCGCCTTCTGAGAGGGTGGACATGACGAGGTTTACAGGGCGAGAGATGTCATCTCCAACCTGCAGCTTCGTAGCTTCTACCGTCTATTGATCCTTGTTAGTTGTGATTTATGTCTTTTGTACCAGTCGTACTAACCTTGTGAGTCTTGACATGAGCTCGCCATCCAAGCTGCAGGCTGGAGCAAGCTTCGAGCATGCGCTGGCAATTTCGACGCACGGCAGCAACATTGATGACGGCCGCTGGCGTGGGAATCTCGGTAATAGATTTTCCCACGTATGCCTTGACGAGCTCGTCCTTTGGCGTCGAGGGGTAGAAGATGGTTGACGACATGATGGTGATGATGTCTGCTGTGCTCTTTTCTTCTTCTGCTCTGTTGTCAATGATGTCTGTAAATCAATCTACAGGCGTTGATGATATCCAGCGACACTGTCTGGCAATGACGATATCTGTTGACTGTATTCGAATCTTTGTTGGTAAAAGAAAGAAGAAAATATTGAAAGGCGACGTCACCACCCGTTTCACAGGCGGCGCGAATTACAACAGCTGGGGCTGTGGCAGAGCTTCAGCGGGGTAGTTTCAGTGGAGGAGGAGGGGTCGTACAGAGGGAACGGCCGCTGTCGGAGAGACCCCCACGTTGGGGACAGTTTGGTGGGGGTTGGTCAGCGTGGAATAAAGAGGCAGGCCAAGCCAATACACTGTAGAGCAGCTTTGGGGGGGTTGTTTTGGGGGGTAAACTATTTAGTGGGAAAGAAATATGGAAGAATAAACCGTGGGTATCAGAATTGGAGTAATTGGATTTTGTATTTACCTGTATGCTTACAATAGTGCATGTATAGACACAGTATGGTGTATGGTGTCTTAAGACTGCCGGAAAGTATGCATAGAAGTATACAACAAGCATAAATATATCCTTAAAAATTCATACACCAGTGGAATTACATTTACAATGTTATGGGCCGCCTTTGGAAGAAGGATGGGATCTCGCTTTACCAGATCGAGCGAGGATCCGATGCATGAGGCCGGCATGTATTTCAGCTAAGCCGCATTCTGTGCACTGTAATTCGCAAATACGCTTCAAAACAGACGAAAGCCGATATATTCTGTAGTAAACCCTTCTCAGCCTCAACGCTTGTACAGAGGTATAAAATGACTGCCCAGAACCCTCCGGGAATAACAAGATGTAGCGTATTTGCAGATATTTCAAGTTGTCTCTAAATAAAAATAACCGCAAACATGAAGTCTACAACCCTTATCCTCTCAGCTCTCGTTGCCAGGTAGGTCAACATAGATGCATTTATGACTTACCACAATACATCAATCTCACTGTCTACCTATACTAGCTGCACCGCATTGGAGCCCACACCCAGTAACTGCGATGTTACCATCACTAGCACTGCCTATGGTCGCCAGACGGATGGCTGTCGCCATGACTGCCGCTTCAATGGTTGCATCGGACAAGGTATGATGATACATACACTCTCAGATAACCATGAAAGCTCAACATTCTACTTATAGCCGCCTATTATCTCCCCTGTGGGTGCACATCAGCTACTGTGCATACCATCACCGCAAAGGTCTGCGCTACCGAGTTCCCCTGCTACGGCTGCCGCTACGGCTACTATCCCATCACGCGAACCGATTGCCCTGGTGCCAGCGAGACCAAGTAATTCGTCTCTTTCAATTATAGGTCGACTGCAATAATTACATAATACAATTGGCAAAATATCATCTCCCACTATTACATGTCTGTATGTACAAATACTTGGAACAAGATTGTATATATATGTGTCTGTGTATGTATGTCTATATACATACGCATCTATATACCAGCAACCTGTACATCAATCCAGTGTAACCGTCTTCGCCAAAGCAGTCTACTCACCATACCAGATCAAGGCTTGTAGTTGTTGTTCAAAAAGTCAATGACAACAGGAGACACATCAATCTCCGATCCCTGGCCAGGCCAGCTGTGGTCATGACCCTCAATCTTGATATGACGCAGCAGGTTAGGAATATTGTGGCACGGGTACTGGTAGTCTGTAACCCCATTACCCAAGTCAATGACCTGGGCATCACCGCACTCGTTTCGGTTCTTCCAGCGGTTAACCCAGTCAGGAATAGCAGGCAGCGGACCGCCGCTACCATCGCCGCCCCAATACGAAATTCTAGGGTCACCGGTACCGTGCACCTCCATGATGGGGATGGGGGACCGAGCCGGGTGGCAGGACGCACTATCGGAAGCGTCCGTGTAGAAGGCACCCGAGATGGGAGCAAAGGCAGCAAACTGGCCGCCGTGGGCGGGCGAGCAGGCCAGGGTACCGAGGAACCCGGCGCCGTTGGAGTGTCCGGTACCGTAGACCCTGGACTCGTCGACGCAGTAGTTGTTCTTGATGCGGTTCACGAGATCCGTCGTAAAGACCTTGTCACTCACGCCGGGCGTGGCATAGCTGGGGCCTTCCCAGTGCGCCTTTGGAACGACATGAACCGTGTTAGTAATCTTTCATGATTTGACTGTAGCTTAGCGCCGCCGGAAGACGAGCTTCATCTCGGCTGTCGCAGCCCGAGACCAAGCCCAGTAGGATTGGTGGCCTTGGGGGCCAGAGGGTGACGTTGTATCAAAGGCCAGACCAAGCCTCGGGCTAGCTGCAGCATCTATTACTCACATTAACGCCCGCGGGGTACACGGTAATCATGTTGGGGTTGATGCTCTCGTCGGAGAAGCGGGTTTCACTCTCAAATGCCGCGGGGTTGTTACCGGCGCCATGGTACGCAATCAGGAGCGGCTTGGGCGTGTTCGTATCGTAGTTGGAGGGCAGGTGGATGCGGTAGGTGCGAGATCCGCCGGAGCTGTCAAAGCTGAATTCACGCGTCTGGCCTACGAAGCTGTGATACTTGCCGCAGCCGGGTGAGCCTCGTTTCTCGAGCGGACTTGCGCTGGTGGGAGTCACGGCAGCGGCTAGCAGCGCAACGGCTGCGAAGGACTTGAGCAGCATAATGGGCGGAGTTTATGTTGTCAAGAATCGTAGTCAATTGATGGAGAAGCAGAAAAAGAATGGTGAGTATATACGAGTAGTAGTAACACAAACTTTAAGAGACTGCTTGGAGCGTTCTATATACTTGACGAATCTCACTCGGCCGAGTCCCCCCAACGCCTCTCTTCTTCTACACCCACGGAAATCGCAGTCTTACACGCGATTGGGACGGAAAATGCTTAATCGTAGTTGTCTGGGCATGCGTCGGTATACCAGAAATATCAAGCCTGTCCCTGTCCTCACCTCGGTTTATCCAGTGAGGTTGTGGGGTTGCAGCAGCCGCAGTGTGTGTTGGCTGCAAGAGGTATCCCGCGCCGGATTCGGCCGGCTGCACGGAACATCAGCGAGTGACAGCTTTGAACAAACGACGCTAACAAACCTTACATGATTAAAAACAGACAAAAGCTCCGTGAACCTTTGGGGGCGGAGCGGGATCCGCGCCTTTGGTCTCGTGGCGCTGGGGTGGGTGTGGAGGCAGCCACTACAGTATACACGTTTTTGCTGGCACCGAGCCGCATTCACTGGGCGTTTTCTAGCGCCTTCTCTGTTCTTTTACTTTTTTGTTTTATTCCAAGCGAGATACTTTGAGGCGGATTGCTTCGGCAGCCTTGGCGGAGCTGCCCGATGGGGTTATCCTGGGTTGCCGACCGGACTACTGTTCTTGGACACTAAGAAGGTTCTAGTGCTCTGCGGTTTCTGGGATAGGCAGTAAAGAGGAGACGTGTAAACGAGAATGAGTTAGTGCTTTTTCTACGGGACTATTGATTGGTCGATGCGACGGCTGCAGAAAGTGTCGCTACTAGTGGTGGGTTAGACGAATGTATTGATGTGAGTAATACTGTAAGTCTACTGTGTACAGTACACTGGCTGACCTACGTAGAGGTACAAACGGCATTGGTAATTATCCACGGGCATCATTGCAATCTGTCTTTTCTCTTCTCTTCTTTTCTTTCCGTTTCCAGTTGCCTAGATGTGTATTGCCGTTCTGGCTGCCTGCTTATTTCCACGTGCCCAGATTCCCTTCGAGTTCATCTTGTTTCTGAGTTTTCTCTCTCTCAGCCTGACCCACCGGCAAACAAATTAAAACACAGAAAAAGCTTGGCTCCGAGTCCGATCGCATTCGCAACGTGGGTCTTTTGCTACTAGTGCCGCTGACACGGCGAGATGATCCGCCCGGCTAGCCTGTAAGAGTTGGCCCGGGCAGTGGGGGCGGCCTCCTTGATAGTCTCGGTCTACTGTTCCTGGGCAGGGCCGGCATTGGTGCTGTGATGCTAGCTTGGGCACGATACTGCGAGTTGGTGTGGTGCTGTGCATCATCTGCAGTGTACTATAGAAACATCGCCTCATTTACGACATACATGGGTACACGAACGCACATCACGCTGCTGATCAATTGCAAAAAAAACTAAACACTATTTCGCGTTGCGTCCGCATTAGGGTTACGAGACTTTGTCTGCCGTAGTAGTGGTGTGGGAGGGAGTACTGTACCAGTGCGCTGTAACTAACCGCCAGCCTTACCTTAGACCCTTGATGGATGAGCCTAAAATTAGGCTTACCAATGCGATCGCTTCTCGTCCACAGCAAGCGTCCGAACAAGAACAAGAAGACTATCGGGCACCCACATACCGTTCGCGTCCAACTCCTGAGTCCGCCTTGCCGATGAGCAACAGAGAGAAGAGGACCCCTAAGTTCAGCCGCGCAGAGGCCAGGTCGAATGATATTGCCTAGTTGAAGCGCGGAGCACGGAGCAAAGGGGACACCGAAGAGACACGGCAGTTGGCCAGGCCATGTGGTTATGGTAAGACTAAATGATCACTAGAACAGCAGCCCTATAGCCCACCGGGGATGCCAACCCCGACAAGCCGCGCTCTCCTAATTATGGCACTGATTGGGCGTGCTTGATTTACGAGCTGCCCGAGGCGGACGACGAGCGGGGCGCAAAGCTGAAAAAGATGTCTTCTTAGTGGTTGGAAAGACGATGCGCTAGGCTAGCGTGCGTGCCTGGAGTCATCGCCTCGGAGCTGACCGTTTGGATGCAACGATGCAAAGACAAGAGGTTATTATTGCACTGTATTCGATTTGTGAAACTGGTTACCGCCCTGGTGGTCTATCTGGTTCGATGATTGTTTGTCTCTTGCGGATCCCGCCCCGGCCGGAGTTTTTTGAGATTTTGAATAGATATAAACATGAGGCCGACGCCTCCATCGTCATTCCTTTCCGTCTCTTGTTTTTCTGTAACCCTAACCCCCGGGAATCATAGACAGGATGGAATATTCCTACTCTGCTCCGGCAAAACCCCACATGTATAAGGCAGCGTCCGCCGCCGACCACCGACATCGTCGCTCCACGCCGTCGCAACATCACGACTACTTTGCGCACCTCCAGCAGCAGTACCACGCCAGCCACGACCTGCTGTATTCACTGTGGCCCTCTGTAGAGCCCAACTACGAGGCCTTCTTCTCCCCGCCGGATTTCATGTCGCCCGTCATCACCGTTGCGCCGGAGGAGCTGATGCCGGCTGCTCCTCCTCCTCAGCCTGCTGTTGCTGCTCCTGCGCAGCCTACTCGCGCCTATGTCTGCGCTATCTGCGGAAATAAATACCAGAGAAATACGCATCTTCGCCGCCATGAAGCTACACGTACGTTGACATGAAAAAAGGATTTTCCATTCCCCCTGGTACATACAGCAGCCACCCGTTTCCACTACACACCCCTCCCTCGGCATTAACCCACCAACCAATCAAGCCGGTACCCTTTTGCATATGTTTGCTCGTTTTGCGTTATCGCCGTACCGCTGGGATGGGAATCTAGCGTAGCCTGTTACACACTACTAATTCTTCCTTTTTTACAGACAGCAATGTAAACAAGTTCAAGTGCCAGTACTGCGACAAGGAGTTCTCTCGCGGGTACGTTTACCATCCTCCATCTTCCACTCCGCACTTCTAACATGATGCTCTTTTTTTCTCTATTATAGTGATGTCTGCAGAAAACACTCTCTCAATTGTCCCAAAAAGGACAGCCCGCTGCAGCCGCCCGAGCACCGCCGGGGCCGCAAGCCCACTGCATGCGAGGCTTGCTTCCACAGCAAAGTCCTGTGCGACAAGAAGATGCCCTGCTCGCGCTGCGCTATCCGAAACGTCCCTTGCCGCCCTCGTGATGTCCCAGAGCACTCGTTTTCCGCTTCTTCTTCGGAGGCAGCGAGTTCCTCGTCGCCGCTGCCGCCTGACCTGCCCTTCCTGCGCGGCATCATGGACCCTACCAAGCATAGCATGCTCGAGTATTTCCACACAAGCAAGGAAGAGGCCGTGAATGAAGAGGTTCCCGAGTCGGATTGCAACTTGCAGCCTCATCACGCCAAAAAGACGATCCAAAGCCAACAACAACAGCAGCAGCAACAACAGCCACACGATATGCCCAGCTTTGACGACATCATGGGCATCTTCCCCTCCAACTACTCCTCCATGCTCGACGACGCCTACCACAGCTTTGTCCCCGACGACGACTTTGACATCATGTCCATCTCGGATAAATCGCCAGTGCCCATTCTCACCGACTCCGGCTTTGAGCTGCTCGAGGCTCGCTCAATGACTCTGGTGCAGGACTTGCACGCCATCCACACCCAGCTCTACAACACCGATCCTACCTACGATCTCGACTTTGATGTGGCCGCTGCCGAGTCGGTGCTGTGTGCAGAAAACATGCGCAGCTTCATTGCCACCTTTTTCCGCCTCAGCCACGTCCACTTCCCCATTGTCCACTATCCCACTTTTGGCACCCAAGAGACCATCAAGTCTTTACTGCTTATTATTGTTGTTGCTGGTGCCTACAGATCGCCACCCCTCGACGATGCCCTCGACTGCCAGAGCTATCTTCGGCTGGCCGAAGAATACGTCTTCAATGAGCTCGAGCAGGCCGTGCAGACATCAGACATCCACCAGCCGTCGCCAGAGGTGCTCCAGACACTGCAGGCCGGCATCATTGCCAACTATTTGCTGTGTCTAAGCAATAATATCCCCGGCCGCAAGAGGACACACACAGAGCGTCTTCCGAAAATGGTTGCAGCCGTGCGTCACTTTGGCCTCTGCAATATGCGCCATGTGCCTGGTGTAGACTGGGAAAAGTTCATCTACAACGAAACCTGCATCCGGTAAGATTTCAGTACTCTTTCATCATGCATTCTTGACCAATAGCTAACTTTTGTGGAAAATATAGAGTCGCAACATGGGCAGCCGCCGCAGACTGGCATCATTCGTGCCTCTTTTACCATCCTGCCGTCACCAGCGTTACCGAGATGAAGGGCAACTTTCCCTGCCACCGTGAACTCTGGGATGCTCCCGACCGGACATCGTATATTCTGCACAAAGAGCGCCTCGATTCAAAGCCTGGGTTGCAGACGCTGCAGCTGACACACTCTATGAGCGACTTTGTCCGCTGCATCATGAATGACCAATGGTCGCTGGTCGACGATCTTCACCCAGACGCCCTCACCATTGAGACTCTCTACTACGTTTCCGTCTGTACGTACAGTCAAATAATAAACACTCTAACTGTCCTTGTTTTACTAACAATACATCTCTACAGGTCTCAGCGGAATGGCCATCGCCGCCTCCCAGATGATGGTTCTCCCTGCCTCCGCAACCGCATTAAGGCGAGCCTGCGCTCGATGGCAGAAGATGTGGGATATTGTCGTGGCCAAACTCGATCGTAAAACCCTTCTCAAAGCAGGCATGGCCCGTCATTCCTGCGAAAACATCCAGCTCATGCTCATCATCATCGATGCAAGCCTCACCGGCCGAGACAACGTCTTCCTCGGGACCATTGCCCATCATACCCTCGAAAATCTTCATACTTTTCTCCTGCGAGAAATCAACCGCACACCTGACAGTTCAAAATCTCCTCCTTAGCTCCTGTTTCACTAGCCTTACGCCCTCATGACCGCATGCAACTGTCCCTGCCAAAAAACGAACCGCCTGCTTCTGTACGATATCTGGTATATTAAACAAAATTAGTGTATATAATCGCAAAAAGGGACACCTAGATGTTCTATTCTCCACTTCCATATTCTTTTCATTCAGACCCAAGCATCTGCTGGCGATCGTTCAAAAATAATCTCAACGTGACGAGTTGGTAACGGAAACGTCAGGCTCTCCTTGCGACTAGATGGTGTTGGTATTGTCACAGCCACGCTCCCACGTCTAATGTCTTGCTCTAGGTTGTCCAGTTGACTTTTGGGCTTTTTCGTTCTCCAAGCAGGTATTCCCGCGTCAAATACGCTATCCATCTCCTCAAGAGTGTAGCCCTTCGTCTCATGGGCCGCGAAAAACATGTGAACAAACGCTATTCCGTTGACTGTCCGATCAGTAACTATCCAGCGTGAAAGTTGATAAGGAATACTTACAGCCGCCAAAGACATAATAAGTTTTATAACTATAACGGGTCAGCATTTAATACGCACCACCAACAGAGCAACACTAGGCATACTTGATACGCCATACTAAGTATTCAAATTAGCACACTTTCGATTCCTCTCTGAGACGTTGCACTTACTCATTGGAGGCACGAGAAAGGCTAGAATCGCATTGCAGGCCCAGTTTGCCGCAGTACTCAGCGACACAGCCCTAGCACGAATCGTACTTGGGAATATCTCGGCCGGATACGTCCACGACGTAGGGCCCCAGGTTGTAGCGAAGACTGCGACAAACAAGTACGAGCATGTCACAATGGCAACAGAGGCATCATGATGGTCCTCAGAAATAGACCAGCTGATACTAGAATGGTCTCGATTCTTGGACTCCTCGTCCAGTGGTCTGCCATAGTACTGTTGTATGGCTCCAGAAACGAACAAGAGCGTCATTAGTGCAAACGATCCGCCTACCAGTGCTGGCCGTCGACCAATCTTATCGAGAAACAGAATAGCCGGCAGGGTTAGTAGCATGTTGATGATGTACTGTATAGAGGCTGTGAGAAGCGGCGAGGCAATCTTGGTCGCCTCCATGATATACATGATGTAATACATCATAATGTTCATGCCGCAGAGCTGACTCCACGCCTGAATTGACACCCCGAGCACCACACGCTTCAAGATGCGCCGCTGCATCAGCGCCTTCCAGCCAACTGTGCCTCTTCGCTCCTCTCGCAGGGCATCTTCGATTTCTCGATATTGTGCTAGTACACGGGGATGTCGCATATCGCCTTTACCGTGCAGATTAGCCAAGACCACCAGACACTCATCCCATCGATCACAGGTCGCAAGCCATCGCGGACTATGTGGAAAGAAGAATAGCCCAACAAATAGAATCATAGCAGGGACACTCTGCACAGCCCACGGGATGCGAAATGCTGCTGTTGTTTGATCGGGATCGTCAGGCCCGTTTCCTAGGGCATGTGCAGCGCCGTACTGCACAAAGTACTGAATAAGGATACCCCAGGTAATGGCCCACTGCTGCAGACTTACAACCCGGCCACGAATCTCTTTTGGCGCAATCTCGGCCTATATCACCTGTGTCAGTATGTCAATTCGTCGAGCAGTATACACAAATGTTCATCAAACCTGGTAGATTGGCACAATGGAGCTGGCAATCCCAACACATAAGCCCGCAACACCTCTCCCGACACACAGCATCGCGACGTTTACTGAGCCGCACTGGATCGCGCTCCCTACGATCCAGAACACACAGCTGATCTGTAGCGCGGCTTTGCGTGACCAGTTGTCCGCGAGCACCGACGACACCATAGACCCAGCCATGGAACCCAACGGCATCGAAGCCGTGATGGCGCCCTGTGTGTAGGAGGTCGGATGGTTAAAATATCGCTTGTATGCCTGTGTTCCGAGGATCCCAGACATGGATGAGATGTCGAGGCCAAACAAGCCGCCGCCTAGAATAGGTTAGCTTGTGGTTCTGACTGGCAGATGGCAGATTGTCTTGCCAATGGCCGCAAAGGCGCATATCAAGTACACGTTATTTGCGAAATACATGTCGAACAATGCGAAATTACAGAACAGAATAGAGAAACAGCAAAACAAAAGGCTCGCTATACCCCTCATAGTAGGCAATCGTCACGGAAACTGCAATAGAGTTTCATCATGCGTTACCGCAGCTGCTACCCCTCTCCAACACCTCGCATAAAGCAGAGACATTAGTGAGAGAAAAAAGAGGTTTGACAACTTTTATGAAGCCTCATCTTCTACCCTCTGCAGTTGCAATAGCCTCCTGCGTAGGTTAGAAGAGGAAGACTCCGTGTCACTCGGAACCGCCAGTGCACAAGGCACAAAAACCATGGCAGCGGTCGGTTCCTCCTTTTTTCCTAAGCTTTTCATAATAGAAAAGTGTAAACATGTTAGCAAGTGCGTAGCCGGGTACGCTCAGAGAACGGCTCAGTTTAGTAGGTGAACATGGCGCAGCAAGACGAAATGAATCAAAAGGCAAAAGGAAGCCAGGAAAAGATAATCAATAATCGGAATTCTTCGTTCGACGCCTGAACTGCCGGGACGTTGGTATCATGTGTGTTTGCCTGGGCGGCTTGCCGTGGCCTAAAAGGTTAATGTACAAAACAAAAGCTTCTTCCTCATATAACCGCCTCCTAATGGCGAGCTTCTTCTCTCCTTGTCGATTACAATCCTGATGAAAAATGCAAAGGAGTGATCCGACATGCACAGGTGTGTGTATATATAAAGAGGTGCTGCAAAGCCAAAACAAAAAATGCGCTGCTTCCATGCATTGCGTGTTGCGTTCATGTGTCGATGTATAGGGATGTATGTTGGTGTTGATAAAGGAGCCAGACAGGTATGTTTAATCGGAGCAAGGCCCGAAATGTCGCTCGTGAATGCGGCGCAAAAAGTCCCGCTGGAGTCTAAAGGACGAGTAGTCGCCCTTCATAATGACGTCCAGGATGCCGCCGGCCTTGGGATCGCGGGCGACTTGGTCCATGCGGTCTCGGAGCGCATTGTACGCTTCTTGGAAACGGCTGAGAATGGCGGTGGTGTTAGAGGAGCCGCCAGAGATGTCGTTGGATGAGTTGTTGGGATCAATGATGGACATTCTATCCTTGTTCTTGTACCCAAATGAGCTGACCTCTGTCTACGTCAGTTGTTAGTAATAAGCTTACACTCTCAAATTAAAATGACATACCTTGCGAATATAGCCTGGTGGGCTCGTAAGACTAATAGCGTTTACTTCAAAGCGGAAATGTCGCCCATAGAGCTCGAGGAACTCAAGCAGCATCTCACCGAGGTGATGCTCGGGAATCATACTCCGGCTTTGCACCTGCGGCATGAGCTGCAGCATGCTGACAACGAGGCAAATAACAGAAAAGCCGCCAAGGCCGCCATTCACAGGCTCATTCAGACCGCGCATCAGCAAGAAGTGCTTAATCACAGTCACCAGGATAGGCATGGAAGGATACAGCTGCTTCCAGTTGAGGAACGTATCAATGGCGTCGACACCGCCCATATTCTCAAAGGATACATCCACCTTGAGACCCGTGAGCTTGTCGACAAACTTGACGAGCGGGATACGCGCGTGCGCAATGACGGTGATGGACTCGTGGTCTGCAATCTGCTGCGAGACGAGGAACTTTTGGAACTTATACAGCCAGCTCTTCGCGGAGAGGTACGTGGGCGGCCCGCCTCTCATAAAGCTCGCGGAGCATACCACCATGTCCATGTCTGCTGTGGGCAGATACAGGCCCGACATGAAGGATCCGAACGGGAAGATCTGGGCACTACCAAAGTTCCTCGCGTCTCGCCTCATGGCCTTTTTCAGATTGTCCACTAGATTGTCGCGGATACGCTGCTCAAAAGCACGCGGCCGCACATACTCGTAAAAGTCAATGACTTCCTTGTGTAGTCTAAACGCCATGTCCTTGGTGTCATCGTGGTTGACGCTCCACGGGCAAGGGTCCTCGCCTGCTTTTGAAAGCCACGCACCGAGGATACCACCCTTGGGCGCTCTAGTAGTTGCTTGCTTGAACTGCCCATAGTCTGGAGGCTTAATCTCATCATCTATTGTGCGTTTTCGCGAACCCAGAGGGCCCGACCGGTCTGCTGCCGGTCCGGTTGGTGGAGGAGGAGGCTCGCGCGGAGGCGGCGGTATGGCTGGTGGAGGACCAGGCGGTAACGGGGGTTGAGATTGAGGAGCAACGGCGGGAGCGGGTTCATATTCTTCTTCGCTGTCTTCCTCGTCACTCGTCTCGTCGGAATCGTCATCATCATCATCCTGGTCGTCCTCGTCCTCGGTGGTATCGAAAGAGATAAAGTCCTCAGCGGTTCCGGGTGCGGCTTTGCTATCCGAGGACTCTTCTACTCGTGCCTTGCGGATAAGCTTTACGACATCGCGCTTCTTGCCAGTGGTCTCTTCAGGACATGGCAGCGCCGTGTACGGGTCCGGGTTCGACCACTTAGGTGCGTGCTCCTTTGCCTCGTCCGCCTCGTCCGCCTTTACACGCTTTGCTGCAGGTTCATCGCCTTCCTGCTCATCGTCAGACGTACGCGGCGATATATCCATTCCTAGTTCCTCGTCATCAGACATCTCATCGAGATTGCGAAACTTATTCTTCGCATCTCCGCTAAGAAGTCGCTCTTCGGGAACATTGACCAAGTCGGCCGACAGAAGCTGTCTCTCCGACAAATGAGGAGGAGGCCGCCACCTAGGACGGTCCGATCTACGATCTTGCCTTTTCCTGTCGGGACCGCTTCTTCGAGGTCCTCTTCTATCCGATCGGAAGCCCGGGCCCGATTCTCCCATGCCTGCGGGCTTGTCCATTCTGAATGTAAAGTCGCCTTGCGGTGGCACGTATCGATCATTGCCGCGAGGTGGTCGGCCACCATCACTGTATCTTGGCCCATCGTTATTCGGTCGCCAACTATCTTGTCCGTTTCGACTGTTGTTGCGCGGTCCTCGCGGAGGAGACAGTGGTCGTCGCCCAGGAGGACCTCCGCGGTTTGGTATCCTGCGCGGTTGGTTGTTGCCCGAACGCTCGTTGCGCCTGGGCTGTGGATTACGCCCCATGCTGTGCTGTACCGTCTATGCGACGATGCGACGTGCAGGTTGGCGTTGTCGGGAAGAGTTGTGTTTTTAGTCGTGGTCGCCGCGGCCATTCATCTCTGCAGGTGACTTTTTTTTACGGGCGATTTGTGGCGATATCCTAATTAGGCAAGCGGTGAAGTGGGCCAACTCCGTACAGGGTAGCCGAGTGTGTTTACTGGAGGAACACACAGAGATAGGAATTTAATGCTAAATAAACTGTATTAATTATTTCTCAGTCTATTATAGTCTATATCTTGTTTTGGTATATACAATTTGTCCGTGTTTCTCGGAAGGCGGTGGTGCGCACTAAATATTAAAGACATCCCCGTCAGCTCTTTCAGCTTCACTTTCGTGACTCTTCATACCAGCATGTGAATCAAACGCCTAGGCTTTAGATCAATAGGAAGAGCCTGTCCAGCTTCGCCTAATTCCTCTTAATATTTGTAAATTATTAGCACCGAAATAATGTCATCATCAAAAGGGACTGCGGAGCCAGGCAAGAAGAGGGCAACCGAAGTCATGGACGCAATGAAGGGCATGACCGCCTACTCAACCGATGATTTATTCTTTGTGGCTCGGTACGGCGCAACCGCTAAAGTAAGTGTTATGGTAAAACCACCCGTTAACTGGTCACTTATTTGTCGTCAGAATGAAATGAGCACTGCAGAGTACGCGGAATTCCAGCGCCTTACGACGCTGTGCGGGAAACTGGAGGCTGCCAAAGATGAGCAGGGAGCCGCGGAGGCGGAGGCCAAAGTGAAGGAGTTGTTAACACCTTACCCGACTCTGCTACGTGATTTCGACAAATTTGGTGCAGCAGCGACAAGGGCGGCGGCGGCTTTTGGAAAGGGTGCGAGGAGAGCAAAGTAAATCGATGGAGCAGTTGTTTGAGTAAGTCTATGTTGGCACACTTGTACGTATGGGACAAGATATAGAAGGAGAATACGTTTATGAAGTATGGTACAACTGTTAGAGTTGGTTTAATATAGGTTCCAAAGTACTAAATGCTGCATATATCCAACCAAAGGTGATCACTGAGTTGGTTTCTTCTGTGCGAAGGCCAACAGCTGAATCAGTTCACCGGTACCCGGCTTGTGTAAATCTTCTTCCTCCCAGATCTTGGTCAGTACCATGCCGCTCTTGCGCATTACTCCCTGACTAGCAGTATTCAGGAGCACCGTGGCGGCCATAACGAGCTCATCTTTGATAGGCCCGTCGCCACTAATGAGCGACACATCGACTGGCCACTCAGCTTCTTCACGCGGTAGCGTCCACCAATGGTCTAAAAAGGCCTTGAGAAATTCGGTCGCATAGCCATTGCCCCATGCCTCCGATCGCAAGGTGTAGAAGAGTGTTGGCCACCCGAGGTCTCCCTGTCTCCGGTGGTGGCCACCAATGCCCACCATTTCGCCTGTGCCCTTTAAGCAGATTGCAAAAGCCAAGGATTCAGGGCTGGACATCATCTTATCTAATTCTTTCTTGGTGATGTCAATAGACTCATTGGGTTTACCCTTGACAGACCACCGCATCACCTCCACCTGAGTGCGCATAATATGAAGCACATCCAAGTCAGACGATCGCAGGAGACGTAATCGCAGTCTCTCTGTGAGAATCTCCAGCGTTGGAGGCTTGTCAATGGGAAGCCGAGGGAGGGTTGACCGGATGGTCACTCGTTCTCGGGGTGTAACCGGAATTGTAGCGGACATGACGATTATATGAGGATATATCAGAAGGAATTAAAGAAGAAAGAGTCGGAACTGTGCAAAGGCGTGCACGACGATCTTATCACTACAAGTCGAGTGAGGCTGAAGGGGGCATCCACGGAATGCGACGGGTCATCTCGTATTACGAATGCCCATATCTAGCGCCTTGCATAATTACTTTCAACACTGGAAGCAAAAAATTGATTCAGCATCTATCTTTCTATTTATTTTACTGATAATAAGCTTGCCACTCAATTCACTTCGCTCATCCGTTGCCGCCACTTACACCAGCCAACACCGCCACACGTAAAAATTACACCGCCACAAGCACCCCTCAGCACAACCGCAAAACGGGCGCCACATTTTCTGCCAGCCGCCAGCCAACACATGTCCAAAAGCTATTGTGTGTGCCTGAACCAGTCCCTGAGCTACTGCTGCTGTTGTCCACATCATCACCACGACGAATCTCCCACGCCCGCCCGCCTGCTGCGTTTTCGACTGCGCGCAATATACAAATAAAAATACCTCTGCACTATAAAACCACAATTCATACAATAATCCACCTCTGCGCTTGATCGCAACGCGGCCGAATGTCCAACTACTACGGTAGCCAGCAGGGCGGCGCCCCCCCCTACGGCAACAATCAGGGAGGCAACGCACAAAACCTCCAGTTCTACCCGTCGTCCTATTCGCCCAACGCCGTCTCGGGCGCCGCTACTCCCCAGCAGGCGGCGTACGGCTTCACTAGCACCAATAATGCCGGCTCGGGCTTCTCGTCCGGCGGCTTTGGCGGCGCAGGAGGCGTGTCTGGTCGCATGGGCGAGCACGGTGGCCTGCGAACGGGATGGCTGGCTGCCTTTTCCACAGAAGGCTACGATGGCGAGCCGCCGCTGCTCGAGGAGCTTGGCGTGAACTTTGACCATATTCAGAAGAAGGTATGATGCACTAGAGAGTCTACAGAAACGGCCCCTTTACTAACACTTCACACAAAGACCCTCGCGGTTCTCAACCCCTTCCGCCACATCGACCAGCACATCATGGACGACTCCGACCTCGCCGGCCCCGTCCTCTTCTTCCTCCTCTTTGGATTCTCGCTGCTCTTTTCCGGCAAGGTCCACTTTGGATACATTTACGGCCTCGCCCTTCTCGGCTCGACTAGTTTACATATGATTCTGTCTCTCATGTCTCCCGACGACGACCCCACCACTGGAGGACAGTATGGCCAGTTCAACGATGCTCACGGCAATGGACAGCAGCAGGGCGGCAGCATCAGCGGCGGCCACTTCTCTGCCACGCTTACCTTTACTCGCTCTGCGTCCGTCTTGGGCTACTGCCTGCTGCCTCTTGTCGCAACCTCTCTCTTTGGCATCGTCATGTCCATGGACACGCCCATTGGTATCTGCATCACTAGCGGTGCCATCATGTGGTGCACGTACAGCGCCAGTGGCATGTTCTGCGCCGTGGGCAGAATGAAGGGCATGCGTGGACTTGTTGCGTACCCTCTGGCTCTCTTTTACGTTGGCTTTGGCATCATGAGCATTTTTAGCTCCAGGGGAGCTGGATCCTTGGCTAATGCTGCCGCCAAGCTTAATGTCTAGAATGTAACAACATACCAAACCTTTACGACGCAGAACATATAATAGTAAGACAGGCACTTGAGAGTCAGGCCAAAGAGGAGTGCAAATGTGGTAGACTTGAGCATAGCATGGTTGGGGAATATTGCAATTCACGAAGGTTTACGAGGCGGAGAACTAGTTGGTAATGAATAATACAACGAGTATATCGGGCAGAAGTCGAAAAGCGTAGCCTTAGAATATAAAAACAATTTACTCTTCCACCCTGTGTACTTTTTAAAGCAACATTGATGCTTAGTTCCCGTCGCCGTAACCCCACCATTTCATACAGCGTCTCTCGTCATTGTAGAACTAACAGAATAAGAGACCGCATAGATGAAAAGAAGCCCTTTTCATCGTCTCGTGTCAAGAAACCGACTCGGGTAAAATGAACGCCGACAAGGGAGTTACCACAGAGGAAAGAAACAACAAGAATTAGAGACAGAGCAACCTTTGCTGGAGCTCAGCTATAGTAGTAGGAAAATGAACAGCGTGGGTGGTCAGCCATTCAAAAAAGGGTCTAATGTAGAAGAGGCCAGACGAAAAGAGAAAAACAAAAGTGCAATGCATGAGACTGATATAGAAAATCGCAAGAAAATGGTGGTCGTACAAAGAACATTGGGCTATTGTGGCATGGTTCGGGGTCTCTAGTGGACGCCGTTGGTCTGCGCCTCAGGCTTGCCGTAGAGAATAGAGTATTGGCCACCAGCGCCGGCGCCGAGAATGTGCTTACCGCGCACAGCGGTGTTGTCGATAAGAGTAGGCTTCTCGATTTCGTCATCGGTGCCCTGGCCAGTCTGGTAGTTGGCAGAGAAGCCCCAGGAGTAGACCTTGCCGTCCTTGGAGACTGCGAAGCTGTTGTCGGAACCGGCAGCAACGGCGCAGATGTTGGGAGCAGCTGTAATAGTAGTTAGCTTTGTGATACTCTATATGTTAGGAACAGATAAGGGAAAACGTACCAGGGTTAATGGTGGGCTTGAATAGAATACGGGCGGTGTCGCGCTCGTCAAAGATGACATCCTCCTTGTTCAGCTCCGAACCCTCGAAACCAACCTGGTAGCCGTCAATGCGGCCCCAGACGAAGAGGTGACCAGCATCAGAGCAGGCAACGGAGTGGTGGCTACCGCCGTCGACCTCGGTGATTTTGTGGCCGTCGAGCAGATCCAACTTCACAGGCTTCAAGATGACCGCATCGTCATCACCGGCGTTGGCTTGGATACCGAGCTCGCCAAAGTTGTTGAGACCCCAGCCCCAGACCTTGCCCTCCTTGTCAATGGCAAAGGAGTGGTACGCACCACAGGCAATCTTCTCAATCTTGCCCTTGGGGAGACCCATACCCATTGGTGTGAGAGACGAGAGCTTGTTGCGCTCAATGATACGGCGACCGAGCTGGTTCTGCTGGCCAGAACCCCAGGCGAGCACGTTGCCCTTGTTGTCCAGGGACAGGATGTGGTTGGAGCCGGCGGCCAGCTTCTGGATGTTCTTGAGCGTGGGCATCAACATCGGGCGAGTCTGGACGTGGACATTCTCGCTGAAGCCGAGGATACCGTCGCTTGATCGGAACGTGCCCCAGCCGTAGACGCGGCCAGTCTCGGTCAGGACAAATGTGGCGCTGTCGCTGGCAACAACTTGGACAAACTTGGAGCCAGGAGCAAAGAACTCGGGGAGGACCTCGCCTGGAGTGCTTTCGTTGGGGTTCATGCCGGTGTCGTCCTCGTCATCGTCAGAGTCGTCGGCGGCGTCCATGTCCCGCAGGCCACCGTCCCAGGTCGTGTCACGACCAAGCGCACCCTGGTCATTGACACCCCAGGTCAGGATCTTGTTGTCGTGAGTAATGGCAGCAACGTGCATACCACCGCAGGCAATCTGAACAACGCCGACCTTGCCGGCAGCGAGGTTCTCGTTGAGGCGAGGGCGCTTGACGTCAATAGGCTTCTTGCCATTGACCTTCTTGCTGCCTAGGCCCAGCTCGCCCGACGTACCTTCGCCAAACACGTAAATATCGAGACGCTGTGTAGGTGCATCGTTGATTTTCTTGCCCGCATCGGCAGGTAGCGCCTTTTTCGAAGGCGCCTTGGGGACGGCCTTGATGCGCTTGGCCTGGGGAGCGGCGGCATTGGGAGCATTGTCGACATCGTCGTCGGCTTTGCGCTTCAGTGAAGAGGAGTCGGACATTTCGTCGGCGTCTTCCGTCTTGGTATCCTTCTTCTTGGGAGCAGCAGTAGCGGCAGTGGCCTTCTTGGTGTCCTTTGCCGGTGTCTTGGCCCGAGCGGAAGCCTTGGTAGAAGTAGTCTTCGCGGGAGCAGCTTTCGCGGGAGCTTTAGCAGGGGCCTTTGTCTTGGCTGGAGCTTTGGCTTTTGCAGGAGCAGCCTTGGATGCAGCAGCTTTGCCTTGAGCAGCGGCCATGGCGATTGAGTGCTGTGCGGATCGTCTTTTTTTTGCTTGTTATGCAAGGGAGGGCGACGGGTTGGTGTCAACGACCTGAGACAAGCGGAACGCGACGGCGGGTATCGAAATCGCGCGTGCAGTGAATCTCGACTGATTGATATCTGTACCGACAATGGATGCAAAGAGATGCCAATCGATGATAAACACCTGGAAAGTTTGAGGGGTTAAACAAGAATCAGCGCTGTGGGAGGTTTGCCTCTTGTCCGACGCAGGGATCGCGGTTCGCGCCAAAAGCTGACAAAGAACCGTATTGGCGCGTTGTCAAAGGCACGGTGCCTGAGTGACCGCCTAGACTTTTTTGTGCTAGGTGGTTTTTTTTGCCAGGCAGAATTTGGAAGCTTGTTGGGTGGGCGGTGTGCTGAGCTTTGGTGGCCAGCTGTGCCAGCTGTAAGACGGCTTATGATGGAAATGGAGAATTGAAACTAGGAAAACGAAAGAAAATAAAAGACAATACTTCTAGGAGAAGAATTGTTTGTAGCATATATGTTTGCTTTTAGCTTAGGGCGTTACTAAGCTGAATGGTCACAAAGAGTTGATTCCGGCGCCCGCTGACTGTGTGCCTACAGTCGGCAGCTCGTTCACTGTATTGACTGCTTACTGATCAGAGTGATACTTATGATTTCTTTTGGCGATACCGACACACTCCATGCTATCGATATCGGGATCAATACTACCATCCTCGGGGGCGCAATTACAAGCCGATACAGCTAAGTGAGTCTCAGATATTTGATCTTATCTGGAAAACATCTCGAAACAAGCTGCCAGATTCCTACTGGTGTGTCAACTTTGCAATTGCAGCAGGCAAATACGATAATCATCGAATGCTGAAATTTCTAATACCGAAGTATGGAACTGCATTGGTTATGGATACTTATAATCTTTGCGTTGCCACCTCAACTAGAGATCCATCTTTAGTTTCAACCATCCTAAACATACGGCGAGAAGAACCTTGGACTCTGAATCGGCGCCTCTTAAAGACTGCGATCAAGAAATCTACAACCGAGGTCGTAGAGCTCTTGATTCAGTCTATGAGTCCATCAAATATTGATGATCTTGATCTCTTTCGAGCATCATTGTCGAACGTGGAGGCAGAGAAGATGGCGATTTTCGTGTTGAACTGGCGTGGGTTTAGCGACGCTCTTTGCTTGATGGCAGCAGAGCTTCTGGTAAACCAACATATCAACCATAAGACCCACAAGGATGCCAGGTCAGGAAAAGCTTGGAGTGGAATATTAGAAGCTCTCTTCTCCAGACTCAGTCCTCCGAGCAGAGTGTCCGTTTCACTAATGAATGAAGCCGTGAGATTCGTGGCACCACGCACGATACAAGTTCTCTTACGCCATGACCCATCTGCCTCAGATCAGACGACTTTCCAACCCAACAAGTTACTCATCAAGACTCTTGATAGCCTGGAATGGCAGTATGAAGCTTTTCAACTCATTTTAAACCATTTTAAAGTGGTTATCACGACGGACGTCGTCGCAGCAGTTATACGTCGTGGGGATTTGAAGACGTTGCAAATAGCATCTCAAAATTTGCAACATAAGGAATACCTCTTGCCCGCATATTTAGTCGAGATGGTTTCTGCTAAAGGTAGATTATCCTTGATCCGACTTAATGCTGTTTTGGATATCTATAACAACGTTACGCCAGATGTTGTTATTGCGGCAATTCGAAATTTAAGAGAAAAAGCCGTCGATATTCTTCTTAAAAGACGGCCAGGGAAGTTCGTTCTAACACAAGAAATAATTATTTCTTGTATTATGGTTAATAGCCACACCATTATGGATACATTGCTCAAGCATTTTCCCAACGCGCTAGACATGTCGGCAGCATCACTTACGGAACTTTTCAGCAGCACCACAGTCCAGAGCTGTATGTATGAACGGATTGAAAATGCATGCGGAGGGTTAATATCAAATGCAAAAGATCTTCTTGATGCTATGTTGAAGTCCAACAGGCATCATAATGTTCGCACACTTCTCACAGGTCGTTCTGCATTGGCAGGTATTGAGCTTGGAGAGGCTATACTTGGTCAAATCTTTGAAACTGAATCTTTCACGACAATGGAAAGACTTATTGCACTAGATGTACCTCAAATCCGGATGACACCTTTCATTATCCAGAAGGTCATACTTAACCCGAACGGCGGCACCGAAATCCTTGAAGCAATTTTGAATCGCTGGCCTAATGCTCTCACAATCGACGAATCCTTTATAGAGGCTGTGATGCTCACAGACTATCCAAAGTACTTGAAATATACTAAAGAACATATGACTATCAGAATACTGCAGTTTCTAGCAACCAAGACAGGCAGTCAACTTCCCATCACAGAGAAAACGGTTGAAGCTGCTGCAAAGAAGGGACGCTTCGCGGAATTGAACCTTCTAGCTTCGTTTACACAAATTGATCCCCGATATCTAGACCTAGCATACTTTGTGTATTGTATGGATATAGAGGCTCATGATGCTGTCCGCATGCTACGTCAAGGGTACGATATACAGGCGTTTTGCGACGTGCCACTCCTTTGGCTGGCAGTTCAGTTTGAAGGATGTGATGTAGTTGAGCATTTGTTGGCTCAAGACGGGGCAAACGTCAACTATTGCAACCCGGATGACGGATCATCGGTGTTATTGCATGCATTAATATCAGCCGGCGTAGGTGGATGTGATTCTTTGGAGGTTCTTCTTAAAGCTGGGGCAGATCCGAATCTTGCCAATCACGCTGGCCAAACACCGCTGCATGTAGCGCGTTGGTACTACGATGCTTGTCGTTTAATTGAAGCTGGGGCTGAAATAAACTGTGTCAATATTGCGGGCTTGACACCTCTGCATTGCATATTTCCTGAAAATAAGCAGCCAGCGTTTGGGGATGCCCATGACTTTAAACAACTGATTGACAAAGGTGCGGCGTTGAATACGCCGAACAAGACCGGCCAATCGGTATTGCATCTGTGCTCCATGGTGCCCCAAATGAATGGTGGTATAAAATATATGGAAATCTTGGTTTATCCAGAAATATCTACAATATCTTCTATCAGATTACGGGATTTGCGTAGATATATTGCAAGCCTGGAGGGCGATGTGGACGATGAAGCCTTTAGCGACGATAGCGACGAGAACGACGAGAACGTCACTACCTCTATCTGCAAGTATATAGACCTATGCAACGACGAAACAAGAATACCCGGGATACTTGACAAGATACACGTTCCATTGCCAACATCGGAGAGGGAGGCTGTGCCAAACATTCTTCCTACCAGCTGCTATGCTTCTCGGAGAAACCTCGTTGATCATATACTGGAGTATTTACTAGATGCAGACGTTGACATAGACCTGCAAGATTTCACAAGACATTCTCCATTGCACTATGCTGCCAGTGTGGGACACATCTTGTTGTTGAAGCGCTTACTTGCTCATACACCTAAGCCTAATTTGTTCTTGCAGACAAATCTAGGCAGAACGGCTCTTCACCTGGCTGCTTTGCATGGTTGGAGGACGAGGGCAGAAATGCTTGTGGAAGCAGGTGCGGATACAAACTGCCGAGATAATGAGGGCAAGACAGCGTTGGACCTTGCACGAGAGGCGGGACACGTGGAAACTACGGCGTATTTGGAGACTATCACAGGTTGTCACCAATCGAGGCTAGCACCTGAGTTGAAAATAGACTAAGACATTAGAGTGTAGATAGTTTGTGAGATGAAACTGTGAATATCTATCAGATTAAAATAGAAATATTTGTGACATTTACACTGCATGGACTTTTGAGGCTGACTTATAATCCATGGTGAGATTTGTTGCATTGAAATATAATAGTTTCAAATATTTAGATTATATTCTCTCTTCAACATGCAATCTGCAGTTGCACTATTCTATAAAAACAAAACCAATGACATTTTCTTATCAACTCCAACCAGCGCCTGTTGACGGGTGAACACCTCAGCCAGGCAAGACGTCTCCAGTGGCAGCTACTGTATGCGCCGGCCTGGACTACCTGCTGTGGTATGAACCCCGTCTATGCAAAACAGAAAAGCAAAAAAGGTATAAGATTGTATGATTTTCCAATAAAACTCCAGAAGCTCCTCACCCCATGCTTTGAGATCCGCTTACTTGCGGTAGGAAGTAAAGTCAATCTCGAGAGCAGGGTTGAAGCTGCCGTCCTGCGCCTTTTCGCAGGTGCACTCGTTGGCAGGGCGGGAGCCGCACTCGCAAGTCGCACCAGAGACCTTTGCGTTCTCTGAGGCGGCGCGGGAGCATGTGCATTCACCGGCAGGACGGGCACGGCACGAGCATCGGGGGCCGGAGAGGACGTTTTCGGTGGCGGCCTTGTCGCACTGGCACTGGAGGGCGGACATTTTGCCGCAAGAGCAGGTAGCTTGCTGGGCTGTAAGGGATTGTTGTTAGCTTGATTGTCTTTATCTATTTATGGTAAATAAATGTGATTTGTGTAAAACGTACCACAGGCGCAGGGCTCATCGCCTTGACGGCAGCAGGTGGAAGACTTGGTGACGGCCATTGTGTTGGTAGAAGAAGAAGAAGAGTGTAGAGATTGGAGAGAGAGATTGGAAGAGAGAATTGGTAATAGTAAATTGATCGAGAATACAGAACAAGACTCACTGAGGGGAGAGAACGTCTTTATACTTGATCGGCCGGTCGTGTGAGCGATCCACAGTGACGCAGATGCTACCAAATGCTGACCACAAGCAGCGACAATTGGCTTCGCCGTGATTGGTGGAAGCGCCGCAGTGGGGGCTGACAGCCAATCAGAGCGCCCCCATTTCCAAGCATGGGCTTTGTCGAAATCAGGCGATTCTCAATGGCTTTGCAATGCTGACAATTCAATTGGCCAGTTTTATTTTGCTGTTCTTTTCAATGTTGCATTTTTGGGCAGATGCAAGGCACACACACAGCACATTACCAGATGATCAGATAAGCATTACTTAGTTGGAGGGAGGGAAGTTGCCGCTAAGCACACTGGCAGCTTACGCGGTGCTTACAGAGGGATTACAGTGGAGGCAGTCACTAACACGATATCAACCACCACCATTCTGCATTCTGCATTTAAAAATGAAGAAAAATTGTTTTAATTCCATATCTTTCTAAATACACACATCTACCCGGTTACAGACTCTTACCTGTAACTGTCCTCGGCGGCATGAGAACGCACCCTCGGGCTATGAGATGCACGCGCGTTGTCAGAGCCTTGCTCACAGGCTATCCTGCAAAGAAATAATTTAATTTTACGAAAATACCTTGTAAAATGCTGTACCTTAATAATCAGCTTCCCATAGACAACATCATACCTATAACGTCGAGACTGCGGCTGCTTGTACGTCATCCTGTCATTTATACAGCACGTCACCAACCAATTACACACGGACGGAGAACAGCACCGATAATCACAATGATACTAGAAAAAAAAAATGCAAGTATAATTCATATACCTTGTTCAGCATCCGTATATCAACACAATACATTTTATCCAGACAATTAACCTGCTCTACCCTCCGTGCCGTCTACCCGTAGCCTCCTCATCCTTCTCGTCTGCCGTTCTCGTCATCCTAACAATTCTCCAGTGCCCATCATGCTGATCGCCGCCTTGTAAATCACAGCCATCTCATTGACTTACGCACCAAACACGGCCCCTCTTCTCTGCCGACTTCACTACCCGGCCCATCAAAAAAGCGCCGCGCACCACCCATGGCAGGCCAAGGTTAGCCCAGAAAACGCCTCTCAGCGCTCTAGACTGCCTGCCCGCCAGCGCCACACTATAATACACAAGGGCCCATGTTTTTTGTTTTACTGCGTTGCACGTACACTGGACCCATGTTACAACGCGGGCGGATGCACTGCTGCCGAGCGAGCTGCGTGTCCCTAGTGTTGCATTTTGCTATGCAAAAAGCAGGGACCGGAGGCCGGAATGTTTAATCGTAATCTGGTAAAGCCATGTCCATCGGACGAGAAGTGGCAATGTTCAATGCCATCTTTAGACAAACATATATGTTCAGCACGTTGGTTATTAACTAGCTCCCCTATATTATCGAATGATGATGGCTGCACAGCGCTGACTCGCCAACACGCAACGCCAAGCGCCGCGTTTTCCCCTCTGGCTATCAATCGTGCTTTTTGTCTGGGAAAATCCGGGGAAAATAGAATACACTACAATGTACATCAATTGGAAATTACAATAGCGCGTTTCGCTAGTCTTGCCTTATCCTGCAAGGGGGGGAGGGGCTGTGAGTGAGTGAGCCACAGTTAGTTTCGGGCGATGGAACGGCACTTCTATTAGCGGAAGGTTTCTGCACGTTAAATCGCCGGACGACGTGGAGTCAGATCGCCTGCATTTTGCATTTACCCCTTCAGCCTCCACTGAGGCTTGTCTTGTCTTGCTGCAGCCCAGCCAGCTAAGCATCGTCGCATCCAGGTCCTTTTTTGCCGTTGGCCACCTTGTGTATTTAACGTCGCCTCCCGCCATCCCACCCACCTCTTTGGCTTTTATCCACGGCTGTGGCTTCTTCATTTTCGTGTTTTGTTTTTTGTTCTTACACGCTACAAGGGCTCTGCGTGACCCCCAAACCATGTCGGAGAAGCTTAGTGATGGCGGCCAGGCGCCGTCGCTCGATACAAGTAACGCGCTTCACCAGGCTGCAGAGCGTGGACAGGCTGCGACAGATCGGTAAGCTGCCATTCTTGCTTGGAGGGTTGTCATGATGGAGATGTTCGCTAACCCAATCGCCATAGATATGGCCAATCGCTCGTGCAATTTGACAGAGCTGCCGAGGCCAAGCTGCGCACAAAGATTGACTTTTTCATTGTGCCGACAGTGGCCATGCTCTACTTGTTTTGCTTCATTGACCGCGCCAATATAGGTATTTGCAGAAAAGTCGCCGATCCAGCCTTGGAATTTATACTAACAAACAGGTCTCTAGGAAACGCAAAGATTGCAGGCATGGAAAAGGAGCTGCACATGGTAAACTACGACTACAACATTGTCGTCACGTCGTTTTACATTTCATATATCCTCTTTGAAATCCCGCTCAACCTGCTCTGCAAATGGATGGGCCCCGGATGGTTTCTCCCAGCGTCTACTCTGCTATTTGGCATCTCATCGCTCGGCACGGCCTTTGTCACGACACAAGCACAACTCTGTGTCGTCCGCTTTATCCTCGGCATCTTTGAAGCTGGCCTACTGCCAGGCATCGCTTACTACATGTCGCGATGGTACCGACGCTCCGAGTTAGGCTTCCGACTTGCCCTTTACATCGTTATGGCGCCTCTGGCCGGTGCTTTCGGTGGTTTGCTGGCGTCTGCCATCCTCAAGCTCGACCACTTTGGCGGCGTTCACGGCTGGCGCATGATCTTTGCCATTGAAGGCATCATCACCATCGGCCTCGCCATTATTAGCTTCTTTACTCTTACCGATAGACCCGAGACTGCGCGCTGGCTTTCACAGGAAGAAAAAGATCTTGCTGTGGCCCGTGTCAAGTCTGAGCGCGTTGGCACCACCGCTGTTCTCGACAAGATTGATAACGTCAAGCTCGTCCGCGGCATCACCAACCCCGTCACTATCAGTACTGCTTTTGTCTTCTTACTCGATAATGTCACCGTCCAGGGCCTCGCCTTCTTCTTGCCCACAATTGTCGCCACCATTTATCCCGACGCCGGTCTCATCAAGCAGCAGCTCTACACCGTACCGCCCAACGTTGTCGGCGCCTTCTTCACAGTCGCCATCCCACTGATTAGCTGGCGCTACGACCGTCGACAGCTGCCTCTGGTCCTCTGTGCGCCGACCGTCATGGCTGGATTCGCCATGTTCTTGGGCTCGACCGACGCCCGTGTCCGCTACGGGGCGACTTTTCTCATTACGTCCTGTGCTTTCGCCATGGGACCTCTTACCAATGCTCAAGTTTCTGCGAATGTAGTCAGCGACACGGCAAGAAGTGCTGCTATTGGACTCAACGTCATGATGGGCAACATTGGCGGTCTCATTAGTGCCTGGTCGTTTTTGCCCTGGGACAAGCCCAACTATCACATTGGCAACGGCCTGAATGTGGCTACCGCAGGAACTTGGTTAGCTGTGGCTGCAGCTACGCTGATATGGATGAATAAGGACAATAAAAAACGCGATGCTCGTGATGTCGATGAGGAGCTCCAGGGCCTCACGCCGAAGCAAATCGAAGACCTCGACTGGAAGCACCCTGCGTTCCGCTGGAAGCCGTAAGAATCGTCCAAAAACAATTAGTGTTTTCTTTCCTATTAGAAGAGGAAATTTGTACGTAGCATATGATAGAAATTAACAAATTGAACAGGATTGAAAATTGTGTTTTTTACTTCATGTTGATGGACAAACTGTGATGAGGTTGCAATATAGTTTCAACAAGTCACCAACAGACTTTCGCTTAGAGAGAAACAACATTTGATACACGTTCGAAACTTGCTTTTAAATAGTGTTTCGCTTCAAAGAAAACAGTTTCTCACGCCTCGTGGCATGCCAAAGTTTGGCGATGACCTCACTTTCTGGCTTATACTTCATCGCCGGCCTATGAATTCCAACTACACGCAATATTTTCCACGCAGTATTTTCCACGCCATCTGACCTGTTTTGTCTAACTTTTCACTCTTTTCAAGAAGTACCTTGTATATCAAACGCCATTTAGAGATTCATGAGAGTTTATGACGGTCAAAACCACCTCGCTAGCTTAATTAACATTCACAATTGTTGTTCCCATACAAAATTCCCCCCTCCCTAGATGTTGATATTCTCCAGCTTCTTCATTCTTCTTTACACAGTTCTTTGAAAACTGGCTGTTTTACTATAAACCACACAAACAAACACTTAAACCACATAAAAGCACTCTTAAACCACACACAAAAACCCACAAACTATTGTGAACATGGCTTCTTTGGCTAAGAAGTTTGCGGGCATGTCTGGCAAGACATCTACGTTCGGGAAAGGCGCTCTTCAGCGTTCTCTCCAAAGGCCTTCTCCGCCACCACTTACCACGGTGGACAAGGCCCTCATTGCAGAGCTCAATGCTCTGCAAATAGCAACCACGCCCGTTTCTCACAACGTGGCAGTGTTATCCAACGCTGAGGTCCAGTACCTCGGCCAGGACAACAAACATCTCAAGGGCCTCAGAAACTACAAGCCCTCCAACGTCTTTCAGGGGACTATTCCCCATTGCAGCCCCAGAAAGCCAAAGGCTTCCAAGCCCAAGGCTACGGCTGGCAGAAAGATGGGCAATGCCGCCCAAACGGGTGGTGTTGCAAAGCGCCCAGCTCAACCAAGGTGCCCACGCAAGCCCAAGGCTGCTGCTGAGGCTGCTGGTGCTGCTGCCAAACAGGAGCAGCAGACCAATGCCATCATGACGGAGCTTGTCTCCATGGGCGTTGGTCAGCAACGTCCTACTCCCCCACTGGACGTTGCCCATCCTGCTGATGCCTCTGCCTCGGCCGCTCCTACTACCCACACGGAGCAAGACTCGGCTCACTTCTTGTCAGTGGACGTCGTCTCCAGGGAGGCTGGCGAGCAGGGTCCAACCCTCCCTCTTCCAGACGCAAGTTTGGAAGAGTTGCTCATCCTTGAGATGAGCAAACTTGGCATCCACATGGATGAGGACGAGCCTGAAAAGGCTGACACTCCCATGGAGGACATGTCAGGTTCAGGTTCTGAGGACCTGGAGATGTCAGATGACATCTCAGAACCCTCTACCATCTCTACAGATAGAGAGATGGGCTACATCATCCGCCCCGTGGCAGACACGGTGGTGGATGATGATGAGTCGGATATGTCTGTCGAGGACGACAGTGAGTGGGAGTTGGAGTTGGCTCTGCACAGAGCCTTCAAGAAGCAAAGAACTTGCTAGTGTCAAATTTTGCTAGTGTAATTGTTACACTTTATGCAGTTCTTGTCCTTTTAGGGTTATTGTTTGTTTGTACAATTTTGTACAATTTTTGTATTATTGCTGTTGTTTTTTGTCGGAAGTTTATAAAAGCGGTTGGGAAAACTCTGTTTTTTTGTTTATTGTTTGTATCAAGAACCTTGAATAGGTCTTGAGTTTTTGTACATTTGTTTTTTTGTTTGAATACTTTTATTCACAGCGATGTTTTAACATAATCTTTCTTTGCTTCATCGTGCATGTTTTAAGTGACTGTAACCACATTGTTGTAAAATAACTGTAATATAATTCTATAGTAATTCTGTAATAGTTCTGTAATAGTTCTACGATATTCACGTGCGTATTTGAAATTAAGATAGGAAAACTAGAGGTAACAATATTAATGATTTCTACTAGTAAGCCCTATGTCCGTAGTAAATCCTGTTCTTTCTGTTGTCGCTCAAACACCATCGCCGTCGGGGGTATTCCGATATGTAAAATATGATAAAATAGAAGATAAAAAATGTGTTGTGGTAAAGATATTCTGTCAGCTTGCGTTGTCTATGCTCGTGCATAGCATGCTGCCTCCTGAACAAACTTGTGTGTTGAGATGGCATCTTTGGCGAGAGGAGCAAGCTCGGCGCATTCTGGAATGACGCTTACCGCAGCGCAGTCAGCCGAGAGCTTTGTCGAGTCATCGAAGTGCTTGAGAACTAGATAGTTGGCCCGGTAGTAAGGAATAACTTCGTTGCAGACGGCATATTGGCCAGGGCCAAGACGCAGCTGTGTTGGTGTGTTGGCAATGGCCAGACCTTTGGTGCCTGCGCCGGCATTCTGTTCAACGGAAGCATCGTCATCTCCCAAATCAGTCTTTGTGAGCAGCAAGCCCCAGGGCACGGCTGGGTGGCCAGTGTCAGAAACAATAGTGGAATCGCCTATTTTTGCTTCGGCCTTGGTGCCGTTGATGTAGAAGACTCGAGTGTCTTGGTCTCCAGGACGGACACCGATGATAGACTGGTCGGCTCCGACGTGGATGTTGTCGAGATAGTTACCTTCAATCGACGACGAGAATTCATGGGACTTGTCAGTAACGCGGACAACAAGGCGGAAGGCCTTTGCTGTAGTGGCTCGAGCATCGCTCATGCCCACGGGCGATGCGGCCGCAGCGGAGATTAAAGTAAGTAGTGTAGTGAAGATCATGGTGAAGGAAGTTTCTTTTTTTGGTTTTTTTGAGAAGATTTCAGATACTGTGAAAATCAGAAACAGAGGCGGGAAGGAAAAGTCGGTGGTGAGAAGTCTAGTTGTATTTATTCTCCGATCTACATGACCAGCCACTCACCCCCAGCAGTGACGACGTCACTCAGTCGACCACAAGATGCCGTCCGAAATAGGAATTCCATCGACAAATGTCTCACAAAATAGGCCACTAGCCCATAAGGCCGGTCTTAGCGTCGTCGAGGAGATCTTGGGCCTCTGCGGGCACATCGTCGACTGGAATGTGCACGGGGCAATCCTTTGGAACAAGGTGGACACGACCGACGTCCGCACAGCAACCTGCATACAAACGGAAATTATCTACAGCATGTTCTATTTCGGAAGATTAAGCAAGGCTGAGACTTGCTCCTCGAACCGCCGACGATGTGAGTTGGATCGTGGAAGAGTGCGATGCCGGTGTTGCAGCAGCGGCAGCAGGCTCCCGATCCGTCAGTTCCATAGATGAAGCAGAGGAGCGACCATCTTGCGGACTAGCAGAAGCAAATCTAGCTACACGCCGACCAAACAAATTTCTCAAGGCGCTCAAGTTGGGACTGGCAAAATCGCTCTGGATCTGTTCAAGCGAGCGGCCTCGTGTCTCGGGCATGTAGAGCGCAAAGATAGCCACGCCAAAGAGGTTGAGCGCACCAAAGAAGAAATAGGCGTTGTAGGCTGACGAGCTCAGCAGAATGGGTGTGATGAATGAGACAAACCAGTTGGTAAACTAGGCGAGAGACGCAAGTGATTGTTAGCAACGTGTGCTCACTCACAGCAGAAACATCAACACATGAGACACAAGACTCACAAAACTGAATGCCATGCCGACCGAGTTGCCGGCGGCTCTGGTGTGCGAGGGCTGAATCTCGCTCGCGTAGATCTTCGAGACAATTCCCCAGGTGGCGCAGAAGACGATGCCGAAGAGGAAGACTGACACAACCACCACCCAGCGCGCGGCACCCGTCTCACGTACGGCACCGGCAGCGTAGAGCGAGCCAATGAGCAGCATGATGCCGCACAGAATAGATCCTCCTACCAGTGTACATGTTCGTCTGCCCCATTTGTCGATGCAGACGAAGCCGGGAATGGAGGCGATGAACATGGCAACAGCGGCGACGCCGGCAGCAATGATGGCTGTTTTGGTGGTGGCAATTCCCGTCTGAACGAAAAGAGTTGGGGCGTACTAATTGTGTTAATATCAATAATAATTTGAATCATAGACAACCCAAAAAGAATGCTTACGTAGTTGATGGCATCGATGCCGGACAACTGGGCCATGGACAGGATAAACAGAGACAGCAGTGTTCGCGGCAGATACGCCCGTCTGAACAAGGTGCGGAATGACTGCCAGCTAGAAAGGTTTTCTTGTGGCTGTGGCGTCAAGAAATCGCGAGTCGCTTCGTCCATGTTGAAATTGAGCAAGCGAACTGCTTGTACGGCTTCTTCGCCGCGTCCGTGAAGAACGAGCCATCGAGGAGACTCGGGCAGCGAGCGGCAGACAAGTGCTAGCATAAGAGCAACACAAATCTGCAAAATATACGGAAGACGCCAGGCCATACTAGATTCCACGGATGCTGTGCAAAAGCAGCCAAAGTAGCCGAGACACACGCCGAGGGCAGCCATGAACTGCGGCAGCGAGGCAAGACGGCCACGAGACCGCTGCGGTGCAATCTCGGTGATGTAGACAGAAATGTTGGAGTAGAATGCGCCCTGACCGGCACCAGCAATGGCTCTTCCAGTGATGAACTGGCCCAGGCTGAATGCACTCATCTGCAGGATGGCTCCAAGCGCAAAGAGCACGGCACCAGGAAAGACAACGTAGAGTCGTCCTTTACGATCGGCGATTTGACCACCAAGCAGCGCAGGGACAATTCCCGTAAGCATGACAATGGATACCGTCCATCCAACAGTTGATGGCGAGAGTTGTCCGAATGTGCCTGTGAATTGGTCCATGTGTACAATGGCACCAATAGCCCCCGTATCTAAGCCGTTGAGGATGCCTGCAAAGGACAGGGCCACCGAGGCCGCCACGTAATTGGGGATGAGTTTACCGGGGTTTGGCATCTTGAATTAGACAAGCTATTTGACGCTATGGCGATGTTGAAAACGTGAAAGAGGGGGTTGTTGGTTGTTTGCTCTATATGTGTTGGTGTGCCTCGACGTATTTGTAATGCTGGACGCCGATCTCGCTGCCAGTGGTCGCGATATCACAGCATCGCAAGAATATGGGTAAAATTGAGGAATAATTTAGGTTTTGCCATAATAGCCATAGATAAACTTTTATATAGTATTTTATCAATTCTTTGAATAATGAGTAATATTTTGTACGGATTTAGTTGATGGCCTGTGCATGTGTGCGGGAGCCTGATTTACAAGTAGTGACATCATAGCCTACCTAGTTATCTAATCTGTTATGTTTTGATGCTAAACCAGGCTTTTACAATAAATTTCACTTTGAGTGATAACATTTATAAAATATTTCTTTTTATTTTATCTTTGTAGTGTCGCGTTGAGACTCGTGGCAACCCTGTAGGGTAATGAAAGGCATACAATGGTGACAATGGGTTTAGGAGGTAATCACTGCCGCTGACTGCTATTTTAAATATATTAAATATGTCCAAAAATATTTTAACATTAGAAACTATTATCACATTTGATAACTTTGACATTGAAGGACGAGATGCAGCAAAGTGAAGAACATCTACTGTATACAACGTAGGGCTGCCTCGCGCACTATCACTACAGATTGAGCTACGTCAATTTGCACATGTCTGTTCGACTAAACATGAAGCTAAACCTAATTGATCCAAAAAATCCTTCAGTAACGGCAACAAACACTATTTGTGACGTTTATCAACGGGGTCTTGAAGAGGACCACCAGTCTGTGGCGCGCTATTGCAGCAGTGCAAGGGATCTAGACAAGTCAAAGCTACCAAAAGAGTGAGGCATCGCAATGTACAACCGGCAATTATATTACTAAAGACAAAAATAACTACCGACTGGAATCCCCGGAATACTCGTCCGAAAGGCTATTGCTCCTAACGGCCCCCCCCGAGCCACTGGCGGAGATCTGGGGTAGATGTTATCGTACGTTCAACGGCGCTGCTGATCTGCCGCAGGAACCGGAAGGATTCAAAATTTGGACTTGAATCATGTATGAATATCAAACTGCCTCCTTAAGACACGTGAACAAGTTTACATACAGACACCGCCATCGCCGCTGCATCACTAGTGTATTATGAGCTTCAGCCACCAATGCTGCTAGACCTTGGCACACGGCAGAAGCATCTTCCGGCTGTTCAAAAAGGGCTATTTGACTCCAGCGACGGCATTTGGCAGGAAATGCCATCTAAAAAGCTTCTTGAGCATAGTGCGGAGAAATCTGATCAGTCATTCTGAGGCTACCGCCCTGCACAAGGCCAACCAACGGCAGCAAAAACACCAAAGCTAGTAATGTGGACTTTGCATCTGAGTGTAGGATTCAGAAAGTCTTGTTCCTGACTCGCAGATAATATTCCTGCGAGGCGCCCAAAAAAGAGAAATAAAGTTTCGCATGTTGGGCGTTGGAGTGGAAACTGGCTGGAATGCAGCAGTGTACTCACAATGTTCACGGCGCATATCCGGGCCAATTGCACAGGGTATCCCTTGTGAAATGCGCCCAAGACATCTTGTCGGCGTCGTTATCCACCGTCGGCAGACCTGCATTTCAACGCCGCGCCTGAACTCGTTTTGCTATATATATCCCTGGGATCCAGCCTCCCTTGAGATGAAAGATACTACCATCTGATAACCCAGGTGTCCCCTTCCTAGAATCACATTTTTTTCTCTTCTTCTTTATTTCAGCCCTCCTACAACATGAAATACGCTACTATCCTCACTGCACTTGCTGCATCGGTGTCTGCTGCCCCCAGCGTCTCAGAGCGTGATGCAGACGCCGCGCTAGTCCCTGACTTCCCGCGCGCCTACTACCACAGCAAGGACAGCAGCAACAGCGGCTCTGACAATTGGGCTGGTGTTGTTCGCACAGCCAATGTCAGCTTTGCACACGCTACTATGATCATGCCGCTCATTGTCCCGGGCCGCAATGCGCCTACTGCTGCCGTCTCAGCGTGGGTGGGCATTGATGGCTCCCAGTGCGGCCGCGCTCTGCTGCAGACGGGCGTGGATATCTTGGCCAATGGCAAATTCTCACCTTGGGCTGAATGGTACCCGGATGACTTGATTGAGTTTCAGGGTTTTGACATTTCAGCCGGCGACAAGATTGGCTTTACTGTTATTGCGCACTCGCCTACTTCGGGAACTTGTATCTTGGACAACTACACCACAAACAAGCAGGTCAAGCGTGAGTTTACTCAGGGACCGACGCGCCTGTGCTTGATGGAGGCGGATTGGATTTTGGAGGAATACGATGAGAATGGCCGCAAGGTGCCGCTGCTGGACTTTGGCATGCTGGCTTTCCACAATGTCATGGCGGACGGACACAGCGGACATGTTACAGCCGCAGGAGGTGAAATCATCGATCTTGTTACTGAAGACCGCCGAAGTAAGACAAAGTGTGAGATTCTAAAGGGTGATGTGGAGTGTACAGCTATTCTTCCCATTTAGACGCTGGGTCTGGTGTGTATAGAAGATAGTCGGTCGTGGTGGTGATGTGACTACAGTTTTTGTATATTTTTTTTTTGAAGGGAACGGCGTTTATTATTATTATTAGAGGCATTACGTATGCACAAGTATATTTTTATAAATAAATAAAAATCTGCATCTTGTTTGCATGGCTATCATCTGCGAGTGAACACCACCTGCATGTACTCCTCGCAACAATGCCTCAATCTGTCCCATGCATGAGCTCGTATAAGTCCACCACCAATCGCAGTGTCGCCTAGTTTTAGCGCATTGTACGGCTTGATCCGCCCCAAAGGCGCACTTTCTCCGCCGACATCGCTTTATCCCCGCATCATGAGGTTGATGACATTTAGGTGCCACCATCACCACTTCATCAACAGCTGTTGTGAAAAGAGAAAGAAAAAAAATCGACATTGTCATCATCTCTCTAGTGTAAACATCTTACTGAAAGCTATGAGTAGCTCTGTTGGAGACAAGCCAACCATCGTGGTTATTGGGTAAGCCTCACCCCGCCGTCCAGTACCATAGTGTTAGCTCTTCACTCATAACAGTTACTCTACTCCAGAGCAGGTGTAATAGGCCTATCATGCGCTCTCAAAATCCAACAGCTTGTATCAGGCAGCCATGATATTCTCATAGTGGCAAAGGAATGGCCCAGTTCTATTGCTGGCTCGCCGCTCAAGCCATCGCCAGACTACGCCTCGATGTGGGCGGGCGCTCACATTCGCCCTATTCCCGCAAGCACGCCACAGCTAACACGTGAAGCTGCATGGATCAAAGAAACAGTCAAAGAACTGTCACCGCTAATCGTCGCTGAACCATTTATTGGTGTCACTGAGGTGGAAGGAATTGACTACATGGAAGAGCCTGATGAGGTGTATAAGCGCCAAACCAAGGAATCCTTTGAAAACGAGACAGGACTTCCAGGCTATACAGTGTTGTCAGGCGACCAGGTACCGCCTGAAGTTAAACTGGCATTCTCGTACCAAACATACTGCTTCAACTCGCCCCTCTACTGCCAGAACCTGCTTCGCAAGTTTCTCTTCCACGGTGGCAAGACTTTGGCCCGCGAAATCAAGAGAGAAGCAGAGGCATTCATCTTGGCAGATAGAGTGTCACTTGTCGTCAACGCCAGCGGCGTGGGCTTTGGTGACCCCAAGTGCTTCCCAACCCGCGGCCAGACCATCATCTCCAACATGACCACGGACAAGACCATCACCCGTTTGAATAAAGACGGGTCTGCTGCATACATTATCCCGCGGTTCTTTAACGGCGGCACCATTCTTGGCGGCACACGCGAGCCCAACAATTGGAGCACCGAAGTCTGCCCGACTACACGAGACGCCATCTGGGAGAGGAACATTGAGATGCAGCCGTATATATGCGACAAGCCTATTGCTAGAGAGGATCTACGTGCTATTGCCCATGTAGTTGGCCGTCGTCCAACACGCGAAGGAGGCATGAGAGTAGAAACTGAGACGGTGACTCTACGGGACGGTAAGTCAGGCACAGTGGTGCATGCGTATGGTGCAGGATCACGAGGGTATGAAATGAGCTGGGGCGTGGCTAAGGAAGTAACCGGTCTTGTAAAGAATACCTTATATGGGTTTTCGTCCAAGCTGTAGATAGCATACCAGACGAGAAGAATACTGTATTTAGACCCGATGTTCCACCGTCTACACGGGTTGTTAGTGTTAGAAAATGTCAATAAAATTGGCCCAACACGTACCGTGAAAGTTGATATGGATGCCATATGGGCCGTCTCCTCTCGGGGAAGTGCGGCTCTCAGGCTCGTATATCCGTAGCTTCAACTTGTAATCGCCTGTACTTTTGATTGTAACATCACGCATATAGCTAAGCTGCGATGGATCCCACGCCCAGGGCGGAGCGTACTTTTTGGGACTGGCACGGAGCTCTTCAATGGGGATGGTATGGTTCATGGGCCACCAGGAGAGATTTTCCGTGTGGTATTTGACATAATCAGGGTCCATGCGATGAATAAATTCATCTGAGATGCCTTTTGGGGGAGTAGAAGTGGGAGTGGCCATGGTTAGTAAGGGAATGTTGTTTGCGGAGTGAGGCTGATAGAGATGTAGATGTCAAGTGTGTATGGGTGCGGGGTTGGCTCCAGGCTAAATTATGCTTGAACACAAACAGCATTTGACAAACCAGGAGTAGTCACAGCATTTAAATTGATGGAGGATGTTTTCAAAATATTTTCAGAACTAATTATAAACATGTCATCGGTTACGCCGTTCGCTCCTATGTTACATATGCTCCGTCCCCAGACACTATGCCACACTCATCAATCAATCACAAGTTGTAGGATCCCTTTGTTCGCAGTTCATGTTAGTAGATTCTTAATAGCTACAAATGCCAAACTCACCAATCCGTTACAAGCATCTCATCCAGTGCATTCAGCTCGTCCATGTCGAGATCGGAAATATGCACGCCGCTTATGTCCGCATTCTCCTCCAGCCGTTCTGGGTGTATTGTTTTGGGCAGCACAATCATGTCCTGCGCTACGCCCCATCTGCACACAGTCAGCTATTGGAAATCTCCCACAAATCATGTAGACGTACTTGAGCAAGAGCTGTGCCGGTGTGCAGTGATTCTTATTGGCCAGCTCGACAATCTTGGGATGCCGCATACGCATGCCTCGTACCATGGACGCGTATGCTTGAACTTTCAACTCGTATTTTAAGCTGACTTGTCGAATATGCGCCTGCGTATTAAACGGATGGACTTCGATTTGGTTGACGACGGGCTTTACGCGTGGATTCGACGCCATGAGCTCCTCAATCTGCGCCACCAAACATCAGCAAGCCACACAATCGTATCGTCCGAGGTGGACGCCTCTCGCACTTACATGATGCGCCCCAAAGTTACTCACGCCACCCATCCGTACCTGTCCCGCCAATATGGCGTCCTCCACGGCTCGCCAGCTTACAAGCCGTGCCTTTTTGCCGCCGTACGGGCTGTGCAGCAGCACCAGATCGATGTACCCCAGATTGCACCGTGCCAGTGACCGGCTGATGGAGTCGCGTACTTGGTGGTAATTCTCCGAGTTCTCAGTCAACTTCGTCGTGTAGAAGATATCCTCACGTGTCAGCTCAGCCGTGTTCTTGGGCGACGAGAGAAACTTGATAATCGCTCTACCGGCCACACCCTCATTGTCGTACATTTGCGCGCTGTCGAATCCCCGGTAACCCTTTTGCAAAGCGAGTGGCACAATGCGCGCTACCTCTGGGCGGGTCATTGTATACAGCCCGAGCTGCATCGCAGGCATATCCTTGCCATTGGCGAGCTATAACAAGCAGTAAGCAACTATGTTTTGGCCATTGTGTCTTGAGGAATGACCGGCTCACCGTTTTCCTCTCCCGCAGAATAGCAAGATCCTTCATCCTTCTACTTTCTGTGGGAGGACAAAGGGAACAGCGAGCGCGCGCTAAGACGTGCGGGTAGCGCCAACTATAAATCGCGGGGGACCGTGGGGCCCCAAGCGAAGCTCGCAATAGATTCAATGTAACCGGGAGTCGTGCCGTGTGACGCAATTGTGCAGCAGCCGGGTAAATGGAAAAAGAAACAACAGACGGAGAGGCTTGTCAAGGGTCCAAAAGGGCGGTCTTTTCAGGCGAGGTGTCAAAAAAGTGGCCTATTCCTGCTATCACGACAGTGGTTTAGTCGTGGAGCTGTTCCTTTGAGTATCTTTTGGTATGATTATGCGCGTCTACGCAGTCTAATGCACCCTGCCTACAATCTGCACCTACACGGAGTCTGCTACGTATTCGCTGCACCAGGACAGGGTTTCATCTTGGGGCTCAAAATTAGAGTTAAATAGAGACATTTGTCTCTTCTCCATTAAGACAGGGAGCGAGTGACCTTTACCAGCCACTCAACTAACAAATGAAAGGATCCGCAGTTCTTAGTACTGTGCGTGCTGATGCTTGCGAGCCAGGTGTGTAGCAGATGTATTAGTCTATTCCTTTTTTTATGGGTATCAAATATAATCATGGGTTCATCTCGTCATAGCCTCGTTCCCAGAACGCATACATGTCCTCGCCATCCTGCGCAATCATTGGTGCATCGGCGCCGGTTCCTACCATCTCGGCGGCGCCATCCGTCGGCTTCTTATCGTCGCTCCAAGCCAGATATCCATCTACTAGAGAAAAACGTCCATCTTGTATAAAATCAGTCAACATTGGACCGGGCTGTGCTGTTCCTGCTGCCACCAAGGGCAAACCCGCGCTCAGGTCAGCAAGGTTTGACGGCGGAAGGCTATCGCGAAGCTCTTGCTGCTTGAGAAACTCTGTCTTTTTGTTGCTCCGGTTAATGTAGCGCATCAATTGGGCTGCGGTAACGCATCTGGCCACCGTATCAGCAAATGAATCGTGCAGTTTGCCAGTGACACGCTCTAGAGCTGCTTCGTCGGGGAAGTCTGCGCGCAGAGACTGCTTCAGCGAGACAAGAGAGCCGACAAATTCAGATGACAGCTCGAAATGCTCTACAACCGGGACATATACTAATTCATCTGTTAGTTATGGTTCTTGTGTAGGCTTGGCTGGGTATCTTACTGTGAGGCTGTACTAGCTCGTCCGCGTCGTCAGGGAACAAGATGCCCCAAATTTCACGCCACTGCGAATCTGCCGACGAGCCTCCTGCTCTCTTGCGACTCAGTAGCTTTGTCGCCGTGGCCCCGTCAATTCCGAATTCGGGATCATGATCAGTAATATCGCACATGAGCTCCTTTGGCAGACGCTGATGGTCGCGCAGCTCCTTGCGCGATACAAAGTTTTTGGTACATCGATCGCACACAAAGGCGGACGGGTCGTCTCTTTTGTGTTGCTTCACAATATGTTGTCTATAACATCCGGTTAGTAACCATTTTTTATACAGGCCTTAGAAAGGAAAGCAGAAGAAAACATACCGTAGCTCGGCAAATTTGGGAAAGTAGGTCATGGCGCAGCTGTGGTGATCGCGCACATTGAACCGGTACGGGTTGCGTTTGCGGAAAGGACAGCTTAATCGAATATTCTCATCTTCGCCTCCGTTCTTCTTTGCCCTCTTGGACTGCACCGAACCGGCTCCTCCACCATCCTGAGAGTTGTCGTCACCGCTTCTGCTATGCTTCTTGCCCTTGCGATCACCACCCGACGAGCATGGTGATGTATTCGAACTTGACCCAGATAAATCACCTTGCCATGAGCCGTCGGTACTGCTACCATGCGATTGCCACATGTGTGGTGAGAGTTGGTGAACAAAGGACGACGTAAGCTTATGTAGAGCAGCACGCACGTGCGGATCATCCGGAATGTCTAGTCCGTAGACCAAGCGAGTTGTGTAGGTCAGAATGCTCTCTGCATCATCGACAGACACATCCTCAGAGTTTGCAGATCCCGTTTCCCATGGAGAAGCAGATTCTGTTGTCTCCAGGACCTCGGTGCCATTAGAAGAGCGGCCGCTAGGGCTTGTCTCTCTACTGCTTTTACCAGACTCGGCAATAGGGCTATGGCAGTCAGTATAATCATTCACGCACTTGCAGACAGATAGAGATGGATTACTTACCTTACTCGATGACCTTCATAGTCAATCTCTTTATTAGGCGTTCGCTGAAAATCCCATCGCTTTGGTTCTCCGTCCGAATCATACGCCCACGTTGAGTTGGACGCCGTCGATGTTTGTCTGTAGTGTGCTCTGCTTTGTCTTCTCATTCTCCAACTATCATAGCTAATCGTCGGTGCCCAGTCACTCGTCTCGCTGTTGTAGCACGTGCTCGCTGGGCTGTTGACGCTGGACGCCGAGTACATGGTATCAATGTCTCGGCTGGTCGCAGAGCAGACGCTACTTGCGCGCGACGACTTTTCCATGATGGGCAATTGCTGCAAACGAGAGAACTCGCCGCTGTTTCTCGCCGGTGGCGGCGGCATTAGACCCAGCTTGGCCGGCGAGAACGGCGACTGAGACAGACTGCGCTCAAGCTGCGACGGGTGCGGGATGCGGGCATGGTTGTGCGAGCATGAATCATTCATTGTGTGTACGATAAAAGGATCTATTTGATCCTGAGTAAAGAGCGTGATTGTTGTTGCAAGAGGGAAACTCTGCGCGCCGCGAGCCTCGTATCGCCGTGGCTATAGGCGTTCTTTCGGCCGTAGAAAAAAATACAGAGGGCTCTGTTCCCCATATTGTTGCCGCTAGTCATTCGTTTCATGGGGAGCCGAGACAGAAACTAGCGGCTCTGATTCGTTCATGGCGGCCGATGTTGAATGAGGCGCGCCACGCACAAAGGAACCCGCACCACGCAACCCATGTGCCGGAAAATCAGAGTGAAGCGGCAGTGGGCAATGAAAATGCGACATGTTACCTGTCGCCGCCGATTTGATCTCCCTCGCAAATAAGAGAGTTCATGCACGGCATTAGCCAGGGGGGAGGGAGCCTCTAAGACACCAGGGCCCAGTAGACCAGTTGCCTGCAGCAAGTTAGCGCCAAACACGAGCTTTCAGCAATGATTCACAACGCTTTCCTTAGCTCGATTACGTCTGTTGATTGTGCCAGAACAGCTCCTTATCTCTCTGCTAGCGCTGCTATCGCGGAGCTGGCCGAATGGTGGTTCGCGGACAAAGCACATGACGTCCGCATGATCTGCTTGGGCGCATCTTATTCGACGCTGCACCATCCGAACTACCAATGAGATTGGTCCCGGACTCCCGGGAGCGACCCTTTGTTTGAAGCGATTCATGGAAGATGAAGCCTTGCACGTAACCTAATCAGGCGTTGGTTTGGGCACCATTGACGAGAAAACATGACGCTGTGTATAAGGGTGCAAGCGCTGCAGAAATGTTCGCCGCTCGCCCCATTTGTCCACCCTTCTTGGATCTCATTCCATTCCTTTTCCACTCTAGGGGAGTTTTCGCATCCATTTGTCATGATACTATAGCCCTTGACCATGACGACGTCCTCTACAACTCCGGCTCCTCGGAGGCAAGACAACGGGGACGCCACAGGCAGCGGGAACCCAGCTAAAGCGTGCGTCTTTGCGCTAAAAGGGCAGCACGTAGCCTTGCTAACGGCCTCTTATAGAAGACATTGCCAATGCCCACCCAGTCTCCCGGCTGAGATGTTGCAACAGTATGTACGCGAACCGGCTACCGTCACGGAGCGCATGCTACTGACTGCTGAAATTTGGCCAGCCATTCCCGTAGAGCGTCGCAGGCAGCAAAGTGAGGCGGGCTGGTCGGTTAATGTCAACATCTTCCAGCTGTTGGAAGACACGGACCGAGCGCTGAAGAAGAGGACGGAGAAGTGATGGGGACGCAGCTGTGCAATGACTACTGTATTTCAACAAATGGCCTGTATTAGTAAAGGAGCACCTGTATGACTACACCTCATCATCATCATCTTTATCCTTCTTTTGCTTGCTTGCTCAGTAACCTGTCAGTGATTGTTAGCGCCATCCTAGAACTGGGGCAAACTAGACGCTGCAGTACAACCATTCGCCCGTCTTCTTCTTTGCCCACGACTTGCTTGATTCTTTTCAGCAGAGGTCGCAGAAAGGAGATAATTCTGCTATACCCGGCGTTTCACAAAATCTATGCCAATGCACATCTTGGGCGCCAATCGTATGCCTGACCGGGGCATTGGATTCACAGCGGCACGTGGCGTCCAAGCCCAAGGAGCCGCCCCTCTGGTAAGGCTCTACGAGCATGGGACAAGAGGCTGAGGCGTGCTGACGACCACTGCTGCATCATCCTTCCTCTCACCGCGCGGCAGCTGAGCCAGCGATGTAATCCGATTATATTGCCAAGATTGTCACATCTTCCTTCCCCAGGGCCCCCAAAGCGCATCTACGCGTATTTGTTTATACAGGCGCTACAGGCGCTGCTATCGTCGCCATGTCTCTGCAACTCCCCAGCACTTTTACCACCAAGCCGACCGGTCGCAAAGGCTCCAAAAAGGTCCGAACAGGCTGCCTCACCTGCAAGTAAGTTGATTGTACTGTGCCTGCCTCGCGGCTGGGATACGATGGCTACTGACAATCCTACCAGAGTCCGAAAAGTAAAATGCGACGAGGCAAAGCCTTCGTGTTTGCGCTGCCTCAAGACTGGCCGCAAATGCGAAGGATATCCCGAACTCAATCGCATGTTGCACCAGGCTGCGTCACAGAGCCTGGTGATAGCTCGTTCCCCGCAGTCGCTAGAATTCGACTCGCCAGCGAGTGGCAGAGCATTTGACTATTATAGAAGTCAGTCGGCGCCTATTCTTGGCAATATCATGGACTCGGAGTTCTGGGGCGGGCTTGTAATGCGACTAAGCATATCGGAGCCTATTGTAAAGCACGCGATTCTCTCTCTGAGTAGTTTACACGAGTTTATGGGCGCACACAAGGCAGACAAGCGTTTGATGAATCCGCAAATGATCTTCTCAGAGTATACAAAGTCTATCCGAGCGCTCTCAACTTGGAACGACAGCAACGGAAAAGTTGTCCCGCTGATTGCCAGCATCCTCTTCACATGTATCGAGTTCCTGCTGGACAACGAACCAGGCTCGAGGATGCACATCATGCAAGGTCGCAAGCTACTAGGAGATCTTGGCTCGGCAACAGACGCGGACATGGACGTCATTCGAAAGGAGCTGGTGCCCATGTACACTCGCCTTGGTCTCACAGCATTTCTATATGGAGGCTCGCCGCCAGCAGTGCCAGATCATTTGAAGACATTTGTGAAGCCCCCAAACGAGCTCAATACACTGGCCGAAGCAAGATCACTTTTGTATTCACTCTTAGACGAAGTTATGCGCTTCAGCCTCAGCGTACAGGCGCGCATCTTTGCCGGCACGTTGAACGACGACGAGGTATTCGAGCTGACAGCGCGACAGGCGTTGTTGCAATCTTATTTGGATCAGTGGCAGACGGCATATATGATCTTAACGGCAGGTACAAAACAAAATCACACCATGATGGCCACGCAAAATCTGATGCAGATTTACTATCACGCCACAACAACATGGCTCGGCACGGCCTTGTCAACTCGGCAGTCTGAATTTGATGCGTTTTTACCAGAATTCGCATCCATCATTGGTCTTGCTTCGTCTATTGTCAACAATGCTCATCGTGGATCCAATCTGCATGCATTTAGTTTTGAGACGGAAATTGTTGCGCCAGTCTACTGGGCTGCCATCAAGTGTAGACATCCGCTGCTACGCCGGGCTGCTGTCAAACTGCTGATGAGAGAAGAAATGAAGGGTCGACGAGAGAACCTTTGGCATGCCAATGAGGCCATTGTCATTGCACTGCACGTTATCCAGCTGGAAGAACAGGAAGTCTATCCCATGTCTTCCGGCATGAGCCCTGAAAGCCCCTTCTCCAGCACCGACAGCTCATCTCACATGTCTACCACAACATCGGTCGATTTCCAGATTCCCATTCACAAACCTCCGACCATGCCGCCGTCCGACTTTAAGGATATCCTATATGAGGAACGAGGAGATTCGTTTGACCATGAAATCAACATGCCTACTCCGACACCATCCGCTACGACCTCTACTACCGTCGACTTCAACACCCTGCCCACTTCACAACGCATCCTTAAGAATATAGATTGGTCGCGGCTTTCCACAGACAAGCCGTTTGGCGTGCCTGAATCTGCAAGAGTGAAAAACACATTGATTGGGCCAAGAGACGCTGACGGCACTTGGGCAACATTATTCCGAGATCCGCAGGTGTCAGGCGAAGACCGATGGGATATACGGAAGGATTATCTACCATTCGAAACATGATGGCGTCGGTTTGCGTTTTGTATTGTGCAGTATGTATCTATTGACACTGGTGTCGCTTTTGTCTGAATGAATTAAAAATACCATCATCAACATTGCTCTGCGTTCTCGTTACTTCGTTAATCACCGTTTCTCTCATCTGGCTTTCTCGCTGCGAAGCGCCGCCAGTTTCCGTTGCTTGTTGCGCTCTTCTTGCTCCGCCATGACCTTGGCCGTTAAAGATGCCGTCATGGGATTATTAATGCCATTTAATCGCGGGTCGACCTCCTTCTTCGCCTTCTTTACCGTTTCTGTTGCTGCAGCATCGTCTGTGTTGGCTTCGTCGCCCTTGCGCTTCTTCTTCTTTTCCGATTTGTCCTTCTTCAGTGTATGTGTCAGACCTTTAGCTTTGAGGCCCTCGAGACGCGACTCTAGTCGTTGTATTTCTTTTTGTGTTGTGGGGAGCAGAGTGATGACGTTTTCTTCGGTATAAGGTTCGGCGCATTCAGGACATGTCTGCTCCTTAATTTCGGTTATTGCTATTTCGGCGAACGCGTGACCGCACGGGATAAGGTACACAGATTTTGTTGCAGGACCCATTTCCTTCATAGAAATAGGACACACCCATTTGTTTCCATTGATGGAAAACTTAACCTTCGCCACGTCGCGTAGGGACCGTATGCCCAAGGCTGCCGGCGTGATGTCTGCTGACGGTTCATCTGACGGCATCAATCCCTTGAGAACTGATTCGTAGTTATACAGCCTTCCTTTGCCATCGGATACAACTGCATCCTTGTCAAGTGTGTCGCCGCTGAGAGCGCAGTGTGCCCAGGCATGGCCTAGCGATTCAAGCACAGCAGCCTTTAACTCGGACGATGTTGGTGCGCGGGCTGCGTTTTTGACAAGCTCGTGTCGTCTCGGGATGGATCCTCCGTCGTTTCCCATGGCTGCCGGAGAGGAAGTGTAGTGGTGGTTCGATGTATTTTACAGAAAAGTACAAGTTGAAGAAGTGATTTCTGGCGATGCTTGCAAACCTGCTATCGATAGAAAGCGTACGTACAGTGTAAATAATTACATTGTTTGTGTTACAGTCTGCGTGGTGAATACAGTGCGAGCACAGTCACACCAAAAAGTGACCAGATGACAGCCAGAAAAGCGGGTCTTGCCAGTCCTTAGCCAGCTGGCCCAGCTGCCTCGCCCGCCTCTCCAAAAATCCCCCCAGGCTACGATTACTACTGCTACTGCTACTGCTTCCGCTGCTGCTGCTGCTGTTACTGCTGAATCCCAAAGCATCGCCAAATGCGCCAGCTTGTGACGTGGTCGGCATTGGGAGGCTCCACGACTGACGCAGCGTAGTGCGATCTGCTCTTTTTTGTGCTATTTTCACGACTGCCTTTTTACATCTCGCTTGATTCGCTGCAACACCGCAAACGCAGTTGCAGCCGTCGACGGCATCTCCCCGCGCGACATCCACGCTCCCGCCACACAACGCCCAGCAACGCACACGACACCAACCGCCCGCTCTGACGATCGAATACACGATAATAGGTGTCGGTTATACCCTCAAATCTGTATTATAGCTGCTGCCATCTACATGAGGCGCTGAATCCGGTGTCTCGTGCTTCCCCTACCCGCGCAGCATGGCGCAGCAACAACAAGTCGCTATTGAGCGGCTTGAGCACATTAGCCGCGGCCTTCGATCCAAGTAAGCATATGGAAACCATCTGTATAGCCCAGAAATATGCTAATGTATCTCTCAGGGTCAGCGATGATGTACGAAGACGAGCAGCAGTACAGCTCCGCGAGCTCGTGAATCTCTACCACAGAGGTAATTATTACAATCTGCTGTGATTCTAGTTCTGCAGTAAACTAACTTCCATCTCCAAAGATCTCAACAGCGAACAATTCGCCACTTTCTACAATGCTGTCAACAATAGAATAACACAACTCATCACACATGGCAGCGATACCGCAGAACGCTTGGGTGGCATCTACGCCCTCGATGCCCTCGTCGACTTCGACGGCGCCGACGTGGCCATGAAATACACTAGATTTATGCAAAACCTAAAGACGGTTCTTCGAGGAAAAGACATCGTCCCGATGCGTCCGGCCGCCGCAGCCCTCGGCAAGCTGTGCCGTCCCGGTGGCTCGCTCATCTCCGAGTTGATCGATTCCGAAGTCAACACCGCCCTCGAGTGGCTGCAAAACGATCGAGTCGAAGAACGACGATATAGTGCAGTCTTGGTCTTGCGAGAACTGGCAAAGAATGCCCCGACGCTCATGTACCAGTATATCCCCCAGATCTTCGAATGGGTCTGGTACGGTCTTCGAGACTTGCGTCAGCTGATTCGAGAAACGTCGGCAGAGACAGTTAGCGCTTGCTTCCGCATTATTCGCGAACGGGACCAAGAGATGAAGCAGATTTGGATGAGCAAGATATATCAGGAAGCCAGGGTCGGATTGACACACAATACGGTTGAGTCTATCCACGCTTCGTTGCTTGTCCTGAAGGAGCTGCTCGAACAAGGTGGTATGTTCATGCAGGAGCACTACCAGGAAGCCTGTGATATTGTCTTCAAGCACAAGGATCACAGAGACCATGTTATCCGAAGCACCGTCGTACAACTTATTCCCGATCTTGCGAGCTACTCGCCAGCCGATTTTGCCACAACATGGCTTCGCAAATTCATGATTTACCTCTCGAGTATGCTAAAGAAGGACAAGGAACGAAACGACGCATTCCTTGCCATCGGTAACATTGCAAACTCGGTAAAAAGCGCCATTGCCCCATATCTCGATGGCGTCTTGGCCCACGTTAGCGAGGGACTCAGCGTTCAGTCTCGTAAGAGAGCATCCGTGGACCCCGTTTTCGACTGCATCAGCCGACTTGCTGTCGCAGTCGGCCAGACTCTCAGCAAATACATGGAAGCACTGCTTGACCCCATCTTTGCTTGCGATCTTACGCCTAAGCTAACCCAGGCATTGGTCGATATGGCATTCTATATCCCACCCGTGAAGCCCATTATTCAGGAGCGTCTTCTTGATATGCTCAGCGTGGTTTTGTGCGGCGAGCCGTTTAAGTCTCTAGGTGCCCCTCAACCAAACACTCTCAACTCAGTGCCCATTATTGCTAAAGATGGAAAAGACCCGCTGGCTTATGAACACCGACGGGCCGAAGTCAAGCTTGCACTTAACACGTTGGGCAGCTTTGACTTTTCTGGCCATGTTTTGAACGAATTTGTTCGCGATGTCGCTATCAAGTACGTCGAGGACGAGGACCCCGAAACCCGAGAGGCTGCCGCCCTTACTTGCTGCCAACTCTACGTGCGCGACCCCATCGTCAACCAGACCAGCTACCATGCCCTTCAAGTTGTTGGTGATGTCATTGAGAAGCTTCTTACTGTCGGTATCTCAGACCCTGAACACGCCATCCGCAAGACGGTGCTGAACGCCCTTGATGAGCGGTTCGACCGTCACCTAGCAAAGGCTGAAAACATCCGTGTCCTATTCTTTGCTCTCAATGACGAAGTCTTTGCCATTAGAGAAGTAGCTATCGCTATTATCGGTCGTCTGGCTAGATACAATCCTGCCTACGTCATTCCCTCTCTACGAAAGACCTTGATCCAGATGCTTACGGAATTGGAGTTTTCTGATGTTGCTCGCAACAAGGAAGAGAGCGCAAAACTCCTCAGCTTGCTCGTTCAGAATGCTCAGTCTCTCATCAAGCCCTATGTCGAGCCGATGATATCTGTACTTTTACCCAAGGCTCGTGATCCCAACGCCACCGTCGCAGCAACCATTCTCAACGCCATTGGTGAACTAGCTACGGTTGGTGGTGAAGATATGCTCACTTACAAAGATAAACTTATGCCAATCATCATTGATGCTTTGCAAGATCAAAGTTCAAACAGCAAGCGTGAAGCTGCTCTCCACGCCCTTGGTCAGTTGGCAAGCAACTCTGGCTATGTCATTACACCATATCTCGAATATCCCGAGCTATTGGAGATTCTGCAAAGCATTATCAGAACAGAAGGTCAACGAGGCCCCTTACGACAGGAAACTATTAAGCTGATGGGTATTCTTGGTGCCCTTGACCCCTACAAGCATCAGCAAGTCGAAGAACAACCCTTGGAGGTGCAGCGACGCAATGAAGCCAGTCAAATGACTGATATATCTCTAATGATGACTGGAATGACACCCTCTAACAAAGAATACTTTCCCACTGTTGTCATCAACGCACTGCTTCAAATCCTCAAGGATTCCTCTCTAGCACAGCACCACGCAGCTGTCATCGAGGCCATCATGAACATTTTCCGCACCCTTGGATTAGAATGTGTCTCGTTCCTAGACCGCATTATTCCTGCATTCTTACAAGTCATTCGATCGTCCTCACCTACCAGACTCGAATCCTACTTCAACCAATTGGCCACCTTGGTTAGCATTGTGCGCCAGCATATTCGCAATTATCTTCCCGATATTATTGAGATTCTCCAAGAATACTGGCACAAATCCTCATCTCTTCAGACTACCATCCTCTCGTTGGTTGAGGCCATCTCCAGATCCCTCGAAGGTGAATTCAAGATTTACCTCGCTGGTCTTTTGCCCCTAATGCTGGGCATCCTGGACAAGGACACATCCCCAAAGAAGACACCCTCCGAGAAGGTATTGCATGCTTTCCTCGTTTTTGGAGCTAGTGCCGAGGAGTATATGCATTTGATTATCCCCGTCATTGTACGCACCTTTGAGAAGCAGGGACAGCCAACATTCCTACGCAAACACGCCATTGATACCATTGGCAAGATTTCTCGCCAAGTAAACCTGAATGACTATGCCGCCAAGATTATCCACCCCCTCACTCGAGTCTTGGAGACTGGCGACGCAACTCTTCGAACGGCTGCTCTGGACACTCTCTGCTCCCTGATCCACCAGCTTGGCAAAGATTACCTCCATTTCATGCGAACAGTGAACAAGGCCCTTGCTCAGCACCAAACGCAACATGCCAATTACGAGCTTCTCGTTAGCAAGCTGCAAAAGGGTGAGGTTTTGCCTCAAGACCTCAGCGCCGAATCTCGATACGCCGACATGGGTGACGATTCGGCCTTTGCTGTTGCCGACCTAGGTACGAAGAAGCTGGAAATGAATGCTATCCATCTCAAGTCTGCCTGGGATACTCGCGGCAAGTCCACCAAGGATGATTGGCAAGAGTGGTTGCGTCGCTTCAGTACGACTCTGCTTACGGAGTCGCCTAACCATGCTTTGCGAGCATGTGCAAGCTTAGCCAGTGTCTACTTACCACTAGCTCGTGACCTGTTTAACTCTGCCTTTGTATCTTGCTGGGGTGAACTTTACGAACAGTTCCAAGATGAGCTCATTCAGAATATAGAGAGTGCAATCAAGTCTGAAAATATCCCACCAGATTTGCTAGGACTTTTGCTCAACCTTGCCGAATTCATGGAGCACGATGACAAGGCGCTGCCTATTGACATTCGAGTATTGGGTCGCGAAGCTGCCCGATGCCACGCATACGCAAAGGCTCTTCACTACAAGGAGCTTGAATTCCTCCAAGACCAAAGCAGTGGTGCTGTTGAGGCCCTCATTGTTATCAACAACCAACTGCAACAATCAGATGCTGCTATCGGTATTCTTCGCAAAGCTCAGCTCTACAAGGAAGGTATTCAGCTGCGTGAGACATGGTTCGAGAAGCTGGAGCGCTGGGAGGAAGCCCTTGCGTTCTACCAAAAGCGTGAATCTGAACTTCCCAAGGACTCGGTTGTCCCTATTGATATCGTTATGGGTAAAATGAGATGTCTTCATGCCCTAGGTGAATGGGATGCTCTGGCCAACTTGACCGGCAACACCTGGGCCAACTCTTCCTCCGAGGTTCAGCGCATGATTGCACCACTGGCAACGGCTGCGGCCTGGGGTCAACGCAAATGGGACTCCATGGATAACTACCTGTCGTCCCTGAAACGCTTCTCGCCCGACCGATCCTTCTTTGGTGCTATTTTGGCGCTGCATAGAAACCAATTCCGCGAGGCCATCTCATGCGTCCAGCAAGCACGTGAAGGTTTGGATACCGAGCTTAGTGCGCTTGTTAGTGAATCCTACAACAGAGCATACCAAGTCGTCGTTAGAGTACAGATGCTTGCCGAGTTGGAGGAGCTCATCGTGTATAAACAGTGCGATGAGAAGAAGCAAGCAACTATGCGCAAGACTTGGGAAGCCCGTCTCCAAGGCTGCCAGCGCGATGTGGAAGTCTGGCATCGCATGCTTCGTCTGAGAGCTCTTGTGCTCAGCCCTACTGAGAATATGCGCATGTGGATTAAGTTTGCCAACCTGTGCAGAAAGTCTGGACGAATGGGTCTGGCCGAGAAGTCTTTGAAGCAGCTCGTTGGTAGCGATGCGCCACTGGATAGCATGATCCCGTACTGGCTCGATAAGACGGATCAAGGCCCGTCACCCGCAAAGAACGTCCCCGCTCAGGTTATTTATGCCATGCTGAAGTTCCAGTGGGAAGCTGGTCAGCAGCCTACAGGTCGCCCAACGAAGACTATTGCCGAACGCACGCTCTACTGTCTTCAACGCTTTACGGACGAGTCTGCGCACCGACTTGAAATGGCTAGTGCCCAACTGTCGTCGCAGTCCGGAGCTGATATCAATGGCGTTGATTACGGCTTCCAGAACCAGATCGACCCATCGCTGGTCAGCCCCCAAACACAGCGTGCTCTATACGACCAAACAGTCTTGTTGGCCAAATGCTACCTTCGACAGGGTGAATGGCAGATTGCACTGAACCAGAACGACTGGCAGTACAACAGCAGCAAGGTTGGCGAGATTCTCGCATCGTATGCACAGGCCACCAAATACAACCCGCGCTGGTACAAAGCATGGCACGCATGGGCTCTGGCCAACTTTGAGATTGTGCAGGCCCTTACAGCAAGGGGAGAAGGCCAGACTGGACGAAACCACCAGAACATTATCGTGGACCACATTGTTCCCGCAATCCAAGGTTTCTTCAAGTCTATTTCTCTATCTGCTGGCAGCTCCTTGCAAGACACACTTCGTCTGCTTACCGTCTGGTTCGCCCATGGTGGCCATGCCGAAGTCAACACTGCCGTTACAGAGGGATTCACCAATGTCAGCGTCGATACGTGGCTTGAGGTTCTTCCTCAGCTCATTGCTCGCATTAACCAGCCCAACAAGCGTGTGCAACAGTCGGTTCACAGTCTTTTGGCGGATGTTGGTAGATCCCATCCTCAAGCGCTGGTATACCCCCTTACTGTTGCGATGAAGTCATGGCAAAACTCGCGCCGATCCAAGTCTGCCGCACAAATCATGGACTCTATGCGACAGCATAGTGCCAACCTTGTGGCTCAAGCAGACGTAGTCAGCCACGAGCTGATCCGTGTCGCCGTTTTGTGGCACGAGCTCTGGCACGAAGGCCTTGAAGAGGCGTCGCGCCTGTACTTTGGTGACCATAACATTGAAGGCATGTTTGCTACTCTGGATCCCTTGCATAACCTTCTCGAACGTGGACCAGAGACTCTGCGAGAAATATCATTTGCGCAAGCCTTTGGCCGTGATCTGAGAGAAGCCCAAGAGTGGTGCCACCAGTACCAGAACAGTAGGGATGTCAATGACCTGAACCAAGCTTGGGACCTGTACTACCAGGTGTTCCGCCGAATCTCAAGACAGCTGCCGCAGGTTACTACACTTGAGTTGACATACTGCTCACCCAAGCTCCTCAACGCCAAGAACCTGGACTTGGCTGTACCAGGAACATACAAGAGTGGCCAAGACATTGTGCGAATTACGTCCTTTGAATCCACGCTCAGCGTCATCAACTCTAAGCAGCGTCCCCGCAAGCTCACCCTTTCTGGCAGTGACGGCACACCGTACTCATTCCTGCTCAAGGGTCACGAAGATATCCGACAGGACGAGCGTGTCATGCAGCTCTTTGGCCTGTGCAACACGCTCCTGTCCAACGACTCGGAGTGTTATAAGAGGCATCTCAACATCCAGCGTTTCCCTATTATCCCTCTATCGCAAAACTCGGGTCTGATTGGATGGCGCCCCAACACCGATACACTGCACATGCTCATAAGGGAGTACCGTGAGAGCCGCAGGATTCTTCTTAACATTGAGCACCGCATCATGCTACAGATGGCTCCCGACTATGATAACCTGACGCTGATGCAAAAGGTCGAAGTCTTCGGATACGCTCTCGACAATACCACTGGCCAAGACTTGTACCGTGTCCTCTGGCTCAAGTCCAAGTCGTCCGAATCGTGGCTCGAGCGTCGCACCAACTACACTCGCTCCCTTGGCGTTATGTCCATGGTTGGCTACATCCTCGGTCTCGGCGATCGTCATCCTTCTAACCTCATGCTTGACCGTGTCACTGGCAACATTATCCACATTGATTATGGTGACTGTTTCGAGGTGGCCATGAAGCGTGAAAAGTACCCCGAGAGAGTGCCTTTCCGCTTGACGCGCATGCTGACCTATGCCATGGAAGTCAGCAATATTGAAGGCAGCTTCCGTATTACCTGCGAGCATGTCATGCGTGTGTTGCGTGAAAACAAGGACAGTTTGATGGCTGTTCTCGAAGCCGTAAGTACACTTCTTCATGTTTATTTTCTGAACTATACCAATACTAACTCTACCTCTTTAGTTCATCCACGATCCTCTCCTAACCTGGCGCTTGACCAACGCTGCATCACCGCAGGGACCCAACTTCAACACAGAGCGTGACGGAGCACTCATGGCTGCCCCCCCAACTGGCGGCCGCCCCCGACGTCAGTCCATCTTGGAAGCAGACGTTGCGCCATCGGAGCTTCTCGCCATCACTGAGCCGTCTGGCCCGCCCATGGCCCGATCTCGCGCTCGCACCAACAGCTCTGTTAAACCAGATGCTCTGGTCGCTGCTGGTGGGCAAGACGCGGAAACGCAAAACGCGCGTGCCTTGGAAGTCTTGGACCGTGTGCAGCAGAAGCTCACTGGTCGTGATTTCAAGAACAATGAGGAATTGGACGTGATCAACCAGGTCAACAAGCTCATTGTGGAGGCAACCAAACTGGAAAACTTGTGTCAACATTACATTGGATGGTGCAGTTTCTGGTAAGTATGGTTTGGCGCTGAGATCGGGCTTCGCCGGTCGTTTTGTAACTGATGCGCTAGATGATGAGCTGATTGCTGCACGTTGCCTACCATCGCTTGTTCTACATCTTCTTCTTTCTTCGTTATTCGTTCTTCTATATTCCCAGTCCTCTTTCTCTACATAGAGGGCAACCTTTTAAACGTTCCATGGGTTGGTTCTTTTACTTTCTTTGTTATTTTTGGAGCGTCCTGCTCCGTCTCCCCCTCAACGCTTCTTCCTTATCTACCCGCTGCTCTCTTTGCACAACACCGAGCATTATATATTACACAAACTACATCTATATATGTGCCGCGGACATCACAGGCATCTTGGATCGGTTGCAGGAATTACAGGTCGTTGCTTGCTGTGCCTAGATTTCGGCGAATTGTTTTGTGTTATTATTTCTTTAGAGCAGCAGCAGATAAGCTTCTGGTATGCGCAATGTCGTTATTCTTGGTTTTTATCGCGATAATACAACTTTTCTTTTGTTCTATACATTGTTCCATTAAAGTTTCTAAATGTGTATAAGGCAATGCCTATTTACAGCGGCAACGGGTCGTCTTCTGTATCCCCTCGTAGAGCCTCGCCTTCTGGTCTGGGCTGCGCATCGCGAGAATCGAAACCCTCACCGCCACTAAGGGCTACGTTGGGACTATGCGACATTGTTTGGCCAAAGAGTGCGTCCATCTCTTCCAGAGCTTTGCCTTTTGTCTCGGGATATTGTAGCCATACAATCTGGAGGTGTTAGAGACACGAAGGTAATATGTCAGTGAAATGTACTTACTGGGACGCATATCAAGTTGACAGCCATGAAGAAGAAGTAGATGCCGCTTCCGAAACGAGCGTTGCCCATGGGCCAAATCTGAGATGTAATGATGCTGCCGATAGACCCTCCGGAGGCGGCAAAGTTGAGGCCTCTTGCACGGACCGAGGTTGGGAATATCTCGGAACAGTACACCCACGCGGCAGGCCCCAGGCCAATGCTGTAGCCCATGGCGTATATGAAGATGAATGCAATGCAAACGGAATCGGCAAAGTGGCTGCTATTGTTTGGAAACGACAAAGGCAGGGCTCCATTGATCTGTGGGCGTTAGTATCAGATATATTTCTTTTGTTTAGAGAGTACATACCAACATGGCAATGGCCATGACAAGGCTGCCGCCAATCAGACACACCTTGCGGCCGAATCTGTCAATCAGCCACATTTCAACCAAAGTCATACTAATCTTTACAGTCACTTCAAGCGCGCCCACCAAGAGAGCCATTTGCGTGCTTAGTCCAAGTGCTTTGAGAAGAGTCGGCAAGTAATACTTCATAGCGGTAGCTCCGCACATTTGCGCCATAAACTGTAGCAGGAACCCGCGCCAGAGTCGGGCAAACAGTGCAGGGTCTTGAAATAGCGACAACGAGAGAGCAATCGAAGGGCTGTACTTGGATTTGGGACGCGAGGCAATGGAGCTACGGATTGCTTGTAGCTCGTCAGAGATGTCGTCTTCATCGTACGAGCCTTGACGAAGGGCCGCCAGCACTGATCTCGCTGCGACGGCCTCGCCCTTTTCAACCAACCAGCGTGGTCTATACCCAGTCAGTTTAGCACCGTTTATGAGAGCTTAGTAGAAACCTACGACTCGGGAAGCCTGGGGAGGCTGTATGCAAATACGCCTGCTGGAAGCAGTTGGACTAAGATCAAGACGCGCCATCCCCAGAATTGGCCGGCCGCTGATGACCAAAATGTAATAAAATAGCCAGCCCTGACGTCTTGGTTAGCTTTTGAGCAGTTGTACAGAGTTGGTTAGTACATACCAGAGGCCCATGGCAAGACCACCAATGAAGCCGGCGTGGTTCACGGTGACAAACCTGCCTCGGTCCTTTGCTGGTGCGATTTCACTTTGATACAAGGGTACGCCAGTACTCACGACACCAACGCCCAGACCAGAGATGAATCGTCCAAATGCCATAACGGCAACAGCACTGCCTCCTCCTGCAGAGGCCATGATCAATGCGCCAACCGCGAGGACACCGGTGCCAATCACGGAGGAATACCGCCGACCAAGAACATCGGCCAGCAGATGCGACACGAAGAGATAGGATAGTAGCGTTCCGCCATAGTAGATTCCCGTCACGACGCCCTTTTGTGCCGGCGAGGGTGAATACAAGGCGTTTTTCCAGCCCGGATGGGCGAGGATAGAGGACAAGATGCCAATGTTATAGCCCCATAGGGCCGATCCAAGAGCGAGATAGAGACAAATCGTGTAGAGCCGCTTGGTGCCGGGCGGCATCTGGAGGTTGAAACGGAGCATGTCCAGGGTTCAAGATGATAGAGATTGTTTATCGAATGAGTGTTGCGTATTCAGCGGATATTCTCATCACGTATGTATTGATTTCTCGATCATGATTGACTCTCAACAGCAAAGTCAAAGTGTCCTCTCTGGCGATCGCTGTGCGAAAGGTAACTTTGCGTTGTTTTGGTCGAACCAATCGCGGGGACATGCGCCGACCCACTGCCTGCGCCAGACACCAATATGCTGTTCACCAAAGACACAACTTATAGTTGTATACTATAGAGGAAAGCTAATTATTTATGTAATTAATTTTTAGCGTATTCTATATGTAAATAGAATTATTTAGACTATTTATTATATGCAACGTGCTCCTCGCTTGATTTGGTAGGTATATCTGCTTGACTTGAGAGTGTAGTCTCTATTGTAGTGTTTGCTGGATTTTTATTTGGCTAATATCCTTTATAATATGCGTGTATGCCTTTTCATGATTATCGAGATTCAAGTTAATCAAGTATGACTTGTTCAATCACGTTTATTAAATGACTAGGTTGTGTTGTGTATTTTATGTCATGTATGAAGGGGCGGGCTTGTTGGGTGGAAGGTCTCGATTTTAATTAGTTTATAATACAAAAACAAAACTTATTTATTGCATAATCTAGAGCCATTTCCGGTCATTTCCATTGGCTAGGGTACAATGGTGTTTGCACGATTTATCATGTTGTCTCGTTGTTGTTTCGCCCAATCAAGAGCATTTCGGTACGCAGTGGCTCCCTGTAGGAAAGCCTCGTAATTCCCAAACATACACCAGGAATTGACATGTGTCATGACGAAACCGGGTGGATGACCGGATGCTGCTGGCGGTAAAGGGTGAACCGTGAACATCCTGAGTATACCGTAGTGGTATATTGACGTCAAAGCATATGCGTTGTTGTCGTAAATCGGTGTAGGCTGTCCGTATGATTGAAGGCTATGCATAGCTCTTGCCCCTAGAGCACCATGATACAACGCTTGTAGTAGTACAACCTCCACACTACCACCGGATCCCTTAACCTGGAGAAAGAAATTGGGTATTATTGGGAGGTCGCACCTTGTGGAAGGGACTATCTGTCCGTCCAGCCGCCCACGAATCTCCTTATCCAGTTGTTCTGGGCGTGCGCCATGCAACAAATCGGGATGACCCGGGACAAGCGTCCTATCAGTCAAGTGGTCAAAGTTTGTGAACGGAATGCCTCCAGCTCTACAATTTCTGTCTGCGATTCTCCGTTCAATCATTGGGATAGCCCATGTGAGAATGTCGCTCCCTTTTGTGGCGCGTATACTAATCTCGCTGAATTCGGCAAAATCGGTGGTTAAAAATTCAGGTTTAGATTGGGGTGTTCTTGGTCGTCCTAGAAACTCTCGAATTGCATCCATGTTGCTAGGTGTCGCGGGCGAGCGGCCGTCTGGGTACTTGTAGCCTTCCGGGAAAATGTGGTGGTCAACAAGATGCTGTAGGAATGCACGGTCGTATGGTCCAGTTTTCGACGTGCCTGTTGCTGGAGTCTCTTCTGGTTCTTGCGAGGCTTTCGCAATCTGTGATTTTGATTCTCTCTGGTGAGAATCAAAAATTAACTGGTTGAAGTTCATAGTCTCTTGGGATCTAAGAGGTATGGGGTACTATATGTCATGTTAGTAATGAATGAGATGCCTGCTCCGTCGATTTTTACATACCCCTCTCAACTTTGATAGATCGGGACCGCCGCGCTTCGCGAAATGCTTGATCTGTTGGGGTATATCTAGCGGGAGCACACAACTGGTGCCGTTTCTAGCAACTCTTTGCGCAGGGTCTTGGTCGGTGGCTGGATCGCAAGGCGTTTGAAGAGCTCTTCTCCTGTCCGATTCACGTAATGCGTTTCGAGTAAGTGGAATCTCCGATAGTCTGTCCCAGAAGATTGGAGGTGGTGAGGACGGGTGTGCAAGCTTTTGTTGCTTAACAGAGTGGTCTAGAGTCTGAGAGGATCGCCGCTTGCTTGCGGAACAAGTTGCTTTGGTGTCTGGGCTTTGTAGTGCAGTCATTGTTGAGCAGTTGCTATTGAGGATTGTAGATTGCTACAGTATATGCACAAGGAACGGCTTTTATACGAAACGTGAGTTGTTAAGGCAATCTTTGTTTCATTCAGGTGGACAAAATGTTCCCCCATTGTTCTAGGTAGACAGCGGGCGTTGGTTGCCACATGATGGCAACAGTGTGCTTAGCGGGCGCAATCAGGTTTAACCATAATTAGAACAGTTGTGCAAGTAGACTAGGTCCAATGACAGTAGCAACAAAGACTTGTAAGCAAACATTCAGAAGGTGTTACTGTACCTCGCCGCCGCGAACAAACAGTTTAGTCGGAAAAAAAGTTGCGCTTTCGCTAGGCTGACTGGAGCGAGCTACCCTGAATCAGAATCAGAGATGACTGATTCTTCCAGAACAATGCCATTCTGAATGAAATAGATGGTGGATAAAGTCATTCTATATCTAATAGCTGTCATTAGAACGTCCTTCTAGCAATTCAATAAAATACTGCAAACTTAGCTTAGCATTAGAGTCGCCCTTGTTCGTCTGATCATTGCGTGGAGAATATCCGGATCTCAGCTTCTACTCTAGGCCAGCCGATAAATTAGCACGTGGAGACGGCAGGGAGAGACAACACCATGAGTCGAGAAGGTAAATTGGCTAGTCAGGACCTATCTGGGCCACCCGATGCGCCAGCTTTACCACGTTGTCTTGTCTGTGGTTCTTTGTCGTCTCGTTCCTGGTCGTTTTCGTCCTTCATTTCGTGGAGTGGTATCCATCCACTCTAAAATGCCTACCCGTTCCAGGTGTTGACCATGACTAGTGCAACAAGCCGAATCCATAGTATAAGTACCGTCTGGGAACCTCTGTGGACGTAACTATCTTCTGCTTCTTTTTTGGGCTCTCTCACTTACCAATTGTCCATCGTCCACCACCCCGCCTCTCTGTAAATATGAAGTCAACTGTTGTCCTTGGCCTCGCCTCGCAGGCCATCTCTGCCTCAGTCTCCCACAGCGCCTAGATCCACGGCGGATCATTTTTCTGCGGCGGAAGCATTATCAGCTCCCACTACGTAGCCAACGCTGCTCACTGCATCGTGACGAGCGATGCCACTCTATATACAGTCAAGGTTGGCAGTGCTACCCGCGACGCCGGCAGCGCAGTTGCTGTCAAAGAGATCAACAGACATCCCAAATTTGTCCAGAACAGCAAGCCCGAATATGACATTGCTATCCTCAGACTGAAGGATGATGTCAAATTCACCGACTCGATCAAGGCTATTGGGCTGGCTAGCACAAGCCCTGCGGTTGGCACCAAGGGCCGTGTCTCTGGCTGGGGCCGAAAGGACGACGGCGTTGATTCCACAACGCTCCGCGACGTATATGTGCCTGTCATCTCCAACAAGGATTGCCAAAAGTACGTTGATGCCGAGGGCATCACCATCTCCAACCGGACATTCTGCGCTCTGGAGACTGGAAAGGGTCCTTGCCAGGGAGATAGCGGCGGCCCTTTTGCTGTTGACGGCAAGCTGGCCGGTATTGTTTCTGGGGGCAACGAGTGCGGCGACGCCAAGAGCCCTAGCCAGTACACGGATATCGCTAATAAGGACATCCGAGACTGGATTCGCGGGGTTAACGGATTCTAGATGACAGACGAGGATGGACAAGGGCTTCTAGTAGTAGCACATTCCTTCTAGCACGTCATGTAAATATAAAGTAGTAAACTCCCCGTCTGTTTTCTCAAGTCCGCCGTTTGTCAGTGACAGGCCTGTTGTCGTTGGCGCGCACTTGGGTATGGCAGAGCACCTAGCGAACCTCCAACCACAGCTGTGTCGTCTTCCTCACCAAGTATGTCACTACGCAAAGCAGCGGCCTATTTCCGTATCTTGACCTTGACCCTCGCTTACATGCGCATTCCCATCATGAAGCATAGCGCAGCCTTGCCCATGAAATTGGTCGCAAGCCGCTAACACGACGCCACAGGTGGTAAAAGCAGCGCCTTTGGCTTATGGCCAATACAGCACCAGCAAAAGTGCCACAGTGGTCAGCCTGTGGTGAAGCTAAGGCAAGCCATGCAGCGCCTCATTTGTTTCGGCCGGGCACCTCAGCCCATCCTTTTGCACTTTCTGTTTTTGGGGGTTCAGTGGTCTCTTTTGGGCACAGCGTGCACTTTTGTTGCTCTGTTATCTTTCTGGTGGGGTTCTTCTGCTGTTTCCCCCCATCCCCCATTTATTCATTTGTTCATCCATCGTGGTGTTGATGGAGTAGGCAGGAAGACAACAAGGGTCGCAGACAGCGGGGACTTTGGCCAGCGGGCTGCCCACCCGCCCAACAACAGAGGAGAAGCATGTGCCGAAAGCCGGTGCCCCAGGACCAGTCACAACAGGCCAATTGTGAGTCTATACTGACCCCCAAAAATCTCGAGTTGCACAACTGCCCTGTGCAGAATTCGTCTGTATTTTGCACAGGGCTATGGATGCACAAGTTGTGCACAGAAGCCGGACAGCGTCCGCTGTGATTGGCCTGACGGCGCAAGTACTTTGTACCTGGCCTGCTTCTGTGTAACTTGCGCTAGGCACCGCTGTGGAGACGAAATTTTATGTCTGCCGATGCCCCTGCCTTTGTGAGACCTTCCTAATCAAGATGTAACCCCGCTTCCACGGCCTGGCGCTTTTTTTCTGGACAACACCAGGAAAATACGGACATCAAGGAGCGCTGTTCTGGGGGAAGGCCAAGTTGGGGTTTGGCTGACCCATCGTGATTGGGCGGCGCCGATCTCTCCCAGCCAAGACGGAACGCCACCCACTGCAGAGGACGCCTGCCCAGCCCTCGAGTGCAAAGGCCAAGCCGAAGCATCAGCAGCAGCGCCATCCCCCGCCACCAGTCTCTGATGATCTTCTTCATCGGCTTGGCTCAAGCCAACAAACAATGGACGATGCCAAGACAGACGAACGAATATATTAATAACACCTGCTCAGAAAAAAAAGGAGTATTACCTGTATCTCGGTAAGCAACACGATGCATCAGGGAGCTGCAAACAAACACCATATGGAGACTGGACCTTTTCTCCATCCCCATCCTTTTTGGGGTCAGGGTAGTATTCGCCTGCAGTAGCTTCGCCACGGCCTTCTTTATCCACTGGAAGCAGGCCGGTTAGAGCAAATTAGCGTCGCTTCGCCCAAGCTCCGCGCCTCTTTGGCCTTGTTAAGCCACCTGAAGTCGACATGAAGAGCAAGGTTATGGGCGAACGCCGTCGTAAACTAAAGCTGCGCACAGGCCGGAGCGGGGCGTAACCACGGACAAAAGAACCTTTGGGTTATAGCTGGTGTGCTGCTCATGACAGCTGCTAAATGACCGATAGTCGGATTGTGGCCGCCGCTAAGTGCTGCTGCTGCTGCTGCCGCCATTACCGATGCGAAATGAATTATGCCGTGCATGGACTAGCTGCCGACCCCGAATGGTATATAACATCTCTCCCCGCCTCTCAGTGCAACGTCCCCCAACTTCTCCAACGAGATCAGCAAGCTTGGTCCCTGAATATCATTCTTTTGCTAGTTCTTGATTGTCACCATGAAGACTGCTGCCGTCCTCCTCGCTGGCCTTGCCGCCTCCGGCATGGCCATGCCTTCCGACTCCCACCGAGTTCATGAGACCCGCGATACTGTGCGCGGCGCTCGCTTCGACAAGCGCGACGCCGTTGCTGCTACCGCCAACATGCCTCTCCGCATTGCCCTGAAGCAGAGCAACCTTGACAAGGCCGCTGCCATGCTCCTTGACATGTAAATACCTTTGCCTACTTGACTATTGTTGGTTGTTGTAGCACTAACACACATTGTCCAGCTCTACCCCCGGCTCGCCCAACTACGGCAAGCATCTCAGCCGCAAGGAGGCTGCGGCGCTCTTTGCTGTTGAGGACAAGTCCATTGACACCATCAAGCAATGGCTCGTCAAGTCTGGCGTCGATGCCAAGGCCATCTCCGTCAACCCCACCAAAACGTGGATGACTGTCAATGCTCCTGTCCAGCAGCTTGAGAAGATGCTCAAGACTAGATACCACACTTACCGCAACGTCATTTCTGGCGCCGACCACGTCGGTACCGACCAGTACAGTCTGCCCAAGGAGGTCTCTGAGATTGTCGACTTTGTCGTTCCCGGAGTCAACCTGGCCAAGGTCAAGACTCGCGCTGCCCCACCTCCCAAGGGCAAGACTCCCTTTGCCGCCATCTGGGAGGGTCTCCGTGATCTCACTGCGGAGCAGCAGCAGATTGTCGTGAATGCCAGTAGGTCTGCTCGCAAGGGATGCAAGAAGCCAAGTACTGACAACAACGGCACAGCTTCGTTGGACCACTGCGATACAATTATCACCCCCGCCTGTATCCAGGCCATCTACGGTATCCCCAAGGGCGTGCAGTCCAACATTACCAACCCCATGGGCTTCTTCGAGTCCATCAACGATGTCTACTCTCAGGAAGATCTCGATCTCTTCTGGAAGACTGCCGCGCCCTACGTCCCCCAGGGCACTGGCCCCGACCTGGATCTCATCAACGGAGCCACTGCCCCCAACCCACCTGAGAGAGCTGGTGGCGAGTCCGACCTCGACTTCCAGATGGCCATCCCCATCATCTACCCCGAGACCACTGTCCTCTTCCAGACTGCCGGCGGCGGCTCCGATGACATCTTTGGCGACTACCTTGCCGCTGTCGACCCCGACTTCTGCCCTCTTGACCCCAACTTGAACCCCCACAAGATGTGCGGCGTCTTCCAGCCTACCAACGTTGTCTCCATCTCCTACGGCGGCCCCGAGGACCCTAGCGATGTGGCTGGCTCCAAGCGTCTCTGCAACGAATTCATGAAGCTTGGCCTTATTGGCATCACCACTGTTGCCTCCTCGGGCGACTCTGGTGTTGCTGACGCCGGTAACTACTGCTACGGCCCTCACCATGACATCTTTGTCCCCGACGATCTCGGCAGCTGTCCCTACATTACCTCTGTCGGCGCCACTACTCTCCCTGCTGGCTCCAAGGTTGGCGATCCCGAAATTGCTGTCAACTCGTACTCTGGCGGTGGCGGCTTCTCCAACATCTTCCCCCGTCCCTCGTGGCAGAACGGTGCCGTTGGCAACTATCTGCTCCGCCACAACCCCAACTACTTTGCCTACAATACCTCGGACGGTGTCATTCCCCCCAACTCGGGTATCTACAACCGCGGTGGGCGTGCTTACCCCGATATCTCCGCTCTTGGTGACAACGGTCTCGTTGCCTACCGCGGCAAGCTTGGCCTTTCTGGCGGTACCTCCATGTCTGCCCCCATCATTGGTGCCATCTTCACCCGTATCAACGAGCAGCGTCTGTCCCTGGGCAAGGGCCCCATCGGCTGGGTCAACCCTGCCCTGTACGGTGCGTACGACAAGATCCGCAGCAAGGACTTTGTTGGCTTCTTCCACGATGTTACTGTCGGCAACCAGTACCTCGGTGGTGTTGCTGGTGACCGTGGCTACAGCGCCTGCGGCAACGTTGGCTTCTCTTGTGTTCAGGGCTGGGATCCCGTTACCGGTCTCGGCACTCCCAACTACCCCATGTGGGAAAAGTACTTTGTTTCTCTTTAAGCGTTTACAAGTGAGAGGGCCACCCTTTTTTTCAATGTATATTCTTTTGGAAATGACGTCTTTGAAACGCGGTATATGGAAGAAACCTAATGTAAATAATATACGATTGATTTATACGTCATATGCGCCATTTTGTCTCATAATATCCATGTACGGTAATATTTACATAGATAGCAACCAAATGACTTTCCCTGCCAAGCCGATTTCTCAACGTCGTATCGTGGCCGAATGCAACGGCAGCAACGGGGTGGGCTGATGTGGAAGGTGGTATTGTAGATGCAGTTCGCACCACCATAGCTCCGGACGAAACCCCGTGATCGTCATACCATTGCATACTAGCAGGCCTAGCTTCTTGCGGCAGGTCTTTTGCAATGGCTCGATGTATATATTGTGCCCGCAGACATTTTGTTTTGTTGGTTTCCACTTAGTTGCTCTCTAACCGCTAGACGCCTACACTTTCACGACCAATCATTATGAAGTCTATTTCCACCACTGCCGGCGTGGCATCTGTCATTGCCCTATCCTCTGCTGTGGATGCTTTTGTTACCCTTCCACTCCATTCGAGACCTGCTACGTTTGAGTCCAAGCAGGCCATCAACGCTGCCCGCATGCAAGCTGGTGCCTCCACTGGCGTTCCCTTGAAGGACTTTCGCCGCCACAACTGCGATCTCGAGGTAAGTAAGCAGCAGCAACAGCAGTAGCACGACAGTAGTAGTAGTAGTAGTAGTAGTAGTAGCAACTGGGAACAACTACTGCGAGCCTACAACTGTCAGAAGCGAGAGAGGAGAAGTACTAACAACATCCGGTGGTAGTGGTACATTGACATTAGCGTCGGAACGCCCCCTCAGAAGCTGTATGTATATAAGAGACGATTGATCATGACCATCAATTGCTAATGCTTTTTCGAATTGCAGCACCGTGGTTGTTGACACTGGATCCTACGATCTCTTGTTTCCTGACGAGACTTGCCAGAAATGCGGTGCTGGCCACTCGTTCAACGGTGCCAAGTCCAAGACATTCTCGTCCCAGCCTGGTCAGTACGATCGGCTCGACTTTGGCACTGGCATTGACACCTACGGCCTTGATCTTTCGATTCCTGCTCGCGTTCAGGGCACATGGCGCACCGACTCCGTGACCATTGGCAACGTCACGGTCCCCAAGCAGCAGTTCCTTCACTGCGAGAGCTACGCCGACTTCTTCTCCAGCGCCGACTTTGACGGCATCATGGGCTTCAGTCTCAAGGGCGAAAGCGGCTCTCCCGGTGGCAAACCCTGGTTCTGGAGCGCCGTCGAAGCCGGCAAGTTTGGCTCCTCTGCCATTTCCCTGCACATGCCTGCGGACCAGCTCACCGGTGGTGAAATCACGCTCGGCGGCTCCAACCCTGCCCGCTACCAGGGCGACATCCACTACTTTGATACGTACCAGGCTGGCGGCTGGATCGCCCCGATGCCGCAGGTATACGTCAATGGCAAGGCCCAGAACCTCAAGGAGAAGAATGCCCTCTTTGACAGCGGCACGCCCTTCATGTCCATTACCAAGGACTTGGCCGAGAAGATGTACGCCGCCATCTCCCCCATTCCCAAGCAGCTCAACGACTTTGGCGACTGGGGTGCGCCTTGCGACAAGATTGATGAGATTGCCGCCGAGTTTACTTTTACCTTTGGCGCCGGCAACAAGATGGTCAACGCTACCATCCCCAAGTCTGCCTTCAACTTGGGCCCTCACAAGGATTTCCCGGGCATCTGCCAGACCGTGCTCAGCACCACCAACTACGGCATCACCCAGTTCATGATTGGTGCTCCTCTCCTGAAGCAGTACTACACTGTGTGGGATGGTGCCAAGTACCAGCTTGGTTTTGCCCAGCTCAAGAAGTAGAGCACGCAGACATGAGCCAATCAAAGAGAGATAGCTACGGATGCTTGTGTGTGCAAAGATCTACAACGCCCGCCTTTATGTATATAGAGTTAAAAAGAATCGAGACGGTAGTATATGTACATACATATGAAACATACATACATACACACAATCACGCATACATGTACACAGAAAATACGTATAAAATAAAATGAAATAGGTCTGGGGAAATATAATACAATTGTTTTATGCAGTTTACATGGCGGCCATTTAGTATATACTCAGCCGCCGGACAACCATTTTCGTTCTTCTACTGTCTCTTGCTGGGCTTGATTTCCGTCTTGGGCTGCGTCCTGGGGTGCACCTTCGTGCGGAACATGGTTGCCTGCTCAAGAGCGTAGGCAATGCGAATCAGCTTGTACTCGCTGAACCTGACGCCGGTAAAGCCGATGCCGTAGGGCTGGTTCGGGGCCGACATCGTCACGTTGTACGCGCTCTCCGTTTCCACGGGCGTGCTGTCCGGCAGACGCCCAGCCGGAATGGAGATGACGGGATGACCAGCAGGGGCAGCGAAACTCGACAACATTAAGGGCAAGTCAAGGATGGCATCAAGGTTATGCTCCTTGACGGCGGCGTCGATTCCATGAGTCGTTGTGAGCTCCACATTCTGCTGGTATGCCGCCCAGAAAGCCGCATCTGAGTTTTGCAGCTTGTGTTGCACCGGCCCGTTCCAGGAGCCCGTGTTGTAGAAGGGGTAGTTCTCGCGCGGGTCGGTCCGTGTAAAGTTGAGCAGGTCCTCTAGGGTGTGGATGTTGTTGGGGTTGGTCTTGAGCTGCGCCAGGTACTTGGGCAGGTCGGTGTAGAAGTCGGTACCAAGGATGTTGTAGTTTGCTGTGTGCATGTTGACGCCGGGCAAGGCTACATTCTCGACAATCGTAGCACCAAGCGACTGGAGGGTTTTGATGGCGGCCGGGATCGCGCCTTGATCATCAGCAAGATTATATCTGTCCCCGGCCGCGACAACGCCAATGCGGACACCGTCAAGGCGCGTGCTGTTACAGGCTTCAATATAGTTGGGGATCGACTTGAAGGGGATGGCGCTGGTGTAGTTGTCATGGCTATCGACGCCGGCAATGGCCGTGAGCAGTACGGCGGCGTCCTTGACGGTGCGAGCCATGGGCCCAACGGTGTCTTGGTGCTCCGAAATGGGGATGACAAGGTGGCGAGACGTCAGGCCGAGACTGGGCTTGATGCCAACAATGTTGTTGAAGTTGGCTGGCGCGATGATGGAGCCAGCCGTCTCAGAGCCAAGCGCGGCCCAGGCTAGGCCGATGGACACGGCGACGCCGCTACCAGAGGACGATCCGGAGGGATCCTGACGGTCAAAGTAGGCGCCAACGGTCTGGCCGCCGACGGCAGACCATCCAGACGTGCCGGTGTTGTTGTTGTGGCGAAAGTTGGCCCATTGCGACAGGTTGGTCTTGCCGAGGAGGATGGCGCCGGCCTTTCGCAGCTTGGCCGCCACGGTGCTGTCAGTCGCGAGCGTGGCATTGATGAGCGCAAAGGATCCGGCCGTGTTGGGCATCTTGTCGGCGGTGCCCATGTTGTCCTTGAGGAGGATGGGGATGCCGTGTAGCGGCCCAAGACCCTTGCCCTTGCAAGAGCGGCGCTCGGCGTCCTTCTCGTTGGCAATGGCCATGACATCCGGGTTGGTCATGATGACGGCATGGAGCTCCGAGTTGACATCGTGGATGCGGCCGAGGTATGCCGTGACAAGTTCGGCGCTGGTGAATGCGCCCTTGTCGAGGCCGGCACGGAGCTCATCGAGTGTGGCATCGAGAAGGAGAGGAACATTCTTTGTTACTGCTGCCGCAGTAACAACAGACAGAAGAAGGGCGCCAATCAGGCACCAGAGATGAGAGGATAGCATGCTCAATTCTGTGATTGTTTTTTTTCTTTGGGCGACAGAACGTGTACAAAAGCTGTGCCTCAGGGGAGACGAGGAGTTGGGCGACGGGCTCAATTTGAATCCGCTGGTCGTTCATCTAATCCAACAAGGTTTTGCTAGCGCGGGCGGCCTGTCCAGGTTGTATTGGGGCCACCTGCAAGTGGCATGACTTGGGGAGATTTCCGAGATCGTCCATACAGCCCACTATGAACTTGAGCACAAGTGGCTATGCCCTTGGCGGTACCTTTGTTTGCGGCATTTCCACGGCTGCAGGGTACTTTTGTTGTATTATTCGCTTTTTTGCTGTGCATATACTGTTGTTTTACATAATCTAGATGTCGTCTCTGGTCTCCGGTCGATGGCTGTGCAGGCCAAAAAGCATATTGCCATGTAAACTTGCTCCGTGGTGGGGAGGCCAAGGGTTACAGTGAGTCGGATCCTGGAGTTTCCAGAGAGATGAAGAGTTGGCCGAAGGCGGAGGGTGGCAGCGAAAAACTAATTGTAATTAGGCGGGGTCAAGAATATTCTTGCAAGGCAAAAGTGCCCGCGAGTAGAGAAGCATGATGCATGGGCAGCCAAAAAAGATGAAGATGGAGAAAATGAATCGGTGGGGGAAAAGCGAAAGTTGTGCGTGGCTGATACCCCTCTTAGGGCAGATTAGTCGCCCATGTCTTCCATCATTCGGGCGAATGGTTTAGTGGTATAATACTCCCTTAGCATGCGCCTTCCTAGTGATTGCCCAGATTTGGGAGTGGTCCAGGGTTCGATTCCCTGTTCGTCCATATGAGGTGGTTAGAGTCCACCATATACCTTTCTTTTTTTTCTTTTTTTTCCTCGTTGCTGTGCTTCCTCTTTTTAGTGCTTTTTGATTTTTTTGGTTAGCATATTATTTAAATAGCAATATACATCATGCAGGTAGCTACAGCAGCAACCACCCTCCCACCCCTATTCACAAACCCAGCCATTACCGTCTGTCGTACGACGCACGACCACCACGCATCCATCGTATGAAGGACGGCACATCGACCACATGGCGAACAATCATGTCTCAGCCGCTAAATTAGCTAGTGGAACCGCGGACCGTAAAGAGTGTGGTGCGTCTACACCATCTCTTTTTTTAAGCGAACCAAAACGGAGCAACTAGAACTACTGAGACACTCGACAATGGCTCTGTAGATTCAGTGTTTGGGTTATGTTAGCGCCGGGGAACAGTGGACTCGCACTAAAGATCTTTGAATTGCCGATGCTCATTGCTCTTCCCCCTCTCAGCACTGCCAACTCTCAAGAAGTAGATGAATTCAAAAACAAGGCTCTCAGCAGCAGGGATCGGGCTGTACGCTTTCAGCTTCTGTCAATCTAGAACGGGGCCGATGCATGATGCATCGACCATCGTCAGCCCGCTACTGTTCTGCGCGCAGGGTAAGCCAAATGAAAGTCTGCCACAATACGGAAACAAAAACAAAAGGACCCTTACTCGTATTCAGTGGGCGCTGTCTACACCCACCGCAGCGGCGCAGCTCAGGCGGCCGATGCTACATGGGCCCATCCACTGCTGTCGCTGCCGCTGGGAGGGATTATTGGTTCCTGTGCAGCCGCTGCTGCAGGTCAATTAGCGCGAGGTGCTTTGGCCAAGAATTGAACTAGGCTCAGCTCTTTTCTTTTCTCTGACAGGTTCAAAAAGGGTGCTTGTGCTGTTCTCCATCCTCAATTCGTCTCTACACCACCCAAAAACAAAAAATAAATAAAGATGCTCTTCTCTGTTGCTGCTGCGGTTGCTCTGCCTGCCCTCGCCTGGGCATCCCCCATGGCTGAGTCCATCTCGGTCAAGGTCGAGCCCAAACAAAAGATCAACGGCACCCTCGAGTACAGCACCCAGTGCAAGAAGTGCCCGTACCAGCTCTGCACCAATGTCAACATTCCCTACGGCGGCGACAATATCACAGCGACCTGCTGGACAAATGGCGACAAGATTGACGACGACGACATGTGGCGTAAGGAATCCATCCCCCAGATCCCGATCGGGAGCCAGCCAGCCTGACGCCCAGAAAACCTTAATCCTCGCTAACATCCTTACCTACAGTCAAGACGGTTGACAACTGTTATGTTGCTGAATATGACCTCAAGGAGTACGCCGGCGATTGTAAGTCAAACAAATCACCGAATTAAAAGAACAAAGGATCGGCGCATTGCTCACACTTTTCTTCTACAGGGTCCCAGGATCTCAAGTACTGCGGCAAGGTCCCCAAGACCATCACCACGCAAAAGAGCAAGGTCCGGTACCTCTCCGAGTGCAAGTGGGAGTCCGGTACCTCGTCCGAGACCATCAAGTACTACGGCCGCGATGTCGACATCACCTTGACTTGCTGGGTCGAGGGTTCCGAGATTGTCAAGGACAAGTACTGGTACAAGGTAAGGGCAAAGCATCGCAATTTACACGCAAGAAACAATTACTAACAGACCATGGAAAAAGACCACCGATAACTGCCATGTCAGCGGCTCCGGCCTCTGGGGCAAGCCTGACCGCAGCCGCCTCGACAACTGCGGCCCTGACCCCTACCCCCGCGCCAACGAGACCCGACGCTCACTCGACTCGGACATTGTCGTTCCCGGCAAGACTGTCGAAGTCGCTGAAGAGACTACTCAACCCAAGAAGAAGAAGAGTGGTATTGTCACCTCGCTGCTCCGCCGTTGGCTAGAGCCCGGCAAGATTGGCGAAGAGTACGCCGCGTGCCTGTCGTGCCCTGCTCTGGCTCCCAATGCCACATGCAAGCAGATCAAGCGCTACGAGTTCAACGATACTGTGACTAGCCAGTGTGTGCGCTTTGAACAGATCAACTTCCCCAACGGCACCTTTGAGGACTACTACTGGATGGTACGTAGAGGAGTTGGCTAGACGAAACAGACAGAAGAGGGCTAACACAAATCACAGCTGACCACCGACTGGTGCTACACCAAGTCTAGCGACTTTTGGGAGCCTCCTTATGACCGTAAGTTTTTTTTCCTTTACTTTATTCTTTATCTTTATGACCGCGGTTTGCTAACAGTCGTGTCATAGACTACCGCTACCCTAGTTGCGACAACTGGCCTGGCTACTAGACGGCGCATGTCGTTGTAGAATGAAAATTCTTTTTTTTAATATATAGCATAATGATTATCAGATCCGAGGTCGCTTGAAATGAATATAGTAGACTGTCATTCTTAATAAAACAGAAACTTTTGATTTTAATGTTTGCTCACCTCTATGTTCGGTGCCATCACCGTTAAACCCGGAGGCTGTCCACGTCGTCGCTCTGTGCCTCAAAAAGTTTTTAAAAATTATTTTATGCAATACATCGATTGCAGAATTTTGTGCCATATTTTGTTTTCTTTTATTTTAAACATATGCCTGTCCTGCGCAAGACACCGGCATCGGGCATACAACACCCCCCGCCATTTCCGGTTCGGGGCACCCCTAAAGCGGATCTGATAAGATAATCCGCTGTCGCAACACCCGCACCTCGTGATTTTCTTCAGCCTTTTTTTCCGTCCACCGGCCTCGGTCACGTTCTCCTCTCGCCCCTCACTTTTTCGTTGTCTTGGCGGCTTCTTCTCCCTTTGTCTCATGGAAGCAACATCGCCACAACCCGAAAAACAATGAGACTCCGTGCCTTAGTCGCGGCTCTTCAGCTGCTATGGCTATCGAGCCTCGCCGACGCCGCCATGAGCCGTAAGAAATGGTCGCTCTGCTGGACTAGCTGCGAGAATTGCCTCGACGAGGTGCCCTTTAGCGATGTGCCCACCAATATGACGACCGGCGAGAAGCTGTGCCGCAGTAATCTGTCACTTGCGTCGCATTATCTCTGTATTCAGATTGGCTGTGGCGAGCATGAGAGGATTATGGCTCTGGATGCCCACCAGAAGAAATGCCGGCGTTTGTATGGCGTGGAGGTCCCTTCTTTTGACCTCGTAGCGAATTATACACAGATGGATATCGATAAGCTACCGCTCGTGAAAAAGGACGATGTTCTCAAGGGCAAATCCTTCACTACGCCGGTGCTGCCGTCGCGATATTTCTTCAAGATATGGTTTGATACACTGGTATGTTATATGCCCCTCTAATAGAGAAGGGAAGTTAAATACTAACATTTACTAGGAAGCTTCTGCGTTTGCTCTTTGGTGGAGTATCGTTTATGGGCATGTCATCACACTCTTTTGGGTTGGCGTTGTCGCCCTCGGTATCGTGAATAAGGCCCACCTCGGGTTGATACGCTATAGAAGTCTCAGACGACTTTCTCGCTTGTCGCCGATTGTTCGGGCGCCGCAGTCCTGGTTTAAGCGAAAATTTGTGCTGCCGGCAACCTTTGGCTACCGCTGCGCCCAGAGTGTCTGGTGGTCTACGATTCCACCGCGCATACAGTCACTGACCATTCTTGCCTTTTTGACCATCAACGTCTTCTTTACTATTACCGGGTACAAAGTCATGGTCGTGGATAACTTATAGTACGTGACGTTATTACGATGGAGAGAATGCATCGCTAACCAGAGATACAGTTTTGGATCACCTTTCCGCCAAATTACTCGCTACCTCTCAGATCGCACTGGCACCATCTCCTTTATCAACTTCCCCATGCTGTGGCTCTTTGGCATGCGCAATAACTTTGCCATGTGGCTGACAGGATGGGACTTTGCGACATACAACAACTTCCACCGCTGGATTGCGCGGATTGCCACCGTCGAGGCTGTTATACATACTATTGGATACACAATCCTAGTGCTTGGGAATGGCGGCATGCCATATCTCCTTTCATATTTTGAAGAGTGGTGGTGGAACGCAGGCTGCATTGTAAGTGTATCCAGACGAGATGGTTTGAAAATACCTTTTGCTAATCGACCGACTTAGGCAATGGTTGCAATGGGAGCTCTTATTCCCCTGTCCATCTACTGGCTTCGTCGCCGCCACTACGAAACATTTCTCGTTCTGCATATTGGATTGTCTCTTGTTCTTCTCTTAACTATGCTTGGCCATGTGTCCATCTTCTTGGGCGAGTTTGACATTCTATTCTGGGTGCCCATGGGCATCTGGGTCCTCGACCGCGTCGCCAGGCTGCTTCGCATCTTGGACTTTGGCAGGATTTCATTCTCAGTGCCATCGAAGGTGGAATATGATGACAATGCAAATGTTGTCCGGCTCAGTGTTCCGCTGCATCCAGATCTAGTGCTGCGGCCCAAGCCTGGCGTCTTTTACAATCTCATGGTGCTCAACGATAAGCATTGGTGGCAGAGCCATCCCTTTACCGTCGCATCCATTGAAGAGGCAGTCTCAGATGGCGACGATAGCGGCGAACAAGAGCATCTCATTCGCAATGGAGCAGAGGACGATGGGCTTCCAGAGCAGATTCAAAACGAAAAGGGCGAGTCGCACATGACGTTCCTCATTCGTCCGTACGACAGCTTTACAGCAAGACTTCGGGATTTGGCCATGACTTCTGCAAATCTCAATGTCGTCGTTGAAGGACCATATGGGCATAGCCGCCCGCTGAATACCTATTCCCACGTCGTATTCATTGCTGGTGGTACGGGTGTCGTCGGCCCGCTGTCCTATCTCCCGATTCTTATGAGCGCTCAATCGGCAGTTAAGACAGTGGAGCTACACTGGGCTGTTAGAGAGCTGGAATTGTACGATCTTGTTGTCAAGGACTATCTTAACATGGCACAGGTTGGCTCTCTACTCACAGTAGACATTTACACGTCGTCTCATGGCGATCAATCTTGTAGAGGTACATTACCGGCCAACATACAGCGCCATTATAAACGGCCTAGTACCGGAGATATTGTCGATGGAGCAGTAAGCGTCGCTCAAGGAAGCGACATTGCGGTGCTGGCTTGCGGCCCCGAAGGGATGCTCGATGATGCAAGATTTGCCGTTGTCCAGGCACTTGCCACGGCTAACTGCCACATTGACTATTACCAAGAGAACTTTGCGTGGTAGACAAAACATAAATAAATAGAATTGATATATATCTGTAGATAAAAGCTACACGCTAGACAATTTACATCCAAAACTCCGGAATTCTTCTCAAAATGTGCCGCCGTGGCGCCCCCGTCGTAGACACTAGCATTCTATGAGTGACTAGGATTGTAGCCCGTATAAGCGGTCGAACCTCCCGGTGTCGAAGCTCCTGGTTGCCCACTTGTATACGCGCTATAGGCTGTTGAGCCAGGGCTGTATGCTGAGCTGTATACACCATATGTATCTGAGCTGATAGTCCGTTGTGGTGTTTCGGAGCTCCCGTTCGGTATCGCCAAGCTGATTTGTGGTGCCTGTGACGCGGAGTTGGCCGCGTACGGAACTGGTGGCGGTGCATTGTAGAAACCAGAGTCATCACCATACGAGACGTGATCTTTGAGAGGCGGCGAAGGGACTGGCCATGCGTCACCACGGGGGCCCTTTTGTGGTGCATCACCAAGCTTCTTATACTTGAGCAGGTTCAAGTTCAAGGGCAACTTGCGGACAGCGCCAAAGTCGATATGCGTCAAAAGGACCAAAAATGTCCAAATCAAGGCAACTGTCGGCGCAATCCAAGCGCTAACAACAAAGGCTGGAAGCGGGGCGTTAATGTCTTTCCAAACGAGGGAGACGAGACACATTGCAACGCCGCTAAAAATGACCAAATTGATTCGGACCATAGTCCAGAATGATTTGGTGAGTTTGCTGGACAAGCACTTGAGCGCAAGCATAAACAAGATCGACAGGCCGCCGGCGATGAAGATGGTAAGGAACTGGAATTTGGTATTAGTGTATGCCAAATGAGATACAAGGATAATATACTTACAACCATGCGATATCGTTCCCAACTATGTTCTGCAGTGTCCGTCTGGAGGGCCTTTGCTCTAGCCACTGGGTCCGGCTCGCCGTTATTAAGGCTCTCAAAATCTTCTGCATCGATACCAAAGTTTCCAAAAATGGTGTTCATGTAGGTAACTGCCAAGCTCTCGTACGTGTCGACTATAATCTTGTAGAATTTACTGTCTCCAGGAGCGGGCCCGACCGCATCGGAGTCCAACCAGTCGGAGTAGGGACCCCAAAAGTCGTCTGGGATGAGCCGCAAATTGGCAAGCGCGTCGCCGACGACTGTTGTGGTATTGGTGACTGTTGGCTGGAAGATAGTAAAAAAGTTGGTCGCCTTTATGAGCATGTCATCCATTACTTGCTCTGAGGTTGAATCGGTGCGGATGAGAGTACCATTGGTCGGGTCCGCAAAGGCGAACGACTCTTGCACGTTGTCCACGATTGTACTCCAAGTCAAAAGTTGCACAAAGTTCTGCATGAATAAGACAAGGCAAAGGTGGAAAGGCAGATGTAAGGCAACCCAAGCAGTTTGACGAGCGCGAGGCAAATAAAAGCTGGGGCCGAGCCAGTCAAAATAGATGAGGAAGATGAAATAGATGGTCGAGGCGACGGCGGTAATATGGCCTCGGGCGGTATTATTCAGTGCCTTTGGCAGGAGGGAAGGGCCGTTGATAATTTGGATAAGCTTTTTAGCCATGGACTCGATGCCCTCGCCCAAAATCATGACAGTCAAAAGAGCCATTCGCTTCATGAGATGGGTAGAGTTGAGAGCAATAGTGTCATCACCCATGTGGGAAATGCCCACGCTTAGAATAGCATCGGCGCCAGTAATGAAGTACCAAATCATGTAGGTGTGGTCGGGCGGGCTGTGCAAAAACACAAAGCTAACTCCGAGAAGCACGACAGCCGAGACAGCGTGGACCGTGATTTGTAGGGCTAGAGGAAGGAAGGCGGACTTGTGTTTGCGCAGATGGAGGAGAATCCAGCCGTACTGAGCGACGAGACAGGCGCGAGAGATGGCTAGGATGATGGCTAAATAGGCAATGATTGTTAGTGAGCCAGTTCGTGGGTGGAATAGAGAGCACGCTAGAACACGTACACATAGTTTGCATAACACGGGGAGTGACATCTGGTATGGGCTTCTCAGAGGGACTGAAATTTGGAGCGACAATGACGAAGCCAACGAGGACGCCGAGCTGAACGGCGGTAGCAACGCGTGCTTTTGGACCATGGATGTCAGTGATTGAGCAGTCTCAAAACGCAGCATAACATACAAAAGATGGAATCTGTCGCATAACGAACTTCAAATAGGGTGACGGCGAGCCAGGTAAGCCATAGGAGACTGGAGAAAGTTAGCAAGAGCAGTGCACCGAGCTATGCATTGTTTCGAGAGCGCACCAAAAGAAGCCAATGGATGCCTTGAAGGTATTTGCACTAGTCGTTTCTTTGATTTCACAAAAGATGTTGTATGTGGCAGCAAAGAACAAATCGTAGAAAATTTCGAGCAGCGTTGGATCCTCGTACTAGTGGGCAAATGTTAGAGTTCCAACGGCGCAACCAGGTATCTCGGCAGACTACACTCACTCGTCGAAGCTGAGGTATGAATTGTTTGGTGGTGACAATTTCATTTTCGTCATCTACCTCCTCTACCTCGCCATTGGCAAGGACAAGAGGACTGGAGAACATTTTGAGCTTGATTGGCTCGCCCAGCTCGGTGGCACCTCTTTCGTGGTGGGACGACGCCGTCATGGTAGCGATTGGTTGTCACCAAGACGCAAGTAGTGGGTGGTGGTGTACTGTAGCGTGAGAGTAGTGCTGCTGGAAAAGGAATGGTGCACACACGGCAGACCACGCTCTTTGTCGAGAATCCAAAAAAAGCAACGCAAAAAAAGAAGATCCCAAGTGCAATCTGGATGGATTGGTGTAGTTTACAGGACGAAGAGTTCAAGAAGAACAAAAAGAGAACGTGGTCAGCAGAAAAGACGGGAAAAGGGTCTGTGAGGGACGGGCTGACGGCTGGGGCACCTGTACCACCTGGCAATCCCGTTAGGACAATGGTTCAGCAGGGGCTCCATACCGAGTTTGGCAAAACCGTAGTGGAGTTGGGCCCTGTACCGAAGCCCATTCGCGCCTAGGTCCACTGCATTGTGCTGCGTCCTAGGCGCGCCTTGGCTTTTGCACTGGTCTCTTCCAGCACCCCGCCAGGTGTCCGCCACTCAACGCCTACTACGTACAACAACTTATCCTCTCCAATCTTCTCTACTCTTAGGCCATGGATTCAGGCCTCTTGAACGGGCTGCATAACAAGAAAAACACAACTAATCCAAAAGCAGACACATCTTTCTGCACCAGACCAACCAACCAGGATTTCGGAGGCGGGGGCACCTCTCCCTCGCAGCCTTCTTTTGCGCGTGTATCTTCATGCTGGCCTGCGCACAGACACCAACCTTTTAAAAATAGCGGCCACTCGTCCCCATCAGGCAAGGCTTTGCGACTACCTGTGCGACGCTAAAATGGAAATCAGGCTGCGCGGCACGAGTAAAAAGGAAAAAAATCAAACATGAAAATAAGGATGGTCTATTACCGTGGCCACCAGCACACCACCTCGGCGAAGGCAGCACATGGGTGGTGGTATCGCCGCTGCCACAGTACAAGGATATGAGGAGAATGGATGACTTTCGTCTCTGATGCATGTGTGTGTGGGCATGTGCAGAGAGATCGCCAGCCCGACCTTTTTGGTCGTCTGTTTCTGACTCGTAGGGCAGAGCGAAATGCGGTGGTCGATCGCGGAAAAGCACGACGAAATGAAGGTGGCTTGCTCAGACGCTGGGTCCAGCAATCTATAAGTGGGTTAGCAAGCAGACAAGCAAACCATACACAGGCCTTTGCTGCCGAGGTGGGATATGGCTTGCCCTTGCAGCTAAGTTATACGCAGACAATTGATAAGCTGGCGGAGGGTTTGTGGTGACCAAATCCCCCCGGCGGCATTCGGCAGGCTGGTGCCGGGCGATGGACTGCAGGCTGACAGCAACACCAGCAATGCCAACAAAATGCCGTTGCAAGTGATGCCATGACGATAACATAGAGCTTTGCGCTACTATCTCAACAAGGTTGACTCGAACGGCGGCTCGTGTTGGTGGCCGGAGATGCTCTACCGCGGCCTCGGTCGGCGGCGTAGTGGCGTTTTTGCAAATCGTCGTCTCAACAGGGCCAAGGCTAGTAAGCAGCCCAGCTCATTGCAGGACCTTTTTTTTCTGCCCCAGCAGGGCGATTGGATGCATGGGCCTTGAAGCGATTCTATTGGCCCGGCCCGCGAGATGAGCTTCAGAAAGGCTGTCGACCACCACATATTAAGCCCATGTTAATTGCTGGCCCCCTCTTTGGGGTATTCCTGAACGGTTTCTCGTATTTATAACACCACGCCGTTCCATGTCAGAAACAAGACATTGCGGCTGGCGGCATTGGGCTACGCAAGGTGGTTGTTAGCACGACCGGAAAATAATGGGTGAGACGTCTTGAGCGTTATGAGGATAAGAGGTGGGTATAATATTAACAAGCAGCTAACGGAAGCTATGCAGCGTCTATCGAATAAATTACAAAGAAATCAGGACAAGAAACCGCTGGTCATCGAAAGAAAACTCCAATATAAAACAATAAAGAAAAAGAAACGAGATTGCCGTCTTGGTGAACTGTAGTGGGTAATTTGATAGTGATTATAATTATGATGCTGGGATATTTTCGAGAGTGGAAGAAGAAACGATTATTTCGACGTTCTGGCCTCCCAAGCTGTAATGACAGCCTCTCTCTCTTCGCCAGTGGCGTCACGGAAGTCGCCAATGGCCTGGCGCAGACGGATGAGAATAATCTCAGCCTTGAGCTTGGTAAGATGGCGCTTGGAGAGCGACTTTTCGACACCCTTGAGCGTGTAGCCCGGGATGGCAAAAATGGCAGAGCCGAGGTTAGAGAAGAAGCCCTTGCCGGCGCGCCAGATGCCCTTTCCGATGCCTCTGGCACCCTCGTCGCGCACCGCCTTGTAGGGCAGAATAACGATGCCGCTAAAGGCGTCGTAGAAGCTGAGGACGACTTCCTTGCCGGCGCCCTTGAGGCCGCTGCCGATGCCGGTGATTTGGTCGCGCTGTCGGACCTCGATACCGTAGAAGCCATAGGAGGGGAAGTTGTGGAAGCCATTGGCGGTGTTCCAAAAGAGCGAGACGGGGGCCTTGAGACCGGCCTTACCCATCTCGGCAAAGAAGCGGCCTGTTTTACGTGTGACATAGAATCCGCGGCCCTTGGACCCCTTCTCGTGCTCGTGCCAGGCAGCTTTGGACTTGTCATGGAACGTGGGCGCCTTCTTGATGGGCTGTGTCATGATGGGGTCGACAGTTCGCAGCGTCTTCTTGGCCATCTTCGTGGCGCTGGCCTCCATATGCGACGGTAGGACAGTATGGCTAACAAGAACACCCTTGAGCAGACCTGGTTGGCCCTGGAGGTCATGGATAAACTTGGCTGGCTCGATTTTGAGGCCAACCTCTTCTATGTTCAGAGGGGCCTCGTCCTCGGGCTTCTTCTTCAGAGCGGCAGCGTAGTCGGAACCTGCAATGGCAAGATCACGAACAAAGCCAGACGCAGAAGCAATGACACCGACCAGAGGATGCTCGGCGCCCTCGTCGACGTACCATCTCTTGTGCTCAAGCAGGCGAACATCAGTGGGTATCACCAAGCCCTTATCAGCCAGGCAGGAAACAGCAAAACCACTGAGGCGAAGGCCAGTCTTCTTGTGGCGCCAGCTAGCCAGACGACCAGGGCAAAGCTCACATTCGAGCTGATCGGTTTTGACTAGGCGCTCCTGGAAGATTCTGGCCGTATCTTTGGCACCGTCCTCCTGGCCAATGCGCTCGGCCATCTCCTTGGCACCCTCCTGGACCTCAGGCTTGAGGGCAAATGCGATGCTCTCGGCGAGGGAGTCAGCCGTCATGGCAGTAAAGGGAACCGGTTCGGGACCGGCGCCGGCGCGGGCCACCATTTGACCCCAGAAAGGCTGGTCGCCAAAGAAGGGAACAACTACGGTGGGGCGTCCAGCAGCAATACCGGCTGCTGTAGTTCCGGCACCACCGTGGTGAACAACGGCCGACACGCGCTGGAAGAGCCAATCGTGGGGGCAGTTTCCAATGAGGTAAACGTCCTCGGGAACATCGTCACCGCCGACCTTGCTCCAGCCCTTGGAGATGATGGCTCGGACACCGGCCTTTTTGACGGCCTCAAAGAGCAGCTTGGTGAGCGCCTCGGGGTCGTCGACAACAATCGATCCAAAACCAATATAGATGGGCGCGGGGCCCTTTTCGAGGAAGGCTGTCAAGTCGGCCGGAGGGGTGTATGAGTTGGCGAGCTCGAGGAAAGAAAAGCCGGTAATGTCGATATGCTTGCCCCAATCGGCGGGCTTGGGAATCAGCGACTTGGACCAGAGGTAGGTGAATGGCACACGGAGTCTGGGAAGAAGATGGAATCCCCACATGGGGCTAATGGGGTCGAGGCCAAGCTTCTGGCGTCTGAATTTGCTGATGAGATCGCCAAGACCCTGCCATGTGAGCAGCTCCATCATGACAAAGGACAGGTAGTTTGCCATTTTGCGGTCTGCCTTGCCGTAGCTCATGGCAGCAAGCGGGTGTGAGAACGCCTCGGTGGGAGACCAAGGCATGGTGAAGACCATGTGGAGGGGGATACCAAGCTTCTCGGCGCAGTGAAGATGGGCCATGGAGGGCGGGTTGGCGATGATGGCGTCGGCAATGAAGAGGTCGTCGCCGTTGGGGACGTGGGCAGCTGTGACGATCTTGCCCATGCCGTTGCCGGCCTCGATACAGCTTCGCCAGCAGCCATTGATGATTTCCCACATTTCGGCGCGGCGCTTGCCAATGTCACCGGCTTTGCGACTCTCCTTGCTGGGCAGCAAACCCGGGTTTTTGACCATGTAGGCCATGAGGGCCTCGGGGTCGCCGCCAATGCTGAAGAATTCGACGCCCTGCTCCTCAACAAAGTCCTTGAAGACGGGGTGCGTGCAGATGCGGACGCGGTGGTTGTAGGGCTCCTGCATGAGCAGCTTCGCAATGGGGATGAAGGGCTGGACATCGCCACGGGAGCCGACGATATGGATGGCGATGTTGAGACGTGGAGTTTTTAGGGACGGCTCCTCCTTGTCGGGTGTGTATGTGGACGAGGCTTCGGACGAGGTCGCAGTGCTGCCGGTGCCAGAGCGCTTCAGTTGGGCGCGACGGACCCAGGCTTGGAGGGCGCCTACGTCGTGGTGGAAGCGAATCTTGAGGCGGCCATCGCAGCCGACGTTGCCAGTGGTGATTTCGTCGAGCTCAAGATGGCCGGGGCCATTGGACTTTGTCCGGTACATTGTGTGTCGGTGGTGGTGCTACTGCTGCAGCAGCTGCGGCGGCACTGTGTGTGGTGTGGCGTGTCGCAAAGTGGTGATGATGGTTGTGGTGGTGATGATTGACGACGTACGCTTTACAGCATCCGCACAGCCAAGAACCAGCGTCGAACAGAGAGATGAAAAGAAGTGAAAATGCGATGGCAGAAAAAGCAAAAGAATGGGAAAGGGTCGATAGATAGGCACACCGGAGTTTTTGAGCAAATCCTCAGAGGGGGCAAACCGACCTAAAGCAGATTAGTCCTTGTTGCGACACTGTCTACTTTTTTTTTCGCGGCGCTAGCGGCGATGAGAAGAGCTTGTCAGCCGCAAAAAAAATAGAGGTCTGGGCCTGGACCGGCAACGCCGCGGGCGGGAGTGCAACGCTACAGTTGTGCTCTACAGGCGGAGACTCCACCGTAGCGAAGCACTGTAGAAGGAGTTTTAGTGCTGCACTGCACTGTGGACGCGGCAGTGGCTGCTTGGTGACAGCGCTGCGAACGGCGATCGGTGACTGGTGGAAATGCACTGTTGCCCGCCCCTGCTCCACTTTCGGTGCTAAAACTGCGAGCGCAGATTCCGGCAGTCCGGGACTTGTCATCAAAAATAGGGATATGAGAAAATGCGGAAATGCTAACTGGGATGGGATTTTTGAATTACGACTAACAACTACATATCATGACGAAGCAAGTATAGGAAAGAAAAAGGAACAGATGGTCTACTCATACAGACGGGCGAGCGGCAAGAAAGAATACAGAGATACTGTACAGGATGCGCTAACTGAACCCTAATTTACAGCGGACGGACGGACTATCTTACAGGGCACTTTCATGGGCACTCACTCACTGCACTGTGCCTGGCAGACAAGGAACCCGGAAGCGGCCAATCATTGGACCCCCCAGGGCATGCTTTTTGCTATCACATGGAAAGTAAATAAAATACACCAGGCAGAATAACGGTCCTTTTTCCATTCATACAACATATTTTAGTATTGAATTAAATAAAAGGCGAAAAAATGTGAGAAATTAGAAAATACTATACCCAACACAATTGTCTACAAATATACACACAAACTTATACTGTCTGCTGCTGCAACCGTTCTCTTTAGCGCTTGGGTTCAGTAAGCAGGCTAGCGCTGTATCGTAAGCTACAGTAACCTAAGTTGGCCCCTACAGCGGAGACGGCGTGCAGCTAACATGTCCGCACACTCCGTTCCGTCCGCCGGCGATTTGACCCGCCGCCAAGTGGCGATAGCCGGGGAGGGTCCTCCTACGCGAAAAATAATAAAAATAAAAATAAAAACTAAACACCAGAAAGAAATGGAAAACACCGCCCGCTGTCGATTCACGATACAGTCACATGGCGGACTTGATGGTCTCGTGGCCATAACAGTTAAAAATGCTTGGTAATTGCGCGAATATACAGTGGCAACTTGGATTCTCCCTATACCAATCTGTCCGCCTATCCAAAGGGGTATACAATAGTAAAGAAGAAAAAATAAAATCCCGCCCACAACGCCCATATATTCATTATTCATATCTCGTATATGCCTCTCTCATTTTGTTTCACACCACGGCTGCCTCGTTTAATTGCGCCAACTCGGCCTCGAGGCTCGCCAGCTTTGACTTGACAGACGGCGGATGTCGCTGAAATGTAAACAGCGACACCACAAATGACGCGCACGACATGCCGATGCAAATGTACATGTCTTCCCGGAAGCCCTCGATAAATGCATCGCGCGCTTTGGTCGCATTGTCGGGCGCAAATGTTAGGATGATTAGCGGGTTGCGGTAAAAGTCTTGTAGCTGGGACTCGGATAGGTTGTCCCCAAGAACCGTCTGGATCTTGTTGATGAGCACAATGATGCTGCTTGCCACGCCGAGGCTGCCGCCAAACACGCGCATCTGGGCAATAATGCCCTGCGATATAGCTGACAGAAACAATTCATTAGTTTCATGATGGTCATAGTTGAACAAAAGGAGGGAAGTTGCTTACCGTGGTCTTCAAACTCAGACTCTAGCACTGACAAAAACGTCGAGCTCGACAGCTTCAAGCCCAGCCCTAGTCCAAGAATCACCTCAGCGGCCCATTGTCGTCGCGGCGGGATGAATTCGGCTTCTAGCGTCGTCAGAATACCACATGCTACGGCGATAATCACGCTGGCGGCTAAGAGTGTGGGAAATGTATTGTTGCGACGCAGCGACAGCCCGCCGCCAATGGCACAGCCGACAGCGCCGCCGCCCATCATGGGAAGAAGCAGAACGCCGGCCTTGACTGGCTCATAGACGTTGACGATTTGCGAACGCAGAGGAATGTTGATAATGGCGAGTAGCAGAACGAAACCGGATAATAAAGTGTCGCTATACATGCGTCCGCTTGTTAGAAATGGTAGACCGGTGGATGACGAGAAGACACTTACATGATGGCAGCCATGAGCACGCGGCTCGATAGGATGCGCCACGGGAGTTGCGGCCGTATATGGCTGAATCGAGGTGACTTGGCCAGAATACGTTGCCAAATTACTAGTATTGGCCAGGCTAGGCCGCCGAGGATGAGTACAATAATGGCTGTTGCGCTGTTCCACGCGTAGTCACGGATGGCGGCCTGGTTGATGATGAAGACGGGCAGGATGGTGCCTACAAGCACGAGAAGCGCGCCGAAATAGTCGAGTAGTCGAAAGTCGATTTTGACAAAGAGTTGGTAGTCCTTTGGCCAAACGAAAAGTAATAAGACGAGGGGGACGAATGCGCACGGGCCGCTATCAATCTGTTAGCAGTGCTGCGTGTCGCGATGGACAAACGAAACTCACTTTATCCAAAATGCATATCGCCAATTGACATATGTAGTCAGTAGTCCGCCGAGAACAGGTCCAAGTACGCCTGCAAATGCGACAATGACACCCAGCGCCGACGTCACGTAGACCACCTTGGTAGGCGGGCTCAGCTCGGGATAGGTAATCATAGCCATGGCATAGAGACCTGCGCCGCCAACACCCTGGGCAGCGCGAAATCCAATAAGCTGGTCGAGCGTCTTGGATGCGCCGCAACCCATGGAAGCCACAAGGAATATAAAAAACGACGTGCACACGACCGTCTTGCGCCCAAACGCGTCGGAGAGTCGGGACATGGCGACGGCGAAGCCCACCTCGGTGAGGGTGTAGGCGAGCACGACCCAGGATGAGGTGCGAAAGTCGTTGAATTCTTGGCCAATATCGATGAGCATGGTTGCGACGACGGTGGCATCGAGGAGCGAGAGGAAGAGGCCGATGCCGATACTGCCGGGGTATAAGTCACGGGCGACGGAGATCACGATGGGGGACATATATCACGTACCATGCAAAGATGACGACGAGACGCCAGGCCGCGATTGGTTTTCTGCGCTGGACGAGCTGCTTGGACGTCGGACTGCCGTCATGGATATTCGGCTGCTCAACAGCGGTCGGCGTGCTGCGACCGTCCGAGGACGGCGTCGCGGCGATGCGTTCTGTCGGTTTCTCTGACATCGTGGTGGTGTTTTGGTTTAGCGGTGCAATTCACGTACGGTCCATGGCAGTGACATTTTTTATATGTGAAAAGTAGAAAGAGAAGGAAGAGAAAGAAAAGAATCAGGCTCGGGTTTTCATATGCCTGAGTGTCGATACGCGGACGGTAAAACAAAGAATTAAAAAATAGATTAAAAAAAGGGAAAACGGTGACCAGATCAGACCGGTGGGCGGGTGGTGGTGACGTTTGTTTGTGCCGATCGCAGGCCATCGTGCGTCTTTCCCCGCTCTTTGTCCTCGGCTGCTGCACCTGCCGCCCGCCAGCACGCCGCTAACAAACACACGTTAAAGCAGCCTAAAGCAGCCTAAACCACCTGCGGCACCCATTCTGGTGTGCTGCTCACGGGAATTAAAAAAGAGAAAAGAAAAAGAAATACGCGGATACAGCGCCAAAGCCAAAGCCTCACCTTTCGACCAACGCGGGGAACCGAGGCTGGCGTCGCGACCCAATCGGATCAAAAACGCACAAAGAGACGCCGATTCCGATGCATTCTGGAGTGTTATCAATTTACTCAATCTGGTATTGTGGTATCTTTAAAACTTTCATCTCATAAAACGCATGTCCCGTCTATGCATACTGCGATGTCTTGTGGATAGTTCCCACACCATCACTAACATGACCGCGACTGAATCGACTGGCTGCTCTGCACGCCATCACATACGTTGCATAGCCGGCAACGAGCGTCCAGGTGCCGAAAATCATCGACAAGAAGATAAGCACCTCTATCGGAGTAGCACTATAGCGCAGCCTGTATCCGCGGACCGGATCTACCTGACTCACACTGATGCCCAGGTTCGTGGCGGCGGCAGTCACCAGCAACACGCTGCTAACAAAGAGCAATACGGCAATCTGTTCATTGCTTTGTCAGTAACACATACAATACACTATGAAACGAAGTCAGGCACTTACCGATTTGTGGGCAATTCTCTTGGCCAAGAGTCCAATGCCCGTGCCCGCCGCTGAAACCGCCGCCGCCAGCGTCAGCACAAGCAGCGAAAAGTTTAGTCGGACCCGGGCAATCGACATCCTCGTGATGGAAATTGCGGCCGCAGACGATAGGCGATTTCGCACATTTCTATTCTGCTCAATCTTGACGGCCAGCGACACGCCCAAACCAAAATTGGCCAGTGCAAGTACCAACAGAATGCCCGTAAACACAAACGCATAAATGCGCAGCCCTTTGCCGCCATGACCCGACTTGGATCCAAATTTAGCCGAGGAGCAGACAATGGCACAGAAGAGAAGAATCTCAAACACATAGGTGAGAAAGCTGGCTACCATGGAGCCATATGTCGTCGCGCGAACCAGCTCGTCGTCGTCGTAGCTGTACGGTAGGTACTCTTGCGCCAGCTGAATGCTTGTCGTCAAGACATTTAATAGGCAGAAGCTGTCAAGTTGAACCAAATGTCAGCAAAAGGGTTCCGAGAAAAAAACAACGAAATTTACTTACAGCACCAGTGTAATACCCAGAATGTTCGTCCAGCCGAGACCATTGCCTCGCAACACCATACACAGGCCGAGCACGTAAAAGACAATAGCGGCTAGCAGCGCAATGGCAAACAGCGCCACTGTCGCGATGATGACACCGTCCACGCTACTCATGTCGGAAAGATTTCTTGTTTTTCAAGCAAAATATGGTGAATGCGTGACGGTCCGTCGAATTGCCAAAAACATAAAGCATGCGCCTCATGGGCGGCCTTTTAATACCTTTATTTCAGCCCTTGTTCGTGAGTGAGCCTATTTTAGGGTCAAAAAGCAGCCTCGATTCAGCTGCCCAGAAAAGGCAGCCCCCAGCGGCAATTAGACTCATGGGTTAGAGGCGCAGGTGGCGCTCTTGACTGCGCCAAAGCTGCTTTGGGGAGCAAGCACATACAGTAGTTTACAGCACCGCGAAAGCCTCACTTGTGCCAAGGTCCGCCATGGGGCTATGCCCAGTCACCGCCTTGCGCTGCGCCTCCGAGGAGACCACTAAGCGGTGGTGATCCCCATGTTGGCGCCCTGTTGTGGATAGCTTAAACAGGCATTGAATTGGGCGTCGTGGCCATGTGCTGCGCTGCTGGTAGGCTGTGAATACCCGGCAGGCACTTCAGGCTGTGCAGACGAGCTACATTATGGGTATAACTGAGAGGTAGCGGGCAATGTGTAATGTATGGCCCCCTTCTCTGTTTGTGCTGAGCCCGTAAAAGGGAAGTGGTGACGAGAGTAAGGACAGTAAATCTTGGACAGAATTGGATAATGAAGTCTGTTAGGTATAGTAATATGCTTGAGCAGATCACAGCTGCCGGCGATGGCATCACATAGAGAGGGCTGGATCACAGTTGGCAAATAGCTCCTCCTATATAGAATGGGATTGTAATACCTACAATTTACCAGGCTATGCCACCAGGAACATGGACTCTTAATGTTATCTTCTTCACCAGCGCCTGATTTCCAAAGCACCTGAAATCATGGATATTTATGGGCTATCGAAGCGATGCGCACCCTGGCTTCTGGGAAGTGCCAAGACGACAGTATGTATGCTTTCCACCGATCTATAGTACTCTTTCATCTATATTGTGCGTATTAGTAGATATACTCATATAATTCCAAACGTAAGATTATACCACTACCCCAATTGAAGACGAGTAACATCTCAGCTATAGTCACCTTTCGCCCCTCATACCGTATTTATACACCACCAACAGTAGTGGCCCGTAGGGTGCGTCCAGATACTAAGTACGCGCTGCAAAATGTTGATAAAATACAAAATAAAATCTGACATTAATCCCAAGCCTGCTAAATGACCCTGAAATCAGTAACGAGCGCGATCATTCCTGTTGGGGTGTTGTCTCGCTTACACCACTGCCTGTGTAGAACAGCTTCGTAGGACACTTCAACGGTCGTCTTCGCCAATAACCCACAGCACATGTAAAAATGTCAAACTATTTAAACATACGAAAACAATTATGTATGAATTTTGCGAAATCAAGACCTGCCAACAGCCGTTAGATTCGAGTCCGCTCATTCAACCTTCCACTAGCAAACAAAGTTCAGGGTAGCCCCATCTATTCTCAACGCCTGTGCATCGGCTTTCGGGGGCCTCCATCTCGATGTAGACATATTCCGTAAAAGTCTCCAGCGCGGCACGCATAACACGGCTCGTCGCTAAGAAGCGTTGCTGGCCACTGAGACCAGTGACGCTGTGGCGGCTCGTATTCCGGCGCTCGCCTGACCACTGCCCCAGACAGTGCGCTTGCCCGTAGATGGCAGCACATCGGATCGTTCAGGCTGAAGCATACTTTTGTTCTAAAATAGGGCTGCCCCAGTAATTCGGACATTTAAACTCTGTATAACTGGACTGCGCTGCATCGTATTGCCACCCACCTGCCAACGTCACAACTGCCGTGTAAGGCTGCATTGCGAGACACTCCTCTTCTCAGCTCCGTGTTTGGCTACGCAAACCGATTCGCTGGGCTGGTGCGAGTAGGCCGTTGGAATACGTGATTTTAGGCTTTCTGTAATACGTGAGCAAGGCTTACACTGCCTGCTTCTGGATGCGAAGACGAGGAGAAAGCTTCCGTAGAAACTATATAAAGGGCGTGCTGGTTCCTTCGTGACAGTCTTGTAGTTGTTCATCATCCTCACAATATTCTATATTCACTCACTCCAATACAAAAACATCACAACACTTACCTCACAATGAAGACCTTTACCGTTACTGTTCTGGCTCTGGCTGCCGCTGCCGTTGCTACACCCACCACCCCAATCCCCAAGTGCAAGCCTGGTACCTACCGCTGCCAGGATAACAGCCAAACCCACGGCCCCGGATGGGGTGTCTGTGATGTTTCTGGAAACTGGGTTGTAAGTGTTCACCTAAACTAGGAGACGTTGCTCGGGAATATGTATGCTAACCGTACTGTTCAATAGTATGGCGGCGACTGCCCTCCCCAGACCGTTTGCCTCTTCAACCATGTCAACGGCAGCCCGTACTGTGTTCCTCCTGGCTTCCACTTTTAAAGCCCAACTTCTCCCCGCACATACTAGAATAGCTTGGATATAGTGTGTGGGAATCGATACCAGGCGACTTTTGTATTCACGACTGATTAGATTTAGAGCTTCTTTTTACATTTTTTCATTACATTCCTTTACTTTTTATATAGTAAAACAATATGGCCGGTCAAATAAGTCGTCCCAGCATCGTTGCGTTTTAGTGTTTGGCGTCGTCCACAGGCGTTTCAATAATTCACATGCTATCAGGGGCGACGCAGTTCCCAAGGCTCTGCTTAGCCACACCAGCTCGGACAATACGAAACTTCTTGAACCGTCTGCGTCGGTTTCGCTCACGAGACCAGCCATAATGAGCGGCCACAGGACCATCTTGCGGGGATGCTCTTCCGAGCCCGAGGCAAGCTCTTTCAAGTTCCCAAGCAGTGACCGGCGACATGACTCCTTAATGAATGAGAGCTGTTCCTCCTGGGGGTCACTTGAGACGCTTGTCGAATCGGTATACGTCGTATTGCAGAGAGATGACAGGCAGTACATTGCCACAGCAGCTTGGTAGACAAAGCCAATCTGAAGCCAATGCTGGTGACCCTGTGGCAGTCGGTACGAGGATGCTTCCTCTTCCATGCCGGCCTCGGTTATAATGCGGTTCTGCGCCTTTTCGACATCTTCAATCCAAGATTCTACAGAAAAGCTTCGGATTCTGTTTAATATGGTTTTGAGAGCGATAAAAGCCTCTTCTTTGGAAGGCTCCGTCAGGCTGTTGACGGCTCGCCGATGTGTGATAAGAATGGTTTCTTGCAGAAGCGGCGCTGGACAGGGAATAGAGGTTGTGATTGCTTCGCCGAATAGTCCGGGGAGGAGATCCACGATATCCAGTAGTTGTTCGGCCTTGTGGAGGGATACGTTGGGTGATGTAGATGCACCAAGTATTTCCGTCCTATCGAATGATGTTAGTCATGTCCACCAACCAGAGGGCACATGCGCAGCACTGGAGTGCATCTTACGCTACGTAATATCGAAACAAAGGCTCCATTTCGACAGCATCGGCAATCTGTGAGCGGAGGCCGCCGCGGGCGTCCAGTACGGCATGTATTGCGTCGCAGTGACTCTTCCAGATGGGCGATACGCAGTGGTGCATCTATGGCTTGCGTTAGTACAAAAGCGTTTGATTTCCGTAGAGATGAGGGTTGAATTCTTACTTCAGTAAGTAGAAAACATATCATAGAAGCAAGTGTGACGTCAGTTACACTTCCCCAGTCCCCTTCGAGCTCGTCAGTCATGAGCTTGATTGTCGTGCCGCGGTGTTGTTGTAGCCGCTTCACAAGCACGAGCGACTCGTCGGATGGCATGTTATGCGACGTCTGCAGAATCTTATGCGCAAGTGAGGAACAAATGATACTCTCTAGAATAACGGGCGGCATATACGGTATGTATGCCTTTTCCAAAGCGTACAGATCATGTGCTGCCCAGGGTATGGCTACCATGTCTGGGGCAATCATTTTATTATCTGCGTCGAGGTTAGTCTGTGCCTGTCTTTTAACTGATATTAATGGCATACAGTATACTACAGCCTCCGCAAGGGCGGCGCCTGAATAGTGAAGCTGGGGAGGCAGCGCCATGGCAGCCCTTGCCAATACACGCGTCGTTTGTTGTGCACTGGCCAATGCCCGCGCCTCCGTCTTCGCTCGATAGCCTTTGGAGCGAGTTTGACCCGGATTGAGCCATCGCAGAGGTTTTCCGTCGTAGCCGGGACATGCGATGCCTCGCGCTGTGCACTTTTGGCAGTGAGGGAGTGCGGCATCGCAGACGCGGCGCTTCTTGACACACTCCCAGCAGGATTTTGGTGTTGACATACGTGAGGTTGTCTATATCTATGTATATATATGTACGTATGCGAAGTTGGGAGAGGATGTTATCGCATCTTGGTATAAGTAGAGGTTGCTGTTTGGCAAAGTGGTAGCAACAACCAGTGGTGGCGGGCAATGGCAGCTCAGCCCTGCAAATATTTGCGATATTCCCATTCAGCTGCCCGAGGCGCAGCAAATACAGCTTGTGTAGGGCGGCCTCAAGACGCTTTGAGTTTAGTGGCAGTGGCTCCGCCTCTGATGCGGCTGCCGATCGGTGGCTTCGGCTGTGACGATGCATCGCTGAACAAACTATTAAACATGATAACTGTTTCTAACATGGAAGATTTTGGCGTATATAAGTTATATAAAATTAGTGTACATTTTTTGCCACAAAGATACAGTTGTATGACATTAGCATCACAGATACTATCGCTCACTCGGAACCTAATTTGCCCACGGTTGTAAAGAACGAGAAGATACACTGACGCTGGGCTAACAAGTTAAACATGTCTATGAATATCGTATATAGAATAATCATCCAGCTATAACAGGACGTGTAAATAAAGGTTGCCCTCTTCATCGCATCCAACAGCCACGCTATTGTCACCGCCCGCATCCATCCGGACCAATCGCAAGCTCTGCCCGCCAGAGATGTTCTGGTTTTGCTGCTCCCCACTGAAGTAAAAAAAGTCTGCAGTGGATTCGGTAGCAGATGATCCAGGTGCAGTTCACCGCAAATACCGTCTGAAACTACGGCTAAGACCATCTTTGCACTCCACTATCAGCGCTAACAGCAACAGACGTCGACCAGGTAGCCTATGATAGCGTGGGGACATGCCAAATAGCGTCGTTCCTGTCGTATTGATCCCATCAAGTCCGACAACGATCGAAGCTAGGAAGAAAAAAAAGCAGGGAACAATGGATGGCTATATAACTGGATGAGATGGCCCCCCTCTTCCGTTTGTCCGCTTCGGCACATATCTAGAGCATCCAGACTCTATTTTCTATCCAGGTCATTTCGGAGATCCCAGACAAGCTCCTAGCTACAGCAGCAGGAACTGACTAACACCATGGCTTCCATCAAGCACTCGATAGCCCTTTTGTCGGCATTGGCCACAATTGGTGCTACCTCTCCTGCTTGCGAAGCAAAGCCCTGCTTCACCAAGCCTGTTGATTCTCTCGAAACCCTCAACAAGACTCTCAACGGCCGTGTACAAGACAACAGACCCTTTGCCCACCCATGCTTCTCCATGTACGAGGGCAAGCCCGTCACCCGCGACGCCGCCGCATGCGCCGCCATCATCGAAAACTACCACTCTGTTCCTTACCGTGCCGCCATCGGCTCAGCATACGGCAGCGACTCTTCCGACGCTTGCATTGGCGACCCTGACGACCGCTGCATCCTCGATACCCGCCACGCAAACGACACAGCTGCCTGGGAAGGCCAAAACTGTCGCCAGGGCGATGTCCCTCCTCACATCATCGACGTCCGTGGTGTTTGCGATGTCCAGGCCGCACTGAGCTTCTCGCGCGAGACCGGCCGCCGTCTCGTTGTCAAGAACAGTGGTCACGACTTCAATGCTCATAGCAGTGGCCGCGGTGCCCTTGCGCTCTGGACCAGACATCTCCAGAAGAAGGAATACAACCCGGCTTTTGTCGCAGAGGGTGCCCCTGCCTCGGAGCAGCACCGTGCCATTACCATTGGTGCTGGTGTCAACTGTGGTGAGGCCTACGGCTTTGCCCGCGACAACGACATCACCATTCTTTGCGGATACTCTGCGACTGTCGGCATGTCTGGTGGCTGGGTCCTCAACGCCGGACACTCTGTTCTGTCTCCCGCCTTTGGTCTCGGCATCGACCGTGTGCTTGAGTTCAAGGTTGTCACTGCTGATGGCAAGCTTCGTGTAGCTAATGCTCACCAGAACCAGGACCTTTTCTGGGCTCTACGCGGTGGTGGTGGCCAAGCCTTTGGTATTGTGATTGAGTCGACGCACAAGGCCGAGGCCAACTTCCCCGTGGTAAGCTCGAGCATCAACTTCCCGAGCACCGACCTGCAAGACATCAAGGACTGGGTTCGCCTGCTTGCCTCGGAGGCAGTTGGATGGAGTGAAAAGGGCTGGGGCGGCCACATCATTGGTAACACCCTCGTCTACATTACTGCAAAGGAGAGCCTTGAGGATGCCAAGAAGACGATGCAGAAGGCCACTGACTTTGCGCTGGCCCGCGGCGGCAAGTCTGACCTTGTCGCCTATGATAGCTGGCACCCATTCTACGAGAACGTGATTACCAAGAACCCTGCTATGGCCGGCGGCAACCGTCTCCCCTACTCGCGATTGATTGCAAAGGATGTCATTGGTACAAAGGAAGGCCAGGACAAGATTTACAACTTTTACGACGAGAACCTTACCGATAAGAGCCAAGTCTACATTGACGTCACTACGCCCATTGTCTACAAGGACTACAAGGTCAACTCTACCTCGGCTACTGAGGGATGGCGCAACTCGGTATGGCATCTGGTCAGCGGCCTTGAGTGGTCGTATAATGCTACCACTGATACGCGCGAGGATGTGATTCGCGATATCAACCGCCGCACCCGCCAGCTTCACGACATTTCCCCCAACACGGGTGCCTACATGAACGAGGCCAGCATGTACACGAGCGACTGGAAGCAGGCTTTCTGGGGCGAGGAGAAGTACGCCACGCTTCTTGCTATCAAGAAGCGCTACGATCCTGAGGGCATCCTCAACTGCTTCCGTTGTGTTGGCTGGGAGGACAGTGATGAGGCTTGCATGTCTGCCTTTCAGAATATCGGCGAGTAAATGCCACAGGCGGTAGTCGATATAAAATGAGAACAAAAAGCGAAACAAAAGAAAACAAAAGGACAAAATAGTGGGGATGTTGCATGCTCTAGCTATACTTGGAAAGCTTCACAGAACATGTTCCATGTAAGGCGAATAGTTCTTACAAACAGGTGAAGGAATAGGATGGTGACAACTTTCATCCATCCGTATTATATAATAATTAATTTATAGACCAAGATTTTACTTTACAATTCTTATGATAAAATCAGCCGCCTGTTTTCCAAACGGTGGTCTCGGTGTGTTGTTGGCCTTTGTCTACAAACACAGGAGCGCAAGGTCATCCCCGGTACAATGTCTATCTATATAGCCCACTCACTAACACATATATATTCACCTATGAAAACCGGCCATGTTGGTGACAGCAGTCGCAATATCCAAAGTATCCGAGCTCAGCTTCCGAAAATCCCCCAATTCTCATCGCCGCTCCTTACATAGCTCCTTTAGCTATCTTTCTCTTCCCTATCGTATTTCCTTCTACTATTTGGTCGTTACTTAGAGCAGTATACCTTTGCTAGAATACATAGAGTAAAGAGCCTTACCACCCTACAAATAATATTATCTAACTTATCTTCTAGTTACTAATTCTATAAATCTGCACTTATTGCGCCAAAATGAAGACTTCTAAATAGATCAAGATAATAACGTATTATTTCCAGATTGTGTTTCTGTAAGAAGTTGTAGTACTTCCTGGGACGATGCGGCAATGCGCATCGCAATTATCTGCCCGGCTTTCATTATTGATACTTGCGCCGTTGTTAATGCCACATTATATGCACGGTCTGGTGAGATAACGAGCGATGCTGCTGTTGCTGTGGCCCCAGGGTCCTCATACCACTTATGCCGTCAATACATACATACACGAACGCAGGTTTGGTAGGATCTGTTAATAATCCAAGCCATCACGATGATATAAATGAATATATAAATTCGTTTGATAACGAGGCTAGAATAGTTTAGAATGTATGCGATTACAGTAATATAAATAATTACCTGTTAATTGAGAATAATTTCTTAGCAACGAACAGCACCTCGTGCAAGCTTTCCGAAAAGCCCCCGGTTCCTGTCACCGCCCCTTCCCCTTGCCCTATTTCCAAAAACAGCAAAGCCTTATCTCGAAATGAGGCGAAAGGCGAGCAGCGAACAGGCGAATAAGACGGGCATCCATCTTTCCTTTGTGTGAAGGAGCCACGCGAGGGCCCCAGCGCTCGTCTACCGAGAATAATAGGGCCGCAAGCAAGCCCGGCACCCACGACCCCATTTCCTTCGCCCCAGTAGAGAAACAAGCCATCGGTATTACAGATGGGCTTGGCTTTTATTGAGTGGCAACAGCGGGAGACACGGTCAGCTTATTGGGGCTGGCTGATGGGAAGACAGATCGATGGGCCACCCCCGGGTTGTGGGAGAAAAGGCTGTTTTAGCGGTGACGTTGGCGTTGTTAGCGGCGCTGAGCTTTAGGCTTAGGAGCGACACTGCCCGAGACATCACTCGACGTCCCATCGGGAACTCCGCTTACCAAAGAGTTTCTTGTTTTTGGGGCTGGCCAACCTGGAGAATCCCCCTTTGGTTGTTAGTGTTACTACTGTACATACTGCAGCTTGCTATCAGTTACGGAGACATGTGGCGAAAGGCTTTAATGTTTCTAATGGGGGCCGATACTGACTGCGTCTAAGATCCAGGGACGATCGCCAACTAGACAAGACATGTGTTTTTTCGGTCACCCCTTTCGCCTGGAGTGCCCGAGAGACACGTGGGATGGTGAGATGAAAAGGAAAGCTTTGATGATTGTGTCCATTGATCGGTTGAATGTAGGAGATTAATTGTTATGATGGTCAGCATGCTTCTAGAAATTGGAACAATGGCATTTCCAAGTGGACTAGAGTTGCTACTCTGTACCTGCTGTACAGCCATGTCAAGCCAGCACGGTGCCCTGTAGCCCTGGGTGCTGGCAACCCCTATTCAACTTGATGAAAAATCTTTTCAAAGTGTCATTGAGCTTTTCCTTATCTTCTTGTCCCCCATATCGCATCTACAAGGACAATCCACTACATCTTGATGAAATGGAGGCCAAGTTTGGGTGGCCCGCGATGTGGGCGGGCACCACTACGCTAACAAGGTTTCCCGCCTCATCTGCCAGGCGGGCCCTCCCAGCTTCATTTGACAAGGTCCTTTGCTGCCTTACCGTGGCTCGGTTCGGCCACTGGCTCTCACCACCGTCGCAACTTGTACAATAGGGCCGCGGCTAGTGAGGAATACTAAGATGACCGGGCTTACGGGCCACCTGGGCAAACAGATGAGGCGGAGCTTGCCATCTTCGATGGAAATCGGCTAGCCAAAGGGCCCATCTTTCGGGCACTTTAACACTCTGGGAACGGAGCAGCTCATTTAGCGATGATGACACCAGAGTCTTGCTTCCCCCCCCCCCCCCGGTGAGCGAACCAGGGAAGGTCTGCGTACGACATCACAGGGCGACTGGATGAACGCTGACGTTTGAATTTGTCCTCTGCATTTATCCAGCCGGGCTGCGGCAGTGTTAAGCGTATCAAATGGGCTTTGTTTGGTAGGCAAGCAGGGAGAGCAATGCACGCTGTATGTAAGTCGATGGAGGGCTGGCGCGCATAGAGTTCATGCGGCCCTACGCAACCGCATTTAAAACAGATTAACAGAATATTTGGTCGAATTAAAACCAAAGTAAGAGAATTAAAAAAGAATTACAGGGCAGAAAGTATACAGCGAGCAAAACGTGGCATAATACCACCCAAAGAAGGGAGGCTGTTCGGCACTCGCGGGCCTCGACGCTGACCGACTTCCGGCCGGAGACAATTTGGGAAACCATCCCGCGCGTCGTTCCCATCTAGCCAATGGGACTGGCTTCCTTACGATGAGCAGCGCAGTAGCTAACCAGTAGCATCCTCAGCCGCCCAGCAGCCACAAATCAGCTCTACCAACAGAAGAAACACACGCTAGCACTTTGTAAATTAGATGAAACCTAAATCCACTAACTTACTACAAGTTCTTTTTGGTTGTTACCCGTTGTACCCGAATCTTCAGTTGGACTGCAATGGGCCATTATGGGGCTCTTAGCGTTGGTGTATTGTTCTGTATGCAGCAGCACTCCTGTCACATTATGTATGTGAGCTCCTCGTGCACGGCTTGTGGGAGTCTCCTGAGCTCAGTCCAGCTTAGCAAGGTCTACGGCAAGCACGGGTATCGTTGGCTACCCATCGGCAGTCGCTGGCCGTCATCATATGAAACTTGGGGGTGGGTGGACGGCTCAGCATTTTCATGACAGAAGACATGCAACGAGTCGTTACCTAGAGTCACCCCCCTCTTCAGCGCCCCCTGCGATCAACGCGGGCCGATTCTTCACCAGATACCGGCTAAAGAGCAAGAGGGCTACGCCGTCAGAGAGCCAAGAATCATAAACGGTTTTCCGGGTCGATGAGCATGGTCCAATTGGGGAAGCATGGCGAACAGCACTCTGACACCTCGGACTCTCGAAACGTCTTAGGTGGCTGCCCAATAACATAACAGCGAGGAGGGTGTATGTTTCGTGATTGTGACAAAACGGTACCAAAAGGGAAGGGAGCTTGAAGGCGATGGCGAATTGTGCCTGGAAGCCACCAATACTACGGTTCCAAGCGATCTACATTATGGCCTCGATCAAGCCGGCTTCCTATTCGCTGCCTAGGCCGTGGGCCGAGATGCAGGGCACGTGTGAAGTTGGGGATCCACGGCTATGCAAGAGACGACGAGGTTTGGGAGGTTGGCCGAAGGGGGGGAGGTCAGTGAGCATGGGGGCGGGTAGTTGACAGACACTAAATACTTACATGGTGTACTGTACTGTACTGTAGGAGTATCGCGAATAGTTACTACGGGCGGACTTTGTTAATTACTTGGTAATCGACATGCAGACAGCCCGTCAGTGCAGCACATACAAAGGAGGGAGAACATGCAAGCACGCACGGGGCAGCCAGGAACAGGATGCGATGCTGCTCTGCATGTTGTGGGTTTAGCTGCCATGCATGCCACATCCCGCTGCTATTTCCTATTCCTGGTTGTGGTGGTTTTGCCCTAGGCTGAATTAGTGGCTGTTGATCAGTGGGCTCTCGACGGGTGGGTGGATGTTGCCGTGCTGGGACTGTAGGCAGTGGGCATCGGAAATCCGGGTTCGAATTACTTTCAGAATGTGCTGCAGTTACCGTGTTCTTTCTAGTGGAGCTAACCATTTGTTCTATTCCAAGAGATGGAACTCAAAAGTGACAGCCCGGGCCTGTGTAGGGCCGACGTACCCATGTCTGTGTATATATTTGAGTTATGCACAGATAATACTCTGTTTGTTTTCTTCAGACGGAATGCTGACGAGCCCAGTGTACCCAGGCTAGGCCATGCAAGCTATGCTATGAACAGCGTATCTCGGGTATAGCACCCTTTAGTTGATACTATCGCATATAAGCCCACTCTCCAAAGTTGGCGTGCTTCCAAGCCATCCTTCCATCACTATGCCAGGAGATATGATATGGAGCAATGTGGATTCCCATCGCCATCAAGTGGCTTTCTATAGTTGCACTTTCAGAAAAAAATCCACTCATAATACAATTGGAGCGTAATGCAAGGCGCAGAGCCGTAGCAAGACAGTCACCATGACCTGCGAGCATCACCAACACGAAACCGTTGGGATAGCCTGGTACAATGAAAAAATTTAAGAGTTATGCTGCTTGTAAAAAAGAAAGAACGAGGCTCCCCGAGGAGATATCGC